TATCAGGTAGGGACTGTACTTCCCTAAATCACTTACTTTACATGTGCATCCGCACGTTCTGCAGTCGTGTTCCGCCCAACGATGTGAAACATCTATCGCCCTGCACAATATAGTGTCCAGAGTAGACACTGTGCACGTCACAAAGTCCTCACAATGGCCAGTGTTCCACCGATTCCGTGCAAGGCAAATAATGTAACAGTCTTCTCCCATGCCCTAGATTCTACCACATGTCCGGAACGAGCGAATGCAGGGGTACCTTCTATAAATGAATACGTCAGCGAGGGAGCCGCATGCAACGGAATGGTGTTTTCTTTTGCTATATCCGTTCGTATATTCACTAGACAAAGAGAGTCTACCAATTTTGCAAGGTCTCTTGTAGTCGGCGGTATTGTGTGCAAAAGAAAAATATGGGTATGTACGGCAGTTGTGCATGTCAAGAATGGTGCATAGAATGATAAGAGAAACACAAAACACGTCTACAGAGGTGTATCACTATTGATGGGAGCAAAATAAAACAGGAGGTCGAATTAAATTGGCTGCGCCAGATCGTGAGAGTGGCACAGTGGAGGCTTGACTTCATGCAGTAAAGGATATGACCAGAGAACGCTGACTCTTTGTCACACCACTGCACTCCTCCAACAATTCTAAATAGTCCCCAATGTTTTGGTTAAAATGACGATAGTAAGGCGCGAATGAATGCTGTTTTGCAAGAATTGACAATGCAGTGATAGGGCAATGTAAACCTGCATCTGTCGGGTGTACTACTGTCCAGCCGTTCGGCTAACCAGCATCCGGACAAACGTCCTGTCATCTTTCGTAGTCGTCGCTGGGTGTCTGCTCTGTCTAGGCCTACATTTTGAGCATAGCGCATTACAGTGACGGTGTAAGGCATTGAGAGCGCCTCGAGCATGACCTAGTGACCTTTAAAACCCCAGCTTGCTGAGGAATCGATTGTGTTGTCAAAACCCGAGATATAACTGTGTTTGAGACCTCGGACAGACAGTGTCTTTGTTTTAGAATGGTGGCCAAGATGCAGAGCCTCTTTAATGCAAACTAAGTGCTCGCGCTTTCCCAGAGTAATAAGGAGTTTGCCAGTTTTTTGAGGTCTGACAGCAAGTCAGACCCATTAATTGACCATCAAGTAAGGCAACCCACAATTGATGACGAAATGGAGTCATTACTTTGAGGACGCAGTTAGGGCGGCGCCCTCTGCCTTTTATTAGTCTTGGAAAGCAATGACCACATGGGACTAAAATGTTCATCCTCAATATGTTTGTTTGACATGGTCATGATAGCCCTCTCTCCCAGGCCATGTGTGGGTCTCGAGTATCCCAGGGAGAGTCAGTCTGATCGCTCTATCTTGCCCCTGGCGGAAGGCTCAATGTTGTCTTTTTCGAACTTGGCTGTAGTGCTTAATTTGTTTGGTTTTATTTTCAAAAGCGTTGGAAACATGTCCGGAGATAGATAGATAGTCCTTGTGACCCTCTGGCTCTTTGCTCAGCTTGATAAATGTAGTGTGACAAGACTCGTTGTTGGACTTTGAGACGATGTTGAAATTTGAAATGGGGCCGGAAGGCCGAAAGTCTCATTGACCCAATTTCCCTGCTAATTGGCTCGCTCTGGGCACCTAACGACTGTCCAGTACCGCCCAGGTGTATTTTGAGGTTCTTGTAGCAGGGGTGATCGGGGATTTTGAAGCAATCCTTGGGCCACTGAGTGTCCTCTGTTTTTCTTAGAATGTCACACACATTACGCCCGGGGATGCGAATTCGGCCCTGGTTGTTATCTCCGTTGTTATCCTGGTTGTTGGTATGGCTGTTCTGAGCTGGGAAAGCGGTGATTGGAGGGGAAAGGGCAGAATGCTGCTGCCTATTGCGATAATTCCAGTCTCCAATTACAGAAGTGACTTGGTCACCTTTGAGTGCGCCCTGGACCAGCAGTGACTGCATGGTCGCCTGCAAACTACTAGGCAGTAAGAAATATGGTATTGGCCAAAATGTTGTTTAGAAATTTTGATACATATTGCCCAAGGTTAATCTGGGCGTTTCTGATAGCCTACACCGTCCACCGTCCAGAGAAGACCACTGCTGCGTCAAAGGAAACTTCAATGTTTAGGTCGAGCATTGTGACTATGTTGTTACCCGGCGCTTCCTCTTGAAGTAGACAGCCTTATTGGCCCTTAGAGCTGACCTCTTATAAGCGGTGATTTGACAGTGGTACGGTGGGTTGTTGTAGACTCACTGGCTTGACAATTATTGGCGCAAAGAATTTGTGAGCTGGCTCACTCCCTTTCCCAGCCATACGTGACCCATGGATGAAGGAAGATGTAAACCACTTTCATTCCCCTCAACTGGCAGGCTTTTACCTCTTTTCATTGCCCTAGAAACAATATTAACATCGCCAGGGTAGACTTAAGAGCTATTTATGTACGGAATTGCTGGTCTCGGTCCCCAACAGAACTTCTTGTATGCCGTTCCCTTGCTGCCGATAAGGTGGCCACTTGACAAGGACCTGTATTCCTTCCAAATTGTAGAAGTCGGGTGCAAATGTTGTTCAACTTCGACCCCATGTGATAGAGCAAATGCTGACTGTCAGCACCAGGGTACAAAATCGGTGGCTACGCTGTTCAGAAAATCATAGGCGTGTGGCGGCTGAGAACCAACCCACAGTGTGAGCGACTCGGGCTCTTCTCTAAGCGTGCCTGTTGCCATCATTATGTTCGCCACTTGTTGAATTAAGTAAGATTGGCACCAACCGATAACGATAAAACGCTTTACATTACAAACATGCAAGTTTTGTTCGTTGGCGCGGGTCTGGTATTAAGGAAGGGCAAAGCAGTTGGTTTGCTGCGTTAGAATTATTCATGTTTCCTCCAAACCGTACGGCTGTGTCGCAGTCCGGCAGTCGTTGTCCCCTCTCCACCCCCCAACAACAACAACGACAACGAACAGTATACAGTCAATACTATTCGTGCCATGCATGTCAATGTTATTGACCCGCAGCCACGGATCATATTTCACAATTGCCTGGCCTCGACCTCTCCTTGCCTTCTCCTTGCCATGCTCTAACTATACTACAAGCCAAGTTGATGCAGCGTTGGCTATGTTGCATTCCGCACAGGTGCTCGCGAGTGCCTCACAGTTACTGTCGATATATTGAGTAAGTACTAAAGCAACCCATAACAATAAAACGTGCTGCAGACTTGTATAGGCAAAGAGGCACCAGAATTAAATCATTGTTTGATTAATTCAATCAGCGCATTATTCCGACAACTATTGCTTCGATCGATCTCGCCTCGCCTCGAGAAGCGGGAATTGAAGGTCCCAACAGACCTTGGTACCACATCTAAACTTATGCATTACTCTTCTCTGACCCTTACTTGCGCAACCATTCACCCCTGCCTTCTTAGCCATTGAGACCGTTGCCCACGATCTCACTGACAATCCTACCACCATGCCACTACTTTGTGCGTTGTAACTACATTTGAGGCTTCGAGTCCTTCGTCTGCAGCAGTCTTTGCCTCACAGTTCGGTTCTTTCTGCAGCACAGTTTTGCGAACGCGTGCAGTGTTTATCCCATCGCACCATACGTCATCACACCCTGCCATTGGGGTCCGGAGTCTTGCCAAGCTTGTGAAAAAGTGAAACAAAAACATATTTGAGCCACAAACCTCGACCTATGTCACTCACCGGCGGTCAACGACTCACGGCTTCCGTGTGGTGCCCGAATTTTACCGAAATCTGCTAATGGGAACTACTACATTTAGAGATTGACTTTGAGTTTTGCCATTTCTGACACATGACAATCACACCTTCGCACGGTCGCCTTGGGGAACTGATTCTGACATTTGTCAGTGCTGTCACCATTGCTGCCCCTCGAGGAGAAAGTGGAGCTCCCCATGCAGAAAACGAGTTGTGGGGTTTCAAACACACAGGGCACCGGGGGTCACACCTAACTGGTTCTGAATTGACGTGGGACACACACACACACACACACACCCCACACCACACCACACCGGTACTCATAGTGGCTTTGCAAGCAATTCCTTCCTTTTCCTTCCGCCATTCTGGCTGGAAGTTTCAACCCGACATGGCCACCCTTGTTGACTCTCGAGATGACATTGAAGGCGAACACAACCACAGGTACACAATTGCTGAATATTACTGCTGTATTTTATTTTATTTTGGCTCTGAAGCACTCTTGATACTTCCTGTGTGCTGAAACGGGTCACATCATCCGCACGAAACTGTCCCGTAATTCTTTCTGCCAAGGAAAATATCTTTGCTGTTTGTGCACAATGTTGTGTTGGCCGTGGTCACTGTTAAAAATCTGTGCGCGGCAGCCTATCTGCATCTGACTGTCTCCGGGTCTGCTGTCCGCTGTGCTGAACTCGGACCTGCGCCGCCACTTTTTTTTTGCAACATACCCCTTTCATCATAAGTGCGTAGCACTTGACAGGTCCAATTGATGTATGTATTCACATGACTCGGGTGACCGTGCATGATGGTCCGCCTGGAGAGGGAAGTTTGTTCTGGGGGTTGGCTTGGCGACCGCATGAACAAAAAATTGCGCATTGAAGGAAAGATATCTGACGCTATCGGTCTCCCGTTGCAAGTACAGAACACCTCTTTGCGATGTTCACCGCATGCAAATTAAAAGCATGAACCAAGTAGAAGTATTTCAGGTCGAAGTAGCAGGCATGGTGCCGCCCACTGTTGCTCCATATGCTCTATATGTACCACAAGGTAAACAGGCAGTAACCGACCACAATCCCGCACTAAATTAATCAGTAGTCAGGAGCTGCCCTGATTGCATTTTGGTGCAAGCAGTATATTAGTATCTCCTCTCCTCGGTTTTGGGGTTCTGGCCCGGATCCAAAGATGATGTGCATATTGTACCGGGTCCCCAGCCATGATGTCTCAGCCTACCGTTGTCGGGCAACCAAGGAAGGCATAGAAAGGAACAGTATCCAACATGTGCATCATTAACGAATATATTCCTCAGAAGCCGATCTTCTCCAATAGAGTAGTGCGCTTCTGGCTGTCGGCAAATAGGGCACGAACCAGCCTGTCCAGTTCCTGGGGCGTGAAGTCGACCAGCGACCCACTCTCAAACAGGTAGGTAATGTCGACAAGGTTGGCACGCTGAGGCGTCAGTGCACTACACACAAATCACGCCTGACAGATGCCTACCAAAATCTCGTTAGTGTAACACAACTTCAGCCAGTGGGGAACAAAGGTCGCGATGGCTGAGACCTAATACACCCATGAGCATAACGCAAGCAACGTCACTTACGTCACTGCCGCCCATAAACTGTGAATCAAGGCTTTCCAGCTCGCCCACAAGAAGGCCGATTTTCTCAGACTCAGCCTCCGTGATGTCTTCAAGGGCGAGAATATCGTCCACGACGGACACCGCAATAGCCTCCACAACACCACCAAGCAGGTTGTCTCGGCGCTGCGAATCGAAAAGGGGCTGGGCGGGCGTCAGACAGCGGTGCGGGAATGAGCAAACTCTTACGTCCAAGTCAACGGCCAGCTGTTTCGCGTAAACTACTAGCCTGTTGATGGCCTGTTGGGCTGGGGCGAAGACCGTTTCGCTGCTGGTATCCACAAAGTGATGCGTGCCCGACAGAATGGATGAGACAATGGCGAGCTGATTTTCAACAAAGGATTGGTAAATTGTGCTACCAGCCGACTTGAAATGTTGTGCAAGATCGTTCGAACAAACAGCCGGCGAGACATGTAAAGTTTCGCCTATGTACGCAAAGTCGTTGCTCAACTGCAAAACAGCAGTAGAAGTCTTGGCGTACTCCAGATTAGCAACAGGCGTGGTCGCGCGGATGAAATCCAGCACCTCGGCCAGCTGGTCTGCCATTCCTGACTCCAGGGAGGCGAACGAAGCATCATTGATACTGTGGCAGTGAGTGCTGTGCTCAGCTCACCCAAGTACTCACGACAAACTAGGAACAGCGTACATTTCCGCGGCCGCATCATTAGCCATCGTGACAACCTCGTCGCACACCAGTGAAACCCGACGCCAGTGGCGCTGTGGGGCTGGTGGCGAGGGAGTGACGACGGCTCGAGGCTGCAGCACGGGTTCTTCTTCGCGTGGAGGGGTCGACGGCAAACTTTGGGGTGTGTCCACACTCTCGGACTGCTTAGCCCGCTTCCCTAGGCGTTTAGCCACACGTGTCGGCTTGGAATTGACGACAGGTGGCGGAGCTATGGGTGTAGCCACATCATCAAAGTCCCATCCACTCGAATCGTCTTCAGGATTCCCTTGCGTGGCCTTTGACTCTTCAGAAGGCTTATCGTCGAAGCCCCAACCATCGTCATCGTTGTCCAGCTCATCATCCAGTACTTTATCGGCCGCAATAGCCGCTTCTTCGGGTCCCACATGGGTGACGGCCGCTTCTTCGGTTGTGGGAGTGGCGATATCGACCTGTCGAAAGCCGGACAATTTCCAGTCGTTATAGATGATGCGCCTCGCTTTGCGTAGCAACGCCTGGCGGCGCTTACTAAGCCATCGTCCTCCGGCTTCCTGGTCCACAAACTGCCGGAGGACAGCAATCGTCGCACCTGCTGGTTGAAGCTCCTCCTCGCTGGCTGCCGCCTGATGAACAAGTTGCAACCACACTGGCAGGTCACCTGACGCCAAGGGCATCGCCGGCACAATGATAGCGCTCAGCACTCGCTCAAACGCTTCCTTTTGGACAGCGAGCAGGAAATTGCTACGCGCCTGGGTTGAAGGTGAGGTGTTGTCTGGAGGAGGGCAGACCGAGGTCGCAATGAAAGACAGGATAGTTTTGACACCGAGCACGGTCTCGGCGGGTGGCTGATGTCCCACAACAGACATTTGCAGTGAGGCCACATCTCCGCTCGAGTCTACCATAGGCTGCCAGTTGCCGTTATCGATGAATGGGTAAATGACCTTGTACACGACTTGGGATTGAATCTCCTGGAGACGGGGAGTGAGAACCCCAAGAACATCCAGACTGTGGATAAGTTCTTCCGAAGTGAAGGATGGAGGCCCCGTAGACGGCAGGGAATGTGACGGCTTAGTAACACGAGACACTGATGGAGTGAGTTATACGTGGGACAGCATATACACTTACCGTGCGGCAACGCGAGCTTCAATCTCCTCTTGACTGACAACTGTGGTGGCTCGCTAGGCTGACTTGCAACCGTGATTGACTTAACCCAAGCACTAGTGATTTGTTCAGACAGCATGGACAGCAGTATCTTGTGGCGATTCTGAACCGAGTCAGCACAAAGCACGAGTTTGCCAGCAGACCAGCTCACTTCAATTGCTGATGCCACTTGAGACGACGATGGGGTGGTGGTATGCTTGGCAGACACAATCTCAAGTAAAACGTTATGGTCCGCACCTTTGCCATCCCACAGTATGTCTTCAAGCGCCACCAAGTCATTGTATTTGGATTTCAACGCATCCAGGGCAGTAAGAGTGGCCGCAGCGACAGCTTGATCGTGGGCGCAGGAAGAGAGCGCGCTTGATTGGTCCACAAACCGACCTACGGCTGGGAATGCCTAGGCTTTAGCACTGCCCAAGCTCGTCCTGCATGCAACAGCTGCAATTACACACCCTGGGGTTTCTGGCGTCAAACGCTTGCGACATGTCCGAGAGTCGAGTATTCACGTCGGCGACTGTGTCGTGCAGGTCGTTTGCCTGAGAAAGGTGTCTGGAGACGACATCCGATTGATTACCCATACACATGTGGAGTGCACTCTACAGTGTCAGTAGTATCCACCCTGTCCACAGTTACCTTCTGCTCAGTGATCGATGAACAGAGTTGTGCCGCGACGCTAGCAACATCCTCGCTGGATGGAGACAGTGTTCCTATGGCGTTGGCGAGCCGGTCCACGGGTATGTCGGACTGAGTTGCCGAGGACATTGTAGAGGAGAATGGACCACTGCCTACAGGTCCACAGGGAACGCTTGCAGTCATGGTACAGGTAGGAGAACGGCGGTGGTCGTATGGAGGTTATCACACGAGAAGAACAAACGATGATGCTTGCTACCTCCACGCCCCAACCCCACATTACCCCAGACGGGAGCATTTCAGCTGTTGTTTTCTCCGTCCGCCGTCATCGATGTCAAGATGTCCGTTTGCAGGATCGCAAGCTCTCTGACATACTGTTATTTTGAACCATCCAGTCCAAACTGCCCCCACGCCAACAACATGGACATCAATAAGATGTTCAAGCTGCCGACCCTTCCCAGCGGAACGGGTCTAAAGCGAAAGATGTCAGACCTCCCGACGGCAGGTACGTGAGGTCTATGCGCTCGATCAACTAATGGTACCAGACGTCCTGAAGCGCTTCAAGCCTGAAGAACCGTCTCTGTCCTCTTCGAATGATGGAAAATCTGCCATTGTAGAGGATGAGGACGATTTAATTACGACAGGTGTGTTCACGGGGACTGAAGCTCAAAGAGCTGATGTATCAGAAGAATCTCCCCAGGGGGACTATGATGATGGCGATGATGAGGGACGATTCTTTGGGGGCGGTCTCAACGATGAACAAAACGTATGTTGACATGCCCCTTGTCAGCACTGTGCTAATATTTGCAGCAAATTCTGGATATCTTCGACAAGGCGGGTGACGAAGACGAGGAGGTGAGACCGTATTTGTCTGGGAGATTGTCACGTTGCTGACGCCGTGAGACCGCCATGACAGCGCCCGCTCTTCGCCGATTGTTGGCGAAGTTTGATCGGACTGTCGCAAAGAATGCTGAACAGCGTGGCAAGTTCCCCGAGGATCCGGCAAAGTACGGCTGTAAACGAATGTTCGCCCCGCTAACAGCTCAGATTTATCGACTCCGAGTCGGACTTGGACTCCATCTTGAAGCAATTTCTCCCGCTTACCCAAAACCCGGCCCTTTACTACCCCGAATTGGTCAAGACTGGTACTGTTGGATTGCTTGCTAGTCTCCTCAGTCACGAGAACACCGATATCGCGATCGATGTCGTGCAGGTTGTGCAGGAGTTGACCGACGAGGACGTAGGCGCGGAAGACGAGAATCTCTCGGATATGGAGGACGAGGACCGGGCCTCCGCTACTCGTATTGCTCTGGCCCAGTTTATTGACGAGTTGGTGAGTCACTTGTGGCTGTTTCTGTCTAACGGCCTCAGCTCTTGCACTCTATCTTTGAGTTGTTGGTCTCCAATTTGAACCGTCTGGACGAGAGTGAAGACACCGATCGTCAAGGCGTTTTCCAAATCCTTGGCATCTTTGAGAATCTGTTGGCATTCATGCCCCCGCTCGCCGACCAGATTGGATCCACCACGACTCTGTTGCAGTGGCTCCTGGAACGAATGGCTCGCAAGCCGTTTGACAGCAATGCCCAGTACGCTTCTGAAATTCTCTCCATCCTTCTGCAAGGCAGCCAGTCGAATGCCCTCAAGGTCGCAAACGACCATGGTGTCGACACCCTTTTGACGTTGTTATCCGTTAGTATCCTTGTCGCTTGTGCGGTGCGCACCACCCTCTGACGTCTCCAGCAATATCGCAACGCAGACCCCAAGGACGGAGAAGAGGAAGAGTTCATGGAGAACACCTTTGACAGTCTGTGCGCCCTTCTCAACCTGCCTGAATGCAAGGCGATGTTCCTCGAGGCAGAAGGCGCCGAGTTGATGATCATTATGATGAAGTACGTGCTTCATACCCGAAAGCTGTGCTGACACGCGAAGGGAGAAGGTTCTCTCGCGGAATAGGTCGATCAAGGTTCTGGACTACGCAATGCGGACAGAACAAGGCGCTCCCAACTGTGAACGCTTTGTGGAGATGCTTGGCTTGAAGTCACTGTTCTCAACGTTCATGGGCAAGGTGAGCTTTCAATTGTTCAACATTGCTTAACGAATCAGGGCGATAAGAAGAAGAAAGGTCGGCACTTGGCGACGACGTTTGAAGACAACGAGCACATGCTGGGCATCCTGGTTAGCTTGTTCACAAATCTATCATCGGATTCCCCGCCTCGCATCCGCTTAATTGCAAAATTCGTCGAAGTGGATTACGAAAAGGTAGACCGCCTCTTGGAGCTGCGGGGTGCGGCGGTTGCGAAGCTCAAGACGACAGACCACCGCATTGTCGCTCAGCGAAAAGTATGTATTATTGCGCCTGTTGTCGTGGTGCTCACGCTACAGGTGATGGTGGACAACCAGGAAGAAATCAATGATGAACAAGAAGACGAATGGTACCTCAGTCGTCTTGATGCTGGCCTTTCGGCCCTTCAAGCTGCAGACTATATCCTGGCGTGGATCTGCATGGAGGATGATGGAGTAGGTTGAGCCGATCCCCACGTTGTTTGCTGTGACGTTACTGATAGGATATAGGTCAAGGCGCACGCAGAGAGGCTTCTGAAGAGAACGGGGGAATCTCTCAATGGCGTGGCAAATGTACTGAAGGGTGAGCCCGATACCCACAAAAAAGACTTATTGACGTCTCAGAAATGGCGGAGCGTATTGAAATTGACGACGAGGCTTCTCAAGACGATCCGGATGTCCAGCAGAGGATAGTTCTCGATAGTCTCGTCCGCTTCCTGGAGGAGTCTCCGTGAAGGAAGTATGCATGGGTGTTTTCTACAACATGGCTTGTACATTTCGTTCTAAAATCCACCGGCTCGCTTCTTGGCAGCCTTTTTGCGTGTCTTGCTGGAGACCTCTGGACGCGCACCAAATAGCCCTCTCTCGACTTGCGTATGAGGGAACTCGCCACTAAGAGATTCTAGTGTGGGAGCAGGTGGGGGTGACGATCGAGCACCTGGTCGAGTCGGAGACCATGGTTGGATGGCTGGGAATGTTGACGTGTGGGGTAGGGGCCGCAAGGTTGGGGCTCTGCCAACAGGCGGAACGTTGATGGAGTGGGTAGAAGCGGCAGGTTGGGTCGGGTGAGGTCGCAGAGATGGCAAGGGTCGTATAGGTCGATCGAAGCCAGTTGATACCTGAGGGGTGCTCGGCAACCGGGTCAGAGGCCCATCCCATTGATAATCGTCGGCATGTTGTCCAAGTGGCCATTCAGCTAACAGTGGGAGTGCAGCCGTGAGGTCCAACAACGACCTCGAATCAGACCCTCCGCGCTGCGGACATGGGATCTTTGGTTGTAACACGGAGAAGTGAACCGCGGCCGTAGAATGTTTGTCCTCGAGACTGAGCTGACCAGCTGCAGCAGCAAACAAGTCGTCCAGGTTGCCATGGCTTGTGTCAGGAGCTGCAGGAGTGGTAGCCGGCTGAATTGGATCGGACGCCAGCGTAGTGCCACATAGCATGAGGTCGCAGTGGAGCTGGTTGGCTTCCAGGTCGAGTCGACGTGGGATTGGCGTTGAACCCCTGCGGCTCTGCAATGCTGCAGTGGCTGGAAGGAAGGGGTCTCCAGGAGCACTGGAAAACGGGTGACCGCTTGACTCGACATACGAAAAGTGTTGTGAAAATGAGAGGCTTTCCAGCGTCACTTCTGTTTCAGACTTTTTGGGGAATCCAATGCGGCGCACAAGACTGGAACGGGTCTCTGGTGCATTCCCATAGGCGGAATCACGGGCAATCTCGGCTCTGGAGAGAATCAGCTTTCATGAGGCAACCTCAACGCACGCAGTCATGATGTGGTCCGACTGGCCTTCCTCTTCGCGGAGGTCTTGCTGAAACACCTCCACATCTAATGTGTATTGTGGCGGTTCATTGATCACAAAATATGAGCGCGTTTCCTTGTGGACAATACTTACGTGACCATACCCATCGAGCATGGAGAATGTCATGCTTTGTTCGACCTTTCGCGCCATACTCGGACGCATCAAGCAGACGCGTTTGTGACGCTCGGGACGACAGTTGAGACAGCATCTCCACTTGTTCGTCCCACTTTATATGCGGATTTGAAACAATGCTTTCCAGTCGCCCGTGAGAAGGCGAGGGACGTGCAAGCTTGAAAAGCCGCAGGCTACCGTCTTGGGCTTTTCCAACCACACATATGCAGTCTTTGGAAGTAGACGCGCCTTGGAAGGGCACTAGGTTATTCTGGAAAGGTAGCATGGTGAGACCGTCCATCGCAGTGGGCAAGCATCCAATAGACCAAGGCGGCGTGGTAATCCTCGCGGGCGGAAAACTTGACACTTGCACGCCTTGGAGATATCCTTGAGTCCGAGAGAAAATAATCACACTTTCGTGCAACGACGAGTGTCGCGTTGGTGCGCCTGGAAGGATCATCACTTGCAAGTCCTCGGCCTTTGCAGCGCCGTATTCGTGTGCACATCGGAGCACTACTGGCTGTGTACCACTCTCGTCTATCCACAGTAGCTCCTTTGTCGTGGAGACGCAGGTCAACGTTGCCTCACGTTCAAGTGCTGTCTTATCGATAGAAGTGAACACATGAGAGCTCACGTCAATTTTCACGACGACCGTTGACTGCTGTACTGTTGAAGCGCCTTGGATTTTCTGCTACAATTAGCTTTTTGCTTTGTGTGTGCTCAGGCATCACCCACCTTGAGGTCCAGCACCTCCACAGATTCGCGAGAAACCACAACGATGGTGTCAGGGCGAGTTCCAAATGCAACTCGGAAAAAGCCATCTTCAGATCCCACAGCATTCCGTAGTTTGGCTCTTTGTTGTCAGCAATTGGGAAAGCAGAAGCTGCGCATACAGTTTTGGCGACTTGTACAGACGTCCATCTTGACGTCCATCCAGCCGTTCTTTTTCTTCCCACCAGAGCCAGACGGCACCTCCTTCATCAACAACAGCGGCACGACTCCAGGATTTTGCATCGAGGGCCATGTCGACCTGTTGGCGACCTTCAGTAGCCGATACAGGTAGCTCGCCTACTCGTAGAGTCGAAACCGGAGGCATGGCCGTTGGAGGCACATACGTTCCTTGCGGGACAACGTTCAACAGATAAGAGCAGAACGTGGTGCGCACCAGCAGAGCGGTTGCTGCCCCTGATTATTGTTGTCAGTACCTTGCGGACGAGACTGGATATACTCACCGTCCAATCGATGTTTTGAGACAAATGGGGAGCTAACGATCTGAAGGATTTGCCCCGGAAACTTGTCTACCGGCGAGGCGGATGGCATAAATCGGGATTCAAGTCGGCCGCGTGAGAGAGCATTTGTTTTGGGCAGGAAAGGAGATATGTCTGTGGTTAGTACAGTTGCTTTGCGGCGTGCAGCTTACTCAGTTCTTCTCCAACGGGGCCCGTGGGGAAACATAGGACCACTCGGGTGAATCTGGCGGTAGGGTTGTGGGCAACGGCAAGTGCAACACCAAGATGGCGGTCATTGGCCTGTCCGGTATCGTGATGAGCGATTGCCAGCTCTTCTGCTACCAATTCGGCCACAAACTCTGGCTCATAGATATCGGGAGTGCTGTGAATGTAATGTGTCTGAAAGAGGGAAGGTCAGATAGATGAGGGGGGAGGTTGTAAATACGCACCGCCGACGTTATGAGGACGTCCAATGGAAACTCGGGTGGACTTGAGGACGATTCACGAGTAGGCGGAAACAAGAGCTTGGACTGTCCCACAGGAACAAGAGGAATATCTGAAGTGTCAGCGAGACACAGATACACATAGCAACAACATACCTGTTGAGTCTCCAGACAGCCAAGTCCAAGACCAGTTGTGCCGCGTTCTTGAGAGCGTAGTTGATCCTTTCTTGCCCAGAGTACCAAGGGGGGTGGAGGATCCCCTGTCGGGCAAGCTGGATGCGGTATGATTGGCGTGATTTCGAAGTGTTGCACCACGGGAGCGAGGAAGATTGAGATGGCCCACAGTCGGGACAAAACTTGTGGGCACAGCCATATCGGCTTTGCTTGGGAAAGCAGGAGGCCACCGAGGGCTACAGGTGGGCTTGTTCCTACCCTCCTCAGTTAACAGTCGTTATAGAGTCGACTGCTCATTCGGTGGCGGGGTGTACGACGAGACAACAGATTGGGCGATGACGAAATTGGAAAGCCAAGGCGCGCCGGCAAAATTCAAACCCACAACCTCCACTTCGGTCAATCTCAGGAACCCACCACCGCTCTCACCCCCGCCGCCCCGGCCATGGCCGACTGACACAAACAAGTCGAAGTGTACTTCAAAAGCGTGCATGTATTTTGCAACTGTACTGAGAAATGTCTAGTGGAAGCGGTCCCACATCTCCTGATCTTCCTCTCCAAGTTCTTCCCTCCCTGCATTGTACGCAACGTTGGATGTTGCCGTCAGGGCGGAGGGAGATGGGGAATGGGTTCGTGGTTCGTCCGCGTAGATCGGTTGGTATAACCCGCCGCGGACACGGCCGCTGGTAAGAGTTCTCTCAGCAACAGCCTCTTCATCGTCGAGGTCCAGGTCCATCTCGAGAGCAATTGATGCAGCACGGGCTTGAGTGAGGTCCATCGGCTTGGGAGGCTTCAAAATGGAGTGGCCCGAGCTGGAGGGTCAGCTTAGCAACTGTCCACACGGCTTGAAACGCACCGCCTGAGAATGTTGCCTAGGCGCAAGAACTGGACGGCGTTGCGAATGACCAGTAGGATAGTATCCAAAAGTTCTTCATCTACACAGGTCAGCAGTGGCATACGGTGGCAGAACTCACTGTGCGTGCCCTCGCCGCATGGATTCACAAAAACGAGGAGGAGGGTTACGACGCAAAAGAGGACGAGAAGCAAGTCGACAATGTTGAGGAGAGTCATTGGATATTTCTATAGCGACATGAGCTCTGTCCTTCCTTGACGCAACTGTACCTTGCCGTAGGCAATCCACCTCGTCGACACCTCGGCGACCATGAGAATGTTGATGATAACCTCGAGTACGTTCCAGGCAAAGGGTGGGCACTGGTGCTGGCCTGGTTTGTGTTAGTTAGGAGGCAGCTGCAAGGTTCAGATGTTGCGTCTCACTTGTAGCAATCAGGCTGAGCACGACAGTTGTCAGACTGAGACTCATCATGACGAAATAAAAGAGAATGTAATAGCGGCTGAAGATGATACGGTTGGCGACGCCGCGGAGCTGCTCGCTGGCTGGTAAGCGGTAAGGGGAGCGAAAAGGAGCGGCCGTTGTGCCTCCTCCTGTAAGGGGAGTGTCTGGGCCATCCTCCAGCTCAAAGTCTGCTGTGGAAAGGGTGTTGGGGTCGGACATTGTGGGTGGGACTGGACGGTTGCGTGGTGTGGTCGTCGTCGTCGTCGTCGTCGTCGTCGTCGGTGTCATAAGGAAGAGCCGTTTGCCACGGGTAAAGGGGGAGGACCACACAAATGACAAATGTGGGGCCCAAAACGGGCCGGTTGTTTGTTTGGGGGGATGGGTTGGTTCATTCCGTCGTCTGTCGTCATATGGCGGGGCGGGCGGTTGTCTGTGTGCGTGCCTGGAAATCGTCGTTCCAGTGCGCCAGTGCCGAAGCCCACCGTACCACCGTGTGGTGTGTGTGTGTGTGTTTGCGCCGCCGCCAGACAGCGACGAGGCGTCCCGACTCCCTCTCCCCCCAACAGTCTCCCCCCAACGCTGGTATCTTCGCTCCTTTTTTTTGTCTTCCTGCTGTGTACGACTCGCACGATCCGCACTGTCAATCACTCGCCCCTTCGCCCTGCGTGCAGCCTCCTGCACTTTGTCAATTGGGTCGCTCAGCACTCTGTTCTCTCTCCTCCCGTTGTCCTTCAAAGCAGTGCGTTCAGACAGAACAACGTGAGACCCCTTTACCCCCCGGCCCGGTTCTTCCGCAACAAATGGCTGACATGCCACAGAATCGCATCGGACTTACTCCCAATTGACATCTCGCAGAGACACTCTGCAGCTCTGCAGGTGGTTCGCAATGGCTGGGCTCCCAAACGCAGTGGTCACACTGTTAACCGCTCCGTCGTACCTCCCAGGCGCCCTCGTGCTACTCCATTCACTCCAGGAGCTGCATCCTGCGCCCAGAGACTTCAAGCTTGTCTGTCTTGTTACCCCAGAAACAGTGGACGCACACGCTATCGGTGCTCTTCGCAATGCTGGCTACGACCTCGTTATTGGGGTCGAACCCATCGCTTCGGGAGACAGCGGGCAGGACGGTTTGGACCTCATGGGTACGTGCCCTCTGGTCCGTGTTTTATATCTAACCCCACAGGACGACCAGACTTGACCTTGGCCTTGACCAAGCTTCACATTTTTCGTCTTGGATCGCTGTTCTCGACTATTCTCTACCTTGATGCTGATACTCTTCCGTTACGTCCTCTCGACCACCTGTTCGATGCGACGGCGCCTCATCACTTCTCTGCATGTCCTGATGTCGGATGGCCAGATTGCTTCAATTCGGGCGTGATGGTTATTCGGCCAGGACCGACTGATTTCGATGACATCCGTGAAACTCTACGCAACAATTCTACCGACGGCAGCGGCAACGGCAGCTTTGATGGTGCCGACCAAGGTCTGCTCAACCAGTACTTTTCAGACGAGGGCCGCGGTGGAGCGTGGCATCGCCTGCCATTCACGTGAGACATGCGCTTGCGACGACTACTAACAACGGCACAGGTATAACGTCACCCCCAGCGCTGCATACCAGTATGCACCTGCGTATAAGCATTACGCCAACAAGATCAATCTCGTTCACTTCATCGGTGCTACAAAACCCTGGAGTACGCTCGCGCACCGTCCCGCTGGATCCTCGGCGTCATCCAACGGCTCGTCATTTGACTGTAAGTACTCTGCGCCGTGTTGTCACCAGTGGACTAATCCGCGTAGATGGTGCCCTTGTTGATCGCTGGTACGCAATCTATGATCGACACGTTCGCCCAACGGCCGTTCACGCGCCAAACCTTGCCAAGCGATTCTCTGTGCCCGAGCATCAGGCTGTTTGGAACCAGTCAACCGTCGATCAGCCCAACGACCGCCTTGACCTTGGGGTACTCAAGTCCGCCGTTGAGCAGGGCATGGCGACCCTCCGGCCAGGCCAGTATACCTCCCTTCCCCTCGACGGCCGTGTCGATCTAATCCGTCCTAAGCCTGTACCCAAAGAGACACCCAAGCCGTTCCATCCGTGGTTCAATTCTGTTCCTGCAACCACCGGGCCGAACGAGCATGAGGGGTCGCATCCCACCCACTTGTCCGATGTCCACCATCAACCCGTCTCGCACGGTGACAATCAGGAATACCCTCCATACCTCCAACCGGTGTTTGCCCAACCAGCTCAACGGCAGCCTGAGCATCACCACCAGCCTCACGAGCATCACTACCAGTCTCACGAGCATCACCACCAGCCTCATGAGCATCACCACCAGCCTCACGAGCATCACCACCAGACTCACGAGCATCACGAGGAGCCTCCCAAGGAGATTGCTCAACACGATGCGTGGGATGCGTCACACCAGGCTCCTCCAAAGTACAGCCGCCCCGAGATGGCCGTGGCTATAGACACCCACTACTCCCCGGCTTGGGATCAACCGGTCAGCGCACATGCCACATACTTTCAAACGCATCCCGAACCGTCCACCCCAGCGTACCCTTCCATTCCTCGAAACGTCCTTTCGAATGACTGGTACAAGGAGTTCACTGGTACCACTCCAAAGCAAGACAACGTCAAGCCCGTTTTCCCATGGGAGGCCTCCACTCGTCGCCCGCCTCCTGGACGTATATTCCCCAAGCCCAAGGAACCTGTCCTTGCCGCCCGAGCCCCCAGGCAGACGTCGCTGCAGATCAACACGTCAACAAACCAGCCACCTCCCGCCGCGAAGCCAGCCCCGCGTGCAGAACCTGCTAACTTTGTGGAGGCGATGGCGTCGTACACCAACGCGTGGGATAATGTCGCTTCCATTGACCGCTACGCCAAGCGTCTAACTGTCCTTGGAATCGGTATTGAACGCCGTTCGAATTCGGGGCTGCAGACAGTCCCACCGAGCCCGCACCGGTCGTCCGTCAACCTTGCCGCACACCATACCGCGCGGGGCGACTCGAGCTCGGACGGAAGTGATGGCGACGACGAAGGTGAAGAGCCGCAATACAGGTACCCGTCCAACATCCTCTATCGAGACAAACAAGCCCAGACAGAGCGGCCGTCCATGGCGGACGCCAAGGTGCAAGCGTCACCAGAGTCGTCACCTGGGACAAGCCCCACTCTCGATGCAAAGGCGCTTCCACCTGTCAAGAGGCAGTTGCCGATATCGCAGTTTACGCCTGCAAGCCGCCACTCTGACGGTTCGGGCCGGAAACCCAAAGCGACTCCTGCCCCGACGAACTACCAGTGGCCCACCACGTCCACAGCGCCACGCCCAACGCCTTCTGGGGGGCGCACGTGGGATCCCAGAACCGATCTGAACGCGGTAAAGAAGAACTCGCAGTTGATGCTGAATCGGTTTGTCAAAACGGCGGATACGGAGCCTGCTGCGTAGTGTAGTGGAAGAATGCAAAAAGCGTACTGTTTGAGGTCGTAGATTGTTTGAAGAGCGCCAATGTGGTGGATTGACTATGCCGTGTTTGTCTATGGATCTGTGGGATCTGTGGCGATCTGTCGGAGTTGGGCGGACGAAATGCGGTGACGTCGAGCGTTTTCGGGCCGGAGGGGCCGGGGGAAAAGGGCGACACCGGTGGGGCACAACGAGTGCCTGAGGCCTGAGATAGATGACCCGCTCGCTGCTTGGATGCTTTGCGGCCGCATGTGGGGGCGGGCTCTCTGCTGGCTCTTGGGCCATGCTCCACTCTTGTCGTCACTGCTCTAAACCCACGCACCCCAAACAGCCCGACGACGCTCTCCCTCGCTCGTTTTGACCATTCGTCCGCTTGTCGTCTTCAATCACTCCTCCGCCCCCAACACGGCACCACGGGTCCACCACATTCTTGCACACCGCATCATACTACTACTCCCTTGCCCCCCCCCCCCCCCTGCCCATCCGTAGGCACAGCAGGCAAATCCCCCCGCTCTCCACACCTCTTTCCCCGCTTGCCGATTCTCGACACTCACCAGCGCCAGCTCTCTCCAGTCACCAGTGTCTTTGTAGCAGGAACGTGCTCTCAGCCTGACGTCACATTCGGACCACCGTCGTTCCCGCGCCCCCCACGTCGTCGGTTCTTAAAGCTTGCAACGCTGCTTCTCGCCCTCTGTTTGTCCTGAGAACCTCATTCAGCTTTGAGATTCCCACCATGAGCCCGATTGACTCAACGAGCGCGTACCCCGCCAACCACGATTCTTCACCATCCCTCTCGCCCATCATGCCGCCTTCAGAACCCCTGCCAAAGCCCGACGATAAGGAGCCTCGTCTCATCGTTGTCTCGAACCGCTTGCCCGTGACGATCAGCAAAGATGACAACGGCGAATATACCTTCAAAGTCAGTATATGATGGCAACCATGTGCAGTTGATGCTAATCACTGGTAGATGTCGTCTGGTGGCCTTGTCTCCGCATTGTCTGGTTGCAAGAAGACCATGTCATTCACATGGATCGGCTGGCCAGGAAAGGACGTGCGTATTGGTGTGCTTAATAACCCACCGGCTCTTCCCATCATGATGCTGACGGTTCCCAGATCCCTCTTCAGGACCGAGAATACGTCAACCAACGTCTGTTGGAAGAGTACCAGTGTCTGCCTGTCTACCTCCCTGATGATGTGGCCGACCGACACTACAATGGTACGGTTTGGTGATGGCATATGCCCAGATGTTGACTCGCTCAGGCTTCTCAAACTCCATCCTCTGGCCCTTGTTCCACTATCACCCGGGAGAGATGAACTTTGACGCTTCGCATTGGCTTGCATATCGTGAGGCGAACATTCGCTTTGCCGACGTGGTTGCGGACTTCGTTCGCACTGGGGACGTCGTGTGGGTCCAAGACTACCACCTGATGCTCTTGCCCATGCTCCTCCGCTCCATAATCTCTGGGGAGTCCGCCCAGGGTGAGATGACACGCCGTGAAATGGGCCGTGTGAAGGACGGTGTCGATGATGCCGTTGTCCAGAATGTGGGTATGCAAAAGGGCGTGGTTCACGGTCTGGACGAGGGTGTGGAGATGCTGGAGGATGTAGAGGAAGACGGTGGCGAAGTCACAACCACTGGCGGTGGACGCGGAGTCTTGCCAGGAATAAGCGCCTTCCAGAAACAAGAAATTCGTGCTCGGCAACGCGGCAAGGGCAACATTCGCATTGGGTTCTTTCTTCACACGCCTTTCCCTTCCAGCGAGATCTACAGGTGAGCTACCAGCCCAAGCGAAGCGCCGCCATATTTTGGTCAATTGACATTGCAGGATTCTGCCTGTCCGCCGCGAGATTCTTTTGGGTGTTCTGCAGTGCGACCTTATTGGGTACGTTGACACTCTTCCACTGAACGCTGACGGTAAGCTTCCACACTTACGACTACGCTCGCCACTTCCTGTCGTCCTGCACTCGAATCCTCGGGCTGGAGACTCAGCCGAACGGCATCGAGTTTGAAGGTCGCTACGCTCAGGTGGGGACGTTCCCCATTGGTATCGACCCTTGGCAGTTTGTCGAGGGCCTCAAGAACTCCACCGTGCAGAAGCGGCTCAGTCAACTGGAGCGCCGTTTCGATGAGTGTAGGGTTATAATCGGTGTTGACCGGCTTGACTACATCAAAGGAATTCCTCAAAAGCTCCATGCCCTTGAAGTTTTCCTCACTCAACACCCCGAATGGATTGGAAAGGTAACACTCACACGAATACATTTGGCTGACCTTTTACAGGTCGTACTGATTCAATTGGCTATCCCATCGCGCCAGGATGTTGAAGAGTACATGAACCTGCGGTCATGTGTCAACGAGCTTGTCGGCCGCATCAACGGTCAATTCAGCACGCCAACCTGGTCACCAATCATCTTTATGCACCGCTCGGTCCCAGTTGAGGAATTGACGGCCATGTACGCCCTTGCGGACGTTTGTCTTGTCACCTCTACTCGGGACGGTATGAACCTGTGAGTTCAAGCGAATCTGTGTCGTACTGACATGACCAGGGTCGCATACGAGTACATTTCGACGCAAGCTGAGAAGCACGGGTCCATGATTCTGTCCGAGTTTGCTGGGTATGTCTCGATCTACCCGACTCGGCTAACTGACTACCAGCGCCTCTCAAAGTCTCGCTGGGTCCCTTATCATCAACCCTTGTAAGTGGCAATGCTGAACCTACCAATGCTCCAGCTGACGTTCATCCCAGGGGATGTTGACTCCACGGCCAGTGCGATCCACACTGCCTTGACTCTCAGTCCTGAGACAAGGGCACAAAACTGGACAAAACTGTTTGCTGTGAGTGACTATGACTTGGCCAGTGCTGACGGCAGTATGTCTCCAAGTATGTTTCTCGGTATTGGCAGACATCACTAACATGAAGCTTCACGGCACAGTCGTGGGGACTGTCATTCCTCAATGAGCTCAACCGCTCGACCGGTCGGCCCCCAGCTGGTCCCCTACTGGGTGGCCGACGCAAGTCCGGTTCTAGTCTTAGTCGCACAAGCTCCAAAGCGAGCATGAAGCGGCGCTTTACCGTGGGTAACTCGATGCCGCCCACTCCAATTGAAGCTCCGCGGTCGTAAAGTGGCCTCGTGTCGGAATAATCACACAGACGTGAGGGCACAAACATTGAAGTCCACACTTTAGCTCAACTGAGATATGCAAGTCATCTGCAGGTGCATCCATGTTGACCGGATGAAATACATGATTGTGATTGGGAATGTCGCGAAGCTATGTCTATCTAGACCCCAGAGACCTTGGCATATGCTGCGGGATTGAATCGCTGGTGCAATGCCTTGATCACGTATAGGGGAAAGCTAGAGATGGCCACAATAATGGCCACCTTGTAGACGAAGGTTTTTGACAGGACAAAGTGGAGGTCTGAGAGGAAAGTCAGGCATTTCAACGGCGAGCAAGCTACTAAATTCTCACCGAAGTATGCCGGGAGCACAGCCATGGAGCCGAAGTATACGACCGCCGTACCCAGCTCACTGAGAACCATGTAGACGTGCCAAGTGGTGATCTCCAATGCGACCATGATCAATTCGTTGGTGACAAGCGCAGTGAAGGAGATTGCAACAATATGGCGGAATTCTGACTCGAAAAGAAGCAAGGACAGCAGCATAATGATGCCACCTACACAAGGTCAGTTGCCAAACTCTGTTGGTAGCACTCACCTTGGTAAACGCTAATGGTAAGCCAGGTGAAGAAGGTCTTGTAGCTGAGCGAGCGACCCTGGTGAGGTTAGTAAAGCTCCCAACAAGCACACATACCTTGGTGAGCTCCTTGTACAGCTCGGGGTAGAGCAAAGCCAGCTCCTCGCTGACGTCGCGGTCAAGAACAAGTGAGAAAACAGGGGCCATCGTATACACTGTCGCGTACCCCACTTGAAGCCATCCTTGATACAGAGCAATTGCTGAGAGGTGAGAATGACGTCGGGCTTGGCGGCAACTTACGCGCAAAGAAGAATATCGAGCTGAAGACCGCTTGAATGACCGAAATGATCAAGCCACGATGAATGACAAACTGTGAAAGCTTGGCAGAACGCTTGTATGAGTTTCGGCCGTGCCACAGAAGGAGCTTGGTGAGGTACGAGAATTGATTGATCGAAAAGTCGGCAGCAAGGGACGCCTGCTTGCCTTCTTTGCCCACAATACCGATGCCTGGAGGGTGTCAGGATGGTACAACGCATCAGAATCTTTCACCCACCAACATCAGCCGCTTGAATCATGCTAACGTCGTTACCGCCGTCGCCGATACAGCAGACCGTTTTCTTGCTATACTGGCGGATGAGCTTTGCGACGTCGGCCTTTTGGGTAGGCGAACAACGGCAAGCAACGACAGCAGGAAGTCGAGTTGCCAAAATAACAAACTCGGTGCGGAAACGGTCCAGACAGAGCTGAAGGGACTCGCCGTCGATGACGAGACAGCAGTCGAGTTTAGCCTGCACAAAGTCGAGCATGTCCCGCACTTGGTCAGACGTTTTCACTGCCATCGTCAGATCTCCCACTTGTCACGGTCTGTCCTCTTACACTTTGCGACCTGGTGGATGTATTGATTGCGAGACACCAGTTTACTTGACACGGCGATATTGGTGGCGGTTTCGATCTTGTCTCCTGTCAACATCCAGATCTTGAGTCCGGCGTTTCGCATCAACTCGAGAGTGGACTTGACGTCGTCTTGGAGTTTATCCTCCACTCCCGTGAGGGCCAGGAGCTCCAGGTCGGTTTCAAGGCACTCGCTGATGACAGTCTGGATGGCATCAACCCTCTCGTCTCCAGCAAGGAGTTGAGCGTTGCGGTATCGACGATCAAAGTCTTGGTACGCCTCATCCGAGAGTTTCTTGCGGCCAACAACGAGCGTTCGCAAGCCCTCTCTTGCCATATTGCCGCACTCCTCGTCTAGCCAGTCGTTCTTCTGGACAATTCCAGACATGACGACGTCGGCGCCCTTTTGAACAAACATCATGGTCCCTGTTGCCCTCTCGCGAACGATAATACCCATGCGCTTTGACTCGGAGGTGAACGGGAAGATGGTGAGAATATCGAACTCCAAGGTTTGATTGGTTCGGGAGCGAATAGTCATGCTGGTACGATCGCGATGAACGAGGGTCAGACCAACTGACTCCGTCCACTGAACGATGGCCACCTCATCGGGTGATGACGCTTGGTAGGTGACGGTGCCATCATCGTTGGCAACAGGAGTAACCTGGCATTCGTCAGAATATAGTAGTCAACAAGAACATACGTTGTGGCACGTAGCCAACGCCAGAACAGCGTCCTTGACCCGGGTTGCAATGTCACGCCTTCCACGAGGTATCGCGCCTGGTCCGAGAGAATTTTGTCTGCGATCTGAGGATGAGGCTTAGTCTATTGCTGCGGCTACCACAAAAGGACTCACGAGTCCCTTCTCCAAAACTCTGAGTCAGAAGATGTGTGACCTCATCCATCGAGTCCCACGTGAAGACGACAGTTCCCATGTGGAGCTTCTTAAGCTCCATCTCTGAGAACCATCAGCATGGGCACTACGACGAGGAAACCCACCGTTACGCGTCAATGTTCCCGTTTTGTCGGTAAGAAGATACTCGACTCGGCCAAGCTCCTCGGGCAATGTGCTCGTGCGCACAATCGTCTCTGGAATCTCAGAGTCATTCTGAATTTGACGCGAGTAGAATGTCTTGGCCATGTCCAGGTTGACTCGCAAACTGGTGTATTAGTCTCATTCAACCAAATAATATCACAATCTTCTCACCTGATAGGGATAATAGAAGAGAAGAGGATGAGGAATCGAAAGACGTAGATATACCATTGCCCTCTGAATCCATTGAGAGCAACCAGGAAAAATGAGAGCGCAAATGTGACCGCAGCGAGAATCTAGCGCATTAGATCAATCACCCCGATAACCCATACCTTAGCCATCTTGTTAACCTCCATTTCAAGCGTGCCCATCTTCGTCTCCGGCTCGCTAGTATTGAGCACAGCTCTGGTGTCCTTGCCCGTGTACACGACCAGTCCTACTGCTGATCCAGCAGCAAGAACCGTGTTGGCCCAAAGCACATTCTCGACGGATAGAGGTATGGAATTCCTCTCGATTGGGCCAGGTTCGGTTGAACGCAAGGTCAAAACGCCGTAGAATGTATGAATGTCCTTGATAGGTGGGTCGGCTGGACACATCAGCAACGCTCACAATACGCACACGTACCGCAAAGACTACCTTCCGCGCCGCCCACACCCTTCTCACCCATCGCCTGAGTTGAACCGACTGCAACCTTGAGCTTCCAGTCCGTTTCACCATCCAGCTGGTCGGTTCGAATGAAGCAGGTGCCTTCCTCCTCGCTCGTGGTCAACAATACCATGTCCGCAGGAACACGTTGGTTCTTCTCCAGCAAGACCATATCGCCGACTTTGATAGAAGAAGACGGAGTAGAACGAGTTTGCGGGCGAGGCAGGTCGGCCTCCTGGGCCATTGCTGGCCCTGTGGAATCGGCATGGGGAAGCAGAACCAAATACCGAGTGGAATTTGCCTCCTGGTCACGCTGGTAACGACTGAAGTCGTCATATGCTTCCTTGCCCATTGTCACCGCCAAAACAAATGCGAGAGGGGCCACATATGTGACAATGTAGCCTGCTCGGTCAGATGATCCACCAAGCCAACGGCACATACCGATCTTCAGCGCTGGTATAAATTGACTGAGGGCAACGACCAGAAAGTAGAAATTGAAAAAGAACTTGAACTGCTCGTAGAACACGATGGGAAGGAATGAGATGACGCTGTACTTTTGGTTGCGGATGAGGTTGGGCGGGAAGGACGAGCGCCAGCCTGTGCACCACATCAGTAACGCGTTTCGTTTGGCATTCATTGCCAAGGTCATTCATTGAATAGTTGACTGACCAGTCGAGGGGATCGGTATCACCCGAGAACCGCCAGTAGATTCAGTGATCTTGTTCACAATCTGCTAGCGTGGTGCATTCAGCTCTGGGAATGATTTCTCATTGCCACTCACAAGTTCGTCGGGAACACCTTCGGGCTGTCCGAGGAGGGCTTCGCTTTCCTCGCCTTCCATATCCTCTCGCTGGCTGGGGTTGCGACCGAATAAAAATGAACGGCCATCACTGGCCATCCCTTTCCGGCTTGGGGCTTGGGATGAAGCTGCGGCCTCGTCCTGGTCCAGGAGAGACATGGGCGATGGGGAACTGGGGCTCCTTTGGGATCGAGAGAACGTCGTCAAGGGATAGTCGCCGGTTGTCGGATCCGTCTGTTGCGAGTGCATTGAGAGAGCGAGAACGGGTGCCGTGAGAGATGTCGTCTCCACAGACCCGGGTCCAGGTGAAGTCTAGCCTTCTAGCCTGCTCGACGTTCGACAGTCGCGTAGAGGAAGGGTTAATGTAGTGGTGGCAAGGGGTGAGACGTTGGGCGCACCCCGTCGAGACAATCGAGACACCGCTGCAATACGCGTCACCGGAAGAGATCACGTGACGTCACCCCACCCACGCTGTCACCTGCGGCTATACTGTGGAACAAGCGTTCGTTGTTGCTTACAATCCCCCATCACCAGCGTAGCGTCCACCCACGTCCTCTTTCCAGTTTATCCCCCTTTTCCTGCCTTCCGTCCTCTCGCCCTCCTATCATCTCGTTCTCCCGTGCGCCGTAGCTACCATCTCCTGGCAGCACAACCCACTGGCTCCGTACCGCAACAGCGCCGCCTCAACACTGTTGTTTCCGTCCTTGATAACTGCAAGAGGTACGGTACAGCTCCGGCGGTGCCGAGGTTGCTGATGCTATAGTACTTTTGAGGGATTCAGTCTGAAGAGGTGGCCAGCAGGAGAGATGGATCGTCAGAACACACCGGACCTCGACTCTCACTCCAACTTGCGCACTCGCAGTTGGGTCAACCGTTTGGACGACAGCTCGGTGTATAACAGCTCCCAGTCTTCAACTCCGCTGCACCCTATCCAGCTTACAAACCCACTCCGACGCAGGTCTGACAGTTTATCATCTACATCTTCCTCGAGCATTAGCAATGTGGAGCTGCCCCACAAGGAAGACTGGGAGTCGAACGAGCTAAGGTCATGGGCCAAGGACGAGGTGGTCACTCTCAGTGGACCAAGCCCAATTCAGTCTCTCCCAACCGAGCTGCTTATCCACGTGAGGACTTCCGTATTGTCCCACGCCTGACACATTTAGATCTTTCAACATTTGCCGGACAGCCGCGACCTGGTGTCGGCCATGTTGGTCTCGAAGTCCTGGTGCTTAACCGCCTTTCCACTGGTTTGGCAAAGGCCTTTGCTCTCTTCAATTACACAGTTTGCGGCTTTTGCTCGTGTGTTGTCCATGACCAAGACCCTCCTTCCCTACTCGACGATCGTGCGGCGCCTCGTGCTCAATGGGTTTTCAAACCACCTTACCGACGAGCTCTTTGCCCATGTTTCCATTTGTCGAAACCTTGAACGCCTCACTATACCTTCCGCGGTCAATCTTACGTCCCGGTCTCTCAAGAATGTGTTTGGCAAGTTGCACGAACTCGTTGCAATTGATTTGAGCGGCGTGGAAGCTGTGGACGACGCAGTTTTGCACGTCATCATCAACAACTGCCCGCCGCTACAAGGCCTAAGCTTGTGCCAGTGCCCCAAGATTACCGACGAGGGGATATTGGCCGTCGCCTCAAAGCTACAAGGCTTACGCAGGGTGAGTGACATGTTATGGGAGAGATGTTTAACAGCTCCAGATCAAGCTTGACGATTGCAAGTCCCTAACGGATCGTTCAATCGTGGCCTTGACAAGGGGCTGCCCGCTGCTCATGGAGTTCGCCCTGGCACGGATGCCCCAGCTGTCAAACGACACCACCACGGCAATTTTCTTCAACTTGAGGGCCCTTCGGGATTTGCGCATGCCTGACAACGAACTCATTTCCGCCATCCCGCACTTGTTCTCGTTTGCGTGGCTTAACGAGACCCAGGTGCTCAAAGCAGTCGGCGCTTATCCCTGGTACCTCACTGGTACGCCTCGCCCCAAGGCCATGGCTCGTCAATGCCCTCGCCCACCCAACCTTGACATGGCGTTAGTTCGTCCTGTTACCACCTCGTTTGATCACCTGCGCGTAGTAGATTTTAACAGCTGCAAAGGTCTTAACGACCAGGCTGTTGACAATCTCATCGACAACGCCCGCCAATTGCGCTCCATTACCCTCACCAAATGTGTCAAGCTTACGGATGCGACGGTTGAAAGTATCACGAAACTGGGGAAACATCTTCACCACCTCCATTTGGGACATGTCTCGAGGTGCGCAACACGTGTGACATGTTGTTCTGTTCTGACTCGTAAACAGCCTTACAGACACTGCGATAACGAGACTTGCGCAAACTTGCACAAGACTGCGTTACATCGATCTGGCCAGTGAGTTGACATTGTTGAAGTTGCGTCCTCCCAAGCACTAATCTCTGCAGACTGCTCGTTGTTGACCGACGTGAGCGTTGTCGCTCTGGCGTCCAACCTCCCCAAGCTCCGTCGTGTTGGCCTCGTCAAGGTTACCAATATTACGGATAAAGGCATCCAGGCGCTCGCTGAACGCTATTCAACGATGGAACGCCTTCATCTGTCGTACTGTGACAAAGTGTCGGTCAAGACTGTCGCCTTTCTGCTCAACAGGCTGCCTCTTTTGACGCATCTGAGTGTCACGGGCATCAGCGTATTCAGGACAGCCGAGTTGCAACAGTTTTCCCGCGAGCCGCCCGACGTGAGTGAACATGCTGCCAACATGGCGCATGGACAACAACCCCTGACTGACACCTCTCAGAGTTTTAACTTACACCAGCGCGAAACGTTCTGCGTCTATTCGGGCCAAGGTGTGGCTGCCTTGCGCAGCTACTTGAACTCGCAGATGACCGAGTCTGCATCTGAAGGCTCCTCGACGCGCCGCGGATCCGAGTCATCTACATCATCCTCGGCACCTGTCGCCTACCGTGGAGGTCTGGATGAGTTGGCCGTGACCTTCCAAGCAGCGACCCCAGGCTGGGAGCAGTCGTCGTCCAGGGCTCTCGACTCGGTTGTCGACGTTGCTGGCAACCAATCCAGCGAAGCTGGAGCTTCAGAGCCTCGTTCTGCTGGTGGCGCGCCATTAAACCCCGACTTGTCATTCCTCTCGCTGTCCGAGGCAGCATCTCATCCTGATAACACGGGCTCAACTCGCGGACGACCTACTCGTTCCGAATCGACCCGTCTTGTGTGACACCAATCTTTTTCTTGTTGTAGCCGTAGCCAAAAACAACCCGTGTTACCTTTCCGTTGTGTTCTATGAAGTTTTACGTTTACACATGTTAGTGGTGGATACTCTGATGCGGGACATGTCCTGATAAAGCTGCAGAATACATATCAAAGCGGAAAAGCTTGAACAAAAGAGGGTTACGACATCCGTTCTAAAAAAGGTGGTTACTTGACCCTAGATAGCATGTTAGCCTTTGTCATAGGAATAATGTACGCTTGTCACTCACGCCTTGACGATGGGCACCACAATGATGACAATCAGGATGCAGACGCCGACCACGATGACGACACGCATCTTCATGTCCTTCCACCTGAAATAACGCGTTAGGAATGGTGCAGACATCGCGAGCTGCAATCCAACGTACCACATCTGCTTCCTGACGCGGCTAGCACCACGGCGGAAGCCCTGGGCCGACACGGCAAGGTTGTCTGAAGAAACGTGAGCCTCTTGCGCTAATTGGGGACCCCGCCCAAACACGTACCAGTCTTGTCCTGGAGCGCATCGAGACGCTCGCCGCGTTCGGCGACCTTGGTAATGTTCTGGTGCATAATGTCGACGGTCGAGTCGATCTGGGCCTGAATGTCTGCAATCTGTGCACATTGTTAATATTGACCGACACTGCCGGAATCGAAGGTCCCTCCCTCTTCTGTGTCTCTCTCACCTTCTGGTTCTGCGCTCCACCCTGCGCACCCGACGAAGAACCGCCGGCACCGGAGCTGGAGCCCGCGGGGATGTAGGGGTCATACGGCTCGGACGACCTGGAGGATGGTTAGCTGCTAGAAGAGACACGACCGGGTCCATGTGAACTGTGAACAGGCTGCAGACTACGTAGTACCCACATGATGGTGGTTGTTAGGGATGTCTGTGGGGAAGTGTCACAAGGATGTAGAGGAGAATGCGGTCAGAGTAATTTGTTTGTTTGAGGTAGGAGGAAGGTGGTTGTAAAGAGGGGGGCCTCGACGAGTAGTAGATGACCGACGGTGTTGATGGAGAAGCAATGGAGAGGGTCGGGGGGAGCGGAGGAAGCTGTGCAGGGCCAGTCGGTGCAGCACACGAGCGTGTGTGTGTGTGCGTGTGTGTGACACGACGCGGAGGGGGACGCGACGGAACCAAACCTGCAGCCGGTGACCGGTGGGTGGCAAACTGTAATTGAGCACCCCCTGGGTGTACAACGTACGTTTTGTCCCCGCTCACGTGGGGGGCGCTCGCCCGCGCGCCAGTCGTCATACCGTCACCGCCGTCGCGACTACGCCACTGGCCAATGCGCCACCCTGCACAGCGCGCAGCGAGGTTGCTGTACGTTGCTACACATGTGCATACGTGCATATACGCATCCCAGCCATGCCAGCCAGCAGCCATAGGAGATTGGCAGACGAGGTACATGGTACATGTGTTTAAACGCGTGTCATTTTCCATACACCTCCGGCCAGGTCGACAGCCTCTCTCGCTGTGAATCTATCATTCACAGCCCTGCTGTTTGTTGCACACGTAGTTTGCGTCAATGAGGCAAGAGACAACTTCGCGACTGTCCAGAGATCCAGAGAGCAATGGGGTACGGGGTATAGGTTGTACTGTGGTCAGCAGTTTGCCAACGTCGCATACAGGACAAAGGAACAGTCGAACAGCAGTGGTTGCCGCCACAGGCATTAAACGCCGCGAACCCGTCGCCGTCGTTGTTTGGTTTCAGGTACCGAGCCAGCTTCGTCACCTCATGTTCTGCTTTGAACCGTGACCCTCTCCTGTTCACCACCACTGCCACCACCACCTTGGTCTCTGGCGCTGCCAACATGCGCTTCAGAACAAGGATAACAAACGTCGGTCTACTGCACAGTGAGGGTTTCTTGCAGTCAAGGGGTTAAGAGCTCACAACGACAAGAAATCATTCGGTCACTCGCCGCCCTCGCCAAGGTGTGCGTCGTGCGCCTGAGTCCAGAAAAGGTCCACTTTATCATCCCTGGTAATGAAGGACGAGACGGTGTCCAGGTGTGGTCGTGAGTTACGTTACTGTGGCTTGTGCTGTATATATCGTGCCATTGGCTAACCGGACTTTGCAGGCAGGTCAAAGTGGTACGCCGCATTACACCTTCCCTTGTCGAACACGTTCTCACTCCCCAGCCCACGCTGTTCGACCACTTTCGCATAGAATCCAATGCCAACAATGAAATATGGCTCGAGATCAACCTCGACGCTCTCCTTAGGGTGCTTAAAAGCGCAGACAGCTCCAGTAGGGTCTAACCAAGTGTCAGCGCTGACCCAAAGGTGGATCCGGTGGCGACGGTGGACGGCATAACGCAGCCTCCTTGACAGAATCAGACGTCATGCTCAAGCTCAACAAACGTGACAACCGTGCCATCTGGGCGTTTGACATCAAGGGCCAGGTGAGAACCAATGCAGAAGAATAGCACCCTAACGAAAAGAGCGCCGGCGGCCACGCAATGCATATCACGCACGAAGTCGCCGTACACATTATCACGTCCAGGCGGCAAAGTGAGCTCACCGAACCTCTATGCCCTCCACCCGATGTACGTACATGGAAAGTCATGCAGTCCTGACGACAGCTTCATCTCGTTCTTCCCAACCTCGCCGAGCTTAAGACCATTGTTTCTCGTTTGGGCCACATGTCCGAGGACGTGACTATCTCAGCCAACCATGTGGGTCTCGAAATGTGTCCTCACTCTCTGATTGCCTCACCCAGCAAGGGACAATGGAACTCCGTGTGAAATCTAACAACCTATCGATGACAACGACCTGGAACAATCTAAGCATCCCGACAGCAACAGGTGAGACATGTAACCAACTGGGTTGGGCTAACTCGTTCATAGATGACGGCGCAGAAACCGACCCGCCCTCACCAGAGCACATGTTCAGCACGACTGTATCCATCAGAGGGTTTCAAAAGTTTCTCGCTAGCCATTACGTCGGAGGCATAGCCATTGCGTGTACGTCACCATTATGTGGTGCACTGGCCCGTGGACTAACAGACAGGTATATGTGAGGGCCATTGTGTGATTGCATACGTGTATATTGGTGGGTCTCGAACGTTAGGGGGGTTGGAGCTAACGACGAAGGCGAGGTCAACGAGGGCGGAGGAGTTTTGACATTCTTTATTCCTGCCAAGACGGTAGACTAGGAGGGGAAGCGGCATTACTGTGTAATAATATTAAGACTGTATGCATCGTTGCATGAGCGAGTGTGGAGCTTGCTGCAGCAATATTCGCTGATCGCCGGCAGAACGGCGCCGGATGGCGTCGAAGCCATTCTGCGTGGACGGCTCGCTTGCACTGGGCGATGACATCACGCCGCTGAAGTTCCACAAGTCAACAACTTGGGGCGGGTCGTAGCCTTGCCGCCTCGTCTCTTTTCCATTCCACCATACAGCACCACGCCATGGGCATATTCAAACATGGCCCCTCCGACTACCCGTCGTTTCTGTTGTGGCTGCTAGACGAGGTGAGTTTTGGATACAAACCAAGATACATACAGTACAAGACTGCTATTATACAGGTTTTGGCGCTGGGCACAGCCTGACTACTCTTTTCAGACCCATGTGACAGTCACCGCAGCCACGGCGCTCGTTATCCTCTGTACAAGAAGCGCCCACTCGGTGTACTTTGGGCTCGGTGCAGTTGGGTCCACGCTGATTGGTACGTTATAAGTGGAGAGGTACTCGAGATTGAAACGCTGGCACCGAGATCACGTCGTCTGATAGCACACAGCACGAGGAATCAAGCGCACGATCCGTCAACCTCGCCCACCCCCTCCATCAGAGAGCAAGCCGTCTCCGGTGCGGCCAAAGAAGACTTACGGGATGCCCAGTACACACTCGACTGCCATCGCCTTTTACTTTGTTTACCTCTGGCCGTTGTGTCCGATGGTGTTGAACGCTTGGGTCGAGAGGGCTGCCCTGAGCCTCGTCGGAGGCATGACGCTTTGGAGTCGTATTGAGCTAGGCTATCACACGGTCCCGCAGGTCGTTGCTGGCTCCACGGTCGGTGCTGTCAGCGCACTTGTCTGGTCAGCCTTGTGGAGCGCGTACCCTGCCATCCAGCCTGCTCTCCAGAACACCATTGACAACTGCGTCGGCCTTGTATTGTAACAGTCGAGTGATGATCATCCCCGTCCCCCCGTCCCCCCGTCCCCCGGGCGAAGCCTGGCGGGTGTATCGTACATGCATGGAATCACAACTGCTTTGCTTGTTTGACACTTGACTACTGACTGCTGTGGCTACTGACTGCTGTTCACATACTGCTGGCTCTGCCCATAACCACCGCGACGACCCCTACCACCACCACCACCACCACCACCACCACCACCACCACGCTGGCCTCCACCACGCTGGCCTCCTCCAAAGCCTCCTCCACGGCCATAGCCACCATAAGTGCGCATACCAGCACCAGCGTTGTCAGGTCCTCCAGCCTCGCCAAAGGTGTCAAAGTTGCGGTGACGCTCGTCCGCACGGCTGACACGCGACGTGTCGTTGCTGATGTTGTCGAAGAAGCTCGACTTGCTGTAAGCGGGCGCCTGGCGCTCAGGCCTGTCAAGGACGGGGGACTTGGCAATCGCGCTGGGGTGCGGCTGGAGCTCGGGCTCGCCGACCTCGACAGCCTCGCTCTCAGTCGCCTGGGGAACGTCGCCGGCATACTTGTGCGCATCGCGCTCCTTCTGGAAAACCTCGTTGCCCTTGGTAAAGTCAAACTCGGCGTCGGGGACAGCGGGCGGCTGTGGCTTTTGGCGACGACGGCTGTCCGCAAAGTCGGGGCGCTGGCCGCGGTCGGTAGGGGCATTGGAGGGAGCAGAGGCGACAGGCTTGGGGGGGAGAGAGGCAAGTCCAGCGGGTGGAGGAGCCTGGCGTCCAGGACCCGTCTGGCTCTGAGGACATGTCAGCTGAGGAGTGACTTGGAAATGGGTTGAAGGGGGGTTCAACGACCAGGCGCTTCCGAATCGGCGCGCGTTGGTGTTTGCATCAGTGAGTGAGGAATGTGTACTCACGACAGACGCCAGGATGGGGTCAACCAGCGCGTCATCGTTCCGAGGAGCCTGGTAGTTCTCCACAAGGGCGAGCGACTCGATAGAGTTGGTGCTGTTTGGGTCAGATGAGCTCGTTCATTCTATAACTCACTGGAAACGAACCCATCCCAGAGACACGTTGGAGCCGGGAAGGGCGCGCTGGCAGGGGCGGTCCTCGGTGCCGTGGTTGTAAACTGCGCCGGTCAGAACGGCAGGTCGTCGTTTACTTACCCTCAGAGAGACACAGGGTCTGGGTCTCCTGGTCGAGATCCTCAAGTACGCCAGAGTAGCGCACCTGCATCTTTGAGATGATCTGGAAGGGCTTGCTGGAAGCGGTTGTCAGCAGTGGCCAGTGGAAGTATGATCGTCAGAGTCAACTCGTGGACACCCGTGACTCACCCCTTGTACTGCGTGTAGTCCATTATGAAGCGATGGCTGGAGGGAGGTCAAATGGAAGGTGAGGGAGAGAGGAGTTGCCCTCAAGAAAGGGAGATGCTTAATGTGACGCTGTGAGGTAGAGGAGGGAGAAGAAGAACAAGTGGACGGAGAGAAGGCAGCAGGAAATGAGATCAGCGTCACATTTCAGCGAGCGATCAGACTCGACGGAGTCAAAACTCCCCCGTTATTAGCTCGTTATATAATCGTGCATACACATCTCTCCATATCTCCATTTGAAGTTCGCTGTGACGTATTAACCATACTGTATTGGCGGTTCTCGGACAAATGCGCAGAAAATATATTAACGCGACTGCTTTGGCGTGAGCGCGTGAGCGGCGACAATAACATGACGTCTGTCACCACCTTTCATTCTCATCTTCCTTCTCACCAATGCCGCGATGGGGCCCTTGACAGCCATAGGAGCCTCAGTGCTGCTCCTCGCGGCGGCCAGAGGCAATGTCGGCCGGAACCTATGGTATGTCGACCACCCAGCGCGGCTCACACAGCTGATCCTCCAGGACGCTCTTCAACCTGCTCGATACGCTACGCGCACTGAGGGAGGTCCGAGCCAACGGCCGCAGAGTAGGGGTGACTACCAGGAGGCGACTTATTCGCCAATGCCTCATGAGCTGGATTGTCTTTGTGGGTATGCGGCAGCCCCCGAGGCCATCCGGACCGGCGAACCATCGCAAGTCCCGTAGCGGCCAAGGTGTTTGGCCAGCGCTGACGGTACAGGTCGCCGCCCAGCCTGTCAGCCTCCTCGCAGACGCCCTCCTTTACTGGTTCCCGTTCTACAAGTCCTTCAAGATGGCTGCCATCCTCATATTTATTACATGGAGATCGCAGGTGGGGGCCCATTGCAAATGACAACGCTTACTTATTCAAAGGCCTCCAGCCTCGTCTACCAGAACTTTGTTGTCCCATTTCTTCGCCGCCATGAGCAGCACATGGACCTCACACTTCTTCTCTTTCATTCGGCCTTTGCCCTGGTTGCATTGTTCGTGATTCATCTTCCGTGGCAGACCGCCAAATCGGCCATGTCACACTTATGGTCATCAGCTCCATTCGACGCTCCTCGCTCTCCCGCACATTCGACAAGCGATCACTCTCCAAGACGTGCCACTCGGACCGATGGCGGCATCACCAGTGACGGTGCCTCATCCGACGAACTAGGCGCGCTCCATTCTGCCACTGCGTCAACACCTAGGAGGTCGCTACACGTTCCCGATCTGGACCACGCTCCTCGCCGTTCGCCGCGTCGGCCCTCGCCAGTGGTCTCCCAAGAGGCGTCATCTTCGTCCACTGTGGCTACTATCGCTGCACGCTATGAGCCCTTATTAGCGCCAACGGCGAAGCGTTCAGCGTCGGCCACGGGATCGAATGGATCAACGTCGCGTCCTCCACCTGCCGTCCACCGAGCACCATCAGCAGCGGCACACAAGGCCCCTGCTCAACAGCCGGGACCATCAGTAACTTTGCGGCCTGTCACTCAGCCTTCGAGGCAAGCCGTTCCCCGCCTGCGAAAAGACCAACGCCTTGTTGCTCTTCCTTCTCCGCCAACATTCCTTCCGAACGAGGAGCCACCAGCAACTGTCCAATCCGGAGCTGTAATGTCGGGGCCACTGCGAGCTGTTGATAGCTCCAAAAGGAAGTTGACTACCGGTAAAGGACCGCGCAAGGCGACACAAGCTCGACCACCCTCACCAGAAGCCGGACCCTCCCGACCAGTGCCTCGTGCGAAACGGGCACGGGAGACGGGCGACGACGGCCCTCCTGGACGCACTGCAGTGGGGTCTAAACCTGTTCCTCGTACAACTTCACACGCCTCCGCCTCCACCCTGCCAAAAGCCCGCACCAAGCCGGGAACGACCGCCAAGAGTGTGACTGCCAAACAGGCGGCGACGAGGCGAACGCGATCGACGATAGGGACGCAGCAAGATGGCCAGCCATCCGCGGCAAAGAGACCTCGTACGACCAAACAACCCAAATAGGTCACAACAATCGCAAGGCAGCCGTTTTGAACACTACTGTGGATGTAGCATGCTTTGTACAACGCAGTCTGACTGAGGAGCAATGTATACAAGACTGGTAGATTACAGAGAACACGTAGATGTATGTTTATTATTGTTAACCTGTTGTCGTCGAGCCGATACCAACTAAATACGCATTAGTTCGTCACGCCAGGTCGGGCTCAAGGGCCTACCAGGCGTGTACGACAAAGACCCGAGGGCGAGTCCACTCGAGGCCTGAGTTCGCGACAGTGGGCGAGGGGGTGGAGTAAGGCCGACCGGGACCAGCCCCCCGAGGCGCTTGGTTGAACGAAAGGGGCTAGAGGGAATGGGCTGAGGTTTGTTGAAATATGCGTCTGGTGTTTGCAGTGTGCTGGTGTGGGAGTTGCTGGAGTCCTGAGAAGACTGAGAAGAAAACGAGTCCTGGCGACTTGATCCGATTCGCGCCCTCTCCTTAGGAGGAATAATGTGGGCTACGACGGGGCTTGTAGGAGGTCTGACGTCCATGTCGGCGTCCAGCACAGTGGCCGGGTCCAGCGAAAGGTCTACAGCGGAGGCGGAGCTCGGTTCCCGGCGTGGCTCTGCAGCTTCCTCGATGCTGTCTCGCCAGACCGACGGTCTGCTGCGATGCATACGTCCGCCGAGCGACTCTGGTGGTGACATAGGCACAGGTGGTAAGGGTCGCAGGTGGATGGGGACACTGTTGGAGTCAGCGCAGGTTCTCAGATAGCACACCTAAAAAGCAACATACCTCGGCGTGCCCAACTCGTCACTGTCCCGATTGCTGAGGGTGCGGAAGATCTGATTGAGCTCGGCCCATTTGCCTTCTGTGTTGCTTGCACGGCTAGTGACGGACGAGTTGCGTCGGAGGCGAGTGGGAAAGCCGAACCGAGGGGCCTGGGGAGGAGGGGAAGTTGGGGCGGGCCCAGGGGACAAGACGGTGGAAGGAGACAACGGAGAGATGAAGGACGAGTCGCTCACGAGGCGAGTACGTTGTGATGGAGTGCTGCAAGATGTGGCAGGTGCAGAAGGTTTTGGCGTTCTGCGAGGCGAAAGACTCAACGCTGTGTCGAACCAAGGTCCAGCCGCCGGAGTGTCGTGAAAGAACTCCTCAAGCACTTCCAGGGGGTTGAGGGGGCCCTCGTCGTCGTAGTCGTCGTCATAATACTCGTCGTCCCAATACGCTGACAGAGGGCGGGCTCCAATACTGGCGCGTCCCTTGTTGTGCCCAACCGATGACGGGTCGTGACCGTGGCCCATCGAGTATAGACGCTCCTGTTTGGTTGCGCGTGGCGTCGAGTACTGGTTCTCCGAAAACCGTCGAACGCGCACCTCGTTGGACTCAGGTGCCGATCCAAAGTGAGAGGACATGGGGCCATGGTGGTCGTAGTCAAAGACGTGATTTAGACCACGCTGGATAGGGACCTTGCCTGGCTCCGGTCTGGCAGGCTGTGCCATCTGGTTTGCTGATAGTGGTCTCCCTGGGACGTGAACAGGAAACGCCATCTCCCTGGTTTGTGCTGAGCGAACCGTTGAGGCTTGTTTCGGGGCGACAAACGACGCTTCCTGCAAACGAGGACGCGCCGACACTGTTGTGCGAGTCGATTTGTTCTGAGTAGCGCTGATGGTCACCACAGCCTTTTCGACGCTGCCCGCTGCGTGACCGACGCTGCCGTAGTGAGGGCGCTGGCGGTCTTTTGAGCTAGGTTGCTTTTGCTGGTGCTTTTGACGCTGCTTGCGCGAGAAGAGACCTCCCGAGAACAGGAGGAAGGATGTCCTTCGGTCGTCGCCCATGCCGACGTCGATGGAAGAGTGGAAGAAGCTGACGAGCTGGCGAGCTGACTGAGGGGGTTACATTTGAACCAGTCGGGGGCGTGTCTGTGTGGTGTGGGCGATGGTGGCCAGTGCAGAGGCGAGCGAGATCAAGATTCTGGTCCAGCCAGTGGGTGGTCGTCGTCGTCTATCCGATTACTGACCTGTCCCTGCCTTTTACCGGCCACCCGGCCCGCCGCCACCAGGTGCACGCTCGACGCACTGGCCGCACTGGCCACCACCACGACCACCCACGCCCAAAGCGGGCTGACTGCTGACCGTCTCCCATGCTCCCATGCTCCCAAGCCCACCCAGACGCCCCCCTCCCCTCTCCTATGCACACGCACCTCCAGTCAGGCGCCCGAGGCCGGCGCAAAGAAGCTGGCAAACTGGGCCTTTACACGGCGTTTAAAGTTTTTGGTCTGTCCCGGGAGAGGAGGCGTTGATCGTGTGCGGTGTATGGTCAGAAGCATACAAACGCCAAATTGTAACTTGGACAAGGGAAATCGACGAAGGAGTGGCCAGGTATGATAACAATGTGCCTTCCAAGCTCCCTCCACATGTATCACTTGGGTGTAGGGGGTGTGCCCAGCAGGTGCAACAGGTCTGACCACACGTGAAATTGCCGACTGTGCGCGGCGCAGCTTGTACGTTGTACGTTGTAGATATCGATGGACATGTGGAACACGGCGGCCCAGTTTCTGCGAGCGACGCCAGGGCATGTGTTCGGTGCTTGTTTCAGATGTGTTCCAAATGGTACTAGATGCAAGAGCTGCGCGAGCTGTCGCGGCTGAAACAGCATTCTAGGACTCGCGCAGATACCAGGCAGCTCTCGTACTGTACATGGCTCCAGTAGGCCAGTAGTTGCTGCACCTGTTGCCATTGCAAAGCTGCCGGGTCCGCACCGCCCATCCAACGTGTACCCAACGCGGACCGGCCTTCAAGCTTTTCCCTGCGCACGGTCGACAGCCATTCTGGCCAAAAGCAATCGGCTTGAGAGGGATATGCATGTGGATAGGGCTCCCAACTCATACGACGCAGGGCTTGACAAAACGCCACTTATGGCCTCAACCGACTGACTGTATGAGGGTGTGTTGCCCGATATTGCGCAGTTAATAGCCGAGCAGGAGGGCACGCTCATTAATCACTGGATCCAGTGAATCCCTGGCGTCATCGGGTCCCAGATCCAATACCTCTCACGATCCATGTTGTTCTACGAAATCGATTATTAATCGACTATGGTTTTCAAGGAGGTTGCCGTTGTGCAACAGATTAACAGAAAGAGATGAGGCGTCACTGGATCACTGGTCAAAGCACTCCGTTGCCCTTTCAGAACAAGTCAAGAGAGACACTTGCACGTCACCATTGCGAGCAGAAAACCAGGCGATAAATGTATCCTTTGAAGGGCATTTTTAAGATATTGTAACCGAGACTGCACATAGCTTTCGGATGGCCGATGGCGCCTGTGTCAAAATCGGCAACATAAAACCATAACTGAAAATAGTAGGGTGTGATTAGCTACGTGTCTGGTGTGCCGTACTGCAAGTGCACCCCAGTTCCCGCCATCCCCAGTTAACCAAGTCAAGACCATGCTAAGTTATCAAGTTTGTCTACCACGCAGAGCTAGATACTCCATGGCACCGTCCAGTAAGTGGTACAGTACAGCCCAATTCCCTCCCCCCCCCCCTTCTGATTCTCTGAGGGCTACGAGCTGTACGCTGTCGACAGGAAGCAGACGTCGCTCACGCAACAGCCGGAAATCCATTGTCCACTGGTATTATCTCTCCAGGTTACAGATCATGTTCCGTGACAGACACTGGAGTGGACTGATGCGGGTCACCGCACGTTGATCACTCACCAGCTGCTGATGCAATTGCCACAAAGCATCACATCTCGGCCCGGGCATCTCATGACATGCATGGCACGGCGGTACAGACGTGATACAGGTTTGTCACATCTCGGTCCAGGGGGTCCACTGGACAGTGTAATCGGCCTGAGAGATACTGAACGGGGTTTGTCAAAGCTCATGCCACAAGAAGAACCATCTCCGCGTCGACAACATGCGACCTTCATAGTACTGACGGGGTGGTGGTATGTACATACTTACATGCCGTTTAGCCCCAAGTGCCCAGGTACCCGATTCCCCCGCCTTCGTTATCAAACTTCTCCAGTACAACGGGATCCGTAGTGTTACAGATTGCAAGGAGTTCACATGCTCACAAACTACGACGCACACGCCAAGCCCAAAGCTGTGCTGGAGAGGAGCAACACCAGGCTGCTTCGCGCCGCTCATCTACTGTACGTACGAATCCAGTCAATTCTGTGATCAGTGGCTGCGTGCGAGTGGAAGGCTATCCCAGCACGGCCGCAATGACCTCAGAGCGGCGCAACTGCCATGTCCTTTAGCTGAGGCACAGTGCGTGTTCTATGCAGAGTGCTGCTTCTGAACTACATAGCGTCATTTGCTTAGATGGCAGTAGTTGCAATACTGTTCAACAGGTCGGGTCTACGGTATCTATGGGGCCACAACCGCAAAAACCTGGCTATACATGGTCATCTGGTGGCCGGCGACGGCGACGCGACTCACAATCCCACGAGCTGCGTGCCTTGGCCCGGCGATACGTACAGGGGATTCCGTATCACAATGGCACACCCGGTTTGTCCATGATCGTCTCCCGCCGCGTCCAGTGTGGCACGATCTAGGACGAGCGGGCGCGGGAAGCCGTTTCGTTGGCGACGAGCGACCAGCCTGCTTAGTGCAGGAATATAAGAGCTGCAGAACCGAAGCAGAGACGCAACAACTGGCCCCCCAACTTCTCTCCTTTTCTTCACAGCAGTCAGCCCGCAACCGCAACTAATATGCGCTTCTCCCTCGTGACCATTCTTGCCCTCCCGGCTCTCGCCTATGCCCAGGACACTTCGCCCAACGCCGGAGGCGCGACCGACGCATCGAACGACACCCCTACCGAGGGAATCAACACCGCCTCGACGCCGTCGGGCCAGGAGCGGTCCACTGAAATCATTACGACCTTCGTCTCGCACAGCGTGCCAACCACCGGCAAGCCTACTGCCACTCCTACGGTCACTCCTACGGTCGACACTGCCGTCACGGTGGCCACTAGCCTTACAACTGATCCCACGGGAGCCATGGGGCAGACAGCGGTCTCACCTTCTCCTTCTGTTGGAGGAAGCTCTTCGGGCGGAGCAGTCGGCGGATCGTCCATCGAAAACAAGGCTACGGGCGACACGAATGCGACTGGAGCCGCAACCTCACCTGCCACGTCGCCGACCTCCACCAATGGCGCTCAGCAGAAGGGTATCGCCGGGGTTGTCATTGCCGCTGCGGTGTTCGCGGCTGTCATCTAAGCGTTCCCGACGGCCCCTCACACTGTACATAGAGACGCTCCCCCCCATAGTATTAGTCAACGCGGGTGCATCAACTACGGCACTACTGCCACCGCCTCTTCTGAAAGTTCCTCTTCACCGGTCTTGGCCTTTTTGCGTGACAAGAGTTGTTCGCGGAGTGCCTTGCGTTTACGCTCGGCGATCAACTTGTCGCGTAGTTCCTTGGCCCGTTGCTCGCTGTCGGGAGGCGGAGTGGCCGGGGGTGGAGTCTCCGCAGATGCATCCGACACGATGTCACTCACATGTCCCTTGGCAATTGCCAAGCGCTCAAGCAGGCTCTGTCGTCTCTCGGCTGCACCCTTGATATTGATGCCAGCAGCTGGGATAGCAGGATCCAGTGTCAATCCGTGGTCCACCGCGAGAGCAGCCGCACTGGCGGCCTCGCGCTTCCTCTCCCTGGCGCGCGCACGCTGTTCCTTGCGTCGTCGCCGCTTGTCCCTTCGTCCAACTTCGGCGGCGTACTCTGGGTCCACCCAAGAGTCGGCTTGGTCCCAGCGCCGCTCGCCTCGTGCTGGCTCAGGGCGGAATATGTCGGAGCGTGTGATGTCACGCGAGCGGGACCGCCGGCGTCTTGATGGCGAGCGCGAGTATGCTGACGAATCGTCACTGGAGTGCGAGCGCCCGCGGGACTCGGAACGGCCAGAACTCGTGGCGCTGAGCGAGTGCGATGACAAACGACCTCTTTGAGCCTCGAGGAAAGGTCGGCTGGGTTGTAGATCGTACTGCACAACCTCATCGTATGCGGCTAGCTCGGCGTAGGGCGACCGCAAAAAGGCGTACAGCTCGTGAGCCAAATGTTCCGCAGCCTGTGGATACGTCTCGTCGACAAGCGGCTCCAGGAAGCGCACGCTCGCTTCCGATCGGACGTCAACAGAGCGGAGGAATGCGACAATGTGGTCAACGAGGCCGTCGACGTCGTCGGGTGGGGCCCACACACGCAGCTCTCTGCGGAGGAACAGGCGTGCACGCTCGGCGGTTGCTCCGTCCTTCGTAATGTCGCGGGGGGACGGGTTGGCTCGGAAGCCTGTGTAGCCATTACTTGCAACATGCTTGGCGAACAGTCCGCGCGCATAGACATCTCTCCGACGAGCCACTGCTGCCTGCTCGGCGCGCCAAGCGTCCTTGCGTGTCGGAGAGGGAGAGGCAACGCGGCGACGCGCAAACGGGCGTTCGGGGAGGGGAGGGAGAAAGAACTGGAGCGTCAGCATCGTAAGCCTACGCAAGCCCACCTTTGTCGGCATCGCAGAGCCGAGGTCGTGCAGGAGGCAGTCGGACATTGGTGCGTTGCAAAGCGGACATCGTCGCGACTGGTTGGCCCACACACCTATGCAGGTAAACTGCATGTCAGTGGTCGTCCAAGGTTACAGGAGGTACAGGAGACTCACACAGAACTCGTGTCCACACTCTCCTGCTGCTGTGCGATCCACGAGCGTTGTAAGGCAGATGCAGCAGCGCTCCTTGTCGGCGTCCTCGTCAACAACATTGTCGGCCGCAGCGTGGGTTGGGCCCGCGACGCTTGATGGCCCAGCCGCTGCATTGGACATCGGAAGTGGTGTAGCTAGGGAGTCAGCACTTGCAATCTATAGTACAGGTTACGAAACTGACGAAGCTGAGCGGGCGACATGGCTGGCTATAGCTCTGTTGGGTGGGTTGGAATGGGAAGGGCAAACAAACTGGGCCAGCCGTAAATGACGTGATGGCGAAACGTAATGACCGGCTGTGTTTTCGAGCCAAGCCGTAAGCCGTAAGCTGGGGGTCGTATGGGTGATTCGGTGCGCGAAGCTGTCAAAGTGGGACCTTGACGTGTCTGATCTCTGAGAGTGTGGGTGTGTGGGTGTGAACACGGCTGGGAGAAAAGTGGGCGAAGCAAAGTCGACGGTCGGTGTGTCTATGCGAGATCCCATAGACTGGGGCCCGATGCGGCGGCGAGAAGAGAGGCCTGTGCGTTCCCGGTGTCCCGCCGAGAGGTGTGGCCAGTGGACCGCAGTTGCAACGCCGCCAAGCCCCAGGCCCGCAGGACCGCTGGCCGGATTCGAAACACGGACCACGCGTTGATGCTCCCGTCCGCGCGTCCGCACGTCCGCACGTCCGCCCGTCCAGGACGGCCACACGACGTGACCCTCACCATGTGGATGCGACCGGATGGCGCACAAACGCATCGCTCATTCCGGCTCCAAACTCTGCTGCTGTGCCGGGCCCGGTCTGGAAAGTGTGCAAACATGTGCGCCGCGCTGTGTGTGGCCATGATGCCAGTGGGACACCTCATGGACCATGGGGACCTTATGGACGCAGATGAGTCTACCCGCCTCTCTCGTCGAGAGGGTGCCATGGTACACAAACGGCCATCCTCCAATTGGCCACTGCTGCTCCTAGACGCTTTACTCGGCGCCGGTCCGAGCAGCCGCGGTACAGTGAACCCTGTTCATACACGCAATGGCGACCGGCGCCGCCCCGCAGCCACTGGCGACTGGCTCTAGAAGCAATCGCCGACACTCCGACAAGCGCACAAAAAGACAGCGCCTAGCCACCCAGAGCAGCACGGAAAGACAGAAAGACGGGCGCCTCGTCGCCAACCGTAAGCCATCCAAGACCTGCCAGTCTGGCATGACCTATCCCTCTTGAGGCCAACTGTTCCACCGTTCACCGGCGGAGACGGTGTGCTGCTTTTGAGGTTATATCCCACGACCGGCAAGCCCTGCATTGCGAACGTTGCGCTCCCCTATCTTCGCGCCCAGCCGTCCTCTTCCACTGCGCTTGTATTACAAAAACTATACGGGTTCTTCCTTAACAGTGGGCTCAACTCCCTCAGTTGGCTCCATTTTCACAGCTTCCACTTTGACGTCCTCCTCGTACGCAATCTCAACCTTGGGTCTGCCGTTCACTTCATCCTCTGCAGTGAACGTGTATGCAACTTGCTTGCGATTCCCAGCATTGACGGCCACACGTGAAGGACAGAGCTTTTGCTGACCGAGCAGACAAATATCGCAACGGGGCCCGACGGGCAGGCAAATGACCTTACTGTCAACTTCCTTTCACACAATGTTTCGTGCTCACCTGACCAAATCCCACGAGCATTGGGTTGATAGGCTTGTGCAGCTCAGATGGAAGCCACGACTCGAGATTGATCCTGAGAGTGAGCACTGTATAGCGGTTTTCAACCTGCCTGGTCTCTTCTGGCGTCTTGGTTGGCGGCTTGTGCCACTTGAGGCGGTTTGTGATGCGATGTACGTGGACGTCTACACCAATACCAGCATTGCTTATCGTGTCAGCCACAGCCTGTATTCTCAAACCCACATGTCCCAGGCAACTTGAAGTGCCAAGAAGCCCATTTTTGGCCCCACACCCTTGAGCTCACATAACTCCTCAATGGTCTGGGGCACATCGCCTTTGCCGTCTCCTGGTCGTTCGAGGAGCTTGCGCGCTGCTGCCTGAATATACTCGGACTTTCGACGCCAGAAGCCGACCTTGCTAATGGCTTCGGACACAATGTCGGCAGGAGCTATGGCAAGCGTTTCTGCGGAGAGCCCTCCTGGTAGAGCGTTGTGCAGGTTGAGCACGGCCTGCGACGTGACGGCGTCTTTGGTCTGTGATGACAGCATCAGAGATATGAGGACGTGGAAGCGAAGCGTCTGCTGTCAGCAATGTTGAACGCTTCATGGTCCCACCTTTGCATCCAGTCCCTCGGCGGTTCGCGGTCGCTCGCAACCCCTGCACCATTAGCATGGCCTCAGCCCGCCAGAAAGACATACATGGTGTCGACTGGTGCATCGATGCCAGCTCGCATTCGCTCAATCAGCGCATACTGCTCGCGCCACTTGGCAGGTTCGGGGTGCGCCTTTGACCTCTTGGCCAAGGGAAGACCTTTCTTGGGCGTGGCCGAGCCAGAGGAAGGCAGAATCGGCGTGGTGTCCTCCAGCTTGACAAGTGGTTCGTCGTCCTCTGCCTTGACTGATGGCGTCTTTGGTTCGAGTTTGACCCTTTTTCTGGGTGGCGCAGCAAATGCATAGCTGGAGAGATTTAAAGAGGTCGTCGTCTCATCGTCTGCAGTGCGCGTGGTTGATCGTGTTGACCGACGCAGTGAGGTGTAGGAAGAGCTCGACGGCAGGTCTGGCTCAGCCTTGACTTCTGAGATGAGCGAGACGCGTGAGTTGACCGTTGAAGTCGTCGCCTTGAGCAATGGAGGCGCCATTTTCGAGCGCAAACAAGCTAACACAGTCGTTCGTCGCAGAATTTTGACAATGGAAACGCTTGTTCCGGACGATGGTAGAGTGCAAAGTGGGCAGTTGAAAGCAAGGCAGACACGCGCGTTGCGTGCGGTGGGTGTTTTGACTGGGATGGACTCAGGTGACGACTTTCCCACGGTCGAACATCTGCCTTCAGAAAAGTCTTGCGGTCGCTTGTTGTGACCTCTCCGGACTCATCGTCCTTCTCCTCGTCGTTCTTGCACGCACTTTCCAGCAGACTTCAGAGGACACCGCCCTCTGACAGCTTGACAGCTCAACAACCATGGCCTCTCCATTCAACCTCCTTACAGCGGGAGCCCGTTTCGACAAGTCGCGCTTCCAAAAGGACATTCAGCTCTTCGACGTGAGTAACCCCCATCCATGCCATGTCGCCTCCAGCTGACCCCCGTAGAAAAAGGAGAAGACCAAGAGCAAAGGAAAGGGCAAGGCAAAGGAAACCTCTTCAGCCACCCTCCCGCAGTCTCTCAACTTCTTTGGAGACCACTCCGCCTCGGCGCCCAAAGCCGCTCCCGTTGACGACGAGTCGGACTCTGAGTCTGACTCGGACGCCGAATCGTCTACGTCCCACACGTCCATCCCTGCCCCGCCCAAGCAGAAGATTACCATCACCGGCCCCGAACCCCTTCCTTCTTCCCTCTCCACCGAGTTTGACTCTCTCTTCACCTCATTGCCTGAATCCTCTCTCAAGCGACCACTCTTGCGCGCGCTGTCCGATGCCAACATCCACTCGCTCTGGGGTGTTCAGTGTGCGGTCGGTGGCTCGCTTCTCGCCGGCAATGACACGATGTGTATTGCCCCTACCGGTTCCGGAAAGACCCTCTCATACCTCCTTCCCACTCTCGTGTCGCTCGACAAGCCTGCGCGCAAGCTAGTCGCTGAGGGTGAAGGCAAGGGTATTCGTGCCGTTGTCCTCGTCCCCACTCACGACCTTGCTGTTCAGATTCACGGTGTTCTCAAGGCCATTACCGCCAATGGCCGCTGGCGCTGTATGGTTCTGAGCAAAGCCACTCAGACCGCTGTCTGCGAGTCGGCTCCAGGAAGCGTGAAGCTGGAGGCCGGATCGGATGACGAGGCCGACAGTGACGCCGAGTCGACTGGCAGTGTGAACGAGTTTGCAACCAAGGCCTCGGGTACCGGTCTTGGCATTGACGTGCTCATTGCCACCCCCGAGAGGTTGCATCATCTGCTTGAGCGCAAGCAGGTGTCTCTTGCCGAGTAAGTACCCCTCGTCTTTTCAGGCAGCATCCAACTGACATTTCAGCACCCGCCACCTTATTCTTGACGAGTCTGACCGTCTGCTGTCACCCGATTTCCTTCCCCAGGTCGAGCCTGTTGTCGAGGCATGCACAAACGCCAAGGTGCAAAAATGTCTGTTGTCCGCCACGATGCCCGCCGGTGCTGAGGCCCTCGCTCGTCGCTGGCTGAAGGACGCCGGTGTCCGCGTTGTTGTTGGCCTCAAGGACTCTGCCGTGACGACCGTCGACCAGTCGCTCCTGTATGCTGGTTCCGAGGCAGGAAAGCTTCTTGCGCTGCGCAACCTCATCGCTGAAGGCGGTCTTCCCTACCCGTCGCTCGTCTTCGTTCAGTCGATTGAACGCGCAGACGAGCTTGCCAAGGAGCTTGTTCTTGATGGCGTGCGTGCGGAGGCTGTCCACTCGAGTCGCGGAAAATCCAAGCGCGACGCCGCTATTGCGGCTTTCCGCGCCGGTACCGTCTGGGTGCTTGTCGTCACCGAGGTGCTCGCCCGTGGTATGGACTTCCGTGGCGTCAAGGTGGTCGTCAACTACGATTTCCCGCAGACTGTCCAGAGCTACATCCACCGTATCGGTCGTACTGGTCGCGCTGGTCGTCCAGGCAAGGCTGTCACCTTCTTCACTATCGAGGACGGCGCCTACCTCCGCACGATCGCCAATGTGCTCCGCGCTTCGGGCTGCCCCGTACCCGAGTACACACTTAACCTCCCAAAGCCGTCCAAGAACTTGAAGCGCAAGCTCGCCAAGGCACCGATCAAGCGCAAGGCTGTTGGTGGCGGTGGTCGCGATGTGGCGCGTGAGCAAGCTCGCAAGAAGCGTGCCATGGTGGAGGCGAGCAAGCGTCGCAAGGGAAAGGAGGGCAAGGACGAGAAGATGGACGACGAATAGACAGAGTGTTGCAACTATAGAGACCACATATGCACCCATTGGCATCCATGCTTGCGTACAAACCCATAGTCCTTGCTACACCATCTATGTGGACACGACAAACTGCCTCGTGCCATCATTGCCAACCCTCCAAAATCACCAAGCTCCTACTCGTTGGCTACCCACTTCTCCACAACGACCCAGTCGTCGCCGCCTGTCGCCTTCATCTCTTTGATCAACTCGTCGTACACCGCCCACCACCAGGAGTGCAGGTCATCGTAGTCGGTCATGCTGGACTGGTCTGGAGTGCTGCGTACAGCCTCCAGCAGGCCGTATGGAAGGGGGGGACGTCCGTGACCATTAATAGCAGGAGTGACGAGGTCGCGTGTGATTGCTTGGGAAGGACGCTTCGACCATGGCTTTTCCAGAATGTAATGCAGCAGGCGCACCTCGTCGTCTGCCCAAATGTTCTTGTGTACCGCACGCTCAGTCTTGAGCGAGTTGGCCCACCAGGGAAGGACACGCCATTTGCCGCGGAACACCTCGGCGAGGACATCCTGGTCGGGGAACTGGGCATCCGCAATTGTGGGGGAGGTGTTGAGGTGGTCGACAAGACGGTCCATAATCTGCGTCGAGGGGCGGAGGACAACCACGCCCGAGTTGAGCAAGTGGGCAGTACGAGGCGCGTCAGGCTTGGGCTGTGGGACATTGTGGAGCTCAGTCGGGCGGGACTGATGTGACAGCGAGCAGTTTGCCGGAACCCAGTCGGCCGGGTAGTGGGGGAACTTGAACGGGTTGCAAGTGCACGCCGGTGACGCTGCAATCTCGTCCTCAGCGAGAGGAATGTCGAACAGCTCGTCCATACCGCGCAGGAAGATTGTGTCGGCATCAATAAGGATGAGGCGCTCAAACTGGGCGAGGCCAAAGACTTGGAGCTTTGTCCAAGTGTCATGGAACCGATCAAACTTGGCGTCAAAGCCGGCGTGCGCACCCTCGGCAGGCTTGAGATGATCAATGTCGATCACCTCCATGCCACGTCGCCGGATGACGGCACGGTGTTCCTCATCCAGCGAGTCGGTGGCAAGGACGACGAGCGGATACGCCGAGACGGAGACGAGGGTGCGGTGGAGCGCGAGGAGGCCTTTGTTATCAGCTCGAGTAGATAGTGGTGATTGGCCTGAACGTACCAGGAACATAGTTTGGGCGCGTGACGAGGGCAGCCCACGCTTTGTTCGGGGAGGACATTGTTTGTGGTGTTGCGGAGAAAGCAAAGCGCAAGAAACTTTCGGCGCACGTTGTTGCGTTCCGTTCTGTTGCATCGTACCGTCTCGGCGTCGGCGACTCCATTCCATGCCAATGTCGCCATCGCAGAGACACCCCATAGCCCCCCACACCCCCGGTTGACTCCGGATGACTCGTCGCCGGTTACGTAACATTAAATGATTACCCTCGGTGACCTTGAGATTATCAGTCGTAGGGCTGTCGTCAGCCACAAGACTCTGGCGGCGGACTGGACTGGTTGGGCTTGTGGGCTGGTGGGCTTGTGCAACACAGCATGTGAACCAGCACCTCGTGCTCCGCGCAGGCCAGATGGGCCTCTGGGTCAGCCGCACATTTATGCCCACCCTTCTTTAACCCGCCGTCGTATAGCACGTATTGCTCTGGCGCTTCTTCCGTTGTCGGTCAACTCGGAGTCGGTGTGTTATCGGCGAAAAAACACACTGGCCGAGAATACTCCATCCCGACGGGGCCATCGGTCCGGCACGAACAGGCTGTCACATGTTGGCATGTCATATAGGCTGGGCAGAGACGTGTATATCGGACCCCAATGCCCACCAACTACTCACCCATCTACTGGATTATACACCATGACCAAGTCTGCCACTGAATTCCTCAAGGTTGAGGGCAAAAACATCGTCGTCGATGGCAAACCCATTATCCTAAAGGGCGCCGGTTTGGGCGGATGGAGTGAGTCATTTCCATAACATCGAGATTGACAAATAAGTGAACATGGAGAACTTCATCACTGGATACCCTGGCCACGAGTACCAGGTCCGCGCTGCTCTCAAAAAGGTGCTTGGACAGGAAAAGTACGAGTACTTTTTCGACAAGGTGAGGGAAAGCCGCTCCGCAACGCCAACTGATTCCAGTTCCTCGAGTACTTCTTCACCGAGGAGGATGCCAAGTTCTTCGCTTCGCTTGGGCTCAATTGCATTCGCCTCCCCGTCAACTACCGCCACTTTGAAGACGACATGAACCCCCGTGTCTTCAAGAAGGAGGGGCTGAAGCATCTTGACCGCGTCATTGACCTCTGCTCCAAGTATGGCATCTACACTGTCATTGACTTGCATGCTGCTCCCGGTGGGCAGAACGTTGACTGGCACTCGGACACTGGAAACAACCAGGCTCTTTGTGAGGAATTTGCAGTGTGATTTAGAGCTGACTCCAGTCTGGGTTCACAAGGACTTTCAAGACCGCACCATCCTCATTTGGGAGGAGCTCGCTCGTCACTACAAAGACAACACCTGGGTTGCTGGTTACAACCCCCTGAACGAACCTACCGACGAGGAGCACGTACGCCTCCTGGACTTTTACGTTCGCGTTGAAAAGGCCATTCGTGCCATTGACCCCGACCACATTCTCTTCCTCGACGGTAACACCTTCGGTGCCGACTTTAGCCACTTTGGCGAGCCCCTCCCCAACTCGGTGTACGCATGCCACGACTATTCGAGCTATGGGTTCCCCAACCCCCCCGAGCCTTTCACAGGCACTCCAGAGCAGATTGCCTATCACGAGAAGCAGTTTGCACGCAAGTGCGACTATATGGCAAAGATCGCAGGGCCCATCTGGAGTAAGTCCTCCTGGTGATTCTTGTCAACCATCTGACCTTGGCAGACGGCGAGTTCGGTCCAGTGTACCAGCAGGCCACGGACGGCATTCCTAACTGGGAGAAGATCAACGAGGAGCGCTACGCTGTCCTCAAGACCCAGCTCTCAATCTATGCCCGCTCCAACGCGTCGTGGTCCATCTGGCTGTACAAGGACATTGGTTTCCAGGGCATGACCTATGTCAGTGAAGACACTGCCTACATGAAGCTGCTAGCCCCGTTCCTCCAAAAGAAACGAGAGGTTGCTGCCGACTCTTGGGGTTGCGACATTACGCCCGTCAAAAAGGTGTTTGAGCCCTTCGTCGAGTGGCTTAGTAAGGCCGCGCCATCCACGGACCAGCGTTATCCGCCCATGTGGAAGACGGACAAGCACCTTGGCCGTATCGTTCGCAACTGCCTCATGTCCGAGGAGCTGTGCGCCGAGTACGCGTCCTACTTTGAGGGAAAGACCGAGGCCGAGCTTGATGAGCTTGCCAAAAGCTTTTCGTACGAAAACTGCAAGCAACGTGTCACGCTCAACGAGATTTTGCAGGAGGACGGACGCAGGGCGTTGGTTTGAGCCTTGAGGTGGAAGCCAAGCGGATGAATGTAAGCAGAATAAAGTGGATTAGCTTCTTCCATAGCAACCATTACTGCAAAAATAACATGACGTGCTGCACACTTGCCTCCTAGTCCATCTCGGGATCATAGTTGACGGCCTCGACGCTCCGCACACAGAGCTCGTAGTATCCCTCCCTGTCCAGCGCATGTGGGGTCAGGACGGGGGCGGGACCCGCAGAACCCACACGGTGGTACGCACCGGCCACAGCCGGCTTGGCGTACGAAGGTGCAGGCATACCGGCGGGGCGGTCCGACGCCAGAAGCTCCTCCAGCTCGGCGTCTGGCTCTTCATCGACACCAGGACGGCCAAAGCCACCAGCAGCCATAATACGACCGCGCTCAATGGCAGCCTGCTGGGCAGGAGTGGGGGCAATGGCATCGTCACGTCCACCACCAAGGAGAGCGAAACCGAACGTGCGGACCTTCTGCCTCATCATCGTAATCTGCACCTCGGATGTAGTGCCCATGTTGGTGAGGAGGAATGACGAGATGGGGAGGTAGAGAGTGGTGAACTGCAGGCCAGTGCAGTGCAGGGGGTCAAGAGTGGCACCAGATTGGGTGGATGTGGAGTTGGAGGGAAGATCCAAACGGTGCTGGAAGAGATCCGACCTATGGAGTCAGCAGAGGCAACATGGAACAACAACGTACTTGACGGGACCAGCAGTCTGGATGTTGACGACCCAGCGGCTCCTCCATGCCTCCAAACCACGGTACGCGACCTCGACCTTGATGTGCGAGTACAAGTCAAGGTTCCAGGTATCGTCACCAAACAGGGATGGGCGTGACTTGTTACGGAAGCCTGCGTAGCCTGTGCGGATCTGTCCGGCGTATTGAGGAGGCACTGCCAGTGACATGTTGCCATGGAATGCAATGTGCGACAGGCCGCCCTCGGCTTCTTGTGAGGGCACCGCAGTGAGCTCATTGGTGCTCAGACCTCCGATGTCGATGTCACTGCCGGTGGCAAAGTCCGAAGGGGGGTTCACTGGCGGCTGGGCATCGGTGAACGAGAAGATCGGGAGGGCAGTGCTGTTAGGCTGAGGTTCCATCCGCAAGACTGCCGCGTCAGCCCAACAGGAACAGAGAGCAATTACCCACCCTTTGCGGTGTTGCGGCGGAAGATATCAACCGAGCGGCTGAGATATGTCTGGAACGGAGATGCCGACATGGTGGAGTTGGCGAAAGGGAAGAACAACATCAAGTCTCACGGCCCATAAAGCATCTTCGTCATGTTCAACTTTCGGCCGAGCGGGAGCAAAAGATGTGGAGGTCGTCCACCTCGTTTTCTATTGTGTCTCTGCAGCAGGCCGTACTCACGTCGTCACGACACATGCATTCTAATCATTCTCCTGATAAACAACGTCTAAAACTGGTGGTCGTACATGCTACGGCGCTGCCCAGCATACGAATGAGATTCATCGTAGACCTGGTCCAGACCAAGCTCGGCTGGAGTGTAACCACCATACGTCGAGTTGCGGTTACTCGCCACACGACTGCTGGATGCGGTTGAGAGCCGGCTGTTGCGCCTCGTGTCCCGGTCAAGATCCATGCTGGTGCCCGACTGTGCGCGAGCCTTTTCGCGTGCTGCGAGGCATTGTTTACGCGCCTTGGTGATGGTCGCAATCCAGTCGACGCGCTCCTTGTTGCTCGTCGCCTTGAGGCGAACGCTGTCATTCTTGCCACTGTGGCCAATAACGAGGGCAAACGAGACGTCGTCGCGACCCTGCTGCAAGGTAAGGTCGTGGAGAGGCACCGGCTGATGCAGGTAAGCACAAGTCAGAAGTTTCCTGCGCTCACCATGCGATAAAGGTTCCGGCTCTCGATGAGGATGAGGACATCGGTGCACAGCACCATCCACAGCTTGCGGCCCGACTTGGCCTTGTTCACAGCGCCCTCTTTGAGAAGCTTACGTGGCCCCTGGTACTGCGTCGGTTCGGTGAGGTCGATACGTCTGAATGGTCAGCTACACTGCAAACGTAACACTCAACTCACCCTTCGCCGCCGACCCATAAGTCCTCGGACAGGACGCGCAGTCGCTCGCTGCTCTCAGACTCGCGAACGTCCTCGTTGATACGGGCCACAGTGTTTTCCGCATCCGTGAGCGCACGCTGCACGTTGTCGAGGTCCTGGTCCGGCGTGGTGTACTTTGCAATCTGGCGGAGGAGGAGCGGGTAGCGCGTGATACGCTGCATGGGCTCGAGGAGGAACGACGACAGGTCCAGACCGCGAACGGAGGGGTTGTTGAGCTTGATATCCTGTAGTGCGGCCTCAAGTTCGGGCATAGACTTGCGGAGTTGAACGAGCATCTTGCGCGCTGTATCCTGGTTGACACAGTAGGGCATGTAAACACCAAAGTTCTGGCAGTGTTCGGCGAGAATGTCCCCAATAACGTCCACATACAGGCGACACGCCTTTTGACGGTCCTCCAGCGCCGAGAGAAAGAACGAGTTGAACATGAGAATGTCCTCGACATTGGCAAAGATGACAGTGAGGGCGCGCTCGTCGAGGATTGTCATGAGCTTGGCATAGAAGACGCCCACAATAAGCTGCAAGTCGCGCACATAGGTCGACTCGGTGCCGATAAACTCGAAAATAGATTCCTGGCGTTTGCGTTCCTGTGGGTCCATGGTGCTCAATACACTCTGGTCAACAAGACTCGACCATGTCGATCCAAAGTTGTCTGGCATTGGCGACTCCGCCGGCGAGTCGGTCGGACCGCCACTGACAGGTCCACTGATGAGTGGGCTGCTGATGGGTCGGCTGATGTTGAGCTTTGACGACGCAGGCCTGTCCATGTGCTGGGTTACTCCCATGCGCGAGAGGAAGCCAGAGAACCCCGCCTTGCCCGCGGACATGAGCGAGGGTGATGGCGATGGGCCGGGCGTGGGAGGCAGAAGAGTGGCGAGGTTAGGCCCGGGTGACGCGGCAGTTGAGTGGCGCCTGGGACCCACAGGTCGTGCGCGCGATTCGGCGAGGAACTGCTCATACCGCGCGTAGGCGTCTTGGACCTTGATCTCTGACTGCTCGCCCTGGTCGAACCTGGGTGACAGCGGTGAGGCTTCAGTTTGCGACGGGGCCGTAGTCTCGGCTGCGGGACGACGGATTGGCACAGCGGGGGCTGGGCGGCGGCGTCCCTTCGGCTTACCACCACGGCTGGGAATGCCTGGTGGCTCGCGACGAATCTTGAGGCCCGCAGCAGCCAGCGCCTTTTGCCTCTCGGCCTCGCGGCGCTTCCGCTCAGTGTCCTTGTGCTCGCGCTCTTCGGAATCTCGCTTCTCTGCTTCGGTGTCGGGAGTGTCCTGCTCAGTGTCACTTTCCTCTTCATCCGAGGACCAAAACGACAGGACGCTGTCGTCGGACGACTCGTCGCCATCATCGGCATCGACATCGTATTGCCCAATCGACATTCCACGGGAGCGCACAGCAGGGGCAGCGGTGAGGGTGGCGCCGAGCGGCACTGTAGCAAGGACAGGCGAGGCAGTGAGGGGCGTCTCAATGGTGGATTGGGGCTCTTCGACAATGGTAGGGGTGGGTTCACCGCGTTCAATGGTTGTTGGGGCAGGGTCAATGTTAGTAGTGAGGACTTGGGGGAACGGGTGGTCTACAACTGGGGTAGGAGTTGTGCTGTTTGGTGTAGGTGGCGTAGAAGCTGTGTTTGATAGCGTTGGTATTCGTTTGCATTTCACGAGAGGGAAGGAAACATTCGAGCGGGCAGAAAATGGGAAGATATTTAGCCTGCGTCAAGCATGGTAAACAGACGGAAAGATAAAAGGAAGCTGGTGGGGCGGGGGTACTAACCAAGGAGCTCCACGTACGCGGCTGGGACGAGAAGAATCTCGCCCAGCTTTTCGACCTTCCACCAGTCCGGGTCCGATTGGTCGACCACGCCGAGAGCCTCGCCAGCCGCAAAGGACAGCTCCTCGGGGCCGTTTCCAGTGTAGTCGTAAAGCGCCTGGCACTGCTTAGCTGTGGGATTAGTAAAACATCATCGAAAGTCAACCCACCAATGCAGGGCTCGACGTAAGAGCTGGGGATCCATCCAGCAGAACCGTCCGACAGCGTGGCATACCACCAAGGGCCGCCAGCCTCCTTGGCCGGGTGGGCATCGAGGACAACATTCTCCTTGAAGGCTGTGTGTCCTGTTTAGCAAAGAGCATCACGTGCACGTGTTGTACTTACCAAGATCGCCGCTGAACGAGCCGCCGGCGTAGTCGTAAAGAGTACGAGCGTGGAGGGTAATACCGAGGTCAACATCGTCGAGGCTGGGGCCGTCATCGATGGACGCAGCGGCCATCTCTGCAACAGGAGCTTCGGGCTGAGGCTGTTCGCGTTCCTCCTCCTCGCGAGTAGGCTCGAGTGAGACGTTCTCGCCGAATGAGGCGGCAGGGGTTTGGTGGTCGGCCGCAAGGCTGCCGTACCAGTCAGTAGACTGGCGGTTGGAGTTGCGGGGCACAAAGTCCTCGTCTTCCTCGTCGGCATGTTGGGGCTCGGGGTTTGGGGACTCAGTGTACTGGGGCTCGGCATACTGGGCTGGAGGCGAAGGAGGCGAGGCAGCCACGGCGTTGATGTGTGCAGGAGGCGCCGAGTCGCCGACAACACGCCCCGAGATACCAGGACCGCTCTTGTCCACAGTCTCGGCGTGACGCAGCCTCGAACCACCTTGGATCGCGGAAAGGAGAGCCGACATGCCTCCACCAGAAGGAGCACCGCCGCCAAGCTTGGCAAGAGCCGCGGGGGCAGCCTTGGGAGCAGGAGGAGGGGCAGTGTTTGCGTCGGCCGATCCGGGACGCGAGCCACCGCCAGTAATGTTGCCGAACAGAGCAGACGCGAGAGCGCCACGCTTGTCACGCGAATGGGCATACTCGTCGTCGGAGCTGTCCGAGTCGTCCTGGTCCCTCTCGTGAATGACATCCCAGTCGTCGTCAGGTGGAGGAGCCGAGTTGGTACGAACAGGAGCGGTGAACGCCGGTCGAGGAGGAGCAGGTGCGGGAGGGGGAGGGGGAGGGGGTGGCGCAACGGCCACAGGTGGCTCCGGGGCAGGAGGAGCAGGCGGCGCGGGGGGAGGAGCCGGGGCAACTGGAGGAGTGGCAGCGACAGGAGGCACAACAGGTGCTCCAGTAGCAGGGGGAGGGCGGTAGAAGGGATTGAAGCCACCGCTGGCAGAAGTCGAAGGCGACTTGGGCATACCGGGAGAGGTGGGGACGGCTGCATCGGCCGTGGGCTTGCGGAAGGGGTTGTGGGTACCAGCCGAGCGGTCGGTAGGAGGCTCAACAACAGTGGGAGGAGGAGCGGCAGCAGCGGCAGAACGAGCCTTGCGGGCAGCCATCATTTCCTCCTCTTTGCGGAGCTCAGCCTCCTCTTCCTCTTGGAGACGCTTCAGCCTCTCACGACGCTCGGCAATGCTCGCCTGCCTAGCTTCCTCCTGGCGACGAAGCTCAACCTCTTCGGGGTCCTCAGCGGGGACTGCCCGCGAAGTTGGGGGAACAGGAACAGCAACGGGAGGCTTGGGCGGAGCGGCGTGACGGGGATGAGGAGCAGGAGGCGGGGCAGCATGCTTGGGACGCGGGGCGGGAGCAGGCGGCGCCGCCTTCTTCAAAGCAGACTTGACGGGCGGCGCAGGGGCCGCCTTGGGGGCGGCAGCTGGTGCTTCATCAGAGCCACCAGCAGCAGCGATGCGGGCACGCCTAGCCTCTTCACGAGCAGCCTGCTCCTGGTCGGCAGCCTTGGCCTTCTCCTCGGCCTCTTGACGTTCGCGTGCCAGACGCTCCTCAACTGAGTCGTCCACCGCAGGCTCAGGCGATGAAGATTCGACTCCAAGAGCACGCAGACGGTCTTGGATACGGCGCTGAGCCTGCTCCTGGATATAGGCCTTGCGCTCCTCGGGAGTCATGCTGGCCATCGACTTGGAAGCAGGCTTGGGGGCAGCCTTGGGAGCAGGCGCCGCAGCCACAGCCTTGGGCGCAGGAGGAGGTGTAGGTGCATCGGCCTTGGGGGGAGACTGAGGAGGAAGGGGCGAGCGGCGGTCGCCACCCTCGCGATCACGGTCGTTGCGGTCATATCCTCGGTCGCGATCACGGCGGTCATAGTCGTCGCGTTCGCGGTCACGACGGTCATATTCGTCGCGCGAGTAACCACGGTCCCTGTCGCTGCGGTCCCTGTCGTCGTAGCCTCGGTCGTAGCTATCCCGACGGTCTCGCGAGTCCCGCTCATAGGTACCGCGCAGCCAGCTGCCCTTCTCGCGGTCGTCATAACGTCCGTGAACGTCATTACGCTTGTCGCGAGCACGGGAGGCTCCACGCTCGTCCATGCGCTTCTCTTCCTGGCGGCGCTCTTGCCTGCGTTCGAGCTCGGGGAGCTTTTCGTGCATCAACGTGAGCATCTCGCGCTCGAGCTTGCGGCGCTCCTCGTCCTTGTCGGCGGTACGGCGACCCTTGGAGACATACTCGAGGTCTTCCTTGATACGGCGGACACGGTGCTTGATGTCATCAATTTCTTCTTCAAGGATGTCGTCTTCTTCGTTACGACGGGAACGCTCGCGGTCCGTCTCCTCCAGCATCGACGAGCCCTCCTCAAGCTGGCGACGCAGGTCCTTGATCTCGGCGTCGGCGTCCTCGCCCTTGTAACGCACAGCCCTGCGGTCGAGATGGCGGGACGACGACTTGTAGCCACCAGAGCGGGTGTCGTCGTGCTTGTACACCCTGGCGTCCTTGGAAGATGCAGCCGACACGGGAGTGCCGCCGTAGACGGGCGACGAAGTGTCAGAGCGCGTGTTGGACTCGTGCTTCAAGAGATCGCGCATAAAGTTGACGGTCGTGTCAATGTCGCGCATGGAGTGGGGCACAAGCTCCTCGGGGAGCTTGTCGGGAATAGGGTTTCCGTTGAGTGCACGGTAGATGAGACCCATGGCGATGTGGAACTCGGGCAGGTTGAGCTTGCCACGGTTGTCGACGTCGGACAGGTTCCAGATCTTCATGAGGTCGTCCTGGCCGAGGCCAGCCTGACCAAAGACCTCGCGAGCCATGTCACCCGAGATGAACCCGTCGCCCTTGGTGTCCCAAGCACGGAAGATCTGGTCATAGTCCTTCTTCTCCTGACGCGAGAGGGCCCAGGGGACCTTGGGTGTGCTGGTCGAGGGGTTCTGGATAAGGCTCTGGAACGTCTGCTGGAGAGGCTGGGCCTGGTTGAACTGGGGCAAACCAGTGGCCGAAAAGGGCTGTGGTGTCAGCTAACAGTGGCCATCTATTATCGAGTTAACTCACCTGGCTCATGTTGCTAGGCATAAAGGTCTGCATCATGGCACCCAGACGGGGGTCATGGATGCCAGTTGGCTGCGCACGAAGCCCACCGCCGGGCATTCCAGTGGGCTGGCTCATGAGACCGCCGTGCATCCCGGTGGGCTGGCTCATCATGCCCATGGGCATGCCCGTAGGTTGGCTCATCATTCCACCGGCAGGCATACCAGTGCGCTGGGCCATCATACCACCTTGAGCGCCAGGATAACCCGTCATCTGTGGAGTCATGCCGCCTTGATTGCCAAAGCTACCACGAGGACCAAAGGATCCAGCTGGTGGTGGGGCGTTGAGGAAAGAATACGCACCACCGGTGGGCGTGCCAGCGGCGTTGGGGGTGAGCGACTGGCCCATGGGCTGCTGCTGCTGCTGCTGGGGGAAGCCTGTCGCCATGGGACGTTGCTGCTGTGCAGCTCCAGGGAACCCAGTTTGCTGGGCGCCGAGGTAGCCTCCAGCAGCTGGGCGTTGTTGCTGCTGCTGGTAGGCTGCCGGGTTGTAGCCGTACTGCTGTTGCTGCCACTGGTTTGGCTGCATCGTTGAAAGGATGCCCAGTGGGGTTGGGGGATAAGAGGTGGGTGTTGGGGAGGAGAGAGAGAGAGATGGGTGGAACGGATGGATGACGAGGCGGAGAGCAAGGGGCCCGCACTGGCCAGTCGGTGTGCCCTGGCACATTTCAATGTCAGCCACACAATGTCAGCCTGACACGAGCCGCATACATGTGTGAGACTGACCACCCAGAAGTGACTGTGTGGCCAGCGTACTGCACAGCGGTACAGCCGTCGACCGCAAGTCAATCTTCTGCTATTGTCGCAAAGCATAGGTGGGGTCTTGTTGCGCACTGGACTGGAAACTGTAACATTTGCTGGGGAATGTCACCAATTACAAGGCCAAAGAGGGTGCAGTGTGTCGGCCGCAAATGCCACTCAAGCGGTTGACGCTTGATCGACTGTTTGTATGAATCTGTGGTTTGATCTTGGTTTTGAGTATGGTAGGGGAGACTGTGGACCATTGATTACAGACGTGTCCAGATTGATCTCTCAAAGCACAGGATATTTCTGGAAAATCCGCTTCATTGCGTATTAAAATATACAAATTAACTGGGCACATGTCTGTATGACTGATACTGTTTTATGATCTATGTACACGGAACTCGCTCTAGGATCGTGCGGAGAGAGAGAAGGAAATCGTGGGACTATGTGCCACTAGGCCACAAGCACACGCCCTCCTGGCCGTACCAGTGTCTTGTTCCTCGGGAAGCCAGGCCATATCGCTGGTGTTCATGAGACGCTGGAAACCGCCATCACTTGGGGATGGCGGGCGGCGAAGCGTACGTGAGTGTAGCAACAAACTCGTGCGTGGTGGTGCTGTCGCTGAGGCCCTTGCCAACATTGCCAGGAAGGTTGACACTCTTAGACTCGGGCGTGCCCACAACGGTGTTAATAGAGTTGCCGTCCTCGGTGTTGGGAGCGGCAAGGGCGGCGCGACGGCGGTGCCTGTTGAGGGCCAAAAGGATCTGGCTTGGTTAGCTCTGAACCACGAGCAAGTAAAGTAAGTACCCACAACGGATGTGAGACCGATGAAGCCGCAGATGGGGACAAGGATGACGATGAGCCAGAAGGCGAGGGATTCCTCGTTGCCGACGTCGCCGTAATCAACCAATGGACCGTAGGCACTCTCCAAAGGGGAAGTTGCGTTGACGGTCTGGCGGCCAACGAGCGTGGCAGGAAGGGCTTGGGCGACGGCAGCCATGGCGATAAAGGACAGGATGGAGATGAACATGACGTGCTTTGATTCTGGAGTGGTACCACTGGCTAGGTGTTCGGGTTGTTGGACGTGTGCTGACAATGAAGGGAAAAGTGCACACACTGCGTACCGCTTGCTGTCTTTTAATGCACCACTTTGCGAAAGATACGGATAACTCGGCACGGACGTCTTTCGAATCTATACGGACGCCGCTGACTACTGGGACGCCGTGGCCCGCTGACGGAAGATCGCCGTGCACGCCATTTTCAAACCGCCGGTTCGGCCACGGCCTACGGTGGGTGATGACCGCGTCGGCGTCGCGCAGAATCGGGACGCCAAGACAGCCCAAGGGCAGCGGAATCTCGGACGATGCGTCTTTGCATTTCTCTTTGCGATCGATCTGCATGGCTGGATGTCGGAGGCGATGTGGACTGCTTCACCAGCATAGCTTCTTCACGTGGGTGGCGCTGTTGGATGGATTTTCCGTTCCTGCTCTGGCTGCTCCAGATCAACGCCATGTCTCGCAAGAGAGTGCACTAGCTATACGACACAGCGCAGGTGTAGTGTCTTGTGCTTTGTAAAATCGTGGAACAATGACCGCGGAGCAGTTGGAGGGTGTGGGTACATGGAGTGTGTACATGTGTACCATCGTCGGCCGGTCGGCCGGCCGCGATCGCAACCGAGGCGACAACCTCACTTTTGGCATGCTCGCCGAGGCGACGCAGTCCATGATGCAGCCCATGAGCGGAGCACTATGTACATTCGCTTTATCCATCGCACGCTGCGTCGCTACCGCACCCGAGCTTACTACGAGTGTTTGTGATACATTCCCCGCTGACGACGTGAGGCCATTCGGTAAGGACACTTGCCGGCTGGGGGACGGTCACCAGCTGCGCTATCGACAGAAAAGTCTCAGGCGCCTGGACTACACAGTACACAGTGGGGTCCAACCCCGGCGGGGCGATGAAAGTGAAGCAGGTAGGAAGAGATTCATGGGTCTGAGATCACCACTTGGTGGGCTGCATGCAAGCTCCGTAAACGGACACCTCAAGGGGGCGAGGTCGACCGCAAATGACCCCTCTGGCTGATGTTTCTTTAGACTTGCGCTGTCCCAACCAACCTGGTATTTTGGCAAGACCACAGGTGAAGTAAAGTTTTGACGCTTGGACATGACTCCACCGTCACCTACGAGCTGCCTACGCTTGGATGGTGTGGACGGTGGAGGCACAGTACTGACTAGGGCTCATCTATCGGCCAGGCGTGCAAGTGGCGCACAGACGCTCGGGGAGTGGCAGGTTTGTGAACAGACTTCATTCTTGAGCTCTTGGGGCAAGTGACTCCAGGTTTGTACAGTTTCCTTGTCTTAGAAGATGTAGAGTTCATGGCGCTGTACTTCAAAGTGGCCACAACCGTTGACGTTTCAGCTGGACTGCATGGTCGTTCAACCAGTGGCAGGTAATTGTCCAATGTTTCCTGTCTGTTGCTGAGCTTCCATTTCCTTTGGCATGCACGAATATGTCCACAATGTGGGGTGTGATCATTCTGACTGAAGTCAGTGGCCATAGAACAGCTTGTGCATGCGTGCTGTTCAGAGCGCTGCCATTGTTATGGGTTTGGCGGTCACGAGCCACTAGTTTTGTGACTCATGGTGGTGGCGGTGCTACATACATACATACTGGACGTTGGAGCTGTGTCCTGTGCTGTCACGGTGGTTGGTACCACGCCGCCCACACTCTTGTCCATTGATATACTATACACTCCATGAGTACATGTACGCGGTCCGATCCACGTGGTCATGGACAGACAATCTCTATCATGTCTGGCTTGGGCTGAAGGTACATACGAACTCGCTAACATCTGGGGTGGCACAGTCATCCCGCCAGGCCTAGCTTCGACCAAAGCAGTCGCTTTCTCAACTATACTACATACGCTTCACCCTTGAACACAGTAGAACACAGGTACAACCTCTTGCACATACACACGGCATCCTCCATTACTGCTGCCGCTCCTTGCCCTTTAAAGACTTGTAAGTTGGCGCCCTTCCGAGCTCGTGCAAGTCCTTGTGCGCCTCCTCTGTGCCCGCATTGAGCCAATACGGAGGAACAGGGTCGGGCTCGTGTCCCTGTGCGCGCATCGCCTCGGCCTCGGCAGCCTTCTCATTCTCCTTTTCCTCCATCTTTGCTACCATGGCCGCACTCTTCTCGTCGGCGAGGGCGGCAGATGAGGCAGCCGATTTGCCGGGAAGGGTCACACCCTCGACGCCGGAGAAGGACCGTGAATGCGACAGGTCGACGTCCTGGGGGAGGGCCTGGGCGGACGAGACACGCGAGATGATGGGCATGTTACCTTGAGGTGAGTCTGAACTGACAACGACTGGGGGCGGCACCGAGAAACTGTCATCGTCACTGGCCGCAAGCGACAGGGGCATGCTCAGCTGGCGAGTTGCCGGAGGACGCGAGATGGTGACCATTCCGCCGTCTCCGGTCGTAGCCAGCGTACCGGGAACGGCAGTGAAGGCCGCCTCGGCGTCTGTATTGTTGCGGGTGACGAGGGCCTCGTACTCGCCGCCCGTAGGTGGCGATCGCTTGCTGGCATGGGAACGACGACGACGATACAGGAAGAAGCCGGCAATCTGCATGCTTTGTCAGCGGACACGTTGGCGTGCAAGGTATCGGGAAAACACTCACTGCCAAGGCGATGATCAACACTGCTGCAATGGCACCGCCCACGACGGCTCCAGTGTTCTTCTTGCCTCCAATTGCAGCTTCCGCTGCCGAGGTGGCAGACACTTCAGAGTCGCTTGCTGTTGTCTTTGCCCCTGAGGCGCTCTGGCCCGGCCTCGTGGTCGGTAGTGCTTTGCTCGGGGACCCAGATGAAGTCGGCGTTGTGGTAGTGGTGATTGGGGTAGTCAAAGTCGGCAGCGGTACGGACGCAAGGGCAGTTGCAATGGCGTTCGAGGCAATGGTGGTCGGGGCGACGCTGGACTCTTGCGGGGATGACGCGGGAGGCGTGGGGACGACAGTGCTTTCTTCTTGTCCAGCAGCGACATTTGTTACGACTGGTGTTGACGCCACAGCGATGGAATTGAACACGTCCGTCACGAGTGCGCCTGCAGTTCCCGGGCCATCAGTAGCGGCGGCGTCGGGGCTGCCTGCTGCGACGTCTGTCACTGGTAGCGGGTTTTGGTCTGCAGGCAGGGTGTCTAGAGTGCCCGCTTCCTGTGCCAGGGTTGTGGTGGCGAGCGCGAGCAAGAGTGTCGCGAGGCCCAGACGCATGGTATCGTCGAGAGTGAAGCCGGGGTTCCACCGGAACAATGCGTTGGGTGGGGCAATGTGATGATGAAGTGGGTGGTGTGTGAGACTGGAGAAGCAAAGCCAAGGAGAAGGAGGAGAGGAGAGCGAGTTGTGTGTGTGAGGAGGATACCTTTAAACGTGGCCTGCCGCACCTGGTGGCCTGGTGTCCATGCACACACGAGCCATATGGCGATGCGATGCAGAATGGTGTGACGCTGGTTTCAATTGCTCTACCCGTGGGAAGACAGATACAGCATCCTCATCGCCCAACGGGCGGTGGTGGTGGTGTGTAGCCCAGTGGCCAGTGGTCTCGCCGCCCGTTGCCCCCCTTGGTACCTTGGTGGTGCCCAGCCAGATTTGGGCACCGGATTGTGCGGATTGTGCGGATTGTGCGTGCGGATCGTGCACTGGAATCACGCGCGCGCCCTGCAGCTCCTGCATGCGCCCGTGTCTGGCCTCTGGCGCCATCTCTTACACTCTTGTTACCTGTCGCAACTCTAACGTTTTTCATCCTCTTGCACTGTTGCTCCTTTTAAACTACCACACAGAGCACGCTTCATGCATGCATGCAAGAGTTGTCTCTCTGTCCAGCGTTGGAGTGGGCGGAACGAGATTGAAACTCTCACCCGAATCTCCGGTATGCGGGGGAGGGGGACGACGCCACACCCGATGCTGTGCACATTGGAGTGAAGCTTCCCAGGTCCAGCCCTACGGGGGGGGGGGGAGGGGGTTGCTGGGCCAAAGCGGTCCCCAACGGCAAAGGCGGGGCAGTGTTTGTGATGTGGTATCTGGAACACAGGGACTTTGGGTCTGAACATTATAAGCATCATGCACTGCACACGCCCCCCCCCCCCCCGCAAAACCCGTCAAGAAGCGGTGTCACTGTCCAGTCCAACGACTCTGCTGGTGGAGGCCTTTGGCCGTTGGAGCTGGTAGGTACCCCTCCACGACACTCTAGCCAGCTATGTATGTGTCCATGCATGCGAATTGCCTGGTCTGTATGAATGTACGGCACCTACCATTTCTGCAACATCAAAGCAAGCCCTCCGTCACGCGACTGCTATCACACCAGGTCACGTTCCTCGATGTGTGATTTGAACATCCACATCCTCATCCTCCACCGCCAATCCTCCACCTGGCCGTAAGGGCAGCCTGAGCACAACCGTGTCGTATGCCGCAACAAAACTTGCCTTTACGTATGTATCGACAGAAGGATATCTGATACCAACTCACTCGTAATGGTAAGAGACTTGGTAATTCGGTAGGGTTCGGAAGAGGTCAAAGTGTATTGGGACTTTCAAAACATGGGTGATGAGGTGCTTGGCCGCTTCGTCTTGCGAGTATGGAACGTGACAAACGGAGGTCGGTATCAAGAGCACCCGATGAGTATTATTCTAACAAGACAGCCTGTGTAGGTCTTAATATGTCGCTGCCTCTGCTAACTCGACAGGCACCAAGTCCCTCGATCCCTCGCCCACGCCAAGGACAGAATGGCCAGGCTAGAGTGGGTGGTCTGACATGTATACCATCAGCCGAGACTGCAACCACCAATACCTGACTTATTACACAGCTTCTTACCTTCGATCAACGCGCCTCGCCAAAGAAGCCCTCATGTCAATATTGCAGCGTCGTCCACCTTGGCAGCTAGGAGTAGAGATCGAACACGACTTGGTCCAGTGGGAACTGGGCGTTGAGACGTACATAGGTTGCCCGGGAACAGCTTACCAGTCTCCAATGCGCTCTCTTTCCTGAACGGTCGGGGTAGAAGAAGAAACGGCACATGCTGTAACGATGTGTAAGGCCTTTTGGGTGTAAGACCTGTTATGTATAATGAAATAAGTGCATGAACACGAGCCACTCGACTTACGCGACTTCCAGTCGTGCATGCTGCGTACGGGGGCGCGCCACGCTCGACGCTAGGCGCGCGTGGACGTTCGCCCATCGCAACAAGACCAAGTCAGCGGGCGCAAGCTCATTTCCCGCATGGGCGCATGGGACAGGGACGGGTGTCGCGGGTGGCCCGGCCGGTGGCCAGTTGGTGGCACTGTCTGGGTGGTTGTTACCTTGCCCAGGTCGTTCATGAGCATGTGAGGGCCATTGCAGCGGATCGGGTCATGGTGCTGCCTACAGTACCTGCAGATCCCTGGCGCTGGCCGTGGAACCAAGGAATAAAAAGAACACGCGCGGACCAAACAAGGCCTCCGCAGGCATCAGGCCTCGGGCTTCCGCTTAACCGCTTCTTCTTCTCTCATCCCCATCCCTATCCCCATTCCCATCCCCATCCCCATCCCTCGTTCCTGTACACCCTACGACGCGTACAGCCCCGCTATGCCTCCCAAACACCTCGCAGAAGACCTCACCGCCATTGCCCCCCCCCCCCCAAGGGCAGTGATTACCGGTACTACGCCTTGCGCCTGCCGTATGGGATTGACGAAATTTACAACGTCGGCTGCCTCATCGACTCCGTCCTCCCTCCCGGCATCGACATTCAGGCATCCACGGCACGCACCTTCGTCGTTGGCACGCATGACCCCCGCCTCTTCCAAATCGGCGGCCCCTTGTGGATCGTGCTCCAGTCCATAGAGGGCTTCAACCCGGCCTGCCTTCTGCTCGAGAATGGCGACAAGGACGCCCAGACCCAGGGATGCGACTTCTCCCTCAAGATGGTCATCGGCATCACCCAATGGTGTGCCGACGTGAAGGCCGAGCACCGCCGCGCCGCGGCCGCCGGCACACTCTGCCAGTTGGTTAGTGACCGGGCCCGAAAAACCGCCCGCCACGAGCAGGATTTCTCATCCCCTTCAGCCAGGTTCGTTCACCCCAGCTGAGGTACCCTAATTGACATTACAGGCCGACGACGCGGTCGCGGTCATCATGACCTACTTCGACGAGTTCCCGGAAGACAAGCGCGATTGCCCGTCGGAGTACACCTCGCTCTGCCGAGGCAAGTCGATGGAAGCCTCGCCAAACAGCCCTCCCAACGGTGGTCTCGGCTCCTTCGAGGTGCGCCTGATGCCACCACAGGGACTGACGTCCAACTGCAAGCAGCGACCTGCCCTCCGCCGCCTGCACCGTCTCTGGTCCAGGGAGTGCTACGGAACGCCGCTGGACGCGGCCGTCAACCAGGACGACGCAACGTTCCTCGCGGCTTACTGGCTTCACGTCTTTGGCAAGAACGCCACCTTCAAAGTTTGTTAAACTTCCCGTTTTCTGGGTGTACTGACACGCAACAGAACGGTCCCCTCAAGCCCGAGGTGCAAAAGGAACTTGATAAGTTCAACGGTGTTCAACGTTGGTTTATACACTCGTCCAGTGTTGAATATGTTTGCTGACGGGCAGACGTCCTCGTTGCCGTCCGATCCAAGCGGAAGGCTCCCACCAAGAAGTCGAGTAACTCACTCAAAAACCATCAAGAAGCGCGCCAAGAAGACGTAAGGGGGAAAGGAACAGTGAAGGTGATTGTAGCATACACAAAATGCCTTGTACTGTCTGGCATGATAAACATTCGCTAGCTCTTAACCTCTTTCCAGACCGATCGAGTGGCCCGAAATTAACGATGACATATTTTCCCGTCGAAGCAGTGGCAGGGTACAGCGATGTGGTTGGCTCGTCGTAGTGCTTGAGCTTGACGATGGGCTCGCTGTCGACGATGTGAACGTGAGCAGCTAATATTGAAGAACGATTGGATACCGAAGCAGCGAAATTGTTGATGTGGAGAGGGCAGGAGGTCGCACCCACTCCCAGCTGGAAGAAACACCAACAAAACTGTAAAGGCGTGCACTGCCCACTCGATGCCACTGTAAAGTGGACATGTCTTTAGACGTACGACAGGCTCTGACCCAAGCAGCCAGGACGCCGTGGGAGGATGAGACGGAAACAGCGGTCTCGATAGCGAGTTTCAATAGTGGAGTTCGGTAGGGGGAGTATGTTGTGGACGTGTGGAAGTCTTGGTCGGCATTGGGAAAGTGTGAGGGTTGAAGGGGAGGCATTGAGGAAGTGTGAGGGTTGAACGGGATTTGGTGAAGGGTGGTCCGGCCCACCGGCTGGGTCAAGTGTGCGGCTGCCGCGATCAGGTGGGAGTCGACACAGACGCCACGGCACGTTCCATGGCCGTGCACAGCTCAGCCAGACATTGCTCGGGACTGTTCTTGCTGAAGCTGAGAATCATCCGGCGCCGGTACACAGCCTGGTATTGTAATGAGCAGGGAATGGGCTGGTCGGCGCGGACACGGAGAGCAGAACCCAGGTTGTTGGGCTTGACGTCATTGTAAATGCCGGTCCAGGCCTTGCCCTTGAGAATGTGCAGCATTGTGTTGGGCACCACCAGCAACTCGCCCTTGAGGGCTCCCTTAGGGTCGAGAACCGGGGCGAGTGATGCGAGGAGCCGGGTCCAGCCCCATACATCGCGCAAGGGTGGAAGGCGACGAGCCGCAAAAAGAATGTCAAACACCGCCAACAGGTGGGGCACCATGTCTGCCGTGAGAGTGGCGACGTGACCAAGCTTGTCGACAACATTCACGTTCAGTCCGTGGGAGGCTGTCGTCTCAAACAAGCACGTGATGTAGTGCTCGATGAAGTTCAGACCTTTGCCGGGCATTCCGGTGAGCGGCAGAATAACGGTGGCGGCGAGGTCGTGGACTGTCGAGGTCCATCAGCAACTACATGTGCAAGTTTAGAACTCACTCAGTCGGAATGCTTCGACCTTCTTGTTGACGGCCTTGTGCGCGGCATTCAGATGCTGTCCCAGCCTGCGAGCGATCCAGGTACTCATTCCATCGTACAGTTTCAACTCCTGCCAATCAGTGAAACTGCACGCACGCCCTTCAACTCACGTCTGGGTCCACCTCGGCGTCGCGGAAGTCGCCGGACCGGCGCACGCGCTCCAGCTTCGCTTCATCGACCATGTCCTTGCCTGTGAGTCCGTAGACACACTCGGCAATCTTCTTTGCTGTGCCTTCTGGGCCAGAAAGGCCCAGAAACGCAAGCAGCCGGAACCTGGCGAGAGACGAGTGGTGTTCGAGGCTAATGTCAGTCACTACGCCGGAAGTACGATAACTCACACATCATGCCACAGCGACATGTAGGCGGCCTTCTGGTAGGCCGAGTACCAGAGAATTACCCAGACGGGTACACCGCGCACAGCAAGGAAGGGGACGGGGCCGAACAGGGCGACCCAATCGTACGTCTTCGCGAGCTCGCCCTCGACACTCTGCCTGGGGCAAGTCAGTCAATGTGGCTTTTCGTTGTCTGCTCACTGGTACAGCTGACGGCCGGACTTGGTGACCGCTGTGTTGACGAGGCCTCGTACGATTCGAGGGCCGTACTTCTCTTGGAACTGTGCTGTTAGAGATGTGTACAAGCAATCAAACTTACCCGGACCAGCTCCTCCTTGCCCTGTGGCAGCGTGTCCATCGCAGCCTCGGCGTGTGCGAGCAGGAGGAGGTCCTGCTTGTCGACGACAATCTCCTTGTTGTTGAAGGTGATGACGTCGCCCTCGTCGTCGTCGTCCTGCTCGCTGTCGCCATCGTCTTGCGCCCCCTGGGTCTCAAGAACTTCGATGTTCTCCTCGCCCGCCGATGAATCCGCCGTCATGGACTCGATAAGCGTACCCAGGGTGGCGTGTTCCGGAGGGGACGTTGGTACCAGAGACATATCGAGCATCTGTTGGTCAGCAATACACGTACATTCATACCCACCATTTGGAGGCGAACACTGTTGATAGCCGTGTTCATGTAGCTTGGTCGCGCGGCGTACTGAACGACGGATACGAATGACTCGGGCTGCGGTCTTAGTTTGGACACATTCCCGCAGCTGGTGCTTCACTCACTGACGGTGGGCGCTGCAGTTGTGCGCCACCCACCGACGTCGACGAACCCGGCACATGCTGCCAAGCTGGCCACTGGCTCTGGTATGCTTGGGAAGCTCGGGTTTTGACCTCTTGGAGGGAGAGTGCGTTGACGTTGCGGTCCATTGTAAAGGGAGATAAATGGTCGAATGGAAGAATATGAGAAGAAGCAGTCATCTGCGTTGTTAAAGAAGTCGTGTGTGCTGCCGTGCAGAGTGTGAACATGCGCCCGTTGCCATGCTGTGCTCTGTGCTCTGTGACCTGGTGCGCCCAATGCGAAGGGGTTGAGGGTATCCCCTCCCTCCCTTGCGACATCTGGATGCGCCAAACATTCTCCTCCCGCGCATTCCCTACATCGACTATCACGACCAGCATGGTGCAAAGGGCATATCGCAACTGGACAGGTGGGCCGGGTGGATGAGGAAGACCTTTGACGACCCACTGTACACTGTCCCATATTCGTTTGGCAATGCCAACCCTTTGTACCCTTTGCTGCTGTTAATGTTACTCGTCGTCACGCAACAGCTAAGCGACGCCACTACACGTACTACACTCGCAAACGAAACGTGCCCAAGTCTGCGCCCAGGGAGCACAGTGGTACAGTGCCACTGGAGAGGCCGTGTGGCAGGTGGTCACACGCCCAGAAATGCGCCCCAATTCCCACCAGCAGTTCCGTGCCCGCTGTCCCCGTCCAGTGACCGCTGTCCCCGTCCAGTGGCCAGTGGCCAGTGCAGTGGCCCAGTGGCCAGTGGATCCATGTGTTGTGCACGGCTCACAAGAGCGGGAGAATAACCAGTACCCACTTGCCCACCGGCCACTGGATGTGCGCTGGGTCCTGGGATGCTTCGTGTCATTCTTGCGCAGTGCATGTTGGTGTTGGTTTTAACACTTCCTCTGCCATCCACAGGCCACAGAACCGCTCTTCTCTGATCCTCCATGTCCAACAACAACACGCCGGTCGAACTCGCTGTGTGGGACAGCGCCTATCAGTCGCGCATCATCCAGATGCTGTACTTTTGGCTCGCTTTGCCATTCTGTCTGCCTGCGCTTCGCTGTGGTCGGGGACTGCTGCCGCTAGCCCCCTCATTCTGTGTCAATCCATCCCTCTATGGCGTCCTGCGTGTCCAAGACGCAACTCTCTTCATCAACGTCGTCGAATCGGTGGTCGCAGTACGTCGATGTCGTCTATGCGAGACTTTACCTGCTGACAGTAAAACAGACAAGCGGCTTTTCGAAACCCGAGGCTCTCATCATCGTCCGCCGCTCCAGATACTACCTCGTCGCGCATCGGCCAGCTCAAACCAACGAGGAGGCGACCTTGCTTGAGCAGGGGCAACAGGCTTGTCAGCGCCATCATCACTCAGCTGCAAGCTGCGACGCCTCGCTTTCAGGGACCCCTCTCCATCCTCTGGGACATTGTTGTTGATACCTTGGATCCCATGGCCACCACTGCCAGCGGCTCACAAGCGAGCATGACGCCCCAAGACTGCCAGGCCATTGCCCACATCAAACAGTCCCTCAACCCGGGTGAACTGCCCTCAGCGGTCGCGCTTGACACCTCGGCACCGAATTGTGCGATGCGCCACATTTTCGCCGAGCTCCGCTCTCTCTCGGTGTAACATTCGGAGGCTCTGCGATCGTATTAACATGAATGAGTGTGACTATCGCCACCACCCCCAATCTTTTGGTTACTGTACTTGCTGAGCTGAAGGAGGAGAAATGGGAGACGGTGAAGTCTCACTCACATCCCAGATGGAGAGGGAGGACGCCAAAATGAACGTGCCGCCTCCAGGCGCACTGCACCTGTCCTGGAAGGCTGGTGTGGACACGCAGGCTGTTGGTGTGTGCCACACACGGTATCAAATACACCCTCATATCTAGTATTTAAATTGTAATTTCCCGTAGGTTTATCTTCACTCTGCATTCTTCTTCATTCCGACACAGGCGGTGTCGCCGATGTTGGTAGATTGTTCAGCAGCATACCTGCGTAGCCTCGGCAAGCGTGACGTAGGGGTTTCGTCACGTGATTCCCGGCACGGAAGCCAGGAGGAGGAGGACATGACATGACAGGCGAGTGCGCATGTCCCGCCTGTCCCATCTCACCCAGCCCGCGGCCGCTTTCGCTGCTTGCGGACGTGCCAGGAGAATGGACTCCGTCTTCTTTAGCGCCATCACTTGCATCTCTCCACAGGCCACAGGCCACAGGTATGTAAATTCGTCCCCCTTCCTCGTAAAGCAGTCGTAAATCAATCCCCCATACGGTTCTCGACATCCCAACACCGTTCAACAGCCGGAGCCCCTCATGTCGATAAAGGCGTCGTCGACCTTCTCGCCTACAGAATCAGTGGGGGACTTCTTGGATTACTCACGGAGCTCGGCCATGTGAGAGGGCCACGACGACGTCGAAGTCGCCGACAACATCATACGAACCGATGACCTCGGCTAGGTCAAGGGCGTCGCACAATGAGGCCATGACTGAATGGCGTCAACTTGTGCTAAAAGGAAGCTGGACTCACCTTCGGCAATAACGCCGGGGCTGGTGCGGAAAGTCAGGGCGGGGACCGTGGACAGGTATGTCATGGCCGAATCACGCCAAGTCTGCCACGAGCCGTGGCCCAGCTCGACATCCAGAATGTGCCTTGCGAGGTCCTTATTGTCAGCGAATACCGAACCAAGCAGCTACTGAGGCATCGGTCATCTCACTCACACAGTCCGGGTTGAGGCCCAAGCCTATGTGGTAGGCCATGTAGTAGATGGCGTCGGCGGCGCAGCCTGGTGTAAGGACTATTCAAGTGGGGATGCCGCTCACCGAGGGCTGACTCGTTCAGCTCCAGGAGCCGCCACTCCCTCGACCAGGCAAAGTGGTGAGTACCGCTACGAGCGGTGTAGATGGTGTTAGTCGCCTCGTGAATGGCGACAGAGACGGCACCGATCTTGTTGAAGACTCCACTGTCAACACCAGTTTTGCTGATAGGGTAAACTCACGTTCCATGAACTCCTCGTTGTTGTGGGTGACTGGGCCGTAAGCACGCCGCTCAGAATACCAGACAAGTATCGAGCACATGGAGGCGACCCCACTACTCACAGGTGACAGCAGCGGGAAGCTGGTTGGCAACCGTGTACGACATGCCCGTGGCTGATGAGGGGATCACGGCAAGCCAGCCTAGAGCCGCAGCTACATGGGTCAGCGCCTCTTCCTTGGTTGGCATGCATCACTCACCAAAGGCCCAGCGCACAACACAACCCGCGGCTGGAAGCTCAACCGTCGCCGATGGCCGATGGCAAAAGCGCTTGCACGAATGGGGGTTGGGGTTGGGGCTGGGGCTGGAGTTGGAGTTGGAGTTGGGGTGGGTGTTGAGCCCGGGCTTGTTGTTGTTGTTGTTGTTGTTGTTGTTGTTGGAGTCCATGGTAAAAGGAGAGAGTAGGGTGGACGGGAGGATGTGGGAAGAAGACGTTTGTCTTGTCGTAATATATAGTGTGACTGTGAGAGCGAACACGGGCCCACTGCACCAGTGCTGTCCAGCGATCCAAGTGCGTCAGTGCGCCCGTGTGAAGGGGGTCGAGGTTGCCTGCTTCATGCCATCCTTCCCTTCGAGACATTTGCTTCTCTCGCATTCCGTTACCTGCACGCACACACGATCAAGAGCAACATGGAGCCGCTGGCGATATCGCAACTGGGTGGGAAAAGGAAGGCCCTTGACGAACCATTTCGTAGCCTCTTCCCACAGATGAACGCTCTCGCAGGATCGCGAGGCCTGAGAAGACGTGTGCTGTTGTGTCGCGCATCGGCCCCACACCACCACATTCGCACGCAAAACGTGCCAAGGCCTCTGCACAGCATTCACAGCGTGTGGTACGAAGCACGGGCGTCTGTGTCTAACCGACGGAGGTGGGCTATGAAAGGTGTTCACGCTGAGAGGCTTTCCACAAACGAACGGACCATGACGCCCCGCATCCTCCTCATCGTTCGACGGGTACTTGCTGTCCCGGTAACGTGCCCTTACTGTAACAGTAAAGTACACTTCTACGAGCGACCGCGAGACTCGTGAGACGCTAGCATGTAGAGGCGACTGGGCTCATATGAGAGAAGAAAGAGGCTGTTATTGACGTACGGTACGTTGACATATTTACATGCTAGGTGTTATTGCGCTGTTGGTGAAGCGTGATGCTGCCTCGTGGTAGTCACGGCTACGCCTGACGCCGCTACGGCCTCCCATCCCCCTTGTGGATTCGAGTGGCTGTGAAAGGTGCAAACAAGTGGAGCGAGCACATGTCGCGCCCATCCCCCACAGAATTGTAGACACTGTGGAGCCTTCGCGGACGCTGGCCCGGCACGCAAGGCGCTCACCCTCTCCCCGAGGGCCAGGGTATTTTGCGGGGACGTCAAGCAAAATCCGTGAGGCCTGAACAACTCTCCCCTGCCGAACCGTGCTGGGTTTCTCTTGCTTTCAGTGATTAGTGGATCAATAGCCTCAGGTGACCCCCCAAAAGAACCGAATGCTGCATGACCTACTGGAGACCGGTTTCCTCGCGAGGAATCCGCCTCAACCTCTTGTTGTGGCGGTGATGTGCTCGGGAGCTGCCCAGGGAAAGCCGGTACGGCAATAATTGTGGGTGTCCGACGTGAACAGTCGAGATGTCGTCCAGGGCGTTCATGAGCATGTGTGTGTGAGTGAGGGTCGGTGCAGCGTGGCGAAACGAGGGAAGACAAATAACACACGTTGGTAAGCGCAAGCGAAGAACCCCCCAGGTCCCCACCATGGGGCGCCGTTCTCTGGGCTCCTGTTGAGTTGGATGGTTTGCGCAACGACCCCATTGATACCTCGAATGTGCAGCAGGACATGCTACGCACTCCGTGCTACAGTCTGGACAGTCCACAAGAATGCCCGCCTGGCGTAAGAAAACGGACGATTCGCAGGCTGTTACGTAAACATCAAATTGTGTGTGTGTGTGGCACATTAATTTACTTCCGCTGTCACAACATGTCTACCACAAACCCGTGCCCACCACCGCCGACCCGCCTTTTTTTATGTGTATGTCTGCTACCTGTCTGCATGCTGCTTCCTACCACATATACAATCACGGTCCGGCTATCCTACGCCACTGCTTTTTATTTACTTGTTGGCAGCAACAACCTGCTTGATGTTCTCGAGAACGTTGGGGTCCTCGAGCGACGAGGTGTCACCGAGCGAGTCGTCGCCCGACGCAATCTTGCGGAGAAGACGACGCATGATCTTGCCCGAGCGGGTCTTGGGGACCGAGGTGACAATGTAGATCTTGCGGGGGGCGGCGAAGGGGCCGATAACCTTGCGGACCTGGATGGAGAGCTCCTTGGTCAACTGGGCGAGGGACTCGCTGCTGTCGTAGGCGCCCTTCATGACAACAAAGGCAATGACGGCCTGGCCAGTAAGGTCGTCGGGGATACCGACAACGGCGGTCTCGCTGACACCCGAGTGCATGATGAGGGCACTCTCAACCTCGGCGGTGGAGAGACGGTGGCCTGTGGCGCGTTAATTTTCGGTGATTTTTTTTTTTTTTTTTGCCGATCCTTTTTTTTCTCAACTTACCAGAGCAGTTGATAACATCGTCAACACGTCCCTTGATCCAGAGGTAGCCTTCACAATCACGGGATGCCCCGTCCCCGAAAAAGAAGTAGCCTGGGTAGGGACGGAAGTAGGTGTCGAGGTAGCGTTTGTGGTCGCGGTAGACGGTACGAGCGATAGAAGGCCAGGGCTTCTTGGCGACGAGGACACCTTCGACGTCGTCGCCCTCGAGGACCTTGCCGGTCTGGGGGTCGATGATGTCGAGCTCAAAGCCGAAGAAGGGGAAGGTGGCCGAGCCGGGCTTGGTGGCGATACAGCCGGGGAGGGGGGTGATGACGTGCGAGCCAGTCTCGGTCATCCAGTAGGTGTCGACGATGGCGCACTGACCGCCCTTGCCGGCCTGCTCGTTGTACCAGTGCCAGGCCTCGGGGTTGATGGGCTCGCCGACGGATCCGAGGACACGGAGCGACGAGAGGTCGTACTTGGCCACGGCCTCGTCGCCCATGCGGCGGAGGAGACGGATGGCGGTGGGGGCGGTGTAGAGCTGGGTAGCCTTCCACTTGTCGACAAAGTCCCAGTAGCGCGAGGCGTTGGGGTAGACGGGGGTCGACTCGAAGACGGTGGTGGTGACACCGAGGGCGAGGGGGCCGTAGACGATGTAGGTGTGGCCAGTGATCCATCCGACGTCGGCCATGCAGGCAAACTTGTCGTCGGGGTGGACGTCAAAGACGTACTTGACGGTGAGGTAGGCACCGAGGAGGTAGCCAGCGGTCGAGTGGACCACACCCTTGGGCTTGCCGGTCGAGCCGGAGGTGTAGAGGATGAAGAGGGGGTCCTCGGCGTTCATGTGCTCGCAGGCCGAGTAGGTGGGGACCTTCTCACACTCCTCGTCCCACCACTTGTCACGGCCCTCGGTCATGGGGACCTTGGCGCCGGTGCGGCGGAGGACGAGAACGTGCTCGACAAGGGGGCACTGGGTGAGTGCGGCGTCGACAATGGCCTTGGTGGCAATGCTCTTGCCGCCACGGCGACCCTCGTCGGTGGTGATGAGGACCTTGCACTCGCAGTCGTTGACACGGTCACGGAGCGACTCGGCGGAGAAACCGGCGAAGACGGCCGAGTGGACGGCACCGATACGGGCACAGGCGAGGAAGGCGGCAACAGCCTGCCAGGTCATGGGGAGGTAGACCGAGACGGTGTCGCCCTTCTTGACACCCCACTGACGGAGGACGTTGGAGACGCGGCAGACCTCGTGGAAGAGCTCCTCGTACGAGATGGGGCGCGACTCGCTGGGCTCGTCGGCCTCGTAGATGATGGCAGTCTTGTCCTTGTTGGCATAGTAGTGACGGTCAACACAGTTGTAAGCGGCGTTGAGGGTGCCCTCGGGGCTGAAAACAGTGCGTCAGCGGCTGGATGGAATGCGGTGGACACAAAAAAGGAGGTGGCGGCGATCATGCCGCAACGGTGGGGGCGGGGGAGCGGCATCAAGGGGTGGTGGGGAACGTGTCGGAGGAAGAATGGTCCGCGCGCCCGAGCGGATCAATGGGGGCCCGTACAATGGTGTATGGCCGTCCACCGCGCTCTACATCGCATCCCAAAGGGTGGGCCAAGGTGGGTCTGCTGGAGGGCCAGTACAACAGTACAGCGACGTTGTAGCAAACGGCGTGGGAGCCATTGGTCCTAGCCCGCCAGCCCCCGCACCTCGCCCCGCCCCCACCCAAAAGAAAAGGACACCCCCCACCGCTCGGCTCTTTTTCCCAGAGAGACATATTCAGATCAAGACACTCACAACCACTGGATGTCGCCAAACTCAAAGCCACCGGCGCGAACAGTGTCAAAGTCGGTGAACCAGGTGAGGGACTCGCGAGCCTTGGTGGCCCACCACTCGTCCGAGTTGGGGCCGACCGACTTTTCCCACTCTGCCTTGTAGGCGGCAAAGTCGGGACCGATGTGGGGCTTGGGACGACCGTCCTGGCCCTGGAGACGGAGGGGAGGAGGGTACGAGTGCAGGTGGCCGGGGTGGCCGTCGACGATTTCGGTGTGGTGCGTCTCCGCCATGATGAGTGGTGGTTGCGAAGGTGTGGGATGTGGGGGAAAGGGAATGGGGGAGCGGGTGGTTGGATATATATGGGGGTGTGCGGGCTACGGTCAATTTGGAGTGTGATATTGCTCCGTCTGGGCTGGCTGGCTGGCTGGGGTGGGTGGGTGGGGTGTCCGTTGGCCGCTGGCACACTGGCTCTGGGCACTGGCTCTCTGGGCACTGACCATTTTGGCCCACCGCTGCTGCTGGCGGCATGGCGGCATGGCGCCTGCGCGCCAGTGCCGTTGCACACGGTACTGCCATTGTGGTGATTGGGTGAACCCGTGACTGGCCGTGACATGCTCGCCCCGGCAACTGACCCTAACCGGGGCTTGACGTCCCCTTCTTCCCCCCCCCTGGCCCCCTGCAAAGCAACAAACGCGTCGTGTGTCTCTGCCACACTGTCGGTCTAGATCGGCCGACGGCCCTACTGCCGCCGCACCCCCTCTTGTGCCCCACTGCCAAGCATGTGCGGCCCCGGGGACCTAGAGTGGGGCTAGAATGCCCTTCCCCAGCTCTCATCTCTTTTCGTCTCTTTGTACGTTTGTACGTTGCTCTGCGGGGCCTTCCGGGGACAACGCCAGCGCGGGGTATACACAGCCAGGCGACGCAGACTCTCTGTACTCTCTCTCGGTCCACGACCTCGTCGGTGCACCCAAAAAAAGTCTTGGCATCACGACCTCACTGGTCCCCCGGATCACAATGGCTCCACGCATATGCAACACGGGGAAGAAAACTTAGGGAAAATGGGGGGGGAAAGGCGGCATCCCAGCTGAAGAACGCCGTGCGCGCATTTATTTGTGTTGTGGGTACACAGCTGTGTGGTGGCCGGTGGTGTCCTGGTGGTTGTACCCAGCGACAAACCTGTCTATGCGTGGGGCAAAGACAAACACGTCTCCAGTCAGAGGCCAGTCACCAAGGGCGTGCGTACCCCAGTTACATGGTCCTTTCCACCTTCCTCCCCCGCAATGACACAATCCAAGGCCCTCGATTGCTCCTGCGGGGTCGGCTGTGCTGACGGACAGACTGACAGACTGACGCCGTCGGATAGGCGAGCTCTCCCCTCGGGTCGGTACGGCGGAGACACAAATACCCGTTATCTCGCGTGTTCTGGGCAACCGCTGGCAGAGAGCAAAATGTCATAGCACCTTATTGTTCGTGCATTCCGAGGACACCGATGGTATGTGTGTGTGTATGTGTGTGTGTTCCATGGAGCAATGGATATAGGCCCTCCTCCCCGCGCATGCACTGTGGAATACGCCATTGCCTCCATGCCCAGAACATGTGTGCGTGTCTAATACCCGCGCACACCACCTGCAGCGCCACGAAAAAGCGACTTTTACATTGTCCAAAGGGACGGCGTGCGCAACAATACAACGGCGGCTCGGACGCCTCCACAGCCCACCCCAAAGGCCAAAGGCCTCTAGCCGCGCTCTCTTCCTCACAAAGGCACTCGTGGCCCCCCTCCGCGGCACACGCCCCACGCAACACGCAGGCCACAGATGAGATCTAAACATATGGGTGTCGCCAAGCAAGGTCAGAAGGAAGGTCCGAAGACATCGAAGACACGCACGCACGCACACGCTACAAGCTACAGGCGGACGGAGTGATGGCCTGTAACCTTCCGTCCGATGCGTCCCTCCACCTCCACACACACTTTGCAACGCGGGTCCCCAGTCCGTCCGCGCGTCACCTCATGACTAACTGTGCAGCCGTGGGGTGTGGACATGTCCACAGAGATGCATCGCTGTCTCCTCCTCATCATCGACGATGGCGACAAGAACGCAAAAACGCTGGACGCTGGCGTAACCCCCCACCCCCCACCTGCGGAAGTCGGCGGCGACCCACGGCGATCTTGCGGACGACGGCTTTGACGCTCGTACGCCGCCCGTGACGCCATGCCAGCCACGCCACCCACACACCTGTCACGAGTTGCACGGTAGGCGGTCCGTGTGGTCGGCCCGTTTTACCGTGTGAGCGATGGTCAAGTGACGCCAAGAGCACGACGACGACGACGACCAACGCAAGTGTCAGCACGGGGACGAGACCATCGGTGTCGTTCTGGACACGACCATCGCACATGCAACGTCTTTTATCGTCAACCTCGCTTGTCTTACGCAGTGCATCGATCTTGGCCCTCGCCAAGTTGGCCCCAGCCACCAAGGGCCAAGGGGAACTGCCTTGGTCATCAGTGTGATGTGCCGGATCAACTTGGATCCGTCGTGGGCCCAACCACCAAGCGACCATTCCCCCTCTTCGACATCGACACCGACACCGACCGCTGAGCATCTGCCATGCACCCGGAGCGCCGTGGGGACAGTGCATCCAAGGTCACCGCCCCACACACCCCGAGTCTCAACGTCGTCGAGCCCCGCCCTCCTACCGAGTGCTCGGACAGGAAACCATGGGCCGTGCAACGGCGTCGGGCAAGGTTCCTTCCCTCGCTTCCCGTCGTCCACCCTGTCGCTGCCAGGAGCGTGAGCAGGAGCGGCAGGAGCGGCAGGAGACGACGAGGGAACAACGACAAGCCCAACCCCAACACGCCCTTGAGCGACAGTCCACTCGTGGGCAGTCCCCACGCAGCCCGTTGGCGGGCTTGGCCCTGCAGACGCGTAGACGACCGAGGACCCACGCGGCTCAATCGTCAAAGGGCTCTCCCGTTGTTGGGAACCTGTCACGGCGCCCACGGCCCTGTGTATGTTCGTTTTATCGAATCCTGCATGTCGCGCGAAGTGAGAGCACATCGTTCTGAACACCCCCACGACTCTCGGCGTCTACGGCGTGCACGGCGGAAACGAGAAACGAGACGCCCAGCGGTCCAACTCAGATCCGCCCAGTCAGGCTAGTCAGTGCTAGTCAAGCAATCACGTCACACACGTTGCGCGTTTTTCTGCCATGCTGCCATTCTGCCATTCTGCCAGCCTTTCCTGTACAGCACTACTGCAGTTCGGCAGGTATCACCACCTATACACGCGCTGCCTGCACACCAACACGGCGACGGCTACCGTACCGCCGGAGAAACATGCTTGCTCGCCGCGCCGATGCGCAAAAGTCATGGGGTGGGGAGTGTACGGCCAAACTCGCCGTGGGGACGATTGGCTGGCCCCTTGTTCCCCACCGGCGGCAGTGGCTCAGGGGTGTGTGTTTCCCAGGCCAGTAGAGGTCTCGGTCAAATGCAAACCCCATCGTTCGTCGCGATGAACCGATCACCCGTTCAACCGTGACGGTGTCCATTGCAGGATGTGTGAGCCGCCGCCGAGTTGACGAGTGGAGGAGGACGCAGGAGGCAAGTTTAGAGTTCAGCCTGGACGAGGCGGCGAACTGTGGATGGCAAGGTTTCGTTTTGGGACTTTTCTGTTCATGTCTCCCGTCTCTCCACGCCCCCTTACTGCTCACCGCGACTCGTTAGTCCTCAGCTCCTGGCCACCCGCTCGCACCTCGCGTCATGGTGACGTCGACGATGGGTCGTGGCACGCCGGCACGCCGCTGCGCAGCTGGTGCGACCAGCTCTGTTTGCGAGCGCGAGCGCGAGCGCACCCAATCCCTGACTTGCGCGCGTGGGCGGGTAACCGATGCCCCCCCCCATCGCATGTTGTCTGCCCGCAAGGCCATACCCAAGACGTACCGCCAGAAGCATAACGTATTTCTCTGGGACCCGCGTGGTACAAGTGAGTCACCCAGTCGTAGGCCGTTTGTCAACAGTTGGATGTGGATGGCATATGCAATTTGGTTACAAATGATGGTTGAACACACGTCTATCAGATCTTCTCTCGCTCTCTCCCGTCTCTACGCCGTCGGCCCAAACCCCCTTTCCCCCCTTTTTACTCATCCAGAAGGAAGCGCCAGAGACCCTTGGCGTCCTTGTAGTCGTGGTGGATGACACTCACGAGCCACCAGTTCTCCGACACGTCCTCGAGCAGCTTGCGTGCAGGCGAGGCGCGCGGGTACAGCAGCGACCACTCGCGCCAGATATCAAACGCCTCCTCCTTCCACGCCAAGAATGAGATTTCCTCAATGATCGTCGACTGGACAATCTCTTGGCCCGGGAACGCCGCCCACGTGACCGCGTTGACGGCGTCCTTGAGCGTGTTGGTCAGGTAGTCGCCCCGGCGGTTGGCGGCGTACATGCTGATACGGCCGTTGGGGTTTTCGGACACGAGCTTGCGCTCGAGCTTTTGCACCTGGGCGAGCGGGACGAAGAATTCGGCATACGCCTTCTGGAAGACGTACCCGCCGGGAGGTCCCCAGCCGTGCACGGCGTCCTCGGAGCGCGCGGCGTCGACCGCAGGCTGCGAGCCCACAGTCCAGTACTGGCGCTCGGCAGAGTTGAGCTCGATGAGGAACGGCAGAATCGTCTCCGACTCGGGCGACAGCGGCATGTCACAGAAGGGCGTGGTTGGCGCAGCGGGGTCACAGTGCAGGTAACGGGTGAAGAGGGAAGACAGGTCGGCCGGAGTGGCGGGTGTGCCCCACTCCTTGAGAGCCTGTGCCGGCGTAATCTTGAGACCACTGCCCCAACCGTCAATCTCACCGTAAGCGGGCGAGCGAACGTCGGTGAAACGACCGTTGGGGAACTCATCCCAGCTGTCCTCGCCGGCAGTGGGCAGAGGTGGCTTGGCCGGCGACGCCTGGGGGGCAGTCTGATGAGCGCGGTTCAAACCCCACTGCGCCAGCACGCTCGCGTCCGACGGCGAGATTGACAGGCTGTCGGCGCCAGAGGGAGCAGGCACACCGTCGTCGGCAATGAGCTGGTTGTGACGGGTATGCGGCGAGCCCCTGATAGGGACGGGGACGGCAGCGGTCCATTCGAGGTTCTCAAGAATGGTGCGCACCGACTTTTCGAGGTTGAGCGTGCAAAAGTGGACACCGCGGACGACCTTGGACGCAATGAGGCCCTGCACAAGCTCGGTCGCGACCTTGGCGCCGTACAGCTTGACGGCGGCGTCGTCGCCCTTGATGGGCTCGAGGTCGCGCATGATCCCCTCGGGAACGGGGCACTTTGTGAGGTTGACGAGACGACGGAACGAGACATAGTTCTGGATGGGCATGACACCGGGGATGATCGGCTGGGAAATGCCGGCAGCACGACAGCGTGCCACCCACTCGACAAACGAAGGGACGTCGTAGAACAGCTGCGTCACAATAAAGTCGGCACCCGCATCGCACTTGGCCTTGAGCCACTTGATGTCGCTGTCGGCGTTCTCAGAGTCCGGGTGTGGGGTCGGGTAGCCGGCCACACCGATGCAAAAGTAGTCGCCGTGCTCCTTGCGCACGTGCCTCACAAGGTCGTCGGCGTGCTGGAACTCGTCGGCGTGGTCGGACGCATGTAGCGCATACTCCTCACCACGGGGGGCGTCACCACGAAGGGCCAGAATGTTGGAGATGCCAATCGCACGAGCGCGCTGGGGAATAAGGTCAGCCACATGACGTCGGGTTTTAAAAGTGCCGTGGGGAGAGAGGGGGGTGGGCTTACCTTGAGGGCCGCGTCGACCTTGGCCTTGGGCATGTTGGTGCAGGTCATGTGGAGAATGACGTCGATGCCCATCCTGGCAATGTTCTCTGCCAGCTCGAGCGAGCGGTCGGCAGTGCTGCCGCCGGCACCCCATGTGACGGAGACTGCGAGCGGCGCGCGGAGGGGCGACGCGGCGAGACGAGCTACACGGTCGAGGAGGTTGGCGACACCGGGCTCGGTGCGGGGCGGGAAGAACTCGAACGTGTGAAAGGGCCTGTCATCGCGCGCGATGAGGTCTGTGATGTGGGGCATCGCGAGTGAGAGAAGAAAAGACGCGGGGGGGAGTCTTTTCTTGCAAGATTGGGGTGGAGGAGAGTGAGATTGTGTGTGTGTCGTGCTCCAATGACTTTGACTCGGCCGCAATAAGCAAACGGGCCCTGAGTTGGAATGTGGCCCCGGGCGGAATCAAAATTTGGGTGGCCATTTTCGGTCACCCAGAGGCGTACAATGGCGCAATGAACGACGAGGATCGACAGTGGGTGGTGCGGTGAGGCCCGGGAGACACATCCTATCTCTCGCTCCCGTCCTTTTCCCAGTCTCTCCCATACACGTCCTTTATATCCCACTCTCACACTCCAAGCGGCCAAGCGGGCATCTTGCACGTCACCAACGCCATGGCTGAACCGCCCACCCCAGCGGAGGCAGCGGTCATGGTGCCCGCGTCGACCGCACCGGATCCGCCTCCACCACGCCGCACTACGACGACAGCAACAACAACAACAACAACGACACCAAGGCTGTCCCTCAGCGCGCGTCTCCCCCCATGGGCTTCCAAACTTCGCCAAATGGCCGCACCGGTCCTCGTCGCGTTTCTGTCCTTTGTCTTTATCACCGTGCCCCAACTCAACCACCTCGGCGGACAGTGAGTCTGAACATACTTCCGATAGCGTAGCGCGCTTTGGTCGCGTCCCGCCGCTGACGGGTGCCCAGGTATGCCTTCCTTTGCTACACGTCCGTGATTCTGTTCTTTTTCCCAAGGGGTCGTGTCTCGCAGCAGATAGAGTCCAACAGTACGCTTCTACCGGTGTGGTGACGACGTGCTGACACACCAAAGCTATCAATTTTCTCGGCGCCGTCTGCGGCCTCGCGTGGAGCTCGGCCGTTCTCGCCCTCGCGGCGTGGTGTGGAGCCCACGATGGTAGCGATTCCCCTCAGACCCGTGGCGTGCTCGGACTTGGTCTCGCCCTGCTATCTCTTGGCTGTGCGTTGCATTTTCTCCTGACGCAGGATGTGTGGTGCTAAATAAAACGCAGGTGGCTTCCTCCGCAGCTGGGTCCCTCTGCTCAATGTGGCGTGCAGAGCCGCAATGTTCTTCCCAATCTTCCTCCTCACTGCCGAGCAAACCGTCACAAAGGTGAGCTGGGACATGCGCACCTTTAGCTGACGACAGCTCACTCCACACTTGTTCCTTGAGCAATTCTATGTTGCGCTCTTTGCTTATGCGTTCTCGACGATTGTTGGCGTAGTCCTCTCCGAGCACTCGTCGTCGCCTCACCTTGGGGATGCGCTCCTGAAATCTTTGCGTACCACCTGCGAGCTCCTTCCAGTGTCACTGCACACCGTTCTCGAGGTGGAAGAGAGCCCTTCCGCCTCGAACCTCACCACACCCGCATCACCCGACACACCAGGCGGTGCGGAAAAGGCCACCAATGAGCCCCTTCCACCTCACAGTGCCATGCGGACGCGTCAGCAGCAGCTGGCGCGTCAGCTTCGTAGCCAGGTGACTGCCACTCGTGCCGCTCACGCGTCATACATGCTTGACATTGTGCACGCACGGCAGCACCCAGGAACGCTTGTGCCGATTATACGCATGTTGGGACGGCTCCAACGAAACCCGCTTCTAGGCCCAACGGGTCACGTTCCCGGAGAACGTATCCGGTCTGCTTTGGAACGCACCTTTGCAACACCGGCAGTGTCTCGCCAGACAAGTCGACACACAAGCCGCTCGGGTACCCCAAGGGTCCGCTCCCGCTCAACCTTGAGAGGTGTCAGCATGCCAGGGGACGACACGCCGACGCAGTCTCCGATGCACGAAAAGCGTAAGAGCAGCCCTGGAGCAGACCTGTCGGCCGTCCACCTCGCCCAAAAGCTGTCCAAAGTGGCCACACACCAAGTAGGGCAGCGTCATGCGTCTGGCGGATCGAATACATATCCTTCGCCCGCACGGTCCAAGTTGACCAATGCTTGCAATACGCTCAGCGACGCTATTGTGGCCGCCCTCGACGCGTCAGTGGAGGACATTGCGGCAGCATGTGACTGGAGGAACGGAGAGGCACGCAATGTCGACGACGCGTTGGTGCCTGGTCTCAAGGCCCATCTCCATGTGGCTCTCCGCGACCTCCAGAAACGTCTCAGTGGTATCATTGACACGACCGACATGGACAGCTCTCTGCACGGTACGGCTCCACTCTCGCCAGCGCAGTCTCGTTGGTCGATGCGTGGATCGACCCGTGGGGTCGCGTTTGAGGATGAAATGACGTCGGCCGACTGGCTCGACGACGAAGACCGATTCCGAATCGCATTCTACATGATTGCCCTCCTTGATCTCGCAAAGGACACGTCGCATCTCATGGACGTTGCTACTGGGTTAAGGCATAACGTCCAGCCGAAGCGATGGATCTTCCCTCGTATCATTTGGCCGTGGTCTAAAGTTACTCCGGAAACGCCGATTCCAACAGGTTCGTGTCGTGATTCCTGGATCCTTCTTTGAATTCTACCGCAACAGACTCACTGACACTTTATGTCCAGCCGCTGGCGAGGAGCCGCCGGACCAACAGGATCCCGATCCCGCCGACCACCATGAGGACCTTGACTTTGTTCACGCGTTGCTGCAAGAAAAGGAGCGCCCTAGGACACTGGCAGGGCGGAGCATTGGCACACGCTTGACGGCCGCCTGGCGCGCCGTTTGGGACCGCCGTGGGGTCGTGACCAGTGAGTGCCCCCCACCCCTACCTCGAGAGCTCCATGCTGACTAGGTAGCCCGTGTTGTCGTCTCCCAGACACTCCATTCGCTCAAGCACTCGCGTCATGTCCATTTTGCCCTCAAGCAGACCGTTGGCATCAGCATGCTCTCCCTCCCGGCGTTCCTGCCACTGGGTAATCCGGGAAGAAGCTGGTACGACTCGTCTCATGGCGCATGGATGGTCGTGAGCTTCATGTATGTCATCGAGGTCACCACCGGTGCGACCATGCGCATGGGTTTCTACCGTACCATCGGAACGTTCATCGGCGCGTCAGTGGGATACGTCGTGAGTACAGCTTCCAAACCGTCGGGACGAGCTGACGACAGTGCGCCCTGATTGCTCACGAGAATCCGTACGCTCTTGTGGTTCTCGCGACAGCGTGTTCCGTACCCATCTCGTACGGTGTGCTGTTCACCAGTGTCGCGCCAATGGCAATCGTCACGTAAGTTGCGAAGACATCCTCAGCTGACCCACAAGTGGCATTACCTTACCTCCTATTCTCTTTATCCAGTACCTTGGCCTTGCTGGAGGTGTCTCAGAGTTCAAGCTCGCATGGGAGCGCTTTGTGGACATTGAGATTGGTATCGCGGCCGCAGTGCTCCTCGGCGTGTGGCTGTGGCCCATCCACGCGCGTGTCCAGTACTTTAGCGCGGTATCCGACACGGTGAACCAGATTACCGAGTACTGTGAGTTGAAATTCCTTGTGGGTTTTCAACTGACATGGTAGACTTGATAATGAGTCGCGACCTGCTCAAGCCATCACTGGTCTATCATGACAACCACAAGAAGTACATTGCCGTTGAAGCGAATGTGCGGGTACGTCAAGCTTATACCTACTTGCTGAAGCTGACCCTTCAGCACCAAATCGCCCGCAGTCGCAACCTTGTCAGCATCCAGAGTCAAGAGATATCCCTCCTCCCTCGACCTGTCAAGCTGTACACCGAAGTGATCGACCTGACTGAACGACTCATCGAGACGTTTGCCGAGATTCGCGTTCTACGTTTCTCCCTCCCACGCAAGGCGACCGTCCTCGACGTCCTGCCTATCCGTCGCGAACTTGTCTCTTCACTCCTCATGAACCTGTGGGCGTGCGGACAGGCATTCCGCTCGCGTTCCCCCCTCCCTCAGCTCTTGCCCTCCCCGCGCGTGCCCCTCGCGGAGGTGATGGAGGCGACAGACGAGCACGCCCGCCACGTGCGCACCATGCGCGCACATGAGAACCTCCGGAAACAGACGGCGCGGAGCAGCAGTAGCAGCGACGACGAGCACGAGCACGGCGGGCACCCGCACGGAACCGATACCAACGGACACCACGCCGAGCTCGCTGTCCTGTACGGCATGGCCGAGAACGAGGCGCTCGGCGAGGCCATCAACTCGATTGACGAGCTGCTCGCTGCGGCACGTACCCTGTTTGGCACCCAGACCTTTATGGACCCCGCCGGCAACTGAGAACCAGTGCGGAACGATACCCCTCCCTCATACAACAACTTTACCAAACCATAGCATTTTATTCGGCATTCATTCTTGCATTATATTATAGACGCCTACGGGCTTGCATGCACATACCATTCGACATGTGATCATGTGAATGGACACGCACGTGGAATAAGACGACCATGGAGACTGATGGGTACAACCTTTCGGAACAAGTTGGCCCTTGATGGCACTACGGGATCAGTGGATCAGTGGCGGGCCTTGTCGCCTGAGAGGCCAAGAGGTCATGTGTAGCCCTCTCTGCGGGTATGTGCCAGTACATTCAAATCACACACTGCTGGACAGGTGTCGACAGGTGTTGAAACTACTGTGTTAGCTTCACCGTCCAGGTCAAAGGGCATGTTGCCGGACCTGAAGACATGGGCAAGGGGCCGGCCGTCACTGACGCTCAGGCGCTGCCAGCTGCTTGTGGCTGTGTTCTGTTCTGTTTTAGCAAGTATGTCGGTCTATGGAGGGACGACACTGCTATGACAGGGGGGGCGGTCGCTCGTCAATGGGACGTTGCGCCGTGGCATCGTGGACCACCTCGCGAGCCTTTCAATCGCCACGGGGGTACCAGTTCGTTGCTGCCCGGGGCGACTCTTCAGACATGTGACTTGTCCACAAGTGTGTAGACACGTCAGCACCGTGCCACATGAGGTAGGCAGTGTCGCCTTCAGGCCATTCCGCACAAGGGGGGTTAGCCGTCTCAGCGGCCGCCAGGCTTGACAGCCGACCGCTCGTAGAGCACTCGTAAAGCGAGTCAGCCAGGTCCAACTTTTACGCAAGAGGGGCGCACCCCAGCTGGCCTTGAAACACTCCATCCTCTCGAACTTGGTCCTCGAGTTTCGCTGTAAGCCATGAAAACTCGCACAAATGTCGCAATCCTCTTGGAATCCCCGTTTGTTCGATCTCCATCAGCAGGGTGAGTGTGCCAACCTCCATCCCTCCACTCCATTCCGCTCCTATCCACGGCCGTGTGAGTCGATGCATATGTCATGTCTACCTCTGTACGAGGAGTGTTTATGGGCGGAAGAAGAGGTTGGCACTGGGGGGGAATATAGTCAGCTTGTGCTCGTGTTGTTCACGGACAGTTGCCGCAGCGACGACGTACCGGTTCAGCATACCAATCTTGTGGACCTCCTCGACACGCTTGAACACGTCGCTGCTGCCCTCGAGCACGGCGAGGATCTCACGGGCGATACGGTCGTCGCGGCGGATACCGCTCTTGCGACCGCGCTCCGAGGCCTTGAGGAGCCAGCGGACACCGGTGGTGGTGCGTGCGCGCTCGGTGAGGGGACGCGGGGCGACGGTGGTCTTGGCGCGGTGGCGCATGTGGAAGACCTTGACCGAGGGAGCAGACAGCGCGATAGCCTCGTGGAGGAGGGGCACGGGGGGCTTGTTGGTCGCGCGCTGGAGGAGGGTGAGGATGTTGGAGACGTGCTTTTGGGCCTCGGCCTTTTTGCCGCTGCGCATAAGGGCGTTGGTGAAGAGCTCGAGGACGGGGTCGTTGCGCGCAGGCAGCGCGTCAGGCGAGAAGCCGCGACGGCTGCTGCTGGGGTCCACGGCGATGCTGGGGGCGGCAAAGGGCGTGGAGGACTGGACGACGTTGGCAGTCGCGGTCGACGACTCGGCGGCGGTCTCGGGCGAGTCGCTGGAAATGTTGACCAGGTTGGTGAACGCGTTGCCGCCAGGCGCCCGGGCGACGGCGGCGGTGGAGAACAACCTCCGTGGGGCCGCGAGGATGGCTGTGCGGAGCATGCTGTGTGGTGGTGCAGAGAGGGGGATAGATTAGATGGACAGAGTTGACTTCTTTTCGTGTTGAATGGATACGAGCGCAGAGGACCGGATTTCATCGCATGGCACAATTAAAGGTTTCCCACGGTGTCGTCCGAAAAGTTGTGCAACTGGCCACAGTCCTCATGACGGCCTCGCTTGTCCACAAACGTGTTGTCACTATCCATATACCCACCTCTAGACCACAAAACATGGGCACCAAGAAGCGCACTTCGGACGCCGCCGAGCTCCCCAACAAGGCCGCCGACCGCGGCCAGGACACTGCGCGCGCCGCCGCCGTCGAGGAGGACAACGAGATGGGCGAGTTTGAGGACCGCTGGGAGGACGAGCTGGAGGAGGAGGTTGTGGACAAGGACATGATCCCTGAGAACGAGGATGAAGGTAGGTGTACTGCTAGATTTAAAGGGGTCCGGGAAGGAGCTGACAACTGCAGAGGACTTTACGCCTGCGCAGGAGGACGAGGACGAGCCCGAGCCCAAGCGTCAGGTGTACCTGCCCGGCGTCACCATGGCGGCCGACGAGCAGCTGGTGGCGGACAACTCGGTGTACCCATGCCTGCACTCAATGTCGTACGCGTGGCCTTGTCTGTCGTTTGACGTGCTCAAGGACACTCTGGGCACGGACCGCAGCGGGTTCCCGCAGACGGCATGGATCGTGGCGGGCACCCAGGCCGGCGAGGTTCCTGGCCATGGCCGGGCCAAGGACGAGGTGGTGGTGATGCGCATGTCTGGCCTGAGCAGGACGCAGCACGACGACGACAGCGAGGACGAAGAGGACAACGACGAGGTCGACGAGGACGCGCGTCTCGACTTCCTCACCCTCCCGCACGTTGGCGGTGTGAACCGTATCCGCGCTGCCCCCGCCACCGCCGGCGCTGCCCTTCCCGACCCCTACCACGTTGCCACCTTTGCCGACACTGGCCGTGTGCACATTTACGACGTGCGCCCGCTCATCGACACGCTGTCTGGTCCCTCGCGCCCCCGCCAAAAGACCCCCGTGCACACCGTCACCGCCCACGGCCGTTCCGAGGGCTTTGCCGTCGAGTGGGGACAGACCGGTCTGCTGACGGGTGACGTCGACTCGAAGATCTACCTCACCACCGCCACGCCTACGGGCTTTACCACTGCGTCGGGTGCGTACGCCTCGCACACTTCGTCAGTCGAGGACCTGCAGTGGTCGCCTGCCGAGCCGACCGTCTTCGCCTCGTGTTCCGCCGACCAGACGGTCCGTGTGTGGGACGTCCGTACAAAGGGCCGCAAGAGCGCCGTCAGCGTGCGTGCCCACGACGACGATGTCAATGTCATTTCGTGGAACAAGAACGTCGACTACCTCCTTGTGTCCGGTGGCGACGAGGGCGGCATCAAGGTCTGGGACCTGCGCATGTTCAAGGAGTGAGTTTTTGGAACAGATGCCGATCACGGACCGCCTGTTCTTTTACTAACACCCACGCAGTACCCCTACTCCCGTCGCGCACTTTACATGGCACACGGCACCCATCACCTCTGTGGAATGGCACCCGACCGACTCGTCCGTGTTCGCCGCGTCGGGCTCGGACGACCAGGTCACGCTGTGGGACCTGGGTGTCGAGCAGGACGACGACGAGGCCCCCTCGGCCATTGGCCCCGACGGCAACCCGCTCGTCGTCCCCAGCCAGCTGCTCTTTGTCCACCAGGGCCAAAAGGACGTCAAGGAGGTCCACTGGCACCCCCAGATCCCCGGCATGGTCATCTCTACGGCGAGCGACAGCTTCAACGTCTTCAAGACCATTTCGTGCTAGTTTTTGGAGTTTGCGCCCATCTGCTAGTGAGAGGTATGGGAGGGCAGACTTGTAGAGAGACATGTTCTTTATTGTTTTGGATGCAGAGTTTTAGACTTGAGAAAGCGAGCTCGGTGGGGGAAGGGAAGATTAGATTCGCCGCTGAGACTGAAAGAAGCCGTCCGTGGCTCCCAGATAATACAAGTGCTTAAGCCTCCCGCACAACGATCCTACGTGTAAACAATCCAAGTAACCATAGCCGCACCTTCATTCCTGTACCCATTATCCACCCCATCCACCCGACACTCGATAAACACGCACTAGCATCGCTTCACATACAGTAGGGTTGCAAGTCTAGCATGTATCACTTTCCACGCACCGGGCCCTACAGCCCTGGACGCACAGACGCGTGCACACACGCGCGCGCCATAGCACTGCCGCCTCTTGTCCCCCAACTTTTTTTTTTTTCCCTTCGCTCCTAGGTAGAGAGGTTTTCGCGACGACACCTGTCAAGAAGAATGAAATGAAACATGCTTTGCGCGCGCCTTTGGGCCGGTTGGGCCCGCTGGTGCTGGGCGATACACTTGACACTTTTAGTCGCTGCGGGCCTTCTTCTTGGGGGGCTTGTCCTCGTCGTCCTCGAGGTCGACGGAACCCTCGTCGTCGTCGTCCTCGTCGTCGAGCTCGTCAAAGTCGAGGCCAAACTCCTCGTCGTCGTCGTCACCGGCGCCCTCGAACCAGCGGAGGGGGTCGTCGAGGATGTCGTCGAGGATGAACGAGCCAGTGTTGAACGAGTCGCCCTCGAGCGTCCAGAAGTGGAAGAACGAGCCCGAGTCACCGTCAAAGTCCTCGGCGTCCTCGGCGGTGCCGCGGGGCTGGGCGGCACAGAGGTCCTTGCCCTCCTTCCACTCGATGGCGGTAGCCTGGGATAGGTCTTAGCAAGGTGCGCACAACTTTGTGGAACTGGGCGACTTACCGAAGCGACGAGGTCCTCGGGCTCAAAGAGGCGCATCTCCTCGGTGATGGAGCCGTCGGCGGGGGCGGCAGAGACACCCTCGGGGAGCGAGTACTTCTTCGAGAGGGTGGTGTTGGTGAAGTAGGGGTTCTCCGAGAAGTGCTGGAGGGACGAGGTGTCAGCAAAGAGTTGTGTTCCAAACGACGCAAGCCCAACTCACGAAGATGAGCTCGAAAGCGCGGGGGTCCTTGATGTCCTGGATGAGCTCAATGTCGTTGATGTAGGTGAGCGCGTCACGGTCCGAGGCGCTGGCAATGGACGCGATACCGGGGTGGTTGAGCTGGAGGAAGGGCGGAGAACGAACGTGGGTGCGTGAGGGCGTCGGTGGGGCATGGGCAGTGGAGTGATGGGAATGGCATGGCGTGCGGGGAGGACATTGATGGGAGGAGTGGTGATGGGTGCCGGGGAGTCGTTAAAGACGGACGAGGACAAGAGAGAAGAAGAACGTCAGCGATGGTGGTCCACATCCAGCAATCCGCCGCTGCACAGGGCGCAAACACCAGCAACAAGTGGGCTGGTCGGGATCGGACTGTGTTGCCTCCCAGCCCTCGTTCCGCCAGACGTTCACACCACCGCTCGCTGCCGCTGTCCACACTTACCAGAGTCACGGCCCAGAAGCCCTTGACGGGCTTGAGCTGCTTGCGAGCGAGCTCAAGGAACTCGAGCGCCTGCTCGGCAGCGAAGCGCTGAAGGCGGACCTCCTTGTCCTTGGCAGCTAACGCCCCGCTGTCAGTCACTAGGTTCGCCGCGTCTTTGCGGGGTCTCGGTACTTACCGCGGCCGAGGTCCTCGGCGACGGTGTCGGGCAGGTCTAGGCTTGTCAGCTAACTGGTGCTTGCTTGGTACGGGCGTGGGATCGTGGGGGATCATAGGCCGGAGGAAGGGAGGGAAGAGGGGGGCGGGCGGAGTCTGCAGTGGGGCGCGCGCGCAAAAGACGGGAGTGCAGGTGCTGGGAAGGTGGGGGGAGGGGGCCAGTGTACTCACCGACGGCCAGAACGTTCTCCTTCTCGGACATGGTGGATGTGAAGAGGTGGATGGGATGAGGGAAGACAAGAGAGTTGGATGCGGGGGCAGAAAAACATCATCCACTCTTTCAAGCCACCACCCAACACGCTGGACGGGATGGGGTGTGGGGTGGAGGTCTCGCTAAACGGCACCAATATGGTGTGTGTACGTCTGTGATGACGTTTCACACACAGACAAAAATCACTGCGTGCGGCATGTGGCAGCAAAAAACCCTATTCGCGAAGCTCCCATGTTTCTTGTTCTCGTTGGTTCGTCGCAACAGTCATTGCATGATCTCAATCCAGTGTCCCCATCAAGGGGACCACACCCACATATGGCCACAACACGCCGCATTTTTTACGCGGACACTATAAAAACAGGTGTAGCAAAGAAATAAATAGTCCAACAGCTCCTCCCCTTCCTCCGCTCTTCCTCTTCCTCCTCCTACACCAGCCTCTTCCCTTACACTAACCTTCCTTGGTCCAAGGTCTAGTGGGGGCCAGGTGCAGGCAGCGAGTCCACTGCCTGTCCAGAGGCGGTGCCGTTGTGCATGTGAACCATGCTCCGCATGTTCATTTCAGGCGAGGGCGAGGCGGCGCTACGGTCAATCTCGATGGTGGGCACCTTGGGTCCCTTGCGCGTGAGGAAGCGCTTGACAGTCTCCTTGGCTTTGGTGACGGCCAGGGGCGGTGCAGACGGCATGCTGTCCGGAGTAGGCGATGCGGCCTTGCCGCGCTGAGCGTAGACTGCCAGCATTTGGTCGGGACCATAGGCAACGGTGGGCTGGCCATTGTTGCCGTCAGTGGGCGAGGAAGGGTCGTCGTCCATGTGCAGAGATTCAACAGTGTCGTCAGGGTGAGTAACAACTGTTTGGCGACGCATCACTGCATGTCAGCTCGGGACGTTCGGTGCGCAAATGTCCACTTACACATGACGGCCTCCATGTCGCGCAGTTCGTCCACGGAGCCGCGGGCCTTGAGCATTGAGCGGACGTCGCCAGACTGGCCAATGCTGGCGCGACCAGTACGAGTACCAGTAGCAGCACGGCGAATCTCGGCGTCGCCAAAGCCAGCAGGGCCGTCCATCTGGGTCGGGGAGACGTTGGTGAGCTCGCGGTCGTCGATGGCCGAACCAGAGGCATAGACAGCAGCCGCTGCGTCGTGGTTGAGACCGGAGGCAACGCGCGGGCGGTGCTGGTCGCCGGCAGAGAGACGAGGGCGAACCTGGTCGGCGAAAGAGATACGCGACTGGCGAACGTGACCGTCGGCCATGACAACGGACGAGCGACTGGGGCCCTCCTCGGCACCACCAGGGAAGGGGCGGAAAGTGCCGGCTCCAGCCATGTTCTCCATCATGACCGAGGACGCGGGACGGCCCTGCGAGTTCATCGAAGGGCGGCCGTAACCAGTGCTGGGACGACCGTAGCCAGTGCTGGGGCGGCCAGCCGAGCGCGAGTACGCCGAGCTGGGACGGCCATAAGCGGAACCGCGCTGGTCGCCGGGAAGAGCGCCCTTTTCCCACTCCATGGCCGAATGCTGGCTGAGCGCCTGCGACCAGCGCTTGAGCTTTTCCTTCTCCTTGAGACGGTAAAAGTAGAAGGCAACAGCAGCAAGACCGGCGAGAACGACAATGGGAATGATAACCGCGACGGCAATCACGCCCTTGTTGGACTTTTTGCCAGTGGTGGCGTTGACTGTCTCAAAGACGGCGTTTCCAGTGCCGGTAGCCGCACCGGGTGCGGTTGAAGTGTACACTACGCCGTTCGAGGTGGTGACAGAGTACATTGCCTGGGCCGAGTAGGTGGCCGTAAAAGTGGGACCGTTGGACCAAGTCGTGTCCCAGACCGCTCCACCGTTCTTGAGAATGGTGACATAGAGCTGGACCGACTCGGTGTCGTTCCACCACGAGGGCTGGAGCTGGGCGGTGTAGTAGCCAGTGGAAAAGGTGACGCCGACGTAGGCCTTGAGGAGCGCGTTGGACGCGCTGGGCTCGTAGATGTACAGGTCAATGAGGTCCGAGTTGACGTTGCAAGTGGTGTCCCACTTGAACGTGACGGGCAGGGTGGCGTCGACGGTCGTCGACGAGTTGGGGTACGTGTAGAGGTTGGTACAGCCGAGGTCCGTTGCTGGGGGGGAAAAGTTAGCACACTAGTAATCATAACGGCAATGGCGGGAGGGATTTGGGGGTGGGGGAGGAACACCAGGTTCGGGTGCGTGCGCACGCGTACTGAGCGCGCGGTCCAGGGTGGTGGTGTGTGGTGTCCGTCCCTCGCCCCCATCCCACATGTGATACCTACCACGGCGGTGCAGGACGTCGTTGTGGGCATGGCCACCGGCAGCGAGGCCGAGACGGACGTTGGGGAGAGTCATCGCGTGCAGGTTGGGTCGGAGGGGTGAGATAATGGTATCGAAAGGAGGCGACGTGGGTCGATCAAAGGGCACCAGGCGCGGTGTCGGCCAGTGTCGGGCGCGAGGTTTGGGCTAGCGACTGTGGAAGGAGTTGGAGTTGAGTTGAAGAGAAAGAGCAAGACGCGTCAACGAGACGAGGTCTCCTGGTGGTGGGTGTCGAGGTCGAAAGTGGGTTGGTGTTTGGAGCAAGGTTTGATACACCTGGGGGGGGGGGGCGGATGGCGAATGGGGGAGGGATGGGAGGAGGAGAGTGATGGGTTGCGGGTGGGTGGGCGGGGGAAGAGGCACGCGCTCGACGCTGGGTCAAAATGAATGTGGAGTGCGCAGTGTCGATGCGCAAAGAAGCAAAAGGCGTGGGCCGTGTCGACGAGGAGGTGGGTGTGGTGTGGGTGAGTGAGTGAGGATGAGAGAGAGAGAGAGAGAGAGAGAGAGAATGCCCAGGTGGGCGCTGTGGGTTTGTGTTGGGTGCAAAGGAAAAGGGAATGGGCTTTTGGACCTTGGGGGGGGAGGGCCAGGCAGCAGCAATGGTACAGCCAGAGGCCAGACGCCACACACCGGGCACAAGACAGGGTCTGGTTTTTCGCAAGCAGCACGGGAACAAGGGCGCGCGCGCGGGGGCGCGTGCGGGCGGGGCGCGCCCTGTGTGGGCCGGGCACGGGACCAAATAATACAAAATACCCACTAGACGGTTGAAATCTTTTGGCGGCCCGCCGCCGTTGTGTTTTTGCTGTACGCTGTCGTGGGGGCTCGTGTGCCTGGAGCGGGTGGGTGCAAGAGACATCTCCTGAACCACGCCTGAAGCGCCTGCACTTCACGGGCCACGGGCCACGGGGCTCACGAGATCCCCCCTTGTCTCTCTGCTAATCGCCATTAGACTTTCATGTTTACCGTCCTTATTTCACAGAAACATGTGGCCCTTCTCTGTGTCTCTGATCTCTAAATCCTCGTGGTCTCTCAGATCCCCCCGCGTCTCCTTGCTCCTTGTTTGGCTTGTCTGACTCCTCGCCTCGTGGCATCAACACACAGCTTTCGTCTGCCTCTCCAATTGACATTCGTTCATCTTCTAAAACAGCACTACATTCTTCCCCACTTGCCCCGGGCTCACCTGCTCGTCCCACATGGGCCCAACCTGCTCCAGCCCCGCCCACGTCCGCGTGTGCACTTGGATGTCGTGCTGCGTCACAAACTCAATGGTCTCCTGCAGGTCCGCACCGTTGCCTTGCAGCGACCCCACAACCGTAACATTCTTGAAGATGAGCTCGCGGAAGGGAATGCGCAGCTCCTCGGGCTGCGAGACGAGCACATACGTCCCATGCCGCTTGGTAATGTCAAACGCGAAGCGGAGGGCAGGAGGCACTTCAGCAGTCACAACCACAGCTGTGATGGTCAGCGGATCAGCGGGCCGGGGTGTGGGTGGGTGGGTGGCTAGACTCGAGGACTCACCATCAACCCCAGATGGCCGCTCCTCGCTAAAGGTTGATTTGACTTTCTTGTCGATGAGCGCCACAGCCTCTTCGGCACTTGTCTTGGACGCGTCAATGAGGACGTCGGGGGCCAGGGCGAGACCGGCACACAGTTCAAGCGGCCCAGGTCGCGCATCGATGCCGACCACAAACAAGCCCATGGCCTTGGCCATCTGCACGCCAATGTGGCCGAGGGCGCCAAGACCAGAGATGGCAAGCACGCCGCCCGGTTGCAGGCCAGCTTTGCGGATCGCCTTGTATATCGTGATGCCCGCACAAGGCATGGGTGCGGCCTTTTTGGCACAGAGTCAGCAAGCAGTGATATACCTGCAGACAGAGGGTCAACATACCACTTCCCACGGCATGGACTCGGGCACCTTGGCCGAGTTCTTGGCCAAGCTGACAAAGTACTCTGCAAACGAGCCGTCCGTGTGCAGACCAGCAAGGTTTCCGTTGGGACAGAACGCAGAGTCGAGGTGCTTGCAGTCGTGGCATTCGCCTAGAGGTGATGAGTTGTGGTCAGCGCGTGTGCTGGTATGACATCTTCCAACGCAGCTTCCTCGGCCCACTCACCACACTCGGTCACCTTGTTGAGAGACGCAGCCCGGTCACCAACTTGCCACCCTTGCACGCCCTCGCCGACAGCGACGACAATGCCCGCGGGCTCATGGCTGCCAGTGATCGGGTATGGCGAGCCAAAGTCGCCGTGCGACACCATGATGTCTGTATGGCAGAAGCCAGCCGCCTTGACCTGTATGAGAAGTTGTCCAGGTCCAGCCGTTGGAGCAGGCACATCGCAGAGTGTATAGCGTCTGTTGGCACTGTCAGTAGAAGAACACAGGCATGACCCAGGTTCCACATACTCGTTCTTGTTGACGATCTGAGCGGCTTTCATTGTGACGAGTCTGGTTGGGGGTTAGAGTGCTGTGCTGTGCAGCGCCAAGACACAAGTACTTTTAACGCATCAGTTTGTCGGTGCCGAGAGATCACACACATATGTGGAGGCTACCTGTGGAGGTCTCGCTTGTGGAGGTCACATGTGGAGGGAGGTTGACAGAACACGGCACTTTGTGCGGCAACGACAATCTACTTCTGCATTTGACAAAAGATGACACCGACACAACCACCACACCCATGCCGGCAGGATCTTGCAACAGACTCTATACACTACCGACAGCGCGACCGTTCGACGACTACACTAATGTCAACTTGATATCACGCCACTCGACGAGCCACAGCAACCGAAATGGGGATCCGACGAGCTCGCAGCTGAGTGGAGTATCGCTTGGCTCAGGTGGAATTGCCCGAGTTTTCCCCTTGTCGCTCTAATCGCGGTGAGATCAGTTGAAATCGTTGACGCACTGCCTGGCAGAGTGCGCACAGTAAGAGGTGACGGGATCTGGCAGGTTGCCATAGCGCACGAGGTGAAGCTACCCGCAAGTGGCAACCCGGACAGCGTTTTCCTTGCCAAGTACTGCGTGTATAGCAAACGACACGGGCCTTCCAAACCCTGCCCGCCCTTGTTCGTTTCCTCGAATTGCTCGCTACCCCCCTAGTTGCTATGCATGGCGCCGCACTGGTCACGCTTTCCCCTTCCACCACCACCACCGTATCGCCTCAGCTCCGACTCGTTCTGGAGGCTGAGTCTAGACATACACGTCATTCCATCGCTTTGGGAGTCGGCCAGGACAGAAGGAGGGAAGGCTGGAGGAGTGGCGACAATGACTACTGAAGTGAGAGGACGAGGAGCAGAAGAACATGATGCACTACCACAGTGTCGACGCTGCAGACCGCGCCGTCGTGCACATGCGCACGCCGGAATGCGGAGCGGACGGGCTGCGACACTGTCCGCCTTGTTGCTCACTGTCATCGATCCCACTCCGTCACGGAACACTGTTGTCCGTTAAGTCCGCACCTGTTGACAACGACCACTATGCGCGCGGCCCTGTGGTGCGTCTGTGATGTCATCCTCTCACTTGCTCAGAGCCAGCGTGAGGTGCTTTGTGCTTTGTAAAAATGCACATGCGCACAGTAAGCGTTCTCGACACGCTCGTCATGTTCTGTCAATGTTAGTGTGACTTTTTTTCCGGACTACTGCAGCCTGCGTCGACGGCGAGCGTATATGCTGTGGGTGTCATCGTGAACGCTGAGTGAGAGCCCTCGGAACACCCGTCCGAGATCCGGATGCCGTTGTACAAGCGGCTGTTACCACGCGCGCCTATGCCTTTGCACGCCTTTGCATAGACCATGCACTCGCAAGTTAACATGACTTGCACGCCTTTGCATAGAGCATTGGGGGCCATTGGGGGTCAGAGCCTCTGCCAGAGAGTCCAGGGATGCCCCGTCTGCCCCCACCGGGCGGCCGGACCGGAGCAGCGGGCTGTGCGGACTGGAGCTGTCCGCTCTCTCCGCTCTGTGGGCGGGGGCCAGGCGGGTGTGTCTCGCGCCTGGCCCCCAGAGACGTCGCTGGGCCGGCGGCTGTTGGTGGGCGTGTGTGGGTGGCATTGGATGATGATGGCGTAGGCTGGAGCTTTGGAGACAGTCCCCCTTCCCGGTGGATTCCACCGCGCTCGGCGGCGTTCCCCCCCACATTTATCATCCCAGCCCTCTCTCCGCTTTCTTTCTCTCTCTCTCTTATAACCAGCCCCATCCCCTTCTCCAAAACCCCCAACCCACCGCCATCTCTCAACCTATTCTCCATAATGTCTACTTCTCTTGACGCTCTCAAGGCGTGAGTCACCAGCAGCAGCCACCAGCGCGCTCGCCTCGTTCGTTGCCCAGAGCTGACACGATTCCTCTTCCCCCCCATGCCCTCCTCGTGCCCCACAACCCACATCCTCATGCTCCACCTCCATCCACGTCCTTGTCCCTTGAACCCCTCATTGTGCATCTCCACATATCCTCTGGATCTGCTCACTGCTGTCTTGTTGACCATGCTTCCCCCCGCTTTGCCCGTGACTCCCACGCTCCTCCACACACATGTAATTGCCCGCCTTGTCCCCAACACCACACACGTTTCTATCTTTTTTTTCTTGTTCCTCCCAACAGCTCGGGCACCGTCGTCGTCTCGGACTCGGGTGACTTTGACTCGATCGCCGCCTACAAGCCCCAGGACGCTACCACCAACCCCTCGCTCATGTACGTTCCCCCCCCCCCCCCCCCCCCCAGCCAGCCCAACCGGGGCCTCCCGGCAAACAACGGCACTTGCTGACTCTCTCCAGCCTTGCTGCCGCCAAGCTCCCCCAGTACGCCAAGCTCATCGACGCTGCCGTTGCCGCCGGCAAGGCCACTGGCGGGTGAGTACTCTTTCTTTTTGGCTGTGTCTTGTTGTGTGTCTGCCTTGCGACACGTCGTGCTTTGCGTGCCGGCGGCCTGTTTCTGGATTCGTGCGAATTCGGGGGGGTTGTGGGCATCCAATCCAGCCAGCCAACGGCATACGAGGGCGTGAGCCGCGTTAGGTCGCCTCATGGCGTCATTGGCGTAGAAAAAGTGGTCGCAAAGGCGGGACGCCAACAAGTGACTCCTTTTGTGAGCAGCATGCTGACTGCTCAGTGACATCGAGGCCCAGACCGACGCTGCCACTGACCGCCTCCTTGTCGAGTTCGGCAAGGCCATCCTCGAGATTGTCCCCGGCCGTGTCTCGACCGAGGTTGACGCCGTCTACTCGTTCGACACTGAGGCTACCCTTGCTAAGGCCCGCCAGCTCATTGCCCTCTACGCCGCCGTCGGTGTCCCCAAGGAGCGCGTTCTCATCAAGATCGCCTCCACCTGGGAGGGTATCCAGGCTGCCAAGCAGCTCGAGCTTGAGGGCATCCACTGCAACCTGACCCTCCTCTTCGGTTTCGGCCAGGCCGTCGCCTGTGCCGAGGCCGGTGTCACCCTCATCTCGCCCTTCGTCGGCCGTATCCTCGACTGGTTCAAGAAGACCACCGGCCAGGAGTACACCTCGGAGACTGACCCCGGTGTCAAGTCGGTCCGCAACATCTACACCTACTACAAGCAGCACGGCTACAAGACCATTGTCATGGGTGCCTCGTTCCGCAACACTGGCGAGATCACCGCTCTTGCCGGCTGCGACTACCTCACCATCGCCCCCAAGCTCCTCGAGGAGCTCCGCTCGTCGACCGCTGCCGTCCCCGCCATCCTCTCGCCCGAGCTCGCCACCGCCGCCACCGCCATCCCCAAGGTTTCGTACATCAACGACGAGGCCAAGTTCCGCTGGGCCCTCTTCGAGGACCAGATGGCCTTTGACAAGCTCCACGAGGGCATCCGCGGCTTCGCCAAGGACGGCAACACCCTCAAGCAGCTGCTCCGTGAGAAGATCCAGGCTTAAGCGTCGGATCCTTAGCCACGGTGGTTCCTATCGGTCGCGCGTGTGTGTGCGTGTGTGTGACGGTTGTGTCTTTTAGTTGAGCGCACCTCTCTCCTCTGCCCCCCCTCCCTCGCCCCGAAAAGAATAAAATCACCAAAAAAGATATGGTCGTTAGGGCGTGACATCGCGTGTAGCTAGGCGTAGTTGGTCACGAGGTTCATGCAGGAAGTTACATGCTGCAAAAGGAGACATTGTGGCCCGACCATGGATGGATGCCCTACTGACTACTCTACTCTATCAATGCTAATGTGTATGTGTGTTCCTCCTACCTACAGTGGGTCCGCCACGCGCAAGTTGACCAGCTCGTGGTCACCCACGACGAGGCGCCCCTCGCGGCGCTCACTCGCGGGCATGGCCACGCCTTGCCCCTCGACAGGCGACGCGGCGACCGTGATGCGGTCAATCTGGATGAGCTGCTTGAGGAGCCGTCCCGCCGACTCGTCGACAAACACTAGCCCCAGGTCCTCGACCTCGTCCACGAGGTCGTCGGGCTCGCCGTCGGCGTTGGGGCGCACGCGCGCCGACTGGCCCGCGCTCGGCCCGGCGTCGGCGACAATCACGCCCACGGCACCCGCGCGCACCGCGTGCAGCGCCTTGGCGAGGAAACTGCATCCCCCGCGCTGGACGAGGACGACAAACGGCTCGCCGTCCTTGGGCTTGGGGCTGAACCCGGCCACCATGGGCACGCAGCCCGTGGGGTTGTTGCGTTTCGGCGCGACGACAAGCGGCGTAGACGCAAACGACCACCGCGTGTCGGCGGGACCCGCGCGGCCGCTGCCGCTGCCGCTGGCGGTCACGGGCGCGGCGCCAATGGTGTGTCCGAACATGGCAGGCGTGCCCGTGGCGGAGATGAGGGTCTCGGTGGAGACGGAGCGGCTGAACGAGAGGGTCAGGTCGGTCGGCCGCTCAGAGTCGGCCGCGCGCGGCGCAGCGGGCAGGTATCCGTCCATCCGCACGTCCACAATGGTGACGAGCTGGCCGTACCGCACGCGGTGTGGGCCGACTGTGAGAGTTAGCTGACCCGCTCCGATAAGGGGGCGTACACAACTCACTGTTGGTGACGTCGTATCCGAACCCGTCCATCCGCCACCGCACGCCGAGGCGCAGGCCGTCAATGTCCGTGATCACCCAGTCGCCCTCGGCGGTCTGGTACACCTTGCCGAGGCCCGGGGACGCGTCGTGCGCAGGCAGGGCAAAGTCGGCGCCAGCGCCCGCGGGCGCGAGCACAATCTCAAACGAGTAGTTGGGCACGTGGGGCAGAGCGCAGGTACCTTCCTCGCTCCACAGTGCGCGAGCGCTGGGTTCCTCAATGGCGACACCTTCCTCGCCCGACCCAAAGACCAGCGCGCGCGCATAGTCGTAGTCGTCGCGTCCCTCGATACCCACGGGGAGCCCGCCCATGGTCTGCGGCGTGTAGACGGGGCAGAACAGGTCCTCGCCGCGGTGGTTGGCGCGCCACGCGGCAGTGGGCGGTGTGGTCAGGTTGTACGGCATGTACATCGGGTGGCCCTCGGTGGTAAACACCGTGTTGGAAGGTGCAGGTGCAGGTGTGGGGTCGAAGAGGAGGTACAGGTACTGACATGTCAGCTTGGCAACCTCTGTGTACGAGTGAGCTCACTTTCAAGGTCTCGGACAGCATAAAGCTCTCCATGCGGTCCTCGGTAGCGCCAGTCTCGACGTTTGTGAGACTTGCAAAGCCGCACCTCGTGACTGTGCGGCGTAGAATGTCCTTGAGGACACGCTCGCCCACGCGCAGGTAAAAGTCGTCGCCAGTCGCCTGCATGGTTAGCAACGAGTTCACAACAACCAAACGCACCCGATGGAGGTAGTATGTCGACTCGATAAACTCGGGTCGTCCGGGCCAGCCGGCCCATCCGATCTGGCGCGTCTCGGGCTCCCAGCTCTCGGGGATACCATCATACTTTCTCCAGAGGTTCCAGAAGATGAGGTGGCCGCGAATGGCCGATTCGACGTCGCCCGCAAGGACTTGGACACCCGGGAAGAAGGACGAGAGAGAGTCGATGTACGCAGGGGATGCAGGCTTGAGTCCGCGCAAGTGCACCTGTCGCCACTGTGTCTGTCAGCTGAATGTCCTAGACGCTTCCCAGCTGCACATACAAAGAAGCCATCCACTGTGCGGATATGCGTCTGGATGGCGGCATAGGCATCATGGAAGACGTCCATGTACGTAGAGTCGTCTGATGTCAGTTACCAGTCTGTGTTACGTGCAACGAACCAAGCATGATCGCTGCCTTGAGAGCGTACTCGAAGAAACTGTCGATACCGGCGTTGACGCCCGAGAGGCCCGGTCCAAGCCAGTGGCCATGCGAGACGGCGATACCGTTGCCGACGAGGTCTTGCGGCGTGCGGCTGTTCCACAGGCGCATGAACGCGTGTCTCGCCTTGGCCTGTCGTGTAAGTTCGTCTCGTTGTTTGTGGCTCTCACCTCAAACTGGTCGTCGCCGGTAAGACGCGACAGGAGCGAAAACTCTAGCACAAGGCTTCCGGCACCAGCAGTACCTGTTGTCAGCTTGCTCATGATCGACGCAGCTCACAAGTCTCGACACCCTCGCCCTTCTCCACTCCCTTGCGCAGGTTGATGCGGGCATATGGCAAGCCCGTGGGACTCTTGAACGCAGGTACAAGGCGGTTACCGAGGTCGACTGCCAGCTCGAGGATACGCGGCGCCCATCGCTTGACGTCCACGCTGCCCTTGAGGCCGAGCGCCGCCGCCTGCTCCTTGGGATCGGTCGGCAGTCCGTCGAGCCGCTGGTACGTCGACAGCAGCGCGCCGAGAGCGCGAATGGTCATCTCAAATACCTGCCATTAGCGCTCGTGGAGTGACAGTTAATGAGCGCACCTGGACCTTGACATCTTGGTCAAAGCTGATCATCGTCGCGACCTTTTCGACCGCGCCGGGAAACTCCTCGGGCAAGATGAGGGGCAAGGCGCTCAGCGTGTCCACGAGAGTAATGCTCGCATTGGCATGGATATCGTTCACACCAATGTTCTTCGGGTCGGGGTCGCGCAGCAGCGGTTTACATGTCAAGGGGCGCAGCTCATCGGCCGGAAAGGCGTGCGTCATGTACCCCACAAAGCCATGTCGGAACATCTGGGAGGCAAAGGGTTAGCACTCGCGTGAGGTGAGCGTAGTAGCAGGCTTTCGTAAGGTCGATGACGAGGATCTGGCTGAAGACATATCATTTCACAACCAGCACACGACACGCCGCCGAGCCTTAGAAAACAAGCTTACTCACGTCCTTAACCTCGTTCCGCAGCGTCATGCGACGCTCGTCACTCATCGCCCGCGCCCTCAAGGGCGCCAGTGCAAATAGCACGCACAACCATGCGATAAGGCATGCGCGCATTGGATGGCGGACTGTGGGGTGTTGAAAGAAAGAGAGATGGAGAGGACCGATGAGTGAGATGGGTGTTAACACACACGCGACATGAACTGCGTCAATCGTGTCAAGGCACGGATCTCCTGGGGCTCCAGGATGGCAACAACGATGCGACTAGTTTGGGTGGCGGCAACTGACAGTAGCATGGCCGTGTGTCTCTGTACTTCGTGGTTTGCCTCATAGACATGCCATGTACTAAGAAGGGAGGTACATATTTTACGTGTATGAGGTGGCCGCGCTTCACACAAAACGGTGGGAGCTGGCAAGAGGAGTTCTGAGCCACGCAGTCGTTTATTTTTGGCAAACACCACCTCGCGTCCCCATCTCGTCGCCATCACCGCAACTGACCCAGGGAGAGGAAATCACATGGGGAGCTCAAGCGCTCAAGCTACGGTAGGTTCATCTCCCCGCCTCCACCTCCATCTATCAACCGTCCCAAAGTCGGCCAGCACTGACTCGACCTATCTACCTGCTGCCAGACGCAAACTAAACCAAGACGAAAGCCACGCCCACGAAGATCGCCATACTGGCCATGACGGCTGCTTCTCCTGTGGCTATGAGCCGTAATATGCCACTACAGTAAGCACGGGGCACAATTGTTTATGATTTCAATGTCTCCATGGGCCATGAGACATAGGCCCAAGCGACAGCGGCCCACCGCGACCGTCAACGAGCCTCTTCACTGCCAGTCATTCGATGGGATTGTGCAATGGGAGACTGAAGGCGCAATGGTCCTGCCGCTGGTCCTCTTCCTCTGGTGTCACTCTTACCAATGTCGTGACATATCGGACTGCCTGGGGTTCTGTGGTCTGTGACGAATTGTTCCACTGGTGACCATGCATTTCCAGCGGCTAAACGTCATGCTTCAGATCTTTCACTACACTTCAGCCACTTGGTCGGCCGAGCGAGACGGGGAAGGTTCTGGGGCAGCCAGTCAAATTCAAGTGGTGGTCATGCTTGACGCTCGACGCACCCACAGCGCGTGACATCCACTCCAAAGGTGGTCGTTCACGACCACCCACGAGAAACTTGAGGCCAAGCCCGTCAACAACGGCAGGTTGTACCTAACCTCGAACCACTCCGCGCCACATCGTTCCGCCCCAATCTGCCTTCACGCCCACCATGGCCCATTCCAAGACTAACCCACAGCAGCAAGACGTATAGTTCGCAATCCCATCCCAGTGCCCCAGTGCCCTATCGCCCACATAATTCAAGACAATACCCTCGCTCGTCGGCAAGGAGAGTGAATGGCCGTCCCGTGCGTGACAGGGCGAGTTGGCATTTGCGCCAGTTACATACCTTGGGCTTTCTATCGCCCACCGCGTTTGTTGCACCGCAGCGGGATGCATCCTGGGGAATGTTTCTGGTGAGAGGGTGCAAAGACACAAACGGTAATGTGCAGGACGCACGGAGGACTGGTACTGGTCAGCATGCCTAATGGTCCATCCAAAATGACTACATGTGAAAAACCCTACAACTCAGTCAATGCTAACAATCCCTATATGTACAGCAACAGTGTGGCCGCCTGTCTGTGGCGCGGCGCACTGGCATCTATCTTTCCTACACTCCTGCACAAATCCAACGCTTAGATATCGTCGTCCTGCCCGCGTGTCAGCTCTTGTCCTTTCTGTCCCACACCACGGTATACACTCACACTCACGTCTGGGAGGTCGCAAGCGGCAAGCACGGCCTTGTACTCGAACCGCGCGCTCTCCTCGTACGTCGAGAACGACCATGTGTCGTCGATGCAGCGGGCGCACTCGTCCATCTTGGCGCGGCCCTCGGCCGAACAGAGCTGCTGGCGCGTGTCCGAGGTGTTGGTGTATGCGAAAGCGCTCATGTCGCACTGGGTGGAGCAGGCGCCGAGCACAGCCTGGGCGGTGGGAGAGATGGGGGCTGGCGCGTTGATCAGTATAGCGAACAGTGGTGGTTAATGGGGAACGTACCAGCTGCAACAACTGCAATGGTGGCAAGGGTGACAGCCAGGAACTTCATTGTGCCGGAGAAGGAAGAGTTTGAAGTGTGTTTTGGGACAGGTGGTAGTGATGTGCTGTCGACAACGCGAGAATGAAGGCAGCGAGTGGTTTTGATGATGGGAAGACACGACTTGGCTCGTCGTCTCCTTATGTACAGCTAGCTGGCTGCCTTGAATGCACACCTTGGACTGGCACATGTCGCGTTCGTCGCGCGCCCAAAGAAGCACCTGTGCAAGAACCTACGGGCCGCGGAGGAGCATACAATGGCCGGCAGCGCGCACTCAATTCAACCCAAAGCCAGGTGCCACCATTTTCATTTAAAGGCAGCCGGAGTGGCGTCGTCTCCCGTCCCGGCGCCACTTTTGGACCCATGTGTATCCCTGGCCATTCCATCGACCTAGTGCCCAAGTGCATGCCATGTCGGCATCTCGGCCACTCGTTGGATCGCTGGGGGGGGGGGGTGCTAGCAAGGGCAGAGCAACGACAGCAGCGCTCAGAACATCATTCCAGCAAGGAGCTATAGACGGCTACCTGCAGCCTACCTGCAGCTTGCAGCCTACCTGAACCCAGCACAGACAAGCTTCTTCTCCTCCCCTGCCTCATCTCCTCTCCACCGGACAAACCGCTCTTCCACCCTTGCCCCGGCCCATTGCACTCATAAGACACAGCCGACGCCCCATACCTCCGGCGTCATAAGTTTCCCCAGCCACCTGTATAGGGCCAAGAGGGTCTATACGGCACGAACACAGTCCAAAGGCCGCAAAGCTGCACGCTAGAAAGCTTAGAAGGAAAGCTAAGGAGCAGGTAGGACGACCTGCCTCCAGGACTTGCTACACAATGCTGGCTACCACGCCGCGGCGTCGAGAGGCAGAGGCGGCACCCGGGTGGGCCGGTCGCAACGTACAGTACAGTACAGGACCCCCGTGACGTCGTAGGGAATAAAGTGTACCGAGTACAATGATGGCGCTACGTGTCGAGACGCGGCGTGCAGCGCAAATTGAACTTTTAATGTCAGGTAACATTGATCGCCTTGCACGCGGCTTGAGGACGCGTCCTCTGTCAGGTCCAGCCTGCAGTAATTATACATTACGCGCCGCGGCCTTACACCTTCAACCTGGGCGCGCACATCGGCGTGCGCGCGCCCTTCCAAGATGTCCCTGATGCTAAACGCGACACGCGCACACGTCGACATCAGCGGCGGTGGCTGTCTGGCAGAAACCCAGACTTTCACGGCTGGTCCGAGATACTGCCTCCCACCTCCATATACCATGTGTGACAACCACCTTACCAGATCCCACGCCACGCGCCAAGATTACTGTCTTGCAGGGATGGCAGGGATTGAATCGCATGCCGAAGAGCAGCTCATGTACTCGTGTACGCCGCCATAGACGACGACGCGTGTGAGCTGGTGAATCGTGGCACGAAGTGGAGGTCCTGACTTTGTGGTCGCGTCTGTGGTCGCGTCCTTTGGGTCACCCGGGTCTGGGGAGGAGGCGGTTCAAATCAGGATTAGCGAGCGGGCCGTGATACGATGATATCGCTTGCGTTGAGCCTGCTTTATCAGAGGTAACGACTGGAGAAGGGGTTGACTTTGGTGTGGCCGGAATATGTTTGGCGACGCGAGGGCGCCTGCAACCCGGCTGCCCGGCCCCTGTGCTCATTCTCGTAGCTGACCGGTGGAAGCTTCCAAATGTCTCCAGCCGAGCAATGCTCTTAGAAGGCGGTAGAGACAAAGAGATAACGGCCGTGGAAAGCACGGAAGGCTCGTGGCACATGCGCTGATCTGATCACGTAGGTCATCATGACAATGCCACTGATCCCGGATCGCAACCGGATCAGTTGGGCTACAACGCCCGACTTGTGCCTGCCACTTCCTTGGGCAGCGTCGAGACGCTCATACAGCTGTCCTGGAGAGCAGGGATGCACGTACCTGGGTCTCGGCGTCGGCCCACATGGCCAGAACACAGCAAGACCATGGGTCCTGCGAAAACGATCCCCGGACGCCAAGCCATACCGCAATGACTACATGGAATCCAGCTGCCAGGCCGCCGGGGATGTCGTGGCGGCCTCCTTCACGGATCGCAGCGGTCTGGTTCCCCGTGCTCACGGTGCTCACCGTGCTCACTGCACATCCCCCCGCCTGTACACGCATGTATGCACGGCCTCAAGCGCACGCGTGCATGTCTGGACATTGTCGACAGGGCAACACCACGACCCGATGACCCCCGGGCATGGGCATGGTCTGCCGCGTCACACGGTCATGACCCCGCCACTGGCCGCGTGTCGGTCGGCAGGCCTTTCAGGCTCTCGCTGGCGACTCTCGTTCTCACAGCCAGCGCCACAATGATGCAACCTTTCAACCTTTCTTTCTTTCTTCCGACCGTCAAATGCAGAGAGGGTACACGCCGAGGCTGTGGGATGATATATGCACTACAGAGATTCCAGGCTAGCTCCAGACATCGGTCATGAGGCGCTGTACGCGTCAGCAAATGTGTACAACTGTCTCTGCATAGTGGATATACCGTCCCCCGGGGATGTCTGTTGCTGTGTACCGGACATCCGGGCAGACGACATGGCAACGAGGGGGAAACGAGATCCGAACCGACACTCACGTTGCGCTCCTTGAGCAGCTTGAGCTCCTTGGCACCCTCCACCTCGGGGGTACCGTTCTTGCCGGCGGCGAGCATCTGGACGAGGCGCTCCTCGACCGACTTGGCCATGTTCTTGGCGTCACCGCAGATGTAAATGTACGCGCGCTTCTCGAGGATGAGCGGGGTGAGCTCCTCGCGCGAGTCCCAGATGAGGTCCTGGACGTAGATCTTGCCTGCAATGGGGTGTCAGCTTGGGTCGCGAAAATAAGAGAGATTGGGGTAACTCACTGCCATCGGGCTTGCGGTCGGGGCCACGGGAGAAGGCGTTGTGCATGATAAACTTGCCGTCGAGCTCCTTGAGGTACTCGGGCCACTCGTCGCGGTAGAGGAAGTCCTCGTCCTCGCGACGGCAGCCGTAGAAGAGGTGCATGGGAGCCCAGTCCTTGATAGCGTCGGGGCCGTTCTTCTCCTTGGCGCGGCGGGCGAGGGCGATGCGCTCCTGGACGAAACCACGGAAGGGGGCGACACCGGTACCGGGGCCAATCATGATGATAGGGACCTTGGGGGAGGTGGGGAGACGGAAGGCAGAGCGGCGGACGTGGACGGGGACGCGGTAGATGTTGTTGCGGAGGTGGTGGTCACGGGGGCCCGAGAGCTTGTACTGGGGGAAATCCGGGAGGGTGATGGGGACCTCGCCGCCAACAAGGCCGCCGGTGTGCTGGTGTCCGTTGACGCTGAGGTGGTTCTGCTTGCCGCTGAGGCTGTCGCTGGCAGTCTTGACGTTGAGAATAAAGTTGGTGCTCACACCGTACACCCAGCGAGGGGTGTTGTCGTGAGCCTGGCTCGTGGACGACTGGTACTTGAGGACAACGGCAGTGACGTGGATGGCCTGGGGGTACAGCTTGGACGACGACGAGATCGAGTAGTAGCGGGGCTGGAGACGGGGCAGAGTCGAGATGATGCGATCAAAGGGAATGGGCCAGACGGTCGACGTAAAGGGGGCAGTGCCCTTGACGTTGTCGCCAGCCGCGATCTGAAGGACCTCGGCAAGCTTGAGGCAGGGGCCGTCGACCTCGTCGTGGAAGGCAGCCTTGTCGGAACCCCAGCGGGTGAGGGCCTCACGGGCCTGGTCGTTGGGAGCGTAGCGGGCGAGGAAGGCGAGGGTCTGACGGGAAGCCTTGGCAGAGACGTCGAGGTAGTGACGGAAGACGGCCTCGTAAGTGGCAGGGACGGGGAAGGGGACCTTGGCGAGTGCCGGGTCGAGCGACTCAATAGAGACGGCAATGTCGCGTTTCTCGAGGAGACCGAGGACCGAGAGCATGCGCTCAACCTCGAGGTCGGGGTTCGAGGGCCACACACCACAGTGGTCGCCGTGCTGGTAGGTGATGCCAGAGCCGGTAGTGTTGAATTCGATGTGGACACAGTTGCGCTCGGGGCCGTCAAAGAGCTCACGAGTGACAAGGACGGGGGACGGGTAGGGGTTCTTTGAGTCGTACGAACCAACGGGGGTGCTGTTGCCGCTGGCGCTGGCGTGGAGCGCGCGCGGGGAAAGTTCACCGTGGTAGATCTTCTCGGGGGCAACGTCCGACACCTCAGTGACGGCAAAGTCGGCAATGTCACCAGAGCCGCCCTCCTCGAGCTCGAGGCGCTTGGCGAAAGCCTCCCACATGTCGTCCTTCCAGCCGAGGTAGTCCTCCTCAAGGGCCTTGTCGTCGTCACCCTCGCCGCGCTCACCGATGCGGTGGGCACCGAGCTCGGAAAGGCGGGCGTCGATGCGGCGGGCCACCTCGTTGAAGTGCTCATAAGTCTTGTTGCCGAGGCCGAAAATCACATAGTTGAGGTTCTCGAGGGTGGTGCCGCCCGAGCTGAACTCGACGCCGTCCTCCATAATAAAGTCCCAGAGGGGCTGGGCATTGTCCGTGGGGTCGCCCTCGCCGTAGGTCGCAACAACGAAGATGACAGCCGAGTCGCTGGGGACCTGGTCGAGCTTGTTAAAGTCGTACTCCTCGGGGTCGCACACAAGCGACGAGACGCCAAAGCGGGACTTTGCCTCCTTGGCGAGACGGATCGAGTACTCCTCGGCAGTGCCGGTCTGGGTTCCATAAAAGACAGCGGCGCGCTTGTTCTACACACAGAGAGTCAGCGTCCACTGCACCTCGCACGCGCGCGCACAGCACACTCACGCCGCGCGCCATCTTGTCCACAAAGTCACGGGGATCGTCGCCCTCGGCCATACCGGCAGTCGACCTCTTGAGTGAGCCGGCCGAAGCGCCATCGGCACCGTCCCGAGAGCGGCCGCCGATGAATGGGAGCGAGTTGCGGAAAAAGAAGAGCAGGGGGAGTGCTATGGTGAGCACGATGATGATCATGTCGACGGGGGACGCCATGGTGGGGATGGATGCGATGCCTCGCAGCAGGCAGACGGGGGGTGGTGGACGATTGGATGCGGTGGAGAAGGGAGAGAGCAAGGTCGAACGGTTTATTGTCCACGTCCCATCCTGGCCACCTGATATGATGGGATCTCGCTGCCCATCTCGGGCCCACCCAGCGTCCTCGCGCGCGTACGCAGGCCGTGCCAATGCGGTCGGCCCACCCGGCGCCGTCAAACTCAATTGCATTACAGCATATTGCTCCCGCTAATATCGTCGTCTAATAGCCCCTCCTAATACACAGCCATCGCCCAATTCCCATCGCGCCATGGTCCCTCCCGGCCCCCGAAAGCTCCGTTCCGCGGACCAGTGCGGCATCTGCGGCTGGCCCCACACACGGCCCAACGCCTCAGACGTTGCTCGGATAATCAATCAACGACCTCACAGCCGGAGACCCCACCTGCGCGGGGGTAGACGATGGAGCTGGAGCGCTTGCGCCGTTCAGAAGCGCGGCACGTCGTCTTGCCACGCGGCCCTCGAAGATCCGGCGCAGGCCAACCGTGTGCTCGGCGTGGTGGCGGGGGCGGACAACAGGAATCCGGCTATGAATGTCCACAAACTGGTCGGTCTCATCCTGCACGGCGTTGTTAGCGTCACCAGTAGTGTTTGGTCGAGTTGGCGAAAAATGCCGGCCACGGAAATACCCACAATGATTTCTTTACCGATTAATTCCTGTTATGAAAGTCAGCTGACGTTGCTTTCTCCGCAGCGACCCGCGGAGCCACCACCTGCCGCGGATCTCCCGGGGCCATGCTCACCTCCACCACATCCTCAAGCGTCACAATGCCCACCGCGCCTTCCTGGCGACCAGGCGAGGTCGATACGAGCAGGATATGGCTGCGGCCAGTTTGGAAATAGTTCATGGCTGTCGCGGTTAGCATATCTAGGTGTGTATGCCCACGGGGTAGTTTACCTTCGACGAGGGAAAGATCAGTCGGGCACTGAGGAAGCGGCTGCGTGATAAGCTGGGAGACCGGCCTCTCCTCAGCAGCGTCGTAGCCGATGAGGGCACGCGTGAGCATGACTCCGCTGGTCGAGTGAGCATCGAAATAGGCGCGGGGGGAACTCACAGGAAGGCACCAGGGATCTTGGGATCGTGAACTGGGATACGCGTGTGACCTTTGCGCAAGACCTAATAAAAGATCAGCTTACATGACAGGTCGCACCACTTACTTCGACAATCAGGTCGTCGTCGGCAACACGGTCACCAGGGAGTTGGTAGACGTCGGCGAGGGGAACCTAGACCTCAGCTCTTGTCCACCTGTCGCGCCACGCACCATAACAGAGGCGACCGTCTTGTTCGAGAACTCGAGCACGCTGCCAAGGAGGTTGAGCTCGTCGTCGGCCAGCTTGTCCTCGACGCCAAGCGCGACAAACGCCTTGAGCTCGGCCTTGCGGTACATGACACTCTCATCATGCGCACCAAAGAGGTAGTCGAGGAGCTGCACAGTGAGTGATATATTCTTTAGGGTGGAGGTGGAGGCGGGGCCAGCAAGCCAGTGCAAACGGACACTGGGGGACTGTGCACACCACTTACCATGGCAATGGGCTTTGCGATGGGGTACAGCAGGATGATAAGCGCGCGTACGAGTGGCGCAAACGTCGCACCGATAGCGAGACCATATTTGTTGCAAATGGCTAGCACGTCAGCAATGTTGTGAATCAGTGACTCACCCTGTGGGATAACTCTGCATCGCGTCAGTTCTGCGCACGTCAATAGCTCGCGTGTAGACCCACTCTCCGAAAATAAGCTGGGCGCGTTAGCTAGGTGCCAATGTGGTATTGTGGAACCTACCTCTAGAGCTGTTGCGCCAAGGACGGCAATGACACCGCCGCCAATCTGCTGGGTCAGCGTGGCCCACAGACCTGACTACCCACAATGTTGTCGAGGAAGACCGGGAGTGACGTGTTGACAAGCGTGTTACCTGAGCGTTAGGATCATAGCCTTCGGACTAATATAACGCACAGAGAAGGAGAACAACGAGCATCGTGTGACGGCCCGACTGGAGGAGGGCGAGGACGCGGGGTGCCTGTTCGCGCTCCGCCTCGGTGCCAGCCTGGCTGAGAACTTGAAGGTTGATCTGTCCGAGTCAGTAATCAATGCATAGGCGGGCGAGGAAGCGTGGGCGACGATCCACCAGGATGGTGTCCGAGGTGTGTGAGCTGCATGGGGTACCACCAGTGGGAATGAATGTGGTGTCTCAAAAATTGTCACCTGTCTACAGCACGAGCGTGCCGTGCCTTCAGCCGTGTCAACAACTCACCGTGTCGAGACCCATGAGACCGAGAGTCAGGCCAGAGAAGATGCCGCCAAGGAGAACGAGCACCACAGACAGTATGATGTACCATTTGAACATGTCACTGTCGGGGCCAACATGGACATGCTTGTTGGACCCGTTGCCTGTGGTATTGTCAGCACACGTTGGAGCCCACGGAGGAGCGAGAACGGTGGACGGCCGGCAGCGTACCCTTGAAGAACTCTGCACAGAGCTCTGGAAGCTGCTGCACGAGCGATTCGTTGAACCTCGTCACGTCCTGGCCGTACATCGCTGTGAGACGGGGGGGGGGGGGATGGTGGTGGTGACGATGGACGAGGGAGTGGGAAAGTGTGTCAAGATCAAAGATGTCGACTAGCGGCAGAAACGTTTGGATGGACCGGAAATAGTTGACAAACGCGCCTGCCCCCCGCTTGGCGCACGCGCGCTCGCTCCGCCTGTTACACATGACCCAACATATTTCTCTCTGACGGTCAAGTCCGCCGCCGCCGCCGGCACGCCGGTGTGCACATTCCTACCCATGTCGAGAGCAACGGTGCAAACGGTGTGCGTCCGTGTGTCAGTGGACTGGCTGCTGGCTGGCTGACATGCCTCACGTGCGCTATTCTGGGCCTGTTATTGGCCACCCAGCGTTCCACAACCCTAATCCCATTACAACGGTTTCCCTAATAGCCCGCGGGGCACCAGTTATGCGACATACGTTGCCCCCTGTGGGTGGCAAAAATACACAGCGTGCAGGCCAGGACACGGCGACGGCAGGCGTGTCCATCACGTTTGTCGAGGACGAGGTGGGATCGCGATGGCATCAGAGATACAGAGACAAAGCACGAGTCGGGCACAGGCAAGTTTCTGGAACAATCACGCCGCGATCCAATGCTCACATCGTAGCGTTGCGCGGCGGGCCACGCTGGGCCACGTCTTCGTCGCCAGAAATGTCGTGCTGTGGGCCCGGCCGGAGGCGGACATGGCAGCCGATGAGTGGATTACAATAACCCCCAGCATCCCCCACTTCTCTTCATTTGCTTCATCGCATCATCTACATCTTCGGCTTGGACTGCACCTGCCTCTCCTTGTCCTGCCTCTCCATCGCCCGCTGCCATGCCGGACGCGCGCGGATGCCGGCTACCCACTTGCGCGTGGCCGGGCCGACGGAGTACTCGCCCATGATCGTGCCGGTGGCGAGGTAGTTGAGTGGGTAGCCCATCATGATCTGACCCGTCAGTACCGCTTCGCATACCGTCACACCATCGTCCTGGTCGCTGCCGCCGTGCCGGTGGATGCGCGCAGGCATGCTGCAACCTGCCCCAAACTCGATCGTCACCCTCCTCCCAACCCATCTCTTACGGTACTCACATCACCAGATCCAATCAGCTCGCTACCGCTAAAGTTGGGGTTCTGCGCAAGAAAGTCCTCGACACACTGCAACTGCAGGGGCACATTCTTGCCGACCCAGACGCTGGAGAACCAGTTGTACAGCGCCGCCATGCCTTTACCCTCCTCGGCGGACACTCCAGGCTTCTTGGGGAGAGCGCCGGCCGCAAAGCCGAGCACGCGCCCCGGCTGCAGGTGCAGCATGAGCGTTCCCTCCGAGAAGAAGCTCCAGTGGACGCTGTCGTCGGACGGCGTGGCCTCGAGCCCGGCCTTGGGGAAGTTCTTGAGCAGGTACTGCACTATGAAGCCGGTTTCAGTCAAGATGCGGCCGTCGACCTCGAGAGCGGGTGTCTTGGCATGTCAGTGTTTGCGTCACAGTTCGCTCTCGCCGCGCCCCATCTTCTTTACCCACCTTGCCGAGCACTGACACCTCCTTGAAGGACGGAGACGTGGGCCCCTGTTGCAAGTGGGCCTGGACATTGTATTCCAGTCCCAGCTCCTCGAGGATCCAGAAGAGGCGGTCAGCACGCGATCCGGGGATCGGGATAAAGTGCAGCGTGATCTTGGGCGCCATGTCGATGCTTTGTTGGCGACGAGTATGATGGGGTGTTGTCCAGTTGGCCAAGCGTCAAGGCTTAAGTAGTTGGTCGTTGTGGGGAGTTCGGTTAGTTGTTAGTTCCACCTGCCGGCTTGCCGGGCCCGAGTCGCGGAACAGAGTCGTTCCGCAGAATCGCCGAGGCCGAGGATAAGACGACTCGAAGGGGTATCAGTGAGCTGGGGCAGAGCATTGCTTCCAAACCTTCCAAGGAGCTAGCTGTCCATGGGACCATCTTGAAGGGTCACTCTATCCCCTACGCGCGTTCCCGACGTGGAGGCTCGACACATCGGACTCGACCGACTGTGGTGGCGGCGGGCGGGGCGGGCGGCGGGCGGCTGATGTTCTTCGGAATGCTACTGACGATCGAGTCGCCCAGATGCACCCTTGAAAGATGCCCAGTCCAAGAATGCAAGCAGAATATAGTCTGGTGGAGCAGTGCATGGCATTCATTGTTCTCTTCAAGTACGAAACAGCAGTCTTCGATCCTCGATTCCTTGACAGTCACGACGTCAGCGTTCAGGCAGCAGGTCGAGCCCGAGAATGTCCGCCAGCGCAGCCTTACGAGCCTGGAGTGTGCCCTGCAGCTCGCATGGCCCTAGGTAATAGTGCAGCCACAGATCAACATGCTCAGGAGACGCAAGGCGTACCTGTTCGCGGCTGGTAATGTGCTGCCGCAAAAAAGAAACGTCAGTTGAACGCCACCACCTTCACCTTTGCCCCACCACACAGATACCCACAGGAAAGTTGACCGGGACGTTGCCAAAATGCGACGGCACATGGACGAGCGGCATGCCCATCAGGTGCATGGCGCGATTGTGGGACTTTGCGTGCTGGATCTTGGCCTCGCGCATGGCGGGTTTCAGCTTGTTGGTCAAAAAATTGATCTGGCTCGTCATGTCGTCGACCCTGTCCATCACGATGGCGAGGTCGATGCTGCCGGGTGCACGGGGCTGAGTGGTGGGGGTGGAGGTCGCTGAGTCAGCGTGCTGCACACTGCTGTTAGGAATGTGGCTTGTGGCTCGCGTCTGCGAGTGAGACTGGACCGCAGCGGCCGTCGCTGGGGCTGAGGATGCTGACATCGTGCCGTGGATCCGGGGGCTCGGTGAAACCTGACGACGGCCGGGCTTGGGGAGAGCATTGTTGGGGACGTTGGTGGTATCATTGGTGGTGGCACTGTTGGGGACATTGGTGACGACACTGGTGGGGACATTGTTAAGGAAATCGTCGAGATTACCTGTGCTGGACTTGTGGGGCTGGAGTCTATAACCCTGGGGCCGGGGAGACCCCATCGGCGTAGTGGACGACATCTGCGCAAGCGACCGCTGGAGCTGGCACGGACGAGGTGTGGTGTCCGAGTCTGGGTCGGGACCCGAGTCAGCGCGGTTGGGTACAGTGGGAGTAACAGGCGGTTCCGGGAGCTGAGGAGTCGACAGAGGAGCTCGAGACGGTGCCACAGTGGACGCCTTGTCGGAATGGGAGACAGAACCGTCTGTCGCAGAGCGACTGGACGAGATGCTGCCAGAGCGCTTGACAGTCAGACGCTGACGTTCGCGGTGACGCCTGAGAGTGGGACCCAAGGTGCTGGTTGACGAAGGCTGCGGGACGGCCGAGGGGACTGCAACGTTGTCGCGGGCGTCGCGGTCTGGCACCCGCGTGGATACGCGGTCCATGTAACGATTGTTCCTCCTCTTGGAGAGAGGTACACTGGGGGGCTTGGAATCCTGGTTGACCTTGACTCTTGCAGAAACCATTATGGCCTGCAGGCTCTGGCGCACAGTCTTGATGTCAGCCTTCATGGCCTCCTGAAGCTCCACAGTAGTCATCGGCCGCATGGTGCAAAGCGAGTGTGGCGGTCGACGGCGGGTGGATTTGGGCTAGCCCATTTCTTCCGCCTCTGGCCTTTTCAATCGTCAGTGAGCCGCATGGACCGATGTCAGTGTTTGTGTTAGAAACATGGATGACCGACTGTGCGACTGTGAGACTGTGCGACTGTGTGACGGTTGCCCCTGCTGTTGATGGTGATCTCGGCCCGGTGTTGTTGATCGGATCTGGCCCCCCCTTCGCCAGCCGTCTCATCACAAGCCGTCCGCTCTCCCACACACACATCTCCACACAGACAACCCTTGTGCCCCCTTCCTCCCATCACTCGTCGTGCTGCCTCCCATAGCCCCCACCCATCCTTGTTATCATTTACTTTGCTGTCATCATCATCACCTTACACCCACTGCCAACAAACCATGGGCGACGCTTCTTCACCCATCACCCCAGCGTTCATGGCGCTGTCCCGCGCTCGTATCCAGGCGATGCACAAGAAGCGGTACGAAAAGGCCATGATGGACCGCGATTCCAATCCCCAGGCGCAGCAAGGCAACCGCAAGGCGGCTCATGAGCCATGTGGGTGCGTCGAGTATGCACGCAGCGCCATCCACCAGCTCCTCCCCGCCCTAGACGTGAGTCCCAGCTGCCGCGATCGTGCCTTTCAGCTAGCCTTCCAGCTGACAGAGAATAGGAGAGGCAGAAGTTTGAGCTGGACGAGTGGAAGTCGTCCAAAACAGCGTGGAACCGCTCGCCAGTGCCAGTCCAAGGCAAACCGTCATGGGATACCGTGCGCACCATTTACACCAAGGACTCGGACGACGCCGCAGACAGGGCCATGGTGGACGGCTTTGTCAAGGTCCTCCGGTCGAGCCCAAAGCCGCCGGGCTGTCTCGTCCTCGACTCGCAGTTCGCCGTCAACATCTTCAAGGTCTGCACCTGTCACAACGGCAAGGGCAAGTGCCGCAACAACCAGCTTCTCGAAGACGCTCTCACAGAGGCCGGGTACAAGGATGGTGTGAGCCGCACAGCATGGTTGCTGGGAATGTTTATTCCTCGAGACGTGGGGGGCGCAAGTGATTGACCGAACCCAAACCAGGCTGTACCATTACTCTCGCGTCATCTTTCCCGTCAAGGCCAACGGCGGCTGGCTGGTTGTATTCCTCGACGCACGCGCTGTGTGTGTTCGCATCTATGACCCCACTGGTGTGCTGCTCCTTGACCCCGAGTGGACCGCAGCTGTAGGTTCACACTCAGGCATAGAGACTGACACCTGCCCGTTCCAAAACGATATCCTGCAGATGGTGCTCAATGAGGAGCACCAGCACCCTCCCGTGAATCGCAAGCCTGATGAGCAGCGGGCAATGTTTACCTACGGTGTGAGTGGTTATCCACGCGGGCTAGGCTGTGCATGGTCTGATTGATTGCAGATTCGCGACAAGCCGCGTGACCGTCGGTCGCTACGCCGCCCTCCAGTGCTGCGCGGCCATGGAGGTGTTCATCATGGCCAATGCCGTGTGCCGGATTGAGACCCTGGTCGACAAGCTCACCTGCGCCGTCACCGCTGGCAACAGCAAGCATTCGCTCGACTCGGCACTCGACCTTCTCAAGGACCACGATCACGACCACGACGACCCCAAGGTCTCCACAGGTCCCAAGATCCGGGCCAAGAGCAAGAACCTCAAGGCGCGCATCGCCGCGGCCAACGCTCGGTCCAAGCCACCCAAGGCCGAGACGGTCGACCTCAAGACCTTCCAGGCCGTCATGAACGGTGCAGCTCCCAAGGCCAAGTCCAAGAAGAAGAACAAGAACGACAAGCGCAACCCGATCGAAAAGTATCTCCTGGACCGTGTCGCCTGGAGCCTTGCGTCCGGTATCCTCTCGTCGATCGAGCTCTATGGCGGTCTGCCTCCCCCGACAATGGACGACCTGCGTACCTACCGCGAGGCCATGATGGGCATGGGTCTTCCGGACCCGTTCACCCTCACCGAGGACGACTGGTCCGAGGGGTCGGGGTCTGAGGGGGAGGAGGACATGGCAAGCTCGAGTAGCAGCGGCGGGGGCCCGAGCAGCAGCGCCAGAGGTCCGAGCAGCAGTGCCGGTGCATCGAGCAGCAGCGCTGGCCCCTCTGGCGGTATCAGCAGCAAGGGCAAGGGCAAACAGAAGGCGTGAAGTGTATGTGACAGTCATGTAGTTATCAGTGATCAGTAATGTATCAAGTTGTCAAGTGGTCCCGCCTTGGCGCATTGATGTCCGGCATTTGCTGCTGTCACCTGTCCTCGAGGATCACAGTCGGTGTTACTCGGCGCGGTTCACCTCCGAGAAGGTTAGGAGTTACATGATCAACACTATGAAGGGATGGCCATCTTGCTCGAAACTATATATAGTGTCTGACACTGAGGCAACGAAGTGTGTGCCGCTGATGTGATGGACACCGAGGGGTAGATCTGTGGCTGTGCTCGCTGCCACGAATGGGGGTACCCACAATGTCTCGGCGTGAGGCACATGGAACTGAGTCAGCGTTTAGTACTGGAGCGAGTTTGAGTAGGAGACATGCTCTACCTGAACATGTAGATCGCAGCAAGTGCAGGACCCACTCTTGCCGCGGTGATGGGGAAGAGTTCGGCCAAAGCATTGACAAGGGTCTCACGTCGTCTCCCCCAGTTCCATCATCATCACCGGTCCTCCCCACGCCCCGCCCGAAACGGCAGACAATGGTGTGATCTTCATCACTGCGAGCCAGGCCGACGCCTCCTCTCATAAAACGAGGGCATCACTGACCGCGGCCCACTGATACACCAAACTACCACCTTCCTGGCTGGAGCACACCATGGCTGCCGACCGCCACCTGCGTTCCCGCCCCGCTCGTAACCGCAAAGTGGCCACGATCGGGTCCCCCAGGCCGAGCAGATCCAAGGTACCGATCCCAAAGGCCGTCATGGAGAGCAAGGCATGGAGCGCTTCGCCCCTGCTCAGCCGCTATGCCACCAAGAACAATGGCGAGATCGATATCCCCACCCCTCCAAAAGTCCTGGAGGCCATTCGCAAGACCGTGATGGAGATTGAAGAGGAGGGCGAGGGGGCGCCCGTGGTGCCAGCCCTCGCGAGGCGACTGCTGAGAACAGTCCAGACGACGAGTATGTGGCCGTGTATCGAGTATAGCGTCTGACGATAGCGTTGGTCGTCAACCGCAAGACCTTTGCCAAGTATGAGGCTGCCCAGATCCAAACAGAGGCGAAGGCGAAGCAGGGCCTCGCGAGTGTCAGCGTTTGGAACCACACTACCCAAGGTGGAATGGACATCAGCCCAACTGCCATGCACTCTCGGGATGCCAGTACTTCACAGGTGTTGGTCGACACCAGCACAGCCATGGCCATCGATGCGGATCTGGCACCAGCCAGTACCGACGCCGATGCCGACGCCCCGGCCCAGCGCAAACCTACCCAGATCACAATGTGGACCGCTGCCGAGTTTGTCGCCAAGACCGCCGGCACCTCGTTCCAGGATCCAGCGTGGGCACAGCCTGCGCCGCATCTGACCACGTCTCAGGCCGGAACGAGGCCCGTCAAGCCAGCAGTCTACCCGCCGACGCCGAACGTGACCCCGCCAAAAGTCGCCATGCCCGCTTCCGCTTGCCGTCTGCCAGCGCTCAGCGGCACTGCCGGCCCCTTCACCAGTGACAACAGTGCCCCAGAACCCGACCTGCTGGAGGAGCTCAAGCACGTAGTGCTGGCCCTCGATGATTCCTACCGCAAAGTACTGAGCAGGGTGCACAGCCTTGACAGGACTGTGCGCACGTTGAATGCGCGGATGATGATCAGTGAGGCCAGGTAAGTGTGCTCGCCACGCCATGAGACGGGACGCAAGAGGTGGCTGACAGGCCAAAGGCAACTGAACGGGTATCTCGAGAGTCTGGGCCTCGAGCTGCGCTACGTCCCGAACCTGCAGTGGACTCGCGAGGCCGACGCGTATCCGGTAAGAGAGCATAGATGTTCCCCAATCAAGGCATCCACTGACTCTTGACTCTCCTCCTCGCAGCCATTAGCGTCGCGCCAGGCCATCCGCCGACTGAGCCACAAAAACCTCGCCAGATGGATCCAGTTTTACTACCCGGGCGACGTCGATCTGGTCGAGGCCCCCATCCCGTCGATGCAGTACTTGCTCGAGGTGGCTGTTGGTGTCGAGAAGAGTATGGCACCGCCATAGTGGTTCGTGCTTTATCAGTGGCGGTCAGTGCTACCCGCCAGCCACAGGCGAGCGCGAACATCCTCATACAAGATGCATGCAAGAGATTCTTGTCAAACACAGTCTACTTACTTCTTCATTCTCACACAAGCGGCACACATCTATAGTTGCTTACACGTACTTGTTGAAGAAGTTGACGAGGAGCTGGTAGGCCTCGGCGTAGGCATCGGTGTGCTCACCACCAGAGAGCTGCAGAGGGTCAGCTGTGCGTGTGGAGAAAGGCCAGAATGAAGCGGCACGGGCTTGTTTGTACTTACATCACCGCGGGCGGCGCACCAGCCGTGGGCCTCGTTGGGGTACCACTTGAGGAAGTTCTTGCCGGGGTTCTTCTTCTCCAGGCTGGCGTAGAGCGAGTCGACGGTCTCCTTGTCCTCACCGCCCGAAGGGAGGAGACAGACGGGGATGTCAAGGCCCTCGTAGTCGTCCTTGCCGACGAACCTGGAGTGACATGTGAGCACAAGTTGTCAAAGATGGGACGGGTGCATGCGAGCTTGCACACTCACGAAGGGTGGACGCCGGCGATGGCAGAGAACTGGTTTACGTCCTTTGCAGTGATGGCGGCCTTCCAGCCCCAGCAGAAGCCGACGGTGCCGACCGATGCGTAGCCCTGAGCCTTGAGGGCGGCGAGCGCGGCCGCAATGGCGACGGCCTGGCCCTCCGAGTCGGGCTTGCCGGGGCCGGTAATGTAAGCAATCTTCTTCGCGTCGCCCTCGGGGGTGCCGTCAAACATGCTGCCCTCGGCATAGGCGCCCTTGAGGAAGTCGGGCATGACGACGCGGTAGCCAGCAGAAGCGAGCAGGTCGGCACCTGGGTTTGTCAGATTTCTTGTTTCCTGCCTGCGCAAAACAGGATCGGGGAGTCACAAGGGTCCGCCCGGTGACTCACCCTGGAGAATCTGAGGCGCGAAGCCAAAGACGTCGTAGACCATGAGGATGGCCTTGCCAGTGTCGGTGGGGCCAGTCTGGTACGTCTTGAGGCCGTCGAGCTCGCCGAACGAGCCCTTGGGCGTGTACTCGGCCTGGACGGGCGGGAGGGTGCAGCACTCTGCGGTGGGAGTTAGCTGGCAGCTAGCTGGACTCCCCACATCGCAGTGACGATATGGAGCCCGTTCAACTCACGCTTGTGGGCGGGGTTCATGACGGAGATGAGGCTAGTGAGTCGGGTGCTGGCTCTGGAAAGCGGTCAGTCTATTCTGCTTAAGTATGTGACTGGGGCGACTGGGCGACTAGGGGCGTGATGAAAACTGCGAGGACAACAACACCCACGCTCTCGCCGTGTGTCGGAATGTCTATCAGCTCAGCCCGTCGGCCAGCTTAGCAACGCACGGCACTCGGCTCGAGTATGGTCGCCGAGACCGAGCGTGGGCGGCGCCGCCTTTGTCATTGTCGATGTTTTATTAAACACCGCACAGATGAGACACAGGTCCCCGCAGCGATATGTCCTTGTTACGCCGATTGGATGAGGGTGTGGATGGAGGGGTGTGTACGCACGTTGTGAGCGTTGAGGAAACAGGTGGCATGAAAGGAAAGACAAGAAGGAAACGACTGCTGATGATGAAAGGCGTGCTCCACGCTCACACCCCCCATATTTCACTCGCCCCAAACCCCCCCACGTCATATTCGACGCCGCCGGCCGGCATCCAACCGGCATCCACGGCATTCAACAAAGACGCTTATGCATATGCCCTCTCCTCAGGAGCAGACGATGCATGCAATGCAGACAAGGCAGAGTATGTCGTCCAACCTGTAGCTGCATGGTTGGACCGTGCATGCCCTCTGCATCGCTGATGTTGTCTGCGGGGCTGTCGGCCTCGTCCGCCGTCCGCCGTGGGCCCGTGGATGTCACCACTTTGCCTAGCGCTGGGCCGCTGATTGCCGATAGCCGATAAGTCGATAGCTGATCGTCTCTTTCCATCGCTTCCTAGGTTGCTATCTTGCGATCTCCATGCCGTTTACCACCTTTACTGCACTCCAACCTCTCGCAACAAGAGTCACTCGCTCCACTGCTCTCCGTTCCGTCCCTTCTCGTGTCGCCATGCTGCATTACGCCCTCGCTCCAGCTGTCACCTCGACTGCCGCTCCACCGTACGTCCCCCACTGCCCACCTTTCGTCTTGTCCGTCGTATCTGACCCCTTGCAGCATCCCAAAGGCCAAGGCATGGGGAGCGGCATATGCCGCTTCCCCCGTTGCAAGCACCCAACCGCTACTCGACCTCAGCCAAGGTGTCCCCGGAACCGCTCCTGCGGACAGCGTCCTCGCGGCGCTTGCAAAGACGGCCGGCAACCCAGACGCGGCAAAGTATGGTCCTATCCTGGGCGAGTCAGCGATGCGCGCCGCGCTGGCTGTCGAGCTGCGGAACCTGTACAGCGTCAAGGAAGAGGCCAGTCTCCTGCCCGAGGATGTGGGCATCACCACTGGCTGCAACATGGCCTTCCTCGTGCTCCTCATGGTCCTCTGCCCCCCGAACGAGTCGAGCATCCTCCTCCCTCTCCCGGCCTACTTCAACCATGCCATGAGCCTGTCGCTGCAAGGCGTGACACCGAGCTACATCCCTTGCGACCCGGCACAGGGGTTCCAGCCGTCCATCGATGCCGCGCGGCACATTCTCGCTGCCGAGCCAAAGATCGGTCCCAACGGCACGCCCATCCGTCCTCGCGCCATCGTCCTCACGACACCCAACAACCCCACCGGCGCCGTCTACTCGCCCTCGCAGCTCGAGGATTGGCTCGCCCTCGCACGCAAGTACGAGATCCCTCTAGTCCTCGACGAGACGTACCGCGAGTTCACGGACGCGCCGCACACGCTCTTCGACAACCCCACATGGCGCGAGAGTCTCATCTCGCTGGGAAGCTTCAGCAGTGGGTCAAGCTTCGTGGTCAGTAGTTGGGCTAGAAGCTGACACTGCATACAGAGGGATACCGTATCCCCGGCCACCGCCTGGGCAGCATCACTGCCTCCCCCACGCTCCTGGAGCAGGTCGCGACCGTCTGCGACTGCATGCAGATCTGTCCTCCGCGCCCACCGCAGCTTGCGCTCGCCCCGCTCCTCCCGAGCCTGCGGGACGACCTCGCCGAGTCGGCCGCGGCACTGCGCTCGCGCCTGGCCATCTTCGCCGAGACGGTCGCAAACGTCCCCGGATGGCGCGTCCTCTCCTCGGGCGGGTTCTACGCCTACGTCGAGTTCCCCAAGGAATACACAGGCGACGCGGCCAGGCAGGCGCTGGGCGTGGACGCGCAGAGCGTCGTGGGCAGCGAGGATGTGGGACGCGCTCTGGCCATGCACGGCGGCGTGCTTACCCTCCCTGGCTGCTTCTTCATGCCCGCGCGTGACTCGCCCGACTGGGACAGTGTCGAGGGCGCCGAGACGATCAAGGCCGACCGCTGGATCCGGTTCGCGATTGCCAACGTCGACGACGACACGGTCCGCGCCCTCGGTGCGCGCCTGGAGCTGCTCAACAAGGTCATGGGGATGTAAAACAGTTAGACTCGGAAAGAACGAGAGTACTATTACTGCCCAATGCATATCACGCGCTGCCCATGTTGCCAACCCGCTCCGTCCCGGGGGACGACTGCCTTACTCGGCCTTGGCCTTGTCGGCCGCTGCCGCCGCCTCCTTGGCCTCCTTCTCTAGAATCTTCCGCCTCGCCTCGAGGATCATGCGCTCCTTGCGCGCCCGCAGGTCCTTTTCACGGTCCTCGCGCGTCGCCTCCCACTTGCCCGACGCGATACTCGATGGCGTCGCGACCCCGCTCGACACACCGCTGCCGCCGCCACTTGTGGGTGGCTCGGGGCTGGCGCTGGCCTTCGCGCTGTCGCCCGCCAGTCGAGACGAGAGGTTGTAGCGGTCAATCAGGCTCTGCTGCTTGACGGCAGCGGCCTGGGCGGTGGCGGCGGTGGACGACGACGATGCCGGCGTGGCGGAGCGCACGGCGACGGGGCGGAGGTGGTCGGGAACGACAAAATCGGCGGGGGCCTGGACGTCAGTGACAGATACGTGTGCGGTGCATGTTGGGTTGATGACGACCAGGACAGCATGGTGGTGCTGTAGCGATGAAGGGCCAGACAGACACCTTCATCGCCCACCGGCCGCCTGCCGCCCCCTCAGTCCCGACTCACAGCTGGCAACGTTCCGCGGTCCAGGATAATCTCGCTGGTCGTCTGCGGATTCCGCGTGCGCGACAGGGAGAAGACGACGGACTCGATCGACACGTCCGGGAACGCAGAGGTGACGGATTCAACCTGTGGGAGCGTGTCAGCGACATGGTCGTGTGGACGCTGAAGGGAATGGAAAGGTCGCGTGCGCGCCGGCCAGCTGAGCTGTTCACCATGTCAGAGCGAGACAGCTGGCGACGCAGCGGCGAGCACGCTGCGAGCACAGAAACAGCGTGAGGGGCTGACAGCGTGAAGCCGGGCGGGCTTGGGCCAGCGGCGGAAGCGGCGGTGCTGCTGTCGCTGCAATCGCGGGGGCCAACCGTGGCGCCGCCGACGTTCATGGCCAAGCTATGCTCGCCACTCGATCCCTACGCCTGCGTCGTGGGATTGACGCAGGAGTGCACGAGTAGGACGGACGTTCGCACATGTCGCGTGACGCCCGGATCGACTCACCATGGGCCTCGTCACGCCGCGGAACGGGTCGGATGGTGTCTCTGCACGAGTCAGCTGGTGGCCTTGGCACGGAGACAGGCAGTGGGAGGGGTCAAGCAGCTTGAGCTTGTGACCTTGTGACAGCTTCTGGCCATCCCAGAAGGATCAAGGCAGGCCGGAGGAGGAGTGGAGGGTTGATGGAGATGGAGGGACACGGCGCGGGCCGCGGGGGGTGACGTACTCGGTCCAGTGAGCCATTTGTACAGCGCATACAGGATGCCAATGAGGATGATGGTGGGGAGGATATCTTGTGCTGCCATGGCGGCCAAGGGTGTAGTCGTCGGGTGGGAGAGTTGGAGTGTGAGAGATGAGTGATGACGGGTCACGGCGGAGGAATGGGTCAGATAGCAAGTGAACGAACGGATCTGGGCCGGGAACCGGTGTCCATCACCCACGGCCCCGTCCAAGGCACCGAGTGGCGAATGGGTCTGGTGTCAGTGGCGACACTGCGTGCCATCCACGACGGCCACAACATGCGTGATCAGACAAAGTGGCATTATGCGTTCGCTATGTAGTACAATGGTGGGGTTACTGTGCAGGCTATGATGTATGCTGTTTTCCAGTGTGCTATCTGTGTCTCAGAGGCTATGCAAGCCCGTCCCACAACCCCATCCCTTTCCCATCCACCGCCCAGACTTCCTCGCCTTAGGCGTTACCCAGACACAACTCAACAATGACGTATCCGTTCGCAAGGATAACGATACCGCACAGCGAGTAACCCAGTGCGGTGACCCACTTGCTGGACGTAAAGAACTTGCGGCGGCGGACCCCGGCCGGCTGGGCAGGTGGTGGCACTTCCAGGCTGGGGCTGGATGGACGTGACGCGCATGGCAGCGGCAGCGGAAGCGACAGGTGTGAGGCTGCTGGTGAAGCCTGCCTCGACGCCGCAGCCGAAGCCAAGGCAGAAGCTGGCACCGACTCGGCACGCACCGGCGGCTGCGTTTCGTCGATCGGTCCGAGGACGACCATGACGTCCTTTTGCGAGCACAGGTAGACAAGCGGAATGGTCACTGTCGGAAGCACGATGGAGAGGACGACCTGGGACGCGACGAGCATGTCGTCCAGCCCCTTGTTGCCAACCGCGACGGCCACGATGGCTGCGGGGACCACACCAATCAAGCGCGTGAGCAGACGACGCAGCATGGGGCTCGTCTTCCACTCCAGAAAGCCCTCGGACACGACCTGGCCAGCGAGCGTCGCGGTGATGCTGGCACTCTGGCCCGCGCATAGGAGGGCAAGGGCAAAAATGATGGCGGCGCCGTTGCCGATATAATCCTTGATAAGCGCGTGGGCGCCCGCCAGGTCGGCGTCGTCGGTCGCCCCGCTCTGGCCGTAGTAGTACGCCGCACCGGCGAGCGTCAGGATGGAAGCGTTGATAGTGAGGGCGAAGCCGAGGAGACTGTACGACGTATCAATGGTCGCGTGGATGACGTGCAGGTCGGCCCAGCGGATACGGTCAAAGGCGCGCACGTCCGCGTCGTACTTTTCCATGGCGACCTGGTAGTCGTCGTCGTCCTTATCCGCGAACGTCTTAGGCGCCGGAGCAATTCCCACGTCACTTTCCACGCGAGGAAGGTCCGGGAGTTGCGAGGGGCCCGCCTGGTTGACCTCCTCAAGCTCTACCTCTGTCGTTTCGGGCTGCGGCTCCGGATTCCGACGACGCAGGCGGCCGAGTGGGTTGAACGAAGGCAGGCGGTTGTTGATGGGCTTTTTCGCACGCGAGGGAAGAACAGGGAGCATGCCCAACCGGTCCACAGACGCGAGGTGTGATCCCAAGAATAGTGCGTGCGGCATGACCGTGGCGCCAATGATACCAACACCGACGTAGAGCGCGCCGGGCTTGACAAGGGTCCTGGACGGGACAAGACCCAGGAAGACTTCGCGCCACTCGGGCTTGATGAGGTGCAGGAGGATCATAAAGCTCACAAACACGGCGAGCACAAGCGCCACAATGACAAACTCGAAGAACATCATGCCCTGGCGGCCCGAGTTGGATCGGAAGAAGAGGAGGACGACCATGACGTCGGCGGCCGTGATGAGGACGCCGGCGAAGAGAGGGAGGCGGGGGAACAGGAGGTTGAGCGCAATGGCGCTACCGAGCAGCTCGGCGAGGTCGGTCGCGATAATGGCAATCTCGGCGAGAGCCCATAACGCGTACAGACACCAGCGGAGGGCACGCTTGTACTTGGGGTACTTTGCCTCCCAGCGCAGGAAGAGCGCGCGCGTCTGCGCGGGGAGCGAGTCGGAGGTGACGGCACCGAGGCGCACAGAGAGGATTTGGAGGACTGGAGGCGTGAGCATGGGTGTGGGTGCGTGCGAGCTACGGGCCTTGTAGCTCCATGATGTTCACTCACCGACCGCCGCCAAACTGGCGAGGAACACGATGAACAGCAACTTGTAACCATACGCGGCGCCAGCTTGCAAGTCGGTTGCCCAATTTCCTGGATCAATGTATGCCACCGATGCCACCAGGCCGGGTCCTACAAACGCCAGATGGCTTACAGTCAGCCTCTAACCACACCATGGAGAGCGAGCTGTGCCGTTGGGAAATGGGCTCGTGTGACATGAAGTCGAGGTGGAGCTAGCTCCCCTCTGCTCCAATTCACCACCACCCCAGTCGAATGCACGTGTAGCACTTACCGTGTGAACAGCTCACGCGCTCGGCGGAGGGACAACATGGTTGCTGTGAGTTGCGATGAAGAAGTGAGCAGTGGCAAGGAATCTCAATTTGTGTGTGTCCGTCTATGTTTCCCTCAGATCTTGGATCTTGGATGCGGTGTTGGGTTGGAGCGCCGTCCACCCGCTAGATCCGGTGACTTATTCCGATAACGCCCGATAAGATCCACAGCAACATCGCCTTGACGCTTCAATATCAAATATCACAAGCAGAACGTAGGGTACAAGTGCGTGCATGCGCTGTCCTGCAATGGTGCACTTCACGCACAAACCTGACGCCAAGGCACCCTCGGTGACTCTTGGCAGCTTGACCAGGTTTGACCAGGGTCGGTCCTGGCTGAACGAGCTGCTGCGGGCCACTCCCAATTCTGCTCAAGCCGGTTACAGGGCGCGACATGCGATATAAGAGGCAGAGTGGGTGATATGACATGTGATGCTGAGTATGTGTGTCTATGAGAGGTGGGGGGGAGTGGTGTATGCAGGAAAATGAGTCCGATGATAGCTAGTCAAAGCCACTGATCCACTGACGACGTGCTTAAAAGTAAGCATCAGTGCGGAAGATCTTCTTCGTAATCTTGCCGTCGTCGCCAGACGAGCCTGACCGACGGTGGTGGGGTGTTGCCGAGCGCGACATGTTGGCCAGCTGGTACGCGCTGACACGCGACTCGAAGAAGTTGGTCTTGCCTTGCAGCGAGATGAGCTCCATCCATTCGAACGGGTTGGTGGCGTGGTAGATCTTTCCGTAGCCTGACCGTTAGGGACGATTCCGACGATAGCCAACAGGTAACTCACCGAGAGCAACCACCAGACGGTCTGCCACAAATTCCATGTACTGGCACATTGACTGGACTGTTAGCTACAGATACCTTCAACTGAGGAGCTCACATCCGCATTGATACCGATAAGCGCACATGGCAGAGCATCGGTGAGGAACTCCTTCTCAATGGCCACGGCCTCGCTGATAATTGTGTGAACCTCCTCCTCGGAGCAGCGGTGCGTGAGGTGGTTGTATAGCAAGCACGCAAAGTCGGTGTGGGTACCCTCATCGCGCGAGATGAGCTCGTTTGAGAATGTCAATCCGCGCATGAGACCGCGTTTCTTGAGCCAGAAAATGGCCGCAAACGAGCCCGAGAAGAAGATGCCCTCGACACAAGCGAAAGCAATGAGGCGTGTGCGGAAGGGCATGTCGGGCGTGATATACTTGAGCGCCCAGTCCGCCTTTTTCCTGATGGCAGGAACTGAAAAGTTAGTCACGTCCCCAGAGACAGAGCCCATCACTACTTCAACTCACTCTTCTCCATGCCCTTGAACAGGAAATCCTTCTCTTCCTTGTCCTGCACATAGGTCTCAATGAGAAGACTGTAAGTCTCGGCGTGGACCTGCTCAATCATGGTCTGGAAAGCGTAAAAGGCACGAGCCTCGGCGACCTGGACCTCCATTGAGAACATCGAGATGAGGTTCTCTCCCACGATGCCGTCTGAGCTGGCAAAGAATGCGAGAATGCGAAGGATGAAGAAGCGCTCGTCATCGTTGAGTTTGGTGTCCCAGTCGTACAGGTCGTTACCAAGGTCCAGCTCCTCGGCCGTCCAGAACGCCGACTGAGCCTGCTTGTACGCGAGCCAAATCTGACCAGTCAGATATGGTGTCCGCGAGATGTGTATCTCACCTCGTTGTATTTGATGGGAAACAGGACAAAACGATCGTCGGTCTCACGGAGAAGATCTTCGTCTTCTTCTTCGGGGAAGCGACGGGCAGACGTGGTCGGAAGCTGAGTAGTCTTGCGCTCGGGCGACAGCTCGATAGCGGGCATGGGCGACGCTGTGTTTCGAGGCGACTTGGAACTCTGGCCGAGCTTTTCGAGTCCTTGGCCGTGGATGCTGACGTTTTGGAGCTGTTCCGCCACGGTCAGCACATTCGAGAGGCTCGAGTGGCTCGGGTGGTAAGGGGGCAGCTGGCTGCTGAGCCGTGCGACCTCGGTCAGGTCGCCATTGCTCGATCCTACGGTCGGTGAAGGAGATGGTGACATGGACCGCGACAGGGAAGGGGATGGCAAGCCGAGCGTGGGCATAGCTGGCTTGGGCGACAAGACAGCCATAGGGTTGAGATGTGGAGGAGTGACGACGGTGTGGCGCTGCCGGGGTTGCTGTGGCTTGTGACTGGGTGGCGTCTACCGGGTGGTGTGGACACGAGAGCAATGGATGGGGGAGGATGCAAAGTGGATGGATGGATGCGAGGTGGAGATGAGGAAGGCAAACAAGAATGGGACATGCACAAATGAAGACGCGCAGGCCGGGGGTGGTGGTCTGCGACGGATGGATGCTTTGAATGTTACTCAGACAGTCCAGTCAACCACGGTCATGTAATCGCGGCCTCGGTGGCAAATTGTAATAAATGCATAGTCACGTGACCCATCCCTCCTCCTTATGCGCGCCCCCTTTGAACCTGGCCCGCCGATGAGAAGTGGAGGAACAAGACTAAAGAGACAAAGTCGGTCCGCCTCGACTTTCTCATCGCATTCACCGTCATGAGCATTCTCAGGAGCGCAAGATCACCCGCCATCGCAGTGCGGGTAGCTCTGGCGTCCTCTGTGCGACCCTTCTCGGCTGCGGCGCTACTTCGGTCGGCCGCCAAGCCTCTCCCGAAGCGCAACTGGGCAGCTCCCGCACCGCCAACAGCGAGCACAAACGCTGCCCAGTCCGGTGCTGCCCAGCCCTTCAAAGCCCGCGAATGGAGTGCCCCTGCCCCCACACCGCCAGCAAAGAGTACAAACGCCTCCCAGCCTGGTTCTGGCCAGCCCCTCAAAGCCCGCGAATGGGGTGCCCCTGCCCCCACACCGTCAGCTCAGAGCGCAAACGACTCCCAGTCTGGTGCCGGCAAGTCCTTCAAGGCCCGCGATTGGGGTGCCGCTGCACCGACGCCTGTCAAATCTCGCGATTGGGGATCTGGAGGCGGCAGCTCTGGAGGCACCCGCGACGACCGACGCCTCGGTGGTGGTGTCGGCTCGCGTAACAACAACGCCCGCAATGACCGCCAGAACGACCGCCGCAACGACCGCGCAAATGGCGCTGCTCGCAAGGACAGCCACCAGCGTGGTAGCAATCCGGCTTTGCAGTCGGGAGTCTCTGGAAACCCCCGCAAGCGCTTCAGAGATGGCAACGCCAACGGGGGCGAGCGGGGATCGCAGCAGCAGAACCGCAACAATTTCAATCCACAGTCAGCGCCTGCCCCCCGCGACTGGTCATCTCCAAGGGGCACACCAAACAATGCCGCAAAGGACAACACTCAAGCGAGCGGGCCCGATCGCTCGGCAGCACCTCCACAGGATGGCGCAGGCTCGTCCGGAGCTGTGGCGGACGCTGGTTCCGTTTCAGACTATGACGGAGCCGGCTACGATGGAGGGGAGGACGATTCCGACTGGCATTCACGAAGAAAGCCGCGCCGCGAGTCGCGTTCGCTTCTCCACCAGCCTGACGGCGGCTACGAGCTTCCGCCAACCCACCACCACAGCACCAAGGGCGGCAAGGTGAAGCTTTCGAGGGAGGACCGCGAGCGCAGTTCCCGCTCCTGGGCATTCGAGGACGAGGACCCAGCTGAAATTGAGGCCTACGAGGAGGCCCAGCGCATGGAGCGTGAGAAGAAGGAGAGGCAGGCCCAGAAGGCTGCTCTGCGCGCGCGTCAGCTGAAGGATGAGATGGAGAAGAGCGTCTTCATCCCGTCAAGCATCACGGTTTCCCAACTTGCCGACAAGTTTGGCGTCAAGCTTATCCACCTGATCCGCAAGATGAACCAGGTCGGTATGCCCGAGAACCACCGTCGCGCCGATTACCTCCTGAATTCCGATGAGGCCGGTAACCTGGCCATCGAGTTTGACCTCAACCCCATCATCGACGAGGACAAGGGCTTTGACATTTTCCCAGAGCCCGAGGGTGACCTTTCCGAGTGCCCTCTCCGACCCCCAGTGGTCACGATTATGGGTCATGTAGACCACGGCAAGACCACACTTCTCGACTCATTGAGGCACACCTCGGTTGCGGCTGGCGAGGCCGGTGGTATTACGCAGCACATTGCCGCGTTCTCTGTGCCGCTGTCATCGTTGATGAAGGGCTCTGATGTCCCCAAGGGCGCCACCATCACCTTCCTTGACACCCCGGGTCACGCTGCCTTTACCGGCATGCGCGCGCGTGGTGCCATGGTCACGGACCTGATCGTCCTCGTCGTCGCGGCCGACGACGGTGTCATGCCCCAGACTAAGGAGGTTATCAACCTTGTTCACGCGGCCGGTGACTCTGTCGGTCTTGTTGTCGCCATTAACAAGTGCGACAAGCCCATGATTGACATTGAGCGCGTCAAGTCCAACCTCGGTACCGAGGGTATCCTGCTCGAGGAGGACGGCGGTGAGATTCCCAGCGTGCGTGTCTCGGGTCTTACCGGCATGGGTCTCGATGACCTCATGGAGACTCTCTCGACGCTTGCCGAGGTGCGCGACCTCCGTGCCCGCAAGCAAGGCAAGGCTGAGGGGTACGTGCTCGAGTCGCACGTCGACAAGGGCAAGGGCACGATCACCACCGTCCTTGTCACTCGCGGTACGCTCAAGTCTGGTTCCATCATTGTGGCCGGCAACACTTGGGCCAAGGTCAGGCAAATGACCGACTCGAGCGGTCGCTCCATCCGCGTCGCTACGCCCGGCATGCCCGTGACCCTGACTGGCTGGAAGGACGTCCCCACCGCCGGCGACCAGATGCTCGAGGCCCCCAACGAGGACCGCGCCAAGAAGTGTGTGGCCAACCGTCTTCGTGACGACGAGCGCCGCGCCATGGCCGTCGATGTGCAAGAGGTCAACGCCCGTCGCGAAGAGGACCGCAAGCTCCACGACATCGAGGTCGAGGTCAAGCGCCAGGCCAAGGAGGACGGCTCCAACGTCAAGGAGGCCGTTGCCGCTGCCCGCCGAAACGCTGCCGCTGCTGCCGAGGTTGGCCGCAAGGAGCTGCGTATCGTCATCAAGGGTGACGTGACGGGTACGGTCGAGGCTGTCGTCGGTTCGCTCAAGGACATTGGCAACAAGGAAGCCGGTGTCAAGATTGTCCAGACTGGCGTCGGCAACGTGTGTGAGAGTGACATTGACTTTGCCGAGGCCACCGGCGCCATGGTCGTGGGCTTCAACGTCGAGTGCCCCAGGCCCATGAAGTCGCTCGCCGCCAGCGGCGGCGTGCCCGTCCACTGCGACAGTGTCATTTACCGCCTGATCGAATCTGTCAAGACGAGCGTCGCAGCCCTGCTCCCGCCCAAGATCGAGTACCGCGTCACTGGCGAGGCCCTCGTCCAGCAGCTGTTTGAGATCAAGATCAGCCGCAAGGAGAACAAGGTCATTGCCGGATGCAAGGTCGCCAACGGTGTCATCTCAAAGAACGAGGGTGTGCGCGTCCTGCGCGGCACTGACCGTGAGATTGTTTTCGAGGGTAAGTGCAACGCTATAATGACATGGGGAAGGACACTGTAGCTGACTGGTGCGACAGGCTCCATGGAGACGCTCAAGCAGTTCAAAAAGGACGTCACCCAGATGCGCAAGGGTACCGAGTGTGGTATTGGCATTGAAGGCTTTGCGGATATCCGCGTCGGCGACGAGATTGTCACGTTCACCACCACCGAGGTGGCCCGCCAGCTCTAAGCGCCACCCATGCTTGGCGCCACCGCGACGAGGAGACATTTATTTGTTTTTTGATAGAGAGCCAGGCGATAGAGGCTCACCCACTCCCCCAAAAGACGTGCGCGCTTGCCCGGCGTGTCACTCACACCCATCACATATATGTGCAGTACTTATCCCCATTCAACAGCATATGCATCATCACTCTGCCCCCAGTGACTGTGGTCGTGGCAGAGACGAAGCAGCGGTCGGTGGAAGGAAGGTTCGTCAGTTTACTTTGAACGTATACTTGGACTTGTGCAGCTCTGCAGCTGCAGCTTTCTGAACAACGTGTTCGTTACATTACACACACACGGTCTATACAAAATGTTTGGTGGCCTCTCTGGCCTAGCAAGAAAAAAAAATGAACTTGCGCTCCCCTTGACGATCGCTGGAGTGTCGACGCACTTTAGATGCACGACGCATTCGACCTTTGGAGAGTTTCAGCGCAGTCCATATGAGCACAACCTCTCCCATCCCAGTCAAGCTCACGCGGCGGCATACAGCATGTCCGTCCAAGTAGGCGACTCGAACGTGGCGGCGTGGACGCGCATTGCGCCTCCGTTGCGCTTAATTTCGATGGAATACACCGTCTCGCGCCGCGGGATCGGATACGTCCAGTGCAGGTACTGTCCCGAGAGGGTGTATGTGCCCACTGACGGCTTGACGATAATGTCGAGCTCGAGGCCGGTGCTCGCGGTGGGCGTGGCGCTGTCCGAGCGCAGAGGCAGGACGGGGGCCTGCTGGGTCTCGTCGTAAATGGACAGGTCGCACTTGGAGCTCGAGCGCGAGGTTTGGGACGACGTCTCGGTGTCGCTTCCGAGACCCTTGGCGGGGACCGTGTCCCAGTCCAGGTGCGAGGCGTAGTGCACAAACGGGACGTAGATCTCGGTGACCTTGCCGTTTGCGTCAGCGGGGCTGACGCGCACCTGGAGCTTGAAGGTCGACGACTTGACGTCAAAGTCAATACGCTCCGGTGAGCCCACGGTGTACACCGGGTACGGGCGGCAGAACGCAGAGACGGAACGCGCGCCGTCCATGATGAGCTGAGGCGTGACGTCCTCGCCGGAAGCGATGCCCTTGGGCGATACGCTGCGAGAGGTGAGGGTCTGGGAAGAGGCCATGGAGGGTGTGAGGAGGCTGGTCGAAGGGTTGAAGGAGGCAGAGTCGCTGCTGCGCATAGAGTAGTTTGACACTGCGGTGCCGCTGGCAGCTCTAGTATCATCGCTGCTCCAGAGCGAAAGGTCCTCGCCGTTCCAGTTGTCGCCCCACCGGTGGCTGTTACTAGGCACATATGTCCACAGCGTGTAGTTGAGGACGTTGGGGCCGTCGCATGCGTTGATGGAGCAGTCCCACGCGCGAGTCTGAGAGGTATAGTCGCCCTTGCCCTTACCGCCATCCGAGTAGCCGTAGGCGCGTCGGTCGTCCATATCGTACGGGCAGCCAATCTCACCGATAAGGGTAGGGTATGATCCCAGCGACGCGACAGTGTCCTGTTTCAATACACCGAGCTGCTCCTGGATGCACTTGCGGATGTTGGCCTCGCCAACACGGAGGCCCTGCGCAACAGTCCAGTACTTTCCGCGGAGAATACCGAGCGCGTCCGCGTTGTACCACGACCAGTGCTTGGTCATGAGTGTCAGGCCGTCGTAGTAGTGGGGAGTCGAGCACGCGCGACCGGACACGAAAGACTCGGGCAGCTCGGGAAGCGGCTTGAAGACGGTAGTGTTCATGAAGTGAATGGCCTCGGGGTGGAACGTGCGTACAGTCGACGCGTACGACATCCAGTACTGGCGCCAAAAGTCGGTGACATACTCGACGAAGTGGTTGGGATCGGTCGGGAGTGTGTGGAAGTAGGCGGGCTTGAGACACTTGCCAGTCTTGGGGTCCCAAACGCCATGCTGCGCCCAGATGCACTCGTTCACCTTCCACTCCTTTCCTCGTGTCCAGCCCCACTTGCCACCACCGCGCTCGCGGTCGGCCTCTTCGGTGAGCCAGAGCCTGTTGCCCTTGGGGTCGAGAACCCTGGTGCCGTCCTTGTACGGGCCCATGCCACCAAAGCTGTAGTTGGGAACCTCGATGGCCTCGCCGTTGGCGAGGCGCATGTTCTCCAGAGGGGTGGGGACGGGACCGAGAATAACAGATTGCTCCTTCGGGACAACAGTCAGGTCCTTGACGCCGATAAGCCCCTCTCCAGGCTCGTTGATAGAGTCCCACCCGACAACGCACTCCTCAAAGAGGCCTTCGGCCTTTGAGATGTGGTGCGCGAGAGCGCCGATGGCCTTGACAAAGTGGTCTTGCAGCCAGTCCTGGATGTTCACGCCATCGATGATACACTTGGGCGCGTACGCCCGTCCGGCAAAGAACAGCGTCCACACGGTGTGGCCGAACGGACGGTAATAATTCGACGCCCAGATCATGCTCGGCAGTGAGGCGGGGTCGCTCTCCTCCCTCGACGGGTAGTCGGCGTGTACCAACGCAGAGTAGGTCGGGACAATCATGTGTGGGTCCACACCACAGGCGTAGATCGTCCAGATCGGAGCTCCAGATCCACCAGAGAAACGCGACCACTGCACAGCTCAGCAATCGTGCCACAAACATGTAGATTGACGTACCACATCCTGGTGCGGGTCCATGAACACCCTAAAGCCGTACTCTTTGCACTTGTAGAGACACTTGACCACATAGTCCATGTACTCGTGGTCATACTTGCCACTGGGTGGTCAGCTCGCGTGCATGTGAAAGCAACTCACGGCCCCTCGTGTTCCAGTGCCTCCCACGTGAAGACGAAGCGGAGCATGTTAAAGCCCCATGCACGTAGCCGGGCAAGGTGGACCTACGGGTGTGAGCTTTGCCTCAGGCTACTGTCCACTCACATCTGCGCTCCCGTCGTCGAGGTTGAGCGTCGAGTTGATCCACTGGCCCTTGCCGCCCGCCTCGGCGGACTCCCAGAAGCCATCCTGGCTCCAACTGGGACAGTTTGGGGGGTTCTTGGCGCTGCCGGAGAGGTTGACGCCGCGGAGGAGGACGGAGCGGCCAGACGTGTCCTGGAAGTGCACTGAAGATGAGTGCAGGTAGTGGTCTGGGACGGGGTTGCCTGTCACTGGCGAGACAGTTGGTGGAGGCGCCATGTTGGCGTTCCGTTTGAGGTGGTGGGGGAAGCCGTGGTCGTGTGGTTCCGACGCCAGAGTTGTAAGAGGATGGCGAGAACGGTAGTAGCGGATGGCGAGGACGGCGGCGACTGTGGATGAGATGTATAGGACTGTAGAGCTGTTCACCAGGCTCATGCTCAGAGGGGGTGTGTATGTGTAGACGTGTGTGTGTGTAGAGCCGAGAGATTGAATAATGGGGCACCCAGGAAAGAGTGGGACGACTGGCATTTCGATCATTCTACGGGCGGGGCAATTAGGGTGAATTAGGTAAGATCTCTCTCGTTTGGCAAAAAGGCAAATGACGTCGTAGCAGCGGGGCTGGGTTACTGGGTTGTGCCAGCTGCGCGGCTTTCCCGTGCGGACCGGCGGGCCCAGCGGGACATCCTCGGCGTAATCCGACACGCAGACAGCGCTCACGCATCGTTGGTGGCCTGAGGTGGGTGGTGAGCACAATGCGGTGCTCGTCGAAAAGAATGTGCCAGGCCAGGCGGTGTGGGTGTGATCCCAGATGGCCCCCTTTGCCACCTTGTGTGTATGTGTGCTGGACAGTGTCGTCGGTGCACTCTGTGATCTGTGAGATCTGATCTCACACCGTCGGTCATTTATAAAGCCTGTTTTTACCCACTATACAGGGAGTGCAGGAGCTGCGTGAGCCCACACAACTGCTTCCTGGGGCACTGTACCTCTCACAGCTGCGCCGGTGGCAACGGCACAGCACCATCTTCGTCAGCAGAAGTCTGCCGCTCAAACTGCTGGTCAATCTCAACTGCTTGACATGTCGAGTACATGTTTTTGGATTTGTCGGGGCAAAACGAAGAGGCGAGAACAAACGCCCTCTGGCCAGCCTTTCGCCGAACGACTCGCGATAAGTGACTACCTCGACACACGGCGGAGCAGCATGCCGTCCTGTCGGTGATTCGGGCGTCCCGGAAGCCGCCGGCTGTGAGTGGTGTATAGTAGAGGATGCGTCAGATACCGAAGGTAGCCGTTCAAATCTGGACTTGGGGGCCGCTACGCGTGTCGGGATACCCAAACGACGGCGATACCGCGATAGGAGTCCTCTCACAAGAATGCAGTCTCAAGAGCTGGCCGCCGGTGCTGGCCCAGAAGCCAGGGCTGGCCACTGCCGCCTGAACCCGGGACGGGCGGCAACTTGGGTCTCGGGGAACGTCGGCAACGGTTCCACCACATCACGTCTCGCACCCCGTTCCTCAAAGTCGGCATTCTGGTCGCCTATGCAAGCGATGACGCGACTTGAGTCGAGTATCGGCTCTATCGAAATGCGAACGCGGCATGCATGTACATATCGTGGTTGCGACAGAGGTGTGTCTTGTAGTAGTAATGTCAAAAACAAAGCTGGCGGTAGGCTATTTGGCAGCGCAAGTGGGGCATGTGGGGCCGAAAACGGCGCGGCAAGTTGCGATATCCATGATCCATGAACCCCCGTTCGCCATCATGCCTTCGTCGCTCGCTGCTGTTTGGTGGCACCTTCCCTCCTTTTCATCGCCTTCCCTCCATATATACATATGCCACACACTTACATTGGCTCGCACTAGTCAGGCCCTCAATTTTCTGTACTCCACTCATGGTGCCGAGACGGAAGTGGATGAATAGGGTTCTGACCTCGAGTACACTCTCGCCCCCCCCCTCGGCCGGCTCGTTGGTGTGGGCCATGCTCTATCCAAAGCACAACGTTGCTAGCCGCGCAGACTGACACCAGGCTGCCCACGCTGATACCAAGCCCCACCGGTCGGTGCTTGCGAATGGTATCGGAACAGGCCGACCGGGCGCTTAGTACTAAGCGCGACAGCCTTGCTCTTTGCTGGGAGGGGGTGATTCATGCGAGCATGGGATAGAATGCGTCACGAGTACAAGTACCGGCGCGTACCCACTGTGCACCTCTTCTTCCCATCTACCATCTGCTACCACTATCACCTCTTCGGACCCCCGTGAGACGCGCAGCCAACACACAGCAGCTACCTGCCCTTCCCCTCTACCCCTCCTACCCTCCACCACTCTCTCCACAATGTCCCAGATCGCTACCTTCAAGGTTCCCACCATCAACAACGAGCCCATGGTGAGTTACTGCCTGGTCTTGGTATCCATGTGTAGCACGTACTAACACTGGCATAGAGGGCTTATGCCCCTGGCTCGAAGGACCGTGAGGGTCTCGAGGCCGCTCTCGCCAAGATTGCCGCCTCGGGTCCCTACGACATCCCCGCCATTGTCAACGGCAAGGAGGTGAGTGCAAATAGGAATGCTTCAATTCATCCATGTGGAGTCGCGCCGGGAGAGGTGTTTGGTGGCTCCACGACGACATTGGCTGCATTCTTATCGGTGCCATTGTCTCCAAATGGTGGCTGACAATGTTAGATCCGCTCGGGCGACAAGCAGCCCCAGGTCATGCCCCACGACCACAAGACCGTCCTCGCCAACTACCACGCTGCCACCCCTGAGACTGTCTCTGCCGCCATTGACGGTGCTCTTGCCATTCGCGAGGCCTGGGAGGACCTCCCCTGGTCGGACAAGGCCTCCATCTTCCTGAAGGCTGCCGACCTCGTTGCTGGCAAGTACCGCTTCGACATCATGGCCGCCACCATGCTCGGCCAGGGCAAGAACGCCTGGCAGGCTGAGATTGACGCTGCCGCCGAGGTGAGTTAACCGCCGGGACCCCCGGATTCACTGCTAACGCGCTTAGCTCGCCGACTTCCTCCGCTTTTCGGTCAAGTTTGTCGAGGAGCTCTACCAGCAGCAGCCTTCGCGCAACTCTGACGGTGTCTGGAAGTGAGTCTTTGATCTAGAGCACCTTGATATCCGTAGCTAACAATCAGCCGCACCGAGTTCCGTCCTCTTGAGGGCTTCGTGCTCGCTGTCACCCCCTTCAACTTTGTAAGTGGCAAGATGGGGAGATAAGTCGTACGTATGACGTCATACTTACCTGTGCAGACCGCCATTGGTGGTAACCTCGTTGGTGCCCCGGCCATTGTCGGCAACGTTGTTGTTTGGAAGCCCGCCCCTGCCGCCACCTACTCTTCGTACCTTGTGTACAAGATCTTCGAGGAGGCCGGTATGCCCGCTGGCGTGATCCAGTTCGTCCCCGGCTCGCCCCCCGACATTGTCAAGCAGTGCATCGACCACAAGGACTTTGCCGGTCTCCACTTCACTGGCTCGACCCACGTCTTCCGCAAGCTCTGGAAGGACATTGCCGCCAACCTTGACATCTACCGTGGCTACCCCCGCATCGTCGGCGAGACTGGCGGCAAGAACTTCCACCTCTACCACCCCTCTGCCGACATCAAGTCGGGTGTCGTGCAGGCTATCCGCGCCGCGTTCGAGTACTCGGGCCAGAAGTGCTCGGCCCTGTCGCGTGTCTACGTTCCCCGCTCGCTCTGGGAGGGTGGCTTCCAGGAGGAGCTCGTCAAGCAGGCCGGTTCCATCACCATTGGCCCCTGCACCGAGTTTGAGCACTTCACCGGCCCCGTTATCGGCCGCCCCTCGTACGACCGCATCACCAGCATCATCGAGAAGGCCAAGGCTGCCGGCGGTGAGGTTATTGTTGGCGGCAAGGGTGACGACTCGAAGGGCTTCTTCGTCGAGCCCACTGTCATCGTCACCAAGGACCCCAAGTCGATCTCCATGACCGAGGAGATCTTCGGCCCTGTCATGACCGTCTACGTCTACGAGGACGCCGAGTACGACCAGACCCTCAAGCTCATCGACACCACCACCGAGTACGGCCTCACCGGCGCCATCTTCGGCTCGGACACCCTCGCCCTCGCCAAGACCTCGCGCGCTCTCCGCAACGCCGCTGGCAACTTCTACATCAACGACAAGTGCACCGGTGCAGTCGTTGGCCAGCAGCCCTTCGGTGGAGCTCGCGCTTCGGGAACCAACGACAAGTCGGGATCCATCTCGATCTTCTACAGGTTCATCTCGGCCCGTTCGATCAAGACCAACTTCATCGACCCCACCGCATTTGAGTACCCCAGCAACCTCGTTTAATCAGTTAGTTTATTGTGTCTGTGTTTGTACCATTTTTGCATGGATTCGTTGGATAGTGAAACGTTTGCAGTCGACTCTGAGCGAAACAGTGGAGGACGAAAGTGGCGGACAAAAGTGGATGGAGGTCGAATACTAAAATAAAAAAATCGGTGGCTAAATTTGTTTCCGTCGTGTGATGATCGTTGTGTCCCATCTTGCCTGCCAATCCTCCCGATGGCAGCCTGGTTCGCCACTTGCCGTTCGTACCAAATGCGCGCTCTGGCGCTCTGGACAGATACTGCTCATGTCCGGTCCTCCAGACTTCGCCTTTTGCCGTTCATCGCGTCGGCGGCAGACTGCCAGTTACGCTGCAGGTTCAGACCTCGGGAACTGATACGAGGAACGTTGTCACTTGTGTACATGTGGTCGCCCTCAAACGTGGGTATTCTATAAGGGGGTGAACATGGGACTGGGAACCAGGTCATCTACGCAGGAGGTCAAGGTGTCTGCTATACCGCCGTCCTCTCTTCTCTTGTGGGTTTATTGTCCATCGGTACATAAGGTAGACAGCCCTCAGCGACGCGGCGACCCGGGCCAGCCGCCTCGGCCAGAGCCTTGATGTGAGTGCTGTCGTGGCGCGGCGCTTCTGGTTGAGCGCCACGACGGACATGCCACTGTGGCGGGTCTTGTCGTAGGTGTCCTGCTTGGCGGCCTTGTCGTACTGCTTCTGAATAGCGTCAATGTCGCCCGCGGCAATGTCCTCTGGTCGCACTTGGCCTTACGCTCCTGGTGCTCCGCCGCACGTCTGGCCACCTCGGGCATCAATTGGGCCACGTCACCCTCAGCCGCCGTGTCGCGAACGGGGTCGTAGCGGCGCTGGTTGCCGGTGTTGATGCTTGCGCGCGTGGTGGTGTACGTGTACTGCGCGAGCTCGTCGCCAGCGTCCGCTGCCGCCTTGAGCTCGCGCGCCTCCATAGTCCGACGAGGGTGGAGAATCTCCTTGCCGTACTTCTTCATATAGGCCTGCTGCGCCTCACGACACGCATTCGCATCGTCAGCGCGATCCGCTGCGATCTTGCGAGCGAGCGCGGGATCTCGAGACCTGGGCGATGTAGGGAATGTCGCTGGCGAGCGTGAGGAGACATGTGCTCATCGGACGACGGCTTATAGCCTCAGTCGCTTGATCTTTCGAGTTGCCGGGGGCGTATACCTGAGCAAACTGCGCCACAGTCCAAGGCGACGCGTGTGCGCGAATCGTGGAGTCCTTCAAAGTGCCGAGGATGCGGACAAGAAGGAGCTCCGAAAGATGAATGGCGGTGTCACACTGGAGCCTCTCGGCTTCGGCGGGAGGAATACGCAAACGAGGGACGACGTACAGATGGGCGGATTGGGGAACTGAATGCACCCTTGCCGTAGGCAATGCGGCGTGTAACAAGTGCACGTTCAAAGGATCCCTCGGTAATGGTCAGCGGATGCACCAGCGTCACAAGACTGTGTACTCACTCGACGTCCAAGGCTTCCTGCGAACATTCGAAGGAACGCTCAAAATCGGCCAGGTGCAGTCTCCTGCGGCCGGCGAAGCCATAAGCGTTGAGGGCTTCGCCCGCGACAAATCTTACCGCTGTAGCCGATGTCGGGGACGCCGGCCACGATAGCGAACGCGATCTTGAAGTAGACTCCAAGAGAAGCGTCTGTCGATCCGCCAACCAGCCACAGCTCGTAGGCAGTAGGCGGGTTGGGGCGGAGAAGTAGGGGGACGAGGGTGGGCTGGAGATACTTGCGCATGTTTGCCCAGTGCCAGTCGCACGCCGATATGCCCGTGCCATCGAAGTTGCTCGCGGCTATGATCGCACGCAGCTCCTTCGTGAGGGGCACCGTGAAGACCACCGTCGCCTAGGCGTACTCGTAAATCTTGCGGAAGGCTGCCCAGTCCTTCTCGGTCGCAGAGGGAAGCACCTGCGGTCCCTCATAGAAGCAGGGGGAACGACCATGTTTTTTGGCGGGGTCCAGTTGGTGAACCCGGTGATCGAGGAACGGTTTCGGGGTGGCGGCGGTGAGCTTGTACTCGGCGTGTAGCATGCCGAGAGTGACCAGAGAAGACGCACTGGCGGGGACGGAAGTCAAACGGAGACGCGACGAGCCAGGATTGGAGGATTCCGGGGCATCGGCTAAGTCAGAGGCAGGAGCTAAGGTGCCCCCTAACGAAGAAGGTGGCGGACGAGGTGGCGTTGACGAACACTGACGTGGTCAGTTTGATTCGAGGCTGGCCATGTCCCCGCCCGTGTCCCCAGAATGAGAGAGTCCAATGCAACTCACCGATCCTGTAGCGGGCGGCGACAAGATTGCCCAAATGTCCGCCCCAAACGTGTCCTTGAGTTCATCGTCGGTCTGCCTGTGCACGACTTTGGGAGAGGGGTGCTTGGGAGAGTGGGAGAGGGGCGCTTGGGACAGGGCTCTTGAGGGAGAAGTTCTTGAAGAAGGACGAGATGACATATATTTTCTTGCACGACTCAATTTGAGTCTACACCTCACGGGGTGTCCTCCCTCGAAAGCTGGATGTCACCGTTCATCCAGAGCAACTTGGCGACGCCCTTGAGGTCCTCATGTTATCCAGACTACACTGCTTGCAAGAGTACTGAGCTTGCAGCTTAGTGCCTGGCTTCAGCTCCGGCACCTTGCGCAGCGCCGGTGGTTTGGCAAGGCGGTCATGGTCTAGAGCGTCAGTTTATTCTTAACGGTGCTGACAGCCGGCCAGCGGCATCGAGGAAGACTCAGCAGGCAGCCTCTTCATCTCCCCGACACCGACAATCTGGGGATCATCCACTGACCTTCCTTGATGGGGACGCGGTTAATCATTGCGAGGAAGGTGGCTCACGACGGGACGGAGAAAGGAGGGCGAGTGAATGTAGTACCTGCTGACGACTATGGAGCGCGCCGTGGTTGTCCCCGGGTTGTGGGTGGGATGTGCACGGTGGTGACCCGCGGGGGAAGATATATAGGGGGTAATTGACAAACAAGTGTCGAACGTGCCGTCGACGAGTTTTCTCTCCGGCAGGCGTCGACGACTCGCCGTCACAATCGTATACATCTGTACATTTTCAACCTCGTGATATACTGTCAACTAAATTGCAAGAGGGTGGAGTCCAGAGGGGGTCAAGTCGCTTTGCTTTGCAGTTGCAATTGCTGTGGGAGAGAAGGAAGAATAACCTACCAACGTACACGCGTGGGTACAGGAGTGGGTGACTGGACCCACGGAGGCAAATTTCCAGACCGGTGCCCCGCGTTTTCAATGTTTGAACCACACAGAGTCCGTTTACTTTACTCGAACGTCTCCTTCACACCACACCACCCTTCCATCGATGCGGCCATGATGCTCACGACACTGCGACGAGTAACATGTCGTGTCACCACTGCTGGAATTGCAGTACCATGGGTAGCGGCTAAATTGGCGATTGCAGCGCCATCCTTGCCTTCCGCTGTCCTAACATCCTCGTCAACGCTTTCGCTGCAGCATTCGCGCTGCACCTCCTCGAGCAGCAAGGTTTCGAAGCGCAAGATCAAGTCAAATGCAGCTGAAGGTGTGGGCGCCGCCGTGGACGAGGTTCTTGCCGACACCACATCAACGGTCTCGACTCTGATCTCAAGCGAGGACATCGACGCTGAGCTCGACGCTCAAGCTCTGCCCTCAATCGTCCTCCGACCATACCAAGAAGAAGCGATTGAGGCATGCCTTTCGGCCCTGGATCGCGGCTTACGGCGTATCGGAGTATCTTCCCCGACTGGAAGTGGCAAGACGACAATGTTCATGAACCTCATTCCGCAGGTCAAGCTCGAGGACCAGAAGCGTACACAGACGCTGATCTTGGTGGGAAGCGTGGAGCTCGCCCTTCAAGCTGAGGGGGCTGCTAAGCGCATACTCGGAGACCAGTGGAGCGTAGAGGTCGAGCAATCCAAGCGAATTGCGAGTGGCAATGCCGATGTGTGAGTGTTGGGAGTCGGGCTGAGGTGGATGAGGACAACTGGGCTAATGTCAGTACAATTGCCACATACCAGACCCTCAGCAACCCAGAGCGGCTGAAAAAGTTTGATCCGTCCCGGTTCAAGCTTGTCATTGTCGACGAGGCACACCACGCTGCAGCTCTCTCGTAAGTTTCATGCTCTGTTAGTGCTGACATTTCAGTTACCTTCGCCTGTTGCACTACTTCAACGACGCTGTAGAGCTACCTCAGGTCACGGGACCTTACTCTACGTGAGTGCTGAGGACTATGAACTTGGCTAATTATCAGCTTTGACCACGGCGACAAGGTGCCTGTTATTGGCTTCAGTGCGACCTTTAGCCGTCACGACCAGCTGGCGTTGAATGCGGCGTTTGAGGAGATCGTGTTCCACCGCGACGTGGGTCTCATGCTCAAGGAGGGATGGCTATCGCCCGTCAAGTCGACTGCGGTCTATGCAGACCTCGACCTTGAGACTGTTAACACCAATGGCACCGGTGACTTCAACGCAAACTCCCTTGCCAAACACGTCAACACGGAGGCGACGAACCTGCTTCTCGTCAGGACATGGCTCCACCAAGCCAGTGAGTTGTTACTTTTAGAAATTCGGGCGCATTACAGCTAACATGTCAAGGCAAGCAGCGTCGCTCCACCTTGGTATTTGCCGTCAACCTTGCCCATGTCCGTGATCTCGTGGACACCTTCCGGCTCGCAGGAGTGGATGCCCGCTCCATCTCGTCGCATACCGCCCCGGCAGAGCGCAAGGCCACCATCGCCGCATTTGCCAATGGCGAATTCCCCGTCCTTGTAAACTGCGAGGTCTTGACGGAGGGGGCGGACATCCGTGAGATTGACTGCATCGTGCTCGCTCGTCCGACGAAGAGCAAGAACCTCCTCGCACAGATGGTGGGTAACTCGGCAGTTAGGAAATGCTAACCCATCAGGTCGGTCGTGGCCTACGCCTATCGCCCGAGACGAACAAGGAAAACTGTCACCTCATTGACCTTGTGGACAACATTACTCGCAGCGGTGGTCTTGCAGTGGACCCAACGTTGTTGGGACTGAGATACGAAGATGGGGTCCGCGAGGACCCTGAAGATGATGCCAGGACCGATGATTATGGAGATGAACCACCCTCATCGACCAACGCGCGCAATAGTCAAGGGGCCACTGTGAAGAAGGTGACCCTGGTGGACATTGATGACCCCTTTGGTCTGAACGTTCGGGGCAAGACGGCAGTGGCCGCAATGTCGCCCAACGCATGGGTAAGCTGCGTCATTTCTCGCATAGAAATCTGGTGGCTTACAAATAGGTGAACTGTGGCAATGACCGCTACGTGCTGGACATTATGAGTACGTCCATCGGTTGCCCTGGTCCGCTCGTCTATGAACTTTGGAACTAATGGCAGTGTACGGGGCCGTCCTCGTTGACTTCGGAGGCGAGCTTTGGGACATCACGTTTGAGCCTCCCAAACCCATCCGCAGCAGTGGCGACAAGTACTTCAAGACCGTCAGGATACCCATTGCACAGGCGGATACACTTGAGCGGGCCATCCAGAGTGCAGAGAAGTATGTCTCGCACAAAGTCAGCCCCGAACAGTCCAAAATGTGAGCTCGCCGAGGAGTAAACGATTTTGCTGACGGACAGGTTCTTGCGTTCGGCTCCGTGGCGTACAAAGAAGGCCACTGACAAGCAATTGGCCTCCCTCTGCAAACAGCTCAAGATGGTCAAAAAGAAGGTCGCAGGAACTGGGGCTGGGGAGGCTGAGGACGAGGTCAAGGAGGTCATGATTGCCGGACAGCTCGTCCCGACCGACAAGCTAAATGCAGGTCAAGTAAGTTTCGAGCCTGGCAAAGGGGCGACATGACTGACAATACCACACAGGTGAACGCGCTGTTCACGGGCATGTCATACGGAGCCAGGGTGAGTGCGAGGTGGTTGCAGCAGGCCTAGAACGTTGTCGGGCGTGGGCTGGGGCTGCAGGGACAACAACACTCCGCAAGGTTGTGCGCATCGGCTTACATCAACAGGGACAGCGGCGCAAGATTGACGACGCGGAAGCAAGGGCTGAGGCCAAGGCGCGCAGGAAGGAAGAGAAGGCACAAGCGCTGGCGGCGCGCAACTTGCCGCTGCCATCTGCATAGACACCTAGTAGAAAGCTTACATCACAACATCACAATTCATTGCATGCATACATATTTGGGCGGGCCGGAGTTATTGTTCTGCAGAGGTCTCTCTCACCTGGTCATCTAGACGCGTGTGACCTCGTTGAACGCGTTGAGCCTTGCCCTCTCTGTCCTGTGAAAATATCCTGTTTGCCCAACCCCTCTTTACACAATTGTGGACGACCCTGACCGTCTGTCTCCATTCAGCCGTCCACTACGCCAAGCATTACCCTGTTGCTCGCAACCGCCCCGTTAAGCAACAGGATATATATCCGCACGTCCCACAGGGTGAGAGACCATGACCGCGCGGTCGACACGGGGTTTTTCACCCCGCCGAAGGAGAATAAAATAATCCTTTTTTAATTCGGGGTTAAATGGTGGTTTATCCATGTCTGCATGTTGCGAGCAAAAAAAACCGCCGGCGTGACGATCCGGCTCGACGATCTCAGGCCATGACAAACTACAAGGATCTGCATGCCGTGTTGCTCGCAAACTATCCGGTATACTGACTGGGGTGATTACGGACGACGGTTGCCCTCCATAACATTTGGAGCGAAATGATGTCCGAGTGTCAAGTGTGGCGGATTGAAGTACGGTGCTGAGGATTGTCCATTCCCAGATACATTCCCAGAGAGGATAATGGTGACGACGATGAGAAACCAAGATACATATTTCTACGCTGTTGCCGTTCGGCTCGGGGTATCGTAGCCCACTGAGGTCTATGTCTATGCTATATACGATCCGACTCCAATGACTACCACAGGCCAAAGGCCTGTTGAGATGCAGTCTTGGGGATACATGTGTCGCCAACGAGGTGGTGATAGTTGTCACAATTGGCGATGACACACTGGCCGGAAACGCACTGGACGGACGAGACACCGGGAATGGCCGAGCAGTCGAGGCTGTCAACGTCACCGGGGCAGCCACCGCAGGCCTCGAGATTGCTCATGGTGTCGAGACACTCCCAGCCGCTACCCCACTTGTTGTTGCACTTGGTCTGGCCAAACGAGCACTCGAGGCCACGACGCTTCCTGAGCGGGACGGGAGAACCAGACTGGCACGCGGTGGTAGTCGGGTCAATACAGTTGTTGGTGCCACAAAGAACGTAACCGTCGTTGCACGCAAAGCCACAAGAGCAGTCCAGAACATTGAAGTTGGAGGTTGGGTAGTTACACCCCTGAGTGATATATGTGGTCTTGCTGCCGTCGGCACCGATGAGGGCCTTGGTGAAGATGGAGATGATGGCGTTGGCACAGGCGACAGTGGTGGTATACGAAAGCTGTTGGCACTCGTACAGAGCCCATGTCGAGTTGACGTAGTCGGTACCGATTCCAGACTCGATTGCAGATGTAATACGCGCCTGGTCACGCGCAGTCATGACACCGCCGGCAAAGCACCAACCATCAGGATTGGTGGACGCAATGTCTTGGAAGCCGTCCTTACGATACAGAACGCTCTTGAAACCAGTCAGTGTTCTGTCGCATTTTCCTGTGCGAATGCCTGGCTTACATTGGTAGTCTTGACGCCAGCCTGGGTGGTGAAGGTGTACGAGTAACCGTTACAGGAGCAGCCAGTGACGGCGACAGCGGTAGCGGATGAGGCAAGGGCGAGGAGGGAGAGAACGGCGCCAACGATCATCGCAGAAGTTAAACGAGTGTCAGGGGGGAGGGTTAAACGAGTGTCGGAGGGGTTAAACGAGTGTCGGAGGGGTTAAACGAGTGTGGGTGGACAAGAATGAAAAGCAGAGTGTGAAAGGTGAGAAAGGCAAGAAAGGTTGTCTGAGTCTGCACGCGTCTGTACTTTACATAACGCGAGCTAGACAGGTTCGCAAACAGAGGGTCCCCACCTCCGTTGCCCCCGCACCATTGAGACCCTCTCCTGTTGTCGTTCCCTGCCATTGTTGCGCCACTCACTAACAAGGTAACATGGCTTCAGCTATCCCTTCTGGTCCTTGAAGCTGGGAGAGTGGGCGCAGCAGCCATTGTACGTGAGCCATGGCGATGCCGGCATCTTTGTTGGACTGGCCGTCGGTCCGGCCGAGGCACCCGCCATCCGAGACCCAAGAGCTGCACTGGCACAACCCTCAACCATATCCTGAGGCAACCTTCTGTGTACGACATCGATCATGCACCTCAGCAGTCTCTGCTTAAGAGGTACACTGTATGGGTGGGACCGCCACTTGCAATTCAACTATCAAGACCTCCGCCAATGTGCAGGGCTTACGGGCCGGGTTTTCTCAACCAAACATTCCCCGCCTCTATCCTGGCACCGAGGACCGCCACCGCCATCGGACAGGGAGAGTATGTGCCGTGTCGGCACGGCCACTTGGGGGCAAAACATGGTCTTGGGAGCAACATCCAAACGCCCACGAGAGGGTCCGCCTTCCAGGTTGGACAGTCGGTTCCGTGGAACATCGCGGTAGCACTTGTTACTCTGTGTCTCAAACGGATGGGCTTGAATGACTGGTTTGCGTCTGAAATGCAGTCAGTGCCTCATGTGTGAAGAAAAAAACGAAGCCATCTTGCTTGTCGTGTGATCCTGTATGATCGTCCTTCTAGCCCAGGTTCCACCGCTGCCGCTAGAATCTTGTCGATCTTTGGATCTTGGGGATCGACTGCCGACGCGCGCGCCGCGTACTCTCTCCTTTCCTTGGCCTTTCCACACTAAGGTCAAGCTTAATGACTAGAAGCCTTGCGGTCTGCACCCCGTTTTCCTGCCTACGTCGTCAGGGTTGGACGCATCGACCGCCACGAGCCGCCACAACTTTGTCCACAGCCATACACATATGGAACCCCGCAGGCACCTTTTGGTGAGGGCCACCTCCACAGGGCACGTTCAATTCAACGGTCTGCTGAGGCATGCGGTTCCGCGGTGCACTCACGGAAGCCGTGTCCTGGGTCGCATGCTTGACCCAGAAGTCTGGCCCCGTCGGGGAAACGGTGACGCAAAGTAATGTGGTCCGTCGACCGTGCGTACAATGCGGCGTTCCCCACCTTGCCCCTTCTGAGTGGGAAACAGGCGGGAACCCGAAGCCACGGTTCCTCCAGGATCAACGAGTCAAGGAGAGGCGTCAAAAGTGGTTTTAAGCAGAGGGTTCAAAGGCAGCCCGCCTCGTGTGGGTGCGACTGATATGGTGTTCCCACAGAGTAGCAAAACTGTTGCCGGCTGCACGAGGTTGTTGCTTGAGATTGGGGTTGGACATCCGGCTGTGTCACACGGCAAGCAGTCTGTCCTCAAATTGGTAAGCCACTTCATGCGCCACAACGAGACGCGTTCAGACGCGTCACGTTCTGTTGGATCACGTTCACCACACCACCGCGTCTGGTGTTCACACTGGACAATGCAGACCTCCACAGGACACGGCCGGTTGCAGCAATGTCTTCTGCCACGAGGAAGATGCGTGCGGGTGTATGAGAGCAACGTCCAATTGTGTTTTGAGCACTGGAGGTTGTCAGAGACCCCGGCCAAACAAAGCCAAGCAAAAGCGGGAGCAATCGCGAAATTCAAGGCCACAGCAATAAAGCAACGATGGCCGTCTGACCCCCCATTGCACTCCGCCGAATCCCATTGTTGAGGATTTGTGTGTCTGTCACTGGGAAGACCAGCTGTCTATTGCAATTGGGTTAACCCCATTAATATTGTTTATCAGGCGGAGTGGAATACATAGTTGGATTCGGCGGAGTGGAATAATGGGGAATCTGGCCGTCTTCCTCTCTGGATCCCTGGCAACACCGCCAATCCACAGCAGCCCACTTACTAGGAGGTTGAGTCCTGCTATATACGCTTATACCCTGCGGCTGAGATAAATGCACCGTTCCGGCATTGCAAGCGTATGTTTCTGGAAGGGGTCGATCGCGGTCACTGTGCACAAGACTTGGGGGGCGCTAAAGCCACGTGGGAATTTCCCACGGTGGTTTCTAAAGTTGCCGGTGGAGGCACGATCCATCTGAAATATTTGGTCACTCGTGACCTTTGCGTACAACCAACACAAACACTGTCAACAATGGCCGAGGTCACCACCATGGTCGAGAGCAAGAAGCGCAAGCGTACCGGAAAGGCCAGGGAGGAGGCCAAGCAGCGTGCCATTGAGGTATGTTGCGTCTATTGCGACATTGTGTGTTTGGGTGCTAACAGCTGTGACAGGCGGCCAAGGTCGAGGCCAAGGAGGCCGACCAGGAGGCCGACAAGGCGGAGGCCGCCCAAGCCGAGCCTGACGTTCCAGTCAAAGTCGATGACGAGGCTGAGACTATGCCTGCTGGCGCCGAGGATGTCAAGATGGAGGAGCCCACTTTTAAGATGACCGGCGCCAACGCCCAGGAGGTCATTCCCAGGAAGAGGAAGCGCACCGGCAAGATGCGTGCCGAGGCCAAGGCCAAGGCCATTGCGGCCAAGGAGGCTGCGGCACTTCTCGCTGCTGAGAACGGAGAGGAGATTGTGGTCGACGAGGCTGAGGTGAAGGAGGAGGTGAAGGAGGAGGAGGGCCTCGACTTTGAGAAGATTGCGAAGCGCATTGTGAGTGTTCATCCCACCTGCCCTCGTTCAGCATACTGACGCATCAGCCTCAAGCGATTAAGAAGCTCCGCCCCATCTTCAAGCAGTCGAAGAAGACCGAGTCCATGCGTTTGATCAAGAAGATCCGTTTCTTGAAGTGAGCTGCCGCGACATCATTGGACTGGTACATGGCTAACCAGCAGGTCAAAGGACAGCAAGGCCGACGAGGCTGCCGAACTCGAGGCGCAGCTCAAGCTCATCTCTGTAAGTCTTGTCACCCGGTCGTTCCGCTAACGCATTAGATCGTCCAAGTCCAGATCCTTGCGACCACCCACCTGGGCCAGAAGCTCAAGAAGCACCACAAGCTCAAGCACGCCGACCTCCCCGAGGACGTCACCACGCTCCTGACCAACGAGCCCAGCATCAAGGTCTCGACCTCGTCTACCACTCCCGCTCTTATCTCCAAGGCTGAGAACCGCCTGTGCAGTGCCAAGGCTGTCGCCGACGCCATGGGCCCGGCTGTCGCATGGATCCTCTCCGAGCCTGGAGCGACCCTCACTCTCAGCGCCAAGGCCTTGGAGAGCAAGAAGCAGGCCAGCGCCAAGAGTGCCGCGAAGCGTGCTGCCGCTGCCGACTCGGATGACGACGATGACGATGAGGACGAGGGCAGCATTGCGGACGTGGAGGATGACGAGGAGGAGGAGGACTTTGAGGACATTGGTGGACCCGTCACCAGCCTTGACTCGGACGACGAGGCGGTCATGCAGTCCCGTGCTGCCGACGCCGCCGGCTGGGAGTCGGGATCGCTCGGTGGCGGTGACAGCGACAACGACGAGGACGCAGCCGACGCTGCTGGGTGGGAGTCTGGATCAGTCTCTGGCGACTACAACATTGCCCCTCCTTCATCTGGCCCCGACTCGGAGTCCGAGGGCGAGCAGCGACCCGCGAAGAAGTCCAAGGCTTCCCTCGTCGCCCTCCTCACGGCCAAGCCCACCAAGCCCACCAAGCCCGAGCCCAAGGGCAAGGCCGAGAAGCCCAGCAAGACCGCCGAGAAGCCCGGCAAGGCGGGCTCGTCGTCCATGTTCCTTCCCTCCCTGGCGGCCGGTTTTGCTGCCGGAGACAGCGACAGCGACCCGGACAACGACTACGACCCCGACGGAATCATCGGCACCAAGAAGGCCGAGCGCAAGAACCGTCGTGGCCAGCGCGCACGCCAGGCGATCTGGGAGAAGAAGTACGGCAAGGGCGCAAAGCACGTCGTCAAGCGGCGCGAGGAGGAGGCCAAGGGCCCCGATGGCCAGAAGCCCGACGGCGGCTGGTCCGCGCGTGGAAAGGGTGGTGTGGCACCAGACACCGCACCTGTCCTCCGCCGTCCCTTCGGCGCGGGTGCTCGCCCCGCGGCCGGTGCTCCTGCTGCCCCCGGTGCTGGACCCAAGGGTCCCAAGGGCCTCAAGGGACTCAACCCCAACGCAAAGTCCGTCGATATGCCTGCTGCCAAGGACTCGGCCAAGGACCTTCACCCGTCGTGGGAGGCTGCCAGGTTGCGCAAGCAGAAGATGATGGACGGCGCCGACGGTGCCAAGGCCACCAAGATTGTGTTCGACTAGATTTATTTTTTTGCCACCGGTTCGCAAGATCTGCATGTATCTGCATTGTTTTTGTTTGTTTGTGGCGGGGTATTGGCCGTCAGAGATCAGAGATCAGAGATCAGAGATCAGAGATGAGAGGCAACCTGCAAGACAGAGCACGCAGTGAACTCTTGAGCATTATAATCCATTACGTAAACGATGCGGCTCGCGTCTCGGCCTCGTCCATCGCGCACCCATTTTGCTTCCGCCATTCCGTTGATCCGTTGCCACTCACGAAAAGTTCAAATCGCAACCTCCATCCACAACACACACACCCACACCACACCCACCCTGCAACAATGACGACGCACCACCCGCGCCGCCACCCCATCATCCTCATCACCGGCACTCCCGGCTGCGGCAAGACGCTGCACTCGCAGGTTCTCGCTGCCGAGTGCGATGCCGACTCGCCCATGGGCCAGATGGTGCACCTCAACATTGGCGACATTGTCAAGCAGCACAACTTCCACGAGGGCTTTGATGACGAGTGGAAGAGCTACATCGTCGACGAGGACAGGTTACTGGATTACCTCGAGGAGGTCGTGAACCCCGTCGACGGGCCGGCTCCCCATGGTGAGTCCCTGTGTGGTGGTGCTGCGGGGCGATGATCGACCACGTTCGTTACAGCTGTAACATCCGAGAGGGTTCAGCTGTAATGCGTCTGGTTCACCGCTTGTATCGCCACCTTGAATGTGACACTCCATGCAGTAAGCTGACATCCAGGCTTCATCCTCGACCACCACGACCCCGGACTCTTCCCGGAGCGCTGGATCGACCTGGCCGTCGTGCTCCGCTGCGACAACACTGTGCTGCACGAACGTCTTGTTGAGCGGTGAGTGGACAGGGAGGTTGCCGTGCTGGTCTTGGTTTTATGACCGCTGCGAATGCCCAAAACCAAGTGCACAGTGCCGAGCGACCACACTGCTAGACTCTCCAGCTTGACGCTCCGCGGCGGAGGCCAGAGCTGACAGACTCTCTTCAGCAACTACCAGGAGAACAAGATCACCGAGAACATCACCGCCGAGATCATGATGACCTGCGTCACCGAGACCCGCGAGAGCTACGCCGAGGAGATTATCGTCGAGCTCCAGTCGGACGGATCCGGAGGCGACAACGAGGTCGAGGACAATGTGCGCCGTATCGCCGCGTGGGCCACCCAGTGGCGCGACGACCGCGAGAACGGTGTCTACGACGAGTAGACATGGGTGATCACGACAACGAGTAACTGTTTGGCCAAGACGAAGGTGATTTGTTTTTTCTGTATATCATGCATTTAGTACCCACTCGGCAAATCATTGCACAGGAATCTGTACGCCCACGGTACCACCGTCCAGGTCCGGTGTGTGGAGGTGGCTTCCGTTGCGGAATGACCCTCCCGACAGCCCGAGTCTGATCCCCGTCTTGCACACTCGCCACCCAAGCCCTCTTGCAACTCCCCGTGTTGTGACAAGAGCACCCAACAATGCATCACTATTACCTCCCCCCGCCGTCGTACTAAGTATCGTAAATCTATCCGTAGACAAGGCGGAAGACGTCGTTCTGACTGTGAATGTTGTCAGCGGGCTGCGGGGACGAATGGGCCAATACAAGACGTACACAAAGTAGCTGCCTCCGTCGGGAACGAGCTGGATCCGTCAGCATGAGTCCAAAAGCGAGGTAGCGAAGCGTAGGGGTAGGGTCTTGCTCCATAGAGGAACTCCTACCCCAACTCGCGCGCTCTGGCGGTACTCACGTGGAACATCTGCGAGAACTGGAGAATGTTCGAGCCGTCGTCGACGATGAGCTGGCCAGTGACGAGCACAAGGATGGAGGCGACGGTGCTCGAGCCGGGCTGGGCATCACGGGTCACGACCTTGTGCACAACGCGGGTGAAGGGCAAGCCCTGTGGTAGGTTAGCGGTTGAGCCCATTGTGTAGAGGAGACCCGGCTGGTCCAGTGGCAAACCAAGAGCTGCTGTGATGTCGCCAGGCATGAAAGCGGGTGCACGAAGCGCGCCACTTCCGTGGCCACTCATAGCTTCAGGTCTCTTGCGCCCGCGTGTGAACGCGAGCTACACCACCTCGCACCAGCCGGCTAGGACCAACGACGGAGACACTTGCCTGGAGCTTCTCCATGATGGCGGCGGTGCCCTGGATCTGGTTCTCCTCCCAGGTGAGCATCGAGTGGTCGCGCTGAACAGTCAGCCAACTATGCAAGCCCGTGTCAGCTTCTGTATGCGTACGTAGAGCGGTGCGAGCCCGGCGCGGTCAGCATCGAAGGTGCTGTAGTAGTAGTCTGCAAGGCGGCTGTCAGTTGTTGTGCTGTGTGTCCCGAGCTCGAGGGGGGGAGGGGCGGCGCATACCGGTGAACTGTGAATGTCAGCCAAACTGTGAAAATACACTGGCAAAAGAGGGCGAGCCTACCTGCTGGGCAATGGTGTTGATGTCGGCCATGGTGTGCTACGGTTGTTGTTGAGAGCCAAATAGACCTTGCTCTGTGGTGGTCATTGCTGATGTGTGGTGCAGCGCAGCGTACGGTGAGAGCCACTGCTCGGCGATTCGGGATTTGAGGCCACCCACGTGGCAAAAGCTGGGGCCCCAATATAGTCCTTATTACGTAATTAGACAGTAACGCGATTTAGCCCCGCTAGCGCGTTTTTGCTGCGGCGATGCCGGGATCTCCGTTTCCTAAATGAGCCAAATGGGGGCAAATGGACAGGTTTATTTGATGTGGGATCTAGGGATATTCCGAGGTGATCGATTTTGAAACTGCAAAACGCGTGTCTCATCTCGCTCGCCCATCTCCGAGACCCCCGCACATTGCGTACCGAAGCGGAGGTGATGCCTGGCATGTACGCTGCTGTAGCGATGACGATGACGATGACAGCTGCACGCGGCAATGATGGATGAATGGGGGATGAATGCAGTATATATTCTTTTTGTGACCAAAGCTTTGGAAACGCACATGTCTGTGTGGCCGTCCCGCGCGATGTGACGTTAGGAGAGGTTGGCACGCCAGGACACATCGCGCGGGACGGCCACACAGACATGTGCGTTTCCAGAGCCGCGCCGCCGCCAGGGGCCTGGCCTGGGCAGGGCAATGTTACCACAGAGATCCCAAAGTAGCCAAGCGGCGACGCTTGGGGGCCCATGCTGGCCAAGACGACGACGACGACGGGTTCTGCAGGCTGCTGCATTTAGAAAGGTACATATTGGACTGCGGGAAGCAAAGGGGCGTGCGATGCGGGCAAGGGGGGCCACAGGCCACAGGGGAGATGAGGGGTGACATGAAGAGGATGCGTCACAGGATGGCCCCCCGCCAGCAACTGGGATCGCACCACGACAAAAGGTTAACGTCTTTCATCATTTCTCGACAACCTCTTTCCTCTCCCACCCACGACTCCCTTGCCGCTAGCAGCTAGCAACGACGTCACTCTCAGATATATCGTTTCAGCACGTTTCTCCTTCTCTCTCTCGACACCACACACTCGTTCTCCCATCCCCCATCCCACATCCCACGTTCACCTCCCCGCATCTCTCCACAATGGCTGCCCTCCTCCTCTCCGCTCTCCTCCCTCTCGCGGCCGCTGTTCCCTGTGTCCAGTTCGATGCCAGCTTCAACCTCTACGCGTTCGGTGGCGAGAACGACGTCTCGCTCGGCGCTGCGTCCAGCTGGAGCTGTAAGTTTTGACTTGACCAGACCGAAGACTGCGGCGGTCGGGCCGCCATGCTCCTCCACACCTCCCCGTCGTGCAGGAAGGTGGCATGCACCTGGCGGTGGCGTGCGGGGAGGATGCCTCAGCCTCTCCAGACTCTGTACCCGGGGGCCGTATGGCCCTCCTATACAAGCTCCTACGCAATGGGCCGCACTATTCTGAGCATAGCAAGGCAGAACACTAACACGCCCAGCGCCCTCGCCCACAACTCTGAGCACCACCAACCGCCCTCCTTGGACTGGTAACCAGACTCAGTGCTTCCTCTCGCAGTCGAACAATGCCATGTACGTGTATGGCGGCGATGCCTCGGACCTGTCCAGCATCTACATCTACGACTTTGCCGCCAACAGCTGGACTGTCCAGGCGACGTCGGGTGCCCCTGCCACTCTTGGCAACTCGCGTTCGTCGGCTGTCCTCGACCACGACACCAACGTCATTTACACCATCATTGGTGCCGGCCAGTCCATGTACCAGCTTGACCTCGGCTCTGTCACAAACACGGCCTCGGGCACTGCCGCATGGTCGCTTGTGGAGAGCCCCTCGTTCACCACCACCAACTACGATGTCACTGCAGCCCTGGCGGCCAACCACATCAGTGAGTAACGGAGACGAATCCCCGAATAGAACAGAAAAATGGGTCCCTGTGCACGCTTGTACACTTGTGCGCACCAGACACGTAGACCTTGTTTCGACACACGCGATCGACCCCGCAGTGGCGGTGCTCTGTGTTCTGGAATTCTGGGCCTTGGGACGAGAAGAGAGGGATGCGTGCATGGCACCCAAAAGCCTTGCCCTTTGTGTGGCACAAGGATGCTAACACCGTTTACAGTGTACTTTGGTGTTCCCGACACTGCTGCTGGCTCGGCCAACGTCTTTGTTATCCACTACGCCTACTTCCAGCCCGAGGTTCAGGCCTTCCCCACCACCGGCTCGGGTTCTGCCTTCCCCGACACTGTCGGCCAGGCCGTCTCGTTGCCCACATCGGAGAACTCGACTCCTTACCAGATGCTCTTTGTCCCCGAGGACTTCTCTGGCGCCTACCTTGTCAGCCACTGGACCGACCTGGGCAACTACTCCATCACCTCGGACTCGCCCATGGACCTGTCGCTCATCAACTCGACCCAGGCCTTCCCCACCCCTTCGTCCAAGGACACCAACGCCGCCTACGCGTGCTCAGACTCGGCCTGTGTCCAGGTCGACTCGACTGGTGACATTTACTACATCACCGACGCTGTCAGCAACTACACCGTCTCGTCCAGCGCTACCTGGTCCAAGATGAGCTACGCGCTCACTCTCTCGTCTTCGTCGTCGGCTACGGGCGCGGCCTCGGGCACTGACGCTGCTAGCGGCACCGCTACTGCCACGGGCTCGGGCTCCGCCAAGGCGGGCTCGTCGACCACCAAGTCGTCGACCTCCGCTTCGGGCTCGTCCACCGCCGCCGCCTCCGCCGCGGGCCGCCTCGGTATCCGCACCGACATCCTCGGCTTCACCGTCGGTGTTGCCGCACTTGTCGCCGCCACCCTTCTCTAAAACGCGGCTCTTCTTGCCTACCCCCCAAACAAGCTCCTTCTAATGCCTGCTCCTCCCACACGGACTTCTGGCTACCACTACTGCATCATCTTATCCTGTAACTTGTTCTTCTGCGCTGTCCAGCGTTACCACCTCCCCAAAGTCACGACCACACCCGAACCGCGCAGTCGGCTGCCCATAGAACCACTGGTTACATTAATGAGGTTTCAAACGGTTGATTATTTCCATGCATTGCATCTGTTTACGCAATATGGGCTGTGCTCTCTCTCGTGTGCGTGAGAGCGGCCTTGATAAGGAAGAGGTGGCCTGAGGACTACATGCTGGCAACACCGGCCCGACCGCGTCGGAAGACAGTCGCGCCTGCACTCAAGAGCGGCGGCAAATGACGTCGGACATTTCCGTCAACTTATCTTCTGATCACATCTGTTCTTTCTTCCTTCCTTCCTCACTCGCACATTCCACCATGCTTCGCTCAGTCACAAGGCCGACGCGTCCGGGACAAGCACCCGCTGCTATCCGCCGTCATGCGAGCACGCTTGCTGAAGCTCGCAAGCGCTGGGTGAGCTTGCACCCTCCCGAAGTGAAAGTGAGCTAACAGGACAGAACAACCGCCTGGTCGTGACTGAGGAGGTCGAGGCTGCCCTCGAGGAAGGTCGCGCCGTCGTGGCACTTGAGACCGCCATCGTGACTCATGGTGCGTTGTATATTGCCTGAATTGCTCAACGCTCCACTCTACCCTCCACTGACACGTTCAGGCATGCCCTACCCGCACAACCTCGACACGGCGACCAAGCTCGAGGGCATTGTGCGCTCGCACGGCGCTGTCCCGGCCACGATCGCGCTGCTCGACGGCAAGATTCGTATTGGCATGCCCACTCAGGAACTCGACCACGCCCTGGCTCATCCAGAGGGCATCCCTCCTCGCCAGCAACCGTCTGTCAAGGTCTCGAGGCGCGACCTCGCGCCAGCCCTCGCGTTCAACCGTGCTGGCGGCACCACTGTCGCTGGCACAATGGTCATTGCGCACAGTGTCGGCATTGACTCGTTTGTGACCGGTGGTATTGGCGGCGTGCACCGCGGTGCCGAGAGCAGTGAGCAGCTAGAGGGAACCCCGATCGGAACGGCAGCTGATAACACCTTTAGGCATGGACATTTCGGCCGATCTCCTCGAGCTGGGCCGTACCGTGGGTGATGGTCCGCTGCCCATGTGCTAACCCCGCAGCCCATGATGGTTGTCTGTGCTGGCGCCAAGTCTATCCTCGACATCCCCCGCTCCCTCGAGGTCCTCGAGACCCAGGGCGTGTGTGTCACCACGTTTGGTGACAAGGACGACTTCCCCGCCTTCTACAGCCCGTCCTCCGGTGTCGCCTCGCCGTGGCGCGTGGGCAGTATCGAGGACGCTGCCAGGCTCGTCCGTGAGTTTGCTACTTGAGGCACTCAGCTGACCCGACACAGACGTTGGCCTGACCCTCCCCACGCCCCAGAGCACCCTCCTCGCCGTCCCCATTCCGGCGCAGTACGGCGAGGCAGGCGCCGCCGTCCAGGTCCTCGTCGAGCAGGCTGTCCGCGAGAGCATCGAGCTCGGTATTGACAAAAAGGGCAAGGAAGTCACGCCCTGGCTCCTCAAGCGCGTTGGCGAACTGACAAAGGGAACCGCTCTCGAGCTCAGTGAGTTGATGTCTTCGATTGCTGATACTAACTCGGCAGACAAAGTGCTCATCGAGAACAATGTCCACGTCGGCTCCAAGGTGGCCGTCGAGGTCGCGCGTCTGCGTCTGAATGCAAAGGGTTCTGCTTATGGGGCCATGCCGGCCATTCCCGCTGTGCCAGGTGCTGCTGTTAGTGCCTCTGCGTCCGGACCTGCGCTCATCGCCAAGTCTTCTACTAGCCCCGCGGCACCTGCGGCGCCTGTCGCCCTGCCTCCTCCTTCAGTGCTCGTGTTTGGCTCGGCCGCCATCGACCTGACGTCGTCCACTGCCGGTGCCCTCGTCCCACGCACCACTACCCCGGGCTCTGTGTCAGTTACACCCGGTGGTGTGGGACGCAACATTGCCGAGGCGGCACAGGGGCTCCTCCCTGCTCACGCTGTGCAGCTCGTCTCGGCCGTGGGTGCCGGCCCCGTTGCGGCTGCAACTGACATGGTCCCATCGGACACGTTTGGCCAGCTGCTCCAGCTCGAGATGCGCGGGGCGGGCTTGCGTACCGATGGTCTGGTCGCGCGTGAGGGCGCCACTGCCGTGTGCTCGCTCGTCCTCACTGGAGGCGACTTGGCCGGTGGCGTGGCAGACATGGACATTGTCGAGCACGTCGATGCCCAGATGGTTCGTGTTTTTGGCATTACTAAACATATGAAGACTAAGCAAACAAGGCTGACTCTGACTACAGGTCACGGAACGTATCAACGCTGTCAACCCGCGCATGGTCGTGTTCGACTGCAACCTCCAGCCGCAGACCATCTCGGCCATCCTCGCAGCCTGCGCTGCGCAGTCCATCCCGGCATTCTGCGACCCCACTTCTACTCCCAAGCTCGCGCGCGTCTTGCCCGGCATCAAGGCCCACCCGCGTGCCTTGACGCACCTGTCGCCCAACACGCTCGAGCTCGAGTCGCTGTACGACGCCCTGCAAGACGAGGACGGGTGGAGTTTTGTCAATGGCCTAAACCTGGGCGCCGAGTGGCGCAACGCCATGGACACGTTCGTCAACAAGAGTAACGGCGAGCTGGAGTGGATGAGGAACCAAGGCGTGGCGCAAAAGCTCGTCGGGTGCTTGCCGTGGGTGGGCGGGTTCTGGGTCAAGGCCGGCGACAAGGGGCTGCTGCATCTCCGCCTCGAGACCGAGCTCCCCAAGGGCGGTAAGTGGCCGGGCAAGCAGAGTGTGAGCCACAAGACTCCCGATGGGCGCTGGCTCGTTCTTTCCCACTATGCTGCTCCGGTGATCGCGCCCGAGGAGGTGGTCAACACAACCGGTGCGGGAGATACGCTCGCTGGCGGTCTGGTGGCGGGTCTGGTGCGTGGTGGTGACGAGGGAACATGGGTCGCCGAGGCGCTGGAGCGGGTTGGTAGGACGCTTAGGTCTCACCGCGCTGTCGGATAGAAGCTGGTTAGAGTCATAGCATGTCACTGTGCATATCGCATCAGCAGAATGTGTTTGGCGTGGGCCCGTGTGGGTGCCACTTGAGTCGTGTTGTCCCGTAAAATTCATTTACGTAATCACTCCGCGTCATTGCCTCCACTCATCTGCACACACCACCGTCACCTTCCTTCTCCTATCCGTGTCATCAAACCCACCACCACCCCAAGCACCATGGTATCGACCGACGCGTCCTCGTCGCGCGGCGCGCACGGTGCCTTCCCCACAGCCCTCTCCTACGGCGCGCACGCCGAAGCGGCGCAGGGCTCGTCAGGCAGCAACAACGCGCAGCTGCCGCAGACGCCCGAGCAGCTGTGGTCACTCATCACCTCGGTCCCCGCCGCAAGCGTCTACTCTGCCCTCCTCCCGGTCTGCCACGGCCTGACTGACGGTCCCATTGTTCCTCCCGCTGGCAAGAACCCGCGCTTCAACCCTATCCTTGCGCTGCCCGGCGTCGACCTGCCTATCGATAACGCGGCCGTGCGGTCGATGACGCTCGGTCTGACCTTTGTGGTGTGAGCTTCACTTAGTGTGATCACACGCTGACAGCAACAGTACGGCCCGTCTCAATCTTCCTGGCGTTGGCAAGAACCCCGAGGCTCTGCTCGACTATGCCTGCCGTCTGGCTACGGTCGGCGATCCCGTCCAGTTTGACATGGTTGCGGGTCGTGGTGAGTGGCGACGGAACTCCTCCCACCTTCCTTCCTTCCTTCATTCTTGCTGACAAACTCTGCAGTTGGCGAGTTTGCGTGGAGCCTCCTCCGCTTCGCCCAGAAGTACAACCAGGTGCGTGCCCTGCTCCTCAATACTATGTTCTGAGCAGGAGGGATCTAACCTGACAGACTGGCCTTGTTGTCGAGCCCCTCAACGCGCTGTTCACCAACACCTATCGTCTCCCTTACTTCAACGCCGTACACGCCGTCCTCCTTGAGGTGAGCTACTAGTGTGAATTTCAGCTAACGACCAGGCATGCCTCCTTACCAACAGCCTCCAGTACGGATACCACTCGCTCGAGGTCACTTACATTGACGCCCGTGAAGTGAGCTTTTGTCTTCCCTGTGATCACAGCTGACACCCCAGGATACCACCTACCTCGACGTTCTCACCTTCCACCACCATGCTGGAACCATTGCCGCGGCCATTGGCGACTATGAGCGTGCCACCGAGTTCTTCTCGTTTGTGAGTGTGCAGCTGCGCGATTCCTTCTCAGCTGACCTCTCAGGCCACCGCCATGCCCACGGTCGCGCCCTCGGCGATCCAGCTCGCGTGCGCCAAGCGTGCTGTCCTCTGCGAGGTCCTCTTCTCGGGCAAGGAGCACAGGTTACCCCGCGACGTCGCGGGCAGCGTCTCCCGTCTCCTCTCCAAGGCCATGCCCGACTATGCCAAACTGGCCAAGGCGTTTGAGGCGCACAGCTGGGACGCGGTCAGGGAGGCTGCTACCTCTGGCGAGACTGTGTTTGTTGCCGTAAGTTATAGTGGAGATTGAACCTACCAGAAACTGACACTTTTCAGGACTGCAACTGGGGTCTGGTCGTCCAGATTGTCAACTCTATCACCAAGCGCCGTATCCTCACCCTCCGTAAAACCTACTCGCGCCTGACCCTTGCCGACCTTGCGGGCAAGGTCGGCTCAAACGACGTCGCAGCGGTGAAGAGCACAGTCGAGGACATGGTGAGCCACACCGAGAAGTCGACGTTAGCTCTAACACTGCAGATTAAGGCGAACGAGATCCACGCGACCCTCTCGTCCGCACCCGAGATTGTCACCTTCCTCGATGACGACGACTATGCGTCGCCTGCCCGCATGGCCACCCTTAAGCGCGCCCAGCAAAAGGCCAATTGGCTCCAGTACGACCTGACACGTGCCAACTTGAACATGGGACTGAACAAGATGTGGCTGCAGAAGGTGAGTGCAGTAGTGGCGCGCGCAGACCCGGGATCGGGAGATGGGGGGGTGCGAGGTACAGTACAGGCACTGACACTTTGATCTCCAACCAACAGCAAGCGCGCCTTATCGAGAGCAAGGAGAAGGGCGCCGAGGAGAAGCGTGGCATGTTCAATTTCAGCGAGGACATTGGCATGCCTGTGCGCGGCGTCGGCAGCAACCTCAACGACATGGGTTTCTAGGTTGTATATATCATACCGTGCGCATTGTGCATATGAGAGAGCGAGACAGAGAGCGAGACAGAGAGCGAGACAGAGCATAGTATAAGAGATTAAGACAGACATATGTGAGAGACGTGAGCTTGTGCGTGAGCTTGTGCGGTGAGATGCGACCGCTCTTATCAGAACCACCATTGCGGGTGGGCCATAGAGACCGGCCTTGAGAGCCGCCGGACGGAAATCTTGTCCGAGGCCGACAGTCGATCGGAGGTGTGCCGCCGACGCCGACGACGCTAGCTGACATTGCGGCGACCCGTGAGCGACACCAGCAGTCCCCCGACCACGGCATCACGACCTGTTCCGGGGGTTCCGCCACAGAACGAGGGTGTTTTGGGTGGAGGGATCGACGTCCGACGATCACCCCTTGTCGCCGCATTCCTCTAGAGCTCTTCTTGGACACCCTCGGGACATTTCGGGACATGCAGACATGGATGGCGGCTCATGTGGGCATCTGGGGCCGGCATGCTCCGAACGGTGGGCGAGGCGGGACCCCGCAGGGTCGGTTATCGTCGGACGTCGGGAGTGGAGGACGGTGTGTGTGCGTAGATGACGAGCGTTTGGAACACACCGGTACACCGGGGTAATTGGGCAGAGACAGTCTCTGTTGGGTGTGTTGCATGCATGTGTCTGTCAACTGTTGCAGAGACAGCGCACACGTGCTGAAAAAAAGCGCAGCTACAGGCGGTCGGGCGGGGGACAGCAGCGGAACACAGAGCCGCCACGGGGGGCTTTTGGGACAAAGAGAAACGACGGGCCCCCATTAATGGTCCGCGCTGACGGGGTATCCGCTAGCCGTCGCTGCGATTGCCGGGGCCGGTCGCACAAGCAGAGCGTGCAGGCAGCGCAACGAGTGACGACGCGGCGTATACAGCGGATCCTCCTGTACAGTGTGTGTGATGTGTGATTGCTTCCACATCCATCCCAGAGCACTGTGCTTCATTATCGTTCTTGCTCTTTCTTCATAACCCATTCATTTACCCCGTCCATCCCCCCCTCCCCCTCCCCTCTTCCTCTCCCACACACATCTAGCCACCATGCCCCAGCCTCCCCTCAACATCCAAAAGTACCTCGACCACACCCTCCCGCACCTCAACGAGAAGTACCCCCCGGGAACGGGTGGTACCGGCGCGCGCTCCGACTGGAGCGAGGGCACTCTCAAGGGCATCGAGGTCGTCCCCAACTTTGGCCTCCTCGTCAAGGACTGTGAGTGACCGGATGACCGGCCAACACGAGCCAGGTGTGATGCTCTCGGGGGTGTCGCACCGCGAGTTGCCCGTCAGCATCACACTCAATGTGTGATTAGCGAGGTGGCATCTCGCTCGGCTACTCTACCATGGCTCAATGAAAAACCCCGCGCTGACCCCGCTGCAGACATTGACAAGTTCCCCGCCCAGGCCGTCAACCCCAGCCCCTACGCCAAGTACCCCAAGCAGGTCCAGGTCGCCCGCGAGCTGCCCGACCCTCTCCGCACCACCGGTGACCTCCAGAAGGGTGAGTGTTCGAGATGTTTCTCGGCTGTATAGGGGGGTGCGGTGAGCGTGGTGACGACGAGTGGGCGGCGTGATGCGTCAAGCCACTCTGCGCTCTGCACGCGCTCGCCACGACCGGCCAGGTTGACCGGCGAGGTGGACAATGTGTGTGCGCGTGCGTCCGGCGAGGCGTGGGACTGCGGGGCGCCGATCTCTGTGACGCCGCCGACGTCGTTGCGGGGTTCGGATCCCGGGGACGGCTTCTGAATGCGACGGGCCGTCCATGGAGGGGGCGAGGATGAACCATCCATGCTGCAACGTGTGCGCCAGCGCTCTTCTCGAGTCCCACACTCGAGGTTCCGGGGCGAGAGCACCAAGCTCCGAGGTCCCATGCACACAAGCGCAGGCGTGTATGCAGACGCCTTGGCCCCCGACATATCTGCTGCGACATGCCCATTGTGAGACACCTGGACAAAACGGCTGACCGCCACACAGCTCTCGCGACTCTCCCGCTTGCAGGCATTGCGTCTGTCCTCACCGCGCTCGAGTCTGGGCCCCAGGGCTACCCGGTCAAGAACCGCGTCGATGCCGCCGGCTACGAGTCGGACGGCGGTGACGACGACCACGAGGAGGAGCGCGCTAGCGCCCCGCGCGACGAGTCCAAGGAGTGGCACTGGCGCTACTCCAAGTCGCCCATGGGTTCCGGTGAGCTCCTGCTCGTCAAGGGCGAGACCGACTCTGTCAACATGGTCGTGCGCACCATCAACTCGGCCGCCTTCACCGCCGCCGACTGGGACGAGTACGTCGTCACGGGCCCGTACAACTACAACACCAAGAGCAAGGCCTCGTGGTACTGGTCGCGCATGTGGGGAGCCTGCAAGCGTCTCCAGACCAGGTACTTTGTCCTCACCGACTGGAACCGCTGGTCGTTTGGCTGCTTCAACGAGGACCAGTCCCACGCCTGGATCTCCCCCGTCCTCTGGTACAACGCCATGGGCCCCACCATCCTCGAGTCGCTCTTCTACTGGGCCCAGACGACCAAGGGTGCCCAGAACGGCTTCCCCCTCAAGGAGAAGGACGTCTCGGCTCTCGCTGCCCTGTTCCCTTCCAACCCGGCCCGCCGTGTCAGCGTGTCGGGCAACAAGGGCCATGTCGCCCGTGACCCCACCCAGCCCAGGGCCGCCAACGAGAGTGACGTGAGTAGGAAGGAAGACAGACCTTTTACACGGTATACTGACAGACAACCCCTCAGATTGAGGAGAGCGACGCCGAGGATAACGCCTAAGCGGACGGTAACCCCTGTGTAGCATGACGCATGTGTATGTGGAATGTATAAGGAAAATGAAGCACCGGAAAAGACAAAAAGGTTGGGTTGCCACATCATGTTGTGGGTGTGCCCCGTGGGCCTACCCACACTGTGTGCTGCTCCGTCTCAAGCGCATACTGTTCCTCGCCCACTTGCTCCCGATACTCGTCCCTTGACACAGCACACACACTCCAAGGCTCCCTCCCTCTCCGTCGCCTGCTCCCGTCAGCGCCATTGCGCTTGGTGATGCACTCGGCCATCCACTCGCGGAGGGCGGCGAGCGTGTTGTCGGCAGCCGCGGCGGCGGTGGCCACGGCTGCTCCCCCCTCCGGCGCGAGTCCGAGGCTGCAAGGGTGGATGGCGCCCAAGTCGACGAGCGTGAGGTCAAAGGGCGGGTCGAGGCGACTGAGAAAGTGCAGAATCCCACCGCGTTTGGGAGCCACAACGTGGTCGCGAGTGGGGTGTTCCGGAGCGCCTGTCTCGTTCTTTGTGTCCGTGAAGATGACGACGACGTCGAGGGGTGTCAGGACCTTGGATTTGGGCCAAGTGATGGCCATGGGCGTGCCCGCTGCGACCCCAGCGCGGAATACCATGTTGAGCACGACTTTGCCCGTCGCCCGGTGTACGACGCCACTCCAGGCGCGGCGATACTGCTGCACAAGGTCGACGGTCCACACGATCGTCGGGCCTACCAGGTCGCCGTAGATCGGGATGGAGAATGTATCCCGCTTCCCGCCCAGCGAGGCCAAGCGGCTGTGCGGCGTGGGCAGCTGGCGAACGACCTGGCCCGCCCGCTGTGGCCTGTACGTCCACTGCAACGACCGCGGGAGGCGACACCACCCGACAATGTCCACGACGTGTGCGCAGGAGAACAGTGCGCCGAACCGCGCATACGCCGCCCTCTCCGCCGCGCTCATGTCGTCCCGGTCGTCCCCGTACTTGCCGTCGTACACGCACAGCATCGTGCACGGTATCCGCCCGCCGGCGCGTGTCGCCAACCGCAGCGTGCGGTCCGGGTTGGACGAGACGACGACGTGTCGCGCCAACATGCTGTCGGCCTTGTCCTTGAACGACCGGCATAGCGTGCGTAATACCAGGAGGGTGGGTTCCGAGTCTGAGAGATGGTCAAGAACGAGGTCGATGAGGTGTGGGTAGAATGCGTGGTCTATTGTTGGTGACGAGGGCATGGTGTGTGGGTGAGAGAGGATGTCGGGGATGGGCTCTGGAGAGGATCGAAATGTTGTTGCGGCGGAGGCATTACGTCAGAGTGATCAGCGATCAGCGATTAGCGGCTGGCATAAGGACGTTGTGCCACCTTCCCTCTCAGCCTTCCCTCTCTACTCGCTCGCTATCATCTCGAGGTCAACATACACTCACGCTCCCCAGCCTCAACAGACGATACCAATGGCAGGTGTAAACAATTTGCGGACGTCGCGACTCTAGCCAAGGCATCACATAGTTGCCCACGATGACCACCCCTGCCCTTTTGCTCGGTCTTGTCCGTGGCGCTGCCGTCTTACCGCAGGTGAACGTTCACTCACAATTTAAACGGCGCGCAGTCGTCTATGATCCACCATATGACTCTCCCGGCACATCTCCGGTACATATGTAACGGTTGCTGACAATAACCACACACTAGTGTTGTTCCAAAGGGTGCCTCCCGCCCTCCCCCGTGCTCAGTCACCGAAGCGGTCATTGGTAACCGAGGCGGGGGAAGCCGATTGCCTCTCGGCACACTGTTGCAGCGAGTGGAACTGCAAGTGGCCTGCTGTGGGGAAAGAGGCGTCGTCCTCAGCTGACACAACGACATGCACAATGCTTAGAGGCCCTGCACTGTACATGACAGTACTCTTTGCACACTTCAAACTGAAGCCCACTCCCTACTGTGTAGCCAGCAGCAGCTCAGGAATGTTGCCGGCCGGTACGGCCGACCGTAAAAAGACGGCCACGTTGCGGTGTGCAAAGGTCTACAGAACCTAGGCGTCAGCAGCTGCCGCTTGGGGCCGGTAAACATATGCCTTGTGCATACACAGATGAGTGCCCCACACCTAAGCGCATGCGCCCATCGCAGCGTCAGCGGCTACAGGAAGTGACACAGCGAGCATGATGGGTGTGCGCCGTGGGTGCGATGCTGCCCATCGGGCGAGGCCGAATCCCATGCCAGCCAAGGAATCCGCCGGCCGCCGGGCAAGCTGGTTACCGGTGCACGCTGCGCTGGCTCGTACTTAACCCAACGGCCATCGCCCACATGGTCGTTTTCTCAACTGCTCTCTCCAGGCAACCACCACAGCAATGTCCGTCATTCAGACCCCCCTCACCGAGCTCTGTAAGTACTGTTCTGCGTGAATCCATTGCGCTAACAAGTGCAGTCGGCATCCAGCACCCCGTGCTCCTCGCGTAAGCTACAACATCTGCCCCACCGGAAACCGCCCACTTGAACTGACACTCTTTCCAGCGGCATGAACGTCGCGGCTGGCCCCAAGCTTGCCGCTGCTGTTTCTAACGCCGGCGGTCTTGGTGTGATCGGTGGCATTGGTTACACGTGAGTTTAATGTGCCAAAAGAGCGCTGCTCGTCATGAAAAAGGGCGAGGGCACCGTTGAGGCGGAGTCGGGAGGTCCGGGCAAGTTGTCCGACTTGCGGCCCGTTCTTTTGCTTTGACGCGTCCATTTAGCGCACTATCTGAAATATACGCTGACAATATTAGCCCCAAGCACCTCCGTGGTGTTATCCAGGACCTCAAGAAGGACCTCAAGTCGCCCGACCTCCGTGAGTTGGTTGACATTGACGGCCGGTCGCCTGGCTGTGGCGTCTGGTCGGCTTATTATTACCGGTGTGGGGTACTGACCTCCCCAAGCCTTCGGTGTCGACCTCCTCATCCCCCAGGTCGGCGGCAGCGCCCGCAAGACCAACTACGACTACACCAAGGGCAAGCTTGACGAGCTCATCGACATTATCATCGAGGAGGGCGCCAAGCTCTTCGTCTGTGCCGTCGGTGTGCCTCCCAAGCACGTCGTTGAGCGCCTCCACAAGCACAACATTCTTGTCATGAACGTGAGTAGCAATGTATTCTGCTGCTGCAAAGTGTATAGGCAACTGACTTTACCCAGATGATCGGCGCTGTCAAGCACGTCAAGAAGGCCCTCGCCGTCGGTGTCGACATCATCTGCGCCCAGGGTGGTGAGGGTGGTGGCCACACCGGCTCGACCCCCTTCTCGATCCTCATCCCCAACGTCGTCGACGCCTGCAAGGGCCACGTCTCGCCCCTCACCGGCAAGCCCATCTACGTCGTCGCCGCCGGCGGTATCTTTGACGGCCGCGGTCTCGCCGCCTCGCTCATGTACGGCGCCCAGGCCGTCTGGGTCGGCACCCGCTTCGTCGCTTCCGTCGAGGCCGGCGCTCCCCCCAAGCACAAGGAGCTCGTCGTCACCGCCGACTACGGAGACACTGGCACCACCCTCATCTACACTGGCCGCCCCCTCCGTGTCCGCCGCACCGACTACGTCAAGTCGTGGGAGAAGCGCCAGGACGAGATCGAGAAGCTCACCACCGCCGGCAAGCTCCCCCACGAGCAGGAGCTCTCCAAGCACCCCGAACTGTCCCTCCCCGGCCGCCCCTGGTGAGTCCTGCGCTGTGTACTGGAGTGAAACAGTCGAAAAGTCGGAAGATTTGGTGTTTGTGGCGGCGGGACCAAATTCGGTCCCCCAAGAGTCACCGACCTTCTTCGCCGTTCCTCTACATCTGCTCGTTCTTTTGCTGACGTCCTCGCGGGCTCATGGGAGACGTGGCGGCTAGTATCAACAGTGTTAAGCCGGCACGCGAAATCATTGAGGACATGGTTTCTGGCGCAAAGCAGTGTCTGCTCCGTGGCGACTCGCTCATTGCCTCCAAGGGCAAGCTCTAATCAGACGGGAACGACACCAGGTGGCCCGGACACAGCGGCGGGAACGTGTCTCTGCTGTGTGTGTGTGCGCGCGCGCTCTGTCCTGCGGAATCATGTCATACCGAGCCTAGCAGATATATCAGTGCGATGCAGATTGTCAAAAGAAGCCATGTGCCATACAGTTGGAGCAGTGGAGGAATTGTCCGAGAGTGTCCGGCACATGTACGCGACGACCTGGGGGTTTGGGGATCTGTAGCAGCTGGGGGCGAGGCCCAGAGTATGTCTCGGGGACCATGTCGCCGGTGGTGCGAGCACCAAGCTGGTCGAAGCAGATGTGGCCATCGCGCATCGCGCCACGAACCGGCGAGGTGGTTTACCGACGACAATCAGATAGCCCTGGGTCTCGGCCGAAACCGACCAGCACTCTGTGCGTCGCGCCCGGCGCTCGCTGCAGGGGAGACACCATCCCCGTCGCGTTGGAAACCTGCTTTGGAAACTGCAGTACATGTACATAGCATACAGACTATAACCATTGGAATAAAAGAAAAGCGTCACTGCCACTGCGGCACTCTCGGCCACATGCGCCTACGGCGCACCACTAACCCCTCCCGACGAGACGGTACACATCTGCGACGAGGTACAGACTGCCACACACGACCACGAGACCTGGGCCGTTGGTGTCCCAGTCCTTTGTGGCCCAGCGGAGGGCGTCGGCGAGGGCGGCCGGGCCGGACCCGGGGCTCTCGTGGATGAGCGTGTCGTCTCTGCCGACGAGCGTGCTGCCCGCGGACCGCAGCTCCTTCTTCTCGGCGACGCGGATCCACGGCATGCCGTCGACGGGAGTGGTAAAGTCGGCAAGGGCCAGGCGGTCGCCGGGGCGAAGCAGGGGCATGAGGACGCTCTTTGGCGATTTCCCGGGACTAGCACTGAGAGAGATGACAAACGTGCGCGGGCCGGTGACGCCGAGGGTGTCGACGTACCGGCGGAGGGTGAGGGCCGAGTCGGCATTGTGTGCGCCGTCGAGCAGGAGCGGGACACGCCGGCCACCATTATCATTGTCGGTCCACTCGAGCCATGAGCAGCGGCCTTGCCACTTTGCGCCTGCGACGCCGTGCTGGAGGACCTTGTCGGTCAAGCGGGAGAGCTTGGGCTGGATACCACGAGCGCGACCGTCGTTGCGCATCACATCCAGAATGGTCAGAGCAAGGCTGAGGTTGTCGAGCTGGTGCACGCCGCCGAGAGCCAGGTGGGTGTCGAGGAATCCGCCGTGTGCGCCTGCGAGCGGCGTGCGCACAACAATTGGCGCAGGTGCGCGGAAAGGTGCCAGAGTGACCGTCGACGGTGGCTGCATGGCGCTGCTCGGGTGAGCCTCGACGAGGTGTGCAGTGCGCTCGGCGGCCACCTGGCGAGCTGCCTCGAGGGCCTCGGGGTGGAGATGCGGGGCGATGACGAGCGCGCCGTTTTGAACGGCAATGGACGCCTTTTCGCTGGCAATCTTGGTGATGGTGTCGCCAAGGCGGTCGGTGTGGTCGAGGCCCACAGACGTGAGGCCCGAGGCAAGGACGAGGTTGGGAGGGAGGACGTTGGTCGCGTCGCGCGCGCCGCCCATGCCGCACTCGATGATCATGACGTCGATGCAAGGGCGTGTCATGTTGGCAATGTAGTATGCCGCAGCCGTGCCAATCTCAAACGTTGTCGCGTCCAGCTTGTACACGTCGGACGTTTCCTGGATCGTGCGGATCGCGTCGGCGTACACTTCAGGCAGGACGGGGAGACCGTTGACACGGATAGCGTCGCGGGGCTCGAGCAGGTGCGGCGAGTTGTATCGCAGTGTCCGCAGACCAGCCGAGTTGATACACGACTCGAGGAGCACAGAGACGGAGCCCTTGCCGTTCGTTCCGGCGAGGTGGATTGCGGGGACCGTGAGGGGCGGGAGCTTGCTCATGAGCGCCATCATGCGGTCGAGCCCCAGGTCGATCTTGCCTACACCGCCGGGGATCGTAGGCTGCTGCTGCTGGGGTGGACCACCGTTCTGCTGGGGGGGAGGGGCCCACCCGCGCTGGGGGGCACCACCGTTCTGCTGCTGCTGGCGGCTACCGCTCGGCAGAGGGGGGACGGGGGGCACGCCGCTGGCGACTTGTTTTGACATTGCGCGGCGGTGGTTTTGGGCGAAACCCATAGGCGGTGGGACAGGTTGAGGAGGGGAGTAGCCTAAAGCACGAGCAGGTGGAATAGCAACTCGAGGACCATAGACGACACCGGGCGGTACTCCGCGCATGTGGTCGACGAGCATTGGTCCTGGCCCGTGCGGGGTTGGTGGTGGGCCAAAGGGTCCGTGCGGCCCTGGTTGGTGGTGGTACGCGTAGTGGGGTCCAGCAAGGTGGGGCGCTGGGTGCTGCTGCTGCTGCTGTCGTGTCGGAGGGAGGTGGGGCGGAGGCTGGGGGAAATGCTGGGGCCGATGCTCGGCGTGGTGTTGAGGGTGTTGCGAGTCGACTATCACAACACTGTTGGCCAGATGAAAAGTCGGTGGAGGCGGGCCTGGTTGATAATACTGGTTGGAGGGGTTTTGTGGCGCATACGACGGTCCCTGCAGCGGCGGCGGCGCCTGATGCAAGACGCGTGGTGGGGGCTGGGGTGCAGGGTTTGGTGCTTGCGGAGGAGCCTGAACAGGAGCGGTGGCGGGCGGAGAGGTAAACACCACTGGACGAGCATGCGTCGCAGCCGTCTCCTTGCGACTCCGCTTGGGTGGTCCAGCATACTCGTTCTCCAATAGTGTTGGCTCACTGGGCCGGAAATCGAGTGCACTAAACGCCACCTCGCGCTGCGTGAGGTCGGGCATCCGAACCTCGACCTTTTCGGTCTCATCCTTGACCTGCAGCAACTGGGTTTCGTAGGACGCACCGCCCACTTTCACCTTGACAAGGGCGCCAATAGGTATAGCGTGGACCTTTTGCCGCAGCGTGTCCTTGGCCTTGCGCTTCCGCAACTCGACGGCGCCAGGGTTGTGCAAGGGACACAGCAGCTCGACAACAAACTCGCTCGTCTGCTCGTATTGCGTGGGCTGGTCGAACGCACCCACACCAGGTGGTGGTGGAATGGGGTTGGTGGTCAGGCGCTCGCCAGCAAAGTAGAGCACCTCTTCGTTGTCGCGTGCACACGGCACGTGGAAGGCGCGAATACACTTGCCCTTGGTGCACTGGATCTTGGTGCCCATACCGGCGGTACGCTTGTCAACGCAGCACTGGCACTTTAGCTTCCAGCGCGCCTTGTCAATGTTCTCCAGACCCTTGATGTACGTGACCGGGCCATCGTCCGTCTGCACCTCGTCGGTAAAAGCCTCGGGAACGGCAATGGCACACGAAATGTGCGCTTGCACGCCCGGAGTCTTGGCGAGCGAACGGATAAAGTCGTTGGGCTGGTAGACGGGTGCGAGGTCCTCGACGGCGAGGGACGGACACAGCACACACGGGAATGCTGGCCGCGCGACTGTGATGGCCGGTTTGGCCTCCACTGCCGGCGTAAGGGCAATTGGCTCCTTGGGTGGCTTTGGCAGCTTGATGATGGGGATCCTGAACTTTGGGATCTGGGGAGACGGCGTTGGCTCCTCCTCCTCCGCCTCCTCCTGCATCTCTTTCACCTTTGGCTTGCGCTTTCGTGGTGTACTCTGCGCGTCGCCCTCGCTCTTGCGCTTCTTTGATGACTGCTTCTCTCCTGTTGCCTCCTCTTCGTCCACCTCGCTAGGAGCAGGAGCGACATCGGGTGGGCGGATCAGGTTGTCGACGTCGATACGGACGCTAAAGTCGACACAGGTACAGGCCTTGGCCTTGCGGCCGACCTCGAGCCAAGCTGGAAGAGCAAAGTTGACGCTCTCGGCGCAGTTGAAGCCCATGTTGAATCCCGCATGGTAGCCGCGGGGGAACGTGACGACAAACTCGTTCTGGTGCTGGACCAACTTGTTGACACGGATGCCCTGGGCGTGGAGCTTGAACGGCGAGACGGTGCACGACTTGTGCCTCATAAACTGGTCACAGTGGTTGGCCTCGGTTGGAAAGTAACTCCTGACGATCGACTCGAACCGGTCGGCATCCACCTGTGGGACGGCATACCAAAACTTGGGAGCGCCAAAGTGGATGTAGTTGATCGAGTACAGGTCCATGTCCTCGACGTGCCACGAGAACGCCGCACGGTACATGCCAAAGTAGAGGTACGGCGAGTTTACACCTGGAAGCTTTTGCGGCAAGCGGTTGAGGAGGTTGGGCAGGTTGGCGACGTTCCATGGGTACTCAGAGTCGGCAAACAGTGACCCAGGGAGGTCGGCACCATACCAGCTGTCCTTTTTGCCAGTGCCCATCGACTTCCAGAACTTGCGTTCTATCCGGTCGCACGCCGCGACGTCAAAGTCTTCAGGATGGATACCTTCTGGCAACCACGCCTGGCGCAGGTCGGTGTTCTCGTAGAACGAGTCGATGCAAGGCTCGGCTTGCGGTGTGTCGGCCACTGCCGTGTGAGGAGTGGCCATCGGGTCAACGACAGACTGGGCCTCGGGTGTCGTGGCGAGTGGCTCGCCGGTGGAGTGGGAAGTGTGAGAAGAAGTCTCGAGTCCTGGGAGGTCGTCGTGGTGTGGTTGCTGTGCTTCCGAAGCGACAGTCTCGACGCCCTCCATGGGTGCGGAGGCATCAACGACGGGCTCGTTCGCCAATCGTTCCTCACGCTCTCTCTGCTCGCGTTGTCTTTCCTCCTTGCGTTTCAATGCCGCCAGGAGTTTCTCTTTCCTAGCGGCCTTTTCAGCTTGGGCCTGAGCCACACGCTGTGCCATGAGGGCCTTGGCCTCTTTGGAATCGCGGTCGAGTGTGGTCGCCGTCTCCTTTGGGTTTGGCGTCCGAAAGTCGGCATGGCTTTCACACTTGTCAAACCACTCGTGAATCGACAATGGCCGGTTGCGGTTACGCTCGACGTTTTGCTGGATGAACACACCATTCTGGCCGACCATGCGTTGTTCAATGGGACTGCGAATCTCCAGATTGCCCATCGCACGGTGGTCAATGAGCTGCACTCCCTCCACCCATTCTTTCGGAGGGACAATCTTGACAATGCTGCTACGCTGACCCCATCGTCGCACCTTCTCCATATAGACGTCAAATTGCTGGACAATGTCAATGTGTGGCTTCTTTTGTGCATGTGTAGCTTCCATCTATCCTCCACTACTCACCTTGAACTCTTCCATGGTCGGCCGGAAGACGGGAATGCCGCGTGTGGCTGCCGGGTCGTCGTCGGGGTGAACAAACACCTCGTCGGTAAGTGGCTCTGGCTCTTGCACATGCGAGTGCCGTGGGTTGTTACTCAGAGGAAAGCTACGAACAATCAGTGTCGCGTCTGGGTCTTGTCAACACTCACAAGCTGTGCGGCTGTGCGATCTCGGGCTCGTCCGGAAGGAGAGGAGCCACAGGCGCGTGAGATGTAGATGTAGATGCACTCCCTGACGCGTCCAACGCTGCTGGAGCGGCCTCTGCTGACGTCGTTGGGGCGTCTAGCTTGGCTGAGGCGAGTGGTGTGGAGGCGCTGGACGCGCCGTGAGCTGCTTGCGTGGACAGCGGGGCCGACGAGGTCGATGCCGACGTTTCCGGTGCGAGGCGACGACCGGGGCGGCCCAGCTCTGGGCGCACAGTGGCCTCTGCGCCGGACATGGTGGTGGCTGTGGCTCTTCTGTGGCTCTGCCGGGAGGGATGTAGTGGGCGAGGGATGGCGTCGCCCGCGGGGGTGTAAGCGTGATGTTGTGGATGATGGTAAAGTGCTTGGCCGTCTGGTGGCGACCCCGAAAGTAGTGAACAGTTACAAGTCCTCGGCGAGTCTCAGGGTCTCTACAGCTCCGGATAGTCGCGGAGCTCTCCCACGGTCGTTTTATTGGGAATCATTATGATTCGATTGCTAATGTCTCCATCTCTGGTCAGTTATTCAAAATGATTCTCGTATGCGATATGGATACATTGGCACTTCTATGCTGAAGGTATGACAACAGGCAGGCCGAGACGTTTATATATGTGAATGATGTAAGTCTCCTTGGTCTATGCAGTGTGAGGAGGCTGGGGGAGACGAGACTGAATGCCAGTCAACGAGGTGCTGGAGACATGGGTGGAGCTGCGAGCACTGTCGTTGATGTACGATCCAGGGCTCATACACGGGCCACCGTTCTGCCAGCACCATGGCTGCTCCGTCTCCATCAACGTCGAAGGACAGAAAAGGGCAGTGAGAGCATGGGTAGCCGAGCGACGTCTGCAACGCAAACAAGTCATGCAAGTCAGCCTCATGTTCTGTTCGGACAGGGAAGGGTTTTGGTGGCGTACGGCGGGGGGGGCCTATGCTGATAACGGATAAATCCTCAATAGAACGCACGCCACGATCCATATCCCTTCACACGATCACACCACCTCCACTCTGGCCACTTACTCTAGGTCAGCCCTGCGCGTGTCCCACATGGCCATGTGGAAGCGGTACAGTTCTTGAGAGTAGCGGCGCTTATCCTCGGCAGCGTCCAACGAGTTGGACCCACAAGGGTTGCCTGATGGGTTATTAGCTCTCCGCTCTCTGTGGATGATACTCAAAGCCACTCACGGTTGTTGGGCAGTTGCAGTTTGATGGGCGAGTTTACCTTCTCGTCAAGAGGACGTGTCATGGCGACTTGGGGTTCAGATTGGGTGGCACGAAGACAAGGAGGATGAGTAGCGTCGGATGACTGAGTGGAACTGGATGACATGGTGTCAGGCGAAGGCGGGGTGTTGCTCGGTAGGGAGGCTCACTTTAAATGTGGGGCTGTCGAGAGATCAGGAGAGCGAATACAAGAGGTGGAAGGGATCCGCCGATCCCCCCAAGAACGGACGCGTGTACGTACATGTCAAGAGCGCCAACGAGTTTGCCAAGCGCAACAAATGTGGAGTGAGGTCGTTCCTGTTGGTGGGATACACGTAAGAACCGATGTGCGTACGTTGTAAACCCTCTTCCGACAGCAACACCGGGAGGCGCTAGGCTTTGGGTTTGGCGGCCTCCGCCACCGTCATACTCATGTGCTCGTGTCGTCTTCCACACCACCCAGGTTGTTTTGGGATGATCCCGCGGAGGACGCCATGAGGATCGACGGCGATCCTACATGTGGCCGTCACCAATTCGTTCAGGAAACCCCCATCATCGATGAGTGATCGTCCTGTCCCACGGCAACTCTCCCCTCGTGTGACCCGTTTTGGCAAGTTGGCCCCATTGCTCCACATTTGGTTACTGTCCCCATGTTGGCCCCCGCTATCTCCCCTTTCCTACTTCCGTTGTCCCGGGAGGTCTGTCTCTTTCGATATACGAGCCTACGGGACATGAGACTGTCACACCATCTGTACCGTCTTCCACTCCCGTCGATTCCCGGACCTGACGGAGCGATACCGGCGATGGTCAGATTGCTCACTTCCACGGTCGGAAGCGTTGGTGCGCCGCGGAACAGCCTTGGAGACACCCGCGCCAGTCTGCGGCCGTTGGACTCTGGCTTGGGGCACGTTCCGATCCTCAGAGCAGCTAGAGCAGCCCAGCAGATGCTTCTTTTCTCGGACCGCCGCGGTGACGACCTGGGCTCCAAACCTTGGCTCCACCGCATCGTACCCTTGCCCCGCCGGGGCATCCTCTTGTCGCGACGCATGCTGCCTGTCGGCTAAGACACGTCGACAAGGGACCAACGTACAACGTACAAACGTACTAGGTTGCGGTGATGCTGGACATGTGGGACTAGACCGCAACGGTACCCTGCGTGACGAGAGAGCCGATGGGAAGCAGTAGCTTGAAGTTGGTCTGAAAGGGCAGCATCACCTCACAGGAACCACACAAAAGAGTACCAAAAAGACGTCATCCACGCGTCCACTCCACACCCGTGTCATGCGTGTCAACGTCATACATATACACCCGGCCTCTGCTGCCCGCGGTTCCTGCTCTGGCCTCCCCGCCCGCTCTTGCCCCCTACACATGGCCCTCCCCTCCCACTACATCCACCGGACATATGTGTACAGCCCGCAAAGTGGCCTGTCTGCGGACGCACAGCCTGGTCTCGACTCGCCGGCGGTTATCAAAGGCAGTGTTGTCCAGACCGTGGCCGATCTCTTTTCACTTTCATTCGTCTCCCACTTCCGTTCTATGCACACTCGCATACACTCGTAATGGTGAGGCCGTGGCACACGACATCTTGGTGGTGGGTAGGGTAGGTGCCGCAGAGGGGAGGCAAGACGAGGAGGACCGGCAGCCGGCGGCTAGCTCCGCCGCCTTTTGACTCTCTTCGTTGTTCTCTGCTAATTTGGGCGACCGCGAGTCCCTCCAGTCCGGCCAGTCCACGCCTGACAGCAATCCAGTGATCCAGTGAGCGACATACCGCCCTCCCGCCAAGCGTCCGCACTGGCGCACTGGGCTCTTGGTAGTCAGCGCAGAGGCATGACCAAACAAGCAGCGGAATGATGCCTTTTGGTATATGGTATGGTCCCAAATTTTAGCCAGCCGGATGGATCCGATTCCTCCGGAAGCAAGCTTGCAGAGATCGAGGAGACATGCTGGATGGAGCGAGATGTGCGCTGCGGATCCTCGGGGAAACACCAGCAGCCTGCGCCTCAATGTGCAGAGTTGTGCCGAGTGCTGAATTCAGCACTCAAGCACGAGCGGCACCTGCCACCGGCGCTCGCCGTTGCCAGATGCCCATTGCTGGCGGTAGTGACCACCTGTCCCGTGGCGGCAGTGTCCACTTGTCCCACGGCGGCGAACGCCACTGGTGCAGATGATAAACGATAAATACAGAAGCATTACATGTACGGGGCCGGGACCGGATTATGACAGACATCTCGTGAAACGCGAGAAGACGAGGGAATAGAAGCGGATGGGACTAGAGGAATCGAGGAATCTCGATCTCGGGTCGGTTACGACAGGGACGGAGGCAGAGGCAGGACGCACGCGCGGGGGGCGCGCGCGTGCGGGGGAAAAAACAAAAGTGATCAAGAGCCAGCGAGCAAGAAAAAAAAAAGTGACGAAATGATCGCCCATGGCCACTGCTTCGTCCGTGTATCGGACAGCAGTAGGCTTTGGGGATGAAATCTATTCTCCTTGCTCCTAGGAGTTGCCTTCAGGGACCATGGCCGACTGGAAGTCAAAGTCGGGCAGAGGTGCCTGGTCGGTGAAGATGGAGCTGTAGTCGAACGTACCCTCTTCCAAGAGGCTGAGAATCGTCGCGGCGGACCTGGCATGTGTCAGTTCAAACTATTTCCCACTCTCACACCACACACAAGCCCAGAGGCCAGGGCCACAGACAGCGCCGTACGCCGCCGTCACCGGTGGATACGGCGCCACTCAGGTCCAAAAGACAAGGGGCAGAACATGCTGATAGGGTACTCACAAGCTCTGGTTGTTTGAGCGCTGGCCGTCGGGCCCGACGGCGTCGACGCCAGTCGAGGGAAGGACGTCACCAGCAAGGCCATTCGAAAACATGATCGTGTCCATTGCGGTGACAGAGTTGCCATTGACGCCGTTGACCGTGGGGCCATTCGATCCGCCGTTGGCGGTCGCGTACTGTTGCAAGGTCATGTTGCCAATTCCACCGAGATTCTCGTTGGGTGACAATGTCTCCAGACGGTCGTACGGAGCACTGGGCTCTCCGAGCGATGTGGCAAACACGTTGGCGGCAAGGGACGTCGCTGCCTTGTTGGGGGACGAAATGTCCATGGCGCTCGTGTCAAAGTAGTCGGACGTGTTGAACACGGACTCGAGGTCGCCGGGCATCTGGCCGGCCGTGAGATCGGCTTGTGCTGACATGATGTCGCGGAAGGTGCTGGCGACCATGTCGGGGGTCGACGAGTTGCGCAGACTCGAGGGCCCAGGCGAAACCGAGGCGCGTTTGCGAACAGGACGCAGCCAGGCGGGCGAAGGACGGCCAGCCGAGTCGGGGACGCGAGGAGAGTCGACTGGAATGTTGCACACGCGGCAAAACTCGTCGATAATGTCGGCCGAGCGGAGACCACAGAGGTAGCGGCCACTGAAGCGACGCAGGAGACCGACACATGAGCGAAGACCCTCAACCGAAGGCGAAATGAGAGGGCGGAACTCGGGGTTCTTGCAATTGAGGACAACAGCGACCAGGGTACGACCCGCCTGAGCGAGCTGGTGGATCACATGGACACCGTAGTAGGTCATCATGCCGCGCTGCGAGATGTGGACGTGGTCGGCAATAATAGTCAACGCGCACTGCATGGCGCGGCGGCAGAACTCGACATGACGTCCACGCTCCTCAACCGTCGACGCGGGCATGACGACAAAGCCCGAGAAGCGGTGGCGGTAGATGATCATCTTGACGAGGTGCTCGAGACAGTGGAGGCGCTCAGCCTGGGTGATGCGGATGGGGTCGCGCGAGTTGGCCGTCTCCGAATCGTACTCCCAGTACTTTGGCAGTATGCGCTTCCATTCCTCCAGAAGCTCTTCCTCCTCCCTAAGCGACTCGCTCTGCGGTGTGCGGCGCGCAATGGTGGCGCTCGCGCGAGCAAGGAAGGCTGACGAGGGGAAGGGCGAAGGCTGAACGCACGCGTCGATTACACCTTCGAGAACGACGTGGAGACGAATCGCAGCAATGAACGCGCACATCCGGCTGGTTTCAGGGTTCTGTTGCTCCTGCACACCTTCGGCGGTGAGGTTCTCGTCGTCGACGATCATCGGCTCGGTAACATCGCAGTCGCGAAGGTGGATGATGGGCGGGCGACCAAACAATGCGGCCGACTGCTTGTCCCACGCGTAAATGGACCAAAAGGTACGTTTACGCGTCTCGCGCTCGACGGCGTTGAAGTGGTCGTACTGGTCAACGCTGCGGTGGAGACCGCCGTCGAGACAGAGGGTGATGCTCTCGGCCTGGAGCGCACAGGCCTTGGACAAGTTGCCCAAGCCAAAGGCGTAGATGGCCGCCAGGAACGCGGCCTGGATAGAGTAGAGGGTTGGGCGGTCGGCGGACGGCAAGTCACGCAATCGCTTGAACAATTCAAAGTACTGCTTGCCGGCAGTCGAGGGGTCGGATGGGTTGGCGCGGACGCGGGGGTCATCGACGTGACGCGACGAGAGGGTGCAGACGGCAACAATGAAGCAGGCGAAACCGGGCTCACCCCACTGCTGCGGGTTGGCATAGTCGGCAAGGAAAGAGGGCACGTGGAGGAAGGGCCAGAGCAAGTGGCTGGTCGAGAGATAACAGCGAACGAGCGTGTCCATAAGGTCGGGCGGGATGACGCCAGTGATGACCTTCCAACTGGCCTCGGGGTTGAGGGTCTGGTGCGGGCGCGGCGTGCGGTCGGGGAAAAAGCGTTCCCTTCTCCTGGGCTCGACAGACGACGAGCGCACCTTGGAGCTCACCGACGAGTTGCGGTTGCCGACCGCCGACTGCGAGCTCGCACGACGGCCAATCTTTGATGGTGGTGATGGGGCAGGGCGCGCGCCAGGAGTGTCGACAGACGAAGGGGACGACTCGTCGCCCTCCGGCTCATCCACTTCCGAGCCGGCCTTGGCCGCGGTGAGGAATTCCAACAACGGAAAACCAGAAGTCGCACCTGCGTTGGGTTGTCAGCGGCGGTTACTTTGCAGTGTTTTCTCGACTGCTCCTCTCTGAGCGCTTTTCCTCACCTTGCCACTTGGCCTGCCCAATCTCGTCTTCGTAGAAGAAGCTGAGGTTTTCCATGCGGCGGGCCACTTCGTCGACGCCACGGTCGTCGCGGCGCCTGATGGAGCGGCCGCCGGCCCAGGCGCCAGCCATGCTTGGCGCTGCCGCCGATGCCCACGCCGCCGGAGTGAGCGCAGAGTCGGTTTTCAATGAGTCAAACGCGCTGAGCGCCGATCCAGCAAGGGCGGGTGCTGCGCCCAGCGCCTCGGACGAGATGCCAACGCCGTCACCCTTGCCCTGCGCGAGCCCCGCGCCTTGACCAGAGCCGAGCCGCGCATCCAGTGTCGAGAGATACGCATTGTGCACGTTGGGCGGGACGTCGCGAAGGAGAGATTCGAGGGTCGCAAGGCGTGCTTCCAGCGAGGCCTGGTAGGCGCTGGACCCGCCACTGCTCCGAGGCGGCGAGTGGGGTCGCTTGACACCCGCCGACGACGAGCGGCCCTCGGGAACCTTGGGTTTTGCTACTCGTCGACTGGGGGTGTTGAACGTGCACTCGTTTTTCGTTGCAGAGCAAGGCCCACAAGGCTGTTGCGTGTCACAGCGGATCTTTCGTTTCCGGCAACGGTCGCATGCATGCGCCAAGCGGAGACGAGGGCGCTTGACGCCGTCGATGCCTGGTGTGTCCGAGTCCTCGTCCATGGCGCCAGAACCCATGTCGTATCCGTCGAGGCCGCCTGAGTCATCCTCGGACGTGGCCGCGGCGGCGGCGGTGACTGACGATTTGATGTCTTCAGTCGATGGCTGGGAGACGAGAGGCGGCTGAAAGAGCGCCGGGTCCATTGTGGATGGAAGTTGGCGATGTGCCGAGGGGGGGGGCAGATGGGGAGGGGGGTGGGGAGGATGGGGTGGGTGTGGGGATGGGTGATGAGGAGGTGCGAAGAGGTGGTGAAGAAGAGTTGCTGGAATGGCAACAAGCAGTAGAAGGGGAGTAACGCCGAGTATGGCCGTGTGGGTGTGGGGTGGGTGGGTGGGTGTGTGTGTATATGTGTGTGTGTGTCTGTGTCCTGGCGTGTGTCTCTCTCTTCTTCCCCCCCAAGCGACTGGCCCTTTGGTCCCTCGCCCGTCGTCCCTCACACGAGCCCACCTTTGGGCCACCTGCACCTGGTCGGCGCAGCCGTCCTGGCGGTCGTCAAATCCGTCCATAATACAAACCCCAGGCTGCCCAATTGCTTAGCAATTGGCTATTAGACCCCGTGGCCAAATGGAGAATACACGTCCCTGCCCCCGGGATTAAGGAGCCACGCCCGCGTGCTCAGGAGGCATGCGCAATCCGCATCCTGGAGCAGACGCGGACCCTTTTTCCGGACACTCGGGACGCGGCCCAGCGGCCAGCGGTGTGACACACTCAACTCTCTGCCACCGGAGAGCGCCGGGCCGCGGTCCCGTCAGAGCCGTGCGGTGACCGCTCTGTGGGGTGGGTCGTGTCGTGCGGGCAAGTGTATCTCTTCATCATTGCTCTGCTCGTCAAAGCACACGCAGGTGGTCACCGCCACAACCATCATTCACATCCCACTGCGTGCTGCGCAACGACCCCGCTGCTCCACAGCAATGTTTTTTTTTTCAACAACATTTAGCGACCCTCATCTGATCCAGCACCCCCGTTTATCCAGGACAGGTCGACAACGCGCGTTTGCGTAGCCCTGAATCCCCCCTCCCCCCCGTCGACGTTGCCTTCCTTCTGCCTCGCCTCCTATGCGCTCTTTCGTGGCCTTTGCTGGTCATCCTGGTCATGCTCCTGACATTGGTCGCTCACTTGTATCCTGGTCCTGTGACCTGTACATTTTTTAAAACAGATGTGTGGCGTTGTTTGGCTACTTGGGTACTTGGGTTCTCACAGGGTGGCATGGGATGGGTTCCCAGCACACCCCGTCCACACTTTGCACCTTGCCTCGAGTCCCTCCCTTTCCTGATGCGAAAGTGGACGAGGCTCGGGCATTCTCTTACTCCGTTTGAGCCGTGGGTTGCACGCGGTACAGCATGAAGATCTGGTGCTGTCACGCGAAAAACTGGCGGTGTTGGTCTGCGGCGAGAGGTGCGAACGGGACAGTTAGTGTTGTGAACGCTGTCAGTTTGCCATTTCCGACTCCGATCCCGACCAACAACGCGAGACAGCAACGCCCGCCAAGGATGACAGTCTATAGACCCCATAGCACATAGGGTCGACGGTGGCGCGAAGGCGTGCTGTAGATAGCGCATACGGATTACGTCATTGGGTCATTGGCCTCTCATCACAAACTGGTCAGCTTTCTCGATGCCATTCTCAGCTTTGCCACCTGCTCAGAGCCCCGACTTGCTGTTAACATTGCTTGAAAATGCGCGGTGACAACCTCCGAACGCTAGTCGGTGATATTTTCCGGCAATGGACTTTACCTTTTTGCCAGACTGCAGACTGCCACTGCTTACCGTTTACAGCTCGGCCCGCCGCTCTAAGGAATGGAATGGGAATGCTAGAGCCAGCGTCACCTCACGATTCGTCGGTGGACCGTGGGACTACGCCACTCAGCGGTGCCAAGCTCCCTGTTGGGTGCCCAGATGATGTGATGCCACCAACACAGGTCGAAGCTGGTTAGCCGGTGCGACTGCAGTCCACAGGCCACAGGCTATGGCAGGCCGGCCTGGGCTCCTGAATGGCGTGCACGGGTGAACGGCGTGCTGGACGCCGTCTGTGGCGTATACTGGTTTGAACCGACTTCCCTACCGGTTAGTTGCGTCTGTGGCCCAGGTGTCGTGCAATGGGTCTGTGCAGGCTTGCAGCTTGCAGGTTCAATCTGGCTTGTGCTGTGCCATCGCCATCGCCATCGCCATCGCCATTGGCTTGCTGGGCTGATGGTATCGAGCTTGTCTGCTGCGCGGTGACCTTCGGTTATGCACAGCGCCGTTGTATCCCTTTTTGAGGAGCAGCATGGTCGTATCGCTTGCAACTGCACAAGGGTCCGGCACTCAGACAGTGGGCCACCGATACCATCGAGGGTAAGGTGTGCCGGCCGAGCCCGGCCGGGGAAGAAATCCGCCACTCCTTCACTCAACGCGCCACGAGGACCTTCCAGTTGGGAGTCTAGTCGTCGATGAGGACTTGCCTGTACCTCCTTGTACATACCAGGGGCGTAGCAGTACTTTGGGCGGATCCCATAGTCTATTTTACTGTCCACTTCAGTTCTTGGGGCAATGAATAGCCCCAGTGGCGGCTTTACACATTCAAACGAAAATATACCAACGGTGAGTCACTGATCACTGATGGTTGCAACGGGGCACCACAACTGCGCATCATGATGTGGCCCTTCCCTGCTTCCAACCTCTCCATATGCCATTTCCGGAGGATACTGTCCTCAGCCGACGAAACCCGCCCCTCTACGGCAGGCCGTTGGACAGCGATGAGGTAGGTTCCGTTTACAGCTCTTGGGGTCAGAGGTTGCTTCTTTGGCTTGCGGGAGGACCGGCGCCTGTCTGGGTACATACAACGGCGGGACTTGGGGGTGCGCCAGAATTTGTCACATGGCTGAGGTAATCTAAACGACGGACGAGTATTATAAGCATTCCTAATAACCTTGCCATACTGATGTGATTGTACTATAAACATTCCTAATAACCTTGCCATACTGATGTGATTTATAAGGGCCGGAAATGAACACTGGCACAGCCCTATGAATAGCTTAGCGTGCCGCGGATGTGAGTTCCCGACCTCTGAACACTTTCCTGCCGTCGCAAGTCAGGGCTGGGGGATGCCGTCGATCGACCTTCAGAACGGTTAATCCTTTTTGTTTTGTTTTTTTTTTGCGTTCAGTATGCCCCGAGAGTCTCTCGGTCTCCCCCAGGAGCTCACCACCACCAACATCACTGTGCCTGGTGTTGCGAGCCCCGACAACGCGTACTGTATGTCAACGGGCTCAGGATGCCGAACACGAGCCCATGCAACGGCTGGTCGCGACCGGTCGTTCCTGCTCAGATGAGTAATATTTGTGTTTTCTCGGATCCAACACATTATAGCGGATGCTTGTTCACAGTGGGCCGGGGTCTGACCTTGGGGTTCATATCTCGACAGCAAGAGCAGGAGGCAAATGTTCACACGTAGGCAACCAAGTTGAGAGAAAGTGTCTGAGCTTGAGCCACCCTGGTCCCAGGTGCCGCACAGCCTCGTTGCTGCGACGAGCGTTCCTCTCCTCTGTAGACAGCACCCTCCCCAGGAGGAACAGACAAGCATGAGAATGTCAGGGATAACGGGGGCATGAACAGTACCCCAACCACTAGTACTGTACTCAGCTGGCTCTCTTCCACGATACTTTACATGTTACCTGCTCGACAACCAAAAGGACATTTGCGTCCCGGTTCCTGGGTCCCGATAGTTGCAACGACCTACCCCGCGACCAAATCCTCGTTTCTGGCTGCCTCCAGTGGCCACTGCGGGGCAGATCACATGCTCAACCGGAGTGAGGTGCCGCTGGCCGCTGGGTCTTCCTCCTCTGCCATCTGTATTCAAGAACGATACTATATCCCTCGGGATGTGCCTCTCGATGCGGTGCCCTCCCGTTAAGTCATCGGGTATCGCACAGTGCAACAACTTACTTCACATTAGATGACCCCATAACGGACCACAGCAACAGTCTTGCCTCAAGTGCTGCTTTACTGATGATGAAGGTTCCTCTGCCCTGTCTATATAAACGGTTGGGCTTTGGGTAGTTGGCTGAACTCCATCAACGACTAGCAGCAGCTCTCACAACCTTCCAACTTTCACTCACTCAAACCCACTGTCCCTACAATGCTCTTCTCCAACAAGCTCATCGGTGTCTCCCTCCTGGCCGCTCTTGCTGCCTACGCCGCGCCCGCTGGTGTCGCCGCCGAGGGCTCGCTCGATATCCGCGCCGACAACGAGGGCTACGACCTTGTCCTGTCGCACGAGCGTTCCCTCGCCAATGCCGATCCCGCGTCTGCCATCGCCCGCCGCGACGCCTGGGATGACCAGAAGAAGGCCTTTGCGCAGGGCCAGTGCGACAGCCTCCAGGGCCAGTACCCCAACTCAAACATTATCGTCTACAACAAGAACGAGGCGTTCGCTTTCAAGGCCAACAACTTCAAGGACCAGGGCGACGTCGACACTACCTCGGACCCCACCGCGGAGGGACAGTACAACACTGCCTCCTTCCACTGGGTCGTGTTCTACGGCTCGGGCTCGTTCTCTCCTCGCGGCCAGCAGGACTATGCCTACGCGGGCATCACCTTCAGCTCGCAGGACTCCATCATCTTCCAGGACAGGGTCTAGACAGTGTGTCAGCTACGTCTACCTGTTCTCAGCTGTACCCGACGATGTATAAACAAATGTCAGAAAATGAACAAGCGGACCTCAGAAGAAGCCCCCACTGCCCCATCAGGCCCCATCATGTGGGCAGTGACGGGAGTCAGGCAGTAACAACAGCTACAAGGTTCGGCCGCAGTTTAAAACATACATATTGGCGTTCCACCAGCGCTCCAGGCCCATCTACAAGCTAGGCCATGCTATATAACGGCATCTTCCCTCCATCGGTTGACTTCTGACGTTCCTTGCCTTTGGCTACACACTTTACACCCACCCGTACAGGACACTCTCCCTGAGGTCAACGCTGTCTTCGCCCTGCTGGGTGACCAGGATCTTGCGGATCTGTTCATCTGTGAGTCCCGAACGACTCGCATAGGCCTGGTTGGGTTTCTCGGAATCACGTCCCACACACGCATCGACAATGGGTGTGGGAACAAACGTACCTCCTCTGGGGGGTTCAGACCCAGCTTCTTGGCCCTGTCCCAGCGGTCGAGACGGGTGATGCCGGCGCAGGGGCCGTACTTGGACGTCATGTCGAAGACGCGGAGGATGTCTATCGTCGTCAGTCAACATGTCCCACTTGGCCGATAGCGAGCGTGGCGTTTGTCAAGCCTCCGGCCTTGGTCCACTGCGCAGTACTCACGGTGCACTTTGGTCATCTGGGGTCCCGCGTGGACTTGCCGTCAGCTCCTGCTCTCCCTTACCAAGCACCCAGCTGAAACCTACTGGGTTCCACCCCGCCCATCTCCACCCTGGCATCCTTGTAGAGCTTGTTCCACTGCTTGCTGTTTCCGTCGAGCACCTCGCGCTCGTCATCTGGCACAGAGACGACATCGTCCTTGGCAGCGTCCTTCACTGGAGGCGTCTTGGCGCGGTCGACACTCGAGAGGGACGAGGCCGAGCCTGTCCGACGAAGAGCAGGGGTCTTGCCAAGGGACTTGTTCTTGCTGGCCGCTTTGGCCGCTGCTGAGGCCGGGCGCCGACTCTGGAAGGAGAGGGTAGGCTGTGGATGGGGTCAGGATCAGGATCTAACAATGGCTGGGGAGGAAGGCGTCTCGGGGGACGGGGGAGGGGGGGATACCTGCCTGTGCGAGCTTTGTTGAACGCTTGGGCGCCATGATGTAATGCGTAGATGATGCTTCCCAGATGGATGGAAGGTGTAGTTTAGATGTGAGCAGTGGATGTGGATGCTTGTGAGGTCTGACAGAAGGCGAGTGGGTGGAAAGATATGGCGAGCAAGTGATATTTACAGGGCAACTGGAGATGGCTGGTTGACTCACCTGGCGAGCATCTGTGCACCTGGGCCGCGACCTGGGGCGTCCACTTGCGCGCCCGGTTTTGCGGAACCAAATATTCCATGACGCATCGGAACTTGGACGCGTCTGGTCACGGCTCTGTTCCTCGTTCTCTCTCTCTAACCACCATCAAAACAACAACCTCGCCATGGGCAGCAACTCGCGGTCCATGGCCGACCTGGCCAGACAATTGGTACTGGCCCTTCAACCCGACCTAGGAGAGGGGTCCTCCCAGCTCGAGACGACCACCCGACACGTCGTGTCCGAGTTGAAGGCCAACGCGCACGGAGGCCTCCGGACAGAATGGGAGGACGTGCGCGGCACATTGCATGGGTGGGTGCTGGAGGGGTACAGTGTAGCTGACCATAAGGCTTTCGAAGTTTGCTCGTATATGTGTCGAGGAAGATGTGGCGGACGCGTACGACAAGCTCGTGGGCAAGCTCGAGCACCATCGACGAAGAGGGGGCACGACCTGGGACGACAACATGCCCTTACACACGACCAACATTCCCCAGCATATCCAGCTCCTGGTCAGTTTAGTCTCCATAAAATAAAACTGACCTTGCAGTTAGCTTTATCTGGACCTATCGTCCCCAAGACACGCGAGCTTGCCCAAGAATATCTGACACGGCCACCCCAAGTGCCAGAGTCCGACCTGCGGCTATACGAGGAGATCATGGCCGAGCCGTTTGAAGGCGACCATTGGGGTCCAGGTTACGACGAGGAAGTTATGGAAGGGTGGACCGAGAGTGAGGACTCGGAGGGTAACACGACTGCGACAGAGGAGGAGGTTGTGACCCCGGCCCTCAAGACTCCGCGCTACAGGTCTGCGGCGGCCGACGCTGCTCGGGAGGCTGAGCTTCGTCGGCGTGCCGAGGAGGAACAAAGGCTGCTGTTCGCAAAGCTTAGCCTTCGCGATTTGGGCGCTAACGCTTACTGGAAGAGCGGCGGGTGCGATGTTCCCATTCGTGACGACCTACATGGTTGGCGGGCTTTGTCGTCTGGTAGGTTGTCACGCCGGCGACGCTGACCTGCTCAGTGCCTGCAATGGCTTCGCCTGCTTTGACCGAGAACAATGCCCCGTCTATTACCGCCAGTCAGCTCCAGCGAGAGCTCTTGTTCGCCCTTACAGGCCGACCAGGCGTCTTATTTACCTTTTCGCCACATGGAGAGTGCTCAGTAAGCTGGCAGGCCGTGTTGAAGCTTACATTAGATCACACCGAACCACGTAAACGTCACTTGTTACACCCCAGCCGCCTTGGAAGGTATCTTGAAGGACTTTGCCGCACGTGCGACCCAGGCGGCTAGTTTGCGGGCTTTTGTTGGCGAGGCACTCGCCGCTGGTCCCTCCTCCTGGCGTTCTCAGCGGTCACCTGGTGCGTCCGAGACCCGAGAGGCCTTTGCGGAGGCATGTCGTCTGGTTCTCAACAATCTCGGAACATGGATTGCCGACCTCGAGAGCGCGTTCATGGGCTCTGGCATATCCACTTCAACTGTTGTCCCCGGTGCCATTTCAACGACATTGCTCCTGCAGCTGGAGCTTACCAACAAGTTTGGCGACCTCCTGGACCACCTGTGCGACCTCATCCCGTTCACGTCGTCGGCAAACGGACTTCTCAACGCCATCTACGGCGCGATCTGCGCTCCGACCTCCCTTCTGTCGCGTCCTGCCCTCGTGGACATCTTCATTCGGTCTGCCACCCCAATGTGGCGATTACTAGGAGATTGGCTGGTCGGTGGAATGCCTGTCCCGGACAGCCTGACGTGTGGCGACGCGGACATTGCCCTCCAGGGTTGGGACGACGAGCGGCCACTGAATCCCGAGTTCCTTATCCAGCGTGACCGCGACTCGTCGTGGTCCGATGAGGACTTTTGGGAGGCGGGTTACGTTATTGACGAAGAGGGGTGGCCCGCTTGGCTGCATGGTACGCAGGAGATGGTTCTCGAAGGTGGAAAGTCACGAGGACTACTGCGCAGCTTGTCCACTGCCAACACCGAAACTGGAGAGTGGCAGGCCCTGGAAGCCATTATCGACCCCTTCACTGCCGACATTCCCCACGCACTGTCCGAGTATCTCACACCATTCTGCAAGAACAGCCAAAACCTACTCGGCGAGGTGCTTGAATGGGACTGCGAGCTCCAGAAGCACTTGCTGGCCATTGACGCTCTCACCCTCATGCGCGGCACCGTCGTCGTCGATGACTGGGCAGAGTGGCTGTTTGATCAAATGAGAACCGGCAAGCCGTGGGCCGACTTTCAGCTGCTTACCCACTCCCTTCGTGACGCTATTGAGTCGCATGGAGCTCAGTGGATGAACCCTCATGCCGTGCGTGCGCGGACGTTGCGAGGGCAAGGCAAAGCAACCTTGGTCGATATTCGCGTCGACTATCTGGTAAGCTGTACGATTGCTCCGGTCAAGCTGACCCCAGGTCCCCTTCCCCCTCTCCCAGCTGTTTACTCCAACCGCCATGGACCTGCGCTCGGATGTTTTCACCTTCTTGCTACGCGTCCTGCGAGCGCGCAAGGTTCTCCTCAAAGCGAGAGTGCTTGCGGAGACACGCGCAGGAGGGCGACCTGAGGAGCTCTCGCAGTTGAGACGGCTTCGACACGCCACAGCCTGGGTATTGGAGTAGGTTTTGCTGTGCATCCATGCCGTGCTAACAATCTAACAGCACACTGTGGATATGGGTGAACGACGTCATTGAGATCCGTACAGGACGCCACCGACAACATATGAGTCAAGGAGCTTCATTCCAGAGGTTGATTAGCTTTGAGCTGGACCAGTGAGTGATAGAGTTTGGGTTACGGTTAACTGTATAGTGTCCGCGAGCTGCGTCGTTTCTGCTTTCTCCATGCCGAGACCTCGTCCACCTTGGAAGCCGTGGAAGCTATCGTCGACCTCAGCGAGGACCTGTTGCGCGTTGCCACTTCCACACAAGGAGTGGCGCGGCCAGTGTCATCTCCCACTCGGCCGCGCAGGAGACGCAGTCGGCACCAGGACTCGGACTCTGATGACTCGGACGATGACGCAGATGACGCCCTTCTGCCTCAGGACGACGCCCGGGAAGGTGGCTCGCCACGGACGCCACAACTCGATCAGATAGCAGAAACGTTGAAAGCAAGCGTCCATCGATTCCGCCAGGGTGTTGACGCGCTTGCTGCCCAGGGTGGAATGGAGGCAGCAGATGTGAGGGATACGTGGGGGATGCTTGTATTCGCGTTGGGGGACTGGAAGGAGCCACAGTTGTAGTCGATGTACTCTATAAACCGCCTCTCTTGTCATTTAACGGAAGCAATTTTACTGAGACGCGTCCGTCTCGCACCGGTTGACTGTACCAGAGATGACGGATTGACTTCCTCCACTTTCGTTGACCATTTCACAGTACTCTCCGTATCATCGCCGTGTCTACTCCGCCTATCGACAATGTCGACCACACCCACCTCGGGCGCGTCTGCGCGCGAGGTCGAGGAGGTCGAGGCCATTCTCGAACGGCTGGCCAGCGCTACCAAGCAGCCTGGCGATTCTGATCTTCGACCTGTCCTCTCCTTCCTCCTCCCCTCCGTCGTCACACCAGCGAATGGTGTATTGCCACCGACGGCCGGTTCGAGCTCCAGTGCGGTCCCAACTGCCAATGCGGATGCTCAAGACACCCACTGGTTCTGTACCAAGGCCAAGAGTGACCTCCACCGTCGTGCCGCCACCTTCCTGATCTTCCTGTTCGCGTTCCGTTCGCCAACGAGCAAGCAATGGACCGACACCTTGGAGTCTGTCGTGGGCAAGTGTTCAAGCTGTTCGCGTGGGTTTGGCGCTGCTCGGCGTAACTTTGGACGTCGGTGAGTGGAACCATAGCGCCGCGGGGCGTATGCTCTGCGGTGGCAACAAGCGACGATCACTGTCGGCGGGCGGGTGCACAGTTGGCGCAGGAGCCAAGCTGATGGCACCTAGTTACCTCTCCAACTATCCCTTGGCAATCCGCAACAACTTCTTTGGTGCCATTGACAAGTGGCAGGCTGCCTTGATCCTTACGGCACTCGAGCGCGACCAGCCTGCATATGGCGCCCAGAGGGGCGTTCTGGACCTGTCCCTTCCCTATCTGCAGCTCTTGTTCAACGAGCCTTCTCTCCTCAGTCCAACGCTTTCAGAGGGCAAGCTGTCTACTGGTATCGATGAGGTTATTACTTCCCATCCCAACGATCCATCGGCCGCTGCTTCCCTCGGCCTGACCCCTACGCTCATAGCGCTTCTCACATCACCAGATGCCAAGCGTCGCGAGTGGGCTCACCAGCAGGTCGGCTTCATTACCCGAGCTGTCCCCTTTGACGAGTGGACAGAGAATGGAACCGGAACCGAGGTCCAGACACTGTATCTCTCCTCTTTCCCAGGAGACGTTAGCGAACAGTGGGCCGCATTGAAGGCTCTCATCACCCTCGACTGCCTCACTCTGGAAACGATTCAGCGTGGCCTCCTCGAGGGGCAGTACGATGTTGCGGCGGCGCCGAGGCATGACAAGTCTATCATGACCTTTGTATCGCGCCTTCTGGGAAGCTCGTCCGACTGTAAGTCTGCACCACCTGCGGCCATTGCTAACATGCACAGCTTTCCCCAATGTCTTTGCCACCTTCACCACGCTCCTCCGCATCTCTCCCACGCGTCACATCTGGGCGTTTGACCCCTCCCCTGAGCTTCCGCACACAACATTCTCTGAGATTAAGAAGAATCCGTCCTTCCAGACCATTGCCGCAGGTGCCGGCCCCTCGTCGTCCACGGAGGACCCCAAAGGCAAGGGCAAGGAAAGTTCGAACGCAGTTGCGAACCCCCTCTTGTGGATCAGCGACTTTCTTCTTTCCGCCAACGATTCGCCCAACGATGCTACCTCGTCAGGGCTGGGCTTCTCAGAGGCTCTCGCCAAGGTCATCAACTTTTGCTTCGCTGAGATGCAGCATGACAGGCTCCAGCCCCAGGCGCGTGCCGCTGCTGCGGAAGCGGGCTGCGAGGTGAGCTCGTGAAGGCCATCGTTCAAGCTGACAGTAGGCTCTTACCGTACTGCAACGCAAGATCGGATCCAGCGATTCTGCAGCCTCCACTGCACTTGCATCGACTATTGAGGTGCACGCCTCTTTCATTGCCAGCACTGCGTTTCAGAAGAACACCGACCCACTCTGGGACACTCCTCGTGCCTCTGCCCGCAAGCTCATCTCTCAAGTGCTCCGGTCGGACGGCAGGGCGGTCCTGGAGAGCATGCTTGGATTGGCGTTCATTGCGTTCAAGGAGCGCCGCCGCCTGCGCGTCAAGCGTCGAGGCAAGGTGAACGTTCCCGACCCTGTGCTCGTTGAGAAGCTTCACCGTGTGACGGTCCACCGCGAGCTGTGGTACATGTCATACAACTCGCTCTCACCCACCGACGCTCCGGGATTGGCCCTCATGATGTCAGCCGTAGCTCCTTTTGCCCACGTCGAGACCCTCAACCGCCACGAAGCGTGGAACGGTTCAGACCTCAAGGCAGTGGTCAAGGAGGAAGACTGGATCACCAGCGTTCGCGCCATCAACTCTGCCCTCAAGGCTGCGCGTGATGGATTTCCTCAAGCAGTTGAATCTCTCGCCGCCCAGCCAAACCCAACCATTCTCCAGACACTGTGGCAGCAGGAAGGCGTGGCGCGTACGGCTGTCTCGCTCCTCCTGTCACCCGCCCACAATGTCCACGAGCCCATGATCAACCTCGTCCAGCAGTCATTTGACGACGTCGACGACCGTGGCGATTGTTTCCGAACTCTCTTGCAGCGCTTCCCCCACCAGGCCATGATGGGCCTCACCGACTTTTTGTCATCTTTCATCTTGATGGCCAAGAACGTACCCGAGGCGTGCTCGCTCGCCAAGTGGCTCGTCCGCTGCTTCACCGACGTTCTCGAGGCGCTGTGTCAGCCTTCGGGTGTCTCGGCGCCACTGCTGCAGCTGGACTGTTTCTTGAGCACGTTCGAGCAGTCGGACAAGAAGTGGATGAAGACCCGCGTCGGGCTGCTGTGGCAGCTCATGACCGACTCGCTCGCTTTGATCTTCAAACGCACCTCTGAATGGGCGCCATACTACGAAAACGAGGTCATGGTGGACTGGATGCGCGACGCACTCATTTTCGGTCGTATGATCACCGAGAACATTCGCATCTTTGAGTCTGCTTCATTGAGCCGCACCTCGGCTCCCAAGGAGTCTGTGGCGGAATCGCCCGTCAAGATGACTCAAGTTGGCAAGAGCCTGGTGCAGAAACTCGAGGTTGTGCTTGCCGATCTCGTTCTTTGGCTTCGTCTTACCGAGTGAGTTTTTCAGCATATGTGCAGCCGCTAACTCTTCCAGTGTCGAAACCCTCCACCAAACGTATGAGCTTATCAAGACCATTTTGGGCCGCATCACCAAGTCCGACCCCGACCTTTCGCAAGACCCGGCTCTGGAGCAAACTCTTATGGAGATTGACAAGTTCTGTCGGCACCTCGGCTCGACGTACAAGTGTCGCTTGTCCGATGACCTTTTGTCCGAACTCTCGGATCTGCTGTCAGCCTTTGATCTGCCCATGGACGAGATCCCAGTGGTCAAGGCTACCTCACCCGACATTGCTTCGGGATCTGACACTGGCTCGAGTTCAGTCATCTCCAAGCTCAGGGCGGCGTCTACCCCCACCTCGTCGCTGTCCAAGCCGACACCCGCGACGCGCGTTACCAAGGATGCTGCTGCACCAAAGAATGCGTTCAGCATGATGATGAAGAAGGCTGGTGGCAAGTACGAGCCCTCGACCAGCACTTCCAAGCCGCCAGCCAAGGCCCGTCCTCGCCAGATGACTTTGGAGGAGTTTGAGAATGATGAATTCCTCGACAACCTCTCCGCCGGCGACCTCGACATTCTGGAGCGTCGCGCCGCGTCCGACAGCAAGATCAGGAAGCCGACACAGCCTACCAAGCCAAAGGACCGGCTCATCATCAATGTACTGCCGCAGCGCACGTTCCCTCCAAAGGCCACTTCGTCCAAGGCTACGACGTACAAGTCCAAATTCATGCGTGACCTTGCCGCGGACCACCGAGCTGACATGCGGGAGCGCAGGCGTGCCAACGACACGGTCCCGCAGATCAAGCCCGTGTCTGTCGGAACAGGTCTTGGCGCCTACACTGGTCCTCGCAAGGAAGTCAAGAAGGTCGAGGAGGAGGCCACAAGCTCCGAGTCTGAATCGTCGTCTGATGAAGAGAACAAGGGTATCGGTGCTCTGGTGGCCAAGGCCAAGGAACCCGTCAAGCCAGCTCGCTTCTCTATCCCCGAGAGGCGTCCCATCAAGGTCCTGGGATCAGCCGTCTCAGACATCCTCAGGGAGCGCGAGGCTCGTCGCCGTGCGGCGCACAGCATGAAGATGCGTCTGCACCCGGACCTCACATCTCTCTACCGTTACGTGCTGGCCTGGGACCCAGGCTGCACCGCTCCTCGACCGCCATATCCGCCAAAGGACGCTGCCGAGCTCGGTACCTTAAAACCAATGTCCACCGCGTTCACGAGCGCCGAGCAGTACAACAAGACCATCCTCCCGCTCTTCCTCCAGGAACTGTGGGCTCAGTTCATCAAGGACGATGCCGGTGCCGATATTGTTCGCGTCGAGGTTACGACCCGCTCGTACGAGGACGACTTCCTCGACATTGACGTTGTTGTGCCCGGCAACCTCCCAAACAAGTTCTTCCTCAACGATAATGACATTGTCACTATCAAGTTGGAAGGTCCCGCTGGCCCAAACAACCCGAACAAGCCCATCTTTGCCAAGGTGCAGATCTTCCGTCGAAAGTTCAAGGAGTCGGGCATCAAGCTCCGTATTCTCTCCAGCCTGGACCAGAGGGCTCTCGGTTCCAAGGCCAAGTTGCAGCTTCGCAAGCACACATCGTAGGTACCATATCGTAAAACCACACTAACCTGCCAGATTGAGTACCGCTGCTCGCGAGTATGCCGCTTTGCGTGGTCTGCCATACTACGAGCCTAGTATTCTGTCCGACATTTTGGCAGCTCGTAGCGCCACGATGCCTGCGCTTGAGCCGTACAAGATCGAAGAGGCTATGAAGAACTACAACGTCAACGAGCCCCAGGCGAAGGCTATCCTCGGTGCCATGTCGACCAAAGGCTTTGCTCTCATTCAAGGGTGGGTGACCTACGATGGTATCTAACTAACCCACACAGTCCTCCTGGTACCGGTAAGACCAAGACCATCAGCGGCCTCGTTGGCAAGTTCCTCTCCGACCGTAAGGGCTACATTCCCGTCAACGGCGAAGTCCCTCCCAAGGCCAAGCTTCTCGTCTGTGCGCCCAGTAATGCGGCCATTGACGAAGTGTGCAAGCGTCTCATGGAGGGCGTCCCGACCGAAAACGGCGGGCGCATTGTGCCAAAGATGGTCCGTATCGGTGTTGAGTCATCGGTCAACATTGCTGTCAAGGACATCTCACTCGACAACATTGTCGAGGCGCGTGTTAACAACGACATGGCTACCAAGGAGGGCCGCGGTACCGAGTTGACCCGCATTCAACAAGAGCTCGAGGAAGTGAAGGAGCAGCTCAAGACGAAGCAAGATGAGCTCGTCAAGACCAAGGATGCGCAGAAGCACATCAATGTCGAGAACGAGATTCGTGCCCTTACTCAGCGCCGTGCAAAGCTTGGTCAGGCATCGTCCAAGGCCAAGGACGCTGCCCGTGACGCCACGCGTCACCTCGACGGTCTTCGTCGTTCGACTCGCGACACTGTCCTTAAGGAGGCCGACATCATCTGCGCCACACTCTCGGGTGCTGGTCAGGATGTGCTTGCGGCGTTCAACTTTGAGACGGTCATCATTGATGAGGCCGCGCAGGCTATTGAGATGAGCTGTCTTATTCCCCTCAAGTACGGCTGCAAGCGCTGTATCATGGTCGGAGGTGAGTAGACTGCCCCCCGCAACGAACATTGTTGACCCATTGCAGACCCCAACCAGTTGCCACCGACAACGTTCAGCTCCGAGGCGGAGCAGAACAAGTTCAATCAAAGTTTGTTCGTGCGCATTGCCGACAAACCTGGTTCACACATGCATCTCCTCAGGTGAGTTACATTGATGCTAGAGTATGCTAACCCGCCAGCATTCAGTACCGTATGCACCCCGATATTTCCGAACTGCCCTCCAAGCTGTTCTACAAACAGCGTCTCAAGGACGGTCCGGGCATGGCACAGAAGACAGCTGCGGTGTGGCACCAAAACCCCATTTTCGGCCCATACCACTTTGTCAACGTTGAAGGCCAGGAAATCAAGGCTGGCACCTCGACCAAGAACACGGAAGAAGCACTTGTGGCCGTCGACCTGTACCGCAATCTGCAAAGCCAATTCGGCCGCAAAGTCAACCTCGCGATGCGCATTGGTATCATTACCATGTACCGCGAGCAGCTGTTTGAGCTAAAGCGCAAGTTTACCGACGCCTACGGCCAGGAGATCACCGAGACTATTGAGTGAGTTTAATGAAACGTTACGCAATCTGACTTGCAGCTTCAACACTGTCGACGGTTTCCAGGGCCAGGAGAAGGATATCATCATCCTGTCTTGTGTCCGTTCCGGTGTCAACCTTCGCAGCATTGGTTTCTTGCGCGACTTCCGTCGTATGAACGTTGCCCTCACGCGTGCCAAGAGCTCCCTGTTTGTGATTGGTAACTCATCCACCCTTGAGCGTACCGACAAGACCTGGAACACCATTGTCTGTGACGCCCGTGAGCGTGGCTTCCTTGTTAATGTGGGTTTCCCAGTCGTAGTTTCCTCCCTAACCCTCAGTACTCTCCCGCTACGTTCACCGCCCTCCCCCCCGGCGCCTCCGCGCAGAAGACAGCCAGGAAACGCTCTCCTTCGCCAGACTGGCTCTCACAGTCGCAGGTACGGGGGTCGCAGATCCCAGTCGTTGGTTCGCTCCCAAAGACGAGGCGCGACTCCAGCTCGTCCATGGATGTCGACTCCGACTCGTCTGACGACGACGACGTCAAGAGACCTGCGGGAAAGAAAGCCAAGACTGTTGGTCCCAAGCAGCCGCCTCCTCCCACCAGCAAGCCTCCATCCGACCCTCCGCCACCTTCCATCGTGATGAGCAGCGCCAACGGAGCACGCCCTCCCCCTCCTCACCCCGGACTGTCATCGCGCACACCCGCTCCCCCAGGACCAGGCGCACAGAAGGTCCGCCCACCTGGCCCACCTGGGCCCTCTACTGGTGGTCCCTCCAGACCGCCTCCTCCACGACCCCCTCCCCGTCCCGCAGGCAAGCCCGAGGACGTCTTGTTCATGAAAAAGAAGAAGCCCAACAGGCCGCAGCCGGATGGCCGACCACCCCCAATTGGTAACGTGCGCGACGTCATCAACAGCAACCTCACTGGCGCTCCCAGACGCTAGACTCTACAACTCTCCTCATCCCAGTCCCCACCCCGCATTGTACATGTACATACCACGGCATCGATACATTCTCCACACTTTTCCCACCTAGACTTTGACATGACATGCACTTTATGAACAGCAAACTGGTTGCGCATTTGGTGTGCGGAACGGAGACTGATAGGAAGCTGCACCACGGCCCAGTTGTTGCAACAGCACCACTCAAACTATATACCTGTTGACTATGCATGTCCTATACGAAGCAATTAAACAAAGAAAAGTGCCCACTCCTCCTCCTCCATACAACGAACTGGTCTCGCTCTATGCCGCAACACTCCGCTTCGCCACCCGCGCCGGCTTGTCCGCTCCGACCGCTTTGGCCAACGCCGCCTCCTTGGCACCAGCACCGGCTTTACGACCCAGGCTGCTCCTTGTGTCGGCGCTACTGCTTCCGCTGCTGGCGGTATCCTGGTGTGCAGTCAGGTCGCCGAGCACGTCGCGAGGCGGACGGCGTACCTTGCTCACCGCTGCGTTGGCGAGGGCCAGTTCCCTAGCGGTCGGCTTGACGTCCTTTTCCACCGACTTGGACCTCTCCTTGTCGACGGAAATAAGGGGGGAGGCCGAACGGCGTGTTGTGGCCGTCGATACCGATGAGCGGATGGGCGCGGAGGCCGTGACGGTTGGCAGCGTTGGAACGGCAATGGGAGACACGGGCAACTCGTGGATATCCTCGCCCTCCATCAGGTCCACAGAGCCCTCCGCCAGGCCGAGCTTTGCGGCCGAGCGAGGGAGAGCACTTTTACGCCGCACGCCCGTGACCGCTGCAGCGACGTGAGAGCGGACACCGAGCGCCTCGTCGACAGCCATCCCGTCTGGCTTGCGCATCTTCTTGCGCAGACTCGGCTCCTTGTAGTTGACGCTGCCTCTTGCGCGGCGCGACACGCGTCCGCCCTCGGCCTCTTCGTCGATGGACTCTGGAAGAGATTCAGGCTCTGCCGTGGCATGAGCGATGCTATCGGGCGAAGGCGATGGTGGGGGCGGAGTAAGAGAACCACTGGAAACATCATCGTGCTCCAGGACGAGGACCGTGCGCGCGGCCTTATCCTTGATGCCGGGGCTTACGCGACGGGGTGTGTTGGGCGAGCGTGCTGGGCTGGGTTGATTGGCTGCCGCCAGTTGGGCCTCAATATGCGCGGCAATGCTCTTGACCTTGACAGAAGTTGCCGATGCCAAGTGTTGGGTGGTCTCGGCTGGGGCAGCCTGTTTGAGGACTGGGGCGGACGACTTTGGTGGCTTGGCCGGCGACGACCTCTTTGCCCGCGTCTTCTTGGACGTGGGCGTGACGGCGAACTCGACAGCAGCCTCTTCCAGAAGGGCTGTAGCCTCTTCGGGGGTCATCCGGATTTCCTCGCCCTCATCCCATGCTGAGCTGTCTGTTGCATCTACGTCTCCTGGGCTCTGTGCAGGGCTGCGCGCTCGAGAAGGACTGGGGCTCGTCTCAGGCGAGATCGATGGTGGCAGGAGAAGGCCGCTCTCACGTCGCCTACGCGAGTTCTTGCGCGGCGTGCTTCGCTTGGGCGAACGCGAGTTGACAGGTGATGAAGTGCTGAATAACAGCTTGGGCTGAGGTGACTCGTAGCCGCTGTGTTCTTTTCTGCTCTTGTTCGGCGTACGGCTGTAGGTTTAGCATCCTTGCCGCCCACAATTCACCAGAGTACTCACCTCTTGCGTCTCCTTGCGAAGGGTGACTCCTCTGGCTCGCTGGCTTCGCACAGCATGCCAAGCTCGTGTATCTGAGCAGCCGACGCGGCAGGATGCGTTGCCATGGGGTTCACCATTGAGCGGCGTCCTGCCCTGCTGGATCCGGGAAGGCTGTGGACTGTGTTTGACTCGTTGGCGAGTGAATCACGCAGTTGGCGTAATGCTGGAACCACATCAAGGAGTGAGTCAAGGGCTTCCAGTGCAAACTATAATGTTAGCTTCGCCCTGCTTCAAAGCGCTGCAGCTTACCTCGCCGCGTTGCCGCTTGTGGTCCTCCTGCATTTGCGCCATCCGCCGCTGCAGCATGCGGTTCTGATGGCGAACCTCGCTCAGCTCTCCCTGTACTTCTGCAATCTGGTCCTGGAGGTTGCGGATAATGTTCTTGCGAGAAATGTTTTCGCTGATGGTGTCAACATAGGAACGCGCCTTCAAGCGATAGCGAGGCACAGCTGGCACTGTAAACAAACACGTACGTGATAATCTCGCGGTTCTGGCGGCTATGCCTGCGGCGGACTGTAAAGTCAGCTTTGTGTTCAAGAAGGATGACACCATGTGGTGGACACGATAAGAGCCCACAGGTTGCTGGTTGCAACTGCGACTCGCAATCAAGCCGACACCATGTCACCAACTGTGGCGGCAACCAATATCCGATGGATTGTGGCCTCTAGAACTCACAGTCGTCGAATTGTTGGGCCTGCACGGCCTCCATATCGAGCGGTGCTCCGAGGGAGCCCCGTGTCCTTCTTGTGGACATGGTGCGTGAGGATGGCGGTGGTCGATGGGTTGTGGACGCGTGATAGAGGTGGTTGAGTGAGCCCCTGTGTGTTGTGGTTGCTGAACCCCAGGGTGGTGGCATAGAAGTCAGGCGCCCTTGCGGCGATTTTCGGCGATATGACCGTGTGGCATTCCGCAAACGCAGTAAGAACAAGATTGCAGAGCCAGGGCCGGCTGTTGTTTGTTTCTCTCTCTTGCAGTGTGCAAGAAACAGTGGTGAGGACGTTACAACGTGCAGCGTCGCCATCTCGCCTGCACCATGCATGCCTCCGAGTCACCGGCGCGTACGCGTGCGCCACGGGCATAGGCATTACCGGGACCACTGTGGATTAAAAAGGTGCCATTGGTTCTGGCAAACGAAAGTCTTGTGATCAGCTGATGGAAACAATAGCGGCTGATGACGTACTTACCCGATTGCGACCCGCCCCGCCCACCAAGCGGCATTCACTACAAAGGCCCACCATGGCCGGCATTCTATTCTCTCCATCGCATCAAGCGCAATCCATTTCGACCCCTCCAGCTCCCCACCGAACCCTTCCCTTCACCACACCAACCAGTCTGCGCCACCATGTCCTCCGGCAGTGACACCGACTTTGACTCGCTCCCCGAGATCTACTCGGGCAAGCCCAAGAAGCTCGGCTCCTTCCTCGCCGAGCTCCAGCGCACCTTCAAGCACCAGCCGGGCACCTTCCGCAGCGACCGCGCAAAGGTCATCTTTGCGACCTCGCACCTGCGTGGCACGGCGCTCAAGTGGGCTGTCGACCACCCAGAGTCCCAGGACAGCTGGACGCGTTTCTCCGAGGACATCCAGACCCGCTTCGGTAACCCGGACAAGAAGGAGACGGCGTTCAACCAGCTCAAAAAGCTCAAGCAGCACGGCTCGGCTCGTGCGTACTCTGAGCGCTGGGCCAACTATGCTGCCGACGTCGAGTGGGCCGAGGGTGACAAGGCCAAAAAGAACAAGTGGTTCTACCGCGGTCTCAAGGACGACATCAAGGACTCGCTCTGCAACCTCGACTGGGACTGGAAGATGGACCACGACCAGTTTGTCGACAAGGTCATCAAGATTGATGAGAAGCTCCACCCTCCTCACCTCAAGTCGCAGGAGAACAAGTATGGCGAGTAGGTTGGCCGGTCAGGAGGTGCGAAACGATCCATAAAGCCCCACCACCCGGCCGGCGCAGCAAAAGCCTACTTCCGTCTCTTGTTCCACTCTCACGCGTTCCCCGACCCCGGCCGACATTCAAACCCAAATCAAGAAGCAAGCCCCGACCACACACCCACCAAGGAAGGGTCTCAGAAGGTACACCAATGCATTATATGACCAGCGGTTTGCAGGGTGCAGTCAGTAGGGTCGTACCCTGTTGATCTTTTGTGGGCATCGTATCACTGACGTTGTGGCGTCGGAATACATCAGCCACCTAGGCCGCGACAGTGTCCGAGCTCCCCTACTAGTCGATGGATCGGTGACGTGTATCCGGTAACCAGCAACCGCACCAGCTTCGTCTCATGATCGTAACGTGCATTACATGGGCTACGTATACAGAGGCTGTCAAGCAGGTCCAGCCAATTGTCTGCTTGAGCCTGTGGTATGTATGGCCTGAAGAGTTGTGGAAGCGAAAGCCACCGTCGGTGGGCGGCACCTAGGTGCTCTACTTCCTGGGGGTCTCCTCAAGGATAGTCTTGTTAAAGTCCTCAAGGGGGACGAGGTCACGGTCGCTAAGCAGCGAGAACTCGTCAACAAACAGCAGGAAGTGGCGGTAGTTGGTGTTGAGGTGGGCTGTGTGGGACGTTAGCAGTGGCTCGCCCTTTCCATCCAGCTCAACAACGCACCCTCAATACCCAGAGCACAGATCTGGTCAAAATGCGAGTGGTAAATGTGGGCGTAGACACGGAACAGACGACGCAGAATGACCTTGGCAGTGGACATGAAGTTGGGGGGGAACTTGACACCGATACGCTGCGGGAACAGCTTGTCGTCGTCGAGCAGGCTCTGCGCCCAGGTCATGAGGGCCTCGACGTACGCCGGGGCAGAGAGGTGGGTGGGCTTCTTGTACGTCTCGCCGTCCTCCCAGTAGAACTCGTACTTTGGCCCAGCGTTCATGATCGGGCACTCGGACGGCGTACAGAACTCGGAGATGGTGCCGTACAGCATGTTGACGTGGTTGAAAAAGTCAACAACTGTAGAGAGTTAGTACGCCTTAATGTGAATATAGTAACTCACCATGCACTGCGATCCACTCCTGCAGGTCCTCACCCTCGGGGAGCTGGACTGCCGTGCGGAGGTTGCCCGCGCCCTGCTGTCAGTTTGCCTCCCGAGCTTCAAACGTACGAGAGTCTGCTGGGCATACTGCTTGAGCTGCCACTGCTTGGTGCCCTCAGCGACCTTCTTGGGCTTGAATGCTAGACGTGTCAGATGTGGACAAAGTGTTTTGGTCGGTATGCGAAGCCGGGAGGCAACAAGTGGGGCAAGCGGTGCCAGAGCAAGCGGGGCCGCAGCGGCGCTGAAATCAAAACTCACTCCTGGACTGGTTGGACTTGCTGCTGAGTGTGAGCAATGTGTCCGATGAGGCAAAGTTGACAGTGACGCTTACAGGTTAAAAAGAGTGGCCATTGTGGTGGTATGCAAGAGATAGTGGGTGATGAATGAGAGAGGAGAGAGACGAGGGTTGGAAGAATGTGAATGTTGTTGTTGATCGACCCCCAAGCGCAGGCTGGTCGCTGCAGCGTCCCTTCTCCCGCGACGCGGCAGGCTGGCTACGCGACGCTTAATTGTCCCACCCATTTTGTGGTCTGGAGACCCCACGCGTCCATTTCCGGTCATGATCTCAAATACGCGTGTTGGCCAGCCAAACATTTCGCGTCAACACTTATCGCATCACCACCATCATGTCCACCCTCGCCACTGCAGACCTCGGCCCATCAGACGATGAGGCTGATGACGACTTTGTCCCCTCCGGTCCCAAGCCAAAGCGCCCCAAGGGCAAGGGTAGCAAACGTCCCCGGTCGGGATCCCAGAGCAGTTCCGGCTCCGGCTCGTCCGACGACGATGGCGACGACGACGATGTCAACGACGAAGTGAAGCGTCTCAGGGCTGAGAGGGAAGAGGCATTGGCTGCTGAGAGGAAGCAGCGCGCCGCAGACGCGTTCCGCGCCATGCAGGAGGAGGCTAGGACACCAGCGCCCAAGGTGGATTCGCCGGCGGCGAACAAGGACGAGGTTGAGATGGTCGAGGTCAAGCGACCAAGGAGGTTTGCTGGCGAGACAATCTAGTGGGTTCTCCCTGGCTTGTTGTTCGGGTTCATTCCGATACTGACCCCGTCAGCGAGACTGTTCGACTGCCAAAGGGCGACCCCGAGGCAATCAAGTACCTTGCTCAACAGGCCGCCGAGGCCAAACCGCAAGAAACTGCCCCAACTCCGCAGGCTGCCGAGACCTCTGCAGCGGCTCCTGAGCCCACTGCTACCACTATCAGCTCTGCCGATGCCTCTATCGCCCCCTCTACAGCTATTGCCGCTCCGATAGCTGCCCCACCGCGGAGAGGACCACCAATGCGCAAGCGCCCGCGTCAGTCACTCGAGGCCATGGCTGCAGCCATCGACAAGGGCAAGAAGATGACCACGCTTGAAAAGGTTCGTCCAGCTTACATACATAGTTTCCTCAAGCTGACAATTGCTAGTCACAAATGGACTGGAACTCGCACATGGCCACCGAGACCAAGCTCGCGGACGAGGTGGCGCAGCACAGGAGAGGCGGAGGATACCTCGAGAAGCAGGCGTTCCTTGAACGCGTAGGCGAGCGTCGGTCTATGGGCCCCGGTGGCGGGTCGACTTCTACGTCTAGGAGAGGGTAGAAGACATAGGACGACGGAGTGGGCGAATCGTATGAGTATTAGATCAAAATGTATCATAGAGTGCGAAGTCCCTGTTGACTCAGTTCGCGAAGGTCAGTGGAGAGTTGGGCTGCGCAGAAGCAAGCACATCTCGTATGCAGATGAGTGATGCATGGCTAGTAGTGGTACAGTTCCGTCCGTCTGTCACGTCCCTCTCTCCAACTCCTTTCTCGTTGTCGCTCAGCGCTTGGGAGCACCAGCATCCTGGGCGTCGATCCAAACACCCTGCTTGTCAGTCGTTGGTTCTAGCCTTGCCTTGCCTTCGTTCGTTCCCCCTCTCCTCACGTCCTCCCCTCCCCTCACTCACCTTCAGCTCAACCAACTGCTCCATTGTCTGCGCCTGGGCATCATCGACGCGCGCAACAGTCTCCTCGGAGACACTGGGCGAGTTGATCCAACGACGTACTCCAGCCAGGTCCTCGGCGGTCAGGTTGTACTGCTGGTAGTATGGCGTAGGGTCGGCTCCCGCGGGCAGAGTCTTCAGTGTGTCGAGCAAGTGGCCGAGCATCTGCGCTGTGACTGTGCCGGCCGGTGGAGTGGCGGAGGGGTTGGTGTACTCGTCGCGACGGGCGGCGAGGGTGCGCTGCGCGCGGACGGGCTGGCGGTGTCAGTATGCCTATGAGGACGGGGGTTCTGGGGTTGGAGGAGGTGTTTCTCTCAAGGAATGAGGCCGTCGTTGCAATGTCCAAGGGGCGACCGCTTGCAGCTCAACAACCACCTCGTGATGCTGCCATGCAAGCAAAGCATTCGATCTCAATCTCTGACGAATAGCATGCCGCCAATTTGTGGAGTTGTTGACATGGTATCCGTGGCCGTCCAAACGACACTCATCCCTTCACCAGCAACGTCTGCAGTACTTACAGCACGGACTAGCTTTTCAGCTCGGTTGAGGTCGACGGGACCCAACTGTTGGAGCTTGGCGAGGAACTGGGGGTCCATACCGTCCTTGAGAATGTCTGATTGTCAGCTGAATTGCAGAGCCGTGCTCAGCTCACTGGCGTCCTTCTCCCCGCTAAACTGGGGGCGAAGAGGATGCCTCTCCGGCAGATCCCGAGCCTGAGCAGGAGCCGGCCGCGATGGAGCAGCGCCAGCAGCACCATAATCGAAGGTACCCGTCGATTGGGCTGGCTGCTCGGAAGGAGGAGGAGGAGTAAACGCCTCGGGAGGGGGACGGGGAACTGCGGGCGACGGGTGTGTGGCACTGGCCACGTTCTTTGGAAGCTTGCGAGCTGCCTTTGATCCTGCCGAGCCCATTGTGGTCGATGTTGTTTTAGAGAGGTTGGGTGCCAAGTCCGATGACGCTCAAGCCAACAGTCATGGAAATCCCAAAGATGGAGGTTCTGAGGGCACACGTTTCTAATCGGATTAGCATCGGAAACAGAACCACGTGTTTGATGTAATGGCTGGCCATGGCTGGTTAACTATCCTTGGGTAAATGGCAATTGGGTGCCTGGCTGGGCGGTCTCGGCGCGTACGGGCGGTGCACCAAGTCGACGCTGGCTGGAATCGTCATCTCGACGTGGCTCCTTTTGTTGTTCCCATCTTTCTTCCATTCCATTCTACTCTCACCAACCCACTCTCCCTACCGTCCATCTCTTGAAGCAATGGATACCCCCCTGGCCGGTGAGCGCATCGCCGAGGAGAAGGCGTACACCAAGCGTTACATCGACTCGTTGGCGAACCGCAACATCGAGTACCCTACCGACTATGCTCCGCCTCTTGCCTCGCGTCCGCGCAAGATCCCCGCTGTCGATGCCCCAGTCTCGGCCCCACCTGACATGGATGTAGAGGAGGCTACTCCTCAAGGTGAGTGGTATCCGTGGCTGTTTACCTCGGTGTGCTGGTGATCCGTCGCCAGCCCGCACGACCGCAGCATCTTAATCCGCTTGACCAAGCTGTGCCTACATACTAACGGCACGTCTAGACGCTGCTGTCGCCCTGACCGTCAAGTCGCTCAAGCCCGCGCTCACGATCAACGTCTCGGCCCACCTCTCGGACAGCGTCGCGGACCTCAAGGCGCTTGTGGCCGCTCAGGCTGGTGCTCCTCCGGCGGACGCCCAGCGTCTTCTGCTCAAGGGCAAGGCTCTGGCCGATGCCAAGCTTTTGAAGGAGTACGACCTTGCCGACGGCGCCGTGGTCCACCTCATGATCAAGCCTGGTGCCATTGCCTCTCCCCCTGCCCCTGCCCCTGCCCCGGCTGCGCCTGTCGCCGTTGACGCCGCCGCCGCCGCCGCCGATGTTGCTCCCCCACCCTCCAGCCTCTCGGCTACGCCCGTCAGCCGCCACGGCCACCAGCGCACCCCCTCGCTTACCATCACCACCCCGCAGGAAGGCGCGTCGCCGACCGAGGTGCCTTCCGAGTACGCGTTCACGTCCAACTCGGAGCTCGCTTCGCCCGTCTCGAGCAGGGCGTTCCACGAGACGGCGTCCAACCCCGAGTTCTGGACCAAGGTGTTCCAGCTCTGCGAGAGCGAGTTTGCCCACGAAGACGACGCGCGGACCGTGTTTGACACGTTCCTCGTCGCCATGAAGGGTCGTCTGAGTGCGAGCGAGTCGGCCAAGATCCGCGACGTTGTCGGTGTTGCTGGTGAGTTGAAAGGGCAAATGGCCCGCTTCTGACACATTCGATTTGCCTGAGCTGACTCGGGTTTCAGGCATGGGCGGTGGTACGTAGATATAGGTCAGAAGAAGAAAGACAGTTCCGTGGTCCTTGTACACTAGCTATGCATGAGTTCTATCTGGCTACAACGAGAATGCCCTATGTTACGCGGGAGAGGGTATTTGCGAGGGCGGGGTTTTGATGGGTGTTTTGATGGTAATGTGCGACTGAGGGTATCCGTTTGGTGTTACCGACATGGGGTTTAGAACCGCAGCGTCTGCTTCCCGCGATATCCGCCTTCCACGCCGCTGGCACCAAAGCCGTCTCCACCCACTTCGAGGTCGAAGTACTCGTTGCGCTTGGGGGCGCCGTCGGACCGGGATTCGCCTGCGGTGCCATTGTTGGCCTCCTCCTCGTGCTCTTCCTGCTTGCGCTCCTCCGACTCGATTAGGCCTTGCAGGTCCGGTGGAATCTCCTGCATCTGCACACTTGGTGCTCCGTTGAGGTACCGCAACTTTTCGCGGATGGAGACACGGATGCGTTCCAGCGACTGGCGGGTATTCTGGTTCTGGATGCGACCAGACAGAGGTGGATGCAGCGAGTAGTCAGGGCCAAAGAAGTCGTAATAGTTGTTTGGCGGAAGAGCGTTGGGGAGCTCAACGCCAGCGAGCACACCCGTCTCGTAAGCCCAGCAACGGGCCACGGACGATTGACGATATCCTCCTCCGCCGAGTGTCAATAGCGGGAGACCAAACGTCTTGATGAAGCGAACGCACTCGCCGTGCGCGGCGATCGACAGGTTGAACGTTCCCAAACGGTCGCAACCGAGCGAGTCGGCACCGCATTGCAGAACAATGGCACTGGGGCGGAACGTTGTAATCGTAGGCTCCATGACCGACTTGAAGAGAGAGATATAGCTCTCATCATCAATGCCGTCCTGGAGGGGCACGTTGAGCGCAAAGTGCTTGCCAAGGTTGGCACCAATCTCGCTCAAGTTACCGGTACCGGGGAAGAAGTCGACGGCGTACTTGTGGAATGACACTGTGAGGACGCGGTTCGACAAGTAGAAGGCCTCTTGCACGCCGTCGCCGTGGTGGATGTCAATGTCGATGTAGAGCACTCGAGGGTGGTATCGCAGCAGCTCGAGGATACCGAGCACGATGTCGTTGACGTAGCAGAATCCACTCGCCTCGCCTTTCTTGGCGTGGTGCAGACCGCCGCTCCAGTTGATCGCAATGTCCGTCTCGCCCTGCGACAGCTTGCGTGCTGCCGCCAGACTTCCACCAGCATACTGCTTGCAAAAGGTGAACAGGTCGTGGAAGATCGGGCAGTCGTCACCAATGTTGTACATGGTGTAGTCCTTGGTGAGCTGCTGCGCGTTTCGAGGAGTGACACTGGCGTCAGTTCAGACAGAGATCGTTGGAGCTCACCGCTTCAGAAAGTCGACGTAGTCTGCGTCATGGAACTCGCGCAGCTCATCCTCTGTGGCCCTGGGAGGGTTGTATATTGACATCTTCTCGTGCAGACCATATCCCAGCACCAGATTGTTGGTAAGCTCAAGGCGATGTGGGCGCATTGGATGCCTTTCCTGGGCGACGTAAGTGTGGGTTGGCCAACGGGGGCAAGGTTCGCTTTTCAATGCTCACGCCGTAGTGGTAGTTGCCAACATCCTTGGGATGGTAGTACGAGACCTTTGGCGCCGAGTGCTCCTGCAATAGTTAGCGTATAGACACGGGTGTTTCTTGATCCAACCGCACCTGGATGCGCGCGCTCTCGGCCTGGGGGATGTGCAGGTATCGCCGGTCAAAGAAGAACGGGCTATCGGAAAAAGTGGGGTAATCCACGAGCGCTGACATGTTGACGGGGGTCTTATCGGGAGCAGCTGTGTGCCATTGACGGTCCCTTTGTCGTCGTGGGGGAGGCTGCCGTGGGGTATATAGCGGATGGATGGGTGACTAATGCTTTGGAGACGACGAGGAGATGGGTCGCGGCAAAAGGTGTGTCGAGAATGGACGGTTGGGTGGCGATTCGATGAAACGGAAGCAAATGGCCATGGAGGATCGCGGTCGTCGGTCACGTGATCTTCTGGCGGTCAGAGCCGGCCATTGGCCCCAGACTCGCCGGGCCACCGGGTATGAGAGGCGTCCCAACCCTTCGTCCATCCATCCATCGCTCTCTTCACCTCCCCTCTCCGCGTGTATCCATCTCTCGGCCCCTATGGATAGCACGCGCGCAGTAGTGCACCAGCTTAGCCATTCCCACTCTCCTCCACAAGGGAGTGGGGCGGCTTCCCAACAGGCCGACCCATACTCGCGCCTCGAGCCGGAAAGCGCATCCCAGGCCCAAATCCGTAAGCTAACCTACACACCTGCGTGGGAGCTAACCAGCAGTTAGATCACATCAGCGTGATACGGCGCAGGTGTCGCGCTTGACAGAACTCGTGTCGGAGCTTCTGCGACACATGGGCGGTGAGTAGCGACCTGTCACAGATCGTACCTCCTCTGGCGAACGGAGCGCTGACAGCTAGGCACTCGCTGGCTTGCCCATAGGCAGACATTTGTCGACCTTGCAGTCCGTGCAGTTTACCTCTTCCTCACCTTTGGTCGCGGTCGTCAGACCCTTGGCGAGGAATACACGGACGTGCTCCCTAATGTGCTCTCGTACAAGCTGCCGCCATCCCGGAGGGTGCGTCCATCGGTCTTTCTGCGAGCATTTGCTGACGACCAGCGTCGATTCCTCACCATATTCCTACTCCTTCTTCCCTCGGCACTGACATCTCCGTCTGCCCTGCACTATATGCGGGGACAGCCTGGAGATGACTCCCGGTGGGGCCGCGCAAAGAGGCGCATCGTGTCCTTCCTGGAGTCGCCTGTGGGTCAGAGCTTGCCCGAGATTCACCTCGTGCTCTTCATGTTCAGCGGCAAGTTCTACGAGGTCGCACGCCGACTCACTGGCGTTGGTTACGTGAGTTAAGCTCACGCAATTGTTGTAACTGACAGGCAGATCTCCGACCTGCCTCCCCGTCCACCAGAGGCGCGTGCCCCGTCATACGAGCCTCTCGGCTTTATCATGGCTCTCCCCCTTCTCTACCGCTTGTTCCCTTGGCGCGGCGGGGATTCGCCTTCCCCGTCGACGACAGTTGCCGCGATCTTGCCCAAGGAAAAGACGGATGTGGTGCCGTCGTCCGTCGCTGCACCAGAGGACTCTGTCGTTGTGACGGCGGAGACCGACTATGACGCCAAAAACACATACCTCACCGCCGAGGCCCTCGAGCTCGACGAACGTCAGTGCACTCTCTGCCTGGAGCCGCGTGGCACAGGTGAGGGTTCGGGCGGCACTGTTGCCGTCACTGAGTGTGGGCACATCTTCTGCTGGGGCTGCCTTGGCGGTCTTGACAAGATGGAGTGCCCGCTCTGTCGCCAGGCGCTGCGCATGGAGCGACTTGTGGCCGCATACAACCTGTAGATGGATGCTAGGAGATACCCCTTGGACTTCAGACGTTCAGACACAACGAGAACGTGTTACCTGGCCATACCTGGAGGATTGGCTGAAACGGGCAAACTGCCGAGACTGGTCAGGCTCACCGGATGACGCCACCGCAATGTTGGAGCATCCGATGTCCCGTCCACCTGGACGCTAATGCTTTGTCGATGTCAGGCGAGCTTGCCACAGGGACTACCCCGTGGGTGGTGTATTGCAGTATCATTGAACGGAGTGCAAGACGTGCATTGGCGTCCTGATGTCGAGCCTGATGTCTGTGAGCCGTGTCCATCAACCCCAGTTTGTTGACATTGGGCGCACAGACCCACGGGCCACCGGCTTGACCGCGCAGACGCCACGAACCCCACGCTGCTTCTTCGAGCCAAACATTCGTCACATCACTCCCCTCTTTTCCTTCCACTACCACCTCTTTCACCACCCAAACGCGACTGTTCTTGCCAAGCAAAACGTTCACGCCGCGGCCCGGCCACCACTTCTCGGCATCTCCTCGCATTCAGACCAATGCGGGTGGTGCCGTTCCCCAAGCCCGTACTCCGGAGTAGGCTCTTCGCCGACTATCCAGAGCTCGCAACCCTCAACCGCGACTGCGGCGGCGTCCTCCTCCCCATCAGCATGCAAGTGCTTGATGCTTGTCTCAGAATGGCATCTGTTGTCGATATGGCGGCCGACGCGACTCCAAAGGAGAAAGAACAGGTACATGCGTGGATCGACGAGCTCGATCTGGACAATAAGAGTGAGTGGGAGATGATCGTGGTGATCAGTTGTGGACAAGAGGTGTAAAGGTCCAGAGTTCCTTGTCGTCTATGACATTCTTTTGTCCGTTTGTGATACCGTGCTGACATCCTTTGGCAGGACGGCGATATCCGATCAGTCGAGACGACATCAGTGACATGGCCGGCCCGAGTGCCTCGCCAGAGCGTGATCGCGACGGAGACGGCCTGAGAAACCCTCTGTCTCCTACCATGTACTCGGCCTCGGACCGCGGCGAGGGTACTTCAGAGGGATACAGCGCCATCAGTGCAGTACAGCTGGACGACTTGAAGCGGGACATGACCCATAGCCTCAAGCGTGAGCTGGCACATTTGCGAGGCGAGATGCGTCGTGACTTTGACGCCTTTCTCGTAAATCAGAGGTACGTTGCCTAGTCTGAGTTACCGCAGCGTGCGCTAATGTTACACGCAGTCACACCAAGCCCCGGCTTACTCCGTCGGTTGAGGAAGATGAGGAGCCAGGCTTGCCTGACATTGTGCCAGCCAGCATCCGTCAAGCTCAACCCTCCAACGTGCCAGTTGCAGGTCCCAGCTCCAATCGGGCGCAATCGGCCGACAGGCCACTATCACAACCGGTGGCGAGGCGTTGGCGGTACGTGCTGACCTTTCGGGTCTCTACTGACGACCACAGACAACAGAATGACCTACACGATCCATCATGGACTCCTCGGATCAGTGAATCCGCCAACGACAGCCGCGCAGTCTCATCGCGCGGCCTACCACACACTCCTCCGCAGGAACACCCCGCGCTACCTACTCTGCAATCTCCCTTCTCGCCACGACGGAGCTCGTTCGTGCCACCCCAATCGTACCAGCCTCCGTCATCACAACCTCCCCCACCAACGCAACCTCAATCTCAGTATCCGCATCTTCCTCCTTCTGGCGAGGCCCAGCAGTACAACACCGCAGTGTCACTTCAACAAGGGCAGCACTATCCGGCGCCAAATCCTGAGCCCCCATTGTCGCCGGAACAGCGATTTGAACAGCAGTACGCAAAGTATGCCGCCCAGTTGCAGTCGTCCCAGCAACCCCAACAACCCTCTCATGTGACGCCTCAACGGCAGTACACCTCTCCTCCACCGCCTCAGCAACAATATCCTTCCCCCTTACCTCTGCAGCAGCAGTACACTTCCCCCCCACCGCCTCAACAGCAACACTCTGCATCCTTGTCGCCAGAGCAACGGTTTGAGCAGCAGTATGCTCAGTATGCCGCTCAAATCCAGGCAAAGCAGCGGAACCCATCCCCGATACCACCTCCGCAGCAGTACCAGCAGACCCACCAGCAGCCACAGCCACAGCAGCAGTATCTGCCGTCGCCAGTGTCTCCTCCGCGGTCTTCGCCTATGCCTGTGCCACCAGGACCGGGTCCTCCCTCTGTCCCGCCTCCGCCTCAGCTTCCATCGCACTACCCTCCAGGACCCCCACAGCAGGCAGGGCGGACACCTGTCCCCACCTCTTCCTTTCCGCAGAACTCGTTTCCGCAAAACGCTAGGCCGACAAGCTTGGTCCCCAACATTCCGACCAGCTCGTTCCCAAATCGGTCATTCCCGCCTCCGACCTCTCCATCAGCCTCGAGCGCCTCGAGCTTGTACCCTTCGGGCTCGTTCCCAACGAGCTCATTCGGTTCCGCCATGGCGACAGTCGCCACATCCTCAGCGCCACTCAGGTCGCCATCTTGGCAACCCCCCGGTGCACTACCGGCAAGTTCATTCGCGTCCAGTTCCACCCCCATGAGCGCATACCCTTTCACGACCTCCCCCAAGAGCTACACGCCCAACAGCTCGAGGTCTGTGCACGGTTTCGTGCCCCCGGTCCAGTCCCAGCTGCAGCCGCGGCAACAGCCGTCACGACAACGTCAGCGGTTGCAGACGGGCCCGCAGGTCCCGCCCAAGCTGGGTGGCCGCCTGGCCCCACCAGCAGATACCGGTGGCACCAGTACGCCCCTGCCCGGCAACTTGCCGTGGCCAAAGGACTTCCAAAAGTTCTTTGCACAGGAAGAAGCGGCGCATGCAGGCGTCGTGAAGACTCTGGGTGTGCGGCCGCCGTTGCGGTGAGTCGCAGAAGGCGCCCGTTTAGATGGTGGCTTTCAGGGGGTTTGGGGGAACGAACGGCAAAATATTAGATGGAAGGTTAGAAGTTGAAGTTGTAGGTCTCAGTGGCTCGTAGATGTTGCAAGATGTACAACAGTAGGACGTCAAGGGTATGCATAGCCTTTGCGTGTGAGTTATCTTACCGGTAGGCGGCGCAGAAGGCTGGCCCAGCAGCAACGGGATGCAGATACACTGTATTGTGCCAGATTCTACTACCTTCGCTTTTTGCCGTGTGTCTTTCGACCGCTTGATCACTCCGGGCCACATTCGCCCTCCTGGGTCAATATCGTCCCAACTAAACAGCCTACACTGTTCCTCTCCATCCTCTGAAGCATACCACATGCTTTGCATCTCCTCCAGATGCTTCAGAGACGAGAAAAACGAGAATCCCCGCGAACGCGCCCCATTCTCCTCCGCGTCTTTCATCAGTTCTTGATCGTATAACGGTTAGTATGCTCGCTTGTCACTACAACTCGCGGGAGATCGGAGTTCGATTCTCCGTCAGGAAGCTTGACTGGCTCTCGCAACAGCGAGAGAACAGGTTGTCATCTCAGGTTGGCAGCCTGAACCTTTTTTGTGGCTGAGGGCAAAGGGCGGGGATTGCGCGGGGAACCTGGAGGTGAGATGTTGGACGGCCTGTGCAGACGCAGTTGGGACTTGCAGAGTGCTTTCTCCCTCTCTGCGTGACCTCCCTTGCACTTCTCCGTTCACTGCAGTTGGCAGCAACGACGGTACCGCACAGGTTCCCTCGTCAGTCCACGATGCTCATATCGCCGCGGCCGTGGTGGACGACCTCCACCGGGGTGCCCCACTGGGCTAATTTAATAATTGCATTACGAAAAGTCCATTAGCAAAAGTGGTTGACCATTTAATTGCCGGACGGAACTTAGCCGACTTCGGCTCAACTTCAGTTACCCGGGTACGCGCTCGTTACAACATCGGCACACAGCAGGAGTATCGTTTGTTGTTCGTCTCACTACTCTCCTCATCTCTTGTCCTCGACGACTCCTTCCCTTCTCATTAACACTTCCCAAAATGTCCCACGCCATCAAGCGCGCTGCCGTCGTTGGCGCTGGCCAGATGGGCCTCGGTATTGCGTGAGTCTTGGCAATGACTCACCATGTGCCCCGGCTGTGACTTGCTTCGCGTTGCCAGCCGTTCCACATGCTCCTTCCTGCCCCGAGTGCTAACAACACACCAGCTACGTTGCCGCCCTGCACGCCAAGATCCCCGTGTCGCTGCACGACCCCTCGGAGAAGGTCATGTCCAAGTCGCTTACGCTCCTGGACAAGCTGCTCGACCGCGACGTGAACAAGCGTGGTCTCCCCAAGGACGAGGCCGAGGCTGCCCGTGCGCGCATCACCAACTTCAAGGGTGACGGTACTGGAGAGGGTGGTGCCGACCTTATTAGCAAGGACACTGACCTGGTCATTGAGGTGAGTCGTGCGTGTGGTGCGTGGTGGTGGTGGGACAGATGGCAACCGCGGTACACCATCTGGTTTATGGTTTCCGCACCCAGCTGCACTGCACACGCTTCTCCGGCCCCAGCTAACCCACAGGCCATCCCCGAGATCCCCGCGCTCAAGGACGGCCTCTTCAGCCGCCTCGGCGCGCTCCTCCCGCCTCCCGCGATTCTGGGCTCGAACACTTCCTCAATCTCGCTCACGCGCATCGCCGGCGCGGCCACGCAGACGGGCGACGGCGGTGCCTCGTCGCAGCGTGTGGTGGGTATCCACTTCTTCAACCCCGTCCCGCAGATGCGTCTCGTGGAGATTATCCCGGCCCTGCAGACCAGCGACGAGACGCTGGCGCGCGCGCGCGCGTTTGGCTCGGCGTGCGGCAAGGAGGTGACGCAGTCGCGCGACGCGCCGGGCTTCATCGCCAACGCGATCCTCATGCCCATGATCAACGAGGCGGTCATGCTCCTCGAGCGCGGCGTGGCGACCAAGGAGGACATTGACACCACGTTCCGCCTCGGCATGGGCCACCCCATGGGCCCGCTCGCCCTCGCCGACCTCATCGGCCTGGATACCTGCCTCGCCATCCAAAAGGTCCTCGCGACCGAGAACGGCGACACGAAGTACCGCCCCGCCACGCTCCTCCAGCGCATGGTCGATGCCGGGTGGTACGGCAAAAAGTCCGGCAAGGGCTTTTACGAGTACAAGTAAAAAACAACATCTTGGTAGATGGTAGAGACAAGGAAGGGGTTGGTCGCCCTGCTGTGGTTATTGGGCATAAGCCCTGGCCTGTGGCCTGCCGACAAGACACCCATGCATGCGACGATGAAGGTTGCACAGTGATGGTACACAGTGGCTCACAACTGGACCTGGAGATCTCCTCCTCGCCTCGCGAACTGGCCCTCCCTGGCCCATGTTCGCGCTCCAGTCCATCCCCCCGTGCTCACACTCCTCAAAAGCACATCTCTCGCTCCATTGAGCTCTCTCGATCTCTCAATCTCTCTCCTCCTCCTCTCCTCTCAGCCGGCCCGCCGTGTCGAGAAAAAAAATAATGTTTGTTTTTAATCGTCCCCCTTCTATGGCGCCGCGCCATCCGCCGCCGCCGCGCTCTCGGCAGCCTTTGCGGGCTCGCCGACGTCCACACCCAGCTGGCCAAAGCTCTTGGCCAAGGACTCGACCTTGCTGCCGTCTGCTGGCAAGGGCGGTACCTGGGGCGAGGGCGAGAGCAGTGTGCTGGGGCTGATGAACGCCTCGGTGTTGTTCTTGGTGCCCATACCAGCCGATCCGCTGGCGCTGTTGGGGTGCAGCGAGGTCGCCAGAACAGGCGGGGAGAAGGGGGCAAACGCCGGCAGGGGGCTGGCGGGCTCGTGCTCGTTGGCCGAGTGCGAGAGGTGCAGCTGGCTAGAGGGCATGGACAGGTCACGGTTGCCCGAGACAACGCGGCCGCGAGCCGAGGGGGCATCACCGCCTGCGTGGCCCTGCCCGGCGCCGTACGTCGACGGGCCGGCGGGGTGTGCGCTGGTAGGACCGCCAGGAGCGCCAAACGCGCCTCCTCGTTGCGACTCGTATCCAGTCGACCACTGTGGTGCGCCCGCACCGGCACCACGTCCGATCTCCAGCTGAGCGTACAGGCGCGACGGCGACAGTGGGGCCGAGACGGTGCCGACCGCGTTGGGGTTGTCGTACGACGTGGTCCCCCGGCGACCAGAGTTGGAACGCGAGTTGTTGGCCTCGAGAGGCGACGGGCGGTGCAGGGGAACAGACACGGGGGCGACGTCGCGTCCGCGGCTGTTAAAGTCTGGGATGGACGCCTCGTTGAAGCCGCCAAGACCCAGGCCGCCGCCGGCAGCAGCGGCGTGCGACTGGAGCCACCTCTCGTCGTTGGACATGTCCGAACCGGCGGCGCTAGAGCCAGGTCCAGTGTCGCTTTGCCGTCCGCGGCGAGCGTGCGAGGGGCCGTCGTTGACGGGCGACGGGCCGTTGTGCGGGGGTGCATGACGCTCATGACGCTCATAGCCGTCGCGGCCACCACCCTGGTAGCGGTCGTGGGGCTGCTGCGACTGACTCCTCCAGCCGGGGGTGCTGCCGCTGTTAAACGGGGCGCGGACGTTGAGGGTACGGGGAGCAGGCGACGCGGAGCGTGGTGCGCGGAGGAGCTCGTCGTCGCGCTCGCGACACAACTCGGCGAGGGCGAGGACGGCGCGCTCGGGGCGCTGGGTGAGGATACGCGTGGCACGCATAAACTCGCCACGGATGGTGTACAGGCCGTCCTTGGTGACGGTACGCGCAACGTTGTATGTAATCTCGAACGGGTCCTCGATACAGAGACGGTTGCGGTCGCGAGCCATCTCGTTGAGGGCCGCCGACGTCAATGTCGTTGGTCCAGCCCTTGCTCTCCTTGGTCAGGGGGCCTGCGCGGAGCGACAGGACCATGGTGTTGAACTGGAAGTCGTGGCTAAAGTAGCGGAAAAAGTCGATCAAAAGCTCGCCAACGCTCTCAAAGTTGACAGACGACCATTCTTGGCGGAGCATCTCGACGTCGTCGAAAAAGTAGACGTTGCGGCCCTCGAGCATCATCTCCTCCTCGGTGATGGGGCGGACAGGTGCGATGCGTTGCAAGTTGGGCAGCACAGGCGGCTGCTTGACATGCACCAGGAAGTACAGCACCATGAGGGTGATGCCGTCTGTAAATGGTTTTAGCGTTCACTCTCCCCACCACAAGCATGTGCCACACAACTCACAAGACGACAGAGTGCCACGGTACGGCGAGTTGATCCTGCGACGCTTGGCCCAGACCTTGAGGAAAAGGACGAGGGTGCGGACACGCGCAGGGTCAATGGTCGCATAGGTGAGGAGCAGACGAGTGTTCTCGATCGCTAGCCTGTTCTCAATGCCAATGTCGCATGCAATGCCTGGGTAAAAGCAAGTGGTCAGCACACACTTTTGAAATTTGGGAGAGAGGGCATTTTGGGTCGTTTCCGCGCCCGACTTGGGGATTTCAGGAACAAACGAAGCAGAGAAGCACGACGACAAGACGCGGCTGCCAGGACGCGCGACTTGGGCATGTGCCCAGTGGCTAGTGCCGGCCCGCCCGCGCTCGGCACCGGCCAATTTGGCAAAGCACACAGCCAGCGCAGCGCTGGCATCACCATCACCGTGCTGCTGCTGCCGCTGCTGCAGCCTCACAAAAACTCACCATATGGGAGGCCGGGGGACGCAGCGAGGTTGAGCTTGATGATCGGTATGCGCGCCTTGGGCAGGGGCTTGACGTCAAAGTTGGTTTCCTGGACAAAATTAGTTTCTTTCTGGACCCTCACGACGGCGCGCTCTCGTCGCTGCTCAGCTCACCCTTTCGAGGAGGTCGCCGATCATCTGGACAAACGTCGAGGCATCGAGGCCCGCGTCCGGGTCGTCGATGAGGACCACGAGGTCCATGTCTGGTTGAAGATGTGAGCAGGTTGCGATTGATGGAACGAGGTCTCGAGAGGCCGCGATGTGCTACGTACCCGAATTCCGCAGACCAAACGAGTTGCAGCTGCTGCCAAAGGACAGCAAACGGGAGCTGGGCTCAATCGTCTTGATGAGCTTCTCAATGAGCGTGCGCACCCTTTGGATGTCAGCAAAAGAAAGAGGCAATTCACAGAACGCTCATGCGTGTGGTTTGCACCTCTGAGCGGTGACCGGACAGCGCCGATCGCGCACAAAGGTGACTGTACCCCGTCTGGAGCTACTCACTCCTCTTTGATGGTGAGCTCCTCGCTCGTGGGGAGGAGCGGGAGGACAAAGGAGAAGAGCGACGTCGAGAGGTCGCTCAGGAAGCGACGGTGGAGGACGCCGGGATGCATGTTGGGCAAAGGCGCTGGGGTGTGGTGGTGGTGCTCGCCGATGGACGTCGGAAAGGGGGGAGGGGCGGGGGGGGCACAAGGTGCAGCAGCGGGGAGAACGCTGGAGCTAAAGCTTGCACGCAGGCGTAAACTGTAGCTGTAGCTTTAGGCAGCTGCTTTTAGGGATGGCTGCAGGAGGGGTGTGAGCTGGCGGCGTCCTATGCAGGTGACAGTGGACGTGACGGGTATGTGTGCGCGACGGGATGGAGTTGGAAAGGAATGAGGTTCAAAGGACGGGCGACGGGGGGAGGGGGAGGGGGCACGCGCGTGCAGCGGCGCGGCGGCACGCGGCACACGCTGCTGCACGATTTTCGCCCGCACCGCCCAATGTACAACGAACATGAGTGGCTCGACTGGCTCCCAAGCTTTTAGGAACCACATGTGCCAGGCCATGCACCATGGACAGCTTTGGGTGTACACAGTCTACCTGTAGCATGGCATGTGCAGGCCACTTGCACGACGGCGCAACAATGGTGCGTTGGCCGTAACCCGCGACGAAAACTCACCTGGCGCAAAAGCGCGTTCTGGGCGGCGTACAGCTAAAGGACCGGTGGCGCCTTTTGACTTTTGGTGAGAGCTGAACGCGGGGACCGTCGGCGGCGCTGGGGGGTGGAGGAGAGGGGAGGGAGGGAGTGCGCCGGAACGACTGTGGTGCGTGCGAGCTGTTGACGTGCGGGGATGAGTCGAGCGTCAAACCGTGAGTGTTTGGGTATGCTACGGACGGCAGAGGGAGACTTTGTGGAGAGATCTCCACCGTTGTTCTGTGTGTTCCTTCCTGCGGCCGCCACTTTTGTAATTATTGGGCAACCAGGGGCGCATTAGAAAAAGTCCAGCGTGCCAGCGTGGGAGAGTAATCGAAAGCGGGCTAATCCTAAGCCGGTGGCCTGTGGAACGTGGAAACGGCATCCTAAAATTGAAACCCATCTCGCTCGCACCCGTTTTCTAATGTCCGACGATGTTGTAAACCCTGTCGCGCCTGTCGCGGCCTGTCCTCCTGTCCTGCAAATTCCCCCGCCTAGCCTATACCCCGCACGCCTGGCTGGCAGCGGGCAGAGCATTCATGATCCAGTCCCATTCATCTATACGCCGTGTTTATGCAGAAGGGGGTCATACCAAAAAAGGGGAGGGGGAATAGCTCTAAGTGCACGAATAAAAAGTCCATGTGCCTACAAAGAATAGTTCGAGTCGTCCAATCTTTCTTTTTAAAGAGCTTGGGAGGGGGATGTCGTGCCACGGGGGTTGGCGGTAACATTAAAAGTCGTGCGAGGGGGGTAGTAGTGGGCGTTGGGTAGTAGACTTGCGACAGTGACGTGGTGTGGTTTTGGAATAGCAAAGACTGCTGGGTATGATGGTGCTTATGCGCCGCGAGCACGGTCCGAGCCAGAAAGGAGCGACTCGTACAGTCCGCCTGCCGACGTTTCGTTGCGCAGCTGGATCATGTAGATGATACCAGTGCGCATTCCACGGTCGGAAATCTCGACGGCGACTCCGGTACGGCCTACACGCTCGACGCCGTCGGTGAGCACAATGGTCGAGATGAGCATGGCCTTGCCCGAGCTGTTCTCGACCACCAGCTGCTTGACGTTGCGCGCCTTTTCGACATAGAGCTTGAGCTTGCCCTGGCCGAGCGACTTCCACTGGCCGTGACCCTGTTGGAGGAACACCTTGCACTTCATCTGCGCAGAGATGACCGCGGGGCCGGTGAGCTGCGTGACCTCCTCTTGGACGGGAGATGCAGGCGGCGAAATGTCGTCCTCGTCGTATCCGCCTCCGCCAACGGGGCTCATGATGGACGGCGAGGTCGAGGCCGAATACTGCGAAATGGCAACCAAGCGCGCCGACGGCATATCGGGCGCGCGGAGGGAAAGCGGTTCGGCCGATCGCGAACGAGGAGGCTGCGACATGTGCTGCTCGCTGGATCCAGCGGGGTAGACTCCCGTGTCTGAATAGTTGGTGACCGCCCGGGCGTGTGGTGGGAGCGGCGGGAGGTCGTTTCTCATCGTACCACCAGGCCCCCAGTAAGACCAGGGCCAGGGCCTTGACCAGGGCGCCCGGGCATGGGGTGCTGGACAGGCTGGCGCTGAGCTTGAGGTTGGTACATGTGGTGGCCGTGATGGCTTCCAGATGGCGGAACTGGCAGCGAGCCGGAAGAATGAATGGACGAGTGAGAGTCAACAGACATGGTTGCCGACATGGGGCTGCGTGGCATGCCTCCAGCCAGCGAAGGGTCGGACATGTTGCCCATAACGAGACCTGGAACGCCAGGCTGCGGCTGGCTCCGCGGGCCAGGCATCGCCTGCCCTTGCGCCACATGGCTTGGCATCCCAGAAGGACCTGATGAAGGTCCTCTGTGCAGGCTCGCGCCACGGGTTGGCGGACCAGGCTGCTGCTGTTGGGGCGGCTGTGGGGCCTGCTGCTGAGGCCACGTTTGTCCTGGCTCCAGAGACATTTTCCTCATCAGTGACACTGGAGGTTGCTGATACTGCTGCTGCTCCAGGTGCGGGCTGCCCATTGATTGTGGGCTGCCCATCGTTTGTCCTGGCTCGAGGGACGCTTTGCGGACAGGAAGTGGCCGTTGCTGTTGCTGCTGCTGCTGCTGCTGCTGCTGGTATTGCTGCTGATGTTGCTGGTATTGCTGCTGATATTGCTGCTGTTGCTGCTGCTGCTCGAGGTGCGGGCTCGAGTTTGCCGACGGACCGTTGGACAGCGGACTCAATGGGCTGGGGTAGCGCATGGGAGGGGCCCCAGCAAGCGGCGAGCGGCCTTCAACCGGTGACAAGAGCGGGGTTCCGCGCTGCGAACCTCCAGGAGTCAGCACAGCACCAACTTAGCTCACTCTATATATAGGTCGCCAAACTCACCAGTAGACGCAAACTCGACTGTGTCGGTGAGATTCTTCATGATTGTGTCGCGCTCAATCTCCGACTCGGCATGGAAGACAAACGTCTCCTTGCGCATCACGGTGACTGCGAGAACGTTGCTCTGCTGGCCCTCTACCACGGCGAGGTGTTTGCCCGCCAGCGGAGGGTAGTCCAGCCACATTTCAGGCATGGGCCCACCCTCTCCCACGCGGCCCGGCTGCTCCCGAGCCACCTGCTGCGCCTTGGCCGCCTTCTCGCTCGCCTCCATGCGGTCGGTGATGAGGAAGAGGTCGGTAAGGATGAAGATGTGTGCGCGGCGATGCACGATCTGCTGGCCGGTCGAGGACGGGGTAAAGTAGACCGTGACGTCGTGCGAGGAACGCAGCTGGCGGCTGTAGCTGAGCGACGCTGGGTTCATCTGCAATTTGCATTTCTATGACGGTCAGTTGGGACACCTTGTGCATGAATGAATGACTCACGCGTGGCTGCATGTTGAAGAGGTCAATGGTACGCTCAGTGTCAATCCGCAGCTCCAGGTCCTGGATGGGGGCAATAGGCGAAGACGGGCCGGTGTTGATGGTAATGTTTGGCGCACGTCCAGGCGACTGTGTGGTGATGCTGGAGGCGGGTGAGGTGGCCGAGGTGGGCGTGCTGTCGACGCGGCTGTTAAACCCAGAGAGGCTGTCTCAGTCAATACTGTTCCACGACCTCTGTTCGCGCTCATACTCACACTGACTGGGTCTCCACCGAGCTGTCGTGGGCCGAGCTGGTCTGGCTGGTGGCACGGGGCTTCTCGTTGGGCCAGCTCTGCTCGCGAGGACCCGAAGTGGCGACAGACGGCGTGGGTGGGACCGAAGAGTCATCCTCTGCCACATCAAACTCGAGCCTAGACTCGAGCTCTGCAAGCAGCGATTCGAGACGCTGGTTGGCAGTCTGCAGCAGCCGGTGGTCACTGCGGCCCTCGGTGGTGCTCTTGAGGAGACGCGCATAGAGCTTCCGGTAGTACCTCAGGCGGGTGTAAGGAAGGATGAAGAACGCGTCCAACGACCAGCGCTCAAGCGGTGGGGTGGGAGGGCATGTCCCAGACACGTCGTCGAGAATCTGGGGCAGCAGCGTGTTGCGTGTAACAGGCGGGAAAGAGTCGAATCCGGTCACGTAGATTGTAACGTAGCGTCCGTATGACGGTTCAAGGTCGTCGATCTGAGAAGCGGTTAGCATCGACAACGTGTGTGTGTGTGTGTGCTGGTCATGTCTCTCTCACCCATCGCATGAGCAGGTCGCCAAGTGCTTTCGGGTTCTGGGGGTTGTTCCCAATGTCCTTCAACCTCTAGAGAAAGATGTCAGTGGTGTCATTTGTGCGCGCAACACTCCGCTCCCGGGGTCGGGTCGATAAACGTGCGAAAACGTACCACTGCAAACGCGCGGTTGGCGCGGTACACGGCCTCGACGCAACGAAACATGGCGTCCAGCTTTGCGGGCGGAAGGTCCTTTCTGGACCATGCTGCTGCGACTCGCTGAGAGAGGACTTGTCAGTATGGCTGGTAGCGCAGTGGGTCTGTGGCCGTTACACGTACTCGAATGACCAGGGTCAACTGCTCGCCATACACCTTTTCGGTTTCAACCAAGTCGATGAGCGGGTTGCGCTTGGCGATGGACTCGGAGTCCTCCGAGACAGACCTCTGACGGTCGACGGGGATGTAAGGCTGCGGCATGGCCTGGGGCATAGGCATGGGCATGGGCATGTCGTGTGTGACTGGAGGTGGGCCATAGTTGCTGGGTTGAATGGTCCAGTCATCCCTTTGTGCAGAGCCCTGGTCGATGTGATCTGTGCGGGGCTGGGCACTGGGCGGTGCTGCAAAGTGCTGGGGATATGGTGGCCGCGAGGGTCCCGCGGCAGGCTGGTAAGACGCTGCCATTGCGGGTGCTTGCATGTGGGCCGGTGTGCAGCCGTGCAAGGTCGGCGGCGCGGGTGGTGGTGGGTGGGTGGGTGGAGTGGAGTGGTGGAGTGGAGGAGAACAGGAAACTAGTGTGTGGGGTGGGGGGGAACAAGAGACTAGAGAGAGACCACACTGGGTGTGGGTGTTGTGGGCGCGCAGAGGTGCCAGAGAGCCGGAACCAAAAAACGCGCCTGGAACACGGCGCGCAGGCGATGGCGTCAACACCTTGCACCTGTTTGTTGGGTCTCTCGTTTGGGGGCGCGGAGAGAACGGAGGCAGACGACAGCGACAGCGGCGGCGGCGGCGGCGGCAGGCCTGGAGCGTGCAAGCGGGCGCGCGGACGCGTGCGGTGGGTCCGAGAAAAGGGCCAAAATCCCACCACACCTGTTTCCTGTTGTTGCCTGTTGGAATTGGCGCGTGTTTGTATGGTATTTTGGGTTTTTTTTGCACACTTCCGCGGTATTGACCATCAGGTTTCGCCTGATCGCTAGTGATCGCTTGGTCGCTTGGTTGATCGCGGATACACCCAGGCCGCCGAACAAAGGGGAGGCATGGCGTGGAATGCCACTCGACAACGTTGCTGACAAGGGGGTGCTCGGTACACACACATGCACGCATGTACTGTACGCCTAGAGTGTCTCTGTGCATATGGTTGTTCATCGGCCTGTGTTATCGGGCTCTGTGTGTGCCAAACACGGCCGCCGTCCTCCCATCCCCTTTCCCGTTCTCCCCTACAGCGGCCCGCGCTCGAGGAAGAGATCTCCTGCCCGCCCACGTTGACATTAGAATTGGGGTCGAGCTGGTGGCCTCGTGTTTTTGCATGCATACATGCATGCCCAACAACGCACACCCCGGATCCCCGGACCGCATTGCCCCACAGTACCACCGTTGCCCGTTTCTTCTCTGTGTACCAGCAACCATTGTAGCATTGTGTATGTACGAGCAACAGTGTAGTGTGTACCGCTGTGTACCGTGTGTGTACCGCTGTCCTGAGTGGCGCCCAAAAAGGTAAAAGAAACCGGCAGGCCGGCGGCCGCGGCGCAGGACGTGGGGTACGTGGGACGCACGCGGCCCCTCCAGTGCGGGCACGAGGGCATATGCGATGCAGAGCGGTTACATGCTGCTGCTGGCTGCTGCCACGACTGAAACATATTTCCAGAGTGAGGCCAGTCAGGGCGGGACGGCCATGCGGCCAGCCAAGCAAAAGTGCGTGTGAGGAGTGTGCCGTCAGTTGGGACACTGCACATCGTCGCTTCCTGGTGCCTACATCACTCGGGCGATCTGGCTCGCTCTCTCTCTCTGGTCTAGTTGATCTGTCTCGAGAGCTCGCGTGGTTCCTGTGTTGCTCGCTAGCTGGGATCCAAAGAACATCACCAGACAGGCCAAGCGGGGTTGTATGCTGTATTATTGTTGCAACAAGGCTCTCTCGTCCTATGTGGGTCCTCTATGGGATATCCATAAACAAACGTTTTATGAAGGGAGAGGAAGGCCTCCCCACCCCCCCCCCCTCCCTAGAAACCTCTTCCAAAGGAACCTGCAAGCTGCCGGCTCGCTCGCCTGATATCGCCTGCCTGTCTTCGGCAGAAAGAATTCTCCGAGTGGCGAAAAGCACAACGAGATGCATCAAGCGTGCATCGTATGCGTAGGCCCTGGGGGGACAGAATCCAGCACGACCGATACTGGACGACTAAATGACGTGTCGTGAATCCTATCAGATCATGAAGCCGGACTTGGAAGTCCCACCCAAAAGACCCACGGGCGGTTGCGTCTGGCGCGCAGCCGCCGCGCAGCCGTAGCCGGACGCGGGCAGACGCTGGGTACGCTGGACGACGATACGAATAATGTGAGGTATACTAGGCACCCCCTCCCCCCCTAACGCAAGCTATAGCTCGACGGCGAGATCTCTCCATCGCTCTCGTCTTCTCTCTTCTCAACCACCTTTGCCACCACCATCGCCATGCCGCCCGACCCACTCAAGGGGCCTTCCCCACCTGTATCCACAGACAGCGGTCGTTCACTCCGCTCCCCTCAAAAGCCACAGACACCTCGTTCTACACGCTCATCCGCCTCGGCGACCTCAAAACCAATGCACTCCCACAACGAAAAGCCACCGTCCTCGACAACCTCGCGCCAGTCACCCCAGCGCAAAGCCGACGCTCCTCGCAAGCGCAAGCCCACATTCGTCTCCTGCATCACCTTTCCGGAGAACATGCCCATGCCAGCGCCCGCAGTCAAGGAGGAAGGCGAGCCACAGCGCAGCCAGCGCAAGTCAAAAGTCGACGCTCTTAACAAGCTTGATCGGGCGGGTACGCCCACGACGGTGGCGGCTGGTCCCACTGCGACATCCTTTGTTCCACCACCACCGCCGCCAGCTGGACCATCCGTCACTCGCAACCCACTCAAACGTCTGCGTGTCCCCAACCCGCCCTTTGACCTGGCCTCGGTGCGCACTCGTGCTCCTCCCGGCGTCGACGACGGCGACCACCCAGGCCCGAGCCATGAGCCCCGTGCGTTCGACTTGCCAACATGTCCGACCTATCACCCGACGCCCGAGCAGTTCCGCGACCCGATGGCATACGTCGAGAGCATCTCACCCGAAGCCAAAAAGTATGGTATCTGCAAGATTGTCCCACCCGAGGGCTGGCAGATGCCGTTTGAGCTCGAGACCGACCAGTTCCGCTTCACGACACGTCTGCAGCGTCTCAACTCGATCGAGGCCGCGTCTCGCGCCAAAATCAACTTTCTCGAGCAGCTCAGCATGTACCACAAGCAGCAGGGAGATGCCAAGGCCCACATCCCTATCGTGGACCACCGGCTCGTCGACCTGTGGCGACTGCGCAAGGAAGTGAACAAGCTCGGTGGCATCGATGAAGTCAACCGTCTCAGAGCGTGGACCAAGATCACCGAGATGCTTGGCTTCAACGCGGCATCCATGCCCCAGATCAAGTCATCATACACCAAGATCATTCTTCCCTTTGAAAACTGGGCTTTACGAGCAAAGTCATATCCCGAGTCACCCTTGACTCCGCTGCCAGGCAGTGCGAACGGCAAGCCGCCTCCGGGCTCGGGAGTCCAGGCGACGCCGGATACGCCCACAGTCGCGGCGACCGGCGGACGTACAGCCGGGATGCGAACCTCGCCACGCGGGCGCATGTCTGCGCTGGCTGGCGGCCCAGGCGGATCGGCACTTGCTGCTGTGATGACTGCTGCCGACAACCAGCCAGAGGCAGGCCCATCAAACTCATCAGACTCGGGCCTCGCCGCTCCGATCCGCATCAAGGTGCCAGTGATCCCATCCAGCCAGCGAAGCACTCGCAGCAGCCAGAGCAGTGACTCGGAGCTCACGGAGCTTAGCGAGGAGGAGTCGACACGCACAGGAGGATCGCAGACATCTACCCCTGAACAGCCAACAAAGTACGAAAAGGGCGACGTAAGTGACACCGGGCAACGAGCCAAGCCGCAGCGCAGCAGCAAAAAAAGCTAATCGCCTCGTAGGTATGTGAAATCTGCACATTAGGCAACAATGCGCCAAAGATCCTTCTCTGCGACGGATGCGACCGAGGTAAGTGTGGTGGCGATGCATACGGATGGTGGTTGGGTGGCCCTGTCCGCATCCGTCGGACCCGCCTAAGGTACAGCTTGGGGCTAACTGTTTCAGGGTTTCACACTTTTTGTCTGGACCCCCCACTTCAGGCGATTCCCACCAACGAGTGGTACTGCACGGCCTGTCTTCTTGGTAACGGGGACGACTATGGGTTTGACGAGGGAGAGGAGCACTCCATTCCGAGCTTCCAGGCGCGTGACGCCGCCTTCACCAAAGCATGGTTCAACCGCTACGTGCCCACCCACTCGCCAGCCTCGCCGCTCACGCGCAAGATTGGCAACGCCACCGTCAACGAGCGTGATGTGGAGCGTGAGTTCTGGCGGCTAGTCGAGAGCCAGGACGACACGGTCGAGGTTGAATATGGGGCCGATGTCCACTCTACCACCCATGGCAGTGCGGCTCCCACGCTGGAGACCAACCCGTTGAGCAAGTACGCAAAGGACCCATGGAACCTCAACAACATTGCCATTGTCCGTGACTCGCTCCTGCGATACATCAAGTCGGACATTTCGGGCATGACTGTCCCGTGGATCTACGTTGGGATGCTCTTCTCGGCGTTCTGCTGGCACAACGAAGACCACTACACCTACAGTGTCAACTACAGTGAGTTTGGCATATCCCCGTACATGTGTGGCTGACACTGCGCAGTGTTCTGGGGCGAAACCAAGACATGGTACGGCATTCCCGGCGACAGCGCCGAGAAGTTTGAGGAGGCGATCAAGAGCGAGGCGCCAGAGCTCTTTGAACGCCAGCCGTCGCTTCTGTACCAACTCACCACGATCATGAACCCGGGACGGCTGCAAGAGGAAGGCGTGCCCGTGTACGCGTGCGACCAGCGACCAAACGAGTTTGTCATCACCTTCCCCAAGGCATACCACTGCGGCTTCAACCACGGCGTGAGTTGAAGTGCCAGAGAGCGTTTGACAACTGACAATATCTAGTTGAACTTTAACGAGGCGGTCAACTTTGCGCTGCCGGACTGGCTTGCCCTCGGCTGCGAGTCGGTCGAGCGGTACAGCTTGCACGCCAAACCTTCGGTCTTTTCTCACGAGGAACTCTTGATCACCATTACGCTCTACTCGGACACGATCAAGACGGCTCTGTGGCTGCAGGACAGCCTGCGACTCATGGTCGAAGACGAGTCGGCACGACGGAAAAAGTTGCGGGCGGCCCTCCCTGACCTTGTCGAAACGCTTAGCGAGGAGGACGTTCCCGAGGAGGAGTACCAGTGCTACGTGTGCAAGGGCTTCTGCTACCTAGCGCAGATGACCTGCTCGTGCACCAAGCTCGTTTCCTGCCTGGAGCACTACGACTTGTTGTGCTTGTGCCCGACCGCGAAGCGGACGCTGCGCAAACGCTACTCGGAGAACCAGCTGGAGGACATTCTCGACATTGTCGTGGCTCGCGCTGCCCAGCCTGATCAGTGGAGCAAGCGCGCCGACGCCGCTCTGGCTGTTGCCCGCCCGCAGCTCAAAACTATCCGCCAGCTCGTTGCCGACGGAGACCGCATGCCCCACGACCTGCCCGGACTGGAAGACCTCCGTGCGTTCCTCGACCGCGCCAACGCATGGGTCGACAAGGCCACTGCCGTCTGCACCCGCAAGAGCACCGGCCGCCGCCGCAAGGGCCGGCAGAGTGAGCCTACTGCCACGGTACTCGATGACGACGACGTGGACCGCAGTGCTGTCGCGATCAACGCGCTGCTTGACGAGGCCAGCAAGCTGGCCTTTGACGCCCCCGAGATTCTCCAGCTGCGCCAGATGATGTCCTCCCTCGACGGGTTCCGGGAGCAGGCCAAGGCGATCCTGGCGACGTCGGACCTGGACCTCGACTATGAGCAGTGCAAGACTGCGCTCATCCTTGGCCAGAGCCTGAACGTCGAGCTCCCCGAGGTGGCTGACCTCACCAAGATTGTGGCTCGCCTTAGGTGGTACCACAAGGTCGAGGAGGAGGTTGACGACCGTACATTGCAGTACGACGACATTGTTGGCCTCCTCGAGCAGGCCGACGAGTACGAGGTGCCGCCACACCACGCCGGTGTGGTTGAGCTGCGCCGTCGCGAGAAGAAGGGCCGCGAGTGGAAGGAGGCTGTCGACCAGCTCCTCGCCTCGCCCAAGATCTCCATCGACGCCGTGTCAGCCCTTATCGAGGGTCAAGAGTACACTCCAACGTCCGTTGAGACAATGCGCCAGCTGGAGAACATTCGCAAGACGGCGCAGAGCTGGCAGGCTACCGCGTCCAGCTTGCTGCAATCGCAGGGCACTGTCGGCTCGGCCACGCGTCTGTGCAAGGCCGTCCGAACCGCTTCGGGCCCCCTCAAGCGCATCGACATTCCCGAGATTGCCGACCTGCAAGCTGAGATTGACTTTAACAGCAAGTGGCTCGCTGGCGTCGCCAAGCACCTCGGTGTCCAGGTCAACAAGGTCCACACATCACTCACTAACCTCGTGCGCGAGATTGAGGACCACCTGGCGATTGACGACGACTACCCCAATGGCCACCACGCGTGTTTCTGTCGCTCGGCGCCCCAAGGTCACATGGTGACCTGTGGAACGTGTCTCGGCGAGTACCACCCCAAGTGTGTCGGCATTACAGTCAAGTCTGCGTCAGGCATTGCTGCGGCCGCGCGCAACTTTGAGTGCCAGATGTGCCAGCACTTGCAGTACGACGACCGACCGTCGTTCAATGACCTCGCGCACTATGCCGACCCCGTCAAGTGGGACTTTGTCCTCCGTCCATCCGAGGTGGACTTGCTCGACTCGACGCTCCAGTCTGTGGTGCGGTACGCGAGCCTCGTGGTCCCGATCATCGACCCGTTACGGCCTGCCGCCAAGCCGACGCTCCAGCAGATCGGCCACCTGTTGCGTAAGATCTGGACACTTCCCGTCCAGCTCGACGCGGTCAACGTCGCGACCAAGGAGCACGTCATTTTCGAGGACTGGCTGTACCGCAAGATGCGCGACACTGTCGACGGCGGTCCGGCGACCAAGTCGACCAACACCCGTTCCCGTGCACGCAAGCCAAAGTTTACCTTTACCAAGGCAAACCCCCATACGTTTAGCTGCCTCTGCACCGCCGAGCCGCTCGACCACTTGCTCACTGTCGTGTGCTCCAAATGCGAGCAGGGCTTCCACCTCTCGTGTGCGCAGGCGCCTATCAGCGTTGCCAACTCGACGTCGCGGGGTGGGTGGCGCTGCCCCTTCTGCACCGTCAAGAGCGGCAAGGCTCCCCCCCGTGGTCTCGACCTGCGCGTGCAACTGTCCGACAAGATCGGTACCCAAGAGTATGTCGACTGGCGTAAAGTGCTGTTCACGTATTCCGAGGACCCCATCCCCGTCATCTTGCCCGACAACCCTGCGTGCATCACCCTCGAGGCGACTCGCTTCCAGGGCCCCTCGTTGCCAGACAACTTTGAGCGTCCAGTCTGGACAGAGGCTGAGGAGACTGACGGACGTCGCAAGCGCCGCAAGACGGACTCGGTCCTTCTCCCTGCCGTCGGTAATGGTAGCGTCGCTGGGCCGTCGAGCGCGAGCCCCAGCCCAGTCGTCAAGCCCATGCTGGCGCCCCCGCCTGCGCATGCCGCTCCTCCTCCACCGCCACACCAGCTCTTAGCCCCGCTCAGCCCTGCACCCTCGCACTCGTCAACAGCGTCGTCGTCGTACCACCCGGCACCCAACCAGCCGGCGCAGAACGTGCGTTCCAACGGACGCTTGTTCTACCCCACCCACTCGATCGTCCCGTGGTCCAACTCGAACATGTTCTCGCAGTTCCAGCTGAACGGTAACGGCTCGGGCTCTGCCTCTGGCTCGCCCCCTGCCGGTGCGCCCAGCGCGCCAGGCGCGCCCATGCACGCGCGCTACCCCAGCTCGGCGTCGCCCCCTTCCCACCACGCACCCGCACCGTACCCCGGTGCGTCGTCGTCGCGCGCCCAGCCAGTGACCGCCACGGCCTACCCGACCGCACCCGGTGCCGCGCCGTACCCGACACACGCTATGGCTACGGTCCCCGCAAAGCGCGCGTACGCCGACGCGGCGGCGGACAGCCTGCACCCGGCCGACGCGTATGCCGACACCCTCCCGCCGCCGGCCAAGCGCTCATCTCATGCCAGCCCTTCGTCGCGCTCGCCTCCTCAGTACGAGTGAATAGTGGGCCCGACGGCCAAAATTGGGTTATTTTAGTTTATTATTGTTTCTCTTCCACCTTGCTCGTCCTCCCCCCCTTTTTTTGTCTCTTTCTCCTGTATTGACTGAGGAATGGATGCATTGTACCTGTAGCAGACGCGCCGGTACCAGTACCAGGGGGCAAGGGCTATGGAGAGGGTATGTTGTTCCTTTGTTTTCCTCTCTTATTCTCTTCTTTTCTACAAACTACTCGGGCCACCTATGATGACTGAATAGCGTTGTCGTCGTCGCCGCCGCCACGCGCCATGAGGAGGTCCTCGGGGTGCTTGTCGCTGACCATGAGGTGCGCTTCGGGTACGATACGGTTCTGCGAGGCAATGTCGACGTCGTGCGTGACCTTGGCCTCAAAGTGGAGGGTCCACGAAGGGAGGAGCTTGCGCGCCGACACCTGGTCCGAGGACAGCGGCGTGCCGTACGTGAAGGGTGCGGTGAAGAAGAAGCAGCCGAGCACAAGCGACGAGAGAACGGCAAGGACAATGAGACCGTTGCGCGGGACGTACGCACGGTGGGCCGGGCGGAGACGAGTGCGCAGGCCAGCAGCCGAAATGGGGTAGTTGACCGCCTCGACGAGGACAAAGTTGAGCACACTGCCGGCAACAAGGGCCGAGGCGAGATGCGCAGGGAGGTAGTGGTGGACGAAACGTTGGCGCTCCATGGTGTAGAAGGGGAAGTAGTGGAAGGCCCATGCGCCGACGAAGAATCCAGTGTTGCGGTACAGGCGGTTGCGGACGTCCTCCTCGATAGGCTCAACACCGCGACGGCGGGCGAGGAGGTCGGCGCCGACGACACCGATGAAGATGGACAGGGCAATAGAGCAGATCCACCAGTCGAGGAGGTTGCCGACCATGTAGATCTGCTGCTGCTGCTCGTTCTCGGTCCAGAACGACACGCCGTTCAGGCAGAATGGCCATTCAATGGGAGTCGACGCGTAAGGGTGTGACGACGAGAGACCCGAGTTGTGCTGGAGCATGAGGATCTGCAGCTCAAACCACTTCTTGAAGAAGTTCATCTTGGCGGGCGTCTTGGGCTCAACCTGGGCGGTGCGGTTGCGGAAGTCGATGCCTTGGCCGTCGGCGATAATCTCGCCACCGTACCACAGAGTACTACGCTCGGGGGCATTCTTGTTGCCGTTGACCTCCTGCTGGCCGGAGGCCCAGTCGGGCAGAGCGTGCTTGTGGGTCCACAGGAAGACGCGAGTCTTCATGTGCAGGACCTTGAAGTGGGACGACAGAGTCTTGATGGCCTCGCCGTCGTGCGCGTCGGGAACCAAGAGCTGGAAGTAGGTCTCCTCGACGCGCTCAGTGTCGTCGCGGTTGATCGTGGTAAACTCCTGGTTCGTGGGCATCGACGGGGAAGCGACGTCATGGGTGAGAAGGAGCGTGTTGGTGCCGACGTGGAGGAACTGGACGATGTCGGCGTGGCGGACAACGCGACCACGGCCATGGTCAGGAATGTCGTGAGTAGGGATGACCTGCCAGTGGTTGTTGGTGTCGTTGTGCGGGTAGCAAGTAACCTGCTGGCCCTGCGACGAAATACGGTTGTCAGGGTAGCGGAGGGGGTACTTGTCCTCGTGCGAGTGGAGCATCTCCTTGGTGTCCTTGTGAACCAAGGTGATGGTGTCATAGTAGCGGACCTCCTGCGAGTTGAGGAGAAGCTCGTTACCAGAAAGAGTCTCCTGGAACTGAGGCGACATGAAGGTGTCACCGGGTCCAGAGTACTTGAGGATCTTGAAGTGGACCCAGAAGAAAGAGAGGTAGAGGATGAAAGGAATGACGATGAGGCCAATGGCGCGGTAAACAAAGTGACGCCACCAGTAGGACATGCTGAAGCCGCGCCTGACGTCGAGAATGCCCCAGAGGTCCCAGAGGACAGCGGCACCGACAGTAAGGAATGTGAACAGGCCGACCATCTTGCAGCCCAGAGTGCACGCGAGGGAGGCTCCGGTGGCCAGCATCCAGAACCACCACTCGCGGGTGAACTCGCGGTAGCGCATCTGGTGGAACTTGACATAGCAGAAGAGCGAGCAGGTCATGAAGAGGACAAGTGCAGCGTCGAGGAGGATCAGACGGGTCTGGGTGACGTGGCCGTTGTCTGCCGGTCAGGTTTCGTCTCTGCGACACCTGCTCGCTCGCTCGCTACTCACCAAAGAGAATAAGGAAGGCGGAGAAGGCAGAAATGGCAATGGGGTAGCCACTCTCGCGCATGATGGCGTACACAAGAGGGATCGTAGCCGAGCCCATGATAGCGATAAACGAGCGCATACCGACGTAGGGGACGTTGGACTCTGTGTAGCTGTCACCAATCGAGGTGAAGCCAAAGTTGCCATCGTAGCCGACAAACCAGCCCGCAAGCGCGTTAAGCATCTTGGCCAGGGGCGGGTGGACGTCAAAGTAGTACTCGCGTCGCAGGTACTGGCTAGCAAAGCCGCCAAAGTGCACCTCGTCAAAGACAACCTGGTCCGGGTGACCGATGCCCCAGAAGCGCACGATGGCTGCGACGACGGTCAACACCGTGCAGACGGCCCAGCTTGTGAGGCGCTCGGAACGGATGTCCTGCGCGCCCACGGCAGGGCGGGGGTCATCCTCGCGGTGCTGCATGGTCAGCCGTGACGTCCTGACATTGAGGAAAGGGGAACGCAAGGCATGCGAGCTGGGTGAGGCATCCGAGCTTGTCTGAGTCTGGCCACTGGGGTGCTGGTGTCTGGTGTGTTGCCTGGCATCGCTCTCCGTGTCGCCGGACACCCCATGGCGTTGTACGCCGGCCAGGTTCAACCATTCCGCCGTCATACTGCAGACGCACAGGCCCGAGATGACTTCCCGATCCAGTGGCCAGTGGAGGGTTCAACGTACCTTCTCATCTTCGCTGTACCGTTCCACCGTGTGTGGAAGAGATGGACTAGCCCCGCGGGGACGCCTGTGGCGCACCTGGACGGACATGATGGTGGATGAAAGAGAAACCAGTGAGAGAATAGAGGTATGAAGTGGACGGCAGGGATGAGCTGTCATTGCCCTGCTGGATCCCGTCGCGTCGCCAAATACGCGCGCAGCAGGAAAAGGCAACGTGGCACTGTGAATCCGGGGCACCACACGCCTTTTTGGGTCGGTCAACCATCCATTATGTGCTGGATACCTATGCATAGCACATAGGCCCTGCAGTGTGCGGTCCTAGGTCTTGTATATCCTTTTTGAGTGCTGCTCTAGTGTGCATGCATAAGCTGTATGTGCAACATTCAATGGGGCTTGTACTCGGCTGCAGTATTGTTGATGGACAACTGCCACCTCCCCCCTCCCGCTTCACTTCTGCGCCGCAGCGGCGTCCGCAGCCTGCAGCCGTGTCCACTCGACCAGTGCGGCCATCGTGAGTCCTTGGCCGTATGGCATGGGGACTAGACGGATGTCTTTGTAGAACTGGATCGTTTCGCCGATTGGCGTGCCATACGAGACGTTGACAACCGTGCCATCAGCTTGGATGTTCGGGAGAATCGCCGCCAGAGCCTTTTGGGCAGAGGGCAGGTAGTGAGCGCGATCCAGCAAGCCCTGTTTGTTAGTCAAGAGCCACCCGCTAGCCGCAAGCAGGCTCACCGTGCGGACACCCATCAGGATACCGGCTGCAAAACCTGCTGTGCCGCTGACCTCGAGATAGGAGGTAGGATCGTCGAGGATGGTATGCCAGAGTCCACCGACGTCCTGGCATTCGAGGAGTGCGTCGACCTGGCGCCTATACGTCGACACCAGGGTACGACGCGTGGGATCGTTCTCTTTCCAGTTGGGGTGACCATCGAGGATCTCCAACAGGAGCGGAATGGCATACGTGATCCAACTGTTACCGCGGGCCCACAGTGCACGCGCAAAGTTGTGGCCTCGACCGTCCTCGGTGAACTGCCAACCATGGAACCAGAGGCCTGACACCGTGTCTTGAAGATAGTGGATGTGGATGAGGCACTGGTACTTTACCTCTTCAATGTATTCAGGTCGATTAAGGAGGACACCGATACGAGCGAGGGGAACAACGGTCATGAAAAGCGTGTCGTCCCACAGCTGATCCTTATTGGGTACGCGGTACGTGACTGGAGTAAGCAAAGTCCAAGGAGCCAAGGTTGGTACCAACTGTGTTGGAATCCGCCTTCCTTTGTCCTTGCAAGCCCGTTCATGGCCCACTCGGCCCATTCTTCAGCCCATGCGCTCCAGCGCTCGTCCTTTACGCGTCCATCAAGCAGGTATGATGAAATCGAGTACAGAGGCGCCATTGTGTTGATGTTCTTCGGGGCGCCCTTTCCGTCCGTCTGCTTCCACTGGAGCTCATACCAGTCCAGCACGGTCTTGAGAGAGTAGGCTGCCTCTGAGGATGATGGACGCGCAGCAGAGTGCTGGTCGTTAGGTCTGGCTCAAGCGCTTCACGCTCGGGTCATGTCACGGAAGGGATGCTCACATTGTACAGCACGGCAAGTGCAACACCCTGGTTCCAGTCCCAAGCTGTCCATTCCTTCTGGTTGATCACCTTCCCCTCCGGGGCTGCAGAGAGTTAGTCGCCGACCTCTAGCCCAAGAATACCCACTGGTGACAATTGCAGTTCCGTCCAGGTCCTTCAGGTGAACCAGTGAATCGGTAAGCAAGCGGACGAGTTCGTTGACTCGTTCCGTCGAGAGCTGGAGCTGGGTTGCGGACATGGCGGGCTGTGATGGCTTGCAAGGGCAAGGAGGATGTCTTAATCAGTTTGATGTACAGATACAACAAATGCTGATGCTGCGTGAGTACAGCGACACCATGGTCAATGTGGGCTGGGACTTCGTTTGAGTATTCGTGCTCTCTCGGCCAACTCCGACGTCCGGCCCGGAGCGGGCCGTGAACTCACACAGTTGTTACTCTGTAGCCCAGGTGGCAATCCGTTGTGTTGCATCGCGACAGCCCAACAACATTAAATTAGTGGTGATGAGTGCTTAAGATGTTGAGAGTAAGTGCAGATGTGCAGATGCATGCCTCGACCCGGCCAGCTGAGCCTAATAACGTGTCGACGGGGTATGGGGGTGGCTAACCTGGGATACCCCTTCCTCGTGGGCGTCAAGTGACCACAAGGCCCCAACGCGTCTGTACGTCTGTACATACGCCTGTGCGTGTGGCGCTCTATGCATTGCGCATTGTGAGAGGTTTGACGCCCTCACGGTTATTGCTGTACTGCATATATCCAGAGCGCGCAGCGCAACTGCTCCAGCCAGGGTTATCCTGGTCGGTCAGATCACCGGGGGCTGTTGTCCGACGAGTCGTCCGTTGGAGGCAGCAATCAGCTCACACTCCTATCCGCCCTGTTCCGTGGAAGCGGCTTATACCTGACATAAGAGTGGGGAAGTGGGAAGGTGGGGACCCAGATTGTCTTCAGGGGGGATGACTAGCTGTCAACCAATACCATACCGGAACTGTGTGGCACGGAGAGGAGGCTAGATCCTTCGCCACAAGGGCTGGTATGTGTATCGTCAGTGTGTGTCGTCGGTTCAGGATATCAGGATAGCGAGTCACTTGGCATTACACAGAGGTCCAGAGGGCACCCGAATAAACGAGGAGCTGCTTGGCACCTGGCACCACGCGTTCCAGGCATGATGGCAACTGCGGTGATCGATGGCAGGTGGGGGACCACGACGCACAGGCGCTCGTTTTCCGCTCCCAAAGGAGGTCCAGAGGCTTGGCGTCCTGGCGCGTCAATCTGAGAAGGCAGGACCAACGCGAGGTAGTGGCGTGCAACGCACCTATTTCTTGGGCGCAATCCAACCCTTCGACACTGTTCGCCGTAAGAGGGTCGGCAGGCCACCTATCACTCGGCTGCAGCGTTCAGTGACATTGAAGAAGAGCTTACAGACTATTTACGATGAATGTCACTGTAAGTCGGTTGAGGGCTTAGAGACATAGATGCGGATATAGTTACCAGGCCAGTTGCAATATTGGACTGTCTTCCTAGCTCATGTTCGGCAAGAGTACCGACTTGGTGCGGCGCAAGACTGATCGGACAGATCAACCATACCATGGAGAATTCCCGTATCTTTTGCCATACGCTCCTCCTGCCGGAAATCCCAAGACCCACTCTGAAGGCGTCTTCTTGAACCCTAAACCATTCTGTCTGCCCACTATCTGACTGACAGCCATTCGAACGCATGGTGATATGTGCTGCACACTATGGGTGCCAAGTCCTCGCCGTTAGGCAAAACAAGGCCGTAGCATCCGTTCACTGATCGCCGCCGATTCGGGCCGAGCGAACGAACCCACTGGTACCTGCCATCAGAGATAGAGGAGATACAGTACGCAGAAGGTGAGGGCGGCTTTGCATCCCGGGCACATGAGGATCGGATGTGACCGAGGGTGGTGGCTGGCCTTCCTGTGGCTCTTTCCAAGTGGCACGACCAGGCACCCAACATCCCGCCATATAGCTAACCAGTCTGGTGTATGCGCTACCGTGTTTCTCCCCACACACCAAGCGCCTCAGTAACCACGCTCCTCAGTCTCAAGGTAGTGCACCAGCATCAACACAACTGTGGTCACAATGACGACCGACGACACGGGGTTTACCTCCCACGACCATAAGGCTGCGGACAAGCCCTTCGATGAGAAGGCCCCCCATGAGACCACTGTGGCCGTCATGGTCCCAGATGACCACCAGTATCTTACCCCGACCGAGGAGGAGTTTGTTACCCTCCGTCGTGTGCCTGCTGCCATGCCGTGAGTCCGTAACCGGGGGGGGGGGGGGGGGGGGGGCATGTGGTGTGGCTTCTCGGCAATGGGGACAAGGAACAAATGTGCTGACGGTTGCCTCGCCAGTCTCGTGGCCATCCTCATGTGCTTTGTCGAATTTACCGAGCGCGCCTCATACTATGGCTGCTCGGGTCCATTCAACAACTTTATCAACAAGCCTCTGCCCGCTGGTGGCTCTGGCACTGGCGCGGTCGCCAAGGGCCCTGCTGGCACTAACCAGTCTGCTGGTGCTCTTGGGCTTGGGTCTGTTCCTGCTTCGGCCCTCGTCAAGATGTTTACGTTCCTTGCGTACATCATCCCCATTTTCGGTGGCATCATCGCCGACACGAAATGGGGTCGCTTCAAGACCATTTGCGTCGGCACCGCCATTGGTGGTATCGCCCACGTTCTTCTCGTCATCCCTGCCATCCCGGCTGTCATCCAACGCCCCGATGGCTCGCTTGGAGCGTTCATCATCTCGATCATCATTCTTGCGTTTGCCACTGGCTTCATTAAGCCCTCGCTTGGACCTCTTCTCTGTGACCAGTCGCCCGTGAAGGTACCGACAATCTCGCATACCAAACAGGGCGAGAGGGTCATTGTCGACCCGACATTGACCGTTGAGCGCTACCTCCTGTTCTTCTACGGCGCAATCAACGTCGGCTCGTGTTTCCAGGTAAGTTGGTCCGCGGGGGTCATTTGTTGTGGTAGGGGTTGTAGGTGGTGTAGCATGTCACCCTACAGTACTCGACTCATCACACTCTTGCTATAACAGACCGCTGACATGCCAGCTTGCCACGCAGTACGCTGAGCGCCTTGTGGGATTCTGGCTTGCCTATCTGTTGCCTGGAGTCCTGTATTGCTGTCTCCCCCTTCTTCTCATTTGGCTCAGCCCACGTCTCGTCAAGATTCCCCCCCAAGGAACAGTCGTTCCTGATGTCTGGCGCGCCTTCAAGATGTGCTGCAAGGACGGTGGCTGGCGCAGGATGGGCCGTGGAGGTGACTCCTTCTGGGACAAGGCCAAGCCGTCAAAGGTGATGGAGAGCGGCCAAGTGGAGCGTCTGCCCAACATTCACTGGGACGACGCGTTTGTGGATGAGATTCGCCAGACGTTCTCTGCTTGCATCACCTTCCTTCTCATTCCCATCTTCACGCTCGCCAATGGCGGCATGGGAAACCAGCTCAACGACATGTCCGTCGCCATGACCCTCAACGGCGTTCCCAACGACCTGCTCAGCACGTTCAACGCCATCACCATCATCGCGTTTACCCCCATTATTACCTACGGGTTCTACCCGCTCATGGAGAAGATGGGCTATCCTATCCGTCCCATGATGCGCATGTGTATCGGATTCCTGCTCTCCACTGTGGGCTGTATCTTTGCCGCCGTCATCCAGGACCGGGTGTACAAGACCTCCCCCTGCGGCAGGTACGCCACGACCTGTGACGAGGTGTCGCCCGTCTCGCTCTGGTGGCAGCTTCCTCCCATCTTCTTCCCAGCTGTCGGCGAGCTCTTTGTGAACGTCACCTCGTTTGAACTCGCGTACACTCGCTCCCCTCACCGCATGAAGGGTCTGGTGTTTGCTCTCGCGCTCTCCAACTCGGCCGTTGCCTCTGCAATCTCCATGGCATGCTCCAAGGCCATTGCCGACCCCAACCTCGTCATCCCCTGGATTGTACTTGCTGTCGCTTCTGCCCTCTGCGCAATCCTGTTCCCGACGTACTTCAAGAACCTCGATGACTTTGACTTCCAGTGGAGCACGGAGGAGAGGGATGCCATCGAGGCTCGTAAGACGCAGCCAAAGGACATCGAGGATAGCGACAAGTACTAGTGGGAGAGTTTCTTTGCCAATCTTGGTGGTGGAGCGAGGGACCAGATGGTGGGGCAGGGGGGTTGTATACCAAGTGATCTAGGCTGCGGTCGATTATTCAGTTGAATTTATGGAATGTGATGGTTGCGAGCAATCAACAGGGTGGGGTATTGGAAAAGAACTGAAGTGGCGCATAGAAGTAACTCACTCTGTTTCCATGACCACCGGTTTAATAAGTGTGGCTCCACTATCACATCCTTGAGTTTGGCATTGCATCCTGGTCACCACAAAGTGGTAATTTCTTTTTCATAATTCTTATGTTACCTGTCACCTTATCAACCTCTACGTCCACAACAGATCCCCTGTCTCCCCATACCTTGCAAGACAGTTCACCTATGCATGACCTAATTAATGCATGACCTTGCTCTTCCTATATGTCTCGTCAACTGCTCAGATCCCAAGCTTAAATACTTCACTTGTCATTGTTCGACCAACCACGCTTCCCCGCAAACAACAGGTCAGTGACTCTCCAAATATGAGGAGTGCGTGTGCTCTACAGTCAGAAAACGTAGTCCTTGCCTTGGGTCTACATAGCTACCAGTGTGGCAACCCAACGCATCCCCGCGATTTCTGCCACGAATATATGTACAACAAACTGCCACACTCTCATGCCAAAGTGGCATTTTGACTTTCAGTCAGGTTTATCCGATAGTGCGACGCCACAAAGTTCTGCTGTCAGCACACAACAGAGGCTATCGGACAGCCGTCGACCACACTCTCACTTAGACGATGTCACTTTGGCGAACTCGCATCCCCCCATTCTGGAACAAGAGTGAGCGCCGAGAATGCAGACTACCTTGGCCGTTGGCTTCCCTCGACGCCACAGGCCCCCGTCCGCCTCAGGTTGCTTCCGGCGACACCTGGGGTGTGCGGAACAAAAGGAACGGAGGACCTAACCAAAATGAACAATGGACGCCTGGAATGTGGCGGGGTGCAGATGCGGGAATAGTGAGGACAAGAAGGCCAGGCCATTATGCATTATGAAGTGGAGCACCGGCGACGGTATGTGGCACGTCTCTGCATTGTTAAGCCGTAACGGCGAGGAATGGCGGCAAGATGTGTAGCCATGTCGACGTGGATGTCCGTGCCGAACCTATAGTGCCAAGTGACAGCCATGTCCGGTGTCACCGCAAGTTTGATGACAGTAACCGCCAGTACCCGCCCATAACCAGTGAGGGACAGAAGTGGGGAGTGGACGTTTCTGGTGTACCTGTCCACAAAAGGGCTGGACTCCACGCGGACCCACAGCATAGCGCGAGGGCGACAGGGTGGGAAATTACGCACTCCTGTAAAGTCGAGGGGCGAGGTTGCGAGAATACGAGGTTTAGGGGAGCCGAATACAGTGCTGAACGTTGGACCCGTCGGCAAGAGCGAGACTACCGCTCCCGGAGCCGCATCGGCCATGTGGGCGCATCAATGCCGGCGGGTATGGTCAGGTCAGTCCCTGTCTCGCACTAGCAGTGACTTTGGAAACGAATATGCCCCAGAGATCCAGATATTGAGGCCCAGATGACAGCATGACGGCAAGGAAGTCGTAGACATGTGCAGACCCTCCTTGTGCTGTAGGCCGGGACTGCAAATGCAATTATGGCGGTGACGCCTATAACGTTATGCCTCACGCATTTGTGGCCCTGGACATCGTCATTAGATGGTCTGGGGTGCTACTACTGCTTCACAATCCGGCTGGAGTGCTGGAGTATGTAGCGGTGCCACCTAACATACGATTGCGGGAAACACACATCCCAAGGCTGACATGATACGAGAATGTCAGCACGTGAGGGACCTGCGTGGTTCGGACCGTCTGTTGCGGAGCCGCCGCCACTGTCACTACTGCATGGCATGGCCCCATCGAGGCCGTTGGCGTTGAGACAGAGGTACAGAGGCCATGTCTGCCATCCCCAAGTCTCCAGTAGGCCCCTCAAAAACAGCCCGCCCCACCAGTTGGTGTCCCAACTGGTAAAGCCGCAGAAAGCAGGCGCGCGCAGCCAGAAAAAAAAAAAGAGAAAAAAGGGACCGTTTACCCGTCCATGTTTCTCAGTTGCGTGTGTGCCTCGAGATTGTTCTCCGACGGCCAGAAAAAAGTTGCAGTCTAGCCGAAGGCTGCAGATCTTGTGTGGACGCCTCGCGACGCCTCTGACGCGGGTGGTACCTCGCCCCCCGGCGCGTGCGGTCAGAGGGACATCCAGGCGCGGTCCATGTCACCTGAGTGTGGCGGTTTCGAGGCGTCCCTGCCGAGTTGCCGATCCGCTGCGTTTGCGCGCATGTGGGCCCTTCCCAGCGATCCAGCGAGATCCAGCGACAAACTCTCCGCGCCTCCAAGCGCCGACGTTCTCCTCCAGCCCACGCATCTCACGGGCCCGGAAGGGGCCAGCACACCGCCGATAACCGGCCGGGCCGGTGATTATCCCTAGTACATGGCGGAATATTTTTGGGCCTGCGCCACCAAAACGAGGCAGATCATCGTGGCGCCCGCACGGTGGCGAGTGGGTCACTGCATCTTGACGAGCACGGCGTCCATTTTATTCCGTCTCTTCTTGGCAGCACACACACTTCCAGCGGCAGTCGGTCCGTCTCCGTAGCTCAACGGGCGGGTGTACATGTCCGCTCCGTACAGCCGCTGATATCGCTGCCTCATGTTAACGGCCTCATGGGTCCATGGGGCGAGCATGTGTATCCCGCCAGGTTATCCCGTGTCTCGGCGTGTTGGGAGCCTGTCGAAGGTTTTTGTGATGAAGAGTGGATGTCGGCAACTCACGCCGCGTCCACCCGTGGGGCATTCAGACACGTCGCGGAGGAATGTAACGGTGTGTCATCGCGGCAAGCAGTGCGTGCTGTGATCGCTGATCATATTGGATCTCATTTGTCTGGGCACTACTCCATAGCCTGCGGGATGATCAGGTCAAGGTCTCTGAATGAGTGATATGAATTCGCCACTAGAAAAACTGTGGACTAGTGCCACCTCAGGATCAACCAAGTGACTCACTTTGGCGATCACGTTGACAGTCTAGCACCTTGCGCATCTCCACCCGTCTGCACGTGTGTGCCCTGTGTGTCTGTGTACGTGTGTTCCGAGACTCACACGACCGGCGCCTGCTTCTTGGTCCGGCCGGTGTCAAGACACCGAGTGTCGGCCTGTTGGCCTCTGCTGGGAGATGGCTGTGCCATGGCGGCGCCACAGCTGCGTTTTGCCATTAGCGTTTAACCCTCGGGGGATGAAACGACTGATCGCGCACTGACAGAGTGTGGACGGCCTGGGGAGTGCTGGACGTGCTGGACGCGTGCTGTGCGTGCGCTTGCCGAGCGGTTGTGCCCATTTTGGGATTACCCTTGCAGCCTATTTCCTTGACGTTCCTTAGATTAATTGCCAGAACTTCAGGGCGGGACGGCATAACTGGCGCCACAGGTATCCGCCATGACGCCGGCGCCGTGGAAGGGGATCAGCGTCGACGTCAGTGGCGCGCGACCAGCACAACGGCGGCCAGGTCCGCATTCCTGCAAAATGGAGTTTTGCGTGGCCAGCGACGCACGCCCGGCGCGCCGGCGATTGTCATTCCGCGTACCCGCGTCTGCTTGACACGTCCGCTGGTGGATCAGTGATCAGTGGCGTTCACACATGTCGAACACGATCCCCCAACAGATGGACAATGGTGTGGCATCGGCTTGCTGACCGGTCCGCGTTTCGGCCTGGAATGTTGTGGAATGGACTTGTACCCTTTTGCCCTCCTTTCCGTGATCCGTGAGCTGCGCGCAGGTGGGAAGCACAAGTGCACTAGTAGACAAAACAAGACAGACGGGCGCGGCACCGACTCCCCTCACCTCGAGCCCCAGAAACACCAGCACAGGGGTAATGGGATGCCTCTCGTCTCCATGTCCTCTAGTGCTAGCAGGCAGCTGCACCACATTGACCGGTGGGCTTGGCAACACCGGTCGGCAGCTTAGGTGTCAGTTGTTTGGCCGAAACACCGTTAAGAGCACATGTACATTCCCATGTGCCCTTGTGGCATAGAGAGGCGTGCGTGCGTCCATGTGTCCTCGCTCTCCTGCCACAATGGTTTTGTCCAGTATGCCAAGCTATTGCTATTCGCACTCGTGCCGGCGTTGAGATTATTGAGAGCACGTTGACTCCTGGTGCGAAGACGTTCCCTTCTTTGGGATGCATAGTGGTTAAGGGCCTAGCGACGCCCGAACAGCCAGTGCACTCTCAAGTCCACTCTGCGTGTCCCTTCTCCCCCACCCCGTCCAGTCCTGAGACCGCGACCCCTGCCCTCCGCTAGCCGGGAAGCCCCCTCCATCATAGGTACGCCCCAGGACTTGGTGGACCCAAATAGCTGGCCGTCCATACGACAGTAGTGGCAACATGCGGACGGGGTGGGACGGCGGTGGGGGACGGCAATGGGCGGACGGGGTGCCGCGCTATTGGGGAGAATTTTCGTGGTACGGTATGCACCAACGGGGCGGGCGGGGCCGTGGTTTCCATCTAAACGCGGGTATGATACATGAGCGACGACGCCAAGGGTGTGCCCAAGTAAAACATGCACGACGACGCGGGCCGATAGATCGGGCGGCGGGGGTGGAATATCGGTGGATTCTGGAGACGCGGAATAGTCGTTTGGCAGAGTGGTGCATGTGTCACAGAGCGCCACCGAAAAAGCATCAGATCGACGTCCGGCGAATGCATCGCATCATTCCAGGCTGCGCAAAGACGCCACGGGGGGCGTGCGTGCCGTCCGGTGTGTGGACGGGGCAGAGTGTTTCCGGGTGGGCCCATATTTTCCTTTTGGTCCCTGGAAAACCCGGCGGCAAGGGGAGGAACGGACCGGCAGACGACGGCAGGGCCCACAGCCGGCGCGGGTGACCGAGAGGCGGTGGGCGGTGTGGGCGCGCGGGTGTGGGCGGGTGGGGTGGTGGGGTTTGGGCGGAATAGAGAAAACACTGCGTGGCAGTTGAGTGAGTGAGCGAGAGAATAGCAGCAGTGACACGACACAGACAGGTGTGCAGATGTTCTGGCGCTGCACACGATGGGGTTCCGAGTGGATTGCTGGACGGTGTCTTTGTTATCTATGCGCACAGGGCGACGATCTGCAGGCTCTGTTGATAACATTTCGGGCATGTCGAGAAAACGGACGGCAGGCGAGACCCTTTGGGAGCCATTTTTGGTGCAGGTCGCGGCAACTCAGAGGCTAATTATCCGAAGCGAGGCGTTTTTGCTCGGAAAAGTCAATATTGTTTATCCGAAGGCGTGGCGGCTGAGCGCGCGACACTAACAACCGTGGGCCCGGCGCGCGGGCGGGCGGCGCGCGGCGGCGGGGGGGGGGTTGAGCTCGTCGGTCCCTCTGTCGATCCTTTCCTTTGTTGCTCTACAATCCTATCGATAGCAGCCCCTTTCCAGCATTCTCTTCATCCCCAACCAACCATCCTCATCACAGTAGCGAGCTTTGCTATTCCTGTGCCCCTTTTTCGTCCATTCCCCTTTCACGACCCACGCGTTCCACCCCATCGCCGCATCACACATTCCGCTTCCACCTGGTGCCCAGAACTGCAACTCCCTGGTGCGTTCCCCCTTCATCACCTTTGCCGTCGTCAACCTCCCCTACCGTCCACCCCGCCGTCCACTTTTCCTTTGAGAGGTGCAGCGCCCCGGCCATCCTGCCTCTTTGCCGGAATCCCAATAGACCCCAAGAGACTGACCCAACAATTTGCAGGCCATCAATCTCCACATTGTCATCCTCTCATCACCACACATCCACCTCTTCGTCTTTTGCCGTCCACCATTTCGAGGCATTCCACAATCCACATTCCACACTCTACGCACTCTTCGCACTCTCTTCACACTTCTACGCACTCTACCCCCTCCCCTCGCCATGACCACTGCTCAGCCAGAGGTCAGGCCACGCACCTCACCGAGCATCTCGCGCTCGCCAACATCACCGACAAAGTCCAGCCAGTCGGCCCTCCTCCAGTGCAACTGCGGACGTACCTTCACTCGTGTTGAGAACTTGAGGAGACACCAGCGCTCACGTAAGCTCTATTCTCTGTCGCTTCAGAACCTCGCTAACGTTGCACAGATGAGGACAGTCGTGTGCGTATTACTCACAGCGCCCCCAAGCCCGGCGCTCCTCTGGTTGCCACCACCATACTGACCCGTCGCAGCGTCTCGCGTGCACCATCTGCAGCCGCACCTTTAACCGCCCCGATGTCCTCAAGCGTCATCTACGTACGCACCGTGGGGCGTCTGCATCGGCACGTTCAGGGGACTCGCCCCCGCGGGAGACGAGCTCGTCTAGCCGCTCGCTTGGTGAACCCAGCCACCAGATGAGCAACTCTCCATCCCCCAACGGTGGAAACGGTGTCCTCCTGCCCCCACGGCTGTACCAAAATGGACGTCGCCAGAATGGCGACCTTCCTCCCATTGAGAGTGAGCACACCGGCACACGCACTTTCGCACCTGGCCTTCCCTCGCTGACAATGCAGCCCTCCTCCCCCGCACCACCACCATGGACCTCAACTCTCCTCGTAAGTGCCGACTTTTATGACCCTCGCTAATTTTCTAGTGGCTCGCATCCCCCCGTCGTTCCCAATGGACGCGCCGTTGCCACTGCCTCACTTTGACTCTAGTCCGCGTGGTGGGTTATACCATATCAAATTTGAGCATCCGCCGCTGACCATGTCTAGACCCCAGTTTCTTGTCTGTTCTCCAGGAGACCGCCCAGGAGCTGCCGTGGAGCGAGCTGGCCTCGCTTGAGGCAACATTGTCTGCGTCCAACGAGCCTGGATCAAGCTTTTCGTTTTACGATGCCCTTCAGCCCACACCCAGGCGCAACGCTTCGAGCCTCTCCCCGCCGCTTGCCTCCCCCTCGAGCTTGTCGCCCAAGCGGGCTGTAATGGACAGCTGGCGTGAGTGTCTGCAACTGATCCAGTGAACACATCGCTGACTTGGTTTAGCATCGTACAATGGCAGTAGGAGCCGGCTTCACGGCATGGGTACGGAAGGACGTATTTCCGAAGTCACGCGCGACCCAGCACTTGACCCCAAGCTGTCGCCATGGTCTCGGTTCTGGCTTGACGACGCCTTGTATGCCAAGGTCAAGAACAGCCTCAGTAAGTTTCGGGTGGGCATCCGCTAGGGCGGCCCGCTGACGCGACCCACAGGCCCAGCAGCGTCCATGCCCGGCCGTGACACGGCCGCATTCCGCATGCCAGAGTCTCTTTTCACGGTCAACACTCTGATCAGCGGTGAGTGCCATTCGGCGGCCGGTTTGTGGCAAACTCCATGCTCATCCAATACCAGTCTACTTCAACAGCTTCTACCCCCAGATGCCTATCCTGCACTTGCCGTGAGTTCAAAGGGGCCTCCCTCTTGTCCGAACATCATGGCGGGCGAGCTGACCCGTGCCACAGGACGTTCGACATTGCCCAGGCGCCACCACTTCTCGTTGCGGGGTTCATCTGCATTGGCGCGAGCATGTCGCACATCCCCGGCTCACGACCCTTCTCCGTCGAGATGGTTGAGATTATCCGACGCACCCTGTCGGTTCTGTTCGAGGTGGACCCGCAGAACGTGAGTTGGGCAGATTCCCCGGGGGGGGAAAGGGGGGGAGGTGGCGTGGCTCCGCAGCTGACACTTGTCCTTAGCTTCGCAACGCCGACTACGTTCACGTCCTGCTCCTCAACTGCACCGCAGGTATCTTGAGCGGCCACCAGCGCTCGTTTGAACTGGCCGAGATTTCACGCGGCATGCTCATTCAGCTTTGCCGCAAGATGAAGCTCCTCGACTCGCCCGTCCATGCGCAGCACCTGTACTCGAACCTCCCTTCGAACCTCCACGAGCGCTGGCGTTTCTGGATTTCCATGGAGAGGAGCAAGCGTCTGGGAATTGCCATCTTCCTGTTTGATTCGATGTTCCCCTCGTTCATGGATGCCCCCAGCCAGCTGTCTCAGGGCGAGATGCTCTCAACCGGCCTCCCCTGTGACGACCACTACTGGAACGCACCGACCGCGGAGGAGTGGGTCGGCCGACTTGATGGCAAGTCTCTCCCGTCGTCCAACTTCTTTGTTACGGGCGTCACCAACCTCCTGGTCCCCCGTTACGCTCGCCCGGCTCCCCCTCCCCTGCGTGCCCTCAACCCCTTTGCGTCGCTGTGCCTCATCAACGCGCTGCACCACCACATTTGGGAGTTCCGCTCCCAGTTGTCAGTGTACCGCTCGATCGGTGTCGTGATGACTCTGTGGCACCCGGACGAGCCCGACAAGCAGCCCGATCTGCAGCACGGTTTCGAGGGTCGTCGTCGTTGGCTCGAGGATGCCCTCGATGGCTGGCGCGACGAGTACTACGACGAGGACTCGTACAGCCCTCTCAGCATTGCTGGAAAGGTGCTTTACCACCTCGGCCACATTGCCCTCCGCACCCACCTGCGCGACTTGTACGCCATTGCTAGCAGTGAGTTCTTTTTTTTCCCCTTTACTTTTCCGTACATTTATTGCACCTGTACTGACTTTGTTTAGAACACGGATCCCAGCAATCGGCATTCAAGTTCTGGGTTCGCTCGGCCGACGCTCCCGTTGCTGCCGAGCACGCGGCGCGCCTCCTGTCAGTCGTGGGCTTCCCCGACGCCAGCGACAACCGCTACGCGCCCACGGGCGTGTTCATGGCCGTCCTCACGCTGTGGGTCTTTTTGAAGTACCACGGCGCGGCCATCCACCCGACGATGGACACGCGCGAGCTGCGTCGTGTCTTTGGCGGTCACTTCCCCACTGCGCACACGGTCCTCAAGGCCGGCATGAAGTACATGGTCGACAACCGCAGCTGGAAGATTTGTTCTGCGTTTGCCATCGTCCTGGCCAAAATGGTCGACAACGAGGACTTGCCAGGCATGTCGCCCAGGCCCAACCTTTCGCCCAGGCCACCAAACCTCTCGCCCAGGCCCCCAAGCGACGGATCGCGCTCGCACTCTGCCCGCTCACTATAAACCATTGTGCAGAAAAAAACAAACAAACAATAAATTCTGCACGCGCACACCAACGGACTCCCTATAGACAAGAACACTCATTCCCTCCCATATTATGTTGTACGCATCCTTAAAGTCTCCTTCTTTAAGTCTCCTTTGTATCCACAGGCACCCCTCGTGACCATGCATGACGTCCGAGGTCTCCCAAACAAGCACCAGTTGCAGCGAGAAAGGAAAAGGCATAGGGCTTGGTGGCACATAACATAACGTCTTCGTTCTACTTAACTACAACAGGGGGGGTAACAAGGGCCGGCAAGCATGCACACCGCCGCGCACGCGCCGCCAATGTATCTTGAATTCTACTGCTCCTGCTGCTCGCCATCGCCCTCGAACATGTGCGCGAGGCCATCGGCCGCCTCGTCCTTGGCCGGCACGAAGACCTCGAATGCGGTCTTTTGGCCCTTGGCAAGCTGCGCATCGCGTCCCGCGGCACCGACTTTACCGAGACCAGCAGACCAGCCCTTTTCACGGGCAAACGCGGCAGGCGAGCGGTCGAGCAGGATCTCGAGGTCGGCGTCGGAAATGATCGTGTCGTCGGCGCTGGCGACGTTGATCTCCTCGCCTTCCAGGTCGAGGAGGGCACGGGCCATCTCGGCCGTGCTCTGGTGGGCACGTTCCTTCCTGCCCAACAGGACGCGGCCGTTCTCGTCCACGACCTTGCCAAACTTGCCCTGCTGGATAACGAGGGCCTCGAGCTTGCGCTTGTTGCCTGCCTTTTGCAAAATCTTGGTCTCGATGGTGTGTGCCGAGACGAGGCGGAAGACGAGGACAGGTTTGGTCTGGCCGATACGGTGGGCACGGTCCTGGGCTTGCAGGTCCATCTGGGGGTTCCAGTCCTGGTCGAAGAAAATGACAGTGTCGGCTGCGACGAGGTTGATGCCCAGACCGCCGGCGCGGGTGCTGAGCAGGAATAGCTGGGGGGCATCGGGGCTGTCGCCGCCCTCGTTGAACTCCTTCATCTGGTCGCGACGGCTCTCCTGCGACGTGTTGCCGTCAATACGGCAGACCTTCCAGCCCTTGTACAGCGTCGCCCAGTCCTCAATGACGTCAAGCATGGTGGTGAACTGCGAGAAGAGGAGCACCTTGTGCTTGGTCGCGAAGAGAGTGTCGAGCAGACGGTTCAGGAGCAGCATCTTGCCACTGGCGTTGACGAGGTTCTCGTTGATAATGAGCTCGTTCGTGTCCTCGTCGTATGGCCAGTCGAAGAGGAATGGGTGTGACGACACCTTGCGCAGTTGCATGACGAGGTTTTGCAGGCGCATGTTGTTGACCGATTTGGTAGCCTGGGCGATCGCCCACTCGCGCCCGAGCTGCGATGGAGCCTTGGAAGGAGGCGGGGTAGGGCGGTTCGCCTTCCTCTCGAGCTCACGGAGGTACTTGGAGTCGTTCTCCTCAATCTTGTAGCTCACGTCCTGCACCCGCTGGCGCATCTTGCGGCCATCGACAATCACCTCTTCCACGATCTGAGGCTCAATGTCGCACACGTCCTCAATCGCCTCAGCATCGCCATCAACGCCAGTCTTGAGGTTGATCAAGTAGCGGCGGATGTCGCGATTGACAATGGCCTGGTACAGATCCTTTTGGGGCTGTGTGAGGGGCGCGTACAGGAGGTACTCCTTCTTGGGTGGCAGGTCCTTCTCGACATCGACCTTGAGGCGACGAAGAAGGAATGGCTTGAGGATACCATGGAGCTGGTGGACGATCGAGGTCTTGTTCAGCAGGCCCTCGTTGCCCATGTCGTCAAAGTTGAACCACTGCTGGAACGAACTGAGGTCGTCGAAAATGTCGGGGAGAATAAAGTTGAGAAGTGACCACAGTTCGGCCAGGTTGTTATGCAAGGGGGTACCAGTGAGGATAAGACGGTTGGCGCTGTGGTACGACTTGAGCTCGCGAATGAGCTTGCAGTCCAGGTTCTTCAGACGGTGGCCTTCGTCGACCACGATGTACTTCCACTGATAACTGCTCAGGAATGAGCGGTCGCGCATGGTAATTTCGTAGGTGGTAATAATGATGGGGAAGGTGGCGGTAGTGTTGGCGGTGGTGCGAGAGCCGAGTGACTTGCGCCCCCTACGACCACCGGCACCGCCGGCGTCTGAGCCCTTGGGAACCTGCATGCGTGACGTACGCAGCTCGGCACGGTGCTCGGGGGTACCGTGGTACATGATGACGGGGATAGAGGGCGCAAACTTTTCGAACTCGGTCACCCAGTTATGCAGGACCGAGAGTGGACAGACAATGAGGAATGGACCCCAAGTGCCCTTTGAGCGGAGGTGTGCAAGGAAGGAGATGGTTTGAAGCGTCTGGCCGTCAGCTATACAAGCCACGTTTTATCAGCTTACCTTTCCCAGACCCATTTCATCAGCCAGGATACCGTTCAAGCCGTTCTCGTAAAGGGAGATCATCCACTGCACACCGGCGAGCTGGTAGTCGCGAAGTGTGGCGCCAGTGATGAGCGAGGGCTGGGCAAACGAGTACTGCTTGCCGTCATTGGCATCATCGTCGGCGTCGGCATCGTTCTCGAGATTGACTTCATGTTCCTCCTGGGCATTGCTTGACTCGTCCACCTCGGGTGTGTCGCGCTTGCCACTGCGGCCAGACTCGTCTGCGCGCCTGCGCTTGGCTGGGCGTGCGGACTCGTCCTCCTTTGCGCGTCCGCGCATGCCAGCGCGACCAGAGGATGGGCCGGCAGCCTCCTTCTTCTCCTTGTTCGCACGGCGGGTCGCGGCACGAGCTTCCGCCTGGGCTTTTTCGATTTGCTGGCGCTCCATACGGTCGCCAATGATCTTGGCGTAGATGGTCGATTTCTCGAGGAGAAATGAGAGGTGCGCGGTACGAGCGGAAGCCTGATCGTCGACAACGTAACCGGGGGCATCGGAAAGAATGGGAGCAAGAGATGAAGAGAGATCGGTCGCGGCAGGTGAGGATTCCATTGTTATTGTTATTGTGGCGACGACAAGACAGCAAGCGTAGATGGGAGTGAAGTATTTTGTGTCAGCATGTGGGAAGAAGATGGCTTAAAGGGGCGTGGCAATGAACACGTACCTCTGGGTCAGCTGCATCAAGGACAAGGCCGTCGTCTTCCACCTCGTCCTTAGGGACAACATCGCCCTTGGGAGCGACATCTTCGAAAGCAGGTGTCGCGGACGCGTCGGGCATCTCTGTGGCGGGCGTCCGGGGCGAGTCTGGCATGGAAGTGGAGCCCGAGGCAGCTGACGAGGCAGCAAGGGATGGGACGGCGGACTGTGCTGGCGTACGGGCCATCGGATTAGGGGGTGTCTACAGGTGACGGGGCGGGCGGGGCAAGTGGTTGATGTACAACACCGCACGAACAGGTTACGCGACCAGATCGAGAGCAAGGTGTGTCAGTCATGTCCACAGAGACGCGTACACAAGGTCACGTGATACAAGAAACCTCCTAAATGACGTGGACAACATATTCCCTATCAATTACTTTTCAATAACGCCGTGCACTTGCAAAACTCCGGTATCCGTGGCGCCTGTGAGAAATTGGTGCTGGGCCGTGGGTGCGGGTTTCGACCGTGAATGACTACGTTGGGTCTTGCTCGTCGACACACCACCACACCTCCTCGCCAAAAATGTCCAAGTGTAAGTCGACAAGCGGCCTGCCAGCGCCTCGGACAGCATGAGAAGGGATACGACTCGACAGCCCGGACCCAACACGCCGTCTCCACGACGCTCCGCGATCTCTGTGCGACCAAAGCTCGTGCCGTTGCGCGTCGAATCGAGCGCATGGGATCTGAGAGGTTGTGGAGACGACGGGGGACGGACCTGTGATCGTGCATAGCGCAGCGTGCGCGATGAGGAAGAGGAAGACGACGGCGGCGCGTCGGCGCGTGCGCTGTAGCTCGTGCAGAAAGTTGGAGGACCAGTTTCCGTGAACTGCAGAACTGGTGCCCTTCCCTAGGAGCTCGAGGGAGAAATTGTCGACATGAGCCTGGCAGGCCAGCTTCCAACCCAGATCGTGTGCTAACGATGCAGCCGCCGCCACCGGAACCAAGTTCCGCATGACCCTCGGTCTCCCCGTCGGCGCCGTCATGAACTGCGCTGACAACTCGGGTGCCAAGAGTGAGTTTGCCAAAGCTAGAGCGCGGGAGGCCATTCACGCGACTTTTGGTCCGGCGGCCTCCTACACTGTGCTCAAAACTATGGGGAGCTACAGTGTGCTAACGCGCTAGACCTCTACGTCATCTCGGTCGTCGGCTTCGGTGCCCGCCTCAACCGTCTCCCCGCCGCCGCCGCCGGTGACATGGTCATGGCTTCGGTCAAGAAGGGAAAGCCTGAGCTCCGTAAGAAGGTCATGCCCGCCGTTATCTGCCGTCAGCGCAAGGCCTGGCGCCGCAGGGACGGTGTCTTCCTCTACTTCGAGGACAACGCCGGTGTCATCGTCAACGCCAAGGGCGAGATGAAGGGTTCGGCCATCAACGGCCCGTGAGTGTTTTCTTTGAAACTTTCAAAACTTTTAGCAGAGTGCTGACTTTGCCTTCCAGCGTCGCCAAGGAGTGCGCCGACCTCTGGCCCCGTATTGCCTCGAACGCCGGCACTGTCGTCTAAACGCGATTCCGGATTTAGGGGGATACATTGGTGTACGATGCACGAGCTTATATCACCACGCGGTGGCTGCATGATGCCGCCTCCAGGAGCAGTGAATTGGAATCGGGTTGCATGTTGCGGAGAAGCAATTGGGGGTGAAGCTGACCGGGCCAAGGACATGATGGCTAACATTTATGCATAGAGGTTGAACGCGGGCGGGGTGTGGGTATACAGGACACTACGAGGGGAACGCCCTGGTCGCGATGCTCGAAGTGTGCGGATTGTCTGCTCGTTAGAGCCTCTTGAGGCCATACACAAAGCCAGCGATTCCCGCGAGATAGGCAATGGCGATCGCTTCATGGTCAGTATGCTGCTCAACGTCGCCAGAGACATACAGAGCTTGCGCTTGGGGTTGCGTTCTATGGCACCTGCGATGTCGGGCAGGCCCATGTAGTTGCAGAAGATGTGGGCAGCCATGGACGGAACAACGGAGCCTGGAACATCAGTTTCACACTGGCACTGGCTTGACGTACCAGTACGGAGGTAGAGATATGATGCGTACCAGCCAAAGAGGCTGGTGTAGCCCAGCTGGAACACTGCAGGTCAGCTTGGCTCTCTCCAGATCACAACTTTGCACGTACCGGCACTGGCAGTTGCTGAGATGGCGGCGCGGCGGGTGCTGCCAAGCTGACGGAACACCTCAACAGCATGGTGAACGTGGGCTGGTCGTTAGCTAGCTGGACACATGAGAAAGACTCACCAAGGCCGAACCACAGGGGCGTCCCAAAGACGATCCACTTGGGGGACAGGTGGCCAAGAAGCGAAACGGCGATGATGCAGGAGCGGAATGAGAGCTCCTCGGTCAACGGGCCCTGCAGTTTCAGCACATATACACAGCCTTCCACGTACAATGACATAGTTGCGCTGCTCAGTCAGACCAAACTCGAGCGGTTCGGCATTATGCTGGCCGGGCAGTGTTCCGTCGAGGAATGAGGAGTACAGGGGTCCGATAAAGAGCAAAGGTGCGAGGAGGTAGGCCAGAGGGTTGCGGATCGCTGCTGTGCTAAGACCCAAAAGGCGGATTGTAGCCTTGAGCTGTCGACGTTAGTCCCCATCAATGATGGCCACCGAAGGTTGACTCACGGCGCCTTTAAACTCCAAGTTGCCAGTCCTCTTAACGGTCCAGAATACACCAGCCATACACAGGCGCGTCGTACTAATGACCGCCTTCATGCGCAGGCGCATCGTCGCTGGGTGGTTACGGTGTCCTGGTGGAGGGTAGGCCGGCTCGTTGGGCGCGGCGGTCTTGGTGCCAAAGAAGTGCTGCGCGACATATAGGCCACCAACGTAGGCTCCCGTCACCCCAAACGCCAGCGTCTGGGCCAACTGGGGGGAGATACCCGTTGCCAGAGGCGCGGGGAGCGCCAGGATGGGGCTGATGACGCTCATGACCGCGAGTACTGGTGGGTGCAATGCCGAGAAGTGAAGTGCAAAACGATCAATGAACAGAGAGAACAATGAGTCCGGGCTGATATGACGCTCGGATCTGAGCACGATCCCAAGATTCCGGCGCGCAGTGGTTTGGGCCCCGCACTTTTGCCATCCGGCGCGTCTCATGTCGCCATGCTGTCACCGTCGCTTCGTCACTACATCCACCATCCACTTCCTCGCCACCCATGAGTGAAGACAACAGTCTACAACGAGTGCGTCTACTCAACATAGGATTACCATCCCATCAAAGCTGACTTGACAGGCCCATCAACTGAGTGCCCAGGCGTCCGTGCTTATCCGGCCACCAGATGCCAACGCGGCGACACTTGGACGTGCACTAGCGGCCTATAACGCGGCTGCCGACCTCTTCGAGAAGGCCGGTACAGCTACAGACGCCTCTGTGAGTAATATTGTCACGCTTCGCTGACTCATGAGAACCGAGGAACTCTTCGTATGCTCACGGTTCAACACCGCAAGCTCGCACGAGACCTCGAGAGACGTATCTCCAACGTCGGTTCCGCTTCAGCGCCGCCGTCCCCCCTCACCGCAAATACCGACCTGCACGGCAGTTCCGTACCACGGAGAGCATCCACATCGTCACGGGCGACAGCGACTCCATCGCCAACCCATGCCGCCGGTGGATCCAGTAGCCTTGGTCCTCGCCCGCTTACTCCACGTCGCTCGTCCGCTAGCGCCGGTGTCACCCACAATGCCGGTCACGGTGCGGCGCTTGGATCTGGATTTGGTATGTGATCCTTTGCAGCAAAGTGCGCGCGACTGACATATCAGCTGTGCATCCGGCGAACGCGCGTTCTGTGCCGCCCTTCTCGCTACGACCAGTCGGCGATGACGGCTCCGCCTCGGCAGGCACCAGTGGTGTCCCGGCGCCGTTTGTGTCACCCGGCAGCCCGTACGACCTACATTCCAGCTCATCGAGCAGCGACCAGCCAGACGAGTCCTTCCTTCTTCCTGGGGCAATTCCAGAATCGAGTGATCCATTCTCACGGTTCTGGGGCATGCTCGAGAACATGTTGGAGGAGATTAGCATGCCAAAGGCGCTCACTACGGCTCCGCTAGATGTGCCGCCTTTGCCCGCCGGACCGAACCGTGCGCATCGTGCCAAGCACAAGACCAACAGTAAGGGAAAAGGTAATGTATCGGACAGGCCGTGGGGATCCCCGGCTTTTGTTGGTGTGGACACGCTGAAGCTGACCGAATGTTAGAACGGAGCCCGTCACCTTCAGAGTCGTTCTATGTTGTACCCCGCGACCACAACCGAAATGCGGCCCCCGAACTGACGGGTATTGGGCCGGCCCGCAAGTCATCTCCGTCTGTCAAAACCAATGAAGAGTTGCAGTTGGAAAACGAATCGCTGCGCGCTTCCCTTGACGCCTTGGCTGTGCATGCTCACAAGCTCGATCTGGCCAACCGTGCCTTCAAGGAGCGAGACCAGGAGCGAGACATGCTCGTTCGATCAGTTGTGACTGGGGTTCGCAGAGAAGTGCGTGCTGTTTGTTCAACAAAAACAAAACAAAAGACAGAAAGAAAGAGGCGGCTCGCAGTAGGCACGCTTGCTGACGCAACAGGCTCAAAGGGCGCGACATGATCAGGAGGTCCAGCGGTCGCAAATGCTGGCTTCGATCGCAGAGGGACCTGGCCAGCCTCCCAGCCAACCTGTTGCAGGTACGTGACTCGACGCGGATTATCTCTCTGACCACACATGCTGACGCCATCCGTAAAGCACTGCGGACTAGAATTGTGGAACTTGAAGAAGAGGTCAAGCAGGTTAAGGGGGAGAACGACAAGCTCGTAGGTTTGGGGGGGGGGGGGGGGGGGGGGGGGGCATCAAACAGCCTCGCGCCACATACCCCGTCCCCTGCGTCCCCCATGGGTTGTTCTTTGGCATGCTGACGGGGAACAACAGCGCACGCAGCTCGACAAGTTCAAAGAAAAGGTACGGGCGTCAAGGGGAGACATAGTGTGGCTAACGGCTCTACAGTGGGACAAACTCAAAGCCAAGAAGGAGGCCAAAGTCGCGGCGGCAAAGCTGGTGCGGACTTCACGCAGCCCAGAGCCAGGGACATGAAGGCAGTAGGTCTTGGGGCAGTCAAGTAGTGAAACTGCAGCAAAACATATGAAAGGGGGAGATATGTAGGTACGCTGTGTGAAGTCTGGATCTCCGGCAATCGAGGCGGCGGCGTCTTTTGTGTGGTGGTGGCACGACAGCGCCGGCAGCCGTGGACCGACACGACTTTCACTCTGCTTCTCCCGAGACTGCCGAGGTGCGCGTCTACTTTGCTCGCCTTTTGTCCCCGAGCCAGTCCGGGATCCGAGAGTAAGACTAGTTTATGAGGAGAAAACTCGGAGCCAGATGGGCCCAGTGTTGTTGCAGATTCTGACATTCCACCGGTCATCACGGCACGCACCGTGTGTGTGTGTGTGTGCACTGGTGTCGGCTCAACTTCATGTCGCCGAGGCGGAGCAACACGGCCGTAAGCGACTGCGTTTAGCGCCAGCGTCCCTCACTCCTCGTCTCCTGGGTGTTGCTGTCAGCCAAAGGGTACAGGGGTCAGTGCGTCACAAGACAAAAAAAGAAAAAAAGAAAAGAAAAAAGCCGGTCGTACTTTGTGGAGACATTGTGCGCCAGATGCCGCTGCATCGTTCCGCACCGCGCGCGCAGGACGAGTGCGAGGCAAACATAAGGGGGTGGCGACTGTGTCTCGGAATCGTCTGAACTCGTTCGCTTTCAACTCGGCGTCGCGTGCCTCAGTAGCAGAGTGGATCTCCGAGGACAAGAGGCGACGGCAGCGTGGAGCCCCTCCTCGGTTCACCGTTCGGTATGACGCACACACACAAATGTCTGAGCCATTCCCAGCGGCCGGCGCGAGAACAGGCTCAATAGGTGACACAGATCGAGCTCGACACGTGTGCCACATGTCCTCCAATTCAGCATCTCTTACATCTGGCACACTCACCATCTCCTGCGCAGCTGTTATTCTTTCGCGCACGGCCAAGCCCTTCCTCTCCCCTATGGCCAATGTTGCTTCCAGGCAAGGTTGGGCCGGCGCCGGTGGACTACTCATGGCGTTGACAGGCTTGCCGGAATTCCGTTCGGACGACGGCTCTTCGGGTCCAGCGGACGTCACGAAGCGGACTGTTCAGGTCTATCCACAAGGGAATGAGCGGCAGTGGCACTCAAAGCTTGAAGCTTAGCAGACGTTGCAGGAGGGGGAGGGGAGGCGTGGTGGTTGGAGGCGCTCTGAGGATGAGCTGGGCACAGGCTTGGTCCCTGCAACGGCCCCCCGACACCCCTGCGGCTCTGGAGCTCTAGACGTCGGTTAAAAGGTGGCTGTGTGTAGGCAAAAGGGGCGTTTTGGCCTTGCGCTCCGACCACCCCACCATATGCCGCCAGAACGTCGGCGTCCGGTTCGCCCTACATGGACACACCCGTTGCGACAAACGCGGTGGCCGACCAACGCACGCCTCGCCTAGGGCTTGCAAAGCTCGTGAACTGCGGCTGACTGCCCGTGAGTGCATAAGTGGTTGGAGCCAGACGCTGCGAACGTAGGTATCAGGACATTCAGATCCAAGGATTCACCGCGGTTGGAGGGAACCGCAAGTGTGGATGAGGTGTGAAATGGTGGCCTGAACAGCTGAGCTGCCAGGGCAACGAGGAAACTTGCGCTGGGAGGCGAGCCCACCGTGTCCAACTGCTCACGATGTTGTGGGTATCATCAATGGTCCTGGTCCTCTACACGTACCCCGTCTAGAGGCGGTCGTGTCTCGTCTCGTCCAAGAGTCAGAAGTGGATACGGAATGCCTAGTCGACGGTGGCCAGGAATCAGGGTATCTGCCGATTGTTCCCAGGTGCGTAATGGCAACGTTCCTGCGTGCCAGCAGCGAGTATGAGGGCTGGTAGCAAGATGATGGGTGTGGGTGTAGGGATCCAGGCAATTTCGGCCCACCTACGCTACAGGGCGGGCCGTGTTGTTTGTCACCAAGCGACATCGGTCCGTCGGGAACATGTCCGACATGCGGTCGTCGGCCGGAAGCACACGGACCGGGAGGTGTGGGGGGGCGGGGGGCCATATGCTTCCCTGGTCAGCCCAGTGAATATCAATAGCTCTTTGGGAGGGACAGGTTAGTCGTAGATGGGGTTAAGATTATGTTCTGAAGCGGGCGACTGGTCTTTGGTGAGATGAGAAGAAGCACAACAAACGAGGAATGTCAGCCGCCACTTGTTGACACTAAATGCGTGCAGAGAAGATCGCCGAGGCCTGAGACGGAAGCGCCGCATCATGTTAAGCCATACCGCGATATGGGACGAGGACTAGGCTCAGAACATTGTGTCATGCGGACCAACACCTCCGCCTTGAGCCCACCAGGGGAGGTGGAGCAATCTGACGCAAGGGCAGGAGGAAGGGTATTTCGTTCTGATGGCGTTCACGTCGGCGACGGACCTTTTGACAGTTGCACTTCGTGGGACCTGGAACAAACACACACACAAATGGCGTCGTGGAGTACAAGCGGGACCCAGGGGGGGCCGTCAGTAAACGTTAGGCTTTGCCAGAAACAGGTGCGGTGGTGTGCGGGGCGGCGCGCATGGCTGGTCGTTCCTTGCGTGTGGCGTTGGTATAGCCCTTGCAGCTGCCTCTGCATACCTTGCCGTCGTTTTGCCCGTGCACCGGGGCGTCTGCGAGGAACTCGAGTGGGTCATGGTGAACTGAATGACATGGGAAGGCCGAGAACTGGTGCGAGAGTAGTTCTAGAGATGTTGAGCGAGTCTCCGTCCATGAGGTCCATTTTGAGGACCAATCCTCTTTTCCTTGGACATGATCTCAAACGTCCGTTGGCGGGGGTGGCGTCGGGCCTCGGTCCTTTGGGTGCGCGGGCATGGCTCTTGCGCTTTCAACCTTTCAACTGCCGCCTAGTGGACGCGTGGACGGGTGTATGCGAAGAGGCAGAGACGACGGTACGACCGGGGTTGGAAAGGTGGGGAAGGGAATGCGAAGGTATGCAACGCGTGTAGTGCAGGTTCATTCCATGGCTTAGGCGTTCCAGGGCGATGGGTGGCGTTGGATATGACCCCCCGATGCCTGAAGCTGTACACTCTCGCTACCTTGGCAGGCAAGAGGCCTGCGGCGCCGTTCTCGTGGGCGAAGCCGGCGGGGGGGGGGGGGGTCTGGGCATTGGGCTGTCCACTGGCCACTGGCCACTGGGGCCACTGAGAGACGAGAGCGGGTCTCTGGCACAGTGGTCCTGTCGACCTTGCCCCGAGCAAGTGGGCGGTGGGGGGGTTGCCTGTGCGCATTGAGGTACAGTGTGAGCCCATGAGCCATGAGTAGTCAAGGAATAAGAACGCCCAGATAGCCGGGCGCGCTGTGTCTCCCGCTCACCACCTGTGCGCACACTCGATCTACAGCATCGTTACCCACCTCCGACACAACTGTCCGCACTGTTTGCGCGAGCGCCCCCGCTTCTCTCTTCCTCAATCTCCGCCTACTTCGTCCGCTGTCTTTGAACTTTCACACAATACGCACCTATACGCACTTCCCAAAAAAAGGACGCCAGCAGAAAGAAGCGAACAGGCGTGTGTGTCAAAGACGACTGAAGCTTCCCGCAATCTGTGCCCAACGAAACGCACGGCCCCCAGCGCGTCGAGCGTAGTTTGTCCTCGGCACTGCGTCACGTCAAACCCCACCGAACGCCGCATCTAACAGGTGATCAGCTTGCATTGCCTGCAGAAATCTGTCAGCGATACTCAAGGGTCAAGCTCACTCCTGCCGCCAAGGGGAACGTCAAGAAACACGTTTGGTCCGCGGAAGTGGACACATGCCCAACAGTGTTGCCAAACTCTATCTTCTGTCGCCACCTCCGTAACGACGGCTGCCACTGCACGACCACCAGCGGCTAGCAGCAGCACATCGGACGGCGAGCTAGTTCACATCGACAGCTCGTACAACCCACCCCAATTGTCGACGGGCCCATTCCTGTCAACGAACCCAGAAAACTCTTGGCTGCCGTGACTGAGGCCCACAACATCGGATCACTGCATCACATCACCGTATCGCCATCCGGTCTCGTCATCTGGACTCTGCTGTCCACCAAGATCAACCTCAGACCAATCGCTCCCTGTCCGCCAGCCTTCCCTGCGCACCAGCCCTCGCACAATTCAAGCTACGCATCACACCTCTCCCTCATTCAACAGTATCCCCCCGGTGACCCTCCGTTCTTTCACTGGAACTCCCACAGAGCCTGCGGCCGCCTTGAGCTCCCACTCGAAATAGTTGCGTGCGAACACCCACACGTACATCTCCACCTGTGTCGAGTTTCGTCCTGCCTAAACCGGGCTTCATCACTGCGTACGTCGTTTATGTCTGATCACCGTGGTGGCGCGCATGGCGCGTACGCAAGCCCACGTTGCTGACCACGCAGCAGTTGTTCCGCGTCTTGGAGTTCCGTCTCCTGCAGTCGTGTGCCTTCATCTGGACGCCTCTCATCGCCTTTGTTGGCGGCACTGGCAAGTACACACTCATTGGTGCAATTTGGTCGTCCCGGACGCCCCTTCTACTCCTCAACCTTGCGCCTACATACGTGTGGCCGATACCTCAGGGTTATATATACCAACTGGGAAGTGGTGTGTGGCTCGTCTGGCCCGTTGACCACTGTGCTCCCAAGGTTGTCCTTAGTAGTGTTCAACAAGTCATTTCGGCTGTGTCCTCGCCTCCGCGTGTATCCTGCCTGACCTGGTTCCTGTCGTTTCGAGGCCCCGCGGTGAACGCGCTGTATCCAGCACACCAGCAACAGCTCATCGACTCATCGATCACCCTTGTTGTGCTCAAGTGCCGGATCCCCCGCGCTGCCCCACAGCGTGCTCGCCTGGTCTGCCTCCTCGGTGACCATCACAAGGTCTAGCCGGACCCCCCGTGATCCAGATAGTCCAGATCTGGACGTATCCCTGTCAAGCCCGACCCACTTCCTGATCGCCCTTTGGTGATCGTTAGCGTGGCGTGGGCTTCCTGGAACGCACCAGCAGTATCTTCTCCAACCCCGCACCACCTCGCCCCCACAGCCGTCGACGTCATTCCGTACAGGTTCACCGGACGCTGTGCTTGTTTTGACGGACCTGCACTCTACTTTGTGCTTTCTGTCGCACCTCCCCACTTGCCCTCCCCGCAGCAGCAATTCCACTCCACTCAACTTCTTGCCTGGCGCCACCTCCGCTTGATTTCCCACCCTTTCTCCTCTGAGGATTTCCCCCGTTGCGTTGCTCTCCCTGGTCTCGGCACACCTTAGTGGTCCAATCATAAACTCAAAAAGTGGTTCCAGAGAAGAAGTCGCACACAGGCACTCGGGCACCAGACCAGTGTGATTGCGTGTCCGTTCTCCGCCCAGTCGACCTACAGATTTGGAGAACAAGCGTGACAGACTTGGTGTCCTGGCGAGCATTGCGAGTCCAGCTGCCACATAGCCTGGCCAACGGCGTGCCCCGGACCATTCATTTATCGGCCTGTTGTTCGTCGACCTCGTCTTCTCCTCCCCCTCAACTTTGAACCAACGACCCCACACAATCCACAGGTTTACGTCCTTTGCTCCCCGTTTTTATACTCTTTCTCTTCGTCTCCTCGCTCTCTCGAACTCGTTCGCTATTCTTCGACTCTCGATTCTTCGCACTTGGAAAATTGTTGGCAGGCCAGTCACACACCTAGCTGGCATCTTAGTAAGTTGACATTGTCTTCGTTCTTCCTGTTGTGTCTCTCCCTTTCTCCACAAATTTCTGGAAGGAGTGGCTTGTTGCGTTTCTTCTGTTCTTCTTGATCTGCCCACGCCGGCTTGTTCCGTTTACTCGTTCAAAGAGGTTGCGGCACACAGGCAGGCTGCGGTGTTGCATCCCGCAATGCCTACCAACTTTGATTTGAGGTCCAAACCCCGCCCCCCTTCCGAGTACCCCACGCGTCGCGACTGTGTGAGACATATGGCAGCCACGGTACCCGCTACCCCTCCGTACCCGGCTTGACATCTCATCGGGCTGGACTGCTTACCAGGCTTGTGGCAGCAAGCCTGGTTGCGCTTTGCTCTTCCATTATTTCCATGTTTCGAACCATACACCGGTGTGATTACCCAATCTACGGCGGAGTTGATGACGACCGAACTGGAACTGACACACACACGAGATAGCAAAACCCATTCGGAGCCTTATCAACCTTCAACGCGAACACACGCGATCGTCACACGATCCCAGCACGCGAGCCTTTCCCGCCTTTCTGTAACCCACCCATCCTTGACTTTCGGACTTGACAAAACAAAGCTACGACTCGCAACTTTCATCCCGCCTCTCTTCAGTTGCATCCGACGTACGTATGCTGTGGACGCCGGGGTGTCATCGTTTCTTATAGTTTACAGGGACATTTCTGTGCGCCACTGTCCAAGACGGGAGCGCCAACCCTCCCATTCACACCAACTTCGTAGGGTTCGATCCTTTCAAAGTGAGTACGTGCTTCCAGGATATCCATCTGGGTTCATTTCCGCGATGTTTTACCGTTCATCGTGCTGTGCGGAGCTCGGCGTCTGTTATGTGCCGGGGCTAAGAGGCCTCGGCCTAACAGGGGGGCATTTAGTGATGGTCTCCGACACTTGTCGGAACGTGCTTTGGAGGTTTAAGCTGCAGACCACCAACCTCGCGGTCGATTGGCAAAGCGTTGTCGTGGCATGGCATTCATGCGACCGGATACGTCCGGAGCCGGGGGAAGGTGTGCATGCCGCGACATGACAACGTTACGCCTGTCGTCCAGTCAGTCGGGTTTCGAGCGGCGAAGTGCTTGGCGCTCTCCCGCCAAAGTGACGACCACCACGTCTCAGGTCGGTGTTGTCTGTTTGGGGTGACTGCTGTATCCACGAAAGCATTCGCGGTGCCGCCTACCCCCGTCGTTGACCCAGGAGTGTTACACGCCACGGGGAGTGACAGTACAACGACGCGTTGTTTACGCTGGATACGGCTGCCGTTTTCTGGGAGGGAAATGGCACGGGGGTGGGGTAACGTTACAGATGAGCAAGACTGCGTTCTTCTGCTGCGCGGTCCTGCCCCGAGTTTCCAAGCATGTGGGCAACGTGTCGTCGTAGTGCCTTGCACACTTCGCGGGTCTGGCTGTTCACATCGACACAGGCACTGTTGGTCTCGCGGTCTCGCTGTTGGCCATTTTGCCGTTTCCGTTCCTTGGGAAATGCAGACCACATCACACTGGTCTGACCTCTTTACCCCTCCGAGTTTCTAGAAGACCTAACGCTGACAGTTAAGCAGTCACTACGTTTGAGCAACAAGTGAACGTTTTAGCCTTGCAACAGACCGACAAACTCTGATTCTGAGGCAAAACCCGTCCTCGCGACTGTCAAAAAACTTGGTATCTGTTACTCGCCACCAGCCACTTCGTGCCGTTGGACACAACGAGAACTTGACCACAAGTCTTATTCCGTCCTCGGTTTCTCTGTGTTGGCCCCGTCAATCCGACCTCATCTGTGGCTGTGGGTCCAGGCCGTTTTTTTTTATACATTTTGACGGCACGTCCTTTACGAAGGCCGCAACCTTCCGGCATAGCGCGTCCTGGTTTGGTGCCGTCGCAAGGTGAGTGGACAGATATTTTGTGGCTGAGAGGGTGTCCGGTGTGTGGCGCTTTTTTGGTGGACGGCCGTGGATCCGTGGAGAGGGAGAAAAGTGACGTGCATTGGCAAGGAGGGCGGCCAGCGTCTCCCCTGGCGCCTGGCGCATGGCCACAAGGTTGGCGCTGGAGGTAGAAGGGAGAGCGCATGGACTGGGGTCTAGTTCGGGTGAATGGCCCAGCGCTGCGTGTAAACTCTATCCCGCCTCCCTGACACTGGAGACGGCTGATTGGCGAAGGCCAAGGCGAGTGAAATGATGGCGGAAGGATGGGGGGGCCAAACCAGCGGGACTGTGTCTGCAGGCACCAACAGGGCAGTCCCGGCGTAGAGGAACGGCGAGCGCAAGGGTGGGTCGGTGACAATGTGCCCGCTGGCATGCGACCAAGGCGTGAAAAGTGGGGGGGGGGAGGGGAGGCAAGCTTGGGCGGGGGGCGACTGGGGCGACGGCGGTGTGAGGGGTAGAGGGGGGAGGAGATGGCCATGGCTATATGGGTGGGGGCAGGTTCTTTTACTGGGCTGGGCTGGGCATGTGCATTCCTGGGGGTGCATGAGGGTGAGATCGATCACCGAGCTCATCCAAACCTGGCTATGCCTGCCAGCGTCAACTGGCCTTTGTCACACCCCTATCTATAGGTACACTGGACCCATCCAAGTACCCCCCTACCCCCCCTCCCCAAATCCCCAAAGCTTGTGCTCTTTTACATCCTCCCCTTTCGCCCAGTCTCGCACGCCACCCCTCACGCCACCTCTTGGTCACCACCAACACACTTTTGCTCTTGTGTCACAGTCCGTCCGACGACCCCTCGTCCGCTCCCCCACTTGTACACACGACCGGATTCCCGCCGCGTCGTTGGTGTTTGGTGGCGTCCCTCGTCGGTGATCGTCGTTTGTCGATCCTGGGCTGGCTTGTATAAGCCTCCTACGCACTTGTTGGCCTTGGACAGACTTTTTACTGTCCCCCCCACCGCCCGGTCCGACTTGTGCCGTGCATCTCCCCGCTCCTTGCCCCCTTCTGTCTGAACAGCCAAACCCCGCTGTGGCTGCTCGTACCGCCGTCTGCCGTGTGCATAGTAGCTCTCCTCTAGAGAGGAGCTCTGCTTTGCTTTCACCTTCTGGCCTGCCAGTCGCACCACCGTGGGCGGCACGTGCAGCTCGAGCAGCCCATAACGTCACCTACCGAGTCCCTTCACTACGCGTTCCTGTGGTGTCTGGATTTTTCCGTCACCCACACTGGTGCTACGCTGTACGCCAGCGCTCGCTGGGTCGGTAACCCCCACCCACACCCACAGCCCCCCCAGCGGAGAGCGTTCTCTCCGTATCCACCCAATCCCCCCTCTCAGTTGGCTTTGCTCGGCGTCCCCGGAGTTCTCGATATTATAACAACAATCCAGGGCTGACCGCGATTATCATCTATTCGTTCGCTTCTGCCTCAACCCCATCTCATCTTCACTCTTCTCTACGACGACCGCACACATCCACCCTCCATATCCCCATCCCTCCCTCAACAACCCTCCCCCCTCTCCTTCTGCCGTCGCCATCCTCTTCTCACACCGTCATCATCCACTGTCGCCCCTCACTACACCCACTCCCACGACCATGCCAATGCTTACGGCCCTCGCCGCATGACCATTACGCCTTTTGCATCGCTCAGTTTACGCACTCCTGCCCCTCTTTCAATCGCCCCCCGAGTGGACCCATCCATCCACTCAACAACACCTGCTCCCCAAGCACCTGTCCGTTTAACGGACCATTGGCCCAACTAAGCACAACCTCCCAAACCACCGTTCACCATTACCATCCTACTCCCACCTTCCTACCACACAATGTCCGACGACAAGGCCGAGGACATTGCCCCACCCTTCCACGGCTTCATCGCCACCACATACGATGCACTCCTCGTGTTCGAGGCGGCTCGCCGCGGCATGATTCCCCGGGTCACCCGTCGACTCAACGACACCGAGCGCAACATGGTTCAGTCCGGCTCCGTCTTCGTCTACGACGAGCAGGAAAGTGGAATCAAGCGCTGGACCGACGGTCACTCGTGGAGCCCATCGCGTATCTTAGCCAACTTCCTCGTGCGTCCACACAAACTCACCACATGCATACAGCTACTAACCTTATTCGCAGGTGTACAGAGAGACCATTAAGCCTGCCGATACCAAGGAGGGCAAGGAAGGCGATGACGGCATCAAGAAGGAGGCCACTTCTCGTCCTGGCACGCGCGACGGCCGCCCAACAACTGCAAACTCCTCCCCGGCCAACGGGTCGCCCATCGGTGCCGATGGCATGTCTGCCTATGCCGAGTCGTCGCGTATGGCCATGGAAGCCGCCGCACGTCCTCTTGCCCACGGTCAGATGCGCCCCCGATCTGCGGCCGAGGCTGGCGGTTGCCGTCTCGAGAACGGTATCTTTATTGATCGCCATCTCGAGCGCAAGCTTGTCGGTAGCTTAACCAACAGCTATCTGTTCCAACCCGGCGGTCTTGTCAAGAAGGTGAGTCACCTGACGTCACCTTGGTGGAGTGTGTGCTATGGATGGCTGACGAGATAACCAGACCATGACCTTGACCATATCGGGTTTCCACCAGCACGTCGTCTCGTATTACACACTGGAAGATGCTGTCGCTGGCCGCCTTCGTCGTCCGTCCACTATCCCCGAGTTTGCATCGCTGGAGATCTCGCCCGAGTACCTCAACGTTGCCAACTTCCGTTACCCACCCTCGATAGAACTTGGTGCCGACGGTGTGCCTCGGTACCACGGTGAACCCGACGATAGGCCTGTGTCGCCCTCCCGCATGCCTCAGTATGGCGCCGAGATGTACGATGCGTACGGCGGCGGCGGCCTCGACTCGCATCACCAGCCTCGAATGCGTTCTGTGACGGTACCGACGATCAGCACCACCAATTTCTCGCCCACACAGTCGAGCTATGTCCACCCCTCCTCTGGTGGCTACTACGACCCGCAGCAGCAGATGCACATACCCCCCGCCCCGCGGATTAGTGGCGGACCAGCCCGGCCCGGGCACGGCTCAAGACGTTACGACCCGTACGCGTCTACCAACCCTCGTGTTCTCCACCCCGGTATGCCACCCCAAAACGTCGACTCGGGCCATCAGCGCCGCCTGTCGCAGCCGCCGCCCCCTGGCGAGCAGAACTACTATCAGCCCTCCGAGTATAACTACCAACCGCCGTCGACTGCACCAGGAGCCTTCACATACTACTCCCCGGCCTCCGCCGCACCACCGCAGCAACAGCCACTGCCTTCGCCTGTTGTCTCGTCCCCCAGCTACGGCAGTGGCGGTGGACCCGGTCAGTATGCATGGCACCAACCTCCAGCTCAGGGCTTGAGGACGCTCCCAATCCCCGGGCGTCCGGACATGCTGGACCACCCCTCGTCTTCATCGGGCTCCCTGGACAGCGCACCCGGTTCTTCTGGCGCACACGTTATGCCACCAGACTGGGCCAACCTTCCTCCAGCTAACGCTGCCCCGGTGTGGGATAACCACCCACCGCCCCAGATGTCTCAACAGCCGTACGCTGTGCAGCAAGGCGATGGGTGGCAGGCAGGCCTTGCATAGCCTGTGGTACTTCACTTCGTGGGCTCGCCGCCGCCGTCCTCATCGGCCGCAGGATGGGTCCGTTTTGGTTTCGACGACCTCCACTTCGAGGACACTTTCCCGGACACTGCTCCTTTTGGGCTTACGCACCATCGACGAACAATTCCATACGCAATATCAATGAACACAACACTGCCCGTCCCATGGTTATCTATTTACTACGGACAACAAAGGCCCATGTGCCCAAGAACTATGCCTTCGACTTTCGACATGTCCCATCATGACACGACACGACACACCCCAACTCTCCCTTCGACACCCTACTCGGGCATCTTCTCTACTCCCGACCATTCTTTTCCCCCACCCCATCCGAACATTCTCCGTATCCACCTTCACGACCCCCCCCCGCCCGAGTAAACTGCAACTGTGCGTGCGCAGCACACACGTTGGCGCGCGTCCGGCTGCAGTCCAGAAAAGCAATCAGTAACGCTGTGTCACGAGTGATTTGATGAGATTCACGTTCATCATGGACTGGAGTTGCAGCTGCAAGGACCTCGCCTCGCTACTGATGACAATTGCCTGCACTGTGCCCCCACACTCCCCTTCCTTTCACCAGAACATGAGCGGCCAAACCGCAGGATCCAGGTGGCCGTAGATTCCGGAGGCTGAGTCCACCCTCCCCCACCGTGCGACTCCATGTTCCTATCCTCCGTATCTGCTCCTGCCGTTTTTGGGTCAAGAGGCATCGTCATCCTAATGCTTGCGAGTAAGGACAAAGGATCAGGGGCGAGATTGGCAATCGACCAGACAACTCGATTGCATTCTGGTCTAATGGAATTGTCCTTGCTCCAGCAGTGCGTGCAACGCCACGACACACACATGCTCCAAGTGACATACTCCAATATCCGACCCTAATAAGGCCCAGGTCAGCGCCGACTATCAATGATTGCTTATTGCCTCGTCGGTCACGACTGATGCCGGTGTGTCAATGTTGATGCACTGTCTGATTGTCCTCGTCGTGCTTGTGTGCGCGCTAGCTACTGCCGCTCAGTCTCACACCTGGACATCCTGCAGAGGCTCTGATCGGAGACACACGATGGGACGAATTTGGACAAATTGTGGTATGAAGTACATGCGCCATGCATTGATGATGGTCCCACATTCACCGACATGTTGCCACAGAACTCCAGCCCAGCCCACTTTCTGCCACCTGCATACCTCCTGTCCATGTGCCACCACCCATCTCGGGCAGCGGGCAGGAGAGGAGGCGAGCAAGTCGCGGCTGCAAGTGGCCGGGGTACCTTGAAAGGGAATGGGACAACCTGGTGTTTCCGGTACCTGGGGTTGCTACCTGTGGATCCTTTAGTGCACTCTGAAGCGCTCGTCGTACACGCATTGAATGGCTCCATCCGTAGAGACTCTCGGCCCTCGGTCCTCGGCATCGTCGGATCTAACTAGGGCCGGCCCGGGAGCATCGACCTTACTCTTCGATCATCAACGATAAATGACTCTGGAAACGCCAGGCCGGACGATTCAGAATTCACTTGGCGGGCGGCAGTTGGCCAAGCTAAAGACCATGGGGCCGAATAGCTAGGCCGGCTCTCCGCACCCTGCTCCTCCTCCTTATTCAGTCCACACACTGCGTCATGAAGGTACGGGGAACGAGGGTAACAGGAGTAACAGGATAGGCGATTTCTTGATGGGCCGGAACTAGCGAATCGGGAACCGTAAACGGTGAAGGGGACGCGCCTCACTCTCACAACGTCTCGAACGCACGCACTCCTCTCACTCCTCCCACACACGATGCACATTCGTACGCACGTACGCACACGCGCTAGTTTGGAACGGACTGCGGACTCTTCCGCCGAGTAAATTCCACATGCGCAGGGCAAAGAAGGTGCCAGAGTCTTGATCTTGGCGTGCATGCACGCACGCTCCCACGTCAGCCACACCCGTCTGCCACCTGTCGGGCCTGGCGGTGCTCACCGGCGCATGTACCTTGCTGCACCAGCTATACGAGGGGAGCATCAGCGAAGCACCGCCACACTCGAATTGGCAGTAGTAGTGTGACAGTCTTCACCAATACGTTCTTGGCGAGAACAAACCCAGATCTCTGTGAAGTTGCATGATCGCTCTCCTGTTTGGCTGGCCTGTCTGGGCCGCTTCATCATCCTTCAAATGGCACATTTGTCACGGTTCCAGAATTAGTGCGCATTTTCTGTCCAGACAAGGTACTACTAGTAGTGCTGGCATACTAACGAAGAAAGTCTTGACCACGTCTAAAAAAGTATTTCCGTGGCGAACTGGGGCCTATTGCCAGGCATGGTTGATCAAAATTCCGCCTGCTCTGGCTGGCACTGTACATGTCTAGCGCACTAGAGCCCGACAAGAACCCTTTGCCAGTAATTGCAGCAATCCCAAGTCATGGATCGCTTGCGTTCTTATCCATGGCGTGAAACCGTGGGGGGACACAATCCCCGCTTGGGACGCAAGTCACGCTGCTTTGACGATATATTTGGAGTGGGATTGATTTTACGTACACAAAGTTGCGAAAATTGCCGACAAGAAAAAAACGTACGGGACCCCTGCCCCCCCCCTGCTCCCCGTATCCCCACCGCTCAGACAGCTGCAGAGAGGTGACTTCGGACATCAGTGCACTGTTCAGCAGCGCAAGTTTCCCGTCCCGACTTCGGAGATACTTACTCTGAGCTCAGGAGTTATCTACACTCTAAACTCAGCCTCACACCTCGTCGTAGTCGTAGAGAAGAGCCCACTTGACGGAACAGGGCCCCTGGCACCGGATGCTGTCATCACCCAAGCTAAAGGCTGTGTACGTGGAGCGACTCCAGTATTAGGGTCCACGAGGACCCCGGACTGATGGAACGTGACAACGAATCTGGAAGCGTCTCTCGTCAGAAATCTGGAAGGTATCTCGTCAGAGTGTGAGTGGCTGGTACAGTATGGTGCGCCATGCCCGTCAGTTCCCGTCATGTTCAAGCTCAAACAACACAACTACTGTGCACACTTGTTGAGTGATGTATTTGCCAAAAATGCATGTTGCGGTTCGTGTTCTTCATCGAATTCTCGTACTGCGGTGCGTGCATGTGAAGTCCCAAGCAAGTTGTGCAAACCCTCAATGCCGACCCGCAGCACCAGCCTCCTGGGACCGGCCCCTGGCACCTGGCTGCGGCATCGGGATACTTTGTGTTCGTGCGTGTGTTCGTACGACACTTGACGAGCGTCGCATCTCCTCAGCGTGCGTCCTGGATGGCCTTGATCATCTTGCCTCCCATCTTGGTCGCCTCGTCAAAGCGTGGCGCGAAAAAGTCTGTGAATGCCGTTAGGCCTGCAGTCTGTGCAACTATTTCGGGTCGAGTCAAACGGATCATAAACCTGTCTGCGATACACAGGTTACAGCATGTGCGGAAGTCCGGACATGATGGCACGGAGAAGAGGAAGGCTCGGGCTCGTGAGAGGAGTGCGGTATACAAGCTCATGCCGTCTAAGCTTCCAGTTGGTCGCCAGGGTAAGGCTCATTACCTCTCCAGATAAGCTTCAAACCACTGGCGCGCCAATAGGGGTTTGCTGTATTCCAGCTTACGGATGCACTAGACACCTCTCGGCACACTCTGTCACGGTTCCAGTCACGCTTTGACGAGAGTGTGTCGTTCCTGGTCACAGCCCTCCTCAACGCCCCACTGAACTGAATGAAGATCACAGTCCCTCCGCCTGATATTGAAACCTTGACACCGGTCCTCTTATCTTGGCGTCTCATTGCGACGCGTCGTCGGGGTTCTCACAGAGTCCCGCATGCCAATGGCGACAGTCACCACCACCATTGTCTCTGCCACCACGCCCCAGCACCCCAAACTGCACGCACGACAGGACAGCCACGGGAAAACGGCGTTTAGCCTTGCACCTCGGCAGCCCAGGTCATCCAACGCGAGCAGGAGAGGCTTCAGGCAAGCCTGGACTCCAAAGCATCCACTGGACGCGACGTTCCCCGGTGGACGTGAAGCAGAGTGCCCAGATTCGGGACATCTTCTTCAGCAATATGCAGACAGCTCCAAGCTGTCCAGCAGATGCCACTCATCCTTCTTGCCATACCCATCTTCGCCAATGACACAATCCTGATCCAAGTACTCACCAGCAGTTTCCATAAACCTCCTCTCGTAGAGGTCAAAGTTGCCAAAGCTGACACACTCGCCCCAGCCTCGTGCGGCGACCGTGAACTCTAGGTCGTCTGAACGGAACACGCGGTCCGACAGGCCGGCCTCGATCGCAGACTGGAGACGTTCGCGAGAGCGGAACAGGTACTCCGCAACACCTGAACATTGATCAGCTTTCTGTGGTGTCCAAGACTGCACTCACCGATCCAGAGCATGAACACTGGCGTACCAGCAACGTCAAGGTGGTCAAATGGCTTGATGCCGAGAGCAGCCCAACAGTCGACCATGGCAAGAAGGGACAAGTGCGAGTTTGGCTCCTCCTGGGATTTGGGGTCGTGTGTACCGAGAGTGAACTGGTTGAGGATCTCCTCGGACAGGAGAATAGGGTGGCGGCCACCGTCCTCGTCGGCGACGGCGTCCTCGCTCGGCGCCCAGCCAAACACGGCTTCACGAGCAGCCCACACGCGCTTTGAGAGCTCCTCCTCATGACGGCCGACCATGAGCTTGAACAGCTCGGTCACACTGCGAGAGTACTGTTGGATCTGACGCTGAGCCGCAGGGTTCAAGATTGCGAGGCCGGCATAGACATGCCACTTGGCCGCGTAGATGCGCAGGGCAATGTTGACCTTGACCACCTCGATACCGGACACCCAGCGTGCGTTCTCCCAAGGGTACTTGCCCGAACACTTCCAGGCCATACCCATACTATATTGTCAGCAAAAGAAGCGTATACGGCACCAGTCGGGCGGAGCGGTCCGCAGCCACGATAAACCACTCACCTCAAGAATGCGGCGTGGGTGACCGCCTGGGTGTTGGCAGTGACCTCATCGTGCTCCTCGTACGACAGATAAACGTAGCGACTCTTAAAGCTGCGGAACACGTCCTCGACCATCTTGACCTTCTCCTCGGGGCCGCGGTGGTGGATAATGATCTGGCGGTCAATACACGTAAACGGAGACACGTAGTAACATGCCCAGGCCCCGTGGATGGCCTAGAAGAGCCCGGTACAGATAAATAGCAGCCAGATCCGTAATCCGCTCGCCATACCATTGCACTCTCCCGACTCACCAAAGGCTGGCCCTCAGTCGTAACACTTGGGCCGTGGAGGGAGTGGATAGACACAATGTCGACGTCGTCTGGGAGGTACTTTTCAAATGCGGCCTTCTCGGGAGCCTTGACCGAAGTCTGGCCAGCGACGGTAGCACCAATCTTGGTGCTGGGGCCGTACTCGCGGACAACGGCAGTGATAGCAGCAGCCTCGACACTGTAGATCACCAGGTCGGCGACACGCGAGACGGCGTGTCCGTCGCGTAGGACCTGGATGCCAGTGTCGGCGAGCTCGGTCTGGAGAGTGGCAAATGCGTCGGGCTTGTCGCAGACCACGACCTTGGTACCAGAGCTCTGAAGACGACGGGCGTACATGCGGCCCATCTGGGAAAGTGGTTAGCACATTGCCTGCGAAGGAGACGAGGGTCAGTAGTGGAAACGCACGTCACCCATGCCAATGATGCCGACGACGGGGGAAGCCGAGGTCATCGCGAGAGGGGCGGCGGCAGGAGTAGAGGAAGTGGACGCCATTCTGGGTAGTGGTGTACGAGCGAGTGGTGTGGAAAGAGCACGCGGCGAGAGACGAAGGACACGCAGCATATATGGTGCATGATGACCGAAAGTTCAGGCAGCAACAATACCGAGTCATCGTGCCTGGCCTAATTTGTCACGTGACCACCCCACACTTCGTACTTCGTCTCGACCTGTCTAGGCAAGCCGTTCGTGCACCACTTATGCACTGCCGCAGAGACTACATACGGGTTTGGGAACCACTGATGTACGTCCTAATAGTATCCCCAAGACTGAATTACTACGGTCGAAACCGTAAACGCAAAAGTGAAAGGTCTTGTCGCTTTTATTCATTTGCTCGACCCCGGCTGCGCCCTCCTTGCTATGGCGGAGCAGGCGCACCGGGGGCTACCCTCAGATATCCTCCCTTCTCCCAAGAGCCCGAACGATATACCTCTGTGTTTCGCTTCTCCTCATCCAGCAAACCCGCGAGAAGAGTGCGAACACGCGGGAAATCTGTCGGCGGTTAGCTTTACCATTTTGCCAACTGCAACTGCAGCTGCCACACTCACTAAGCGGTTTGAGAAGCCAACCGTCAAAGTGTGTTGCCATCTTGTCCCTTTCGTTCTCCAACAGGCTAGCAGAGACCGCAAAAATGGGGATACGGCCGTCGATTCGCAATGGGTCGATTCCTTCTTGACCTGAGCCCGCCACGCCCCGCTCTTCGAGGGCACGGATCTCACGGGCAGCCTCCCAGCCGTCCATGATTGGCATCTGGATGTCCATGAGGACAACATCGATGTCCCAGTCCGAGGCAAGTAGCGTCACTGCCTCTTGACCGTTCTCCACTGCCATGACAGTGTGTTTGTCCATGCGGAGACGACGTTGGAGAATTTGCGAGTTGATAATGTCATCCTCGACGACCAAAATGCGCAAGATAGGTTGACCTTTTGGTCCAACTGTGGATCGTGTTGGAGTTTCGGGACGCGGAAGACGGATAGGCAACGATGGAGACGTAGTCGGTACGGCCAGAGGCGTCTGGCTGCGATCAGCAGACGACTGACGGGGGCTTTGTCGAGGGCTATGGTTGGGACTGAGGACCTTCTCCGTCGACCGTGACGACTCGGATGTGGTCGCAGGGCCAGATGATAGCCTTGATACTAACGACTTGGGCCCGATGGTCACGGTGGACCCAGAGGACCTCCCGGTCGAGCCAGACAGCAGAGGATCAAGCAACAGAAGCTTTCCAGCTACACCGCCGGAAGGCTTGCGACCCTGTACCAGAGCGGATAACGAGCTGGGCAAAGCTTGCGCTGCGCTCTCGCCATGAACACCCATGTTGACTGTGAAGAAGAACTTGCTGCCAGTTCCAACTTCACTCTCAGCACGGAGCTGTCCAGAGAGTTGTTCGACGATGCGTGCAACCACTGCGAGGCCCAGACCGACGCCGCCTTCGGTACCATCCTCAGCACCTTCAAGAGTGACAAAGATCTTCTCGAGTTTGGCGGGTGGAATGCCGATACCCGTGTCACTGACGACAATCTCGATGGCAACCTCGGTACGCTTGTCGGGGTTGGAAACACAGGGGCTCCCGTCCTGTTGAGGAGCCAGATGACAGGCCACCTCGACCATACCATGCGTTGTGTATTCGACCGCGTTGGCGACGAGATTTGAAATGACCGTCCTCATCTTGCGCGAATCGCCAACGACGATAGGAGGGAGGTCGTCGCTGACAGTGACGCGGAACTCGATACCGCGACGGATCGTCTCCGTCTGGTACAGACGGACTGTGCTGATGATCGTCTGCTTGAGGTCGAACGGGTCATTAAACGCTGTCTCGTTGCCTGTTTCAACGCGGGTGAGGTCGAGCAGGTCGTGAACGTGGAAAAGAAGTGCTCGCGACGCCTGGTGGCTGTTTTCCAACATGTCACGGGTTTCGCCGTCAATGTTTCCGGCAAGAGCAAGCTCGAGTGTGTTGATAATCTGCGACAACGGCGTACGCACGGCATGGCTCGTGTTGGACAAAAGAATGGCGGTGAGTTGGCTTGACATCATACTGTGCTGCCGCTCGCGCCACACATGGATGAATTTGCCGTAAACGAGCGACAGAACGCTAGCACTGTCAAGTTGGTCGTCGGTCCATGGCTTTGATTTTCCGGTGACTGTCTCTGTCCAGGTCTTGAACGACTTGCGCGGCTCAAGCGAGGCGTTCAAACGGGCATGTTCGTCCTTGTACGGCCTGCCAGCCCACTTGATCTCGTGAATCCAGGCCTTGCGGAAGAGGACGATGAAGTCTTGACCAGCATCCTCTGTAAGTGGAATGTACAGCATTCCGGCGATAGCATCATGTGTAGTCGGGATCTTGATGTCTGGGAAGTCTTTGGACAGGTGGTCGGAGGAACATATATCGGTATATTTGGCTACACGGAGGAATTCCGCAGCTTCGAGCATCGAGTGTGCTTGTTGGGAGTGGCCAAGCAACTTGCAGCCCTTGTTGATTACCAAAAGTCCAGAATCGGCCTTGAAAAGTGCCAGTAACTGGTCTGCATTGGATACGATGTACCCCTTTGACGAGTCACTCTTGTCATCGCCGAGCCAGCTGTGAGGGTTCCGGTCGAGCGAGGCAAAGCTGGCCAGAGACTGAAGTGGCTGGCGGTTCTTGAGACGCTGGGCATAGCTGAGGCGTTCCACGCCGCGCGAGATCTGGTCCGAGAGGACACGCAGCATCTGACGAACTGGGAAGGAAACGCGCATGCCGTGCTTGCCATATGAGTGGCACGCGATCAGTCCCCACAGCTTGCCAAAGGCCATGATTGAAACCGACATAGAGGAACGAACCTTCATGTTGGCCAGATCTAGATAACATTAGCCATCACCATCACCATCACCATCACCATCACCATCACCATCACCATCACCATCACCATCACCATCACCATCACCATCACCATCACCATCACCATCACCATCACCATCACCATCACCATCACCATCACCATCACCATCACCATCACCATGCAAGGTACACTTACATCGAATGTGGATAGGGGACATGGCTCGAAGAAAGCAGTGAGTCATGTCGAGGGGATGTTCGAGATCCTCCTTGTTACGCAGAACGAGTCGGGCGGTCTGCTGGCTTCGGTCGTAGAGGAAGCGGACCTTGTTGACTTTGTACATCTCGCGCGCCTGTTGTGGGATATCGGCAGCTGGGAAGCGGAGTCCATTGTACAGATCGGTCGTCTTTTCCCACTCGACAAGCTCAGTGACGACTTCACCGTTCATCTCCTTGTCGAACTGGTACACGAGTACGCGATGGAAGCGAGTCAGATCCTGGATCAAGCCGACGGTGATCTTCAGGAAGGCGTCGAGATCAGCCGCCTTATCCAGCTGTTCGTTGATTTGGGCCTGCACAGCAAACACGTCCAGTGCATCTGAACGGTGTGACGACGACCGCGGCTGACGGCGGTCGGGACGGAAGATTCCGGGAGCCCTCTGCGGGCGTTGTCCACTCGATCCGGGGCCGTATCGCATGCCATGAAGTGCGCGAAGGGGTTTAGCGTGATTGGTCGTGCTGTCCAGAATGGTCTCGAGTGGTGGTTCCATGTCATGCCCATCCAGGCCGTTAGGGTGGCTTCCACCGACGCTGCCTGTGGAGGCCCATTGCCTGCTGTTGGCCGACACAGATGCCAGGTCGCTACTTGACGCATCCTTGGACAGTTGCCTCGATATTGCAGGCGGCCGGAAGTGAAACTGTGCCTCTTGCTGCTTGGGCGAAGGATTGCTCTCGCTCTTATTCGCGTGAGTGTGGACGGAGTCGCTCGACGTCGCAACCCAGGAAGCAGAATTCTCGGCGAAATCGAGTGGCTGTGTCAAGGGGTTGTAGTTGTCGCGCTCATGCTCAAACTCAAGGATGACGAGGTGCGGTCGTTGCAGCTGCATTCCGCGCTCGTCAGTCCGGCGCCAATCCTTTTGCGTTGGGCGGCTGGCTGCAACCCAGCAAGACCATTCACGTCGCAGCCGGGAGCCTCTGATGTTGGCTTGGCCATTACCAGCGGCATCGCTACCAGGCTCGCCAAAGCCAGAGAGGCGAAGGACTTGGGGGCCCTGAAACTCTTCCATGTCCACCACGTCGTTCGGGTCCTCGAGAGTTTCAAGAGCGTCACGTAGTGTGTCCTCTTCATCGGCCACGAGGATCTTGGAGAAGCAGCTCAAGCCAAAGAGGTACTGCGGCGACAGGCCAAGCAATTCTGTTGAATTCTGCTGTGAGCTTGAATGCGTGCAAAATGAACCCACTTCTGAGACTTGCCGCACCACTAGGGCACCAGTCTGATCATTGACGTCCAAAACAATCAACACGCCAAACCCTTGAACGGCACCCGGTGTCGTAATGGGCTCGTCCTCACAACGCATCATATCACCCTTGCGGTTGACGGCAACAAAGTGGCCGCCATCAAGCTGGACGTGCTTGAAGCGGGATGTGAACTGGTCCAACCGGTCACTCTCCCCCTCGCCAGGCTGACTCGAGCCCTCTGTAACGCTAACTGCAGTCGACGGACTGTCAGACTCCTCCGAACCTTGCGGGGACTGTTCGTGGCGGAACGGGTTGTGCCTAGCAAATAGGTCTGGTGACGAGTCGTGGACGTTTGGATCGGACATTTGGGAGATGAGCGCCTGGTCATTGACAAACGCTTGTACCGAAGCATGGGCCGCCCCCGTACCGCTCCCTTTCCATTGGAGAGAGGTGCCAGACGATCCCCCGCCATCCTTCGTCTGTTGTGGGCGTGACCCTGGCCAGCTTCCTTCCGTGTATGATTGGTCATCTGGGGGTTGCTCCGAGCTGTTGGACGCCGTATCAGCGAGGCGAACAATTCGCGTGAACGGGTTGACTAGCTCGGGAGCACCTTCCTTGTTGGCCACAATCTCGGTACGGTCTCTGGAAGGAATGGGCAGCACATTGGCGGTTACAGGTGCCGACAGGTCCTCGCCTACGGTGGCTGTGGTTGGGCGTCAGCCACCGCTGAAGTTTACTGAGGTGACATACCTTGTTGACAGTGTGTCGACGGGGACGATGATGACGCATGTAACTGCGCCGCATGTACAGACGGAGATGAAGATGACGTGTGTTGGACAGACAGCGCGAGTGGAGAGGTAACCCCAGAGTCACCGTGCGTGTGCGTACGATCTGGATCGACATATAACGGGTCCGGCAGCTGGGCACCGAATGAGGGGGGAGATGTGAGAGGACCTCCAGACGGCGGGCTGCTGAACACACTGGTCGTGCGGGACGGCACCAGGGATGTAGCACCTCGATTGTTCGGTCCTCTCACATCTGGGTCGCTTCCTCGGCCCTCGCGGTACACGGAACGGATGGGGAAAACAAAGCTTCTCCGCCCGCTCGGCGATGGTTGCGGAGAAGCACTGAGTTGGAAGGTCGAGGACGTGGGTGAGGGATCGGCTGCTCGCCCAGAGTCACGCGGGGACGACATTCGTGGCCGTGGTGCACCAAGTGTCAATTGTGAATTCTGGGATGCGCTCTCAACCTCTCAGAATTCGACACTGTTGTTGTGGAAGTCCAGAGGGCAGTATTGGGGTTGCCCCGCGGTGAACACCCGTCCCGCCAAGTGACGTCAACGGCAAGTAGGTGTGGGGTGCGTGTTGTGACCGCGGCTGCAGCTAGGGACCTTCACCACGACTGGCTGCGTTGCTAAGAGCAGTGAAAGCAGTTGTTCGTGGGTAAACGTGGGTCACCAGTACAGCGAGTGGTTGAACTGTTTGTTTCTTGAGATCTTGGGGATGTGTGTGTGTGTGTGTGGGGGGGGGGGGGGGGAGGGGGGTTGGTGGGCGGCACGGGACGACCCTTGCTGCGGGGGCGGGGTGGATGAGGGTTGGCAAGTGGTAGTGATTACGAGGATATACGCGGTTTTTTGACGTGCCACCTCCCGTACTGTAGCGGCAGTTGTGTGTGTTGTTGTAGCAAAGGAGGATGTGTGCTGTGCGGTGGCGAGGTGGAGCAAGTGTACATGATCATGACTCAAAAAAGGTGTCAGTTGTCGCATAGCTTCCCAAGAAGAAAGGGATCATTGGCAGGCTCAGGCACTGCCGAGGCAAATGCGTGGGCCAAGCGGGCAAACCAGTGTATGCCGTGAGGAGCCGCAGGACAACAGGGCGCGGCGGGCGGGCCCACGCGAGGCAGCATTTGCATGTGCATGCATGTGCAGCATGTGCATATGTGCGCGGCGATGGAGACCACACCCTGCACATTCTGCGCGCTCAACTGCTCTCCCTGGCATATCGATCCTGGCCCAGCATGTGCCACCATCCCCTCTGGCTACCCACAAGGTTATCCCAATCACAGGTGTCTCACCCTAATCTCCGGGACATTGGGAGTCGTGTTATTTTCGTCCCCAACAACAAGACTTATAAGCTCGGGATCAACGTGTGAGTGATAGCATGATAGTAACATTTTACACTATTTCTTCCTTTTGCTCCCAGCTTTTAAGGCTTAGAGAGGCAGCGCGCAGCGACGTCAGCCGCGATGAAATAAACTCAACGCGATTTCAGGATCATATGGACAGCAAACACGCCCCGTCACAAGCTCACAAGAGTGCCAGGCCCCGGCGGCGATTTCGGGGTTCCGGCTACAAGCGAAAGTGGCACTGGCTTATCTACAGCTCAGTGCTGGCCTCAGTATACTCGAGACAACATGCATGCCAGCAGGTGATCAGGTGACACATGCAAACGGGTGACATATGTAAACTGGTGGCACAAGGTAGTGCCCAGATAGCAAGCTGCAGCCATATGTGCTTGACCAACTGTTTCGAGGCGGTTTTTGCACTCGCGCGACTGTCCAAAATGTACCCTCCTTTGCACCTAGAGGTCCCTCCTGCCGCTACCTGCCAGTTCCTCGAATGAACCTACCCTCTGGCCTCTGCACTGCACGACGCGCGGCCGTTGGGCGGCCTCCAGTTGCAGATGTAGATTAGCGCATATAGCCGTTGATCAGTGGGACTCGCTGCCTTTCCACTCCATTCCGTGCAACCAGTTTTGGGAAAATTCGATGCAGAACGAGCTATAGCCCAATGTAGCCCCTCCTCCACCGCACCACTCTCGTACACGGCTATCGTATACCCATCCGGGGATGACAGTAGACACGCATGAGTTGCATGCACACTGCCACTCCGGCCCAAATGAACCTGATTAACGGTTCGACTTGGCGACACGCTCGAGCTCATCCTTCTTCTTGATGGCGTACGAGTTCGACGAGCCCTTGGCGGCGTTGACGAGCTCGTCGGCGAGGCACTCCGAAACCGACTTCGAGTTGTGGAAGGCCGACTCGCGGGTACCGATGGTAAGGAGCGAGATAGCCTGGTTAACACGGCGGAGGGGCGAGACGTCGACGGCCTGGCGACGGACAGTGCCCTGCGAGCCGATACGGGTGGAGTCTTCCCTGGGGCCGGTGTTGACGATGGCGTCAACGAGGACCTGGACGGGGTTCTGCTCGGTAACGAGGTGGATGATCTCGAAAGCGTGCTGAACAATGCGGACGGCCATGAGCTTCTTGCCGTTGTTGCGGCCGTTCATCATGAGGCTGTGAAATGTCAGCAATGCGTTCGCAGTGGACAGTCAAGGCGGTGACGGTGGGTCTGGGTTGGGTGGTCGACCCTCGTCGACACTTTTGAGTGCCAGAAGGACGACCAAATTCCAAGGCACCTCCAAAGTGTGTGCGTGGCCGTGTGTGCGTGGCCACCCAACCGTTCCAACCCAAGCCCCAGCTGCCTTCTCCTGCGCGACTCACGCGTTGACGAGACGCTCGACAATGGGCATGCGGCCCTTGGCGAACTGCTTCTTGGCGTAACGGCCAGCAGTGTGGGGAACGTAGACGGCATGGTTGACGTTGATGTAGTCGGTGAGCGAGATGTCCTTGACCTCAATGCTACACTTTGTCAGCTGTTTGCTCTTTCGCGCGTTTCCTAGGCCACTTGAAGCACGCAGTCCACACCACACAGGCAAGCGCGCACACGACAGATCGAAAGACGAGGACAAGACACGCAGGCGAGGCAGACGGCTTTCGAGGTATGGCTGGGTCGTTTGCAGACGACCGCCCAAACCGCCAAAGTTCGTTGCCGCTTTCCAGCCCGTTTCTCCAGCGACAGCTCCACGCCGCCGTGTCCTCTATCCTCCTCGTCTTCGCCGTGTTCGTGGTTGTCGCTCGTGCCATGCGTGTGGTCGGTCCTGTATCTGCTTTCGTGTGCGCCGTTTCCAATACTCACTCCTGGGCATCCCACTTGCCGAAGAGCTTCACGACGCCCTCGTTGGCGACCTTCTGAACGTCCGAAGGGAGCGCGGCCATTTTGAATGCTGTTTGTACTGGTTGTGCCGGGCGTGTCGCTCGGTGTTACACCAGAGAAGAGTTGCTTGGGTTGAGGGATGGGTTCGATGGTGCTACAGCCTCAGCAACGACATGGCACCCACCACCCACAGGCGGCACCCACAGGATCTTCACGCCCAGAGAGAAATCCCGAAACGCCGGCAGGGCCGTGGCGGCTCCTGGCTGAAACGGCTATTAACGCGGTGGTATTGTCGGCGTTAGCATATCGGCGATTGCGACTCTAATGTGTCTGGCACCGGCTATTGTAATGCACGGTCTAATGGCTCTCCTGGCTGAGTGGATCGGTCGTCTGCATGCTTATCGGACACCCCCAAGAGCTTCCTTTCGGGATTCTTGCTGCAGATCCCACGGTTACAGCGACTTGCTATATGTATACGATCACATCGGATATCTCTGCGTTGTCGGAATCGTCGAGCAGACCACCCTTGACGCCGCCAACGTCGTCCTCATCCACCCACCACCTCCTTCGCAACTGCTCAATGTGCACTTTGCTTCCGTTACATCACGTGACATGGTTTCCCTCCACCTTCCCACGGTGATGTTCAACACGTTCAGATGAAGTCGGCCTCAACGAAGTGAACCAGTTAACTTCGTCACAATCGTCACCACCATGGCTTCGCGTCTATACCAGCTCGCCGCCTCCGCGCGCGCTATCCCGCCCACGCCTTTCCGCTCTGGAGCCACCCAGCTGTCCGATGCCATGGACGCGATCGTGTCGCGCTCGTTCAGCGTGCCTCCCAAGTCGTCGGAAGCGGCCCTCAACAAGCGTGCCGACACGCTCTCCACGACAGAGCAGGCAGCAGTCGACTCGGCCCTCGCTGCTGTCGATCGCATTAACGAGGCGTCGGCTCTCAAGACTGTAAGTGGACTCTCAGCAGGGTGCTGCGATACTGCGTGTTCGGTGCCGCCGTTTGCTGCTGCCGCAACGCAGTAGTCCGCCTTGGTGACAGCCTGCTACAGGTCCCATGAACTCTGGAGTACTCTGCGTGCAGCGCGCGGCAGCTGTTCATGTTCACCATGCAGGATCTCTCGCGCTCCTGTTTTGTTCTGGCCTTGATGCTGACGTCCAGTTCCCTTTGTCGGCTGCCATGACCCACCCCGTTCATGACCCGCACTACTACGACCGCATGCGTGATGGTGTCCACCGTTCGCAGCAGGGTATCAGCCGTAGCTGGTGGAAGCGCTTCTTCCAGGTCCGCGGCGACGCTTAAACGTCTTGAACTACCAACTGCACTTGTAGGCGTAATAGACGGGAAGACACTAGACACACCAGGACAAAGGACTAGACTGTACGATTATGTATTATACTGGATACACAACTTCTACAAATTCTTGGGATCATACGTGGTCTACTCTGTGCAGAGCAAGCTGACGTGTTAGACAGACGATCTCCCATTGTTAATAATAACATGGTTGGGACGTGTTTGTGTCTGGCCAGAGTCACTTCCACTGGCTGCCGGAGTTGGCCGCCACTGCCGCAAACTCTCCCTCTCCGCAATGTTCCGACGCGTCCCCTGCCCGGCTGGTTTCCGTCGACTGAAAGGATACTTGGTTTGACCTCTACGCCAGAAAACACTGTACAGTGCATGTACCTGGCAGCAGTACGACATCGTCGCAGCCATCTTAAAGACCGGACGGGAAGGCCATGAGAGGACTGAGGAATGACTGACAACAGCGGGTGCAATTCGTTTGTGGCACTTTTCCATCTCTTCACATTGCTTTCATGACAGTTCTGCGACCCACAACTTGTTCAACGCCTTCCCCGTCTTGATACGCATGATGGTATGCGTCTCCTGTGGCAGGTGGACAACCCCATGCAGCGTAGATGAGCATAGACTCGATACCAGGCCGTCCAGGGTGCAAACAACGTCCCCCTTCCCCTCCGCCTTCTCCTCGACCCTGTGTGTCCTCCAGACCCTTTGCGACACACCTCTTACACCTCTTGTACACGAAAAAGAGACGTTAGCTACCCCACCAGGGCTCGAACCTGGGACCTCGGAGTGTGCTAGAGATAACAGCTCCACGCGCTAACCAACTGAGCCATAGGGTAGACGATGTTCGCTGGTTGCTGCCTACGATCGCGAGCGGCGTCGTATTTGTCGACATGGAGCGCATCCCTCCCTTCTTCTGGCTCCTAGGATACCCCCAGAAGAAGGTTTGGATTATGGGAAACAGGCAAGGTCGAGTTGACTTCCCAACGGCAGGGCATTCCCAGGATGTGCATAGTGTTGTCGACAGTTCGGGTGGCATGTCACACTCCATGACTATTCCGCCTCGTCTACTGGATTCCTGGGAATCGCACTCGGAACCCGTTTGACACTCCAGTGGAGGGTGATACAGGGACAGTACGTCGCATGTCACTACCTCATACTGTCTGACGACGATCACCTACTGGAAAGGCTGATGTGCGATGGCCACAAAGCCACAAACATGATGGCAACCATTAGGCACTCATGTTTGGACCTCGTCGGCTTGCCGCGTTGTGAGGCCAACGGCGGTGCTGCTGCTTCCGACAGAAGTGAGCCCTTGTAGTCCATCACTCACACGATACTGTCAACACTCAAAGCTTGCCTGCATCGCCTGGGTTTCCAGAGGTCGTGCGAAGCCTGGCATTGCGACGACGGGGAATCGAAGAAGACCTGCGACGTTTTGATTGACACAAATGTCACGCTCTGTGCCTCAAAAGGCCGTACATGGCCGGAGTACCTACCAGGTCCGAGGGTCCGTAGTGACTTGCGGAAATGCAGTGTGGCATGCATTAGGTACGCGCTGGTGTGTATGTGTGTGTGCAGTGTTTTCTGGTGGGAGTCAATCGCAGGTTCCGGGAACCTGACAAGATCTTGGGAGCGGTGGAGGTGAGTGGGCGGCGGGCACAACCCTGTTCCTTGAGGATACCTCTTCCGCTCATACCGGGAACTACATTACGGCTTATGTACGAGATTGCCTCGGTGCTGGAGCTCGGTGACATTTCCCTCAAACCCCGCAAAATCATCCCGCCACAGTTGTCGGCCATTGTCCTCGGTATGGGGCTTTGGTACGTGGATCTGTGGTGGCATCAGCGCTCTGGCCTCCCAAACTCTGATTATTTGGACAATTTATGTGATCATAACCCTCCTCAGCTCATGATATGTTCATCAGTTTACCTTGTGTGCACTTTGTAAGTAATACGCAAACAGCCTTCAAGCTGTAGTCAAAATCGAGAAGGCAGGGAATGGCCCTCAAGCGATTAGTTGGTCATACTTGGGCTCACAACGCTGATGAAGTAACCAGCCACGCCCCATACTCGTCACCATTGCAACCACTCCTCACGCACGTTTCCCTCTAACGTTCGACGTTCGGTACCCTCTTGCTACACTTACTCAAGTTTATAGGTATCATGGTGTCTGTGCCCCCTCTCTTCCATATCTGAACGAGCCTGTGATAATGGCATTCCCCGCTTGTCATGTATGCCTCCACGGCCCAATCCTCGCACGGTGTATAACAGCAGGGCCGTGGATATTCTGCTACTTATAACATGTATAGACCTGGGACTAGGGACTTACATTCCAACGCAACAACGGCAGCGACGTGTCCTGGCCACGAACAGCAAACACGACCAGCAACCCCGGTTATTTTCGTCAGGTAATTATCACATTTATCGTCTGAACCCTTTAAACGGGCCGCGGACTTGCACCAGGCGCTACTGTTGCCCGATTTACTCTGGGGTAGGCTTTCATTGACCATCCGCCTCTGTAGAATCGACAGGCGTGTTGATTCGCTGGTGCCTACATGGAGGAGCCAAAGGTGTCGTGGCAGGATAAAGACTATTTCCGTGGCAGGATGAAGCCACTTCAATAACGCGGGTGCATTGCATGTTCAGAACAATCGCCGTCCTTTTCCCCCCCTCAGGGTTTATCTGTCACCTTCAAGCTCCACACAGTCTCCATACTGGCGGGTCTATTTGAGAGCTACATTACTGTCACAGCGGTTACCCGTCCGCGAGGAAGGCGGTCGGCTATGGATGCTGATATCAATCATTAAGCCAGACGTTCGTTCTCGTCCCTTTAACCTAGCGGACGGCCGAGAGAAACCCAAGTCTATCAACTATAAAAATGATCAGAACATGTGAGCCCAGACGCCCGTCGCGCCTGTCGGCCTGTCGGCTTCAGCCTTTTCGCAACGAAAGCTATGCACACTGCGTTGGTTAAGGCTACCTTTCGACATTGCCCTTGGGAACCTGTACACCCATGTAAGTCATTTGTATAACCCACAAGCTATCTTCAGCTACAGAGTCCCCACATGCTCATAAATCATATAGCGACTGATGCACATGCACAGCTCACCCTCACGCACCGTCCTTTGAACTGTCGCTGCACTGAACAAGGTGGACCGCCAAGGTGGAGGCGGGGTCCCGCCAAAACGCGAGGGGCGCCGCGTGTTCCTTCAGCCCTCCGCGTCATCAAAGGATCAGTGCCAGCGTTCCTCCACCCCATTCGCACCTTTCACTCCTTCCTTCCCTCCTCCCCCCTGCATGCTCCGGCGACTGAGCTGTGTTATCCTCCTCCTCGCCATCGCATACACTTACAGAGCCAACATGTCCACCACTACCACCACCAAGCCCTGTGAGTAGACTCCTAGAGGAGCGCCAACTCATCCACATCAGACCCGGCACCCCCGGCCACCCCTCCTTCCTGGGAGTACACTCCAGAGCAGGTGACCAAGAGTGCGGATGACTGCATCGCGTCCAGCGACGAGCTTCTCACCGAGGTTGCCGCTCTTCCCAAGGAGCAGCGTACCTTTGAGAATGTCATCCGCCGCATGGGTCTCCACGAGGTTGAGGTCGATTCGTTGGCTGAACCTGCGCTCTTCCTCCAGTACGTCAGCCAGGACGAGGGTATCCGCAACGCGTCCGTGGACAGCGACAAGAAGCTCCAGGTGAGTGGCCAAGTCCTGTTACAGGGATACTGACAGGCGTTTAGGAATACGGTCTGAAGGTCCTCGCGCGCGAGGACATTTACGAGGCGCTGCTCGACGCGGAAGCGCACACCAAGGCAAACGGTGTCAAGCTCAACGCCGAGGAGCAGCGTCTCATGGACCGCATGATCCGTGACCGCAAGCGCAACGGTCTTGGCCTTGAGAAGACCAAGCGCGACGAGCTCCTTGCCCTCCAGACCAAGATTATGGGTCTCGAGGTCGACTTCCAGCGCGCATGCAACGAGGAGAAGGGCTCGCTGCTCTTCACCGAAGAGGAGCTTGTCGGCGTCCCTCAGGCGAGCATCGACGGCTACACCAAGGAGGACGACAAGTACCGTGTCACCTTTAAGACGCCCGATATTATCCCCATCTTGTGAGCTTTGTTGATGAACATGTGAACTTACAATAGCCAATACGCCGACCTTCCCGAGACACGTCGACGCGCCGTCCTCGGCTACGAGGGCAAGACGATCCAGAACGTGCCGGTCCTCGACGAGGTGGTCAAGCTGCGCCGCAAGGTCGCCGACCTCCTCGGGTTTGACACGTTTGCCGACTACGTTCTCGACGTCAAGATGGCCAAAGACAGCAAGACTGTCCTGGCGTTCCTCGATGATCTGCTGGACAAGCTCAAGCCCGTCGGCGAGGCCGAGAGGAAGAAATTCCTCGCGCTCAAGAAGGAGGTGCACGAGAGCCACGGCTGGCCTGTGGACGACGAGTTCAACCTCTGGGACTACCGCTACTACGACCGTCTCTGGACCGAGCGCGAGCTCGCTCTTGGTGGGTCCCGCTCACCGAGATCACTCAGACTGACCGTTGTACAGACGACGAGAAGGTCAAGGAGTACTTCCCCGTTGACAAGGTCGTCCCTACCATCCTGGACATTTACCGCCAGCTGCTCAGCGTTCAGTTCTACCGCATCCCCGTCGAGTCGGGCGGTGGAACCTGGCACAAGGGTGAGCACGCCTTGGCGGTTGCTTGAGCTAACAACCAGATGTCGAGGCATACGCTGTGTGGGACCACAAGGACGGCAAGGATGGCAAGTTCCTCGGATTCATGTACCTCGACCTTTTCCCCCGCGAGAACAAGTACGGCCACGCCGCCGTCTGGGGTCTCATTCCCGGATGGACCAAGGAGAGCGGTGCCCGCTCGTACCCCACTGTTTGCATGGTTGCCAACCTCGCCAAGTCCACTCCCAAGCGCCCTGCTCTCATGAAGCACGGCGACGTCGTCACCTTCTTCGTGGGTGTCGCCTGCCGCGTGCGCTGCTAACCCTCCAGCACGAGATGGGCCACGCCTTCCACGGTCTTTGCTCGGCTACCCAGTTTGGCCGCTTCCACGGCACCCACGTCGCGCGCGACTTTGTCGAGGCTCCCTCTCAGATGCTCGAGAACTGGTGAGCTCCATCATCCCAGTCACGTAAAGCTGACGATCCAGGTGCTGGCTCCCCGAGCAGCTCAAGAGCATGTCGGAGCACTACGAGACGCACGAGCACCTCCCGGACGACATCATTGCCAGCATTGTCAAGAGCAAGAGTGTGAACCAGGGTCTTTTCAACCTGCGCCAGCTCTTCTTTGGCCTCTTTGACAGTGGGTAGTCAGCCTTGAGACGAGCTAACCCATGCAGTGACTGTCCACACATCCAAGGAGGACCAGGACCTGACCAAGCTCTGGTGCGACCTGCGCGAGAAGACGTCGCTCGTCACCACCAAGGGCGAGTACATTGGCGGCCAGTCGGGCTTTGCGCACATTGTCGGCGGCTACGCGGCCGGATACTACGGATACCTCTACTCGCTCGTGTTCGCCGCGGACATGTTCGAGTCGGTGTTCCGTGCCGACCCCATGTCCCCGCAGCTCGGATACAAGTACCGCGACTGCATCCTGCGTCCCGGTGGCAGCAGGGACGAGATTGACTCGCTTGTCGAGTTGCTCGGCCGCGAGCCCAACAACGAGGCGTTCCTCAAGCAGCTCCTCAGCGGCGCCGAGGTCGACGCCAAGCTGTAAGCGTGCGTTCAGTATGTTTGTGAGAGAAGTAGACAGGTACATCTGAAGGAATGCAGGGCTGGAAATTCACCAAACTCGCTGTCATGGTCTGCGGTAAACATGGCGCATTCATAAACTGAGCTTCATGAGCTAATTGCAATTGCTATTGTGGATTCTTGACTTCTTCAGACAGGCGCCTCGACCTTTGTTTTGTTGTTGCTGCAGTCGTACTTCTGACACGGTGGACACAATAGTCTCACGCTTCTTCTTTGCGGGCCTCGCGCGTTGGGGCGGCACTCGTGCACTAGAACGGACAAGTGAACCTCTGGTCCTCGCCGTCGATCTGGGACGCGCCGCCTTTATCCCTCGCGCCAAACTCGCCGCCCATTTTGCGCTTGGTGCGGGCCTTGCGGCCGCCCATTGCCTTGTATCCTTCGCGGGCAGCGAGTTTGCGTTCAGACGGCGTGAGCGAGCCCGAGGCTCCGGTGGGACCGTCGTTCCAGCGTTGGGCGTTTCCGGATCCGAGACCGGCGTGCTGGTGCCGCGAGGGCGTAGAGTAGCCGGAACTCTGGAGCGAGTCGATTTTGACACGGTAAGGATGGTCGTCGTCGTCCTCTGTACGCGAAGGGTCGGAACGGGCAAGGGTGGTGTGGAACACCGACTTCCACGCGCGCTTGCTTTCGGCCTTGGACCATTGCGGCGCCGTCGAGGCTGGCACGGGGACGGCGGGGAGGGCCGAGAGGCGCGGCGTCTTGTCGTATGGATCAAAGAACTCGGGTCCATCGTCTACTTTGCGGTTCTTGCCCTGCAGCATGTTGGAGAGGGATGGCAGCGTGAGGGCACGGTTCTGAAGGAACCATACTGTTGATCGGGAGCGATTTGGAAACCGACGTGTGGCGTTCCAGTTGAGAGTAACCAGTTTCGGAGGCGTGGACGTGAGTTTGGTGAACGAGATTGATGAAATCAGGGGCGTTGAGTGGAGTGGGAATGGAGAGAAAGAGGGAAGTGGTGTCAGCATACCGCTCAGACACGAATGGGTCCCACCCATGCAGTGCTCACCATAGTTGAGAGTGCTCGATTTCTGCCATCTCTTGCAGACACGGTCACAGCGTGCCAAGCTTCGGATGTCGAGTTGGATGAAGATGCGCACGGCAATGTGGGTTGGCAGGAGGCGGAGCTGCAGGCTGTCAGCATGTGAACTAGGGGGTATGAGAGCAGGGCGACACGGATGCACATATGTATGCTACACGGCACACGACCGACTAAAAGGCGGCGTTCACAGCCATCCACAGAGGAGCCATCACAAGCCCTTCATGGTCGTTGACTAAGCCGTGCCCTCCTGTTCGCTGGTACGACCGGTGCCGCCGAGACCCATTTTGCCACTCACCGGGTCCTTGCTGTTGAGGGTCTTGATGCGCTGACCGAGGACCATACCCTTGCCTGGGATGGGAGTGCCAGGGGCAGTGCCGAATCCGACAGTGACAAGTTCATTGTCATCGTCGTCCTCTGATTCAGCGGAGCGGCGCCTTGAAGACGAGGCGCTCGAGGGCGGGCGTGGAGTGTGAGAAGGATGCGCTACCTGCTGGGCGACGTGCAGGTTCTGTAGTGCGGTGTGGAGGAGTGAGGTGGTAGTGGCCATGGTGAGCGAGGAAGAGGGTGATGAACAGTTGAGAGAGATTGAGAAGATAGAAGAGACAAGAGATGGGATGGGACTGCAGATGACAATGGGCGCGGAAGTGGGTGGGCTCTACACACACAAAAGGCGGCCAGAGCCTGGCGCACAACGGCGGGGGGGTGAGTGGCTGCACGGAACGGGGCATCCAGAGGGCATATGACGTACGGCGACATTGCGCGCGCGGGGCCGCTGCCCAGCGCCCAGCCCGCGCCAGACGCGCGGAAGCCACCGGCAACAGCCAGCCGATGCACGTGACTTTTACAGAGCCTAGAGCAATTTGTTCCGATCAATTAACATTCGGGTCCTAATCTCCATATCCCCTCAGCCCAGCTACAGCCTAATCTGCTCATATCATGCGTGGCAGTTGGGTGGCATGGGTGGACGACGTCTGAACGTTGACACCAACCGTCACATGGGCCGGGACAGTGGCAGACAAAGCGTGCCAGTACGACCTTTACCATTCTAGAACCTTCCGAATGGGATGGTCGTTGGGCCGTTGCACAAGAGCCATTGGGGAAGAACGAGATTGCAAGTCGACCAGATCCTCATACTCTGGAGCATATCTGCATGTTCTCACACTTCATACTGTCGAGCAGCCACAGTACCGCAATACAACCAACAGCTACTGAGTCCTCTTCGATAACAAGCCTCAACATAGCCATGGCACCTCTTAGTAGTCGGTCTGGGCTCGAATCGCGTCGCAGCACATGCAAACGGCCGAGATGAAGGCAAGGTCGACACCGGGGGACACGGCGACGGTGTAGCGGGTAGTGACCTCTTCCTCGGTGGCGGTGTCCTTGGAGTCGTTCTTGGCGAGGAACTCGGTGGCCATGTTGGCGCGTTCGACACGGGCGACAAGTTCACCGTCCGTAAAGTCCTTCTTGTCGGCGCCATGGGGGGCAAGGCGGATCTCGGCCTTGCGGCCGAGCCAGTCGCCAATGACGTTGATGGTGCGCTTGAGCTCCTCGTCAGTGTCACGGTACTTGACGAGGAAACGGTCCTCGTCAGAGGTGTCTGGGACGGCGTCAGTGGCGTGTAGGCACATGTGGGCGACATGCGGTCTTGTCTTCACGACTTGGTGGCACACTCACAGCCCTGGTGTTTGGAAACCTCGAACAAGGTGACACCTTCGATCTCGCCCTTCATGGTGTTGTGAAGGGTAATGATCTCGTCCTTGATGACGCAGATTGCGGTACCTCCGGTGTCATAGAGGGCTAGGAGGATGTCAGTGAGGGCCAGAGATGAATAGAGGAAGACTCTGTGTGGTGTTGGATCTTTAGCACTCACTCTTCACATCACGAGTCGACCATTCCTTGCCCCTTGCGCGGAGGATCGGGGCACCGCTCACGGCGTCCTTTACAAAGTAGTCATCCTGCATGTCTTGTCAACGACTGCAGCTTGCCAGTTCCAGTGGCACTCTGCCCATTTGACTGCTGTACTCACACCAGCGATGACAGCGAGGTCGTCAAGAATGAGGGCCGAGGCGCCGCCACGGAGGTAGTTGTTGTTGATGACAATGGGGGGGTTGATGGACTTGAACTCCTTCCAGTTAGTAGCAGCGTTGGCCATGTTGCGCGATGTGTATGAAATTCGAACGGTACGGTTGTGTAAGGGAGGAATGTACGGGTGCTGGAGAGTTAACGAGAGAGATGGGAACGGTATGGGTTGCCTTAAGTAGTCCAAGCTGCCACGATGTGTGTGGTAGTTAGTCCATGGTACACCGTGGAACGCGATGGAGACATCAATGGTGGGCCGGGCCACACAACTACGCAGCTACGCGGACTAGTCGGGCCGGCGACTATGCGACGAGCTTGGTGAGAGCTTGTGAGTCTCTGGTACTGTAGTCACGGCCATGTCATGACGTCAAGAAGGCACAAGCAGCCGCTACCGAGCAGGCTGGGATGGAGGCTGTGGAACGTGAGATGAGTGCAGCAGCAGTTGGTACGACAGCGTGGTTGCGATGGCCGCCCGGCCGTCAACCTCATGGTCTATTGACCCCAGCCGCGATCTCTGTGGAAGAGAAGAGTGCTTTTAGATCCGGCCGTAGCGCATGGAACAAATACAAAACTGGTAAGACGACAAGTATGGCAGTGGGCCGGCCGCAGACGCTAGCACAATAACGTCACCCATGCAACCAACCACGTCTGAACGCGCACCAGTGCTTCCTGGCCGATTCCCAGACCAAGGACTGCATGGATCATCTCGGATCCTAATGCCAGGAATGTCCCCTCAGCACCGCGCCACGGAACCACTGCGCGTCTCCCCCTCGTCTCTTTGATAACAGCCTGCGACCCCGCTGCCAACCACTGCCACCACAGCACGCTCCTCTCTTTGCCGATCGACCGCCACGATGACCTTGGCCGTTTCGACTCCCACAGTGTGACGCTTCCAGCCACCGCTCAGCAGCCACAATCTGATGCCGGTCATGGCAGTCCGGAAGGGCTCACCACTCGCCTGCCTTTTCTGGCCTGACACGCACTGTTCAGTTCCCGCGCACAATAGGCCAATCTATCGGTCCCCCGTAACCAGGTTTGCTGGGTCGCATGTCGTATATGTCGTTGACAAGCCCAGAATGTGAGATAAGGCGGGCGGATGGATAAGGCGGGCGGATCGACACCCAACACGTTTGCCCGTCCTCGGCTCCTAGCCTGTTTGCAGGTGTCGTGTCGTGTTCGGCATCGGATGATCGTAGAATCTAAGGGCTGTTATTGTGGCCCGTTCAGCCAGCTGATCGGCGGCAGGTATCAGTAGTCGGTGAGGAGACGTGTTGGACATTGTTGGACCCAGCGTACGAGCGTCCTTCCGCTGCGCCTTCCAACATCATTGACGTTTGTTGATGCGTAAAAAGAATCATATCATATACATGTTTACCGAGTTGTTGTCTAAGCTTTACTCCACACGAAGGTCGGAGCGAATAGGCGCTGTAGGTTGTTAGCTTTGAGACTCATTTAGCTTAAGGATCAGCTCACCAATGAGGGGGTTGAGCTGCGCGAGGTACGTCACGGCCCACATGACGTAGCAGCAGGTGATCGTGAGGAGCGCCGAGGAGCGGAAGATACTGCGTGGGGGTCAGTGACTGCAATGTACCATCTTGTGAGAAGGCTGGGAGGGACGCGAGAACGTGCAGGTATCGGTCACGATCCAACATCGCTCTCTACGTTTGCTTCCATCGCACCCCCATGCACACTCACACCTGGTTCTTCCCTGGACGCGCGCCGAACCAGCACGCAACTCCAAGCGCGAGGGCGATGAGGCCGATGAAGACGACGTGGCCGAACGACATCGAGACGACAGGAACTTGGTGTTTGAAGGGTGGAGGAAGGTGTAAGGAGATTGTGCGGCTCTTTACGAGGGGCGACGCGCAGAGGTCAAACACGGCGCGGATAAGGGGAGGGAGCGATGGAGGAGCTGCTTGGCGGGGCGCGGGGTTGTTGGTCTCGCGTCTGCGCTGCAGGAGAGGTGGTGGAGGACGTCGGCGGCGACGGCGGTGACGGCGGCTGGTCGGTGGTGACGATAGGGGAGAGGGACGACGACGGAAGCAAATGTAACAAACGCGGAGAGAAGGCAGATGTCCGTAACACGTGACACACTTATGGAAACCCCCTGGTTAAGCAATCTGCCACTTCGGGCGCCGAGAGATGCCGAGAGACCGAGAGTGGTACGATGCTTCGGAACGATGTTGATTTTTGGTCAGCCCGCGCTCATCCCACCAGCAAGGGCAGGGGTCAGTGGTGCGGGGGCGACGCGGCCAGAGCGAGGGGACAGAGCGTGGGCAGCACAGTGGGGACATGCCATTAAGGGTGAGCTGCGCAGCTTTGTAATGCCCATTAGGGCACTGTGGCATGGGCAGTGTTGGCCGGGATAAGTCGCCGCCAAGAAATGCAAAAGAGACGAGCGAGGCACAACTTGGTGGTGACGAAGTCTGTTGCCTTTCGCTGGGTTGTCAGGTTCTCACATCATCTCCACTCTCTGTCGCGTTTCTTGCACGGCTAGTCAATACCACCCCATCTCCTTCACCACACACGCCCGACCCACGCGCGCAACAGCACCCTTCGGCAGTACGCGCACCCCCACGTCGCGTTCATTTCAAGAGTACAAAGGAGACGAAGACAGACAAAACAACTGGCCGCGCGATCCGGGCCTGTCACCTATCGTCTCACCTCCCCATCGTGCCACCCTAACACCCCGAGACGCGCCGACTCGACCACTGCACTCCACCTTACGTGTGTTGTACTAAACGTTGTTGCACACGCGTAACGTCACCGCACTCTGCGTTCAGCTTGCGTTTTGGTGCCTCTGTAATCGGATCACTCTCGCCTCCCCAGCCAGCCGCCGCGTCCTAGTGCGACTTTCCTTCACTTCCCCCCTCCACCCCCTTCGGCGCCCATCTCGATCGCCATGGATCTCGTCCTCGATTACGCCGACGAGTACCTCCTCGACGCGACCTACGCGTACTTTTTGCCGGCACCTGATGCCAGTGGCAGCAAGTTGGCTGCCAACGCGACGCTCGCCGCCGGCGCTGCCGCCACTCGCGCAGCGTCGACTTGGGCACGCGACTACATTGTGCGCCAGACCGTGAGCTTGTTTGTCCTGTCGGCAGTGGCTGCGCTGTTCCTCTACTTTTTGTTGTCGTCCTTGTCATACTTCATCTTGTATGACAAGCGACTGGAGCACCACCCTCGATTCCTCAAGAGGCAAAAGTACCAGGAGATCATGTGCTCGGTCCTCTCGGTGCCCGCCATGGACGTCCTCACCCTCCCTTGGTTCCTTGGAGAGGTGCGTGGCCACTCGCTCCTCTACACGGAGGTGTCTGAGCGTGGCTGGGCCTACTTGATCTTCTCCGCCCTTTGGTTCCTCGTCTTCACCGACTTCCTCATCTACTGGATCCACCGCATCGAGCACCACCCCTCCATCTACAAGTACATCCACAAGCCCCACCACAAGTGGATCATCCCTACCCCTTTTGCCGCCCTCGCCTTCCACCCCCTTGACGGCTATGCCCAGTCCCTGCCTTACCAGTGAGTTTTCGCCACAACCACCATGCCCTCGCCCCACATCTGCTGACTCTTTGCTCCCAGCGTCTTCGTCTACCTCTTCCCCATGCACCGTCTGCTCTACCTCGGCATGTTCGGCTTTGTGCAGATCTGGACCATCTTCATCCACGACGCCGACATGATCTCGGACCACTTTATGGAGCGTTTCATCAACTCGCCCGCGCACCACACCTTGCACCACATCTACTTTACGTGCAACTATGGCCAGTACTTTACCTGGGCCGACAAGGCGTTTGACAGCCACCGCCAGCCCATCGCCGAGCTGGACCCCCTCATTGCCTCGCTCAAGAACATGCAGGCAAAGGGCCTCATTGACGAGAACCACAACCCCATCCCCGACGTCGCCAGGAAGCAGCAGTAAAAATAATCCTGTCGGCCAACACCGTCTCGGAGCAGGTGTGGATTTTTGTTTTGTTCCACCTTTAATAAATGGTCGGTCGGTCGGTCGGCCAGTCTTGGCCATACGGCGCCAAGCATCAGAGGCCGAGATCCGATACAGCGCACCCACAGCGCAGTGCGCGCAGCGCCGTGTCGCGTCGGAGGGACTGGGGAGGGGGGAGACTAGATCTGTTAGACAAGCTGGGATATGCAGCACTGTTCGTTTCAAAATATAAGCTGGAGCACTGTCTGTCTCGGTGAATCAGGTGGAATCTGCTGCTGGGCACCGGGGAAGGGGATGATAGGCTATAAGCTATAGGTCAGAGGCCTAGAGGCGGCATCGTGGAGCAGATCTGTGAACAAGAACGCTCTGTAGAGGGGAGTCTGTACTGGCTGAGGAAGATTGAGTGCGGAACCAAGCCCGCCGCCCCTCTCCTCCCGACGTCATGGGTGTAAACAATTTCAAGGCAAGTCAGTTTTGCAACCTCCACCCAACCCATCCACCCCCAACTCTAATATCCACCATGCCGTCGCCTGAACGGCTCGATGTCGAGAGCGACGAGTCCCGCGAGGCGCGTCTGGGTAAGTCGTATGCTTGTGCCAGTGCACGTGGATGGACGGTGGGGGGAAGGTCTTGGGGGGTGGAGCTGAGTTGGCGGTTCCTTCGGGAATGGGTGGTACAGTCTCCTGCAGCTGTCGAGCATAGAGCATCAGCTGTGAGGTGGATAGCAGCACCCACCCGGCCGGTTTCTGGTACAGAGCTCGACGCGAAGTGCAGCCTGGGCCGGTCATCATCCACCCTCGGCCCGCTCTCCACCACCCCTGCAAACTCACGTCTCAGCTAGCGGTATGGACGGGACAAGCTGACCGACAGGTAACCTGTTCTCCTCCCTCTCGCAGGCTACCCCCGCTGCGCCGGCAGTGGACGCCGCGTTCCCTTTGCCGCCAAGCAGGCCTTGCGCGCTTCCCGAGAGCGATGGTAAGTGGACACCATGGCCAGGTGGCCATGGCACTCTTGCGAATGGACATGGGCGCTGACCTCTATCTTCTCTGTGTCTGCCCACCCTGGTCCCATTTGTCCGTCTCCCGCGCGCCTGCCCACTGGCCACGTCCATCGCCTACGCCTTCCATACGCACGCCTCCTTTCCATCCTGGTCCCCGACGGCTCGACCTATACCTGCTACCTGCACCTGTCTCACCCGCCGTTCCTTGCACCTGCCTTGCACCCCCGCCTGCACCTGTCGTGCTGCTCCCCCACCTCCTGCCATCACAGTCCTCGCGCGCGCCCGCGCCTTTTTGCCGCTCATGGCCGCGTCCAACGCCGACATTCTCGCGCGCGCCGCGTCCGACCCCACCAGCGTCAGCATGGAGAACCCGTCCGGAGCGCACGTGGCCATGGACGTCGGGCTGGGCGTGTTTGACGTGCAGGGCCAGGCGCCCGGCGCTGCCCAGGAGGAGATGGGCCCGCTCGTGGAGCGCGACGCCGTGGTGTGGGCTGCTGCCCACGAGAGCGGTTCCGAGGAGGAGGAGGAGGAAGATGAGGATGAGGGTGAGGGAGAGGATGCGGACGAGGCCGGACAGGCAGGTGTGTTGGTGAGGGAGGAGACGGGCGAGGACGAGACCATGGGTTCTGGCTCGGAGTCCGAGACGTCTAGTAGCGACGGGAGCGAGGACGACTAGACGCAGGCCAAACAGACGGATGGATGGGGGCCAATGGTGAACAAATAAATGTTCACATTCCTGTACTACAAGGTTTTACACACTTTTTTCCCTTTTTATACCACTAGAAAACACATATGGTCGTCACAGAAAGATTCGCTGCTTCCACGACGCCTGTTGAGATTGTAACACTGTAAGAGACAAGAACCGAACCAGCACGCCGCGCAAGCGGGTGAAGAAAAGTCGGGCTGGGGAACGTGAGGCGAGACGGCCGGTGGATGCGAAGAAGGAAGAAACACGGGGGAAAATGCTGGATGCTGAAATGTACGTGACGGAGTGAGCTCATTCCAGCAGGAAGCTCCACTCGTCGCGGTCGTCATGGAAGAGTCGTCCGTACCTGCCATGTGTCAGTTGAGAAGCAAAGCGGACACGTCCCCAACTTACTCGAGAAGCAAACGGAACATGTATGCCTGCATGTCCTCCCAGCGCCAGTGCTCGCGAGCAAACTTGCCGCCATTGTCCGCAATCATCTTGGCGGTGTTCTCGTGGCCGGTGCCCTTGCCGTTGGGCGGGCCAACAAAGAAGGACATGATGTCGTAAATGTCCGAATAGTCCTGGTTACAAGGCTGGGGGGTAAACTGTCAGCCTGTGCGCCCTTTTTTGTTTTTCCTCGCAAGTGTCCGACTCACAACATAGTGGACCCAAGGCGTGAGCCAGTCGCTCATCCACTCCTTGTAGATGGTGGTCTTGATGACGACACTGCCGCTGGCCAGGAGACGGTGGTAGCGGCTCGACCAGCCGTTTCCGTCGACGTCGATCACATACTTGTACGCGGCCGCATCCCTGGGCTCGACGCGGTCCTTGAATATGATTTCCTTTTCCATCTCCTCGCACGTGCCGTCGTGGTCGCACTGGTGCACCTTGCCGGCGAGTCCCACATCGAGGTAGCGGTCGTTGAGCTCGGAAATGCTAAACGTCTCCTGGTCCCAGCGACGGTCGTCGCGCTTGACCCAGACCTTGGCCTCGCCTTCGGTACGCTGTCCAAAGAGGTGGAGGCGCGGGCGATGCGATGTGCGCCAGTCATAGTCGGGACGCGAGGCCTTGGGCTGGGTGTATGCGTCGCCGGTCGAAGCTCCGCGCCAGAACAGCTTGGAGATGGTCTTCTCGCTCCATTCAGACGCCTCGTCCATACCGTTCTGGGACGTGGCGTTGAAGTAGGCCTCGAGTGGCGTCGTGAGGAACTCGCCGTTCTGGATGGGCTTGGACAGCTGGAAAACAGGACGAAGCTTGGCTTCGCGTCTTTGCGGCCACGTGAAGCAACCGTGCAGCGTCATGAGCTCGGGGTTGTCGCAGTAGCTCATGCGCTCGACAGGGTCATACACAAAGGTCGTCTCCGAGTCGGCCTCCGGGGGAGCGCCGTTCAATTTGCGAGCGAGGCTGTCGGGGTTGCACGACCTCAGGAGACCAGGTTTGAAGCCGCCGTCGCCGCCGGCCTCGTAAGACTTGAGCTCCTCCTCGGTGAGGTATGTGCCCTTGGCAGCGGCATCGAGGGCAGCGTTGCGGTACTGGTCCGGCATGATCCAGTTGCCCATGTCATGGTCGGAACCATAAAGGGTAATGTCCTCAGGCAGGTAAGGTGCAAGGGCTTCGAGCAAATCAAACGCCAGCTTTGGACGCTTGAACGTCGCGCGTACACCTGACACCTCGGAGGCAGCGTTCGGGCGCAAAGTGATCTTGCTGCGATACAGTTAGCCGACTGCGTATCCAGATGATAGGCAGTTTGTGCCTTGGAGGCAACAAAGCTTGAGCTTCCCAAAACGAAAAAAAGTGGTGCCCGTTGTTCAACCGCAAGGTTGAACCAAAGTTGTTGATTTTCACGTACTAGGAGTGGGGGAGGTCCTCGAGCGCGTCGACGCGTTTGCGGAACTCTGCAGGAGCGATACCATGCCATGGCGCAATGTCCCTTTCAATTTGATCGTACTAGGCAAAAGGTAAGCGCAGTACAGGGGGATGCGTGCGGTAGGTGGCAACAAGCCTGGAATGTAGCTCCAAGCCTCACAACGGGCGTACGGGCAGGGTCTCCATTTGTGTTGATTTGGGACTTGGGGTGGCGTAGGCTTCCCGACCCCCACCCCCATCACCCATCATCGATGGTGTTAAATTAGGCCCACACTTACGTCGTCTACAATCTTGACACTATGCTTCTGGCAAAACGCGAACCACTTGTCAAACCCTTTGGGCGGTTGACGGTTGTAGCGCTTGACATATGTGGCGACGGCCTGGTCGAGTGTCTTGGACTGGCTGAGTGTTTGTTAGGAACACGCCCGGCGATGATCACCCTTGCCCTTGAGCGCGCCACCAACTCACCTCTTGAGCAGCCTGTCCCACCTGCGCTTCCCACGTTCCATGAGGTCCAAGATGGGGTGCTCTTCGCTGACTCCCGCCGAGAAGCGTCCAGCACGCACGAGGCCGGCGTGGATCTTTTCCCAGCCGCGCACGAGGCCGTCAGAGCCATAGGTGAGTTCTGTCGAAATGGTTTCGGCTGGCACCGACCATGGCTGCTCGACCTTTGCCTCGTGTGCGGACTCGACGGGCGGCGGCACGGCGACGGGGACCTGTGCTCGTGCGTGAGAGGCTGCCTGCCGCTCCTTGTCGCGGACGAACTGGGCCGGATAGATGCGAATGTCGGTGGAAGCGGGTCGGAGGAAGATGACAATGAGAAAGGCAGAGACGATGACCGTGGACAGGATGTACACTGTCCGCGCGCGCGACCGCAGCGAGATGTTTGAGCTGCGGCGTGGTGGTGGTGGTCGGTGCTTGGACGACGGGTGCACCATTGTGTTGGAGAGGTGTGAAGAGAGATGGAGAGACGGAGAGGATGCACAAAAGACAACCGTTTGCACTCCAGAGAGCGGGGCGGGGGGGGACGGGGGGGGGGGGGGGCTGGGCGCGCGCAAGGTGGCCTGGGGTTCTTTGGCCTCGGCCCAAACACGCGCGCTCGTTGGTGTTGGCATGCTGGTGGTGCTCTGGTACGCTGTGGTGCTGCTGCTGCCGTGTGCCGTGTCTGCACATCCTGATGTGGGTCGATCCAGGGTGCAGACGGCCACGGACAGAGCAAGACGTTCATGTTCTATTGCTCTCTTCTGGGGGGGAACTGCTCTCTGTCAATGTATAGCACAGGGCAAGGGACACGACGGTGCTCTCTCTCTTGGCCTGCAATCAATTTACCCGCGCAGGGTGTGGACCCCTTGATCGCAACATTCTCTGTCTCCCCCTCGGTTCGTTGGCGTCAAGCTTGTTTGTCTCACCAGAAGGAACTCGCCCGCCTCCCCCTTCAACACTCCCACGCCGGCCACGCCCCCCTCTGCGCCTCTGCTCAGTTACAACGGGGACTTTTTTTTTGTACAATCTCGCTGCGTCGCTCTCAATCCGCAGCCTCAGACACACGCCTCTGACGCCACTACGGCCACTACGCTCTGGCGCTGGGGGGCCCAGTCTCTTTCCATTGTCTGCCCGCGATCCCGCGACTTGGGCAGCGGGACGCGGTTCTCGTTGTTCCCGGCGTACACAGAAGAAGGTACCGCGGGACGACATGGTGCCTGGTGTGCCATACAGCCGGCCAAGACGGGGAGAAGGGGACGGGCCGCCGACATGGGGGCGGTTACACAAAATGCAGCAAGGAACAGCGACGCGTCTCGAGCTTTTGGCAGTGGGTGGTGAATACAGATTGACAATGCATACACCATGCTGTCCGCCACAGTACTCTGTGCTCTGTGCTCTGTGCTCTGTGCTCTGTGCTCTGTGCTCTGTGCTCTGTGCTCTGTGCTCTGTGCTCTGTGCTCTGTGCTCTGTGCTCTGTGCTCTGTGCTCTGTGCTCTGTACGTTCTGGCGACGGACAGACCCTCTTTTGATAGTGGAAACAGGTCACTGGTAACTGGTGATGAATGTATATACTGCACAGGTGCATTCCCAACGGCCCGACTCTAGGCCCGACTCTAGGCTCCGGGCCACATTTTAGGAGCAAAGCTCGACCATCACTCAACTCCTCGGCACGCAGTTTGCAGGTGAACCTTTGTTGTTTCCAGAGGCTTCAGACCGTGAAGCCTCTGGAAACAACTCTGGAAACAACAGCCAGGCGACTATAATTACGCCTTGCGACCCATTCTGACAGTACTGAATCAAAGCAACACTCAGGCTTCCGCCCAGCCGGCAATGAATGCGCATTGATTATTACCTATACTCTCGTGACCGAGCGGCAGAGGGCTACGGTCGGTTTATAGCCCCCTGGCTTGAGGCAATCTGATGTGGTCCGGCCTGCCCACACTTTGCGCGCGCTCTACGCACAGCTGCGGGAAAAAGCCACAGCGAGGAGGGATAACGCCTCGATTTATAGAGCCCCACGGCTGTCAGTGCATCTTTGAGTGGTAACGGGGACCACGCTCTGCCACACGCTGGTGGGAAAAGGCCACACAGCGAGGAGGGATAACGCCTCGATTTAGAGCCCCCCGGCTTTAGCGTATCGTGGCCCACACCACGATAGAGGCAATAAAAGGAGCCGGGGAAGAAATGTTCCAAAGGAAATGGAGGGAAGTGGATGGTGATTGTGATGGAAGATGAAGTGAAAGGTGGATGTTGGTGGCAATGTCACGCTATAGGTGAGGACCGCGGTGGGTGGCGTGTTGGCCCCGAAGAGATCAGTCACGTGATTCAAGGTCATTCAAGGAATCTTAAATCACGTGATGGATCACGCCCAGGGCGCTAACATCCTAGGCTGGTACTACAATGCCGCCACCCAGTGCCTTCGCCTGCCTCTGATACACACAGTCATCTCATCGCAGTCGATATTCTCTCCAACCTCGTGTACGTTTTGCCTCTGCTCACATCTATCTACCCATCGCGCTAACACCCTACCCCCTCTCCGGGATGTCTTCCTCATTTTAACCTCATTTTAACCCATATCCCTCTTATCTGTCTGCCCTCTCTTACACCCCCAACGTGGCAGCTGCTCGGCCACAGCCACACATACCTCAGTGGTCCGGTGGGTACCTCCAAGTCAACCCACCCCCACTGTTCGGTGCCGTTGTAAGCTGACCTTGTTGTAGCCAGATTTCCGTCGGCACGAGACCCGTGTGTACATACAACTTGGGTTCCCAAATGTATGTGCCCAGGCCAGCGCAAGAGCGAGCCTCCTCCCTCTGCAGACAATACCTCCTGCGAAAGTTCTCTTCCTCTTCTGCCCCTGCCTCTGCCTGATCTGGGAGCTAATCTGTGCCGTAGGAACGGTACCCCAAGGATCAACGTGACGAAGAACAAGCCAACAAATCAAGATCAAAATATAAAACCCACAAAAGGACCACTTCGTCATGGCTCACTCCATGCCGCCTTCCCGTCAGCCAGGCTGAACTCGACCGTGGACGCGCTGTCCGCCGTGCTTACCTGGACGGCTAGAAGGAGGCGCAGGCCCACATCTGCGCCTTGAGCCAGGCCATCGTCGTCCGTGACCAGGTCATTGGCTCCATCCAGGACCGTCTCGCCGTTGTTGAAGGACGCGTCAACGCCACCGAGGACCATCTCCAGGCTGTCGACGCCACCATCGAAGAGACGCGCAGCGACATGCAGGTGATCGAAGTTAGCATCGAAGCGGTGGGAACCACCGCCAACGCGGCATACCTTGCCAACGGTGATATGGCTGAGCAGATGCTCGCCATGTCCGAGGCCATGGCCGGCATGGGCGCCCGTCTCCGCGACGCGGGCAACAACTCGCCCCCCTTCAACCCGCTCGCGCTCGGCTCCCTCACTGCGACCAAGGTCTGCACCGAGTGGGAGCAGAAGAAGGGTGGATGCCCGGCTCCGCCCGGCCGCTGCCGCTACGCCCACCCCTAGGCTGGCCGCAAGACGTCCTGGTCGCACTGCGATCATGGACACCAAGTACTCGCATGACCGTCCTCGCACCGTCATGTCCTTCCTCCGTTTTCGTCACTTTTACGCGCCCCCACGCTTCTTCTTTACGTTTCTTCTTATGCGCCTCGACGGGCTGTCGACCGCTGAACATTCTCTCCTCTGACATTTCCCTTCCTACGTTCATGTACTATGCACAGCTTGATGTTGTGCCACACCCTGCGACTCACGTGCTCGCGGATGTTTCGATGGACACGGACGCCGGCGGACTGAACTGGGACCAGCTGGCCAGCTCGTGGCCAACACCCACGCAGGGCACTGTTGGAGACGAAAGTCGTGACAGTTTTTAGGCCAGCGAGGTGACAGACGTCGGACTGATTTGTGGCACTGTGGACGTCATTTTCTTCAGCCTGTCGCCTGTCGGTTCCTGATACTTCCAATGGGACTCCTTGGACTCTCGGCACACGGGAGCGGGCGAGGGGATATGCGACTTCCGTCGACCGCGCAGCCGTGTGGTCACTGCAGCAATGGCGGGAAGCGAACACTCCCCAGGGGCGAGTGCGGACCCGGGGGGGCGGATAAAGGCATTACTGTACACTACTGTACCGCACGATGTGTCTTCTCCTCTGCAAACGATCAGGGAACTGGGACACATAATTCACGTCCTTCGCGCCGGGTTGTGCTGAGCCACGGGCCACGGGTGGCGTGGGTAGGACTGAACCGTCGAAACGTCTTTGAACGCCAAAGAGAGTCTTGCACCTGTGCGCCGCCGCCTTTGTTCCTACGAGGCTCAAGCGGGGGGGAGTGTGGGTTGTCGAGGTGCCTGGCCTGCCTTGTGTGCTCTGACCACATGTCAGCTGTCCAGCGGCCACCGCGGGCCACTGTAGAAAGAAAGTCAGCCCAGACACGCGTACGCGCAGGTGTCAACCAAATTGGGCGATGAGGTCATCGGTGGATCGGTGCATCCGCCATCCAAGATTAGCATTTCGCGGCCAGTCTCTCCAGCTGGCCAGCTGTCTTCTCCGCGAGAACATTGCCTGTACTTGCTCCATGCACACTTGCAATGCAGCTGGTGCACCGTGTATGTCGAGGAGCCCCACTATGCTGCGAAACCGGCGGCCGTCACCTGGGGGTGTGCCTAGGGAGGTCAAGGCGACGTCGACTGTGCGATCGTGTGACGGCCCCGTATTGACGTTTTGGGACGTGTATATGCGCCGCCGGCTCGATTCCACCCGATTTCAAGGGCGAGTTTCGATTGCCCGTTTGTTTTCAACTTCACTCCATCCACGCATATCGCATCCCACTGCTTTCAGCCGGCGCTCTCACCATGATCACCGACAAGGTGTTCACCCTGGATCCAGACGCGCCCGGGGCTCATTCAAGCCTCGAGTGGGCGTCTGCAGAGCAGATCATGGTCGCTATCCCTGCGACGCCGCTCGTCGCCGGCGCTGGCGCCAAAGTGACCACTGGAGTTGCCGACCGTCCTCCACTCTCGTCCACGACGCAAGCCGACGCCAGCAAGGACAAGGATGGTCTCACAGTAGACCTCGCGTCCCCTTCCTCGGCGCCGGCCGGTACCTCTCAAGAGCAGACGCAGCCCACCATCCCCCACGGAGCGACCATTACCAGTGCCCAGAACGGCGGCCCAAAACAAACAGACACCAACGGCAACGGCAACGACGGCGAGCGTGCACTCCCACCGCAACCTGGTTCGCAACAGGATACAAGCGGCGGCGAGGCGCGGGCACAACCTGTTCCAAACGGGGTCCACACCAGCAACACTGCAGCGTACCAACTGGCGGAACAAGCAGCGGCAACGATACGAGAACCCATGACTGCCCCACATGACGTCGTACCTCCAAACACTCTCGGCAAGGATGGCCGCGGATCACATGGCCACGGACAGGATATTCTGGAGAACGCTGGTGTTACTCTCGAGGTGAGTTGAGCGCACGAACACCGGCGTCTGCTGCATCTGTGGACATGCATGGCGTGCGCAGGGAGACGAACGACTTTGCTTACGCTGCACCAGCTCGGAGACATGACCAGCTCACCGCGTGAGGACACGATATCCGTGCCTGCTCAAGACATGGACGACCGCCCCGATTTGGAAACAAGAGCTTTGGTCAATAACCGCAGCTTCCACGACCCGTACGGCCAGGAGCCGCTTGAGAACGAGGGTCTGGGAAGGTTCGTTGATGAGCCCGGACACTACATCGACCTCGACGACGAGGGAGACGAGGCTGGTTGGCGAAGTGCGCTCGCCTCTGGTACACAAACGCCAAGTCACCCGGCCGACCCCAAGGGTCACCACGCATACTGGTCGACCTTTCGTAATGGCAAGCAGCAGGCGCCGTCCATTGCGTCTGAGCGCGAGGGTGAGCCAAGCAGTGGACCAGCATTCTCGCAAGCACTCAAGCCGAGCTCTCTGGCGCACATATCACCCTTCCGCCGAGGCAGTACGCTCGAGGACCATCACACGAGCAACGACGAAGCGGCTCCCCAACAGAAACAAAGGCATGGCATGGTCAATGCGCTCGGCCTGTCGCGGTTCGTGCCCAAGCGGCACGGGACGGTGCCTGCTGCGACCAAAGATGGCGCGATGCCGACAATGACCAACGAGATGATCGCCGGTGCTCTTCCAGTCATGATACTGAAGACGTGGCTGGACCGCGACGAAGATGGTCACCGCGCCGTCCCGGTCCTCATCGGTAACCTCCGCTTCCGCATCGGCGACAGCATGGGCATCCGCGATGGATCGCGCCACACTGGTCGCGAGATCTTCAAGATTGAGTGCGAGTACGGCGACGGGGCGATCAAGTGGATCATCTACCGCGAGCTTCGTGACTTTCTCATGCTCCACGCACACTACAAGGCCGCCAACCTCGGTACGCGCGTCGCTGGACTGCGCTCGTCTCGCCGCGTCGAGATCCCCGACTTTCCTCGCAACTGTGAGTGTCATGCATCCATCCGCACACGGCTAATTTCTAGCTCTTCCCGGTTGGGCACGTGAGAAAGTGGATGGCGTCAAGGACAAGGACAAGGGCAAGGAGAAGATGAGAAAGATTGGCTTGCCGACCCCCACAGGCAGCGGCGACAGGGAGCCGCCGTCTCGCTCCGCAACGTTCGGACCAGCCAGCCGAGCAGCACTGCAGCAATACCTAGTGGACCTCATCCGCGCAGTTGTACGTTACCGATCGTTGAAGGTGTGCTCACCCACTCCCACTAGATGTTCCGGCCCGAGTCAAACCGTCTGTGTATCTTCTTCGAGCTCTCAGCCCTCACTGTCGGGCTGGCACCGCGTGGCGGCTTCCAGGGCAAGGCAGGCTTCCTTCGCATCCTCAGCCCAAACGCAAGTAGGCGAAGCAACCAGCCAGGCCTGTTGCCGAGCTCATGGCGCCTCCACCGCGCGCCCAAATGGTTTATTGTGCGCGAGTCGTACAGCGTCATGACCGAGGGTCCAGAGGACACTGAGATTTTCGACGTCTTCATGTTTGACTCTGACTTTGAGATTGAGCGACCCAAGCGTGTTCTCCGCCAAGGTCTTCACCTGATTTCAGGCGCATCGTGGGTCTGGTATATCGCCATCAGAGAAGGGCTAACAGCACAACAGTGGCAAACAGCATCGGCCCGAGTCAGACACTGAGGACTTTAAGCAACTCGAGCTGCAAGACGACGATGACAGGGACGTGTCCCAACACACGTTCTACATCTCCAACTCGCAGAACCGTCTCAAACTGGTTGCAAAGAATGCCGTGGGTGCACCCAGGAATTGCTCAGCTGACCCACCAGCGTCTCATGCACCAATACATCTTGTCAATGGAACGTGTCGCGATGCAGTGCAACTGGACGAAGAAGAACCGCTTCGACTCGTTTGCTCCCATCCGCGTCAATGCGGCAGCACAATGGCTCGTCGATGGGCGCGACTACTTTTGGAACCTGAGTCGAGCTATCAGCATGGCCAAGTCACGCATCTACATTCACGACTGGTGGATTTCGTGCGAGATCTATCTTCGTCGGCCAGGCGACGAACGGTACCGCCTCGACAACCTTTTGAAACGCAAGGCTGAGGAAGGTGTGCGCATCTTTATCATCATCTACAACGAGGTGTCTACCAAGACGACTCCCGTCGAGAGTCTGTACGTCAAAAAGACGCTCACGTCACTCCACCCCAACATTATGATCCAGCGCTCGCCTTCGCACCTCCCCAGCGGCCCCACTGGCGCCCTGTACTGGTCGCACCATGAAAAGCTCTGCGTCATTGACGAGATGATCGCGTTCATGGGTGGCCTGGACTTGTGCTTTGGCCGCTGGGACTCGTCGCAGCATATTCTTGTGGACGAAGACTTCACATCTCCCGACGGACCGGACGGCCCTGTGTGGCGTGGCAAGGACTATTGGAACGAACGTGTGCTCGAGTTCCAAGGCCTCACCAAGCCGTTCGAAGACGCATTTGACCGCGGCAAGACGCCGCGTATGCCGTGGCACGACGTGGGCCTGCATATGGTCGGCCAGCCTGCGCGTGACCTGTGTCGCCACTTTTGCCAGCGTTGGAACCACCTGTTGCGTATCAAGAACCACACACGCAAGATGCCCTTTCTCCTTCCTCCCGCCGACCTCACTGAACGTGAGCTCGTCGACCTCAAGCTGGAAGGTACATGCGAGGTGCAGATTGTGCGCTCGTGCGGTCCGTGGTCCATGGGCACGTCCACAAAGGTGGAGCACTCGATCCAGAACGCATACACAAAGTGCATTGCGCTGTCGGAACACTTTGTCTACATTGAAAACCAGTTCTTCATCACGTCGACGTGGCTGGACGAGAGCACCCATGTGGAGAACAAGATTGGTGACGCGCTTGTCGCCCGTGCCATTCGCGCACACCGCGACGGCGAGTCGTGGCGCGCGTGTATTGTCATTCCGCTCCTTCCCGGCGCTGCACACGCAATTGACTCGTCCGAGGGGCGAGACGTGCGTCTCATCCTCGAGTGCCAGAACCGATCCATCTGCCGTGGTGCCCACTCCATCTTCTCCCGCCTACGCAAGGAAGGTATTGACCCGGACGACTACATTACCTTCTTCTCGCTGCGCGGCTGGGCCAAGTTTGGCTCTGGCGCGCTCACGACTGAGCAAGTGTACATCCACGCCAAGACCATGATCATCGACGACCGCGTGGTGATTACCGGCTCAGCCAACATCAACGAGCGCTCGATGCGCGGTGACCGCGACTCGGAGCTCGCAGCCGTCATCCGCGACACGGACATGATTGACGGCCACATGGCCGGCAAGCCGTTCAAGGTCGGACGGTACGCACACACTCTACGCATGCGTCTCATGCGCGAACACGTCGGTATCGACGTCGATGCCATTGAGGAGGACGAACTCATGCACCGCAAGCCCGTGGCGGACGCAAGCGGCATCGCCCTCTGGGACCCGGACAACGAGCAGCAGCACGCAGCCGACACTGGCATCGAGCGCCGCGGCATCACGCGCGTGAAGAAGAGTACGGCGCGCGCGCGTTTCGGCAGCACCATCTCCAATGCTGTGGGCGGACTTGCAAAGGGCCTGGGTGAGAATGTCAAGCTCGAGGCCGAGAACGTGGCCGAAAAGATCCAGCACCCCTTGCAGGCGCTGGACGGCCGCGCACTCAACGAACGCAACGAGTCGGCTCACGCCCGCGAAGACATGGGGCCTGATGGCAACCCCGTGGTTGGGTTTGCGAGCTCTGTTGTTCCCACGCTTGAAGAGCGCACCATCGCCGAACAGGTCAGCAAGGGTAAGGGCAAGGAGCCCAACGAGAACGGTAACACTGGGCGTGCAAACGGTACTCTCGTCAACGGTCATGACCACTCACTCAGTGACATTGATTCGAGCCAAGCCTCGGGCGACACCACACTCACCGAACCCACCGAACCCACTGTGAGCCCAAAGGCCCAGCGACATGTCGGCGAGTTTGGGAACCGCCACCACCACGAGGCGGAGAAGTTTGGTGGGCCCGCGCTTTCCCCCGACTTCGACGACATTGTACCCCGCAGTCCCGAGGCCCTGTTGCGCGATGAGGAGGAGACTCCTGCCGCCCGCACCCTGCTTCGCAAGCACCTCGGCGCCAAGCCTGCCAACAGCCAGTGGGCGGTCATTACGCCAACACCGCGCATCGACGCCAACCAATTTGCCGACCCGCTCGACAGACGGTTCTGGGACGACATGTGGGTCGCCACGGCAGTGCACAACACACAGATTTTCCGCAAAGTGTTCCGCTGCACGCCCGACGACCTCGTCACAACATGGGCGCAGTACACCGAGTTTGCCAACCACCTGGACAAGTTTGGACGCGTACACGACACCAGCGACGACACAAAGGTCACGCACGACCCGGCCGGTTCGGGCGGCGGCGTCGTTGGTCCTCCTGGATCCAACGCCAAGGCTCCCCAGACCGCCGATGTGCTCGGTACGGGCTCGATCTCGGGCGCGCTCTCGGCCCTCACGCGTTCCAAGTCGAGCACGAGCACGAGCACGACCGAGATGCTCAAGACCCCCAGTGGCGGCGAGGCGAGCGTCACTGGCAAGAACGGCGGCGCGGGCAACGACCAGCCGTCGCAACAAGTGCCCCACGGCACGCCTGCCCAGGCCACAGCCCAGGACAAGGACAAGGACGGCAACAACGACGAACGCAAGCCCTCGGGCGAGAATGACCCGTGGGCACAGTGGGAGCTCGACGAGATGGAGGAGCTGCTCAACAATGTCCGTGGCCACCTGGTCATATACCCGACGCGCTTCCTCGAGGCCGAGGACATGGCCAACAACTTTTTGTTCAACCAGGAGCGTATCCTCCCCATCCAGATTTACGACTAGTTTACGAAAGCGATCGCATACATCACCCCCTCACTCCATACACACGCGCGCTGGACTCAGAGAGACAAAGCACCCACCCACCCACCAACACATCATACCCTGTACGAGTTTTCGTCACGCTTTTTGTTATATATTTCTTGCATTTAATGTCCCCCATTTCTGCATGTGCATGTCCCTGCACCAGAGTCTTCTCTGTGCCCTTTGCTCTGTGTGCTGCCTGACTCGCCGCAATGCAGTAGATACATCATCATCAGACACGCACGTTTCTCTATCGTCGGCTGGCTGTTTTGGGGAGGGATGCGTGTTTTGGTGATAGGGGGGCGGGCTTTTTTTTTCGCTTTCCAAAAAGAAAAATTCGCCACTTGGAACACATCGCTACTCCTATACACTACTACTAGTTATCCTCGAGGGCGTCCTCGGCCATCGCCTCCTCTGCCAGCTGCTGCTGCTCGGCATCAAGGTCCATCTCGGGCACAGCGACGGGCTCGGCGTCGACGGGCGCCTTGTTCTTGTTGCTGGGCGGGGCCTCCTTGGGCACGTCGTCGTTGGCGCCGCCGTGCCAGCCGCCCTCGTCATGGCCCGCGCCCGTGACCTCGAGCGCGCCGGCGTCGAGACCGACGGGGGCGCGGTCGTCGGCCTGCTTGGGCGCATCCGACTTGGCGGCCTCGGGCTGCGCGACGACCTTTGTCGACTCCTGCATCTTGACCTCGTTGTCGGGGCCGATGCCGCCCACCGTCTTGGCCTCCTGGGCCGCCTCGTCGCCGCCCTCAAAGACATTCTTGATGGGCTCGGGCGCCTCGTCGACGATCCGCGTTGACTGGGTGTCGACGTACACCTTGGCGGCGGGCTGCGAGATGGCGCTCTGGGCATAGTACTGCGGGATCGAGTCGTGGAAGTCGGCGCAGGAGAAGTCCCATGTCTTGAGCCACTTGGCGTCGTTGCACTGCGTCTTGGTCCATGGCTTGGCATAGGCGAGCGGGCTAAAGTAGTTGAACGACCAGATGGCGAGGATGGCGAGCGCGACGGCAATCTGGAAACGCTGGCGAGGACGGATGCGCGAGGTGGCATAGTCGAACAGCGTGCAGAAGACGAGCACGGCAAACCACAGGGCCGGGAGGTAGTGGTGCAGGAAGAGCTGACGCTGCATCAGGAAGAAGGGGAGGTAGTGCAGCGCCCAGCCCATGACGAGGAATGCGCACACTTCGTCGTAAAAGGCAATCTTGGGCTGCTGGAGGTCGCGGTAGCCGCGCTTGGCACGGATGACGAGAAGTCCGCGGAAGGCAAGGTAGGTGGCAACGGCAAGCGACGAGCCCCACCAGACGAAGGGGTTGCCGATGAGGTACACCTGCTTGTGGTCCTTGACCCAGAAGTTGATGCCACGACGGAGCCAGGGCCAGTGCTGGGGACGCGAGTCGTAGGCGTGGCGGTCAGTCAGACCGGCGTTGGTGCGCCACATGACGCCCTGGAGTTCGAGGAACTTGTCAAAGAACGAGGGGCGCTCGTAGTTGAGCTGCTCGGCATCGGGCTCGAGCTGAGCGTGCTTGTTGGTCTCAATGTACCAGAGCGAGTTCTCGTATGTAGGGTTCTTGTTGCAAGTAACCTCCTGCTGCTCAAAGCCCCACTCGGGGAGCTTGACCTTGTGCGAGAAGAGGTAGCAGCCAGTCATGGCGTGGCGGAGACGGAACTGGGAGCGCAGAGTACGAAGACGGTGACGGGCCTGCTTGTCCCTGCGGCCACGAGTTTCCTTGACAATCTCGACGATAAAGTCGTCGTTGGCGTCACCGGCAAAGCCGTCAAAGCCATAGCCTGAGACTTCGTTCTGGAATTCGACCTCGGAGACGGGAGGGCGAACGTCGTGTGAGTGTAGACGCTTGCCGCTGGAAATGTGCTCGAGACGAATCTTGCTGCCAGTGAGGACATACTCCAGCGGGAGGTCGTCCCAAGGGTACGAGACGGCACCGTCGGGAGCGGACGCGTTGACAATACGCCAGACATTGTTGTCGTCGCGGTGGGGGTAGAGGGTGATCTGCTGCTGCTGCGAACCACCGGGGTATGCGTGCGGGTGCGAGTGAAGGTAGCCGCCCTGGGTGTGGACATGGCGGATAGAGATGCTCGAACCGTAGCCGACGTCGGCAAACGTGTCGTCCATGCCGTGGCCCTGGAGAGTGTGCTGGAAGTCGGACGACATGAATCCGTCGCCGTCACCCGACATGTTGAGGATCCAAAAGTGGATGCCAAAGGTCATCATGTAGATGGTGGCCGGGAGGACAATGAGACACAGGGTACGGGCAGCAAAGTGCTTGGCCCACATGCGGGGGGTGACCTTGAGGTTGCCGAGGAGGAGCCAGAGCTGGCGGATAGTGCCGAGACCAACAGTGGCAATGGTGAAGAGGCCGACCCACTTGCACGACGCGACACAGCCGAGGGCAGCGCCAGAGAAGGCAAGGTTGCGCCACCACTGCTTGGTGAAAGCGCGACCCTCCGAGTCGTCGTTCGAGAACCGGATCCACCAGTAAATGGTGAGAGCGGTGAAGAAGACGAGGTACGAGTCGAGAAGAATGAGACGCGACTGGGTAATGAGGGCATTCTCAAAGGTGATGAGAACGGCGCCAAGCAGAGCAGTCGCAAGCGAGAGACGGAGAGCAATGAGGGTGAGGAAGGTGAGGGGGACAAGAGCAAGACCGAGGATCGCAGGGAACGCCCTCATGACAATGTAGGGCACACCAGGCTCGATGTAGTCCTTGCCAATGTCCTTGAAGTCGAACTGTCCGTCGAACCGGCCGATCCACGCACTAAGCGTCACAAGGAGCTTGGCGAGAGGAGGGTGCACGTCCATAAAGTACTTGCGACGAAGGTACTTTGCTGCAAAGCCGCCAAAGTGGACCTCGTCGAAACTGCGCAGGTTAGCAGGAGAGAAACAATGTTGCCCGCGCCACGCGCGCGCGCAGCAACAGCCACAGCTGGCAGGCATGAGAACTTACACGACCGAGTCCGGGTATGCGAGGTTCCACAAGCGCACAAACGAGGCAATACAGCACACTACAGCGAGCATGATCCACTCGCGACGGCGCAGGCCTCCGATCGCGCCTGCGCGACCTTGGCCGCGCCGACCACCAAACGCCGTGGCGACGACAGGTCCCTCATCCTTGAGACGGAGCTTTGCGTCTGCGTCCGCCTCGGGACGGCTGGGGTCCGCTGGTGATGATGCCAAAATGTCTCGTGCGTCGATACGTGCGTCGGCTGGGATATTGCTCGGCGCCGAAAGGGGGCCACCGCCGCTGGAAGTGGGCGGGGTGGTCTGGCGGTTGCGCCGTTGCAACACCGGAGTGGAGGACATTGTCGCCCCTGGGGCCGTGGGTGTTGCCCGCGAAAGAAGAAAGAGGGAAGGAGCGGTTGAACGAAGGGGTGAAGGAGAGACGGGGGGTAGGAGCCACCGTTCAAAGGGTGGTGGCCGTGGTCCTGTTGTTGCTGTTGGGGAAAGGGTGGGTGGGAGAATGTGAAGAGACAGTCGACGACGAGGAGCGCGTTAGAACGGCACCCGCCGCACGATGAGACTTGGTCCCCTCTCCCGACACGTCGTTCACGGCCAGGCACGGATCATCTTCCACGTGCATCTCACGCGACGGGTCCTCTATTTTGATCTTTTGACACACCCACTGCGCAGTTTGACTGTGCATGTGGCCGTGCTCACGGAAAGTATGCGGTGGTGCAGGTGTGGCAGGCGTATGGCGGGGCTGTGCATGCCCGCAGACAGACAGACAGCAATGCCTCCGGGAATGAGGCGGCTGCCCCGTGTGTGTCCCAAGAATACATTTACAGGTCTATAGGCAATCGCTACCTCTCCCCGCGCCGACTCATCACCACTGGTGTGATTGTGGAACTTACACGCCTTCAGGCTTGGCAACCTTTCGCTTCTCAGTCTTGCCGGTCTGGGGGTCCTCCATCTCCTGGTACGACACAGGGAGAAGGGGGTGGCCTGAAGAAAGTTAGTAGAGGAAGAAGAACGAAGAGACTTACCATCCTCAGATGTCGCATACACCACACCGAGCTCGTTGGCTGCGGTCGAGAGGTAGTAGCTACGCGCGTCACCAAGGGAGAGCTGTGGATTGTCAGAATGGTACAGGCCGGGGGAAATTGTGTCGAGAAGGGTTGAGTCTCAAGCATCTATCACCAGATGCCAAGCAGACAAGTAAGGTCCGGGAGACCTCGACTGAGAGGGGAGAATGTAGCCGCGCATGGCAGCAGCGCTTTTACTCACCACCTTGGCCTTGACAATGTCACCGAGACGGAAGCACTCGCCAATCTTGACCTTGTCACGCTCTGTCAACCTGATCGTCAGCTCCACGGTTGTCGCCACGAAGCTCACCTAATGTCTGCCACGCGCACAACGCCGGTGAGCTCCTCGCTCGACTCGGCGACGGGGCGGTTGTTGACAATCTGGATAACAATGTGCGCCTGCTGCGTCGCCAGTCGGGATACCTGCGTGTTAGAAGGTCTACATGGGGTATTCAACCCACTTGTCCGATGACCTTGTGTTGGTGTCAGCGCAACTGCTCCTCCTCCCAGTTCAGCCACACGGAGTGAAATCAACTCACAACAGCTCCAATGTCGGGCACAGCACCTGCCTCCGCCTTTCCAATCACGCTGACAACCTGGGTACAGTGTCAGCAAGTCAGGCCTCGTCGGCACACATAGCGACGTGAACGCACAGCTCCATCGCGGTGAGGGCGGCCGACGACGCTGGCGAGGATCTTGCCCTGGTACTCGTAGCAGCCTGGGCCGGCTTGTGGGAGGGGAGGGGCGATGAAGGATGCGGGGAGGGGCTGTCCTGGGACGAGGAGGGGAGCTTGTGATGCCATGTTTGTGTTTGTGTAAATGTTGTGACTGCAATGGCCACCTGGTGAACAACCTCCACCACAAGTCTGCAGCAGCAGCCACAGGGCCCCCAGCAGCAGCAGCGGCAGCGGTGGCGGCTAGGAGAGTCCGGCGACATGCGGCGATATGGCGAGTGTGGCACCTGGTGTCTCCCACCGTGGTGGGATGACGGGGTGGTCGCCGTCTCCAGAGCGGGCCGGCGGCGGCGGCAAACCGAAGCGCAAAACGGTTTCCAACTGCCGCTCCGCGCCCGCCCTTGCCCCAGTGCGACGACGCAGCTTGCACACGGCCCACACATTGTGGGGGCGACCTCGTCCTCGTGCCCGACCGTCGATAGTGAACAATCTCGTACTCGCACAACACATCCCACCTCCCCCCTCCTCCTCCACCCTCTCCCCCTCCTAATACCTCTACCCGCAACGATGATGGCCCTCGCTCACGTTGCCCGGCGCCAGGTCGCCGCCGGCGCCTACGCCCAGGCTTCGCGCTGTAAGTCGCCCCTTTGCACCTCGCTCCGCTCTTCAGAAAGACGACAGAGGACGAGGAGAACATTCGCCCGCCGGAGACACTCGCTGACCCGATGACCCCGCAACCCCCCACACACCTCTATGCATTACCACCACCTCGTCACTATCACCTGCACCTCTTGTTGATCATGTCCGCCATGACGCGTGCACGCACACCATGCAGCTATCCGCACCTCGGCTCCCGTCGCTGCGCTTGGCAAGTTCAAGATGCCGGCCATGTCGCCCACCATGACTGAGGGCGGTATTGCCTCGTGGAAGAAGCAGGAGGGTGAGGCCTTCGCTGCCGGTGACGTCCTTCTCGAGATCGAGACCGACAAGGCCACCATCGACGTCGAGGCCCAGGACGACGGTATCCTCGCCAAGATTGTCGTGAGTATTATTTATGACCGTTCACGATGTCAACTGGAGTTGGGAGGGAAAGATCACCGTGGTGGTTACATCTTCCCTTCCCGCGCTTGGTTACTGTCTGCCGCCGGCAGTCTCCCCCGCCTCCACTTGGCCCACGATGATCTTTTCTTTGCTTGGTTGTCTCCCTTGCTGACCACTCTTCTCCCCTAGGCTCCCGACGGCTCGAAGAACATCGCTGTCGGCAACACCATCGCCATCCTCGGCGAGGAGGGTGACGACCTTGCCGGTGCCGACGCGCTCGCTGCCGAGGCCGACGTTGCCGACGCCCCCGTCCCCACTGTTGACGGTGTTGAGGCCCCCGCTGCCAAGGCCCCCGAGCCCGCTGCCCCCAAGGCTGAGGCCCCCAAGGCCGAGGAGAAGGCTGCTCCCGCCCCCGCCAAGTCGACCGAGGTCGGCGCCGACAAGCCCACCTTCTTCGCTTCGCCCGTCGCCCGCAAGATTGCTCTTGCCAAGGGTATCCCCCTTGCCCAGGTCAAGGGCACTGGTCCCGACGGTCTCATCACCAAGACCGACGTTGAGAGCTTCAAGGTCGCCTCGGCTGCCCCCGCTGCCGCTGCCGGTGCTTCGGCCCCCGCCGCTGCCGAGTACGAGGACGTCCCCACCACCAACATGCGTCGTGTTATTGCCAAGCGTCTCCTCGAGTCCAAGCAGACCGTCCCCCACTACTACCTCACCGTCGAGGTCAACATGGACCGCCTCCTGAAGCTCCGCCAGGTCTTCAACAAGGCTTCGGAGGGCAAGTCCAAGCTCTCGGTCAACGACTTCAGTGAGTGGTTTAAAACAGGGCAAAGACAACAAAGCTGACACCTTTTCTCCAGTCGTCAAGGCCACTGCTCTTGCTCTTGGTGACGTCCCCGAGGCCAACTCGGCCTGGCTCGGCGAGACCATTAGGCAATACAAGAAGGCCGACATCTGTGTCGCCGTTGCCACCCCTACTGGCCTGATCACTCCTATCATCAAGGACGCCGGCGCCAAGGGCCTCACCACCATCTCGGCCGAGACCAAGGCCCTCGCCACCAAGGCCCGTGACGGCAAGCTCAAGCCCGAGGAGTACCAGGGCGGTGGCTTCACCATCTCCAACCTGGGCATGTTCGGCATTGACCACTTCACCGCCATCATCAACCCCCCTCAGTCGTGTATCCTCGCCGTCGGCAAGACCGACCTCAAGCTCGTCCCCGCCCCCGAGGACCCCAAGGGCTTCAAGACTGTCAACGTCATGAACGTTACTCTGTCGTCCGACCACCGTACCGTTGACGGCGCCGTCGGCGCGCGCTGGCTCCAGGCCTTTAAGGGTTACCTCGAGAACCCCCTTACCTTCATGCTTTAGAACACCCCGTGTGGAGGCGGAGATCACCAGATGCATTAACTAGTACTTTTCGTGAACGTGAGCGTAAGCGTGAGCGGGGGTGGTGCGGTGCAGCGAGCTGGAGGGAGGCTAGTTTGGAAGTGATTTTTGTCTCACAAGGGTCACTCTCACTGATCACTGCCGGCGGCATCGTCCCCCCCAAGGCCCCCAAGCCGCAATCTCGGGTCAATGCCGCCATTTTTCTGTTTCTCGGCCATATCCGCTGCACACAACCCAAGCAGTGCTTGTGCTAAAAGCCCTCGCACAATCATTCTGGGGGTATACGCCACAGACAGTGCGCGTTCAGAGCACTGCTATACCCGGCGCGACCATCGCAATGAGCCACACACAGCCACACTCTTGTTGACAAACAACTGAGGCCAACAGGCAACACCCTTATTCACGGAACCGACGGCAAAGAAAGGACTGGGGGGACTTTTTCGCGCCCGGAGTGCCACCCTCCGCTCGCTGCGTTGGCTCCGAGTCCCGTTTCCCCAACCACAACCGCCCGATCCAACCGGTCCGTCGTCATCTCTCCCTCGTCTCCTCACCACAGCTGTGTTTATGTATATATATAATAATAATGCATGGGTCTCGTATCCTCATGAAATGCTCAACTTGCTGACGTCTGGCGAGTCGTCCGTGCCCGCCACTGGTGTCCGCTCCCCGCTGCCCCCGTTTACACTGTTGATTACTGCTGGTGCTGGTGCTGCTGGTGGTGGCCCTGTTGGTGTTGTCGATCCGTTGACGCCGTGCACCCCGTTGACGCCGTTGGCGCCGCCGTGTATTGGCTCGACGTTCTTGATCCACGCGCCCATGGCGCCGAGGAAGCCCTCGTGCCGCAAAAAGCACGCGCGCATCGTGCCCTTTGACCAGAAACGGATGGCGTACGACAGCGTCGAGATGGTGGCTGCGTGGCCGCGGATGAAGCAGCCCGAGAAGAAGACGCGGTCGAGACCGTACTTTGCCGCGTTCATGTACGCAATGTGGCCAATGTTGTTGGAAATGGCGTACAAGAGGGACCGGGCAATGTCCTCTTGCTTGAACGCCTTTCGTCGCCCGCCCTCGCCGTGCTTGAACACTTTGCCAAACGAGGACGCAATGGTGGACGACTTGAGTCCAATCTTGTTATAGTCGGACCCGTAAATGTCGCCCACGAGCATGTCGACGGCGCTGTTGTCGCCTTGTTCGGAGAGGAGGAGCATTTCGTCAAACGTCGATGCGTCGGTGAGCAGCGACAGCAGACCCCAGAGTGTACCGCCGCCGAGCGACGTTCCCGACACACGCTCGAAGGTGCCGTCCTCATCGACCTTGACAATGGACACACCAGAGCCAATGTTGACCACCAGGCAGGGGAACACTGGTGTCTCGTCGCCCTCGGGCGCAAACGTGACCTGGTACGCTGGCGGAGTGGGCGATGGACGGGGCAGCTCAGAGGCAGGGATAGTGAGGGGTCGTGCTGGGGCCGGCTGGCCCGGGTGGGACACCTTGTACACGAGCTCCTCGGAGAACCAAAACACCTCCTCGGGGACGCGCGCGACAAAGCCCAGGCCGAGGATGAGACAGTGCATCTCCTCCTCGCGGCGCACCTCGACGCCCAGCTCGGAGGTGAGCTGGTCGTAGAACCGGTGCGCGCCGCCGCCGGTAGCCATGACCTTGACCATGGACTTCATGCGCTCGAGGCTGACGCGGTTGGCCTTTGCCGACTCTGTAATGAGCTCATTCAGGAACTCAATGAGCTCGTCGATCCGTTCCGTCTCAAAGCGCGCAAAGTTGACCAGACCTCCAGGCAAGGGGTCGGGCAACGACGCACGGCGGAAACGCGGGTGTGCGCCGAGCTTGCCGCCCCGGCGCGAGCGTGGTGGGGATCCCCGCTCCTCGGTGAGGATACCTGGCTGCAGCGCGCCGTTGACGAGTGGTCGAGTACGCTCGGGCGTCGCACACGCGGCAGACACGCCGTCGAGGAGCATGCTCGACTCGGGAGAGGGCAGGGACGACGGCTGGCCTGTTGGTGACGAGACAGTCTGCGCAGGCGCAAGGAAGGGGGAGGAAGGGTCCGACGCGGGCGGGGTGGTGGGTACAGGCCGAGACGAGCGCGTAAAGTACACGACCTTGGCCAGGGAGCCGCCGATCTAGAATATCGTCAGTAACGTGTCCTCGTCGGCATCTCGCATTGCGTCATGGCCGCTGCAGCGCTGCAGCAACGTTGACATTGCGTGGAGCTTGCCACGATACGGGCGCAGAGCAACCCCGATGGTGTGACGGAGCCACGCGAATCCCAGCGGCTCCGCGCTCCATGCGAGCTCTCACGCTAACGCCTCTAGCTCTCTAGAGCCAACAGCGGCGACGACGCAGACAGAAACTCACGTCAATGGCAATGTGTGAGACAGGCTCGATGTAGTGAGGGAGGTAGATGCCCCGCGAATCACGCGTCTGTGTCGTGTCAGCATTCCCAGTCCTGTCGCGTCACAACAGCCGTCGTTGCTCACCGCGGGCGACTCTTCCTGCACGATCTGCGCGCCAGTCGTGTCGACCTCGATACCGCGCGCCTCGGGAATGGAAATTTCGGGGAGGGACATGGCTGGGAAACGCGGAGAGGGGGGAGGAGAGGAAGTGTGGGTAAGGGTGGTGGGGTGAGGATGATCCGGGTGTCGACGTAGATATACGGTCGTGTGAGAGCCACCGCGCGGTCGGTCCAGGCGTGCTGCTCTACACAGTCAGTGTGTAGTGGCTATCGCTGTTGGAGTGGTGTTCTGTGAAAAATGAGCCGCCTGTGTCGACGCCATGGTCGTTGTGGACCATCGGAACTCACCGTGCGGCGCCGGGCGGGGTGGAAACAAGCGGGCACTCGCGGCGGGTTCGGCAAAGAATCGTACTATGCCCAGAGCTGACAAACGCAGCCGAAATATATCGCTGCCGAAAAGTGAGGTTCAAAAGCGATAAATGAGAGGGTGAGAGAGCCGCCACGCGGTCGCGGCGGTGGCGGCGTAACGTGGGTCGATGTTGGGAGGAGGGGGTGAAGGGAAAGGAAGGGAGTTGGGAGAGTGGAACGAGTCGTGTGATTGATAAACGGATCCGTTGTGCTTTGTGTCGTGTGGGGAGGAGCCAGGTCGAGCAACCCAGTCGGCAACTCGGGTCAAGAGCGGGCGGGCAGGTGCAGAGGCCCCAGGCCCCCCGTGGCCCATTAGACGCCTGTCCTAATCGGGCGGCAGCGGCCGATTATCCGATGTAATGCCTCCGATAAGGAATGTTAATTCGTTCCTTTGGCGCGCCCCACCAAATCGGCCGTCGTAAGCCCTTGGTCTTGTGCACCCGTCCCACCCCCTGTGGGCCTCTGGGCACGCCGAACGCCGAGAGCGCTCTCGTGGCACCGGACTTGCCCGCGGGTAGGTCTCTCCGTAGCCCCGTGTGGTCCCCCTCGCCTGGCCCCTCACGGCGGCCGGCACACCCGCATGCCAGTAACCGGAAGAGCATGCAGAGCGGTGGGCTGTTGACGACGTCGCAGAGCCCACGTCGCAGAGCCCAACGTGAGTTCCAGCGCGCAGGCAGGAACGGAAAGGCAGGCTCCATAAATTCCGCACTGGCGTTAGCGGATCATCGTTGGATTTCTACAATCGCACACGAGGGACCGTGGGATCCAGTGGCGGTAGCCGTATTAGTGCCCATTAGTCACCGGGCGGCCGTCGACACACAGCGATTTCCACACAACTAACTACTGCCCACAGTCTTGAGGAAGCGACAAGAAGGGGTGTTGAGCAGAATGGTTTGATCGCTCCATGAGGCCACTGGCCACTGGTGCGGACGAACGGACCTCGAAGGCTTTCGAGGCTACGTTTTTTGCAACTGCCGTCGTCGCTGATAGCCGAAATCTCCAGCGGCCAGCGGCGTTCACCACGTCCATCCATCGTGGTGGGCGTGGGTGGGCAAAACGGAAAAAGCCGGCCGTGGACCGGCCGTGTACCGACCGCACGCCGCTGAGATGTGTGTGGTCTGAGGCCACGGGCGAGTACAAAGCAGTCGCGTGACCGTAACGAGTGTATCGAGCAGAACCCTCACAGACGTTTCCGCGTCCGCCACGTCCGTGTTCCGTTTCATGACATATGTGCAATCTATGTGCAAGGTGTATAAATACAAGGGTCCATTCCTTCATCCCTCCAGCAGGACGCGCACAAAGCCTTCGCGGCCCGCCGGCGCGCCGCCAAACACAGCTGTGGCAATGGCTTTCACTAAAGAAGAACGGGTCAGGCATGGTGTCAGGCTGGCGGCACACTCCACTCACCAATTGCGTCGTCTGGCGACTCGGCACCGCAGCATAGGCGCACCACACTGGTTACACCGATGAGGACCTGGGTATTGTCAGCTCGCAAGTCCCATGGGTGGGTATGTCATACATTGGCGTGGACGCTGGGCACTTTTTCCAGCACGCCAAACGCGTCGTCGCGCTCTTTGACCGACGTGCACAGCGTGCGGTGTATGTCCGGGATGAGCGGGGAGGGGAGCGCGTAGAGAATGTGCAAGAGGGTCTGGGCCGCGACCTTGGCGTCGCAGGGGAGCTTCTCGTCGCCCTTGTCGAGGGCCTGGGAGGAGTGTGAGCATACCTCCGAATGGCGCCAACAACTAATCTGCAAACTCACGTCAATCGTCGCCAACACGGCCGAAAGATCCACGTCGCTCGTCCAGAGGTTCTCAACCTCCATACCTTCCGACATGAGCAGTTCGAGAAGACGCCAGATCTCGCGAGGCGGCTTGGGACCTTTTGAGTGTCCGTTCTGTTTGCTCGCGTCCTTGGCGTCACCCTCGTCGGGAGTGGGGTGGAGGAGCGTCTTGCGCTCAGTGAGCGGAACGTCGACAATGGCCGAGGGAAGGTCTGGGAGAACCTCGAGGGGGAGGTTGATGATGCTGGGCTCAAACTGGGCGCGGAGGGACAGGAACGTGTCTGTGCCGCCGTCGACTTGGAGGACGAGTACATCTGAATGTCAGCTTGAATCGCCCCACTGCAGCTTACCAAGCATGTCCTCGCCGCCAGTCAAAGCGCCAGCGTGCGACTCATCCACAAGTGCCGTCATGGTGAGCTTGAGCTCTTGGCCGCTGCCCACAACTCCAGAGCTGGGGAACGGCCAGAACCAAGGCTTGCAGATCGGCTTGCCTGGCGACGGCACACGGAACGAGAACGTCGCATCGACAAGACCCGTGTTACGAAGAGTAAACTCGCGCTTCACTTCGCGGCGGTACCTGTTGTGTCAGTTTTGAAGGTCTCATGCAACTCACTTGACAAGTCCAAAGTCGACCTCGTCGCTGTCCACCTCGAGGCTCGCACGATACAGCTCGTCGAGCTTGTCGAGCTCGCATTGGATCGCAACGAGCTCCTCTGTGCGCTTGGCCTCGTCTACGACACGAGTCCTGACCATGAACCTGGACGAGACCGGCAGATGGTCGGACCACAACAGCTCGTGGGAGGTGTACTTTGACGGGACGACCTCGGGCCCATGGGTGATGTGCAAAATTCGGTCGGTGTACGCTGGCGAGCGCTTGGGGTCCATCGTGACCGAACCATGGACGTATTTAAAAGATGGCTTGAATACGATGCGCGGTTCGCTAAACCCACCAAACGAGAGGTTCTCAGCAATATCGCCCAACAGCTGGTCGGCAGTGAGGATCGTGTCCCAGCTATCCGTCTCGCACAGGGCACGGATCTCGGCGTCTTCCAGGTCGATACGGTAGTTGAGGTCGCCAAACCAGAACAAGACGTCCGAGTCGGTGAGGCCTAGCGGGCTGCCATCCTCAGAATAGTGCGCTTCCGTGGCAGGTTGGTTAGATACGGGATTTGTAAAGTTGAGACCAGCAAGTAGCGCCTGATAGTCGAGTCGTCTCCTCTCCAGCTGGTTGCTGAACGCCGCAAGGTGCGAGTTTACAAAGGCGATGGTCGTGTCGTGAACCTTCATGCGCACTGCAACACCCGCCTTGTTACCCTGGCCCGTCAGTTATGGTCCGCGGGAAAGCATAACTCACGCCAAAGCCCAAGAGACCGATACCCCTGGACGTTTCTTGCAGCATTCTAATGTCGGGGCGGAGCTCGCTCTTGACAAAGATGAGCATGAGGACGCCGACATACTGCACACATGCGATCTGGAGTGATGAGCGATCTGCTGTCTTGAATACTATCACATACCTTCTCAAACGAGTCCTTCCTGTCACCAAGACCGGCGAGGATGGCCTCTTCCCACGCGTCCGCGCGCCAGCTTCCCTGTGACAAGAGAAGCGCCTGGCCTCGGAGGTCTGCGGTAGTCAGCACACGCGGATTGGCAGATACCACTCACCGACTTCCTGGAGACCGACGACCAGGATGTCTTCGCCGCCGTAGCCGACAATAGGCCCAAGTTCCTTGGTACCTGTTGGAGGCGTCCTGTCGTTGACATTGTACGTCACAATTCGAATTCTGAACGAGTTAGTGGCCTAGAGCATGCTGTCGTTGGGGCGTACCTGACTGGAGTGGTGGACGACCACTTCTTCTGCCTCTTGAACAGACGTTTGCGGAGGAAATCAGTACGTGAGAAGCCGGGCGTGTAAGGGTTGGGGAACTTGTCGTCGTCGTCGTCGTCGTTTTCCTCCTCGGGCTCGACGTCAATCTCCGGCTTCTTCTTGGCCTTGCTGGACGTCGCACTCGTCGTGTCGCTGTTTTCCGTGTCCGAGTCCTGCTTGGCCGTATCGACGGGGTTGGCGACTGGCGTGTGCGAGCTCGCCTCCTCACCATGCTTCGCCTCGCCGTTGACGACTGCCTTCTTGTCCGCTTCCTCCTTGTCCTCGTCCACCTCAATCAAGTCGACCTCGTCCATTTCCTCGTCGTCTCCCTTGACATCTTCTTTGCTCTCCTTGTCGTCCTGTGCAAGCCTGACCGGTTCACCCAGTGAGACAGGCTTGGCGTTCTCCACCTCGGTGTCGTGCGACAGGTTCTGGGCCTCGTTGTCGTCGTCTGTGGTGCCCAGGTTGCCAAAGGACGCCTCCAAGCTGTCCTCAATCTTGGCCTCCATGGCCTCTGGTACCTGTCAGTACACACCACAGAAGTAACAGATTGCAACGTACGTGTGTCGGTCGGCAAGGGCGCGACATCGCCCTCGACTTCGGGGTAGAACGACAACCACGCGTGTGAGAAGGGCGACACAACTAATGTCAGTTGCGGGGCCCGGCACCGATTGAAGCTCACTGGACACGTCTACAGTCTTGCGAATTTCCTTCATTAGAGCATGAACTCGCGCAGAATCGGCTGCCGGAAACTGAAGCTCAACCTTGCGTCCTCCATTGTTCTCGCCAGTGCTCAGCATGAGCTCTATGTCTGTTTACCCAGTCAGTTGGAAGCACGGGGGAGAGGAGAGGGTATTTGTCCAAGACTAGGTTGCGCCCACACGGGGCCCTACTTACGCGGCTTGGAGCTCTGGGCAAAAAAGGAGGTGGACGGGGATGGCGGGATCTGCATCAAGGACGCCGAAAAGGTCGAGGTAATGGGGAGCGAGTAGAGGATGCGCAGGGGGCTCTTGGACGTGGGTGGCGACACGACGAGCACGCTGCGTGTTGCATCGTAAGCTCTTAGCACCCAGGAGACGCGTGACAACATCAAGCAACATGATTGAAACACTCACGCAGACTCGTCTGTGCTCGACTTGTGGCTGAGGATGGCTACCTCTGTGTTGACGCGACCTGCTGCTGTGCGGAGACGGCATGGCGACCTGACTGTGATGGACTCTGCGGGTCTTATGACGGCGCCGAGGGAGCCTGGGTCTGGTGGGGGCGGGGTTGCTGGTGCCATTGCATTTGAGCTGTCGCAGTCGGAGAGGATGTGAGCGACGTGTAACGAGGCCAAGCCGAACGACGCGGGACGGGCCGTGTAGCTGCAGTCGTTGCAATGAATGTGACACACACCCGCGCGGAAAGGGGAGGCACATCACGGCCACGGATATCCGGGGTCCCCAGACGCCCACTGCCGATCATTGCCACGCGTATGACGTGTCATTCATTTTTCCTCCACCCACCCAACGCCCCGAACGCAGCCGACTCGCAACGGGTCTTTTATTATCACTCTCGCGAAAGTCGCGGGCCAGCGGTCTCGCGGACGTTCGTCGGGCAAAAGATCCAGTTAACTGGACGACGTTGTTGAAAGGCTCTCCAGAAACACCACACAAACAACACTCGGCCCGCCATGTCGTCCCAGGTCACCGCGATCCCGCGAGGTGAGATTTCAGCGACTGCTACCTTGAACCCCTTGCTTGTGCTAACGAGGCAGGGTTCCGGCACATGAACCCGATCAACAAGAACAAGTTCGCCGGAAAGTGCGTCTTCAACATTACTCGCGGCGCCGTCGTAACCATTGCGTATACGTTGCTGACATTGTCAGGTATCCTACCCGTATTGGTGCCAAGCCCAAGGCGTTTGTCCCAGTCCATGATCGCATCAAGAACTGGAACATTGTTCCCGGCGACTCGGTGCGCCTCATGGTCGGCAAGAAGCGCGAGAAGTTCATCGACGAGGAACTCGGTGCCAAGAGCGGATACAAGGTGTACAAGGTCTCGAGTATCGACCAGACACGAAACCGTGTCTACCTTGAGGGCCTGAACGTGAGTCCACAAGAACAGTTTATTGTCCAAGAGTCCCAGAGCTGACACACATGTGCAGAACAAGAAGTCGAACGCCATCCGCGAGATTCCCGACAACCTCCACGAGCTCGACGAGAACGAGCAGAGGTCGTACACTGGTCAGAAGAACTTTGTCGCCGTCCGTCGCGCAGTTCAGTACTCGAACGTGCAGCTGTGTGTTGAGGACAACAACGGCCCCGACAGGTGCGTGTGCCCCCCTTTTTGGCAATACAGGGCCTTTGTCTGACCTGATACCCACAGCGTGTTTGCCTCCCGTGTGGCGACTTCGAGCCCCCGTTTTATCAAGGACTTGGGGCAGTGGAGGTGGAAGCGCTTTGCCGCCAACTTGAGCGGCGAGACTGACCTTCCCATTGTCAAGTCGCGTGGACAGGTCCTCATCCCATGGCCTGTGACGGAGCGCAAGCCGACTCCCGCCGCTTCAGCCAGCGACACTCTGCCAAAGGACGTTCTCCAGGCGTCGTTGAAGCTGAGCCAGATCGAGACGATCCCCCACGAGGTTATCCCCGCCACCCACCGCTCGCCCGCTCCAACGGATCAGCGCTATGCCGATGAGTACATCTTCAAGCCAACCTCGCGCGCCCACCACCAGCTGCAGACTGCCATGCCCATGTACCTCAGCGAGGAGCTTTCGCCTCGCTTTGCCCGCTCAAAGAAGCAGGCTACCTGGCAGGCCCGTCGTGAGCAGGAGGAGAAGATCCGCCTCGAGGTCAGCAGGAGCAAGGTCGCCGAGTGGGAGGCCGCCGGTCGCGACTCGGCACTCAACGAGCCCATCCCTGGTGTTTCCGCCGGCACCACCGTCATCAACAACGACATGGTGCGCCTCGACGGTGTTGAGATTCGCTCGCGTACTCGCCAGGAGGTCCGCGAGGGTGTGCTTCACAACTTCAACCACGAGGTCCTGTTTGCGAAGAAGCAGGTCGCCAAGGCGTACGCCGACGGCATGAAGTTTGATGCCGAGGGCACAAAGTTCACGCCCCAGGAGGGCCTGACGGAGGACGAGGCAAGGTGGCTCGAGGGTCCCAAGGGCGAGAGGCTCGCGTTCAAGCGTCGCCGCAAGGACCGCAAGGAGCGCAAGATGCTCGAGAAGCTCGAGCGTCTTACGCTTACCGACGACAAGAACCAGGTCGTCCCCGAGGAGCTTCGCCGCCAGTAGACAGGATGCATCATACATCATTCATTCATGAGATTCAAACAAAATACAGCTGCAACAGGTGGTCCGCTTGGTCGTGGGCGAAAAGCAGGGGGGCTCGCATGCGCTGCACAGGATCAATGTACCCAGCAGACTGTTGGCAAGATGAAGAGTGCATCTGGATAGGCCAGGAACTAACTGGGCACTCCACACGTCTTGTTCACTCAGACTATGAAGAGTACAGCGGCCGGTACGGACGCGCTACTGGACTGCGGTCGGATGATGTGTGCAACGTTTCCTGAGTAGCATGTAATGATGCATCCATCTACGGCAGAGCCACCATGACGGTAGACGACAGCTCCACAATATACCTACGCCTCGCCATCAATGGCCGGCACAGCACGTGCCAGATCACCCAACCAGTCGACAAAGCTGTGACCGGCGTCACGCGAGTCGTACGGAGCGATCACATCACTGTCGACGCTGGCGCGGAGGTGGGTGTACGGCGCCGGCAAGGAAATGTCCAACGCACCAAGCGAGCCAGCAATGACGATACCGTCCAGCTCGTCAAAGAAGATGCCGGCCGCTTCGTCGGCGGACGCGAGGACCGTGTCGTATGCAAACCGCGAGAGTTGGGAGGAGAGGGCGTCCGTGACGATACCCGACACGGCGTCGAGGTCGCGCAGGGGAAATGTCGCCCGCGGGGTCGAGACGTTGATGGTGGACGGCGCGGTGACGTTGATTGTGATCCCTGCACAGCCTGCGACTTCAAGGCTAAAGACGGCACCGAGGACGTCGACCTTTGCGCGGCCCGCGAGGAGGCCGTAAACGGCGTCCGAGTTGCCCTCGGCCGAGTGGCGCTCGACGAGGGCCGCGTTGAGTCCCGCGCCCACGAGAATGTCCTCGATGTTGGAGAGCGAAGGGCGGACACCGCGGATGGCGGCGTGGAACTGGAACAGGTGGATGATGGGGAGGAGGATGGTTGGTTGCTGAGACTGCTGGGCCGGTGCTGGCTGGTTCTGGCCTGCTGTCGGCGCCGAGGGAGGCTGGGGCTCGACCAGGCGCTGCTTCCTGCGCTGGTAAGTGTGCAGGAGACCCATGCGGGCAAAGGACAGGACGGCGTCGCACAGTGGCGAAACCTCGGCGTTGGGACTGGGAGTCTCGCGCGTGTCGTACATTTGGAACGTGAGCTTGTTGCGGCCCACCAGCAGTCCGATGGATTGGGGCTCAATGAGCGAGTCCATGCGTGCTGCCTCGACACGGAGCTCGTTGAAAAGGTCCTCGTCTATCGTCTCGAGCTGAGCCGCCTCGATGGTGGCGCGCACACCTCGCTCACTCTCGTCGTCGGCACGGTAGGCCGTGCTGGCACAGTGAACACCGCCAGACCCGCCCATGCGGTACAGGACGCGGAGGCGGTGGAACGAGCGGGAACCAAATGCCAGCGTGTCGGCCTTGCGCGGGTCGAGGTCGAAGGCTGCGAGTGACCGCGAGTGAAGACCAGGCGGGGCCTCGTCCAGAGCGTACGGGATAACAACGTCCTTGGCGTCGGTTCCAGTGCGCGCAAAGTCTGGCTTGGGGACTACGGCCCATTGGCCCTTGCCTTCGTCACCCAGACGCAGGTCGCGCACGTCGGTGGACCAGTGCTCGCTCGCCTTGTTCATGAGCTGCAGTTCGTCCACTGCGGCGTCGATGAGAGCTGCACAGTCGTCCAGGGCCTGTTGCCTAGCCGCCAGGGCGAGCTCGAGACCCACGGCAGTCTCGACGTCAGAGCGAGCGGGTGCCGCACTCGGAGTGGTGCTAAACGTGCCCGCGGGGAGGATTGGGGCCTCTGCCTCAGCGGCTGTCGACGGAGGAGGAACCGACCCAGCCGCAGATGCCGCCACGGAAACGCCCTTTGTCTGCTGCTGTTTGCCCTTCTTGGCTGTCGGTGCGGACGGGATAGGCTCGGGAGGAGGGTCGGCGGTGATGTTTGCACCAGCGGCGAGCGTCTTGGCGAGCTCGAGGATGAACCAGAGCTCATTACGTGCCTCGTTCAAGTTGGCATACACCTCTGAACGGAGGTTCTCCATCTCATCGGCGGTCATGAGCTCGCCCTTTTCGCGTTCCTCGGCTGCAGCGTCGTCCTCGCCTTCCTTGTCCGCGCCGTACTCTGTCGATGGGTCCGCGAGCCGCAGCGTCTCCTCCTTGAGGTCTAGCAGGCCGTTGGGGTACTCGTTCCATATCCTCTCCAGCGCCTCTGTACGCTTAGCCCGTGGTGGCTTGCTGCAAGAATGTTAGCTGGGGAATGAATCTGTCGGTGACTGATACCTACGGCTCGTCGTAAGTGAGCGTGCCATCCGCCTCGATTGTTTTCAGGCGGCGGATGGCCGTCGCCGTATCCAGAGTGTACGCGTCGACCGCGACAGAGACGCCTGTAAACGGCGATGATGTTGAGGATGCGCCGTTCGGTTCCATGGTGGTGTGGTAGGAGATGTTGACAATGAGAGTGCCAGTTGTGATGCGTTCTTCTTGGGCGACACAACCGGCCCGCGGTGGAGGTGCCTGAAAATACCGACTGGATGATTACGGCGGCGACCTGTCTTTCGTCGTTTCTTGTCTCCTCTAATCCACTCTATACCTCTCATGTCCGCGCCCATCGCTGGCCCATCAACAATGGTCCACCCTGCTGTTGGGGACACAACGCCGTTCATTGACGGGCGTGGGGACCAGCTCGCTGTGCGCACCTTCCGCGACGAGGATACCGACCTACCAGGTCTGACGCGGCTGTGCGAGGAGGAGCTGAGCGAACCGTGAGCCTGGTCTGTTGGAGGTTGCGCTGCTAACGTGACAGTTATAATGGTACAGCTAGAGCGTCTTTCAGTGAAGCTGACAACAGTGTATACGTTCCGGTACTTTCTCACTGAATGGTAAGCTCCTCGCGGTCGGCCAGCACACTGACGCACCAGGCCGCACCTCACCTTCTTCGTGTGTCTACTGTTACTTGCCTCCTCTGACCGCAGGTATACCCATCAAGCGATGATCCTGAGCCTCTTGCCACCATTATTTGCAAACAGGACATGCATCGCGACCGCACGAACAGGGGTTACATTGGCATGCTGAGCGTCAGCGGTCGCTGGCGGAGACGAGGTATCGCTCGCCGCCTGGTCGAGCTTGCTATCCGAACGATGGAGGAACGCGGTGCCCAAGAAGTGAGCTGCTGCGCTGTTCGAATAGGCTGACCAACCACTTCAGATTGTTATGGAGACCGAGTACGATAACGTTCCCTCTCTCGCACTGTACGAGGCACTCGGCTTTGTCCGCGAGAAGCGCCTCCACCGATTCTACTCCAACGGCAAAGACGCGTATGTGGTGTGCTGTAGGAGGTCGCTAACCAACACAGGTACCGACTTATTCTTCCTCTTGGAGCACACCCGCTGGTCGAGACCGTTGAGGAGGCCGAGCGTGGCCGTTTCCTCGTTTCCCAGGGCCCAGGCGACGACATGCCGCCCGAGGTTGCCTTTGTCCTTGCCGGTCCGGACGATTGCTCAGACGACGTCGCGCGGTTAAGCCTCGAAGATTTCAAGCCCCAGCCCAGGACAAGACCCGACTACATCTTCTAAAGCTCTACATGTACATGCATAATCGAAAATGACTTCTCATGCGTCCACATCCATGACCTGCGCCTTCTTGGCTGCGATCCTCTCGGCACGAGCTCCAGGCTTGCCCTTGCGGCCCTTGAGCTCCTTGCCAAACGCGCGCTCCTGCACTTCACGCTCCTTGCGCCTGTGGTCCCTCTTCTGGATACGCTTGGTGCGCACCTCCGCCATACGCTTCGCCTTGCGTCCGTTGGTGTCCAGGGGGGCGGTGGTGTGGACAGCCTTGATGTGCAGTGCCGAATAGTTGATAGGGGGCAGCGGAGCTGCGGTCTTGGGCTTGGGGGCTGCTGCTGCGTCTCCGTCATGCACGCGCAGGGTTGTGGTGGGAAAGGGGAGGGTGATGGAGTGACGTGGGGGCACGAGGATCGACTGGGGAAGGAGCCGTTCCAGCACGTCGAGTGCGGGATGGGAGGCCTGGTTGTCAGCGGGATCTTTGCAATCGTCTAGCTCACCCTAACGGCAAACGCCGCTACTCGGCGAAGCCCCACAGTGGCCGCAATCTCGGCTTCACGAGCACCAAGAGGAACGACGCGCATCTCGGGGCCCTCGGGGCGAATATACCGGTCTGGACGAGGCACACGAGAGCGAACAGCCTTGGCGAGCTGGGCGTGCTGGCGCAAGAGGGTGTTGTAGGTCGCACAGTAGGTCGGTAGGGGCTCAATTAGTGCCATGGGGGAGACTGAGAGGTGGGGGACAAGGACAAATGCGAGTGGCGAGGCCGGGGTGGTTGGCTCAGCAGCGGCGGAGGCTTCGGTCTCAGCCTCGGGTTGGGCAGGAGGAGCGGTTGGCAACAAGCGAGTGGTGGCTGGAGTCTGGGTCACGCCCTCGAGTGCATCGGTCATGACCATCATGCGCAGACGCAGGTCATCAATCCCATGCTCCAGCGCCTTGATCGTCTCGTTCAGACCCAGCACGAGGTGGTCGAGGGAAGCGGGTTTGGCAGGCGGCTCCTCGATCGCCACTGTGGTTTCTTTGCCATGTTTCTCCTTCTTCCTGCGGACCTTGACGGCACGGGAGCAGCGAGCGCGCGAGACATGGTAGTCGGAGACTTCAGGTGGAATGATCTGGGGGAGGGCTGCCAGGACAGAGGTCTGGAGGTGGTTGGGAAGCGACGGCCTGGGGTGTCAGCTGGATGTCACGAGTCAGGCAGCTGACCAGGACGACTCACCATGGCACGGCAAGGGGGTTTGAGAGAACCGCCTTGACAACGTTGCGGTCAGCAGACGCGCGGTCCTTTGCTTTTGTTTGCTGCCTGATGGTCTGCCCACCTGGGAGCGTCGCAGCTGGCGGCATGGTGGTGGTGGTGGTGATGGTAGTGCGAATGGTAACTCAAGTGGACTTGAACTTGTTGACGTTAAAAGGGGGTGCATAAATAGGGAAAGGGAAAGGTCCTAAGCAGGTGGCACTGTGGTACTGTGGGCATCATTGGACAGTCGACACAGGCAGAACGCCGTCGCAGCACGGGGATGCGACGAGCTGGTCAGTGTGACAGCTTGACGTGAATGGTAGACTATTGGTTCACATTCTTGAGCTCCGTCAGTCCTCGTGGTCCACTGTTTAACGCCAAGTTGTGGTGGCAAGAGTTATAGATCCAACGGAGCGTGCGATAACTGGTGGACCATTCATTCATTCCAGGGTATGGGCTGCGTAGTACAGTGAGGAAGTTTGCGCTGATAAGGAATGCAACGCAGTGGTGACACAGAGAGGTCACCCATACACATGAGGCCGCTTGGTTGAAGCGTCTGATGTGGCTTTAACCAAGATGAACTGGCTTGTGGCCCTCGGCCCTTGTCGTACCGCGTCGCTCCAAGTCCATGTTACAGGAACAGTAAAGAGATGTACCAGATAACGAGATGACACTCTGGCACCTGAGGGAAAGAACCACGTTGGCGGCCAGGTGGGCACCACCGTTTTACATGATGGATACAAGATTACTTATTGTCGGCACTCGTACTCCCCTGCATGCCGCCTTTGCAGACCAGTCGCACGCGAGTCATACTACCGTCTGTTTACAGTAGTCCTGGGTCGGGTTCCACGAGCAAAGGGCACCCCCACTGTGTTTAATCGACTTTGTGGCCCAATCCGTATGGAATATCGACAAAATGAAAATAAATAAAACGTAAAAGGGATGCTGTCTCATTTGGTGGTTGATACCAGCATGATGCCTTTATTGTTGACTCTCCAGAAAATTGAGCTCAGCACTGGACATGGTTCCTCCAGACCCCCACGTTGCAGGCAACAGTGGTGGAGCGATGCAGAACATTATACTGTTGCCCTTGAAGTACAAAAGCTCATGAACCACCCAAACGCATACACGGGCAGAGAGCGGCCAAATGAATCCAATAGAAACCCGCATCACAAGATGTGCATCTGGATATTCATGTTCAGTAAGATGAGCTGCGTCGACTCGACTGTTGGGGAGGAACGTGGAAGGGCAGCAGGCAAGGATGCGGACGGACTGCTCAGGAATGAGGTGGCACAGGTCGTCCCAGGCCATACAGCACTGTACCATACTCCGTACGCCATAGCGCTGCTGCAAAGTGTCTCATGACTCCTTATCCCGGCCTCACGGCTCTGCAGAAGCGCGACATATGCAGAACGCTCTACGGGGATGCTCACCATATGCGGCCACACCGTCTGAAGGTGACATACACTATTACGTAAACATTTTTGGGATAAATTCACGAAATGTAGAATAAACTCCGAAACTGGCCGTGGCACCTACGGGCGTGCGTTTTGGCAGCTAACCGCGAATTCCTGCACTGCACCACCTCCCAAAACACCTCGTCAGTCAGCCACTCTTGCAGCTGGTTCATACCACACCTGCTTGCGGTGCATTACTAACCCCTCAGATCTCTCAAAATGGTTCGCGTTTCCGTTCTCAACGACTGCCTGAACTCGATGGGTGAGTCGCCATGCATGCATGCGAAAGTCGTTGAAAACGGAGCTCTCTTCGAGGCAGAAGACGAGCGTCCAGACGGCGGAAGGAATTTTCAACTGACATCCCAGTCAACGCCGAGCGCCGTGGAAAGCGCCAGGTGCTTATCCGCCCCTCGTCGAAGGTCGTCATCAAGGTCCTCTCGGTCCTCCAGAAGCACGGTACGTTGAAAACCCAGAGAGAGTTGGACACAGAGTCGGATGGAAGCCGCAAAAGCAAAAGAGTCGAGGAAATGGTCGCGTGTCCTTTCCAACCAGCCAGCCAGCCGGCCGCCAGTCGATACCGAGTCGCAAACGCACACGCAGACCTGTCGGTCTCGACCCCTTCCCCTCCTCCTTCGACAAGTTATCCCCCCTACATCTTCCTCATCACACGAGCCCGGAGTATAACTGCCCCTCCGCGTCCTTCTCAACCGAGGAAGGGCTTTAAATCTCCGGGAGATTGGACTTTCGTCAAACTCTTCCTTGACATTTATCCCTCCCACTGAGCTCAAGGCCGCACGGCCGGGGCATCCAGGTGGAAGGGGGCGATGGGAAGAGGACACTCTGTTCGACGCGGCACTCGGGTTCAATCTGGCGGTCGTCGTGGCGTGGAACCTGCCGACCCGACAATTTGGCCCAGGCTGAGCGGACACAAAACCTACGCCCAAAATACTCTTTTGCGCGCTTCCTCCTTGACTCTCGGCGATCTCTTTGGGCCTGCTTGTCCCAAGACCTTACGCTGACGATTCCAGGCTACATCGGCGAGTTCGAGGTCATCGACGACCACCGTGGTGGCAAGGTCGTCATCCAGCTTAACGGCCGTCTCAACAAGACCGGCGTTATCTCGCCCCGCTTCAACATTGCCGTTGACGCCATCGAGAACTGGGTCGCCCTCCTCCTCCCTGCCCGTTCGTTCGGCAAGATCATCCTCACCACCTCGGCCGGTATCATGGACCACGAGGAGGCCCGTCGCAAGCACGTCGGTGGCAAGATCCTCGCCTACGTCTACTAGACGCCTCACTCATTAGGGGTTCTGGGATGCATGTGACGATTCACTGAGCTGCTTGTACGATGGTGTATGGTGCATTTATTTGACCACGGATCCAGCATTTCGTTGCACGTTGCATTGCTGTAGGGAGAGGACTGACCATGCACCATTGTCCTCACCACCCGTCCTGGTCAATGGTGCAAAAATGGCTCCTGGTACAAGTGACACTCTCCGTCTAACGGTCTACAGTGTGTTTACCCGATACAAGATACGCTTCCAATGTACACATTACTCGTCGTCGGCAGCATCCTCGTCGTCCAAGTCCGGCATGTCGTTGCCATCCTTCCTCCGACTCAAAAGCCCATCGGCTCGTCATCCTCCTCGGACTCAAAGTCCATCGGCTCGTCATCCCCCTCCGAGTCGGTGTCGTACTTCTGCTTGGCCTTGCCCTTCTTCTTGGCCTTGCCGGCCTTCGAGGATGCCGACTGGGGCTTTTTGGGCCTCTTGGCGGCCCGCGAACGCTTGTCGGGGTCGGCTTCACGCGCACGTTTCCCTGCTTTGGGCCGGGGGCGCTGGCGACCTGGTCGTTGTCATCGTCATCGCCTGCACCGAGGAGGTACGAGTGGATGCCAAACACCGCACGCGTACCCTTGGCCATACGCTTCTTGGCCATAATGGCCGGTTTGGTGTCAAGCTCGTCGGCGTCGGCGATAATCATGTGAATGGGGTCCGGGCTGGTGAAAGCTTGGTGGTGGAGGACGGCATGGTTGACCCATTGCCAAAGGGTGAGCTTGACTGTGTGCATGCTGCACGAGGGGTCGGGGCAGACGTGGTTGGCGACCGTGGGTGGCTCCTCCTTGTCGGCGAACCACATGGGAAAGAGATGGTCTTTCATGAAGTGTTCGTGGAGGTCGTCCGAGGAGGTAAACGGACTCATGCGGGACGTGTATGTTGTGGCGTCTGTGGCATCGAAGACGCAGCACATGCAGTAGCCGTACTCGACGGGAACGTTGATGCGCTCCAGGGCGATGATGGGTCTGAACCTACCATCGCATGGGGCCGATTCGGGTGCGGGTGGGACGATGGCATCCAGGTCGGCGAGGGCAAGATTGTAGGCGGTCTTGACGGCGGGAGTCATCTTGAAGTGTTTGCTTGTTCTGGTTGACGGCGCCGACATCGCCAAAGCGCCGACGGTAGAGGTCCTCGGAGTACTCCTCCCACTCGGCGGGGTCGTTGTACCAGGAGAAATCTCCAACGAGAAGAATGGCGGGGGGAAGTGGTCGTCCAGGAGCTTGGTCTCCTTCTTGTGGTTCTTGGCGCCCATGTCCGTCGCCCAAATGCGGTGGGTGCAGACGGCCTGCTGGACGTTGATATCGCTAGAATCCGTAAGGATAAAGCCGCAGACGCACTTGGTACCCTCGATGTGTTGGCCGAAGTGGCACTTCCACATATACGGGGTGCGGGGGGACGACCTTCTTGAACTTTTTTCACGGCTCGCACAGAATGGACAAACTTGCTCTTGGTCAAACCTGTCGATGACCACCGGCAATGCTTTCTCGCGGACTTTGTCGCGCGTGCAGTGGTGCACATGCAACTGGCATGTCGTTGAGCTTGACGTTGTTGCCTTGCTTGGCGTGGTTCTTGGCCGCCGCGACTTCCTCCAGAGTGAGGCTGCACTGGGGGCAGTATCCCATGCCTTGGTCATCGGTTGCCATAACCATTCCCGGCCATCATCCTTGTGCGGAGGCGACTCGAGAGGGGAGTTTGATGATCGTGGCGAAAAACATGGCCTTGTCGGCTGTGGGGTTGAACAGGTTGTCGCGGATATAGCGGATGTCCTCGACCACGCTTGTGGTCTGAGTAGTGTGCCAATCGGCGGGCCTGACGGTGGTCGTGGATGTAGATGCAGGGGCTGGCGCGGTGGTGGTTTCCGACGAGCTGGCTTCCGCAAGGATTGCCTTGAACGCGTGTGGCTTGTGAAGGCCGGTACGCGGAGCAACCGTGAAGGGCAACGCGTCGGTCACGGGCTCGGTGTCAGGAGACGGGTTCTCGTCGGCGGTTACAGAGGCGGGCGTGGCGTTGGAGATGGGGAGCGGCGTCGTGTTAAGTGAAGCCGACACGGTGGAAGTGACACCAGTGCCAGATGATGAAGCCGACCCAGTCGACGAGCGGCGCGCTTCACCTTCGCTTGGTGTGGCAACGGTCGTCGGTGTTGTGCTTGACGTGCGTCTGTGCCTCTTCCATGAGAGCGCCGATCACCAAAGCCGCATCACCGTCCCATGAGAGGGTCGCAAGGACCTCGACGGAACAAGACTCCCGCAACGCTCTCGGCGATGTTCTTGTCGCAAATATCAACTGGAACGTCGTCGACTTGCTTGGAGGCGTCGAGGGCACAGTAACCTTGTCCTTGAGCGCTTGTTGGGCCAATGGATCCAGTGGAAGTTTTGCGCGAGCCTTAATGAGGGCATGCATTTCCTGCCGGAACGGTCAGATTATGTTCAACACTCCGTACAGTTCTTGTCACTTACATGGCGGTACTCCGGCTGGTAAAGGTCTGTGTACTGCAAGGCCAGTGATTTGTGCTTTGCCTGCTGCTCGGGGGGCGCCTTTTGGACGGAGCCATACTTTCGCTCGAGATCACTCTTCAGAGCGGTCTGCTCGCTCTCAATCTGGACGAGCTGGGGCATACCAAGCACGGCGGTAAGGCTGGCCGAGTCCAGGAATGGTCGTCTGTCCGCTCCAGAGAAAGTTTGGAAATCTCGTCAAACGCGTCGCTATATGGTTGTCAGGAAAATGCAAGCGTTTGTGATTTACGAAACGGAGTGTCCAGAGTGTCGGTAAGGACGCATGATAGATGCGCGGATGCAGTCGCAAGATGCCACTGGCATAAATGCGCTCACGGTGTTTGGCACGTCGTCGTCCCCCGGTAGAAATGGGGACGAGCAAACAAAGATGGCGCAGAAAATGTAGCCACTGGCCATATGGAACCAGTGCACCAGTGTGGTTCAGAAGCAAAGTAAACAACATGGCTGGCAGATCGGCTCTGCCATGCGTACAGCGAGCTGGAGGCGTGTGGCATGGTCCGCGGTGGCGGAAATCGTTGAGAATGGAGTACATGTTCCCGTATTGGCTGGTTCATCGTCCAACAAGGCCACAAGCGACACCTTGCACCAGACGGGCCTGCCGGGCCATGTTGCGACAATCTGTAATGTCGTCCCGCCTCACCGAAGAGCAAACCCATTGGTCTAATGTAACGGCAGTGTTGAATCTGGCGGCAGAATCAGGACAGATATTCCTCTACCCAGCCCAAGTGCCACATCTCACCTGTCGTGGCATCCAGAGATCAAGAGACCCAGAGATATCCGAATGTGCCCAAGTATGCCATTGATGCACACCCAGACGCTACATAAACCATTGTAGCCCCCTCACATGCGTGAACACGGAGTTTAACACAGAGACCATGCTCCACAACCTCGCCGCCGCCAATAACCCTGTCTTGCACATGTCGCACTGCTGCATCTCATCAAACACTCGCATTCTACTGAGTCTGTCCTCCATAACCCCTGAGGCCCTCGGCATACATCCATTCCGTCTCGCTGCTCTTGGACTCGGAGATGGAGACGCCGTCCTTGGTGACACGGGCGACCTGGTACTGTAGGGAGTGTCAGCCACAACTCTTGAGCACGAAATCTCTATCGATCACCCACCTTGTTGATACTCCTGGCGTCGCGGTAGTAGAGCACCTTCATGCAGTCGTCAATGACAGCCTCGGCCTCCTCGGCAGTAAGGAGACGGCCGTCGGCACCGGGGCGACCCTCGAGGTCGACGCCAGCCTTGGCCTCGTAGGCTTCACGGAGGAGAGGCTGGGCAATGTGGGCGCCGAAACCGGTAGCGAGTGTGGGAGCAGTGTAGGTCGTGCCGAGGAGATCGACGTAGCCGAGGAAGGACTCGTCCTTCTTAAAGTCCCAGCCGCCGACGAGGCAGGCGTTCCACAAGGGGTTAATCTTGTTCCGCCTGGCGTAGAACAAGTTGGCGAGGAAAGTGTACAAGTTGTTGGGGGAGAGTGGGGGGTGGGCATCGGTGAGCGTGAGGGTCTCCTCTTCGCGCCTGTGACGGGTTAGCTTGAAGAACACAAGAGTCGAAGGCGTCAACTTACAAGAGGCCGTCAAGCTCCTTCTTCAGGTACTGGAAGTCACTCATGTCGCCGGCCACACCGAGAATGGTGTGAGTACCAAGAGCATGGAGACGCTCAATGTCGCGGAAACGGGCAAGCGAACCGTACGAAGCTGTATGTTAGCTAAAGCATGGCAACTGCTTCCAGCTACACACCGAGGTTGTCCGCGGCGAGCATGACACCGCCCTCATACTTGATGCCGATAACCGAGGTACCAGTCACAAGAGGCTGCCTAGAGGGTTAGCTGACGTTCCCATGGACTAACCCACTGAGTGTTCTGAACAGGGCCGTGGCTGTGAGCGCTGCGAGGAGCCGACATGCCCATGGGGTTGGTCGAGTACATGTCAAACTGCTGGTGAGCAGTCAAGGGCTGACCCCAGGCGGCCGGGTGCTGCAGAATGAACACGATCAACAGAATGGAGGTATTGAAGGTCGTGCGTTGGCGTGAAAGACAAGCGTCAGCGTGTGTATAACTGTGGAGGGCAACCGCTGAGGCTCGACGGAGACATCAACGGCAGGACGAGACGTACGTGGTTCATGGCTACTGGGATGGGGAGGGTGGAGGGATGAAGGGGGTTGAGAAATGAGGATAATGTCCTCGTCGATGCCGCTGTCTGAGCTGTCGATGTGGACAAGGACGAAAAGATGTGGTTGAGAGGCGAGAGGGCTGATAGCTGATGGATTCGAGACGTTCGCTGTTCGTGTGTGTCCTGCGTCAGGCAGCGACGGAGTGCATGAGCGTCACTGAACGACGCGCGGTCAGCGTCACGGAAGTAAACACACGTGTTTAAAGTAAAATTACGTAATTACTACTTTAAACGGAAGCAATCCCTCACCGCCCAGAGTGAGTCCCGTCCCTTGCTCGGTTGGTGTAAACACGCGCCTGTCTTTTCGGCATTGTTTTGACGTTCATCGACACCCACAACAACCTCATTCCACCTTTCCGGCACATCCCCAGAGCGCCTACACGCGTCAGGGAGATCTCTTCCACTCAGAGCTCCCATAGGCGCCGCCGCCCGCCACGCCATGTCCGACTACAACCTCCAGGAGGAGCTACTCTCCCTCACAGCCGACCCCTCACTCTACCCCATCAACAATGAGCTCGACATCCCAGACCTGTCCTCTAGTGCTATTGACGTGCATCTCTCGAGCGCGATCGAGGCAGTAGTCAACGACCCCGACTCTATCCTGCACTCTCCCGGCGAGACACTTGATGTGTTCACCTCCGTGCTCAAGCACGCCGACGCGCCGGGCGTCGACGGCAACGTGCTCCAGAAGACGCTGGACGCTATTTGCTCGGGCCTTACCCACCACTCCAACGCCGTCATGGTCCTTGTCGCCCCCGGCCAAGACGACATTGACGCGCCGCTCCAGCACAAACAGCAGCTCGAGCAGTGGGCTTTCCTTCTCCAGTGGTTTGTCGCCGTCGCCGAGCGCGGCGCCGGTCGTGCCCCTGGTGATGAAGCCCCCACCGCCAAGAAGACTAAGAACAAGAAGCGTCCCACCCCCGGTATGCCCACCTCGTTTGCTTGGGCAGACCACCTGCCGCTCGTACTCGGCACCATGCACCGCACCCTCCGCGTCCCGACGTCGCGTATCTGGCGCACCTCGTCAGAGCGTGAGGCATTCGTCTCGTGCTTTACAAAGTCGGTGTACCAGCTCGCCGAGGTTGAGGCATACCTCAAGGTCCAGGAGACTCGGCTCGGCATGTACAAGGTCATCTGCCTGGCTGTCAAGTTCCATGGTCACGCGTTTGGTGCCCAGACCTCGATTGTCCAGAACCTCACCTACTTTGAGCACCTGTCCGAGCCAATGGCCGAGCTCCTCGCCATTCTCGAAAAGGAGTTTGACTACCCTCAACTTGCCGAAGAGGTTCTGCGTGACGTTGCAGGCAAGACATTCTCGCATAGTGACGCCAAGGGACCTCGTTCCTTTTCACGATTCCTCGTCCGACTCGCCGAGCTCTCGCCCCGTGTCGTCGGCAAGCAGATGCCCCTTTTGCTTGCTCACCTCGACAGTGAGGCCCACCCCATGCGCATGGCCATCATTGAGATTATCGGTCTCCTCATCCGTGATCTTGCCATGTCCGAGGAAGGAGAGGACGAGCAAAAGACCAAACAGATCAAGGGCTTTTTCGACCTACTCTTTGAGCGTTACCTGGACCTCAACTCTTACGTTCGCTCCAAGGTCCTCACCACCTTGACCAAGCTCTGCGAGTGAGTGTTTTAGGCGATTCTGCGACTGACACACCAGTCTCCCTGTTAAGTTCCCCAAGCAGCGTTCCAAGATTGCCAATCTCACTATCCGGACGCTCGAAGACAAGACATCGTCCGCCCGTCGCTACTCGATCCAGCTTCTCTGCAAGCTCCTCGAGACCCACCCCTTCGGTGCCCTCCACGGTGGTACACTCAACCTCCCCGAGTGGCAGGAGCGCTACGACAAGGTCTGCGCTGAGCTCGAAAAGGTCGACACTCATGAGATGGAGACTGCTCGTCGCGATGCGGGAATGGACGATGACGAGGACAAGGAGGATGAAGAGGATGACGAGGAGGACAAGGAGGACAAGGAGGACAAGGAGGACAAGGAGGAGGAGGGCGAGGACGACGACGACGATGAAGAGGATGAGGAGGAGGAGGAAGAGGGTGCGGCAGATGGTGATGAGGAAGCCGAAGACGGCGACCGGACTCAGGGCTCAATCAAGAAGACCCAAAAGTCCAAGAAGGCCAAGAAGAGCCGCAAGCCTCGTCCCTCGCAGCTCGACGTGGCCGCCATCGAGGCTGAGCAGTCGTCCATGGACCCCCAAGCGATCATGCGCCTGCGCCTCACCAAGAAGTACTACTCGGACGCTCTGCGTTTTATCAACCAGATCGAGTCTGCCATCCCCACCCTTTGCCAGCTCCTCGTCTCGACCAACAAGACCGAGGTACTCGAGTCGATGCGCTTCTTCCGCACCGCCTACGAATACAACATTGCATCGGCTGAGCAGGGCATCAAGACCATGCTCCACCTCATCTGGACCAAGGACAACAATGCCACCACCGACGAGGGCATGGATGGTCGCTCTATCCGTGGTAACCTCATCGACGTCTACCGGTCCCTCTATTTTGACGTCGTTCCCGACCTTGCCCCTAAGCAGCAGGTCAACCGTATCGCCAAGAACATGATTGAGCGTACCTATGGCGCCACCCTTGCCGAGCTCACCTCACTCGAGGAGATGATGCGCACTATGATGGTCGACGGTGGCGTCCACCCCGACGTTGTCAACAAGCTGTGGCAGGTTTACAGTGAGTGTGTGAACGCTGATCGTGTGCTAACCCACGCAGGCACCGAGCAGGAGATTCCCAAGCCTCAGCGCCAGGGAGCCATCATTATCCTCGGCATGCTTGCCCTGGCCAAGCGTGAGGTCGTCACCGAGCGTGTCGACTCGCTCCTCAAGATTGGTCTCGGCCCCCACGGTATGAACGACTTGGTGCTCGCTCGCTACACCTGTATCGCGCTCCAGCGTCTCGGTGGCAGCGCCAAGAAGGTCAAGGGTTCGCTCCAGGATAAGACCATGCGTCTTCCAATGGATAACCCCGTGTTCCTCAAGCTCGAGAACATTATCAAGATCTCGTCTCGATCTCCCCAGTGGTTTGGTATGGCCGAGCAGGCCATCAACACCATTTACCTTCTTGGACAGCAGCCCGACGCTCTCTGTGGCTCAATCATCAAGGACCTCACGGCCAAGGTGTTTGCTACCAAGGCTCCGGTTGCTGCCTCGCAGACGAGCGAGAACGTCGACGACGAGTCTCAGCAGGATGCCCCACCATCGCCCTCCCCTCAGGTTCGGACGCACTCGCGCACTTCGTCCCAGACCTCGTCGATGCAGGTCGAAGCCACCCCTGCCGAGCCCAAGCCTGACGAGGTCAGCGCGTTCGCCCTTGCCGAGCTCCTGTTTGTCGTTGGTCACGTTGCCCTCAAGCACATCGTCTACCTGGAGCTCGTTGAGCGCGAGTTCAAGCGCCGCAAGGACGAAAAGGCCAAGGGTGAGTTCCGATACTTACTGGTGTCAACCGATCGCTGACTCGAAACAGAAAAGGCTGCCGCCAAGCCGGGAGACAAGGACGGCAATGACCTCGACGCCGTGGCCGGTAACGCCGAGGACGACATTGGCGACCTCATTGCCAACATTCGCGAGCGCGAGCTGCTGTACGGCGACAAAAGCCTGTTGTCTGTCTATGGTCCCCTGATTGTCGCAATTTGTGCCAGCCCCAAGCGCTACAGGTTGCCAACTCTGCGCCAATCGGCCATCCTTGCTCTGACCAAGTTTATGTGTGTCTCGGCTCAGTTCTGCGAGGCGCACCTGCTCCTCCTGTTCAAGATCCTCGAGACCAGTCGCGACCCTGTGGTCAGGAGTAACATTGTCATTGCCCTCGGCGACATTGCAGTCTGCTGGGGCAGCATGATCGACGACAACTCTGAGCGCCTGTACCAGGGCCTCACCGACCCCGACCCGATTGTCAAGAAGAACACGCTAATGGTGCTCACCCACCTTATCTTGAACGGCATGATCAAGGTCAAGGGCCAACTCGGCGAGATGGCCAAGTCCCTCGAGGACCCGGACCAGCGCATCTCCGACCTTGCCAAGCTCTTCTTCACCGAGCTCAGCACAAAGGACAATGCCCTGTACAACAACCTGCAAGACGTTATCTCGCACCTGTCCATTGGCACCCACGCCGTCGACGAGGAGGCGTTCGAGCGGACCATGCGCTTCATCTTTACGTTTATCGAAAAGGAGAAGCAGGCCGAGGCTATTGTCGAAAAGCTCTGTCAGCGTTTCCGTCTCGCCACCGAGGAACGTCAGTGGCGCGACATTTCGTTCTGTCTCTCGCTCCTGCCCTTCAAGTCGGAGCGCTCGATGAAGAAGCTCATCGAGGGTCTGCCGTTCTACCAGGACAAGCTGCACGAGGAGACCGTCTTCCGCCGCTTCAGCGAGATTCTTGCAAAGGTGAGATCCACACAGTACCATCAGACAGCTGACAATATACAGGCCCGTTCCAACAAGAGCGCGGGCAAGCCCGAGACCGAGCTCAAAGAGTTCGAGGCCATTCTCACCGAACACCAGGCCAAGGGACTCGAGGAACAGGCGCTCGAGGCCGACGTTCTCAAGAAGACCAAGGCGGCCAAGCGCCGCGCTGCACGACGAATGGGTGGTGGCGCGGCACCCCAGGTTGCTGCCGAGCGCGTCGAGCGGCCACAACGCAGCGGTCGGGGGACTGGTAGGAGACGCGTGGTCGAGAGCGACGAGGATGACGACGAGTAGCGAGGGGAGCTACTTCCCCTAGTAGCATTGGCCCACGGTCCGGGATAGCCTGTTGTAACAACGATATGGAGGACTCTTAATAGAGCAGATTGGATAACATTTTACATCCCTTTGTCAGACATCTACAGGGGCGTGTTAAGCCCTGCGTTTTGGTTGGTTAAGAGTGTCGACTTTGACTTAGCGGCTTTTGTTCCGTGAGAGGCAAAACCTTGCCCCGGCGGCAACAAAGGTCGTGAGGCCGACATGTACGATACCATACGATTGCAGGCCTGGGCGTGCAGGTGGGGCCTGAGCGCTGCAGAGCCACGCCACTAAAGTCGAAGTGTGTTGGCCAGCATATCCTCGGTCACTACCAACGAACCGCAGCAGGTACCTAACATGCGGCACCAGCGAATGGTGTCACCTGGGGCTGCTGCCCGGTGAACGGCGGTTACTATCCAGAGACAGCGGGTGTGCATGCATGTTGCAGACACCGAGAGCAGCGACAACGGCTGGCATGGTGGATGGTGCCTCAGTGCCACTTGTCTGTCGAAGCCGAGAGGGTGCGCGAGCGTGCCTGTTGTATCTCCGGGGCTCCCCGACTAAGCCGCGACTGCACCGTTCACAATATGTCGGCAACCACACCCTCACTGCATTCCTACACCGCTCCTCACCTTACACGGCACAACCCATGTCGCTGTCTCGTACCCTCTTCGGCTCCAGTCGCGCTGCGACAGCCGCGTCCCGCACGCTCGCCCCCGCAGCGCTCGCGAGCTCTTCATCGTCCTCCTCCCACTGCCGACAGCTTCATTCGACCCCGGCGCCTCCCAAGAACTACCCGGACCATGTGCCACTGAACGCGGCGCAGAATGCGCTTCTGGCCGTCGGCAGCGGCGTCGTCGGCGTGCTCAACTACACGTCGCGCCCCGACCTCATTGCCACGCTGTCAGAGTCGACGGCGTCGTCGTTCCTGCCCCGTCTGCACGAACACATGGCGTCCCACCCCGAGGGCCGCCAGATCCTGCGCGACCGGCCCATTGTCAGCTCCCACACCGTCAACCTCGACCACCTCCGCGGTCTGCGCAGGGGTACGGTGGGCAGGGAGTATGTTGAATGGCTGGACCGTGACGGAATCACGCCTGATTCACGAGAGACTGTGGGTTTGAAGGTCCTGTTCGGAAGTGCTAACCCGGTACAGGTCCGGTACATTGACTCTCCAACGCTGGCGTACACGATGCTGCGATACCGCCAGACCCACGACCTGTACCACACGCTGTTCACGCTCCCACCGACGCTCGTGCACGAGCTGTCTCTCAAGGTCGTCGAGTGGGCCAACATGGAGCTCCCCGCTGCGGCCATGTCGAGCACGTTTGGTCCGCTGCGTCTCAGCCAGAAGCGCCGGGCACAGTGGCGCGAAGACTGGGTCCCCTGGGCACTGCGTACCGGTGCCGGCGGCCGCACGCTTGTGGGGGTGTACTGGGAGAAGCGCTGGGAGCAGGGTATCGGAGAGCTGCGTCGCGAGCTGGGTGTGAGCCGCAACGACGCGCCGGGAGTGGAGGCGCGCTGGAAGGGTTACCGTGTTCTGCGCGAACAGGAGCGCGAGCTGCGCAGGAAGGGCGAATGGATCGACGAGCCAGAGGAGTGGTAGACGGGGTGTCCTCTGGGCAAGAGAGCAGCAACTATGTCTCTCAACATGTACTTGCATTGCGCGGTGACACGCAGCACGGCATGGACACAACCACCACAAATACAGGCGCTGCTGCGCATCGACTCTTGCTGCAGCTATACTCACGCCACTGACCGGCTGACCTCGTCGCTCACGTGTGCCACAGTACAAGTGTCCATTCCATCCTAGTTCTGCGTCTCGCTGCCTACTTATCACCTTCTACTCTCATTCCTCAGCCTTAAACGGCAGTGTGACCGCCATCGACGACCAGGTCTGAGCCAGTCATGAAGCTCGATGCGTCCGAGAGGAGGAACACGACGGGGCCTGAGCACGGGTGTGTCAGCGGTCATATGTGCCGGGGGCAGGAGAGAGTGGGTCAAGCGGACGAGGAGCAGACGAGACGGCTGCCAGCTGCTGTTGACAGCTTTCGCCGTGGCCTTGCCACTCGCCGTCCGGATCGCAGCACCACGACTCAGGCAGCGGCTCATTGATCGACTCACCCCTAAACTCATCGGGAGTGCTAAGACGGCCCATGAGCGAGCCCGCCGTCCAGGTCTCCTCAAAGTCGGGGCGTTGCTTGAGGAGCACGTCGGTGAGGGCGGTGCGGATCTGGACAATGTCAGTGTCTGCTGGGTTTGGAGTCTATCTGCTTAGGAGCAACGAGGCCTGCTGCTACCGTGCGCTCTGCCACACTCTGCGAGCAACTCACATAACCAGGTGAGAGCGACTGCGCGTTGTCAGCCAACAGCAAGCTACATCTGCACGCGTTATCAAGTAGCTCACGTTAACCCTGATGCCCTTCTTGCCCCACTCCATAGCGAGGTTACGCGCCAGCTGGCTCACACCGGCCTTGCTGGCATTGTAAGGTGCGCAGTCGATGCCCAAGTTGGCGACGCGGCCACTCATGCTGGCCACAAACACGATGCTGGCCGCCTGGGACGTGGGCAGTGTGCCGTCTGCGGCTTGCGGGTAGGCCGCGAAGAAGGACCGCGCAAACGCCGCTGCGAGGAGGTACGAGCCCGTGAGGTTTACGTCGATGATCTTGCGCCATTGTCCCGGCGTGAGCTCTGTCGCGGCGCACAGGAGCTGGATGCCCGCCGCGTGGAACAGGCCGCGGACCGGGTGGCTCTGGCGCGCGTTCTTGAATGCGTCTGCGACGGCGAGGTCGACCGCGTCGCCGTCCGTCACGTCCAGCGCGACGTAGGTGAGCGTCGTGCCGGCCTCGGTGGCTGCGGCCTGTGCAGATGCCCACTCGTCCTCGACAGGCGGGAGGAGGTCGAATGCCACAACGTCCGAGCCGCATTCGAGCAGGGCGTGCGCGACGGTCAGGCCGAGACCGCGCGCACCGCCAGTCACCAGCGTTGTGCGGTTTCCGAGGCTGAAGAGCGCGGGGGTCGTGGAGGGGGGAAGTGCTGAACAAGTGTCAGCACGATGTCTATGGGATCCGAGTGGACGACCTCCACCAGCGCCAGTGTCGTCATCCGTGCCACGGAAGAGGTAACAACACCTCTGGCAGGGGAACGTCAGCTCACCAGAGACGGCCATGCTTGATGTTCAGCCCAGTGTCAGTCGAGAGATCAAAGAGAACAACGTGAGAGCGATGTGGGTGTGTCGGGATGATGGGCCGAGCTGGTGACATCGGCTTCTTGTACGTCTCCAACAAGCAACATCCATTTCCGCGCCGGACTTTATGTGCCCACCCGCATGCGCTGCCGTAGCTACAGCCGGTGGAACCACACCGCCATCACCTCAAGAGATGCGTTGCTTCTGGCGATGTGGACGCAATCGTCCGCGGGCAAACTTCCTATGCTCCGCCTGGGCATGTCAGTGGTGGAGCTGTCCCTCCAGGTCATGGGTTGGAGAGCAGAGTCAAGGAGGTAGGTCAAGGTGGCAGTGGCTATTATTACGCTGCAGATCCCGGATCGCCGTCATTCCAAGTCACCGATATCTGGCTACAGGCGCTCGCCAACGCCATAATGACAGGAGCGGAATAGACCGTCGCCCATACCTCTGACAGCTGTATAGGATATAAGAGACAGTGCTGCAGGACCAGCCGCCCCGCTCGTTCTGTCCACGAACAAAAGCAAACCACCGCTTCCTGTCGCGAGGAACCACCTGACAGCCTGAACGCCTCGGTCGCCTGTCCAGCCATGCAGCCATGCAGCCACAACGTCACCGCACGATCACCGACCGCACACCGCACACCCATATGCTCAGGCCGCGCAAATCAGCCACAAAAGGCGAGCGGTCCTGATGCCGCGGCACCCGCACAGGGAGAGTGACAATGGGTGCAACGCGCACTGGATGTGTCGGTGTTCCTCGCGAGGGCCACGCTGAACGCATGGGGTGGGATTGGACGCCTGGCAGCGATCCGCAATGTCTCTGGTGACGGCCAGCTCCCAACTGGCCAACTGGGTCACCTGTTACGCAGTCTACTGCTGCGCTGCAGCGAGGAGCGAACGGCGCGGTCTCCTCGTCTCCTACTTCAGGCTCTCACCAATCGCCCCCGTTTCCCCTCCCCTTTCGTCTTCAGTGCTCGCGTTCGCTATGCAAATACGATTCATCCTTTCCGGATCCCTTTTGGCTACGGACGGAATTGACGGACGTGTCCAAAATAAGGCTAGGTTGTGGTTGTTTAGTTGTCGACCATGACCATACCCTTGCCCTTGTAACCCTCCGAGGCGATACCCGACTGAAGAGGAGACGTCAGCAAACGTTGCAAGTGCAAGATTTTGCCCGTTAGAACAAGGCAGGTAACGCACGATAGGGTTGGAGCGCTGCTTCTTGAGGTACTCGGTCGACTCCTCCTGGTATTCGCGGCTCCAGGTAGCAGGGGGAGCAGGGGCTGAAACGGTCAGCGTGTGTTCGTCTGCGTATCTCTCTTCTGTCTGGTCTTGTTTCTCGTCTGGCGTTGGTGTCAAGCAGAGAAGCTGGGTTCAAACCAACACTCTTCTGAAATGACACTGCCACTTCTTGAGACCTCCGTGTTTGTACTCACCACGTGCGCGGGCGAGGCCGAAGAGGCCAAGGGCGAGGGCGACGGCGCCGAGGGTACCGGCGAAGACCTTGATACCGGTGCCGGGGGGGTTGACGGGGGTGCGGGGGCCGTGGGGGCCGAACGAGACGTAGTAGGCTGTGAGATGTGTGGGTGGGGTGGTCACGGGAGAATAGGTGCGATTATGCAGGTGCAGGGTGGATTGGAAGAAGACGAGGAGGAGAGTGTCAGCGTTGAGCGTACGCGTTGGCAAGAGGCATGGACGAGGAGAGAACAGCAGGACACAGAAGAAGACACGCAAGGACAAGGTGGGCGCAGAAGGGTCACAGTGGGCGTTGGATGGGATGAATGGCGGCGTGGATTCACACACCACCACCCATCCTCCCTCGCGGCGTGCATGTTTCCACCAGGCCGCACGGCGTGCATCGAGCACACCGCAGCACCGTCGCATCGAGGGTAGCACATGGCATGTGCCGGTGACGATGGCAGCGATGCAACGGCCACGACAGTGGTGACGCCGAGTGACCCCGGTCCGATAGGTCCCGACGAGGCGGAGGCGCGGAGGGCGGGGGGGGGACAAAAGAAATGTCGCCGGTTGGTCGGGTGCGCGCCTGGTCTTTCACTCGGGTATGCACACCGCGCACGGTGCAATACGACAGCTGTGCATGCGATGCGATGCGTGCGTGCAAGAGCAAAGACGCAGGCATGCGCTGGGAGTGGGATGCGCCTCCCAAATCAAGTGGAACATGTCGTGCGTTTGGGTGGGAGGTTGCATGAACAGTGACGTCCTGAGTGTCCAATCCGCAACAATCCTTGTCTTGCGCTGTCCTCTGCTGCCACTTTCTCGCTGTCTCCCGTCCACCGCTGTGCTACTCACCAGCCTTCTTCTCGTCAGTCGAGAGCTGCTTCCAGTCCTGCTTCTGGACCTGCTCGAGCTGCTGGTAGACCTCGAGCTGCTCGGATGCGGGGAGGGTAGCCCACGAAGCCTCGATGTTGGCAAGAGCGGGGCCGTCGTTGGAGCGCGACGAGACGACGTGGACGGCCGAGGTCGAGGCGGCGCGGGCGGAGAGGGGGGCGGCGGCGCGCACGGCGGCGACACGGAGGAGCGACATTGTTTTTGGGGGGAGGGGGGGAGGGGAAGGAGAGAGTGGGGGGGTTGAGTGGTGAGTGAGGAGAGTATTGAGATGGTGGATTGACTGGTGTGGTGTGGCCCTGGGAGTGTGTGGGCGGCCTGGGTGCGCTGGGTGCTGGCTGGCAGGCTGGCTGGCTGGCTGGGTGTGGACTGGCTGGGCGGGTGCAGACGCTGGCTGGGCGGGTCGCTCGCTGGCTGGTACACCCACCCAACCCAGCGCACCACACCACCCAGGCCGGGCGCGCGGCAGTTTGCAAAATCCCGAACACCCTCTTGCTCGTGGCGCCGACTTGCTCCGGCCAGCCAGGCCAGCCAACCACAGTGCAACCGAATGACCCCCCTCTGCATTTGGCAGCCACAGTGTGCAGTCGTTAGCAGGTCGCATCCGCGTTTGCATCCACAACAGTGTGCCCAGGCCCATCATCATCTTGCCACCCATATGCTATAATGCCTCGTCTCTCGTTATGCATGATCGCCCAAGAAATATTAATGGCTCACTCCTGCTATCTCTTGCTTTAACCCGCGCGTGTGGCTGTCGTTTGGCCTAGCACCAAATTTGATTTTTGGGCCACGTCGGCTAAATTGGTTATCCACCCGCGCCGCCGTGGCGGCCGCCGCGCAGCTCGGTTGTCTCCATCCCGAGTCCACAGACCTCACCGCCCAGGGTTTGACAGGACGCAGAGCCTACGGCCTACGGGTTCCTCTGTAATATCGGTGGGTTCTGTGGATCTGTGGACCTGTGATCTGTGATGTCGCTCATCCCATTTCTTCGGAATGCTTGCTAATGGGAGGTCGAGCTCGGACCACTCATGGGTGTTCAGTTGGCAGCGTGCCTGGGGCTCTGGCTGTCCGAATCGGCCTCCTCACAGATCCTGCCACCGACACACAAATGTCAGTTGCCAGCAGCGACAGCGACGATAGACAAACTTTGACTGATGGGTTCGTAGCAGCGGGTGGGCAGCAACTAGCCACTATAGCCCTTTGTAGCTGAACATTGCAGGTCGCCATAGGATGTACCCCAGCGGTCGCGTGTGGCGCCTTCCTCCCCCATCCCTCGCCGCCTTCCCTCCGTGACGGCGTGTCTTCCCTCTCAGCCTCCTGCGCTGCTGCATCGCTTACCTTGTCTCTGTGCTCATCCTGGAAACACTCGTCCCACTCGCACAAGGGTGGTCTGTCTCCACCACGTCCGACCCACTCCGAGCCGGCGCTCGAGCCACCTCTTGTTGCTCCGTCCGTCAACGGACGACGTCGTTGACGGTGAACCTCAATCCAGCCAGGTCCAGTCACAACAGTCTCACGGTAGCCACCTCGCCCGGTCATGTCCAGCGCGGGGCCTCATCGTCGTCGACGCGTTTCCTGTGCCAACAACCTCCACAGTTCCCGACCAGTTGACCAACCGCATACCCCGGGCTCCAGAAGCACAAAACACGCCTTGTTCGCACACCCAAAGTGTCGCCTGGCCGCTTTCTCCAACTCTGGCGCGAGCACACACGCTCCATCGTCAAGTATATCAACATGACCGCCCTTCCACCTGTTCCCGTCTACCGGGCACAGCCTATACGCATTGCCTGTGTCCAGTTTGACCCTAAAGTGAGTCTGCTAGCGGGGCATGTTTATACTAATGATACCAGCTTGGCAAAGGTGTCGAGAACGCGGCAAAGGTCGAGTCGATGACAGCTCGGTAAGCGACACCAAGCCTGCTAACCCAGCTGGCAACCGTGGAACCACGACCTCAGCGGGCGTTGGTTTTGGCACAGTTGTTGGGCGCGTTTGGCTGACCCCATTTCCCAGCCTTCAACCAGGCATGCTCGACCTGCTCGTCCTCCCGGAAATGGCTCTGTCGGGGTACATGTTCACCACCCCGTCGGCCATCCAGCCGCACCTCGAACACCCTACCACGGGCTTGACGGCGACGCTGGCGAAGAAGCTGGCCGCGAGGCTGCGGTGTCATGTCGTGGCAGGCTATCCCGAGGCGTTTAGCGACGACGAGCCCGTGGTCCCACCGCGCGCGTCCGCGTCCACGAGCACTGCCGACGACACGCCCATCGTCACTGCCCCGCCCGCCGACCCGCCCGTCTTCGCCGAGATCAACGGGACGGGAACTGGGACTGGGACCGACCCTTCCCTCCCTCCAGCACCACCGGCGAACGGCTCGCATGCGAACGGCACCCACCTTCTCCCTCCTCCACCGTCCTTCCCTCCCAAGCGGCCCAACGGCCCCAGCCACCCGCTCACCGCCGCGCAGGTGGGCTACAACTCGGCCCTCATCGCGTCGCCCGCAGGCGAGGTGGTGGGCAACTATCGCAAGACGTTCCTCTTCGAGACGGACAAGAACTGGGCGCGCGAGGGCAGCGGGTTCATGCACTGGGACCTGCCGGCGCCGCTGGGCCGCGTCGCTATTGGAATCTGCATGGGTGGGTTTTTTTGGCTGGTGTGGAAGGGGCGACGGACAGCGGTACATTGGCCACCATGTACTGGCTGTCATGTTGGATGTGCTGCGATCGCTGACTGACATCCATCTGCAGATCTGAACCCCGAGGACTTTATCTGTACGTGCCCCGCATCTCCCCTGGGTATCCTTTTCGGCTGACCACTATAAGCTCCGTGGAACGCGTACGAGCTCGCGACATACTGCGCCACCAACGCAGTGGACATGCTCGTCGTCCCGTGAGTGGGAGTGGGACACCGCTGTTCCTCGCATAACAGAGTTACACAGCTGACACGTTCTCTCGCGGACAGGATGAACTGGCTCGACCCGCGAGAACAGGACTCTGACTCGGACTCGGACTCGGACTCAGACACCGACACCCATTCGGACACCGGCTCTGACGGGGAGCGCGTGCCGCCGCGCGACCCCAACGCGCCGAGCATCAACAACCTCAACTACTGGGCCGCGCGCCTGGCCCCCCTGCACGACCCGGCACCGACGTACGCCGCCGCCGCGCCCCCAGGCTACGACGGTGCAGGTGCAGGTGCAGGTGCAGGTGCGCCTTCTGCTTCTGCACCCCCGAAAGAAGTCGTGTTTGTCAGCTGTAACCGTGCGGGAACGGAGGGAGGGACGCTGTTTGCGGGTTCGAGCTGTGTCATGACCATGCGCAGCGAGCCCAAGGCTGTCGAACTTGTGGAGGTGTGTACGCGGTCCGAGGAGAGGGTCATGCTCGCGATTGTCACTTAGAATGAGGAGCAGGGTGTAGAGAGATGTCAAGAGTTAGAAGGCAATGTAATTAGTTTGTTTGGGTAGCTAGCTGTCCTGTTGCGATCAACGTTCACAGGTGCATCGCGCGTTCTAACTTTGGGGGTGGGCCGCACACGCCGCGTCTAATCGCCGTGGGGAAGAGAAGGGGGGTAGGGTAAGGGAAAGGGGTAGGTAGGTGTGTAGTAGTGGGGGTGTTCAAGGCAAGACCAACAAGAGATAAAGCCTTGGGTGGGGTCTCCCCAACGTCCTGTGGTTCCTAGACTCTCGCTCGCTTAAGCAAGGAGCGCCGAGGGAAGGGGGCAGGTGTACGAGACACTGGCGTTGGTGTTGAGGATAAGGGCGACAATGAGACCGTAAAGACCCAGAACCTCGGCGAAAATGAGGATAAGAACCATGCCGACGAAGAGACGGGGCTGCTGGGCGGTACCGCGGACACCGGCGTCACCGACGATGCCGATAGCGAAACCGGCGGCAAGACCGGCAAGACCGACCGAGAGGCCGGCACCGAGCTGGACAAAGCCAGTGTACAGGGGGAGGGGAGAGGCGAGGTTGTTGGAGATCAGGACCGAGACGACGAGACCGTACTGCGGCGGTGGTTAGTGTCTGGGTGGGTGTCTGCTGGTGCTCGGAACGTGGTTGGCCCGATAACCCGCCAGCCCCTTGAAAGGGGCAGCAAGCAAGCCACCGGGCTGAACAGCCAGCTCGAGTAATTACGCACAATGGCAATGATACCAGCCATAACGACGGGAATCGAGCACTTGATGATCAGGTCGGGGCGGAGGACGGCCATGGCCGAGATTCCAACACCAGACTTGGCAGTGCCGTAGCTGTTCGATGCCAGACCGGTGGTTGTGTGGGTGGTGGGTTGGGACAGATTCAGAAATGACGTCGCCGGGTTGTCACGAGCGCAAAGAGCAGTTGGGAGACCAGTTGATAGACACCATAAAGCAAGATTGGGAGGGAGAAAGCAGGCAGTGTCAGCAACATGAATGGACGCGGGCATCGGTATGCGACGGCCAGCAAGCGATGGCCACCGGGAGATGTACGATAGGGGCCTGCCCCCCGGTTTCCACCCTGTGCCAAGCGCGCGTTACAGCAACGTGTGCAGTTGGCCGCCGATAATATGCCCAGACGAGCAAGACTCACGCAGCACCAATGCAGGTGAAGACAATGGCGGCGGTGCAGCCCATCACACCGAAGAACGGCGAGTAGACGGGGCAGAGATCAGCGACGGTCGACATTGTGAACGACTGGGGGGAGAGGGGGGGAACGTCAGCGTCAAGGTCCAAGGATCGGCGTTGCGATGTGCCGGGGTTTGCAGCGCGCGCGCAGCGTGTGGTCGAGTCGGAGGGTGTTTGCTGATGTGCGCGCGCCGTCAGGTTGGTGCTCACGTGTGTTGAGTTGGGTGGTGGCCGTTGCAACACGTATAAGAGATGGTATGTGTGAGCGTCGAGGACGGGGTTGGTGGTGACGACGGGCGGCTCGCGGCGCTGGGGCTGCCTCGCTGGGCCATGACAGCACACGCAGGGCCGAGGGCTGGCCACCGGGTGGGCGGGGTTTACGGCGTTATAATGAGTGGCATATTAGCCGTGAGTGTTCCCCTTAGTGGAGGTCGTCCACTTGCACTCACCTTTGTTGCCACTCACTCTAGATCACTCTCCTTGGCGTCATGGCAGACCGCAAACGGCAGCGCAGTCTGTCGAGCGACAGCAGCTCAGACTCGTCATATGCCGGGTCAGACGCCATGGACTTGCCCTCGCCACCGGGATCACCACGTCGACAGCCAGCCCCCAAATACCATCGTGCACCTGAAGCCGAACGCACACACCTGTGTGTCCTTCCTCCGACGTGCTCTCAGCCGGACACTGCACAGGCATTCGCGACTCTCGATGAGCTCGAAGCTCACCAAGCGGCGTTCCACCGTTGGATATGTCATGTCCCCATTCGTGACAAGCCGGGGCGTGTCGGTGAGGGGGAGCCCGTGGTGATGCCAGAGCAGTTTGCCGGGCGCGCAGCTCACAGCGCTCCTGGACCCAGTGGGCAGCGCTGGAGAGAGTGCGGTAAAGCGTTTCCAGATGAGCGTCTGCTGGACCTGGTGAGCTTCCTTTTCATGGAGAACCGAGCTGACATCAGCATCACACCGAGACTCATGACCCCATTGCGCGCGAGCGACAGGAGCGCGGCGAGAAGATTGTGAGTGCTGGTTGAGCAGACTGAGGCTGATACCACAGTTTGCGTGCTTCCTGCCTCCCGACCAATGCTCAAAGATCTTTCTTACTCCCAAGAAGCGTCGACAGCACCTGATTGAAAAGCACCGTGCGTCACGTTGCCTCGAGTTCAACGCTGACGGTAGACTTTCCCGTGGCATACTTCTTCTCCATTACCAACCATGGCGTAGGTGTTTACACTCTTATCTTGGGCTCACCTCTCAGCTCAACCAGATTGCGCGCACCGAGGGACCTGCCGCAAGCCTCATCCGTCCCCGAGTCGACCGCCCGCCGGCCCCCGCTGCACTTGACGCGAAGCCGTCGTCCTCGACATCAGTCCACCGCACATCGCACGCCCAGGGCCATGGGAACGACGGTGACCACGGCCATGTACCACACCTTGCGCCCATCGCGGGCCACAACCCAGGCCATCAGGCGCCAATCCGTGCTGAGCACGACGACATGGACATGGACGCCCTTGCGGCTAAAATGGCGACGCTCGAGAGCAGCCTTACGTTCGTCCCGCGCAATGTCCGTCGGCGCGCGAGGGATGTGTCTCGTAAGGCAATGGAGCTGGTGTAGAGGAGGCCGCCGAGGCCGCCTCGTCACTCGACTAGCAACGTCGGCTCCGCAATCTGCGACGCTACAGCAGCCACACCGTGTCGCGCCGGACAGCACCATCACCAACACAACCATGTCCATCTACGCCCCGCGCCATTGTACCCCAGGTCTCATCTTCACAAGCGACACTGCCTCGTCCGTCTGCGGGATTCACGTCTCCAAAGGGGCGCCAACAGAGGCACCTGTCGGCTTTCACGATATCCAAGATTTTGCCCAGTCCCTCATCCTTGTCTCTCTTTGTCCATCTGCGCCCCGTCAGGTCCCGCACAATCCGAGAGCTACCTAGCACCCATGTAGCTTACAACACATTGCATTTCCTCCACCCATTTTACTGTCGTTCTATCTTTGCTAGCTTTGTCGGGCAAGTCTGGGCTGGCCGCAACATTGCGGTATGACGCCTTTACGTCCCGACGCCAGATCGGGAACTCGGAGCCAACCCCCCCTTTGCCATTGGAAACCCGCGGCCACTGCCGGTCAGCGCCGCGACCGGTTCTCTCTTTGACTGCGACAGCCTGTGAACTGTCCGTCAAGCCGTTGCGTTGCATCCCAGAGGGGCACCTGGATTGGAAAGCAATTTCCACATGTCTCCCTCCCCGTTCGGGCATGGGGGTCTGTGGCAGTGCAAAGCCTGCTGCGCACAAAGCTACACACGCGCACACAAGTCTTGGGCGCCCGCTCCAACTCCCATTCCATGCGGTGCGCGCCCGGCGAGAAGAGAGAGGAGCGTGGTGCGCGCTAGCGTTTGTCTTCCGCTCTCTCCACTTTCTGTCGGCCCCATAGGCCTCTTCCAGGCCGCCAGCTCTCTCCGCGCGGTGCTCCATCAGGTGTCCGGCCACACCCTGTCGGGGCAAGCAGAAGGTTGTTTGTGGTCTTCAACCCCCCCCCCCACCGGAGTATTTCTGGGATCTTGGGTACGGCAAACGGGTGTCTGAGGCTTTTGTGATACAGCGAGCGTCGGGCAGAGAGGCACAGACGTCCGAGGGAGATTTGCAGAGAGCGGGAGCGCGCAGAGAGACTCCCAGCAGTAAACATGTTTCAGCCTTTACCTTTCACGCCGCCAATTCCGTCAAGCCGTGCCGAGCCGCGACGTCGCGCGTTGGTTGTTTCCGCGGGGGGCAAGTGCTCCATGCTCCTGCTCTCTCTGTCCCTCTCTCACCCCTTGCTTGACGCCTGGCACATCGGCAAGTTTATTAAAGTAACCCACGCGCGCCAGCGCCAGCTGCTCGCGACGTCGTGTCGAGCGCCGGAGCGCCCACGAGCTGGAGAAGGGGCGAGATACTCCCCCGCAGCAGCACAGACTGGAAATCACAGGTCACAAATCGCCGGCGGATCCGCAGGTGTCTGGGTATGGCAGAGGTGTCCCAACGGGGCAGGTACTGCAAGGAGTCAAAACCAAACCCGGGTGGGGGCAGCATGACGTGATGGTCCGCTGTGGATCTACTGTCCTGTTTTAGTACTTTGGGTAGCGCTAGTTCCGTCGGCCAGGTGAATGTTTCGGTGCGATGCCTTTGTTTGGGTCTCACGTCTCGACGGCCCTGCCCATATGGATCACATCTGTGTTGAGTAGAATAAAACCAACCCCACGAGGGACTCTAATCTATGCTGGCTACGGTGTGGACTGAGCTGGACTGATCGACTGAGCTGCACGGGAGACCTGCCACTGCCAGAAAACACCGACGTCGGGTTGGGTGGGCGGCCTGGGCGGATGTTTGGGAGAGTGTCGACGTATGTACTCCTTGCTTTCCCTGGCCAGACGTTCAGGGTTGTACGTGTTGTCTGCTCGCTCTGACGCTGTACGCGCCGCCGTCGTCGTCGCCGCCGTCGCCGCTGCGGTCGATCGTCGAGGGCCACTCCTGGGTTGAAACACGCCGGGACGAGCAGTAGTGTCGTTTATTAGGCTTGCGAGACCCTCTCCTCAACTCTTTTTTGTTTTTGTTTTTTTGCTGCTTTCTGCGTTTCTGTCGTGATCGTGCACGACAAGCTCGCAAGCGCAAGCACACGGTAGGGAGTGTTACCTGGGGTCCGGTGCCCAACGGCTGTGTGCATGATGTTGCTGGGCCCGCCTACCGATATGTTACCGTTGTTGGTCCCTGGCGCGCACGATGACGACCAAAATGTCGTCCCTTTTACATTTGTGCGTGCCCACCACACCACCCACGCCCAGCGTACGGCGAGGGAAAGGGGGACGGACAGAGGCAGACACAGAGAGACACAGAGACACAGAGACAGTGAAGGAGGTACCAGAGCCCCCCCGCCCCTTGTGTCCCCTCCCCTCCCCCCCCCCCCCCCACCCCACCCGCGCAGGCGTGACCATTCCGTGTTTCGCACAACAACCCACACATAAAGGTCCCCCCATCCCGTCACCCCCACGGCCCCCTTCTCGCGTGCTCTCCGTTCCCACTTAAGTTCTCAGTCTCGACTTTCGACGCGACTCTTTCTCTCAACCTCCCACTTCATCTTATTTCGACATGCTCGCTCTCGCTCTCCTTACCCCCTTCCTCGCCGTCGCTAGGGCCACGCTCTCGGCCTCGGACGTCGCGACCATTCAGCAGAACCTTGCCAGTGAGTAACAGGCAGTGGTGTTGTGGCTGCACATACGGGTGGATGGGATGTATGGGAGATGCGGGGGATGGGTGCGTCGCGTCTCGCTAGCTCGCTACCTCGACTAGCACGCACAATAACGCACTCGCGGCAGTCTCACACGTGCCCACGGGTGCCATTCACCCGCTTGGCGCTACCTCTTGGCGTCAGGAGACCACCTCCACCTACGTGACCCAAACAACGCACCCCCCCTTCCCCACGTCGGCCACACCGCTTGTTCCGCGTCCCGCGACTGTCGGGCGGCCCACCAGACCGTTTCTTCCCCAGTGACCCCCGGTGTAAACTGACACGCATCGCAGACGCCGATCTTGGTGGTCTCGTCGGCAACTTTACCCCTGCGGGTCTCATTGACGCTACCTTCAACGGTACTGCCATCACCATCGGCCAGAACCTCACCCAGGCCCAGGCTGGCAACTTCCCCACTCTCACCGTTAACCCCGTTGAGAACCAGACCGTCCTCAGCGACAATGACGTGAGTACATGTGAACGAGCAGCTGCGAGATGGTCCCCCGAGCCCCCCACAGTGGCGTCGCTGCCAAAAGCATCCGCAGTCGTGGTGAGGGACCTAGCACTGACCATCCTCTGTTCAGACCTACACTGCCCTGATGGTCGACGCTGGTATTGTCGGCACCGACCTCTCGGGTTCCACCGAGACCCTCCACTGGCTCATCAACGGCATCCACCTCAACGGCACCTCGAACGCCGCTGGCCCCTTCCCCCTCAACTACTCGGACGGTAGCACCATTGTCGAGTACGCCGGCCCCGCTCCCGCCGAGGGCTCGGGTGCCCACAGGTACGCGATCATCCTGTTCGCCCAGCCCGCCGACTTTGCCGCTCCCGCTGGCTTCAACGCTGGCAACACCTCCGTTGCCAACAACTTCTCGCTCACTTCGTACATCTCGGACTCGAAGCTCGGCAACGCCGTCGCTGCCAACTACTTCACTGTCGAGAACGGCGTTGCTACCGTCACCGTCTCGACCACCCAGGCCGCCAACGCTACCATCGCACCCGGTGCTGGCACCAACGCCACCGCCACCACCACCGGTGAGGGTGGCGCGGCCACCTCGGACGTCTCGGGTGGTGCCGGCAACGGCACGGGTGCCGGCAACGGCACGGGTGCCGGCGGTGCCGAAGCTAGCTCGACTGGCAAGTCGGGTGCTTCCACTCTCCTTCCCGGCACTGCCATCGCCGCCCTCGTTGCCGGTGCCGTCGCCGCTCTTCTCTAAGTGAGCAGCGCTAGCCTTGGAGAAGACGACCCTGGGTCGTTGTTTTTCGAGCGCGGAACGATACCTGGCGTATAATGTGCTTGTAGCTCGCAGTGGCGTATTAATTCTGCCCCGTCTGTAGCTGCAATGGATTCGTTGGAGAAGACTACCGACTTTTTTGTTGCGCTTCTATGCTCGTGTCGCTCCTTGACGCGTCGAGGCGGGCCGCGGCGGGATGTGACTTTAGTTTGCACGTTGTACCTCAATCAGTGATGTAGAGTGAGAAAGTATTCTCGGCATGAGGTGCATCGAAAATCGAGGACGATGGGAAGTGTTTCCGGACAGCGACATCCAGGTTGAGGTACAAAGCTGCCCAGATAAGCAAGTTGGGACATTGCGCAATATAGGTACCCCGGTGGTTATCAACACACGGTCGAAGGCAGCATGGACACTTCGCCAGACGGCGAGCGCCACCCGAACTGTAGCGGGTGCGTGTCTTTGCCTTCCAGTGCGTGAGAACAATCTGTGAGACCTGTCCTACTCCAACTCGCCAAGACTCAACTGCCCACCCACACGCTCCTCGGCGGTGCAATGCGCAGCACCTTGCCCACATACCTCTACTGGTGTGGGTCGATATTAATCCGACGATCCCATGTTTCGCTCCTGTGTGCCTCTCTGGTGGTATCTGCAGCCGTATCTGTGTAGTGCCTTCAGAAAGTCCGCAGTAGTTGTGTGACGTCGTCGGTCGACTCAATCTGGCGAGTGATACAGTGTGCAGGTGAGAGGTCATCGTCTGTGTTACTCACCCGCCACCTTCTGCCACCTTTAACTTCGCAGGGTATGACAGTATTCGTCGTCCGTCATAGCCCTTCAGTCTTGGCAGGCTTGAAGATGAGGCGGTCTGAGAGGGCGTATACTTGTGTGTGCGTGCTGCCGCTGTTTAAACGAACGGGGCACACCCCCACGCTTGTGTCTCGCGAGAGGAATGTGGACTCTTGAGATCTGAGAACTATCGAACTATGAAGCATTGGGTGTGTGTTGTGGATCTGTGGATCTGTCCGCCGCACGATGCATGCCGAGCAGACGAATAACCAAATGTACGTCAACTTCTTTCGTGCTGGCGGTTGTCTATGGGATCTCTATGCGTTTGTCTGACTGCTAGCACAGTATCCGTTGGTGCATTCGGTGGATTGCGTCTGTAATGTGTTTTCCGTCGCCTCGCGAAACACAATGTAATCGCCAAAGTACCTGTATGGTCCTGTTTCAGTGTGTTTTCGTGAGCTCCGATAACACAGTATCGCCCAACACATCGGCGCCTTCGGTGGTCACATAACGTTCTCTATGCGTTTCTCTGCAGGCTAACACAGTATCGGCCGGTGCATTCGGTGGATTTTGGTGTTAGTGTGTTTTTCGTGCCCGTTGGTAACACAGTAAACCCCAGACCTATGTGAAGCATTGGGTGTGTAGTGTGTTTCCGTTGGTCTTTGGTGACACAGTATCGCCCAACGCATTGGCGCATTCGGCGTCGCATGGGGGGTCTCTATGTGTTTTTCTTCTGGCTATGGCGCTATGGACGCATGCGGTGTGTGGAACATGTTATGCTTTCCATATCTGGATGCACACTGTGCAGTCTTCAGAGAACGACTGGCAATGGGCGGTGTGTTGCATGTGATGGTCACTCGCACCCATGGCCACAGGATCGCCGCAGCCTTCGTCGTCGATGACATGCACCGGGCCACCTGGTGATCTGGCGAACTGGGGGGCTCTTAAGGCTCAAGCGCTCAAGCCTCTTGGCCTCTATTGTTCCGCGTCGTTCGTGGCACGTTTACAAGACCAAACAAAATGACGTGTGTTAAGATGCAACTCGAAAGGGTTGCCTAGCGGGACCAATTTCCGCCTGGGGAGGCAAGGAGGAGGTCGTCCAGATTGGCAACTCCACCTGCCCTCCACCTCCACCACTCTCGCTCGAGACACTCTCTAGAGTATCCTTCTCCCTCCCCCTCCCACCAACAGCCCTCTCACTACCATCCGCAGTGCCCATCGAGCACGTTACCCCAACCCTCCAAGTGTGTAAAAAGCACGACAGCACCCGCCCTCGCAAAGGCGCGACTCGCGAAACACTACTGCACCGCTCTCTTCACCCCCTTTAACGGCCACCAGCACAAGTGGAGGTCGAACACCCACGTCCCCCGACTCTACCAAACCCTTTACCGACACTCTCTGTCTCCAGAATGCCCGCTCGCCGCGCCGCCGCCGTTGGTCCCGATGGTAGCCCTCTCCCCACGGAGGGTGGCAAGGAAAAGCTCACCTTTGGATGCGCTTTCCCAGGCTGTGGACAGGTGCGTAGTGATACGACGACGACTGCCCCCTCCATCCCATCCATCGCCACTGACATCGTCCAGACCTACAGTCGTATGGAATATTTGAAGCGTCACCAGCGAAAGCGTGAGTACACCTGTCTCATCATGGGGGCAGAGGCCAACGAGAAGCACATGAGCCGGCCTCTTCTGGGGTCGTGCGCTCGGGTGGTCACGCCCAGGGAGGAAACCCCCAACTGACTGGATGACAGATCAAGATGAACGTCCGTTCCAGTGCAAAGATTGTTCCAAGGCATTTGCTCGCAGGTATGTTCTATATTCCCCATCCACCTAGGCTAACCCTCCCCAACAGTGATGTTCTCCTTCGTCACCGCCGTCGTTGCCACCCAACCCCACCTCCCCGTGATCGCTCGTCCCACTCGCCACTGCCGCCCCTCCGTGCGCACCCTTCGGTCCCGATTTCGTCGTCGCGCACTTCAGAGCGTGAGGCGTCCCCACTCCGTGGCACCCGCAAACACGCCCGCAACTCGGAGGGCTCGTCCCAAACAGAGCACGCCAGCACCCGTCCTCGCCTGTCGCCCGCGTCTGACGACGAGGAAGAGGACCGCTACGGCTCGCGCTTTTCGCGCAACGGTATGGGTAACGGCGGAGTCTTTGGCGTTTCCAACACATACTACAACGGTAACCCAGTGTCAACCACCGACGCGAGCTATGCGCCGCACCTGCTGCCAATGTTCCAGAACACCAACTCGGCCTTCCACAACATGCACGACCCGAACCACCTCGAGGACGCGTCAGTGCTTCTCTCCATGGCGTACCCCGGAGGTGTTCCGGGTTCCAACACTAGTCCCAGCGGTTCTGCTGCCCAGCGTGGTAGTGTGCCTGAATGGGATGCCAGTGGCGGCGCGACCATTGGTATGATGATGGACGCCGCTTCAACCACCCCCACGGACGCGACCACAGCCGCTGCAGTTGCCGCAGTTGCTGCTGCAGCTGTCGCGGCAACTTCCTCGTCGTCTGATAACGATGTGGATGCGTCTGTTGGGGCGAATTTTAGCTCTGGCGCCGTCGAGAACCCGGCTCGGCCGGCGGCGCCGGGAGCTGTGCTGCCCGAGTCGATGGGGAACTTTATGGGGACGATGAACTGGCTCGCCAACGCGACCAACGGGGATAACTGGAACGCCAACGAACCCCCTCGTCCGCTTTCGCCATTCAACATTTCAAACCTCTTTCCATCGGGTACGTTTGGCCTTGGTGGCCTCGGGTCACCAATTCTTTCCAATGAAACCACTGCCATGGCCATTGCGGCGGCGGCGGCCGCAGCTTCACAGCAAGACGACGCGGCAAACCAGAACGACGCGGTCGCCCAGGCGAACCAAGTTGTCGCGTCCATTCTCGAGCAGCTCGCCATGAATGACGTCCCAGAAACAAGGGCAAACCCCAACCCGGAGCGTCCTCTTCTTCGTCTGGCGAGCAAGGAGATTCTTATCCGTGGCGGCGAAGAGTGTCCTTCCAACTCGCGCTTCTACCTCCCTGCGGACCGCTTTGCAGGCTGCTACCAGATCCCTCACTGGGGTCTGCCGCCTCTTCGCACGCTCTCGGTCATGGCTGCGCGCACATACTATTCGGTTCTGAACCACTTTGCGTTTGTGCACGAGCCGACGTTCCAGCTCATCGACACGGCCGCGTGTCTCGCCTTTGCTATTTGCACTGTTGGCGGAATCCGCACCGGGCAACGCAAGGGCGACCTGCCTCACACCTTCCTCGCGCTGGGTTCGCTCAACAACAGCAACTACACCTCCCCGCCCAGCACGTTGTCGGCAGAGGCATGGGACGGTGTTTCTACCAAATACGCCGTCGGCAGCGAGCAAGAAGACCGTGAGGACAAGCTCCGCGTGGAGGAATGGGAGGGCGGCCAGATTGTGCGCCACGAAAAGACCAACATGCTTGTCAAGTCGTTCTCGCTCGCCCAGGGCGTTCTCATGACCGAGTACAATGTCGCGCTCCTCCAGGCGCTCATTCTCTACCACGCGCCATATTTCCTCTCGCAAAACGACCAGGAGCGTCGCCACGCCAACATGTTCCTGGGCACCATTGTGAACATTACGCGCCAGATTGGTTTCTTCCAGCACGACCTCGAGCACGTCGACGCCTCAATCCAGATGCCCTTGCTACCTTACAACCGCGCGCAGCTTGACAAGGCCTGGCGCCGTTGGATCCAGCTCGAGTCTCGCCGCCGCACCGCATACCTGGTTTACCACCTCGACACGGTGTCGGCGCTCGAGTCGCAGTTTGCTGCGATCATTATGCCGTCCGAGATTGGCCCTGTGCCACTTCCAGCTCCCGACTCTGTGTGGAAGGCGGCGACCTCTGAAGACTGGGCCCGTGCAGTGTCCAACTACCAGCCCATGACCCTGGACCAGGCGATGCGCCGCGTCTTCAACCTCCCCACTGAGGGCCGCTTCGACGAGCTGTCTAGCATCGACCCCACTCGGAACATTTTGAGTGAAGCCGAATACGGACCATTCGCTCGCACCGCGATTGTCATGACGCTCCTTCGTGGCATACTCGACTTTGGCGAGGGCAAACGTGACCGTAACGACTGGCGTGACCTCACCGACCTCTGGGTGTCTGCCACCCATTTGCGTCCTGGGGCCAAGTGTCTCTCTGGCGAGGGTCTCGACCTGGGCGCTCCCACTCCCGATGCGATCCGTTCGAGGCTCACCCTCGGCATGCAGCGCTGGCGCGAGGGATGGGACTATGACACGCTCTGCACTCCTTCCAACAAGTGCACCAGCCCATCGTCGGTGGCCTCTCTCACCCCGCTCACCATTCCGTCGCCTGCTACCAGCTGTGGCGACAATTCCATCAAGCCAAAGGGCAAACTTGTGTACTGCGAGGGTGGGTGTTCAGTGACTTGCATGTAAGCTAACCCATGTTCAGAGGCGATGCCGTTCTACTTCCTCGCTCAAGCCCTCCTCAACATGCTCCCCAGTGGCGCGACATCGGGGCGCAACTCCTTTGCCAACGTGCGCTACAGCGAACTGCTCAACGCGTCCAGGACTCTGGCGCGTGCAGGTGAAGCCGCGTTCTCCTCCCAACCTTCCGCCATGTTCTAGTTTCTTGCTTGCCCCCTATTTCTCCCTCTCGATAAACCAAAGTCCGGCGCCTGGCTGCACCATTCCACCCCACCCAGGATCCCCCGTCTGGTCTGTGCTTGTGAACGTTCTCCTTGTATAAGTAGGCCACTTGGGCGTCTGTCCTGTCCCTGTAAGGACATTTTGGACGACTATTCAGTCATGTACGTGTTCTGCGAAATCCGTGGAGGCGGACGCTGGTACTGTGGTACTCTGGGGCCACGGGGGCCACGGAGGGCTCAACAGGTTCAGTCAGGAGAGTGGCTCTGGTGTGTCCGAGCGCCCGAGCCGGGAGCTGGGGGGTACGCGTCCCGCGGGTCGCGGGTTGCGTGCATCAGAGAAGAAACCCTTGTTTGCGAACGTTGGGCAGGGAGTGGAACGCGTGTACCAATCCGACCAACCCGCATCCGAGATCAGGTTCTGCGAAGAAAATAGAAGCGTCCGGATGTCCTCGCTTCGGCGGCGGGCGGCGGCGTGACGGGGTGGCGATCGTACGCGAAGGAAAAGTGGCACAACAGGGGTTGAACGGGGGGTGTGGGTGTGGGTGTGGTTCCCGAATAGGACCTGCCACGCACCAGAGGCCAGAGGTTTGCAACTTTTTTGAGTTGGCCCACTGCACAGCTTCCAACGACGAGACCGGTCAACACGTCGCACACGCGACACCCGAAATCTGATCGCATGTCATGGATGACCTCTCGATGACCGCAAAGCTCCAGCGATGACGCCACACCCACTCTCTGCAAACGCGCAAAAGCGGGGCGGAGGGAGCCGCTCTCATTCTGGGCCCAAGATATTATACTCCCGTCGACATACTGTCGTGGGTGTGCGTCTTCCCCTCTCACCGGCGGGATCAATTTCGCAATGACCAGCCAGCAGCAGCCTCCGCGCCCTGCGTCATGATCATCTCCGTCTCTGGCGTCTCTGCACGTCTCCTCGCGCGGGTCTCCCACATTCCTCTTCTTCCATCCCATCCTCCACATCATCCATCCTCTCCACCTCTCAGTGACCCCTCACCCTACAACCCCCCCGCAAAACATTCCAACAGGAGACACTCCTTCTGGAACTTGCCCCCCCCCCCCCCCCCCCCCCCCCACCACACAAATAAGGTGCGCGTCAAAAGACATCACGCGCAAAGCCGGTAACCTGCCTCCGGCTTCTCACATACGGCTCTCCACCCCGTTTACGAACCTCCCCATCCACCCATCCCGCCATGTCCGTTACGCTCTCGCCTCCCAGCCAGCTCGGCTTCCCTCGTGAGTCTACCTGCCACTGAAAGGGTGTGCTTGCCGGCTGCACGCTGGCCGCGTTGGATGGCTCGGCGCACAGAGGGCCCGTGGGATTGCGACGATAGCGCCGCGCGCGCGCACGCGGGGGAGGGGTGAAGAAAGAGGGCTGCTGCGGGGCGATGTGCACTGTTGTGCTGCCTCCCATGTCTGCCTCTGCACAATCAAACACACCCCGCCGCGCCGCCATGTGGGCACAATGGCTGCATCGTCATCGACACGCAAAACACGGCTTCGCCGACGTGGACAATGGGCAGATCCGGCACAGCAGTATGACGCTTGTCACGACAGTGCTTCGGTTTCGGCCATTTGACCACTCGCGCGCGCCGTGTGCTTCGGACAGTGCGAACCGATCTGTGACCGTCGACGCCCGTCCTGTGCGCCCATGTTTGCGTGTCAAGCACTCCACACGCACTGCCCACTGCTTGCAGATGTTTGCTCTGCCCCATGCACGCGCACTGCATCACTCTGCCTGGACAACCCTCGAAATGATAACATGCTGACCCACCGCCAGGCCCGCTGACGACCGTCGTCAAGCGCTCGCTCTTCATCCAGAACCCCCACTCGTCGCCCGTCGCATTCAAGGTCAAGACCACAGCGCCCAAGCAGTACTGCGTTCGCCCGAACCAGGGCCGCGTTGAGCCTGGTCAGAACATTGAGGTTCAGAGTGAGTTGTCCATGTTGCTTTGTCGAGATCAACCAACTTACCACCACCCTTCAGTCGTTCTCCAGCCCCTCCAGGTCGACCCCCCTCCCCACGCCAAGTGCAAGGACAAGTTCCTCGTGCAGTCGGCGTTCATCCCCCCCGGCGAGGAGATGCACACTCTCCCAGAGATGGTGAGCCATCGTGCGTTGTCCCATCACTAACCCCTCTACAGTGGGCTACCGTTGAGAAGACCAACAAGGCGGCCATCCACGAGCAGAAAATCCGTTGCGCCTACCTGGCCGCCGAGGACGGCTCAGGTGACCCCAACGGGATCCCCGAGGAGGAGGAGTCCGGTTCGCCTCTCGACCACTCGAGGCTGGACGAGTCGGTGAGTGACAATGTCCCAGGTGTCCGGCGTACCCAGTGCCTTTGGTGCTGGGGCGTGCGCTACAGATGGCGCCCGAGACGAGTGCCCAGTCCACCCACGCCCATGTGTCATGCGTCAGTGTCAGCGCCGCGGGGTGGCATTTCCCGAGGGAGAGGCCAAACAGCAGAGCAGGCATTGCTTCAAGTTTTGGGTTCTTACTTGTCATTGTTGATGTGTAATGCTTCTAACCACTGTCGCCACGCCCTCCTTCCCCTCCCCTCCAACCTGATGTTGTCTTACTGTCACCCTGTCTGCCGTTTTCCAGTATGCCCACGGCTACACGCATTGGACGACGGCGGCCGAGCGCCAGTTTGACGCCGACATCTATCCCAACGGCGGCCACACGGTCTGGGAGCTCCCCGAGCCCCAGCCCAAGGTCCAGGAGATGCCGGTGGCTCCTGCCCCCGTCGTTGCTCCGCCGCCTCCTCCCAAAGAAGACGTCCCCCAGAAGAAGCCTACGTCGGAGATTGTCCTGAACGTTGGCGAGAACCCAACGATCATTGTCCTTTCCTCTCCTCCTCACGTTGGTGTGCTGCCTTCCCCCTCCTTTCTTGATCTACCCCTCTTCCTTCCAGCCCTCGCGGCGCGGAACTGTGCATGACATATAAACCTCCCCCCACGACAGAACCGTGTTTTGTGTGGTGGCTGTAGCGCTGACATTCCAGGCCGTTTTCGCCGCTGCCGAACAGTCCCCCGTCCCCAAGGTTAACGGCGGAGGCGACGACAAGGACCTCCCTGCCACCCCGATCCCCTCGTATGGCCTCGCCGGTGCTGCCGCCGCCGCTGCGGGTCTCGGTGCTGCCGGCGGTGCTGCCGTGGCTGCCGCTGCCAACTCGGCTCCCGAGTCTCCCGTTGTCGCTGCTCCCATCGCCGCTCCCGTCGCCGAGGCGTCGCGCGAGATCCCCTCGCTCTCTGCCGACGACGTCCAGGCCGTCGGCGCACCGACCAACATTGCCCTTGAAAAGTCGCTGAACGCCACCACCAACTCGGACGACAAGCTTGCTGTCGCCCTCGCCGAGATTGAGCGTCTCAAGGGCCAGCTCGCCGAGGCGCAGGGCCCGACCGTCACCGGCCTGCGGAAGCGCGGTGGTGCCGGTGCCGGTGCCGTCGGCGCTCCCGTTGCCGGCAACAAGGTCGCCACGCAGACTGCCACCCAGGGTGTTCCCCTCGAGGTGTGCGCTGGTCTTGTGTTTGCCGTCTTTGTCCTTACGTACCTGTTCTTCTGAGCCTGTTAGTTTGTGTATCGCGTCATAGCTGGGATGAGATGATATTCACGGTCTCAGGAGGAGGAGGAGGAGGGGGGAAGAGGTGATGTTGATGCAGTAATTATGATGTGGTCACCAGTTGCAGCACGCAGAGCCGGAACGTTGTTGCCGCGGAACATTACCCTCTGGCGTCTGGCCTCCTGCGCGCGCAGCGCGGGGCAATTTCCACCTCTCGATTCGACTAGCTCTCGGCCCGGCCATCACTGTCCACTCCACATACACACACCACTCTTCCTCGTCATCCTACCCAGCGAGCAAGGACTCCATCCTGTCCCCCACGGCCCCCCAGAACCCCACCCCCCACTCCCCTCCCTCCGCCTCGCCCGCCGTCCCGCACATCACCGGCGGCTCGCACATTCACCTCCCTCACATCCACCTCCCACATCTCAGCATGCCCGGTGCCAAGCGCCGCGCGCTCAAGAAGCTCCTCAAGCCCGAGTCGACCGAGTCCGAGTCGCCCGTCAACGGCACCTCGACGTCTGCTTCGACCACCGACGACTCGAGCGTCAGCTCCGTCCCCGTTCCCGCTGGGCAGCAGTCGGGCGACTCGGCGTCCGACGTCGCGTCCTCGCCCACGCCAGTGTCCACGTCCCCGCTCGCTGCGGCGATCGCGTCCTCGGTGCCCGTGGCAGCCGTAGTCGGTGCGCCTGTGGCCGGCGGTGGTGGGATGTACGGCGGGAACCTCTGGGGCGCACAGCGCGGAGGCAAGAAGAGCAGCAAGCAGAGGTTTGCGGAGAGGCAGGTATGTAGTTTGCGCCTATCTCTGTGTGGTGTGTGTGATGTCTGCTAGTCTGCTGACGCTCGTGTGCTTTCTTCGGGGTTTGTTTCCCACCTCTTCGTTTCCTCTTGGACTCGCTATCGGTCATTTGACGGTGCTGTCACCCAACGCCTCGCCCACCATGATGACTTTTGCGTATCTCAACTACCTGGCCGGCATTCTGCACGCCTTCGACTTTATCTGGGACGCTACCACATCTTCCTCGTCCTCTTCGTCCTCTTCCTCCTCTTCCTCCTCTTCCAACTGCGAAAATAACCGCCCACAGGCCCGCAAGAAGCAGGCCATCCTCGAGTCTGCTCCCCCGACCGACCCGGGATGGAACGCCCAGCTGGAAAAGGAGCGCCAGGAGGAGATTTCCGTCATTGGCAACGCGTGCGAGGTGCTGAACCGCGAGATCTTTGAGATCCAGCCCGATGGACACTGCATGTTCGCTGCTGTTGCGGACCAGTTGGGGCTCATGGGCGTGTTGCCCGCCCACCAGGTGAGTTGGGAGTGCGGGGCGGCCAGAAAGGGGGAGGGGAAGGAAGCGAGGTGCGGAAAGGGCGCGGCCCAGAAGCGCTCCGATGCCGAGTTGGTCTGGCGGGGTGTTGGCTGGGCGTCATTCTCTCGCAAAGATGTGGTGCTGCGTCTCATCCACTTGGGAATCGGAGCATACAGCCATCCTGGCTGATGGGCTTCTTCGCTACCCAGCCGGCCCCTGGCGTCGTTCATATCGCTACCACCCGCCCATTTATTACCCTGCTCAAGCACTTTGCTAACGTACAGTCCAATAACCCGTACCACACCCGCCGCGTCGCCGCCCAGTACATGCGCGACAACCAGGCCGACTTCCTTCCCTTCCTTGCCAGCGTCGACGGCGAGGACATGCCCGGTGCCACGGACGACGGTCTCATGACCGAGGACCAGTTTGGAGAGTACTGCCACCGTGTGGAAGGCACTGCCGAGTGGGGTGGCGAGCCAGAGGTGAGCTACTGCAGAGCGGCGTCGTCCGTGGTGGCGGAGCTCGACAAAAGACATTGCTCAACCTCGCCTGCGTCTCTCATGGACCTAGCCCTCTTGACATCGCCTCTCTAGTGAACTGCTTGCTAACGCATGTCTCCAGATCCAGGCGCTGTGCCGTGCATTCGACGTCCCAATCCACGTCATCCAGCGTGGTCCTCCTACTGTGGTCTCTCACGGCGGCGCCAACGACGCGTTTGGGGGAGCGACGACGCCCGAGAAGAGCCTCGACTGCGGAGAGCGCGTCGTGCGTATCTCGTACCACCGCAGGATGTACGGTCTCGGAGAGGTGAGTCAAATGCTCAGGCGGTTGGATCTCGGTTCGGCCACCTGGTGCCGGTGCCACTTTGGCCCGACTTGTCTTGTGTCGCTGCTAACAGTCCAGCACTATAATTCGCTCCGCCCCGCCACGTAGATATCTGTATAGAAGTGTCGTCGGTCCTCTTGGCCCTCTCTCGGTGCTGCACGCGATGACAGCCTACTGCATGAACCCCCCCCATACACTGTTGCACAAATGCTCGGGACTCGCGCAGACGTCCCGATCCGTCCACTCACCGAAATAAATACTCCCGCCAACTACGTCAACGTCGTGCACCATCGGCGACCTGATCGTGTGCCCATCATCTGAAAGCGCGTTCCATCGACTCGCGCATCGCCCACTCTCTCTCTCTCTCTCTCGCTTGTCGACAATGTCCCCCATCATCCTCATACAGCGCGACGACGATTCCGGAGATGACGGCTCGCCCCGCTCCCCACTCTCGTACATCGGCCTCCTCGTGATTGCAGCTGGCATATGCGCAGGATACCTCCTTTGGCGGCGCAGCCGGAGGCGCGAGGCCGAGTTTCCGTGAGTCACCAAGCCAGAGCAGTGGAGCAGTGGACGACGACGTTTGCGGACTTGTTTGCTCGTGTGTAGCACCAAGTTGCAGACAGCGAGGACAATGTGTGCGCGCTGCCCGAGTGCGGACCGCAGCACGCCCCTTGCTCACGCAGTGTGGACACGCCGACTCGGAGCTCGGACACATGGGCTCGAGCGGCGTACCGCCCTGCGCTCATTCTCGTGTTCTCGTGTACTCGTGTCTGTGTTTGGCTGGCGCTACAGCTTGCGGCAACCTGCTTTTATGTTTCTACCGCAGCGACGCCGCACAGCATGTACCTGCAGTCGGTTCCACTACGCTACTGATTACGAGTCCAGTCTGTTGTCATCGGTGCTGACGTAGCGCAGACTGCATAACCTCGGCCGTTCGCTGCGCCTGGATGTGGACGATGACGGGGTACGTCTCCAACTCCTGGACTGTACAGAGTTGAACACTGACGCTGTCGCGCCCTTACCCCACATCGCCCGTGATGTCTGCTCCATCGCTGTTATTGTTGTCGTTGCACCCGTATCTGCCAAACAGCCGACTGCCGAGTCGTTCATCGCCAACAACGCCTCTACCGACTCGCTTCCGGCACATGCCGCCCTCGACGTCCCCTACCTCCCTGCCGCCGCAGCCGAGGCGGACGCAGCCCTTGCGAGCCGTGACGCAAGCTCGACGAGCATCAACCCGCAATCGGCGTACAGCGACCACCCGGCGCACTCGTCTGGTCGTCCAAACTCGGGATCGCACTCTGGAAGTGGCGCAGCGACCCCTCAATCACACTCTGGCTCTGACGACCCGCTCGGCGCGGGCTCGGTCGTTGGGTCCGTCGGCAAGCCCGCAAAGGGGCTAGTCAACGCTCACACGCGTCGGTCACGCCGCGGCGCCCGAACCAAGGTGCGGGGCCCGATTGAGCTGAGCGAGAGCGAGAGCGAAAGTGAGAATGACGAGCGGCCTCGCAAGGCCGTGTTCACGCTCGACGACGACGAGTAGGGGGACGAGTAGGTGTGGAGTAGACGATAGAGATGGATGATATGCACCATGTTGTACCGATAAGAAACGAGGGTGTATTGGCCAGGACATGCAGGACATACGGACATGCATTCAAGGCATGTGAGACGTTTAGGACGGTCCAGGACACAGGGGGTGTTGAATGGAAAACATAAACTCGGCCCAACGCGCGCACGCCACACGACGCCGAGCCACGTTTCCATCCGGGTCACAGTGTCACCAACGCCGCCGTCTCTCGGGGCTGCACATCTCAACATCCATCCCATCCCACTCACCCCCCTCACGCATGGGCTCATAGCCCCCCCGCGCGCAGCACACGTCTCCGACTCCATCCCCGTCCTCATCCCCGTCCCCGTGTCCCCGTCCCCCACCACCTCCGCAGCCTCGCACGGGCCCGCAGCCTGCACACCACACTTACACCACACACCAACACCCAACGCGCACTCCTCCACCCGAGTGGAGGACGAGCTCTCAACAACGTGTCGCAGCACGCCCTCTCCCCTCCTACCCCATACATCACGCATCGCCCACCATGTCCCACGCACTACTGTGAGCCTTCCCCTCCCCGGGACCTCGGCTGCTCGTCACTGCGTCGTGGTGACGGCGCCGAGCGGCCCACCTGTCGTCCTTTCACTGACACCCCGCCCTCCCCAGGCTGCGGCTCTTCCTCTCGCCGTACTTCTCCATCTCGGTGGCGATGCACTACCTCAAGACCTACCCGGAGAGCATCGGTATCTCGCACTACCTCTGCTGGCGCATGCGTTCCATGCCCGCCGACGAGGTCGAGTTCTACTGGCCCCAGATCTGGTACGTTTGCTCCTCGCTCCTCCTTTCCCAATTCCCTACAAGCCTCCCCGTCTCCTGGGTACTTCCTGGAGCGCCGTCGTCCGCTGGCGGATAACTGGTCACACTCTGAAAAGCCAACCACCCGGGGGTGGGCTAGGCGTCAAGAAGCATCTTTGCCCCGTGGCTTTGAGGTCACCTGTCAAGGTGGTCGAGGTGCCTTCCTGCCTGCGGCGCCATCTCGGCACGCCCAAATACGGCGCCGAAGGCTGTAGCTCTCACTGTCCTTGTTCTCTTACTGACCCACCTATAGCCACTTGTTGATCACACGGCCCACTGAGAGCAATGCGCTCGAGGGCTTTGTGCTCCAGCGCGCAGAGGAGAACACTCACGCCGCGATGCTGGTGAGTTTACCATCATTGTCTTGCTAAACTGACGCCGGCAGACATTCTGGTTCATGCAGTCGGCGCTGCATGACCTCACACCAACACGCACCACCAACCCCCGCCCCTTTAACATTTGCCAGCGTGTTCTGCACCGCTGCCACGAGATTCTGTTCGGAGACCCTCCCGAGCCGAGCCGCTCACCGTACCGCTCTCTCCCTCCATCGCCGCACGCATCGTCGCCGTCCCTCAGCTCGACGGCACAGCGGCTTCTCAGCCGCGCCCTGCCAACGGCCGGGCCTGTGACTCCGCGCGTTCGCGTGAACCCACATGCCGGCTCGGCACTCGTCGGTATGGGCGCCATGATTGCCGGGCCAGCAATGCCTGGTCTGACGGCGCTCGTCGGTGAATGGGCAGTCATGCAGGGCCGCCGACCGATCGACGACGCGCACGAGGTGCGCGCTCGTATTGAAGTGGAGAAAGGCGGCGGCGCCGATGTGCCACGAGGTCGGTGGGAGAGGCAACCCCACCCAGACTCGGACGGTTCAGAAGACGACAGCAGCAGACCTGCTAGCAGGCCACCAAGGCATTCTGTCACTCTGCCGCCGTCGGGTCGCGCATCGCCCATGCCCTTCCGCCCAGCAGTGCATCCCTCGTCCACAACGCCAAACTTCTTTGCCTCTGCTCACGAGTCGGCGCCTGCCTTCTCCGTCCTTTCTGATCGCCGCGCACGGGATCCCTTTGACCAGAGCCCCGATACTCCTCCTGTGCCCTTGCCAAAGCAACAGGGTGGCGGTCACCAGCCATTCAACTCTGTGCCCGACCTGTACGGCGGCGCGTCGCTCCAGCGTCGTTCATCGACCCGCCCCCCAAGCGCCGATGCACTACTCGCGGCCTACTCGCTCGAGGCACAACGTCAGCTCCTCAAGAGCCACTACTGCCGCAGCGAGATTCGCTTCTTGCTCTTGCTCGAGGACATTTCCAACCGCTTGTTGGTTATCCCCAAGCCGGCCCGTATCTCTGCCCTGCGTGCAGAACTCACGAGCCTCAACCACATGCTCCCCGCCGAGGTGTGTATGCCCCTGTGGTGCAACGCCGAGCACGGTCGGAGCGACGACAAGCCCGAACCAGAGGGATCGTTGCTGAAGCGCGACCGCAAGTCGAAAAAGTGTGCACACTCTCGTGTGGTCCGTATCTCGCCCGGCGACTCGGTGGTGCTCAACTCGGCTGAGCGTGCACCATATGTCCTCCACGTGGAGATCCTCGAAGACGACCTGGACTTTGACCCCACACGACGCGAGAACCGTGAGGTGCTCAAGAAGATTGTCGTGCAAGAGGACATGAAGCACCGTAAAAAGGAGCAGGGCATTGCCGGCGCGCACACCCCGCCATCCTTTGACGGCTTTGGTTCTCCTATGCCTGGTATCCTTCCGGCGCCCAGCCCTGGCGTTGCCAGTCCCGAGGACGAGGACCTGCCATACGAGGAGGAGCCAGAGGAGCTTCCGACCGAGGCGCGCCAGTCAGTCCCGGAAGAGGACATGGAGGAGATGGACCTCGTCGAGCAGCTGTACGGTAACAAGCTGTCGGTGCGAGACACAGTCCCCGACCTCCGCGACTCGATCCCGCTTCCCAGTGCGCCAAAGAACAAGCAGCTCGATCTCGAAGTGTGGAATTCGAGCGCCTTGGACGACAGCACGTCGCGCCGATCATCCCTCGGGGCAGCCCGTACACCTGGTCAGACAACGCCCAACGGTATCGACGCCGTGAGCCGCCCGATTTCCCCGGCAGCTACGCCTGTGCCAGATGAGGGCATCGCGTCTCCCAAGCGCGTCATCACTCTTGAGGACTATTCTGAGCGTATGCGCACCGCTGCCGTCATGCTTGCGCAGCTGAATGCCTCGCTCGTGCCGCCAAAGGAGGAGACCAAGACGACTACGGGACCCCTGGTTCGCTGGATTCCTGGCACTGGTTGGATTACTGGCTCCAAGGACGCTGCACCACCAGAGGACCCTCACGTCCCCGGTGGCGGCGGTGCGGGCGGTAAGCTCCGTCTTGCGGCCGCACAAGCAGCAGCCATCCGCGAGCGCATCATGGAGGAGATGATGGCGCTCGAGGAGGAGCGTGTCCAGCGTATGACGACGCGTCCCGAAGGCGTGGACGTCCAGGGCAGCTCCGAGGGGCAGACAGCCGAGGACGAGGGCATTGTGCGACGCGAGATCAACAAGGCCGACCCGTCGGCTGCCGTCTTCAAGGAGTCGTGGAGCGCCAAAAAGTCTCGTATCCGCGCGTCGTCACCGTGGGGCCACCTCGCCAACTGGGACGTCATCTCGGTCATTGTCAAGACTGGCGCAGACCTGCGGCAAGAGCAGCTCGCGACGCAGCTCATTGAGCGCTTCAGCCGGATCTGGAAGGAGGAAAAGTGTGACGCTTGGGCACGCTTCTTCCGCATCCTGATCACTGGCGAGCTTTCGGGTCTTGTCGAGACCATCACCGACGCCGTGTCCGTGCACTCGATCAAGAAGAGCGAGTATGCGCGCCGCGTCGCCGAGGGTACCCCGATTGGCCACGTGAGCCTCATGGACCACTTTGTCAACACGTACGGCAAGCCCGACAGCGGCATCTTTGCCCGTGCCCGCCGCAACTTTATCAAGTCGCTCGCCGGCTACAGCATCATTACGTATCTCCTCCAGATCAAAGACCGCCACAACGGTAACATTCTCGTCGACCGGGACGGCCATCTTATCCATATTGATTTCGGATTCATGCTCTCCAACTCGCCCGGCGGTAACATGGGCTTTGAGGCTGCCCCCTTCAAGCTCCCGCTCGAGTATGTCGAGATCATGGGTGGCCTGGACTCGCCCGGCTGGGTCTATTTCAAGAAACTCTTCAAGGAAGGGTTCGAGTGTGCCCGCAAGCACTCGGACTCGCTCATCACCATTGTCGAGCTCATGCAAAAGGACTCGAAGCTGGACTGTTTTGCCATGTTTGGCGAAAACACCGTCGCCCACTTCCGCGAGCGCTTTGCTCTCGGCCTCACGACCCAGGCTGTCGACGCGTACCTCGAGCGTCTCATTGTCAGCTCGACAGCGTCCAACTACACCCGCCTCTACGACACGTTCCAGTATTACAGGTGAGTTAGGCGGCTCCTTTAGAAGTGCACCAACTGACACATTTCTCACAGCCAAGGAGTCCTGTAGAATCCCGTCACGACCATTTGGTAGCACACTGCATCTTGCATGACATGCATAGAATCTGCTTAATCTGTATGAGGTCGCCAGGGAGCGAGATAGAGAGGTGGCGACATGGGAGACCAGGTCCGAGGCACATCACATGCTCAGTTTATGGACGAGGGTGGGTGGCATCGTTTCTGATGTACATTGGCCTCAACGTCGGCATCGTCAGAGCGTTACCAGTCCTCGCTCATGCTTAATTTGTTCAGCTGCAGGCACACTGTCTCGACATGCACATCGTCAGTGCCCGCGTCCGGCCTTTTGCTCCTGTCGACGCCGAAACAACCTATCTATGCATGTACGCACATCTATAATACTATTGCGCTGCCGCCGCCGCCGCCGCCACCATTACCCCACATGGGCGCGCGCGGGCACGCAAATACCGCCACTAGCCGGCTTTTGTTTACGAGGAGAACTGAGGGGGGAAGATGCCACGGGTGCCGTACCAGGTGCCCTTGACGAGGTTGTTGAAGTAGACGCGGGGGAAGACGTCCTTGGTGAGGTGGTAGAAGGCGCGGTTGGGGACGGACTGGTCGGTGAGGCCCGAGAAGGTCTCGGCGAGGGCGCCGGCGTACTTGAACTCGGCGAGGAGGAGCTCGCCACGGCCGGTGAACAGGGGGCACGAGGTGTAGCCGTCGTAGATGGCGTTGCCGAGCTTGCCAGTCTCCATGAGCGAGACAAGGTTGTGGGCAAGGACGGGGGCCTGGCCGGTGATGGCGGCGGCGGTCTTGGAGGTGGGGAGCGACGAGGCGTCACCGAGCGAGAAGACGTTGGGGAACTTCTTGTGCTGGAGGGTACCCTCGTTGACGTCGACCCAGCCGACGGCGTCGGCGAGGGGCGACTTCTTGATGGTGTCGAGGGGGCCCATGGGAGGGACAACATGGAGGAGACCGTACTCGATCTCGACCTGCTCGCCCTTCTTCTCGCCGTCGAGAATGTTGAAGACGGCAGTCTTGGTGTCGGTCTTGACCTCGACGAGGTTGGTGTTGAAGTGGCCCGAAATGCCCTTGGCCTCGCGGATCTTGTTCAGCGCCTTGGCGTAGTGGGGCTGGGCGAACATGGCGGGCATGCCGGTGACAAAGGTCGAGTGAATGTTACGGCCCTGCTCCTTCCAGAACGAGTCGGACATGTAGTTGACCTTCTGGGGAGCACCGGCACACTTGACAGGGCCAAAGGGCTGGGTGAAGACAGCCTCACCCTGGCCAGCCTGGAAGCGCTCAATGATGGCCCAGGTCTTGTCGACAGTGTCCCACGAGTAGATCGAGCCAACGTTGGTCGAGAGGGGGTCCTTGAGAGCCTCGGGGAGACCCTTGATGTTGGCCCAGTTGATCTGGAGACCGGGAGCGACAATCAGGAAGTCGTAGGCGACCTTGCTGCCGTCGGAAAGGAGGACCTGGTTGGTGCCGGGCTCAAACGCCGAAGCCGAGGCCTTGATGTGAGCCAGGTGCTTGGGGATGAGCGAGTCGAGGGGGCGACGGAACTGCTCCTTCTGGGCAAGACCAGAGCCGACAACAGTCCATCCGGGCTGGTAGTCGTGGTGCTGGTTGGCGTCGACAATCGCCACGTCGCCGTCGGCGAGGGTCTTGTCCTGGGCCTTGAAGAGGTTGTAGACCTGGTTGGCAGTCGCGAGACCGGCAGTGCCACCACCGATGACGACGACCTTGTGCTTGTTGGCCGAGGCGGCCGAGGTGGACGCGGCGCGGGCAAAGGCGGGGATGCGCGAGATGAGGGGGTTCATGGTGGGGAAATGGTGAGGAGGAGGAAGGATGCAAAGGAGAGATGAGGGGCCTCAACACAATATTATTTGGACGCGTTCTTTGTTCCCTCTACCCTGGTTCGCGAGCACGTCATCCGTGATAACTGGCGAACGGAAAAAAAGAAAATCTCGGATGGCGGACAACGGGCCGGACGGACTGGTCTCGCCAGATCTCGCAGTGCATCACGTGACTCGAGTGGGGGTTGCAGAGCAACAGAGCTGTGGTGGCGCCGACAAGAGATGGCAATGGGGGGTGCTCTGCTGGCGTGCAGAGGTCCAAGTTCCCATTGTGCAGCTCCGCGGTCCGCGAACTCGACGCCGTGTGAAGGATGCCCCTAACCAAGAAAAAACCAACTATGCGACACAATGTTTTTGTTGTGCAGAAATGTCCCGTTGATAGTGTGTTGTCCGCCTGGCTTCAAAACCAACTACGCGGCATAAAGTTCTTAATGTGCCGCATAATGAAGTTGATAGTGCGTTATGCGCCCAGCCAAATAACCAACCACGCGGCATAAAGTTCTTGATGTGCCGCATAATACAGTTGATAGTGTGTTATCCACCCAGCCAAATAACCAACTACGCGGCATAAAGTTCTTGATGTGCCGCATAATACAGTTGATAGTGCGTTATGACCAAAGGCTGGAAACCAAGCACCTGCGTTTCTGCTCACACTCGCGACACGCGGTACACGGTAGGGACATCGATGGCGAGATCTCCTCGTCTTCATCACAGCGGCACGTCTGCTCCCCGCGCGACACATAAAGACGGCCTCGGATATCGTAATACATGGATGCGTAATGTCGTACTACCGTACTCTACCTCTAGCACCTATCCACTTCTCCCTTCCTTTTATGCCTTCCGCTTAGATGGAAAGAGCGGCGCGGGCCATGGCAATGGCACCCTCGTAGGTCTCGTTACCGCCAATGAAGCCCGAAGCGTGGCAGAAGACACAGCCAGGGATGCCCGAGACCTTGGAGAGGTCGGCGTCGCGAACACCGCGCCAAGCCTCGGGGAGAGACTTGCGGTTGATAAAGCTGTCGGTCGACTCGGGGACACACTGGATGCGCCACTTGGAGTTGGGGTCCTCGGACGACTCGGGGTAGAGAACGTAGAGGATCTCGGCGGCGGGCTGGAGAGTGGGCTCAATGTCGAAGAGGTGGTCCTTCCAGGGAGCAGACTGTAAGAGTTAGCACACTGTAATGTAAAAGCCAGTTCTGGGGCCAGGCCCACCTCATTCACCTGCTTGAACACGACAACCTTGCCCGAAGGGTCGACGTTGAGGCGGTCCTCGAGGGCGCCCTTGACAATGTCGCGGGCCGGGAGCCAGGCGCTGGCAAAGTAGTCGAGCTGGCCGAGGAACTCCTCGCCGGTGATCTTGGAGGCAATCTCAAACTTGGCGTCGTAGACGTCGTCGTTGGTAGTCTCGTTCCAGCGGGGGTTGACACGGCGGACACGCGAGCTCAGGTCGGTGCGCTGGTTGTACGCAAGCTCGCCAGAGGTGATGTTGATACCGTTGTCAATGGCATCAATGCTCTCAATGAGCTCGCCGTAGACGCGGAGCCAGAGGGTCTCGACCTGGGGAGCATCCTCGGCGACACCGAGAACACGGGCAATAATATGCTTGCCGTAGTGCTTGTAGACGAGACCAGCCGACGAGAGCTTGGTCTTGTTGAAGCCGCCAAAGCCAAAGACCTCGGTGAAGCCGCGCTGGTGGTGGTCGTAGCGCTTGGCGGCGTCATCGTAGACACCACCGACGTCGACAACAATGTCAAGGGGCTCGACTAGAAGGTGGTCAGCGGGAGAGGCAGCGGGTGTAACTCACGCTTGGCGGGGTCACGGGTACGGACGAGGTCGGCGTCCTTGAACTCGTCGGTGAGGCGGAGCATGAAGACAGCAAGGGCCTCTGTCTGTTAGCTATGTGCAAAGGCTCCCGGATAGCTCACCATCGCAGTGGAAGGTGCCCGAGTGGGTGCCGATAACCTGGCTCCGTTAGTTGACAACACTCGTAGCACAAACTCACCTTGGTGGACTTCATCTTCTTGGCGACGGGGGACGACGACATGTGTTGTTTGAAGAGGGGGAAAGAAGACGAAGTGGTGTTGAGCAGCAGGGGACGACGGATTGATCTCGCGAGGGCTGCTGCAGGAGTTCTGAACATTCAAGAATAAATAATGGTCTTGGAGCTGAGCATGGCAGCAGCCAGTGACCGCTCCGCAAATCCATCACACAGGGAATGAATGTTGAAAGGTCTCCCACGGTGGCGGAAAAGCTTTCCCACGGGGTATAACGCCAGCCAGGATAACTCTCCCACGGGCGCAACAACTTTCCCACGGATGGTCCTCACCCTGCGCACCCAGGGCACCCGACTCCGGCGAGCGCGACCGCTCTGTGTGTGTTGCAGCCCCGCCGGCTCGGAATACAAGCAGCCAGCTGCAGGCCATCATCCACCTCATCCACTTCTCCCACCCACCCACCCCCATCCATCCAACCTCTGTCACACCAATCCATAGCCTGTCCCTTGCTCTCCCCTCCACCATCTCTGTAGGATCCTGTCTGGGATCCTCTCCCCATCCACCCCCCACCCCCCCATCCCCCAGCTGCACCGCGCCTCTACCTACCCCACACCCTGCCATGGAGGCCAGGCGGCGGCAGGCTTCAACATCCACCCAGCACTCGCATGACGAGCGGCCCCTCGGCGACACCAAGGGTTCCGGAACAGCAACGCCTGCACCAGACGAAGAAGACGATTGTAAGTGCATGGCCCCCGTGGCTCGCTGCAGCTGGCGGCGGTACCGTCTGGCCCTCACGGGACAGACGCCAGCCGACACCCCCGCCAGCTCCGTCAGCGTCGTCTAGCCCCCCAGCCAGCTCTTCCGGACCTTGACTCGGCCCAACCATGGCATCCAGTGCTGACACCCTACAGCAAAACCGCGCAGGACGCGCGGTCGCAACCCCTTACCGCCGACATCCGGCCCCCTCTTCCCCCCACTCCCTCCCAAGGCGGTCAAGAACTCTCCAAAGGCCTCACCAAAGGCCCCCTCACGATCCCCCGCATCCCGGGCACCGCGCCTAGCATCTTCAAGCGCTCTCTCGAGCGTGATGGCGGACGACGCGCCTCATCCAGAAAACGGAGCGGCTGCACCACCATCTGACACCCTTGACCCACCATCCCCCAACAAGGCCAACAACGCACCAAGCATGTCCAGCCTATCGCCGCCGCCAGCCGATGGCGACGAAATGGACATTGACGAGCAGCCAGAGCCAGCTACCACCAGCAAGTCGTCTCCCGAGAAGGGCGGCGGTGGCGATGGCAAGCAAGATGGCGGTGACGACTGGGACGCGTACCGCCGTCAGCGTGGTGTCCGAGGCTTCTCCGGCCCGAAAACCGCCGCTATCAAGCTTGAGCCAGATGCCGAAGAAGAAGAAGAGGACGCAAAGGCATCCGCCGAGGACGCCGCTGAGGACGCTCTGCAAGAGGATCCCGAGGAAGAGAAGGAGAATGGTGACGCCGCTGAGCCCTCGGCCGAAGCGTCCATTACCTCCAACTCGACCGAACCCAGCGCTAGCGCCGCCCGCGCCGCCCGCAAGCGCCGTGGCGAGGAGCAGCTCTTGCTCGACGACCACCTCTTGCCAAAGGAGCTCCGTGTACACCGCGACATGGCTCCTCGTCGCGAAAAGTCTGAAAAGACGAGCTCCAAAAAGTCCGAGCCACCCGCCGAGGAGCCCGAGCCTGCCAAGGAGGAAGAGGGAGCCGAGGAAGAGGACGAGGAGGAAGAAGAAGAGGACAAGGAGGAGGAAGTTGAAGAGGCCGATGAAGAAGTTGAGGAGGTGGTTGGCGACGAGGACGATGAAGACGACGGCAGCGAGATCACACGTTGCGTGTGTAAGCGAGAAGGTAAGGCATCGACTATCAGATACGATTGAGCTGACGCCAGCAGACATCGAGGTGATGATGATTCAGTGCGACAAGTGCAAGGTCTGGCAGCACGGCGAGTGCATGGGCATTTGGGGCGACGAGGAGGCTCCAGACGGTGGGTTCCATGACCAGGTTTGACTGCTAACCCATCACAGAGTACTACTGTGAGGAATGTCGACCCGACCTTCACGGTCCTCTGCGCAAGTGGATCCGGAGCCGTGGCCGCAATCCCGCCAACTTTATTGCCCCCACCCCCGATGACCTGCGCAACCTTCACAGCAGCTCAGATAGGCATCCGCCTTCGCAGTCGAAGCGCTGGACAGACCCCGACCTCATGGACCCTCCACCTCCGCCTGTCAAGCCTGCTGCTCGCTCGCATAACCGCAAGGCGACCGACGCCGAGCCCGAGGATCGCAGGCCAACGCGAGGACGTGCTCCTCCGGCCGCTGCTGCTGCTACCGCCGCCGCCCCACCTCGCGATCGTGACCGCGAGCGTGACCGTGAGCGCGACCGTGAGCGCGACCCCAAGGCCGCCATCTCGTCCAAGGACAGCGGACGTGACCGCAGGCGAAGCGCTCCCCAACGACGAGTGTCGACCGACCCCTCCATGTCCATGTCGCCGCCTCCTGGTGGCCGCCACGAGCCCAAGAAGCGCAGCACGATGAACTCGCGGGACGCCGCTTACGAAGAGGCCGTCAAGGCCGCTCTCGAGGCAAGCCGCCGCGAAATGTCTGGCTCGCGTGAAAAGGAGGAGCCACCAGAAGAGCGCAAGCGTAGGCGTGTCGAGGACGACGAGGCAGAGGAGGTTAAGAAGGGCAAGAAGAAAAAGGAGGACGATGGTAGGTGTCTTCCGCTGCTGCTGGTCGCTAACCACATAGACGCCGAGTCTGCACCAGCACCCTCAGCCCCGTCCAAGCCCAAGCACCCCAATCAATACACCTACCGTCCCAAGCCTGGTGGCGGTGGCAACATTGCCTCGCCTGCACGCCGCGGTGCTGGAACACCGCAGCCTATCGGCCCTCCACCATCGCACGAGCACGGCACGCGTCGCGCAGGAGCGATTGCGAGCAACCTTGCCTCGGCTCCTTACACAGCTGTGTCTATCCACAACCTCAACTGGTTTGTCCCCGACCACCTGTCATCGTTTATCGACCTCTTCCCTACTCCCAACCCTGTGCCTCTTGTGGTACCCACCGCTCGCACGCTCCAGTTTTTGCCGAGGAACCACTTTTTGAATCAAAAATACGGTCCCTTTGAAGAGAAGAAGGACGACACCGGCAAGCTCATCATGCCCGAGGACCGTCCCTTGCGAGAGACCGATGGGGAGGCTATCAACCACCGTGAGCCGCCAACACGAGTGCGCTACCCAATGAAGCGCATCACTGTCGCCGAGATGCGCAAGCGTGTGCGTAACATGCTCGAATATGTTGGTCGCGTGCAAGTCGACGAGGCAAGACGAGAAGACCGGTCCCAGCGCATCAAGATTCCCGAAGAGTACGCTACTCGCCCCAAACTGCCTCCACTCGAGGAGGAGCTGAACGGAAACGGCAAGGGCAAGGGTCGCGCGATTTACGAGGACCCCGACAATGTCGATGACGGCGAGGGCGACGTTGAGATGCGGGAACCCTCACCAGAGCCTGCACCGCTTCCGTCCTCTGCGCAGCTCCTAGTCGAGCTCACGCGCGACCTCATTGCCTTCCAAGAGGCCTTTGAGACTGGCGACTTTAGCGAGTTGAGCTTTGTCTCGCCCATGCCGCCCCCCGACGAGCGACCTTCAGGCCAAGCCTCTGAGGCCGGCGGCCCATCAGGACGCGAATCGGAACAGGCAGTTGAGGCCGAAGCTGGCATGGAGGTCGAGGTCGAGGTCGAGGTCGAGGGCGAGGGTGAGGCCGAAGCTGAGGTTGAAGTCGAGGCTGAGCCTGAGCCTGAGCCTGAGCCTGAGCCTGAGGTCGAGGCCGAGGTGGAGCCCGAGGCTGAGGTTGAGGCTGAAGCTAAACCCGAGGCTGAGGTTCAACTCGATGAGCCCGAGAAGTCTGCAGAGGACGCCGAGGTGCCTACTGCCGAGGTCGAGGTCGAGGCTGAGGCTGAGGCCGCACCTCCTTCTGAGGACGCTCCAGCTGAAGCCCAGACTGAGGAGCCACCCCAACCCGTAACCGAGCCCCTCCAGGAGGACACAGAGACACCAGCCAAGACGGATGGTGCTGACGACGTCCCCTCCGAGGCGGTCGACAAGGGTGTGCCGGCGACCTTGGTTGTCGAGGCAGCCGAGGAAGGAGAGGAGGGAGAGGTCAAGGAGGAGCCATCTACTGCGAGCGTGAGCGAGGTAGTGGCATAGCGTTCAGATTAGAGACATGTGTCAGGTGCCCAAGATGAAATTGTTGTCAATGTTCTTAAAATGGAAGGTGCCGCGTAGCAGCGACGCGTCCAGAAGGCCAGATGTGGCTCGACCAGGGGCGATGTTGTCGACTGCGGCGCGGAGCTGTGCCTGGCTGGCGACCCGCCCAGCCCACATCTGGTCCCGCTCCACCCAGGCGGGTACGTCATGCCACGAACCCTCAAGGGGGGAGAGAGGCGGCGTCACGATGCTCTCCACGATGGGGACCTGTGCTCTCCCCGTTACTCCTCTCTCGCACAATACAACAAACATCTCATTCACTAACACTACATCGAATTGATCCATAAGCGGGGGGACAATGGCTTACCCATACCTCGCGAGGACAATGTAAGCTGGAAAACAACAGGACCGCGGGTGATGGGACTGACACGCCCACCAGACTCAAGTACAAGTCCCCACACGCCACCGACTTGTCGTTTGCCAAAGATGAGACGTGAGTTTTCAACATTGGGGGCGGTGTAGCGCCTGCAATGGTCGCTTTCGACGACCCAAGAACACGGTTCAAGGTCGGAGAACGGTCACTGCCTTTGTGGAGCCTTGCAAACTACGGATGCCGTCGTCGTCGACGCTGCCCCGTTGCACCGCACTGCACGCACTCGGCGCCCCTTAGCCCTATAGCCCCACGCCACGGGCGAGACCCAGGCTGCCGACTAGCCGAATGACGACCAGAACTGACCTTTTGCAGAATCCGCGTGACGGGCCCTTCACCCGATGACGAGGACTGGCTCGTAGGCGAGAGCGTGGACGGTGCGCGGTCGGGAGGGTTCCCGAAAGTGAGTGGACGCGTCGTTTCAGCGCATGTTACTGATCGTCGCCCAGGACTTTATCACACCCGTCGAGGATGAAGCCGAGAGCACTGCCGAGCCTGCTCCTGCCTCGCCTGTTGCTGCTGTCGCCGCTGCCCCAGTCCCCGTTCCGACTGCCGAAGAGCCTGTTCCCGAACCTCCTGCGCCTGTACAGGAGACCGCTCCTGTCCATGTGGAGCCCACTCCTCCTGCGCCCATCGCTGAACCCGTTGCGCCTGCTCCCGAGCCCGAGCACGTCGCTGAGCCTCCTTCGCCCGTCAAGGCGCCCACTGTCGTTCCCGTCAAGGCCACCCCGCCTTCCCCGACCAAGGCGCAGACTGCTCCCCCAGCTCCTGTTGGTGCCCCAGCTGCCGGCGGAGATGGCCCAGACGCGTCCCGCATGTCGATGAAGGAGCGTTTGGCATTCTTCAAGGCTGCACAGGACAAGGTTTCCGCTCCTCCCCCGCCTGTCAAGCCCAAGCCCGCGGGGGGTCTGACCTGGAGCCAGCGCCAGAAACTCCGTCAAGAGCAAGAGGCCAAGGAGGCCGCGGAGCGTGCTGCCAGCGGCGAGCCCGAGCCTGCTCCTGTTGCTGCTGTCCCAGCGCCTGCCCCTGCCTCCGTGGCCAAGACGCCCTCGCCCCCTCCTGCCGCCCCCCACGATGACGACAGCGGAGGCATGTCGGCGGCCGACGCCGCGACCAGTGTGCGTGCCGGTGGATCGCTCAAGGAGCGCATGGCGGCCCTCAAGGCTGGTGGAGCGTTCGGTGCTGCTGCACCCCCTCCGCCCAAGCCCAAGCCGAGCGGAAAGGTGTGGACTCGCCCGCCTGCTCCCCCCGCGCCTCCTGCCGAGGAGGAAGGCGAAGAGGGTGTTGAGGGTATCGAGCGCACCGTCTCCCCTGGCATCATCGGCGCTCCCCTCACCCAGGTCACCTCGACGGGCGAGCAAGCCGAAGCTGCTGAGGGCGACGAGGAAACTGGCGAGCCCGAGGAGCAGTCTGAGGAAGACGCCGAGAAGGCTCGTCGCGCGGCCATTGCTGCGCGCATGGCCAAGCTCGGCGCTCGTGGTCCCATGGGCATGATGCCTCCCATGGGTGCACCCAAGCCCATCCCGGCTCGCAAGAAGACTGTCGAGGTCGAGGCTCCCGCTGAGACTGAAGGTGCTACCGAGCCCGAGGCCGAGCCCATCGCTGCCCCCGTGGCCCTGCCTTCCCTCGCCGCTCCTGTTATTACTGAGCCTGAGGTGGCCAAGTCCGAAGCCGTCACCACCGCTCCTGCCTCGGTCAAGATGCCTGCCGTGCCTCGCCGCGCTGCTGGTCCCCGTCGTCGTGCGGCCGCGTCGTCCACGCCAGCAACGTCCAACCCCGAATCGCCTGTCGACGCCTCTGCGCCGGCTGTCCCTGTCCCAGCAGTGCCAGAGCGCCCTATCTCGCCCTATGAGATCGTCAACGCGGACGGCACGATCGAGCCTCCCATCCAGGTGCCCATTTACGGCGAGGAGGACCCCATCCCGCTCACTGCCGAGCAGGAGGAACTCCACCGTCTCAAGATTGTTGCTGGAGCTGGTGGTCTCGGTGCCCTTGGCGCCGCTGCGGCTGGTATTGCCTTGGCCCCTCCGCGAAACGAGGACGGCGAGCCTCTCCAGCAGCACGCCTCTCCTCAGGCCCCTACCGCCGAGCTCGAGCACCAGGCCGAGCGCGAGATGATCAGCATTGAGGAGGACGCCGGTGCTGGCAGCTTTGGTGTCGAGGGCGCCGACGTTGTGGGAATTGCTCTCGCGCCCGTCCCCGCCAAGGACGAGGTGCCCCGGCCGCCGGCTCGTAAGGCATCTGCTCAGGTCGACGAGGGCAATGACCACGTCGCCTCTGGCCTTGCGGCCGGTGCTGTCGGTGTCGCTGGCGTTGCGGCGGCAGGTATCGCTGCCGCTCATCACGCCGCTGCGCCTTCTGCACCCGCTCCCCCGGCTCCGCCAGCTCCTGTCGACTCTGACGAGGCCGACGACGATGAGCAGTGGGACGACGCCCCGCCTCCTCCCCCGCCTGTCCGCCATGTCATCACCCCCACAGCTCAGCCTGAGGACGAGGAAGATGTCGCGCCCCCGCCTCCGGCTCGCCAGGCGAGCCACCCTGCTCCGCAGCAGACACTGGACAACGACGACGAGCAGGAGGAGGATGTCCCCGAGCCCCACGATGTCGCTCCCGCCACACCTCCTCCCCCGCCAGCACGCGCGCTGTCCCACACCACCGAGGATGCCCCTCCTGTGCCCCACACTCGCCCCCCGGTGCCGACCTCCCCTGTCGCGCCGGCTGCCCACACTGTCGACACTGCTCTATCGGTCCCGGACCATCACCAACAGCCGCCTGCGTCCCCTCGTGGACCCCGCCCGCTCCCTAGTCGTCCGACTGCTCCCCCAGCCCCGACTACGACAGATGCGGACGACCTTCCTGTCCCTCTGTCCCGCTCCCCAGCCATCTCGCCCATTGCTCAGACGCGCGAGCTTGAGCCCGAGCCCGAGGCCGCTCCCCCGCCTCCCCCAGCGCGTACCCACTCGCGCAAGGGGTCTTTGCCGCCACAGCACGCCCCACCTCCTCCCCCGGCACCGGTTGAGGAGCAGGAGCAGGAGCAGGAGCAGCACTCTGGCCACGGCGGTGTTGCGGCGGCCGCAGCGGTTGGAGCTGGCGGTGCTGCAGCGATTGCCGCTGCGGTCGCGCACCGCTCGCCCTCGCACGACGACGGCGCACCGCCTGTTGACGAAGACTCGGCCCGTCGCACCAGCATTGCAGCTCGTATGGCCAAGCTCGGTGGTATCAAGTTTGGCATGCCCCCGCCCGTCTTCAAGCGGCATTCCTCGAGCATGAGTGAAGAACCTGCCGCTGAAGTGGTGACGTCGCCCACGACCGAGACCCGTCAACCGCTCGCCACTGAGCCCGAGGAGATTGAGGAAGAGGAGGAGAATGAGGGTGACGACGACGACGCACCGCCACCTCCCCCCCGTGTGGCCGCCCACGCGCCTAGCCGTGAGGCTCCTGCCGCTGCCCCCGCCGAGGACGATGGCGAGGAGACCCCTGAGCAGGAAGCTGCTCGTCGACGCGCGACTCTTGCGCGTCTCCGTGCCGGTGGAGCCCTGGGCTTTGGTCTCTTCAACGCTCCCGAGCCAGAGCCGGAGCATGTGGCCGAGCCTGAACCCGAGCATGAGGAGGTCGGCCAGGGTCAGGATGAAGAAGAGCCCGAGGAGGAGGCCCCGCCACCACCTGCTCGTCGTTCCAGCAAGCCGACAACCACTCGTCCCCCGCTTCCCCCTCCCCCTCCCCCGGCCGACGACGTCGAGGACGAGGATGAGGAAGAGGAAGAGGAGGACGCGCCGCCTCCCCCACCACGTCGTTCACCATCTATGCCTCCACCCGTGCCCAAGATCCCCACCCGTTCAGTCCCCACGAGCCCCGAGGTGCAGGCTGCTCCCATTCTTCCTCACGCCCAGTCCGCGCCACACGCACCCCCTCGCGGTCTGCCCCCTCCCCCTCCTCCTCCTCAGGAAGAGGAAGACGATGAGGAGGAGGAGGACGTGCCCCCGCCGCCCCCGGCACGCACGCATACCCTTTCTCCTGAGCAGCACGACTTTGACGATGCTGCTCCGCCAGCGGTCCCCGCTGGCCGTCCGCGCCAGGCGACCGCTCCAGCCCTCGACGCTCCAGCGCCGCCGCCTCCAGCTTCGGCCCTGCCGCCTCCACCTATCCCGACTGCTTCGCACCCGCGCGCTTCCGTTGACCAGTCTCGCCCGAGCATGTCGATGCCCCGTCCAGGCTTCCACGAGCTCCAGACTGCCTCGGCCCACCATGGAGTCACGCTCCTGCGCGCGGCCAAGGGAGTCTTCGAGCAAGGCAAGCGCGGGTACTATGGCGACGGCTCGCCCGCCGGCTTTCTGCGCGTGGCGTTCGACCAAGCGCGTATCCCGCTCCCCGAGTCCGTCGCCGCGGGCGTGTGGGGCGTGGTCGTGTACGAGCAAGAAGCGTCGTCTGTCCTGAAGCGCCTGGACGAGCCGCGCCCGGGAGACGTGGTGGCCCTCTTTGACGCGCGGCTCAAGGGCAAAAAGGGCTTGCAGGGTTATACCCAGCAGGTCGGGTCTGTCGAGGACGCGCTCGTCGGTGTCATCCAGGACTTTGACCAGAAGAACAAGCACAAGCTCCGCGTCCTCCAGGTCGAGCGCGGACACCCGGAGGAGGTCAGCTACAGGCTTGACGACCTCAAGTCGGGTCGCGTCGTGGTGAGTAGAGTAGGCCAGTGGGCTAGTAGGCTGGCAGGCTGGCAGCTGCGTGATTTCGGACGGAGCCAAAAGCTGACATGGCCACAGGTCTTCCGCGTGGGCCTTTAATGACGACGACGATGAACGTCAGAGACGAACTGCGACGGCGACGGCAACGGATGGGTATGCGAGGTATCAAGATGCGAGGCGAGGAGAGGTAACGAAATGCAACTCAAGTTCTGGATTCCGCAGGCGCTGCTACTCATTTGGCATGGTCCTATGGAACAAGAACGCTGACCACACACTTCTGACCGTCCCGTTGCGCGTTTAATTGTTGCTGATGTTGTGCTCATGTTATTTTGCTGATGTTTTTTGATGTTTTGATATTTTGATGTCTACCGCAGGCAGCGCTGCCATTCATGCCGGGGCTGGAACCAGAGGGGCTTGATCCGTCGCATGTGAGGTCGCCCGAGCTCACGGCGTAGGAGCCATGAGGATCGGGCTGCAAGCGCTCATGCACGCTCCCTGGGCGACGGAGCAGGTGACCACAGCGACGGGCGTGCCGGCGCCGAGGGTGAACGTGCCTGCAGAATGCTCAGCTCAGTAACAGGTTGTTCTCTGCTTTGTCGCCTTGTGCGCGCTGCCGCTGCTCACCCGCGACGAGGCCGAGGGCACCGAGGCAGACGCCGTAGCTGGCGTTGCAGGCCGTGTAGCACAGACCCCAGGCGACGGGGCCGGCGGCGACAGGCGAGGCGAGGATGGCCAACGCGAGAGGGATAGCGGCCTTCATCGTGGTTGCTGCTGGGTTTATGTTGTGTTGTGGCTTTTGGGCGAGGGGCTCGTGGGCAGGTAGCTTGCTTGTGACGGAGGTGAAGTGCAGTGGAGGGTGAATGATGAGGAGAAAGGAAGAGTGCAGAACGTTGGGAGGATGAAGAGGGCACGAGAGAGGGGCCAGCATAGTGTGGCTCGGACGGGGGTGACGTGAGCAGCGTTTTATCTTTTATCGAGCGAGGCACACGAACTCGCTCCGGATGTCACTGGCCACTGCCACTGCCATTTGGGATCCCACGCCCGCTCCCATTACCACGAGTACTGTACTATAAAACCCACAAGCTCCCACGCCTGTGGTCAATGTCCCAAACACTGGGGTCTGACCGCCCCATACTACCCATACTACCCATACTACCCAATCTCCCCTTTGCTGTGCCCACTACGCGGCAGCAGGCAGCACCAGTGGGCGCACACGTGCCGCACACATGTAGCCACAGGCATCCAGCTCGTCGAGGAAAAAGAAGACGACGCCCAGCGCAAGCATGATGGCGAGGGCTTTACTGTACGTGTCGTACGTGTCGTTGACGGGGACGACACACTGGAGGGCCGCTGCGGGGAAGAGGGAAGTGTGTGAGCTGAGCTACGACGGGTTCGGATATCGGAACTAGGGCAAGACGTACCGAGGACAAACATTGGCATGTTGAACAGTGCAAACAGCTTGGGGACGCAGTTGACGAGGTAGCACGCTGTCCTGTCGAGAGCGTGCGCTCTCATCACGTCCAGGAGCCCCAAGACCGTTCCAAGGACGCTGCAGCCCAGGCCGAGGAGGACGGGCAGGCACACGACACCGGCGTATATGAGAACCAGCCAGATGAGTACTTGGGCCGTGGTCATGTGCCCGACGCCGCCGCCGTCGTCGGTACGTCTTGCCAGTGGTAGTGGTGGTGGGCTCGAGAGGCGCATGGTTGGCGGGGGTGGGTGTCGCTTGGAGAAGAGAGGAGTGGAGAGATGAGATTTTGGTATATATGCATGTGGGCGGCGGGGGTCTGCAGCAACGGAGACGAGAGGCAGAGCACGGCACGAGACAACATGGTAACACAGCAGAGTGTCGTTTGGTGGCGCTGGCGTTGTGGTCCAGACAATGAATGTTCCACACCACCAGGCCGGGTGGAATGCCAGCCGTGGCTTACGACGTCGTCCTCCCTTTCCAGCTCTTCCCAACGGCTCACACGCTGCACAGCGCGCGCCGTCTGTAGACGAACGATCGAGTGCCGACAACTACACCAGTCTGGCCGCGGCTCTCGACTGGCTAGTCCCACGCCACCTCTCCCAGTCTGTGGCTCCAGCTCTCTGCAGTCTGCGCGACATGTCAGAGATCATACATTGCAGACAACGTCTCGCACCCCCGCGCGCGCTCCATCGGCTGGCTACATGCCTACATGGCACGGCACGGTCATCCGCATCCGGCGGCAATGTGTGTGCGTGCGACTCGGCCGGATTAAGTGTGGGTGTGTCGTCAAGTACGACTCCGCCCGGCGCCGCCAAGCGCACGGGACTGGCACTGGTTGCCGGCGGCGGCCAGCTCGTCGATACGCGTCGACATGATCCAGTACGCTAGGCCAAACGCGGCCACCTGGCAGTATAGCCGGTACTTGCCGCCGCCGTACTGGTGGTGCATCACGGCTGGGCATGGGGTCAGATGAGGGACAGATGAGGGACAGAAGAGGGCGCGACCACTGGCCAGTGGCCAGTGGCCTGTGGGTGTCCACTCACAGATGATGGTAGCGGGCACGCACAGCATGGCGCCCAGCTTGAGCAGGAAGCCCAGGGACAAGCACCCGACAACGTTCAGTGCTTGCGTGAGCGGTGGAACGGGGACGACAAGGGCGAGGACGTAGGCCACCACGCCGATGGCGACCGGTCCGCCGATACAGATGGTCAGTGCCGGGATGGCAAACGACAGGTGCTGCCGCACGGTTAAGGGGTGGACGATGCCGCCGATGGTGTCGCTGGGTGTTCTCTTAGCTGGTGGCTCGGGCTGCGTTGGGGGTGTGGGAGGTGCCATAATGGAGGTCGAGAGGAACAAGGAGTTGCGCTGTGGAGATCAAGAGAGAGGGCACTGTCGGATATCGACGAGGTGGAGGTGGTCCACCCCTTGTGGCGGGCTCAAAATCAGTCGCGCAAGGGTTACCCGTTCATCGTGGCCAACACGGTGGTGTACGCACTGATGTACACACTGAGATAGATGCACAGCTACGTATGGTGAATGGCATAAGGTTCTGCTCTCGATCCGAGCACGCAGAGCGTCGGCGAATCTTTAGCACGGAGTAACGACTGGGGGAGAAGAGGTTCAGCACGTTACAGACAGGGGAAAGCAACTCCAGGTCAAGTCAAGCGAGCATGCTGCATAGGTAGTGTCTGAGGCTACGTAGTGACTTTGCTCTACTCGAGCTGGGTGAGCAGCTTTCCGCGGCTCTTGCCGGTAAACAGCAGCGCCCAAGTCTGCGGGATCTCGTCGACGGTCGCGGTCACGACGGTCTCGGTATCCGTGGCAGACACTTTACCGTCCTTGACAAACTGGGCGACCTTCTGGGCCGTCTCCGCCCAGCGGGGCACGAAATCCATCACTGTAAACCCGCGCACGTCGATCCGGAGCGAGATGACCTGGAGCAAGTTGTTGAACACCTGCTGCTGGCCGTTGTACGACGACAGCAGGCCGCAGACGGCGATTTGGCCGTGGGGCTTCATGAGCGGGAGGATGGTGTCGAGGACCTCGCCGCCGACGTTTTCAAACACTTTGTCAATCTTGTCCGGGACGGCCGCCGCGAGCCGCTCGCGGAAGTCGGGGCTCTTGTAGTCGATGCAGTCGTCGGCGCCGAGCGACTTGACCCACGCGCACTTGTCCGCGCCGCCCGCAATGCCCACGACGCGTTTGGCGCCTGCGACGTGCTTGGCGAACTGGATCGCCGCCGAGCCGACCGACCCGGCGGCGCTGGAGACGACCACGACGTCGTCGGCGGCGACCTTGAGTTGGTCAAACACGCCGAAATAGGCGGTCAGCGAGCCCAGGCCCAGCACGCTCAGCGACGCGTACGGCTTGCCGGGCAGCTCGATGGCCTTGCCCGTGAGGGCGGTGGCGGGGACGACGGCGTAGTCGCCCCAGTCGAAACGGCCCGACACGAGGTCGCCGGGCGCGTACGCGGCCGACTTGGACGCGACCACCTCGGCGAGTCCCGAGGTCGCAATGGTCCCGCCGCGCGGGATGGCAGCGCTAATAAGTGTGCGCACGATAGGGTCGTTGGAGAGATACTTGATCTTGACGAGGACCTGGTCGTCGGCCACGGGAGGCAGGGCCCGGGTCTCGAGCGCGAACGTGTCGGGCTGGACGTAGGCTGCGGGCGGGTTGGCGAGCACCCAGACTTTGTGTTCGGTTGGGAGGGACATTCTGAGTGTGGAGGTGGTTGAGAAGGGTGCGGTGTGGAGGCTGTAGAGTCGGAGGCGAGGGGCGATGCGGGCAAGGAGCATGTATTGCTGGGGGTGGGGTGGGTGATCTTGTGAACGAGCTTGCTTGTCCCCAGGCGGCCTGTTTTTTATACCTTTGACAGAGGATCAGAGATCAGAGACAGGACCGTCGTCACAGGATCCCATTATCAATTGTGGTGCCCAACGTGTGTGTCTCTGATGTCTCACGACAAGTGATCACGAGGCACGTCATCGGCCATCCACAGCAGCAGTTTACCCCCCCCCGGCAGCCGGCGTAGTAGCGTTGTTGTGCCCGGGCGCCGTGTGTTTTGCGGGATATACGTGGGTGCCCGTGTCCCTGGTCGCCATGGCTGACTGAGCGGTTTGCGCGACTTTTGACGTCAGTCGGTGGGTCGGTGGGTCGGGGTGGGTCGGTGGGGCATGGCCGAGGCTGTCGCACACGCATAGATGGGCCCGTTTATCAGAGAGATCAGAGATCCATCAGAGCTCCAGAGAGGGGGTGGGACTCGATTAGTTTACCAGCATGTGGGGCCTCTGGGATAGATCGGTCAGCTGGAGTGGACAACACGTCCACTTCCGTCGGATCTTTGCTGATCGCTGATCTGCAATCATATCACGGCAACCACAGATGCATCTAATGTACTGCATGCAGCACCCCTTCTCACCTGTGGCAGCGGCGGGACACGCGCAGCAGATACTTGCCCGAGGCACATGACGCGATTCTCCATGTCGGTGACAAAGAACGCACAGCGCACGCAGCGCGCTAGGAGGAGGGGGGGGGGCAGGGGGCAACGCTGATGGTCTGGTGACTCTTACCTCTACATCTACGTGAGGAGGGCAGGAATGGCAGAACGAGACAGACGTGTGCTCATCTCTTGATCTCTGATCTCTGATCTCTGATCTCTGATCTCTGATCTCTGATCTCTGATCTCTGATCTCTGATCTCTGACGACAACGCCTCAACTGTTCATCCTCGGTCCGTCCACCCTTTCATCCTTTCATCCTTTCATCCGTTGCCCGCCGTCTGCCCCACACACTGTACCCACTGTGCCGTTGTTCCTCCCCTCCCCACGCGCGCGCGCGCCGGGGCACCCACAAGCCCTCCACACACAGTATCTGCGTGAATGCGCATTTCGCGCGAGTTCCAAGGACAAGAGTAGAGTCCTGGTCCGCTTCTCTTCCGACTCGCTTACACCACGCTTGCTGACATGACGGGTGTTTTTCCCATGTCGTGTATGTCCCGGGGCACAACGCTAGATACACTGACTGATTCCATGTCATATGCCACATCACCAAGTGGCTGACCAAGACCCACCCACCTCGGTGCACGGCAGCGACAACGAAATGGGACAGAGGTACAGAGGAGGGTCGACGGACAGCCACTCGGCGTCCATGACGGGTACGCGCCCCCCGGTTCACGTCAACTGACTGCGCTGCTCGATCTAGCGAGGACATTCGACAGTAGCACGTTAGCTATTAGCTCCCCCGTTCCTCCAGTGCGCCAGTGCAGGAACGACACAGTCCTGCGCCTGGGGCATGTGGCATAACAGCATACCACACCGAATGTGCTTCGGACCCACCGTGCCGCCGGCCTCGTTGTGGCACACAGTCTTCGGGTTCACCCCCATGTCGACCACCACGAACACACACACGACACGGGCCCAACACGCACACACACGCACACACATGTACACAGGACGACACGCCCCGCTCCCTTCAAGCTATCTATAGCCTGCCTGCCGGGGGCACATGTGCTGGGAAAGTGGCCAAGTGGGGAAACAAGTCTCGTGGCAGCGGGGCCGATCTGGGCGCGCCAAACTCCCGAGAAACCGAGGGTCGACGTGCTGTCGTCCGGGCTCTCGAGTCCACTGGCCACTGGATCCCCCGCTGCTGTTGATCGCTGCTGTTCGCCGCTCCCCTCAAGCCCCCGTTCCTTTGACCTCTCGGTTCCCAGTTGCTCATGTGTTTGCGCGAACACGCCCTCGCCCTCGCCCACGTCCCTGCCCCCGCCCTCGCTCTCGCCCCCGCTCTCGCCCTCAATCTCGCTCTCGCTCTCGCCCGCACCGTCACCACCACGCTCACTTGCACGAATCCCGCAAACCCAATTTGCATAACAGGCTGCGGCGCCGCGCACCACGCGACACTATGTTCTCTGGCTACGTTTTTTACACGAGGGGGGGAAGGGTGGGGTGGGGGCATCATAATCATATCGAGTATGATATATAAAAAAAAAAGGAGGGGGAGAGATAGATAGATAGATAGATAGAGATAGACATGGGATATGGGTGGGGGGAGGATATGACATGAGAGCCGCGAAGGCGTTGGCCCGCCAACATGTAGAGAACGGAAAACGGCAAGTGCGGGAGCTTGGGGAGCTTGGGGAGCTTGGGGAGCTTGGGGAGCTGGGGAGCTGAGGGAGCTGAGGGAGCTGGGGTATACTGGGGTGGGTGGGGTGGGTCTCCGCTAGCGGCGAAGCATTGTATGCTGGTCGTATGTGTATATCCTGTAGCTTTGAGGTCCAATAGAGGGTGAGAGATAAGAAAAGAAGATTGGGGGGCGGCTGATTCGACTACTTGCTTTTGCTCCTGTTTGTCCGTCTACGACCAGACCTTGAGCAACGAGTCCCACGAGCCCGTGCACAGGGCGATACCGTCGCCCGAGACGCCGAGACACGAGATACGGTTGTCGTGGCCTGCCAGGACACCGATGCGCTCGCCCTTGAGAGTGTCCCAGACGTTGCAGTTGTAGTCGTCGTAGCCTGCAAAGAGGACGCGGCCCGAGGTGGAGAATGCGACGGACGTGATACCGCACAGGATGTTGTCGTGCTGGTACGAGTTGAGCTCGCGGTCGGCACGCAGGTCAAAGAGCTTGCAGGTGGCGTCGTCGGAACCGGTGACAAAGGCGTCGCCGTTGGGGAAGAACTGGACGGCGTTGATGTCCGACTCGTGGCCTGTAAACGTCTGGACGGCCTTGCCGGTACGAATGTCCCAGACCTTTGCGGTCGCGTCGCAGGCACCCGAGACGAACAGGTTCTGGTTTTGGTTTGGTGCGAGCGAAATGCTCATGACGTCGCCGGTGTGGTCGTTAAACTCCATGGTGCGGGTGCCCTGCTCAATGTCCCAGAGCATACAGGTCATGTCGCCGGACGAGGTGACGATCTGGCGGTCGTTGAGGAAGCGACAGCACGAGAGGTAGCCAGTGTGTGCGCTCAGTTCACGGGCGACCTTGACCTGGCCTCCGGGCTGTCCGGGGCCTGCGCCGCGCAGCGAGTAGATGGTACAGATGTTGTCGAGACCACCGCAGGCAACGTAGCCGCCCGAGGGGGAGTAGGCACACGTCATGACCCATGATGACCGCAGGGGGATGGCGTGGACCTTGTTGGTGGTGTAGGCGTCCCAGACAATGAGCTTGCCGTCCTGCGACGCCGAGACGAGGTGGCGCTTGTCTGCGGACCAGTGCAGCGCGTAGATCTTGGCCAAGTGGCCCTTGAGTGTACGGCGCACCTTGAGCGTAAGACGCGGGAGGGGAGGTGTGTCATTGGCCATGGCGCGCACTGGGCATGTGTGTCAGTGTCTCGTACAGAGAGAGGACTGTTGATGATGGACAAAAAGAGTTTTTGCCTTTACACGCACAGCTAGTGTCGGCGGTCTGGTCCTTGGCAGCACGGATCCTGTCCTTGAGGCCATCTGCTTCTCTCCTCGCCGCCGAGATCTTCTCCTGGACTTCAGGCTGGGTCTGGGATGAGGACATGGTGAAGGGTGGGTCGGAGGGGTAGATGGGGTGGTGGATGTGTGATGGGCCGGCTACTGCGGAGACCTGTGGATGCTGCATCATTGATTGATGGGAAATGGGGTGGTAACAAGAGGTCAGTACGAGTGGCGAAGCAGGTAGGGTGTGTGCGTGTGTTTCGAGAGAGAGAGAGAGCGACAGAGGTGAGAATCAAGAGAACAAGAGGAGAGCGAATGTGTAAGCGACCGCCCTGTGTTGTGCGCACACTCGTTGAGAGGCAACGGCTGCTGCTGCTGCTGCTCACCTCTGTGGGCCACTGGGATGGAGGACGATGGGAGACGATGCCCCGAAGGAATCAAGTGCGCCCGAGCAAGGGAGGGGGAAAAGCTCTGCGTGAGGAGGGGGGACGGGGCGGCAGAGGAAGAGGGAGGGAGGGAGGTGTTGCTGAGATCGATGACGACGGAGGGTGGTGCTGGGGGTTGGCGGATGTGGATGGATGCGGATGGGTGTTTGCGCAAGTGGAGAGCTGTTGAATGTGTGATGCCAGGCCCGCAGTGATCACTGGAGGAGCGACGACACAAAGACGAGGACGCGGGTTACCGGGGGGTGTGATGCGTGTGCGTGGTCTGTGCGGTGGCCTAAGCGCGAGCGTGCACGGGTCCGGGGGAGAGGGGATGGGGGGCGTCTGGATGGCGGCGCGTGGGTCGGTGGGGGGAGGGGAGGGAGGTGCTGCAGGCGGCAACAAGGATGGCGAGGAGGACGAGGTGGTGGTGGTGATGGGTGGGTGTGCGAGAATGGGAGTGGAATGGAATGTGTGTGTGTGTGTTGCAACTGGGCTAATGGACGACGAGCTGGTCAGAAAGAACGACGAGAGACGGAGGATTGAGCGACACGAGCAGGCAGCCATGCAGCCACCCCAGGACCGGCCCAGGGCGAGCGACAGGCTGTCCCCCCCCCCCCCACAGCGTTCAGGTGGTGGACGGCATGCACTGCTGCCTGCATGCCTGCCATGCTGCTGCCCACGACCACACGGCGGCGGCGTTGCGGCGGCGGCGGCGGCGGCGGCGGCCGGGGGGAGAATGGCACCCACCGACCCACAAACTGTGTCAGAGCTGCACCCCACCGCAGGGTAAACGAGGGCCGGCCTTTTGCAGGGATGCCAGCGACCAGAAACGCCAGCAGCGAGTACACTCCTTGTGCACACCACCAAAAACTTACACTACTGGGGTTGTTATTGTTCACAGCATGCAAGACGAGGGACAGTTCATCGTGTTGTTGTTGTTGTTGTTGCAACGGAGCGAGCGGTAGGGGGTGAGGCAGGCGGAGGAACAAAAAGTTGGGCATCGCGACCCAAAAGAAGACAAAACCGGGGAGGGCCACACACTACCGACAAAGCACAAAGGCTTTCGGGTGTTTCGGTGTGCTCTCGCTCGCTGTCTCTCTCTCCAACCTTTAGCTTCCCAGCTCCTGCTGCTTCTGCTGCTACTCTCGACTGGCACACCCCCCGGCTGGACACCACAAGGGGTGCCGAGTGCCACCCAGGACGCCACCGTACGCCGCAACCTGTCCCGCAAACCCGGTCTTGGGCAACACAGGCATGCAGGCAGCCGTAGGCCAAGATCTCTATTCCAACATGCCCCCTCTGTACCAATTCCTCAGATCCATCGGACACAACGCACTGCTTGGGCTGCACTGATGCACAGAGAAGAAACCCGGGAACGCTAGAGAGCTACCATACCGGCCATACCATCTCCAACCTGCAACCTGCATCTCCTCGTTCCTGCCCGTCGCCGTTTTTTTATTTTGCCTTGTCCTGGAGCTGGCGCACTGGGGTATCGACCCCTCCGGCCACCGGATGCCGCGATCCTGGCATCCTGGCATCCTGGAGAGGATATACAGGTTTCCTGGGATCCGGCGCGTGTCCTGCAATCGTCTTGTCCTGCAGCCCAGCCAGCCAGCCAGCCCAGCCCACCGCCCACACCCCCACCCCCCGGCCCCAGCCTGTACCGGTGCGTTGTGCCCTGCCTCGGCAGTGCCCAGTGCCCTCTTGGCGACCCAGTAGTTGGCGTGTACCAGAGACCCCAGAGAACTGCCAGAACAACCGTCATTTTCTTGGCGGCAGGTGGGCTGGGAGGTCGCTGCTGCTTGGCTGGGGGCTGAGGGCTGGATTTCCCTCTTCCTTTGCCACATGCCACGGATGGCCCTTTGGTACAGGCCTGACAACACCCACACCCACAGCACCCACCCACAGATGATCCACAGACAGCGTGGCCGTTACGCCGGCGGCCATGGAGTCTGCACCTGTCTGCATCTGCAGGCTACAGTTTGCGTCCGAGTCTCGCTCGAGGGCCGGCCGGGCCATCACTAGGGCCGCCGACGCCATTTGTGGCACACCCCGCGCGCGCGGGCACCCGAAAACACCCCCCCCCCCCCCCCCCAGCGCACGAGCCGCTCGCCGCTCCGCCGGGGGGGGGGGGGCATGTCCTCTCCCTCCTCCCTCCGGCCTCTGGGATGGACATTAGCGGCGGACATGGCCACTTGCGCACCGGGCAGGACAGCGCGCAGTGCGCACGCGCGTTTGTACCGTGCACACCGCTGCGCTGCGGCATGGACGGCCTGCACAATGGCCGCGGCGCAGTCCGAGTCCGGCGGTGCACGGGCTCTGGCCGGAGGGCCCAGCGTCCCGGGCTCGGAGCGGTGTACTGCTCGTCGGCTGCTCGGCATCGTGCACGGTGGACGCTGGCCCCGGATGCGGAGCGCGGGGGTGGGTAGTAACTGGCCAGACTGCAGACTGGCATGGCTGGGCTGTCGGTTGGGCAGCGAAGGTGGACCGCGGAGAGTGGACTCGCCGTTACCGGTGCTCAGCGGATCAATGACTTGGGTCTTCTGTCGGCCACACACGACAAGCGCTGACCCCTCTAGACCTGCACTCGCACTAGACTTGACTGGACTTGACTGGACTTGACTTGACTTGACCCCCGCCCACGCTTTCGCCCACGCCGCTCGCCCACACCCACGCACAAGAAAGGAACACTGACGAGCACGGTGCAGCCGCGGACCTGCGGGTGCAGGAGAGGATAGCGGACAACAAGCGGCCCGTCGCTGCACGGTTTGTTCGTTCGTTCCTCTTGGCGTGGCGCGTCGAGCCTGCGCGTCGAGTCTGCGCGTCGAGTCTGCGTGTCACGTCCGCAGCGGCATTGTCCACGCACCCCCCCACCCCCGCAGTCCAAGGACACGGGCGGGTACACGGGCGCGCGCGGTGCCGATGAACAATAACGCCCAGAGAAACGCCAGAGCAGGTCGCGTGCACTGCACGGCACGGCACGGCGCGGCGCTGCGCTGCACATCCATTCCCACGCCACGGGAGGGGGAGGGACCAGTGACTTGTACGGAGACGTAGAAGCAGACGCAGAAGCCGCAGACACCAACGGCATGTTGGGACCGTGGTGGGTGGGCGTGTGGGTGCGGGCGTGTGGTATCCAAGTGTTCGTGGTAGTGCCACACCCATGTAGACCACTGGCCACTGGTACCATTTGGGTGACTCACGCGTCGATGAGGGAGAGGGGCCGCGTGTCGCACCTGCACGAGGATCGCACGTACGTAGGGAACACGGACCGATGCAGTGTAGACACACACCCCAGCAGCAGAGCGCAGAGCGCAGAGCACCGTCAGGTCCCACCTTTTTCAGGCTTCAGGTGTCTGGCAAAAGGCATGGCATGGCATATCCCCGAGGATCAGGTATATCACCGCCAGGACCCCCACCACACTGCCCGTTCGTGACCCTCTCTCGGCGCCTCGCCGACACCCCTCACACACCCGGCTTGACCTTGGCCCTCGCCGCCGCCGCCGATACCCTCGTTCAGGCCAGCCCTTGTGCCGCTGCCCGCCCCCCCTGCCCGTGGTCGTGGGTGGCTCCAGGTGCGGCGGTGGGAACGAGGAACCGCCACGGACGAGGGAGCGAGGGTGAGGTAGGGGACACGTGAGGCGCGTGAGGATGGCGATATGGCGAACAAAAGGCACGGAGCGTCCGGGGGTGTGTGGCCCGGTGTGGTGAGCATCGCGAGGTGGACAGGCTCGATCACGCTCGATCACCCTTCGATCGTGCGGGGGTTGGGGGGAGGGGGCAAGGATTCTCTGGATCTCCGGCCAGCAGCTAGCTGGCGGCATTCCTTCATTCCTTCATTCCCCTCATCCTTCAGGTCGAGCTCGAGGTCGAGGTCGAACGGGCGAACAAACCCTCAAATCTCCTCAGTCACCTTACCCACCTTACGCATCCCCTCACCGCGCCTTTTCCTGCGTTAGCGTCACGCGCACAGGTTTTTTCTGTCAGCTATCAGCTATCAGCTATCAACTATCAGTACAGTACACTGCTTCAGTAACGGCGCGGCTGGTCGGCCATGGGCCGCGCCCAGCGAGCACGACCAACTGGTGCATTACTCATTAACTATCTTTGAAACGATGGACGAAAAGAAGAAACGAGGGAACGGGGAAACGTGGTGGGGGCTGACGCTTCCCAACGTACCGCCGTTCCCAACTCGAAGAAGAAAAACGACGACTGTTCAAAACACAACACAACACAACACAAAACACACACCGCACGCCTCTCCTCCCCTCCTCCTCCGCAGACATGGCGAAGACGACCACTGCTCGCTGAGCGGGTCGACGCCCGCCACGCCCGGCGAAGGGGGACGCTTCGCACATCCGCAATCTAGAGTGTTTTTTTGGTTTTTTTTTGTCTTTACCGTCTAGACCCAGAGGTGTTGGCAGAGGGAGGGTTTAGAGGACGGCAGCGACCGGCGCCGGCGGCGAGGACGGCGACGAGGCCCGCGGGCGCCGAGAGGCCCATGGCGCCCGCGGCCTTGCTGGTCTCGCCCGCCGCCGCCGAGGTCGCGCTCGAGCCCGCTCCCGTGGCGCTGCCCGACGAGCCGCCTGCAGCCGTGTTGCTGCCGCCCGTGGTCGGGGACGCGCTGCCGGCCGTGTTCTCGGTCGCCGAGCCGCTGCCGCCCGTGCCCGTGGCAGTGCCGGCGGCCGCGCCGCCGGTCTCGTTACCGCTGCCGCCGCCCGTGGCCGCGGGCCGCGAGCGACGTGGCGGTCGCGTTGAGGCAGTCGGTGTTCGCGCCGGCCTGGATGACCAGGGGGGCAGAGTAGACGACGGCACCGGTCGAGTCGCGCAGCGCGAGGGTAATGTTCGTGTTGGCGGCGAGGTTGACGTTCCACGTGTACGACGTCTCCGAGGCGCCGTCGACGAGGTACTCGATGGGCGTGGCGGCGACCTGGCCAGCGGGGATGACCGAGCTGTGCGGGGGTCAGTTTGGTGTCCGTGGGGGGTAAGTGGTCATGTGGGAGTGGTGCTGTGGGCGCGTGGTGGGCGACTGGGTGGTGGTCGTGGTGGGTGGGCATCGCCCCCCCTTCCATAGAACACGCCCAATGCCAGCCTCTTTCGATGGGGATCTCGGCGACACGAGCAGCGAGCACCTGTCCAACGATGCCCACCGATGGACTATATATGGATCTGTGGGCTGTGCCCATCCCCATGATCCTGCCCATCTCACACGCTTGGGCGCGTAGTGTCGGGCATGTTGCGTTGGCAACCGCGTCACCCCCCCGCCCCCCAATCCGCAGCAGCGGCGGTGCGCGCCAAGACAGCCAATGCAAGCTGCCATGGACCCACCCACACATTGGATCTAGGGGTACGCCCGGAATCCCACACCACAAGGGACCGCAACGAGGAGGGACGAAGAGGACGAAGAGGACAAGAGAACACGAAGAAAGAATGAAGACTCACACAAAGTACGGCGCCGTGCCGCCGGTCCAGGTGACAGCCGCGGGCTCTGGGGTACGTCAGCGGGGGTTGTCCCGGAGATTATATCACCCGCTCATACTCACGGCACACGATGATGGACGCCTGTACGTGGGTGGGGGGTCAATGACGACCCGCAGCATATGCACAGCAGCAGCAGCGAAGATACATGGCGGATGCAGGGAAACCCAGTGGCGAGTGGGCGAGCGTACGCAGGGTGGCGTTGTTGGGCGTGGGGTAGGGGGGTGTGGGGAAACCAGTGGTCAGCCAGCTCGTCACACTCTGGGACACACAGCCACAACGACGGCACACAAACGTACGGGAGTGTTGATGGTCATGGTGCTCTGCGCGAGCGCCACAAAGGCCATGACGGTGGCGGTGGTGAAGCCCTTGATCATCATCTTGGATGGGGGTTGTGCTTTGGGTGAGGGGCGGGGGATGAAAGGAGATGAGATGAAAGATAGGAAGAGAATGGGGGGTGCGACTATATGGGTGGTGGGCTATTTCAGTGTGGCTCGTTGCAGAGAGAGCCCAGCTGTGCCCAGCTCGCCCAGCGAAACCGTCGCAAGCACGTCCCGGGCGGGGGGGGGGGGCAGCCAGGGGAACGTGTGGGCCAGATACGCAGAGGACAGGCGCTGTGCGGGGGCGGGCGAGCAGGAGGATGCGGCGGGGGGGTGGGGGCACGCACGGCACGCTTTGTTGCCAGTTGGGCTGGTCGTTGCTGCTGGAAACATGGGCATTCTAGCGCGCATCATCGTCTGGCGCGTGCGTGACTGCGCATCCCGAATGTAATGTCCCAGCAAAACCGTCCCTGGCAGCCCCCCCCCCCCCATCTCGCACTTGCGTCGCAACGTACGCGCCCAGAGAGCAGGGGGTGCGCGGGGGTGTGCGACATGCCCGCGGCTGGCTGGTCGGGTCGTTGCAACAGTGGTCGTTGCTCTTGCTCTGCCCCGGTACCGGGCGCCTCTTCGATCTTGCCATTGTTTCTCTTCTGCCTCTCCGGTCCATTTTCCCACATGTCACACGCCCCCCCTCTAGGCCTCTCTAGGCCTCTCTTCGGCCTCCTCCTGGAACCTTGGGAGCAGCGAGAGCATGTGGGTGTACATGCGGCCGCCCAGTGGGAGGCTGCGTCTGCCCCATTGCCCCTGTACAATGGCCCCTCATGTCGCCATGTTCCTCTCACTCTTGCCGTCCCCCGTGTAAACGACGAGGACCACATCAGTCGCGGATTCTGGTGTGCCTCCGCCGTAGAGAGAGAGTATTCACGGCTCTGCCACAAGCCACAGCAGTGAGGAGAGCTGTGGCGCCCGTATTCCAGCAGATGCTTTGAGGCAAGTCATGTTCTGCCAGTGTAAGTAATGTTCTGCCAGTGTATATGTGCACAAGAGTGTTGGCACAGTTGGTAACCATGCCCACTGCAGACGATGCAAGCTGCAATGTACGCAATGTCCATTGAACGCACGCGCGTGAAATCTGAAACTCAACTCACATCGGGACGATCGGGTTTGTCTCAACGCTGACGAGAGACACCGGCACGCACTCATTCGGCCCACTCGGCGCCCGTGTCTCTCATCTCTCACCTGCACTTCACTTCACACTGCGGATCACTGGATCACTGCCTCGCGGCTGCGCACTTATGCCAAGCTTCACAAGGCTCTCCATAGCGCGCCATAGCCCATAGCACATAGCGCGAAGAAGCCCATACCATAGCGCGAGTGTGGGCTCTGGGCTCTGGGTAAGAGGCGGCGGCTGCCAAGAGCCACGAACACAACCCTCAGCCCCATGTACGTATACATCGCCCTCTTTCTCCCCCGCTGGGCCCCCCTCCGGCCTCCGCCGCCGCAGCCCTGCCCCCCCAAGGCAAACTCAATCGCCTGGTCCCACGGATATCTCATCCACCAGCACCGCCTACCTGCTGCGCAAATGGGTAGTGTGGCTACATTGCGTCGCCCTCTGGCCACAGAGATCCCACAGACCCAGAGACCAGAGGCCAGAGGCGACCTCTATACCCCGCTGCCCATTTGGGGCCGATTTCAGGGGGCAGCGGTTGTTTTTCCGGGGACCGAAAGGCGACACGCCTCCTTCAGAGAGAGACAGAGGTACAGAGGAGAGCCTCTGGCTTTCAATGTCCAATGTCACCCCCCCGTTCTCTCTCTCGGTATTCCATTCGACTAAAAGTGGAGGGAGGCAGTGCAGAAACGACGTCACGACAATGGGAACGCACAGATGAATGACGTCGCCGCTACTCAATGGGTGGGTGCAACGTGGTGACCCCGCCAGCCAGCCCCTGCAAAAAGCCCTTGCCGCGTCGGCCATGTGCGCCTGTCTCATGTCATGTCATGTCCGAGCTGCCGGGCCTTTGGCCTTTGGGCTGGACGAGATGAGATGGCGTGACACCCTATATCATCCCACTGACACTGTCGTGGTGACCGACAATGCGCAAGGCACGCAGGCAGCGTATGGCGCCTTTTGGCCGAAATTCCTATTGAGCTCTATTGAGGACCACCCAACCAGCTACAGCAGCCATTGGACCAACTTGGTCCTCTGCTGACGAGGACCGGCTTAGACACTGGATCCCGCGCTGCTGAAAGTGGTGGCCGGCGCCGAGAGCCACCGGCACGCTCTGCAACGTGCAATTCGTGGCGATTGCGGTACCTCGGGCCTCGTGTGCATATATACCCGCCCGCGTCCGAAACATCAAGGCGAGAGCGTTCATGATTTTCCTTCCATCGGGCTCTGAATCTCTAGATTAGGGAAACGGGCATGCAAGGCCCCGACAAGACTGTGGCCTGTGGCGAGAAGACCTATCGCCGCATGCTACCTGCCACTTGCCACCTGCCACTTGCCACTTGCAGTCGACAGCAGTACAGCCACAGCGAGCTCTGAACCCCCGCACTGCCACATTCTGCTGCGATCGCCACCGGCAACAAGGGACGTAGGACTAGGGCAAGGGTGAGGGACCGAAGAGGCCTGGGCTATGAGAGTCAGTCCACTACCACCACTTGCAGAACAACGACATGGACATGAGATGGACCGGGAGTGTGAACTCGGTGGAGTGGGGGGTTGCAATGGCGACGACCAGTTGAGCTGGGGCGTCATCGGGAATCAACGGTAACCAACTGCTTTTGGATTCAGCTAATCTGTCCTTGCCCCGAACGACGTAGCCAGAGTATGCTTCATTGGGCCATTGGGGAGGAGGGGACACGTGGGTTATGATACAGTACTACATGGCGGTACATGAGATTTGTGAGATTTGCCCAGAGTGGGTTGGGACTCCAGCCACTGCCTGCCACCTGGAGGGGCGGGGAAACATGCCACTCCGGGCCGACGTCACGTGACTGATATGTGCGCGCACTCACGATTAAATGCCGTGTTGTCTATCCCCTACGTGTTATTTCTTATCGGGGCGGGAGTATATGTATCACAATCCCATTCCGCCGCACGCGCCCGGGCCGGCTGATGTCTCTCTTGCCTTCCCTCTCGTCGCGCGCTCGGGCGCCGTGGTGGGCGGACGAGTCCTCGTTTGTTCGCTGGATGCTGGGTTACTGGAATTCCACAATCCCTGTGTCTCTCTCTCTGCCCACCTTTTCAGCCTCGGTATCGCGCGCACAGCAGCAGACAGGGAAGAGGTTGTCGAAAGACGAAGCAGAAGCAGAAGACGACGACGACGACGCGGAGGACAGAGTCTGCAAACCAGCAAGTGATAGCGTGTTGCATAAGCTTCGTTCGTGAGTACAGATTGGTCAGAGACGCGGCGACTCAGTCAGCAACCCGTGGGGTTGCCGAGACACAGGACAAGAGCGCACACACGGCCAACGCCGACCGGAACGACCGAGTCGACGGTGTGGGGGGGAGGGGAGGGGTTACTCGTCGTGTTCTGTGCAGGCCTTACCTGAGCGACTCCACCTGAAGCCCCGCGTCCTGAGGGCTGAGGCGCTCAAGAGCCCGAACCCGAAGTCGACGCGGAGAGAGACGAAGAAGGGGGAGAGAGGGGGAGTGTTCGGAGCAACGAAAGCGACAGCGAAGACCCCCGCCGGGCTGATCCCTTTCACCCAGATCTCACTCAACCACCACCACCACCCACCACCAAAGATTGGACCGACCACCCGAGGGAAAGCAAATATCCCACACACCCGCTCAAACCGCTGTTAGAAACCAGACACATTAGCAAAACCGACCATTGGGCGTTGAGAAATAATTACCATGTTGTAAGCACGACTATCCTGCACCCCATCCCTCTCCATCCCCATCCCCATCCCCTCCCCCTCCCCATCACCCATCCCCACTTCCCCACCGCCCTCGACCTTGCCCTTCCTATCTCCACTCTCCCAACAACGCTCTTCCCCCCCGTCTGGCGGTTCCCCGGCAATGTGGTATCTGACACTCAGCGCGGCAGCTTCCATCCCCGGATCGAGGCAAGGGTGCTTCAAGTAGGTGGCCATGTCGTGGTGGGCATTGCTGACGGAACAGGTGTGGTAACCGTGAGTGCTCTCCACATCTCATCTGCGCGTCGCGTGCACGCGACCACGACCACGACCACGGCCACACAACCGCCCATACACACACAGCGCGCACACACACACACACACACACACGACCTAGCCTTTACCTTTACTGACACCCATCTCCAGTCGGCCACATTGCCGAAAACTGCCAGTCGCCCGCGCGCCTATGCTACAACTGCAGGGAAGCAGGCCACGAGTCGACAAACTGCCCGCGCCCGCGCACCACCGACGGCAAGCAGTGCTACGCGTGCGGCGGCGTCGGACACGTCAAGGCCGACTGCCCCTCCTTGCGCGGCGCGCTCATGGGCGGCCTCGGCATGGGTGGCGGCATGGGCTCGGGCATGGGAATGGGAGGGGGTGGTGGTGGTGTTGGTGGTGGTGGCGGGCTGGGCGGCGGTGCTGGCGGCGGCGCGGGCATGGGCGGCCTCGGCGGCATGGGCGGCGGCATGGGCTTTGGCGGGGCACAGAAGTGCTACCAGTGCGGCCGCCCGGGCCACATTGCTCGCATGTGTCCCGCTGGAGGCCGCCCGCGCGGCGCGTTCGCGGCGGGCTTTGCTCGGCCCCGCGTATCCAACCCGGACGGCACCCCCGTCAAGTGCTAGTGAGTACGAGAAAGGTGTGGCAGCGGGGGAGACGGGGCAGAGGGCCGGCGAGGGGCCGGCGGGCAGTGGGCACGCGGACACCGTCGTCGGACCTGTTCGCGGGACACCAAGTGTGCGCGGGGCGGTCGTGCCACGGAGCGATCGGCCCGGCCACCATGTCGGTTTTGGTGTCTCACGCCGCGTTTCCTGCCCTCTTACACATCACATCGCTCGTATTGGGTGATGGCGATCAGCTTGGACCACAGGGCTGCGGCGCAGCCCCAACCCGCGGCACAGCGATGCGTTTGCGTTCGGTGATGCTGGACACTATCGCTCAAGAGCGGGCGTGTGCTCTGCACGCGTCTGCTCCGTGCTCCGTCCCTGGGGCTGTGGGGTCAACTGAGGCATGGAACCTGAAGGCTGCCATCCACATCCAGAGGAGAGGGGTCACACGAGTCCCACTTTACTGACTCATCGCAGCCGGTGCAACGGCGACAACCACCTGGCGCGCGACTGTCTCGCACCGCGGGACGACTCGGCGAAGAAGTGCTACAAGTGCAGCGAGACGGGCCACATTGCACGGTGAGCAGAGGCTGTGGCTGGCTGTGGCTGTCAAGGGCAGAGCGCGCAGATGGGAACCGCTTTTGTGACCATCTGGCGACTGTCCCGACATCCAGCTAGTCTCCTCGTCCCAAGCTGACTCGCTCCCCAGTGACTGCCCCGTGAACAACGACGACCTTCCGACCGCCGAGTAATATCGACTAGAGACCATCCATCTCCCCCTTCCCCCTCCCCCTCCCCTCCTCCTCGTTATTGGTATTGTAGACCGCATGAATCCTTGGGCCTTGGGCATAATGTGTGCTTGCCCTTCTTGTCATAACACAAAACTGCCACTGGCAGCTCAGCTTGCTGCAGCTGCTGCGTCCCGAGCTGGGTCCGAGACCGATCTGATTGCCGTCGGTGTGTGTCGGTTTTCTGCGCGCGCGCGCTGGAAATGAAACGTCCACCAGTCCGACCCCCCTCCGCGCTCCGCGTCCGCTCCGTCTGGTTCAGGCCCCCCTGTCCGACACACACCTCGGTGACACTGCCAGCGGGGCCAGCGTATCGCGTCTACGTCTATCGTCTGCAACCCCCTACACATCCCCAGAAACATGGGTCCCGACGCACGGACATGGCCGGCGTGGATCCAATAATGGGGAATTTGTGGCGGCCACACACGCGCCGAGGTCTCCCAGTCGGCCAGCCGTTCCGGACGTTGCGGTAACGGACTTGCTCCTTTCGTGCTCCTCCCCTGTTGCCGCTTTGGCGCTATGGTGACAAGTTGCGCATCTCGCTCCCCCGGCTCCGCGCCCACGAATTATAGCTGTTTACATTGGGGACATTTTTCCTCGCGGGACCGGTAAATCTCTTGCTCTTGCTCTGGCTCGCACGCACGCCCCTCCTTCTACCGCCACGGTGTCCGCCGTTTTCTTGCGGAATATCCCCCAGCCGCCAGCCTGCGGGATCCAGTGCTCAGTGCATCAGTCTGTCCGCTTGAGGTAGCCGGGTGGACGGAGGCACGGGAGGGCGGCGTGGAGAGAGGCGGCACACGACCGGGGCCGAGCCTGAGCCGCAGCCTCGGAACGACGGCGGGCGTCCCTCGGAACTCTGGCCACGCTCGGAATGGACGTATCCTGCCTTTGTCTGCACTACACACATGGCCACAGCGGCCGTGGCGATAAAAGTAGACTACTCGATACATTTTTTGTCTGTCTGGCGTGCAAAGACAGGAGCAAGGCCTTACTTAGACGCCGACATACGCCCTCACCCACTCGCCCAGCGTCTCGTCGACGCCGCGGCCGATGAAGACAATCTTGGGCCGGGGCTCAGCCCCACCCGCACCAGCACCGGCACCAGCACCAGCATTCGCAGTAGGATCCAACGTGCGTACCTCGAACAAGTCGGCCACACCTTGTATCACGCGCGCACTGCCGTCGGCGAGCACGGCGTACCCCTTCGTCCTGAGGATATCGGGCGTGGCGCCCTCCCACGCCTTGCCGCCGGGCAAGGTGGGCACGGTGCCGTTCCACAGGAGGCTCTCGAGGAACGCGTTCAGACGCTCAAACTTGTCTGTCGGGAGGGTGGGGAGGTGGACGGTGATGGTCGAGACGGTGTTGGGGCCCTTCATGCCGTGAGCGTGGGCGTGGGTGTGGGCATGGTCGTCCTCGGCGCAGCACGCCTCGGGCTCCGGGAGGGCAGCCACGGCCGGCGACGTGAACGCGCGCAGGTCGAAGAGTTCCGCAAGCCTCACGTTTCCGCGTACAGTGCGGTGGACCCGGAGCGTAGAGTTGACGTCCGCCACGGCCGCCGCGACGTTGTCGAGTTCTGCCGCGGGCACGAGGTCGGCCTTGTTGAGCAGAATGACGTCGGCGCACGCGACTTGCTTTTGGGCCTCGTTGGGAGCGCCGTCTTCGCGCTCTTCGGCCAGTTGCTGGGGGGTTAGGTTGACTGCTATGGCGTGGCTCGAAGACCTACCTTCAACACATTCCGCGAGTCGACCACACAAATGACGCTGTCGAGGACCAGGTCGCCCATCTCCTCGTTGGCCCAAAAGTCCTTGGCGATGGGTGCTGGAGAGTCAGTTCTGGTGTATAGAGTCATTCAGTGTCACCAGTCACTCACCAGGATCCGCCAGGCCAGTGAGCTCGACCACGACCCAGTCAATCTTGTCGCGCTGGGACGCAACCATGTCCTCAATTGCCGCGATGCCCATGTCCTTGACGCTGCAGCACAAACAGCCGTTGGGGAGGGCCAGTAGGGACGAGGAGGGAGCATTGGGGTCAGACGGGTTTGAGAGCTGAAGTGATTTGGCTAGGGTATGCGTATCAGCTGGGGTCTTTGCAGAGGGAGGCAACAGCGGTACCCACCTTCAATGTCTGTTGTGTCTCCAAAATCATTCATACAGACAGCGATGCGATATCCATGCTCGGCCGTGAGAATGTACCTGCAAGTTAGCAGGTCTAATGGCCCCATTTGTACACATACTCTAGCAATGTACTCTTGCCGGCGCCGAGGTATCCTGTCAGCAACGTAATGGGCACCTTTGGCCGCTCAAGCGGCCGGCCAGCCGCGTCAAAGTTGGTGTCGGCCACAAGCAGCCTGGAGCGAGTGTCAGTTCGTTCCAAAAGTAAACTGTAAGAAGAACTCACTGTGGCACGTCGTCGTCGTCCATCTGGAGCATTGTCAATGAGGAATGAGAGGATTGTGGGTTGGGAACATTGCTCGTAACGAAGTGTGGTTGTGGATCTTTGTCTTGGTGAGTGTGGGGCCCACTCGGGCGGAACTAAAACGGAGGCAAAAAGTCGGATGAACTCATGGCCCGCGATATCAGCGCGAGCGAGAGCCACCGACTTGCGAGTCGACAACATACATTGCACCATCGAGACAACAGCTGCGACACCATGAGGCCCACGCAGCGCCTTCTTCTCGGTATCCCGCGTACAGTGCGGTCGATTCTCGTCAACTCGGTCGCGGCCACTGCCAACGCTACTGCCTCGTCCTCCACCGCTGCGCTGCCGACCGCACCTGCTCCTCCTGCCGACGACGTCACTGTGCACGGCTGGGTCCAATCCGTTCGCGCGCACAAGAACGTCGCGTTTGCCGAGGTCGGTGATGGAAGCGGAGAGGAGATCCAGGCCGTCTTGAAGGGCAAGGGACGCGCCGAAGGGTGAGTCGTGTAGAGGCTGTTCATATGGTCGGTGGGACCACCGCAGCCAACTTGCACTGAACTCCCGCTGACATGCCCAGACTTTCTGCCGGTACCGCTGTCCGACTGACCGGTACGATCAAGCCATCCCGCGGCGCAGGCCAGGCTGTCGAGCTCGCCGTGTCCGAGTGCGAGGTCCTCGGACCATGTGACCCCGAAACGTATCCAGTCCAGAAGAAGGCGCTCCCTGCGGCCGTGCTGCGCGAGTACGCGCACCTGCGTTTCCGTACAGGATACACCACGTCGGCTATGCGTGTGCGAGACGCGCTGGCACGCGACTGGCATGATTGGCTCGAGGTGAGTGTTACGGGTTCCGAGGTGTAACTTAGTCGTGGCACCTCGCCCCACATCCCCGTGCCACTCTCGCGTAACAACTGCTAATATCCAGGACAACGAGTTTGTTCACATCCACACCCCGATCCTCACGTCGTCCGACTGCGAAGGCGCCGGCGAAGTCTTCACCGTTGCCCAGTCTCTTCCGGCCCCAGCTGCCCCCGTTACCACTCCGGCCACGCCTCCCCCACCACCACCGTTCTTCCCCCGTCCCGTCAACTTGACCGTCTCTGGCCAACTGCACCTCGAGGCCCCCACCCATGCCCTCGCACGCACGTACACGCTGTCGCCGTGTTTCCGCGCCGAGCCCTCGCAGACATCGCGTCACCTGGCCGAGTTTTACATGCTCGAGGCCGAAGTCGCGTTCGTGAGCTCCCTGCCGGAACTGTGTGATGTCGTCGAGGCCGGCGTGAGGGGCACCCTCGAGATGCTGCTGTACGGCGAGTCCCCGCGCTGGGTGCGTGCGCGGGCGGACATTGTGCGCATGGCGCAGCTCGCTGCGGCCGCGGCAGCTGAGAATGGACCCGAGGACGGCGAGCCCGCGCCCGCGGCTCCCTCCACTCCCGAGGAGGCCATGGAACACCTCTACACGGCCGCCAACGAGCCCTTTGCGCGCATCTCGTACACGGACGCCGTGGCAGTCTTGCAGACCGAGCACGCCGCAGCGCCATTCCTCATCGAGCCCAAGTGGGAGGACGGCCTCGCGAGCGAGCACGAAAAGTGGCTGGCGGGCGTGTACTTTGGTCGCCCGACGTTTGTCACAGACTACCCGGCGTTCCAAAAGCCCTTCTACATGCTCCCCTCGGACGCCACGTCGCAGCCTGTCGCGTCTACCCACCCTGCTCCGGGACCTACAGTCGCGGCGTTTGACCTCCTGTTCCCGGGCATTGGCGAGATGGCCGGCGGCTCGCTCCGCGAACACCGCCTGGACCACTTGACCGCCGCAATCGACAAGGCGGGGCTGCAGGCAGACGAGTATACCTGGTACACGGACCTGCGGCGCTTCGGATCCGTGCCCCACGGCGGATGGGGGATGGGCTGGGAGCGCTGGGTTATCTGGGTCACCCAGGCCGCCAACGTGAGGGACGTGGTCGCGTTCCCCCGCTGGGCGGGCAGCTGCCGTTTCTGAGCGAGCGCGCAAAGTCGCGGCGAGGCGGGGTCACGACTGGGGACTTCACCACTCTCATTAGATCTCATCCTACTAGCATAGACATGTGGTACTGTACGCTCCGTTGCAGATGTACACCTCCAAAGGGTCAACTGTGCATATCATCTAGATCATCTCCTCTACGGCCCGATCCGGGCAGCCTCTCTGCGCAACGAAGCGACATGTGTCGTGACCGGCACGCCGTGCGCCGTGCGCCGTGCGCCGCAAAGTGTGGCGCATAAGTGGACAAAAAAAATGGCCGCCGCGTGTCGTGGGGTTGGATATCCACGGCTGACAAAAGACGAGCACAACTGGGTGGCGCAGCCTGGCAGCTCCTGTCATGTACATACTACTGTACGTGCCTCGCTGTACTACTGCCCGCCGGCGCCAACGAAGCGCCAGAGGAAATGTGCTTGCCAGAAGGAAGAGATGGCAATACAAATGCAGCGGTACAGCGCCGGCCGGATGTTGGCCAGCCGGGACGAGACGAGACGAAATGAGCCTAGACGAGCGTAGATGAGGTAGGTCAAAAGAGGCGCCGTACAACCCTCGTGCCGTGCCGAGGCGTCTTGCGGCTGCCGGCTGGGCCTCTGGGCAGCTGTGGTTCTGTCCTGCCTGGTTGCCTTGTTCAGCGTAACAGAAAGAAACAAAGTTCAACACTAGAACCAGAGAACCGGTCGCGTCACGGTGGTAGGGCTGTGCAGGTACCTCTTATGTACCACAATGTACCCCTACCAGTGGGCCCCATGTCCTCGTCTCTTCTTTTGTCTTCGCTGCATGTTACCACGCACAGAGCCATACGCGGCCACTCGGCGGCCAGCACGAAAAGCCGAAAGCCGCAAATGTGGCCAGGCCAGTGAACAGTGCACTGCCAACATCTTTTCCACCTGCTCCATGCCACGATGACGCAGGCGACGCAGGTGACGCAAGGCGCACGGCGCCGATCATGAACCCCCCCACCTCACATTCCTGGCGCGCGCATCACACACACTCGGCCGCGACGCGGTGGGTCAGTAGCAGCCATCAGTAGCCATTAGTAAAGATCCTCTCCACGCGCCGATCCCATCTCGTACGAGACGAGCCTGTGGCCTGTGGGCTCGTTGGCACAGGTATATCTACATCCACATCAAATCTGGGGTCAGAGAGCTCTACCTATTTGCTGCGAGGCGCAGGCAGGTCCTGCGCGGCGGGCACCGGGGGGGAGGGGCTGTTGGATATAGTAATTAAAACAACACCGGCGCGCGCGCGCGCGCGAGAAACATGCCAGAGTCGGGGCAGCGAACAGTATCCGTATATTTCAGCGGGCGTAAAGGCGTGGGCTGAGTGAGAGATAGAAAGAGAGAGGAGAAAGGAAAGCAATTATTAATAGCACTTCACTTGGCCCTTTTTGTTTCTGTCTCTCACCGCGCATGTTTCATGCCCGCTGTAGAAACCGGGGTGTGGGTCGGCGGAGGGGAGGAGGAAAGGGGTGGGGATGTTGGCAGAAAAGAGATGGAGAGGGACGAGGACAGGTCTACTGGTCCTCGGCCTGGGCGGCACGCTGCTCGGCACGCTTCTTGGCGGCGGCAACGGCCTCCTCCGCCTCCTTCTGGTTGTCGATCCAGCGGAAGGTCGTAGGCGGGTACTTTGTTTGGCTGGCAGCCTCGGCGTCGGCGAACCAGAACACAAGTCCGGGAGCACTGTTAGGGAGATGTGGTTAGTAGCGAAAAACGAATCTCGGGGTGGCTCCGGAGGCGTCGAACACAAGGTACTCACGCGGGGCGCACGCGCGAGCAAGGGAGACCAGTCTCGGGCTCGTCCAGAACCGTGTGCAGCAGCTCGGCCTTTTCGGGGCCCGAGACAACGAAGACGGCGCGGTAGCAGTGGGTGAGGACAGGGATGCTGTGGGTGTGGGTCAGCATAGGGTGTACCGGAAATGGGAGCACAACCGTCCGTGCACACACGGATGGCCCCGGACAAGGTGACCACTCACGTCATGGTGATACGACGGGGGGGTCCGTTGGGGGCATCGTCGAGAGAAGTGACCCATGCGTCGCGCTCGGACAGCACCTCGGATCCTGGGAACAGCGAGCACGTCTCGCCGACGGAGCCCATACCGAGGAGCATGAGGTCAAAGGTAGGGTAGCGGGCGGCGTTGGCGGCGGCAAACTGGTTGACAAGCTGCTTCTCATAGTCGTCTGCCAGCTCCTCGAGGTCGTTGAGGTACTCGGTGTTGATCGTGTGAATCTGCTTGGGGGGGATTGGGACATGCTGGAGGAACGAGACGTAGTTGGAGTGGTAGTTTGAGTCCTCCGATTCGAGCGGCACTGCACGCTCGTCACAGAAGAAGATCTCCCTGAATACACGTCAGTGGGTCGCATCCTTTGTCCTCGTCATGTTCCCCGCCGTTGCCTTGCCACGCACCACTTGTCCCACTGCACGTTCTCCTGGCCGGCCAGGCCACGGAGGTTGGCCGCCAGCGAACCACCAGACAGCGCAAGCGTAAACTTGCCGCGCTTGTCGACGGCGTCGCGCTGCGCCTTGATCACAAAGTTGGCAAGCGAGTCTGTAGTCCCATGTTAGCACCATGTACCAAATCAAGTATGCGTAGGCTGCAGGGCAAAGGTGTATATCCCAGACGGCGCAGGTCAAGACGCCCGCGGCCGAGTGGAGGAAAAAAAAAACGACATTTACGTCGACGCTCCGACTCGGGTGGCCAGAGAAGCGCCGCGCGTGACGACACTGCGACGCCGTTGGTTGAGCCATACTCACCGACAAGGGTCTCATTGTCCTTGAACGAGTAGAAGACGGGAGGGGCGGGGGGTGGGGGAGGCATGGTGGACAAGAAAGAGGTGGGGGGGAGGGGATGTGGTGGTCTAACGGCGGCGAAGAGTGTTGCCGAGACCGGGTTGGATGGATGGAGTAGTGGTTGAGAGGGGGGCCAGAGAGAGAGGTTGGTGGGTGTGGGAAGGCGCGGAAGACGGTGTGCGGTGGGTGGTTGAGATAGCGTGCGGTCCAAAGGGTGACCGTGGGAGGGTGGCGCTGGGGTGAGGGACTCGTTCCGGGGTGGGTGAGTGGGTGAGGCGGGGGCGGTGGGTACGACAGCAACGGCGAGCGTGGGGCGAGTGGAGGGGGTAGTGGTGCGAGGGTCCCAGTGGATGTGGATGTGGAAGAATGAGTGAATGAGAGAGAGAGAGAGAGAGGAACAGACGAAAGAAGGAAGATGTGGGAGAGCATCATCGCCCACCTCTTCTTGGGTGGTGACGTCGAGGCCACACACCAGCGGGGGAAGGGTGACCACAGCACTGGGAACAGATTACCGCTTTGGGCAACATGACGACGGCTCCGTCACCCGCCCAGACCGTGGTCCAACACAAAGTCTGCCATTTCAGTCAACCACAAACCCATCGACCACCACAAAAACAACCACCACAACCACCACCACGCATATCCGACCATGGCTAACGGACAAATCATGTGGGGACGGTACGTATTTGTCTCGTGGATCCACCGTCTGGCACTGTTCCGTGCATGCACATGGCGACCATGCCTCGTTGCCGATACCGGCCAAGACCGCTCCAGGAGCACCTTGCCGTCTTCCTCCTGTCCACCTCGCTGAACACCCGCTGACTCGCTGCCCAGGTTCCTCGTCGCCTCGTCGCTTCGTAAGGCCAATGACATGGAATACAACTGACCCTTTAAGTTATGGGCGCGGCATACACATTGATGGCTAGTGAGCTACACGATCAATGTCGACCTTACATGAGCTGACCCTCAGCGACCACCCCTACCGAGGAGGAGTTTTACAACGTACGTCGCGGTCCAGGATGGGGTACTGCCTCTCGTCGCGGGATCCAAGACCCTGCCTTGACAATGTCGTGTTGCTGACCACCGCTTCCTTCTCCTCGCTCGATCCATCGCGCCTTCCCTCCGGCATCTTCATCTCTCATGTCCAACATTCCCGTGGTATTCACATCTACAGCGTCTCTCGCCCGACCTCAAGGCCAAGGTCGACGCCGTCCGTGCCCAGCGCGCGGGCATGAGCCAGCCTGTCAAGGAGGCCATCCAGGTGTGTACCCGCCGTACCGCACCCGCACCCGCACACGTCCTCGCTGCGTTCCATCTGGGGCGCGAGTGTCCTGCTGCATGTGGGCAAAAACAACAGCAGGAAACATGACCCGCCCCCATGATGCGAAAGCACGGAACGGACCTACCAGTTGCAGCTACCTGTTCCACGCGCTCGGAATCGCGCAGACCCGTACACATGCTGACGAAAACCGCAGTCTGCTGGCGACGACGAGCGCGTCGTGTGGGCCGACGACCTCAAGAAGGCAAAGTAGAGGCGCACACCGTCTTCCTTCCCTCCCTCCCCCCTCCCCCCTCCCATACCACTGTACAGTTTAGACCTCTCCCCCTGTTCCCCGTCTTGGCACTCACCTATCGCAATCCATACATCACACACACTACTCGAGAGATCCCGGGACACATGCACGCACTTTTGCATTGTAGCTGTTTGGGAGGTGGGAGGTGGGAAGATGGGAGATGGGACGTGGGCGCGCGGTGCAGAGCGCGTTTGGTTCCAACGAAACGGCGCGGGTTGGTCGAATAGGAGAAACAGAGCAGTGTGACTGGCCATGACTGGGCCACAAGAGTGGCAGCCGCCAGCGGACTACATGGGAGATCATGTGAGACCAGACCTGCGGCACTCCCATGTAGCAATTGCCACAGGGTCGCAGGATCTACGGCCTCCCAGTGAATGATGTCAATGTGTCTCAGACCTCCAGTCCTGGGGTTCCGAGGCCCACCCACGGTTCACACCGTCGTTCACACCATCGACGCTGACGCTTCTAGTGACAAAATGCATACTATGATGTTGGGGATTCGATGGCTGGTGGTGATACACAGTACAAAAGGCAAGGGGCAAGGTGAAGGAAGGAGGTGTGGTCGGTGGGTGGTTTTTTAAAACTAAAGTGTCTGTAACCTGGAGCCAACAAGGGACCACCACCATCTGTTTTGCGGACGCAGATCCAAGGACGGCAGCGAGACTGAATAGGTGGGAAGCGCTGGGAGATACCGGAGGCGGACTCGATCAGTTCAGTCGACACAAAAACGGGTGGCAAGCGGTGGTCTATGGCCGGTAGTAGAGACGGTCTCTCTGGTACTGGCTTGGCCGCGGTGGGGTTGCGGTTGGCTTAAAAGAAGATCGGACGGGGACAAGGCTGGTCGCCTGCTTTGCACACTGCGAAACGCGAGTCGACGCGGCCCTTCTCCTCCTGCGGGGCATGTCAGTTGAGCGGCTCGGGTGTAACGCGTTCGTGAGCTGCCTGTCGTCTTGGACCGACCCACACTTACCTCGGTCAAGGGCCCGCACACGTCCGGGTGGCAGGGAAAGTATTCTCCATTAACGCGGGTGTATGCTGTCTCGTACAGCCTCTGGAGACGAGCTGCCAGGGCGGGGTTGGACGGCGCGCAGACTGTACTTGTCAGTTGCGCTCCAGGTTGACTCCACTCACTGTCCGTGACTTGCTTGGCCCACATAAAGTACGCCTGGATACGGCGCACGCCCCACCCGACCGGCGGGGATCGGCGGATACTCTCGAGGTTATGCAGCTTGCTGCAAACGTGTGTCAACAGGCATGGCAGATGACGAATTTCCCACGGGGGCCAAGCCACCACTCACTCTGCAAGCTTGACCTGCTGCGCCTCGGGACTCTTGAGCGGGGCCGTACGCAGCTGCTCGAGCTTGCGCTCGGGGCCAGCCAGCTCGACATTGTCCGTACATTCAGCAACGATCGTGGCCACCTTGACGCCAAAGGCGTGTGCAATCTCCTCTGCCCATTGTGTCAGTGATACAGGTCCACCAGGCGGGAGGGCCGCGGCCTGTGTGTAGCGACGATGGGCGCCTGTACACGTGCAAAACTTACCAACAGTGGTGTGCGTGTCCTCGACAGTGTCATGGAGCACGGCAGCTTGGAGAATAGCAATGTCCATCACGCCTGCCGATGACAGAATGTTGGCGACTCCCTGCTTTGTCAGTTACATTCCAAGACCGATATGAGCGGCTCAACTGACAATGGGGTGGTTGATGTATGGGGTCTGGTCGAGGTCCTTGCGTCGCTGGCATTGGTGTTTCTGGCCCAGTCAGCAACTCAGCAACAACGAGGAATGATGGCACGGGCAAGAACGAGCCAGGCCGCCGCGGTCACCCCCGCGTACAATGCACAGAGGCAAGAGGCTAGCGTTCCGGTGGCGCTGGCAGTCACCCAGTGTGTGTCTCGCCGGCACACTGGCCACTCACCCAGGCAGCAAAGTCGACCGTGCGCAGGAGGAGAGAGAGCGCGCCCTCGCCGTCGTGCGGGCAAGCGCAGTGGACACCGTGAGCCGGAGGCGGGATGGGGGACGGTGTCATGGGCGCCGCGGGTGGGGTGACTGGCGCGGCGAGCATGTCGCTGCCGCTGTCTGACTCGGGCGGCGGCGTGTTCATCGCAGTCACGGTGACAGAGGCTGATATGGAGGAGCGTATGGTGATGGGACCGTAGCAGGGTACGGAGAGGGATCGATGAGGACGAAGGGTGGAGGAGGAGGAGGAGGAAGCGTTGCTCGCGTGAGGTGCGGCACCGGGGTGTGGGGAAGCGGTTGGGCGGCGCGGCTTGGAGTCGGGTAGCGAGTGTGATGTGCGGTGGAGGTTAGATAACGGTGCCGACGAGTAGTGGGAGAATGGACGACGGGAGGATGAGAGTGATGAGGATGGTGAGGATGAGGACGATGCGGAGAGCCGCCGCAGTGTGCGGCCGACGACGGCGGACAGAGTCAATGCTGAGGATCCCGATGATGGCGCCGCGGGTGGGGCGCGTCGGGGGGCTTGATGCGGTGAGACGCAGGTCGAGAGGGTGTGGGTGACGGGGGCTTGGCTTGGGCTGCGCTTGGGGGAGTACAGGCGAGATGGGGTGGGGGTTGCGAGATGGCGTATGGGGCAAACGAGGGCAAGACGTCTCGGTTGAGCAGATGTGCAAACGCAGAAGGACCCATAGGATATGGTGACTGTCTCATTCATTCATCCACATTCAGTTGTGCAAAACGAGAGTACCCATCCGCTGCTGACACACGGCTCTCATGCTGTACAGCTATGGTGTGATGCGCGCCCACCCGCCCGCTACTCCGCCCTACCTCCTCCTCCGCTCTGCTCGGCGGGAAGGCTCTTGGCAGCCGCCGCGCACCTTGGGTACATACGCGTGTGGCGCGTATGGCCTGCTTGGGGGGACGAACTCTTGCACCCCCCGGGTCGCAATCGGATAGAATCGGACGTCTCGGGTTGGCCGACACGGGCGCCAAATGGGGGGCCGACATTGTCACCTTATCACCTTCATTACACCTGCAGGGGTCGGTGGGCCGCAGTCTTCCAGTAGGATGCAATGTCGGTGGGATGGCTCTCAGCGCAGGCCTGTTCACTGTACCACTGTCCTGGCTCGAAAGGTATCGAGCAAGTGGATGACCCACTCACTGCACCACACTGTTCGAGGCCTGAGGGTTTGGTGCGCGCGGCGCCACTCATGCCACTCTGGCGCTGTGGAGATCTGCAGACAACGGGACACGAATGCCTACAGATCCAGAGGCACAATGTTCACCTTGTCGATGGGAGGTGATGAAGACTCACGGTCGTATCGAACTTGGAGTCATTGGCGTGCTACGAGATGAACATGACAATGGTCTTGGCTGTTGCCTTTACGTTTTTGGCAGACGCTGACACGTAAAAGTAAGCGTTGCAGTGATTCTGTGGTCAGTGGTGGTTCAGTCGCCTCGCGGGGCCAGAACCCAAGTGCCACACGACCGACAACTACCGTTACACATTCACCGCACAATCTTTTCAGTCCATCACTCTCTGGCCCCAGTAAGCTTGTCTTCCTGTCCTTCATTACTACCTTCTTCACTATGTAGCAATGGCGAGGGGCATGTGGTCATGTGTACATGTTGCAGGACGGATGGAAAATACTGGGCCGAGGACACGTGCTTTGCTTTCAAACAGCACGTAGAGAGCATGGGTCCGTAAATTCTGCTAACCACACCGACCTGGTAGTGCTGGTAGTGTGAATTTATGGGAGAAACATAAGAAGATCGGTCATGTCGACTGTGGTAAGGCATCCACAAGGCAATGTGAAATGACTACCGTTGAGAATAATAATAAAAAAGACCTAGCTGAGAATGATATGTTGATATCCAGTGAGGCCGAAGAGATACAGTCGTGGAAGGATGCGGGCTGTGGGAGGCTGGGAGTCTGAGCGTAGTGGATGTGCAAGCGATGCACTCTATACTCAACGCCGAGAGAGAGAGAGAGAGAGAGAAAGAGAAAGAGAGAGAGAGACATCGGGCGAGAAATTGTGATAAATATTTCATGGAAACCACCCACCGGCCACCGGTCACGCATTAGCACTGATTCCATTGACAACTAAGGCAACCCACAGGCAACAGGAGAGCCGCCACGGCCACTCACACAGTCATGTACAGTACTGTCGACTCCATAGACAACCGGCGTTTAAAAGCAGGCACCTCCAAGCGACATGTAAGCCCTCCTGAGCACAAGTGTGGCATTGTTGTAACGCGTCTATCGACAACTCTCTCCCCTGCAGCGTACCCTTCTACTGATCAAGGGATCTGAGCAACATGCCTGGCGGTATCGTGTAAGCGGAGTCCAACAACTCACTTGTCGACTGCACCACACGACTGTCGCACCACTGCCCTCAAGGTCCATCATCACACCACGTTACACTTTGCAACAGGGTTGGGTTTATAACAAATCGTGTCAGTTCCAACCAGGGCCAGCCAGCCATGGCCAGGCATGGTTCTCTTAATATACGCGCCTCCAGCTTTCCAACCTTGTGGAAGTAACTCGTCATGGCACAAGCAAGCTGCTCGTCGCGTTTGCTTTGCCCTCTTGATAAGCCAGTGCCGCCAGCGGCCCCACGGTGGCCCCGCGGCCGACGCGGCCCAGCCGCGATTTGAGATCTCGCATTGCGTCAGCAGGCTCGTCACCAAGCCACACACTACTGTACTGTGCATGCACGACTGCACAGGGGCTCTGCAGTGTGCTGTACAAGCAAACCCAAGGCCGATTGCTTTGACCGGGCTTCCGGCCTTGTTTCATCCGGCCACACTCCTCGATCGGAAGTAGCAGAACGTAAGGTGGGCCTCGTCCGTCGACGTGCGCGTCCGAGATGGAATGGTCGATGGAAGGCTGCGGGACTTTTTTTCGTTGTCACGGTGCGTTCCGTGCCCACTTGGTGCGCATTAACCCATTCTGGCTGTGGTGCCAAGTCAGCAGACAAGTGACTGTTAGCGAATTAGTGTCCCGGTGGCCAGTGGCCAGTGGATCTGGGGCCGGGTGGTCCGGGAGGAGGGGACAGAGTTGAATCTGTGATCTGTGTCGTGCAAGAGTGAGTGAGATCGAGACGGTGTGTGATGGCGAGCACGGCCACGGTGGTGGCAGAAGCACTTGTTGCACCAGCACCAGAGGCCACAGGTTGAGCGACCCTCCAGGCGTCACCTATTCATGCATGCATATGCACACGGGTAAACCAGAGCGTGTGCGGGGTGGGGTGGGTCTGTGGGTGAGCCGTTCCCCGCCAGCGAATGGTGGGTGCCGGAAAAGGAAGCGTCCAGCGCCATCGTACCAGCCAGGGGCTCTAGGGGCCGCCCAGCTGCAGCGCGCACACTTTATCGCGCCACGCACCACCACCACACACGTCTCTTTGCCGTTTGCCAACCAACTTTGAATCCAAACATCACAACAATGTCCGACGTCAAGGTGTTCACCCTCGAGGACCTCCAGGCCCACAAGTCCCGCGAGGACCTCTACCTCCTCATCAGCGGCAAGGTCTACGACGCTACCCAGTTTTTGGACGAGGTGGGTACCCACACGCTCTCTCTCCCTCCCTCGCTCGACGACATTACACGCCGCACATCTTTGCCTGCTTTTTTTTTCGGCAGCGACGCGGGCGGGCGTCCGAGCGCGCTTAGGGCACAGCGGTGGTTGGGGTCATCGGGAATGGCCGCACTGCGCGAGGGCCATTGTTGCGTGGCTCCTCGCCATCCGAGCCGTCCTGCACACGACTCGTGCGCGGAGGTTGTATGCAGCACACCCCGCGGCACGTCACTGTTCCCACCAGGCCCGAGACTCTGGCCTGGTGCCGAGCACGCCAAATCTCCCGTCCTCCCCCCCCCCCCGAGCACCCCTCCGATCTCCCCATGGACACCCACTGACATGCACCACAGCACCCCGGTGGCGACGAGGTCCTTCTCGAGGAGGCTGGTGAGTACATCTGACTGACACCTGGCACGTCGGGAGCTCGAGCTGGTGCGGCATCGGGCTCGGCGTACACCGTACACCGTCACCATGCCTCCGGCCGCCCAGCAGCTCCTTGACAACGCCGCACCGTGGACACCTAGCTGACTCGTCATCCAGGCCGTGACGGCACCGAGGCCTTTGAGGATGTCGGCCACTCGGACGAGGCCCGCGACATGCTCGTCAAGATGTTCGTTGGCAACTTTGACGGTCCCGTGAGTGTTGTGTAAACCGCCGGCAATGGTGTCGGGTGGGATTATCCGGCCAACGCAAGGCCCACCCTCACCGCCTCGGCCACGGTCATGCGCGTGTTGTTACTCTGCTGACGCCGTTCTGCAGACCAAGTCGTCGGCCAAGGCCTCGGCTGGTGGTTCGACCACCACTTCGTCTTCGTCGGGCACCAACCCGTGAGTATAGCACCTTGTCTTCAGCGACGGCTCGTCTAACTGCCTGCAGCCTCCTCTTCGTCGTCCTTGCCGGCGTCGGCGCCTTCCTTGCCTGGCGCCTCTTCCTCGCTTAAGCGTTGTATAGCGTCTATACCCTCTCTCCGTCCCTTTTCTTCTAGACTGCCATGCATCGGCTAAGGCGTGGCTCACTATACGTGGCTCACTATATCTCCCCCCACTAACCCCTCTGTCTCTCTCTCGCTGTACGCCTCACCGTCCAAGCTACCTTGTGCTACCTACACTACACCCTCCCATCTCTACCACTTGCCATACGGCCCACCGGGGCGCGAATTCACGCGCTGGATAATCTCGTCGGCGGTGCCCATACCCCTACCGCTTCCCTCGTGCTCGAGCGCAAACAGCACGTCCACGGCCGTGAGAGCTGTATCGTCGCGGCCCTTCTTGTCGCCGGCCGTTTCAATGTCCACCTGGCGGCGATGGGGGCCCGTGACGGAGCGTTTGGGACGCTTGGGCGGACGCGGGGCCTCCTCGGCTGGGGCCGCCGCCGCGGCAGAACCATCGCCGGCACCATCGCCAGCACCACTTTCCTCCTTCTGCTCGTCCTCCTCCCCACCCTTCTTCCGCTTGCCAGACAGCAGGCTCGAGACTTGAGGCCGGAACGCGCCGCTCATCGCGCCCGTCTCCCATGCGTATCGCTTTCGTCCACCTGCCGCCATCATGGCCGTCGCGTTTGTCATCTTGGCCTGCATGTCGGCCGACACGTTGCTCGCGGCCTTTTTGCCCTTGCCAGACTTCTTGGCGACTGGCGCGGCACCAAACGTCGGCGCGGACTGGAATGTCGGCTCCTTGGGCTTGGCTGGTGCGGGCGAAGTTGTCGGGCCGTCCGACTCGCTCGCTGGCTCGCCGCTCGCCGCCGCCGCCGCTGGTGCCTCTGCTGCTGGCGGTGGGCTGCCTCCATCTCGCTCGCGTTCCCTCTCCCTCTGGACGGCCTCGGCACGCGCCATCTCGGTCTCGCGCGCGTTTCGCTCCGTCCGCGCAACGCGGTGCGCCTTGTTCTCGTCGCGGTTCGCGTTCGCCAGCGCGGCCATCACCGCGTGCGGGTCCGACGTGATCTTCTGGCTCCACAGGGGCTTGGCCGGCTTGGATCCCGACGCCTTGGACATTGGCGGCTTGTGCGCGTGCGTCGACGAGACGCGGTGGTGCTGCGCTCTGGCAGCAGAGGAGAGAAGCGCGCGCACGCGAATCTCAGCAGCGAGCGCGAGGTATCGCATGGCCTCGTCGTCAACCGTCATTCCGTGCTGTTGAGCTTTAAAACGATGGTCAGCGTTCGTTTCTTATGTAGCAACGAGGTTTCACGTACCGATCTGATTCAGACGCGCACGGAGAACGGGCTCTCCAAACAGGTCCGTTTGTCGCGCACGGCTGGCATTGCCAGCAAAGCGAACGTTGCCAACGGCACTGCGCGCAAACGCGCGCCGTGCGGCCTCCTCTTCGGCCCTCAGGTCAATGCCCTGTCCGCGACCCATTGGTAACCGCGCAGCTGCACTTCCGGCGGGAGCAGCCGAGCTTGGAGCCGGCGTAGGAGTTGCAGTCGCTGGTGTAGCTGGCGGCGCGGGGGACGCAGCAGCTGGGGTCACAGCGGCGGGGGTTGGAGCTTGCGCAGCTGGTGGCGCCGCGACTGGGACAGGCGCCGGGAGAGGTGAGGGTGCAGGTGCTGGTGCTGGAGCAACGGGAATAGTCACTGGGGCAGCGACGGGGATGGCCACGGGGGCAGCGACGGGGATGGCCATTGGGGCAGCAACGGGAACAGCCACTGGAGCAGCGACTGGAGCAGCAACAGGGGCAGCAACAGGAGCAGCAACAGGCGCAGCAACAGGCATAGCTGCTTGGGGAGCAGTCATCGCGACGGTGGGCGTAATGACTGTCGGGGTGACGACCGCTGCTGGTGTCGGAGGAGTCACAACCGCTTCCTATGTCAGCACACAGTTTCCTTGCCACCTCGCATCAACAACGCACGCTTCACGTCCTCGCCATGCGTCGACTTGATCGTCTTCTGCGGTGGCATCCCCACCGCGCGATCCGGCGACAGCTCTCGTTTACCTGCACAAAAACGTCAGAGAGGATGGTTTGGGGTCTCGTGGAGCAGTGACGAACCATTCTGGTTGACAGTCGGCGAGGGCAAGGGAACCGCGACTGGTGGTTGTGGCCTTGGGGCCAGGCTGAGCGGGTTGATGCTACCCTGGGGCGCGGCCAGCGCGCTTGGGGCGACGACACCGTTGGACATGATGATCGGTTTCTGGTCGACGCCGTTGCTGGCCGCCTGGGCGGCGAGGATGCGCGCTTGGAGCTGGGCGGCCGCGGCTGGGGTAAGGGTGGTGGGTGCTGTCGGTGCCGGCGCGCCGTTTGCCTGTGCAACCGTGCCGGGAGGCAGTGCTGGGCGAGGGGGAGCGTCGGTGCCAACAGTTGGCCACTGGGCGCTCATTTCCTGGGGGAATGGGGACACGCGCCGATGTTATTGACCTTTGTCGTGTGCAGGAAGTGTGACGAGGAAAGCGTGTTGCTTGCACGAGACGAGCGATCAACCATGGGTGGCAATGCCCGGTTGCGGCGGTTGCGCGGTTGCGTGGGACGCGTGGCTAGGCGTGCGCTGAAAATACCAACTAGGCGTGCGTCGATGGGTGACCCTTGCGGCCTGTTGTGTTTTGCCATTTCAGTGTGATTTGCCTCCGCGCCTCTGCGTTCATGGCGCGCCCAGACGCGCGACCTCTGTGCCATAATCCTGTCATCCCCCCCAACAACCCTCCGTCACCAGTCTCTCCACCACTCCTTCCCACTCCCTTCCATCCCTCCCATCCCACACTCGTTCCCCTCACTGCACGTATCCGCACGTGCATCCCCCATCATGGTGAGCTCGCGCCGCGTCTCAGCCAGCACCCACCGACACGGCTGGCGCGCACAGTGGCAGAAACATTAAAGCTTACCATCCGTCCCTCTCTTTCCTCTCGGTGGCGCCTTGCTTAGAACCCGCTCCTTGCGGCGGCGAACGCGGCCGGTAACGTCGACGATGACAAGCTCTCCGACTATGTCCCCGACAGCCGTGACCTGTCAATGTCGCGTGCGGTGAGTGCGCCCTTCCGCGGTCCTTCGCGCCGCGTCTGAATGACACCGTCCCACTGCCACATGGATGTGGATGGCCGGGTTGGACGCTCCGCGCGAACATGAGCACCTCTCTGGCACATCCACATGGGTCTGCTAGTGGATCCAGGTCACCTTTGACGTGTTTGGATGGCTGACACTGGTTCTTTTTATCACCAGGCATCGGCAACTGGCTCGGACGTGCACCACATCAACACCCGCCCCCAGACTCCGGTGTCCGATGAGGAGGACGGCGAGGACGAGCTTGGTTCTGACGAGGACTTTGACGAGGATGCCATTGCTGGCGGCTCGGTGAGTCGTGGGAAAATGACGTTTGGTGGCAACAAAACTGACGCGCCCTGTTACAGACCAAGATGACCGCTTCCGCCAAGCGCCGCGCCGATGCCGCAACCAGCCGCAAGGCTGCCACTGAGGCTCGCAAGCACCAGATTGGAGAGATTAGCAAGAAGAGGAACGCAATTGAGGAGGCCAAGGTTGGTGCACGTGTACTGAATGGCTCACTGACGGTCGTTTCTAGCTCGCCGACTCGATGAAGCGCTTCAACTACCTTCTTGGCCAGACTGAGCTGTTCCAGCACTTTATTGACCTCAAGGTGGGGTTCAAGCGGGCCATACGTGTTGCTGACTCTTAGCGCCAAAGGGAGCCCGAATTTGCGGCCATGATCGATGCCCAGCTCGCCACCACCACGGCCAAGGGCAAGAAGAAGGCAGCGTAAGTTGACCCTCAGCTGCTGTGGCTAACTTTCAGTGACAACCGTCACCGCAAGTCGGAGAAAGAGGAGGATGAGGAGCTGCTCAAGGACGAGGAGGCTGAGGATGAGCCGTTTGTTTTCGAGGAGAGCCCACCATGTGAGTTACTCGACGCCTGCCGTCTGCGGTCCTGACACGCACAGACGTTAAGGGAGGCAAGATGAGAGATTACCAGGTCCAGGGTCTCAACTGGATGGTGTCGCTGCATCACAACGGTATCAACGGGATTCTTGCAGACGAAATGGTGGGTGCAGCGCGTGTGCATCAGTGCTAACCCCGGCAGGGTCTTGGAAAGACGCTCCAGACCATCTCCTTCCTCGGCTACCTCAAGTTCCACCGCGGAACCGCTGGCCCTCACCTCATCGTCGTCCCCAAGTCGACTCTTGACAACTGGGCGCGTGAGGTGAACCGCTGGGTTCCCGGCTTCCGTGTTCTTATTCTCCAGGGCACCAAGGAGGAGCGTGCCGAGCTCATCAGCCAAAAGATCCTCACCCAGCAGTTTGACGTGCTCATCACGTCGTACGAGATGTGTTTGCGTGAAAAGTCGACCCTCAAAAAGTTCTCTTGGGAGTACATTATCATCGACGAGGCCCACCGTATCAAGAACGTCGACTCGCTTCTGAGCCAGATCATTCGCACGTTTGTCTCGCGTGGTCGCCTTCTCATTACCGGTACCCCTCTGCAGAACAACCTCCACGAGCTCTGGGCCCTCCTCAACTTTATTCTCCCCGATGTCTTTTCGTCTAGCGAGGACTTTGACGCCTGGTTCAAGTCCAAGGAGAGCGATGAGCCCGACGCGATTGTCAAGCAGCTGCACAAGGTGCTCCGTCCCTTCCTCCTCCGTCGTGTCAAGGCCGACGTCGAGCACTCGCTTCTGCCCAAGAAGGAGATCAACCTGTACGTCGGCATGACCGACATGCAGCGCAAGTGGTACCGCATGCTCCTGGAGAAGGACATTGACGCCGTCAACGGCGCCTCGGGCAAGAAGGAGGGTAAGACTCGTCTCCTCAACATTGTCATGCAGCTGCGCAAGTGCTGCAACCACCCGTACCTCTTTGACGGTGCCGAGCCTGGACCCCCTTACACCACGGACGAGCACCTCATCGACAATGCAGGCAAGATGTTGATCCTCGACAAGCTCCTCAAGTCGATGAAGGCCAAGGGCTCGCGCGTTCTCATCTTCTCGCAAATGAGTCGTGTTCTCGACATTCTCGAGGACTACTGCCAGTTCAGGCAGTACAACTACTGCCGTATCGATGGTAACACGTCCCACGATGACCGTATCACTGCGATTGACGACTACAACGCGCCCGACAGTGAAAAGTTCATCTTCCTCCTTACCACGCGTGCCGGTGGTCTTGGTATCAACCTTGTCACTGCCGACATTGTCGTCCTGTTCGACTCGGACTGGAACCCTCAGGCCGACTTGCAGGCCATGGACCGTGCCCACCGTATCGGCCAGACCAAGCAGGTCTACGTCTTCCGTTTCATTACGCAGGACGCCGTCGAGGAGCGCATCTTGGAGCGCGCTACGCAAAAGTTGAAGCTCGACCAGCTCGTCATCCAGGAAGGTCGTGCTCAGCAAAACAGCAAAGTCGGTTCCAACAAGGACGAGCTCCTTGACATGATTCAGCACGGTGCCGAGAAGATTATCAACAGCTCTGCCAACATGATGATCGACGACGACATTGAAGAGATTATCCGCAAGGGCGAATCCAAGACCAAGGAGCTCAACTCCAAGTATGCTGGTCTCGACCTCGACGCGCTCAACAGCTTCCGCTCTGAGAGTCTCATCAACACTTGGGAGGGCGAGGACTTTGCCCACAAGCGCAAGAGCATGATCTGGATTGAGCCTGCGAAGCGTGAGCGCAAGGGCAACTACTCGATCGACCAGTACTACCGTGACAACATGAAGACCACCGTGTCCAAGCCCGACAAGCCCAAGGTGCCCCGTCCCCCCAAGCAGGTCCACATCAACGACTTCCAGTTCTTCCCTCCTCGCCTTGTCGAGCTCCAGAACCGCGAGTACGACGCCCACCTCAAGGCTCAAAACTACACTGTCCCGGCGCGCGAGCCCGAGGACGGTGAGACTGCCGAGGAGGTCGAGGCGGACCGCAAGGAGGAGCAGGAGCGTATCAACAACTCGGTGCCCCTCACCGAGGAGGAGACTGCCGAGAAGGAGGACCTCGCCGAGGACGGCTTTGGCGACTGGCAGCGTCGTCACTTCCACAACTTTATCAGGGCCATGGAACGTTACGGTCGCGAGGCCCTTGACAAGGTCGCGCAGGAGGTCACCGACAAGACCGAGGAGGACGTTCGCGCATACGCTGCCGTCTTCCTGGAGCGCTACACCGAGATCAAGGACGGCGAAAAGTACATGGACCGTGTGCGCTCGGGCGAGGAGAAGCTGCGCGAGCAGGCCGACAAGATTACCGCCTTGCACAAAAAGGTCAAGGGCTACAACTACCCCATGCAGGAGCTCAAGCTCCAGTACGGCCAGAACAAGGGCAAGTCGTACTCTGACGAAGAGGACCGCTTCCTCCTTGTCCGCATGCACCACCACGGCATCGACCGCGACGACTGCTACGAGCTCATCAAGCGCGACGTGGGCGAGTGGCCCCTCTTCCGCTTTGACTGGTTCTTCAAGTCACGCACGCCCGAAGAGCTCCGCCGCCGTGGCGCGACCCTGCTCCTGTGCATCATGAAGGACTTCAAGGACGAAGAGGACAAGAAGCCCAAGGGCGGCAAGAAGCGTGCCTTTGACGACCTCAAGTCGGGCGGCGCGTCGCGCGACACCACCCCAAGCACCGTGGGCGACAAGAAGGGTGGGTTTAGTTTAACAGTCCGTCATGCTAGAGTCCACCAACGCTAACCCACATCGCAGCGAAGAAGGCTAAGAAGTAGACGGGGCTCGAGCCAATGATGTACGGCCCGGTGCGCGTCAGTCTCCTGTCAGTGTTCGGCCACCTTGTATTCTCTAGTTTTTCCTTTATTCCCTTGAGATCTTCCCAGCATGCACATAGAGTGCAGTTCGTTACGGGCGGATGGGCCGGGCCGGGCCGCCCATGGAGCGTGAGTGAGGGAAGCAAGCAGTGCACAGGACGAGGGCATGGTTAGTTGTTGCATGGCAGCGTACGAGTGTGCGGTGGCATGATCCGACGTTGCATGAGGACAGGACATCAAGAGTGTGAAGCGAATGAAAGGTATGGAAGGAAACGACGGGGGTCAAGCACGTGTATGTACATGGAATTGTGCTGGGTGGACGGACACGCGACGGTGGGGGGTGATTGGGTGGGGGAGGCATTACATGATATGGAAAAGAGTGGAAGCAAAAGGTTGGAGAGAGAAGGCGAGCGAGAGGGAGAGACTAGTTTGTCGAGTTGCAAAAGGCGTTGTTGTTGTTGTTGTTGTCATGAAGGGGGAACGAGTCGACGTGGAGGAGTACACGTGGACGGGGTATCGGGGGGACAAGGGCACGTCGTGACAAGGAACAAGCAGTCGAAAGACGGGGAGAGGGAATCGAGGACGTTTTTATTGTATGGTTGTATGAGGGGTATCTTGAGAGTTTAATGGGTGAGCGTCTCGCAACGCTCGACGACGGTCTGGTAGATGAACTTGAACGACCAGACCGAACCCCGGAGTCGCTTGATGCTGAGCAGGTAGAGACCGCTAAGGTTCTTGATGCGGCACAGGTCGACCACAAACTTGACCTCGTCACCGTTGTCAATCGAGTGCTCGCCGTACAGGGGCTCGTTCACAGGGCCGAGGACGGGGGAAGGAGTCTGGCCCGGGGTGGGAGTGGTTGCGGTCGAGGTGAGCAGGTCGCTCTCGCTACGAGCAATGGCTGCCGAGTGCTGCGACGAGTACGACGAGCCGCGACGCAGGAGCATGCCCTTGAGGCTCGAGATACCGCCAGCCGAGGCAGTGGACGGGAGGGGCAAGCCGCGGCCGTCGGTCTTGTTGGCCGAAGCAGAGCCCATGAGGGAAAGACCAGTGGTGGGGCCAGCCTTGCGGCGGCGAGCGCGAGTGCAGCGAAGGCGGTATTCACCCTCCTGCTTGACGTCCATGCCCATCTCGTGAAGAACGCGGACAACCTCGGCCATGATCTCGGGAGGAGGGCGCGAGCTGAGCGCCGACTGGTCCACAAGCCCAGTGTGCACGCGAAGCTTGCTCTCCTCGGCCGAGACGCCAGCAGTGTCCCAGCGACGGGTGCCGGCAGCAAGGGTGAGAGGCGAGACCAAGGCAGTGGCTGCGTTCGAAGAAGGCGACGACGACAGGGGCACTTGGGCGTGGGGCGTACGCTGCGACTTGGAGCGCGTCGGGACAGCAACACGCTCAGGAACGCGAAGCTTGGTGTCGACGTTTGCCTTGCTGCTGGCCGGAGCAAGGGGCTGGCGGATCGGCAGAGACGCAGTGGGAATAGTGGCAGTGGTCGCCTGCTCCTCCTTGGACGACCGGACGGCTTCCTTCACCTCGTCGGCCTTCTCCTCCTCAGCCTCGGTCTCCTTTGCACTCGGGATAATGACGATGGCGGGGCCAGTCGTGTCCACGGTGGGAGCGACGCTGCTGGCCTCGTCCGATCCAGCAGTGGCGACTTGGTCGAACGACTCGCGAGGAGGACGCGCGGTTGTAGCGTTCGAGACCGAGTGGAAGGGACGGTCGATGCTCACCGAGGGACGACCAGGGCTCGAGGGAGAGCCGCCACGAACGCTCGAAGTGTGGTGGATGCTGGTGAGGGTGTCCTTGGCAAGAGACTTGCGACGGAACCAGTCCATAACACGCTTGGCAGCGCTGCTCGACGCGGGACGCGACTGCATCTCCGAGTCGATGGTGACGACCGAGGGAGAGCTCTTCTGGTCCTGCGAAGGACGAGGCTGGATACCTTGGCGTCCGACAACCGGCGTCGTAAGGGAGGCCTGCCTCTGCGGCGAAGCCGTGGCCGGAGGACCAGTGGACTCGGGCGTCGACTCGCGGCTGTTGTTGGACAGGAGCTGCAGCGTCGTGCGACGCGACTTCTTGCTGTCCATCGATTTCCTCGAGTCGATAGTCGAGTTGTACGAGTACTGACCAGGGTGCTGGGACACGGACTGGGCCTTGGTATGCTTGGACGTAGGGACATACGACTGGCGCGAAGGCACCGAGTTGGAGTCGGCAGGGGCCGTGCCCAGGAGCTTGGCAAGGCCAAACTTGTCGAGCGACATGCCCTTGCGCTGGCGAGTAGGGCGAGTGGCAGGTGGGCGAACGACAGGCAGAGGGGGAAGGGGCGGCAAGTCGTCAATCGTGGGGAGCGGTGCCGACGGCTGCTTTGTGGGGGTGCTGGCACCGGGGGCAAGCGCTGGTTCTGCGACTCGGACGCGCGAGGGGTCCTGTCAACGTTGTTGGATGGCTCTGGGGTAGACTTGTTGGCCTTGGGAGTCGAGTTGAGCCCTTCGCGCACCTCGGCAGCCTCGGCGTCCTCGCGAGCACGCTTGGACGGAGTAGCCGGGGTAGACACGGTCCTGGAGCGAGCAGCGGGCACGGGAGGAGGAGGCATAGCCTCGGCATCCTTGATGGACGGTGCCTTGGGAACGGGCTTCCTCGGTGTGGTAACAACGGCCACCACCTCGGAAACGGGCGTAGCAGGCTCCGAAATGTCCATCTTGGGCTCTGAACCGTCAAGGTCAGACGATGACTCAATCTCCATGTCGCCAGCCTGGGGGACTTCGAGAGCCCTGGTAGGAGGCGTGCTGGGCGTCGGCGTATCACGCTTCGGCTCGGCACCACCGGACTGGGCCTGGTCCCAAGCCACGTCACTGTCGTACTCGACCTGGATAGTGTGGCGGTTCTTGTTGGCAGACATGGGCGTCTTGGGCCTCGGCGGCGAGCGGGCAATGACAGGCTCCTCCACCGAGACCTCGGCGGGTCGCTTAACAGACTGCGAACGGTGGACGGTAGGCGAATCGGGGACGGCAAGAGGGATGGACTCGTGCGGCGGGTGCATGGCGGGAAGGTGAGTGGGCAGTGTACCACTGCGCTCCATCTCCGTTGGGTTGTAACGACGCTGGGCGGGAGGAGCCTCGAGGATGGGAGGGTGGTGACCGGCATTGTTGAGATAATCGGGCATGGTAGTCGTGCCAGGGAGGGCGCTGCGGTGACGGTTTTCCTTTGGACGACGCTGATCCAACATCGGGGCCATGCCAGAGCCAGGAGCGGTGCTCTGGCTCCGCTGGAGGGCCTTGACCAGGCGGGCCTCCTGCTGTAGCCTCTTGCGAGTCGCGAGATCACGCTTGGCCTGCTGGCTCTTGCGAATCATGTTGTCGGCAAAGATGAGCTCGACGTCCTCGATGGAGCGCTCAAAGAGAGCGTGGTGAGGCGCGAGCCACAGGTGCTCCTCAATCTGGGCAATGGTGCCGCGGTCCTGGGGGTTTGGGACAAGCATGGCAAGGAGAAGGTCCTTGGCAACATGCGACAAGTGGTCCGGGAAGTTGAGGGGAGTGCTCATAATGTACTTGTAGAGCAAGTTGATGTTGTCTCCGTCGGGGTTTGCCGGGTCGTCGTCGTAGGGAAGGTAGCCGGACAACATTGCGTAAAGGATTACGCCGCACGACCAAACATCCACAGCCGTGCCAACATAGAGTCCCTCAGTGACGACCAATTCTGGAGCCGCATAACAGGGGCTACCACAGCTAGTCGACATGAGGTCATCCTCATCACGCTCAAAGCGGTTGGCAAAGCCAAAGTCGGTGATGATGATGTTGCGGTGCTTGTCCAGAAGCAGGTTCTCCAGTTTCAAGTCACGGTGGACAATGTGCTTTTGGTGCAGGTAGTCGACACCGGAGATGAGCTGGGCAAACAGACGGGACGCGTCCTTCTCCTTCAGGTAGCGGTTGGCGAGAATGTAGTCGAACAGCTCGCCGCCTCCTGCAAACTCGAGCACGATACCAATGTACTTTGCCGTGTCAATGACGTCGAGCATGCGAACAATGTTGGGGTGCTTCAATTGCTGAGACAACGTCAGCTCAAAAAAGGTCTTTTTCGCACGCGAGGTGTGTTGTGATACATACCCTCAGCACTTCAATCTCACGCTCAACCTTGTTGGCCCGAGTCTCGTCATCCAATGTTCCGCGGCGGATGAGCTTGATTGCCACTTCCACGCCGTAGTCACTGTGCACACCGAGTTTGACCTTGCCAAACTCGCCTTCTCCCAGGGTCTGGAGGAGAATGTAGTGGCCCAGCGCGATCATGGGCCTTGCCGGGTGGGCGAGCTTGTATGCGTGGACGGAGGGGTGGAGAACGTACTCGTCCGAGAGGTACTCCTGCTTGGGAGGCGACGCGTGCACCAAGGCGGCAGGGTTGTGCGACTGCCTCTTGCGTTGTTGGGCATGGGCCGCGGCAGCAGCAGCGGACGCATGCTGGGCAGCATGGTGTGAGTGCGACGACGCCTGAGCTGTCGACATGGACGCGATGGGCTCGGCGGTAGGCAGAGGGAGGGGCATGGTAGGTGCGGCGCTGGCGCGTTGGCGTGATGCCGAGGAAGACGCGCCTTGTGGTGGCATGTAGGTTCCAAACTCGTCTACCATGGTCTGGTAAGTCGCGGTTCGTGGGCCTTGTGGACGGGAGGACGACGACGCGGATGCGCGTGTCGATGCAGTGGAAGGACGCGAGTGCTGTTGAGCACTGCCGGCGGGTGCGGGAGGGGAGAAAGGAGGGGAGGGATACCGTGCGGCTGGGTCGACGTCTAACGACTTGCGCGCTGAGGGAGGCGCGAATGGGTCGGACATGGAAGAGTAGGACAGAACTGAAGCCATGGAGGGTGGCAATGAAATGGAGAGAGAAGGATGAGAAGAAGGCGGAGAGAATGCGGCGCCGGGGGGATCGATGGACGAACAATGAGCTAGAATGAGACGGTGGTCAGACAACTGTGACTGTGATGTGTGGTGGGAGGGGTAGATGACGGTGTAGCCGGGGGCTGCCTGCGATGCCGGAAACGGAGTGATCGTTGGCAGCACCGGAAGGCAGCCTCCTGGGTGTGTGTGTGGGTGAGAAGGAGGGGGCGGGGACGAGTAATGGTGGATGGGATGGGGGTTGGAGGAGGAGAGAAGGCGCGGGAGAGAGCGAACGAACAACGCTGCACCAGCGCGAGCCAGTGAATGGGTGTGTGGTGGGTGGGTGGGTGGGTGCTTTGCCTGTTGCGGGTCGTCACGCTTCAGGTAGGAAACGCGCGCCCCGAGCGCAGGAAAGGATCGGGGCGGCGGCGGCGGAGGCGGCGTAACAAGTCCAAAACACAGACACTGTGCACACACGGTCACTCACCTCTCTAGTTGCTTTGGTGGACCTGGTGTTCTGCAGCCAGTACAGAGCGTTGCACTCGTATGCAGATGGCGAGAGGAATGGAGGACGATGACAAGCCAGAGCCAGCGGGCGACTGTGATCGAAGGAGGTGGTGGGTGCAAAGGAGGGGAAGGTGGGTGTGTTGGGTGTTGAATGAAACGCGCGGGACAGTTAGCCGGATTTGCCTCTCTGACTGTAATTGCAGGTGTGGGTTGCCCTCTCGGGTGAGTCGGCGTGCGCGCGCGCGCGGCAGTGAGGGGCCGTGGCGTTGGTGTCGACGCGTTTGTGCGCGTCGTGTATAACGACAGTGGGGGTGGAGTGGCGTGTGTGTGGGGTGGTGGTGGTGGTGGTGGTTGAGAAATCCGAAGGTGGTGTGGGTCAAGAAGAGGAAAGGAGAGTGTGTGATGGGCGAGAATGAAGAAGGACTGATTGATGGGTGGTTGCAGACAACAACAACCACGCGACCCACACAATACAACGGGCCCACGGGCCCGGGGGCACGCCAGCAGAGGGTTGGTGGGTCTGGGCCGTTTACATTTTTGGTTTTGGTTCTCGGGGTCTGATTCCGCTGCCCGTGTCCCACCTGCACACCTGGCCACACCTGGCCACTGTACCACTGTACACCTGTACCGTTGCTGCTGCTGATGATGCTGCTGCTGCTGCTTGTGCTTCTGCTCTGCTGGCCTGCTGGCCGCGAAAGGAAGCCTCCCAGCTGCCTGCCGTTGTCTCAGGCGGTGGCAGCGGGGATCCTGTGTGTGTGGGCGCGGGGAACACACGGTGCCAGATTTTGGGCGACCAGAATTCTCCTGCCACAACACCCCGTACGCCCGCCGCGTATGCCGTGGGCCACAGGCAGCATTCATAGGGAAACGCTCAGTGGCGCCTGGGCGGTGGGCGGGAAGGAGCGGCAGAGACCTGGCGCTCTGCACGCGCGGGACACACGCAAACACACACCCAGACAATATACGTTGCGCGCACAGCAGCCAAGGCATGCAAGGACAAGCGTGAGGCGTGTCCTGAATGCCAGAGCTTGCCCGTCCCTGAGACCCAAAAAGGGATCCAAAAAGGGAGGTTTTGAAAAGCGTCCAGCCTGCAGCCTGCGCTTGAACGCGTCGGCGGCGACAGCGGCGGGGCCACGAGGAATAAAAACGTAAAGAGAAAACAAACCTCCCATTTGTAGCGCGTCTAGGGATTGTAATTGTCAGCCGGCTGCACGCTTTGGCGCGGCACACACACACCCCGCACCTCACACGGGGTCACGCCGCCACACAATCGATCTTGGCCCACACAACCCAGGTGGGCAACTCCCATTCAGTCAAATGAAGAGAACCGCTCTCTGTACATGGTATCCTCTGTGCACGCCTCTGCAAGCCTTTTGCGCGCCTCTGTCCTGTTCAGCTGCATTGTGTTGTCACGCTTTTGGCACGTCCAGCCAGCCTACACAGCCCCAAGACATTGGCCAATTCAGATCTTTGGTTGCCAGCTTCTCACAAGCCCCAGCCCCTTGCTCCACCGGCATGGAAGCTTGCAACCACCGACCGACATTGGCCCACACCCCCCAGTCAGCTTCAGCTGTCAACTCAGCTCAGCTGATACGAGGTACGGTGTCTTCCCAAGCTCTCAAGCGTCGCTTCAGCCGATCCGCGCACATGCACAAACAAAACACTACTCACAGGATCACAGGATCAACAGGTCTGCGTACACCGCCTACACCCAGGGCTAAACGGCCAAGAGACGGTCTGTTGTCCTGCTGTGGCGCGCCCCTGTGTCCGTCCCTACTGTCCACGATGCGATGGTCGTATCCGACCACAACAACGATGCAAGGAAAGGCGGCTTGACGCAGGCAGAGGGGGCCGTCGATGATCAGGCACTCGGTAGGAGTATGGACGCAGAGCTCCTTGCCAAAAGCCAGCTCAAGCCAGCTCAAGCCAACTCAACTGCCTGCGCTGCTCGTACAGACAGACGTGTCTGACCTCTCACTTGACATCGACCCGAGTCGCTTTCTGCTACTCCCGAGCCACCCCCATTTCCCCGCACGCCAGAAGCAAACAGCGGTTCCTTGAGCTTTGTTTATCGTCGAGGGGGCTTGTGACTCCGCATAGTTACCGACACATTGGCCAACAAAACCTAATGTCCATGGCAACGAACACGACCGGCCCTCTCTCGCTGCCCCCCCGAGGCCCGCGGAGTGGAGCGAGAGCATGTACGCGACGAGTGTGCCTTCATTGCAGCATTTCGTTCCGGAGCCTTTCCTCAGCTGCGGCCAGGTCCATCGTCCCTATGTCAGTGTCGCAGCCTTTGGTTTGCTCTGCCGACTCTGAAAGGCGCATTCTGTTGGCTGCTCACAGATCACTGATCACTGACCCGTGGAGGGGAGGTGTGGCAACGCCGAGAACGCAGTTGTCCGCTACACCACCTTTGATATCCCCTCCAGCCGACGACGACGACACAGTGTGGTGTGTGCGTACCCGTCCGCTATTATTGCGCATAGCGTCGTTGTGACCCGCCATGGTCGATCGCGTCGCGTCATGATCCTGGAACCGTCAATGTGGCACCGTTGGCCTGCCACTGGCCACTGGCCGTACGTCATCGAAATGCTGATCGCCCTGCACAGCAGTCTTGCGCGGGAGGTTTCTCCACCACCAGCTGTGGAGGCGCCTATGGTTGAGACCATGCCAGTCGACGACCGTCGTCTTGCCAAGATTGCCGCTGGGTCGGGAAGGCATCCTCACAGGTCATAACCCATCGATCACAGAGGAAGGTGAGAGGCGCTTTGGGTGCCCTTCGCTGTTGGCTGGTTTATACCGCGCCAATTTTTCCATTACTGCACCACTGTTCTCAAGAAGGATGTATCAACCTCTCAGATAGACGCGGACGGGTCGCGAATTGTTGATGCCCTCACACCAGAGGCTAGAGGCTAGAGGCCAGCGCTGCAGGAGGAACGTGAGGCAGAATGCACACAAGTCCGGTGGAGGGGGCCTTCGGGGTTCAGCGTGGGAGAGTCAAACTAAAAGGGTGGCATGAATAAACTACCGAACCCCGATGCGCTCATCGAAGGTCCACGATTGTGGACACGGTGCACCTTCAAAACGACTTTGTTACGACCTTGCAAGCAGTAGCGCACTCTGCAGCAGCAATGGAGACCGAACCAGACGTCCCAGTGGCGTCCTCTTCGACGTCTCATCTGCTCGACGCCGAAACGCTGCTCTCAACACCTGCCCACGCTCTTTCGCAGGCGACCATTGGCGCCTCGTTGGAGAACATTCCGACCGCCCAGCGTCTCGTCACCTGCACCAACCTCGTGCTGAGTGGCAAGTTTTACGACCAGAATGTTCTGCGTCTTATTGTCGACGTCGGCCTGCGAGCCGGGTCTGAAGAGGTCGAGCTCTTGGAAGGCGACGTGCGCTCGCGCCTCGAAGAGAGCCACGCGACCAAGGGCGACGGCTGGGAAGGATGGTCGCAGGACGACGTGCATGCCCAGCTCCGGGCTGTGCTCGACAGTGACGAGCCCCGACATGTGGTTGCGCGATGCCTCGCTGTCCTGCAACAGGCTCGTCGTCGCCTGGACACGTTTGACACCTTCCACGCACCCCGAACCCCTCCACCAGAACCAATAGCCGGAACGCCGGCAAAGCAAGCCGAAGAAGACATTGCAGCCGAGGACGATGACCCCTGGGACGACGACCCGTGGGCAGAGGGCGGCGACGATGAGGACGATAACGACGAGATTCCACCCATACTCGACGACCCGTGGGCCGAGGACGCGAGTGAGGACGAGGAGCCGGTACCACTGCCAAAGGCGGACACGGCGACGCCGGACTCTGCTGAGCCACAGAACCCACCGATAGACCCTTCCACTTTTATCCTGCAGTCGGTCGTCTTCTCTGCGCTCTATTTCGCAACGTCAGCTCACCTGACTGCGCTGCGGGTCGTGTGCCAGCGCCACTCGTCCGACATTTGGCCGTACCGCCTGGCCATTGTCGAGGCCATCCCAGGCTGGGTGTCACCCGCCGACGACGACGTCCTGGCCTTGTTGCCATCGGCTGGCGAAGATGGAGAAGGACGCGCATGGCCCAAGGGCAAGGTAGTCGACACACCGTGCTTCCTCGACCTTTTGGTTCCTCATTTCGGCCCTGCATCCCTCGGCCCCGCTGCTGCCCCGGCACTGCTTCCCAACCGCAAGGACGACACGCTGTCAAGCGACGGTATCTCCGAGTGGTACACAGACCGCGTGTTCGCTCTTGACGACCTCGGTCTTTTGGACTCACAGCTCACCTGGGTGCAGCATGGTGCCGCCCTCGGTGTTGGAGGCCTGGACGCCATTGGGGAGGACCTCTCGCTCCTCTCACGCCTCATCTATGATGCCAACCTCACACCCGAGCAGCTTGGACAGTGGTCACTGGCAACATGGCGTACCGCCAGCGAGGAGGAGATTGTCAAGGCGTATCTCTCCAACTCTACCCCGGACAGCGTCGTCGACGACATTCGCCGTCTCGTCCTTCCTTACCTCTACGTGCTCGAGTCTCGTGCCGAGCGTGCTGGCAATGCCGATCCAGGACTGGTCCAGAGGATGCTTCACAGCGCCATCCTCGAGCTTCCCCTCGACCTTGCTCTTCCCTGCTTTGAGGCATCAAAGGCCACCCTGCGCGCACCCGCCCGTCTCATCAAGGACGACCAGACGGTCGCTCGCATGGCCCTTGCGATTCTTTACGGCAGCGACCAGCGCGACGCCTACAAGACCATGTCGGCCATTTTCGAGTGTCTCCCCGTGTGGGACGTGTCTGGCGGCGACCCAGAGTCGGACCGCGAAGCGACGGCCACCACGCTCGAGTCCATTGCCGACTTTGTGCGGCCCACCGTCTCGAGCGCGGGTGCGCATTCCGCCCCGGAGCTGTTCATCTTCTTCAAGCCCCTCCCCTTCTCATCCCTGTCCCGCGCCCTTGACATTCTCGACATGCAGCTCATGTCGGGCGAGGTCCTCTCGCGATGGGAGGTGCCCGTGTACCTCCGCACTCTGCTTCAGTCGGCGCGTAACCACGACGAGCAGGTGACGCTCGCCGAGAAGATGGTGCGCCGGCAGGCCACCCGCAATGCCGACGAGCGTGTGTGGGTGGCTCTTTGGGAGGACATGGACAGGCTCCAGAGCGGCGGCGATTCACTCCTCCGTGGCGCGTTTGGCATGCTCTCAAAGGAGGAGCTTATGCGCATCTTCCTCGGCGGAGTGCTTTCTGCAGGCAGTAAGTTATGTTTCTGTGGTCGCAACTGACAACGCAGACTTTGCGACTGCCAAAAAGGTCATTCGTCGTCTCGAGCCCGAGGGACACTTCACCCCGGAGAGTCTCGAGGATGTGGTCCTTACCACGTCCAAGGAGTTTTACATGCGCGCCGAGACGGGCAACATTCACACTGGCGACATGAAGCTGGCTTACGAATGCCTCTCTGTTCCCCCCGAGACTCCTGCTATTCACGCCGAGCGCGACTTTATCCAGGCCACTTCGCGCCTGACCACCTTCCGCTCCCTCTCAAACCTCACACCAGCCGAGATCCGCCACACCACCAACAAGCTGGACCTCATCCGCCGTGTCCTCTCCACCTCGGACGATGCGTACAGGCACACGGGCATCATCCTCGAGCTCACCGACAAGCTTGGCTACGCAAATGACCAAGCTGCCCGCGCCGAAGTTCTGGCCATGCTGGTCGACGCCGCCGTGGCCGCCGAGGACTGGGACCTCGCGCGCGACCGCGTCGACGAAATGGTCGGCATGGCCCAGCCAGACCTCGGCGAAGGGTCCGGTGACGACGAGGCGGCGCACAAGCTCCGTGCCGTCGTGTGGCGGTCGTGTCTCGCCCTTGGCCGCCAGGCTCAGTACCCCGACCTGGGCGGGCGCATGGCGCTGCTGGCCCAGGCCATCGCGCTGTGTCCGCCCGACGACGTGCCTGTCATCCTCCCCATCTGGCGCAAGGTCGAGGCAGAAGTCGCCGCCCACCCCGAGGTGCTCCACATGACCCGCTCCACGAGCAGCAGCGGCACGCCGCCGTCGTTGAACCTCCCGGCCGGCGGCGAGGAACGCGTCCTCGGCTCGCGGACTGCGGCGCGCGCAGCGCGCCTGGCCCTCGACCTCGGCCACGGTCTGCGCTCATTCACGGGCTCGCCGGCCCTGGGAAGCGCGCGCTCCCCCGACCTCTCCCGCCACGACAGCCGCGACTCGCGTGACTCGCGTGACGGCCAAGGTCAAGGTCAAGGTCAAGGCCACGGTCACGGAGGAGCGTTGGCTGCGCGTCGGGACAGCTCGTCGGCCAGGCGTGACGCCGCGGCCCTGTTCGACGACGGCGACGAGGAGAGCGTCCGTGCCGTCGGCCGCCGTGCGCTCGTTCGCGGCGTCGGATGGCTGCTCGGCGCCGAGGAGGGCGAGATGTAGATGTAGAGGCAGACGCACACGCGACAGAGTTAATACGTGCACCAATCAGTGCCCGGGGATGCCACACTGCCACACGCCCGTTACCCGGCGTCATGTATTCGTCGTGTCTTTCCTTTCTTGTGCTGCACCGCATCACCACCAGCATCCTTTCTTCACACGTCTGTTCATACGTCATGTTTCGGCCCACCGCTCCGCAGTTCTGAGAATGCGTCTGCCCTCGTTGTTCCTGTAACGCACATACCGCTTCAGCCGCTTCGTGCGCACGTCGCTTCGAGTCCGCAGACTCCGCACAGACATGTGCTTCCACGCATAAGGGGTTCATGTAGCATGTCATGGTTATCCAATCTCGGCGGTCCCCCTGTGACCCTGTCTCCTTGGGCGAGAACAACAAAACACGTATTGCACGCGGAGGAGAGTGCATCATGCAGTCACCGCAGGGTTCCAAGTGCCCAAAAGCTGCTTTCACCGCTGTATCTGCGTCTATGTCCGTCTTTCTGATGGCTCTATGGCTGTCGTACGAGGACTATTACTGGTCTATCCGCTTCGCCTCGCCTGTGGTTGTCAGCTGATTATCCTTGGCAGGCCGTTCCCAGTTGTGAATGGCAAGCGCTTGTTTGACCTTACCAGATGCGAGGACGCGGTACTTGTGGCCACGCCACATGACGTTGGAACCGATCATGGCATACAGCCAGATGGGAAGCGCAAGCACCTCGCGCGCGGCCCAGGCAGCCGTGAACGCGAGTTTGCCGGCAGGGGGGCCAATATGCCTGACATTGGTGGTGAGCTTGGCGCGCACGTCGAGGTCCACCGCAAGCCACAGCGCCATGTGGATGACGAAGAACGGAACCCGCCACCATCCAAACAGCTTGTGCGTCGCCCAAGCGCCGTACAGGCCGCAGGCGATGGACTCTGTCAACGGCTCCAGCAACGTGGCCGGCAGCGTCATCATCTTGCGAACGCGGATCCACCGCGCTCGCCTGTCAATGTACGCGTGGACGCTCATGGCGCCGATGAAATCCAGTGCGACGTCGCCCTCCATTGCGTGCTTGAGGCCCAGCTCGTGCCACAGCGACAGGGCAATCATGTTGTCTTCAGCCATGAACGGGCCAAAACCGGCGAGACCACGAGGTGGGTCAGGCTGTTTGCGCAGAGTAGGGGAAGGGGTGGTGAGGGACTGGACATTGGCGCGCGAGTACATGTTCGACTTGCCGACGACGCACGACTCGAGAGCGACGCTGTTCTGTAAGGTGTTGGGTTAGCCTGGCAAGGAGGGGGAAATATCGGCGAGTCATCACTCACAATGCTGAGGTACATTTTTGCGTGCGTAGAGTTGAGGTATGCTTGCTCGATTAGGCTCCCCCACGTGCGCTGGTACACAACTGCGATGGGAACCTGGTGGACGAGTCCGACTTGGCCGCGCGTAGGCGGTGGGCGTTCATCGTCTGAAATAAGAGGCGAGTTCTCGACATCAGACCCACGGCGGGACACAAAAGCATCGACCATACGGCCGAGCACATGTGGAGTGACAGTAATAGTGGCGTCAATGACCCAGAGAAGGTCATACTTGGCTTGACGGAACGGCTCCATCAGGTTGTTCACCTTTGGGTTGACACCGACCTTTTCGCCGTCTGCGGTTGCACGTCAGCTCTAGTTTTTATACACTCGCTTTTGGGTGGCTCACTAATGACCACCTTGGCGTCGACGTGTGGAAACTTGTTCATGAGCATCTCCACCACACCCAGAGCCTCGTCGGTCTTGCTCTGCAGAGCAAAGATGACCTCGTACTTGGGATAGTCGAGGCGCATCACGCTCTCCAGCGTGTTGTAGAGGTTGGTGTCCAGACCACACAGTGGACGAATAATCGTCACACCGGGGACCGAGTCGGCTGGCAGACATGTAAACCGCGAAGGTGCCAAGGAGTGGCCATATCGCGACACACTTTTTGTCAGCCAACGTATGCCGTCTCTTTTCGCCCAAACAATAGCACTTACGCGACGCGCCATCCGTTAAGACAAATAGTCCAGACGACCACATAGAAGGTGATGGCCGCACATGCGACATAGAAGGATATTGAGGATCCTGGATGTCAGCTGCAGCATAGCACGCTAGCTCACCCTCCTCCATTGCTTGCACTCCTCGAGATGGACAATGGGTATCTTGTGTACACGCCAATGTCGACGACGTCCCATAATGGGTTTGGACCTCCACACCCTCGCGGCGCGGCGTGCGACGGAAGCAAAAATGTCGCCACCCAACACGCGTAGGGGACGCGCCTGGGTGAGTCAACCTCTACAAACATACACACTCCGGCTTGCTTTTGTCCTTCCCTATCACATCTCGCTCGTATCATCGTCCCAGTCAAAACGACAAGACACACGCGGAGGAACCCTCCTCGCCATTACAAATGGACTTGAGCCACCCGCTCCTCCAGGCGGGCGACACCGAACCCGTCCCCTTCCCCGAGTCGTTCCCCCAGCTCCGCCGGCTGGACCGTGCTGTCGTGTGCCCCATCTGCAAGGAACTCTTCCAAGGTCCCGTCAGCATCTCATGTGGCCATTCTTTCTGCTCAGCTGTGGGTGATAACCCTTGGGAATCGTAGCTTACCCGCCGCCAGTGTATCCGCTCCTTTCTTGACGTATCCAAGAAATGCCCCAGCTGCCATGAACCAGCCAAGGAAGCCTCCATTCGCAGGAATCGCGCACTCGAGGAGATGACCGACGCATGGGAGGCTGCCAGGTGAGCTGCATAGCCTAGGCACTCTAAGCTAACATTCAGAGCCTCATTACTCGAGCTTGCCCAGCCACCACGGAAGCGTTCTCGCGACTCTGGCGTGGCATCCTCGTCCAAGCGTACGCGTAACGCGTCTCCCAGGAAGGCGTCCCCCGAGGAGCCAGACAGCGACATTGAGGTTCTCGAGGACGACAGCACCGATGTACCTGCAGAGCTCGCTGAGAATGGTGCGGTCATCATACAACGGATCTGTCGCTTACCGTTCAGACGAAGCACCGTGTCCCCTTTGCGCAGCAACCATGCCCATCTCCGCCATCCCCACCCACATTGACCGCGGATGCCCACCACCAAAACCCAAGGCTGGACCGTTGAGTGTCGGAAACCAGAAGGCGGACTGGAAAAAGGTCTTCTCGGGCGCGGCGAGTGGAAAGGCCAAAGTGTGAGTTGAACTTATGCTTAACGCAGCAGCTAACAACAGGGCGGATATGAAGCGTATCGTCAAGCCAAACTACAGTCTGACCGCACTAGGAGAGCTGAGGGCGCTCCTCACTGTGGGTGGATGCCCATTTTTGTCAACGCTGACCCATCAGGAGCACGGTCTCCCGACAACCGGCGACCGCACGGCCCTCGAGAACCGCTTTCAAGAGTGGATCGTGCTGTTCAATGCCAACTTGGATACCTCTCACCCTTCGTCACTACCCGTCCTGCGGACCAAGCTCGCCAGCATGGAAGCGTCCCGCAAGCGTGACAAGGACAAGGGCAAGGACGATGAAGTGGACGCTCTCCAGTCCAAAGAGGGACTGAAGCGCCACGCTACGGATCAGAAGAGCGAGTTTGAGAGGCTCCGACAGCAGATTCTCAACCGCAAAAACAAGCAGAGTGGCAGTGCAGCGGACACTGCCATCGAGGTCGAATGAGCGAGCACTGGGCATTTTGTTCCATACCATCATGAGCATGAGCGAGCGCGGCGTGCCGGGGGGACGTCGCAGGCATTGTAGCATAACCCCTGGGGGGGCACTTTTTTGTCGATATTCGTCAATGCACGAGCCGGTTGACTGTACGGTTGACCTTCTCTGACTGAATCCTGTCAAACACGGTTTTACATAGACTACGTGCTATCATCAACTCAAACGAGACTTGCTTGCCTATGTGCCTCGAGTCTACGCCTTGTCGGGACGCACACCACGCACAGCAAGGAACTTCCAGCCGAAGCGGTGCGCATACTTGACAGTCTGCGCGACACCGGTCCAGAACAGGCCCCTGTTCTGCAGGTTGGCCGAGAGGCCGGGGAAGACGTGGCTGCTCCAGTCTTCAATCTTGACGTCGACATAGCCGAGCTTTTCGAGCATTTCAGCGTACGCCTCGATGGTCTTGGGGCGGGCGTTGAGGTTGCGGTTGGGGAGATGGGCAACGGGCGCGACCCAGCCAGTGACGAGGCTGAGGGGCCACTTGCTGAACGACGGAGGCGGGACAACGTCCGTGTAGGCCAGCACGCCAGAGCCCGGGCGCAGGACGGGGAGGACCGAGGCGGCAAAGTATCCGATGCCAGGTGGGAAGTGGTAAGCGGCGTCGAGAACGTAGACCAGGTCGTAAGGCTCGGGAGCCTGCGACGCTTGAGCTGGGTGTTCAGCCTCAATGTTCTCGTCTCCCTCTCCAACAAAGTCGGCGTCGTCAAAGATGACCTGGTCTTCGGCGGCATCGCGATACACATCGCCAGCCTCGGGCTCAGGCTCAGACTCACCCCCACGCTTCGAGCCCGTGAAACCACGCATCGGATTGAGGGGGTGGTCAAAGTCCTTGTTGGCGCGGTACGAGGCGGACATTGTAAACCAAGTGACGTCGGTCTTGTCCTTGTAGTCCTCCTGCCAGTGCCCGACGAGAATCTGTGAAGCATGCGTCTCCGATGCCAGTGACGTGAGGGCGTCGAGGCGGTTGGGCGGACCAGTCTTGAGGTGGATCACTACGTCAGTGTCAGTGCATGTCATCCCACCGATCTGGCATCATCCCGATGGGCGTGGTTCCGTCATACAACTTACACAGGCTCTCGCCCTCGCCGTGGGCCATGTCGAGCGTGTTGCCCGTAGTCTTTGCATCGGCAAACGTGAGGAGGCGGCGAGCGAGTGCTTCATTGGCAGCGGTGAAGTCGGTCGTGTTCTAATTGTCAGCAAAGTTGCGTTGTAGAGCTAGGTCCACTCACGTCCCAGTAGCCCATGTTCCTCCAGCGAGGAAGGCGGTTGTCCACGGCCGTGTTGAGGAGCGAGGGGTCCCAGTACGCATACGGCTCGGTGATGCTCGCGGGGAGCAGCGGGTAGGTGATCCTCCATACTAGAGGAATGCAGGCGAGCACCAGAAGCCAGTTCATGGCCGTGGCTGGGTTCTGTTGGATTTGCTTGACGATGCGGTTCTTGACGTCGTTCATGGTGACTGGAAGTCGCGGGGGTTGATCGATCCAGCGCACCTCCACCGGCGAGATATAACGGCATTTAAAGGTCCGACCCAGATCCCGAGACGCGCGCATCCACACTCTCTCTCTTCACCGCTCTCTCACCTCTGTTACCGCTCCAACGTCATCGCAAGCAGCGCCTGGGCATCTCGTGACTCGGCATCCGCGACGTTGCATCCTCTCCAACGGCCATGCATGTGCCCACCACTCAGCAAACACGTCTACTCGTGGCAGCCGTGTGTATCCTCGTCATGGTCTTGGTACGACAGTTCGGAAAACAAACAGTCACTGGCGAGCCTGTAGCGCCCGCGCCCGGTGAGGCGTTCCGACAGCGCATCGTGGCTGTGGGCGACCTCCATGGCGACATTCACAATGCCAAAAAGGTGTTCCGCATGGCCGGCCTCATCGACAAGCGCGACGCTTGGGCGGCTGGATCCGATATTTTCGTCCAGACCGGCGACATTGTCGACCGAGGCGGTTACGCCATTGACATCTACAAGATGATGCAGCGCCTCCGTGGCGAGGCAGCGGCCGAGGGCGGCAAGGTCGTCTCCGTCATGGGCAACCACGAGTTCATGAACGCCTTGAGTGACTGGCGATACGTGACTCCTCTGGACATTAAGCAGTTTGGCGGATCCCAGCAGCGTCGTGAGGCAATGTCCATCGACGGCTGGCTCGGACAGGAGTGGCTTGCCAACTACTCTGTCACTGCCCGCGTCCCAATGTCACCGTTCCCCGACGCGCCCACTCTCAGCTTCACTCATGGATCTCTCCGCCCCTCGTTCTCCAACCTCACGCCATACCCAGACGCCATCAACAAACTTGGCCACGTGTTGCTCACACGGGCTATGACACCACCGCTCGCCCCTCCTTACCCTCCTAACCCTTACCAGGGCCTCCCAGAGGGCACCACCAAGGACGAGCAGGAACTGTATGGCGGTGGTGGACCACTCTGGGCTCGTGGACTAGCCGAAGGCCCCGAGGACACGGTGTGCAAGTGGGCCAAGGAGATCAAGGAGAAGATTGGTGTGAGACGTATCATTGGGGTGAGTTACGTTGGCCCGAATGTTTCTAACTATCCAGGGCCACACTCCCAACTTTGAGCACATTGTATCCCGCTGCGATGGCCAAGTTATTATTATCGACACCGGAATCTCGAGCGCGTACGGAGGTGTCTTGTCCGCCTTGGAGATCATCTATACCTTGACCCCCGTTCCCGATGAAGACGACGACAACAACGGACACCGGGAAGATCCTCTCGCCCCCGACCAACAGGCCCAGTCGCCCATGGAGGTCGAGCCGCTTCTCCGCCAAGGTGGAAAGTACATTGAGCGCGAGGAGGTGTACGCCATATACGAGAAGCACAGGCAGCTGCTTGCACGTGAGGTCCAACAGATCATCCTCTAGCATAGTCCTCTAGTTGTACAGAATATACAATCTCTCTACATGTCATCAAAGAGACCGTCCTCGTCCAGGTCGCTCATCCACTTCCAGAACTGCGAGTTGGGGAAGCTGAAGGGTTAGCGGATACCAAAAGCGTTACTCACCCGACAGTGTTGTCGTAGCTGCCATCGATACGGTCGATGAGGAGGCCTCCGAGACCCTGGGGGTTAGGACATGGTGAAGTTTATAACACTCACCTGAATGGCAAAGCCACCTGCACGGTCGCTGCCCTCTCCGTGGTCGACGTACGCCTGTATCGTCTCTTTCTGATGGGTTAGCGTGACTTACGAAGATCATCAGGACCCACTGTGTTCTCGAAAAAGTGCACAGTGGTGGTGCACGAGATGGACTGCAGCTTGAATCCTGGCGCCTCGACAGTGGGGTGGACTGAGAGTTAGCTGTAACAACGTGGCTGTGAACTCACCAATGCACACAGCAGTGACAACCTCGCAACTACGTCCGGACATCAGACCCAACAGCCTCGCTTGCTCCTCCTTGTTGGCAGGCTTCTCGAGGATCTCCGAACGCTCGGCGCCTCGCTTGGCGTCAACAGCCAGCTCGCGGCCCTCGCGGTGCGTCTCGTTCTCAGGAGGGAAGATGACGACCGTGTCGGCTAATGTCAGCTAGAACCGGGTAGACGTAGCTTACCGCTAATGACAATGTCGGCAGGGTCGGCGTCGTTCTCCTTCATCAGGCGCTCGTACACCTCCATAGCCTGGCGTTAGTTGGACATCAACCCCACACCACCCACCTTCTCCCCAGCGGTGGCGACGGGATAGTCGGCCAGACGTTCTTCAAACATTCCCTTGGGAAGCTTCTCATCAAACGTGGAAGCAATGATCTCAGGACGGAAGCCCTACACATTAGCGATTGGGCCGGGAGGGCAAGCCACGAGTCACTCACGACGTTCTCCAGAATGTCCTTTCTCCGTGGACTGGACGAGGCGAGGACAACGCGCTTGTCCCTGAGCTTTTCAAAGATGGGCCATGGCATGGCGTTGGGAAGAACGTTTGAAGGGCGGTTTGCTGTCATTGTTGCTGTGCTGATTGTCAAGCAGAAGAAATGGTCAAGGCCAAGATGGACAGGCTCGTTGACACCTGGGCTCTGGATATTGTGGTCCAAGCTGGAGGGTTCCTGAAGTGGAGGTCAGTAATCACGTGACCCGCCATTCGCCAGAAGTTCAAGTGTTCATCGTCAACTTTGTGACCCACACCCTTCTACAACCACCACAACAACGCAGCAGCGCCAGCATCATCTCCAAGGGAACATAGGAGTTGCTGCAAAGCGCGTTCTGCGAACACCACCTTCAACCATGTCCGAACCACCCCAAAAACGTTTCCGCGTGAGCTCAAAATTCTTCCTCTCGTCCACTCCACTGACATTGTCCTCCAGTATGCGACCTACACCGAGAAGATTGGTGCCATCTCGGTCGATGTCGGCAAGCGCAAGGGAATGTCCTGGGAGAGGGAGGAGTTTGGCGAGGAGGAGCAGAGTGTGAGTACTTTGATGAATGGCAGTGTTACTGACTTGTTCCCAGAAGACCCCGTTCACCGTCGAGCTCGCGCGTCTCGAGCTGCACGACTTGACGATCCCGTACCAGGACCTGTCGCGTGCCGTGTTCCCCCTCACACGTACCCTCCCCATGACCCTCCTCAACATCCCCTCGATCTTTGATGTGTTTACGGCCTTCTTTGACCGCCTCAAGGACGGCGAGGACCACGCCAACTCGGGTCTCGACTCCGTCCTCTCCCTCCTCCAGGCCCTGTACGAGACCTGTCTCGGCGAGACGGTTTCGTATGTCCCCGACACTGTCGCCCACCTCGTCCGTGTCGGTGCTCTCCGTGCCCTGGAGCCCAAGCTCGTTGAGCGCACCTATTCCACTCTCTCCCTCGTCCTTCGCACCATCGCCCCTACCCTCCTCAAGCCCGAGCAGGTCCCCACCCTTCGTGCCGCCTGGGGCCATGTTCGCCCTTACCTGGGCCCCACCAACAAGGCCTATGTCCGCAAATGTATTGCGGACGCGTGGGCCGGCGTGCTCCGCAAGGCTCGTGGCGATGCTCTCTCGCGCCTCATGGGTGCTCTCCTCGAGGAGGACACTCCTGGCATGGAGTCTGTCTGGACCAACGCTATCAAGGGCACGTCTGGGCACCTCCACTCGCGTGCAGTTCCCATCTTCACTGCTCTCCTCGATGAGCTTGCCGCCAACCCCACGGATGAGATCACTGCCACTCTTCGTCGCATCTCCACGGCGCTTGTTCACCACTGCTCCAGTGGCGAGACCGCCCCGCTGGTTGAGGCTATCCTCTCGCGCGTCGCTCCTGCTACCCCTTCAAGCTCGAAGCAGGCCAGCCGCGACCTCGCCCCGTCTACCGCCATGCTGGATGTTCTCTCGGCGTTCCTCACTACCCGCAAGGGCAAGCGCTTCCCTTCGACCCAGGTCAAGCCCACCATGCTCAAGCTGCAGTCGCTTGTGCCCGAGGTCAAGGCCGCCACTGGAGAGGAGGCAAGCGCCTGGCGTCGCGCTGTCGTCGCCGCTATTGTTGGAACCCTCGCGGCTGGTCACCTTGCTGAGTGGCTTTCGCCTGGTGTCGCCCTCATCGACGCACTGTGGGCTGCGCTCAGCACCGCCGAGTCGTTTGCCTTTGTCAACATGTGTATCGCGTTCAAGTGGACCGGTGTTGAGCAGTTCCTCCTTGCTCACATTGCTCGCACGGCGCTCACTGGCCTCAAGGACGACCCTCTCCCTACTCTGGTGCTCCTCAACAACCTTGCTGGATCTGGATTCCTGACCGGTGGTCTGAGTAACGTCCAGGGTGGCAGGTGGCGTGCTTCTCTCGTCACTGCTCTTGTCAAGCTCCTCAAGTCGATTGTCGAGTCGCGTATCGCAGAGGAGGACAAGCGTATCTTTGGCCTCATCCTCAAGCTCGTCCCTCACCTCGCCAGCGAAAGCGCCCACTTCTCTCCCGACATCCTCGCTCTCCTCGACCTCGCCGCTGGAGAGCGTGGCCCAGTCGACGCTGACGCGGCTAGGGAGGCGTATATCGAGGGTGGCGCGTGGAACAGCTCGCACATTGTTGGCCGCATTCTCGTCTGCCTGTACCAGCTTTCTGTCCGCGCCCCTGCGGCTGTACAGAAGGAAATCGAGAACCACATCCGTGACAAGGACTCTCTCAACGTTCTTCTGAGCAAGTGGTACTGGAACCACGAGGTTATGGAACAGGTGGCCGATTTCGTGGAGAGCTACCCCGAGACGAAGTGAGTACTCGCGGACCATATATCGCAACTCAGCTGACAAACAGGCTCACTACCGAGAACATTGACCTGTTGTTCCCCAACCTCGTGTCTGCCGACTCTTCGCTCCGCCGTTCGACCCTTCGTGTTCTTGCCACCTATACTCGCTCGCGTGCCAAGGACTGCTCTGCAGTCTGGGATCTGTGCTTCAACATTGAGCGCTCCGAGATGTCTCTCAAGAACATTCGCGAGCGTACCACGAACATTGCCCGTCTGACAAGGCACGTTGCCAACATTAATGAGCCTGCCGATGAGCTCGCTGCCACCATCCAGCATGCTCTCGCCTACCTCGTTGCCCAGCTCAAGGTCAACTTCCGTCCCATCTGGGCCGAGACTGTTACCTCTCTGACCGCTCTCGCCAAGCAGCGCGCCGAAATCATTTGGGAGATTGTCTGGGCCGAGCTCCAGAAGACCATCGTCGCCGACCAGACTGTCATGAGCGACCTTGGCGTGACAAAGCCCGAGTGGACCAAGCAAAAGGTCGAGGAGGAAGAGGAGGACGATGACGAGGAGCAGGAGTTCCGTTGCTCCGCTCAAGTCACCAAGCGCAACGCCGTTGTTCGCGCGTGGGCTGAGAACAATGACGCCAACAAGCTCGATGTCGGAGAGATCAAGGCCCAGATTTCGTCTGACCGCCTCGACGTGCTCAGCTACGAGTCACAGCTTCTCGCCGTGCTCACCGCTACGCCTTCCATGGTTGAGAAGCACACGCGTCTGTTTATCCCTGTGGCCCTTGCCATTGCCGGCGCGGACGACTCCACCCCCGTGGCCGTCTCCCACCTGTCCACCCGCCTTCTTCAGGCCCGTACCATCACCTTCCTTGAGCTGCTTGCCAAGTTTGTCAACCCTAAGGCCGCGTTCCGCTCCACCGAGCTGCATACGCTCTACCTTGACCTTCTCTCGAAGGGAGAGCCCAAGGTCCAGACTGTGGCCCTCAAGTGTCTCCTCACCTACAAGTCGCCCAACCTTACACCTTACGCCGACCGCCTGAAGAACCTCCTTGAGCAGTCCAAGTTCCGTGATGAGCTTCTCCACCTCGAGCTCGGCGTCGAGTCGACTGTCATCGAGGAGCAGCACCGTCCCGAGTTCCTGGACGTCTCGATTCGCCTTCTGTACGGTATCATGATGAGCCGCCACGCACGTTCCAGCACCGCCCAGGGCCAGGGTGCCAGGAAGCAGGTTGTCCTCACCTCGTTGAGCGGCTGTGCCGCTGGAGAGCTTAAGACCCTCATTGATCTCATGCTGGCTCCCTTCACCAGCTTTGAGGACGTTACCCCTGCAGACCTCGACAGCATCGCGATCGTGGCAACTGGTCGCCAGCAGCTTGGTTTCCTTACCTTCCTTCAGGATGTTCTTCGCTACCTCGGTCCCCAGACCATGGTGCACTGGAACCGCCTCATCTCGGCTACCGTTGTCCTTGTGTCGCAGGCCCAGGTTGGCATTGATGCCGAGAAGGACGAGGAGGACAAGGACGAGGCCGAAGCTGAGGCTGAGGCTGATGAGGAGGAGGACGTTGTTGACGACGACGAGAAGGTCGACAAGGGCGCCGCTCCCCTCCGTTCCATCCGCTCGACTGGTCTCAAGCGCCTCGTGCAGTTCCTGCGCACCAGCGTTGTCGACTATGACTTTGGCCCATTCCTCCCTGCCATCTTCCGCTCGATTATCTCGCCCCGTCTCGAGCGTCTCGAGATTGAGAACACCCAGGCTCCCAGCGGTACCCTCGAGCTCATTGCCGCCATGTCGTCCAGCCCTGACATGGCTACTGCTCTTGTCACCTTTGACGACCGCACCTTGCCCAAGACGTTCGCGTGCATGACTGCCGTCAAGGTGAAGCCTACGGTGATTATCAAGGTGTTTGATGTCATTGACACCCTCCTCGACGAGGAAGAGACTGTCCAAGGCGTGCTTCTGCCCCACATTCGCCCCCTCCTGGACAACATTATCCAGCTGGTCGCCTCGCTCCGCGCCTCGGCCAACGAGGACATTATGCGCCGCCTGCTGGCCATTCTTTCGCGCCTCTCTGTCGTCGTCACCGATGGTACCCAGGCTCAGCAGCTTGCTATCCTTCTCGGTCCCATGCTCCGCCAGCCCGGCAAGCAGGTGCCCGAAAAGGCCAAGGTTAACATCCTCACCACCCTCCAGCGCCTGTACGCCATCTCGCCCGAGTTTGCCGACCCCACGTCGTCATTCTTCACCCAGAGCTACGACCTCATTGCCAACCTCTTCCAGACTCTGTTCATGCCCTCGTCGCGCCGTGCGCTTGTGGGCGTGTTCCAGACCTTTGGCAAGGCGGACGCGTCTCTTGCGTCCACGGTCGGGATCGTTTCCGAGCTCAACGCCTACCGTGTCAAGCGCATGGACGAGCCTGACTTCGACAAGCGCCTCGACGCGTTTGCCAAGCTCAACGATGACGAGTCGGACACTCTTCCTCAGACTGCCCGCGAATGGCTGCCCATCCTCCGCTCGGCCCTCTTCTTCATTCAAGAGCCCGAGGAGATGTCAATCCGCACCAACGCCGGATCGCTGCTCCGCCGCTTCGTCTCGCTCGTTGGCGAGGCTGAGGAGGGCCCCCTGGTCGACTCGCTCCAGTTTGTGCTCCTCCCCTCCCTCCGTCGCGCCCTGCTCTCCAAGGTCGAGCTGGTTCGTAACGAGGTTCTCCTCGTGATCGCCCATGCCGTCCGTGTCTGCACCGGCATTCCCGTCTTTTCCGAGATGAGCATTCTCCTCGGTGACGATGACGAGACCAACATTTTCGTCAACATTGCGCACATCCAGGTCCATCGTCGTGCGCGTGCTGTCCGTCGCCTGCGCGAGCAGGTTGTCGAGAGCAACATTCGTGAACAAACGCTTTCGACCATCTGGCTTCCTGTCCTGCAGCACATCGTCTCCGGCTCCACCGACGTCACCGACCACCACCTTGTCAACGAGTCGATCACTTCGATTGGTGGTCTCAGCTCCAAGCTTGGTTGGTCCAAGTACAACGGTCTCCTCATCCGTTTCCTTCGCCTCGGTGGTCCCTCTTCGGGCCAGCAAAAGTTCTGGATCCGTTGCGTGTCGGCCATTATTGACAACTTCCACTTTGACCTCAAGAGCGACGAGACCGTCGGCCAGGACGAAGAGACTAGCGACAAGACCCTCGCTGGCAGCGACAGCACCCTCGACGGCACCATCGAAGAGACCATCCAAGAGGAGGTTGAGGAGGAGGAGAAGGCCGTTTCTCCCACCGCCCGCATCACCGAGGTCGTACTCACCCGCCTGCTCCCGAACCTGGGCAAGTTTGTTGGCGAAAAGTCGGAGACGGACGACTCGGTCCGTGTTCCCCTCGCGCTCGGCATTGTCAAGCTTGCATCGGCTCTCCCCGACGACTCGTCCGACAATGAGATTCTGCGCGTCATCAACACTGTCTCGCAGATCCTCCGTTCCAAGGACCAGGACACTCGTGATATTGCCCGTGACACCATGGGCAAGATTGCCATGTTCCTTGGCCCTACATGGCTCGTCCGTGTGCTCCGTGAGCTCAAGACCTCCCTTCAGCGTGGTCCTCAGAAGCACGTTCTCGCCGTCACTATCCACTCCATCCTCGTGCACGCCACCACTGAGGGTGCCGAGCGTTTCGCCAACCTCGACGCCGCTGTCGAGGACGCGGTCAATGCCGCCGCCGAGGTCATCTGGGGCGAGAGTGGTAAGGATGTCGCGACCGACGGCTTCAAGACCAAGATGCGCGAGGTCCGCGGTGCCGCCAGCAGGGGAAACGACACGTTCCAGCTCATTGCCCGTGTCGTCTCACCTGCCAAGCTGTCGGCTGTCCTCGCCCCCATCCGCGAGATCATGCACGTCTCGCAGGCCGTCAAGACGATGCAGCAGGTCGACGAGGTTCTCCGTCGTGTCGCTCTGGGACTCAACGCCAACAGCATGCTGGGTCCCGCCGACATTCTCAACCTCTGCTTCTCTCTCGTCAACGGTAACAGCCGCTACCTCAAGCCAAAGAAGAAGGAGGTCAAGGCCGCCAAGACCAACGCCGACCGCTTCACCGTCAACTTGAAGCGCAAGTCGGACGACGCTGAGGACTTTTACCCCCAGAACGCCCACAAGTTTGTCATCTTCGGTCTCGAGCTCTTTGTCACTGCCTTCCGCCGCGGCAAGTTTGACTTTGACAATGTCGACATTCTTTCGCGTCTCGGCCCCCTTGTCAATGCCATCGGTAACACGCTCTACTCGCCCAACGCCTCGATTCTTATTCTCGGTCTCAAGGCTACCGCCGCTGTTGCCAAGTGCCCCGTGCCCCAGGTCGATGCTGCCCTCCCCGCGTTCGTGACCAACATTTTCAAGGTTATCAAGAACGCTGGTGGCACCGCCGAGGGTGACGTTCCCCAGACCGCCCTGAAGACCCTTGCTGTTCTCATTCGCGACTGCAAGGCGACCCAGGTCTCTGACGCCCAACTCAAGTACCTCATCGAGGTTGTCTCGCCTGACCTGGAGGACCACGAGCGCCAGAGTGCCATCTTCACTGTCCTCCGTGCCGTTGTCGCTCGCCGCTTTGTTGTGCCCGAGATCTACGACCTGATGGAGCGCGTGTCGTCCATCATGGTCACGTCGCAGAGCACCCACGTCCAGGAACTTTGCCGCGGTGTGCTCATGCAGTTCCTCCTCGACTACCCCCAGGGTACCGGCCGCCTCAAGTCCCAAATGACATTCTTGGCCCGCAACCTGGACTATGTCTTTGAGAGCGGTCGTGTTTCGGTCATGGAAGTGCTTGCTGCCGTCTTTAAGAAGTTCTCCGCCGAGCTCCTTGCCGAGTACGCCGACCTGTTCTTCGTTGCTCTCGTCGCCGTTGTCGCCAATGACGACAGCGAAAAGTGCCGTAACATGGCCGGCGCTCTGCTCCAGCAACTCTTCATGCACCTTGAGCCCAAGGGCCAGGACCGTACCCTTGCCGTACTCTCAGCCTGGGTTGGTGGTGAGGAGGACTCGCTCGCTTCCGCCGCCCTCAACGTCTACGGCCTGCTCTGCGAGGCCGATGGCGCCCCCGAGGGTCTTTTTGCTGCCCTCCCCGGTCTCGTTGTGCCAGTCATCACCAAGTCGGCCAAGGAGCTCGCCGTTGCCGAGACCACCGACCAGGGGGACTCGGCCTTTGCCCCCGAGATCACCCTCGACCACGCTCGTCCCCAGGCCGCCCTCGCCGTTCTCGCCAAGGCCCTGCGCAACCCCGCTGTCGCCGAGACTCTCCCCTGGGAGGACATTGTCGCCCACCTCCTCTTCCCCCACGAATGGGTCCGTTTCGGCGCCGCTCGTGCCCTTGCCGTTCTCTTTGCTACTGGTGGCGATGAGCCGCTCACCCTTTTGGGCCCGGACCTCCTGCTGGACATTTCGCGCAAGAGCTGTATCCTCCTCGGCGGCAGCCGTGGCGAGGATGGCGAGGCTGTTGTCGTCGACGCCAAGCTTGCCGACCAGCTCGTCAAGCTCCTGTGGAATATTTCCAAGTCGTGGGCTGTGGCCGACAAGGCGGAGCACGCTGCCAAGAAGTCCAAGGCCGTGGAAGACGAGGACGAGGAGAAGGACGACGACGACGAAGACGAGGAGGAGCAGGAGCAGGACGAGTCGCGTCCCGTCAAGGACGAAGACGACGTTACCGGCGCGATGGAGTCGCCCACTGGCCGTCCCCTCGCGTGGCTCATGTCGCGCATGTCCTTCCTCGCCCGCCGCCTCATCATCACCCGCCCCGCAGCCAACGACACTGTTCCGGGCCAAGTCCTCCTGTGGACCGGACCCGTCATGTCGATCCTGCGATTCTTCGCCGGTGTGTACGGTACGTTCGACCGTCGCCAGGCCGCCCATTTCCTTGTGCACCTCCTGTCACCCATCTACCGCGTTCTCGACGAGGATGGCGACCTCGCCGGCCTGGACGGCGCCGGCGGCATCGACGAGCTGCGCCAGCTCGCCACCGAGGTCCGCGACTTTGTCCAGACCCGTGTCGGTACCACTGCCTTCTCGCGGTCCTGGGAACGCCTCCGCCGCCGTGTCGGCGAGGTGCGTGCCGGCCGTCGTGAGAAGCGTGCCCGCATGGCCGTCTCGGACCCCAAGGCATGGGCCAAGCGCCAGGAGAAGCGTGGCGAGAAGAAGAAGGAGAGCAAGAAGCGCAAGGTCCATGCCTTTATGGACAACAAGGGCAAGCGCTCCAAGCGCAACTAGCCCGGTCGGTGTCTTGTGCAAGAGTGGCGTTGGCGTTAGTCCAAAAAAAAACGACCAAGAGTCGTCGATTCCATAGAGTTTTATTTTCTCAGTTAGGTATACCCAGCATCGGAATCCATACCGCGTGATAGTGGCGTTACAGATGCTATTTCTATTCGTATGAAAAAGAGGGGAGAGCAGGAAAGAGCAGTGTTGTAGCCACAGCATAGTCTTTCTTCGTGGTTTCTTCTGGGTGGCAGAGATGGGAGATATGGTGGGTCACAGGGCCGAGCGGACGAACCGGTGCAAAACACACCGGGGTTACAGATGCCTCGGCGGCGGTTGTGGAGCAGAGCGATCGAGCGAGATATCAAGAGTCGAGACGAACCGGGAGACGGGAGACTTGGGAAAGGCGGAAACGGAGGCGGAGTCGGGATCAGATAGAGACTTTGCAGCAGTGGCAGCCATGTGCCGCTCGGGTCATGTCTAAGCAGTGGGAGCTGAACGGTCGAGGTTGGAGGGGCGTTAAGTTGTAGGTGAGACGGCTAGGCTGCCGTGCACCGAACCATGGTCAGGCGTACAGGGGGACAAGGGTGAGAGGGATAACGGCTGGGAATGGGGGGAGGGGGGGGGGGGCGGAGAGCACCAAACATGTCGATGTTGTCGGCAATCTACGATGACGCGTTGGGAGGGGTCTGCGCCTGCGCTGGGGCGGCAGGAGCAGGCGCACCGTTCTCGACGGAGTGGAAGTGGTCCTCGAGCACACGGGGAGGCTCATCGGCATGGTACGAACGACGGAGATGACGGTACTTGCGCAACGCGAACATGGCCAACACCTCTGCAGCGCTGTCAGCATTCAATTGTTGTTGGTGTGCGCTCGGCTGTTGTGCCACTCGGGACCAACAACAAGCTCGGAAGCTCATTCGGCAACATCACGGCCCGAAAGCACGTTTGCCGAAAAGGCCAAATGCACTGATAAACGTACCCTTCTTGATGTGGTCGGCGAGGTCAAGCTGCTTCTTGAGCTGAGCAGGGTCCTCAATCTTTGAGTTCTCTGCAAGATATTGTCAGCCGGGGGCGTTCACATCATGGCGAGGCGGCATCGGGCGTTTCGGCCGTGCGAGCGAACACACGGCGTTCTCCTTCCGCCACACATGAGCAATTTGGGACTCACTCTCAAACGCGCGTCGCAGACGCATGTTGAAGTTGTACTCGGCGTCGGGGCTAGAAAGGTTAGCAGCAGGTCTACACAGTAGCGTACTAGTCGCGGCCGAGACGGTGGAGCTGGCCAGTCAGTATTCCTATCAGTAGCAGGTAGGGGGTGGCCAAGCCTGGTCTGCGAAGTTTCTTGCGTTTGAATCTTCCGTTTGAGAGCAAGCTCGGCCACAGAACTACTTACCTCCTTGTACACCTTCTTGGCACGGGCGCGAAGCTCCTCGATGGGGGGCAGGGCCTCGGCAGCAGCAGCGGCGGCAGCTGGGGCGGTGGGAGCGACGGCCGGGGTGGGCTGGACGGTGGCAGCAGTGCTCGCACGGCGGACGAAGGGCTGGAGACGGCGGAGGGCGGACATGGCGTGGGCTTTCCTACAGGTTGAGCTGGATTGGAAAGGGGGGATGCCGGAGAGGGGGGAGGGAACGCGCCGAGTCGCAGACAAGAGCGTGAGACTGTGTGTGAAGGACAGAGAGATAAAGAGATGGGAAGCCAGGAGAGAGAGAGTAACCCATACGTCAGGCCGACGACACACCCACCGAGGGCTTCTGCCGTCTCGCCTCTGGGAAAAGGATTGCCGGAATGACTCGGTCCGGTGGCCGCCGCCCGTGACGTGTATTTTATATTTGGGAAACAACAACAATGACGGAGACACGGGAGCAATTTTATCGCATATACAATCTGTCCGTATTGCTAGATATTTCCAGGTATTGACGTGATCTGGGTCGCAGAACAGCGGAGAGACGCGGAACGACAACGACGAGGGACAAATCGACGAGTGCTCATCTCTTTCTTCCTCTCCTCCCCCATTCTTCATTCTAGACACTTTCACAATGGCCGACTCGTAAGTGCTCGCCACGTCGTAAGCAGAGCTAACCGTCAGCGCCCCCGCCGCCCAGCAGCCTGAGAACCCCCTCAACCCCCGTAACCTCAAGCCGTGAGTCAGCAATGTGTACCGGAGAGGGTGGACTGCCACATGCTCTGACGAGTCTGTGATTGCCATGGATGGTAGACTCGGTCCTGTCTCATACACACCGACACATCTACACCATCTCTCGTCGCTGTACCAGTGTCGCAATAGCTCGCTAACTGTTCACCAGTTGCTGCGCGTGCCCGGTTACCAAGACGGCCCGTGACGACTGCTTCATCAAGTTCTCGTCGGACGAGGCCGCCGTCAAGTGTGCCGACTTGATAGAGCAGCACAAGGCGTGCATGCGCGGCTACGGTTTCAAGATCTAAGCAAAGGTCTCAGCCTACATCAACGCCTTGCACCCAGGATCTAGAGTGCCACCGTCGTTTCCTGCGTAACAGGACTCTTCTACTGGCGCGACAATTACAGCATATGCAGCACCATTCATCCTAGTAATACCCAAAAGAAAGAGAGAAGAAGAGACAGAGCCCTCGCTACTGACGTCGTTTCCGCACTCGGATAACGGCCTGGTCCCATGACCCATCGAGGCGCCTCTTCCATCGCCAGCCCCACCACAGCATGAGTGGACCACCAACATTGACGAGCAGGAGGACTCCGAGGAACACCAGAGTCGCGCCAGACGGACGCGCAATGCTCAAGGGCCCAAGCTTCAAGTGGGGCTTATTGGAAGGGGGGAGGAGCGTAATGGAGAGCCAGGCCATGGAGATGGTTAATGCGGCTGAGAAAGACCGCCCCGATTCCTGCTGGGTCAGCGATGGTTAGAAGTGTCAAACCCACCCGTACACCCTTGGCAAGAGTTGGCCATCCGGCAAAGAGGCCTGCTGCGAGTAGAATGAGACTGAAGACGTGTGCCGTTGAAGGAAGGCGAGATGCGAGCACCACGGACGCCGAGAGCGCCGACGTGAGCGAAAGCGACGAGGACAGGCTGTTGGGTCAGGTCATGTCCTCAACGATACACCCACCTCTTCTCCTCTACGACTTCATCGACGCTTCCCACGCTGCTCCGCCTCCGTTTCGCCCTCGCGCGGCGCAACCGTGCCCTGCGCCGTGCGTCGGGGCCGGTGGTGAAATCGGCCAAGAGAAGGTGGAGGAAAAACAGTCCGCCAGCAAGCGGCCAGATACTGTCCGAGGTGGTCGCACTCGTGAGCGTGCCAAGGACTGGAGAGAGGAGCGACAGCAGGAGTGGAGGAAGGAGGAGAGGACGCATCGCCGAGGCCTCGGGAATGAGCGCTGGGAAGCAAGGTCAGCCTCAAATTGTGCATCAGAGACTCGGCGGTACTTACTGCGCGTTGCGGCTGTGCTACTCCCCCACCCGACTCTCCACAAGACGTAGGCTACCACTCCAACCATGCAGCATCCCCATCCCACTTCTGTAGCGCCAAAGTCGCCCACGAGCATTGCGTAGAAGACAGCAAGGAACAGGGTGATGACTGCCAGGTGTTGCGAGACTGGGAGCGTCGCGACGAGGAGAGGTACGAGGCTGGGACGTGGTCGTGGAGCTGGTTGTTAGCAATGCTAGCTTTTGCAGAGGAGGTTGAGAGCTAGGTGGGCACACATGTTGCACAGGTGTTAGGCTGGCTTCGCAACTGCTGCTGCCACTCACGCGTCTCGTCCAGTTCCGCGAGGAAGGATGCTGGGACATAGTTGTCAGGATACGGCTGTCGTCGCCAAAGGACCTTTTCCCATGGCGGTGGTGTCTCGTCCGAGTTGCTTCCCGCCGGCATGACAGCGGCGGGCCGTGTCGCTGTTGACATGGAGGATGGTTTGAACGAAGAGAATCCGGTTGCAGAGATCCACGCCCTCGTTGTGACGACGCGGGGCAAGTGGGTTCAGGCACCGGCCAACAAGCCGGCGGCGCTGGGCGGCGAGAGGGGCTCATGACTCACTTGTGCGATGTTGGAGGACAGTCATTCCTGTAACTATTCCTCTTTCCCCTTGTCCACAACACTGCCATAACATGGACGACTGGGTAGAGCATCCACAGCCACGGCGTGCGTCGTCGGGCTCTGTCCCACATACATCCAGGCGCAGCTCGCGGAGTGGTTCGTGGGATCCTGGACTCGACACCGCCGTTTCGGTCCTACACACACATGGAGTCAACGTCACACAAGTGCTGGAGGAAGGACACGAGGCCGAGGTGAGTTGAGCCGCCTTGTCCTTTGTATCTAATACCCAGGCATCGGCATTGGACACGAACCTTGACGACCTTGACGACCTGGTTGATCTGCCAACATCAGCCTCCATCGCCAGCCCACAAGCACTCGACTTGGACCTCGGCGAACGCGACCGGGACATGGACATGGACGACGAGTACGATCTCGGCGAACGCACATATTCATCTCTCCCGCCGTCCCCGCGCGCCGAGGCGAGCGCAGAGTTTGGCCTGGAGCGAAGCCTCGACCTGAGCGAGCTGCACGGCGCCTTCCATGCGCAAGGGATCAAGATGGCCAGTAACCTGGCGGGATCGCTCTCACCCCGGCGCGACATTATGCGCAGGGGGAGCCTGACGTTGGAGCGTGAGAGCGCGAGCGCTGGTGAAGAAGACGAACAGTTCTGGCCTGCCAGGAGTAGACGCCAGACGCTGGAGAATGGCGACCGACCATCTAATGCCTTTAACACCATCACGACGAGTTCAACAACTGTCACGCACTCTGTTCTGGAAGTACATGAAGAAGGGGAGGAACCCACATCTCCAACCTCACCTGTGCGACGCGACGATGACGACACCCCGAGTGTATCGTCGCCCGACCTCCTGTCGCCACTCGAGTCCCCGCTCCAGTCCCCTCGAGTCGGAGTGCCTCCCAACTTGCCATTCGACCGTAGCAAGGAGGGACTGAGTCTCTGGGACCTCTTGAGAGACGAGGACGCCGCGGATCAGTGGGAGGGCTGGATTGCAGACGGAAAGTGGTGAGTCCAAGCTGCTTTATACCCTCGCGGCAGCTGCTGACTCTGCAAGGGAACGCATTGCCAATTTCCTCGCTGTTCCTCTTGCAGTTGAGAAGGTGGGTTGATAGTCAGATAGGTCCCTCTAACCCTCAGGTGACCATGTTTGGCGCGCTTCTCTGCCTCGACGGCTTTCTGTACAATTTCACCATTCTCCCCATCCGCGCCCTCTTCGCAGTCGAACGGATCTTCAAGCGTGTCATTACCGGGCAGCCAATCACCCCCATCCCTCCAGCACACCTGCAGTCCCTCCTGCGTCTGGCTCTGCTTGTCATCCCCGCCTTGATCCTCATGGTCGGCACCGACGCGAGCAAGATGTACCACTCAGTTCGCGGGCAGGATACCATCAAGCTCTACGTCATTTTCAACGCGCTCGAGATTGGCGACAGGCTGTGCTGCGCCTTTGGACAAGATGTCCTCGATACGCTGTTTGCTCGTGCCACCTTGACGTACCGCGCCGAGAACAGGAAGAAGTGGAGGAAACGTGAACACGTACGCCCAGTGTTCTATTTTACTCTGTCTCTCGCCTATGTCTGTGAGTCGGACTGAGGTCACGCTGCGGACATGACTAACCTGTCCCCTCAGTGGTACACGCTCTTGTCTTCTTCTACATGCTCATCTCGCTCAACGTTGCCATCAACTCGTACGACTATACTCTCATCTCTCTCCTCATCAGTAACCAGTTTGTGGAGATCAAGGGCTGTGAGCTGCGAAGTTGGCAACAATGTCTCAGCTGACCCCACCAGCCGTATTCAAGAAGTTTGAAAAGGAGAATCTGTTCCAGATCATGTGTGCAGGTAGGTAAGCCCCATTCCGTCGAGAAACCTAACACTGCTGCAGACATTGTGGAACGTTTCCAACTTGGCCTCATGCTCTCTGTCATTGCCGTGCGCAACATGATTGAGATGTCCGGTTCAGATCTCGCCTTCCTCCCCAGGAGCTTCGCCCGAGGAAAGAGCCTCATCGAGAGCATTCTCTGGGTAGGTGTTGTAATCACTATCCCCCAGTATCTGACCTGCCCAGCCAGTACTCTTCGTGCTTGCGTCAGAAGTGGTCGTCGATTGGCTCAAGCACGCGTTCATCTCCAAATTCAACCATGTCCGCGCCACGGTGTATGGCCGGTTCATGGACGTACTGGCCAAGGACGTGTTGCTTGCTGGTACTATTAGCAGCCGGGATGGCCGGACCAAGCGCAAAGTGAGTTCCACTAAGCCGGTCCTCTGCACCTGAGCTCACGCCTCAGCACCCAATCCTCCTGGACCAGTCTCCCCTTGTCGTCCGCCGCCTCGGTATCGCCTCTGTTCCGCTCGCCGTCCTTGTCATCCGCATCTGCGCCCAGATCGTCGGCATGCTCACCATGCACACCTCTGAAGCAGTCGACGGCGAGCTCAGCTCAGACTGGATCTGGACGTCGCTCAAGTGGGCGGCGGGCATCCTCATCGCGGTGGCCCTTTGGGGATGTCTCGTCGCAATCAAGATCCTCCTCGGTCTCGGCCTGCTGTCCTTTTCGGCACTAAGGCAGGCCGGAATGGAGGAGCGTGAGGCCGACGACGCCGTCAATGATTTCGGGCGGACGTCGGTGGGCGAGAGCAAAGAGGAGACGGTGGGTAACAAAGTGCCATGAAAGGAACTGACCCAGCTTCAGGCATACCACAAGTCCACATCGCGATACCTGTCCCGCGACGAGGACGATCTCCCGCAGTACCCCTCTGCACCTGTTGCGTCCGTCTCGACACCCCTCGAGTCCACACCGAGGCCCAAAAGGGCCGAGCTGGGAGAGAAAGGGGGTAGAGAGGGCAACGAGGACGGGGACAAGGCAGGAGTCAAAAAGGACAAGGCCGGTGGGGAGAAGGGTGGGAAGAAGAAGTGGAGGCTCGAGGAGGTCGAGCGGTGGACGATGGTGAAGCGGATCTGGTGAGGAGAGGTCGTGAGAGATTGTGAGAGACGATGACGTTCGGATGAGTATACACAACATCTCAATACGCCGACGGCCACGACGCAGCGGGGCCAAGATGCCTCCACTCTGTACCGCGCGCTGGCGGTGTTGTAATGTCTTTCTGTTTAAAATCCTAGTGATGCATGCATAGTTTACTCCTCGTCGGCGGCGGGGGCAGCGGGCGGTGTGCGGAGGAGGCTCTCGTTGCGGGTCTTGCCAGCCCAGTCGAACTTGTTCTGTGGGACAGTTAGCGGGTGCCTCTCGCTGTCCATCCGAGGGGGGTATGCGCCCTCTCCGCGGCTCGTTACTCCTCCACCTCTCCAAGTCATCTGTCTCCTCTGGGCCATCCCTCTGATGGCAGACGGTAGGAGCTAGCCTGAGATGATGTGACCGACCAGCTCCATGTGTCCAAGACGTCCTCGTCTCCAGCGCACCGCGACATCCTACTCACGTCGTAAAGGGCAGAAAGGCCGTAGATGGTAGCGGGGAAGATGATACCGTAGAAGGCCACGAGACGGGTAGCGCGACGCGAGAACTTGAAGTGCTGGTACACATTCTCGCGCATCGCCGCCCAGCGCTCGATAGAGGGGTCTTTCTGTAGCTGTCAGCTTGTGTGGCCGGTGAGGCGCCAGTGAGCGGACAGGGGTAGATAAAGGAGGGCATGGTGTTAAAGGGGGGTGGTGTTGTTGGCGTCCCCAGCAAGCCAGCTGGCGCATGCGACAATCCCAGCTGGTCAGGTGGCCGACACCCATTCACCAACAGCCTTCCCTTGGTCGCTCTGGAGCCTGTCGATGGCTGACGATGCCCGCGCAAGAAGTGAGGACGCAAGCGCCTTCAAGTCCCCCCCACTGCTGGGTGAAACACAGATAGGAGCAGGTGCAGGTCATCGATGACCATGCCATCTCCACCGTCATGCGAATTGGTCGCTCCATTCCACCTCTCGCAGGACATGTCCGATCTCCCGTTTGTGCGTGTCCCACCGTCGCGCATAGCGTGGGCCACTTACCAGAAGGTGGTCTGTCTGTCAGCTGATTTCCCTCTTGACGTATGATAACTCACCTCCGGCCATGTTTGCTATATGTGTGTGTTGTGGTTGTTGGTCTATGCTTGAGATTCGAGCTCACTCACTGTCCCGACTGCTGTCGAGTGCTCGCGCAGGCAGGGAAGCCAGTGAGGGCCGGGGGATATGCGATGGCATGTTCCCCCCACATAAGACCAGCCGGGCGCCACACTCACGGAGATATTCGGAGTCGCCACTCAGAGTGGAGGTGGCCACACAAGCATCCCGAGCAAGGCCGGATGCGGATGTTGATGATGATGCAGTGAGACACATACACAACACACATCTCGAATAGAACATTTGCTGTCTGCTACGACACACACACACACACACGTCCGCCCGCCATGAGCTCGAGACAGCGCTCAAGGTCTCCTTCCTACAGGAGATACTCCCCCTCCAACGCAGTGGAGCACAGCCCCCCTCCCCCACCCAGGCGCTACGACGACCAGCGCGAACGTGATCACCATCGCGTGCCACCACCGCGGGATTATGGTCGCGACAATGGACGCGACAATGGACGTGACCGCCGCGATAGGGATAGGGACGAATACGGAGCGGGGCGTCACGGCTACGATGACCGTAGACGATCATACAACGACTACCCCCGTCAGGACTACGACGACCGTGTCCCGCCGCCAAGGAGGTACGATAACAACCCCCCAGGAGGCTACGACCGCCACTCCCGCGACAGGGACAGGGATCGTGACTTCCATGACAGCGACTATAGTCGCGACCGGCGAGATGGCGGGTCTGGTCCCAGAGGCCCGGAGGGGCCACCCTCTGAACCATCGCGCGATGTCATCATGCTGGGGCTCGATGCCGAGCTGACCGACGCCGAGCTCTTGGGGTTCCTGCGTGCCGAGCACGGTGCGCGGGTCGATAGCGCCAAGATTGTCCGTGACCGCGCCACAAACGTAAGCAAGTGCTATGGCTTTGTCCAGTTCAACAGTGTCGAGGATGCGCAGCGGTTCATGACTGCCAAGTGAGTGAGCTGGCGATGGAACCAGGTAGCTGACATTATAGTCATCCGTTCGTCTCTATGCCCAAGCTGTACCCGCACTCGGAACCCAAACGTGTCAAGATTGACTTTGCCGGCCCTCGAACTGAGCACGCCCCTCCGCCACCGCCGGTGCCAGGCCCCAGCTCTGTGTCCAGCAACGCGGGGCACGACGGAACGCGCGATATCGGCACGCCCGGCAAAAACCAGCGCGTCCTCCTCCTCCGTGGCCTCAACGTGGGCACATATGTCGGCGAAGTCGTTCGCCGTATCGCTGAGGAGATCGCTCGCATGCTCGGCCGCGACTTTGGAGTGCGTGATGCCGAGACGAGCATCGCTCGCGTCGTAATGATTGTGGGCCGCGACGTGCCCCTGTCTTGGGGCTTTGCGTTCGTCGAGCTCGTCACCCCTGAACTCGCCGCTGCACTTCTTCCTTTCCTCCTCGCCCCTCAACAACAGCCCAACGGTTTCCTCATCTCCCAGGTTCCCGTTGCCGCGTCGTTTGCCAATGCCAACGCGTTCATACCAGCTTCTACCTCTGGACCAGGCCCTTACCTCGTCCGCGCAGCTGGTAATGGTGGTATCGGCGCCATGACCATGGCACAGCCCGAAGGCATGTACTGCACCTACTGGCACCAGCAGGCTGGTGCCGTCGAGACTATTCCTCCAGGTGCACCTGCTATCCCTGCCCGTGGTTTGCCCGTGGAGCTGTCTCCTGAGACACGTGCGTTCCTCGGTGCACTGGCTGGCGTAGCACCCAGGTCCACAGGGTTGACTTTGACGCCGGCGCCAACCAACGGTGCTGGTATCGAGGCCGGTGCACCGACCGGCGGCCTCGTCACAAACCCAATGCAGCCCATCAAGATTGGTATCAGCCTCGGTGGTGGTCTTGGCGGCAAGAAGCGCAAGGTGGAAGAGGACGGCATTATCCCAATCACGACCAAGAACGTTCTAGCGGACGATGACGACGACGGTGACCCCGGCAAGGACTCGGTGCTTTTGTCAAGGAGTAAGCAGCTAAGAAAGCCTCCCATGTCACTGAGCTGACATGCTACACAGCCAAAGGTGCCAAGATCATTCCCCCGACGTCGACCAGTCGCAAGGTAAACCGCATCAAGATGACCGTACACCAGTGTGCGGGGTTACTCACTTTGATCCTTAGGTGATGAAGAACATCAACAAGTGGAACACCAAACAAGTCGAGCTGGCCAAGCCTGCGCCGCCAAGGGAACCTCCTCGCGCACCAGTCTCATCTGCCAACGCCACCCCTGTTGGAAACCAGCAGCCTCAGGCCGCGGCGACAGACGACGGCTTCGACTACACCGACAATTCCAACTTCGCGACCACCGGCAAGGTCGCTTGTCTCCTCTGCCAGCGCCAGTTCAAGTCTGAGGACATGGCACGCAAGCACGTCGCGGCATCAGACCTTCACAAGGCTCGCATAACATTTATTTACCTGGACCATGCCGCGTGTAGGTTCAGGCCAGAATGGGGACTGACAGTATGACCTTTGACAATAAAAACCCCTGTTTACCACACCAACACTTTCTTGAACCAAAAACAACACAAACCCCACTGGGAACACTGTAACTTGTCTTGCGCTTGAACTGTCTTGAATATCTTTGCGAATACAGACTAACCTCGCGGACCCCGCTTCACGGGCGGCAGGGAAACAGCGCAAGAACGCTGCCATGGCGTCGACTGAGCCCAAGTATCGCGACCGCGCAGCCGAGCGGCGCGAAGTGCACCACCAGCCGGACCGGCCCGCCTTTGAGCCCACCACCTTCCGTAGGGGTCCCCAACCCCCAGCTGGCGCTGCTCCAGCCCAGCCCGCCCAGCCTCCTCCACCGCCACCTCCGCCAGTCCTTGCAGCGGACGATTCCAATGTCGGGAACAAGTTGCTAGCCAAGATGGGCTGGACGACCGGTTCGGGCCTCGGTGTGGCCGGTGAAGGTCGTGTAGAGCCTGTCAAGGTGCAGCAGTTTGACGAGCGCGTGGGACTGGGCGCCGCCAAGGGCCGCGAAGCCGGAAAGTGGTCTGGTCCGGCTGGATGGCAGGAACGCAAAAAGGACATGGTAAGTGTATCGTAAGCGTAATGCGCGGCGCGCGACAGGCAGCGGCGGCGGCAGATACGGTCTAACTGTAACGCGGTAACCCACCAATGGCATGGAGCTGACAAGCAGACCAAGGAGCGTTACGAGGCGGCAAGCGGGTCGGGCGAGCACTGACACCAACATGCGAATTCATAGTACATTTCTCGCTCCCACTAGATTCCCCCGTCTGCATGTCTTCCCTTTCTGCATACCGCCTGCTGCAATGATAACCTCAACACCACTCTACGTCGCTGTGTGGTGCATGTGTGCGGCTTGACCTGAACGTCTAGTGAACGGGTGTGGCGCCTATCGAGAGAAGAGCAGCGAGCTGAGCGAGTTTTCTTTAGCCTGCTCCATTTCTGTGTGCGTCAGCGAACGTTTGGTCTGTATTGGAGCTGCTTAACCCTCAGAGTCGAGTCGCACTTTTGGAAGCAGTTTCGAGACTCACGCAGCAATTCACGCTCCTGGCGTCGGGCTCTCACGCAAATACCGCAATAGCACGTCTCCCACGTCTCCCTCTCGGCGGCTCGAGCCTTGCGCGTTGTGGCAGGCCGGTCTCCACCATTCTCCCCGCCGCGCTTCTCCCGGTCGCGCTTATGGTCCAGCACCGTGCTCGTCCGCACGAGCGTGGTCGGAGGCTGGGGCAAGGGACGGACGTGTGTGCGCGGGGTGGTCATGGAGACTGCGCGCGTAGGTGACCGCGGTGGTTTCTCGTAGAGCAGCTTGTCTTGCTTGGGCGTGCGCTCGTGCTTGGGCGAATCGCGCTTGTGTCCGTCCCGGTGGGGCGGGTGGTCGCTGTCGATCGAGACCAACAGACCGCCGCCACCACCACCACCACCACCGCCATTATGGGGCGGGGAGTACGGAGACGGGTCGCGGTCAGGGCTGTTGCTGTTGCTGTTGCTGTTACTGAGGAAGGGGTTCTTGGTCTTGGACACCACCGGCGTGGCCGGACTGGAAAGAGTGATGGAGGGATACTCGCCACCGGCCGGTGGTGGCGGAGGAAGAGCCGTGCCGTGTTTAGAGCGATATCCATAGTCTCCGTGCTGCGGCTGTGTCGGGCCGTGTTGTGTGTGCTGGTTCTGGCGGGGGACAGGGGCCACGTTGCCCTTCGCCAGCCCAACATTCCGCCCGAGAGACTGTGTGCGGCCGATACCAAGGCCGGCAGTGCGTGCGGGTTTGAGCAGTGGCGGTGTCAGCGCGCCGGGTACCAGTGGGGCAGGCTTGAGTTGGGGGCTGCGGTCAGGCGTTACGATGTTGTGGGCTACCAGAGCGGTTGGTGACTGGACCTGGTGGGGGGAGAGCGGTGTCGACGGGGTGGTGCTCGGGCTGGGGCTCGTCGGGTTTGTTGTTGGGGTTGTCATCAGTGGTCCCGGCGGACCGACAGGAGCGGAAGGTGAGCCGCCGTTGGCCGCTGCTGGGTCCAGTTTCAACCCCGCCATCGCCGTGGCCGTCGGGTCCATGTCCTCGGTGTCGGAGCTAGAGCTGTCGCCCAACGTGAACAAAGACGAGAGGACACTGGTGAAGCGAGACCCGAAAGACGTGCGGGAATTGTCCTTGTCCTTTTCCTTATCCCTTTCGCCGTGGTCGCAGTCTGAATCTTGACGGGGCGTAGCTGTGCCCGAGTGCGGCGATAGCGGCGAGGGTGGCGATGGTGGAAGTGGGTGAGCGGGCTGGTCGTGGTTGATAGTGGATGGTTGCACGTCTTGTGAGGAGCCTGAGGGGGACCTCCTTATTGAATGTAACGTGTGCATGGCTTTGGCTGCGGAGCGCGGGAGACGAGTACCGATGGCGATGAAGTAGGTGTGAGAGACAACACCCCAAGGGGGATTGTGGAGCAGCTTCAAAGCTGTGTCGTGGGTATGCGGTTTGTTGCTGATGATGATGGTGTGTTTAATGGATAAGGGGGGGGGAGGGGGCGGTGTGCATCCGATGTGAGTGATGAGGGGGTGGCGATCACACATCCTGTGATCTGTGGCATTTCGAGAGAAGTGGTATGATCTGATGGCGCGTGCCACATTCGAAGCATCCATCCAGTCTCAGATCGGAAAACCGTCTGTTCTGTTCTCCTCTCTGCCCATCACGGCAATCACCATCGTCAATGAACAATGGACGGTAAGTGGTTGTTTCACTAGCATCTGTGTGTGTATGTCTCAAGCAGTGTGCTGATGGATGGCAAACATTCACAGCTCCGATGGTGACTCTCACAGCCCACATTTCTCACAGTCCCTTTCGAATTAATGTCGTCCCTCTCATCAGAGCTGGGGATACCTTGCCTTACACACATGTACAGTGTACTAGAAGGGACCAACCATGTATTCTGCATGCACACAGTCATCGCCTATGGACCTCCCGCCCGACTGCAGTGGCGAATTATATTCGGTGCCAGATATTATTAATTTAATTTGCACTCGAAGAAGGCCTTGTCCGTGAAACCATTCGTCTTCATGCTCACGCTAACATCCATCTATAAACAGAGAAATGCATACATAGCACCGAGTCCCAGACTCAACGAGGCCTTTCCTTTCGTCACCATCTAGTCCACAGGCGCCAACACCGTGCTCTATCGTCGTTCAAAGTCCGTAAACGTACACACGCCTCACTACCCATCACCTTCTAGCAAGTCTAGACAATCTTGTCGTGCTCCCGTCTTTTACTCTTCACGCGCCACCAGAGACCGACAAGCACCACACCAACGACAACGGGGACGGGCCATAATGGCCAATTGTCCTCGTCGTCGTCATCGTCGGTGTCGTCTGCCTCGCCCTCCTCAGCTTGTGGGGGCGGCTTGGTGGTGTCGGCTGCCAGCTTGTCCGCGGGGACGTGGCCGGCCTCGAGCCAGCCATCGTAGAAGAGGTCCTGGATCTGGAGGAGGGAGTCGTGCTCGTGCATCTGCATGCGTTAGTGACCCTTGTTGTCGCCCAGTCTGGCGCGGCTACTCACTATCAAATCGGCCGCCTCCTGCACCAACGCCTTCAAGGATTTACTGAGCTTCTGCACGTCTACCTGTAGAGTGGTGTGCTGCTTTTCGAGAGCCTCCAGACGTGCTGTGACGCTCTTGAGGGCTGTTTCGCTGATGAAACGTCAGTTTCATGTTCTGGCGCTCATCAGGCACAACGCCTGGGGGGCTCACTCGAGGTCGTTCTCGTCCACGTCCGCCATGGCACTGCGCAGGCTGGATCCAGCGCCAAGAGCGTCCTCGACGCGCTTCCCGAGCGCTTCAATGCTTTCGAGCATACGCTGCTGGCTGTGTTGCAGAATACCATCTAATGCGTCGTCGCCAGTCTCCTCCATCTCGTCCTCCTCGGGCTCGAGCTCCACAGGCTCTTGCAGTGGGACTTGCTCGGGCTCAGGCTCCGCCACGATAGGTTTAGGCTTGATGGGCCAGTCGAGTGGTTGCCCGATAACTCGCTTCTGTTCCAAACCATCAATGCAGACAACTGGCTGTCAGCTTCAAACGACTCCCAAGCTCACCATATGCAAAGTCGTGGTCCACAAACTCCTTTTGGATGTCGCTCTTCTCGACCGTGGGGCCGTTGTACAGGAAGGCGATGGGGTCGGGGTTGACGGGGTCGTCAAAGCAGCGGGGGGACTTTTTGCCCTGGTGTCGAGCCTTGGACCAGTTGTCCTTGATAGTCCATCCCTCAAGACCCGACGCGGCGATTCCAAAGCCCATGTACTGTCCGGTGAGGGAGTTGCGCAGCACCGATCCGCCATATAGGAGGGTCTCAATGTCGTCTGACAGAATGCTAAGGCCGACTCCAACACCGACACGCATGGCACGGCCCACTGCGTCGAGCTTGTTGTCACGAACGACGAGACCCTTGTAGTCGCCGTCAAACGGTGTGGCGTCCACCATGAGAATGCCGCCGATGGCGCTCTGGGAGATGGTCGAGATGCGGTTAGAAGCCACAACTGTGCCGGGAGAACAGTACAGGACGATTCCGGCGTCGGTGCAGTCCCAAATTGTATTGTCGCTCACGACCGAGTCACGGCACGCGATGGAGATACCGTCGGCGAGCGGCCGGCCGCGGGGGGACAGCTCGGGGTCGGGGCCGTCCACCTCGGGATCATACTCTTCGCCGACGGGGCCGATCTCGTTACGCTCAATGATGGCGCCGGTGCATTGGAGTTTTGATCCTTCGCGGACGTGGATGGCGGTCCAGCCACGCGGGTCCTTGAGATGGCACTCGCGGATGGCCTGGCCCTCGTTGCCGCCAATGACGACGAGGCCGGGGGACGTAGCCTTGGGCCCGACGCGTCCGAACCGTGTGCGAGCACCGTCAATGATGAGGTTGCGGACAGAGACGCGTGCACATCGCCTACAGTCGCCCTGCACGGCTGTCGCGATGTCCTTGTCGTCGATGCTGAGTGTCGCGCGTTGGTCGCCCGACGGATAACCAAGGGTCGCGAGCTCCTGGTCGGCGGCGGTGAAGACTACGGTGCCCCAGAGACGGTACGTTTTCCCGGGACACAGAAAGACTTTTGTTCCTGGACCGCCGTCGCTGAACATCTTGTTGAGCGACTCGTGGTCTGCAAAGCGGACACAGTCCGAGCCGGCGGCTGTGGCTGGGGTGGAGAGGAGGGCGATGAGGGCCGGGAGGAGCAGGAGCCAGAATGGAAAGCGAACGAGGCCGCGTCGGCCAGCAGGACCGCATGCCAGATGTATGCGGGCCATGTTCGCTAAACGCGTGTGGTGTGTGTGTAAACGTGTAGTAGATGGGTGTCCGACGACAACCCCATATGCAGCGTCTTTAGTGGAGTGAATGGACGGGTTAGTGTCTCCCTGCCTGTGCCAAATCTGCTTCCGCGTCTCCACCCAAATAAACCCATTATCGCTGGGGTGTGGGTGGCTCGTGCCTGGAATTCGCGTATCGTCGCGACCTGCGAGGAGCCGAGACGTGGTGTCCACTTTTCTGGCAAATGGATACAACGTCTCTCCCGCTCAATCAACTCGCACCCATGTCGGCCAGTGCAGCGAACACGGCCACAGCGAACCATGAGAATGGGAATGGGACTTTGGCGCTGCAGGAAACGACAAAACCACCTCACCCCATCCTGTCCAACGATGACCGTACGTCCGTCTTGTCTGGGTCCAACGCTGACTCGACACAGTGCAATTCCTTGTTCGCGCAGGGCTGATGACGCTGCCTATTCTGACGGGTGCATCAATTCTTGTGTTTGGGTTTCAAAGCTGGGTGCTGCAAGGCGCCCTGCCAGCCATGTGGTTGGGTACGCAGAGTGCCGCGATACTTTGGGCTGACGGGTTTAGCCAACCTTCTCCTCGTGGCCTACTACGTCGACTTTGCCCTCCCGCAAGTGGACTTTGCCAAAGAGACTGTTCTTATTACCGGAGGTACGGTGAAGATTCCATAATATGGGGGCTTACCGTTCAGGTGCGACTGGTCTCGGCAAGACGCTCGCCGACAAGCTGCTGGCACGCGGAGCCAAGGTCGTCGTCCTCACCGACCATATTCCGGAGGACTATGTCACCGCTGGTGGGTCAGGATTGGCTGTAATTGAGCTCACACACAGATAACTCTCACGTTATCGTATGTGACGTCTCCGACCGCAAAGCAGTGGCAAAGGCCGGCGCCGAAATCCGGGAGAAGGTGAGGGTTACGGCAATTGGGTTCGTCTAGAGGGCTGGCGCTCACTGCAGATCGGGACCCCCACCATGCTGGTTAACAATGCTGGTGTCGTGAACGGCAAACTCCTGCTCGACCTGACCGAGGAGGACATCATGACGTGAGCTTAGTCTTTGTTGAAAGGAGCTCACACCCAGCACGTTCAAGGTCAACTCGATTGCCCCTTTCTGGATGGTTCAAGAGTTCCTCCCGGACCTGCTTCGCGAACGCAAGGGCCACATTGTCAACGTCTCCAGTGTCCTCGGGCTCATCGCTGTTGCCCAGATGAGTGAGTTGACAGTATTTGACAGTATTGGAGAATATGCAACTGACCTGCAGCCGACTACTGCGCCTCCAAGGCCGCCACTGTCGCCATGCATGCGTGTCTTCGAAACGAACTGGACTACAGGTTCGTCTCGTATACCTCGGGGACGATTTGGAATGTCGAGCTGACTGTCTAGGTACAACACGCCCGAGATCCGTACAACCCTGGTACTCCCTGGCCACATCCTCACCGCGATGTTTGAGAAGACGATTATGCCCAGGGAACGCTTGTTCAAGTGGCTGGCTCCATCTCTCACTGTCGATGTCGTTGCCGACGCCATTGTGTCTTCCCTCGAGGGCGGCCCGTTTAGCAAGAACGACACCGTGCTGCGACTGCCATTCTTTACACACACTGCTCGGCTGCTCAGTCCTACATCAGCACTTGTCCCTGGACCTATCCTGAAGCTTGGGCATTGGGTGAGTGGACCGTTGGACCGTTGGAGCTCGTTCTGACCCCTGGTAGTGTTCTGGTGCCGACTGGGCAATGAAATCCTATGGCCCCACTCCGGATGCCGGGGAGCGACTAGAATTAGAGAGGGCACAGGCTGGAGACAAGCTGCACCAGGAGTAAGAGGGTGTGCTGTGTAACAATGTACTGCTGCATCGGAGACGAATGGGTGATTGATTGTGCCAGTTGTCTCCCTTCCGGGGCTTTTGCCACCATACGAGCGTGCGGGCAATTTGCCGCCGGAGACAGCTAGACAGAGCGTTCTGGTCGTTTTGGCGCGCTTTTCCGATTGTCCCTTTCTCATCTAATCAGTCAGCCACTTGCACTTGGATGAGCCTTCGACATCCACAGGCCACCATGGCCGCACTCCGTCCACGCATACTCCTCCGCAACACTGGCAGCACAGCAACAGCATCACGCCCACTCGCGACCTCGGCGCAACGCAGCTTGCCCCGCTCCCCGCGCCATGCTTCCACATCGACTGCGACACCTTCCATTCCGGCACGTCCGACCGACCCCAGCGCATCCCCCTTCCCTCCCTCTTCTTCATCCCCCTTCGCAGACGCTCCCTCAGATCCTTCACTCCCCGAGGCACCTCCTGCACCTCCTTCCTTCCCTGCGGTCGTGACCTCGCTTACGGAGCCTGCACCCCCGACAACTCCCTTGTCTCCCGACCTCGACGTCCTTTTCCACAACCTCGCGACCTCGTTTGTTCCAGGCAACCAACCCTCTCAACACCATATCGCGTCCCACCTCGTTATTCCCGATGGTGCGCGTGCACCCACTCCTCCTCGTGGGCCCGACGATCCCGTTATTGCGCTCGTGACCCCCTTCGAGGGTGGCGACGCCTATATCACTCGCGCAGTTAACGAGGTGGCGGCACACCTGGGTGCAGATGTCATGCGCCTTGACCTTACTCTTGGTGTGGGCTTTGATGGACCGCAAGCGCCTCTAGCTGAAACTGGTGAGCGTTTACAAAGCATGTCATGGAAATGTTCGCTGACACCGCCCAAGGACTGTCGGCTCCTCACATTGCCCAAGCTGTCAACCCTCTCTTCCAAACTTCCTCGCAGACGCAGCCGAACGAGTCTACGGTGGAAGACGAATATATGGAGGAGGACGACGATGATGACCATTCAGCTGCTATGCCCAAGATGATCCGCGTACCCATGGTGGCCATGAACACTGTCGGGCAAGCGCCCAACCCGTTTAGCGGCGCGATGATGGGTAATTTGGGGGGTGGCTCCTCGAGTTCTCAGCCGGCTGTGAACGAAGAGTGGATCTCGTTTTTCGACTCTATCATCAACCTCCAGTTGCCCGAGGGCGAAGGACATGGCGCCACGCGCCGCATCCTCCTGCTCGAGTCGACAGCTGCCATGGCCGAGACCATCGACGTCTGGTGGCCGTCGTTCATGGAGACTGTGCGCCGCCGCCGTCGCGGGTCCAAGCAACTTGCCAAGGACAAGGGCAAGAAGCCTGCCTCGACGTTCCATCCGACCACTGTTGTCCTCTCTGTCGCCCCGAGTCTCCTCCTTCCACACACTGCCGAATGGCGTGAGCCCCCATCCACCGACGCAGCCGGCGAGACCAAGGACCGTCTCCGGTCCTTTGCTGAGGCCCTCGGTGCCTCTGTGGGTTCTATCCATGTCGTCGAACCAAATGCCAAGCATACGGAGAAGCTCTGGTGGAGCAGCGAAGAGCACGACCTGACTGGCCGCGCTGAGCGCGAGGAACGTCGTCTGCGGGCCATCCTGCGTGACGGTCCCCAGTCGCTACTGCCTTGGGTTCCTGCTGGCGCCGCCCGTCCCTCACCCCCGCCGTCGCACCCGATCCTTGATATACTTATGCGTTCGAGGAAAAAGGACGAGACCCCGGACACGGTTATGGCGTGGAAGATTCTGCCCATCATCCCGGCGTCTCGCGACCTTGGTCTTGAGCAGCACGAGCGCACAACCCGGCGTCGCGCCGTCAACGCCGCGCTTATGATGCGCGCCGTTGGCCAACTCGGCGCTACGCTCGAAGAGCCTCTCACCATGCTTCAGGCGCACGGTACTCAGCCCCCTCGTGGACGCAAGAAGCGTCTCGCGCGCCGCAAGGAGCCTGACCCGGAGTGGAGTGAGTTTGTGATTGCCTGGGCTGGCGCAGTGGACGTGGCGAGCACTGCTGTCGGTCGTGCCGCGGTGAAGGCCGCCACTCCTGGTCCGATCGTGCTCAAGTGGGCCGACATCCAGGACGCCCGTGTCGTGCACGAGGACCACGAACGCCGTATCGATGACACTGTTGGCGCCCACCTTGCCGCTGCTGAGGCCGCCAACGCTGCCAATACCGCGGGCACCACGCCCGACAAACCCACCAAGGCCGCCGACAAGCCGATCACCGATCCCGTTATCGAGGCCCTCAAGAAGAACAAGGACCTGAACAAGCACGAGAAGCGCCTGCTCAGCTGTATTGTCGACCCGTCAAAGCTCGCCACGGCCAGCTTCACCGATGTACACCTCCCCTTCAAGACCATCGATGCTATCCGCACCGTCATCTCCCTCCCGCTTCTCTTCCCCGACGCGTTTGAAGGCGGTATCCTGAAGGAGCACGTCACCTCGGGTGCTCTCCTCTTCGGTCCTCCAGGAACGGGTAAGACCCTCCTCGCCCGTGCCATTGCCGCCGAGAGTGGGGCGCGCATGCTCGCCATCCAGCCGTCAGACGTCAACGACATGTGGGTCGGTGAGGGCGAGAAGCTTGTCAAGGCCGTCTTTTCGCTGGCCCGTCGCATGTCGCCGTGTGTCATCTTCCTTGATGAGGTCGACTCGCTCTTTGGCGCGCGCTCCGCCCGCGACTCTAGCGGTGGCTCAAAGGCGCACAACCAGGTCCTTACCGAGTTTATGCAGGAGATGGACGGTCTCACGTCGTCGGCCGCCAACCGCGAAAAGCGTGTGGTTGTGGTTGGAGCTACCAACCGTCCCTTTGACCTCGACGACGCGATCCTCCGTCGTCTGCCTCGTCGTCTCCTGGTCGACCTCCCGGGCCTCGATGACCGCAAGGCCATTCTGCGCATCCTCCTCCGTGGCGAGTCGCTCGCCGCAGACGTCGACATTGATAAGATTGCGGCCGAGACCGAGGGCTTCTCCGGATCAGACCTCAAGCACCTCTGTGTCGCTGCCGCCCTCTCGGCAGTCAAGGACGTGATTGACGTGCCGTGGAAGAAGAGCTTGGCGGGCAACGTTTCCGATACCGTCAAGGCTGCTCCTCAGGCCGCACCCGAGTCGTCTGGCGGCCCAGGTGCCGAGGAGGTCCGCCTTCTCGTCGACGAGCCCGAACCCCAGACAGAGAAGCGCGAGGTTGAGCCCGAGCCGATCGATGTCACTGCCAACGCATCCGCGGCCGCCAAGCGCGTCGAGGAGGCGTACGTCAAGCAGCTCGAGGCAAAGGCCGCCGAGGAGGCCGATGTGGCTGCGGCGCGGGCCTCCGCGTCGTCGACTGGCACTGAGTCTGACTCTCAGGCCGCGGCTGCCAAGGCCGTAGACGCTGGTGCCGAGGATGGTGCGTCCGCCGAGACTGTTGATGGCGCCACACCGCCACCAGCAAGCGAACCCAAGCCGCTCGCACGCACACTCGCGGCCAAGCACTTCAAGACTGCCCTGGGCGAGATTCGTCCCAGTTCAAGCGAGGAGGGAACACTCCCCGAGCTCCGCAAGGTGAGTTGGACGTCGCTGATGGTCTAACCCTCAACTAACAACACACAGTGGGCCGACCAGTACGGCGAGGGAGGCAAGCAAAAGGGCAAGAAGAGCGGGTTCGGCAAGGGCTTTGGTTTCGGCAACGAGGTGCTCAAGTCGAACAAGGGCTTTGGCCGGGTTGTCGACGGCGAGAAGTGAGAGAGACTAGGACAAGAATATCAACGACACGACGTCGGGCGTTTTGTGGCAGCCGGCCAATCTGTCGATCGCGAAAGGAACCACCATATCTAGAGCTTGGACCAGCCGCACCACCTACACAAACCTACGTAGACAGCATCCCCATTTTTTTTCGCATATGCAATGCAGCACCCATCACATGCACCCTGTGCGTCTATCTACTAAAACTCGTTTTGTTTGCCCCACCTTACTGCTTGTCGCCAGTAGATGTCAGTCCTGTCGCGGCCAACCGCGAATGGAGGACCTGGGACCGGCGCTCGAGGTCGTCCAGTCGGGACTGGCGCTTGTCGACGAGCGTCGAGAGGCCGGTCGCCGCCGCGTCGGGCTGCGCGAGCACCAGGCCCTCGACAGCCGCATCGTACGTCTCGGCCAGGTCGTCCTTCATCATGTCCGTGACGCGGTTCCAGTCCTTCCACCACTTGTTCTGTGCGCGCTGCCACAGTGCCTGGCCCATTGCCAACGAGCCGACAATGGACAGGGCGCCCGTGCCAAGGGCCGCGTAGCCCGAAACGAGGTCGAACGGGGGCATGGACGCACACCAGCTGACCGACGAGCCGCACAGCGCGAGCGCGTACGTGGTCATGAGCGAGCGCTGGGCCGCGACCTGTAGCCGCGGGACGGCGGTGGCGAGCAGCTGGTTCCGGCGCGTGGTGACGGGCGCGAGGAGCGTGCCGGGCGTGACGCGCGGGACGCTCAGTGCCAGCGACTGGAGGTGGTTGAGGAGCAGCGGCGAGGAGAACGGGTGGCCCGGGTGTGGGCTGCTGGTGTCGGCCGCATGGGGCGCGATGAGGGTGCGTGCCGTCTTATTGGCCTGCTCTCCCAAGGAGGTCTGGAGCTGGGCCAGCTCGCCGGCCTCGAAGATGAGCTGGCGCTCGACATCGCGCGCAAACGAGCGAGAGAGGTATGCGCCCAGCTCGGCGGCGACGTCGTCCACCCTCAACCGGGCGACGAGGCCGAGCCACGAGAACCGCGACGAGAACATGTGCTCGAGGTCGCGTTTTGACGAGTCCAGAGACTGCTCGACGCTGCCCTCCACCACACCGCCCTCGATACCGCGCGCTACGACGGACACGCGCTCAGCGCGGCTGCCAGCGTTGTGCGCCTCGGAACGGAGCTCGGTGACCACGTTCGCGGCCTGGGAGAGCACACTGCGGTCGCCGGCAATCACGCCCTCGGTGTATGCCAGCGCCAAGTGGGCGGTACAGGCGGCGGTCTTGAGCTGGTACTCGGCCGGCAGGGAAGTCATGAGCTGGCTCTGAAGAGGACCCAAGTTGGACGCGAGGAAGTCGCGCTGGAACACATCAAAGGCCGAGCCCTTGTTTCCAGCTTGACCGGCGAGGGCGACGTCGAGGGCGAACAGCGCCTTCAACGCTGTCTCGGCCTTGACAAACGAGACTGAGCACTCGGCCTTGCCGTGCAGACCGGGGGCGACGACACTCTTGATCTGGTTCTCGAGCCTGGCACGCAGCTGCTCCTCGGTAACGTGAGGGGGCAGAGTGCCGTTGACGACAAAGTGAACGTTGCCCTTGGCCAACACCAATGGCAGGAGGTACGCGACGGCCGGTGCACTCGCGAGGCGGATGGGGTCGAGAACAACGAGCACAGTGTCGGCTGCCACGAGCGAAGAGCTCGCCTCGCTGAAGGGAGCATCAACCTGCACCTCCACAACATCGTACTTGCTGGCCTGAAGCCAGCCTGAGGGGCAGGTCAGGTGGCCCTCGCTGCGAGATGCCTTTTCGTCGTAACTGGAGGTCAGCTGGTACGCAAAAAACGGGGATCTGGCAGTAGAGTGCTCACGAGATGGTCAGCGTCTCGTTTCCAGTGCCAAAGTAGCGGTTGAGGAGAGCCTTGCGCATGACCTCCGAGTCGGACAGCGGGTCCTGGAGAACAGCGCTCACAACATCGTGAGGAGCAGCGAGCGGGTCGCCAATGACTTGTTGACAGTTAGTTGAGTTTTCGCCCGCGCCATTCGTGAGCTCCCAAACTCACCAGCCAAACGTCCCCGACGCGTAGCTTCCAGATCAATCTCTGCGGAGCGGATGCGGTCATACCAGTTTGCCGAACCGCCAACGTCGTTGGCGAGGAGCTTGCCAGTGTCGGCAAGAATGCTCTGGACACCTTCGGACCCGACGACGGGGCTGTGGGCGGCAGAGGCAGCAGAGCTGTGGAACAGGGGTTCCAGCGACGAGGAAGGAGTGTGCTCTGTTGAAGTGGCTGTCGCAAATGTGCGGCGGATCTGGCGCGAGGCAGGGGTGAGGCTCGAGGTGCTCGCCTTAGTCGCAAGATGCAAAGCCGACGAAGACGAAGAGGCAGAGGCCGACGAGGCGAAACGCGGCGTGGACGACGACAACACCAGGCGGGACACTGTAGACGTGCGGCGGGCGATGCGAGGCGCAAGTGGCCGTGCGCTACGGGCTGCCGCGAGCGGGTTCATGGCGACGACAAGTGTTGTTTTATGTGTACAAGACGAGAGTGTGTGCGCTGGGTACAACTTGTGACATGCTCGCGCCTAGACGCCCGGAGCTTTCCCACCCGAGCGGGGTCGTAGATCGTCATCTTCCGGTATTACGTAAGATGAAATGGGAAGCATCACGCGCCTGATCCCTTGTGTGTCCCCCGCCGTGCTGCCGCTGCTCACACACTCGACGTTCTCCTCTTGGACACATCATCCCCACCTCTCAACCCCTCCAACAGCACATCCTCGACACGCACGACGGCGCCTCACGCGCGCTCCCCTCTTGTCCACACGACTGTTGACCACTACCTTTCTTCAACCCCACCCCACTCGCCCCATCCCCCATCATGACAGATCCGGGCTACGCCTCGTCCGGGTCCGGTAGCGGACGCGTGTCCGGCGGCGAGGGCGGCGACCGGAACGCGTGAGTAGTGCCTCTTGTCTGCACTTTGTGTGGCCTCTGCGGGTTGCAGCAGGCTGTGGGCGGGGTTGGGGACGCGTTTGCGAATACCATCCCGCCCAGGGCCCGTGCCAGCTTCGATGACAGGCGGTGTGGGCAACGACGACATGCCGCGCACCGAATGCGCGCGCTGGCCCAACGAACCTCTTCCTCGCAGCCTGCATGCGCCGGTCACACGCAGCTGCCATATTGAAAGCGGAACACCAGCTGACGCAAACATCTAGCATCGTGCTCAAGGTTGGCATGGTCGGCGACGCACAGATTGGCAAGACGTCCCTCATGGTCAAATATGTCGAGGGCAGCTTCGAGTGAGTTGACATACGGCAATTCCCGTGAACATCAACTGACCGTCACAGCGAGGATTATATCCAGACGCTTGGAGTCAACTTTATGGAAAAGGCGATAACGATTAGGAACACGGAGATCACCTTTTCTGTGAGTTGCGAGCGGCGTGGGAGGATGCTGTGCGGCAGCGACCGGGCGGCCACTTGCGTCAAAGGGGCTTGGGAGCTTGTGACCCAGTGGTGACAACTGGCGGCTTCAGCCGCCCCCGCCCCCGTGGATGTGCATCATCACCTCAGCATGCAGCACACGCGGCATACGCTCCACTCTGCCAGACATTTGGATGGACGCAGCTGACCCTTCAGATATGGGACTTGGGAGGACAACGCGAATTCGTCTCCATGCTGCCACTGGTGTCTAATGACGCCGTTGCGATTCTGTTCATGTTCGACCTGACACGAAAAGCGACCCTCAACAGTGTCAAGGAGTGGTACCGCCAGGCAAGGGGGTTCAACAAGGTGAGTCGTACTGCGCTTTATGGTTCATTAGAGCTGGGTGGCAATGAATCGGGGGCTGGTGGCGGAGACACCAAACACAACAAAGGCCCTCGAGCTGTCACGCCTGTCGGTTCAATGTCGAGCCATCGCGGCCCGAGCTCAGAGACCCGTTGAACTTGGGCAGTGCTCGTCACTTGGATGGGAGTGCATCAGCATCACCCACATCATACATGTGCAGTAGCTGATACCAACTTCCCAGACCGCCATCCCCGTGCTTATCGGCACCAAGTACGACAAGTTTGCCGCGCTCAGCCGCGAGGAGCAGGAGGAAATCACCAAGCAGGCCAAGAGGTTCAGCAAGGCAATGCACGCGCCGCTGGTGAGTTTGGATTGGATTGCAGTCACTGGTGGGATAAAGATTGGGAGTGGTCAGAGCCGGTGGCAGGCAGTGTTATTGCGTGACGAGGTTGAGCGACCTGCCTGCCACCGTTGTCGCACTCCCGCCACCAGTGTTGTCAACAAAGTCTCCGCAAAGTCTCCGGAAAGTTGACACTACGTTCCAGATCTTCTGCTCGACTTCCCACTCCATCAACGTCCAGAAGATCTTCAAGATTGTTCTCGCCAAGGCTTTCGACCTGAAGTGTGTCATTCCAGAGATTGACCAGGTCGGCGAGCCCATTCTGCTGTATAACGACCTTTAAAGGAAATAACACGTTGCACTACCCCCTACCCCCATCTCCCCTAGCTCTCCTGTGCGCTTTGCTAGCTAGGACGCGGCTGCGCACCGCCCGTCGTGCATGTGTGAGTGTACAGTATACCTATACCTTTTATTCTTCATCCTCGACAACCGACCTTCTTTAAGAGATTCCTTCTTTATCATCATGCATACGGGTTGCGCCACCCCACTAGACTGAGACGTGTGCAGCGTTGTTCCATTCGTATGTGTTCGTGTCGTGTGTACCCTGTAGTGTGGTACATGTATTACGTGGGTATCGTGGGTCTATCCGTCTCGTGTGGTATAGTTTCTGCGGCGATTAAGTCGCTCCCCAACTACCAACCCATCTGCCCACTGCATGTCTTCGCCTGAGGGTTAGCTATGTCACCAGGTATCTAACCCACCTCTGCCAATAGCCCTTGCAGGCGCATCTCTCTGGCGTCCGCCCTCATCTCCGCCGCGTCGAGCATGTCAAGCATTGCCGCCTTTTGCGTCTCGATCCTCTCGCGCTCTTCGGCCCGGTCGTTGTCCTGGAGCTTGTTTACCGTGCCAGGAAGAGCCTTCACCATACCCATCAGCGCAGCGACTTGTTCCAGGATCTGGGCCTGGGCGGCACCGTGGTGTGAGCCTGGGAAAGAGGGCGATGTGAAGGCGGGGGGAATGGGGGGCGAGTTGAGGTTGGTCACCGCCGCAGATGAACGGGGCAAACCTGAGAGGCCAGACGGCCCAGACGCCACCCGGGGCGAGGCGACGGCAGGTAATGGCGACACGAGCATCTCGACACTGGCGCAGTCGACGGTCGAGGCTGTGGAGGTGGAGAATTCCAGGCCGCCGTCAGCCACAGAGTTGGACTCGTAGATCCCGTCCAGCTTTCCCTCGAGTTTACGCAGTGCGCTGGACGGCGTCGTCTTGTCGGCGGTGGTGGTGGAGACACCCAGCTCGCGCAAGCGGGCAACGTCAGACGCCGAAATACCGCGAGATGTGCGAGACGAGCGCTGCATGGACGTAGAACGCGGGGCGGGAGCGGGTTTGGGGAGCGGAGTTCGTGACGTGATTGTCGAGTTGGCCGGCGGCGGGGCAAAGTCGCAGCAGTCCTGACTGTCAGCGAAGTGGCAGGCAGCCGTAACTCACCCTCCAGTCCGCCCCGAGTGTGTCTTCCAGTTTGGTCTCCAGCGCCTGCCATGTTAGCTGTACAGTTTCTGAGGTCTTGGCTTACCTTGACGTATTGCCTCATCATCTCAATAGTGGCGTGCTTCTGCTCATTGTCCCTACACCAGTCAGCTCGGCAGCGAACGTCATGAGCCTAGCTCACTTTTGACTCTGGGAGAACAGATCCTCGCTGGTTTGCCACTCCTTGCGCATATCCTCGAGTTCTTCCTCGGTTGGGCGCGCGCGCAGTTGCCGGCGTAGGCTCGCGAGTTCGGACTCGAGCTGGGGCTGGTCAACTGTGGTCGCTGAGGTCACCATTTGAACCCACTGTCAATATCTTGGTTTCCTGCTCCTGGGTAATGTCCAGCAGGTTTGGTGATGACTATCTGTAAGCTTGCGTTGGGGGACCCACTTAGCTCACGTTCTGGACGTCGGCGGTGTCATGACGAGCGTCCCTGGCCCAGCTGGTTGGGGAGGAGTCGCCCTCGCCACGACCTTTGCTGACGTTGGCGGAGTTACTGCTCAACGAGCGACGATCGGGGCGCGAGGGAGCTGTCCCCGATGTTGAGAGACGCTTTGTCAATGCCTGCGTGAGGGGAGTCATTGATGGGTGGTTGAATGGACAGAAGACGGGTGTGTGTTGGTGCTGTTCTGGATGACCGTGTTTGCACTCTTGGCCCGCCAACTTGGACCCCCTCCACCGCGCGCCATTCATGCTTACGTAACACCAAATTGCCGCTGCTCGAGATTTCGGAGCCGTATTGTCTTATGTTGAGTCTTGTTGCTACACACTCTTTCACTCTCAAGCTACTCAAACGATGGGTAACGACCAGTCCCGCTCCGCCAAGGGCGGGGAGGAGGCAAACGATGGTCCCATTGATTACTATGAGCTTCTCAAGGTCGACGTTGAGGCCACTCCCGATGAGATCAAGGTGCGTCCACTGGCGAGCGTAACAATATTATCGCCATGTAGCAGCGCTGACAAGCGATGCAGAAGTCGTACCGTAAACTGGCTGTGGGTAACCTTTGACTAGGGTCTAAAGAGTCTCTCTGACGTTCAGCTCATCCACCACCCGGATAAAAATGCCCACCGTGTGGAGGAGGCGACCAAGATGTTTGCCGATCTGCAACAAGCATACGAGGTACGTCCAGGTTCAGGTTCATTATCACGGCTGACCTGGTACAGATTCTCAGTGACCCGAACGTAAGCAAAGCCCTTGGTCAGGTTTGAGCTCACCAACAGGAACGTGCTTTCTATGACCGTCACCGAAATGACCACATTGAGACCAACGACGATGACTTCTACGACCATGTCCGTGCCGGAGACGCAGCCGCCACCGACCCCAAGTCCAAGTTCAACCGTCGACGCGCCGGCGACCCAGGTGTCAAGATTGACCAGCTCATGCGCTTCTTTGACCCCAAGCTTGCACGAAAGATGGACGACTCAAACGAGGTGGGTGTATTTTGTCCGATCGCGTATTGACCCAGCAGGGCTTCTACTCCGTCTACCGTACGCTGTTTAACGTCCTCGCGTCCGACGAGGCCCTGCACACGCCCGAGGGCCAGACATTCGTTCATTACCCTCCCTTCGGTGACTCGACTACTCCCTACGCCCCACCTCCTGGCATGACCAAGGCCGAGAAGTCAAAAACATGGTGGGCCCGCGACTTCTACGTCGCCTGGGGCGAGTTTGCGACCGAGAAGCGTTTTGAGTGGCTCGAGAAGTGGGACACTGCTCGTGGCGAGGACAGGAATATTCGCCGGTTGATGGAGAAGGAGAACAAGAAGCTCCGCGAGGACCACAGGAAGGAGTACATTGATACCGTCAGGGTGAGCTACTGCATGTCCCACTCGCAGCTAACACGATAGACACTGGTCCAGTTCATCCAACACCGCGACCCGCGCTACAAGGCGTACCAGGTTCAAATTGCCCAGGCCAAAAAGGCCAAGAAGGCTGAGGGTCTCCCCGGATCCGGAACATCGACTCCTGGTCGTGGTACACCCCGCACCGTCGACGTCGAGGCAGCCAAGAAGCGCGAGGAGGAGCGCAGGAAGGCCGCCGCTGCGTTCCAGGAACAGGACTGGCAGCGGTTCTCGAAGCGCCCCGACGATGACGAGGAGGAAGAGCAGGAGCCTATCGACCAAGGAGACGGTACTGGCATTCGCATGGATGACGGAGCCGGCGGCGAGATCTTTGAATGCGTCGCCTGTAACAAGACGTTTCAGAGCGAGGCGAGCTGGGGTAACCACGAGAGGAGCAAGAAGCACAAGCAAGCGGTGTTCAGGTGAGCCGAGAGACACTCCTGGGACCTCAGCTGACATATCAGGATGGCAAAGGAGATGCGCGCCGAGACTATTGCTTTCAGCGACGACGACTTTGTGACACCGCAGGAGGCTGACTTTGACGAGGATGAGGAGGCAGACTTCGACGAGGATGAGCTCATTGCGGACCTCGAGGAGCTTGAGCTCGATGAGCTGGAGGAGATGGAGGCTCTCGAGGCGGAGCAGGCGTCGCTTGAGTGAGTTGGACTGCCTGTGCCAAACACCTAACTCGGCAGGGATGCTATCAGGAAAACGACCGAGGCCGCACCAGACGCGCCACCACCAACAAAGCCAAAGAAGACAAAGTCGCCTGAACCCGCGGCTGCACCTGAGCATGACGAGGACGAGGACGACACCCAGTCCACGACCACGGCCGCCACTGTGGCCAAGGTCCCCGAGCTATCCAAGCGCGAGAAGCGCCGTGCCCGTGAGGCGGTCAAGAAGGCCGAGGAGGAGGCCGCCAAGCTCGCCGCAAAAGAGTCTCGCAAGGAGGCAAAGAAGGTGGCCAAGGGCGGTGTGCCTCCCCCTGCTCCTGCTCCTTCAAAGGGAAAGAACTTTGAAAACGCGTTTGTCCAGCCCAAAACCAAGGGCAAGAAGGGTGCCAAGGGTGGCAAGCAGCCTGAAAAGGTGGTTGTTACCGCCAAGGACGTTGAGCGCGCCGTCGAGGACATCCAGGCGTTGCGGCAGAAGATGGTCGACAAGTGGGGCCAGGACTGGACAGGTGGGTTTGATCATCTGGATATCACTAACTCTGCAGACCTCGTGAGCCGAGTTGCCTGCCTTTTCGCAGGACCAGGTGCCACGACCGCCCCTGATCTTGCTGTCCTCTGTCTCGGTCTAGGAAAGCCATTCGGAGACCGCACCGCTAAGATCCAGCTCGCCCTCATCCTTGAGCTTACTGTCGGTCTTGGTGCCCCCATCTCGGTCATTGAGACGTTCGACCCCGTGTTTGAGGACGGTGACCGGCAAGTCCTCGAGGCACTCGGCTGCACTGTGATCCAGGAGAACCTCCGTGGCGAGCACACCGTCCACGAGACCCGCCCTCACCTGATCTACATGCCCCACTGCTCCAAGACGCTCTACGAGTCGTTCTTTCACACCAACTACACAAAACGTCTTGGCGCCTCCCCTCCAGTGATTCTTCTCGGCAACGACCTTGGCGACTACTTGCCCGGGTTCGTCCGCGCCCCACCACCAGGCGCAGAGGCCGAGCAACCGGCAGAGGACGAATTTGTGAAGCCCAAGAAGAAGAGGAAGGGCCGCGGACCCGCCGAGCGCCAGTTTGAAGATACGGTGCTCCGTCGTCTTGTGCCGCACTTTGACACGTTCATGCTGTCGGACCTGCCCGAGACGAACCTGCCTGGTTTCGCACGCGCGTTCCTCTCGACCGCGTTCCAGTGGCTGCCAGAGGAAAATGTGGCCCAGGTCGACTGGGAGACGCCCCTCCCTGAAGTGGAGTGGCCGGATGACGGCGAGGTCGCGTAAGTGTAGAGGGTTTACATAGAGAGGTTTCGACAGAACCAGAGACGGATAGAGGACCGGCTGTCCTAGTGCATAGTTGTACCACCTCTGCATCATCTTTAGCATCTTTGAAAACGCGGCTCTACGGCCGCGCAGCCGCGGCGTACGGTGTGTCTAAGGCAAGGCCTCGGCGGTGCTGCTGCGCACCATATGACTGAACGCTGTGCCGGTCGCTGTGCAGGCCTGCTCGTCTGAACTACGCGCACTAGTTTGCAGCCATCAGTCAGCCCAAGACTGGACGGATCCTGAGTGCGGCGTTCGGCGTCCCGCGCGGTGGACGGGTCGGCGGGTGGCGCGGAGATGCGCGACATGCGGGGACCAAACAACCAGCACGCCGGTACGCCGGCTCAAATGTCAACAAGCTCCACAAAGATATTCTCAGCACACGCCATTTGAGGTGACTCACTGTGGACCACCATCTCGTCATCTCGCTCTCACACACGTCTCTTGTCGACTACAGCAACTTACAACGTCAACTACATTCACACTAGGGTCAACCAGCACACCCACTCCAGAACAGCGGACAAGCTAGTGTACCGGCACACACACACCTTGACATTCCATTCCACGGCCTTCGACGCGACTGAGTGTCGCCCTGCAGCATGTCTGGCCCGTCCACCTCTGGGCTTGGACCGCTGTCAACTACAGGAGAGTCCGAGTCCCACTCTGCGATACCCACATATGCACGGCCAGTAAAGGGCAAGCCTGCCATCCGGGTGTTCTCACTAGACGATAACGATAGCCCATCCACCACACCAACCCCTCCGTCAGTGAAACTGGCGCCCGATACGGACGCCGAAGTCTCAACTACTCCACCGACGAAAGAGGTCCACGAGGGCCCGGCATTGCTGGCCCCCACGCCTGTCCGCGCGAGGGGGGTCGACCCAGAGAAGCTTGGTGTTCCCGAAGCGCTCGAGGGCAACGAAGTGTCGGCCAACAACCCCACCAGCCATCGCAGCAGGGCCTCGTCTCATGTTGGATCGACGCATTCTACAAGGCGGCGGAATGCTGGCCCCCGGGACGACACGACCCACAACGATGCCGATGGTGAAAAGCACGTCAACTTTCCCGTGAAAGAAGGAAGTACGAGGAGTGGAAGTGGGAGTGCGAGTGGGAGTGCGAGTGGGAGTGCGAGTGGGAGCGAGGAAGCGGCTCCCAAGCCCCCGGTGCCGCTCTGGAAGCGCACACTAGACAAGATCCTTGCCCACCCGGAGATGGCTTGGATCAAACCCAAGATGAACTTTCAGGACTGGAAGACTGTGTTGCGCGTGTCCTTGAGTGTGAGTGACAGCACCAGTCATGCCCCTGACGAACAGATGTGGCTTGGATACCTGTTGGTCCTCATCCACAAGACAGGTCTCTTCCTCGGCATGGCAGCGTGTAAGTGCATGCAGTTTGCTGAGGGTGTTCCTAGAGAAGCGATGATACTGACGCACCCCAGTCCTCGTCCTGATTGTCTCGTGCATGATCCCACCACATCAGCCGTTTGTGCAGGTCGTCGAGGTTCTGTGCAACCTCTTCTTCTACCTTGCCCTGGCCTGGGCATGGACCGTTATCGGTACTGCCATTGCGTATGCTGTGCGAGTCCCCACAGATCCCGCCAAGATTGCAGCCGCCGAAGCCATGTTTGCCTTCGAGACCAACCCGACCATTAAGATGGTTAAAGTGGTGCGTCAATTGTAAATGAGGTTGTGGCGTGGCTGACGTACAGGCCGCCGAGGGCACGTTCCTCCAGGCCAGACCTGCGGTTGTGTGCAGCGTATTCCTTTGCGTTGGAACTGGTGTCTTTGTGAGTTGCAGCGGACGGGATGGAGCTGCGAGCTGACAAGTAGCTTTGGTGGAAAATGCGCACCGCGCCAAGTCCCGCCACCTTCCCCCTGGTTCTGAGCTGTATCCTCATGGACGTCGTGAGTTAGGATTTGCATGCCGTGTGCGAACTCGCTAACTCGGAAACAGAGTCTCACTCTCATTCCCTTGTACCCGAACGCATACTACATGGCCCCCTTCCTGGTCTTCAAGCCCATTTGCATCCAGGCAGGCATCGGTCTGCTATGTTCCGCCCTCATCTTTCCGCAGTCCGTGTCGCACTTGTTCCGCCGGCGCTTCACGGGAGTCATCTCGCCTCTCCTCAAGGGAATGGACCAGATCGAGGAGCTGTTTTCAGACGCGAGCACCATGTCGTCGTTTGCGGATGAACAGCACCACCATCACCATGCCGTCAACTTTGACCTGCCTTCGAATGAGGTTGAGGAGAAGCTCGCGGCATGGGGCGATCGGTCCGATAACGTCCGCCAGACCTTACTGGGCAGTTTGACTGGAATGGCTCCACTGCAGGCTATCCAGCGCTACCTCAGTGTCGACATCAGCTACGGCCGCCTCTCGGGAGAAGACCTCGACGACCTGTTTGAAAGCCTCACGTCGATGCAGGTCCGTGCCTCGGGTCTGTCATTCTTCTTCAACGCGATCGTCAACAAGATTCGCCACACGCACATCGACAGCGTTGCATTCAGCGCACAGAACGCCATCAGCCAGAGCCAGAGCCGTCCACCAAGCCGTCCCCCGTCACGTCCCTCGTCACGTCCGGGATCGATCCGCAACTCGGAGAGCGTCGATGCCAATATGAACAGGATGGGCGAGAGTACACCCTCGCGACCTGCGACCCCGCTTCCGGCAGACTCGGAAGACGAGCATGACCACGCCGACCACCACGAATCACTTGCCCGCCGTTTGCACTTGCATCTTCACAGAAGCTCAAAGGCAAACTCGAAACACCGGCAGCACCTCCGCTCTTCACTCGCACAAGGGGTCGCACCTCAGTCTGCTCGAACACTTGCGCAAGGCTCAGCAGCCTGTTGGTGTGTACGAGTCGCAGCGGTACATGGACGTTGAGCGGGGAGACGACCGTGACCTGGTTCGCATCGTTCAGCAGCTCGAGTTGCTCAGTAATGGCTCCCTCCCACTCGTCAAAGCGCTCCGGCAAGGCCTCACCCTCTCGCTCAAGTGGGCCGAGACTAGCGACAGGAAGCGTTACGCGATGATGCGCGACATGCAGCGTGCGTACAGCGAGCTGAACGTCATGCTCCAAGAGTTCCGGGAGCATCGTACCGAGGTTATTCGACCATACGCCCACTTGTTTGACCCCAACCATCCATCCAACGAGGCTGTCAGCGGTATCCATCACAAGGGACTGTACTACTGCTTTGTGGCGCAGTACCACCTGATGGAATTTGGCGAGGCAGAGGTCGAGTTCTTGGGCAAGGCGGTCAAGTATGATGAGGAGCGCCAAAAGCGCCGCTGGTGGTTCCCCCGCCCGCTGGTGCTGTTCCGCCAGTTCCGCCAGTCGGTCAAGTCGGAGCACGAGACCGGTGCGGAAGCCGAAGACGACGAAGGGGTTGACCATGATGAGCACGACGACGAGCTGGGCGAGGCTCGCAGGCGTAACCCAGACTACGAGCCCTTTGACAACACCTTCCTCATCCTCCTGTCCAAGATGTCGTTCCTCCCCGATATCCTCTTCTCCAGGTCGGCAATGTACGCTCTCAAGGCGGGCATTCTCGGCTGTCTCACTTCGCTCCCGGCCTTCCTCGCATCCTCGAGCAGTTTCTATTACTACAACCGCGGTATCTGGGCCACGATCATGGCCCAGATGACGCTGGCCGTGTTCAGTGGCGACACATTCTCATCGTGGTTGTCACGTATCATCGCATCGTTCTGGGGCGGCATTGTCGGCCTGGCAATGTGGTACATTGGCTCTGGAAACGGAAAAGGCAATCCATACGGATTGGCAGCGGTTACTGCAGTCATCTTCCCCCTGGCCTGCTTCTACCGTGTCCATTACCCGGTCGTCCTCACCACGGTCGTGTTCACCACGAGCATGTGTCTTGTCGTCGGATACTCGTACCTCAACGGCCACCTCTTCCGCCTCACCAACGCCAGTTGGGGATGGGACGTCGCGTGGCTCCGTTTCGTCTGTGTGGTTATTGGAATCACCTGCGCGTGGCTCTTCTCTTATAGTAAGTTTACGGGCTAGCTTGCGTTGAGCTGACAACCAGTTCCGCCGTCGTACTCTGCCAAGGTTGCCATTCGCAACTCGTACGCCCGGTCCATCAACACTGCTGGCCGTATCCTGTGCCAGATCCTCTCGGCAGCCAATGACCCCCACAACGAAGTGCTACAGAGTCATAACAAGGAGACGAGGAAGGACCTGATTAAGGCGCGCGCAAAGCTGTCAAAGCTCGGCGTGCGCCATGCCAATGCCAAAAAGGAGTATTCGTTCCGCGGCCGGTGGCCCGAGGAGAATTACAAGGTGAGCTATGAGATCACGGAATCAGCTGACAACCTATCTAGGGTCTCTTGAATACCCTCGTTGAAACCATGTCGCTTCTGGCGCAGTTCAACCACCTTTTGCCTCAGATGGACGTCAAGTGGCGCCGCGCTCTGTTGTCACGTACGCGCATGTCGGACCCGCTGTTCCTCGGCGACGTCCTGGCTGTTATTAGCATGACCTCTGCCGCGCTCAACGCCGGTACGCCTCTACCGCAGATCACTCCCGGTCCTCTTATTGCCAAATACGTGAGTACAGCTGTTCAGTCACATCAGCAGCCGAACGCTGACAAGGTCAACACAGCACATGAACAAGTACAAGGGCCTCGATCTGCCCCTGGACCCGGCGGGCGGGTACGACGATGCCCCCACGCTCGTGACGGTCGAGGTGCTCGAGAGCGACGATTACATGCGCTACGCCCTCGGCGTGGCGACGGTGTATGCCCTCATGTCGCGTCTCGATGGCCTGGTCGCGGTGTGCAAGACGTAAGTTGGCCTATACCCGAACTGAGACCATCAACTGACGTGTTGTTTGCAGGCTCCTGGGTGAGACCTTCCATATTTCCAACATGCGCCTTGGCGAGTACAGCCTCGCATAGATGAGAGTGTAAGACGTGACTAAGACGGTCGTTTTTGTCATCAATAGCTTGGTCGCGGCCCATAGGGCCAGCCGGGGGCTGGTGTGGTGGTGCCTGATACAGTGTGCCACTGACGGCCTCTGGCGGCCGCGCCTGCATTTTGTTACTGTTTCTGCAATGCATAGTCATCCGGTTTCTCTACTTTTGGACGGTGGTGTAGATGGGCCACTTCTTCTCGTGGACCTGGGCCTGGCCCTCTGGCGAGCCGGGAATGCTCTTCTTCAAGTTGAGCTTGGAGAAGACGCACGAGTTGAGGGCCTTCTCGGGCGCGCGGCAGGCCTGGAAGTGCTGAGGTGGATGTCAGCGGGTGCACGCGGGGAACTGGGATTGGGGGATGGAGAGCTGGGTGACGTTGTACTTCGCTGGGAGTGGGTGAACAGCTATGCAGCCAGTGCAGCCAGTGATAGCTGCGGCCGCCAAAGACATTATGTCTCTCGGACAATACCAGCCACGACCAGCGCGCGCACTTCGTCTCCGTTCCGGCTTTGTGGCCGTGAACCGCCAGCTGGAAAGGGCCAATTCGACAATGCCCAGTCGACGCTCCCAGCTATCCACAGCCTGACCCCGTACGCACCTGGTTGTTCTTCTCAAGGCACTGCCAATGGGCGTCAAACTCCGCCAGGCAAGTCTCCCTAATCTTGCCAATGATCTCGGAGGTGCAGCGGGTCACCTTCCTTCCCTCCTTCAGGCAGTGGGCAGGATCGCGGTTCTCGTTCTTGCAGAGCATAAAATCCTCTGTTGGGGTGTCAGCAAATAGGTTCCCAGTCGAATTGTTGTGGACAGCCAAGGAGCAGTGGGACACGAGCGCAGCTCCAGTTGCCGGACAGAGGGCGCGGGGATAGACGCGGACGGGGAAGCGGACGCGAGCGACAAGAGGGGCACAGTGTGACTGAACACAGTTTGGTTCTTGAGGACTCATGGCGACGACGTCGACGCCAAAGTTCCAAGAGGCCGGAGCTGGCAATCTCGACGTCACCCCTCCAGTCCAGACTGAACCAGGCGTGTTCGCCAGCTCTCCAGCTCCAAACGGCGAGCTAGGTCCAACGTCCTCACCCCCTCTGTCTGTAGACGGAACGTCCGCGCGCTCGTTCGCCGCATCGCACAAAGGCTCCCATGTACGTTGTCGGAGGATAGACACCAGGAGGGACACTCGCCGTTGACCTCCTTGCAGTATTCGCCGATGAAGAAGGATGCGCTCTTCAGAGGTGCCGAGGTGACGCCGAGCTCCTCGACGTGGGGGACGGAGGAAGGGAGGGGGTTGGGGTCGACATAGGGCTTGTCGTTGACGATCGCCTCGCGGTGGGAGCTCATGGTGGTATGACTGGGGGGGTGTATAGGAGAGCGTCGATTCAACCAAGTGCTGGTTGGCGGATGGGCTGCTGGCTGCTGGCTGGGTGGCCTGGCTGCAGACGGCTGGCTGGGTGCGCGCGCCTGGCCGACGCCGGTGTGCCACAGTCTCCCCCCCATTTGCTTCCGTCAGGCTGACCATGCCTCAGCATCGGCGTTTCCGCGCTATCCCCGCCGCCCGCCCAGCGACCGGATGCTGATGTGGCACTCATTGTTGACGCGTGGACGTCATCATCAGGAGGGACCCACCGTCGGCGCCGTCGACGTCCACCACACCCCCGACAACATCGACGACAGCTCCAACACCGGCGCAGGCGCCGCCCGTCATGTCTCGTAACCGTCTCAACATCTCAAACCCGAAACCATACACATCCCCACGCCAGCAGCCGGCCCCGGAGCTTGAATATGACTACAGCGACAGCTACAGCTCGCAGGCTCCTGGGCCCGGAGATGTCTTCCCTGGCAGCACGCCGGCAGGATGGTCCGGCGCAGCAGGTGCAGCCGTCGGTGGCAGCGGGAACCGTGCAGGCCTCGGAGCTGGCTCGTCGTTGAGGTCAAACGGCACCGCGACGCAACCGGCCTTCATGCCGCCCGTGTCCAGCACCTCGCCCTTGCGACCTGCACGCTCGCAGCGGCGGTCGCAGGTGCCAGCAGGTACCGGCGCGTCAATGAGCACCTCCCCCGGCCAACTGGTCGTCGACCCAACAATGCTCCATAATGGCGCAGTCTCCCTTGACAGCCCCGCCGGCATGACCCCCATCACGCCCACGTCGCCGACCGTTGCCTCAGGCGCATTACCCGGATCTAGTCCAGGGGGCGCCGACCCGTGGGCGGCCGAGCGCGCACTCCGCAGCCAGGCAAGACAGCAAAGTCACAACGCCGAGCAGGCAGCAGCGGCAGCACATCGTGGTGTTGGGGCACCGAACGACGCGGTCCGCAGAGCTGTGGACGCGTTCATGACTGGTTCCAAGCATCGCGAGGAGCCGTCTGCACGCCGACCCCCAAGGCGTAAGCAGCAGGCAACACACGATAACTGGGACGACCTCGGCATGAACACTGGCGGCAAGTTTGCCGAGATTGACTGTGAGCAGACCCCCAACTGCGCTTCTTGAACTGACCCCTATCAGCTGTCATGCTCCGAATCCGCAAGGACTGGCCGTTCATCATGGAGGGTGATGTCAGTGCCTGCCAGCGCAACCTCCACATGATTCTCGTCTGACGCCACAGTTCACCCCAGCATCTCTAGCCCTGTCTCTCCTGTCGGCCCAGTCCCAACAGTCGCAATCGTTGCCAGACCATCCGGACCTTCAGTCGTTCATGGCCATTCACTCGGCCCTGTCGTCGAGCTTGCAAAAGGCCGTGCAGTCACATTTCCAGACATTCGCAGCGAGCCTGCCAACGCACGCCAACTTTGTGGCTGCGCTGGAACGCGCGCAGGCGCAGGTCAAGTCGTCGCGTGAGGCGCTCAAGACGGCCCGCGATGGACTGAGCGACAAGGGCAAGGCCGAGCTTGCCAGTGTGCGCATGCGCGAGAGGATGGTCCGCGAGATGCTCCAGATCTTGGACTTGATGTGGGTAGAAATGTCCGACATCTAGCTGACCCATTCAGTGACGAGCTGAAGCAGGTGCCGGAGCAACTTGAGAGCTGTATCGCGGACAAGCGCTTCCTCCAGGCCGCGTTGCTGCTTGTCCGCAGCATCAAGACGTCCAACCGCGAGGACGTTCGTGATATTGGCGCCATGTCCGATCTCCGGCAGTACTTCCAGTCCCAGGAAGGCACTTTGACCGACATTTTGGTGGAAGAATTGCATAACCAAATCTATCTCAAGACCTTTAACAACGAGACCCGCTGGCGCGCGTATGTGCCGGGACAACATGACCGTGAGCTTATAGTCACCGTCCTTCACCGCTGACCTCTGCAGTCCCCGTCATTGAAGACATTGAGAAAACTGTAAACAAAGTGGCCGCACACCAGGCCGCCGTTGCCGACAAGGAGCCGGCGGTCGACACGACCCGCTTCTCCCGCTACATTTCATCACTGGCAGTCAAGCCCAACCACGAGCCAATACTCAATGAGCTCGCGGCACAGAGTGCCAATGGACGAGGGTCTGCGGCTCAAAAGAACACGTCGTCAATCGCTTCGTACGCATCCGGCAACTCGGTGACCATGACCGACAGCGGAATGGGCGCCGGCGGTGTCGACTCGTTCTCGTACATGGAGACATTGTTGGAAGCGCTGGCAGCGTTGGGTCGCCTGGGGCAGGCACTGGATACTCTTGTCCAGCGCGTGCCGACAGAAATCCACACTCTCATCGAGGCTACCATGGAGGAGGTGGAGGAGCGCGCCGAGGAGCGCGCCGAAGACTGGAGCACCCAGATGCGTCCGCCCAGCATGTTGCTAGCGGGCAGCAAGGACCTCGAGAGGATGCCCCTGTTTGACAACGATACGCTTCGTGTCATTGGCTCACTCAACGGCAGTGGTCCACCCAAGCACGCAATCACCCTGCGTGACCTGCTGTGGACACTGTACTCGAAGCTCTCTGCCGTCATGGAGGGTCACCGTGCAGTGTACGAGGTGGCGCGCTGGATAGCTTCTAGGCGAGACTTCAAGGACACGTCCCGGACAGACTCCACGCTCAATGTTCCCGTGGTTGAGATTTGGCGTCCAGTGCAACTAGAATTGCGCTCGCTGCTTCAGATCTACCTGGCCGACGACACTCAGGGTTCGTCCTCGATCCACAACTCTATCCCGAGCGTCAACGAGGTGCTCCGCGAAGGCCGTCTTATTCGTGACAAGCAGAGGGTGAGTTATTTAATGTCTGATATCGTGTTAACTCGACCCAGGAGTTGTTTAAGTTTAGCGACTCGGACCCACGAGCGGTCAACAACGAGATCAAGGAAATTGACGAGGCGCTGAAGCAGACGCTGCGCGCATCAGTCCCCGGCCTTATCAACCTCCAGGCAGGCGAGAGTGTCAATGTCATCAGCGGCAGCGGGTCGGCAGACGATCGCTACTCAGCGACACCCAACTACCGCACCCTCATTCCCGCCAACCCCTTCAACGTCACCATCCTCTTCGAGCCCACCATCGCCTTCATTGAGCGGGTGACAACCATTGTGCCACCCGGGTTCGAGGAGGACATGCCCCTGTTTGGGGCTGTCCTCGAAGAGTTTGTCGCCAACGTGTTCCTTCCGACATTGGACGAAAAGGTTACCGCCTCGTTCCAGCACGCCGTTTCCGGATACGATGCGTTCCAGATCGACCACCGCCCGTCGCTGCAGCTCGACAAGCCTCCTCTTAAGTCCAGTGTGCGCGTTATGGCCCTCATCCAGAGTCTATGCGCTATGCTGCAGGAGACACCGTTCCACCGCGAAAACTACAGCCGTCTCATTGTTGGCGTTGTGGTGCAGTACTACCAGCAGCTCAATGGCCGCTTCAAGGACCTTGTCATGCTGCCTGCTGCTGAGGGAACAGCGCCTGCTTCAGCACTGCCGGCAACATGGGCCCAACGTGAGGACCTGCAACCGGTCCTCATCGAGGTTCGCAAGGTGCCTCCCAAGGACCATCAGGCGACAGAACGCGTCGGACAGCGGGAGGTCAAGCTGGAGATGGGCTTGCTCAACGGTGTGTCGCCGCGTGAGCCCCAGCTCATCAACTCGAACCGCAAGCTGGAGTCGCTTGGTAACCTGGCCAACAGTATCCGCTGGTTCATGAGCGCTTTACTAGACTTGCAGCAGCTCGCCGACGATGACACCCTCGACAACCCCCAGGCCAAGGTGTCCGAGCCTGGCGACTCGCCGCGCTTACCTCTGACCAAAGCCATGTCTGAGCGCTTCGAGGCTATCGTTCAGACGTATGAGCAGCTCATTGACATGACGCTTAACACGCTGCACCTCGAAGTCCGCTGCCGCGTCCTTTGCAACCTCAATGGATCTTTACAGAGGGTAAGCTAGCCCCACCAACTTGAGCTGACAATCAGACCGACATGCGGCTCGAGAGCGAGACGCTTGAACCCGACCCGGATGTCGTGGATCTCAACACGACACTCATGGACATGGACACGATTGCTTCGCGCACGCTGTGCGCCGAAGACCACGACTTCGTGTTCCGTGGCCTTGCCCAGCTCATCGACCACGTCATGGTGCACGCCGCGCGCAAGATCAAGGCCATGAATGCCGCTGGTGCTCACAAGCTGCGCCGCAACGTCTTGTCGCTCCAGCAGACCCTGCGTGGTATCCTGCAGACCGATGCCGAGGGCATGCTCAGCCGCGCGGCAGAGTACTGGGACCTGTTTGACAAGGGACCAAAGTACATGCTGGAGAGCATCCGCACGTCCAAGCCCCTGTTTTCGTTTGAAGATTACAATGCCTTGTTGACGTTGATGTGCAAGAAGGACCCGGAGGACGACGCCAGCTCCGAGCTCAACACGTACCTCATCGACCTGCATGCAATGGCCATGAGTGTAGAGGGGTGGGATGTGGATGTTTAGAACGCAGATGCGTATGCAGATGTACTATTATGATCTCGATGTGCACACAGAGGTACGAGGCCACTACGGTTGGACTGGGCAAAAGGTTGTTGTTGCGATTTGGCCACTGTTGACGTCATGCACAGGCATGCAGTGGGCAGCCGGACCCGGTCGCATACAGCCGAGCTCGTCGCAACATAAGAGTTACACACAACACTGCTGTCGGTGCTCTCACCATCTCCAATCTTTGACCCATTACAACCCAACCTGTCTGACACTGCAGTAGCACCGACCGCCACAATGCCACTCGTACCAAAGATCGTGGTCCATCACTTACAGTTCTCTCGCTCAAGCCGGATCATCTGGCTTCTCGAGGTAAGTCGTGACACTTCCTTTCTGGCTATCCGACCCCGTTAACACCTCTCATGTAGGAACTCAAGCTGCCGTACACTGTGCAAATGCACTACCGAAGCGACGGCGGGTTTGCGTCCAGCACTCTCAAACAGGCCTCGCGGATGGGCAAGGTGGGCTGAAGACTGCTCGGCTGAGTCAGACCCCTCGTCCTCTGCCGAAACTGCACACGCGCGTAGACCATGGCTGATTTCCCTCATTCAAGTCGCCTACAATCGTGTACGACGGCGAGGTCATGACTGAATCAGGCTCCATAGTCCACCAACTCATGAAACTCCACCCTTCTCCAGCACTGCAGTACCCGCCGTCCACGTCGTCCACGTTTTTCAGCCACTACGCCGAGGCCACGCTCATGCTGTATCTCCAGCCAGCACGGTTCGCCGAGCTGGGAGCGCGCAAGCTGCGGGCGGGCGCCAAGCCCACACTAGACCTGGATCCACTCAAGAACGACGACGAGCGTCGCGGGATGGAGAAGCAGCTGGCGTGGTTTACGGCGTGGGCGCGGAGCAGCGTCGAACCTGCGCTGGCCGAGGCGGACGCGTTCTTGGCTGACAATGCCAACTTTTCGGGTGAGGAGAGGTTGGGTGAAGGCGACGTGAGTATGGGTTGGGCGCCATCAGGCGTGGCTTGGGGGTTTGGACGCAGCCGTCTGGGCGTGTCTTGGGGGTGTGCATATTGGTAAACCACCCGCTAACCAACCGCGCAGTTCATGATGATGTTCCCGCTCAACTCGATCGCGTATGGCGGCCGGAAGCGCCTGTACGACCTTGGTGACGCGACAGTTTCGTGGGTGGATGCGATACGCAACCGACCGGCATGGATTAAGGCTCAGGAGCGCATGGTCGAGGAGGAAGAGGGTCAGAAGAGTCCCGAACAGAAAGCGGCCGATGCAGAGAAGCGCCCAAAGCAGAGGCCACAAGTGTAGCCAAAGGAGAAGTGATGGAGACAACCTTTATGCATTTCCTTCCTTGGAATAGATAATACCATGACAACCTCTACTCTCCGGCCTCCTCGCGCATCTCGGCCAATCGCCTACGCATCACTTTCTCCGTCTTGGTTGGCGGCACACGGCGGCAGATTGCGGCGCCCACGAGCGCCATGAGACCGCCAAACCGCAGGACCCAAGCAACGCCAGTCCTGTCCACATAGTGCGGCGCACCTGGTCCTCCTGGGTCGTCGCTGTCACCCATGAATCCAGCCGCGTCAGTCACGTCCTTGCCACCGTCGGCGAGTTTGAAGATGATGGAGGCGACAATGGCAATGATGAACTGCGGCAGAACGATGGCGAGGTTGTGGATACCCATTATGGTACCACCAGCGACGGGGCCCTGGCCAATATACTCTACACTGGCACCCTCGAGGTCGGCTGTGCTGTAGCTCCTCATCATGAGCGGCCCGCGCTCGCTATCGCGCACGCGAGATGGGGAAGAGGGCTGCGAGTGCCAGCTGTCGCCGAGCGAGTTGGAGTGGGGTGCACCGGTGCGCGATGCAGGTGGAGTGGGACGCGAGCTGTCGGCCTCGAGTTCCTTCAGGAATTCCATAATCATGGCAAATGGGACCCAGCACGCCACTGCCCAGCAGATGCCGACGAGTGATATCATAACTGAGGCCTGCGCGACGTTGACAATGAAGAACGTGCTCATCATGAGGAAGAAGAACAGGATGAGGGCGGCAGTCCACACGTTACGGAGCATGAACGGCACTGTCGTCAGTTGGAGACAGAATCAAGACAACTCACTTCTTGGCAGCTTGAGCTCGCGACCCTGGCGGTGAACGTCGGCCTTCCACTGGTTAACCAGCTCTCGGATCCGCTCGTGCTCGTCAATATCGTCATGGTCGGCCCCCTCGACTTCAACGTCGGTGGGGAGGAGGCGCTGGTCACGCTCGGAAAGATACGGAAGGACGGTACCCGCGATGACAGCAACTGCCGCGTTAGTTCTGAACCACCGCAGGCAAACGCACCAAAGGAGTAGATCAAGAGAGCCAAGCTGCCTGCACGCGTCGCGTCGTTGCCGTCTGCTTCGCGCCCTAGTTCGTGGGACATGACGTTTTCCACGTATGTCGTGGCGTAGAAGAGGAAGGGGAACCAACCCATGAATGCGGCGATCTGTACCATGCAAATACGCCTCACAGGTTTGGGGAGGTTGAGGACCGCTTCGTGGATAGTGTTGATCATGTCACGAAGCTTGGGTCGCCGCTCGCCAAAACCCGTAGGGCGCTCATCCTCCTTGACCATCGCGCAGGTGATCCACACAGTGACGAGCAGGATAAGGAGCGACAGAATACACAGTTTGCGGAACTGGTCGCCACCAATCCAGCGGACAATTGGCACGCCATTGAGGTTGGCGAAGCCTGTGTGGTTAGGTTCCTGATCGCAACGCTGTACCTACCCATGAAGAATCCAACAATGTTACCAATGTGGTTGAAGCGTCCATTCCACGCGTTGGCTGTGTTGAGTTGCTCGGTCGGGGTGACATCAAAGACGAGGTTGCGAAGCGACGCTTGCAGTCTGGGGTCAGGGATAGTCCTTATCGTCGGTGACTCACCCGTTAAGTGCAAAGTCTAGCATGTAAAAGGCAAAGACTGCAATGATGATGGCAGTGCGCTTGACCTGACAAGTTAGCGACGACAATGCACCGCACAACTCACCATGGCCTGGTATTTGGGATCCCAGTCCCCTTGGCCTCCGCCGACGAGGTCGACGATCGCTCGCGACACTGGTTGAGTGTACCCCAGGGATACCAGCGATAACACCAACAGCGCGGTGCTCGCCACCACCCAGAATCGACGGCGATACCGCGACGTGCTCGAGTCGGAGATGGCTCCAATGAGGGGCTGGACAACGAGTCCCGAGATCGGCCCCGCGAGCCACACAAGCGATGTGTTTTGCTCACTCAGACCCAACTCCAGCAGGTACGGATTGCCGTAGCCCAGTTCCCTGTCCGTCAGTACACATCGTACTCTGTCGCCACCCGCTCAGTCTTGCACGTACACTGCCCACACAATCTACCCGTCAGCGCCCAGACGTTGTCAAAATAAACCCACCTGGCTACCACCCATGGCGATGGTGAGAGCGATGAGATTCCACAGCGACAGATGCGGCCGCGCGCCCTTCTTGCCGGTCCCGTTTGGCACCTCGGCCTCGCCTCCCTCTGAGATGGGCAGTCTCCATCCTGACGCGGTGCTGTCCCTCGCCTTGCCCTTGGGACTCTCGGGACCGCCCATCAACGACGACAGCGATGTGTACTCGTCGCGTGTGCCGGTACGCGTCGGGGTACCCTGGGCTGACCCGTCGGTGCCAGAGGGTCCGGCGGCGGCGGCGCCATAGTTGGGTGTTGTAGGGGTGCGCGGGGTGCCCGTAAAGGTGCGCGGGTTACTTGCCACCCGCGAGCTTGTCATTGTTAGTCAGGGGGGTGACGATGATGTGTAGATGGAAGAGCGATGCCAAGGGTGTTTGCGGAATGGGACTGCCGCCGGATGAGCGGAATTGTACGTCTCGTTGGGGGGTCACGCGTGCTGCTGCAGGTCGCACGTCATTGTGGACACTCGGCCAATTACGTCAGCGATTACAACTGCGGAGTGGGTGGCGACTAATTAGGCATTCCGGTCCATTAGGGTTGAGTTCCTGATCGACGTAGCGTGGCAGATGAGAGCCCCCCCAGGTGGTGCATATTGATATACATGCAGAGGTTGAACCTTCTGAACCTGCTCAGCTGGTGTTAAATGCGTTGCGCGGATAGATATAGGTATTTATTTATGAATTTTGGACGTAATTGTAGATGCCTTTGGGTGTTGGCTGGCGGAATATTAGTGGTCGATGAGGTACCTTTTGAGATCATCTGTTCCAGTGTTGGGGTAATATTTGAGGCCATAAATGTACACATGCACTCGTCACGAGCGAAGACGAGAAAAGGAGAAGTCTCTTTTGAGAACTGCTGACGGTATTAGATGTAGCTGCGGGACAGAGGTCTGAACAGCAACCTCAGAAGTGTAATAAGAACACAGGCGGAAACCTTGGGCGGCATCGTTGTCTTGTTCTTTGCCTTTCTTCCAATCGTCCGCGCGTCCCCACTCTTCGGTGACCTCGTATGCAAGAGCTCTCTGTCTCTCATTGCCTTGTGGTGCTTGTCCTCGTGCTCATGCATTTCCTTGGCCAGAGAACCTTACGTAAAGGGCCGCTTAGCTCAGCTGGTTAGAGCATCGTACTAATACCCAGACCTGGTTACTAGTTCATGCGGAGGTCGGCAGTTCGATCCTGTCAGTGGTCACTTTTTGGCCTCTGGGCACCCCAGGACACTTGCAATGCATCGTGGAGAGTTGCAGATGTTGTTGAAAAGGTGTCGCAGTGATCGGTGCCGCTGAGGTCATTTTCGATGTTGCTGTGGCAATTTAGCCGATGTTCTGTTTTCATACCACAAACTCTGTCTGCTCTGTTTTTAAAGGGGTTGAGTTTCGGCGCACGTTCTGAACTCTGGACGTGTTTAGCCCATGAAAGTATAACCTCTGCTACCGGTACCCTCATTTCGTTTATTTGACGTTTCCAACCATCTCTTTCCGAACCGCCATTATACCCCCTGCTTTCAACGACCCTTCAATGATGTAACTATCATCTATGAGAAATATAACTATTGATGTGGCAGCGCCTGGCAGACTGACACGATGACACGGTGATGTATAATTTATAGACCGGCACTGAAATCCTCCCTCTCCTCCTGCCTGGCACGAATAATCTCCTCGCGCGAGATACTCGACCGCTCGCACATGGTGTAGAAGACGCCGCCCTGGTCGTAGAGGTCGAGCGGGGACGCAAAGGCATTGATTTCGCCCGCGTCCATGACGAGGATCCTGTCCCATGAAATGATGGTGCGCAGACGATGCGCGATGCACAGCAGCGTCTTGCCGTTGAACTCGCGGCGGATACTGCGCTGGATCTGGGCGTCCGTCTCGAGGTCGACGGCGGCAGTGGCCTCGTCGAGAACGACGATCTGGGCGTCCTTGGCCAACGCACGGGCGAGCGAGACGAGGGAGCGCTCGCCGATCGACAGGTTGGAGCCCTCATCGTCGATCGTCATGTCCAACGTGAAGCGCTTGCGGCCTTCATTGTCCTCGTGGTCGAGTAGACAGGCGCGCTGCATGGCCGAGTAAAGTTGCGCGTCATCATGCAGGTCGAAGGGGTCAAGGTTGGACCGGAGCGTGCCGCTGAACAGGGTCGGGTCCTGGGGGATGATGGAGATGCTCGAGCGGAGGTCCTTGAGACCCAAAGTAGAAATGTCGACACCGTCAATCGTGATCTTGCCGGAGGTAAGCTCGGCGAGGCGGAAGAGTGCCACAGTGATAGATGTCTTGCCAGCACCGGTGCGGCCCACGATACCAATCTTCTCGCCGTGCATGAACTCGGCAGAGCTGAGCGTTAGCATGGCTATTCCTGTCGGTGCATGTAGCCACTCACATGCCCTTGAGGACGGGAGGAAGTCCAGGGCGGTAGCCCATGACGACCTTCTCAAATGTAATGTTGCCCTGCGACGGCCAGGTTGCTTGAGGCTTGCTGTCGGGAATCTCGTAGGCAGCCTCTTGGGGCAGGCTGCCATCCGAGTAGTACTTCATGCGCTCGACGGCATTCACTGGGTTGTCAGCGTTGTCTAGGAACCGCAAGTTTCAACGCACTGGTGTTCTCGACTTCAGCGGACTGGCGAGTCACCATGCCGAATAGCTGGGTCATCTGAGTCATGTACGTCAGACACAGGGCGATCTGGGCGGGGCTGAGACCACCGCCACCCTGCGTCGACATGATGGCAACAGCAAAGACGAGACAGGCACCGAGGAAGTCGAGGCGAACGGCGAGCCAACGTTGGTTGGACGAGGTGAGGAGGTATGCCCTGTCCTCGAGATCCATGTAGTAGGCATTGTCGCGGATGAAACGATCCGTCTCACCGTAGGCGCGAATGGTGGCCAGACCGGAGAGCGATTCGGAGAAGTGGGCGTACAGAAGCGAACGGAGCATCGAGTCGAGACGCTTGACCTCGCGTGCCGAGGTGCGGTAGAACAGCGCAAAGTACCAGTACCCGGCACCGACGACGAAGATGATGGCGATGAAGTAGTGGAAGTAGACGGTGATGATGGTCACCGAGCCAAAGAGGGTGACCAGCGTAATGGCCTGCATGCGCAGGGCATCTGCAAGCTGATTGTCCACAGTGTCAATGTCCTTTCCAAAAATACCCATGATGCGACCCAGAGGCTGGGTATCGAAGAAGGACATGGGGCTGAAGAAGACGCGACGAAGAGCGTTGCGGTAGAGGTTGTTGGATGCGTAGTACGACATGAAGGCCATCGTGGTCCCCATTGCGAAGATGAACAGCGACTGTGTGATACCAAGCATGGCATAAATGCCTTGGTAGAAGCTCATGCTCTTGTGGAACTTGTCCTCTTCCCAGTAGGTAAGCCATACACTGGAGTCAGCTTTCGAACATAGTGGGGTAGCTCACGTTGACATGACGCTTGCGCCCTGCATTAGCACGCCAAAAGCCAGACTTGTCGGGAGAGTCCACCACCACTGTCCGGCCTTGAGGTATGTACCGTAGACCTTGGGGCCGACAGAGCCGGTCTTGCGCACCTCCGAGATCATCAGGCGGCCCTGCGCAGGTGAGCATGGCCCTTTCCAGAACGACAAACCTACCTCCAATTTCCCCGTACCAGCGGCCTTGCCCATTTGAGCCCGAGTGAGCTTCTCAATCTTGGCCTCGTTGGTTTGCTGCCTCTTGAGCGCGTTGGGGCCCTCGGTGTCCTCTATAGCGTCCTCTTCCTCCTCGATCTCCTGCTCCTCCTTCATGGCGTGCTGACCGCCGAACTCGTCCATCAGCTTCTGGAAAGCGGCGCCAGAAGTCATGAGGGTATCGTAAGAGCCCTCCTCGACAACGTGCCCGTTCTGAATGGTGTAGATGTAGTCGACTTGCGGGAGGAAGTGGAGCGCGTGAGTGACGAGGATGACCGTCTTGCCCTTGCGGCGCAGACCGAGGATGGCGTCGTTGAACAGCGCCTTGCCGACATGCGCGTCTACGGCACTGAGCGGGTCGTCGAAGAGGATGATATCGGCGTCAAAGTAGAGCGCGCGGGCAATGTTGACACGCTGCTTCTGGCCGCCGGACAGGTTCACACCCTTCTCCCCAATCTCGGTGAGGTCGCCATCGGGCAGGATCTCGAGGTCTGTGACCAGGCTGGCGTCCATCACACACTGCCAGTATCTTGACTCGTCCCACTTTTGGCCAAAGACAATGTTGTCACGGAGTGTCGCGTTCTGGATCCACGCCGTCTGCTGGCAGTAGCCGAGACGACCGCCAAAGATGGCCGAGCCACCCTTGTGGCGCATCTCGCCGAGGAGGCCTTGCAGGATACTGCTTTTGCCGCTTCCAACTGGTCCAACAATAGCAACAAGCTGGCCGCGGGGAACCTCCATGTTGAGGTGCTCAATCGCGAACGGTTCTTCAGACGATGGCGAGCCACCGTCCTCCACAGGCAGAGTCTTGGACTCGTCTTTTTTGCTCTTTTTCTCCTTCTTGCCCTTCTTGCCCCTGGCGTCCTTCAGACCCTTCTCGGTAGAGAGCTGGTCGGGGGACTGGACGGTGGCCCATTGGAACGAGGCGTCCTTGGCACGGAGGGCAACGTCGAGGTTGGGGTCGACGAGGTTCATGTCCTCGGCAAGCGGCGCCTCGAAAAACTCGTGAAGACGCTCAACGGCAGTCTGGGCATCTGTCAACGAAGACAAGGCGCGAGGAAGGAACATGAGCGGCTGGCGGAGGAGGTTGAAGTAGGAGAGCGAGGTGAAGAGGATGGCGGGGTCCAGGTTGTCATGGGTTGCAGTGTAGACGACAAACGACAGCACCGATGCGAGAGCAGGGATACTGAACGCCAGGGCCTGGTTGGCCGCACGGATGAACAGAATCTTGCGAACGGCGTTCATTTCGTTCTTGCGCACAAAGGCCAGGCGCTTCAAAAAGGGAATCTCGTAGGTGAACGCCTTGATGATCTGCATGGCAGACAGCAGCTCTTGAAGGAGCTTTGATCGACCGTCTGTCCATTTCTGTGATTATGAGCTGGGTATTCACAGATTAAGAGTCAGCTCACCATGGACTTTTTGCGAATGATAAAGCTCTGCTTCATGAACTGGGTTTGCAGAGGGGCCAAAATGATGAAGAGCGCAAAACCAACGAGAGCCGAGGGGCCAATCTGCTGGGTTAGCGTGCTCGGCAGCAATAGAACCCACCTGAAGGATGAGAAGGATGAGGGTGACAATGAGCTGAATCGGTGCAGTCCAGATGGCGTGGAACCACTGGGCACAGTAATCAATGCGGGAGATCTGACGAGGTCAGCAGGCCAGAGCTTGGACACCTCTTACATCACTGGACAGGTATGCCATGAGCTTGCCATTGGGGTGCTGGGAGCGCGCACCAACAGTCAAGTTGAGGGAGCGCTTGTAGGTGGCGGAAATCAAGGCGGCCCTAGACAGAGCACCAGTCATCATGGAGCGGAAGAAGAACTGGTGCTGGCAGACGGACTGCATGATGGTGAGAGCGAACAGACCGATAGCGAGGCCCACACCGCGGCCGGCGTTGGGCTTGTCGCCGTCGCCGTGCTTGGCCGCATACACTGAGTGTGAGTTATGCCTGCAGATATCCTAACTTACTCTGTTGGCTGAACTTGATGATCTCCTTGACGAGGAGAGGCGTCATGAGCTGCGCCTCGTCGCCAAGGACCTTGAACAGACCTGTCCGTCAGCTCTGGCAATATGCCCGCCACAGCTGCTTCAGAGGTGCACTCACCGCCATACCAGAAGTTCGGGAAGGTATCGTTGAGTGCCCAAGTAATGCTGCCGCGCTGCTGGCCGCTACGGGCACGCCACTCGGCCTCGAGCGTCGCCTTGCGCTCGCCATACGACGCGTCCTTGCCGTACGGGGAGAAGTCCTCCGGGAGCTTGTTGTGGGTGGCCGCAGTGACAGCCCAGCCAACACGGCGCCGGAGGGGCGGCTTGGCTGTAGGGAGAACCGCGTTCCACTCGGCGGCCTTGTCACATCGCTTCTCAAAGTTGGCAATGAACTGGCGCGAGATGGTGTCGGCTGACTGTCAGCTATTAGCACGCGGGGGACGCAGCTCACCTTCTCTTGTAGGGTCGACCTTCCACAAGTCTGTCGCCTGCAGAGGACGCTGGTATCCCAGGCGCATGAGCGGGGAGACCCACTGGAGACATCAGTGACCGCGGTTGGAGGGTTGGACTGCAACGTACGTGAAAGGTCAGCTTTGAGACGACATTGGCCGTGGCAAGCGGCATCACGGGTGCCTCATCGAGCGTCTTGCGTGGTGGTGGCGGGGCATGGCGGGGACGCCAGAGTTCCCTGTGATCGTGAGCATGGTGTCTTTGCCGACGGTCAATGGCGGAAGGGTATCCTCGGACCTCGGAATTACGGATACTCACCACCAATGTTCGCGCTTGAGGCCAGGGAACTGGACGTTTTCGTGACCAGACAGGTCGCGCAGGCGGATACCGCCATGGTCGTCGTCGACGTCCGTGTCGCTCTCGGTCTCATCGGCGACGCTGGCTTCCTTTCCAGTGGTAGGAACCTTCTCGATGTCGACATAATCAACGTTGGCTTGGGCTTTATCACTGGGCGTGGTGGGTGCTGTTGTTGTTGTTGTCCTTGCTGGGTGGACCGCCGTGGGAGCGGCGGGTGGTGTGGTCACCGCTCCGCTGTCCGCTGCGCTGCCCTGTGGGCCCGCATTCGCCATGTGTATAGCTCAAACCCGGACACGGTGGTGCGTGGAGTGGTGAGTGAATGAATAAGAAGAGAAAGAGAGAAGCAGACCGAGCCAGACGCGGGACAGGAGACCCCCCCTTTTGAACAGTGGTCGGTCATGCCCGAAGGAATGGCCACCAACGACACATGGGTCTCCAGGCGAGAGACCCGAGCCAACCGACACGAGGACGAGGTCGTGCGAGCGTTTGTGAGCATTTGAATGCCAGTGGACTGAACACGGGGGCTAGAGCAAGATCAACATGCATCTACTACTCCCAGCTGCTGTGCTGTGGACCATAACGAACACGCGTGTCGTGTCCTTGCTAGGCAGCATTGTGAACCATGGGTCGAAATATAATCTTGGCGAGCACGAGGGGCTATAACCGGCTGCGCATTTCCGCAGCAGCTCTACTACTCTGACCGATCACCGAGGGGTGGTGGAGTGATGCGATACGCCGATGGAGATATGTCGTGACCGGCTCGTCACCTCGACGCGACAGGACGCCTTGATGGCGACTGGGGTTTGTTTGGTTCGAGCAGAGACGAAGCCGAAACGAACAAGTCATGTCGGGCCCAGTTGGGGGATGATCTGCCAGGATCTGCAGCATTCGGCAAGTCGGGAAGGCACCCGATGGACCCGAAAGCAGATGCTCTCAAATCGCCGGCCGGCGACCAAACGTTGATGCTACGCCGGTCAATGTCAGTCTCGACTTTTTCTTCCAAACGAGGGGCCCAAGCGGCCCCCTGTCTCTGCAGCTGTCTGCCGCAGATACTCGAGAAGCTCTGTGATCTGTGATGCTCATCACCTCGTGGTTGAGGGTTAGCCAGCGATATAGCGATAAGAGCGAGGCAGAGGGCAATCACTGCCACCCGCGTCTTCTTTGGATCTTTGGCTTGTGCCTGATGCCTGAATAGATGCATAATGCCCTCCTCCTTTCACTCTCTGTGGCTCTGTAGCTCTGTAGCTTTGTGGCTCTGTGTGCGGTTCTTCCTACTGATAATCTCCCCATTTACCCATTTACTACTACTCGTTACACCTCCTAGTTGGCAGCAAGACGCGCCTCGACGTCCTTGCGCGCCGGGATGCTCTCCATGGCACCCGCCTTCTCAACGGCGAGCGAGCACGCCTGTGTGCAGACGGGCACGATCTCGGCCAGCGACGCATCGTCGCCCTTCTCCATGAGCAGGGCCGTAAAGTAGCCCGCAAACGTGTCGCCGGCACCGGTGGTGTCGACGACCTTCTTGACGGGTGCGGCGGGGAACGAGGCGATTTCGGGGTGCGGGCCGGCGCCGCGGGGGTCGAGGACGAGGACACCCTGCGGGCCGATGGTGGTCACAATGATGATCTTGTCGTTGAAGCCCTTGGCGCGGTGCAGCGCGTGCATGGCGGCAGTGGAGGCGTCGGCGACGGACAGCGAGGCGGAGAGCGGGGTGTCGTCGAACGCGGCGAGGATGGACGCGAGCTCGCCCTCGTTCACGATGAGGATCGAGAGGCAGTCCCAGGGGAACGCGCGGAGGATGTCGGGCGAAGGCATGGGGGAAGGGTTGTACACGCTGGTCAAGCCCGCAGCGCCGGAAGCACGCAGGTACGCGAGGGTGTCCTCGAGGGGAATCTCGTTCTGGACGAGGAGGTGGGTAAAGCCGGTGAGATCGGGGGTGGTCTCGCCCGACGGGGCATAGTTGGCACCGGCGTGCAGCACTGTAAAGTCAGCATAAAACCAGAAGACATAAAGGGTTTATGAAGCAGCTGTCTTCGCCAAGAAGTAGGGACAGCTGCTCGTCCCGTCTCGTGCTGCAATGCTGCCTGCCGGGACCCCATTCAAACACTCACCGATCGAGTTCTCGCCATCAGCCGCACGCTGGATAATAGCGCGGCCAGTAACCTGCGCGCATCAGCTGATAGATCTTTCGTCAAGCCCCCAGCAGACTAACCTCGCCTTCAACAACCTTCACACGGCTGACATCCACACCGCCCTCGGCAATCGAGTCGCGGATCGCGAGCCCGTCGCCGCCAATGCGCCCGTCGAGGACCACGCGGCCGCCAGCGCGTCCACACGCAAAGGCCTGGTTGGCACCTTTACCGCCCGTCTTGCGCGAGAAGCCGGTAGAGGCGATGGTCTCTCCGGGACGGACGATGTGCGGGAGAGCGTAGAACTCGTCAATGTCTGAGGAGAGTTAGCTGGGTTGACCCGCGGTGCAGATGCAGCTGAGCTCCGTTGTGCCATGTCGCGCAAGGAGGAGGAGACATGAGAAGAAGCAAAGACATACTGATCGAGCCGCGGACGAGGCATGCCTTGGAGGTAGACATTGTGAGTATATGTATTGTTGTTGAAGAAGAGCAAGAGGTGGCCAGATGATGAACAACTGGACCTTTTGAACAATACGGCACTGGCCCGTCGTCGGTGACTTCATTGACCGGTTGTGTCTGGTCCCGGCCGGCCTCCACCGCGCCAAGTTCCCCGGCGACCTTTTGTTCTGTTCTTGCTGCTGCTGCATGACTGCATCTAGATACTGCTACTTCTACTGCTGAACACCCCCTGCTGCGACGATTGTTGCTCCAGAGCGTCGTACGTGAGAAGCTTCGGGTTTCACACACGCCAAGAGCCCACGCCCGGCGACTTTTACTGCCAAACACTACCTCTCTTCTAGAATGTTTGCGAGTTGCGGACAGGACGCTTCTGCTTGGACAGACGCCACGAGTCCTTGTTCTCGGCAAACCTGTCGAAGAGCGGCTGGATCGTCTCGTTCTGCTTGCGCTTGGAGATGCGGTGCTGGTCGGCAACCTTGAAGAACGTCGGCGCCACCTCGGACAGCCACTTGGGCTCAATGACCGTGACCTGGTGCATGTACTCCTCTGTGACGGGTTAGATCACTCGACTCTAGTCAACCCGATCGACTTACTTGCTGTCAGGACCAGTTCGTAGTAGATACACCATTCTGGTGGACGCTGGAAGAGGGCCGATGACGGGTGGATGCTGACGGGCGTGCCCTCCACGAGGGTCTTGTAGCCCTCGACGGGGTCCTTCTTGGCCGCATTACGGAAGAAGCCAGAGCAAATGGCCATGCGCACGCGGTTGTAGTTGGTTCCACACGATGACAGCTCGTGCTTGTATCGCTCCATGATACCGATGAGCTCTGAAAATGTCAGCTGGCTGAACTAGAGGTCCCTCAACTCACGTTTCCTAACGTCCTGGGCCGTCTTGAGCGCACGCGTGTGGATAAAGTTCTCAAAGCACCAGGGGTTGCTAAACTTGCTCGCCTTCCAGCCATTGTACACGGCGAGGAGAGTGAGGAGGTCGCCCTCGGGCTGGTGGAACTTTGCCTTTTTGGCGTCGGCCTGGGCCTGCTTGTCCTTGGGACGGTAGAAGACCTGACCACCGGCCTGGAGCATAGCCACGATGGTGAGGGCCTCTTCGGAGCAGCCATAGTCGACCGACTTGATGAGCATCTTACACAGTGGCGGGTCGAGAGGGAAGTCTGCCATCTTGCGTCCCACGCGGGTAAGGAGACCTTCGTCGTCGAGCGCGCCGAGCGCATACAGCTGCTCAAGCGCGGTAAGCATGGTGGCCGCTGGTGGGGGGTCCATAAAGTCAAAGTTGATCAGGTCGTTGACACCCATCGCCTTGAGAGTCAGAATGGTAGACGCCAAGTTGGTACGCTGGATTTCGGGGATAGGGTTGGCCAGCATCTCGTTGCGGTAGGCAATCTCAGTGTACAGGCGGTAGCACTTGCCGGGACCGGTACGACCAGCACGACCCGAACGCTGGCGGGCCTGGGCTTGGGAGATGGGCTGTGGACGTCAGCAGGTGATCGCACGAATTCTACCTGACACGTACCGTGACAATGAGCGAGTCCATACCGAGCTTGGGGTCGTACGCGTTCTGCTTTGAGAATCCTGGGTCGATAACATAGTAGATACCGTCGATAGTAATCGACGTCTCGGCAATGTTGGTAGCAATAACAACCTTACGCGCGCCAGGAGGAGCAGGGTCGAAAATTCTCGACTGCATCTCAGATGGCAGGGCAGCATAGACGGGCAGGATGATGAGGTCGGGCACTTGGGATCCCAGGGCCTTGACTCGTTCGAACAGGACCTCACATGCAGTGTCGATTTCTTCTTGTCCAGTCAGGAAGAGAAGAATGTCTCCTGGGGGCTCCATGAGATGGATCTGCATGATGGTGATGAGCGAAGCTTCGAGGTAGTCGGGCTCGGGGTCCTTGGTGTACAGGATCTCGACGGGGAAGGTACGACCGGGAATGGTGAAGATGGGGCAGCCCCAGAAGTAGGTGGCGAACTTTTCGGCATCGAGGGTAGCCGAAGTACAGATGAGCTTGAGGTCGGGGCGGCGCTTGCACGCCTTCTTCATGAGGCCAAACAGAACGTCGGTGGCGACAGTACGCTCGTGCGCTTCGTCAAGCATGATAACACTGTACTTGGACATGTCGGGGTCGATGAGCAGCTCACGCAGCAGCATACCGTCCGTCATGAACTTGATCTTGGTCTCGGGGGAGGTGACGTCCTCGAAACGGACGTTGTAACCGACCTCGGAACCCAGACGACAGCCGACCTCTTCGGACACACGCTTGGCGACGGACACAGCCGCGACCTTACGGGGCTGGGTGCATCCGAGCTTGCCCCTGGTCAAGAGACCCTCCTCGGCGAGGTACTGTGCCATCTGTGTGGTCTTTCCCGAACCAGTGTCACCGACAACGACGAGAATCTGGTTGTCGCGCACAGCCTTGACGAGCTGGTCCCTGAGCTTGTAGATGGGGAGCGAGCGACGCTGCTCCTGGATGCTCATGGAGGTAATGCGACCGAAAGTGACCGACTTATTGGCCGACTTCCATTCGGGAGTCTGCATCTGCTTCTGGTTCATCTGGTTGAGACGAAGGTCGGAAGCAAACTGGCGGTCGGTTGGCTGGGCCATGGGGTCGAGCCAGGGGGTAGTGACGTTGCGTGCCTCCGAGTCGGCACGCTCGTTGGCCTCCATACGACGCATGTCGGCACGCTCCTTGGCGAGTGTACCACCTGCCAGAGCGGCACGGTTCATCGAGCCATCTGGGGCCTTGATAATCTTCACGGGGGAAATGTCCAGAGTGATCTTGGTCTGGCCAGCCAAAAAGGCAGGCTCCTTCTCTGCGACCTCAATGTCCACCTCCTCGTCAATCTCGGGGTTGTTGATTGTCGTGTTAAAGTCATCGTCGAGGTCGGGGTAGTCTGCGGCACTGACGACACCACTGGCGATGAGCTGCTTGATCTCAAACCTCTCTGGACTTGAAAGGCGCTTGGCACTGCCGCCACGGCGCTCGTCGACATGGATGGGGGGAGGAGCCATGGGGTCTCCTTCGCGATGCAGCGGTGCGGCATTGGCGCCAGTGCCGACACGGGCGGCGAAGCGACGCTGCTCATCATCCATTTCCTCCTGCGTCTTGATGCGCATGTGCGGTGACAGGTCCTCACCCGTGTCCTGGTCGACATCCTTCATGCTGAGACCAAACTTGCTTCCAGCGACGGTCATCACCTTGACTTTGACGCGTTGGTTGCGGCTGACGACCTCGGAAGCCGACTGGACGCGCGAGCTCGCAAGCGCGGAAATGTGAACGAGACCTGAAGAGTTAGCGTACGATACAGGCACAACAACTCACCCTCTACCCTCCCTGCAACACCATCGAGACCGACGAACGCGCCAAAGTCCTTGACACTCGAGACCGTTCCGTTGTAGATCTTGTACTGGATCGGCCTGTCGTCGAGTCCCGGACGGCCACGGCGCTCGTATCCTCCCGAGCTCGAACCCTGGTCACGCGGGGGAGGCGGAGCACCGGCTCCACCACGCGCAGCCCATCCATTATCACGGATCCCACCGCCGCCGCCGCCACCACCGCCACCACCGCGGTCGTCGAAGTCGTCGTGTCGGCCATAGCCGCTGTCCCGCCCGCCGTAGCCGCGATCCCGGTCGTCTTGCCGGGCCCGCTTGGCAGTCGGCTCGCCCTCCATATAGTCGTCGGCGGCCGCGCGGCCCCTCCGTGACGCGACGGCCTGGAGCTGCGCCATGGTGTCGTCCATGGAGAGATCGGGCAGCGTCTCGGCGCCCTCCTTCCTCTCGCGGTCCTTCAGGTAGTCGTCCTCCGTCTTCCACTCTTGGTCAGGCATGCTGAGACCGGGGAACTTGCGCGACTGGAGAGACTTTGCGTCGTTGGCGTCGGCAGTCTTGGGCTTGCCGGCCTCAGCCTTGGCCTTTGCCTTTGCCGCCTTGCGCTTGTACTTGGGGTGCATGGTGACGATGAGGCGGTCGAGGTTCTTGACAAACGAGTCGGGAAAGTCGGCACCGATCTCGGACAGCTTCTTGCTAAACTCGTCATAGCCCTTGCTCTGCTCGTGGAGCTGAGACTGTTAGTGTTGCATTTCAAACAAAGGAAGGAAGGGGGGAGGTTGTGTTGTGACCTACAGCGATGACAAACTCGGCCAGGTTTTTGTCCTGGAGCTTGGTGTGGTTGAAAAGCTCCTGGGATACGCGGGATACGAGCGAGAGAAGCTCGAGCTTGTACAGCTCCTTGTCGGCGCCCATGGTTGCAAGTGTTACGCTGCGATGCCGAAGCAGCGGGATGTGAGGTTGACTGAAGAGACGGCGGGCACAAGAGTTCGAGATCACTTGGTGGCGACTGGATGCAAGGGAGCTGGACGGAAACAAAATTGACACGTATATAACGCCCCTCGCTTATCACAAGTGGCGCTTGCTTTTCATTGCGTGGATCGACACCGGCGGCGATCTCTAGCCATCTCACTTCAGAATCAAAACTACTTTGCATGCGTCCTCCCATGCTACCACACTACTCTACTACAGCCAGATATCGACGAGGTATTGCTATGCTTCTACTCTTTTTTGGGTTTGGGTACAATTTTAGAGGTCGGTAACACAGCCGTGGCTAGCGTCCGAGACGAGGCGGGCGTACTTGAGGAGAGTACCCTGCTTGACCTTGAGAGGGGGAGCGACCCACTTCTCACGACGGGCAGCGAGGACCTCGTCCGAGACGTCGACGTTGAGGGTGTTGGCCTCGGCGTCAATGTGGATCATGTCGCCGTCCTCGATAAGGGCGATGGGGCCACCGACCTGGGCCTCGGGGACGACGTGGCCGATAACGAAGCCGTGCGAGCCACCCGAGAAGCGGCCGTCAGTGAGGCACGCGACGTCGTAGCCGAGACCGGCACCCATGATGAGACCAGTGGGCTTGAGCATCTCGGGCATGCCGGGGCCACCCTTGGGGCCGAGGTAACGGAGAATGACAACAGTCTTGGTGCCCTTCTTGATCTCGTTGTTCTCGAGGGCGGCAACGAACGAGTCCTCGTCGTTGAAGACACGGGCCTTGCCCGAGAAGGCAAGACCCTCCTTGCCGGTGATCTTGGCGACGGCACCGCCGGGGGCAAGGTTACCGCGGAGGATACGGAGGTGACCAGTGGCCTTGAGGGGGTTGTTGACGGGGCGGATAACGTCCTGGCCGTCCCACTTGTGGCCGTACTTGTCCATCCACTCGGCGCAGTTCTCGCCAAGGGTCTTGCCGGTGACGGTGAGCTGGTTGCCAGTCATGAGGCCCTCCTTGATGAGGTAGTGCATGACCGCGGGGACACCACCAATGCGGTAGACGTCCTCGAAGACGTACTTGCCCGAGGGCTTGAGGTCGGCAAGGAAGGGGATGCGGTCCGAGACCGACTGGAAGTCGTCAATGGTGAGGGTGATGCCGACCGAGTGGGCAATGGCGATCAGGTGGAGGACGGCGTTGGTCGAGCCACCAAGAGCCATGACGAGAACCATGGCGTTCTCAAAGGCCTCGCGGGTCATAATGTCGCGGGGGAGAATGTTGTTGTTGAGGAGGTTGACCATGGCCTCACCGGCGGCGTCACACTCGGCGAGCTTCTCGGGGTACTCGGCGGGGAACGACGACGAACCGGGGAGCGACATACCGAGGGCCTCAGCAGCGGAAGCCATGGTGTTGGCAGTGTACATACCACCGCAAGCACCCGAACCGGGGCAGGCGTTACGGATGGTGTCGTAACGGACAGCCTCGGCCTCCTCGGTCTGACCCTCCTGGAGGAAGCGGCCGTACGACTGGAAGGCCGAGACAATGTCAACAACCTCCTCGGGGCGGCCAGTGCTGCCACCACCGCAGTGGCCGGGACGGATGGTACCGCCGTAAACCATGAAACCGGGGCGGTTCAGGCGGCCGAGGGCCATGAGGGTACCGGGCATGTTCTTGTCACAACCGGGAACGACGACCATACCGTCGAGCCAGTGGCCACCGGCGGCGGTCTCGACCTGGTCGGCAATGAGGTCACGGGACTGGAGCGAGTAGCGCATACCCTCGGTACCCATCGAGATACCGTCAGAGACACCGACGGTACCGAACTGGTAGCCAGTAACACCGGCGCGCACCAGCGACTGCTTGATACGCTGGCCGAGAGCGAGAATGTGACCATTGCATCTGTAGGAGCGTCAGAGATACAGCCCCAGAGGGTCTGGTGCTTACGGGTTACCCTCGTACCTGTACGTCGTCAGCCTCATTTTTGACCCACATTCCAACACTATCGCTTCTCCACTTACCAGACGGAAGCGACGCCGACCATGGGCTTGGCGAGGTCCTCAATCGAGTCGACACCCTCAGTGGCGTAGAGCATAGCCTGGGGGTTGGTACTTGTACAGTAATTTAACAACTCACCTGCGAGGCGCCCTGGGCCTTGGGCTGGGTGATGACCTTGGAGTAGCGGTTGAGGCCGGCCTGGGCAGCACGAGCCGACGACGAGATGGTGCGGCGCGAGGCCGCGCGCTGGTTGGCGCGGAGAACGTTGGACGACGAGCCGAGCATGGACATGTTTTTTTTGGGGAAAGGGGCTTGCTCGCCGAGAGAGAGGTGTGTATGCCTTTTGAGGAGAGGAGGGGAGGGACAATGTACAAGAACTTTGCGTCGACTTAGAAGGGGGAGTTCTGGCGCTCTGGGTGGACGACACGGTGTTCACCGGGGGGTGAGGCCCCCCAGCGCTCGGCCGGGATTTGGAACGGGTGACGGCTGGGTGGAGAGCGACTTTTTCCTGGGCGTGTGTGCGGGGTTGGCCGCGCCCAATAAAGGATTCAATATGACACCGCGCCCATTTACCGTTACGTAATGAATTGTATGTCTAAAGACCGATTACGTACATTGAAACGCCCACGTGGCATTACATAAGCAGTGTTTGAGAGCCTCGCTCGCTTGCCGACCTCCACGCCGTGTTGGCTGCACGGTCGATAGCATGACGATCGCTGGCACTGCCATCCACAACACCACACGCTCTCTCGCCCCCACGCCCTCCCCTCTCCACCCCCCCCCACCCAACCTTCTTTCTGCATCATGGAGGAGGCCGAAGGTGGGTGTATTCACCTGGCGCGCCCTGCTGACCCACCAGAGCCGGCCCCGTCTCTTGTAGACCTCCTCCAGGCGACGGCCACGGAGCGGCGCGCGACCGCACCGGACCTGACGTCCGAGGCTGCATCGAGCTACCTTGACCACTTGCTATCCCTCCCTCTCAAAACATTGCTAGCAGAGGCTTCTGTCATCTCCAACGAAGCCGGTAGCGTCGAGAGCGAGCTCACCAACCTGTGCTATCGCGAATACCCGACGTTCATCTCAGTCCACAACTGCTCTTCCGCTGTCACTTCGGCCTTTGACGACTTCTCCAGCAGCCTTGGCCGCCTGCTCGACGCTGTCCCTGCGCTCGAGGAAGAATGCCGGACATTTGTGCGCTCCACATCTGGCGTGCAGAATGCCCGTGCCAAGGCCGCTCTCGTCCAGGAGCATCAGGACAAGCTGTTCGACCTGTTGGAGATTCCGCAGCTCATGGACACTTGTGTCCGCAACGGCTACTATCAAGAGGCTCTCGAGCTGTCGGCACACACGCAGAGCTTGGTGAAACGCTACCCCAGTGTCGAGCTCGTCCATGACGTTGCCAAGGAGGTCGACGGCGTCCTCCAGCTCATGCTTGCCCAGCTCCTCGCCCTTCTCCGGGAACCCATCAAGCTGCCTGCGCTGGTCAAGACTGTCGGCTACTTGCGCCGTCTGGGAACCATCGAAGAGTCGGAGCTGTCACTCGTGTTCCTCATTTCACGCCTGTCCAACTTCAAGGCGCACCTGGTGGCCCTCGAACGCGACCGCACAGACGCCGTGCGCTATGTGCGCAAGTATGTCGACCTCTTCCGCGAGCATGTCTTTGACATTGTGTCGCAATTCTCGGCCATCTTCCTCGAGGGCAACCCGTCGCCATCGGCTGCTAGCCAGCTTTCGTCGTTTGTTGGACAGTGTGTCAATGAGCTTGTCGCCTTGGTGTCGAGCTATGTGCCCAAGATGACCAACGACGCCGCATCCTTGTCGTCGATCCTGGTTCAGCTCGGATACTGTTCGCTGGCCTTTGCGCGTGTCGGTCTCGACTTTTCGTCCCTCATCGCCGAACCCTTCTCGGACGCTGTCCTGTTGGCCTTCTCACAATCGCTTGGTGCTGCTTCGACCTCACTGTCAAATACCTTGGCGCATGCGGTCAAGTCTGCCGGCAGTCCCGCTCAAGTGCTCATGGCGCAAGAGTACATCGCCCCGCTCCTGGCTGCCGACTCGCCGCTTGACTTTATCAAATGGGAGGGCACATTTGAGAACCTTCCCACCGATCTCGCCCGCTTCCCCCCACTGGCCATCCTCGTCAACGCCCACCTCTCCGCCCTCAACTCCCTTCGTCTTCTCGCCCCCCTGCATCTGCATCCGCAACTGTCTGCCGCCCAGGCTTCAGCGCTTGTGGCGAGCACCCACAGTGTCGCCCAGTACGTTCGCCAAACTGTCGCCCTTTCCGACCCATTGGTCGGGTCTCCTATCGACGGCGGCCGGATGCACAAGCGCCAAAACTCGTCCAGCAAGGCTGCTTTGATCCGCCGCAACTCGGAGGGCCAGCTTACACCCGAAGCGCGGACCGCCAAGCGCCGCGAGACGCAGTGGGTATGCGTCGCCTTTGCCGACACTTGGGTCAAGGTCGTGTCCCCCTTGCTCATCGACGCACTGGACAATGGCGTGTACGAAGGTGCCCTGCCGTCTAACCAGGACGCCGAGCTGCGCGAGGCCCTCCACGCCATCTCGTCTTGGGTCGAGGACCAGCTCGAGGACAAGCAGCCGTCTCCCGTCCCAATTCTCAAGGCCGCTACTCGCCAGAATGGCGGCTTGGGTCTCAACGCCAAGTCTACGCCCAACGGGTCTGGCGCTGCCACTCCGCACGCCGTTCCAGAGGAAGACGAGGCGGCCGAGGCAGTGTTCGTCCCCGATTCGCCTGTCAAGGGCCTGCAGAAGCAAGTCACAGAGGAGCCAGAGGAGATGGCCGCGGCGCCAGTGGATGAGCAAGTGGCCAACGGCATTGTCGACGAGTCGAGAGACGACGTCGAGGCTATCGACGTTGTGGCTACGGAACCTGTCGTCTCAGCACCAGAGGCTACAGTAGAGGAACCAGCAGAGGATGCGCCAAGGGAGATCCTCACCCTCCCAGAACCAGAGCCTGTGGTTGAGACACCCGAGGTGGACTCTGTGGTGGCCGCGGATGAACCCCCTGCTGCCAGTGACCTTCCTGTCCAACCGCCCCAGGCCGCCCTCGATGCCGACCCCGTTGAGCCAACACCAACCCACGAGGCGGTTACCGAGACGCTCGAGACCCAGACTGTTCCAGACGTCGTCGAGGACCACGCGGGTGTGGAAGCTGGCCCCGCCGATGTTGGTATCGTTCCTACAGGCACTTCTGAGGAGCCCGAGTCACCCGGAACAGGATCAGTACCACCCTCTGTTGAACGTGAAGAGCAGGTGGAGGCCCCCGCACCCACCTCAACGGAGGCAGAGGAACCCATCCCCCAGGAGCCCATCCCCCAGGAGCCCCTTGCTCCTGCACCGGTGGAGGAGGTGGCCGAACCTGTTTCTGAGCCTCCTGCTGCCATCGAGGCGGCCACTCCATCTAGTGACGAAGTGGTAGTCCCCAAGAATGAGCCAGAGGAGACGAACGACGACGAGCCCGCTGTCGTAGAGCCACCATCACCAACATCAGACGCGCAGCCGGAAGCCCTGGCGCTGGAACCGGAAGCAAAGGAGCCGGAGCCGCAACCTGCCGAGCTCACGACGCCTGTCAACATTGACGACAACAGTCAACAGCAAGTTGAACGTGACGCCACCGCAGCCGCACCTGTCGCACCAACCAGCGACAACAACGCTGAGACTGCGGGACCGGCCGACGCGGACGAGACTGAGGAGCACGAGGCCATTGTCCAGCTTTCTTCTCAACCTGAAACCGGCCCAGCAGAAGGGGCCGTGCGCGACACACCACCCAGTTTGGTGCCTGACGACGCGACTGCAACCCCCTCCGACGACACCGGCTTCATTGTGCCTGACGTTCCAGTGCCAGGCGTGGACGCTGCTGTGGCGTCCAGCATCGTCCCAGCAGCGTTGGACACGCTCCCATCCGACGTGCCCGGCGAGGACACAACACCGGAAGCGAGCCAGGACAAGGACCAGGAGGAGCCGGCGGACACCAGCAAGAACAAGGTTGGCGGCGACGCGTCGGATGTTGATGACCGCGTCGTGCGCGTTCCAGCAGCAGTGGCGGACGCGTCGTCTGTCCCTGTGGATGTGGATGTGGATGTGGGTGGTGCGGACGAGGACACGCCGACAGACATCGAGACGCCCACGCCTGCCGACAGCGCAGCCAACTCGCGCGCTCCTTCGCCCACGCCCGCGCCCGGCTCCGCAGTGCCCAGTACCAGTGGCGGCGGCGGTGGTGCCAAGAAGAAGAAGAAGAACAAAAAGGGCAAGAAGAAGTAGACCAGACCACGGCACAGGCCACAGGATATCTCTAGTTGTTTTGTTTATTCTAAGGGCACGCGGCCGTTCATGCATGCACGACGACACGAGACAGGGACAGAGACAGAGACAGAGAGAAAAGACTATAGAGTAACAGAGACAGACACACGAGTATCGAGTCAGGTCGAGGCGGGGTGGGTGGGTGTTGGTGGGTGGTGGCGGTGGTGGTGGTGGTGGTGGCGGTTTCTCGTTTCTCGTCAGCTTCTTCCGACGTTCTTCTTTACTACTACTACTACTACTACTGCTACTATTGCGGCCGCCGAGCAAGGAAATGGTCGTCATCGATGTCGGGTTTGTGGTGTACAGTTCCATTCGTGTTGCGCGGGCCGGGATGCAAGGTCATGTGCGATCTGCCAATGAGTGGCGGCGATCACAGCAGGGCCAGGTAGTTGGATGGGGCGATCTGTGCGCTGTCAGCGGGGCCGTCGTCACCGTCATGGCGCATCCATGCACAACCGGTTAGTGCCGGGTGGGCCAGGCGAGCTGTGCGGAAGTGGGAGGCGTCACCCATCCCCTCGTTTGTCCAGCCACCCCGGGCCCTCGAAAATGAATGAAGACGAGCCAAACTCACTCCTTGCTGTCCGCTGGCAGTGCGGACCTGGTACCACTTGCCGGTGTTGTCGAGGACCTCGAGGATCTCGCCCTTTGCAAACGAGACCTCGTTGGGGTCGTCGGGCGAGGCAGAGTACGCGTAGTTGGCCTTTGCCTTCTGCTTGACGACGTTGTCGACCGACTGGCCTGCGGCGCTAAAGTCGTCGCGGCTAGTGCTCACGGGCACACCGCCGGTCGAGTGGGGAGCCATGTCCATGCCGCCGCCCATGCCGCCCGAACCATACGAGGCCATGCCGCCGTAGGCGCCGTTCGACTTGGTGGTGGTGGGAATGTCGTGGGACGACATGCCACGCTCGGCGGCGGCGCCGCGCAGGCCAGACGACTCGGACGCGTACATGCCATTGTCGTGCGAGTTGTGCATGCCCGACGAACGGCGGCGGCTCCAGCCCGACGCGCCGCCAGTGCCGTTCAGGAAGAGGTTGTTGATGAATGTGCCCTCTTCAGAGGTGAGGTACAGAATCCAGACAATCTGAGGCAAGGACGGGGGGTCCTGAGTCAGTCACGAGGAAAAATAAAACAAAACACGCCAGGGAAGCGACTCACGTCGACCATGGCCAGGAGCATGGATCCAACAGCACAAGCAATTTCGGAGCCGAGGTGCGAGTAAATCTTGGAGTCGACGGCGTCGACGACAAAGACGAGGGAGATGGCGGCGAAAATGGCCAGCTGGAAACGGTAGAGCGGCACAGCGTCCGAGGCACATGCGAGGCTGAAGAGGAGGGGGGGTGGTTAGTGGCTGGTGTGAATGGGAAGCGGCTGAGGGAACAAGGCCACGAGGACATTGTTTGCCCTGGCGATACATACAAGAAACCTGCAATGACAAACCTAGAGGACGTCAGCTGCTTGTTACGTGTTTTTTTTTCTTGTTGACGGTTGACGCGTGCCGGGACAAAAGTGCACCGACATGGAACGACTTGGTCTACGGAGGCGGTGTTGGTGTACTCACAGCTGGACCCAGATTGCGAACCAGAGGCTTCCTCCGGCTGTGGATGTGGTGTCAGGGATGGTGTACTCTGCGGGGGGCAGCATGGGTGTGGGACGTACCGCCATACTGGGCTTGGCTCGCACACAAGGCTGCGAACGCGATCAGCCAGGCTGGGGCGGCAATGCCAAAGGTGGCCATGAACACTGGGTTCCGGAAGATGACCCCGATGTCGAGTCCGTTGTCGAACATGGTTGGGGTTGGGGGTGTGGGAGTGTAGGGGGGGTGGTGGTGGTGTTGGGAGAGGATGCAGGTGGTGGTGGTGGTGGGTGGAGAGTGAGAGATGGAGAGAAAGAGAGGGAACGAGTCAATGTGGTGTGTGTTGGGGGGTTGTGAAGATGTGCAGTCGAGGGTTTGTTGTTTGACGCCTGAGAAAGGGGTCTCACACCGCGGCGGGCGGACAGGCGGGGGACCGACATGGAGGAAATCGGCGCGCGCTCGCGTGTGCACACCCTGGCTCGCGGCCTGCGTGTTTGCGCCGTGGCAACCACAGATTTTGATCCCGTCTCACCGTTTTGCCACCCATAATAAACCGCGCACCCCTGTGGAATATATGGCCTGGCTGGGCGCCCGATATGACGAAGGCAGGATCATTGTCTCGTCGTCGTCGTCGTCGCCATCGTCCATCGCCCATCACACCATGCCACCATGCCCATGCTGTGGCCTCTCCAAGAAAGAACAGTACTGCGCACACTGCATTCACCAAGGGTACGTCCACAGCATATACATCTCTCGTTCATTCCCAGCGCACCTGACGGCGGACCCGGGGGGTCACACATATACCCTCCTGCCGTTTGCACCGCTTGGATGAAATCAGGAGCCCTTTGACGCCGCTCCCGGCCAACATGACACAACATGGCTGACCTACGTCAGCGTTGCAACACATGCAGAGATAGCACGGGGCCTCAAATCTCAAGCAGACAAGGCGGTAGCGAGGGCCGAGACGCTCTTGGGTGGAACAACTTCACCGCACGTTCGAGGCGGGCATGAATGGCGCAAGCTGCGTGCCGCCGTTGCTGCGTCCGAGCAGCGAGTCGCACTGCTGCGTGCGCAGCTCACAGCGAGAAAGGACGAGATCAAACGATGTGAGCTGAGGAGGACCACAGAGGACTGTAGCTGACATTTCAGCACGCGACTGTGTGGCCCGTTCCGATGTGCGTGAACGGCAAGACACACTCCAGACTGCCCAACGAGCGAGGCTGTCGCCCGCCGACCTGCGCGCGCAGATCGCCTTCGTTCGCGCCCAGCATCGAGAAGTGGGCAAGCGCATCATACAGGCTCGTCGAGTCCTCGTGCGCGAGGTCGTCGACGTCTTTGGCGTGCAGCGACGCAAGGGCTGGGAGATTGCCGGCATCGAGCTGCCTGCGCCAGAGAACTTTAGATGTGCGTTTCCCCCACTTTTTCACGGCCAACACACTGCTGACCGGACAGTACATCCGTCCATGTCGATCAACGCGGCCTTCATGCACACGATCCACCTCTTGGCCCTCTTGACGCGCTACCTGTCCATCGAGGTCCCCTTTGAGCCCACACCCCAGGCGCCCCTGGAGCTCGTGCACGTCGGCCGACCGGCGATGAAGGCCAACGTACCGTTCCTGTCCACCTCGAAATGGCGTGAAAAGCACGTCTTGTGGATGTCCAGCACGGCCTCGCTCGCGGGCCAGCTCAAGAAGACGTCCAACTCGGCCGCACGCCAGGCCGCCGTCGCCGGCATCCTGGCCAAGTCATACAAGAAGCACCGGGCGAGCCTGACGGCCTTTGCCCTCCTCGCACACTCGGTCGCGTACCTGGCATACACCCAGGGTGTGCCCGGTATCGGCCTACGGGACGACGGGTCACGAGGAGACTCGGAGGACGAGGACGAGAACATGGGTGGTGGAGGGGGAGGTGCAGGCGCAGGCGGCGCAGGCGGACAGATGACCGCGGCCTCGGGCGTGCTTGTCCAGCCCACCGCTGTGCTCGAGCTGATCAGCCTGCTCGCCGAATCGCCGACGCTGGGCTGCCGCGCGCACGCACCGGGAACGTCCGACGTGCTCCGCCACATGGGCTTTGGGCTGGACGTCAAGAAGGTCGTGGCGACGGTGCTGGCTGCCGAGGACCAGCGGTGGGGTGTGCGGCCCGGGCAGGAAGGCAAGGAGGAGCTCAGCGAAGGGTGGGACCTGCTCGACGTGGAGACGTGAGCAGTGGAGGTGGGGGTGGGGCATGGGCCTGGGCCTGGGCCCGTGGGGCCGCTCAAGATCAGTAGACACACATCAACATCAAGCACAGCATTGCCATCACAGCCTCCTTTTTTTTGTTCCACTGTTGCAGATGCAGATCAATCCGTTGTGCTAAGACAGGCAACGGGGGGGGGGGGGGGGGGTATCAAAGAGATCAATAGGGGAAGAAATAGTCGTACAGAACCCTCTCCAGATCGTGCGGCACAGCCCACATCCGTGCTATACATTCCCTGTGTGTGGCTCGCGTCTAATCCAAGCGCGAGTGCTCGCCCTTGGGGAAGACGCCCTTTTCGTTCATGTATCCGCCACGCGATCCCGCGAGGTCGCGCGACATGCACCGGACCAAGGAGAAGAGACCGACCGCGGCGGCCAAGATGATCATGACAGAGGCCATGAACGGGTGGTTCTGTGGAAAACAAGAGGTGTCAGCTGACGCACAAATTCCAACCTTGTCCTACAGCTGTCGCCTCCTCCACTCACGGTAATGAAGATGACCACGGCCGAGCGGCTCATCGAGCCCACTGTGCCGGCCTTTTTGGGCGTGAGGTAGTTTTGGAACACGCCCTCGAGGACCGAGAACACGTCGTCGCCGGTATACCCTGCGCGCGCGCCCTCGATGGTGGTGTCGTAAAACTCGTTCATCTCAGTGTCCACGACGACGACGGCCGGCAGGTCCTCGGTCTTGATCCCGTACGAGTTGTACAGCCACTTTTGCCATTTCTCACCGTCCATGTTGGCAAACCACACGGGCTGGGTGAACGGCCGGCCGCCACGCTTCCATGCGCGGGCAATCTTGACAAACTCGGCATTCTCCTCGGCATTGTCCGGGTGTGTGGCTGCGAGCACGACGAGCGCGTGCTGGTCGCCCTGCATCAGGTCCTGGTAGTTGTCCGACGACAGGTGCGTGACGATGGGGAAGCGGTGTGTGTTGATGAAGCGCCGCACGGCGCCGTCTGCTGCCGGGAGAATGATCGAGGCAGTGGGCTTCATCGAGTCGGAGAAGCTGAGCAGGAGCGACGTAGGCGGCGGGTTGGCGATCGAGAGGTTCTTGTACAGCAGAGGGTCGTTGGACGTGTACACGGGCATCGAGGTACCGAGCGACTGGATAGCCTCCTCGATCTGCTTGAGCTCCTCGTACGTCGTGTCAAAGTTCTGGAGGTACAGGAAGAACGACTTGGTGTCGCCGAACACACCTTCCTCAATGGACTCAAAGTCCTTGAGGTTGATCTGCCTCATCTTGACGCTGTCGCGGGTCAGCTTTCTACGCAATTCCTCCAGCTAAACTCACTCAGAGACCTCCTTCTGGATAAACGCCTGCATCTTCTCAACCGTACGCCCGCCTTTGTACTCAATCTTGGCGTCGTGGTGGAACCTGAGAGGTTAGCGTCGAAGAGTAATGGACCTCACAGCTTGAGAGTGGGGAACGCCTGGACGCCATTGCGACGGCACAGCGCATTGTTATTGTCACAGTTGACAGCGATAATGTTGACCTTGCCGGCCATTGCCTCTCCGAGCTTGTCATAGATGGGGCGGAGGGCCTTGCAGTGGCCACACCACGGGGCGAAAAAGTCGACAAAGACGGGACCCATGGCCTTGTACTCTTCGAACAACTTGTCGTCCACCTCGACCACCTTGCCATCCGGGTTGGGGCGCTTCAGCGACCGTGCCTCCGACTCGTCGACGCCAAGAGTCAGCGAGTTGGCGTAGGCCAGTGCCTTGTCCTCGATCCACTTGGAGAGGTAGTCGTAGTTGCGGTCATCCCTGTACTCTTCGACAAACTGGCCGTCCATGTAGCTAGATGTCAGCTGTAGAAGGAAAGAGGAAAGCTCACAGGTTGAGCTGGGGGTCTGGCTACGTCAGCATTCGGTCCCACGGTAACCATCAGCTCATCGACTTACAGCCAGTGACCTTGTTGTCGTTACACAAGTCTAGAATGATGTATCAGCACGCGTACGATGCGGCAACTTCAGCCCGACACTTACCTCCCTGGGCGATACAGTTGACCTGGGCCATGTGGAAGCCCGAAAGGCGCTCGAGGTGGCTCTTGTCCTTTAACAGGCGCTCCCATGTCCCGGCAAAGCGGCGGCAGTGGGAGCCTGTCGTGTGAGCTAGGTTCGGATCGGGTATTACAGCTCCTTGAGAACGTACAACTTGGAGAGAAGTGCTCGACCAGCCTGAATGGGTTAGCGACGTGTAAGAGCATTCGCAAGTACCCACCATGCGCCGTGTGACACTGTCTTGTTGAAAGTGGCCGACGTGAGCTGCACGCCGAGCTCTGGGGCTTGTGGCACGGCCGCTGCCACGGCGGTAATGTACACGATGAGTGCGGCGAGCCGACTGAACATGTTGGTGACGGAGAATGGGTGGGGGGGCTGGGATCCAGCCCAGGCGAAAATGCGAGATGTGGGGGGGAATGTGTAAAGATGCGAACGATGTGGTGATCGAGACTCTTTCAGAGCTTGTGAGTGTTGGCTGTCGTCGTCGTCGTCGCTCGTCGTCGCGACTGTGCGCGCATGCGGCGTGAATCATCCACGCGGGCCGGACTGAAAGGACGACACGGTGGCGGCGGAAGCAAATGGACCGAGTGAGCGAGCGAGATGCACGGCCCGCAGCACAGACAGACATGACTCTGGAATGACGTTCCCAATTCGACCCTTTGTCTCTCTCCATCGTTGACATTTGCCATCCACTCCACCCCCGTTCACCATGAACATCCTCGTACGTCGCGCCCCAGCTGGCATACAGTGTGATGCTGACCATCTCCTCTTCCATGTCCATCTCCTCCACTATCGCATCTTCGTCTACTTGCCCCGGGCCCCACACGCCGCACACGCACCCGACGTCATCGAATCATAACCTCCTCCAGGACACACTCTTCGGCCGTACGGTCACCCCCGCCGAGCGGCTTCGCCAACACCAGCGCTCGCTGCAAAAGGCCCAGCGCGAGCTCGAGCGCGAGCGCGGAAAGCTCGAGCAGCAGGAGAAGAAGACCATGGCGGACATCAAGAAGAATGCCAAGTCGGGCAACATGGTGCGTTTGCGTTCGCGTGTCGGCGTCTCCGATAGACACAAGAGGATGCCACCGCTTGCGCGGCGTCGGCTACAGTGACGATCCTGGCCATTGCACTGCCCCAGTGTACCTGCACAACACAAGAGTGCCGCCTGCTGACACTGGATCAGAACGCCTGCAAGATCCTTGCAAAGGACCTGGTCCGCACGCGCAGGTACATGCAAAAGTTTACCCAGATGCGCGTGCAGCTCCAGGCCGTTTCGCTCCGCATGCAGACCCTGCGGTCCAACGAGCAGATGGCCAGTGCCATGAAGGGCGCTACTAGGGTGGGTCCCGTTATACAGCCTGCTTGCTGACCCGTACAGGCCATGGGTCAGATGAACAGGAGTCTCAACCTCCCTCAGGTGAGTTGGCGGGACCTCTAGCTGGTGCAACTCTGGCTAACGTGTGCGATCAGATCCAGCGTATCATGAACGAGTTTGAGAAGGAGTCGGCGACGATGGACATGAAGGAGGAGATGATGTCCGATGCCGTCGACGACGCCATGGAGGACGAGGACGAGGGCGAGGGCGAGGAGGTCGAGAGCGACAAGATCCTCAAGGAGGTCCTCGACGAGATTGGCATGAGCATGAACGAGTCGGTGAGTGCCAACTCTGCTGCTGAAAACCCGACTTCTTCCAGCAGAGCCTTCCCTCACAGACACTGCATTCTAACACTCCCAGCTCGCCTCGGCGCCCACAGCCAACCCGCTCGCCAACGAGCCCCTCCAGTCCTCCCGCGTCGCCGTGGCCGAGGGCGGACCCAGCATGCCCCCTCCTCCCGCCTCGGGTGGTGGTGGTGGTGGCGGCGGCAGCAAGGAGGAAGACGATCTCCAGCGCCGACTCGACATGTTGCGACGCGATTAGAGCAAGGAGAGATAGGTCGGTGCGGGTTCCGTGTCTACGGTGTACGGTGTTTCTTTCGTTGTCTGTAATGGCATAGATTTATGTTTTTAGCGTTCGTTTGCAGCAGGGGGGTGTTCGCGGCGGGTACAGGCTACATGGGCTTCTACATCACTACAACAAGTGGTCTACGTGGTTAATTCAAAGGTGTGGTACATGCTCATGCTCAAGGTCCTGGGGCCTCGGCAATGAGGTATCGCGAGGCGAAGAGCACAATGTCTTCTCCACCTTCTTCGCCCGGGACAGTGTTCTCACTCCACGGCTGCCAGATGCCCAGCTCATACCGCTTATTTGAACTGAGGAGCACGCGAGGGTCGACACCGACGCGGGGGCAGTCTGACGGCAGCACCTGGAGGACCACTAGCAACGTGGTGTCGGCTGGACAGGCCTGCTGCGCCGGCCAGAGCGATACGCGGCCGCGCACGATCGTGCAGCTGTGCGTCGGGCCCGTGAGGGCCGACAGGACGTGGATCCGGACAGGAGCCGAGGCGCGGAGGGGGGTGCTCGTGGCTCCCGCTCCGGGGGGCATGCGGGACAGGGTATGTTGGAGAGAGGTGTAGAACAGGACAAGGGAGGTGCTCGAGGACGAGAGCAGGGTCGCGAGGCGGACGGATGGAGGCGGTCTGGCTGTCAGCTACAGGCGTGAGCCATGTCAGCTCACCCAGGACCTTTGTGCTGGATTGCACCCTTGTTCTTGCGCGGCGACACACCAATACCCTCCTCGGTATCGAGCACGCGCTCGCGCTCCAGTTGACGGAGCTCGACACGGGGTGGCGCCGAGGTGGTGATACTTTGCAGTGGGCGGGGCGTCTCTTCCTTGGCCTTGCCTTTACCTTTGCCGCCGACGCCAACGCTCGGGCCGACGCGGAAGGGTGAGGCATCGAGCAGAGCGTTCAGTGGGCGGGCAGAACGGGATGAGGGGCCCGGAGAGCCGTCCTTGGCCGTTGTCCGCTGAACGAGCGCAAACGGGGAGGGCAGGGCGTCCAGGCGTGTTCGCGGCTGTGTCTTGCGCGCGATGGGAGTGGTGATGGCCGTGACGGGTCGGAGGGGGCTGTGCGACGTGGTGGAGGCTGCGTTGGCGGTCAAGGTGCGGACAGGTTTAGGAGTCTCGTTCCGATGCGGTGGTGGTGGTGGTGGGGCTCGCCTTGATGGACCGGGAGATGAGAAACTGAGGGAAGGTGCGGCGGGCAGAGGCAGTGCGCCGCTGGTGGTGACTTTGGCCCGCGGCGTCTGTTTGGCAGCTCGGGGAGGCGGTTTGGGCGACGCGGTCCTTGCCTTCTTGGCTGGCCTGGCTGGTGAAGCGATGGAGAATGAAAATGCGCTGGCGGAGATGGGAGCAACGCGCTTCCCGGCCGCGTCCTGCGGCGGCATGGTGAGCGATGCGGCAACAACAACAATGTCTTCCTCGGCCCCCCAGGTTGACGGTGGTCACCAAAGGTGGAGGCCGGAAGCAAATGTCGCGCGACGCCGAAGGTTGGTCGCGCCGTCGACGAGATGAGAGACCAGATCAGAGATGACGCTTTCCACAGCCTGTTCAACCACACCTCACACGACAGCAATCAACAACCATGGCCGACGGAAAGATTGCCGCCGTTCAGGCAAAGCTCCAGTCCGAGTCGCGCGAGTTCCAGAAGCTCGAGAGCGGTTCGTTGCAGCTAGAGGCGAGCGAAAGCTGACAGATCACAGAGATGGCCGGTGTCATTGAGGCTCGTCAGAGGTTGGACGCGCAGCTGTCTGAGAACCAGCAGGTGCTCAAGGTGGGTCAAACAGCTGCTTGAGGTCGTCACAAGATGGCCCGGAGTATGGCAAACTTGGGGCTATCGGCGTGGTAACCCTCTTTCGTCGCCTTCCTTCCAACTCCCACTCCCTCGTCAAGCAGCTGACTTGTGCAGGAGTTTGGCACTCTCAAGTCCCACAACACCATCTTCAAGCTCATCGGACCCGCTCTCGTGCCCCAGGAGCAGGGAGAGGCCAAGGCCAACGTCGAGAAGCGTATAGAGTTCATCAAGACGGAGATGTGAGTCGGGACTGCAGCTAGGCGGCCCTTCGCTTCGCCTGTAGCTGCTGGGCTCCGTTCCCTCTGTCCATCTCCTGCCCCGTGTAAGATTCCCGCTGACAAGTAGCGCGCGTATTGAGGGTCAGATTAAGGAGCACGAGGGCATTGTCGCGAAGAAGCAGGACGAGGTGAGCTACCATCACGTTACCCAAGCTGACGACCAGATTATTACACTGCAGCGCGAGTTCCAGGCCCTCCAGGCGCCCAGCAAGGCGTAATGTATGCATAGACTTGGGTTACGGCCAGGCGGTGTTCGCATAGTGGACGGTGAAGTGACCAGCTTTGCATTGGCGGCGCGTTGGCGGCGACGGCAACAAGGCGCGACCAGAACCGAAGGGCTAGCCCACAACTGAACTCGAGGCGGGGAAGCGCGTGAACTGGGACCATGAAGAGCGCGTTTGCTATCAGTATGTGAGTTGGATGTGGCCGGGTGAGCAGCACTCGTGGCCCACTCGATCAGCTATGGGAGAGTCCAGTTAGTCTCGCGGTTTTAATGGCCTCGACCTCCTCGCTCCTGCTTTCGCCAGGCTGTTTTCCCCACCGTCCACTGCCTCAAATGCAAAGAGATCACGAGGCGACCATCCCCATGGAGGTGCAGTGCGATATTGGCATGGGCAACAACGAGCGGACTGAAACCGAGACTCTCTGTCGGCGCGCGGACAATTGCATTGGGAGAATAGTGTTCTCTCGCGAATGGGAATGTAGCTGTGCGACCGCTACGCAAACCACAAACCTCGCTGAGGTTGCACCACCATTCACATTGGGCTTGGCGCCGTTGTCGAGCGGTTTGGTCACGCATTCGACGCCAGAGCGCACCTCGCTGGTGGGCAATCGTCCTCGACAAGGCCGCCCTCCCTCGTTGACCCCATGAGGCCGTGGTGTCACTGCTGCCCCTCGAGGCGCCCACGACGCAGCAGCATGACATTGACGTGGGCAACGATGAAAACGAGCCTGCTTATGTGGACCCCAACTGCTCCGAGCGCTCGTGCGCGCGGCCCTGCCATTGGCTTTAGACAGTCGTCATTCGTGAGCATTCCTGGGGGACTCGCGCTCTTTACTCCGGGGTGTACTACGGATACAGAGACATGCCCGGTTGCACGGTTGGTCGTCGGGTGTTGGTGTATGTTGTACTCACATGCACTCACGCACGCACGCACACACGCTTCTGAGATGGCCTGACAGCATTGCGACATTGAGACTCATGTGGAAACCGCTAGCTGCCCATCTGCCAGGCGCCACACACCGCTAGGGCTGTTGCTCGCACGTTGGGGTTTACAGACGAGATGAGATGAATCTCCATCTCCTGGCCACTAACAAAAAGCTCACGAGCTTGTGAGCGCATGAGCGCCAAACGTGCACATGGCTGCTGGCCTGGCCGGCTGGCCACCTGCATGACCCGGGCGACTGTAGATTAACAGTCGGGTTACGCATCGCAACCACCCTACAAAGGGCGAGATGGTCCCGTACAATCGAAGGCGCCCCCAGCGGCCAGCGGCCAGCAGCCAGCGAGTATGTCGCCTGCCTAAATGAGGCTCTGAGAAGCCCTCTTCGCCATCACTGACTGTTGCCACCGGGTCTCTGGTAGAAGCAGGACGACCTCGCTTACAAAACGAAGGGCCGCCCGCCCCCATCCCCAGCGTGCAGCACTGCGGCTGTTGTTACTGTCGCTTTTACGCTTCGATGACCGCAGTGTGATAGCAGCCTGGCGGCGCAGCGGTGTACGTTGTTGGTTCCGTGTTGGGTGTGTGGCGAAAGTACCGGCGTGAGGGACGCCGCTATATACGCGACGCGACCTCCGATCACCCCTTGTGTCAACATCTCTTTTAGCCGCTGTTCGCCGCCGTTCGCCTCTCCACCTTTCTATCATTCATTCTTGTTCCTCCGACCTCTCTCGACCTCTCATCACCATACCAGCCCCCATCAATTGGCAGAACACTGATCTTGTGTGCTTGCCCCTCATCAACACTGGGGTCAGCGTTTCAAAACACCTCATCACCCCGTCACCTCCCTCTCCCTCTACTTGAACCGCCCCGTCTCCTCAAGCCGTCACCATGTCAGTCCTCAATCCCAACGGCCAACCTTGGGACCCAGGTACGTAACACCCTTTTCAGCTCTGCCCATCTAATACAGCGCCCTTTTGCAGGCCACTACGTCCTCGTCGAGGCCTACTCGGGATTCCAAATCCACGGCACCATCGTTAACGTCAAGTCGGGCCTCGCGTCCTACATCAATCTATGCGCAGTGTACATCGTGGGACTCGACCTGTCGGCCTTCAGGGGCGAACACTGGCATGAGAAGCTTCTGGCTGCCGAAACCTGGCTAGGTAGCCTTCTCCTGCCCTGTGGACCGTTCGTGAGTAGGTCTGATCGCCCGCGTACCCGACAGCTAATCGGACCTCACAGGCGGCCTGGCAGGTGTTTGCCCCGCCTGGAGTCAACAAACTGCACGTATCGGTTACGTTTACCACCGAAGAAGGTGGCGTCAACTACAATTCGGACTCAATAGCCTAGAATCGCCCAAGCTGCATGAGCTGGAGACTCACCGAGCTTAGAGGGACGTCAGCCTTTCTTGAAGTGCAGATACGTGCTATTGTAACTACATTTATACATTGAGCGCAGCTGCCCAACGACATTCAACGGCAGGACTTGGGGTGAGCCATAATTTGGCACAAGGCTGATTACAAAAGGGTAATCGATCTGACAAACGTGGGTTATTTCGTAGGCCCCCTGTAGATATAGTAGTCTTGTATGTATCTTGGTCTGTATTAAAAGATCCTAATTGCACGGGGAAGCTGATGTGATTTATAACGGCCAGAAATGGATACTGGTACAGCCCTTTGAATAGCTTAGCGTGCCGCGGATGTGAGTTCCCGACTTTAGAACACTTTCCTGCCGTCGCAAGTCGGGGATGGGGGATGCCGTCGTTCGACCCTTAGGCGGTTAATCCTTTTGCTTTTTTTTTGCGCCAGAGGCCTGGCAATCCTTTCGGTGTCCGCTTTTGCCTGGCGCGGTGTGTGTGCTTCTTCGTTTTATGAGAGAGGTTCTCACAACTTTTTCGTGTGCAGGTCCTCCAGCGCTCAGCAACGTAGATGTATGCATAAGCTTGGATTATGGCAACGGGGAGAGATGTCCGGCTCCGTACTTGCAGGCTACAACCAGGTTAACAAGGCGCGACAAGAGCCTTTGCCAAGTCACTCGCTTTTCAATTGCCGTGTGGGCGTACACACTTTCACACCCGGCTGAAGCTCCTGGTGCCCCTGTGTATTTCCCCAGGGATTAACCAGACTCGCACAGCTGAGTCTCGCGACGAATGTCCTCCTGATGGCTCCAAAAAACTCTACCAGTGGGCTCATGATCTGGGAGTGGGTTCGAGACCCGTCGTGACGGTGCCCAGCAGGCTGCAGTGTACCGTCTCTGGTATAAAAGGGCCGCTTCCTACGCCTGGTTAATGTTTTTTTCTGAATACAGCTCCCCTGCTCTATTCTTCACTCACCTTAGCCATGCCGAACCACGTCAAAGGCGGCTTTCGTCCTCCTCGCTCAAAGGTCGGTTCATGCCTTCCATCACCCACTAACGAACAGACCCATCGCGATGTCGGTCGCACTCCAGAGCGCTTCAACGGCGAGGGAACCTCCAACGCCCCCTTCGAGCTGTCCTCGGACTCTGACATCGAGGCGATTGACTCTCCCCCAAGCAAGAAGTGCAAGGCTGTCACTAGCGGCCCTACTGAGAAAGCTGTTTCCCAACTCAACCGCGACGAGCGCCAGCGCCACAACAGCTCCGAGAGCATCGTCGCCTGGCGCGAGGCCGCCGCTGCCACCCAGGTCGCACTTCCGCGCAGCCGTGAACACACGCCACGCCCCCTTGACAAGGGAAAGCAAAAGGCCTCAACATCTTCGCCCGTCACGTCATCGCACCCTTCTCGCCCTTCCAAGCCTCCCAAGTCGCTTTCCCCAACGATTGGAACCGGACAGCAGCCGGGATATCCACCTGCAGCCATTACCGCCGCTATGATTCGCCTCGGAGAGGAGCGCTGCAACAAGCTCGGGGTCGTCGTTCCTTGGGTCGAGGTTGTAGAGGGAGAGAGTGCAGATGACGTCCACGCCGTGAGCGGCTGGCTCCAGGGAGTGGCCAGTGGCGCCCTTGCTTGCGCCATCGATGCTGCGTTCCGCCGGTGAGCATGAGGTGAGGGAAGGGTATCGTGCAACATGCTTTCCTGCTACGCCATGCATCCTCATAAGAAGATAATAAGATTCCCCAACTCGGTCCCAACGAGACTTCTCAAGGAACTGTGGAACATTGCGGCATGAGTGTGGGTATCATCACCCATCACCATTCACCTGTCATGGACGAAGGCGGCTGTGGCGCAAGGGTTTGTGACAACCATGAAACAAAATGCGGAAATTCCTCCCAATTTCCCATCAGCAATCGTTCTTCAGCGCCCCGCCGATGGGCTTCTCAGCTAAGCCCCCAGTATGCGTCCCATGACCGCATCAACATTCAAGTTCTACTCGTTACCTCCTCCCTGCTCCAACCACCCCACCTGTTTGGTGCTGAAGTTGGGAGGGAACAAGAGTGGCGGGCGAGATTTATTGATTGGGGCGGTCCTGGCGCACATACACTTTCCTTCCTTCCCACGTCACACACGTTTCTCACTCCACTTCAGCATTGCTCTCTTTCCCACTACCTCATAACATCTCAATACCATTGCCTACTCCTCAACCAGCGTACAATGGCCTCGCCATATCCTTCCGCAGGTTCCCTCAGTGACACCAAGCCTTCCATCACGTACCCCACGCCTCCCAACAAGGTCTCCCGTTCGCCACCCTCACCGTTGGCCGGACGGCTTCACAAGTTGAGTATGGGAGGGAAGTTGAGGTTGGGGGCGACCGCTTTCAACCCGCGCAAGCGCCGCATCGACCCGGACGATGATCGCGATGAGGTCGCCGACGCCGATCCCAACTTTGGAAGTTACTTCACGTCGCCGAGGGACAAGGCAGCCAAGCGCCGCGCACTGCTGGCGGCTGATGCTGAGATGGATATGGATTCGGATCCCCCACACGCATCTTCTAGTGCCTCATCGTCCAGTGACGAAGACCTGTTGGCACTGGCTCTGCTCCGCACGCAATCGCCTTCTCCACAGAACTTTTCCAGTTCATACAGCAAGAACGGTCCTCCTCAATGTATGTCAGCAGGGCAGCGCCCCTCCCACACATCCAGCAGTCACCTCAGCTCCCACTCGGAGGCTCGTCTCTCTCAGCCAAGTTCAAGTGCCCCGAGATCCTCTTCTTCCCAGAACCGCTTCGGTCTCGCGCCACCGTTCGAACCCTCAGTGCGCACCTTCACATCTCGCTCTTCTACTGCTTTCCAGTCGCCCCAGCCCGACGAGCTCGAGCACCAAGGGGTGCGGCGCGTCATCCATCACAGCAGCCTCCCCGATGGTCTCTATCTTGAGGCTGGCCCCGAAAGCTACGACCCCGACTCTTACCAGTACTCCGACCCCCCAAGTGCAGCACCGGCCGCCCAACCTGGCCCATCCCCGCGTCGGGGTCCATCTTCCCATGGTACCGCCCTCCCGCTTGAAGAGGACAAGAACAGGAATGCCATGGCAATCATCCTCGGCCTCGTCGCCCACATGCAGAATGGCGCTCCTCTCCACACGGCGCCGCCTACTCCCCCAGGACCCACCCAGAAGCCGTTTGCATCGACCGCGAAGCACCAGAACGTCGCCACTTCACGTTCACACGCCTCCCACCACTCGTCCTCCGCTCAAGCCTCTTCATCAAAACCCCGCACCTCGCCTGTAGTCCAGCGCGAGCGCAAGCGTGAGGAATCGCCAGACATCGTTGCGATCACCCCTCCACCGCCCCCACCCCAGCCGGAGCCGATCCTCGTTGAAGACGACAGCGACAGCGACCAGGAGGATATTGTCGAGCTTGAAGTGAGCAGTGGTGAGGAGCCCGCCTACCACCAGGACCACCGTGGGCGAGCCAGCGTTCCCCATAACCAGGGCGAGAGGGCGATGGTCCGCCTGGGCAAGAAGAAGGTGGAGAGGTTAATCAGTAAGCCTACCCCTCGTTTGTGGCACATCTGACCTCGCCAGAACTGCGCTGCATGGGTCTCGTCGCCACCGATCGGGAGAGCCGCCATCGTCTTAACAAGATGCGGGATGTCGCAGCTGAGATTGGCGCAAACCCGAACAACCAGGCAGACGTCGATGCCGTCGACAAGGCCGACAGCCTTCTGCGCAAGCTGGCCAGAGCCAAGTTGACGGACGCGGTCAACAAGTTGTTCTGATGTTGGATAAGATCCCCTGTGCTTTTTGTGGTTAGCGGAGCAGACTGTGTTTACAGTATCATGTGTATAATCTTTCTGGCTGCGGTATCAATATGCACGACTGTTTTCCTTGTGCGTAAACCTGAAGCAGACCCCAGACACGGGCTGCGACGTGTTTCCTGCACAGCAACTGGCCAACTGGTTTGACCCCCCCGCGGGTAGTGCACCGCTCTTCAGTCCCCGCTTTCCGACGGTTCACACAATGCAAGCAAGCACGTCCAGTTCAGTTTGGGGAGAGCCTTTTAAACCTAAACCCATACGGGCTGCAAGCCTCTGTATCGTCCCTGCCGCATGCTATACTTCATTCACTGCAGCTTACAACTAAGTCGGATTGAGGTTGAGTGGGAATTGTCCTCCGATCTTGTTCTTTCTCCGACCAAATGTCGAGATAGGCAACTCTATGGATCTACGGGTACCTTTTACGTCTGTACCTATCAACTGACGCGTGCTCCAGACCTTCTTGGACCCGTGAGCAGACTTTTAAATAGTTTGTCCTCGTGCTAGGATCTGATGCTTATTCGTCTGAGGATCTGAGGAGTGGCTTCCGTTGGAAACGCGAGCTTGCGAACCCGCGCGTCCTACTGCCACCTCTCCGCGTTTCTTGGAGGCCATGTCATCCATCCCCCCTTTTCACGTTTCGCAGGCTGTCGTACTGTCGTGTTATGCCACCCATGCACGTTTACCAAGTTTTGGGGAACACAGACGAGACATCTTGCATCTCTTGTCCGCACACTTCACACCACTCCATCCCCTTTCACAGTCGTATCCATCATGCCCGCCGGCATGGGAGTGTCGCTGAACCAGGTGTTCAACCTGACCTTCAGCAACGAGCATGCCTTTATCCAGTTGACGCCGCGTCGCAGCGCCGTTCTCAACACCACCAACCCACTCGTCCCCCTTTGGAACAGCACCTTCTCTGCCTCTGCTTCGTCCGCGATCAACGTTCCCGGCGTGGCTGGCGATGACGATTCGGGACAAGTGTTCACCGCCGTCCCAAACAACCAGACGCTCTCAGCCTCTGCCGAGTTCTTCTTTACGGGAACGGCAGTCTCGTTCAACGGCGAACTGGCCAGCATCACCCAGGACGAATACAACAATGGCGATTACAAGGCGTACCTCTCTGTGGACAACAGCCAGGCCGCGCCATTCCCGTCTGGCGGTGTGCTGGCCGCGGCTAGTGGGCTGGACATGCAGACCCATGACGCGCAGTACAGTACCGGCAACGGTGCCACACTTTTCAAGGGTGTGACTCTGACTCTGGCCATCGAGGCGCAGGCGTACGTATACAGCGAGCGTAGCGCACGAGGGGAGTGGCCTGCTCACGCTCACACATCCAGGCCTACGTTTGCCGACATTGAGCAGCGGGTCGAATATCTGGTCATTAACGGCTCGGCTAACCCGTTCTTCCGCATGGGCCAGGGGTCCAACTGGACTGTACACGACCATATTGGCGGTGTCGGTGAGTACTTACTTGGGCGGTGCAGGTGAAAGGGCGGCTCGCTGATCCATACAGGTAGCCAAGATTCCATTCCTCATAATTACTTGAAGGGATTCGAAACGCGCATCATACCGGCAATCACGTCCTTTACTGTCCCGGACAACACCTCGTTCCTCATGCTGAACGGCACCATGGGGCCCGACTTGACAGTGGCCACCATTTCGTGTGATCCGCAGGCCGTATCCGACAATACCACAGCGCAGGGAGGTAGCAGTGTCGAAGTGTACAACGCGTGGGAGGTGGCCGACTCGGTGCTGTACATGGCCACCCTCGATCCCAAGCGCCAGTACAACATCAGTGTCAACACGGACAGTCTGCCCGTCGTCGGACAGCCGGCCATTGGGTTACACAGCGTCACGTTTTTCTCGGGTCTTTCGTGAGTTGCTAGCCGGTTGTCCATTGGCGTGCAACTGACGTTCACTTCAAGCAACCTCACTACGACGACTGGCGCGACCGGCTCGGCGAACGCGAGCACAAAAGTGAAGCCAGCCACGATCGCAGGCGCAGTGGTGGGTTGGTGGAGTGTGAAGCGCCACTAATGCCCCAGGTCGGTGCCCTCGCAGGTTTGGCCCTCGCTGGATACGTTGCGTTCCTCGTGGCCAAACGCCAACTGCGTCGTCGCCAGCAAAGCCTGTGAGTTGGCCTTTTCCGTGTATTTGCCGAACAAAAAAAACGCAAATTAAACTGACGTTTTCGCAGTAGCAAAGGTGGCCCAGAGGAGTTTGTGGTGGACGACCAAAACCCACCGTGCACGCCGTACGAGGCCACGATGGACGGGCGACCCTTCATGTCCCAGACCTCCAAACTCCACGGCGAGGGCTTGTGAGTAAGTAGCCTACAGAACCGACGACAGGTACATATAACCTAGTGCTGACGCGGCCCAAGTGTCTCTGGACCACTGTCTGCAGGAACCAGCAGCATCGACGGGAGCCAAGTGTGGGCGCCCTCCCGCATCCGCTACGAGCAAGAAGAGGACGGCGGCGGGGTCGAGCGCGTCGAGTTTGTCCCGCCCATGTACAACCCCGACTGGGCTTCACAGAGCGAGGGCGACGCGCTTACCTCGTCGTCGGTTTCCGAGACCCAGGAGATACACGGTGTCGACGCCATGTTCCCGAGTCCGAACGCCACTGGCGTGCAGAGTGTCCCGTCGAAGCGGGATGTCAAGGGCTGGTGAACGTAGAAGACCGAGGAGAGAGAACCATGTTGGTACTGGCTCGGACCAATCTATGCAATCTATCGTCCTACTTCCTACTGTCTGCTCCATGTGGCCAAGTCCGAGGTAGACGCACAGACGCAGAAATGAAACATGGACGCGCCGCGCCACATTGTGGCGCCCGGATATCTCTGCATGTGTCTCGGGTATCCGCCATACGCTGTCCACCTCCATCGTTTTGGTTCTTTCTGTTTCCAGTCAAGGTCTCATGGGCGACAGCCACGGCCCCTCACGCACAAGCCACTACCACCACTTTTGGTTTTAACGTTTGCAGTTTGTTAGAAACTCCACGTGACTGTCTTCTGTCTTCTGGATCAGGTCGAGGTTGACCAAAGAACCAACCATCTTCAAGTTGGACATGACAACAACTACATGGGCATGGTAAACATGACAAACTTATTGTATCTACACTCGTATTCTTCTTGTTCTTCTTGCTGCTGTTCTGCATCTTCTTCTTGTTTCTGGTCGTTGTTCCCTCTGCTGCTCTTTACAGCCACGCAACGATCCTGCCCACGATGGGGATCCGCTGCACGGCGGCGCGGACCGTTCCTGGTCCGCCAAAGTGGATACCCCACTTGGGAATGTACTTGGCATAGTACCCGTAGCCGAAGGGAATGTAGCTCCAAATGACGGATGTGGGGCCGAGGGGGTCCCAGGAGAGGACAACTTCGATGCGGCGGCGGTCATAGGGCAGAGTCTTGCTGTTGAGCGACGCCGTGAGGGTGATGACATAGTCGTTGGGCGTGGATACGTCCTCTTCAGGCATGGGCACGAGGGTAGTGGACGATGCGGCCGAGGTGGACGCCGGTCCGGGGATGGCGGAGCTCGACGCGAGTGACACGGACGACGGCGCGTACGACGACGACAGTGTGGGCGACGAGGTCCCGCGGTTGGTACCACGGGTACTCTTGGATGATGGGGTCTTTGTGGCAGAGCGATTCTTCCGCGGCACGTATGGCGGGACGTAGGCGGGTCCGGGCGTTGAGACGGGCACGACCGCAGAAGCGCGAATCTCCGGCGAGCAAGCTGCCGGGGAAGAAGACGTGTGTGAGGAATCGTCGACCTCGTGCAGCTTCGCGGTGGTGAGCTGCACTGTTTGTCTGTGGAGCGGTACAATACGTACCTGGGTCTCGATGTCTGAGCCGTCTTCCACGTCGCTGTCGCTCAGGCTGGGAGGGAGGGAGACGGTGTCTGCGGTGGTGTCCCACTTGCCATTGTTGGACGACACGCTACGCGGGGTGTGGTACCTCGTCGACACTGTCGACACTGCGGGGGATGTACGTGGAGAGGGAGTGTGGGTCCGCGACTGCAGAGTCAGTGGTCGGTTGGCCAGGCGGGAAGCGGGGCTATGGCATGGGGCATGTACTCACCTCGTGGTCGACCTCGTGCAGTACTCCCATTGCGCCAGGCATGCTGCCGGGCAGCAAGAAGTCTGAGTGATCCATGGTGGTGGTATGGGAGGAGCGAGATGACGGTGTGTTGTGTTTCCTGTGGTGATGATGCTTGCGTTGATTGCCAGACAACGTTGCAGACGAAGGGTGCGTCATATGCTCGGTGGTGGCGTCGTTCGCACGATCCAAGCGCAGATCCACATTCTCAGCGGCACTCCCACTTCTCACGCTCTGCACGGACGCAGGCGTGTGACTTTGAGGCCGAGTCCAGCCGCTGGGTGTATGCGGCGGCGTGGATGAGTTGCGTGTGCGTGTGGGTATCTTTGACGGTACGGGTGGGCGCGAGATGGAGGAAGACATGGACGAGGAATGCGCAGCTGATGTGTGCGGAGAAACAGGGACCGGGACGGCAGTTGCTGCACGGGTAACTGGGGGGCCGGGCACCGTGGATGCGGATCGAGTGGCCATGACTGCAGGACGAGCGGTTGTTGGAGAGCGTTGTTTCACTGGTGGACCGGCAGCTGTCGGCGCGGAAGGAGTCTGGAGGATTGAACGAGGTGGCGCTTGATGGTGTGGGGCAGTGCTCGCATCGGCGGTACCGATGGTGACGGTGCTGACGGTGACCGTACTGGCAGCAGCGAGGCTCGGGATACTCTTTTTGTGGATGAGCGGGGCCGTCGGGGAAGCGGGGACAGCTGCTTGTTCGAGACGATCTGGGATGCTCGCTGAACGAGACGCCGACGCCGACGCCTGGTTCGCCTGGTTCAGCACTCCTGAAAGAGAGCGCGACGCCGAGTGGGAGCCGGTCGAGAAGCTTGCCGGACGGGACCCCGACATGACTCGGGCCTGAGACGGTGCGGCGTATACGAGACCGCGTCCAGAGGTCGAGCGCAGGACTGTGGGTTGGTGAAGCCGAGGCATCGAGGATGTCCCTTGGAGTCGCCGTTTAGACTTGCCATCCCCGCCGCCGCCGTTGCCACTGCCACTGGCCACCGAACCTGAGCTCGCTGGAGACGATGCCTGTGCACCCATACTGGGAAATCCAACGCCGACACAGTCGTCAATGCTGGGGCTACGCTGCGCCGTGTTGTTGTTGAGAGACACCGGCCTGGAGCGGACGATGCTCGTGGGGCGTGAATTGGCCGAGAATCTGGTCGATCCAGCCGAGCTCGTGGACGAGACAGTCCGAGAACGCGGTGGAGTGTCCCCTTCGAGTGTTGAGAGCAGAGACGCAGCTCCAAGAGGCGGCGAGGTGGATGAAGTGGATGTCACTGACCCGCTGTGTGGTGTGAGAGATCGACGTCATTTCGACTTTCCCACCGCTCCCAGGGCCCCATAATCACTCACGACGGCGACTGCCTCTGGGGGCGTCCACGGTTGTTATCGGCCCAGTCGTCCATCGGGTCTCGCTCGTGGGCAAGGCTTGGCCAGATTGTGCTGCCCTTTGACGACCCAAACGTTGGGGTGGGGGGTAAAGCAGCGAGGTTGAGACCTGGGGACACGACCAGACCGCCCGTTGGGGCTGCCCCGAACAGCAGGCTGGGCGGACGGCTTGACGAATGGACGTTGTCCCGTGGTGGGGAAGGCGAGAACGGACGCGCGGTGGTGGACGACGCTGGCCGTCCCCGCGCGCTGCGAGGCATTGTGGAAGAGTGGTGTGTTGTTATGCAGAAAGTGGACAGTAACGCAAAGGTTGGATGGAGTTCACATGTGTCCCCCGCGCGCTAAGAGTGAGCGCGATGGCGAGCACAGCGTCTCGGAGCGAGACGAGATTAGGTCATGCCGCGCTCGCCCGCCGTGTGCGCACCGGACTGAAACCCCTCGGGTCGTCGTCGTTCCTGTCCGATTTCATCGCGACAGCGTTGTGAATTGGAACCGCTGATGGTGGCAGTATGCTGATGCATACACCCATAAAGTGACCAAAGTGACTGACCGGGGACACAGAATGACAGCAGCCTTGCAGCTTGACCTTCAGTCCACCAACATGTTTACCGTGCTTCATACTCAAGGATGACGTACTGTACATCGCCACCCGGTCTCCTATGTCGTCCGTCGCTGATCCGCTGAGCTCTACACCACCCGCCGCACATTAGGCTTCTGCAGCTGACGAGAAAGCCGCAGCGCACAACGTGGTTGATACAAAGGGCACACGTCATAGCTCTTCTTCTTCCACGCGCTGTCAGGAGTGAGTGCGGGAGCGTCCTGCAAGCCACAGACTGTCGAAAGCCGGTTGACGTCACAAAGTACAGTACAGAGCGAAGAACGGTCATTCGTCATTCACTCGGTTGTGGTGCAAGCTGTGACACTGTTCAGAGTACAAACCTACACTCTTTGCCAGTATGTATGCACCCGGGGTGTGGGCTGGTGGATCCATGGTAGGGGCATGCTTGGAGTACTCAAGTTTGGTATTGCAACGTCGAGCATCTGTTGGACGTGGTCGCTTCACGTGCCGGCGACGGCACGCGTGCACGCGTCGTCGTCTTCCTCACCTGATCACCGCGTGCCTATAACCCCTCAGCTCTCTAAAACGTTAAGACTACACCTCCCCCTTGTTGCAGCCGTATCTGGTACCTATCGTTACTCGGCATTCTCCTCCATAAACAAGACTATACAGTACAGGCTATAGCCAGCCGATGACTGTCGACCGTGGCTGACTCGGTCGGCATCAAGTCGTTCCTTCCTTCCCGAAAGGGTGAAGGGGTTGACGTGGGCAGTGTGCGCACTATTCACTGCTCCTTCCTCGTTGCGCTTTGCCCCAGTACCTTGTCAGATACGTCTCTGCAAGTGAAGTAGAACCTCCTGTTCCAGTTACAACTGTGCCTCGTCGTTCTGCGGGAAGCCAGGCCACCACGTTTCAACGCCTATCCCTCGCGGTATCCGTTTCGTCGTAGGATGTAGGGGTTATTGAGCATGGGGTGCGGACCAGGTGCGGATCTGGTAAGCTGCAGTGGTGCAGTGGAAGTGAATTGGGGAGGTCGAGGCAGCTCGTCTCCCTCTCAAAGACACCTCAGCTAAGGAACAAGGGGTGGCACTACGAGACACCATCGCCGTATGCCATGTCTATTCTACGGCACTCCGCGTCGGCCCTTGTGCCCTCGCCCAGTGTCGGATGGGTTGACACGGCTCCTCGGCACACAGTAGAGTCTGTTACAACTCTTCCCCGTTGTCGTCGCGAAGAAACAGCTGTCCTGCATGTAGTAAGCGGCTACCCTGTCGTGCAAGACTCACCGCACGACTCGCAAGGTGAGCAGGCATCACCGGCTGTCACGTAACACTTTGGCGGATCTGACTCCCAGTCGAACATGCACTCCAGACGCTCGCGGCTATCCTCCATGCTGGCTAAGGGAATGTCTAAACAGATGTGCACATTTGGGTCATTGGCATGAGCTGTCTCCAGCCGCTTCCACTCGATTGGTGTCCCCAATTGATCGAGACTATCACTAGACCCATTGGCGAAGATGCGCATCGAGTTCCAACTCGTCGGTTCTGTAAACCAATCAAACCAGTCTCGGACGACTGTGACATGGAACGTCCAAGCCATGGTGTTCTTGTGACATAACCACATCTGTGCGCCCATGCTCTCAACCCCAGCCACACAGAATGCAGCACCGTCGAAAAGCACCACATCCATTGGCCCTTGTCGTTGTCGGTTCAGAGACTCCGGTGGTGGTGGTGGGCGCCAGAAGCCCCAAGACCCTAAGTCGTCGTCTGAGAGGCAAACATGGCGAACGTTTGGGAATAGTGGGATATTGGGCAGAGTGGCCGCGTACAGGGTCTCAAGTGTCTGCTGAGATGGGAGGTTGATTCGCAAACGCCAGATGAATCCAATGGCCCGCTGGCCGCGAGCCGTAAACTTGCTGCCTCCATTATCCGCGATAGCCTTCAGTTCCTCCATAGTGATATTCTGCGGGAAAGCCGAGTCGAGAGAACCAGCAACCAGTCGCCGGAGTTGCTCGTCCCTCAGTCTAAGGTCGCGGTACAGCCGTTTGGAAGCTATCTCCCACAAGCCTGCGGAAGCAAGTGCGAGATTGACGAGAGTGGCTCGATCGGTGAATGGGTGCAGAAACGAGACGATATGAAAAACAATCTCGTTCGGCAGTGGATTTCCCATGCTAGGTGGGTCGGATGCGGTTGGTGTGGGTAGAATGGTAGTATTTGTGAAACTAGAAGAAGGAAAACTATAAGACTAGAGACTCTGCGAAAGGGAGTGGTCATCGGTTTCGCCCTCAACGGAGGCAGTCTTGCCTTCTTGACGACGGGATGATGACAGTGACACCAGAACAGGCAGCAATAGTAGGATGCCGACACTCCATTTGCAATCTTTGCAGGTTTCATCTTTTGTACAGGACTCGACTTTACAATCAACCGCCCACATTGGTGAACACCAGCCAAAACAGGGACGAACTCTAATTCCTTACTCGGCTTGTGAGTGAAACACAACACCAATAAACATAACGCATAAACATAACGCATAAACAAACAGCCGATCCTGTTTCATGGGCACATGTATGCAAGTCCTTACCCCACTCATAATGACCTTACGGTACACGTCCAATCGGCTTGCGTCCAACGTAAGTACTTACTGTACTGTACTGTACTGTACATCACGAGAACTGTTGAGCGCGCGCTCTCTTAACAGTTCAGACAATGGCAACCGAGCGGAATAGACATGCGAAACGCCACAGCTAAACACAAAGTTGGTCCTGTTTCACGAGCTGCCCGCATCATCAGTCCACTAGATACTGACATTATGTGCACGTCCAACTGGCTTACTTCTAACGTACATGACGAGAACTGCTGTCCCCGCGTCCTTTCAACTGTTTCAGACAATGCTGCAAGTGTGTATGTACGTTGGTCACTCACTGCTCAGGTCCTTGTTTGGACCAGCGAGAATTGTGTTTGTTGCATGTGTTCTGGGAGCACCAGACGCGTCCCTTTGGACCGGTTCGAATACTATATTTGAAGACGTCGTCTTGGTCACTGTGGTACCTTCTCTCACCTTCGTTCCCCTCGCCTTGTCCCTTGTCCCCGTTCATCGTTCCTCTCTGGCTCCTTCCTCTTGGGCAAGGTCTCGCAGTACATACCATACCCCACCTCTCAAATTCGATAATTAATGAGACTTTCCCTGGTTTACGGTCTGGTGGTTGCGACATCCCTTTGTAAGTTATTCGTCACAAACGGAAGGGATGCAACGTTTCCAACTCCTCAGTTCTGGGTGGTGCAGCGAAACCAATCCCATTCGACAAGTCGGGACCAGACGACGTCCATCAATACCTTAATGGCACTTTGCTCAAGCGCTTCCCTTCGCTTCAGCCTCGTCTTTTTGGTCGGCATCTCACTAGGGCAGATCTCGTCGGCGAGGACCACCTGAAACCCTTCCACACGCACCCGAATCAAATCGACTTTAGAGATGTTGAGCAGACCCCCGGAACACAGAACTGTGCTCCACTGGCAGTGATGGCTTCCTTGGCAAGAAATCCAAGACGACACAGCCAGATCACCAACTTGTTTAGGCTCGAATCTACACCGGATGGCTACGAGGTGACGATTTCATTCCCTCCCAGATGTGGCACGGAAACCGAAACTGTATTCAGACTTTCGGTGGACGACGTCCTCAATACCCCACATCTGCCAATGGTCGCACCTGCTCGAAGTAACGGCCAGCCTGTTCAAGACGGTAAAGAAGTCATTTGGCCCCAACTCCTTTACGCTGCGATCTCGAAATACAGTACAGCTGTCAGACTTCATCTCAACGTTGTGAGTTCATGTGCCTTCCCTGCAGAATGGGATTGGGTAATCACGCGGCTGATACCGTACTCAAAGGCCATGCAAGACATACTTGGTGGACCTAGACCGGCCTTGTTCTTACTCTCCGGGATGGACGACGATCAGCGCCTTGAGAGGTTGCTGAACAACCCTCACAATAGGGTAACTTTATTTCAAACGTACGACCGAACTCCTGCACACAACGGCGCCTGGGACAACTTTTACTCCCCGGGACACGCGTACACAGGCGTCTCAGTTGCTCCAGTAAATGGTGTCTGGGGGTGAGTGATATACATACGGCCGCCTCCCTCTACTTGAATCTTATATCCAGGACTTGGCTGTACAACCCGGTAGGGATGGCTCGGCTGGTCACGATTTCCGAACTTCGCCAGTATATGCACGCCTTCGCCGTCGAAGGGTATTATTCAGCATCGGGTGCCACTCGTCGTGCCGAGGGGTTGTCATGCAGTGGAACCGCTGAGGATGCCGCGTCATTTATTGAAGGGGCAGTCATTGCAGCTGCAGAAGGTGGAGCGGACGGCGCTGGAGTGGCCGCTATTGCGGCCGGTTTCGAGGGCCTCGTTGATGGTGCTGCCGCCATCGCAGCCGCTGCGGCAATTGCTGCGGCCGCGAAGGCCGCTGCAGATGGCGGGCTCGATGGACACGGCGCAGCTGCGGCAGCCGCGGAGGCTGCTGCCTCATACGGCGCAGTCGTCGAGCCGAGTGACTCGCTCTATCTCGCGGCGGGTGCACTGCCGACAGATACCTCCACCGGGGCTGTTGTTGTTGGTGTGCTCCCGACAGACACCACCACGGGGGCTGCTATCATTGGCGTTGCGCCTACGGACACTACCGAGGGCACTGTGGCGTCCACTGCCCCGTCGTCGGACACAACGGATGGTATTATGGCTGCCACGACATCCTTCGAAACAGACACCCCGATGTCTCCGTCCACTTTCGATACATTCGCCACTTCTGAGACGCCTACTCCGTCAAACAGAACAGAGTCTACTACGCCAACCGCGAGCGAAACATTCAGCGAGACAACAACCTCGAGTACCGAATCGAGTACACCCACAGACACCGAATCCAGTACACCCACAGACACCGAGACAGCTACCCCAAGCGCCAATGAAACGTTTAGCGAGACACCAACCGGGAGAACAGAGTCGAGTACTTCCACAGCCACCGAGACCACTACTCAGCCGGCCAGCGAAGCATTCAGCCTGAGACACTCCGAGACGCCGTTAGAGACACAGTCCACATCCACGCCCCAAGGGTCTATCCAAAGCAACCCACCATATCCCACCCCAGCGATCCCCACCCCCACGACGACGCTGTTTGTGACCGAGTCCAACCCTCCGGACCCGACCCCGGCGACCCCCACACCGGACACCACTGTCGAGGAGGTAACGAGCACCTCGACCGCCCCAATGGGAGCTTCCACGTCGTCGGGAATCTGTTACCTTGAAAACTCCATCAGTGGCAGTCCTCCATTCCATGTGCCTTGCCCCGAGGGGTGTAAACCTGGCGATATCATCTCTCTCAATGGCGGATGCTAGGCGCGATTCGCAATATGGCGCTCCGTGACCGCTGGCCGCGTCTACGAGCTCACGCTGTGATAAAGGGCAGAAAGGCAAGTTGGTTGTGATTGACATGGGCAGAAGAGTGCCACCGGGGCGACAGTGGCCAGTGAGGCAGGTCCTTTGTGCCGCTGTTGTGCATCCCGCCACACACTCTCGATCGCCTGCCGATTTTTCTGTTCAACATCAATAGCGTCACACCCAGAATTTTTCAAATGATATCGTAATGAATTGTAAATCGGATGGGGCACCGTGGTCCATTGGCCATTGACGTTTTAAGTGGGGGGATCTTCAACAACGCTCACTGTACTTGTACTGTACACTGTACCACTGTTGATGCTACAAGGTAAAAGGTGCTCTGGCATCCTCAAATATCAAGTAGCCGCCACAAAGGTTGTGCGCATCGGTGGGCACAGATTACAGATCACAGATCCCACCGATCCGCCACAGATCACAGATCGATCCTTGACGGCCGCGATTTATTCCAAAGCCTACGTCTCTCTCTCTCTCTCTCTTGGTTGAGCTCCGCGCCACCCGCAGCATACCCCACAGACCCCAGGCTTCTCGAGTTGCTCGAGGACAATAGAAGGGGACTAGGTGGGTGATACTAAAGCACACGTCATGCCTGCCATGCAGCCCATCCCTGATCTCCGGTCTAAGTCCCGACCCGAACCAGAGAGCCTGGCGCTGGCTGGCTGCGGTGGCGCGGTGGGCTGGGCGGCTACAGGAGAGAGGGAGTCGGAATGCTCGCTTCTTTGACTCGAAGCCACCGGCCACCGGGCGGGGGTGCGATATTACTTTGCCTCTCTACTCGGTCTCTTCCAGTCGTCTCTTTCTTTTCTCTCTCTACTGCACAACGCAACACACACTTTAAAAACAGGCCCACGCTTCTGCTGGCCTGGACCATCTCATCCGTACCCCCACTTTAACGCCCACCCACCTGCACCCAAAACACGAGTGCCCGCCTCGTCCACATACGCACACTCCACACCGCACCTCTTGAAACCCAGCCGCCCGGCCCATCCACCCACCATGCCCATGCTGTTCGTACCCCGTCTTTCACCGTTTGCCGCCTATGAGACCTCATTGCTGACCCCCCGTACAGCGCTGACCCCTCTGTCCGCTATGCGCCCTTCCAGCCTGCTCCTTACCCCGCCCGTACGTGGCCCGACAAGAAGTGCCAGGCCGCTCCCATCTGGCTCTCCACCGACCTCCGCGATGGCAACCAGTCGCTCGCCAACCGTGAGTTTCAACCTGGGTTTCTTGAGAGCACGGCCAGCTGACCCCATGTTACAGCCATGACCAACCCGCAGAAGCTGCGCTTCTTCCGTCACCTTGTCCAGATTGGCTTCAAGGAGATCGAGGTCGCATACCCTGCCGCGTCGGACACCGACTTTGAGTTCTGCCGCATGCTCCTCAACCAGAACGAGGTCCCCGACGATGTCTGGATTCAGGTATGTGAACAAGCTACACCGCAAACGACTTGCGGGATCCTATCCTGCATCCTATGTGCTGACGCTTGCCTCCAGGTCCTCACTCCTGCCCGTGCCGACCTGATTTCGCGCACGTTCGAGGCCGTCGCCGGTCTCAAGAACGTCATTGTTCACATGTACAACGCTACGTCGTGTCTCTTCCGTGAGGTTGTCTTCAACAACAACCGTGAGGAGACCATTGGCCTTGCTACCGAGCACACCGCCCACCTCCGCAAGCTTGCCGAGCAGTACGCCAAGTCGCACGGCACCAACTTCCGTTTCGAGTACTCGCCCGAGACCTTTTCGCAGACCGAGACCCCTTACGCTGTTGAGGTCTGTGAGGCCGTCAAGAAGACTTGGCTTGCGGGCAAGGAGAGTGTCTTTGCCGATGGCCGCCACGAGGAGCGCATCATCTTCAACCTCCCCGCCACTGTGGAGGTTGCCACCCCCAATGTGTTTGCCGACCAGGTCGAGATGTTCTGCAAGGGCATCACCGAGCGCGAGAAGTGCATCATCTCCCTCCACACCCACAACGACCGCGGTTGTGCGGTGGCTGCTGCCGAGCTCGGTGTTCTTGCAGGTGCCGACCGTGTCGAGGGTACCGTTCTCGGCAACGGTGAGCGTACCGGTAACGTCGACATTGTTACCCTCGCTCTCAACCTTTACTCGCAGGGCTACACCCCCAACCTCGACTTCTCGGACATGTTCTCGGTCGTCGACACTGTTACCGAGTGCACCGGTCTCCCCGTTCACCCTAGGCATCCTTACGCCGGTGAGCTCGTCTTCACTGCGTTCTCTGGTTCCCACCAGGACGCTATCAAGAAGGGCTTTGAGGCCCAGACTGCCCGCGAGAAGGCTGGCAACAAGATCTGGGACATGCCCTACCTCCCCATCGACCCCGCAGACGTCGGCTGCACCTACGAGGCTGTCATTCGTGTCAACTCGCAGTCGGGCAAGGGCGGTATCGCCTACATTGTCAAGTCGGCCCTCGCGCTCGACGTTCCTCGTCGCATGCAGATCTCGTTCTACAGCGTCATCCAGGGCATGTCGGAGGTGTCCGGCAAGGAGATGACCTCCAAGGACATTACCAGCGCCTTCCGCCAGACCTACCACTTTGGTACTGGCCACGACGGCCGCATGGTCCTCAAGTCGTTCACCATGGAGAACCAGCGTGCTTCGCGCAGCTCGTCGGTCGCCAACACCCCCGAGGTGTCGCCTGCCCGCTCGCCCCGCGGTCTCTCGCGCATCACTGCCCTGTCGCTCAACGGCGCCGAGCCCAGCCCCGACCGCAACGGCTCGGCCAACGACGACGACCTCCCTTCGGTCCCCCGCAAGATCAGCGCCAACATGATCGTCGACGGCCAGTCGTACAAGATTACCGGTGACGGTAACGGTCCCCTGTCGTCGTTCCTCGACGCCCTCAACGCCGACCTCGGCATTGCCCTCTCCATTCGCGAGTACTCGGAGCACTCGGTCGGTGCCGGTTCGGACGTCAAGGCCGCCACCTACATCGAGGTCATCCCCCCCAACGTCGACCCCAAGGACAAGACCAAGGGCGGCTTCTGGGGTGTCGGTGTCGACGCCGACATCACCGCCTCTGGTCTCAAGGCCGTCGTCTCGGCCGCCAACTCGTGGCTTGGTACGCAGAAGCTCCAGATCCCTGAGTCTCGTTAAACAATCCCAAACCCACCGGAAAACGGAAAAAATCACCAACCTTACCAGAAAAACAAAAAACAGAAGGTTGTTTGCACATCAAGTCATTTTTCATTTTAGTGTATCTCCCCCCCAGCCCCCTGTAGTGCCGTAGGAGGATGCAGCATCAGAGTTGAACGTTAGTACATACCGCGTGGTTGGGTGTCTGTGAGAGGAGCTGTGGAGGCACAGAGTGATGTCAGAAACACGAGGGCATTCCGGGCTTGTATTTCCGACACCTGATGTGTCTTACCATCCAGGAGAGCCATAAACTAGTGCACGTTGTTGCCGCGGCGGTTGAGTATAGATCGCTCTGTACTTGTTCGGTGCAGTACCGCGTAGACCATGCATATAGTTGTCGAGTATACGCCAATGGAGAGGTCTGCAGTACACATATTAGTCGCTTACCCCACGTCTTGCGTCACGTGACCGAGACGGCCACCGGGGCTGCACCGGCGGCGCGGCCCCTCTCTCGGCTGGTGGACCATCACCGTTCTGTCTCCTTCCACAGACTCCTTTCACTTCCCACTCCCCCCTCTTTTCTCCATACAACAACACGTCCTCGTCAGGATGGTCTGGAGAACAACGATAATAACGCTGACAACGTGTTTCCTTCTGGGTGAGTCGCTCGCAACGGAGCACCACGAGGGCGGCGGGGTACGCCAGCGCAGCCCCACAGCTGTCGTGTGCACGCTTGGACGTCGCGTCGTGTCTTGGTTCGCTTCCTCGTGCGACAGTGTCCCCACAGAGCCCCAGCTGACGCGTACCTCCTTCTCTTGCAGGTACGACGTTTACGCACTGGATCGCAGACCACAACGTCCTCTGGCGCTCCCCACTCACGCCCGAGGCGCTCGCGTCCAGCATCGAGTACTATGCCCTGCTGGGTAACGGCCCGCCCAAGCTGGGGTATGTCTACATTGCAGTGGGCATTGCGGCCGTCCTCGCTGCGGGCGGCAAGCTCATGACTGGCTGGAGGGGTAAAGGCGGCGAGGTCCTGTGGGACGGCGCCAGTGTTCGTGAGTACACATATACCGTGCTGATCGGTGCTTCCGCCGAGTACTGGCCTTCGGGCAACAAAAGTGGGCCGAGTGGGTGTGGCGTTCGCTATGGCGTGGCGGCCGTCCACAGTCCACAGTCGGACGATGTGGACCAGGGATTGCATCGGCGTGTCCTGGACCGAGGAGAGGACCGAGTTCACGCCATGCACGCCGACTTCGCATGCCGGGTGTTGGTGGCCAGGTGCGCTGCTGGCTGCTGGCTGCTGGCCGCCGGCCTGACGCGTCACTTCCGGTCTCGGTGCCGGCTCGTTCTGATACGAGATTGTCCCGACTCTTGTCCAGCGATCCAGTGACGCCTACCGCGCCGTCTCACACCCACGAACGCACTACCCGCGGCTTGTGCTTGCGCAGATACCCATGGAAGAACCATGCTGACGCTGTGCAGTCCTTGTTGCGAGCGTTACCTACAACCAGGTGACTGAGGTGTATCCCAGTGAGTTCACCACCAGGTGCAGTGCGAGATGCAGACGGCAAAGGCCAGATACATGTCTTGTCAACCCGCATCTGGACTGGTTACTCGACCCTGTCTCTGCCCACCACCTGGTCGGACCCACGACACAGCTGACCTGTTCGCAGCCCTCATCTCGTTCCCCAACCCCCTTCCCTCGCCGCTCACCGACCACGAAATGTTCCCTATCCTCGCCGGCGCTGTCCGCGACCTCGCCAACGACAACATCATCACCTCTGTGATGCTCACTGGTGTCATGCTTCTGCAGGTAAGTGCTGAAGAGAATGTCCAAGCGAGAAACAAAGAGGGACCGATCGGCCTCAACGCCACCTTCTGATAGCGTACCTCGCGCATCCTATGCCCGGCCCGAAAAGCACATCGAGAAGCACAGCTGACATCCCATCCAGGCCGGACGCTACTACTCGTCCAAGGGCACAGGCGAGGGCTACCCCCGTTCGGCACCCCCTTCCACCGTCTCCAGCCCCGGCTCCGAGGTGCCGCCCAAGCTCAGCGAGAGGCACGCGACCCCCTTCCGCGAGCTGACCGAGGAGGAGGCGCTCGAGCTCCGCTCGTCCTCGGCCAACGCGTCCGAGACGGAGTCCAAGGCTAGCTCGCTCGGCCCCAACTCGGCCAAGCGCTCGCACCGCAAGCCCAGCTCGCGGAAACACTAGATTCCCCACAGACTGGCAAGTAGGCCATAGTATGTACGAAGCGAGAGGAGAGAGAGAGAGAGAGCCCGTCTTCAACTGGCGGGCCATAGGCGTAGGTTAGGCGTAGGCTCGGTGTAGCCTGGGAACAGGCGGATACCACGGCGTCCGACAGATGGGTCCCGGGACGAACAGGCAGTTTAAAAACCCCAGACGAGCGCGAGACATCGACAGCTCCACACACAGAGAAAGCGAGAGAAGAGACACCCTTTTAGACGTACCTTTTGTGTTAGGCGTAATACCATCTTGGAGAGAGGCAGATGCATAGTGTGCCCTGCTAGCAAACGGTACCACGGTGGCCCCGCGCTCGACGGTCGATCACTCGGCCGGACACGAGACTGCGCACAGGTCCCAGAGATAATGATAACTTTTGCCCGCCAAAGATAGCACACCCTGTCCGAGGTGTAACATGTCGCTGGACGTTGCGCTGACACTGTCATCCCCACCGCCACAGTACCACAGTTGAAATGGACAGAGTGGCAGTTGAAATTGTGCTAGGATGTTCTGTCCGCCTTATTCCTTCTCCAAGCCTCAACCCACGACTCCGAATGCCAGCAGCTACACGTGACAACGATGCATACCTGGACTCGCTCCTCGGCCACCTCATGAGATTTCCACTCCACCTGCTCTGCTTACTATGGTTAAATTCTAAGTGCCCCCCCCCCTCAAAGCCCCAAGCTAGTCGTTCGTTCAGCACAGGACAGAGGGCAAGTGATGTCGGTCGGTCGTCCTAGATCCATGTACCTTAGACGGCGAGCACGCCCTTGGTGCTGGGCACCTCGTTGGAGCCGGTCTCGGTGACGGCCATGCGGATGGCGAGGGCGAGAGCCTTGAACGAGGCCTCGGCGCTGGGAGGGTCAGCTCTGAGAAAGGCAAGGCACAAAAGCGTGCTGGTCTATATACACTACGCAGCACCTCGCGCCGGCCTGTCTGCCTACCCGCTCGCTATACTCACATGTGGTGGTTGTTCACACCCTTGATCGAGTCGACGTGGAGAGTCACACCGGCGGCAAAGGCGAACGACTCGAGGAAGTGCGAGATCATCTCGGTCGAGACTGTGGTGTGTGAGCAGTGGGGCAACGGGTAGGTGGGGGGCGCGCAGCTCTTGCGGGGCATGGGCGTCCTGGGCCACACTCACGGTCTCCAATCTTCTCGCGAGTGAAGGGAAGCTCGCCGGAGAAGTAAGGGCGCGACGAAATGTCCAGGACAGCGCGCGAGAGGGCCTCGTCGAGGGGAGCGTAGGCGTAGCCGTAGCGCTTGATGCCGCGGCGCTCGCCCAGGGCCTTCTTGAAGGCCTCGCCGAGGGCGAGGCCACAGTCCTCGGTGGTGTGGTGGTCGTCAATGTGGAGGTCGCCCTTGCACTTGATGTCGAGCTCCATGCCGCCGTGCTTGGCCATGGCGGTCAGCATCTGGGGAAGGTTAGTGGCTGGGTGTCGCGGGTGAGCTGGGGGGAGGAGTGGGCGAGGAGTGTGCGAGAAGTCGGTGGTTGGTGTTGGTAGACGCGAGGAGGTGACAGGAGGTGAGGAACGTCTACGACGACACACTCCTTTGCTTGCCACTTCACAAGTTCTAGTTCCAGCAACGCCCACACCGCCCACTCGCTCGCGCTCCTTTGCCGCCGCGGGGAGCACTGACGTGGTCCAGGAAGCCGATGCCGGTCGAGACGTCGATCTGCTGCTTGGCGCCGGGGGCGACATCGAGGCCAAGGGTGCAGGTGATCTGCGTCTCGCTAGTGACGCGCTCAACGGTGGCAGTACGCGGCATTTTGGGTCGTTGTGGTATGAGGAAAGAGTGTTGAACCGACAACAAGACAGCGCTCCGCTCCTGATAATCTCGACTCGCGTTCAGGAAAGCAGACGGTTGAAAAGGCCGGCACGTGACTCGCTGGTTGATGGCATTAGGAGTTAGGGCTAATGACCAAAAGCTAATAGCGACGCCCTAATCACACCTACTAATGTGTACGTAATCACCTGTCACGCGTCCCTCCACAGGAGATTGCCGGTGCGCGCATTCGCGATCCCACTCAGCTACTGAAATCATAATCCTCCACCTGCGCGTAACCCCTCGCAACAACCACCACTTCAACCAACGTGAGTAAACAGTGGCCAGTTATCACATTCTGTTCACAGGCCAGTGACTGACACCTTTCCCAGCGCGCCATCGCCCAACTTGGGCTGCCTTCCCCGCCTTCCATCGCTCACCCTTGCCGAGTGCTCGGCCCAGTGGCGACAGCGGCGACATGGCCGGCGATGACCGCAAGCGCCCGCTGGACGCGGACAGCGGTCTCCCATATGGATACTATGGAAACGGCCAGGGTTATCCTGATGCGCCGGGATACCCCCCAGGCGTCCCGGGAGCGCCTTCCAGTTACGGTTCGATTCCAGGCATGCAGATGCCAACTGGTATGCCCCAACAGGTGTACGATGGCGACCCGTCCAAGCGCCGTCGCCTCGACATCGAGCCACAGCCTGGTATGATGCAGATGCCGCCCGCGTTTGCGCCCATGTCGTTCCCGAACATGTACCCCCAGCCGAGCCAGGCCGCCTTCGTTCCCGGCATGTCGTCGCAGATGGGCCAGTCTATGGCCCAGGCCCAACAACAACCTCAACAGCTCCAGTCCCAACCCGCACATCAGCCCCAACAGCGCGCGACACACTCGCCATTAGGGTCATTTCCTTCTCCGCAACAGTTTGCGTCGAGTGTATCGCCCCCACCAGCGTTCGCCGGGCCCTTTCCATCTCCGAGCCAGTTCCCTCCACAGTTCTCGACATCGACATCGCCATCAGCATCATCATTCATGCCACAGCTGTCGCCATCCATGCCGTTTACAGGACAGTCAATTCCTCCGGCATCACAGTATCCAGCATCTGGATCGCCGGGCCAAGCGTTCGCCAGTCCACAGACGTACTACTCTCCGCCGATGGGTGTTCCGAGTGCGTACCAGCAGCAGCAACATCAGCAGCAGCAACATCAGAAGCTGCAACAACAGCAGCAGCAGCAGCAGCAGCAACAGCAGCAACAACAGCAACATCAACTCCAGTTAGCTGCCCGGAAGGCTGCATCGCAACAGCAACGCCAGGGGTCGATGGCATCGTCCTCATCACCGGGCTTGCAGGCTGCCCAGCTGCAACAGCAGCGCCAGCTCCAGAGGCAACAGTCGTTTGGATCGCCGGGTTCACTTCCGAACCAACCCTCGCCTTCCTTACCATCGCCTCAGTTGCCTCAAATGCACTCTCCCCAGTTATCTCAACTGCAGACTCAGCAGTTTGGATCACAAGTCAACCGTGGAGTGCAGCCTTCCCCTGTGACGCAATATCCATCTTCTCTCCCTCAGGTCCAACGACAGCAGTCCTTCGGGTCGTGGACTGGTGGAGGAACGCAGTTGCCGCCATCGTCCCAGCCTTCGCCCCAAATGTCGCAGAACCAAGTGCCGCAGAGTCAGATGGCGCAAGGCCAGATGTCGCAAAGCCAGCTGCCGCAAAGCCAGATACCGCAAAGCCAGATGATGCCGCAAAGCCAGATGCCGCAAAGCCAGGTGTCCCAGAGCCCGCCTCAAACGCAGATCAGCCTGCAACGACAATTTCAACAACAACAACAGCATCTGCGGCAGCAGCAGCAGCAGCAACAGCAACAGCAACAGCAACAGCAGCAGCAACAAGGATTGCCCAGTGGATCGCAGGCATCCTCCATTGAGAGCTCCTACGCTACTGGCGTGGCCCAAATTCAGGCGTTCATCAAAGGATCCCAAGCAAACAATAGCAGCAACAACAACATGGGAGCGCAGGCATCACTGCCAGGATCCCAGTTTGACTGGCAGCAGCAAATCAACCAGCTGCCCAACGCCCCGCGGGTCCAAACGCCCCAGCAGACGCAGCAGCAGGTGCGCCCTATGCCGTCACCTGTACAGACAGCAGCGCCGCAACGCTCGCAGCCCGCGTCTCAATCGCCCCATCTTTCTCAACAGCCGCTATCGTCATTACAGCAGCGCTCCCCGCAACTTTCTCAATCCTCGCAAGAGCAGCAGCACCGTTCACCGACATTCAGCCAACCGCAGGCCCCAACACAGATGTATCAGAGCCAGCAGCCATACCTTGCGCAACCTGGATCTCAGACCCAGCAACCACCTCCGAGAAAGAAGTCCCACCCGTCCCCGCTGGTACAGTCGCAGAGCGCTTCGCATGTTCCTATGGCATCCCCAGTCGACCTTGGCCGCTCTCCAAACTTCTCTGTTCAGCAGCCTCCCCAACCGTCGCCGCGTGTGGCTGTTCCGCAACAACCGCCAAGCCTGTCCTCGCCCCAGACACAATCCCTGCCGCAACTTTCGGCCCCGCTGCAGCAACAGCACGGCCAACAGTTCTCATTACCTACGGGGTCGACGTCCCAGCAGTCACCTCAAAATATGTCCCAGCAGTGGCTTGCTCAGTTAAACAAGGCGCAGAAGCAGCAGCAAGCTAGGAAAATGTCCCAGCAGTCGCCTGTTGAGCAGTCGCCTGTGCAGCAGCCGCCTGTTCAGCCGTCGCCGCCGGTCCAGCAGCCCCATGTTCAGCAGTCACCTATCCGACAGTCACCTGTTCTGCTTCAGCAGCAACCCCAGCAACCTCAGCAACCCCAGTTCCATCTGCAGAACATGTCGCCGCAGTCCATGCCGGCACACATGTTCCATCAGCCCCAGCAAATGTCTCACTCTGGGTCAACCCCTCAAGCCCAGCCGCCCCTGGCGGACTCGGGGTCCATTCCCAGCTTGCAGTCGGGCTCGCATCTTCCACCAGCCCAACGTACATCCCATCAGGTCGTGAACGTGCCACGGGTGCAGCAGGCCGCCGCTCCTCCCACCGCCGCTCCTGTGCAACAACAAGCTCTTCCACAGGCTCAGCTTCAAGCTCCTCCCCCTCAGCAGTACCAGCAGCCTCCAATGATGCCGCAGGGAGTCTCACCCATGGATATCTTCCCGCAGGCCAGGCGGCCCGCCCAGCAGACACCTCAGCATGGCCAGGAGCTGGGGCCGTCACATACTCATGCGGACCGTACTCTGCAATCTGGCCTCCCACCTACACCGCAGTCACGCCCTCCGCACACGTCGGTGTCTCAGGAGCACAGGCCCAAACTGGAGCGTGTCCCCGATGTCGCGCTCTTGTACCACACAGCCGTGAATTCGCATCACGCAGCGACGCTTCACCTCCGCCAGGCCTTCATCCCCGCGTCTGTGGCAGTTCCGACAGATCCAAGCTGCCCCACGCTGTCCTTGAACACCGCTACTGGAATTGTGCCCTACACACCAGACCCCCATGCCGGGCAGAAGGCATTGCGCCTGTTGGTTCTTGCGCTTGACCTGCTCCATGTCGGCCTCGTTACCCCAGGCCTCTCGGACAAGGAGAAGGCCGCGTTTGGTCTCGAGTTTGCCCAGGTCGGTCTCAAGACGCTGACCGCTGCCGACTCTATCAAGCGCATGCGACGGGAAGAACGGGCGGCGTTTGGCCTCGAGATTGACACCAATGCGCTGAAGGATGATGTGGAGAGCACAATTAACAAATCTGTAAGTGGTGGAACGTGCGCGACGACATGAGCTAACTACCACACAGCTGGCGATTGCTCAGAAGGTGCACCTAAAGGAGTACCGCCACGGACTGGAACTCGCCAACGCTCGCATGGCGTTTATGAAGCAGGAGAAGGGCAAGGTCGGTATGCGCCTTATCAAGCAGGCGCTGGCCTCAACCTCCCGGGACGAGTACATCCACCGATACAACCTGTATCTTCTCCTTCTCGACCACCTCAACGAGATCAACCATGGCGACTTTTTCAAGGTCGCGTCCGAGCTTGAGACCGAGGCCAAGTCGATGGGCCACACCCAGCTCGTACAGCTTGTCCAGATTGCACGAGTCGAGGCCCACTTTGCCCAGCGCAAGTGGGACCGCCTGGGTGCCGTTCTCGAGGAGTGTGGCACCAACCTCGGCATTGCAAAGGAGAACCCGGACCCGAAGAATCCATGGCTTGCGTCCCTCACCGCGCACTTCCTCCTCCTTCGTGGACTCCATGACGGACGCTCGGGCCAGGACGCGAGTGCCAAAGCCCACTTGAAGCGTCTGTATGGTCTCATGGACGACGCAGCGGAGTCGGGCGTGTTCAACGAAATGAGGGCCAACGGCGGTGTTGTCAAGGTGGGTGGGAGGGCACGCGTCGAAACTGACCCAACAGATGTCTTTAGGCGGACCATCGGGACTGCAGGAGCTCCTGGTGCAATCGACTCCGATCAATGTGCTCTACGCACTTACGTATCTGACTACGGTTGTGTCACGACGTGACCTCATGGGACCCGACAGCACCTGTCGCGCTCTCGTGCATGCCCGCGCGATGCGAGAGTGGGAGACTGTGGCTCGTGCCGATGACCTCTGGGACAGCGGATGTGAGCTTGCAAGTGTACTCTGGACATGGCTAACTCACCAGTCTCGTCTCTCCACGGTATTGCGGATGCGATTGAGCTGCGACAAACGATCATGACGCTCCGCGCCGAGATCATGATGGAGGAGGTTCTAGCACTGCTATGCCGCTCTGCCATTGAAAAGGCCGACACGGTGGGTCACCCACGAAGACAAGCGTTCTGACACCCCGCAGCTTCTCACTCAAGTCGTCCAGCACCTGCGCGCGTGCAATCTCTTCCAGACACATCTGCCACAGCTGGCACTGCTGTATGCCCAGTTTGCGCACGTCCTGGGACGCAAGGAGGTTGCGGTGCGGTACTACCGCGCTGCTCAAGCGACCATTGTCCCTGGGTCTGAGCTCCGGCTCATCGTCGACATTGGCCTGCTCGCTGCCAATGGCGACTTTGAGGACCTAAAGGGCAACCACGATCGGGCGTTGAAGCTCAACATCCTGGCCGACCAGTGTCGCTCGGGGTCCAACGCGCTTTTGCACGGCGTCGGCAACTTTTTATCGAGCATCACCGACCCGGAGCGCGTGTCCTCAAAGTAAGTTATGGGGCATTCTTGGTAGCTGACAGCCAGGCGCAAACTGACCATGGCGTACGAGATCTGTCGTAAGGGCAACCACAACATGCTCTACTGCCTGATATTTGCGTTCACGACCGGCGCGCACATGTACGGCGACCGCGAGCGCCAGCTCAAGCAGCTCGATACAGGCCGCCATGTCGCCAACCTCCTGGGTGGTCGAGACCGCCCAGACGGCATTGGACAGCCGATCCTCGGTCTGTGGTATGCCGTCAAGCTTAAGGGTGGGTGCGCGGCAGACCTTGTTGCCTACTGACCCAACAGACCAGTACCGCCTGGCCGGCCGGTTCGACGACGAAGCCGAGGCGCAGAAGAGCGCCGATGCGCACCTGCGGCGGATCCGTGAGATCCGCGACTATGCTGTCAGACGGTTCCCCGAGTGACCGACGGACACCAGCACATCAGTAATCTGTTTTCAGTGGAATTAGTAGAAACCTGTACTACCCCTGTGCCCACGAGATACCCAGCATGGGCTTCTAGGATGATATAATATGACACGTCGCGGGGTATGAATGGGCGGTATAGATGCGAGCGGGGAGGGGCGTGCAATGCAGGTGGACCCGGACTTTTTGGCTGGAGAGAGAGGTGTTGAGGGTGTGTTGTGTGTTGGGTTTACGCGGCGCGGCAGATGACCTCGCCGCCGAGGCCGGCGCGGTATGCCTCCCAGCCCTCCATGTAGGTGTCGGCGCCGGTACGCGCGGTCTTGGAGTCGGTGGGGACCTTGACGACGAGGATCTCTCCGGTGCCGACGCCGTTGATGTTGCGTGCGCGCTTGCCCCTCAGGAGGAGACCGAGCTCGTCACGCGAGACGAGCTTGCGGAGGGACGCCTTGGAGACGAGCTCCATGTGGCGCAGGACGGGCGAGCCGGCACGGTACTTGTGGCCGACCCACAGGCGCTGTGCGGCCTTGGGGAGCGTGGGGAACTCGGTGGGGTCCGGGTGCGTCGGGGTGCCGCGGGAGATGTTGGAGAGGAGGCCGTGACGGAGGAGGATGGAGGAGATGCCGACGGCCGAGTTGGTGTAAGGGAGGGAGGTGCGGGCGAGGGACGCGCGCGCAGTGTTGTAGAGGTGCGTCACGACGCGGTGCGGGGGAGCGGGGAGAGGCATGGTGTGGGGCTATAGGAGGCGAGTCGACGGCGGCGCCGGGTGGGTGGTGTGTAGGATGCTGTAGATGGCAGCGAGCGAGCGAGCAGCAGCGACCAAGGCAGACGGTCGATCCCGGAAAAAAGTGCCACACCGGCTGCCTCCACCGCGCCGTTCCACTGGTTGTACATAACGCCGCTATCGCCGTGGGCTCACGCGCTCGCACCGTTCCTCTGCCCCGCGCCAGCGTGTGGCCTCTGCGATGCTCTTCCCAACCCATTGAAATTTCGGACAATCTCTCAACTGTATCACTTTTCTTCCCCCCATGGTCTTCTCCTCCGCCGTCGCTGGGCCTTCGCGCATCCCCTACAGCGCGGCCACCTGTGCTCACGCACAGGCGGCTGTCCGCTCCTTCTCCTCGTCGGCGTGCACCCAGGCGCCTGGTGGCCGTCGCCCATTCCGCAACCGCCAGTCGGGCGAGGAAGCGGAGGGAGAGGGTGGTGAGGGCAGGAGGTCGCAGCAGGCGGAGCCTACAAAGGACTTTGGCATGTGGCTCAAGAACGAGGGTGTCAAGCTCAAGTCGCCTGGACGCTACGAAAAGGCGAGGTGGCTGGGTGGTGAGGTGGTGAGTGTCTTTTCTTTTTCCTGTCCGATGTCCCGGTCCTTCCGACATTTCAGTGGCTGACGTCGTTCCAAGCCATTCGCCTCCAACCCTTCCTTCCGTCCCCCTCCCCCTATCAGCGACGACCTGCAGACCATCCTGTTCAACGAGGTCCGCTCGGGCAAGCGTACCACCGGCCAGATCGCACATGCGTACAGCGTGTCCAAGGCGCGTATCGACGCCGTCCGCAAGCTCAAGGAGGTCGAGGCCGAGTTCAAGCGCCAGGTAAGTCTCCTACGACTTGTCTTTCTTCGAGAGAGAGTGTGTCGGCAGTGATGAGAAACAATATGACATTCAACTTGGAAGACAAACCCATGGTTACGCCAATATTCTTCACTTTCTGAGCCACACACCTTCTCGAAGAAACTTGTTTTTCCTTGAGAGCGATTGAAGCTGACGTATCTCCTTTTCTCGATGTCCACCGTTTGATCCGACACTTCGCTTTCAAACATACAGGTTAGTACATACTTTACTTCCCACCACCCTCTCCCCTACCCCTGCCCACTTCTTGAGTGATGAGCGAGATCGATTAGTCTTGAATACCCAAAACGTGGTTACAACCTACCCTCAGTCTTTTATCTGACACATTCCTACCCCACATCCGTTTTCTCCATTTTTTATCGAGAGAACTCCTTGTGCTGACAATACCAAAGAACCTTCCTCTCCAGCGTGCATTCCAGGCCGGTATGGAGTCCCTCCTCGGCGTGCAGTCGATCCTGGACTCGAAGAATGTGGCAACCATGGAGACTATCCGCAAGGAAGAGCTCCAGCGTTCCCAGCACCCTTCGACTGGTCTTGAGCACGACGAGGAGCACCGCCACGACCACGGCCACAAGGGTGGCGCCTTTGCCAACCACGCCGACCCGGACCAGAGGCCCCAGTCTACCATTGAGATGGACGTCTGGGAGTTCCGCGACGAGACCACCGTCATGGCCGACCGTGTCGCCGCCGTCGAGGCCGTGCGCGCGGAGAAGGCCGCCGAGAAGGCTGCCGAGGAGGCGGAGGCGGCCGACTTTGCTGCCGGCAAGACGGCCAAGAAGGCTGCGCCTGCGGTCGCTTCGGTCGTTGCCAAGGCGGGCAAGACCACGTTCCGCTTTGTTGACACGTCCAAGAAGGAGTAGAAAGTTGTAGCGCAATATATGCAGCAGCACAGAAACAATCAACATCTCCAAACATTATATGAAAGTTGTGCAAAACGGTTACGAAACTAATCTGCGACAATGTCGTTCAGACACGTGACTTTGATAGTTTAAATGCTTTTGACTTTTCTTCTTTTTGTGCCTGTCGACGAAGGTGGCAGTGGGTTGCTGGCTCTCCCGTTTCAAAGTGGGGAAGATTTCTGACTGTCTCTCACGTTTGCGGGAATGCCGTCAAGCAATGGGCGAGCTTCTCTCGCAGTATGTACATACACATTTCGTAGTTGTAAAAGGAGTACGTGTTCTTCGTCGTACACATCACAGATCTGGGATCTGGTGGCTCCCATTACAGCGGAATGGGCCCGTTTTTCAGGCCCGATGGCAGACGACGATCCTTGTGGGGCACATGCTCCGCTGAAAGCATAACACATCGCGCCCACTTGTGCACAACTGAGCAGTGCCAGTGGCACGACAATGCACACGCAAGATCACACCTGTAGCAGCGCCACAGTGTCCCCAGGGCAGCACATTGTGCGCAGCTGCAGCTGCCCTTAGCCGCAGCCGGAACCGCCGTGGGAAGGTTGTCAACAAAGACGCAGCAGCTTTATTTGGCTCGTGGTGTGCCAAGGCCGACCGGCCCTGTTCAAACGGCCGCGCGCATTCTGTGGGCTGTTTTAGTCGGGGCAGTGCGGCGCAGTCTTTGTACCACTCCGTCAAACGCAGTCCGTCCCTCGCGAGAAGGAGCACAGCAGCAGCTGCTGCACTGGCGGTCTCTTTCTCTCTTATCCTCACAACGCTCGACCCCCCCACACCACACACCTCGCCTCGTCCCATTCCAAGCATCGCGTGATCATGACGGGCGGCACGTACCAACCGCTGGCGCGCAGCTCGTCTGATGACATTCACTTCACACATACACCGGCCTACCCCCCGTCCTCGCCTACGCCACCCCACTCGCATGGCCGAGCTGGCCGAGGCGTGCTGCTGGTCGTTGCCCGATGGGTGTTGATGGGCCTGGGCGCGCTGTCCTTGGCCCATTTCCTCCTGCTGGCGGTGCTCCCCAGCCATGCCGGAGACAAGTACAGGTCCACTGTCGGTCTCGGCTCGTCGTCCAGTTCTGCGACATCTTGGGCTTCGAGCGCCGAGGCCGCCGATCTCGCACAGAAGCTCGCGCCTGGGTCGGGCCAGCCGGGCCTGTTCTTCCGCGACCCGGCACCTGGCCACAGCGCTGCGGCCTTCTGGAAGCTCGCCGAGCAGGAGATCCGCGACTCGGGACGGGATACGTGCAACGACCAGCTCGGCCGCGCCCTTGTGGACGCGTACGGCCGCAGCAAGACGCTGTACTGTTCCTCTGGCTCGGCGTCGGCGCCCTTTACGCTCGACGCGCTCAAGGCTGGAACCCACCACCACTGGGAGCCCAGCGAGCCCGTCCCGGAAGACGAGAGGCGGCAGGCGGCGCTCTGCATGCCCGTCCACCGCGACGACGTCAGCAAGTGGTGGCCCTTTGCTGCGTCGCCATGTGTCTCGACCAACCTCCGTCCAGGCAAGAGCAAGGGCAAGTTTACCGGCGAAGGAGTGGATGTCTCCGCCGCGCAGTGTAAGGTCACCGAGGACGGCGAGCGGCTCAAGCACGAGATGGGCCACGAGGTGTTCCTCGGCAGCGTGATCAATCCCGCAGACGAGGACGAAGGGGAGTGTTCAGAACGCATCGAGCACACCCTCGTCCTCATCCACAGGCAGGACCAGTGGAACCCGTGAGTCTATTGATACGATTACAGCTGGGCCGGGGACATGAGCTGTGGGGATGATGTGGACAACGAGTTGACACATACCACAGATTCCACGTCGCAGAGGACCTGATCACCACACTGGTCACTCTCTTCATCGCCGACGCGGCCGTACCCGGCATCCAGAAGGAGCGCCTGCAGCTGGTCTTCACCGATAACTATGCCATGGACGGAAACCACTTTACGGCCCTGTACGACCGTATGGGCGCGTGGGCACCCCGTCGACTCCAGCTCGACCCGTGGACGGAGGGCACTTGCTGTGAGTCTTTCATTTGGTGTTTGCAATGAGCAGTCGTGTGGCGGGCACGCGTTGGGGTGGGCTCAGACTACCTTCCTTTCCGTTGGAGCAATTGTTCCCATGCCCTTCCCCGGTGTGTTTTTCTCACCTGCAAGGAACAGTTGTGTGTCCCGCAATAAGCAACTGGTGCACCACACTGCACGCTGCGTACTCGTGCATTCTAGCATTAGTTGCTGCGAATGTGGCACGTGAAACCGCACACTTTTCATATATTTCTGAAACATCGCCGCAAATGCTGACCCCCTGGTAGTCACCAACGTCATCCACTCGGTTGGCGCCGGCGCGTCGCTCCTCTCCGCCATGGGCGTGGGCAAAAGGTAAGCTGAAACATTCTCTACTGGGAGCTTACTGTCCAGTAACCGGTGCGCGTCCTCCATCACGTGGGCTGCAGCACACTACTACCGCCACCTGTTCGGTCTCCTCCCGCGCTCCTTGCGCAAGCAGGCGGCGGAGACAGCGACCGAGGTCAGCGAGCCTCTGCAGTCGGCATCAGCCGCTGACGAGGACGACTCTGCTGTCCCCGACGTTGAAAAGCGCGCGGCACGGACCAACCCCGTGAACATTCTCTGGCTGTCGCGCGCCAAGCTGGACGCGTACGCCCAGGCGCACAACGACTGGTCGCCGTGGCGCGACGTGCGCAAGCTGCACAACGAAAAGGAGGTGCTCGCGCGCGTCCGTCTTGGTTTGGAGGAGATGTGTGCCGCGGGACCCTCGGACGCCTTCCCCAACGGGTGCGTGTACGAGGACGCGCAGGACGTGCCCGAGACATGGCCCAACGACGCCGCCCACGCCTCGGGCCCCGTCCCTGTCCGCTTCGCCACGCTCGACCCGACGGTGCACGCGCTCGAGACCCAGGTGCATTTCCTGGGCCACACGAGCGTGCTGGTCGGCCAGCACGGTGGGGCCATGGGACTCGGCCTGTTCCTGCCCCCCGGCGAGGGCGCGCTCATCGAGCTGCAGGTCCATGAAGTGTCGGGCAACTTTCACTTTGAGCACATTGCCTTCCAGACCGGCCACGTGTATGAGCCTGTGCGGATAGAGCAGACGGTCGACGTGGACGCTGTGTGGGATGTCGTGCGGAGGCATGTGGAGGAGGAGGCCAAGAAGGTGTATTGAGGAGAGGAGCGGGGAGGAAGAGAGAGAGGACAATTTAGAAAGGGATAGAGAGCGCGATCTCGAGCGATCTCGGGCCATCTCAAGCGGCTGCACGCGTGAGCTGTCCTGTGATGTGTGCTGCGACTGCTGCTGCTAGATATGTACCCTGCACATTATCTGTAATGTATACGTTGGGGAAATCACTGTAAAATGTGTACACTAGGATGCTGCTGCTGCTGCTGACGTCTATGTCTCGGACTCCAAACAATCCTCTCCGACCCCACCATGACTGGAACCTAGTCGAAGGGGATAGGCTTGATCCCCTGCCTGGCGGTGAACGGCACGCCAGGAGCGGGCGCGCCCGCCGCTGCACCTCCACCGACAACGCCAGCGTTGAAGTTGGCGGCATGGCCCTCGGCCGCTGCCTGCGCAAAGGCCGAGGGGACAGGGATACCGCAGCAGTCCATCGCCCACCCGGCCTCGTGGATGTGGCCGTGGGCGTCGGGCTCGACGATGCCTTCCTCCGCCAGAGCCTTGGCGAGCTCTGGATCCTCCTCGAGTGTGGGGAAGGGGAGGATGGTGCCGAAGAGGGCGTGCTGCATGACGGGGAGCTTGCCAAAGACCTGGACATGGGAGGTCAGTTCTGATGAGGAGTGCGGTAGTCATCAAGCAGGGGGAGTGATCAAATAGTCTCGCCCTCACCTGCACCATGTACCTTGACTCACCTCTGCAGCATACATCTTGCGCATGCCAGAGTTGACCTTGTCCCAGGTCTTGACCGCCGAAATGTCGTCGAGCATAGGCGAGTGCCATCGGAGCGACGCAGACTTGATGCTGTTGATAAACATGATGCACGACAGGTACATGTACTCGTTGCCAAAGGCTTCGAGAATCTCGGCGTCGTGGATCGCCTTGGGCCGGAGGTGCTTGTGGTCTGAGATGTCAGCTTGGAAGCCTGTGGTCAAGCTGCTCCGGGCGGCCTACCCCAGCTAGTCATTATGGAGCACTAGCTGGGCACCGCCAACATGTCCTTTACCGGTCGACTGCGACTCACTCTTCAACTGGCCTGCGCCCCACAGGAAGGGAAGGAACTGGTAGTCGTCAAGACCCCACACGCCGTGGCTTCCGGCTGGCTCGAGCCAGTAGGTGCTCTGGAGGTAGCGCATGACAATAATGTACTTCCAGAACACGCCGAGGACGAGGTACGCGCGGTCCTCGGGGGTGAACGCGCCCAGCTTGTCGAGGCAGTACCTGTCTGTCAGCTCTGACATGGTTGACATAGCTGTGCCGCAGGCAGGTGTGAAGGTGCGCTACTAGACACCCTCCCACAGTCCACTCTTCAAAGTGACCCTACTCACAGCCAAGACAAAAAGTTGAGCTCCATTCCACTGCCATAGTCGACACGTTCGCGGTTGCCCCAGCTGTCCTTGAAGTACGCCTCGACCTCCTTGACGCTCTCGGCCGGGAGGCCCGGAATAGTCGCATGTAGCTTGGCGCTGCTGGCACCGACACGGTCGTAAAACGTCTTGAAAGCTGGGTTTCCGAAGCGCGACAGCTTGTTGTCGACGGGTGGCGTGGTCTTGGCGGTCTCGAGGACGGCGTCGAGAATGGCCATGATGGGCGCGGTGCGCTGAGCGGTTTGTCAGCGTCTCGTCATGGGGCAGATGCATGAAGGTAGTGGCTCAGCTGGTTTCTCAAGCGCCATGAAGCTGAGTAGCGACTTGCATTACTACCCACCTCGCTCGGCTGGCCAATCTCGCTCAGCTTGATGCCGACGATGCGCTCGTTGAGGTCATCGATGAACGCCAGCAACTCGGCGTGCGCCTTGGAGCGGGCAAAGGCGGCGAGGTGTGCCTTTGAGAGGATACGTTTTGTGGGGACAGCAAACGCCTGCTGCTTCGTCTCGGTGGAGTCTGCCATGCTGTGTCGAGTGTGTGAGGAGGACGTGCAGTTGTAACCCAGAGATCCACCGAGAGAGAGTCTTTGAAACGTCTCGCGGTGGAGGGAAGGCAACGGAACCAAATAGAACAACACAAACGGACAGTTCCGGTGGCGGCGAGTGCCTTCGATGGGAGTGATATGGGATCTGTGGGATCTGTTGGATCTCTCACGTCTCGCCCGTTCTCTTGGCCAGTCTGCAAACGCTCTGCCAACGGGGGTCACCAGTAGATACTCCCCCAGTCAACATCCCTTTCAGCTCACAGACATGCGTCATGACCGCTCAATCCTCACAAGCCGTCACTCGCAGAATACTCCCGTCGAGCCCCCAGGTTATCCCACGGCCCGGCGGATCGCGACGGCGGGGAGCGGCCCGACGCGTCCGTCTCTCGACTATTTCCAGTACACCCTCCCCATGTTACTTCTCCCCTCGTCCCATGAACTCCCCTTTCAAGCACCTGTCACTGATCTGGATCCTCCTCTCCACACTCTTCTTCACAATGGCTGCCGCAGGATACACCGACGCTGTCCTTCTCTTTGTGCGCAAAACAACCACACCACGCGCGTGGGGGGCGAACAACATTGCTGACAACAACAACAGGGCGACAGCCTCACGCAGGCATGGTCCGAGGGGTCGCTCGCACAGCGTCTTAGCGAGTACTGGTTGCGCAGGCTGGACGTTGTCAACCGTGGATATGGTGGATATAACTCGGAGTGGTGAGTGTCGAGATACAGCTGAGTATGCCTTACAGCGCAAGCTGACAGGCAGGGGCATCCCCTCGTTTGAGGTGATCTTTGGCACCAAGGAGGACCGCGAGGCTGGACGTGCACAGGAGGTGCAGCTCTTGACCATCTGGTTTGGTACCAACGACGCTGTTCTTCCCGGACGGCTTCAGTACACCCCTATCCCGCGTTTCCAGGAGAACCTCAAGACGCTCGTCGACTATGTCCGCAACAAGGACAGCAAGTGGTACTCCCCCAACACGAGGATCGTGTTCATCAACCCCCCACCTTTCATTGCGGCCGACCGCCTTGCTACGCAGTACACGCGCTGGCGCGACGAGTACAAGTGCGAGGGCCCCGAGCCAGTCCTCGACCGCGAGTGGGACAACACGAAGAAGTATGCCGAGGCCGTTGTCGAGCTGGGCAAGGAGATCAACGTCCCCACCATCGACCTCTGGACCAAGATCATCGAGGCAGCAGGCGGCGAGTCCCCCGAGCACCTCAAGCCGTACTTCTAGTACGTTTCCGTGGGCTGTTGGTTGTCTGTCACTGACTGGTTGTAGCGACGGCCTGCACTTCAACTCGCTGGGCTACAAGGTGCTCACCGACGAGCTGACCAGCATGGTCACCGAGCACTGGCCCGAGCTCCACCCCGAGGCGATCAGGATGCGTCTCCCACAGTGAGTCTTGTTGTTGCCCGTGATACGGCCACGAGGCGAGGGGCGAGCGAGCCGTGAGGGAGCGCTGACACGTTTCGAAGCTTTGCGGACATTGACCCGGAGAACCCCCGTGCTACCATCCCTGGACAGAAGCCTGTGATTCCTCGCCCGCACGACGAGCTCTGAGGAGGACGGCCAGATAGATTTGTAGATATCACAGGGTGGGAGATGGGACAGCAGTGCATGCGTATGTATGTGTGGACGTGGCCATGCAGGATACAACAGCGACGGGCCGCGAGTGTGCGTTGGTGTCGGAGATGGGATTCCAGGCACGGGGGCCGGTCGCGCCCAGCCAGGGCCAAGCGAGAGCGCGACTGGCTTCCCAGGCAGGCAGCGGATTCGAATCAACAACAAGTCTTCTTCCCATTCTTCCGTCATCACTCCGCCCACCATTTACTCTCATCCTTCACCTCGTCTGCGGCGCGTCAAACATCCCCCGACACACCTTTCATGTACAACTACAACGGTAAGCAGCTGACAGTCGTCGCCAGTCAACCGCACATGCTGACTCATCCCAGCGGCGCAGGCGCCTGCCCCGCCGAGCGGGCCATACTATCCAAACACTCCCTCGGGAGGGTACGCGCAAGCCGTGTACCAGCAGCAGACGTATTCCTACCCCAGCACCTATGCTCCTCCAGGCCCCAGTGGCCCCAGCTCGTCTTACAGCTACGGCTCGCTGAACGGCCATGGTCGTGGACCCGTAGAGAACGCATACACACCGCAGGCTGCGCCGCCCCACAGCAACTACTACCCAAACACCCAACCACCACTTGCACCACCAGTCAACGGAGGATATGCCCCGGCCCCCATTCCAGCTCCACGCGCTCCCCTCCCCAACGTCAATGCGATTCCTGCCCCTTCCCAGCCGACAACGTACCAGCCGCCAATGTTCAAGACGTTCCAGGAGCGCAAACGTGAGCGTGAAATGGCGCTGCGCACGACGGCCCAGAGCAACCCCACACCGCCTCCATCCCACGACCCAACACCCGCACCCAGCCCACACGTCTCTCGCTTCCCCCCCACGTCGCCAAGCACCCCCTTACATGCCCTCCCTCATATCCCGGGCCCTCCTCAGCATGCCGGCCCCGTTCCTAGCATCAGAGCTCCGTTCAACGGCGTCGGCGGTGCTCCCACGCCACCCGCTCATTCACCCATTAATGGTCCCCCGCAGTTCAGCACTCCGCCTCCAGCAGCCTTGGCCATGATGGCTCAGCAGAACGGTGCAGCGGTTGGTCGCCCCACCCCTCCTCCTCGTAGCAGCTCGGGACCAGCCCCGTGGACTGGGAACCGCCCTCCTGTGCCCGCTCCACGCGGAGTGTCCAGCCCGGCGACGTCGCCGTCCAAAGATGCGCCATGGGGAGCTGCACCTGTGACTGCACCTGCGCCTCCTGACAGGCGCTCGGTGTCGCCTGCCCCTCCTGATCACCGCTCTTCTTCGCCTGGCCCGCCTACCACCACTCCGCACATAAACTACGCGCAACCGCCAGCCCATGTCCCTACTCCACAGCCACCTACGATGTCTTCCCCCGCTGCCAGCGCTCCCCTTCCCTCCTCGTCCAACCCGCCTTCCCTCACTCCCTCGTTACGCAACAAGGCGATCTCCTCTCTCCTCGACCGCAGCGACACCGTCAGCTCCATCAAGTCTGTTGACCGTGCCGGTTTTGGACCCAAGCGCTCCCTCCCAAAGCCCCCTGCCGGCCTCGCCTCGAGCAGGTCGCTCGACCGTGGACCAGCCTTGCCTGGAAACCCGCGTGCTCCCCGTCGTGGTGAGCAGTCGCCTGTGCGGATGAGTGCGATCCCGGCGATTCCCGGTATCTCGGAAGTGGACGAGGAGGGGCCGGCAGAGCTCGCGGCCCGCTTCGCGGGTGTGAGCGTTGGCGGCTTCGTCCCCGTCAGGCAGAGCCCCGAGAAGCCCACTGTGGGTCTTCCCGCCTCGCCGAGTCCGGCCCCCTTCACGAAGGGGTTCCCGAACCAGCAATGTTCTCAGTCCATGCCGTCAATCCATGTTGGCGGGCACGAGGTTCCGACCATCAATGTCGGCGGCCCGGAGATCCCAACCATCAACGTCGGCGGACCCGACGTCCCTACTATCGTTACGCCGTCGAGCCCGAAGACATCGCCGGCCGTTCCCATCATCAACGTTCCCTCCATCAGTGTTGGCAGTCCTCCCACCATTGCCGTGTCCCCGCCTGCGGTGCCAAACATCACGTTTGGCGACGACGACAACGGTACCATCTCGCGCCCAGAGTCACCTAATGGGTTTGCCATCTCGGGCTTGCCAACTATTGCCGTCTCGTCTGGCGACACACGCGACGAACTCCCGCCCATCTCCATCTCTGTTCCCTCTGTCAAGGGGCCCAGCAGCACGCGCCAGAGCTCGCGCCCATCGCACAACTCGGCTGGCCCGTCTCGCATTCACCCCGACATGGCAATCCTGTGTGCAGGGTGCCACAACCCCATTATTGGCCGCATTGTGTCGGCGATGAAGCAGCGCTACCACCCGCAGTGCTTTAGCTGTGGGACATGTGGCGAGCTTCTGGAGCACGTGTCGAGTTACGAGCACGAAGGCAAACCGTACTGCCACCTCGACTACCACGACAAGTTTGCGCACAAGTGCCACCACTGCCAGACGCCCATCGTGGACCCACGCTTCGTAACACTCAACGACGATGTCCTGGGCGAGCGATACTACCACGAACTGCACTTCTTCTGTAGCGAGTGTGGCGACCCGTTCCTGGACCCCAGCAAGAGTTCGGCCGCGGGAACAGAGGCGAACCGTGACGGCGACGACGAGGCCAACGAGACGAATGCGTTTGTCATCCACAAGGGCCACCCATACTGCGAAGGGTGCCATTTGCGTTTGCACAAGCCCAAGTGCCGCGAGTGCCGCAAGCCCATCCCGGACGTTGCCGTCAGCGCAATGGGTGCAAAGTACCATCGCGAGTGCTTTGTGTGCAAGGTGAGTGACGACAGCGGTAAACTTTCAGAGAGAGAGGGCTGACATACCGCAGCGATGCACGCGCCCCTTTGCCAATAACCTCTTCTTCCCGATGGAGGGCGAGGCGTTCTGCACCGAGTGCTTTGAGTCCATGCAGTAGAGAATGCAGGCGAGTCGACGGCCGACAACGCTACAGGGAAGCGTACAAGACGAGGCATCCCAGTGCACCGCCACAGAGGAAGGAAGATACAGAAAAAAACACGCCCAAGTAACGAGCAACGAGTACGAGGTGGCGGAGAAGCGCAGGCAAAAAAAGCGCAATACCCGTGGCGGTGGAGGAGACGCCAAGCTGGCTAGGTGGCTACCAAAGACGAGCAGAGAAACCCCCAAACCCCCAACTCGCGCCTGACCGCGTCGGCGCTGTACACCAATTTTCAATAGGACACTGTGTGCATGCATGTGTAGAGCTTGCCGAGGGTGTGGAGTGGTTTGGTAGGATAGGTACAGGCGGAGGTGGAAGGCTGGAGGCTGCTGACGAAGGTGATATGGCGGTGTGAAGGGCGGGGGGAATGACCATGGCATTCTGAACCAGTACCCAGCGATGCCAATGTGGTGTGTGGCATGACTTGCGCGACCGCCCCAGGACATACCCAGTCTTCCCACTTGTGGCGTCTTCGTTAGTCGGAGGGGTGACAGTATCTGGTCTGGTTGATGTGATTAATAATTGGCACCTGTCGTGTATGCTTCTTGGAAAATATCCTTGTCTAATGCTAGGCTGTGCACTCCCAGACGGGTGGGCAGGTCACTGGCCCACTGGCAACAATTCAAAACAATTAACTGGAAATATCGCTTGTCATTCACCATCGCGTGTTGACCCTCTTGCGGTCCATATGAACGGCCAGCAGATTGACAGCACAGTCGTCATCAGCTCCTGAGCTGTTCTTTGTGTTATCGGTGATTTCTTAGAGCTTCCATATCGCATCAGCCATCACACATACACGCACACGGCACACAGGTGCCACGCCCCAAGAATGATGCAATGTCCCCATTCTCACAACTCTGCTCTCCTCAACCACTGTCTTTCATATCATCTCTACACCTCTTCATATCTCTAACCTGAACACAATGGATATCGACGACGACACGTACTACTCGGACCCCCCGACCCCACCCCTCCCGTCGTCGCCTCCCCCTCCCGTCACACGCAGCACCAACAACCCGGGCTCCAGCTCTGCCAATCCTCCCAAGCAGCGGGTCCCTCCCCCGACCACTGACAACTCTGGTCCTCGTCGTCTGCCGACCCCTCCGCACCTCGTCCCGCGCAAGCCCCGCGAGTACGCTATACCAGGCCGCCGCCTGTCCTTCCGGCACGAACGCACCGCAGCCAACCTGGCCAATGGCGGCCGGCACGACGCTCGCCCCCGCTCGCCGCTGGGGCACGCGAACGTCGCGGGGCACGAGCACGAACACGAGCACGAGCTCGAGCTCGTGATGGTGCGAACGCGCGAGATGACGGTGTCTCGCACCTCGAGCCCTGCGCGGTCGCGTTCTCGCGACAAGACCACCGAACCAGCGTCGCCTTCGCCCAGCGCTCACACCCACTCCCACTCCCGTGCGGACCACTCGCGCTCGCGCTCGCACTCGGCGCCGCCCGCGCCCCACCGTAGCCGCATGAGGGACGACACGACGCCCCTGTTCCTTGCTTTCCAGGACGAGGACGATGATGTCAACATGGATGACGAGGAGCACGACCACCACCACCGCCACCACCGCCGCTGCGGCCACGGCCACAGCCGCCACAGTGGCCACAGTCGCCATGGAAGCGAGCGTGTTCAAGAACAAGAGCATGGACACCGGTTCCCCCCCGCAGTCGTCCACGAGTCGTCCGACGAGGACATCAAGCCCGCCCTCTCGCCTGTGCCACTTTCACGCCGCCACGGCCGCGACGACGATCCAGAGTCGGACATCGAGTTCCTCGGCTGGGCGTGCGAGGACACGCCGCCGCCGGCGAGCAAGGACAAAGAGGCCACCCAGCTCGCCAAGGACAAGGATAGAGGCAAGGGCAAGGAAAAAGACAATGGCCATGCCCCACGGCCCCAGGCATCCACCGCCACAGCCACATCCACATCCAGCACCACTGCCGCCGCCCCCGATACCGCGCTCGCGCACCGCGACGGCAACGGGCACGGGCACGAGCACGAGCACGAGTACGATTCCGACACGTCCCTCCATTCCGTGGACGCCGCCGAGGCCGCCGCCGCGCACGCCACGGCCGCTGCGCGGCCGCACAAGAAACAGCGGCGGAGCAACGACCGGCTCAAGCCGTGCTCCCAGTGCGGGTGCGACTGCCACGTCCCCGGCGCGCGCGGCCGCGGGTCGGGAAGCAAGACGCTGTCGCCTGCTGTCCGGGCCAACATTTTGGGTAAGAGCAGACACAAATTCACTCCATTCCACTCCACGCCGCCACTGACTGACATGCTGACACTCTTCCCCGCAGCGCTCCTCCTGGGCGACACGCGGCCGCCGGACAAGCCGCGAGGCAGCGGCCGCCTGGCGTCGCCCGAGGCGCACATCCGTACCATCTCGGGCCTGGGGGGTTGGGAACGCATCACAAAGCACGTGGGTGCGCGCCCCGAGGACGCCGAGCGCGTGCGCATGGCTGCCGGGGGTATGATGAAGGACCTGCCTGGGTGGATGAAGCGGGGTTACATGTGATGGGCATGGTGATATGTGATGGGCATGTAGATATGTGATGGGCTGAAGAGGTGGCGCGCGTGTGAGTGGGTAGATTTGGTTAGTAGTCTAGGCTGTCCTGGCTTTGTGTATTGCGTATCTTGTTGATCTCGTTTGTGCTGTGCATCTCGTTATGCCCCAGCCCCAGACCCAGACCCAGACCCAGACCTAGCCGACCCAGCTCGACCCCGGGCCTCCGTCGTGCGCGTGAATGAATCATATCCGGAGCATATATCCTATGTACGTACTACGGAATCTCAACGGCCTACCTCCGCATTGCGTGGCATGGTGGTGGGGAGGGGGAGAGGGGTTGGGGGTGGGGTGGTAGAAGGAAGTTTTAAAAAAGTCCATCAAGCGGAGGGCGGGCTGTAGTGTGATAGATTGATTGGCCGAGAATCTCGGGCCAAAAGTGTCCTGGGGGGAGAGTGTGTGCGTGTGACAGAGAGAGAGAGGGGGGGTATTTTATTTAGATTCGAGCAGGCGCCGCACCGGGGGGCAAGCTCGATGCGTGGCTGCTGCTCGTTGTAGGGGACACGACGGCGTGGCGGCCCGAGCTGGTCCTACGCTGGTGCGAGTTGCGGGCGACGCGGCGGACGGGGTCTTGTGCGCCCTGCGCAATGTACCCGGGGTCCACGAGGGCGACGCCGCGGGAAGTGGGTGGAGGCTGGGACTGTCGGCTCGATCTCGAGGGGGTGACGTAGTGCTCGTCGAGCTCGTAGCCGGTCTGGTTGGATGGCGAGGACTGGAGCATGGGCTGTTCCTCGTCCCTACTGTATCCGCGGTAGTTTGACGACGAACCCGCGATGGGCGAGCGGCTGGGGCCGGTGCCGTTGGTCGAGTAGCCAGACTCCGAGGGGGCGAGGTAACTGCCCTCGGGCTGGTCGCTCTCGGTGCTCTGGTACTGGCGCGAGTCGCCCATGTTGAGGCCGCTGCCATAGGTCTCGCTGGTGGAGACGTACGAGTAGCGGTTGTTGCTGCGTCCGTTGGCGGGGGAGTTTTCGCGCAGGATAATGTCCGTGTATGAGTCGCGCGACATGGTACCCTCGCGCCAACGACGTTCGCGCTCAAACTCGATCCAGCGCTTCATGACAATGTGGCTCGAGTCGAACGTGCCCTCCTTGTCACCGTGGCTCTCGGCGGTCTTGGCCTCGCCCTCAATCTTACGCGTCTCACCCCATGAGAAGTCGTCCATGTGCCAGAACGAGTAGGCAGGGAGGATCAAGTTCCAGACGGGAAGCGAGAGGAGGTAGATGCACATCCAGCCGACGTAGACAACCTTGCGACTGGTGACCACGATGAGGACACCGGGCAGACCAAGGATAAAGGCGAGCAGAATGAGCGACAGGACAGGGGTCGGGGTGCCGGTGACGCTCTGAGGAATGATCGAGATGATGATAATGTAGAGGGTGAACGAGATGGCGGCGGGAAGAACGAGGGTACCGATCAGGTCCATAAAGACGACAAACTGCATGGAGAAGCAGAATGTACCACACAGGTCGCGGACGAGCATGAGCTCGAACAGGTTGTGAATGGTCGAGTTGATCCAGCGACGACGCTGCGACAGCAGAATCCTGAACGTGTCGGGGACAACGGTCTTGCACACGGCCTGGGGACAGAAGACCATCTTGCGCTTGGGGAACGTCTTGAGCATCAGCGTCGAGAGGTAACGGTCCTCGCCGAGAAGCAGCAGGTTCTTCTTGTGAAGCGTGTCGACAACGTTCTCCGAGTAGTGCTCGACAATGTCCGGGTTGGCGAGGATGGGGACCCAGTAGCCAGTGGCGCCCTTGGGAGCCTTGATGCGGTACATTGAGAAACAACCGGGCAGACAGGTGACACCACCAAAGACGGATTCAAACGCCTTGGTCGAGTGGTGCGAGATGTAGTACTCAAAGACCTGGATCATGGTGACCCAAGTCTCGCGCTTGTTGGCAATCTTGGTCTCACCGCAAAGACCCATAATCTCAGTGTCGTTGACCAGGCAGGCGTTCATGCGCGAGAGCGAGTCGGGGAAGACCTTTGTGTCTGCGTCGACACAGAGAACCGTCTCGTACTTGTCGGCAGTGACACCAGCGCAGCGCCAGATGGCGTTGAAGAACTCGTACTCGAACGTGGTCATACGCTCGTCGAACATGACCTTTTGCAAAAAGCCCATCATGGTGATCTGCGAGTCACGCTTTCCACGGTTACCGGGCTTGGCATCGTTGCGCTCGAGGGGGTTACCAGTCTTGGCGACGAGGACCATGGGGACGCGCTGCTGCTTGGAGGGCTCGACAGTGTCGTTGTCGTAGGCATAGAAACCGGCATAGACCTTGGCCATGTTGTGGCGCTTGTGGCCGTCGGCAATGGCAACGTACGAGTGGGCCTCGACCTCGGACTCGGGAACGACCAGCTCCTTCATCATGCTAAGCACAATGTCGGGCGTAAACTCCTTGGAACCAGAACCACGGACCATACCGTCACAAACAACGAGAATGAGCTTGTGAGAGTTGGGGTAGTCGGTGGTCGCAATCGAGTCGAGGGTGGTGCGCAGACCCTCGATCGACTCGGAGTAGGCAGTAACAAGACAGAGCGAATGGACCAAGGGGTAGCCGAACGGCTCAAAGTCGGGAGCAGGCTGCGGGACGACGTTGGTGAGAGGCCAGGGGCAGCCAGAGTCGTTGGCGTAGATCGAGTCGTCACGGAAGGGCAGCGAGGTCGACGAGCGCGAACCACGAAGCATGGGCGAGCCTGGGGGAGTGTCGCGAGCACGGAGGTTGTTGGTGCGACCGTAAACGCTCGAGGTCTGGCGGCGGGGCACGTCGAGGCTGCCCTGGCCGTAAGCGGTGGTGGGGCGCGACTGGCTGACCATCATCGTGTCGGCCTTTGAGAAACGCGACTGCGTGGGGAGGAAATGACCCTTCCTGCTCGGGGCAGTGCTGCGGAACTGGGAGTCTCTGGCGTTGGGACGGAGGTAGCCCGGAGCAGCCTTGTAAATGTCGTCTGTCCAGTTTTCAATCTCCTCGGCACGCTTCATGCGCTCCTGGTAGCTCTCGCCCTCAAAGTTGCCCATGCGCCAGCTGAGGAACCAGCCAAAGTAGAGCGCCATGACAAACTTGATGCCGACAGCACCGAGAATGAAGACGAGCGAGACGTACAGGACAATGTCCGAGGCGACACAGCCAATGGTGATCGAGTCGACGAAACCGACGCGGACAACGTCGACGAGACACGAGGCCTCCTTTTCCCATCCAGAACGGGTCATGATCGCCGAAATGTCGCGGCCCTGGAAGGTCTCGTTGCCCGACTTCATCGTGTCGAAAAGCGCCGGGTAGGTGACCTGGTCCGTGTTCAACCACTGCAGGAGCCCCAGGTCAATGACCGAGCCCTTGTAGACCGCAAGATTCCTGGACGAGTTGGCGACCTGGGCCCAAGTGTAGTAGACGATACCGGCGGCTGATTCCGCGGCGAAATCCGTACGGGCAGTGTCGGTGGCGTGGCAGTTGGTGGACGACTCGTAGCCAGTCTGGTTGACCGGGAGGGCAGAGTCTTGCGAGTGCATGTTGCAAGGGAAATACCAGGCGAGCTGGTCACCGCTGGTGGTGATGGAAGTCGTGTTGGCAGCAGTGATCAGGCCATAGCAGTTCTTGTTGACGTTGACCTGGAACATGAACGAAATGTCCTTGCCACCGGCCATCCAGCCGTCCATCCAGATGGGGTTGGTGGAGCCGTTGAACTCGCTGCCGGCTGCAGGGTGCGACCAGTTGGAAAAGTCATAGTCGTAACCGTTGATAACGACAGAGCCGCTGTCGACGTTGCCGCCCTTGATGCGAAGACCTTGCTCACCGCAGACAGTCTGGGTGAAACCGAAAGTGATAAAACCGACAATGGCCATGAAGAAGGCACAGATAAAGACGATACCCATCTTCTCCCTCCATGCGCGCTGGGCTTCGGGAGTCTTCTTGCCAAAGACACCCGAGATGATAAAGTTGGGAATCCAGCAGGTCATGACAAAGCAGTAGATCATCCAACCGTCCACTGGGCCGGGAGCGATACCGGCACAGCAGCCGCGGGGCTTGGTAGGCTCCACGGGTGCAGCGGCGGTGACAGGTCGAGGCGCGGCACGCGATGCCTTGCGGCGGATGGTTGCGCCACGCTTGAACAGGTTCAAACCGGATTCGTTGTGGTGGTGTTCATCGTCGTCACGTCCCAGCACCGACTTGCCGCGGCGCAGGCCCGAAGACTCGGCGCGTCCTGGTGCGTACGGCTGGTTACCAGTAGCTAGAGTGGTGTTAGGTGATGCAGGCAACAAAAAGGAGGGTAGAATAACTCACCACTGGGCTGGACAGGAATGTTGTCGTCGGCCGCGTGCTCGCGGTAGTGGTAGTGGCGATGTCCAGGCTCGATGCGCTCGCGCTCGGGGCGAACCATGCTCTTCTTCCTCCTGACGTCGGCACCGGCACCTGCGGCACCGGAAAAGCCAGCACCATAGCCTGCCTCCTCGTAGCCAAGCGTGGGGACATTCTGCGTGTATGTAGTGGCTCCATCGCTCTTTGCAACGGAGCCCTTCCGAGGAACTGGAGGCCCCTGTTGGCGCTGAGACTGCTGCTGTTGGTTGGGCGCATACTGTCCCGGCTGGGGAGCCTGCTGGCGGCGGGGCTGCTGCTGTATGTTGCTCTCGTCGAACGAGATGTTGTGGTTAATGGCTGGGCGCGACATGGCGAGTGTTGACAGTCGCAGCGGTCGTGCTCGAAGGAGGGAGGGGTGGGGGAGAGGGTAGGGAAAGTGGGATGGAGAGGTTCTACAGGTACAGAGGTTGCAGTCCTGAAGAGTCGTCTATGCTTGCATGGTCCGTAAAGGTCGTCAAGAGCGTGAGAGGGGGGTGGTTCTTTGGCGGGCGGCGTCTAGCTGGAGAGAGACAAGTCAGTATGGAGACGTTGAGAGGAGAAGAGCGCAATGTTGAGAAGAATGCGGTGCTACGAGTTGGCGGCCGCCTTTGCCATGCTTTGTCCTCTTGTCCCACGACGTTGACGTTTGTTGGTGGGATGGGGGTAGGAGCCACCAGACGCAGCCTCCGCCCTGCATAGCGGATGTGCGCCCGGGGTGTGCACATGGAAGAGGACAAGTGTACCCGCCCAAAAGGAAGGACAAGGCGATGCGGGAAGAGGTCTGGAGGGACACACACGCACCTGCTCTGCCTGCCGTCTCTGGGCTCGATTGGGATGGCGTGTGGGATGCGCTAAATGAGTCGCGCGCGCGTCGGCAGGTATATGGGGGGGAGGGGGATGGATGGGTGGTGGACGGCGGAGGAAGGGGGGGGAGGAGGTGGATGAAAGGATGGGATTTGAATGAGGAGGAGGTGGTTGGGAGAGAGGGAGAGACCACAGATGGCGGTGTGTGTGTGTGTGGAGAGAGGGTGAGGGAGGGAGACGGAGGGAGGTTTGCAGGGGCGGTGGGAGAGGGAGGGAGGCAAAGGGGGGGAGAGGGGAGGCACGCTGTTGCCAAACGGGTGAGAGAGGGAGGCAGAAAGGCTCCGTTGCGGGGGGAAAGGAAGGAAGGAGGAGGGGCTGGCGCGGGTTTGGGTCGGTGGGAAGGCTGTCAGCGAGTGGTGATGGATGGCTGCGCCGGAGCAGGGGGGCGATGGGGACGACGAAGGGGATGGTAGCGGGCAAGCTGAGAAGGGTGTGTGTAGAGAGAGAGCGACTGCGCGATGTGGATGACTGGTGGTGGATGGGCACGGGGAGGACACGATGGGTATACGGTGCGGGTCGGTGGGTGCGAGCGCTCACGCCGCCTCACCACCGTTCATGTGGGAGTGCGGCTGGCTGGCTGGGCGGGCACACAAACCCATACAATGGCTGGCGCTGGCGGGGGGTGGAAAAAGGGGGGCAGTGGACGGGAGTATATTTTTACGGTGGGAGGGTTGAAATAAGGGTCACACCGTACAGGTGTGTGCGTCACCCTGCAGGGCACAAGTCACAAGGGGCGTTTTATTATGACAACCGCCATTTGGTGTTGGTGCCTTCCCTCTCTCCGTCGACCTTCCCTCCTGCCAACACCATGTAATCCACCACCACCCCTTCCTCCTCCTCTCGACAAGGACGCAACAATGTGTGCCTGCAAACAACTGTTCTCTTCATGTTCGCTTTCAATAAGACCACCCCTACATATGATATGTATGTTGTCGTCGCTGGTGGCCAACTGCAGTACTCTTTAGATCTTCCCGTCTCCTCTTCAACGTCGACGACACAACAAACACGTCAACAAACACACACACACTTGTAGGGCACAGCACACCCACAACCTCGCGCAGCATCACTGGATCACTGGATCAGTGGCAGTACCACCCAGGCCATTGCAGGACACAAACACCTCTTCCCCGCGGCCATTTCTGCGTCTCACTTTAGTCTCCAGTCAGCTATACATAGCACACGGGCCAGTGGGCCAGTGTTTTCTCGCTCACCATGCAGTGCAAGTTGGCTGCGTCGACACTGGTATCGGTGACCAGCGGCCAGCGGCCGCCGGCGCAGACCCCTCCTCGCAGGCCAGCAGCTCAGCAGGCCCTTTTGCTGACCGTGCCGCAGAAAACGTCATGAGCCACATTGAATTCTCCATGCACACCAAAATGATGCAAATGACAAAAAGCAAAGGAGCAAGCGCGCAAGAGCATACGGCTGGAACAGGTGCAGAATCACATGCCACACGCCCAGGTGCTGCGTGCCCCCGCCCGCGCCCATTTGCCGCACTGCGCCACCATTATCAGAAACACGACGCGTCGGTCCGATCTGGCCTGCGCCGCGCGTGAGTCTGGCGCGCGCCCATTACGCCCATTACGCCCGTCCTGGTGGGATTTTCACTCGCTCTCTCTCATGTGCGCGATGATGGTTGTTCCGTGAACCCGCGAGTCCCAGGTCGTGCCCTAGCCTTTGCTGCGCTTCCATACCCAGTTAGAAATATTTCGTGCTCCAGGTCTTTGTAGTGGGAGAGTTGTTCCACACCCTTTGCAAAAATCCTGCATCTGCCATGGTCGGTCCATTCTCCGGCACATCACCCAAAAAAAAAAACAAAGCCCAGAGGCCTCCGCCCTCCTCCCGGCGCGCCTGGGGTGTACCCTATATGGTCTAATGGGGCCGCGCCATGTGCACACCCACGGGGGGCCTGTACGGCCTGTTGGCCTGTTGCATGCAAAAGGTGCTCTTGCTCGCGCTCGCACGGAAAAAAAAAAAACGGCTTGGTGGGTTGCAAAGCGGTCGATCGGGTCCAGGACACGTCTTCCCTGACGCGGCCCTCGCGACCCTGTGTCTGTTCCCTTGTCGCTTGAGACGTGCACACACACACCGTCCTCCAGCCAAAAGGTTTCGAAACGATCGATAGATCGATAGATGGGATCGATGCGAGAACCACATGCTGGCATATGCTGGGCAGCTGGCAGCTGGAAAAGCACCTTTTCACTCTTAGCGCTGGCCATTGGCGCGGTACGCGTTGTCGCCCGCGAGTGGCGAGTGGAGCTCTGGGAGCTGACCTGGCGTGTGGTCTGTTGAGACGAGAGACACGGACGAAAGTCCATGCTCTGTCTCAAACCCAGTGAACGTCGGTTGAACGCGTCACACTGCCGCTGTGAGACATTTGGGACGTGTCGAGTCTCCTCGCGAGGATCTTAAGGATCGTCTCGTTTAGCATATAACCCCTCCTCGTCCGTTCAAACCTACCGTTACAGCAGAGCGTCTCTGAGAAAACCGATTGACCCGCATCCAGCAGGCCAGCAGGCCGGCAGGCTCCCCGGCCTCCCGGATCCAACAGAGTTGCACCGAGGTCCAGGACCGTCATTGGGCCCAGAAGTGCGCAGTCCCGCAGGAGTCGATGGGCGGGGCGGTCGGTTGAAACTGCTCGTGCGGCCCCAAAGTGGTGCTTTTCAGCACGTTGAGCACTTTTGCCGTACCCCCTCCGCCCATTACACCCTCAGGTAGACAAACTGCCTTGCACCCTCAAGCCTTAAGCCCGCAACAGCGCAGAGCAAGTCGTGGGTGCGCCTCTGACGCATTCTACGCACCAACCTCTTGGCCATAACAGAACATCCCATATACACTCCCCCTCTCATGGTCTGCGTTACGTGATGCCGCCGTCCTCGCACGTCAGTCCGCCTCCGGGCTTTGGCCCTTTCGCCAACCGACTGAAAACCCCTCTTTGGCAGACTCGCGGGTCCTGGGGTTGAGGCACTCTTACCCATGCACCCGTCAGGCCCCAGCGAGCAGGCGGGAACGTCAATGTAACACATCTGTACTTCTGCTGGGTGGGGCTACGCACGGGGTCACAATGGAAGCTTTCGCAAAGCCCATCAAATGCCAAAAAACGCCGTGGTACTGTACATGGTGGTGAGACGAACCGCCGACTGCTGCACATCTCAGCCTCACTTTACACTGCCACGGCGCAGTTTGATTCAGATCCAGTCCACCTCGTCCGTTGCGAAACAGCATTGGGCTCCAGCGTTTGGAATGCAATCTTTCTATCTAGATGGGGACCGCCACGCGGCGGTGTACAGCATGCGGCACACTGCTGCTACGTGCGCGTCTGCTTGTGAGAGCTTTTGGGCCACTGTCAGTCGGGACCATGCGACAGTGGCGTGTCGTTTGTTTTCGCTTCAAGTGACGCTAGCCTGTGACAGTGCTCAGCCCATGGAGGATCTGGACAACAGGACAACACCACAGCGGCATCCCACATCAGAGCGTATCCCAAGCGTATCCCAAGCGTATCCCCAATGCAGAGCTCATCAGCCATGCAGATGCAACTCCCTCGTGCCGACAAGAAAACTGCCACGTACCAAACCACATCCACGCGTGGGCATGTGGCAGAATTGAGATCGCCAGATCGAGGCGATACACCGACAAACCCACTCACCCACCCACCCACCCACCCATTCCACTCCACTCCACCGATTCCCGCCGCTGCCATGGATACCAGGACCAGACCCATTCCCCGCAAGTCCGCGAGCCCGCGAGCCCGAGAATGAACCTCCCCGTTCCAAATGGCGGTGCGGCGCGCGGTGTGGTAGTCGGTCGTGTTTGGTGCCTCGGCATGAACCTGGCCCGCAGCGCCGCACTGAGTCCACCCTCACTGCTACTGAGCGTACGTTCATGTTCGGGTTTCGGGTTAGCCAGGCGTGGTCCCCGGGTGTCGGGGACCGCAGTTGCTGGATTCCTTGCATCTACCTGCAGTTGTACATCAAAAAACAGAACTCCGCTCGGGTGAAACCTGAGACCTGCACAGCCAACAAGGAAAATACGACACACGGCCACTGCCACGGCCACGGCCACGGCCACTGCCACTGCGCCACAGCATCACGTCGCGTCTCGCCACACCATGACACAGCCCTTGGGCCTGCGCGGTCCGTGCGTACGCGGCTGCACACTGCTGCTGTACTCTGTCGTGGGACCGTGCGCCGGACAGCAGCCAGGGTTCCTCACTGCGATCATGATCACTTGCCCGTCACAGTGTTGTCAGTGGTGAGTGAGGGCCTGGCGGTGCGCGCTGCAGATCATGCGGCTCGCCCCTCACCCCGCTGGACCCTTGTCCTTGTCCGCCCGCAGTGGTCCGTGTTTGCTGTACGGTGTACGGTATTGTACATGGCAGGGTACGGTGGGTCAGCCACGGCCTCAACCTCACGCCACTGGCCATTGGCATCATGCATCACCAGCCGCCCCCTTGCCGACACGCCACACCTGTCCGTGTAAGTAAATAAATAAATAAATAACAAACAATGCAAACCATTATCAAGGTCTCATCAACTGTATTCACCTCAGAGCCTGTGAATGTTCCACCTACACGAAGACACCAGGCCAGGCCAGGCCAGGCCAGCGCAGACGAGGTTAGGTCGACGCTTCTGTCATCCCTACAGTATGACGTTGTACTGACATCGGGGAGCCAAGTTTTGACGCCATGTCTCCCACACTTGCACAGCGGCAGCTGTAGACTGAAGCAGGTGGGGACCAGAGAGTCGATACGTAACGGTCCTTGGTTATGGCCCGGCCGCACCCATCCAAACGTTCTTTGCTCCCTTCCAAGCCGTTCATCAGAGCAGAGCATCGAAATTCCAACACAGCCAAGACTTGTCTTTGCCGCTCGCTGCCGCCGTCGCTGGCTCGCGCCACACGCACGGCGGCGGCGGCGGGTGGTGTCAGGTAACGTAACCTCGATGCAGGGGGAAGGTTTAAAAGTAGAGCGCCGCACCGACGCTTGGCGGGGGTGACCACCGGGCGCCAAGGGAAAAGACAAACACGTTGTGGCGGGCGAGGATATCGCATGCCGACCTGCCGAGACGAGCGAGCTCTCCCATGTTTGCGGATACGGTGCGGTGCAGCATGTCGCCCGTCCATCGATCGCGTGGCCCTATTTACTGCATGCCCACCGCCGTCATGGCGACGTCGACGCGTGCTCCTGCATGACGCACAGAGGCATGTTGACCAGCCAAACTGGCCGGTTCCAGTACTCCAGCTTGCAGCCATCGTGGGGTCAGTTTGACGCGCTTTCATGGCTGTCTTCTGGTGATCAACGCTCGGGAGCACGTTCACGGCCCTGCGCACTGGGGCCTGCGGCCAGTGGATACGATCGTGCGCGTATCTCTGGGTAACCAGCATATGTGGCGGGTCAGAAGTGAAGTGAGTGAGCGCCGCCTCGGTCAGTTTCATCCACACACCCAACAAGCTCCTCTCTCGTGATATTCAAATCGCCAAAGGGGCTGTGCTATCGTTAAATGCTGGTGTTCTAGTCTACAGATCTACTAAAGATCCCCCGCGCACGCCATGCGGACAAAGCCCGCAAGTGGCAAGCGGAGGCGGGGAACAATGCTGGTCGCTGGTCAAAGGGGAGGGAGAGTGGGGACGACCGTTCTATGCGAGGAACTTTTGGAGGCTGTTCTTGGCGCCGGCGTCCGCCTTGTCCCAGTACGGACCGAGGCCGACGCCCTGGGCGCGGGTGAGCACGTCGACGACGTACGCGCGCAGGGGCACGGCGTAGGCTGGGTCGGCGTCCTCGAGGGTCTTGCGGCGGACCCCTTCGGGCGCGTGCTCAATCTCGCCCCAGGCGACGGGGTGGTCGTCCTTCCAGTGGTTGACGGACGCCTCGGGGCCCGACGGCGTGTCGGCCGGCTGGAGCTCGCCCAGGACGTCGAGGAACATGTTGAGGAACTCGCCGTCGAGACGCTCGAGCGCCTGCTGGTGGCCAGTGGTCAGGAGCGCACCGGCACCCATGGCCACAGCCTTGCGCGCGCGCGCCTCGCCGACATAGTCAAAGTTGCGCCACATGGCGTCAAAGACCTCCTCGAGGAGCTTGTGTCCGTCGCGGTGGCTGATGCGCGCCTGCTCGGCAACGAGCTGGAGGAAGATGGTCGGGTCGCGCATGGCGATGCGCGCGAGAATGTGGAGGTAGGATGCCAGGATAGTGCCCGACGCCTTGTCATCCTCGAGGGCGACAAGAATGTGGCTGAAGAGACCCGACTCGAGGAGCAGGCCCGCGAGCTGCTGGAGGGGGCCGATGTGGACGAGAAGGGACACGGTAGCAAGGATACGGTTGACGTTTTGAGCGTTCTTGCCCGACGTGGTGATGGCCTGCATGAGCGCGGCGCACATGGGGGAGCCGTAGCTGCTGACAATACCGGCGGCGTCAAGGAGAAGGTACGAGTCGAGGAGTGGGAGGAGCTTGGAGAGCAGGTCCATGTTCTCGCTGGTGGCATGGAGAAGTCCGGGCAGAAGACGGATAAGGCCCGTCTCGTGTGTGGGCTGGTAGGGCGATGCGCCGTTGTGAAGGGCAGTCTGCCAAAGGATGATACCGTCCTCTTCAAAAAAGTCCTTGGCGGGGGGCTGCAGGCTCTCTTCGATAAGAGGGATGACGAGCTCCATAAAGTTGCCAGACGACTCCTTGGCGGCAGTGACAATCTTGGTAGTAAGGACAACCAGCGACGCCTTGAAGAGCCACTCGCCCTCCAGACCCGAGGCACCGTGCCACAGTCCGGGAATGGCCTGAGCAAGCGTCGGGAGGTAGGGCAAAATCTTGTCCTCGACACGCTCAATCACCACGCCAATAGCGTCATTGACGTAGCGTTTGCCGTCAAGAGTGGTCGCCTCGCCCAGGAGCTTGACAAGCTCCTCGACGGTCTTCTGCAGGTAGGGGAGGAAGTACGAAATGTCGAGCTCCCAGAGGTCGACACACTCCTTGATCGAAGTCACAGCAGTGAGGTTGACAGCCAAGTCGGACGACTCGCCACGCTCAGCAAGAAGGTGAAGGAGGATCTGCCAAACAAGGTCGAGCTTGGCAGACTCCTCGTCAGAGCCGACCCACTGGCCGATCAACCACGCCACACGGCGCTTGAGGATGCGGTGGAGGGGCACACCCTGGCCGAGCCACGAGCCGACGCCGTTGAGGAAGCCATTGAAATCCACGCCTCCGTGGGTGGCCAACGAACGGCTGAGGCGGCCGACAGCGCAGTAGACGGCCTCCTTGCGCAGAATGTTGGGGAGGTCGCTGGGCGGAAGGGCCTCGGTCTGCGCGAGAATCTTGAGCATCTCGGGCTCAATAGGCTTGCGGTCGGCTGGGAGGTGGCGGCACGCATTGTTCAGAGCAATAAGAACACGCTCGGCACAGGGCTGGGGTTGTCAGTTTGGCTACAAGGAGCGGAGAAACTGGACTTACGCGGAACTCAAATGCCCAGGCCTCCTCGTCATTGTTCTCGGCAACCAGCCACTCCTCGGGCTCATCCTCGAGCGCCTCCAGGTCGGTGGAAGTGAGAGGGAGGAGTTTGTCGATGAGGAGGTGGAGGGCGGTAAGGATAAAGTCGGGAGTGAAGACTGAGAATGTTAGAACACTCGGTGAAAGGTGGTCGGACTCACTGGCCTGGTGGTCGACAGCCAAGATGGGCAGAATGTCCTTGAACAGGAGCATTCCCAAAAGAAGGAAGCGCTTGGGGTAGGGGTTGTCGTCAGAGTCTGTGGGAGTTAGATTCAAGGCCCAAGCAAAGTTGAAACTTACCATCGTTGGAGACAGCACCGTCGCTGCCGGCCATGACGCCACCGACAGCACTCCACCACCATCCAACACCAGCAGTGGCACCCTCAAGGTGGCACCAGCCCTTGGGGTCGGTACCAATCATGACGCGCCACCACTTGCCGATGGCGCGGAGGTGCTTGATGAGGGAGTGGGAGAGCTTGGTGAACTCGGGAGGGGTGGGCTGAGGAATGTGCTGGACAAGGCGGAGACGGTGAGCCTGAATGATCGGAGCGTAGTGAACCGAGTGGTGGAGGAGGAGCTTGATCTGCGTACGTTAGTTAACACGGCCCATACCCAAGCGACCTACGTGCTCGCGACCCTGGGCGGATTGGAGGTTCTTGGCCTTGCCCCAGTGCCACTGGCAGAAGCGAGCGAGGATCCTAAGTGTGTCAGTTCCAGTTCCGGAGTCGATCGAGCAACTCACTTGAAGGCATATCGACCAGCCTCGTTGATCACCCAGTCGCCCTCGCCGTTGGTCACCGTCTTGCCCCAGATCTCCAGAACTTGGCCGACCGGTGCCACGAAAACCTCCTCGAGAGTGTGCATGACCTGAGCACCAACAGCAATCTTGACGCTGCGCCACTCCTTGACAAGCGCATTAATTGTCCAGAGAGTGTTCAGCAGGATGGTGGAGGTGGTCGACGACGAGGCGGTGGCGGCGCCAGGCGCCGAGCCGAGGTGCGCGAGGCAGGTGAGGAGGGGGTTGAGAAGAAGCTGAGGAAGGTTGGGGAACGCGCGCGGGAACTCGATACGCGCAATGGCGACGAGAAGGCCAAGCTGAGGGCGTGCGATCTGGGGAGGGAGGGTCGCGTCAGCATCGGAGCTCAATGACATCGATGGCTCAGGCGGCATCACTCACAGAGTTATCAGGCTCCTCGAGGAAGGTGAACAGGCGTTCACGGATCTCAGGCTTGCGGGCCTCGGGAACAAGCTGCTTGCTGCGCCATTTGGTCTTGAGCTCACGGGCAGTGATCACGGAGGCGAGGAGACGCTCGGGCTGCGAGAGGGAGCGGTCGGCGGCAAAGCCCTGGAGGTGGACAAGGAACTCGGGCTCCTTGAAGAGGGCGGTGAGGGTCTGCTGGTCGCGCGCGTACTGCTCGTTGGAGGTGATGTTGACGAGCGAGTGGAGAAGCACACGCAAGTCGGGGGCCTGCATCGCCATTGTGCAGAGGCTGAGGTGTGAGGGATGAGACGAGGAAAGATGTAATGTTGAGCTCACGAGACCTGTTCCATCCTGCAGCGACTGCCCTGCACGAGCACTGTCATCTTCGCACCAACGCGCGCGCGAAGTCCGCCACAGCTTGAAAAATATTATACACGTCATAATATATTGGGTTTGATACGTCCACGTGGCTGTTGATGAGACCGTGCCTGGGCGAAGGAAAGTTGAAGGATCACAACCACCTCCTTGTGAGAGCGCTACTTGTTATCCCCAGCCCATCCATCGTCAACAACGGCCACTACCATGGAGCCCATGTTCCACTCCAGAGCGGCCATCGAGGCTGGCGACATTGTCATCATCTTCATGGTGAGCTACATTCTCCGAATCGCCGAAGCTGACGGAACAGTCTCGCGACAACATGACCGCCATCAAGGTCACTCCCGGCGAGTCGTTCCACAACAAGTTCGGCAAGTACAAGCACGACGACATGATTGGCATCAAGTTTGGCTCCAAGGTGGGTCCACCTCACCTGTGTGTTTACTTACTCAATCCCAGATGCACTCGCCTCCCCCTCAGTCCGGCTACATCCACTTGCTCCGCCCCACCCCGGAGCTGTGGACTCTCTCCCTTCCCCACCGCACGCAGATCCTGTACATGCCCGACATTGCGTACATTACCATGCGCCTGGGTGTGCGTGTCGGTGGAAAGGTCATTGAAGCCGGTACCGGGAGTGGCAGCATGACCCACAGCATGTCGCGCGCCGTCGGCCCGCGGGGCACCGTCTGCAGCTTTGAGTACCACAAGGCTCGCTTTGAGAAGGCTGGGTGAGCTTAACGAAACCCGCGCCAGAGCTAACAAACCAGTGAGGAGTTTGAGGAGCACGGTCTGAAGAACGTTCGCCTGCAACACCGCAACGTCTGCAAGGAGGGCTTTGGTGACGACATTACCGACGCGGAGGCTAGTGAGTGTAATGACAATTTAACGTCTGGGACATCTCCACTGACAACAGTCTTCCTCGACTTGCCTGCTCCTTGGGAGGCTATCCCCTTTGCTGTCAAGGCACTCAACGTGAGTCTTATTTTGCTCATGCGGCTACACTGGGAGCCCCGCCAGCACAAACGCGTACCAGCAACCCTGCGCCACTACGATCCTCCTGAGCATGTCGTTTAACGCAACTGACGCCCACTCAGCCCGACGTGATGACTCGCATCTGCTGCTTCAGCCCCTGTATTGAGCAGGTCACCAAGACTGCATCCGCCCTCCGTGCCGAGGGGTTCACAGGTACGTTCCAAGCACGAAAAAACAAGCTTCTGGTCTCGGATTAACTTTGCGCACAGATGTGTCGACCCAGGAGGTGCTGATCCGCACTTACGACCTCGCTCCTCCCCCGACAGTCGGCTCCAACCACCTGGTAGATGTGTCGACTATCACCAACAAGTTGCGAGAGCACGAGAGGCGCAAGGAGGAGCGCCGCACCATGCAGATGCGTAACGCTCGCCAAAAGGCGCGGGAGCAGAAGATCGACACTGCCATCAAGGAGGGCATGACTAGGGAGGAGGCTGAGGCCACCTTTGAAGAGGACGACCTCGCCAATGCCGCCGCAGCTGGTTCAGGTGATAAGCGCAAAGCTGAGGGCCCAAGTGATGATGGCGCCGAGAAGAAGCTTCGCGTAGATGAGGATGTCACCGAGAAGCCTTCGGTTGTCGAGGAATCGAGTAACGCTACCGTGAAGCCGAAAGATTCGACCGATGGACCGAGCGCAGGGTCGTCGTCAAGGGACCCAGAGCCGCATGTGGCGTGGTCCTCCATGGTGCTCACCAAGCCTTCGCCCGACATGCGCGGCCACACCTCGTACCTCACTTTTGCGACATTTTACCCGGCGTCGATCCGCACTAAACTTGCGGCCCAGGACATTGCCACTGAGCCATCCACTCGCTTAGGAACACCTTCTGTCGCTGCCAAGGGAGGTCGTGTCGGCGAATTGGCTGGAGACGAGAGTGTGGCGGAGACCCGGTCCGGAAGCGAGGACCTGGAGGTCACCGCCGATGTCGTGATGGCGTCGGCCACAGAGGAGGAGCTGGTTGCCGGAAACCTGTAAGATGCATACATGGACGTTCTTGTTTTGGCGTACGTACGGCATGCATGCGCAACAGATGGGGGCGGGGCTGTGAGAGAGAAGTTTGTGTAGCGGAGCAACGTGCAAAGTGCGCGAAGGTGACGTGGTTGGTCGGTCGGCCGAACGCGGCGTTATGTTCAAGGCGTTCTGCTGGCGACGGCGGGTTGTGTCAACTTATCAGATAACCAAAAGCTCCCAGCCGCCCCCCACCCGCCGCAATTGCGCGGTTGCTCCGCCGACATCGCACTCTCCTCCATCCACCCACCAAACACGTCTCCATACATCCACCACCAACCACCCAACAGGCCATCCATCCACCACCACCGTCTCGCTACCGCACGCGGCCGTTCATAGCGCACTCACCACACTATGGCGGCAGCGGAGCAGCCATCCCCATCCTCGCAGTCAAATACCCCGTCTGTTCCACAGCCCCAAACCCGCCCAAACTTGCCGGCAGTCAACACCACAAACCTTCCGGCCCGTCGCGAGTCTTTTCCACCTCACACTCCCTCTGCACTCTCTCACGCATCGTCTCCAGCAGCTGGGACGAGCTCGCCCATCGTGAAGCGTCCTCTCGCACCCGCTACAGAGGGCCCAGGCGGTCGCACGCCAGGGCCCGAACGGAAGCAACCACATGACATCCGCTCACACTCCATCATCGATCCAGCCACGGGCAAGAAGAAACGGATCAGCCTCAGCTGCGCCCAGTGTGCGTCTTTTTGCTCTTGATTCTTGTCGTTGCGACCTTGAGGGATGTGCACGCCGGGTAGCAATCTGTGCTCTGGCTTGCATCGCAGTCGCTCTTGGTCCTTGGACTTTTTTTTTTTGTGCCTCCCAACGCCAAGCCCATGCTGACGCCCTTCCCCGACATTAGGTGCCAAGCGAAAGCAGAAGGTGCGAACAAATCCCCAACACTTCGGGATGCCCATCTGCAAGTCATTCATCTGCTGACACATGCCTTTCACCCACAGTGCAATCGCGAGTACCCATGTCAACACTGTAAGTGTATGCATGCTGCTGCGCAGAAGAACCATGCAAAGGGCGTAAAACTGAGCTGACCTTCTCCAGGTCTCGGTGAGCTGGATTCCTCGCTTGTGTCCATACCCTACCGACATCGCTTGTTTCCACCTGCCCTTACTGACCCCTACCTCTTCTCCTTACAGCCCGCAAAGTCCCTGAGTTATGCGTTCGTATCCCACAGCCTTCGGTCAAATGCCACTGCAGAAGGAAGACGAAAGACAAATAAATGCTGACGCCTTGGAACAGGTGCCGTACACTCCCGCACCATCCAACGCAAACGCGGCCGGACTCGACCCAGTGACGGCCGACCGCATTGACCGAATAGAAAACGTACTCAGCGTTGTCGTTCGCCACAATCCGGGTATCGGCGGCTACGATGCCGTTCGCGAGTGGCTGGCTTGTGAGTGGCGTTTTCTTCCGGAATGGAAGGTGAAGATGGAGTACATCACATCAATCTGTCGACCTGTGCACGGGCTCTGCGTGCACATGTGGCGGTGTCCTTGAAGGACGTGTGCGGAAGAAGCGATACAAAGAGAAAACAGCACAAATGCTGACGTCTTAGCGTCGACGTTTCAACGGTTTCTCCAGTCGGCGCCGTCGACTCCGGCATCCCCATCGAGCCTCATCCCGCAGCAGTTACATCACCCCCCATCACTCCCTCCCTCGCGCCCCAAAACGCTCGATGGCCAACCGATCGCAGTAGACGAGATAGAAAAGATAGAGCGTGGAGGATCCAGCGAGGAGGATGGCGGACGAGTGGGCAAGGGATGGCTAGGCGATTTGGAAGGGTGAGTCGGGATCCGTTTGTTTTTCTGCGCATTTTTGCTTACTCTTGACTTCAGTGGTATGCCCGAGAGTGTACGTGTCCCAATACACGCGTGGGTTGGAGCTCGCCGCTAATACAATACAGATGAAGAGCGGCGACAACATTGCAATCCGTCTCGACAACCATGGCACACCGGCAGAGAACCTCCAGAGACTTATTACCGACTGTGGCGTCAGTCCACACAAGGTTTGTTGACTGACTTGACCATTCTGTTAACCCTCGCAGGTACAGGAGCTCATCCAGGAGCTACCACCAAAGCCTTTCGCCGACCGCGTGATCGACTGGTATTTTACGCATCTCAACCTTGTGCGGTACCCCATTGACGAGCGCCTCTTCCGCATCTGTGAGCTGTCGATCTCTGTTTCGTGCTAACAGCTTGTAGCGTATGAGGACCTGTACAACAAGACGACTGCTGTGGACCCAGCGAACATTCGTGCACTGCCACTCGTGTTCATCGTGCTGGCCATGGCCGTCCGCCTCGCGCCAGACCACTGGGCCGGAGATGACAACACGCGCAAGATATCAAGTCTGCGCATGTACTGGAGCTGTACGTTGCCTCGGATACGTCATGGGACACGACAGAATGTTTACTAATGGCAGCGCGACGAAGCATCCTCATTGCGACCGCAATCCAGTCCGAGAGCATCGAGCTGGTTCTGACTCGTCTGCTGGTATGTCAAATTCCGTTTACGGAAAGTGTGCTCACCCCCCAGTCTGCCATGTATCTCGTCCAGATCCATGACCGCCGCCTCACGGAATGTTGGTCCCAGCTCGGCGCGTCATTACGTACGGCACAGGCGATCGGCCTCCACCGCGATGGCTCAAAGATGGGACTCGAGTGAGTTTTAGCTAGATACATCGATATACACCACAGCTGACAACCGAATCAGCCCCTTCCAGACAGAGTACCGACGCAGGCTATGGAGTTACCTGTACCACGCGGACCGCCTGTACAGTCTGATTCTCGGTCGTCCACCAAGCATCTCGGACGCTTACACCGATACCCTGTAAGTGCCACTTTCTAATCTTGTCCGAGGCGTCGTACACCTCGCGATGTCACCCTCACCCACATCACCTCGCCTTTTATTCCTGCCAAACTCCACCTCCCATCCCCTTACTAACGATGCAGTGCACCCTCCAACGTTGATCTGAACGAATACGACTTGACCAACCCGTCTGCGCCCGTGCCACCTCCTCGGCCACTGAGCGAGCCGACGACTGCCACATTCCTCATTCTCCGGCGCCACCTGAGTGGCATCATTGGACGTATTGTGCACCATTTCCAGAAACTCAACGAGCCTGCGCAGTATGCCGACGTCCAGCGACTCCAGGAGGAGCTGGACACGTTCACTGCCAACCTTCCTCCCCACTTCCGGATGCGCGATGCGGACAAGAGCCTGGACAGGCGTGAGTGGAGCGGGTTGTTTCTTGATCGAGAAGCTGATGACATGACAGAGCACTACTGGCTCCCAGTTCACCGCTTCATGCTCCTCACCGAGGTTCTCGTGACGACCATTATCCTCCATCGCCCATGGCTCCTTCGTCGCCTCACGAGCAACCGCTACCTGGCGTCGCGCTCTGCCTGCTTTGAGTCTGCCAAGCTCGACTTCCAGATCCGCCAAGACTTCCAGCGTGACGTGCCCAACTTTGGCCTGTACTCTATCACGGGCCAGTTCAAGATGTTCAACAGTGCCATGATTGCCGGTATTTCAGCCATCATCGACCCGCGTGGACCCGACGCCGACCAGATGCGCCGCATCCTGACCACTTTCCTGGAACAGCACCCGTGGTCGGCAGTGGCCGAGCTCGACGAGACAACACGCAAGGAGGTTCAGATCATCCACACGCTGTCGCGCCGCGCTGCCCAGATCTTCGAGGACACCATGGCTCCTGGCGAGCTCAACGCTCAGGACAAGGACAGCGTGTCCCTCCTCCTCGCACTCCGGCAGGGCGAGGTGCCCGGCACGTCGACGTACACCGGTTCCCCGGCGCACATGGATGCCGGCACACCGCGCATGGCTGCCTCCGGCTCGATGCCGCGCCCCTTTGCGCACCCTTCGCAGCCCGGCACCAGCTGGCAGAAATACATGTACTCGCAGCCGCCTGGCGCTTCGGGCATGATGCAGTCGCCGGCCTCGAGCGGCGGCCACGAAGAGGACCACTCGCAGCGCCTCCTCGACCACTGGCTCAGCGCAAATTCCAACCTCGCCGTCGGCGCCATGCCCACTGGTCCCATTATGGACCCCACCATGGGCGGAGGCGCAGGGTACATGCCCATGCCCATGGGCCCGCTGTCCGTGACCCCCATGCCCAGCACGCCCGGGTTTGGCGCGCCGACCCCGGGTCCTATGAGCGCGCCTGCCGGTGCGGGCGGCTCTGGCCTCGGCTCGAGCTTCATGTGGGGCGCGAGCGGCGACGACACCCTCGGTGCGGCGGCGCACCACAACTCGGTTGGCGACACGACGTTCTCGTTCCCGCCCTCGGCTGGACTGGATGGCACGGTGCTCGGTGTGGGAAGTGTGGGGATGGGCGGCGGCGCAGACGGAAGTGGCGAGAACAGCGACGAGTACTGGAACACCCTCATTGACGGTATTCTTGGCACCACGGGCGGCATGGTCAACAACCCCCAGGGATGAGACTCGCCGTACCTGTAGATACAGACCAATTGTTTTTACTTTTTTGCTCTCCTTTTCTTTCTCTTGCTCTCTTCATCTGCTCTTTCCCTCTCACAAACAAGAAGTATATTAAGTAGCGGCAGAAGTTCATAGCTGGTGATTGCTATACGCAATGTCTTGACATGTGATGGTGACGTGCTATGAGCAAGGTGGGACTACGGAAGTGACTATTGGTTTGCTAAGGTACAGTTTGCAGTCGGTGACTCCAAAGAAAAAAACGCATGAATGGGGGTGATACACAGTGCGGGAGACGCACAACGAAGGCGGGGGGGTGCAGGGAGTGTTCATGTCTGTCTGTCACTTGAGAAAGGAACCAGGGCTGATAGGGCCCGGGGAGTGCACCTCCAGAGGCGAGGCGACACGCGGAGGGGTGGCCATCACAGGCGAGTCAAAGGGCACAGGTGACTCGACACGGCCTGGCGATTCACACTGCGCTGGGGATTCGCAAGTGGGCGAGTCGACCATGACCGGCGATTCCACTGGCAAGGGCGAGTCCATCTCCTTGGGAGACTCGAAAGGTGTAGGCGACTCGACACGAGCGGGCGACTCTGCAATGGGAGACGAGGCAAACTCGACAGGGGATGCGACCTCTTCCGGAGACGACGAGATCACCACTGCCGGGTCCTCGTGAGCGGCGTTGGCGATACCGGCCTTGATGGGCGTCAAGGTGTCCAACGCGCTTCCGCCTTCCTCCTCTTCCTCCTCCTCCTCGACTTCCTCGTCCTCTTCGTGAGTGGCAGTGATGGCCTCTGGCAGGTGATACGAGTCGATGGAGCTCTGCCTCTCGGCGGCAGGCAGACCAGACCGGAGCGATGCCATCTCGCCAGCCCCGAACATGCCTTGTCCGTTCACAAGACGACGTGTCCTCGTGAGCGCTTGCATTCTGGGGAACAGTCAGTAGGGGCCTGTTGTTTTTGTGCCACTCACTTCTTGACGGCGCGCACAACCGTAAAGACCGAGCGGAGCGACGTAATGGCAGTGCTGACTTCGTCCTGGGTTGGCTCGTAGAACTGTTGACCGAAGTAGAACAGGTTGTCCTCGACCGTGAGCATGGGCTGGCGAGCCCAGTCGGTGACCCAAGGGTTCTCGCGAATCGTGGTCATCGTATGGCGCGCGTCGGCATCCTTGCAGAGCATGCCCTTGACAAGCGCCTTGAGATCATCATGCCACCCGTCGGGGATTGTGGGCTCATCTGTCCGGATCCTAGACATGAGGACGATGGGGTCCGGGGTGTTGAAGGGCAGCTTGCCGGTCAACATACAGTACAATGTGACTCCTGGATTGTCAGCTTGCCGTAAGACGAACTCGGCTCACCCAAAGCCCAAAAGTCCACAGGTTTACCGTGCACTTCTGTCAACGAAGCGCTAAAGCTCTCAGGACTGAGGAAGGCGGGACTGCCGCCGGCAGCCCTCAGTGTATCGTCACCAGACGCCTGGAACATTTCAGACACGCCAAAGTCAGCAAGTTTGACCATGGAGCGGTCGGAGTTGAAAAGAATGTTATCAGGCTTGATCTGCAGTCGCATCAGCCCCAAAGTTCGTCATGGCTTGCCCGGCACGACGCCAAGGTAACCGTCAACTTACGTCACGGTGAACTACTCCGTTGGCATGCAGGTACTCGAGCGCGAGGCCAATCTGGCGAAAGTACTCCCTGGACTGGTCCTCGGTAAACGGAGGGACAGCGTCGTGGTCATCACCACCCAGCTTGACGTTCATGAGAACGCCGCCGGGGAGATACTCCAGGACAAGGAGGAGCGCGTCGGCGTTGGGGACTGAGATGGCCTCGTACAGATGAATAAGCTGTGGACGTCAGTGTGCGCCCTCTCTCATGTGTGTCCTGTGGTCTACGCACGTTCGGGTGGCTGTCATTGACGTCAGCGGTGTTCAAAATGACAACAATAAGACGTACTCAATTTTCTTCATCACGGCAATCTCGCGTCGGATGAGAGCCAGAGGGTCCTGCTTGAGGGTCTCTTCATCTACGCTGTTGGTCCTGGACGTCTCGGACGACGGGCTGCTGGTATTGTCCGGAGCGGCTTGGGTCTGCGCAACACGCGCCGGGCGCCGGAGGCGACGCTCACGGTGCGCCTTTTGTTGCCTCTGCATGAGAACTTGGTGCTGCAGACGCGACTTTGAAAACTCCTTCATTGCCTGGGAGGAAAGTCAGCAAAGCGCTCTTTGCTTTACGGACTCACGTATTGGATACCGGTACCGACATCCATTGCCAGCTCCACTGTCGCGTACGCGCCACGTCCCAGGTGCTTGCCTATACGGTACTGGTTGATAAGACGAGCGCCATCAATAGTGTTACGCTCCTCGGCGTAGATTGTCTCACGGACGCGGTGGTGGGAGCTCTGGCGACGGTGCTGGCGCATCAAGGTGGGACCATAGCTGGGGGAGGACGGGGACGGCACGCGCCCAAGTTCGGCAAATAGGTGCGGCGAGGACGACGGGAGTGAGCCTGGATAGGATGTCGGGGGCGACTGGAAGGACGAGTCGTCCGTCTTACTGCTAGAGGAGGCCATGGAGGACATGGACGTCTTGCTGATGGGCATGGAGCCTGTCGAGCTGCCGCGGTCCAGAAATGTGCGGGGTGGAGGAGGTGTGGGGAGGATGGACGAGTCGTCGTCGTCTTCGTCTGGTGAGTCGTAGGTGAACACTTCCTCGACAATAGGCGCCTGCGGTGTGGTTTCAAAGGGGAAAGAGAGGCTGTCTGCACGGGGCTCGATGGGTGTCGGTGGGGAGACGATCGTCGCCGGGGGTACAAGAAGGTTTGGCCTCGGTGCCGTTGCAGCCAGGGTTCCGAGGTCGCGCCTTGCCTGCGAGGGGCCGCTGCCCCTCTGCTGCTGCTGCGGAGCGGACATGGATGGTCACTGCAAGCAGATACAGTGCAGGTGTGGTGAAGAAGAGCGAGTGAGATGCTGGTAATGGAACGGAGAGAGAGAGAGAGAGGTGGCGATGGGAGCAAGGTTGGGATGGTGAGACACGAAAGAGATGCGAAAGCGCTCGCGGGGCCCGGGAACAACGGGGGGGAGGGCATTATGATGGCGCTCTGAAGCTTGTGCGACCCGATGCCGCGTCGCACGCGACGACGGCATTACCTTTGCTTACGCTGCCAGGGAGCGGCAAAACGCTCTTTCCCGTTGCTCTGTAGCTCTGTAGCTCTGTAGCTCCGCTCCTTCCTCTCCCAATGCTTTCGCCGATTTGACGGACACTACTGGTTGTCTCGGACTCTTGGTGTCTCTGTGGCCCCCGTCTGAAGATGTGAATGACGTGCACCGGGCGGGGCGGATTTCCCGAGAAGGGCGGTCAGGCGCTCGTGTCAAGGGGGGACCGTCGTGATGGGGAGAGGGGGGTGTCTGTCTCTCAAGCGGCTACACATCTGCCCATGTGCGCCAAGCACTGCACCAGCGGTGCACCTTGAATGCTTGCCCGGCGGGACAAGGGAGCGCGCCGACGGCGACGCGCCGGGTGGAGCGGGGGTGGTGTGCACGGCGACGCGCGGGGGCGAGCGGAGGACAGCGAGAGACGCGGCGTTCAGGTTTAGCGAGACGCCGAGATGTGCGCATGATGGCTCTGCTGGGACCTAAGCGATCGTCCTGCAAACCCCCCGTTTTCCCTCCTGCCGGGGCCCTGCAGCAACAAGAGGAAAGAAAGAATGAAAAACAGACGCAAAAGCGATGCAAACAAGACACGCTCAATCAGTCAAGACATCCTTGTGTCACAAACGATATCGTGGGTCCCAGAAAAGACCACGAGCGAGTTCCAAAGCACACGACCGACCTCAAATTAGTACATAGGCACACCACGAGGCTCCAGCAGCTGTCTCTATAATTCCCTCATCCGTCGTACGCCTTTTCCTTTTCTAAAGACGTACACCCTGCCTCTCCGATCCTCACAGCCGTTCGCGGAGAATGCCGGTACGTGCGTCATGGTCGCGCGACGCCGCCGTCGCCCGCCGTTTCGGTCGCTTATCAAGGTTAGCTTCATTCCTACTAAAACCGCAGTGTAGCATGTGGTGCCAATTTGCCGTCACCGTTCAGCTGTGACGGCAGTTACGACGTTTGTACGCGACACGAAGCTCTCAGCTCATACACTTTATCACACTCACCACGGTACTGCGCAAGGAATCGGGCAAATTGGTCGGAGCAGTAAAAGGTTCCAAAGGCCTTGGCGCCGCACTGGTCGCGCTGCATAGAGCGAGGAAGAGTGCTGCGGAGGAGGGCCCACTGGTAACTGGGAGGGAGACGGACAAAGTCTTCCGCAGTCCAGGTACCTGGGTGCCACAGCATGGACGGCAACGACCGTCCACTCTTGATGTCTTCCTCGCTCCAGTAGGTGTTGATGAGGTGCTGATCCGACTGACGTTCCATTGCACGCACAGCAAACGTCGCAAGCAAGTCGTCATCGAGCTCGGCCGCGAGGTGGAGCACATCGAGAGCCTGGCGTCCCCAGTTGGTGAAGCGCACCTTGTCCTTGAGGAACGAGAGGAGGACCTTGTACGCCGCATTGAACTCGTACGCCTGGGCAAACTTGAGGCTGTCGCCCATCTCTTGGATGGTGGGCCAGAGCTCGACCGCGACGCCGTCGAGGCGGAGGTCGTCGAGAACCGAAAACACGAGCCTCAAGGTGGTGGCGTTTTCGTACGCCTTGGTCAAAGTCAGGCCCACGGTGGTCGGCATTGGGATCGCAGTCGCCATAAAGTGAAACCTGGGACTGAGAGCGGTTAGTCACATTTCTCATTTTAAGTACTCCATACTCACCCTTGGCGGAGAAGCTTGCCGGGAATGTAGAAGACGACATCGTCGCTCGACACGATGCGGTAGCAGCCAGCGGTCCTGTCGCCAAACTTGCCATCGACAATTTCGACGGCGAGCGGCATGTCGGTGGGGTCCTCGTCTTGAGCATCGTCGCCCCACGAAGAGGTAGAGTCGGACGAGGAACTGTAGACTTCGGCAAATTCGAAGAAGTCGAGGGCTCCATCGTCCTCAACCGAGGACTCGTAGGACTTGTGGTTTGTGCACTCGGCGCGAGGTGTGATGGTGAGCCTGGCAAAGGAATGGTGGGTTGCGGGAGGCATGGTGAGCGAGTGATGGGGATGAGAGAAGGCCAAGGTCAAGTAAGTGGTTTCATCCTTATGTATGCATGCACAGTTGTTGCGGCTGCCAGAAGCATCGTTGTTGTTGTTGGTATCGCATCCGGCAGTGGTGGCGACCTTGTGCGGCCGGTTGCGGAAGGAAGTGAGTGGTGTGGCAGTTTCGGCCGAAACTGGAAACTCAAACCACCATCCGCCCACACCACTTTGTGGCTAATGTGAGGAGCATGGTACATGTCTGCAGTCTGATACCCACATGCATAACACCATTGCTTGCCGCCTACTAGCTCGTTACTGTTTGTTGGTTGTTTTTGGCTTTCCTGGTGGAGTCAGCTTTCCTCAACCAGATCTGGCAACTAACGTCTTCTGTTTTGCACAAACAAGCTGGAAAAGCTGGACAGTAACTCCATGATCACAGGAGGGCCTCGAAGGCATGGTCGTAGAACAACAGTCGGAACGCTCTTGAGATATCGAATAAGAGCATATACAGCCTAGTGGTGGAAGGTTACCCAGAAGGGAGACTACTTGTGGCCTTGGTGGCGAGTGGATGGCCTATCGGCGGAACTTGCTGCCAGATCACGCCTTCCGGCGTCGATTACGTCTTGTTCGAAGCACTTGAGAACAATTTAACAATACATTTGTGCAGGGACTCACCTCTTCATGAGATGAAGGAAGTTGATGAACCGCGCGGGAATGTCTTCGGTATTGCGGGGCGTGTTGCGGTAATTCGGGAGAGCAGCCGCGCGACATGCACGGGAGTATGCCCACGAGTACGCAAAAGGTATGGCCGACGCCTCCTTCACGGACCAAGTGGCAATATCAAGCGAATTCTCTTTGATGGCAGCGCCAGCCCATTCGGCGTCCCTTTCGGCAGTTTTGCTGTCGAATGCCTTGATACCCGACTGAGAATGCTGTTTGTCGACCATGATCTTCACAGCGCACTGGGAAAGCTCTTCCTCGTCCAGCAGGGCGGCGAAGCGAAACACTTGGAGCGCATCTTGGAAATCGGACTTGAGCGACAGGCGGCCGAAGCATGACATAATGCCCAGCGAATAGGTGGAGTCAAAGCTGTACTTCTTGGCCAGGCGGAGTGTGCTAAAGAGGTCATCTTCGGCGGCCCAGAACTGGTCGTTGTTGATGTCCAGGCGATGCTCTGTTGCCAACTTGAGCAGCAGTGTGAGACATTTGGCGGTTTCGATATCTGTGTCGGAAAGCTGGATATCCGTGCTCGCGGTGCCAGGCAGCTGGACCATGTCGAAGAGCACGTCGCTGAGACATCAGTGTATGTGGAAGACGCTTATTGCTTGAAATAGTCGAAGATTCGATACACCTCTGACGGAGGACCTTGGAAGTGACTCCGAACGCCACGCCATCCGACGACACCAGCGCAAGTTCACCCCCACTGGGGGGGAATGTCTTGTCATGAACTGGAGCAGTCTTGATGGTGACGGACATGGTTGAAAGACGGTGGATGGGAAATGAGAAGAATGATGAGGAGGATGAACACATGTGGGTGGGACTCCAACAACGGCGATGGAGGACACGTCGGTGGGAACACGTCGGTGGGAACACGTCGGTGGGGCGCAGGAGGTCGGCGCCCACCCGTGCTTCTTTCTTTACTCCTATGACATGTGACACACACTGTTGCCTGGGGCAATTGTGAACAGGTCAAACTGGTACACAGTGGTAGAGCCGAGGGGGAGGGGGGGACGCTGAGATCAGGTGTGGTGACCAAGCACTCTACGTCGCGTTGACGCTGCAGCATATTTGGTTGCCTTCGACAGCAGTTTCCCTCTCCAAACATGACGGAGCACGCTGAACAGTTGAAACTTCCAAGACGCATGCAGTGCTGCAGCCGTTAATGGCTCACAGAAACACTTGCGCTGTCGAACGTTTGGCAAGGGCTATCACACGGGTGAAGTAAGGACCCAATGGTGGCCACACTAACTTGCTGCCGTGGCATGTCATGACTAGGGCGGGTTCTGAGGATCAGCGTGGCGGCGACTCCGTTGACTGAGATAAGATACATAGGTTGCAGACAGTCGGGAGGTAAATGGGCTGTTCTAACTGCGTAAGTGTGTCCTAACAGTGCGGTCAGTCTGGTCAACAGTAACCGCCGTCAGACATGCCCAGCTCTTATCAGTTGGTGCAGAGTAGTGCGCAGTTGCAGTAGCCGACATACGTACGCGGGTTTCTCAGTCCGGAGGCCGACAAGACGCCAGTAGACTGTCTGCACGCATGCCTGACGCGCAATCTTGGTACTGGAGAGAATACATCTTAATCAACTGCCGCTGTCTAGCCCTTCAGGCAGCCACTGGCATGGAGACACTACAACAAGCCCAAAGTCAGCATTGGAAGTTCAACTGGACCATTGACCCCCGCTCATATCTTCCGCGCCTAGAGCATTTGCATGAGATAGTCGTGCCGACGGTAACGAAACGATGCCATCGTGTCTCGCTTACGATCTTCCAGCGCCACCTGCCAAGCCCAGCGCCGTACCGCCGTCTATAGCCACAACACGCGCTGAGGTGATGGCAGGTCGCAGTGTGCTCAGGGACCTTTATTGTCCGCCTTATCTCTCATTCTGACGTTTGTCTGTTTTCCAACGCTTGACACCACGGCAAAGGTCGGTCTAATGCCGGCCATTCCAAGCCACAAGCAGGATGACCCCCCCGGGACAGTGGCGCCTGAGTCCCGTCTGCTGCAAGGATCAAGGAGGGTATAGGTGAAACGGATTGGAAAAGTCGAGCAGCCATTGGAAAACGAAGGTCGACTGCTTATCTCGGCGGAGATAGCCCACATGTCATTCCAGCTAGTATGGCAACCTATCAACTCCTACCGACAGCATTGTGCTTTGACTTGACACTCCGGGCCTCCGCTTTGAACCACGGCCTGCGCGCGCGCAGGGCAATGCGCGGTCCGTGAACCACATTTGCCTTTGCTGGCAATCGTCGGCGAAATGAGAGGCACACTGAATGGGGCAACCCTTTTGCCTCGTACCGAGCCAGTTGGGCGGGGGAGCCACGCAGCGCGCAATGCTGGAACTTGGCGTGTAGCAGGAATAGCGGTAATCTGCGAGAAAGCCTTGGCAACGCCTGGTCAGCTCCCTGTCCGGGCGTTGTCGGGAGGCACTCGTCGAGGTTGGCGGGCTATGCTGATAAGGCAGCAAGCACACTCGCCATATAAAGAGCGACGGGTGTCTATCAAAGGGTAGCATCTATCAGCATACACTCAGAACTAGACGCCATGACGACCAAAGGCGAAAAGTATGCGGAACCCACAGTGTCGGTTCAGCCCGTCGACGATGTCGAGTACGCTGCCCAGCACATCGACCTCGACACGGACTCGGGCGGCAAGGACCAGCTGCACCGCGGCCTCAAGCAACGACACATTGCTATGATGAGCATTGGTGGCATTATTGGCACTGGTTTATTCCTCGGTGAGTTCTCTACGTGCACAAGGCGTGTTTGGGAGGTGGAAAGGGTGGAATAGAGGGTTGAAGGGTGGGAGGTGATGGGAGGTGGCAGCCAACGACTGGTGTGCTGCCGCCCTCACTTCCGGTACCCGGTGCATTCAGCACTCCAGAGATCTTTGTGCTGACAATCAGGATCCGGAAACGCACTCATCCATGGTGGCCCCCTGGGCCTGCTCCTCGGCTACTCCATCTTCGGTGTGGTCGTCATCTTCCTGATGCAAGGCCTCGGCGAGATGGCCGCGTTCCTTCCCATCCCAGGCGGTCACCTGGCCTACGCTGGCCGGTTCGTCGATCCCGCATTTGGTTTCGCAATGTCCTGGTGCTACACTCTGGTGTGGTGGATCCTGTGCCCTGCCGAGTAAGTAAAGCACCCACGACAGCAACTGACGCCAGGCTCTCGGCCGTCGCCGTCCTCATGAACTACTGGGTCAGCGAGACAACCGTCAACAATGGCGTGTGGATCGCGATCGCATTTGCCTTCGTCATTGTCATGAACATGTTCCCCGCAAGCGTGTACGGCGAGACCGAGTTCATCTTCTGTAGCATCAAGGTCCTCACGATCATGGGCCTCATTAGTACGTTACATCCCCTCTCCACTCTTGCTGACCGAAAGTCTGTGGCATTGCAATCAACTGCGGCGCCGGCCCAGACGGCCACTACATTGGCGGAGAGTACTGGAGGAACCCCGGCGCGTTCGGCATCGACTACATGGGTATCAAGGGAGCCAAGGGCCAGTTCCTTGGCTTCTGGGCTGTCCTCACCCAGGCTGCCTTCTCTTACCTTGGATCTGAGATCGTGGCCGTCGTCGCCGCCGAGACTAAGAACCCTTCCAAGGCCGTGCCACGCGCCATCAAGAACGTCTACCTTCGTATCTGTGTCTTTTACATCCTTGGCACGTTCATTATTGGAATGACATGTCCCTCCAACGACTCCCACCTCGGAACCGCTTCGGACGCCTCGGCATCTCCCTTCGTCATTGCCATCTCTCGCGCCGGCATCAAGGTTCTCCCCTCGATTGTCAACGGCTGTCTCATCACCTCAGCCTGGTCGGCCGCCAACGCCGACATTTACGTCGCGTCGCGCTCGATCTACACCCTCGCAAAGCAGGGCTACCTCCCCAAGGTCTACCTCACCACCTCCAAGCGCGGTGTCCCCTATGTTGCCTCCGTGACTGCTGCTTCGGGCGGTTTCTTGGCTTTCATGTGTGTCTCCTCGGGCGCAAACACCGTCTTCAACTGGTTTGTCAACCTTGTGGCCGTTGGTGGTCTCATGGTGTACGTTGGCATTTGCTGGTCGTACATTCGCTTCCGCAAGGCCTGTGAAGCGCAGGGCATCGAACGCAGCACTCTGCCCTTCACGTCTGGGTATGCCCGTTTCGGCGCGTGGTTTGCCCTCTGCTTCATCCCCATCATCATCTTCTTCTCCGGCTGGACCGTCTTCCTCGACCTGGAAAACTTCGACCACGCCACCCTCATCACCAACTACCTGCCCATGGTGCTCGTGCCCATTGCGTACCTGGTCAAGAAGTTCTGGTCCAAGACCAAGACTGTTGGTCTCATGGAGATGGACCTGACTACTGGGGCGCGCGTGAAGATGGTGGCCGAGGACGACGAGGACGACCAGCCTCAGGGACGGTGGGCCAAGATTACCAGCTATCTACTTTGAGTACAAGTATAGAGCAGTAACCATTGGGTTGTATGGATAGAGTATCTATGGCACCTTGGAGTGTGTACAGCTTCTGCGATTGTGAGGCGGGCGTACGCGGCGTCGACGACGGCAGTGGGCTCCTATGCGGGAAGCACGTCCTTCAGTTGCTTATTGTCAAGGGGGTCTGAATTCTCGCAAAGTCCTGGTCCTAATGGAGGCAGCCGCTCGGCGGCGCGCACCTCGTTAACCTTCTTGAGGGCCTCCTCCGCGGCGAAGTCTTCGTCGCGGGCATACACATATCTGGCGTCAACGACTGATAACCTCGTCACTCACGTCAACCATCCCATCATGGGCTTGTCCTCGGGATACATCTCGAACTTGTCCGCGTTCGCCGGGTCGAAGAACTGGACACATGCTTCCCATGGCACCATGGTACAGTCATCATTGATGCGGACAGTGACGTGGTGAACAGGACCGTACTGGAGCGCAATGTCGTAGAGAGCTGCGGGCGACGGTGTGTCGTTGTCCCAGTATGGCTCCATCCATACTTCTTGGGGAGGACCAGGCCGGACGCGCATACGTGGCTCGACGATGCGAGCGGTAAAGAGTGTGCGGAGCTCGGGATAGAACGTATCTGGCGGCCGGCAAAAGGTGATGCCCGTGCGCTGTAGAACTGGATGCGTATTCATCAACGCCATTGCGCGGTCGGCATCTGCGTGGCTACCAAATGACATGCGTGCTGTGGTGTGAGCAAGATAGTGCTTCCTAAGTCAGGCTCTACCAATACGTACCCTGCTTGACGGCTCGATGTGGTGAGGGAACAAGCTCAAAAGTCTCGGCACGACAGAGGACCTTTACCAGTCGCTCCAGTTCATGCACGTCCGTCGAGGGCGGGATGTGGCATGCGTCCACCTCCAGCGTCTTGCCTGGGTATCGATCAGGTATGGGTGTAAACAGATGTCCGTTGTGAGCCATGCTGTTGCTGAATTAAAAAGGCAATGGGGTAAACGGCGTGGAGAACAGTGAACGCGGTTCGGTGGATTGGTGACAAGAGGTGACTCGTTCGCCGGGCGGCTAATCCACGGTATGAACTGTACCACACACGGTCGGAAACGGTACCCGACCAACTCGCAACAACACCCTCTCCTTGTGCTCCAAGCGTCCGGTCACTGTCTGGTACTCTGAGAAGGAGTATTGTATCCGGATTACGAAAAGGGACATGGGAACGTCACTGAAACATATTCATATTACAAACACGACAAACTGGGACCATGGCGCTTGCGACTTCTGCTGGGGCTGGGATCGGCTTCTTTAAGAGTTCACGCTGGGATTATGAGCAGCTGAATCATTGTACACTCTCACCTTTGAAGAACCTCGAGGAAGTGAGTAAACCAAGCAGGGATGTCGGTGATTTTGTTCCAATGCATGTTGGGAGGTGCCGACGTGCGAGTTGCACGGATAAACGCCCAAAGGATGTCCGAGCGAACACCTGCCACAGCAGCTACCGACCAAGTGCTTGGGTCTAGTCTCGATCCGCACACACTTCCACCATTCCATTCGACGTCGCTCTGTGTTGCTCTCATGGGCGCGGGCATGGTCTTATGGGCGCTGACCATGGCCGAAACTGCCTTAATTGCCAAATTGAATTCCTCCAAGCGGCAGGCCAGACAAAAGATTTCGACCATGTCTAGAAAGTCGGTCGGGTCAACCAGTTTGCTGAGGCAGTGAGCCACTCCAAGACGGTATAGGAGATTGAAGGCGTATTTCTTGGCGAGTTGAAGGGTGTTGAAGAGGGTTCTGGGCGTCGGCCACGACCCCGGGGTGTCTAGGATGTCTCCACGTGCCAACTTGAGAAGAAGGCTGATAGAACTCGCGCTCTCGATTTCACCATCATTGAGGACGATGTCGGTGGAAACGGAGCCCGGAAGAGAGACCATATCCCATAAAGCGTCGCTGTGGTATTGTTAGGCAATCTGCAAAATGATGTTTGATGGAGATCAGCGTACCTCTGGTGGAGGACCTGCCTGGTGACACCGAAGCGTATCTCGTCCGACCAGACAATGACGAACTCAGCACCCTCTGGGGGGAAGGTGGAATCGGATTTTTTACGGTGAGGGGCCACTTGAGCCTGGCCAGACATGCTGCTATTGTTTGTGAGGGTCGGAGTGTGGGGAAGTGGGAGGACGTGAGAGGCGACCGTGGCTCAGGCGGCAATCATAGCGCATTCACAGGCGAACCTGTCTACATAGCGATGTTCACCGCGGTACATGGTGTCTAATAGTGCCCTTCCGTAAGGCGATAGTTCACGCGATACGGTGTATAGGCAGCGTTACAGTGGGAAAACAAAAGATTAATTCCCAATTTTCGCCCAATTTTCGTGTGAGCCTCCTTCGCACCCCATCTCCCCCCGTCGGGCCATCGTCCTCTTCGCGTCTACGTGCCCTTCGGATTCGCTAGCGATTAGCCACATGACTGGCTCTCGGGACAACTCACGCCTCAGCGACTTGACATGATGAGCAAACCTCGCCGCAGTCTTCGTGGCGTTCGGATTACACCTGTCCGGCCGTGCACAAGTATGCCCGGACGAGTGGCACAGCTCTGACGCCGTCTTGACGAGCGCCCAGATCACACCTCCGGGAATGTCCTTGGCGTACGCAACGGGCCAGTCCTCAATCCGAAGATGGAGGTCCTTCTCAATAATCCGTCCGGCCATGACCCCCATCATGACGTTTTTGCCGAACCGCGCCCCAATCCGAAAGGCCGGCAATGGGTCGTCATTGCGCGTCGACCACATCTCGACATACGCGAGGCCACGGGAAAACGCCAGCGGCGCCTCCCACTTGTCCGCGAGGATGACGGCGTCGCACAGCACGTCGATGGGCGGCCACTTGGCCGCGGGCGTGTCTTCGAGTGTGTAGCCAAAGTACATCAGGTCGAGAAAGGTCCCGAGGACAGCGGCACGTTCGAGCTCTGCGTCGACCAAGACGAGTTCGACGCCGGCGTTGGCGACGTTTTCGGACATGTCGACGAGGTCCATCCAGGCAAAGCTGTGCGCACAACCGCTGTTTTAGCACGCTTTTTTGTTCTCGTAACGTGGAAGGCTCACCACTGTTTCAGCATGTAGTCGCCGATGCAGAACAGGACGCCGTCGGACGAGATGACGCGGTAGTTGACCCACCACGCGAGGCACCAGTGTGGGTGGACGCTTGTGGCGGTTGCGGCTTTCCCAGACTCTTGGAGAACTTTTAAATCGACAAGAGCGTTGATGTCAGCTGAAGGCTTGCGTCTGGGTGCATGCTTGTCAGCGCGTTGGTTTCTGCAACGATGGAGCGGTCCTCACGATTGGGACATGATTCGTAGTTGACGCGAGATCTGAATGCGAACGCCACTCTTGTTGTGATTGCGGTGCGTCTCGTCGGTTAAATGGGCACTGTGTGTTAGTTAATGTGCCCTGGCGTGCATACACACAGTGTTACCCGCTCTACCCTACTTATAAAGCTCTTCGCCTTCACAGTACCAGGCCCAGTGATCCACAACGTGCCATTAAAACCTTTCCACCGGTCAACAGCAATGGCGAGCAGCCCAACTACCACGTCAACGCCTCCTCGCTTCCCGGAAAAGTATGGCCTTGTGTCATCGGACGGTGTGAAGGTCACCGTACCGGCCAGTATCCTTCGTCAAAGGTGAGTAGGGTGGCCCCTGAGAATTTCCGCGCCTCTGATTCCTAGTCAGCCGCTGTGGAACATGATTGAGAGCAACGGGTACAACTCCGAGCCGATACCGTTCTGCGATCCCGTCATAGAGGCCTCGCACATCGTCAGACTGTTCATTGACCTCATGACGGGTGTCAAGATCGCAAACAGCATTATCAACCCCGGTCATCAGGCGGCCCATTTCGTCTCCACTGGGGTGAACCAAGAAACCGCTCTCTGTCAGACCCTCCTGTTCGCGCACAAGTGGGAGTTTGAAACAGCCTCGCACCTCGTCAAGGCGAATCTGGCGCTCATCCTCCGTCTCTCGCCTCACATGACTGCCATCTCATCATCCCACCCCGAGATCGGTTTTACCACGTTCCGCACAGCGGCATGCCTTGACGACGAGCAGCTCGCGGTAAAAGCGGTGGCGGCAATGGAAGGCCAGAAAAACAGCACCAATTTCCATTACCGGTTCGACTACGACAAGTCTGGTAACACCATTCCCCATGTGCCCAGGACGGATGTGGGTACTTGGTCGCTGGAAGACTTCATGGACGTACCGCACACTTATCTCTATGCTTTGGCTAGAGCCGGCATGGCTGCCCACGAGAAGTACAGCCAAGCCAAACTTTACTCCCGGGACGTTGGAGAGCGGTTCCAACATTTTCTCAATATCGCGAAAAGTGAGTCTGCGGGCATCGTTAGTGCTAACCGTTAGGGGCGCGGGCGCCAACGACGCTCGACTTGAGCAAAGGTGCAATCTTATACATGGTCCGACTAGGCCCATAGGGGCTCTCGGTGGCTTGGTTTGTCCACAAGAAATGTAGGCTTGAAGATGTATGGTCCATAAACGTTTTGTGTTTTGTTTTTCTTTTCTCTAGTAGTTGACGTAGACGCCGTCAGTCTTGCGGATCTTGGTCATGGCTGTAAAGAATGTCAGCGAGGGCTCAGAAGAAGAAGAAGAAGACGAGAGCCCACGTACCGGCAATGATGGCCGAACCGACACCGGAGCCGTCCTCGGCCGGGTGGGTGGTGATCTTCTTGCCGGCCTCGCCGAAGATGTCGACCAGGGCCTGGTGGATGCGGTCGGCAAAGTGGGGGTATTTCTGATTCGTCAGCTAGAATGTCTACCTATTGAAAGCTCACGTTGTACAGGGATCCGTCGGCGCCGACCGAGCAGCCCTTCTCGAGGTAACCCTTCTTGGAGACAATGGCGGCGATACCACATGCCGAGAGACGGGCCGAGCGGGTGCCGATGAGGACGGCAAGCTGGCGGAAGAACTGACGCTCCTCGAGGGTGGTCTCGATACCGAAGAAGTGGTTGAAGACACCGATGGTCATGAGCAGCTCGTCGGTGGGGTCGGCCTCCATGAGCGAGAGGAAGGCAGTGTCGAACGCGTAAGCCTTCTCGAGCTTGTACGTGTTCTGGCCGAGGAAGAGGTCACCCGAGTCGATGAGCTCGCAGAGAATGAGACGGAAGATCTCGCCGAGGTAGAGACCGGCAATCATCTTCTCAAACGACTGCTCGCCAACCTTGTTGGACGACTCGTCGATGATAATGTCGTACTTGGTACGGGCTAGACGGTCAGCTTTGCTTGCGAAGCGAATACCTACGAAGGTGCTGGTGCTCAAACGAGTCAAACGCGCCCCACTCGCACTGTACGGGTCAGCTCGGGGCACAGCCAGCCACCCACGTTGATAGCCATGTCCTGGTCCTTGGGGAGACCAATGTAGTCCATCTTGGGAATGTTCTCGGCGGTCTCCATGTAGGCAGCGTTACAGCCCGTACCGAAGATGCACGCAATACGGGTGGTAGGGTCGACGTAGTTGGAGGCGATGAGGGTACCGGTGGTGTCGTTGATGAGAGCAGTGAGCTCGGCGCGGACACCCTAAGGTTGTCAGTTACATCATCAGGGGAGGAGATCTGCATAACTTACAAACTTCTTGAGCGACTCCTGGAACATGGCAGCGACGTCGTGGCCCTCGACGTTGGGGGCACCGAAACCCTTGGTCCAGCGGATGAGCTCTGGTAGGTCAGCAACAGCTCTGGGAGGCAGGTTACTCACCGCCGTGGTCAATGCGGTCCTGCGAGCAGGGGTACGAGAACTGAATGTGTCAGTTGAATAAGTAACGCCTAAGCTCACGGTGAAGCCGAGAGGCAGGTGGTCGGCGTTCTCGTCGCGGCCAAGGTTGTCGCGGATGAACGAGTGAAGGCACTCGGCGCAGAAGTCAAAGCTGGACGTGTCAGTTATAGCCTAAAGAAGTCAACTCACAGCTTCTGGCCCTCCTCCTGCTTCTGCTCCTCGGTGAGGCGGTACTTGGTCTGGGTGACCTCGAACTTGCCCTCGCCTTCAAGGGTGACGAGGCAGACACGGAGGTTGGTGCCTCCGAGGTCGACAGCGAGGAACTCGCCGTGCTCCTTGCCAGAGGGCCACTGTTGACGTTAGCACACGACCAGGCGAGCGCTCTGTGCGGCTAAACTCACGCCGAAGACGTAGGTGGGGACTTGGGATGGGTTAGTACAGTTCACCACAGGAATTCAGCAGTCGCTCACTCATGGGCTAATGGCATGTCAGTGCTGTGCTCGGTCTTGTAAAACAGTTCAGAGTGACTTACCACAGTCTCGCCGTTCTTCTTCAGGCCCTTGTCGAGGGTCTCCTCAAACGCCTGAACAATCATGCGCATGCGGGGAGCCGTGACTGGAAGAGTCAGCTACAGGATGTCACAGGAGTCTTGGCAGATGACTCACCGGTGAGGAGCGACTCGTACTTGCGGAGGTGGTCCGCAATGGTCTCTGCGCAGGTTAGCACTTGTGCCCCGCCTATTAGGCAAACGCACTCTTCCCGGCGTGGGGGAAGTCAACCTCGTCCTGGAAACATGTCAGCAAGGAGGGCTTCAACTTTCACCATTAACAGACACACCTGGGTACGAGTGTGGTAAACGACGTGCTGGCCGCTGGGGGTGAGGACGCTGCCGGAACCGCGACGGCCGCTCTTGCTGCCACCACGGCTGAGGGCCGGGGTGGTGACGGTCTCGGAAGTCATGGTCATGCTGGACATGCCGTGGATAACTTCCTGCGAGCCGCTGGATCCCCTGCGCTCAAGGGAGAAGGTCTGGCCAGACGAGATCGAGGCCTTGTGGGCGGCAGTGCCAATGTTGGTACCGTTGTCGAGGACGGACATTGTGGAGAGGAGCTCGGCGGGAGAAAGAAGCTGGGCCATGGTGAGCAAGTGGAGTTGCTGATGATGATGATGATGATGATGAGAGTGGGGGGTGTGGAGTAGCTGCTGTGGGTCACACCAGAGTGGAAGACTATGCGTGCTCGCTACTGTGCTTGCACGGGCCAAGGCATCAAGCCACCACGCTCCCAGAGTGGTTGTTGGGAAACGAGGCAAGCCCCCACCAGACTTGGGCTTGGCGGCTAAGAAGCGACCCAGCCTGTGCGAGCTGCGCAGGCCCGCAGACGGCACTCCCGGACCATTACATCAGAGGAGTGGTGGCAGTGACTGGGAAAAGGCGGAGGGTTGTGGAGTTTGGGGCGACGAAAGTGACAGGGCATGTGGCCAGGTGGGGGCATGCCTGTCTCCCAGATCCCATATGAGATGCTCGCGAGTGCGAGGATCGCGAGCGTGGTGGTGTGTGTGTGAGCCTAAACAGACACATACCTGAAAGAAGAACGAAGGTGGTTGGGGAGTGCGATGGAGTGCTTCGCTAGGAAGAGAAAAGGAAGGGGTAGAGTAGTGAAGAGGGGTGTGTCCAAGAAGGGGAGGAGGGGGGGATGGTGAGGAAGAAGAAGAAGAAAAAGACAGGCGACGGGGTGGACGTCGAGAAAGATAGGCCCGGGTGGGGCAGCGAGAGCCAGGAGAGAGAGGGTTGACCCGTCACCGGTGCCAGCCAGCCAGCCAGAGCCAGCCAGCCGATGCCGCAACTGCCGCACCACCCTGACTCGCCAGAGCCCCCCGATGCCCCGACGTTCCCCGCCGTTGCCGCCTGCAGCCGCCTGAAAATGGGACCCACGGGTCGAGACCTGCCCCTTCTCTCCCCCAAACGAGTTCATGCTGTACACAACCTTTTTGCCTTCTTCCAAAGAGGAACAGAGGAACAAAGTGACGCGTATACAGTGTGCTCCACGCGTACCTACGCACGCGTGCAATATACACAACACCAACCCCCCGTCGCCACAACCGTGCTGCGTACGGTGTTAGCGAGAGCGTGGTCGCCCACACCGCTGTACCGCTGTTCTGCCCCCACGGAAAACAGACCACAGGCCACAGGCCACAGGCCACAGGCCACAGGAGAGACGCAGACGAGACACTGAAAAAAGGTCCCCCCCTTCCCCCCCATGACGTCAAACATCCGAACACACTGTCCTTTTCTCGCCTGGTGAGCTGCCTTAACCTTCCTTCGTGCCACACCATCTCTTCCTCGTTGCCTTCCTCCTTCCTCGCGTCCCACTCTGCGCCACTGCCACAAAGGTTTTCTCGTGGTGTCTCGTGGTGTGCCCATGCATAAGTATGTCGGCTCATTTCACGGTCCGATTTTGACACTGTTGCGCTGCAAACCCACAACGCCGGTACGCCGCACACTGCCACCTATCAGCGTCGGCTTTGAAGCCAACCGAAATATCACATGCCCACGCCATACCCCGCCTCCACACTTTGTGGGCCCTTTGGCCCCTTGACGGCGTGGAGACGGCGTTCGTTCCATCCAACCAACCAACTTTCTGCGCCGACCTACCCACCCGTCGGCTCCCCCATATCTCCTGGTCATCGGCCTTGCTCGCTCGTTGTTCGCCGGCCACAACACAAGACCCCCGCCGACCAGCCGACCATGCCCCTCGCCATCGCTGACCTACAGCCCCTCCTGGGCCTCGGCCCCGACAGCCCTCAGCTCACGCAGGCGCTCGTCGCGCTCGCGCCGGACCAACAGGTGGAGAGAGACGCGAAATCGTACCCGGACGCGACTTATCACAACTACTACTCTCTCGGCCTGTCGCTCTGCTTCATTCCGCGCAAAGACGCTGGCGGCGGCACACTCGAGCTCGAGAGTATTGATATCTTCAACCCGACGCCAGAAACATCCGCTACCGCGTCCGCCCGTCGTCCCGGCGCACCGCCGGCATACACCTTCCCCCCGGCGCCTGTGACGCTGCGTTTCGCCGAGACTGAGATTGTGTTTCCACCACGTAAACCCGGCGAGAAGGAGCTGCGCGTCCCGCGTCCCGACACGCTCGAGCTCAAGGCCTCCACGAGTGGCCGCGAGGTCGTACGCTCCCTCGGCGAGCCGAGCCGCAAGGGGTCCGGAGGGTGGGTCGGTGTGTGGCTCGAGTGGGGAGCTGTCGCGCTCAAGAGGGAGGAGAATGGCGAGAGGGTCGAGGTGGGGCTCATGCTGGAGCTCAAGGATCCAAAGGGCTCCAACAGGTTGACAAAGGAGCAAGAGGACCAGGGCGTGGGAGGTGTCTGGGACCAGGCGAGTGGGTGGCGCTGGGCAGGCATCAAAGTGTTCCGCCCGTCCAAGTAGGGCTCCCCCTCCCCCCTCTTCTCCTCCTCGCAACTGCTATACCCTGCACATATATGTATCCATGCATGCTACACAACTTCTTTGCATCCCTACTGGCCGGTCCTCCCCTTACACGACGACACGCTCGGCCGGGAGGCTCTCGATCGCCGCCTTGAGCTCCGCCTCGTTGAGGATCTCGAAACCGCCATCAGCCGTCACCTGGGCGAGCTGGACGTTGTTCTCGTCGAGCTTCTCCTCCATGACCTGCTTGAGCGTCTTGAGCGTCAAGGTGTAGGCCTCAGCGAGGGTCATTTGCTGCCACAGTGTCAGCTGAGAAGCAAGGGAAGGAGAACCTAACTGACCTTGTGGTAGGCGTCCTGGAGGCTCTGCTGGGCAGCGTCGGAACCCGAACCGATGGCCTTGGCGTCGTAGCGCACAAAGGTGCCCGAGGGGTCAGTGTGATACCTGCAGAGTTAGCACACGCGTGGGGGGTGAAACTCACAATTGAGGGCCGCGCTCGTCGTGGCCAGCAATCAGCAGGGCGACACCGAATGGCCTCGACTGTGTGGGTCAGCTCCCGTCTCAGAGTGTATTGCAACCCACCATGAGCGCGTCGTCGTCGTCGACACTCTCGCCGAACCGGAGGGCAAGGTCACACACAGCCTGGGTGCAGCTCTCGACACCAATCTGCTCGTCGTAGGTGAACGCGTGCATCTGCGAGGTGACGCGGGCGTGGTCGATCATGGTGCGCGCGTCGGCAGTGAGACCCGACATGGCGCAGCCGAGGTGGCGGTCAATCTCCATAATCTTCTCAATGGACGACGACTCGAGGAGGGGCGACTGGACACGCTTCTCGACGCCGAGAACGACACCCTTGGGGGTACAGATGCCGACGGTGGTCGAGCCGAGCTGCGAGACGGTGTCAGAGACGCGCTCGCCAAGAGAGGATCAAGCACAAAGGACTTACCTTGATGGCCTCCATGGCGTACTCGACTAAGGCGATGTCAGTATGCCGTCTACACGTGATGGTCAGCAGCGCATACCTTGGAAGAGACGGCCCTGCGAATGTCAGCTACATAACGAAGCGCAAGGGAGCTTACCTCTGGCGAGAAGGTGTTGACACCACGGTCGTACTCGGAGCTGTGGTGATGTTAGTATACCTTGGCCACTTGCTAGCCACCGTGGGCGTCGAGGCTGATGGGGGTTGACGCACCGAGTGAGGAACATTGTCGGTGACGAAGCGCGAGGAGGATGCGGTGGCCGAGAGAAGGGGAAGGGGGAAGGACGGTCCGGTCCTGTTGTCTACTTTGGTCTATTCTCTTGCTGCTAAGAGAGGAGGCGAGGGGGCAGGATATCCCTTTGACGTTGTTGTTGAAGGGGGGGAGATGACGATGATGGGTGTAGAGAGACGGCTTTGGAGGTGCGGACTGCTGTTACGCGCGTTCGTCAGTGCAAGTCGTCAGCGTCAACTGTCTTACGTAATTGGATTCTGAGTGTCTGTCTCCGGGAAATTGATCCCGCACAACCGAGCTTTCCGGCATGCAAAGCATGAATGCTTCAACCTCGAGGCAAAGAGATAAGCGTGCCTGGCGCCTGGATGCGAGAGCGCGCAAAGGCTAACTGTGTGGTGGAGGCCAGTTGGAAAGTGGCCAAGTGGACGGTGTGCCCGCTTGGCCGCTTTGGTGCGGCCGCAACCGCTTGGTGGAGAGAATCCAGTACACGGAGACGGACACGGACTAACAACCACGGCTCTTTGTCAAGCTGTCTTCTCTCTTCTCATCACCACCCAACCCACCTCACCCTCTCCCCCGCCCCCCCACTTCCACCTCTCCCACTGCGAGGGCCTACCTTCGGCCCTCCAACCCCCTCACCGAGTCTTCCTTCGCACCCCCTGACATCCATCTAGACCGTCCACAAACAGTGGTGGCAAACCCACCACTTCGTTGCTGGGAAAGTTGAGTCAACCAACGAGACGCCATGGTACGCTTCCTTGCTTCATATCCTTTTGTCCCTCGCTCAACATGCTGACCTCGCATCTTCAGACTCAACAACGCAATGCACACGCGTCAGGTAGTCGCGCCCGTCGCGGGGCTGTTGACGATGACCAGCGCCCTCAAGCCGGACCTTCAACCCGTGCTTCCTCCTCTGCCGCCGCCGCCGCCCGCCGCGTAGTCAACACCAACGGCGGTGCAGACACTGGCAGCGATGACGACATCCAGTTCCTCGACGAGGCTCCAACATACATGCGCAATAGGACCACCTACAAGGCGCCCATCGTGGTCGATTCTGACAGTGACGACGACAACACCGATAATCCTTTCCTCGTCGGCAAGCGTAAGCGCGCACAGGAAGACGACGGCGACGAGTATGACGAATACGACGACGACAGCATCATCCTCATTGGTAGTGACATTGTGGACCTGCCCCCATCACCCAGGACTCGCCTCCGCCTTGCCAACAAGAATGCACACGCCGGTCCATCCGTGCGACGTGTGATCTTTGCGGACGACGGCGACGACGAGGTCAAGCCGGCCGATGCCGGCGTTCCGTCCACTCCGCCCCTGCCAGAGGCCCACTATCTTGTGCCTCTCGTCCTTGCCATCATCCCCGACATTTGTCCCGACTGGGTTCGGGCAAACATCGAAGCTGCCATGGCGGAGATCAAGGACAACAGCAACGTTCCCGGACAAGACGCCGTCGACCGTGTTCTTAACGCGGCCTTTGAGATGGACGATTATCCCAAGGCAGGCGTCCAGGATACACCTGCCGAACCCAAGGAGGCAGGCGACTACACGGACCCCAACTACCGCAGTGGTGACCGTCGGGGTGTTGGTTACACGTCAAACTCGTGGGCCATGCTCAAGGCCATCTTCCCCGTCATCCCTGTTGCCCAGTGAGTTGAATCGAACTGCCGTCTTCTGATGCTTGATGCTGACATGTGCAGCATTCGTGAGGTGTTTTACGGCGACGGCGGCGAGCGCCTGGTGCCCACGTACCACATTCTTCACCGCCACCACACGTCCGCGGACAAGCCTTACCGCGAGCTGAGGAAGGGCCGCTCGGCCAAGGGCAAGTCGCCTGCCGAGGCAGAGGACGACATGCTAGAGGAGGCCGCGGCCTACGCCCACGACAATGCCGGTGCCATGGAAGCCAGGCGCGAGAGGTTATTCCTGAAGACCATCATGGGTGCGTACTTAGAAATTAGAAATATCTAACAGTGGATACTGACCCGAGCAGAGAAGGCTGCCGAGAAGGAGCAGGCGGAGATGACCGCTGTCCAGGCCAAGGCTCAAGAGGAAACGGACCGTGCCAGGCGCCGCGAGAACGCCATTGCAGATGGCAGTGCCATGGAGTGTGGATGCTGCTTCGATAACGAGGCTCCTGTAAGCGGAACAAAAACAAATACGGTGTGCTATGCTGACAACAAGGCCGACATGGCTGCGTGCCCCGAGGGCCACCTCTTCTGTCATGACTGCTTGGCGACCCATGCCGAGACCAAACTCGGCGACCAACAGACAATCATTGCCTGTATGAGCATGGATGGCTGCCTCGAGGTCTTCACGGACACGACTCTGGGCAGCGTCCTGTCTGACAAGACCATGTCTCTGTACCACCGTTTGCGCCAGCTCAAGGACCTCGAGATGGCCGAGATCGATGGCCTAGAGAGCTGCCCGTTCTGCCCGTTCGCCATCGTCATCGAGAACCCCGACGAAAAGCTGTTCCACTGTCTCAACGATGCCTGTAAAAAGGTTACTTGCCGCAACTGCAAGCGACCTGTGAGTTTGACATTGACTTGTAAAGAAACTGACCCCAGTCCCATATCCCCAAGCGCTGTGATGAGATGGACGCCGACGACAAGCTTGACAGGCGCCATGCCATCGAAGAGGCCATGTCCAATGCGCTCATGCGCAAGTGCCCCAACTGTTCCAAGCCTTACATCAAGGAGACTGGTTGCAACAAGATGACTGTAAGTCTAAGAGCTATGTGGCCACGCTCACACGGCTGCAGTGCCAGTATTGCCGCACAATCAGCTGCTACATCTGCCAGAAAGCCATCCCCGAAGGATACGCCCACTTTGATCAATGTAGGTTACCAATCTGTGCTCGACTGACGCTGCAGTGCCCGGTGCCCGCGCTCCACGCCAAGCTGATAAGTGCCGTCTCTGGGATCACAACGAGCAGGACATGGATGCTGAGCGGGTGAGTCGTCTGGGACGTGGATGGAATGGTGTACTAACGCTGTCAGATCCGCCAAGCGCGTGACGACGCCGCTCGTCGCGTCATGGACGACGCTGCCAACGACGGTGTCCAGCTCAACGAAGAGGACATTCGTGTCGACGCTCCTGGCCCCGTGGCTCGTCAAGCTCCGGCGGCTCACATGGCGCACGCGGGTATGCCTGGAGTTTTACAACGCCTTGCTGAAGCTGGCGAACGGCTAGTGCAAGGCGGCTACGGCCTATTGCCCGACCTCCAGCCTTGGATTCAGCAGCAGGCCCAGGTCTTGGCTGACGGGGGAGCGCTTGCGTTCCCGCCACCCCTTTTCCCACCACCACTTGTGGCTGTTCAGCCAGCACCTTTCGTTGCGCCTTTCCTTGCAGCTCCACCGGCACTCTTCGCTCCGCCAGCACCTGCGTTTCCCGGAGCAGCTGTTCCGGAGGTTCGTCAAGGGGTGGGTCGTGTTCGCGCCCGAGCTCCTGTGCCCGCCGATCTCGGCCCCGCCCAAGTCGCCCGCATCCAAGCCGCCCAACGAATCGCCGGCATCCGCGCCGCTCACAACCAAGCGGCCCATGACCGAGCTGCCCAGGCCGCCCACAACCAAGCGGCCCGTGAACAAGCTGCGCAAGCTGCCCGTGAGCAAGCCGTCCGCCACCAAGCTGCCCGTGAACAAGCTGCCCAGGCCGTCCGTGACCAAGCCGCCCGCGCCCAAGCTGTCCAGGCCGCCCGTGAGCAAGCTGCCCAGGCCGCCCATGAGCAAGCTGTCCAGGCTGCCCGTGAGCAAGCTGCGCGCAACCAAGCTGCCCGTGAACAAGCTGTCCAAGCTGCCCGCGAACACAACCAAGCTGCCCAGGCTGCCCGTGACCAAGCAGCCCGCGACCAAGCTGTCCGTGACCAAGCAGCCCGCGCCGCCCAGGACCAAGCCGTCCGTGCCGCCCGCGACCAAGCCGTCCGCGACGTCGTCTCAGCTGCCGGGCCATCGGCCGCCAACGCGGACCAAGTCGCCCGCCGTGTCGCCCCCAACCAAGTCAACATGGTCAATCACGAGGAACACATCCGCCGCCGCCGTGAAGCCCGGCGAGAGCTGAAGCAGCAAAAGAATGACGAGCGTGCACAGAGGGTTGCGACACGAGACGCAACTGCGCAGGCAAGGATCCAGGCCAATGTGGACCAGCGCTTGCGTGATCGCCGCGCAGCCGCAGCCCGCCTGGCAATGCCTGGCCGTCAACTGCGTTCGCACGGGGTGCGCGGAGATAACCCTGCGGAGGCTCAACCTGCCGCTCAGGCTCCCCCACCGCCGCCTCCCGACGTTCCCCCACCACCTCCTCCTGTCGTTGGTCATGCCGAGGCACCCCTTGTTCCTCTGGTGCGCTTCGGTCCTCGCGTTAATGTCGACATCCTACCGCAGAATTTGCCTCCTAGGCCACAGCCTTTGCCTCCTAGGGCGCAACCTTTACCTCCTAGGCCGCACCATTTGCCTCCCAGACCCCAACTGCCAATTCCCTCGTGGCTCAACCGTGGTCACCATGGTTAAGTACTACCACGCAAAACTCAAGGGTATACCTCATGTTGCCTCATGCCTCTTTGGTCTTCAGTTCATGTCACCCTCCCCCGAATCACAACCACGGCCATCATGACCCGAAGTTCAGCACATGCTCGCTGCTTCCACCCCTCACTACTGTATTATTCTGCTCCTCATGTTCCGCCTCAACCACACAAACAAGGTGTCGGTGGGCCCCCAAGTTCTCCCTGTGGCCTGTGATTCTGTGAATAACCATGTATCAATGTGTGCATATAATGTCGGTATCTGGTGCAGGGTATGGTACAATGAGAGAGAGAACGTCGGTGAGGGAAGGAAGCTGTGGTTATCATCCTTGCCTTCCTCCCTTGAGAACGTCCACGACTGCCTTGCTCGCATTCTTGACCGCCTCGCGGCGCGCAAACTGGGCCTGAGCCCTCGCCTCGGTCCACGCCGCGAGCTCGGCGGCGTTGGGTGTTGATGTGGTGGTGTTAACCGCGCCAGTCGATGTCGAGTCGGCACCACCGGTACTTGTCCCCGGAGCAGCCGTGGAGAGGGGAACTGGCAGTGCGCCGACGAGGTATGCCGACGAGAGCTGGATGAGCGCCAGGAGCGTCTGCGCGTAGTCGAGCTGGAGTGCTTGGGGCATGTCAGCTTCAGTTCATCGGGAGGTGGACAAGTAGCGGCGAACCCCACCTTCCAGACGGCTCAAGCCGCCGCCTTGCCTCTCGGCGCCTTCGCCCTTCTTCCCAAACATATTCTTCTCCAACAATGCCATCTCGGCACGCACGGCCTCGGCGCGCTCCACGAGCCTGCTGATCTCGGGCATGGCGCGGAGTGCGTCGTCTGCGTCTGCTGTAGCGCCATTGGCCGTGCCGGCGCCTTGCAGGCCGCCTTGGCTCTGCTGTTGCTGGGCACCGAGGCCCATACCGCTGCCGCCGCTGAGGCCGCCGCCCGCTGGAAGCGAGGGGAGCGAGGGCACCGAGCCAGGCAGGCCGAGATGCGACAGCCACGGCGTGCCGGCCGCGAACGGCGAGGTGAGTGTGCCGGCCTGGCCGGAGGGGGACTGGAGGAACGGGTGGAGCGGGGCAGGTGACAGGCCCGCGAGGGCTGGAAGGGCGCCTGGTGTCGGGAACGCTGGAGTGAGGGCTGCGAGGGGGTTGAAGGGGGACGACATGGTGGATGAGATGGTGGACAGAGTGTCGGAGGAACGAAGGGGTGTAAGCTGGATATGCGGTTTGTGAGGTTCCTCCACCTGATCGGAGAGGGCGGCCGGGAGAATCCCCCAGGTGCCACTCACCTTTGCACTGCGCCATCCATGCATGACCGATTGCTCGTCCCAAACCTTAGTGCCATGCATAGCAAGGCATGGGTTCATGGATGGCGATGACCACGGTGGTGACTGTTGATATACGTCGTATCGGGCCCCCGGTCCGCCGCCACGTCGCACGCGACGGAATGACGACGTGCGTGTCGGCGAACTGGGTTGCCACTTGAGGTCTGACGTCTTGTCTCCATCGTCCACTCTTCCGTCCACTCCCACACCACCCCCTCCCTCTCCATCGCCCCCATGCGAGTCACTCCTTGAACCCCCGCCCGTTCGGTTCTCCATAGGTCCCCCTCTTAGGTGCACGCCCGCGTGTACGAGCAAGAGCCCTCGAATCCCGATCTCTCAGACCCACAACAACAAATCTCCCCACTTCCCACATCTCCTTCTCCTCCCCGCACACCCTCTACGATGTCGAGAGTGTCCCGCCTGTCGGCATATGGTATCCTCTCGTGTGGCCTCGCGGCCGCCGTGGTCGGGAGCGCACTCAAGACGCGACCAAACTTCTTCGCCGCTGCAGTCTCGGTCGGACGAAGCAGCGGCTCCTTGATGGTGAGCTGATAGGTCCCATGCCAACTGCAAGCTAACGAATACAGGTCCTCGCCAACTTTATGCTCTATATAGCCATCTGTTTTGGCGTGGGGTTCAAGAACGTCTTCTTTGGCGAACTGCGGCCCATTGAGTATGAGGTAGGTCCAGCTCACTGGGCTGACGACAATGAGCTGACCAAGCAGCACCTGTTCGAGCGCCTGTGGATCTTCCTCACCGAATCGCTGTTTGCGCTCACCATCTTTCGGTAGGTTCCAAGATATCACCCAGGTAACCTGACTCCCAGGTCCGACTTCTCGATCCCGTTCGCGCTCCTATACGGTCTTCTGGTCTTCCTCAAGTGCTTCCACTGGATAACCGCCGACCGCGTCGACTATGTGGGTCGTCCATCCAGAACGGAGATGCTGACCCGCCAGCTTGACCAGGTCCCCCCTCCAGGGCCACCATGGGGCTTCCACGTCCGCATTGCGAGCGTTACGGTTCTGCTCACCCTCTTCGACTCGCTGCTGTTCATGTACGCGACCGAGTCTGTGCTCGTCGACGGTGTATCGGCCATGCTCCTGTTTGCGTCCGAGTTTGCCATTCTGCTGGTCGCTATTGCGGGTACTTGGGCGCGCTACACCGTCGGCATTATCGACCTTCGTCGTGCGGGCGGACGCGCAGACGCCCCGACGTGGGAGGAGAAGAGCATGTACCTGTTCTACATCGATCTCGCAGCCGGTAAGCTACGGGTTGAGACGGTCCCAGCTGACAAGACAGACTTTGCCAAGCTCCTCACATACCTCATCTTCTTCATTGTCATCTACCTCAACTATGGCTTGCCAGTTTACATTCTCCGTGACGTGTACATGACCCTCCGCAGCCTCGTGTCCCGTGGCGGCGACCTCGTCCGCTACCGCCGGGCAACTCGCAACATGGACCAGCTCTACCCTGATGCTACGGCCGAGGAGCTCGAGCGTATGGGTGACCACACGTGCATTATCTGTCGCGAGGAGATGATCCCACGCGAGAGCCAGCCCCAGGACACGCCACAAGATGGCCCCAACGAGACGCCCAAGAAGCTCGCGTGCGGCCACATCTTCCACTTTCACTGCCTCCGCTCCTGGCTCGAACGCCAGCAGAGCTGTCCCACATGTCGCCGCGACGTCCTCGGCGCTGCTGTTCCCCCCAACCAGCGTGACCGAGACGCCCGCAACAATGCCGCTGCCGCCCGCCAAAACGCACCAAACGCAGCGGCACCTGCACCACAGCCGGCTGCTGGTGTCGGCGCCGCCCCGGACGCGCCCGACCCGACGCGCGCACTCTTCGAAGAGTACTTTCGCCTGCCAGGCGTTAATGGTGACGCGCCAGTGCCTGTTGCGACTGGGGCTGCTGTACCTACCGGCGCGGCTCAACCAGAAGCGGCTGCGGCTGAGACGGATGACCACCGCGTCCAGCGGTCGATCTGGGGTGCGCCGATCGTGCCAGGCCGCTTCGTCCCGCCTGCCCTTGGCGCGTCTCCGCGCTGGCCAGAGACGGGTGCCAGTCGGGAGGCAGGTCCTTCGCGAACAGCCCGGATCGTGACTACCAGCGGTGCGGGCTCTTCTTCGGCGCCGGTAGAATCTCCCAATATCTCATCCGGTGTGACCACACCCCTTGCGTCGCGGGCGCCAGAAGTGTTCTCGACCGGCGGCTCGCCGATGCGCAATACACAAGTGCAGGAGCCGGAGACGGCGACAGAGGACGTTCTGGAAGAGGACGACGACGAGCACAAGTTTGACGACGAGGACATCCCCATCCGCGAGGCCGTGAGGTTGGCTGCGCTGCGGCGTGCCGGTGCGCTGGCGAGTTCCAGCACAAGCTCGTCTGCGAGCTCGTTTGCAGCTGTGGACAAGGGAAAGGGCAAAGCCGTCGAACCTACCGTCGAGCCCGAGACCGCGTCCACCGTTCCCTTTGATGCTCCGCCAACGCACCGCGCCTACCTCGCCCCCGCCTCACCCTTCCCGAACATCTCCCTCGCGTCCCTCGCCTCCACAGCAGCAACGCGCGACCCGTCCCTCCTGCCCTCTACACCCGAGGCTGTGCGTGCGGCGCTGAACGAGCGTCTCGGCGTGCTCCGCGAAGTGGATGATGTCGTATGGCAGCTAGTGGGTGAGCTGAGCCGGCTCAAGAGTGCGTGGGAGGTCGAGGACGGTGCCGATAGGACCGGAGCATCTGCGGCCGTGTCTGGGGCCGCGTCTCCTGCCCCTACCCCGCCAGTCGCGCGCGACGAGTAACTCCGCCTCATTCAATCCGTAGTATTACGCCTTGTCCGCTCTTCTGCAAGGCCAAAAATGTCATTATTGCATATATGCTGCTCACGCGGGTCGCCTGTACATGTTGGGTGTCTTTCCCCTTTGTCGCTCTTCTTCTAGTCCTCGCGGTCGAGGAACGACGCGCCGCGGTCGCGCTCAATCTTGCGCGTAAAGTTGTCGTACCAGCGCTGGAAGACGCTGAGTGGGATGGGAGTCTCGGGTCTGTGCGTTAGCAACTCGGGTTCTCGGGATCTCGGGACCCACGTGAGCTTGACCTCGCCACCAAAGCTGTGGAGGTAGTTGAACAGCTGTGTCCGTCAGCTAGATGACATACGACGGCCCTAAATCCCAGCTCACATTCTTGACAATCTTCTCGGCGACCTTGCCAATGTCCACCCTCTGCGCGACCTCCTGGTTCTTGCCGGCGGCCGAGGCGGTCTTGAGCGAGTTGCCGATGTTTTCGACCACGTCGGCGGCAGCGATCTCAATACCCAGCTGGGCGGGGCCCGCAGCAGTGGCCGTGGCTGGAGAGATGCCGGCGGGCAGGTGCGGGCGGACCTTGTAGATGGAGGACGGGCGGGCGTTGGTCAGACTGCGCAGGGTTGATGGTTAACAGAGAGTGCGGGCTGGGGTAACGGATAAGAAATGTGGATACCCACGTTCCAAGGGGAAAGTACTCGCCGCCAGGCCAGGCAAAGTGCACTGTCGCGGCGTAGCCTTCGGGGAAGGGGACTGGTGTGGGGTGTTAGTTGGAAAAGCGCGTGTGACGCCCAACGAACGCACCCGTGCCAAGAAGGAAGACGGTCAAGTGGTTGATCTCATACGGCTGCTCGAGGGGGAAGACAAAGTGGGTCTCATCTCTGCTTGTCAGCCGTGTTCCGTTGCGTGTCCTGAACAGTCTGACGACACCAGCACTCGCAGTCCGCTGGCCACGGTCTTGGCCACGCAATGTTGACCTGGAGCTCTAGCGAAAACAACACCACACCCACATTTGCTGTAAGTTTGTTTGCCTGGTCTTGTCAGCTGAGCTGTATATTTTCAGTACATGCGTGTACGTACACCAGACGGCCTGCGACAATGGCGCCGAACATTGTGTGGAGTGGGAGGTCAATGTGAGGTTTGTGGAACAGAAAAGGCCCAGCCGCGACCCCGGTATGATGAGTAGAAAGAATCTGGGCGTATTCCGTTCCTGACTGTCAACTCGAAGGTGTCCGTCCCTTCAGCCAAATGACGACACACTACTGCCCCGCCGCGTCCCCTCCAGTGGCAACATGTTGCGCCAAGCTATTCTCTTCTCTCCACAAGGCTACATACCACCTCGTATCTAGGAACCAGCATATCCCAGCAATATGAGGGGCCACGCCGTCGAACGACGCTTACACGTTCGCTTCGGCGGCCCGACGGTCTCGGGCGCCGGACGATGATGCTTCATCGCCTTTGACCGTCACCGAGAGCCGAGGAGGGGGACACACGCGGGCAAGGTGGCCGCCGGGCGCCAGATGCCATATGTAAGGGTGTCCTCGACTTGTTGCTGTGTTTACACCTCTTCATCATCTGCACACATCACATCACCCACCCACACACATTGTCTCGCTCTGGTCCGAGAATAACATTTCAGACACGGTCAATCTCAGACACTCTGGTACTCTGGAGCATCTCGCCAAACCCAGGCACAGATCCAGTCAACGGACGCCGCACCCCCAGTCGCCGCCCCCGTCGCTGCGCCGGCCCCTTATTGCCCAACCTGGGCATCCCGCACCGCCATCGCGTTGGCCATATCTATCGTCCATCCACCATCGTCCAACAACAACAACAACAACCACCTTATCCTTCTACTTGAATTGTTTAATTGACACTCACAACACTTCAAGCGTCACACACGCGAACCCCCCCCCCCCCCCACGCACACACACCCGCAACATGGGTTTCACTTCCGAGCTGCGCGACCACCTGCTGGCACAGCCCAAGAGCTTCAAGAAGAAGAAGGAGTACGACCTCGAGGAGATCCTTGGCCGCGGTGGCTTTGGCAAGGTCCTCAAGGCAACATGGAACCCTCCTGACGGCGAGAAGAAGGAGGTCGCTCTCAAGTGAGTTGTGCTTGCTCGCTGGCGACGCGATCGTGCCGGCAACGCTTCCCACGTCGCGCAGACCGTCGGTCATGGTGGCGGTGGTGCCATTGAAACGCGCACGCGCGTCTGTGCTCGGTCCCCCTGTCTGGCCACCCTCAAACGCCATCACCAGCACGAACACGCAGTGCAATGTCACTGCAGCCTTTGCTGGACATTCTGGTGTCCAGCGAACTGGAGGCGGGCACATGCCGAGGGCTGTCACCTGCGTCGCCCAGCTCCGAACTCTCCGGAACACCCTTTTGCTAACCCTGTAACAGGATCATCCCGAAGAAGCTGGTCAAGGACCCGGCAACGATCATGGACGAGATCAACGTGCTCAAGGATCTCGACAACCCCCATATCGTCCACGTCTGGGACCACTTTGAGTCGCGCGACAAGTGCGTATCTGCTGCGAGGATGGAAACGTCCGAGCTGCGTAGGCTGCGGGGGAGGGGCACAGGGACTGACATGCCAGATACTACATCGCGTTCGAGCTGGCTATTGGCGGCGAGCTCTTTGACCGTATCACCGAGAAGGGCCGCTTCACTGAGAAGGACGCTGCTGAGTGTATCCGGTGAGTCGAGCGGCGGACGTTGGACCCGACTTTGCTTTGCTGACGCCGCTCTCAGCCAGGTCCTCGTAGCAACGTCCTACCTCCACAGCAAGAACATTGTGCATCGCGACCTCAAGCCCGAGAACATCTTGTACAAGACCCGCGACGAGAGCTCGCCCATTGTCATTGCCGACTTTGGTATTGCCAAGCACCTTGACAGCGCCGATGAGGAAGTCACTTCCATGGCCGGCTCGTTTGGCTACGCCGCCCCCGAGGTTCTCCTCGGGAAGCCCCACGGTCTCAAGGTGGACATGTGGTCCATTGGTGTCATCACCTACACTTTGCTCTGTGGCTACTCGCCCTTCCGCTCAGACGACAAGAACGAGCTCATCCGCGAGACAACCAAGGGTAAAGTGACCTTCCACGAGCGTTTCTGGAAGCACGTCTCTGAGACTGCCCGTGACTTTATCCGCCGCCTGCTCGTCGTCGACCCCAAGGGCCGCATGTCGGCGGCCGAGGCTCTCAACCACCCATGGATGAAGGGCTCGGACGGCGAGGACTACGACCTGTCGGCCAACATTCGCGAAAACTTCAACCCGCGCAAAAAGTGGAAGGACGCGTTCCGTGTCATCCAGGCCAGCAACAAGTTCAAAATGGCCGCAGCGGGCGCGGCACACCAGGCAAAACCCGAGCCGCTCGACACCGACTCGAGCGAGTCGGAGGGGTTCAGGACAGCCGAGTCGGACGAGGACACCAAGGTGCAGGGCGCCGGCACCGCCCGCAAGGCTGGAGGAGGCGGCGGCCTGGCAGGGCTTGTGGGCCAGGCAAAGGCAAAAGCCGCTGCCGACACTGGCCTCGAGGCCTCGGTCCAGAGCCTCAAGGTCGAGTAATGCCGCGTGTGTAGGATCGTGTCTCCCCACTCCATCTGCTTGTTAGAACCTCTTGCGTGTTAGGTAGGGTTGATTTAGGATGTACAGTATTAGCTATAGCGGGGGTGCATGTTTGCCTGTTGCCGGGAGACCTGTGGTCCAAGTCCCCAGTGGCGCTGAAGTTGCCTGTGAGCATGAAGTTGTGGTTAGTGCTTCCTCCCGCACACATCTTGTCTCCCCGGGACAACCCTGGGCACACTGCCATGGCAGCGTGGCAGGCAGGCGACATCACAATGGTCATGGCTGCATAATCTACTGGCCGGCAAGCTTGGTAAGGGCCGCGGCGACGTCGGTCTCTGACAGGTTGTCGAGGCCAGCCTGCTGCTCGACACCGCGCTCTGGAATGTTGTCAGCTTGGTGCGCCTGTAACCCAATTCAAAGTTGCCTGTTCGTGACGGCCGTTGTGGGAGACCAGAGGAGGGGAGTGGAGGAGACGGTACCCCAAGGACGACGAAGAGACAACTTCGTCATCCAGGAAAGTCGGCTCGCTCGCTGTGAAGCCGCCCGTCCTCGACCCAGATCCACCACCACCACATCGCCCAGCTCCGCCGATCCTACTTCTCCATAGTCTTCCCAACGGCGCGGCAACCCTCACTCCCTTACTCACCGAAGCGAACGAACGCGCGGGGGGAGACACCCTGGGCCTCACGGATGAGGACCTTGACGTCGGGGTTGGCCGACTTGAGGGCCGGGTACGAGGCCTTGATGAACTGCCTGCAAAGGTGTCAGCTGCTATTTCGACTTCTGTAGCTGATCCACAGGGCAGGGTGCGGTCGAAGCGGAGTGGGACATGGGCAAGCTCGACATGATGGTGGTGCACTCCAGCTCGCGTATGCCTTTCCTCCCCTTTTCCGTTGCGTTCTGCCGCTTGCCCAGTCGCATGGACTCACCTGACACCAGCGGAGGCGGGCGAGGTCTGGCAGAGGTGCAGGCGGAGCTCCTTGACGGCCTTGGGGAGCTGCTTGAACGACATTGTTGTTGTTAATATAGGGCGGTAGATGGCACTCTCTCCAATGGGTATTCGAGTTGAGGACGTTGTGGTTGGAGGGGAGGAACGGCCAGAGGGGGGGTGGACGGAAGTATTCTCGCGTGGTAAATCCGTGGCTTCCGTGTGGCACTTGGGACTCGTAACGCCAGCTGATACGAATGGAATGGTAATGATGCATCGATGCACATGTAGATGTCTTTCTCGAGGCTCGGCTGCGTCTGGCGTATCTGGGGATCTGGGGAGTGGCAGGGAGCAAAATAGGTAGTATTGCCTGTGTTTCCTTGGGCACATACTCGGGCACATACTCCCATTTGCTGACGGGAGTGGGGTGAGTGCGGTACCACTGGCCGATCCGCCTCTGGTATTTTGCTTCTGCGCCCGCTCCAAGCTGCAAGCAACCTAGAGAGAGGCATCCTTCCCAAGAGCGAGGAATTGTGCAAGCCTTGCAATGCAATAATCCTTGCGAGCTTTGCAGTCTTGCAAGTACCCTTGAGGCCAAGTTGGGGGAGCGATCGGAAATGCACAGTGGGGTACAGTGGGTGCAAAAAATAAAGAAAATATGCCCAACACAGCGATCTGTTTGTGGCATCTGGGGTAGGGGCACAGGAAGAAAAGCAGAGGCGCAGAGCCGGGAGGCCGTTACCTTAGCATAGCATTGTGTGGTTGCAGTTGAACCATACACAACACCTGCGCACCCGCTCCCAAGACTCCCCTCCTCACTAAAACCACCCACCCACCCACAGTCGCAACCTAAAGCGATCAAAGTAAACAAATGGGCTCGACCCAGCCTGGCATTCCCAGAGGACACTCGACAACAGTCTGGGCCCGTCGGACGCGTCGTCTTCGTCGCGTCCAACGGCCACCTCCCCATCCGCAAGGCGTCGCCTCCCACCCACCTTCCTTCCGCACTCAAGCGTGCACGCCGACACCTCCCTCTTCTGTCCTACCCCTCTCCTCATCTCTGGAATGGAAGCTGGCCAGATCCAGACGTGTACGGCAGCAATGGCCGCAGCGAACCCCGTGCTCCTAGGCTTGACGATGTACCCGCCCCCCCGCGCGTCGTCGCCCGCCCTCTCGGACTCGACTGTTTACTGGGACGACGACCCCAGCTCATCTAGCGACCAGCAACTGCCATCCAGCTCCCGCTCCACTTCGGCTTCTTACACTTCTGGCGCGTATCGACGAGTCGCTCAGTCCGTGTCGACAGGCAGCGTAGACTCTTGGCCCCGTGCCTATTCTTCCAACACAAGCTCCCCCTCTCTGGCCCTCACCGGCCCATTGGCCTCGACAACGTCTTCTTCCAGTTCACTGGCTCTGTCCACCTCCCATACCTCTACTTCTCCTCGGTCCCCACCAAGCTCACTCCCAAGCTCTAGCGCCCTGCCCTCCAGTTCCTCCGCCACATCCTCGAGCGCAGCCACATCGGCGGTTCCATCTCCTCCTCTGGTGCCCTGCTTCTTGCGGGGACTGTTTATCCTTTGTCCGCGGCTTTACATCGCACCATCGATGACTCAGGGTTTACTCTGGACAGTCCCAACTGGACGGAAAGGGGACCGGAGTACTCGTACAAGCCGTGCGATTCGGAGTGCACCAAGGTCCACAGATGCGTGAATTCCACTCATGTTCACCGTACCTACGTGGAGTTAAGCGCATCATCCAACTATGGTGAGGGTCAGGCGGTGGCTTGCGCGAAGCTCTGGGCCCACAACGTCTGTGAGGCGTGTGACATCGGCTCGCTCGTCCAGCTCATCCTCTTGCCGGACCGACTCAAGGTGTCCCTCGCCGCTATCAAAGCCAGGGAAGAGGAGCAGGCTCAGAAGGCGGGCAAGGCCTACGGTGACACGATCACCGAGGACGAGGTAAGTTGCCTTGCGTTCATGTTCGACGCTGACAGTCTTTAGGCAGAGGCTCTGCCGAGTCCGCCACTCAGCTCTTCCTCACGCGCCCCGTGACGAAAAGGCCGAGTTTCTCTTTGCCGCCTTGGAACGCTTTATCGACACGCGTGACAGGAGCCTCATTCCCGACCTCTTTGCGTCCACCGACGCGTACCTCGACCCAGCGTTCTCGTCGCCGCAACAGCGATACGAGAACGTGCGGGATCGAGTTGAAGCAATCCGCACGTCTCTTGACTTCGTTCATCAGATCTCCTCCATTGAGGGTGTCCTGTGCGGATTCCCCCTGCACCACCTCCACAACGTTGAAAAGACCACTCTGTGGCGTAATCTTGGCAAGGGTGGCGGCTATGGCGGCACCTTCGACCTTGTCGTCGCCGCTGTGGAGGTCGAGAACTCGACGGTGGCGAACAAACGTGAGGTCGTCGATGCGATCGGTCGCATGATCGAGGTGACCACCAAGGTGCACACCGCGTATCAGCCAGGCAACCGCACGTCGCTCAGCGCCGCCGAGCAGAAGGAGGTCATCGCCGAGGCCGATCGTCTCGATTCGGCACTGTACGGCACTCACCCCGTTAACAAGGCCACCCGGGAGCGCTGGCAGCAGGTAGCTTTGGCGCCTCACCTTCCCAGCATCGACACTGCTCTTGCGTCCTACGCCCCGGTGCCTGACGAGAAGGACCAAGTCGACGCTCTGCTCCCCCACCTCCCGGCGTTCATGGAAGTGATGAGAGAGCAAGCGTGAGTAGTCAGAAGGCGTAGCCGTTTGCAATATAATTTGAGTGTAAGGCTGAACGTGGCAGCGCGATCTCCGAGACAGAGCTGCCAGTCAACCACAAGGGCAATTTTGTCTCATTGTGGTGGTCTAGGGAGACTAACAAGGAGGACCTCCTCACGCTCGCGATCAGGGCACTCCGGCGAGCAGAAGAGGCTTGTGACGAGGATGAAGACAACAACGAACACAACTCTCCCCTGGGCGTCGTCTTCATGTGCTTTTGCACTGGCTTGAGTATGGCGACCGCGATCTCCTCTCCGGTGAGTGCGCAATAATATGCATAATTTCTTACCAACAGGCCTACGCATCAACTTCATGATGACGGTGCACCATCCACTGCGTCCGACCCTCATCGCCCATACACGTCATCACTCTAGATTCTGCTTTGGCTGGGACAGGAAATTTCCCACTTCCCTTTCGCAATTTCGGAGCGACACGGTCAATGCGAGGGTGGAGTTAAAAGCTGTCCGACTTTTTGGTGCGTTCGTGGCGGTTTTCGACGCTTGTCTACATCTTCCAGTCCTCACGGGGCCCGTCGCAAGCTCTTCTAGATCGCCTGGCCACCAACGAGCTCTCTCCCGCTGTCCTCCTTCCTGACTTCGCCTTTCCCCCCCACGTGCGCCAAGCGTACTTTAGAAATGGTCTGAAGAGGTACGAACTCTCGCAGCTCTATCCCGAGCGCACCCTCGTTGCTACGAGGCGTGAACTTGTATTTGTGACCAAAGAGTCAGAGTCATGTACAAAAGCCGACTCCACTTCATCGAGGTTCTCGCAAACTCGCTGGTAAGTTGAAGTACAATGCTTCAAGCGCTGACTGGTATGTAGTCCCGTCCCACTAGCGACTTCTACATGCTGTCCAATTCCGAACTGCTCGCCCTTGGCCGAGAACACAGCCACCACTTCGGAGGTACGCTGTGAAGGATGAGGTTGGAAAGAGTATCAGGCTGCATTTTGTGAGGGGCTTGCCAAAACCGTGCTGACATGGCAGAGGCGGGAGAGCTTCCCGACAATTGCTACACTGGACTGGCGAGGCGGGTGCTGAAAGTCCTGCAACACTTCAACTAGGACAGGGGCCTTCGCTTCAAGCTTCGCCAGGTCGTGGCCGCCTTGGAGCGTTCTCATTTCCACAATCTTATACGGGCCCTGCAGCCTGTATTTCGGCCGCCGCCCCTCTGAGTGGTTGGTACAGTACATATCCTGAAGACAAACTCTCGTCCCGCAGAGCCCACAGACTGATTACCTCTAGGCGCCTAGTGCCATCGCTGCGGCTTTATTTTTGAGCAAGGGCCGCACCACTATTACGCAAACCAGCCCTACCACATCAACGGAGGGGGCCACATAATGGGAAACCCCGTGACCGATGCTGTCTTGACGTTCCAGGTGTGGCTGAAGGAACGCCTAGGCAGCATAAACCCCACGGTGCCTCATCTGATCGGATGAAGTGAGTTCCTTGTCAAAACCATTGCTAACTGTTACCATTAGCTGCGCGCTCCGATCTCATACAGCTGTACTACCAGAACGTTGTCAACCTTCTCGGTGGTCTCTTTGAAGGCGCAGAAACACTTCAACCAGGACAAGAACACTCATGGCATGACCGGCTTTGGCCCAAGAGCCTGTGTTGCCCTAGTCCCAACGATAGAGATGTAAATCCCCCTGCACGAGTCGCCACCCGTAGCAAAACGGACGAACCAGCCTCTTGCAGAGCCCGAAGACTGATGATGCCGGCATGGGGTTCCAGCGTACCCGTGTACTGTAGCTTCATTCAGGAGCAAGCGGCCATGCCACATGAACGCATGAACGCAACGAACGCCACATGTTCGGCGAGTGCGGAAATTACCCCGCCCCTCCCCCGCACCTCTAATCGCACGCGAAATTCGGTGGCAAGCTGCCCAACGCAGAGTTGTCGTGTTCGTTTGTCTCCACCAACCTTCAACCTACATCACAAAAATGGGCGAGCCTCTTACCTTCAAGGGATCCCTTGCCGGCCACGCCGGCTGGGTCACCGCCATTGCCACCTCGTCGGAGAACCCGGACATGATCCTCACCGCTTCGCGTGGTGAGTACAGCAGAAAAAACGCAGTTTTGGGAGAGAGAAATTGACACGACCGTGCAGACAAGACCATCATCGTCTGGCAGCTTTCGCGCGAGGAGGGCTCGTTCGGCTTCCCCAAGAAGATCCTCCACGGCCACAACCACTTCGTCTCGGACGTCGTGATCTCGTCGGACGGCCAGTTCGCCCTCTCGTCGTCGTGGGACAAGACCCTCCGTCTCTGGGACCTCAACACCGGCCTTACCACCCGCAAGTTCGTCGGCCACACCGGTGACGTCCTCTCGTGAGTAGCAAAAAGGCGAACCAGCAGGGTACCTGGGTCGGTTCTGGGGGCGGGCGTGCAAAAAGATGGTCCCCATCTCGCTGGCGTTCGCACCCAGTTTCGATACCTGGTCCCTGCAGTTTGGCCAAAAGTTGGTGGAGGGTGATTTTTCTGACAACGAATAGGGTCTCGTTCTCGGCCGACAACCGCCAGATCGTCTCGGCTTCGCGTGACCGCACCATCAAGCTCTGGAACACCCTCGGCGAGTGCAAGTTCAACATTGTTGACGATGGCCACTCCGACTGGGTCTCGTGCGTCCGCTTCTCGCCCAACCCCGTGATCCCCGTCATTGTCTCGGCTGGTTGGGACAAGGCCGTCAAGGTGAGTTTCTCCATCCCCCCCACGCCAGTCCTCTTCATGGGACATGATGCGATCTATTATATTTGCTACTTCAGAGGGCGAGGCCCGATGAGACCAACTTTCCACCAAGATCTCTGATCACCCATCATGAAAACTACGGCTTTTGAAAAGTGGAACTTTTTGTGCTGACAGCATTTTTCTTAGGTTTGGGAGCTTTCCAAGTGCAAGCTTAAGACCAACCACTTCGGCCACACCGGTTACATCAACACCCTCGCCGTCTCGCCCGACGGATCGCTCGCCGCTTCCGGTGGCAAGGACGGCATCACCATGCTCTGGGACCTCAACGAGGGCAAGCACCTCTACTCGCTTGAGGCCGGTGACATTGTCAACGCCCTTGTCTTCTCGCCCAACCGCTACTGGCTCTGCGCTGCCACCGCCTCGTCGATCAAGATCTTCGACCTCGAGTCCAAGTCGATCGTCGACGACCTCAAGCCCGACTTCAACGAGCTCTCCGAGAACGCCCGCAAGCCCGAGTGCACCTCGCTCGCCTGGTCGGCCGACGGCCAGACCCTCTTCGCCGGCTTCTCGGACAACCTCGTCCGCGTCTGGTCGGTCACCGTTTAAGCTCTTGTACATTTTGCATGCAGGGGATGACGGATTAGCCAAAATTGCTGGCTTCGTGGAATCTTGTATTAGTAGCATGACATTCGTGACACGCAAGCTGGTCCGGAAGCTGCTCTCGAAAGATGCTGGTCAGAGGGGCTGGGTCTTGCTCTTGCTATCACGTATGTGCCGGTCTGGCCTCAGGCGTTCTTGCTGCTGGACGCAGCTGCTTGTCTCCCTCGTCGCGGTGTCTTCCTGGCCCCTGGTGCATTCACGTTGGGCTCTGAATGCGTGCATTTCAATGATACACCTCAAGCGACTCTCTGATCTCTCCAACGGCTACGCGTCCTCGTCCTTCTCCATTATACAAGGCAAAATGCCACTCTCCCTCTCTCTCTTGCCGCTATCTACAAGTCGTACTCGTCCGAGTCCGAGTCGTCGCGCTTACGCTGGATCTGGGACGGTTGTCAGCTCTGGGAATTGGTGGAGTGTTATGGAGCTCACAGTGATGCCACCGCCAAGGGTGCGCGTGCCGGCACGCACGGGCGCGGCGGAGGGCTTGGGGGCTGCCGGGGCAGAGACCTGGTGTTGTCAGCGAGCTTCGTTGTGCAGGCGAAGGAGGAGGCATGGACCGGGTCTCCTCGATCCTCGACGAGCGGTGCACACTGACGGAGCGCACCAGCTCGGCAGAGACGTTTCGCCATTGCCCTCTCCCCGCGACTTCATCTGAACCCGGGGTCTACAGCTAGAAGCGACGACCATCACTCTAGCAGCTTGTTACTCACCTGCTCCAGGAGCTGCTTGAGCTGCTCGTCGCTGACCTTGCCGCGAATCTGGCCTCCCTGGCCCATGCGCACGAGAAGCTCCTCGACCTGCGAAGCAAGCTGGGGGCGGGTGAGGGATATACGCGAGACTGCGGCGTCAGCTAGGAAGACGGTAACAAAGCCGATTGCCTGGGATGAAGAGGGTATGGGAAGCTTGAAGAATAAGAGGTGAAGGTTGTGTTGATGACATGCACCTCGGCTTGCTTTCCAAGGTTCGCCAGCCGTGCACCCAGCCCATACAAGGACCAGCACCGACCTCCCACCTCACTTCACGTCCCATGGACCCGTCCTACAGTCGTACTATACTCACGACGCTCGCGAGCCTCGGGCTCCAGCATGGCGGCGATCATGGTGCGCTTCATCTCCTCGCGCTGCTGCTGCTGAGCGGCGCGCTCTTCGTCGTTGCCGCCGTTGCCGCCGTTACCGCCCTGGCCGGGAGGAGGGGCGGGCCGCATGCCTGCTGGGAGTTGGAAGGACATTCTGGATCTGCTGGGTGGGTGTGAGATGGGTGGTTGTGCAACGTCGAAGGTGGGAGATCGTCATCGAGGCCCCCATCATATCATGTGCCTAGGAGTCTGCCACACACGGCGTTTCTGCGCCAGTCGTCGACGGCGGCACTGCGGGCCCCCATCAGCGCGTTCGCAATGACGAATGATGGAGGCAGAGACTGCCCCTGCTAGTTCATGAACACTGCTGCCCTCTATACATCACTTCACTCTTCTGCACCTCCCCCTTTCTCACAACGACCACGCACACATGGACAGGGACGCAGAGACCTCCGCCTCGGCGCCAAAGGAGCGCGGCCCCGTCGAGGACCTCATTGCCAAGCGCCTCAAGCCCTTGAACAAGAAGATTGTGAGTAACCCGCTGGCCTCCTTCTAGTCGAGGCTAACGCTTCTCGCAGATTCGTTTCCGCAACTACCGCCAGCAGGCTCCCGAGTCTCTCAACGCAGACCAGGTCTCCGCGCTCTCTTCTCTCCCGCAGCTCGAGGCTGTGGCGCGCGAGCTCGAGGAGCTCGTCAAGCTTGCCGAGGACGCCGAGCTTGTGGCTGCTGCCCGTGCGCGCGAGATCCGCGAGGCGGCCGACAAGGACTTTGAGTCGCGCGTCTCGACCAGGCTCTCTGGCCACCAGCTCGTGCTTGCCGACAAGATTGCCAACTTCCTCACCCTTCACGCCCTCCTGCACCCTGCCCGTCCCAGCGACCACTCCAACTTGACGTTTGCGCCGCTCACCCTTCCCTTGCGCTTGCAGGACGAGGTGCTGGCGACGGACATTCTCCGCGTCGGCCGCATGTATGACGACCTTGTCGCTGGTGGAGAGGCGGGACACGGTGTCCTCACCGTCCTGTCGACCGGCCCCAGTGGCGGCGACGAGGAAGGTGAGTTGCGAGCCCTCTGATGGCGCCAGACGCTGATGCCTGCAGATGACCGTGTTCACCACCTCCTTGCCATCCTCATTTCGGCCGAGCCCGAGCGTGATACCGACGCCGACACCGAGGTCCAAAGCATGTACCCGGAGCCCGCCGAGTCGATGCGCGACTATGCAGAGTCCGAGGCCATCAGCCATGCTTCTGGATCCCTTACCAACGGCGTCAACGACCCCCAGCGCACCCCCGTCAACCCTCTGCGCGCCTTTGACGACACCCCCTTTGCCAACCTCAGCCGTGACATGCCCCTCAACTTTCTCCAGGAGGACGAGTTGGCACCAAGGCAAGCCGAGCAGGTCGAGGGCCTGTTTGTCAATGTCGGCGTCACGCAGACGTACGAGGTTGTCGAGCCCGAGTCTGCCATCATGGTGAGTTACCGCAAATGCACATGCAGGCAGACTAACTCACTCTTCCAGTCTGAGGCCGCCGAGTCGCTCGCTACCACCCCCGTCCGCGCTCACTCTTCCCTGAACACCATGGACTGGTCGGCCGAGCACGACGACGCCGCCGATGTCGAGTCTGCCTCGCGCCTCGAATCTGCCCTTACCCCGAGCGCGCCCAGCACCCCGGCTCTGGGTCTCACCGACACCAGCGAGGTCGCCGGCGTGACTGCGGCCGTTGCGGCTGTGTCTCTCGAGACTGAGACCGCTCCCGAGGCTGAGGCTTCGTCCGCTTCGGCTTCGGCGCCCGCGACTGGCAACAGCAACCAGCGTAACAAGGGCCGTAAGCCTCAGCGCGGCGGCAAGACCGAGGGCGGCAAGGAGCGCGAGCCCCGTGAGCCCCGTGAGCCCCGCGAGCGCGCACAGGGCAAGGGCAAGCCCAACGCCGCCGCTACCGCGGCCCAGGTCGACGACGACGGGTTTGAAGTCAAGGTCGCGCGTCGCGCTTCCGGGGCGCAGCGTGGGCGTGGTGCCGGTGCCGGTACCGGGGCGGGCCGTGGCCGTGGAGGACGTACGGGCGCTGGCTCTAGCACGCGTAAGTGGTCCGCTACGCTTAATGTTCCAGCAGCTGACGGAATTTGCAGCGCGTGAGGGAGCGGGCGCCAAGACGAACGGTGCCAACGGCAGCAGCAAGGACACTACCCCGCGCAAGCCCCGTGAGCCTAGGGAGAACAAGGAGGGCGGCAAGAAGGAGCAGCAGGGTGGCAGGAAGGACAAGGAAGGCGGCGAGGCGGCGGCTCCCAAGCCCAAGCCGAGCATCTACAAGGCCACTCAGCCGACTGGTCCTGCCTCTGCGCCCCTCCTCTAACGCGCACCCGCTGTGTGAGAGTAGTCATGTAAACAACCCCAGAGATCCAGAGAGAGAGAGAGAGAGTGTGTGTGTGTGGCGAAGACGGACAGAAGTGATATAGGCGACAATCATGCATGGGCGTACCCAGTAGTGAATTCTACATACAAGCAGAGAAAGGAGGTAGTGAGCATTACAGCAGGAGGGTGTAAAGTAGTGGTATTGCTGGAGACAGGCAACATTATCCACGAATGACAAACAGTAACGGGTTTAAGAATCTTGACACACAGTGGCTAACTGTGGAACGACCTGAGTGGGATACACTCAGCCGTAGGGCTGGCCGAGGGGTCCACAGTCGGAAGCGGTGACGACATGGTGACCACTGGCGACGTGATAGACAAGGAGGCTAGACAGTCGGCAATATCGTCGTCTGTCGTGTCGGCAGCATGCACCAATGGTGTGGTGGGGGGCGAAGGGGCTGGCGCGGCGTTGGTTGAGAGAGCTGGGGCCGCGAGGTCGACCTCGGGAACCAGCGAGGGGTCTGGACCAAGCACGTCGAGGTCGAGATCAAAATCAAGACCAAATTCGTCCGGGAGGGCAAGGTCCTCGACTGCCGGTGGAGGGTTGGCGCGGATAGGACGGGTAGTTGATGCCGACGCCGAGGCGGAGCGGAGGTGACCAGCCTTCACCACGGGTCGAGCCGCACTGGTCATGGGACGCGCGACAGACGAGAGAGGGCGGTCAACAGCAGTCGCCGGGCGGGGAGGACGGGTGGCCATAACGGTCGCTGGACGAGTGAGTGGGCGAGATCCGGTCGCGGCCACAGCCGGCTTGACGGTCTTGGACGCAGCCGATACAGAGCGCACGGGGAGTGCTGCGGCCGTGGCTGGTCGTGCAGGGGTGGCAGTGCGAGAGGAAAGTGGTGCCCGAGCCTTGACTCCCATGCGGCCAGGCTTGGCAAGCGTGGTGGCAGGCTTGACCTCTGGCTGCTTTGTCTTGCGGAAGAGAGGGTGTTCCAGTTCATCGTCGTCGCAGAGTGGCACAGGAAGGAACTCGACGAGCTCGGGCTCGGGAGGGGGGCTGGGTGGCGGGATGTAGAACGTCGGGCGCATGTTGCCCAGGATCCTCATCGTCGCGACAGGATCAGGAATGCTGTCGGCCCATGCGGGCACATAAGGGACATTGACGGCCGTAGGTGCTGCGTACTCGATCTCAAACTCGGCCTCGAGTGGTGCGAGCTCTGCCTCCTCGACATCGGCCTCGACAATGCTGTCCAGACTCACTTCCTCCTCCCACCGCGGCGCCGGGGTGTGGAAGCTCAGACTGGCGCTGCCAGTGCTCTCGGGGGTACCACCATGTGACTGCAGGGACGCGCGAGACCGACGGCGTGTGCGCTGGGCACTGGGGAGAGGGAGAGGGGATCCTGCCGGGACACGCTGTGGGCCGGGTGTGCGGAGAGCGCGCTGTGGAGCGGGTGTCTTGAGTACGCGAGAGGGCAAGGGACCAGCGGCCGGCGCCCCACTGCCAGATGGCTTGCAGGTTGATTGGAATAGCCGTTTCGGTCCTGTATGGGGTTAGCTAGTAGAGAGAGAGAAGGAATTAACCCACCAATGTCTTCCATGGGACCATCTCCCTTTGGAGCAAGCACGTTACGGTCCATTGTCTTTGCGCCTAACGCGCGACCCGCCGTGCTGGGACCCGCCTTGAGGGGCCCACCACCGCCGCCGAGACGGACGGGAGTCTTGGATGGGAGGTTGATCCCCGCATTCTCGTTTGTGCGTGCGCGACGGGATGTACCCGGAGGACCGTAGCTGCGGCCCAAGGTGAGGGGTGCTGGTGCGAACATGGGTGTGTGTGTGGGGGAAAGAGTGCAACGGGTGAAATGGATGCGTCCTGGGATGGGTTGTTATTGACTGCCTGTGTGTGTGTGAAGTCAGGCGCGTGCGGCCCAATATCTATTTGACCCACCCCCTTTAAACTGCCACACCCACCGGGGCATACGAAACTCCGCTTTCGATGTACGCCCAGGCAGCCTCTGCACCCGCCTGCGGCTCACACTCTGTGGGCGCAGACGGTGCACGCTGGCGAGCACGCCGGGCTCGCTCGTTAGCTCAGTGCTGCCATCCAAGTAACAACCCGCTCCCCTCCTCCTCTAAAACTACCCCTTCTCCACGGTGCGTTGTACGGGACAGCGACAGCGACAGCAACGGGCAGCGCATTGGTCCGACACCGACTGCCCGTTTTCTGTCGCTCTGCCGTCCTCCTATACACCGAGATCAACGGTTGCTGACAGTTGCCCCGCTCCTCCCCCACCTCCTTTGTTCGACCGCTTTCTATCCTGATTACTCTCGTGTCCGACCCTTGGCACCATGTCGTCCTTGCATGCTGGTCACTATCACACGACCCATTTGCTGCCACCCCTGCTCGCGCTGGTGGGCTTGTTGCTGCCCCGCTTCGTCCTCGTTTCTCGATGACATCTGCCGACGCTGGTCCCTCGACGCCTCGTCGCACTTTCGCCTTTGATCGATTGGTCGTTTCCCACCCTCTGTTCACTCCACCGTCTCTATCTCTCGCCCTCATTGCCCATACTCTGTTCACGCGGTGCTGGATCTGAATCGTCACCGTCCATCCCACATCGGCATCCTCTCACAGCCGACATTTAGCAGCATGGACTCCGCCAAGCTCGCAAAGCTCCAGGCTCAGGTCCGCATTGGTGCGTACCGTGTGAAGGAGAGAGAAGTCGAGCTGCGGATGGCGAGATGCAGTTGGAACGGAGACGTCCTGCTGTGTGTCACCACATCGCCCGTCTTCTCTCTGTCTCTTTCTTCACAAATAACCTCGGGTGTGGGACATGCCGCTGACGCTGGTGCCTGTTCCTCCACCTTCTTTTTCCTATCCTCCGTGTCACTCAACTCTCCAATATAGGCGGCAAGGGCACTCCCCGCCGTAAGCAGGTCAAGAAGTCGGTGACCTCGTCGCAGGGCGACTCGACCAAGATCCAGGCTGCCCTCAAGAAGCTTGGTGTCTCGCCCATCACCGGCGTTGAGGAGGTCAACATGTTCCAGGAGGACGGCAACGTCCTTCACTTCGCTGCCCCCAAGGGTATGTATATAAGTGGTGATCCACTAGGACGTCGCTGACACCGTTTTACAGTCGCCGTCCACGCTGCTCTCCCCTCGAACACCCTCGCCATCTACGGCCGTGGCCAGACCAAGGAGCTTACCGAGCTTGTCCCCGGTATCCTCAACCAGCTCGGCCCCGACTCGCTCGCCAACCTCCGCCGCCTCGCCGAGTCGTACCAGTCGATGACTGCCCGCCAGGCCGCCGCCGCCGGCGAGAAGAAGGAGGGTGAGGTCGACGCCGACGACGAGATCCCCGACCTGGTGGAGAACTTTGACGAGGCCGACAAGAAGGTCGCCGACCTCGAGGAGCTCGAGTAAGGGTTGTTTGCTGCCATCTGCGTGATGGAGCGGAAATAGCATTTGTACCACGTACAATACATAAAAGCCGTACTATCAGATGAGAGTCGAAGGGATATGTCGCAGATAAATAAAACCGAGCACAGCCAGGGGGACTGGATATGCTGATAGCCATGGGCAAGAGCTCTAGGACTGGGCACGTGACCATGCTATGCTCTACGGTGGTGCATATAGTACAACACTACTTCTTCCCCTTGCCCTTGCCACTCCTCTCCGCCTCCCTCTCGGCCTCCTTCTTGGCCTTCATGTCCCTGTAGAGCCCCACAACGCGCTCGCGCTCCGTGTCGAGGATACGCTTCTGTGCCGCACTCAACGGTGTACGGCCCGTCGCGCCCCACGCCGAGCCCGTCGCGCCGGCACCGACATCCTTCTTGATCGCCAGACGCATCTTGGGCAGCTGGGGAGGGGCCTGAACAACATCGTTGACCCTGCGGCGCTGCGACGCCTCGGCGAACTGCACTTCGGGGCGGTTGGGCTTGAGTGCCTCACCCTCGTCGTCGCCAGCGCCGTCCTTCTTGTGTTTGGCGCCGCTCGCCTTGGTCTTGGCGTCCTTGAGGTCGTCGACAGTGGATCCAGCAGGCATCTTGCCCTGCGCAATGGCCTTGCGCAGCTCCTTGGCGTCCAGAGCGTCACGGACCATCTGGCCCTTTGCATGCTCGGCAGACTTGATGGCGGCCGAAACCTTGGGACGGAGCAGCGCCTCGATACGGCGGTTGTAGTCGCCCAGCGACTCGTACTGGCCAATCTTGGGCAGACCGTCCTTGCCGAGCTTGCCCTTGCCGTCGCCGTCCTTCTTGTTGGCAGCCTGCTTCTTGGACGCCGGCTCGTCCGACGTCGCCTCGGCGGCCTTGCGCTTGCCCTTGCTACGCTCGCCAGTGTCCTCGGACGTCTTGCGGCCAGCGGCGCGGAACGCGGCCTGCACCTTCATGGCGTTGAAGATGCGGGAAGCGCCCTTTGGCGTGTCGTCGCGCAGAGAGGCGGACGAAGGTGCATTGTTGTATCCCCTGGAGAGATGGGTTAGTGGTGCACGCCCAGCTAGATATGGAGAACGACGAGCTGGGAGACGTACTTTGCGAGCCTGTCAGCGTCGCGGACCGAACGCTTTGCGCCTGGGATTGTCAGTTGCGGTACCGTGTGCGGTCCAAAATACAACTTACGTTTGTGAGGCATGGCTGCTGCTGTTGTCGATGCTGGAACACTGCAATGGGTCCTCTAGGCCTCCAGAAGTTATAATCTTGGGTGGCGACAAGCGTGCTGAAATCCTCGGATAAATAACGCAAAATGTGCGAGTGGAAATTCTGATCCACCCATGTCGCGGGTGGAGGTCCTCCAAAAGTTGGCATCTTGCAGCGACAGGTCGATACTATCAACAACAACCAGCGACCATGTTCAAATTCGACTTTGACATTGTGAGTTTTAAGAAATGCACAATGCCCTACTAGAACTGACAGACCAGGAGGACGCAGACGACGAAGTCGTGATCCCCCAGACCGCCGCCCAGGCCAGTGCCGCGGGCTCGTGCAGCAACGCCGCCGCTCAGACGAGCCGTGCTCCTCCTCAGCCCAGCCACAGCATCTCGCTCGCAGACCTCGTAAGTAGCTTAGAAATGTCCGGCGACTGAAGATATTATCCAGATCAAGACCCTCCCTGCGTCCTTTTCGTACACCCCGCTCGCCCACCCCTGCGGCGCAGAGCGCGCCCCCCTCCTCCGCCGTGACCTGTTCGACGCGCGGTTCCAGCTCGCGCAGGACGGCCACGACGCCGAAGACGAAGTCGAGTCGCCCGATGCCGAGTCCACTCCCAAGGCCGCCGCTTCGGAGGAGCCCAAGGAGGGCGCCGAGTATGTCGATGCCGACACGGACCTCGTTCCGGGGACATACGAGGGCGGCCTGAAGAGCTGGGAGGGTGGCCTGGACCTCGTCGAGGTTCTGGCTGCCAACGTTGCTGGCGAGGCGCAGGGCGACCAGGACGAGGACAAGCAGATCGCCAACTGGGTCCGCGGTGCGCGTGTGCTCGAGGTGAGTCAATTGGAAGGGTTCATGTGGCGCCAATAGCTGACAACATGTCCAGGTCGGCTGCGGAACCGGTCTCCCCAGCGCATACCTCCTCCGCGCCCTGCTCTCGACCCCTGCCACGGCAGACCAGAAGCGCACCACTCTCCATTTGCAAGACTACAACCTCCCCGTGCTCTCGCTTGTGACCCTGCCCAACCTCGTCCTCGCGGCTCTCCGCGCCCTGCCCGCCGACGTCCTGGCGCAGGCCACCACGACCGATGTCGAGGTGATCCAGGAGATTAATGACGACGACGAGGATGCCGACGAGTACGCCGACGAGGCAGAGGACAAGTTTGGCGACGACGACGAGGAGAAAGGCGCTCGTGAGAGGCGGACGCGCGGCGAGGTGGACGGGTTCGACGGCCGTCGTGCAGGAACGCTCGACCTCACCCCGGAGCTCCTTGCGGCGTTCACAAAGGTGTTGGAAGAGCGTGGTGTCGACCTCCAGTTCACGTATGGTGACTGGAGCGGCATGGCAACCACCCTCGCAGACGAGGTGCCCTACTCGCTCGTCCTCACCGCCGAGACCATCTACGCAGAGGAGAGCCAGCGTGCGCTCCTGGACGTCCTCCAGACCTCGGCGCGGTACACTGCTCCTCTCAAGGAGACGGCTCGTGCGCCTGCCTCTCTCGAGGCCTCGCTCGACTCCCTCAGCGTGCGCGACGACTGGGCGCGCCAACCGCTCTCGGCCGAGACACCGGAGCCGGTCGTCCTTGTCGCTGCCAAGGTGCTCTACTTTGGCGTCGGTGGTGGCCTCGACAGCTTCCTCGCACAGGTGGCTGCTGAGAAGCAGGGATGGAGTGTGCGTGTGCGCGATTGGGTCAAGGGTGTGGGCCGTGCCGTTGTGCGAGTGGGGTGGCAGGCTTAGGTGTTGTGTAGCGTAGATTCTATAGAATGGAGGGACATAGGTGTATGGGTCAAGTGCGCATGTTCACGTACCGAGACAAGCGCCACCGAAGCGCTGGGATAGAACCCAGGACACTGTTGGAGGGCTTGGAAGTTGACATCCCCGCGGACGTCTCGCCTGCCACTGACTGGCAGCGCCGAGACCGCCCCCACGCCGTCTGTCATACGCATATACGCACCCCCCCACACCGTGTGGCTTGACTGAACCTCGAACCCTCTCCAGCGATCCAGCGATCATCATCCTTGTTCCCCCATATCCCCACAGCGATGCGCCAATATTCCCAGTCGCGTTCGCCCGCGCGGCACGCCCTGCATACAGTATCTACACTGTCCCGTCGTCCGTGCCCCTTCTCTCGAGATCTGTTTGTACCCCGATTGACCCACCCTATACCCAAAGACCCAAAGACGACGGCACAGTGCTCATTCCGCCCCCGTCCACCAAAAACCACCGATCGGTGTGATCGTCATTAACGATCAGCACAGGATCACACCAGGGTGCAGCCCTTCCCGGTGGCCGGTGGCCCAGTGGCCAACGGGCCACCTCTTCCAGCGCTCAGTGGCAGGTGCATGAGGGGCAGCGCGACCGTTGTACTCGTAGCCATTGATACGTGTAGTCACGAAAGCATGTCGGAGAGGGGACGCGCAACAGAGCAAAAACGGAAGCGGAAGCCGTTTAATACCAACCCTTTAGAGCCGAACGCAAGCTGATAATGGCACCCATTAGACTTTGGTCACCCAACAATTTCTTCTTTTGTAAATCAGCCTGGCCGCGACCCATTTCCGTGCCACATCGCCACATCGCGTACATCGCCCCTCCTTGCTGCTCTTCCCTCTCGCCCCCCTCCCTCTCCCTCATGGCCCCATTGCCCATGGCCCATGGACCGTTTCCTGCTCTCACACGCCTCGGTACCGGCCAGGCGACCCGGCGCCAGCGGCTGTCCCTGGAGCATCTGCCCGGGTGCCCGGGTGGCGCAAGGACGCATTTTTCCGCTCGCCGAGCGCACGCAGGGACCCAGCGAGGCGGAGAGGCGAACAGGCGGTGGCCACGAGGCCGACAGTGGTCAGAGCATGGGAGTGGGCGGAACGATGTGGCGGCGACTTCAAGTGTGGAGAGGTGGGGACATGGGTGGGCCGGGGGTGGGTTGGCGGACTGACGAGAGCTCACTTAATCACTTGTGTACTAGTGTCATGGCACTCTATTCTCGCCAGCTCAGGCTGGACGCTAGGATAAATATTGGACATCGGATCATCGACGCTGCCCTCTGTCCGTGTGGCAAGTCGTTGTATGCGACTGGGGCAGCAAGAGGACGCAACTTGAGCCAACTGACATCTATAGCTGTCATTGCCCGGAGATAGGTTCCGACAAGTCTCTCGTTAACAGTGCTCCTCCGACGTCGGAATGACGTTGGAACCGGGACTGGATGCCGTTTCCCGCGACGTTCCCGCGTTCTGATCCTGCTGTTGACCCGCATGAACCATATTGTCTGCCTAATGCCTGCCCTACCGTACTCGAGTTGACAATGTCACCAACACTACGGCGGCCGGAGGACTGCTTAAATTAGACACAGAGGACGAGCGCTGGGACGTGGCGTTGATGGTGCCACACATCGTCTCCACGCCCCACAAAAGCATTGGCATTCAGAAGGCATCTTGCCTCCATAGCCTTTGGCCCCTGTGGCCTGTGGACATGGGGGCGACGTCGTACGTGATTCCCGTGGTTTCCACCACCCCGCGGCATAGAAGACGTTACCGACCCGCTGGCCCCATGCGTGCGTCCCTTTTCCCTTGTCCCTTTCCCCCGGAGCTTACAGGCCACAGGTCCGGCACACGCCTGCTCTGTCTACTGCGGGCACACTGCAAACGAGGTAGAGAGAGAGGAGACCCACAACCGCCGTCGGCGCTAGAACGCGATGTGCGAGATGTGCTCCCGGCCCCCAGACACCACGAAAGGAAATCAGGATTGTCGGGTTGCCCACAGGCCACAGGGGCCAGTTTTGGGCTTTGACGTAGGGAAGACGCACAAGGGAAAAACGTTCAGAGACAAGACAGCCGGGGCAACTGCAAACCCTTTGGCGAGGCGTCACGCAGATCGTCTGGCGGCCGGCCGTCCATCCCGGTCCATCATGCGGCGGCGACGTGGGTAGGCCTCTGCAGGCGCATGCAGGCCGGCGTGGCTGAGCGAGCAGAGCCCGCAGACGGTGGGGCGAGAGGAGGGAGGGGGGGGGGGGGGGGGGGATATGGGGGCGAAGGGGAGGGACAGGCATGGTCCAGAAGAGGATGGACGTGTAGGGCCCAGAAAATTAATTCTTCGAATGTGGCAATGACCGTCGCCGTACGACACAACGCCAAGGACAGTCACCATTGTCAGTCATCAGCCTGCCAGTGTCACCTGGCCACACACCTGGCTTGCCAAGGCGCGTACGCGCGTGTCACCTTGTGGGGTGGCACTGACGCTTGGACTCTGTTGCCTTGTGGCCTTGTGGCTTTGCTGGGTACCTCTGAGCGGTTTCGGATCCAGGCAGAGGGGGGGCAAGGTGATGGTGTGACGATGCTAGGGAGACTTAACCGGTGTTGCAAGCTGTGTCTCGAGACGGTTCTTGCACCAGGCAATCAGGCGAGAGCTGGCGGCCGACGTTGTTGCTCAGTACCGTTACATGCCCCGCTGCGGGTGATGGGTGAGTCTGCGATGATGCGAGCAAAAGGTTTATTTGATGGACCCCAGGGGCGGACATCTGAGCGGCAGGCACGGGTGCGATGTGCGACACGAGGTGACACCCACAGCGCGTCTGGAGCGAGTTTGCACAGCTGCGCAAGCCGCAGACAGAGACTGTCCGAACAAGCCAGCGCGCACAGTACAGAAGGGGCTGCAGCGCTGCAGGCCTCACACGGCCACAAAGAGTTTCGGCCTCCCATCCTCCCTCCCGAGGCTGGGCGTTTGGCAGGCGTCCCAGAGGCGTTTGCAGGAATTGCAGGCGGTGTGGGTGTCTTGTCGTGACCTGAAGGGTCCGATGGGAGCAAGTGCGGCGATTCCAGAGCAAGAAGGTGGGTCTCTCTCTCGGACACAAAACGGCCCAGCACAGTGTCCGCACACATATCCCTGGCTGGCACGGTTCCTTGTGGCCTCGAGGCCTCGAGGCCTCGAGCAAAGCTTTCCTGTTCCTCAGTGGACAGGGTGTGTGTCTGCTTCTTCCTCGGTAGCTGCAGTGTGCACCTCCTGTGCACCAGCCGAGCAGAGTAGAGTTTGAGCAGAGCCGTGTGGTGCCTACGTGACCGACGATGGCATGTTCTCCTCCGGCCCGTACGCCGCCGTTCTTTACCAGACATTTGGGCGTGTTCCTTGTTGTGCGGGGGGGGGGGGGGCAGTCGGCTGCTGCGTGGCTGTTTCTTCTCGGAATTCTCGGTTGTGGAGAGCATGTGCCTTGCTGGACCTTCTCCTGAGGGCCAGAGGGTGTGGGTGAGTGACAGGCATGACAGGTCACCCCTCTGTACCTCTGTGGACCTCTGGAATGGGCGCGTCAAAAAGGTTGCACAAGGGGACGAGGAGGTTTTGCAGAACCGGCAAACGACGACTTTCACAGATCGCACAGACAGCCCAGACAGCCCAGACACGGCACCAGGTCAGCCAGGTCTCGTTGCTCCCCTTTGCTCGTCCCTCTGTCCATCGCTCTCTCCCATCTCTCTGCTCTGTCCGTCGCCAAAACGAACACCCCGTCGTCTCAGGTGCATCCCCAGCTGCCCTCGCTGCCCTCGCCGCCGCCACCCGCAGCAAAGCCCTGCTCCTGCGCGCTCTCGCTCCTCGCCTATAGCCTACTCACTGTGGTCGTTGGCACACGCTCTGGCTGCTGGCTGCCTCAGTCGCCGGGACATCAATCCGACAACCAGACAGGCGCACCGACATCCTTTCGCTCGTCGGCATTCTCCCATTCATTCTCCCCCCCTTCCTCGATAGACCTTCTTCTTCTTCTCAATAGACCATTCTCCCCCAACCTCATCGTCGCTGTCCAACACACAACAACCACTTCGGCAGTACCTTTCTGCGCGAGTCCCTTCGCCTGGCGCCGCCGCCCACTTCTCCCTTCCTCCACACACGCCTGAGCTAGCAGAGACACCGAGCGCAGACAACTCTTTGCCTCTCTCTGTTGGCCGTCACCCTTCACACCAGGCAGACCGCAACACCAGCTTGCACCCAACTGCGCCTCCTCGTTCAGCCCGCTACACCTTCAACTGCGCGTGTAGCAGTGCCGGAAGCGCCCCGCCGCTACCGTCATCTTTGTCATTGGAAAACCTAGCGCAAGCCCGCGGTACGTCTCGGGAAGGCCAAGTTCCCCCCTCCCCCGTCGATGCTCTGTTCCCCCTCCCACACCCTAATCTTGGGCCCTGCCTTCCCGTGTCCTCGTCCGGATCACTGGGTCAGGTAGTATATCCCACCGCATCCTCATGCATGGGGTGTCCCCCGCTCCCCCCAATCGTTCTTCATTTATCTCTCCCTTCACCACTCCATTCCATCTCACTTCAACACCCTCGCTCCCCATGACCGTGGCCGTGCGCAACAACGACTGACCACCGTCCTAGCGCCCGTCACACCCCTTCCGACCCGCGGCACTTTGGCCATACGATGCCCTCGAGTGTTCGATCGAATCTCCGTGCGCGTCGTCTAGAAGCTGCTGCAAAGGCAGCTGCTCAGCAATCGTTTGGTCTTGAAGACGAGCTGTCGTTTGGCTCTGACGAAGACCTTATGGAAACGATTGGTGAGATTGAACTGCCCGATACGACTACCCCCGAACTCTCGCCAGCCCTGTCCGGCGATAACGTTCGCGTAATGCAGTCGGGTGCCGTCCAAGGAGGAACCAGCGTGCGCGTCAAGACCAAGAAGTCGTCGTTGACGTCGTCGTCGTCGTCGTCGTCCAAGAACAAGGAGATCCGTGTCCGCTACAAAGACAGCAAGGACAGCAGCAGCAGCTCGTCGCTCGCGTCATCTACACACCTCCTTCCTCCACTTCCCCCAGTCCCCTCGGGCTCGACACTGGACCTCCCCACAGACATGTTTGGTGACCGCAGCTCCCCAAGCTCCAGCCATAAGCGTGGGTCTCTCATGGGTGCCTTCAAGGTCAAGGGTCTGCGCAAATGGCGCGACGACCAGAGCTCGCGTACCAGCTTCGTCACGGACACGGCAAGCCAGGCCAGCACCCTCAGCCTGGCCAAGATTACTTCCAACTGTGAGTCTTCGCTTTAGCAGTGTTCCTTTCTGCCCAGCAACCCTCCCGCTGACTCTTGTGTGTAGCATCTCGTCCTTCGTTTTCATCTTCGGTCGTGTACCCCACCTCGGCAGCCGCGTCTCCGTCGTCCAATGTCCCCCACCTCGGACCTCTGTCCCTCCCTTCCCTCGACTCGCAGTCTGACGGTGGTGCGTCTCTGCGCAAGCAGTCGCGCTCCGACTCGTTCGATGTCAAACCCGTTGCCATTATCAACGGCGCCTTGCATTCGTCGCCGACACCATCTTCGGTCGCGACGTTCATCAGCCCGAAGCCGTCCCAGTCCCACTGGGCTTCCAACGGCATCGCTGCTGCTATCCTGCCCGGCTTCCCCGCAACAGTGGGCAGCCTAGAGCCCATTACTGTTTTCTCGGCCTCTGCGGCCAAGCGCCCTCCGTCTTCGATTCTCTCGAGCGGAGGTGAACGCGGCCCCAACGGCTTCCGTGCTCCCTCCACCTCGTCCCGCTGGACCCCTTGCACCCTTGTGTTCACCCAGTTCAAGATCTCACTCGCGCCCGAGGAGGCAGCTCAGCACGGCGGCGACAACGAGCGTACTGTTGCCCACATCCACGTGTTCAGCACCAAGCAGCAGCAGCTCGTCAACGGCTCGATGGGTATCCGCCGGTCAAAGTCCAGCGCGGGCATCAACCCTGACCAGGTTGCACCCCGTGTCGAGGTCGAGCGCCGCACGCTCTCACACGAGAGCTCGGCCACGGTCTGCGAAGACTGCACCGACGTCGACGGCCGCTCGGTTGTGCTCCGTATCCTGTTTGGCCACGAGGACCGCACGAAGGCTGGGAACGAGTGGCTCCTCGAGATGAAGGACGAGTCGCAGCTCTACGAGTGGATCCGTCAGATCAAGAAGACGGCCATCATGATCAAGTGAGTTCAAGTTCATCAAGCAGTCTCTGCTATTCTCGGCCTTGGGAGTTGCGTGGGCAGTGACATGTCGGCGGCCAACATGGGCTGCCGAACAAATTGTGCCTGGGCGTGAACCTAGCTTGCACCGTCTCACATCACAACAATTGGGGTTGCGCCCACATGCTTTGAAGCAGACAGGCGATGGCGTTTGCCATTACCCATCGGGCCGAGCATGACTCCCCTCGTTACCCACTCACTCTACATGGTGAAGTAATATATGACTAACAACTCCACAGCGCCGAAGAGTTGGGTTATGGCCACGCTGTCCGCTCAGCGTACGAAAACTCGAACGTATCGGCCGACGAGCTGGCTCACAAGCTCAGTGTTCACGCGCGTGCCGTGGCGGAGGCGCGCGACAGGCAAGGCCCCGCCGCCGCTTTGACGGCGCGGACCAGCGGACCTGCATCAGCAATTTCTCAGTCCGACGAGCGCCGTGCCTCTCTTGATCTCGCTCAGGGCGTGGCTCTCAACCGTTCACATTCTGCAGATGACGCCAACACTAGAAATGGCGCCCCAGCAATTCCTCGAGCACACCCTTTCGAGACGTCCTCCAACCGCGGCCAAAACGGCACCGCTGTTCGTACTGGCTACACCAACGGCAACGGTCAATCGCTCTACAGCGGTGACCTGTCCACCTCTCCAGGCTTGAACCTCAACGGTCTCACTCTCGAGTCGGGCTTCTCCTTCCCGGCTCCCCCGTCTGCTCTCCCTCCCCCGCGGCGTCCTCCCCCTGTTCCCCGGGCCGAGCCCGCGTCCAACACGACCACCCCCATGTCGTCGGCATCCCCCACAGTCCCCAACGTGGCCAGCCTCGACTCGCCTTCGGTGTCGTCCGTGTCGACCATGGGCAAGCGCTCACCTTCGTTGAGGCCAGCCCCTGCCGCTCCCTCGCACGCTGCTGTCCCCAGCGGCAACGCCAACAGCGGCGATGCGGATGATGAGGATGACGACGAGGAGGAGGAGGAGCACCTTATTGTTCGCCCACCTACCCCTCCCCGCGGTGCCAGCAAGGACGACACGTCCCGTAACCACCCTCCCGTCACCCAGGCTGTCAACCTCCTTGGCTCTCGCGCAGTTGCCTCCAGTATCACCAGCACCAACACGTCGAGCACTTCCGGCACCTCGCGTCTGCGCCGTCTCCGCGGTAAGCCGCAGGTTATCGACATTATGAGCGAGTTTTCCGCCATTGAGGCAGAGAACATGCCCCCCGACGAGGACGAGGAGCCCATCCGCGAGGACCGCGAGCGCCGTATCCGCTTTGCCGGCGACGAGTAATCATCATTTATCAGTCTCTCTCCCATTTACACCCACGGACCTACTTTCTTTCTCTCTCTTTCTCTTTCTCTTTCTCTCTCTCTCTATCCATCTCTCCCACGCACATAGACTCTACCGACCCCCGCCCTCTGGTTCCGCCGGCGTGCTCCCATGACCCACACTCCCTCCTGCAACGACTGGCATTGGCATGTCCACATTGTCGCACACGATTAACGATCTTCCGAACTCCCAACCAGTTTATACCTCAGTCTGGCATCCACAGTGCTCTTGTAACACAATGCATCTGTGATTTTGTACCCCAACCGTGGCAGAAGCCAGCAGCAGGAATTGGCAGTGACGAGCTGGACACCGTGCGGCCCCGCGAGACACATCAGTGGGCATTTGTAGATGGCAGTGGTGGCTTTTTGTCAAGCGGTGTCGTCGTCAGCTTCATTCGCGATAGGCAGGCAGACAAGTAGACATGCAGCACCAAAAACGTCGACATTTTGATGACCAGGACATGCCACACCCAGGTCTCACAGATCACAGACTCCGCATCCTCCTACATAAGCGAGCGGGATCAAAAACCAGCAACCACAACATTACGTAATACATATTTTCAACGCCTCCACCCCTGCTTTGAAGATTTCGACGGGCGGGCCACTGTTGTGTGACCTGCAGAGAGCCATCGTCCTTGGTTCCTCCCTTACACCAACACCCCACCCCACCCACCACCCACCATGCCCAAGGTCAGCAAGCAGTTTAAAAAGTTTGCCTCGTCGGGCAAGCTCACGGACACGATCAAGAAGCGCAGGCACCACCAGCAGGCCAAGTCCAAGTTTGAAAACCAAAAGGAGCAGCGCAAGCACCAGCGCGGTGCGGCGCGCCCGGAGCACGAGGTCTCGGACGACGATGAGGAGGAGGACGAGGAGGCCGCCATGGAGCGTGCCAAGCTCAAGACGATGGGCGGCAAGACGGGCGGCGTGGCGCGTACGGTCGACGAGCTGTTTGGCGCCGGTGGCCTGGACGTGCCTATCGACGCTGGCAGTGACCTCGAGGACCTGAGCGAGGACGAGGACGACGAGGACGAGGATGACGAGGACCTTGAGGGCGGCGACGAGGACGATGACATGGATGAGGCGGCTATGGAGCGCGCAATGGCCGAGCTCGAGAAGAAGGACCCGGAATTCTTCAAGCACCTCAAGGCCGAGGACCCCGAGCTCCTTCGTTTCAGCAAGGGCAAGGGCCGCGCCGACGCCATGGACGAGGACGACGACGAGGATGTCGACGAGGAGGACGATGACGAGGACGAGGAGATGGACGAGGACGTCGAGGTGGCCGAGGTCAAGAAGATTGTTGTCACCACCAAGATGCTCCGCGGGTGGCGTATGGCCATGCTCAAGGTAAGCTGGATCGCTGCTGTGTCTGTTGGGGGGCCAAGCTGACGGATTCGCAGCAGCACTCGTTCCGTTCGCTGCGCAAGACTCTTATTGCGTTCCGTGCGGCGGCCCACATGAACGAGGACGACGGCGAGCAGGGTGCTGGTCTCGACACCAAGTACACCATTCCTTCCGCCGCCGTGTTCAACCAGCTTGTGGTCACTGCTCTCAAGTTTACCCCTGTCGTCCTCGCGGCCCACGTCCCTTACAAGACTCTGCCCAACGGCAGGACAAGGCTTCAGCCCGCCAAGAAGAGCGCTCCTGCCAACCTTGACCGCACCATCCTGAGCCACTTTACGACTCTGATCCACCTCATCAAGTCGCTCCCCACTACCCCCTCGGCCCTTGCTGGCGAGGACGACTCCGAGGCCGGCTCGCTCTTGGTTACCGCCGTGTCTGAGAGTGCCAAGCTCCTGCCATGGGTTCTCAGTGCCCGCAAGCACGTTCGCGCATACCTCAAGACCCTCCTCGACCTGTGGTCTAGCGCCTCGGACTCTGTGCGTATCGCCGCCTTCCTCGCTATCCGCAAGATGTTCGTTGCCGGTGACGACGCCATCAAGGACCTCTGCTTGAGCAACATGTACCGCGCCCTCCTCCCTCCCATGCGCCTCACCTCGGTCCACACCCTTCCCTCGCTCAACCTTATGAAGAACACTGCATGCGAGCTGTACCAGCTCGAGCCCCAGCTCAGCTACCAGCACGCCTTCAGCTTCATCCGTATGCTCGCTGTCCACCTGCGTACCGTCGTCCGCTCGTCGACCTCGGGTAAAGGTGGTGAGGACGGCCAGGCCTTCCGCGCCGTCTACAACTGGGCCTACGTCCACTCGATCGACTTCTGGTCGCAGGTCCTCGCCGGTGCCGCCAGTGTCGAGGCCCAGGCCGCTCGCGGTGGTCTCGAGAGCCCCCTCAAGCCTCTCATCTACCCCCTGACCCAGATCGCCCTCGGTGTTGTGCGCCTCCTCCCTTCGTCGCGCTACTTCCCTCTCCGCTTCCACATTATCGCGAGCCTCATCCGCCTCACCTCCCTCACCGGCACCTACATTCCCCTCTCGCCCTTCCTCCTCGAGATCCTCGACTCGCCAGAGTTCCGTCGCTCCAACCCCAAGAAGGCGACCCTCAAGCCCCTCGACCTCGCGTACGTCATCCGCGCCCCGGCGTCCTACCCCAAGACTCGCGTCTACCAGGAGGTTCTCGGCGACGAGCTCGTCTTCCTCCTCGGCGAGTACCACGCTCAGCTCTCGACCAACATTGCCTTCCCCGAGCTCGCCCTGCCCGTCATCACCTCGATCAAGCGCCACATCAAGCGCGGTACCGCCGGCTCGCCCAAGGTCGCCAACCAGTTCAAGGTGCTTGTCGACAAGCTCGACGCCTCGCGCGTGTGGGTCGAGACCAAGCGCCGCAACGTGTCGTTTGCGCCCCGCGACCGCTCCGAGGTCGCCCGCTTCCTCGAGGGCACCAAGCCCGAGGCCACCCCGCTCGGCGGCTGGATGCGTATCCAGCGCAAGGTCCGTGACCAGCGTCGCCGCGAGGTCGAGAAGGCGCTCCGTGAGGTGCGCGAGCAGTCGGACGACGACGAGTAAGCAGGCGCGCGGCGTGTCCTGATCTACCTACGGACAAAGCAATCAAAACAGCCCGTCTCCATTCGGGGAGAGCACAGCCCACAGCAGCTCGGCACGGCCGTCCGAGTTCGCTGCATGTAGACTATTTATGCACTGGTTCCCTATAGCCTTACCCCCGTGGTCCCCTGGTGTTGTTGTCGTCTGCCTCTGGCCTCTGACTCTCCCACCTGACCCCCAGATCTGGGACTGCCCCTCGGGTTCTCGGCACCGCCAACATGAGCTGAGCAGTAAACAGGGCGGAATCGACGCAAGTACATACGTCAACGACGCCACACTCATGAACGTCCCCGAGTTGGCGTTACGGGTTGGGCGTGCGGCGCCTCCTCGCGTCCCGCGACTCTCTGTGAATGCATGCCACAGCCATGAGATCATGAGATGTGTGAATGTACGGACTTTTCTACTAGTCTTCCTCTGATCCTCTGACTGGACGAAAAAAAGAGTCGCGTCCCAACTCGGCCTCACGCTCACGTTCACCCTCACCTCACACCAACTCTATCCACTGGAACGCGTCCCTGGCCACCATGTCTGATGGGACACAGCAGCACGCTGTAATGGCGGGCAGCGTGACGCCGTCGTTGGTCCCGCGGATCAGTCCATGTTCGTTGGTTGGCACCGAAGGCACAGTGCAGTGTGCCCGTCACTGGATCACTGGATCACTGGATCACTGGGCGAGGCATGTGGGTGGAGAGGGTACGACGCTGGGTGTACAATTGTGTGGGTGAGTCTTGGCCGCTACGTAACGATCGGTGAGCGGAACTCAAGAGCCCAAGAGCCAAGTCGACCACGGCCGTGTCGATTGTGGCCATGTTGACGAGATGGCGAGTCTGGAGGGACGGTTAGGTGAACTATGTTTGCTTGCCGGACCGCGATCCTGGGAGGCCGCTCCTGGTCCATATGCCTCCCGGCCTCCCGGCCGTCATGTTCGGCTGCTTTCGGCTGCTCGGCAGATCGGGGTCGGGGGTACGCCAGAAAGCAATCTTATGCATGTTGTACGGGGAAGGACACGCACAGCCGAGAGCGCGAATGTCCATCTTATGGGACTCTATGGGACGACTGTCGAGTACGCAGCGGAGGGAAGGGTTACAGACATATTGGGTTTGTGGGACCGTCAGATGGGATGGCGTGTGACGACGCTGTGCGCGTGTACCGTTGGATTTGCGGATACAGATGCAAAAAGGACGGCGGCGACGGGGGCAGCGAACAGTTGTCGTACACGACTCGATTGCCCTACGTACCGCCGTGCGCACAACGCTCCGCACGGCATGGGACGTCATCGGCCTTTTTGCTTAGGGAGACAGACGCGAGACGGCCCACTCGCCTCCGGGACCGGCGGCCTCGGGGCGCGAGAAGCGGAAACGGTCATGCAGACGGGACGGCTGGCCAGCCCAGAACTCGACCTCGCTGGGGTTTGTCAGCTGCTGCTCAATAATCTATATGCTGAGCTTACAATGGGACAATGCGGAATCCGCCCCAGTGGTCGGGGCAGGGAACGTCCTTGCCCTCAAAGCGAGCCTCGGCAGCGGCAACGTGCTCTGGAAGGGCGTCCTCGTCGATATCGCTCGACTGGGTGGAGGCCCAGGCGCCGAGCTGCGACCCACGAGGCCTGGTAGCAAAGTAGGCCTCGCTCTCGGCGCGGGACACCTTTTCGGCGCGGCCGACGACGCGGATCTGCCTGCTGCTCTCGCGCCAGTAGAACGCGAGGGCGGCATAGGGGTTGGCAATGAGCTCCAGGCCCTTGCGCGAGTTGTAGTTTGTAAAGAACACAAAGCCCTGGCTGTCGACTTCCTTGAGCAGAACGACGCGAGCGGAAGGAATGCCAGAGGCGGTCGCGGTCGAGAGGGCCATGGCCTCTGGCTCGCGGACCTTTGGCAGGCCCGATTCCGGGGATGGGTTGAGGGCCTGTGCCAGCCACGAGCGGAAGAGAGGCAAGGGATCGGTGGGGAGGTCGGTGCTCAGGAGGCGCGATGCCTTGTACTGGTTGTGGGCAGTGAGCTTGACGCCCGAGGCAGTGGAGACGGTGGCCGTCGGGTCCATGACAGTGGTAGGACGCTGTGCCGTAACGGGGTCGGATGGGGTGGGGCCTGCGGTGGTAGCCATGTGGGCACGAGTAATGAAGCCGGGTGTGCTGCGGGTGGTGGTGGTGGTGGTTGGGTGTGCTGGAAGATGACGAGTGGGTAGGCGGCAGCGGCAGCGGCAGAGGGATGAGAGCATGTGGGATGAAAGGAAAAGAGAGACAAGAGATCGAGCACGACGCCGCCCAGGATAAATCGCGGGCGGCCAGCGGCCAGCGGCGGGCTGGACGACGACTCGAACGGACATGGCCGGAGCTTGTCTCTCGGGTGCGCCAGGTACTCGGCCCCTCGGAGTGAACGATGGCTGCCGATGGAGATGGCGTCCGCTTGTTTATTGTCCTCTTGTCCTCTTGTCCTCTGGTATCTTTTCCTTTTTCCTGCCTCGTTGTCATCTCGAGGCTGCCCTCACCCTTCATCTGACCCTCTGGGCCTCTTGCACTACTGTGGTCAAACGCGCTCTCTGCATTAATGCAGGGCCGCGCAGGTCCCGAGACAGGCGTGTTCTCGTCATTACAAGTCTGTCCCACGGTCCATCTTGTCCACTCGCGACCCCATCACACGGCGGACGCCTCACCCGAGCGCACCGACGCCAGCGACGCCGCGCCGACGGCTCACATGCACAACCCATGCTGCATGTCTGATTACCCGCGCCTCGACGTCCTGTCCGACGTGCTCGGCACCTTCTGCCGCCACTGCGGTAGCTCATCCCGAATTACCTTGGCCCTGGCAGGCAGCTTCGGGGGTTGCGCAACATCCTGCCATAGACAGGGTGTGGGACGGGCGATGGGAACCAACAACACCACGCTGGGATGGAGAGAGTAATCGCGGTGGTGGCTAGAGAGCTAGTGCAGCGCTATGCTGGAGACACACCCTGCGTATGTACCTTCATCGGCTGGCTCCCATGCACGCCCCAGTGGCCAGTGGCCAGTGACATCCCTCTGTTCCCGCCAGACGTACAGACAGAAAGACAGAGAAGACGGTCAACCCGATCCGAGGTCATGCCAGGGGTATCTACTTCATCCAAACAATCCGCCCAGCACCGTCTTCTTTTCTCCTTTGCCTCATTCTGATACTCTGTCGCCAGCCATTCACATCACCATTCTGCCCTCCATCCGCTACACGGCCGCGTCCCCCCAAGCATGCGGCGTCTATGGTGTGCCCTCGTAGGCTGCCAACAACAAGTCGCCCGCGGCGGGGTCACGCCAGATGGCCAGCAGCTGCCAGACTGGCTGTCCTGGTCTGACGTGAGTCGTGGACGGCTGATGAGATGGTGGCCGGCACGGCTCCTGCTGTCGCCACCGCCTGCCGTCACAGAATGTTGGGCGGCCAGCCACGCTAACATGCACAGTACACGACGACCATTGATGGACGACGAGTCACCACGGGCAGCATTGTCCAGGTACCACAGACATGTGAGTGTCGTCCCTTTGTTGACGACTGTGCTGGGCAGGGAAAAAAATCAACCGCGTCCCCCATCCAACAGTCGACACGCCCAGTGTACATAGCTTGTATCTGACACGCAATCAGACTATGGCCCAAGCATCCCGCTCAACAGCGACTGGACATTTGGAGGATCATCGTCGCCTACCGCATCGACGTCAAGTAGCGGATCGTCCTCGGCTCCCACATCAACAGGCTCAGCATCAGGAACAACCGAGACCGCCTCTGGCTCGCAGCCCTTGCCATCGTCTGGCTTGTCGTCGACCCAGTCATCAGTTGCGTCCTCCTCCCCCAGCGCAACTCTATCGTCGAGCGAATCTCCAACCACATCAACTACTACATCATCCACAGTGTCTACAATCCCAACATCCCTCACGTCCTCCCTGACAACCGGCTCCGCGGCCCTCACATCCTCATCCCTACCAACCTCTCAGCCCACATCCTCAACCCTGCCTTCCTCCCTAACCTCCCGAACGACAACACCCCCTTCCTCCTCTTTCACCTCCTCCTCCTCCTCCTCATTACATGCGTCCACAACAACTCAACCTTCTGCATCGACATCGACAGCGGTCACCGGCATCGTCCCCCATTCCCACAACAACGTCAAGACCATCGTTCCCGCAGTCATCCTTCCCGTCGTCGCAGTCATCGCCCTCATCCTGCTACTGCTGTGGTGCTTGAAACACCGACGACAAAACTATCGCGAGGAACGAAGTTTCAAGAATGCACGGTGGGCTGCAGTGGCCACTGGAGAACACTCTGAGAAGCCGCTGGGCGGGGGTGGTGCCGGAGGTCCCGCCGCCGTAGCGGGGGCCGCAGGAGCTGCTGCTGCTGCTGCGGCTGCTGCTGCGGGTACTGAGAAGAACCCGTTCATCGGCGAGGGAGAAGAGACCGGCTCGGCTGGCCACGGTGACGAGCAGTCGTCTTTGCTTCACGAGCACGAGCGCGATCCCGGGTTCGTCACTGCTGGCATGGCACCAACAGGCGGCGCCATTGCTGGTGTCGGGTTGTTGCGAAGCCTCGGCATCGGCCGACGACCCAGTTACGGGTCGAGCCGCACATCGTCGTCCTCGACCCGCAACATTAGCGGTAACACGATGGAGAAGGTCATTGGTCTCGTGGGGCTCTCCCCGGCGATACCCTCGGGATCGACACAGTCTCAGGACCGTTCAGCAAGTGGCGGTACAACAGGACAGACCGGCTCCACCAGCGGCACCACTACCGATGCCAAGCGTTCGTCCGGAGGGACAAGTACTGGCGCCTATGTTCCCATAGGCGACGATGACCTGTTCTACGCCGTCCCTAGACCATTCACCTCATCGCCAGGGACGTCGTCACCCAACGGCAGCGAGGCCTACTTTACAGCGGACAGCCAGGGCAATTCGGGCAATTCAGGCAGCACTGTGCATGTCCGAGGGGAACACGGTTCGCTAGGCAGCAACTCTGGTTCCTCGAGCGAAGGATCGCGACGCTCTGGACGGAGTAAGGCCAGCAGTGGACGTGGTAGCGGCCGTGGCGTCACTGGTCGTGTCCATTCGACCATTCCCGAAGAGGCCGCCGTCGTGGGTGGTATGGCCGCAGTGGCAGCCGCAGGGGCAGCCTTCTATGCTGCCCGCCGCCACCACAGCGACCAGGATGTGTACGACCTGAGACAGGACACTGCCTCGTCGAGTAGCCCATCGCAGTATGACTCGGCTGGCTCGGGCTCCGCTACTGATCGCTCTGGTGGCTCTGGTGGTCCTAACCGCCCGTCCATGGACGTCACCGAGTTTGGCCAGACTCGCCCTCGTCGACGTGACCGCCGCTTCCCGCCCACGACCGAGGTGTTTGTCACCCAAGGTAGTGGTGGCAGAGGCGGAACGTACGCGCAGTCCAACTTGAGTGCCGGCACCTTTGGCACATTAGACGATGAGAGCCGACCAAGTGTCGAATTCCACAGCGTCCCCCAAGGCCCACGACCGCCGCTCGCTGCCCCGGTCGCTGGCACTGGGCCCGACAACACGTCTACGTTAGGCTCCATTGTCAGCGGATACTCTGGCGGCTCTGGTTCAGTGAATGACCGCCCTTCACTCGAACGACCATCGCTGGAACTGGCATTGTTGGGCCATTCACGCACAAACTCAGGGGACCGTCCTTTCCTCGCCTTCGTTCACAAACGCTCAATGTCCGGCTCCGACAGGCCACTTCCACCTGTGCCGCCGACAGCGTACAGCCCCTCCAAGATGGCTGCCAGGAGTGAACCACATCTTCTCCGCACCTCGATGGGCGGCGTCAGGCGCGAGGGCCCCGGACCACTTCCACGCCGACCCTTACCTTCGGCCATTGTTGGTGGTGACATGATGCTGTCACCCTTTGGCCCCGGACGTGACGGGACGACACCACTCTCGAGTGCCCAGAAGCAGCAAGAGATTGCTGCCCAGCAGATGGCAGCTAGGCGAGAAGCTAAAGCTCTCCAGCGCACCTCTCTGTCGCCAGGAGCTGGAGCCTCGCGCTCTGTTGGTGACCTGAGCACCTCCCATCCGTCCGAAACGGCATCCAGCTTTGACGTTTCGTCGCGCAGAGGCTCAGCACCTCGGCTGACCGTTTACGACGAGTTTGGCATGAACGTCACCAGACCTGAAAGTAGCAGGTCGGTTCCGACACTGTTTGGTCCACACGATCCCGGATACGGTACCACCGGCAGTGGTAATACGTCTGGTTCGAGCCAGTTGGGCTCGGTATCTGAAGTGGCGGACGACAACCTCCTGGGTACGGTTATTCATGGAGCCCGGTTTACCCCACACGAGAGTCATTCTCCTACGAGGTCCCGCTCGAGGTCTCTCGGTCGAGCTATACCGGGCACGCCACCGACGCCTCGCTCTCCGCTGTACGGCGTCGTTGCCGCAAGAGGGAGTGACAGCAGCGATGACCTGGTGCAGAGCTTCCCCGATCCACCAACCAGTGAAGGAGAGCACTCGCCGGCGTGGCAACAGTCGCCAGCAGTGACGGTTATGAACCCCGACGAGGACGAGCAGAGGGGGAGGGGAGGTGCAATCCGCGATTTGTTTAGAGGATGGAGCAGACAGTAGACAAGACAGTTAGAGACAAGGAGCCTTCGGCAGTTCCCTTTGGAGAGACAAACAGTCTATATAGTTTACCTGTATCACCACTACATATTTCCACTACATATTTGTTCACTGGACGCTGCGTCGTCCAGCAGTGCATGTTAAACACCCATTTTGTGTAGCTCAGTTGATCAGTTGCTCTCCGCGGACCAACTATGATAACTTCGTCTAGGGGCAAGGAACCATTTGCCCCCTCGGTCCCCGTGACCTTGTGTGCCACCAGATCTCAGTTTGCGACTCACCCCATGATGCTAGTCGCAGCAACATGTCCGTCGGGGGCCCGACGGCCCAACAGAAATGCCAAAGATTCAACACGGATGACGCACAGTCACCGGCGATCATCGTTTACCGAGTTGGTTTGGCTCCGACCGACGAACCGACCTGCCGCTGGGATGCCGACCTTGCCGAGCGTGCGGATCAAATATCAACGACGGAGTAGACCGATGGAGCACATGCTTTCCGTGCCGTCCGCACAGAACCCGACACTCGGCTCATCCGACTTTGGTAGCGGTCCACTTTCTCCCTCCTACTCTGTCTGTAATCATACATCAGGTATAGCATGGGTGGCGGGAGACCATGTTCTCCAGAGAAGCATTACGACATGTCGTCGCCACCACCAGCAACAATACGAAACGATGACCTCGAGACCGGTGACTTGAAGCTCGAGGAGACTGGCCATGGACCTCAACTTCCAGAACCGCAGGCCGACTCCAAGTCGGAGGACGCTGTGACCACTGCCACCGAGCCAGTGGAACCATACACTATCTTTACAGACCGCCAGAGGTGGCTCATTGCCATCGTGGCCGCTATTGGGGCTACATGCTCGTAAGTGAGCCGCTGAAGGTAATGAACTGACTTCCTCCGCAGACCGATCTCATCCAACATGTGAGTTAGATCATTCGTGTACATATGTACAGCAACTAACATCTACAGATACGTCCCCGCCATCCCCACGCTCGCAGATGCGTTCCATGTCTCTGAGGAGAAGATCAACTTGACAGTGACAGTGTACCTGTGCGTGCTCAGCATCCGGCCGCAGCACTGACGCTTGCCAGTATCTTCCAAGCAATCACCCCAGCGTTCTGGGGTGCCGCAGCGGACGCCTACGGCCGGAGACCAGTTTTCATCGCCACCGTCCTCATGTTCACACTAGCCTGCATTGGGACAGCACTGTGTCCGACCTCGGACTACTGGTTGCTGGTCCTGATGCGAATCCTCCAGGCATCGGGCGCCAGCGCGACCATTGCCGTTGGCGCTGGAGTCATTGCCGACATGGCTCTCCCGCATGAGAGGGGCAAGTTTCTCGCCGTGTTTAATGTCACGTCAACGTTTGGGCCCAGCATGGGGCCGCTGCTTGGTGGTGTGTTTGCCTACACGCTCGGATGGAGGTGAGCTGAGCCTCGCCGCTCAGAGCTCACACCATAGGTCAATTTTCTGGTTTCTTACCATCATGGGCGGCGTCGTGCTTGTCCCCATGGTATTGTGAGTTGTCGAGGGTCAACCATGGGCTCACCGATGTCAGGGCGTTTCCAGAGACACTGCGATCTATCGTTGGCAACGGATCGCTGCCTCCTCCCATCCTCAACTGTACCCCGCAGGCCTGCATCCGTCGCCGACGGTCAGAGAAGGAGTATGCACAAGGAGGGCTGGGTAGCGACGCTGTTGCACCACTACCTTATAAAAGGTGAGGTCCTCATTGGGTCTTCCAGCTGACGACCAGTTTGCGCCGTTTACGTCCTTTGTGCTCCTTCTTGAGCCCGACCTCCTGCTCATGCTCATCTGGTCGTCACTGTACTACGCCTTGTACTACGCCGTCTTGTGAGTTTCTTCGTAGAAAGCCTGCTGATAGCGCAGGACAATCTTCTCCACCCTCCTGGACCAGATCTATCACTACTCTGAAATCATCATTGGCGTGTGCTACATCTCCAACGGCGCCGGTGTGGCCGTGGGCGGCATCGCGACCGGCCGACTGATGGACAAGATGTACAACAGGGAAAAGGTCCGTGTCGGCGGCGACCATCGCACGACGGACGAGTTCCGTCTTGAGTGGGTACGCCTGTCCATCCTCCCTTGGCATGCGGGTATCCTCATCGTGTCGTCTATTGGACTCGGTTGGAGTATGAAGTATCACGTCCACGTCAGCGTGCCGCTCATCTTAAACTTTATCTTTGGTATCGGCACGGGGTTCCTCGCTGTCACGACCATCTTTGCCTTGGACCTGTTCCCTGGTAAAGGAGGTGCGGTTACTGCATCAGTGAGTTGGAGATTCCACTTCTAAGCTAACTCTCCCAGTTCAACCTCACGCGATGCCTGTTCGGTGCGGTGGAAGTAGCCACTGTGCAGCTCATCAACAAGGCGATGGGTGCCGGGTGGATGTTTGTCCTCCTTTCTGGAATCTGCCTGCTGGCCACGCCACTGCCATTGCTGGTGGTGCGCTATGGACCACGGTGGCGTAAGCGACGAGCTGAGCTGGCTGCCAGGAGGGAGGCGGAAAGCATCACGTAGGTATGTAGAGTTGTAGAATGCTATATAATGCGCGGGCAGTCAGTTGGGCGCACACAATCCGCGGTCTCTTCCTCTCATTTCGACTTCCCTCCTGCGTCACCCACTTCCTTCCTTCCTTTTCCCCTCTACCTTGTGACATTGCCTTCTCATCACACCTCTTATTCCTTGCATCCACCCCTTGATCCTCGGCCTCCTCCACCACCTCAACTTCTTCTTCTTGACGCCCCAGGCGGCCCAGCACCGGCCTCGTTCATCTCTCCTCCCTCCCTCCCTCCTCCCTCACCCTTCCCTCCGTTTCACCCACCCTCACCCACCCAACACCACTTTCTTTTGCGCGTACCCATCCAACCATCTTCCCCCCACCATGCCTTCGTACATGGACACCCCGAGGGGTCGTCTCACTCGCGTCGGCGGGTGGGAGCTCGGCCAGACTCTGGGTCGTGGAGCTTACGGTTGGTGACCGCTGTGTCGAATGTCCCCCTAACAACCACAGCCCATGTCCGCCTCGCCACCCACATTGTGACGGGTCACCAAGCGGCGTGCAAGATTCTCCCCGCCCTCCACGGCCATCCTGGCATCCCCGTCGACTGGAACGCCACTCTTGACGCTATCGAGGCGCACAAAGAGATGGTCCTGCTCAAGGCGTTTGCTGGTGCCAAGCTTGCCGGCGTCGTGAGGCTCGAGGGCGTCTTGGAGGAAGGTGGATGGACGTGAGTTCGCATGCTCCCCTCCCATGAACTGACTTTGCAGCTACGTCTTCCTCACCCTCTATCCACATTCCCTCTCCTCTCTCGCCCACCCAGTGCCGGATGTAACCATTGTCCCGTTCTTCCGCAAGCTCCTCAGTGCCATGCACACCCTCCACATGTTGGACATTAGCCACGAGGACATCAAGCGCTCCAACGTTCTCCTCGACATCCGTGGCAAGGACGTCCATCCCATCCTGGTGGACTTTGGATTCAGCCACTTCTGGCCCAACAACACTCGCGGTGTTCGCAGCCTGGGGGGTACATTTGACTACTCAAGCCCTGAAAAGGTTGCAGTGAGTGTCCAGTGCGGAATGGTCTTGTAACTGACCCAACAGGATGACCGCTACGATCCTCGAGCCAACGACGTGTGGTCACTTGGTGTCCTCCTCATAAAGATGCTGGACATCCCCCACCCCTATGTTGACCGTAACGACCCCAACGAGACTACCAAGATGGCCAAGCGTCGTATCGTCGACGGCGACGCCAGGTGGCAGTGGCGCGACATTGACATGGTCCCCGGCGGCCGTGCCGAGCTCATCATGGGCATGCTTGAGCGTGACCCCCAGAAGCGCATGACTGTAAGCTTTTTGTGCTGTGATTAAAACTGACTCTCAGATCCCTCAGGTGCTCAACCACCCGTATCTTGATGACCCCGGTATCATTCCCCCGGCCACCATCCCTCCCATGCGTCTCACGTCCAAAGTTTCCCGCCCAGTCTCACAGGCTGTGATTCAAGATCTCTGCTTCCTTGCCCATATTCAAGGCAGGTTCGTCTTGTGTGAGACGTCCAAGAAGGTCGAGCAGCGCCTCTACGGTCGTGAGCCCTGCTGGGAGCAGCGTTGGGCTGTCATTCTCGATGAATGGGAGCAGCGTGCCGAAATTGACTGGGAGGACCTTCCCGTCATCCCAGAACGCAAGTCCAAGAGCCGTGAGTGTATGCGCCTTCGAAGTCAGTGCTAACGTCAGTCCCCACTCGCCTTCGTCCCATTCCCAGTCTCCGCCACATCCACCTCTCGCCAGTTGTGAGTACTCGGTGCCGTAACCTGCTCATTTCTGACGACTGCTAGCACACACCGCAGGACCAACCCGCCACTGAGGACTCTGCGATGGACGTGTCTACTACCGCCCACCAGACCCCTTCCAAGAGGGCCACTCCGGACAAGGAGATTGTCACTCCCCCTCCTCCTGCGACCCCAATTCCGACCACCAAGACCAAGTCCCGTATCAAGGCCATGAAGGGCAAGAACGAGGCCGAGGCGCCTACTCCGACCCGCACCGTCCTTGCCGTCACTCGCACTGTCAGGGCTGCCGTCGGCGGCGAGGTTAAAAAGGTCATGGGTCCCAGTGCGTTTGGTGTTCGCTCCAAGCGCCCCAACACGGTGTTCCCCAACAGGGCTGGTCAGACCAAGCCCGACTCCTCCGGCAGCTCGACTGCGGTCGACTCCTCGGTTGGCGTCTCGGGGGCTAAATCCGCCATCCCTAGCCGTGTCCCCAGGCCCAAGAAGAACTCTGCTGCTGTGTAGGTGTTGGATTCTTGTTTGCGGCGCTCACTCTCTAGTACCATTCAGAAGAAACGTCTCCCCCCTCCTGTGCGTCTGTCTCCTCCCGAAAAGAAGCTGCAGGGTAGGTTAGCAAGTCAGCACATCGCTGACCACGAGCACTCGCCCTCGGTCCCCCGGACCAGGCCCAGCCTCCCCGTCGTTCGCCCAGGTTCGTGTAACCCCCATGTCTTGCAAGCCCCTCCCAGCCACATGTGACATACAGCAAGAAGAGATACATTTCATGTCATTTTGACCTCGTAGTTTCATGTTATCGTTCTCTCGCCGAAGTACAAGGAGAGAAGAATAAAGGATGCAGGGTATTGTAATTGTTGTTCGTTTTTTTGTCGTTTTTTAGGCAGCAGGGGAAATGGACAAGATGGGCACCGGTACCACGTCGTCGTGCGTCCTTCCCTTTGTCGTTGCGTCGTGGAACTCAAACGACGGCTGTTCGTACGAGTGCTGCAGTGTAAACTGGAACGACGGCTCATCGTCGGAATCACCATACGACGAACGTTTAGAGTGTTTGCCAATGGACCGCATCGACTTTTCGTCGTCGTCCATGAGCTTTTCGCTCAAGTCAACAGCCGAGGCAAAGTGGGCCACGCTCGCATTGTCGTGTGGGGGGTTGAACACGTCGTGGAATTCTTCCTCGACGAGGGTTTTGGTCTGCTCGGCGATAATGTGCTGTCATGTCAGCTCGGCCTAGATACGATGGGAGCTTACCAAAGCATCTGTGACTCCCCACACATGCAGCATGTCGTCGGTATCAGGCTCGTAGCCGTACACTGCCATGGTAGTAGACACGGCCGTGCGAGCGCCATGTACGAGAGAGTCGGTGTTGATACGCAGGTCACGGATGGCGTTTCGGGTAGGGTCGACGGTGGACGTGACAGAGATGTTGGCGCTGGTGGCGGAAACCACTTGAGTCGCGGGGCCGAGGAGATGGACAATCGCGCTCTTTTCGCCACCCCCAAGGTTGCGAACGGGAGCTGACGACGGGAACCTGTTGCTACGAGAGCCTCCGGCAAACACTTCAAAGACGGGTCGGCTTGCTCGACGGGCTGAAAGGGTGGCGAACGAGGGCCGGATCAGCGACGACATACCACCTGCGTTGGTGTTGCTGATACTCCGGATGCGTGCATGGGCGCCCAAGCGTGGGCTCGGTGGGTTGCTGCTGAGACGTGGTGAGGGAGTAACGCCAGCGAGACGTGGGGTGCCCGACGCGCTGGGTGTGCGAGTGTGTGACGCACTGGGTGTACGGTTGTGCGACGCACTGGGCGAGCGACTGTGGGATGGCGTCACGGGTTCAGCGATAGTGAGATGGGTCGGACTGTGGAGTGCCGGGGGCACACGGGCTGAGGGTCGGCGCACAAAGCCTGAAAGGGAACGGACAGGTGACGCGCCGAACAGTCCAGCTCGTTGTCCTCCGTGGCTGATAGAGCTAGCGATGGACGATGGACGTGAGCGCTCTCCGTCACCGCCGGCCGAGTTCATCTTGGAGAGGGTCGTCTGGATTCGGAGCCTAAAGTCGACATTGAGCGTGGTGCGATGAAGGACCAGGAGCTCAAAGAGGGACCACATCATCCAGTCGACCACGCGGGGGACAGCCGGCGCACCACCAGTCGGTTCAAAGAATCGCCCGTTGCCGTCGGTGAGGGACCCAAGCAAGGTGCTCGAAATGTACGTCCACAGCCCACGGACACCAGAAATACACTCTGGCGCGCGGACGACGATGACCTTGACGGTTTGAAGAGAAAGCACAGCGGTGGCAGCAAGAGTGTCGGCCTTCTCCTTGGTGTGTCCGCGTGGACCCTTCTTCGGCTTGAGGACGCAACGCAGCAGGCGAGGCCAGAGATTCGCGTACTCGTCGTCGCGGTTGACGTCCTGCGGCCTGTCGACCATGAGAGAGAGGGGGAGAATCACCGAGGCCAGGAGACCAGGCGTACAAACCACGTCTTCCACGACCTTGAAGGCATCACTTCCGCGCAGGAAGATGGTTGTAGCAAGCAGTTCCACCGCAGCAGTCCGGAGAGGGACAATGAACGCCATACTCTCCTCTGACGCCAGTGCCAGCATGCGAATAGCCGGGTCGACATACTCGTTCACAACGATGGCGGTCATTTCGGGGCTCAGTTGATAGTGCGAGCGGCGAATGAGTTCAGCAATCGCGTCCAGCACACCGCTGAAGTCGATCGTCGCCATGTGCTGCCTATACGCTGATGCGATGTCGCGCAGGAAATCGGTAGGGTGCCGCGACGCGAGATGCGTGCGTGCCAGAGATCCCAAGATACTTGACGCGGTTGGACCAATAGACTTCGGGTCGTCCTGTAACAGCGACATGACAATGTCGAGCATGCGGCGCGTGACATGGACACTGAGTCGTCCACCGCAGCGTGAAAATGCGTCGACCAGGAACACATATTCGCGGTTTGCACCGGTCCAGTCTGGCACACCATTCTCCTCGCCAGGAAGGAAGCGAAGCATCGCTGCGTCGTCACCAGCGCGGCCCTTGTGGACAAAGCGTCCAATGGCGTCAATCGCATCGGGAAGCAGTTCTTGGCTCTTGGGGTCCGTCATGAGAGGCACAAGGCGAGCAAACAGTCTCATGAGCTTGATGGAGCGGGCGGAGGCGGCATTGACGGCGATGACAGTCACAAATAGGCGGATAATATTCTCGCGCGGGAAGACAGTCAACTCAAGACTGAGAGTTGCAATCTTGTTGGCGCGGCGTTCCTCGGCGCGCGTTCCGAGTTCGGAGAACGTGACTTCGGCACCACCGCTGACCATGTGCACAAGCGTTTCAATCTCTTGCCTGTCATTGAGGCCGCGGATTCCGGAAGGAACACCCGACTGCGAGTTGTTGTCGACCGAGAGTGAAACGAGGAGGTCGTATGCCGCAGCTGAATCAAAGGGGTTATCGGCAATGGCCAAGCTGAGCTGGTACACAAACACGTCTTGGTGAATGCGGTAGAACGAGCGGCATGCGTACTCAATGGCGTCCTTGATACCGCGGTGGCAGTTGACGTACGTATCGTAAACGACACGCATGGTGGGCACGAAACCGATGGACGCCAGTACACGACGGAACCGTGTTGAGCAGATGGAAAGCGCCCGCATGGACAGCGCCGCAACCACAATGTCGGTCGTACCGTGGAGCGCGAGGACCGACGAGATGTTGTTTAAGAAGTGACGCAACTCGGCGCGATCGTTATAGTTCGAGTTGAGACCCGAGAAGAGGACAACGGCGAGCTCAAGCCACGCCCGAGCAAATGGCAGGTGGGTGAACGAAGCTTGGACCTGGAGGTTGAACAGCATCTTTTTAATCAAGTAGACATCGCGGGGGTTGGCGCGCAGCACGCCCGTGAGGATGACAAGCTGCGCGGTCTGGACGTCGAGAATGTCCTGCTGCCAGGGTGTGTGGAGCTTAAAACCCGAGTCGTCCTCGTGGATCGCACCTGGGAGAAGGACATACTCTGCCTTTGACTTGCGAATGTCGCGGAGAGAAAGCTCAGAGACATGCGGGATGATGCGCGAGATTGTGCTCAGCACTAGCGACCACTGGGGGTACACCGGGTCGTTTCGGACCATCATCTTCAAGAAACCGATCAAGGAGTTGATCGCCACATAGGCAAAGCTAGGCGTCGGTGCGGTTACCACTGCGTTCAAACGAGCAAGAGACGAGGGCAAGTCGAACGGAAAGTTCTCCGTCACGGGACGCGCGAACAGTGTCGGGTCCTCACGTTCGAGCATGCGGATAAGTTCGTATGACATGGAATCGGTCGCCACATCGTCCGAATCCAATAGCAATCGAGCCTGCTCGTTGATGAGAGCAGTGACGATGGGCGGGAGCACAGCACGGCGAGTCTTGTTGGTGATTGACTGCATCGAGCTGTTTGACACAGTACGGGAAAGCGTCACAGGCCGGCCCTTGGCAGCAGGGGATGGCGTGGGTGACGGACTAGGCGACGGTGCGCGGTCCCGCTGATCGGCATGCTCTGTTGACGTTGCAGGGGGGAGCAGTGTCACGGGAATGCGCTCGTAATCTGACGACTTCATTGTGTCGTCCTCGCTCCAACCAAGTTCGAGGAGACGTTGACGGAGCTCCAGAGGAAGGCCACGGCCATACTTTTGCAGCGCCGCATCCTGTGCGTCACGGGGCACAACCCATTCGGCAGAGCCGACCTCGGTGAGAATAAACTCCAGTTGTTTGCCTGCAAACTTGAACACGGCGCCGCGGCGGTCCGTGATGCTATCCTGGTTGAGAATCTGGAAGCGATAGCCGTACATCATGGCGAGCTTCAGGAGGGCCTTGCATCGTTGTGGTCCATTCAGGGCGAGGTCGGTGGTGACCAACAGGCGGAAGGATTCCGGGACCTGTTCTGCACATTTGGCCATGAGGAATGTCATGGGAGCGATGGGCTCGTCTGGCTGGCCATAGCGTTCCCAGACGATGGGCAAGAGGATGGTCCAGTCGTCAGGCGTGAGGCTGATCTGAATGGTGACAAGGAGTGACGAGAGCGAGGTAATCAACGGAATGTTGACCATATCTAGACGTGGCTTTGCCAACGTTTTGTCCAGAGTGTCATAGATGCCGCGCAGGGTACCGAGCTGCTGGATATCAACGTACTCGGAGGCCGTGGGTAGATCCACTGGGTTTCCTTTATACCACGAGACTCCGAGGCGCGTGGTTGCAGTTCTCTGTGTCCACGACGACGCGTCACGCAGGCGTTTGAGCGCCTGACACACGAGCGACCGGTAACTGACAGGCAGTGTACCTTCTTTCTCCTCAACTTCGAGCAATGAGCCCAGTCGGGACTCAAGAGTAGTGAGAAAGGTGCGTAATTCAGGCGACACATGGACAATTTTGCCCAGGGCGAGGATGAGCTCGACGAGCATGGCGTAACGTCCCAATTTGACAGTAACGACGTTTGGCGACCCTTCTTTCGCCTTTCCCTTGGCCTGGCGTGGCCCAACATCGCCCATGAGGACAATAGCAACCATTTGGGGATCCACTTGAGTCCAGTAGCGTGTCGGTCCCAAGAGCTCGGAGAGGGCCGTAATGGTCTGTAGGCCGCTTGCCAAGGACGAGGGTTGCGTGGCAGCAGCACAAGCGAAAAGCGGCTTGTAGAAGAGCTGAGGATGACGTGCCGCCAGCCAGACGAGAAAGTGCTTCACGTCCGGGTTCGCCGAAGACATCAATGTGAGACGCTTGAGCAAGAGCGGAACACATTTCTGGCCAAGGATAGCCAGGTCCGAGTCCAGGAAGTTCCGGACGGCCTCCATGACCTGGGACAAGGGATATGATCCGACGAGCTGTTGAGCCGAACGGTCCATGGCGTCCTTTGGACCAGTCTTGAGCAGGTTGAGAAGACGCATACGCTGGGCTGCGGAGCTGCTTCTCGCCATCGAGGTCGCGAACGGGTCGTGGGGGTCCACCTCGGAGCGATAGCGCTTGAGGGTCAGGTCGATGAGGACTGTCACGTACGCGCTGACAAGATTACCTTGCTCGTCGGGCAGAGGTTCACTCTCGTTGAAGATGAAGTCGACCACATCGGCGACTGAGGGAATAATGTCGGGATTCGACGTGGTCCTGATGATTGAGGAGAAAGACCCAAAGAACTGGATTGCCGAGTCTACTCGCAGCCGCAAGACGACAGGGGGAGTAGCATGCAAGATTGGCGTGGGGGCAAAGCGCTGGCGTCAGCTTCTGGGAATCCAGTGTCGTGGCTCACCTTCAAAACTTCGGCATTGTTGTTCAACAGCCAAGCAGTCACATTGGGCTCAACGTTGACTGCGCGTCCCGCTGCCATCCAGAGCAGCTCACGCTCGATACCGTACCGATTTGGCGAGTCCGATCCAATATCAGCCGCAGTGTCCTCCAAGAAACTGGGATCGACTCGCACAATTTCACCCTGGCTCACATCGCGAATGAGATCGCTCAGGAGCCCAGCTTGTTGTTCGCTGGGGTAGGGCGCGTTCTCCAAAGCGTGAAGAAGCTTGATGAGGGCGATGGTGAGTGACTCAAAATCGGTTGCGGTTGGGGGACGCGCAAAGCTCTCCGGGAGGGCAGGGTTGCGCCTCAGAACGGCAGACAGAAGGTCGAGGCCACGGTTCCGCAAAGCTTTGTCGTCAACAAGCATTGCTCGGCAGAGCCACAACCAACGGTCAAGCTCTTCCTATCCTGTCAGCACCCTCCGACATCCTGACTGAACTCACATCAGAGCTGTCGCTTGCCCAGTTTCGAACTACTGTTCCAAACACTTCCAAAGCCTGCGCGCGTTCACCATCCGTGGACGCCGAATCGGGGAGGAAGGTGACACCAAGCTCGGCTAGGATGGCGGCATGGTGTGGACAAGTGCGAGACCACACGCGCTTTGCTCGAGCATCGGGGAGATGTTTGTGGAGCTCGGTGAGAAGAGGAGCAAATGCAGAGAAAACGGGACCGGTGTCGACAGATGGAGCATGGTGGTCTCTTTGGTGGCCTCTGTCGAGATGAAGATGGTGTGCGGACCGCGCCTTGCTGGACTGCGGAGGTGCCATGTCATTGGTACCGGACACCTGAGCCATTTGCCTCAAACGACGGTTTGTTTCTTCCAACGCGCAGAAGTCGAGGCATGCTTTAACATCGCGGGCAAACCGACGACGCTCGCGGGACGCTTCCTCGCGCTCCTCGGGGGAGAGATCGACGGCAAAGCCAAACATGCCGATGGTGGACATGCGTGTGCGGTCGTATCCCATCACGTTTTCAACAGCGTTGCGGAAGCCGAATTGTTTTGCAGCCTTGGAGACGATACCGAGCTTCTTTGGAGGACCTCCACGAGCGGCAGACCCAGAGCCGGTTGCTTGGCGCTCATCGACGGGTGTGGGTTGCATGACGTGCTCGCGCACTTGCTGCCAGCGCTTCATACCCGGTGAGATGGGCGGCGGAGTCTGCGGCCGGGACGGTGGTGCCAATGTAGTGTTGACACTCAACCTCGGTCCCTTGGAGCGCGATTTGGAAGTCATCGTCGAGTTCTTGGACTCGGTGTTTCGTTCGATAGATGACTCCGAGTCCAGCATGACCTGCGGCGAGCCCACAAGCGGTCCACCGCTGAATATCATTGGTACTGCGTTTGGCACACCCGTTTCAATCACTGGTGGGTTTTGTGACTCGGGAACAGACGCCAATGTACGCGGGGTAAAAGCATCGACCCGAGCAGCGGCAATGGGCTCCTCGTGCATTGCGTCGAGGTCGCGGACCGTTGCCTCCAGGTCGCGGATCGTCTGCGAAGGAATAGCGGTCCGCCTGCGTCCCGTAGCCTCCTTGGCTTTCTCAGCCTCCTCATGGCCCATGTCGCTGAACAACTTTCCAGTAGTGAGCTGCGACATGGTCTCGGGATGATATTGGATGCCATCACCGCCGGTGCCAGGGTCCGTTGGCAGCGACGAGGCGGTGTAAGGAGGAGTACGCTCTGGGCCGACCTTGAACGAGTCCTCCTCGCCGAGTAACTGATCCAGCAGAGAATCTGACTGGTTTGCCAAGCTTGGGAGGACACCTGGTCGGGTTGCGGAGGCGTTGTCCGTTTCGTCGTCTGCACCGCGGCCAGTGACGTTTCGTGAGGGCACAGCGAGGGAGCGTGGACCGGACACACGCCTGGGGCCCTTGGGATGACTTGGCACCGCTGAGGGCGCCGAGCCTTGCTGAGACTCTGAGGCCGGCGCCATTGGGGGCAGAGTAGGTGGATGTGGAGTGAGATGGGAAGAGATGGAGTAAAGGCTGCACCTCGTACAGCTTCCTATCTGACAGAACTCTGGAATGCGCGGTCGCCAAGCGGGTCCCTCCACCTCGTGCGCTCGGGCCAGGCCTGTGCCTGGAACACTAACTGTAATCCGTTTAGAATGTTGGTCTCCCGTCTGCAAATGCACTAATGACCCAGTTCAAATCAGCTCTTCCAATAACAACACTGTTCCCCCGCCGCAGCCATTGCCGGCGTAGCAGGCTGCCGAGTAATGCATGGGCATCTAGACTGTATGTTAATGCTATCCATGCTTTCAAGTCTGGGTCGGGCACTGGACGCTGTTTGTTGACATCGAACAGTAGTGACGGCCAAGCCCGGCCCGCGGGGCAATGCCGGACCGAGCGGGCCATTATGCCGAGCGAGCGAGCGTCAGGCTCGATGGCTTCAGCACTCTCTGTTCACTGCTTGCCTCTTCGTCTCCACCCATTCCCCTCACCTGCGCGCTCTCACAGTCAGTCACACTCCTTGACAATTATACGTACAATGTCGGCCACCGAACTCCCCTTCCCAGAGCTCCCCCGCACCAACGAGGGCAAGCGTATCTGCCAGGTCATCAAGGTCAAGCCTGAGGCCCTCGACGAGTACAAGAAAGGTGAGGTCAGGCCCGACCTGATGGCGACTAGCTCTGTGTGAGACCTGCCACTGACATGCAGTCCACGCTGCGGTCTGGCCTGAGGTCCTTGGTGCCCTCCGCAAGTCCCACGTTGTCGACTACTCGATCCACTACCTGGCCGAGCTCAACCTCCTCATCGCCCACATGCGCTACATTGGCAACGACTATGAACGCGACATGGCGACCATTGGCGAGAGCGAGGCAACGCGCCGCTGGTGGAAGGTAGGTGACAGCTTCCCCCCACAAGAATCGCACCATCCACAGCGTGCTAACACTTGCCCAGATGACAGACGGCATGCAGGAGAGCATGGTTCCCGGCGCTACCGGTAGCGAGAGCGGCCCCGGATGGTGGACCAGCACCGAGGAGGTCTTCCGCATGGAGGGTTAAAAACAAGATTGATAAAACTAGACATTGGTATGGAGTAGCACAGTTCGTTTTGGGGGAAGGGTAGCAACTCGTGATGGCATCACATCTACACGCCTATAAATAATTAAACAGCCCACTCTGACACATCCTCGTCGTCGCGCACAAACGGCTTGTCGATCGCCGCCACAGTTCCTTCGCAGAGGGGGCAGACTGCCGCGATGAGCTCGTCTAACTCGGTACGCACGACCTCAAGGCGGGCCTCTTCCTCCGGATCCCGATTCTTCTTCTTCTTGCTGGCGCCGCCGCCAAGGGAGACAGCCTGGGCAAGCGCGTCCGGGATGATGAGACCACGTAGCCTGTCGCCTGCGGCCACAAGAGTGTTGCGGCCAGGGACAGCCAGCCAGTCGGGTGCTGCGATCGATTCCTGTCGCCTGGGTGTACCAGAGCCCGAGGGAGCAAAGCCAGACGAGAGGAGAGCACGGGGTCCAGAGTTGGACCCCGACATGAGCTCGTTCTGGAGGTGTAGCAGTCGGCGGAGTGATGGTGCAGGGAGGTATTCCATTGCCTGTTTGTCAGCTTGGTCGCGCAATGCGAAGCTCACCATCGTAATAAGACAATCCGCATGGAAAGAGTGCTGACAAGGGAAGACGTAGAACTGGCGGGTAGTAATCCCAAGACCGCAGCGCCAGCATTTATCGCTCTGCTCAACCGCAACGAAGCGAGACGTGAGTGCCTCAATGTCGCGCTTGATCGACTCGGCGGATCGTGTGGCTTCGGCCATCTCGACCTTGAGCTCGTCGATGCGCGCAGAGTAGTCTTCGAGGGCGGAGCAGATCTCCGTCTTGAAATCGTCAATGACGACAAAGTCGGGGAAGAAGGGCAGAATGTCCTCAATCTTGACAAGGTCGGTCGACTCGAGGAACTTCATCGCACTCTTGATGTCACCCTTCTCTTGCACGACATATCTGGCAATCTTGAGCCACAGCTTCTTGCGAAGTACGTCGTCGTCGTCGGGCTTGTCCGCGTTGATCTTGGCCAGCTCGAGGTCGCCCTTCTCCAGTGCAAGGTCGACACTACTCTCGTACAAACCCATGCGCGAGTAGATGTGCACACATGGCTGGATACGGCCACGGGCTTTGCACAAGCGAAGAGCGTAGTCGAGGTCATAGTACGGGCGCTCGGTGATGGGGTCGTCTGGACACGACGAGAGGAAGCGGAGGAGGGGTCCGTCATCGGAATCGGGGGCATTGGCATAGATCGTGAGGAGGAGGTTGAAAATGGTGGAATCGGTCGAACCCTGGCGGTGGATGACGTGCTCGAGATAGCGGACTGCCTGGTTGGATTCCATGGGCTCGGAACGTTGCTGAAGAAGGGCTGGGATAAGTCTGCGTGGGTCCAGCAACGACTGCCTCATCCACGCGTCAACCGTTTGCTTTGGCACGTTGCGCATCAAGAGGGCTGCGAAGCGGTAGTAGAGCTCGAGCGAGTCTTGACGACTGAGAACATCAATCGCCTTGGCCCAGTCCTCTTCTGTGACCCAGTGCTCGACGACCTTGGCGTGATCCTTGTTGAGCTCGGCGTAGAAGAGGAAGAGGTCCATGCGACCATGGCCGAGGATGAGCTCGTAGACGACACTGGGATCGAGGTTGACTTTGTAGTCTTTCATGAACGACCGCAGATCTTCCTCGACCATCTCGCGCTCCATCATGAAGGTCTCGACATCCGACGCTGCAGTCTCGGCCGCAACAAGGTCCTCGAGATTGTTGCACTTGCTGAGGTAAATCTCGAGCAGCCAGGTGGCGAGCATCATGCGCTGGGTGAGGTCCTTCTTATCGAGCTTATCCAGGCGACTGAGAAGGTAGGCCCTCAGCGCGTCGCGTTCATCGGCATCCACAAACCGCAGGGTGACGTATTCAAAGCTGCGCGTCGACTCGGCATACGCCCTGGCGGCGAGCATGTACTTGCCTTCGTCGAACAGCGCGTCACCCTCGCGAGAGCGGACAATGTCCTTTTGAGCCGCTGTGGACGCATATGTCAGGGCATCGTGGAAGGCTCCCTTCTCGAGCTTGGCACGCCACACATCGCGGTCTTCTCTGGCGACAACAACCTCGATGATAGAACGAGATGTGTAAACCCAGTACGTGCGCGAAATCGGGTCGGATGAGAGCCCTAACGCAGTCTCTCCCTGGGCCTGTGAATGTCAGCTAGGCGACCGGACATGCAAGCCAACTAACCAGTGGCAGAGCCTCATCCCACACAACCTTTTCATTCTCCCGGGACACGCCAACAATGCGGTCCGGGTACAGGAGAAGAAAATGCCACTGAGTGACGACCATGGAGATGGGAATTGTAGTCTTGGGGGCAGCCACAGACGAGCGACTGAACGCTGGGGTTGCAGGCTCGGGCGATGAGGGGTACGGCAAGAGCGACGGTCGGTGAAGAATGTCGGGCGTAGGAGTGGATGACAAGCTGGAGTGGTAGAGGCCCGGCGCAGTGAGCCATGCAATAGCTGTCGCCGCAGGCAGGTCCTTGGCATTCTGGCCGTTGGTCGTGGGGAGGTAGACGCGGAGCTCGGAGGAAGGCACATCACCAGGCAGCTCCTGGAACTTTGGAGTGTTATCCCGGACGTGCTTGAACACCTCCTCGGCCCACCCACCGCCCTTGCCTCCAGCGACAAAGGATGTAACTGGTCCCTGGACCTCATAGGCTCTCTCCTTGGTAGTGAAGACGACCCATGCCCGCTTGTCACCGCTGCTGCGCTTCTCGGTGTTCCAGAACCCAAATGCGATGCCCTCCACGGGCTCGCCGTCGGGCAATGTGAACACCGTCTGGAGGTCACGCTCAAGCTGCTTGCCCATGGGTAAATTGACCTTGAACATATCCTCGCTGGGTGGCAGTGGCAGGGAAAGAATGTTGCCCGACGCTGTGCCAATGAGGACGTCGGTCACTGGTGGCGCGACAATGTCGCCCTTGGTGTCCCCATCAGCGTTGGCGCCAGCGATGGGTGACCATGCGACAGAGGAGACGTTCTGCTTGAGACGGAGGGGACGAGGACGCCGAGATTGGCTGGTTGGTAATCCCGGGTTGACTGGGAGATAGAATGCATCGCCTGTGCTCGTGGTGATGATGAGATGGCGGGCAGTTGGGTCGGCATACAGCGCACGGATGGTGACCTCACGCTGGGACGACTGGCTCTTGTCTGCTGCTGGACGAGGCAGTTCAACCGTCACCAGCTCATCCGGATTATTAAGGTCAATAATGACCACCGACAGCGGATGCGTGGCAAGGAAGAGAATGTTGTTCACGGTCGTCAGAGCCAAGATGTCGGAAGGCGGGGCGTATTGGACGAGGGAGAGGGAGAACAACGGAGGGAGAGTCGCCGCAGCGCGCGAGGAAGGGATGAACCCGGTCTCCAACTGAACAGTCAGCTCGCTTGCTTCAATATACATTAAAACGTACCGCTCGCACGAGGCCTGACACATCGTTACCGTGCTCTGGGTCATCCTCGAAGCCCTCATAGGCAACTCCAGACAGGGCAGATGGACGTGCAACTTGCCCAGCATGCCGCGATGGTCCCGATGGACCGGCGGAATGCTCGACGACTACGAAGTCAGAATTCTCTCCTCAAGGGGGCAACTCACAGTCGTCCAGCATAGACATGGTTGTTGGTGTATGGTGCGGAGAGTGTTGAGCACAGATCACTCACTGGTCATGCTGGTCATGAGCTCGGATGTCCACAACGTCACTGCTGGGTACTTGCATGCCTATTATGCATAGGCTGTGTCTGCGTCGACGCACGCCTACCGCCAAGAAACGGCGGAGCGCAGCGGCTCGGCCGTCGGCTAGATCCGAAAGTGTTGCTCGGCATCCTCGTGTGCGCCGCCAGACTCGGGCCGACGGATTATCATCCTTGCTCTTGCGCTTTGCGAGACTCTTCTCTCGACGTTACTGTCAACTCCGACTCCACCCGCTCTCTCGCCATTCTCGTCTGCTGACCTGAGTGACGACCGACACCCACATGCTGCGACTCGTTTACAGCAGGTAGTCACTTGACTCGGTGATTCTTGGCGTTAACAACACCCCGACCTCGTCCGATTCCCAGCTCGTCATTTGGTACTACCCCAGGTCGAGTGACATACTCCTCCTCAACACGATTGGTCACATTCGGCAACTCATTTGGATTAGACAACCATCGGTCAACTTCACGCCCCGGGCTCGTCCGAGATCCACAAGGTATTTGTGGACTGGGCAGACGACGGTGACTACTAGTCTCCACAGGGCCCTAACAACAAACAAACCGCACCAACTCCGATCGCAATGGACGTCGAGAAGGGCGCTGGTGCCGACAGCATCACTGAGACAAGCGTACCTACCATGATGACCGACAACAACAATGTGAACGGTGAAGATGAAATGCCGCTTGAGATGGCCAACATCACTCTGCCACCTCTGAAACCTTCCAACACTGTACTCTCAACACGGTCCGCACGGGAGGCTGCTCGAGCACTCGAGACCTTTGAAGCCGCACCCGAGAACCCACGCAACTGGCCAACTGGACAGCGATGGCGCACTACGCTCACCGTGGCCGTGACTGGCTTCATCTCCACGTGTGGCAGTAGTATTGCTGTTCCAGGTGTTCACGCCTCCATGGACGAGTTTGGAGTAACGAATGAGAAGATTGGTGTGCTAGTCACAGCCTGCTATGTGCTAGGTCTGGGAGCTGGGCCTTTCTTGTTCGCACCCATCTCGGAGCTGTATGGCCGCCAAGTTGCTTACCACACTTCCCAAATCTGCTTCGTCATCTTCTGCATCGGCACTGCGGTGGCCGACACGTGAGTTATAACGATCTGGGAACCTCTGCTGACAGCCCCACACAGAATGACGGGTCTCATCATCCTTCGATTCTTTTGCGGTGTATTCGCATCCGTTGGCCCGGCTCTGGGAGTAGCAACCTGCGCTGATGTGAGTTTGCGCACTGCCAGAAACTGAACTGACTCTGGACAGGTATTTGCTCCAAAGGAACGCGGTCGTCCTGTTTCCATCTATGCTCTTGGTCCAATGTCGGGGCCAGTGCTGGGAAGCATGCTCGGCTACTGGATCCTTTACGGTGGCTGGCGATGGCTCTACTGGTCCATCACGATCATGGCGGCTCTCAACTGGGTGCTGCTATTTTCTCTCACGGAGGAGACGTATGCTCCGTAAGTCTGGCCGTTCTCTTTCCATGTACCTCACGTGTTGAACGCATGCTGACGACCACAGGGTTATTCACAAGAAGCTCCTCTACCGTATTCGTCATCCGCAAGCCGATGTCAATGGGTGGCGCGACCGTCTCTCCCCGCGCCGGATAATCCATGACTTTGGATGGATGAGCGCCATGGTGTCAAAGGACCAAGCCAAGACGACCTTCTCCCGAGCCTTCTCGCGTCCTCCACGTCTGTTGTTCACCAACCCGGTCGCCTTCATCTTCGCGGCATACTACGCCTACATATATGGTATCATTTACGTGTTCCTCGTCAGCGTCCCACTCCTCTTTGGCGCCCCGCCATTCAACCACCCAGGGCTCTTCTCATACCAGTGGCCCCAGAGTACTGTCTCGCTCAGCTACCTCGGCATGGCGGTAGGATTCCTGTGCTCGGCAACTGTTGCCGCCACGCAGCAAGACAAGATCTACAGATACCTCTCGCGCCGAAACGGCGACAATGGTGAACCCGAATACCGTCTTGTCCTCACCCAGATTGGTATGATCATCATGCCTATTGGGCTTGTGGTGTTTGGCTGGACGGCACACGCCGAGGTGCACTGGATGGGCCCACTTGTCGGCCAGGCTCTCATCGCGTTTGGCTTGATGCTAGCCTTCAACTCGATTCAGAACTTTATCATCGACGCCTTTTTCCCATATTCGGCTGCCGGTGTTGCTGGTGCCACAGCCGTGAGTTCCGAGTTGCCCGTGCGCGATACCATAACTGACCCCCGATAGGCAAGATCCGTCACTGCTTGTCTCTTGCCCATCTTCTCGCCGGAAATGTTTGATGTGCTGGGCTGGGGCTGGGGCGGTACGCTGCTCGCCCTGGTTGCGCTCATCGCCGTTCCCGCACCCATGATCATGTTCAAGTACGGCAAAGCTCTTCGCGAGCGCTTCAAGTTTGAGGGCTAGAGAGGCAGAGACACAGCACACAAGCCCAAGATTAATTACATCACACACACACACACACAATCTATCAATACCAGTCACCAACTTTAGAAGCGGCGGGAGCTCAAGCTTCGGGGGATCGTGCCGACGGTCCTGCCCATCGGCTTGACGGGGGAGAGGAAGGTAGGAATAACACCATCGCCGCTCTGGTGTTTGTCAGCATCAGCATCATTTGTTGTCTCCCATTGCAGTCATTTCCCCTCTTGTATTACCACACACAGCATGCAGTTCTGCCCGACTCACGCTCATGATTGGGTCCCACTGGAACGCTGGCTGTGCCCCAAACAACTTGCGCTTCTTCTTCTTCTCGGGAACGGCCGCCTCCTTCGGCGGCGCCGCGGGAGTGTCCGAGTCCGACGCGGCATCGTCCTCCTTGGCCTTGTTGTCCGAGTCGCTTTCGCGCAGAGCCTTCGCTTTGGACTGCGGGTTTAGCCGTGGGAAGGAATAGGCAAACTCACTGTTACCTTCTTGGGCTTCTTCTTGGGCGCTTCGTCCTCAGATGCACTCTCGACAGGACTAGTCTGACGGGTGAGCTTTGTTTCTTGAAGACCTGAGACCCACCTTCCTGACCTTCTCCTTCTTGGAGACGGGCTTCTCTGGCGAAGTCGACGACCTCGTCACTCGCTTCTTCTTTGGTGCGTCGGACTCGTCGGCAGTCGATGCAGCTGCCTTCTTCCTGGTGGATTCCTTCTTGGTGGTCTTGGCGCTTGCAGCCTTGAGCGCCTCCAGCTCCTCCTATAAGATTAGCTGATGAACCCGTGTGTACTCTGCTCACCTCCACAACGGCCAGTCGCAATCGTTCCTCCTGGGCCTCGCGATACTTGGCCTTGAGAGCCTTCTCCTTCTCTTTGCTCGTCTCCTTGAGCAACTCGAGCTCCTCCTCGGCATCTGACGCCTTGGCCACAGCCTTGGCAGCTTCGGCCTTCGTAGTACGCAGTTGTGCACGGAGCTCGGCGACTTCCTTGTCGGAAGAGGAGCTCTCCTTGCCTTCGGCACTAAGACGCTCTACTTCTGCTCGGGCTTCGCGCTCCTTCTCCTTCAGGCTTCGTTTACTCTCTTCGAGCTTGGAGACCTGGGCGAGGGTCACACGCTCCTTCTCTTGCAGCGCGTTGTTGGCCTCTTCCAGTTTGGCAATCTTGGCTTCAAGTGTGATAATCTCAGCGCGCGACTCGCCCTGCGTGCTAGAGACAAGGGCTTGAGCCTTGCCCTCGGCAGCGCGCTGGTGGGCCAAGGACGTGTTGGCAGTGGCGAGCTCATCCTGATGATTAGCACGTCATTGGTCACATGGACTTACTTCGAGTCTCGCAATTCGCGCGTCCTTGCCGTTGATCTCGGCGGCCAGGTCGCCCTCGCGGGACTGGAACAGCGAGAGCTTGTGGTCCCGCATCACACGAGCGGCCTCACTCTGAACCAGTCGCTGTTCTAACTCCACCATTTGGAGCTTCTCCTCGGAAAGAGCGAGCAACGCCTTTTGTTGCTGGACGAGCGAGTGGAGGTTGAGCTGAATGGTAAGTCCACTGCATCTTGCCTCACTGCGCGCAATCCACGCCCTCTTCACCTCACCCCTCTCTAGCCGGAGAGGATATCATCGCTCACGACTAGAGAAATTTCGGCGGCAACCAAAACTCACCTCGCTGCGCATCCCGTCGCCCTCATTCTTGCACCGTTCGACTTCCTTGCGCGCTCTGGCCGCCAGCTTGGATTCCTCCCCCACCTTCTGCTGGAGGACGGCGACCTGGTCTCGGCTCTCTTCCAGCCTCCTCTCCACGAGCATAATCTCGGCACGGTGTTTCCTCTGTGATTGGTTAAACGTTGCCTGACGCTGCCATGGCTTACCTCGGCCACACCCTGCTTTCGCACGAGCTCCTGCACTTGGCCGCTCAAATGGTTGATCCGCGCCTTGATGGGACCAGGGGTGCCGGGCACATCATCGAGAGTGTGGGATGGCGGACTGTAGCCCTTGTTGACGTCTCGGCGACGCTGACGCTTGGGGGTTGTCGGTGCGGACATGTTGGGTAAAGAGATGGATGGGAAAGACGATGATGGGGGTGTCGGACATCTCAATGTTGTTGACATAAACTCAGTCGCGTCCCATCGGAGGAGATTTTATTTTGTCCCCTCATATAAACCCCAATTGTGGCACCTTCTGTTGTTGCCACCCACCCAACTATTTTGCTGCAACAGCAGGTAACCGACGACATGCATGTCTGCGCTACACTCCCGTGAATGGAGGGCAACAAAAAAAAGCCTTCTCAATCGTGACATCCTAATGACCCAAATGGGGGAAACTTTGTGTATGTATGTGTGTCGTCGCGGGTAATATGGAACGGAACGTGGCTCGATGAGAGGTCAGAGTGCGGTGGGGGACATGTGTGTGTGTTGGAGAAGGCGAGACGCTATGTACAAAATATGAGTAAGAGTTATAGGCAGTAAAATGTCCTTGTTGCTGTTGGGGAAGTGGAGACGGTCTCCACGTTTGGGAAACGGATCACTTTTTACGCTTTGACCCAGAGCTGCTGTTGTTGGCTCGCTTTTGACGAGTGGGCAGGCGAACACTCTGGTCGGCAAAGCATTGAGTCAGGTCGGTGGTTGGAAGGACACCGGGGAAGCGCTTGGCCGAGCTAGGTTGTTGTCAGTATGTTGTTTATAACGGTTGAAGTACTCACTAAACCGTGAACGAGTTGCTAAAAATTCTAGCTAATACCTGCGATGACTGGTCTTTGAGGACAGTTGGCACAGAGAGGCTATAAAGGTCAGCGTCAGCCCAGTTTTTGTGGCGGATAATCGTCCGAGCACTCACGAAGAAATGTCGGCGAGGGTAAACCGGAGGGAGAATGTTCCCTCAGTGCGAATACCCAAGTCGTGGGCGAAGAAAAACAGACCAGGTTCGCCGTCCAGCCCCTTCAGTCGCTGGCAGACGGCACCCATGGATCCGACAAGGACCCGGCTGTAGTGGGAAGTCGCAGTGAGGCGGTCCGCGTAGGTGTCAGGATAGTGCGAGTTGGCGGTGCTGCTTCCAGGTGATGAAACGAGCGGCAGTCCAGACTGGCTGCCGATCGGTGATGCCGCTGGGACGTGTGTGAAAAGCGGCACCTGCGAACGGCTGCGCGAGCCATCTCCTGAACTCCATGGGCGTCCACCTCCGTATTGCCTGTCGTACTCGTATCCAGCTGTATGTGGACGGACGTCACGTGGGTAGCTGGGTTCACGGTACCAACCGCCGTCACCGCTCCCGCTTCGGTATGACGCGTGTCCAGACCCAGGACGTTCCATACTCCCGTAGTCTGGAAAAGTCTGTGGTGCGGACTCGGGGGTTGGTGGCCAGCGATCAGCAGACACTTGACGAGGTCCATAGGGTTGTGGTGGCTCGACCAGGGGTGGGCCGTGCCGCGACGAAGAAGATGACGGTCGCTGTTCATCGTACCACTCGTCATGAGGGAGGCCGTATGGAGCCCTAGCGGCTGAGGCACCTGTTGCGGCACGGGTTAACTGTTCGTTCGGAGCTGGCCAACCGGACGAGGGACCCCCGGGGGCATGGGGAGGGGGAGGGGGGTAGTGCGTCGGCGGCAACGGTGGTCCACCATATGACTGAGATGGGCTGTGGGCAAACTGGCCTGGACGAGGACCTTTTGAAACGCGGTAAGCCACAAATGTCGAACCATCTTCAAGAAAACACCACACTCACCACCGTATCCTGTCCATTCTGATCCTCCGCCTCCGCCTTGCCAAGACGTAAAGGGAGCTGTTTGGGAGCGGAGAGGCACTCGGTTGAATGTTGACTGCGCGACGTCGTACGGGTGATGTGCGAATGTGGACGGCCTCGAGGCCGTGTGCGTAAACAGGGCATACTGGTCTTGCCGCGCTCCTGGGTGCATGACAATACTGCGTTGCTGGGTTTGATCGCCATTCCAGAGGTCAACCATCAAGATGAAACGGTGGTAGTCGACAGTACTGCAGAGAGTCTGTCAGTGACGGCGTCTCCTCGACACGGGATTCATATGTCTTGGAGAGAGCGTACTTTGGAGAAACGGACTTGCCCAACTTGTCCAGGATTCGCAGCTGGATGATGGGCGGAGGTGAGAGCGGGCGTCGATCCTGCGAGTGCGTAAGCCACAAGAATTGACGCGGGTCTGAAGCCTCTGAGAGCCTCTCCGTCTACCCGGAGTTCGAGACCGAGCGGGACGATGTAAACCAACCTTGTCACCAAACCCACACGCTCGCGCCCGCTGCGGCTGTTGAATGACTTCGAGAATGTACACTCTGAACGCACGATCAGTTGTTTACTCGCGGATGACCCCAGTCAATGTTTGTCTGCCACTCACAAGTCCTTGGTGGACACCTCAACCTGGTCGCCGACTAGGCTGCCAGAGAGCTCTCGACGAATTTCAGGACCGCGTTCATCATCCCCATCGTCGAGCTCGTCACTGTCCTCGCCCGAGTCGTCGTTCGACTCGTCGGTGAGCTCGTCCACGGCCTCGTCACCTCTCCCATGGCGGCCGTTTGGCGGTGCGGACCGGGACATGGGTTCTGTGGCCCAGTGGGCCGAAGAGGACGCCCGGGGCGGGGACAGTGCGCGTCTGTCGCGGATATGGGCTCCTCGTGGGGTGTTGATGTCTACTTCTTCAGTCGCTGCAGGTGTCTGTGACCGAGATCTGGACGGTCCCGGCGGTGAAGAGCGTCTAGGCGACATTTGGCACACACAAAACAGAAGGCGAGATGCCGGGCTGGTGCCCTGGCAGCTCTGCAAGGACGTGGGGTTGCCGTTGGCGGTAGTGCCAGGATGTGGGTGTTGGGAGGGGAGCTTGGACGCCGTCTGGTTGTTGACTGTACAGTTGGCAGGACAAACGCATGGATTGGTGCGGGGATGTCAAGAAATCGGTCGAAACATGTGGGTGAGCAAAACGATAACAAATGACAAGGCGATAGGACTGGCGAACTGGACTGGGAGAGTGTGATGTTGGGGGAACGTACGTGTGCACCCTGCTTACGCAGAGTGTAACGTAGCACGAGGGACAAGCAAAGGATGAGGATGGGAAAGAGGAAGAAGGACAAACAACAGACGACTGTCAATGAGCTGCTGGGTGCCGCTGGTGGGAGGCGTGCGCGATTGCACTGCAGAACGAGTCCGGACACAATGGGGGGGCCAGAGGGCCAGAGGACGCGGACGGAGCATGGGAGTGGCCATGGGGCGAGGGGAAGATGTCGATCCCGGCAGGTAACCCATTGCGTTCCTGGTCGTTCTCTGGCCCTAATCAGATTGATGGAGCATGCTGGACGCTCGTGATGAGCCTCTCTGGAACAGCCCACGCAGCCGCGGTAGACGCACATATTGCGACTTTTGGGAGCCTAGCGCGCGAGTTTCGCGTGTTAGGTTACCAGTGTAGCGTGTTGGCCGCCGGTGGGCGGCGCGGGCCCTCGTAACCGCTGCTACGAAATGGACCTCTGCTTGTCCACCCCGACAGCAAGAGTTAAGGCCTATTGCAGTTGTCGTACCCAACTCCCGCGCGCACAGCGACCGTACAAAGCGGCTGCGCGCTTGCCACCGGTACCCCGCCACGGCGCCCTGGGTCTGCTCTCCTAACCCCCTTCCGCCACGGGAGTCGTACATCCCGCGCCAGGTCATTGCACCCAGAGCTGCAGAAACACCTTCCGCTTCCGCCGGCGGAAGTCCACTTGGTTGTGTGACCTGTGGGACGTCCGGCGACGCCGGCATGAGACTCCCGAACCTTAGTTTCTTCCACAATCCACCCTCCCCTTGGTACCATCGGGGTCCAACCAGAACGCCGAAACGGGCTGGTCTGGTGGCTCAGCTCGCCCTCGCTCACCGAAGAGACAGCCTCTCGATCTCCCCTCCCCCCTTGCTTCCCATGATTCCCAACCCAAACTACTATTTAACAGACCCAAAAAAAACTCACACTACAACTTTCAGGATGCCACGTTCCACGTGGAATGGAAGAGAAAACTGGTATTGGGCCAGAAGCGGCTGGGTAAGGATCGTGAGGACGGGAATTGCAACGGCGAATGCGGGAGTTTTGTTGATGGAATGCGCCAGCCCTTGAAAGGATGTCGGTTGTCGAGCTGTGGCTGCAACGAATTGATGGTGCACGGAATATCGTCTTCTTCGCTTGGTAGCGCGTTCGGTTTGCACACAAGCTCCAGAGTGCAGAGGCAAGGAACGCGTCCCGTCTCAACACTCCCGGCAGACTATGTTCCTGCGTGGGTCGTCAGGCCCTACAACGGTTGGAGGGCTTAAGAGGCACGCTACGCGTAGTCACGGAGGAGTGGGCGGATGAGGAAGTTGGGGTGGTGGCAGTAGTGGATCAAACGTGCAAGTGGCACCCTGTTCCAATAGCAAAGATCGTGGGGTTGGTCGGGCTGGAGGATGTAAAGATCCGAGGGCGAGGTGGGTGGGGGGAGGGAATCTCCAGGGCGCACAACTGAGGGCGTCCGTTTGACGTTTATTGTGCTGTGGAGTGTGCAGACGGGGGAGATTGCTGGGTGGGATTGACGAGGAAAATGGGGTAGGGATGAAGGAAAGAGGATCCCAATGAAAGAATAGGTGGAAGAGTGAAGTATAAGGGCTACAAGCTGGAGTGTTGCGTACCCAGACGGTTGGCGAAACGGGCGGTGTGGAAGGGCAGCAGCGTCAGCCACGACTCTGTTGTAATGAGAGTTGGTGCCCCAAGTTTGTCTCGGTGCTTGGTATGGGAGGAGTGTTGGGGGAGCGTGAACACGCAGTAGAATAGAGGTGGAGCAGGGACAGGTTATGGGGAAAGTGATGTACACCTAGACAGCACAAGTGGAGCAGTTGTTTTAAAGAATCCTTTACGGAGCTCTCCTCCGAGAGCGCCGAGAGCACTCGACACGACAACAGCGGTCGTTGCCGCATCTCTTGCTCTGAACACACCAAAGGCGCAGAAGCAATCGCCGTGTCGGTCGTATCAAGTCTAGATATCGGTGGACTCCGCCGATCGCACAGTGGTACTACAGGCTGGGCGTTCTTGCTGACAAGTGGCACCACAATAACCGGAACATTTTGAACGCCCGCCAAGCACTCCAGAGACATGACCGCATCTGCTTTGTGGGGTCGCACCACATGCTCCAGCGGTTGGGCGCTGTAAATTGATATGACCGAGCGCTTCCGGCCCCAATGAGTGTGACATTGATGAGGCCCGCTTGATGGTCCCTCGGCCATGTTGCGACAACAACGCTGCGCCCAAAAAGAAAAAACAAACAAACGCCCCCCCCCCCCCACCCCCACCCCACGAGCGACACCAGACCCATGCCATGTACAACGCTCCCAGTAACCGGCGGCGAACTCCACCAAACAATGACTCACCTTTGTCCGTATGTGAGCCGGCCAACCAAGTGGAGGAGGAGGAAGCGGTACCGATCCCGTCGATCTCTTTGTGTGTGAAAAGCGAACAGCACCGCGGCGCCCGACAGAGGTCGGGGCTACGAGTCGGCGAATGGGGCCAGAAAAACGTTGCCAAGAAGGACCCAGTCGGAGGCGATAGTTAGAGCTGCAGTGAAAGAACAAGTTTGAGTTGCCTGTGCTCAAGAGAAGGAGTTGAGAGAAAGGAACGTGTAGCCTGAGCATGTTATGCGCAGAGGTCGCGTGGCGGGAGCGCGTGCTCACCGCCAGGTGTCAGTCACCGGGGCTATTGTTCACCGCCTGCTCGTTGTCCTGTGCTGGGGCGAGAACCTGAGCTGGATTTTGCACGCTCTGCAGCTGGGACACATCGCAGGCACGGCACGGGCTGTCAACGCGCCCGCTGATCTTACGACATGGTCAGATGGTTTAGGTTGCGCGGGGTCCTCGTCCCTGCCCCCAGGGATGGGTGGTTGGAAGGCTGCTGATGCAGCTGCTTTGCCATTCGAGCACTCTCGGTCTCGTCAAAGGTACAAGATGAGGCGGGAGCTCGGACGCCGGACAGGAGCAATCTTGGGGCAGACTGGGTCGGTGTCGTGGGTGTGCGTGGGCAAGCAGAAGGAAAATTGGAACAACGCACAATGTAACGAATTGCCACGAGACACGATGCCACAAGCGCGTTTAAAGTCAAGTCTGAGTCCCAACTTTCGATTGCAGACGCCCTGTGCAACCGTCCACTGCCAGACGTCAGACATGACTACATACTGGCAGTTGGTAACCGTCGCGATCACCCCACCCCGCTCCGCATCATACCTACTCCAAATGACATTTTGTAGGGGTAGCAGTTGTTGCACCTTCGGAGGCTGGTGTGTCGCACGTCCTGGGATCCGCGGGAACAGCGGCATGGACATCCCGCCACCGCCCCGGTTCCAGTGACAGCTTTCATTAACCTTGGGTGGGATAGCATTATTTGGCATCATTATGGCAGTGAATGTTGCTGTTACCATGCAGAAGTGGTGCCTCTTGCGCGCAGCAGACTGCCATCTTGTCATCCGATCATTGGGACCTCGAGGGCGGGCGTACTCCCAGTTACCCATCAGGGGGGCTAAAGCGACTTGACCACGTACAGTACCACACCACCACATCGCCAGCTGACAAGAGGACCAGACCCGGCACCATCAGAGCTGTCCGGCAGGTCCTCGGTGCTGGTAAAGGCGGGTCGAGCGACCAAGGGACAAAGAGGGCCTGAAGCGACCAATGTTCAGTGTTTGTGATTCCTCTCCTCCCCACAACAGGTCGCGATGACGGCATATCTCCGTCCCACATTACCATAAATGGCCCGCGGTTCGTCCTTATGCCACAACATTGACAAACATCCGATGCCGTCGTGGGCGTGGGTCTCGTCACCGTCCAGAGACACCGCAGGAGTTCGGCGTGCGTTACCCCTTGTGCCAGTGTCGACCCCATTCCCATTCTTGGCACCCGGTGGCCTTCGTCAGCTCTCAAAGTGATCGCGAGCGTCGTCCTGGGTATCAACGTGTCCCACAGGACTGGCCCCATAGCTCCCTCCGTCCTTGGCCGCAAACCATACCCTTTGGCTCTGCATCCGGAACCACCTCCCAGATAGTACAGTACCTGGCGCCTGGCCCAGGTTGGTGCCACCTTATAGAATGTTCCGTGTCCACCGCTAGCGTCGTGGCCAAACTGTATGTATTAGTCTCATGGCGTCGCTTACGCACATGCAACACATCAGTCACTTGGGCGTCATGGAAAGCGACTCCACTGCGATGTCGGCGCCATGCAAGAGACAGTCATGTTCCGTAAGCGCGGCGTCTGTCATGACCCGGATTCGAACTTCTGCCACCAAGATCCGTATTGGGCTGTAAACGGCGTCAAATTCTATCATATTAAATCATCTCACGTTGTCACGTGACTTCGGTTGGTGTTGTATTGGTATGCCACGCCGCCTGTTTCGATGCTTTGCCTGTTCGGTTCCCCCACTGGCTGCAGCGCCGTGCGTTGCGGGCGCGCATTGTTCGGTTTAGTAGACACCGGTGACTGCCTGGCTCGCCTTTGGATGGAATGTCGCCCTCGCCAGGCGTTGCTTGCAGGAATAAGGGAGCCACTTTGGGACAAGGGAGAGCCTCACAAGGAGAAACAGTACTAACTCCCCGGTCCCCCCAAGTCCGGTTTACGGATGGATGGCGTGCGTTCCGCCACACTGCTCCGGCACATCCGGGGAGTCCAGAGAGCACCGTCGCACATATGTAGAAGACCTGTTGGGATTAGCTAAAACCCGCCCCTGCGTGAGGGTAACCGCACATGGGGCGCTGTCGGCTCCTTCTCGCTGTTGAATGAAAACCACGCGGCACAGGCAGTACAAACGGCATCGCGTAGAATAAAAACGAGAGCTGTGGAGGCTGCAGTTTCAGTGTTCGGCAGCCCAGTAGTCCTGTCCTGGTCGTGCTACTGGTCGTGCTAACCGAGACACTCTGCCCTCTGATCCTCTGACCCGCTACTTAGTGAGAATTAACTCAGGTTCCCAGTACTCGCTGCATTGCTCCAGCAGGGCCCTCGTTGGAACCAGGTGCGGCCTCGCCGCACATACCGCAGAGTGGTGTGCTCCAACTTGGACACGGGAGTCGGGAGCCTGAATCCGACGGCGGCAGCTGACGGCTGGACGTAAACGAGTCCCGAGGCGTGCACCCAGCTGTCCCCAGCGGACCCTGTGGCGAGCTGGAACGCCAAACAGACTTGGGTCGGGTTACGAAGTGCCAAGTGCGGAAGTAACTGACCCAGTGATGGCCGGCTTGACAGGATGAAGATGAAAATAAAGAAAAAGGGGCAGGCTTATGGCAGTCACCCCCGGACCGACTGGCTACAACACATAATAAAACGTAATACCGCTCTCGTTTCCTCTAGAACCGATCAATATCGTCTCTGGTAACTGTCAGCGGGTGGTGCCCCCACATTTGCTCCGTGCCCCCTTAAATCTCGACAACAGGAATCTCGGGATCCCTCGTCCGATGGGCCAGTTACTGATGGACTCACATTTGGCGGGCATTCTGGACGCGGATGTACAGCCAGTTGACGGCTTCACGTACACCCGTGCTGTGGATACCGTTAGCGCTGACCAGCCACGCGAAGCCATCTCGTGTCCCCGAACAGTTGTTGCGTTGTTGTTGCTCTCTCGGAGCAAATAAACTGGCCCTTGTGGACAAACAAGGGCCAGGGCGGTTTTATGCAGCGCTGGTGTTTCAAGAATACGAGAGACCAACGATCACACTCAGAACTGCGCGAGACGCAGCAACGAGGGATGGCGGGCCATTCTTGAAGCGTCCAAAGGCACTACTCGACACCCCAAGACCGAAACTCTCAACTCACCCTTCCAAGGCCGACACCCCGAGAACATCGAGTGACGCCATGCGCTCTGCACGCTGTGCGTCGTTGAGCTGGTCGGCACGCAGCCCGACCGCCTCGGTCGTGGGCGCGCCTACCGCAGAAGCAGAGCCCTCCGCATGGCCATCTGGCCGCGCGGCACGCTGCCACGCCTCGTATGCCTCGCGCACCTCGGCGACGGTGAGGGAACTGGGCTTGTCCTGCTTGTTGGCCAGCATGAGGAGCGGCAAGTTGAGCAAGCGCGGAGAGTTGAGTACCTCGTCTGTGGGCTGTTTAGCTGCGATCCATCCAGGAGGTTATGCAAGCTAAAAGCCACACGAGGCGACCCACCAAACACCTCCCACGTCTCGGCCAGGCGCGCCTGGTCGCTCGCGTCCACGACAAACACCACCGCATGGCATTCGTCATAGTACCGCGGCCAGATGGAGCGGATATCGCGCTGGCCACCGAGGTCGAAAAAGTGGAGCGTAGTGGACGGCAGCGAGATCTTGCCAACTGGTGAGGAGGAGGAGGAGGAGAGGAGAGGAGAGTGTCAGCTCGGTGAACTGCTATCGTGTTTGTGTCCCTTCCGAGGACGTGTGACACGAAACGTACTGTTCTGGCCGACTGTAGGACCAATCTTGTCTGCGGGCATACCCGGTGTAGGGTTGTACAGTGTCTTGATCTTCTCCAGCATCGTCTAGTGGACCACTGTCAGCTACGACGCCGTGTACACGGACTGTGTCCCTTAGCTCACTGTCTTGCCTGCCTGTTCGTTCGTTAGCGCACGCGTCACGTTGTCCAGTCTGTAGCAGCACGTACATTATCCAGACCAATGATGACTACCGAGTACTCATCCTTGCGTGTCAGGTAGTCGTGCAGGCCCCTCAGCAGATGGTACATGGTGTATATGTGGAGTAACATCTCGCGCGGACGTCGACGAAGATGAGCTTGACGAGGCCCCGCGCGTCATTTGGTTCCGCCTGGACCTTGACTGGCGAGAAGCAACCCCCCAGGATGAAGCCATTCTGCCGACATTGCGCATGCACACCTGCGTTGGCTCCTTTGTCTGGGGTCTTCAATCCTTCATATATCACTTTACGACTACAGACGCGGGCGCGGGGGGGAAAGAACACCCGTTACATGTTGTTACTTCTCTTTGCTCTGGTGTCCGCAAATTAACGACCCACGGCGTAACCATAACGCTCGCCGGCATTGCGAGCCATGATGTCCTTGGCGGGGCCGAGGAGACGGGTGAAGGCCTGCTCGCCGAGGGCCACGACGCGCAGCTTGGACGATGCGCGCACGGTAGCCGCACGAGTCTGGCGGTTGAGGAGAGCCAGCTCTGGACAAGGTGTCAGCGAAGGAACGATCAGTTTGCCCTGGCTGTACTCACCGCCAAAGTAGTCACCAACACTCATTTTCTTGACGACGGTGGGGACGCCGTTCATGTTCTTGATGGCCTCGGCGGAACCACTCTCAATGAGGAAGAACTCGTCGCCCTCCTCGCCCTCGATAAGGACATTCTCGCCCTCGTTGAAGGTACGGGCCTCGAGGACGTCGGCAACCTTGGCACGCTCAGAAGCCTTGAGCGAAGACAGGATGGACACAGTGGCAAGGAACGACTCGTACAGCCTGCGCTTGCGAGACGTGTGCTGTGGAAAGGGTGAGCACGGGCTAGCTGAATACCACTCACGTCAAGGAGGATGGTGCGGAAGGACACGCGGTCAAGGGCCCAGAGGGTGCATGGGGTCTTGGAGATGATGGTGGCCGCACGAGGCGCGCTGTGACGTTAGCCGTTGTGCCGTCGATTTGTAACGTACTTGTGCATCAATGCGAGCTCGCCAAACGACTCGCCAGTCTTGGACGTGTGCACCCACTTGCCCAGGTCGGGACGGTCGCCCTTCTCGGGCTCGAGGACCTGGTCGTCGCGCTTGACGAAAATGTCGAGCTCTCCAGACTCGACAATGTAAAAGTAGTCACCGGCATCGCCCTGCTGGATCACAGTCTCTCCGGGCTGGACCTTGATCTCCTTCATCGCAGCAAGAACATCGTGCTCCTGCTCCTCGTCGAGGTTGCGGAAGAGGAAGTTGGGCCTGATAGCCTCCCTAATTCGCTTGAGCTGCTCGTCCGACTTGGGGAAGACGGGCATCTCGGGGGCTGCCTCGGGAGCGTCCTCATCCTCCTCGGCAATGAACGCGTGGGTGGGGTCAAAGGTCCTCGAGGCCGTTGGCACGAGGGACTCGGCCGACACGGACGTGCGACGTCCCAAGGCGTATGAAGGGATGGGAGGCTCGTCAAAGGCGTGGTCGTCGAGGTCGTTGGACGGGACACCGACCGGTGCCGAAGGAGTCTGGGCGCCGGCACCGAACGGCGAGGCGCCGAATGGGCTGGCGTTGCCAAACGGACCGCCGGGAGCCTCCTCGCTGAAAGGCGACGAGTCGTCGGTGGCACGGGCGGTAGCGTTACCGTTGCCGCCGAATGGAGAAGAAAACATGCCGGCGCCAAGACCGGCAGCGGCAGCAGCAGCGGCGGCGTTCCTTGCACCGGCAGCACCACCACTGAATGGTCCGTCGGAGGGACCCTTCTCAAAGGGGGACAGAGTGTCCGAAGCGGGATCCTCGTCAAAGGATGACGGGTTGCCGGGGCCCTTGTTACGGCGCGAGGAAGGCGAGGCTGTCCTGGACGAAGCAGAACGCTGGCAAGGTGTGTCAGCAGAGGAAAGATAAGATATGTGTGTACGTATGGGTATTTCACTCACTTCCTTGCGCAACTTGTCCTGGAACCAGTCGGCGCAGAACTGAACAACGTCGTCGGGCTGCTTCTGCGCGACGTCTCTGTTGAGGTCGTTGAGAATGGCTTGGTAGGCGGGGTTGGGGGAAGCCATGCTCGATATGGGGGGGATTAGACAGAGGATGGGGGTGGGAGATGAGTGTCAGAAGACTGTCCGGGATGGAGGGAGGAGGTGCGAGTGGACGAGCCCGAGTGCAAGTGGTGTCGGAGGTGGGCTGAAGTGAGAGGCGGGGAGGAAGGAGGAGGAAGGAGGGAAGGGAAGGAGGGAAGGTGGCAGAGATCCGGACAGAGCACCCGCTGAACTGCCAGACAGAATGATGTGGTCGGGAGGAGAGGGAAGTGGGACAAGAGGTGTGGATGGGGGAGGAAGGAGTCGGGGGGTGGGGGTGGGGGAGTAGTGGTTGGTGGGGAGGATGATGATGATGGGATGGAGGATTGGATGGATATGGATGACGATGTGTGGGTGGGCTTGCGGGTGTGGGAGGTGTGCGGGTGGGTGTGTGGGGAGGGAGGGGGCAGAGGGGAAGACGACGGGCACCAGAGCTGCAGGCGTCCAGCCATGTCGTCATGGACCTTTTGCCGCCCGCTCTACGATGGCCACCAATTCGGCAACTCCTTGAACACGGTGTGTCTGCACGGGCAGCGGATCCTTTTTTCTTGCCCTTATCACTCTGTGTGTGATATACATTACACGTCATTTCATATTTGGCATGCGGGCCCTTTCTCGGTTCACCCCTGTTTGGTCCCCTGGTTTGAGGCATGATGGTGCGCGCGTCGTCGTCGCCCAGCGCGCCAGAGCGCGGAGCGCCAGCGCGCGCACGCGCACGACGCAGACTCGCAATTCAGACTCTGAATACATATCAACCCCACCCCTCCCCTTGTATTACAGTTCGAAGGATCGAAGCAAAACCAAAACGCGTGTGGGCGCGGTGGAAGGGCTGGAGGACCTGCAGCAACGAGAGAAGAGTAAACAAAGTGTCTTAGAGGAGCCGCGTCCTCGTCTCCCTTTGCACAGAAACACACACCGCATTTTCTGCTTTCTTCTGTTCACATCAAACGCCACACACGTCGCTGTATCCACTCTACCCACTCTAGCCACTCTCTCTCCACCCTCGTTGGTGTGTGAGAACATCCCCGAGACCCCCAAGCCCCCTCACCCCTTCCCCCTTGCTCTCCCTCGAGCTCCTGGCGTCCCGGCCATATATCCCCTTGGCGGCATCTTGAACCGTGCCTGGCTGCCTCGACTTCTCCTAGCTCGTCGTCCACCACACACCCAACCCCCACCCACCCACTCCCATCTCACTGTTGCAGAGGTCCAGTGTGTGGTCTCTCTATCACTCCTCCCCACTTGCTCTCCCACCTGGACATTCTCAACTCCCCACCCTCCCAACTCAAATATACACCTCCTCCCGACGGAACCCTCTCACCCACCTACGCGACAAAGGGGTACCCGTGATGTGCACCAGTGCCGACTGAGCCGCCCGCACAACCGTCACCAGCTTTGCTTCTTGGTTTGCCGTTTCAGAATCGCCAGCGTCGCGCTGTACGCCGCCCGCCGCTGCAAGAAGGCCATCACCTGCTGTGTCAATCTACACAATGTCCACCACACTCGCACAGCAGATTCTGTCATTGTCCCTGGATGACAATAATGAGAAGCGCGGCGACACCGCACCCTTGCCATCGGATGTGAGCCCACCACCACCAGGTCACGCGCGTACCATCTCGACCTCGTCTGTCACCTCGTTCCGCAACTCGGACGAGTCTGCGTCAACACCCAATCGCCCACCTCGCTCACCCTTGCGCTCACCGCGCAGGCGCACCGGCGATTCTACGTATGTCCCAAGCAGTGTTATTGCCCTTGCGGCCCAAGCGTGTGAAGGGAGGAGGGACATGACAAGCTGACCAGGGCTCAGAGCTGCAATGCTCGAGATTGATAATCTCCAGGTTGAAGTCGCCTCCTTGCTGGACAAGATCTACGAGATTGAAGAACTTCGTCACTCGCCGTCCCTCCGCGCGGCACACGCGTCGCGACTAGATTCTCTGCTCTCCGAAGTGCACGAGACAATCATCAACCTCTCCCCCCGCGTTGCGGCATTTGAGACCAACGCCTCAGATGCGCCCGACATCACCACGCCTCTCCACAAGGACTGGGCCAAGGTAACCGCGCAGCACGCACAGCTCGAACAGGAGATGCAAGAGGACCCATGGCTTGTCAGGTTCCGCACGTGAGTCACCACACACCCCCTGCCTTGCACGAATAACCGCATCGTGTAGCTAGCTGACTTTGGGCAGCACAGCGGATCAGACCGAGGGCATGATGGACCCCCTGCAGTCCAGCTTGGTGGACTTGACGGTAAGCTGCCCAAAACCATGTCAGCGCGCTTACAACTAGAACTACGCCGGACGCGTGCTCATGTCGTTCGACACGGTCCCCCTGTACTCATCGGACGGGCTCAGCATCGAGCGCCTACGAACCATGGCTGCGTCGCACGGTCGCATTAAATCGTGAGCCGTCACAAACTGCCCGAAGCTGACTTTTAGGACATACGTGCCCAGCGTGAACCGTATGCTGCTGATGATGGACAAGAGTGTGTCGTGCCGCACAGTGAAGAATGGCGAGGCACTGCGACGTTTGAACGACATGTCAACACGCTGGTCTCAGCTGCAGGACGGCCTGGCCAAGCTCGACGGCAAGGTCGCACTGGCACTGTCCCAGAATGACCCCGACGCCAACTACTTCAACAGCAGTCACCACCACCTCCAGGAGGTGTTGGGGGATGACTTTGTGTCGTCACCCAAGATCCCAATGGTCCCCACATTAGACTTCGGTCATGAGGGACCCGACCTTGCGCGTGTTCTCAGTGCTGGCGCACAACCTATCACTGCCACCATCGCATCGTCTCTCGCACCACCGCCTGTGCCGCGTACAGGATCTGTCACGCCCAATGCCCAGCGGACACTGCGCCGCGCCATCTCCCGACCTTCCCTGTCGTCATCCCAGTCACATGGGGCAGGCACTCCGCTTGAGAAGCCACGATGGATGTACTCTACCAAGGCTGGACTCGACAACAACTCGCCCCCGCCTCATGTGCCGACCACGACAAAGTCGCAACGCAGGACGAGCTACGGTGGGGCATCGAGTCATGGTGGTTCAACACATGGCGGCTCCAGCTACGCACCGTCCAACTACGGCACGGTACCAAGACGTACAAGCAGCCCGACGCTATCCAGCCCCTCGGGATCTGTCATCAGCTCAACTCGGGCCCCGCTCAACAACGTGAATGCTACCCCTCGCGCTGTCCGCAGGCGTGAAGATGAGCACCACGATCGACTTGCAACTGCCGTCACCCCGCTGCGTAGAGTACCGGTCCTCCAGCGAACTCCCGCACCTACGACACCAGGAATGCGTCCTCGACCTTCCGGAGTCAACACTCCTGGCGGTATCCGCCCGCGCCCGTCTTTTGGTAGCGTCGGCCGTGTCCCACCACCCTCGGCGTTCCGCGTGACCTCACCAATGGGGACACCATCGCGGCCTGGTTCGCGTGCCGTGTCGGTCAACTCTGTCTCGTCGACTATCGCCTCGGTCGGACTCCGGCCATTCGTGCCGAGCAAATACGACAACTTGGACTTGGAGGTGCAGCGCGTGATTGACGCAGTGAACCCGGGAATCTTTATCGCGCGAATCGACCAGCCGGTCCGTCGCGGGCAGCGCAAGAGGGAAGGCGAGTTGTGGAGCGGCGAGTTCCTCTTTGGCGCCAGTGGAAGGAAGACGGTCGTCAAGCTGGTCGAGTTGGCAGCAAGGGGCACAAAGCGCATCAAGTGTATGATCAAGGTCGGAGGTGGTGAGTTGTCATAACGAGAATAACATGAACATGATGTACTGACACACGCCCAGCGTTCGAGGAACTCGGTGCCTACTTGACAAAGTTGAAGATCGAGAAGGAGAATGAGCAGGAAGAGTTGGACGACGACATATTCTGAGCAAGAAGCAAACGGGGAGAGAGAGAAAGAGAGAAAGAGAGAGACACGAGGAGACCGAGGCGGCAGTCAAGGCAGGTGTCAACGAGAGAATGACAGAAGGGGCTCCATGTATGCATTTGTTTTTACTCATCCGGTTGTGTCGTCCTGCTGCTTGTCCTGCTCCTGCTTCTGTTCCTGCTCCTGCTCATCCTCCATCACAATATCGTCCTGCTGCGCCGTATCCAGAGCAATGAGGATGCCGCCCCAGAGACCGGTGACCTCTGCCTCCCACCCAACCGTATCCTCGACAGGGACGAGCTCGTCCTCGTCGTCGCCGTCAGGCCCCAAGACCTCGCCTCCAAAATCGCCATACGGTCGTGCCCAGGCCAGCAGCTTGTCGCGTGCCGCATCCACCATGGAGCGCAGCCTCACACGGGACGTCTGGTCCACCTCGCCGGCGCCCGGGACCGGCACCGAGACCGGCGGCTGCGGCGCCTCGTCGTCCTCGTCCTCGGGTTCGATCCACCCTTCGCCGCCGAGGACAGCGAGCCACCCACGCTCCACCTCTTTCAGATAGTCGAGCATGGCGCGCATAGTCTCCCCGGCCTCGTCTTCCTCGCGCTGCATCTCCTCTTCGGGGGACACGCCTGCGGGCGGGTGCAGCGGGATCTCGATGAGCGGTAACGAGGTGATATAGTCCATGATGGCGGCGGTGTAGCGCAGGAGATAGGCGATGCGCATCGAGTTCCATGGCTCGAGGGCGGGGATCTGAAGGATGAGGTGCAGGACGGGTGTGAGCCGCTGGAGGAGGGCGGAGAGGGGTCCCAGGCGTCTAGAGGGGGGTCAGCTATTGCGATGAGCCGGGGCTAACTGACCTCTTGCGCGCGTCGCGTTCGAGCGCGAGGAGCTTGGCATCGAGGTGGTCCCTCAGGCGAGCCTCTTGAGTGGCAGTCATTGACAGGAGAGGTGTCGGGCTGCCCCCGGCCTCGGGGCCGTGTTCGTCGGTAGCTGCCATGGTGTGGACAATGCCAAGAGCATAGTGCTCATGTCTCTGGTGGCTTCAAGTGGACATTGAATGTGGAGGTGGAACAACTTGGCCTCATTACAAAGTCTCATTAGGAACCTCTTCCTAATAAAAAGTGGAGGTCCCGCATGACATAACGGCGCGACCAGGTTGACTGGACTTGCGATCGTACCTGTACTTACTTCCTCGACATCACTCCTGCCCTCGCCACCGGGTCCAGTCCTCCTTTACAAACGCTTTACACAGGCGAGAACAGGTGGCAACAGCACGACAAAAACAGCGGAGCTAGTACCTGCCTGGCGGCGCAACATCCCTCGCACCGCAGCGCTCTCGGCCCAGCATGAAGTTTATGATCGATGACCTGCCGGTCCTGTTCCCATACGAGAGGTGAGTTGACTACTTCGTACAACAAAGAATGTAACTGACGCATACAGGCTGTATCCAGGTGAGTTACAGAACGAGGACCGCCTAACCAACTCCAGAGCAATACTCGTACATGTGCGACCTGAAGAAGACACTTGATGCCGGGGTGAGCTTCCTTGTGATCAATGCTCGTGGTCCTAGCTGACGAACAGGGCCACTGTGTACTCGAGATGCCCTCGGGAACAGGCAAGACGGTCTCGCTGCTCAGTCTGATTGTCTCGTACATGCAGGTGAGAGCTGGTCTTGGCTTGTTCATCCTCAGCTCGTCACTCACACCGCGCCCCCCAGTTCTACCCCGAGAAGCGCAAGCTCATCTACTGCTCGCGTACCGTACCCGAGATCGAGAAGGCGCTGGCCGAGCTCAAGCGTCTGATGGAGTATCGCGAAGAGATGGGAGTCAAGGATGAGGGATTCCGTGGTCTGGGATTGACCTCGCGCAAGAACATGTGCTTGAATCCAGAGGTGGGTGTGTCCGGACTGCGATCGTGCTTACCCGTACAGGTCAACAAAGAGAAGAAGGGCAAGGTCGTCGACTCGCGGTGTCGTGACCTTACCTCGTCATATGCATGTGAAAGGGGGCGTGCGGATCCTGGCAGTGTCCCGCTGTGCTCGTGGCATGAGGTAGGTGGAAGGGGAGTCAACGAAGACTGACACCTCGCAGGAACTCAACAACTATGAGACGGGCGAACTCATCCCAGAGGGCGTGTTCACCCTCGATGACATCAAGAAGTATGGCCAGGAGAAGGGCGTCTGCCCCTACTTTACTATCCGTCGAATGGTAGGTACAAAAAGCCCGCATTCACCTGCTAACATCAGATGCCCTACGTCGACGTGATCATCTACTCGTTCCACTACCTCCTTGACCCCAAGGTTGCCGAGCAGGTGTCTCAAGAGTTGAGCAAGGAGGCAATCGTTATTTTTGACGAGGCGCATAATATTGGTAAGGGTGCCCTAAGCTGGTTCGCGCTCACCCACCAGACAACGTCTGCATCGAATCGCTGTCCATCGACCTCACTCGACCCATGCTCGAATCGGCTGCGCGCAGTGTCGCCAAGATTGGAGACAAGATTGACGAGTGAGGATCCTACAACACGCTCGAGCTGACAATCAGGGTCAAGGCCTCGGACGCGCAAAAGTTGACAGACGAGTACGAGAAGCTCGTTTCGGGTCTCCGAGAAGCAAACGACCACAACGAGGAAGACGACTTGTTGGCCAACCCGGTTCTGTCAGACGACATGATCCAGGAGGCCATCCCTGGAAACATTCGCAAAGCTGAGCATTTCATCGCCTTCCTCAAGCGCTTTATCGAGTATCTCAAGACTCGTATGCGCGTCCTTCACGTCGTCGCCGAGACACCACAGTCCTTCCTGGCACATCTCAAGGAGATTACCTACATTGAGAAGCGACCCCTTCAGTTCTGCGCGGAACGACTTACGTCGCTTATCCGCACCCTCGAGCTCACCAACCTCGAGGAGCACTCGGCTCTGCAGAAGATTGCCGGCTTTGCTACCCTTGTGGCAACCTACGACAAGGGTGGGTACCCATACGTGCTAAACGTGTGCTGACCGCAGGCTTCTTGCTGATTCTCGAGCCTTACGAGACTGAGCATGCCACTGTGCCAAACCCCATTTTCCACTTCACGTACGTTTCTGCATCGGACGTGACCTAACGGACAGCTGCCTCGACCCCTCGCTGGCCATTGCGCCCGTCTTTGAGCGCTTCAGCAGCGTCATCATTACATCCGGTACCATCTCTCCCCTCGACATGTACCCCAAGATCCTCCAGTTCCAGCCTGTCATCCAGGAGTCATACCCCATGACCCTCACGCGCAACGCCTTCTTGCCCATGGTTATTACACGCGGCTCCGATCAAGTGCCCATCTCGTCTCGCTTCGAGGTCCGTAACGACCCCGCAGTGGTGCGCAACTTTGGCAGTATTCTCATCGACCTCGCCCGGACTGTTCCCGACGGTGTTGTCGCCTTCTTCCCGTCTTATCTCTACATGGAGTCGATTGTCAGTGCCTGGTACGACATGGGTATCCTAAGCGAGGTGTGGAAGCACAAGCTCCTGTTCGTCGAGACACCAGACGCAATGGAGACAAGTATTGCACTCAAGAACTATCGAGAGGTGAGCTCACCTCTTCCGGCGTTAGCTCACACCGCAGGCCTGCAACAACGGTCGTGGCGCCGTCCTGCTTTCCGTCGCACGTGGAAAGGTGTCTGAGGGTATCGACTTTGACCAGTATGTCTCCTTCGAAGTGGTAAACACTGACCGTCAAGCAACTATGGACGTGCAGTCATCATGTTCGGTATCCCGTACCAATACACTGAAAGTCGTATCCTCAAGGCGCGCCTCGAGTTCCTTCGCGACAACCACAGGATCAGGGAGAACGACTACCTGACATTCGACGCCATGCGTCACGCCGCCCAGTGTGTCGGTCGTGTCCTTCGTGGAAAGACCGACTGGGGACTCATGGTGTTTGCCGACAAGGTGGGTTGCGCCTTTTGTTGGTTGTGAAGCTAACCCAGCAGCGCTTTGCCCGCCAGGACAAGCGTTCCAAGCTTCCTCGCTGGATCAACCAGTACATCACAGACGCGCACTCAAACCTGTCCACTGATATGGCCGTGGTGCTCGCCAAGAAGTTTATCCGCCAGATCTCCCAGCCGTTCGACCACACCCAGACTGGTATCTCGCTCTGGACGCTGGAGGACATTGAGGAGCGCCAGCGCAAGGACCGTGAGGACCTTGAGCGCGCGGCCGAGGAAATGGACGACGCGTTTGGACCCACCACTGCCAACGGCGCTGCTGGGGGCGCGCGTATCGACGACGCAGACGTCGAGATGGACCATTTCGACATTGACGACGCGGCGCTCGCGGCTGTTGACTTTCCCGAGGACGTGTAGAGTGGAGCGCTATCTTGCCATTATTGCCAGTAGAGAGGTTAGGCGGTCAGTAGGCACACGTCATGTCATGTCATTTGTATCTTTAGGCAAAGGTCTCTGTCTCTGCTATACCATGCATATTTGGCGTTTAGAACGAGGCGACCGTCTTGGGGTCGTCGCGTCCGGCGTAGAACTTCTCCATGAACGTGGCTGGTGGTGCTGGGTCGTCGAGGGGCTTGAACCAGTGCATAATGTTGGGCTGGGAGCAAAGGTCAGCCAGTCTGTTGTAAGGGCGACCTCTCACCTCCTGCTTCCAGCAGTTCATGGTCTCCTGGTACTCCTGCTGGTTCTTGTGGAGGAGGAGGTTGATGACGTTGATGTCCTGGATGTCGCGGTGCTTCTCAAAGTCCTGGCGGATCTTGAGACGGATGGCCGAGGGAGAGACGTTGAGCGCGTACAGGGCGCAAATCTCGGGAGCGGAGCGGTACCACGCGCGGTAGGCGTCGATGGTGAGGCGGCGGGCCTCCTCCATCGACTTGGCGATGTGGACCGACTTGGCCAGACGGGACGGGATGGTGGTCATGGTGGTGGACGTCGAGTACAAGGACGATTCCTGGCGCCGGCAATGAGCTCGATCTGAGTGGTCGTCGAGAGCATCCACCGTCCGTCGCCGAGAGCTTGGGCGGCGGGAGCAGATTGGGCGTGCGGCCTGTGGGCGGGAGCGGCTGGCTGGCTGGCTGTGGGTGAGCGGAGATTTGGCGGTTATTGGGCGTGTGGCACTTGTTTCGCCACCCAAGATGATTGTTTGCCTGGGTCGATGACGCTTCCAAGCTCGACACCCACTCCCTCCGTCCATCACATCCACAGACACCATGTCCGGCCGTCGTCCCGCAGACGGCCCGCCCGCAGGGCAGCCGCCAGCAAAGAAGCCGGCGCTCGACCTGGCCGCCATCCGTGCCCAGATCGCAGCCAAAAAGGCCGAGGTCGAGGCGCGCTTGAACGCCCAGAAGAGCGGCTCAGCGAGTGGCTCGGCGTCGCCTGCGCCGCCGGCCCCCTCGGCATCGACGTCCTTTGCTGCGCCGGGACCGGCCGCGCTCCCTCCCAAGCCGACGGTCGACCCCGAGATTGCCGCGAGGATTGCGGCCGCCAAGGCGCGCATCGACGCGCTCAAGAACAAGCAGGCCAACCCATACCTGTCTGGCGCGGGCGCGCTTGCGTCGAGCAGCGCGGCGGCGGCCAAGCCCAAGCCTGCCTCGTCGAGCGGCGGTGTGAGCTCGGTCGCGCTGCACCCGCTCCTCATGGGTGATACCGGCAACGGAGCCGGCGGCGGCGGCAAGGAGAAGAACGAGAAGCAGGCCATGCGCGACAGGTACAAGACGATGGCGCCCAAGTTTTCGACTGTGCGTGCCAACGCTGCTGCTGCCGAGGAGGCCCAAAAGGTCGCGGCCAACGCACCGGTTCCCGTCACTGCGGTCGTGTCGAACCCGTACGCGTCGACCAGCGCGGCCGCAAGCGGCGCTCCCGACGACGAGGCTGGTCCGTCGGCCCGCCAGCGCAAGTCGCGCAAGATGCAGTTCTCCACGCCTGGCAGGTACATCAAGCAGGGCGACCAGCTGCGTAACGAGATCAAGCTCGAGGAGCTCAAGCAGCGTATCGAGGCACAGTCGCGTAAAGCCGGTCTCGACTCTGAGTTTGACGTGCTCCAACGTTCACTCAAGCGCGCGCAGCCCCCCGTCGTCGAGTGGTGGGACGAGGGTATCCTCCCCACCGGCACTACGTACGACAACATTGTCGAGGCCGACACCTACTTCCGCACCTCTGGCGAGTCGCTCATCACCCACCTTGTCCAGCACCCCATCCCCATCCCTGCGCCCTCGGACCGCAAGACGACCGAGCGCTCGCTCATGCTCACGAAGAAGGAGCAGAAGAAGATGCGCAGGCAGCGCCGTCTTGCCGAGCTCGAGGACAAGCGCGATAGGCAAAAGATGGGTCTGATCCCCCCAGACCCGCCAAAGGGTGAGTTGAATCGCCCCCGGTCGATAAAACTGACATTCTCCAGTGCGCCTTGCCAACCTCATGAAGGTCCTCACGTCGGACGCGGTGCAAGACCCGACCAAGGTCGAAGCAAAGGTCCGCCGCGAGGTGGTGATGCGACAGTTGCGGCACGAAAAGGACAACGAGCAGCGCAAGCTCACGCCCGAGCAAGTGGTCGAGAAGGAGTACCAGAAAAACATGCAGCACGAGAGCAAGGGCTTGTTCGCCACCGTGTACATTGTAAAGTACCTCACCAACGGTCGCCACATCTTCAAGGTGCGCGAGACCGCCAAGCACGACCTCCTGTCAGGCCTGTGCATCTTTGCGCCCAACTTTGCCGTCATTGTTGTCGAGGGTGTCGCCAAGAAGATCAAGCACTACCGCCAGCTCATGACGAACCGTATCGACTGGACCGAGGAGGCGCGCCCGCACGGAAACGACGGCGACAGGAGCGACTCGGAAGAGTCGGGAGACGAGGACGCCGAGAAGAAGAAGAAGAAGGACGGAGAGGAGGAGGGTCCCGACATGAGCGAGAACAAGTGCGAGGTCATGTGGGAAGGCGAGATTCCCGAGCGCATGTTCAAGATTTTCCGCGCGCGTCATGTCGAGTCGGACCGCCTGGGCAAGGACTTCCTCACGCCAAAGTATGAGGGCATGTGGGATCTGGCGAAGCGGTGGACGTGGCAGGGCGAGGACCTGTAGAGAGAGACAGAGAGGAGCATCTAGGCCATGCATGAGGCAGTGTAACAAGTCTGGAAACGGCAACGTTTAGCCGCGGCAGTTGTGAAACGCGTGCCGATCACTGATCACTGATCGGCTTTTTTCCATCACCACACCATCTCTGCATCTCTCTTCAACCAACAAACGTCCAGCACACAACCCGTATAATGCATGGCATGCATGGGGGGTCCAGAAGAAGCCAAAAACGAAGGCCCTCGCCGGGATTTGAACCCAGGACCACTTCCATAGCTGTCGAAGGATTAGAGACCGACTGGACCCTAAGAAAGTATGATAGCCACTACACCACGAGAGCCTTGATGTTTTTGGTTTTTCCGTCTGTTCCGCGAGCCGTCTGCCTGTTCTTTCTTGCCTTTGAAGGGGCCGCGACTCGCTGTTAGTGGGTCGAGGTCGTGTGGACTTGGTTTCCAAAGGGGGTTGATTGAGGAGGTCTTAGGGTGGGAGGGTCGCGGTCCGAGTGGACAGCAATGATGGACACAAAGTGACACCGGTTTCGTTGATGATGGCTGATCGAAGCTGAGATAAGACCTTGTCGGGCGTGGCCACATTCTTGCATCATCCTGGGATCCCATGATGGCCTGCGGCTGTGTGAGTACAGATGCATATACTCTTCTCGTGACATCGCCCATATCCCCGTTCTCACCACTCCGCCATGGGTACCACCACCAAGATTACGCCAAGGACGGTTCCCAGCTGGAAGCCGGCCAAGTTCATTCCGCTCGCTTTACCTAGCTCGTACCCTCCCTCCCTCCCTCACTCTGATCGATCTGTACTCTGCCGCGGTTGTCGGTGTCAAAGCCAAGGCCAAAGGGAACGGGAGCCTCCCCAAGGCCAACATGCTCCAAGACGCTTTGGCGGCGCCACACCTGCGCTGCATGCTTTTGCGCAAGGACAGCTCCCACAGCCACCTTGCGTTTGACGGAGATGCGGTGATCGCTCTCATCCTGCACGCCATTGGAAAGAAGTACACCGATCATGTCGGTGTTCGTGCCGTACGTCTCATTCTACTGCTGTGATGGGGTAACGAACTGCAAGCTGACCGGACGGCGCAGGCCATTGTCGCTCATGTCGGAAGCAACGCGGCCCTCGCTAGCGTCTGCCTCGAGTCCGGCATCCTGGACATGGCCTTCTCGCTCGCGACGCGTAATGGTAAACTCACGCTCGTCCCCACGGTATGTACGCACCTGCCGATCCGTGACGAGAGGAACAGAAAGCTGACGTGATGTTCAGAAAGTGGCGGCAGACATTCTCGAGGCGGTGGTCGCGGCCACCTACAATCTTCTGGGTACGTGCGGCCGTACATGCCTATCTCAACTGACGACAGGTTTTGCCAAGACCGAGGAATGGTTTGAGGAGATTGCGCGTCCGTGGGTCGAGGAGGTTGTGCGTAAGCTCAACTTTTAAAGCTACCATTCTTAATACTGTTTTCCAGTCATGTGTACGCCTGTGGACATTTTGCCATTGACGTCGTGAATGATGTTGAGGAAGAGAAAGCTGTACCGCTGCGCATAGTGGATCATAGTTACAGACTCCTTAAACGAATGCATGTTGCGTCTCGCCAATACCTAGAGGCGATATTCTGATGCACCCCTCAAGTGCCACTCACGAACGTGGACCCATTTGCTTCCGCACAACGAAAGTCGGAGAGAGCCCAAGTGCCCGAGATTTCCATCCACTCTAGACACATCAACAACAACAACAACCCCAACACCATGTCGGCCACCCCAGCGCCAGTGCCAGCGCCTGCGCAGGCACCAATAACAGCGGCAGAGACGACGAAGAAGGCTGCGCCCGAGTTCCCAATGGACCCGAACGCGCCGCTCTTCGTCGCCAGCGCCGTCGTCGCGAGTGGTGAGCTCACCACCTGCTTGGATTTTGGGTTTCAGCTCGCTAACACCTCTTAGCCATCTTTGGCGGCTGCCTCGGCGTCGCGATCGGCATCAAGCGCCGCCAAGACCCCTTTCCGTACGCGACGGGCATGGCCATCAACTGCGGTATTGCGGGCCTCTCGTTCTTCGGCTTGAGAGAGTACCTCGTGTCGCCGATTCTCGTGGGCGAACGGGGCTCGCCCGGCTACGCGCGGCGGTACGACGAGCTCACTAGTGCTGCGACTGTGCGTGCGCCTACCATCAAGGAGGTGCGGAGGGACAGGCTGCTCGACACGGCCATTGCGGGCGGTGCGACGGGTACCATCTATGGCCTTTTGACTCGTACGTGAGGGGGTGGTGGCAGAGACAGCTAAATCGGAGAGGACTAAAGCTGACCTACCAGGCCGCCCACGCGCTGCGGTTCCCATGGGTCTTGGTGTGGCCGCGTTCACGACCTTGACACAGTTCATCATCAACAGCGTCCGCGTCAAGCGACTTCAGGTCCTCACCAAGCGCGCGGCCGCCGGCGCCCCAGAGCTCGTGACCCGCGAGTTTGTGCCCGAGCCCGCGGCAAGCAGCGAGGAGGCGTTTGACGCGCCGCGCCGCAAGGACGAAACCGTCGGCTCGTCGCCCCTCTCGCAGCGCATCTTGCGCATCCTCGAGAAGGTCTCGCCCGTGAGGCAGATCAGCGACGACGAGTACCTCGAGACCCTGGAGAAGCGGCGTCGCGAGATTGACAAGCGCCTGGCAGAGATCCAGGAAGAGGAGGAGCTGCTGTTCAGCCGCTCGCAGGCCATGGACCAGGTCAAGACGCTTGACAGCTAGACTGCATCCTCCACTCCCCCCAATAGCCATCGCTCCAGGCCACTTTGCATTGTTCGTTTCGCATTTCATAAGACCACCCACTCCCCCACCTCTCCTCCTCCTCCTCCACCTCCTCCTCCACTTCATGCAGCATGTTGCAACTACACATCCGGGATGCGGTCGAGACCGCGACCACGACTCCTGGAGCGGGCCGCGAGGCCCTGCTTGCCGGTGACAAACTCGTCGAAGCGCGCCTCGTCTGGGGGAGAGAGTTAGCGATGATAGTCATAGGCCAACTCACAAGCCGGATGCCAGCGCGAGAGAGCGGGGCGGCCCTCGATAATGTCGCCGAGGGACCACTGGATCCGCGCCTTGTCCACCGCCTGAGAGTTAGACAGAGGGAGGCAGGGGCTGAACTCACCGATGTGGTCTCGTTATCGGGGCAGATGACGTAAAAGTCGTCCTCAACAAGGACCTTTTCGAACATGTACTCGACGGTCTGCTCGGGAGTCCACGCGCCCGGGGGCTTGGTCTTGGTGGGGTCGTTGGCGCCGCTCATGCCGGTGAAGACCCAACCGGGGCTGTTCGGGGTGTCAGCAAAGCGCCTTTTGGCGAACCACACAGCAAGATCATCCGTGCGTCACGTTTGTTTGTCAGATGAGCGCACGGGTGGCCGCCACCTCTGCGCCACTATCTCGGTGAACGCGGGCTAGGCAAACACACGAGGTGGTGAGAGATGCGGCGGTGGAGCACGCCATGCTCGTCGACTCGGATGTGCTGCTTCTGTCCGCCCATGGTTCTGTCACTCACATGAAGAGGTGGGCGGTGCAGACGCAGTCGGGCGAGTTGCGCAGTTCGTAGGCAACTGGGTTTTGGGTCAGCATAAAAGGCCTCTCGGGCAGTGGCACCCACGCTGCTCGGTGAAGATCTTGACGGCTGCCTTGGAGACGTTGTAGCCAGCGTTACCGGGAGGGGCCGTGATGCCCTGCTTGGAACCCGTGCACACAATGACACTTGCGTTCTCCTGACGCGCCATGGTCGGGGCAAACACCTGGGCGACGTTGATAATGCCCATCATGTTGACGCCGAGGACGTCGGACCACGAGCTCTGGAGGTCGGCCAGGTCGCGGGTGAGCGAAAAGGCCGGACAGGGCTTGGACGTGCCGGCATTGTTGAAGAGGAAATGCACCTCGCCGTAGAGGTCGAGGACCTTTTCGCGCAGCGCAACGACCTGGCTGACCTGCGAGACGTCGCAGGTGACGGGGACGACGTCGCCGCCTCCCTCAATGGCCTTTATGGCTGCGACCGCATCGTCGAGCGGGGCAACGTCCACGAGCACAATGTGGAGACCTTCCCTTGCGAGCTGCTTTGCGGCGGCGAGACCGAGGCCGGAGCTAGGTGGGTCAGTGCCGGCCAGGCCAGGCCAGGAGGTCGGGGGGTGGGGCGGGGGAGGATGGTGCGCATGCGTGTGCGGGCTGTTACACGGACACGTCGGACGGCGTACGTCTGACGGCGTACGCCGAACGACGGCGACGGGGTGCGCGGTGGAGGGGGGTGGAGGTGTGGGCAATGTGTAAGGGGCGGTGTATTGTACTCACGCAGCGCCTGTGAGGACGGCGACGGCCCCCTTGTGGACGATGGTGGTGGTTGCGGTTGATGTGATGGCTGGTGGGGTGGTCGACATGGTGTGGGTTGAAAGGGTGAGTGGGTGGACGGAGGAGGTTATAGGATGTCGTGCTTTTGGTGTGTTGCAGATGTGGCCGGAGAGTGGTGGTGTGCACGCGACAGACACGTCCTGTCTCAGCTCTCTCAGCTCTTGTCTTTGGGGGGGCCACTTGTACGTCATTGACACAATGGGCCCAGATACCAAAACACTGCCCATAATCTCGCACCCACCCAGCCAATCAGCCACCCAGCAAGTGTGCAATGTCCTGTGGCTGCGCTCCCGGCGCGTGCGACTACCCTCTCCCTCTCCCTCTCCCTCTCCCTCTCCCTCTCTCTCTCTCTCTCTCTCTTATCCTCATGTGCGGCCCTTGCTGCATGCATGCATGCACCTGGCGAACGTGTCGGTGCTGCTGAAATCTCACACACCACGGGATAGGCAGAAGATAGCGGACAATGTATGACAACGGCGGCGTGTCGTTATTTACCCGACTGGAACGCACCGTGCGCGCGCGCCGAGTCCTGATTGAGACCTGGGCTGCTGCGCAAAAGGTTTGTCGCGTCGAGTCAGCTATCTGCACGCTGGACGCCGACAGGGTGACAGCTAGGTGCACTGGCAGCACAGTTGCCGCTGCTGGCCACCGCGGATGCTTCTCCTCTGGGACGTCTCCGTTGGTAGTAGAGACAGTGTCCTCATGTGCGTTCTGATGGGCACAATCCAGGATCCCGCCTTGCCTGGAGCTTTGGAACTTTGCAGCACCTCTTTTACTTGACCGAGTCTACTGCTCTACTGCTTCGACTTCCGAGTTCTGAGGACACCCATCCCAGGAAGGATCAAGACGCCAGAGGAAACGTCCAACGATACGAGGGCACACCAAAGGCAGCAGTTGTTGAAGCCGACATCCAGACCAGTCAAGATAATAACCCCCGGCGGCTTGGTTGTATACCTCCACAGTACCACAGTCGGGACCGGGCCCTCCCTGCCACAACCAGCAGCCTGGCCTCCCGCAGCCTGCATGACTCAGCTGTGGGACGCTCGTCGTATGAAGGAGCTGCATTGTAGGACCTTGACCAGCACGCCTAGATCACACGAGCCATCAAGTCGCGGATATGGCGGCGATGCTGTGTGTCAGGCAGAGGGGATCCGGCATGCCCCGGGATATCCCCGGATGGAGTCCCCGGATCCCCACCCGGCCGTCCATGAAAAGCAAACGTCTTGCTGACAGACTGTGTCTCGTTTCTCCCTTCCCTTCTTACTACCCCGTGGCCTCCCAGTGATACATACCACATCCTTCACGACCGGTACGCATCCCCGTGGGGGTTCCACACGCTTCCCGGAAGGGACGACGACTGTCATGGACGTGCTAATCTGTTCCAATGACTGACGAGGCATTGCGCGCTGATCGCTGAACAAGTCACAGAAATCCCGGTCAAGTGCAGCGACCCACGTCCATCGCATGTCTACGCGTTGGCCTTCTATAGCATCCACTGTACAGCGAATCTGCTTGTTCGCTCACAACACTACCTTCCCGAGGTCACCCCCTGGCCCCAGCTGGAGGTTGGAGCTGCCTCGTTACATGATGATCTCAATTGCTCAAGATGCCTCCGCGTAATGCCACCATGACACCCGCAGCCTGCCTCGCAAAACGCGCGCGCCATATGGACAACAAACCGACCCTTCCCCTGCCCACATGGCATGCCCGCGACATTGTCGCTAGCCTTGGCACAGACGGTGAGACGGTGAGTATCTCGGCGACCGGGTCATTGTTCAGAGTGACATGCCAGAAAACACGCGCCCATGAATCCACCACTTATGACTGCGTGCTTTATGTCATCTCCGAGTCATCCCCGTGAATGCTGTATCCAGTGGGTTTGTCGACACAACCGATCCCAGACGGTCACATGAGCGTAGCGCAGACTGCATAAGTAGCCCACGACGAGCAGCACTGCAGCCATGTTCTCCGCAACTCTCTCTCTCTCGCCCTCTCACCTCCTCGCCCACCAACCCTCTACCTCACGCACACCACAATGTCGCCGCTCTGGGAGGACGTCCAACACACCTTATCGACCGCATGGGAGGACTTTAAACCGCCGACCTTGTCGAATCCATGGACTGCCGTGGGCCTGGTGGTTGGCACCATCGTCTGCGCGCTCGTCGTCATGTACCCCCTCCGCGCTGCCCGCCTGCCGTTCCGCAACCTCTCCGGCCCTGCCCCCTCGTCTGTCGTCTTTGGAAGCCTTGCGGACCAAGTAACCGGTCCCGTGGGCGGCGTGTACAAGGCCTGGGCGGCCAAGTATGGTCCTACGCTGCGCTTCCGTGCTCTGCTGGGCAGCTGGCGCGTCGTGTCGACCGACCTCACGGCGATCGGATACGTCCTGAACCACACGGAAGAGTTCCACCGCGAGTCCGGGTTCAACGCGACCATGCTGCTGCTGTGTGGAAAGGGTGTGCTGGCCGTCGAGGACGCGGCGCACAAGCGCCAGCGCAAGATTCTGTCGCCGGCGTTCAGCTTGACCAACGTCAAGGCCATGATCCCCGTGTTCTGGAACAAGGCATACGACCTCGCCGACGCGCTGGGCAAGATTGTCGACGACGCCGACGCTGGTAAAGGTGGCCCGAGGGGTACACCCGAGGGAGCCAGGAGCGGTGCCCTGGTGGACCTTTTGGACTTTACGATCCGTGCCGCGCTCGACGTGATTGGTATCGTCGGCTTCAACTACCAGTTCAACGCGCAAAAGGGCCTGCCCAACCCGCTGGGAGACGGCTTCATGGACGTCATGAACTCGCTGTCGCAAATCTCCCTCTTCCGCCTGTTCCAGCACTCGTACCCGGCCCTCTTTGCCATTGTATGTGTGCTACGGCGGCGGTATACATGGAACTTGCAGCGCTGACATACCTGTGACAGCCTACAAACAACACAAAGGCCATGAAGCGGACCCTGGTAGAGCAGAACCGCATCGGAAAGGAGATTGTGGCCGCGCGCAAAAAGGAGTTTGAGCGCGAGGACGTCAAGCTCGGCAAGGGCGCCGAGGTGGGCAAGGACACGCTCTCGCTGCTGCTCAAGTACAACATGGCTCCGGACCTCAAGCCCAGCGAGAAGCTGACCGACGAGGAGGTGCTTGGCCAGATCGGCTCTTTGGTAGGTGCAGCTGGGCGGCCCTTATGCGAACGCAGCTGACACCATCAGATGTTGGCCGGTAACGAGACCTCGGCGACCGCCATGTCGTGGGCCGCAATGCACCTGTACCAGAACCCGGATATCCAGGCCCGCCTCCGTGAAGAGGTCGACGGCGTCTTTGACGACCGCCCGGAAGCGTGAGCTCAGTTGCGTGACTGGCGCAACCAAGCTGACCCCTGCCAGCGACGACCTCATGGCCCTGCCTTACCTGGACAAGTTTGTGCGCGAGCTGCTGCGCTTCGACCCCCCGCTCCCCGAAGTCGTGCGCGAGTGTGCCAAGGACGCCGTCGTCCCGCTCTCCACGCCCGTCATGGGCCGCGACGGCAAGCTGATGGATTCGATCGTGGTTTCCAAGGGCACCGAGTTTGTCGTCCGTGAGTGCCCCCAGCGTCAGTAGTAGCAGAGAGCACGGCGCTGAACCACCCGCCCACAGCGATCAACGAGATCAACCGCTCCAAAGAGGTCTGGGGACCAGACGCGGACGTGTTCAACCCAGACAGGTACGACGACGCGACGTACCCGCGCGCAAACGTCCCGGGCGTGTGGGGCAACCTCATCACGTTCATCGGCGGCCCGCACAACTGCCTGTACGTGATCCTTCCAACGTTCCGTTCCACCGTCTCTGCTTTTCTGCTGACACACACCCAACTCCAGCGGCTGGCGGTTTGCCATTCTGGAGATCAAGACGGTCCTGTTCGTCCTGCTGCGCAGCTACGAGTTTGTGCAGCCGCCCGCAAAGCCCACAATGGTGCGCCACGGCCACGCGATCGTGATGCGCCCGCACGTCGCTGGCGAGGAGGACAAGGGTATCCAGATGCCCGTGCTGGTCCGCCGTGTGCCCAAGGTGTAGTAGATGGGAGAGTGCTGTATATAGCCAGAAGAATGAATCTCGTGCGTGACGTTTTGCAAGTGCCACAACATAGGCTACACCCAACGCGATCAACCCAGCGGCCAGTTACTGCCAGAGCGTCGCCCACAGTTGAGAGCGGTTGGCGATGCGGCATGTGCCCAACTCGCCATTCCTGTCTGCGTAACGGGTATGTACCTACCCCACTTTACAGACCGGCATGCACCTCATCTCTGCCCCAACGACGAGATGGATCCCCCGACGCACTCGTTATCTCGCCCCACGACGGCTCCTCCATGATCCATCTTCCCACATCTCACGCCATCCGTTCGTGGCAAAGTACACCCCCGTTAATCCCTCACCGTCTCACCGTGTAACCTTCCTTCCGTGGCCACAACCTGCCTTCCTCCAACCTAGCCAACCAGCGGCCAGCTACGAGAAACTCCATCGCCAACGAACCAACTGCAGCCAGAGGCTTCTCCACGCTTGTTGCTCCAGCGTGACCCGACGCTGGCACGCTGACGCGGTGGCTGCCAGCTGCTCTGCCTGGGCCCATTCCCATAGCACACGCCTAGCGTTCGCTCGCGCCTTTGCTCAAACCACGGCACGGCACGAGGCACCGCGAGCAGATCCCCCCCCCCATATCCTCCATATATCCCCATGTATCTGGGATATCCAGCTCTCGAAGCAAAGCACGGAAGCGCGTGGGGGGCTGGGCCACTTGTTCCCGCGCTGCGCATCCACACTCACAGTACTCTGCGCGCGCGCGGGGCGGGTTTGTTTCGTTTCGTCGTCGTCGTCCTCGTCGTCGGGATCGTTTTGGTGGCGTGTGGCGCCCGTGTCGTGGCTCTTGTTGGTGGCCGGTGGCTCGGCGCGGCCCCCCTGTGAGATCCTCTGGCCAAAAGGCGTCTAGCTCAGCCTCCCTGTGGCATGTGGCCTGTAGCCTGTGGGCACTGGGCACTGGCGCTCGCTCTGGCCGTTCTGTTCGGCACCACTCTGCTGGAGCGCTCGCACCAGCACACAGCACGTGAGAGCGCCCCGGCGCAGCTCGCAGACTGCGTGACGCTTCTCTTGCCTCTCTTCTCTGTCTCTGTTTCACTTTGCTGCATTCAGACGCTGTCAGCCAAGTAAAGTGGCCTTGTCTCAGTTCTCAGTTCACAGTTCAAGAGTTCACAGCACGTCACAGTCATCGTTCTCAGTCAGTCCCAGATTGGCCCCGCCCGCGGGCCGCGGGCCGCAGGCTGCGCCGGCTGCGTTACAGAACTCCCACTGCATTTCATAAAAGGTAGTGAGGTATCCTATGCACAGTGGACACTTCGCGAGAGGGATAGAGAGGGAGAGAGAGAGAGCGAGAGAGAGAGAAGAAGAAAAGTGTGAAACTATGTAGGGTATATTGGTTGGGTGTAGAGAGGGAGGGAGGGGGGGAGTCTACGCGCCGGTGGGGAGGCAGAGGCGGGGTTGGTGGGTAGTTGAGAGGGGGGGTAACAGACCGAGGAACAACGATTAGGGTGCAAATGCAAGCGTCGACAGCAACAGAGGCGTAGAAACGGGGCGACAACGGATGGTGGTGTCGCTAGTTCCAGTTCCGGGGGCACATGGATGGGTAGATGTGGAGAGCAGGGCGGAGGCGTGAATGTTGGTTTGAATGGGAGGGGAGAGGGGGGGATTATTGAGTGCCTGTAAAAAGGTGCGGTTGGGTGTGTCTTCTTTACCGGCTACCGGCACGAACGGCAGGTGAGGAACGCCAGGAAGCCGTTCCGGTGCTCGGGCATGTAGTCGCCCTCGCCGCCAATCTGCTGAGAGTTGCCGGCGGTACCGCCCGGCCTCGAGTTGACGTTCATGGGCGAGATGGCCTGGGCGCCCTTGTTGGGTCCGTGGTTGGCATCATAGTTGTCGTAGCCGCCGCCGGTCATGGCGTTGCCCGATGCGAAGGGGTGGCCGCCCTGCTGGGACTGGCGCCTCGAGTTCTGGTGCGATGGCGCCGACACGCCCACAATCGCCTGGTTGCTCGCGTTGGGCAGGGCCGAGCCCGACTTGCGGCCTCCCCTGGGGGTGGCACCGCCGCCCGAGCCGTTGCGCAGCCTGTCGACGCGGTCGCCGCCGCGGTTGTCACGATTCCTCGTGGGCTGACGCTGCACGTCGGCAGACGAGTGCGAGGTGCCAGCCTCCCAGCCCTTGCCGCTGTTGAGCAGGTTCCAGTCGTACACCTGGTCGTCGACCTCGCCGGCGTTCTGCAGCGCGGTCGCAAAGAGGTCGCGCAGGAAGTCGTAGTCGGGCGTCTCGTCAAAGGTCAGCTTGCGGACGTAGCTGAGGTAGATGGCAAACTCGGCTGTGGAAAACGTGTCAGCTGGGGTTCGAAGAGTAACATGCAACATTTGCCAACTCACGAGGGTAGCCCTCGCCAAGCTCTGCGATGGGAGTCGACTGCTTCTTCTCTCCAATCTTCTCGTACTTTTGCTTGTTGGTAGCAGCCTTGAGGCCCTGCCAGGGCAGACCGCCACGCAGGAAGTAGAAGAAGACGTGGCCAAGGGCCTCGAGGTCGTCACGGCGCGACTGCTCGCGACCCAGGTGGGTGTTGATGGACATGTAGCGCGCCGTGCCGCTGAGGCTCTTGCGCTCGCGGTAAGGAATGTGCTGCTTAGTCTTGGGGTCGCGGTACTGCTTTGCCATGCCAAAGTCGACGACGTGGATGGTGCCGGCACCCTTGGTACCGGGGCGGCCGATCAGGAAGTTGTCGGGCTTGATGTCACGGTAGATGAGGTTCTTCTCGTGGATGGTCTGAACACGCGAGAGCATCTGGCGGGCAGTCATGCAGCACGTCTTGACCGAGAACTTGCGGCCACACATGTCAAACAGGTCCTCGAGCGAGGGGCCCAGGAGGTCAATGACCAGAATGTTGTGCAGACCCTCCTGCCCAAAGTAGTAGACCTGAGGGATACCGGCTGTAAGGAAAGTTAGTGCCCGAGCTCACCAAAACATCAAGACACAGGCGACCTGGTCGTCCGTCGTGCCCGTCGTCGCCGTCCATGTATCCCACTCACGGCATCCGCTCAGAATCTTGTAGCTACGGTACTCGTCCCGCAATTGAGGAGCATCAGACTTGCGCGGCTCCTACAAGAGACAGTGGCGTTAGCACAAGACAAGTAGACCCTCGCTCGGCGCGCGCCGCCGCACGGGCCCCACGCGGTGGTCCTTTTGGCACCGGGCGCGCAGGTGATGGAAATGGGTCACACACCCCCACCAACACCACCGTAGATACGTACAAACTTGATGGCGACCGTCTGCGAGTTGAGGAGGTTGGTGCCTGCGGGACGTGTCAGCAGGGTGCTCTGCGAGTTGCAAGTTTGGGGGAGGAAAGGTGGACGCTGTGTGTTCGGTCACGCGCGCGCGCGCGCGCGCGCGCGCATCTCGGTCCGTTGATCTCGCGCATTTGCTCCGCCAATGCGGATACTGTGCACACACAATGGTTGCGATGGGCTCACCAACGTACCTTCAAAGATGACACCGAATGAACCCTCTCCGATCTTCTTGCCGACCTTGTAGTGGACGCCGACAATGTTGCTCGAGCTGGACGAGTGGCTCGAGCCCGTGAGGTGGGCGCTCGGGTTGGACGCAATGACATGGGTCGTGGCCATGGTGGTGCGGCGGTGTATTGACTGCGGAGGGTGGAGGAAGGGGGGGGGGGGGGTGCAGCGGCGACGGCTACGACGGGGGGGAGGGAGTCGAGCGGGGGGGCGACGGGCTGTGCTGTAGCTGCAGCAAGAGGGCGTGGTGGTGGTGTCAAAAGGACTGGGCGGGGATGTGTCGTTGTAGGATTGAAGAATGCGCGCTCTGAAGAGGGGGTTGCGGTGGCCGGTGGCTGGCGGGAAGGCGTGTGGGTGAAGGGTTCGTTTTGCCTTTGTGTGTGTGTGTGTGGGTGTCGTGACGGAGAGAGTGGTGTGGAGCGGGGAGTGTATTAAGAGAGGGGGGGGGCAGGGAGAGAGGTAGAGGTAGAGAGAGAGAGGAGGAGAGGTGTAGGAAGGAGAGGGAGATGTGGGTTGAGATGTGCGACGAGGAGAGAGAGAGGGAAGGGGGGGAGTGTGAGGTTGGGACGCGGGGGATGTGGGCCTGTCGCTCGACGGTGTGTGTCGTCGATGAGGGTTGGGTCGATGAATAGGGCCGTCTGGACCCAGCAGCCAGGCAGCCAGCAGCCAGGCAGCCAGCAGCCAGCAGCCAGCAGCCAGGCAGCCAGCCAGCCGCGCCCAGCCAACACCGCGCTGCCAGGGAAAAAGCCCCGCCCAGCCAGCCAGCCCAGAGTGACCCTTATATGACCCATGACGGAGCCTAATACAATGGTTGTATCACCCAAACCCGCCATTAGGGTGTACACACACACACAACATGCCACAAGCGTTATTATGGTACGGAGTTATAACCGGCATTATCACCACAGTCACCCAGACAGCCAGGCCCCCCGCACCCAAGCGCGAGCCACACACCGGGGTGCGATCGCGCGCTCAGGCTCACCATACAGGACGACCAGGCCAGGCGGGCGTGCAGTGACGCCAGGGCGAGACAGAGGACCGCAGACCATCAACAACCACCAGTTGCTCCCGACTGCGCCATCCCATCACTCTCTCTACACTCTACCCAACCACCTCCTCGTCCTCGTCCTCCCACCTGCTCCAAAAGGCACCCTCTCAAGCCCATCCCTCTCGAGTCACGACACTGGCGTGCAGCTGCCCCACACCCGCCGCCGCCGCTGCTGTATCCCAACAATGGCTGCCCTCGACGGATTCCGAGACCGTGAGTAGAATGAATCCTGCAGCCTTCTGCACCACCCAACTGGTATCGACCCCATGCGCGCCGCCACCTCCTTCCTCTCTGCATTGGGTGTGCTCGGTGCAACCCCCCCGCCGGCGGCCCGTACATTGGCTCAGGGGTTGCGCACTGCCATCGGTCCTTTGCACACACACCGCAGGCAAGGGAGCGAGAGAGAAAGACAGAGAGGATCCATGCAGCTCTCGATTAGAGTGCGACTGTACCATCGTCCATGCGTGCCAACAACAATGAGGTTATGGATGGGACACCTTTAGCTGACAGGTATTCCCAGAGCTCGTCCAGGTCGTCCTCTATGATGGCCGGGTTATTGTTGTGCGTACCGGGCGTATTGTGCACTTGCCTACTGCGCTGCGCGCCGTCGCCTCTAACAACACCCCCACTGACATTTGACCAACAGGGCAAGCTCAAGGGCAACGACAACTTCTGCAACCTGATTCTGTCGGACAGCGTCGAGCGCGAGTACTCGTCAGACAAGGGGGTCGAGATGATCCCCTTGGGGCTGTACATGATCAAGGGTGATAACATGTAAGTGTTCATTGGTGTCTGCTCGTGACCGCAAGCGGCGGGCATGTCGGTTTTGGGGGATATCGGCATGACGAAGGAGAGGTGTGCTGGACACGGACACGGACACGGACATGGACGCGGGCGCGGACACGAAGCACCAGGTGTCCTCCTGTCCATGACGTGGGGTTACGGCGTCCTCCTCGTGTCCCCCCACCTTGCCACATGGCGTCACGAGCAGAGGCGTGCTGGACGCAGACACGCACACGAAACACTGAAGTGTTTCCTGTTCATGACGTGACATGGCTCTCCTTGCTCCAACCTTGGCTGACATCGTCCCCCAGCGCCTTGATCGGACAGGTCGACGAAGACAAGGACGGTTCGTTGGACTATTCCGAGGTCATGGCCGAGCCATTGGCAGAGATCCGGTACTAGGTGTCCGGACCTGTCCATGGCGTTTGGTCGGGGAAACGCGAGTACCACAGCGAGCGCACAGTCAAAACATCCTCCCGCGCGTGCGCGCGCGTGTCCGTCAACTGCCACCGGCTCCTTGGAACGATACGACCGCCGCCGTGACAGAATGGACAAGAGGACGGCGACGGCGACGGCGACGACGAAGACAAAGACGACGTGGTGGTCCGATTGGGGGCCCTCGGGGCAACCGCTCGCCTGGCAAGACGAAGGGCTCAATTGCCAGCTGGGAGCGCGTATCGTTTGGCGTGTGCAGCAGCAGCACACTTTTTTAGCATCATCATGCATGTACCATACCACATTGGAATGACGCACTCGGCGCCCCGCGCGTCATCTGTCGCAGCGGCAAATTAAGTAAAAGGCAAAGTAAGTAAAAGGCAAAGTAATCGAGCAAACGCGCGGTTAGATCTCAGCCGTTCTGTTGTTGTCTGCACTTTAAACCTGCGGTTCCCACATCCTGGTGCGTTTGGTGTGACCTGACACAAAACAGACAACACACACCCTAACTAATTAACTAATTATAACCCCCAGTGCGCAGGTGCACACTTTTCCGCTCATCTTGCGCTCGACTCGTAGCCATTAGCAATTAGAGCCGAGTAGGTTTCGGCCCATCGCGTCACCCCCGGCACCGCCCGCGTTTGCCGTGTTCTTGTATTGTTTCTGGGTAATGGGTTATCCCCGGGTGTGCCTCCTCTGATCCTCTGCCTATCGTCTGGGCCTGTGGCCGGTGGCCTGTGCGGGAGCGGGAGGGAAGAGGAGAGAGGGGGGGGGGGGGGGGAGTACGAGGCCGATGAGGGATGGGAAGGGTATGCAGACGAGGGCCGAATGGCGCCACCATCCGGAAACAGGTCCGGAAACACGTCTTGTGTGGTGCGCGGTGCGCGGTGGGCAGAGGCAAATCCATTGGCCATTGGCATATCGGTATACCCATATAGCCAAACTGGGAGCTGGCAGTTGGCCCACGGCCAAGCCACGGGTTATAGGAGCTGTCTGTACTGTCTGTCCCATGCCGCCCGCGTCCCAGGCCATTTCTCAGACACCGTTTGTTCGACCGGGGGCCGCGTTGGACCTGTCCACGCGCCTCCGTGATATGATGGCTTGGGGTTTGATATTCAAAATCGGTGCACGATTGGACAGAACGGAGGCAGGCAAAGGCTTGAGAGGGGCCGAGAGAGGGCAGCCGCAAGGGCACGAGAGACTGGACCGGACTGGAACGGTGCCGCCTATGGACAGCGGCAGCGGCGCCGGCGCCGGCTGCGGCTGAGGCCATGGCGCTGGGACGCCGCGGCGGCCCTTGAGCTGTGAGGCCTCTCGAGGGTTCGTATCTGCTGCGCACGCACATGCACGACGAGCTGGACCACCGGGGTGTTGTGTGTGGGGGCCTGTTGAGGGACAGCGCAAGGTCGCGGCGACTGCCTGCTCCCTCACTGGCTCACTGCACCGCTGTATCTCGGCGGCCCTCGTGGAGAGCCTCTGGAGAGCCACCCGGAGCCACTGGAGCCACTGGAGCCTCTGGAGGATGCTCTGGAGCGCCACGAGCAGCGCCAGAAAAAACGCCCACAGTTCTGCCGAGATCCTAGAGAAGGCTTGGAATGTCCCTATGTTCGCGCCAGCACGTCAGCACGTCACAGATCACAGATCAGACGTACATGCTATACAGTTGCTTCGTCCAATCGTGCAGCTCGTTTGCTGCGTTTGGCTTGATCGTCTGAGCGTTGCTCTTCTGCTGCTATTGCTGGCGGGCGTGCAGCTCATGCAGGTTGTGCTGCCTGCTCGCTGCCTGCTCGCGCGGTTGTGCTCCCGCTTTCATGACCAACCTTCACTTTCTGTGGTGCGTTCTCTGGGGCATCGAGCATGAGATCATGAGACTGCAGTGGTTGGGCGGATGGCTCAGATTGGTGATTGGGGAACGGACAAACTGACATCGTAATCCCACGCGACAAGCGGGCAACAACCTTTTATTTTCCCTCTTTTACCTAACACTTTAGCTAAGATGAGGAACGGGTACCAGAGTACGAGTACGAGAGGATCGGCCCAGGTTTGGGCAATGGGCCCAGTGGCCAGTGGCCAATAGACTGTGCCGACTGGGGAGATAGTTGCTGACCCGACCAAGCTGTGGAGGGGGGTGTACGCAAGTCCGAGAGTGGAGTATGACATGCAAGAGCAAAGCCACAGCATAATACTGAAGCGATTGGGCTGTGTGCTGTGTCTTTATTACATCGACTTGCTGGTGTTTCCGTGGCTATCGTACCTAGCCACACCGCCGACGGCACAAGACACACCCTCTCCCCGGCTGCCCGCAGCATCCGGCCAATCCGAGTCCAAAGCTACAGTGCCAAGACGAGCTTGTGAAATAGTCCAGTACCAGCAACAACAACGTGAGAGCACTAGCTACTACTGATGGCGATGAATGATGAGCAGAGCGAGTATACCGACGAAGAGAGAGAGCGAGAAGAGAGGGAGTGTGCCGAGGACTATCTGAGGGCAGACTACACAGAGGCAGTGCCTTGCGAACACAGGGGAGTAAACGAGACATCCCCCCCCCCCCCCCCAGGTGTGGCCCTGAGAAAGTGACCCCGAATTGGGCATGTACAACTGCAAACTGCCCAGCTGGCCGCTGGACACTGCGGTTGAGCCCAGCAGCCAAGCAAAGCAGCCCAGTGTACCAGAGCCATTTGCCTCCTGCTGTAAGCGCTCGCTCGCTCGCTCTCTCTCGCTTCTTTGGTTGTGGAAGGTGTGGAGCCTACCGTTGTTACCCTGTTTGGCGGGAAATGAGCGCGCGCAATCCCTCAGGTCCACCGAGAGCCAGAGAGCGCAAAAGGTACAGGGCCTGGGCAGGCGACAGAGCGAGAGCGAGAGCGAGAGCGAGAGCGAGAGGGATATACAGCACTGTACATGCTGGCTCTGCCTGTGGCTCTGGCTCTGTTTGGACGTTTGGACCCACGCAGTGCCATGGAATGGCCCACCTCCCCCCCGTCCCCTCCTGCATGGGTCTAGCGGTGCGCCAGCGGTGGGTTGCCCAGCCGAGCCACCCGGTGCGGCCACTCATGTGGGTGGTGGCGGCCTCTGCACGCGCTGCCTGTCCTGCTGTCCCGGGCAGGTTGGCGCATGCGGCGTCGCGCGAGTCGCCTCTGGTTCTCTGGCATGGTGACAGGACCACAACGTTTGCTGCTGCTGCTGCTGCTGCGCAGGGGTGCGGCATGTTGCTTGCATGCTCGGTCGTCTGCGTCCGTCGGGTTTTCTGCGCCTCTTCCCCCGCGCAACCTGCCCTTTTGAGGCATCAAGGCCACCCAGAGGGCCAGAGATCCAGAGATATGCGAGCGATGGGGATAACCATATGCTTGCCTGGTCCCCGCTTGCCCTTAGAGAGAGGGGAGACGATAGTCCACTGCAGTGTTCCCCGCCCGCCAAACCGCACCTTTACCATCCCATCGTCCTCTCTGGCCTCTGGCAATCCTTTAAACCTGGCCCTTTTGCCTGGCTCTTTGGCCTGGGTTCGTCTCGACTGTCTCTCTCTCTCTCTCGCTTTGGGTCCCTGCTGCGGTTGTTTTCCTCAACACCCGTACCCTTTCTCGCTCGCTGGCCCCCACCCCATCCCCCCACCCAGCCCAACCCACCACACCACAGACACAACACACACATAGAGACGCACTCTCCAGCAGCTGCATCGTGTGCTGTTGACCATCACCCCACCTCGTCTTTTTCAACACACACACACACCCACTGCGCACCACAGCACCACCAGAGCACGCTGTACCCCGCCCGTCGTGTCCATTCCGTGCCCAAAAAGCCGCGTCCGGACAGAGAGCGCTGCCGAGCTTAAAAACCCAAAACCCATCTTGCCGCCGCTTGGCTGTGCTGCCCACGCCCGCTGTTGCTGCTCTCGCTCGCTCTTCTTCCCCCGCTGCTGCCCCTTCCCCCCCGCGGCCGGCCCAGCGTCCAGCCCAGCGTCCAGGGCACATTACTCTGTCTGCCTGCTTGCTGCGACCACCACCCACCACAGCGTACACCCATCTTCGGCGTCCACATCTTTCTTTGCTCTTGCACACACCACATCGTCGTCGCACCCCCCCACCCAGCACAGGTGCTTCCCCACCTGGCAACACCTCCCCCCCGTCCGACGCATCCGACCCCCCCCCCCCTCCCCCCCACCCCTCCTCCTCCTCAACCGCCCTCTCCCCCGCTCCCGGCCATCCAACCTCGCATCACCACCACTCACCCACCGCCGCAAGGCTCCTCCCCATCGTTACCAGGCCCCCGGTCCCCGTTGTCTAATCACCGAAAACCCGAAAACTGGAACCCCCCCCCCCCCCCTCCCCCGGTTGCAGCCTGGACGCTGCACTGCGCACCGCCGCCCAGATCCACATCCACAGCTAGACGCTAGACGTCGTCTCTCGTCGGCAAGCAGCAGAGCACTTTGTGTGCCAGGGTCTCTTCATCGGCCCCTTGCACCAACCAACAACCTGCACCGCTCACCCCCGGTCTGTGATCCATCGAGAGCCACCTCACCTCATCGTGCACACTGCTGGTTGATCCAGATCGCGATCGGCTCCCCCTCACCCGTCCCAGCTGGCTGAGACTAGACACACACCTTGGACAGACCGTCGAGACGGCCGTGCCCATCGCGTGACCCCACCCGACCGCCAACCAACCCCCCTTCCCCCCCCTCCCCATCCCCTTCCCCGGAACACCACACGCCTTCCGCCTGGCATTCTCCTGCACGCACGTCCTTGCGTCAACTGTCTGCCCCGGGCAACACGCACAGTCCCAGTCGAGGTATCAGGTGAGCATCAACATTCCTTCCGTTGCCGTGTCTTTTTTTTTTTTTGGTTGCCTGCCCACCGCGCGTCGTCGCTGTGCTTTTTTTCAATCCTTGTAGTCGCACGCGTGAAAGGGGACACACAGAAAAGCACACACCCGTACACGCCAGTAAAAAGAGTACACACGGGGCGGACCGTGGGTGGGTGGGGGAGAGGGTGTGCATTCTCGATACGGCGGCGTGGTGGTGGGTTGGAACCCTCCCCGTGGCGCTGCTGGCGCTGCCGCCGTTTCCCGAGCGTGTGCACAGAGACCGCCAGAACCGGTGCGCTGAAGTGCTCGTCCACTGTGCGCACTCGAGTCCGCGTGCGCTGCATGCCCAGTGGCCAGTGCCCAGCATGCCCAAGCGTGCCCAGTGGACGCGGTGCCGCGTGTCGGATGAACCGTATCCTGTGGGGTGAGGGCGCTCGGCACTCATTTCAATGCTGTGGAACACTCGAACGCATGTTCACACAGTCTATGTGTGATGTGTTGACGTGGGTTGCTCGAGTGTGCACCTTTGTCTGTGCACCTTGAGAACACCTTTGCACGTACAACACCCATGTCGCTCTCGCTCTCCATCCATCACCCATTGCACCATGGGTCCCACACCGCGGCCCCCTAGCATGACACCCCTCCACCGACGAACATCCCGACCCTTGCTGACACCTCCTCCCTTCCCCAGCCTCGACTCTGTCGTTGCCATCGTGTCGTCCACACCACCGGTTCCGACCTTTACCTTCTCCAACACGCAGCAGTACTTTGCTTCCTTTGGCAACTCGCAGCCAACGGACCCGTCTGGCAACGGATTCTTCAACGACCCGCTCCTGAACGATCCTCCGGGGTCGTGCAGTGTAAAGGCCGACGTCTGGATCGGCGCTCAGTTGAGTTCGCCGCCGTCCCCCGCCACGTGAGTTTGCATGGAGAGTGCATGGAGTGCATGGAGGGTTGCTTGATTCATGATTCACAAAAAAAAACGGGCTCCACCTAGATCTTGCTCGCGCGCTTTCGTCAGGGTCAAAAAGCCCGTTGCTAACACGCGCACAGAATAGATTCAACCACGGATTCTCAGGCAGGGGGGGAGTATTTCCCCCCTTCGTCCGAGAGCGTCAGTGGAGACTCGCCCACTGCCCAGGCAGAACGTCGAGCATTAAGTCTCAACATTGCCGGTCTCCCTCCCAACCTCCAGCTCAGTGCTGGCTTTTCACCAGCCTCGCTCGTCAGCTCGAGCGCTCCTTTTACCGACAACCTGTCCCTCGGCATGGATCCCGCAGAGGACTACTTTCACTTTAACGAGGCGGCGTTGGGTCCGTCGGCAGAGGCCGCGGCCCAGGTCGCGGCAACACAGGCCATGTGTGATCAGGCCAATGCTGTTGCCGCTGCTTCCCAGGCAGCAGCAGCAAGTCAGGCAGCAGCAGCAGCAAGCCAGCAAGCCGTTAGCCAAGCCGCCAGCCAGGCGTCGGCAATGTCCTCGGCCCAGAACACACCTGCACCGCAGCAGCAGATGCAGCAGACTCCATCGCAGCAGTCTGCCAACGCCGTCAGCATGACGGGGCCCTCGTCCACCGGCACGTTCGGCTACCGGCTTCCGGCATCACAACCTTCCTCCCCTATCCGGGGTGTCTTCCACCCTGGTCAAGGCCAGCATGCCTTTGCCATGACAGGAGCCGGAAGGCAGCGCGGCGCGACTGTCAGCGGCTTGCCACAGCAAGAGTACCAGCAGGTCCAGCAACACTATCAAAACGTTGTCAATGGCGTGCCCACCGTTGCCTCGGTTCCAGTGTCTGCCGTGCCTTCACACATGGCGTTTTCCGCCATCCATTCCCCGACAGCGTCGTCTCACGTCGTGTCGCCGCCATTGTCGGACCGACCAGCAAACGTGTTCCTCGGCGAGCCAAACGCGGCCCAGGTGTCGGCCGCCCTCGCTGGTCTCGGCGGAGACGTGACCATGGAGGACGCGTCCATGGTGTCTGGCAGCCGGCGCTCGTCTGGCAGCCAGGCAAACTCGGCCCCTCCGACCTCTGTTCCAAATCCAGTGTCCGGGGCCCAAGCGGTGGCGTCTGTCAACCAGAGCATTGCGGCGTCAGTGCAGGCAGCAAGCGAGGCGGTCGAGCGCCTGACCTTGGAACGCTTGACAATGATCGATAAGTGAGTAGTTTCGGCTTGGTGTTTGTTCTTGTTGTCGAAAAAAAAAACACCCCAGTGGCTGACCATCCCATCAGCATCGTCAGCCAAGCCCACAGTGCTCGCGAGGCCTTGCTACGAGGTCAAAACGACAAGGTGCCCGAGGCGCTCGGCCAGATCAGTACGCAGCTGGAAATCGCCAGTGACCTTGGCGTCGCCCCAGCGCCGACGCCGCGCGAGACGACTCCCGGATCGGGATCGCAGGCCATCTCACCGATGAACTACTCGCCGACTGCTCAGACCACCACCATGGCGGTCAGCAGTGCAATGCTCGCTGGTGCGGGTGGTGCGCCGTCCAACCAGCAGCAGCCCATGCCCATGGCGCCGGCCGTCCCTGCTCTCCCTGCTCTCCTCCCCGCGCTGCCAATCGGCCAGCAGCAGCAGATGAACATGGTCCAGCAGCAGCAACAGCAACAGCAGCAGCAGCAACAACAGCAGCAGCAGCAGCAACAGCAACAGCAACAGCAACAGCAACAGCAGCAGCAGCAGCAGCAGCAGCAGGCCGTGGTCAGCCCGCCAGTAGCCATGGCTGGTCCTGGTTACATGCCAGTGGCGACATCGCAAGGCCTCACCTCGCAGCCCCTGGTCCACTCGCACTCGTACCCCAACGGTGCGCACCAGATGCAGAGCCAGATGCTGCCCGCGACCATGCCCACCACGCCCATCAGCGCCAGCACCAACTTTTCCACGACCATGGCGCAACACATGCCCATGTTCTCGTCGCCGCTTGCCGTCATGCCCCCCTCGCGTCCTGCCAGTCCCAAGCAGTTTGCCAACTGGATGCCCGACAACAATGCGGCCGCGGCCGCCGCCGCTGTCGCCGCTGCGACGGGTGGCATGCCACCGCAGATGGTGAACGGACAGCTGGCACAAGCGCAGGCCCAAGCTCTGGCACAGGTCCAGGCCCAAGCACAAGCGCAGGCCCAGGCGGCTGTGGTGGCAGCACAGACCACCGAGGCGGTCAAGTCTCGCCGCCCTTCGGTGGCTGAGCAGCGTTCCGACGGCCGGCCCATCGTCCGCGGGCGCAGCGCATCAGTTGCCAAGCCCGGATCGCTCGCGTTGACGCCAAACGTCAGCCTGCCGCCGTCGGCGTGGCAGTCGCGCCAGGGCTCGCCCATTGACGACGACGACGATGAGGACGACGACGACGACGACGAGGCACCTCGCAGGCCCAAGCGCAGGAGGAGCTCGGCTGGGCCCGATGCCAATGATGCGCTCCACAACAACGTCACCATCTCGGACGACATCCGCCAGCAGCTCGACCAGATCTTCAACGAGTTCCTCAACAAGGTGTGCCAGAACTGTGAGTAGTAGCGAGCCGCCCTGTTTTTTTTTTTGCCTTTGCTCACACGTTATCAGTGGAAATTGTCGATAACAAGGGCGAAAAGCTCCACCAAGTCCTCATGCCCAAGAAGATGCAAAAGCTGGACGAGTCCAAGGACTTTCGCCCTTTCAAGTTCCGCATCCAGGCGTTCACCAATGCGTTCCACCAGGAACTGCTGGACCGCGGTATCACCGAGGAGACGCTGTCTGTGAAAAAGGTCAAGACGTATCTCTGGCACCAGGAGCTTATCTCGCGCTTCAACGCCGACGGTAAAAAGGCAAAGTCCAAGGGCAACCATATCTGGCACGTCGACGCCAAGAAGCTGCCCAGCGGCGGCTATGTCTTCCGCCCGTTCCAGCGCAAGATTATCGGCACGCCGCAGGCGTTTGCGTGAGTTTTTTTTGTTGAAGCAGGTGCTGTGGGAAAACACGAAGGAACAACGATGGCTGATGGCGTTTTCTTTCTCAGTGTGGTCAACCAGCGATACGAGTGGGAACCCAAAATCTGGGATCCCATGGCGCCGTCGGCAAGTATCAAGCCAACGTTCAAGTCGCCACCGGGCCTGCTCCCGCCATGGCTCATGTGGGAAGACGACATGCGCCTCGTGGGCGTCCCGGATGTTGGCCCCCACCCCCCGATCCACGTCGTGGCCATTGCCCAGGTACGTTTGTTTTGCGATAGCGCTGGCGGGTATTGCTGTTGCTGACGGAGTGCAGTTTGTCGATGGGGCCGGGAACATGGCCGAGCTGGAGCACTCGTTCGTCCTCACGGTCATTGACCAGGTGCAGATGCAGCCGCCCAACATGGAAGCGTGAGTCCGAGTGCCTATCTGGGGATTGGGGATTCCCCGCAAGCCTGTGTGTGCTGACAGAAACAGCATGGGCTACGCACCGCAGGTCATGGTCCCGCAGCAGCAGCAGCAGTGGATCAGCGGCATGAACGGCATGAACGCCGACGCCGTGTCGATGGAGCTTGCCGCGGCACAGGCGGCCCAGGCCCAGGCCAAGTGAGTCGAGTCAGATAGCGCGGTGACGCGAGTGTGATCTGACACTGCTCCAGCATGGCGTACCAGGCCAACATGAATGCCATGTACCACCCGAACGCGTACGGCGCATAGTGGACGCGACGGCGGACGCACCCGGCGGCCCGCACCAGAAAACAACACCAGTAGACACACAGTACCCGTGTCGAAGCAACAACCCCCTCCTCAATCCTCCCCTCCTCAATCCTCCCCTCCTCTCCCTCCCTCGCCTCCTCTCCTCCTCCTCCTCTCCTCCTCCCTCTCTCTCCTTTTCCTCTTTGGGTGTCTTCAGCGCGCACATTCGGCGCATGTGTGTACGAGATCAGAAGAGGCCGCAGGCGGCATGAGAACGCCCATGTGACGTCCCCCCCCCCCCCCCCCACCACCACCCCCCGCCCAGCGGCGCAACACGATACAGATTTGGTATATAGGTTTTTCAACCCCCCCACGGGCGCGTGCAAGCGCGCGCACGCGTGAGCGTTGTTTTTTTTGTGCTGTTAGATGGAGCACATATGGTGTACAGATCAGAACGTGTGGCAATGAGCAGGGAGGAGGGGGGGGGGGGGGGGAGGCAGGAGCTGGCGCGTGTGGAGATTCAGTCTGCGGTACTGACTGGGGGGCTGGCGCGACGTGCGTGGCACTGGACGACACAGGTGTGGCCGGGTGAAGAGACCGGCCGCACGAGCCAAGGATACGCACCGACACTGTCGCTACAGACGCCTCGCTGTGCGATAGATAACGGCGGTCGCTGGGTCCGCGGCGCCATTCAAAGGCGGCGTCGGCGTCGACCATACACCACACCCCATCTTATCTTGGTGCTTGGTCGAGAGCGTGTGGCACGTGGCATCCGCCGCCTGGGCGCCTGGGCGATACGACGTTGCAGTATCGCTAGGACCTGCTTGCCACGTCCCAACGATACTGCCACTGCCACTGCCACTGTACCGCTGTACCGCTGTGGGCTCGCCAACCAGTGCTCCGCACCTGCGCGACGCGTCGAGGGACCAGGGCTCATTCATGCCTGAGGGACCGCGACACAACAAAGGTTGTTATGCTTATGCCGGCGCGGCGCGGCGCGTCGCGTCCCGGTCGGGAGGTTGGGGGGTTGGGGGGTTGGGAGGTCAGGAGGTCGGTTCCAGCTGGTGGGAACTGGCGATCATCGATCAGCGACCAGATCTGGAATACGCGCGAGCGATAACGCACGACGACGTGTCTAGCATGTGAGGCATGGCGGGTGGACGGCATGGAGGGCGGACGAGACGGCACACGTAGGTCAGTTTCAATTTCATGGTTTTTGCATTCAGTCTGTCCGTCACGGCGACAAAGAGGCACCACGAGTACATATTGGACTTGGGTGCGGGCTGGTTCTGGCCCCAGTGGATGGTATGTCGCTGGCAAAAGGTGGAAGGAGATGTGGTATGGATGAGATGGCTCAGTACACGTGTGCCTGTAGCTCTGAGGTTCATAACGAGCACAGGTGCAGGGATGCCCGCGACGCGGACGTGATGGAAAATGTGTGGGGGTGAGGACGGTGTGAGAACGGTGTCAACCTTCCTTTGTGCGTATGTCACAACCGTGGTATTCCACGGGACACAGTTACGTCTGTACCGCGTGCCCGTTGCCGTACTGTGCGTGGGTGGACCTCGTGCAAGAGACGTTATGTTTTGTCGAGGTGACGGAAATCGCAGTGTAACTGGTACCAGTTCAGTGGCACCACCCCTTACGACGAACACTCACCAGCTTACCAGCATACTGTGGGCATGCCACCTCCGTCAGGAGCAAGCACGCAGCACGCACACATCCATCCACCCATGGCCCATCCCGCGGCATACACCTCGTCTCGTTTCCCAAACTGACGCACACGCACACGGCACCGGACATGGGTCCTGTGAATCTGAGAATCGTGGACTTTAAATTTAGAAAACAGTCGAAAAATCAGAATACGCGCGTCCCGCGCCCCTCTCCGTCGCCATTCAATGACTGAAAACCCCCTCATATCATGCGTGTTGTTTTTGGCTCTAGAGTTTCCGTGGTTACCAGAGAAAAAACACACGCGTATACGCACCGGCTCCTGAATTCCTCCTGAAAGATGGGTACGTATCCGCTGGCACCCGCAGCGAAGTGGTCTGATCCGATAACGATAACGGTCGTCGGTCGCGTGTCTCGCCTGCGTGGTTTCGTCGTGAGTCTGAAATGTAAGGGGTATGCAGCGTCAGCGTCCCGCACATCCCGGACCTGCGTATGTATTGTAGGTGTCGTTATCAGGTGGACGGCAGGCGGACGGCTACCCGTGTCAATCAACAGCGGTACAGCGGGTAGCCGTGTGAGAAACTGTGGGAAGGAACGACGGCGACGTCCTGCGTGAGCGAGTGAGTGAGGGCGATCCATTTCTTGCGACTCTGCGTGGCGATACAGCATCCTCGGACGTGAGTGAGGTCATTGACTTGGAGGTGCTTGCGGACGATGGTTGACGACATGCCCGTCGAGAGGCACCTCATGACCACGCGGGGATTCGATCAACGGTTGAGCCATACGACGGACGGTGGGCGTCCACGTGTTAATCGAGGCCACAGAAGACTCGAGAACGAGCCAACGCGAGGACATGGCGATCAATTACCAACGTTGCGAAATGTTCAGCACGGCACACGTGCACCGGGTGTGTCCAGGTTACCTTCTGCCGAACAGGTAGAGTGCGCACCTGGACTCGTGTGCGGCAGTAGTCAAGGCACACAGACTAGAACGACGGCAGTAGTGTCATGTTGACGCCGGTACGTCTGCTGGCGTGGTATGACGCGCTGCCGTCAACGTCTCTTGTCATAGTGGATGTTCCTGCCTAAACGTTAGCGCAAGTGCGGCGGCCGCACCCATGTGGCCTGTGGACAAGGAGTGCCGCGGATGGTGGTGGTCGACACCGGCCGTAGCGCGTCGGACCGCCTTTGGACCCGAGTGAACCGACAGCGAGTGCCAGTGAGTCATGAGTGGCCACGAGTGGACTGTGATCATGAGTGCACACGAATGGGCTGTGAGTCACGGATTGGCACATGTTCAGCAGCGGCGCCATGGCCTCTTGGGTTCTGTGCATCTGTGGGATGTCCAGCGCCACAGCTATAGGCGTCAGCGACAAGCCGACGCAGCCGACCCGCGGACGCGTCCGCGGCATGCTGTTTTGTCGGCGGGATGCGATATGCGCAACTTTGCGCTATCTACACTACACTAAACCTGTGAGACTCGGCGACGCTCTCGGTGCCTGTTCGAACATGCCAACGACAAACGTGAGCTGCCAGCCGTCAGCCGTCAGCCCATGGGCCCATGTGTCCAACCCCCCACCCCCACTCTCCCGTGTCTCCGTTCCGGAGTCCCAGTGAATCCAGTGACCCGTCACCTGCCCGCGCGACCGTATGCACAGTGCGCAGCGATCCTCTAATATCATTTGACCACTCACGCATACCGCGTGTGACGTGCGACCGACACCGAGATGCGGGAAAAAAAAAACACACCACAGAAGCAAAATGCCATCGGGCATCGGCGAACCCATCTCGTCAGTCTCCCTGCTTCCGACGGATCTGTGACGACGACCTCGGAGTGTGGCACATGTTTTGGTTTTGGTTTTGTCTTGGCGTGGCTTCGGGGTGCGAGCAAGAAAACAGGCTCGATGGCAAGCGGTGCAGCCTCGGCGTCGGCCGGCGCGGTGGCCCTCGACCCCCCCGCCGAGGAAGGCGGCCAAGGGACACCGCGCGCGGGGCGGCGGGGGGGGCAAGGGGGGCAAGGGGAATGAATGCTGACTACTGCTTCTTTACTGTTCTGCAGGAAAAAAAGGGCGAAACGAAAAAAAAAAAAAAAAAACGACAGCAACAACGATTTGAGGGATTTTTCATTTCTCATTTTCATTTTCGATTTCATTTTCTGTTTTTCTCTCTCCCCTTTCTGTGTTTTGTTTTTTTATCAGATTCGACTTTAGATGGCCGCACCGTTATCGAACGCCGTGTTGGACCCTTTGGCCTTGGCCTTCTGACCCCAGAGGCGTATTCTGTGCGCGAAATAAAAACGCAAGGACAGGTACACACAGGTATGGAGACATGGACATGGACAGGGGAATGTCCTGGCTGCGCAAAAGGACAGGCGGCCACTTGAGGCGCGGCCCTGACGTTTTTTTTTTGCTGGTTTGATGTCTGTTTTGTCTTGACCACTGACGCTGATGCTGGGGAGGCTGGTGTCGCACGGGCCCGACCGCGGTAGCATCGGCTGACACGACAAGGCACTGCGCACTGCTGGACAGGAGGGGAGGGGGGAGCGGGGAGGGGGGGTTAACCGATGGCCAGCGCCGTTACACTCTCGCTACTGACTCTGACTGCTGTTGGTTCGGCGGAGGAGATACCACGGCCGGCCGCGGGCTCACCCGGATCACTGTGGACGGTGAGGACGGCGCGCGCTCCTGGTGACTCCTTGTGCCGTTACTGCTGCTGCATGCACCCTTTCGACGGTTGCTAATTGCTGGTAAAACGATATGCCACACGAGTTACGGCCCATTGGCCATTTTCCGCTTGCCCAGTTTTCGCCCATCACCACCAGCGGCCAGCGGCGGCCGCACGGCTCCATGGAGTCGTCTTAGTCACATCCTCCGCGTACTGCCACGGCCCCGAAACTGGTGTCGGTCGGAGCCGGGGCGGGGGGAGCAGCGCAGCACCGCCGTCGAGACCCAGAGACAGCAGCTAAACAGGGTAGGTTATACCAAAACGCGCGTAGGTGGCGTCAGGACACTAGGGATCCGCGATGTGCGTCTTGTGGACGAGGGTGGGTGCGAAGAAAAAAGAATGTGGTGGTGTTGTGACAGAGTCTTGGGCAGGTCATGCCACAGGGAAAGCGTTCAAGGGCTGGCAAAGGGTGGGTGATTAGGGTGTAGATCATAGGGGGTGCTGGGGGGGAATGGTCACTGCAGGAGTGTACTGTACGGGTGGCACAAGGTACAGCACAGGGCGGACGATGGGTGCTGCCTGCACGGCGCGACCTCTGCGTTGAGCAGAACCCTCATCGCTCCCCCTCCACGTCTTGGGCTGCGGTTCCTGCACGTCTTCAGGCGCCGAGAGCGCCTCAAGATGCCGATGATGGACGGGTCACGGGCGTCCACTTTGCGTCCGCCACGCCCGTCGCGCTTGCCGTGCCGAGCCGTGCCGCCGCGCGCGCGTTGCGTTTGCGTGTTGCGTGTTGCGTGTTGCATGTGGGCGGCGCGGACATGGCCGTGCCCTGACGCGACCACGCCGGAAGTGTGCGCGCGCGACTCGGCGTCTGCGGGCACCGTGTGGTGTTTGTTGCGGGCCACAGCAACAGCACCAGTCTTGGTGCCAGCAAGAACCGCGCCTCGCGGTGTCACTGAAACCATAAGAGGCGGTGTTTAGATCATGCACGAGGTGGTGGAAAAAAAGGCCAAGTACAGGAATAAACCATGTTGCCCAAACTGTACACAAGTGCCACCGACCACGGCCCACGGGCACGCTGCGACATACTTTGTGCCATTTCCGTGACCGCTGTTGCTGCGGACAGTGTTTCTGCAGCTCCCCGAATACACGCTCCGCGGCACCGCAGTGGCGGCGGGGTGCGGCCATGCGCATGCGGAGCGGCAGCGGCGGGGGGGTGCATGTGCCAGGTGCAGGTGCACCGCAGCAACCTGCCCTCCGCCCTCCGCCTCCGCGCCCCCGCGCCCCCCACTCCGACGGCCGCTGCGGGTGGGCATGGGCATGGACATGGACATGAGCACGGGCATGTGCCAAGCCAGCTGCTGTGATGAGCCCAAGGCGAAGAAGACGCGAACCCAAGAAACGCCAAACAAAGCACACCCCCACCCCACCACCCGACACGCGACACAAACACCGTCGCGCGCCACGCTTGTACGGATATTCCGGGCTGTGCAAAACCCGGAACGAAAGCCAGGAGCGAGAGAAATGCCAAGATGGAACGACTGGACGGCCACTTGGCCGAAACTTGGAGCCGTCCACCAGCGCGCCCGCCCGGCGGCCGCTGCGGGCTTGGGGACCTCGTTACGGTGTATATGCAGAGGACGCTGTAAGTACTGGGAGATGCGGGAAAGCCGACCCACCGGGGGGGTATACGGCAAGGGCAGTGTGGCGCCGGTAGCCTCAGATCACAGCTTGTCAGGAGGCGTTCAAGGGAGCCGTGCGCGTGGAGAAAGATGGCATGGTGGCAGAGCCAAGCGGGCACATGTGCACGCGGGGGGGAGGTGGAGAAGGTTCAGACGGTGTGCTACGTGCTACATGCTACATGCTTGCTTGCTGTGCGCGAGACGGAGAACGGAGAGCGGTGACCGCTGCGACGCTGCGACGGTGAAACGGGGGTTTGGGTGGTGTCGCCGCTTGGCCGCTTTGGCCCTTGCTGGCTGAGTCACTCTTGGGATCTCTGTACTCTGTGGTGGAGGTTGTGGAGGTGGAGCACATGTCCGAAATAACTACCAGGCTTTTTCCAGGACAAGTGTCGTCGATGGCGACCATGGTACAATGGGCCCAAAGCGCAGCCCCGAGCGGTCAGCCATGCGACTCGGCCGTTTGGTCAGGTTGGCTTGTTGTCATGGTGCATCACGAGTGGACGGTCAACACCGGTGTCATGGACACATGTCACGGAATCTCATGGATGCCGGGAATGATGACCAGCTGTGATCACGGCACAAGAGTTATACGGCGCGCGGTCGGCGCCGTTGGCGGGCACGGGGGGGGGGGGGTGGGGGCGGTATTTGCGGGGTGTGAGGTGTTTTTGTCTCTTTTTTTCCTTTTTTCTATTTCCCTCTTGTTGCGCGTGTGGTTATGTCAGACGGGTGACAAGCGGGTGGAGGCAAGTTGTCCCGAGCGTGGCCGACGGTCAGTCGCAGCAGCAGCAGCAGCAGCAAAGTGTGTGTCGCTTCCGACGCGCTGCCTCGCTAGCTGCCGGCGTCCGGGGCGGCGGCGGCGGAGGTGGAGGCGTGCATGCCTTTGGCTTATGCATTGTTCTCACATGCAGAGGACGAGGAGGTGGGTGGGTGGGTGGGTGGGTGGGTGCAGAGATGCTGCGTGGCGCCCGTGGTCATTTCGGTGCCGAGGGACTGCCCTCTGTGTGTCATCTCTCCGAACGAGGGAGAGAGAGAGAGAGAGAGCTGCATGGCACCTGCGCTGACATAGCGACACCGTCCCACAGGAAACGGAGCCACCCCTTTGCACATCCGGGACAAGGCCGGCGGCTTTCATGTGGAGTGGGAGATGCGAGTGGAACAGCGAGGCCACACACCGAATTGACCGGCGGGCAGCGAGAGAACGTGCCACTCCAGGCGATAGCAAGAGTGGTGCACACCCTGCACATGCTTGGCTCGGTGTCGTGTAGGCAGAGCAGTGTGCACACTGCTCTGCCTTGCGAGTTTTTCCGTTGCTGCCAAAGAGACTCCCCCCCCATGCATGCCATGCCAGCAGCAGAGAGAGAAATGTGCGCAACAGAGACAGGGTTCGGACACCGAAGCCATGAAATCATCAGTCTCTGGATATTTTATCTCGCCGTGGTGCCCTGAGCGTCAAACCCGTCGAAATACGCCACGCCCTCGGCCTCGGATCAGACCTCTTCCCCCAGCCCCCCCAGGTTGCGCGGGAATCCCATCGCCACCACTGCAGCGACCATAGCAGCCGTTGTCATGTTCAAGTCCTCGGCATGGGAAAGCCGGTATGCATACTATTATCGCTACACGTAATGTACAAAGAGAAGAAGAGGGGGGGCGCCTGTCAAATAGGTATCATGGCGTGGTAGTCACACAGTCGGGGGAGTGGGAGAAGAGAGTGGGGTTGGATGGCTTGGCACCAGGCCGCCGACGGGCACCGGCGGGCACCTTTGGGTTACACGGCTCGGCGTCCTGGGCACCCCTTGGCAGCAGAGCGGTGCAGGCGGGGTGGGTGTGGGTGCCATGGTAATATGCGAAAAATGGGGTGTGATGGTATCATGCTTGAATGGGACGATGGCGGGGTTGCTTGGGTATCTCCTAGCGCGCACCGCCGTGTTGTGTTGCGTTGCGTTGCGTTGCGTTGCTCGCGGGCTCGCTTCCGGGGTCGGTATGCGCGCTCGGGCATCGGGGGCAGGCATCGCCTCGCCTCTGCTCAGTAGGGCTTCTTCTCGTACTTTTGCAGACGGCGCTTCATCTCGGCAAGCTCGCGACGGAGACGGGTGTTCTCCTCGTGGGCGAGCCTGATCTCGAGGTCCTTGGCGCCGAGGGTGGACTCGAGCGAGCTGAGGTGCTCCTTGCGCTTGGCGCGGAAGGTGCGTGCCGAGATGCGGTTGCGCACACGCTTGCGCTCGCGGGCAGACAGCGCGCGGTACTCGTCCACCTTCATGCCCCAGATCATGCCGTCGCGCTCGACGCCTTCGTCGTGGTCGTGCAGGTCCGAGTGCTGGCTGTGCTCGCTCCGCGTCTCGGCTTCCGGGTCGACCTCGCCGTCGGCGTCCGAGTCGACAGAGTGCGTGCGCCCAAACATGCCGCGCGGGTGGGGGTGGGGGTGGTGGTGCATGCTCGTTGGGGACGCGCCGCCGGCAGACGCCATGGGCGACGGGCTGGCAACAATCTTGTCGACCATGTCGAGCGACGACGGTGAAATGCCCGAGGTGCCCGACGGCGTTCCCGAGCCCGTAGTGCTGGGGGCAAGCAGCGAGGGGGCAATGGAGCCGCCATAGTAGTTCATGTAGTAGTTGCTGGGACCAGGCTGGCCGAGCATGGGCTGCTGCTGCTGTTGCTGCTGCTGGGCACTGGGGGCACCCCACGCGGCGGCGTTGGCAGCGGCCGCGGCGCTGAAGAGATCGGTGGTCGGCGAGGCGGCAGCGGCGGCGTTGTTGTTGTTGTTACCGCCGTTGCCGAGGTTGGCGTTGAGGAGCCAGTCTGTGCCGAGGTTGGGCAGGACGTTCTGGTAGAGGTAGTTTCCCCACGAGGGAGCTACGTTCTGCTGCGGGGAGGGTCAGCATGTGGTTTTGTGTGGATGGAGTGGCGGAGGTGTGGGGTGGGGTGGGGGTGGTGGTTGGTGGCGGACGGGGTGGGTGGGTGTGGGTGTGCTCACAAAGATGTTGTTTGCCTTGTCGGCTGCGACTGGGTCGATGAGGGGCGCTGTGAGAGCGTCCATGGTGGTGGTAGTGGTGGTAGTGGTAGATGGTGATGAGTGAGAGAGTGGACGGTGCAAAGAGATTGGAAACGGCAACTGGTTTCTTTGTCGTTTGTGGACCACTCTTAATATAGGTCACTGGGGGAATCCTCTTTTGACCCACCAGGCCACCAGTCTCCTCCTCTCCTCTCCTCTCCTCTCCTCCTGCGGCTGCCCGCAGGCGTATTCCTGCAGCAGCTGCAGCTGCACCCTGTCCGCCTGCATGCACCCCCCCCCCCCCCCCCCCCCCCCCCCTACCCTGTGCGTCTGTGGCCTACCTCGTTAGGTCAGCGTCACCACACCATTTTCTGTTTCTTGTTGCGCGGCGGATCTCGGCCGCCGTCCCCGCGCCAGCACCAGAACGGCCGCCGGAACCGAGAGACCAGAGCCACCCTCCCCCCCAGGACCCACCGCACACATGCTCTCTAATCAACTTTCTCATCCATTTCGCTCTCTCCCCCTCTCTATCTCTGTCAGCATCGGGGGTCCGCAGAGAGGGCGTGCGTGCTTGCGTCGTGGAATGCAGTGCGGTGTCTTGGTGGAGGAGCAGAGAGGGCTCGTCTGAGATCTCTCCCTCTCTCCGTCTTCTGCCCTCCCCCTGTGTCTCGCTGCGGTCACCGCACCCAGAGAGCAGAGCAGAGCAGAGCAGAGCAGAGCGTGTCACCCATGCAGCAGCTGCCCGACTCCCCGACGCCGAGGCGGATTACCTGTGCAGATGGGATACTGTTTTGCATATATGCATTGCACCTTGCTGCCCCCCCCCCCTTTGAAGCGACCGTGCCGAGCAGCAGCAGCATGACCGCAAACCTGGTCGGCCGGTCCCGAGGCCGGGTGCACGCCCGGGTGCCTTGTGCCAGCACTGTGTCAGGTCTGACCGGTCAGCCAGCGCACGGAAATGGCTTATCAACCGCTGGGTGCACGCCTTTGCATGCCACGGAAACCCCGCTCACGGGCGAGGACAGGAGGAGAGGACAGGAGAGACCATCACCGTCGTCGTCAGTGTTCTGTGTGATCTCTACAGAGTCCATGTGGCCACCCCCCACCCCGTCCATCGTCCGCATCGGCAGTCGTTGCGCTCGTTGCTCTCTGTCAACACCTGCGCCTCTGCACCCCATCCTGTTGCTGTTGCTCCCCCTCCCCCTCCCCCCAAACTCGCTCATATACAAATGCATCACACCCACCCACCCGGGCCCGCGACCGAGCTCGGTTTGGCGCCTTGCCTGGCCGCGGCCGAGGTGTGCACGTGTCGCCGCTGGGAGTATAGGGGGCGACATGACCATGGACGTGTTTGGCTGGTCGGGACTATAATTTATCTCATCAGCACTACTGACATTTCGGACAATCCCATGGGCCCGATATAATCAGCAGGAGTGGACTGCTGGCAGCAGCTCTCTCTCCGTCTGCTGGCTCGCTTGCTCCTGCGATCCTGCTCCTGCTCCTGCTGCCTCCCCCTTGCCAGGTTCCCTGCACATCTGGACCCTCCTACAGTCACCGGGCAATCACTCTGCCCCTTTGCAATCCGCTCCACATGCCTCGCTCACACCTTGTTCCCATGCCCCCAGATCCCCTCTCCGCGGCCGCGACCCCTTGGTCATCTCTGAGTCATCTGTCTCTCACGCTGACATGGCGCCCATTCCGTGGATCCGTCGCCCGCAAACAAAAGTGGGCCCAGTGGTGGTGCAGCGCGCATGGTCAGAGTGTACAGTGTGGTGTGGTGCCTGCGAGCCATCAAAACAGGACATTTCGACTCGTGCCACTCGCTTGCAGATCCCTTGCGCTAAACGCTGATGCAGCGACTACGGCTGAACACATCTTTGTGCGGACGCCGCAGCGCAGCACATGGCGGGCACCGCACGTTTTGGCGGCAGCCCGCGAGCGAGCATTGTAATCCAAACGTAATGAATGGGACGCCATTTTCCACTACTGATAACACATGTCCGCCGTTGGTCCCCCAAAAACCAAAACCCGATTGAAAGCCAAAATGCAAACAAGGCCTTGGTTTTCCGTCAGCTGGGCACTCTCTACCGCCGGCACCTGCCGCTGCCGTCTCTCGTGCGCGGCCGCGTTTTGCAGCAGCCAGAGGCCAGAAAGAACGAAACACACACTATACTTGCAACCCAACGGCCAACGGCCAGCCGTCCGTGGCCGTTCTCGCCCTGCCGCTTCCTGTGTTTTTTGGGCCCTTATCCACCCACACCCCTGGCCAATCCGTAAGCAACCCAGTGCGTATCGGCGCCCGACATGACCGCCGACTCATGAGGTGTGTGAGGTGTGAGGCGTTTTTTTGAACTATACTTTGGCGTTTTTTCCGTCCGTGATCGCGATGCGGACGCGCGAGGCGATCAATTAGAACATTTGCAGAGGAGTTATCCAGAGTCCATTTCGGCCGCTCGCCCCGCGACACACAGACAGTCCGCTCCGGGACCGTGTACCAAACGAGCAACTCGGACGCGGTGGAGAAAAGCGGCGGCGGCGGTCCTGCTCTCGTCCGTGTGTGTTTCTCGTCAACCTCGCTGTACGCTTTGCGGCAACAAACCCCGATGGGGATGGTGATGACGGTAAGCCACCGATCCACCAAGAAATGGACATGAATGCCTCCTTGTTCCCCCGCGCTCTCGGCCGCTGCCCGCAACGTCCATCTCTCTCGTTCTCATCTTCCTCAGGGACGCTCACTGGGTGATAATCCCATGTGTCGTCTTGGTTCAGACCCTGTCTTGCCGGGCCCTCTCCACTCCGCGCCGCTCCACTCGCTCGAGGCACCCGCCAAATGCAAAAGAGGTCTCACGGCAGCGTCCATGGGGGTTCGGTAGTAGTGTGTCAGTGTCAGTGTCAGCGATCAGGCCCGCCCTTTCCGTTTGGCAAAGTCACAAGGTATACCAGATTCTCAAGAGAACACACATACAAAACCCGGGGATACAACCCATGCCCCAGGCGTCGCACCAGGAATGGGTGGGCGTGCAATATATTGGAGGATCTGATCTGCACCGGGCCAAGCCAACGACCACCACAGCTCATATGACTGTGTCCGACCAGATCGTCCACCCAGGCCAGGCCTGGCCGGACACTACATACTCTCGTGGAGCGCTGGAATCGGGACCTCTTCGCGGGTGTCGGCGGTGGTTGTCATGTCGCGCATGTTCGCTTCGGTCGCATATTCATTGTTTCGCGAGGAACCGTCTGTCCTTTAACTTATTCTCACACACACACTCTCTCTCTCTGTGGTGAGCAGGCAGGCACATATACCGCCATACGCGAGCGAATGGACTAGAACGTCGGTAGAGATTGGGGAGTATAACTGTATTGTAATTGTATTGTGTCCTGCCTGCCTGGAACATGTTCCGCAACCCATGTGGTGTCTGTCCCCCCTACTGATCTGACGAGCACCCAGCTCCCATTCCATGACCCACAAAGCACGTCCCACGCATCTATTCTTGTCCACACGCCAAGATCGTCCCAGACTCCAGACTCGTCGGCGAGACCACGTCTCGAACCGAGACTTGTTGCAAAGATACACACAGCCACCGGCAGTCAGTGTAGAGATGGAAGCGGTGGGCGTGTGGAATGTGGATTGTGGATTGTGGATTGTACGGATTGTGCGTTTGTCTTTGCCAACAGCCGCTGGTGGGGGTTCATGACCCATCCGGTGCCTGCACACACCCACCAGGACAAGACACGGACAACGAAAACGACAACCGACACCGAAAGCGATTCTGTTGTGGAGTGGGAGCGTCCATGACACCGTGTGGCACATGTCTTACAAGGTCGGATGTAGCGGTGGACGGACGGACGGACGGACGTCGTGCTTCATATCCTCCCGCTTGGACAATTAAACGACCAAACCCCGCCCAGCAACGCACCACCACCACCGCAACGAACAGCCCACACCCGGTGGTCAAACCTCGCAACACTGCCCATGCAGGTACGTACTCGTTAGCGCAACACGGACATTACATCGTCTTGTCTTGGGGAAAGGGGCCATTCATCTTGTCTCGTGTATACTGTCCCCTCCCCCACCTCCTGAAAGAGCAACACCAACACGACAGCACGACAGCACCACAACACCGCCGCAAACACCGCCGCCACGTTGGACCGTTTCCGTCTTCTGTCAATACACGCGACATGGAAAATCCAAGACACGGAAAAAAAAGAGAAAAAAGAAGAAAGGCATGGAATTTATCTCCAATAACGAAACAACGGCAACGGCGAGGAACGGTGCACAGTACACCACCCAGCACCACCACCACGCGAAATCAATCTCAATCTCAATCTCAATCTCCATCTCAATGTCACCGCCACCCGCCAAGCCAGAGACGGACGGACGGACATTTGCCCGATGTCTCCCCCTGTCTCGCGCTTGCTTGGTTGGGTACAGTACTGTACAGTACCCCGGGTGCCACAAATGACGCGCCAAGAGAGGCAGGCACAACCCAGCAGATCTCTGCCACAGAATATCAATTCTAACGGCGGCGGCGGTGGTGGTGTGTGTGTTAGTCGGTCGGCCCGATCCTCCAACCCCACCTAGAACCTAGAAAGGGCTCTCAGCGCGCCAGCGCTCGGGATCCTCCTGGCCAGGCAGGCAGGCAGGTAAAGAGCCGCTATGCCTTCAGACATTGTACTTACATTGGGCGGGTTCCTTGCATGCCCGTCGTCTTGGCAGCGGCCGGTGACACATATATTGTAATGTCAGAGGTTGTTGCACCACAGTCTAATTCATGGAAAGGAGGAGCTGGGACGCAAGTGTCAAGTGTCATGTGCTGTGGAGAGTCACGGGTGACTACCGTCCGCTTTTTGCAGCGCTGCTTTGGGTGTAGGTTAGGTTCCTTATGTGACGCTCTTCCCCGTCCTTCATTCCACAGTGCATCGTCCCGGGTGACTACCGTGGCAGTCGCTCTTGGCATAGCGGTCGTGCATGTGGGCCCGTTGTCTCGTTCTACAGTGCAACCTTCTTCTGACTCCTCTCCCCCTCACTTCGGGCCCAGCGCAGCAGTGACAATCTCCTCCGTCTGCGCTTTATGCCACGCGCCCACGCCCGTCGCCGTCGTCGGGGCGGCCTTGCGGCCCGCATAGCTCGCGGGCTGTGCCCCGCGCGCAGCGAGCAGCGCGTCCAGGCGGGGCCGCACAAAGTTCCATGCACCTTGGTTCTCGGGCTCCTCCTGCGCCCAGCTGACGACGGCGTCGGGCTTCTGTTGCGCAAGCACCTTGGCCAGCGCCGCAGAGGGGAAGGGGGACAGCTCCTCGACCCGCACGAGCGAAATGCCCGCTGCGTCACCGCCGCCCCGCTCCTTGATCGCGTCGGAGAGGGTGTAGTAGTGCTTGCCGGAGCAGAGGACGACCCTCTGCGCGTCCGTGACATCGTCAGCGAGAACGGGCTGGAACCGCGTCTCGGGTCCCATGTCGGCGAGCGGGGACGCAGCTGCCTGTGGTCGCGTTTGTCAGTTGTTGCGTGCATTAGGGCACAACTGGCGTCGAGTGGCACTCACCGGCGACCTCAGCAGACCCTTCGGAGACGCCACCACGAGCGGTTTGCGGAAGTTGCGGTTGACCTGCCTGCGCAGCAGGTGGTACAGCTGCGCCGGGGTCGACGGGTTGGCGACAATCAAGTTGACGTCGTGCACGGGGAACGCAGCGCCGTCATCGGACAGCGACAGGAAGCGCTCAATCTTGCACGACGAGTGCTCGGGCCCCGCACCGTCGTACCCGTGAGGAAGGAGCATGACCAGGCCACTCTGTTTCAACCATTTGGCTGTTACACACCGTTATCATTCTGCGCTTTCGGTCCTCGTCTCATGGGCTCACCCTGCGCTCCCACGAGGAACGTGTCAATCATGCTCTGCGCGCCATTGTTAAAGTCGCCAAACTGCGCCTCCCAGATGGGCAGGAGGCGCGGGCTGGCCCACGACATGCCGATTTCGAACCCGAGAACTGCCATCTCGCTCAGCGAGCCTGGGCGCGGCCGTTAGCGGCGACCACGGTGGTCCTCATTGCGCCCAGCCTCGACTTACTGTTAGCGAGCTCAAGCCGGCCAGGGGCCTTGAGCGAGTCGTTGAGAGGCACATAACACGACTCGTCCTTCTGGTCGACAAACATGGCATGGCTTCGATGGCGTCAGCAAAGGTATGCATGTCGGCTCCGCCCGACGCCCCGCGGCCGGGCACACACCAGACGAGCCACAAGACACACTCACCGCTGAGAGAAGGTTCCGCGGCCGACGTCCTGGCCAGAGATCCGGACGTCGATCCCGTCCTCGAGCAGCGTGCCAAACGCCATCGCTTCGGCCGTAGGGAAGTCGACCTTGCCCTCGAGACCCTTGAGACGGGCCTTGACGTGACGGTTCAGGCGCGAGTGGATGTTCTGTACCTGTTTTAGCCGTACCGCCTTGGAGCCCATCGCACAGAGCACAGTTACTCACAAAGTCTGCAGGAAGCGTCACACTGGTCTTGGCGACATTGGCAAGGCGGTCGACAGGGAGACCAGTCTCCGGGTCCGGGTCGGCCTCCTTGGACGCCGGCCACACCATCTCGTTCCACTTGCCCTCGAGCATCTCAGACTTGGCCGTGTAGCTGCCGACATCCTCCAGAGCCGCACCCAGGTCGGCTTGGTACCGTTCGCGAGCGGCCTTGGCCTGCTCGGCGCTGAGGACGTCCTCGGTCTGAAACCGTCAGCGTTTTGGACCCTACAGACCGCACGTACCGTAAGACGCTCCTCGTACAGCTCGGGCACCGACTTTGCGCGAGCGGATCTTCTCGTACATACGGGCTGAAGGTTAGAGCCTTCGGGAAAATGGGAGTAACCTACGCTGTGTGTAACCAGGCTCGTCCAGCTCGTTGTGGCCCCAGCGGCGGTAGCAGATGAGGTCGATGATAATGTCCTTGCGGAACTTCTGGCGGTACTGGAACGCAACATCGACGGCACGCATGACGGCTGGGGCCTGTCAGCACACGCTTCTAACAACCGCCCTCACCTTCCGGGTGGTCGCCGTTGACATGGAGGATCGGGCTGCCGATCATCTTGCCAATGTCTGACGCGTAGACGCTCGAGCGCGAGAATGTGGCAGGCGTAGTGTAGCCAATGTTGTTGCTGCCTGTCAGATCGTTCCGCGGTTCGTCAACTCACTTGACAACAATGTGGACCGTGCCGCCACTGCTGTAGTGGGGCAGACCGCTCAGTCCGAGGCTTTCAGCTACAACACCCTGGCCGGAGAAGGCCGCGTCGCCGTGCAGCTGGACACACAGGACGCGGTCGCCGAGCTGACACTCGGCCGGCGACGACTTGAGCAGGCTCATCTGCTTGGCACGCGTGACACCCAGGGCGACGGGGTTGACGGCCTCGAGGTGGCTCGGGTTCTGGAGCATCTCCACCTTGATGGGCTTTCCCTCATACTCGACGTTGCGGATGGCAGAAAGGTGGCTGATAACATCGCCAGACGCACCCGGAGCCGTCGAGGGGTCAAACTCGGGCGCGCCACGGACCTTGGAGAAGAGGGCCTTGGGGTCGTAGCCGAAGAGGGTGGGTTCAGTGAGCAAGTTCAGCCGACCACGGTGCGGGAGGGCAACGACAATGGAGGCGAGACCGGCTGATGTTAGCTAGACGGAGTGGTACACAACAGCTCACCATTCGCGCCAAGCTCAAACAAAGTGTCCAGAGCCGGAAGCATGCTCTCTGCTCCTTCACAACCTGGCGGGTTAGTTACAACTCCAAAGGATCAGTCACCCACCATAGCGCTTGAGGTTGGGGAACTTCTTCCCCATGAAACGGTCAAACTCTTCGGAACGCGAGAGCAGGTCCCAGAGACGACGGCGACGTTCGGGCGTGACAGGTCCTTCCAGGACGGGCGACGCCTGGTGTGTCTCGAGGAGATGGGAGAACCACAGGCGCTCGTCCTTGACGGGAGAGTGCTGGAACTCGTAGCCGATGCGGTCGACGTACACGCCCATGAGGTGCGAGCGAATGTCGCTCAGCGGGAGCGTCACATCAGTACCCTCGCCAGCCTCGGCACGCGACGCAGGCGACTGCTCGAGGTGAAGGATACCGCTGAGTGGGTACTCTGTCTTGTCGTCGAGGCCATAGCGGTATGGGTCAAGGGCAGACACAGGGCTGGGGGAGGCGGGTGGGGGTCAGCGGGGCCGCACTGCGGGGGGCCCAGGGTGGCAAAGCCGTACTCACTCGCGTTCCATCAAGTCGAGCGGGTCCACCTGTGCAGCGCGGTGGCCGTGGCGACGGACCATCTCCACATAGCGCAGCAGAGCAGCGTTGGTGTTGCGGTTGGCGAGCTCCTTCTCCGTGTCTGACCGTGACGGTCAGTGGCCAGAGCAGCAAGCAGGGGGTTAACTCACACTCGGGAAGAGTGTACTTGGTGGGCACACGGTAGCCAAAGCTGGCGTCGTCGTGGTAGCGGCGCGCACGCGCCAAGACGCGTACGAGCGGAGAGCGGGGTGTTCTGAGCATGGGGGCGAGGAGGGACGGTGATGGGGGAAGAAGAGGTCAAGCAACACTGGGTGTCATTGTCTTAAATGATGCCCACGCGTTCCCGGGGCACGCGGGGAAGACGACGCGGGGTCGTTACGAACAAGCAGAGATGGGTATGTGGGGTAAACGCGTGAATGCATGCGCCAGAGCATGCCCAGGAGCTGTGCGTGGTGGTGTTGGTTGTTGGTCCGGTGAGTACGGGGCATTTCCGTGGAACCAAGTTCCGGTCCATGGGCAACGGAAGTGTGCAGCTGGGCGACACACACACACCGTAGCCGGCCTTCCCCGCCCGTGACGTCACAGATCACAGACTACCGACACGTCCACTGCAGCAGACACGTCGCTGCCCATCTCTCCATAGCTTTCAACCATGCATGTGCTAATGTCTCACTCTTACTTCTCCCATGCTCAAGGATAATCCCCGTATCACCATGTCCTCTAATCCCACACCAGCTTGCCAGAGTCGCTGACACTCGCCGTGGAGCCACCACCAACCACCTTTCCAAACTGCTTGGTGACCTTCTTCTGCTTCGACTGCGAGTAAATCTCGTTGATACGTTCACTGGGTCGTCAGCTTGCTGTAGAACTTCGAACAGCTCACCGCTCGAGGTCACGCTTGTGCATGGCCAGTCGGCGGAGTCGGTCTGCTTCGGCATCCGCCTTTGCAGCCTTCTTGACCTCATTCTTCTTTTGGTTCTTGCGCTGGATCTTGGTCTGGCCGTCGTACGTGTTGTGCACAACAGGAGCCGAGCTTCCACCGATGCCGATCGACACGGGCTCTGCACATCGTTAGCGGATACTCGGAAAGGCTTCGGCACCCACTCTTCTTGGCAGCCACAACGTTCCACCCATCGTCCTGGCGCTTGGCGCCTGGAGCTGGAGCTGGAGTGTCCTCCGTGGCCGAGCCCGAGTCCGAGTCCGAGTCTTCATAGTCATCCTCAAACTTCTCGACACGGTCATTCGACGCGAAGGCAGACGGAGGAGGGGCGGTGGGCGCAATCTTCATCACACGAGCGAGGTGGGGTGCGCGGTCCTCGGGCTCGAGCATGCTGTGTACGTTAGACGCGGACCGAGGCGCGCATATACGTACTCGTCAACCTTGGTCTTGCGAGGCTTGGGAACAAGCTTCTCAGCCAGTGTCCTGGGCTTGCTGGGCTTGCTCTGGCCCCCAGCCGCTGCGTCGGCAAAGGAGGGAGCGGCCACGGGTTCAGGCGTCGGCGTCGGCGACGGTGAAGGCGAGGGAGCCTTCACCACCTGGACTACAGGAGCGACGGCGGCGACATTCTTGCCCTTGCCCTTGCCCTTGTTCTTCTTGGTGGACTGGGGGGCATCGGACTCGATCTCGCTCGCAGGGATGGAGGAGGGTTCATCTGCGGCGCCACCCTTTGACTTCTTCTTCTTGTTCTTCTTGTTCTTCTTGCTGGCGGACTGTGAGCCGTCTGTGTTGGGTGTGGATGTGTACTGGTATCCAAAGGCGAGGACGACGATGAGTGCGGCTCCCACCAGGGCCTCTGTGGAGATGTACGGCATGGTGGGGTGTTGTGACCTGGTGGATATGTTGATGAGAGCTGTGATGCCCCTCCACTCGAAATAAACGGACGGCACGAACGCTGGCGTGGAAGGACGGAAGCAAAAGTGGCCCAGGCCCACCGCCCGCCGACTGGGTGGCGTGTCGTCACGGGCACTGCTCTCGCTCGTCCTTCCACGAAGCCGCGCGCGCCATCTCCATTCATCTCTCATCTTCAACACATCTAATCCTTCCACCGCATCTCCCGCCTTATCACGACTGAAAACACCCCCGGTACAACCCTAGTGTAACGAACAGCGTACGCACGACACACCTAAACTCTTGTCAGTGCAAGTCGCACCACGAGCGCGCTTGGCGCAGCGACAGCGCTCCAAACGCTAAGTCGCGCGACACAATACGAGTTCAAACTCGCCGCTTCACCCCATATGCTGACCCTTACCAGCTATTTGACGAACGGAACGAGACCGATAGAGTTGCCAAGATGGATCACCAGCTCATCGCCCTCGTCAACAAGGTCGGTACAGGCCGCGCCCCGCGCGCGCTGTGATGGAGCTCCGAGCTGACTTGTGCGCACAGCTCCAAGACGTGTTTGCGTCCATTGGTGTTCAGAACAACATTGTAAGTCTCACGCGCTGACAGTGAGAGAGGAAACGAGCTAACAGCTGTAGGATCTGCCCCAGATCACTGTCATCGGTTCCCAGTCCAGTGGAAAGTCGTCCGTCCTCGAGGTGAGCACATTCGAAACCGATATCCGCTGATCCAGTAGAACATTGTCGGTCGCGACTTCCTGCCCCGTGGTACCGGTATTGTGACCCGTCGCCCTCTGGTAAGCCCATACGCCAATAGCGCACCTTGCTGACATTCAGGTTCTCCAGCTCATCAACCGTCCGGCAGCGAGCAAGCCCGCCAACGGCGACAAGAAGGAGGATGAGAAGCCCGAGGATGCCATGGCCAAGGTCCAGGTGAACGAGAACAACCCCGACGAGTGGGGAGAGTTCCTGCACCTTCCCGGCCAGAAGTTCCACGACTTTAACAAGATTCGCGAGGAGATTGTCCGCGACACCGACAAGATGACCGGCAAGAACGCTGGTAAGTGCCCTTTTGAACTGACACCTGTGTGCGTTTACTGATGAAGACAGGTATCTCGCCCAACCCCATCAACCTCCGCATCTTCTCCCCCAATGTCCTCACCCTCACCCTTGTGGACCTTCCCGGTTTGACCAAGGTCCCCGTCGGTGACCAGCCCCGTGACATTGAGAAGCAGATCCGCGACATGCTCAACCGTTACATCTCCAAGCCCAACGCGATCATCCTTGCTGTCACCGCCGCCAACACCGACTTGGCCAACTCGGACGGTCTCAAGCTCGCCCGCGAGGTCGACCCCGAGGGTACCCGTACCATTGGTGTTCTCACCAAAGTCGACCTGATGGACCAGGGTACCGACGTTGTCGACATTCTCGCTGGCCGTGTCATTCCTCTCCGCCTCGGCTACGTCCCCGTCGTCAACCGTGGCCAGCGTGACATTGATCAGTCGCGTTCCATCGCCTCGGCTCTCGAAAACGAGAAGAGGTTCTTTGAGAACCACGCCAGCTACGCCAGCAAGGCCCAGTACTGCGGTACCCCCTGGCTCGCCCGCAAGCTCAACATCATCCTCATGCACCACATCCGCAACACCCTGCCGGACATCAAGCAGCGCATCTCGTCGCAGCTCGTCAAGTACTCGCAGGAGCTTGCAACCCTTGGTGGTGCCATGGGCGAGACCAACCCCGGCAGTGTCGTGCTCTCCACCATTACCGAGTTCTGCTCCGAGTTCCGCTCTGCGATCGACGGTAACACCAACGACCTCTCACTCAACGAACTTTCCGGCGGTGCCCGTATCTCGTTTGTCTTCCACGAGCTGTTCAACAACGGTGTCAAGAGCATCGACCCCTTCGACCAGGTCAAGGACGGTGACATCCGTACCATCCTGTACAACTCGTCGGGTTCGACACCCTCGCTCTTCGTCGGCACCAGCGCGTTTGAGATTATCGTCAAGCAGCAGATCCGCCGCCTGGAGGAGCCCGCTCTCCGCTGCTGCGCCCTCGTCTACGACGAGCTCATTCGTATCCTTGGCCAGATCCTCGTCAAGACCCAGACCTTCAAGCGCTACCCCGAGCTCAAGGAGCGGTTCAACTCGGTCGTCATTGGCTTCTTCAAGGACTGCATGAACCCCACCAACAAGCTCGTTGCCGACATGGTCGCCATGCAGGCTTGCTACGTCAACACTACTCACCCGGACTTTATCAGCGGCCACAAGGCCATGGCTCTTGTTCAGGACCGCCTGAACGCTAACAAGCCTCCTGAGAAGGTCGACCCCAAGAAGCAGATCAACAACGGCAAGGACCTTGACGTCGACCTGAAGAAGGACGACAGCTTCTTTGGCTCGTTCTTCTCAAAGGACAAGCCCAAGCGCAAGGGCGCTTCCGTCATGGAGGCTCCTCCCCCCACCATCAAGCCTGTGGCTCAGCTCAACGACCGCGAGCTGATGGAGACCGAGGTCATCAAGCTGGTAGGTGGAGAAGAGTTCTTAGGAATGGCCCCTGCTGACACATCACACAGCTTATCCAGAGCTACTTTGGCGTTGTCAAGGTGAGTATAGAATGGCATATAGAGTGTGAAAGCTGACATTTCGCAGCGTGAAATGATCGACATGGTCCCCAAGGCGGTCATGCTCAACCTCGTCGGCTTTGCCAAGGAGAACCTTCAGAAGCAGGTGAGTCGTCCTTTGTTAATACACGCCAGCTGACATGGTCCCAGCTTCTCGAGCAGCTTTACAACAACGAGACATTGGCAGAGCTGCTCAAGGAGTCGCCCGAGGTTGTTGCCCGCCGCAAGGAGTGCATCCGGTACGTTTCCACTTTCCCTCCGTTCTCTTTTGTTTTTGTGAGTCTCGCTAACGAGAGCAGAATGGTGGAGGCGTTGTCCAAGAGCGAGGCCATCATTGCTGCGGTCTAGTCTAGATGCTCTCAATATTATTTCCATGTACATGACGGTTCCACTGAGCTCGTCGGAGGCGATGTCGAGGTCGGAAGGCTGGGTGCCACTTGGGGGACTAAATTTAAATTACGTAATATATTTTCGAACCTAGCGGAACTATAACCCCGAAAATGACTCTCATTTTCCCGTCGTTTTGCCTATCGGGGGATCTTCCGATTGCGTTCAGTCAGCAGTGGCCAGTGGATCAGTATGGCGACGCGAGCTGGGGTGACAGCTCTGTCGCATCGCCACATGGCCTCAAAACTAAAAGAATGATATAAATATTGCATCTGAGATACACATGGGTCCTCAAAGCGCAGAACGCGGCGCGGGGTTGAGGAGGATCTGTTGGGCGCCCTCATCGCAGAGGTTGTTGACTCATCCTTCCGCGGCGTGCGTCAGGCGGAACACGTTCAGAACAACATCGGCTAGCCGACACTAGTTCTACGCTTCCGTGCTGTGAAAACAAGGGATTCTCCCGGCACAAGATACCAAGACATACCTTGGGCAGGAGCAAGCGGGGCCACAACGGTAAGAGACCACGCGTCATCGCCGTCCTGGATCTCGTACAGCGATAGAGGATGTAATGTGGGTGAATGAGGAAGGAGATGAACCCAATGAATCCAGAGGGAAGGCGAGGAGGCAAGGAGGGAAGGCAAATGGGTTGGAGGGAAGGCATCCTCATCCGCTCCTGGGCACCATCTGCGCTCTGAGGCCCTCATGCTCCAGCAGCAAAATACTTCCACCAGCCATCCAGCCCCCACGCCCCTTCTATTGACACGCACACATCGACTTGAATATACATTGTGCATCTGGTATGGGGGTTCTACTGCTCCTCCTCCAACTCGCGCACCTCCTCCAGTCCCTGACCCGCAAACAAACGGCTCAGCGGTGTCATGGTCGTGAGCGCCATCTCGACAACCGACTCGACTCGTTGCCGCAGTTCATCCTGGTCACATTGGACCTTCTGTACAGAGTCAGCTTAATGTGCCACCAACGCAAGCACTCACCATTGAGATCAGGTCCACGGTCGCGATCACGCCATCCACAGTCACCTTCATCACCAGCAGGTCGTCCTCGCTACCCTCGGGGACGGTCTGTGCTGGCTTTGTCACGTCGCCAAAGTGCGCCTCGAGGAACATGTAAAGCGTGTCAAAGTCGGCGCTTTGCTCGCCCGAGTGGTGGTGGTGGCACGCATGCGGGTGAGGGTTGGTCGTAACTGGGGGGACGGTCAGTTCCTTTTCGCAGCAGCACCAACTCACTCTTCACGGTCGCCGGGCTGGTATCGATACCGAGCAGCACGACCAGCGCCGAGTCGGCAATCATGTCGTTGCTGGTGTTTGAGACCCATTGCATCTGGACCTCGACGTCAGACATGCGGACGACGTTGATAGCATTCATGATCTGCGGCGGTATCAGCAAAGTGTTCGGTTGCTTCCAACTTACAGTCAGCACTTGACGGCCCTCGGCATCCTCGCTGTCGTCCACCTCGCCGTACATGCCTTCCAGGTGCCACCTCACCACGCTCCAGTCGACTCCCATGGGGATACTCTGCTTTTGAACAATAGAGCTCGTTGACAGACCCGTAAAGTCGCGCAGGTCCTTGGGGTCGAGGAGAGTGTACGAAAAGTCCTTGGAGACGAGCAGACCCTGTACTGGGGCACCGTGGGTGGCCCGCTGCTCGGCAAGAGACCCAATAGCCTTGACCACACGCTCGGTGCGGAACGTGAGTGTCAATGTCTCGAGGTTCTTTGGGGTGTGGATGTTGATCTCCTGTCCGCGAGTGGCGTACGAGTCGCGCAGAGCGGCACGTAGACGACCCATCTGGCTCGCCTCGCCGTGGACGAGGACTACGTGCTGAGCTCCAATTTCCTGGATAAACTTGGAGTTTTGGGCATAGTCGACGTGGGCACCAAACGAAATCTCCTTGACGGTACACCTTCGGGGAATGTTGTTGCCACCGCGCAGCGAGTCGATGTGGTCGGGCTCACCCAGGAGGGTGCGCGCCATGGTACCCTCGATCGAGTAACCTGTCACAATGACACCGTTCTTCGGGTCTGGTGCCCACTCTTCGAGAAGTTCACGCGAGAGACCAAACGACATGAACTGCGCCGAGGCCATTACGACACACGGCTGGCGGTGGTCGAGACGCTTGGGGTCCTTGAGCCACTTGACATACTTGAAGTCGAAGGGGTTGTCACGGCGCGCGAAGCGGGAGCGAATGTTCGAGTTCATGGTGTGAACGTAGGTCTTGTAGACACGCATTCCACGCTGGAACAAGCCAGATGCAAAGTAGATGGGGACGCCCTGCAGCTCTGGGTGCTCGTTCCAGTACTCGTCCAGCAACAATGCCAGCTCCTGTCCGTTGCCAAACGAGGGGATGGGCATGAGGACCTTGCCTCCTCGGCGCACAATGTTGCCCACAAGTGCTGAGGGTTAGCGCTCCTATTTGAACATGCGTGTCAACCCACTTGTAAACTGCTCCTCTTTGTCCTTGCGGTCTGGCAATGTGTGCACGCCAAACGTGCTTTCGCAGATCATGACGTCCGGCTTGACGGGGGGTACCTCGGCAATGACCAGGTGGCGGTCCTCTTCTCGACTGTAGTCTCCCGTGTAAAGCACCTTGAGGCCAGCAATCTCGATGAGGAACATGGAGGCTCCCAGAACGTGTCCGGCGTGGTAAGGGGTGAATCTCAAACCACCAGACACAACAATGTCCTGGTGGTAGTCGACGGCGATGGTGTTTTGCCATGACGCCTGAACGTCTGCCTCGTTGTACAGTCGTCCCGCAGCGTCCGCATGCTGGTCACTGAGGAGGTCAGCGGGGCTTTGGTGGTGGATACTCTGGCTGGACTCACTTGATGCGGACCGTGTCCATCATTGTCAGGCCGTAGATGGCTTTTGTCGCATGGGTCATGTACACCTTGCCGTTGCCCTCGCGAAAGTTGGTCTGATCGTCAGCTTTCTCGTGTCCCGCGCAGCCGACAAGACTCACCTTCTCCATGATGTACGGCAGAGCGGCGGCGTGGTCAACATGGAAGCTGACGGTTAGCGAACTGTTTTGGGGGGAGCGGTGACCCACTGTGTAACCAGAATTGCATCGACAGTGCTCCAGTCCAGCTCGTCAATGAAGGGGAGACCGCCGAGACCGGGGTAAGCTGGGTGTAGACCGGCATCACAGACGACCGTCTTTCCACGGTGCTGGATGACGCAGCAGGAGCGTCCGACCTCTTGGCCAGCGCCGAGCATGGTCACCGAGAGCTGCGGCGCGTCCTCTCCTGCTCCTGGCGCGACGACCTCCACGACAGGTTGTGCGCGATGCGCATGGCGGCGGCGATGGTGACTCATTGCTGCTGCCGGGTTGCGCGATGGAGGGATGGGTGGAAGAGGGAGAGGTTGGAAGAGAGGGGATGAAATGTCTAGGACGAGTTGACAGTTGCCGATCACCCTCCAAGATTCAACTCGCCGCCGCCGCTTGTTCCTCGATCTCGTGACGCCGATTCCCAACTTTTCCCTTCTCTCCACCTCCATTCATCTGTCACTTCACCACACCACACGACAATCGCCAGCACGGCCATACCGGTGACAGTGAACACGACGAAGTCCTAGTACCCTATTGCAATCGATTGCATTTCGCATTGCGCACTCTGCTCGTTCAACCCACCCAGCTTCCCTTTCCTTCGCCCCCACACACCTCCACCCACCTTCCCCCCGTCACCTCACAATGGCCGCACCTGGTATGGCGACGCCGACGACAACCAGCTCGTCGAGTGCTGTCCCCGACCACTCCATCGACACCACGCAGCCCACTACCGCCAGCGAAGCCGGCAGCTCAAAAGGCTCGACGTGAGCTGGCAACCGTGAACCCTCCTCCTCTCATGTACTAACCGCTTCCCCGCAGTGTCGATGCTTCGACCGCCTTCGCCGTGGGCCTTTCGGGCTACATCTTCAATGCAGGCTTCTGTCACCAGCAGTGGGCAGACGTTCAGGTCACCTTCTTCAACACGTCCCTCAAGCTCCACCGCCGTAAGTTTGGCCGTCGCCGTTGACAGCATCCGCTGATCGTACCCCAGTGATCCTCGCTCGCAGCCCCTACCTGGCGCACCTGCTCATGAACTCGATGCCCGGAGGCTCGGTCCAGCTCCTGTTCACTGACGACAACATTACCGAGGAGGCCGTCTACGTCGCTATCCAGCACCTCTACAGTGAGCCATTGTAACCGGGTGCTCGGCTGACATCAGACCCCTCACTGCACTTGGTGTCGTCCTCGAATGCCCGCGCAGTCCTCGCGACGGCATACCTCTTTGGCGCCATGCCCGACCTCGAGCAGCGTGCATACTCTGTTGTGGCCGAGTCCATCTCGGCGGCCAACGTCGGCGAGCTGATCCACTGGCTGAGCGCAAGGATACCATCCAACGGATTCACCTTTGGCTCCAACATTCCCGGCGCACCCCCTATTACCGCCACTGATGGCTGGGACACTGCTCCTGCCATGTATGGCGAGTGGTCGACCCGCCTGCGTCACGAGGTGCTCGACTTCCTCCTCCGTGCCCTCCCCGCTCAGCTCATGGCCGACGGCACGCCCCTCCACACCAACCCCCACCTTCTTACCGCCTACGCCCCTCTTCCCTTTGACCTGTTCAAGCAGGTCGTCGAGTCGCCCGAGCTCCCCATTTCGTTCATCCAGGACCGCTTCGGCTTTGCCAAGCGCGCCATTACTCAGCGTAAAAAGCTCGCTCAGACGCAGGGTGGTGCTGGTACGCCCCCAGGCGCTCAGATGGAGGAGAGCGTCGTCCTGGCTCTCAAGGACGACGGCGACGGCATGTCAGTCCACATTACGCGCAAGCCCAAGCGCTCGCGTGCCGCACTTTGGAAGACGGAGGGATAGAGAGGGTCACATGTGCATACATTCACCATGTTTTTTATATATATATCACAGCCGTCACAGCCATGTCAGCCATGTGGGTCTCGGGGCCTGCCGTTTGTCTAGGTAACAATGCACCTGGTCACTACTAGCTATAAACTCTTCTGTCTCTGTCTCTGTCTGTTGGTTCTCTATCGCTCAGTGGAAAGTCATCTTGAGAAGACGGTCATAGTCTTCCACGACAGTGTCGTAGGTTTTGGCGAGTGCGTCTTTGCGCTCATCGGGAGTGAGCTGCGAGAGCATCTCGTAGTTGAAGCGGTACAGACGGGCCTTGACGTGCAGGCGGTATGCTTTGACAGCCGCCGCGTTTTTGCGGTCCAGTTGACGCAACAGGAGGAGCTCGAGCAGGCGGTCAAACTGGCGCTGCAAGGGGTGTCAGCTTAGTACGGCAACCCAAGTTGTACAACTGACCTGGGCAATCTTGTACTTCTTCCGCAGAGCAGCTTCCCAGGCTGCCCTCTCGCCACGAGACTCGATCCCAACACCAGTCAGGAAGTTGGCGTCATCAGGGACACCTTCCTTGACGAGGAAACGAAGGTCGTTGCGATCACGGAGATCCTCGAATGCCTCGGCGGGGTCCTCGACAGTGAGCTCTGCGACCTCGTCGCGCGAAAGCATGTGCTCGAAAAGGGCCGAGTAGAGGTGCGCTGGCAGGTTAGTACATCCTACCATAGTGAAGTGTACCCACATCCGTGGCCAAGGTTCTGGTAAGGCGGGAGGATGACAAACTGGCTGCGTGGGTTAGTAGCCAATGCGTTTCAGTTACCCACCTTAGACGGAGTCGGACCTTGTCTGGGAAGCACCAGAAAGGATACAAGGAGGTGTACCCGATAAAGTGGTACGTGTAGACGTCAGAGTTTGGACGCTTGCGGCGCTCAAACCTGGGGAGTTAGCAGGGACGGGATTGAAGTAACTCACAAGGTGATAAACTCCCACGCCTCCTCGTCCTCTTGAACGTAGCTTCCACCCTCAATGAAGAAGAGGATAAAGATCTGCATCCTGCGGTGGTATTCGCGGAAGCCTGGTGTGTCCCATTTGGTCTGCGGTGTCAAAGGCTGTTCGTACATAACCCGCTACGTGCGCCCCAACCCCTGCGGCGGCCTTGTACTCACCTTGTACATCTCGTAGACGACCGCGTCGTCGGAATCCTCAGATGGTGCTGCACCATTGGCCTTTCCCTTGCCCTTTCCACTCGCGCTGGCACGAGTGTACGACGCAATCTTGTCGCCCAGAGGCTTGAAGTGGTCGGCATCGGCTTCCACAACAGCGTCAAAGGCAACCTCCGACTTGGTATAGTCGGCGGGGATGAACCGGAAGAGGGTCTCCTCGATGGGGTCGGGGGGAGTGTCGGTAGACTTGATGACCTCGTCGTGGGTAATCTGCAGAAACTGCTTGAGGCTGCCAGAGGCGTAGTGAAGCTGTAAACAATGGTCAGCAAGCTCGAGCCATAGAGCCCAGAAGCACCCACCTTGATGTCCAGGTTGTGGTATCCAAAGATCTTCTCGCTCTCGCCAAAGATGGGGTAGGTAAAGGTAGGGTTGAATGGCTGGATCGCGACATCATCGTCGCCAAGCGCGTCGGCGTCTTCCTGCGAGCGAACTGTTTGGGTGTGAGCTGGTGCATAGGGGAACGAAGCGGGCATCCGTGACTTACTCAACTGGAGGCTCATGGCCTCGTTAGAGTCTGAAACCCAGTACTCTTCGTCGTGCCCACTCATCCTGAGAGACGGGGAGAAATGGGGTGGATGCGGTAAAAGGTGTTGTCGCTGAACGCGTCGCGTAACAAGACGACGACATGAATCCCCTCCATGACCGCGACGGCTGGGAGGGAGGGAAGGCGCGGAATCTAATTATCAGCGGCGACCACGTGCGGGAGAAGTGGACGCGCGAGACGGGATCAAATGCGCCAGGACCATGATGATGGGGGCCGGGGTGTGGGTCTGTCACAGAGAGCGCATCAATAGCGGAGACGACCTTATTGGCAGCGACAAACCACTCTCCGTCATCCACCACACCCCTGCCTCATCCAGCTGCCCCATACGACTGCGAGTCGGATCACATCAAAGTATCTTTCCTCCAGCTCATCACATTCACATCCCCGGGACATCCATTTCGCGCACCCATCAGCATCCAGTACCGGCGCCCGGTGAACCGAATCTCCAAACCCCCCACCCTTGCCCACACAGTCTGTCCATCACCGACGACTCCCATGCCATCGCCACCCATCTCCCCGCCAGCGGCCAAGAGACCAAAACTCGACGCTGAGCTTCCTGCCGCCCTGTCCTCCCCATCTGGCCCATCCAGCTCGCGCGTCAATGGGCATTTGAACGGCGCCGAATCGCAAGAGCCGCCCATTGAGGACGAGAGCGAGGACGAGGAGGAGCAGCCCGAGCCCGTGAAAGAGGAGGAGGACGTGGCCCGCCGAGACATGTACCTTGATACTGTGAGTACAGCGCGTACTGGTGTCCAGCGGGTGTCCAGAGTGCATCCGCAAGCTTCGATGGATCCTGCTCGCCGACAGCCAGCAGCTGCTCGTTGTTACACTCCGCTAACGTCACAGGTGTCGCGTAGCAACCTTGACTTTGACTTTGAGCGTCTGTGCTCAAAGTCGCTGTCCACCATCAACGTCTACGCGTGTCTCGTGTGTGGAAAGTACTTCCAAGGCCGCGGACGTGGATCGTGGGCGTACCGCCACGCTGTGGGCGACAACCACCGCGTGTGGCTCAACCTCGAGACTGAAAAGTTCTATGTTTTGCCAGAGGGATACCTCGTCTCCGACCCGTCCCTCAAGGACGTTCTTGCGGTCCTCAACCCTCGGTACGATGTGGCGTCGCTGGCAAAGCTGTCCGACCTCCGTTCGCCCAGCTACACCCTCACGCAGACACCTTACATTCCGGGATTCATCGGCATGAACAACATCAAGAAGAACGACTACCTCAACGTCATTGTCCAGATGCTGCTGCATGTCCCTCCCATGCGTGACTACCTCCTCAACCCCAACACACCACAGCTCCAAGAAGCCGCACGCCCCACCGAGCTCGTGTCCCGTCTTGCCACACTGTGTCGTCGTTTGTGGAACCCGCGCTTGTTCAAGGCTCAGGTGTCGCCCCACGACTTTTTCCAAGAGGTCACTAAGCGCAGTAATGGCAAGTTCAAGACGACCGAGCAAGGAGACCCCGTCGAGTTCCTGGGATGGCTCGTCAACACCCTGCACCGCGACCTGGGTGGCTCCAAGAAGCGCAACTCGAGCATCATCTACTCGACCTTCCAGGGCAAAGTCCAGATCGAGACCCAGCAGGTCATCATCCACAAGGACTACTCTCGTCCTGTGTTTGATCTTTCAAGAGGTGGGTTATTAGGCGGCGTTGTGCCAGGTGCTAACCCTTCAGAAATCCAGACAGTCTCGTCTCCTTTCCTCTTCCTCGCCCTTGACCTGCCTCCCACGCCCTTGTTCCAAGATCTGAATGAAAAGAAGATCATCCCCCAGGTTGCTCTTTCGACCATTCTTGCCAAGTTTGACGGCAAGACGACGCAGGAGTTTGGCCCCACGCTCAAGCGCCACCACCTCAGCGCACTCCCTCCCTACGTTATTCTCCACATTAAGCGTTTCACCAAGAACAACTTTGTCGAGGAGAAGAACCCCACCATTGTCAACTTTCCCATGCGTGGCGTGGAAATGGGTCCTTGTGAGTTGACGCAATTCTACTCATCTCACCGCTAACTCTTGCAGACGTGGACCCCAAGCCATCGGACCCCATATACACGGCATACGACCTGCTCTCGAACGTTACCATTGACACGACCGTGGCGTCTACTACTTCGGGTGGCCAGTCGGGCAAGCGTGATGCCTCGGAAGAGGGCCAGACGACATGGAAGATCCACCAGCGGTGCGGACGCGGTGGCGGCGACGACGAAAAGTGGTTTGAGATGCAGGACCTTCGCGTCGAGGAGGTGCGCAAGGAGATGGTCTTCCTCGGCGAGACTGTCATTCAGGTCTGGGAGAGGCGCGACTTGTCAACTCCCAGGGCCTAGACCTTAGAACCCACTCATTTGTGTCTCGACTACCCCCGCATTGCGTCTCCATCACGTCGCTCATTTTGCATCCCCCCCACCAGTGCATTGCCGCACCCCAAAACAAAAGCTCTACGCACCGCACGCAAAACGCTTGCGCAATACTGTACACATAGAATGCTGTCATGCACTGCCTATAGCGCCATATACAGCCCCAAATCAATGTTCAAATGCGGGCCAACCTTGGCCACGCCAACTAGTCTCCGTCTCTCGCTCGCTCTCTCTCTCTCTCTGGCTCCGTCTGTCCGATCTGTATATGTCAAGAAAATCAACGCGTCTTCTCGAACGCAAAGGCCATATACAGGTCTGATGAATGTCAGCTTGTGTCCTAGAACTGGGGGCTGGACTCACTTGCTGCCTCCCACTGGTCGCTGTCCATGGCACTCTCGCCATGTTGGTTGATGACGCCCATCTTGCCAAGCAAGGGTCCGAAATCACGACTGCCCTGTTCTTCCTGGAGCACATCGTTGAACGTCTTGCGATAGATGAGCTCGAGGCCATACTCGCGGGCGAGGTTGACAAAGTTGTCCCAGTCGACAATGTATTCGGGCACATCTTCGACGGCGTCTTGCAGGTAGAAGCGGTACTCGTGGCCGTAGAGGCCCTTGTGCCTACGCTCGTTGAAGGCGACCGAGTAGCACGAGTTGCCATATTGCAACGCCTCGCCTTCAGGGACCTCGTCGAGGCGCTCGAGGAGAAGCTGCGAGTTGGGGATGGTGCCGATAAACACACCGCCGCGGCGCAGGTAGCGCGAGACATTCTCCATCATCATGCGCGCCTTGGACGCCGACTCGAACGCGTAGTGCATGCAGAACTGCATGGTGACGTTGTCGTACATTGGCCGTTGAAGGTGGTTGGGAAGGACCTCGTTGATGGATTTCTGTGGAGTGCTTGTCAGTTGGCGGTTCAGCATACCCTCTGTAACAACTCACGCCATAGCAGTCGTGGGGGTAAAAGTACGCGTCAAACTTGTGACCACGCAAGTCGTTGTAGCGGCCGCGCGCCTGGTCGACGGACGTGGCAGCAATATCTGTTTCAGTTAGCTCTGTAGCAGACAAATAAACAACAGCAGAAAATACGCACCCATCGCGACGTATAGCTCGATGCGCGCCTGCTTCCATTTCATCAGGTCGCCGCCTTTGCCGCATCCAATGTCCATGACCTTGGCGCCAGGCTGGCCGCGTTCGCGGAAGGCAAACTTGCCAATGAGGACCGACTTTACCCAGTTGTTAAACTTTTTCAGTCCAATAATGGGCGAGTACTCGCGGTGTTCGACGCCGACGTCGGGGCGCATGTTGTAGTGCGAGGCAACCTCGGCCGCCTTGCCCGTGTAGTTATCTGTCCGTCTCCGCGGTGCGCTGCGGTCGTCATAGACAGCCTCGTCGAGTCCCCGTTTGTTACTCCAGCTATCTTCACGGGGCGGGGGCGGTGGCCGAATATCGGCGGTGGCGCTGGCAGTCGAGCCCCTGCGCGATGGTGGGCCGCCGCTGTACGACGGTCCGGCCTCGTACTCGTTCACTGGCTCGAGGCCGCTCACGCTGTTTCTAGGGGACGGCGCGGACCAAGAAGGGGGAACCGTGCGACGGCCACGGCGACGGAGGGGGTTGTTGTGGTAAGCATCGGCACGAAGGCTCGCAAGCTCGTCGGCGCTAATGGGATACTGGATGGTGGCCGAATTGCTCGGCTGCGCAGGCTGATAGGCTATCCTGTTCGGTGCTACGATCGACCCGTGGTCCTCCGAGAGGCGGCGCGTCGACGATTCGGGCGACGCAGTAGCGGGGTGCACGGCTGCAAAGGGCGTGGACGCACTGGCGCTTCTGGACGAGGTCGGACGCGACGATCCAGGACGTGGAAGGTGCGCGGCCTGGCTGCGAGGCGAAACGCTTGCGCTCGGGGAGCGGAGGGGTGCGCTATGGGACCCAGGCGTATTGTAAAGGTCGGTGGTACGGATGGGCTCTGGAGGAGGGGGCATTGGGCGAGTAGTGTCCATCGACGAACGACGCGAGGACGGACCACCACCATATGCGCTACCCGGAGTCGCGTAATGGTCGTACGAATGGCCCATGGTGGTCGATGGGGAGCTCAAGATCTGGTTGATCATCATGGGCGACCGCGATGTGCGCTGCGCTGGCACTGCACTTGAAGGGTGGAGGCTCATGCTCGGGGAGGAGTGGCGAGGTGAGGATGGATCGCGCGCCGACGACGTGCTCGCAGTACGGACCAAGGGCGGCGTCTCATTGAGGAGTTTGGAGATGTTGGGGCGGTTTCCACCTTCCTCGTCATGCGATGAGACTGTCATGTCTGAACCGCGGCGCGAGCCAACGTCGCCATCGTCGTTAAGGAGGGATCGGAGGGAGCCCGCGCCGCTGACCGCGCTGACGGGGCGCGCGGCGGTCGGGGCGTCGGCAAATGCTGGGGGTACTGGTGGGGCCGGCGTATCCCATTGCGAAGGACGGCGCGAGATGGCCGGGGACGGGATGTCGCAGTCCCGGATGGGGTCGTAGACCATTGTTGTTGTTGTTTTTTTTGAAGACGCCGCCGGAGGGGAAGCGCTGTAGTTGAGGGAGAAAGATTGGATAGATTCGCGCGACAAACTCTGTTCAAGGTCGACACGTGCTTTGCCATTGAATGGCTGTGGTGTGGGATGGAAATGATTCAATGCCTCTTGCGGCCTGTAATGACCATTGTTTGCGCTGTGTGGTGGGGATATGGATAGGATGCGGTTGATGGATGTTGTCAAGACAAAGATGGATGGGCCCAAGAGGTCAACAGCACACGGCGTTAAACTGACCCATTGGCAAATTTGGTTCCGTCGTATCTCCACCCGAAGACACACTATGATGGATTGACGCAACCAACTTACTCCTTCTGCAGTCCATCGTCACCATCATCTCCACATCACGATGGCCACCACCACCGCCCTCGCGCCAGCAGCCGGACCATCGAGGCAGCCGTCCAACAACAGCCAGGAGACGTGGTCCCCGAAACGCTACCTCGAGCCCAACCATCCAGACAATGAGGAGGTCCTCGAACAGGCGGCATACCAGGCTGCCGTCACTCGTCCCCCCGGCGACTCGCGCGGCAACCGCAAGTACAAGCCCCGCAGGACAGTCGACTACATGGGTGGTGTGCAAAAGCTGCGCATTGTAAGTCTGGGTTGTGATACTGACGGGGAGAGCACGATTCCTGACCGGCTAGATGGGCAAGATGCGAGGCGTGCAGTACCGGCCGCCAATACACCCCAACCCCAGCGACATCATCAACGTGAGTGCAGGGGACGACTCCATGGTATCTAACCTGTCCAGCTCCTTCCACCTGCGGGCCTCATCAGCAACCCGTCAACGTCCGTCTGCGATTACTTTGTCCATACGTCCATCAACAAGGAGCGGTCGCCAACGCGAGTGGTCAAGGTAGGGTTTTGCCCGTTGATTTGTGTCTGACCCCCCTCCCAGTGGACACCAGATGCGCGCCGTTTGCTCACCGGAAATGACAAGGGTCAGTTTACGCTTTGGAACGGCGCTTCGTTCAACTACGAGTCGATCACGCAGGTGCACGACGATTCCATCCGTCACATGTCCTACTCGCACAATGGCCAGGCTCTCGTTTCGACCGACAAGTCGGGCTGGATCAAGTACTTTACACCGCACCTGACCAACATCCACGGTTTCCAGGGCCACCGTGAAGCATGTCACGGCGTGGCGTGGAGTCCCAATGACGAACGCTTCGTGACCGGCGGTGACGACGGTCTGGTCAAGATTTGGAACTATCGTGCGGCGTCCGCTGAGCGCGAGCTCTCGGGCCACGGTTGGGACGTGCGTTGCGTCGACTGGCATCCTACAAAGGGTCTTGTGGTCTCGGGATCCAAGGACATGCTGGTCAAGTTCTGGGACCCCCGCACAGGCAAGGAACTGTCCACTCTCCACTCGCACAAGGCAGTCATCAACTCGTGCCAGTGGAACCCCGAGGGCCACATTGTCGCCACGGCAGGTGGTGACGGCCTCATTCGCCTCTTTGACATTCGAACGTTCCGCGAGCTCGAGGCCTTGAAGGGCCATACAAAGGAGATCAACTGTCTCGAGTGGCACCCCATCCACCACTCTGTCCTCGCCTCGGGCGACGCCGCCGGTTCCATCGCCTACTGGTCTCTGCTGGCGCCCGACATGTCCAAGCCTGTGACCATGATGGAGGCCGCGCACGACGACGCCGTCTTCTCCCTCTCCTTCCACCCCTTGGGCCACATCCTCTGCTCGGGCTCCAAGGACTTCACCGCGCGTTTCTGGAGTCGTGCCCGTCCCGTGGGCGGCCACGAGATTGACCGATACCATCTCGGCGAGGAAGGAGCCTACCGCGCCGAAAAGGAGCGCGAGGAGAGCCAGCCGTCCAAGTGGCCCAACCTGCCCACCCGCGACGACGAGGGCGGCCTGCCTGGTCTGCCTGGCCTCCCCGGCCTGTCCGGCGGTGCCAATGCCAAGCCTCCTCTTCCTCCCAGTGTCCGTCCAGGCGGCTTACCCGGTCTCGGCGGCGGTGCCAGCCCGCGTACGGGATCTGGGCCACCGGGCCTCGGCGGTCCTGGTCCAGGAGGTGCTCCGCCCGGCCTTGGTGGCAGCGGCGGCCCGCCTCGCAATGCCAACCACATGCCTCCAGGGCCTCAGCGCCGATGGGGCCAGGGCGCGCACCACGGCGGCGACGACATGATGCGCCCGCCACCCGGTGCAGGCGGATACGCCGGTGGAGCGGCTGCTGGAGGCGGCGGCGGCGGAGCTCCAGGCGACAGGTGGCGGCGACCCCAGGCCGGCCCGCCAGGCGGTGCGGGCGGTTACGGCCGGGATAACCAGCGCGATGGCGGTGGTTATGGGCAGCAGCAGCAGCAGGGAGGCGGCGCCGGTGCCCAGGGCGGCTTTGGCAACCAGCAGAATGGCTATGGCCAAGGCGGCCAAGGTCAAGGTGGATACGGTCGCGGCGCGCCAGGCCAGGGCGGGTATGGCCAAGGCCAAGGCCAACAAGGCGGTCAAGGAGGAGGATACGGCCAGCAGCAAGGAAGCCAGGGCGCCCAGGGAGGAGGATACGGCCAGCAACAAGGAGGAGGAGGGTACGGTCAGCAGCAGGGAGGTGGCTACGGCGCGCGAGGTGGTGGTGGTGGCGGCGGCGGCTATGGCCGTCGCTAGGTGCTGTAGGATGTATGTAGCAGTGCATCATCATCAACAACTGTGCTGCGCTGGTAGATGGCAGTCAATATGCATGGTACACCGGAACTCTCGAGCATAATCTACAAGGAATGGACCGTTTAGCGGCTGATCTCGTGCTCGGCAAGGAGCTGGGAGTGTCAGTAAGAGGGCAGTTGCGTAAATGTAGAGGGTCGCCAGAGCTGATCATCAAAATAATAGCTCGACCCCGACTCGTGCGCGACGACATCTGGCAGCGACTCGACTGCTCTTCGACTCACCATATTTGGGATACCGTTCTGGATGGGGTAGACGTGGCCACATCCGCGGCAGATCATCTTGCCCTCCTCGACGTGGATCTGAAAGTCAGCTATCGCGCTGTGAACAAGTAGCTGGCTCAGTTGCCGATGGCACCAGGGTGGTGCCAGCTTAGGAGGCCGTTTAGGAGTCCTCCACACGCCATGCTCCCAGGGGCACCACAGCTCAGCTTCACACAATTACCCACCTCAAGAAGGACGTGGTGCAGGGCTTGGAGCTGCTCGTCGGTCCATGTGGCAGGCATGTCGTCGGGCAGGGCCGTGTCGCCGAGCGAGCGGGCGGTGTCGACGAGCGCGCGCCAGTCGAGCTTGGGCAGGAAGCGTCGCAGGAAGTCGAGGTTCTCCTCGGCGGGCTTGACGACGAGCTCGACGTCCGCAAACGCAAGGGGGAAGTTGTCCTTGGTGCAGTTGCCTAAACGGTGTCAGCAAGTCGGTTCTTGTCACGGGTCCGAGGGCCGTGTTCATGAGGGCCATCATGTCCATGCGGACGGCGAGGAAACAGCAGTGCACGAGTCGGACAAGGCGGATGTAGCCTTATATGTAGCTGTGATACTCACGCACGTGGCACGCAAGCATGTTGTGCGTGATCAGGCGGACCATGGTGGGCGAGATGTGGTGTTGTTGATGTCAAGCAAACGTCACTAGGAGATGCCTTGTCTCCCAATTCTGGCGCATGGAGGAGATTTAGAAAGGGGTGGAGGTCATATTTGGCACCGGTGATTGTTCTGGTTCCGCACCGTCAAATGACGTGTATTGGTTGCAATTTCCCACGGTGCGACCAAACTTTGCCTCGCACCTGGGGCACTGGCCCACGCGCGGGGTGCACACATTTCACGGTCTTCATTGGTTCTTTCGCTTTTTCTCCATCCGAGTCACTTTGCCTGGACCAGCTCCCCTTAAGAGAACTCAAACCTACTGGTCCTAAGTCGCCCGGTTCCACCACCAACACATCAAGAAATATCAAAAATGGCTTCCAAGGAGGACTTCGAGAAGGCTGGCGCCGCCCCCAAGGTGCACAAGATCCGCATCACCCTCACCTCGCGCAACGTGAAGAACCTCGAGAAGTGTGAGTAGAACGTCGCAAGGACATGAGATGGAGGTGGAAGTGGAGACGGTGTACAACACAACAACAGTCTTCCACTTTTTGTCTTCTGTCGCATGCAGACTACCTTGCATCTGCACTGTGGCTGACTTTTTTCCCCCAGTCTCGGCGGACCTCATCAACCGCGCCAAGGACCGTGACCTCCGCGTCAAGGGCCCCGTCCGCCTCCCCACCAAGTTCCTCAAGCACACCACCCGCAAGTCGCCCTGTGGTGAGGGTTCCAAGACCTGGGACCGCTTCGAGATGCGCATCCACAAGCGCCTCATCGACCTCACCTCGTCGGCCGAGGTCGTCAAGCAGATCACCTCGATCTCGCTCGAGCCCGGAGTTGAGGTTGAGGTTACCATTGCCGCTTAAATGCGATATGCACCTCCCTTACTCTTTTTACTTGTTCTGCCTGCTGCCTGTTGCCTGTTGCCCTTCTATGATCCAGTGACTGACGTGTTGGGGGCGACGCTGACCGCGCTGGCGCGACTTGTTGCATGAACTCAAATTACAACCCTCTTCCCACATCTACCATCTATCAACCCTACGCACCAAGCTTCTTCAGGAGGCGCTCCACACGCTCGCCCTCGCGCTGGCCCGAGAGCACGGCACCGGCCACACTGCCGCGGTTCTCCATCTCGGTGTGCTCGCCAGCAAAGCCCAGACGGCCGGCCCACTGTGGCCGTGAGAGCTCCTTGTAGTCCATGGGCGACCGCTCGCCGTTTGCGCTGACGACCACGGGGGTGGTGGTGGCGCCGCGCGCGTGCGGGTCGGTGAGCCACGACGTGACTGCAAACCCGGCGGGCTGGGGGCCCTTGGTGCCGAAGCGCGACTCGAGGAAGGCGTGGAATGCCGCGGCGACTTGGTCGGCGGGGCGGGTGACGATGATACGTGCCACCGTGTCGGTGATGTAGGTCACGAGAGTGGGCGAGGTGACCGGCAGGTTTCCAGCGGCAAAGTTGTTCGAGTTGAAGGTGCTCGATGCAAACACGTCGGCGAGCGAAGAGGCCGGGGTGAGGTCCGCTTCCGACTTGGTCGGGAGGAAGAGGTACGAGCCCAGCTCGTTGGCCTGGGGCCACCACGCCGTGTCATAGTTGAGGACAATCTTCTCGAGGACGCCAACGTTGGTGTTCTTGACAACGTCTGCGAGGCGGGCGTCAAGAGGCGGGTTGAAGAAGGTCTCGGGGAGCGACTGGAGCACGCCCAGCGGGATGGTGCAGACGACGGCACGGGCAGAGTACTTGGCTCCCGAGGCCGTGGTGACAGTCACATCCTTGTCGCCATCGGCTACCTGGGTGGCGGGCTCGCTGAGACGGACCTGGGCACCAGCAGCCTCGGCGTCGGCAAGCACCTTGCCCACAATATCCTGGTATCCACCAACGGGCAGAGCGTCCGAGCCGCTAAAGTTGTGAGTACCCTCCCAACCATTCCAGCGGAGCGACACGTTCTCGAGCTTTGTGCCAAAGGGGACCTCGAGGGAGCGCGCAAAGGACTTTGCGAGCTGGCCATCGACGCCGGCGGCGGTCAGGGGCGACTCGGACGCAAAGAGCGCGTCTGCCACGGACACGTTGGGTCCCGGAGCCGGGTGAGGCGTGCGGAACGCGGCCTGGGCGGCAGCGAGAGACGACGAGAGTGTGGCAGCAGTCTCCTTTGCGAGCGGGCCGTCGGGACCGTACATGATGCCAGGTGCGGCCTTGGGGAGGCCAGCAGACTGCTCCGTCAGCCGCAGCAACAACCGGTTGGGTTGGGGAGGGTGGAGGTGGAGGTCGTCGTGATTGGGGCAAGGGTCACGTCAGCAGGCAAGCAACTCACGACACCGAGAGACGTGGCAATGTCGCGCGCCGGGTTGCCCTCGTTGTAGCCGTGGATCCAGGCGCATCCGAGGTCAAACTTGTCGCCAGTAGGGGTGGACCAGGTGGACGCGCGTCCGCCGATACGGTCGCGGGCCTCGAGGACGAGAACGGAGCGGCCGGCACGGGCGAGCTCGCGGGCAGCGACGGCGCCGGACCAGCCTGCGCCGAGGACGATGGTGTCAAAGACTTGTGCCATGGTAGTGTTAGTTGATGCCTGGTTGAGCAAAGTGAGAAAGAAGGTGGGCGAAAGCGGGAGGATATATATTATGAGGAGCCGCCGGCAGTTGGCGGCTATGCAGAGGTCGGTAAAAGGGGACCAGCCAGCAATGGTCCAGTTGACCGCCTCGCCGGACCGGGCCGACCGAGTCGCGTCTTCCCCCCGCCATCGTGCACCCTGTATCGTACATCCGTGCCAGGTCGGCTGATGATCAATGACTCGGTCTCCTGTGTTTCTCTGCTTCAGCAACATCTCGAATCGAGGCTCAGTGTGGAGAGTGCACGGGCGTGGGCTGTGGTGGGCCTCGCGAGTTGTTCTTGCGATCGTTGTCTTGACCGTATGTTCTTGGGTGTAAGCATCCCGCCTTGCATGTACACTGGGAAAGTGTATGCTTGTTCGTGGCCACAGGAGACGGTTGCAGGGGGACGAGAGAGATGGCAAAGAGAAACAACGCCGCTGTCCGTGATGTGAGGAGAGTGTGGAAGCGGTCGGTGTGCATGTGTGTGGTAGTTGCGAGCGGCCTTTATGAGGTGCTCTTGTCCTCGTCCTCCAGGCTTCCAGCCTGTGACGGTTCCATACGCTCGGGATCACTAGTAGTGTGAATGTACACTGTGTAGAGATGTTAAATCTGTGGTAGAGTACGCTGTTTGCTGCTGTCAACAACAACAACAATAGCAACAACATGACGTCCTCAGCCATGCATCAGCCAACAGCTGCGTCCACCCCAGAGCGCTCACCGAAACCTCCGTCCTCTGTGCCATATGGGGGATCTCGCATAATGTCTCTCCCAGGCTCTGGCTCGATCACACGCCCAACGGAAGCAAAATACATGACTGAAAGCGGCGATTTGCTCCGAAATGCCGCATATGGCAAAAAAGGACGGGGAGGAGGGGGCGAACATTGAATTGTGTGCGCAACGCGCGTGGGCGCCACGGGCGGTCAGTGCGGTCCCTCTGTGTGGAGGCTGGACAGGCACCGTCACTATATGGGCGATGAAAAAAAAGGGTCCGCTCCCACGCGACACCGGTTGTGCTTGGGCTCTGCCGCCCCGCCTGGCCGCATGGCGCACCCCTGGCTGGGCACAATGTGTGCCGTCGTGGACGGACCGGGGAAGACACACGCCTTCCCTCGCCTTCCCCCCCTTCCCTCCTCGTTGTTGACACATCCTCCTCCTCCATCTCCATCCTCCAACCACCTCCTCCTCCTCCTCTCCACCAAAACCGCACCTCCTACTCGCGCACACCCACACACCTCACACCCCCCCCCCCTCCCTCACTACCACAAAACTCGTGCTCGTCGGTCACCCCGTGGACCGCCCCGTCACGCCGCCCGACGAGCCCGCCGCGTGACCTACGAATCGAGACATTCCCTTCGATCAGGCCCTCCCACAACCGTGTCGTCGGTCTGCCCCCGTTGCTCCACCCCGTCCGTCCGTATCGCGGTCACTCGGCATCTTACAGTCCCCCATCACCATCTTCCCCCCGAGAGTCCTTGACTCCTCATCCCACATTGCATCAACACTCATCCTTGCGCGGAACACGCACTCGGTCGTCGCTATCCAAACCCCCCGGCCCCGTCGCGCGGCTGCTGCCAGCCCCCGGGCACATCGCGCGACCCCCGCACCTCTTTCCTTCCGTTCACCACCACCATCACATCCCCCCCCCTTTCCTCCGCCCCACCTCCACCCCACGTCGGCAGGAGCCACGCGTGCACGCGCGTCCTTCCTTCCGTCAGTCTCATCCTTTCTCGTCGCCCACAACGGCCACTACCTCGGCGCCGCCCTTCCCAGTCACTGCCGCCCGTCGCTGTCTTCCGCATAGACAGTGGGTGTGAGTGACGCCTGGCCCGAGCTAGACGTCGTTTTAGACCAACCAACAACATGACCGTCACTCACGGCGGGTCCGAGCTACGGACCAAACACAAGATCGTGTCGGTGAGTACCCTTTGGTTACTGGTATACCTCAAGTTGCTAACCATGCTCGCAGTGACAGAACCTGGTGAGCCCGTCGAGTCGGACCCCCGCAGGCCTTTACTAACCCCATCTCCAGGCGTCAAGTACACCTGCGACAGCTGTGAGTTTTTTTGTTGTTGTTATTGTCGCCACCCATATGATCGCCCATTGTTGACACACATTCCACAGGTGGAGTCGACATTACCCATACTGTTCGCATCAAGTGCGCCGCCAAGGAGTGCGAGGAGGTCGACCTGTGTCCCTCCTGCTTTTGCGAAGGCAAAGAGGTCCAGCGTCACAAGGCGTACCACCCGTACAAGGTCGTCGTGAGTTGAGCGGGAAGGAAAGAAGTCCGCCTGCTAACTCGTCCAGGAACAACATTCATATCCCATCTTTGCATCCGACTGGGGGGCCGACGAGGAGCTGTTGCTCATCTCGGGTCTGATCCAGTACGGTCTTGGCAACTGGGCCGAGGTCGCCGAGCATGTGGGCACAAGAACAAAAGAAGAGTGCGAAAAGCACTACCTCGAAGTCTACCTGGGCGTCGGCGATGGACCCGAGTGCAAGCGCGATGACGACATGGACATTGACGGCACACCCGACCAGTACCGCATCTACATGCCGCCCATGGCACGACGAATCGTGGTGGATACGGACGATTTCCAGAGGAAGAAGAAGGCAAGGATAGAGGAGATGCGCAAACCACACGCGTTGCCAGCCTCTACGGCCCCATTAGTCTCTGCACCGACCAACCACGAAGTCGGCGGCTTTATGCCCGGTCGTCTCGAGTTTGAGCACGAGCTGGAAAACGAAGCCGAACTCACCGTCAAGGACATGGAGTTTGGCCTCGTCTTCAAGTATGGTGGCGACGAGCAGCCCCAGGCCAAGGTCACACGGCCTGTCGAGGAGGAGGAGGAGGAAGAAGACGAGGAAGGCGAGGACGGCGACGAGGACGTCAAGCCCAAGAAGGAAGACATCGACGTCAAGGTCAAGGTCGAGGAGGAAGACGACGACGATGAGGACGAAGAAGAAGAAGAAGACAACCCCAAAAAGCGCAAGGCCGAGGTCATTCTCGACCCACCACAGGACCTCGAAGACGAAGACGAGCTGGAGATCAAGCTCGCCATGCTAGACATCTACTTTAGTAAACTCGACAAGCGCGAGTCGGCAAAGGACATTATCTTTGACCGCGCATTGACAGAGCATAAGAGGGTGAGCTGGCCATGGCCTGATCATTGAGCTAACAAACCAGATCCTTGCCAACGAACGCAAGCGACCAAAGGAGGAGCGCGAGCTCGTGGGACGCTACAAGGTGTTTGCCAAGTTGCAAACAGGACAAGACTTTGAGGTTCTCATCGAGGGCCTGATTGTCGAGCAGCAGCTGCGCCGTCGTATAGCAGAACTGCAAGAGTACCGCCGTGTTGGCGTCACCACTGCGGCCGAGGTCGAGGTGTACGAGACTGCCAAAGCAGCACGAGCCGGCTACCGACCAGTGCAGGCCCGCGAGCAGACCGAGGTCATGCGCACGGGTGCCCGCATCAACGCTGGTCAGCATCGTTTCCTGCATGGCACTCCACCACCTGGCGCCAAGATCGACGACCGTGGAAGCCGAGACCCGACCCCTCGTGTGCCTGGCCACGGCGGCCGCAAACCCCCAACACCACTCAACCTTGCCAACGCGGCGTCGCTCGACCTGCTGTCGGCCGAGGAGCAGAACCTCTGCTCGACACTGCGTGTCCTTCCCAAGCCGTATCTCATGATCAAGGAGACATATCTGCGAGAAAACGAGCGTCGCAAGGGCCTGCTCAAGCGCCGCGACGCGCGCAAGATGATGAAAATCGACGTCAACAAGTCGGGTCGCATCTTCGACTTCCTCGTCGCCAACGGCATCCTCAAGCTCATGTACGACCCCACCGTCAAGGGTCTGGGTCCTGGCAAAGAGGGTCACCACGTCGGCGTCGCCATTGACGTGACAACCGGCCGCCCATTACCCAACCTCCCGTCCCCCATGACCCACAACATCGTCATGCCAGCCGGTATCACCAACGGAGGCCCATGAGATGGGGCCCATCTTGCACCCACTCCTCAAACCCCCAACCCCCAACCCCATTACCCTCGTCTCCACAGCTGGAGTGCGAACGGTTTCTTGTTTTTAGCCGCAGTAACGATCGTCTTGGGACGCGACACGCACACAGGGTTATATAGCCTGTCCTGTGTGTGTGCCGCCGGTGAGACCTCAAGCAGTAGTATGTAGTCGTAGTAGTCTAGCATGCATTACGAGAGGAGTATGAAGTAACCTGAACCTGAACGCAGGCGGCGGCGGTTTGTCTACCTGTCGCCGAAGAGAGCCTTGCCGCGGGCGCTGAGGCGCATAAAGCCCGCGCAGGCGTCGGCGTCGTCTGGCGAGCTGTGGGGGTCAGCGCTGGACGCGACTTGCGAACATGGTACGGTGGAGATGGAGGGCGCCGGGGGGGGTGGTGGTGTGTGGAATGTAGGACAGGAGGGCAGGATCTGGGAAGGAAAGGAGGACAACAGGGGTGGAAGAAGGAAGACACCAAGGAGCACGACGAGGTAGGACTAGAAGACAACGGCCCACACGTTCACATACGGCCACATGCCTGGATCGTGTAGCACTGCTATTGCAATACCATGTGCTTGTGCCATGATGTCGCCGATGGCTGGGGAGCACACCAAGGGGCCCTTCCTCCGCTCGGCAGTCGTCTAAAGCACGGTAGCGGTGTCCCGTCCGTCTCCTCGAGGCTTACTGGAAGGACATCTAGCCTCACCCAGCCCCACCTGGCTTCTTCCCATGCCCCAACACCCAACGCGCCAGCTCGTCCTGTCCAAACCCAACCCAACCCAATCCCAATCCCTCCACCTCGCCGACCTCGGCCTCCAAAGACCACCGGGCGTGACTCACCGCTTGGCCATTTCTCCACGGTACGTCACGTCCTCGAGCGGCTGCGTGGCCAGGGCGATGGCCGGGAGGAAGAGTACAAGTGCGCCCAGAGCCTCGAGCGAAATCTGAATGAAGCGCCCGGGGGGGGATAGTCAGCACAGGAGAACAACAACTAAGGCGGTTGAGTGACCATTCTACCCTCAACTGACCGATGTGGGGAGCGAGGTGGCGGTGCGGCCGAGGGCCTTGAGTGTGCTCAGGTCTGTGTCGTGTCAGTGTGGATTCCGAGATGCGCATGAGCGCGATAGCGTTTGTGGTGTGGGTGACGGCCTCGAGCAGCGCGGCGGCGGACACGGTCGCGTGGGACACCCGCTCCCAGCTGCAACGCTCCAGCTGTCCAGTGTGCCATGCCTGGTGTCCCTCGCCAGAGCAGAGCCAGCAACCAGCACTGCAGCGTCCGTTTGTCGCCCTTTGAAACAGTGACAGGACGCAGGTGGACTAGCTTTGACAGGTGCGGGTTGTCGAGAGAGACACGCCGCCGACATGGAAAGAGTGGGTTCATCCCTCCCGCCGAAACTCACGCTCATACGCCGAAAACGCGGCTGTGCAGGGCGTCAGCTCTCGGTTCATGGTCAAGGGGACGCTGTCTATGCGTACCATGCAACAGGAGGAGGGCGGACGCGACGACGAGGGCTCTTGCGATGGATGGCATGGTGTGGGTGGGTGGGTTGGTTGGTTGGTGGACACGAGATGATTTCAGGAGCCGAGGGTCGCGTCATGCTTTAGCCCCGGGTGACGCGGGCGGGACTTGGGGGCGACAACTGTGTGTGTCATGTGTTGTGCTGGTCCCAACGTCTCTTGATCTCTTGTGCAGCTTGGTTTGCGTCTTTTGACATTGTTTTACTGGATCTCTAGCTCTTGGAAGCTGAGATTACCTCTGCGAAAGCATGGCACTTGTTTCGTTGCTCCAGAGTACCACAGCTCTATGTGCTCGGTGTGTTACCTCGTCGAGATCTTGATCACGTGACCCATCTCCCCATGTCGCCTTTGTTGTTGCATCCTTCCTCACGCACCTGTGTCTGCCACCTCGACTCTTTCATCTCACCTCACCCACCGTCCTCGCCACCTTCACCGTGATCACCGCGATCGTCGCCACAATGCTTCATCCCGCATTCACCGGGCGCGTGCGTGCGACCTGGCACGTTGAGCAGCGCCTCGTGAGCATGGTGAGCAAGGTGAGTTCTCAACCCCCATCATCAAGCCACACCAACCGCAACCCGCCAATATGCGCACCACGCTCTGCCTCGCCTCCCGCACCCCTCTGCGCCGTCCGCTCAACACGGGCGTGGTGCGGCGCGGAGCTTCCCCGACCCTCAAAGGCGACACCTTTCAGCTAACGCACGAGCCCAACCCCCGTCGTCACCCGCCGACCACGCCGACGGTCCAGGTCGTCACCGCGCCAAAGGTGACCCCCGACACCATCTTTGCCGGCGACGCGCGTGCCGCGCCTATTGTTCTTGACATGAAGCAATGGGTGTGTAGTGGAGCTGAGAATGGGCTAACACCAGCAAACTCGCTTTTCCGCTGTCGAGGCTGCGCTCGCCGATCACCAGCGCCAAATCCACCGCGCCCTTGGCCGCCTCGACATGCTCCGCCCGCTTGACGTTGCCTCGCTTCTCTTGGAGCACTTGTGTCGTTGGCCGAAAGCGGCAACTGCGCCATCGCCCGTGGTGGGTCGCTGACAGGCTGGTACTATTCTTTGTTAACACGTCCTCGACGCAGATCCGTACCGCGCTCGAGACCGCGCTCAAGGACCTCAAGAGCGGCGAGCGATCGCAGCTGCCATCCTCGCCGCCTCTTGTGGCGAACCCGGCGGAGATCCTTGGCCTTGGCAAGAGCGAGCTCGTGCATGTGCTCGAGGCTGTCGCCCCGCGGGTTAGCCGCGACGCGGTTCAGGAGCGCAACACTGTTGCCCACCCTCGCCGCCGGCTGGACTGGCTTCTTGAGGACAACCTCGAGGCTCTTGAGCGTCTTCCAGCCCGCGACCGCGCCGACCACCTCCTCGTCCACCTCGCCATCACGCGCTGTGCCGAGCTGTCCGGCGAGGACGTCTCGGAGCATCGCGAGCGCGTGGAGGTGATGCGCATCAAGCTCGGCCTGTGAATTGACCAAGTGTGACTGCTTGTATATAGACTCGGCGTAACCGGCACGACCTCCGTACTGTATCTTCCCTTCTCTCGTCTGTATTTGGTTGTGTCCTTGTTGCAGATGTAACCGCCACCAGAACGGTCCGGTGCCACTCGGTGATGCTCCTTGGCCAAGGGCGGTGTCTCCCCGAACAGCGCTGGCGTTGGTGTCAGCATCCTATGCTCTTACGTCTGTCTCAGCATCCTCTGCTGTTACTGAACCAATCCACTTGTTCCATTGTGCATCTCTGGGCCATACATTGACTGCCCGACCATCACATCTACTCTTACGTAACGGTATTTTTGTTATTGTTGTTCATTTGTGTGGTGTTATTGAATAAAATCGTCAACGTCGATGTGGTGGACCCACATGCAACGTCGTGTGCTCGGAGCGGACCCGAGACAGAGGCGTGAGCAGACGCAAACTTGGCTTTCACATGCCCCCGTCCTAGCACTACCGAGCTACTGAGCTACTGAACAGTGGACGCCAACGAGCCCAGTTTCCCCGGCGCCCATGGCCCTCGGCCTCGTCAATCCCAACGGAAACAAGATAAGTATGGTACGGCGGGGCTTGTGCCGGATATACATGGCATTCTATTTCTCCAGTCATGCCAGTCACGGCCGCCGAGAAACAACATATAGGCGAAGTGTCCGAGCTCGCGCGCGCTGTTCTAGCGTGAAGAAGAAGGGCTGAAGAGCTGCATCGGCACACAGTACACCGTAGTAGTTAGTGCATCGGTACGGTATATGCATTTGCCTGGACGAGGCTCGGCGACCGTGGCAGGCAAAGGGCCCGCCCGCCCCTCGGGCGCCGGGTGGGGTGCGGCTCGGCCACCTCCCGTTGCTGACATGTTTTCCTCGCCGGTGACTGTGGCCACGAGAGCAGCGACGGAGGGGGGAGCGGGGTGTGTGTTTGTATGGTTTGCAGAGTGGTTGTTCGTGTCGCCCCATCAAACACAATCCCATCCATACTACCGTTCACGCCCTTGACAGCACCAGTCGCCAGCTCTCTTCTCGACGGTTGTCGCCCCCCCTCTCCCCCTCGTCCCCCTCTCCGCTGTGGCTTTTTTTCGGCTCACGGTCCGGATCCGTTATCGCCCCTCTCCCGTGCCCGCGCGCCGATTGTCCCCGACGGGCTGACACCTCTGCGTCTCGTCCTTTCATTGCTCAGCACGCTCAAGTAGTGCTCTCAACACGCGGGCAACGGCACACACCGTCTCTCCCTCTCTCTCCCAGCGGTCTCAGCACGGTTTCTTTCGTCTCCGTCATCCCTTGCATCGTTTTCTTTTTTTCTTTTTCCACTTGCTCGCGTCTAGCCCAAAGGCAGCGAGTCTCAACACACTCGCGCTCTTCTGCGAGCTCGAGCTCCACCGTTTCTTCTTCTTTTTCTTCTTCTCTCTCTCTTCCCTTCTCTTCCCCTGTATTTCGCACCACCACCCCATGGCGCCCAAGAAAGCGGACATGGACAGGGACGCCGACGACGACAGCAGTCGCGGTGGGTCTGCAGCGCCCGAAGGCGAGGATGGCAAAAAGTCTTCGTGAGTGGCAACTGTGCAACTGTGTGTGGATGTGTGGATGTGGCCCAACAACGACCATGCCATGCAGCAAAACAAGTGCATCACCCAAAATGTCTGTGGTGGACTTTGGACCACAGCGTCCGGCAAACGGGTGGCGGCGGCGGCAGTGACACACCCACCGGCTGGCCGGCTGGTCGCTCCACGCGCGCCGGCCGGGGCTCTCGTCCTTTGCCGTTTACACCAACAACACACTTTTCTTGCGTTTCCCTTTCCATCACAGCTACACATCCACATACCCACACTGTCCCCGCCCCCCGCCCCCCTCCCCCTCCCCCACAGACGCGCAATGTCGCCACCGTCCTCGCCGCAGTCTGCGTCGCCGCAACCAAACGAGCCGCTAACCGGCGCCAGCTCGACCCAGATCCGCAAGGCGCAAAACCGCATTGCCCAGCGCGAGTTCAGACTACGAAAGCAGGTACGTTGGACATACCAGAGTACCAGAGTCCCCCCGCCAGCCCCGTGCCAGTGCCAGTGCCAGTGCACTGGACGAGGCCGTAGCCGAGGCGACGTGCTTCGTTGCTTTTTCAGCAACAACAAAAAGTACCAGTGCCCTGTGCACGCCGGTACCCATCTCCGTCGTCGTCGGCCTCCTCCTCTTCCTCCTCCTCCTCCTCCTCCTCCTCCTCATCCCCGCCCTCCTATACATGTGGAACCAGCGCTGACATGACAGCAATACGTGAGTCTACATGTTCCACTGCACCTTACGGCCGAGACGGTGGACGCGCTAGGCCGACGCGTCATGTCAGCCCGGCGCCGGCGCTTGCCGATGTAGGCGAGCGCACGTACATCAGTCTCCATCACCACCTCTTGACGCCGATCCCCGGACCCAGCATCGTGCAACGCATATATCCCTCGGCCGCCGATGATGTTTGGTGCGCCGTCGATTGTCGTTGCAGACAGGAGTGGTGGGTCCTGCGCGCGATCCAGAGTACCAGAGTCCCAATCCAGCACCATCGTGCGCGATTTCTTGCCTGCCCGTCGCGGACGGCAATATCCGCTGGCCGCTGGGCTTGACTGGAAGGGACAGGCAGAGGACCATTGGGGTCAACGCACACTGGGGAAAGTCTACAGGCTGGCCAGTGGACCGAGGCTGCGACATGACGTGTAGCTCGGCCCATCTCTGACCGTTCTCACGCCGTTTTTTCTACTACTGAGAACCCCCCAGCTAACAAGTCCAGATCCGTGACCTTGAAGCGCGCGTCGAGATCCTCTCGGGCGACAAGGAGGAGCGTATCGAGCTCATGCTCCTCCTGGTCCGCAACCTCCTCAAGGAAAACAAGGACCTGCGCGCCATGGTCAAGTCGATGGCGTCGTTTCTCGGCGAGGGTGAGCTAGATGTCACTCCTCTGTTAAGCTCGTGCTGACTAGAATCCAGGTCTTGGGTCCTGTCTCCCGCGCCTGGGCTTGAATTCGGCGCAGCTCGACGCCATGCTCAACCGCTCGGACACGGACACGGCCTACGAGGCGTTCATCTCGCTCAAGGCCACCAAGGAGCTCGAAAAGACCAACCCGGGCATCGACCTGCCTGGTGAGCTCCGGCCACGCCACGACTCGGGATCCAACCCGGGATCGAGTGCTGGTGCAGGCTCGCAGATTGGTGTCCCCAAGCGCAAGCGTGACCACGACAGTCCCCCGCCCATAGCCGACCTCGAGGATAAGCGCCCACGCGCTGGGTCGCCGCAAACCTCACTCGAACAGGTCGGCGACTTTGGCACTTGGGACTTTTTATTCCCCGACCCAGAGCTCTCAGCCGTCGCTGGACCAGGACCATCGTCAGTGGGGCTGGAAGGCGGCATGTTTGGTGCTCCTCGTCCAGACTTGCAGTTGGCGCAGCAGATGAACGCCAACTCTGCCAGCTCTAGGCAGAATGGCACGCCAGCCACGAATTCCGGAAACGACGGCGAGGCGGCGACACCCGACGCCGACCGCCAACGCAGCCTCCGCCAGGCCGTTGCGCACATGACGAACCGCCCGTCCGCAGGTCCCCGCTCCCCACTCATTATCACGGCTGCCAACAACATGACGCCCCGCGAGGTGGAGGACCGCAAGCGGATGCAGGAGGAGTTGCGGCAGAGCATTGAGGTGTCGCAGGGTGAAGAGGCGGCCGAGCGCAAGACCGAGGCGCTCCAGCTGATCACCTACCACATGAACAAGTGAGTTGGCGACAACCGTCGGGACGGTCAACTGACAACAAGCTTCCGCATCAACCACGAGTACAACCTCCCACCATCCCTCCGCCCCACACCCGTGCAGCGCACTCTGCCTCACGAGCACGCCATCGACGGTATACTGTTCCCCAACATCCGCGACCGCATGATCCTCCTCCGTGGCAAGTACGATTTGGTCGAAGCGTTCCACGCGTACATTACCGAGGTGAGCTGGTGCCACTCTTCGCACGTCCTCTTAGCTCACACGTTTCAGTTTACGCTTCACGGCGACGATGCGCTCGACCACCGTAACTGGGAAGCGTCGGACAAGTTCCTCAAGGACTTTGCGATCCTCGTCGACGACGAGGTGTACAGCGTCACGAACAAGTGGCGTGCCACGCGCGGCCTGCCTCCCCTCGTCCGTGGTCCCGACTCGGGACACAACCTTGGCAACGGCCTGGGCACGGGCGCGGGTCTCGCTACCGAGTTTTCCAGAGCATTAGACCCAGTGTCTGAGGGACTGGGTTTGCCTTGACAGCTGATAGCTGATGGCTTGGCGGGCGTGGTACAATAATGTGGCCGAGAAGGGTCCAGCCAGCGCCTGCCGCCTGCCGCCGCCACCCACTTTTTTACTTTACACACTGCAGCTCTCGGTCCCTTGCTCCTTATGCCATGTACTATTGAAGGCTTCGGAATGCGGCTCCTAGCTAGACATTCTACAATGTATACCTAGTCTCCTGTGCATAAAGGGTCACAACAAAGGCCACAAGGCGTTGTTTGTTTGTCCTGCAATTTATTCTGCCATTTTTGTTGTCTCGGTCGTCGGGGCGCATCGTCGGTTCCTCGTGTTCAACTTGGGGGGGGGGGTTCAAAGGATCAAAGGTCTCATATTGCGCGTTAGCTTAGCATTCTATAACACTCGTACAACACACAAGCCGTGGCTGTTTTGGGACACATTACGTTGTGATCAAAATCGACCCACGTCCATGGCTCTGGACGCCGTTCCTTGTCCTGGTTGCTAGATTTGGGTCGTTCCCGTGCTCAGCACGGGTCGCTTCCATCACTTGTGTGTCCTCTGATCCTCTGATCCTCTGATCGAGTTGCAAGCGAAACGGTAGCGGGAACTGTGGCCTCCCGCTGCGCCGCTGCCTTCTTCGCTGGCAACTCGGATGTCATGCATGTCATGGCTGCTGCGCTGCGGCGAGGAGGAGTCCTCTGGGACTCGGTCGACGTCGCTCAATGTGTCTCTCCCTCCCTTGTCCTATCCCTACGAGCCCTATATGCCTACCCCGCTCTCCCTTTCGTTCTCCCTCCCGTTCTCCCGGCTGTGTCCCGCCCAGTTCATATCCGAACACGAAGGAACAAGGTTAGCACCCAAAGAGCCGTCTACTCGGGCCCTTTGCAGCCAAGGGGCGAATAAGGGCCCAGGTTGAGAGCGTACGCCGGAATCTCAACGCCTAAAAAGAGACCAATGCAATGGCCCAGAGCGCCCAGAGCACTTCGGCAGCACTTTTGCCCTCAGAGTCGATGCGGAAGAGGCGGATTCCATTGCGCGGACAAACTCTGCATGCAAGGGTCGACAGGCGGGGCAGGCTGCGGGGGGACACATGGTGCGCACTCTTGACATGCTGGAGAGAGCAGCATGGGGGGGGCAGATGAGGAGAGCCATGTTGTAGACTCCCTTTAGAAAAGCTGTTGCATGCCACCTTGCCCCCCTTGTCAGGAGCGCGTCGTCGTACGCATGTACGCCACGGGGCCGGGAGATCGTTGGGACGTTGGGGCCGCATGGCCTCGCCCCTGTGGCCTGTGGGTCATCCAACAGTCCGTACAGTGGATGGCAGAGACCATACCGTCTCTCGTCTGAACAACCTCTCCCACCCCCTTTCCTCGTGCTATCTCTGTTAATTCTGTCGACACGTTCGCCACGCGCCGGCCTTCACTAGCTTGCATCTATTTCATCTGGGATCTTTGTCAACAAGATCTAGAGATCCAGAGATCTCCCCCACTGGAAGGCAACAAACCGCGCCCCAACACAACCCGGCTATTAGTACACCCTTCTTTCATCGTCTGGCCGCCCTTTTCCTCCCCAACTATAACATCTTTCCTTCACCTCCTTCTACACAGGCCACCCCGACTGCGACTGGTCCCGTAAGCTAGCTAGCTGCCTTGACAGACTCGTCCTTCCTCGCCTACACACCTACATCACCCCCTCACCCGCTTTCAACAATGCGTACCCCGCTCCTCGCCGCCGCCGCCTTCACCTTCACCTTGGCAGCGGCAGCCTCTGCTTCTCCTTTGCCCAGTGCTGCCGGCAGCGACATTCCCCACCCCGAGTCCGTGTCCCAGCTCTCGGGGCACGAGGTCCGCGATATTGGCCGTCTTGCGCAGACCATCAAGTGAGTGTCACACTCCGGGATCACCGGACGTTCGCTGCGTGCTGCGAGCTGACCTGCTACCAGCTTTGCCTCGTGCCCCGAGCAGCCCTTGCCACAGACCTTGTTCGGCCAGAAACCCTCGGTCCTCATCTCCTCGGCAGACGAGGACCAGCCGTATGATCTCGAAGACGCGCCCGACCTGAACTGTGAGTCCGCTGTGTCGAAATGCCATTCGTAGCTGACAACGTAGGGTACGTTTCGCGCTCGGGCAGCACCCTCCGGCTCGCCATCTCGTCTCTGCCCACTGTCGAAGAGTTTGTCGAGATCCTCGCCGAGCCCAGGCTCGTTCCTCCTCCAGCATGGTTCTTCCCTTCCCTCGTCGACCGTCAAGGGCCCCTGCCGCTCGTTCACGGCTCCCTCATCCCCGCCCTCGAGTCGCACGGCTTGGCAGCCACCGTCGCCGTGCTCGACACACTCAACACTCTCGAGGCGTTGCCTTTGGGCTTCGCTCGCCGCATGCTGCACGTCTTCCGTCGCGGGCCCACCCCTATTACCAAGATCGAGATCACCGGCCACGGCCTGGGCGCCGCGACCGCCCTGTTGGTCGCACTGGCGATCAAGCTCGAGACAGCAAACGGCAAGAACCCCGCTCCGGCCGTCGAGGCTACGCTCTTTGGCCTCCCGCGCGTCGGTGACGAGGCGTTCGCCACATGGGTCGACTCGCTCACCGAGGACGGGCACCTCACCATTCGTCGCGTGACAAACGGCGCCGACGCCGTCCCCCACCTGCCTGGCCGCCACTTGAACTTTGTCCACCCCGCCTCGGCGTCCGAGATCTGGCTTACCGACGACGGGTTGGTGAGGTGTACCGCCGCGTCGGGGAGCATGGAGAGCGAGCGCTGCGCCGCATCCATCGCCCTCTCCAGCACTGGTCTCGGAGCCCACTCTGGCCCATACGTCGGCGTCAGCCTCGGAGTGTGCCCTCTGTGAGATTTCCTCTCACAAAGAAGTACCTCTCCTCTTTCTTCTCTTCACAAGCCGACCCCCACAAGCATTTCCGGGCACACTTGCACCATCGCTGCCCCAGAGGCATGTTGTATAATTCATGTACCACACTGTAGACATCGCATATATGCACAGGACTCTCGTTCTGCCGTCCGAGAGACGTCGTTTGATTAGAAACACGTCCATTTGAAACACTTATTACAAAAAGATGCTCCCGCTTGTCTGCCCCGCGTTCTGTGCCTTTTCCTCCACTTCTTCAATATTTTGGCCACCAACAAACGTCCAAGTGAGGATCCATTCTTCCCTCAACACCCACAACACCACCGCACGCAACATGAAGCGCCCAGCACCCCGCGCACCCGGGTTCGGAAGTGCATGGACAGCGCTTGAACCCGCGCTCACGCCATGGATCGCCGATGTCATTGCTGGCCAGGGCTTTGAGCGCATGACGCCCGTCCAGGCCGGTACGATTCCTCGCGCTGTCAAGCACCAGGACTGCGTTGTCGAGGTGAGTGGACAAGGCAGCTGTGGTTTCTCCAGCATTTAGCTGCCATAGTACTTTACCCTGGTATGGGGAGCCCCTTTTGCTAATCCCCAGGCGGTCACCGGCTCCGGCAAGACGCTCGCGTTCGTCGTCCCCGTCCTCGAGCGCATGGTGCGCAATGAGCACAAGTACAGGAAGGGCGAGGTCGCTGCCATTGTCATTGCTCCCACACGGTAAGCTGAGACATGATTAATTTTAGCTGACAGCACAGAGAGCTCGCATCGCAGATCCACCAGGTCTTCAACATGTTCCTCGCCACCATCCAGCCGCCTCCTCCCGAGCCCGTCGAGGGCGAGGAGACACCGCTCCCAGTGCCGGGCGAGTATCCTCTCGCGACCTTGATCACGTCCGGCACCACAACCCCATACGACACGTTCTTTCAGCTCCAGTCCAACATTCTCGTCGGCACGCCCGGCCGCCTGGCGTCGTTCCTCCTCGGCCCGCGCGGCATGAACGCCGTCCGCGTCGGTAACCTCGACGTGCTGGTGCTCGACGAGGCGGACCGTCTCCTCTCAGCCCCAGACCACAGGCGCGATGTGGAGCGCATCATGCGTCACTTGCCCAAGCAGCGCCGCACGCACCTTTTCAGCGCGACCATGACGGACGCGGTCGAGGAGATGGTGGGTCTGGGTCTGCGCAACCCCGTCCGCATTGTGGTCAACCTCAAGGACAAGCGCGTCGCCGGCGAGACGCAGGAGCGCCGTGTGCCCATGGGTCTCCAGAACACGTATACCGTGTGCAACGCCGGCGACAAGACTCTGCAGCTCGTTCGTGTGCTCGACCGCGAAGCCGCTCAGCACGAGGCGTCCAAGATGATCGTCTACTTTTCGACCTGTGCTGCTGTCGACTACTTTTACAGGGTAAGCTAGATACCCATTGAGCTTAGCTGACAAACACAGGTCCTTTCTCGCCTTCCAGAGCTCGCTCGTTTCTCCCTCACCTCGTTTCACGGCGACCTTCCCCCGCGAGTGCGCGAGTCGTCGCTCGCGGCCTTCAACTCGCATGCCTCGTCGCACCTCACCCCAGCCGTGCTCCTCTGTACCGACGTGGCGTCGCGCGGTGTCGACTTTCCCGACATTGACGTTGTGGTGCAGTACGACGCACCTACGGACCCCAAGACGTTCTCGCACCGTGTCGGCCGTACAGCCCGCGCCGGACGTGCCGGACGCGCCATTCTGCTCCTCTCCAGCGGCCGCGAGGAGGAGTATGTCAACTTCCTCTCGGTGCGCAAGATTCCGCTCGCTCGGACGGGCTACCTGTCGTCCACGCTCGAGGAAGTCGAGGCCGCTCCCGCCCCCGTGGACCCGGAATCGACCGCCCTCATGAACCGCATCCGCGAGATTGTGCTCACTGACCGCGACCTGTCCGACCGCGCCGCCAAGGGCATGGTGTCGTCGGTCCGCGCGTACACCAAGCACGAGGCAAGCTTCATCTTCCGCCCCACCGAGATCGACTTTGCCGCCCTCGGCACGGCGTTTGGCGTCCTCCGCCTGCCTGCCATGCCCGAGATTCGCGACTGGCGCAAGCGGTGCGAAAAGGCCAAGAAGCGTATCGAGGAGCGCAAGAACAAGATTGTCGAGGACAAGCCCGACGACGCCAAGGCCGCAGAGGCGACGGCCACGGCGACCGCGACAGAGGGTACGCCCACCGAGGCCAAGGAGGAGGAAGAGTACGTCCCTCCCGTGGAGTGGGCCGACGCCGAGGTCGACTGGGACACGTTTGCGTACGCGACCAAGGCCCGCGAGACGGCGCGTCTCGTCGCCCTGGAGGAGAAAAAGGCCAAGGTTGCTGCGTCGGGCCCGCGCGACGACAGTGTCGAGAAGAAGAAGCGCAAGATCCAGGCCGAGGTCAAGGAGGCGTGGAGTAACCAAAAGGACCGCAAGGCGCGCCGCGACGAGCGCCACGATAAAAAGGACACGCGCAAGCGCGTCGAGTGGGAGAAGAAGCTCGCCGCAGGCGAGGACGCGCCCGAGCCCGAGAAGCGCGTGTCCAAGAAGAAGAAGGTGGTCGATTCCGACGACGAGCTCATGGCCGACGACTACCGCTCCCTCAAAAAGGAGGTGCACCGCGAGCGGGCGGACAAGAAGGCTTCGCGGGCCGGCGCCGTCAAAGAGTCGGCGGGCATGTTTGACGACCTCGACTGAGACGGCATCCTTTTCTTTTTTATCCATAGACACACATAACCGGGCATTGTTTGTACAGTAAACCACATGATGCATTATCTAGCGTTATATCTCCTCTACTATGCCCAGGGGTTCTCGTCGTCGGGCTGCGACCAGCGCGCATAAGAAGGGACACGGAAGGACGAGGGGGCAAACCCGCCACGGGCAGGTGACGTGCCACGCGGCGCGGCCACGGGTGACGGTGGCGAGTAGACTGCTGCTGGCGGCGGCGCCGCCTCGACGAGTTGGTCCACCGCCGGCTCGAGACGCTGTGGCGGTGTACCTCCCGTACGCGCCTTGACCCTTGCCTCCCTCGCCTCCTCCCTGCGATCGCTCTTCGTCCTCGGCCGCGTGGCCTCGACGACTTGCTCGTGGCTCACGAGGTCGACGGCGTCTGAGCGTTCCACGACGGACGCCGGTGATGCCTCCTCGGGGTCGGGTGTGTCCTCGAGCACGAACGCGCGGGCAGCAACAGGCGGCCGCGGGGCGGACATGCGGTTGCGCGTCCATGTCAACTGCGTCGCCTCGCCGTCGACGGTCGTGCGCCACGCGCCCGGGTTCTCGTTTTCGCCGTCAAACGGCGCGTCGTCGACGTCGGCAGCGACCAGCGGGCGTTCCACAGACGTGACGCGGTCCGCCCACGCGCCGTACACGCCCATACGGGCCTTGCCCTTTACGTTGCCGTTGCCGTTCTCCTTGCCCTTGCCGAGACCGGCTCGCTGGTTCTTGGCGCTCCGCCGCTCGCCACGGCGCGCAGGCGCCGCGCTGTTGTCGTCCCCGATGCTCTGGCGCGTGATCCGTCCGGCGAGGATACCGTCCTCTTCCTCCCGCCTGCGTCTCTGCTCCTGTTCCCTGCTCACGTCCACGTTTGGGAAGCCAGAGTACCCGATCCGTCGGGCACGGGCGTACATGGCGTCCTCGCCTTCGGACATTGACGAAAAGTCGACACTGGTGGCACCGTCAGAGTCCGAGTCGCTCGAGTCGTACGCCATAGGGGACGTGTTACCGGCGATATAGCCACCGTTGTAGCCGTGGTTGTTGTGGTGTGGCAGCAGCGGACCGCGCTCAGACGACTGTCGCGGTTCGTCGCCCGGTACGGGGATCCAGTACTTTGTCTTGCCGCCCTTGGCGTACCTCATTCCAGCACGGATACGCTTGCGCCGTCCTTCTTCGTGATGCAGCTCGCCGTCGGCCGCCTCGTATGCCTTGTACGACACACCGCGTGCGCGGAAGGTATACTTGATGTCCTCCCAGACGTCCTTGAGACCAAACGCGTCCCTAAACGCATAGTAGAATGGCAAACGCGCAGCGTACGTGATGGTCGGGTCGATGTAGTCGCTGGCCTGGAAAGCATACTGGTGTGCAATGGCGAAAAAGGGCATTTCGATGCAGATGAGCGAGTCAACGAGTGCGAGGGACATGTGCTCCGGGTCGGTGTATGGGCCAACTGAGCGTCAGCTTGATCAGAGACTTGAAAGCTTACCACTCGTGATGGCACCAATGGACACGAGAATGGAGATGGCCACGCTCTGCCAGAATGAGAAGAACAGAATGCCCTTGACACAGAGGAATTTCGCTGGGGTTCAGCTCAGATCCACCTAGGTAGGTACTCACGGACCGGACGGAACGGCTTCAGGAAGGGGTTGACAGCGACCCAGAACATGCCCAGGCAGCTGCGGGGTTAGAGACAGACCCAAGAATCTCAACCCACTAGAGACTCAGGCAGATACTAATGTTGTACACTGCCGTGACCCAGGTGTATCCCGAGGTAACTGCAAAGTCGCCCTCGTGGTACGTTCCCGTCGCCTTGAGGATGGCGGTAGCGACGACCAGGAGCGGCTTGACCTGGACGTATTCTGATTGATGAGCTCTTCCGAAGACATCGTAACTCACGAAGCACGCCACGCTTCAGATTCAGCAGCGTCCACGGGTCACTCGGGTCCATGGGGCTAAGGATAATGTTGACGGGAAAAAGGTGCGGGATGAGCGGGCGACCACGCAAGCGCACCAGCATTTCACGCTCGTCGCCGAGATATGTGATGAGGAGCTGGAGAAACGCATAGATCACAAAGGCCTGGATGGTCAGTGAACCCGGTATGAATTCACAGGGAGCGACATGTCACACGCACCTCGTACAGGTCGCGCACGGCATCGATAAAGAATGCCGCGTTTAGCGAGTATAGCGCTATCAGTGACGAACATGCGTACAGCGGCACCCTGCTGTCAGCTAGTGTTACCAGAGCGCCCAAGCTTACATCACCATGATGCGCACAACACAGCGCTGGAGTGCTGGCATGCGATAGTTTTTCAGCTGGAGCACAATGGACATGATGCTCAGACCGGTCGCTGGCGTCAGCGTTGTGTTCTTTCAGATATACAACTCACCAACAAGCGTGCACGATCCGCACAGGCTCAGTAGCCAGTGGGGCAGGTGGTCGCCCGCACCCCCTCCTTCAGGCGAGCCCATCGTTGGAGGCGGGTTGGACCCACCGCCAGGAAAGGACGGGAGAGACATGGTGTCGACGTCGGTGAGAGCCGCTGTTGATATCCAGAGGAAGAGACAAAGTTGAGATATGGGTACGGCCCGCGGTTCCCGAGTGTGGTGTTGGACGCTACCTTCCGTCGATCCCTTGTCGCCCCCAAGGAGAGCGTGATTGGAAGGGTTACGGAGGCGCAGCGCAGCGGTGAGGGTGTGCGCAGACGAATGCGGTGAACACGAGAAGAAGAAGAGCAAGTGTTGAGGGCTGTTGGGTTTGGGTGGCGGGGGGGAGGCACATGCGGCCGCCCGCGCGCCTGGCCGCCGACAAGTGGTGACGACTGCGGGGCGCCAGACGCTGGGTAGATGGGACGCGGAACCATGGACATTTCGGCACGACACGTCCTCGACAGCTTGTCCATCCATCGTCCACTCCACTTCAGCAACCATCACTACACACACGCTCCAGCGCCATGGCCGAGCACGTCGAGTACGTCGCCAAGCACTTTAGCCTCACACACATTGTGTACGGGGCCGACGACCCGCTTGGCATTCCCCTCGCCTTACTCTCCCTCTCTCCCATCTTCCTGTTTGTCGCCTACTTTGCTCTGGTGGTCTTTGGCCGCCGCCTCTCGCTCCTCCTTCTCGCCGGAGGCTCAGTGTTCAACGAAGCCTTTTCACTGGCATTGAAGCGCCTGCTCCGCGAACCACGGCCGTTCCCGGACCGCCCCCATGTAGGCGACGGGTACGGCATGCCCTCGAGCCACGCGCAGGCTGGCGCCTTCCTGTTCGCCTGGGGTGTGGGCTACGCTCTCTCTCTTGACAAGAGGTATCCTGCCGCGGCGGTGAGCGACGGTATCAAGATGGTCCGTCGTGTGCGTACAGGCGTGTACCTCTTTGGCCTCTTGGCTTGGTCCCTCTGCGTCGCGTACTCGAGGTAAGCCCCCCCCCTTAGTTGTTGACGTGTTCTGACTTTTTCAGGTTCGCCCTGCATTACCACTCTGTGCCCCAGATCGTGGCAGGCTACGCCGCTGGCATCATTGCTGGCGCCAGCTGGTACACTGCGACAGAGTACATCCCGCGCGTGTACCCCACCTCTATCCCGGGCCGTATTCGCTCCGGTATCGAATGCGTCTGGGTCGGTGTCGGCGGCATTGGCGGGTGGCAAGTGGGTGGCGCGGACGGCGGGTGGGGAGAAGGCCCACTGTTTGTCAACAGCGCCGCCACCAAGAAGAACCAATAGTGGTAGATAGATAAACTAGACATGCTACGCTGCATAGGGCGTGTTGAGCGCCGGTCGCTACAAAGGTGTTAAGAAGGAAAAGACAACAATAACTAAGGTTTGGTGAAGGACAAGAGATGGGTTCAGGCAGTGGCAATCTCAACGCGCGAAACGTCATCCAAGAGACCGGGTGGAAGAGTCGAGTCGTTGGGAGTTGAATCGTTGGTGAGCTGCGAGTCGTCGTGGCTAGCCTCGTCGTTTACAGTAGGCGCGTCCTCCTCGCCCTCGTGCACGGGCACGTCGTCATCGATACGGAGCTTGAGGGTTGCAGCTGGCGACTTGTCGGGTGAGTACGACGAGTCACGCTCATCGATAATACTGAGCTCCCGCTGGGCACGGCCTCCAGCGTTGTCATCGTCACCGTCGTCTCCCCATACTCCTCTCTCGCCCATCGCATCAACGACCGATGTCTCGGCCTGCGACGGTGCCGCGAGGGCCGTGAAGCCGAGTTTGGAAGGGGACGCTGTTCGCGGTGTGGATCCGTTGGAGCCAGACTGCGAAATGCGGGTCAGGTTGGGAGTCGGGGAAGTCGGCATCGAGTCGAGGTGGAGTGGCGAAAGAACAGAAAAGATCTGGCCCTCCTCCTTGGGAGGTCCGTACGAGTCGAAAGGGTCTGGGATCGACATGACAAGGGGCTCGAGCACGGGATCAGAGGCTTTGCCTGCAATCTTCTCGTAGAAATCGAGCTGAGAGCGAATAACAAACGCGACTTTGGACAAGACCGTGTCCCAGGTCTCCTCCTCGGCGTCGAGCACCTCCTCGTGGTAACCGAGCTTGATAGCATCGAGCTCGTCCACCTGCCTCTGCAGCTCGGCGAGAGCGTCGCGGAACTGTTGAAGGTCACGTTTACGCCGCCGACCGATCTTCATGTTGTCCGACTCGGTCCTGCGAATCTTGTCGCTCTGCGCGTGCAATGCCTTTTCGTACGACGCCAGCCGGTCGGCCGTCAGAAGCTTGTAGTTGTCAAGAGCCTCGAGGAGCGGAATCTCAAACTGGCGATACACCGTGTCGGCAAGCAACTGCTCGTGGTTGGAGATGAGGTACTGCAGACCCGCACCGCCCGCCAGAGCTGCGTTTGCCCCCCGGCATCCCTTGATGCTACGCAGAGTCAGCACACAGACACACACACAACATTCTCGGGTCCTCGCCACCAAGACTCACCGCGAGCACGCCTCCATGGCCGACGCAAACGCCGCAGTTGCGCTCGACATTGCCAATAGGGCGTTACGGTACGCCTTGGCCGCAGCCATGAGCTGGTCATCGTCAGCCTCAAAATAAAAATCATGTGGGGGGGGCGGCGTACATCCTCAAAGCATGCTATACTCGCACGCAGGTCCTTTCGAGATATGAGCGTGTGCGCTTCGGTCAAGTTGACCTTGGACCCCGTCGTGGTCGTTGAGAACTACGGCTGTCAGTGCTGCTCACACTATCTTCAGTCGGTGTCTGCCTGAGAGGGCCGGTCTGGGCGGCGGGGCGTCACGTCTGCTTGGCGGCGTGTGGGTTCCAGCCTGGCGGCGTGGGTCCGCCGGTGTCGTGCTTTTGGTTTGTGCGACTGGGTGGCCACGTGTGTTTGCACTGGGCAGTACTCACGGTTGGACTGGGTGGGCGTGCCCAGGGGAGCGATGCTGTAGACTGCATCGAGTCGTGGCGTGTTCTGTGCAAGTCTGTAGGCATGGAGAGGGTGAAGGAGGATGGAATGAGACGAGTGGAGACGGAAGATGGGAGTGTGGATGTTGATTCCTGCGAGATTGGCGCTCGCCTCCCTCCGTCGGGCGTTGACGTCGTTGGCCTTTCCCTGGCAGCAGCCGGGGCAGGACCGCACGATGAAACGCAGTGGCCAAAATGTGTTACGTAACTTAGGAGCTGTTAAGTCGTGTCATTAGCCCAACTGCCCTGGTGCGATACTTTTGATAAGCACTTTTCGCTCGCACCCGCAGCGCCGGTCCGCGACGTATAAATACCTGGCCGCCCGCAACTGTTTGCACCTTGAACAAAAATCCACGGGTGAGTTGCGACAACTTGGTCAAACAAACCAGAGAACACCAGCTGACAAGTCTTCTCAGAAACATAAAAGTTCTATTCCAGCCTGTTCAGTGGCAGGTCTAGCGTTCCCGTTTCCAAGACCGACGTGTCAAGCCCGGTGATACCCAAACTGTGTGCGCTTCTATTATCACCCGCCGAGTAGCTTCGAGGCGCCCGCACCGACCCTCTTCGGGGGCAAGGAGCTGTGGCGCGACGACAAGCTGCAGAGCGTTGGTGGGGAGTGACGGCGGACCGACATTTGTACCTCTATGAAAGACTCTTTTTTTGCTGTTTGATTTTTTTTCGGTGCGATGCGTGAAGGACCACTGGCGATGTACGATTTCGTGGTCACGTTTCCGAGTGCGAAGTTCGGGCAGGAGTAGCACTGAAGAGACATGTGCGCTGTCATTTGGCCAGGGGTCTACGTCTAGGCTCCTGGTCCTCACTCTGGCCGAGCCAGACCAAGGGGGGAGACCTCTTCAGAGGCCCAGAGGCATACGCTGGCTGTAGATGAACAGTTGTCCAAGAGTCCACGGGATCAAATTTCACCGGACCGTACGTAACCCTCGAACTGACCTTCCAGGCAACTCTTACAGAGCCCACTGCACTGCCCTCGGAACACGTTAGACAGTCGTAGCATCGCAAGAAAGTATCTACAGAGCGATCTATTGTCCAGAGTCTGGACGGGATGGACCAGATATGATCCCGAGGCGTCCAGCCGCTAGCCGGGGGCACTGTGTGGCACGTGGCGGTAGATTCAACACCACTTTGCCGACATGTGTCCAACAGCTCTACGTGCGTCCAACACATTTGCATGTGGCCATGCAAGCGTGTGCGTCTAGTAGATTCCAGGGATGAAGCGCCACTTGACGATCTTGCAGTACTCAACCCAGTCATCGCCGTACTTGCGGGCACACTTCTCAAAGTCGCGGCCACAACGATGGGTGAGGACTGCGAAGAAGAACACCGAGTAGAACATGGTGATGGGGGTGTTAAATCCAGCGGTCGCGCTCCAGGTGAAGGCCTGGATGAAGTCTGCAGTGTAATTCACCTATTACGTTGTTAGCATGCAGAAGACGTGGGGGAAAAGGAACAAGAACCAGAGAAATGTGGAAGAAGGTGGGTGCGGAGGACTTACCTTGCGGGCGTACTGCCACCAGCCGTCGATAAGAAGCTTGTTGCCGTGCTTGGTCTGAATGAACTTGGGGTTCGTGACCGCGGCCCAGGGGAGCTGGGGGAAGGCCTTGCGGGGCTTGTACTCGCCCTGCTGCTGCATCTTGAAGGCCGACTTCTGCGACATGGAGGTGTCGAAGATGTAGTACGAGGTGAGGAGGGTGACGAGCATGAGAACGTTGCCCCAAAGCGGGAACTCGTACGTAGCCGGGTCCGAGCGAGTCATGTAGATGGTGGGGTAGCAGTAGGTGAAGGGAACACCAGCCATGTTCCAGAAGATGAGCATCCATCCAAACTTCTCGTGGAACATGTCCCAGGTCTGGGGGATCATCTGCTCGCCCTTGGCGCAGGCGTTCATGTAGAGACCGGTAGCGAGGAGCATGTGGCACATGTTGTAGGTCACGTAGCCGAGAGTCTCGTACTGCTTCACGACACCGGAGAGCGAGATGAGGAAGAGGAGGACCCAGGGGACGCGGACCTCGGCGAACATCTTGAGGTCGACGGGGCCAAGACGGGGGTTGAGCGAGACGCCCATGAAGTGGTCGTAGACAGCGACACCAGACATGCGGAGGGGAGCACCGCCGTAGTGGCAGGTACGCGCAAGGATGTCGATGACGGCCGAAACAGTGACACCGCTGGCAATGGCGACAGTCATGATCGAGCCATAGTTCTCAATGATCCACGGGAGGCGGTAGATGCCAGTGTAGTGGAGAACACCGGCAAGGACAAGAGTAGCGTACCACGAGTAGAGGGCATTGCACTTGTACACGAGGGTCTTGTAGCCAAGCGAGGGAACGGGAAGACCGTTCTGGTAGACACCGGGCATGACCCAGGCGAAGAAGAGCTGGATGGCGCCGAGGCCGAGGTAGGTGCCCCAAGCGAAAGCAGTGGGGTAGGCACCGTCAAGGCAGTGGGCCCACATGCGCTGGAGGAAGGGGACAATGTCGTCGACCGACGTGGGGTGGACCATCGCACCGTCATAGTACCACAGGCAGATCCACAGGTAGTCTGGGTTGATGTCAGCCAAAACGGCACTTTTCATGGCGCGTAAACGTACACATCATGAGCGGGAAGCCGATCATCATGGCAGTGACACCGGCGGGGCCGCCAAACTCGTATGACTCGTGCGTGTCGAGCTTCTTGTCCATGGCCTGGCCATAGATGGTAGGCATGTTGACAGCGACGGTCGAGTCGGCATTGCCGTTGCCGTTGGTGCTGGCGCCGTTGGCAGCGGCGCCGTTGGCAGCACCGTTGGGCTTGCGCTCGCGGAGGTTGCTCGCTGACCCAGACATGGTTGATTGGTGAGACAGACAGGAGCAAGCTTGAGAAAGAAGCCAAATGTCAACAACTGAAAGCGAGCAGCGGACGCGTCGCCAGGCGGAGAAAACAGTTCCAAGTGGCCGCGTCCCCCACATCGTACCACTCCGGCACTCGATCGCGCCTGTAATTTGTTACGTAAACATGTTAAATGGCCGTGTTGACTCATGGGTCATGACTACCTTCACCACGTTTGCCCTGTCCTCGATGCATGCTTCGCCGCGGTGGGCGGCAAAGAGCACAGGGGGCGTTGCTTTACATGCGGGGCAAGACCGCCAAAGCCGCGGTGGACTTGCGGACCCGGGAACAGCACCCAGGGGCATCAGTTGTGACGCCACTTGTCCACATCTCGCAGCCACATCATCACTGCTGAACAAGGAAGACCACAGAGGACCCGAGCCTTTGACATCAAAAACGCACCTCATTGACATCTGGATATCTTGGTACTTGCTGTGGCACTTCGCGCGGAATATCTACAGCCCAGGCGGCAGACACCCATGTGTCACCTCGTTAACCTCGGCGAGAGCCCGGAAGAGGTGGTGAATGTGGTGACTGGCTTGGTCTTGGTACGTCATAGCAGGTTGAAGAGTGGGGTCGTCCTACGGATGAGTCGGTGGTGGGATGATGACGATGATGAAGTGGATGGAAAGTGTAAGTTGGAGAGAACGACTAGGTTGTTATCTGGCCATCCGAGCCGGTCCTGTATCTCCTGGGCCATGAGCACAGGCATCCCACTCCCCCGCAGTCGAAAGCGGTGTGACGAGCAAGAGGCTTTGGGCCTTGGCAAGTGCCTTGTGACATACCAAATGGTCAGTGGTGACACAGAGGACTGGTACATGGCGTGCCACATGCTGCCGTCCGAGATACGCGAGATATGAATACTCGGTAGCTTGACGGCTGCCCACTCTATCGATAAGGCAAACTTGCCAGACGATCGTCATGGACCGAGGCGATTGACACATTCAAAGTAACCGAATGATGCACTGCTGGTGGTTGGATGTAGTTGTCAGAAGATGCGATCTGACCTTCTTCCACTACCCCGATCGGCCGTTCGTCTTCGCCAGGTCAGCCAGAGGTCAGCCATACAGCAACCACGCAGAAATGTGCTGCTCGACTAAAACTATTTCGTGCATCTAACGCGCTAAATAACGACCATTCCTTTACTGCTCTTGTCAGCTTCAAAGTTCGCAAATGTACCTGACACGATTGTAGCTGTCACGACTCACGTTGTAGAACTTGCGGTTGGGGTTCTTGCCGAAGAGGTCCTCACGGAGCTCGGGCAGCATCTTCTCCTCGAGAATCTTGAGACGGGCAGAGAGGGTGTTGTCGACCTTGATGCGGCCGACCATGGCCGAGCCAATGACACCGCCAGCGCTGTCGTCGGCGAGGTCGGCGGCGAAGACAATGGTGCTCTCGCGGCCCGACATTTCCTTGTACTGCTTGAGCGCAGCGTCCGAGGCCGACTTGACCAGAGCCTCGTCCTTGGGGCGGTGAACAATGTTCACATCGGTGGAGAGGAGGAGAAGGAGGATCTGCAGGTGTGCGTTAGTGGACTGACGACACTGAAACGCCTAGGTGCTCGATGACAACGCCAACACCTACCTCGAGGATGAGGAGCTCCATGGCGGCGGGGTAGTCCTTGCCATCGGCGAGGGCGGTGACCTGCTTGTTGGCCTCCTCGAAGAGAGTCTGGAGGTTCTCGTCGCGCTTGCGGAGGACCTCGAGGCGCGACTGGTTGAGAGCAGTCGACTGGGCGCTGCGGGGTCAGCCATCATATCTGTGGGCTGCCGATTCAACCTACATCTTCCAGCCAACCTCAGCCTGCTTGCGCTTCTTCTCGTACTGAGCGTCTATTGCGAGCGACTCCTGGCGCACAATCTTGGCCTGTGGAGTGTCGAGTCAGCGTTGGGTATCGACGTTTAAGACGGTCCATGACAGGTTGGGGGCCATGTGCGATAGCGGTGACGTCGTGTCAAGCCCCCGATATTCACCATGCAACCGTCTCGTCCAAGTAACACATACCTTCTCGATAGCAAACTCCTCGTCGGCCTTGACCTGGATCTCACGGGCCTTCTCGCGAGCCTCCTGCGAGATGAACGCGACCTGGGCAAGTGTGAGCACTCCGAACGGGTGAGGGGCTGGCCAAGGGCGGGAGAGCCGGGGTGCTGACCCCCGCGGCAACGGGAAACGGGAATGCGCACCATCTTGTTCATCTCGGACTGGATCTCCGAGTCATCGAGGGCGCCGGTGCGGGACATGATGGGCAGTGTTGGGGGAGTGGTAGGTGAACGATGAGGAAACGGTGACGGATGGCGATGGACAGTGCTTGAGCGGTATCGCGACGGCGTCACAGCGTCACACCCCCGTTCAGGCAGCGGCGGCAGGGTCCAAGGTCCACTTGTGCCCCCCACTTAAGCACGCACCTGCCAGCCTCCCACCACACCCACCAACAGGCCAACAGCATCTGAGGCCACGAGCACCGCTGGCATTATAATGCATGTATAACATGTACAATGTCTCTATGACCCGTGCTGGAGTGCCCGGAGCTGCAGCTCCATATCCGCCATGGTCTCGTCCAGGATTCCCTTTTCCCAACGGCCCCACAGCCAGCCAGTGTACAAGAACGTGGCACCGGCCGCACCGAGCGCAAATGCCACGAGTGTAAAGATTGGCTGGATCCACGACTTGGGCTGCCATGCTGACCCCACCGCAAGGGCGACCATTCCGACAATGCACAGCACCATATATTGCTCGAACCGCAATGTCCTCTTGCCTGCGAGGTGGTAATAGTCGCGAATGGAAGCGAGAGAGTGACGGATTGCACTGGCCGTGGAGTCAGATGACGGCACGCGGTGAAGCTCGTACGCTGAGGTGGGGGAGGGTGGCCCAGAGGCACTCTCATCATCCAATGGAAGCAGACGAGCTTGGCTTGAAGGAGCCGACGCCGCCGATGTCTCGCCAGCGCCGCCTGTGCTCGCTGTGCTACCGCCTGACGCGGGCTCAAACTTGAATGTCGACGTGAGACCAAAGTGGTCCGAGTAGCTAAACGACTGGCCCGGGACAAGACCAGTAAGGACCACATCCGAGCTGGTACAGCGCACGCGATGTGTTGAACCACGGCCTTCACGGAAGAAGATGTAGTCCAGACGCTTGCCGCCCTGGGCCTGGATGATGGGTGGAATGTTCTTTCCGGCCGAGTACGTGTTGATAGACGAGTCGCAAGTCATGCCCAGCGAGGCAATGGCGTTCGAGGCTGAGATATTCATGGGAGGCGCATCATTGGCCTGCAGGTGCGTCTCGAGGTAGGAGTCGCGCAGCCCGCCGTACGTCCGCATGAGCGCAATGGGGACCGAGAACGGTTGCGAGTTGAAGTCGCCCATCTGAACCGTCAGTTTGCGTCTCAGTCCTTGTAGCATGACACTCACACAGAAGACGTAGCGGCCACAAGCAGCACCACGGCGAACCTCAGTGGCCAGCTGCCATGCTTGGGCCATACGGTGTGCTTGCCTCGTCTGAGGACCATCCTCGCCAGCAGCGTGCATGTGGGTATCCCAAATCTCAATCTCTCCCAGCTCGGGGTGAAGAACGACCGCCTTTGCTGCTGCCTTGTTCACAAAGAAGTCGCCAGCAATCACCTCAGAAGGCAGTCCTGACAGTGAATAGGGGAGAGCCTTGGTCTCGACAATGGGCAGTCGCGAGAAGACCGCCAGGCCCGAGCCCAGTGCTCCACTGCACAGTCAGCATTCCCCATTGTGCTTCCTCGTGTCAGGCCAGTGGACTCACGTGTGGAAGAACCTGGAGTACTGGTAGTTCCCTTGCACGTCCTGTCGCATGCTCTCAAATTCCTTGTGGATCCAGATCTCTTGCAAGCAGACAATGTCGTAGTCAGCCTGGGCGAGGTAAGCGGCTATGGCCGCCAGTCGCGCTGGCCTGTCTTTGGTGACAAAGGCAAGGCCCCTGGGCAGTTAGTGTTGTGCGCAGAGAGTTGAAATCCCTGCTTACCAGACATTGAAGGAGAGAATCTTGAGTTCTGTGCTCATTGTGGACGTTGGAGAAGAGCACAGCAGAGCTGGATGGAGGAGAATGTCACAACGATCACAACAAGGATGGGCCCGACCTGCGTCGATCCTATCCGGTCACGGAAGCAAATGACATCACTTGTGGCATCTTGTGCCGCGTTTGTGGCCACCGGCGGTAGCGAGAGACCAGAAGGTTGTTTTGCTTTTCGTGCAACCTGCCCCGCGTCTCTGATCTGAGGCATGACTTGTGTCTCGTGTGAGCGCAATTATAAGACTCTGATCCTCTGAAAAGGGTTGTTGGGTCAGTCCCGCCGCGCTCACACCGGTGTCGACCGGGTGGGGGGGCGGCGGCTGCAGGGCACACCACCCAGGGGCGAACAGCACTGTCAAGTCCAGTCATCGTGTGGCAGGGCATCAAGTGACATCGCAGCCTGGCTCGTCCATCCACCCACCATATATAAAGCCCACCGTTCACTCTCTGCATTCCACCAACCCATCTATCCCCTATCCACTACCATGGCCTTTACCATCCCCACCACCATGGCCACTCCCGCCTGGTCTGCCGCCGATGGTAAGCGATTCCTAGCTCTCGAGGCAGAATTCAATAAGACCTCGTGGCCGTTCACCGTTGCGGGTTCCATCCCCCTCGAGGACCTTGAGGGTCTTGGGCTCTACTACTCCAGGCCCCCTGTAGATAACCAAACTGATTGCGACCCCAATTGGTCCTTGAACGTGAACAGGATGCGTAAAAAGCTCCAACAGCATCCACACCGGTTGCCTGCCCGTGCCCGTATGCAGAACAGGAACATCGACTTCGTGGCAACCACCAAATTTGATGTTTTCAGTGGGCAGCGGGACTTGGGTTGGGGATTGGACGTGTTGGCAAACATCATCAACGACTCGCGTGCCTACATTGACCCAATCTGGGTCACTAAGCCTGTTCACTTCGACATGTCAAACAGGTACACGACAAATGGCAACGAGGTGAGAATCTGGCAGAAACGGCTTTGCTGACAGCAAGCCCCAGGCCGCATTCATCTATGTCTCCCTGGCGATTGCCCTTGAGGTTCCGGAGTGGAGCAAGCGTAATGCCGCCAAGATGGAGGACGGGGATGCGGAGGAGAAGGGGGAGACGGAGGAGATGGAGGAGAAGGTAGGAGGTGAAGAGAATCTGGAGAAGGAGGTGAAAGCAGATAACGAGGCTTAGCTGTCTCATCTATGGGCGTAAGAGTCTTCACTATTGTTCATTGATGAAAAAAAAAGGTCAATATTGTCCATAGTGTGTCACAGACTGTACCACAATCCGTATCGTACCATTGGAACCTAGGAAGGTTTCAGATCAAACCTATATGGGTTCCACACGTATACACGAGCTAGAGAACAGTACATATAACCAGAGCAACTGTATCCTTGGTAGTTCTCTAGCGAATGTATCATCTCCTGTCTACAACAATACGTTCTCTCAACTAGTACTACCACTGTGGAACCTCCTCTGCTACAGCTAGCCGTCCCGCTCTACCACCAGGTTGACCTGTATCGTGTCCCTTGACATAGTGCTTATGGTGGTATACAACAATCACAGCTGCAGTTTTAACGGGTGCTGCCTGCGTCACTGTGGACGTTCCAGTTCTCAAAGCCTCCTCCATTCTTAGCCTCGGTGGGGCCACGGCCTACGGGCACCTCCACAACAGTGGTTAACCCAGCCTCGACAACCCCCGAGTCAACAGCGGAGCGACGGGGGAGTGCCGCGTCGTCGTTCTTCTTGTGAATCTCATCGCGGGCCCAGTGACGTAGGAGGGGGACCATGAGCTGGGTACAAGCAATCTGCTCGCCATTGTAGATGAGCAGCGCCAGGGCCATCTTAGCCTGGTGGTTCAGCGACACGTTGGCGTAGAGGATCGCGAGGAGAGGTGCACCGAGTGCGACGCCTGGGGGTGTGAGTGAGTTGGAGGATTCCACAACTGGGATGAGGCAGAACACACCTTTGCCCGGGCCACAGAAGCACAGTGCAATGGTGTCCTTCTTCGACATGCGCCACCACGCCGCTGCAGACGTCGTGAGGGAAGGGAGACGGACAATGGCGAATATCAGAGCTGTGAGGAGGAGGTACAGCGAGATGTTGATAAAGCAGAGGTAGATGATGGTCGCATGCGATGCGGTCGTGAAGGCACCCGAGGTGAAGGCATTGCAAAAGTTGTGCCACACACAGAGCATGGTGAAGATGGTAGCCTGTTTGCCGAGGTGCATGTTCTTGCGGGTCCACGCGGTTGCTTTGGGGAAGACAACTTGGATAGCGAGACCCAAGATCAGAGGTGCAAACAATGTGGCAGACAACTGCTTGGCCATCCGAATGTAGATCTCAGTCACACCGGCGTGCGATCCCGGCGCGGCCGCCTCCCATCCGACACGAGGTGTGAGGAACATTTCCACGATAAGAGGTGTGAGGAATGTGCCGATAATTGCTCCCAGGACCACTTCAATACTGGCGAGCTGTACAGTTAGCTGTGCTGAGAATGCTCAAGCTCACTTCTCCACTGCCACCCGCGTTGATGGTACAAGTGACATTGTTCGAGATACCAGTAGGCAGACATCCCGTGATCACCATGCCGGCCATAATGTAAAAGTCTAGGTTGGCTGTGCGGCCGGCGGTAGCAAAACCAAACATGAGGGCGGGAACGAACAGGAGCGAGAACGTGTTGGCGACAAAATGCGCTTTCCAGTGCGGCAATCCCTTGAGCAGCTGGTCGGGAGCGAGGGAGAGGCCGGCAACGAGGAAGATGAGACCGACGCAGGCCCAGCTGACGGTATACTCGGCGCGGAGTGTACCGCCAGTCATGCCTATGTGCGGAAAGTAGTAGGCAAGAAGAATGAGGATGGCCATGAGGAGAAGAGACCATTGGGCCATGAGGAAGGAGACCATTGACCGGGCAACGCTCCTGCTCGGTGCCACATATTGGGAAGGCTCTGCAGGTGTGGAGGTGGTTGCCGAGCTGGGCGGGTAGGTGTGTGCCGATGTGGCCGCCGTGGACGAGCTGCTGTTATCTGGCATCGTGTTAAATGGGGAATGTGTTCATGTGGTGTTGTGGAAAGGACGAGAGAGAGGTGAGCAACACGATGTGAGGTGAGCCAATATAACGTCATGTGGAGTGTGAGGTCGAGGTTGGATTCCGATTTCAGACGAGAGCCGATGTAACCGAGATGCGAAGCCGAGTCTCGCCGTGGAGTGGAGAAGGCCGATCAAGATTATGGGGACATCAACGGCCGGACTGACACCATGACACACGCCTGTATTGGGCGTCGGCACGCCAAGCGACTCAAAGTCCATGGCAGCTGGGTCGTCTTTCGACTGACGCGCTCGTCGCCCTCATTCGCGACTTGGGCTCGGCACGAACAGAGCCTTGAGGGACCAGTATCACACTCGACGAACCCCTCCGACTCAAACCTACAGTCTGCTGTTGCAGGCACAATGGCTTCCATGTTCTAGAAGCGCATGATGATCTTCGAAGCATAACCTCTTGCATGTGTGTTGTGCTCATGCTCTCATCGTTGTGATACCCAGCAGGCCAACAGCCGGTTGAAATGGGTGTGCCACGGGGGCGGACTGACCGTAACGCCGTCCGGACGTGTGTGATTTTTATCCCCAGGGACAATGCCGTCCGATGCGTCATGTCATGTTGAGACGGTGCAGCCACCCACCCCAAGGCCCCCAGAAGCTCATTTTCAGCCATCAGCAGGCGAATGGCAGCACTTGAACTGCGTGCACAAGCTGCACAGCCAAAGGGTGCAAAGGGATGCATCTTGACTCGAGCAGGTGAGACGAGCGGTCAGCGAGCCATCGTGCACTCCAGGCCCTCTGGCCCTTGCCTGCCGCCTGCGCCAGGGAGGTCACCCGATCGACCGTCCTGTCCCACCCCCGCGGCCGGCTCCACTCGCCACCGGATCCGCCAGAGAGAGAGACGAGACACAGACACAGACAGAGACAGAGTCATAACAGAAGTCTGGAGAGGCCCCTCGTTAGACTTTGACACCGCCCTAAACATATATTCCCACACACCCCAAATACATCTGCGCAACCTGCCTATCCTCTTTCACTCTTCTCTCATCTTCACACCTCCTCTCTCTTCACACCTGCGCTCTCTGCTGCTTCCTCTCACCCACCCTGTCCCCCCCACTTCACGCCACCACAATGCCCCAGTCGATCACCCCAACCGGCTCCATCATCCTCGACTCTGCCGCTACCTCGGCAAACGTCTCTCCCATGATTGCCCCCATGCACGACCCCAAGCGCACCGCTGTCGTCCAGCAGGCCAAGCCCTTGGGCCAGAGCAACCGTAAGTCATCGCCGTGGCTGTTCTCGACTCTCCCGGGGGTTGATGTTGTGGATGAGGCCGAACTATTGTTTGTCCCACCCACGCACGGACCCTTACCACCATCTCCGCATCAGCGCTTGTCGCTCCTGATGGCGACGAGTCCCTTGGGCCCAACCACCAGAGTCTGTGCTGACAGCCATAGCCAACCAGGTCGTCCCCGGCCAGACCGTCGACCCCAGCATCCCCGGCGCTTCGCTGGGGCAGAAGGCACTTCTCGCGAAGAAGTTTGCTCAGCAGGGCAAGTGAGTGATCTGGATTCCACGTCTCGGAGGTTGCGCAGCATCAACTAACGCTCTCCAGGAAGCCCACCATCTCGCCCACGGATGCCCTCCAGTCGCCCTGCACGGCCAAGCTGACTGGCGCCAAGCAGCGTCGCTTTGACAAGTGAGTCTACCCGCATTCGGAGTAACATGGAGGTGGTCAGGCCAGCGGCAAGTCCATCCCAATGTACCAACAGCCGTTCCCGCCGTCTCCGTGTCACACTCTGTGTCACTCTCGTTGTCCACGCTGACACCTGCTCCCCAGGGTGTCGACCGGCCGCCTCAACTTCTTTACCGATGAGAACCAGCAGACCCAGCCCCAGGACTCGTAGCCTGGCGCGTTCAACACGCACCCAAGAACCCGGAAAGTGGACGATTGACGTCTCCCTCTAGAGATGCCCGATCCCCACCCACCTCAAGCAAGTTGTCTGTTTCCATCCCCCATAGCCAAGAGACCCCTCCTGTCACCCCATAGCATGTACCCCACCACCCCCACCCACACTCCTCCACGCCCCTCGCCGCGGCTGTACCATTCGCTCCCCCTGTACGTGCGAGATATGACGATGCAATACGATTCCCATGTCGCAGACCCAGGCAGTCTGTGTGGCGGCGAGAGCTTTCCCACACGAGCCAGTGCGCCGGTGCTTGGTGCCTAACGAATGCAACTGCAGCAGCCGTACGTGGAAGCCCGTGGTGCATGTGCATCAACTGGTCCATTGCCTCTCAAGCTCCTGGCCGAGAATGCCAGTGAATCTGGTGCGTGCCGGACGATTCGACCATTTGGTAAAAAACATGGTGACAGGAACGGCAGGTAATGTCGCGGACGGCTGGTGTCCGCTTGCCAGCGCCATCGCAATGTCGCAGTCGCCGCATGGGTCCTGCCCACCTCAAACTCAAATGTGGCCTGTGTGGGCTGTGGACTCCGGACTGTCGATGGTACTGTAAGGAGACTGTGCCGTGAGCCGCTCAGCTCCGTCTGGGTGCAGGCCACTCTTGTTGGGTCCTGGCGGGTGGCAACGGAACCATAATCGGAGAAACACACAATGATCTTATTTCCACGACTTTGGTGGTCTAGTAGATCTCCATACTGCGTTCTCCTTTGGGCCATTATGAGGGGGGCGCCTCCACGCCTTTGTTCTTGCACAGGTCAGATCTCTGTCAGATCTATATACCAGGTGAAAGCGACATGGCGTTTCCACACACGTCCGCGCGTCCACACAGGGCATATTCACAGATCACAGAACCGGCAACGTCCCCCCCGCACGCGGCCGAGATCCCCACCGTGGGATTCGGGCTTCTCGATAGCGAAACGTGCGGTTTCTGAGCAAGGACCAGAGGCCAGAGGCTTGGGTAACGTCGTTGGCGAGCGAACAATGGCCCCTTTCAAGTGGTGCACATGGGCGTCTCTGTCGCGCAACATGTTCAGTAGGCGTCGCTCGGCCGCCGCCACAGGGTTGGGGCCACACCAACCTTTGGCGTTCTGTCTGGTCAGCATTTCAGCATTCGCCACCCAGTCCAGACCTTGATGTTGCATCGTTACCATCCCCCGCCACCCGCTTGTGCATAACGGGTTTACAGCCGCATACCTTTTGTGTCGGCACACTGTTCCAAGATCCATCGCAGCAGTATACTGTGTCGCAATAAAGTGGGTGCACGCCGGTGGAAAGGTTGTAGGTTTGTTCTGTTCCTGCATTCCTAGACTGTGGACCGCCCAAAAGCGCCTTTCGGCACGCCTGCACGCCTCTGTCGGCCAAGGCGTGTGTACGTGTGTCCCTCTGTGATCTTGTGTCTGTGCGTCAGGCGCAGAACCATCATGTCCATGTAAGGTTCCACCCTCCCCGTCCCTGTCTCTTGAGCCACAGTACCACAGTGACGCTGACGCTGTTCACATCGTTGTCTCATTGTCTGGCTCGAACATATAAACAAGAACGGCCGACTCGCGAATGCCACACTCCCCCTTTTCAAGCTCCGAGTTTGTGGTAGTGTGGCAAAAGACGACAAGACTGCAGCTTCCAGCAACGACAAAGTAAAGACCTACCGGCTACGCCTTGATAACCGCATCCCGTCCACCCCCCCCACCTCCTTCATCATGTATGGCTCCAGTTCATCAAAAGACGTCGCCTGGTAGTGAGTCTAAACGTCAGCGACGTTGGGTGCTGTACCCCCTCCCGCAGAGTGGACGCTGACTGCCTTTCCTCTCTCTCACCTCGCTCAGTTCCAAAGTCCTCCCCTCCAAGCGCGGTAAATGCGGCGTGGCCGTCTCCTACGACTCGTCTCAAACGTGTGGCCAGCCTGCGGGCAAGTCAGGAATGTGCTCAGGTCGTAAGTCTCTGCCATTTGGCACCCTCCTTTGTGTTTTTCCTGGTCGTGCTCTCGCTCGCGGGTTTTTGTTTTGCCTCAGACGTTGTAGAGGTACAATCCCCACACTACTCGTACCTACTGGGAACGCCCAGTGACGTGACAGCCCTGCCTCCTACGCTGGAACACGCCTCGCGCAGCGACGATCCCTTGGCTGCAGACCTGGCTCCACTGGACGGCGGACGGGGGTTCCCACTGGTCACCGGCCAACACGCCTCGTCTCACACCTTATCGTCCACTGTCACGGTCTTGGTTGAAGCGGAACAACTGTTCCGTCCCTGGACCCATCTGGGTGTTGTGCATCACAAGATCACAGGGGCGGTAATCGCGACTTTGAGTAGTATGGGGCCCTCCCGTTGGACCCCGGCACTCTCGACTGCGACTGCGACGTAAGGTGTGGATCAGCTTCTAGACCCATCTTACACTGCGCCATCAGGCCGCCATCGGCCTGGGGTGGCGTCTGTGATGACGCATCACGGCAGGTGTCAGGTGCTTTGACACTTGAGGCGGGGTGGGTGCGCACGGCGAGTTTGGTGTGCCACAGAAGATACCCACCTTCTCGTTGCACCGCCATGGGGTCACATGCTCGGCTTGGGTGGTCACCGCGGGGTCCCACGGTATGGAGCATGTGGGACCACATTTATATGGACCTGTGGCGGCCAGCAACGGCGACCATCTGGGCGGACTGGCAGGTTTGACGACGGACACACGAGTGTGCAACACCTCAACCGCCACAGTACCCACCGTCTCCCCACGTTCCTCTGCGTTGTTTCTGGCCCTTCGCAGTAGCGTCTTCGTGTCTCCGTCTACACAGTCGAGTTCCTGAGTTTGATCCTCTGTGCCTCCCCCCATCCCTACATTCCACTATCTCTGAGCCGTGTTCGTCCGCTCACACGGTCCGCAGACGAGGCGCAGCTCCGGGCCGAAATCGAACGTGCCAAGAGCGCAAGCTATTATGGTGGCTATGGGCGCTAGATCGCGCTAGACAAAGTGCAAACAAGCCGACCCGGCAGACTTGTCGATAGAGATACCGGCGTCATTGAGCGGAGAAGAGCGAATTGGGGCCCTCATGCGTAGACAGACGGGTGTCGACTAAATCAAGGGGATACGTCGAGTGGAAGATACCTGTGGAGACGAGAGTATAGTATAGTGTCTCTGTGGCCCAGGGTGTGTATAGTTGTAGTCAAACAGGACAGTGTGAGAGAGGGGTTCCCATAGCACGCGTGTGATGAATAAAGGACATCCGAGTTGCACACCGCCGTGTGCTCGATACGTCCTGGCCATCGCTGTATATGCTCTCATCCTGCAGGCGCCGTTCCCTACGTACCTCGGCGTCGGCGGCAAGGAACTAAGGCCTCCTCGCTCCACGGCACGACCGCCACCGCCGCCACTGATGGTGGTGCAGTGACGTGTGCGGTGACCACCAGCCCACCAGCCCACCCACGACAGTGCCACTTGCTTTTTAACCTGCTATCGTCTGTTGGCCCTGTTGTCTGGAGGTTTCAAGGTTAAATGAAGAGGGTACCGGATGTGCCCACTTCTTCAGCGTTCTCATATTTGAGCGCAAGGTGGGACACCTCGGATGTGGACACCAAATCGCTCTCCCAGTTGGTTCGCCATTCTTGACCGCCACGTTCAGTCCGATTGACATCGAGGTCGTTATCAATGTGAACTCCAAAGCCGGCACACATTATGCGTCGTCTTGCTATAACCTCGGTACTGCGTGGGGGACTGGCGGCGGCACATGCGCCATTTGGTGACCTAATCACGCCATTAACACCCAAGCTAATGCGTCCCAAACTGCCAGGTTATTGACCTCGTCTTATCGGCGATCGCCGAGACGCTTAATCCCAGGACCGACGTGACCGGAACTCATGTCCAGATGGGAGCACGCGCAGGCGATGACACGACTTGTGTCGACCGTCTTTTACCATCCACCACCCCAACACCACACACCATGACAGCGACGTCCCACCCGCTCCCGCGCGACCAGCTCGAGGCCATTTCCACGACGGACATCAACGACGCGATCCCGGCCGACGAGCTGGCCGCGGCGCTCGCGACGCCGCCGTTCATCGTCTCGCCCTTACTCAACCTGCGTGACATGGGCCACATCCCGGGCTGCTCCATCGCCCCGGGGCGTATCTACCGCTGTGCCAAGCTCGGCGACGACGAGGCCACCAAGCAGTGGCTGTCGGCCAACGTGACCAAAGTGTTTGACCTGCGCGGCCGGCGTGAAGTCACCTCGGCGCCGGACCCGGCTGCGGACAATGTGCAAAACGTCTGGCTCGCCACCGAGGGCGAGCACCGCAAGCTCGTCCTGGACGGGTTTGAGGAAGGTGACGGATCGCCAGGATGGAAGAAGCAGTACCTGTACATTGCGGCCCAGTACCGCCCCACCTTCCGCGCCGTCCTGGAGCACCTGCACGACTCGCCCGACGACCCCATCCTGTTCCACTGCACTGGTGGGTACACAGCCAAGCGTAGCTGGAGGCCGAACCCCCAACTCCAACGAGCTAACAGGCTAACACACCCACAGCCGGCCGCGACCGTACCGGTATCCTCGCCGGCATGCTCCACCACCTGGCGGGCACGGACGAGCCCGACGTGCTGTACGACTACATGCTGTCGCGTATCGGCCTCGAGCCCGGGCGCGACATGCTGCACAAGGCCATCATCACGGCGTGGAACGTCTCCGACCCCAACAACGTCGCGTTTAAGAATGTGGCCTCGATCCGCCCCACGTTCTTCACGTCGTTTGTGGACGGCATCAACGAAGTGTACGGCGGGTGGGACGGGTACTTCACCTCGCACCTGGGGTTCACCGAGACGCAGCTCGAGCGGATCAGGAGTAACTTGCGTGGTGGCGGTGCGGTGGACACCGAGAGCAGGCTGTGATTTATACGTAGACTTACACTTCCGTGGGCATGTAATAAAGTGGAAAGGGACGGAGACACTTTTCTTGGCACATCATACTAGGGATTTCATCATCTACGGGTTACATTTAGGGAGACTGGGGGTTCGCAAGCACAAGATGGGTATCACAGTAAATTTGGGTGTGGTGGGGAAGAAGGGTGTTTGCTTTACATGGGAGCAATGATCTTCTCCCAGCTCGGCCAGTCGGCCTCGCGCAAGATATAGTCGACGTTGATGCCTGCAACACGCCAGACGTCGAGCCAGGCGGCCACACCGGCGAGGAAGGGGTTGGTGGACGACGGCGAGCCGTCGCGGCCTGCAGGGGAGGCCGACTTGCCTCCTCCGTTGGCGGCACCGTCGCTGTCCAGCCCGTTGCCGTTGAGTGTGGGCGACGTCGAGCTGCCCGGGACGGCCTTGGGACCGGCGTCGACCTTGGTAATGACCTCGCGCAGCACGCGGACGGCACCGCGTGCGTAAGCCGCATTGTCGCTGGACGAGCCGAGGCTGTCGAGCAGCTCGAGGCCGTCGGCAACACCGGCGCGCATGGCCAGGTACTCGCTTGACATGACGATCGAGGTAGAGCCGCTGGGACCTGCCACGGCGCGCTCGACATACATGATCAACGCGAGGGTCGCGGCCGACTCGAACACGGTCGCCGGGTTGAACAGCCGCGGCGAGATTTTGGGGTCGAGCATCTTGGCCGACTTTTGACAGCGGAGCGACGCGAGGCATACCTGGGCAATCACGGCACGAACAGCTGGCAAGCTCTGCGGAGCAAGGTAGGTCGCGAGGTGGGCACGGTGGACGCCGAGACGGTACGACAAGAGGGTCGAGTGGAGGCGCACGCGGTGTGGGGCGAGGTAAGGGTGCTGCGAGTCGAAGCGCGTGTCCGTGAGCGGGAAGAGGCGGAGGTAAGGTGGCAGGGCGTCCTGGAACGCGTCGAGCGAGGCATCAAAGCGGAGGACGAGGTCGTGTGGTGTTCCTGACGGTCCGACAGTGGCAAACGAGTCGAGGATGGGGGTGATGCGACGTGCGAGGTGCGTGTGGATGAACAAGGCAGTGCACGCCGTAGGGCCCGACTCGGTCGAGTGTGGTGGGAGGGTGGGTGAGTCTGGCGCGATCTTGTACAGGTCGGCTTCGGAGATTGGTGACGGGAGGTGAATGCCTTGGTGCGTGTCGAGAATGGTGTAAGGGAACGCCGTGTCAAACGCAAACTGGCGGTCGGCAACGTAGAGCGACCACATGACGCGCCGACGCAGCTCGCGCTCCCCTTGCGGGATACCTTCCCATTCTTTGCTCATACCGAGGGCCTGTGCCGTCTTGATCGCCTGTGCGAGCCAGCCGCCGGCCAGAACGACCTTGTCCTTGCGGAACCCCAGCGTCGCGTAGCGGAAAAGAACCAGCTTGTGGACCACGTACATTACCGAAGGCGCATCGCGCTGCTCGGCAATCTGCGCCGCAAGCAGGGCAAGCTCAAAGTACCGCTGGTCGAGCGGGGTCGGGTCGTTGGCGGAGCCCATCTGGTTGGCAATGATACGCCCAGCCGAACGGGGCGCACTCGTCGCCGCCGAAGAGCCCGAAGCAAGGAGCAGCTTGCCCGTCTCTTCCGGCAGGACACGCAGTGCCACTGCCAAGAATGCAAACGCGTTGGCCAGCGTCGTGGCGTCGCCCTCGCGCAGCTTTTGGCTGGCCCGACGTTCGACGAGTGAGTGGAAATCCTCGACAAACTGGGGCTGGAGGAGGGAGATGCCCTCTGTGAGGAACGGGTCGGAGAAGAACGTGTTGAACAGGATCGACTGCGTTTCGGGCGATGGGAGCGACTGCATGAGAGTCACCAGAGGGACGTTGTAGGCGTCGTAGCGGCCTGCATACGTTGGGGGAACGGCAGCCGCCGCCGTGTGGTGGAGCGACGCCGGGAGCGACGTGCGGGCGGTAGGAGGTCGTGCACGGGATGATCCCCCAGAGGCGCGGCCACTCATGTCTGGGACGACGGGGATGCGAGCCTTCTTCTTCTTGGGCGGCGCCGAGGCCAGCTCGAGGAGCTCGCCAGACAGCTCGTCGTCGACCGAGGCGTCACGCTTCTTGCCGCGCGACGACGTTCCTTCGTCGCCGCTGTCCAGGAGCTCGTCCACCTCGTCGTCCTTTGTGTCGCCAAGCATGTCGGCAAGTTCATTGTCCACGCCGCCGCCGTTGCCGCTGCCGTTACCGTTGCCGTTGGGAGCACGGGATGGACCCTTACTCCCGACACTCCCCTCTGCATCGGCATCGCCCTCGTCGCTGCTTGATCCGTAGCCGTTCACAATGCGGTCACGGTCCAGGCGGCGCTTGCGGTCGGCGGCACTGGCGCTGCCGCCACCGGCTGCGGACGCAGGGCGGCTGCCGTTTTGCAAGGAGCTCTTTGGCCTGGACGAGCTGGATATCCACGCGGGCGACCCGCCGTTCGAGACTGCAAACGTGGCCCGGCTGCCCTGCGGCACGGGCTGACGCACGTCGCCAGTAAACTTGTCCGACGAACGACGCGCGGCGTGGGGGTTGTTGGCCTCGGTCTCCTCCGAGTAGTGGCATGGATGGCCCTTGCGCATACACGACGAGCATGAAGGGCGGACCTGGTCACACTGCAAAAGGAAGATGCGGGTTAGCGTACTGTGGCGGAGGAGAGGGTTAAATGAAAAAGGAGGGGGCCCACCTTAATCTTGCGGTGGTGGCACAGGTCGCAGGAGCTCTTGCGGCTCTTGGAGCCACTGTTCGCCGCAGGCTTTGGGCTGGGGCCGGGGGCCACCGACGACAGCGTTGGGCGGGGCGTGGGCACCGGGTCGTCGTCACGGAGCTCGTCAAGCTCGTCCTCTTCGATGGGAAGCTCGTGCTTGACCATGCCACCCGAGCTTGGGGGCGCAGGCGGTGACATTGACGAGGACGAGGGCGTGATGCTCGGTGCAACGGTGCTGTGGGCACCCGGGGTGGCGAGGCGCTCGTGGTCCGAGCCCGACGTCGAGGGCTCGTTCACGTGGATCACCACGTGCGGCACCGAGTGCGGTGCGGCGACGGGGGATATCGACATGGAGTCTGGTGTTGCTAGCGAGAGGGCGCCCTGCTGGTTCAAGAGAGAGGGTGGAGGGGTGGGTTCAAGGAGTGACGGGTGAGAGGGTGCAGCGACGCGCGCTGGGATGGGGATGGGGGAGGGAGGGAAGGGAGCAGTAGCTGGGACGAAGGGATGGGCTTTGTTGGTGCTGTGTCGTCTGCGTGGGTGAGACCGAGAGGACGCGACGCGGAACCTCCACTCTGGTGGGGGAGGTTGTGGTGGTGGTGGGTGGGTGGTGGATGTGTGGGTGGGTGTGTGGCGAGTGGGGGTGCTGTGATGGGGGGGATGATGATGGGTGGATGGTCAAGACGGACAAGAGGAGGATGAGAGCGCTCGGTGCGACGACGACATCAAGCAGTGGGGGGGACTGTGCAGCAGTGCAAGCGGCGGCGCGGCGTGCGTGCGTGCCATGGTCTGTGGTGTCGTGGGCCGGGGTGGGTGAGGCGGGCGCGCGCGGGGTTGCCGGAGAGAGACACAGAGTTGTCCTTGCTCTTCCTTCCCCGCCCGCCCCGCCCACACGCCCGCGCCGCCCCGACCTTGTTCTCCTCCTCTCTCTCTTTTCCGTCTCTCTCGCTTCCATCCCGCCTGCGTCGTCCCCGCGCGCTTGTGTTGGCGCGCAGCAGGCCGGCCGGCGCGGATGCCGAAGGCGTGTGGCCCCCCCGACCGACCGCCGTTTATTGCTCCCGCGCTCTCCCCCCTCGTGCAACCGCCCCCCCGCGCTCGACGGAGAGGGCCGAAACGGGCCTCCCTGCTCGTGCAGTACCCGAATGCCACAAATGCCCACCCCCGCAGCTCACAAAGCACAGCAAGCAAGCAAACAGCACCATTCCAAGCAATTCCAAGCAGCACCCGCACAGAGCAACGACTCGCTCAAAACGCACTCGCTGGCTGTGGCGCTTTCCGGCGCCCGCCCCCGCCTGGCGCCGGCGGCGGCGGCGGTCACGTACGAGTAGAGTGTGTATATATTCCTCTCGGGGAGTCTACCGCTCTCACCAAGAGCTCTGACAGCGAGAGAGAGCGACCGATACGGCACGAGTGCTTGCCTGTGGCCCCCGCGCAGTCGTGCGCGCGTATGCTGCATGCTTCCTGGACACGGTGTGGCTGCGCGTGTCTCTGCCCCGCGCGCGCGCGCGCCGAACCGACCGTGGGTGGAGACCCCCCCTGAATTGTCTTCTCGGCGCTCCCATCCGCTCGATCCTCCCGCCTGCCCGCGCGCCGAGCAACGAGAGACAGACACAGACTCGTCCGCATCCCGCGGCGAACCCGTGCAGCCCGTGTGGGTGGGCTTCTAGTTCCAGAGCTCTGTTATTAGACCAACCACCCCCTCACCCCACCGTACCACCGTGTGCGTACAGCAACCGCAGCCGGCACGTTCCCAGCCGGTAAGCTTAGCTATCGGCGCCGTCGGCATACGGCAACCCATAGTCTGAGCCGAAGACCTGACCGAACGGCGCGGGCAGGGCGGCCGAGGCAGCAGGACCAGAGGGCTCCAACACGGACTGGTCTCTCGCGGCCGCCGCCGCCGCCCATGTGCCCAGCCATGCCCAGGCGTCTGGCTGCCGTCATATGCCGGGTCGCAGCCACGGGCCGTCTCCGGTGAACCTTGGGGTCACTCTGTCGACCTCCAACTCCGTATATCCACGCACCCCTCTCGCCGCACCGTTCAAGCAGTTCCCCCTCACAACACCTGCACACCCGTCGGCCACGCAACGGACAAGGCGGCCGCCCACGCAACGGACACCCCAGCGCCAAGAACAAATTAATTTTGCCCCGGAGGTACTGCACTGGACGCTTCTCCGTCGGGGCATTTGTGAAGCCTCGACTCGACGCCTGCGCATGTCGCAACGTATATGCACAGTATGGGCCGTGGGCCGTCGCACCGCGCACCACGCACCGCCGCATGCGCCGAAGCGCTGCCGCGGCGTCTGGTCAATTGGGGGACGGGGGGGATGTGTCCTGAGGGGACAAGTGTACCGCCTGTGTCTCCACCGCGCTCCGCTGCCCCCTCTCAAGCTGCGTGGCCCGTCCCTCGGCGCACGGAGTCACTCGGCGGAGCTCAGGAGTGGCCGGATGACGGGGTTCCACGCAGAGACCAAAAGGTGCAAGCTGCCACCTGCTAAATGGCCCCACTGCCAATGCATGCATACGCGGGACAGCAATACGGCCACCGGGGACGCGACCGGTCCATGGCGCTGAAGCTACCCGGGGGTGTTGTGTAGAACCAGTGCCACACATCAATGCCCCGAGTTGCGAAAAGGCCGGGCACAGCGGGCACACGCTCCGAGCACGCTCTCGGTCGCCGCGCGGCCACTGACGTGAGTGCACTCGTGTAATGTATCGGAGCCCGACGGCGCGCGCGCGGGGGTCAGGTGGAGTTGGTGGGTTTGGTGGATTGGGGCAAGCCCCGAACAAGGTGCGGCGTCGCTTTCATGGGCGGGGTGGGGTGTGTGCCATATGACAGGTCGAGAGCGTATAAACGGCCGATACAGCCCCAACGCACAGCGGGCCACACACGTCGGCCAGTGTGCGTGCAAATTACACTGGCACACTGGACCCTTCGGCAAACGGCTTCGTCGGCGCCGGCACCCCTGGTGGCCCCTTGGTTTCTCCCAACGTCCCCTGTCCTGTGTCTGCTGCGGGCACAGGCCTACTGTCCTGCATGCCCTCTCCGTTCGAAGGAAAGGAATCAAAGGACTTCAAGGAGCCACAGATTCGAGACGTGGTCGCGGCCCCAGCCAGCGTGCCGGTCCCTGCCACCCCTGCCCACCGGACTCGGCCCCGCGTTTACGGGAATCACCGGTGTGGCAGGTTGGGACATGTGGGTCGGTCGGCCCCACGCGTAGACGCCTCGACACTCGACGCGGACGGTCGCGCGCCTCCTCCCCACGTCGGGAACGGGGGGCCTGGTCCTTACCGGCGTCGTCAGCAGTGCGTACTAGCGGCACGGCCGTGGCCGATAGATGGTGGGTCGGTCAGCGGGCTCGGTCACCGTCTGGTGGCGGTTGGCACACAATGTGGCGTCCAGCCCCGACAAAATGTAGAAACAGCACCGTCCGCCACGCCAAAAACACGCGCATACTTGGCACTTGCACTTTCAGGCCGGCGGTATGCCGAGTGCTCGGGGAAGCGGGGCCCGCCGCTCTCGGCGTGTGGTGGCCATGGCAGGGAGCCCGAACAGTTACCGTCTACCAGCGGTCCCGCATTTGCCGATGGCGTAGTCGGCCTGGGGAAACGCTAAATATGTACACCAGAAGCATTGTCATGGGTCTGCACCATCGCGCCGAATTTCCGTTTCCGAGAGGCTTTTCCGAGAGAAGAGTCCAAGTATCGAGTCCTGTCTGTACATTGCCAAGCATTCTCGTCAGACTAAGCTGGCCGAGTGGCGCTGCTGACGACGTATGGCGTGTGCTAGACAGCCACGTCGCCAGGCTGTATGCCTGTCTGTCAGAGGCTGATATATAACAGCAAGTATTCGACCGACAACTGACAACGTCTGACCCAAACCGCACAGCTTCAATGCCACCCCCAATTCCTCAGATTACTGTAGGAGCAGCGACTGAGTAACCTGGCAAGCGGCAACGGATATCGTCCGACGAGCAGGCCGAAGCACCCTTTTGCAATCAAAGCCTGATGGAAAGTGGCGGCGTTTCAGCAAATGTGTCAACTAAAAGCTAACCACTAAAAGCGCCGCCAAAGGCCACAGCTACAGACATTGTGGCCAAACGAACACGGGTCCTGAAGGAAGAGGCACTCGAGCGTATTGTCGCGAGTCATGCCTGCCCTCGCCGAGATCTCCAAATACCGTTAAACAATGCGGCATAGTAGTGCGAACAGTCCAAGGCGCAGAGGTAAGTACTGTACGAACGCGAGCAACTGGGAATTAGTGGTTAACTGTAACGCAGGTTCGAGGGCCAACACTGGCGGAGCAAGGAGAGGTGTGCAGCCATGCAGACTCAAGCGTGACGGACCTTGGCGGGCACCTTGGCGGGTACACGAAGAAGCCGAAGAACATGGCTATGCCGAAGAACATGCCCCCAATCTCGAGCGCAGAGTAAGGGCTAGATATACCTCTCCCTTGGTGCTTGCTACGCCTATTTGTTCCTCGTGCACCGTGTGTGGCAGCTCCTTGCAGCTCATTGGCCCACCTCACCTAGGCCGCGTGGCCCATCAGTTGGGTACCTCCTCCTGACCGCGCAGGGCGTTCGTCAGGCTCAACGTTGGACAGGCCGTACAGCGCTGACGATGGCGGCAGTGGCAGTGTCACCAGCCTGCACGGACATGCCACGTGCCAGGGTAACAGAGCAAAAGCACAACAGCTTAAACTAACGTTCGACGCTGGGCCGAAAGCATGCAAGTACTTGCAGCCTCATGACCGCACTGCCGCCAGCACATGTTGCTGTTGGCACTACACTGTACACTGTGTACTGTGTCCATCGCGTCTCGTACATGCTACACACCATAAGGTGTCTATACCTTGCTCTAGGAAACAGTTCCCACTCCACCTCGCTCGAAGCCGCACAAGACGGGCGGAACGCACTTGGCCGTATTCGGTCACGGCGTAGTCATGTACCGCTGTGCGCATGGCCCCGTATCCAGGCGTCTGCTGAGCGTGTAGGCGAGGATATCAATCAACAGCAGCAAGGTAGTGTTTGGTCATGCCATGCACATGTAGCCTGCCCCAGGGTGCGTAGGCAATGTTGCGAGCTCGCGAGTTGGCGGAGCACAGGTGGTGGTTGTCAAGGGTTCTACATAGACTATGTAGTGTCCAAGAAAGGGACCGGAACTCGTCCTTTGTCAACGTACAGTATGTATGTTGGGAGCGGCGGAGATCGGCCGCCATATGGACAGCTCTACCCCAAGCCCCCATCAGAGCCAGGAAACGGGGCCGAGATAACCATAGCGTGCAACAACCGAAGCTTACCATGATCCGCAGGCGCGCTGTCCACAGTACTCGCCACTGAACAGAATACGGAGTGGAACGTTCCAATGTACGTGCAGGTCATACCCCTCATCCTCGAGGACAGGGTGCTGCCCTCCGACGTCATCCGGCGTCAGTTATGCACGGGAGCCACAACATCCCAAAGTCAATAAAATAAAAGACAAATATTAACAATAAATCAAAACAAAACAAAACAAACCAAAAATAAAGTCACAGCAAAGGAGACAACTGATTCACCCAAGCATCATAATAAATGAACGAGCAGCGAGCACCTCACCTAGCTTACTGTACTGGGCCACTGTCACTTGTTGCCAACGCACTCGTCAGTATTTCGCCCGGACGCTGCAGACTTGAAAACGTTGTGGCCATTTAGGGCGGGAACCGCAGCAGGCATGTGAAGGCGGAGGCAGGTTAGAAACGAGAAGCTGGTCAGTGGTGCAGGAGCCCTGGGGCCAGAAAACGACGCCGTGCCCCGGTGAAGCGAGGTCGACGCGGCAGTGGTATTCCGCGTACAAGCCTGCGGAAAATGCAGTGGGTTGTCAACTGGGTATGCTCATGGACGCAGGGAGATTACGGGGGTGCATCCTTCCGACGACTACGCATACAGGGCTTGATGTGGTGTTGGAGTGAAGAAGGAGAACGGAAGGAGGGCGATGGAGGGATGGAGTGCGGCAAGAATGAACGTGTGGTTCAGGCGTCTAAAGCCACGGACCCATATTCACAACCGCCGGTCTCTGTCCCCCCTCCTCATTCATCCTCTCCACCCAACTGGGTGTCAGTGTGGGATCTTTCTGATATCTCCTACCATGTCCGCCGTATGCATACATACCATCCACGGAGGGACAACCTCCCCCACCCCCCCTTCTCCCGACTCCCACAAACCGTAATTCACCTTTCGGCACCCCCACGCCCTACCCACCCACCGCCTCTTTCAACTTGCCCAGCCTGCCTGGCTCCATCTCTACTGTATTTTCTTCATACGGCGCATATATATTGTTCTGCGGTGCGCGACTAGACGACACACCGCTAGTACAAGCTCGCTCGGGATCAAACATCCACGTTGAAGAACCTCGCCGGGAGATGAACCACATCAGAGCCGCTCACACCTTCGACTCTCCTCTTTTTCGAAGAGCCCTGTCCTAGCACGCTCTCTCCTCTTACTTGGAAAGCGCGAGGCCAACAGCGTTCCTTTCGAGGTCATAAACACTGTACCAGCGACGAAGGAAGGCATCTCCGATGATCCAGAGGGGTCCCATGGGCGCGGGAATGTCCATGCCGGTGAACGCCGAGATACAGGTGCCGCCGGCGTTGAGGACGTAGTCTTCGGCGCTGATGGGGAAGTCCTTGCCGCCAAACTTGAACGAGAGGGTAGGCAGGCTGGGGACCTTGGCGCAGTCGACCGTGTACTGGCCGTTCCACGACTTTTCGGCGCCAATCCTAAAAAAAAGAGTCAGCAACCATCCCGGAAAATTCACCGAACTCGACCAATCTCGGCCCACGCTCCACCAAACGTCGCCCAAACATCCCAGCACAACCACTTACTCCTTGTTAAGCATCTCGGCGACGTCCGTAGGCAAAACGATGAGGCTGGTACCCGTGTCGATAGCAGCTCCGGTGCCCTCGAGCTCCAGCTCATCCTTGCCGAAGGTGATGGACTCGAGCTCGACCTCCCAGTAGCCCTTGCGGCGGACGGGAATGTAGTAGAGCTTGCCGGTGTACGCCGAGTGGTCGATACCGCCAAAGGTAGCCTCGCCTCCGTCGTCGTCGGACGATCCGAGGCGGAAGGCGAAGACCTTGTCGTCGATGAGGCCCTGGTTGATCATGTTGTAGAAGGGCGGGACAATACGGTTGACGGAGATGGTGTCGTAGCCGAGACCGAGGATACCGTCAAACTTGCCAAAGGCAAAGGCGAGGCCGGGCTCCTTGGTAGCCTCGGCAAAGTCCTGCTTCTTGATGGCAAGGTCGCCAATGGTCATGGTGTCCTGCGAGACAAAGCCCTCGAGCGAACCCGAGCCGTAGCGGATGGCAAACTCGGAGCCGTTGGCCTTGTAGGTCGACGACTGGTCCGAGTCGTACTTGCGGTGAAGCTTACGGGTACGTCAGCGGGTACAGGGGGGGAGCAGAAGAGGGTCACGCCAAGCCCCTTGTGGGCACAGCGTGACCTAGTTGCCACTCACGAAGCAAGCGATCGACGAGCACGACTTGCCGGGGACCCAGAGGTTGGACGAGCCAGTGTCGAGGACGACAGAGAACTCCTGGCCGGGGGTACCGATGGTAATGGGCGCAAAGTACTGGGCGTTCATGTAGTCTTGTTATGTTAGCCCAGCCCACGTTGTTTTGTCTACAGCCCCCACACAGCTCCGGTCCGGGACGCTCGGACCCGACAGAGCGCCCCGTTCCGCCCATGTGTGTGGGTGGGGTGGGTCACAACAAACTCACCGGAAAGGGGGACACCGTGGCCGCCAGCGACGTCGACCGATTTCTCAGAGTCGAAGAACTGGGCCCAGTAGCGCTCGTCCTCCTGGGAGTGGTGCTTGCGACCTCCCTTGCCCCTGAGGCTGTCGCGGGAGATGAAGGGCACCTGGTTCATGGCATCGTCCTCAAAGCCGCCGAGGTGCTTGTGCTTGAGGAACTCGGCCTCAAGGTGAGGGGGGATGCCGTGGGGGCCGAGGCTGGCGACGGGGTCGAGCTTCTTGAGCTTCATCCTAGGGTGGGTGGGTCAGTTACATGGTGCGGATGGAGTACGGTGGCAACGCCTACGCGGCCAGACCCGACCGGTCGTGATGGAGTGGGTCTTTGGCGTGGGTAGGGGGCAGTGTCACTGTACGGGTGGCGATACATACTTGTGTACTGCAGCGTCTGCGCTGCCCGAGAGGACGGCGAGGACGGCGAGGAGGACCGTAGCCTTCATTGTAGCTGATGGATGCGGTGTGTGGGTGGATGTGAATGGAAAGAGGGTGGGGGTTATCGATAATGCGAGTGGGCGATGGGCCGAGAACGCTTATGAAGGCCCCCTTGAGCGTCTGTCGGAGGCTGGCTGGCATGGCTGGATAGATCCCGACACAGCCGTCCAAAAGGGGTAATCACTGACGTCACTCGGATCATATGAATCAGAATCGAAATGCGCATCCACCCACGCGCGGAATGCCAGCAACAGCCATCTCTCTGTGGCAGCGGGCAGCTGGCAGCCCACCTCATCGCGCGCCGGAACATGCATATACATCACACCAACGCTCTGTGTCTCTATCAAAATCTATATATCTGGGCAAGGTGGATCCAAACACAGTCTGATGCGCAGTTCACCAAACATTGGGCCCCCCCGCCCTTCTTCTAGCCCACCCGGACCCTCAGCTCAGAAGCCCCATCCACCGGCCGAACCGCCGGCGGCGCCGAATGGCAGCTCCGTGCATCCGTCGTCGGTAATCTCCAGTCCCAGGCCATCCCAAGCAGGCTCGACGAGGCCTCCCCACTTGGCCAGCTCGGGGGCAATCTTGACCATGTCCTCTGACTCCCACACCTTCTCAATGAGCGCCTGGCTCAAGTGCTGGTCCGGGTGAGTGGGCTCCTTGCCCGACTCGCCGCGGATGTGCCGGCCAAGCTCCAGCCACGTCCAGTGCGTGACGGGGTGCGTCATGCCCACGAGGTAGGTGTGGGCCGGCCGCGGGTTGAGGCGCAGCGCAATGTCCATTGCCTGCGGGAAGGAAATGTGCGATGCGTGGGGACGCCATGGCCACAGCGTGTCGGCGACGAGGACAGGGGGAGCGGAGCGCTTGGCGAGCGTCTTTTCGATACGGGCATACATTGGCTCGGGAACAGACGACAGGTCGGACAGGTAGACGAGGCTGTTGTCAAAGATGTAGCCCAGGCAGATGAATGGCTGAGGGGCCGTGGGGGCAGGCGACTCGACGCGCTGGGGCGAGCCAGGTGCGCTCGGTGCAGGCGGCTCGGTGGGCTTGGCCGGCTCGGGGGCGTGAAAGTAACGGCCGTGAACGACTGAGTGGGTCAGCACGCTTCAACTGCAGGTTGACCCACCTGGCAAAGTTGTGACCTTGATACCCTCCACTTCAAACTCGTCCTCATCTTCGATCACGTTAAACTGGAGTGTCGGCAGGTCGCCGCCTCCGCTGGCCTTGGTCTTATCGACAAGGTACGGGAAAGACGCCGCGACCGTGTCAAAAGTCGCCTGGGTGAGGTAGATGGGCATGGGGCGGCCTTGACGGACACACCACTCGCGCAAGTCGTCGAGGCCATTGTACGCGTCGGCGTGGCCGTGGGTGATAAGCACTGCGTCAATGTGCTTGATGCCCCAACGGGGGAAATAGCGACAGCTCTGTTCGCGGAATGTCTTGCCGACGTCCACAACAACATTGCGCCACTCGCCGTTGGCGTTTTGCTTTCGGAGCACCATGGCCGGGTTGCCGCGGCGGTTCTTCCAGCCTTCCTCTACGCTGGGGCTGACGGACGCGCGGCACGATCCACAAGCGACACTTGCTGGCCATTCGCCCTTGGGGTCGTAGCCGCCCCACCTGTCTGGCTGGCGCTGGTCCTCTGGCGCGGCGTTGTACGTGTCGAGAAAGAGACCGACATCACGGCTTGGCTTGTCGACTTGTGCGAGGCATGGGCCGACTGGGAGAGCCGTGGATGTGCCCGTGCCGAGGAAATACGCACGAAGGGGGCTGGTCATGGGAAGGAGATATGGGATGTGGTGGTCGGAAGAAGAATGTAGCAGTAGTTTATCGTATCGTATCGGCGACCCGGCGAATGGTGGAGAGACTTGTGAAATCGACTCCTCACTCGGAACAGCTTCATCCTCGCTGGCGGGCTGGGTGGCCTCTCGGTTGCGCCCGCCAACAGGTACATTAGGTGGGCAGAGCGGGATCAAAAAATGGGTCAGCGCTGAGGGCCACCGCCCCCATTGCTCTCACGAGACACATGGCCGTTTGTTCCCTGATTCCATGTGAGACCTTGCGAGGCCCCGCCCGACAGCCGGGGCATGGTACAATGGTGGCGAGCTCGCTCTGGTCAATCACTAACTCTCCCTCTCGCCCATTACACCCCATTCGCATCAACTACACACCCTTCTCTCCCCTTTTGCAACTCTCTCTCTGCACAACACGCTCATCCCTGGCACAGGCCCCCATCGCCCAACATGTCCCCACCCACGCCTGTCCTTGGGCGGCGGGACGGGTCCACCTCAATATTGTCGATTACACCAGGGCTCGACGTTAGCAGCGGCCCTGGCTCCCCTACCTCCACTGCAACCCCAAGCACGACCACGATAGCAAACGGCGGCGGCGGCAGCGGCGGGTTCTACAACAACGTGAGCAGCAGCAGCACACACCGATCCTCTTCGTTACACATGTATGGGACTGATCTTTACCTTGTAGCAGCTCTTTTACATCCTCATTGCAGTGCTCGGGGCGTTTGCCCTCGTCTCCATATTCAACATCTTCCGTACCCGCCGCCGCCGCAGGATCATTATCAATGAAGCAGAACGTCTTGGGCTCATGGTCCCCGGCATGTCTGGGTATGTGCCCATGCGCGAGCGACCTGCCTTCATAAAGGCAGACGGGTGGCGCACCCCAGACTGGTGGGAGGTGACGGAGAAGAACCACGAGGACGACGACGGTAGTGGGTGTGGTGCAGCCCACACGGCCGCAGTGACGACGATGACAGATACCAGGATGGCGAAGAGAGGAGCCGAGGGCATGGTCACTGTCGCCGAACCTACAAGCACTCCATCCGAGGTCGACGGCGCCACCACCACCACTGCTGTTTCTCGACCGCAAGAGGCGGGGCCATCGGCGCCTAGCAGTAGCCGGGGCGACAAGGAACTCGAGCAGCAACAAAACGAGTACGGCGCCCGCGGTGTGCTTGAAGTCACCTCCCTGGACGATCTGGTAAGTGTCCTACTCCTCTGCGCCCACAAGCCATACCCACAAGCGACGTCGTCCATGGCCAGGAATATACCGCCTCACCACCGCCTTCGGTTTCAGTCCCATTCAGCTTAATCTCCCCTCTAAGTGCCAAGTGCCAACCAGCTAACACCCGTTCCACAGCACCCACTCGCCATTGTCCCCACACCTGTCATGGTGGACAACCCGCCAAAACCATGGTCTAAACTCCCCTTCTTCCCCAACTATGTCTCGTACCCGAAATCCGCCCACATTCCCATACCGCCGCGGTTCGCGCCCGACGACCCAGACGCGTTCGACTCGATCGTTGGCGAGCCGCTGGAAGTGATTGTGGCGCTACGCATGCCCACGCCGGCAGCGGCGCACAGCGGCGACGTCGAGGGCCAGCCGGCCGGTGCGCCGCGCGTGGTGAGCCCCGACGACGACGACGCCGTCATGCATGAGTGGGGCGGGCTCGAGCTCGGCGTGCTCACCATGACGGTGGCCAAGGGCGAGCAAGACGTCTGGTCGTCGCACGACTAGGCCCACTGCAGGGGTTTTCTTTCTGGAATATTGTTCTCCCTCACCCCCCGGCCTTTCTTTTACATCTCTCTCTCTCGCTCTCTCGCGCGCTCTCTCTCTCTGTCCATCTCGTCTCGCTCTTTACAAGCCCCACCCAGCGTTCTAATCTACTTCCACCTCCTTTCTCCCTGAACAGTCCTGTCTTCTGTTGTTGTAGCGATACGTTTATGCGCCACAAAAGATGGATCTGCATTGCCGTCTCTTGAAGCCGCCGCGAGCAATCTCTCATCTCTGAGAAACAACACTTCTGCATAGAAATCCCTTTGCTCATATATACACACCCAACCCCTCCCCATGATGCCCGGCCCCGTCCCCCTCTTCTGAAGCGTCATTCACTCGCTCTCGTTTCCTTGTCCTTGTCACTCCGAACGCCTAGTACAGGAACGATCCCGCAGCGAGGGGCAGCTTGGTGGCCGGCGGGACATCCATGAGCACGCCGTCGGCATGCACCTCGTACGTCTCGGGGTCGACGGCCATCTTGGGCATGCAGTCGTTGAGCTTCATGTCGCGCTTTGTGATATCGCGGCACTTTTTCACTGCCTCGGCGCGTTTCCTCAGTCCGTAGCCCTTGACCACACCGGACGTGATGGCCGCCTGCGACGTGAAGACGACCGAGTTGAGCGCGGCGCTCTCGGGCGCAGCGCCGTACATGGGCCGGCCGATGACGGGCTGGACGGTGGGGATGGACGCGTTGGCGTCGCCCATCTGTGCCCACGCAATAAAGCCGCCCTTGATGACCGTCTCGGGGCGGACGCCAAAGTTCTCGGGCTTCCAGAGCACCAAGTCGGCGAGCTGGCCCGTGGCTACGGATCCGACCAGGTGCGACATGCCGTGCGTAATGGCCGGGTTGACGGTGATCTTGGCCATGTAGCGCTTGACGCGGTTGTTGTCGTTGCCCTCCGAGTCGCCTTCGAGCGGGCCGCGCACGTCGCGCATCTTGGCGGCCGTCCGCCAGGTGCGCGTAATGACCTCGCCGATACGGCCCATGGCCTGCGTGTCGGATGAAATCATCGAAATGGCGCCCATGTCCTGGAGGACGTCCTCGGCCGCCACCGTCTCGGCGCGAATGCGCGAGTCGGCAAACGCAATGTCCTCGGGGATCGACTTGTCGAGGTGGTGGCACACCATGAGCATGTCCATGTGTTCGTCCAGCGTGTTGACGGCGTATGGGCGGGTAGGGTTGGTCGAGGACGGGAGAACGTTCGGGTGCTCGCACACGACGATAATGTCCGGCGCGTGGCCACCACCGGCACCCTCGGTGTGGTACGTGTGGATGGTACGGCCCTTGATCGCGTCGATCGTGCTCTCGACATATCCAGCCTCGTTGAGCGTGTCGGTGTGGATGTTGACCTGGACGTCGTACTCGTCGCCGACGACCAGCGCGCAGTCAATGACATCCGGGGTGGATCCCCAGTCCTCGTGGATCTTGAGCGAGCACGCGCCGGCCTCGATAATGTCGCGCATGCCACGGGGCCCAGAGTCATTGCCCTTGCCCGAAAAGCCAATGTTGATCGGCCAGCTGTCCGTCGCCAGCATCATGCCCTCCATGTAAAACTTGGAGGTGGTGCAGGTCGTCGCCTTGGTGCCGTCCGCGGGACCAGTGCCACCGCCCACAATCGTCGTGATACCGGACGCGATTGCCTCCTCCCAGATCTGGGGACAGATAAAGTGGACGTGCGAGTCAAACGCGCCGGCAGTGACGATGAGCTTTTCACCCGCAATGACCTCGGTGTTGGAGCCAACAACCATGTTGGCGTCCACACCGTCTTGCATGTCGGGGTTGCCCGCCTTGCCAATACCGACAATCTTGCTGTCCTTGACACCAATGTCGGCCTGAGAAGAGAATGTCAGCTGCGGCCCAGATAGCGGTAGCTCAGCTCACCTTGAAGATACCGGACCAGTCAATGACGAGCGCATTGGTAATGACCAAGTCGAGCACCTCGGAGTCGGACCGGTTGCTTGCCTGGCCCATGCCATCGCGGAGGACCTTGCCGCCGCCAAACTTGCACTCGTCGCCATACACGGTGTAGTCCTTTTCGACCTCGACCCACAGGTTGGTGTCTGCGAGGCGCACGCGGTCGCCGACAGTAGGTCCAAACATGGACACGTACACCTCGTGGTCCATGTCGGGCGTGGGCGCCTCTTGGACGTTGGCCTGCGTCTTGTGCCCGAACCCATGCTCCTCAATCTTGGCCTTTACAGTCGTGAGGCGCTTGGCCTCGTCAAACTTGCCCGCGGCCAACGAGCTTCCGCCCGCCAGGACCTTGTGTCCGCCAATCTCCACAAGCGAGACCGTCTTGCGCTCTCCAGGTTCAAAGCGGACGGCCGTACCGGCCGCAATGTCCAGGTGGGTGCCGTAGGCCAGCAGACGGTCAAACACGAGCGCAGCGTTGGCCTCGAGGAAGGGAAAGTGCGAGCCCACTTGGATCGGGCGGTCGCCCTCGTTCTTGACCTCGACGAGCCAGCGCTTGCGGCCTTGCGACAGCTTGATGCGCTGCTTGGTGCACACGACTGCGCCGGGGCGCGCCGCGGGGGCGAGGGGCGCGGGAATGGGGAACAGGTCCTCGGAAGGGACGGGGAGGAAGGAGCCGTACAGCGCGAGAGAGACTGGACCGCCGTGTCAGCTGCGTACTTAGGATTCAGCTGTGAAATGGGGATACATACGGTCACCAGAGTCGGAGCATACCGGGTCGTGCACAGTTACGAGGAATGAACCGTCCTGAGAATGTCAGTTGAGGAGCAGATGAAATCCCTGTCAACTCACGGGGAACGTGCCCTCGACCTGCACATCGTGAATGCTCTCCGCAACGCCATCTTGGACCCGTCAGCCCCGCGCTTCCCCTCTCTCTTTCCCCCCTTCTTGCCACTACCCACCGACAACATGCCTGCGGCCCAGCATCTTCTTGCCGATATCCATCAGTTCCGCCACCGAGTGGTTGCCATCGCGGATCAGTTCCTGGAGCTGGCAGGCGATAAGCCCCACGGTCTCTGAACGCGTGAGGCGGAGACCGCGCGCCAGGCGGCGTTGCGCCAAGATGCCGACGCTCGCGAGGATGAGTTTGTCCTAGGTCAACCGTCAGCATGGGAAGGAGGTGGGAGGGAGGGAGAGGACCATCGAGAGGTCGCGCTCGACGGGGGGGGGGGGGGGGGGGCGGGAGAAATGCCGATAAACAGACTCACCTGTTCGCGCGGGAGGAGGTGCATCGTGAGTGACGCGGTGGGTGGTGTCGAGTGTCAAGTGTCAAGGGGATGCAGACGACGACGACGATGAGGAGTGTTATGCTGTCGAGAGCGGTGAATGGGGGGTTGTGTATGTCAATGGGAACAGGCGAGACAGAACAAAGGACTCAGCCCCCCCCTTCCTCTCCCCCGCGCGCGGCCACTGGCAGACGCCCGTCTTATCTCTGCGGCTGGCGGCATCTCTCATCGACGTCATTGGCCACCAGTTTGTCCCCGGCCAGTTCGGGTGGGCGCGAATCTGGGATCTCACAAACATGCCAACACCGTCCCCGCTGTGCATGTCCAGATGCAGTGTCGTGCTGCGGGGGCCGGTGGGGCCACGCGCGTGTGGCATGTGGGAGCGTGGTCGTTGTGCATGGTGTTGTTCAGCACTACATTGCCAGTAACCGTTGCGCGTCGTAGTTACCCCCGCATCGCGACCGTTGGAGATAAGGAATCGTCCCCGCATGCCGTGACTGCCAAGACTTACCCCAGAGTCCTCAGAATATCAGACACACAAGTAGCTCTCTGCAATCTCTGCGCTAGAACATGCAGCCACGAGTCAACGCTGTACGTTGTACGCTGTCCCATGATCCCCCATGGCAGATCGTGTCCAGATCCACCGTCTCTGCTGCACACTCAGACCATCCTCCAACGGACCAGCACGTCACATCGCCGTCTACGTCACATTGCACAGATCTGCTGCATTCATCTTCATCGCTTCCGTCGCTTGTACTACGCTTGTACTACACCTGTGTATCCCTTCCTCTCACGTCCTGACTACATACGGAACACGCCCCAGTCGCCCGAATCGCCGTCGGCGCCAATCTCGCCGCGCGTGCCGTTACCGCCGCCGCCGCCGCCGTTCTTCCTGCTTGCCTTTTCGTCGGCCGCCAGCTCGATAGCGAGACCGAGGACATCACGCGTGTCGCTGGGCTGGATGATGCCGTCGTCCCAGAGCCGGGCGGACGAGTACAGCGCCTCAGACTCCTTTTCGATACGGTCGCGCAGCGCTGCAAACTGCTTTTCGGCGTCGTCCGAGTGGCGCTTGCCCGAGACGGTCTGCATGACGCTCGAGAGCTGGTCAGGCCCCATGACGCACACTTTGGCGTTGGGCCACATGAACAGGAAGCGGGGCGAGTACGCGCGGCCGCACATGCCATAGTTGCCGGCGCCGTACGAGCCGTTGACGACCATGGTGAACTTGGGCACCTTGGCGCGCGCGACGGCGCGTACCATCTTGGCGCCGTCCTTGGCGATACCGCCGCGCTCGGCCGCCTGGCCGACCATGTAGCCCGAGACGTTGACGAGGAACACGAGCGGGATGCCGCGCTGGTTACACAGCTCGATAAAGTGCGTGGCCTTGAGGGCAGAGGGCGACAGGAGGACACCGTTGTTGCCAATGATGCCGACCGTGTGGCCGTGGATTTCGGCAAAGCCCTACGACATGTCAGTTTAAACTGAACAGCTGGGTCAAGTTGGCATAGCTGCTCCCGACTCACAGTGATGACCGTCTTGCCGTACTCCTTCTTGAACTCGCGGAACTCGGAGCCGTCCGTGATACGCGCAATGACCTCGCGCATGTCAAACGCCTGGCGCGAGTCGGGGGGCACAATGGTGTTCAGGTCCGAGGCCGGGTACACTGGCGGGCGAACGGGGCGGTCGGGCTTCTACACGAAGAGTGTCAGCTGTCGTCGTGGTTACAGGCGGATCGTCTCCAGCTAAACTCACCACAGACGGGACGCTCGCGTGTCCCAGGTCAAGCACGGCCTCGCGGGCCAGACGCAGCGCGTGCGAGTCATTGTTGGCCAGGTAGTCGGCCACGCCCGAGACGCTCGTGTGCATCTCGCCGCCGCCCAAGGTCTCGTCGTCGACCACCTCACCCGTCGCGGCCTTGACGAGGGGCGGGCCCGCGAGGAAGATACGTCCTTGGTTCTTGACAATGATGACCACGTCAGACATGGCGGGCATGTACGCGCCGCCAGCGACGGAGATGCCGTGCACGACCGAAATCTGCGGGATGCCCAGGCCGGACATGCGCGCCATGTTGTAGAAGATGCGGCCAAAGTGGTCCTGAATGGCGCCGTCAGCTGTCGTCCCGTGGACCAGAAAAACCAGCTGCTCCGCTCTCCTCTCCCATCTGTTCTCGCCACTCACATGGTCCGGGAACACGTTTGCCTGGTACGGCAGCGCGGCACCGCCCGACTCGACGAGGTAGATACACGGCAGGCGGTTCTCGAGCGCCACCTGCTGCGCACGGAGGTGCTTCTTGACGGTCAGAGGGTAGTATGCTCCGCCCTTGACCGTGGGGTCGTTGGCGACAATCATGCACCGGCGGCCAGAGACGGTTCCTGCAGTGTGTCAGCACGGGTGCAAGACAATGGTCGCGGCAAGCGTCGGGTCATCGGAGTGCAGCCAGCGCCGCCGTCATGGAAAGGAGGAGGCTCGGGTGGAAGCGGCAGTGAGCCCCGCGGGGTAGCTGCGATTTCGAACCGAGCAGCTGTACTCACCAATACCAGTGACGATGCCGGCACCAGGGAGGTCGTCGGGGTACACCTCATGCGCAGCGAGTGGGGAGAGCTCGAGGAACGCGCTGTCCGGGTCCAGGAGTGCGGAAATGCTGGACACTGTCAGCTTGAGAGTCCGCCGACGTTAACCAGCTGTGTGTGCGGGGGATGGGCGAGGGTCTGAGGATCTCATGCGAGCTGACAACGTCTCGGTCCAGCAGCTCGTCCAGTCCTTAACCCTCTTCCCCCCCACCTAGAACAACCATAGCCACAGACAACAAGAGTGACTCACCGCTCACGAGCCCCGAGCTTTCCGGTTCCCCTGCTCTTCCACTTGTCCAGCGTCTTCTTGCCGCCGCCCTCACGCGCCTTGGCGCGCAGACCCTCGTAGCGCTCGACCAGCTGGCCCATGTGTTCCTTTGCAGCGACCGTCTCGGGGCTGTTCTGCTTGATCGCCGTGGGCAGAGGCTGTGGGGGAGCACCGTTCGGCAGGTGTGGAGGCTGGGCGATGAGCGTGCGGGAGGGGACCACCACGGCGCGCGTGCGGCTGGCGGCCAGGAGCGGGCGGGCTATGCGTGTACGCAGCATTGGGTGGGTGTGTCAGTTGAGGTAGTAGTTGTGGTGGAGAGGATGGAGATGTCAAGTCAAATGTGCCCAGTAGGATGGGACACAGCGTGGGGGGGTTATGGACATCGCGGTCACGGATCAAAGGCGGGGGCCATGCGGCAACTGCGTCAAGTGGGCCCGGTGCTTAGCCGTTGTGGCCGCGGCTCCAAGCGGGGGACCGCAATTCGGGAAGTACCCCCCAACGCCCATATAGCCGAGCGATCATTTCTCAATACACCGGTCAGGCCGGTCTCCTTTGACCCTACGCAACACTGGACTCAGATTAGGCAGAGATCAGAACCTAACTGCGAAGAGGCATGAGGCACAACTGTTTTGCAACATATGACGGGTGAACCAAAAATACCAGACGGGATTCATAAGGGGGGGTTTATACTAATGAAAAACCCGGCATATTGACAACTCTCAGAGTGTCCAGGGGGAGAAGAGAAAAACGGACAAGAGAGAGAAAGAGAGAGTAGAAGAATCCCAACGAGCAGCGTTCAACTACGCGCATGCACGAGCACGCTGCCGGGGGGGAACACCGACACGGTCGGCGCCACGAAGGAGAATAGAGAGGGAGACCGCCAAGGGGATAGGTTCAACCATCCACTTTGAGCGTCTCGTAGCCGCACATGACGAGCTCAGAGCCGCTCAGAACGCGCTCAAGAGGTCGTTACAACGATTACAACTCGTCGCACCAAGGGAGGTAGCTGGGATTTTTTGTCAGTATCGAAACGCGCGCGCGAAGGACGGCAGAAGGTGGGCCGCGCGTTATGGGTAGACTCACGTGTCCGAAACCGACTGTAGGAGATGTTAGCGCAATTTCTGGAACAGCAAAGTAGTGACGAAGGGGCTCAACGTGTGGGGAGGATGGAGTGTGGAGAAGCCGCGAGGGTACACCCAAAACACGGAGCGCAACATGGAGAAGCAACATCTGAGCCTCCACTGCTGGTACGGCCGTGGGCCGGCCCGGGGCTCCTCAGGTGCCTGCTGGTAATCTATGCCAAACCCCAGTTTGATGGTGGCGAGATACGCTGCCGACGTGACAGGTATGCAAGAGCTTCAGACAGAGGGTTGCAAAAGAAACGTCCGACCAGACGCGTCCCAATCTGATCCCCTCCTCGCCACACTCGCCTAACGGCACATGCCACTACTCACCTGGTAGAGGGTCGAGTTGAACTCGGGGTAGTCGTAGGCGGTAGTGTCGACACAGAGGACCTCGCCAATGTAAATGTTGGTGCAGTCCGAGTCGATCTGGGGGTTGTTGTTGTAGAGGGTGTCATTGGACATGCCGTACATGGAGATGATACCCTCGCAGGTGTCGTCCTCGACAACGGTGTAGACCTTGGTGCAGTCCTGGCCCTCGACACCGAGGCAGACAACCTGGTCGATCTGGAGGTTCTCGCAGTTCTCGTCAATGGTAGCGTCGTTGACGAGGGCGAGCTGGAAGGTCGAGACACCGTAGGTGGCGGCTACAGGTGCGCAAAGTGCCAGTGTAAGTCAGGGCGGAGGATTATGGCGGGGGCGTTTCATATTGTCAGGTGGTCAGGAAGGAATCCGAGTGTGGACGGACGCCAGCAACGTGCGTGCAGAGCGAGAGATCGAGAGAACGAGGGGTTGTGGCGCGCATGGGGGAGGCAGGAAGAACCAGATTCGAATGGGTTTGAGGGTGCAGGGTGTGGTTCAAAAGGGGGAACAACGGTCAGCTCTCTGTGCCACAAGGAAACCGACGCCGGACTCTCTCTGCGATTCGACTTTTTGGCAACAGACACCGTCCACAATGCACCGATGCACGGCAACCCGCTCGACCGACGTACGTGCAGCGCACGGTGTACGCGTCGCGCACATGCAGCCCGTTCACGGGATGGACCATGCTGGGCGCGCGCCTGCGCACGCCACTTCTTGGCGGCTGCGCTTGGACTCTGTCACCCAAGAGGCTGGGCGGGCGGCTTAAATCTCCTTTTCTGGACGGTTTCGCCGCCTGGCAATGGGGTCCGCAGTCTCTCCCCATGCTCCCCACCTCCGTCGAAACGCATATGGCCTCACTGATCCACTGAGCAGATGCACTCACAGATGGCGTCGCAGGTGTCGCCGTCAACGACGGTCGCGGAACGCGAGCAGTCGGTCACGTCGGCCTTGACGGCTGCAGGCGAGAACAAGAACGGGACGGGAATCATTGATGATTAGGTTTGACCAGTTTGTTTGAATTAGTCGTTTGCGCGGCGCGTGCGAGTACGAGCACAAGCGGGGGAGACGAGGAACGACGAGGACGAGCAGATTGAAAAGAGGCACGTAGTCAGCACATGTGTTTCTCCGGTTGGCCATCCATGCGTGTGCTCTGCTTGCAGCATGCGAACTCACCGGCGAGGAGGGGGAGGGCAAGGAGGGCGAGCTGGGCGAACATTGTTGATCGTTGAAGGGGCGCGGGGGGGTAGTCGTGAAGGAGTGTGATAAAGTGGGAGAGAGTGGGTTACAAGTGAATGAGCGTGATGGGAGAGCGAGAAACAGAGACAGAAGAGAGATGAGCGATTGAGCAGAGCGAGATGATTGAATGGCGACGAGCGACCGAGTGACAGTAGTGGTGAGGGACCGAGCGGCGCGCGCGCGCGTGCGCAGACTGTGGGTTCGGGTACGGGTGGCTCGAAGCAGCAGAAAGGGGGGGGGTTTTCGGTGTGACGCCTCCTGTGTTTGGTCCTGTCCTGCGCGCAACAGGGGACGCCACCAAAACTTGGCCTCGCGCGTACAGTGGAGGCAGTGGGAGACTGGCGAGGCATGCATGGCCGTCCGACTGTATTCCTTCAGGCAGCGACGCGTACACTAAATGCATTATCCCTGGCACGGTTGCCGACGTTTTGGGTACGCGGGCAGCACAAGGCGAACCGCCAACCAGGACAAGGCGCACACCCTCTACGCGTCAGGCAAGAACCGCACCCCCGATCCCCTGAGAGAGACGTGGGCTGGGCATTCCACAATCCCAGGTCACAAACCCCCATATGCATGGGGGTCAACGACAACACAGGCTGCTACTGACATCTCTCACTGTTCTGTGCGACATGCACCTCGTTCTTCTGGGGCCATCCCATCATCTCACCACCGAACCTCACCGCACCCTTTTGGTTCCTCGTCGTACCGTCGTCGTACTCCCAGGTGCAACGCTGTCCCAATGGACGTGTCTTCCTTGGTGTAGTTGAAACACCAAAGACTGCGTGCGCGTACATCCATCTCCGCACCCAAGAGAACCATGTCTTGCTCTCGTACACGGCGTCAGAGGACATGACGCTGGAATACAAAAAAGTCAAACCGGTTCAAAGGTGTTCCGCAAGAATGTTCCAAGGCTCCAACGCGCCAACGCGCCAACGCGGCACGCGACGACGCGTTGCGGCGCGCGCCGCGCCGGCTCTCGTGTCCGGGACAATTGAAATTGACCTCACACGAGCGTTTGCCGCGGCAGCCTCGGGTCATGTACCAGACGCGAAATAGCCAGCTTTATAGCTTGCAAAAGCATATCGTGTCCGTTGGCCGTTGGGAGTCGTTGTTCCAGAAGAGCCGGGCCTAGTGCAGGTTAACAGGTTCAGTCAGAGATCAGAGATGGAGATCAGCCGCGCCAAAAAAGGCTCATACCCCAGTACTCTCGTCTGCTCGCGTACTGGTGCCACCAGACCCGTCACTGGCCCCTCTGCCACCATACCACCACCCCCGCGCGCCCCCACCTCCAGACAGACGCACGCCGGGCAGAGATCCAGAGAACATCACCGTAATACATCAAAGTAGTACAAGACGAGAAATAATGGTAAAGAAAGGCACCGGAAGAGGCACCGGACGGATGCTGGTTGGCGACTTTTGATATGGGGTTTTTTTTTGTGTTGGAGTTTCTTTGATTTCGGGGACGAAAAACGGGTGGGTTGTTTGCCTGGGAGATACCGAGAGCTAAACGACGTGTATACATTGGTTTTGAAGTGAAGATAGCATAGAGAGATGGGAGTGGGAGTGTGAGTGAGTGATGGAGTGGAAGTGACGTGACGTGTGGCCATCGTGACAGGAGGAGTGGCCCCGAGGCCAAGCCCCGGTCGCGGTCGCCTTGTCAGAAACAGCAAGCGGTTAAGCGGTGCTCTACACAAAAAGGGAGGAGTGGCGGCGGCGACGGGTCGGCGGGCAAACTGTCGGTACCAGCAAGCGGCGGCCTACACAGACACCCTCGACGCGCCGCTAATGCTGTTGGGCGCACTGTGCAACGACGCCGTTGTAGTCGCGACCGTGATCTGCCATTGTCAGCGCCATCCCTTCCCTTCCCCTTCCCCCTGCCCCGCCACGGCCACGGCCACGGCCACGCTCTGCAAACTCACAATCTCGAGGTCATCGTCGTCGTCGTCCTCATCGTCATCGTCATTGTCGCCCGCCTCGCGTACAGGCACCTTGCGCAGCTCCTCACACGCCTCAGCCAGCGCGGCTTCCGTCAGCTGCGCGGCGTTTCCTTCCCCGCCTTCCCCGACGTGCGGGAAGGGACAGGACACGCGCAGGCAGCGGCCCGTCTTGGCCCAGTCGGCACACTGCTCCACGCCGTCGCCGTCGCGGTACTGGCCTGGGGTCGCGAGCGGGCTGCCGGCGCCGGGCGGGGCGGCGGGGGCAGACGCGCACCGCGGACCAGCGGCGGCAATGGCGGAGGAGGAGCGGTGGAACGGCGTCATGGGCGTGGACGGGGGTACGCGCGAGTGCGGCGCGAACGCGCTGGCCGGAGTCGCGGGGCTGGCGGGCGAGTCTGCGGTCGCGACGGCTGTGGCCGTGGGCGTGGCGGTGGACGGGCGACGCGGGGTCTGGGGGGCGGGCGCGGGCGCGACCGCGTCCGCCGACGTCGGCGACGTGGGCGAGCTGAACCTCGCACTCGAGGCTACCGGCGAGAACGCGTACCCGTCGTCTACTTTGACATGCGCAAAATGACACGCGTCGCCGTGGCTGCAGCGTCCGGCCTGGAAGTGGCGGCATGGCCGGGTACGGTACGCGCGGGGAAAGGCCACGAGCGGCTGGGATTCGGGCACCACGCGCGTGTGTGCAAAGTTGCAGTCTTGCTCAGAGTGCGCGCACCCCGCCGCCGAGTTGAAGAACTTGCACGCGACAGTCTTGGGTCCCACATGCCTCGGCGACGCCGCAGCGATGGGGGACGCCGCCGCGGCGGGGACACCGGCGGAGGCGGGGACACCAGGGCGATCAGGGAGGACGTGGATGCTGTAAAGTTGGTCAACAACGCGACGTTAACGGCAACAACTTACTACGTGCAGGCGTCGCCGTGGGGACAGTTTCCTTGAGCGAAGAAGCGGCATGCGCGCGTCCTGTAATAGTTCCTCGCCGTGCCCTGCCCCTGCACGCCAGGCGACATGGCAGCATTGTCCTTGACCTGCCACCCGTTCGGCGTCCATGAAATGTCGCGGCGCGCGAGCTTGGGCGGCGCCGGGCCCGCACCGACCGCACTCGCTGGTCCGGGCGGGATGGAAGCCATAGCTGCCGCGGTAGCAGCGGCCGGGAGGGGAGCGCTTGCGGGCATGGCAGTGAGTTGCGGCGAGGCAGTGAGTTGCTCAGTGGCGATAGTGATGGGAGGCGGAATGGATGGAAGAGCTGGCTTGGGAGTGGTTGACAGAGGCGCGTGCGCGTGCGGGCCTACAACAGCGGGTGCCGCCGCCATCAGAGGCGACATGGGCGGCATGAGCGCAAGCTGCTGGCTGATGGGCGCCATCAAAGCAGTCGGCGACAGCGGCAGGGCCCAGAACTGGGATGTAACGGGGGACAGGGCGGCCGTGTTGGGCGGTGCGACGGGGTTCCATACGTCTTGCACTGCGCCAGCGGTCTGGACAGTGGTGTACGTCGATGGGACGGGGCCGTAGGTGACTGCGACGTCGTCCGTCCACTGCGCCCGCGCCCACTGCGGGCCGGGCCACTGTTCCTCAGCCCACTGCTGGTCGGGACTAGCAGACGACGAGGTGAATCCCGCGTGAGGACTCCAGTTGTGCTCGGCGGACGGTGGCGGCGCTTGCGGGGAGCGGTGGCGAGGGGGCGGGTCCCATGTGGCAGCAGCACCCTTGGCAGCGGGCTTGGTCTGAGAGTCTGGCCGCGAGGTCTTGAGCGCAGAGTGCTTGTCGAGGTGCTTTGATTCGCGCTTGCGAGGCGGGTCACGCAGGAGAGGAGCTGGCCTCGAGTTGCTCAAGGTGATGACGACCTGGGTGATGGCATCTGCCGGAGTTGGTGGCGGCTCCTTGACCGTCTCCTCCTCGGCAACGGTCTCGACAGAGTCCGGAGCTGGAACAGTGGGCGACGACCCGAGGACAGGAGTCACAATGACCTCACTTGGCGGCGTCACCTTGCCCTCGCCGCCCTTGGAAGCGACGGCGTGCTTTTCGGCATTGTACAGGTTGTCCGGGTCGTGGATGAACGAGCAGTACGTGCCATAGGGACAGTGGCCCTCTGCAAAGTCGCGACACGGGACGGTCTTGAACTTTGCCTTTGCCTTGCCTGCCGGTCCCTTGCCGCCGCCGCTCATCTTGAAGACATACCCAAGTGTCTCGGCACCGGTGTCACCATTCGTAACTTCCACGGGCGCGCCACTCTCCACCGCCGCCAGGTCGGGTGCGTCAATCTTGAGCGGGACGACGGGCGCCGCAGCCTGCGCAGCCGCAAACGTGCCGCGGGTCGGGTCTTCGTGGCTGTCGACCGTGGCTGTACGGGCGCTGAGCGCAGCCGTGGCGAGCGGGGAAGCCGGGACGCGACGTGCAGAGTCGACACGGTGGACAAACCGGCAGGGCGAAGAGGTACAGGTGAGCCCCGGTGTGTGGTAGTATCGACACAGAATCAACTCTTCCACGCGCCCGGTTGCTGGACCACCACCGCCGCCAGTAGCAGGTCCACGCATGTTGCTGTCCGGGGACAGAAGACCAGCAGTATTTGGCGCGGGACGCAACGACGCCGAGAGGGGGTTTGGTCGCGAGGGTGAAAACTCGAGCTCTAGAGTGGGTACTGCCGACCGGGGCACATTCGCCAGGCTGGGAGTCACCGGTGCGCTTTCTGCGAGAATCTCGCCGTCCCCCATGAGAATGGCCACTGTCAGGCCACGGGTACGCCCCATACCCGGCGAGGAAGGGGTGCTTCCGGGCGAGCGAGGGGTGCGAGGGGTCGAGGGCCACCGGCGCGAGCCGGTGAGAGTGGCAGTCTGCACCGTGTGGACTGGAGCCGAGGCGAGTGTCGGTGTATCGCCCTTCTTGCGGCCAGACGGAGAGGAGGAAAAGTCGAGATGGGAGACACCGCGCGCAGCAGCGGCGCCGGCGAGGCGGGAGACGGACGTCCACGCCGTGCGCGACCGGTCGACCGGTCCACTGGCAATGGCAATGCTACCCGGAGCAGCACGGGTGCCTCGCTGAGCGGGAGTAGGCGGGGGAGCACGGTGGCCAGGACCATGGTGGGCCAGCACCGAGCCGCCTCTTTGAGGGATACGGTAAGCTGATGTCGTTGGACTGTCACTGCTGCGGGAGTTGGAGGAACGATGACCACCACCACCAGCTGCAGCCGGTGGAGGCGGAGTGGCGTGATTGATCGAGCTCATGTGCGCGTTGCTCATGCTGTCCACTGGCGAGTCTGGCGTGACGTCCCGGGGAACATCAACTTCTTTGGACAAGCTGCGGCGGTGTGCTGAGAACGACGGCGGTGCGCGGCGCGAGAATGACGAAGAGGCAGAAGGACTACCTGCGCTGGTGATAGAGCTGCGTCCGGGGCCAACGCCTGAACCGGTGCGATCTTTTGGGCCGTCCATGGCTCGTTAAGAGTCAAGTGATGTGATCTGATGCGGCAAGCGTTCAGGCTGGGGGGAGGTGATGGTTCTAGTGTTCTAGTGTCAGGTAAGCGAACGGTCTGGGCCCAGTGGTCTATGTGGGATACGCACGAGACAATGAACAGAGGTGGTACTGGGCGCACTTGTTGCCGCTCAGTGATGGGAGAGACGAATGTTGTTGCACACGAGGCGCCGAGGAATATCGCTCAGGGGCGTGGGTGGGGCGTGAGATGAAGTGAGATGAAAGGTCGGGGCAAGGACTGGGTATAATCCAGATGCGAGAGGCAGAGGGATAGGTACACAAAAGCAAACTGTTCAAGAGATCGATATATGATGCGATGGGAATGATGCGATGGGTGTGATGGCGATTGGCGACGGTTGTTGTAGTCAGCTCACAGTATATGAGCTACCGAAGCTCTACCCTGTGCGCTTCACAGATGATCTGTCGATAGCGATATGTATTCGTGTGATCGAATGGTGCCGAGTCAACGAGTCGAGCGATCAGATGAGGGTACAACGTGTAACAGATTAGTTGAAAGGAGCCGCCTTTTGTTTAGTTTGGGTGAAGCGACATGCTGGCGTTGAGCAGTTTGGTAACGGTACTCGTTGCTCACACACACCCGTGTCGCTCAATCTGGGTATGTTTCGGCGGCCTCGGTTCCTCCTGCACCCGTGTCCGCCGCCGCCCAAACACCCCTTCGTCTGTCTGTCTGATGTGTGCGCGGAGTCGGCCCGCTGCGCCGCGCCAGCGCGACCGGCCAGTACGGTCTGTTGCTGTCTGGTGGCATGCAGAAAGGAAGGGAATACCCTTATACGCACGGATACTCTACCCCAACTATCTCAGACAAGCGTGCCGGTCGGACAAGCCGAATGCGAGGTCGGAATGGGAACAGGTGTATGCGCCTTGGCCATGGGATAGGTACACTCTCAGTCTCGTCCAGTTCGCGGCCTGTGTGCACGGGCAAGTGGCCGCCGGCAGAGTCAGAGACCAAGAGCAAGACGAAGCAGAGACCCTCGGGTCCCAGACGCCACCGTGTGTCAAGGTATGGGACAATGGAGGGGCAAAAGAGGCGAATCGGCGAGGGGGCAGATAGGAACGGGAGACGGACAAGAAGCAACGACAGGCGCGGGGAATATGGGAAATATGGGTGGTACAACGACAACGACGGGCCGGCATTGTCCTGGACTGCCGTTTCGGCTCGCCGGGGGCAAAACGCCACATTCTCCCATGTCATCCAACCGGGGCTCATATGCCGTCCCCCCCCCCTTGTCGCGCTTCTTCAGATCCACCCTATTGCTGCTGCTGCGCACTCGGCCTGCGCACTCGACCCGTTTCAATATCTGTATGCATCTGCTACTGATCCTCCCATTCACACTGCTGTGAGAACCCTTTAGGCCTCGTCGGGGCCGATCATGACTGCGGCAGGTCAGCATTGATTGCCACGAGAACAACTAGAACAGGGGCCCGCCGTCTGAACCACAACCCTCCACTAGCGCAGAGCGGTGGGTATGCCAGTGGCAGATCTGGGCAGGCCTGGCCTGGGGAACGGGGGATGTACTCACGCTCGGGGCGGACACGGGCGTCAAACTCCTCAGCGGTGATCTTGCCAGACTCGAGCGCCGACTCCTTGAGGCTGGACGTTGTCAGCAACATGTACTCAATAGTCCCAGGAACCAAAGATCCAAAGCCGTGTGTGTGTGTGTGTGTGTGTGTGTCTGTGTGTTGTGTGTGGCGGTTGGCTTGCAGTCTTAGGAGGGAACGCCCCCGAGATCCACAATGTCCCCCAACTCTTATTGAACCGGGGCTCACACAACCGGCACAACGACAATACCGGTAGCGAGGTTCCAGCAAACTGGTTCCTCTCACTAGCTCACACGGCCTTCGTTGTCCAGAACCAAATACTCACGTGATACCCTTCTTGTGGGCGTTCTTGGCAATGGCGGCGACGTCTGTAGGCTGTCAGCAAAACAATCCCTCCTTTCTTGCCCTCCACATTGCGACCAGATCCATCGCCACAAAGGCCATGCACAAAGGAGGGGACCCGGGTCGAGCGCAAGGCACCGGCCACGCCAGTGTGCATGCCGCCCAAAGGGACACGCCACCTGACGTGCAAGACATTGGCGAGGAATGCCAAAATGCCATCGGGGAAAATGGGCCCAAAATGGGCCAAAATGGTTCCCCCAAGTCCCAACCACCTCCGATGCTCATCTCCCATGTCGTCTGCTCTTCATTTTCGTCTGTTTCTTTCGCGAACACGCACCATCGTAGCCAAGCACGCTGTTCAAGCAGGTCGCCAGCATCTTCGTCGGGGCGTCAGCAGACAGTTTTGGAAAGTTGAACGAGGAAAAACGAAGAGTTTCTCCTCCAAAGTGGAAGACGTACAAGCGACTCGTTCATAATCTTGTTGATGCGCTGCTCGTTGGCCTTGATACCAACAACGCAGTTCTTGGTGAAGCTGCGCGAGCCGTCGGCAAGCAGACGGATCGACTGGAGCAGGTTCTGAAGGAATGTGTCAGTTGTTGGGCTTCCTTTGTAGCTCTTTTTACTCACCTTGATGAGAACGGGCTTGAAGACGTTGAGCTCGAACTGGCCGTACGAGCCAGCGACCGAGATGGTGGTGTTGTTACCCATAACCTGGGCAGCGACCATGGTGAGGGCCTCACACTGGGTGGGGTTGACCCTAGGAATGTCAGTGGAAAAACAAGTCACGGAAACGTGGCGGCGCCCAACTGATCGTCATTCCGCCACACAGACGCAACAAACTCACTTGCCGGGCATGATCGACGATCCGGGCTCGTTCTCGGGGAGCTCGAGCTCACCAAGACCGCAGCGGGGGCCCGAGCCGAGGTAACGGATGTCGTTGGCAATCTTCATGAGCGAGACGGCAACGACGTTGAGGGCACCGGAAGCCTCGACGATGGCGTCGTGGGCAGCGAGGGCCTCAAACTTGTTGGGGTTGGTCTCGAAGGGGAAGCCGGTAATGTTGGAGATGGCGGCGGCGACCTTGACGTCAAAGCCGGCGCGGGTGTTGAGGCCAGTGCCGACGGCGGTACCGCCCTGGGCGAGCTGCGAGAGGTGCTTGAGGGTGGTCTCAACACGGACAATGCCGCGCTCAAGCTGGGTCACGTAGCCCGAGAACTCCTGGCCGAGGGTGAGGGGAGTGGCGTCCTGGAGGTGGGTACGGCCAATCTTGATGATGTCCTGGAACGCGGCCTGCTTGGCAGCGAGGGCCTCGTGGAGCTCACGGAGAGCGGGGAGGAGGCGCGAGCGGATCTCAACAACGGCAGCAACGTGCATGGCAGTGGGGAAGGTGTCGTTCGACGACTGCGACATGTTGACGTGGTCGTTGGGGTGGACGGGGGTCTTGGAGCCAAGCTGGCCACCCATCAACTCAATAGCACGGTTCGAGATGACCTCGTTGACGTTCATGTTGGTCTGGGTGCCCGAGCCAGTCTGCCAGACAACAAGGGGGAACTCCTCGATGAGCTTGCCCGAGATGACCTCGTCGGCAGCCTTGCCAATGTTCTCGGCAACAGCGGCGTCAAGGCCGTAGGTCTGGTTGACCTGGGCAGCGGCCTTCTTGAGGACACCGAAAGCCTTGATGAGGGGCTCGGGCATGCGCTCGGTGGGGCCACCTAGAACATGTTAGCAAGGACAAAACGCACCCCCGGATGGGATTGGAGAACGTTTGTGGGGAAGGAACAAGAAGCTCGAGGAACGCCCAGCAAGCGCATCCCAGGGAGCAGCCCCCCGGGCTTGCAACAGAAGGCTCCAGCAAAACGGAATGCTTGCTGCACACAAGTTGCACCCCATCGCCAGTTCGCTCGAGTCCCAGAGCATACAGGTCCCTCCGCATTGCTTGCGGAGTGCCTCTCTCCCCAACCTCAGGCCCGTTCCTTGCACTCCTTTTCTAGACTCACCAATGTCAAAGTTCTGGAGCGAACGCTGGGTCTGGGCACCCCAGTAGCGGTTGGCGGGGACCTTGAGGGGACCGAAGGTGTCCTTCTCCTCACGGTACTTCTGCTCGGCCATGATGGACGAAGTAGCAAAGGTGCGGGTGGCCGGGAGGACGCGCTGGAGGGCAATGTCAGAAAAAAAAGGCAGGTGCGAGGACAGAGAGCGAGTCGTGCAGAGACGCTTGGGATGGGAGCGTGTTTGCTTTGATGTTTGGGGTGTGTGGAGAATGAATGTGCAACGTGCTTATGCGGTAATGGACGTGTGAAGACTGCCGCGTACACACCCAATGGCGCGTGTACAACGACCGTCCGCTGCTCCCGCCGGCTGGGTGCTAAGCGGCGGAACGAGGACTTGTGGGCGCTGGAGGCCTGGTGACCGCCGTCCGCAACGGCCTCACCCGACGCCGGAAACTGGAAAGTTCCAACGAGTGCGATGTCGATGGGAGCGCTTGGGAGAGTGCGAAGGGGGAAGGTGGTGGACGCAGCATGCAAAGTATACGTACAGGAGCGACACGGAGCGACTTGGCAGCGAGCATTTTCGAGCTGTGTTTGTTTTGGGAGAGGGGAGAGTTGAGGGTGAAAGAGAGGACAAGGACGAGGGCACGAGATATTAAGAAACCGACGTCGGCGCCGGCGAGAGCGACGGCCGTCAGGAAACAACCCCCGACAGACCGCCCGGTGTTCCCTTCGTGTGTCCATTCTCTCTGTCCTGCGGCGTCTCGTCTGCGTTCCCCCACAGCGTGCTGCGTTGGACCCAGTACCCCGCTGGCCGCTCCATCTCCACCAATGCATGTCGACGGGCGGACTTTTCGGCCGTTCTCGGGGCGAGCCGCATCGCACTCCCGACGCCGAAAAGCCTGGCCCTCTGCGAACCGTTCCGAGTTGATGACGTCCCCATGGGGTATCTGATAACAAGTCACGTGATTTCTATTTTACACGTGTGTTTAATTGCCATCTCAGGCACGTCTGCCCGACGCGACTGACTTGGGAATGCCCTGTTGAAATGATCTGAGCGTTGCGCGTCTCGTCTCGCCTTTTGCTCTCTCTCGCCACAACACAAACCATGACGGCAAGGTCAGTAGCGGGGTTTTGACTCTGGTTCTTCCACTCGACTGTCACTAATGTACAGGCCCCCCGTGCGCCGGACGTACGGTCGTCGCCCACCGCCGCCCTCCTCCCCACCCTCTCTCGCATTCGCGTCGTCGTCTGTCGGGTCGCTCGTGTTTACTCCTCCGCCCCCGAGCTCCTCCCCGACCACCGCACGCCGTAAGCGTGTCCGACAACAGTCTGTTGAGGCATCGGACGATGATGATGATGACGACGACGAGTCACCACTGTTCTCCTCCCCAACGAAGGGCAAGGGCAAGAGCAGCATCCGTACCCCAACGCCCATGCTCGTCGCGTCGGCACCCTCGGCACCACCCTCACCCTTAGCAGCGATGGACACCAACACGGCCCTCTCCACCGCGACCCGCCAGACATCTCTCAAGGGCTTTTTTGTTCCTCTTGCCAAACGCGCCCGTCCAACGCCTATGCCGTCTTCCAACGTCGCCACCACCGCCACCAGCACTACTCGTTCCTCATCCACTCCAACTCCAGCCGCGCAGCCAAAGCCCAAGCTCCACCAACTACAGTTTACCGCGGGCGCCCTCCGCTCCTGTGCGGAATGCGGCATGTCCTACCTCCGCGGCAGCGACGATGCCGAGCACGCTCGCCACCACGCCCGCGTGACGCGGGGTATCCCATGGACGGCAAGGACGCGTGCCGTGGTGGACCGTGTACCGCTGGTCCCCAAGGCATCGACCAGCAGCACTCCCACACGAACGTCACCACGCCGCAAAGCTGTCAACAAGACCGGTAACGCTCGTATTGTTATTGTGGACTGTGCCGCCTCTGCTTCCACTTCGTCCTCGTCCTCATCTTCGTCGACCTCGACAGCGCCTGCCGCACGCATTACTGAAATCCTCGGCATGGTCGACACGGTCGTCGCTGCCCCGGCTCTCCCACTGGCCATCAAGGACAGGTGCAAGCTCGTCCTCGCGCTCACGTCCGACCCACCTCCCTCCGGCCGCCGCCTGCCCGGACGACCAGTGGAGAAGGGCGAGCGCGTGGTTGGCGCCGTCGTCGTCCAGCCTATCAAGTGGGCGATGCGCGTGTTGCGAGACGGGGAGAGCGGTGTGGGCGGCAGTGTTGATTCGGGCGGCGGAGTTGTTTGCGAGTAAGTGTTCAGTTGTTCGCATCTTGCGGTGGTAGCTGACAATCATCCCAGTCCGGCCCGCCTGCCCACTCCCCTCGGCATCCACCGTCTCTTCGTCGTCCCGGCGTACCGCGGCCTCGGTTTGGCGCGGGAGATGCTCGATGTGGCCGCGGCAGAGACGGTGTACGGGTGCGAGTTTGATCCGACCAAGGGCCAAGTCGCCTTCTCCCAGCCTACAGACAGCGGACGGATGGTGATGGAGAGTTGGGGTAAAGGGGGTGTGAGGGTGTTTGTAGATGACGAGAGCCAGCTCTGAGACTTCGGCGTTGATGCCTTGCTCTTTTATTAGCCCTTTGCCAGTTTGTTGCTTGTGCCAAGACCACAGGCAATGCTCTGCAATGTATAAGAAACATACACTGTATGGTAACAGTTGTGGACATGGGACGCGACCGCTATTGAGACATGGACTGTACAAACTGAGCGCCGTTACTTCCAGAACGCCATCACAGAGTCCTTGAGCGAGCTAGCCCAGCGACCAAGAGAATCACTCTTGTCGTCTGCAGACTGGTCGACGACTTCCAGGCACGCGCTCGTCTGGCGTACCAGATAGGCCGTCTGGTCCAGTTGGGCAGTGAGTTCGGGGTCCCTGTGAGAGTCAGTATACGGCTGTAGGGGAGCACTACCCACTTGTCGTGATCCATCTTACCGAGGACGCGGCGACTGCTATCAGCTAAAAGCAGAACGAAAGCTGAACTCACATGTTGGTCGCCCTCGTAACGTCGTGGACGAATTCCGGTTCATGCGTCTGCAGAGGTCAGCAGCGTACATCAACCAAGAACTTACGCCAATGCCATACCACACGTCGGCAGCGTCCAGCACTGCAATGGGCTCCAGGGGCCCGGCCTGGCCCATACCGACCGACTCGGGGGTTTCGTCCATCTTGAGGATTTGACCTTCCCAGACGAACATGTAGCGCTGCGGAATCATGTCCTTGTGCATCTTGTTGGAAAGGTTGCTCTCGAGGAAGATGATCCAGGCTGCCTTGAGCTGGGAAAATGCCGTGTCTCGGCCAAGGACGACAGCGCAGTTTTGAACAGCGCTCTGCATCCACATCGTGAGAGAGTCCTCGGGACACTCCACTGTCTTGGGGAGGTTGTACAGCCTCTCGACAACGTCATCCGCGAGGGGGAATTTGCACGAAGCGGGTTCGATGAGCGGGCAACTGGTGGCTTGCGAAAAGTCCAGTTGGGGGCTCTGCAAAGGTGAGCAACCATCTGCTGAGGGTAAACTTACTGAAAAGGTGATGAAGTGAACAGGTACAAGTTTGCTCCTGTCGTCGTCGTCGTCCTTTGGCAGTCAGTCATCCGCACCCCAGTCAACCAACCTACATGTTCCTGCGACTGCCAGGGCATTGTTCCAGTCTTGACAGTGTCCGGGCCCATGGCAGATACCTCTGGGGATTCGTACAGCTTGCTGACTGCCACCAGAGATGCTTTATTGGGAACAGTGGACAAGGCCTTGTCGGCAATCTCTGTGCCGGCCAGGTCCTGAAGGAGCTGCTGTCCGCTAGCGTTCAGAAGGGAGAACGCTTGCGAATCAAACACGAATAACTGGCCAGGGTCCTGTTGTAAGAATTGGTTGGCCCGAGAACGAGCAAGGTTGAAGTGGTCGTCCAAAGCGATCTTGCTGCAGGCAGGGGAACTGAAAGACGGCCCGCCTTGAAGGCGAACGTGGTGAGGGCATACACAGGTCTCATCCGAGCTGGTGGCAGTGCAGGACATGACACCGCGAGCGCCATAGTAGATGAGCCAGCTAACACCCAGTTGAGCCCCCTCGAAGGGAGGCGCGATGCTTGGGTTCTCCTTGCCGGAGCCTCGCTCGTCGGCATACTCGCGCAACCCACGGCGAACAATCTTTGCGCGGTCGGCCAGTCGGCTAAATGGGCGATCGATCACTTGTTCCTTGGGGAGTTGAGAGTCTTTGGGCGGGGACTGTATGACAACCTCGAAGCCTGCTTTCTTGCACGCGCGATCCAATTGTGGGAGGCGCACTGTACGGAGGAATGCCTGCTGTGTGAGCGTGGTTCTATCGCATTAGACGCTACCCAAAGGCCGGAAATGGTCTTTTCCAGGAGAACTTGGGTGACAGTGCGCGGGTGGGCCTTGTTGGCTCTATACATGAGAAACTCGCGAGCCACATAGCGCAGGCTGATCTGCCAGGGTGTCAGTGCACCCAACAACCTTGAACAACCTACCCAAAGCTCTCTGGGAAGGATTTCATGCGCGAGCCACAGCTCAGTGAGGAGGAGCGAGCCGATGAACATGAGGTCACTGGGGAACGCCATGGATGCCAAGCAAAACCAGTAGAAGGTGTGTGCGCCGTTAGAGTCATCGTTCCGCATGAAGGGGTGGGGCGTGAGCCATTCGTCTGCCTTGCTCTTCGAAGCGGAGGCGGCGGCCTGGATAGCCTTCTTGAGGGGGGCTGGGGCCGGTGTGGGCGTAACGTGTGCGACAAGCTTCTTTGGCATTAGAGCTGTTGATGGAGGATCGCTATCGGATGCGGGGAAGGAAGGCTGCTTGGGTTTGGGTGGTACGGAGCGGACGGGGGCGGCGGCCAGTGTGGACAAGGCGTGGGGGAGGTCTTCAGCCTTGCTCTGGGGTGAGACTGCGCTGGGTTTAGGGGGATGAGACTTGGATGTGTCTACAGCGGGGGATGCAATCTCACTCCCTCTGTCGATACTGGGTGTACCGCTTCCCAAGTTGGGGGTAGTGGGAGGCGGAGCGCGACGTTTGTTTGGATGGCGACGGGGCATGAGGGTGTGAGAGGATGCGGAGAGGAGGGATGTGAGGGGTTAGGGGGCAGGGAGGTATCAATGAGGATGTCACGGGGGTGAGTCAAGAGATGGTGGGTATGTGCAGGATGGGCCGGATGAGTGAGAGGAAGGAAGGAAGGAAGGTGTGGTGAATGCGAGGGAAGGAAGAAGAAGAAGTAGAACAAACCAAGCAGCCGAGAAATGGTGTTGTAGTAGACTGCCGAGTACGGATCACACTAGGCCAATCCACACAGCCACCTGGCCACCTGTCACCCACCCACCACCCTCAGCTTTCCCTCCAGTCCTCGTTGCTTGGTGTGGTGGTCGTTCGTGTTGTCTTATGAAGGACCGTCAGACCTTTTTTGTTTTTTTCGTCAATGGCCGCCGATATCCCACCGACGACGACGCGCAAACAATGACAAGGGCAGCCGACGCTTTGTTGACATCATCGCTGCACTCTTTTTGACCCTTAAACCTTGCAGCGGAGGGCTCCCCGTGTTGCGCGCCTACGCAGGCCTAAATCAGGTGTCTGGCATGTCTGGCCTGAACAATTCGACGTCGTTGTTACGTTGTTGGAGCGTGATCGCCTGCACCGGCTGCACCTGGGCTGTCCCGGCCCCGCCGCCCCAGGGCGAGATGCCGCCGTCGCGTGTGCGGTGTTGCGTCGGAGGATGCGATGGTGCCGCGACTGGTGCGTGGGCGTCGCTCTCTCGCTGTCACTTTGCTCCCCTGCCAGCGTTTCTCGTTTCCTCGCCGCTCACCTTGTTGCTGTTCCGCACACCCACCACCCATTACCCCGTCTGCCGGCTGGTGTCCTTGGTTGCAAGTCACATCTTTCCCCAACAGCAAGCACTCTACATCGCTCTCCCACTTCCCGCTCCTTGCACAACACACACGCATCACACGCAGCACTTCACACCAAACAAGACACACACACCAACACACATTTCGCTTCTGTAACAATCTTGTAGCTACCACTCCCTTTTTCTATTTCCTCGACAGCTCTCACAAGCCTTCGACCTCTCGTCCTACACCGCAAACATGGACGGCGACCTCATTGCGCTTGTCAACAAGCTCCAGGACACGTTCAACGCCATTGGCGGGGACGCCGTCGATCTCCCCCAGATCGTGGTCGTCGGTTCCCAGTCGTCCGGCAAGTCGTCCGTCCTCGAGACCATTGTTGGCCGCGACTTTCTTCCCCGTGGCTCGGGCATCGTTACTCGTCGCCCGCTCGTCCTCCAGCTCATCCACACGCAGGGGCTGGGTGGCGGAGCGTCGGGGGCTTCCGGGCAGCCCTCCCTCGCACCCTCGTCGAGCGGGTTGAACAACCGCCGCTCCTCTGGCAACTCGCACCACTCGGCCAACGACGACAATGGATACCTCCCCGACCTCTCAGGAGGCAGCAATGGCGGCGGTAACAGGCGGTCGATGGGCGGCGACACTGGCATCGACTATGCCGAGTTCCTCCACATCAACCGCCGGTTCACCGACTTTGACGAGGTCCGCCGTGAGATTGAGGCCGAGACGTTCCGTGTCGCTGGCCAGAACAAGGTGAGCTTTGGGCGCCGTGTAACGACTCCCGCAGCTAATTGTGTATTAGGGTGTGTCCAAGCTCCCCATCAACCTCAAGATTTATGGCCCAGGCGTGCTCAACCTCACCCTTGTGGACTTGCCCGGTCTGACCAAGGTCCCTGTGGGAGACCAGCCGACCGACATTGAGCGCCAGATCAAGAACCTTGTTCTCGACTACATCTCAAAGCCCAATGCGTGAGTTGGTCCATTTGAACCGTACAACTAACAAACAGGGTTATCCTCGCTGTGTCGCCTGCCAACGTCGACCTGGCAAACTCGGACGCTCTCAAGCTTGCTCGCACGGTCGACCCCCGTGGGCTGCGCACCCTTGGTGTGCTCAGCAAGCTCGACCTCATGGACGCCGGTACCAACGCCCTCGACGTTCTCACCGGCAGGACGTACCCGCTGAAGCTTGGCTTTATCGGTGTCGTCAACCGTTCACAGCAGGATATCAACCTCGACCTGCCCATGGAGGACGCGCGCATCAAGGAGCAGGAGTTCTTCCAGAACCACCCCGTCTACCGCAACATTTCGCACCGCTGCGGTACAAAGTACCTGGCCAAGACGCTCAACTCTGTGAGTTCTAGAGGCCTCTGGCTGGCACCTGCTGACCCACTCCCCCCAGGTCCTTATGAACCACATTCGCGAAAAGTTGCCCGACATGAAGGCTCGTCTCAACACCCTCATGGGCCAGACTCAGCAGGAGCTCAACTCCTTTGGTGACGCCACGTTCCTTGGCGAGCAGCACCGTGTACGTTGTTGTAACCTAACCTGTGGACCAGCCAGTTGGGGCAAGTGGCTGACACGTACAGGGATCTCTCATCCTGAAACTCATGACCGAGTTCGCCCGAGACTTTGTGTCTTCCATCGAAGGTACTTCGCTCGAGATTTCGACCAAGGAGCTCTGTGGCGGCGCGCGCATCTACTACATCTTCAATGACGTGTTTGGCCATGCTCTCGGCACCATCGACCCCACCCACAACCTGTCACTCACCGACATTCGCACCGCTATCCGCAACTCGACCGGCCCCCGTCCGTCCATGTTCGTTCCCGAAGTGGCCTTTGACTTGCTCGTCAAGCCCCAGATCAAGTTGCTTGAGCCTCCTTCGCTTCGCTGCGTCGAACTCGTGTACGAGGAGCTCATGAAGATCTGCCACAACTGCACTACTCCCGAGCTCCAGCGCTTCCCCAAGCTCCACACCCAGCTGATCGAGGTTGTCTCCGAGCTCCTTCGCGAGCGTCTCGGCCCCACCTCGGAGTATGTGTCGAGCCTCATCCAGATCCAGGCAGCCTACATCAACACCAACCACCCCGACTTCCAGGCTGGTCAGGCTGCCATCGCTTCCGCTGGCTCGGCCCCTATGCCTGCCCCCAAGCTGCCCTCGCTGGACGGCTCGGTCGAGGATGAGGAGTCGGGATCCGAGGACTCGGCATCGTTTGGCGCCAACGGCAATGGCAGCGTTGCCCAGCACCTGCGCTCGTCGTCGACTTCGATCCCCGACTCGCGTGACCGTGCCGCCAACAAGCTGCTTGGTACCAAGAATGGCCACAACCGTGCCATCTCGACAACGAGCAACTCGCCGTTCTCGGTTCCCGCTCCTCCACCCGCATCTCACGGTGGCTCTCCGCAGACCGCCAAGGACACGTTCCTCAACTACTTCTTTGGCGGACCAGGTGGTATGCCCACTCAGATCAACTCGGCCCCCGGTTCGAGCCACGGTCGCCGATCTGCCCCACTCGTCTCGTCGGGCTACGGCCCCAACGACATTCTGCCCGACCTCGGCTCTGGAAGGAGGACAGGCGCCGCCACTGGCCTGGACGCCGGTACTGCTGCCTACGACATGAAGTCGCTGGGCAAGCACCTCGACTCGAGCGATGCCCCCGTGCACCTCACCGGGCGTGAGCAGATGGAGACCAACCTTATCCGCTCGCTTATTGCGAGCTACTTTGGCATTGTTCGCCGTACCATTGAGGACCTGGTTCCCAAGTCGATCATGCACCTGCTGGTGAGTAACAATTGATTGAAAGAAGGGGGGCAGGTCGGTGTGTCGGGCACTTGTTCGGTGTCTTGGTCGTCGACGCTGCAGCCCCAGAGGAACGGGGACCTCTTTTTGCGATGGCTGTGCTGACGATCCCTCCAGGTCAACTTTTCGCGCGACGCCGTGCAGCAGCGACTGGTTACGTCTCTGTACAAGCCCGACCTGTTTGCCGAGCTGCTGCATGAGGACGAGGCGTTGGTGACTGAGCGCACGCGTGTCAAGGCGTTGCTGGACGCATACAAGGAAGCGTTCCGTGTGTTGAGTGAGGTGTCGCTCAAGAGCTCGTAGATCTGAGACATGCCATTGACCATGAGAGTTGCGGCCGGCCCGTCTCGTAAACAAACTGCCGCTTGCGGCCACCCACCCCCCGGCGTCCTCGATGCATGATGCATTCAGTCATGCATGTGTTTAGCCTGACCCGGCATTCGCAGGGAGCCCAGGCGCACAGGCGCTTCATCACACGCGGCTGGCAGGGCGATAGAAAGGAAAAGAAAAAGGACCTGTGCCTGAAGCCTTGTCTCGTAACGTCAAGTCTGGACCCTGTTGCCAGAGTGTCCAAAATGAATGTCGGGTCTGGTCACACGGCCCGTATGGCCGTAGCAACCAACCACCAATACATAACATCTATACATACCTCTTCGTCACGTCCTCTCTCTATCGCACACACACACACACTCTCTCTCTCCCAACACAAGGCAGCGGCCATGCACCACCTCAATCCGCGGCTCACGCGGCTCAACATCGCCCTCCTGTCGCTATGCCTCGCGGTCGTGTTCATGGTCCTGAGCAGCAAGGCCAACACCGTCGGCGGCCGTTTATCGTCGTTACCAAGACTTTCGATCCTGGGCAAGCCCAAGCTTCCAGCATGGCCGACATGGCGTATTGGAGCGAGCGACAGTGCCGAGCAAGCGGCTCTCCGACGATGGGAGCTGAGCAGGGCGACACAATACCTCGGCACGGGAGCACGCGTCCAGCGCTTCCTCGAAAAGGCAAAGCGCGGCGAGCCATTCACTGTCGCGGCTCTGGGTGGAAGTGGTGAGTAGTGTCCCCACACGTTCTGCAGTCCGAGTCCGTGACGCTCGTCCTGTTGGCACTGGGCGAGCCTCGCCCGGTGTGTCGCGCAGTCTGGGCGGTGACCGGTGGGTGCACCGAACACGGCCCAGGCCGTCGATCATGGTCGAGGAACGGCGACCACACCAATGAAAGGGGCCAGGCCCGGGGTTGTCTTGTCGTCACACAACATATCCCACCACGACCAGAGGCCAGAGGGCTGACGATTGTTTCTCCAGTGTCCAAAGGCCGTGGTCTGTCATCTCCAAATGACCGCACAGCCCATCTTCGAGACGCCGCGGACAAGGCCAACGGTATCTCTGGCGACGATGGCGACGCATACGGCGCAGACACGCTGTACTCGCACGAAAACCTCCATGTGCTCGTGTACGACTGGCTGAACGCTACGTTCCCCAATGGCGGCCGTAACCGCTTCGTGAACGGCGCACAAGGCGGTGTTGGCGCAGGATACTTTGCCTGGTGCTTTAGTGAGTGAAGCAATAAATAGCTGCCTGCCGAGGGAGATCCCCTGGCGGCAGGGAGACCTGAGAACTGACGGTCGCGTGCAGAGGAGCACATCTACGACGACGTCGACCTCGTGCTTGTCGAGCTGGGTATCAACGACTTGAACCGCATGGACGTCATCCCCAAGTATGAGCACTTGATACGCAGTGTGGTCGAGCTCGACAGCGCGCCCGCCGTCATTAACATTGAGTGAGCTGCCGTGTTTGCGATATACTGACTCCCAGAACATTCACCACCCTGTTCCCCGCACTCGTCTCGTCCTCGGCATTGCACAACGACGTGCTGGCATACTACGACGTCCCCTCACTCTCCATTCGCGACATTCTCCTACCCCGCATCCTGGCGGACCCAGACACCCAGCTGCCCCGTTGGTTCAGAACAGGCGGCGATGTGGCGCTCGGAGACGACAAGGTGCGAGAGTGGGGCGGTGTGCCCGTCGATCTCATGCACGTGAGTTTCTTGGCCCTCTGTGGCGTTCAAGCTCTGGCTGGCTGGCTAACCTGGGACCAGATCTCCGCAAAGGGCCACGCTTTGGCTGCTGGTTTAGTTATCAACTATCTTTCCAGCCAACTGTCGCTCGTCGCTCCCACAGGATGGACCCGCCTCGCTCCATGGCGGTTGCGCACCGAGAGGGTGTACGACTTGCCCTCAACGTCCCTGACTGCGAGCTTCAACCCGGAGGACCTGCCCGAGAAGCGTTCGCCCGTGTGCCGGTCCATGAACTCGCCCAAGCTGCACCACCGCATCTCAGACACTGATGGGACGCCAGACACGGCGTCCCCGCATGTCCGCGGCCTCGTCCTAAACCCGGCCTCGAAGGGATGGGAACAGTGGGCATGGGCTGAAAAGCACTACCTCGTCGCCCGTGAACCTGGATCTCTGGCGATTTTCGACTTTGTCACTGCCGAGCCCGAGGCGCCCGCACCGTTGGACGAGGAAATGCTCCCAGACCCCTTGGACGTCTACGAGCCCGACCACCGGACATTCGCGCCCTACGACGAGGACGACGACACCGAGTGGGCGGCCATCGAGGCGGACGAGTCACAGCCGCGCCACCAGAAGACCACGCGCGTCAAGCGCAGCGGTAACGGCTACTTGGCTGGAAACAGGCGCATGGGTGGAAAGCAACGCATGGGTGATCGCGTGCGGGCAGTCCCCGAGGCCACCTCCTCTGACGACACTGAAGCTCCCGCGCCCGCTGACGGTGGTACCGTGGCGGTTGGATACCAGCGTTCGGCAAACTATGGTCTCGGATCGGTGTTTTGCTGGGTCGACGACGACAAGCACCATGGTCGTAGGCTGGACGGCTACTGGACCATCAAGGAGCGCAATATGGGTATTGTTGACGCCGTCACCACGGGTCTGGCGCCCGGACTGCACAGGCTGTACTGCGAACTGCTGCCCGACACGCTCGACCCATTGGGACGGCACGAATTCCGCATGTTCGCCATCATGTGGTCTTGATTCGGGATGGACGTGGAAGAAGGACTTTGGTCAATGTACTTTGAGAGAAACGTTAGGGCATGGCCACAGCTGGGGCCGAAGGAGATTCGCATATAATGTTGTACAGATGCATACATGGCAGCCTTTTACTTCCAGCCCTCTGCGACGCGGACACCCACCAGACGCACAATCTCTCCCACCCTCCTGCTCTTCTCGGCCAAGAGCGGCGCAGGCGCTTCCTCGGTCTTTTCACAAGGTAGACCCGCCAGTTCACCGACCATACTCCTCAATGCCAGCGCGTCCCTCCGCACAGCTCGAGCGCCGTACTCGTCGCCCACTTGGATAGCCGTATCGGCATACCCAGCTGCGACAGCGAGCAGGCTCCCGTCAAGGACGTCTGCGTCGGCCAGGGCGAGCGCGGCAGCAGCCTTGGCACGGATGAGAGCTGCGCGAGCCACATCGACGCCGCGCAACCTGTCCCATACTCGTGCGGCTTCAGCCTCGGCCTTGGCGGGCAGGTCCATCGCTAACAGCGTGTCCGCCAGCGCGAGCGTGCCGGACGTGTACAGCGGCCAGAGACCCAGGGAAGCACTGAGCTGGAGCGCAGACAGGACGTCGGGGAGAACGAGGTGCGCAGGTGCGTGGCTGGCAAGGAGCTTCTCGGCGCGGCGGAGGGCAGATGTCACTTGTCCGTGGGCAAACGTGATGCCTCGCCTGGGTGGAGTGTTGTATGGCTCGTCGGGGTCAAAGGCGTCGCGTAGGGGACCTCCTGGACCGAGACGCGATATAGTGGCTGGTGCGGCGCGCAGGCCGTTGATGACTGCCAGCGCGTCGCTGTCGGCAGCCAAGGTGGCTTCGCGGTCGAGAACGCCCCATGTTGCCAGTGCCCAGCGACGATAGTCTGCCAGGCTCAACTCGTCGACCGTATCGCTGTCGAGGAGCAGAGAGAGGGCGGCGTCGTACCGTCCCTCAATGGCAATACGTTCTGCTCGCGCGAGGAGGACGTCGACGCGCGTCTCATCGTCAAGGTCAGGCGCGGCCAGTGCCATCTCCTCGTGCATGTCGGCGAGCGTCTCAGAGCCAAGCATAGCCCACAGGCCGGCTTGAGCGGCGTGCCACGCAGGCAAGGATAGGTGGCCTGCGGGAACGTGACGCGACCCATCAGGCTTGTCGGGCTTGTCAGGCTTGTCGGTCTTGTCTTGAGGAGGATGTAGTAGGCCGAGGGAGACGTGCACCCGGCGAAACGCGACGGGCACAGGCTCACCCATGTCGACTGCGGCCTTGATGCTCCACAACTCGTCACCGGGCGCTGCGGCTTTGGCGAGACGTCGAGGAGGGAGAGGATGCGGCGAGACCCGAGGAACGGACGACCCAGGCCAAGCGGACGCCTCTAGTTCGGTGGTCAGGCGATACCGCAGCGACACGCAGCTCTGAAGACACTGCTTGTCATTCTCCTGCCTGGCGTGACGCATTGCTTCGTCAAGGGCCTCGAGGGCACTGTCCAGTCCTCCAGTGGTGTAGTGGAACATGGCGAGGTTGAGGAGCGCGTGTTGGTGTACTGTACGCTCCGTCGATGGAAGTTGAAAGTCGTAGAACCGGCGCAGGGAAGCCAGTGCAGTTCCATAGTCGCCAGACGCGGCCGCGGCGCGATACGTTGTGATGCTCGAGACGCGCTCGTCTGGTGTTCCTTCTTCCATTCTCTCTCCCCTGGCAGACAGAGCGAGCGGCCGCTCCGTCGCGGGTAACCTGGCGCCGCACCATTCGGCCACCTGCGCAGCAACCACCGCGGTTTCGTCAAACCCGAGGTTGCAGAGCTTCAGGAGCAGTCTGCGAAAGTATTGCCCAAGAGGCGACCGTCGTTCCAGTGGTTCGAAGCTCTCGAGGGGCTCTTCGCCATCCTCACTGATACGGTTGCGCAGCTCACGATCGACGGCTGTGGTGTCAGCACATGCCCAGCGCAGCCAAGCCCAGCGTTGGCCAGCTTGACTCACTGTCAACAAACGCGCAGCCGCTCGTAATGTCGGAAAAGTTGGCGGGCTAGAGTCAGGTCACGGATTCAGTAAGTAAACTCACAAAATCCTCCATCCAGCTCTCCCCAGCAGCGACTTGGAGGAGCTCGGGGGACACGGGCTGTCCCTTCGCCCGGCGCTTGGTCACTGTGCGCATCGCGACGTTTGCCTCGCGATGGACCAGACGGTCCGTCTCTGCTCTCAACACAGCATACGTTCCACGCTGGGGGTTGACCTAAGTGGTGTGAGCTGGAGAGCAAGTAAGCAGGAGCAGAAACCCACCTCGTGAGCCTCGCGCGCAACGACGTCCAGGATCGCCGCGACAAAGGGCACGCTGTAAACATTGGAGCCCGCATGTTCTGGCAACGGAGTTGCGCGGATGACGAGCCATGCGAGTGCGAGACCGAGTGGCACGTCTGTGTCTGGCGGGTCGCCTGCAAGAGGCGCGTAAATGTGGTATTTGTGCAGGTCGCGCGGCTGTGTCATGGATGATGGGGTGGAGGACGGTGTCAACAATGGGAGACCGCGGATGGTTCGAATCTTTGGGATGGCGCGCGGGCCGATGACGTTTGCCGCACACTCCCGCACGACGGTCGTGTCATCCGTTTTCTCTCCTCCTCTTTGTCTCTTGCTCTCTTCATCACCTCTAGCAGGTATCTGCATGCTCCCAGCCTATCGACTACGCATCCGCTGCGCCCAAAGCATCGTTGGCATGAACCGCCCGTCGCCGCGCGCAGCGACGACCCACGCTGGCGCCGACTTCTCGCCTTCAACCCCGTCGCCTCCACCCCCATCAGCGTCCCCTCCCACTCGCGACAAGGGCAAAGGCAGAGCCGAGCCCTCCCCGGGACGACCGCTCATCCCACAAGGGACCGTCGACTCGCTCTCGTCGCTGCTGGATGATGCCCTCAGCTCGCCACTGGACCTGTCGTCTCCCAAGCCCTTGCCCGAACGTCATGCCCCCGTTCCGCTGCGAACCCACCCGCGCGGGTCTTCATCTCTTTCAGTCATCCCCCGAGTGGTTCACCGCGCAAAAGCTCTTGACAAAGGTCATGCAGGAAATGGACATGCGGCTCGTGCCGCTTCTTTGGACGTTCGAGCCAGCCCGCGCTCGTCGTTTGATCCGGGACGCGTCTCCCCCATTTCACCTGCGCTCACCCCACCGCCAGTGGCGCACCGCGGACATGTCCCTCTGCGCCCATCATTGCGACCGCGACTCGTGAGTAACCTCACCCGCTCGACACTCCCAACCGCCAGCCTCACGTACGCGTATGCAGAGGACCACTACCACCCCGGTGCCGGGTGGACGACCTCTCCACGCATCAACATTCCCGAGCGACCTGCCGACCAGGCCGGCGGCGAGGCCAGCGCGAGCTCGTCTCGTGCAAGAAGTGTTGTCTCGTACGATGACAATTACGCCTGGTCGCTCGTTAATGCGTTCCCCGACCTCGATCCGGAAACGGGTCTCCCTTTGGATCTCGAGAGGCGAAGGAGTGACCCTGGCAGCCGGCTACACGTCCAGCGCACCATCTCAGAGCTGTCACGGTACAGCCATGAGCCTGCTGGACCGAGCCTTGCTCTGCCACTCTTTGGCGCAATCCCTCCCTTGCCACCGCTTCCCAGCATGCCGAACATGTTGCGTGGGTCGCGGTCCAGCATCGACTTGGGTGGGAGGCGCCAGTATTCCACATCCAACAAGCAGAGTGGAGACTGGACAACGTGGGCGTCCAACTTTTGGAGCGGGCACAAGAAGACTGTCGACGGTATGCTTGCCGAGGAGGACCAAGCAGACACGATCGAGGAGGAACAGGCACAGCATGCTATCAAGTACCACACGCCCCAGCACCCCATGGTCTTTTGCCACGGCCTGATGGGCTTTGACTATCTCGGCCCAGACGCAATCCCAGCCCTGCAAATCAACCACTGGCGCGGTATCCGAGAGGTCCTCGAGGCCAACGGCGTCGAGGTTATGATCTGCCGTGTCCCCGCGACGAGCAGTATCAAGGACCGCGCAGCTATTCTCGAAAAGCTCATTGGTGAAAAGTACCCAGGTCGTACCATCAACCTCGTCGCACACTCGATGGGCGGCCTAGACTGTCGATACCTCATTAGCCAACTGGAGCACGAGCAATTCAAGGTCGCCTCTCTCACGACCATCTCGACCCCTCACCGCGGTAGTCCGTTTGCCGACTATGTCATCGACAATGTCATTGGCGCAGACCGCCTCCCACAGCTGCTCGGCGTCATGGAGGCCATGCAGATCCCCAACTCGGGCGACGGCAATGCCTTTTCCAACCTCCGCACCAAGGCCATGGCCCAGTTCAACGCCGAGGTCGTCGACGACCCTGACGTCAAGTACTATTCATGGGGCGCCAACTTTGAGCCGAGCATCTTTGACACCTTCCGCTGGCCACACTCGGTCATTCTCGCCAAGGAGGGACCAAATGACGGCCTCGTCTCGGTCCATTCGGCCAGGTGGGGAGAGTACCGCGGCACGTTGCTGGACGTCAACCATCTTGACCTGTGGGTATCATTTGCTATGTTCGTTTTGAGTCCGCTGACAGGTGCAGCGTTGGTTGGGTCAACGCCGTGCGGTACATGTTGTCGGGTCTGACAGGCAAGCCCATTGCGTTCAAGCCGGCGACATTCTACCTAGAGATTGTGAGTTGCCCCAACCGGTGCCACGACTGACACTACCCAGTCCGATTATCTGGCCGTTCAAGGCTTTTAGATATGTCCATAGCGCTTCTCCACATATGCATAGCACTTAGCAGACAGTCATCCCACAGTTTGTTGATGCGAGACTCTTCGGCACCATACGAGCTTGGCGCGTGCCTGAGAATGAGAGCAGAAAGGGCCCCGCGATCCGGCACCGTCATGCAGTCTTCCTTGCGCGAGTTACTCACCCGTTGTCAACATACACACACACCTTTCAACAACCTTTCAACGACACAGCACCAGAGGTGCTTGTCAAGCCCTCTTGCAACGACATGTCGGGGGATACACCGCCATGCCTCGCTGCCAAGTTTATCACCCCTGCCCTCGCGGACCTGTTCAAGGTGCTCAAAGCTGCGTTGGCTCCGGACACCCAGGAAACATGGATGTTGGGAGCGGACGCCCTCGAGTCTGCGCTCAAGGACACGGCCATGTATCCAGACGAGGTACGTTCTGGCCCACCTCACTGCCGCTCTGTCCCTCGGCACACACCCGCCTGTAAACACTGTGCTAACTCTCGGTCCTCGTAGGCCAAGCTGGAAAGGGAGTTTGAGCGCCTTGCCCAGCGCCCAGCAGACGGTCCCGACATACCACTCGTAACCCGCAAGGAGCGCGAGTGGCGCGCTCGTGTACTGTGGCTGGTGTCGCAGCGCAGTAGGCATGACCGTCACAAAGCAATCGATCTCGTTCGCACACGCCAGCGGACTGGAGGGCTCGCATTGCCCAAGGGAGGCGCGAAGCTGGTTGAACCACCACAGCCCGAGAAAGAACGGTAAGCTGACTGACATATCTCTGGTTTCAGCTGACGAACAGAAACGGTGACCATCAAGACGAGGACACCCACTCGTCTGCCACGAAGCCGCCATCTTCCAGTCGCAAGAAGGGGGCAGAAGCCAACAGGCGGGCCAAGCTCAAATCGCTCCGGAAGGAAGCTCGCAGGCTCAGCCGTGAGAATACCACGGTGGCAAGCGCTGCTGAGATCCAGGCCAGGCCATTGCTCTACGCCATTTCGGCGGCCGAGGCAGTTTCGGCGTCTGATACCCGTGCTCGTCGGGTACCCCAGCGTTTCGGCCAGGAAGACTACTCCCCCGTGAAGAGCACCAAGGTTGAGACGACAGCTCGCACGACCGGTCAGACTCAAGACGTTGTTTCTAAGAAGCGCAAGGAGCGAGTAAGTGCAAACGACGACGACCAAGATCCCGCCCCCAAGAAGAAAAAGGGCAAGCGCAAGGCCGTCGAGAATGATAATGTCAACGAAGTCACGTCTGATCCTGAGGAAGGCGTTCCACCGACGAAGCGTCTACGCAACCGGCAGCCGCCAAAGGCGTTGGTCGTCCCAGACCTGGACTATACTCCAAGCCCTTCCATCACACCAGGAAGTACCCCCAGCTCTCTCCCCCTTGAGATCGTCAAAACAAAGCGGCCACGGGCTCAGAAAAAGAAAGTTGGTGTGCCAATTAGCTTTGATCTGCTCCGCGAGTTTGATCTCGACCCAGTCGCCGCATTGAAGAATGCGCCAGAGCGGTTCAAGAGGATGACCAAGCCACGAACCTCGGTCAAGGAGGTCAAGGAGGCCAAGCACGAGACTGCTGGTGATGGAGGTCCTGGGGGAGGCGTTGTCGCGCCCATTGGAGGCCGCAGCCAAAAGATGAAGGCGGCCTCGACCGTCCCAGTCATCCCAGACTTGGAGTTTGCAAGGCTCAAACGTGGCGTCCCTCTCGCCAAGGGGAGCGGGATTCGAGCCAGCACATTTGCTGTCTTTGTCCGCATCATGGCCGGCCTGAATCGCCCAGTCGCCAAGGCCAAGACTGAGAAGGTGGAGGCGCCACCCACACATCCGCCAGTGTGGGCCGAGGTGAGTCTGCAGTGATGGCGAACCGTGGTTGACGGCAGTCACGACAAGAGCTCTGCGAGGCGCTGCCTTACTACAGGGCGTACCAGTCGGGAATGTACATGCTCAAACGTGTGGCGTACGGTTACCTCCTTGACGGGTTCCCAGCACTGTAAGCTTGTTTTCGATGTGTCGTCAAAGCTAACAGCAGGCGCGACGTTTGGGCGGCTGAAGGACGTATAATCATCTCCCATGGGTGAGCTTAGGTCCTCTTACCCGTCTCAGCTGACGCCCAGTGGCGGCCAGGCAGTGCGCACTTTCGACCTCAAGGGCAACCCCGTCACCTCGCTCAGCGCCGACCACACCCGCAACGACGCACGCATCGACACACTACTCACCGCGTGTGAAAGGCGGATACCGCTTGTGCTTCTCGCTGGAGAAGGCTATGCCCTCCTCCCCTGGAAGCTGGGGTGCGCATACGCCGTGCTGGGATGGTACTGGGTCTCGGCAGCTTGGTACGAGGCCGAGCCTGTTGCGCTTGGTGTCGCGCCTCCCGAGAGCGGTAAACCCTGGTTCCAGCGTTTGAAGGTCCGTTTCGACTGGGTCGAGAGCCAGGGCCAGCCGTGGTGGTTGCGCGATGGGGAGGGGAGCTGGGTCAAGCCAGACGGGACGACTCCGGTGGTCACGGCTGAGCCACAACAAGTGGCGCCAGCGCTAGAGACTCCAGTGGTGCCCACGCACAGTCTGCCGACTCCCAGCCTGCCAGAACCAACTCCGATGGTGCGGGCAACCACAGTTGGCGATTTGAGGTCTGAACAGCATCCGACTGTCCACATGGAGGGCCCACGACAGCATTTCCGATGGGACTCAGCTCCCCCAACCCTACCCGATGCGACCTCCCAGTGTCAAACGCGAGACCAGCTGCCGAGTTCCTCCTCGCAGCTGTTGGAAAGTGCCACGAAACCGCCAACCGTTAGCGCCCAGTATCCAGCTCGGTCAGACACGTCGGATAGCGACGATGACAGCGCTATCATCAAACTCCAACAACGGCTGTGGGGCGGTAAGAGCGAAGAGGTCAGCAAGAGCAAAACGTTGAAGAAGAGCAAATCTGTCGACAAGCTGCATTTCTCCCCTTCAGCAGCAGACGATGCCGACGACGACGGAGACGTGTACATATCACCGCCACCATTGACGCGCTTGAGACAGTCGCAGGCCTTGGACGTCATGAATGGGCCGAGATCCAATGACGCAGCGTGAGTTTTCAACGTCGCAGTGTGGACATGGAAATGACATTTTCTTCCCAAGACTCTCCAAGGGCCGGATCTGTACCTTGTGCTCCCAGCCAAGCCCACACGTCTACGACGAAGGCTGGCTCTGCCTCGTGCCGACGTGCAAGGCCTTCTGGGCGTTTCCACTCGACCTTGATCGGTTCACCGCGCCTTCAGAGGAATCCCGCCCTGGTCACCTTGGCCCCGGTCTCGGTTCGCCAGGGACGCCACCCACGAGCATGAGAAAGACAACAGCAGCAGCAGCTCAAACATGGCTGCCGATCCCGCCAAACTTCAGCCTCAGTTATTCTCCCGGCTTCCTCGTGGCGGCACACACGCCCAGCGACGTGGGCGCAGTGCCGTACGACGTGGTACCCCCGCCACCCCAGGCTGCCGCTGCCGAGACCGGCGACAGTGGCGACATGGAAGGGGAAGATCTGGGTTCCAGGACGTTATGGCGAGGTCAGCTCCAAAACGTGCAGGAACGAGCTGACGCGACGCAGGCTGGGTATGTACTGTGTGCGGACGGGCAAACTGCCGGTACAGGTGGGAAGTGTGCGAGTGCCGCGCATGCGGTCGCCAGACTGGTGCGCTCCCGGCAGAAGACGTCGTCCCGGCGACAGAGATTAGGCGGGACGAACATGATGTGCTGGGAGAGACGGACGAGGGGAGCTTGGATCTTCCCATGGCCGTCAGCAGACTGGCGCGGCTGGGCGCGACCGTGGTGGAGTATGAGCTTCCATTGGGGTGAGTCTGAGACGGGACACGCGCTTGTTCTTGCAGCGCCGCGTCGACCGCGTCGACGTTGGGCGTACGTGGTCATGGACACGACAGCTTACACGAATACACAGTGGCACGGCCCGCGGCCGAATCTTCCACATCCTCCACGACTCGAGCCACGACGCCGATCCGATTTGGGAGGGATACCAGTCCGCAGCTATCGCCACGACAGAACCCTTGTTCCAGCGCCGCGCGCTCAAGTCGGTGAGTACCCCCGGTTCAGCGGCGGCGACCTTGTTTCCGTAGCTTTCGGACCGAGAGCCAAGCTGTGGCCTCCAGAGTACAAGAGTCGGGGGTTGGACGGAGGTCGTGATAGGGTGTGGGTGGGTGTGCGGGTGCCTCCTCACACTGTGAGCCTGATCGCGATCGCGATCGCCCGCCAAAACCTTGTCCTTCAATGGTGCTTTGGGTCTGCTAGTCGGATCCAACTGGACTATGGCTCGGTATAGGCTAGATTGAATCGGAACCACCTGAAAGCTTGAAGGCATCCGAATCCTGAACCCAGAGTCTATGGTGGATGGACAGGATGACATGCACAAAGCTTTCGGCGTGACAGGTGCCAAAGTAACAACGGGAGGGATGGCTTTTGCAAGCAAAGCCAATGGCCGCCGCTTCGTCGACGACGCGTTCCCACCACCCCGGATCCTTTACACCCTGCGCGCTGTGGCATGCACCGCTGAACAGGCCTATACAGGTCGTATTGCAAGCTAACCTCGCACACAGAACACGGTCAAGGGTCCGCTCCTGTCGCAGCAATTCGCGATCAATTCCGGCGCCAGCTACAAGTACATTGTCGAAACGCTGAGCTATTCATTTGCCGAGTCGCCGGCGTGCGTCATGGCTGCGCTGGAACTGTGAGTCACCCCCCGCCCAGCCAGCCTCCTTTGCGGCGTGCGGCGGTCGTCGTCGTCGTCGTCGTTCGGGAATGTGTCACCTCCATCACGTCTGTGCGTGTTGAAGGAGATCTGAAAGTGTGCCTTGCCTCCCGAGTTCAGAATGTCGTCGTTTGGACTGTGAGACTCTGGAGGTGAGACTCTGAGACTGCTTTCACCACAACTCTCGCGGGGCCTTGGAGACACCGGGATCCTTGGAGCGAGGTGTTCTATCCGTGGCGCCAGCCTTGGCAGGCGGCGGTCCCGGAGCGGACACCGCCCAGACGCCTCATGTTCCCCACCCATGTTCTATAATGCCACCTGCTGACACTTTTGACTTTTTTGCTTTTTAGTATCCGCGACCGAGTCGCCGCCGTGCTTGGGGAACGGGTCGAGTTCAACGAGATCCTCAGCGTCATGTACCGCGAGGGGCAGAAGATGAGCTGGCACGACGACGGTGAAGCAGGTACGTTGTCTCCTCCAACCAACCCTCTCTCCACTAGCGTGGTTTGGTGGTGGCATTTAGTTTACAATAAGGACCATTTGCGTCGGAGCGACACCCACAGCTGACGCGCGGTCATTTTTCATTTCACTTTTTTACTATTTGTCGCGTCCGGCTGATCCCTCGATCCCTACCTGCAACACGTTTATTGCTGTTTCCGGAATATCTCGGCTCAACCATCCTCCTCCTCAAGGCCTGGGACCTGTGGTGGCTGCGCTGTCGCTGGGCGCGTCGGCGACGATGAGCTTCCGACCCAAGCAGCCTCGCCACGCGCGTGACCGATTCAACCTCGGCAGCGGGACTTCGCCAGCAGCACGTCCACCGCCTGCTCCGTCGGCAGTACTCAACCTCACCCTCAACCACGGTGTAAGTGCAGCTCTCGCACGGCGTGTGACGTCGTTTTTCTTTCTGCGAAAAGGGGGTGTGTGTGCCTCGGGTTATGGCCTTTTCTGGGTGGCGTGTGAGGTATGAAGCAGGTGATGGGGGGGCCGAGGGGTGCGCAAGCGCGCGTGACCTTCTATCTCTCCGTTTTTGTGGGCCACAAGACCAAACGAAAACGAAACGAGGGGAGTACGTCATACCGCTCTTTCCAGCCTTGGTCGCCTGGTTTTGTGCTCGCTCCATCATGGCGGTATGGTGTGGCTGTGGGCGTAAGTGACACAGCACCTGGGCGGACGTGCATGATGTGCACGGAGGCTGGGGGACTTGCGCGCGCGCGCGCACGATCTGCGGGGTTTGGAACGACGCCAGAGGCCAGAGGAACAGAGAGCCACATGCGTTTCACCACCACAGAACAATGGATGGAAGCATGGACATACAGTATGGACAGACGTGCTGACACATGTGTCCCAGGACGTGGTGATCATGGCCGGCCGACGAATCCAGCATCTATACGACCACCGCGTTATCCCGCTCGGTCTGAGGGTGGCTGCGACTGCACGCGTTATACGAACATGACAAGACGAGGATTGTGTTGCAGGAAGGTGGGGGTCCAATCTCGGCAACTGGACCTGGTGCGCGTGGGCCGCGGCATGTGGGTGAGGGACGATTGGGGCCACAGGAGCGGGACGAAGGGACACAAGCTGCCAACAGGGAGTGTACCACAGACACAGAGGCAGAAACATTACTCTGTGCATGTGTGTCAAGACAAGAGGCCGTGTTACAGCAGGTCCACATGTGTGTGGTCTACAGGGGTGTGTGTGTGGAGGCGGAGAGATGAAGAGGACCTTTGATGACAGCATTTGTGCCTGGTGTGAGAAACGCGCTCCCGGCACGGCGCCGGTGGGTGCTGCTGCTGCTGGCGTGTACCCAGGTGCCGGGTCGGAAGAGGGCTGACGGCATGTGGGCGAGAGGGCTGGCAGCTGCTGGCCGCCTGCTGGATGCAAAACGGTCGACGAGAGACGGGCCGTGAAGGGGGGTGGAGAGAGGGGAGGAGAGGAAAGAAGGTTTTTCTGAGGGCAAAGAGGAGTGGGTGGAGAGCGGAAAAAAGAGGGAAAAGAGAGAGCAAGCACCCGGGCACAAGGAGCAGCAGCAGCAGCAAGCTACATAGTAAGGAGCAGCAGCAGCAAAGAGATGTCTCAGGGGGTGGCGGGAACAGGAACAGCCGTCGAGGGGCCAGCAAAGCACTGCGCGCAGACTTCAGGCCGCAGCTCCTGCCAGCGACGACGACGACGACGACGACGACAGCGGCGCGCCAGAGACAGGAGCAGAGAGACGGGGGGAATGGGTGTCTCACCGCGCACGCGCTCCGACACGGTGTGAGAGAGGGACGAAGGGAGGGAGAGGTCTCCCTCTCGTGTCCCTTCCCTGTGCAGCAGGCAGCTCTGCAGCAGGTGCGCACATTCTACCAACCCCCCTCTCCGTCCGTCCGTCTCCATCCTCGTCCTCGCCTTTGCTTCTGCTTCATGCATCCACCCACCCCATCGCATCTCTCCTCCATCCCACACCCACACGCATCCTCCACAGCAAACCCCCCTCCCACCCACATCCACAACCCCCCGTCACCCACCACACCCTCTCCCCCCCCATCCGACGCGACAGGTCAACCCAACCCAGAGTTTACTGCACACGCGCTGCGCCACCCGAGAGCCCGTGTGCCCCCCCCCTTTCGCAACTCATCCCCCTCGTCCCCGCACCCAAGACATCCCTCCCCCCCGCACACCCCCTACCGCCTCCCTTTCAGTGCTAATCGACTACCGCAACCACTGTCGTTCAGCGCTCAAACACCGTATCTCGTGGCATAACCATCGGGAACGCAGCGTTGTTGCAAGCACACACCTAGGCTGGAACACTGAACGCGTCGTCGCCGCGCGTCACCCGTTTCCGTCCGACCGAAAGGCTTCTCTTTCTCCTGAGCGGCAGATTCCCCTCCCCCCCACCCACCCACCCCCTCTCACCCTCCCCCCCCCGGGCGTCTCGAAGATCTCGTTGGCGCATCGAACAGATAGCGACAAAGGTAGTGACCACCACAACAGCGACTCATCGCTCGTCCCCGCCCCCGGCCCCCATTGCCAGTCTCTGTGACTGTCCACAGTCATCGCCCATCCATCCTCAGGCGTATCATCCTACGCGCACACCGCAACAATTGCCGCCCACCGCCCGCCTCCCATCGCGCGCTTGTGCCCCATTATCGCCCCTCGTGCACACACTGTTCTTGTCTGCTCACCGGACAACGACGACAACGACGAGCCGGGGTCCTTGTCTGCACGCGCGCGCTCCGTCGTCGTGACACCCACAGACCACACGCCCGATCCGCGCAACACGCTCCTCCTCATATCCACTCACTCCAACACTCTACTCCTTTATCCCGCTTCCCCCAACCCAGCCACCACCCCCACCACAGCCGCGCGCCCATCCAGCCCCGCGCGCGCGTGAACACATCCATCTCCCCACCATGGATATCGACTCACCCCGCCCACCTCGCTCCCCGTCCCCGGTCGCCGCGTCGGCCTCGCAGCTGGCGCGTGCGACCACTCCCCGTTCAGAACGCGACAGCGCAGACACGCTCCGAGCAGACGCTGAGCGTACCCCTGGCCCCGGCCGTGCCGTCCTGGACACTGCAGGCACCAGTCCACAACCGTCCCACCCCGGGGAGCAGCAGCAGCAGCAGCACGCCTCTTCTCAGGAGTCACCGTCACTGCCTTCGACACAGTTCTCTTCGACCCAGCAGTCGTCGTCCAGTGCGTCCACCTGGACATCCAACACATCCACCTCTCCCACGAACGGCATCCACGACTCTGACGCCGACGACACAGAGCACAACGACGGCACGTCTTGCTCCTCGTCAGGCGCCAGCATCGGACCTGCGTCGCACACCAGTAACGGCGCCCCCGCAGAGGTTCAGGTCGCAGGCGCAGACGGCTGCCCCGACGACATGGACAGGTTCCTCCGTCGCGTAGAGATGGAAAAGGTGAGTTGGATTCATGCGGACAAGCAAACGCTCCACGTCGTCGCCACGCGTCACGCCGTGTCGGCGACACGACGACACTACTGGCGGCAACGTGCGAGTGCGACCGGACCTCCGTCACCGTCTGTAACGACGCGCGGACGGATGCACACACGCGCACTGCGCGGCCCAGACGGGTGGCGGCACGGCTTTCACTTGAGGTCTCTGCCAGGACCGCTCCGGCGGGGCGTGTGGCGTGTGGCGTCCGCCGACGATCTCCGGGAAGCGAGCTTGCGCTAGCTGTTCGCAGCGGCCCGCATGTTGTGAAGAGCGTTTTGAACGGCACTGACTCGCGCGCGCAGAAAATTGCCCAGCTCCAGCAGCGTCTCGAGCTTGCTTCTATCAAGACCAACCACGGCTGGACTGACATGAGCATCAACGAGATTGAGACGGTGAGTAGTGACATTCCACCTGTCCAAGTCTGACGCCCAGCGCCTCCCTTCCCAGCCTCCTAGTCGCCGTCCACAGGTCCTCGTTCCCAACGGTAATGGCCCAGCCTACGAGCCACCATCACCTGCCAGGCCATGGCAGCTTGCCGACGTCCTCTGGCACCCCTTGCCCCAGCCGGGGTCGCGCGGCGCGTATCCTTCGCGCCCACGGGGCCCTCATCCATCCCACCACGGCCCCTCGCATTCGCTCCCTGCATTGCCCTCGCTCGCGTCGTTGCATGGTCCTGGAATGCGCGGACCCTCATCACCCCGCCGTCAGCGTATGGACGATATCCTGGCCCGCCCAACCCTGTCCCCCCTGCGCAGCGGACATTCACACGTCTCTGGCCACCACCACAGCAACTCGCAGCATGCGCCAGGCAGCCGGCTGTCAAACGGCGGTGGTCACCGTCGCGCGTCGAGTTCCATTTCGTCGCTCCAGTTCCTCAGCAATGACCCTTATCCCGTCTCGGCCTCGCCCCTCCGTCCCACCGCATCATCCTCTTCGGCCTCGGCGTCAAAGAAGCCGCCCAAGAAGAGGTCGCAGTCCCACTCCAACCTCCGCGACCGGCCTACGACGCAGGACGTCGACGCTGCACGCGCACTCGCGTTCATGTTTGGATCGGGCAGGTCTCCCACCACTCCCACCCAGGACCGAATGGGTCCTCCGGACGCCCCTGGTCTCGCCGCGCCCCCGACCTTCTCGGGTGGCCCTCCTGGGCCCGGCCCAATTTTGCCTCCTCCACACTCTGGTGCTTCCCTCCCATCGCCGTTCTCGCCTGAACAGATGCCGATGCCGCCCCCAAGACAGCGCGCGCAGAGCTTTGTCGTCCCGGACCGTGACGCCAACGGCGTCTTCACGCGCCCACATCTGCCACCACCGCCGCCGCTTCGCAGGCCCAACCACACGCGCAACCGCGGACAGAGCATGGACTCTAGCGCGGCGTTCCGGACGTCGTTCTGGCGCCACTCGCCCGAAAAGGACCGCGAGCGTGAGCGCGAGCGCGACAGGGAGCAGCGCGAGCATGACGACATGCGTGAACGCGACTTTGAGCGCGACCGTTCTCGTCGTACTGGCGGCAGCGGCGGTCCAGAAGAAGACCTGGGCAACCGCGGCGAGGACGACAAGACGGCCGTCGAGCTCATGATGTTCCTCGCCCACAGCCCCAGCCCCGTCCGCAAGCGCACCAACTCGGAAGTCCGTCCCACCTTTGGCTCGACGGCTCGCGTGTTGTTCGCCGATGACGAGCCTCGGTCTGGACCTGGATCCATGGGCCCACCGCTCAGCGTGCGTCGCGACACCCACCCGCTCGGTGCGCGGAACTAGACGTCAGATGCATGGCGCTAGTACGCGAGTGTGCGTGACGTGGGACGTGGCCGGGACAAGGGGTTCGGTTGGAATGGGGTTTCACAGTGGAGCAGGCTATCGCTGGAGATTCCAACCCATCCTGCTTGTTCCATCTACTCCGCGCAGACGACTACCCATATCCATGGCTGGCGTGTTGACAGTGTACTCTGCAATCCCAAGCACTCCCTTCCCATCCCCCCCCCCCCCCCCCTGCCTCGATGAAGGAGACGACGTGGACGAGGCCCCAGAGGCCACCACGAACCCCCAGCGGGCACCCGTCCCCGCAATTAAGATGATGTTGTGCAGACACTTGCGCCAAGTGTCTCTCTGTCCCCCTGCCTTTTTTGTACGATAAAACCCCGCCTTGCCGGGTGTTGAGTTGCCTGCATGTATTATCAGTGCCCTAGGAGAATGCACATTGCGTCACTTACGCAAGGGGCTCCATCCCGACCAATGGTCGAGAAGCTCCAGACCTTTTGGCACCTGGAGGGGCGCGAGGAGCCGAGCAAGGCCATTAATAACTGCCAACCGACGACGTGTACGACGTGGATGTGGCCGTCGTATTTGTGCTCGATAGGTATTTGCCTGGGCCCCCTCAATATGATCGACAGCGGCATTTACGAGACGTCTAAACTGGAGACCTGTACGACACGATGATGACCTCATGGTAAAACCCACGTTCTGTTGATTTGTTCGTCATCCACAGGCCACAGGGCCCTCTTGGGACTTCGACTTTGTTCTCCTTCCTCTACCTTCCACAACATGCATCAACATGCGCCAGCTGGTAGCTTGTGTGGGGCCCAGGCCCAGGTCACAGTGGCATTTGGTGGTCGTTTTCCAGTCGTGCTGGAAACCACAGAGACCGGACACCGGACCGCCATTCCTGGAACCCCACGCGTCATACTGCACAAAGCAACGGAGGACTCCAGTTTTGCGGGAAACCCCCCGTCCTGGGGGGTTGTCGTACGTCATGGTGTGGTTGCTGCTACCTCCCCTCTCTGTGAGCTGTGTTCACGTTCCCCGGCTCGCTTGGGTTCGCTTGGGTTGTGATCCTAGGAATGGACCCGCTCACCGCTCCACCCAGGCAGTCGATCAGTCATAGAGTCACGTTCCTCGTCCTCGCGCTTCGAGCTTCCAGCGTCCTCCGTCGGCCCCTCACACACCGTTTTGCATCCAGCAGAATCTCCTCTCCCCCCACCCCCAAAACGCAGGCACCACACTGCGACCTGCGAGTTGGTGGTCGCACGTGTGGTGAACACAGATGAGGGTGTGTGGTGGTGTCTGCGTTCCACAGGTTTGGCGGGGTTAGTACCGCGTGCTCTCGCTCCGCTCGCTTGTCAAGCAGGCGCGCGCATGAGGCCGTCTCTCCCCCGCGCGGTGTGACGTTGCTCCCTCGGCACCAGTGCCACCCTAAACGGTCTCTCGGAACAAAAGTCGTTTTACAAGTGTGTTCCTTTACTCCACTCCCGAGGTCGTTTTGCGCTACTGTACAACCATCTCTGCCCCCCACCGTGTGAACGACACTGTCTCCCGTACGGCTGTTCGTTATCACCAACTACCGTGTAGACTCTAGTATCTGTTCCCCCCGGTCACGACCGACGAACCGATAACGCCAGTAGCCCAAGTGAGGTTTGCAGGAATCCATCCACCTACGAGTCGGTCATCGAACCTGTCGGGACCGAGACACCACACCACCACACCCTTGCACTCGCGAGCACTCTTAATCCCCCTCCCGCCTCTACGACACAGTGGGCCCGTCACCTCCTGCATCTGCTCTGCTGCCTCCCCGGCCGTCGCGGCCGACGCGCACCCACCACCGCGCTGCCAGTGTCGGTACGGCGCCAGGGCCTGTAGGCGACGGCGGAATGCCGCATCAACATGGATGGACTGGCGGCGAGTCACCCACCCCCCCAACCCCGCGGGGCACCGTCCGCACCAACAAGGACAATGTGCCCACAGCGTACCTCGAGGTGAGTGCCTGCAGCGCACACAGCGGGAGGCATCAGATGGAGAGCATGGGGCCATGCTTGAAGTCGGGCTCTTGGGGGGGTGGGTGACACTTTGTGGAACGGGGCATGGAGTGGACGAGTGGACGGGTTAAGCGGTGGCGCAGAGACACAATCTCACGGGTGACTACCCGTCCTTTTAACACACCTCTGCCTCGCCCTTTGTCGCGTCGTATCTTTACGCTCGGGGGACGAGGTCTTGTCGGAACCATGCTAACCACCTCTCACTTTCTCTTTCCAGTCATACCCCTTCCCGGCATTTGTCCTGCGTGTCCGCGCCCCACCCCCACCCCTCTCCCAAGGAATGGCAGAGAGTATCGGACCAGCAGCAGACCACAGCATCCCTCGCTCGCCGGCGGCTCCTCACCTGTCGCTGCCACGATATGGATCACACCCATTTCACCTGTCCAGCCTCGCTGGCGGCGGAGAGTCTAGCAGCAGGCATCGGCGGAAACACTCTCAGCCCGATCTCGCCTCGCGACACGAGTCGCCTGCGCCAGAAGGCGTGCTGCAGTCCGCCAGTGTGCCACGCCGCCCGTCGCTGCACCATTTCGAGTCTGACACGACTGTTCGCGGTGCTGCGAATCTGTCGAGCGCAGCGTCTCCTTTGAGCCGCGGACACGAGTCACCGACTGGGTTCGCCGGCGGCACGTCCAGGCTCGGCCTGACGGACGACGGCGCAGCCCAGACTGGCCTGCCGGTACATAGCCCACGTCCGGGCTTGTTCTCCATGACGCAGTCGGGCAGAACACCACAGCAGGCGCCCTCGCCGCCCGAGGTATCCCCTTGGGGTACACCCGACTCTTGGTCTTCTACTTCCTCTAGCTCGGGATCTGCACGTCGGACGTCTACCGACCCGACAACCACCCAGGACACGTCTGTCGATGACCTGCTGTTGCGAGCTACCAGCCAGAGCATGTCCGAGTCCAGCAGGCCGCTGCATACCCTCCAACTCGGCAGCGTCGCTCCAGTGAGCGCGCCCTTGTCGGCCGGCGCGAGAGTGGAGTGGGCCAACGAACACGCGCATCGCATACTGCGTGGTCGACCGCTGAGCGAGCTTGTGGACGGCCATTTGCTGGCGGCATTCCAGGAGTGGGCTGAGTGCGACGTGGACAGCCGCGAAACTACCGTGTTCACCCTCGAGGTGCTGGACCCACCCACCGCGCTTGAGCTGGTCAAGGCGCGACAGCGGCGGGATCCAGCGCTGGAGACTGTGCTGGTAGTGCTCACGGCGATACGGGTGGTCGACCGCCTACGTGGTGACGAGCCAAAGGACGCTTCCACTCCAGCAGCCGGTGGCCAGCGTCCCGTACGGCCCGCCCACCCGACTGTGGGCCCAGCGTTGGTTCCGCCACTGCCGGTATCGCCAGACACATACTCTGTCATCCTCCCGTTCCGACGCAAAACGCGACAGGGCATGGCGTACTCGACTGACCGGATTGCTGGCCCAAAGCAGGATGTGGCAAAACAGTGCCACCTGTTGCTAGAGGAACTCGACTGGACCCAAACAAGCCTTGGCCCAAAGGAAACTTGGCCACCCGAGATTCTCAGTGCAATTTCCATTGCCTTTTCGAGCTTTACGCAGGACGTGGTGTTTGTCGGCGAGGACCTGCGCATGGTCTACAATCAAGGCTACTCTGTCATCATCGACCACCCAGCGTCGTTTGGCCGGCCTGTCAGCCAGGTGTGGGCGCCGCTGTGGCCTGACGTGGGGCCACTCCTGAGGCGCGTCTGGGAAGGGGAGCCGGTCCACCACGAAAACGACGCACTGTTCCACGAGCGCAATGACCGTGGTCGCTTTGTGGAACGGTACCACTCGTACTCGCTCATCCCGATCGTTACGGCCAAAAAAGAGGTGGTGGGCATCTATAGCCCGTCGCTGGACACGACGGACCGCGTGCTCGCCGAACGCCGGCTGGGGACCTCGCAGCAACTCGCGTCGCAAGTGTCCCTCGCGCGGTCTGTCCGCGAGTACTTTGACGCCGTCGCAGAGGTCCTCGAGGACAACCCGGCCGACGCCCCGTTTGTCATCTGCTACTCTGTGCGCGAACAGTCTCCGTCGAGCGAGTCGTCAACCACCGTCGAGCTCTGTCTCGAGTCGACCGTGGGCATCCCACAGGACCATCCCTGCGCCCCCAAGTCGCTCCGGAACGTTATTCCACGGACCATCTCAGCACTGGGAACACCCAGCCAACACTCACAGATGGCCCATGAGCGCAGCTCCATCACCAGTCCCAAGATATCTGCTGCGCCTTCGTCGGCATCAGTCTCGTCCTTGGGCACGACCGGGTCACGGCGCAAGGCGCCACGGCCAATGTTGATGCAGACGGGAGAGGACCAGCACATGTGGCCCATTGCGCGTGCGCTGGCCTCACGGCAGTGCGTAGTGTTTGACAACTGTTCCGAGCTGGTCAAGGGCCTCCCTATCCGCCAGTGGGACGAGCTACCGGACATGGCCATTGTCATACCCCTGTGCCGCGAAGAGTCGTGGCAGACCCCCCCAGGAGTGATGATTCTCGGTCTCAACCTGTTCCGCCCGCTCGATTCCGACTATGAAGATTGGCTCCAGGCCATTCGGAGCCAGCTAGTGTCGGCGCTCGGTTCAGTTACCGCGTACGAGGAAGAGGTGCAGCGCCAGATGGAGAAGGATAAGCTTCAGCGAGCCAAGACGGCGTGGTTCCGTGGCAGTGCGCATGAGCTGCGCTCGCCGCTCACGCTGATCGATGCGCCACTGGAAGACCTGCGAGAGACAGACTTGACACCGTCGCAGCGCCAGAGTCTGGCCATGGCACAGAAGAATGTCCACCGCCTCTCGCAGCTCGTCAACGCGTTGCACGACTTTACACGTATCGAGTCGGGCCATGTCCAGACGCGGTTCACGCCGACAGATCTAAAGCCGTTCGTCTCCGAGCTCGCGGGCATGTTCAGACCCGCCATTGAGCGGCTCGACATTGGCTTCACCCTCGACATACAGGAACGTGACGAGCCCGTGTGTCTCGATCCGGTGCTGTTTGAAATCGTCGTCTCAAACCTCCTCATGAACGCGCTCAAGTATACCGAGTCGGGCACGGTCGCTCTCCGCGTCGCGTACGACAGTTCACATGCCGACATCTCCGTCATTGACTCGGGCTCTGGCATCCCTGCCTCGGAAATTGACACGGTTACCGACTGGTCTCACCGCACCGACACGGGCGTCAACCGCCCGACCGACAGCACGGGGATTGGCCTCGCGCTTGTACGGGAAATCGTCCGCTTGCACAGGGGCCAGCTGGTTATCGAGAGCGCGACGGCCGACGAGAACGCTACGGGCACGCACGGGTCAACGTTCACCGCACGTATCCCGACCGACCTGCCACCTGCCGTCGAGACGGTGGCGCAAGCATCGTTTGGCGCGTACGGCCGGCAGATGGCGCGCGAGGTCCGCTCCTGGGTGCGCGACGACAAGAGTGATCCCGGTGCGACCCAGTCGATTGGGTTTGCCGAGGGACTCATGTTTGAGCGCTCCGACGTGCTCCTCGTCATCGACGACAGCAAGGATATCCGCACGTACATCAAATACATGTTTGCACCGTTTGTCACCGTCATCGAGGCGGCAAACGGGGCCGAGGGTCTGCAGCTCGCCATCGACAGGACACCAGACCTCGTGCTGTGTGACCTCCTCTTGGGCCAAATGTCCGGCCTGGATGTCCTGGCCGCCCTCCGTGCCGACCATACAATGCGCGTCGTACCGTTTGTGCTCCTCTCGGCAGCCACAGACGACGAGACCCGCGTCGACGCCTTTTTCGCCGGCGCGGACGACTTCCTCCTCAAGCCGTTCAAGCCCAAGGAGCTTCTCATGCGCGTTCACCTACACATGCAAATGGGCAAGAAGCGCGCCAAGCTTGAGAAACTCTTCGCCGAGCGCGAGCAGGAAATTGCTGTCCTGTCCGACTATTGTCCGTCGGGGATCGTGCGTACCGACGCACGAGGCTACGTCACCTACACGAACGAAGCGTTTCGCGAACCCGCAGGTATGGGGCCTGATCAAAATCCAAACCTCTGGGTGGACTACTGCGGTGCCGAGACGTGGACACGTCTTGAGCCTGTATGGCAAGAGATCCTGTACGGCGACAAGACGCTCACGGAGTTGCAATGGAAGTGGCTCACGGGCCGCACCATGAGTGGCGTGTTCATCCGTCTCGACAAAGTACGTCCGGGCATGTCAGGCATTATTGGCTGCGTGACGGACATTTCGTACCAAGAAGAAAAACTCCTCGCGGCCGAACGACGCCGGGTCGAGGCAGAGGAGAGCAAGCACCAGCAAGAAATGCTCGTCGACCTCATCAGCCACGAGATACGTACCCCCGTATCGGCCATCTTGCAGTGTTCGTCGCTTGTCAAGGAAAACCTCGTCGCGCTAAAGGAACAACTGCGGTTCACGGGCGAAAAGGGCTTCAAGCCGTCGGCAGCGTTGCTGGCCGACTTGGAAGAAGACGTGGGCGCACTAGACAGTATCTACCAGTGCGGCCTGGTCCAGGAGCGTATTGCAGGGGACGTGCTGTCGCTGGCCCGTATCCAACTCGACATGCTGTCGCTGCACGATGTGGAGATGGACCTGCGCCGAGAAGCGCGCAAGGTCCTTTCGGTGTTCGCCTCCGAGGCCCGCATGAAGAAGATTGGGATCCACGTCAAGTTTGGCGAGACCCTCCAGCTCCTCGGCGTGTCGAGCATCAAGACGGACCCAGTGCGCCTGGGACAGGTGGTGACCAACTTGATCTCCAATGCGATCCGGTTCACGGCGTCGAGCGAAACGCGCCGCATCTCGGTCATGTACGACGTCGCTTGGGACCCGCCCATACCTGGCACTTACACTGTTCCGCCGGCGCCAAGTTCCCCACCGCCCACCTCGCCCATGGAGGCAGACACCCCGATATACCTCTACGTGTCAGTGCAGGACACGGGGCCCGGCATGCCGGCTTCTGAGACAGAGGTTCTCTTCCAGCGCTTCAGCCGTGAGTTGAGACGCGTGTGTCGATCACTAACGTTTTCACAGAAGGTAACAAGATGATCCACACACAGTACGGCGGTACTGGTTTGGGTCTGTACATTTGCAAGAGTGAGTGCTAGCTTCGCCACAGTCATTGTTACAAGCTAACCACGGCGCAGAGATCACCGAGCTGCTCGGCGGCGGCATACAGGTCCAAAGTGAGGTCGGCAAGGGCACCACGTTCCATTTCTTCATCCGTGCCACGGCCAACACGGCCCCTACGACCGAACTGCGATCCGTCACCTCCAACTCGACGCTCGCCAGTATATCCATCACCACCCCATCCATTGCCCCCTCCGTGACCCGCCATAGCTCGCACGACAGCCAGAGCCCCGGCAGCGAGGACGCAGACGCGCTCGCCGCGGCGGCCGCCACGGCCACGTTCCACGTCCTCATCGTCGAGGACAACATCATCAACCAGACCGTGCTCCGGCGCCAGGTGCTCAAAGCCGGCCTCACGTGTGATGTAGCGGACAACGGCCAAGAAGCGCTCGTGGCCATCCACGAGGCTCACCGCCGCGCGAGGCTGGGTACGGGGACGGGCTACGACGTGGTCCTCATGGATCTCGAGATGCCGATCATGGACGGGCTCACGGCCCTCAAGCACCTCCGCGACGCCGAGGAGGCCGGGTCGCTCAGCCGCCAGCTCGTCATTGCGCTCACAGGAAACGCGCGTCAGGGCCAGATCGACCAGGCTATCAGTGCAGGAATGGACGATGGTGAGTTGCAAATCCGGTCCGACGTTGGGCGTGAGCGGGCATATTGCAGGAATAGGTCACTGGCAGGGCGACATGAGTGGCGCGTGCCTGCGGCGGCTTGGAGGCGCGCCCAGCCTGGTTTATTCCTGCCAAGGATGGTGTAAGCGCATTGCGTCGCTGCTGGCATGCGTGTACTGTACGGTGATGTGGTCTCTGGCCTCTGGTGGTAGCGCAAGCTCCGCCTGGCCTATGACCTATGGGTAGAAGCGGCTGCGGTTGTGCGGTTCCTGTTGCGGTACTCCCTGCGGAAGAAGCACTGTCCTACTGCGGACTGGTCGGTCCTCCCTTTGTCAAAGTTTTGGCTGCACGGCTTTGCTGACGCCGCAGTCGTCATAAAACCGTACCATCTCCCCGACCTGATCGCCAAGATGCGTCGTGCCGTGATTGCGCGCCGTGCAGAGCATCGCGAAGACGACGACCAGTAGAGAGTTATTTGTGTTCTTTTTCGCGTTGTATTTTTAAGTGTTTTGTTTTGTAGTGTGACGTCACGACCTACTCTAGCAACGTCTGATGTATCATTTGACGACGCACAGCAATGGCTCCCGTCTATATTCTGCGCGGCAGACGCATGTAGCATGTTGCAGAACTGCTGACGACGTGACGACTCAATTGCAGGAATCATGTGCAGCACGACCCGATGTGTTGTCGTCTAAGGGCATTCATTGCGAGAAGAGGTCTGTGCGGTGGCGTCTGTGGAGACAGCGAGAGGTTGTGATGGCTGGCTGGCGGCGTCGGTCCACCGCGCGCGATGGACGATGTCGTCGGTCGTGGTTTCTTTTTCGTCTTGCTTCTCATCACTCCTCCCACCGCATTCCCACACCGCCTCCCATCTCCCCATCCCCCCCATCCCCACGCAGCGCAGGCCGCTCGCAGCACCCATCTCGATCCCGGCGATCATCCATCCTGTGCAAACGCTCGACGCGTCAATCCTACTCCCCTCCTCCACCACCACTCTGCGACTGGTTCCAGAGTTGTTTACTCCCTCCACACCCCCCATCGACATTCCTCTCCCCCCGGGACTTTGTGACGGGAACTGACGCCACACCATCAACATCGCCAAGCACGAACTATATTGCAGCTCGATACATTCCCATATATCTTGATACTAAAGTTATAACAACATGGCCCCGCTCCTGCTTCCAAGCCCGGAAGAGGTACACTACCTCCTCGCTCGCGGCGCAGGCGACACGGTCAAGGGTGCTCTGACACCCAACGATACTCAAAAGTGAGTTGGGCGAAGACCAGGGATGCTCTCCAACTCCCCTTGGTCGCTTTCCGCCAGTATGGAGGGGTCGGGCTTCCTGGGTGGTACATTCTTGCTACCGACGACGAGACGGGTGGCAAGACAACGGCAGCCCCACTGACGTCTCAGGATCACCCTCATTGTTGCGTGCTGCTACAGCCTGTTCATTGGTATCGGTGAGTCTCGTCCTTGACGCAAACCCAGCTGACCCACCAGTGTGGTGCGTATCTTTCCAGCTGTGGAATTGGGAAACTATGCAGCTAACATGTTGACCTCTTAACCTTGATATCGCTACTCCAGGCATGGTAGGTCACCTCCGCTCTGACAATGACGCTGACCTACCAGTACCATATCTGTGCGAAATCATCTACCCCTTCAAGCTCCTCACTGTCGGCATGCACGAAATGTGCCACGCTATTGCTGGGACGCTCACCTGCGCGCGTGTTGAGAGCATCTCGGTGGGTATTGTGACAGCCAGTGCCCAAGTGGCACAAGGCTAGGTCGCCTGTGAGGTAGCCTGCCAAGTGCTGACCCATGTCTTCAGCTTGACCCCAACGAGGGCGGAGCAACGCGCATGCGCGGTGGTATCCCCGCCGTGACTCTGCCAGCAGGATATCTCGGCTCGTGCTTTATCGGTGCCGGCCTCATCGCATGTGTGAGTCTGGCAGTGACTCGTCTCCCCCCTGTGGCCCCACAACCAGACGTTGCAGCTCACCACTTGCAGGGATTCGACACCAACGCGTCCAAGGTCGCCTGCCTCGTCCTCAGCGTTTTCTTCCTCCTCACGCTCTTCTGGGCCCGTAAGAGCTGGATCGCATGGGTCACTATCGCCTTTGCATGGGGACTGATTGTTGTGAGTAATCAGCACAGGCCGGGAACCTGTTCTGGACGGCTTTGCGCCGGTTGTGATTTGCAGTGGACGACTCCAGAGGGTGACTGACTTGACAGGTGGCGTGGCTCGTCTACCACTCTGTGGCCCTCCGCTTCGTTGTCCTCTTCCTCGGCGTCATGTCGTGTCTGTACTGCATCGTAAGTGGAACTTTTGCCCAGTGAACGGACCGCAGCTGACAATCAGTGGGACATTGTCGACGTGAGTATCCGCGCCGAGGTCAGCTCCTCCGCAAACCCTCTGACCTCTTCTCTCAGGACACACTCAAACGCAAGATCAACTCGTCCGACGCAAGCGAGTACGCACGCCTCATCGGGTTCGGTTCTAGCCGAGCATGGGGCGCCTTCTGGCTGTTCTGGGCCTGTATCTGTGAGTGGACGACGATGATGGGCTTCGAGGTCCCTCATGCTGGGTCAAGAAAGCCCGCTGTTATCATCGTTGAGCACCACTAACATTAGTCTTCGCTGCGGGCATCCTCATTGGCCTGGCAGCGTTCAAGAAGGACTGGGACCAGCAGCGTATTGCCGCAGACAACTTCCTCGGTGGTGAGTACAGCTGTTCTTCGCCTCTTGTGTCACCAGACCTGACTCGTGACCACAGGGACTCCTTGAGCGAATGACCGCCTGGACGTCCGGACAGGAGCGGCTCGTGCAGCAAGGTGACGGCCGATAGAAGTATATAGACTGCTGGCTACTCGTAGCATGTCCCAAGATGTAATGTCATGTCTCAATCTATCCAAGGAGGGGGAGAATGACCTGTGGACAGGTCAGCGTCGGCGCGTTACACCCATGAGGAAAACTCACCTGGTAGAGGTAGTCCGCAAACATGCCCGCCCAAATGATGGGACCGGTCACGTAACCGTTCGACACAAACTTGGCCCAGCAGTCCTTGCCGTTGTCGAGGTTGACGGTGATGACCTGCCACGCGAGGTGTGCGGCGCCGCCCATAACTGAAATGGCATAGTACAGCGGTCCGGCACCCATCGCGTGGCCCGCGATCGTCAGGCAGCCGACAAACGTGGCGTACAGCGTGCCGATGATGGGCTTGGAGCTGTTGCCCCATGCCAAGGCCGTCGACTTGACGCCGGCGGTGACGTCGTCTTTCTTGTCCTGTGCGTGGTGTGAGCGGGCGCGCGGGTGGGTCGGGGACGGCTGGTTGTACCACTTGCGCAGCCGCCATGTCACCGGTTACTCACCTGGTGCGCGTAGATGGTGTCGTAGGCGACGCAGTAGATCGCGCTGCCGATGTAGAGCGGTGCGCACACGGCCCAGTTGACGGCGCCAGCGACGGCTGCCCAACCGAGGAGCGCTCCCCACTCAAAGCAGAGACCTGAAAAGGCGAGTCAGCGACGTCCATGCGACGGGAACAAGCTGTTTGCAACCATTGTGACAGCTCCTCCGACGCAACCTGACATGCGATCGCCAGAGACACGGCGACAACTCTTTGACTCACCAAGCACCACCTGGGGGTAATACGTCACGCGCTTCATGAACGGGTAGATGAACACGAGGGGCAGCGATGCGGCGCCAAGCAAGATGCTGTACGTGTTGAGCTGGGTCAGGACACCAAGGCCGAGCGCCATCTGGGTAGAGAGGAAGGCGAGCGCGCCCGTGTGGGTGATCTCGCCGGCCGCGAGCGGTCGTGTCTTGGTGCGTTCTGCGAGAGTGTCAGTTGAAGTACGGCCGATCGCGAGGCAGCCAACTGGGATGGGATGGGGTTGAGGTGCTACACATGGGAGGAAACGTATAGCAGCGACCCATAGCATAATACTCACCGACCTTCCTGTCCATCTTGGCATCCCACATGTCGTTGATGATACACCCTGCACCCCTCATGACCACGGCGCCGACGGCAAACAGACCCAGGTACCAGAAACAAGTGGTGATCGGCTGCGCGAGGTACGTGCACGCCATGGTGATGCTCCACGCTCCGGGCCAGTACAGCAAGATGGAGCCCGTCGGCTTGTCCAGACGCAGGAGGTAGAGGTATGGCTTGGCCGGTGCGGCCCACGCCGGGAGGACGCGGTCGACCCATGACTCGGGTGCCGGTGCTGGTGGTGCCAGGGGCGCGGCGTCGGCAGCGACGGGGGTGGTGGTGGTTGTCATAGAGACTGTAGAGGAAGTAGACGGGGTAGGGGAGGGAGTGCACGCGCGGCGCGAGGTCGAGAACGCGCGGCGAGTCGCGTCCATGCGGTATCCCCTACGCTGGGACGGACCGGGCTTGTTGTTGCGGTCAAGCTCGGACAGGCGGGTTGCCGCGACGCGGGCGGGCAGTGTCCGGGCCAAGTTGAGGCTCAGGCCCGTGCGCGCGCATGCCGAGCGCGCGAGGAGCGGGATCATGGCTGCAGTACGCAGTACGCCGGTGTCGACGCGAGCAGAAGTGTGGGTTGACGGAGGGAACGGGGGAGGAAGGACGACGACGACAACCGGCAACGGGGAATTGGACTTTTTATGAGGTTCCGGGTGGAGGTTGTCACCAGGCCACGACCACCTGTGCCCACACCATCTCCGCGATCAACAGCATCACAGCCGGCATGCGTCAATTGACACCACTTAGAATGCTACTGCTCAGGTATACTACATGTCATGCAGGTATCTACTATCACACGATCGTTTACTTGCCCGTGTTGTGGGCCTCTGCGGGGCCGTCAGCGAGTGTTACAATGGAGCCAAGGAGCTGAGCTCGGTACCGAGGAACTCCCAGCTCGCTCTCAGAACAGCTGGGATGAGTGTGTAGACAATAGGGCCAGACCAGCACCAGGTGATGATACAATGGCCGCCACCTGGCAGGGCAGCTCGCCCATGTCGTCCAACAACAACAACCAGCGTCTCTCTACACTTACCACGGCGGGTCGCGTCCTCCAGCAGTGTCGTGTCGACTGCACGGGCAGCCATACGGACATAGCGCACGACCGAGCCACGGATGAATACATTCTTGACCGCGAGCTGGGGACAGTGTTAGCAGATATATACGCGGTGTGCTGCGCGGAGGAAGGATGGCTAGGCCAGCTTGGGTTCTTGGACAGACCGCTGTAGCTGGCTTTGCGCCATCTCTTCCGCCCCCGCCAAGCTCTACGCACCATGTGGGGATGCCTCTCGGGGTCTTCGACACGGATGCCGTCTAGACGAATGTTGAGGAACCTGGGGGACTGTCAGCATGCGGCCCCTAGTGACGGCGGAGATGGTCGTTGTTGACACGGCGTGAACAACAGGAAGAGAAGGTAGGACGGCTGTTCCAATTCCAGAGCCGGACAGCTGCCTGGCCCCATTCTCCTCGTCATTTATGGCTTCATGCTGAGCGTAGGGTACATTCAAAGCCATAGCCGGTGCGGTGAAAGAGGAGAGGCAAGGCGCAGAGGAGCGTAGGACGAATGCTGCCGGTGAACGGGCTGCACAAGACAGCTGAGAGTAGCGTCACCCTTCTGTCTCAGCTGCTGTCGCAGCCGCCCGTAGGGCAACACGTGTCATTTTGCAGCCCCCAACCTAGTCCATGTCGGGCTCATAAGGGTCCAAAGACATGAGCCCGCGGATATCGATGGAGGACCATCTCATCGGCAAGTGACGCCCTCCGCTGCCGCCGGCGCCTTGGCCTGTGGAGTGGACAAAGCAACACTCACTGGTCAACACTCTTAAGCGTGCCGGTAATGCACAGATCGTTCTTGAGCTCGACCGTGATCACCTGGTCGGTGAGGGTCTTGAAGAAGCTGGACGTTAGCGGGTGTGTGGTGTTTGGAGTGGAGGGAGGTTGGTGAGGAGAACAGCGGGAGACCGAGGCCACCGGCAAGACTCCACACCTTGGCGACGACGGCGCAAAGCTGCAGACTCACGAGAAGATGAGCTATTCTGTTAGCTTAGGCTGTAACCAGATTCCAGAGCTTACCATGTTGCTTGATGGATGACGACCTGGACACCAACAGACACACACAGGTCATGTCGATCGAGCGTTGCAGCAACAACCCGGCGCGTTATCAATTGACGCCGCTCATTGAAGGCAAAAATGACGTGTGCTGCCGGTCCGAGTCGCCACCAAGAAGTTCAAGATTCAAGATTCAAGGTGCATGTCTCCATCGAGTATCGACACCATCGACGCCAAAGACGTACATACGACCATGTCGCTCCTTGACAAGCCCGGCGAGTCGAGCTCGGGCGCGTCGTCGATCCCGCTCTATATCGTCGGCGGGGTAGCGACCGTTTGGGACGCCCAGAGTGAGTCCAGATCTTGTGTCCAGCACACGTCCACTGCTGTTGCCGAGGTTCCGTTCAGCTGTGGTGGAGCCGCCCTCGTGCCACATTTACATGCCCTCGTCGCTGGACCAGCTCTTCTGGGAAACACTCGCTGACAGGTTACAGCCGCTGCGACTATCCACTGCGCACATGACGTCTCGGGCCTGCGTGCTGGAACATTGCCCGGTGTGGTGCAGCAGAACGGCTTCCTCGGTCTCCCCGTGACCCTCATGCCGGAGGAGGCGACGCACCTGGTCAGGAATGGTGAGTGGAGTGGCGGTGACGGCTGAGCTGTTGTCATACCTTCGTATACCACAGCTCAGCGCGTCCTAATGCCCTTGCACATGACTGACTCGCGTCCCCGCAGGCATTGCGCACCTCGTCCCCGTTCCCAACACGACGCTCGCCCCGCCGTCGGCCCAGCTCGTTGCGGAACGCACCGCCCAGCGTATTGCCCGTTCGCGCGCTCTCGCCGAGCGTGTGCGCCTAGACGAAGAGACGCGCGCGGCGGAGGGCAAGGCCAAGTACGCAGCGCGCAACGCCGCGTCGGCGGCCAAGGCGGCCACGAAGCGCGAGGAGCGGACGCGGAAGCGCGCCGAGGCCGCTCGCGCTGCGGCGGTGGCGAACGGCGGCGACGAACCCGCGGGGCAGGAGGCGTACGACGGCGTGTATGCCGCTGTCAAGGCCAAGGAGGCGGCCGACGAGGCCAAGGCCGCTGGAAACAAGGACGACGACGACGAACCCAAGGAGAGGCCAGTGGCCACGGCCGACAACACCAACCTCTTCACCGTCGTGCCCGCGCTCCCTGTCCACCCGTCCCTCATGCCCAGCACACCCACGACGATTACCTCGGCTGCGTTCCCGTTCCCGCACCCGCCCTCGCACAGCCTGCACGTCCGCGACAGTGCCGTCGCCGACACGTTTTCGGCCCTGCACGCGCGCGGCCTGCGGATGGGCCTCGGACCGCGGTTCGGCGGCGAGTGGCTCGTCTATCCCGGAGACTACCTCCGCTACCATGCGCACTACACCTCGCAGGTGGTCGTCCGCGACGACCCTATCCGCCCCGCAGAGCTCGTGGCGTGGGGCCGTCTCGGCACAGGTACCAAGAAGGCCGGGTTGATCTGCTGCTGGGACGACGGCGGGCGCGGCGACGACGAGCCAGTCAAGGGTAAGGGCGAGGTCGAGTTTTATAGCCTGGAGTGGGCCAACTTTGGATAAAAAGGTTCGAGGAGAGTCGCGGGGACGACTCTGTACAGCATATGCAGCATTTGATTTGTTTTTGTGCTTTAACCACGACGACGGCACACGACTTGTGGCCGACGCCAAGACACCGGCGTTCATTGCCCTATGAACGACGAGCGCGCAGTTGCCCCCCCTCTTGCCTCCATGTCCCCGCCCGTTGGACAGTGCTCGAGATCCAGCACGCACCGACCTCTGCATGTGGACGCCACCTGTGCCCTGCTCTCAAATCTGGACCTCTGGCAACGAGCTCGTCATGACGACACTCTTGCGTGTGCCCTGGGACCTGTTGCTCCCCTTTGCCCTCGGCGGACCCTCGCGTCCACCCTCACGTCCACCGTGCACATGGACCTCCACACCGGTGGTGTACGGTGTGTGTTCTGCTGCAAGGAAACTCGTGCATACAATACATCGACGACATGAGCGACATGACAGACTCGGGCGCCATTGCCACCGACCGACCGGCGGCGCCTGCCGAGGAGGGACGGCGCGTGAGCGTGAGCGTGAGGTGGAGAGAGTGCGCCATATGGGGCGAGACACTCGGTTATGGTATCAGGCTGGGTGGGAGGAGAGAGGTACGGGGAGGGGAGGGGAGGGGAGGGGAGGGTGCGAGGAGAAAGAGAACGGGCGGGATGGAGGGACTCGTTGTCTAGGCAGTGCCGTTGGCGGCGGCGGCCACCGAGGTGGCAAAGTAGGGGTGCTGCAGTGCACGCTTTGCCGAGATGCGCTGGGCGGGGTCGTAAATAAGTGTCTGCGCAAGAAGGTCGAGGCCGTTGGCGTCGAGACCAGAGACGGCGCCGCCGAGTTCTGCCTGGTGCCACTGGGGGAACGACGACTTGTAGTCGGGCAGGCTGCGGATACCAGGCCAGCTCTCCTCGTCCGGTGTTCCGAGTAGACTGAAGGTAGAGTGTAAGCGAACAGAAGGGGGAGCGTGACAGAACCTGCGCGATGCTCACCGGAAGATGCGGAAAATCTCGTCAATCTCAGAGTCGCCGGGGAAGAGGGGCGAACGCATGGCCATCTCTGCAAAGATGCAGCCGACCGACCACATGTCGATGGCGGTCGAGTAGTGACGTGAGCCGAGGAGGACCTCTGGGGCGCGGTACCAGAGGGTGACGACCTGGGAAGAACATGTCAGCTCAGGCCACCCAAATGTCATCAATGCCGGTGGCGTAAACAATACAGGCGCAGACTAGTGACGCCTAGCCACGCAATTAACAATGCGGGTGTGGGAAAAAAAAGAAGACGACAGGGAACGTTTCGAATGCACACTTGCACAGGTATTGTGCACACCACACAGGCTCAGGAGTCTGTGAAGGGGGGTTACTCACCTCGTGCGTGTACGTCCGCAGCGGGATACCGAATGCGCGGGCCAGGCCAAAGTCGGCAAGCTTGAGGTTGCCCTCCTTGTCAATCAGGAGGTTCTGGGGCTTGAGGTCACGGTGGAGGACACGGTGGACGTGACAGTAGAACAGGCCCTTGATGAGCTGGTAGGTGAACTTCTGCGTTGGGTGTCAGTATACATGCTTTTTTGTCTCTGCATTCAGCCAACTTTGGTGGAGGCGATCACGACCGCTCTGACGCTTGTGGGTTGGGCCAAAGGAGCATGCACGTCCTCTGCTCCCGTTGTGGAGGTGGCTGCCAACCCCGTGCGGGCGCTTACACGCATTCACGACGGGCTCCTTGACCACGACCACAACCCCGACCACGGTCACGACCATCACCACCCACTCCCATCATTGGGGAACATACCTTGACGAGGTTGGGCGGGAGAGCCTCCTTGTCCGGAAGCGAGTCCATGTAACGCTTCAGGTCGAGGTCGAGGAATTCGAACACGAGGTAGAGCTTGGCGTCCTGGTGGACAATGTCAAGGAGCCTTAGCGAAGGTCAGTCTGGTGGACAAGGGGGGGGTGGTGTTTGACGACAAGCCATCTGTTGTGTCTGTTGTGGAGAGACTTACTTGACAATGTTGTCGTCCTTGCTCAGTTCCTTGAGGAGCGAGATCTCACGGATAGACGTCGAGGGGACGCCTTCGTCCTCGGCCTCGAGACGGATCTTCTTGAGCGCAACAAAGTTGCCCGACTGGAGGTCCACCGCCTTGTAGACGACACCATAGGTGCCTAAGGGTGTCAGTACAACAGTCTACATGGCTGTGGCTGGCTGCTGTGTGGCTCTTCTGGCATACTCACCCTCTCCGACCTTTTCGAGCTTGGTGTAGTTTTGGAGCGACATGTTTGATTAAGAGTGTGTGGTGTGGTGGTGGATGAAGAGTGTATTGAAGGGAACAGAGCAAGAATGGCAACGGGTGCGACGGGCGGCGGCGTCACACGCGGAGGCAAGGCGGGGGGAGAAGGGGGGGTTGGTGGCCAAAGGGATGTCGATCAGATGCCGTTGGGAGAGTAACGCGCGGGGGTGAGGTTGGTAAAGTGCGAGAGGAGAGCGCGCGGCGGCCTGCGTGCGGGCGTGTGTGCAAGGCGAGCGGGGTGGTGGTTGTAGTCTAGGTCTAAGAGAGAAGGGTGGGGGAGACCGGGGGTGGTGGTGGGTGTTGATGGGTGTTGATGTGGAAATCGACCGTGGTTGCGCCGTGTTGTGTTCGTCGTGTGTTGCACATGTGTCGGCCAGCCAGCCCCGCGCGCGCGTCCCGCCTGTCCGCCCTCTCTGCACCCACACACACACACCGCGGCGCGTCAGTCGCGTCCAGCCCTCGCTTCCGATTTTGATCCCGCGCTCTCACCCAGCGATCGCATCCACACCCAGCCCCACCCTCCCGCCACCCACCCAAAACGCCGCCCAAGGCCGTCAGTGCGGTCGACGGGAGCATTCCCCCGTGGCAATATTCAGTGACGTTTTGGCACACAGTGCCTCCTGGCGTGCCATCCACCTCAACTGAACGGGTGGTTTCTGAAATTTTGGGAAACAACATACCACCTCCTTGCCTTCCTTTACAAACAACAACAACAAACAAACAACAAACATGGACAAGCCCCTCAACTCGCCGCTCCTCATCGAGCCCATCGGCCGCCCCACAAAGCTCTCCCCAGCCGCCACCTTCTCCCACCTCCAAAACTTCCTCGTCGCCCTCCCACCTTCCCCCTCGCGCACCCAGCTCGAGCGCCTGGCCGACGCGCTCGGCGTCGAGACCGGCGCCATTGCCCCGTCCGAGGGCGAGCGGCGCGAGGCAGAGCGCATTGCTGCGCGTAACGCCGCCAGGGCCGAGCGCAGGGCCAAGCGCGAGGCAGAGCGGATCGCTGCCGAGGCCGAGGAGGCTGCCAAGCTTGAGCAGCAGCTCGAGGAGGATGACGAGGAGGAGGAGGAGGATGGAGAGGCGTTTGAGGGCGATGAGACCATGGGCGACATCGAGTACGGCGATGTCCCCGATGACGAGGACGAGCCCGATAACCGCGAGGGCAAGGACGCCGAGGACGACGAGTAGACCACCACCAGCACAACCGGCGCAAACGCAAACAAGTAATACAGCATTTCCTCATCATCTCTAGATACCCAGCATCGCTCCCACTCTCCCCCTCACCAGCATCTATCGAACAGCATCGCCCTCACACTCGGGCACTTTTGTCTCTTCCTCCACTTGTGCACCACGCGCAGCCTCGACACTCCCATCCTGCTCGGGGCCGACCTCGTGCTCGTTCTCGTTCTCGTCCTCCTCTTCGTCTCCAAGACACGGGCCCCTCCCCTCTCCGCCCATGTCCAAGATCTTGAAGAAACTACACCCCTTGATCTCGCCCGTGGTCCCGGGACTCTGGCACTGCCAGAAAAACACCATGTCGTCGTCCAAGATGGTCGTGCCGTCCCGTGTCACTCTCTGTCCTCCTCCGAGGGACGACCGCGCGCCCAGCCGGCTACGCGCCTTGGCCTTTTGGTCTGCCCTCAAGATCCTGCACACAAAAGTTAGCGACACACGGGTAGTGGTAGTAGTAGTAGTAGAACAAGTACGCACGTCGGCATGCCACACTTGCACATTGGCGTGCCGCTCCGTGGGCCACGGGGACCTGTTGCAGGGTCTGGATGGAAATCTGTTGTTTAGCTAATGCACCCCCCACCAAGCGTATAACTAACCATCGCGGTAGAACCTGATGGGTCAGCCAGTACTAGGGAAGAAATAACCCCACCGAAAGGTAATGTTGATCCTGGTGGTATACGTCTCGCCCTCGCCGGGAACCACCGCGCCACCATTCGCGTCCCACTGTGGCCTGAACGTGTCGAGGGCGCGCTGCGGCGGCACGGTGTGCTTGTAGCGCTCCTGGCACCCGGGCGTCATGAGGACGAGCGAGTTGTGCGCGAGGTTGACCTCGTACGTCCTTGTCGGACGCGTGCTTGCGTACGCCTCGTCCACGGCGTCGATCTGGCGCAGACGGAACGCGCGCGGGGTGCCGAGCGACAGCGATGCAATCGTCGGGTAGGGACCGAGGTCTGGGCGGGTGAGCTCATGTGCGGCTATGGCCTTCACACCCACATGTCATTTGGTCTGCGTGCCATCCCACACTGTCCGTCAGCTCTGCATCTCCCAAGGGCGACCAAGAGCCGACTTACGTGCTCTGCGCGCCGTCATACCGGTTCGCAGCACACATGTTGGCCCGCCACCGGCCCCGATACTCGAGCGGGTAGCGGGGCATCGTGTCGAGATGGGCATTCACCGCCTCCTCAACTATACGCGATGCTTCCGCCAAGACAGGTGTGTACGGCTGTGATATGGGTCAGTCGTCCAGTTCAGCACCTCTTCCACTCACCTTGGCATCATACTTTCTCGCGGCGTAATAGTACGGGACGCCGACTTTGGCGCCCCCAAACCCGCCGCCGGGACGCGAATATGTCGTTGCCTGGTGGTTGGACTCCACCTCGCGTCCGGCCAGGTACCATTTGTTCCGTGGCCACTCGGGCGACTCGGCGAGCATCTCGTAATACAGCGCAGCGGCCATTTGCGGGGACAGCGGCGAGGAGAGGAGGGCGAGTGGGAGTCCAGCGGACGCGATGGCCGAGGGGGACGTGAGGAGCAGCGCAGCGCCGCGGTGCGGGGGAGGGCGGGTCGTGGACGATGCCGAGGGGAGCTTGGACGGGGAAGGGGGTTTGAGTAGTGTGGCCCATTGCGAGGCGGACGCGAGACGGTCCAGTTCGGGAGACGGCGACCGTCGTGTGGGGCGGCGGTTAGGCGATGAGCTCGAGCCCGACGACGACGCTGGTGTGGACGTTGAAGCGGTGGTTGCAGGTGGCGGGTGTTTGGCGCGGAACCAGTGATCCAGCCCCTTCTTTCTCTTCCTGATGCCTGCGCCATTCACGCTTGCTGTTGACGACCACGACCCCTCGGCGGGCGTCGCGCTCAACAACAAGAGCTCGGCGGCGCGCTCCAAGTCCCCGCGCGTCTCGTGGAGGGCGTCGACGTACGCGTCTGGTGGAAAGGACGAGGGTTCGAGGAGAGCGATGAGGGATGCAAGTTTGCTGTCGTCATTGACTGTTGGCATGTGGACAGATGGAGGGTGTGGTGGAAATGAACGAAAAGTTGGAGGGAGAGATGTGGGAAAGCGTGTACAAACACGAGCAAGGCGGAGGTTGAGTCAACTGGCCGACCTCCACCCCCGTCTTGCGATCAATGTGGCGGGGTTAAGCGAGGCGACCGCTGTACCGTTTTACCGTTGCCGCCGGTGGCAGGCTGGGACGTTGCGACCCTGATAAGGTTTCAGCTGGCTGTCGCGCCGCGTGCAGCCCCACGCGCGCGCGCGTCTCACCGATCACGCGAGCGCGCCGCCCAAAGGCCAAAACGATCCAAAAGGTGCGGCCCGCGGGGGGAGGGGTGGTTCCGAAGTGCAGATCATTTACACCCACGGGAATGAATGGGTGGGCACAAGGGGGGTTCTTCCCGTACATTACACAGCAGCCGATGGCGGCGGGGTGGATACATTACAATAGGTCATGTATCCAAAAAAAAAAACATTCATAGGGAGACTGGCAGTTGTTTTGGTGCAAGCAACCATTCGGCCGACTGCAACGAACGGACCACCTGCCTCTACCTGCCCGTGGCAGCAAGAAGGCGTCGACCGGCCCTCACTCCCTTGGTCGGCACTTTCCTAATCAGGTCATTACAAACTCCGCATTAGACGTCCTGATCGGGCTATTCCTCCGGCTTGAGTGGATTTCGCGCCGGGACCACTTCATAACGCTCTTGGCCCGCTTTGTCCACCACCCCCACATCACACAACCACACATACCACACAACCATGACCCGTCACGCGGCCACCCTCCTCCTCGCTGCCGCCCTCGCCCTCGCCCACGGCGGTCACGAGCATGGCGAAGAGGACACCAGCATCCCTTACCTCCAGCGTCATGTGAGTAGCGGCAGTCGACACAGCGCGCGCCGCGTCGACGCGATGGCGCTAGTGGAGAGATTATATCCCGCCAGCAACGGCCATGACTCCACCGACAGCGTGCACAGGACCTAGGCTGACACCCTCTACTAGATGATCAATGAGCACCACATTGACACATTTGACCTGCCGTCCTTCTTCCACCTGCATGACCTCGACATGGACGGCTTCTGGGACAAGGACGAGATCGCCGCCGTGTACGGTCTGCGACACCACAGCGTGATCAAGGGCAAGAACGAGCGTCCCATGCCCGAGGCCATTGAGAACCTGGTCGTGTTCGACGTGCTCCGCAAGCTTGACACGGACAAGGACGGTGAGTACAGCTGTGTACGAACGGGGACGACGTGGGCGGGGCTTTGGCTACATCGCACCAAGGTGTTCTTTTCGGGACGACGGCGGCTGAGAAATTCGTCTCCCCTCCACCCCCACCCACACCGGGCACGTGAAATGTGTGCCGGTGCCTCTGTGTCGCGTCCCACAACTATTTTTGCTCATGCACAACCACAGGCAAGATCTCGCTCGAGGAGTTCCTCGCCGGCGGTGTCGAAGGCCTGCCCGCGTTCGACAACATTGGCAACATGGGCCACCACTACGACGAGGAGTCCGAGTAGTGAGCTCATTGGATTGTAACCCCTGCGTTATAGCTAGCTAACACGACAGCTTCCTGCACCACGAGGAGGTACGCTCCCGCTTTGCGTGAGCCTTCTGCTAACGTTCCAGATGTACCACTCGACTCCCGAGACCCAGACCGACGAGTCGTACAACCACCCAGAAGGTAAGTCGCCCCGGCCCGCCCATGCACAGGCGCCCGCATGATTGCTGACGAACAAACAGACATCGAGCACTTCAAGCGTGAGTAGCACATGGGCCCGTGCGAGACTTGGCCGTTCCCCGCGGTTTCACCTCTGTGCCCACCCAGCAGTCGCTGTTGAACCCTTTTGTTGTCCTGGCTTGGACGCCATGACGGAGAGGCGGAGGCATGTCGGAGAGCTGTAGACACACACCCCAAGCCTCAGGTCTCTGAAGCAACACAAGACCTGACCTGACCATACAGACCACGAGCACATTGAGAACGAGGAGGACGCGCGCCAGCGCATCTTCGAGGGCCTGCCGCCCAACGCCAACCTCGAGAAGGACTACGAGGCGCCCGAGGACCCGCTGGAGCACCACGAGCACGCGGCCGGAGATGGTCCCGAGGCCATTGCCAACCTCACCGGTGGCACAACCGACGAGGCTGAGGTCGTGGACATTACGGCCGACGAGGTCGTGGTGGACATTGCGGCCGCCGACGAGGAGGTGCTCGAGATCACAGAGGACGGCAGCGCCGTCGTCCCCGAGCGCGTGGGCCGCGGCGGCAGGACCAACCCCAGCCGCATCCAGGAGGAGATTTCCGCCGAGATGAAGCAGAGGCACAGGCACACCAAGGAGGAGCGTGCTCGTGCAGACATGCCTTACAGTGAGTTGTCACCAGAGCGAGCGAGGGTGCAGGCGAGGCAAAGCTGTAAACCAAGGATAAGCTGCAGCTTGGCTGCGCTCGTCCCCTCGCCCATACCAAGGTGCATTGCTGACGCTTTCTCCAGAGTACAAGTATGGCCCCGCATCCGAATGGCACTCACCCAGCAGGATGCGCAAGGGCCTGCGTGCCGAAGAGTTCTAGACGGGTGCAGTGGTGCGACGCGACGACGACGGACCTCGACGGCGTGTGATGGCCGGAACGTGGAGAACGCGGATCGGGGCACGAGCGGCAACAACACACGACAATGTGTTTGATGACACGCAACGCCGGTCGAGCCGTTCTCGTTCTTGAGGAAACACACGCTCCGTCGCAGAGCACGGAGAGGGAGAGGTGTCCAGCAGCAACCGACCATCCGCAGGTACGGGTGGGATCTATACAGTTTTATTACCTGGTTTTTATATGCAGGCTAGCTTATCATCTTCCGGTCCTGCCACCACGCCGAGGTGCTTAAGCGAGCGCCGAGGGGCCACAACGCACCTTCCGAGGTACATAAGGGCCGAGGGAGGTGATGAGCGTCAACTACCAACCACCGGAAGGTTGGAGTACCACCACCACTCTGAAGCCTGAGCATAAACGCTGCAGTAGACATCGTTGTACAGGAGCAATCATGTGGTAGCGTAAGTCCCAGGGACAGGCAAGGAAGGGGTCAAGCAGTCCACTGCCGACGCTGGCGTCCCTGGCCGGGTTGTCCCCCCGACGGCTTTTCCGCCATCTACGGATCCATGGCGAAGAAACACGACCGGCACATTGTTGGACCGCTGTCATATCCGCAGCATGTTGTGGCGATAGGCTGTCGCTATAGCCTCGGCATCTAGCCCCTATGCGAACAATGGTATTTTGTGCTCACGGCCGGCCCAGCGCGCTCGGCACCGTTGGCGCTGGTTACACACCGATATCCGGCAGGGGACTGGCCGTGCCACGTTCAGACTCACAGTTGCTACACCACCAAGTGGCGGAACGGCGGAGCACCCGGCGGCTGCGGACCTAGGTCGCGAGCGCCAAAACAACAGCACATGCATCATGCTGGTCGCTTTCCCACCAACGCTCGCTCTTCACTCTATCTGCTGACTCGTCTCACCATGGTTGTCAACGCAGTCACCAACCCCGTCATCAGCGGCCTCAACCCCGACCCGTCAATCTGCCGAGTGGGCTCGGACTACTTTGTGGTCACCAGTTCCTTTGAGTACTTTCCGGGAGTGCCCATCTACCACTCTCGTGATCTCGTCAACTGGACCTTGATCGGGCACGCCCTCACGCGACCGTCCCAGCTGTACATGCCTCGCGTCGAGCCTGGCGGTGGTATCTTTGCACCGACGCTACGCTATTGGAAGGGCACATTCTACCTGGCGACCTGCTGCGTGTACCGCAGAAACTCGAGAATAGTGAGCACTATCACGGGTACCTCTTGCTAACAGGATGCCAGTGTTCCGAATCTCGCGGGTTCTACGTGCGCACAGATGACATTTTCGATTCCAGTACATGGAGTGAGCCGATCTGGTTCGACGCACTGGGGATTGACCAGGATGTGAGTTTTCACATTTCCGACAATGTTGACCCAACAGCTCTTCTTCGACGACGACGACAAGGTCTATCTCTGCACGAGTCGCCTGCTCGATGTCCACAGCTCGGACCCGCACAATGGGGCCGTGGTTATGGGGTGCGAGGTCGACCTACAGACCGGACAGTGCTTGACCCGCCCTGTCGTGCTACGTCAGTCCCTCGAGGCCAACCTGTGCACCGAGGCGCCGCATATCTTGAAGCGCGGTGATTTCTACTACCTCTTGGTAGCAGAAGGCGGAACTGAGATCAACCACCAAGCGCGCATCTATCGGTCCAGGTCGCCGCTTGGCCCGTACGATGACGCGCCTGAAGGAGTGAACCCCATCATGTTCAATGGCACGCACCCCGTTGTGCAGAACTCTGGACACGCCGACTTTGTCGAAGATCTGAACGGCAACCACTGGGCCTTCTTCCTCGCCGTCCGTGTACAAGCCAACGGCCACCGTCCTCTTGGACGCGAGACGTTCATGGCTCCAGTAGAGTGGACGGCAGACGGGTGGCCGGTCATTAACAAGGGCCGTCCCATTACTCTGGATGTACTCGACGCATCAAAACTGCCAGAGGTCAGGCCTTACCGTGGATGGCGCGACACGTTTGCGGGCAGTAAGTCGTTTAACACGGGCCACCATATCCACCATGATGCACTGGCTGATGATACACTGCTAGAAACGCTGGGCATCAACTGGTATCATCTTCGTGTACCTGTCAAGCCCCACCATTCTCTTCAACCGGGGCGCCTCACACTGCACGGCAACGCATTTACAATTGCAGACACAGACTGCCCTGCCATGCTGCTCGTCAAGCAGACCGAACTGTCAGGTACCTGGTCAACGCAGCTCGATTTCGAACCGACAACAGTGGACCAGGAGGCCGGGGTCACCGTCTACTGGAGTTGCTATGCGTATGCGGCCCTTGTGGTTCGGAAAAGTCACGAGCCAGACGGTCACCGTGAGGTAGTGCTGCGGTGGATTGACGAGCATTCGGAAGACGTCAAGGTGAGCAGTGCCGTCGTATGTGATGCCCACTGACGGAACAGACCGTCGAGATCAAGCAATCCCTCTCAGCCATCGGTCCTGTTGGACTCAGCATCCATGCGACCCCCACGTCGTACACATTTGCCTTTCAACCCGTTGGAAGTGACGAGGAGACCATCCTCGGGTCCGTTTCCACTGCTGTCCTCGAGCGTTCTCGCTCCTTTGATGCATCCTACACCGGCACCCACCTAGGTATCTTTGCTCAAGGAACCCAAGGTGTGCCCTGCCAGGACGGCGCCCACTTTGCATACGCCGGGTTCAGTGTCTAGTGCTGTAGGTAGTTGCTGTGTGTGCATGCATAACCCACACTGTCGCAGCCGTGTATGCTAGTCACAGAACAACGTGCTGCGCGGCCACTCCGTCGCGCGGTCACTCCGTCTCCACCACGGGCCAAGGGATGTTGTTGTACCGGCTCGGTCAAATTTGAGTTACCGATATCCATAGCTCCACCGTCGCCCTCGGAACAGCCGCCGGGAGTCCCGGCATCAGTTGGTTTGGGACAGATTGTACTCGTCCCGGCGGCCGCGACTTTGCATCCACACACTCCTGTTGTGCTTTATCTTCTCCTGTGGGACACCCGACGGCACCGGCAATTCCTCCTGTCATGGACGACCGTGGCGCCAATACCGAGATATCGCCTCCCAACCCCAAGCGAATGCACCGCAAGAAGGCGCCCTTTGCCTGCGAGGCGTGCCAGAAGCGCAAGTCGCGATGCGAGGTGTTCTCTGCCACCTCTGATGTGTGCCATCGATGCGACCTTCTTGGCACAGAGTGCACGCTGGCGGCCCTTCGCGGTTCCATCCAGTCGGCCATCCCCACCCGCACCGTTGATGGCACCGATGGGAGTGACGCCGGCCGTTCATCAGGCTTGAACGCCGACGCCCTCAAAGTCCTGGTTGAGCACATCGACCAACGTACCAGCGAAATTGTGCGGCTGCTGCACAACAAAAGCCACTCTACGTCTTCCACGCCTCCATTCTTCTCCCCTGGCGCTGTTAGCGCTCGAGAGGATGGAGTCGGGGACGGCGACGACATTGAACCCGAGGTCTGGGAGCTGTTGCACCACAGCAATGGTGTGGCATTGCAAGTGATGACGGGCCTCAATATTCACGACCGCACTAGCTTTCACGATCCTGTGCTGAACGGAGTACTGTCAGAGTTGGAATTCGACAATGTGTGCCTGCAGTGAGTACATAGGACAGACTCGTAGCTCATCACTGACATGATCCAGATTCAGCACACATATTCGTCAAACGTCCCCTGTCGATGCGCTCCTCGCAGATCCCCCCCTTCTGCGTCACCCGTTTCTTCGCTGTGCGATTGTGCATTTCATGTCATTCGCCCGTTCATCGTCGTTGGAGGACACGGTGGCCCACCGCAAGGTTGAAGCAATGATGCTCGCCAACCTCAACCTCCTTGATGACGCAAACCCTTCGCCAGCGACATTGATTGGGTTGCTCATTCTCTGTCTCTCCCCTGCGAGTGGATTTGAGCGCCGGTTCCAGAGGTCATATGCACCTCCTGGGATCATTGCACGTGCCTCGTCGATCGCGCACGGGTTGGGTCTGGAGGATGCAGTCGAACGCGCCCGACAAGAGTCCGAAAAGGACCTAGTTGAGGCCACATGCTTCCAGCCTCTGATAGTCAAACTGGCATTGGTGAGTGTTTGACAGTGAGGCGGCAGGACTGATACCTCCAGTTCTACACATTGTTACATCAATCAGCCTGGTGCGTGACTACAAAAGTACAGAGGACCGCGGCTAACTGACGACTTAGGTCTGACATATACTTGAGTCCGTCCCTCTCGAACCGCCACACAGCATCTTCGCCCTTGACATCCATTCTGTCGCTAGGAAGCATCCGAAAGCTACAGTCACCCCTCCTCATTCACCTCTACTATGAAAGTACCTTACTGGCTCAAATTGCCCACATGTCCACGGCCCTCCAACGAGTCCGGACGGCCAGCATATTTGACCGACCACGACACATGGTGCTGAAGCACCGAATGGAAGAGTACGACACGTTTATAAAGCAATGGCGTATAGACGTCGAACAAGAACAATGTGAGTGCGTGTCAGTAAACCTAATCTGACGAACAGCCCTTGAATCGAAGCATTTTCTGGTACTCAACTCCATCTTTCTGGAGTGTCTCATGTGTCTTAAAATCAGCACCGATGCCGGTACGCTCCTTCCGTCGCCCATCGTAATTGAGGACCGCATGCCGTTCCGCATGGCATTTGGCGAACGGATGATCGGTTGTATGCGACAGCTGGTCAGCTTTATCACCTCGTCGCCACTCAAACTTTCGCACGCACCTTCATTTTTCCTCACGCTATCATTCCTGCCCTTTAGAGGTCTCCTCAACGCGACTCTGATCGACCCCGGCATGTTGCCGATCGTTCAGTCCCTGGAATTTGGCCAGTTTCGCGACATACTTGTGAACACGCATCCAATGTCGCCCGCCATGGTGGATAAGATCTGCCAGTCACAACCGCCCGGAGGGTGGAAGATGGTAGTGGAGGAGCGCGAAGCTGCGACACGGACACCGTCGATGGCCGAGCTTGTTGACACGTGGGAGATGCCAACTGCTCTCTCCGAAATCCTGCAACAAGCCAATTACGAGGATCTTCAACAGTGGTGGGCATTTGAGAACGTAACCAGTTCGTTGGGTATGTTCGAAAGCCAGGGGGCTCTCAATGGGGATTAGTGCTGGTCGGACATGTATGTATTGAGTGATGCCCTACACACCGTTGCATTGACTCGCTGCAATGACATTTGTTCTGTATGATCACCCAAGGTGAAGCGACGGCAACCGTCGGGTGGTGAAACCTGACCTCGTCCTATACTCTTCGACGTCACTCCGTCCCACAATTGTCTTGGATGGAGAAGGAGAAGGAGTGGAACGTTTGACCAGCTCGGTCCGGTTCCGCACGTTAGAAAGGTGCCACCAGCTCTGTGATCTGTGAGCTGTACGAGAGCCAGAGGAAAGCGTATGGGCCCGTCAAATTTGTGTCGTAATAACAATGGAACCCGGTCAGGACGACGCATACGTGTTCATAGTAGCAACATACAAATTCCTACCAACTCAGTTTGATTGCCACGTTCATTCCTCAACATTTGTTGATTCTGCCCATCCAAGGAGCAGACGATGGGGAGCCGTTCACGACAACCTGCTACGAGGTAGCGGTCTGCGGAGCAGACTCCTTGGCGACAGTTCCAAATCGCTGCGCATCGGTAACGTACTTGCGGAAGCGCCAGGGCTTAACCTTTGCCTCGAACATTTCGTCCAGCTCTGCAGCTGAGCGACCTGTGGTTTCCGGAATGACAAACCACAGACCAACTACGAGGGGTGCGGAAAGGCCGGCGAAGAAGAAGCAAGTCTTCAGGCCCCAGTTGAGGTCGGTCTCGGAGATCATGTACGGTGTCCCGTATCCAACGCCGATACCAAAGGCGACGGAGACGGATGCCGCAAAGCCTCCCGTTTTGGCGCGGAGTCGGCTACTGGGGACTTCACCGACGAGTGGCCATCCTGCACCGTTGGCCAAGTTGAAAGACACAGCTGTTGACGTTAGGACCTCGTCCAGTCTGGGTGCCCTTGACTTACTCCAGAGACAAGCCAGGAAGATGAGGAAGCCATTCATGGCCTTGGTCTGGTTCTTTACGAGACTCATGCAGCCGATAATGAACAGGCAGAACCACATGGTAGTTACACCATAGGTGATCATTCGGCGGCGACCCACGAGGTCCAGACCGAACAGCAGAAAGACGGTGCAGGCGATGCCAAGAGCGGATGTAATGCAAGTGTTCTGAGGATTGTCAGCCACATCGAATGTCATGCACTCACTGCAAATGGATCGGTGGACCCAGCGAGTTCAAAGAAGTACACCACGTAGCTGACGTCAGCATTACTACTTCGGCTCGCTTCACTCACGTCGACAAGAAGCTCTGACCAACAAAGCCCGCGGCCGTCAACTCGTAGCAAGCGACAAACGTTCTCCACTGTTCATGTCAGCACACTTCCCAAAAGGATACGACCAGGACCTACTCCGTTGACACCCTTGAAAATAGCCAACCAGGAAATCTCCTTGTTGGCCAAGGCGTACTCGCGCTCGTGCTCAACAGTGTGCTGCAGAATGGCGTATTCTTCCTCGGGGTTGTAACCGGCAATCTTGCCGTACAGACGCCTGAGTGCTTTGACGCCCTGCTCATGCTTTCCCTGGCGAGCATACCACCCTTGACGGTGTCAGCGGACGTGTGGGCTGCTGTCGGTGGCAAGGACGTACAAGGCGATTCAGGAAGCAAGAAGACATAAATGATGCCCATAGCCCCGACTTGCGACCACTGGCTGTAGATGACGAGCAACCAGTTGTTCGAATCCTTCTTGTTGAGAATCGTGATGACCACCGTGCCAATGAACATGCCGGTGACCCACCTGTAGGTAGGTTGGTCAGCTCCGTGGGAAGCTAGATGGAAAGACGAACCAGAAATTGTAGCAGGAGAGCATAGCGCCACGGATCTTGGAGGTAGGCGACATCTCGGTGAGATAGCACTGCATGGTGACCTGCATCGCACCGACACCAAGGCCAACAAACATTTTGGCCAAGAGCTGTAGGACGTTAATTGAGCCGTTTGCGACCTTGAGGAGCACTCGACTTACCCAGACCCTCCAGTCGCGGGCACCACTTTCACAAGCGCATCCCGCGGCAATGACGACCCAGTAAGAGATCATACACCAGCGACGGCCAAAGCGATCCGAAATAAGAGGAAATAAGTTCATGCCACTGAGGAATTAGTTAGTCCAGCACAAGGCAACATTATTAAATGTACCCACCACCACTGCATCACCGATCCCACAGCGTTCCAGGCCGAAAGAACATCGGCCGCCAGGATCGGGGTTCCGCTCGAGTTGGTCTCCGTCGAAAACTGGTTGACAAAGCCCTTGAATGCGATGATGTTGCCGATCATCGCAATCTAAACAGCATCAGCATTGTCTGGAATGAAGCTCGTACCTGGTAGCCATCTGTGAACGCGCTGAAGGCTGCGACGAAGCAGACGAGGATACCCCTCCAGAACATTTTGACCGTTTCTTTATAGCTAAGGTCGTCCCAGGCCGACCTCACAAACTCGGTTCCCAAACCGCTGTGTTGCACATCGTCGCCTTTGACCTCCAGTCCGTCCGCGTCGTCGCGGATGGAGAGGTGTTCAATGGTAGGCTTTGCCTCGCCTGCCATAGTCGTACTGTCGGCTGTCATCTTGAGGTAGAGCTGATTGAGATCTGATGAGCCAAGGTCGAACGGGTTTGTGGCTCGTCTTTATACCTACCGCTCCATTCAGGGGTATACGCTCATGAGGCGCGGGTACTCCGGATGGCGGCCCCTCGGGGTAAATTCACCCCGCACATTTGATCATCCACAATTGTTGGGTCGGCGTCTTCCCCGCTTGCCCATCGGTCATCAACCGTGCACCGGAGAGCTGGGGGGGGAGCTCCCGAAGTCATCTTCATTGAGAACTGGATAGCCTAAACGCCGGATGTACCAACGCTCCCGTGGGGTACGGCGCAGCTTCTATCCCGAGGAGCAGAACGGTGTCGCTGGTGGCGCCTTGTCCGGTTGAATTTCATTCCGGTTTGACCTCACATGGGGGGGAGTGCTGAACCCGCTATCGCCAACAGTAGTATCTGTGGGCTTGGGGTCATTGAGCATGAGACACCCGACAATGCAGTGGCTCAGCAACGTGACAGTCATGTGAACAGCAGCCGGGGCAGCCGGCACACGGAGACTGCGCGCATTTGGCGATCACGATGCCGGCGGCTGTCCCAGCGGCATTGCCGGCGGGATGATAATCCATTCATCGGTGTATCGCTGATCCATGAACTCGGACCGGGATCCACTCACACAAGACTCAAAAACCGACCACGCAGCGGTCCAAAGTCACCCGCATCTTCTCCCGTCACCGCCAATATACGATGTCTGAGACCTCAGCATTCACAGACTTTGATGTTGCGGACGTCCTATCACGTCTCACGACGGCAAGTTTGAATGGTTAACTATCGCTAACACCCACAGCTTGAGAAGGCTACCCTTTTGAGTGGCAAGGTATGTTGGTCTAAATCTGGATCCGAGTCTGACCTCCCAGAATGGATACTCGAGCGCGTGCTTGCCTCAGCATGGAATTCCTTCCCTCAGAATGTCAGACGGGCCCTCCGCTTGTCGAGGAACAACGTCAGTTCCCGAACTCGGATTGTATGCTTACCAGCCCAGTGTTTTCAACGGCACACCGTAAGCCCGACGACGCTGTGCATGTGCTAATATCTAGGTCAAACTGTTATCCATGCTCCCTTGGCCTTGGGGCCTCATTTGACATTGAACTGGTCGCCGACGTCGCTGGGCAGATAGCCAAAGAAGCTCGGGCCAAAAATGTCCATGTCCTTCTTGCCCCGACGGTGAACCTCGTTCGGTCTCCGCTCGCCGGCCGCGGGTTTGAGTTCTTCAGCGAAGACCCATACCATGCTGGAATGATGGGGGCAGCCCATGTCAAGGCAGTGCAAGCGCAAGGTATTAGCGCGTGCTTGAAGCATTTTGTGAGTATTGTGCCTTGGGGGGAATAGGTCTAACCAATTCCAGATCGCGAATGAACAGGAGACAGAGAAGCACTCCAACGACTCCATTGTCAGTCCTCGAGCCCTGAGGGAAGTATACCTTGAGCCCTTTAGGATTGTGCTCCATGAAGCCAGCCCGCTTTCGATAATGTAGGTCCTATCGTTTATGACTTGAGACTCACCAAAAGGACCTCGTACAACCGTCTGAACGGCCTGCACACTTCGGAAGACAAGTGGCTTCTCCATGATGTTCTGCGACAGGAGTGGAACTGGAAAGGTACTCTTATCTCCGACTGGTATGGTACATACAGCTGCTCAACAAGCATTAAAGCAGGACTGGATATTGAGATGCCGTACGTCGAGGTTTGCTGGAAAGGGACGCTGATACATCAGAGGCCCAGCCCTGTGGCGAGCCGCACCCCAGATTCTGAGTCTCCTGGAAGCTGGCAAGATCACCACTAAAGACATCGATGCGTGTGCCACTCGAGTCTTGTCCCTGGTCAAGCATTTGCTGAAATCGGGGCTTCTCTTCGAAGACGTAGAGAACATTGTCGATACCCCGGAGTCTCGTAACCTACTGCGTCGAGCCGCTGCCGATGCCATCGTTCTCCTTAAGAACGATGCCAAGGTGCTCCCAATCGATCCCTCCAAGCTCAAGCGTATTGCAGTCATTGGCCTCAGTGCAGCCATGGCCCATACCTCGGGCGGAGGTGCTGCTTCAGTGCCAACCGAAACGTTTACAGTGTCCCCACTGGCAGGCATCAAAGGCGCCGTCGAACCGCTCGGGATCCAAGTTGATTGGGCCCCCGGCACCAGCAACTACCGCTTCACCCCACCCCTTGACCCGTATCTGGTTGGCGCAGCCCATCCGGTGGAAATTGAGTTCTGGCGATCCGAGCCGCACGCGCAATGGAAAGACGGTGTTGCTGGAGTGATCCCTTCGAGCGCTGCAGACCACGTACTGCGCGTTTCCACTACGAAATGTTTCATGCACGACGGCGTTCCTGAAGATATCATTAACAACGCCCGCCACGTTCGAGTAAGTCCCCGTGCCACTCTGGCTGTAATCTGTGTTTATCTATCGCTAACATTCAGCTCCGTACCATCTTCAAGGCCCCCCTCACTGGCCAATGGAAGTTTGGCATCTCATCCATTGACCAATGCCAATTCTTTGTGGACGGTACCAACATCGACTATACCACAAACCTTGGAAAAGGCGAGCTTTTCTTTGGCTTTTGCCACGAGGAGCGGTCCATCGTGATGGATCTCCGCCAGGGCCAAGAGTACACAATCGAGCTCCGCTGCTGGGCCACGGGCAAGATGGACTCGTTGCCTGTCAAGTTTTCGGCCGGATTCCAGATCGGAGGAGCTCCTGCTCTGGAGCCGCAGCAGGCGATTGTGGAGGCTGTTGAGTTGGCTCAGTCTGCTGATATCACCATTGTTGTGGTGGGCCTCAACAAGGACTACGAAACGGAAGGCAACGATAGGGACGACATGGAGTGAGGAGTACAGCTATTCCTATTTCGTGACCAAAAGCTGACCTTGTGTAGCCTTCCTGGCACGGCCAATGATCTTGTTAAAGCCATCCTGGCCACCTCGCAGGATGTCGTGGTTGTCAATCAATCTGGAATGCCTGTAACAATGCCTTGGGCAGACGACGCCTCTACCCTTTTACAAGTATGGTTGACGCCACTATTCTTGCTAACACCCCCAGGCTTTCTACGGCGGCTCCAACTTGGGTAATGGCCTTGCCGACGTTCTGTTCGGAAAGGTCAACCCGTCTGGCAAGCTGCCGGTGACGTTCCCGTATGTCCCATCCTGTGCAATGGCTAGCTGGCGCTGATAACGACAGGAGAACGCTTGGGGACACGCCCACAGCCACTGGCTATGGGACCACAGCCGCATCAGTCACCAAAGCCTACTACCAGGAGGTAAGCGTTAGGAAACAGGTGACAAGCTAACGCACAGGATATCTTTGTCGGTTACCGCCACTTTGACCGGACCGCCAGGCTTCCTCTCTTTCCGTTTGGCCATGGACTGTCGTACACCACATTCGAGTATTCCAGTCTGACCGCCACAAACCCGGACGGGCAAGAAGGCAAGTTCAGGATCCAGTTCACAATCAAGAATACAGGCCACCTCTTCGGCAAGGAGGCCGCTCAAGTGTACGTCGCAGACGTCAAGAGCAGCGTGGTTCGCCCGTGCAAGGAACTCAAGGCTTTCCGCAAAGTTGCTCTGGAGCCGGGACAGGCAAGTGAGGTGGTCATCGAGCTGGACAAGCGCGCTCTCTCCTTCTGGGAAGACAGCGAGGAAGGTGGTTGGCGGGCCGAAGCTGGTGTGTTTGAGGTTTTGGTTGGTCCCTCGTCCGCCTCCCTGCCCCTCAAGGTGGAGATCACTCTAGAGCGGGATATTGCCTGGCGAGGATTGTAGTTTGCTGTAGCTGCACGTGCCTTTTATGCAATCAAACAAGAATATGAACGGTTACAAGAGGATACGGAGGCTGCCGTCACCACTTTCTAACATCGAATGGTAAGCAACGAATGTGGAGTGGATTGTGGTTTTGTAGAGCTGTTTAGACCAATGTCTGTGCCCACTTGGCACATGCACACCAATACGCTTAGTGCCTCCCTACGCACAGTGGCGACATGGTCTTCTACTTCATGTTTCTCGGTAGCACAGCGCAGGAGACGAAATGGTGAGATGTACAGGCCCCTGGTGACGCGAAACAACATATGTACTTGGCATAAACTCGGCACCGGCTTCAACCCATGACTCTACCCCATGTGCTGTACAACAACCGGGTTGGCGAATGAGATCCGTCGGGTACGGACTCCGATAAACTTGAGGAGACGCTCCTTGCGCTGGTCAAACGTGCCGTCTACGTCGAGATCGTACGCGGCGATGAGATAGTCGACATCCGATTCTGGCAAACATCAGCGACACTGCAAGAACCAATATCAAGCTCACCGCAAAGCCCCAGGGCGTCCTCGAAGAACTGCGGGAACTTGTCCGGAGGAGGGAGCAGTGGCGGCACTGGTGTCGTGAGGGTCAGACCTCTCGGCAGTGGAGGGCGTCGGTACAGCGGGAGGAGGAACGAGGTCTCGGACGTCGACTTGAGGTTGTGGATCCTGCTGCTGACCCACGAGTGCCTAACGGTCAGTATGCGTCCTTCGCGGTCAAACCAAGCCTAGACTTACTCTACGACTTTGTCCAAGCGCCTGTACATACGGCTGTACGCGTGAAACGCGTCCGTGAGGCGGTCCGGCTGACCGGCCTGTTCTTCGAGCGCGATACTCTTAATTCTGTCCACCAGCCGTTCCTCAAAGGCAGCCAGCCAGGCGGGCTCTTGAGCTGCACTCGTGTCGAGCACGTTTTCACCCGCGACACTGCCCAGCAGACGGGCTGCACTGAGAATGTTAGCAATTGTGCGCAAGCCCAACTTACGCTTCTTGTTTCTCCGCAGTGAGCTTGATTTTGTCCGCCGTGGCCTTGGACTCGGCTGCGATCTCGGTATGGAGCTGCGCAAGTTCGCTCAGCTTGTCGTGCGCCGATGCCGGGGTCGATGAAGATGCCATGGTTGTGCAACGCTTGCAGTGTGTGGTGATACTCAGAACTCTGTGGGAAGAAGATGGCACCAGGCTGGGCCTTTGAGGAGCCTGGTTCCAGAGCATGACGACAACAAGCAACTGTACATACCCATACGTAACTGTGTGTACACACACACCTGTTTCCTCGACATGGTCATGCTTTCACATCTGGACGTCATTCTAGATGACAAGAACATCTACACTGTTTTCGGCCTGACGTACCAGAACTCTCGGCAAAACACGAGTTTCAAGTGGCGTGTTGCTCTCTGACCTCAGCGGCGTCATCTCACACACCTCCATACAATGGCAACGATGAACCATGACCGCAAAGTTACTTAACCCACCCGCTGCTCTCTCCGAGTATGAACTCCCCTTCTTCCAAACCAATCCCCTCATCCCACCATGCACGACTCGGACCCATTCTTCCTCCCGCCTACCGATCTCCTCCCCACCGACCCCCTCCCCGTGGACCCGGACGCGCCATACCTTCTCACTGTCTCGCCTCCCGGTGACCCGCGTTTCGGTCCTATCCTCTACCAGCTTCACTCCCTTTTCCTTCGCGCTGGACCGCTCCAGTCGCGCTTCAGCTGGTGGCTCTACACCTCGGTCCCCCTCTACATTGTCTTTGCGCAGGCGTACATTCTCGTCGGTGGCAAGAAGGGAACCAGGCCCATCCGTGCTGCTCTCGCTGCTGCCTACGTCTCGCTCACGCTGTACAATGTTATGACGTACCGCATTGTCGGTGAGTATCTCTTGCTTGTCGCAGTGGGGCATCAAGAAGATGTCGGGGTCGTGGTCGGATTATACGGGGACCTGCAGACCCACAATAAACCGACTGCCACGCCATGACCGAATCTCACCCATCGATCCTTCCATTCCTCTTGTGACGTTGAAACGCCCTCTGACGCTCCAGACCTGCGCCTCAACCTCTGGAACACGGCCCTCCTGCTTCTCATTATGCAAGTGGGCATCCAGTCCGTCGAGTTTGGTCTGCTCAAGGACCCCATCAACGATCCTTACATGCACTTTCACAAACGCCGGCGTATCGTGGCAGCGTACGACCTCATCCTCAACCAGCGCATGCTCTCCCTCGGTGCTGTGGGCCTCGATGTTGGCGCCGGGCCACCCAATGCCGTCATCAACAAGCTCGATGGCCCCCAGATTGAGCGTCAGTATTCCTTGTCTCGTCCAATGCCCCCACGCCCCAAAACCCGTTTCGGTGCTGTTCTCCGTCACCTGGGGCACACCTTGCGGGCGTACCTCATTCTGGACATTATGATGGGTCTGTCGCAAGTGGCTACCAGCCCCGAGTGGTCTGCCATCCGTGGCGGTACCCTTCCTGCTGAGGCGGACATGATCGACAAGTTGGCTGCCAAGAACCACTTTACGTTGTTCCCCGGCACACTCAACATTCCAATCAGCTCGTGGGGCATCGGCTATACGACTTCATATGCCTGCAACATTTGTGTCTGGGTCGGGTTCACGTTTGCGTACCACATCCAGGCCGCCCTCACCATTGCTTCGGGCCTTTGGGAGCCCAGCTCCTGGGACCTGGACCTCTTCTTTCACCCGTGGTTCGCCGACTCGGTCCTCGATTTCTGGGGCAGGCGCTGGCACCAGATTCTGCGTGTGAGTTCATCTCGGGGGTCCTGTGCCACACACAGCTGACATGGTATGCAGCACCACTTCAACATTCTGTCCATGGCCACCATCAACATCCTCGGCCTCCCGATATCGTCCTACACCATCATCCCCCTCACGTTCTTCTGGTCCGGTATGCTCCACGCCCTCGCCGGTCTCAACATGCATCCAGCTCCCTCGCCCTGGCCGCTTGCTGGGTTCTTCTTTGCCCAGGCGCTCGGCTCGTGTGCCGAAGTCGCGTTCAAGAGGTACACTGGTGTCCGCGTCGGTGGATGGTGGGGCATGATCTACTGCCAGCTCTTCATGATGCTCACCGGCCGCGCTGCCGCCAACTCGTGGATCGACGCCGGTCTCGCCGGCGCGACAGTGACGGCGCCGTATGGCATCGGCAGGATCATCGCTCCCTACATTCTCAAGTCGGAGCGCATCCTCTCTGCCGTGCCATCGATGAACTAGTAGTGCCATAATCAAAACTGTGTGTGTCTCCAAATCCCAGACGTGGAATATGTACTGTACCTGAAAGTGTTCGTGATGTGCATGCATTGTGTCGTTTCTCTGTCATTCGAGCATTCGAGAGACCTCCGCCACCGCCACCCGGCAACTCGGCCCCGCACAAAGGGCTTTGAACGCCGTGCCGGACTGGCCCCCTCCTCCACTTTACACATTGCTTTGGAATACAAATACGCCCAGGTCAAGTACAAATAAACGGAGACGATATCTGTCATCGGTGTTCATGGCGGCGGTGGGCAACTCTTGCGCTAGTGTTTCTCACACATCTCTCCTCTTCTCTCTTACCCTCACCCACCACCCACACAGCACAACTCACCACTCACTCCATTGCAATGATGACGCTCTCGCCCTCCTCGCCGCCGTCACTGGGGGACAAGTTCGCCGCTCTGGCCGAGCTGTATGCCGACCTCGCTATGGCCTCCCAGGCACTGTCGGGTAAACAGCTCGCGTGAGTCATTTGGAAACGTTGACAGCTTTTCGCCTATGTATTGACGCACCGAAGCGCTGCCGACATGCTCAAGGACCTCTCGCGTGACCCGTCTCTGTGTACTACTGCGTCGCAACAGCCACTCGACACCATGTCACAACCACCGCTCTGGCTGGCGAGCTTCGAAGAACGCCTGTTCAGGAAACTGGACACGGCCAAATCCGACTTTACGCAGCAGTCTCCGGCCGTAGAGCCAGAAGCCGCAGACGTTCAAGTGCAGCTGCAAGAGGTCATCAACAGTCGTCTCAAGTGGGTCTCGTGCCGTCAACTTCTCTATGCTGACCGGGAGGCATTCATGGGCAGGCTGTCGAGAAGCCAACTTGCTGCTCCGCAAGTTTGCCAGTCCGAGCCATCCCTTGGAACCGTTCCGCCGAAGGCCGCCACTCCCAGCGAACAGGACCAGGGATACGCCGATACCCCCAGACCTCCTGCCCCCGCCAGACTGCTTTCCCGTCAACTTTGACGAGGCGGTGGCCCTCTCTGGTGAGCTATGATGTCTCTGACGGATTCCTGTAGCTTACATACACAGCACCGGCCGTGTACAGCCTCCTTGTGGATTACGAATTGAGCACAGAAGGCGATTCCAAGGCGAGGAAGGATCGTCTCTTCCAGTTCATTGGAGTGTAGTGAGACCCGGATGACGGGTCGTGCCGGCGTGTGTCTCGGTCGTGTGCGGAGCGGATAGTGTTCTAATAGATATCAGTGGCCTGCGGGGTTCCATTCCATGCATGCGGGGTTCGGTGCAGTTCCCCTGCTACTGTGGCCGGCCCCTTGTTTGCGTCGACAGGTCAACATGACTACCACTGAAACCTTTCACCCCCTGTGTTCGTTCACCTCATTCACCTGCGCCATAGCCGCCTGTTGAAAAGGGCTGCAGGTGTAGTGTTACAATCAGATTTAAAGGCTCCAGTGACGACTAGCCAGAAACCTGACTTCTGAACGCGACTGTGACCATGAACCTAGGCGCATTACATGACAGATTTTGGATTTTCTGTTTGTTTTCACGTCTTTTTTTTTAAACTACCTTTCCGTCAGTTGCCCCTCACTATTCGATTTCACAGCCGCACTTAGTGGGATATGCCGCGTCTGACTCCAACCTTGGCATCAACACGGTGTATATCCAAGTTCGACTCCCCCCTCCGCAATGCTGACGTGTGGACAACTAGTGGACGGTGTTTGATCGCGAAGAAGATGCTAAAACCTTGGATATCCACTGATTGCCTTTGTCCGTCCACTGGCCACTGGACAGTCACCGTACCAGGAGACAGCCTTCCACAGGCAGCTCCAGGGACCTCACGTTGGGGATACGCTGCTGTCCTGTTCCTCGGATCTTTGCGCAGATTTGCTGCGAGCCCTCTGGGCATTGGGCCATGTCAGCCCAGTGGCCAGTGGCCAGTGGACGGGCCCAGGCAAGCGCGACTATCAAAATCAGCGATATAATTTGAAGACAGACCGCAGCAAGGGCCAAAGGTAGTGCTGAGTTGTGGGGAGGTACATCTTTTGCACGTCTTGGCACGGTCCGTGCGGATTCTGCTGAATTGTGTTATTGTCCGTATCAGGAGACTGGTGTAGGCTAGGGCCAAACTTGAGACTTCTTTCTATCTTGGTCGTCTGCATGCACGTCGTGGGTCAACGGTGCGACGGAGAAGGAAGTAGTCACCGAATGCGAGACATGAGTGAGATGCCACAAGAAGGAATAGTTGTGGACAAGCCAGAAGATCGCCCTTTGTGTCGGACGGACAGCTACGGAATTTTACGATTAGACCGCGTCACTGCCCCCCGGTGGCCAGTGGCATGTTGGCGTTTGGGTATATGTATGGGCCTCTTTGACCAGCAACCTTCCACTCTTGTCGCCCTGGTGGGTCCTACGTGCTGCATCGTCAGACTGAATCCCTGGCAGAGGGCCGTCCGTATCCTGGACACGCATCCCTTCCACCGAACGCCGAACGCCGCGTGTGTTCGAGGGGTTCGGAACCGCATAGGAGAGCCCGCCGCCTCTGCCGTCTGTCCACTCCCAACTGGCAGCCAGAACCCCAACAGCAGTAAGGAACTGGCGGGCAGTTGCTCGGAACTCATTTCGGAAGTAATCACCTGTGCGTTGTTGGCCCCTATGTTCCTGCACGTACTGGCGGGGTCGGCTGGCCCGGCCCACAGGACACATGTGTACATGGCACCTGACAAGGCAAGGGGAGCCGGGGTTGCGGAGGTTGTGAGGACCAACGAGTTGCAAACGAAACAACGGCTGCACGCGCCAGATCGTCCGTGAAAGCCCCACGAGCATGTGCGATGGGCCAAAGACGACCACCCCCAGTAGCCACGGCGTAGACGCCATCTACGCCATGCAAGCCCTCTCCGAAAGGGTCTCCTGTGGCCACAGGAGCCTCTGGGCTTTGCTCAGGTATGCTCGTAGCAAACTGGGCAGGCTGGGCAGCGAGTCCCGGCGGGGCGATGGAGAGGGGGGTACCTGGGGTTCGTGGCGGCAGGGCTCTGTGGGGGGTGTAGAGAAGCGTCAGCTGCGTCGGACGGCGACTATGGGAATGGTACCAGGAACGGCACTGTGATGTTGTCTTGCGGGACGTGGTGGCCTTTCCTCTCTCTCATCACTTTGTCTTTTACTTTCTCACTGTCGCCCTTGACGACGCTCATATCTATTCACATCCGCCCCCTTCTCGTCGTTCTGCATTCCAAAACGCAGTGGCTCGGTACTTTGCGTTTCAAGTCAAAAAGTCGGCCACACCAGAGCGAGCCTCACAGTGGCCAATCCCCCGTCTGAGTCTTGGGCTTGTCCTGGACCGGTTCCTGCCTGGGTTGTCCTTGCATCCTCCATCGACGCCGACAACGCCCAGCAAGCTCAGCCAGCAATTGAAGGTACCGTCATAAGCTCCAGGAGAGTTCGCGGCCGAACCTCCGTTAGCTTTAGTCCGTTTGGCTCGGCGGTCAGCAAGCCAGCAATCTTTGTTGTTGCTGAGGATCCCCCACATTATCCACCATCAGCCAAAAGTAGCCGTTGGACCACAAACAATAGCTGCAGGCAGCATCCAGTCTTGCAAACACAGCACAGTCGCCGACCATGCGCGTCCTGCGAGTAAGCTCAGAGAAACGTACAGCCAATGGCACGAGCTAACGTCCAGGTCGCGGTCATGGGGGCTGGAGGCGTTGGCAAGTCTGCCATCACAATCCGCTTCATCAACGGACACTACACTGAGATGTACGATCCAACGAGTGAGTCTCGACACCTGGGCTTCACGAGGATACCGTCGCTGATGCAGCTATTCGCTACCTCTCTCTTCTTCTCCGTTGCCTACCTACATCCCAATCATTACCATGCGTACCACCCCACAAACACACCACCACCACACGAAACTCACCTCGGCTCGGCTTCCTCCGAACCGACCCTTACTCCCTCGCGCCTCCCTCCCGTGGCTTCCGTCTCTTGGCTTGACCATGGCACATGTGTCCATCACGACCGCTTATTTGGGTATGCAGTAGAAGACTCTTGTGAGTAAACAAACAAATAGCTGGGTCGGAGCCTGTTCTGTGCCCGTGAACCGAGAGGGACCTAGAGTTACTAACGGCCGTGCTCAGACCGCAAACAATTTGAGGTCGACGGCAGTGCCTGCCTCATTGAGATTCTGGATACAGGTGGGTATTCATGGGCTCTGGGACACCGGGAACATGCCTGTGCAAGGAGCTACGGGGTCTGTTTCTGCCCGCAACCCTTTACCGTTGCTCTGCGTTTTGTGGCTTCGAGGCCAAAACGTTCAGAATGGACGGAGCGCCACGCTTCTGCGGCAATTGAATCACATCAACCCGCAAATGACCGCAGCAACGGAAACGCGTGGTGGCTCAATGCTCCACGCTCCACACGTCCCCCACGCGGGTCCTCAGGACTGGGTGGACGCGTCGGGCGGCGGGATGACGAGCTCTAGGCACTTCCGTTGGAACATGGCTAATTACGGCAGCTGGCATTGATCAATACCTGACCATGACGGACTTGTTCATTCGAGAGTGAGTGCAGCTATGCTTTCCAATGTACATTGACCAGCTGCTAACTCTGCAGCAATGACGGGTTTGTCTTGGTATTCAGGTGAGTACAGCTTGGCACTCTGCTCGGGATTCCAAACTGACTCTGTCGCCAGCTTGACCCAACAAGACTCGCTGGAAGAGTTGAAACGCACACGGCAGAGTATCCGCCGCATCAAGTCGATCAATGGGGAGCATGTTCCCTTAGTACTGGTGGGGAGCAAGTGTGACCTTGAGGACGAGCGCGAGGTAGACACAGCGACAGGAGAGAAGCTCGCGGCAGAGTGGCACTGCCAGTACCTTGAGACCAGCGCAGTGAGTCGACCGCTCTGTTGATCATAGGGCTCGTGCTAACACCCCCAGCGTGAAAACATCAACATCATCCAGGTGTTCGAGTCCATTGTTCGCCAGCTGCGGGTACACGGCACGCTCGGCCGTAAAGCCTCGAGAAACGACCGGCTGAGGCGCGAGACGACCCGTGGCGCGCACAGTATTCGCGGGCGGGACGGTGACGACAAGAAGTGTGTCATCATGTAAACCACCCCAACCCCCAACCTGTGTGTGTGGGACTTCTCCAGCTCGATGCTGGAGACACTCGATTTCACCACCCATAAGACCCTGGAGGTCTGATAGATCCCCAGCACCAACTATCATCCTCGACGGCCAGTCAAACCCCCATAGAACCAGAACCGCCCCGGCACCACCGACCGACACTTGTCGATAGCACCCAAGGCTATGTATCTAAACCAGCAACACCACCACCCGTAGTGAGACGAGCAACAACGACTCTTGATGATAACGATTACCTTTTTCTGCAAATGCATAATCGACAGGAACGCTCCCGTGGCGCCCCAGTGTTCTAACAGTCTACGAAGTGGTGCGGGGGGCCTTATTCCCGGCCACCAAACTCCCAACTTCTTCTGCTCTCAAGAGCACAAAAGAACAATACTGCTTGCTCTTTTTCTCCAGCTCGTGTGCCGGGTTTACGACTCTTCCGGGCGGTCTGTTCGTTCGTTGTCAGCGCTGTTCGGGAGCAGATATGAGACATGAGGCGCACGCCCTCAGCGCCAGGTTTGGCCTATGGACGGGGTGACGAGCGGCGTCTGAGCAGGGTGTATTGGAATGGGGTAGCGGTTGACCATGTGAATGTTTGGGTGTGGTGGAGGTGTGGGGCTGGCAGGGTCGTTGCTACGGCAGGCGCCGGCAAGGCGCTGAAGGGTTGTGTGTCACCTGCTCTCACCAGCACCAATCGCAGCGGCGCCCGGCCAAGGCCTATAGGCCTATACCACCATCCACCACCTGCGGCCATCGCCGCCGTTCATGTCTGTGTGGTAACTCACTGATAAACTTGATACTGATAAACTTGAGCACCTCGTCAATGACCACCACAGGAGCCGAGATCCAGAGCACGGCCTGCCACTCCTGCCAGTTGAGAGGGAGGATCTGGAAAAGCTCGTTGAAGAAGGGGACGTAGAGGATCATGAAGTGGAGGGCCATGGAAAGCGCAATGGCGGCAACGAGGTACGGGTTGGTCCAGAGCGGGAGGGCGAGGAGGGACTCATCCTCGGAAAGCGAGTTGCACGCGTTGAACATTTCGATAACAACGAGGATAGACAGCGACACGGTCGTGGCGCGCTTGGCACTGTCTCCAGTGAAGATGCCGCAGTCGAGGTTGGGGAAGGCGGAGGGGGAGCACTGGTGGAAGTGGGTGAGCTCGTAGAACGAGATCTGGGGACCACCCTCGTAGTCCATGAACCACCAAGCGTAGCCAAACACGGTGGCGGCGCCGACATACAGGCCGATAATCATGTAGCGGATAAACAGCCAGCGGCCGACGAGCGGCTCGTTGGCGTTACGGGGGCGCGTGCGCATGATCTGGTGGTCGGGGGGGTTGAAGCCCAGGGCCGTGGCCGGGAGGCCGTCGGTGATGAGGTTGACCCACAGGAGCTGCACGGGGATGAGGGCCTCGGGCATGCCGAGCAGAACAGTGAGGAAGATGGAAACCACCTCGCCAATGTTGGACGAGATCAGGTAACGGATAAACTGCTTGGTGTTGTTGTAAATGACACGGCCTTCCTCGACGGCAGACTCAATGGTGGCAAAGTTGTCGGTGGCAAGCACCATGTCCGCGGCGAGCTTGGCAACGTCAGTGCCCGAGCCCATAGCGATACCAATGTCGGCCTTCTTAAGGGCCGGAGCGTCGTTCACACCGTCACCAGTCATGGCAACCACGAGACCAAGACCCTGCAGGAGGTCGACAAGGAGAGCCTTGTGGCTAGGCTCCGTACGGGAAAAGAGGCTGGCACGCTGGACGGCGGCGACCTTGTCCTCGTTTGAGAGCGCGTCAAATTCACGACCAGTGTACGATTTGCCGGTGAGGTCCTCGTCGTCACCAAACACGCCAATGTCGCGGCAGATGGTCTCGGCAGTGTTCTTGTTGTCACCGGTAATCACAATGGTCCTGATACCAGCGGTACGGCACTTGGCAATGGCGTCGCGCACCTCAGGACGAGGAGGGTCGAGCATGCCGACGAGACCGACAAAGGTCATATCCTGCTCGAAACGAACGTAGTCGGCCGAGCTCTCAGACTTGTAGTGCGAAACGTTGTCGTCCGACTCGTCAACGTATGCGAGAGCGAGGGTACGGAGACCCTTGCGGCCGTACTCAAGCTGACGGTCGGCAAGGAGCTGGCGAAGGGCAGGGGTGAAGGGGGCAGGACCGGTGGGGAGGAGAACCTTGGTGCAGCGCTCCATGACGGACTCGGGAGCGCCTTTAACCAGCAGCGAGAGACCGCCGGCCTCTTGGCGAGCGAGGACGGACATGGACTTGCGGTCACGGGTAAACTCAAAGGTCAAGACACGGGGGATGCGCGACTCGTAGTGGTCGTTGACAGCCATGACGCGGTCCGCAGGCGACAGGTTGGTAAGAGCCTTCTCGTTCCAAGCCTGGTTGTCCGAGCCGAGCTTCTCAACGAGGACCTTCATGGCGGCCTCGGTGGGCTCGCCAACGTTGGTGTACGTGTCCGACTCGGCATTGTAGGAAACCTTGGCGTCGTTACAGATAGAGCAGATCTCGACGAGCTTGTCAACGGGAGCAGTGCGGACCTCGGCGCGTTCACCGTGCTTGCCTTCGAGGGTGGTGACATCACCCAGAGGGGCGTAGGTGGTACCACCGACCTGGTACTCTGCGACGCCGAAGCCAGACGAGACAGTGAGGAAGCGAGCGACGGACATCTGGTTCGTGGTGAGGGTACCAGTCTTGTCCGAGCAGATAACGTTGGTGCAGCCCAGAGTCTCGACGGATGGGAGGTGACGGACAATGGCGCCGCGCTTGGCCATTTTCTTGGTACCGAGTGCGAGACAGGCAGTGATGACGGCAGCGAGACCCTCGGGGATCGCTGCGACGGCGAGCGCAACAGCAATCTTGAGGTAGTAGATGGCGCCCTTGAGCCAGCCGTGGTGGCTGGGGTCGTTGAAGTGACGGATGTTGACGAGCCAGACAAGGATACAGATGACAGAGATGACCTTGGCGAGCGAGTCTCCAAAGTCGTCAAGCTTGCGCTTAAGGGGAGTCTTCTCGTCCTCGTCATCGTTGGAGATGCTCTGGTGAATAGCACCGAGAGCAGTCTTCTCGCCAGTGAGGACAACGAGCGCACGGCCAGCACCGTTCACCACAGTCGTGCCCGAGAACAGCATGTTGGTCATGTCCTGCTTGACGGCCTTTTCGTCATTGACGGCATCCTCGGTCTTGCCAACCGACATGGACTCGCCGGTGAGCATGGCCTGGTCGACACGGAAACTGCTAGACGAAAAGGACAGAATACGGCAGTCGGCGGGGATGCGGTCGCCGACGTGCACGCTCACAATGTCGCCGGGGACGAGCTCCGAGGCCGAGATCCGCTGCAGCTTGCCGTTGCGAAGAACATGGGCCTCGTCGGGCGAGTACTCCTTGAGTGCGTCGATGGCCTTCTCGGCCTTGGTCTCCTGAATGACGCCGACGGCGGCGTTGGCAACAAGAATCAACAGGATGACAAGGGGCTCGACAAAGGCTGTCATCCACGATGCGCCGGGCTGCGACTGGTCCTCGAACAGCGCCAGCACAAACGAGACGACGGCCGATCCCAACAGGATAAGGACCAGCTGGTCCTCAAACTGTGCCAGAATGAGTTTCCATATCGAGTTGGGGGCGGCCTCGGGGAGGGCTAAAGGTCAGTCAGGTTGGACGTCCGACAACGTACTGTTCTCGCCGTATAGTTCGCGGTTCTGCTTGACTTGCTCGTCGCTCAGACCTGTCTTGGCGTCGACACCATAGAACGCAAGCGCGTCCTGTTGCGTGTACGTCCACGCGGTGGCGAGCATTATGTGTGTAATGTGTGTCTAAAGTGTTGTCACCAACAAAAAGGGACGGTAATGAGCGGCGTGGGTGGGCGTTTTGGTATAGAAAGGGGTCTCTTGTTTCGGTGGGATCGGTGGAGGCCGGCTGAAATGAGTGGAACCTGCTGGCACGGGAAGCGCCGTCTGCAGAGTGGAAGACGAGTCGACGGAGCAAGACTTAGTCTTTGTGAACCTCCCTTTTGTGTGAAAGATGAAGAGGATGCACGAGGGAGCTGTGTTACGCCGCCCAAAAGTCGGTCGTTGCTCGCTGTCAGCTCTCGCTTCCACGTCCCCGCCGGCGTACGTGTGTGGGCGCTGGGTCTCTCCAGGGTGGGCGCCGCTCAGTATCGGGCCGGGTGGCGCGGAAATGTATTACGTAAAACGGTGTGGCGCGCTCTGACGCGTCCAGCCGGTGGAGGTTGAGACGGGTGTCTTCATCGGACGTCCAGACAACAACGAACACATCCTCAGTGACGGCGACCACCACCCAACACACACACTCTCTCTGTGGGAACCATGCAGTCGGTTCTATACCACTGCGCTCATCTAGAGGAACCACGCGCTCCACTCCCGCCATCGTACCCGTCAAGCTTTGCAGACTTTGCACCTCTCAACCACCTCTACTTCTGCGAAGAATGCGACGCCATCAGGTGTGACGACTGCGTCGCCATAGAGGTCGCCAGCTACTACTGCCCCAACTGCCTCTTTGACGTTCCCGGAGCCAACGTCCGCGCAGACAAGAGCAGGTGAGGTCTTTCAATTCACGAGCGGCTCTAGCTGACAAAACAGATGTGCACGGTCCTGCTTCTCGTGTCCCGAGTGCTCAAGCTGTCTCAACGTCCTCGCCTCCGAACAAGCCAGTGACTCGTCGCGGGCGGCCACGGCCTCGGGTACCTCTGCAACGCACTCGAGCAGTGCACCTTACCTCCTCTCGTGTCCGGCATGCAAATGGTCCTCCAAAGAGATTGGCTGGAAGTTTGACAAGCCCACAAGTCTTGCCAGTGGGTGTCTGATGCTCACGCGGCTGCTAACCTCTCAGGCCAACTGTCCCAAGTCTACTCTGCACCAGAGGATGTACAGGCAGAGTTTGATGCGCTCAAGGACCACCTTGAAGGCTACATTTCCCAGTCAGCGCCGCCACCCACGGCCGGGAAGGGTTCTGGACACCATCGCACTCCTTCTCGACACATTGCGCAGATCACCCAGGCGGCTGCGCGCGCTCTGAGACGCGAAGTACCCGGCATGGGTGGCCCACGTACAGGTGCAGCAGCGAGGAGAAAGGCCGGAGAAAAGAGCGACAACAGGGCTGGATGGGACCAGCTTGCGCCATACGAGGCCAAGGACAGCTGGAAGGAGGAAGGCTTGCAGCGTGGAGTGGACGACGTCGACACCATGCGCAAGCTGACAGGCGAAGAGGTTGCTCCGATTGAGAAGCGGTGGACGAGCGCATGGGAACCGCCACGCATGTCAAGGTTAGTTGGGAGGCCTTGCGTTAGCTGACGTGCGTTCCAGCGAGACGATGCCTCAGAGGATACCGCTGCAGGCCAAGTTGACCAAACGCTGCCCGCACCCTACCTGCCGACACATTCTCATCCAGCCAGACACCAAGACTGTGCGGATGCTTATCAAGATGGTGGGAGGAAACTATCTGCCAGCCATTGAACTTGGCCGTCGGCGGCGCCGCCTCGTGGACGAAGCACTTGACGGCCTCACCGAGGAGGAGCTCGAACGCAGGAGACGCGAACGCCGGCGTACGCGTATCAACCTCGCCCGTGAAGAGGACGAGGACATGACTGAGCCCCTGCACCCAGGAGAAGTTGTACGTAAACAAGTGACATTTGAAAAGTTCCTTGCAATGAAAGAGCGTCACGCGCTGACACGCATGTACAGTACACGTTTCAGCTTGCATTCACCAACCCTCTGTACGACCCGGTCCAGGTCCGACTGGGTGCGGCACACCAGCCTCGAGGCCCAGTTCAGCCTAGCCACCACATATTCACGCCCACGGCGCATTTCACTGTCGGTCCACTCAAGGATGCGTGGGCATACGACGAAGAGGACGAAGATGACAATGTCGAGGACGACGCTGGTACTGGAGGTGCTGCCGGTCACGGTGGCGACTCTGTATCCGAGCGAGCCAAGGCGCGTATGAGCCTTGCGGGCTTGCCTTCTTCGCGGCACCGTGGCCGCGAGGCTGAGGTGGAGAAGAGGGGTAACGTTACAAAAGTCGGTCTTGAAGTGGAAGTGCTGCCAGGTGCATCGGGCCCTGTCGAGGTGAGTTTAGTCTTTAGTGGTTTCGTGGACGGTGGGTGGTGGTGGTCTGGGCCCGAACCGCGGAGAGCTGTCCCAGACCCGCACCCGACATCTGGGTCTGGACGAGTATCCATACGCACGGGCTACACCTGGATGACGGGACAAGGGGGGGGGGGGGGGGGGGGCCTGAAAGGGCCGTTGTTCGGAGGGAGGTTTGGACGAGGCCGGAGGCGAGCGCTCTGCAAATGAACTGACACAGTGTGCCTGGTGGACCCCAGTTTGACCTCGAGATCCGATTCACCTACCGTGCAGACGACGCTGAAGGTGGAGCCGGCCCTGCTGAAGGACCTGGGGAGGCAGCAGTCACAGGCAGCGGAAAAGACGCCAAAGAAGAGTACAAGACGTTTACCTTTTGGACGCGCGTGTGTGCAGGCGAGGTGTTGTAGATGGTGGCGGGCGGGAGTGCATGTAACAATGAGTGAACGCCATGGCTTGGGCTTGAGCGAGGCTACGAGGCAGGACATCAGAGACATGGACGCGGCAGTGGCTGTCGATGGTCAGCCTGGTTTGGGGCTTCTGACCCAACGTGTGTGGACAAGCACGAGGCCAAATGGTGCACCACCGCCAGGGGGAATCGAGCTTGCCGGGCCCGCTGACATGCAGAAGGGTGGGCAGGCAGAACGAGATGGGGCCTAGACAAGAATGCAGCTTGCAAGACGAGCGCAAGACCCCCCTCTGTGTCTCGCCCGTCCACCAGTGTTCACCATCCTCCCGAGACCCTCCCTCGCCGCGTCGGCCTACCCTTGTCTCCAATTCAATCATCACTCGTCGTCTTGCCATTACACCACGTCCTACACTCCACTCCATCCTTTCGCCGCCTTGCCATCACTTCGTCCACTGCATAACCCCCTTCCCCTCCTCCCAACCCACCTCCATTACTGGTGGAGAGTGACGAGAGCGCCGCGCGCACAACCCCGGTGGGCGCACCCACGCACCGACCTTTTCCACCGTGTCCTCGTCCGCTCCTCACCCTCCTCCCTGCCGCCGCAGCCAGCCCACCCTTCCTCGCGCGTACACACGAGAGAGCATCGTCGCTCCCCACCGCGACCATGACGCTGCCTCGCTCGACTGGCAGCCTGCTCATCACCACCTCGCCAGATGAAGGAGGTCTTCGTTATGACATCTCGCGTACGTGTGCCCAAACTCCTTCCCACACTCTCCTTCCTGGCGCTTCCTTTCAACCCCTCCTCATTACCCCTCTCTCCCTCACTCTTCCCTCTCTCTTTCCTCCAACCCCCCCGGGACCCCAGCATGAACGCATGTGCGTCGCCGGTTGCGCGCATCGTCTTGCGGACTCACCGCGCGGCGCGCCGTCTGCCGGCACGCGCGGCGATGTGACAAGGCAACTTCTCCACTTTCGCGTAAGCGAGATGTTGCTTGGCGAGTACATGTTTAACTTTGACCTGCGCGTACACAAGCCAAATCATATCTTGGATGTGTGCACTTGTGTCCATGACTGGACGCGGGGTGCATGTCATCCGTCATTTGCAGAGACAGCCAGACGGCACATGCTACCGCGGCAGCCAAAACATGCGCCGAAGTGCAGAAAACGTTACAACCAGCTTGCAGCCTTCCGTTGTCGCTGTCCATATGCTCACACACCCCACAGCCATGTCCGACTATTCGACATCCGTGTCCGATGGCGGCCCTCTAAGTGGGCCAAACCGGCGCTCAACGGGTGCATCGGAAGCGCTGCAGTACTACTGGAGCGCATCAGCCGGCGAACGATCGGCCTCGGTGTCGTCTTCCCTCGGCATGTCCCCCATCGACTCGTCGCCGCGTCCGGGGCAGCTCGGCTCCCCATACTCCCTCTCCCCGCACCCAGTACTACACGAGGCCAAGTCGGCCGTCTCCCTCCGGGAGCTGGTCCAGCAGGAAGCCGAATATGAACACGAGCAAGGCCGAACGCCAGCTCCCTGGGAGGTCGAGATGGGCACCCACCTGCCAGACATGTCATACAGCGGCGGCAGTCTTGGCGGTCTCAGCGACCTGCGTGAGCGAGAACGCGAACGTGATTCGGCATCATCGTCCACCATGGGACAGAGCAACCGGCACATTCACCTCGTGTCGTACTCAAGTGACGGTAGCATGAGCCGCATGGCATCGGGCACGTCCGTACCGTCGATCCAGAATGTCACACCACCGAGCCCCAGCCGCTCGTCCCTCTCCGGTGAGAGCGAGTACTCGCTTCTCGAGGAGGATATGACTGGCACGACGGCCATGCCACGCCGCAACGACCCCGTCGAGGTGCGGCAGAGCAGGCTACCACCCCATCCGGACCTCCAGTCCCACCGCCTAGGTGTCATTGACACCAACGGCGACCTGGGTATGGGCGCCCTGTTGGATCCGTCGTTTGACGAGTGGACACAGCAACGGCCATGGAGGGAGTCGGGCAATGCCAGTCCCCGCAGCCCGGTCGTGCAGTCGTCACCCTTGCAGTCACCGACTGAGATCTGGAGCACCCCGACACAGGGCGCGCCTGCTCTTCGGTCACCCATCGCACCCGTGGGCAGCTGGACGCGTTCATCGTCTCCTGGAAACTCTTCCAATGACCGCACTCCACGCAACAGCACACAGTCGCCACGCACACCGCGCCAAAACAAGTCGTTCAGGCCCTTGACGAGCGGACGCTTGTTATTTGTCGCACCACCAGACGTTTCCCCTGGCAGCCTCGACGCGCTCCAGCGCGAGTACGCAGGCATGAACCTCAAGCACGGCGGTCGCCTAGGCGGACTGTCTGTCCGAACGTATGGACCCAACGACGAGCCCGACATGCCACACAGCGCGCCGGCCAGCAGGACTGCGTTTGGTGACATTGAGCTGCCAGGGAGCGGGCCGTTTGGGCGCGTCCGCCCGACTTCCCTCCTGCCACCTCCCACCACACCCCTGGAGTCAACGTCGTCGCCGAAACTACCACAACAACTGGCCATCCCATCCCCACGCTCGTCACCAAAACCTATGATACGGTTGAGCCCCGAACCACCACCAAAAAGCGAGCTACGGAGAGCGTAAGTTTGGGCCCGCGGTTGTCTGGACTTTTGAAACTCCAAACGCTGACACGTTGCCGGCAGAACCCCCGAACCTCCGACCAGTGCCTCGAGGTCCGGCTCATATCCGTCAAGGGCGGCAGTGACCACCCCACAGCTCTCACCCAAGCATTCCATGGCCGAACTGCCGACCATCATCAACACTCCTCACACCCCGGAAGGCCCATCGCGCAAGGTTCAGACGGCGTCAGTTCCTGGGTCTGCACAGTCCAGCAGGTCGACGGCGGCACCCCCACGCACACCAAGGTCGCGCTCCACGTCGCCAGGACTCTCACCAGGAAACATCGGACCATTGCCCACATCGGGTACTATCCAGGATCTCACCGACATACTCGGCGGCGCAATTGATGAGATTGGACTGATCGACTCGCGCGACACTCCACCACCCATGGTCGCCGAACCCTCCAAAGAGGCCACTGGCAGCAAGCCGCTGATGCTCGCCAATGTGCCTCCACGGTCGACGTCGACGGCAACTCCCCCAACACCGGCTCCCCCGGGGACGCTCATGAGCGAACCGGCCGAGTTGTCCCCTACCACTTCCTCTGGCTTCTCGACCTCCCCCACCTCGCATCCACAGTCACAACCTTTTGCGCAGCCTCCCCAGTCGCAGCCCTTATCGCAAGGCAACGTTGGCCTGGGGCTGATGGGCTCTGTTGGTGTTGGGGCCGCGATGGCAGGTGTCGGAAACAATGTCTCCAACGCCAGCACAAACATCGCAAACGCCAGCTCCAACCTCGCCAACACTGGCCGCCAGCAGGTCCAGCGTCACGTCCGCAAGGCATCATCCATCCTCTCCATCCGCTCGAGCAATCTTTCGTACGGCTCGGCACCAACGTTCTCACAGGCAGGCGCACTCCCCACCGCCGTGGTGTTTGGAAACATCAAGGCTCTCAAGACTTGCGGCGAGCGGGCCCGAGCGTATTCGCGTGGCGTCCAAGACCTGGCCCGAGCGGATTCTGGCCTGCGCGACTGGTGCAACAATGCTCGTGAGTACAACCGTGGCGGACGTGTGTGTGGAGCTCGCTGATGCATCTCACAGACAGCGCTCCGCGTGTAAACAATGTGCGCCCGAAACAGGCGGCGATGGGCCAAGGACTCGGACTCGGGCTGCGGTCCCCCGATGGTGCCGGTGCGCCTCTGGGTCTTGCGCCGCCGTCAATGCGCAATGTGTCGGCGAGCTCCGAATTCCCCACGCGAGCCGATGCGTACAGCGCACGCGAGATCATGGTCCGCAACATGGAGCCCTCGGATGAGCCCACTGCGCTGCCTCCCAACCTGCCGTACCCGCAGCTGCAGCTCAACAATGTCAAGACATCAAACTCGATGCAGAGCATCACCAGCGTGGCTTCCAAGGCGAGGAACGCCGGCGGCGGCTTATTCTCGTCTGCATTTGGGCGCTTGAAGAAGGACAGGGAACCAGGAATCACCGGCCTCGGACCTCCGAACAGTAGCTCGCTTCTGAGCCTGTCGCCTTCTGCGTCTGCGTCCAAGCGCAGCCTCTTGCCGCCCGTACCCGCCTCTGCGTCCGCAAGCAGTCGCGAGTCACTCGACACTGGAGTGGACGGCAACAGCGACCGCCGTGTGCAGCCGTCCCTCGCCGTTCCCCGGGGACCCCGAGGACCCGGTGGTTCACCCTCCTCCGTCCTGGACGGTACTCCGGCACGGTCGAGCTTTGACATGCCCCGTCCGATCTCCTACGTACCAGCACGCGCCAGCCTTGACGGACAAACACGCCCAAACCTGGCTGGCCGGGGTAGTAGTAGCGGCACCAGCAGCGGCGGCTTTAACTGGTCCAGTCCCGGGTCGACGTCGACCAATACGCCTTCGCCCTTGGCCCGTGGAGACAGTCGTAATGAGAACGACAACGGCAACGACAACGTGCGTGAGGACGACCTGCGCCAGATGAGCGACGCGCTTCCTCACGCGGAACGACCCGTTGTCCGCTCCTATCTCCAGCGGTACGGGGCGCTGACCTACGCCATGACGTGAGTGGCGATGGACGTGATGTGATGGAGGGCGAGAAGGAACGGTACTGACAACGACACAGGGCTTACATTGAGGACGAAAAGCAAGGCACCCTGATGCGCGTCTAAACTGCCTATAGTACAAGTAATAGCTTTATCTACCCGTATGTCATCTGTATTGTGTAGGACACGCTTGGGAGTGGCGAGTCCGAGTAGCCGTGTAGCCGTGTGGCCGTGAGGGAAGTGTGCTGTGGCGTGTGGCGTCCGTGATAGCTTCTCGTCTCCGATGATGCGTCCACTTTTGCCCATCCACTCCTTCCGCGCATGGCGCAAGACTCTCAAAGTCGAGCCGTCTAAGCGACACAACTGGCGTCGAGGGTGACGCGAAGCACACGCAGTACTAGAGTCGTGCCAAGTGGTGGACCTGGCTAAGGGTCGTTGCATGCCCCACCCAAGATTGCCACCTGAGAAGACGCCTGAACGGAAGGCGTCGCGATCCGGCCCGACCGAGGGTTCGCTCGGTGCGACATTGTCGATTCTCCATTGTACTCATCGGGTTCCAGAGCACCGCGGAGCAAGGGGAGAGCGGAGAGCGGGCATGTTGGGGATGAGAGAAGGATGATAGCAAGGTGGTACGCCTGTATGGTGTAAACCGGTATGCAATAGGGGCCGTCGACTCTCTGACCCCACACTATCGTGGCCAGCTGGTGATTTCGGGCTGGACGGCATTCCTCACTCATCTTTCAAGACAACTGGAATTACGTCCGTCACAGAACGACACATATACCACGACCACAACGACGAGTGCCATTGCGCATTCGGACACGACTACCAGCACAGCAGCCGCTACCACCTGTAACATTCGCCCCAGCACGCACGGACTACGCCGACCACCGCTGCGTTCTTCCAAGTGACCGGCACTGCACCACTCTCTGCGGTACTGCTAGACCAACACACCATTTCCTCACGCTCAAGTTCAAGCCCAAGCTTCCACGAGACAGAAGACCGATACATATAGTGCCCAAGCTGGACGTCGACAGCCCCCTCAACATCGCTTCTTTACACGACATGCCCCTGTCCACGCCGCGAAGCAGCGAGAGTGGCGTTCGGGTGCAGGGCTCACCAGCCGGTTCGCCGTGGGATGACGTCCACAGCATGAACCGCCACAGCAACCACCACCCGGCCAGCAGCAACTCGACGCAGTACTCGACTGCACAGGACAGGAGCATGTCCCAGGACTCTCGTGGACACACCCCGATACTGTCCCACGCGACCGGTGGTCGCCACAGCGTCCCGCACTTGACCCACAAGTATGCCCAAGTCGACTTGAATGACCTGTCGGTGCACCCGTACGCCCAATCGAGCACGAGCAGGTTCGGTATGGGCATGAGCACTTCCAGTGGGCTGTCCACGGCGTCCATCGGTCTCGGAGGTGGGCGCAGTGCCCAGAGCCATCCATATGCGCAATCGAGCAGTAACAGTCACTATGGACTGGGCCACCACGGCAACGGCAGCCAGTTCTGGGACGCCGACGCCGACGGGGGATGGGACAGTCCCGATTGGGAGATTAAGCGGGAGGCCCAGCTGGAGCAGGAGCGACGAGAGCTTGCTCTGGAGAAGAAGAGGGAAGAGGAGAATTGCGAAAGGCGTGAACGTGCGCTGGAGAAGGAGCGAGAGAAGGAACGCGAGCGTGAACGAGAGCGAGAGATGGAACGTGAGAGGGAGCGGGAGATGGAGCGGGAGATGGAGCGCCAGGCCACTGCGGTGGACGACCAGGTGTGGAATGAGGGTGATTATACGATCGTCTCAAATGACGGAGTCCGGTTCAAGATCCCTAGCTACTACTTGTTCAGCAGTAGGTGAGTTTGGGCGGTCGCGCAGGTGGTTACGCTCTGCGCTCACACTCTCAGTGCTGTCTTCCGGGAAAGCGCAGGTGAAGTTGGCGTGGAGAGTGGTGCACGCCTGCCATCCCTCTCCAAACGGCACACTACCCTCACCGATCCTATTGAGTCTGCGGCCGTTCTGCGCCTTTTCCTGGAGTTTATCGTGTACGCCAAGCTCGACATTCCCGACGACGGCACGACCCTCCAGAGCCTTGCGACCGTCAAGGACTTGGTCGCCTTCCTCGTCAAGTGGGAGTGTGCCGGCACTTTGCAACTTTTCCTCGTCTGCTTGCGGGAAGTCGTCCGACAACCTAGTAACGTGTCCCCGCTGGCTGCGTTCATTGCAGGGGCCCAGGCTGGAGACGCGTTTACTTGTTCTGTGGCGCTCGACATCTCCGACTGGACGTGGGGGATGATGGATCGCCTCAACCTCCCCGCTGCGCCTGACGCAAACGTCTTTGACCCGCACCATATGCCTGTATCCGTCTGGCAACTGCTGCCGGGCATGTACACGTGGGCCTTGACTAGTGCATGGTCGGGTAACCCTAGTAATAAAGAGGTGAGTACTGACAAGGTATGTCTTGGAAAGTGAAGCTCACCGAGCCAGAACAATGAGAGACAAACCCGCCGCTCTCGCGACACGTATGCGGAATCGGAAGACGATTCGGCGAGCCGCTGTGACAGTGTTCTCGACCGCAAGGTCCATGCTTGGCAGCAGTGGCTGTAACCTAGTGTGTCACTGTAGCTTGGCTTGGTCGGTTAGCTCTTCATTTGCTTCAGTTGGAGTTGCCTTTCTCCTGTTCTTGTTTCTTGGGTGCAATCGTCTCTCCTATCTACTCATACCCACTCTAGTTGCTACCTCGTATAGTAGTGTAGGCCAGCATCACGGCGTTGTACACCCGAGTACCCATAGCTTGGACGCTTGGATGCTCACTGTTCTTCTCCCCTCCTGGCTGCTATTGCGCAGTTGAAAATGCCCCAGTCCCACTCCGGTGAACGCACTGACTCTCCCAGCTCGCAACTGGACTGCAGGGCGCTATCGTTTCTAGAAACGCAGCGCCAACCTGTCGCGCATGGTTGTAGACAGCTGGAGCAACGCGATGGCTGCGGCCGCAAGCACCAGGGTCCTACGCGCCATGGCATCGGAAAAAAAGTCACTCGCGTGGAAACGCGATGCCAAGACATCAACAACAGTCAACCGAGTACGGCAGTCCGAGTACGACAGTCGGTGGTAAAGTCGTGACACAAAACGTAATATCTATAACGGGTTCAGTAAAACCCGGGGTCTAACTGGACTTGAGGAGGGCGACTGTCACCCAGCCAACTGCCCAAGCAGCCACAGCGGAGGCTGTGACGGTCTGTGCGGTCCGCCTCACGCGGCGCTGCCACGGGTCCTCGGGTCGCGGCTGGTCCCACAGGCGAGAGCCGGGAGTGGGGCCGTCTTGGGACTCGTCGTCGTCCGTCATCTGTTCCAGGAGCTGGAACGGGATGGACATGTTGGGCGACTCCTTGGCAGAGAGGAGGGCCGCGAAGAGGTGAATACCGTCGGTGTGGGGGAGGAGAAGGAGGTTGAAGAGGAAGAGTGACAGGGACACCATTGTGAGGTAGCTGGAAGTTTAGCTGCTGGACGTAGAGGTAACTCACGAGTTGAAGAGCGACGCCCACTCGGTCAACGACTTAAGAGGACGATGCGTCTCCTTGAACGAGATGGCGTACAGCACCGTCCTGTCACCGGACCAGAGTAGCTGCTGGGACGCCTTGCCGTCCCAGTAGCGGATGCGGACAACGTTCGCCTCCTTGGACAACTTGACGCAGATGTGGGTCTTTTCGCAGTTGCAGTCGCCAGCTGGCTCCTTCAAGATCGGGTGGGGCTGGAGGCAGTGCTCCGCGTTGAAGTTGACGGGCGTGAAAGCCACCAGGTGACTTTCGGTACACGGGCCAAGCTCGCCAGCGAGGAGCACACCTTTGGGAATACACCATCCAAGAGCCGAAGACGAGTCTTCCTCATGGTTGATCACACGCTGCCACATTCCCTCTGGAGCGACGAGGATGTCGTCGACGTGCGTGATCACGTCTCCCGGCTTGAGCTGGGTCTCCAGGCCGTATCCCAATGCGACGTTGTCGATCGTTAGACCGTCAACGGGTGCCCATAAGTTTGCCGTCGCGGCAAGTGCGGCTAGCACGACACAGGTCAGGAGATTGTGCCATGCTCCAGCTGTGGATATCCGCGCGCGAGATCGGAAGGGGAGGTAGTCGACCGCCGAAGGGAACGAGATAGCCGCGGAGGGAATGATGAGGTGGACGTTGACGGCAAACTTGCTCGGGCATACGTCGTCTAGTGCGGCCGCGACCGCGTGTCCCCACTCGTGGATGAGCTGGGCAATCACAAACGCGAGCAGGAGGGTAGGCAGATGCGAGAGCGGTGCAGTGACACCGGGAATCTGAGGTGTGAGACCGACAACGCACGGTCTGAAGCCACTCACCAATGGTTCAAGACCAACGTTGCTCGCATGGACACCTGCTGCTGCTGCAGCGTCAATGCCACGTTTGACCACGGAGCTCTGCTCTATCGCATGAGCCTCAGCCTCGGCCCACACGGCAGTCCACGCGGCTCGCACAGCCCACGCCGTGCCCGCAGTTGCGACGCCGCTGCCAATGACGCCGGCGACAGCCCCGACGTTGTAGAATGCTTTGCCAAGTCCGCGGACTGCCGGGCCGAGTCTGCCAATGGCCACACGAGGAAGCGAATTGAGTGCGGTAGTGCTCATTCGCAGTGTGAAGCCATGGCGAGCAACGTCCCACGGCGACGAGCGGCCAGGTTTGGCAATCCGAGGGGCGATTCGAAGGGCATAGAGGATGAAGGCGAGGAGGACGAGGGGGAGGGAGACGGCAAGCATTGGTGAGAGGCGCGTCTCAGCTCATTGACGCGAGGATACGAAGGTGTGAAAACGGAGTGGCTGTGTTGTCAAGGCAGTGGAAAGAGTGGAGTGTTGTTGCCGACGGGTTTGGTCGCGCGCTCGCGCACCGGTCGCCGCCAAAAGGAGTGCGACGTCGACGCGTTCTGGAAATCCTAATGGCGCCGCTTTAGAGTGTCACGTGGTATGACGTCATTACAAATTGCTGATTAGATAAAGGCTCGTGGTAATCTAATTCAACGGTTGTGGCTGGCGGGGCCGGGTGTGAGACAGCCAGCGTGTGTGTGCGCACAAGCCGTCAGAGCGCGTCAGAGCGCGTCAGAACCTCGCCCCGCAGATGGCCACACGGCAAAAGTACAAACACACACATTCAGAAACGACGAGCGTACTTCGTCCTTTTCTTCACCCACACCATGTCCTGGGCCACCTGGGAAATCCGCTTCTCCAACTCTCGTCGGCTCCCCTACTTCTACGACGCGCTTGCCAAGGAGTCGTTGTGGGAGATGCCGGCTGGCATGACAGACGCCGTCGCGCGTACTCTCCCCGGCGCCCATTATCTCCCTCCCAACACCGGCACCGTCCGTCCACCTGGACATATCCGTGCAAGCCACATTCTCTCCAAGCACGCAAACTCGAGACGGACAAGCAGCTGGCGCCAGGTGGGTTGGGAGGACAAGGGGAACAGTTGGACTGGACGCTCACACTCTGCAGGACAAGATTACACGCCCCGCTCCCGAGGCGCGTGCTGCCATCCAGTCGCACATTGATCGCCTCAAGAATCTGCCCGCCAACCAACTCGCGGCCGAGTTTGCGCAGATTGCTTCGACCGAGAGTGACTGCTCCAGCGCACGCAAAGGTGGCGACCTTGGATGGTTTGGCAAGGGCCAGATGCAAAGGACGTTTGAGGTGAGGTTTATGGGACGATGGGCGACGGCGATAGGGCGCACCAGCTGACGGCGTCATTAGGAGGCGGCCTATGCGCTGCAACCTGGCGAGCTCAGTCCCCTTGTCGAGACGGATTCTGGCATCCATGTCATTCTTCGTACCGGATAAGAGATGGTGTATGTGTCTAGGAGTATTATATTAGCCCGCCCGTACCAATTGTGTAATAGTTGTGAGAGAGAAGGAAAGCAGTTGACGATGGCAGTCCCAACATTGCACGTACACCGTGGGAAACCTCGACTCATTCCGAACCGTGTTGCTCTGTCGGAATCGCTCGGTGTTCTGAAATCTTGGATTCTCCCCTTCCACAACCATCCACTCGTCCACAATGTCTCTTCGCACCTGCCTCAACACTGCAGTGCGCGGAACCGCCCTTGCGCGCACTCCCGTTGGTGCCCGCCCGGCTGCTCGTGCTACCCCGGTCGTCCGCCAGCGCCTTGGTCAGCCGTCGTTCCGCCGGTTCGTGAGCGACGACGGCTCGAACAAGGCCGCGAGCGCTGCCCGTGACCGTGCTGCTGTTGGCGTGAGTTATCTACACCGTGCTATACCTAGTGCTGACGTTTTAGACTTCTACATGGAAGGCCGCTAGCGTCTTCCTCATCACGGGTGTTGGACTGTACTACTACATGACCACTGAGAAGGCCAAGGTGGAGGAGCGTCGTCGTGAGTAAGCTGTCCCTGACCCTCTTGCTAACGTCCCAGGCAAGGAGCTCGAGAACAAGTCGGTCGGCCGCCCGAACATTGGTGGCCCCTTTGACCTCGTTGACCAGCACGGCAAGCCGTTCACCCACGAGGACCTCCTCGGCACCTGGAACCTGATTTACTTTGGCTTCACCAACTGCCCCGACATTTGTCCCGAGGAGCTGGACAAGATGGCCATTGTCGTCGACCAGATCGACAAGGAGAAGGGTCCCATCATTACTCCCGTCTTTGTCTCTGTCGACCCTGCGCGTGACAACGTCGCCGCCGTCAAGAGCTACGTTGACGAGTTCCACCCCCGCCTCATCGGCCTGACTGGCGAATATGACAACGTCAAGCGCGCGTGCAAGTCGTACCGCGTCTACTTCTCCACCCCTCCCGATGCCAAGGCCAGCGACGACTACCTCGTCGACCACAGCATCTTCTTCTACCTCATGGACCCCCTGGGCCAGTTTGTCGACGCCTTTGGCAAGAACACCACGTCCGACGAGGTGACCGCCAAGGTCCGCGAGGCAGTGGGCAAGTGGGAGGCTGCTGGCGGCAACAAGGCCGCTGGCGTGCCCGAGAAGAACTAGAGAGGCTATCTCGATGGCGCCTTGTACGTAAAACAATCAACTGTATGCATCACTCTTCACAGGACGAGTGCAGGTGGCCGGGGTCTACCCCGAGGCGAATGAGGGCGGAGGAGGAGGCCTGGCGTGCTCATTTCGCATGACGAGTAACATCCCGCTGCCGCGCTGGTCCCATCTCTGCTAACCTTGCCCATATTCCTACACCACTGCAAGCCAATCTTACTTCTAACCTTGCCCCTTCCTACACCACGGCTTCAAACCAACAAGGAGGTAACATAAAACAATCAAGTGTCAAACACCTGACGAAATGAACAGTACGGATGTTGGCGCAGCGCAGCTGCACCCCTTTCAAGAGTCGTAAAACGTTCAATAGATGACGAGCAAATCCTGTCCAGGACGATACGCCTAGCAGTCCTTGCGGTTGTTGATGGATCCACGCTCGTAGCCGTACTGGTTTTGCAGCCAGCCGTTGAGGGTCTGCTCCATGTAGTCGAGGTTCTGCTCTGTTTTGAGTCAGCCAACAGGAAGAACTAAACCCGCAGCAAGCAACATGACACTCACGGGCAAAGCAGCCCCAGGTGTTGGCCTTCTCGTAAACGTCGCCCCTGGTCATGCCCTTCTCCCATCCGTTGTAGGCGCCCATGCCGAGGAGGACGGAGCCGCCGTTGGCGTCGATGCGGTCACGGAGGTAGTAGACGCCGCGGTCAATGTTGAAGTCGACGTCGTAGCAGCTGGGTGTGGGTTAGCTTCATTGCAGTGTGCGCCACGCAGCTACTGTACTGTACTCACTCGCCGTTGGGGGCACCGTCGCAGTTGGAGCCAAGCAGCTGCATCATACCGGCCTCGCCGCCGCCGCCAGTAAGCTCGGGCTGGCAGGTCGACTCCTGCATGGCAATGGCGGCGATCATGATGGGCGGAATGTTGTACTTGCCCGACGCGGCGTAAAACTTGTCAAAGTAGGGAGCACAGGGAGCGTAGATGCCGTCGGCGGCCAGGTCCTGGTACTTGATCTGGTCAAAGGTGAGGAAGGGAGGGTTCCATCCGTTGTCGTCGATGCCACAGTTGAACCACCACTGCTGGCCGTTGGGGTGGTCGGCGTCGGGCTGGTTGTCACCGCAGGGGCTGGAGGGTCAGTGAACTGCGAAACAGACCTGTTTTGGACGTACCCGGTAGTGTAGAGAAGACCGCTGTTGCTGTTGGGGAGTGCAGCAAGGTTGTTGTTGACCGGGGTGCTCTCAGCCTCCTGCTCGGCAGAGGCGGAGGTGGTAGGCTGCTCGGTGGTGTCGGCGGCCTGGCTGTCACCCTCGGTCTGGGCCTCGTCCTCAGAGCCAGTGGTGGTGGTGGACTCCTCGGTGGGGGTGGACTCCTCAGCGGGGGTGGTAGACTCCTCAGCGGGGGTGGCAGACTCCTCAGTGGGAGCGGGAGCGGCGGCACTGGCCTCCGTGGCGGCCGGGCGGACACGGCACTGGCCACGACGCCTCGAGCGAGACTGGGCAGAGCCGATGGCACGCGGCGCGTTGCCGCGGTGGGCGTTCGAGCGGGCAAGCGCCGAGTCGTGGTTTGGGGACACAGCAGCGAGGGCAAGAGCCGGAAGGAGAGTGAGGAGGGCGATGGTGTTGGCAGCGACCATGGTGAGAGACGGTGGGTCGTGGGGGAGTAGAGGTAATGAGGTCGAGGGGGAAGTTGTACACTGGCGTCGTCAAGAGCCAGGCGAGTGTGGTAAGGAGCGTGAGGTGAACAAAGAGTGACTGAACGATACTTGGTGAGAGACGGGGGGGGGCACGTAGTTGTTTAAGAAGAGGTGAGTATGGTGTAGGCCAGGTGCTGCGTTTGGGGTCAGTGCGCGGGTCAGACGAATGAGACAGGTTGGCCTTGGCCTGGCAGGGAGAGGACTGGTACAACGCGCCTCGTATCCGCATGTTTGGGATGCTCGGCACACAGCGCAGTACACCGTGACGAGCAAGGGGATGCAAGCCTCAATGCTGGGCGCTGGGGGTTCAGTAGGCAGAAGAGGTGAGCAACGTGAATGCCGGGCGGTAGGGAATGGATCGGTGCCAAGAGCCAAGAAGACGCGGTACGCGGAAGCTACGCGCTCCATGTTGCCCTGTTTTGGTACACCCCGGCGCGTCCGGTGGCCTGCCAAGTCTGCCCAGTGTCCCCCATATTGAGGAACAACCCCCCCCCCCCCCCCCCCCCCCCCCCGATTCGAGAAACATTAGCATCACAGAGTAAATGGTCAGAGGAAGAAGACTGTACAGACGTATGCATGTCCTTGCACAGCTGCCCTGCTGGGCACGTAAACAACCTTGATATTCAGAAGGGCCTCAAAATGTGTGGTCAATTTGCCGAGCGACGGGTGTACTTACAATACCTTGTTCGTGTTAGGTTGAGCACTTTAGGGGGTTTGCATTCCTGCTCCATGATGCTGGTGGCAACGCTGGCATTAGGTATCTGAATGCCGCTGGTAGCTCGTGCCAGTTCAACAGACGTGGAGGCGCCGGGGTGCGTCATTGCCGATTGGAGCGGCCACCGCCACCCCCACGTCGCTCAATGGACCGCGCTCTCGAGCCCCCCCGTCTTTCTCCCCAAGCCCAGTCCAAGACGAGCTTTTGAATATGGCTGTCATCGACGCCTACAGTCAAGAAACGGGCCGTCAAAGTCATAGAATCGGGGCATCATACACTTGCAACTTTGCCGAGTGGCAAGCTGCAGACACAGAGTCAACAAAAAAAGGGTAAACCGGTGCGGGACATTTGAAACGCCTCTACGCCGTTTCATCGCTGGCCGCTGGCCGCTGGCCTTGCATCTCCTGCATGCCGCTACCACAGCCAGTCTGTCACCTCCTGTGGTCGCTTCTGCAGACGACGGAATGGTTTAGGCATACGTACTGAGAGGTCTATTGTGGGAGGCACTACTGCGCTTAGATGGCAGCATACAGAGCATACAGATGCAGAGAAACACTGGGCCGGCGCGGGAGTATATTTGCCACCACCGCGCCAGCCACGTCCACGGGATGGCGCTGGGCGCTGGACGCGCCGTTTCGGGCAGCGTTGACATGGCCCGCCGGGCAGAAGTGCAGAGATCCAGAGAGCTGCAGACAGCTGCAAAGACCTACAGAGATTGCAGAGAGAAGTGCAGAGAGACTGGTAGAAGCATCGCACGTGCTTCCAAGCTGCGGGGCACCTTCAGGTACTTCAAGGCGGACAGGGATTGATGACGGTGGACGCGTCTCTTCCCCTCTTCCCTCTCCAACAACCCGTCACTCAATACCCACACTTCATTCAGAATGCCTCCTGCTATGGCGACCCTTCCATGGAGACTCTCTCGAGTGCAGTGGCATTGAGCACGCCAAATTTCACAGCCGTTGGAGCCAAGGCGACTTCGCTCTCCAGTCCTCTGACAGGGTGGTGGTCTTTCATGTCCCGGCCATTCTAGTCCTGTACCACCTGTGCGTCCAGCCCGAAGCTATCGAGGAACATGGAGAGCAACACTGACCAGCAGTGCACCATTCCGCGACGTCTCAAGCGTGACAAACCCTGGCGAGCGGCGCACCGTGTCGTTGTCGGACCCATGTTTCGAGAATGCAAGCACGATCCAACTCTTCCTCGACTTTGTCACCGAGGGCCGCCTTCCCAACGTCGGCCGCGACCTCACTGGCGTCAGCGACCTCTGTCGTCTGCTCATGAAGTATGAATCCAAGGCTGCGCTCGGAAAACTGCTGGTCGACGTCGAGAGGCGGCTCTTAGCGCGCACCGTGTCCGCGTTGGCAGTGTTCGTCATCGGCGCCGTTGTCGACAACGAAGACCTCTGTCTTTTGACATTCCAGCACGACACTTGGACAACCGCTCCCACCGATGAGCTTGACGAAAAGAAGATCTTTGTCACAGGCTTTACACTCGATCCGTCCAAGGCGCCATACACGCACATGAGTGACACTCCTACGGCGTATTGGTGGGCTCTCACTCGTTCATGGGATCCCACTCGAGCGCGCACGGGTCAGAACAACGTCGGTTTTGTGGAAGGCACCAAGTTCTCCAAGCTGCTCGCCATCGCGAAGAAGTGAGCCGGTTCACTCTTCAATGTGTGAATTGGTATCCCAGGAAGACCCTCTCGTGAGTGACGCTGTGTTTTCTTATTGGCTTCTTCGAGTGCGGCGGTCCTGACTCATCCACAGCCGTGCTGTAATATACGGAGTACCCAGCTGATGATATGATATGGATGTACTATACCACGTCCTTGAACACCTTCCAGGCTAGTGTGGACTACCCGGGGAGCATGTGACAGACATGTGCAGCATGCGTTTGGCTAGTGAACCCGAGAGCTGTTCTCCTGCGATGTCCCCTCGTTGGCTTGTCACTGCGCTCACTGCAGGGGATTCCTATACACAAGCCTTCCTTCTACGTTTCAGAGAATTCGTGATGGAGTTTGGCTGCACGTGATGCTGCTCTGGCTTCTCAGAGTGTGTGGACACCCAGATTCTGCTTCCCATGTGTGTGTGTGTCTGTGTCTTAGATCGAAATCCGCCATCACCCACCATCAACATGACTGCCATCCGGACCAGACCCTCTTGCCACCCATCCGATGTCCATTCGCACCTCATCCTTCTCAGCCATGACTATCTCCAGCACGACCAGCAGTCAGAACATGGAGTCAAGCGGTCGCCAGATGAACAGCAAAGGCAATCCGCTTGCGGACGAAGACGAGATCCAGGACGACCCCGTGTTCACCCAGGGCGACTTTACCGTGATCACCGCTGACCATGTACGCTTTCGAGTGCCAAGCTTCCACCTCCTCAGCTCTAGGTTGGGTCCTTTGCGTTTGAACATCTCGCTGATTCAGTGACAGCTCCGTCTTCCGAGACCTGGTATCTGCCGGCGGCGACCAAGACAAGACCATCACCTTTGTGGACCCCGAGCTGGAGAGCGCAGCGACGTTCCGCCAGTACCTCGCCCTTGTCATTGACGGGCGAGTCAAGAGCTTTGACAAGGAACTCGAGGGTCTCCGGCAACTGGTCCTCTTCCTCGCAAAGTGGGATTGCAACCCGCCTACGCGTATCATCCTGCTGGACATCCGGGAGCAGCTGCGCTTGGGCACCGTCCACCCCATCAAGGCGTTTACGGTGGGTGCGGCAGCTGACGACCCCACCACCTGTGCACTTGCCCTCGAGACCATCACGTGGGCGTGGAACGCTGGGCCCGAGGACGAGTTGGCCGGCGGCACGACCAAGGCCTTGTCCACACACCCGCTGCACATGCCTTACAACCTCTGGTCGCTCATCCCGCCAAGTTACATGTGGGCTCTAGCACGGGCCTGGGGGAAGTGTGGTGGAGGCGGTGCTGGTGTCCAGACCGACAAGGATCTAGACAAGCTCGGCAGTCTGTCTGCCGAGTTTATGCGTCTCCTGGAGCTGGCCAAGAAGGGAGAGCGGTCGCGAGCTCACGAGGGTAGAGGCCAGCAGCCGTAAAAGTCAGGTATTTCGCGTGGACAGATCCGAGATGATGTGCCCAAGATCTAGAGAGAACCATGATTTGCTTCTGAGTAATAATACGGTTCGCAATATGCATCAGCTTCCTGTGGGTTGACGCACCAGTCGTCAAGCAGCCGACACGGTCGCCGGCCAACGTGCGGAGAGGAGCAGATGAGTGTTTGAATGGGTGTTGGCTGCCGGCTGTGTGACCGTACCCGGTTACGCTGGCATTCGGCCATTCAGACAGAGTACAGAGTGGAGGGCGAAACATGTTTTTAATCTAGTTGTAGCTCTTCAGAACAAAGATGGAACCTCGTACTGTACAACTGTTGATGTGCAGGGCAACGTCAATGTTGACGACTGGAAGAATCCTGGGGGCGTCATACAGGGCATCAAAGCCACAGCCGCGGTAGACGAGGAGCTCTCGGATCTTGGGTTTTGGCGGCTGTTGGTTTTTGGGTGCCACAAGAGGTAGCCGCCAACGACGTGGTACGTGACACCGACCACAGATCACAGACGTCGAGGCGCGTGAAGCCGCACAATAGTACGTGAGAATCGCTGTGCTTGGCTAACCTTGGCCAGTCTGATCCATCTGGCCTCTGGGGGGGAACGTTCTGGGGACCGGCTGTTGAGCACGGCTGTCCTGTTGTTTGGGGCGTGTGATTTTTAATAACAATTTTATTCTTTCTTCTTATTTTGTGTCCAGCCGCGCGGCCCACGCCCAGAGCGCGCGTCGCCCGATCGCCCACCGCGCCCAGAGTCCAGTCACCCATCCCCAGGTGTGCGCACACACATGCGCCCCTCTCCCCCCTCAAGCGCATATAAACCATCAGAGCCCCCCAATGTTCTTGCATTCTCGTTCTCTCATTCTCCCATTCTCTCTCATTCCATTCGTTTTCTCTTCCCTCCTTTCTCCTCCCTCGTCCCATCCACCATCCATCCATCCTCCTCTCCCCCACACACTCTCTTTACCTCACGCCTTTTTGTCACGAACACACATCCACCTCCTTTGAGTCACCCACCATCCTTCACGACCACCACTCCCTCGCTCCCCGCTTGGCCCCACCACAAGACATCCCCACCATGCTCCGTTACGCCGTAACCCTCTTCGCCGCTATCAGTCTCCTTGCCCAGTCGGTGGCCGCCGAGTACGCCTTCACTGGCTGTGTTGGCCCACTTGGTCTTCCCGTGGGCTCGTTCATGGCGGGCTTTGTCGACCAAAACACATGCCTTGTAAGTTGCCACCGTTTGCCACCTTCCCTACCCGCCTTCCCTCGAGCCCCTTGACTGCCTTCTCCCCGTTCCTTTCCGGGCCTAGAGCACACGCTGACTTTACACAGACCACCAGCTGCTATGGCTATCGCTTCGCGTACATCCACGGGGACTCTGGTGCCTGCTGGTGCCACAACTCCCAACCTGCCGCCCTCTCCCAGGTCCCTGCCAATGGCATCGGCTTCCAGCAATGCGTTCCTGGAACTGGTTCCTACGCCGTGAGTACGCCAACATTGACACATGTCTGACCTTATCTGCAGACATTCGACCGTCCCACCTCTTTTGACTGGGACGGCTGCTACAGCAGCTTGGCACCCCCCGTCAACTTTATCACGGGCACCGCCATTGGCCCGGCCGCTTGCTTCCTCATGTGCGCGTCTTACATTAGCGCTGTGATGGAGGCGGTCCCGCTCAACCCCCTCTACGACTGCCTTTGCACAAGCGATCCACTCACCGGCCTCGTTGCCAGCAACTGTGCCTCGACACCACCCTCCGTTTTCATCTACTCCCACTCAGCCGGTGCGGCCGCCTCCGCCCTCCCTCGCCGCCGTAACGAACTTGCCCTCGACGAGTCCTACTGCCCCATCGGTCAAGACGCGTGCCAAATTTCGTCCGACCCTGCTTTGGGCTATGAGTGCCTCGCTACCTCGACCGAGCTTGGTGAGTGAATGAGTGACTAGACGGTGCTGACTGGAACAGAGTCCTGTGGCGGCTGCCGCTTCGGAACCTACGGTAACACCTCGACTAGTATTGGTATCGAGTAAGTATTACCCACCTATCCTTGCAGAAGCCGACTGACATGTCCAGCTGCACCAGCATCCCCGGCGTCTCGTCCAAGAGCGTTGCCTGTGAGGGAGGCTTCTGTGTCACCAAGCGCTGCCGCAAGGGCGTTCACCTTTCTCCCTCTGGCGAGTGCATCTAGGTGCCTGCTCTCCACGGACCTTCCTACATACGAACCTTGACGAGCCTGGTTTAATAGTCGATGTAAATACATGGATTGAATTCGTTTTGCTGCTCTTTGAGGGGAGTTGGAATCAGCCATACTGGCGTTTGAGGGATGTACATATGGTCAAGAGCAACTGCTGGCAACCACAGCTTGTACTAACCGACAGGCGAGTGGAACCACAGTGAATTTGTGTCGAAAAGTTGGAAAACACTGAGTGGCAGGGCCGTTCGCGGCCCCTAGTGATACTACCCCTTTGTAGCCAGTCGCCACTGGCCCCGCACATGAATATGGGTACCACAACGGCGACGATTGAGAATTGGCAACCATTGCCGAGACGTCGAGCGCACCCCAATTGATGGTGGTCGCTTCTGTCCAACGACCGCCACTTTTGTCCGCCACAAGTTACGTACACATGCTCCACTTTGTTGGGACTGCCAGTTTGCGTGGGCGGTGGATACTGAGAGTTGCGTCTGCTCATGCTGCAAATCCGAATGCATCCCCTCGACATTTGATTGATGCATAACCTTGCAAGATATGTAGGTTCTTCCAACAGCAGCATGCATTTCAATCACACTGCGCGTTCTTATGGCTCTGCCTTCCAAATATCATCGGCAATGGCACGCACAAGTTTGAGCTTGTCCACCATACCGTCCCAAGTGATGGCATTGCCCTCCTCGTGGCTCGCAAACCCACACTGGGGCGAGACCGAGAGACGCTGCAGCGCCTGGTCGGGGGTCTCCCCCGAGCCCTTGGCCATGTGCTGGGCGGCCTCGCGGACGCGCTTGACCATGGCGTCCTTGTCCTCCATGGTGTTGAACTTTGACGATACCACGCCCAGCACAACCCGCTTGTGCGCCGGCAACTGCTGGAGCGGCTCGAACCCGCCGGCGCGCTCAGTGTCGTACTCGAGGTAGTAGGTGTGGAAGCACAGTTTCTGGAACAGCAACGTGGCGATGCGGTCGTAGCCGCCCTCGCTGAAGTGGCGCGAGCCCTTAAAGTTGCCACGACAGATATGGAGACCGAAATGGATCTTGTCGGCGTGCGAGCTGAAGCAGTCGTTGTAGTGCGCAATGTACGTGTCGAGGAGCTCGTCGAGGGTGGTCTTGTTGTCCTTGTCGGCGGCCCACCCGTCGATCATGGCCTGCGAGCAGAAGTCTGGAAACGGTCAGCTTTGTGGACGAACACGGTGGTATCTGTCCTTCCTCACAGGCAAAGTTTGGGTCGTCAATCTGGATGTTACGCACGCCAGCGTCGTACAGAATGTCCAGCTCGGCACGGTACGCCGCGGCAATGTCGGCAAAGTACTCCTTGTCGCTCGAGTAGACGTCGGCAGGGTACGCGTTACCCTCCTTGAACCGCAGGTGGTACCAGACGGGCGAGATCATGGTGAGCTTGGCCTCGCGTCCATTCTTGGCCGCCTGGTCGCGCGTGTAGCTCCACTCCTTGATCAGGCTCGACTTGCCAGTGTGCTTGATCTTGCCGTCACAGATACACGTCCATCCCCAGCCGCCCATCTCGTGAAAGACGGACACGTCCGGGACGTAGTCGCGGAACATGGAGACATGGGCGTTGTCAATCTCCTTGACTGCGAGTGTCAGGGAGTTACATGGCTGAGAGGTGCCTGCCAGACCGCTCGAGAAGACTCACAACCATCCAGCTCCTCAAAGAACGTGCCCCAGAACATTCCACGCCTGCCCGACGCATTAGCTTGTTGTGCACATACTTCTCCCTTGTGAGCTGCGCACGACATACCGGTACTCGCCGTCAGTGCAGGCATGGAACCCAAGGTCGGCCTGCATCTTGACAGCCTCGGCGACAGCCTTGTCCGAAATGGGGTCGAGCTGCGCCTCGCTCATCTTGCCATTCTCAAACTCCTCGCGAGCGACGAGAAGCTCCTTAGGACGCAGGAGGGACCCGAGGTGCTCGGCGCGGAAGGGAGCTTTGACCGGGACGGACATGGTGTGGTGTACGCGTTGGTGAGAAAGTGGGTGGTATAGAGGTCGCGTTGGGCGTTGGGCGATGGTCTTAAACGTGCCAGCACGACCGGCGTACACACAAATGTGAGCCGAGGGCGGCCGCTACACCGCACTCACCGTCGCCTGCCCGACTGGGCCATATCCTCTCACGCCTGCGCAGCGCACGCCAGGCGAGTGCACCGTGTCCCAGACGTGCAGCGCTCGTAACAGACGACCGAGAAGCCGAGCGAGCTGCCGGCGACAGGTGGGCAGCGAGATCAACGCGTCACGGGATCTTGACGGCCGCTGGTTGCCGAATATCCGACTATTCACCGAACCAGGTCCGGCGCCAGTGCCGCCGGCATGCAGAAGGTGCCGCAGTTGGATCCACCGACTCTGTGCATCAGCGCAAAAGTAGAAAGACGCATGAACTCCTTGTGCTTGTGAGAAGGGAGAGAGTTGATCAGGAGATTGCGTGTGTCAAAGTGGTCTTCAAATTCCACCGCCTTGCCGCTGCTGGCGGTTGCTTTGGCCGGCTCATGGAGCCCAAATGAGGCCTCGCGGCCGCTGAGATGATGCCACAGTGACCCTTCGGCCGCCCAGTGGCACTCAAAGCCAGCTAAGCAGTATTGTTGCAGGTGGGCCATTGGCTCCGCAATAGCGCAAAGCTACATCCAAAGCTTGCCCATCGGCCGCACAATAATGGCGCAAAATGGAATGAAAATCGGTGCGAAATGTTACCCGCGTCCGCGTTGGTCATCAGCCGCGCATGGCGCAAAACTAGTCAGAAGAGAGAGCGAGGTAGGGGACACACTCCTTAGCCATATACCTGCCGGCCGGCCTCGTCAGCTATACGGAGACACCGAGACGAGACGCACAGCGTGCTCGTCGGCGGCCGGTTGGGAGTCGGCCGCTAATCTCCCACTTCCCTACATTTACTGGCTTCAGCGGTGTTGCTCTTGCCCTCAGCGGTGTTTTATCTCCCAACCAACGTTCGACTCGTATCAGGAGACTGGATGCAACGAAGTAGCACCATGTTGCTTGTCTACCGAATGGGGAGCAGTAGGACAAGGGGGTGTGTCGGCCGACTCGCCATCGGCCATCGGGCAATTCCTAATCTGATTACCTGTGGTTGTTCAAACTGCTGGCCCTCTCGACTCCTCCGTATCAAATCCGTTACTGGTACATAAAAGCTGCAAAGGACTCATCTCCCAGGTACCCACCCCAACGTGCTCCCTCAGTCACTCTTTTATTCACTCTCTCGCCACCACCACCACAACCATGTCCGAGGAAAGCAAGCAGAACAACGACGACGCCCTTCCTCAACCCATCAAGGAGGTCGAGCCGGCACCGGACGGGGGCCTCAAGGCGTGGCTCACTATCCTTGGCTCCTTCCTCTCCATCTTCGTGCAGTTTGGTCTTGGTAAGTCGCTGATCTCCTTCATCGCCGCTCACATGACACAGTCAACTCGTTTGGCGTCTTCCAAGTTTACTACGAGACCATGTTTCCGCACCTCTCCCCTTCGACTATCAGTTGGGTTGGCGGTGTGCAGCAGTTTATCCTTTTCGGTGGTGTAAGTCTGCTTCCAACTCACGGTTAAGCGAGACAGTGACCTTATACAGAAAGGCTCGCGGAAGAAGTGGCTGGAGTAGTGGTTAACCATATCAGGTAAGCCGCCTGTGAGCGATGAGGGCGGGGGGGTTCATCCTCGCCCTGTAACGAGAGTTATTACGGGCTCACCCTCCTAACGAACAAGTTGACACCCCCAGGGACTCTTTATCGGTAGACTCTTCGACGCTTACGGCGCACATGTCCTTCTTATCCCTGGATCGATTCTCCTCGTGTTGGGCTTGATGCTCACATCAAGTAAGTGGCGCTTGTGTCCTTTGCTGACAGTAGTCTGCACCGAGTTTTATCAAGTCATGCTGGCCCATGGTGTCCTCTTTGGTATCGGCACAAGTCTCACGTTCCACCCCTCAAGCGCAGTACCAGGGCAGTGGTTCCACCACCGCCGTGCGTTTGCCATGTCCTTTGCGATTGCGGGCTCTGGACTGGGAGGCACACTCTGGCCGGTCGCACTCAAGCAGATGTTCGACACTATCGGCTTTGCATGGGCCTTGCGGGTAGTTGGGTTTATCTCCCTCGTGCTGCTTGTTACTGCCAACATGCTCATCCGAACTCGCCTGCCACGCAAGACTCCTGCGCCGCTGTCGACCACCTTCCACCCGTTCAAGGAGGCGCAGTACACCCTACTGGCTCTTTGTGCTGCCTTCACTTTCTTGGGCCTTTTCACCCCGTTCTTCTACTCTACAACGAGGGCCGAAAGCATGAGCTCGGCGACGATCACCGGATACACGGTGTCTCTTATCAACGCCGGCTCGACCATTGGCCGTCTCTTGGGTGGCATCGGGGACAAGGTTGGTCGATTCAATGTCCTCGTCGTATCGGCCGTTCTTACCGGCACTCTTCTCCTCGCCTTCTGGATCCCCGCCCACACGCTCCCGGCCATCCTCGCCTTTTGCGTCATGTATGGCTTTGTCGCAGGCGTCTACATTGCGGTTGTCTCCACTTGTGTTGCCCAAATCTCGCACGTGAGCGCCATCGGTCACCGGATCGGCCTTCTCTGGGCCTTGGTCGGCTTTGTGACCCTCGCCGGGCCACCTATCAATGGTGCACTCATCGCGCAGTACCCTGGTGAACAAGGCTATCGCCTTGCCGGAGCGTTCAGCGGTGCGGTGATCATCCTTGGAGCCGCGAGCGGTCTTGCCGCGAGGCTTCGGAGCCACCGTAGCCTCCTTGCCGTCGTTTAACCCACGAGGCCGCTCAGAGCTTTTAACAGCAGCAAGCGTAAACTTAATTCTTGCTTCAACGCAGGGACTAAAGAATGGAGATGCAACGTTTACGCAATGGATCGCGTGTGCAATTGACCATGACAACTGATCCACAAAACCAGGTTCATTGACCATGACAACCGATCCACAAAACCAGGTTCATTGCTTCAGACAATACACAACACCTCTCCGAGAAACCCCCACACTCTCGGGGCATCTGACGTTTTATATCCCACACTTAAAGACGAGCGATCGAGGGCTTGACGTAGTCCGAGAACTCCTTGGCGCGGACCTTTGCGAGGTCGCCGTCGGTGATCCTGCGGCACTCGAGAGCAGGGTTGTAGCCGAAACGGTCCGTGGCACTGGTGCCCTTCTTGTAAAAGGCCGGACGGCGGAGGATGGTGACAACGGCACTGCCGCCGAGACCGAGGTTGTGGGCCATGGCGTTCTTGACGTTGGGGACTTGCATCTTGCCAGCCTCGTTACGGAGCTGGAGGGTGAGGTAGAAGATCATGCCGAGACCGGTGGCGCCCAGAGGGTGTCCCTTGGACTCGAGACCGCCCGAAGGGTTGACGACATACTTGCCGCCGTACGTGTTGTCGCCGGCGTCGACGAGGAGGTGGGCCTGGCCTGGCGGGCAGAGGCCAAGGCCGTCGTAGGTGATGAGCTCGTTGGGAGCGAAGCAGTCGTGAAGCTCGACGACCTGGATGTCCTGCGGGCTCACACCAGCCTGCTTGTAGGCAATCTTCGAGGCGCGACGGGTCATGTCGGCACCAGCAAGCTCGATGCGCGAGTGAGCCTCGTACAGCTGGGACGAGTCGGTGGCGACACCGAAACCGGCAACCTCGATGGCGCGGTCCTGAAGGTTGTGCTTCTTGACAAACGCCTCACTGGCAACAACCGCAGCGGCACCGCCGTCCGAAGTGGGCGAGCACATAGGGAGGGTAAGGTCGCGAGTAATCTTGCGAGCGTTAAGAACCTCCTCGGGCGTGGGCACAAAGGTGAACTGCGAGTACGGGTTCTTGGCACTGTGGGCGTGGTTCTTGGCCGAAATCTTGGCCATGTGGATGGGCTTTGCTCCATACTTCTCCCCGTACTCGAGACCAGCGGCGGCGAAGATCTGGCCGGCACCCGGACCAAACTCCTTGGTTGGGTACTGCTTGCTGGCCTCAATCTCGACCATCTGCTTGTTGGTGCCGTTGATGGGGCCCTCACGGTCCTTCCAAGGGCTCGAGAGCGATCCGGGGTTCATCTTCTCAAAGCCGAGAGCGAGAGCACACTCGGCCTGGCCGGCAAGAATCGAATTGACGGCAGTCACAAATGCCGACGATCCCGTCGAGCAGTTGTTGTTGACGTTGATGATAGGGATGCCGGTCATGCCGAGCTGGTACAGCACACGCTGGCCACAGGTCGAGTCGCCGTAGACGTAGCCGCACGCAGCAGTCTCAATGGCGTCGTAGGTGACGCCCGCATCCTGCAGAGCCTTGACGGCGGCCTCGAGACCGAGCTCGGGGTAGTCACGAAGGCCGCGAGGCTTGTCAAACTTGGTCGAGCCGACACCAATGACTGAACACGTTAGCGCGGAGCCTCAACTCTCATGTAGCAAACCGCCCACCGTATGCTTTGCCCATATTGAAGATGTTTAGTCGTGGATGATGTGGAATGCAAGTGGGAGATGGCAAGATGGGGCCCACTGGGGAAGTGACGCGTGGGTTCTTAAGTCGGGCATCGCCGACCACGGCGGACACCACGGAACTCGCGGTCGCGGAACTGGCAACACTTCATACCCGACCGGGATTCGGGAACCTACCGATTCACAGAAACGCACCTCTTGTCATCACACTTAGTCGGCGGCCGGCGGACTAGTGTGAGGCCGTCTGTGGTTGGAGTTCTCCTGGAAGTACAACATAGGCAATGTTAGTTCTCGCGTTAGACGATAACAAGAAGTAGAACAGGTAATGTGGAGCAAATCGTGGGCCAAAAATCCAGCGCTGAGCCCACTCGGCTGGCTGCAGTGATCCGTGCCTGACACTGCACGTTGGACGTGTCGACTTGAACCCAAGAATCGCATGTTGGACCGAGCAGTGGGCGTCTCGGACATGGTGTACGTCGTGTGCCACGGTTGACATCGATGAAGCTTATAGTGGTTGGATTGCCTATCGTCTCACTGCGGTCTGGTAAGCGCGCCGGAAGCGGCGCAGGGGAGGCTCGAATGACACTATAAGACGCGCCATTCTGGGTCTCTGTTGGCCTGAACTAAGTGAGTTGGGATAGATTGGGGCATATGGTGCGCCCGGGGGTAGCGTGATGACAAAGTTGGAGTGATGATCGCCGCCACACTCATCTCCTCATGCCGCAGCTCCGTTCAGCAACTTTGTCAAGCCACAGCTCTTTCAGAATGGAAGCTATGCACTTGAAACTCGACATACAGCTAGCCTAGGATGTCCGTGTCACTGTGAGAGAGTTTGGGATGCATAGAAGTCCATTTGCCGCTGCTACGGACACGGTTTCCCCGATCCTCCCCTCGTAACTCACCCTCTGTAGAAAGTGCCACTCACCATCGTTCTCCGTCAGCCTTGCCCAAGACAAAGCGCAAAAAGAGATACTTTATCGCCACCTCGTTTCGATCGAGGGATCTCCAGGTGATCACAAACATATGAGCCTGGCGCTTTCCCACTAAGCCATAGCGATATTAGATATTGTTGAACAGATGTGAAGAACCATATTCTGAGCGGTTCCTGATATCCAATTTCTTCTGTCTGCTGGCTGCCCTCACTGTCCGGCGCGCTTCCTCGATATGGTCCCAAAACAATGAGTCGCTCGCTCATGGGGCCACTCCTCATCCAATCCCATTCACCCTTGCTCGGCCAGGGTAACCTCTCCTCTCAGGACAAGTCGACACATGCCTGAGGACCAGCAAAAGGTTGTTCAACAGCTGTTAACTGTTCATATGGAGCCAGGGTGGATCGAACACCCGACCTAGCGATGATCTCTCGAAAGAGTCTGATGACTGAACTTCAGTCGCTCGCTCTCCCAGCTGAGCTATGTCTCCAAGTACGAGAATGGTTCTGCTTACATCACTGCGACTCCTGGGTTTCATTTTGGTGCACAAGAACAACTGTCAAACGCGTGGGGAGGCTGCCCGTCCCTCCAGCGGCATCGTATGCACCCCCAGGAGGATTCAGGACGTTGATATGGCGACAACAGACTTATTGAGCACTCGGAAGATGGAGGAAGTGGTCGTCGGCGAATTTCTTCCATTTTCGACGAATTTTATGTATTTTCCTCTTCAACGAGACAACCTAGCACACTCAGGCCCGGCGACCTCCCCATGTGTCCAGGAGACGGAAGGAGGCAAAATCCGGGAGAGGGAGTGGACCGAAGACCCTATTCCTGTGTACGCCAAGTAGAACAGCGCCAGATTCCACCCGCACCTGCGGTTTCGGAGGTCACTGGCGTATTCCTCCACACGTTCATAACGTACACGGAGATTCGGTTTTGGTCCAAGTGCAGTGGCAATGGTGTATGCTTGTGGCCTTAGGGACCTTAGGCTCTAGCAGAATTATGCGCTGGGGTATTAGGAAGGGACAGGCGAGCAATGACGGGAGGACGCGATGTCAACAGCCACACGCATGTCCCGACAGCAAATGTTTATGAAGCGCGACCCCAAGATATGTGCGGTGTGACTAGATGTTCTGAGCATTATTCCAAGATGCGTGCCTTTCTCAACTTCTTCAACTCCCATCCTAAGCTTCCCTCGTGGGCCCATTCCTGCCCCTCTGCGCCTCACTCTTTTCGCCCAAGGTTATGGTACGCGATTCTACTACTAACATACATACCATCCCTCCCAACCCAGTGACGTCAGCACCCACTCTCCAGTCGCACGGCATTCACCAGCTGCATTTCCACTCTCCACTGGTCTTTTGTCCAGCCCCACGCGCTTGGGGCTCGCCCCTATCGACTGATGGCAAGTCCCATGGGGACGGCGACCTCTTGCTCGTCTCAAGTGATCACATGCGTTTCCATAGTTTGACTCATACCACTGTTCTGCTGCTTGTGGGTTGGAACATTGGAGAGGATGAAACGCTTGCCAGCGGCGCCTCGTTACCCCAGGTGGGGAGTGGAATGAATTGACTACCGACGGGCACCAGTGGCGTTCTCGGAGGCGCCGCCGATATAGGAGATGTCAGACGCACATCGCCGTCAAAGTCACTGCTCCGATGGGGAAACCGATTGTACAGCGGTGATCCGTGCCTTCTCGCGTCTCATGAAGGAACAAGGCGAGACGGCGAGGAGCCACAACGGACGACAGGGAGACGTGCTGCCTGGGGATCAAACATCAATTGCCATAGGCCATGCCCCCGCCCGTGACGGCACACGCCAACGCGCGGGTCATCGACCCCAACCTCCTCCTCCTCCTCCTCACGCGACACACGTGGCTCAGTCAAGAGTAAATGTTCCCATTTGACGCGTCTTGTGGGAAGCATGTGAATCCGCCGCTGAGTTCAGGCGGATCATTGCCATTGTTAAAGGTACCGAGGCGATCAGTGGCACGTTACGCCTACGCGAATATGCGGTGAATAGAAGATCGTCCGTTCTGTTGCGTAAACGCAGCAATGAATGGAGCTCAAGTCTAACCAAGTCCACCAATTGCTTCTCCACATGTGATGTAATGAATGTGTAAAACAGCGAGCTATTCAGCGCTAAACAGCTGCCGGGAGGCGAACGAACCGGCGTATGGGATATGGCCGCCTTGTCGCAACAGTCTTCGCCCCTGACGCACACAACATGGTGGCGTGCGGTCCACATTCCGAGAGCCCACATTACACGCTGCGTTCGGCTCATGTCATGCCCATTTTGTCGCCCGTTCTTGGCTTTCTCTGTCTCACATCCCCAAATGACTACTCTTGCTGGTGATTAGAACAAGCATTACCTGTTGACTGAACCAATACTGATGACTGCGCTTACCCCTTTCGCCCCCACCAAGCCACACGGAACATTGACTGCGTGTTCGCTGTCTGCGACCTGACGGACCACGTCGTGTGACCTGAACATTTAACATGGTTCGCCTGCGCTCCATGCTCTCTCCAACGCCTGATGCACCGCCCACTTGCCCCCGTGTCGTGTGGGCCCCGCCAAACTGGCCCCTCCGTGTGACCCGGATATGCCACCGTGGCCCAGATCTCACAATGGCGAGAGCCGAGCGCCGCCAACGTAGCGCCGCCGGGACCCCCGGGGGAGGCACACTCGTCAAACCTACTTGCGGCATGCATGATGGGATATGATGGCGCATGACCAGGCAGAGGCCCCTTCGACCGCCCCCCGCGACGCCTGCTCGCACCTCCGCAACGCTTGTTTTGTGAGAAAGTATTTCATGCCCGCACGCGTCGCTGTGATCAGTCTCCTCTCCCCATCATGCCCGCACTGTCACGACCACCAACCACTGTAACACAACCACCATGACTACTGCCTCGTTCCCCACCCAGCACATGACCGAGCCGACCCCCTACGACGGCATCGCCTTTAACAAGGGCGATCTCCAGCTCGTCTCTTTCGACGACGTCGAGTTCATCGTCGACAGTCTCAAGGTGTCGGCTGCTAGGTGAGTGCTGCTGCTACGCGTCCTTGGCACGAGGCACACTCTCTCCTCATAGCCTCCGGGCGTTTCGGACGCGACGGTACCTTCGGACACCAGCGGCGACGACACCGTGCTGACCGTGACAGCCCGGTGCTCCGTGACATGGCCGCGACCTCGGGCCGCCCGGTCCACGTCCGCGAGTCGGGCAGTGCCCTGCAAGCCCTGCTCGCCATCATCATCGCCGGCGAAGAACCCTTTGCGCACGCGCCCAATGTCGTGCAGGACCTTGCCACCCTCCAGCTCCTGGTCAAGTACGACTGCAAGCCGGCCCTCACCTACGCGACGACCACGCTCAAGTGTCTCCTGATGGAAGGCGACGTGTGTCCGTTCCAGTCGTTCATCCTCGGCGCGCAGCTCGGTGACCTCGACCTGTGTCGCACCGCCATTGTCCACGGTGACGTACCCCCGCTCGACGCCGGCGCGCAGACCTTCCTCCAGCCCTACCGCGACACCCTGCCCGCGGTCTATGCCGACGCCCTGAGGGACTGCTGGAACTCGAGCACCGACCCCAAGGCAAGGGGCAACATGTTCATCGAGCTCATGTCGCTCAGCGACTCGGACGACGGCAGCGACTTCAGCCACTAGGCAGGCGAACGAGCCCCCCTGCGGACGCAGGATTTGAGAAACCCATAAAAAAGGTGTAGCAGCTGCGGGCTACTACTACACTACACCCCCTTCACAAAACAGCAACGATGGGCCCGTGCAGCGCGCGTTGGTTTGTATGTACTTCAATATGTTATGCTATTTGTTCATTGCGAGACGTGCAGGCCGCAGACAGTGAGTTTCTGGCCCCTGTTGGGCACTGCCCTCGCGACCCATGTACGAGGGGTCGCGTCAACACGCGTGTTAATGCGATGCTCCACGCCAGACTTCGTTCTCGATCGCACCAAACGCGATTCTTAGATCTTAAGAGCCGGAAACGCGTCATGTGTTTGCAGAGCGGAAGCTTGCTGCAAGCCCTAAGCGTGCAAGCTTCTTGCCGTAACGTGGTAGACACCTCAGACCTCACCTCACCCGTGTCGACGCAGCCGCATTGAGTCTGCATGTGCTGTCCACCGTTCACACCACGTTGCAAGATCTTGCGAGAGTACCACAGTCGACATGGCCGATGCCTGTCTTCCCATCTATGTGTTTCCCAACTCCCGCCACTCCGTCAATTCATACTACGGGCCAATTCTTTTGCCGGAGTGGACGTGACCGATCGCGATCTATGTATGCGTTTCTCCACGCGGCGCACTCCCTCAATCAATTCACGCTCTTGCAATTCCTCGCGGGAGTCGACGTCATGAATAGGTATCTATCCGTTTCTACAGTTCAGGCGGGCTAATATCCGTAGCACTTTCTTGTGGCAGAGCATACGATCTGCACCAAGCGAGAGAGGGCCAGCCCAGCGCGGCGGCAGTTACGAGCGCTCTCGGTCCCCCCACGTCGACGTTGGTCTTTAACGAGTGAAAGGGAGTCTTGGCACGAATCATGGCCTTGGGCTCTGCCTTAACATTGCTTCAACTCAGAGATCAGAGTCGTCGCGGGTCGTGACAATTCCGTGGCCAACACAGACCCCACTTAAATCACGTGACCTGGCCAACGTGAGGAATAGGAATTATGCAACTGATCACATGGACTCTACTCGGAGAACTGGGCGACCAGGTACTGACTGACGGATGTGGGGGAGAGGGGGGAACCAAGGTCGGTGATGATAAACTCGACAAGCTCGGGGTAGGTGACGTCGAAGGGCGGCTGGAGGTCCTCCATCTCCTTGGACATCTTGAGGTCCTTGGCGATGATGGCAGCGCGGGACGGGGTGGTAGTGCCGGACGCGAATCCAGGCTCGGGGTCAATGCTGGCGCGGCGCGAGTGGGAAGGCGTGGTCATGGGGAAGTTGGCGGCGAGGTTCGCACCTGGGAGCTCGGCGGCAAATGACAGAGGCAAGTGGTCGCGCATCTGGCGAGGCATGGGAAGATCGGTTTGCGAGAGAGGGTAGTGTCGCAGGAACTTGTACGACTCGGCAAGGGCATACACGGGCTTCTGGTTGGCCTTGGCCACCAGAGCGACCTGGTAGGTGCCGACAGACGAGACCAGGGCACCACTCTCCACAACGGCCTCACAACCCAGGAGAACCATGTCGACACGCTCCATCACGTAGCCCACAGCGCTGTCCAGAACGACAGTACAGGGGATGCCCGCGGCAGTGAGGATCTGGTGTGTACGCATGCTGAACGTCAGTTTCTGAACCTCTTTGAGCCAGTTAACTGCTCACCCAAGGCAGCCCGGGCGAGCCTCGGTCACATAGACACTGATGCGCTTGTGCTGCTTGTGCGCGCGCAGGATGGTCTGAATAACGGTACGCGAGTAGCTGTGGGTGAGGATCTGGTCGGTCAGCGCTGTCCATTATTAGCAACACCCACGACGCAGTCATCACGGATGAAGTCGACGGCCGTCTTGGCAATCTTCTCGCGGAACTGGGGGGCAGTGACCGAGCAGAACGAGCGGCCCTGCGCAATCAGGCTCCTCTTGTACGAGTTAAAGTCCTGTCCGTCAGCTTATGCCATATATGTGTTATCTTACCTCTCCACCGCCGTACGCGGCCACGAAACGCTCCCACAGCTGACAGCCGGCACGGACACCAAGGGATGGCTGGGTGTCGATGAGGGTGCGGCGCGCGTGAGTGAGCTCCATAGCAAGACCCGAGATGGTCGACGCTGTCTGTCAGGTGGGGAACATAAGAGGTCACCTACCGGTTGACGCCTCCATGAGCTCGACGAGGGCAAGGATTGCCGCGATAGGGTGGGGATACTGGCCATCAGCTGTTGTTGCGAGCACAGGACAAGGGAAGAAGCACCTTCTCGTCGGACAGAGCCTTCTGGTAGGCGACAACGACGTCAAAGTCCTTTGACTGCCTTGCGGCCGCGAGGGGCTGGCCCATGAGCGCCGAGGGGCCCGGGGTTGGGCTGGCTGGGGAGGTTGTTGCTGTTGTCATGACGGAGGGTGATGGGTGGTGGAGTGAGCGAAATGTTGGAAAGATGGGTTTTGGACTCGACTGTGTGTTCCTGAATGGACGCTGGGTGTGGGATTCAGCTCATGCACCCAAGCGGCCAGCCCACGACGAACCACGCTCTGCTCGCTCCGCGCGGCTCCTTTTCTCTCATCCCACCACACCATCCCCGTCTGCATCGACGCAAGCACACACCATGTCAGCACGCGACTACACAGACTCTGAATCAGAGGTCGACGAAGGCGCCGCCCACATTGCCGAGTCGGTCGTGTCAACGCCTGGCGGATCGCCTACACGAGGTGGTAATGACGGAGGTTTCCGCATCACAGTGAGTCCTTCCAACGACGAGCCGGCTGTTCCACCAGAGACAGATCCTCTTCTTCCCTTTCCGTCACAGGCCTCCACACACTAACACGGCCTCAGCTGCGCCCCAGTATGGGCCACCTCGCGGACGGCGGCAACGGCGAGTCATCTTCCCCACTCGCAGACAGGAGTTCAGCATCCCCTCCTCCTCCCATCCGTCTCAAGCTCGGCATGAAGAACGCGCGCAGCCATCCCGTCTACTCGGACAGCGACGACGAGAGCGACGCGGCCACGTCGACCCCAGCTCCCAAGGGCAAGTCCAAGAGCAAGAGTGAGGAGACCGACGTCCACCGCTCGCCACCGCAGAAGAAGCAAAAGACCGGCAAGGCCAAGCCGCGCTCGTCGGGCTCGACGTCTGGCCCGACCCTCCCAGCCCAGCACCGCAAGCAGTACGACTGGCTGCAGCCATCCTCGGCGTCGGCGTCGCACCATGGCCCCCCGGAGCGCCTGCACTCGCACCCTGCCTCGAGCATTGCCGACCCGGACGAGGCGCGGCCAAGCGGCGACGACAGCGCCCGCGAGTCCGTCCCTCCCCCCACCGACAAGGAGCGCAACAGCGAGGCCAGGAGCGAGAAGGGATCCGAGAAGAAGAAGACTCCCGCGCGCCGGCGCGGCGCCGATGCCCCTCCTGGTCCAGGCAAGAACTGGCGCAAGGGCATGAAGAAGGGCGACCCAATTCCGTGGAAGGATGGCGCGACGTTCTTGGGCGAGCCCAAGATGCGCTCCTCGCCGCTGGGCACGCCGGCGCAGCGTGCCAGCATGAGTCGGGACGTCTCCCCCGAGCCGATTGACGCCATCCTCTTCGCCGCGGCGTCGCGTATCGACCGCGAGCCCTCCCCGCCCTTTGTCCTCGCCGACGCCAAGGTGCTCGGTATCCCAGTCTTCAAGAACCCCATTGTCACGCCCAAGATTCCCCTCGGCACCTTCCCCAAGGTCACATCTTTCTTTGCGCCGTTTGACAACAAGCCGTTCCGCAAAGAGACAGTGTGCGCTTGGACCAAGGACGAGCGCACGATCACAGGTGTCGGTGGCCACATGCTCAAGTTCAAGACGTGGCGGCCGGGCCCGCAGTCCGAACTCGGCGCCGTGCTCCAGGCGCAAAAGGAGGCCGACCGCGCAGCCAAGGAGGCCAAGAAGAAGGAAAAGGACGGCAACGCCTCGACCGTGGAGGCCACACCCGAACGGCCCATGTTCACACACAGCAACAGCGCAGACAGCCTCACCGCCGGCGTGCCGCCCGCACCCGGGTCTGCGGCCGGCGATGACGTGGGCGACCGCGACGACGGCGCCTCGGAGATGGGCGACGACGACAGCGTCGCTGGTAACCTCAGCATGCGCGAGTCGCCCATCCCCGCCGCGCGCATCCATCACGGCGGCCATGGACGCGGCGGCGCGAGCAAGCGTGGCAGACCCCGCAAGTCCAAGCTCGCCCAAGAGATTATCTTGCCCACCGAGGAAGAGGGCACGCCCGCCAGCCCAGGCCTCGACGCCAGCGCTGAACCGTCTGCCGCTGCAGAGGGCGATATGTCGGACGAAAAGCCCGCCATCCCTGCCTAAGGCCTAATGCTTTTTCTCCTCAACCCAACCGCGCCACCCGTAGCGTCCTTGCCTAGACTGATGACCGTGATGCATGTTTGTACAGTGATACCTTATTAGCGCAGCCGCGCATGCTAGTAGCGGACAGATACCAAAGAGAGAGACACAAAATAGGGGGAGGAAGATGGGGGGGGTAGGAGAAGGGGGGACGGGCGGGACAGAATCGACACCTATCCGCGCCGCCTGGCGAACGCGACAATGAGGTCACGGTCCCGTCCGACACGCCACTCGCCGAGACGTTTGAGCTCGCGCCAGATCTCGCCCTCGGGAGCCGGAGTGCCCGGGGGGGAGTAGATGACAAAGTCGGCCTCAACGAGGAGCGACCGCAAGAGCGAGCCGACGAGGAGACAGATGATGCACGCGATTATCACGGCAGGAAGGGGGACCTGGTACCGCACCACACTGGGCGCGGGGGAACGTGCCACTGCGGTGCCCGGGGTAGGAGTCGTGGCCTCAGAAGCAGAGGCCTTGCCCGACACCGCGGCCGACCTGGTCTCGGGAAGCGCAGTGGGCAGCTTGACTGGGCTGTTCTCCTTTGACACGGGTGCGCTCGCACTGAACCGCGTCAGAGGGGTGTACTTCCACAGGTTGTTGAAGCGGCCAATCGGCGTAGGCGGCGTGGGTTGCTTCGGGTCGAGAGGAGGCTCTGGGTTCGTCTCCTGGGGCAGCTCGACGGGCTCGTTGGTCGGCGTCTTGGAGACTTCAGAGTTGACGTCTGACTCATTGTCTGCCTCGTCGAGCTCCACAATAGTCTCATCTGGGAGATACTCGCGCGCGATGGCGAGGGGCTTCTCGAGACTCGTCGCCTTGGGCGTCGTGCGTGCAACGAGCTGAGGGGGTTTCAGCTTGCTCGGCTCCTTGGTGAGGCTGAGTTGACGCGTCGGGAGCTTGCGCTCATCCTCGATGGGCACCTCAACACCCTCAAACATATACGCAGCGGGCTCCTGACGACGGGGAACGAGGCGAATCTGCACAACGGCACCGTCATTGATGAGGTCTAGGAGCCAACGGGGCCGCGGGAGGGGAGCGGCCTTGCCAGTGAGGGGGTCGTTGACCGGAGCCTCGTAGCCTGAAGTTGGGAGGCTGAAGCGGAGGAGATGGCGCGTGGATGTGGTAGGGTCGAGCGCAGCAGACTGGAGCAGAGACGGCGCAAGTGAGATGACACTGCACTTGAACGGCATGCGGAGCTTGTCGCCCGCAAAGTCGAGGGGCAGGATGGAAGCGTCACCACCGTCGCCGTGGTAAGCCTCGGGCAGGGAGACGGCACGGATGGCAACCTCACAGCCACCCTTGATGAACTCGGCACCGACCTCAATGTCCGCGACGATGAGGTCACGGCGGCCACGACGAATATCCTCGGCTAGCTCAAACATTTGTGAACGTGTTGAGTTGATCGTGTTGCGACTGTCGCTGTGGTTCAACGAGGGCCGAAGAGACTCGGTGTCCTTTGAGCTGGACGACGGAGGCTGGACTGTCACCGTCATGACAAAATCGTCACCATTGTTGATCTGGTCAACGGGGACCTTGTACGACTCTGTGCCCTCCAGACTCCATGGGCCCTGCGACGCCGGATCGGGGATCGTGACGGACATGGGCGGCCATCGTGAGCGCGACGGTGGGCCCTGGGCCTTGAGTGAGTTCTCGACAGTGAGGAGAGCACGGGGTAATCCAGCGTTGAGCATGTTGTTGACCGAAACAGGAATGTTGCCTCCATAATCGATGGAGCCGACATACATACACCGAGTGGAAGGGATGGCGTACTGCTCGTGCGAGTAGGGGTCGATGGTCTCGAGAATCCAGCCCTCAAGGAGGACATTACACGCCGGCATGGCGGTAGGATTGTACTTGGCCGGGTCCATTCCGAGGGTGATGGGGTCAAAGCCCGACGACGAGGCGTGGAAGATGGTCGACAGGGGCTGGTGGGACACGATGGATGGTGAAGGTGGTGGGGTGTCAGGGACGCGTCCCACAGCAGTCGCAATGATGGCGCTGCGGTCGCGGAACATGAACGTCGTGTGCGCTGTCACATGTGAGGTCGTGATGCCGTGACCGTATGCCTGCAGGCGAACGGGCTTGTCAAAGTATTCGTCTTTGCGCATTGCAGACACGCTCGCCGACACCTCCTCGGCTGTAAAGCCCTCGATAATCCTGCCAGCACGGAAGACAGGGAAGCTGTCCGAGACGTGGGCGACGATCCGCTTCTCGACCTTGAGGCCGTCACGGTCTGCCACCGGCTGCCACCCGAATGGGTCTGTCGACTCGCCATCCCGGTCGGCGTGAATACGCGTCAGCTGGCCCAAGGCTCGTACTGCAGCATCCACCGGTGTGCTGCCCGCTGTCGGGACAGCAGAAGTGGCACCAATGGGCACGAGGGCCGCACGAGTCGACTCGGCGGCCTGTGTGTAGAACCGAGAAATCGGCATGTACAGCTTAGTGAAGGCTGTGGCCTGGGTGATGGTCGCATACGGATCGAAAATACCGTTCTGGGCAGTACTGCGCAGTGACAGGTTGCTCTGGCGCTTGCGCACCACACCAAGAGCGGGGGGCTGGTCGAGAGCGACACGAGACGGCTTGGAACGCTTTTGCTTCTTGAGGTGCTGAACATCGGTCTCGGAGAGATCCTCGTTGTCGACCTTGAGCTTGGCACCGTTGACAGTGATACTTGCTTTGCCACCGGGTGCTTGCGTACCGCGGCGAACCGTGACAGTAACAGACCCGCCTGCAAGGGAAGCGAGGTCGTGCTCAATAGTGAGCCAGAGGCCGCCACCGTTGGGCGACAGCCTGTGGCGCTTCAGCGCCGACATGTTCTTGGGAGGCGGATCCACAACAACGATGATGCTGTTGCACCACTTGTCGGCGTCGACTCGGATTCCACACTCCATGTTGCCAGTCAAGGTACCAGAGTTTGTCGACTTGTCACTAATGGTTTCCACATCGTCATCCTTGACGAGCTTGGAGTAGCTAGTTGGAGGGAACGCAGTCGCAGTGCTCGACGAGTTTGACCTCCTCTGCTCGGCGGCCTCGTACTTGAACTGGAACGACTCCTTCTCCACATCGTAGCGCGACGAAATAGCCTTAGCACCACCCAGGCGGGTTGTAACGGGAGGGGCACCGTGCTTGATGGCGAACTCGCCCAGTCCTGCCAGAGTGGACATCATGACCTGCGGGATCGAAGACTTGTTGGACCATCCGCCCGGGTGACTCTGCTCGAGCAGAGTGACCTGCGTGGTGTTAGGCGAGAGGGCCTCAATAGACCATCCCTGGAGGTCGATCTGGGTGCGAATGACATTTGGGTCAAGGCAAGGCGGGATGCAAGGGAAGAGCTCAGTGTTCTCAGTCGAGAAACCAAAGATGTGTACGGACGAGGGCGACTTATATGTCGTGCGAACGAGCACCGAGTCGCGCGCTGAGACGGGCCACGAGGCTTTGGACTTGAAGTGCCAAACGTCTGTCAACTCGTTGACGTCCTCGAGGAGGGTCGCATCCTCGTACGACTTGTCCCACACGACCCGAGTTCCAGGGGTGATGATGGTCGAGAACAAGTCCCAGACACCCACACCCACAAACACTGCCTCAGCCCGGAACACGACCAGAGTCCTGTCGATAGAGTCCAGCTGGTGCACAGAGACGCCCCTAGACTCGGCAACTGGCCTCCATTTGGGCTCCGGTTCTTGTAGCAGAGAAGTAAAGTCTGGGACGTAAGCCGACATTCCCCGGGAAGGCCTTCTCAGCTACTCACAGATGTAATTGCGCTTGATCAAACTCGAGATACTACGCACGGCCGCAGCACTGCGTCCTTTCTTAGCCTTGATGACCATCGATCCTTCTGGGGAACCCGCTCTTGAGCTCTCGGCAGTATCGACAGTCGGAAGGGACATTGCGCTGGTGCTCGGTGACCCTCCAAGGAGGTTTTTCAATGGTTCCACGTTCATTTGCTGCACTGGAACGGGGTGGCCGTTGATGCGGACACGACCGGTGGTGGTATTTGATGTGGAGGTCTGCTCGATCGATACCTTGATGCGAACCAGCTCCTCGTCGGGGCACAGCTCCGAGTGGACGAAGCGAAGCACAAGACGCTTCGGAGCTGCCGATCCGGGAACGGTAGGTGGCGACTGACCCACAAAGGACGACCAACCCATCGACGGAGATTCTTCCCCATGCTGGGGCTTGACGTGAAGCTGCACGTCCCACCCCTGAGTGGACGAGAGGCCAAACTCGATTTGTCGTCTTGTGCCATCGTTGCCATCGTCGCTCTTGATGACCGCATAGTTGGCTGACAAGGTCACGCGACCGGGGTCGTAGCTGACCCCCGAAATGCTCACGTCTTGTCCATAGTCAAGCAGGACAGGGACCTTTTCGCTGCCATCACGAATGTAGTCGATCAGCCCGACCAAGACTGTGGGGAGATGCTGTGGCACAGCGCCACCCACAGCCCATGTGCCCTTCGGGTTCCAGGACCAGAAACAGGTGATCCGCGCTTTGCCTTCAGGCAATGGCGGCTCCACGGTGCTCGCTGAGGGAAGCTGGATGCACCATGCCAAGAGATTAACATGGGCACGGACGTAGGGTGGTGCTGGTCGCAAGTAGGTGGGCTCATGGCGTGAGCGGGGGAGGGAGGTGGAGACGTCAATGAGGGTATGCTGATCCACAAGTGTCTTTGATATTGTCACGGCGTCACGCGGACTGCATGTCAGCGCTTGGACACACTAACGCGCCGCCTTACCTCGATGGCCACCCAAGGCGATAGTTTGTCTTTGTGATACGGGTGTGCGTATCCAAAAGGTCTAGCAGCTGGGATTCTTCGACCATACGATCCCCTGGGACAAGTCGTCAGCGGAGATACTATCACAAGTACACAAATGTTGCTACCCACAGACAGGTCGTGTCTCGGGGGTCGCAAGAGACCCCCGAAAAGTGTCGACGTTGATGTCGGAGCCGCAGTCCACTTCGACGACAGCACGGAAGACCTCGCCTCCCTTGCCATTGCGGCGGTGGACGACGACATCGTTGGCAGTGATCTTGCCAAGCGACGACAACCGTGCGCCGTTATTCAGCGATGGACGCACAGGGCTCGGTGGAGTGGATGGAGCCGCCGAAACGAGCTTCCATGCCGCCGAGCCAGACGATGACAAGAGGGCGCGGATGTATGACACGGAGCCGTTGAGAGCTTCATTCCACGCAGTCTCCAGCCTGCACCGGTGTCAGCGACGGAGCGAAGGAACGGAGGCTTGGAGCGCGCGCGGTGGGGTGACATACCTAACGCCGTCATCGAGATTCTCGACACCCATCCTGTCGTTGGATCATGTGCGGATGGGGCCAGGCGAGTAGAGAAGAATACGGCCAGCTGCGGATGGAGGTGAGGGTGGGAGTGATGGAGTGTGATGTTGTAGCGGTGTAAGGTGACAGTGTGACGGCAAAAGTACTAGTTGTGGTCGTCGTCCGTTGTTGGTGGGTGGCTCGATCCTGGCTCGATCCGGTCCTCGGACGATCCGCATTAGGGCGTCATTGCTGTCACGTGAATGTCGCGTGGATTTGCCGCCGCCGACTACCGCCCGCGCCCAGCCCCCCCGCACACCGTCTCCCGCACCCAGAGAGAGGCCCGGAGAGGCAGCGCGTCAACGTCATGCAAACGTCCACCACCACCATCCGTATCTCACCCACCCCTCCCACTCAATATCTACCCGCCATCGGCCACGACCTCACAGCCACTCCACTCACGCAACTGCGATGCCGAACCCCTTTGGCATGTTTGGGTCAGAGCCAGGGCCGTCTTCCGCGTCAACGCCACAGACCCGGTCCACGTCGCCCAATCCAGCCCAGACATCCCAACAACTTCGCCGCCCAGCGTCTCATGGTCGTCTATCCAAACTCATGCTTCCCGGAAGGTCGCGTAGCAACTCGGCTGCTTCTCAGGAGGCTGTGACAGGCTCTCTTGCCGTCAACGTGTATGCAGACGACCAGGTTACCAGCGGACGTACCACGCCCGAGCAGCGTCGCCGCAACGCCAAGGGTGAGTTGAGCCTTTGCCAGGTCTGCGGTACTGACAACACAGCAGCGACCCAGAGCCTCCTGGCGAGCGATGCGAAATACAAGAAGTTTGCCAGTCAGGTCGACCGCTGTCTCCAGTCATTTGAGAGCGTCAACGAATGGGCCGACTTTATTTCGTTCCTGTCGAGGCTCCTCAAGGTGAGGTGGCGAGGTGCAACTGCCAGGGGACCAAAGCTGACAATGGTAGACGCTTCAAACACCTTCTCCACCTTACAGCGAGATTCCTCGCAAGCTGATTGTCGCCAAGCGTCTCGCTCAATGCCTTAACCCTGCTCTTCCCGCTGGTGTTCACACGCGTGCATTGGACGTCTACGCTTATGTATTCAAGAGCATTGGAGTGGGTTTCCGTTTCATCCAACCTCAACTGACCTAAAACAGGTGGAAGGACTCAAGCGCGACCTCCTCATCTGGTCGTCGGGCCTCTTCCCGTTCTTCCAGTACGCCTCGACCTCGGTCCGCCCGTCCCTTATCAGTCTGTACGAGACGTACTACATTCCGTTGGGCGAGGACCTGCGGCCGGCCACAAAGGCCATGATCCTGGCCCTGTTGCCAGGTGTGGAGGAGGAGACGGGCGATTTCTTTGACAGGGTAAGATCGAAAAGGTTGTTGACCGCTGACCGTTTAGGTTCTCGCACTCCTCACTAACCTCTCGGACGCCGTGTCATGGCAGTTCTTTATCCAGAACATCTTCCTCGTCCTCATCTCGAGTTCAGCCTCACGTCTTGCCGCTCTCAATTTCCTAGCAAGGAAGCTCCTCGACCCACCCACCGATGCCTCCAGCGTAGAAGTCGGCCTGTTGATACGTGGCACCGCTGCAGTGTTGGGAGACGACAACATGCTGGTGCGCCGCAGCGGTCTTGACCTGTTACTACGAATCTTGCCTCTCGACGGTCCTATCTTCAAGTAAGTGTGCGGCTTTCTGCTTGGCTAACTTGTCAGGGATGCGATCCATGAAGACCGCGAGCACCTCGTCCGGGCCGTCGCATTCGTCGTCCTGCAGCGTGATGTGTCGCTCAACCGCCGAGTATACACTTGGTTCCTCAGTGGAAACGATACATCCGAAAGTCAGATTGCCTACTTTAAAACAAACGGGCTCGATCTTTTAAGCGGGACTCTCAAGGGGGACATGGAAAAGCTCTCTGCGGCAGCGGACATGGCCGAGGCGCAGGCGCCGTTCAAGGTCTTCCTTTCCCTCCTTGACAAGTGGGAGATTGGAGAAACCCTATCACTCAACCTTGCCATTCCCTCTCTTCATGCGATCCAAGCAGCTTCAAAGGGAGTAGATGGCAGCGAGGTATGTGACACCGTCAAGTTGGGGACTGACGTCAGGTCGCTGGAATTGGGTCTGCCGTGTACGAGGCAATTGAACCGAGCGTCTTGTGGAAGAAAATATACGAGGGGGTCGACAAGGAACTGGTCAATGGCGATACAAATGTGAGCTACGCCTCGGCAGCTGGGCTGACACACAAGCTTCTCAACCTCACTCTGTGGCTGGTCACGGCAATCCCACAGCACGATGAGGAAACCGCCACTGTCCATGCACCTCTCCTCCTCGCTCGTATCGCCCGCTGCCTCTCTGAGCAGCCCAAGAAGGAGGTCTTGCAGGCAAGCCTGCAAGTCGCCAATGCTCTGCTCGAAATGATACCCGACTCGGTCTTTAGCCCCCCTTCCTCCGACGGTGCCGTGCCCAATGGCAACACACAGTCGGCTGAGGAGCTGGCGTACACCGAAGTCAAGCTTGCGGCCGCAGCCATGAAGGTCCGCATCGACGTCGCACCACAACTCGTTACTGCTATCTTCAAGATCTCGCAGGAGGCACTGAAGGCTCCTTGGAGCTCCAACTTGCTCCTTCTTGTCGTCAGCCTCACGCAGACATTGATAGATCGCGAGGTTCCCTCGCTCTCGACGGTTGACAGCGTCACTTGGGTTGCAGCTCTGTTGACGGCATTGGAGCGGGTGCGTGTTTGCAGCGGCTATTGTTGGTTGACGACTCTTCAGATTCCCTCGTTTGCGGTTGTGGATGCCCTTGTCGACGCAGCTCTCAGGGCCAGTCGGTCACAGCTGTTCGAGCCCCCCATCGACATCACCTCTGATTCTGTCATGACTACTGTGCTCGACTCTGTATGTCAAGAAACTCACCCAGCCGCTAACGCTGCAGCTCTTCCGTTACCTCCGTCCTGACGCGGCCCCGTACCATGCGCGTGCGGTGGAACTCCTTTGGGAGTACAACCAGCTTGCGGAAATCCATACTCTCGAGAGTGTTATTGCGCGCCGGATGTCCTCTGTGCGGCATCGCAGCGAGGCGTTCGAGGCTTTTGGCGTGCTCTGGCGCCAGTCTGGTGAGCGGAAGTCGCAGGGCCTGACGCTGACTGAAGACGATTCGATGCTCCCTGGTGAAATTTTCCACGTCCCCATGTTCATGGTTCTCGACGGTCTGAAGAGCGACGACCCTCAGGTCCTGCGCGCTTCAGAGACTTGGATGCGCTGCAACCTGAAGTCCTACTTCCGCATGTTTGACCCGCTACTTCGTCGAGTCATGGACGTCATGCACCTGCATCAGGGCAACAAGAAGGGTGGCGACTCGTCACTTGTCTACTACTTTGTTTCAAGTGTCACGAGTCTTTTCCGCTTTGGCGGCCAGGGCCTTAGTAAGGCATGCCAGTCGACCGAATTCCGCAAATCGGTCAACGCCATGTTTGTCTCGCGAGCGGAAGAGTCCTTCCCTCATGCTGTCACCTACCTGGACCTCTTGACCGATCTCCTTACAAGGTGAGTCGCACGAGCGCAAGTCCTGCTAACTCAACAGGTTGTTGAACGACACCCCGAACGAGAACCAGACCCTTCGGGTCCAGTCTGCTGCCCTCGAGCTACTGCTTCTCCTCGTCAGCCGCGGTGACTTGACGCCCAAGTCTCTCGAGCACATCAAGTCTACTTTGGTCGACAAGCTCACTTTCTGTACCCAGCATCGCCGCCTTACGCTCCAGAACACCATGCTCCACCTCCTCCACTCGACCATCTCCGCGAGTGAAAAGCGTCCTCGCAACCACCGTGTCACCTCGTCGACGTTCTCCATTCCGGAAAAGTCGCCACCTCTGCCCGATAACGAGGTTGAGTTTGACAATTCTCTCATCCGCATGATCATTTGTGGTGTCGCATCCCCAGGCAACCGCCCGATTCTTCAACACTGGATCGACTTCGTCCTCATGACAATCCCACATCTCGAGAAGAATCCCCAGCAGCTTCGCCAGCTGTGTGACTGTTTCTGCGAGCAGCTGCGCATGACCATGCTCCAGCTGCGTAACACCTTCTCCACTGCCACTAGCGACGACATGGCTGCTACTATTACCGAGTCTGAGCCAATCATGCTTATTGGTGTTTTGGAGCGACTGGCGGTCGTCCTTGGTAGCAAGGCGGGTACCCGCCGAAGCGAGGACCGCGAACGGCAGGCAGGCGATGGAGGCGGCTTCCTTGGCTACCTGCCAACAGTGTTCTCCGTTGAGGCGCCACAGGATTCAGCAGTGAGTTTTGTAGAATGACTCACAAACTGACGTCAGTCGAAATGCGAAGCTGCCCGATACCTCGACGATATTATGGACTGTCTCCTTGTGACATGGTCTGTGACCGAGCTCGGTGCCGAGCCCACAACGTATAACCCTGTCACTGCCTCCAAGACCCAGATCATGACACGCACTCGTACTCGAGCTCGCAAGGCGCTGGAGAAGATGTTCAAGGCTCAGCCATCCGAGATCATCGGCAGCTGCGTGCAGGTGTGGGCCACCGACTCGAGCGACATTTCCGACGCTGCCATCTTTGACTGTCTCGATGTGCTTGCTCCCAGCGCTCAAAAGGTCGTGGACCTTGTGTGCGAGCACTTGAGTGGAAAGGGTCGTGGTTCCATCTCGGACAGGTAAGCTGAGCTCTGACCATCAGGTAAGCTGACAAGAACAGCTCCAATCCTGCCTTGGCCGCCTTCCTTGAAGCATACATTAGCCGTCTCGAGGGCCCGATTGCGGTACAGGTCTGGAACGCGCTGTACAGCTATGCGCGTGACATTCTCGGCCAGTCAAGTAACCCCGCTGCGCGGTCGCAGCTTTTCTCGGTGTTGAGGTATGTTGCTCCCACGATAATCCCAATTCTAACCTTTCAGGGGCCTTACCATCCTTGGCAAGATCGTGTCTACCACCAGTGCCCTCGAAGACCGCCGACTGCGGCGTGACCTCCAAGACACATACGTCAAGGTGCTTGATGCCGTCCTCGTCAACTCGTCGCGGTTGGGAGACAGTGTGCTCTGGGACAGGGATACCCCTGTGGAGATTCCCAACACTGAGGGTGAGTTGTACACGCAGATGATAGCTAACCAAACAGACGAGCGAACATCACTTACTGCCCGCGGTGTTCAAAAGGTGAGGTCGCAATGCACGCTTCTTCTGACTCGCAGATCTACTCTTTCATTGGTGGCACCGTTCTTCAGAGTTTGCGCACCTTCCTGGTCGAGAATGACCGTGTCGCGTCTGCATGCTCGGGCATCTCGTCCAACATTATCCAACCAGCGTTCAAGCAGCAAAAGTGAGCTCCTCGTCCGCGGCGTCCTGAGCTGACAAGTACAGGGTCGACACTACCATCTTGAACCTCTTGCGAGAGATGGCCAAGATTCCGGTGGCCATCAAGTCTTGGCGCGTTGTAGTGGGCGACGCATTTGGCGACAACCGCTTCTTCAAGATCACACCAGAGGAGTCGGCACAGTGGAAGCCACTGGTGTGCGCTCTCATGGACAGCGACAAAGAGAGGCTTGGCGACCTACTCGGTGAGCTACCCATTTCGCACAAAGCTAACGCCAGGACGCATTGCAGCTGGCCCATCGGCCAACATCTTCACGAACCGCGAGCAAGAGACCATCTCGCGCTCCCTCAACCTCCGCCGTTTGTCATTTGTTCTTCTCGCAGCCGAGCGTAACCACCATCTCGCCCAACTGCCCAGCATCCAGGAGAAGCTCGTCGAAATCTTGCGTACCAACGTCGTTGCTCCACGCGTGCATTCCGAGGTTTACCTCTGCCTGCGCGTGTTGATGTGCCGTATCAGTCCCCAACACCTGGCAAACTTCTGGCCCGTGATCCTCGCCGAGCTCCTGCGCGTCTTCGAGTCGACAATGGACGACCCACCAGTCGACGGATCCGAAGACCTCGCGCTCGTGCTGGCCGCGTGCAAGTTTTTGGATCTCTTGCTTGTCATCCAGTCTGAGGACTTCCAAATGTGGGTTGTTCGTGCGTTACCTTGGTCTAACTCTGCAGCCATCAATGGATCTTTGTTACCGACACGACGGATGCCGAGTTCCCTCCGGAGGACTACAGCCCCGAGGCGCTCATGGACCGTCTCACGGACATCCTTGCCCAGGCGGGCACCGTCAAGCCGGTCGCCAACGCCGTGGAGATCCAGACCAACGACTCGTCTGCACCGCGCAAGCCTCATCTCGCCAACGTCAAGGCTCTCAGCAGCCTGCAGCAGCTGCAGCCCTTCTTTGCACGTGCGAGCATTGAGACGTTTGAAGGCGTGTACGCCGACGTTGGCGTGGACTGGGACACGATCGAGGAGGGACTGACGGGCGAGATTTTCGAAGGGGAGAAGGAGCAGGGAGACAAGGAGAAGGTGGACGCCTGACCAGTAGAGACACCATAATAACGACAACACGATCACTATAGATAGACTGCATGCAACTAGCCACTAGACGGTCCGCAGGGGGTCGGCGTCCTTCTTGCTCACCAACACCTCCCATCCAGACTCGTCGTCGGTGTTGAGCTCCTTCTCGAGCCACGGCTGCAGGACGGCACTGAGGTACCCGCGCTCCGTGTTGGTGTGGTTGGCGAGAATGACACTCTGACCAGAAGCGACCTTGGCCAACACCTCGTGGTGGCTCATCTCACCAGTGACGAGCATGTCCGCCTTGGTGCCGCCAATGACGCCGCCGCCGGAGCCGGCACAGACGGCGATCGAAGTGATAGGCGTCTCCTCGTCGGGGGTGGCGAGCTGCACTGTGAGGGGGTCAGCTTTACGACGAAACCCGTTAAGCTGAAGCGACAATAACGCACCGTACTCTACACCCAGATGCTTCTTGACCCTGGCAACCACGTCGGGGACAGCAAGGGGACGCGAAAGTGTGACGATGCGGCCCATGCCGGCACCCTCAAAGCCGGCTGGAGGCTGGGCGGTCGGGTCCACAACCTCCGAGGTGGCAGTGACGTCCTTGAAGGGCTCGACAAGCCTGAGCGTTAGACAACGATACTGTGGACCATAACGCACCAGGTGTTGATGCCCTTGGGGGTGGCGTCGAGCGAGGTGTGCGGAGCGAACACTGAGATACCAGAGGCTGCGAGCTTGAGGAGCGAGGCCTGGAGAGGGTTGCTGAGGGTGAGGGACTTGAGACCTTTGAAAATCTGTTTGTTAGCCCATATATGGCAACTGAGAAACAAAAAGAGAGTTGGGCAACGCAGGCTTTATGTCTCAACAGAGGGCCGGGAGGCGAGGGAGGAAGCAACACTCACAGGAGGGTGGTAGGCGATCACGACTGAGCAGCCCGGGAGGGCCAGGGCCTCGGCACAAACGGCAGCAGTGAGGTCAATGGTGAGAAGCACTTGCTTCTTCTCCTTGGGGAACGGGGCCTCTGTAATGTTAGCTGTGGGTTTACATAGGTTAACTAACCGACCAGGACGCCGACCTGAGACTTGGTTAGCTCAAGACCATACAATTGCAAACTCACGTTATCCCAGCTCGTCTCCGCAAGCTGGAGGGGAGCGATGCGCTCCCACGCGCGCTTGATGACTGCAATGGGGGCCTTGCGTGCTGCTGCCATGCTGACTGTCGGTTCGAGAGACAAACTGTTGCTGGAAAGGCAACTCCCACTGTTCGTCGCCAAGGTGCCCCGCTCAGCAACGCGTTCAAGTCACGTGATGTGGGCCCCGCAATTGCCTTCTCATCTCGAAGTTTCCAAGACGTCTTGAACCCCAAGGTGCTCTTGCGTTTCTCCATAATATATAACTAATAACATGTCCCAGCCACCAGCACCAACAGCAGCTGAGCACGACGGCAAGATCGACAACGTCATCGAGAAGATGGCGGCAGTCCGCGCCGCGTCGGGCTCGGGCTCGGGACCAGCCAACCCCGAGAAGAAGCAGTGGACCTATGACGAGTTCCAAAAGGTCCTCGACGAGACCCCTTTGTTCATGCGGGAGACACCCAAGGACACCAAGGACAACTACGTTCTTGAGGCTCTCAAGAGTCTTGTGTTTGAGGGAGATGGTGATGGTGAGTGTCCAGGACCGGTTATGGAAGCTACCCACCAACCGCTGCCGAGCTTCATCCGCGGCAATGACTAACCCCCTCCAGAGGTCGGCCTCAACTTCAAGAACCACGGCAACGAGCTGTATGCGCAGAGGTCATACCGTGATGCCGTGGATGCCTATTCCCAGGGTCTTGAGGCGGGCCCCAAGGATGACGCTCTGCGCATCTCGCTTCTCAACAACCGTGCGGCCGCCAACCTCGCCATGAAGAACTACCGCGCCGTTCTCGGCGACACTTCGGCCATCATTGCCTACGCCGCCACCGAGAAGAAAAGCCCCCCTGCCAAGGCTGTTTACCGTGCTGCCCAGGCGCTTGTTGGTCTGGAACAATGGGACGAGGCGACCGACGCTGTCGACCACGGTCGCAAGCTCAAGGGCGAGGAGGATAAGAAGGAGTGGCCGACACTTGCGGCCCAGATTGAGAAGGGCAAGCGTACTGTGCTGGAGCGTGCGGAGCGCGAGCGCAGGAAGGTTGTGATGGATGGCGCTAGGCGATTGGCCATTGTCAACCACGGCCTCATGGTCGTCAACACCCCCAATCCCCCCGACAACCCGCACCCATTCGACTTTGACCCCGACGCGCTCCCCAAGGTGCCCCTTTACCCTCCCGAAGAGGCCGCCGGCTGGGTTGCTCCTCCTGTCTACACCCCGCTTGTCTTCCCCGTGTTCCTCCTGTACCCTCAGCACAACATGAGCGACCTTATCACGCACTTCCACGAGGACACGAGCTTTGACGACCAGATGGCGGTCATCTTCCCAGCTTCGGCTAGCCCCTCGTCTCCCAACCCCCCTTGGTCGGACTGGGACACCAAGCACGAGTACTACAACTCCAACCTGGCTGTCTACGTCGAGACCCAGCAGAGAAGGCTGCTCAAGGTCGGCAAGGACATTACCCTCCGCGAAGTTATCACCAAGTCGCACCGCTCCGCCTCGGCCAATGCCCCCCGCGACGGCATCGTGCTCCGTGATGGACTTATGAGCTTTGTTGTTCTTGTGAAGGGCACCGAGGAGCGCGAGTGGATCGCCAACTTTAAGAAGGTCCGCGATGGCGGCAAGTAGAGCGCGCTGGCCGCACAGCTTCCTCTCCCTAACCACCTATGTACACCATCACAAACACCTTTAGAGAATCTGCACTGTATGCTCTAGACCAAGAAATTATGCATTACCGGGAGCGGTGCTCTATGGTGCAGTACACTTGAAATAACGTAGACCAGGACCGAGACGAGAAAAAAGTGTGGCAGGTTTGGTGACAAGGCAGTTTTCGAAATGTTGAACTCCGGACCATTTCCGCCCACCTACTTGTCCTTCTTGGACTCGACCTTGTCGCCCTTTTTGGCACCCTCCTTCTCGTCCTCGACCTCGGCCTCGTCGGCAACCTGGCCGTACTCGTTGACACGCGAGTAGTCGATGCGGTAAATCCACCTCTGGTAGAGGAGAACCACAAACACAGCGTCATCACGGAAACAGGCGAGCCTGTGGAGCCAGGGCTGGGGGATGATAAACGCGAAGAAGTCGTCGACCACAGTGCTGAGAGTCTTGTATACCATGGCCTTCATCGGCATATGAGCCACGCTCTTCAGCTTGTGATTGATCTCGCGTTTGTTAGCATCGTGCAACGTTGCGCAACGTGTAGAAGGTGTAAGGAAGATGGTGTTGAAGAGAGGAAGTCGGGAAAAAAAAAAATCCCGAAAACCCCCTTGAAAACCCCCTCCCTCAACGAAACACTCACAATAAGCTGAGGGATAAGCTGGGCAAAGCCACCCATGTACACGGCCTGGGCGAGGGTGGTAATGACGAACGAATACCAGCTGCGGTGCGTGTTGTACATGAGCGAGTAGCCAGCGTAGGCGAGCAGACACGGGAGGGCGACCATTGAGACGATGCGGAAGGCAAGAGCATCGTACTCCTGAGTCTTGAGTTCGTCCTCGGTAAGTTCGTGCTTGTCCTCAAAGGTGACCTTGTAGCCAATGAGCGATCCAGGGTTCTCGCGGACGCGAACGTTGACGACCTTGGTGATCTTCCAGGCCTCGATGACGAGACCCATGCCCTGCGAGAAGAGGATCATCCAGCTAGTCTCCTCGGACGACTCGTGGAGGTAGAGCAGAATGACGAGCTGGACGAAGCAGTTGGTGAGAATGGTGTTGAGCGAGACACCGACGAGGTCGCCGTTCTCCTTCTTCTTGCGCCAGTGCGAGACGTCGGACGAGAACGCCAGGAACTCGAAGAGCATGTGGAGAACCGACACAATGAGTGTCGTGATAAGGAGAACCGGGTTGGTCTCGGTGAGCATGCGCTTGACCGCGTCGAGCTCAGCACCGGAACCCTGCTGCTGAGAGGCCTGCTCAAACGAGACAGTGAGCGTTGCAAAGATCTGGAACTTCATGCCCGAAAGGGCATTGTAGGTCACGTGGAGCGGGAGCTGAGGGGTAGTCTGGTTGATGGGGACCATGTTCTCCTTGAGCAGCCAGAAGTCGTTGGGGAAGATGGGCGGGAAGTAAGTATTCTTGTTGTCAACCGATTTGGGGCCAACCTGGTAGTAGGGGCGGAGCGCAGGGTTGATGGCGTTCCAGTCAATCTGGCCACCGTCGCTGACCACCGCAATAGTGAGGTTGCGCGACCAGTATGAGACGATGCGCTTCTCAACGCCAGTGTCCTCCTCGTGCTCCTCCTCCTCCTCGGTGTGCTCCTCTTCGGTGGCCTTGCCAAGGAGGGACTTTTCGGCGCGCACGCGGCGCTCGGGCATCCAACGGGTGAGCTCTGAGAGAGTTAGCCAAAGCATCCCAACCTTCCTACTCACCCTTGCGGTGGTTGGCGACCACTCCGGGCTCGCGGCCAATAGGGCTGCCGCCGTCCTTGACAAGCAGAATGTCCATGAACAGCGAGCCGTTCTCGGCACGCACAGTCTCAGGCACATCGATGATGAGGTCCTCCTCACGGACGTCCTTCCAGTCACCAAAGGTGAGGCCGTCCCAAATAACGTTGGGGTTCTGGACATCAATACCAGCGGGGCTGGGAGCCGTGTTAACGTAGAGGTACATGCTCATGGGAGTGCCGGCCTCCCAGGCAGGCGAAGCGGGGAATGCGGCCTTGCCAACCGCCGACGCGGCAGTAGCAGCAGCCGCACCCTCAGTGACAGCCGCACCACCGTCCGCAACAGGGATCTCGTTGGGGACAGCGGGGGCGTCGTTCTTGGGACCCATGCCAAACTGGATTGTCAGTAGTGTCTAACCCTCAGCGTGAACGTACGTAGGACATTCCATACTTCATCGCTGTTTATGGTCAGCTCAACTGTTGCATACGTGTCGGGCTTGGCCGACATGACGGCCCACTCTGGACGGCTGGAACTCACCCATCTGCATGGCCACAAACATGGCAACAGAGCGCGCGATTTGGATCGCCCTACCCGTTCCATTCTCCTCCTGCGCCGGCTGTGCCGGGTGAACGGCGTCGGCAGCGGCAGCGGGCATGTTGAACAGGACCTAAACGTGCGTTGCGATCTGGGTCGATCCTCGGAAGTGGAGTGGAGCGGTCGAGTCCGATTTCGATCTGGTGTTCACCAGATGACGGTGTCGAGGAAAGACGGAAAGGAGCGGTGGGGTGAATACCGTCGCCGAGTGTCTTGTCGACGCTGTTGATGAAGAGATGGGACGTTGAGAGAGAAAGACGAGTTGGAACCTTGCCGAACGTACACGGCAGGAGTCGGCCCGGTCCACGGTGGGCGCTCCTCAGCCAGGGCATAGGAGTGCGGGGCTGGCGTCACATGCATCACATGGGGGCAAGGGGGCATTATGGAACCACGTGGGCACCGTAATAGGAATTTAAATTGGGAAATATAGGAAATTAGGAAATGTGGTTAAAAGTGGAGGTGACTGTTTTTCGGTGTATTCCAGGCCAACTGAATAGTGACGACTGGGGAATGACGCAGGTGCTCAACTCTTTTCTTACTCTCCGTTTCTCTCTTCTCTCGTCCATTCCGACAACGCATGGCGGCGTAGTCACGGTTACCCTTCGTGCCCCGACACCCTCTTAGCATTTCTTCCTCGTGGTCGTGAGTACCCTTTCTCCAGTATGCAAAACGACAGCGATGGGCGGGAAAACGGAGACCAGGAAGAGACGTGGAGCGCTGATGCTCTCTTTGCCAGGCCATGGCGGAGCCCTCGCCCGGCGTCGTCCCTACCGCGGCTCGGCGCGCTGCTGCGCGCTGGGTTGCGGGCATGAGCAAGCCCACCCTCGCGGTGGTGCTGATGGCCTACATTATGCTTGTGCATCTTGTCGGCCTCGGCGTGTTCACGTACGGATTCCTCTTGACGCGTCTCACGATCCCCGACGTCTCGCCCTCCTATTCGGCCTCCAACCCCATGCCAATGGAGCCTACCCACAGCAAGGCCGTCATCATCGTCATTGATGCGCTCCGTACCGACTTTATTTCTCCTTACCACACCTCCCCGGCCTCTCCTTTCCACCACGGTGTTCTTTCGCTTCCTGCCGAGCTCTCCGTTTCGCAGCCGTCCCACTCGCTCATCTTCAATGCCTACTCTGACCCGCCAACCACGACCATGCAGCGCATCAAGGGTATCACCACTGGATCCCTTCCCACTTTTATCGATGCCGGCGCCAACTTTGCCTCGACTGCCATTACGGAGGACAGCATCATCTCGCAGCTGGTTTCGGCCAACAAGTCGATTGCGTTCATGGGTGACGACACCTGGATGAACCTTTTCCCCAACGCGTTCACCCAGGCTTACCCCTACGACTCGTTCAACGTCGAGGACCTCCACACTGTCGACAACGGCGTCATTGAGCACATCTTCCCTCTCCTTGACAAGCCCGAGCAGTGGGATGTCATCATTGGCCACTTCCTGGGTGTCGACCACGTCGGCCACCGTGTCGGTCCTGACCGCGAGACCATGCGCCTCAAGTTGAAGCAGATGGATGAGGTTCTCCGCCGTGTCGTTGACAAGCTCGACGATGACACTCTTCTCGTCGTCCTTGGCGACCATGGCATGAACCCCAAGGGCGACCACGGCGGCGACTCTGACCTGGAGACAGCGTCGGCCCTTTGGATGTACTCGAAGGGTAAGCCCCTCGTTGGTGACGCTGCCAGCGCCAGCCGTGGCTACGAGTGGCCAGAGTACTGGTTCCCTGGTACCGACAAGCCCCTCCGTCATGTCAACCAGATCGACCTTGTTCCCACCCTCTCGCTCATGCTTGGTGTCCCCATCCCATTCAACTCGCTCGGCTCGGTGATCCCTGAGTGCTTCTCGCGCTCTCCCGTGACTCTCAAGGTTGCTACGCACCTCAACACTGTGCAGATTGAGCGCTACATTGCCCAGTACGGCAACCGCGAGATCTCGCACTCTGTCCGCCGCCTGGCCTCCAAGACCGACATTGAGGACCCCACGACTCGCGTCGTCAAGCAGAATCGCGCCGTCACGCTCGCTGCTCTCGACGCTCTTCGTGCGCTCTGGGCACAGTTCTCGGTTTCCCACATTGTCGTCGGTCTTGTTGTCCTCGGCTCTAGCGTGCTTGCGGTCATCTCGCTCTACCTCGGTGTCCGCAATGGCGGTCCCCAGTGGGACGTCTATGTTCGCTACGCCCTCGACACGGCCATCATGGCCGGTGTTGGTCTCGGCAGTGTGGCCGGTACGTTTGCCGGCGTGTACACTCGTGTGCCCCTTGTCGCTCTCCAGGTCTTCCTTGTTGCCGCCGCTGGTGTGTCGTCGCTTGTCCTGGCCGCTCCTCTCTTCGCTGGCCGCACTTGGCGCGGTGTTTCATGGAACCTGGGTCGCAGCATTGGTCCCATCATCCTTATCCTCCACGCTCTGTCGTTTGCCTCTAACAGCTACATTATGTGGGAGGACCGCGTGGTCGTCTTCTTCTTGACCACCATCGCTGCCGTCCACTTTGGTCGCGCCCTCACTGCGCCCATGGCCTCGATGCGTCTCAACCTTCTTGGCCTCTCGGTCGGGTTTGCCGCCCTGGTGCGCTTCATGGGCCTCTCGACCGTTTGCCGTGAGGAGCAGCAGCCTTATTGCACTGTCACCTTCTACTCTGGCGCCGCCGGCACTCCCGAATGGGCTGTCTACGTCCTCCCCCTTGTGGCGTTTGGTGTCCTCCCCCGCATCGTCGCCACTGTCCTTTCGTGGTCCAAGTCATACGCTGGCCCCGCCCCCGTTTTCCTTGCTGCCGTTTGGCGCGCAGTCATCACCTCCAGCGCGTTCTACTGGACTCTTGACTGGATGGAGACCTGGGATGGCCTGAACCCGGAACGTATCCCACTTGTCCAGCTGCTCAAGCTCTGGCTCGCTCGTGGCTCGATTGGTATCGCCCTCGGTGCCCTTCCCTACCTCTGGTACACCTCGGGTCTTTGCATCAAGGTCGTGCGCGAGCCTGACCAGACTGGCGCCAGGGCCGATGAGGTCGAGGTTTACGGCTTTGGCAACGCCTTCGGCTCCACGTACCTCCTCTTCGTCCTCATTGCGTTTTCCATTGTCCAGCTCCCCTCCCTTGCCGTCTCACAGATCGTGCTCTGTGCCCTGGTCACCGCCATGCTCATCCACCTTGAGCTGGTTGACACGCAGCGCGATGCCGTGATCATGCAGCGCAACTTTGCCAACTCGGCCAACCCGGGTGCTTTCGAGCCTGGACAGGGCGACGCCATCGTCCGCCCCAGCTTCACCGACGTCGTCCCCTTTGCCCTTCTCGCTCTCCTCGGCTTCTTTGCGACCGGTCACCAGGCCGTCCTCGCCACCATCCAGTGGAAGGCTGCGTTTATCGGCTTTGACACCGTCGTCTACCCCTGGTCGCCCCTCCTGGTCGTCATCAACACCTGGGGACCCATTGCCCTCGTTGCCGTTGCCGTCCCGCTTCTTGCTCTGTGGAACATTTCGCCTCGTCCCAACGACACGGTCCCCGTCCTTGGTCACACTGTGCAGGTCGCTCTCGCGTTCAGCACATACTTTGCGACCATTACATTCGCTTCGGCGCTCTGCGCCGCCTGGCTCCGCCGCCACCTCATGGTCTGGAAGGTCTTTGCCCCGCGCTTCATGCTGGGCGGCGTCACCCTCCTTGTCGTCGACGCGATGCTCATCATCGCCGTCGGCGTCGGCCTCCGCGTCACCACCGACAAGGTCTGGCGCACCTTCAAGTCGGTTAGCGTGTAGAAGAATATGTTAACGAAACCAAACGTAAATTCAATGCACCTATCTGATGGACAATGATGGATTGAGATGGAGAGCACGACGTGTGCAATCGAATGGGTACTGACCGAGAGGACACCATTGGCCCCATTTGCTTATGTTTGATTTATTTCGGGCCGAACCTCTTCTCCTCTCTATCAGATACCAGCCGCCCGCGAGCACAAGCCCCGTCTCAGGCGTGTTGAATGTCCGGACAGAGAACCCCCAGATCCAAAAGGTGTGGTCCCGAGAGGGAGGCCCAGGAACCAACTCGCGAGGGATAGCGAACGAGCAAGGAAGCATGAGCGCGCGGCAACCTGTAGGCTCCAGTATATAGTACAGAGCCTTCCGGAAGTAACCTCCAGGCCCAGCTACCATTCCGGATAGATCGGTCACTCACCCGCGGCTACTTCATGGGGAAATGGAGACATCACGTCAGCTGCCATACGAGCCGTGTTCGGGGGGCTCGGGCTTACGCTACCCACACCGAGCCAGCCCAAGACCGTGGCCGCTGGCGAGCTTCGGGAGTTGGGGTGGGTCGGTGACGACGACGACGACGACGAGGGGAGACGAAGGGGAGACGAATGGGGGGGCGGGGGGTTCAGGGTAGACGAGATCTCCTGGACGATGTGGAGCAAAACACCACCTGTGCGTGGCGCTCATGGGACCATGGGCCTTCACACTCACGACACCCACTGACCACTCGGCCACTCACTGCCTTTGTGCAGGCAATTGGCAAAGCCTTTGGACCGGGTAACGCTGGTGGTATGTGTGTGCCGAAATGATTTTGACTCGATCGCCAAGTCAGTCTTGGCGTCTCCTTTGTGTGACCGTCGGCTGGTGGATGTGAAGTGAAAACAGGTCTTGTGATTTGGCCAGATTCCCCGTGCGCAGTTCGCTCGCCTGCAAGAGTGTGGGTAGAGTGGTGCAAGCACCCAGAAGCCCAGAAGGCTTTCGATGGGGTACAGGCAGAGTCTGCCGGCTTACGTTATGACAATGGGGGACGCCGACGCCGACGGGCTGTATACCCGGTGATACATATGTGTAACGTTGGGCAAATAAGGCACACTCTCTGCCAGATTGCCATGTCGCCGATCACCTGTTCCACACGCGAGATCCCAACTCTTGCAATCTGCCTTGGCGGCCAGCGGGCCATGACCATACCTCGGTCGCCCTCCTTCGCCCCCCTCTTTTCTTTTCTTTTCCAGACGAGACGAGACAATCTGCACCTGTTACCCTTGTCCTTGGTGCCTACATACCGGCAGTGCAGATCCTCCTGGCTGACGTGTGACGTCGCTTTGTTTCCGAAAACGTCAAATACGTACCCGAAATGTGACTTGACATTTTTGTGGTGCCCTCAGAGCACCACCCCACCGCCTGTGCTGTGGTGTTGGTGGTGGTGGTGGTGGTGCGGCGCGGTGCCAGGATGCCGAGGTGGTGCATTGCAGCGCCGAGATGCCGCCGGATTCCCAGGGATTCAACGTGCCCCCCTTGTGCCAAAAAGGTTTGATGCAAGAATACCACCCGACGAGTCGACCGACCTTGGCTGCTGGCTGCTGGCTGCTGCTCGCAACCGAAGACGCTGTCAGCTGTACAGGTGTCGTTGACAGCACGGTGTGGGCATGCATGGCGCACATACATGCAGAACACACCCATTCTTCAATGCTGTCGTGTTGATCGCTCCACCTGTGACCACCGAGGCCACACCCACGACACACATTCAAGGGAGAGACCAGGGCACGCCAGCACCCTGGCCGGTTCGGATCCAAATCCAAAATCCGCACCCGTGGTGGTGCTGGCGGCCAGAGGGAACTCAAAAGGCGCCACCCGGTATGCACGCCGAGGTCTTGGGTTGGAGACGCCGTCGCGACCATGTGCACTGGAGCCCATGCGGCCTGCGGGTCGGCAGAGCGATGTGCTTCGCATTGCAAGCACCTGGTCGACTCGGGACACGGCCAGTCTCCTCGATGGGTCGATTGGATCTGGGGAGAAAAAAAAATTGGCAACATTTCAGAGCCTTATCTTCTTTGTGGCACAATGCAGAAGGTTGTAGCGTCATTGGCTAAAACCCGTGACGGGTGGTGCGCGGACTCGGACTATCGGCATGTCGGACGGCAGCATGTGCATATCCACACGGCCAACGTAGTGCCAGTCGACTCTCAGTGCGCAGTGCATATAACGTAAACCCCCTTTTGGATAGACATAAGCACTATGTACTGGCTCATGCAATGCATCGTGGCCTGGACCCAACGACCGACCGCCCGCCGACGGTTCCTAGGTGACTGACTCCGATGGGGTCGGCGACTGCGCATAAATACGCCATGGCCTTGGGGGGATCTGCGCTTCGGAGTCGACCCTTACGACCCCAGCGACGTCGAATGCGGTACCGGGCTGCCCAGCGTCTGGTAGCCCTTGTATAGCATGCAAGCAGAGTGTTCTCTGGCCTCTGACGTCTGTGGGGGGGATCGGGAGAGGCAGTCGCTGCTCGTGCTCCAGTTTCGACCCAAGACAACGCCTCAAGCGCCATGGCCCCACCAGCACCCACCATCCACACACGCAGAAGCGCACCGTCCAACATGGTCACAGGCGACACCGACCGAGAGGGGCTCACGTAATGGCGAGAAGCATGCTCGTGACTACCGCACGACAACGAGCATGTCTGGCTATTGTTGGCCTTGCTGGCCCCTTTTTTTACTTGCCCCCAAGAACGCAGGGTCCGTCACTTTTTGGTTTTTGCGTTTTTTTTTGCGTCGAGTCCTTCTCACGCGTAATGACAAGAGACACAAGACAGACTAGCAGCCCCCGTAAAAAGGCGCTGCAGGACATGACAATTTAGCAGCTTTGGGACACCACATGCGGGCCGCGAGGATGCGTCCGTGTACCGTCATATTGCCCCCACCCCCCCACAGCGCCACTCGCGGGCTGCCCGTCCCGCCCCCCGGCTCTTGTCCCTTGGCCACCGGAGACCCTCTTGCAGACTAGCTTTAGCACGGCCACCTATGGATACCGATACATGTGCTAGACCAGACACTGTAGGTATTATCTGAGACCATTTTAGCGTTGTTGGTTGCCCAGTCCGTGGTCGAGACCACCTGGCACGCACAAATCGTCGCTGTGTGGCATGTGGCGGTGTCACCCACCCATGGCCACCCACCAACCGGTGGCCCCGGTGCCGGATCGCGGTTGCCATGCACCCCGTGTATACCACGTACCTGCATATCTGCATACCTGCCGGGGTTCGGCTGCAAAATTCGGCTCCATGCTCGGCTTTTCTCCGGGGCAGATCGCACAACGAGACCTGTTCCACTTTTCCATTCACAAACGTGGTGGTGTCCATGAACGGTGTATCATCGCCAACATGCAGGTGCGGTATCAGTGCGGACTTGGGCCGATGGGCAGCGGCGGCGGTGGCGGTGGTGGCAAACATGCCAGCATAGCTTGGCCCGTCTGGACAATACGGCAGGATGGTTGTGTGTCGCACGCCTCGTTCTTGCTCGCCTTGCTTGCTGGACTTGCTGGCCTTGGCTAGATGGTTTGGACCGAAAAGGCATGCAGGGAGAAAGAAATACAGGGTTGGTCCGAAAATGTAGATCTCTGTGCCACTTCCCACTTCCACGTTGACGTATTCCAGCGAGCGGCATGCAGGCAGCACCACAAAGGCAAGAGTGGGGGCCGTGGGGGCCGTGAGGACAAGGGGGAAGCATACGACGAGGCGCAGGTGGCGCTTGACTTTTGCTTGTGCTCGACGTCTGTCGACTTGAGCGACCATCCATAGCTGGACGGTCAGAAGCGCAAGGTGTGTCTCTCCGTCGGCTTACCCACCCACAGGCCACAGGCCACAGGGACGACGTGTCGTGGAGCTTAACATGTGTCCTGAGGGACACCCCGCGACTGCGACGGATGAATCGATGAATACAGTTGTACAGCGGGTCTCGGATGCAGAACGGTTCCGCGCGATGCTGGATGCTTTACTTATCACGTGCCGGCTACCAAGGTCGATAGGGCCGAACGGGAAGGACCAGCAAGCATGACGATACCAAAGACAAAGGGGACATGCACGACTTCGGCTTTCTCTAGGCAGCTGTCGGTGGGAGCTGCGCTGCGGTGCGCCTTGCTCACCAGCTGACATGGCCATCTCCCCATATGGCTGTGACGTGTGCCCCAGTGGTCCAGCAATCCTGTACAGTGGCCAGTGGCTAGTAGTCCAGCGGTCCAGACCTCCAGTGGTCCAGTGGTCCCAGTTTGACGTGGAGAAGTAGACTGTCTGTGGCTTTTCCAATTGTGCCAAGTGGACAGAGAACAAGAATGTACCAAAAGCGTCTCTGGCCACCCACACCCAAGTGCAGGGAGAGGATTTTGCTATATTCCAGGCCGCCCTGTGGCCTGTGGCCTGTGGGGGATACGACTGGGAGACAAAGTACCAACTAGGACGACATGGGCCGCTGGGTCGCTGGGACGCAAGGCAGAGAAGGGGGACGGGGGGGGAGGGGGCCTGAGTGAGGTACGGCCGACTGGGAATATATGAGAGAGAGGGGACACGACCAGAGGCCAGAGGTGCTTGGTGGTGAGGGAGGAGGAGAGGGTGGCGGCGGCGGCGGGGCGGGTCGAATCGTGGAATGGACCCATTTCAGCGCAGGCGCATGCGGCGCGTGCCGCGTGCCGTGCTTGGACCCCCCGTATACCCCGTCGACCCCCCCCCCCCCCCCCCCCCCCGGTCGACCCCAGTTGAACGGTGGTGTACCCGTGAGATATGGGCAAAATGAAGAACAGGAGAGGAACAACAGGGATTGGAGAGAGCGAGAGAGAGCGCACAAGGGTTCGCCACACAGTGTGTGTCATGGACGCCCACAGCCAGAACGGGGACGCACGCACGCCGCAGGGGGGGAAACCCCCGGACCAACGACCGCAACGTGCTGCTAAACGTTAAACCCTGGCACAACTAAGAGACAGTGAGCGAGAGCGAGGATACCCAAATGGAACGAAAGCAATACACCGTTCACTCGCGCAGCAGCTCATTCATACACACACGCACACACACGCTCGCTCTCAGCTCTCCCGTCTGTCGATTCTGACCCCCCTATCATACACGTGCAAAGAGAAAACGACAAAGAAGCCATTCCACTCGTGTCTCACAATCAACAAACGCCCTCGACGCACCCCTCTCGACGACAAAGCCAACACGGCCTGTCTGCTCCTTGTCCTGATCTCCTAAAGGACGCCCCAAAGACATCTATCCGGGACGAGGGACAAGCACCGGCCGACAACGACAACAGACACTCGACATTAGACACACACATCAACACGCACATTCAACACTGTCTTTCACGCCATCACCACCGCTCCTTCCTACCTTGGTCGCCCATTTTTCTCCCTCACCGCCCTCGTGTTCTCAGGTCTAGGCTTGCTCATCACTCCCCTGGCCATCATTGTTCTGTCTCCTTGGATCACAGGCGTATCCAAAGGAGTCTACAGCGACAAATCCGTCACGTAAACGCCCCCTCCCCTTCACTTTCTGTCGCGCGTGAGCCTCCTTTCGAACCGCATCTTCGAGGCCTGTGTCCTCTTGTAGCGGTATAGCGGTCCGCGCACAGCGTTCCAGCCGTGACGTTCCCCCTTGACGGGGTAGTCCGGCAGCCTGCTCTGGATTCTCTGCTGCACTGCCAAGAACCCGCCTGTTGCGACCGCGGGGGGAGGAGGAGGGAGTGATCTGCTTCTCTCGTTTCGTCCCCATCACATCCTCTGCAGGACGCCTGGGACGCTCCCGCGCGCCTCGTGTACTTCTCCACCGCCGTGGGCAGGTAAGTGGACACTTTTGTCCATTGTACAATTGTCCACACCGGCCACACCATCAACCTTGTTGCAAGAAGCAAATAACCTAAACTTGCAAGGAGACAACAAAGGTATGTGTGTTTGGTCAGCACAATCACTGTCCTACCTACTGCACCTTGCTGCCGCACCATCCCGCGCCTGAGCCTTGATGGGATTCGGTGATGGGGCCTATTGTTGTGTCTACACAATACGCTTGTGCTTACATATCCCACAGCGTCTGATTCTTTAGCGCGTGAGGGAGAGCTTGCGATAATCATCAGTCCTCACGCGACCCATTGTCATAACACCACCCGTCTCATCTCGCCCCTCCTTTGGCCTCTTGAAATGGTAGCAACCGTTGCTTCTCTACCTCCCAACATTTTGACCAACAACTTGGTCCCTACAGAGCCTTCGGCGCACTCCCCTCTCAACGACCCACACATGTCTAACTCGCCCCACCCCTTCCCGCCTGTGCTGGACCGGAAGCCGGTTCTGTCATCCGGCGGAAGTATCAGCGGGCCCATCAATCTTCTTGCCGACGTCGCTCTTGATTCCAGTATCAGTGCGACCAGCTTTCAGAAGCCCAGCATAACGTTGCCCTTGTCCTCACCCTCCGGTGCCCATCCTGGCGGCCCACATCCTCACGACCAGGAGCGCCTTCCCAATGTCCGGGCTGGGGACCGTCGTGGCTCCCTTGTCTTGGAACACCCTGGATACGAGAGAAGCCTTGCCGGAGGACACTCGCGTGTGAGCTAGCCCACCACATACACAGTATATGTAACGTATGGCTGACCGAATCACACAGCCGCGTGGGCCTCCCGCTTCCATGGATGTTGATTGGCAGAAGCAGATCCCAAGATTTCCCCAGCAGGCCGTCTACTCGCCGCTGCCGTTCACCGACAACCGCCCGTGGCAGCACGAAGATGGCAACCAAGGCCACGGCAGCAACAATTATCAGATCCACCACGAGCAGTTTAATCGCCCCCATTTCTCTCCCATGACCAACTCGTATCCCGACTACCCCTTACACTCGCCGGTGATGGCCATGAACCACGGTGGCGGGTATACCCCACCCCAGCCCGGAGGACACGACGCCACCAGGATAGGTTCACAGATCGGAGGTTCTGGCAACGGCCGCACGGTCCAGCCGCCGCCTCGTCCAACTGCCCGTGGCACCCAGTCGTCTTCGGCCATCAACCTCACTCGGCCATCAGCTTGGCCAGACCGCAACCACCCAGACAATGCAGAGCGCTACAGCCAGCACATGTCCCTTCATGGTAGGCGTGAAGAGTTCAACCAGTCGCCGCAGGGAGGACCGAGCAACCAGCGCCCCGGGTGGGCACACACTGGCCAGCATGGCCAGCATGGCCAGACAGAGCCTGCGCGTGGGCCACTTCCTCCTCCTCTCCGAAGCCCGCATGACACCGACGATCAGCACAGCAGATATTCGTCACGCAGGGACCAGGGGTCACTGTCGGCCACGACTGTGTCAACTTCGGGCAACCGTTTCTCCCCCTTGAGCCAAAACCAACCCCAAACCCAGCGCGAGATCTCGTCTCAGTCTCGGATGAGCGACATTAATTGCGACCCAAACCCGTCCTCGCCTCCTCCTGACATCGAGGACATGGATGACGATGGCGACAGTGACGATGATGAAAGCATGTCCTCGGAGGAAGACGACGACGATAACGAAAATGAGGACGAGCTGGACGACGAATACGTTCCCGGCTCTCTTTCTCGCACGTCTCCTCGTCGTGCTCGCCGGAACGAACCCATCATCAGCCCAGGTCCAAGTTCCACCCGCCCCCGTCGTGACTCTGTCGAAGGTACTCGTGCTTCAGGTCGCCTTCAGAGCAAGCGCCAGCCTGAACGCGACGACAGCCCCGAAGGCGATGAGCTTTTTGAGATTGCCGAAGGCGAGCTTCCTCAACTGCCGTCACACCTCGATGGTGTCAAAGGGTCCATGTCTCCTCCCAAAAAGCGGACCTACATTCGCCGTGACGCCCAACGCCGCAAGCAGCAGAACGCGCAGGCACAGAAGAAATTCCGCATGAAGAAGAAGGCTGCAGCCGAGCAGGTGAGTAGAAGTGATTTGGGGTGTGTTTTTAAAAAAAGCATTTAAAGACGCCGACCCAGTTGAAACTCGTGGTGGCTGGCTGACAAGTACAAATCACAGATGCGCATCGAACTCGACGAGCAACGGGCTGTGATCGATGACTTGCGGGCCAAACACACGAGCCTCAACAACCTCCTCCAAGAGAAGAACGCCCTCCTCATCCGCCTGCGCAACGACAATGGCCGCCTCAAGCACGACCTCGACACGTGCCGCTGTGGCGCGTACGAACGAAGTAAAGAACGCGACAGGAAGTTTAACGACTATGATGTGCCGATGGAGTAGGCATCACGAGAGAAGCAAAAAAGCGAGAGCGGCAAGCGAGGGTGGAGCAGAAAGAATAGTGCACAGGGTGCACAGGGTGTACAGTATACAGTGTGTGCTTTGCCTCGTGGAATTTTGAACAACACAAAAGACCGCCTCCGAGATCTCGCGCGCCGGCGGGCCGTGGCGCCACATCCAAGCAACCTAGCGACAAGGCTATACCATAATCCGAATGACGGGGTATTGTGTCTATAACTGTCTCCTTGCTGTCTATACCAGCGAGATTTTATGTGTGTAGATGGACCATTTTGTTGTCTCACTGTGGAGATCTGAAGATGCTCTCTGGAGGAATGACAAGTGGGTGTACGGGATGCGCCACAACTGATCGACACGGCGTGGGCGCCGGGGGCTGGGGCTGGACGAGTACCCTCAGGGCGGGGCTGCGGGGGAGAGGCGAGACCCTGGCGCGTGCGCTTGGCACGGGGGGCTGACGCCGCAATCTGGCTGCTGCAAAGCGGCTAAACACCGATGGTACAGTGGAGTGGGTACATGGGATCTCACTGTATCAAAAGCGTGCAGGGCCGCTTCCGAGACAGGCCATTGAACACCACAACCTTGGCTGCCGGTACTCAATTTCGCGCGGTCATTCCTTCGTCGCCATCCTTGCAGGACTCTATGGCTCCTCGTCGCAGATGAGATCTCGTCTGCCTTCCTTTCCTTGCCCTCGCGTCCGCCGGCCGTCGGTGCTGACGTGCTGGCGTGCTGACGTGCTGACGTGATGGCGTCTCCGCGTCTCTGGGTCGCGATGCGAGGTGGGCTGTGCTGCGTGGCGCCGGGGGTGTTTTATGGCGCCCTCCTCGCTTTGGCGGCCCTGGTCGACCAGGTCTTGGCCCCACGTAGGTACCCCGCACGCACGATTAACGCGTGTGGGTGGGTGTGTTGGAGTTGCTGCGCCCAAACGGCCGTGACGTAGTGACGCCAACTGACAAGGCTCAAGATCCCAAGATCCCAAGATCCCAAGATTCGTCTCGTCTCGTCAAGTTCGGTTACGAGAACTGCCTCGCGGTCAGGGGGGGTCCAGAAGACCATGAAGACAGATATGTGTATGAAATACAATGGCAGAGCTACAATTATTTCTCTACCACCTCCTTGCGCACTCGACGTGCTCTGCTCGTTCAACGCTCACGTTCACGCTCAGAAGCACAGCACCGTCACTTCCTGGCGATGCGTGCGCCACGAGCTCATCACACCTGTTGTGCGGATCAGGAAGATGCGCTGGTCGTCCACCATGGCGCCGCCGGGATCGCCGTTGATAGCCCTGCGGACCGTCCGGAACGGCAGGCGCGTCGTGACGTCCTCGGCCCACGCGTCGCCGGCCTTGAGCGTGGTCGCGTCGTCGTGCAGCGCGACCGTGTATTTGTGGTCTCCAAAGTCGGCCTGTCCCTCGTCCAGGTCCTTGGGGACGGCAGTCTCCTGCGTCCACATGTCCGCGTCGCGTTCCCGGGCTTCCGCGCGAGTTCGCGCAACAACGTACGGGTTAAAGTCGTTGACGACCAGGTGAAGCGGTTCGATGGGGAACGGTCCATTTTCGTCGTCCTGCAGTTCCTCGGCCGTCTGCTCGGGAGCCGGAACGGGGACGCCACCAAAGTCGCTGCTGGCCGGGACGAGCGAGACGAAGCGGTATCCAGAGCACGAGCAGACCCACTGGCGACGCAAGGTCTGGACGGCAGGGAGAAGGCGGGCGTGCTCCTCTCCCCATTGATCCCACTCGTAGACACGCGCGTCGGGCTCTGCGCCAGGACCAAACTTGGCCCAGTCACGGCGCCTGCGCGCCTCGCCTTCCTCGGCGAGGTTGACGAGCGTCTCGCGCAGAATGAACAGCTCGAAATTCTCAGTGTGGGCATTCTGGAGGTGGATGGGCTCATCCGTGTCGTCAGACCCAATGGTCATTTCAATAACGACAACTCCACGAGCCGGGTCAAGCGTGAATGGCTTGCCGCGGCCAAGGGTCGGGGCGTCAGCTGGAGGAGGAATGGCTGATGGGTCGGGACGCATGTGGAAGTTCTCCAGTGAGGCACCAGGCGCAATCTCGGGAATACGGAGACGCGCGACAGCGACGGCGCGTGGGGTGGTCTCGTCCTCCTCGTCCCGCATGAGTGGCTGCTTGACGTCGGTCGTTGTAGGCTGGGCAAACGAGTAGATGGTAATGGACGGCTCGTCGACGACCTCGGTGTGGAAGTTTCCCAGGCGGGTAGACGAGCGGACTGTGGCGGGCATAGCGACTGCGACGGTTGTCGGAGTGAGCATGCAGAATGTGCAGGCGTTGAGGGTACGTCCGAGGTGGATGCGGCCCATGACCTCGCCCGTCTTCCAGTTCCATGCCACCATCTCCTCCTCCGAGTCATTGGCGAGAATGGCGTGTGCATCCTGCAGGATACCCATGATGCTCACACCCTCGCGGCTAATGTGGGACACAAATGTGTCGCCCATGACCTGCAGCAGCTGCCGGGGCCAGATGGTGGGCACGGAGGCTGGTGGAAAGTCGAGCATTGGCAACTTGGCGAGCGGGTGGGGCTCGAAGGTGCTCATTGACAAGAGATGGAAGCGGTGCGCAGGCGGCGCAAGGTCATCGTCGACGGCCTCGGGCTCGTACTCGGACACGACGATGAGGTCCTGGCTCGGGTCCATGGTCAAGTCGGCGATGGGAAACTTGACGCGGTGCGCTTTGGTGGGCACAATAGGGTCTTCGAGGTCCGGGTCGTCGACCGATGGAAGTGGCACGAGGCGAATGATCTTTGGCTGCACAATCGTTAGTACGTCACACAGCACGGTAGTGGATAAACGGCTACTCACCCGGTCCCGGGGTGAATCCAAGTCTCCGACCTCGCACATGAGGAAGATTCCTTCTTGCAACTCGTACACCCCTGTAGGGCCCTGTGCACGGAACGTCCGCACCTGCGCGGGCTCGAGGCTCTCCCACCTCTCTTCCCTTCCTCTCAGCGCCTTGTTCTTCCCCGCAGCAGAGAGGCGCGCATAGTCGGCACGAGTACGTGGTGGGACAGCAGGCCACGATGCCAGTGAAACGGAGGCAACAGTCGGGCGCGGGCGGCCAGTGTGCGGGGACTTGATGACACTCTGAAGCGGTGAAGGGGAACGGCTGTGCTCGCTGTCGGCGGACGAGCGTACGTCGAGATGGCTGCTCGAGCCCGAGCTCACCCCAGTCACTGGGCGAGGAAGAAGGTCGAGGTATCCCGCAGTGTTGAGGGCGTTGTGGTACCGCAGCACCGAGTCGGCATCATACAAGTCTTTCATGGCGTGACATGTCTGAGAGTTAGCTGCTAGCCAACATCAGTCAGCTTACCAGGACAGCCGCGCACATGTCCTCCGGTCCAAGACAAAGAAGCACGCGCTGGAGCACCTCCTCCGGGAGCGACAAGATGCCCGTAGCGATGGGCGTGGATGTGCGCATGGTTGTAAAGGTCAAAAGTATGGACTCTTTTGCAAAGGGATATCCGAGTAAAGGTCGATGAAAGGCTTCTTGTTGGGCAGAGCGCGCGGAGCTCGGAGCTGTTCACAGGATTTAGACGAGATGTAGCGGAGGCCGGTGAGATGGCGATGCGATGGAGCGGAACAATGGCGTAGAAAGAAGACGATGGGGGGAACGTGTCTGTAGGATCCAGACGTGTATTTTAGCCACCAGGGTCGACGATGCGATGTGGTGACGACGAGTGTATGAGAAGTGCAGGAGAAGAGTGTTACTACGGGAGTGGGACGTCACAAAGGACACAGGACTTCGAAAGGGTCGCCGGCCGACGTGAGATGAATTTCAGCCTGATCATTAGCTACCGTTTCTAATATATCACGTGACGGTCCTTAAAGATACATTTCTAATCGAACATTCATGGCCCTTCTTCCTTCGCCGCCGATCACGAACTCACGAACAACAACGTAGCAACTCGACCTCACAATCCACCGCATTCCACCACATCTCTCGCGATGGCCACCGCTGGCCCCTCCCGCTCGACGGTCTACGTCTCCGGATTCCCCTCGCAGGCAGACGAGCAGCAGCTTCTTGACGCGTTCATTACATTCGGCGACATTCTGGAGATCAGCATTCCCAACGAGTCGTCCAACGATGGTAAGTTGGTGCTGCTTGGCTCCAACGTGGAGGCGTACGTGGTGGGGCCATTGTCAATGATGGGATGGAATGAAGGGGCTCCGTCCCTGCTTCCACGCCCAGCATCGGCGTGGTGGACACTGGTGGGGGGCTTGGTGTTCCTTTCACCAGTTGATCACGCCTGCTCGTGGTCCCACATACCTTTCCGACCGTTGACCCTCCCACGACACCCACACATCTCCATCGCGTCCTCCCCCCCAAGGAGCTCCAACTGACATTCCCTCCAGGCAAGCACCGCGGCTACGCCTTTATCACATTTGCCAACCCGGCCGACGCCCAGGACGCCATCGACAACTATGACCTGAACGAGCTGCCCGGATACCGCGGGCAGGGCAAGTTCCTCAAGTGCTCCATCGCCGCGCCTAACAAGTTTGGCAACGTTGCTGGCAGCGGCAACAAGTTTGACCGCGCCTTGTGGGAGAGCGAGGAGTGGCTCAAGACCAATGCAGGTGTGGAGGACGGCACCGAGGCCGCGCCAGCAGCTGCGAACGGCGAGTAGGGGGATGCAGAAGGGGTAAAACTAGAAGGGTAGAGAGACGAGAGACTACTATGTATTTCTAACACACTGGTACGGAACTGGGGAGTTGCACTCTTACAACGGGTAGCACTGTGGAGATGTCAGCCAGTCGGAGGATAGGAGTGAAGGGGTGCCGCTCCACCTCTGATGGGAACACATCTGTTCGACTCTCTCGCTGACCACTTGCATTCAACTCTCTGGAAAGACGACGACATGTATTGAAAGCCAGGATATTGACTGTCCATATGTACATGCGCATACGCACAAAGGTACAGTGATGCCTGTGGCGGAAGGAAGGTGTGGCCGAGGTTTTGAATGCCGAAACTCAACAAACCCACTTCTGCAACTCGAATTATCTGTACTCAAAGCACTGCTGCATGTCTCTTCTTTATCGTGTGATACTCTACGGGAGGTTGATGAGCAGATAAGGCACTTCGACGTCTTCTCCTTCGGCGTCGTTGGCCATGACCTCAACCAGAAGGCTCTTCTGCCAAGCTGGCAGCTGCTTTTTGCTAACCTCCGTCACGAGGTCGGAAATCCGCTTCGGGAGGCGCTCAGCCGCGCGAGCGGGAGGAGTGAACGACGACCAGAGCATCGACACGCCCTGCGAGACCATCTGCAGCTCGAGCTTGTGCTCGGTCTCAAACCACTCAATGATCTCCTTGAGGGTAGGGTTGCCGTTGATCTCGAAACGGTCCCAAAGAGTCCAGTCCTTGCCGGTGTAGGTCTGCTTGGCAGCCGCAATGGGCTCGGAGAAGCCGAAGAAGGGCAGGGCCAGGTTGACAAAGCCGTTCTTGTAGTCCTCGAGCTCGTTCTTGCCGTCGATGATCTTGTACAGCTCGAGGCAGACAAGACCGACAGCAAGGGCAGTGGTGGTGGCAATGGCGGGGATGATCTTGCCGGCAATGAGCTTGGTCTTGTGACGGTCGGCCTCGGTGATGCCGTAGTTGCGCGCACGGAGGTTGGAAGCGGCAGTGATAAAGTCAATGTGGTGGTTGGAGTCGTCGTCCTTCTCAAAGTCGACTGGCTGGAGGCGGAAGCCAGCAAGCGACGAGGGGGCAGGGAGACCAGCGACAATCTTCTGAATGTCATCTCCGTCGTCCTCGTCCTGGGGAACGGGCTCGCTGTCGCTGACCTGGATCTTGACACCGCTCTTGGGAACGAACTGAGGAATGTCAAAGTTCTCAAGAGCCTTCTTGAAGACGGCAGGGTCATTCTCGCCCTTGAGACCGTAGTTGTAGGCGTGCAGGTTTGCAGCAGCGACAAGGTAGGCAAAGTCGAGAGGGTCCTCGATGTCAAAGGTGATGACGTCAGGAGCACGCTTGGGACCCGACCAGAAGGGAGTACCGTTCGAGTTGACCTGGTCCTTGGGGAGGTTGAACAGGAGCTGGCTAATGTCATTCGAGTAGTCGGCCTGGAACTGCAGACGAGCCCACTGGATGCACTCGGCAAATGTGGTGGGGCGGTTGACGAGGTAGCGCTCAATCTGCTTGAGCTGCTCGTGGTGCTGGCCCGACGACTTGAGAGTGGTCTCAACAAAGTTGGGCTGCGAGAGGTAGAGGTTCACGGTAGAGGGAGGGTTGACGAAGAGACCGTCAAAGGCCTCGCGAGCCCACTGGATGGTGTGCTCAATGGCGTTGGGGAAGTTCTTGACGGTACACGAGGGGATCGACTTCTCAGGGGGGTCCTGCGACGACGAGTACGACTCGGTGAGGAAAGGGATGACGACCTGGGTGTTGGCCTTGGTACCAAGAGTACCCGACTCGAGCAGGGGCTTCTGGTAGAAGACACAGCGGCGGTCCATGTACTGACGGGCCATGACATTGTCGAGCGCGTTGGTGACGCAATCGAGCTTGCCAAAGAAGGCGTCGCCAAAGGTCTCCTCGGTCTCGGGGCCCACACGGTCCTGGTAGGTGGTGATGTGGCCCTTGAGCTCGGGGTTCATGGCCTCGACGGCGGCGGCGGCAGACTCGGCCTTGAAGTTGCCGACGTCCTTGGCACGGAAGAGGAACTGACGGTTGAGGTTGGACTTCTCGATGGTGTCGAGGTCGGTGACAATGATCGAACCCTTGGGGCCAGTCGCAAGACCCATCATAGCCCAGTTCTTGAGCATCTCACAACCGATGGCACCAGATCCGACAAGGAACTGGCGGTTGTTCGAGATGGTCTCCTGGAAGGTGCGACCAAAGACGGCAACCTGGCCATCGTGACGCGAGCCAGTAGGCTGGGTCTCGGCCTCGGTGGGGAGCTTGCTGGGGAGCGACTCGAGCGAGTCAAAGTACATGTTCTGCTGCATGGGGTGGAACTTGGCCGAGACAGCCTTGAGGACCTCCTGAGCGACAAAGCCGCCAATGACAGCAACCATGGGCGAGACGTCGCCGCTGGCCTGGAACGAGAGGGCCTCGAGTACCTTCTCGTCGAGGTCACCCTCACCGGCGGCAGACGAGTGGATCTCCTTCGAGAGGGCAACCACGGCCTGAGCATCCTCGGCATTGTAAGGGCGGGGGAGACGGCCGTTCTTGTCGTAGAACGACGAGAGGGCCTGGAAACCGACGTGGAGGGTGGCGGGGCGGTCCCACTTGGCAAAGTCGGTGATGAAGAGCTCGGGCTGGGTGAGGCTGTCCTTGAGCGACTTGAACTGGAGGACCTTGGGCATCTTGACCTGGGTGAAGATACCGCCCGACTTGTACTCGCCGAGACCGGTGGTGTCGCCGATCGAGAAGGTGTAGGGGCCCTTGACAGTGACCTGGCGGGGCTCACAGCCGTTGAGGGCGTCAAGGCCCTTGATCTCGGTGAAGGTGACATAGTCGCCGTCTTCGAGGCCGTGGCGGGTCTCGTCAATGCAGGTGACAACAGCGTCGGGGCCGTCCTCGACGTGGACGACCATGCCGCTGTGAGGGTTCTCGCCGGTGTGGTCCACACAGCTGAAATCGTTGCCAAAGTCGTTGAAGACTGAGCCAAAGAGACCGCGAACGTCGGCAGCGATAAAGTAAATGCCCTTGGTGCGGCAGAAGTCGTTGATCTCAATCTGCTTGGCAAGGGTGGTGTTGGTGAGGACAACAACCTGGAAGGGAGCGACCATCTCGGGGGTGATCTGGCCCTCGCCCTCGAGAACGCGGATGGGCACGTAGGCGTTGAGCTCAGCCAGGCGGGGGCCAGTGACGGCGGCACGGGGCTTGCCAACATCGGCCTCGCGGAGGAAGAACTTTGGAGTCAGCACTGTGCAATATGCAGGCATGACGTAGAGATGTCCGTGGGCGATCAGCAGCGAGGGCTCCAGCCACCACAAACTGCGGGGCCATTGTCGCACGCTCTCTCAACTCACCTGAGTGCCGAGGTCGGCAATCTCAACAGGAGCGGGGTCGTAAATGGTGACACTCTTGACACCAGCAAGGGCAACGTTCTTGGCTATGACAGTCAACAGTCTGGTCGGCGCTTGCAAGCAACGCTTCGTCGTGATAACGTACCGATCTCAACGCCAAGACCCTTCATGCCCACAATGAGGACATTCGAGCTCGCCATCTTCTTCATAGCTGCACACGTCAGATCCAAACTCTCAGTTGTAATCCGTACCCTCGTGACCAAGGACGTAACTGCTGTGTCAGCACGCGCTTCGCGGGGGAGAGCGGCAAAACTCACAGCTGGCGCGAGTAAAGGCCCTCTATCCTGTGTTAGCTCATCTGATCCAAGTAACTGAGCTAGCTCCTCACCATCAACTGTATTGTCAGCCTATGATCATGACATTCAAAACTCACTCGAGTCACCCGCGACGGGGTCGACCTCCATTGCAGACGCCATCTCGGAAGCGGGGGGTTGGAAGTGGGGGAAAGGGGTGCGGTGGCGAGTGGATTCCGGGAGTACTGCTGAACAAGCGGACCTAGCTTCTGGCCAGATACCTTGCTGCGAAGATGCGGAAAGTGTGTTAGGGTGCGGAGTGCGCTGTTGGCTACGCAGAGAGTAATGGAAAGATGTATGAAGAGGATGGAAGGTCGAGAGCACAAGGAGATGAGTAACAGGGGCAGAATGGTGGAATGGTGACGCAACACGTGCATAAGATTACGTAATGGGTTTTTGCCAGATCGAACCCTCCCACTACGAGCTCAATTATAGTACTTCTCCCTACTTCTTCGTCGTTGACTTCGTCGTCACGAAGCCTGCGATGACAATAGAGCCATCTGAACATCCGTACACCAATTTGTCGTGATCAAGAGCCAAACTCATCGGGTTCTTGGCCGCCGCCGCCAACCCGGCCTTATTCCAGGCGCCTCCGAGTGGCACCAGCGTCATCTTGTCGTTACTCATCTCCTCCGTTCCAAGGAGCACCTGAGGTTTGCTGTCAGCGGGGACGTAGAGCTGTGGTTTGTAACGACGGCAGCACTTACCCGTCGCTCAGCTCCGGCTCTTGCCGAGAGACGCCTGCTTGTGACGATACGCATCCGGCCAGCTTCAAAAGCGCCTCGTTCCGTGCCAGTAATATCGAGGATTTCCACAATTCGTGGACGGCGACCAAGAGCAAACTTGGACGTCGTGTTGGTCGTTCCTTGCGCAGCGCTCTCCTCCGAGTCGCCCGTAAATGACGACGAGAGCTTGGACGCGAAGGTGCCAGGGACTGGGCCTCGGATGATTGGGCTTGCCACGCTCGAGCGCGGTGTACGAGGCGAGCGCGGAGACTGGGAGCGAGGCGAAGATGCAGCCACACCAACGCCACTTGCACGCGGGCGAACGCCTGGAGTGAGAGGGGCAATAGCGTCGTTCAAGTGTACCTTGGATGGGCTGTTGAGCTCCGCGTCGGCATCTGCCTGCTCCGCGAGCTCCTCTCCTGTTGCCCAGTCCCATGCAAGGCGAATCACAATGTCCTTGGTCGCGCACTGGAATGTCAGCTTATTCACGGCTGTGTAGCTCACCGCCATGAACCGTCCTTCGGCTGCAAACCACGTTAGCATGCCGAGTGCACCAACGCCAACGTCCTTGAGCTTGTTGGCAAACTCGGGTTGGCGCTGAGCAAGCTCTGACAGCCTGAACTGCCCAAGCATCTCGCGCTTGCCGATAGAGAACGAGCGAATGACGCCGTCTACCGTCGCCGTGATGATGTAGTTGTCGAGGAGGTTCATACCAATATTGACGTTGGTCTGCTGACCAAAGCGCACGAGCTTGTGGCCGGTCCTCCAGTCCCAGACGACAATGGCCTTGTCCGAGCCGACAGAAACACACCATTGCGCATTGATCCTAAGAGTTAACATTGGACATAGTTAGCTAACTCACGCAACCGCACGCGTTCCGTGGAGATGACCCGAGAGGATCTTGTCGGCCTTCCATTCGCCGTCCACCATGCGCCACACGGTCGCGCGACCGATATCGTGTGAGCCGGTGACGAGTACTTCCTCGGGGGCATAGTAGTCGAGGCTGGACACAGACTTTGCTGCAATAATCTTTGGCGGAGGAACCGCTTTGGCGTTGGAGATAATGTGAGGAATGTTCCAAACACGGATCCTGCGAGGTCAGAATGGTTCAATGTTCGTAGACCTACGTGTCGTCGTAAGAGCCGCTAATGAGAGTCTCGCCGCACAGCTTGAGAGAGGTGACGTAGTTTGTATGGCCACTGAGCATTGCGACGGATTGCGCCTGACTGTTAGCAGACCTCTCGAAACAAGCAACCCACCTGGCCATTGGTCCAATGCTTCTCCCTCTGCCACAAGCTCTTGAACAGCGCCAGCCTACTGTCAGCTGTCTGTTTATCCCCATAGCTCACCAGTCCCCATCTTCATCGAGATTATAGTTTCGCAGGTCGATAGTTCCGTCCCAACGGGCCTCGAGCTCGCGACACTGGCGGCGCCACACCGTTGGACTCGTCGCGAGCCGGTCGAAGCGCTTCGATACCTTGCGGAATCAGCACAGCTGTTACTCTCTTGCCGCACACAGCGCACGTACCAGTCGCAACTGTAACAGGTCACGGCGGTCTAGGAACTGGATGACGTAGGTACACAAATCGTCGTCCAGGCGACCAAGAACTCCTGTGCGGGACGACTTGAGACTCTCAAGCACGTCAATCTGCGCCTGGATGTCCGAGGGACGACAGGCTAATTGGTGTCAGCAGATGCTGGTGCCGTGTCGTGCGGCCTCGTCACCGTGCGGCCTCGTCACTGCCAACAGTGACGGGACATGTACCGCCGCAACTCACCTTCGGCAATGAGAATCAGCAGACCCATACGTTGTTCCCGGGGTAGCGAGCGCACGACGGTGCCCAGCGTCTCGCGGTCGGCTAGCAGCGTCTCGATCTTGTCCTCCATGCCGTCCTGCCGTTTTGACCGGCGTTCGACGACGCGAGGGTTACACCGGGCGTGTTCTGCTTGGAGAAGCGAATATTTGGTCTCCAGCTCAGTGACGCGCCTTTGCAATCGAGCAAGTTCGGATGTCGCATTGGCAGGTGCCGGTGGTTCTCTGGGCAGAGGAGCTTTTGGAACGGTCTTGAATGGAGTCAGAACCGGTGCTGGTACTGGTTCAAACTGGCGTCAGCTACATAGGACCAATAGGCAGCTTACCTCTGCAACTCGCAGCGGGAGCGGAGCCTCTAGGCGCTCGTCACGGACCGAGCTCTGTCGTGGCAGCTGTGGACTGGGCTGCGAACGCGCCGGCTGCACTGGTGTGCGAGTTTGCGACACTGGGGTGGTTGGCGCAGCACCCCCAGTTGAGAGACGCGATATCGACGGAGTCTTCCCTCTGGCGAGCAACCGGTTTCGCGGTGTGACTGGCGTTGTCGGCGACGCAAGTGATGACATGGACTTGGAGGGGGTGATTGGTGACAAGGGTGGTGTCGAGCCAGATGCAGACGATGTACTGGACACGCCCGGTGTGCCGCGGGCTGCTGAGCGGGTTGGCACCCGCGGCCTTGCAGTTGAGGTGCTGATCGCGGCTGCAGGGGACATGCGCGGCAGAGATGCGCCCGGCGACGGTTTTACTGGGATGCCCGAGCGCGAGCGGTCCAACGGTGATGGAGTGCTGTTTGGCGGTGTGCCGGCAGCTGTCCCAACCATGGTGTTGGAGCTCCACTGGCCACTGGTGTGGAAGGTAGTTTCAAACCAACTGTCCCGTTGGCGTCTGACATGTCGTTAATCCCATCCCATCGCTCTCGTGTGATGGAATTAGCGGCCCCGCAACGATCGCGCCTGGTTGTGTCAATGACGCTGTGACGCGTGACGGCGAAACCCGTGCGAGTGAGCATGTTGGATAGGACGCCTATTTTTATTCACAGGCGCGTCTCCTTAGGCTCACGCTGCTCGTGCATCTTGCCTGCACGCCTGCTTCACTTCCGGTGACCGGCGACCGGGGACCGGCGCGACCGGCCGGAGCGTTCCAACGGCCTCGTCCGGCCCGGTCCACTTGTGTTCACCGGCTCCAACCTCGACCTCATGTAAAGCCCACCAACATCCCGTACATATTTACTTTTTGGCATCAAACACCTTTCCTCTCTCTCTCATACCACCTCAAATTACATCATGGTTGTTGTAGAGCGCGAAATCTCGGGCTGGCAGCTCGCCCCCGGGTCCAAGACCTCCTCTCCTGTCACATCCTTCTCCCTCACCACATCTTCTTCCTCCCCCTTCCCGGACTTTGTCTACACGGTCTCCTTCCCTCTTGCCAACGCGGCCCGTGTCATCCTCACTGGACCGGATCGCCCGGCTCCTCCACACGACAACGTTGTGCTCCCCGATGCCCCACTGTCGTTCACCGTCACCAAGCTCGAGGAGCACACGTGCGTCATTCCCTTCCCTGCTCTCCCAGCGGACGCTCGCGACTTTGACGGCTCGCACAAGCACCGCGAGGTGCGCATCAACTGGGCGGACAGTGTGCTCCTTGAAATCTGGGAGGAGGACGGCAAGGGCGGCATGGTTCGTGTGTGTGGCGACCTCCCCAGCCGATCATACGCTCTCACAGAGCACGGTGTCATGCGCCACTGGTGGATGGAGCGCGACAACGTCCACCTGGGCATGGGCGAGAAGGCCGGTCCTCTGGACCTCACTGGCCGCAGCTTCCAGATCCACGGCTCCGACTCGGCTTGCTACGACGCGTACGAGGGTGACCCGCTGTACAAGCACACTCCCTTCCTGGTGTCTTCCCCGCGCGCTGTGGCTGGCGAGACATCCAGGTCCACCTACGCCATCTATCACACCTCCAACTCGAACGCCCTCTGGGATCTCGGCCGCCACCACGACGACCCCTGGGGCTACTTCAAGACCTTTACCCAGGACTGGGGAGGCCTCGAGGAGTGGTACCTGCTCGGCAAGGGTGTGCAGCAGGTGACTCGCACGTGGGCCGAGATTGTGGGCAAGCCCATGCTCGTCGGTCGCGACTGGCTCGGTTACTTGGCGTCCGGTATGGGTCTGGGTGAAAGTGTGAGTATCAAGTTACGAGACCCGGGAAGATCTCGATGGCTGACAATGGCACAGGATGAACCTCCTGCCCAGGAATTGCTGTCGCAGTGGCCTGAAATGTGCAAGAAGTACGATATCCCATGCTCAGCCATTCACGTAGGTCAAGTTCCCATCTCCAGGACTAACCTGCCAGTTCTCTTCAGGCTACACTGTCGGTCCGGACGGCAACCGCTACGTGTTCACCATGAACAAGGAGAGGTACCCCGACTTCAAGGGCCTCGTTGGCGGTCTGCACAAGGCGGGCATCAAGGTCGTCCCGAACATTAAGCCTTGTGAGTAGCACTGTTCGGTTTGAAGATCTCGCTGACCCATCAGACATGCTCGACAGCCACCCTTCGTTTGACGGACTGTACAAGTCTGATGCGCTGTTCTACAGCGACATTGTCAAGGCCCCCGTCGTCACTCGCATCTGGTCGTCGGGTGTTGGCGTCAACGGCAAGGGCAGCTGGGTCGACATGACCAGCAAGGAAGGCCGCCAGTGGTGGGCCGATGGCGTCAAGAGCCTGATCGAGCTTGGTGTCGATGGCATGTGGAAGTGGGTAACTTGAACTTGTGAACAAGCTAACCCATCAGCGACAACAACGAGTACTACCTCCACGACGACGAGTTCCTCGCCCAGAACGACTTCCCCAAGAAGATGCGCTCCGCAGCACCCAAGGGCAAGGCCACTGTTGGCCTCCTTGGCCGCATGGTCAACACCGAGATGATGGCCAAGACCTCGCACGACACGCTGGTTGCGCTCCAGCCCGAGCGCCGTCCCTACGTCCTTACTCGCTCCGGCAACGTTGGTACCTTCAAGTACGCGTGCGGAACCTGGACCGGCGACAACGAGACGTCGTGGAAGAACCTGCGCGGCTCCCAACCCATCCAGCTCAACTGCGGTATCTCCCTTATGCAGTCGACCGGCTCAGACGTCGGCGGCTTTGGCGGTCCCCTCCCCTCACCCGAGCTGTTTGTCCGCTGGGTCCAGCTGGGTGTCACCCACGCCCGTTTCTGTATCCACGCCTTCAAGCCCACTCCCGACGACCCAAGCGGTGTGAGCTGCACAAACTTGCCGTGGATGTACCCCGAGGTTCTCCCTGTCATTCGCTCTGCTATCAAGTGGCGCTACGAGTACCTCCCGTACTTCAACTCGTTGATGTGGGGCTCGCACGAGGACTGCGAGCCCACCAACGCGTGGATTGGCTGGGGCGACTTTGCGAGCGACCCCGAGGTGTACGCTCCCGAGGTCCTCAACGGCTTCGACGCGTGGATCGGTGCCGGCCAGCTCCTTTCCGTTCCGGCCCTGTTCGAAGGCGAGCTCACCCGCCAAGTCTACTTCCCCAAGTCTTCCGCGACCGACGACAGCGTCTACTTTGACCTCCACTCGCCCCACGGCGTGTACGCTGCCGGCAGCAAGGCCGAGGTCGCCACGCCACTCGAGCACATGGGTCTCTTTGCGCGCGAGGGTGCCGTCCTCCCCATCGGCAAGGACTACCACACCGTCACGCAGCGCGAGGGCCCCGCTCGCACCACCCCGGACGGCGTGGACATCCAGCTCGAGGAGGAAGGCGGCAACGTCGGCCTGGACGACTTCCGCGGTGTCCAGATCTTCCCTGCGCCCGCGGGCAAGTCGTCAAAGAAGAGCTACACCGGCCGCTGGGTCGAGGACGACGGCATCTCCGCCAAGCCCGCCCGCGCCACTGTCGAGCTGACATACACCTCCACCGCCGAGGAGGTCACTGTCAAGGCCAAGTTTGTGGAGCACGACTTTAAGCCCCTGTGGGGCTCGACCGTGCACGTCTTCCTCCCCCTCGCCGACCGCAGGAAGGTCGCTGGTGCCGTGGAGGTGTACGTCGAGCACAAGGGCAGGCATGCGTTTGTGGTCACGGTGGAGTAGAGGATATGACACGCTGGGGATTATACGAGTACACTAGAAAAACTGGTCAGCAGCCACATGAACTTGCAAGGATATATGCCACGAATACCCATGCTTGGTAGCCACCACACACCGACTGCCACTGACACGCCAGCGCGCATTTTCCATCTGGCCGTCGGTTGACCACAGCCTCACTGCCAACCTTCATCCTTTCCTTGACGAGGAGCTGATCAACTGACATTTGTCCTGTCCCTGCGGCATGCGTGATTCCAGACATGTGACTGCAGAAAGCAACGGACATCTCGGGGCGAGACATCGGCCCCACACTTTGAATTGGATTGTTTAACATTAGGTTATCCCTTTTCAAATGGCTGACGTCGGCTCTTGGGCCAACCGATGATATGAGATCGCCTTCCTTATCATTCCTCGTCTTGAAGCGTCGTCCGACTGATCCCTATACTTCACCTGCAATCCCAGCGCCCAGCTGTCTCGCACAGGTGTCTCGTATCCGGCTTTCACACGGTGGATACTTTGGGCGCCGTTGCAGGACGACGCAGACGACGAACGAGACAATGACGACAAGGCCCTTCAAAACGCATTATTGATCCGAAACTCGGCAGTTCCCAATCCATCTCGCCTCGACGTCCTGTAGAATTCCACATAGTGTCATCGTCTCCATGCCGTCCTGGGGTGCAGTGGAACACCATCTGAACTAGGTGACGCAAGTGGCTGGCCATCGACGTGTGCTGGCCGGCGATCTGGCGATCCGGCGACGTGTGCTGGCCATCGACGTTTGCGTGTGCGTGTTCGTATGCGTTCGTGTGTGTGCGCGTCAGTTTGTAGCTGTAGCCTGCTGGCCAGCAGCCTGCTGGGACCTGCGGGCAACTGTCGATATTATTAGACGGCCCAGACACGGTCGAACCTGGTGGCTGAGGGGTAGGAGCGGTGCAGGTTCGTGTGAGCCGCGCGCGCCATTACCATGCGCCGTCCGCAGAACTTGGTATGGTGCGTCGGGGGCCGACGAGTTTCGCAGCAGGTCCACGTACCGTACCACGTTGAGCGGGAGAGAGCGGGGTGACGAGGTTACCGAGGACGTGTTTCTAATGTGTGTGCGGGAGACATTTACAGCGACGCGCGGCCGCGGGATGCAGCACCGTAGCGTCGATTCCTGTGACACTCCTGGGTGGCTGCTGTCCGGATCCGAGAGCGTTCGCAGAATAGCTCAGTATTTTCAGTGGGACATGGCAAACGGTGGCTGTGATCTGTGATCGCTGTGAACGACAACGGCCGACCACAGCGCCACAACCACCGCCGTGACACGGGTACACGGGACAGATGCTCAGTCCTGAAACGTAGACCGACGTACGTGTGACTACTGTGGTGTGGCGATGTGAAGGGCGGCCATGTGGGTTGATATCAACGACGCGCGGCGGTCGCAAAGCTCACTGAGCTCGAGATAGCAGCTCCGTGATGTCATGAACCTCCTGGTTGGTTTCCGAACACTGACGGCCTTCCCAGCAAAAGGTTGACAGAACGAACAGATGCGTGGCATCGTACGCATCGCAAGTCGAGAAGTCGCACAATAGAGCCACAGCCTCCGATGTTGGGGCATAATCAATTTTCATCGTGGCCTTCTTAGTTCAGTGGCTAGAATTTTTCACTAGTAGTGTCGCTTCAGCGTCTTGCTATGAAAGGGTCACCCGTTCAATTCGGGTAGAAGGCATACAGCTGAGCGATCAGTTCTTTTTGCACGTCTCCAGTGCTGGCCATGCAGCCTGGTGGGTTCCCCTGAGTCCTGCCGAGCGGCAGGCATACTCCCTAACACCTGGGTGGTGGCTTTTAAAAATTCTCTCGTCGAGCTTTGATCGTGTGGCGGCCCGTAGCCCGCGTGTGGCTGACTACGACGAGAAGCACGATCGTCGTGTGGCTGACGTGAAGAAGAGGTTCATTGTGCCGCCTCGTCATCCGCCGTGGGTCGGCAGCTCTCGCCATGGTCCGGCGTCTGGTCGTTACCGCCATCGACCCGAATCCCAACCGCTGGAATGACGGACGAGATATTTGACCGAGGCTCCGCCGTAAGCTCGTCACGAAGCAATGTCCGACAACCCTCCACCTCTGCGTCCCCTCCGTCTCGACAACGTGCGCTGGCCACTACGCGGCGCGGCCGTAGAATGTTCGACGCGAGCTCTCGAACAACAACCGTGAGGATCCCTGCCGGCGAACTGCGGTGAAGCTCGCTCGGCACTGCTCGCTCGGTGTGTGTTGGCGACGGCGATGGAGTTTCGGGCCGACATCGCACCGTCGCGTCCTTTTCACCACGGCGGTCCATCGCGGGAATAGGATCGGTCGCGATGTGACACGATCGCATAAAGTAAGGTCTCGTTCAGTAGCTGTAGCTCCGTACGTGTATGCACCGCACGTCACGTTTGAACCTCGAAACTCAAAATGCCAAATGTGCGCGCGTCGCGACCGTTCCCGTTTTGTGGTTTATTGACTTTGATCACAATTGTTTTTAACCCGCGCTCACCGGTCTTTACGCAGGGTTCGTAATGAAGTCAATATCCAACCCTTACAGCCGCAACCCAACAGTCCAGAACCATAAAGGGGTTTGTATTCGTTCCAGGACCACCTCGACCTCTCACCCTGAGGATACCCGGGTAACGGCCGGGTGCTCACCCTGGGTTACTCCCTGGCAACAAACAGGTCAACCGTCACCACCCACACCATACAAGCAAAAACAGTGGCAAGCCACGCCGCCGTCGGATCCGAGCCTGGCAGGACCTGTGGCGCAGCGTACAGAACACGAAGAGCAGAGTGGAAGATGGCCAGCACAGCTCCATACGGAGTGCCGCCTTGAACAATCTACGAAAGAAATGAATGGCAGCGACGTCTGCCCCAAACGCACCTTACACACAACTGGCGACCTGCGGCCAAATTCGCCTGCGGGCCAACTGTTGGCCGCGGGTTGCCGGCTGTCACTGATCACTGCCACCGTCTGGCCGCAGCTGGCCGCCGGTATTGGCAGATCTTGGCGGCTATCTCTCACTGTCTTGGGTCTTGGCTTTGTCAACCACCATCAACAGCCTGTGGCCAAAAACCCAAGGCCCGGAGTGTTCCTTGGGTTGCGGGCCTGGGCTCGCTGGGCTCGCTGGGCTGGGGGGCAGCGGAGGCGAGCGGCCGGTGACGACGACGACGAGAGGCCAAGAAGGCGGCAGAGATCTACGAGGCACTTGCGCGTCGCGCTCCACAGCGGCCACAACCATCTGTAAACATCTGTCACTGCGGACCGTACCGGTCCGCCACGTCCGCCTCGGCAAGATCGGGTGCTGGGCTGTGCGACACAGATAATTACATTCGAGAGAATCAGAGGCCAGAGGAGATGTGCGTCTGATGGGACGGGTGCATGTGGGTGCTAGTCCCAAGCCACAAAGAAAAGCTGACGAAGCGTTCCATGCTCCACATGATCTTGGTCCCAAAATGCACTGCTGCGACGATCACAATGCGTCTTCTGCAACCACACAGGCCTCGCTGGCCTGGCTGCCGGGGCCCGAGGAACCGATAGCGGAAGCGCAAATGTCGGCAAAGGTGTGCTGTGCTTATTCACGTCTGCGTTACGACGACAACGAACGATTTGGCTTTTCTCGGCTCAACACCGTCCTGGCGGCGGCGCTTCGCCGCGGCCCTGGGGCTGGTGTTGCTGGCGTTGCGGGCGTTGCTGGCGTTGCTCACATGGACGGCAACGACGCAGCAACACCGTCGCTGATGGCCGATGAAGAGGGGGCGCGGCGCCTGCAGAAGGATGCAGCGCAGCACACGCCCAGACCGCCGAGAACCCTTTTGCTATGTGGCCGGTGGAATGCAAAGAGAAAGGAGAAAAAGAAAAACGAGGACAGCAACGGGCCAACGGGGCAACGTCGTAAGAGCTGGACGGTGCGCGCAGTGCCGCCGTTCCCCCTCGCTCATGTCCGGCCAAAAGGGCCGCCACGTTCGCCACCGCGTCCGCTGCCGGAGCGATGTGCTGGGTGTTCGGCGGAGATGAAGACGCCCGCACAAGACCCCAGGCAGAACGAGGCATCGACGTGTCCGTCCGCCCGTGGAAGCGGCTCAATGAGAACGTGTGCCAGCAAAGAAAGAGAGAGGTGTCTACCCCGCCGCGGGGGTGTGAGGAGGCCCAACCAGAGTGGGGCGGGGGGAATGGACGGGTAGTTTCCAAGGGATGTACAGCAGAGGGGTTGAGTGGCAGGGCTCTGATGGGAATGACCGGCGAAGTTCGCCTCGTTCCCACCCAGTTTCCAATTGTGAGTGTAGAGAGAAGCATGACGACGACGGGTGCACACCCATGGTGCAGCACCACAGCACGATAGGCTGGTTGTTTAGTAACGATGTATAAGCGTGTGATACGAGCTTGCTCAGCAAAACGACAGCAGTGAGCGTCATGGATGAGACACAGCCAAATGGTGTCATTTTGGGTCTCCATTGACGGTGGTACAGTCACCCAGCGAGGCGGGGCACGAGAGGGCGGCGGGTGCGGCCAACTCCAGGGGCCCTGCAGCCCTGGGTTGTTCGGAAACGGCCGACACACACACACACATTTTGTGTGTGTCTCGGTGCCGGATGGGGGGCAAAAGGGCAGAGGGAGACATTCAGGGGAGAGGGTGTCAGGGGTGTGTCTCAGGGCGGAAACATACTGCTCACGGAGGATGACTCGACTCTGTTTCTGTAGTGTGTTTTTCCAGTCCACCATGTATTTATTCCCCACACCGCGCGTCGTGTCCCGTCTTTCTCTTCTCATCCACCCCCAACAACGCTCACTCTTATATCATCGACCAGGACCCATCTGTTGCCCAAGATGTCCTGCTAAGCGTCCCCCCCCCCCCCCCAGACAACACCTGAACCACAACGACTACCCACCCCAACAACCCAGCCACAATTATCTCCCACACCCAAACCCCACCACCACCACCCCACCAACCTCTCACATTGTCGTCGCTCGCTGCGCCACACTCATCCATCTTCAGCCAACATGCTCCCTCATTTGATGCCTCTCGCACCCTCCACCCGCCCTCCTCCCCTAGCAACTACGGGAACAACACAGCACCAACCGCTAGCGACAACACTCGCAACCACGCACCTTTACGGCGACTAAGCCCCCTGCGTCCTACCAACGCCCTGCCTGAATACACCGAGTCCGACACCACTCAGTCCGACCTTTTCTACAACAAGTCTACTACTATCCCCGCGTACAACACCGACGTCATGTACTTTGCATCTTCGTCCGCACCCGCGCTCACGCCCCTGGGCGTGCGCCTCCTCGCGCTCTCGCGCAACAAGCTCACCGGCATGGACTGCGACAACGCCGGTATGCTCCACCGTTCCGTCATCGTCCGTGAGGCCGTCCGCTCTGCTTGGGCTTCCATCGAAGACGGCTCGTCCTCTTCGGACCTGACCAACTGGCGCGCCCCCACCGCCCTCGGCCTCGCTACTCTCTCGGAAGAGGACGAGGACGAGGACGAGTACAACCAGGCCGACGCCGAGGCCCGCTACCTCGACGACGTGCTCTCGACCCTCGGTAACGACGACGACGAAGCCGACCTCGCCTGGGCCGAGACTACTGTCTCGCGCCCCGCCGCCGACGACTTTGAGTCGGACGAGACCTTCCAGGCCTTCACCCTGCCCTCTGTCCAGGTCCTCTCCGCTGCCGACGCCATCGACACTGAGGACTACTACGACAGCTCGTACAGCACCCACAGCACCTACCGCACCGGTGTGACTGTCATTGAGGCTGCCTACGACTCCGACTCCGACTATGACGAGGACGAGTACGCCGAAATGTCCGCCTCGTGGGTCGAGCTCGACAGCGACAACCACGCCATCGACCCCCTCGCCGTCTCCCAGGAGCTCGAGGAGGTAGTCACCCCTCCCATGTACTATGCCTCGCTCCCTCCCGAGCAGGCCATGGCCGCCGAGCTCGCCCTCGCAGAGATCGAGCACGCCGAGTTTGCCAACGCGATTGCGTCGACTGCGTCGTCGGGCAGCCCGCCGCGTCTCGAAGTCCATACTCCCAAGTCCGAGACGCCTCCTTTGGTGGCCGTCTTACACCACCAAGACCAAGAACCAGAACAAGAACCAGAACCAGAACGACAAGAACCACCCGAAACACAAAACACCAAAAGCAGCGGCCTCCGGCCTGTCCCATTCAAGTTTGCGTCGTACAGCGCCTTCTTCGTGGAACAGGCCATGGACGAGTACGACTATGACTTTGACGCCGCCCCGCCGTCGTTACAGCCGTGTACTGGCTGTGACGACGACGAGGAAGAGGACGACGAGGAATGTGTCTGCAAGACCCCGCCGCCCGAAACAGAGTCGCTCAACGAGTTGTCGTCTCTAGGACGAGGAGTAGGGAAGACGAACTGGGCCGTCAACGACGTGGCATGGGGCCTGGGGTTGACGGTGCCGCCATGAATGAAATAGGACCTTTTCCGGATATGATTTTTAAAGTAATTTGTAACCCTTTTTTTCTTTCAAGTGGATGAATCGTGTCACCTTGACTATTGTTGCACGTTGCCTTGGTTCGTTGTCTGACAGGGCTGGGATTGGGAACAGAACAGAACAGATGCTGTAAGGTAAGCCTGCGTGCATGAACCATGGCCGTCAGTGGTGCACGGCAGCAGCCAACCGCCACGCTCGCACCTGTTCGCGACTCGGCGATGCGACATTGTTCATGATAAAGGAGGCGAGAGCACTATAGACTGCGTCCGGGACTAGGTAATGGTGTAGACAACTGAGAAGAATGATAAAGGCTGTGGGCCTGGCCCCGCGCGTGATGTCAGGGGGGCGAGGAAGGGATGAGGATGACAGCAAAACTGGGAACACGATCAAGTGTGGCGCGTCGATCGTCGTGGGCCGAAGCTAGTGGGTGGTGGTTTGGCGGCCAGCGCCTTATGCCACGGAAACAGCGCCGAGACGAGGCAGAGCGAGGGTATCTGGGAGTCAGCTCTCTTCGGGTACAAGCAGCTCACCTTGCAGGCCCGTGGCCGCCGCTGCCTTCTCGCCGCCAGACACCGCGCTCTTCTCCGCCGCCACGCAACTCAAGGGCGAGGGCACTGGCCCGTCGAGGTCGACGGGGACAATCTCCGCATCGACCTCGGCAACGTCGCCTTCGTCCTCGTCGCGGTTGTCAAACACCAGCCGCCGCTCGACGCTCTCGAGGTCGGCACGCATGCCGTCGCTGACGAACGCGTACGTGTGCGGCGCGCCGCGGAGCCACCCGCGCCGCCGGAGCTCGTGCAGCGGAAGTGGGGGCTCGAGCTCTTCGAGGCGGAGGATCTGGTATGCGTATGCCGCGTTTTCGGCTTCGACAGTGGCGTCTGTGTCGTCTGAGCCCGAGGAGTCTGCACTGTCGTCCACAGTGTCGTCCACCGAGCTGGAGCTGGAACCCGCTGTGGAACTGCTGGGAGTCGGGACAGGGACGACGGCGACCTCGGCGACATACTTGAGTGCGTTGAACGGTGCCGGCTCGTAGATCCACCACCGGGTCGAGGGCACGTCGTAGCCCCTCAACTCTGTGTTCTGCGTCCCGGCAGCAATGGCAGCGAGGTGAGGCGGCTGGATGGTAATGACTACTTCGTGGGGAGGGGCCGGTGAGGGAGGAGCGGATGAGTAAGGGGGCAAAGCGGCGGACATGGCGGTCATGGTGTCCATGGCAGTGGTGGTGTGGTGGTGTGGTGGAGAGGGAAGGGTTCGAGTCGCAGTGGTGGTGAATGGAATGATACAAGCGATCGAATGTGACTGACGTATAGGGTGTTATGAGGGAGTAGTCTGCCTGTCGGCAGTGTCTTTATGAAGGGGGGCTGGTGGGTTCTGACAATGCTGACGCGAGTGATACTTCTGTGGGTGGCGGTTAGACAATAAGACTATAGATACCCACACCAGATGTCTGCGGGGGCACACGAGTGTATCGACTGGACCAGGTGGCCAGCTCCCATTCCTTCCCACCCACACACGACCCCCAGCGCTGCCGCCCCCCCATACCCCACCCCCGGGCGCGCCATGAGCCGCAGTCGTGATTCAGGTGTGTAGGTGTGGGCCGGCTACCCTTTGGTGGAACTTGCCGCGCCTCCGAGACGACTGACAACACCGGCCACAACACATGGAGGCATGAGGGACGAAGCGGTCGCACCGTCGCCTCGCTACAAACCTCGCTATGACCCTCTCGTGAGAAGGGGGCCAGGAGGCCGGGCCAGTTTGCCCACTTGACTGTCGTCGCACCTATCAAGAGCCGAACAAGGCAAGGCAGTACAGCCCAAATTGGCCATTGCCATAAAGAAGAAGGTGGGTCGGGACACCTTGACGCAAGCAGGGATGTCTGCAAATGGTCAGGTACCGCCACGCCCACACACCCGACGGCAACCAGCTCTGCACGCTCCCTACGTTTCCTGCGTTTCCTATTCTTCCTCATCCCGATATTGGCCGACGAGGGAGGAATCCCCGTGTCCCAGGTTTTCAGCTCGAGGAGAATACAAACTCTGTGTCTCCCGGGGGAGAGCACGAGCCTGGAACTTGCAGCCCTTCAAGAGCCTGTGGGGACGCGCATGGCGTTGGCCCGTGAGGACTCGAACAAAGAAAAAACAAGTGTCGTCTCGGGATTCCTGTGTGCACAGGGCGGGCCCTTGGCGTTCCTGGGATTCCTCGTCGCTCGTCGCTGTCCGCCCCTAGCCGTCCACTCTGTCGAACACCAGTCCACTCTGGCGACCATTCTTGCGCAACGGTATGTAAATGGGACGCACAGTGTTCTCGGCGCGTTTTCAGGCGCCATCTGGCAGCTGGGCACCCTCTGGCACTTGGGCATCTTGGCCGCGTTCCTTCCCGACATATTGGACCTGTTGGCCTGTTGAATGCGAGCAGGTTCCGTTCGCCACGTTCCTTGTGTCTGCGTCTGCACGTCTGCGTGCTCGCGGTGTTGCTACTGCGTATACGCACATGTATGTCTTATGTGCAGGGTGAGAGCGGGGGGCACGAAAGGAAACGAGCATGCGAGCAGGGGAACAAGCCGCGGGCCGGATCTGCACTGCACCCCACTGCTCCCAAGTCGCTCAACAATAAGGTCCAGCCACGAACCCCACCCATCCAATGCCACCCAGGCCACCCACCGAACCCCGGACGCCAACGGGTTTCGTGGATCTTTGGACAATAAGGTATTTTTTTGTTCAAAAGGGCATGGGCCCGCGCATCCGGTGGCCCTCGGCCCTCTGGAATCCGAGAGCGTGTGCGAGATCCTGAGAAACTGGGGTGTCTGTTTGGTCGATAGTTGCCGGGCACGTTGCACGGTGGCCAGCGCCTAGGGCCTGCACAGTGAGTGGGGTGTGTCAGCAAGACATGTTGCTGCGCGTGCTGCATTGCTGATCACTGATCACTGATCACGATCCGACGACACAAAATACTTCCGCTCAGTCGCCACCCAAATCCGTCGATTGATGGACCTCTTTGTTGTTGTGTTTGGCACCGTCAACCATCCCATCGCCCATCTCCCATGAATCCATCCATTCGCGTCTCATGGCCTACCACTACAGCTTTCTGTTCTGGCCCATGCAAGAGCGATACCCGGGCATGACGCTGAAGGTCGATGCGTGCCAGATCCCGCCAGCTACCGTGCTTGCCCAGCTCGACGAGCTCGTGCGCGGCCTCTGCAACCCACTCACGTTTGAGCCCGTCGAGTCACCCCACCCGCTCTTCCAGCAAGGTGACAGAGGGGCGACAATTGCCATTGATTACTGACGGAAGCCCGCATGACGTTTGCAACGCACGCCCAAGCCGACAAGACCATGGCGGTCCTGAACGCGCACCCAGCGCTCGCCCGCACGGGTATCAACTTCTGCCGCCCGCCCGAGATCTTCTATCCCGAGCTGAGCACGCTCTTCACCGCCCGCGTCGTCGAGCCCCACACACCGCCCGCGGCGTACGTCCCCGAAAAGCTCGAGCCAGAGCCGGCGCGAGAGCCGTGGATGGAGGCCGGGTGGACGGCTGGCGTCCCCTCCCCGTCTGAGGTTTACGCCGTGTCGCTGAATACGGGCCAGTGCACCACGTCACGGTGCGCCTGCACGACATCCGCGGATGGGAGGCCCCGGTGCAGTTCTTCAACCCAGACGACGCGGAGAGCTTTGAGCAGGCATTCTCGGACCAGCTCTTGCTCGGCTGGCGCTGGTAAGAGTTATTCTCCTGGGCTGGCGCTGACCCCAGCCACGTATTCGCCCGCGATGAGGACTTTGCAGCCAAGGAGGCACTGGAAGACATGAACGCGCAGCGCACAGCCGCGGGCATGCCGCCGCTGGGCCCGGACAAGTTTGACGAGGGCGACGACCCACTGCGAGGACGCGTACTGGCGCGCCTCCCGCCGGGGCAGGAGCGTCCGCTGCCAATCGACGCATATGTGTGTGTGAGCCAGCGCACACCGACGTCTTGCCCGGGTCCAGCACTGGTGGTGCGGAATAAACGAATCGCCCCGATCCCTCGAACAGATTTATGTTTCCTGTGGACTGAAACCCGACATCCCAAGTGTCAGAATAGATTGCATGGGTGGCAGTGTTCGCACGAGCTGAACCAAGACCAAAAAACGAGCAACAAGGCCGCCAGTGAGCCATGTACAAGAACGTCTCTTTTGTCTGCATGTGTCATTTGATGTATGTTACGTGTCACAGGCGCTGGTACGTTGCAGCGAGGTGAGGTGAGGGGGTTGCGGGCAATAACGGAATCTAGTCTACGTGGGTAGACAACGTTACGATTGTGACACCAGTCAACCTCCTGCGCCCATGCTCTGTCACTCAACCCTGGCTGGGTAGAGCAACCGCACATGGCCTGCATATATCCCTTTCACGACAAAGTCCTTGCCGCCCACAATGGTGGTGTTGGTGGTAACTGCAGCGCCAGGGAGGGGCAAAAAGCAAAAACAATGGTTGCCTTCTACCCGAATTGAACGGGTGACCCTTTCATACCACAGTAAGCTCTTTCGAACACTACTAGTGAAAAATTCTAACCACTGAACTAAGAAGGCCATTGAAAATGTCGAAGTGGCAGATGCTGAAGAATTTGCATTCCCCGCGCTCATTGGATGGAACCGGTCTCGTGGTGGCCCTCGGCTGGCACTGAAGAGTCTGGATGTTCTGTGGGTCCTGGGGCCTGAGGAGAGGTGTGGCTGTCTGATTATGCTTTCAATGCAGCTAGAGCGCTCGAGTATAGAGATGTCATTTGTAGAGCGACATACATGGCATCTCTTAAAGCCTGGCCAGGAAATGGAGTTGTTCAGCATCCATATTAAGTGTCCAAGGTTCTACAAAGAACACAACCCCCTCCCCACACATTCTGTAAAATCACGAAAAGGCAGGTTAAACGTTCCCAGCGACAAGAGACGCACCATACGCGTATACAGGACATCCAATGCCGAGGACAGACTCGCTAAAAGGACTTGACCGCCACCCCTGCAACTGACAACACCGCTATGAACCACCACCCAATCGGGGCAGGCCAAAAGCAACAAATCAATCTTGCCCAACCAAGTATACTTATAATGACATGCAGAACGTAAGGGTATAGCACTGGACGGTTGCACAAAGAGATGGAGAAGGTCACCTCCGCCAAGACCACAACAACACATATTTGCTCCCGCTCACTGCCTTTGGGTGGCGAGAGTGGAGGCATTCACGGGGATCACGGTCCCACTCCAAACGATCCAACGAGCAACTGTGTGTGCACGTCAGCCCCACATCTACTCCACGTCCATCTTCTTTACTCTACCCACATGTCAAACCTCATACCAGGATTCACCGGATACCGCCCGTCAGCAGTCGAGGCCGGCTACGTCGCGCGCCAGCTCCTGGCGAGGCGATACACGTCCATCCCGCGGTTGTCACGTCCGTCCGCCGAGGATGCCGCAGCTATTGCGGAACTCATGAACCATGCGCTGCGCGTCCCTGGTGTGTTCCAGCTGCTTGCCACACAGCACGCGCAGCGACCTGGCGCCAAGTTTGAAGCGACGATCAACGACCTGAAGCGGCATTCTGGCGACGTGGGCCAGCTGATAGTACGTCTACAGCTCAGTGGTCCTCATGCCCATGGACGACAGCTGACATGGCGGACAGGACAAGCAGACTGCCGCCGAGGCCACTGCTGTGCTCGCGGATATTCTCCCACGCGCCGAGGCGTTGTTGAAGGAACCACCTCCGCCCCACCTCGCTAACGCGTTTGGCAAGGAGGACGCGATCGCCCTCGCGGCGGCGCGCTGGTTCAAGCACGAGTACTTTACGTGGATTGACCCGATCAAGTGTCCCCGCTGTGGGGGGGCCACCAAGTTTGCAGAGGTCAGCGAGCCGAATGAGCGTGAACGCGCCGGAGGGGCCAGGAGGGTGGAGGTGCACAAGTGCGACAGCGGCGGGTGTGAGGGCCAAAGGCGGTTTGCGAGGTACAATACCGTCAAGGCGCTCATGGGGTCGCGCGAGGGAAGGTGCGGTGAGTAGACCCTCTCCATCAGCTGACTACGTCTCCTGCCAGCTGACACCGCAGGCGAGTTTGCACAACTCTTCTACGTCTTCCTCCTCGTCCTCGGCCTCGAGGCGCGGTACGTCTGGAACAGTGAGGACCACGTCTGGACCGAGTACTTCTCCCCCACGGCCGGGCACTGGGTCCACGTCGACAGCTGCGAGGCCGAAGTGGGCAAGCCCCAGCTGTACGACCGTGGCTGGGGGAAGCAGCAGCGCTGGTGTCTCGCGTTCGGCGCCCTCGGCGCCGAAGATGTCACGCGCGCGTATGTGGACGACTGGGACGCCTGCCTGGCGCGGAGGATGCAGCAGACCGAGGACGGACGGGGAGTCACGGAGGAGAGGCTCAAGCTTGTGGGTACAGCTGTCACGCAAAGTAACGCAGCTGACGGCCAGATACTCCTCACGCACACTGTGCAGTGTCGCGCACACCGCGGAGACGCGGAACGCGCCCAGCTGGCTGGCGTGGACCAGCAACAGGCCGCTTGGATCACCGACGCGAGGCGACGCAACTTGGAGGCTGAGCTGGGAGGGCTGAAGGGACAAGGTAGGGAGAGCGGCACCGAGGCATGGGTGCAGGCTCGCGGAGAAGGCGGAGACGTCCAGATGGAGGAACCTCCCGAGGTGATTGACGACGTGGCACACGAGCCAAACACGACAAACGAGGTGCCGGGCGAAGTGAAGGACGGAGTGCGGGAGACTGTCGACGAGGAAGGAGAGGCAGCCGCTGCCGGGTCCGGGACTGTGACTGCGGTGGAGGAGGTCAAGGAGTAGATCTGCTAGACGTCAATTACAAGCGATCCCGTTCAGCCATGCTATGTGTGTGCATATCTATCGAGATAAATAAAGGGGTCTACTTCTTGTGGAATGGTATCCGGAAGCCGGAGAGGAGCGCGCGTGCGTGCTCCTGGGCGTCCTTGCCCTTTGCGTTGGTCTTGAAGTGCATGTGGAAGCCGTGGAGACGGGGGTAGGCGTCAATGTTGCCCTCGACCTGGGGAAAGAGGCCCATGGCGGCGGCGGGGAGACCCATCGAGACGACACCGGCGAGGGCGGAGGGGTTCGACTTGGAGGCCGACTGGACGGGGAGGGTGAAGCCCGGGAACTCGCGGATACGGGGCAGGACAAAGTCGACGAGCGACTGGATAAAGTCGTACATGGCCTCGCCGCGGAGCTCGACCTTGGCCGAGACGGGCATGCCAGCACGGAGCTTGAACGCGGCGGCACCCTGGCGCGAGATGACGACCTGGACACCCGTCGAACCGTTCCTGCCACCGCCGTTTGCCGCCTCGCCCGAAATGTTGCGCAGAGCCATGATCGCCGACAGGAGCGCGTGCTTGTTGCCAATAGCCTCCTTGACCATGGTGTGGATAGTAATGCTCTCGAGCTTGGGCACCGACTCTGCCGTGATGCCCTTGGTCAAGGGCTGGATAGGACGGTTACCCCTCGGGGCAGGCTTGGGACGGTTGGCCTCGTAGCCAGTGACAGGCTTGGAGATGGCAGCGGCCTCAGTGGAAGCGGCGGCGAGCTGCGCCTCGGCGGTAGCGGTCGCACGGTGGTTGTAGGTCATGTACAGGAGGTCGGAGGCGACGGTGGCGTCGTAGTGGTCGTGGTAGCGCGAAGGGTGGGTCTGGCCAAGGTGAATCTCGGGCAGAGTCGAGGTCGAGGCCTGCGACGACGAGGCAGCGGCCGACGAAGCGGCACGGACAGCCTGCGCGCGAGCCATGCGCGAGGCAGAGGCCACCGAGGCGATGGCGGGACGGAGAGACATGGTGGTAGTGTCGGGGGTGGACAGAGGGGTATAGTCTAGACTGTCTACAAGTCGGCAAAAGAAACAAGTGGTCGTCGGAAGGAGGAGGGTGAGATGGGATTTCGACTTTTTGCTCCCGGAGGAAGGCGCAGACGCGTGTTGGCCCGCCTATTCAATTCCGGCGCCGCTGGCCGCTGGCCGCCGTCGGTGACGACGTATCGTGCATTCGGGCCGTCCACAACTGCAGGCGGTTGACATCGTTGTACATTACACCCACAAAGCTCTACATGCCCGCGCCGCCGCTCTCGATTATCCAGTCGCTGAGCCCGCGGGTTGCGGTTCTCGCGTCCGACGACGTGGCAGATTCGTGTGCCGCAAATGGCTGCCGCGGGCTCAACGAGCTGCTCCGTCCATGGGAGGGCGGCACAGAGAGGGGTGAGTCGGTGAACGCGGCGACCCCGAGGACAGCGGCAAACATGATGGCGAGCATACACTAACATTTCCCCCAGTTTCTGTCCTCTCATCGACCTTAACCCCAACAGTGCACCCAACATTTCCCCTTCGTTTCGTTTCCTACGCGTCCGTCTATGCCAACCCGGCACAGGCCTCAATAAACCCCGACATGGTGGTTGACCTTGTCGGCTCGTGTGTGGGCAAGCACTCGCCAGACGATGAGATGCATTACCCGACGACACGCGCACTGCTGTTATCGTCGCGTCCGTTGGCGCCTCACGAGACATTCAACCATCCTGTCGGCGTGCTGTTCGCCATCTCGACAACCACACCGGACCCTATGACCACACTGCAGCGCCTGTACGGCCAAGCAGTCGGTACTGGCGCCCAAGCTGCACCCTGGATGGACGGCGTGCAGGTTCTCAAGTTCTTTGTCGTCGTTCACGACGTGTCCAAGGCCGGAGCAGACCTCGAGGGTGCCAACGAGCTGCTGGCCCTGGTCAAGAAGGCATACGGTCCACACTCGACCTTGCTCGTTATCAACTCGCGTACACCCTCCGACTCACAGCCACCGACAGCTGAGAGCGCGCCTGTCACCTCCATGATCCCGCGCAAGCCCGAGATTACCGACCACGCATCGATCGTTAAGGCCTACGCGGCCGCCATGTCCAACCTGACATTGTCGCCCATGGCCGCAGCTGCTGAGAGCGGTGGCCAGGCTCCGAGGTCGTATGCGCAGCGACTGTCCTCTGAGGATGTCGATCGTCTCATCGCTGTCGTACGTGAGCTCGTCGTGCAGTCTCTAGTCCCCTGGATGGAGGCTCGTGTCCGCGAGTGGAACGAGGCGTACCAGTCCAACCGCCGCGGTCTGACCGGACGCCTCTTCGGTGCTGGCCGCAAGCTCTTTGGCACCAGCAGACCGTCTTCACCGTCTCCCGCTGCCGGACACGCAGTGTACAATCCGGCCAAGGGTTTCTACCCCGTCAACTCTGTCGAGGCTCTCGCTCGCCGCTTGGCCGACTTTTCGTTCATGCTTCGCGACTATCGATACTCGGCCAGCATATACGACAACCTCCGTCGCGACTATACCCAAGACCGGGCATGGCGCTATGTGTCAGCCGCGACTGAGATGCACGGCCTGGCGACACTGTTGTCGAACGGATACTTCCACCCGGGCGTGCAGCCCGGCAACCCCACCCCACAGACGACGTTGCAGCATTCGGACATTTGCGCCTCCCTCGAGCAGGCCGTGACCACGTACCTGGGTCGCACGGGCGGTGTTGGAGCTGTCCATCTCGACGCTTTGCGCGTGACAGTGCTCTACTACGAGGCATGGAAGGCGCTCAACGAGTGGCGTGGTGTCGGGGCCTTGCTCGTCCGCGCCGCAGGAGAAGCGGATGAGGTGCCGTGCGCTGTCATCGTCGAAGAGGCTGCCGCGGCTGATGTCAAGGGTGGCAAGAGCCAGCGTGGAAGGAGGAGACAGGCGTTCCATCTCGTCATGGCTGCAAGGAGGTACGAAAAGGCAGGCCTGGTGAGTAACCCTATACACGCTTTTGTCGTCGCTGACGAAAACAGAAACAATACTCAAGGAGATGTCTCGCGCGCGCCGCCGACCTCATGCGCGATGCTCCCTGGGCCGCCGCATGTGAACGTATCGAGTACTCGCTCGGCCGGCAGGCATACACGCTCGGCGAGAGTGCCGTTGCCGTGGAACACTTCCTGGGTCTGCTCCAGCGCGACGAGTCGTCGGCGTTCGGCGCACAGGGCATGGTTCTCGAGGACATGGCTCTGGCGTACGAGCAGCTGGTCGCACATCCAGAACAGCTGGCTGCCGCCAAGGACCGACTCCGTCTCCCCACGCCCCTGTTTGACGCAACCAAAACGCGTGTTGTGCTGCCGGCTGAATCCAGCGCGAGCGCAGTGGGAGATGCTGAAAAGTGGGCGGCCCTTGACACTCAAGCTCTTGCACACTGGGACCGCAAGGGCAAGAAACCCATGAGCGTGCTTCCGGACACGCGTCGTATCGTCGCTGCCGTCGGCGAGACATTACATGTTGAGCTCACAGCCAGCAACCCCCTCAACGCCACCGTGGTCATCAAGGACATTACGCTGGCCGTGGACGGCGCTGCCGTCGACGTCGAGACCGTCCCCGAGACTGCACTCGAACCATACGAGACACGCCAGGTGGCCGTGGCCATCACCCCGACTGCTGCCGGAACGTTTACGATTGCCAGCGCGAGCTGCATGTTCCACCGTTTCTTGCCTGTGACCGAGAACCTGGCCAAGCGCGGACGGAGGCTGCATGCCACAAAGGCACAGCGCCTTACGCCAACGTATGCGCCCGACTCGAGCCTGACTGTCCACGCTGAAGGTGGCGCGCCCCGTGTGGCTGCCGAGCTCAATGTTCCAGAGGTCATGTTTGAAGGCGAAGTGGTGCACGCCACCCTTCAGCTCCGGAACGCAGGGACTACAGTCGTGGAGAATGTGCAGCTCGTGTGCTCCCAATTTGGCGTCGTGGATCTGGGTGAGCTGAACATATTGGAGCATACTGTGCGCAAAGCTGACTGTCAGACACGGATACCCCGCACAGCGATACCCCGGCATCGATACCGAACACGATCTCCGCCAACGGCCCTCTCACAGTGTATCCGGGGAGCATCGCCGCCGGCGAGAGCGTCAGTGTCCCTGTCCGCATCACCGCCCCAGCACCGGGCGCGCTGGAACTCCTCGCGCTCGCAGTGTACAGCGTCCCCGACGGTCCTTCCGCTGCCACGCGCCTGAGCGCAAAGGTCGATGTCAAGCGTCTCTTGACCATTTATGCCGACGTCTCTCCCGCCCGCACGGGATACCTCGTCACCCTTGAGGTGACCTCTCACGCTGCCGACCCCGTGACACTCGGTCAGATCACACCAGTCTCCGAGTACTGGGAGCCCCGGGGTGACATCACCTCGCACGGTGTCCTTTTCCCCAACCAAGTCTTCCGTGCTGTGCTCCCAGTTGTTGCGCGCGAGGACGTAGGGTCGCTGGACCTCACTCAGACCGGCTTGGTCGCCAACCTCAACCGCGTACTCAAGCACGACGACCGCCTGGCCCCGATTTCCCCCGAGACCGTCTCCATCTGCGTGCCAGAGGGCTACATTGCCTCGCGCCGCGCCCACCGCCTGCGGTTCGCGGCTGCCTTCTTCCCAGCTTTGGCTACACACCTCGTCCCGCGCGTTCTGCCCCTGTTTGACCCGCTCGACCTCGACATTGACGTTGCGTGGACCATCAGGAGCCCCACGACGGCTCCCGACTCGTCTGCGTCTACTCTCACGCAGCAGACCCGCCGCGGCCACGCAAGCGTCCACGGTCTCACCCCAGCGCCGAGGTTCAGCCTTGTTGAGTCGCTGCGCAGCGAGGAGGACACGCCGGCCAAGAGGACCATGTACGAGGAGACTGGGCGGCTGAGGCAGGTCATGCTTGATTCTGTTCTCGACGGCGTGTACGCGAGCGAGCAGGACCCAATTGTCGTCCGTGCTCGCGTGCCCGGAGCCAAGAGTGGAAGGGTGACGCACGACTTTGCAGAGGGGTAAGTACCAGCTTAAACATTCGTGGCGAGCACAGCTGACAGTCAGTGCTCTCGTTCTCCCACTCTCGATCGAGCTGCAGAACCGCTCCCCGGTGCTGCCAACACGCTGGATCGTGCGCCTCCCCACACCGAACACGCCCACACCTACACCTGGAGTCAACCGCGCCCCCGGTTCCGACACGGTGTATACTGGCTCACTGAGCCAGCGCGGCGTGCTCCCGCCCAACGGTACCGTTGTAGTGGACACGGGGGTGTGGGTGCCTGAACCGGGGCTGGTCAGTCTGGGCGGGTGGGAGATTGCGAGGGAGACGGGTGAGGGCGACCATAATGATGATGACGGGGTTACTTGGGCGCCGCGCGCCGCGTGGATGGGCCTGGGCACGGCGCCCGGTGTGGTGGTTGTGCAGGCGTGATAGCAGGCGCTCGTGTACGGACGTACGGACGACAGTAGGGGAAATACAGCTTTGGAGGGATGCAGTTGTTTTTGGTTTTGATTTATTGGCTGCGATTTTGATTTATTTGGTTCGGCGTCATACATGCCCATGTGGCTGCAGGTTACCTCCCCACTTTACCATCTGCAACAGTATAGAGGGCGGGTTAGTATACGTGTCCTCTCCACAAGGCATGATGACTCGCGAGATTATGCATTGACAGGACGACTGGCCGACATATAGTCACCATTGCAGTACCAAAATAAACAATAAATGGTCGGGATATACACAATTCTGGAAAACAATGTCCACCGGTTTCTCATGATTGCATCAGAATCCTACACAAAATGTACCTGCTTGCACGTTTCAGTTACTAAGTGTGATCTGTGCTGCTTCCTCGCGAGAAAGGCCATCGAGTAGAACCCACTTCAATGACTTTTATTTACCGTTGTTGGACCATTCGTCTGCCCTTTATATTACTGTCTACCTACAACTAGCGCACCGCGGCGTCCCACAATCTTCTCAATAATCAACATACCATCAACAGCTTTAACAACTTCTACCGCTCAAAGAAGACAGCAGCGGCACACCAGCGGGCCCGCTTCATCAATGTGTCTAGGTTTATTTAGTCGGCGGTCGGTGAAAATATATTTCATGCTCAGCTAGAGCAGTACCTCGACGTCACGTTTTCCATCCAACAGCTTTCAAAGTACTCGCCCAATATGATGTACAAGACTAGGCCATCATATCCTCGGGTCTCAACGGGTCAACCACTCTGGACGAGCACGACTTCCAGAACCCCTTGCTTCGATTCAATCATCTTGTTCGCTGGTTGACGTTGCGTGTTGGATGATACGCGTCCTTGCGGACAAGACCCGACTCATCACTTCAGTCGGCACACTACGCATGGCCTCCAACAACGGCCTCCAATCATCACTGACACACTCAACGCCAACAGCGGTACAGCCGCCTGGTCAATGTCGTCCATTTCAATGCCACAGCTCAAGCCGCCTTGTTTGGTTCTGGCAAGACGTATTACGTAAACGACTTTGGGACACGTCGATCGTCCCTGTCATGCATGCGCAGCACACGCGCCGTGCTCGTCTTCCTGATATCCTGATGCATGAACAGTCAATAGCTCGCAAGGTGGTAGAGCATCCCACGAGACGGTTGCATAAGGAGAACGCAAGTTATGGCGGAGGACAAGTGGTTGGCCTGGTCTGAGAGCACCTGCAGCTGCGCCGTTTGGTGGTAGCAAGTGGGCCTGCGACGTGCACACACACACGCATGCCAGCCAGGTGGCCGGCTGACGGTTTGGCTGGGCCTTGCGAGGCGAGCAGTTGTGACAATTCTGGCCACGTCATGCACACGCATGCAGCTGCATGGACGAATGCACAGGGCAATAAACCCCTTACCGTTGTGATTTCCGTTGACGTCGGTTGAAAAGCCGTGCCAGCCAACGGCAGTGCAGGATCAAAAGGATCAGGACGATCGGATCAGAGAATCAGTGACGGGGTCACGTGTGTCACGTGACTTTTTGCCCAGTCAAACCATCACAACACACGCACCCGCCCCCAGCGCCCAGCCCCCGCCGCTCGCCCGCCCGCGCCCCTGAGAGAGAACGCACCCCCCCGTCGCCACTAATAAATACGCCATCCCAATCTCTCTCCTCTTCTCTCATCCCACGCAACAACCACTCCACAACACAACCACTTCTCTCTCTCTCCCACCTACCCCCCCAACAACAACTACTACAACAATGTCCGGTCGCGGAAAGGGTGGCAAGGGTCTCGGCAAGGGCGGCGCCAAGCGTCACCGCAAGGTAAGTCATCGCCTGCTCTCAGCAGTGTCCAACAGTCCAAGTTGCAGTTGCTGACATTGTTTCTTCCAGGTGTTGCGCGACAACATCCAGGGTATCACCAAGCCCGCTATCCGCCGTCTCGCCCGTCGTGGTGGTGTCAAGCGTATCTCTGGCCTCATCTACGAGGAGACCCGCGGTGTCCTCAAGATCTTCCTCGAGAACGTCATCCGCGACTCGGTCACCTACACTGAGCACGCCAAGCGCAAGACCGTCACCTCGCTCGACGTCGTCTACGCCCTCAAGCGCCAGGGCCGCACCCTCTACGGTTTCGGCGCCTAAGCGCGCATCGCAAGCCCACTCGAGAAGAGCTGCACCTTCGAGGCCCGCGTACAAGAGCACACCAACCACTTTGTGTGCGCGCCGCCGCTTTTTACTGCCCACCAACCTTTCGTTTTTTGATAGTACCCTTTGTAGCGGGGCCGTCGGGGCCGATGCGACGCCCGTGCTGTTGAGCAAACCAACATGATTCTTCTCGTCGCAGCTTTGCATTGTTTGGTGTGTTTTGCTTGGTGGTGAAACTGACGCGCGGGGCATGTGACGTGGGACGGGCTAGCTCGGAACTGGTGCGGTGTTTATTGTTGGCACTCAGATGCGGCTAACCTCTGTACATAGTTTTCCCCAGCAACACTCAAATGCAAGCCTTGATGCACGCTACCGTCTGCTCACCACGACTCAATGATCCATGCTATGTACAATGCAACTGAAGTGGGCTACTCTACTCGTCATCGCCATCCTCTTCGTCGTCCTCATCCTCGGCCTTTTCAAAGAATCCGTGCTCGTCGTCACCCGCCACCGCCGTGAACGCCCGTTCGCCCTGGGCCGCTTCCCAGTCGAGGCCCTCGGTCAAGAGATGGGGGCCGGCGTACGGCTCGAGGATGACGAGGGGCGATGCACCAGTCTCTTCCGATGCTGCGGGCTTGGCCTGCGCAGCATGCTCGACATAACTCGCCTGCCAGCTCACACCTTCGGGAGCGACCTTGCCCAAGAACGGCTGCAACGACTTGACGTCCCCAGTCTCAGCCCAGAGGTAGACGACCCACTGGCCCTGCGGACAGCTGCCAGTGCCTTCACCCATGACGAGAGCGCGGACAAGGGGGGTGGTGTCGGTGGGAGGGAAGACGAGGACGGCCGTGTCGTCACCTTCCTCCTCCTCCTCGCCTTCCTCTGCAGCATTCGCCGGAGCAAGCACTGGCGGGCGGGTAGCCACAACGGCAACAGTGTACGCTGTCGTCTTCGTGCCAATGGACTCTGGCTTGAGGCTCGCAGGCAGGAAATCGGGCGAGCACACGAGATGGGTCGCGGTGATGGTCCGTGGGTGGCCAGGAATCTTGAGCGAAACGCTTGCGTTGTCGTTCGCCACCGTAATGTCGCTCGGGACCGCGTCGGGGCCGAGAATGTAGGTGCCACCAAAGACGGCGCATGCACTGTCGTCAGCGTCGTGTAGCTAGAAACGATTCGAGTCGATGACAAGTGCCGCGCAAGCGTCGAGGACGGTGCCGGATGTCACCAGCCCGGCGACAACAGAGCCGGGTGGCAAACAGTCCGCCGACGGGTGAGATGTGCCCACCCTACCCGCTGGCCCGTTACTCTACACCACGAGTGGGCGAGCCCACTCGGCCGTGCAGCTCTCTCACCCGCAACCGTTACTCACCGACAGAATCCTTGTGCCACCTCTCCTGCACCGCCGTACTGGCCTACCAGGAATGCACGCGGTCCGTAACGTCCAATACTGCGGATATAGCGTCTTGCGCGGATAAGGGACGGCAGAGCAGGCTCGTCGGGGGAGCTGGCGTGTGCAACGGCGTAGGTGAGCGCCTCGGCCAGGCGCTGAGACAGGCCAAATGACCGTGTAAGGAAGGCAAGCAGCGGTTCCTCTTCGTGGCCTGGACGGTCAGTACACAGTACCCTTTCTCCTCCTCGAACACACACCTTTGAGAACCTCGTCCTCCTCAAATTCGCCCGCAGCAAACAGCAGCGCCTTCATGAGCCTGCGCTTATCGGGCAAGCTGACAGACTTGTCCTTGAAGACATCCTCTTTGCTTCCCGGAACGCGTGCCGCGGCGCCCTTGGCGTCGTCCCACAGCGACACCGAGTCGAGCAGGCGAAAGCCGACATACTTGCTCACATCGCTGGCAATGAGCGTCCCCACCAGTGTTCCCCTCGAAGCCATCAGGCTGGGGAACAGGCTGAGCGCGTACCGGCGACGATCGGGAGCGAGCGACCCGAGCGGTGTTGTGCTGGCGGACTCGTAGCGGCTGTGTTGGGCGGAGGTGTACTCGTCGTCGGCATCCGTGGGCTGCTCACTCCTCTCTGCAGCCCATGTCGCAAACTCGTCTAGCGTGAGACTTGCTTGTGCCCCGCCATAGTACTCGTTTGGGTCCAGGTGGAGCACCGACTTGCCCGCCTTGGCGAGTGCGCTGGGAGCATCAGTCAGTGGTCTGTGTACGACAGAGCCAGAGGTGTGTGTGCAGAGTGTGTGGTAGGGTGCTGCCATAGCATTGTGACGGCTAGGAAGAGGTCACCTGCTGTCCACTCACGCTGCGGCTATAGACTGCGCGAGTCCAGTCCCGAGTATGACCGTGTCGTAGGAGTCGGAGTCAAGCATCTTGGCTGTCAATAATGGTGTTCGAGATTGCGAGTCGTTGGTGATGCGCGCATCCACACCGCGTGGTGGAGGTGATTTGGGTCCGCCGATGTGAGGTTTCGGTGAGTTTGAGTGAGGAACCTAAAGGTATCATGTGTCATGGTACCTCACCATGCATACATTGTTGGGTCCATCTGCAGGTGTAAAGGGAAGATTAAGAGGTTACCTTGCTTCATTTCTTTTCGTTTGCATGTAGCATTACATCTGATGGAGAAGGAACGGAAAGAATGTCACTGCTCCAACGACGCATCCGTGGCTGCCGAATACTTCACACCACACCAGCAGTCACAAGGACATCAACAATGCATGTCTTCAACGCGCTGCCCCACTCTCAACGGCACTCACAGCACCACGCATAGACCCAGAACACATGTAAGAGCACCAGCTGCAGCCCCCGTGGCCCCGTGCCAGCACCACCATGAGCAGTTCTAGGCTCCGGCGCGAGCACTGCCAACCGGTGCAACCGTTCAGCCCACCATGCGACGTTTCACCGACGGACGGTCGATGGAGACCCCAGACTATGCTTTGCCCACTGGTCCGTATTCTGTCCAACGTTGTATATACACACTTGCATGTGTACAGGCCTCATGCATCTAATGCCTGTGCCCACTCCGGTGCCCTCCTATCATATACCCATGCCCCCAAGCTCTTGATATCAGCCTTTGCGGCCCAACGTCACTATCTCCGCGGCTGGGGATTGCCACTGGCCACTGGCCACTGGGGGACATTGGGGCCTCCTTTCATACAGGTCAATGGTCAATGGATCAATGGGGTTAACGCTGAGGTTATTCGATCAGAGCCAGCAGAGCACCACACATCCGGATAACGCAACTGGGTCACGTTCTTGGATTGCTGAGGACGCCTTAGTGGTAAGCCGTGGCTCTTTGCACGCAGACTCTGTGGTGCTTTGTGCGTGCTGGACCCAGTTGGGCGGGCGTGCGATGGCGCAATGAAGGCCATGGGTACCATAGTGGGCTGTCTAGAGCAGCCAAGACGGCAGGTTTTGAGTCGAAGATTACTACTATCGTATCCCGGCCGAGAGCGATGGGCATCTGATTGAGTTATAGGGGGTGCCATTGAAGGCGTCATGGGCCTTGGCTCGCCGCGGACGAGAAAGTGATTTGAGTCAAGACCTCGGCTTTTTCCGGCAGATTGTAGAGGGGGGATCGCCATGAGCACGCATTTTGTAGCCGGAAAGGCGGGTGAATTACTTAACCGGCCCCCCGCATTAAACGAGTCGAACGCGACCCGGGCATCGAGTCCTCGCTGGCACTCCCTCCCCGTCCGGCCCCCCGCGCTGGCATCATTCGGGCCCACCAACTCCCCCTTATACATTAACGCTTTCACAGGTGTTAATCTCAATCCCCCTCACACCATGGCGACGTCTCTCGCAGTTCCAATCGCATACATCACGGTGCTCGTCACCTCGCTCGCGATCTTCTCGCGCATCTACCGTCGCAGGCAGGCTGGTAAGTCAAGTCTGGGCGGCGCTCACACGCTCCCTCGGTCTCGTCCACATCGCACGCAACATACTGACTCATCTCCCCTCCAGCCGAGAAGACGTCGTTTGAGCCATGGTTCCCCGCCCATCCTGCCCGCGACATTTACATTACCCTCCTCTCTGCCGACCCTCCCGTGCCCGAGAGCATGCTCAAGAGCGCGCTCCTTGTCCGCGCGACCGCCGATGTTAAGCGTATTTGGCGTATCAAGGAGGACAAGCAGGCCCTCATGGGCTTGCATGAGCGCGGTCTCGTCGGCGACGACACGATGTCCAGGTTCACCACTGCCGAGAAGGAGCTCGAGGCCGAGATTGTCGATGTTGTCAGCGAGGCAAACACCTTCCGCCAGGGCTGGGGTGCGATGATCTTCGCCACGGCCTCCGAGATGGCACATGCCGAGAAGACTCGCGACACTGTTATCAACATTGCCAAGGTCAAGGCTCTTGAGGGTGAGTGCCACCGAAGGCAGTAGAGGATCGCAGTAGGGTGGATGCACACTGGTGTGTGTGTTCTACCTACTTGTGTATGCTCTGCCTGCTCCCGCGCACGTGCCACCTTTGCTGACATGTCACTCTAGAGAAGCGCCTCTCGCTCCGTGCCAAGCTCCTCGGCCTCCCTATCATCCAGCAGCAGCTCCAGCAGCAGCAGCAGCCGTCTCCCGCAAAGCTGTCGCCTGCTGCATCCCCCGCTGTGTCCGCCCCGGGCTCCCCCCAGCCGGGCTCGATTCAGCTCGACTCGGGCGCGTCGACCCCCTCCAAGAACACTCCTAAGAAGACCAAGACCGCCAGCAAGAAGAAGTAGAACCCTCCCCCAACCCCTGTAGCTCTATCGCTCCCATTATTTCCTTTTCATACTCGCAATGGGCGCACCACACCAACACAACCACCCGCCACCATCACTACCGGTACCATAGGACCGCCGTTACCATGTTACCATGCACATTTTAGACCCCCCACCTATACTGACGTGTTTTCCCCTCCGCCTTCAACGTCTTTGTGGCGTGTCTTTGTGTGTGCCACGCAACTCGGTTGTCGTCGCACCCATATGACCCATACGATGCATGCACACGTCCCCCTCTCGCCAGTGAGCGACCCGCGTGGCTCCCTGGCTTGGAACGCGGTCGGAACTTGGCTGGCAGTCCGTACCGGAGTCTCAAACCGGCGGCCCCGCGTCCACCCTTCAGGAGAAGCCGTCGACCTGGCCCCCTCGTGTTGGGTGAATCGAGTCGATCCGGGTTTCGTTTCCCGGCCGGCCACTCAAAGTACAAGAACGCTCGGTTTGTGACTGTGCAGAGATTTTTCGCGCCCAGAACAGTGGACGGTGGACACGTGTTGCACCGGTACCATGCGTTGACAGTGGCGAGAGGCCTGGGTGCATACTGCTGAGTATTTGGGCGATGGGTTTGCCACCCAAGAGGATATACAGTAGCCTTGGTCAAGTGGGGAGAGTTTTCCGGCTCCGAACTCACGTCAGCCTCTCAGACACTTCCTCCACCGGCCACCGGCATCCAACGTCAGCCAGACGAAGCTTCTGCTGTGGCAGCAACTTTTCTTTCCTTGTGCTCTTCCAACGACTACACATACACATGCGTCATGGACATCGCTTACGCAGGTGCAGCTGCGCAATGCTATACTTGTTCTTACGGCCACCCCCCCCCATCCTTACGGCCGGAACCGCTGCACTTGCGCTCCTCGCTCCCTCCTTCTCGGGGCTTTTTAGTCCCTTTGACCCCTCTTCCGCTCTGGGGCCCTCGGCACGGAGTAATGGCGCTGACGTCTCCGGCACCGAAGACTCGGACCCCCAGGCGGTGGCGTGGGTTGTGGCATTTGGTTCTTGCATCTATGATGTGACGGGGAACGGGACACGCTCTCCTGCCTGTGCTGTGAGGCTGTGGAGGATACCCCCCCCCCCCCCCCCCCCTGGTGCCGATGTTCACAGCGCACTGACCTTCAGTGGTGGCATCAGAACGCGGCCTACGGGTGCCCGGTTCCAGCCACATCTGAAGCAATCAGTGTTCAGTATGGAAGCAACGCAGCAGTGTGCAGTATGGAAGCAACGAACAGTGTCCGTTGGACGTGGGCAGCCAGGCTCTCACAGCCGGTTGCGAGACCACTCTGCCGTGAAGTGGAGGGCGAGCCTCCCAGCATGGCGTTGTTCTCCGGAACCGCTCAAGTGCCACCCCCCATATCCACATATCCGCTCTTCGGTGCCGTTGGGCGGTGGCAAGTGGCACGAATGCCCAATTGCTAGCTCTGCAGCAGTCCGAGACAAATGGCCACGGGGGTGCTGTAGTCGTTCCAGCGACGCAGGCGCTTCCAATGACCATATTTGAAAGTTGCGGAGTGGTGTAGTGGTCACGTGACGGACCTCTGGGTGGATAGTTGTGCCAGGCGATAATCATGCGTCCGTCTCCCTCATCTTTCAGTACCTCCCTGCCGGCTCGTGCATATAAAGTGAGACATTCGCTCCAAATCAGGCAGGGCTCTATTGTCCTTGAAGCTAGAAGACGAATAGCAAGTAGGTGGTTTGATTTATTTTCATTTTCAATTTATTTTACATGTACCTTCGTCACAGCACTTACTCAGTTCACTGGCCAGATAGAGACCGCCGTTCTTACCAACAGCTTGCATACAGATGCAGTCCTCTACATCAACACTGCAGCCGCCACCGTTACCGCCACAATCGCAATGGTCCCAGTACTGAGACGGTTCTGACGCATACCTCCACTCCACGCTTTAGCAGAGAGGTCGGACGGAACGGGCGAGCCGTCAGTATACAGATTTTCCTCGGCGGACAGGGCCGCAATACCGAACTTGGACGGGTTGTCGCCATAGATACCATCCTTGCTCCGTTGGTACACGACGTAGACGTTCTTGAGGAAGGCGGATCCGAACGCCCACTCATCCGAGCTGGAGGAATGTCAGCCGAGTACTGGACCTCAGACAGTGCACTTCGTCCACCCACTGAGTGTTTGCCACAATGGATCCAACACACATTCCCGGCTGGTCAGGAATTGTGGAGGAAATCAAGTCGGCAGGTGGGAGGGGAACTTCGAGGCGGGCGGGAGAGGAAATCTTGAAGCGGACCACCGAGGTTGTGTTGCACGGCAACTGGTAAAATGTCGTGACAACAGGCCCGAACGAGCCATTCGAGGGTATGATGTGTTACTATAAACCTGAGCTCCAGGAATGCGGTTGTAGATGCTAGCGACGTCCGCAGGGGAGTAGGTGATCCATTCTTGGGCATAGTTGACCTGGCCCCATCCCCTTCCTGTTACCTCACTGCCGTCCACGGAAACGTTTCTAGCGGTCATGGTGGGAACGTAGTTGGTGCGCCCCCAGCCAATGTCACCTGTGTACTTTGTCGAGAGGACCCCGCTGTTTGGGTTAGTCTGCTCGAGTCTATGCATCCCTACCCAAACGTGATTGTCCCGGCAGCGGCAGACCCGTGGCTGGTTACGTTTCCGATAGTGGCTGAGAGATTGAAGTCGTGACTCGGGGTGGCCCGCCCAAGATGAATCCCGACCTGTGGGTTCGCCCAAGGCTTGACAAGTGCGCCCAGGGTGGCAGGTTCGTAGCTGTCAAGAACAATGACGCCTGAGATCCTGCCATTGGCCATCGAACATGAATGTATCGGAAACACCAAACTGAAAGTTGTCGTAGGTAAAGCCCGCAATGGTGACCGTGTCGTTGACCAAACGTGCCTTGGTCTCTGCCCTAACGGTGCCAAAGATGTTGTCCTTGGGACCAAAAACCCCCGTCTCCCTGTCGGTCGATATAAACGACGAAGAAGCGGACGTGTTGAAGACGTGGCGACCAGAGCAAGCATCGCCGCACTTGTCGCTATAGACCCAGAACGGCGGTATCACCGTTGAGCTGTTGTCCGGTACCCAACTAGGAGCAATGAGGAAGAGGAGCTCCTGAGGAGGGGTTCTGAGCAGAGTGAGCGGCGGCCACGTCCACGTCCTTACCCAATGGAGATGGGGGTGAGGTAGCCTCCGTCATAGTTGATAGCTTTCAAGCTGTGGTGAGCTCTGAGGTTCAACGTCCACCCACCTGAGACTGGCCAAATCCCTGCGCGTGGACAAGTGTGGCTCGTTCAATGACTCGCTGAGTGCACCCTTCACGCCCACACAGAGGGTCAACAGGAAAGAGGTGGTGATGAGCGTGTTGGTGTGCATGTCGTGGTGGACGACGAGACAGGTGGGGCTCTGTGGCGTTAATGTATGTCAGTTTGCCGGGACAGCAAGCATGTCTAAACGGCAAGCGGTACGGGTACCCAGGAACACTGGGGACTCTTAAGGTGCCCGTGTTTACGTCCAGCCTCGGTGTTCCCGTGTCAGCTGTGGCCGTGCCTCTCCTTCCCAGCACCAGTTTCATGTGCACGGATAGGAGTTGGCTGAGCCGTATATTTAGGAAGTTGGTAGAACTGGTTACTGTGAGGGTTGTCCTTTGGGCTCCACGGCGGGGCATCCTCTCAATGGCCACAGCTCAGTTCCGGCGGAACCCCTTCACAGCTCTGTGCCTACACGGCCCCTACAGTGCGAAACAACGGCCGTTCGTGTGGTGGAGAGATGCGCACCATACCAACCGGCAACAGTAGTAGTGGACACTGGAGACGGGCTGAGTAGTTAGGTTGACTCGCCTGTTTAGCACTCCGAGCACCGGTTCCGTGCGGCTTGATTGAGACAGTCAGCGTCTGGCAGTGACTGGGAAGGCCATGGCACTGGAAGGAGAGCTTGTTCCGTCTGGTGATATAACTTGCATGTCCCTCTACACGAAAGTGTGGGCGGTAATCTGCCACGACTTAAGTGTGAACGAGTTTTGACCCGCCATGTAGGTCAACTTGTGGAACGAAGTTTCATTGAGTGTTGCACTGGTATCTATGCAGCGAATAGTGTGTGTCCGGGTTCTGCAACAGAACGACAGTGGGCCGCGTTGCCAACTCTGGTGGTCGGGCGGACCACATAGGGGGAAGGATTGCAATTACAAATGGTATATTAGGGCATCTGGTATCTATTCTAATGGCAGGGAGCAATCACGTAATACCTAAGGGGTCGTGCCTGGTAATACCTGATGCGTGCCTCACTCATTTTCGGATAAACTTTTCCGTAATGATCGGCAGAATGTTTACCCGGCGACAAAAGCTTCCGACAATCATCATCTGCATTTTTCCACCTCCTCTTTCGTCGTCTTCTTGTCACTCTCCGCTATCCATACGCTTTAAAAAGCAGCAGGGAATGTTGAGGGTGGGGTTCGAACCCACGATGAGCTTTCACTCCTCCGATAGAAGTTGCTTAACTTAAGTCGGATGCCTTAGACCTCTCGGCCACCTCAACCTCGATTTTTTTCACTTCCATACTGCGGGTGTTGCCTACGTCCAATCAACGTGCAGTGTCCGACTTCAGAGCCTTCGACACATGAGAATGGCGGAAACCTCTTCCTCCTCGTCCCCCTCCGTTCCAATAGCACTGGTCTCGAAGAGTTCCTCGAACGACATGGGGATGGCGCCTCGCGTAGGATGGGCGGCTCTTGTGTCAATACCGCTGGCGTCGCCGTTGCCTATGTCCGCTGGTACGGCAGGACGTGCACTGCTGCCGACAATACTGGCGTAGCCAAATGGACAGAGGGCTAGAGTAGGTCTTATATATGTAGTACGCACAGGAGTGTTACCCTCGACTGGGTTGGGATGAAGGGGTTCTACGAGCGGTTCGGGCTCGAGAGGTGGCAAGCGCCGTACTGGGACGGCGGCAGGAAGGTGTTGCCCCGAACATGACCGATACAGAGGTAGATTCCATGTCATTCGTATCCACTACAGAGGAGCACTACGTTTAAAGCGACTTCTCCACTACAATACCTAACCAGTGACCATTCACGACAAGAAGGAGCTCAGGAGATGACTGGGTGCGAGACTTGGTCATCGTGGTGGCTCGCGCTGGCCCTCGCGCTTGTGTTTCTCCCCTGCGCTCCGACTAGCGGAGACTTCTGGTTCTTCCTCTCGGCGCGCTGTGCGATCGCGTGGTTGCTGGCGTTCGACTTTCTGTCGGCCTCGCCATAGCTTGTTGGATAAGCGCACGTCCTCGGCCACCTTGGCAATAGTGGGGACATGGAGGGAATAGTGCTGGTCGACGAGGCGACACGCCTCGTTGATCTCGATAGGCTCGCAGCCCGAGAATTCCGGATCCGACAGGACCTCCATTCGGGGTGGACGCACGGGTCGGGGCTTCCACCTCTTGTAAGTAAAGGAGGAGGTGAAGGTCGAGGGCGGGGAACGGGTCGAGGAGATCGAAGGAGACGCAGAGAAGGGGGTCCGAAGTGATGTTGAGGGCACAGGCGAGGGGCTGCCGTACGCGAACAGGTCGAGGGTCATGCCCGAGCGGATGCCCGCATAGTGGAAGTCGGCCCAGAGGAAAGACTTGTACAGCCTGGGCAGATCGACGAACGAATCGATCTGCCGGCAAGTTGCGACGTGCTTGATCTTGCGCTGGTTGTTGCTGGCGAGCTTGAGGGGCGCGCCGTCGGCACCAACACAGAAGTGTTGGTAGGTGGGCGGCTTGTACAGCGCCCGCCAGTGGCAGTCCTCCTTGTTGCACTTGTGCTCGATGAGGCCCTGTCCGGACCCATTGTCCGCATCGATCAGGGCGGCGATGACAGAGGGTAGAGTGGTCATCGGTCGCCTGAGAGGCACGACGTCAAGGTCGGGCAGGGAGCACAGTGTGGCGGAGAACAGCCTGCCGATGGCGTTGAAGGCGATGAAGAGGGGAGTTGACTCGGCCTCGACAAGGATCGGCATGTTGAGGTTGGTGTCGCCGATGATCTTGAAGAAGCCGAGGTACTCCCACTCGCCTCCCATCCGAAGCTTGGGCCAGATGACCTGCTCGAGGCCGAACGGCGCGGTTTTGTCCTTGAACCATTCGCCGTTGCCGGAGTCCAAAGCCTCGAACGCGAAGCGGAATGGGCGAGTTGCCGATTCGCCTCGGAGCGCGTTCTGGTCCCGAATGCAGTCGAGGACACCCTCGTCGTTTGCCCCAGCGTCAACAGGGCAGACATGGCTCCACGCCTCGCCAACCACGACGGTACGGCGGTCACACCTTGGGCAGTGGGCGAGGCGATACTCCTCAGCCATGTACTGGTCCTCCGATCCCATCCGCTGGAGCAGCTCGACAGCGCTCAGGGCGGGCGAGAAGGTGGCCATCGAGATACCACGGCGGGCGGCGTTGTACTCGCCAAAGCGACCATCCATGTACTCGCGCAGCTGCTCGGCGTCGAGCAAGCGCGTGAGGTGGTTGGCCACCGGCTGAGCGGCCGAGATGACGAGCTCGGTGCCTTCTCGCCGCGAGAGGAACCACTCGCGCCAGCCCTCGATGTCGAGCTCGCGGCCGTCGCCGTCTCGCGCGTCGACGTTGACGAGCGGGTCGACCCACATGCGCGGGGTGATGCCTCGCTCGCGTTTGTCGAGGTGGTACGCGAGAGCCCCCCGAACTGTGCCACTCGCTCGGCACTGTACGGGAGGCCGAGAGCCTTGAGCGCTCGCAGGTATGTGGCGAAACGCGCAGCGGACAAGGCGGCAGCAGCGGCGGCGGCAGGGTTGGCGGCGGCGAGCTTGGCGGCACGGCGCCTGGCTCCCTCTTGGCGGAGGGTTGCAAGCCGATGGAGGAGGTCGTAGAACTCTTGGCGCTTGCGGTCGCGCAAGGCAAAGAGTTCCTTGTTCTCCTCGAGGATCTCGCGGCGGAGGGCGAGGTACTCGGGATTGTTGGGGCGGCGGCCGCGCTTGTTGCTGAAGGCGATGAACTTGCGGGCGGTGACCTGCACGATCACGTCCGCAACCGCTTGGAGCGCCACGAAAAGGGGTGAAAGGTATGCGTCGTACTTGATGCTGCCCATGTCTAACTTCTGGAGTCAGTGATGATGCTTAGGGGACGCGATCGAAAGGACTCACGGACTGCGGCACCTTTCCGTCACATGGAGAGCTGGCGGGAGAGTGGCGACGAGAGGGTCGCTGGCGAGTGGAAGTGGGAGGGGACTGCGGTAATTGGGGGAGAAACTTGCATTAGCCAAGCTCGGTTGGGGAGGCTCACAATAGTGTGACGGTTGTTGCCGGTGGTTGGTGGCTGGGAAGGAGGCATTGCTTATGAGAGTGCGGTTGTGACAATGAGGGAAGAAGCCAGTGTTGAGTGGGCTGGCGAATAAGTAGGTCGAAGCGGTCGCGCCCCAGCCATGCATTCACCCTTACAGTCGCCCCCAAGTGGCCAGTGGCGACTGTATGCAATATTGGCAATGTTTATATCAGCTATGAGCGATCTCAGATCGACGTGGCTCGTAGATCATAGCCGTCACGGTGAGAATAGGAGAACGTGATTCTGTCCGCATGCACCAAAGTGGGTCCGAGGTATGCCGAGTTCACGGATGCACAATGTCACACCGTAGTACTAAGTACAAGGCCATACTGCCGTCACAATAGGTCAATAGGTGCGTCTCGTTGCAATGGTGTTCTGAAAAGAGGGGGCAGCGGGTCAGAAATCAGCAGGTTCTCAGTCAGCATGTCAGACGATCAGAATCCACCTTGACGCTGGAGCGTGTGTGGAGAAGAGATCAGCCCCAGCACGCCATCCGGCATTTCACAGTCACCCACCAAGGGGCGCAGTGTCGACCGGTTGAGGCGGCACAGCCGCTATCCGTCTCCCGTGCAGACGCAGGGAGCGATGAGAGCGATGTGGAGGACGCAAGGTCAGTTGTGTGCGCTCCTTGTCGTCTCATCGCTTCTGTGCATGAGGCCACGTGCCGAAACCCCCCCAAGTCGGGGCACTTCATTCCCAATGCCACATTGGTCTCAGGCGCCACATTGGTCATTGGTGACACATTTGACATGCGAACCGCTAGAGGAAGTGGAGCTGGTAATCTGAGTGTGGGATGAGCCCAGAAGGGGATCATGGAACCACAGTGCTCACGGAACCACAGTGCTCACAACGTGTTTCTCATCTCCCACCGATCCCACCGGCCGCTCAAACAGCGTCTGATGTGTACCTAACCGTAGGCGAACGTCGTCGTCGTCGTCGTCACCACACGTTGGGTTACTCGGAGAATCAGAGCACTCTAGAAGCTCGCACGGGGTGGGGTGGCCTAGTACTGCCTGTATGCGGCTTGGAGTGCCACGGGTGATGAGTTAGAGCTTCACACCTGCTGCCAAGTGTGTCTCGCAGTTGAACCGTTGAGTTCGGCTAAGCGTGGACTGGGCGTCAATCTTGCCGTCGGAAGCGACACGCCTTGACGACTGTACTGAGAACCTGATATCCCGAGACTGGACATAAGCAAATCTGTGGGACGTGTGCTGTCACACAGTCGGACGGCCGACGGTGGGGCGATGTCTATCTGTAAACTTGTGGTCCGTGTGAACAAGCAGTCCCACAAACAGCCCGACCCTGGCCTGTTCACGGAAGGTGTGTAGGATGGGGCAGCTTGATGAGTGTGGGCCTAGCATGATTCCTTGACCGAAGCCTTAAGCCCGGGAGAGGGGCACACTGAAAGGAAGAATTAGCAGGACGGTGAACGCAGTAAAGACGCAGTAAAGACGCAGCAAGCAGCAGCAGCAGGCCGAATATCTTGCGAGTGCGATCAGGCTGCCACAATCGACCGAGCGGGCGGTGGCGCACCCAAAGTGCACGCCCGACCAGAGGCCAGAGGGCGCAGTCATGACGATCGTTCCTGCACATAGTATCCTGGTAACAAAGTACATGCAAAGCGGGGGATCGTCGGAATAGTATGTACACTATGGACCAGCTCACCAAGGGCATCACCTCGATCCGTCGGGGGCGAGCTCCTTCCAGCCGTCGTCCGGGAACGGGCATTCAAGGCCACCATCGTCGTTGATGCTCACGGCAAGTGGGCCGTCCATTATCAGCCGCGAGACCCGAGCTGAGGCGACGTCGATGACGAGCGGCTTCGTGATAACGAGGTATGGCCACAGGTCGAGGACAGCCGCCTTGATGTCAATGTGCTTGAGGGTGGTGCACCAGAGGTCTAGCATGACGCCGATCTGCTCGAGGATCTCGACCCACTGGAGGTCATGGGCAGGCGGGGCACCCTGCGCATGGAGTTTCATGTCCACGGCAAGGGCGGGTCCTGGGCCAGCAAGACGACTGTGGTAGTCGAGCTCCTCGTAGAACTGGTGGTACTCCTCGACAGTCACGTCTTTCTGGACGCGGACGGAGGGGACCGCGCCGTTCCAGGTGCGGCGGATGTGGGCGGCGCGGGTCACCACCTCAAGAGCGTCCGGGTGCATTGGCGGTCTCGCGCCCTGCCCTTGCCGGGTGTTGGCCATGAATTCGCTGATCTTCTCGTTTATCAAACCGACAGCGGCGGCGGTCTCGGCGGCAGTGTCGGGGATGGGGAGAGGGGCGTGGAGGGCTGGCGCAGCAAAGGAGAGAATTGGTGACGGAAGCCGCCCCTCGTGGTGTTGAGGTACAGAGGCCAGAAGGTCCCAATAAGGAGACGCTCGGCGCTCTGCAGGTCGGGTCGGGCGCGAAACTCGAACGGGCCCAGACGGAACTCGGGGACTGTACAGGTGAGCTATGGTTACATACGTCTCGTTGGCTTACTGATGAGCTCGTAGAGCTTGACGCGTTCCACGCCGCAGACCTTGACAAAGCGAGCCCAGAACCCGCCTGCGCGCAGGTCCTGCTCCACCATTGTCTCGACCTTCTCAAAGGTCTGGCCGCCGTACCGCACCCTCACCACCTTGTTGCCGCGAGGTATACACTCCTTGGCCTTGGCGGCAATGTGAAGCACCTCAATGCGCGGCGCCTCCGCTAACAATTAGCCTTGGATATCCTGTGCTCCTGCGACCATGGGTTACTCACCCGGGTACAAGTACTCGAATTCGTCGAGCTTCCCCAGGAACAAGGTCGCCTCGACCTCGTTGTCGCGGGTGTACAGTCGCCAGAGCCTCTTCTTGCGGTCCGCCTTGGTGGGTTTGTATCCCGGAATGGGCTCGGACGGCGCCTCATCGTCCTCGTCGTTCTCGGTGGGCACGCCAGCGGTGTCGATCTTGATGGTGCGGATCAAGCGGAACGCGCTGGGGCAGAGGAGCACCGAGGGGGATGTCGGCGACGGCGAGCAGTACATCCTCGTGGTCGAGGAACTTCTGTTAGCCTAGGTCTCCCAAGGTTACTTACAATGTTGTCGGTCTCCGGGATGGACGGCTCGTCATCGTGGATTTTGGACGATTTCTCCGCCTTTTTCTGTAATTAGTTGGTCCCGAAATCACGTGGGTGGTTGGCGTAGTGTCCCCTGCCGCTGGCTCCTTGAGGCACACGCCTAACTGGAGAGCACCAACACCCCCCTTGCACACACGCTAACATGATATCGCTTCCATTTGACTTCGGTACAAACACGCACAGCGCACACACACCAGGGCCCCGGCCCCCCATCCCCCTCCCCTGCTCCCTTCTTCTTTCTTCCTCTTTCGACAGCGGGGCCGAGCCCCCGGTATAAAGCAAGCTTCACACATAAACAGGGTGTTTGGGGGTAGGGTATAACCACCCGGCGCGCGCGGGGGCCTAGGGGTTTGGTGGCGGTTTTTGGCGTGATGGGAAAAAAAACTATGTGATGGCGGGGGGTGGGGTGCAGAAACGCTGTAGGGACAAGAATGTGGGGGGTATGGGAGGGATGGGTGCGGAAATGAACAAGGATGCGATGGGGTCTACCTCATCACAATACCCTTTTCGGCGTTGACCTTGTTGGGACGCTTGTCGAGATGGTCGAGACCGAGGGCGTCGTCGGCTGCCCATTTGTGATCGTACAGGACGTCATCTGAACGTTAGCCGAGGCGGTTCAAAAGGGAGGAAACAAGCCCTCGCTGCGGGCGCTCGACTCACTCTCTTCCACAGTGCTCGGCTGCTTAAACACAGTGCTCTGGACCAGGGCAAACTTGTACTTGACGAAATCCTTGTCCGAAACACCAATGCGCTCCTGTATCCTCGACTTTGTGTCCTCAAACTTTTCGCCTTCGTACAGCACAAACTTGCAGGGCACGCCGTGAGTCTTGCTGGGGTCCCGCGAGTAGTGGAACAGGTTGACAATCTTGGTGTTGTCGGGCGGGTTGATTTCCTCGTTGGGAATCTCCTCTGCGTACAGCTCGGCCGGGTCGGCGAGGTGGCCAATCATCTCGGCACTGGTGTACTCGCGCTGTGACCTGCCGTTGGTGGCAATGTCAAAGATGCGAATCTTGCCAGAGCCGCCAGGGACAAGCTTGACGGTGCGGCCGAGGTTGTCGGCAACGTCGTTGAACGTGGATGTCTTGGGCAGCAAGAACGAATGAGTTGCCTCCTCCTTGTTGTTGCGACCGGTCCACACAACCTTGAGCGACTTCTTCGTCTCGAGCTCGATGATAGAAATGTCCAAGAGCTCATAGTAGAGAATGACGTTGGGGTGCTGGCTGTAGTAGTTGGTCTGGGTGATGTCGGCCACGCTCTGGTTGAGGGCACGCTTGATCACCGCCTTGGGGGCACCAGTCTGCGGGTTGGAAGACGTAAACCGCAGCTTGAGAGGGTCGTGCTTGAGGTAGTCGCCGACACGGTGGGCCATGACCTCGTACGTCATCTTCTTGCTGAGCATGAGGTCAAACTCGGGCGGCGACTTGTTGCCGTCGTCGTAGCGGGGCTTGAACTGGACAAGGACGCGGTTCTGCAAGAAATCGTAGATCTGAGGGACCGACGAGTACAGCGACTGGGCCTCGAGGTCCGCCACTTCCTTGTCGGAAATGTCAACCTGGTAGGTGATAATGTCGCCGTCCTGAATCTCGTTTTGCTGGTACGTCTGCTTGACCTTCATGCTCTCAATCATGCCGGCCTTGATCTCCTCGTAGAGCTTCATCGGGGTCGACGATGGCCAACCCATCTTCTCCTGGATGAACGCGTACAGCTCGCTGGCCTTGCCATGCTTGTTGACAAACACCTTGCCCTGTCCAAGAAGAGTCTGGCGCGAGCAGTCAAACCACTTGAGGAATATCATGATGGGCTGGTTGTTGGGGTCGGCGTGAAGTGCGTTAAACTTGGCATGGTCAGGGTTGTAGTCGAGGTAGAGACGCAGGTCGGTGGCGCGGGCAGCCATGTTGTTGCGGATAAACTCCATGGTCTGGTTGTTGTCGCTGTCATGAATGGGGACGTCGGGGCGAATCGTCTTATTCTGGCGGTTGACAAGCACCCAGAGCCTAAAGTCGCGCTCGTTAATCTTGAAATACCCGGCGATGCGCTGCTTGAAGACGCCAAACGACTCGTTCTTCAAGACACGGAACGTGGGCAGTTCGGTAGCCGGGAGGTTCTTGTCGTCAAACGACGCAAGGTCAAAGCCCTGATGCCTAGAGAAGATCTCGTCGGTAATGACCTTGGCAGTCAGGTACAGGTGCTGCTCGTCCTTTTCCCTGCGCTTGGCCTCGAGCTGCTCGCGCTCGGCGTCCAGACGCTCCTTGAGGTGCTTGGGCGTGTCCACCTCGGTGAACGGCGCCAGCACCGTGTCGAGCTCCGTCTCGCGAATGTAGACCAGCATGTAGGCGTTGGTAAACTTCTTGAGCGTACGAGCCTGGGTGCGCTGGTGGGGAGGGATGAGGCCGTTGAGCATGTCGCCACCGTAGTTGTCCTCGAGGACCTCCTTGTCGGTGACGGGTGTGACGCGGTCATCGTCAAACTTGAACCAGCGGCCGTCCTTTTCGGGCTTGATGAGCGCAAAGTAGTGGCCGCCGTGCAGGTCACCCGAGTGCACAAGGACGCCGTGGAGCTTGTAAACGTGCGAGACTGAGCGGTCCGCCGACTCGTCGAGAAACTCGCCGAGGTCAATCTCAAAGGGAAACTCGTGACGGTCGTTAATCTTGACAAGGGCGTCCTTTTCGACGTCATACTCGAAGCGACGGAGCTGGAGGTGGAGGACTGGGGGGAAGGACTTGAAGATGACACCCTTCTTGGCGTCCTGGAGGCCAAAGCCCTCGGCCATGTACTTGTTGTCACCGTCCAGAGTCTCGACAGAGACATAGTCGCGGAACGAGTCGCGGAGGTTCTTGAGACCCTTGATGGTGAGCTGAATGTCGTAAAAGTCCTCAATGACCGACGATTCAAAGTCGACATTGATACACTTGATATAGTTCTTCATCTGGCCCTTGAAGAGCTTGGGGATGGCGTCCTCTGCTGGGGTGCCCTTCATCTTGACCTCGAGCTTGTCCTGGAGGATACGCGAAAACTCCTGGACGTCGTGCTGCATAAACGAGTCGAGCGACTTCCAGCCAAACGACTTTGTCAACTCAGTCGTGCCAACCGGCTGTCCCGAGGTCTGGAGGTGGTAAAAGACGCGCTGGAGCGCCAGTGCCAGGCTCTCGGAGGGGATATCCTGGTCGGTGGGGATCTGATACACTGCCTTGCGGAAGTAGTTGGTGCAGTAGAGCGACTGCAATAGCGAGTTCATGTAGCAAGTTGCGCCCTGGTTGCGAAGACCAACGTGTCCCGTCTCCTTCTTCGAGTCATAGTTGACAAAGTTGTGCCACAGGACGCCTGTTGGGTCCTTGAGGACACGCACAAACGCGGTAATCTCCACCTCGTCATTCTCAATCGTGGGGCGCTGCTTGCCGTTGGCGGCGTCTGGAGTGTACAGCTTGCGCAGGTCGGCAAAGCGAGTGAAACCCCAGTCGCACTCCTCAGCAACAAAGCGGTGGTGCGCATCTGCAGGCCGTGGTCAGCTTACCCAGCCACACAGCGAGATAAAAGCCCCCCCCCCCCCCCCCCCCATCAACTCACGGGACGAGGTGTGGATGGTCGGGTCCCAAGGGTTTGAAATCGCCAAGCAGAACTGGGCGCATGCGTGCCAGCCCTCGGGCGCCGTCTTGGGGTTTGCATAGTCCAGGTAGACCGATACCATGTCGTTGGGCTGCCCATTGGCGTTCCCCTGGGGGAACAGCAGGATGCGCCTGGGTTTCATCAGTACCACAGCTCAATCAGAGGTGGGGACAGACACTCTTGTACGCACCATTTGTGGCCACCACAGCTAAACTCTGGGCCCTGCAGCCGCTTTGGTTGCTGGCTCCACTTCTCGATACGCCACGTCTGCGCCTGGAAGTCTTCAATCTCGAGTCCCAAGTCGGGCATTGCCTTGGCAGCGAATGCCTCATCTATTAGGATTGTCAGTGGCCGTGCGTGTGCAGGGGGCAGGGGTTGCAATGTGGAAGGAACCTGCGTCCAACTATACTCACAGTCGTGAACATTGGGAAGCTCCTCGACCTCCATCGGCGCAGGGCTCTCGTCGATGATGATGTCGGTCACGTCGGTTTGCGCCTGCGGCTGCTGCTGCTGCTGCTGCTGTTGCTAAGTCAGCATTTGTGATCACATTGCGGTGTAGCGGAAGCAGCGGGTACGCGTCATAGCCTCCGCGAGCGCCGCATTCCATGACAGGACAGACAGCGAGAGAGATAGAACAAGACCTTACCATGGTGCGTTATGCCGCGACGTGGACGGTGGGGGGGAAGGGGGTGGAAAAGGGTGTTGCGGGGCTCGCTGCTCCGGCCGGGCCGATGGGAGAGGCTGGGGGTTACGGCGACGACGCGGGCTGCGGCGGCGAAGTGAAAGGAAGGGGCAGTGGCGAGAGGAGTGGTTGTAGTGGCTGACCCGCTAGGATATGGGGGTGCGGTGGAGAAGGGGAGGGGGAGGGAACTGTGGAGACGACGACGAGATGATGTATCGCCGTTGGGTTGCAGTTCAGAGAGGGCGGGTAATGCGGGGGTGGGTGAGTGGGTGAGGTGGTGGTGGTCGATGGGATCGATGACACCTGTCGGCCTCTCGGGCGTGCGTTGCAGAGCCCCCAGCCAGCAGGCCAGCAGCCCAGCCAGCAGCCCAGCCCAGCCAGCCCAGCCAGAACGAGTCCACACCCGTCAGCGCGCGGCGCTGGCATGCACCACGCGCGCGCGCTGGCTGCCCAAGGCATTCTGCTTCCGTCGCACGCGCACTGCCGGCGGACATAGCGGAAATACGTCACTGTGGCAAACCCCTTGCAGTCACTCAACGCTCGCACTCGCACCCAAAAAAAGCATGTGTCCCATGTCCTGGCTGTTATTTAAACGGCTCTCTCGTCCACTCGTTTGTCTCTCATCTCATACAACAACACTCGACAATGCAGGCAGTCAACATTATCTGATCCTCTTCCCCCTCCCTCCCCCTCCCCCCCTCCCTCTCCTCTATCCTCTACCCTTCCCTCCCCCCCCCCTCCCCCCAACATCCTCGGTTCTTAGATCCGTGACCAGGAGGACACATGCCTCGGCCGCTCCATCGCCTCTGACCCGACAAGGGATCATCGTGTTTGGAGACGGGCAACATCCGATGGCGTCCTCCGCCACCCTGCAAAGGTGGCGATTGGTCAATGTATGAGTCAACCCGTGGAAGAGCGCGTGGTCCCTCGTCTCGGCACCAACAAACTCGTCTTGAGCGCGTCGGTGTTGAAGCGGTTGGCCGCGCCCGTTCTGGGTCGCGGCTGGGGCTTGCTTAACGGGGGGGTCAAGGGTCACCCCTTTTGCGTGGCCGTCACAGAAAGTTCTGTGTGCGGCTTAACAGATCTCCCCCAAGCAGACATTCCGCCAGCCCACTCCTCATTCTATCCTCGTAAGTGTTTTTTCTCTTTTCTTTCTTTTCCCCCCCACACCCACCCACCCCAAACCAACTTGCTATGAAGAAAAACACTTCCTAATCGTATTCACACTGTGCGACTCTTCGGAGAATGTGCGCAAACACTTCAACGGTATCGGAGCATCCTACCTCTTCCCCCCACTCTTTTTTATTATTTGTCGAGGGAATGAAACGCTGACAATCTCAGATGCATCTTTCTATTGTTAAAACACACCGAGCCTCGAGCTCTGCCACGTCCCTTCGTTGCACTAACCCTCTTCTCTTTCTCGTCTACCCCCCTTCATACCCATACGTCCCCCGACTGAAGGGCACTAGTCGTCTTCACCGGCCAGCGCTTTCATAACGTGGCAGGATACAGTATCACTTCTCTATCCGTCGTCATTTTGGTCCGCGCCAGGGCTTTTCAGCCTATGGCTCGTGCCGCTTCGATGGGACGAGGACATGCTGCTCTTTTACTTCTTTTTGTCTTTCTTGTACACTTTTTTTCAAAGTCATGCATCCTAATGCACCTATGTTACAATACGGACATAACGCTGCAGCACAGAGTGACCGGCAACGCGCAGCGGGTGGGTCGTTGGAGGTTCAGGCGACGGGGTGAGGTGTGGTGGATTCGGTCGACAGTGGTTCGAGCCGACGAGGTTTTAAAGGTGTGGAGGAGAGGATGAATGGTAATGTTGCCGAGGTGGCGGTCGGATGATGGGAGGGGGGCATGCGGAATGCGTCGGCCGGCAGGGCAGGAGCGCAGGAGAGGGAGAGAGCAGGTGAGGGAGAGGGAGAGGGAGAGTGAGGGAGGAAGATGACTTGGGCTTTGCTTGCAGTCGATTACAATGAGAAGATCAAGCGGATGAGCTCGACCACGGCTGCGGGCGGGCGTCAGTCTTACAGAGCTCCTTGAGGGTACTAGTGACAGCTCTCGACAACACTCACTGCCGCCAACAAGCAGGAAGAAGAGGCCGGCAAGGACCCAGGTGCCGACGCCGCGCTGCTTGGAACGGGCAGGGCGTGTGGTTGACTTGCCAGCGGTCGCGCGAGCGACAAAGTTGGCGTTCTTGCGGCGGATATCGGCCTGGCTCGGCTGTTGGTCTGCGTCAGTACGTGGTTTAAGAGAGACACTGGGGTGTGGGCATGATGGTGTGGCCTGGTTGACGTGGCTGTAGGGGCGAGAGACGAAGGTGCGGGCCCAGCGGTCACCCAGCCAAAGTTCGGTGGAGGCGAGCACAACGCCGTCAAAGTGATGCTCGGGAGCATGAGCCAGCCCAGCGCATGCTCCCACAGCTGGCCATGACCCGCAACAAGGATGATACGGCCACGATGCTGGACTCACCATTGCTGGGTTAAAACGTTGGTTGGTAAAGTGTCGGTTGCAAGGGGATATTCACTTCGCGATGAACGCGACTCTTCAACTTGGCGGATCGACGCGCCTTGCTGGCACCCTGCTCGCGCCAGCGCGCCAAACGTCAGGTTACGTAATTTAATCGGGTCCGCATTCCACGGCCAAAGGCCTTGCATATGTTACTTGCTACAACGGCATGGCGCAGGGGCAGCTATGCTTCTGAACTTCCTGAGACGTCGGAGACGAGACCGAAGATCATGTGACAGGTGTGCAGCCGTGGCTGGAGGAATGGTGGAACGGCGAATGGTGTTCGTGTGGTTGAAAGTGACAGTTGGTGACATGATCGGCGGCCTGCGGTACTTCCTTGAACGCGGGCTTCAGGCCATGCATAGATTCATTCATTCTTACAACGGACAACATGTGGTATGATCTCGTTCTCATCTCTTCCGGTCACTTCTTCTCCCAGTCGTCGCCAAACTCCCTGTTTCCCAGCGTCAGTTGTCAAGTCTTGTCGCGCAAGCCACCAACTCACCACTTGTAACAGTCGACACAGTCCGACTCGGCGTGTGCCCTTGGCACACCGCCATGCTTCTCCCAACCTCCTCCGTCGTCGTCGTCACCGTCGCTGCCATCGTCCTTGTCGTCGCCGCCCTTGGGACCCCGTCCCCATCCCCACCACTGGCCAAAGACCGAGCCCACGCCCCAGTCCCATCCCCCGTCGTCATCCCACGGGTCGTCCGCGGGATCCTTCGGGTCCTTGTCGGGATTCTTGGGCTGCTTCGGGTTCTTGGGGTCCTCGGGGTCCTGCGGCTCCTTGCCCACCGGCCATGGGTCGGCAAGGACGCGCGAAATGACCTCGGAGATGCGGTGGGTACGAATGTCCACGCTCCAGCCCTTGACGGTCACGGTGTCGTACAGGATCGTCTGGCCGGTGTGGCATTTGGACTCGAGGGCAAAGCCAGCAGCGTAGCACCCAGAGTACGTGCCTGTGCACGCGCCCATTGGGATAGGGTCGGCGGTGTGGTAGACGTGTACGATGCCAGACATGTCGGCAGGGACGGCGGGGGGCTGCGGGAGGTGCAGGCGGCGAGTGGGCAGTCGGTCGCCGGGAGCTTCAAAGCCGACGGCGGGGGCGCCAAAGGACTGCGCGATGAGGGCTGCGAGCGAACCACCCAGCTTTGATTGTCAGCCTTGGCTGTCGAGATGAGATAGCACAACTTACCGAGTGGCCAACGAGCCAAATGTTGGCGTCTGGGTACAGGTACGTGACGTTGTTGTAGAGGCTGGTGCCCACCGCGGCGTAGACACTCTCCTCGACGAGCGCAGTCTCGACACAAGATTGTCCACACTTGTATCCGCCAGCGTAGCAGTCGCAGACTGTCGACCAGGAAAAGTCGACGCGCGCACAGCAGCACGAGAACATGAGGTTGTCCTGTTTGTCAACTGCCATCCAGTCAGAACTTAGCTCACGTTAAACTTGTCATTCTTGGATGTCGGGCCTCCAGAGCCGAGCACACCGGCACTCGTGCCCTTGATGGCGATGACCACTGTCGAGTTGGTGTCGTCGGCAAACACGTGGCCACGCAGGCCGTCGGAATCAGGCTCCCAGCCGAATGGGATGCTGTTGTTGAACCCAGCGAGCGGGTACCACCCGTCACTGTCCGGTGTGACGTAGGCGTTGCTGGCCATCTTGGCAAGGGACAGCAGCGTCTGGCGGTCGGTGACGTCCGGCGCGTCGACCTCGACGTCCTCCCATCCGCCGGCGAATGCCTCTTGGTCGCTCCACGCCACCACCTCGTCGGGCTGGGGCATGCGCGGCGCGATCCATCCCGTGGCATTCGCGAGCCCGGTGGAGCGCAGCGCGCGCGCGGCGTGCGCCCAGCTCAGCATGTGTGGCGGGCGGGTCTGCGGCCTGCGCATCGTGATGACCTTGGTGCGCACCACTAGCGGCGCGTCTAGGTCCCAGCCTGCCATGCCTTCGAGGTCGTCAAAGCCGGCCTCGGCGGCGCTGCTCGCGCGAAACGCAGAGGGCCCAGCCGCGTCAGCGAAGAAGAGCGGGGCATCCTTGTCCAGGGCCTGCGAGTGGGCATGTCGAGCGGAGAAGGTGACCTCCTTGGACAAGGGGACAGCCGGCTCAGGCGCAGGCGTGTCCAGGTAGAGTTGTGGGAGTAGTAGAGGTGTAAGTTGGGCAAAGAGTGGGATACGCATTGTGGGTGGCGAAGAGTGGCAAGTGGAGAGATGCCAGCGCTTGGCAGATAACGACGCAGCGCAATCCAGGCACCACTCAGACTGGGGGGGAAGCGGGAGCAAATGCAACACCAACAACACTGTGGCGTGCCGTAACGAGTGGCAGTGGATGTGTTGTCGTTGTCGTTTACGCGATGGAGGCGTGCTCTGATGCAGAATGGATGCAAAGAGATTTGAGAAGAGTAGACATGCATGCATGATGCGGACGCGTGGTCCTGTCTTCCGCCAACACGTCATCAGAACCCAGGGTGATGGTGAAGCGAACGGCACTGTAACAGTCGGAGCTTCTGGCGAGAGCGCACACTCGTGAGTTTCGCCACTCGTTCTAGCCAGTGGCCACTGGCTCCAAAGGGAACAAGCTACTAGCGTTGCATATCGTTCTTCTTATAAAACTACTTCTTTACTCTGAATGCAATTATCCTCTCCGCCATGTACATTATTAAACTCGGTGAAAGGTCGGGAAGTTCAGGAGGGGTGAATAGGTCGCGCCTCACAGCTTGAGGTGAACGAGAGCGACGAGCCAACCGAGGCCGAGGCCGTTGAGGAGGCCCTGCACAAGGCCGGTGGCCGAGGAGGGGTGGAAAGCAGCGTCGGTGCTGAGGGAGACGCCAAGCTTGTTGAGGAGAATGACAAGAAGCTGGACCAGCTCGCCGTCGCTACCGGCATACTTGAGACTGTTGAAGAAGGGGCAGAGAGTGCTCTGGAGGTTGAGGGAAGTAGCGAGGCTGCCGACGAGAATGGTGAACTCGGTAAAGACGGGAACGCTAGATCCCTGAGCATGTTAGAATTGGTGTAGACAAGACAAGAGGGGGGCGAGGGAGGCGAGGGAGGCGAGGAGACGAGGCAAGGCCAGTGAAGGTGACAAAGCAGGGAAGAGACGATGTGGGGGACAGGTGAAGGAGGTGAGGGTGAGGGAAGACAAACCGAAGGTACTTACAACAACAAGGAGCTGGGTGGTGATGGGAATCGAGGCAAAGTAGCCGAGAAGAGCGTTGCTGAGCTCGATAAGGAGGGCATTGATAACGTTGCCGTCCACACCGCTCGAAAACAAGGCGGCTTCAGCGCTGCCGGAAACGATGACCTTAAGGGAGTAGGTGAGCTGGTTGAGTTGGCCAGCCACAGTGAGGAAAGAAGGTGACGAGGTGGGGTATCCCTCAATGACAGTGATGAGGTCCTTGATGAGGCCGGCAACATCGACGGCGGGAGGGGCGAGGGGAGCGCGCTTGAAAATGCCGCCGGGTCCCTCATCGTCCTTGTTGACGTCGAGAATGTGCTGGATAAGAGCAAGGATCTGCTGAACGACCGAGGCGCACTTGGTGGGGGGAAGGCTGCCGGTGAGAACGTTGTTCAAAGCAATGGCAAACACCGCGAGAGCCTCATCTGAGCAGGCCGAGGGGATGATGGTGTCAAGGTTGGTGGAGTCCGAAACAAGGCCGTTCGACAGGAGAAGGTTGCCGACAAGGGTGGTGAGATCGACGACCTTGTCGTTGGGAGCACCATAGTTGGCGAGGATGGGGCCGATAAGAACGATGGTGTTGAGGGCGGTGCCACTGGTGTAGCCGGTGAGGATGGGAAGATCACTGAGGTCGAAGCCGGGGCCTGTGAGGAGGGGGATGTGAAGGCCAAGGAGGTTGAGGGGCTGAGGAGCGGGGGAAGGTGCCGCGGCCACCAAGGTGGCAAGGAGGGAAAGGACGATGGTTGAGAACTTCATGGTGGAGAGAAGAAGGCTTGCTGTGAGGATGATAGCTATTGTGCGTAGAGGGAAAGAGGGTGGGGTGGATGGGTGTGTGGATGGGTGTGTGGATGGGTGTGTGGATGGATGGATGGGTGGGTGGGTGTGTTACGACGAAGAATAAAAGTAAAGAGTGTGTGAAAGAGAAAGACTGGGGATGCAAACAAGAGACCGGGCAGTCTTATATATGTACAGAGGGGGGGGGGGGGGGCTGCCTGGCTGGTATGGGGGAGAGGGAAGGCGCGGGGGGGGGGGGGGGGGGAGGAGCAGACGGGGGAAGGCAGACGGGGGAAGGCAGAGGGAAGGCAGAGGGAAGGCAGAGGGAAGGCGGATGGGTGGGAGGGAAGACAAACGGTCCAGTCAACCTTTGAGCGCCACAGTGTGTACTGTGTGTGTGCACACCGTTTGTCGACACACACACGGCTGTTTGCAACTCCTGAGGGCCTGAGACAGCGGCGATCCCATTCAGAGTGATCGAACTGACAGCCGTGTGGCCGCGTGTGGCCCATGGCCCATGGGGCATATGGGGGGTCAGCGCACACCGAATACTCATCACTTTAACACTTTGAGCACTCTGGTCAAGATCCGGCCGCCTTCTCTGGCCCAAACTGCTGATCGGCTGAGCTGTGAGGTGCTGAAACGAGTTCTCCATCTTACGGTAAATATACATCAATGCCACGCGCATATGTGCCTTGCGCGCGTGCGCCGTGCATGCCGTGAAACCTGTTACACGTGATAGTGCGCATCTCCAATTCCTCCAACGATCCCACAGCGACACAGCAGGCATCTTGTCGTGGCCCCGGTCGAGCAGAGGGTCAGCAGCCGGCCAGCCGGCTCGTGCAGTCGTGTAAGGCCCCTCGCCGCGCGCGTGAGCCTGGAAATCGGCTACAGATCCACCGATAGGTGTCCACAGCGTCGTAATGGTGAGAGGAAGACACAGGTGCACAGTGGGTGCCTCGGCGTGTCGCAGTGTATAGTGTGTTGCCCGCCGTGCGACCTGGCGGCTCATTGGCGCTGGGGCTGGACAAGACGTGTTGGCTCTGATGGTCGGGCCGTCTTTGAAGTCTTGACCGACTGCGGCTCGGGCATCGATTGCTGGCTGCGTGAGTACTCTGCTGCCATCAAACTAAAGGACAGGGACGTACACGACGGCCTGGAACATCACCACCAAAGATGGCCTGAAACTCTGTCGCGTCCTCCACCACGTCGGCTGCGCGGGCGACAATGACGCTCCCCATCTCGTCCATTGCACGCTGGTCGACTTTCGGCAGCGCGTCCCTTGTTGCCCATCAGCACAGAACGGTGGATCATCCCCAAAGTGAACCCACCTGTTGCCTCCTTTCACTGCCTCCATCCACTTGTGCACGACCGCGGCCGCTTTGCGAAACTCGGTGCGCTGACTGGCCGTCATGCCGCGGATGAAGAGCATTTTGGACGACGCTTGGGACGTCGTGGCGTCGGCATCGGATTCGGCAAGGGCAGGAAAGTAGCTCTGAGCCGTAGGCAGCACGCGTGCTGGGTCGGCAGTGGAGAGGGCGCGTGCAATGTGCTGGACGGTCAGCAGGAGCACAACGGAAAGGTGAATCGACAACTCACCGCCTTGCGGAGCTCGAGGGACAGGTGGAACAGCTCGGCCTCGTTGTTGTCCTCATCACGCGCACACCGGTGGATGACCTCGGTCTCGGATCGAGTGAGCCTGGCGTGTGGTGGACACTTGGCATTCGTCGCCTCGGCGACGGCGGCCTGCTCACGGACCGCACATGCGAGGAGGGTGATGTGTGCGACGAGCTGGAGCGCGGTCGGGAGGTGGGTGAGGAGCACTGTGGGTTCGAGGTGGAGACGGAGTGTATCGAGAATGTCTTGTGGGGTGGGTCCCCTTGACTGTGTTGCAGATGCCATGGCCGTGGTGGGAAGTGACGATGGGGTTGTTGTTGACAGTGTTGTGAGGCCTGTGTACTGTGTGCACCACCCGTTGGACGCGCCGCGCGCCGGTGGAGGTTGCGCGCGCGATTTCGGTGGCAAGATTACCCCGCTTTTTTGGCCGCGGCCAAGGTGTGTACGGTGTGCAGGTGCTCCTTGTCCAGATACAAAATGCATGCTATGAGATACGAACTGGCTACTCGTCCTTGACAACCTTGGAGAAGAGCTGCGAGGCAACCTGGTGGGTCAGTCAGAAACAAGCGAGACGTCGTACCCACCGCAGGGTTCATCTCGACACCGGCGGCCTGGAGCTGCGCCATGAGCTGTGTCGTGTTAGTGTTCCGCATTGACTGTCGTCTTGAGCACGGAGCAGAGGACAGGCTGAATACGACCAGTGTCCCCGGGTCGCATGCAACAGCCATGAGACTCACGTTCTTGCCAGCCTCGCGAATCTCGGGGTCCATGCCGAGCTTGAGGAGCTGAGGAGTCGTGGGAGGCTTGGTGGTGTCAATACCTGGGCAGTGTCAGCGGCATGTGACGGGGAAGGAGTATCGCGTGTTCAAAGCTCGCGGCTCGCCAGCTCGCCAGCTCTCGACAACGACCCAGCCTCCGCCACCAAAGGGCCACCGAAATGGCCAATGTCGGGGTCGGAACCTGGCACTGTCCACCGGTGTACCTCCAAGACACTGCCGACCAAAAGACTAACCCTTCGAAGTCATAAGCTCTCCAAGCTTCATGATAGCCTCGCGGGCACCGTCGTGGTTGGCAATCTTCTCGCGGAGAGCGTCAATCTCGGGGTCGGGCTTCGCCTCTGTCGACTCGGAGCGGGCAATGAGCGAGACGTGGAAGGCGCGGACAGGACGGGCAGCGACAAAGGTGCGCGCAATGGGGGCCACGCGGGCGGCACGGAGGACACGGAGAGAGGCAAAGGCGGACATGGCTGGGGGAGCTGGGGGGGATATGGAGGTGTTGTTAGATGAGTGAGTCTCATCTTTCTAGCTGTGGGGAGAGGGTCCACTTTTCCGGAGAGCATCGGCATGTCCGAATAATGTTTACGTAAGCCACTCTGTTCAGCCCATGACGACAGCGTGTGTGTGTGCGGTGCAAGCGCCAGATCAGAGATATGGTGTCCATGTTGTCGAGGCTTCTTGTCAACAGCACACACACACACTCTCTACCAGCTTGCCCCTGTCCACAACCGCAATGACAACCTATGGCGAGTGCAAGGTCACACTCGAGGATGGCACGCACTACGATCTCTCGTCCCTCGCGTCCGCTGCGAGCGACTACGACGCCGACTCGGGAGGTGGCGAAGACTTCAAGCTCAACGTCTGCCGCGGCGTCGTGAGCGAGCTCTGGAACGTCGACGACCCCGAAAAGGTGGGAGGATTTATCAAGCGGCCTGATGGCAGTGGCGACTTTTCTCTCGGGTAGGTAGATACATGGTGGTTGTCAACGCTTGCGACGGCGGCGACCGTATCGGCACCGCACCGCATTCACACTGACATGCGCAGTTCGGTCTCCAACAATCTCACACTTGCGCCTGGAACACGTGAGCCAATGCTCATTTACGAGCATGGCTCCAAGTGTCCCTCGAATGAGAACGAGTATGCCTCGACAGCTATCAGGGTGGGTTATAGCGGTCTTGTTCTCGAGCTAACCCATCCAGTTCGTCTGCAGCCCGTCCGACTTTGGTGCCGGCACCCCACGACTCCTTGCCGCTCTGCCTCCAGGCGACAGGGCGTGCCACTTCTTCTTTGAGTGGAAGACGCATGTCGCCTGCCCGGCCAACCCACGCGCAGAGCTCGAGAGTGGACATGTAGTCATCTTCTTCGTCTTGTGAGCATCACCGCCGTTATCGGCCCCCCTCCCCCGTTGCTGACAGCCACCAGCATTGCGATCGCCGTTCTGACCTGGTTCGGCGGCCACACCCTCTACAACAGGTTCTTCCTGGGCCGCCGGGGCCTCGAGCAGTTCCCCTTCCCCAGCTGCGAGTGCAGGAAGCCCAAGGTGCAGCTGCAGTCTACCCAGGAGGAACGTCCTCGCGCCTCGCGTTGGGCGTGGAAGCGCCGCTCCCAGCGTAGCGGATACAGCCACCTCCCGACAGAACACGACGAGGAGGAGGCGCTTGCGAGCCGGTTCTCGCTTGCCGACGACGACGACGACGACCACGACGATGCCCGTGCTCTCGGTGGCGAGGTGGATGCCTGGCGCGGACACGGACACGGTGGAGCGCGGTCGTCCGAGGAGAATGGCGAGAGCAGGGTGGGTGTCCACCAGGGTCTTGTGAACCTTTAGAGTGTGGTTGATATGTATCTTGGTAGATGGTGGAGTAGCGTGTGGGCACAGGTGGTGTATAGAGCCTGGCAGCCATCAGCGGGGAGCCGTGGGTGGCACAGTCGGTAGCAGAGCGCAAGCGCTGCCCATCGCCAAGGGCACCTGTGGGAATCCACATGCATAGGTGTAGGGCGACACATGAGTTAAGAGGTGCAAGCTGTGGGCCATGAGGTAGTGAGACTGCGATTTCTGTAACCCGCATGCTCTCGTCTCACTCATCCTCGTCGCCGCGTGCGGCGACGAGCACAGCCAGCAGGATCCAAGCCGTGTCCATGACCTTGCTGTCGCATTGGAGACTGGGGCCAGCAAGAAGGACAAGGCGGCGCGCAACCTTGACAGGGTTCTGCTGGTCAGCGTGCCGTACCTCGCACTGGCCACTTACGAGCTCCTCGCCTTCCTTGGTATCCTCGACAGCCAGCTCCCGCTCATCGAGCATCGAGACGCTGCGGTCGTCGTCCATGGCGTGGTATCGTGGGCACCTTGGATCTGGCAGCGGTAGCCCGTCGCACCGAGAATGGCAAGGGCAAACATGACAAAGTCTTCGGTATCGTCTGATCTTCTTCATCTCTTGCAAGCATGTATCTCTTCTGGGTGTTCATCAATGGCACGTATATCAAGTCGCCTCCGTTTGTTCAGTCTGGTGATTGAGTGTAGCTCAGTAGTCGACCACAAGGACACGACTGCGAGCCACCCGAGCCGTGGCACTCATGTGCTCAATCAGTCGTTAGTTATGGTCTTGCCCGCTCCCTCTTGCCTCTATGCAAAACATCCCTTCCTGCCTCCGGCCACCGGCCGTTCCAGTGCGCTCTTATCAGGAGTCAGGCTGGGCGCGGATGCTGTAGCTGGCCCAGGTTTGCGGCAAAAGGAGATCAGGATGTGAGTAGGGGGTATACGACTCGAAGGAGTTGCGATGATCACAAGACCTCACAGGCTGAGGGGAACCACAACCAACAGTGCGTACCATACCCTCTGTCCACAGGTTTATTGCACTCGCTGGACGCGCTGAGCACACGAGTATGGGTGTATTGTAAACAGGAAAGACCCTCTTAAACGACCCAACCTTGTTGTTGTGGCGGTCCCCACCGCCCACAGGCAGCCCGCGGCCTCGTCGTCCACCCGGGCATTCGGCATTATCCTCGGTGTGGCATCTCATACGCAGACCGTTCCATTGGACCCGGGCCCATGCTACCACCAAGCCATTGCTCAACGGTGTCCACCTTGCTCGACCTCCACAAAGCCATGCTCCGCAACCTCAGGCCTCTGCTCGCCAAGGCGCCCGCTGGGCGGCCGCTCCGCCCCCTCGCCGCCAGGTCGCTTGCCAGCCAGGCCGACCAGCCCATCCCCGTCCGCGCTCGCACCATTGAGGAGTGAGTAGTCACTGCGATCCTCCCGACGTCCGAACCCCGGTTGGACCGAGCAACGCAGGCGGACACACGCACGCATGCAACGCGCACATGCAAACGCCGACATGGAGACATAGGGTGCTGACAGTTGTTCCCAGGCTGCACAGCCTCCCCGCAGAGGAGATCCTTGCCGAGGTCGACGGCCGCAAGAACGCATCCATGCGTCACTTCACCGGTACGTCAGCCAAGCAAGCAAGCTACACCAGTTAGTTGCTGACCCGTTCACCCCTACAGTCAACTTTGGTCCCCAGCACCCTGCCGCGCACGGTGTGCTCCGTCTTATCCTCGAGCTGAACGGAGAGGAGATTCTCCGTGCCGACCCCCACATCGGTCTCCTCCACCGTGGTACCGAGAAGCTCATCGAGTACAAGAACTACACCCAGGCCCTGCCTTACTTTGACCGTCTCGACTACGTCTCCATGAGTGCGTCAACGAGGGGCTGCCGCTACTGCCGCTACTGCTGTACAAGGTGCTGACATTCTTCGCAGTGACCAACGAGCTTTCGTACACCCTCGCTGTTGAGAAGCTGCTCAACATTGAGGTTCCCGACCGTGCCAAGTGGATCCGTACGCTCATGGGCGAGATTACGCGTATCCTCAACCACCTGATGGCCGTGCTCACCCACGCCATGGACGTCGGTGCGCTCACCCCATTCCTGTGGGGTTTCGAGGAGCGTGAAAAGCTCATGGAGTTTTACGAGCGTGTCTCGGGTGCGCGCATGCACGCGGCGTACGTGCGTCCCGGTGGTGTCGCGTTTGACCTGCCCCACGGCCTGCTCGACGACATTTTCAAGTGGGCGACCCAGTTCTCCACGCGCGTCGACGAGATTGAGGAGGTCATCACCGGAAACCGTATCTGGAAGAACCGTACCGTCGGCGTCGGCAAGGTGACTGCCCAGCAGGCGCTCGACTATTCGTTTACGGGTGTCATGCTCCGTGGCTCGGGTATCCCCTGGGACATCCGCAAGGTCGCGCCGTACGACGCGTACGACCAGGTCGAGTTTGACGTGCCCGTGGGCAAGAACGGCGACTGCTACGACCGCTACCTCTGCCGCGTGCAAGAGTTCCGCGAGTCGCTGCGCATCATTGACCAGTGTCTCAACAAGATGCCCACGGGAGCGTACAAGGTCGACGACCACAAGATTGTGCCCCCGCCCCGCGCGTCCATGAAGGAGTCGATGGAGGCCCTCATCCACCACTTCAAGCTCTTCTCCGAGGGCTACTCGGTGCCCCCCGGAGAGACCTACACCGCCATCGAGGCCCCCAAGGGCGAGATGGGCGTCTACCTCGTGTCGGACGGCACCAACCGTCCGTACAAGTGCAAGATCCGTGCCCCCGGTTTCGCCCACTTGGCCGGTGCCGACTTTATGATGCGCAACGCCTTCCTCCCCGACGCCGTCGCCATCATCGGTACCATGGACCTTGTGTTCGGCGAGGTTGACAGGTAGACAGACGACACACACGGGACAGAGACTTTAACGCTGGTGTAAGGACAGATAGAGAGCAATGCACTAGTATCGCAGGAAGGGGAGAGTGCAGAGCCCGTGTTGCGCGCGTTGCAAAGTGGCGCCGCCAACCGCCCGAGACTGACCCAGTTGTTCATGTGTGGTTATGCATGATGACTCCTCCGACTCCTCTATGAATACATTAAACGGCTACCCAGCAGCCATTCCAGCCTCGCCTCGCCTATGCACAATCCGCGCCACGTGCGTGTGCGCATGTGTTCTCTCTAAGTGGGGTGGGTTTCTCGGCGGCCCTTCATTATCACTGATATGGTTTGTCAGCTACAAGCTTCTCTTCGCCCAGCTGGGAATGCGTATACGCACAGGACGCACCAACTCGTCACGAGTGACCTGGTCGGCAGAGGCGCCATCGTCAGTCGCGAGGCCGAGGTATCCGGCGGTGAACACGCGCATGATGCGGTTCCATCTCCGGAGGGTCGGGAGGTCGAGCGCCGACGCGTCGTCCTGTGAGGGAATCAGTGTCAGCTGGGCGGCTCCCGCGAATAAAAGGCGATCTCAGCTTTGCTCCTTACCTTGAAATTATGCCACACGTGGGGGAACGGGTTGGGAATGACGTGCAGGACGGGCACGCCGCGGTGGAGGAACGGCCGGTGGTCGTCGTCAATCATGCCTGCCCAGCCGCGGAACTCGCGGAACCACTGGGCGTCGGTCGTGTCCACGAGCCCCGCGGCGCGGAGGCGGCGGTCTGCCGATCGCATCTCCTCAAACAGCCAGTCCGTCTCGCGGTAGTAGCTCTGGATCTTGGGGTTGGGCGCGCCCAGCAGGTCGAGGAGGACGAGCACGTCGATTGTGTCCAGGACGTTGGGCGTCGGCGACATGCGCCGGCGCGCCAGCGCGTGGTGGTCCGGCAGGTACGTGTCCTCCCACAGCTCGGCGAGGTAGCGCGAGCCATACACCGAGTCGGTGTCTGTCCACTCGTGAAACGCCTCTTCGCCGTCAAAGAAGACGAGCTGGAGCGTCGTCTCGGCCGCCTCGACCTCGTCCAGGTGCGCGGTCAGGATGGGCGTTCCGGCGTCCATGCGCGCCTTGCGCGCTTGCAACAAGGGGGTGAGCGCCTCGGCAACGTCCATGAGCGTTGCGCACGGGGCTGCAGAGTCGGTTGCGCCGATAAACTGAAAGACCAGAGTCAGTGGAATGTGGGTTTGGGTGAAGCGGCTGTCGGTCAAGTCCGCCGCAGCCGCCGCTGCCGTAGCGTAAAGCGATGCCACTCACGTCGCCTTGCTCAAACCACTTGGAGTCAAAGTGCGCCGAAAGGACAATCTTGCGCGGGGCGTCCGGGTCAAACGTGTACACCAGGTTGGTGAAGGGGAGCTCGCCTTGGGGCGTCTCCATACGCGTCGCGTACTGTGGGTGTTAGCTGGGAGGACACATGCTGCCCGCGGTTCAGCTCACCTTGTCCTCGTGCCATCCGAGCTTGGTGAACACAGACGAGATGTACTTTTGCACGGCGACGCTAGAGGGGACATGTCAGTATGCCGCGCAAGAAGGCCGATGCGAGAGGTGTGGCCAGCGAGATGTGGCCAACGAGGGGAACGCACTTGCCGTCGGTACCAGCTTCGTCGGTCGTGTCAGCTTGGCCGGTATTGTCAACAATCCAGCTGCAACTCACAGACACGGGGGACGAGCAGCTTGGCCAAATGCCCACTGTCGACACTGTCCCACTCTGGCGGGTCCAGCGCTGCAATCGCGTTGACCTGGTCGTCGGAAAGCGCGCGGAAGTCGCGCCGCTCGCGCTGGCCATGTGCCTCCACCACGCCCGCCTCGGCCACAAGTACCCAGACGAGCAGTGTCAGCGGTGCAAGCGCCAGCACACGCATGAGGATGCTGGGCAAAGAGCCGTGGCTCCGATGTGAAGAGCGCATCGGGTCGACGGCTGGGGGGAGAGCGATGTTGTTGATTGAGGCAGATGGGGAACGAGATGTGGGATGGCTGTTGCTCGCGCGTACCGTACACTCGTCACCGTGTGCGCCAAAGTGAGCGAGTGGGCGCGCCGGTGGCCCGTGGGCGACAGGCAGCGGGCGGAGGCAATTCCGCATCGAGCCCGCCGCTGGCCGCTGGCCGCTGGTCGTCCCGACATGCCAAGATTCAGACGACCTTACCGGGGGTCTTCCCGTAACAGAACAGTACAAAGCTGCTAGAGAGTAGCAGCATGGGCAGCTGCGGCAGTGGCTTTGAGACGATGCATTTTCTACTGGAGCCAAAACAGCGGCCCCGACACTGCGACGGCCGTCCTACGCCGCAAGAGTCCTACACTGTCCATCTACTCGTCGCCGGAAGCCTCAAGGTACTTTCCGCGGATGTCCTTCCACTGCTTCTGCGGAGACGTTAGCGTGTTTATTGGAGAGGCCAGGAGGCGGCAGGGAGGACACAGTGGCACAGCGCTCCGACGGACGGGTCCTTCTGTCACAACTGGCCCCCCAGCCTGTTCTTCTGGATCCCGCCGACACTCACGCCCTTGTTGTGCTCATCCCACCACGACGAGGTGATGACGTCGAAGCCAATCGAGAAGCCGAAGGCGCCGAGGAAGATGGTGGGCACGTAAATCGAGTTACGGCGGAAGAAGATGTTGTAGATCTGTTGGAGGGGGAGGAGTGTAATGGAGGGCAAGACGTAGATTCAACGTTCAACCGTCCGTGGCACGCGGTTTGCAAGTGGTCGGCGGGCAGGACAACAGGCCAAGGCGGTTGATGCGCCATGGCAAAGCGCGGGTCACGAGCATCCATACGCCAGAGAGAGGGACCATGCACCGAGAGTCGACAGGTTGACAACATGTCAATGTTCGCGCGGTTGGCGAGAGATGTGTGTGTCGGGAAAGTTCGGGGGAGAGTTGTATGTTGAGAGGAAGATGCAGTGTGAGCTGTTGCACAAGAGGACGCTGCCCGACACTGCAGCGGTTGCTTGCGTGCGCAGGCGATGTAAGTACTTACGGCCGACATTGTTTTTGGGAGTGAGCGGGGTGTTGGATGAGAACGACGAGGCAGTTGAGCGCATGAGTGAGCAGCGAGCGAGCGGCGGCGGCCTCTGCCTGCACCCAGCAGCGAGAGCAGCCAGGAGCCAGGCCATCCGTGTCCAGGGCCAATGAACTGGAGGGCGACTGGAAGGATGCGGATGACCCAGAATGCCACAACTGACGATAACGCCGAATTGCCGGGGCGGTGGGTGGAGGGTGGCTCGTCCCCGCGCGCGCCTGCCTGACGTCCCCCTGGTGTCTGAGCGGCGGCGGCGCGTCGCTGGCTGGCGGCCTGGCGGGGAGGTGTGTGATGGGTGTGTGGTTGTGTCCCTGTGGCGAGCGAGCCGTGTGGCCGTGTGGCCGTGTGGTGGCCGGCCTGGGTGCAGCTGGGTGGGCGCGCGGCGCACAGCGGCGGGGCTCTCTGCCTGGCTGGCGGGCGGCACACACCCACCCACCACCACCCACCACCACCACCACCACACCTCCTGCAACACAACCTCTCCATATCTACACCCCCATCCCACCCTCCTCCTTCTTCTCCCTCCACCCCTCTATCCATCCTCACACACACCCCGTCTCGCCCATCACCACCACAGCACTCCGCCAACACACATACCCCCTCTCTTCTCTCCCAACACTCCCCCCACCCGTCAGTCGCGCCGGGCCCTCCCAACCAGCTCCACGCGCTCCAAGCAACGCCGTCACCGCTTCCCAGTGGTCCAGGACACATCTTGGTCTCAGACATCATCCCACACCCCACCCACACCACACCTGGACACACTCTCTCTACACCCCGTGTCCTGCTAGACATTTATAGAGACCAGCGTCAACACCCGTCTGCGGCCTGTCACGGAACCCACGTCAACGCACACACTCTCCCCTCCCCTCCCCCCCAGCCTCCCGTTGTGACGGAGCCCCCCATTCCGTCCCAGCGCTCCCGCTTCCCTCCCACCGACCAGCACACCGTCGCCGACTGCCATCGCGCGCGCACCACATAGCGCCGCTGACACCGACGACAGTGACTAGACCGAGCCCAACATGAAAGGGCTGAAGAAGGCAGTGGTGAGTCTTCCATAAAGTGCTCAGCGGCCAAGACGCGCCGACGTGTCGAATTGGGCAACGAGGAGGAGACGGAGGAGACACAGAGAGACAGCATCCCTCCTTCCCGGCCCCGCCATCACACGCGCACACACACATACACACACACACCATGTCCCCACGCATGCTCCCTCCCTCCTTACCATCCACTAACACTCTTACAGCTGTCTAGGACAAAGGCCAGCTCGGACGGTAAATCCAAGCCATCCGGCTCCAAGCAAGGCAACTCGCCATCGCCGGGACCCTCGTCCCCTGCGTCTCCCGCAAACACCAACTCCGCTCCCCACCCTGACTCTGCGACAGCCGCCAACACGGCGTCGTCGTCTCTCGCCTCTGCCATGGGCGCGCCGCTGACCCCGCGACGCTCACCCGTCTCGGACAAGACATCGCCTGCACCCCCACTTGTTATTATCTCGGGCGCTCCACAGCAGTCCAACACCGAGATGCCTGCCGACCCCATCCCGCACTCGCCTCACACGCGCGGCTTTGGCTCCCCCGACCGCGCCCTTGGCCCAGACGGATCCCCCACTCCCCCAAAGGCCAACAACCCCCTCAACCGCCTCCGTGGACCAAAGGACACAATCCCCATCGTCGGCAAGACGCCCCGCAAGCAACGCTCGTCGCGTTTCTATGTCACCGAGCGCGTTGACATTGAAAAGCTCCCCAACTTTAACGAGGTCCGCCCAGAGGAGCGCAACGACCTGTTCATCCAAAAGCTCCAGCAGTGCCACGTCGTGTTTGACTTCAACGACGCCAGCTCAGAGCTCCATGGCAAGCAGGTCAAGGCGCAGACCCTCCACGAGATGCTCGAGTACATTACACAGCAGCGCAACGTCATCACCGAGTCCATCTACCCCGAGGTGGTTGGCATGGTAAGTGCACAGACCCTCCTCGCCTTGTTCCTTTTCAACATGCTGATAACACACCCTTTTTTTTCTTCTTTCCAGTTTGCTGCCAACCTGTTCCGCAGCATCCCCCCGCAGGTCAACCCCACTGGGGACGCGTTTGACCCCGAAGAGGACGAACCCGTGCTCGAGCTGGCGTGGCCCCACCTCCAGATTGTGTACGAGTTCTTCCTGCGGTTTGTCGAGAGCCCCGACTTTAACATCAACGTCGGCAAGAAGTTTATCGACCAGACGTTTGTGTTGCAGCTGCTGGAGCTCTTTGACTCGGAGGACCCCCGTGAACGCGACTTTTTGAAGACGACCCTTCACCGCATCTACGGCAAGTTCCTCAACCTGCGTGCGTTCATTCGTCGGTCCATCAACCACGTCTTCTTCCAGTTTGTCTACGAGACGGAGAGGCACAATGGTATTGCCGAGCTGCTGGAGATTCTCGGCTCGATCATCAACGGTTTCGCCCTCCCGCTCAAGGAGGAGCACAAGATCTTCCTCACCCGTGTTCTCCTGCCCCTCCATAAGGCCAAGTCTCTGGCCCTTTACCACCCCCAGCTGGCGTACTGCGTTGTCCAGTTCCTCGAAAAGGACCCGGCCCTCACAGAGGAGGTCATTCTCGGCCTGCTGCGCTACTGGCCAAAGGTCAACTCGCCCAAGGAGGTCATGTACCTCAACGAGGTCGAGGAGATACTCGACGTCATCGAGGGCAGCGAGTTTGCCAAGATTATGGTGCCCCTGTTCTCGCAGCTTTCGCGCTGCATCAACAGCCAGCACTTCCAGGTCGCCGAGCGTGCCCTCTACTACTGGAACAACGAGTACATTGTCAACCTCATGGGCGAGCACATTGGCACCATTTTGCCCATTGTCTTCCCGGCCCTGTACCAAAACTCGAAGCAGCACTGGAACCGAACGATCCACGGCATGGTCTACAATGCCCTCAAGCTCTTCATGGAGATCAACCCGGACCTGTTCGACGAGGTGCAGCACAGCTACAAGCGTCAGCGCAAGGAGGAGTACGAGCGCTCGTGCCAGCGCTACGAGGAATGGCTGGCCCTGCGCGAGCAGGCGCTTACCAACTACAAGGCGAGCGGTTCGACCCAGCCCCTGCCTGCCTTGCTTCGCGAATCGCCTCCCCCTAGGCCCGAGCCCTTTGAGGACGACGGCGATGGCTCGGTGGACCTGACCCAGAACGGCTTCGACCCCAGCGAAAGCTTTACGCTGGACAGATCGATTGCCGAAGAGGTCGTCCCCGTCGCCGACCCCGGCATCGAGGTGCGGACCGTAAGTGCTGCTTCGATCGCCGTCGCTTGACCTTGCGCGTAGGCAAACATGGTGCTGACACACGTCAGCCTGGGAGCCCCGTGATGACAGCGACGGCTCAGCCTGGGAGCCCGGGCCCAACACCGCCACACATGAGGCGGAAATCGGTCCTCCCTATCGATCCCCAAGTGATGCGTGATCTGGAGGTGAGTTGACAACTGCATGAACCAACTGACATGTGCCAGGCGCATCGGAGTCTTGAAAACCAGGCTGCTGCCCCCGCAGAGCAGGCCTAAACGTTTCCCGTCTTCCTCTTTCTGGCATTTTTCAATCTCTTTCCTTCTCTGTGTACCTACCATATCAGCCTCGGCCGTGCCGAGATTGGGTCTCACTGCGTGACGCGTGCGCTCCTCCCCCGGCGGCGGCGTCGTCGTCTAGCCTCAAAACACCCTCATGTCCCCCGCGAATACGAATCACCTAAACATTGATACCCCCCCTCCCCCAAATCCTCCTCCTTTTCGTCACCGAAACCTCACCACCCGCGTCCTCCTCCCCTCGCCGCCGACATTATTTGTGGCCGCCCCACCCCCCCGACATTTGCGAGCGCGAATCGAGCAGCTCTTTGTCCTCTGTCTCCCCCCCTCCCTTGGAAAACCCGTGGGGGAGGGGACCGTGTGTGTGTGCTTTGTGACCTCTCCCCCTTTTGGCATGGGCTTTTTTCTATATATCAGGACTTGGGGGCACCCGGCTGAGATGTACACTATGCATGCCGCGTGTTCCGGTTGTTTCTAGGAGAGAAAGGAAGCACTCCCCAGAACAAACAACAAACGAGCTCTAAGTTTATGCCTTGCGGGCCTGCTGGGCCTGCTTGAGCGCGCCGGCAATCTGGGCCATGACCTGCGGACGGTCACGGAGGTAGTTTGTGCGCGCGCGGCGGAGGTCGCGGATACCGCCCTGGCGGCCCTCTGCGCGGCGCACGACCTTGATCTCCTTGATCATGGGCGAGAGGACCTTGAAGTTCATCTCCACGCCCGTCTTTTGCACAATGTTGCGCAGGGTGAAGGCCGTGTCGACGCCGCGCCGGCGGACGCGCATGAGCACGCCGGAAAAGGGGGACACGCCCGTCTTGGCCGTGTTGGTGTACGAGAGGACCGAGACGACCGAGCCCGTCCTCAGGCGCTGCTTGCTCCTGCGCGAGAAGAGGGTCTTGAGGAGTCCCGCCGGGTCCATCTGTTCGCGCAGCGCCGCGTTCTGCTGCTCGACGACGCTGAAGCCGTTCTTGGGCGACAGGAGGTTGGCCGGGATGGGCGTCGGCGCGGTCGAGGCGGGGAAGACGGCGCGCGACGAGAACGGGTAGGCTGTAGGAAAAGGAAAGGGAGTGTCAGTACAGTACAGTGCTAGGGGCAGTTATGTGTGGCCTTCGGGAGGACAACCATGTGGACACGGCCGTGGTTCACACATCCGAAAAGTGTCCTCCCGAGAGCTCGGAGACGCACGAGTCGACGACGCCGGGGCGCTGGTGGCGAACCCGCGCGAGGGGCCTGCGCGGAAGACGTCGGTGATGCGGGCGATCGAGCGCATGGTGTGCGGTGTGGGTTGGGTGTGGTCGTGACTTGTCCGCGGTTGGCAGCAGCAGCAAAGAAGTCGACGAGCGCAGGACAAGGAAAGACCAGAGTGATACGCCTTGGGTGCAGGGGAAAGAGATGTCCATCATTACACACGTCATTTGTGTTGAACCGGCTCGCTTGCTTTCACCGCCCGCCTGCGGCCGCCTGGCTTCGCGCGGCTGCGGCGGAACCGCAGCGTCCGGCGGGTCGTGTCGTATTTGACGACATCCGAGTGGCCACCGTAGACACAGGCGGCTGGCTGGCTGGGCGCGGGAATTGTGTGTGCGCGCGCTCAACTCGAAACCACAACTCATCTCTCGCCCATCCTACACATCACACCCCACACCAACACCTCTTGCACCCCTTTTACCCACACCCTGCGGCCCATGATCTAGTACAATGCGCGACGGCGACGACATAGTGAGCCTTTCGCACAGCTTTTGCGGGTGGCGAAAAACAGAGAGCACAAGGCAAACACGGCCGCCGTGTTGCGCACGAGGTGACTGCCCCCTGCTGCAGTGACATTGTTGCGCACCACCTGTTCCATCCCTCTGTCCCCCGCTGGACACATACCTCACAGACACGCTGACAACCACCCCAGGCCGCCAAGAAGGCTGCACTCTCAAAGGCACTGTCGGCCGCATACCTCGAGCACCAGATTGCCGACCTCGAGTCCAAGGTCCAGTCCATCGGCGTGAACGGTGGCAACAATGCCGCTGCTGCCAGGCGCTCGTTCGAGGACAGGCCTGTTGAAAAGGACAAGCACAAGGACAAGCGCGGAGACCGCTACGACTACTACCATGACGACGACGACGACGACGAGAAGCACCACGCGGACGGACGTGAATGGCGTCAAGGTCCCAGCGACGACAATGGCCGAGGCCACAGCCGAGGCAAACACGACCACGGCGACAGGCCCGACAAGGGGTTTGGCCGTGGCCACCACCACAAGCACCACGGGCACCACCACAGCAAGCACGGCCGCATCGACGACTCGTCGGCGTCCTCGGACTCGGACTCGGAGGGCGAGTGGGAGTGGCGCGTGGCCGTGGTGGACGTGAGCGCGCTCATGTGGGCACCACACAGTGTCCGCCGCCTCGTTCACAGGGGCTACGAAGTCATTGTCCCCCTCGACGCTATCCGTACCCTCGACATGCTCAAGAAGGGGAACAGCCCCGTCGCGCAGGCGGCACGCGCTGCTGCGCGCTTTGCAGAGCACGCATCGCGGCACTGGCGCCCCGTGTCGGCCGACCCCAGCATCGCCGTCCAGGCTGGGACAGACTACAAGAAGGGCCGCGGGCTGCGTCTGCAGCGCGACGACGAGGCCTCGGCTCCTCCCGCGGCGGCCGGAGGCGACCCGCCCCCCAAGTGGGTCGCATCAGTGCTGGGCTGTGCTGCATTCTTCACCGCCATCAGCCGGGCCGAGGAGGCCGCCCAGGGGTTGGGCGACGAGCCCCGCCCCGCAGTCCTGATCGCCCACCCACCTCTTTCTGCAGAGGTCGGCCCCCCACCCGTCGACGAACGCCCCGACGCGCCGCCGGCCCAGGCTCAGCACTATGCCGAACGTGCCGAGGGCTACACGCTCAGCCTCGAGGCAGGCCGCTTTGAGCTTGGTCTCGAGGTACTCCGCGATGAGGAGGAGGCCGACTTTGACACCGCAGGCGCGACTCGCGGACGTGGGCGTGGAGGTCGCGGAGGACGAGGACGCCACGGCGGCGGTCACGGACAAGGAGGAGGTGGCCATGGCCATGGTCGCGGTGGTCGCGGCCGCGGCCGTAACGCCGAGCCCGAGCCTGAACCTGTCAAGATCCTCCTCCGTCGCCCCGAGCCTGAGGCTGGCAACGAGGTCCCGCCCTCGCCTACGTTCGCCGTCAACCCGACCATGACTGCCAAGTCCGAGCTCCGCAACGAGCGTGCAGAGTACCGCGAGCTCCGTGCTGAACAGCGCGAGCAGCGCGCTGAACAGCGTGCCGAACACCACGCTCAGCGTGCCGAGCTGCGCGCCGAGCAGCGTGAACAGCGTGCTGAGCGCGGGGAGCGTGGAGAACGTGGACGCGGAGCTGGTGGTGGCGGCGGACGCGGTCGTGGAGGCCGTGGTCGTGGTCGTGGATCTACTCAAGAGCGCGACCGTGGCGGTGCGTTTACACTTCTTCAGCGCCCCGGTCCACCTCTCGCCCACCATGTCCGCAACATTGACCAAGCTGCTCCTGCTCCTCCAAGCGGCGGCGGTCGTAGCCCCGCTGCGCCCGAGTTCTTCCCGCGTGGCCCGCCGCCTCCCAGTCTTGGGCACTGGGCCGACGGACCGCACCACGGCCACCACGGCCGCGCCGAGCCTGACATGCCGCCTCACTGGCGTCGTGCTTATGCGAGCGCGGACGCGGACCCCGTCGAACCGCGCGTGGTCCTCCTCCAGCGCCCGCGTTAACCCTGCCAACCGCTTAAAGTACGACCTTTGCAAACAAACCTCCCCCGCGAAACTCTTCGCTCTTGCGCGTGTGTGCGTGAGTCGAGTGGAGAAGCGTGGGCAAGAACAAGCTCGCAAAAGCAAACACTCCACCCACCAAAAGAACCCACACGTTCTACCGTCAATGCCGAGCCAAGTGCAGGTTTTGCGCAGAGGACAATGTGACGAGCGGCGAGCGTGTCCCGGGATAACGGTGGTGCAAGGTGGTGCTAGGTGGTGCTAGGTGGTGGTGGTGCTCCTCCATCGTCCACAATTCGCCGGCCTTACACCCTCCCTCGCCCTCCCCCCCGCCCTCTTACCCTCCTCTCCCCGCCCAGCCCACTGCCCTACGACGCCCACGTAGCGCCAGACATGACCGACACTCCGACGCAGAGGGAAAACGCAACGCTTCCGTGCCTTCTTCTTTTCTTTGTACACCCATTTCGCAAGCCGTTGCCGCGGCCAAACCTTGCGTGCGGGGCCTGTCCGTACTGTCTGTGCACCAACTGACCCACTATGCAAACATCCTGTCCCCCCGAGAGAGATACCGTGAATGTCTGGCGTGTAGAGTGTGGACGAACTGGGCGCGGGCGCGGGCGCGGGTTGCGCGTGCCCCGCTGCTCAGCGAACAGACGTGCCTCGAGTGTGCGGCGGTACCCGCCTCGCCTTGTTGTGACCAGAAGAACCATGAGTGGTGATCCATGCAAAAGTTACAAAGTAGTGTATGCCATTATGCCTGCTGCTTGTGGTGCGCTGCGCGCCTCGTCGTCGTCGTCGTCGTCGCTGTCTTTTGTGTTTTACTTGCGCCACGTAGTGGTCAAGGCGGGTGCCTCCTCGGTAGGGGACACGGTGCCGGCGGCCTTTGTATGTCAGTTTCAAGGGGAGGAGGGAAGGAGAGGAGGGAAGGGAAGGGGGGAAGGCAAGTGGGCAACGGGGGAAGGCAAAGACGGAGAGGGATGCGGTCGGAGGTTGGTTGGAGGGGCGGCGGAGAGCAAAGACCACTCACCTGCTCAGCCTCAAACTCCTTCAGCCTCTGGCTCTTGACAATGAGGTTCTGGGTGATGACGACGGTGCCGTAGACCTGGGAAACGCGTGAGCTCCGCGCACAGTATGGATGGGGCAGGTCGGGGTCATGGGATGGGGAGACGCAGGCGGTCGACGACGGCGTTCGACGAGGTGGGAACGTGCCGAGTACACGTCAAGCCAACACCAGAGGACTCGTTAACGGAGTGCTAGGACTGTGTTCTGTGTATCTGGGCTACGCGCCGTGAAGGGCCAATGGAGCCCTCAGAAGCACACACCGCCAAGCGCAATCGTACAGGCGACGTCCCCAACCCAAGCTCTGAACTGAACCCGCGCGGATGACCAGATGGGACAACTGCTGGGCCCACCCCCCGAGCAACACTCACGCCGAAGCCGATGCAGCCGAACACCATAGTACGGTGGATGAGGTTGCCGACAGAAAAGGACATTGTTGTTGATTGCGAAGCGGCGGGAAGGTGTGTGTGGTGGTGGCGACAATAATGTTGCCGGGGATCGCAGATCGCCCAAATATCCACATTGTCGGACAACTTCGCTCACACCACGTGGTTGTGGCACATGAGAACGCGGCAATGCCTTTTGGGCATCAGCTCTAGAGTTAGTTAGTCCCTGTATCGTTGCGGCCTGTTGGTTTGATTCAGGACAATTGCATCTCTACAGCGCCTACGGCATAAAATAAAATATGATGGCGCAGGTAATGCAATATGCAGTCTATGCTCGAACAACACTAGAGGCCACACTTTCTTGAAAGATATCGCCCCGCAGCCGCGCCCGGCACGGTCGGCCGGGGGTGGTTTTTTTTTTGGTGGCGCGTGCCGCCCTCCTTCTTCGTCTCTCTCTCTCTCTCTACCCCTCCTGCGCGTGGCCCACGATATATGGAGGTCTCGCAGGCTGATAACACAGCGTAAGAGGGGGGCCGACACACGCGGCCAGTGCGCACGCGCCCGCGCACCCACCGCCAGCCTCTCCTTCCTTCTCCCTCCTGTTGTGCGCCTCACGCTTAGGCGGCACCCTTGGTGGAGGTCTTGGAGAGGAGCTGGGCCTTGACGATCTGGGCCTGCGAACGCTTCTGGAGCGAGCGCTTGTAGTCGACAATGGTGACGTCGTCCTTGGTGAGGTTGATGACCTTCTTGTCCTTGACCTCCCAGAGGTCGTCGGCGACCTGCGAAATAAGACGGAAGTCGTGCGAGACGATGACGACACCACCCTCGAACTGCTTGATGGCAGAGGCGAGCGAGTCGATAGACTCCATGTCCAGGTGGTTGGTAGGCTCATCGAAGAGGATAATGTGGGGGTGCTCAAGCGCAATCTCGGCGAAGCAGACACGGTTACGGAGACCGTCCGAGAGCTGGCCAATGGGGTTGGTCTGGTGGGCACCGGTAAGACCGAAGCGGCCAATCTGCTGGCGCCAGAACTGGATCTCCTTGTCGGGGAACTTGTCACGGAAGCGGGTCTGGAGGTGCTCAATGGGCGACTTGTCGTAAGGGAGCTGGTCGGCCGAGTGCTGCGAGTACTTGGCGAGCTTGAGCTGACCGTGACGGTTGACCGAACCCTCGACGGGGTTGAGGCCACCGGTGATGAGGTTCAGGAGGGTCGACTTTCCGGTACCGTTGTCACCGACAATGGCAATACGCGAGTCCATGTCGATACCGAACGAGAGGTCCTGGTAGAGGAAGTCCTTCTTGACACCCGAGTACGAGAAGGCAACGTCCGAGAACGCGATAATGGGGGGAGGGAGCTTCTTGACGTCCTCAAAGTTGAACGACAGGGGCTTGCCAGACTCGACCTTCTCGATGAGACCAGCGGCCTCCATCTTGTCGATGATCTTCTGCTTGGACTTGGCCTGCTTGACCAAGTTGGCGTAGGTACCGGCCGAAGCAATAAACTTCTTAATGTGCGCAATCTCCTCCTGCTGCTTCTGGTAGGCCTTCATCTGGTTGACCTCGTTCTCAGCCTTGGTGCGGACGTAGGTGGTGTAGTTACCACCGTAGTAGGTGAGCTTCTTCTTGGGGGTAAGGTCGATGATGTTGGTGCAGACAGTGTCCATAAAGTCGGCCGAGTGCGAGGTGAGGATGAGGATGTGGTTGTAGGTGGCAAGGTAAGCCTCGAGCCAGACGACGGCTCCCAGGTCCAAGTGCGAGGTGGGCTCGTCGAGAATGAGGAGGTGGGGCTTGACGAACAGGGCACGGGCAAGCGAGACACGCATACGCCAACCACCAGACATGTCCTTGGTGGGCTTGTTCATCATGGTCTGGGTGAAACCGAGACCCGACAGAATGGCACCGGCCTTGGCCTCAAAGGTGGCGGGGTCCATCTCCTCAATCTCCTCGTAGATCATCTCAAGAGCGACCTCGTCGACGTCGTCGGCGACGGCCATCTCCTCGGCCAAACGCTCGAGACGCGCGACCTTCTCCTTGGCGGCGTTGACAATGTAGTCGAGAGCGTTCACGTCCGAAGGCTCAGCGGCACCACGGACAAGGTAAATCTGCCATAAGCGTCAGTGGCGGCCACAACTTTCGGATCCGGGCTCAAGCAATGTCTACTCACGTCAATGTGCTCGGGAATCTCAATGTCGCGGTCACCGAGCGACTGGAAGAAGGTCGACTAAACACGAGGGTCAGTTGATTTGAAAAATAGCGTAACGCCACCCCCATCACTGGCAGCCAGTCACATACCTTTCCGGAGCCGTTCTCGCCGAGGACACCGTAACTGTGGAACGCATCAGCACACTGCCTCGCATGTCTGGACAAAGGGCCCAACTCACCGGTTTCCGTAGTTGAGCGAGATCTCGGCACCCTCAATGAGGAGACGACCGTGGAACGAGAGAGTGTACTGCTCAATCTTGATGTCACGACCCTTGGGGTCCGAGGTGAGCACACCAGACTATCCGGGGTCAGCGCTTTGTCCTTGTCATTCCTCGTTCTCAGATGTCCAAATTTGCCACCCGCGCCAAAACGACAGCCACAACTCGGTCGCTCACCGCGACCGTTACACCAATAGCTGTCCAGTAGCGACCCTAGGTCTTCGTCGCCACCAAAACCTTCGGCAGGCCCGGGACATTTCAATTGCTCCACTTTCTCGCCCGAATGTTCGAGAAATCGTCCTTCTTTCGACCGATAGCTTTGAATATACTCACGGCGGAACGGTCGGTGGCGACGGCGAGCTTGCGCATAGCGGCCTGGGCATCCTGGACGTCCACAAACGAGCCGTTGGCAGAAATGCTGGGGGTTCCGGCCGACGAGGCCGCGGGCGTTCCGCTCTTGGAAGCCTTGGCGAGCTTGGCGTCGAGTCTCTTCTGCTTGCTGGCAGAGATTTTAGTGGCCATGTTGATGTGTGTGGTGGGGGGGAGGAGAGGGAGGAGGGGGTGGTGGTTTAAGCACCGTGTAGATGAGTGAGTGTCTACTTTCTTGATTGAGCAGACCGAGCCACCGTGTAGGTAAGAAAACCGAAACGGCGCTCGCGGGAACGGAAGCATAAAACCTGATGTCCCTGAGGCCTGAGGTTCTCAAGGGGAAGTGGCTAATGCCCATGACATCACTAATAGCTGGCCGAATCAAATCATTAACAAATATCATTAGGCGCCACGTGGCGCAGCACGTGGCGATTAGACATGTGACGTGTAGAATCACGTGACCCCCTGGTCTCCTGGTGTGGCGATATGTGGCGGTGAGTGCCATATGGCGAAGGAGTCAGTGCAGTAGCATACTCTTCCAGGATGCTCGCTGTGTAGCTGTGTGAGTCGCCGTTGCTCGGCATTACAGCAGTCTACGTGGTCCCGGTTTTGGTTGTGAAGTCGTGGCGGGGAGGAAGAGGAGTGGGATGACAGCGGAAGGGCATCTAGTGAGGCTCTAACCTCCTGTACTGGAGGGCGCACGCACGCGAGAGGTGGTCTCGTAGGCGCAGGTCGCTGACTTGAATCCCGACACGGTGAGTGGCGACCCTTTCACTTGATGATCACAAGCTGACCGGGCAGCAAACAGACTACCAGCAAGAGTTGGACGACGTCGCGGCCCTCGAGGACTTCAACGTTCACGCCGAGACTAAGCTTAACGCCATGCTGGCCGCTGCTGGCATGCCCCCCCTGGGACGGCCATGTCCCCTCCCCCGCCGAATACTGGCAGTACGTCGCCAAATATGGCGTGCACCCCCCCAATGCTGGCGACAACGCCGCCGCCGCCGCCGCCAGCAGCGACGACAGCGATGACGACGGCAACGACGACAACAGCAACGGCAGCATCGCGCTTCCCACGCTGTCCGAAGACGAGAATGTCCGCCTGGTCGGCTGCTTTCAGATCAAGGAGAACCCCAAGGTCTCCGGCGAGTTCGCCGCTTTTGTCGTCACGCTGGTCCAGCTCCTCAAGTGCCCCGTAGTTACCGTGCTGCAGAGCAACGATGGCCTCTACATGTTCGCCACCTTCGAGCTCGCCGAGGAACTGTGAAACGAGGAGTATGGTTCTTTTGTACGTGGCCTGTGCAGGTTGGGGCGTATACTGATCGTCGCAGGACCCCCTGGCCTTTGCCCGCGCCCTCGCCCGCGTCGCCGGCGACAAGCTCCGTTGCGACGAGCACGGCCTGTTCGTGCCGGAATACCTCCTCTTCCCTGCCGTCCTTGTTGCGCAGGAGGAGCAGGAGTAGAAGGTGCCACGAGGGAACATTAGATGTGTCCATATGAGCTGCTGAGGATGACCCCATTTCAGTGCATGGGTAATGTGTGTTCCGGTGTTCCGGAGTCTGGGTTGCGGAACGAGATGTGACTCCATGGGCCGTGTGCTGTGCAGTGTCCCACCTGATGCTCTTTACTAACCGCATGCTGTCGCGATCAGCTTGAAATCAGTGACACGGAGCATGGGACGCTCCGTTCGGGCAAGCTCGTGGGTTCAAATCGTTATTGCATTGATTCCATGCATCTATCCTAGCCGTGCCGGTATACCGTGGGGGCCGTCGTGAGGGGGGAGGGGACGTGGTCGTTCTCTCCTGGGGTGTCTCTCTCGCTCGCGCTCGCGCTCTACCACCTGATCCACTCGCCGTACATGTTGGGGGCCTCGCCACGGACGTACGCCTCGAAGGTGCGCTTCAGCACGGTCGCCCAGCTGAGGTCCGTCTTGTCGAGCTCCTCCTGTTGCTCGGCTTCCTCGTCAGCCTTGCTCTCGCCAGACGCGGCCCGTGACGCCTTGGCGGCGAGTGACGAGGCCTCGGCAGCAGCAGTGTACTGCTCACGCAGGGTAATCTCGCCCTTGGCAAAGCGGTCGCCGAGGTCGGGCCAGTTGCGCGAGGGGTCGAACGGCAGCCACCAAAAGTTGTGGAAGTGGTACGAGTAGGCGCCGCGGAAGAAGCCGTCATAGCCGACCTGCTCGGGACCGGCCGTGTCAAACTTGTCGTTGGAGAACAGAACGGAAAACTCGGGGAAGTAGGGGAAAGGTGGGCGGTCGCGCTGGTAGCGTTCCATGTTGAGCCATGCGGGGTCAAAGAGCGCGTCGGGGATGCGGACCAGGAGACGGTCAAGACCAGCGTCCTTGAGGTAACGCGACACGGTCATGGGGTGGAAGTCGAGGCCATTCTCGAGGGCGGCCTTGAACAGGAAAGTGCTCAGCGCCGAGCCCTTGTGGAGCTTGAGGATGGCGGTGTTGTACTTTTGGTGCCATGACCAGCGGTAGGCAAACTGTCCACGGTAGTTCCACAGCTCCTCCCAGTCACGCAGGAAGAGGGTGTCGGCGTCGAGGTAGATACCACCAAAGCGGTAGGTAAGGATGAAACGGGCCATGTCGGACAGGACGACCGAGAGACGGTCATAGTCGCTCTCAGATGCCGAGCCGACCTTTTCAAAGAGGCCGCCCTTCTTCTTGGTAGCCGCAGCCTGGGTAGTCTCGGCGTCCTCGCCATCATCGTTGCGCTGGGCCTCCTTCTCCTTGGCTTCCTTCTCCTTGGCCTCTTCGGCGGCCTGCTGTTGCTTCTTGTCCTTGTAGACGGTACCACCCGAGTTGAACAGAGACATGTCGCGCCAGTACGGCTCCAGTTCCGGAATACCGTCAAGCTGCTCGGTAGTGTTCCACATCTTAAACTTGACGACCTCGCGGAAGCGGTGGTCAAGGAAAGGAGCAGACCACGGGTTGGTAGCCAGTGACTCGTACATTTCCTTTTTGGCGTTGGGGTTGGGGACCGCAGCAGCAGGGCCGGGGTTGATCCACACCCAGAACTGTGGACGACAGGTCTTGCCAACGGTGTCCGATGACAGCTCGACAGGCTTGTCGAGACCAAGGTTCTGGGTGTACAGGAACGACATGACAGCCATGTACGGCTTGTCAGTGAAGGGACCGGCCCAGAACATGTGGAAGATGCGAGGGTGGTTGGGGGTCGCAGGGGTCCTCGAGCTGGTCAAACGCCCGAGTCACCGGGATAGGAGGCGAGAGAGACAGAGGCGCGCGCGAGAGGTCGTCGTCACGCTGCTCGGTAGCTGGCGGCAGAGGAGTCCACGTGGTGTGTGCAGGGGTAAAGTTGTCTTCGGTGTACATTTGGCGGAACTGCGAGAGGTAGTTGGGGTTGCGGACGCGCTTGCCATTGTCGAGGTTGCCGCCAATACGCAACAACTCCAGGCAGTCGCGAACATACTGTGGGTGCGTGTCAGCCAAAAAAACGAAGGAACCAGTGCGTTGCCTTGCGGTACAAACCTTGTTTGTCGAAAAGTCACACTTTTGCAAGATGACGTCGAGATCGATGATGCTACCGGGAACAGGACGAGGAGCGAATGCCGGGTTGGGGAGAGCGTGCTCAAACGACGTGAGGACATTGCGCTCGGGGCCCTTGCCAATGAGGGTGTGCGAAACGGCGCTGGGGTTGCGCTGTTTGGAGGCACCAGTACCGAGGAGCGAAGCGGGGACAATCGGGTTGACCAGAGAGCTGGAGATCGGCACGTTGTCGGGGACTGCAACATTCCGGGTCAGCCTAGAACGTTGCACATGTCGACGTCAATACGTACCTTCGGTCAACGAAGGGTGATGTCCAGAGAGGACCTCCCACTCCCAAATCTTGGCCACTTCCTCTGGTGTGAGGACCAGAGTGTTGGGATCCACGAATGGAGCGGTCCACGTATTGCGGCTCCCAGGTCGTTGCCTGAATCCAAGTCCAATGACTACGAGGAGCACGACCGAGAGAACACCGAGTGCGATGCGGATGACTGGGTGGAGCCTCGAGATGCGAGCAAACGCGCGAGGGGGTATGGGCAAGGGAACTCGCACATAGCGGCCGGGACGCGGGGCATAGAATGTCTTTGAGGTTCCAGCGCCGTTGGAGCCTTGGTCACGACCAAACGGCAGTCGTGGAACGGGAATCACAACCACTGTGAAGAAGCGGCTGTTGCCTCCCATGGGAGCTGCCGTTGGACTTGACAGCCCGAACTTTTCTGAGCCGCCGTCGCCGCTGAAGACGGGGAGCGGCGAGCGGCGCACCTTGGGCAGCGAGTTTCGCTTTGCCTGGCCAAAGAGCGACATGGTGGGTCTGGTTGCTCAACTGCAAGTGGGGACGGTGCGAAACTGTCCGCAGCAACGGTTGGACGCAGTGTCCGGCCGGGGTTGAGTGTCAAGGGCTGGTCGGCTGCCGTGCGTGGAGCCGGATGCCGCGATAAGCGTGTGGGAAGGGGGGGGGGGGAGTAGAGGACGGTGTGGGTGTGTGTGGGGTTAAGAGGATTAGATTAAAAGAGAGAGAGAGACGATGTAGATGTGAGAGCGTGTGTCTGGAAGGAGGAGGACGTGGCCGAGACTTTGTGCAGCAGGGTTGTGCTGCGAGCCATAGGAGAGTGGCGCTCCAGGCCGGGCCCAAGCTCACATCGCTCTGGATGGTGGTGGCCTGGGTGGGGGTGTCATACGGGATCAAATTTCTGGTGGTGGGGTGGGTGGGGGGGGGGGGCTCGTTCTTGGCAGGTGCAACACGGAGCGAGCGAGCCAGAGCGAGCGGCCATCTGGCGCGCGCAGCCACCAGTCAGGGAGCAGGCAGTGCGTAATAAGAGTTCTGGATCTCGCCAGCGTGGCTTGTTTGTGTTTTCTAATATCAAATCCTAATGCCAATACAGGTCACCTCCATTAACCCCCTCCAGCCCACACACTTCCTTGCCGAGGAATGGACCCGCGCTGGCTCGCTGGCTGCTGCTGGCCGGCATGGGCTCTGCGGGTGTGCCGGCGGGGGCCTGCGTACCTGCGGTGTCGCAGATTGCGAATTTGGCTGTGCCATGAATAGTTCATCCAGAGACCAAGAGAGACAGGCAGCAGGCAAGGCTTGCACCACAAGAGCGTGCGCGGGACAAACTTGACACAACCGAGAAAACGTGACTGCTGCTGCCCATATCCCGGCCCCCCCTGTGCACCCCCGTGCCCACCGCCCACAACGATCGCTTGCAGAAACAATCAGACAGGCCAGGCCCTCTCCCCCCCTTTCCTGTGACCAGTGCTGTCTTCAACCCCTTTTCCCGCACATCCACACCACTCTCTTTCATTCCCATTCTCTTTCCTCTACACCTCTATCACACCTTCTGCGCGACCCATCTCTCCTTCAACCCCCTCGCTTCCTGCGGACAACGCACCTTGCATCACCAGTGCCTCGTGCCCCCCCTGGTGCATCATCTGCCACCGCCAAGAGACCACTTTTAGGCCCTAATAGATATCCGCTTTACCCACCGCCGCCGTAAACAGTTCAATCGCAACTCGCATATTTCTCGCGCGTCGCCTCGCTCCATCTTTCTTCAACCTTCAACACTACACCCCCCGAGCGCGCGTATGGCTATTTGCGAATAACACCCACCAAAGCGTGCTCTGCGTCGTCTCTGTGACTTGATACTCCACACCGTCGGTCGCGCTCGCTCCACGCGCCGTTTCACAACACGCCCTCCGCAATGCCGCCCAACATCCCCCGTCACCTGGAGCTGCCAGGATTCGTCGAGCGATGGCGCTCATGGCTCTCGGCCAACCTCAACTTCTATCGTGTTCACATGCTATGCTTGTATGTCGTTTCTGCTCGCAGAGAGTGACTATCGCTAACCTTTGTTTTCCAGTACCATCGTTCGTACCCTACCTGACGCAATTTACGGGCCACCTCACTGACCGCTGTCTTGCAGATTCCGCTCATCTTCTCTGGCATCATGTACGCCTGCAACACGCAGATTCAAATCCCGTACATTGACTGTCTGTTCGTGTGCTTCTCCGCCATGTGCGTGACGGGTCTGGCAACGATCAACTTGAGTACACTATCGACGTTTCAACAATTCATCCTCTACTTCCAGATGCTTATCGGAAGCACTGTACGTGTTGCTCTTATCAAGGAGAGCAGGTGTCTAACCGCTCCAGATCTTCGTCTCTATCATCATGGTGTCGGTGCGCAGGTTAGTTCAAGGAAACCACACGCATCATGAAACCCCTCCCCGAAGTGATTGTTGACAAAACCTTAGGCACTTCTTCCGTGTGCAGTTCCGACACGTCCTCAAGGAGCGGGACCGCAAGCACCGCGCGATGAGACTCGCAAAGACGCTCACCCGTATCCCGACGACTCAGCCGATCAGTGCACTCCGAAGACGGTTCACGCGGCGCCCGGAGGAGACGGAGCATGACGTTTCCGGCAAGAGCACCCCTGATGCTGTGCCCGCCAAGAAAAAGGCGCCGGGCAAGCTCACAAAGGACATGATTCAACGTATCGATGGCGGCGGTATCGGCATGGTCAACCCCATGGGTTGGTACGCAGCTGGTGGCACACCGACGCCGTCGGCTGGCGCGTCTCGTGTTGGATCTCGCGTTCCCTCCCCTGACCCGGATGATGTCAAGGTCCACGGAGCCGAGATTGACCATATCAACTACATCGACGGTGAGGCGCACCCCATGCAGACGGTCGAGTCGCCTGGCGAGCTCAGTCCCATCGAGCGGGCAGTGAGCGAGTCCAGCACGACCGGAGCACCAAGCACGACTGGTAGCGAGGACGGCAAGCGCCAAGGTAGCAACGAGGATGCTTGGGTTTCGCCGTCGTACCGACTAGGTGCCGAACTTGGCCCCGTGCAAACAAACGACAGCCTCCCAGCAGTACCCACTGGCCCTGTTCGCTCCACGTGCGTATTTCCATGTGTGCCGTGCCGTGATCTGCCTGTTCTTTTTTTCCTGACGCCACACAGTACGGAGCCGACCCGGACGCCATATGCTGGACTCGCGCTCAGTGACGACGCCTTTCCTCGTTCAAAGACTATCGCGTTTGATGACGTTGAGGATGGTCTTGATCACGAACTGCACCTGGGCCGTGACCGCGAGCCTGGGTTCTTTGCTCGTACACCGACAATGCGGAGTGACAGTAAGTTGAGTTGGGTTGTCGGACCTGGTTACGTCGGTAAGGCGCGAGTACCGGAGTCCGAGGACGAGGCGCCGGAATTCCGAGACCAAGCTACAACCAAAGCCGAACTGAGCCATAACTGACGCCACCAAGTTGACGGCTTGAGGAGGGTCAATACCACCGGCTCTGAACACCCATACGACGGACAAGGACTGCGCCGAACCCAGAGTCGGTTTATCGAGACCAAAAACACAGGCTATGGTGGTTTCCCCACACCTATTCAACTCATTGGCGACCTTGTGCACAAGGTATTCCCGCAAACAAGCACCAAGCTGCACCAGTCCATCACTATGCCGCGCACCAACACAATCTCGGGGCGCGGCAGCGTCATGGGCGATGGCGCCGAGGTCCCCTACATTTCCTTCTCCGCCACTGTGGGACGCAACTCCAAGTTCCAGAACCTCACGCAGGAGCAGATGGACGAGCTGGGTGGTGTCGAGTACCGCGCGCTCCGCCTGCTGTTCTGGGTGGTCCTGTCCTACTGGATTTGCCTCCCTCTCGCCGGTGCCTGCATCATTGCGCCGTACATCAACGCCGGTAACCGATACGCCGATGTGTTCAACGAGCAACCCAAGCACGTCCGCATTCCCTGGTTTGCGTTTTTCCAAGCCACGTCTGCGTTCTCCAACACTGGCGTCTCGCTGGTCGACAAGAGTATGGTGCCCTTCCAGACTGCATACCTCATGTCTGTGGTGGTCATGCTGCTCATCCTCCTTGGCAACACCTGCTTCCCCATCATGCTCCGGTTCATCCTGTGGAGCATGTACAAGATGGTGCCTGCGACATCAAACTCGCACGAGTCGCTCAAGTTCCTTCTCGACCACCCGCGTCGTTGCTTCATCTATTTATTCCCCTCGACGCACACCTGGTTCCTGTTGATCATCGTCTTCGTCCTCACGATGATCGACTGGTGGTCCTTCCTGGTCCTTGACCGGGGCAACGAGGTCATCGACAGCCTGCCGTATGGGACTCGCCTCGCTGCTGGGCTCTTCCAGTCATGCGCCGTTCGTGCAGCAGGGTTCGTCATTGTCAACATGAACGCCGTCGCCCCAGCCGTCAAGGTTCTCTACGTCCTCATGATGTACATTTCCGTCTACCCGATCGCCATGTCCGTCCGCGCCACCAACGTGTACGAGGAGCGTGCTCTGGGTCTTTTCGAAGAGGAGGACCCCGAAGACGAGGAGGAGGACGAGGAAATGCAGCACACGGAAGGTGCTAGTGCAGTGGCCAAGTATCTTGGCTGGCACGCTCGTCGCCAACTCGCGTTCGACATGTGGTGGATTGCCCTGGCCCTGTGGCTGGTGTGTATCATTGAACGTGGAGCGCTCTCCGACCCGGCCAATTACGAGTGGATGAACATTTTCAACATCATCTTCGAGCTGGTGTCGGCCTACGGAACTGTCGGCCTGTCCCTCGGTCTCCCATACGACAACTATTCGTTGTGTGGCAGCTTCCGCACGCTCTCCAAGCTCGTCTTCATCGTTGTCATGCTCCGTGGTCGCCACCGTGGGCTTCCTGTCGCCATTGACCGTGCTGTCATGTTGCCCAAGGACTTTACCGAGAGCGACGAGCGCGCCATGGAGGACCGTTTGCGCCGCTCGCGTTCGCGCCGTGCAAGCTCGTACGGCGGCGACTTCCTCTCGCAGACCGGCTCGCAGATGCCGCACACATTCACCATGGCGACCGACGGTGCTGGCCAGTATGGGTTCACGTCAATGGTCCAGCCTCCGTCCCCACGCCTCCCCGTGCGCAGGGACAGCACCTCGAGCATGCGCCGCGGCGACCCCTCCACGGCTGCCCCCGGTCCCATTCGCGTCTTCCACCGCCGTACAGGATCCACCGCATCCGTCGACGGCGGCAGCCCCATGACGCCCACCACGCTGCACTTTTCTCTCAACACGCAAGGCGGTGGGCACCAGGCGCATTCTGGCTCGCCGACAAACTACACGGGCATGTTTCCAGGCAGTAGCCTGGCACCGGTGCCGGAAAGTGTCTGGTCGAGGCGGAACACCGAGACCGACACGACAAATCCTTCGACGGGCTCCACTGCAACGGCCGTGGCGCCCGATTCACCCGTCAGCACTGGTCCCGCGGCCGAGTCGGCAGTCACCGATAGCCCCGAGGGCAGAGACGTCGCGGACAAGGCCACCGATTCCAACGCGCAGAGCGCATAAGGATTTTTCTCTTTTTTTTCTTCGATTGTTTGTTTTTTACAGAATCCGGCATACCCCAACCCACATACACGCACACAACGCATCTTTTCGGATAAAGTATTATTATAGAGACACACCGCACCGCACCGCACCGCAACCCCCACCGCCACCCCGCCACCCACACTCTCTCCGTTCGTCTACCATGGCGTCTTTACACTCCAACTCTTACTTCCTGCACTTCACGCATACGCCCGCCCCCCATAATTGGCATGGCTGTTGTACCCCTCACATGCAAGCACGTACAGACGGTGACAATGAGGCAATATGAGATTACTGAAGAAACGAGCAACAAGCGATTCAATGGGCACACATACGCTCCTTTGCTAACCCGATGCTTCCCTCCTTGACGAATCTTACACCAATGGTGGTTCCAGTCGCTCCCCCGGAGGCACATATATGCACAATCATGTCATCATGGTACAACTCTGTCTGAAAACGTACATGCCACCACCACCACCCTCCCTCCCTCCCCTCCCTCCCTCCTCCCTCCCTACTCCTTGGCACCACCGAGGCTCAGTCTCGTCTGGCCGCCTTGGCCTTGTTCGAGGCCGCGACCCGACAGACGCGCCGCCTTGGCCTTGCTTTCCGCCAACCGCTGCTGCAGATGCAGCACGTTGCTGGCGATGTGGAGGCGCGACTTGAGACTGCCGGCCTGGGCGCCCGCCGACGTGTCCTTGATCTTGTTGCGCGCGTGCATCAGGTTGCTGGCCAAGGTGCGCAGCTGCTTGCCCGAGGACGAGTCGGCGTCGCCGAGGAGCGTTGGAATGTCCGAGGCGGCCGCGACCCACAGGGTGAGCATGTACGACAGGTCGATGTAGTCGTTGTTCGGGTCGGGAGTCGAGAGGTCCCTGATGACTCTGTCGAGGCCGATGGTGAGGTGCGCGATGGAGGGAACGTGGTCGTCGTCGCCGATCGAGTCGAGGGATCCGGGGACGAGCAGGGCCATGGCTAGCCAGCGGACGAGCTCGCGCGTCGAGGATGTGCCTTGGCCAAGAGCGAGGATGGCCTTGGCCAGGAGGTTGAGTGGGAGATGGGAGAGCTTGTCGGCCATCTCAACGGCGACGTTGATGACATCCACAACCTCCACAGCCGCGGTGACTAGCGCGTCGACGGCCTCGACGATGGAGCGGGACAGGGCCGGGGTGGTGGAAGGGTCGACGGCAAGGAGCGAGAGGTGACACAACAGTGTCTCACACTCGGGCGCCAAGAGGAGTGAGGAACTGGAGGTCAGCTCAAGCGAAACTGGTCAATCCCTCAGCTGACTTACCTAACTGCTGCCCATACGATCTGGCAGATGAGAACGCTGGCGGACTGGCGGTCGCGTGCAACACGGACCTCGGGGTGGTCGTTTTCCTCTCCAACGACCTCGGGCTTGGCACCAAGCTTGGCCCACACGCCAACGACAAGGTCGCAGAGCTGGCGCGAATCGTTGAATGGATGCGTCCCACCCTCATGGGACAGAAGATCGAGAAGCTGGGTGCTGGCAATCAAGGCAAGGTTCTCGTCGGCCGAGAACGCAAGGTCAAAGAGCCAGCTGGCCATGAGCGGCGTATCCTCGTCCTCGATATTGTCCATGATACCACACGAAAACAGTGCACAAAGTTCGTCGGTGTCTGGGTGGTCAGCTCCAACTGCACGAAAGTGGTAGCTCACCTGTAGTGCCAGCAAAGTCTTGGGCGATCGGGTCCTCGACTTGTGGGAACGCAGCAGTGTCCATCGCGTCCAGCTCGGGGTTCTCGTTGGTCCAGAACGTCAAAACGCGCGTGGTCAGGTCGCGTTTGTGTTCCTCGGCGGCCTCGCGCTCAGCACGCATGCCCATGACTTGCTGCTTGACCTCGTCGTCCACGCCCTTGAGAGCCAGCAGCTCATCGACGTCACCGTCACCGTCACCGTCCTGGTCCGAGTCCAGACCCTCCTCGTGCTCCCACGAGTTGTCGGCGCTCATTCCTTTCTCGGGGCTCGGGACACGCGACTCGCTCATGATGCGCTCGAGATCCCTACAGCTCACACCGCGCGCGACCTCGCTGTCGTGCTTGCGCATCAGACGGCTGAAGCCATAGTCCTTTTTGGGCGCGGGTGTGGCACGAGGCTGTGACTCGGCATCGCTCGCGAGGTTGCTAGCCGCTTCGCGAAGGCGGCGCGACTTGCGGACAGACGAATCACCGTCCGCAGCCCGTGCGTCCCGGAGGGCCTGCGACAGGTTGAGTTTGAACCCGTCGTCGTCGTCGTCATCATCATCACTGTCGTCCTCGGGAAGGCCACAACGTTGGTTGAGGTCGCGCAGACGCTCATCGCGGGCCTTGCGAATGAGCTCCTCCTCTTCCTCCTTGGCTTTGGCCAGACGGTCTTCTTCCGCCCGGTCGGCAAGAATACGGGCGGCGAGGTTCTGTTGCTCTTGTCTCTCGGTGACGGGCGCTAGCTTGGCCTGCGATCCGGTCGGCGTCTTCGATTGCGACTGAGAAGGGGGCTGTGATCTAAGTCCACTCTGTGAACCACGAGGTCCAAGAAGGGTCCTGCTTACGGTCGGCGAGAGCGATGCGCGGCCGACAGCAGGCGAGGCGCTGTAACGCGAGCGCTTCGAGGGAGTCTGCTGGCTTGGGCGCAGGCCGACAGATTGAGAAGCCGCAGGAGAATTGAGAAAGTCGGCATACTCGTCCAACTGAGAACAGGTCAGCGTCATAGCAAAGCACAGTACTTACAAGATCAGGCTCCAGAGGTTCGGGTTCAGGCTCCTCAACTTCAGGCTGGGGAATATCTGTCTCTTCCGCCTCCTCTTGCTCTTCCTGCTCCTCCGGTTCAGACGACAGGGGCGTTGGGCTGAGGCGCCGGGGCATCTGAGTCGGGGGAAGGGGCGTCAACTCGCTAGACATAGAACGCGAAGGGCGAGGCGGTGTACGGGGCGCGTCTTCGTCGTCGGAGGTCCTGTCGGGTGTGGGTGGCACTTGGGGCTCTTGATTAACGGCTCTCCTCGAGTGTCTCGCCGCCCTGGCTGAGACTGGTGGTGGCTTGGGGGGTTCAACCACCTTGGCTCGCTTAGCCGTAGTGGTCGACTCTCTGAGCTTGCTTGGTCCAGGACCGCCATCAGACACGTTTGATTTGCGTTTCCTGCGGCCGCTGGGAGAATCTACAGTGCCCTTCGTGGTGGGCCACTGATGGATGGGTGTGTCGACTGGTGGAAGAGTGTATTTGCCAGGCGCAGACTGCACGCGGCGAGGGCGCCTGGCGGGCTCCGGCTCCACCACCTCTGGGACAGTGACCGGCTTGGCCGTCGACTTGGGCGCGGCCTTGACGGCGAGACTGCGGCCGAGCTTGGTGGTCGGACTGGGACGGTAGCTCTCATCATCATCGGCGACAAATTCAAGACGACGGCGCTTGGCAGTCGCGCCCATGGGTGGAAGTCGGTGAGCAGAGTTGACTGGAGATAACTTGAGTTGCTTGAATGGCGACTTGGGAGACCCAGCTGGAGTCGGGGAACGTACGAGGCCAAGCATAGCAAACCCCTTTGGCGTGGTGGGACCCACTACGTTGGGGTTGGGCTTTTGGCGAGGGGGAGTGTCTAAGGGTAAAGAGTTGGGCAAGAGTGGCCGGGGGGTGGCGAGTCCATCAGGCTCAGGTGTGTCACGAGCAATATCATCAGCCGCTGGCTCTGGTGATGGTGAGCCAACAACCGAGTCCGGGACCTGGCTCTCCTCCTGGACAGTGTCGATAAGCCGCCTTTCTTGGCGGTCTCCAGAAGCCTTAGCCAGGTCTTTTTTGCGCCGAGCTTGAAGCCGCTCAATCATGTTGCCACCAAAGGAGTCTTCGTCCTCCGTATCAGTTGCCGAAAAGTTCATGGTGGCGTAGTCGAGCGACTGTTGTGAGGGCTTAGAGGACTTGGCCTTGGCAGGCGACATGGTCTCGGCCACGAGGACGTGGTTGCTGGACTGTCCTTGCCTGGTTGGTGGAGCGCGTTTTGGTGTCGGTCCGAGCGTCTCGGGGACTAGAACACGCGCCGACTCCCACGCCTCTTGTGACCCTAGCTGCAAGTCGATATCGTCCTCGATCGAAGCGTAGCGGAATTGTGAGCGACTGCGCTTCGGTTCCGGGGTGTTCTTGAGCATGGCTTCAACCTTCTTCGCTGGAGACGGATTGCGGGATGGAACGCGGTGTTGGGATCGTGAGGAGACAATGGACGATTGAGAGTGGGTCCGCTCAAGTTGGCGTGTAGGGAAGCCTGGAACGCGGGGATCTGTCTGCGTGGGGCGTCGTCGTCGCGACGACGAGGAAGACTGTGATGCGCGCCTGGCAAGAGACGGCTCGTCGTCGGATGACAGCAACGAGATTGGGTTCTCGAACGACCCTTTGGATGAAAGGCGAGCGGTAGCGGTGGTGGCCACACTGGTGGAGGAGGATGTCTTGCGCGTGAGGTTTGACGCCGTAGACATCGTCCTCGAAACATCGCGCTTTCGGGAGGCCAGTCGCGATTCGGAAGCGCCAGAGCTCGTCCTCGCCACCGGCCTCGAGCTTGAGGAAGGGCGCACCTTTGGTTCTGGCTCTTGCTTGAACACCTGCGTCAAGGTGGTCTGGGAGGCACCTGGACTGCGGTTTCGGTGTCGTCGACGTTCCTTCTTGGTGTAGTCGATGCCGTTGACCAATGTTTCTTCAAACTGGGGCTTGGAACGTGAGCGGCTGGGGCCAGCGACTGGGGGCAGGTCGCGTCTGAAAGGCAGGACCGTGTCCCTGGCCTTCTTCTTCTTTGCCAATTCGGTTAGGCCATGTAACACGCCTAGCGACGGCGACCTGCTGGAGCGCTCTGACTGAGTCGATTCGATGAGTACTGGGTCTTCATAGTTGTCGCCAGCTCCTTTGCCTTTGCGCACGCGCGACATTGCGAGAGCCGCACACGGCGGGCGTTCCGGTGGGGAGAGGTCGGCGCGCGATCGGCAAAAAGCGATGTAATGTCGGGGAAGCGCTGCGTCTAAGGGCTGCCTTATTGACCGTTCGTGATCCGTGGGACAAGAGCTGTGAGAGAGTGTAGGCGTGGTGGTGTGGGCAGTGATATCTGTGATGGAGTGTGTCGGGAGATACATGAGCTGACAGCCCTCCACTCTTCCACAAACAAATGGCTTTCCAGGCTCACGCGCGCGTCTCGAACCCTGTCAACCGCGCGATCAGAGCTCCGTCATGCCGTCAGCAAACAAACCTCACGTGGCAAAGTGCCACATGAGTACATGAGCGGCGTTACCACACTATGGTACTGTGGAGTGCCACCCAGCGGGTAGTGCCGCAGTGGGCCAGGTTGCCTTTGGCACCCACAGCCGAGAGCTTGAGAGCTTACTGTCGTTTTGACGCGCCCGTGATGACGTGCAGGATCAAGGGATGCTAGGGATGCATGGGACCGAGGGGGCAGCACGGGCGGTTTCGGAACTTGGCTGTGGCTAGGCTGGAGCGCTAGACGACGGAGCACGGAGCGGAAACACCCAACAAAGCAGGTAAAATGACGTAGTTGGATGGCCAGTCCCGACCCACACAGCAGAGCACTCTCACCCACACCACCCACCGCGCCGTGCCACCCACGTCCGCGTGCTCGTTCCCGCGTCCACACTGTGCAGCAGCAGGCTCATCCAACTCCGTCCCCCCCGTTCTCACATTCTTCTTACTTCTCCATCCACATCCATACCCAGCTCCTCTTGGCCACCTCATCTCACCCTTCCATCAACACCAGCCTCCACTTACACACACAATGTCCTACGCCGACGTCGCAAAGGAGAACGGTACGTGTATGGCCTAGTTCCTCGCCACCACTGTTGCTGACCCGCCGCCCCCCGCAGCTCCCGGTAAGTACCAGTGTAACCTGCATCCACCTCTGGCGTGATGGTCGCCCACAAAGATGTGATGAGCACCAATGTAAGTGTGACGTAGAGCCACTTTGTGGCACCTCGCATTTGCCCTTCAGGACCCATGCTCACGCCACTTCCAGACTGACGCCTGAACAGCTGGGGGTGACCAGCCCCAGAACTGGGAGAACGAGGTCAAGAAGGACGTCAACGAGGGCCTCGACAGGGCCGAGAAGGCCGGCAAGGAGTTTGGCAAGAAGGCTCGCGTACGCTTCAACTGCTGCGTGCCCACGGCGCTGACTACCTTTCACAGCACGAGCTCGACGAGGCTGAGACTGCCATCGCTGCCGCCTGGCAGAAGACCAAGGAGGTGATCCTCCGCCCATCCACCCTCGGCGGTCTCGTCGGCGTCGGTGCGTACTCTTACTGCTGTTGATAGGGTTTCGCTCTCTCTAACCGTCAGTCAACGTCGGTCTCCTCGGCGGTCTCGGCTACGTTGCCTACCAGGAGCGCAACCGCCCTTGGGACCAGAAGGTCGTCGCCAGCACCATCGGTGGCCTCTTTGCTCTCTTTGCTACCGAGGGGTAAGCTTGGAAACACCACTTTAGCTGGAGACCGCGTGCTAACGATCAGCTACGTCACTGACTCGTACCTCCATACCCCCGAGGGCAAGGCCGAGGCTGAGCGTGCCAAGAAGGAGGGCTCCAAGGCCTACCTGCACGCCAAGGAGGTCATCCTGCGCCCCAACGTCGCGGGTGGTCTCGCCGGTATCTTCAACCTCGCTGTCATCGGTGGTGTCAGCTTCGTCGCCTACAGGCACTGGAACGAAGTGTGGGACCGCAAGATCGTCGCCGGTGTCACCGCTGGCCTCCTCGCCCTCACCGGCATTGAGGGGTAAGTTTGCCGGCTTGTAGAGAGGTTCGGGTGCGATAGGACTGCTCGCTGACTCGCACAGTGCCCTCGGCAAGGAGTACGTGGACAAGGAGCTCCCCAAGCAGAAGTAGATAGAGAGGAAAACCAACCCAACTCCGTAGCAGTCGTTAGTAGTGTTATTTCTGTATGTTGCGTATGGATGTGCACATGAAGTTGAAGTCGTTGGTCGTGTTAGGCCAAGTCAGTGAGAAGAAGGCCATTGGGTTTGGGTATGACGACGATGGGCCAGGAGTTTTGCGAGACAACAACACACAACACCATCCCGCCCGTTACCCAGCGATCCAACCGTTACCCCACACCGTGCGGGGAAGGGAGATGCGCTCGGACCACTCGCGTCCCTCCCACTCCCTTCAAGCCGAGTACGCGGCGCGTTTGGTGTTTTGCACAGATCTCATTCACCTCTCAACGCCTTCGCCTACACCTCTCACCTATACATTAACAGCTAGCCGGGTGCATAACACCCCCGGGCACTCTTCTCATGTCCGGCGGGGGAAATATCAAGGTCGTGGTCCGGTACGTGAACACCCTCCACCTTGCCGCCGTTTTGGCCACCACGTCATGCTGGCGGCAAGGCTCCCGATATGCGATATGGCCACGCCGCTGACCAAAGTGAAGATGCCGCCCGCTCAACTCTCGCGGTGGGTAAAGGCAGCGGAACTGGGAGCTCCACACTGCTGTTCGAGCTCCTCACATGTGTCCCGACCCCAACTGTGCTGACAATCAGAGCTAAAGCGCGGGGCCAAGGGCCTCATTCGTATGGAGGGGAGCCAGACTATCCTCCAACCTCCAGAAGTCTCTGGCGGCTCAAGCCGTGCGACTGAGAAGAAACCCCAGGTGTTCTCGTTTGGTGAGTCTTATCGTTCTGGGTGTGTGCCTGTGTACTCGAGCTCACACCTGCCAAAGACAAGTCGTACTGGTCCGCCGGCGAGCGCACAGATTCAGACTATGCCAGCCAGCACACGCTGTACGAAGACCTGGGTGTCGACCTCCTCGACCACAGTTTCGAGGGTTTCAATACCTGTATCTTTGCATGTGAGTAAAGCTGCTTAGACACGTGGGCGTGCAGCTGACATCGCCAGACGGCCAAACGGGAAGGTGAGCTGTTATGGCAGCAGGTGGCGACATTGTGGCTCCAGTACTGACCCGCGTTCCTCAGTGGCAAGAGTTGTGAGTGGAGCGATGTGGTTCAAGCGTCAATTACTGACATGTACAGACTCTATGATGGGATGTAGGTGACGCTCCATGTTTTCGCTCGAAGCTCACCTTGCCAGACGGCGCCGACAAGGGTATCATCCCTCTCACAACAGGAGAGCTCTTCCGACGAGTCGAGGAAAGGTCGGCCAACGACCCCAACCTGTCTTACCAGGTTGAAGTGTCTTACATTGAAATCTACAATGAGAAGTGAGGTTGAAGCTCCAGCAGCCTCCACTAACCTCGTAACAGAGTTCGTGACCTTCTCAACCCCAAGAACAAGGGAAACCTGAAGGTTCGCGAGCACCCGTCTCTGGGTCCATACGTGGAAGACCTGTCCAAGCTCGTTGTGGAGAACTACAGTCAGATGATTACGTTGATGGACGAGGGTAACAAGGTGGGTTTTCTTACGAGTGCCGTATTAGCTAACCCTCAGGCGAGAACAGTGGCTTCGACCAACATGAACGAAACGTCGTCGCGCTCGCACTCAGTGTTCACTCTTATTGTGGGTTAATGCAACTAATATCATGCTAACCCCACCACAGCTCACCCAGAAACGACTGGATCCGACAAGCAAGATGACTGGCGAGAAGGTGTCAAAGATCTCGCTCGTCGACTTGGCCGGAAGTGAGAGGCAGACTTCGACTGGTGCCACTGTAAGTTTCTAGCTGTAGCTCGAGGTGCTGTTCAGCTAACAACGCAGGGCACGCGACTCAAAGAAGGTGCCAATATCAACAGGTCCCTCACCACTCTCGGCAAAGTCATCGCCGCTCTGGCGACAGCCAGTGAGAACAAGGGCAAGAAGGGGTCCAAGGGCGAGTTTGTCCCGTACCGAGACTCTGTCCTCACCTGGCTTCTCAAGGAGAGTCTGGGCGGTAACTCCAAGACGGCAATGATTGCGGCCATTTCGTGAGCACGAGTGATGTGTGTGTGTGCGTGCTGACATTGTACAGTCCAGCAGACTGTAAGCGGACCAAACTGCGTGCTGTACTGATCAATGGTTAGACGACGAGACACTCAGGTGGGTACATGACCGTTCGCCTAAGCTGACCCCGCAGTACCCTTCGCTACGCCGATGCGGCCAAGCGTATCAAGACGCACGCCGTGGTCAATGAAGATCCCAATGCCAAGCTTATTCGGTAAGCTAGTCAACCTGAATGGCAAGCTGACAGCCCAGCGAGCTTAAGGAGGAACTCGAGAGTAAGGGTAACCTCTTGTACGTTGACTGACCCATCACAGTGCTCCGGAGTCGTGTCAGCGCTGGATCCGGCGCCACAGAGGAAGCCGTCTTTGACCCAACCATTCCTCCAGAGAAGCAGATTGTAACGTATCGCACTAAAACAGGCGAGATCAAGACTGTCACCAGTGAGTTGCGATGTCTCGGCGGCAGCTCACGCATCAGAACTCGAACTGCAGGACCAGCTACAGTGCGTACTTCATCGGGACAACACTTGAGCTGTGGCTAACAGCTACCCAGAGCGTCGGAGAAGCTCATGGAGAGCCTCAACCTCACCTGGGAGGAGAAGGTGGGTCTCATTATGGTGCTGCCACTGACCCAACAGATGACCGAGACGCAAAAGATCCATGTCGAACGCGAGAAGGCCCTCGAGGAGCTGGGTATCTCCATCGACAAGGATGTCAGTTGATTGGCACGAATGGTAGCTGATGACCCAGATGGTCGGCGTTCATGCACCTCAACGAATGCCCTCGCTCGTCAACCTGAACGAAGGTAGGTGATCCGCCCCACCGCTGTTGCTCACGTGAACAGATCCTTTAATGTCCGAGTGCCTCATCTACCAGCTGAAACCTGGCACCACCATGGTCGGCAGCGTGGATGGCGGCAAGGCGCATATCAGGCTATCTGGCGAGCACATTCTCGAGGAACACTGCATCGTCACCAACACGGACGGCGAGGTCACTCTGGAATGCAAGACGGACGCGCGCACGTTTGTCAATGGCAAGCGCGTCACACCCAACTCGCCCGTCAAGTTGAGTCACGGCTTCCGAGTCATTCTGGGCGACTTTCACGTGTTCCGCTTCAACGATCCGGCGGGCGTTCGCGCCCACAGGACTCGCATGTCGGGCATGTGGGGGCCCAACGGCATTCAGCCCGAGACGCCCAGTCGGTCCGACTCGCCAGCACCCAACGCAGAGCTCATGGACTGGACGGCGGCGCGACGCGAAGTGGCGGACATTTCAGCTTTGGGCAATGAGGATCTGGACAAGCTGTTTGACGATATTGTGAGGTGGTGGCCACAATGGGTATATCTGACCTCTCCCAGGTCAAAGTGCGAACGCTACGCCGACGTCCTGAGAGCCGCCTCGACATGGCCACCGAGGTGGAATCACGCCTCTTTGCGCATTCTGTCGCGGGCGAGTCTGATGCCATGGCAAACCCGTGGGAGGGCCAGGGCAACAACAGCATGCTCGGGCCCATCGACGACGCAGACTCGTCAAGCGGCACTCCCACCGAGGGACCTGACACTGCCGAGAGCTACTCTCGGAACGGCGGTGGCGTGACGATCAGCAGCCCACGGGTACCCGATGACGCGGCACTGGAGCAGCAGGCTTTGACCAAGCAGCTGCAGACACTAGCCCTAGAAGTCAAGCGTATTAGGACCCAGGCAGCTGTGGCGCGTGCCCGTGGTCTGCCCATGCCCGACTTTACAGAGTGGACACCGCGCGAGCTCGTCCTAGCTCGACAGGTGGCGGACCGATGGAAGCTGCTGCGCAACTTTGCCATGGCCGAGGAGCTCTTGATGAACGCCGGCGATGTGCGCGAGGCGAACATCATTGCCAAGCAGATGGGTCGCAAGATGTCGTACAACTTTGTCATTGCCGACGGGCACATGGTCTCTCCCAAGTCTGCGCTTGAAGACCTCGGCAGCATCATCGAGTTTGACGACGTGTCCGATTCCACAGAGGCCGCTGCGGGTCCTCGCGTAATGGTCAAGGTTGTTGATCACGAGTCCACATGTGAGTGCTTCTGAACACTGCCAGTGCGCCGCAGCTAACCCTCGACCAGCGGTGTATACCTGGAATCTCCACCGGTTCCAGCAACAGCTGGCTAAGATGCGCCAAGTGCTCGTCGTCAAGGATAAGCCAAACTACAGTGTACACCTCAGCGTGCACACGCCGTTCGCCGACAACCCCGCGCCGAGCTACAGCTGTATCGGTGCTGCGCGCGTGCCCCTCCGTCTCCTGTCCCACCAGATAAGCCACACAGTGACCATCCCCATCTTCTGCGCGTACACCATGGAGGCGATCGGCTCGTGCCGCGTCGACTTCAAGTGTACACCTGTGTCTGGGTCTGGAGTGGCCACACCAGACTCGATGGCCACTGCCAACGGCACCGTCCTACGCGCGCCGCCGTTTGGTCAAAAGTTTGTGTTCACGGTCACGGTTGACAATGTGAGGGGCCTGGGGTCGGACGACTTTGCCGAGGTACACGCCCAGACGCGTCTGTCGTCGCTCGTGGGACCAAGCATTGCGTCCGAGGACACATTCGCCTCAGCAGCTGTCAAGCTCGACAAGGTCTCAGTGTCGCACTTGAGTCTCCGTCGATCCCTGTCTGTGCTCGTCACCAGTGACATGGTTTCGCACCTCGCCACGGGTTACGCCACGGTCGAGTTTTTCGCCCGTGTGCGAGACGCCTACCTCGAGCGCCTGGAACGGTTCGACATCACCAAGGAGAAGGACCGTGCCGCGGAGCTCAAGCAGCTGGAGCAGCAGAGCCAGACCAACAGCGGCACTGCTACCCCGGATCGTCCGCAAATGCGCCGAGCCGAGACCGAGGTGGTCAAGACGCAGCACCACGACCTGCTTGCTAGTGTCGAGGTGCTTGAGATGGGTGCAGATGGCGAGTACGATGCCGCCGAGGTCGAGGACGACATTGTCCAGCTCCACCTCGGCGTCCAGCGCCAGCTGCGCGTCACCTTGGCCCACTCGTCTGGCCGTACACTGGAGTGGACGCGGATTGTCCACGGCAGCGTCGGCAGTGTCCGCATGCTGCCCAAAGACGGCGGCCTGCCCATCACCGTCGACTCCAAGGACGTCACTCTCCAACTGTCCAGTACGGTGCAGTACAACTCGGACGGCACGGCCCAGCTCATGGCTCGGGGAACGTGGGACTCTGCAGCGCACCACTGTGCGCAGCTCGACAAGCGCACACGCAGCGAAGAGACCATCATAGTGAAGATGACGTTCATGGTCGAGATTGAGGGCGTCGACGAGCCCGCCATCCTGCCATTGGACATGCGTGTCCGCATCATTGGGCGCGACGTGCGTCGGTCGTCGTTGCGAGCGTTCTGGCGTGCCCGGCCAGTTCACAACGTGGTGGCTATTTACACAGTGGACCTCACGCCTCCGATGGCGAGGACTGCGCGCGAACTGTGGCGCCTGGACACGGCCAAGAAGCCTGTTCCCGGAGAGAACCTGTTGGGCGGGTGGCGGCCCCGTAGCATGGCGCTGGTGCGCGAGTATGCCACGCTCGTGCGCACGCGCCGCGCCATTGCGGATGTGCAGACCACCAAGGTGGTCCTGGACGCCATCGCCGCGGACGACATCAAGGAGACATCTAGCGACGACGAGGCGGCACGCAACAAGCTGCTGGGCAGGTGCTTGGGCATGTGGCAGCGCGAGATCAACACGCGTATCGAGGTGAGTACTGTAGTAGTAACCCTTAAGACCCTAGGGTGCGGTGCCGGTGCGCCACCCCGTGTGGCGTGCCCACTACCCTCCAGTTGTGACTTGGGGCACGGACTGACGCGTTCTCTCAGTTTGACGTCGAGAAGGAAAGCGAGGCCGAAAAGGAGCTGCAGCAGCGTCTGCGTCGTCTCGTGCCCGACCTTGAGCCGCGACTGGTCCCGACCGTACGCCAAGTCACACCAAAGTGGGTACCACCAGGCTTTTGTGTTCTTTCTTTCACAGTGCTGCTGCTCTTTGCCCATGCACATGGAGCGCGGTGCCTCGGACTGCCGTCATGAGTGGACGGGCGGCGCACTCGTCCACCTCGTCGCAGCAGTTCCTCTGTGTTCTGGCACTTACAGGTCACAGTGATAGCATTATCAAACGGGGTACGCTGGCCCTCCTCAAGGACTCGAGCGAGAATATGTGGGATGAGGTACAGGCTGTGCTCCGCCCGTAAGTGGAATACCAAAGAATGTTCGGGCTCTGGAAACATCTCGTCCGCACCAGAGACCCGGATGGCCTCTCCGCGGCCTGGTTACGCGGACATTTGATACCAAACGGCAACCGGCCATGTAACATGACAGGAGACTGACACTCTCTCCCCCCCCCAGGCCGTACCTGCATCTGCATCCGGACCAGAACAAGCGAGAGACACAGGTCATCAACCTGTCCAACGCGACCGTGACGGCGTCTCCAGACGTCCAGATGCTGCTTGGTGTGAGTACAGTACACACGTCTCCCCGTGTACATTTTGCATTTAGGTGCACTTTAGACAAAAATGTGTCCGGTCCACAAAGCCCACAGCGGTGTGTGCGACCGCCCGACTCTGGTCTCGTGCCGTGTCCTGGAGACTAAAAGCGGCGTCGAGCGACAGTCGTCGTCACCCGTGACGTGACCGTCGCCGATTTGGACCGGGGGCATGTTGACCCGGGGCGGGGGATTCTGCGGCAGAGATAAGGCTTCAGGCCACTGACTGCCCACCCAGCGACGGTTCGCATTCACCGTGTATACGCCGACCAATTCGTACATTATCCAGGCGGGGACGCAGCGCGAGCTCGACGAGTGGATCACAGTCATTGGGCGGCAGCGCCGAGGATAGGACGAGGAGAGAGGAAGGAAGGAGTACTACGTACAGAAAGCGTAATTACGATGTTTAGATGGGAGAAGAGTAGCAGTACTACTTATTAGACGCGACCACCTCTTCCGATGGCAGTTATCTAACGCGCGTATCCTGATTAACGAGCTTATGAACCACTCTACATGCACGCACACACGCACACACGCACACGCACACACCTTCCACAGACGTCGGTGGTGCTCTGTGGAGTGGACTTGCTCGAAACAGTTAGAAGATGCAGAGTAGCAAAAAGTAGAGTTGGGTGCATGAGGGGTTCGCAAGGGGGATTGAAACGCGGCGGCTGGTGGGGGGCCATGGGGGACATGGGGGATGGCGGTGACGGGGTCTCTGCCGGCGGTGACGCGCGAGGATCTGATGCAATTGTGTCTCCACCTGTGCCGCGCCCCGGGGGCAGCAGTGACACCATGCCACGAGTCCAAGGGCGGCGTGGGAAGCAGTGGAGGGGGTGGTAAGCGTTGCAAAGGGGTGAGCGTTTAGAATGCTGCGCGGGAACGAGTGTGGGCGGCTGCAAGTGCAGACAAGGCGTTGTATGGGATGGTTGCTGCCTGCACAAGTTGTACGCATCTGTGTGGTGACCGCAATGAGCAGCCCAGTGGCCAGTGTCCACTCCAAACACGCGGGCCAAGACTGCGGTGATCCTCTGAAACTGGCGCCAAAATGCGTAAACATGTGGTGTAACATGTGCAGCCCAAAAAGCGTGGCCGGGCAGGTCGGAGACGGCTCTCGGTGACGGGGCGAGAAGGGGGGGTGTCGGGGCTGTCGGGAGGGCCACGGGCCACGGGGAGCCTGCCTCCAGCCTCGTCGTCGACAGCACACTGCAATGGGCCTCGACAGCTGTTTCTGTGTGAGAGCCCGTGACTCGTAAGGTTTCTTCTGCATTTGGGACAAGTTGTCGTCCACTGTTTCTTTTCCTTGTCTCTCCGCATCTCTACAACAACACAAAACTAAACGCATTGTCACCACCACCGCTACAGTAAGCACATTAACCCCCCGGTACAGCTGTGCAGTATGTTCTCCCGACCAGGATCCAAAGCCGGCGACGGGGGCACCAGAGGCCCGAATGTTTGCGCTGACTGAAGACCCCGCGCGCCAGCCCACAGCCCCCCAGCCAGGCCAGCCAGCCCACCCACCCACCCAACCGATCGTGAATTGATCCCGCGCGCCTGGCCTTGCCTCCTCCTGGCTGCGACCCCCGTCCCCCCCCCCCCTTCCTCCCCCCCAGTGTGTGTCCCCCCCCCCCGCCCCCCCCTCCATTCCAACCACACCCGGCGACGTTCACTCGACTCGCGGCTCCCCCCCATCTGTTCTGGTCCTTCTTCTCAGCCATCCACACCGCAAGCTTCATCGCCGTCGCATAGGGCTCGTCCTTGTCTTTGAGCGTACACGCAAGGGATTCCCTCGCAGCCCCGCAATCGATGGAGCAAGCGTACCCACACCACCAAAGACACTCCCGCCCACTCTCCTTTCCATCTCCTTTGGAACAAGCAACAAACGCCTCCAGCGATCACCTTCCCTCCGTTCACAGAGTACAGCAGCCCGCCGCGACGAGCGCTCAGGCGCACTCCGTGCGCCGCGATCCACTCTACCGCGACCTACGCGAAGAGCGTTCTCCACGCCAACACGAGTACGCCGCCGCCGCCGCCGCTGCGACTGTAGGACGTCGCTTCGACTACGCCTACCTCGCCGCCAGCAGCGGAGAACGTGATCGAGACCCGCTCCCGCCGTCGACCTCGTTGGACCGCGACCGCGACCGCGACATCGACGTCTACAGGGAACCCCGTGGCGACGAACATCATCTCCGAGACTTTGTTCACGGCCCGCCACCACTCCGACGGCTGTCGGCACCATCTGTGTCTCTGCCTCCCCCGCACAACAACTCGGCGGGTCCCCTTCCTCCCCTTCCATCCCCGTCTGCGCTTGCTCGCCACCCACACCGATCCTATCTTCCCCCACCATCCCTTGCACCGCGTTCACACGCACCACCACCGGCCATCTCCATCCCGACACTGAGTGCCAGTGCCGCCCGCTACGCAGACCAGCCGCAGACTGCGCCGCTCCAGCACAGCAGCTTTGCGCGTCTCCAACCGCCCCCACCGCGTAGTGCCGGTTTACGCCCAGCGTCGCCCGCCTTCCCACCGTCGTTTGCGCGCCAAAACTCGCATTTGGCACCACCCTACGGCGGATCTGCAACCTCGTCGGCTTCGTCTTCTATCGGACTGGACGAGCGTGCCCTTCGTTCTCCACACCCGCCCCTCACAGCAATCTATCCCCAAAGCCACCAGTGGCCACCACCACTTGCCTCTCTCCTCGACCACCGCGACTTGCGCGACCCTCTCCTGCGGGAAGCGGTTGTTGACGACTTTTCGCGCCCATACAGAAGCTCGCCCTTGGCAGACGCCCAGAACTCGTTGTCGTCGAGTTCCTACTATCATCCTACGCGCCCAGAGTACCCAGACTACTCGCAGCCGCCATCCCATCCCAAACACCCAGCCTCTCCCTCCTTTATTTCGGCGCCGCCGCTTTTGCACATCCAGCAGCAGCATCAGCAGCAGCCCCGTGACTCTCCCCTCCGTATCCCCCCACCTCTCAAGTTCAACTACTCTGCATCTCCACCACAACTAGCCGACAACATGCCGCCTCGTAAAAAGGCTGCTGGCTCGACTGCCACCATTACTAGCACCCCTGCCACTGTGTCATCAACACGAAGCTCGCGCCGTATTGCGGGCTCGGGTGGCGCGCCTACCTCAAAGGGCAACGGTTGGACCACAGAGTACACGTATGATTCTGTCGGACAGCCAAAGGAGGTCGTCGTCGTTCACGACAGCGCAAGCCCGATCCCCAAGAAGAGGACTCGCGCAGCAGTGGCCGCGGCCGCCGCTGCCGCTGACAAGTGGACCAACGGCCTTGTGAATGGCGCTGCGGCCAAGAAGCGCAAAGTGGAAGAGGAAGAGGCCCTTGCCAAGAAGGCAAAGAAGCCTGCCTCAACACAAGCACAGGCTGTGCCAGCACTCCCCGTCGCCCAGCCAGCTGCTGCTGCTGCTGCGGCGGCGGCGGCTACCACGTCTGCGGCTCCAGGTCAACCGGCCGTTCCAGCGTGGGACGATCCCGAAGGCCACTACATTGTCAAGCCAGACGATGTCATTGCCGGACGATGTAAGTTTGACGTGTTTCGGGAAGAATGGTGTTGCTGACAACCATCTGCAGATAAGATCGTTCGACTGCTTGGACAAGGCACTTTTGGCAAGGTCGTCGAGGCGCGGCACATCGAGTCGAGGAAAAAGGTCGCCATCAAGGTCATTCGCGCCGTGCAAAAGTACCGTGACGCGAGCAAGATTGAGATTCGTGTTCTCGAGACACTCAAGAAGAATGACGCCACCAACGCGTACAAGTGTATCCACTTGACAGAGTATTTCGACTATCGCAATCACCCCTGCCTCGTCTCGGAGCTCTATGGCATGAGCGTGTTTGACTTTTTAAAGCTCAACCACTTCCAGCCGTTCCCCGAAAAGCATATTCAGGACTTTGCAAAGTCGTTGCTGTCGAGTGTGCAGTTTTTGCATTCGCTCAAGCTCGTTCACACGGACCTCAAGCCGGAGAACATCCTGCTCGTGCACAACGAGTCACGGCTGCAAGGACCTCGTCGTGCCAATGCCCGCTCAAAGTCAATCTTGCGCAACACCGATATCCGTCTCATCGACTTTGGCTCGGCAACGTTTGAGAACGAGTACCACTCGTCAGTGGTTAGCACACGCCACTACCGTGCACCAGAGATTATCCTAGGTGAGCACAGACCCGGGAACCTGCGCGGCTTGTCTTACTAACTCTCTCAGGCCTGCCATGGTCGTACCCGTGTGACATGTTCTCGATCGGCTGTATCCTTGTCGAGTTCTTCACTGGCGACGCATTGTTCCAAACGCACGACAACCTCGAACACTTGGCAATGATGGAGGTCGTCATGGGCAAGATGCCAGCGCGCATGGTCGAACGTGGAAGGCTCAAGAAGCCCGAGTTTTTCAAGGGCCACAAGATCGACTTTCCCAACCCCTCAGTGTCCAAGAGTTCGCGCAAGTTTGTCAAGGGTCTCAAGTCGTTGCGTGACATTATCCCATCGACCAACAACACCAACGCACTGTTCCTCGACTTGATCGTTCGCTTGCTAGACTTTGACCCCGAGCTGCGAATTGACGTCAACAAGGCGCTCGACCACCCATACTTGCGCGCCAACATTCCCGAACCCCCGTAGATGAATGGATGTAGCAGCACAACTCAAAACAATCCCCACCCATCCCACCATCACCACCACCACCACCACCACCACCACCACCACCACCACCACCACCACCCACACGACTGCTGGATGGAGAGCCACCCAGACATTGCTCTCCCGAGGTTTTCAACAATCAACATGTGTCGGATATCTCTACCAACCACTTTGGACTCTGTATACTTTGGACCCCCACCCGCAGCCAGGCGGTATCGGCCCCTCACTCACACCCCCGCCCCCCCAATCTCCCACGGCCGCGTCTCTCCCCGCATCTAATTTCCACTTCTTTCGCGTTTCCATGAGTCAAAGCATGCCGTAGTAGTCACTGTTGGCTCTGTATTGTGTCATGTTAGGAGCAGAGAATCTGAGAAACACAAAACGGGGGACATCAAGGTTGCAGAAAGGTGGCGGTGGTGTAGGACTGATGAGTAGGACTTATCATGACAGGAGGCAGCTGTAGAATGGACGGTGCTCGGCACCCTGCACAACATATTTACATCTTGGTGTACGCAAGAGGGTCGGGCAATGGCTATTCTACAAAGCATCCTCCGAGCTTCTGGCAATGACTATTCTACAAGCATCCTTGGTCCGTCCAGCGGACTCTTCAAACTCCAATGTATCATGTCACGAGAACGTCGTGTGCGTGGTCTGACGGGGGAGAGCAAAGTCAGCTGCCACCCCTTGCGTCCTTTGGGTTGCACGTACCTGTTTTTGAGTTCGTACTGAGCAGGGAGGGGGGGGGGTCTTCTTGACTGGGGCTCAAGCGTCCGAGTCGTCCTGGTAGGCGTCCAGGCTCCTCTGGATACGCTTGGCCACTTGGTCGGTGTGTCCCCAGTTCAGAAAGACGCTGTCTGGGGTAGCGTAGTGAATCTGCCCAATGACTGGACCGTGCTGGCTGACGAGGCCATGGCGGATGTCCGAGTAGTCGTACGCGGGAGGCAGGCCCTCGGCCGCTGTGACCTCGTCGCCCAAAGAGAACAAGAAACCGGCCTCGATCTCGTATCGCTTGTGCACTGCGAGCATCCCCTTGAGCTGATCGTTTGCCGCGCGGGTGGGCAGATCCAACTCTAGGCCATCGCGATGCTGTAGTGGCGCGAGCTGCAACCAGTAACCAGTAACCTCGGGCGGCGGCGGATTCGAGTCGATGGGGATGGGGCACTGGACCCCGAGTCCCTGGGTGACTTGCTTCGTAAAGGAAATCCAGAAGGCCGTGTCGCGAGTAGCGGTACCATACGCCTCGTTGGGGTCGACAGAAAGGTAGGTTGCGCCCTCTTTAAGGTTGTTCACCTGGCTGAGACGCTTGACGGAGGTCTCGTGCAAGAGGGGGAGGACCCGGCGCACACCATTGGTGACGACCGCGTACGATGCAGTGATTGTGAGGCCGGAAAGGTATGGTTCTGCAGTCAGCTTTGGCACCTGCGGCGCGCTTACCGATGAGTGGGGTCTTGCGGATGAAGACGTGAAGTGAATGAGTGATGCCGTCTTCGGGGCCTTGGACGCCAGTCATTTCCGAGAAGTGCTGGGACAGGGCGCGATTGAGGTAACCCGAATGGGTGTTGCCAGACACCCTAAAGTTCCTGGTGCAGCTGGCGCGCTTGAGGACCTTGTTGCTCTGGGAGGACCAAAGGTACGCGCGCAGCTCCTCGAGCTTGTCGTTGGTCTTGGAGTCCCGGGTGGCGACGGAGCGGGGCATTTCGCGGATGATGGAGCGCACCTTCTCGTCGTTGAGGTCGAGAGGGTCGAGTTTCACGCAATGTATCGTCACAGCTTCAAGTGTGGGCAAAATAGTGCTGGGGGTAGGGGACGATGTGGCCATTGTGGAGAAGGCGACCAGAGAAGGTGTGTCGATTGAGGGACGGGTGTTGGTGATTGAGAGACGTGGCGACACGACGAGGAGCGGCGAGACTGGCGCCACGACAGTCTTGCCCCGTGTGGCCCGTGGGTCAATGTTTGAGACCCATCCTGCGCCCGGAACACTGGTTTTACACGTTGCCTAGACTACTCAGCGCCCGTCGTTCACCATCAACAACCTCACACACCTGTAATCGTTGGTGAAGAGCTCGACATCCTCACCCTCACCCTCACCCTCACCCTCGCCTCCCCATCCAGTCCTCTCAAGCTAAACGGCTCTGAACCACCCGACCGCAACAGCAAGACTGTTTGCGTGAGCTGCGCCCCACATGTCTAGCACAGCGGCGGCGCTCGCATTCCTCACCACGGCCCTCGATGCTTTTGCTCAACAGGATCAAGATCGCAGATGGGTAATCTACCCTGGTCTGAGAGATCTTACGTGGGTGGCTCAAAGTCTTGGGAGGATGGTGTTGCGAGACGTGTGCAGAACTCACACAGCGCCAGCAACGGCAACCTCGTCCAGATCACCATGGGAGCGGTGGCCTACCGCAAGAAGGTGCACGCGGTCTTGACTATGCTGCGCGACAGTCTCGTTTGCGACCGCATCAGGTGCCTCCGTGATTACTGGCATGCCACTGCCAAGATCCTTGGAGCCGTCCCCATTAGCATTAGTGCTGTGGCACAGGTGAGATTGTCCTCTTACACCCAGATCATTGACGCCGCTAGATTATCGACCAAGTCGTTTTGGGCGCGGGTGGCGGTTTGACCAGGGAGGATTTCAACGTCGACAGTCAAGTCGGTGCCCACATCTCGGCGAGTGAGGGTTGCCAGCTGGTCATGAACGGTCACGCTGTTGGCCGTCGGCCCATTCCAGTCCCGTGGGACTACGAGTTTTCCATTGGCGACGGCGGCACGGTTAACTGGCTTCTCGTTAGCGAGAGGAGCGCGTTGGCCCAGAGGGAGGTGCTTGAGAACCAGGACATTGGGCCAGGCATCGTAATCTCGGTGAGTTAAGCTCCAATTGGAGGAGTGAAACATGGGCTGGCGAGATTGTGGCAACGACTGATTTATCAGACTAGTGGTGCATCCGGCTTCGCATGCCGAGAGTTGGTCTCCCAGCTAAGCGAGCAGTACCGTTCGGTCCCGGTCATCGGCTTCTCGGACTTCACCCCGGATGGCATGCGTCTTATTGCCACCTTGAAGTATGGCGGTCGGTTCGCCGCTCAACAGGTCGATGGCGCAACCACCCCTAGGCTTGTCCGTGGCGGTCTCTCGGCCACGCAGGCCATGAGGTAGGTAATATAGGTGATGTGGCGGCGAGGCCCCCGTGTCACCGCCGTGCATGGCAGTTCCAGAATACGATAAACGCATACAGTAGTCTGACATTCCTAGTGACATGGGTCTGGACCTCGATACGCACTTTAAGCGACTCACAAAAGGGGATCACGCAACAGTAAGGATCGTGAGAGAGTTGTTCAGAACTATTTCATTACCTAGAATTACCTGACCGTGACAGATCGAATCGTTACTTTCCGACCCCGACATCCCTGCTGCGTGGAAGTATGACCTCAAGGTCATGAAGGCCCTCAAGATCAAGACCGACCTCAATGTGACCGGCCCCATCGAGGACGTCCTGCTTGAATGTGTGGTGCGCGTCATCAAGCAGGCCCAGAAGAGCGCCACCTCGGCATCTGGGAGCTAGGAGAGTAGGAGCATGGGATACAAAGAGGCGGTGTGATCAGACTTGGGGCCGCATGTGGAGACCAGCCATGAGTTGCGTTGAGGCGAAGGAGATCTCGACAGGAGCGAGCGTATCGAGGAAGAGTCTCGGGCATGTAGTCGGCCCGATAAGCGAATACACGTGGGAATGGGGAGATGGAGTCTGTAACTGCTTGTTCATTCGGTCCGTCCCTGTTGATGATTGATATATTTCACTGTTCTGCGGCAAGTCGCACTCCCTCCCACCACAAATTGACTGCGTAGAGCACACTGGTCCACTGGTCCACTGAGCTCGACCACTCGAGACTCGCTCACCAAGGGCGTTCTGACAGCCCTGGGCGAGTGCACCCCGCCTCGCAAGCCGATCGGCTGAACAGCCCCACTACCACTAGGTACTGATTTCCTGATCCACCTGCGGCAGAGTCACATTTGGGCCCTTTCGCCTGCTTGACGCTTGACAGTGCGGAATGGCACATGCATGTACGGCGTGTGCGCGTGTGTGCGTGTCTTCCATGTGCGTGTGTCGCGTATCGCCAGTCAATGTGCTCGATGTTCACATGCAAACCCCGCTGCACGGCCCGACCTCTGCGCCCAAGCCCTACCTGTGGCCTGTGGTGTCTGTGGAGCGGTAATCAGTGTAGCCCCCCTGCTCATGAGACCTCGCGCGGGCCACTGGACAGAAGCAAGAAGCAAGAAGGAACCGCTGGCCACCGTGTTCCAATAAGCATGTCCAGTCCATGCCACGGCAACATGTCCCTCATCCTCTTCATCCCTCACCTACTCGTCCTTGCAAACAACACCAGCGTCGACTACCATGCCCCCCAACAAGAGTGACAGCGACTTGGACTACGACGACGACAAGTCGGCGCCGGTCGAGGTGCCCAAGAAGGTGAGCTGCAAAGGACCCCTCAACAACGCAGCCTCTGACCACACCCTCAGTGCAAGGCGACCGGCGCGGACGAGGACAATGGCGAGAGCGGTGGAGAGGACGTCGAGCTTCTCACAGCGGTGAGCTGAAGAAAAGGACCGCTACATCGCACCACACGGCCGCTGACATACCCATAGGAAGAGATGGCGACGGCCAACATCAACTACAACAACACCCTCGAGTACTGCAGCTTCCTGACCGGAGTTGTCAACGAAATGCTCGTCAAGAGCGGACGTCCCGCATGGGACGGCATCGTGCCCCCGCGCGATCAGTACCACGAGTACATCAAGAAGTACCGCCTCGGCGGTGGCGCCCCCTCTGCGGGTCCCAGCGCACCCAAGACGCCGCCCTCTCCCCCCACTGCGCCCCACGCGAGCGACTCTCATCCCGACGGCGGCGACGTCTCGGTCTATGACCCGAAGCCAAGCCGCGCCTATGAAGAGGTCAACGCTCGTATCACCCAGTGCTGCGGCGTTACCGACGACTCGTCTGATGCCTGTTTCCGTTTCTCCCTCTTCGTCTGCGCCGAGCTCCACACTGCCCATACCCATTGCCCATTTGAAGGCGAGCACGACCTCGACGACCAGCACGACCTCGACGACGACACGGGAGAGGCCTACATGATCGAAAAGGCGTGGGACGTCGTCGAAAACATCTGGAAGGACGCTGGTCTCTCAACCGAAATTGTGAGTGCCACCAATCGGAAAGTGCTGACTGGGCAGTCCGAATCCAAGGCCCAGCAGCTCGCCCTCGACCTCGTCGTCGCTTCCGCTGTCGCCTGCCACCGCAGCGGTATGAAGATTGTCGCCGAGAACCTGGTCGACGCGGTGGGCGTGATGATCAAGAAGGCAGGCAAGGAGGCCGCTCCTTAAACAATAGCGGAATCCACATCAAGGGTGTTGCGATCCAACACGAATCAAGCAGTGGCGAGGGCGAACAGCGTGAGCGTGGTGTAGTAAACGGAACGGAATACCTATGTAGTAAACGGAGCGGTAGATGTAGTAAAGGGAGCAGTAGTAAAGGGGAATGAATATACAGACGAAGAGAGATAGCAATCAATGTACCAATGTGTCTATACCGTCCCCTCAGAACAGCTCCTCGGGACATAAACCTGTGGCACACGTCAACAGGGCAGTAACACAGCAGTAACACCGACAATCGTCTTCAAGCATCTCATGGGAGTGAAAGAGCGCCCAGCACTCGGCACAGAGTGTTGGAGATGCGGAGAGCGTGAGGTACCGTGATAACAGTACGAGAGTCCAAACAGTCCCCCGCTTGTATCTCAAACCAAAACAGTGCAACGAAGAACCAAGTTTTCCAAAAGAAAAATACGTTTGGAAACAGGAAAAAATGGTGTCCCTCTCATTTCGACGAGACATTTGCCTCGTTCACCGGATGGTCTACATCCAAGGGTCTACCTACACTCCGCCTGCGACGGGATTCAGCGATGTCCCTCAGTCCAGATGTCAAAAAGCTCATGTCCATGAACCTGCTAGCGTTCCCACAACTCCAACCACGACGTCGGCTGTAGTCGTAGCCTACCCCAGTATGGCCCAGTGCCATATAATCCGTGCGCGTCATGCGGTGACGCATGGCCATCGACCGCCCCTTCCCTCACACGGTCCCACGTATGCACACGCACGAAGGTCTTCCACTGGCTGCTGATTAGCGGGATAAATGGGTGGCCGCCTGGAGAGAACCCCACCCGGGGCGGCCGTCAACGCATTAGGGGAGAAAACAAATACGGGTTCTAAACGATGCGGCCTTGCTAATCAGCCGCCCGAAACACATAGACAAGTCGTACACGCCATGCCGGTCCACCACAGGGTGCCTATGGTGTGTTTCCTAAATTGGCGAGAAACACACACACAAGTCGCCAACGCAATGCGGGTCGCCCATGGTGTGTTTCCTCGGTCCGCTGGCCGGCTTAGCCCACCCAATGCGCCCGGCGCCCGGCATTCGACAACTACATGCGCGGTATCTGTGTAATATTAATCTGTGCGCTCTGTGTGGCAGTAGACTGGGCTGGGCTGGGTCACATAACTAGCTGGAGCATGGGGCTGCACCTATGGAAAGACGGCCAGATTACAAAATGAGATTACAAAAGGATTACAAAATTACAAAAGTGTTTCTATCGCATATCCCCAAATATTGAGTCTAAATGCAGCCGAAATACCGGGGCGTTCCGGGCCGGCCCGCCGGCGGCAGTGACCACTGGGACACTACTGTAGGTGGGTGGGTGGGTGGGGGGGAGGTGCTGCGGAAAACGTCGGCGCCCGTGAGCTGAGGCCCGTGAGTGTATCTATCTGTGATTTATCCAGGACGCGACCTAGGTGACTGGACAAAGACGACAAAGACGACAAAGACGAGTGAAGTACAGGATTGTTAGGCGACACTTCGATTCGGAACACATCGTCACCTGTGGCCGCGACCACACGTGTCTCAGCCGCGGGCCCATGGGCCCAGCCACCCAAACGCACGTCTGCAGCTCAATACGTCACCGCTGGGTGCGCTGCTTCGGGTATCTCTCTATTTGGGGGCGTGATTAAAAAGTCGTCGAATTTCAGTCACATTTGGGTTGGGGCATTTTGCCGAGGTGGCACCCCGGATGTTGGCAGGTCAAAGTCCAGCTTGCCAAGACTGCACGGCGGCCCGCCGAATTGAAGGACAAAAGAACACAAAGTATCGCGCGCCGTAGTGGTTGAGTAGAGGTCATAGAGGTCGGGCATGGGGCAGCAGCCAGTAAGAGCATTCCCTGCTGTCAGCGAGGGGCACCTCCGGTGGCTCGGTGTGGGGCCATCGGCCGACTGGCGAGAGCACCCGAGATGCCGCTGGCGCTGTCAACAGAGCTCCCAACACTCTCATCTGCGGTGGATGAGAACTCGGCCATGCGGACAAGATGCTTTGGGATGAAATATGGTGATATGGCGATGAAAGGTGGTTTGGGACAGCGACCGCCACAGCGTGAGTAGAAAACGTCCGGACAGCTCTGTTGCGACGATAAGAGAGACGGGAGAGCTATAATGTGTGTTTGCATATTCCTCTAGAACTATGCCGCCTGTAATCTTCCTCAACGCGTCGGTAGGGGGCGCAGGGGCGCTTACTTGCACTCCTTCTGTAAGGGGGGTTAGCAAATGTCCACACAGGTTGTCCAATCGGTCCAATCGTCCTAAACTCACGTCCATGAACCTGTGAGAGCGTCAGTAAGTGTTCCAGAGTGTTCCTATGCACCCACGCGATGAGGTCGTTCCTGTCCTTGGCCTTCTTCAGGCCGGCGAAGGCCATCTTGGTGCCAGGGATGTATTTCTTGGGGTTCTCAAGATACTGGACGAAATGTCAGTAGTGGACGGAGAAAAAGGTGGAAGTGATCGTCGGGATCGTCGGCGGAGCAGCAATGGATACCGCTGAACCTGCGACCCCTTCTGCATCTTGTGCTCACCTCGAAGAGGGTCTGGCCCTCCCACACAACGCCCTTGTTGACGTTGGCGGCGGTGTAGGTGAAGCCCTCAGCCTGGCCCGACTTGCGGCCGAAGAGACCGTGGAGGTTGGGGCCGACCTTGTTGGCGCCGCCAGCCTCGAGGGTGTGGCACTGAGCGCAACGGGTCTTGAAGATACCAGCGCCCTTGGCGACGTCTCCTAGAGGGGTAGTCAGCGACGTGTCCTGCTAGAGGGAAGCACCGCGAGTGGAAGGAGCATGGCGGAGCAGAGTAGATTGGGCGCGTTGGAAAATACTCGGCTAAGCGTCCATGAAAATGTATGCACGACGAGCCGGTTCCCAGCGGCGCACAGCCGCATCTGCCTGCTCCTTCATGCTGCCTCGCAGCTTTGCGGTGCTGTCCAGGCGGGGGTGTATTCACCGGGAGTGTAAGACATTTTTGAGTAGATTGTTTGGTGGTGGTGAGTGAAGAGGAGGGCAATGGATTGGGGGGCCGTTAAATGTCAGGCGTGCTGTCCGTTTGCGGCTCCGTTTGCCCGTCCGAGCCTTCCCGACGCCCCGGCCCTTAAGTTCTGGCAAATGGGGGGCCAGCCTAAGGTCAGGTGGTGCGCTGAACGATTGAACCAATCCGAACCCGCACTTTCTTACCAAAGGTCCGCCCAGGAATCACCGCCACACACAGGTAGGTGCGCCTCAGTAGGCATCCGCCACATCTGACACGCCTACACAGATCGTCCATGCAATCCACTCTCCGTCCTGGCGTCCTTTGCTCGCCTGCACACAACGGAGGTTCCTCCTCTAACACCTCCATCTCTATCAATCAACAATGGTAAGTCTGGCCTCTCCCGGGACTAGATCGTGCACTGACAATGCAGGGCGGCGGCGTGAGTGTTCTGAACGTGCAGCCCGAGCTTGGTGGACCGTCGCGGCGTCGGACACCGTGGAACAGAGGGTCCACTCCGAGAAGCTGAATGCTAACACTTGCAGTCGCACTACCCTTACCCTAAGGAGGTCTGGTCCCCTAGTGGTGGGTGTCTTGAACGATGGTTGCGAGCAATCGAGAGCGTCGGGCTTGTCGGCGAGCGCGCGCGAGTTGGAGCGGGAGCGACAGCGGTGAGGGCAATGTTGGGAAGAGGAGGCCTCAGGCCTCCTCAGACATGGTTCCACCATCTGCTCAGCAGCCGCTATGCGGCTCATCGGTCTGAATGTCGGACGCTTGGGAAGCTACAGATCCCGAGAGATCGACCTCTCAGAGTCCACTTGTCGAGTACAACTCCCGCGACGCCTTGCCGGCGCGCTCCGCAACGAACAGCAATCGACAACTGTTGAATCTCTTGGAGCGGGTTGCTAACTTTAACAGGCGGTTGGTGGTCGCGTCCCACGAACTGGGCGGCCAACACTGCTGTCTGCATCTTTGGCATTGGTCTCGCTACGTACGGCGTCTGGCGCGTCTCGGCTCGCAACGAGGTGAGTGGAGTGGACAAGGAAGGAATGGGCAACCACATCGAAGATGTTGGTCGGCTATGATCTTGCGATGCCCTGGGCTACCAGCTCTAGTCGGCATACAAGCAGCACTGGAGTACCTGTAACGACCACAAGCCAGACCCCAGCTGTGGTCTACCTGTGTTTGAAGGTGCACATGCCCGCAGCATCAAGCCAGTGCCCTCTTCTGCATGTTCTCTCAAGAGTACCCGCTGACACTCTCCAGGTCCGCCACATCGCTCCCACCAAGGCTATCCCCTCGCAGCGCTGGTCTCCTCAGGCCGCCGAGATCGGTGTGCGGAAGGAGTAGAGGCTTCTTCAAACAGTAGAATGGATGAAAGCGGCTTTACAACGGACACATTGCCGAGGTTGAAGGTCAGCGTTGCACAAGAGCAGGTTTCAGTTGGCGGTGGTGTTGAAGACGCTTTCTTGTTTCTAACTTTGATTGTGTTTGCAGTGTGCCCAGCAGCGGACGATCAAGGACTGACGAGGCTACGCAAGCAAAGCCCAGATGGCCATTGACCATTGGGTCTCGGTGGCAACCGGTCACCTTAGCGATATTGACTGCAGTCCCCGCACAGTGCGGCCCAATCATTTCGCGCCCAGTTCATGACACTGACACGAGTCTTGGCCGTTTCCTTGGCTCGGTACTGGACGTCTGTCTCCCACTCTTAGCAGGCGGTCTGTTTGTTGTCTAGAAACTTCAAGAATGGTATAGTAGTGCACCAAGGTAATCAGTTCTACAACCACATAGTATACTCAAGGTCCCCTAGTTCGTATACAGTGCGTGCTCTCGCTCGCTCTCTCTCACGCGATTATTTCCCTCTCCCTCCCCAGTTCCCTCTCCCTCCCCAGTTCCCTCTCCCTCCCCAGTCGCCCCAGCATTATCTCTCGCTCTCTCAATCTCAATCCGAGTCCGAATCCGAAGCGTCGTCGATGTCCGAGATGACTCCCTCACTGAGAAAGGTGTCAGCATGGTGAGAGCCCGTCGCGTCTGCTGTCCTCAGAATGGGTGACAGATACAGCAGACTGTGCGCTTCCAGTAACACTCACCGAGCAAGCAACCCCCTGAGCCCGTCCGCGCCGATATCAAAGTCGACGCGCACCCATGTCCGCTCGAGGTCGCCATCCCTGTACGCAAGGAGCGTAGGCAGGACGTCGGGGTCGGCCTCGCGCTCGCCATCGTCATCGTCAAGTTCCACAGCGGCGGTCTCGTCACGCGCAGGCATGCCGAATCCCAGGGCGCCAGCACGGGCGCGAACGATACAGGTGCCCGTGCGCGCGAGGCGCGTCGCTTCCGCAAGCAGAGGCAGACACCGGTCCACGTCCTGCGTTCAGGTGTCAGTTCACGTCTAGGTGGCAGTAGTGTATCCGGTCGTGGGTGGCTAGTGCAGTGGCGCGCCTGGGGGCTTGTCGTTCACCCGCCGTAGCAAAGTGTGTAGTTGGAGCTCGGATCGCGGCACCCCTTGGCGGTTTGGGATGGTACCACCACCACAACCAGCAGCAGCACACCAGTGCACCGGTTACCGTTGCACCGGATATCCCAGCACACTCGACCGCAGACACAACTCACCGGCTCGTAGATCAACACCAGGGCCCAGCCCTTCCTCTCCACCGTGGAGAGGAACGTCGCCGCGCCAATCTCGCGCAACCCCCCTCGCCCAGCTTGGAGCGTTGTCATGCGCTGAGCGCGCCACTTCGCCTCGAGGTCGTCTTCTTCCCGCTTTTCCTGGTCCGTGATCCTCGTCTCGGCCATCTTGGACCGCAAGACATCCTCGTCGTGGACCGTCGACGCAGTGATAGCGCCCTTCTCCTGCCTGGCCCGCGTGGACTGGAGTTCGGCACGCGACTGTGCAGCGGCGTGTGCCTTTGCGCTGCGCTGGTCGGCGATGACGCCCTTGGGGCCCGTCTTGGGGCCCTTGCGGCGCGGAGACGGGGAAGAGGCGTATGGGTGCGACGAGGCTGGTGGGGCCGCGGCCAGTGGCGACGACGGGCGCGAGAGGTCGTCCTCGCTGTCCTCCTCGTCGCGGCTGTCGACCGAGTGCCGCGATGGCGAGATGCTGCGGTTACTGAACAGGGTACCGTCCAGCGCGGCGTTCTCGAGCGCGGCCATGGTGTTGGTGTGGGTGGGTAGGTGGGTGGGTGGGTGTTGGTAGTCGTAGCGGTGGACGAATGTCAAAGAGAGACGGTGAGAGAGACAAAGAGGGCAATCGCAACACTCGTGGCTTGCACTTTTGAAGCCAAATACGAACTGAGATCCCATCAACCCGGCGGAGGTCCCTGCTCGGGCGGCGGGCGAGGCACAACCGTCCGTTATTTGTCTCACTCATCGCGGGCCGTCCTCCCGACCGCGTCTCTCACACCGCGCATAGCACGACTGCGAGTGGGTAGCTTGTACCCGCCAGCGAGAGATGGCTGTTACAGGCAGGCCCCGCCTCTCCAGCCGGGTGCGTCTCAGTGCCTCATGTGAGGGAGTTCCCCGCTTCTGTGTGCGCGCTGAGAGACCCGTGACACGCAAATGACGTCTCATACATGGCTCTATCTGATGTTCACTCCTGTCACGAAACGCCAACTGGGTCGAGACACCTCCTACGTCATGAACCCCACCGTCTCCCTAGTCATCACCGTCGTCCCTCTTGCGCTTCATCTCGCGCGTGACCTTTTGCCTGGCTGCTTCGTGGCGAGACAGCTCCGGGTTCATGGTCGACATTGCGCTCTTTTGAATCTCATTCTTGAGCTCAAACATGACTTCGTCGTCGTTGTTGTCCAGGAACGTGATCGCAACACCAGTCTTTCCGGCACGACCGGTACGACCGATACGGTGGACGTACTTCTCGATCGTGTCAGACATCTGCCAGTTGATAACGAGCGAGACATCGGGCACGTCGATACCACGACCTGCCAGGTCGGTAGCCACCAGTACGGAGACGGAGCCATCACGGAGAGCCTGGAGCGATGCCTCACGCTGTTCTTGTGATTTGCCCGAGTGCAGTGAGATGGCGGACATGCCTGACTGCTGGACATACTTGACGACGACGTCGGCGGTAGACTTTTGGTTGACGAACACGATCATGGGTGGAGGGAGACCAATGGTGCGCAGAATGTCGATAAGACGTGCCTTCTTCTTGTCCTCGCCGTGGACAAACTCGACACGCTGCTCAACAGTGTCGACCGCCTCACCGGCGTTACCGATGGTGACAGTCGCGGGCTTGCGAAGGTACTTGCGGGTCAGGCGTTCAACGGCGGGGGGCATGGTGGCCGAGAAGAGGGTCATGACGCGGTCGGTCGTGCCATCGTCAGACTCCTTGGCTGTGGGCATGGCATCGAGGATAAACGTCAGATCCACCTCGAAACCTAGGTCGACCATACGGTCTGCCTCGTCCATGACCACGTAACGGCATTGGGACATGACGACCATCGACTTGTCAACCATATCCTTGAGACGACCGGGGGTAGCAATGATAATGTGCGCACCATTGCGGAGGTTGAACTGCTGCTCCTCAACAGAGCGACCACCCACAATCGAGACACAGGTGTAGCCGAGGGGCACGGCAAACTTGGCGGTCTCAGCCTCGATTTGCTGCGCCAGTTCACGCGTAGGGGCCATGATGAGGGCGTACGGGCCAAGGTGGCGGTTTTCGTCGGTGAGAGGGGCGAGGCGCGAGATGTACGACAGCATGGGGATGACAAAGGCGGCAGTCTTACCGGAACCCGTCTTGGCGATACCGACGAGGTCACGGTTCTGCATACCAATCGGGATAGCCTGGCGCTGAATGGGACTTGGCTCGGTGTAGCCAATCTGGTCCACAATGTCAAGGACAGTCGTAGGGATATCACTCTCCCGCCAGAATCGCAAAGGATGGGGAATGTTGCCACCGCGCGACGAAATGCTGTAGTCTTCGCGGAAAATGCGCCAGTCACGCTCGCGCATCTCGCCGAGCGGCTTGTCACTCCAGTGTCGGTCGTCGTTGCTGCCCTTGCCCGCACGACGCCTCTCCAGGGCATCCACGAACTTATTGTCTCCCGGGGCGGGTGACCCGGCGTTGCTGGTAGCGGCGCTTCCTGGCCTAACACCTTCACCAGGTGGTGGCCCGGCCCACAGGGGCTTGGAACTGGTGTCATCGGCCGCGCTCCACTCAAAGATGGCATTCTTGTTTGTGCTTTTGCGCATCCATGGCTTTTTCACGACATCGTGCTGGCCAAGGTATCGCTTCTTGATAATGTCGAGATCCGATTCAGGAGCAGCGGCAGCAGCACCACCTTTGCCTTTTGACGGACCAGCGTGGCCGTTGGAGGCGCCATTTGCCCCATTACGCTGAGCTCCACCACCACGGCGATCGTCACGGTAGCGTCCATCGTTCCGGTCGTCGCGGTGTCGTCCATCCCGTCCACGGTCATGGCTATCGCGGTAGTCCAGTCCGCCATCACGCCCGTCTCGTCCATCACGGTCGCGGCCAGCGCCAACTGCAGTCATCAGCAAGTGGTCCAACTGTTGTAAACAAAAACAATATTGCCTCACACCTGGAGCTGTCCTGAGTCCTTCGCCTCTCCTCATCCGCACGACGTTCAAAGTCAGAGTGCTGCTTCTTGTCATCCGCCTCGCGCTGCTTCAGATCCTTGACCTCGGCTTCGCGCTTCTCGAGAGCAAGGCGTGCGCGTTCGGCCTTGGACAGGAACTTGGGCTGTGGTGCTGTTAGTAGAGAAAGGAGACACAGCCACAGCTCTAGGGCTTACCTTGGCAGCAGCCTCGCGGTCTGCCTTTTGCTTGGCGAGAATGTCCTCGACAGAGAGGGGGCCAGCCATGGTGATTTGAAGACGACAGAATAACCGAGCGAAGATGGAGTTGGTCGATGGACATCTCATTGAGTGGCGAGCGTGCGGTGACGGAATCAATAGATACCGCCAATGACGTGTATTACCCCGCGGGGGATCGCCCCATTGCCGCTTCAACGGGGTATCTTGCTCGTCATGCTCTGTGCCATTTCTCGACTTTGTTCATTCACTCATTACAGGTTATACCTCTGTCAAACATGGTCCAGTGCATCATCTCCCCCTCGGTCCTCGCTGTGAGTCTACTTATGTCGGTCAGTGGACATGTTCCTAACTCTCCAGTCCGACCTCTCCAACCTCAGCGGAGAGTGCCAGCGCATGATCAACAACGGCGCCGACTGGCTGCACATGGGTACGTTGGAGGAGGACTGGGAGAGGCTTTGCTAATGGCCAGACGTCATGGACGGGTACGATAGGTCCACTTTGTGCTGAGCTGACTCTAGTCACTTTGTGCCCAACATCACCATGGGCGCACCGATCCTCACTTGCGTCAAGCAGAACGTCCCCGAGATCTTTATGGACTGCCACATGATGGTGTCGGACCCTGCCAACGTGAGTCGTGACTGCTTGGGGCTGGAACCTTGCATGGATAGAAACCGCTCTCGAGGAAATGGTACTGCTCTCGGAGCCCCGACTTGTGTTTCTCAGCAATGACCGACATCGGTGTTCAGACATGATCGAGATGTGGTCTTCACGTCCGCACGTTACGGCGCGGGGCCGTGTGTACGCTGGGAGGTGGAACACGCGCCTGGCTGCTCTCTACGACTGCTCTGTTGCTTGTTGAACGTCGTTTTTGTTTTAAAAGACCGTCGAGGACGTTTGGGGGCAAGGCTGCGAGTGTGCGGCGTTGTCTTGTCCGCTCGGAGTCCGCTCCGGTCCGAGCGGCCGGTCCGCTCACAACCGTAGTGGCCGGAGTCGAATGGGGAAGGAACAGTGAACTGACCAACAGTGGATTGACGACGTCGCCAAGGCGGGTGGTAAGCTGTATACCTTCCACTATGAGGCTGTCGGTGAGTCACAACAGCAAGGTGTAGGCAATGTCACTCGGACCACATTGTCGTACCCAAGCCTCACCCACATTCCTAATTGTACTCACACACACAGGCTCCGCTGAGGTCGCCAAGACCGTCATTGACAAGATCCACGCTGCGGGAATGCTCGCTGGCCTCGCCATCTCCCCTGACACTCCATCAACCGTCATCACCGACGAGCTCGGCAACGCCGTTGAGATGCTCCTCGTCATGACTGTCCGCCCTGGCTTCGGCGGCCAGAAGTTCATGGCCGAGTGCCTGCCCAAGTGCACCGAGCTCCGCGCTCGTTTCCCCGAGAAGCACATCCAGGTCGACGGCGGTGTGGGTGCCGGAAATGCGTGCCAGTGCGCCCAGGCTGGATCCAACGTTCTTGTGGCGGGTTCCGCGATCTTTGGATCGGCCGACCCCAAGAAGACCATTGCCGAGATGCGTACCCAGGTCGATGCCGAGTTCACCAAGAAGGCTTAAACGTAGTAGTAGATCACAGTGCATAAGTATTAGTGTCGTTTTCAAGTGCACGCGCGCAAGGAAATCCATATTATTAACAGGTGACATGCCATGAGGAGACGATAAACTACGGACATCATATTCAAACTATGAGCTCCGCCATCGCGTAGTCAAGTGCAGGGTCCTCGGCGGCAACTTGCTCCCCGTCCGCGGGATCCTCCTCCTCCTCCTCGTGAGAGCCATCACTATCCTCCTCGTAAGAGTCTCCACTGCCCTCCTCCTGTTCACTAACATACTCATACCCAAACAAAAACGCAAGCGCTCCAGTGTCAAGGATGGTCTCCGGTTCGGGGGGTTGGTGGAAGGTATCGATCGGTTGCCAATAGTGTTGTGGCGTAGTCAGGTGTTCACGCACACGGCGACAGTGATCGCGGTGCATGATTTCAGCCTCGGGGCGGTGTGACCACACTTTAATACAACCCCCTGCAAAGTGTCAGCTAGTGGTACAAAATAACAAGGACCAAGAGTGCACTTACAGTTTGGTTCAACCTCATAATCCCAATGGCCTCCCATTTGCTCCTCGTGGGCGTGCTCGTAGTTGGCAGTGTTCGTGGGGAAGCCCTTATCCCAGTCGGAGAGGTACACTCCGCGGGCATCCACTGCTACCCATGACCTGTACTGAAGGTCCTCAATAGAAGAGATCTCAAACCCGCTAGCCGGCAATGGGGGAACCTCATCGGACTCGGTCTTGACGGACGACAGGTCCGGAAAGTCGTTGGTGTCGATCATCGTGAGAATGGACTGGGAGTTAGCTCGGCTATATCGGACCGTTACAAGCTCACTCTGTCAGAGTGGAACACAATACGGTCCCCAATAGTCTCTGCCACGTTCAACTCATGCGTAAAGGTGAACATGATCGTGTTGGCTGCAACAGCCTCTCGGCGGAGTGTTGGAGAGTGCTCCATCCGCTCCACGTCGCGCAACACGCGGCGAAAGTCTCTCACAACAAGGCAAACACCACCGTCACCGCCGACGACGAGGTCACCTGTCGTAAACTTGATACTGGACAGGTCAGATCCGTCGTCTGTCATCAGTACCGGTCATGTTACCCACCTTGTGAACTGGGGGTTTGTCGTTGCACCAAACATGAGGTGTGTACCGGAGCCGGCTTCTTCACGATACTGGCCAGAATGTCCAAGAATGGTGAACGTGATCGTGTCAGATGGTCCGGTCGGGACGTCAGTGTCCCGTTGTGGGTCATCCCTGTTGAAGTCTCGACTGCCGTACGGATAGTTGTAATAGACTTGGTAGACGACATGTGCAGTCTTGTTGGCTGGCAAAATGGGCTCCGTAGGGTCGGGAAACGCGACGACCTTCTTCTTTGTCTTGCGCGAGATGACAACGAGCTGCCTGCTTGTGCCGACATAGACATAGTCTTCGTCAAACGTGACTGACTGTTGTATGTGTTAGCGACACTCTTCCCGCTCTGGTCTTGTCGCTTCTCACTCGCAGGGACGTTTCGGGTTGGGCGTCCGGTAGGCTACCTGCAGGATCAGGTTGGTCCAGCTCCCGCAAGTTGATGGGATAGTGTTCGATGATGAGGGGTGTGCCATCTACCATGCTATCAAGGCTGCACAGAGAGACACCCGAATAGTCGACACCTGCAAGGACGGCATGCGGGACGTCGCCTCGAGTGTCGAGCCCAACGCAAAAGGCGTGCCACGCCTCATAGCCTCTCAAAGTCGTAGCATGCTCGAGAGGCAGACCACGCTGAGACTTGAATGGCGAGATTTGGGGCATATCCAGTGCCGTAGCGACACCAGCTCTGCGCTCCGCGGCATTGGCAGTACGGTAGATTGTCAGGTAGCCGACAGATGCTGAAGGGTGGTCACGATGGTCGTACGACCTGCGGTGGTCGCCTGGCTAGTTAGCTCCAGGTAGTCGCAAACACAGCTTACGGTTACCACAGGAGGACGAGACAACAACATATCCGGCGCCAACGGCCATGATTGCGTCTGCAGTAATCCAGGGGATGGAGAGCAGCAGTTTGCCACTGTACCGGTCGAGAACATGGAGATTCTGTGGGGTTTTCTCCACACCCGAGTCGGGTACCATTATCCACCTGTTCCCTGCGGGTCTATGGTCGGACAGCGCATAGATGTAATCCTCGCTGTGGTCGATCATAATGTCTCTCAACTTGAACTCGGGGACGGCCATCTGAGTCTCGTAGACGTGACGGTTGGACCAGGCGTCCTGAAGTTGCCGGTGACCTCGGTCTGGACAGGTCAGCTGTCCGTTGACATCGTCCTACGAGGTGACGACTTACATGCCTGTACAAGCTCCTCGACCGTGGTATGATCGGCTCCCCATAGCGCGTCTGGCACCTGTGCGTGACTTTCCTTTCTAGCCAGCGCTTCGCGTTCAGCCTTGGCGCGTCGCCACTCGCGTACATCGACACCTTCCCTACGGATGAGACTTCGCCACCAGCTTTCGTTGCTCATGATGTATGTGCGCCAAGAACGGGATACCTGGGCGAGCGATGTGAGGTCGAGCGGGTCGAGGAAGGAGAACGTGTACTGCAGGACATCCTCGTTCAAGTGGTCTAGAGGGTCGACGCCGCAGTTGTTGTTGTTTTTGTTGTTGTTGTTATCGATGCGGCCGCCTAGGGTGGAGGTGTTGTTGTCGCCATTGTCACCACTGCTGGGTGTATGATCCATGTCGCCTGGTAGGAGTGATGGAGAGGAGTGAATCATGTTTCGCTGCTCTGGGGGTGTGTCTCTTCTAGACGAGACGAGAAGAGCGACGGTGCAAAAGGGTGATGGGACACCAAGACCGGTGGTAGCACCGCCCTCACACCCTGCACGAGCCGGTTCCGAAACGCGTCAGTCCCGTCAACCCCCAACTCTGCCAAGAAAACAGGGGGCCCCAAGGGCGGAAGACATCTTTGATACATCATATTCCATATCTCTCACTCTGCTCATGGTCTCTCTACGCCGACGTGTCCATCGCCATGCTCCCGTTCTGCGCGGTCGTCACAGTGACCACATCCTCCTCCTCGCCAAACATCATGCCGCTAGTCTCACGTGCGTACGAGGCCGAGCGGTCCACGTCAAGGAAGTACTTGTAGGCGAGACGAATGTCGTCCACCTCGACCTGCGTGTTCTTGCGGCGGATGGCAATCTGCTGCGATGGAGCAATGAGGTTGAGGGCGTAACGCAGCGAGGTCTGGCCGCCCATCGTGGCGAGCAACTCGAGCGAATCGGGACCCAGCTTGACGTCCTCCTCGTCGCCGCGGATCTTGACAATCTCCTTGATCTCGTCCTCCGAGTACTTGGAGGTGCTGATGATGAGCATGCGGTCGAGAAGGTCGCCAGGGATACCGTGGGGCGACTTGTACTTGGTGCCGCGTATCCGGGTGATGCCACGGTTGGAGGCCATGACGACCAAGGGAGCCATCTCGCTTTCCAGCGCGCGGTTCAGGAAGGAGAAACACTCAATGTCCAGCATGTGCACCTCGTCAATGAAGAGGACACCAGGGACAATCTCGGCCTTGCCCTCCTCACGCCACTCGGCGACCTTCTCATTGATCTGGTCACGCAGCTCGGGCTTGATCTCGCCCGTGTCGCCCGCGAACAGGGCAAGGAAGCCTTGCGTCCTCGAGTTGATGACGTCGATCTCGTGCAGCGAGACGGTGTGGACCACCTCCTTGCGCGTCTGCAGCTCTCCATCCGGGCACGCAACGAAGCGAGTCTAGGTTGTCAGCTCAAAGAGGTGGGCAGTGGTTACTCACGTCGGCACCCATGGCGTCATAGTCCTTTGCCCTACCAAAGCTGCGGCCCAACTTTGATATCCTTCCGCTGGTCTTGTCGATGCTGATAACGTCACCGGCAAGCACCTTCTCCTTTTGCAGCTGGTCGATCATCTTCGAACCAAGGTCGTACACCGTCTCCATGTCGGTCGTCTTGAGCGTCAAGCGGCCAGTCTTGGTAGCCTGTTGCCTGTCAGTTGATGCGGCAATTTAGGAACTCACGCCAGTGACACTGCGGTCAACCTGGATCTCAACGACCTCGCCCTCAATGAGCTCCGTCTCCTCCTTGATGCGCACACCAATGGCACGGCGGAAGGCCTGAGTAAGAGCCTCGGTCTTGGACATCTGCGGGTTAGCGGTCAGCCACATATGGGTCAACCCACCTCGAGTGAGAAGACCTCCGAGCCAACGAGGTTGACAAAGGGAACATCCGAGCCAAGAGTCTGAGCCATACCTTATCACAGTCAGCGTACATCCTCACTACTCGTCGCAACAGACGTACCCATGGCAATGGCAGTCTTGCCGGTAGAAGGAGGGCCGGCGATCAAAATAGCGCGACCCGCAATGCGGCCCTCTTGGACCATCTTGAGGATGACACCGGCAGCCTTGCGCGCCTTGCCTTGTCCGATCATTCCCTGTGAGTTGCCGCGAGGCTCCAGGTTGGCGTCGAGGCCGAGGCCGTGGATGTGCGAGTGGGGGCCTGGAGACAGTCAGAAGGGTAGCTCATTCTCCAACGCCGTAAACACTTGCCGATGCGCTCCATCTTCGTCACGTCCTTCATCGTCCCCGGCTGGATAGAGATATTGGCCGCCTGCCTGTCAGTGCTGTACTCCGTGAAGGAGCTTGTTTCGGCGTACCATTTTGCTGGTGGTTGTTGTCAAGAGTTGGAAGCGGATGGGTGTCGTTCTCGACGTTGATCCTTTGAGAGCATGGATTGTTATTTTGCTTCCGCGTCATGCTTTAGTTCGAAACCACGTGACTGCCTCCACAAATGCACAAATGTTGGAGAGATGTGTCCTTCAATCACGAACCCTTGCAACTCCCACAACAATCATCATGGAGGACGTCCAGCCTCAAGTCCAGGTAGACACGGTCGCAGAGGCCTCTACCGCCCGTCCCCACCCCAACAGCCGCAAGCCCAAGGACGCGGGTCCTCTGGAGCCTCTCGACGAGATCCTCCGTCGCCGGTTGACCGTCATCAAGGAAGGCGACAACGTCCTCCTCAAGCTCCCTAGCGACTCGATCAAGGCTGTTGTTGCGTCCAAGGATGGGTGAGTTAGCTGAATCTTACAGAGTCACCTAACCTTCTAGTTTAGTTCACCTGGGCAAGTTTGGCACGTTCCCGGCTAGCGAGCTGCTCGGCCTTCCTTACGACATCGAGTACGAGATTGCCCCCGGTCCCGATGCGCCTTCATCGACCAAGGCGGCCACAGCCGACCGTGAGGAGAACTGGGGCGAGTCTGGATTTGGACAGGCAAAGAGCAAGAAGCACCAAAAGAAGAAGGGAGGCAAGGAGGGCAGCGACACTCCCAAGAACAACCCGGGGTGGCTCAACATTTTGAGGCCGCTCAAGAGGAGACCTATTGTCGACGCCGTCATCGGTGAGCAGCGTGAGGCCAGATCAGGCTGACAGTCTAGAGGATATCAAGGAGACCAACGAGTTCATTGAGGACTCGGAGGACAAGGGCGCTACCCTCCTGTCGCAGGAGGAGATCGAGGAGCTCCGCGCCCAGGGTGTGTCTGCAGAGGAGATGATCCAGAGGCAGATGTCCCGTCACGACCAGTTTGAGCTTAAGACGGACTTCAGTAAGGAGAAGTGGCGCAAGAGGAAGGAGAGGAAGTAAGTTCACGTTTCTGAGACTTGACTAATCCATCAGGTACCTCCAGACTGTGCAGCCCATGGCTCCCTCGTCGATCAACATTGTCAACCACTACGCTGTGCGGTCACCCCAGTCGATTCTGTACCTCCGCGAAGACACTCTGTCTCAGCTCCTCAACCTCGCCAACATTCGCCCCGGCGGTCGCTACCTCGTGGTGGACGACACTGGCGGTCTTGTCACCGCTGCCATCGCAGACCGCATGGGCTGTGAGGGCCGTATCCTCCTCTTCAACGATGCCGACTCGCCACCTGCATGGGGTGTGCTCAACGTCATGAACTTTGGCGAACGCGAGCTCTCGTTCATCAAGTGGCTTAACTGGATGGAGGCTGAGGAGGACTACTCGAGGCGTAGGTACCGGAATTGGCAATTCGTGACTGACGTAGCCAGCTGGCCCCCCTGCCGAGGACGATATGCCCTCTATTTCGGCCAACAAGTCCATGGCCCGTATGCGCAGGCATAACGCTCAGGTTGCGGAGCTGAACGCTACCCGCAACGAGCTGCATTCTGGCGGCTGGGACAGGTGAGTGGTGTTGTGACCCTTGGCCGCAAACAGCACTAATATGCAGTATCATCCTTGCGACCGAAATGTCGCCCCTCTCTGTCATCCACCGCCTGACAAAGTACCTTGCGGGCTCGGGCACATTGGTCGCCTACTCGCCCTACCAGCAGGTTCTGGCGGAGGCGCTCCAGTACACCCGTCGCGACCCCAACTTCCTCGCCACGGCCCTCACCGAGTCGTGGACACGTACCTACCAGGTTCTTCCTGGTCGTACTCACCCGACGATGACGACAAGCGCGATGGGCGGCTACCTGTTACACGCTACCCGAGTGTGAGTTGAGCTTAATCCAGCTGTGACTGACATTCCACAGGTTCCCTTCCACGTTTGTCCCCGAATCGCACCAGAGGCACAACAACAAGAGGAGGAAAAAGAACACTGGAGACGCCGCTGTGGAGGCTGCGGGCGACGAGGAGTAGGAGATGGCGGAGTAGATGCATGCATTACATTTTTTGATGATGAAGACTTGGGGGTGGCATAGGGGCGGACGACGCGTCGCCACTCGTGCGTTAGTCCCTGGGTCTGTACCTGGCCGGCCTGGATGGGTCGATCGGGTGTCCGTCGATGACGCCGGCAACACTTTGGTTGCTATCGTCCACCAACTCTCTGCCTCGCACACACCATCCACCACACACATTCCCATACATTGCCCGGCTCTACGGCCACAATGGCGTCGTTGGACAAGCCGAGCCTCTTCTCATCTCTTTCCCTTGGCGGACGCAAAACACCAAGGTCGTCGATGGAATCTCAACCGATCACACATCCACTGCTCGGCGCATCATCCAGCAGTCTCGTCAACGACCTTCCCGACCAAGGCGAGGAACTGCAGGACAAGTCCCCCGAGACCAGTACCGCTTCTCTCCCTTACACACCTTACAAACCCCGCCATCGACCTCCACAGGGGGGCAGCACGGTGCCCGCCTCCCCTCCGATCCAGCCAGCAGCAACGTTGACGACCTCGCCGCCGGCACCTGCCATCGTTACTGCGGCCCCAACCACTGCCCCAACGACAAGCATGAGCACCAGTGCAATGTTTGCTGTCCCTTCCTCTGAGCCGCAGCTCGATGCGGCTGCGGCCGCTACCGCGACATCCCGCCTACAGCTGCAGAGCCTCAAGGCAGCGGCTCAACGTATTGGCCTAGGCAACGGCAGCATGGGAATGGGCATGATTGACGCCATCTTTGACAAGGGTGCTCGCGCCCGTGGAGAGGGTGGCGACTGGGCTGACCTTCTAAAGGTTCTCACAAGTGGCAAGGTGAGCTTCCATTACTGTGTAGCAGACGCTGACGGTGCAGGCGGTCATTCTCCTTCCTTCGTCCCCGGCAAGCTCTCTACCCATGACTCCGCAGACTCTTCGCGACCACATCGCATTCCTCTCAACCCCCATCCCCAGCAGCGTAGGCAACGTGCCCACCACGCCAGGTGCTAGCACGTCTGTGCTTGTCACGCTCTCGGGCCTCATAGGCACTTTGCGCAGGTACGTTTCTGGCCATGTGGCTTGACACTTGAAACTAATTGTTCCAGCACGACAGTGTCGTTTGAGTCGTCAGTGCCGGCAGACTCGCCGCTTATTGCTGCACTTCGGGACGACGCTCGACGTGTCGGCGTCCTCTCCCGTCTGCGTCCGACGCAGCCTGCCTCGGCTACATTCCCAAACTACACTCTCTCCGCTGACACGGCTCCGCTGCCGTTCCCGGCACTCGGAAAGGCTGTGCCCGTTGCTGCCTCGGACAAGGCAGTTCCAAAGGAAGTGCCCCGCCGAATCAACCCCTTTGCATCATTCTTCGGCAGTTCACCGAGTTCCTCGACCCCGGTTGCTGGCGGTTCACCGTCGAAAGCTGCCGGGTCGCTGTCGCCAGAACGGCCCAGCTCGCCATCGCCTGTCCCCGGGTCGTCGAGCGTGTCATCCCCACGTCCGAGTATCGTGTCGCTCGAGATTGACTCGGACTCGGGGGAAGGGTATTCGGTGCTTGCGTACACCATCAACAAGCCCGTGCGGTTCAATGAGGTTCACAAGGCGCTGGTCAAGTCTGTCCGATCTGGCGTGCGTGCCGACCTCGACGGTCTGCCGGAGCGGGTCATTGAAAAGGTTTTCAAGCTCGTCGTCGGGGCTGTCTGTCCCGTGTCTGGAGGCGTAGTCGATCAAGCATTGCTAAAGAGCCATCACCACGGGCTCGGTAGCTCAGAAGCAGATGGCAGCATCCCACTCGACTTCTCCGACCCGTCATCTACGGGCGAGCGGTTGCAGGACTTTATGGAGGCCATCTACGACGACCTGGTAGCCCACTATCGGGATTTGGGAGCGACTGGCGCGGGCGACAAGGAGACACAAGTTGAGCAGGCTGCCAGCGATGGCACGGAGCGTGTGGAGGGGCTAGTGTGCCGGCTGCTGTACAATCGGTGGGTCAAGACACGTCCTGAGCTCTCTAACTCAACAGGATCTTCTCACCACTCCAGTCAGATGACGCACGCCATGACGAGGCACTGGCTTCGCGTATCGCTGCGCTAAACCTCCTTGACCTCTCCCTTGACCACCTGGGATTGATCACACGGCCGCCAGGCGAGGAACCGAAAGGCGCCGTTGCGAGCGGATTGAACGCACTAGTTGGCGACATTGGCTTAGGTGGGTTATGAGGGCGTGCAGCATCAGCTGACCTGCAGAACTGCAAAAGCTGTCAACCCTACCCTGCTTGACACCCAAGGACAAGGCCGACGTGCTTGTTCGCGCGCACAAGATTGCAGTTGGTGGGTTTCGGGCGTCCCGCGGCCATGTCTAATCTAACCCATGCAGATGGCCTGAGTCGCCTTCCTGCTATCGAGCTCCGACCAGAAGGCGAGGCATATGTCCCGCCTGTAGAGGACGAGGAGGCCTCCCCTGTCGACGATGCGGAACACACGCCCCAACCATTCGCGAAGCACAGCACAAGTGTGCCCGAGATACAGCTGTCTAGTGGCGCACTCGACGAGGCGATGGCGGACAGCGTGCACACTATCGTGCCGCCTACGAAGGAGCATGAGGAGAACAAGGAGCGGCCTTTAGAAGAAGCTACCGATGAGTTCAAGGAAACACCCGCCGAGGTTGCTGTTGAGGACACCGACGAGAGCACAGCTGTCGTCACAGCCCCAAAGCCCTCAACGTCTGGAGCAGACTTGATCCTCCCACTCATCATTTACGCCGTAGTCAAGGCCAACCCCGCCCAACTCGCCTCGCAGCTCATGTACCTCCGCCGGTACAGGTCGGCCATCTGCCTCGTCGGCGAGGCGTCCTATGCCATCGTCAACCTGACCGCCGTCGTCGAATTTATCGAGCATGTCCACCTTTCCGAGCTCGGCCTCGGTGACTCTTCTGACCGCGTCATGAGTGTCGAGGACCTCTCCCCTATCGGCCTCACGTACCTCGACGACGGCAACGCCGACACTGCGTCCATTGCCTCTGCTTCGACTCGTCTTCGTGGCCGTGTCTTCCAAGTCAGTGAGATGGCTGGAAGCGCCAACAAGGTGTTCACCGGCGTGGTCGATTCATCGTGGAGCGCCCTCCGCGGTTTCATTGGTACCACTCCGCAGGTCACAGCCACCCCACCAGACGAGGAGCCCCTTGTGGGTCGCCCCATCACCCGTCCCCGACAGGCCAGTACCTTCTCTCTGGCGTCAGTCACCGCCTCAGTGGCCAACATTGCCGCAGCAGCGACCACTGCAGCCGCCCGGAACCGCTCTCGCGCAGGATCACACGGGTCGGACATGAACTGGTCGGGCGAGAGGGAATTGGTGGAAGTCGCCGTCTCGCGCCCCTCGTCCATTCGCGAACGCGGCATTTATGACGAGGACAGCGCCTCGGAACCTGGAAGCGAGGACGAGTCTCCCGACTTCAACGTCGGCTCTATCGCACACGACCAGGACGAGGGCCGGCCGCGCGCTCGCAGTGATGCGCGGAGCATCATGAGCGTGTCTTCCATGATGTCGCGGGACCGTGATCGCGAGCGCGACCAGTCCAAGGCCGAGGGCTCCCTGTCGCGCGATGGCGCGGGATCCGCTGGAGGCAGCAAGCGTGACCCCAACGCCAATTCGATCGGAAACCGTCTGGCGCAGATTGGAGCATTTGGACGCATTGGAACCACCCCGCCACTTGACATTGTGACCGGTGCAACCACCCCGCCAGACAAGGAGAAGGTTGGTAGGGTATGGCCGTTACAGCGACTGACAATCCACAGGGATTCTTCGCTACTCTCACGCGCCAGCCGCCCCGCCGCCAGGGCACGCTTGGCCTCGGTGAGAAGCGCACCGACTCGCTCAAATCGCCCACTCCCAGCGTCCAGACTCTTCTGGAGGAAGGCCCCATGGAGCGGTTCATGACTTGTGAGGTGGGCGATATCCGCATGGGCGAGGTGGGTACCTTGCTGCGCGACTACCGCCGTCTGGCAGGCTTGCTCGCAAAGGTCCAGACATCGCCTCCCCCAGGGCACGCTTAAGTCGAGGTCTGTCATATCACCCATAGGTTTTCTCTCCATAGACTTGTTTTCGCTAGCTGGCCGATGTCATAGACATTGCTGACTACATTGGGTTTACCAATATTGCTACTGCGGATGCTGCTACTTGTGCAATCGTGAATACTTGGCACTCTGTGAATGCGCCGTGCGTCGTTTTTGCCTTCATTATTTATCTGACTCAAGCTATGAAACCGCTGCGCAAGTTCAGCTATTTCATATTAATTGGGACTAGGACTGCGTGTACAGTACAGTACACCACAGCTGACTTTTCCGGCATTTGCTGGTTCTGATGAGGGAGGCGTTCTGTACAACAGACAATTAAAATTGTTAAAATTAATTATTGGAGCATTTTCCATTTGAAATTTGAGGCGGATGCCGCGGCTCTGTCGAGGTGCACAGCGCTGTGCGTCTAAATCAGTGCAAGCAAAGCGCTGTCGCTCAGCATGTCCCGGGGTTATGTTCGCCGGCGACACGGGACTAGGCTTTACAGTTCTTGGCGACCACAATCCGCAGAAATACTCATACCGTTGTGGCCTTGTCCTCGCTCGCACGCAAGAGTCATATTTTGCCATCCTGGCGAGAGGTGTTGAGCACCCTTGCGACACTTGGCGTCTCAACATACCTGCATCAGTTCCATTGAACTGACGTCGCGCCTTGCACAGGCTCGCCGCTGCCAAAGTGAACTGGGAGGGTGTGCTAGATCTATCATCGCAACAAGTGCCACACAGGTGCTCTGAATAGCATAGTGGTATTGCGCCGGACTGTAACTGTTACACCTGTCTACACCTCCCTTCCGAGTGGAAGAAGCCATCCGTAGGTCCCCTGTTCGAATCAGGGTTCAGAGAGCATGAGCAGCGTTGCGAGCGCGACGTCGAGCTCACCTTTTTTTACTGCGTAGATGGAGATGTGTAACGGGAGGTTTTGAGTGGCGGCATTAGGGTGACGGGTCATTAGTTGATCAAAGGGTAATACATTTGAAGACAGTTTATTAATAAATAACGGAAGCAATTGCTGGACGATCCAACCCTGTGCAACTCGTTTTGGACACATCTTCAATCTCATCTTGGTCTTCCAACGAAAAATACAACATTAAAAGCAAAAAAAAGAAAATCCAGCAGCTCAGAAGCAGAAGAACGTTTCAGGCATAGCTGCCAAGAGGGCCGGCGCGGTCGCCTGGCTGATGAGGGTAACCATGGAGTGGTTGATCGAGGGCCCACCGGCCACGCGCTCGTTGGCCTTTGGCTCGCCAATGTATCCCATGAGCTCAGCGCGCTTGATAAACTGGTCGACGTTCTTGTACACGTGTGCCGTGAGCGGTGCGTCGGACCGCGACTCGCCACCCTTGTTGTATGTGTTCTGCCACGTGAGGATCTCGTCACGGATGAACAGGTGGAGTGTGCTCTGGAGATCAAACTCGGGCATGGTGAGGCTGTGGGCGATGGCGGTGCCCGACGCGGTGACGACACCCTCGACGCCGACGCGAGTGATGAAGTGCTGCATGTTGGGCGTGAGGCGGAATGGCACGGCCTCGGACGAGTGGAACAGCGGGGCACCCTGGGTGAAGGCTGCGGGAAAGGTTAGCTATGGCACCAGGCACACCTTTTCGACACTTACATGGCAGCATCTCAGTCATGTACATCTGGCCCGTCTTGCGCGAGATGTGGAAGCGGCTAGGTGCGCGGTTGTTGAGGCAGCAGACATAGGTGAGGAATGCTGTGGCGGCGGTCTGCATGGCAAACTGCTTGCGCATGAGCCAGAGGGCCTCCGAGTCGGCCATGTTCTTGATCATGTAGTTTGTAAGAACGTTCTCGGGCAACATCTTGGCCTGGATCTCCTCGATAATCTCCATCTTAAGCTGGATGTAGCGCGCATCTGTACGCGGGATGGACGGGTCATGCAGCTGGCGTTGGCGGTCGCAGAATGCGAGAATGGTGTCCTCGTGGGTCATGCCGTGCGAGAAGGCATAGTCGTCGTAAATCTCCTGGAGCGTCACATAGCTGCTGTCGTTTTGGATGAGACGCAGCTGGGTGCCGAGGGCCACGGCCGTGGGGAGGTGGAACTGGAGGTTGCGACGGCGCGACTCCTTGCGCTTCTTGAGCACGCTGTTCATGATACGGAACAGCTGGACGAGTCGTTCCTCGCGGCGACAGTGACGTGCGGCGGGCATCTGGACGTTGAACGTGTAGGGAGTGCCGTTGTGGCCGACCATGGTGATGCGGCGGAAACAGAAGCCAAAGCCGCGGCACAGCTCGACGCGCGGGTGGAAGCGGTTGATGCGCACAAGCTCGTCCGACTGGTCAATGTGCTGCACGTACTGGCCGGGCACCTCGACTTCCTCAAAGCGGGCATAGTGGAAGTCGGTAAGTGAGATGCCGTTCATGTCGAGGGGCTGGAAGCGCGCGCGGCCGTCAATGGCCTTTTCGTAAAAGTCGCGCCACGACTGGAGACGCTTGATGTACTCGCGCATCTTGGGCTGGTCGTTGATAAAGTCGTTTTCGACAGCGGCACGCAGCTCGGGGTGGAGGTTCATCGAGAAGCGGCGGAGGTTGTCCTTTGTGCTCTGGCCCAGGTCGGTGTCGTCGTTGAGGAACGTGCCGCGGGTGCTCCACTGCGCCATGGCGTCGTTGAGCAGCGCCGAGAAGAAGCGGTAAATGTCCTCCTCGGAGCTCGGCTTGGCGCGGTAACCGATCTGGTCGACCATCTTTTCCATTGACAGCGCCAGAAGGGGGACGCCCGTCTTGAGGTGGTTGATAATATCGTCGACAAACTCCCAAGGCTGGCGAGGGCCCGTGCGCTGGGGAGGCTGGGGAGGCGCCATGGAGCCGTTGCTACCGTTGGCAGCACCGTTCTGGGCACCAGCTGCAGCGGCTGGGAGGAGCGCCGCACCAGCAGCTGCAGTATCGGGCTTCTCCTCCTTGGCCTCGGGCTTGACCTCGGCCGCAGCAGCAGCGTCAGCCGGCGTCGCGGCAGCTGCGCCAGGGTTCGCAGCGGCGTTGGCGGCGGCGGCCTTGGCCTCGGCAGCCTTGCGGGCCATGGCGACACGGTTGGCAGCCTGGACCTGGCTCTTCTTGACGTTGCTAAAGTCCTCACGGGTAACACGAAGCGAGTAGAACAGAGCCTGGGGGAAGCTCTTGGCGATGTGCATGAGAATGTGGCGAGCAATGCTGGCTTCGCGATGCGAGAGCGAGAGCAGGAGCTGGGGGATGAGGGTGATCCAGTACCAGATGACCAGGTCGCCCTTGTACGCCTCAAACGCCTTGGCGATCGTGTTGCGGCTGTCGTCGAGACCCAAGAGCCAAAGAACGCGGAGCAGGAGAGCGCGAGACTTGTGCGAGTTGTACAGACCAGCAGCCTGGAGGTAGCACGAGACGGCCGACGAGGCGCGGAGGGCGCGGTCCTGGGCCCAGGACTCGGCCCACTCGGCGTCGGTCATGGCCTTTTCGCCCGGTCCAGGCGCCGGCTTGCTGTTGGCAGGCGGCTGCTCGGGCTGCTGGCGGTACATCTTCTCGTTGAACTTGCCCCACTCTGCCCATGCCTTGGGCAAGTTGTAGTCCATCTGGACGGCATGGGCAAACTCGTCGTTGGCGTCCGAGTCCTGGCCGAGGCGCGAGATGAACATGCCCTTGAGCGTGAGGAACTCTGCCTTTTGAGGCTGTGCGAAATACATGAGGTTGGTCGTGGAGATGTTGTCGAGTCCCTCGCTGAACTTGTCCGGCTTCTGGAAGTAGCAGAGCGCCTGCTCACGGAGCTTGAGGAACGCCTCGGAAATCTCAATGTTGGGCAGCATGTAAATCTTGTTGAGCGCAGTGCTGCAGACATCGAGCAGACCGTGACGACGCGCGACCTCGCCGAAACGGTTGATCATCCAAGCCGTCTCGTGGTAACCGCGGTAGCCGTGAGTGACACCTTCGGTGGCTGGAACCATGGGCATATAGACGCGTGTCACGGCCTGGAAGACGTGCTGACGCCAAGCAAGCAGGTCTGACCAGACGCTGATGTCGTCCCAGAAGTTGGGCAAACGGTCGCGCCAGGTCTGGAAGATACCCTTGAGCTCGCTGTTGACACGGGCCTCGAGCGTCTGGGCCGTGGTCATCTGCAGACTGTCAAACACTTGGGCCGCCTCACTGAGCTCGACCACCTGCTGGAACAGGCACAGGAGCGGGATGTGGGCGCCAGTGGTTGACGTTGGGAGCGTGGTCCACTTGCGGATGGCAACCTGCTGGGCCTCGTCGACGATACGCATAAAGTCGTTTGGCGGCTCACGCGATCCGTGGGCCTTGATGAGGGCCGTAAACGCCTCAAAGATCTTGCGACGCGGTGTCGGGACACCAGACACAGCCTTGAGGTTGCTCTCGATCATCTCGCGGTCCGGCGAGCCCCAGTCTGACAGGCGCCACGCACACTCGAGCAACAAGTCGGGGTTGTTGTCTGCGCGGGCCAGCTCAGTGAGCGACTCCCAGTGTTGGAGCTTTTGGGCTGCAAGGATCCAGTGGTCCTCCCACAGACAGAACTCATCCTCGGTGAAGGGGAGCGCGGCGTGACGGGCCTTGAGCATGGTCTGCTCGTACATCTCCATCGCCTGGGGCCACTTGCCGTTTTGCTCGAGGATGAGCGCGGCAGTGGTCTCAGGGTAGACGTAGCGGGTCCGGGCGTTGCCGTAGAACATGTCGTCCTCGTTCAGGTCGGCGTACAGCTCGCCCAGAGCTGCCGAGCAGCTATCGCGCAGGTTGTCGGTGCCCTTGTACGTGTCGGCCAGAGTGGTGAGGATCTCAAAGCCGGCGTACCACGCATTATACGTCTTGGCGAGGTATTTGATGAGCAGGGGTGGGACGGTGACGGGCGGCTTGCAGTAGACGATGCCCTCGAGGTGGGTCTGGATGACGTTGGGCTTGAGCTCGGCCTGCTTGTGGTGGTAGTCCTTGCACAGGAGCTTGGCAATGTACGGGGTGAACGCGGCCTGCTGGGGGCGCGAAAGCGCACCCCACACCTTGGGGAAGATTGTGACCCAGAGCTGGTGGCAGAGGACAGGGTCGAGGTGTGCCAGGTGGCGGACATACTGGACCACATCGCCAAGACGCCAGTTCCGAGCCACGAGCGGGTCATCGCCGGGCGTGATGGCCGACAGGGCATTGTGGAAGATCTCGTCGCGCTGGTCAGCCGCGCCGAGGAGCAGCGACAGCATCTGCGGCATCCAGTAGCTATCCGCGAGCGTCTCCCAGTTCTGGAGCGAGTAGAGGTACTCGAGACGAACGTCCAGCGCGTGCGGGAGAGTCTGCTCGAGCTTGTCGAGGAACTTTGTGCGCTGAGCCGGGTCCTTGCTGCGGGTACCAAGGAGGAACGCGGGCTCGAGACGGTGCGTAATGTCCGTACCCGAGAGCACGGGCAGCTCGTACACCTCGTAAATGAGGTCGAGGTACTGCTTGAACAGCGCGTCATCGCGGGTCTCAAACGAGGCCATGCGCAACAGCAGGTGGGCCTTGTCCTTGACAACAATGGGGCCGTCGACATCCTTGGTGACCCACTGGCGCACCATGTCGAGCAGGTAGCGGCAGAGCGTGAGGTTGGTCGACTTGTCAATGAGCGCACCGAGAATGTTGACGAGGTAACGGCGGTGGTCGCGCAGGTCGGCCACACGGTCGCGGAGCACGTCGAGGATCGAGATGATGAGACGGTAGCTCGGGTCAGGGCCGTTGTTGGTGGTGTGGACCTTGACGAGGTTGGACAGGACACGGAGAACGCCCGAAGCGAGACCCTCATTGTGCAGCTGCTTGGGCTGAACCTTGAGCCAGCACTTGAGGAGGAAGATGGTACCGGGAAGCTCGGCGCTGGAACGCAGGCTGGCCTGGAGACCATTGTTGACAGTGGTGGACACGTACTTGAGGAGCTTTTGAGAGTCCTCTTCCGAGTCGGCGACTTCCTCGTCGGGGAGCTCGGCGAACATGCGCTCGGTGAGGGGACGGATGGTCTCGTGCAGCGTAGCGTCGTCAAACACCCACACCTTTTCGAGGAGCTTGCGGAACACCTCGAGCTTGCCGCGGATCCACGGCTGGTCGCGGTACTCGGCAACGACGGCGATGACCTCGGTCGAGTTGGCGACTGTCCCAATAGTGTTCTCGTTGATGTCCTGGGACATTGTGCGGTTGAAGAAGCCGAGCTTGACCGACACGTTGGGCAGGCCCTTCGGGCCCAGAATCTCCTTGAACAGGTCGAGCGCACGCTTGGTGAGACCGCCGCGCGAGACAGGCTCGTTGGACGACGCGACAATGCGCAGCAGGTGGGCCGTGATGAGTTCACGGGTGGCAGCGGGTGTGACCCAGCCACCGCTGCTGGCGCTCGACACGGCCGTACCGGCACGATCCAGACGCTGGCGCTTTGCGGGCGACGCAACCGAGCCGTCCTTCTCGTCCACGTCCATGGCGTCTGTGGCGTCGTCGCGATGTGCCTCGTCGCGCGAGGCGATACGCTTGCGCTCCCAGCGGAAGATGAGCTCGATAACATCGACAGTCAGGCGCTTCATGTCGGCGGTGGCGGCGGCAACGAAACCAAGCTTCTGGAGCGACATGGCAATGTGCGGCACATAGAGGTCGCGGTAGTCGTAGAAGAGGTCCGGGTGGTTGACGAGAAGCTCGCAGACAACAACGAGCGTGCTCGTGGCGTGACCCTCCTCGACGAGAACCGTCTTGACCTTTTGCGCCCAGTCGGGGATACCGCTGCCAGTCGGCGGGTCGCGGACGAGGACACACGACGCCAAGGTATCGATGGCCTGACGGAAGAGCGCCTTGGACTCGTTCTCCTTCAGACGCAGAAGACCAGTCCACGTGAGACGCACAAACTTGACGGGCGTCTCAAACTTGGCCATGAACGACGCGGCGAGGACGTAAGCCATGAGCTTGACGGTGGGCTCGAGGAGGTTGATGCCGAGCCACGACAACCTAAAGACCTCTTTACGCTGGTCGGCAATCTTCTTGTCGGCATGCTTGACGAGCAGTGTCGTGAGCGCAAAGATCTCAATCAGGAGCGTGTCGTCACGCTGACGAGCAATTGTAGGCGACTGCAGGGGACGCCACATGCGGTCGGCAATCTTGGTGACCAGCGCGGGCGTGATCAAGTCGTCCTTGGGCTCCTTGTCCGTCTCCTCGGTCGGCGCGGTGGGAGTTGACGACGCCGCGTCGCCGGTAGCGCCAAAGTAGACACGCAGAGTCGGGTTGACCACCAGGCGGAGCGCGTTGCTCTTAAACGCCCATGGCACCACGTCGTCCTCGTAGAGGTTCATGAAATAGTCGAGCGCCTCGCGGCGGTACTCGACCGACTCCTGCAGCGCGACGCGCTGGTAGAGGAAGAAGGCGACGTGGGAGCGGTCGAAACTGCTGCGAATCTCGTACGCCTCGACGACGTGGAAGAGGAGCGCAATGTGTTCCTTTTGCTCCAGGGCGTTCATGAGCATCTCGAGGATGAGCGGGGGCATGGTCTGGTAGTGCACGTTGGTCATGTCCTGCTTGGGATCGCGCGAGCGGGTGACGATGGAGCGCCACACGTTGACCAGCGCCTCGAGGACGGGCTCGCGGTCCGACAGCCACGTCGGCGACGTGCGCGACAGCTCGCGGATAATGTACAGACCGGGGAGGACGAGGTCGAACTGCTCCGGGTTGGCAAACGTGAGGGTGCAAATGGCCTCTGCACGCTCTGACAGCTCGTTGACCAGCTGCGGGGCCTTGCCCGACGCAATAATGTTGCGGTACGTCCAGACAACACGCTGGTTGCGAATGTTATCCAGCAAGTTGGTCGCGCCTTCAGTGTGGTACCGATCGAGGTAACGGGCAATGTTCTCGGTGAACGGGCCCGGAGCGCTCTGGTGCAGCTGCGCCTCGACGTTGACAACTTGAGTGGTCAGCTGCTTGAGGTACTGGACGGCAGTGGCGGGGAGGAGACGGAAAATGTTGACCAGACGAGTCATGCGCGAAATATCCGGGTTGTCATCCAGGGGTCCAGCGGCAGCCTTGGCGAGCATGGCCACGTCCGCGAGCGTGTCAAAGTGGTCCAGGAGTTTGACACCAATCTCAACCTTGAAGTAGTTGGTGAGCAGCTCGAGGAAGCGCGCCAGGCCCTCGAGACCAGGAACGCTGAGGCGCTTGGCGTCTGCCAAGTTGACCAAGATGGGACGCAGCCCCGACTGGAGGACCTCCTTTGGCAGCTTGTTCTGCTGCTGGATGACGTCGCGGAGACCCTCGTGCGCGACATCGACAATCTCGGGCGACGTCGAGTAGACGTGCTTGAAGTAGACTGTAATGATGCGCTGACGGATCGGCGCAAGCGCTGTCGTCTCGTTAAACTCCTTGTTGTTCATGGTCGACCGGAGCATGCGGAGACAGGCGATACGCAGGGCCTTGAGCCAGTAGCTCTGCTTGTGGCTGGGCGGCTCACCGCGCTTGTTGGGGATGAGGCTCGCGTCGTCGACGTCGGCAAGCGCAAGCACTTCCTGGACAAGACGGATAAACTCGTCGTTGATCTCGGGCACGGCGGGGCGCAGGTCCATGAGGTAGGTGACGCAGTCAATGTTGCCGACCTGCATGGCAAACGACGACAGGGCACGGAGGGGCTTGGAGAAGATGGGGCCGGCGTTCGTGTCGAGCAGGACCGCGCGGGCAATGGACCCGCACACGTTGGAGACGGGCTGGTCGGTCACCTCGCCCAGGAGCTTGAGCGACGACTGGGCAGCCTCGCGCGCGAGCTTGGTCTGCGAGTTGAGTTCGCGAACGAGCAACTCGGTCAGACGCGGTTGGCGCTGCTTGCCGTCCTCTTGCGACTGACACGTGCGGATCAGGTGCTGGATCAGGTCGATGATGCCTTGCACCTGGTTGGGAGGATCGCGCGGTGCGTCGCGCAGGGCAAACATGAGGACGCGGATAAACTCGATTTCCAGGTCGATAATGTACTTGCGGCTCAACTCGGACCCGCGCACAAACACGTTCATAGCGGTGACACCGGCCATCTTGCGGTTCCAGTCTTCGTCCTGGCACAGGTTGGTGAACCTGCGCACAAAGGTGAGGACGAAACGGTCAATGTTGCGCGACGTGTCCTTGTTGGATGCGTACTCGGGCTTCATGGCGACCTCCTTAAAGTCGGCGATGATGCTGCCCAGGGTCTCGGCGTGCTGGTCGCGCTCGGCACCGTTTGCGTCAGCAAGGCAGTTGACGACGGCGTCCGTAATGGCAAGCGTCAGAGGGAGGGCACGCGGCCTGTGGTTGACGTCGGGCAGGAGCTTGTCGTTCTTGTCCTCGGTACGCATGAGCTCGGCGAGGAACACGCGCCTGCAGAAATCGCGCACAAACTTGAGCGCCTTTTCGGACAGCAGCGGCCGGTGGCATGCCTGGAAGAGCGCCTTCATCGTTGTGCGGAACACGGGTGTCGCCTCGGTGTCCTTGCGGTCCTCGTGCAAGACCGTCAAGGCCGAGAGCATGAGCACCTCGAGACTGTCCTCCTGGCACGCATCGAGCTTTTGGCTGACGGCCATCTCGGCAGCAGACACGAGCGGGGACAGCTCAAAGCGCGACACCTTGCCCTCAAACGAGATGGGAGCGGTGAGGTCGTTCGGCTTGGGCTTGTATTCCAGGAGGTTCTCGACCTCGTTGAAACGACGGTTGCGGCCACCGAGCTTTCCGAGAATCTTGACCGCAGCATGCGAGTGGCTGCGGTTGGCGGGCACGGGCTTGAGGAGCTTGTGCAGTGCGCCCATGAGCTCGCGAAACACGGGAGACATTGTGGGGTCCAAAAAGTCGGCGGTGAGGTTGTCGATGCACAGCTCGAGCGTGCGCAGACCTTGGCTGATGAGTTCTGGTCCGGCTTGGAGAGCATGGACCAGGGGCTTCATCAAGTAGCTCAGGTGAGGGAGGAGGTTTGTGAGACGGACGGGCACAGTGAGGGTGAGCTCGACAAACAGGTCGCGCTGGACCGGATCGATGGCGTGCTGGAGGAGGTAGGAGAGGTTGTCGAGCATCTCCTGGAGAATGGGGAGGACCTCCTTGTACAGCTGATCGAAGCGACCACCACCAATGGAGCGGAAGAGGGCACGCAGGATCTGGTAGTAGACTGTGGGGTCGTTGGCCTTGGGTGCGAGCGAGAACGAGCGCATGATGAGCTTCTGCAGGTGAGGGACAAGCACCACCTCGTTGGTCGTAATGTACGTGTTGATCGCCAAGAAGGAAATCTTGAACAGACGCAGAGTGAGACTGGCCTTTTTGGGCGAGTAGCTTCCCACTTCGTCGAGGTGGGCCATCAGGTGCTTGAGCGTAATAGCGACGAGCTGGTGCGAAACCGACTCGTGCGTAATGAGGATCTGGAGCACCGAGAAGACGTGCACGTTGGTGAGGGCGTTCTCGACAAAGAAATCCATGTGCGTCGTCCACACCTCCCGGAACGCGTGGGGGTCAAAGAGGAGGAGGATCTGGGAGAGAAGCTCAATCGCCTCCTTGGGCTCGCGCGGATCGCGGTTGGCGTCAAAGATGGCAATGGCGCGCAACGAGTGCTCAAAGAACCTCGACAACAGCTCGCCGTCCGGTGCCGGGACAGGGTTGTCTCCCTGGCGCGTGTACGTGAGGAGTGTGCGGAACGTGTGCAGGAGCGTCTTGAAGAGGTACTTGGCTTCGCGACAGAATGTCTCGAGCGACTCGTTGGCGTAGGCGACCTGGTTGACGGGCATGGCCTGTTCAATCTCACGCCAGCCGTAGGCGAGACGGTCCGCAGCGGTCGTGTCCTCGGTAGCATCCTCCATTGTGACATCCGTTCCCACAGCAGCAGCGGCCGCGGCAGGAGTGGCAGTCACTTCCTCCTTGGCCTTGCCCTTGCCCTTGTCGCGGACAGAGAGCGCCTTGAGCTTGTCGTACGCCTCGGTCATGGCCTGGAGCTTTTCCAACGAAGAGATGAACATGCTCTTCATGAGGCGAGCAGACTGCTCGGCGTCGCCCTTGTTGGCAATCGAGTCGACGATCGTGTTGAGCAGCTTGGCGCACATGGTCTGGATGGAGCTCGAGAAGGTGGCATCGTTGAGGTTGCACGAAAAGACGTACACGACGCGGTTCAGCTGGGCGATGGGAAGCTCGTTGCGGACGTGGTGGATGAGGTCGGCCACGACGGACGACGCGAGGGGTCGCAGCAGCTCGCGACTCGACACACCCGTGCCCACAAGCACGCGCTCCTCGAGCAGCGTGTCAATGTAAGGAATGAACGAGGACCGCGAATCGGCAGTGAGGATGTGACGGGTGGCGACGAGGAGTTCCTTGCGGGTACTGACGTCCTCGGGGGGGCAGTCGCGCAAGAGTCGGATACACGCCTCGGGGAAGACTTCGAGGTAGTCCTTGACGTTGGCCTGGGACGACCCACGAAGGACATAGGCCAAGAACGCCATGGTCTTGACCTGCGTCTTGATGAGCTCGGTGTACATCTCCCGGTTGCTGATGCCTGGTGCCACGCCAACGAAAATCTCGCCGCGCTCCTTGGCCTCGTGGTGTGCAATGCGCTGGGGCTCGGGCTGGATCTTGATGCTCTCCATCACAAGCGGCGACAGGTCAAGCATGGCGGGGCCCATGACCGACTTGTACGTCTGGAAGATGAGGACAACGGCGATGGGGCATTCAGTGAGCACCTTGGGAGAGTGCAAGGCGTGCGAGAGTTGTGTGTGTGAGGACGACGATGCCTGTGGTGGTGCCGGCTGGCCGTCACTCGCTGGGGTGGACGGGTTGGTGGATGGTTGCTGAATGTTAGCTGATGAATTCGAACGAATAGCTACTCACCTTGCCGCCTGGCGAGCCAAACTCCTTTTCCACGACACCCTTGAGGTTGCCATACATCTGCTTGACGAGCTCGAGGAACGGCTCGACAAATGGCTCGGCCTGGTCCTTGTGGCTACGGAAGCCGTCGATCATAATCTTGATGCACAGGAGCGCATTGTCCTCGTTCTCGACCTTGAGGAGCTTGACCATAAGCTCCATGACCTTGGCCTCGTACTGGCGGAACGGTTCGTTGTGGGGGAGACGCTGGAGGTAGGCGAGGAGGGTGTGGCGGAACCGCTGTTCCGAGTTGTCCTTGACGAACACAATGTGCTTCTCCTCGCCCAGGATCTGGACGAGCGCAGGGATGAAGACGCCCAGGTACTTGTCGTAAAAGGCATAGTCGCGGTTGGACTCTGCAGAGTCACGCAGCTCGCTGGCAATCTCCATACGACGGCGCATCGGCGTGCTCGTGTCGGTGAGCTGGGCGGCGAGCGCCTCGCACTCTGCGACTGTCATCGGGCCGGTCGTAGTCATGGCTGTGACGGCGGTGGGTGCGATGCCAGCAGTAGACGGTCCAGAGGGGACGGGTGTTTCGATTGCTGGCATGGGTGCTGTTGCAGTGGATGCCTTGCGTGGCCGACCTGAACGGTTGGTGGACGGCGCGGCCATTGCTTTCGAGGGTTGGGTTTGGAGGAGGTGGAGGTGGTCACGAGCTGCTTAGGCCGAGTGACCGCCTCTTGGGCTCATTCGCGTGGTCGTAGGGGTGGAAGACGAGGTGTGCTAGAGTGGGGAAGGTGTAGGCTGGATAAAAGGGGGAGGTAGGGGTGGATTACAGGCGCGCGGGTCGGGGGGATATGTTGAAAGAGATGTTGTTGCTGAGTTCGCGTGAAAGAGCAAAAGGCCAAGTCGCGCGGCTGGTGGCGGAGGGAGTGGGTGGCCTGGGTGGGTGGGTGGCCGTAGGACGGGGCGGGGTCAGTCGAGAAATCAAGAGCCCCTCCAGGCTGGGGTCGGCGTTTTCGGTGTTTCAGGCAGTCAATTAGGTTCAACGAGACTTCACAGGTTACCGAATTATTAATTGCGAGTCTGACCGATTACCTTTTGTGTAAGTTACGTAAGGAGAATAATTGGTCAATGCCGCCCCCAGGCGCTTGCCTTGGCTGGCTGTGGCCTTTGGACGCTGGACGCTGGTACGCTGGTACTACGCTGGCCCGCTGGCCCGCTGGTACGCTGGTACGCTGGACACCTGCACACCGGTGCAGCTGGGTGGGCAGCCGGGTACAATTAATACAATCCACTCTATGAAACTGCGCGATGATATGCTACTCGGACCCCCCCCCCCCCCCCCCCCCCCACCTTCTGCACCTTGCCGAAGCCCATACATAACCTTTCCTCGGGCCGTATAGGGCCTGGAAAGGTGTGTCGAGGCTGCAGTGGCGCGCAGCGGGGCGGGCACTGAAAAACGGGTTCGAATCACATCAGAAGAGAACAAAAAAAAAGTAAAAACAGTAGTGTGTATTTCGGACTGGTTGGAAACGCACTATGCGTTTAGGGATAATTAGGGGGGATTTGGTGTCACGGCCCCGTAGTGTGTTTTTCATGTGGAAACGCAGTATGCGTTGGGTGGGTTTGGTGTAACGGCCCCGCAGTGTGGTTTTCATCTGTCATGCGGCTAGCGCCAGCAGGGGGTTGGGTAGTTGTCTATCGAATGTAGAATCTCCTGTCTACAATATTCTCCTAAGTAGAACCGTGGCTGCTATTAACCATCAGGTCGACAGAGGACACAGGCATGAGACCAGTGCCATGCACGTCCCAGCAGCTGTATGAGAGAAAGTGATAGCGTAACCGGGACTAGCGTCCCAGGGGGAAGGCCTCAGCCCTCATGGGCCCGGGGGGAAGCCTGGACCTCGTACAGCCGTGTCATCTGCTCGCCATCCAGCCACACACGCGCGACGAACCGCCTGCTGCTGACCGGGTACAGCCACATGATCTCGGCGTCGTCGGGATGCGGTGTGGGCTTGAAATCGGGCAGGGGCTCGAGGCGGGCGGTGCCCAGCTGTCCGTCCGTGACGACGACATGGAGGCCAGTCTGTGTCGTGGCGGCGACGATGCAGCCCGGCGCGACCCAGCTGGCGTACAGGTCGAACGCGGCGTCTTCCATCTCATCGGGCATGACGCTTGCGGCCGTGAGCGTGTCGACAATGGTTCTTGACGCCCAGTCCATCACTGCGATAGCCTCCCCGCTGTTTGGGTGGGCGGAGAGGAGGAGGCGCGTACCGTCTCCGCTGAACTCTGACACGACGTAGTCGTCGGACACCACGAAGGGCCGTACCTCGAGTGTGCCGCCACGCAAGTCCGCCTCGAGTGTGACGCACCCGTCCTGGCCCATTGCGAGCTCGACAACCGCAGCCGTGCCCGACGGGTGCACCAGTATCGATGCGGCCGCGTCCTTTGCCTCGGCGTCTACATGCTCCGCCACCACCGCGCCCTCACGCGTGAGCAGCACGAGTTTGTGTCCGTCGTCGTCCTGCGGCGCCGCTGCGAGGATCCCAGCCGGGACAAACTTGGCCATGTCAGCGCCAGGGATGGGTAGCGTGGTGGTGCCGTCGGGCTGGATGAGGAACAGCTCGCCGTCGGTGCGAACGAGCGCGGCATCGCCATCAACATCGAACAGGGTCGTGCCGGCCGGTTGGACCGGGAGGGGGAGTGTGCGGGTGACGGTTACGCCCTCGCCGAGCGCGGACACGGCGCCGTCCACAATCGCCCAGTCGCCAGAGCTGCTGCGGATGCACATGGTCTTGAGCGAAACGTCGCCGAGGGCGATGAGCTTCTGGGCTGCAGGACCCGCCATGGTCGGTTACGGGTAAAGGTGATGGCCAAGAGTCGAAATGAGCAAGTCGGTGATCAGTGACGCAATTTGATTCCACGCGCAACAGGTGGATTCGTGGTGGCGGGCCAAGGTGGCATTCCGCTGGCCGCGGACCCTCCATCTTCATATGTTGGGTAGCACGGCCGCTCACAAGAAACCAGCGCCTTCTCCGTTGAACTGTCCACTGTCCAAAACTAGTCCCCGACAGCAAGGTCATTTGTGCACGGCTGCCGCTGCTGCCAGTGGTGTGACATTGTGCGTGTAATTGCCAAGTTGAGGCATCGGGTCTCCGTGGCATTTCCGCAATTGTATCCCTTTGCAGTCTATCTCGCGTTTTGATGTGTTCCATTTCACTGTCAACCACAGGAAAGTGCTATACATACGTCTCATAATTACAGGAAATGTCTATCGCTACATGCTAGGCTTGTGCATCGCGAGCGGCGTCGACCAGTGGCCAGTGGGCGGTTCTTTTGTTTGACCGTTGGGGGGCAGCGCGCCGTCTGGTGAAGGTCCATCAAGGAAGGGGAGATGGGAGGGGAGGGAACATCTAGGACTGCTGCACCTCCTTGAGCGGCCTGGCCGAGTTCCAGGACGCCCAGGCCGCTTCAATATCGGGAGCGGTGACTAGGCACTCGAGCAGCCCTTCCTCGCATGTGACGATACGCACGCCCGAACGGCTCAAGAGCCAGCGTTCTAGCGGACCCGTGCCGCCGTCCTCGTCAAAGACAGCGTTACCGTCGTCCTTGAGGCCATCGTCCTGTTCGTCCTCGTCGTTCTCGTCGTTCTCGTCGTCCATGTCATGTCCAGCGTCCTCCGCGGCTGGACGGGATGAGGGGGATGCATATTGTCAGAAGCGTTAAAAGCTAACATGCCACCAACCTTGCGGGTCAGGGCCCAGTGATCCGGGGCTGTCACTGGACCGGTCACATAGAGCGAGGGCGAGGTTGGCCGTGTGTGTTGCCACCAAAAGGTTCGCGAGGGCGCGACCGTCCGTCAGGTCACTGCCGAGGGTATCCCAGAACGCCGCCTCCGACTCGAGCTCGTCAATGGTGACAGTGCGGCGATCGGCGGTGTGGCCTTGAAGGAGGAACGTGCCATCGGAAAGGCGAACGACGAACAGACAGGGCTCGTTGATGATGGCGGCGCCCCATGGACGCACAAAACGACCGGTGACACCGCACACGTGCATGTACCACAGCAACCGGTAGGCGCCTTGGCGCCTGACGTGGAGCACGGCCTCGTCTGTCGTGTACCACTTGTACTCGTAGATACCAAAGGCAAACTGGCCCCACGGCTCAAGGCTTGGAAGAAGGATATCCCCGATAGCTTTAAGCGAGGAGCCAATGGTGATTCTGTCTGGTTTGGCCGAGCCCCACTCGCGCGACGATGCTCCGCTCGAGCTTGGGACCTTGAGTGCATGTTAGCATTCAGTATTCTCACCGTTCTTTCAACTGCAATCTCACAGATGCTGTCATCGGCTCGGCATCAAAATGTCTGTACTCGTTAACTGCCAGCAGGTCACAGTACTCGGTCCAGGTCATAAAGTGCTTGTTGAGCTGGAAGTTTCGCTTCCAGGCGTTAAAGCAAAGTGGCTGGGACCCGGCATGGCTAAAGGTAACAGTGTCGGCGCCATCCCTCGTCCGAGACACGTTCAGAGTACTGAAAAGCTCGTCGAGGGCACATCCGTATTAACTCTCGTCTCGCCACCAGCGCATACCGAGCTGCAGCTGAAACCTGTGGGCGAGGATAGATGCGTCGCTGAGTGGTGGGAGGTAGATCGGCCTCTGGCCGTCTGTAATTGCCCCAGAGTAGTACGGGAGTTGCAATTGAAGGTGGTCGTAGTCGTCGGGTGCAGCCATTGTGTGGGATGGATAAGTGAGGGAGAGGATCATGCGACGGTCAGCTATTATGCAGAGAGTTACGGCTAGTACATGTTGTACGGTTGTCCGGGTTTGCCACCTCGGGTTGATGGGTTCAACACAGTCACGTGACCTCCCACCGTTGGCGCACCCCGGTGACGTTCCACATGTTGAACCCTCTTACAACCTCCACGCTCTTTCCATTTTAACCACACATCGCCGGCCATGTCCCAAGACGACCTGCAACAACTCCGACGCTGGAGGACCCTTGGTGCGCGCCAGTCGGAAAACGTCGTGCGGCTCGCACAGCGCGTGCTCCAGGCCGGCGGACTGGGCGACGAGGGTAGGTTGGATATTCCACCGGCGCAGCGTGCTGACGGCTAGAATGGCCTGTCCGCGAGCAGCTCACCATTGCCGCCCTCGACTTGGGCCAGGTCAAGCTTGCGAATGTAAGCGGGCCTTAGCTGGATTCTTCCTTCTTCCCCGCTGACATTCCCTTCCCCAGCTCCAACTGCGCACGCTGCAGGCCAAGTTCCCCAAGTCGCCGCGCGCCGACCTGCTGCTGGGCCTCAAGCTCGAGGCCGTCGAGGAGTTTGAGCGCGCGCGACAGCTGTACCAGGGCCTGCTGACGAACAACGAGTGCAACGTCGCCGCGCACCAGCGCCTCATCGCCCTCTCGCCCAGCACGCAGGACGCCATCGGCAACCTCCTCACGTACCTCGACACGTTCTACTCGGACGCCGCGGCGTGGTCGCTCCTCGCCGAGCTGTATGCCAGCCTGGGAGCGTACGCCCAGTCCCTCACGGCCCTGGGCCACCTCCTGGTGCTGCACACGTGGGACAGCCAGGCCGTGACGCGCTATGCGGAGACGGCGTACACTATGGGGTGAGCCGGTTGTGTGCACAGAACAGGCCGGATGGCTGCTGACGTGCGTGCGCAGCGACTACCAGCTTGCGCTCAAGTACTTTCTCCGCGCGACCGAGATGGAGACCCCAGCCGATGGTAACGCCGAGGGCTTCCGCACGCGCTCGTGGTGGGGCGTCAAGCAGGTGAGTGGCAGTCGAGCTGGGCAGAGAAGAGCGTCTTAGCTGAACGACCCGACCAGACGGCCAAGCGTCTCCTGGACCCGGCCACGCGCACCGACACGGCCATCCCCGACGACTCTGTCGTGCCGCCCGCCAAGCTCCAGAAGCTCGAGGCGCTGGCGACGGAACGTATCCTCGCTGTGGGCGGTGCCAACATGGACGCGAGGAGAGCGGTGCTTGCGGGATGAAGACAGGGGTAGAGGGACGGACAGGGAGCGAGCGAGCGAGCGAGTACATGGGATTCATCCACAGCGTTTTGTATGCCACTTTCATTTCTAATCGGGCCGTGCTGTGCTGTGCTGTGCTGTGCTGTCTGTGCGTTCGTGTATTGTGCGTCTCGGTGCCGTGTGCGGGCTTCTTGTGCGTGTTTGGAAACTACTGTGCATGCTGAAAGTACAAAAATCATCTTCCCATCACACATCATCTTCGCCACTTGTAGCCTGCCAGCCCCGCTAGCCCGCTAGCTTGACGTCTTCTACTTGTGGCCGGCCGGGGGAGGGGGCAGGAACTCCTCGACAAAGGTCCTCTCCTTGTCCCAGACGCCGTGGCGCCAGTACGCGTCCTGCTTGATGCGCTCCCACACGGCCTCGCGCGAGGGCAGGTTCCACACCATGAACGAGCCGCCAATGTTGGGCGTGCCCTCGGGCAGGCCGTGGGGCTTGGCGTCGGCGGGAGGGTAGAAGGGACGGCCAAACTCTGCGAGTCGGGTGTGTCAGTTACGTGTGCGTGTGAGTAGGCGGAGAATGCGGACGTGTGGAGAGAGGAGAGAGAGTGCTCTGCTCTGCTCTGCGCTACTCGAACACCACCCCACCACTGGACTCACCCTGCTGGCCGGAGGCAATGTCCTTGTGGATGAGCTCGACGTGCTCAGGACGCACAGAGAGGCGCTTGGCAAGCGACTCGGGGTAGTCGGGCGCGTAGATGAGGAACGAGGGCATGGTGTGCGGTGCGGTGTGGTGCGGTGTGTTTGGTGGGTGCGGTGGGCGTGTGGGCATGTCCCAGTCTGACGCGCTGCTGATGTTATATGCCCATCTCGCCATCGCCCATCTCGTCATGGCCCATCTCGCCATCGCCCATCGCCATGGTCTAGTTGCCGGGGTTGCCGCCTGCCTGACGTCCGACGATCCGACAACACCACTGGACCACAGGTGCCATCTCGGAACGTCGGAACATTGTTGAACCGACCCCCCGGGACGATTATGATCACCGATCACCGAGATGGGCTACGATGGGTCCATGACCGACAACTTGGCTGCGCAACGGCTGCACGGCTGAGCGACGGTTGTACGGTACGGTACGCACATGGCCAAGGTAAAAACCATAATGCATAGGAGAAGCCCGATATAAATTGATGTGTTCGTACAGATCCACCGCGCAACGCGTGGGACATGGAGGGTCTGGCCGGTCTGGCGGGGTCCCACAGGAGTCCAGCAGCCGGGACTCTAACCGGCCACTCCAAAGGCGAAGGAGGAACCTTCCGTCCAATGTAGGAAGGAGGTCGGCCTCTCTAGGCCTGTCTCCCACTATAAACACCCCCCCTCCCTCCGATGTCAATGTCCTAAATCTCTGCCTGCTCAGATCCTGCCGGCAAGACGGTCCTCGATAATGTCCGCCACGACCTTGCCCACAACCGTGATGTGGTTGCCCTGGAATCCGCCGTTGGGTCCATCGGGGTAGTCGACCTTGGGCTGGTTGGGCGACGTGCGCACCAGGTCGTGCTGGACGGCAAAGTGGCGCATGCCGAGGGCGTGAGTGGTCCACATGTAGTCGTGAGCGAAACCACCCTTGAAGAACATCCTACGCCGTTAGCTCGAGCACATCACGCGTTTTCCGCCCATGTACTGAATACTCACTCAATGACAGCCGAGCGGGGCGTGGCAGGCATCCACAGCAGGTGGGTGAGACCGTTGCCGTGCACGCCGAGCATAATGGTAGTGCGTGCCGCAATGGTGATCTGCTCGTCCTTGGTCAAGGTCTCGGCCGAGACGATGATGAGCTCAAAGTCGAGCTTCTTGGCACGCTCCTCGAGGGCAGCGACAAGCTCGTCGTGCGACTCTGGGGTGAGGCGACGGCTGCCCTTTTGGCGCGAGATGTAGGTCACGACGGGACGGTACGTGCCGATGGGCGCGAGCGTCTCGGGCTTGGGCTTGCCCTTCAAGACGTCGGCCTCGACCTTGACGGGGTCGATGGCGCCCCAGCCCTCGAGGCTGCGGTTGATGATGTCCTCGTCGACGCCAGAGTAGCGGGCCATCTGGCGACGGAGGGGCTCCCACCAGAAGGGCGAAGCAACGCCAAACTGGCACGCCGAGGCCGCCGTGCGCTGGGTAGGGCCGGTGTGCGGGCCGCGGAAGGCAGCGGAGCGGTCGCCCAGGATAGCCTTGGGGAGGACATAGGCCTTCTTGACATGAGCGCCCGACGTCGAACCGCGCATGTCGTCCATATCCTCTGGGTAGAGGATGGCAGTGTCGGGGAAGAGGGCGTTGGTGATAAACTTGTTAAAGCCAGGCCTGTCACGCCACTGCTGCGCGTTCTGGTGGAGGAACCACATGCGGGCAGGAGGAGGAATCTTGGTGCGGCCGTGCGCATCAATGTTCTTGTCCAGAACCGAGTGCACGCGCCAAGTACTCAGCAAGAGCTCGGCAGCAAAGTGGTAGTAGTGGTCGATGACTGGGGCGGGTGTTAGAAATTGGGAAGGGAGGAAGCAGAGCCATTCAACTCACACTGTCCGTCGTTGAAGAGCCAGGTCATGCCGCTCATCTCGTAGACGTTGTTGCCCCACTTTTCGTAGGCTTCCTGGGGGGTGATGAATATGATCTCGTCGCCCTTGGGCTCGCGAGCCTCCATGTTTCCCGGGACGTTTTCGGCAGGCAGACCGGTCGAGGTCATCAGGCGGAGCTCGGGCCAGTCTGAGCGCTGCTCGCTGCAGGCATGTTAGCTCACATTACCATACCAGGGATGGTGATGACACACTCACGTGACAACGTAGAACGTGCTGTTGTAAATGTAGAGGTTTTCAAACATGGTCCATCCATCCGTGTGGCCAAGCATCTTGGTGGCCCTGTCGGTAAACTCGTCCGACTCGAGCGAGTCGGACTCGTCCTCCTCGGTGTCCTTGCCCTCGGCGCCGTGGCTCTCCTGGCGGACGAAACCGACCTTGACGTGCGTGTCCTCAAAGGAGCGCTCGTTCAGTGGCTGCACGGCACACTGCTCGTCGTCACTGCTCTCGCCCGACAGCACGTTCTGCCATGCCTTGAGACGTGAGGGCCGCGACGACGACGACGACGACGACGATGATGACGCCGGGGAGCCGGATCCAGCGACATGGTCGGGGGCGGTGAAGAAGAGGTACGCGATACCAAAGGTGACGATCACCAGTAAGAGGTCACGGCGTGTTGGCCGCATCGCCCTCGCCGACATGGTGTAATACAGAGAGAGGTGGATGGCGGTGGGGGTGGGATGTGTGAAAGGACAAGGCGGGGGGAGGTGTGGTCGAGATGTAAGTGACCAGCGTGCTTGAGACGCTGGCAAGGGGGAGTGCGAGGGGGGATGGGCTCTCCCAAGAGGTGACAAGCCTTGGGGGTGCGTTGCGTGTATGTGTGTGTATGTGTGTGAAGAGACAGAGATAGAGACAGAGAGAGCAAGAGCAAGACGTGGAGGAGGGAGAGAGAGGGGCGGAGGAAAGACAATGCAAGATTAACTCTCCGCACGCCCTGGGTGGTGGGATGTGTCCCGTCCCGCCGAGAGAGCAAGGTAGCAATGGGCGAGACGCCATATGGCTGCAAGGCACCCCTGCGTTTGTTCTGCTGCTTTGGCTGCTTTTCTGGCTGGCCAAGGTGTCCCTGCCCCCCCCCCCCCCACCCCGGTTGATCGGTTGCGGATCTCCCACCTTCTTCATACCTCGCATAAATCCACCCGCAAGCATCCATCCATCCACATTCCCACGGTCACACTCCTCCTTCCTTCCCCGTCATCCCCTCTCTCTCTTACCATCCTCGATCCTCTGCCTCTGGCCACGGCCGCTCTCTGGATCTCTGTTCCTCTGTTCCTTCTGGGTTCCCTCTCCCGCTAAACGCTCGCTTTCGAGGCACACGGTGTTTTTAACCCACTGGGCTGGCCACGGGCCACGGGCGACACTGCTCAGACCCAATATCACATCACAGGCAAGAGGCGTGACTCATGCCTTGCTGGCAGCTGCTGGCCGGCCTCTGGCTGTCGGAGCTTCTCTCCTTCAAGGCCTTTCTGCGTTTCGAATGGCACACTCTGCTACTCTGTACTCTGACACACAGCAGTAACCCATACTCACAATCCCCGGTTCTCCTGATCTCCTTGTCGCCCACGTCTCACGGCGCGGTCGAGGCCTGTGCAGGCCGTGCATGGTGCAGGTGCAGGCCCATAAACCATGGCATGCTTGCATTCCGACAAAGGATTCCAGGAAAAAGGCGTGGCCAGGAAAACGACAAAACAGAAACTCTCTGGTACAACTCTGGTCTCTGGTCACTGGGACCTTTGTCCCGCGGGCCGATGTTTCCCTGCTGGCTTCAGGCTTTTTTGCTCCAACGTGCTCTCGTTGCCTAGCCTTTTGGAGCCTGGAAGGGGGGGGGGGGGGCGTTAATTGGCTTTTGCATCCCGCACACCTGGCATGCCTGGCACATGCTCGCTTGCGACCTGCGCGACCTGCGCGACCTGCACGACCTGGTGGCCCGACCTGGCGCGCAAAGCTGGCGGGCACACCAAGACGCCTCTTGTGCCGATGAGAGCCCTTTTTTCCCTGTGGCCTGTGGAAAAATAACGATGATACCCGTCCTGAGACTGGAGAGAGAGCGTTGTATGAGTGGCATCGAGTGGGTCTGTGCTGAAAGTGACAACCCCCAAGCTACCTATCGGCCCGACGTCTCGGGGGGAGTTCTGGAGCGTGGAGCGAGGGGGATATGGAAGGACGCGTCTTCCGGGGGATCCATGGACGAGACCCCGGTACGTACCCCGGGCCAGTAGTCTTCGTGGCGAGTCCAGAACGCGTGCTGTCGGCCTCTGCGAGCTGCTTTATAGAGTTTAGCACCTGTTCTCGTCGTCATCATTGTCCTTTCTGATCGTCTGAGACGTGGGTGTGCGTGCCGATCCGCCCAAAACGAACGTACGAACAATGTACGTGTCGCGTGTCTTTACATGTTCGCAATTCGCGCTTGTCCTGAAGCTCCCCCCCCCCCCTCTCTGTCTCCGGGGTCTTGCCGCGCAAAAACCGGGTCTGGACAACGGGGAGACAAGGACAGGGAGACGCAAGGGGGGTTGTCATAGGTATTTTAGAGATTCACACAGCACACACACTCAATCGACACATACATACACACTGCACGCATCCATGAGACACACCCCACTGCGGGAGGCGGTGACACAACATGCGTCATTGGCCACCACATCATCATCAATGTGATTTGTTGTGCTATCAAATGGGTTGGGTCGAGAAACCGCAACACACTTTGTGCATGGACGGAGAGGGGGCCTCTTTCATGCCTCCCTCCGCTCCCGCGCTCCCGCCCGCTCCTGTGGCCACAGCGCGTGCACCTGCGACTCCCATGTCTCTTGCAAGCGTCTGCATGGGGAATCCTCCACGTCCTGGCGTGTTTCGCGTGTCGTATGCTCTACTGCAGTGCAATAGAATCGGGGGTGCCAGATATCCAGAGAGAGAGAAAGGAGACAGGGCACACTACACGTCCATGTGTCTTGAACGGGGCAATGTAGAGCGCAGTCGCGCGGGGTCCCTGGATGCAAACGCTCAGCTCGCGCTCTCTGGAGCTCTGGCCCAGAGCCCCCACACGTCAACCACACCACAGGCAAATAACCTCATCGCGCACATCATTTCATCGTTTACACAACATCCACATCACACACTGTAACACCTACCCATTCTTTTGTCTTCCCTCGACTCTGATACCCCAACCTTTAACGTCTCCCCACGCTCGTTCTTCACCGTTGTGCTCGCCCTCCTCCCAACCTGCACGCGCTTCCTTCCTTTCCTCCCTTTACCTACCCCTCTCCTCCCTCTCATCGCTTCCACTCGATCGATTGGATCGCCTCCCCCTCCCCCCGCCCGTCGCTTCTCCCACCGCATATGCCTCTCGTCATCTAAACCAACAAAGCAATGTTAGGGCCGCCAAAGGCAACGATGGCTGTGCCGTCGACACCCAGTCGCAAAGACCGTAGAAAGTCTTGGTTTGGCTTTTCGACACCGACACGAAAGGACAAGGGCGCGTCCGTCGCTCCTCGAACGAGCCAGCTGCCAGAACCTGCCGAGGACGCCTTGGAAGAACTAGACACCACCCCGACGCGCAAATCCAGCGAGCCTCCTCGTGGCGGTTGGCTTCTCGATCCCGACGACAGCGACAGCGGTCCATATGGCACGATCAAGCGGCGAAGGCCGCCGCTCCTCGTCGACCAGTCTGCCGGAACACCAGGAGGGTTCCGCCAGCAGAATGCCGACGCGCTGGCCAAGCTGTCCGGCGGCGAGTCTCCAGTCGCTGCCAAGCCTGTACGTGTTGATTCTTTTTAGAGATGTGGTTTGTCTCCCATCCCTGCGGCAGAGGGCGCCTCCCCAGCCAGGCTACCCAGCACCTGGGCGCCTGGGCCCGACCCTCCCGCATATGGCTGCTGCCGCACAGGCCCATGGCGTTGCAGGATGGTGGAGGTGTGGACACACGCGAGAGAGATCGCAACACTGACGCTCACTCTCCCTTTTCTTTCCATCGCTCTCTCCCTCTCTCTGTCACACTCTTCGTCCTCTACAGAAACCAAAGTTGTCTGCACGCATCTTCTCCCGCACCGCCAGCGAGCGCTCCACCCCCATCCCCGACACCTCCTCCCCTACCCTCGCCAGTCTGGCCCCGGCCACCAAGGTCTCGCGAAGACACACTACCCTTGCCGCCGACCTCGAAGGCGACGTGGACCTAATCGACTTGCCTGCAAATGACCAAGGAGGCTCGCCGATGAACAAACCTCTCCCATCGATTCCCCTCCATGACGAAGCTCTGCCGCCCCGCTCCGTGTCACTGCCACCACCAGATGCTGTCGCGCCCCGTGGCGGTGTGCTCCCGGCGCAGTTTCCAATTCCACCGACAGACATTGTGATCACCCCATCAAGTCCGCTCGATAAGGACCCATTCGCCGATGTGTTCGGCGCGCTCAACAGCCCAACACGGTCGACGTCATCAGCACCAGTGTCCAGGCAGCCCTCGGTGGCGCGCACGGCGCGGGCCACGTCCCAGCCCCGCCAGTCGTCCCCGACGCCCAAGAGCCGCGCCAATGGAACCACCCCCACCTCAGCGGCGGCGGCGGCGGCAGCGGGGGGCTCTGCTGGGATCGGCCTGGGGCTGCCAGAGACGAACACTCGGCGCATCTCTGCTCCCCCAGGCGTGATGCTGCCAACCAAAATATCCGTGTCGTCGCCGCTGCCCATGCGCACTGGCAGTGTAGGCCCAAAAGTGACGTTTAACCCGGCTGCGGACGACGCGTCCCACGACTACGACAACAAGGAGCTGCCGAAAGTCAAGGCCCCACGACCGCGTAGCTTCTCGGCCATGCTGGGCCGCTCGCCACTGCTCAACCTCGGTGACCAGACCGATGACGAGGACACGGGCGGCAGCTCAAAGTTCAACTGGCTCGGCGTGCGCAAGACTATCCGTCGCCGCCGCTCAGAATCCAAACTGAACAAGCGCCGCAGCTTTGCCAGCGGGTTCATGTCCCAGAACGAGGATTCCAACGACAAGGACAGCATTCACAGCAACAACACGTTGACGACGCCGAGCATAACCACGAGCAGCACGAACGAGCAGCGCTCCGGATCGAACACGACGGCGCGGCCGATGGCCATTCCGGGCTCCCTGCAACGGGAACGGGCGCCGCTGGTCAATGGCGGCGGAGGCAGCACGACGTCATCATCGACCGCATCGTCATTGCCGTTGTACATTTTGCCGGCTGTCACGGTGGAGAATGAGGCATTCTGGCCACCACATGGCGGTTTTGTCGAGTCACCTGCAGAGGAAAAGGAGGAGATGGTGTTGGAGACTGGCTCGCGCGAGTCGCTCACCACACGGACTCGCCGCCAGGACGCATCGCGTACTTCATCCATCGCCTCCACTCCTTTGGAATCACTACCAGAGGGCAGCCCTGCGCCCGCTATCCCCCCGATTGCAGAGGACTCGCTCGAGCCCCCAGCTAGCGTTGCGGCCCGCGCAGTGCGAGGACGGTCGTTTTCAGATGCTGCGCGGAGAACGTATGTTCCTCCTGTCGACGAGGGTCCACCGTCGCTGTCTTCGTCTCCCCGCTCCCCCTTCCTCAGCACGCTGCCCGTCGAATCGTCGCCAAAGAGCTCCGGCATCTTCCGTCCAGCAATGTCAAGCCGGTCCAGCTCTAGCAGTTCGGCCGTGCTGGGCAAGGTGCGCAGTGTGTTTGGCAGCCGCCCACGGAGCAACAGCACGCTGCGATACGGGTACGGCGGCTCGGTGTCGGCTGACGAGAGGGAGGATGTGAGGTCGGACACACCGCATACGCGCCCCGAGTCGTCTGCCTCGGCTGCGTCGTCGTTTGTGCCGTCGCCTGCACTCCCGCCGGTACGGATCCGCCCCGAGGACGTCCCGCAAGTGTCGCAGCTGCAGCTGCAGATTGGCAGCGAGGACGATCGACGAGTGGTCATTACCGAGACGCCAGAGCGGTCACCGCGGTCGTCGTACGCGGCCTCTGTAGGGTCGCAGACCCAGACCCAGGCCACTCGGCGCTCCATCACCGCCCTCGACCCGTATTTGCAAGCGGGAAGCGTCCGCAACGCACGAGCTCGTGCCAGCACCATTTCATCTGGCGCAATCTCCTGGCAGGGTACGTTCGGTGGCGCTGGCCAAATGACCAACCACCCCAACCACTCGACCACCGGTACGTTTGGCCATGGGTCGGTCCACGGCGGCGGCGGCGGAGCCCACTCGATCCACGGTCAATCAACGTACAGCAGCTCGGCCACGTACCTCCCGGCGCCTTCCTCGCCGCTCACCTTCCCCACGTCCGCCACTCCCACCCGTACACGGTCCGGCTCGATCAGGCGGCTGTCAAAGGCCATCCTCAGCGCGAGCCCGTCGTCGCCCAAACCCCCGTCATCTGGTGGCGGCCTGTTCCCTCTCCCGCCACGGTCTCAGTCGTCGGGGACACTGTCCGTCTACGCCGCCGCGGGGCCGAGCGAGGAGCTCAGTCCTGCCCCCAGCTCGGTGCCCAGCAGTGGCGCCCACACCAACGGTGCGCTCACGCCCAAGGAGCGCGCGGCAGCCGACAAGGCAAGAGACAAAGAGGCCATGTCGATCCGCGCCGACGACACGCCTGAAGCGTGGGTCGACCGCTTATCCGTGGTCAGCAGGCGCGAACTGGCCGGCGTGCTCGCCGAGAGCTCGGACAAGTTCCACATGGACGCGCTGCAGACATACATGACGCGCTTCGACTTCCACCACATTGCCCTCGACGTCGCCCTCCGCCGGCTGCTGATGGACATGTCGCTGCCCAAGGAGACGCAGCAGATTGACCGCGTCATGGAGGCGTTTGCGTCGCGCTATGACGCGTGCGAGCCGGGACTGTTTGGTGAAAAGGGTAGGCACAGGCAAACAAGCAAACAAGCCCCAGGCGCTGACGTGTGATCCAGACAATGCCTATGTGCTTGCATTCTCGATGATGATGTTGCATACGGACGCTTTCAACCGGCACAACAAGAACAAGATGAACAAGGCCGACTATGTCAAGAATACCCGTCTGGACGGTGTCCCCGAGGCTGTTCTCGAGACGTTTTACGACAACATTACGTTTACGCCGTTTGTGTTTATTGAAGACGACAACGAAGCCGTCCTGGCCAACATGGGCGCATCGTCCAACCCGCTGGGCGCGGTCCGCCCAGGCAAGATTGACGTGTACGACATGATCGTCAGCGGGCAGCTGAGCACGCTGCGCGTCAACGTCGAGTCCATGGTCCCAGCCGAGAGCCCCTTTTCGTGTATGGGCACGCGACCGTTCCTCGACGTCGACAGTCTGCAGCGCCGGTTCGCTGACGCGCACCCGCTCAAATTCGTCAAGAACCGTCTGCGCCGCAAGCAGTCGCTCACGTCGTTTGGCAGCCGCCCGGCGTCCACCGAGCCGGGCAAGGCGCCCGGCCACGGCGCGTCAGACGACCTGCAGACGCTCAACATTACCAAGGTCGGCCTGATTAGCCGCAAGGACGACTCGATCGTCAACGGCAAGCGCGTCACGGGCAAGAAATGGAAGAGCTGGAGCGTCATCCTCACGGGTTCCCAGCTGCTCTTCTTCAAGGACACGATCTGGGCCCTCACGCTCGTGGAGCAGATCCGCAGCGCGGGCAAAAAGGAGATCCAGCACATGGCCAGCTTCCAGCCCGACGAGGTGCTCTCGGTCAAGGACTGCGTGGCGGTCTGGGACCGCGAGTACACGGCTACGTTGAACACGTTCAGCTTTATGATGTCCCACGGCCGCCAGTTCCTCATGCAGGCGACGGACGAGTACGAGATGAACGACTGGGTCGCGCTCATCAACTATGCGAGCACGTTCAAGTCGGCCGGGATCCGCATGCGCGCGCAGGCAATCGACAGCGGCGAGGCTGTCATGGCCGGCGCGGCGGCGGCCGAGTCGCACAAGCGCGACTTGGAGTCGGGCGAGGGTGGTGCAGCAGGTGCAGGTGCTGGTGCTGCAGTCGCTACCCCCGTGGCAGCGGCTTTTGCTACTACTACTACTACCTCTGCTGGTGCCAGTACCATTACCCGGACATCTGAAAACTCGCAGACGCGCGCGGTGCTCTTTGCCGACGCTGTGACTGTGGACGATGCCCCTGCCCGCCCGAGGTTACGCCGCGTCGGCAGCATGCGCGCGACACCGACGGCCGTGGTGGACATTGTCGGCGCCAACAGCACGGTCGTGGACGGTGGCGAGCAGCTCGAGGCGGTTATCGGATCCGTCAAGGCTGAGCTCGCTGCCGGTCGCGGCGGCGCGACGCGTACAATGTCGTTGCCACCCGACGCCGACGTCATCCACAAGTCACTCCGTACCGAAGCCATCGGCGGGCAAGTCAAGGTCCTCAAGGAGTCTGCCGCGCCGATCGAGAGACGCCTCGCTGCCAACCTCCGCCTGGCGCGCAACCTCGCCATCCTCACGCCGTTCCAAAAGGCCACGCGCGACCGCATCGAGCTGTGTATCCCCGAGCTGGCCAGGCAGATCCGCGACGACCGCGTCGAGCTCTCCAAGCTGCACCTGTGGCTCACCATGCTGCTCAAGGACCAGGACAGGGACCAGCGCGAGTGGGCGCGCGTGCGGCACGTCGCGCTGCAGGCCGCGGCCAAGAGCCTGCGCGGTGGCCTTGGCCTCGGGCCGGCGGACAGGCGCGCGACTCTCGCACACCCCATCGCCATCCCCACGCTCGCCCTGCCCGACCACGACCCGTGGGTCGTTGACAAGTCGCCCAACTTTAGCCCGGCCATCACCCCGCTCGGTGTCAGCCCGGCCTCGGGCAACAGTCCGCTGGGCACGTCACCGGCACCTGGCGTGGGCGTGGACGTAGACGCCGACGCCGACGCAGCCGCGGGTGCAGACGCAGACCCGCGCAGCCCGCCGGCCATCTCGACGTACGCGTCGCCGCCCACGTCGCCCCGCCGCCCGAGCGACGACGAGTCGCGGCATAACCGCACCTCGTCCGAATCCGACTATGAGCTCGCGCGGGAGTACCTCTCGGGCTCGTCGCTGTCGCTGCCTGACGAGGTCGACAAGATGTTCTCGTCGCCCGAGATGGTGCCCGGCAAGCTGGACGAGGAGGTCGAGAAGGAGAAGAGCGGCCACGTGGATGTGACGACAGCGGCCAAGGACGAGGCCGAGGACTGGCGCAAGACGCGCGCAGCGACCAAGGTGTCCCTTGCCAAACTGCCTGCAGGCAAGATTGGCGTGCTGCACAAGCGCGTGGCGAGTGGCGGCGGTGCGCGCGCCGGGCTCGGTGGGCTTGTGTGAGAGCGTGAGCGTGAGAGCTAGACAGGTGTTCCGCAGCGACCCACACGGCCACACGGGTGATAATAGCATACACAAAATATATAGGACCATTTTTTTATATCTGGCAAGGGGGGCGTTGTACGATGCACAGCAGCAATACCAAGAGCACACATGCAGATGTGCTGGGGGCACGCTGGGCACGGGACCGCAAACGATCAAGCGATGGGTGTGCCTGGGTACGTCTTGGGCGGCCCCCTCATTGGGTTTGATCGGCGGTAGGCGAGCGGGATCAAAAATAGCGGGAACGCGGGCGGGGGGCGACTATGAGATCATCCCTCTCTCTCCAGCCCGCAATCGCACCCTCTCGACGTCGTCCTCTTTCCTCTTCACTCGACCAGAACAACAACTGCAACACGCCCAACACCCACCATGGCTGCGCCGCTTTACGTCACCCAGTCAGGTCGTCTGTACCATGCGGGGTTGATCCTTATCGTCACTGTGGGACTGCCAGGTGAGCAGGAGCGTGAAGCGCGGGGCTGTAGCGAAAACAACGCGAGCTGACGGTTGCCTTCTCCTTATCGGACCATGATGTCTCTCTCTCCCCCATGGCCATCTGTCTCGTGTTGCTCTATATCGTCTGCTGTGCACTTTGTCTCCATTGACCTCTTATTCCTCGGTGTCCATCGGGTCTCCAACGGTCTCTCGCCATGTCGGCTCGTCTCGCTCCGCCCCCGGCCCCGGCCTCCACAATCTATCCGCCTCGCCGTTCGCCCCTCAGCCCGCGGCAAGACTCACATCTCGCGCGCGCTGGAGCGCTACCTCCGCTGGATGGGTGTCAAGACCCGCGTCTACTCGTTGGGCGACTACCGACGCAAGGTCCTTGGCGGCGCCAAGAACGTGCCAAAGGATTACTACCAGAATACAGGTAAGTAGGGACGGTGCCGGCGCCTGTATCTGGCGTCAAGAGTCCCCGGGTTCCCAGCTGACAGCGCCGCCCCACTCTAGGTGCAATCTCGGACGAAACGATATCGCTACGTACAAAGATTAAAAACGAACTCGAGGACCAGATCTGGGACTTTTTCACCGTCCAAGGCGGCCAGGTCGTCATCTACGATGCCAACAATGGAAACGTCGCTGCGCGCCGCGAGTGCATGGAGACGTTTGGAAGCAAGGGCGTGCACGTCATTTACCTCGGTACGTGGCGATAGCTGAGGAATTCCCATGTTGTCAGCTGACTTTGGCATTCAGAATCCCTCTGCGACAAGGACGACATTATCACGGCCAACATTCGCAGTGTCAAGCTCTCGTCCCCAGACTATGCGGGCTGGGACGCGGACCGTGCTGTCGCCGACTACTGGAGGCGTATCCGTGACCAGGCGGCCGTTTACGAGACGGTCACTGCGGACGAAGGCCCGTACATCAAAGTGCTCAACGTCGGCGAGCGTATCGACGTTAACCGCATTGAGGGTGGGTTGGATCTCGGTTTCACGTTTAGCTAACCCTCAGGATACCTCCAGACCCGTTGCTGCTTCTTCCTCATGAACATTCACACCAAGCCGCGCACCATTTTCTTTGCCCGGGTAAGTTGAAGTACGGCTTCTTCCTCAACTTTGTTTTGTTAACAATGATCCAGTCTGGCCAGTCCCTCATCGAGCACTCGTACAAGGCCGACTCGGACCTCTCGCCCGCAGGGTGGGAATATGCGGAACGCCTCAAGGCTGCCGTGGCGGCGCGCCGCAAGAAGCTCCGCGAGGAGCGCAAGGAGCGCGGCGAGGTGGTCAACGACCTGCCCCTGGCTGTGTGGACTTCGTCTAGGCGCCGTGCGCACCACACCGCATGGCCGTTTGTGCACGCCGGGTACAAGGTGGTCCAGAAGCCGATCATGGGCGAGATCAACCCGGGTGTGTGGGACGGACTTTCGTCCCAAGAGGCAATGGAGCGCTACCCGGACGAGTGGGAGCGTTTCCTCGCCGACCCGTATGCTCACCGCGCACCCCGTGCCGAGAGCTACCACGACCTCTCTGTCCGTCTCGAGCCGATCATCTTCGAGCTCGAGCGTGAACAAGGTGACCTGCTCATCATCGGCCACGCGTCGGTCATCCGCTGTCTCCTGGCCTACCTCGTCGGTCTGCCACCGTCCGAAGTCCCCGCTGTCGAGATTGCCCGCGGCGACCTCGTCGAAGTCACGCCGGCGTCGTACGGCGTCGTCTCCCGCGCCTTCCACTTCTGGTCGGGTGAGGGCCGCGGCGACTCGAGCGGTCGCAACCTGTACGAAAACTTTGCCGAGGCCACGTCGGGTGTTGTGGGCGGTATCCTGCCCACGTTCTCGGGCGAGGCGACCAACATGGAGCAAGAGGCCGCCGCCGAGGAGCTCAAGGACAAGGAAGCCAAGGCCGACCTGGTCCGCGCCAAGCTCAAGGCGCGCATGGGCACCGCTGCAGACGGGTCCATGTCCGCACCCCACGGCAAGGGACGCAAGGGATCGGGCACCCCGATCGAGGAGTATGAGCCTATCGGCTCTCTGACGCCGAAGCCGGAGCGTAAGAGTGGGTACTAGGGCAAAGAGTCGTAAACGTGTGCGTGTGTGTGCTGACGGCTCTACAGTGAGCATTCTCGAAATTTAGGATGTGGAGCAAAGAGAGAAGATTAACTAGCTTGTACGAGACTGTATGCAGGGTATAGATTGTAATGTGCTCTCGGCGTCGGCGTCGGCGCTGGCAGTGGCGAGAAGGGCCGTCTCGGCAGCAGCAGCTTCCTCGGCAGTGAGGACCCGCCAGTGGGGGCTAGGCCCGCCGCGGACCCAGTCAAAGTCCTGGATCTGGTCGTGCTGGTTCTCGGCGGCGGGAACATCCCCGAGTGAGCCGGGGTACGCGCCGACCATGACCCCGTCGCACCCCTCAATGACGGGCAGCGAGGGGACGTACAGCATGACGACCGTGTCGCGCGTCGTGTGCAGGCGGAACTGCTGCGCCCCGACGAGGACCACACACCGCGTCACGTCGCTCAGCATCGCGCTGCCGGCCATGGGCGGCGCGAGGACCACACAGTCGCGCAGGTCTCTGGCGTGCAGAGACGTGAGGACAGCCGTGGAGGCCGGCGACGGCCGCAGGTCAATGACGCACGAGGTCAGGTCGGACAGCGTGAGCGTGTAGCTGGACCCGGGAGCCGGGGTGTAAGCGTCTGGCGTGAGGCGCGTGTGCGACTGCGATGACAGCGTGTACGTCGTGACCGGAAGCGCCGGGGCGGCGGGTGCTGCTGCTGGTGCAGGTGCTGGTGCTACGGGGGGAGTTGGCGGGGTGGCCGTGCGCGGTGTCGACGACGCAGACCGCTTCGCAAACGTAAACTTGGCCTTGGGCTTATCGGCGCGCAGAGCCGCGAGCCGCGTCTCGAGGTCCTTGACTTGCTGGAATGTCAGCTGATGTGAACACGACGAAGACGAGTGGTAGCTGGGCTGACGTGCAATAGAGGTTCATCCCAGAGTACCACGCACCAGGTCGTAACTCCTCTGATCGTACGGCGGCAAGCTAGCCCTCGCAACCGCGAGCCCCGTCCTCAGGCGGCCGAGCGCGCCGCTCGCGTTGGCGAGGTTGGACGCGTCGAGCGCGGACGCGACGTCTGCCTAGTCAGCGAGGGCGAGGGGTGGGTATAAAGCATACCTGCTTTGAGGGCCTGAAACTCGGTATAGAAGGTAGCCGAGGCGCTCGTGCTGGCCATTGTGGGTTGACGACGAAAGAAGGAGAAAAGGAGGTACGAAAGTGCTTGTTGACGGGTGGAGGCCAAGTTGGCTGGCGGCACGTCTACCCCGTGGGGAAGTTGCATGGCGTGGTGGCACCTTGACGACAGTGCGCAGTTGAACCCCCGCTGCAAGGATCCAAGGAGTGACAGCCCCACATTCAAGCCCTTTATGCTCCTCTGCAGGTATGGCCGCGTACCTTGCAGTATGCATACCCCTGGTCTTGGTCGTGACATCAAGACTATGGACGCAGACGCGGTCGACATTTATTGTGTACATTTTCAGAGAAACGCACGGTTCGTTGTGTTTCGGCGGAGCAAACCCGGCAGTTGTGTTTCTCAAAACCCCCCATACATTTGTGGGGAAACCCAGCGTTTATGCGGTGCAAACACACAGTGTTGTGTTTCTTCAACATTTTATACATTTTCAAGGAAAACACAGTATGTGCTTTGTTCCGTTGAAGCGAAGCGCGGAGAGCATTTTCTGAAATGCCCTTTCCTCACTTACTTTGGAACAGCCCGCCAACGACAAGGACGGATGAATGTCTGTAGGCTGCGGATTGTTCGAGTAACCGCATTATGTGGTTCTCATTTGTGCCTCTGGTCTGCCCTTGTCCACTGGGACATGTCTCGAATTTTGCAGCCATTTATTCAGTGTGAGGGGTCACAATTGTTCGACATCAGTTGGTGTTTGTGCGGGGAGAGGACATCCCGTGTGGTGGCAACGTTATTTCTTCGGCTCGAATACACCAGTTTTCGGTAAGCATCGATTCTACAGATAACCTACCTAACAAGATATATGCACGCTCCTTTTCACACGCTTCCCCAGCACAGGCAAAAACCAAGCGACGTCCAATGTGGCAGCCGACCACACAAGCCACACTCTCCTTTGTCCTTCCTCCATTTCTCGAGATCCACGTCAGGCTGTTTATTTATTGGACAGCTGCATAGGGATACTTCATACGCACACGAAAAAAATCCACGTTGTTTCGGCTTCATCTAAACGTTCAACACAGCACAACCACGTGTAACCGACGATCACCACTTGTTTGACCGCCGATCAACCATTTTCGCTCCTTTTCTCCAGAACTACTGCTCCAATCCGCCTCATCTCTTCACGAGGAACACCATCTACATCAGGAGAACAACAACATGTTCGACCCCGTGGCGTAATGGTAGCGCGTGAGATTCCAACTGGAATGTGTCGAGCACCATCTTGGTGCGAGGATGTTTCCTCAAGGTTGTCCGTTCGATTCGGGCCGGGGTCGGCTTACGCCTAGCTTTTGCTGTTTTGGGAGACTGGGGAGCGTTGCTGTAGACCTCATGTACTGCAGAGACGTGTAGATGATCCAATAAGACGTGGTTGGGGGGCCTGAGAGGACCAAGGGTCGGCAAGAGATGGCGGGAAGTTGTGGTCACTGAGTGACATTTATGCTCCGACCGTTATGTTGTGACAGCGTTTGCGGACGCTAGCAACCACTTTGGACGTGTCTTTGAATCAGTAAACATGAGGTCTCAGAGCTATGCCCAGTTGTTTTGGGTACATGTCGCCAATATGTGGCCGAAAGCCGTTCCAAAAACAACACAGCCGTTATCCTCAAGCTTGCCAGCAGACATCCTGCCACTGCCCGCCCGCCCACCTGTCTTTGCGTGCACCGACCTGCCTGCCTTCTCACCTCCTCGCCGTCGGCTACTGCCGGCGCCGGCGTCAGAGGTGCCCCATTCGCACCCAAGCGACCAGTCTGGGGCTCATCCAGCCTCTCTTCTGCACGGCTGTCTCCCCGGTCATGCGCAGGGGACTCCAACAGCGGTGCCACTGTCGGCCCGGAGCCTGGTGGCAGGTGCGCTGGCGGGTAGGTGTTCGACTGACCTATCATGCATGCTGCCCTCGTCATTGCGCCGCAACACTGGCCCTTGTGTACGCAGCCGGCGATGGTGTCTCAGCCAGGGAGCGAGGCAGGGAGACAAGTGCCACGCCACGGATAAATGGTCCCGCGTGGCCGGGAAAACGGCGGCGGCGGGGCGAGCCACACACAATGACGAGTCGAACCCGGGGGGCAGGGAGCGGGATCAAATACGCGTTGCTGCTTGGCTGGGCGGGTGCGTCGGCCCAGAAGGCACAGAAGCAAGAAATATTCCAAGAGCGAGGGCGGGCACATATCTTTTTCTCTCTTTTCGTCAACCATCTCCCCATCTCACCCAACTTCAACCCAATACACAACCGTCTACGGACAACCTCTACCCTCTACCGCTCTCTCTCAGCAAAGTCGATGCTGTGGACAGAACGTACATCTGACGAGTGAGTACAGTCGCCTCGCAAAACGGCAGGCAGAGTGCGATGTAGCGAGAGATTGGGGGGACGGACGCGTCAGATAAGGTCTCCCTCGTCGCACCATCTCTCGCTTCACGCCCTCTCTCCCACACCCACTCTCCTTTCCTCTTAAGAACTCCCACCTAACAACTGCCAGCTACATCTCGGACCAGGTCTTCAACCTCCTCAATCTTTAATTGCCCCTTTCACAGCCGGTAATCAATCTCAAACTCCCCACAACCCATCACACTTTTCCTGCCCAAGATGTCGTCGATTCTTCGCCCCCTCTCGCAGTCCTCCAAGACTCTTTTCGGCCGCCGCGCCATGGCGACCGTCAACCCCACCATCCTCAACCCGGTGCTCCCCGCCAAGATCCCCGCGGCGCTGCACCTCAAGACCGGTGAGAGCTACTACGGTTCGTCATTTGGCTCGACCTCGTCCAAGTACGGTGAGACCGTCTTCTCGACCTCTATCACCTCGTACACCGACTCGATGACCGACCCCTCGTACCGCGGTCAGATTCTGGTCTTCACGTCGCCCATGATTGGCAACTACGGTGTTCCCTCGAACGCTCCCCTCCCTGAGACCCCTGGTATTCCCTTCCTCGAGTCGGAGGGTATCCAGTGCGCCGGTGTCGTCGTTTCCGACGTTGCCCTCAAGTACTCGCACTACCAGGCTATCGAGTCGATCCACGAGTGGTGTGCTCGCCACGACGTTCCCGGTATTTCGGGCGTCGACACTCGTGCCATCACCACCCTTCTCCGTGACCAGGGTACCACTCTCGGCCGTGTTGCCGTTGGCGCCGACGCCAGCAAGATCCCTGAGGCTCACGAGTACTGGGACCCTTCGACCGAGAACCTCATCGCCCAGGTCTCGACCAAGGAGCCCTACGTCCTCAACCCCCACGGCACTGGCCCCCGTATTGCCGTCCTCGACTTTGGAACCAAGGCCAACATCCTCCGCTCGCTCGTCAAGCAGGGTGCCGTCGTCACTGTCCTCCCCTGGGACTTCGACTTCAACGCCGTCCGTGACCAGTACGATGGTCTTTTCCTCTCCAACGGCCCTGGCGACCCCAAGTCGATCATGGAGACCGCCTACCGTGTCCGCAAGACCATTGACGAGTGGAACAAGCCCATCTTTGGTATTTGCATGGGCCACCAGATCCTCGGCATTGCTGCCGGCATGGAGGCTTACCGCATGACCTTTGGTAACCGTGGACACAACCAGCCCGTCCTCGCCCTCCACTCGTCGGGCTCGATCGACGCCGGCCGTGTCTACGTTACTTCGCAGAACCATCAGTACGCCCTCCAGCTCTCCGAGGACTTCCCTGAGGGCTGGGCTCCGTTCTTCCTCAACTGCAACGACTCGTCCGTCGAAGGCATCATCTCGACCCCCGAGTCTGGCAAGCAGATCTGGGGTGTCCAGTTCCATCCGTGAGTACCACCTGAAAAGAGGAGGATTTTTGGAGGCGGAACAATCTTTTTCGGATTTCTTCGTTCCAACATCCATCCTCTTCTTTACTTTATCACTCGTGCATTGCTGACGTCCAACTAGCGAGGCTTGTGGTGGACCGAGCGACACTCTCGATTTGTTCGCCGACTTTGTTGACACCTGCAAGACTGGAAACGGCTCCATGAAGTCTGACAGCGTTCACGTCGACACGCACTCGTCTGGGCCTATCCCCCAGCCCCAGGCGGCCTAGATGTAGATTTTCATGTTGTGACAATATAGTTCCCCAACGGCATGCACCGGTTTCGAGAGAAGAGTCGCCCTCAGACCGCGAGGTTTCCCGAAGGCCAAAGGCTTAGATGGTTGTTGGAGGGCGGCGGGGGCAGTGTGGCATGGTTTTGGTGTTTTTGGCGTTGTTTTGCGCCCAGATGTTCGTTTGCTCCTGCTATGTAGCTCACAGTTATCTCTTGAGTTGTGTGCATGGGGGGGAGGGTAAAGCGCATTGAGCGACGTACTGATGCATATGTCGCTGGATATATCACTGGATCACTGGATATCACTGGATCTGGATCACTGGCCACTGGATGTCTCGACCCTACACAGAAGCGACTGGAAGAGTGTGTGGCCGCCGTCGGCCGCTCGGCCCCTGGCCGCTGGCCGCTGGCTGCTGGGCAGATCGAACGCCGTCGTACCGTCGTCAAGGTAAATGGGCCCGCCGGCGGCCGGCGCGCGCTGTGGCGCCGTGTTTGTTGGCCCGTCGGGGCGCTCGTTTGATCAACGTCGAGAGAGAGAATCTGAGCTTCTGAGCCGGTCTGAGCGCGTTCAGAAATGCGCAGGACGTGCCGACGAGCCCAGTCAGTTGACCCCGGTGACGTCAATCGGCGACCCGTGCACGGGTGTGTGTGTGTGTGTGTGTTTTTGTTTTTATTTTTATTTTCTCACTTTTTCGCCTCCTCTGCTCTGTTGGTCCATTGCTAGGAAAGCGACACGGAGGACAGCAGTACAGCGGGTACAGCGATGATCAACGAGAGGCGCAGAGGCAATCATTCCCAACGCACAAGCCTGGCGGCATACATGCATGGTCAGCAGGAGAGCAGGAGAGCAGGAGAGCCCTAGTGGCCAGTGGCCCACAGCCAGACGAAAGACGCCAGGACGCGCGGCGCGTGTCCGGCCATGGCGCGCTCCAGTCAACCCACCCCGCTCCGTTCCTTCTTCCCCACTTGGCCACTTGTCTCCTTCCTTCTCATCTCCCACTTTCTTTGCATCCCACAACCATCCGCTTCCAACGACACAAACCACCCCAACCGCAGTCATAACCACCACAACCTCCCTGCCACCATGAGCGGCACACAGCCCAACACCTACGATGGCTGGTCGCTGTCGGAGCTCAAGACCGAGTGCAAAGAGGTATCTCCCAGATGGCCAACCCCCTGGACCTGGTCGGTCTGCTGACGGTCCACAGAGGCGTTACAAGAATTACTTGAACCTCAACAAGGCTGAGCTGGGCATCTTCCTCGTCAACAAGGACGCCGAAGTGGCGCGCAATAAGGCCTTCTGGAAATCTCTTCCAACCGCCCCCGCCGGTTCCTCATCACGCCCCATCGTGGTTGACGACGGCAGCAGTGTGGAGGAAGACGTCCCCATCAAACGACCCCGCAGCGAGTCTAACGCGACCACTGTGAGTTTGATCACCGAGTTGCTGGCGACCACCGTGAACACTGCTGACATTGCAGAACGACCACGGCCCCAGCACCAGGCCCCGCACGGACGTCGCGCCGCCCCAGTTCCGGGCTGACCACGACCGTTCGACCGCCGCCGAGAACCCCAACCAGCAGGACGACGACATGGTCATTGACAAGGACATCGAGGTCATGCCTCACGAGGCTATCACAGGCGATGGCGAGGACATTATCATGGACGGCTTGGCGGCGACCTCCGTTCCCCAGCCGGTGCAGGTGAGTTTCCCCCGTGTCCGAGAGCCCCTCGTGTCCGTGCCTGGTTGCCGCGTCATCACTGGCAACCAGCCGATCGTGTGTCTCTCTGTCATCCCTCTTCCTTGTCGCACATCCAGCTTCCAGCAAGTGGGCCACGACCCCAGTATTATCATTAACACCCACGCAGGGCCATGGCGCTCTCTCTGCCGGCGGCGAGCATGGAGATGGCGAAGAAGAAGACAAGGACGAGCAGCCGCGTGGCCCCCGCTCCCAGAAGGCCTCGAGGGTTTGCTTCTCAAGTGACGACGACGACGAGGACCAGCAGTTGCCATTGCCTCCAACAGCTACGGAGAAGGCCCCTGCGGCCCAGACCAAGCCTGAGGCCACCGAGGACGCCAGTGTTGCCGACCCCGAGCCTGCCGCTGACGCGGTAAGTACGAAAAGAGTGGAAGGAGTTGAGTGTCGTCGCTGACTCGTTGATAGGATGGTCTTTCCCGCGACGTCCTGAGGGACGGCGGCGTGATCCCACTGTCACTCGTGGACGTCTGTCACCTAGGCGTTCACATCCGCGGTCTGTTTGTCCACAAGTTCGTCAAGACCCGCCTCCACAAAACTGGCGATTTGATCACGATCAGCTTGGCCCCAGGAGCCCCAAAGACCTTCCTCGAAAAGGATGGCGATGTCCACCAGCTGCTCGCGGGCATCTCGTCCAACGGTAGTCACGACCTCGTCGACCTGTTCCGCCCGACCGTGCGCGTGCGCCGCAACTCTCGTGGCACGGACGTTCTGTCGCTCGCGTCCCTCGTCGGCGTCATGGCGCTCGCCGAGGCCTTCAAGGAGGAGATGGCCAAGGCCACCTCGGAGGGCCGTAACCCTCGCGCCAGGTGGGCCCTCCTCAGGGGCACGTCTAGCATCGACCTGGGAAGCAGTGTGTTTGAGCTTCCGGCGAGCATGGTACGCTTCGCAACCTGTCAGTGGCAAAGCTAACGTGTCCAGAAGCCGGCAGCCCTCCACGCCGCCACTGAGGCGTTCGTCCAGTTGGACAAGAAGGATCGTTTCTCCGATGACAAGGACCACATCCTCCAGCTCCTCAACGGCTTCTCGGTAGCGACTGGCGCCGGCGGTCCACCTCTGGAGGTCTTCTTCGACTTGCCGCCTTCTTGGGTACAGCTGCAAACCTTTGACCCCATCAAGGAGATCAAGCGCATGGCGACGACTCTTCACCCGACCATGCCCAGGTACGGAAAGATTCGTCCCGTGACTGGCCACTACGACTATTCGCAAGTGGTCAGTGGCGGCCAGTTCCAGGGGTCATACGAGAAGCAGCTTCCCGAGGTGGTGAAGAAGAAATGGTAGACATGGTTGGCTACAGATGTGCAATAATAGTGAAGTGAAGACAGCAGAGATGAAATGTGCATTACATGGCAGCCAGGTCGAGAAATACTAGAGCCAGCTCCAATCATCATGGTCAGGCAGCACACCGGTCTCCTCTTTGTCGTCGATACCCTCGGCGACGTCGTCGTCGTTGTCAGAGTAGTTACCCCCAGAGTCGTCGGATTCGTCGGAGTCGACCTCATCAGAGTCATCGGAGGCGACATTCTTCTTGCCCTTGGAGCGGTTCTTGCCCTTGGGAGTGTCCTTTGCACTGCGCTTCTTCTTGTGCACCTCGGAGTAGTTGAGGATGGTGGACATTGGAACACAAGGGAGGAGCTCGTCGGCGGTGATGGGGTCTACGTGCGTGGAGGTCATCCTGCCGAAAATGAGCTTTTGGTCTGCCGTCACACCCACCTTTCCAGCGTCTCTTTCTCCTCTTTGGACAAGATCACCTGTCCAAACGAGTGGAGAGGGTCGAGGAGCTGACAGATGTCCGTCCAGATGATCTTGAGCGAGCCAAAGCCGCGGCCAAAGCTGTCCTGAATGTACAAGACTGGATTGGACGGTGAGTACACTTTGCTTTGTGCAGACCGTTCCACCAGACTCACTAATAAACTTAACAAGCTTAAAACCGAGACTGGGCTTGGACATGTCACGGTGACAGTACATGTACGGCGCGAGGCGAATGGCGCGGGCTGCGGTGGCAACGTCTGTGTTGAACTCCTGAACGGGTTCGTTAGCATAATGCGTCACTGCAATGGTGGTACTCACCTTCACGGCAGCCTCGAACCCGGTCTGTACACATACAGCATCTCGCTCTCGCCTATCGAACGCCTCTCCGTCGCCGTGGGCGACAGCGCGGACACAGTTGAAGGCAATGGTGATGTGGCCGTCGAGCAAGGCTTTGGTGGTGAAGAAGGTGCAGAAGAGATTGTGCCGCATCTTCAACTGCAGGGTGTCGTCACGACCTCTCTTTATCATTCCCGGCTCCTGAGCGAGCATGGCGAGCGAACTGCCAACGTTGAGGAATCCAAGCTGGGAACCCAGCACCCAGCGACAAAGGTCACCTGCGGCCTCGGCCTCTTCTGCACTGCGGCCCCACTCCATCGCGACCTCCTCGGCGGGCGCACCGTTGAGAAGGAGGAAGAATGCCTTGTCACTTGTCTCTGTCTGGTGCCCGCGGTCATCGTCTACGAGGGAGCGCAAGAGGTTGAGACTCTGGCCGAACTTGATCGCGGCAGAAGAGCGAGTGGTCTGGCCCAGATGGATCTTTATGCGCTGGGAATTGAGCTGCTTGCACGTAGCAAGGAGCTCACTGAGGTGTTAGTCTCTCAGAAGTGCTTACAACCTACCTCTCGCCACGCTCAACACTGGTCAACTGGCTAATGCCGCACTTGTCGAGCATCTCGTCGAGTAGTTTTCCATCCTTGGTGTCGACATCGAGGACAATGCCTGCCCAACGGCGCAGGGGCGAGTTGTGGTTGCCAGGGTTGCGGAGGGCAAAGGCAAATGCGTCGGGGGGGAGCTGCACGGCGTCTTGGAGGCGCTTGAGCTTGCCACTGGAGGATGTTAGAGAGGAATCTATGACAGAGTCTCACCGTTTGAGGTCGGTGCCCGCCTTGTCGGTGTCCATCGTGCGAGGTCTGCTAGCAGGTCAGGAAGAGGAGAATGAGGGCCATGTTAGAGCTCTGTTAGGCTTGTCCTTGAACATATGTTGGGGTGCTTCTGACGCTCTGTGCGTGGAGGGCAAGCGCACAGCGGTGCAGTGGACACGGACCAGCGCTCTCATCTGTGTGCCCCCTCTCCGTGACGTGCACTGCTGCTACGCCCCACTGGGCGACAGCTACAATACTGCCACGTCTCTCTCCTAGACGCGCGTTTATCAACCTCCCACACTTCCTCACCGAACTGTTGGTTCGTTTTCTCACCACGGCCTCGCCACGCCTCTCACCGTAACGGTGGCATACCCTTCACCTCACCTGAAAAGTCAAGCAGACGTTGAAGCATGCCCCCAAAGGCTTCTCGACCCCCTCATCCCTGGCCGCTTCTCCCCGGTGGTATTGTAGGTTTCCTCGTTTTCTCCCATGACTGACGTGTGTAGACCATCGTCGGCGCGACTTGGGACCCCACTCCAATGGGGTCCATCCAGCAGTTCATGCCCAAAACACGCCGTTTAAGCAACTTGGAGTCGTTTCGCGCCCAGATGGTTGGTCCCAAGCCGCTTGATTCATTGATTGCTGACACAGACAGGGAGCCCGGGCCAAGGACTATGACAAGTGGCATGGTAGCACCGAGACTCTCAAGAGCGTGAGCCAGACCGTCAGCTACATACAGTGAGATGCAAGCCCCTGACGCGCTGTCCATCTGATGCAGAGCAATACCAAAAGCAAGCAAGCTAGCGCGAGAAGGAACCAGAGCCCGGGGCTGAGCCCGAGCAACCCCTCGGACGAGATTCGCGTCACGGACGAGGTCATGGCCGCCATGGTGGAAGAGCAGGCGCACATTCAGGAAATGCAGGCCACCGAGGCCACGGCCAGTCCAACCACCAACGACCCTGCTCCGGAACACGACACAGCTAATCTCCTCTCGGCCTTCATCCCCAGCTTTCACACTCTGGACGCTGGCGACAAGATGAAACTTCGCCGAGCATACCAACGCGGCCTCCACTTTGCGCAACGCTTCCCCCACGACTTTAAGAACGTAAGCGCTGGAAATGAAGACTACAACTGACGTATCAGTTTGTCGACAAGTACCGCGATTCTGTTCTGTCCCCGTTGGACGATGCTCGCTTCCACGGCGGTAAGATCTATAGGTGAGTCGTGTTAGGGATAAACATCGATCTGACCGTAGGCGTACCGAGGAGGGCATGCTGGCCGCCAATGGAAGCTGGCTTGGCAATTTCCACCATCTCGTCCAACTCCGTGTCCCTTGTGGTGACGAACTTGTCGAGCTCGTCCTCGCTCTGGTATTTGAGGCGACGCGTCTCAACCCAGAGAAGAAGAAAATCCCCCAAGGCCTTGCCGACGGCGAGGACATGTCCTACCTCCGCCCGCTCCTGTGGGATGGTCCGGAGCACTCTGCCGAGGACTCTGAGGTTATTTACTTCTTCTCGCCGCACACACCTCCGGACGACCTCCAGGAGAAGATCAAGGTCAAGGGATACAGATGCGTCTTGACGGACCCGCGCGTGAGTACTGATTTGAATGATGATTGGTCTGGTCACTGACAGATACGGCACAGGAGCTTGAAGGATACGGTGGCATGACGGAGAACTCGCCTTTCCGCGAGGGCTCCCACCGCAATCAGATTGGTGTCAACGCTCGAGTCCGAGCTGCCCGCGAGGTGGTCCCCGTCGAGGCGTGGTACTACCACCCTGTCTACCGCCTTGCTGACCCATCCTCCCCCATGAAAGGTCCTTGGCCGGTACTTCTCCGCCACTGGCTGGAGCACTGGATGCTTGTCATCTTCAAGCTTACTGAGGAGGCTCTGGGCGGCCTCAATGTCAACCTTGTTGACGATTGGAGCGCCGAGTGCCTCCTCTCGTCAAAGGATGCCAAGCTCACTCTGCGCTTCATAGATACACTGCTCGGCCTCATGGCCGACGACCCCGAGAAGTCTACTCGCTTGCGGTTTCTCGGACCAGGTGTGCCAGACGTCACCTTCGACATTGCCCTTCCCCCCACCTCAGACCAGTCGGCGTGGAACACCCTGCTGGCCCCGAAATTCCCCAGTGGCTTCCCTGTGACCATGCGGTTTTTCAGGACTGTCATGAACGGCTCTTCCAGGGTGCACCTCCTCAAGGGCCTCAACCTCGAGAACATCAAGAGGTGCTTTTCGAAGACCCGTCACCACTCTTTCGGTCAAGCTGCCTCCACCGAGCTGCTCGAGCTGCACTACCGTTCGGCATTTGCCAGATCCCCCTACCATCCGTCGAATGCGCTCAACACTGTCCTCCAACACGCCGAGGACGCTTGGGCGTCGCTGGGTGTCACCTCGACCCCATCATGAACCCCAACGCAACATTTCTGTGGGCCGCCACTTATGTTTTTGATTAAGCGCCGACCTCCCCCAACCCATCTCTTGGATGCACTCCTGCAATCCCAATACCAACACCCACCTCCCTTGTTCCACCCGCAACATCTAGATCCCCCCCCCCCTTTCATCTCCCTCAACGCACTGGCCCGTGTGCAGGCGTTACCACCATCGCTCTTCCATTTTGAAACATTCACTGGCCCATTATCCTCGACGTGCTTGTGGGTCAACGGGCCGCTGCAGCATACGTCTCCCCCCCCTTGGTCTCTACTCCTTTAACATTTGGCACGCCATGTCCCGCGACGTGCCGAGGCATCACCTGGCTCATCCCTCCACTTCCACGTCAACCCCAAACCCCGCACAGCACTGTCGGCCGTATAATTGGCAGCATTAGCATGAAGGGGAATCGTTTGATCTTTGTATGTATCACAGTGCTTGCAGGTGTTGTGCGGATTCCTCTTTCGTACGCGCGATCCCATCTTCGTTGCCGGCATGTCATTGACCCACGTCGCCTGCCACGACAAAATAAAACTCACTGGTTAGCACCATCCCCTAGACAGTACAAACGCATGTGGTAGGGATGTGCCTGTGTGGCACATCGATGCAGCGTGACATGCTGAGTTCATGGAACTGTGAAATTGACATCATACATGGAAGCATCACGCGAGTCTAACATCTATCTGGCCCGAGGGAGGTCCAGAGGTACAGGCGCATGTTGTGATCCTTTTAATTAAACCACGCAGGATGCCTGTTCGGTATCGTGCCAATGACCACCCTCAGTGCACTTGTTGACACGCGCAGACGTAGCAGGGAGCTTTTGTCGGTCGTGTGACTGGCCGCTGGCCGCTGGTCCACGTATGAGAGTGGCCGACGCCGGGGACGACGAGAAACGCAGGCACCCACCGCCGCCGGGGACCCCAATCGGCAACTTGAATGTTGCAACGCCACGATGAAATATGAAATGTGACCACCTGGCTGACTGCTCCATCGCCCCTCGGCCACGGGCACCGACATCAGGTAGCCTACTGCTGCATGCGGACCACCGAAGGCCGCTAATGCATGGCGAGGGCGTCACAGTAGTACGTCACAGAGTAGGCAGTCGGTTTTGGATGTGGGCCGACGGGGGTTGCTGCGGATGCGCGATTAAATGTCTCACCATGTCCTGCCGTCGCCGAGGCAAGCCCGAGGCCTCCAATGCATATAACGAGTGGCCTCCAGCAGCGACCATGGACACTACAGTACTCTACGACTACTCCAGCTACTTCAAGCGTTGCAGCGTTGCATAAACGACAAGCTTCAAGCACATTACCCTTCCACGTCCACTTTCCGCCCTATCACCCATCACCCACACAACCATGAAGGTCTTTATCACTGGCGCTGGCGGCCTTGTCGGCTCTGCGGTTACCAAGGAGCTCATTGCTCACGGACACACTGTCGTCGGCCTCGCTCGCTCGGACGCTTCGGGAGCCAACATTACCGCCAACGGCGGCACCTTTGTCCAAGGCGACATCACCAACCTTGACCTCGTCAAGCAGCTGGCTTCGGACGCCGACGCCACGATCCACTGCGCGTTCGACAACTCGTTCACCGACTTCCCCAAGGCCTGTGCCGAGGACCGCGACGTGCTCGACACCGTCGGAGCCGTCTACGTCGGTACGGACAAGGTTCTCCTCACGTGCTCGGGCGCGCTCATTGTCGCCGGTGTCCCTGGTGCCGACGAGGACACGCCCGTCCCGGCCGCTATGGGCGCTTTCAACCCACGCGTCCAGTCTGAGATCCTTGCGCTCGAATGGGCCGCCAAGGGCGTGCGTGTCGGCATCATGCGTCTCCCGCCCATGGTCCACCACCCCAAGCTCATGAACCACGGCTTCATCCTCCTCATCCTCGGTGCCCACAAAAAGGCCGGCTATGTCGCCGTCATCGAGGGCGACGACAACGTCACCTGGTCGGCGGTCAACGTGCTCGACCTGGCCGTCCTGTTCCGCCTCGCCCTCGACAAGACCCAGGGCGGTATGCACTGGCACCCGGCCGGTGACTCTGCCATCAAGATTTCCGACATTGCCGCTATCGCTTCGAAAAAGCTCGACATCCCACTCAAGACGATCCCCAAGGCCGAGGCCGGCGCCCACTTTGGTATCATTGGCCACTTCCTCGGTGTCGGCGCGCCCTTCCCTACTGAAAAGACCAAGGAGCGTACCGGCTGGACTGTGACCCAGCCTGGCCTTCTTGAGGAGCTCGAGAAGGGAGCCTACTTTGACAAGATCTAGGCTGTTAATCAGCAATGTAAATAGATCCGCATGTGATGTGACCACTGCGAAAGTGCAGGCTAAGCAGGCAGTTGGGAGGACACGCTGCATGCATGCGAAGGACACTTGGGTGACGAAGGAAGGTTTGGTGTAGTCACCCTGGCCCAGGTGCCCACACGCGCCACCGTCACGTGACCTGCTCTCCTTATCCGCACCTCCCTTTAGCCTCCTTCCTCCTCCTGTAGATAGACCGATTCCTCCTAGCATAGGTCATGCATCTTCCCTTTCCTCCTTCTCATTGGCTGGTTCCTCCCTCTGCGCTCCATCTAGTGTGCTACACCCGCTCTCGGTGCTAGGCCACTACATTTGGGTGTGGCAGTGTGGCCCCGCAGGGCGAAGCGCGGATCAATGTTTTTGAAAGATTAATAAATTATTATTATTACCGGGATCCGGTGGCCGGTGGTTTATTAGGTTCGCATGCGACTTTCAATCCATGTTTCGATTCATGGCCCCACAGCGTAAGCAGTTAGTGTTCAGCTGCTTGCGAACCTCCCTCCCATTGCCACTGACGCGATGCGTGCACGGCATGGCCACTCAGACGGCGAGTTGTGGGTGGACTTGCCCGCCACATGAGATTGTGATTTTCACCTTCCACCGCACTTCCGTGTCCTCGTCCTACTCTTCCTCAACAACAACGACCCAGGACCGTGTTCCAGACACCTTTCCCTGCCACAGCGGCTCTCAGAAAAGGTTCCACTCATCGTTCTCGCCTGTGAAAACTGGCCTGGCTACTGGGTGTCGGAATTTTGGCCCATTTTTGTTTTTTTTTTTCCGGTCTTGTCATTTCATCCGTTATGTGCTGCATTTCTCTAAGGAACGACATGATAAGGCTTCTGCGCCTTGTAGTGCCCGCTCTCTAGCGGGGTATCATAAGTCGCTGATTCGCGGTAGCGACGAACGTACTTGATCGCGTGCTCTTCGATATGGTCGGGAGTGATGTCGAGCTCGGCGAAGCCCTTGACCGGCTCGCCGTCAATGGCGGGGACGTCCAGGCTCTGCGACACGGGGGCCCAGCCAGCGGGGAAGTGAGAGTTGTCGATGGGGGCAAACTTGTCAACGCCAGCGTCATCAATGTACCTGCGCTCAATCTCGTCGGGCGAGACGGTGGGCCACCAGATGGCCTGGTTGACAATGTCGGCAAAGGCCTTGGCGACGGCCTTGGGGACAGTAGGGGCGGTCACGGGCTTGAAGGTGAGGGAGGACACGAGCTCGAGGATCGAGTTGTAAGTGTGCACGGCGGGGCCGGGGAGGGCAAAGGTCGAGGCGACCGAAGTGACGGGGGCGTCAATGATGGTCTTGAGGGCCTCGGCGACGTCCATCACGTGCACGGGGAGGATCTTGGTGTTGCCGCCGTTGAGCTTGAGGAGAATGGGGTACTGCGCCGCAAGGTTGAGGAGCCAGTCCTCGGGGCCGAACATCTGACCGGGACGGACAATGGTCGCGTTGGGGAAGGCATCGCGGACTGCGCGCTCACCCGCGTGCTTGGAGCGGTAAAACTCCGAAGCAGAGTTGGGGTTGGCGTTGAGGTGCGAGACGTGGACGAACTGGTCCACGTTGGCAGCAGAGGCGACCTCGGCAATGAGCTGGGCGGTCTTCACGTTGACATCCTCGTACTTGAAGTTGCGAGTCTCCCAGTCACGTCCGACCAGGTTGTAAACGGTGTCCGAGTGACGCAGACACTCGTAGATCTGGTCCGGGTTGCGCGCGTCCCACTCGAGGGGAACAACCTGGCCAAGGTCACCCATAACCTTGAGGATGCGCTTCTCATCCTCATCACGGTAGGGAACGATGACCTGGGTGCCCTCCTTGGCGAGCTTGGAAACAAGGTAACGGCCAAGGTAGCCGGTGCAGCCAAAGACGGTAGCGACGTGACCCGAAAGAGCCGAACGGCCACCGGTGGGAGGGCCGGCGCGGGTGATGGGGACAGCAGCGTTGGTCTTGGGCGAGTTCAAGATGGTAAGGTCGTGCGCAGACTGTGGACATGTCAGTCGGTGTACGTTTTGTTATGCCATTAATGCTGGCAACGTACCCGTGTCAGGCGCGGCGACACGGCGGCCGCAGCCTTTTGGCGCAGAGCGGGAGCTGGCAGGTAAGCATGTTTCTGTCTGAAGCGTGCGTAGAGCGTACCGAAGCGAACGGACGCCATGGTGTCGCTTGTCGCCAGATGGGAGTGGTGTAGAGGGGAGTGGTTTAGGGGTGTTGCAACGGACCGCGAGACCACCGTGATATGCTCAACCGTTGGTTGGAGGCCACCCCGCCCGCCGAACAGCCAGCCAGCCAGCACCGAGCGGAGGGACTGGCGGGTGAGGAGGGGCAGGCGCCCCCGCCTGGCGATTTGCGGCGGATTCGAGTGTGGCACTTTGGCCACGTGGTTTACATGTGGGACATATATGGGCGTTTTGATCCCGCAGACCCGCCCCCCCGTCGGACCCGCTTCGAGAGCGCGCGCGTGTGCATCGCTGTCATCGATCGGCGTCTCCCTTTACTACAACAACCACCATCCTGCCTCCAACTGCACGGGACTGCGAGCTCGTCTCCTCCCACCCAACAAGCATTCGGCGCTCCTTCTAGTCTTCTCTACATTTGTCACTCGCGCCAGGTGACTCTCGCCTTCTACCCCCTCCTACCTCTCCTCGATTCACAGCCGTCTCTCTACCTTTCCCTTGTCAACCTCCACTACGATGCTCGGCGCGAGCTCTGCCCGGCCATGGGCTTCTAGATCGGCAGTTCAGGCGCTCGTCGGTGAGTAAGGTGTTGGCAGATCCTTGTGTAGAGGTAGACCATGTCTGAACACCCGAGGGACCTTGTCTAACTTCCCAGACCAGGCGTGTGACCCCACCCTCATGTCGCCCAACGACGTCGTCAACATCGAGCTTGCGGAGCTGATCAACAGCAAGAAGGCGAACAGGTGGGTTAACCAAACAATTTCAAGGCTAAATGGCCAGCGCCCGCGAGGCGACTCACGCGCTCCTTACGTACATCAACTCGCGCAACCCCAACCAGTCACTGCTTGCTCTCAATGTTCTCGACCACATTGTCAAGAACTGTGGTTACGCTGTTCAGCTGCAGATTAGCACAAAAGAGTTCCTCAACGAGCTCGTGCGGAGGTTCCCCGAACGTCCGCCGATGGTTGTCGGACGCGTGATGGGCAGGATTCTGGAGGTGGGTTGGCCCGCTGAGGACCGCCAGCTAACGCTCAGCTCATTCACGAGTGGAAGAACACCATCTGCGTCTCGTCAAAGTACAAGGATGACCTCGTGCACATTCGCGACATGCACCGTCTCTTGAGCTACAAGGGATACCGCTTCAAGGCGTTTGACGCGGCGCGCGCCATGGCCACGTCCAACCCCAATGAGAACCTCAAGTCACCCGAGGAGCTCGAGGACGAGGACCGCACGGCCAAGCAAGCCAAGCTTCAGGAGCTCATCCGGCGAGCAACGCCGCGCGACTTGGCCGCTGCCCAGGAACTTATGAAGCAGCTGGCTGGTGCTGAGCCTGACAAGGCTGTCGACTATGAAAAGCAGACCATTACCGAAGTGGAAAAGGTTCAGTCCAAGGCCATCCTCCTGAACGACATGCTCGACAACGCCAACGAGGGAGAGAAGATTGGCCTCGAGGGCGACGTGTACAGCCAGGTGGCGGCCGCTTGCCGTGGCGCACGTCCCAAGATCCAAAAGTTCATTGAGGAAGACACTGGCGAGCACGAGGGTATGATGGACCGTCTGCTGCTCTGCAATGACCTCATCAACAATGCCCTCGACCGTTATGAGGCATGCAAGAAGGGCGACTGGGTGGCCGCCAGGGCGGTTGTGGAGCAGTCCAACCCTACCTCCAAGGCCAACGACCTCATCAACTTCGATGTGTTTGCCGACGACGAGCCCGCTGGCGGCGGTCTTGCTCTGCCATCCGGCAGCGCCGCAGAGGCATCTGCTTCGAACCCCGGCTTCACCACCGGTGGTCTCCCTCTGGACCTCTTCGGTCCATCGCCTTCGGGTTCGCCCGCGCCCGCAGAGCCCTACCACGTCCCATCTGCTGCGAGCTCGTCGCGCGTGGATCCCATGTCGTTCTTCAACTCGGCCCCCACCCAGCCCTCGCTCTTTGCCCAGCAGAACACTGGCTCGTCCTCGCCCTTTGGCCAAGCGTCCCCTGCCCCCCAGGCCTCGCCGAGCTACCCGCAGGCCCAGACATCCCAGGTATTCGGCCAGCCCTTGCAGTCCCAGCAGGCCCAGGCCCAGGCCGCCCAGCAGCAGCAGTTTGGTGGTCTCTTTGCCCAGCAGCAACCACCTCAGCAGCAGCAGCAGCAGCAGACACAAGCCCAGTTTGGCTTTGGCGGCCTGTCGGCCGCGCCCACTGCTCCGGCCCAGCCAGCAAAGAAGGACGCGTTTGCCGATCTGGTGGATCTGATGGGATAGGCTTTTGTAGAGATAGAAACCTCGCCAAGCTCATTCTGGCGAGGACAAACCCCCATTCGGGGCTGTCAGCTCTGAAGGGTTGTTGTCATGAAGGTTTATGGGTAATGGTCCACACCCTGCTGCAGCGGATTCTCTAATATACGTCGTTTTTGGTGGCTATCGCTGATCGCTGATCGTGTGGCGGAGGAAGCAACGGACCTCCTTTGACATTCCAACGATGTCTCCCTCGTCTGCATAACGTTTGTCCGCCGTCGCGCGGCCGCTGCACCATGCACTGATGGTACTCAAGAATACACATAAATGTATCCGAGTTCAAATGCATGCTGAAAGTGTACAAATTGCTGTTTGTGTGACCCTCTTCGACCCTTTTATGAGAGATTGATCTCGTAATTCCCTTTCTATAAAACACCATTCGCAAACCGCTCCGAGAGATTGTCCTCCAACACCGGGTCGTCGTTCTCCTCGTCGATATCGTTGATAGGCGGTATCCTGCTCGCCATCTCCGCGTCTCCCTCCCTCGTCTTTTCCCGCACAAGGACAGTACGCGCCTCGGCGAGGGCGAGGTAGTGGTCGTCGCTCATCCTGCCGTGTTTCGTCAAGCGGCGAATGCGTCGTCCGTACACGAACAGCAGGACCGGGACTGGAGTGAAGACGAGGGCAATGAAAGCGACAACGCACGACGCCCAGTTGATGCCCAGAGCGTCGTACATGTTCAACGTGAAAAGCGGGAGAACGACACCGATGATGGAACGAGTAACGGTTCCGGCCGCCATGACAGAGGCGGCTGTGGGGAGGTACGCGTCCACGAGGTAGTTTTGGGTGGCGAGGAAGATTAGCACCATTCCAGATCCGAAACAGAGCAGGCCGATCATGCAGACGATCCAGTGGATGTGAACTGGGACGCACGTCCAGGCGAAAATGAACAAGCCGACAGGGAGCATGACACTGCCTGTAAAGCCCGAAGGCAAGCGGGCCTCTGGTGGCTGATATCCAAGCTCTTGTAGACCTTTTGCGTATTTAGGGTTTCCCCAGAACACCATGTAGAGGAGGGCGAGGTTGCACCCGATGGACATGGGGATGAAGGCGAGTGCCGACTCGCCAGAAGTCCAACCGCGGGCTCCCTTGAAGACAAGTGGGAACGACGTGAATTGCATCTGGACTGTCAGCTGGGCCATGGGGTAATCAACTCACGTAAAGAATTCCAAAGATGCACGCCATGTAGAGACACAGCGTAAACACAATAGGCTCCGTAAACAGCAGCTTGAAGGGCACCTTGAGCTGGGTGGTGATCAATTCCCGGTGGCTGAAGGGCTTGGCAACATCGTGGTGGCACCGATACACTTTGCCGGTGTTGGCCGACAGTCTCGTGGCGCGCTTGCGGAGGAGGACAGGCGCATAGGTCTCCGGCAAGAAGATGATATGCAATGCAGCAAGGAGGGCCGAGAAGAGGGCCACGACAGCCGCGACCCATCGCCATCCATCAGCTTCACCCAGAAAGCCGCCAACCTGTGTGTGAATGTCAGCGGTTGATTCCTCGGACAAGCCCGATATGACGTCCAAGGTCGGCAATTTCGGCAAGCGAATGTTGTCTATCGGTGGCTTTTTCGTCTTTTTGGCTTACCAATGGCCCCACAACCGGTCCCAGCCACGGCATGGCGCCAAAGACGCCCATGGCAAGGCCACGCTGCTCAGCGAGGAACTGTGCGGTCAAGTCAGCCTTGTCGGTCGTCTCCGTGACACAGATGGCGAGGGATAGGAGCTCACCATGTCTGAAATGATGCCCGCTGCGTTCGTCATGGAACTACAGCCAAACGTTCCCGCCAGGAAACGGCAGATGAGCAGCGCCGGCATTGACTTGGCGCCACACACCGCGGCGTCAAAGGCCGTAAGTGGAATGAGAGTCCATATGTAGATGGGCCGCCTCCCGAACACCTCGCTGCCTGGGGCCCAGAGGAAAGGGCCTAACACGAAGCCTAGGATGTAGATTCCGGTGACTGGAGCTTGTCAGCGTCGAGAGCGGAAGATGGCTGATAGAAGAGTGGACTGGCGAGGGGAGTGTCCCACTGCCACACAAGGAAAGATCGCCCGTGCATGTCCGTTCCTTGCGATTTTTAGACCAGTCAGTGGCGCACATGGAAAGCCTTTATGAGCGGCTATCCCACGGTCCACTTTGACAACTGGCCACAACTCCAGACGCGCGATCGGGCTGACGCTGAAGATCGCCGGCATGTGTGACGAGCGCGACCTTGTACTGACCTAGAGAGTACACTTGAGCGCTGTATCCTGGGAACTCGACTTCGATGGGACCGATCGCCGCACTGAGAGCCGAACTGCCCATTGTTACTGCCAGCGTACCGGTTGAAGCTGTAGTTGTACGTCAGCAAGAATCCTACCCGCTAGTGGCTCAGACCTGGCCTCACCAATAATCGTGATCCACCATTTATATGCGGCTGAATAGTTCTGTGGGTTCTCTGCCTCGTTTGGGATCCATGTCACAACATATGGGTCACTGTCGACACCGGATCCCTTGTATGTATGTTGAACAATGGTGTTCCACGGCGTTGTGCGAGTGCGCCAAGGCCGGCGTGTGAGTGTATGGTCCTGTTCTCCGTCCTTGACTCCAGCCGCCGGCTGTTCCGTCATAGTGTCCGTCGTCGACTCGGAGCACGTCGTCATGCTCGGTTCGCCAAGCATCGAGCCAGCGCGAGTGCCCTTTGGGATAGAAATGGAGATGATATGTAAAGCGGAGAGAGAGTTCCAGCATGCCGTCTTGGTGTAATGTTGCTGTTGCAGGTCATTGCTCAGAAACATGGTACCGAGAGGTCGTGCCCTCGGCCGAGTGGCCCGTCTGGCGGCCATCTCCGACTCCGGGATATCCCCGTTCTTGGCCTTCAGCCTCCATTAGCCTCCACACCCCGTGACCATGCGGGTTGTTCCAGACCGTACAAGGAGGTCAGGAGGGGTTACAAATTACAGACAAGAACAGGTGAAGACGAGGTCTTCGTGTTAGTGGAGGATAAGTGGAGGATGGTGGAGGAAGCACGCGCGGCAGTGTGGAGGACCCACGGGGGCTTGAATTGTCTGAGCACTTTGTTCCCCGCAAATGTGGAGGCACCTTGCAGCACAGTTCGTAGTTATGGACCCCATACGATCCGTGATGCGGCAAGGACGTTGAGAGTGCGGGGTTCTGCTGGCAGCTAGCTGACTTTGGAACATCTGTTCAAACGCACTGGCAGCCCTCGGTGCTCGCATACGCGAGAAGGTGGGCAAAAACTAGACGGACCACTGAAGTCGGTTGATCGGTTGATCACTCCTTAATAGCCGAAGGCCTCCGGTGGCGCAACGGGAGACAAACATTCTGGATGGACCCCCGCCACAAAGTCACCAGCTGCAGGCATTTAGTGTCACACGGAAAGCTAACTGACTGTGGTTTTCCCAGCCATACGACGCTAAAAACATATGGACCAACGCTCAAGGTGGTGGTTGAACTGGCTGTGGCGACGCGAGTGGGTGCGGTTCAGAGCCGGAAGACAACGGTGATGGCTTTGGGCCGACATAACCAACGCTGCCGGTCACACTCAACGAGGTTCTCGATCAGACCAGCCCCATAGCGAACAAGACCTGATTCCTTGGCATGAAACCCTTTGATCGGGAGAAACTCGCGGTGTGGGGCGATTATGAGGAAGAAGAGTGTGGCGGCGCGACACAAGCTGGTAGAGTCCTCAACGGCCCCGGACAAACTAACCCTCATCCCCGCCGTGTTCTGCCCTACCTCCATCCCAACAGCGCGTAACGCGTTCTTCTCTAGCCTCTCTGTGCCGGCCATCATAAAAAAGAAAGAGTGCTTGCAGTGCTCCAGTAACTCCCTGACAAATAAGGAGTAGGATACTGGCCATTGGGTCAGCCTCGTTCAAAAAAGGTGCAAATACAGCGCGAGGAGGAACGTCATAGGAGGGTTGGGTCACTGTGCGGCATTTTTATGTGTCTGGTCGTGTGGTCGGTTGTTGACACTGCTGTTCGAGAACGTTGGGGCCAACACCCACAGCATCACATGCACTATGCGGTACGGTGCCGCACAGCTTTCATACCTTGGCGGGCCCAGTACTCTCCCGTTGATTGCATAATGCTTTATCAAGACAATTGGATTCAACCTCCTTGAGCCACACAGCCAGTGCCCATTCGGCAGTGGTGCCCCCAGGTTCCAGGTTCGGAGTTGCACGTTGCCGACCCCGCCCCGGCTATTCGGCGAGGAACACGGGGGGACTGGTTCGTTTGAATCGTTGCAGAACGATTAAAGGAGTGAAACGGGACACGGTTACTTACATCCCCCACGCTCCGTTGCCACTCTTTACGCCTGCACAGCTTCTAACATTGCCCTCCGCGTCAATGCTTGGCCGAGCAGACGATTCTTGCTACCGCCGTGAGCAGCGAGCGAGATGTGCGAGACGTCTAGGTCGGACCTAGTCCGTGTCCGTCAGGTACCGCCTCCTGTAGGGGACGCGTCGATACACGTCCAGTTATGTACCCATTGCTGCTTAACTGCTTGGAGTTGCTTCACCGGCGGTAACGGCTCCGCTCCGCATGGCACGGAGAGGTAATGAATAGCAGCGCTGTAGACCGCAAGTCACATGAACGTTTTGATGCCGGAATGGGTTGCAGCCTGTGCACGAAGTCGCCGCTTGGCAGGCCCGAAAGTCACGTTGGATGAAGCGGTTCTCGCAACACTCGTTGTTCTAGAACGCCAGTGGAGCGGCAGCTCTGATGCCAACCATCGTCTCCTCCAGTTCCAGGAGTACACGGCGTTCGCGACCGCCGTCGGGATTCTGCCAAGAAGGTCCCAACTCCTCCCGTTGGATTCGGGCGACATTGGGGATCTGCCCTCATGTTTATCTGTGGCTCCGGGCTGCCGACTTCCATCGGGGCATTGTATATACGACAATAGCGCGGCGTAATAGTCGGACGCAAGTCGCGTTCCCCTTTTCCATCGCCTTGGTCGGAACTTCACAGTACACTTCCACCGGCGTTGGTCTGTCCGAGGGCGAGTAACTTCTCCAACCGACAGCCTCTGCGAACCTAGATGCATCTTCTGGCGTGAGGGGGAGTACCATCGGCTTTGCACTCAGTCCATCGCCTGTGGCCCGTTAACCGTTCCACGCCCAAGGCAAAAGGTCTACTTTGTGCGTGAAAGACCAACCCAGGTGAAACCATGTCCAACCGATGTCTATATAAACGTGCGACTGAGGGCGGAACCATCCCCCCATCCTCACTTCAACTCATTTGCCTCCAACAACTAGCTTGTTGGAGATATTCAAGCTTTAACGGGTGAACTTCATAACCCGATTCGCCCGAGGCCTTGAGCCTACCAGAACCAACACACATTGAATAGTACTGTACTGTACGTGACCAATACTCAAACCGTGTGTCATCTAATGGCCAAAAAAGGTTACGATCCCAGGAGGACCTGCAACTGGAACCTATCATGAAGTCTACGATATCGGCTGTTCATACAGCGATGGTGGCGATGATGGCTATCATTGCCCTGCTGGGGTATGCAGATGCCGTGGGCGTCGACAGACGCCAGCATTATAGGGGCTGGAGAGCGACTACCGACGTAATCAAGCGGTCAGCCCTGCCTGACCGAGCTATGGAGGCCACTGCCATAGCCAATTCTTTAACAAAGAGAGCGCGTTTCGACCCCAATGGTCCGCCAGTTAGGTCTCCCACCCAAATAGTTAATTTAGTCGACCCGCAACAAATCTTCACGTTGGGTTGGTTGTTTCGTGCTGGGGAAGGCACCGACCCCAATGACCCCAACGGGTACCCTCTGTTGCGATTTGACATTGACCAGCAGGATGATGGTGTCGTCACTGCAGAGGATCTGGAGGCTGTCGTGGACGACATGGACGCCAGTAGGGACACCGGATTCAGAGCAGTAGCAGGTGATGACACGTGAGTCCCAGACTACCGTCCGGGTACCAAACTGACGAAAAGGTGGCAAGCCTACGCCAACAATGATATAAACATTGTCGTCCGATTCAACCTGCGCGGTGACACCCCCGAACTCAACCTGTCGAATTTCGTCCTTCAGCAATTTGTCTTTGCTGCACGGATGCATCGAGCATTCAGAGGCAGGCCTGACGGCGTCGAAGTCAGAGGTTCGACCGTTATTACCACTGCGCACGTCGTAATTCGGATTACGAGGGGGCCGTTCGTTGACCGTGAGGTGACCCAGCAAGACGAGTTCAACGGTGGCAACGCAACCGACTGGGCATATGCAAGCCCTTGGCACTCCTGGACCATGGGCGGGGACCAAGACTGTGCACCACGCCGACGGTCGTTGACTTCCGGCCCCCCTGAAGCTCCGATTGTGGATATCCACCACCAAGCGGTTGTTAACAACAAGAGGGGTACAGACAAGCGATGCAGGAAGTCTGGCGACGCCAACCAGCGCCAGAGCCACGGGGCGGCCTCGCAAATTCCTCGACGTGCAAACGAGACCGTTTGGATCGATCCGTCAACTGGTTGGCAAGCTGTTCAAGTTTCTCTTGCTGCCAAAAGGTTTGGATACAACATTTCCAACAGCTTCGACTATGTGGCAGTCGACCCCAGCGACACCATCTCGGGATGGGCGCAGCACATTCACGATGGCGGCTGCGCAACAGATGATGACAAGGAGGCCGCCGCCGCCGGCCTCATTTTTGGATGCAAGAAACCCTCCAAGAAAGAGTGCGCCTATGCACGCGCAGTACTTGCTGGAGAGCACAACAGCGGTGCGTCTACAATCCACAAACGCTTAGCATGCGGAACTCGCTAATGGACCACAGGGTCGCCCGACACTCCTCATTCCAAGCGTGCTCCTTCGTGTGAAGAGGCGATGATAATAAAGCAGAATAATGCGGTTTCCAAGGCGACCGCGGAGGCAGGGTATCTGTGGGTCAAGAACAACATGTTCAGCCGCCTTCCCAACGACTGGAATTCGGTAAAGCTTTCTTCCGGCATATACTTGTCGTGGTCGGCAAACGCTGGCTGTAAGAAAGACCCTTGCCCCCGGTTCGAGGGAGGTGCCCCTCCAGCATACGCCGAGACGTTTACCTACTTTAAGACATTCATTGACACCGCTAACTGGGGCTGGTGGTTGTGGCCCACGTGGAACAGTGTTCGCTTCCACCACGCATTTTTCGGCGAAATCGATCAAGGTGTCTGTATCAGTGACAGGGCGGGCGGCTGCCACAATAACGATGATTAAAGGCATTGCCCCTCAATAGCGAAAGTTTGTACAGCTAGTGGCAGGCCCACTAGGCACGAAGAATGAAAGAAACATGTCTGCGTCACTCAACATCAGCCTGGGGCGCGGAAGTCCTCCTCTGTGTAGCACCATTGATTACGCGCGTGGGAGTTTGCCTGCTGGTGGAGCGCCGTTGAATGTGACAGTTGCAGTATTACCATCATGGTGGTTCGCAAAATGGGACCTAATACTTGACCCTCTCGCTTCCTTCCATCGTTCACAAAAGTGATTTTTGTTGGCACTTTAGATTTTTGGCGTCTGGACATCCTTCACTTCACGTCCTAGTTCCTAACCAACTCGTCGTCATCACATCATGCCAGTCCGACACATACCCCCAGAGAAATTTGGCAAAACAGCCTCACGATCCTATACACCCTTCAGCCCAGCGTATAGCTGAGGGCAGTTCTCTATGTACCTATGTCCCTCTTCGCTGATCCGCTGATCCCAGGCTGGGGAAATAAATACATGAAAAGAACGATTTAGTTAACCGAGCCGGCGGAGGAAGGACGTCATGGGTGTGGCGTCCTGCAGGTAGCCCGCGGGTTGCCACCACATGCATTTCACGTATTAAGACCATCTGCACTCACATAGTGCACTCGCACAGTGCACTGCATACGTGTGGTTATGACAGTGCAGACAGCCTCCCGCCACACTGGTACTCTAGTACGGCCGGTCCATTTTTGACACATTAGCCGAAGTTTTCCCGCCAGAACGTACCCATGAACTGCGATATCTGTTCTGTTCTGTCGTCCTCTAGCCACTCCCAAGATCATCATCATCAGCAGCAGTACGTCGGCGTACATGGCGTCGAAAGCTCCAATATTTCGTCATATGCAAGCAAGACTGATAACGCTAAAGACGGGAACCGGCACCCGCGGCCCCAATCAAGACGCCAGACGCTGATACAAAGTCATGTGACTGGCAACATTCCGTACCCCGAGCCGGGGGCCGGCTGCACCATGGTACCATGATCAGTCATGGTATGCCCGCGCGGTGTTGCCGAGGCGCCGAGGGCTGTCCCCAGTGGGGATTCCCGATGGCCGGTTACCTTCCAACGGTCATCAAAGCCCACTTCGGTTCAAGCATCCCCGCAAGGGGCTGCCAACGCACAAGCGAGATGGCTTCCCCAAACACACATATATGGCCCTCGAGCAATGTGCTCTCTACTCACGCACTACTCTTCGTCTCTTCCAATAACAACTACAGATGACCCCTACTCGTGGAACCGTACCCCGCCTCACCCCCGAGGGCAAGGCACGCCTCGACGAGCTCGTCAAGCGGCAAGTGGCCGAAAGCGGCCTGCCTGCGCTCTTCTTCGGCGCCACTACGGCTGATGGCGAGATCTACTTCAACTGCGGCGGCGACAAGGTGGTCAACAAGCCTGAGCTTGGCCAGGTGGACGAGGACACGAGTGAGTTGCCGGAGGGAGTGCGCCACTATGAACTGACACGTCCAGCTGTCCAGCTCTGGTCGATGACCAAGATGATCACGGCCATTGCGTGCATCCAACTCCACGAGAAGGGCCTGCTCACCTACGACGACCCAGAGGTCATCAACAAGCATGCGCCCGAGCTGGCGGCGATGCCCATTCTCACCGGCTTTGACGACAAGGACCAGCCGACCACTACCCCACGAACCAAGCCCTTGACCCTGCGTCACCTCCTCACGCACACGTCTGGGCTCGCTTATGCACTCTTCAACCCCACGGTCGCCAAGTGGGAACAAGTCACCGGTGCCGGGTCGTGGCTCGCGCCTGGCGCCCCCGTCTCGACGATTGTGCAGCCCCTCCTCTTCGAGCCCGGATCCAAGTTCTGCTATGGTCTCGGCCTCGACTGGGCTGGCGTCATTGTGATGCGCATCTCTGGCCAGACGTTGGAGGAGTATTTCCACGAACACATCTTTGCGCCCTGTGGCCTGACGGACGACGACATCTCGTTCCTCCCCAACGAGAGCATCCGTTCGCGCCTCATGCAGCTCTGCGCCCCCACGCCGGCCGGTAACATTGCCATTGACGGACTCCGCCCCGTGCCCGAGCTCAAGCCCGAGGACATTGGCCTGCAGCTCGGCGGCGGCGGTCTCCTCGGCACGCCGCGCGGATACATGCGCGTGCTCTCGGGTCTCCTCAAGTGTCGCGACCAGGACGGCGGCATTGTCTCGCAGGAAGGCTTCCGCAGCCTGTTCGACAACTGCCTCCCGCCCCACAGCGACACCGAGGCGTACAAGGACCTGGGCCAGTTCCTTGCGTTTGCAGGCGTCACCGAGCCGCAGTACATGAGCGGCGACAAGGTCGGCTGGTCGCTCGGCCTGTGCCTCTACACTGCCGACTCGAAGTATGGCCGTAAGGCTGGCACCGGCTTCTGGAGCGGTGTGGCGTCCACTCGTCACTGGATTGACCCTAGCATGGGAATTGCGGTGAGCTCAATGTCACACCCCAGTCGCAAAGCTGACAGTACAGGCGTGGTGCGGCACACAGCTGCTGGGCGACTTTGCGCCGCTCGAGCGGCTCACGGAGGCGTTCGAGGAGGTCCTTTATGGGGCTCTGGAGACGGGGCCTAACTGAAAGCGGAGAGCGTGGTCAGTAGTGTGAAGTTGTACAGAAAAAAGATGACATGAACGGAGATAGCTCTTACCATGCTGTGGTGCTCGTACGAGATCAGAGACCCAGACGACGGACCAAGGGTATGCAGGACGGGTGAACATTGCAACTAGTGCCACTCTCAAACTCAACCGATCAGGCAAAACGGCACCTTTCTTTACACAAAGTCTCATTATCGTAAACTCAACTGCAACTACACACAAATATCATGCTCACTGTCTTCATAGTCACTCGCAACTATGCATGTAAAGCGGCCTACGCTCCTAGTGCAAGCGTATTTAAGATTACGTAATCGGGCGTGTAGCTCAGTTGGTAGAGCGTGTCATTAGCATCTATCTACCACTACTTGACAAGGTCTTTGGTTCGATTCCTAACTCGTCCACTACGATTCCTTTTTGGCCTCTTGACAGACCTGTAGACGGCAGACTGTGTGCATGGACTGAGCGGGTGGGAGGACTTATCACACGTCGTCAATTCTCCACCTTCATGGGGACTCCCGAGGTCAACGCATGCACCTTGCACAGCGCAGGACCCGGCCCAACAAGATGCTATTGGTACACTGACCATCCAAAGATACCCGAGAATGCATAGGTACCAAGAGTAGAGAACCGAAAAATCTAAGGGGAGTGGGGTGTGTCGATAACAAGACAACCACCACGAACAACGAATGCGGACGCCGTGGGACGCCGCGTATGTATAAAATGGAACAATCTATAACAAACCTCTCTTTCCAACGTCTGCCCTGTCAACCTCTTCCGCACCCTTGGGGCCGCAGAAACGATCCACGGGTCGTCGTACTCGAGTTGCTCATTATGGGCCGACGCAGAGGGGCGATGCAGCACTTGCCAGCCTGGGTATGTCGACAGTGGGCGAGCTCTGCGCTCACATCTCCTCGTCCACGTCGTCCCCTGGCCTGGGGAAGCTGAAGTCGCGGAAGAGCGACGCGTACGGGTCCTCTGCTGGGTCATGGGGGGCGCCAAAGATACCGGGCAGCTCGGTGGGTCGAGGAGGCGGGTACCGCTGGAAGTTTTGCGAGTCGCTCATGCTGCCGACACGCGGGACGATGGGCGCGCCAATCTCCTTGCGCTCGAGTGATCCCCAGTCGACACCGGCGAACCATGCGTGGTTCATGACGTCGCGGGCGCCGCCCCGGAGGTTTCCGAGACGCTTGGTACGGTCCGCCGTCAAGAGGCCGCGAATGAGGTCCTTTGCGTAGGCGTCAATGTGCGAGGGGAAGGCGATCTCGTTGCGGAGAATCTTCTCGTAGATACCCAAGGGGTGGTCGTCAAAGAAGGGCGGGTAACCGGCGAGCATCTCAAAGGCGAGGATACCCAATGCCCACCAGTCGACGGCCTTGCCGTGGCCCTGCGAGAGGACAATCTCGGGGGCCAGGTACTCTGGGGTGCCGCACAGGGTGAACGTGCGGTCCTCGACGACCTTTGCAAAGCCAAAGTCGGCAATGCGAAGGTATCCTGTGCGGTCGAGCAACAGGTTTTCAGGCTTGAGGTCACGGTAAATGATGTTGTTCGAGTGGAGATAGTCAATCGCCAAGACGATGGACGCGAGGTAGAAGCGCGTCACGTCGGCAGAGAAGCGGCCTGCGCGTCTCAAATGGGAGAAGAGCTCGCCACCGGGAATGTAGGATAGCAACATGTAGACGTTGAGGTTGTCCTGGTACGTTGCGTAGAGCTCGACAATAAATGGATGGCGAACGCGCTCGAGGATCCGGCGTTCCGAGTTGATGTGCTCGACCTGCTTGAGGCGGACAATTTCCGACTTTCGCAGCACCTTCATGGCAAAATGTGGGAGTTGTCCGTCTGCTTGTTGGGTGGCTGCTGGCGAGGGCGAGTGGGGGTTGGTGGCCTGGTAGAGATGAGGGAAGATGGGGTGGTAGGATGACTGGCGGTACGAGGGACGTTGGCGAACAAGAAGCACACGACCGAACGTGCCGGTTCCCAGCGTTTCAACAATCTCCCAGTCCTCGAGCCGTGCGCGCGCCCGTGGTTGGGGAACATGGTGAATGGTGGGCTGGTAGATGCCCAGGCTCGAACCACCTTGCTGCTGTAGTTGGCGAGGAGGATACCGTCCGCCAGCCCACGGTCCAGAGGATGAGGACGCGGTGGCTGAACCACCTTCAATGACGCTGTCCATCGCGCCCCACGACGATGATGTATCCCAAGCCGATGGGGGCGTGGACATGAGCGACGCTGGAGGGCTCAATGGAGCTGCTTGGCTGGAGGGCACGGGCACGTAGTCTGTGGACGTGTTGATGAAGGGTGACAAAAGGGGGGAGGAGGATGGTCGGCCGACACGGTGTATTGATCAACAGTCGGAGCGGAGAGCGTCAGCAGGAAGCTCTCTACAGAGGCACAGCACAGAGGCACTCAAGCGTGACGTCTTGAGAGTGACGCCACAGGAAGAGGAAGGAGGTGTTGCAGCGGATGTACTCACGTGTCTGGACAGCTTGGGTCGTTGCAGCCGGTGCTGGCTGGTGGTACATGGCATTGTACGTCTCGGCGCCCGACGACGCAGCCTTGACAGGAACCTGGGGGGGACCCATCATGGCTGCGCGCTCGTGTGGGAGAAGCAGCGACATGGGGTCGAGCTTGAACTTGGAGGAGGACTTTCCGTCGCCCATCGTGACACAGCGCCCGGTTGACGAAGCGGGGAGGAAAGGAACGACGACGGCGGATGAAAGGAGTGGGGGAGGGTGGCGATGGGGACTTTGGGCCGTTGTACGCGTCTAGCGGTGGCAGTGGTGGGGAGTGTGGTGAAGCGAGCAAGGACAGTGGGGATGTCGAGATGAGAGAGGTGTGTGTGTGTGTGAGAGAGAGAGATGGATGGATGGGTGGATGGATGGACGGTGAGATGTGCTTGTGAGGGACAAAAGCGATTCAGGCGGCGGCAAAGGCGTCAAAGGAACAAACGGGTTGTTTTGAGCCCGGACACGGGTTGTGGGCGTGCCCGAACTGCACGGCACGCTGTACGCAGTGCTCGTCCGGTGTTCGAATATTAGAGGCCCACTGGTGGGGGGCCAACGTGTCGCGAGCAGGGGAGGCGGAGGGGGAGACGATGAGAGGGGATGGATGGAAGACAAGGGGTGGGTGTAGTTTTCAGGAAAGAAACATGAGCGCGCAAAGGGCAGGACGAGTGTACGAGTGCGCGCGTGTGCGGCGTGTCGCAACCGGCGCGAGCAAAAAAGGAGCGAAATATCAAGCATCTTGTTACCGCACCAACTCTGTACGGTGTGCTGCCGTGGATTCCGCTGCTGCTGCTGCTGCTGCTGCTCTGAGCTCTCTCGTCGGTCCGTCGTGTGCGCAGCGCGAGATCCAGAGGGCCAGAGAAACCTCAGATCCCTTTTTTGCTTGTTGCAGAGCCCTGTGCCGTCGACCCACGCACGCCGCCAGGGCGGACGTGGCGGGCCATGTCTTGGGTGAGCTCTCTCCAGTCATTCCTCCTGAGGCATGTATCGCCTCTTTGAAAGCACCCCTGTGTGGCCTCTGTGGTAAAAGCCCACCTCTTGTAGGTGTCCTCTGCGCTCTCCGCCGAGCTGCTGGCTGCTCTCCCCCTTTCTTGTGCCTTTCCACCACCACCACTGCGTACCTCGCGCGCCGCCTCCTCCTCCTCGTGGCAGAGACACATTCTTCTGTTGTCAACCTTCCCGGCCTGCGTTTCCTGCGGCGTATGCGTACCTGTGTCTTTGCCGATTCAGGCGCTCTTTTGCCAGGCGCCCCCATATGTGGCCATATGGCCTGTTCGTCGTGCAGCCTCTCCTGATCTCCTCTGTCCTTGCCGGTGCGCGTCCCAGAGCGCCAGAGCTTTGCAACTGCGAGTTGTCTCGCTTTCTCTCTCTTTTTTTGCAACAGGTGTTTGCGTGCCTTCTTGCCACTGTCCCTTTAGCCGCGTGGGTTCCAGCGATGCCAGCATGCCAGCTCGCCAGCACACGAGCCAGACACGGTGCAAACTTGCAGCAAGCTTTACACCTCGCCCAGGGTGGCTGCGCTCTGTTGATCAGCCCAACGCGCCAACGCCCAGTGCACAAAGCCACGCAGCCGTCCACGTCCGTCCACTTCGGACTCGCAATGGCGACACCCCTCCGCAACAACGACAACCCCCCCCAGCCCACCGCCACAAACAAAAGTAGTAACTGGAGATCTTGTTCTATAACTGCATTCGCACATACCAAAAACAGACTTGTGCGTTGCTGGTTCCTGTCTCTCCGCAGCCTCCCGGCCTCGCTATGCGAGACCAGACAACGGTGTCAAGACCTTTCGTTTACTGCCAGGCCTGAACACTGAGGGCGATCTGTTCTTCCTGCGGAAGCCTGCGGACGGCTGCCGTAGACTGAATGCTGCCCTGCACGACAACAAAAGAGCATTGAAGTTCAGAGGGGTCAGGACTGGTCAGGACAGGTTCCAGGTAAGCCGTGTAATCCTGCCAACCTGCAGCAACCTGCCCGCTGCAAGCACCTACAGCAGTCACGGCCTGAGGTGTTGGGGGCGATGGATATGATCACCATGATGACAATGTCCAAAACCCCATAGACGACAGGAGAGAAAGGGCAGCGCCGCTGACGCCCAAGGCGGCCCGTTCTCCCCAGACCGCATCACGCACATCGAGGGCAAGAATTGACATGACGCATGCCCGATCCACACGTCTGTCGGTCCGTCATCCACTCCACCTTTCACACCATCGCCTAGACCTGTTTTCTGTTTCATTGGTTCCCAACATTGCGTTTCTATCGTTGTTTCTCGTCTCAGTCACCCACGGTCTCTTCTGTTGCTGCTCAAAGTACAGTACAGTACGTGCGAAAACAAGCCCTAATCTACACGTAACCATGTGCCCGCGATCACAAGGACGCACGTCGTCAGCCCCTGTCATGCCTGTCATGTCCAGCTCGAGAAGCGACTGTGACGAGACCCCTGGCGGTGCCCCCGGCCCCCGGGGGGTGAGAGGTTGTCGACTGACTGACGTTTACGTTTGTTCGGGTTTCATGTTGCAACGGCGGCCCCTCACTTTGATCACTTTTGCCGCCTGCGGGGGGACCACCACTCTGTGCATGTTGTTCATGGTTAAGCCTCTGGCTCTGTCGCATGCACAGAGTTCACACTCAACTCGTCAACCCAAATCGGGCCAATCCGCTGGACCCGCTGGCCGCTGGCTGCTGGCCCGCTGGCACCATCATCGCGGCACACTGACGTCAGGCCCCGCCTATAGCCTTGTTCAATCCTGTCTCAGCGCCCACCGCCGCGAGGCATCAGGTCCCCATGTCCCACCAGCTGGCCGCCCAGAACGGTCGCAAACGAGAGAGCAGTGGGGGGGTCATGTCCCGCCTGCATCATGGTCCACTCCGTCTCTTTGACCTGTCGGCCTGGAGCTTACCCCGTGGTGGTGGGTCGTCGTCGCTATCCTTTTTACTCTTCTCATCTTCATTCTCTCTTTGCCACTACTTGGAATATCGTCACACGTAAACACGCACCGCAATGAGCGACGCTCAGGTAGCTCCCACGCCGACCGCAGCACCGATGCCCCACACCATGCCTGGCGACTTCCCCATGGCGACCGTGGAACCTGTGGGCATTGCCGCCGGCCTGAGCCACCTCAACGGCCACACAGGTCCCAACGGCACTCCAGACGGTCTCAATGGCGAGTCCGAGGCCGTTGCCAGCCCAACAGCGAACCGCTCGTCGGCCCGTGGTCTCACCCGCGACGACCTTCAGGCTATGCGTGAGCAGGAGATGGCTAGACAGCTGAAAGCCGACATGGCCCGGCAGGCAAAGCTGGCCAAGTTGGCGGGATCCGGGGTTGAGCCAGGTAAGACAAAACGGTGGCGCCGCCGGCAACGGAATCTTGGGCTGATGCCAACTTGCAGCGACACCAGCAGTCCCCACGACAGCCAGCGCGAAGCGCACCTCGTTTGCCTCTGACATTGGTCGTGCATTCGACGACATTGCCAAGTGGTCGCCAGCACCACCTGTTCCGCCCATACCCGCCCCTTTCCTCCAGCAGGCAGCGGTCCCCACATCCCATGCGGCGCCAACCTCATCGCTCAAGGTACCCCCCGTCACACCGCAGCAGCAAAATGGAACCAGCAAGCGCGTCTCCGTCTCTCCCGTACCCAGTCTCAAGTCCGGTGACGTCGAAATGGCGGCCTTGGACGACGAGACGACCGTCTTCTTCATCAGCGACGACATGAAGTTGCCTCATGAGATTGAGCGGGAGCCAAAAGAGGACAAGGTCGAGCAAACGCTGCACAAGCGCGACGAAGAGCCACAGCACACAGACGAGGTTGTGGTCATTCCCTCGGCTGAGGTTGCTCACCAAGGGGTTCCCCCCGTTGAGGATGCACAGCCCGTAGCCATCGAGGATGCCCCGGCTGTTGTCAAAACTACTCCTCCGACGGCACCACTCGAGCTTACGGCCAGCCCCAGTAGCACGACCTCGACGCAGAGTCCCAAGAAGAACAGAAAGTTTGTGATCGACGGCAAGTCGGGTCCGTTTGCGAACCGCGGCGTCTCGTGGGGGTCTCAGCAGCACGCTGCGGCTGCTGTGGCGGCGAGCGAGCCGGACAAATCGATTCCTAGTGCTGTCTCGGCAAGCCCGGCTCACGATTCGACGGTCGTGCACGATGGACACGACGGGCATGTGGGCCTCGCGGCCGCTGGAGCCGGTGTGGTTGGAATTGGGGCAGCTGTAGCTGCAGCCACACACACTAGAGGCGACGAGCCAGAGGCTACTGGCACAGTTCCAGACGTCACTGTTGGCGACGTCGAGAAGCCTTCAACCGCCCGCTACACCATCGGAGCGTTTGATACGGCAGCCTCGAGCACCTTTGACGACACACCCCGCAATTCGGTCCCTCCCGTCCCTGTTCCTCCGTCGACCACCGTCGCGATGGCATCCGAGAACGGGCACGTCGACGCCGACTCGGCGTCGGCGTCGGCGACGGCCACCCCATCGACCTTTGGCCCTGGGCCGCCTGCCCTCACCGAGCTCCAAGTTGCGTCGGACACGAGGCGTGGCGCGGACCGTGCCGCGTCCAGCTGCTCCATCACTGCCATCCATGGAGGCAGCGAGGGCAACCCCAACCACCGTTCTCCCGTGGCCACCACGTCCCCGAAGGCGATGGAGCCAGGCCTCACGCCCAGCGACTCGACCGAGACCTTTGAAGCACCAGGGTCGCCCCTCAGCGTGCCACCCACTCCCCTCTCGGCTACCATGATGCCTGTCGGTCCTAGCGACACCAAGCACGGTCTCGACCCCGCCGCGTCAATGGCGAGTCTCGTCGCCATTCGGGCGGGTAGGGAGGGAGTCCGTAACTCTGCCATTGGAGGCGAGGCAGTGGCTGTGGGTTCGCCCGTGAATGTAGGATCGCCCCTCGCCAAGTCTCCCGCTGCTGTGGATGACCTCGTTTACAGCGAGCAAGGCCACGACAGCGAGCATGGCGACAGTGCCAGTTTCCGCGAGCCGGCGACCATCGAGAACGCCACTGTCGGTACTGCCGCTGCGGCCACTATTGCGTCAAATGCTTCTGAGAGCTCGGTCAGGTCGACTGGGTCGCACTCGCATGCAGAGCGTAGGGTCTCGCCTTCCGCCGGCAATGTTCCAGTGGACACTTCTGGCACTGAGGCGGTTGGTGTCAGCGATGTTACGGAGCGGAGAGACGTCGCGCCCACTCGGGCCGTGGTGACGGCCACGAACGTCCCCGTACCGCCCGGCGACCACACCCTTGCAGTGGGCCACATCTCAAACCTCGGCCAGCCCCACACCTCTCGCGAGCCTGGCACCTACCCCGAGCCCCAGTACCACGGACCGGCCGTTCACGAGGACAAGTTCCGCGCTGCTGCTGCCGCCGCCGCCGCCACTGCGGCTGCTGCCACTGCGGCAGTCGCAGGTGCGAGTCTCGCCAAAGACCATGGCGAACCGCCAGAGACGCCGGCCAAGCACCCAGACCACAACCTTGTCCGCGACGAGAAAGGTGCGGTTGTCGAAACGCTGTCGCCAACCGCGCCGAGCGGTGAGATGCCCGACGAGGCAGCTGCGTCACCGGCTACTCCCCAACTGGATAGGAACAAGGACCAACCGCCCTTACCTAAACCCAGCCCCAAGCGCGTCCCCGTGCCCTCGCTCCTCTCCGAGGCCGACAAGGCCGAGGAAGTCGCTGCCAACTCGACGCGCAACTCGACACGCACGGCGACGCCAACGAACGCATCGCCAAAGGGCAACACCACGAGCCTCTCGGGACTCACCCCGACGCCGGCGTCGCCGAGTCAATCCCCTCCTGTTTCGCCGACAAGGTCGCCCACCAGCTCGCCCGGGCCGCGTCGTCCGGCATCGCGGGCGCTGGTGCGGGGCTGGCGGCCGCCGGCGCGGGCGTGTTTGCCGGCGCCAAGCTGTCGTCCAAGAAATCAATGGACAAGTTCAAGGCGTCCAAGCCCGTGGAGAGGGTCAGCCGCGGCTCGATTGACGCGAGCACCAAGCTGCGCGCCTCGATCGACAAGTTCAGCCACCCCACGGCCGACCCCAGCGCGCACCTGCGCGAGGGCATGGACCGCCTCAGCCGCGGGTCCATCGATGCTGGCAACATTGCGCATTTCGCGTCGTTTGGTCGCTCACGCGGGTCGGCGGACCATACCGGCCAGGCTCACCCAGGTAGCCCGGCTCACGCTCACGCGCACCCACAGCCGCTGGAGGTTGACGCCGACACGCTCGCGCACGCCGGCGACAGTGACCGGCGCAAGCACAGCCGGTCCGGGTCCATCTCGTTCCTCACCGACTCGACTGCGCGGGTTGGCCGCCACGCCCGGTCCGGCAGCGAGCAGCTGATTGCCCGGGGTAAGACAATGTACGCCGCGACCACCTCGTCGGGGATGCCTGGACGGGGAGCGGGCAAGGAGACGCTCGCAGAGGGCACCAAGGAGGATGGTGATCGCCACTCGAGGACGCTGAGCACCAGCGGCGTGGGTTCGTCGTCGTCTGGGGCAAAATCGCCTTCTTCTGGCCCACCGTCTGCTAGCGACCGGAACGGCCCGACGCATTCACGCCAGGCAAGCTCGAGCTCCAGTGCGCGTCAACGCCGTATGGGTATTCTGAACAAGCTCAAGGGAGAGGTGAAGATTATCAGTGGCAAGATCTCAAAGAAGAGCACTTAGTCAAACGGGGCAGGGACGGTAATGACTGAGCGAATGGAATGGGCCAGGAGCGGGACAGCAACGGGCGAGAAGCTAAAGCCAAAAGCCATAATGAGATTGTTTATCAGTTAGTGTCTTCATGTATCTCGTAGCCACGACATCGTACATTGGCGCCCAATTAAGTGTATACAGACAGCGGAGCGATGGACATGGGGCGGTGGGAGAAACATGAACCATGAGACCGGAATCATGGAAGCGGGCAGGCAGCAGCCAGGGACTGGGTTGGTGTGATGAAGCCATTGATGGGTGGCAACAGGTGTTGAGTATGTAGACTCACACTGTTCACCAGTACCACTTTGCCATGGATCTGTTGTTAGCTCTATCACTTGCGCGAAGCTCAGCTCACGTTGGCACACAAGCGACCACATCGTGACCTTGGGCCAGGCCTGTCTCATACTCCTCGCGCACGGCGAGGAAGACGTCCATTGTCGCGCGCGCGTCCTCGATCTGGTCTCTGTCAGCTGAATCGAGACATAACCAACCAGCTTACCGGACTGTGTTCCCCCGTCTGGATCTCCCTCCCCAACACCTCCTTGCTGAGTGCGCGGAGGCTCGGATACTGGCCCTCGTGGACGATGTTGGTGAGCTTCCTGAGCGGGTAGAAGAGTGCCGTGTCGCGCACGTCCTCGTAGACGTGCCGGTGGGACAGAGCCGCGAGGTCGTTGAACAGGGCGTGCCCGATGATAATCTTGTCTTTGATGACGGCCTTGACTTGCTCTACCACGGTCTCGTACGTCGGCGCTAGGTGTCAGCTACCGGCCGAAGATGGCCAACATACCGCCGGTCAGATCAGTCGCACGGATACCGCTCGCTGGTTGTTAGCTCTGTCACGGAGTTGAGGACAGTTAGCTTACAGTCGGTACGGTAGTCGATGACGTTGTGGGGGTGCACAAACACGTACGAGTGGTACACTACGGCGCCAGTGTGGTCCACAATGGCCACCCTGCTGGGTCAGCCTTTTCCGTCGACGAGGACGCACCCACCTTGCGAGCGCCTGTTTGGTGCGGCACCCCACCATCTCGCAGTCTGCCGTCAGCTATCCTGCTTGCAGTACGGAATGTAACGTACCGATAGCAAGGTATCTGTCTAGAGTGACGGTCATGATGGTATAATGTGAGAATGATGGAGGAAGGAACGAAGGAAGACACGCTTTCCCTATCCGTTCCAGTAGTGGTCGTCGCCGGTGGAGGTCCCAGCTCATGTCCTGTGTCACAACACCGAAGCCGACTTTGGCGTCTCATCTCACTCCATCACCGCCTCCGACACTTCTCCCTGCCCATTTCCAAGCATACCCGGGCCATACTAGCTCTGATGCTCCCCACTCCCGGTACCGCGGGGTTCACACCCGCCCTCGTCGCGGCCATCTCCAACGAACCCGCGCTCCGCGGCTGGGATCCTGATGCGGGCCTCGTCGCCGTCGTCCTCCTGGCACTTACAGTCAAGTGCGGCGGCGTGATTGTCGATGTGGCTACACACAGAGCACAGGCGCCAGCGACAAACATTGCGCGTGCAGCCAGGGTGGCCTCTGCTGTGAGTTGTCGTGGCCAGCTATTTGCGCTGTGTGTGACAGCTGCTTTGCACATCGGGTCCTTCAAGCTGACATCTCCAAGCTCACCGAGTCCGTCTTTGGGCTCGAAACCCGTGTTCTCCACCTCGGCTCCTCAAGTTATACCAGCGAGGTTAAGCTTGAGCCCTCCACAGAAGCCCTCGTCATCACGGGGCTCGAGGAGGCGCCGCCGGCCGTCCTCGTCAAGCTGCGCTCCGAGGCCGCGCGGGAACGTTCCCGTCAGCCGCTGCTGGTCTGGGTGCGCGATGAAGACCGAGATGGTGCGCCAATGTGGCTGGTGAGTCTCGATCGCAGGTGAAGGTCTGCTCCCCCGTTAACCCGCCCAGCTCGACCTGTTTGCATGCTCGACACCCCTGGACATGAAGGACGTCGACCTCCCTCCCATGGGTCTCTCGCGCACTGCCCTCGTCCCACCACAGTACATTGCCGACCTCCGCGATCTCCTCATCCTCACACATATCCACCCCCCACTCGAACTCCACATTGCCAACGTCATCGCCGCTGCATGCCTGCATCCACAACTCGAGGCCAACATTAGCCAGAGCGGCAACACGGCCGTGACGCAACTCGTCAAGGCTCATCGCCTCCTGTCGGAACCTTTCCCACTCCCCCACAGCTGGCAGACATCTCTGGAGACATGGCGACGGACCAACGACCCGTCGGGAAGCGACAAGCGTGTCGGCCGTGCTGCTCGCGCCGATACGAGCTTCATCGGCGGGCCAGGCGGCGTCGCTACCTGGGCTGTGCGAGCTGGCGAGGTGCCGCGCGCCGACAAGATGCTCGGCTACGGCGCGCAAGATTGGTACTGCACACCAGACAATGTTGCCGGCGCATGGGAGCTGGCGATCCGTCACCGTATCCGTGTACGAGAGCCTGGTGACGCTGCACTGTATGCGCTCAACGCCACGGCGCAGGACCGGGCCGAGCATGCACGCAAGCACCAGACCGTGCAAGCTGCAAAGGACGCGGCGCGGAAGAGACGAATGGTGCTGGACGAGGCTCTGGACGGTATGCTTCTCTCGGTCTAGTGGTGCTAGTGCCCGTTGATTGTCGGTGTTGTGGGCCGAGGCCATGCCCGGATGTCGGGCGGAACCTTGGCTTTGTTGACATCAATTGTTTGGTTTCGCGCATTATCTTTTCAATGGCGAGAGAGTGGGAGAGGCGCGCGTGGATTGGGACGTAGTATCGTAGCACTGTGTGCGTAAACTGTGCGTGCTACGGCAGCGACCGGTGGCTGGCGAGCGTGCGGTAAACAACGACCAGCATGACGTGCATGGTGGAGGATCTGAGGGCTCATCCAGTTCACAGACCACCCACCCCACAAGTGTCTTCCCCCGTCGCCTTCTCTCTCCACTGTTGTTTTGCCCTTCTCTCTTCTCCCATCCTCTCATACTGCGACTGCCATCATCCCATATCCCTCCCATCCCCCAAAGCACACACCCCCACCACAGTCGACAGGCTCGGCAGGCCAGCATGCGCTCCCTCCTTGGTTCGCTCGACCGCCGCCGCAGCCGTGATGGCCGCGACCGCGACTACAACACGGTTGCCCCTACTCCTAGCCGCAACCTGTACACCAAGGCTCGCCATGGCACTCCCCCAAGCAGCGGCAGCGACAGCATCGAGTACATGGACATTTCGGCTGAGATGCCTCGGCGCGAGTCCGTGTCCTCACGCCGGTCGATGCAGTCGATACGTTCTGGTGGCGGTCTCGCGGCCAAGCTCGCGCGTACCTTCTCCTTTACGCGCCGCCAGGTCATCACCACTCCGAGCGCGCGCGAGATCAGTGCTCCCATAACACACGAGATCAGTGCTCCCATTGCCGCCTCTGTCACACGTCGTGGTGTCGCCATCTCCGAGTTTGGTTCTCCTATTGCTGCAGGCACCAACTCGATCGGCGGCGACTGGGCAGAGATTGTTCGCGTTGTCACTGTTGACGACCTGCCCGAGGAAGATGAGGGTTCTGGTACGTCCATTGTCGTTGTCGTTGGCTAACGGCCAGGCGCGTTTATTCCTCGCCGCTCGAGCCTACCCCCACGACCCCGCGTGTCTCCTCTCCACCGTCCCTCGCCGTTTGATGCGCGCACACTGCCGTCGCGCATGGTTCACACCGAGCACCGCCGCGCAATGCTCATACCCACTCTGTCTTCCTTCTCCCCAGCCTCCCCTCGCTCGCACTATGCCGACTCGTCTCCCTCATCCAAAAGGTCCCCTCAGGCCCCCTCCTGCCACTACCCTCTTCCAGTCTCGGACGTGTTCATGTCGTCGCCACTGCGCAACCGCATCAGCTTTTCGACCGCCTCTAGCCCGTTGGCTGTAGGCTCACACACAAGCCGCAGTAGCGGCGAGACTTCATTTGGATCTACCCATGCCTGCGTGCCGGTCTCGCCGGCATCCACGGCGTACATGTCACATCCCTTCCGCACGGCTTCACCCGCCTCGGCCGCCCGCCACTCGCCCGCACACGGCAGGTCGTACTCGATGGGCCCGACAACCTCGCACCTCCGTGCACGCTCCACCCGGCCAACCGCCGAGTTTCGCATTCGTCGCAAGCCTGTGCCAGCTATCATGGAGGACGAGGTTAGCACCAGCAGCTTACGCGCTTCCAAGCTTCGGCCCATCACCTCGACCCCCCAACACAAGCGTGGCGGCCTGGAGACAAGCCAGACGCACCCGTCCCTCTCGCGCGAGCTCGACTCTCTGTTTGACGAGCTGCTCGACCAGTGTCGCACAAGCACGCCCACAAAGCACCGACGCGCCAGGTCCCTGTCCACGGTGGTGGACATGTCGTCGGAGAGCCTGTCAAGTCCTCGCCATGCTGCCGTGCGCATGCGGTCGCGCGGTGCACTGCAGCCCTCGCGTTCGCAGCCGAACAGCGAGGCCGAGGCCGAAGCTGAGAGCGGCCCCGAGTCGGACAAGCGCCGCCGCCAGTCCAAAGTTCCTTCCTCGCCATCGCGTCCTCGGCACCACCCGGCAGCCGACCTCGCCCCATTCTTCCCCTCGGGCCGGAGCTTTGAGCCCCTCCGCGCGCCCAAGTCCAGGCCCAAGTCCACACCCCCACCCATGCGTGGGCTGCACCCCATCACTCCAAAGACCCCCGAGGGACGTGTCAAGACTGTCGTGCAGGAGATTGAGCGCAGGGTGAGTTGCTACGGCGTTAATCAGGGTGGTCGCTCACAGCAACTCAGAACTCGTCCCCACCCAGCTGCACGACTACACCTATTAGGAGTGGGTAGCGTTTCTGGGTAATGGGTGCTTACCCGGCAGACCTCGGCGACATTCTTGACCAGAACTCGGGCGTCAACTCGAACGAGCTCACCCTCGAGTCCAAGCGCATGAGTGAGCTCAGTAGACTCCCGGAACAAGCTGACAGTCAGTGGAAGAAGCCCGCCTGCGCCGCCGCGCCCACCTGGCCAACTAAACCCCCTACAAACTGAGCGAGCACCCGGAAACGAACCAAGTCCTGTCCCTCATGTCCCCCGCTCCCCTCTCTCCTGAGTATTCTCATAACACACACACACTGTAGCATTGCGGCCCTTTGTACAGGGCGGAAGAAAGAGTATAAACAACCTGGTTGGTAGTAGCACGAGTCGTTCAGAGACTCCCTGTTTTTTGTATTTGGCGCGGACGTATGTATCCGGCCTGAATGTGTCATGTACAGGTTGCGAACGAATAAAGGGGAAATAAGCGAAAGCGAAAGGAGGTGACAAGGTGGTGGGTAGCTCTTGGGGTGGTGGGTCCGTCGTGACTTGTTTGGTGGGTGACAATTTGGGGTCGTGTCTCTTGGGTTGGCTGTGGTAGGCGCGGTGTGTGCCGCGGCCCACGAAGCCGTTCTAATTTGTATCTTGTTATGTTTTGTCTAGTGGGTGGTTCCCTGCGCCTGGACAGCGGCGTGCGTGACCACTCTAGCCCAGTGCTTGAGGACGCCGCGTCCGCGCTCGTGGACGGGGAAACGGCCCGGGTCGCGCACGATGATCACGGCGTGCGAGTTGGCCACGTCCGGGAACCAGGCCAGGTGCTTGATGGGCTGGAGCTGGTTGAGGTAGTATGCCATGCGGAGCTGGGGGTCGGTGAGGCGCGCAAGCACCGTAGGCTGGAGGGGCAGGAGCGGGGCCGTGTCCGCGTCGTCGTCCTCATAGCTGCTGTCCTCGGACGAGGACATGGCGTACTGGTGCTTGCCGGGCTTGTAGATTGTCTTGATGGCGGCCGAAGAGGTGTCGCCCAGGCCGAAATCGTACTCGGCAGCCTGGATCAGGTCCTGCTCGAGGTTACGCTCCACCGCGCGGATGGCGTTGCGGAGGGCATCGATGCCCATGCCGTTGGGCGAGGGGATGGGCGAGACAATGTCCGCGCCGAGCTTGTGCTCTGCGTTGTGAGGGGTACCCGTGCGCGCGAGGCCTTGGAGACGAAGACGGGAGCGGGTGGTGTCGAGCGAGAAACGCAGAACAATGAGGATGAACAGGAGAGGGACAAGGAGGGGGAAAAGGGCGAGAATGATCTGGACAGAGTCAGCAGAGTCGGTAACGGCGTGGTCAATGCTTCGACAAGGATGACCACGAGCCAATTGCCCACTCACATAGTTCAGAGGCCAGCGGAAACGGAGGGTAGGCGGGAGCGTTCCCATCTTGTGTGCCCACTTCTTCTTGAGCTTCTTGTCCGAGACAGGGTAGTACCAGTCGCTAACGATACCGGCCTCATCCGCAGCGACCTTGAGGCCGCGCTCGGCCCACTGCGCAAAGTGATCGGACGTCTCGATGGCGGCCGAGGGGTACGGAACAGTAGCATCGTTGACCACACTGGCGTAGATGTGAACGCCGTCAAACTTGGCGAGGCCCTTGTGGAAGACCTGCTCTGGGACCCGTTAGCGCGCCCGCCGGTGACGATTGGGGGGTGTCAGTAAACGCACTGGGGTCGGCCATGATCTCGAGGACGGGACGCGGGTCCTCCTTGCTATACTTGTCGACCACATGGATCTGGTTTCCGGAGCGGGAGAGGAGCTTGCTTCCAAGGAACGTGACACACACGGAGAGGAAGGTGTCTGCAAGGTCAGTCTTGGATCGAGGACCCTCACGGTTGCTTGGGGGTTGTTGGGAGGGCGATATCCGGATACCCAGGTCCCACTGACATGTGTCCAGGGACTGCCCGGAAAATGGCTGTGGCCCACCTCGCCCAAACTCCACTCACTGTAACGCGGGATGCCAAGGTGCGGCGTCGCGATCGTCGTGAATGACACGGGGGCGTGCTTGTTAAAGAAGGACGGCGAGCGGGCGTTGAGAAGGCCGACGAGGTAACGCGCGACGACTGGGGGTTAGCGGTGTATCTAGCTGTAGGGGCTGCTCCGAACAGCTGGGAGAAGAGGCGTCGCCTGTGAGCGTCGGGACAGGCATCCTTGACGGCGACCAACGGAGGCCAGGCGCCTGGGGGAACACTCTGTCCGCTCTCGTGACACGACCAGGCTTGTCTGTATATCGGCCAGTCCTTTCCACACGCGTACTCACGTCCTCCAAGGGAATATCCCATCTGCGCGTCAGTCCAAAGTCCGTCCACGGTTGCCGCTTCTCATGCATCCGCGCTCAGCTGTCCAGCCAGCCAACGTTCTGGAACTGGGTCATGCATTGCCCCGCCACAGCGCCGCTTGGCGCGGCACGTGTTGGCGAAAACCCGCCTGGCCCGCCTTATGGCGGGAACACACAGAGAGGGGGGCTGACGGTAAACAAGCGCTACTCACGACACTGAATTTAGCCACACGGCGGCCGTCGGCCTCGAGGCGTGCAACGTGCTGGTCGACCTGGGGGTATCAGCACGGGCTCGCGTCCATGTGAGTTTTGTGCATGGGGGTGTGGGAGAAGGCGGTGGGTGGGAAGTCTTCGGAGTAGGCACGGGGGTGGATAGGCGATAAGAGGCGGGGGGGATGGGATATGTGGGGGAGCTGGGAAAGATATGGATGGGGCATGGAGTCTCGGTGGTGGACGGACGCCAGAGGAAACTGGCGACCTGATAACACAGCTGTGCGAGCACGTTCCCCGTACCCCCCGGTTCCCACTGTGCAAAAACCCAAAAGGAAGACGCTGTACTCACCTCCCACGCGACACGGCTGGCGCACACGTCGATTCCATCATACGTGAGCTGCGAAGTCATGCCCTCGGCAACGACGACCACCAGTTCTTCGCCAGCACTGGCGGGAGCCTGTGGCATAAAGCTGTGGGTGTGGGTGAAGGGGTTGGTAGGCTCTGCGTCGGGCGAGTGTGCAGGGGTGATGAGGGGCGACCCGTTGTCGGGCGGGGTCTGAGCCGCGCTGTCGTCGCCGAGAGAAGCGGCCCAGGCGGCCTCGAGCTCGGTGCGGGCCGCTACGAGGTGGCACGGCTTGCCTGAATGTCAGCTATGGTGTTGCGGATACGGCGGACTCACCCCAGAGGCCATGGATGAGGAGGAAGAGGTGCACGTCTTTGGACGTTGTCATGGTTGGGGGGTGGTTTGTTGGAGAAGGGGAGAGTGGGAGGATGGAGGATTGTGATTGTCGCCAAAGCAAGTCCTTCTAATATCCTGTTACGCGTGCTTTGCACTTTGCGCTGTTGCACTACTGTGACACACCGCTTGCAGCTTGGCCGCCTGTCGCCTGCGTCGACAAGGCGTGCAGACACACCCCGCATGCGGATGGATTGTGCGACATTTTTGGGTGGCGAGATTGTTGTCGCCCAGGCACAGCCGCGCCCAGTCCTCCAGTCCGGCCAGTCCGTTAATCCGTTACGCGCGCTCGCGCGTCGGCCCCCCCCCCCCCCCCCAGCCACCACCCAAAAGAAAAGACATGCGCCATCACAATGCCAATTCAGTTGCATTTTGACACTTTCTGGATGCGGCATTCGTCATCAACAGAGATCAAAAGAGATCAAAAGATCAGCAACCCGTGTCAGTTTGGTTATACCCGTATCCGGCCTCTTCGCCTCTTCTGGGCCTTTGGCCACGGGCGCCACTGGCCACTGGGCACATCAGAAACCCAGAAGGCAGGCAGCATTACGCATGCTCGATTACCAGCACCGACAGCCCAACACTCACATGCGACACAGGAATGGGTGTCTCTCTGCTAGCTGCTGCAAACGTCTGCCCTCTGCTTGCTGGTTTGTTGAATCATCTGCCCTGTGTCGCACGGGAGGTGGATGGATGTCGCCGCGCACTGCTGACCGTACGACGGCCTCTCGAAAAACGACACCGCCATAGCACATGACGCCTCCCCTCCTGTGCATATCTTCTCTGAATGCACACACCAAAACTGACTGGGCCATGCAGCCGACACATTCAGTCGCCATCGCCATCACCCACCCCACACCGTGTTTGAGCTTCAAGGGCTGGTGCCACTGTTCATCCTGCTAGATGCGTGCTAATTTGCCTGCCTCCTGCTTCCTGCCAGCTGCCTAGTCACCCGCGGCTCACGTCGTGTCGGCGGCGGGGGGGAGTTGTTACTGCTTGCTTGTTGCCTTTTGTGGTCCCAAAAAAAACACAGAGATTGTCCACACCGCCGCCACCACGTCCGCTGCCTGCGTGAGACTTGTCGCTTTCGCACTCTCGCTCTCGCCGTCTCCGTCGTCTCCACTACCGCTGCTCGCACTCGCACTCGCATTCTGCGCTTAGGCCGAGGCGGGGGCGGCGGCCTTCTTGGCCTTCTTCTTCGAGGCACGGAGGGGGGCGGCGATGAGGGCCTTGAGCTCCTCGTCCTGGACCGACTTGGTCGAGGTGACCTTGTCACTGGGATGGTTGTCAGTAGAGTTTTGGGGTGCAACTACGTTTATGATAAAACTTACGCAGAGTACCACACGGGGGTGGGCGAGAGGAGGAGGGGGCCGGCGGGGAGGAGGGCGATGGTGAAGAAGAACTCGGCGACGATAGAGCCGGCGGCGGTCTGGGTGACCTCGTAGGGCTTGAGGAGGCCGTGGGCGACCGCCTCCTGGACACCCATGCGGGCGCGCTTCTGGTCCTCGAGGACGCGGAGGGTGAAGGGGAAGGCGCCGGCCTTCTTCTGGACCTCGGAGAAGGTGGTGCGCGAGGTCTTCATCTTGAGCTGGTAGTTGACGTCGTTGGCGCGCTTGTAGACGGTGGTGCGGCTGTCCTCGGCACGGGCCTTGCCGTCGGTGCCGGTGACGAGGAGGACGTCGACACCGTAAACCTCACCCTCCTCAAAGGTGGCCGACTCGTGGTCGCGCTTGAGCTCCGGGGTGGCGCCCAGGAGGATGCGCTTCTTGCCGTCGGTGACGTTCTGCTCGTGCTGGCACGAGAGCATGCCCTGCACGGCGACAACGTCAAACTCCTTGGCGACCTTGTCAACAACCTCGGTAACGTCCCAGTTGCGGGCGCCGACCTTGAGGGTGCGCATAGCGGCCTGGGCGGCGTCGTAGGCGGCCTTGATGACGTCGGCAGCGGCACCGTCCTTCTTGTCACCGACAATGAGGGTCTCGGCGTGGGTCACGGGGTAGCCGTCAATCTGGACACCGAGCATGATCTTGACGACATCGCCGTCCTTGAGCTCGACCTCGGCGTCCGACGAGAGGGGCGAGAAGTGCGAGACAACGTTGTTGACCGAAATGCAGGTGGGGAAAGCCGAGCCTGGAAGGGAAAGCGGTCAGAATACACAAACGTCCGCCCACATCAAAACAACAAGTGATGGCTCACCCTTGCCGACCTTGACACCATTCTTGGCCTTGTTCCAGAGGGGAGCAATGGCCTCGGCGACGAGCTTGTCACCCCTGTGCACACATGTCAGCTGGGCCGCTCCTTCTGGAGCACAGCAGTCATCTTACGCACTCGACACAGAGCTCGAGGGCCTTCTTGCCGGCGGTGACCTGGGGGACGAGCTTCTTGAGGACCTCACCAACGGCCTGGCCGGCGGTGGTGTACTTGGTGAGACTGTCCTGTCAGTGCTTATTCTGGAGGCATGGCTAGGTAGTCGAGCATCTTGTCCATTACCGGGACCTATTGCTGCAGCACGAGACCACCTCTTGTGAACCAACTCACACGTCGTTGGAAAGACCCTTCTCGACCTCCTCCTCCTTCTTCTCGGCGGCGGGGGCGGGCTTCTTAAGGTCGACGGCGGGGAGCGACATGACGGGCTGGGGGGGTTGGGTAGGGGGGGGGGAGGGGGGAAGGGGTATGTGGTGGGTGGTTAGATGCTCTTGAGCAAGGGTGATTGTTCTAGGCGGTCGCTGGTAAACTTGCCTTTGCTCTCGAAACGCTGCCTGGCAGGCAGTGTTGGCGAAAATTGCTTCCGTCGGGCGTGGGACCCCGCGCCGTCAGTCTCAATGTCTCCATTTTGGTGCTGCAGTGCGCGGAGTTGGGTGAGTGTGGCACTGTGAGCGTATGACATCACCGGAACCGAGAGGCGGCTTTGAGTCAAAACGGGCTTCATTTTGAGCGCAGACGTCAGTTGATCAGTTGACATCAGGTAGAGACCCCTTTATTTTGCTTCTGGTAGCGTCGTGCTCCACACCTCACGCTCAATTGACGGTGGGCATCCCATCCACTAAACGGCAGGCACGCATGAAGAGAGACTCTTGCTGGTGCCAGTTGGACACGGCATTTTTTTTGGTCGTGTTCGCACCCTCACGTGGCAGGTCCTGCAGACGCGCAGACTGAGGTGAGGTCTTCCAGTGACGGTCGCATTGTCGATGCGATCCGGTGGCGGCTTGTCGGGTGCAGAAAGCTGGTGCTCGTCCAAGACGCTGACGTAGCACGGAGCCACTTGAAACCCGCTGACGTTTGCCAACGCATGCTGTCGGCACCGAACGCGCATGCCTCCTCCCGCTGCGACGCGACTTGATATGGATTCTGCCGTTCTGCAACCCCAGCCAAATGGTCATCTTTACAGACCACAGACAGGTTTCGAAGGATTCCAGCGTATGGCGCTCGGCCCCGTCCCGGCCAGGCTATGTCTAGCTTCATGTTCCAACGTCGTGACATGTGGTGATCCATAGCGCGGGTCAGAGGATCAGAGAGACCCATTGCCAAGGTCAGTTCAGGAGGTTGATTGTCGTTTTGGACGAGTTTTTCCGGCGGTGTCTTGTGTCACTCGTGGCAAGTGCCACTACCGTCGTAACGACACCAGGTGGGCTGGCATTGTGCACACGTACATCACACTACATATGCACATCGAAACTGTACTCAACCCATGGAAGGTGGCGGCGGGGAGAGGCAAGGAGGGGAGGGGAGGGCGGGAGTTCGATCGTGGCTTTGACGAGGTCAATACCAGTTTTCATGTCCTTGTGCGCCTGTCACTCATACCTCAAGAATCCTGTCGTCCCCGGGGAGCCCGGAACAACATCGGCAGTCAAAGTATCGCTAAAGCCGTCACGCTTCTAGCGACCGAGTGATCGACAGACAGTACGTACTGTACCCTACTCTCACCGGGACATTGGAGCTTGCGGCAACGTCCGTCGGAATGTGCCGCAGTCAACCACAGCCGGACGAGCCCGTGGGCCGTGGTGGTACGCTTCTGAGCCAGCTGGGCGTTCCAGTGCTACGGCGAAGGTTAAGGCTGAGGCTGCTTGCTTCTTGCTCCGCAGGAGAAGGCTGCACACGATATCTTGCGCAATGCTCCGGAGCTGCAACGGGGGAGGGAGAACGGGAACCGCAACCGAGCGACTTTGGGAAGATGCCCAGTGCGAGGAGAATCGAATTGAAAAAATCCGTCTCCAGCACCAAGTGGTAGTGTCCAGTGTCCAGCAGCATCCTCATCGGTACCGCAAGCGGGGTCAGGCTACTAGAGCGATACCCGCAGAGTCAACTACGGGCAGGACTTGACACTAGCAGGGTACCAGCACGACGACCGGTACTGCCACCCAGCAGATGGCGCCCGGGGTGGCTAAACCGCTTGGTGATCGTCAGGTTGCGGGACAATCCAAAAGGTCCCAAGACTAGCAACGCTCGTTTCCGTTCTAGCGTCGCATAAGCGTTACTCAGGTCAAGGAAACCCTCCCAATTAGTACCGGTATGCGCATTAGGGTCCCTCTTTAAATGGTGCAGGCTGGCCCACAGGCCTGTAGGGGTGTGATAGGGCTATAGGGCGGTGTGGTGGGCGTAGTGTTGCCGCCTGGCTGGCGAGAGGTGGCGCCACACGATCTGCCCGGGCCATAGTCGCTACCCAAAGCAGTTGAGTTTAAGCAATCGCGACGTTAAAAAGCAAGAGCCAGCGGACGGACCGCTCGGCACGGCCTAGCAGATCCGGGAATGAGCATATGGCCAGATTCCTCACTAGCTGGCCAGACCTGAGCTCGAGGCGGGTGCCGAGTCCGGCACGCAAGTCGGTCGTTGTACGCGCCGCAGGAAGCCTGCGGGCGGTGTGGCAATGTCTGCATGGCTGCATGGCTCCTTGGCCGTGGGTTATTCCTGGCGATGCAGCGGGTGTGGCAATGGACGCAGGCAAGGGCTGGGGCGGAATGCAACCTGTCCTGTTGCTGGGTGGACGTTCGTGGACGGTGGTACGTACGGTGTAGGTATCGCATGTGCCAGCCCAATGCCTTTGTATTGTTCTGGCGTTCCCTACGCCGTCCCTGGTGTGAGCCTGAAAGGCTTCAATAGTCATCTCGTTTTTCGATCGCAGAAGACGCCTCCGCCCAGCGCCATATGAGACACCGGCGTAGCTGGCAACGCACGCTTTGCACGCAGGTTGCGCACAGAGGTACAGAGAGCCAAAGCCACAGTGTGTACGGGCCACATCTTTGCGGGCCGGATGCAGAAGTGTAGAGAGTGCAACGACGCCGCTCGCACACAATGCATGGGGGAGGGCAGTAATTGAATGAGGCCTTCTGTAGGAGAGTGAGACGGGGGTTGTTGCGTCTATCGGACGCGACCGCCGGGCCGCCTTGAGGCCTTGAGCCTTGTTACAGCTTGTCACATGTCGTGTCAGACGTGTTCGCCGCCGCTGGCTGCTGGCTGCTGGCCCTGCTTTCTCCCCCGCCAAATGGTCCGACCAAGAACATAATTGTAACAGGAGTTGCATTACGTACAAAAGCTATAGAGCAACGGACCACAACCTTTACGGTTGGACACACGCGTGGGCTGCATACCGCCCGTGTAGAGTGGCTGCGGACCGAGGGCCGAAAGGAGGTGGCGGCATTCTTAGCGGGGCGTGTGAGGAGGTGACTGACACGGGCTGCTGGTGTTGGCCTGGCCGGCCTGGGCTTTTGTCTCATCAGTTCATGAAGCCTTAAGGTCCATCAGGCCCGGAAGAGCCGTGTGTGAGAATGGTGTCGTTAGTGTTTCTGGTGGGGGTCGGTAAAGCGAGCGGTGATGTGGATGCTAACAGTCAGATCCAGTAGAGAGAGCCGCGGATGCATGTGCAGGTATGTGTGTGTGTGTGTGTGGACGGATGAAGTGGGTGTGTGGTGGGAGAGGGAGAAGACGACCAAGGAAGACGAGGAAGGCGACAGAGGAAGACAAGGGTGCGTGTGTGTTCAGGGGCGATAAATGCAATGAGGCGTCGAACCCTTTGGAACGTCAACAATCGATCGCGTGTTTGCGGCTTGGGGACATGAGCAGGAGCTGGTGTGCCCCTCTGTCCCCCTCTGCCCACCTGCCTGGCCTGCCCCTGCGCCCACCGGCCGCGAAAACCGAATCTAGGTGCGGCGCAGTGACAATCCCTGAATGCGGCTCCCTGCCCGCCCGGGCCGTTGTGCCCACAGAAAGCGATATCCCACACCCGCAGACCCCAAACCCCCCCCGATTATTATTTTATTATATCATTGTGTGCACCACGTTGCTGCATTGCTGCATGCATATTGCAATTGCAATGCAGGGCTGCAGGACATACAACAATGCGTGGAAGAGAGGATATCTGCGGATATGCTCTGTTATTATGGGTGCTGTGGACGACTGCTATGTTCTGCGCGTTGCTTTCGGGAACAGGGGACACGGGCATGAGGGGGGGTTTGGGGGCACTAAACGAGCAAAGCACGGAGCAGCACCGAGCACCGAGCAGCAGCAGCAGCGGCGGCGGTGTGACACCTGCAATGAGCTTTGGTGCATTGTCTCGTCTCTGCGTCGACTGCCGATCGCACACGCGCTTGTCCGTTTACGTTACCGTGCACACCACCACCCCGCCCGCAAACGACGCTTCTTTGGCCCGGCACGGTGACACACACACACAAACTCTCCCTCTCTCTCGCTGTCCGATCCACCACCATCCTCTCATACACCCCTTCTTCATCTTGCACCATACACACACACACACCACTGCCTTTCGCACACCCACCCACCCACCGTCCCCACCACAAGCATGACGGCACCGACACGCTGCTAGAACCCCATCCCCGGACACCGCTGCAAGGGGGGAACCCATCGCAACACTGACCATCTCGACGGTCGCCCGGTTGCCGACACACCCCTCCCTTCCCATTCCACCCCCCCCCCCCCCTCCCCCCCATCGTCGTCCAGCCATGGCCGCCGTCTCCGCCGCGGGGCCATCGCGCTACGCCATGTCGACGAGCCCATTCGAAGACAACGGGGTGAGTAACCATCCATAGCCCCCAACACCATGAACCACGACCGTCCTTTGTGTGTGCACACATGCGGGGTTGTGCGCTTCATGCGCTGTGCCAGCTGCGACCGCCTTGGGTCCCTCCCAGCCGAGCTGCCGACCAACCCGCCTTCCCGGTCCGCTTCGAACCAACAAAGAGCTAACACACTATTCCAGGCTGTGGAACACCTCCCATCCCCCGTGCTGCCTCCCTCGCAACTGCCGCACGAGTTCGACCTGCTGCCCAACGGGTCCGCGGCATCGGGGTCCGACTCGCTGCGCGCCGACGCGACAGCAAATGGTTCGGCGGCAGGCAGCTCTGCGAGCCTCGGAGTCGAGCGGCGCATACGCTCGACCCCGTCTGCCACGACGTCGGACACGAGCTCCATTCGCAGCGCATCCCTGCACTCGGCCAGCGTGCACTCGTCCACACGAGAACGCGCACTAGGCGGCATATTCGCGCGTCGAGGGAGCGCTCTCCCCAACGGCCGCAGACCCAAGAGTGCGAGCTCGAACCAGTCGAGCTCGCATGTCGCCGACGATGAGTTTGAGATGACGCCCATGTCGCGGTCCAAGAAGAAGCGTATCGTGGAGGACATTGAAAAGCACGTCGACCGCGCAAAGGCGGACGCCGCGTTGGGCAAGTGGAGGGTAAGTGGAATCAACAGTTGAACGAGAACCAAAAGTTGACCCCCGTTTGCAGAGATGGATCGCCGAGCAGCCGCCTCAAGAGGCAGAAGCTCACCCCATCCTCCCCAGCCCACACCTATACAACAACGGCACAATCAACTCAATGTCGTCGAGCGGCTACCACGGCGGCAGCAGCAACTACCACTCTTCCGGCCACAGCCACAACCACTTTCAACCACCAACCGCAGCCTCCCTCTTCCCCCGCTACTCTCAGCTTTCAGAGTCCCACTCGGCGCCGTTCACAGAACACATGAACGGCGACATCCCTCTCCCCAGCGAGGCCGTCATCGCGTCGGCGCGTGGCTCCATTGCCGGCCCCAGCACCCCGCAGTGGGTCAGCGATCCCTCGTCGTCCGAGGCCTCACATGCTCGCCCATTAACCCCCCACTCGACCTTTCCCTCGCTTGTGCCCGGCGCACAAGAGATCTACCTTACCGAGAGTGTCCGCATGCTCCGTGACGTCGAGCTCGCAGTCGACCCAGTCTACTACGACCAGGCTACTGGTGGCTCGCCCAATGCCCGCTCCAGGAGGCTGTCGACCCATCCGCGACTGTCCGACATGGAGAACCCATTCTGCTCAATCGACACTCTGCTGGCCCGGAGGCGTATCCGCCCACTGGTCCTCGAGCTCGTCCAAGCTCTGGGTGCCTACATTGACGCCGTGTGGGCAACCACACACCCAGGGCGTCCATGTCCATGGGCCGGTGTCCCCATTGCCGCCGCCGTGCGCCGCGCCTCGCTTGCCGCCAGCATCCCCGCACCCAAGACGTGGCGGTCGTGGACTCTGACGGCGGCCCGTGAGGCAAAGCGCCAGGGCTTCCTCGCCAACCCGCCAACGGTCAGCGAGGTCGCGTTCTGGGGCTGGGAGATCCGTTATGGGCTGCGCGACATTGACGAGGCCGTCAACCGCCGTAAAGACCTCGGATGGGCCTTTGGCGAGGTCGTCATCCGCGGCCAGTACGGCGACATTCTGCCCGCAAACGTGTTCGCAGCAGACGGCGGCGGAGGCAACTTGTGTCGTCTCCTGAATGACCTCGAAGAGGCATTGTGGTGAGTCAAGCTGTGGCTAATGACACATCGTGTTCGCATACTGACAGCCACACAGGGGCGATGCCATGCCCGCACCCAGTGACTTGGCGTTTGAGCACGACTTCAACTTCAACCCATTCTCAGTATACCGCGAAGGCGACGAGCTCATCGGCGTCGAGACGACCAACCGCGGCATCGAGGCGCGCGAGGCCGAGATGCGTAAAGTCTTTGGCGTCGACTTTTTCCCGGCCGTCTCGGCGAGCCACACGAGCCACACCCTCTCTCCTCTGGGCTTGCCACCGCACTCGCACTCGCCGCCATCCGCGTCCCACCACGCGCCATTACCGCCATCGCGCGGCGCGTCATTCTCCCCCGACGCGCCACCCTCGCTCTCGCTCCCCTCGTCGCCCAAGAGCAAGTATGACGCGTCGCCGCGCACGCCCGCCGACGCGGCCATCCTCGTCATGCCCGACCTGGACTTTGTGGCTCTGGGCGCGCTCCAGGAGATGACCATGGAGGAGAAGCTCGAGCTCGGACGCAGGCGGCACAAGGAGTATCTCGAGCGCACGCGCCTCGAGAACGCCGTGGCGAACGGTACGCCGGGGCTTGCATTATAGATAGAACGGAGGCGAGAGGCGGGGAGGGGGTAGGGGTTTTTTTTTTCTTGTGTGTACGACACCTTCACGACGGAAGAGCAGGCGGCAGAGGAAGAGAGAGCGGGTGCACGGGTGGGGGGCACGAGCATGTGGACGCGCACGACCGAGTCACTATTTTTTATTTTTTATTTCATTTCGCCAAATGTCTTTCTATCCATGTGCCATAATCTAGGTAACTATAGCAAAATGCAGATCACGTCTTGAGTAGAGACAAGCGTGTCCCCGGGGGCAGTCGCGGGTGGGGCAGGTGCATACACACGTGAGGCAAGCGAACAAGGTGGCTCTTGACTTGACTGGTTCGTCAAGGGGCAACCCGCCACACTGCTAATAGGCAAACTCAACACACTAGACGCCAATGACACGAAAAGCGTAAGTACAGTACACGAAGGGCTTTGATATTACGACATCAGGGAACAACGGCGTGCAGACGCCTTGACCACAGACAGTGGTTTACGGCCTTCACGTCAGCCTCATGCCGCTGGCTGGCCAGTGTGTACATACTGTACCCGGGAAACCCTCTGGATCCCGCACATGTCTCCCCACCCAGCCACCTGGCCACCTGGTTCCGAGGAACCGGGCCAGTAACCACACTAAGTGCGCGTCCCGGTCTCGTTGTGATCCACAAGCGGGCGGGCAGGTGCACCTCGCCTAGGCGAGGGCTGATCGACACGTTGTTTGATGGGCTGCTGTGCGCGACAGAGCGAGAGAGGTAGGGTGGGGTGGGGTGGGGCGGGGAAGGGTGGGGAGGGGTGGGTTCTCGATCTCACGATCTGGCCATGTGGCGGCTCGTTCGTGGCTCTCGTGGCTCTCGTGCTCTGGCTCCGTTGGGCTGCTGCTGCCGTTCCCCGGCTCTCGTTATCTTTCGCACTGTGGCGTTCAGTGCGCCATACCGTCTTTCTCGATTGGTACAGTACTTGGTTGTAGACGACGACTGGGCTAGCTGTGATCTAGAGCTGCTGTAATAGTTACCGCCAGACATGTCGTTGGACCACTGGGGAAGCTATGGTCAAGGAGCATTGCTGGTACTGACGCTGGAATCTTATGTGGGTGAGGGGACGATCGTAAAGTACCGACTGCCGTTGCTGCCGTTTCTCACCTACTCGCCTGTTTGGGAAGGTAGTAGTGGACGGAAGAGATGGCGCCGCGGTAGAGCCGCGGGACACCCATGTCTGCGGCACCAGTCTGTATCTCCCATGACACTACTACTGTAAACACGATTGAAAGGGTTCTCAGTATTTGTGCGACAATGTGTCTCTGCAGATGCTTCCTCTCCCTTTCCGCTGAATCCCGCAGCTCACGGCGTGAAAGTAGACGGCATCCAGCCGTCACGGTCATCCCCAGCAACAAACGTCACGGCCTCGCCCGACGAGCGCGACCCGCGGGTTTGCGGGAATGGGTCTCCCCCTTATGATGGAAATCTATTTACATACAGGAATTGGAGACAGATGTAGAAGCGAAAGCTGCAGAGAAGCAAAAGCGCGAGTCGAGGAGATCAAAGAGTCTGGCAGCCATTCGGAATGCGGGGAAGCGATCGACACACGTGTGGGGTAACGCTGGCTGTCTTTTTGCCACCCGGTGTCTGCGTGGTGTGTCAGCTGCTCGTCGACATCGGCGATGCTTGCTGACGAATGTCACACCGCGCCGACGCTCCACTCGGTGCACACTACAGGCAGGGGTGTACTGGGTATGGCGTGCAAGTTGACCCCCATGCGGATATCCAGACAGACAAAGAGAAAAAATCAAGACTCAGCCCGTCGGACATGCCCGCGCCGTGAGCCATGGGAGCAGAGGCGCGGCTCGGAACTGGCACAACACCCACGCCGTCATCATCCATCATCATCGCACGTCCACACTAACCGCGCGCGCACCACATGCAACCGAGAGCAATAAACTGCCGTGCCAACCCCGTGAGTCAGCGCACGAGAGCACCCGTCCACATCGCGTGATCGGTGTCCACAAAATGTTTTGCACATGTCGCCGCACCCGAGTCCCATAAAACGCATCATGGCATGCAGACAGCAACAACCACACCGCCCACCCCCCCCGTTCCACACTCACCGTCCTTTGTTGTTTGTGTACTCGGCTTGAACCAGCGAGACCCCCGCAACCTCACTCGACGTCCACCTTCACCTACACCCCTCGTGCCAACCATGTCGGCCTCCCCTACGAGCTCGAACAGCTCGCACACCAACGGCGTCAACGGCCACAGCAACGGCAACGGCAAGCCGCTGAGCGCCGCCGCGCGCTTCGCCAAAGCCGAGAGCCACCCACACACGGCCGCCCCGACCCCCGGCGCCGAGTACCACTTTGGCACGCGCCTGGTCCACGCCGGCTCCGAGGCCAGTGACGAGACCGGCGCCGTCATCCCGCCCATCAGCCTGTCGACGACATACAAGCAGAGCGCCGTCGGCGTGCACAAGGTGAGCTGGAGATGGAGCTGCTCGTGGGCCGGCCGGAGCTCGGAGCTCGACCGGCGTGAGGGGTGGATGCTGTGCGTGCACCAGATCTTGTGCATCGAGCACGCCATGGCGGGGATGGAATGGCGTGCCCCCAAAGAAGAGAGTGGGAGCGAACCCGTTTCAGACGCCGAACTGTTGTTAAGCATGCTGCGGATCTGCGTGTGTGTGCACCCCAGGATCTCCGCAATCGGCATGTGGCAAAATCCCATCTCCCCAGCACTAACCCGTCCGCAGGGCTTCGAGTACACACGCTCGCTCAACCCCAACCGCCTCGCATTCGAGACCCTCATTGCATCGCTTGAGCTCCCGACTCCCCTCCAGCCCGTCAGCGCTTCGGGCGGCGCTCTTCCGCCCGCGCTGGCCTTTGCGTCCGGCTCGGCAGTCACGCAGGCGATTGTGACCTCGCTCGTCCCGCAGGGCTCGCACATTGTGTCCGTCGGCGACGTGTACGGCGGCACGTACCGCTACTTTACCAAGGTGGCCGCGACGCAGGGCATCAAGACGTCGTTTGTGCACATTTCCATCCCGGACGGCGTGGAGAAGGCCGACAGCGCCGGCATCCAGGCCACCCTCGACGCGGCGTTTACGCCCGAGACCAAGCTCGTGTGGGTCGAGACGCCGACGAACCCGACCTTGTCGATGATTGACGTCGCGCTCGTCGCGCGCGTCGCGCACGCCCACGGCGCCCTCGTGGTCGTCGACAACACCTTCCTCAGCCCATACTACCAGCAGCCGCTGCGCCTCGGCGCCGACATTGTCGTGCACTCGGTCACAAAGTACCTCAACGGCCACTCGGAGTGAGTCCAGATGTGTGACTGTGAAGATGTCTCGAGCTGACCCCCCACAGCGTCATCATGGGCGTGCTCGTCACGCCGCACGAGGACGTGCTCGCCAAGCTCCGCTTCTATCAGAATGCCGGCGGCGCCGTGCCCGGTTCCCACGACTCGTGGCTGGCGCAGCGCGGCGCCAAGACCCTCGCCCTCCGCATGGTCCAGCACGGCACCAACGCGCTGGCCATTGCGCGCTGGCTCCAGGCCCAGCCGTGGGTCAAGAAAGTCATGTACCCGGGTCTGGAGGGCAAGGAGCGCACGGCCGTGCGCGAGCTCGCATGGCGCCAGCTCTCGCCCGTCGCGAAAGACAAGCTCATCGAGGGCGGATACACGGCCGCCTCGGGCTTTCCCTACGGCGGCATGGTGTCGTTCATCCTCGACACGCAGCGGCTGGCGGCGGCGCGCGCCGCCGTCGACACGTCGTCCAAGTTCCTCGCCGCGCTCGAGGTGTTCACCCTCGCCGAGTCGCTCGGCGGCGTCGAGTCCCTCGCCGAGCTGCCCAGCGTCATGACCCACGCGAGCGTCAGTGCCGAGGCCCGCGCCCAGCTCGGCATCACAGACGAGCTCATCCGCCTGTCGGTCGGCATCGAGGACGTGCGTGACCTCCAGGCAGACATTGTCCGCGCCGTCGAGGCCGCACAGCTTTGAGGACAGCAGAACGGTGGCCCCCCAAGTTTGAAAACGTGAACAACGAACGACGTGAGAGAGAGAGAGAATCCAAGCACCTATTAGATCTGTAGACCGAGACCGCAGTTTTCCTAGACTAGTCTACGGACTGAAACAATGTGTGTAACAAAGTAATGAAACAAACAATGCGTTGCTGGTGTATCGTCGCTCGTCGAGTACGTGCAAGCTAATGGGGGAGGTGAGGAATGCTGGCGAGATCTGACGGGGGGACCGACTGCGGAATGGGATCGCTACAATCCTCGCGCGGTTTGTGACCAGATCCTGTCGTCAGTGTTGGCCACAGTGCCAAGAGCGCTCCATGGGCCAGAACCAAACAACCATTCTCAGACTGTAGCTAAACGTAGCATAATCACGCTACGGAGGATAAAACTGCGTGAGCTCACCGCCCATACGCATGAGCAGGTGGCAATACAACTATGACGAGGGCGCCTCCACGCGCTGCCTCTTGGCCTCTGGCTCGGCCTCGGCAACGGCGAGAGAGACGGGGGCAGCCGCAGGAGCTGGGGTGGGGGCTGGAGCTTGGGCGGGCGTAGGGGCGGGGGCGGGGGCGGAGGCAGGAGGGGCAGCGACAGGTTGGGGGGCAGGGGCAACAGCAGCGGCAGGTGGGGGAGCAAGAGTAGGTTGTGCCGGTGCTGGTGGTTGGGTGGGAGCAGCTGGAGCAGGGGCTGCGACGACGGGCGCTGGAGTGGCCGCCGGCTGAGTTGGGACGGCGGCGGCGGCGGGAGCTGGGGCAGCAACCGGCTGAGCGGGCGTGGCCGGAGGCTGAGGAACAGCAGCAGCGGGCTGGGCAGGAGCAGCAGCAGGCTGAGTTGGGGCCGGGGTCGGGGTCGGAGGCGCACCTGGTCCGTCTTCGAGCTTGCGCTTGACACCCGCTGTCGCGACAGCTGGACCAGGAGTGGCCGGAGGACCAGCCGGTGCAGCAGCGGTCGGCGCCGAAGAGATTGGTTGACCAGCAGGAGCCGCAGGGGTAGCAGCAGGAGCAGTACCAGGAGCAGTACCTGGAGCCGCAGGAGCCACGGGAGCCGCAGGAGCAGCAGCAACAGCAGCGGGAGCCGCAGGGGCAGCACCCGGAGCAACAGCTGGAGGACGAACCGCGCCATTCGCGGCCGGCGCACCGGGCACGCCAGGCTTGCCATTAACCTGGGGCACCTTGCCAGCAGGGATCTGGCCTGTGGCCCAAATATGCTCTGCGACGCGCAGGTCCATCTTCTGGCCGACGACACGGATGTAGCGCAGGAGCGCACCGGCGTTGGGTCCCACCGTGTTGACGTCGCCACGGGCCTTGGCTACCTCTGCAATCATGCTGATGACCGTTGTGAGGTTGGCGCCTGGGGGTGCGGGTCCAGGCAGCTTGCCGACTGGTTTGGCGCCTGGAGCAACGGGCGTCCCGACGCCGGGTTTGGGGACGGCTGTGGCTACGCCGGGAGCGCCGGGTGTGGCGACGGGCGGGCGGACGGGAGGACGAACACCGACAGGTGCACCGGGTCGCACACCCATGGCACCGGGGACGCCAGGCTTGCCTGCGGCTGCGGCGGCCTTGGCTGCCGCGGCCTTTTGGGCCTGCTGCTTGTTCTTGTTGACGACCCACGCCGACAGAACGTCGACGGCACCGGCGGCCCCAAGGAGCTGCAGCTTGTCGACAATATCCGTTGTAAGGTGTCCAAACGTTTGCTGATCGAGGACAAGAGTTGTGCCGTCACACACAAAGGGAAGCGGTGCGCCAGACACGTCCGTCTTGTCAATAACGGACGTGGCGCGGAGAGCCGGTGTCACGGGCTTGATGACAACCACAATCTTCTGCTTGGGTCCTAATACGCCGCGGTTGGCGCTGGGGACTGTCGTTGTGGGTGGCCGGGCGACGGGGCGGACAGCAGGCATGCCGCGACCCATCCCCATCATGTGATGCTGGGTGCGCGCTGCCTCGGCCATTTGCATCTCGCGCTCGCGCTGCTTGCGGTTGCGCTCCTCGGCCTTGAGACGTTCCTTCATGCGCTTCTCCTCGGCATTCTTGGCCTTGCCCTCGGACTTGAGAGCGTCGCGGCGCTGCTTCTCCTCGAAAAGCGGGCCCTCCTCGGGGTCGAGAATCCACACGGAACCTTTGCTCTCGGGGTCGTCCTCGGGGATACGTGGCACTTTTAAGAACGCCTTGTTCAGTGACAGGTTGTGGCGGATAGAGTTTTGCCAGCCTGCCTCGGGGTTCAGTCGGAACCATTCCCACTCGCCTGCGACCCAGTTGCACACTTCGCCTAGCGTACCACGGCCACGCGGCAAGTTGACGAGGGCACGGTGAATGATTGTCGCAAAAGTCGCGGTGGGCTTGAGCGGCGGCGGGCCGATGAACGACTGGCCATCGAGACCGAGCACCTGTTGTGGCGGCGGGCGAGGGCCAGCCCCGGAAGGAGGAATGGGCACAGAGCAGAGAATGTGGCCCGAGCGGTTCGGGTTCTCGATGAGCTCCGAGATGTAGTACGGCTTGGGCGGGCCATTCTCGCCAGACTGGTGGGGCGGGTTGCCACGGGTGAGCGCAATGGGCTGAGGGCGGTTCGGGTGTCCGGGTTGGCCGGGAATCGTCTGTAGTGGGACTTGTCCCGGAATCTGTCCTGGAATCTGTCCAGGAATCTGCCCAGGAATCTGCTGAACAATCTGCCCGGGAACCTGCGGAGGGGGATGGGCCACTGGGACTGCCGCAGCAGCCAGTGTCGGCGAAGGGGTCGCTGTTGTGGTCGCGCTTGGGGGTAGGGCAACGGCGGCAAGTGCCGGGACGGGAAGAGGGGCCGGAGTTGGGATCGCCAGCGTCACCGGGGCCGCAACTGGGGCCGGTGGTCGTGGGGCCGTCGCGCCTGGGGGGAGAGCAAGCTGGATGGGAGAGGGCGGGGCGACGATGCCAGCTGCCTCGAGGAGGGTTGGAACACGAACAGGTGGCACAACAGGCTCTGGAGGAGGCAACACTGGTGCAGGCGTAGTCGCCATGGCCTCCGCAAGGGTCGGTGCAGCTGGCTCTGGAGGAGGAACTGTGGCAGCAGCAGCGAGTGTGGGAGGAGCAGTCGCCGCCGCGGCCAGAGTGGGAGGAGCAGCGGGCTGTGGTGCTGGCTGTGGCTTGATGAGTGCCGCTGTTGGAATCGCCAGAGTGACAGGAGGAGGTAACTTCTTCTCCTTTTTCTTCTTTGGCTTGTCCTCCGACTTGACTTCCTCTTTGACCTTCTTTTTCTTGGGCGTCGTGACCACAGGTGGTGCTTCCTCTGGCTCGACACTGTCGACATCAAACTCGTCAATGTCCATCGCGTCTTCGGCCTTGACCTTCTTCTTTTTGCTAGACTTGGTCGGCTGCTTGGACGCGAGTGCGGGTGACTTGAACGCTTTGCCGGCGACCTTGGTCGCCTTGATGGGCGCTTTGCCTCCCACCGCACCAGGTGTGCTCGTACCGGACTCGGTGCGTTCAACCTTGATGCGAGACACGTCGTCTTTGGCCTCCTTCTTCTTGGCCTTCTTCCCCTTTGCGGGTACTGGTTGTTCACGTTCTCCCTCGCTGGAGAGTGACGACAGCTCCGAGTCTTCATCTTGCACGCGCCGCGCACGCAACTTGATGATGGGTCTCCGGCGCACAGGCTGTTCCTCGTCGTCGTCGTCGTCGTCCTCCTCGTCGCTGCTGGCGTCACTGCCGCTGCCAGATCCCCATTCGTCGGCCCACTCGTGGTCGGCGAAACCGTTACCACCGTCACCGAGGTCGTAGGTGTCGGTAGCAGAGAAGGCGTTGAACGCGGGTACTCTTGCGGCCATGGTGGCTGCGGATGCGGGTCCCGGTCCGGGCTCGCCGAAAAATTCAGCATAGCCGACCTGGTCGGGAGGAAGGTTGTAAGGGTAGGGAAGTTGTTCGTAGCTCCCCTCGCCAATGTCGAGAGGGGCCTGGGCGTACGAAGGAGACGACTCGGGGGAGGGAGGGAGGATGAACGAGAAGATGCGGGTGGCAATTTGGATCTGGGATCTGGAAACTGTTAGCTGGATCGAGGATTGTCTAGCTCACCCTTGGCTCAAAGGAACAATCGTGCCCTTGACATAGTAGCGGTCATCGACCCAGGCGCCGTTACGTCCAAAGATCTCGAGACAGAATTGGCCGAGGTCGGAGCGGTACTCGATCTTGGCGTGGTTACGGGACACGGACTTGAGTGAGCCCAGGTCAATGTCCACGTGCTCGAGCGACGACTGAGCCCACTTCATGGGCGGAGGGGGAGGAGCTGGAGGGGCCGCAGTAGAAGACTCGTCCTCGATCTTGACGGCAGTCTCAGCCTCGGGAGTAGCTTTGACCGAGACGGCGGCAGACTCGGGGGCGGATGGAGCGACAGATGGAGCGGCGGAAATGTCCATGGACGCCGCCGCAGAGAAGACAGTGCCATCGGCGTCAAAGGTAGCCTCGCCCATGACAGACTCGACAGTAGCCTCAACTTCCACTGACCCTTCAAGGGAGTGTATACCCGAGCTCAGGTGCTCACTCTCTGCAAAGAGGTTGAAGTCGTCGAGACCGGCGAGGGCGTCCAGGTCGGGCTTGACGTCGACATCAAGACCGTCGCCGTACGACATGGCCATCTCAATGTCCTGCTGCTCCTGCTGCTCCTGCTCCTCCATCTTCACGACAGGCTCGGCCGACAGATCTGTTGTTGTTGGTGGTGGTGCTTCGAGATTGGCTGGCGTTCCCAATGCGACGTTGTCAAACGGGGACTGCACGGCACCTTCGTCACCAGCGTCAAACCCTCCCGCTCCCACACCTTCATCCACGCCGCCACCTTGCAGTTGCGACGCAAACTCGTCCGGGACATCAATGGTCTCGCCATGATATAATGAGGAGAGGTGGTGCTCTGCGCCAACACCACCATCGCTGCCGCCATTGACGCCAGATTTTGGGGATGGTTCGTTGAGCGGCGGTGTGCCGCCGAGGATGCTGACGCGGAAGGGGTTGTCGTCGAACGGAAGTGGAGGCGGGAGCGCGGGCACTGGTGGAGGATGTGAAGCATTGCGATCCTGCGCATGTCAGTACGACCATCAATGGTGTAACGAGACGCATATGGGGGGCGTCATGTCGGGGTGCCCGCCGACAGGTGACGCCAGAATGTGACGCGACCTAGTTGGACGGCGCGCGTCACTGAATTCCTGGCCAGGACATGTGTCTGCGCCGCCACCCCTGACAGCGAGCAACAGTTGGGACATGGGGGCCGAGACGGTCCGAGGACAGACGGTAGGTAGCACAAACACTCACGACGCTGCGTCCGATCACAACGCTGAGCGTCCGGACATAATAACTAAAGCCTGTAACGTCGTCTCCGAACTGGAGCTTGTAGTAGGCAGGCTTTGGCTCAGTCTTGGTCGTGTCGACGGGCAGGGCGGCGAGGCTCGGCGCCGGTGGCTGCCATGGGCCCGACATGGGCTGCGGGGGGCCTCCTCGCCGCGCGCTCTATTGCGGGCGAGGGGGCACTAAGAAGGGGGGGAGTGGGAAGGCCGGAGCAATCGTCGGACGGGACAAAGTTGGTTGGGGGGCTGGGCCTGCCTGTGCTGAGGGGCGTGGCAAGCGGAGCCGCGGAGGTGGCGACGGAGTAGGATGCGAGCGGGGGTGGGTAGTGCGCTCGCTAGATGTGGGCCTACTCGAGGCGACGTGTACGGGGATGGGTGGACGGGGATGGGCCGTTGGAACGTGGTGGTTGTGTGAGGGGGGTTGTTGAGAGTTCAAGCTTTCAAGATTGCGAGCTGGTAACAACAGACCCACCAGGAGGCACATCATGGCTGTGGCCCTCTGCCCCGCCGCCCGAGAAGCTCTGTACCGCGGCCAACCTCCCCCACAGCCTGCTCCCGCTAAGGGAAAAAATTGCTAAGAAATTTTGCCTCCGTCACCCACGGCCATTACTATGGCCTTCTAATCCCATTTAGCAACCACCAGTCCACCATCGGGTCCACCCGCCCAGCCGTGTCCCCGCTCTGCACATTACCCTGGCTTCGGCTCGCCGGCTCCGGCCGGGCGGTCTGTTGTTGTTGAAAAGTTAGCGCGAAGGGAACTGTTGAAGAGGCATGAGACATGACGTAGTGCAGAAAAGTGCACGATATGCTATGGTTTTATGGTACAAAAGTCAACGGTCAAGGGTTTGATCTACACACACACACACTGGTACTGTGCTATGTTTTACACTTGGTGAGACGATGCGTCAAAATTCACAGCCGCGATTGCAAAGTCGTCGTCCCAGTCGCCAAAGCTGCTGGTGGACGAGTGGCCCTGGTGGCGGGATTCAGTGAGGCGGGTCGACTTTGTGCTCGTCTCGACTCTGGTCGCCACTGCCATGGCCTCCTCGGTCCAGTCGTCATCCTCGCCATAGTCGCTGGGGTCGGGTGTATCCGTGCTGACAATAACAATCGTCTCGACATCAACCGCACGCCGAGCCGATTGCTTGTCGTCGTCGATCCGACGAAGGAGGTTCTGCTCGTCCATCTCGCGCTCCTCCTCGAGCCTCTTGCGCTTCCGTGCAGCACCACGCTCCAGCTGCCTCAGCACTTTCTTGCCCTCAATTCCCTTTTCTCGGTAGCGCCAGCGGCCAAACTGGGCGCTGGCAGTGCGTAGCTCCATGGCAACGGCGCGTGCCTTGTCCCACGAGTCGCCCCGGCACTGTTCCCCAGTCCACCCTTTGTCCTCCATAATGAGTAACACGGCCGCCTCGGGCACGAGTACCGTAATGATAAAGTCGCTGACCGAGAGTGGGTGGACAGCGGTGGTCTGCAGGGAAGGAAGGTGGCCCCACTTGACGAGGTGCTGGAAATGCTGAATCATGATAGCGCCGCCGACTTCGCCATAACTGAGTGTCAGTTCCTGTCGCCACAGACGCTGCAACTCACTATCCAGGGCTTGACACGGACAGCACCTTGTCAGACGACTGGTATGACACGTCACGCCACGCAGCAATGCCCATGTCCTCGATCTCGCGAGCAGCTCGGCGGAAAAACTTGGACAGGTGAGGCTTGTGGAGGACACGGCGCAGGCGGGAGCGAACAAAGCCAGTCTCAAGACGGCGATCAAGCCTCTCAAAGTCGATCTTGGGTGGGTAACCTGTCTGCAGGCCGAATGGGATAGTAGTCGCCTCCGCGCGGTGGAGTCCACAGAAATCAATCGTCTGGTGCCACTCGGGTCGTCCAGCCACAGTGTCCTCGAGGTGGGAGCGGAGGTCAACAAGGTCGGGCGAGGGGTGCTTTGGCATGGGCTCGGAGCAGTACTGCGAGGTTAGCATCTGCCAGATGACTATACAACTCACAGGACAGAGGTTGCTGGTATCGCAAAAGGCGTTGGCGGGTTTGGTAGGGGTTCGATAAGTCTCGTCTCCTTCAAAGCGGTACCTGCCGTCAGCAACACGCCTCGGACCATGCCACTCACGAAGTGGCCTCCTTGAGTTTTGCCGTGATTCGCTCCTCCTCCTTTGCCTTCCTGCGCTCCGTTCGTGATTCCTGGGACAGTGACGGACCGATGGCGCTGAAGAAGCTGTTGGCGTCGGCGGATACCGCCTTGCCCTTCTTGCGCATCTCCTCGACCTTTTGCTTCGACTCGTAATCCAGCCGGCGATCCTGTTGATCCTTCTCCTCCTTGTCCTCGTCGAGTGCTTTCTGCTTGTCCTCGGGCAACTTCAAGGAAAGAGTTTGGAAGTATTCGTTACCAGAAGGCGCCTTGTCAATCTTGTGCTTCTGGACTGGGTCGCCGCGCTTCCGAGCCGCCTTTTGATCGTGTTCGTTTGTCTCTGCTTTCTGACGGTCGCGTTCGGGTTTTGGCTGGTCAAACTTCTTCGAAATCTTCGTGTCGCGCCACGATCCTGTCGCCTTTGGCGTTACGTCATCGTCCGTTGCGACGCTGATCACCGACCGAGTCCGCGAGATGGTCTTCTTGGCCTTGGTGGGAGTCTTGACGGACGAGTCGTAGGTCAAGTCAACCACTGCCTTCCTTGGCCTGTCGACATTGTCCTGTCGCGACCCGAGGACTGTAGGGCGGGACAGCACCTCATCGTCATCGTCGTCGTCGTCGTCGTGGCCACTGCCCCCATCTAGCGAGTCAATGGGATCTGGCGAGGAGGAGGGAGTCAAACGCCGCCGCCGCTCGGGAGTCGTGGGAGCTTTGCGAAGAGTTTCCTGTACCTTGTCGAATGCAGAGCCCTTCATGCGGCCAGGGTCGCCACGAGTGCCGTCTTTGCGGGGCTCCTGGGATAGTTGCTTCGACTTGGACATCTGGACTGTAGGCCGTGCCGTTCGTGTGGATGAAATAACGTCCAGTGGGTCCTTCGCCTTGGCCTTGCCCTTCCCTGCGGCTGCAGCTGGGTGTTTCCGGAGTGCGCTGATAATGCCCATATCAGGCGACGACGACTCTTCTGGAGGCGGTATTCTCTTGGACGAGCTAGGTCGACTTTTCTTGGGTGTGACGTCTGGTGCGCGAATGTCCTTCCTCTTCCCACTGGCCGTACCAGAGCTCAACAGGGGCGCGTTCTTCTCCGTTTCTCGCTTCTTGCGGGCTTGTTGTGGGAGTGCTGGGAGGGCGCCTTGGCGGTAACCGGGACGTCTTGGAGGCGTCGAGGCCCGCGAGGACGACGAGTGCACGTCGTTGTACTCCATGCGGACCGGTTGTGGATATGGATTGAGAGAAAGATTGTTGTTTTGAAGGTGCAAGTGGAGGTCCAGTCACGTCTCCTCAGCCTCTGCCGGATTCGGGCGCGTCGGGCGTCAACATGAAAGGTGCATCACGTGACACTAAACGGGGGCACTACATAAACACCAATGGTGAAAATTCAGGCCCCCAAGCCTTATCGCGTCGTCATGATCGTCACTGTCCGCACCATGTATCCACTCCACAAGGCCACAAGCTGCTATTGCCCTCCCCGGTGTATGACTCATTTACGATAAGTGATACAACCTACGAAGCCCTCGCCGGAAATAGCTGTGATCGACAGTAGTACGGTGCTCAACGTCTTGCCCGCCTGAGACGACGGGAAGGCCTTGGAGCTCTGTGGATCTCTGGGCTTGGAATGTGCTTTCCCGCATCGCGTGGCTTGGCAAAACGATCTATTGACCACGATCCCGCAATCACAAGGTAAAATGTAATCTGCAGAACCCGAGAATTGTGCCTACACAGCAACATGGAACACGGAAGGCTAGGCTGGTCGCGGCTCGCGGATAGTGTGTAACCAGATTACGATTACAAGGCGAAGAACCGAAAACACATTCCTTGTCACCAAGGCTCCGGCTGTTCCGGTTCAACTTTGGTATAAAGTGGCAGGTCTTACTTCGGTCTTCAAAATGTACTCCAGCGACCGACAAGCCCAACACCATGCTCTCGCACACCAGCTCCAGTGAGGACGTTAGCGACAAGGAGGAAGTCGTCCAGGTGAAGCAGCTCGAGAATGTCGACACCGACCTCGAATCCCAGTCGAGCTCAGGTTCTGGCGACGACGACGACATCGATGCCGGATGGGATCCAAAGGCAGTGGCGCGCACGATGCGCAAGGTCGACTGGCGTTTGATCCCTGTGCTTGCAGCCATGTACACTGTAAGTGGACTCATTATACTCTGACGTCGAAACACTGACCTGGAGGCATCCACCATGGACCGTGCCAACGTGTCCTTGGCTCGAGCGGCCAATAGTGGACAGATGAACATTGACCTCGGCCTCAAGATTGGTAACCGGTACAGCATCGTCACGCTAGCCTTCTTCATCCCCTATATCTGTGAGCCGGTACTGATCTTGTTAATGTGCCTTGCTAAAACATGTCTCTTAGGTCTCGAAATCCCGTCTCAAATTGGACTCCGCGCCTTTGGTGCTCGTATCTGGCTCGGTGGTGCGACCATTGCTTGGGGTGTGGTCATGCTGTCCATGGGCTTTGTGACAAACTGGCAAACGCTTGCAGGACTGCGTGCTCTGCTCGGCGTCTTCGAGGCGACATTGTTCCCAGGCAGCGTCTACCTGATTGCGTGCTGGTACCCGCGGTCCAAGATGGCGTCTCGTGCGTTGCTTGTGCATGGCTGTTCAGTTGTAGCTGAAGCCTTCCAGGGATGACCTACTTCTTCCAGGGTGCCCTCTTTGTCACCTCCGTCAGCCCCATCCTCTCTTGGGGCATTAGCCACCTACACATGAAGAGCGGATACCATGGTTGGCAGTGAGTCCTACATGCTGGCCCAGCAGCGCGCTCAGATTGCCACCGCTCTGGCGGTCTTCTCTGTCCAGCCACGATTGATTCCTATGTAGCTTATCTGGAGCACCGCTGACCGGCCCAGGTGGATCTTCATCATCTACGGTGTCCTCACATGTGCAGTCGGTATCGTGGCCATCCTCCTCATTGTCGACTTCCCCGACAAGGCCACCTTCCTCAACCCCGAACAACGTGAGATTGTCCTGTCACGTATCGAGCGCGACCGCCGCGACTCGGAGCACGACGCTCTGACTCTCCGCAAGTGTATCAAGTACCTTTGTGAGCCTCGTATCTGGCTGTTTGGAATCTTCTTCGGATCATCCGCCGTCTCGGTTTACGCTCTGGCCTATTTCCTGCCTGTCATTCTCGCGTCCATGGGCTTCGACAACAAAATGTCCCAAGTCCTCGTGGCCCCGCCAAACTTTTGGTGCATCATTCCTGCAGTCATCCTGGCCAAGCTTTCCGACCGGTATGGCTGGCGTGGGCAGCTCGTGGCGTTCAACTGCGTCCTGATCGTCGTTGGCACGTGCATGTTCTCCCAGCTGGGTAACAACCACGTTGCGGCCCGCTACGCAGGCGTCTTCCTCGCGACCGGCGGCTGCCAGTCCAACATTCCTCTCATCACCTCGTGGGCCCAGACTACGATCCGTTCCCAGTCCAAGCGTGCGTTCACCTCGGCCTTTGTCGTCGCCTGGGGAAGTATCGGCGGCATCATCGCCAGCGTCTCGTTCCTCGAGAAGGAGGCAAAGCACGGATACCCCACCGGCATCTTCCTCACCATTGGCTTGAACGTGTTTACTTGCGTGTGTGCGCTCCTCCTCGTGGTCTGGTTCAAGTGGCAGAACCGCAAGGCCGATCGGGGCGAGGTTGTGCTTGAGGGCTGCGAGCACTTCCGTTACAAGTAGTCAGACTTGATATGAGGGAGAGAGAAAGATCCAGTGGAATTGCGTGCCGCTTGAAGGGCTAGACCAGCGCCCATCGTAGCGCACACAGTCATTGTAGTTTTGATATTGTCTGGAATATGTATGTGACACTAAGCCCCAGACTCGTTTGTTGAACGTGCGTTCTGCAATGACGTTCGGATGTGTAGGCACGCATTAGCTTTGGCCACAGACCATATGGCGTTGACGTCCCACATCGAGCACATGAAGCTCGCCGAGACCATTCGAAACACCCAAATCGCCAAACTCGACTGCAGAGTCCCCAGGGTTTGAGATGGTTGAGCCCATCGTCCCCTTCAAGTGAAAGCTTTGTTCTAGGGCTACAGCGCAACTAGGTCCCAGATCTTAACTTCAGCTAGCATATGAGATACCAGTGCAGTATGGTTTCCAGTTACGGAGCTCCAGCGGAACTGTCGCCAGAGGGGCAAGGATAATGCGACGTCCAGTTCCGCAAAGTCCATAGCACGGGCCCAGCTTGCTCCAGTGATCCAGTGACGTGCCGCAAGTGTGCCCGGGGTAATGGGACTGGTTTCCCATGCGGTGTGGCGCGCCCACATACTGCCGGTGCGCTCTATTTCAGTCGACCAGGTACCCTCGCCAGCTAGTACTTACTCACTCGACCGGGTTCCTGTCCACTTTGACAACGAATGCGGCACTCATGTGGCGTTCAAAATGCTTCCCAATCTCGAACGTTGTACTGTCAGTGCAGTACCCGAAACAAATGTAATGATGGGTTCGCCGTCATGATGCGATTCAATGTCTATCAAGGGTGCTGCACCAGATAAGATGGTGGACTTCTGGGTAGTGGCTTGTGGAGTGTGCTTCACGTCATGGCTGACCCATATAGGACAGTAACGACCCCATGGCTGTGGGAAGCCTCCCTTCCCGGACACCGTGCTTGTCGTGCATGGCCTCGTGCTTGTAGGGGAACCTCAGAACCTTAGGAACTGGGGTTCCGGAATTCGAAGCGTCATGAACACTATGATGTCACAAGACAGTCGTTGAGCTCGACAGCTCCTGTGAATGTCGCTGAGAAGACACATTGCCCTCGGCACAACCGGCCAGCTAGCCATCTGACATGTGTGCACGTTTGGACACCACAGTACCTTCACGACTTGCGGCGGACCTGCGGTCTAGCATCACACAGGGCTGACATGCATGGCGATAATGGGGGTTGGTTGGCCCATTGTGCAGGCTGGCAGGTACACATGTCGCAATGTGAGTTTGAGCGTTGAACATGGACTGGCACTTTGTACACACGACACTCGGCCCCTGTGACTCCTGTGCTTGCGTCCTCCTGTGATTCATACTCCGCTCCTTTAACGCTGTGGCTTTGCCAGGGGTCATCCGCTGTACCGCTGTCAGTCATCCTGGGAGCTGAGGCTGTATGGAGTACGGGAGTACGCGTCTGAGAAGCGGATCTGACGCTCTGGATCGAAATGATAACTGAATGCGGATGGCGGGCTCTGTGCTGCGCCACGTCCAAGGACTCTGGCCGGACATGGAGCGCGGCGTCGACTTGGTGAATGGTGTTTGCAGACGCCACATATGCCCAGAGAGAATGCAGAGAATGTCGGCTTGCTCGCTTTACCTCGATGGATACGACGACGACGCGATGAAAAGAGACCGTCCGATGGGTTTCGCGGGTTCGTTGATTCTCCCACCGTGTGGCCCTTGTGCCTTACACGCGGCATTGGCGCGTCAACAACCACCGTACACCGAAGATTCCGGGCAACGGGATGCATTCCCCCCTTTGTCTCATTTACTCATGCCTTTGCCATCCGCGTCTCCTCCGCGGAGGATCGAGGCGTGCAACACGAGGCCGGCAGCTGCCCAGGAGCTGCTAGCTGGGCTGGGCCTGGGCAGATGTCTGCTGGCCCGCGCGGGCTGTGTTAGCTGTGTTGTTGTGCCTGGTACGACATGCATAGCATCACAACACAAACAGTCGCACTCCCCTTTTCCGGGGTCTGTCTCGGTCGTGGCCGCTGGTAGACTCTGAGCTCTGTGTGGCCGCGACCCTCTGTTCGCAATAATAGAAGAGTGGGTGTTGCTTGGCGCCTGGAGGTCCCCACATAAACAACTATTTCAGCGACACACACTGGCACTTACTGCAACCTGTTCACCGTCTATAATGCTCACGGCACTCCTCCTCGCGCTCGCCACTGGCGCAGCCGCAGTTCCAACGACTGCTGGCCCCGTCCACATTGAGCTTCGACACCACGTCGACCACAGTCCCGGCCTTGTCAGCCGTGAGGACAGCTCCCTGCGGTGGGTCGGCACGAGAGGTGGTGCGACGAGCGTTGCTGACAAACGTAACATCAGGCTGTCCGCTGCCTCGGACCTGTACTCGATCCCATTCATCATCGGGTACGTCTCTGCCTCTCTCTCTGCCAGCTACAGATGCCCCGTACAAGCCAGCTGACACGCCGACAGCACCCCCCCACAGAACGTTGCTGTCATCGTCAGCACGGGCGTCAGCGACCTGTGGCTGCGGACCGGCGCGTCCTTCCAGTCGTCCAAGTCGTCCTCGTTCGTCTCCCACGGCGCAAACGGCACGACACCAGCGGAAACGGCGACGTTTGTGACTGTTGTCGGCACAGCGACCGGCACCAATTCCACAGACAGGGTGACGGTGGCTGGTGTGACGACTTCCCAGTCATTTGGGCTGGTGGAAGGCCCATTCCCAGGCGTCAAGGACACGTCCATCGCCGGTGTGATGGGGTTCGGGGCCGCACCGCAGCTCGGGACCCCGCTCTGGAGCGACCTGGCTGCGAGCTGGGCGGTGAGGGAGTTTGGGCTGTATCTCAGTGGCCTGGGCAGTGGAATGACTCTTGGGTGAGTGGCAGTGTGTAAACAAACAAACACCCCAGATGTAGACAATGCTGACTCTCCTGCCCAGTGGGACAGATACGTCAAAGTACTCTGGCTCGCTCACATACGTCCCCGTCGTCAACGTCTCGCGCCTCGCATGGGGTTGGAACGGCGCTACCTGGATCGTCCCCCTGCAAGAGTTTAGCATTGCGGGCCGGTCGACCAACCTCATGGACCATATCGCCATGATCGACCCGGGCGTGTCGGTCATCTACGGCGAGCCCGGCGCTGTGGCAGCGTTCTACGACCAGATCAAGGGCTCGCAGCAAGGTGCCAACGGCACATACACGGTCCCGTGCGACGACATCCAGGCAGAGTTCAAGATCGGTGGCGTGTCGTTCCCCATCTCCAGCAGCGACCTCGTCAAGGGCAAGAGCGGACAGTGCACGGGTGCCGTCGTGGCGAGGGACACCAGCGACATGCTGGGCGGCCGGTCGTGGGTGCTGGGCACGCCGTTCATCAAGAGCGTGTACACGAGTTTCAAGTCGAACGACGACGGCTCGGCACAGAGCGTCGGCCTCGCAAGCCTCAACTCGGCCGTCAACGTCGCATCGGTGGCGGGCGCAGCAGCGACCCCGGGGGCCACGGCTGGAACGAACAATGCAAAGGTCAGCGGTGGACTGCACCTCGTTCCCGCGGCGCTGGTGTGGGGGTTGGGATTGCTGCTGGCCATGCTGTAGGCGACCACGACGCACGAAGGGGACACTCGGGGCATAACGTGTATTAATTTCTGTATATTTTGGTTTCTTACTTGCTGGTGCTCGTGTGTTCTTCTGGCCGGAGCTTGGCCGAGGCAGCCAGCAACAAAAGCGCCACAACAATGGCGCAGACTTGCAGAAGCATGGACGTTGCTGATGCTTGCCGCCGGCCTACGTCTTCCTCCTTGCTATCTCCTATCGCGTCCGTCCACTGTGCGGGCCAACGTCACGTTGTGGACGGCTCTGCTCAGTGCTCGCTAGGCTCGACGCAAAGCAAGCGCGCAAGCGCCCAGTTTTGCGAGCTCCAAGCCCCCTCTCACGCCATGCAAGCCGGCAGCCCACCTCGTGGACAGCCAAGACAATGCCAATGCCGAACACACACGCACACGCACACGCACACGCAACCACCCGGCACGGCGTACTCGAATACACCAGAGCCCCCCGGCAATCTGTATTCAAGTGGGCCGCAAAAGCTAAGCTCTTTACTATACATGGTTTGGGATATGCGGGCACCACCAGCATATGCCCTTTTTTGCCCCGGACCGTCCACCTCTGTAATACCCTGTGTCCACCTCACACACCCTTGTCCACCCCTGTGTCCATCCGCCACCCAATCCGCCACCCTACGCATTTCCTGTTACCCCGCGCCCCCGCCTTGCCCCCCCCTCGGCGCCAGTGACTGGCTACTGCGCACACACTGCCGGCGACCTGCGGTTAACCGTCTGTGCCGGCGGACCATTTCCCTCCACCCGCCGCTCCGGTTCGATCGGACTTGTGCCACAAACGCACAGGGACACGAGATACGCCTTGACTCGCCTTGACTCGCCTTCGCTCGCGGCGATTCGCTGGTCGGGGTGTACGCTGCAAATGTGCAGACTGGCAAGCCGGAGCGGAGGAGGGCAGGGGGGAGGAGGGGAAGGAGGGTGTGTGTGGGTCCCGAATTCGAAAAAAAAGAATCGAGGCAAAAAAAAACAAAAAACAAAAAATCAGAACCCATAACGGAGCCACGAAGCCGTACTCTGCAGGTCACAGGATACAGGCAGGCCCAAAACCGTTGGGCCAGGAAGCGCCGCTCCGGCGCCCAACTTGGTCGCGTGCTGTACGTGCTTATGCCGGGTCGGAATTGCCGCACGCCGCACCTCTCCTCTTGTCCACCACCACCACCACCATGGTGTTCCTTTGGAAACCGTTGTTGCCTTGTTGCGGCGAACAAATGTCAACGCACTACCACCGCTGCGGCGAATAAAGCGGGGACAGAGTGTGTAGTGCAGCACTCGGTCGCGCTGTTGACGTAGTCGGGCCGCTACTGCGTCACAAGACAATGTGCACTTGGGTCAGCTGTTTATGTTCTTCCCAAGCCGTACCCATGCCGAGCCGAGCACTCCCGTGTCTCCAAACGATTCTCTCCCTTTTGCTTGAACGGAGCCGTCGCATGTTCCATAAAACGTGCCAACGGGCTTTGCGCGGTATGGTTCCAATGAGACGCGGGTGGATCCAGGCCGCTTGGCCCTCGTAATGCCACGGCGCTGCCACTCGTACGACTGGCTGGCAGGGTTGCTTGGTTTACTCGTGTCGCTGTGCTGCAGTGTCGCTTGTAGTCGTTTCCGTGAAGGGTACATAGGATAAAGCCTGCGGTCCAGTACAACATACCGCGTGACTCTAGCCACCACAAAAAAAGATAAGAGAGAGAGACTATGTAAAACTACTTGTATCTGTTTTCCACTCATTACAATCCTGCTCCTGCGCGCCTCATGCGCCTCCTGCTGCTGCTCCTGCTGTTCCTCCTCCTGCTCCTCCTGCTCCTGTGCCGCCCAGTCCCGTATGTGGTGGGACGAGCGCAACGCTACTGCCATCCCCTTCTTCCTCCTCTGCGACCTCCGGCACGCGGCCCATCGTCTGAGTCGCAGAGCGCGAGCGCGCAATCTCGCGCGAAAAGTCGCGCGGGGACGCCGTGCTCGTCGTCCCGCTGCTGCCGCTGCCGCTGCCGCTTCCGTCACTGCTAAACGACGCCTGGGCCCACTCGCCCATGCTCGTCACGGTGTCGACGGTTCTTGCGCTGGCCACTTGGACAGTCTGCACGGTCGTGTCGTCGAAACACGGTGTCACGGCGAGCTTGAGCGACGTCTCGGAGCCCTGCACGTTGCCCGCGCCGCGGGTCGAGTGCACCAGGGTTGTGTCGAGGTCAATCTCGACACCCGTCTCCCATTTTGTAAGGGCCCTGATTGGGCCAGAATAATTTGCGTCGCCTGGGAACATGTCAGCGAGTGTGGGCTTGTCGAATTTGCTCACCATAAAGTTTCCACATGACAAACGATATCAAGAGGGTGACGAAGATCACAATGTACGACCAGCTCATGTTTGTCGGATTGAACGGGTATTGACTAGGCAAGCACTGCACAACCACGAGGGTGAGGGCAAAGAGGGCCCCGACAGAGGCCACAGGTCGGCTCCAGCGCCTCAACGACCACAACGAGCGTCCTTCGCTCTGCAAGTCCTTCTTGGACAGCAGGTACAGTGCGACGGGGATCAGCTGAAGAGAGTTAGCCGACTGACATGAGTAGCATAACTCACATAACTGAGCATGGACAAGGCGGCGGCGCCACTGGTGATGACCGAGTAGACGACTCCCGTCCCGCCGGCGAGCAGACACCCGAATGGCGTCCACAGGCCTACGACAAACCAGTTGGCAACCCACGGCTGCTTGGCCTTGTTTGTCTTTTTGATGGTGTCTGAGAACGGCAGGGCGCGGTCACGGGCGAGCGCAAAAGTGAAACGGGACGCGGCCTGGAGCTGAGCCTGCATCTGGAACAGCATGACCAGGAGGATGAGACAGCACATGGCGATGGATCCCCGGAGCGAGATGGCCTTTGCGAGAATGTGGCCCACGGGGAAACTCTGGGCAGCGAGGTATTCGGCGTCTTGGGGGTCGACCGAGAGGAGGAGCAGAATGATGGAAATGTACGCCAGGATGTATGTCATGGCGACGGAAAGGACCATGGCGTTGGGGACATTGCGCGAGGGATTTTGGGTCTCCTCGGACATGTGGGCCGAGACGTCGGCGCCGGTTGCAATGGTGCAATATTGCCATCCAAGAATGTAGACGAGGCCCTTCGAGTTCCAGCCGGTTCCATTGATGAAATGCGTCGAGATGGCCTGGGTGTGGGTAAAGTCGCGGTTACGCACACCCGTGGCAAGGAGGGCAACACACAGCGCAAACCACGTGAGGAAGCCAAACGAGCCAGCACCGATCCAGTATCGGGGACTGGAGCCAAACGCGGTACTGCCCACGGTGCCGACGACCGCCACGACCGCAAAGAAGAACAGGACCATCTGCCATGGCTCCGGGTCATAGTCCAAGGCCAGACCCATCATGCCGGTAATGACCTTGACGGCTTGCGTTGTACACAGGATGAGCTGTTAAAACCATTAGCCATCACACGCTCGCTTCCATGGGTGGTCAGGTTTTACTAACGTTTCCAACGTGGCCGCCGAGGACGATCGCGCCTGTCACCCAGCCCCAGTAGCGCTCGCCGCCGACTCCGCCGCGTGCGCATTTCCAGGCCCACGACGCCATGGCACCCGCGACGGGATACGCAGACGCTAGCTCGCCCATGGTGAGCACTAGCGCCATGGATAAGACAGCAGACAGCGGCCATGCAACGAGCATCATCGCCGGGCCGCCGTACTTGTATGCTCCTGGGACGGCGAACACTGTTCCCTGTACGGGGCGTCAGTCACACCAAAAAAGGACACGGCAAAATGGCCAAAACGGCGGCGGCGGCGGGCCTCGGGGACGGTGGGGAGCACACCCGCAGGCGCGCCCCCCCGGCACACTGGTCCTCCGAGCCGGAACCCGCCCGTGGGATCTCTATGCGCCAGATCCTTCTCGTTTCCAGTGGAGAGGACCACGCATCCACGCATCCACCCGTCCGCGTCCACACGTACCTGCAGGCATCCAATGTTCGCAAACGCGATTGCAAAGCTTGACCAGAACGTATAGGACCGGCCCAGCACGGCGTCGTATCCAAGCTGCTGGAGACGTTGGGTGTCGCGGTCGACCTGTGTGGGTGGCGGCTTGCGTCTGAAGCGCGACGTGAACCGCTTGGGATGTTCGTCGGGGATGGTGCTCATGGACGAGCCGATGCAGACCGACTGGATGGGTGACAGGTCGGCGCCGCCGTCGTGCGAGATGACACTTGTCAGCTGTGGCGGTGCTGGAACGGGGCGCGACGAAGGGGGAATGTAGTCGGACGACGCGTTCGAGTAGACGCGGGTTGCCGGGGTAGAGTCCCAGCGGGACGTTGTTGGCGAGAGGGTGGCGGCTGGGGTGAACGCGGTGGGGTTGTATGGCATGGCCTCCTCGACCTGGGAGTCGGACAGCATAAACGACGGTGTGGTGGCCTCGAGCTCGGGTTCCGGGTGGGACATGGTCTCGGCGTACGCATACTCGTCAAAGAAGGTGTTGAACGGTGTCGGTGCAGCTCCGTTGTAGCTCTGCACGGATCCGGCCATGGACACTGATCCCGAGCTCGACATGGACATGGATGACGAGCCGCTCGCCTGGGACGACATGCTTGTCAGTCCCGACGTTGCAGAGGTGGTTCCCGTGTCCTGGGTGCGGCGGAGGAAGGCGGTTCTGCCTGCTGCTGCTGCCGCCGAGGAGGAGCTGGCGGCGGGCTGCGCAGCAGACCCTCCAGCGCCTGCTCCAGAGGAGGTGGGACTAGTTGGCGTCGGCATGGTATGCGGGACAGAGGGGGGGGGAGGGTTGACAGCAAGCTATTCGGGCATGTCGGGGCCGCGGGTGGTGGCAAGCGGCGGCGTGTGTGGGGGAGGGGGGAGAAGGATGTGTCGAGAAGGAAGGTGTGGGATTGGGATGAGATTGGTGTATGTGTGTGTTGGTGTGACGGCGAGATAGGGATATGCAAAGAAAATGAGTAGAGATGGTGTGTGGATGGATGGTGGTGTCTCCCCCGGGGGTGGTGGGTCAGATGACAAAGGGGTGGGCGAAACTGAGAGATACAGGAATCACGACTTGCGCTGGCCTTGGCGGTGGCTGCGCACACACAGGAAGTAGCCGCTGGCCGCTGGGTGGGTGGGGGGCCCTGGAAAAGTCGGTGGCGTGGGTCTGCCGGTGGTGTCGTGGGTGAGGACGTGTGGCCTGGTGTCGAGCTTTTGAGAAGAGAGAAATGGGCGATTGTGATGGCCAAAAGCACGAGCTTTGGGGGGGGGGAGCGTGTGCATTAGGTAGGGACGGGCTCTCCCCCTCTCCTCTACAGAGACACCACGCAAGGGGGGGCACAAATATACCGGCAAACCATTCCATTCCTGGGGGCTGCACCCACAGGCCACAGGCCACAGGGTTTGCGTGCCAGGAGACGCGGGGGCACAGGGGCCGGGCGATAGGCCATGTCTCTCCTCTGCAGACAAGCTTTTCTGGCGCTTGTCTTGCGCTAATATGAAAAAATCGCCCAGATAGCCTCGTCTCCAGATCCTCGCCAGGGGGACAAGGCGCGGTTTAGCAGTCATCCCAAAAAAAGAACCCCCTCCCTCCTTTGTTGCTCTTGTTGCTCTTGTTGCTCTTGTTGGATGTGGTTGGACGGCCTATAATCACCCACACACTCGTCTTACTCGGTAGCACCGAACGCTGGGCGCTTCAAGGTTGCACCATCCGGCTCTTGTATTGTGTCGTGTCGTGCTACAGCGGACTGGGCGGGCGTGCTTAGGGGTTAGGACCGATCTCTGGCCTCTCTGGCCTCTCTGGCCCTCTGGAACGTGCATGGTCCCTCGTGAATGTCTTGGCAAAGGTGCAATGGTGGGAGAGAGGCACACACACACTGGCGATGTACAGCCGTGCTACTAATTCGCTTGCAGCAGCTCTCTACTCGCCGTACGCCGTCCTTGTTCCCCCTTTGCGCATCCATTTTACCCCTGTTCCCCCCTATCGCTCGGGGCCCTTGGCGCCACTCCTGGGGGGCTGATGGGTGTGGCCGCCGGCTTGCTCTCTCTAGATCTCTCTGAGCCTCCACCAGTCCTATCCAACAGACTCGTCCCACTCTCGCAGCTGCTCGTCTTCTCGCCTCTTCGCCATTCCAGAATTCCAGACAAACCATCTCTCACAACTGCGGCGGCGACGCCCGCCCGCAGCACCGACGTTTGTGCTGTCTGGGTTCAGAAGACGCGCAGCGAGACCCTGCGCGAGACATGTCCCACAGCTTATGACACCTGCAGTTCCCATTGTACCTTTTCCTGCACACACCCAATCTGAAAAAGCCAAAAGCCGCGTTCGCGCATCGCCGACAACAATCGCCCAGGACATCGAGACGGCCGCGGTGAGACACCCATCCCAGTCCGCAGTCGTTCGCTCATCGCCGACAGAGGCGTCTGCGAGCACTCAACGTCGGGACGCACGACGCACGACGCGCAAGCTAAGAGATTGATGTGTTCCAGCGAGAAGTAGAGGTGGCGAGGTCGCCAACCTCGGTGCCAAGCAAAGGACAATTGGGCGACAGGTACCCCCCCACGCACGTTTACCTTTGCCTGGCGTCCTTCCTTCTCCTCTGGCCTCTGGCCTCTGATCCTCTGATCCTCTGGCCTCTGGGCCGTTCGCCGTGCCGTGGTACTTACCGCTGGCCGCTTCGCCGCAGTGTTAATATGCATCCATCTCAGCACTGACCGCACTGACCGCACTGACCCGTCGTCGACTGCGGCGCCTCTGCTTCTGCGCCAAGAATCCCAGGAATCGCCACCATATTCTCGCGCGTCCAGCTGCGGCATACCTTCCACAATAGAGTGGTTTCTTCTTCTAGCGCTGGCCGCGGCTCCAAGCTCTGATAAGAGCGACGCGCGCGCGACCACGCTTATCGGCCGCACTTGCATGTCCCGGTTCGCGTTGGTCAATCTGTGCATATGTGCATCTAACACTGTGTGAGGGAGGTGAGCGCTGGCGCCAGAGTCAAGCAGCAGGTCCATTCTGCCGTCTCTGTGGATCAGTGGTGGCCAACCCGGCTTGGGCTTTATTTTATGGCTGGCTCCCATTGACAGCCCTTAGGTCCGAACTGTGATTCCAGTCCTGCTGCGCTGCTAGCTAGCTACTGTAGTCCCATTCCACTGCGCCAATTACACTAAACTCAAAAACACGGCCATGGCACAACGAGCGGGGAATTACGCCGGAGAGATCGAGATATCCAGACAACAGCACCTGCTGCACAGCAGGTGGCAAAAGCTACTTCCAGTGGCGATCCCGGTCCATACATATATCCCTGCTCCCCTGCTCCCCTCCCATTGCCATTCCCATTCTCTCCATTGAGACTGCCCCTCACCCATCGCATAACGTACTAACTGCAGTTCGAGGTCGCCGCACAGCTCGCCGCCGCCACGAAACGTACGCAGGCGAGAGCCGGCCAGCTACTAGGAGCAGGCGAGCTTGTGCGCTTGTGCCGTGCAAAGCCACGTTACAGCCACCCCCTCGTCAATCAGCCTCTTCTCGCCGCCGCCGCCGCCGTCGCCATCCTTCCGGCCTCCAGCCAACGTCTGTGGCTGGCGGCATGGGGGATTATGTCCGACAAGAGCAGTTCGCCTACCGAGCTACCGATGCGCGCTTTTTTTTTTGACGCGTTCAGGCCGCCTCGACGGGTGCACGAGTGCACGAGTGCGCGCAGCACAGCACGGGCACGGGCAAGCGGCTCGATCACTAAATCATAAACACATGCATGAGGATGCTCTATACCCAAACCCCACACGTAGCTGCTCTTTACTCTCTCTGTCTGTCTGTCTGTCTGTGTCTGCCACAAATACGCCCAGCGACCGCCTCTCACGGCCTCACGGCCAGACGGCCACACGCCTACATACGCGCGCAAGCCCAAAATGCCGCGCGTCGATGCCAGTCGCCCAGCCTAGCCCAGCCCAGGCTCCTCCCCAAGGCCCGGCCATGTAAAAGGAAAGCAAAAAGAAAGACGGAGGGGACGGGGTCTACTGCCGTCTACATCCAGCTGCAGGAATCGATAGCGCCGATCACATGGAGAGCCCAGGCGCACTGCGGCGTGTGTCGCGTTGTTCCACGTGGCCACAGTCGCCACCGCCGTGCTGCTCACCACGCCCAAGCCGCCGGTCGCTCGACGCTCGCTGCTCTCCGGCGGTCTCACTGCCGCACCCCCACTGCCCCGTCGTCTCCACGGCTCCAGCCGCCAAACCCTGTAGCGAGCGAGGTTGCGGCGCTGGCGACCGACGAGGTGAGGCCGTTACCGTTACCGCTACCGCCCGTGTCCCGCTCACGTCCTCGGGGCGCGACGGGCGTGGTGGCCGCGGGCGTGCGGTCGGTGTGTTCGGCCATCGGCGTGCCGGCCTGACCTGCCGGTGGGCGGCGCGGGAGCGATGCCGAGCGCGCGAGGTGGACGGGGGGAGCGGGCGACGGGGTCGGGGGCGCAGTGGCCGATGCGGCTGGCGGCTGCTCGTCGGATCCCGTTGCGGCGGGGCCTGACGAGCCTGACGCCGGGGTGGGGGCGGCGGGGTCGACCTGCATCGGCGTGGACTTTTGCTTGAGATCGGCATCGGCAGCAGGCGGCGCTGCTGCGGCCCCGCGCTCGCGCTCGCGCCGCGACTTGGTCTCGGGCTCGATCCCAGACTCGTGTTCCCGGCCTTGCCAGTATGCCAGCAGGCGGTCGCCGTACTTTTGCATTTCCTCGGGTGGGATCATGAGCGTAAAGTTGTTGAGGAGCAGGAACTGCAGTTCAAGCTGGTTCAACTCGTGTGGTGGGAGTCCGCCAACCTTGGCGTAACGCGAATTGGTATAGAAGACGTCTGCGACATGGCGTCAGCACTCTCCCTCTCTCCCTGCCTTCACACTCACCGGAAAAGAACTTGCTTGCCACTGTGACGCCAGCAATGATAAGGCGGTGCACGTTGTAAGAGTCAATGGCGAACCCGCGGGGTCCCACAGCGGCACTTGTACCGCCGACACCTGCCGGGGTGCCTAGCTTGCTCATGCGGTCAAAATAGACGAGAAGGCCGAGGAAGACTTCGTTGGTGGTGGGGCAGTACTTGAGGATGCGCAGCAGGTATGCTTCAATGGAGATGGAGGGAACGTGGCGTGCGTGGAACGATAAGATGGATGACGGATGCGAGAGCGAGACCTTGGACGCCGTGAACAGTCGGTCACCAGCTGCGAGGTCGGGGAACAAGGGCGGGTCGTCATGGAACAATGCAGTGGTCGGGGAAGGGTGCGCCATTGACGACCGAGACTGTGTCGAGCCCGTCGCACTTGCGTCCTCTGCATGCGGTGCCGTGTCCGACACTACCTCCATGTGGTCACCTCCCCCACCACTACCACCACCACCACCGCTTGGTGGGTCGTCGTCATGCTCCGCGCGCAGCTGGTCGTTGGCCGATGCAATCTGCTGCAACAAACTGGCTAGCAAGCGCAGCAGCGTCGGAGTCGGGTACGTCGCCAGGTCGAGGTGCGGTGTTGCCTCGCGCGCTGGTGACGCGTGCCGTGACAGCGTCGTGTCTGGCGAGTGGGGTCTGCGTGGCGTGTTCGAGCCTGGAGTGGCGTCACCTGCTTCGGCGCGCGAACGTGAGCGCCGGCGGCTGGGTCCGGCGGCATCAGCGTCGCCGTTGGTAGCAGCTGTGTGCACGTTTGTGTCTGCACGGCTCGGCCCCGGCACCGCGTCAGAGGTTACCATCGAAGCGGTAGGAACGGGGCAGAGTTGCGGAGGTTGGCAAAGGAGTGGGACGCGGCAATGGCGCTCAGAGGTGCAAAGGCTTTGTATGCGCAAGAGCGTTTGCCGTTCACAAGTAGCAGCTCGCAAGCGGACCGGCGATTGTGTTGTCGGGTGGAGTTGACAGAAGCGGGACGGGGGGCGCACACACAAGGCGTGGTGCAGATCGGTAGCCGGGGTCTGGGCTGGGGTATTCACGCCACGATGGAGATATTAAGGAGTTGAGCGCGAGAGAGAGAAAGAGGTGTTGGAATGTGCGATATAGAGGGAGACTGATGGACGAGTATGCAGTGGGTGGAAGGGATGATGATGACCCCCGCCGTGGGTTCAACAACGTGCGAGGGGCACTGCCGTATGAGATTGAGCGGAATCAAAAGCGCCCTGGCTGGCGCCTGGCCACCGGGTGTGATCATCAGGCGAACGCCTCCTTTTCCTTTGGCGGGCCTTTTCCGCATGCATCCACTTCCTGTCAACCTCTACTCTACTGCACGCCAGACAATCCACAAGTTGCCCTTTGGCATATCCTCTCGCACCTCTTCGCGGAACCCCCACTTCTCCGCCATCTGGCTAATCGACACTGGCGTTCGCAGCCCAAGGCTCGGGTCCATGGCCTTGATATAGCTGTGGTCAAACTGGACAATTATCGTCAGCCACTCAAATCAACGTCATAGCAGCTGTGGTCACTCACCTTTTCGTCCCCTTCCGACCTGTACGACCCGTCGTCGTTCAAGTATGCGCCATATGCGGCCACCCACCCGCCCTTTCTGAGCAGTCTACGGCCCTCGTCAGTCTTGGGCGAGAGGTTGCGAAAGACGTGCTCGGGGACACCTTCCGGCGTGCAGTGGACGAGGTTGACTGCACGCACGTCAGTACTGTGACTGGATGGTTGTCTGGCTGTTACACCCACGCATAATGACGCCGTCTACCGGTGCCTTGACATTGCCCTTGAGTGCGTCCCAGTCCTGTTGAACGGCCACGTCCAGCTGCTGCGGAGCTGCGACATTGGAGGGCAGGTCGTTCGTCTCGATACCCCTAGCGCACCGCGTCAGCCACCTTCTCTCCTCCTGGTCTCTCATTCACTCACGCAATCTCGTCCTTGTCCCTTGCTGTTCCAGAAAACTCTACGTCAGGCCAGCGAACGGCGTAGTGTCGGATGTGCTCGTATGGATAGCTCGCAAGCTCGAGAATGTGCTGCGGAGTGGGTGTGATGTCGATAAGCGGAGTGAGTGCGCCAAGGACAGGCTCAATGTTGCGTGCGGCTGAGCCTGGGAAAGTCAGTGACATCAGTGGGATACAGGCCACTTACCAGGCTGCGAGATGATGCTGGGGTAGGCCATGGTGAAATAGTATGGGGAAACGATGAGACAGGCGTCTCGTTTTATGCGCAAGACAATGTTCTGGCCAAACTCGACCTTGCTTTCAACAACAACAATGCTGACACCAAAGCTGACTCACCCGTAATATCCCCGTCGGTACACACATGGCAACCGGTTACATCCGGTGTTACGTAACCAATTATGCTTGTCCCCCTAATGTCAGTGGCGATGTCTAATCCGTTGCGGGGCCAGCGATCCAGCGATCCAGCGGGCCAGCGAGCCGTCTAAACGAGTTTAAACACTCCCAAGTTGTGCATTATCCCAGCGACCCACAAACAAGGTCTCCCACCGATGTATATTCTGTTCTTTTTTATAATTTTAACCTGTCCCAAACCCTATGCCACAAGCACAACAAGCCCCGCCAACCCAATCGTCACGCCAAGCAAATCAAATGATGTCCGGCGGCAGCCCCAGCTGGCCGTCTTGCCGGTCACAGCCTGCGCGGTCCCCGTTGTGGCAGCCGCGGTGGTTGATCCCACTTTGGGCCCGCCACCGCCACCCCCTCCTACGGTAACAGTGTTCGTGGGGACGGGTGGAACAGGAGCGACACTGGCTAGACTGGCGGCACCGGTCGTCGTGGATGGACCCATAAATTTGGTGGCCCCCGCCGGCGCCGCTGTTGTCATAATGTCTGCCTCTGGAGTCAATTCCGCAAACCCCACAGACAGCGGGTCTAGGCGGAAGGAAGTGTACACGTTCTTGAGGAACGCGTCGCCGAGGATCCAGATGGGTGAGCCGTTGAACACCGTGTTGGTCGTGTTGTCCCCAATAATGTTGCCCACGCAGAAGATGGTGCCGTCATTCGACTGGTAGGCCGTAAACAGGTCGCCGAGGTACAGTGGGTAGGTTATGCCGTTGAAACCAAACGAAATGTGCGGGATATCTGCGCACGGCATGTAATAGAACCCCGGGGTGTCGGGGAGCGGTTGGGAGTTTGGGATGGAAGCGTACAGCGCTGCCACGTCCGTGCTGGGCCCGTAGATCATTGCCGTGCCAGTGTCGATGACTGCCACTTCCTCCAGTACGAACGTCTTCGCTCCCACTGTAACGGACTCGAAGGGGATCGCCCATACGTAAGACGAGTTGGTAGGGATATAGTCGATCTTCCCTTGGAACTTTGTCGTGTCGACGCCACTGGGAAGAGTGTCAGCACCCACACCCAGTAGTGTGTTATCGGCCACTTACCCAAAGGTGATTTCGCTATTGGGCACAACGCTCGCCATCTGATCAGCCTGCGTGGCGCCTGGAACAATAGGTGCTCGTCCTGCGTAGAAGCCCATCTCCTTCTGGGTCCACCCCCGGGACACGTTGACGAGGAAGTTTGTGTCGTTGAAATAACTCGCCGGTCCCAAGCCCATGAGACCCGAGACGCCTGCAGCCGCATTCGCCGACATGTCCACGAGATAGTCGACGACCATGATCTCCTGGTTGGGGAGAGTCCACCCGCCCATTGACACTACGTCTTTGGCCAGTGTGCCATTTGCCGCACCCGTGCCGTACGGCAAGTACAACGGCGTGTCGAGGTTGGTGAATGTCGCCGACTTGGCCGGGTCAAACAACGGAATGCCACTGCACGAGCCGTCTCCCCGGCATCCATCGGCCGCGATCCAGAGTGTTGGCGAGCCCGTGTCAAGCGCGACGGTGAAGGTCTGAGGTGGCGTGCTGCCATAGTGTGAGCCCCCCAGGCGAGATGATGTGATGAACGTACCCGAAACTGACGTTGCACGAGTATAGCCAGTCAAACAGCATGTCATCTACACTGCAAGCAATGTCAGCGTGTCTCCCTTCTTTTGGACGCACCCACGCACGGTATATTGGTATGCCCACTGGTCTGTCGCTTCCAGCTCCGTTCAGACGACCATGCCGCATCCTCGTCTGCTCTAGGTTCATAGCCGTTCAGTGCGCGCTTTCGGGCGACCGTCTGCGCATGCGACACCTTGGACCGCTGGAGAGAGATCGTGACAGCTCCCCCATCGTTGGATCGTGGGCTTGGAACCGCGCTAGCCGTAGCCAAGACTCCCAAAGTTGCTGCCGCCGAGAGTGAGAGCCGCATCGTGCAGGGTGAACCGAATGGAGAGGGGCTGGCTGGGGGACGTCTAGAACCCCGAACGCACTGCGGATCATATGCTTATGTAGCGGGGTGATGCGGGGGGGCGATGATGGGAATAGGGGGCGTCGCTGGCTCCACTATCGCAGCATCGCCTCGAGCCTGGAAGCTGGGCCTCGGTTCACAGGAACTCGGATCACACATTTCATGTCTTGCCCAGCGCCAGTCACTGCCAGATCTCAACCGGCCCGCGCCATATGACATGACATTCCGCGGAATCGTGTGGGTGTGCTGGCGGTGGCCGCGGGTGGGCGGTGCAATTCATTTTGCGGTGTGGGCATGCCAGAGGCACAGATTTGGGCCAGAGATCCAGAAAAGACGATTTGCCGGCCCATCACACACAGGCTTCTTGCATGGCTGTACTGCAAGGTCGAGGATTATTAAGCAGGATCTAGAGCTATGCGAGGAGTACTACGATAACGGCCATGAACACTGGAAAGACAAAAGTGCCCGACGACCACCTATGGTCGCCTGCACTTGCAAGACTTTGGGTTGAGGTGCCCGCTTTCGTCGTTGCCGTCGACGCCTTGACGGTGGCGATTCCCGCGTTAAGAGTGGGGCCGATGGCAGTGGCGGCACGTGCTGTAGTGGCAGCAGCGTAGGTGGGGCCAGCGCCAGAGACTGTGGTCCTGATATCGGCTTCCGCCACGAGCGGCGCAAACCCGACAGAGAGGGGACTGAGGCGGAAAGCAGTGTACACGTTCTTGAGCATGGCGTCTCCCATGAGCCAGCTAACAGTACTGTAGGGTTACGCGTGAGCTGTGACACTCGTTTCTGTGACAGTGCACCCACTCATTGAAAATGTTCTCGGTCGAGCCGTCGCCAATGACGCTGCCGAGGCAATACCGGATCCCGTCGACAAGGTCATACTCGTAAAAGATGTCGGGCCCGTACATGGGATAATCTTGGCCGCCAAACCGGAACGATAGTGTAGTGGGTACGTCGCTGCACTTCATATAGTAGTATCCGTTGTAGCCTGGCAGTGCTGTAGAGGACGGGATGTTGGCGTAGAACGCCGCCACAGCGGCCTTGGGACCATATATTCTTGTTGTCCCAGTGTCGATGGCAGCCATGGCGCCAGAGAACAGCTTCTGGGTGTTGCCCATAGTGTACCCCTCAAAAGGGATGAGCCAGTCGTACGAGACAGCAGTGGGGATGTAGTTGAGCTCGCCTTGGAACTTTGTCGAGTCGACGCCGCTGCGACTGGTTAACACGCACGGGTTGGTCGTGGCGGCTGTAGGGCACTCACCCAAAAGTGATCTGACTGTTCAGCTCACGACTTGCATATTGGTCCTCGTCTGTAGCGTTCGGGAGGTATGCCGTCCGTCCAGCGTAGAACCCAAACTGCTGGTCTAGCCAACTTCGCGCCACTTCCACCAAAAAGTTGGTCTGGTTGCGATAGCTGGTTGGGCTCAGTCCGACGAGGCCAGACACGCCTGCTAGTGCCTTGGCTGGCATATCGAGGAGGTAATTTATCCCGATAAACTGTTGCGACGGTACGCCCCACCCGCCGATGGAAGCGGCATCTTGCATGAGATGGCCGCTGGCATCGCCCTTTCCATAATGCAAGACGATGAGCGATTCCAACGGTTCGAAGGTGGACGACCGGTTGGGGTAGTACTTGGGAACGGAGGGTGCGCATGATGAATCCCCACCACACCCGGCCACCATCACCCACAACGGGCCAGACCCAGTGTCGAGCGAGACAGTAAATTCTTGCGGCGGTGTACTGTTGGTCTGCGTCAGCAAAAGAGAGGAGTTGTCGAGTGAACATACCCAAGGCTCAAGTTGGCCGTGTACATCACATCGTACATGAGGTTTTCGACGCTGTGGTTCATTCGTCAGCACCCCTCTCAGTGCCGCCAACTGCTCTACACACGGAATATTGGTCAGTCCTGTTGTGATCGTCTCCGCCGCTGGCGGGTTGGAGACCACTGTTGGGAACTCTTGACGGGCGTGCATGTCTCCCTGCCCATACAGAGCGCGCCTCTGGTTCCATCCACGCTTTCGGTCCGCGGGGCTACGTTCCACCTGCTGCCGCTGGAGCGCGATGTGGACGGGTCCAGACCTCGACTGCAGTTCGGTGCCACCACCCGGTCCAGACTTGCGATGGTGGGCCGCGTGGCCGGCTCCAGATCCCAGCCGCGGTGGCGGCAGCTCGACGGGGCTGGCAGCAGCCGTTCCGAGACATAGGAGCGTGACGAGCAATGAGTAGTGGCGCATGGTAATGGGCATGACGGGAAAGAACCTGCGACCCACTCACAACGTTGCACAGTTATGTATGATAACAGTTGCATCGCCTTTCCCAACACGGTTTGCCAAGATATCGGCCTGACAGCAAAGTTGCCGGACCCGATTAGCGGCTTGAATGGGCAGGACGATCGGAATGCGGAAGAACGCTGTACAGCAATGTGACCTTTGCGGTGAGACTTTCAAGGAACGTGCTGTCATTTGCGTTTATCCTCCACATCAAGCATCACCTGATTAAGCTCATCCGCCCTTGGCACACCGTGCTTGGCGAATCGGAGCGGGCATTTTTAACCCCCCACAAATGATCCGCAGTAGGCAAGCCTTGCACACTCGAGGACCATGTTCCATCGTCTATGTCTTGTGCTATGGAAATAAGGATCTCGGAGGATGGAAGAAAGGATCTCGGGGGCACTGGAACAAGGCAGAGTACAGAACGGTGCCTCTGGTGTAAAGATACGGGGAACTTGAAGGGCTGTTGGCATATGGATGCCATGGAAGTGTTGTGCCCATGACGACGGTCACCCAGTCTTGGCTGCCTCGGTGGTGGGAAACGTGCGCGTTCTTGTCGCTGCCCCGCTACACCGCCGCCGCTTGCGGCTCTTGCACGTAAAAGTTGGTGGAAATATCGTGGCGTGGTGCCGAGGGGTTACTCGTGAACGGAGCGGCGCTTCGTGAGGACGTTGCGCTTCTTGCCTCCCTCCGAACCGCTACCGCCGCCTCCGCTGTTGGAGCGGGAGAGGAGGGGCTGCTGGTTACTCTGGTCCGAGCTCATGCGACGGACAAAGCCCTTGATGGAGGACAGGCGCTTGCGGCGCTTCTCGGGAGGAGCCTCGGGGCTGTCGCTGGGCAGGCTGTGCTCGCTCGTGGCAAGCGAACGCTCGCTGGCGTACGAGGCCACACGGGCTGCCGAGGGGCCGGGAGAGTCGGTGCTGCTGCGGGGAGTGTCGGCGCCCGCGGGGAACGAGACACCAGAAGGCTTCTTGACCGGCGAGTCGGGGCGCGAGGAAGGAGCAGAGTCGTCAAAGCGCACCGAGGTGCGCTCGGCGCTGACGAGGTTGAGGGGAGGCTCCTGGGCGACAGCAGCCTCGGGCTCACCCGTACCGGCGGCCTCGATCTCCTTGCCCTTGTTCTTGGCAGCCATGTCGGCAGTACTGCCAAACTCGTCGGTGACCGGCTCGTCCTCGTGCTCGTCCACGGTGCTGGGAGGCGAAGCACGGTGGATGACCACAGCCTCGTCGTCGCCAGCAGTCTTCTCGGGAGTCGATGAACCGGGGATGGGAGTAGACGCACCAAACGCGTATCCGGGAGGAGCAGTGAGGGCGTAGGCAGAGGTACCCGAGGCCAGTTCCGCCTCGGTGAAGATCTGCTTCTTCCACATCTTGGCAAACTGGCCGTCCAACTCGATAAGCTGCTGGTAGGAGCCGTGCTCGAGAACGCGACCGTCCTTCATGACAACAAGCTGGGTGCTGTTGACAACAGTGGACAGGCGGTGGGCGATGGACAGCGAGGTGCGGCCATATGACAGCTGAGCCAGGGACTTTTGGATTTCCTTTTCAGTTTCCGTGTCCAGAGCGCTGGTAGCCTCGTCCAAAACCAGGACCGAGGGGTTCTTCAAGAACATGCGCGCAAGTGACACACGCTGCTTCTCGCCTCCAGAGAGACGGACACCACGCTCGCCGACAATGGTCGCGTACTGCTCAGGGAACGTCATGATGCGGTCGTGGAGCTTGGCCGCCTTGGCAGCAGCGATGATCTCCTCGTCGGTAGCACCTTCCTTGCCGTACGAAATGTTGGCTCCGATGGTGTCGTTCCAGAGGACGCTGTCCTGGGGCACAATGCCGATAGCGTGACGGAGACTCGACTGGGTGACCTTGGAAATGTCTTGACCATCAATGTAGATAGTGCCCGAGTCAATGTCGTAGAAGCGGTAGAGGAGACGGAGGATGGTCGACTTGCCCGAGCCCGACTCGCCGACGAGGGCCATGCTCTCGCCCTTGCCAATGCGGAATGAGACACCCTTGAGCGCCTGGACGTTCTCGTTGTACGAAAAGGTGACATTGTCAAACTCGATGACGCCATCGGTGACAATGAGGTCCTTGGCATCAGGAGTGTCCTTGATCTCGGTAGGCTGGGCGAGGAGGTTGAAGAGTTTCTCGGCGTCGGTGGAGTTGACGTTGAGCTGCCTGTAGAGGGTGCCGAAGCGATCAAGGGGGCCGTACAGCTGCTGGATGTACATGAGGAAGGTGACAAAGCTAGCTGCGTCGGGCTGGCCGTCCTTGTCCCATGGGCCGTTGAGGATCTGGAGCGACACGATGAGGCAGCCAGCAAGCAGGCCGACAGTCATGATGAAGCTCTGGCCAAGGTTGAGGAGGTTGAAGCTGACGGTGACCTTGGCCTCGGTGGTCTGGTACGCGAGGATCGAGTCCTTGAAACGCCTCGACTCGCGAGACTCGGCGGTAAAGTACTTGACACTCTCCCAGTTGGTGAGGACATCGCTGGCAATACCGCGGGTCTTGATGTCACGCTCGACCATCTCACGACGGAGCTTGGTGCGATAGCCGGTAAAGACGATGGAGAAGGTGACGTAGGCGGCCATGACGCACATCATAAAGCCGGAGAGGAAGGCGCCGTAAAAGCCAAAGAAGATGGCCGAGTAGAGCAGAATGTCGAGAACAGTGGGGGCGGCAGTGAAGAGGAGGGTCTGGAACAGGTTGTTGATGGCCGATCCACGGTCAATGATACGCAGGACCTCACCAGTGTTGCGCTTGGTGTGGAACGCGAGCGACAGGTCGAGGAGGTGGTTGAACGTGAGGAGCTGCATCTCACGGTCGGCATACTGCTGAACGGGGACCCAAATGACGTTCTGGAGGAAGGCCAGCACACCACCGCTCTGCATCGAGCGGAGGAGGATGTAAAGGAGGAGAGGCGGCCAAGGCGACGGGCCGCTGCCACCGTGCTCGTTGGAGGTGAGGTTGCGGACGATCGCACCGATAGTCATAGGCACGAGGGCGTTGACGCCACGACCCACAAAGATGAGGCCCACGCAGAGGACACAGCAGAGCTGCAGCTTCCAGCTGGTCGATGGCCAGAGGTGAGGCCAGAGCTTCCTCAGACGAGCCCAGAAGGCCTTCCACGAAATGCCCTGGTACTCTTCCTTCTTCTCACCCAGCTTCTTGGGGATGGTAATCTTTTTGGCCGGGTTGGGTGTGGCTGTTCCGGCAGTGGCGTCGGCAGGTGGCTGGGGAGTGTCGGTGCTGGCGCGAGTCGCAATGGAAGGGTCACGGGTAGAGCCTCCGTTAAAAGTTCCGTACTGCGGCGTGGGTGCGACGACAAGGTGAGCAGCAGCGCTTCCAGTCTCGACATCAGCTTCGTCGGCGTTCGCATCAGTCTCGGCAAGGAGACCAGTACGCTCATCGGGAGCCTGGAAGCGGACGATGGGGTTGAGGACGAGGACGACGAGAACGGGGAGGATGATAAGGCGGAGGCACGAGGGCACAATGTTAAGGATAGCAAAGACACGCTGGTACTTGTCTGCAAAAGGTATGCTGCGTGAGCCCAGACACTTGCACGGATGATCTGATGTGAACTTACCCGCGGCATGGACTTCACGGACCACCGAGAGGACGAGGTTGGGGACCTCGAGACCAAACGCCAGGACGGCGAGGAGGACGAGGTTCTTGTCACCCCAACGCGTCCGCCATTCCGATAGGATGGCAGCACCTGAATAGATGCACAGTCCGCCGAAAGAGTGAACCGCGCTGGCAGCCACAAACCACGCCGAGAGACCGTGCGAGGAGGACGAGTAAAAGTCGAGGAAGTGAAGGTCGTCATCGGGCGACGAGCGCAACTTGGCCGTGAGGATTTCAATGATCAGGATAACAGCCTCAATGGCGCAAGTCGCAGCGAGGAGGACGAGGGTGAGGAGGATGAAGCCTCGGCGAGGGGTGACCGTCTTGACAGTGACGGCGCGGACACCAGGCAGGGCAGGCGGCGATGGCGCTGGCGATGGCAGGAGTGCCAGCACCGGCAGCGCGAGCACGCTCGGCGTGATGATGTGAATCAGCTCGAGAGCTGTCGGCATGGTGGCCAGGACGTTGTGTGGTGGATGGGGTTACAGAGGGGAATGGGTCTGTCCTCTATGCGTGTGGACAGCCCGTGTCGAGGTGGGTGATGGCGAGAAAGAGAACGCAGCGAAATAGACTTCTTGAACCCATCGAGGGCGGCGGCGGCGGCGTGCGCGGCGTTGCACGCTGTGGGTCGGTCACTGCAACACTTTGTCACCGACGTCACGACTGCGGGGCCAGCCGACTTGCCTGAAACAAGCATTACAAAAGGTGTTAGGGTAAAAATGAAAGGTCTAATTAACATATTTGTAATACTCGTCCTTTGTGCTTGACAATACCTTGCTAAACCTTCGGCCAGCCCTTTCCTTTGCCCTTTGTTGCGTCCCTCAAGATGATCAGTGCACCAGAGGCCCTCGCACTAACAGCTGTGACACCGCCCCCACCACTCCGCTGAGAAAGACCGTCTGGCCCCCCCGATCTGATACATTAACACCACACCGTTCGATCAAAACATCGGTTGGTGGAGGTGAACGAGGCCCTTCACGAGCAACTGCCACAGGACCGTCAGGACCGTTGCCACCTCACTCACGTTGAGACACCTTTTGCCGCCTCAATGGCTGGCATGACTGACCCTCGGTTCTAATCCTGGCGACCCCGGCGTTACACCTTGTCGACCCTGAGGTGGCCATGTGGACGTGTATTGCTTGCGGATATGTCTCCGCCACAGAGTCCTGCGGCGACGACTGTAGTGTCTCGTTGAACAGTGCGAGGGATTGGGCGAGAGGGCAGCTAATGCTATTGCAGCAGTATGCTGGCAAGCTCCCGGACCGGACCCGTGGGGAAACCACTCTTGGGGACCAATCTTGCGTGCCAGGCCGTGGAATGCTGAATGTGTTGTTGTGGTAAGCCAGGGGAAGGGCAAATGGCTGATCCTGGAAAACGTCAATAAGAATAGGCCATACGTGCAGCATTCACACGTGAGAAGGTAACCATACACCAACTACAGCTCTGGTGTTCTAGGCAACGGCGCAAGGTAGCAACTTCACCGTCATTCTGACGGGGAAAACCAGAGTGGCAGAGGAAATCAATGTCGCAGAGGACACCCTACCGCCACCAACATCGTACGGCGATCCAGGAGGCTGCTACCGCCACCACACCTGTCCCAGGCGTCCAGCAACAAAAGTGTCATCTCTCTTACAGAGATGACTGTTCGTTCTTGGAGCCAGAGTGGATTGAACACCCGACCTAGCGATGTCCAAGCGTGAACCGGATTTGATCCACGCAAGGTCTGATGACTGAACTTCAGTCGCTCGCTCTCCCAGCTGAGCTATGTCTCCGAGTACGAAAGTGGGCTACCAAGTAGGTATATGACCTGTGGGCCTCCGTAACATACCTTACTTCAGATGCGGGTAGTGACGCACACCCACAGTGCGTGTTCCACGCTATTCTGGTGGCAGGATGAGGGTGCCGCCAAGATGATCCCCAAACTGCCACTTCCTTGTGTTTTCGTCGTCGCTTCTCACCTCCTTCACCATTCCTGGCAGTGTCCGCCCTCCTGAAGCAATCACAATGAGACTGAATAATACATAAGCTTCTTGCGCATCTTCTGGTGCATATCGCATGCATCACATCTTTCTGAGTCGCGCGGAAAACGAAGAAAACGAAGGGGCTCGAGACCGGGCCATTTTCTCCTCGTCCTCTATCATCTCTTCTTGATCGTATAACGGTTAGTATGCTCGCTTGTCATTGTGAACGCGGGAGATCGGAGTTCGATTCTCCGTCAGGAAGCTTGCCATGTGCATCGCTACAGCGAGGCGCGAGTTGTCATTTCAGGATGACAGCTGTCCCTTTTGCTGGGCGTTAGAGGGAGTGCCACATGCTCGTGAGACGTCCCTGGAGGAGGGAGCACGCACAACACCCGCCTCGACACATCTCTACACCAGTACATGTTCACTGAAGGTCCCTGCGACCCCTCCTCTGACATCTCACAACCTCATGTGTGTCACACCTGCATCTGCCACATGACGATCGGCACACCTAAACTCATTCATCTCGTTTTCACTTTTACAACCAACTCTCATCAAAGTCGAGAGAACCTGCAAACAGACTCGTAACACAAACCCCCTACCCAGCTTTTCACCACGGCTGCGCGAGACCAAGACCATCGCCGACCCAGCCGGGCGAGTGGTCGAGCTCGAGGACATACTCGTCGTTGATGTGGACGGCATCTCCGTCACTTCCCCAGGCGGACTGGACGTCGTCGTCGGCCTCGCTGGGCGGGGACGACCAGCTGAGGTCGGAGCCCGAGCGCGAGCGCGCAAGGCTGAGAGCCACGGCCGAAATCAGGGACGCGTGCGACATGGACGGAGACGTGGTCCAGCTGGCCATGTCGTCGTTCTCGTACGAGTGCGGGGTGGCCATTCCCGAGGAAAAGGTCGATGCGTTGGAAGCGGGCGAGGCAGGAGAGCTTGGGACGCTGGGAGAGAGGGTAGGCGAGGGAGGCCAGTCGGGCCAGCCGCCGTTTTCCATCTCGAGCTCCACCTCGGTGAGCGAGCCGGCAGCCGTCATCATGCTCATGTCGACGGTGGGCATCACGAGCTCGACAGTCGGCGAAGGGGCGGGCATGTTGTCCCACTGCTCCTCGTTGATCTCGTCGATGGACGACAGGACGGGGTGCTTGGATTCCGTGAGGGCCCACCACTCATAGCCATCAGCGTCGGCGGCGAGGGTGCCACCGAGGAGCGTAAGGACATCCGAGGGCGAGCGGCCGTTAAAGTAGATGCGAAGAATGTCGGGCTCGCCAAAGGGATCAGTGGCAACTTCAAGCGTCGTAGCGGGCTCGAGGTGGACAGCGAGCACGCCAAGGCTCTCAAGGCGGGCGAGGAGCGGAATGACCCGGGCGCCCGCTGCAGCGTAGGCGTCCTGAAGAGGCAAAAGACCAGCAGTGAGACCAGCGAGGATCGCGACTCCTATCTCTGCGTCGGCATACGTTATCGTTGGCGTCGGAGCCAGAAGCGAGCTGAGGCTAGGAGCGAGCGGGAGCGCAAGAGTCGAGGTAGAGCCGGGGGTAACAAGCTGCTCGGGGATGACGGGAAGAGCAACGTCCTCCTCGTCAACAGTGGTCGTGAGCGGGAAGTAGTTGCCGAGCTCGCGGAGGATCGAGCGCTCAGAGGTAGCAGACGAGATCGAGTTGACGCGGCAGCGACGGGCGCGGCGGATACCACCGTGCTTCTTCTGCTGGCGCTGGCGCTTGGGCCTGGCGTAGGGCTTGTACTGGGACGCGCGCGGGAGCTTGTCCTCGTCGTCAAAGATGGAAGCGAACGCGCGGAGGACAATAGGGACGTTGTGGACGCCAGCGTTGAAGGTGCCAGCGGCAGGGGCGGTAGCAAAGGTACGCGCGCTGCCGAGACCGACAGTGGCCGGGACAGCAGCACCGTGAGGTGTACGTGCGGAAGGGCGGTATCCAGCGCGCGCAAAGGTGCGCACCGTGTTGCCATAGTTGGCACCGCGGGCAGTGGCGGGGGGAGCCCCCGAGACGAAGCTGCGTGTAGCACCGGGAGCGTGTCCCAGTGCATGTGCCGGAGTAGTCAAGGAAGGGTATGTCGCATGCATGGCGCCGCGAACTGCAGCGCGCAGACGAGCAACAGACCCAGGCTTGGCCGACATGCGCATCGTCGCCACCGCCCCGCGGACAAACGTGCCCAACGAGGTGGAAGTGTGGCGGAGCACCATGATGGTTAGTGGCCCGTGGCGGGCAGGTAGTGTTGCGGTTGTAACTGGGGTGTGTGGGAAAAGAGGTGGTGAGTGGTGTGGTGACAACAAGCAAACGACAACAGCAGCCGTTTGCGTGGACTGCTCAAGTATGGCCAAATGGATTTTGGGTGGCAAACCGTGCCGGTCGAGACGCGCGTTCAAGCGCACACAACACACGCCGGCGCGGCTGGCCGGCAACCGGCAAAAGCGTGGGCGTCGGACCGTTTCGGCATGACGTCACAGCAATTACCGCCACGGCCGCCAGGCACCGACGATAAAGATGATGTTGCCGCGGACAGAGTGGTGCGTGCTGCATGCTGCAATACATTTCTTCTCGCGCTGTTCAACTGCTGTGCCGACTGCTCTATGCGGTACAGTGGACAACCCTCTAACCCATCCTGTCGGGCATCTGTCTCCTGACCTTTCTCCTCACGTACGCCTCGGCAACTCCAAAGACGACCGCGTCAATGATGCCGACGGAGAGCACCATCCACGATGACAGGAGCGAGAGGAACGGAGACGATCCCTTGCGCACCATGTCCACAACCAACCGCACAAGCGACACTGAGAACACGAGCATATACTGTAGATGGTCAGTGAGCGTCCGCTGTGGTGGCTGTTGTTGGACTCACCGCAAGGGGGAACCACAACATGAGCAAGCTTGCCTGCCTGTTAAAGTATGCTGTAGCAGACATTTGTCGTGTGGGGACAGGGGTATCTGTGGTCACTTGGTTCTCGAGGAAAAACTCCTTCAGAGATGGCCCAGTTTCTTCTCCTCCAGCCTCGACGTCGGCGCCGTGCCCACTGATACTGAAGTCGCCATTGAAGGCTGTGGAATTCCCAATCGAGTGTGTTGGGCAGTGTATTGAGGTGACAGCCGAAACGGGTCGTGGCAACTCGGAAATGACACTGATGGGCACAGACCCTTTGCGGTCGTAACTCTTCGTGGGCGAGTACTTGTCCGACATGTAGTTGTGGCCGACCATGGTCGTAGGTGTAGTGGGTTCTGTGGTTGGGACACTGCGAATGGGCGAGTGGACCACCGCGCTTCCTTCACTGGTACTCTGCGCAGCGTACTGGGCAATATTGCAGAACGAGAGATCTTCCCAAGGGGCCTGGGGATTGTGTTCTGGCATCTCTGGGGAGCGGACGCATGACAAGGCTGCGGGAGCGCGTGCGAGCTTGGCAAAGCTGATCCTCGACTGGCCGTGAGCACTGCTCCCACCCAACTGTGACGAGAGCTGGATGGTGTCTGGCCGTCGCAAAAAGGAGAATAGGCTCGAGTAGAGGATGACAATGACGATAAACACAGCTGCGCGGGGCACAAATTGGACCAGGTCACGGTCTAGCCCCGGGTGGCTGCTGGTTGACCCGTAGTAGCACAGACTTCCAGTGTTGGCGAACCCGATGGTGGCGTACCATATCCCCGAGTGAAGAATCGACACACCCCATACGATAGGCCACGAGAGCCAAGACCAGCGTTCCATGGCTGTGGTCATTGGGTGAAGAGGGTGTTTCTGTGAGAAAGGATATTAGCGGCGGAGCGTGCTTGGGTAAATGACGAACACTGTACATACCCACAACTCACCAAAAGCATAAAGGTAGCGACCGCCACCGCCAGCGTCCACAAGTTTTGACTGAACAGAGTAGTAGTATAGACCCAGGCCTGGGCATCGCACCCTCGCGTGCCCGTCTGAATGGGGACACCAGCCACAAACATTGCCTCGGCAGGCAGCGCGACGAGACCAATGACAATATCGCTAGTCACGATGCCGATGAGGAGTTGGACACGCAATTTGCCTCGTCCGCGGCCGAGGAGGAAGTAGAGGAGGTAAATGGCAGCTAGCAGAGTGACTCCTGCGATGGCTGCGCCGCCAGCAGCAGTGACCAGGAGCCACGACATAGGGGGCTAGGGGGTGAAGGAAGGTGATGGTGAGGACGGATTTAGGCAGGTGAAGTCGGGCCGCCGGATGCGCAGAGCGCGCCGTACATGCCACCTCTAGCAGAGCCAAGAACACCAGAGTGCTTGTGCGAGGGACGTGTCCAGACGATGTGTAACGAGTTGAACGTGGTGAGGATAATGGCGAGTAACCACAGTGGACATCATCCAGAGGAGTCGTACATGACAAAACGGTAGGTCTTCATACTCAGAACAGGATGCAACCGCGTCCCGCAATGCGCTCCAGCACACCTTGTCCAACGAGTGACATCCACCCAAACAATGCGGATCGACTTCCCGACCCCTGGATGAGACGAACGCCACAGTCAAGAGTAACGCAATCGCTGTCGGGACGGAGTACGATTGCTGCGTTGCTGGGTCGTCGTCTTCAGGGCCTGGAGGACCGTGTTCAGAAGCCGGGGTGACTGCCTGCTGCCGACTCGGCCTACCCGCTTTATTAACTTTGTTCCATACGTTCCTCGTCTCTGGTAGTCTGCTGCTGATGTCAGAGTGGTTCAGAGCGCTCTTCTTCACCCACCCGCCAATTCAGTCGCAATCCCGGCCCACGACTGAGAAACCCCCGTCCCGAAATGCATTCGATACCCTCAGCACTGAAACCAACAATTGAGAACCGGGACGGCATGGCGATTTACATACGCACGAAGACAGTAATCTTCACATGCTAGTGTATACATTATGGGACTTAGCCTCGGCTCCAATGCCAGCCGATTTGAGCAGACGGAATGGGATATGGCGAAGCCGCAAAACCGGTTTAGCCGGGCCCGCTGTCGCACCTTGTCGTGCGTTGGACATGGAGCTCTGTCGGCGGGGTCGAGGACCGGTGTCTGTCAGAGAGGATTCTATCTGCCCGATGAACACTCTAAGCTAGCTCTAATCTACACATGTATTCATGTATTAATGGGCGCGGACAGGCCACGCTCATGGCGTCGGCGTCGGATAGGCGTCGCCCCCCTTGAGCAGCGACGCGAGCCAGGCCGCCTCCTTCTCCATCTCCTCTGGGGAGCGAGGCTTGCGTTCTTCGTCCTTTGGCACGTCCCAAACGCGCGGCACGGCTGTTGTCTCGGCCTCTGGCGAGGCCGCGCGCAAGTCTGTGGCCAATTCGGCTTCGTGCTTCTCCAGTGCCGGGTAGACATTGTCCGTCTCGCCGCCAAAGTCGCTGGCGAGGCGCGGGATGATGTGGACATGGACATGGGGCACCGATTGACCTGCGGCTACGCCGTCCTACAAACGAAACCGTCAGCCACGGCCAAAATGGAAGGGTCGCATGTAGCACAGCCGAACCCACCTGCAGAGCAATGTTCAATGCTTCGGCCGAGTACGCCTTTTCGATCACGCGCCCCACACGCTGGACGCACTGGAAGAGGTCGGACACCTCACGCGGCTCCAGGTCTGCCAGCCGCGGAACGTTGCGCTTGGAGATAATCAGGACATCTATATAAAATCGTCAGCCCCAAGGCTCCTCCTTGGTTCGGTCCACTACCGCCCATCTACTCACGGCCGGGTCGCAGAGGCTTTAGGTTGACAATGCCGAGCGACGACGCCGACTCGAAGAAGACTTGAGTGTGAGTTCAGTATGTTTCGACTTTGATGGCCAGACTCACCCTGCCGGGTCACGTCAAAGACGCTGAAGACGTGCCGCGCTGCCATTGTCTGTTTTGTTTTGTGCTTGCTTGCTCGCTGTCTGAATGTTGATGGTGAAGCTTGGCTGGAGGGAAGGGGACTCAAATGACACCATTGTTGTGAGAAATAGCTTCCGTTCCGACCATCCGCCACGTGGTGCGGAGTTTGCCTGCCTTTCCGTTTTTTTTTGCCACCGTGTCCGACCACCATATGGCTGTTTGCCACCCGCCAGGCACGGGCACTGTACCATCGGAAGCGTCAGGACGGTCGGGCTGCGCGCTCTTGTTGATGGCGTCCACACGAACGGGCTCTCACACTCTCTCGACGTTACCCATTGCCCCGCCACCCCTACCCATATTCCCCTCCGGGCTGCCTACCTTCTCCTCCTTCTTCCGGTCTTTGGTCTTGCTTCAAGGCGAAGGCCGCGTGCCCACTCCTCCCAGAGCGACGTCGTCGACGGTACAATCACCTCACCACCATGAGAACCTTCTCGGACTCGTCGCCTGAGCTTGTCTCTGCTAGGACATCCTTGGACTCGTCCGACTTGAGCGACTTCTCCCTCATATCCCGCCTCGATGCATTGTCTCTGGGCGGTACTGCGGGTCTTGCCGCCCCTCATTCTCACTCTCGCTCGCAGCGCCGTCGCACAGCAGACAGCGCGGCCGATAGCGTCTCCCCATACGACTCGACCGATAGCGGCAGCAGCTATGAGATTATTGTTATCCCGGGGCCCGAGTCACGCGGTTTCGCCTCCAGTTCGACTTCGGTTGTTGCCGTCGCGAGCTCGACTTCAGCGCGGTCCCGGACTCTTTCCAGCGACTCGGAATCTGGTAGCTGCCTGACGCCTTCAGAGTTCAGCAGCAGCCTGCGGAGCGGCGGCACTGAGCGCCCTTCGACACTCTCACATCCATCTGGGGCTCGCCTCTCGTCTGTGCCGCATCACCGCTCGGCTGAAACCCCTCACACACGCTCCGTCTTGAGTGCGTCAGAGGCACAGCTCTCAATCGACAGGTGCGTCACTGCACACCCCCTGACCATGCACTGACGGGAAGCTTTCTGGCCGAGCCACAGGAATTCATGAGCGAGGCAGCCAACAAGCTGCGGCTGTGGCAGGCTCTCTGCATTGAAGTAAGCTTGCATCGTCTTCGGTTCAAGCTAACCATCAGCTGGGTCTCGTCGAACTTGAAGGCGCGCCACTGCCCGACCTGCCGCTCGGTGTGTCCACCTCGTCTCAAGATACCTCTCGGTCTGCAACGCCAACCCAGGATACCGCCCTGCCATCGTTACCCCAGAGCCTGACCCAGGCTCGGCGGTTGCTCAAGGAACGCGCACACGTCAACATCGTAGAATATCTCAAAGCCCGTGCAGACCCGGACCGACACGCAAAGCACGACGGCGAGGCGGCGGGCAAGTATGCCGACTTGGTCCACCCGTCTGCGTCGGCCATGATGAGGGAGGCCAGGCGCCAGCACAAGTTCTTGCCGGTTGGTAAGGCTAAAACGGAGTGGCTAGAGCCCCTCCTCAAGGACTTTGGCAACCGCCGCGCGCGAGCTGCGGCGTGACCGCTAGCAACAGCGCAAGGTGCACAAGGGTGGCGCGTGGATCCGATCTGTTGTAGTTTGTTGATATGTGACGATGTACTGCTCTGCGAGGATCCGTTTTGGCAGAGCCCTTTGAGTCGCGATGGAGGCGAGCCCACAATAGGAGCACACCAGTGCGCCAGTGCGCCAGTGCCATTGTCCAGACAAGTACACTGTCATAACATGACACAGGATCCGGCGAGACACAATGAGGCACCACCTCCGCTCTCGGTGAATTTTGGTTCCGCTGATGCTGGCCGCGATCGATCAGCCACTTGCCTGCCTCGTTTTCCGTGACGACACTCTTCCAACCCCCACATTCATCTCACACCCAGGTGCCCACCACCACCTCTTCCACCACCCTGTCTCGCCCACAGCAGCCGCTCCTAGAGCGTCTCTCAAAGCCGTCCAACACCATGGACGCCGGCAACGCTTCCTCAAGCAACGCCGCGGGGCCAAGTGGTGCTGCTTCTTCCGCTTCCGGAGGAGCTCCATCGTCCTCGAGTGTCACCGGCACCGGCTTCCGTATCGCCGGCTTTGGACAAAGAGACTCGACTGGATCCGGTGGTGGTGGAGGCGGCGGCGGCAGCGGCTTGCGCATCGCCGGTGCAGCTGCTCGTGCCGCTGCTGCGTCGGCGGCAAGCACCTCTGGCACATCTCCAACAAAGCGAATGATGTCTCCGAACAGGCTCACCAAGCTGCCCAAGCCCCCGACACACGCGCTGCCTCCTCCGCCACCGGGTGCGACTCTTCAGGCGCAGTTCTTCTCCCCACCGCACGGCGACCGGGACGAGTCGACGACGACGAGTAACAGCACAAAAGCCGGCTCGGGGCGCCCTCCCGTGAGGGACCCTCCACAGCGAGAAGCAAGAGACGGCGGAGGAAGCTACGGCCACGGCCACAGTCACGGCCACGCTCAGCCTCACGGTCGGTCGCCCCGCCGCAGTGACAGGCGTGACAACGGACCCGACCGCGAGCGACCTTACCGATCCATGCCAGCGCCCATGTACGATGAGCCCGGGCGATACGTCCCCGGTGGACCGCCCGACGATGGCCCTTCGTCCCGCCGCGAGCGCGACGACCGGTACCGTGGCGACCCGCGTGAACGTGACCGCCGCGACTATGACTATCGAGACGACCGCGACTCGTATCATGGGCGCTGGAGTCCGCCGCGCGGTGTGTCACCTCGCCGCGGAGGTCAAGGTGGCGGAGGAGCAGACTTTTACCACCCAGGCCCCGGCGGTGGTGGCCGCGGATACGACAACCGCGATGGAGGTCGAGATGGAAGGGATGTCCGCGATGGACGACTGCGCGATTCGCGAGACGACAGAGCTGGTCCGAGATACCACAGTCGCGATCGTGATCGCCGGCGGCCCGATGATGACCTGCGCGATGGGTCACAGCACCGTCCTGGAGGGTATGGCGGGGACAACAGGCGTGGTCCACGCCGCTCGCGCTCGCCAGTGCGCCCGAACGCTTCAGCGCTGTCTGCGACACCCTCAGAGCCCAAGATCAAAGAGGTCGCCGACGAGGCTGAAGAGGGCGAGATAGACGATGTGGAGCCATCTGCACCCCCTCCCCCGCCAGAAGGTCCGCCACCTCCAGCAACTCCCCCTCCCCCACCTCCACCAGACAGCGCACCACCTCCGCTTGACAACGCACCCCCTCCCCCACCGCCTTCAGGCTCAGAGCCACCCCCACCGCCGCCAGACTCGCCACAGAAGCAGCAAATCGTCGCGCCAAAGCCCAAGGCGGCGTACGTTCCCCGCCGTGGCAGTACAGGCGCGCACGCACCCAACCGCAACCTCCTCGAGCCTGTGACTCGCTCGTCCACCCCGGCCGGACAGCATTCGCAGAACCACGGTGGGCCCAAGCTGTTCCGCTTCCCGACCGCCGTCGAAGAAAAGGAGAGCCTCGGACGCCAGTTTATTGGCACCACTACCTTGGCTGCTTACGATATCGGCTCCAAGCTTGGCGAGGGTACTTTTGGTGTTGTCACCAAAGCGGTCGAGCTGGCTACGAAAAAGCCCGTGGCGCTCAAAAAACTCATCACGCACAACCCACGCGACGGTGTGAGCGTCACGACTGTCCGTGAGATTAAGATTCTCAAGCAGTTGCGACACCCGAATGTGGTCGAGCTGCTCGACATGGTTGTTGAAAGGAGTAAGTTGATAGCTGTATGACGGCTCAACTGACAATTCCAGAAATCCCCGGTGACCGTAATCACCGCGGCGAAGTGTTCATGGTCTTCCCCTATGCGGACCACGACCTGTGCGGCCTGCTTATGAACAAGGATTTCAAGATGAGTCACTCGGTTGCCAAGTTGCTCTTCCGCCAGATCCTCGATGGCCTGGCATACATGCACGGCAACAACATTATCCACCGCGACCTCAAGACGGCCAACATTCTCGTCACGCAAAAGGGTGGTGTGATGATTGCCGACTTTGGTCTTGCGCGCACACTCGGTGTGCTGCCCATGCCCAAGCACTCGCCACACGAGTATACCAACATGGTCGTCACCCGTTGGTACCGTGCGCCGGAGCTGCTCCTTGGAACGCAAGAGTACGGCACAGCCATTGACATTTGGTCCATGGGCTGTATCCTGGGAGAAATGTACCTCCGCGAGCCCATCTTTGCCGGCACGTCGGACCGCGACCAGCTTGTCAAGATCTTTTCGCGCGCCGGTGCGCCAAACCAGCAGTCGTGGCCTGGTTGGGACAAGCTGCCAGGCTTCCCCGACGCCAAGGGTCACCCATGGGACAAGACGCACCACGACACGTCGCTGCTCTTACTCGCGCGCAAGTGGCAGATGGACCGTTCGGGCGCCGACCTCATGATTGAGCTCCTGCGCATCGACCCGTCCAGGCGACCCACGGCCGAGAAGGCCCTCGACCACATCTGGTTCTGGACGGACCCGTTGCCTGCCAAGATTGGATCCATGCCCGTCGTCGAATCGAGTCACGAAATGACCACGCGCGAGCGCGAGCCCGCACCAGCCCCGCCAGCGTACCACCACCAGCGCCCGCCGCAGCACAGCCAGCCTCCAAACTGGACCAACCGTGGACCGCCCGGTGGTGGCCCCGTGCGCCCGCCATACGGCGGCGGCGGACCTGGCCAACGACCACCGACGGGTCTCCCCGGCATGCCCCACCCGGGCCAGCAGCAGCACATGCAGCGCCCGCCATTCGGCAACCAGCAGCAGCAACAGCAGTTTGGCGGCCGCCCACCCAACAACGGACCGTACGCGCCCAACACGTCTATGGGCCGGCCGGGCGGTCCCCCACCCTTCCGCCTCGCTCCAGGCGGACCAGGAGGCCCCGGTGGACCTCCAGGTGGTGGACCAGGCGGTCGCGGTCCGCCCGCGCCATTCAAGTTGGCTGGCGGGATGCGTGCTGCGGGACCGAGCTTCCACGGTGGTGGTGGTGGAGGTGGGCCTCCGCCGATGGGTATGGGCGGACCACCGAACATGGGGATGGGCATGGGCATGGGAGGACCTCCAGGCATGGGCATGGGTATGGGCGGGCCACCTGGGATGGGCGGGCCTCCGATGAAGCGCGGCGGCGGCGGCGGAGGCGACGAGTATCGCCACGACAAGCGGCCACGGTACGAGGGCCGCGATGCGTCGTTACCGTACTGAGATGAGTGTGTGTGAGAGAGTGAGAGCAGGCAGGGAGTCATCTACATAAGTCACAATGTCATGGATTGTTGTCCAAGGATCGACGTGGGTCTGTACCACGACGCATGGTAGTGACTGTCGCGATCGTGGCGCCTGGAGACGAGCGCTATGGCAACATGGCGACCAGGCACTCTCGGCACACTGTATGGACTGGCTGACGACCCGCACGGCCGATGCTCGCAATGTAGGATGCACGAGCTCATGTCGAGTTGAGATCTACCAGTCCAAGCCATGAACCAAACTCGGGTTCACTACTGGATCGCTGGATCGCCGTGTACCTTCGCGCGGCGTTTTATGGCTGCCACGGCCCTCGGATCGGCCGCAAGCCCCACAGCCAAGCCAAGGCTTTTGTCGTCTTGAATGTGACGCGCCTTGCGCCACGGCGCACCCAGCACGGCCAGCACGCGCTGGACGTTTGGGCTGGGCTGGCGTCGTTTTTCACCTTATGTGGCCAAACCCATGCGTCTTTGCATCTCGGTTTGTCAACTCGGAGATCGCAGATAACAGGCAATGTCTGCCCCTGCTCGAGAGATCTGGACTGTTTGTATGGCATGGGGAGAGAATCGTTTGGTGGAATCCAGACGACGACTCGGCCCAGGTCAGGGCTGGGGTGGATGGGGTGTTGATTTGGCTGTGGTGTGTTTTGAGGGCCACGAAACGCGGCTGGGCGTTGTTGTTATGGTTCCTGAGTGATACCGCCCCATCAAACGCTGGCTGGCAGGGACCCCCGTTTACGATTTCCCTCTCCCTGCATTTCCAGGTGGCCAGGTGTGCAGGTGGCCAGCTGGTGCTGACGGCCGCAGCTGCCTGTGCTGCCTGTGCGCCTGTGCCCAGACGCGCGGCTGGCCGCTGCTGGCATGCATGGCATATGGGGGGAGGTGGTGGTGGCCGTGGTTGTGTCTGAGTGGTGGCATCTTGATTAGGCCGGTCCCTAGCCCCAATCCGCTTCCCCCCCCATAACCCCTGTTTCCACTTGCCAACACTCTCTTTCCTTGTCTGTTTTCACTCCTTCTCACAACAACCCTCTCACACCACACCCACGCTCCTTTTATTTCTCCCAGCCAGCCATGGGTGAGTCTTCTGCTGTGCACCATCCGTCCCACCCTTGGCCCGCAGCACACCACAGCACGCGCGCCTGTCATTAGAGCATTAGCCCTGCACACCAAAATCCCCGCAGCGTGCACGCCCGCAGCCTGGCGCGTGAAAAGTTCAGGGCAGCCAGACAGCCGAGTGCGCTTGCACTTGCACACACCACTACACGCTGGTACGCTGGCGAGATGACCATCGCGGCGCACGGGCATCAGAGCTGAGAGGACGATCGGAGTCGAGTGTGTGCTGCGATGAGGATACCCAAGAGAGAAAAGAGAGACGCGCGCCCGCGACTTGCGACTGCGCGTAGGCCTGTTTGGCATGTTCTGGCCGTTCTGGATTCGGGTGCCCGGGTGGTTCCAACCTAGAGGCTCCAGGAGCAGAATTTGGATCCTGGTATAGCAGTCAACATCATCGCAGGGGGCAAGCTGTTAGCTGGCTTTGCTTTGCTCTCCACTCTCCACTCTCCACTCTCCACTCTCCACACACAGACACACTCTTTCCGCTTGCACCCCGTCCTCATCGCTTCTCACTCGCTCCCCAACGACTCCTTCTTGCGGCCAGCCCGCTCACTCCGTCACTCCCATCCTTCCTTCCTTCCTCCTTCCCTTCGCCTCTTCACTTCGACATCGTTTTCGCTGACATGTCGTCTCCCAACGCTCCCGCCTCTGCCGCCTCTTCCGTCGCAGCCTCTGTTTCTGATACCGCTGCCGTTGGAACCTCGGCGACCGCCGGCACCTCCGCCCCGGCGGTGACCAGCGCGTCCCCGTCAACGACTGCGGAGCCCTCGTCATCGACCTCCGTCGAGGACACGTCGTCGGCTGTGCCCACGACCTCAGCTGAGCCTACCACTTCTGCCGAGCCCACTACCTCGGCCACTTCTGAACTGCCTACCACGTCGTCGACCTCGTCAACGACCACCAGCGAGCTCCCCTCGTCAACAGAGGCCGCTAGCTCTACTTCGGACCGTACCACATCGGCGGCTCCCACGTCCGCGACCGAGCAGACCACCTCTGCAAAGGTCGTCACGTCAGCCAGCGTTGTGGAGACCACGGACGGCACATCGGTTCGTCAGTCCACCATTTATTCTATTGTGACCGAGACATCAACTGGCAAGACCAGCGCCACCTCGGCTGCCTCGTCCAGCAGTGTGGGCCAAAAGTCCAACACTGGCGCTATTGTCGGTGGTGTTATTGGTGGTGTTATCGGCGCTGCCGTCCTCGCTGCTGTCCTCTGGTTCCTCTGCGTCAAGCGCAGGAAGCGCCCCGATGCGTTTGACGACAAGATGTTTGACCCTCACCACTCGATTCGCCACTCTCAGGCCGACCCGCTCGACCACCTCACGCCCACCACTCCCAACATGGGCATGCTCGTTGACGAGAGCAAGATCGATGCCTTCCCTTATGAGGAGCCCATGAACCAGCACGACCTGCAAATGCACCAGATGCAGCAGGCGCACGCCATGGAGATGGACCCGCACGCCATGGAGATGGGCGAGCACGCCTACGACCCGTACGCGCACGCCCCCACGCAGCAGATGCAGATGCAGATGCCCGACGCTCGCAACTACATGGGCTCGTACAACTCGTTTGCCGACTCGCCTTACGCGCCTGCCGCCGCCTTCGCTGGCGTCGGTGCGGCTGGCGCCACCGCTGCGTACAACGAGGCCGAGTACGCTCCTCAGACCGATTACACCAGCGACCCGTACGCCGCCGCTCCCCCCGGCGGCATGTCGGCTGCCGCTGCGGCCAAGCACCGTGAGGGCCAGATGGAGCGCGACCGCGCCCTGTCTCCCGAGTCCACCTACGACGTTGGCAGCTCGCGCACAAGGAGTGCCCAGTCCCACTACGACGACGCTCTGAGCCACCAGGACCACGGTGCTTCCCCCACCGGTGGCCAGCTGAGCCAGATCAACGAGATCCCCCCCGTGTGAGTGTTTGGGCCAAACCTGTCTACGCAAGCCGCCGGCTAAGCGGCGTCTGCGTTCCTGTTTTCCCTCGCCGCCGCGTGCTGACCCTGTTTAGCTACCACGCGATCTCCCACCAGTAGAGTCCGTGAACCGAGGACACATCCTCGCGAGGGGAGGTAGAAAGAAGGAGTCGAGGCCGGCCGGAGCAGCAGTGGCGCAGTGGGAGGTGATCGGAAACCAACGGATATCGCCACAAGCACCCGCAATATACAATACCACCGACGCGCTGCGCGCGAGAGACAATACACATCCACACCCATCATCCCACGTCGACATTTTAAACACACACACCCCATGACGTTATTAATGTGTACTGCCCGCAGCCCGCGAGCCGCCTCCGCGTGTGCCAGAATAGCCAGCTGCGGCTGTGCGAGCGTCCACCGCCTGCGGAGCGCGCTCCCGGGTCATCCAAAACTGCAACGCACGAGGCTTATTTACAACGTCCTTTATAGGCCATGAATACAGTAGACTAGAAAGCAAGGCCACGGTTGCGTCCAAGGTGCGCCGCGGGCGAGAGGGAGAGTGGCGTTCATTCATGTGAGCGGCGCTCCTATCAAAGGGCGCGCGTGTCCCTACAGCGTCTGTGTTCGTGAGCAATATCAGGGCCATACATTTGGCAAGCTTGTCAGACCTGCCCAGGAGCTGGAGAGGGACGAGAGCAGATCGCCATGTCGTGTCCAACGAGCCGAGGGTGTCTAGGAGCCAAGAGTGCCAAAAGTGCTGGCCAGGAGAGCACGACCCCGGTGCTCCTGCGGGACCCACGAATGCGGGCGAAAGCATAAGAGTACCGCCGGGGTAGCCCCGCTACACTACAGGCCGTAGAGAGAAGGAATGCGGGTGCTTCACAAGACGCATTGGCTGAACGCAACAATGTCGAACACGCGCATATGTGACTCTTTCGAGTGTAAGACATTATCGCGTTCTATTCATGTGCCCATGTATTACCTGCTCTGGCAGTGCGACGACGGCCCCGACCACATGGATAGCAAAGAAACCGCGTGTGCGCCCGAAACCCAAATTGGACGCGTTTTGGTCCACTCTCGACGCGTCAAACCGCGGTGTGGCATCCGAGGGTGCCATGGGCGTCATGGTTTGGTGCTGCCTCAAGCCAAAATAATCCAACCCACGCGGTAAGACGCGTGTAGAATCTTGGGACCTGGGACATGCTGTGTGTCTCTGTGCGACAAACGACACGGTGGCTCTACTGCGTGCACTGCTTGCTGCCTGACATCATCCCATATCTCCACACCGTCCAGCCAAACCCCTTAAACAAGGGGGACCAGATACAAACATCCGCCAATGGCAGCGGCCCCCCCTTCCCAGTCGAGTCCGGCCAGCGGCCCCGGATAATCTCCACCAACCTCCACCCACTCTGTCGACTCCATGTCGACTCGGTCCGGACTTTGAACGACACAGTCGATCCTCTATTTGGACTTTTGTCGCCAACTCTTCTCAACCCTTTCCTCCATTCCTCACACTTCCATCCTCCCACAAGCAGTCACCATGCCCATCCTCGGCCTCAAGTCTAACGGCCCTGCCACCCCCGCCCACTTTGCGCTGGAGCCCCTTGTCCGCCCCAACATCCTCACGCTCGTGCCGTACCGTGCCGCGCGCGATGACTACTCGGACGGTGTGCTGCTCGACGCCAACGAGAATGCGTACGGCCCTTCGCTCCCTTCGCACACCGCTACGGATGCCACACCTGGCGCGTCGGCGCTCGCACTCATGAATGAAAAGGAGATTGCGTCGCTCAACCGCTACCCTTCGCCGACGCACGACGACCTCAAGCGCCGTATCGCATCCATGCGCGGCCTCCCTTCCGAGGACTGGGTCTTCCTCGGTGTCGGCTCTGACGAGGTCATTGACATGCTTTATCGCGTCCTCTGTGTGCCTGCCAAGGACAAGGTGTTGACCACCCCGCCCACCTACGGCATGTACGCCGTGTCCGCCCAGATCAACGACGTTGGTGTGGTCAAGGTCCCTCTTATCACCGAGGGCGGTGCGTTCCAGCTTGACGAGAAGGCGGTGAGTAAAAACAGGTGTCTTGGGCGTCTCAGGACCTGCACGTCGTTGGCGACCTTTGGTGCCCCCATTGCGATCTTCCGTGCTGACACTGTCAGATGGACGAGGCGTTCAAGGCCAACCCCGACCTGAAGATGCTCTTCATCTGCTCGCCCGGTAACCCTACCGGCACTCTCATCCCGCTTGACGTGATCAAGCGCGTCGCCGAGAACACGCTGTTCAAGGGCGTCATCGTCGTCGACGAGGCATATATCGACTTTGCCCCCGAGGGCACCAGTGCCGTGGAGCTCGTTCAGCAGTACGCCAACATTTGCGTGTCGCAGACCATGTCCAAGTCGTTTGGCCTCGCCGCCATTCGCTTGGGCTACCTGCTGGCCTCGCCCGAGCTCGTTCAGATCCTCACAAACGCAAAGGCGCCGTACAACGTGTCGCTGCCAACTGCGTCGCTCGGCCTTGCCGCCGTGTCCGACGAGGGCCGGGCCGTCATGGCTCGCAACACCATCACGCTTAACGCCAACCGCACCAAGCTCATTGCCGACCTGCAGCAGCTGCCCTCCATCGGCCGCGTTCTCGGCGGCAACGACGCCAACTTCATCCTTGCCGAGGTCCTCGACGCCCCCGGCGGCAAGCCCAGCAACCCCCGCGCCGTCTCGGTGTACAAGCAGATGGCCGAGACCAAGGGTGTGGTCGTGCGCTTCCGCGGAGGCGAGATTGGCTGTGAGGGCTGCCTGCGTATCACCATCGGTACCGAGACTGAGTGCGCGACCGCCATCGCAAGGTTGGCCGAGCTGCTGGCGTAGATTCCGTTTTAGAATAATGCAGCTCCTAATGTTCGACCAGTGGGATGTGGGGGGGACGATCGTGGAGAACCATCGTCTCTATTGTCTGTCTTGCTGAAACGCCGTTGGCCGTTGACCTGACCCGCTGACACTCATGCCTCTCAACATCCTGGTTCAGTTCCGTTGGCAGCTGACCAAGTGGTCGGACGGCCTGGCGCCGGAGCGGGCGCAACACGCTCGCGGCAGCCTGGCGGCAGATGTTACAGGCCGATCCTCGAGGCATCGGCGGAAGGGGCCAGATAAACCCCCCTCCCCCATGCGGTATCTGCGCCCTGTGAGAAACCAACAATGGCATGCTGTCGGTGGTGTACGAGTTCTCCAAGATCCCTCTCTATGTGTTTCTCCGTGATCCTGGGCCTGGGACCCTTGAGAAACCAACAACGCTACACCAAAGATGGTGTAGAAGACGTCTAGGATCTAGGATGCTCTCTATGTTTTTCTTTCAAGTATGCAGCCTGGGACCTGGGCCCCCCGAGAAACAAACAACGGCATGCCAAAGATGGTGTAGACGCCGTCTGGGATGCTCTCTATGTGTTTCTTGAAGTATGCGGCCTGGGCATGGGCCCATCGAGAAACCAACAACGGCATGCCAAATATGGTGTAGACGCCGTCTAGGATGTTCTCTATGTGTTTCTCCTTGGCCGTCCTTACAGTATCCAGTCCTGGGCCTGGCCCCCCTCGAGAAACCAACAAGGCCATGCTGCCGATGGTGTAGGAGTTCTCCAGGATCCCTCTCTATGTGTTTCCCCTTGCTCGTCCTTACAGTGTCAAGATGCTGGTCCTGGCCCCCCTCGAGAAACCAACAACGCCATACCAACGAAGGTGTAGAAGCGCTGCAGGGTGCCCTCTATGTGTTTCTCGAGTATGAGGCCCTGTAACGCCCCGCCCAACGATCCAACGAGATACACGTAACGCGTATAAATCCATCTTTGTCTGGGGGGCGCAACTTGTCGTAGTGTGTTTCCCGATAGCGGCACTCGCTGTAACCACTCTTACCCGTGATGCATGAAAGGGTGCCGCTTCATCCCGCCTGGTTAATAGCCAGTGGATTGCTTACGATTGCTTGTGCGCACTACGGCAGCTCACACCGGACGCTAGGAAGCCGCTGATGAACTACAAAACAGACTTTCCACGACAAAGGACGCAAGCAGCAGGCTGTTGTTGAACTTTGTCAAATCACCAAGCAATTGTGGGATGCTGCATTTCGTATGAGATGAACGAGGCAAGGCTAAAGCACACTGCATGCCACTCATTCTCCCGCACGAGAATGTCGCCCAGCAGGCGGCTGAGGCGATTCTACGCCTCGACAGCGAGCACTTCGAGCAACACTGCCCCCAAGATACACGTAGCGCTTGGGTGGAGGAGGGACTGGCACGCCAGCATAGCCTCGTGACATATTACCCGTTCTTACCCCACCATCGTCCGTCCAAGCGCACAGGTTCTTCCCCACTGACGCACCGGCCTCCCACCCTCCTCCGACACCTATCTGACACTCTTGGGGGCGCAAAACAGCAAGCCTATGGGGCCAAAAGACGTTGATCCTTGCCTGAGAGGAGATTCGAACTCCCGACCCTCTGTTTTGTGACTCCCCAGGAGGGACATACAAGACAGAAATTCTAACCAAAACTAAACTACCCAGGCCAGGCGTTCGTTTCCCTAGTTGAGGTCCTAAAAGCACATACACGCGCGCACAGATCGCCATCCCCAGGTGTGGATACGGTGGGGACATGTTTAAAGTGCTATAAACAATACACAGTGCTCCTCTTCCGTCTTCAATCCACCGTGTCTCTCATCATCATGGCGTACGAGGCGCATGGCGAAACTCCCGAAAATTGTTCAGAAATTGGGCCGAATATTCAACCTTCCTTGAGCGCCTTTCATTCCGGGTTTGCAGCACGCAGCACATATCAATTGCATCAACATATCAAGGCAACACTAGAAAATTGTTCGTTGTTCTTTGCATAGCGGTCGCTCAAAGCTGCAGAAACACCCCAAAGAGCGAAGACTCGGTGTGGCCACGGCCTGGGTTGATGGGCAACACCCCCTAAAAATCCAGCTCAGGCGGTCGCAGCAACAGGGCCAGCCTGCTGCTCATGTTCGCCGACACCCAACCAGTCAGGGAGGTTGTTGAGGTCGGCAAAGGTGGTGGCACCGGCCTCCACGGCATACTGTGCCCATTCCATTATGCTGTCGATGTTCGCATCGGTGACTGGGACCGAGTGTTTGGTGAGGAGTTTGATAAGCTGTAGCGAAATCTGGTGCATCCTGACCACCGCGTCCTCGTGTAGCGGGGCACTGGGTGAGGCCGTGGATGCCGCGAGAAGGGCCAACATACGCTCCTCAGTCATGGCTTGTGGAGACGGGGTGGCAGAGCGGGAGGAGCCGTGGACAGAGGGGTGTGGGCTGATTGGCCGAAAGACCGGGTCCTGGTCGACTGAAGGGTGGAGTGAGCCGGCTGGGGAGTGTCTCTGCTTCACAGACGCAGCAGGCGTCGGTCGAGTCACGCTGCGCGCCGATCCCGCGGAGCGAGTCGAGTTGGCACGGCTATGAGGACGCGAGTTGCCAGGCTGCAGCAGCTGCTCGGCGGGGTGCAGGGTTGTCGGCGCGTCCTTTTTGTGGAAACTCGATAAACTGCCACGACCCGAGGGGAGGTGGGAGGAAGCAGAGCGCGAGTGACGGGAAGACCGGTGTGACCTGTTGTCCGTAGCGTTGTCGCTGGCGACCGTGCCATGCCTTTTGTGTGGCGTAGGAAGCTGAAGGACGACGTTTGGACCACCGGTACTCGCCGCCTCGGATGAGATGGGTCTGGGACGAGGGGATCGGGCAGTGTGGGGGTCAACATGGACGTTGCTGTCTGCTTTGTTGTCCGGTGGCGTGCCGGCGATAGAAGACTTGCGGGAGTGTCTCTGGCTAGAGGTGGCGGTGGCAACCCTGGAGGAAGGGCGGAGGCCATTAGGCGTGGAAGGGAGCGGCTTGTCAGACGCAGATGGAGCGGTGGAAACTCGAGCGGACCAGCTCGAGGCACCCGGGGCAACCTTGGCTTTGACAGGGACGGCCTTGTAGGCGGACAACTTTGAGGTAGCACTGCCGCGATGCGAGTAGTGGCTACCACCGTTGGAGGAACGTGATACTTCTTGGAACCGCGAGGGGTCAACGACGGGGGCGAGGGTGTGACGTTGTTGCTCTTCCTCCCACTGACGACGATCATGGCTCATTTGGACATAAGGCTGGTACCGGTGGTTTGTCTCTAGCGCTGTGGGACTTCCGAGGAGCTCCTTGTCGCGCCGGCGGTCATCCATCGAGCCCATGACGTCGGTGACGATGTATTCGTCCGAAGGACCACGGATGCACCGCTCAGCCTTGCCGAGGGTCATGGGGCGCTCGGGCGGCCATTCTTCCGAGTTGGGACCATATCCAGAGCCCGAGGTGGTGAGTAACTGGGTGTTATCACTGTCAAAGTTGAGGTAATCACGATTGGCGCTGGGCGGATGGTAGTCGGGAGGTCCCGGGGGCTGCAGCCATGTAGTACCTGGTATTGACGGGGAATAGGGGACATAGCTGTGGGGCAGTGTGATAGGACCTGCCTGGAGCTTGGGACGGCGCTGTTCAGCTGCCAAGTGGCGACGCTCAGCAGAGATCTTCTCAACCAGGAGCTTTCTCAGGCTGATGCCGCGGAGCTTGCGATGGGTGTCGGCAGCGAGGATGTACGCGGCCAGCTCGGCGAACACGGTGTCGGCAGAGTTACCAGACTTGCCAAACCAGTCGGGTACAGCAAGTTCCTCGAGGAACTCTTCAAAGAGTAGACGTGCACGATCGGCGGCAATATCAGGCTCCGGCAGCGGGTTGGGAGACCGCTTCATCTCGGGAAAGGGAAAGGGAAAGGGGACCTTGATGGGAACGGCTTGGCTGGACGTGCTGCGAGGCACTTGACTCTTTGTTGCATTTGTGGCTGTTGGTGGTGGCGCGCGACGAGAAGGCGGATGAGACGGCTGGTAGGGAGCCTTGGAAGGTGGAATCTTGGGTCCCTCTCGCCCAGACGGCTTGCGCTTGTTTAAGAACGGAGCAGCGAGGCCGATGGTCTTGTTGTAGAAGCGGAATTGCCCTTTCCTCTCGTCAAGGAGCGTTCGAATGTGCCTCACCACCAGCCAAGTGGGATAGTCTTCACACAGGCGACGGTCATTCTCCCATTTGCGAGTAACGAGATCCTTCTCGCCAAGAAGGCCGCGGGTGTGAATATCGGTGATTTGGCGCACATGCTGTGCCGCCGTAGAACCGGGGCCTTCCATCTGGAGAAAGGCCGACTCGTACATGTTGCCAATCAGGGCCACAAGTTCGGCGAAGCGGTTGTACTGCTCAATCTTGTTCTCGGAAGTAAGGATGTCTTCGTTGAGAGTTGTGTAGCCATTCTGAAAGGCCGCATAGTCGGTGATGACGCCCATAGAGGCTGTAAAGTCGTTGAGACCATTGGCGCTGCCATACGCCTGGAAGAACTCTGTCATGTCCTTTGCGAAAAGCTTGAGAGGATGGTAGTCGGGCAGCTCACTTGCCGGCAGCGGGTCGAGGGACCGTGGCCCATGGGCTGTGGTGGCGGTCATGGTCGACGATGTGTGGAGAATAATGCGGTGGGAATGATGGATGAAGAGTGAAGTGGCGATGTGGCAAATTGAACCTGTACGGTGCTTTGTGGTGATGTGGGATGCGTGTGTATGTGGTTGTGTGTCTTCTTTTGAGAACGCGAGGAGATCTCGTCTACCGCGTTTGGGGGTGGGTGGGCCGTGCGGCACGCTGTCATCGTTTGTTGTCACCAGAGGCCTGAGGCTGAAGGAGGCGTTGAGCGCTGGTGCCTTGAACTACTCGCATCAAAGACAATCCGGCTTTAGCCAGAACAACATTGTCCCCAGGTGTCGCCGACCTCGTACCCCAGGCTCGTAGGGGCTGCAGCTTCATCCACATCAGAAGATAGGGTTGCACACACGTCCCAGCCTCGTGTTTCCTTTGGTTTCATTAAGCATCGCAGAGACGCTGTAGTGGCATTTGCATGTTGGGGTATGAGATCTGGCCTTCGTTCGGGTCTGTCGGGGAATGCCACCATCCTCGTCCGAAAATCACACATCCCCTTACACTGTGTATGCAGAACATGTGCAGTGCTTCTTTACCACTAGCTGGCCGCTGGCCGCTGGCCGATGGGCGTTCCCCTCAACCTTAGTGCACGTATGGGCAAATGGCCGGCACCACGTCCATGTCCTGTGGCGGTGCAAGTCAGACATACACACACGCCATGGGACGCCAACGTGTTGCCAGTAGGACAATGCCACCAATGCTTCTTTCCCCGGCGTCAATACACATTTTCACACCGACGTTGGCGACAGAGATGGCCTCGTGCCCTCAAAGTTGTCAGCAAATCCAGCTTCCCCGCTTCGCAATGCAGTCAGTCAGTGGGTCAGCTCCCAGACCTTAGTAGCAAGAGCCCAACGGAGTCGCATTTCAAGATTCTTGTGTCGTTATCGTTATCTAATTGTTTATGCTCGTACGCTCACACCCGTGCCGCCACCTCACTTCTTGATGGCCTTCTTGGGATTCTTCTCATACTTGTCGCACCACTTGGCCCAGCCGCCGGCCGCCTTGACCATTGTGGTGCTCAGGTCCTTTTCGACCTGGCTACGCTCCCACTTTTCGTCTTCCCAGTTCTGGTTCTCCCACTTGCCCGACGACTCCCACCCGATCGCCTCGAGCACAGTGTGCGCCGAGGGGACGCGGGGGTGGGAACGGAAGCGGTCGTGGTCTTCGGCCACGCACTTGTCGTGCAGGAACTCGGTGAGGACGGCAGCACGCTCCGAGGGCTGGACGACGAGCTTGAGCGAGTCCTCGCCCGACGACGCGAGACGCTTGGTGACGGACCGCGCAGTCTTGGCGCCCTTGTACGAGGCTGCGGCCCACACGGCGTCGACCTCGAGGGCACCGCCAAACACCCATCCGACAAACATGAGTGCCCAGTCGAGCGCGGCGGTGACGGGCAGCAGACCCGTGGCAATCACGGCGTCGCGCTGGGCCTTGGACTTGGTGCGCAGGATCGAGTTGACGAATTCCGTGCGGATCTGGTCCTCGGTCAGGCCCATGTCGGGAGGGTAGATGAGAACCATCTCCTCGAGCTTGACTGTTGCGCGCTCGGGAGCGGCGTCGACCTGAGGGTGGTCATCGTCGAGCCTGAGGGCAGCAGTCTCGGCGGCGAGAGGGGTCTCCGAGGAAGGGATGACAGCGTCGGGAGCAGCAGCCTTGGCGTCAGAGGAGCGGCGGGCTGGGAGGCTCGGTGCTTCGTGGTGGGGAGGGAAGACGACAGGAGCAGGCGCCTGGGGCACCTCGGTGTAGGCTGGGAGCTCCTCACCAGCGCGGGCAGACGACGCCTCGGCGGCCGCTTCCGCAGCCTTGGATGTATAAGCAGTTTCCGCAGGCAGCGTGGGCGTTGGCGCGATAACGGGCTGCGGCGCAGGAGTGGTCGCAGGCGGCGTCGACGCTGCCAGGCTGGGCACGGAAGCACCAGAGTCCTTGCGGCCGCCAATATGCTTGTCGCCGTCTGTAGGCACACGTGTGAGGAAGTCGAGGTCGGCAGACGTGACGTGCGAGACACCCCAGTCGACACCGCGGGTCACTTTAGCCTTGATGCCGTGCCACGACAGGACCTTGTGGTTGGACGTGTGTGCCGCGCGCACCTCCTCTTGCCACTTGCGCTGAATCTTTCCCGTGGTACCCTCCTTCTCGCCCTCGGAGGGACGCATAAGAGGCGGGGGAGGCGGTGTGTAGATCAAGAAACGGATAGGGGCGGGTGGGACGTCGGCGGTCAAGGCTGGAGTGGGGAAGGGCACGATGTAGGCGATGAGCTTGTGTGGGTCGCGAATGAACGAGTCGGCCTCAGGCGGTGCGCGCACCCCGGGGTCCACACGCGCGAGCGGGTCTGGAGCGTCAACGGCGGCGGGAGGGGCGATGATACGCGGACATGTGGGGAGGGTAGGCGGAGGCGTGGACATGTCGGGCGCGGGGGGCAAACGGTGTCTGGCAGCGCTGGTGGGTGTGCCAGGCGTCGGCGGTGTTCCCGGTGCGCTGGGAGTGGTGGGGCGCGGTGGGAGCTGGGGAGGGGCTTTGAGGTCGGACATGAGAGATGGAGTGTTCAAGAAAGATGAGTTGTGCTGGCGACTAGAAGAAGTGGTGGAGTGGCGTCTGCGGAAAGCACAGCTTGGACCGCTACGACGGGTCGATCGATCGTCAGGGGTTTATCCGAGAACACGCGTCGCGCGTAGATGGGAAGTGCTATTCCAGTCGCTTGCCAAGCGCTGCAGAGGAGCACACGTTCTAAAAATCTAAAACGCTGTGTACTCCGCAGCCAACGCAGTTGCAATGAGAAGCCATGTATTGAATTGCTTGTTGAAGGCCGAGATACGAGGGGCACAGAGGAGATTTTGGAGGACACGGACAGGTGACGTCAACACTGGCAACCACATTCCCCCAAGCCAACCACCTGCATGCATCCTCTGAGGCTCATACAAGAAGGGATGGCGAGAGAGAGAGGACAGCTGCTTTATGGCATCGCCTCTGGCGCCATGTTATATGGATGGATGGACAGAGCGTTACCGCCGCCGCGGGCAGGTCCCGCAGCTCGCAGCTCGTGTAACTCCACGCCACCACCCTAGACGAGTCTTGACAAACAAAGATGCGTCATTGCCACCTTGTCGTTGGGAGTCTTGAGTCATTCACGATGTTCTTGTGGCCCATGAACGGCCCACACCTCACACGTGTCACATTCAAACCCACCGTTCCGAAGTAACTGGCTGGAACCGAGTTGTTATCGCACGCCATAGGCGCTGATGACGACTATTTGTCCGGCTTCCGAATATTTATCTTTTCGGACGAGGTCGGGTGGAGGTGGTCCACCACTGGGCCACTGACTGATATTTTGTGTCTTGCCTCCATCCGGTCTCTCTTGTTCAACATTTTACACTACCCATACTCTCTCCAGCTCCTTACAGCACCTAGATCACAGAGCCGCCCGATTACTCTGGCACCTCGAAACACTGCAAGCTCGTGATCATCATGGACGCGTTGACACCCCCACAAGTCACCGAGTGTGGGTATCTCGTGCCGTCGCTCGCTCGGCTCGCTGGTCGGCAGCTGTCTGCCTCAGACTATCCTCCCATAACTGACATGTCAGACTTCATCGCACTGGGCCAAACCAAGGCTCGCCAAGCCTACCTCGTTACGTTTTTCAAGTCATGGCAAGCAGGGTGGATGGTGAGTTGCGAGTTGCCTTCCCTTCCTTCCTTCCCTCCTTCCACGCGGGACGCCTGGCTTTCATCCTCCACCAGGAAAGCCACAAAAGCCATCTGCACTCGCGCCATAATGGAAATGGTGTAAGATCGCCGCACAGACAGCTTACAATCCTCCAGCTCGGCTTTGGCGCCATGCTCGTCCAGCTCATCCAGGCCGGCTCGCCGACCTTGAAGGCCGACAATCCCGCGCTGCTCACTTTGATAGCCGCATTCTTCTTCCCCGTCGGCCTCCTCATGCTCGTCTTGACGGGCAACGAGCTGCTCACCGCCCACCTCAGTGCGTCCTCCCCACCAGCTCCACATCTCTTGTACTTGCAGCTGACCTTCACGCGCCAGTGTTCATGCCCATGGCGGCGCTCCGCGGTAAAATCAAGGTCTGGGCGGTCCTCGTCAACTGGCTCATTGTCCTGTTTGGCAACCTGGCCGGCGCGCTGTGCTACGTCGCGTTTATGGGTAAGCTGGGTTGTTTGTCCCCGTGAAATACCACAGCTGACACCACCTCCCCCCTCTCACCACCCCGCAGCGCACTACTCGGGCCTGTACACTCCCGCCTTGCAGACGTTTTCCCAGACCGTCGCCGTCGCCAAGACGTCGGAAGGGTGGGCGGCATGCGTCCTCCGCTCGATCGGCTGCAACTTTCTCGTGTGCACAGCCGTGTGGCTTGGCGCGAGCGCGCGCGAGGTGTCCAGCAAGATCCTCGCCATCCACTTCCCGACCATGCTGTTTGTGTTTCTCGGGTTTGAGCATGTTATCGTGTACGTAAAAGCGTAAAAGCGGTGAAAGCGTACTCCAGCTGGATGACTCTTACGGTTCCGAGCTGACGCCGCCGCAGGAACATGTACTACATCCCCATGGGCATGCTCAACGGCGCCGACGTCTCGGCCGCACGGTACATTGCGCAGAGCCTCGTCCCGTCCTTTATCGGCAACTGTGAGCTTCGCCCTCCTCGTCTGTGCGAGGTTACAAGCTGACGAAAAACAAACAGTGATCGGCGGCTGTCTCCTCGGTATCCCCATGGTGCTCTTCCACGCGCCGCCCGAGCTCGACCTGCCCCTCCCGCTCTTCCTGCGCGCGCGACCCAAACAAGGGGACGAGGAGGAAGACGTCGTCAAGCGAGACGGAGAGGCTGCAGTGTCACGGGAGGGCAGCACGCGGACCCTGTAGCGCACGCCCAACGCGGCTGACACCTCTCTTTTTGGTTTTTGTTGTGATTGATAGAATGGCTCGTGATGTGATTCAGAGATGGCGTTCTCGGTCAGTTTGCACGGAGATGCGCACGTTCCCTCACGCAGTACACCCTTGTTTGCATAATTCGTACAACCAGATCCAAGGCAGTGAGCCAAATGCAGCAGGCAATGATAGGGAGAAGGGGGTTGGGAGTCAGTCCGGGATGTGTCTAAGGTTCGTGGGGTCGTCTCGATGTTTCGTCTTGGTGTTGGTTTTCGTTTGCGTCTTCTTCCTCCTCGTCCTCCTCGTCCTTCTCTACTCGATGTCCTTGTTGTCACTGATGACGGGACGGCCCAAGGACGCGGCACTCGACTCGCCACGCCGCCTGCCTTCGCTTCTGTCAACGAGGTGGGGACGACCCAGGAGCGCCGCGCTAGACTCGCCACGCATCCGGCCCAAGTCTGGCCGGCGCGCGCCGTGGGCGACGGCATACTCGTCCGCGTCCTCTGCAATCTCGCGTCCGCTCATAAACTGCCTGGGGCGCTCAATGTCCAGCGACACCGTACCGCGGAGCGAGTCGGCGCGCGACCGTGCCGGCGTGTACGTCGGCGTGAGGAGAATCGCGGGGACGGTAGTGGACATGGGGCGCTCGGACGACGACGAGCCGGCATACACGTGCTCGTGGGCCAGGTCGGGCAGCGCCATGGGCTGCGGGGACTCGGGGCGCGACACTGCTGCGAGGGCCGGTGGGGAGAGGAGGAGGGTCGCGTAGGGGATGGGGTCGAGGTCGCCCGTGGCGGCGCGCGATGTCGATGGCCCAGCGTTGTCGAGGTCGTCGTCGGTGATGCCGTTCTCGACAGGTTGGGGCGACACAACACGGATCTGCGGGGCACCAGGAACACCTGCCGAAGTCATGAGCGCAGTGTCCATCTGCGTAAGCCAAGCGCGCATCTCGACCTCGGTGATGGGACCCGGGAGCGAGCGGGTGCGCGTGAGTGCGCGAGGACGGTTGCCCTGGGTCTGGCGCAGTGGCGAGCGCATCTGCTGCTGCTGGGCGAGACGGGCGTGGGGTCCAAACACGACGTCGACCGACTGGCGCGCGTGTGCAGCGTCCTCCACCTCGACGCGGAGACCGGCGCCAACACCGCGCGCACCGTGGACCTTGAGGTCGGCCCAGTCGGAGGATGTGCGCGGGTCGGCCACAGTCGGCAAGGGGTTGACATCGCCACGGCGGATGACCATGCGCATGTGGTAGTAGATGTAGACGGCGGCGATGATGGTACCGATAAACGTGGCAATAGTCGCAGACCACGAGATGATAGTGTTCTTGGTGCTGTGCGAGCCAAACGACGTGCCGAGGTAGACAATCACGAGCTGCTTGGGCAGTGTGAGGATGGCGGCAGCACAGTACGACCAAATGTTGGCACCGGCACTGGCCGACACGGCCGTCGTAATGTGGCCCGGTACCGCCGAGAAGCGGAGCACAAGCACAAACGTAAAGCTCTTTTCGCGAATGAGCTGTGTCAAGGCGGCATACAGCCTGTTCCGCTGCTCGTACCTTTGTCCGAGTCAGCACCGAACATCCATATGGGGTCCCCCGGCGGAGGACTCGGGCCGGCGACGCAGAGCGCACGGGCAAAAAAAAGCACACTCACTTCCTAGCACGGGCCGTACAGAGCCACTTGAACGCCACCCACGTCGCGAGTTCGCCAAAAAAGGTTCCAGCAGCAAGGATACCGAAGCCTTCTCCAATACCCCACACGAGGCCGCACAGAATGCCGATGACTGGGAGGAAAGGGTCAGCGGGGGTCCACCAAAGGGGGCGGGGGAGGCGGCGGTGGGTGGGTAATGTGGCGGACGAGTTGGGCGGGGGTCCAAGCCCACATGTGAAAATATGGAATGGAATGGAAGCCGCATCGCGCCAAGACCAAGCCTCACGGCCAAATAACCCGCGCGCATGCAACTTACTCTCATGGCCCACAAGCGGGGGAACGAGACAATGATCAAGAGCGCGATGGGGATGAGCCATCCGCCAGGCCACGCGCGAATCCGCTTGGTGACGGGCTGGCAAAACTCGACAATGGTGGTGTGCTTTGCACTGACGAGCGCCGAGATGGTGATGATGATAATGATGAGCGCGTACCACTCTGTGGTAAATGTCAGCCAGGAGGAAACAAAAAGCAGGGACGAATCGCACTCACTGTACAGGTGTCTCCTGAGCGCACGACGGAGGGCTACACGGTAGTCGAGGTCGCGGAGGTACGCTCTTGCCCAGTCATAGTCCTCTTTGAAGAGCACCATGATGGTAGGACTGGCTCCTTGGTCGCCACCTGGGCGCTCCACACAGATGGACGGCCGGCCTTGCTCGCCCACCGCCTCGCCCTGCTCACCGCCGCTGATGGACAGCCTCGTCGAGGCCACGATCGACTCGTACGCAGGCGGGGCGCGGTCGCCATCGTGCTGTGCCGAGGCGCGGAAATGCACAGAGGCAGAGTCAACCTTCTCGCTTGGGTGGGGAATGTCTGACACCGGCGCGGGTGTCGCGGGAGCGGATATTTGCGCTTCGAGGTCCACATTGTTGCCGTCGTCGCTGCAGTCCGAGCCCGCGCGGGATCGCCGGCGCATAAACTTTGGCCGGGATGGACGTGGGGGTAGCAGGTTGGAGAGACGCATAGTTGCTGTAGACGAGATGTGGGGAGCAGCTGGGGGGGGGGGAAGGAAGGCACAGGTGCACGGATGTTTCGAGTGCGGGGTGGGGAGATGGCGGGCAGATGGTCGGTCCAGCGTCGAGAATGACAACAAACAGGCGAGGCGAAGGGGCAAAGAGTCGACAAACAATGTTTATGTTCAAGAACGGTTCAAGGGATGAAACACAACGAGCGCACCGCGCTGTGGGTGATGGTAAAAGCGAACAAGGGGGCTTTGACGAACGCAATGTTGCGTAGAGGCGGCTACTAGCGGTTCACGGTGTTTCCGGGCCGTTCAGGACTGATGTTGCGGTCGTGCAGAGAAATGCTTGGCGCCGTGGTAGTTTTGGTCGCACGTTTGTTGGCAGCTTGGCACAGGATATATACCTTGCTCTCCAGGAGGAAGGGCTGTGTCGACTCCAGGCCGGTGGTACAGCAAAGTCGGTGCTGTGACAGATTCGTCGTGGTGTGTGGAGTGTGGAGACGATGAAAACGAGAGAGGGGATATAGAGCCAGCTGTGCACCGCCTCGTCGTAGACGGCCACTGCGTGCCGAGATTCGAGATGGAGTGGGGGTGTGGGGGGGTTGTGTGCACATTGGCCCAGTTTAACCAGTTTGCCGGCTGAGCGTTTCTCCAGGGATCCAAGCCCACATGCAAGAGGAAGAAAAAAAAAGGACCGACCGGGACATCTGCCAGCTGCGCGGGACCACAGGGAGCAGATGCATACCCAGCCCGCGTTTCAGGGAGAGCAGAAGGTTGAGAGCCCAGACAGAGGCAGAAAGCTTGAGCGCGTCCGGGATCTGGTGCTTTGCCCCCCCCCCCCGGCAAGAAAAACCACACACACACCTTAAAAAGGCCAGGAAACCAAGCGACCCCAGGATCCACACCTCCCACAGCCGGACCAATGTACCAATGTACAGAGCAACGCACTACCTGCTGCTGTCACTGTGGCCCCACTGGTGCAAAAGGCACTGCCAATAATATAACTTTTTAAACGACGACGCGGTGGCCAAATTAGAAGAGACCCAAGGCACAGAGGACTCTTCGTTGACTGCGATTTCCCAGCTGGCCGCGGCTGATCTGCGCATACGGGCCCGCAAAATGACGCCTCTGGCCGGCGACTGGCCCGAGATCTTCCCACCTCCCAGCCTCCAGAGTACCAGAGTCCGAGAGAGAGTGGGGGGCCTTCTACAGCCTTGTGAGTCCTGGCAGACTGAACCCTCGGGGCTGTACGCTGCGATATTGTATTGTAAACGGGGGTGTGGCCGACTGCTTTGTTTCTTTGTTTTCGGGGACGGCGATCGTTTGGCGCGTTTGGCGCGTTTGGGCTGTGCGCTGCGCGCTGCGCCTTTTTGATTTTGTGGGCCGTCTGTACGTCTGTACGTCTGCATGTACATGTGCACGAAACCCACACAACCCCAGCGTACCCAGCATTGCGCACGATCGCACCATAACGCGCGTGTGTCATGTCCCTGTACCCCTGTGCGTGGCCTGGCCATGTATGGACTTTGGTACGGTGAACAAGCCACGGGTTAAAGGAGGGGGACCATTTAAGACACCTCCAGGGCTGGGCAGGCTGATGTCATACACTGTGGAATGTAGGCGTGCGGCGTGGCATGACCTGGTGTTCTGACGCCTATCGCGTTGTACCCACGGGACCAAACTGTTGGAATGTGGACTGCAGCCGCTCAGGGCGCGCACCCACTGCTGGAGTGACAGAGAGAATTGGTTCCGCCCACAGCCTGCAGCCTGCAGAGCCTGTGCAGCAGAGAGCAAGCCAGGTATGACGACGAAAAAAGGGACGGCCCACTAACGCTTCCCCCGCCCCCCCCAACGGCCAACGGGCTGCTACCATCAACCACAAAGGGCTCGTCGTCGTCGTCCACTCTTTTGGCGTGCACAATCCACGCCTCTCTCTCTTCATATACCTCTCTCTCCCTCTCATCCCCCTCCCCTTCCAGCTCACCACCTCTCTCCCCTCCCCTTCTACGGGCGACCCCACATTCTCCCATTCTCCCATTCGCCCACTCGCCCACTCTCCACACCCTCCTACCCGTACGTGCCCTTCCTGCAAGCTCTTTCTTTCCTCCCTTCTACCACCGGCCTCTCGCCCACCCTGTACAACCTAGGCCTCTTCCGCACAGCCTGCACATGCCCCCCCCCTGCCTCTCTCTCGCTCTCTCGTTCACCGTGTCCCACTCACGCTGAGGGGAAACGACGGCCGCGCCGCCGAACGGTGGAGGGAAATACGAGGCGCGGGAGGCGTCAAACGTCATGGAGCTCTGGGTCTCCGGGCTCGCACTCAAACGAGACTCAAACGAGACTGTCTTCCGCGGCGGAATCACGCATGTGCAAGCAGCCCCACAGTTGCTCAACGGCCGATCAACAGAAAGCTCTGGTTCGTCGCTGACACACACGCGCTTCTCCATTGATATCCATCTCGATCCCGTGGCTTTCCTTTACTTCTCTCGACGACACACTCGCACTTTGTCCTACAGGCGTCGCACAGAGTTCAGACACTAGACGTTGTCGTTTGACAACACCTTCTCTTTCCTCCCCCCCATGTCCGCTTCACCAGTAGCCTCGCCAGCACCGGCCAGGGTCGCCGAGCCCGTGTCTGCCAAGTCGCCCGTTCCCGAGGTAGTGGCCAAGGCCAAGGTACGTGTTGCGCCATCGCCGGACGCCGTGCGGGTCTAGTGTGTCGCGGGACAATGGGCGCGCTGGCCGCTGCGGCCCATCGTATTGGCCGAGCAGCAGGTAGCCGCGGCTCCGCTGCCACGCTGCGCCAGTCCGGCCGGCTCATGTGTCGGTCGGGATTGGAGAATCAGAATCACTCGCAAAGGGCACTGGGCGTGCCGTCGTGAGCTTCGCTTCGCTTCCCCCCACCGGCTTTGCAACTGGCAAATGGTATTCACGCGACGACACACTGTGATCCCACGCGTGACATTGCCTTGTCATGAGGGCCGACATGGACACGGCTCACGGATCACGCCGGATCGCTGACGCCCTGTTCCTCCAGTCTCCCTCCCCCACCCCCGCGCCCGAGACGCCTGCACCAGTCGCTGCCGAGGTGCCCGCCGCAGCCGGTACACCTGCTACCGAGGCCAAGGTCGCCGAGACCAGCGCTGCCGAGCCCCTGCCCGAGGCAGAGGAGGAGCCGCTCCCGGAAGACCCCGAGGGCATTATCAACATGGAGATCTTCTCGCAGATCCAGGACATGGACGACGACGACGACGATGAGGAAGGCGGCGGCCACGAGTTCTCCAAGGGTATTGTGTGGGGATACTTTGAGCAGGCCGAGAACACGTTCAAGCAGATGGAGGAGGCCATGTAAGTCTCTGCGCTCTGCGCTTGGAGGTATATATGTTGTCCAGCCGCTGACGCCATTCCCCCTCATGCAGTGCCGAGCCGTCGCTCTCGAAACTGTCGTCGCTAGGACACTTTCTCAAGGGCTCGAGCGCCGCCCTGGGAATCGTCAAGGTGCAAGACTCGTGTGAGAAGATGCAGCACTACGGCAACCTGCGCGACGAAGAGGTCGGAGCAGCCCTCAAGGAGGACGAGGCGTTGAAGCGCATCAAGCAGCTCCTCGTCGACTGTAAGCGCGACTACGCCGTGGCGTCACGCTGGCTCAGGAGGCTGTACGGCGACGACGAGTAGACACCCAAGTTTCTTTGATACACGGCGACCAACACTCTACGTTTTACAAACCGACACGCCAACACACCCACACCCACCATCACCACCACCACCACCACCACCAAGAGCATAGACCGCTTTTGCTCAACACACCCACATGTCTCATCACCATCACCTACCCATATTCTCTTTTCTCTCTCTCTCTCTCTCTCTAACTCGTCTCCGCCTCCGCACCACTCGCCTCTGCAAGTGGGACCCAACACAATCGACGACTCTGTAGCATCTTGCGCCCCCGCCATCTCCCGACTCTTCTCGAGGTGGTACCTCCCCAACCATTTCCCTGCGTCTCCTTTCATCCTCCTCGTTTTTTCTTCCTCTTCTGCTTCCTTCTTCTTTCTTTCTTTCCTTCTCGTCCCCTTCCTCCACCTCCTTTTTCCCCTGGGTTTGCAACCAAAAAAAAACGCGAATTATGTGGTAAAGGACCATATCCCTTTAATGGTAAACAGAAATCGACTATGCAGAATGACTGCGAGCTACAATGAATGATGGTGATGGGGCCGTGCGCGCAAACAAACAAGAAAGAATAGAAAGAACGAACAGGCGAACGCGCGAACGCGCGAGACAGACAGAACAGGGGCGGGCGGACACAGAACAGCCGTCCACCATCTCTAACTCGGCCTATACCCACATGCTACGGCTACGACCGCCAGTTGGGCTTGAACATCTTGCCCAGCTTGCCGGACCCAGAGTCGCTCCCGCTCCCACTGCCCTGTGGCCGGGGCGGGATGCTGGGCACCGCGCTGCCCTGGCCGTATCCCATTGATCCACTGTGCGGGGGGACAGGCGGCGAGACTGCCGGCCGGGTCCCGTTTGGAGGCGGCCTGATCGCGTTGGGCGGTGGCCTGTTGCCATTCGGCGCCGGAGCGCCGCCGCCAAAGCTGCCCGTACGCCCAGACGTGACGCTCGACGCAGACGACGACCCGTTCCGCTGCTGTTGCTGCTGCTGCTGGGCCTTTTTGCGGTTCTCGGGCTTGAGGTCTGGCAGGTCGATGGTGCTGAGGTAGATGGCCAAGTTGGGCGGCGGCGTCCACCCGGGCCTGCTGTCGTCGAGGTTGATCACGCGCGGGCCCTTGCGTTCCGGTTCTTCCTCGACGACGTACTGGTGCAGCTCCTTCAAGCCTTGTCGGTGGCGGAAGCGCGTCACGCCCAGCGATACTTGGAGGGCACGCTGTGCCGCCTCGGCCTTGCGCGTGCGGATGATGATGAACAGGACGGAATCGTCCATGAGCATGTTGCACGCGCGCGCAATGTGCATTTCGAGGTCGGTGTTGGTGCCCACCACAATCTCGTTGGGGTTCTCGGCCTCGTAGTCTTCGTCCGTGATCATCTGTACTTCGGGCGTGGTGGGCGTGTGCGCGCTGGCGCTGGCGGTGGAGGCCGACCCATTCTTGCTCGGGACAGGAGGACGCTCAGCTGCAACGGTTACCGACGCCGCCCGTTCCTGCTCGCGCGCCTCGGCAGAGTCGATCAAAAGGCATAGGCTGTGGAAAGTGTTAGCACACGATAGAGGTCAGTGAGGTTGCTCTCTCACCTCATAATAAACAATGTCTCCAGTCCACGCAGGTCCTTGATCTCCGTACCGAGGAACCGGTCAATGTTGTAGTGCAAAAACGAAATCTTGCCCGGCGTTCGCACATCGCCTTGGCGGGCGAGGCACACCTCGACATGGGGGTCGGGCCGGCGGTCCATGACACACGTCAGGTCCTTGCCGCTCTTCTTCCAGATATACTTGTTCCTGTGAGTTGTGAGCTGAGCTCTCCAAGCCGAGGAAGTACCAGCTCTCACGTGAGAGCCCGGGCTATACTCACTTCTCAAAGTGGAACGTCCACTCGAACGAGCTGATCCGTCAGCTTCCCATCTTCCCATTTCACACCTTCACACCTTCACACCATCACACCCCCACGACCACATGGAATCGCCCACTCACATCCTGCCAGTGTGTTCAAAGGGAATGTTCTCGTCTGGCCCGTGCAGTTCGAGTCGTCGCGACTTGATGCGGTCCGAGACATATCCGCACGACGCGAGCTTTGCGCCCGACAGCGCGTCTGCATTCTGTCAGCTATCACTGGCGAGACACACGCATGTGTGGAACCTGCTCCGAGACTTGGGGCTGCAGAGGTAGCCAGTGCATAGCGCACGCATGCCATTTGGCTCTGGAGGGGCCGAGGTGGGACGCGAACGGTGACGGTGCGCGTGCAAAAGCGGTGCGTCACCGGTGTTCAAGCGCTGATTCCCGTGCGTGTCACCACCTCCTTCGAGTACGTGCACCAACCCCACCACCCCACCATGGGACATGGATCCCTCTGTGTACTCACCATACAGGACGCTGCTGTACACCTCGCCGTCGCGGGGCTCGCGTACGCGGCCATACCGCACGTCACCCTTGTACGAGATTGTCGTGCCCTCGCGGAACTCGACAATGGCAGGGTTGGTCTCGGACTGGACGAGCGTGAGGAACGGACAGGCCTTGTCGCGGAGCGACATGGCGGCGGTGGATGGGTGTGTGGAGTATACGCGAGACGGGGGGTGATAAAGGTGGTACAAGGGGGAGGGGACAGTGAGCGAGATGGAGGTTGTGAAGATGTGGATGACTGTGAGGAATGGAGTTGAATTGAGCGTGTGGGTGGAACGTGGTTTGCACTGGAATGACGGCTGACGGATTAGGACGACAACAATAGCCCCGCACCCGCAATCGATTCGCCCCTGCCAAGAGGCACGGTACAGGTCAGTCTGACCTGGGGGTCCTGTGCAACGAGGCGGGTGGCGCTTCCTGTACTGGCGGGGTTTGTCCAACGTTGCAGTGCAGAGGAACCCAACACACGCATCGCACACAGCGACTGCAGTGCTGATGCACACTGCTTGCCTGCTTGCATCTTGCCTTTTGCCGCTGTGGGCGCTTCCGACGATCCCGCGAGAGCAGAGTTAGTTAAGTGGGAGGAGTAAAGAGAAAAATCGGACGGAGTGGAAGGGATCTCCGTGGCAGCGATCCGCAAAAGACACGGCATATAAGCAGCGATACGGCTTCTCGACCTGCGGTCACGTCCTAACAGCACCCACATGCAACACGGACATCCTACGAGCAGTCGGGTATATATGCATGTCATACCCACACGGACAGCAACATGAACCACTCGCAATCGGGGAGTACGCGGTGGTTGTTTTTATCTCGCTCTTGGATCACATGCCTGATCGATGCTTCCGCTGCCGTGAGGCCGTAGAAAAAAGGGGCCACACCAGGCCCCGCCCACACGTCAGGCGGGTCGAGGGCGAGCTACCACGAAACACATCGAAGCGGCCGCATGCTCACTCACATGTGTCAAGTGACCAGAGTGGGGCGGCGGCGGCGGTAGCAATGCTTGGGCAGGAGACCCCACGTTAACATTCCAAGGATCCAAGGATCGAGGTGGCACGTTGCGGGGATGGTACGTGGGGAAGCCGCACGACAAGACAGGGTGGCGCGTTCTAGGCGCGTTCCGCTGGCCTCTAGCGCACTCTAGCGTTCTCGCTTACGGTCTCAGATCTCAGAGGAGATGCCGCGCAGTCATATACAGTATGCACATACAGTACTACGCATCGTCAATGCGCCCATGGGACGCGCGAACACGGACCCATGGACCAGGGATGGATCGTGTGATGTGGGCCTTGTGGGTGACTAGCTGCTCGTGCGACCTGGTCCAGCGTACCAGCGTCAAACGCCGCCTGAACTAATCCCCCGAGGGGGATTTGGGAGGGAAGGAGACCTAGAACACATAAACCGCGTACGACCCTTACAAGCAACGATACGGAACAGACTATAGAGAGTGGGAGAACAAACTGGACCTTTGTTCACTGAAACAACGTGCTAAACCCGACGGAAAGCCAAATTACACCCCGGAACCTAACCCTGTCACCACCCCCTTTTCCACCCAAAGGTCACAAAACCGTCGCGTGTGTGCGGTCATGTGTCTTGGCTCTTGGCGGATACGCGACACATTGGAGAGAACTTGGCGGCGGCCTACGCCAAGGGGACGGGCTTACGAAGGCCTCTCTTGGGCGGAGTGAGACTTGTTGTTGAGGGAGCGACCTTGAACCTGCGCTCCTCACGACCCGCGCGAGGAGGACCGAGGGACCGCCAGCGCAGCTCCTGGTCTGCGCGCCGGCCGTGGCACGCGGTCATGAGCGCCGGCCAGTATGTTTCGTAGTCGTAGGGAAGCTGCGTAAGAATTGTCAGCGCGAGAACACACCCCTTGGGCCTTGGTTTGGCGTTGTCTTGTGTCGGATTTTGTGGCTGTGGGTTGGTGGCTTGGCAGGCGCCTTGGTGTGGCGTTCTTCCAAAACCCCAACAAAAACGCACATACGGCCGTGGGCGATCCGGGACACTGGAACAGAGGCATGCTCTGTTGCTCCTTTATTGTCCGCGGCCTCTGTCCACAGCGCCACAGCCTTACTGCAGGTATAGCCGGTTGGGCCGGTTCCAAGACACACAAAGAGACGGACGACTCACGTCCAGGTCGCCACCACAATCCTTGAGCAGCTGGTCGTTGTCTACGGCCTTGGCTTCAGCGACAGTGGTCGAAGTGAAGGTGACGATCTCCCTGAGCGGCGCGTCGATGAACGGCCAGAAAAGACGGGTGAACGCGCGAATGAGGCGAGGGAGCTTGTGCACAACGGTGCGGCCCAACATCCACGGGTAGTGGTCGGCCACACAGCGAAAGATGTGGCTGACCACCTTGGCGGTCATGCGGGGGCCCTGCCGTGTCTCGTCAAACTTGATGACAAGGGTGACTGTCGTGACGCCGTCTGCCATGAGGTCGAGCGCACGCTCCAACATGAAGAACACGTGCATGGTCCTTTGGATTTCGAGCGGGCCAGTGTTCCTGCTGGGGAACATGTACACGACGGGCTGACCAGTCGGTGTATAGCCAAGCACGAGGTTCTTGCCCATCTTCGACTGTACAAGTGTCAGCTGTATACCACCTCACAGATGGTCCTATTTTGACGTACCTCCTCGCACAGCTCATCACTGGCGCCCTCAATGTCATCCAGTCTTGATGTCCGGCGCCAAACGATCGTCTTCTCGAGCCTGGTAATGGCCAGACGAGCATCGTTCCTGGTATCTGTGGCAAAAGTGTGAGCAACAACACCTTTTGAGTTGCCTCGGGGAAGGAAGCCGAATCAAGGTGCGTACCATAGAGGAACCTGCTTGCGTCAGTTGCGGTCAAAAAGTAACGAGTAACGAGGGCAACATACCTGAGGAAACATTCCCTCGACTGTGGAAGGAGACCCGTCAACATTTCGTTCACCCTCACGACAAGGACAAGGCAAAGGGAGCACTGTGTATCCCACATGGGACTCACGAGGAACATCATCTCACGCTCGTGCAGTGGGGCACGCTCATTGCTGCCATCTTCAGTGGGCAGGGTGTAGCCTGGTGCGTTGAAGTGGTTCTCAAGGAGGGCGATGTTGGCACGCTGCTGGTCGGTCCATGTAGGAGGGAACTGGGGGAGCTTTTTGAGAGGAGGGTGTGAGGGAGGAGTAAACAGGGCGGGGGCGTAGGAAGCCGGAGTCACGGTCGATCCGGAGCTCCATGCGGAACGGGTCGAGTGGGGGTCGGAAAGGATAGACTGTGTGGAGATGCTGCTGGACATGGTGGACAGTGTGGACATTGTCGCCGCCATTGTGGGAGGTAGGGATTGTCGGTGCAACACGCACGGCCTCGTGTGGTGGTGGTGATCGGATGGCTTGTGGTTTCCTGATTCCTTGTGGCCTGCACTAGGTAACGAGGATTGCGTCTCGAGGTTTCTGGCAAGGAGGGCGAGATGGAGGATGAAAGAGAGTGATGTAAGGCCAGTAGTGAGTGGCAGAGACTGGATGAAGGGGAAGAAGACAGACGAAGAAGAACTGGATAAGCTTCGCCAGCCAACAGTACATAAAGGAGCTGACAAGAAGAAACGCAGGCCGGGTCTCGGCTGTGAGGAGACGCGCCACAACCTGCCGAAACCTGGGCCGTATGGCATTTGTGGACCCAAGGGCCGCGCAGGTGACCATTTGCGCCATGTGGACCAGCCGCGACAGGTCCGTCGAAGTGCGTAAGCTCTGAGGCCACTGCCAAATTGGCGGTAGACGCTGATGCCGCGGCGTCGTCCTGCTGCTCAAGAAGGTTCAGACTGTGTCTGGGCAGGACCTGGGCATCGCCAGGGCTTGCATTTCCCCATGCGACGACCATATGGCTTGCCGGTAACAGTGAATGCCCGGGCGCCGCGCCACCGGCCGAGCGCCGTAAGCCACCCCAAACGCACACCCCGAACAGCTAGGACCTAGGAGAAGGGTCGTGAGGGAGCGAAGCATCCCCCAGAGGTGCAAATGGAGTGCCTCGCCCGGCATATTGCCACATGCCGCGGGATGCCCACAGGCTGTATCACAAATCCATGTTCAGCGGCGGGGGCTTTGAACATGGCGCGCCCAGGACGCGGACCGTCGCAGCCCCGTCACAATCTCTCACGAAAACAACGGCAAACCTTAGGGTTCACGTGGGACGAAACGTTGGGCCTCGAGGCCTCGGATCCTCGGAGGCAATGGTTTGGTCAATTGGGTTTGGGGCGGCCATCGCCGTCACCTTCGTCTAATTCGCTTAGGGTGGGGGGGGGGGGGGGGGGACGTCAAATAGATGCGTTTAAATCTGTCCTAAATGCAACTCGCATGAGGCTAATGCCAAATACAAACGTGGGCCGCCCATGTTCCTAAGCTCAGACGGTGTGCTCATTGATGGGTCGACGTTCATACCATGCATTCGTCGTCCATTTTATATTCGACTCGCAAGTGTAAGTGTGCAAGTGCGCCAGTGCATGTATTGTGTTTGGGCGAAAACGCACTATGGCCATTCTCTATGGGTGCACGCATGACGTATTGTGTTTTCCAGAAACCCCGGCCACGGACCGTCGGTTACATCCGCCAGATGCCGCCAGGGTGTGAAGACGCGTCCCGCCAGGAAAACAACAATATTACACCTTTCGTCGCCCGCGTTCCACCATCACATCCTCGTTCCACCCACTCCACCATGCCGGACCTCGCGCAAGCTCAGGAGCTGTACAAGTCCGGCATGGTCCTGTACGGCAAGAGCCGATATGAAGAGGCGCTAAGCGCGTTTAACCGGGTGTGTACGCCGCGACGAGATGAACACGACCCCTCTCTCTCAGGCCATTGCTAGTACTTACTTTCCAGTCCATCTCGCTCGGAGGCAAGAGTTGGAAGGTCCTCGATGCCAAAGCCGCGACCATGAACCGCATGGGCGGCGCGTGGCAGCAGTCGGCATTCGAAATTGCGAGCGCGCTGTGTCGAACGCATGGTGAGAAGAATGCCCGCGTGAGTCTAGCCCCTTCTGTTCTTCCCGTTTCCGAGAACAAGCACTGATCAAACCAATAGCCATGGTACCGCGCGGCAAGCATCCTAGTGTCCATGGGAATGGTCGACGCGGCGGAGCGGAGCATCACCAAAGGGCTGAGCTTGACAAGGGACCCTGCCGCGCGCAAGAACCTCAACGACCTGCGCGACAAGGCTGCCCAGGTTCGCATCCGACTGGAGGTGGACGGCGCGACCAGTGCTTTTGAGGCAGATGTTCTTGCCTTGGCACAGGCAAAGGCCAAGCTGTGCTTTACCCACCTCCTCTCGCCCGATGTCATCCTGCTCATCGCCGAGGCCGGGCTCCAAAGCGACCCCGACATGCCGCTCCGCATGGCTGGCGTGTGCACCGAATGGCGCGCGATTGTCACCCACCGTACCGCTGTTTGGTCCCATCTCCGCTTGGGCCGGCGACGCCCCGAAGCCAAAGTCGCGTACTGGGTCGAGAAGAGTAAAAGCCGTGTCCGCCAACTTACCATCACAAACAAGATGCCTCGCGAAAGACACACGGACGTCGCGCGTATGCTGCGGAGACATGTCGCTGGGTTGGAGCGGCTCGAGATTCATGCGCACGACCCCGACCTCCTCGTCAACGAGTGGCAAGAAGCGTGTCGTCAACTCAAGTCTCTGGTCATACACAATGTCAGAGGCTCGACGGCGGCTCGGAGAACCTACCCATTTGTCTTTGGTCTCCTCCACCCCACCGCCGCCAGACTCGAGGCTGTCGACATTGGCTGTGCAAACATGGCCCCTGGAACTGTCATTCAAGGTGACGACCCAGACGCCAACCCACGAGACGGTCTCTGGCTTCCAAACCCGACCCTCCAACTTGCCTGCCTGCGCAAGCTACGCATCGCCGATGGCCTTGCAGGCAAGCGCATGACCCTCTCGACACTGCTGGCCGATACGCCACACCTGCACGAACTGGACGTCGGAAGGATCTTCTTTCACGCGCCCGAAGAAGACGACACTCATGCGCTTGTACCCCGACTCGAGAAACTCGAGTTGCGTGACACGGGCGGCCAGCGTGACCTCGTGACAGCGCTCGACATACCAGGACTGACGGCGTTTAGCTGCTATGGCTGGACAACAGGTCAGCTGAGGACGATTGACATGCTCCGTGGGGTAGGCATGGCTGCTGCGCTCCCAAACCTCGTCTCGCTAGACATTGGACGGTGTGGCGTTATCCAGTCACAGCTCATGGCGGTTCTCCCAGAACTCAAGTCACTCCGGTTCCTGAACGTCTCGTTCCTCGGCCTAAACAACGACTTTCTCGAGGCGTTGGTGGTGGGGGACACGGCCTTGTTGCCATGTCTGACGGCGCTGTCCATGGCCGGACATGACAACATTTCGGCAGGCCCGTTGAGGCGAGTGGTCCTGAGTCGCGCCCCGACAGAAGCCTCAAAAGCCATTGCGCCTCTCCCTACGCGTCCCGCATCGCGTTCCGCCTTTACCCCAGCTCGTTCGGCGTTTGCGCGGCCCAAGCCGGCGGCAGTGGCGGTTGCCGCCACTGCCACCTCGTCAAGCCCCCAGCGTCCACCGGTTGCTGCTATTACCTGGGTCTGTGTCGACCTCTGCAACCACCCAGACATGGACGTTCGCGTACTCGAGCCACTCCGCCGACGCGTGCGCTTCCTGTCCAACCATAACGGTAACCAAGTCGAGGACCGGATTCGCGGCCGCGGCATTTATGCCTGGGACAAGGATGGAGATTGGGACTCGGACTGTGCCGGCGGCAGCGGCGAGGGATGCCACCTCCGCAAGCGCCGGGCCGATGAGGACGGATGGTATGTTCACCACACATGCAAGCGGGCGAGGGAGGAGGAGCAAGTCGGTAAATAGCATGTAGCATTTGGCATTTTTCAATGGGTGCAGTCGAGCTTTCCCGCAGTCGTTTCGTTGCGTTCCGAGCTCACCCGACATCTCGACAGCAAGCACCACGCCCCAACACCGGCCACACACATTGACTCGCTGCATAACAGATAAGTGGAGTCCATCGGCCCCTGAGGCCTGTACGATTTGGTATAGCTTGCCGATGCCGAGGTGTGTTAACGGCGTTGACGGTGCCCGGCTGCCGGGAGGACACGGAGATAATAGCGGATAACCACGCAACATGACGTCGATTGCAGGAACGCGTTCCGTTGGCCACCGAACGCCGAGTGGTGTCCACCCGTTTTAAAGTCACCGCGCGGGATGTCACCTCCCGTGTCACCAACATCCGACACCCACAACACTCATACACAAATGGCCATCCTTCGATTAGTCGGTGCTACTGTCCTCGGTGGTGGCGCCTATGCGACCTACAAGGCCACCTCGCTGTCCCAGCAGTACCCTCTCACACCTGCCAGCGACATACAGAATCGTCCCGGCATCCTCGCCGTCATTCCCGAGGGCAACGGCGCCTTTGAAGTCGTATCCACGACCATCCAAGCCCCACCCGCCCGCGCCCGCGCGGACCCCATTGGCACCACCATCGACGCCTTTTACGCGGGGTGGACCCTCCGGCTCGAGGCCTGGGCATCTCGGAGGTACAACCTCGTCGGCCGCCGTCCCTCCAGTGCCGACAAGGACATTACGCCGCCGCTCGCGTACGCTTCGGGCATCTTCCAAGTAATCCACCGCGAACCCGACAGCGTCACCGTCCTGTGGTCGGCGCCAGGAGCCAGCGAGGAGACGGCGGTCACGCACGCCATGCCTGAGGGTGTGCAGGTTATCGCCGCCCAGCTCAACGACAATGGCGGACTGGACATTTCGTACGCCTGCGCCCAGGACCTCCCACCGGGGAACAAGCTCGTCTACGCCGTCATGATGAAGTTTCACCACGTCTACATGCGTTTCCTATTGGACGAAACCAAGAAGCGTCTTGAACAGTGGGCAAGGGAGGGACAGTGAGGAGCGGGGGGAGGGATGTAATGATGTTGTACGATGTGGCTATGAACGCAAATCTGGGACTGGATTAGTGAAGTGACACGGTTGTCCAGCGGAAGGCCTTCTGACATGAAGATGGCAGACAATGTGTTGTTGACAGCACACAGGGATAGGTGGGATTGGTAACCGCTGTGCTTCTTGCATCCAGACGGGCAGGGTGGAATGAATCACGGTCGAGAGCCGGAGACACGGGGGACAGCTTCTTCTGCACACAATACATGCTTCCTACGTCACGTTCATAAACACAGCGCAGTATGCTGCTTTATCTGACTTCCCATTGCTTTCCAGGCCTGGTGGTACCAATTGCAAACTAGTTCTTCCTCCTGAGTATTGTCAGCGAGTGGCGGCCAAAACAGCGTGGCAGTGAATGCGTCCAGTGGCAACCACTTGGTCCACATTGAGAGGACGGACGGAATGGGAGAAGACTCGCACCCTGCTTGCCTGCTCGCTTCTTGTGTGTGTTGTCCGTTATGCATCTTCCGAGTGTTATGGGGCTGAAGTTATCAGTGTTCGGCAATACTGTGGGAGGTGTGGACCAAACTTACCTGTAGCTTCTACATGCACTCGTAGTCCGCCGACTCAACAGAGGCGATCTTGGTGGGCTTGTGCGCATGGACGGCCAAGTCGTCGCTTGCGTCCTCACCGTCGGCATCGGTCCTCGCGCCAGTGGTCTTGTCGTCGAGGCCCCACTCTCTACCCCAGTCTTTGCGGAACTGGAGGGTGTGGTGCCTGTTCCAGGCAAAGTCTGGGTCGTCAAAGACCTCCCACATGTCGGTTGGCATTGGGGCCTTGTCGATGTAGGGGACCTCGACGGAGGGGTCGAGGCTGCGAACAAGCTGCCTGTGAGCTTTGTACACAAGAGATAATACGTAAGACATACCTGCTTGATGAGGCCCAGATGGACCGGCTGGTCCTTCGTGAGGGCGGGGTCGCGCGCAGATTCGACAAAGAGGAGGAAGACTGGGGACGACTCGTGGTTTCCAAGGCGGAGTGGGTGGCCCTGAAGGTCGGACCACATCTCCTCGGCACTCTTCGAGACCCACTTCTTGTCCTTGTTGGCCAGGCTGATGTAGGTGCGGGCAAGATGGTGAAGGGCGGCAACGTTCTGCCACACGTCAGCGGGGTCACGAGAAATACATACACTCACCGTGGAATACGGCAGGAGGAGCTCGCATCCCGCAGCAGCAGCGGGCATCACACGGTCGCTGACGCCCACCGCTTGCATGACGATGCGAGGCACCTTGCCTTCCTCCTCGCGCTTCTCCTTCTCATTCTGGAAGGCGGTGGCCCACTGGAGGGTGCCGACGAGCTTTGGGAGGTTAAGAAGACCCGGCTTGGCGAGGGGACCGTGGGAGAACTCGGCAGGGTCTACGTTCACGCTCTGCAGAGCGGCATGGACGACGCCACCTGGAGAGAGGAGTTGGAGCTCGGCAAGCTTGGAAAGGCGCGGTCCGATGTCGGAAGGGTGCGTCCCCTTCTTCTTGACCCAGAAGGTGAGTGGACTGAGAATGGGTTCGAGGGCGCAGCCAACCCAGTAGAGCTGCTCGACGCTGAGGCCCGTGAGAAGGGCCCAACGGCGCATGTCGAGACCCTGGGTCTCGTCGTAGGCAAAGGCGGGGACTGGAGTTGCGAGGAGAGGGAGGTGTGGTGGAAGGAAGGTATGGGACCAGTGGGAGAAGAGGTTTGGATGAGTGGGTGTGGGTGTGAGTGCGATCGATGGTTGAGGAAGGGAGAGAGTGTAAGCACAGTGGTGGCAACACAGTATGGCTGGGTGCGGGACAACGGAAAGGACTCACCTGGGGCCGAGGACGACGATGCCATGGTGCTTGTTGTAGACGCGGTTGAGCGAGTAGAGGCTGGTGAGCGATGTGTCGAGAAGAGGAGGATGAAGTTGAGGAGAGAAGATGAACGAACTGCAGCGAACGTCCAGGTGATAAGCACGGCCACCCGGTTGAGTCACCCCGTGGCCACAGCCCTGGCCGCTGACCGGTGGTCGGTGGGTGAGAACGTGCAGAAAGAGCCACATTTTCAGTCGATCGACGCTGTCATGGCCGCGTCTGGGCCTGCGTTACCTCTCCGGCGGGAGTAAAGGTGGCGGGCGTTCTTGCTGTGCTGTGTGCGCTCCACAGTGTGCAGTGTGGCCACAGACCTCCTCTTCGCCTGATTCCTTCTTGTTCTTGTCTATAAACTCACTCACATGACCGCGATGAACATCGAGCACTTGTGAGTCGGGATCCAGCGTGCAGCTCTGACGTACAGCAACAACCCCGTCCTCCGCGAGCTCCAGGACCTCGTTGGTCTGAACCGTACCAACTTTGTGCGCGCCCCTCGCGTCAAGCCCGGTATCCAGTTCCCCACCAAGGCCCACAACCCTCTCCTCGGCATCCTGGTGCTCCTTTTTGACGGCCAGGACAAGCACCTTAGCGATGACATTGTCATCACCGACGAGCCCCTCACCACCACTCAAATTAAGTAAGTTTGAGTCTATTTATTCCCCCATCCGGATCGATATGGGGTGTTCCCAGCCACCGTGTCATCACAGCTGTGGCTCTTTGACTTGGCTAACAGACAGGGCTGTCGTTGACGGGCTCGTCGGCCACCGCCGCCCTTACTCGTTGGAGCAGGGCATCGACGGCGTATCGCAACAAGTCATCAAGGCTGGAAACGTCTTCCAGCGTATCAAGAAGGTAAGAGACTGCGCCCTACTCCCACGCTTACACATAGCTCTTCCCCAAACTGGATGAGAAGCTCTTCTCGCTCCTTATCAACTGGGGCGATTCCTCGCCCGGCCCCATCCGCCATCACAAGCCCCTCCTCAAGTACACCGACCGCGAGCTCGACTGTCTCGGCTGCTTTACGCGTCTCGCCCTTGCCGTCCACCTGGGACTCATGGACAAGATGCAGGGCGTACCGCGCGCCCTTGCCCAGCGTCCGGCCATTTGGTCCGGTGGTCCAAACACCCCCGCCGTCATCGGATACTTGTTTGTCTCGGTCCCCTTCTACATCGAGGTGTGGCAGGCAGGCAAGTTCATCCCTCCCTTCCGTCTTCGAGTCCACCCCAACCTCGTTGACCCCTACCATCGCCACTGGCTCAGCAAGGACCGCGCCATGGCCGAAACAGTGTTTCGTGCAGAGTGTGCCGTAAGTGGCCTGCCTGTTTCACTTTTCTGACGACTTCAGAGGCGTGGCTGGGACGAGGAAGACGCGGCCGACAAGGTCCACGGCTTCAGCTACGAGTTTAGCCGCAAGTGGTCGGATGTCACCGACACCACCACCCGCAGGCGGACCCTCGTGCCCGCGCAAACAAGGCTATTGTGTGGGACGAGGTCGTCACCTACTTTGATGGCCATCCCATGTATGTCCCTCACAAGGGTGGTCGCCGCGGCGTTCACGTCGGATCCACCTGGTACGACATTCCTTCCTTCGACTCGTATTTCTGGCAAGAGGTCCACGAGTACGCCTGACCACAGCGTACAGCGCTGACCCTAGGCTTCACAAGATCAAGGTCACCAATGGTCGCCTTCTGCCGGCCGATATGGACAAGCACTTCCCAAGCCTCACCTATGCCTATGTGTATAAACGTGCGCTGTGGCACAACGTAAGTGTCTGGGAGGATAATGTACTCATTGACCATACAGCCCAATGTGCCACCTACCTCTGACACGACCAACACTGCTTCTGCTAAGGCGAGGACGAAGAAGAAGCTCTCGGGGACATCTTCACGCGTATCGCTGGCGAAGAGCCTACCGCCGAGGAGTTTAGCAATGACGATTGTTCCAGTGATGGCAAGTAAACATCACGGTTTCTGAAGTAGTCAGAGGTGGCGGTCGTATGTCAATACAGCAGTTATGCAGAGTGTGCAAAAGAGACAAGTCTCTATGTGCGCGATATGGAAGTCCAGCTGCAGCATCAAACTCGCCCGCTTGTCGCACTGCCAGGCATTCATAGCCAAATCGTACAGCATCGCTACATCCCCCCCGCTCCTCACTGTCCCTCCCTTGCCCATTGTTTGAGACTTTGCCGAGCAAGAAGCTCATTTGATGAAGACGACCGCCCTGCCTGATCGCCTCCACTGGTTGAAAGTATAGCGACTGTGAATCGGAGGCAGCGTTGGCCAGCTTACAGGACACAGAAGTGGTGCATGCATGCTGATACCTGTAGGTTCGGCATACGTATGTCATCAGTTCATTGTCAATGTTGTAACGATATCCACCAAAAAGTGATGCATCCATCGTAGGCGCAGCACGCCGTCTCTGTCTACGAGACACCAACTATCACGTCGGGGCGTGGCGCTGTACAAAGAAGCACACTTAAATCTCCTCCTCGTCCTCGAGGGGGAGCTCCTCGTCGTCGTAGATCTCGTCGTCGGCCGAGGCCTCCTGGTACTGCATGTACTCGGAGACGAGGTCCTGGAGGTTGGACTGTGTCTCTGTCAGCAATGTTCGTGATGTGGAGGACACAGGCTAACGTGTAGCCCTGTCCAGCCCAGTAAACGCCAGATGCCTTCCCCAGAGGGTAGAAGCAAGGGGCAAGGGCAGTGAGGCGGGAGAAAAGTGGCAGAGTGTCGGTCGGCTTTTTGACCCTCCCCCCAGTCCTCCCGACCTTTCCACCGCTCCCAACTCGTTTCTGGACATCTTGGGACCGTTTTTGAGCTCGTACGCACCTCGGCTTCGGAAAATTCAAGTTCGTCCATACCGGGGGGGCTGTCAGCATCACACGAAGAAGAAGAAGAGGTCGGAGGACTAACCTTCACTGAGGAGGAGTTAGCAGAAGCTCGACGGAGGGTGCCACAACGGAACCAAATTTGGTTCCGTCGCATAGTGCCACAAGCCGTACTCACCCGGTGTACCAGTGGACGAAAGCCTTGCGACGGTACATGGCCGAGAACTGCTCGCCGATGCGCTTGAAGAGCGACTGGATCGAGGTCGAGTTACAGATGAAGGTCGACGACATCTTGAGGCCACGGGGGGGAATGTCACACTGAGCGGCGGCGACGTTTCCGGGGATCCACTCGACAAAGTAGGCCGAGTTCTTGGCCTGGACGGTCTGCAGCTGGTCCTCGACCTCCTTCATGGAGACCTTACCGCGGTAGATGCACATGACGGTGAGGTAGCGGCCGTGGCGGGGGTCCGAGGCGGCCATCATGTTCTTGGCGTCGAACATCTGCTGGGTGAGCTCCGGCACCGAGACGGCGCGGTAGCTAGCCGAGCCGCGCGAGGTGAGGGGCGCAAAGCCGACCATGAAGAAGTGGAGACGGGGGAAGGGGACCATGTTGACGGCAAGCTTGCGCAGGTCCGAGTTGAGCTGACCGGGGAAGCGCAGGCAGGTGGTAACACCCGACATGACGACCGAGACGAGGTGGTTGAGGTCACCGTAGGTGGGGGTCGAGAGCTTGAGGGTACGGAAGCAGATGTCGTAGAGAGCCTCGTTGTCGATACAGAAGGTCTCGTCCGAGTTCTCGACGAGCTGGTGAACCGAGAGGGTAGCGTTGTAGGGCTCAACGACAGTGTCCGAGACCTTGGGCGAGGGGACGACCGAGAACGTGCACATCATGCGGTCGGGGTACTCCTCACGGATCTTGGAGATGAGGAGGGTACCCATACCGGCACCGGTACCACCACCGAGCGAGTGGGTGATCTGGAAGCCCTGGAGGCAGTCACAGCCCTCAGCCTCGCGGCGGACGACGTCGAGGACCGAGTCGACAAGCTCGGCACCCTCAGTGTAGTGACCCTTGGCCCAGTTGTTGCCCGCGCCGCTCTGACCGAACACAAAGTTGTCAGGGCGGAAAAGCGTGCCCAGGGGGCCGCCGCGGATCGAGTCCATAGTTCCCGGCTCCAAGTCAATCAAGACGGCGCGGGGAACGTATTTGCCAGCAGCGGCCTCATTGTAGTAGACGTTGATACGCTCGAGCTGAATGTCCGAGGTGCCCTTGTACGAGCCGTCGGCCTGGATGCCGTGCTCCTCAGAGACGACCTCCCTGTTGTTGTGTCAGGTCGTGCTCTAAAACCCACGCGCGCAAGTGTCTACTTACCAGAACTTGGCACCGATCTGGTTACCACACTGGCCGGTCTGGAGGTGAACAATCTCGCGCACTGAACGGCCAGACATGGTAGGCAGTGCGGTGTGCGGGACAGACGAGGCGGGGTGGGAAGTAGAGGTCGGAGCGGGGAGGAGTCCAAGCGTCAGGGAGTGGGCGTTGTGCAATGGCCCACGAGCAACGTGGAGCGTGCGACGGTAGGAAATGGGCAAGTGGTGAAGAGGACAAGAACAAAACGATGTAGAAGGAGCGAGTTCCAGCAAGGCGTGGAGACAAGTCGATGCACCAGTGGTCAATGCACCAGAGCGGGGCGGGAACGGGAGTGGGCGTGGGTGTGAGGGGGAGTTGTGTTTGAACGAAGCATGGGGCGATGGGCGGGCGCGGGGGGCGAAACGAAGAAACCAGTGTCAGCGACGAGGAGCTCGAGGACGAGAACAAGACGGCCAAGACGTACTCGTGACTAATGGGGCTGCTGTGGAGAGGACGTTAAAGGGCGTTAAAGAAGGTGGGGGGAGAGAGAGGGAGGGTGGAGAAAAGAGACATCAGTAGCACGGTGTGGTTGTTGGGTGTTGATCGCACAGGCCCCAGCCCTGGCACGCGCGGAACCAAAACTCGCCCTCCCCGTGGATTTCGTGGTGAGACGACGCGTTTGTGCCCTGACAGTGCGCGACGCGCTCTCACCCACAAAACAGGTTACGTAATAATAAATCAAGGCATCCGCACCATGCATCGTCTGGCGCTATGAAAGTTGTATGTACCCTTTACACAGGCGACTCGGGGAGACGGTTGCGGAGACTCGAGATACCGTGCTCAGCCGCAGTGTGCTCTGGGGTAGTCCGGCCACTGCTGATCGGCGTTACGCGGCTGTCACCCATCACACCCTCATCCCACTTTGTAGCCGGCGTAAACGAGACGTTGCGACTGATTGGGGCGCTGTCCGTGGTGGTCTGGACGGCGCGGCCAACCTGGCCGCCGAGGTCAAAGTGAACGCGGTCGTCGCTGCCGTCAGTGGCCTTGATGGCGCCGAGGTCGGCAACACTGTTGTTGGCCGTGTCTGCAGGCTTGATGGGAGGCTGGACGTCTCCGAAAGCGACGGGTGGAGGCAGACGCGAAACGAGGTCGGCGCTGGGGTCACCAGTCGAGCGAGTAACGGTGAGAGTACGAGCAAAAGTGAAGCCCTTGCCGACAGGGATGGTGACGCCGTGGACGATGATCGAAGTCAGCACCAGAAAGTAGACGACTGGCAAAATGACACTGTTTTTGTCAGCTGCAAACGCGATAACTTAGCTTACGCTCGGAGACGGTCACGGCTGCCGTTGTCAGGAAGGAACTCCAGGGCGACCTGGGTGTAATAGACTGCGCCGACACCAATGGGACCAAAGTAGCCAGCGAATGCAGCCTCCTTCCAGGTAGGCACTGTGGGGATCCACTTGGACTGAAAAGGGTGGTCAGAAACGGTTTTAAGCGGGGAAAACATACAAGAAGGAGGACCCATGGGAGACGACGGAAAAGGATGACGCAGATGCCAAGAAGGACCAGGCGCCAGGGAGTAATGCCCCAGTAGTTACCAAACTCTGCCCAGGGCATGATGGCACCGATATAAAGGAAGATTGCAGACTGGTGGGTGTCAGCATGTGCACGGTAGAAGCCAAGCGTTCTGCTATGGGTCCAAGGGGCAAATGGTCGAGAAGATGGGTTCGTCTTAGGGGGCCCAAATTTTACACTTACGTTCAACAGTTGGTCAATGACGTCCTGCACTTTGTGGTCCTCTGTCTGCACGCGGAACCAGTCGTCCCAGGTGAAACTGTTACCGACGATAAAGCAGCAGAGAATATCGTCTGAGCCAATGGTGCCAACAACGCCGAGAGTGAGGAAGGTCAAGGCAACGCCAAAGCTCAGGAAAGACTCGTGGTCAATCAGACTTTGCCAGTCAGCCACACGGCTCTGTTCCGGATCTTGGGCACAACTCACCGATGTTCCTCGGCGAACCGGAGCACCTTGCGTGCAATAAAACCAATAATGGTACCGATGATCACCGAGAGAAGAACCTGGTACAACACAATGTTATAGAACCTGCACTGTTAGGTTGGGTCCTGATTACAACACTCTCACCATTCGCCAATGGCGCCACCGATATTGTGGACTGGGTGGTCGGGGCTATGAATCAGGATGAGGTAAAGCGCCATGAACAGGAACGGGAATCCGAGGCCGTCGTTGGCACCGGCTTCAGCAACGATAATGTTGCGAACCGACAGCGGGACATATTTCTCAGCGAAGCGCCCTGTCCGTTAGCAGTGTATCAGAGGCTCCACTCACCCTTGCAGATCGAGTTGGCCAGCACAGGGTCCGTGGGAGTCACACACGAGCCGATAGCCAGCGATTCGAGATACGTGAGTCCGGGGATGAGGGCCCAGATAAAGAGGGCCGTGATAAACCATGCCGCCGTCATGACAGGCAGCAGCAGAGTGGTGAGGCTCATGCGCTCGCGCCAAAGATACGCCTTTGGGAGGGAAATTCCGGTGAACAGGACTTGAATGGCGATAATAATACGCGTAATCTCAAAGGTGAGAACGCTGAGCTTTTCTTCATCGCCACCGACCCATTTCAGCGGGGAGAAGATGTCGGCGCCGAGGGGACCGAAAATAATACCAGCGACGAAAGCGAGGAGGGCCTCGGCTGTGGTGGAATTAGCTAAATGCTGCGACAATGCTTTCACAGGGACCTGTGGTACCTGGCACGAGAGCTACCCCATCATCCAGGGTGGTGGTGACTGCGAGCGTGACACGTACAGAGGAAAAGCTTCTCCTTTAGCCAGTAGGACACAAGGCCCACGATGGCAATGTAGCCACCTGCGACGGCGAGCGCACTGGATGTCTCGGAAACGTCGAGAGCTACCATGTTGGGTGTCTACGTCTGGATGTGTATGGGTGTCGAGGCACCAATGACCAGTGTTATTCCGTGTGGGTGAAGGCAATGGTGTCGCGGTTGCACGCAACGATCTGGATGAGGGTACGACCGAGTGGGGTGACCATTCGTAAGCTGTCAGGCCGAGCGATAGTGGGTGTGGAGCGTGCTGTCGGCGCTAACAAAGTGCCGGTGGACAAGGCTGTTTGGAGGAGAAATCCGTGGATCCGTGGACTCGCACGTTGTTGATGCTTGGCCGTCTACTGGCAGGTATTCTGAGCAGAGACAAGTGGTCGTGGAGGTCTTGGCAAAAGTAAGGGGGGGCAAGTAGAAAGCCAAGAGAATCCAGAATCTCTCGCGGTGAGATGCGATGCCGGCTGCGCAGGGCAAAACATCCCCCCCGGCTACCCCCGCAGCACTTGCCGATTACGTATGAGATCAACGGGGAATTGCCACTTATGAGGTGTCATTACTATCACTCTCTGCCGCCACCGGGCCCAAACGTATCAACCGCGTGCACCGGCCCACCGCGGCGTCATCGTCTGTGCAGCGGAGACAGAGACGCTGGCTGATCACTACTGAGAGCAGTGCATTCACTGTCCACCTTCCAACCCAATCTACCCCCCCACACGTGAACCCACGTTCACCCCCTTTCGCCCAGCATGTCGGTCCAGGATGACCCCAAGATCCTCGCCGACGCGCTCAATGTTGTCAAGGTCCAGACAGTCCAGCTCAAGCGGTGTCTCGAGGCCGAAGAGATCATGGAGGCGCTCAAGGCCGCGTCGACCATGCTGTCCGAGCTGCGTACATCGTCCCTCTCGCCCAAACAATACTACGAGCTTTACATGTCGGTGTTTGACTCGCTTCGCCATCTCAGCACGTACCTGTACGAGGCTCATGTCGAGGGCAAGCACCACCTCGCAGACCTGTATGAGCTTGTCCAGTGAGTAGATGGTAGATCCAGTCGGCTGGACATGCCCCTAACGAAACAGATATGCCGGCAACATTGTGCCCCGCCTCTACCTCATGATTACTGTCGGATCCGTGTACATGTCGATCCCGGATGCCCCCGTACGGGAGATCATGAAGGACATGCTCGAGATGTCGCGCGGTGTTCAGCATCCTACTCGCGGCCTGTTCCTCCGCCACTACCTTTCTGGCCAGACTCGCGATTTCCTTCCTGTCGGCATTGAGGATGGGTATGTTTGCTCGCAGAAGCGGTCCGTTAGCTAACAGACAGACCCAGTGGCAACCTGCCAGACTCTATCGGCTTTGTGCTCACCAACTTTATCGAGATGAACAAGCTCTGGGTGCGTCTTCAGCACCAGGGCCACTCGCGCGAACGTGAGAAGCGCGAGACCGAGCGCCGGGACCTGCGCATCCTGGTCGGTACCAACCTCGTGCGCCTGTCGCAGCTCGAGGGTGTCGACGTCGACATGTACTCGAAGACGATACTCCCTGCCATCCTGGAGCAGGTCGTCAACTGCAAGGACGTGATTGCCCAAGAGTACCTCATGGAGGTCGTCATCCAGGTGTTCACCGACGAGTTCCACCTGCACACCCTCACACCGTTCCTCTCTGCCACTGCCCAGCTGCACCCGCGTGTCAACGTCAAGAACATTGTCATTTCGCTCATTGACCGTCTGGCGGCGTATGCGGCTCGCGAGGCTGAGAATGAGGACCCAGATGAGAAGAAGCGCGGCGAGGAGGAGGCTGCTCGCAGGCTTGCCGACAAGGTGAAGGGCGCGCGCGACCAGCACGTTCGCCAGAGCATTGATGGTGGCAAGCCCCAATCGCCCCGTCCCGCCGAGGCCGACGAGTGGGCCGGCAAGGACGACGAGGCCAAGGAGGAGGTCAAGGAAGAGGCCAAGGAGAATGGCAGTGCCGAGACTGGCGACGAGGAGAAGAAGAAGGGGGAAGAGGGAGAGACGGCTGAGGAGCCCAAGGATCCCGAGGAGCAGCCCAAGGAGGAGGCTGCGGTGTTGCCCAAGCCTAAGACGTTTCGTGGCATCCCCGAGGACGCCCGCCTTTTCGAGGTGTTCTGGCAGCAGATTGTCGAGCTTATCAAGGTGAGCTGCAGTCGACCTGGTCCCAGCTGACAACATTTCAGGCTCGCCCAGACCTTTCCATTCAGGACATTACCGCACTCTTTGTGTCGCTCGCCAACCTGTCGCTCAGCTGCTACCCGGACCGCCTCGAGTACATTGACCAGATCCTTTCGTACGCCACCTCCAAGGTGCACGAGTTCCAGCAGAGCCAGGACTTGCATGCGCCGCAGACGACTGCCAACCTTCTGGCGCTGCTGCTCGCCCCCATCCAGTCGTACCTCTCGGTCCTCACCCTTCTTGCGATTCCGTCGTACACCCCTCTGCTGGCTGCTCAGCCGTACACGACCCGTGCAGCTATTGGCCACGCCGTCGTGTCGTCGGTTCTCAAGAACAACACTCTGATCGAAACTACGGTCGACGTCGAGGGTGTTCTTGGCCTTTGCGCGGTGCTCATCCGCGACCAAAAGGACGCTACCGGCGCCCAGGGTCCCGCGGCACGCAGGCAGCCTGTCGACCTGCGTGAGATGGCCGAGGAACAAGGATGGGTTGCGCGCATGGTGCACCTCTTCCGCTCCGAAGACCTTGCCACGCAAAACGACCTGTTGCAGACTGCCAACCGCATCTTTGCCGACGGTGGCGAGAGGATACGCTGGACGTTCCCGCCCCTCATCGCCAGCAGCATCCAGCTGGCGCGGAGGTTCCGCGCGCGCCAGGCCGAGGAGAAGGACTGGGAGACTCGCGTGTCATCGCTGTTCAAGTTTATCCATCGCCTAATCTCTATCCTGTACAACAAGGTCGAGGCGCCCGAGACGTGTCTGCGACTCTTCCTCCTGGCCGCTCAGGTCGCCGACGACTGTGGTCTCGAAGAGCTCACGTACGAGTTCTTCGTCCAGGCCTTTGTCATTTACGAAGAGTCCATCTCCGAGTCTCGGGCTCAGCTCCAGGCTATTACGGGTATCATTAGCACGCTCCAGGCTTCGCGCGTGTTTGGTCCTGACAACTATGACACGCTCATCACAAAGGCGGCGCTGCACGGCTCCAAGCTCCTCAAGAAGAGCCACCAGGCCACAGCGGTGCTGTACGCATCGCACATGTGGTGGCAGGGCGACGAGGCCGGCCGCGAACCCCGCACCAAGCCGCCTCTCAGGGACGGCAAACGCGTGCTCGAGTGTCTCCAAAAGTCGCTCCGCATCGCCACGGGCTGCATCGACGAGCTCACTTCGGTCCAGCTGTATGTGGACGCGCTGGACCGTTACCTTTATTACTTTGAGCAAGGTGTCGAGGCCGTCACGCCCAAGTACATCAACAGCCTGGTCGAGCTCATCACATCCAACATTGATTCCGTGCACAGCACCGACGTGCACCCGTCGTCTGCCAGCCCGCCCGGCCTGGTTGACGGTGTCAACACGCCCGACATGATTGTCAAGGTAAGCTACCGCTTGAGGCCGCATGGAGCTAACAAAACAGCACTTTAAGAACACGCTCCGTTACATCCAGAGCAAGCAGAGGCAACACGCCGGACGGGGCAGCGACGAGGAGGAGGGCGAAGAGGGCGAGGACGGCGAGCGCGGCAAACCTGTAGACTGGAGCGCTGTCGACGTCGTCGGCGGCTCCCTCAAGATGGGCATGTCGCAGTAAACAGTAGCGGAGACTCGGTCCTGGGGCGGATTTTCTTATTTCTCTTCTCTCCAATTTTTGTAATAGAACATGCGATTCTACATGACGACAACGTGTGTGTGTGTGTACAGAGTGAGAGAAATGTATTCTAACGGTCTAGAGGGCGTGGGTGAGGTGCGATTGCGACTGCTGGGACTGGTTTGACGCGCCCCTACGCATTGGTATGGCGCCATCGCGAGTGAACGGGTTCGGCGACGAGGCAGTGGAGCTAGGGGTGTAAGTCCCCTGTCCGCCGGCCGCTGGGTTGATGGCTGGCAAGCGCAACGGCGTGGGCGGATTGGAGCGGTGGTTACGGCTAGGAGTCGGTGTCGGGGTCGGGATGGGTGACAGGGTGAGCGTGGGCACTGCGTCGGTGTTGGTCCTGTTGGCCATGGGTGTGGGGCTACCAGGCCGCGAGGCAAACGAGCCCCTTTCGCGCCTCTCGTTGCGCGCATTGGTGGCGGCAGCGGCAGCCTGAAGCACATCTGGCGGGAGAGGGGGCATGGGTGGCCGATACTCGTCCCCCCTGCTGTAGTCCGGGTGGGCAGAGTGCGCGCTGCTGCTGTGTGCGGAGAGACGGCTCGCCGAACTGGACTGCGATCCTGAACGGTGTCGGAACGCGGCACCGACGGCGCTCGCGCCCGACAGCGAGGAACCATCGTCCCAGCGCTCGAGCTGCTCACGCTCTTGCCTTTCCCTCTCGCGCTCTTCTTTCTCCCTTGCGCGTTCCTCCTTTCTCCTCGCACGGCGGTTCTCCAGCACTTCGCGCGCGATAGCGTCCAGCGCCGCGCGCATTTGGTTCGAATATGAAAAATCGACCGACGTGAACCCTTCAAAGTTTCGTAGGCTGATTGTCGCGCCGCGTTCAAGCAGGACACGCGCACAGGCAATGTTACCCCATGCGCTGGCATAGTGCAAAGGTGTGTTGCCCTGCAAATCCGCCAGGTCCACGTCGGCGCCAAAGTCGCACAACGTCGCAATGAACATTGCGTTGTCGGCTTGCGCGGCATAGTGGAGTGCCGTCTTGCCGTCCGTGTTGCTCCAGTCGATCAAAAAGGGAAAGAGCGTGTAGTACACCTCTGTCATCCGGAGACAGATATCCACCATGTCGTCGGGCACCCTCGTGGGTGGTCGAGGCGGGAACTCGGGAGACGAGGTGAGGAGGTGGGCAGCAGGCGAGATGGAGGGCGGTGCAGGCGCCGCAGCAAGCAGGTGGAAGATGGTATTGTGCTCTGCGTCCTGTACTTGTCAGTTGCATGCTCGAGGGAACCCCGCAACTCACCCTGCTGAGCTCCTGGTCGTCATGGCCATAGTCAAGGAGGAGCCACTCAAACACTTCTAGGTTGCCCTCGATGGCTGCCCATGCGAGGCTGGTGAGCCGCATGCGGTCCGTGTTCCGGAGGTCGAAACGGTGCTGGAGACGCTGGAGGAGGGGCACATTGTTGTCTATGACAGTGTCAGTACAGCACTTGTTGACGTTGGGAGACGAGCAAGCCCCGGATGGAGCAAGGGTCATCGGCCATCGCCGTCAATCTTCATACGGTCTTGGGGATGGATACTCACCACGCACGGCCTGCCGCACGCGAATGGACGGTTTGCGCACGACGTGTAGTCGTGAGCTTGGCTCCCCTGCTGGGAAGGGGTCGTTGATGGCGGCGACGGCCATCGTGCCAGAGTCGTTGATGGGGGTGGATGGGCGGCCCGATGGGGGAGGGAAAGCTGCAGAGAGCAGTGACGACGAAACGGTGATGCGGCAAGTGGCATGTTCTCGCTCTCGGCCGCCCAGTGGCCGCTCCGTCTCTCACCGGCGGGACTATTACCGGAAGACACTGGGGGGCCACATATGGTCTTCGGCATTCTGTCACCGCCGCCAGACCTCTTTCCATCCTTGCTCCTCCGCATCTCTCTCTCATCAACTACACCCCCGTCCCAACATCAAATGTCCTCTCTCCCACCCAGGCCAAAACCCTGGGAGACAAAAACAGCAGCAGAGGCATCCATCCCACCAACCACCGCCGCGCCAGCACTCGCCTCTGGGTTTGACGCGGTCGCTGCGTCCTCTTCGTCCGTCGCCCCGCGTCTCCCTGACCGCCCTGCCGGCCTCGGCACTGACGGATCCGTCGTCCCGGCATCTGGTGCGTATTAGGCCCCATGGGTCCAGGTGGCTCACACTTTTGCCCACTTGTCACTCTCTCTTTATCTTGTTCTTGGTCGCTGACACGGGCTCTCTCCTGTACAGGCGCTTACGGAGCGTCATCAGCTTACGGCTCGCGTTACGGAGCAACATCATCCTACGGCATGACGCCCTACGGTATGGGAGGGTACAGCTCGTACTCTAGCCCCATGTCCCGGATGGGCGGGTACGGCGGATACGGCGGTATGGGAGGAATGGGCGGTCTGGGAGGCATGAGCGGCTACGGCGGCTATGGCTCGTATGGCGGCGGCATGGGAGGCTACGGCGGCATGGGAGGCTACGGTGTTGGTGGCATGGGTGTCCCCGGCGAGGTGAGTGTTGAGTCGCAATGTTGGCAGTGCGATGGCAGTTGCCATCAGACACACACACAGAACCTGTGTGCGAGCGCACGACGCTGACATTTTCACCCAGATGCCCAACTTGACCTCTTCCATGCAGCAGAGCACTGCACCTGCGTTTGCCATTATCGAGTCTCTCGTGACAGCGTTCACTTCGCTCGCACAGCTTGTCGAGAGCACATACATGGCAACCCACTCGAGTTTCTTCGCCATGGTCGGTGTCGCAGACCAGCTCGGCAGCCTCAAGACATATCTGGGCCAAGTGCTGGGTGTCTTTTCAATCCTCCGACTCGGCCGCCGCATCATCAACTGGCTGCGGGGGAAGAAGAACCCCCCCAACACCGAAGGCTGGGCCAACGAGTGGTCTGCCGCACTGGCCGGTGGCGGTATGCCCGGTGCGGCTGCTCCTCGCCCAAGCGCCAAGCCCCTTATTCTCTTCCTCTTGAGCGCCGTTGGACTCCCCTACCTCATGAGCAGGCTGGTCAAGCTGCTCATTGCCAACCAGCAACAGCAGGCCGCGGCCAACGGCCAGATCATGGACGCCAACGGCATGATCGACCCCAGCAAGCTCACCTTTGCCCGTGCCCGCTGGGAGTTCCGCCCCTCTGAGGAGTGGGAGCTTGGACTCCAGCCCGACGAGATTGTCGCTGTCCTCGAGCAGCGTGAGGGCCAGCAGGGCCAGGCCGGTGACATGGGCTGGTGGCGCGGACGGACGCGCGATGGCCGTATGGGCTGGTTCCCAGGCAACTACGTGAGCAACAGTTTAACCGGGCTGTTTGGGTATGACAGTAGCTGACGCGACAGGTCGAGGTCATTAAGAAGCGCGACGTGCCCGGCGGCGTGCCAGGACAGCCAATGACGCCGATGCCCATGTCTCCCGGCGCCATCCCCGTGTAACGACTTTGCAGCGAAAGTGTAGTCAGACCAGAGCAGCGGCGGTAGATACAGACGGATGAGGGAGGCACGTTTGGCTAGAGCGAGGAGTACCGGAGTTGTGCAGTCATGGGGTGTTCATGGCGTAGACTGTAATCACGATACCATGTCACAGGTGTTTTTAGTCGTCCCAGTTGAGTTGGAAGCGGCGCCAACAGCGGGCCTGGAGATGGACGTCAGGACAATCAGGATGAATTTGAGGAAAAGTGCGGGGCCCGACCGTGACTTTGGCTCGGTGGCGGCCGTGACGCGTGTTGGAATGGCGTCGCCAGCCACTGTTACGGCTTCAGCATCACTCTCCCTCAGTCACCCTCTCCACTTTCCGACTGCATCCCACCTTCGCCTCCCCTACAACACCTCTCCCCGCCTCTGAAAACGGGGTGACGAGGGCACCTTTTCTCCCTCGTCACCTCTTTGCTCGCCAACAAAGAAACGGCCATGCGCACGTCTCCTCGCCTGCGCCTGGCCGGCGGCGCGGTCGCGCTAATTCTCGCACTGGTCTTCCGGCGGCTCATTCTCCAGACGCTCCTCTTTCCACTCTTCCTTTGTGCTGCAGTGGTGGCCGGCGTGGCTATAGTCATTACGACTGTTACACAAGCCGACAGGCGTAGCCCACCGCTTTCCTTTGTCGATCGACAACGCGCCGCAACTCGTCCACTGGCGTTCGCATCGACACCAGAGTGGCCAGCTCACGTTGCCGCTTTTGCCGCCGAGGACAGCGACGACCAAATCTTTGAGCCCGTCCATGGTTTGGCGACGGATAACGTCTCTACACGACTGGACAAACTTCTGACACTTATCCGCGGCTCGTTCATCCTGCCGTGGTACGTGCGTATCTCGCCCAGTCGCGCATTCCCGGACGCCATCGAGCGCAATGTGCGCATAGCGTTGACGGCCGTCGCTCACCGCGTCGAGGTGGTGGACTGGCCATCGCTCGTTGTCTCACGCGTGCTGCCTATTGTCACCGACCATTTGCAGCACTACAAGACGATTGAGCACTTAGCCGCCCCTGTCGGCAGCAAGACCACTGCCTCGCTCCCCCTCCCCCTTTCCGACAAGGCACACCCGGCCCTCGCACCCCAGATTCAAGTCAGTGCCGAGGCCAACATTCCCTCTGTCGAAGCACACCTGCGTGTGATTGTCGAGCGGATCATCGCCGATGTCATGCCGCCGCACGAGCAATCCGAGGTGGTGTCCATCCTCGTCCGGGAAATTGTCCTCGGCGCAATCCTCGTGCCCGTGTTCAACATGCTCTGCGATAGCGACTTTTGGAATCGCCAGATTGATGAGCAGGGTGGAAAGTACCTGTACAGGAGGTGGGTAACTTTCGCGACTGGAATCTAACCCGTCCAGAAAACAAGTCAACAGAGTCTTGTCTGCGCTGTCTGCCGTGCCGGCTGCGGGCACGCCTTCCCCGTCACGTATCCGCAAGCAGCAAGGTGCCTCGACCATCACTGTGCACTCTACGACCAAACAGTTTGACGAGTTTATGAGGTCTATCCCCAAGCTCAAGACACTGGGCGAGGCGCGTCGTTTACGAGCCGACCTGAACCGTGAACTGCGGTCTGCTCGCGCTGCACAAAAGATTGCGGCTACCATAACAGACGCTCAAGGTGACCAGGCGTTGAGGCGTGCAGACAGGTATATCCGCCGCCTTGAGCGGGCTAGGACCCACATTGATAGGCGTATTGTCGCACTGTCTGGTGGCTCGGTGAGTTGTGCGCTTCCCGCCATTGTCAACTGATGCCCCAGTCCCCGCGCGGCTCCTCACCGGCCACCGACTCGCCCACTGTCATCAGAATGGTTTCTGCCAACCTGTACACGATCCTCTCCGACCCGTCTTCCCTCGCCTACTGGCTCGAGTACATGGAACGTCGCGGGCGGTCACACTTGGTTCAGTTCTGGCTCCTGATTGAAGGATTCAAGGACCCCCTCGAAGCTTCGGGCCAAATGCTTGCCCTGGAGAATGTCGAAGGCCCCGACTCGCGTCCGGGAGCCAACGACGCGACCATTGGTGACGACACTGCCTTTCTCAACAATGCCTACTTTGTCAACTCGACTCCCAAGATTGTCATCTCCCCCAAGCTCGTGGCTGACATCTCGTACACTGCAACTCACGTTGGACCGCTCAGCCCTCAGGACGTGATCCGCGCCAAAAAGGCAGTCTACCGTGCCCAAAAGGAGGTGTATGACCAGATGGAGGAGGAGGACTGGGCAGAGTTTCAGCAGAGCGAGCTGTACCTCAAGGCGCTTGCAGACTTGAAGAATGCCGCGCCCAAGGTGCGCCCTGCGATGCGCTCAGTGTCATACTCGCCGCCTCCGAGCCCCTCGGTTGCAAAGCTCGCTCCTTCAGCCGCTCCAGTGCGGCGCTTGTCTGACAACCCTTCGATGCCCCGTCGCCCGTATCTTGTCAACGGCAGCTTTGCACCATTGTCAGCCAGCGCGACGACGGCAGTGACGACCGATATGAACCCTCCCATGCGCAAGGTGACCCCCGAGTCGATGCACTCTGGCGCTTCCAACGGTGGCTCCCCGCGCGCAATGACGACCCCGACAATAACGACCACCTCGACACCGCCTCAGCTTCCTTCTTCTTCTTCAGCGGCGGCCGGGAACCGCAGGTCCATGCACTTTGACTTTCTCATGGGCGGCGACGACCTTGGTGGATCAGAAGAACGTGACCGACTGTTTGAAGACGAAGAAGAGGACGAGGCTGCCCTCCTGGAGGCGCAGCGCATGGAGGAGATCCAGGCAGCGTTGAATGAGATTATCGCCAACGAAGACATGTCGTCTAGTCAAGACTTGCGGCGCGGCGCGTCGAGCCAGGACCTCATGCGTGCCAAATCTAGCCAGGACCTCTTGCGGTCGTCCAGCCACGACCACCTCCCAAACGCAAGGTTGCTCAAGGGCACCCCAACTCCACCCGAGGTAGACCCTCTGAGCGCTTCCGTCGAGCTTGTTCGCCCCGATCGCCACCCACTCGCCGGCAACAAGCTGACCTCGCGTTCTGCCGAGGACCTCCAGTCGCTCATGGGCTCGTCCACCGCTCCCAGTCCCGTCCGTCGCGTGTCACAGTTTGACGCGCGAGCCGTCCGTGGCGCCCGGCGAGTACGTCTTGGCAGTGTCGACATGGCCACTTCGTCTGCACGTCCCACAAAGAGCATCTTTGCAGACGAGGACGATGATGTGCTGGGGGGCGTTCCCGATGTTCCCGAGGTCGACGAGGAAGGCGATGGCGGTGCCGGCGGTGTCCATCAAGCTGCACCTGGTGATATGCAAATTTCGATTGAGATTGGCCGGCTCGGCAACAAAATCACCGAGCTCACCCAGCAAGACGCGCTCCTCGGCCAGCTCATTCGACAGGCCGAGTTGACAGGCAACGACAATGAGCTCAAGTTGCTCCAACGTTCCCGCTCCAGTCTGCAGCGCGAAGTGCGAACTGCGGAATTCCAGAAGCGCCAGTATGAGCAGCAAGAAGAGGAGAACCGTCTCGTTCCCGGTCGCACAAAGGTGGACATTCCACGCACGTCCTTGGCCGACGACGAAGGCCGCCAAGTCGTGCGGTACAATGTCGAGATTCGCCAAGTGGAGCCCGACGGGCGCACGCGCCTCTCGTGGATTGTCACACACCGATACAACGAGTTTTGGGAGTTGGACCGCGCGATCCGCGAAGTGGCGGCCACGTCCAACAACATTGCCTTTGTGGAGGCTGTGCGCACCAAGATGAAGGAGATTCCCGGCAAGCGTCTCGTGCCGAGTCTGTCTGCCTCGTTTGTAGAGTCGCGCCGTGCCGGGCTGGAAAAGTACCTCCAGTCGATCATTGCGTGCGGACCGCTCTGCGACTCGCTCTTGGTTCGCAACTTCCTCTCACAGTCTTCCGGCGCTGTTACTTCCGATCTCTCGACCTCCACGGGATCTTTGGCGGCGTTGCCCACCCACCTCGTCAAGACGCTCTACAAGACCGTCACGAGCTCGCTGGACGAGGCCCTGGTTCCGTCCATGTTCGACCTCATGAGCCAGTCTCTCCAGCGGCAGATCTATGAGGTTGCGGGCGGTATCGGAGCCGTCACTGAAGTGATGCCCAGCGCTCTCAGAGGTGGACCGTGGTGGCAGTCACCGTCAAGCATGACCGCGCCCCTCCCATCCATTGCGTCCAGTACTTTGATCGCTGGCAACATGGCCCCGGCCATTGGTGTCGGCGGTACCCAGCTCTTACAACCACTGGATGGCGAATCGGCAGCTGGGAGCTTTACAGCGCCCATCTGTGACCTCTTCATTGAGCTCTTTGACCTCAAGGAGAACAACTGGCTGCGCCGCCAAGCCATCGTTCTCATCCTGCAGCAGGTCCTGGGAGGCACGATCGAGCGCAAGGCGCGCGACACGTTCCGTACCTATTCGTCTGAACACGGCGTGGACAAGGTCCTGCGCGTCTTTCAAGATACAATGTGGCCTGGGGGTGTGCGTCGTCCGCCCTCGACCCCGCGCACCGAGCAGGAAAAGCACGAGACGCGCGTGGGCGCCAGCCGCAAGCTCGCGCTGCTCATGCCGGATGTCGCGGCCAACATGATTGGGCGGGGCAACGCGCGGCGTGCGGCCCAGCGCGTGTTTGGCGCACTGCAGGATACCAAGATGAACCAGCATCTCGTGCTGAGCGTCATGGACGAGGTGAGTGGGCCAATGGGCCAGTTGTACGGGTGGTGTGGGGCTGACAAGAGCAGATCTTTGGCGCGCTGTTTCCGCCCCCAGCCAAGTAATGACGACACTGGCGCACATCTATGATCCATTTGGCGATAGGCCTTCTCTTCAGTACACCTTTGTTGTCCATTGTCTCTTTTTTGGTACACTTTGCGACGTCGTTTATTATAATTCTGCAACTGGGGCAACGACTTGGCACACCTTGATTCTTGCTCTCTGTCCATTATCCTTTGGGTACCCAACTTTATGCTTGTCTGTCCATTGTCTTTCATGGTGCCCGTTGCAACATCAGGTCATGGTTATGCAACGCTACTGGGGCGACGGTTCATTCAACTTCATCTATGCAGGAGATCATTCTACTAACAGCACGACATCATTCTACTGACAAGTCAAACTCTATGGAGGGATAAAATACAGGGCGACAACACTGTTGTGGCGTTGCGGGCATTGAAAGCCCGGGGGCTGGATATGAAGGGATGGTGGGTTGGGTTGGTGGTTTTGATGACAAAGCGAGGGATCAAGATCAAGATCGACGGCAGCGGGCCTCGTTGAAGCTGGTTTACTGGCGTTACAACCTCTAATACTTGTCGTCCAGGTTGTGGACGCGGCCCGGCGAGTCGGGGCCGTTCATCTGGTAGTCGTGCGTCACCTTGGGAATGGCCGTCTCGGCGGTGAGGATCTTGGGTGGCCAGTACCAGCAGTAGACGACGAGGCCGATCCAGAGGGGGATAGTGTCGAGGCCGAACACGAAGGCCTCGTGCGTGGCCAGGTAGCCGACGTAGCCCTGCGACAGCTCGACGACACGGAAGCACGAACGGACGATGAAGAAGATACACGTCCAGCCGAGCGCAAAGTAGAGGCCCTTCCAGCCAGGGTGGTTCCAGACGACAGTGTCGCGGCGACTGGAGACGGGTGAGAAGGGAACAAACAGGAGGGTAGGGGTGTGTGAGAAGACTTACGCCCTGATGAGGAAGACGAGCCACATAAAGGTGAACAGGATAAAGCTGCCGAGCTGGGCTGCCAGACCGACGAGGAAGATCTTGGGTCCGATCTTGGCCATGGAGGCCATGGCCGACATACCGCCGCCAGTGGCCTGGATGAGGAAAGTGACGACTGGCAATGTCAGCTGTGTGTCTGTGTATTCATTCGCAACCGTGTTGCGTCACTCACCATCGGAAATGATAAAGATGGTGCTGACCTTTTCAGGCCTGATGAAAAGGTACCTGTCGGCGTTGAGCCAGCGGACAAGACGGCCCAGGAGCACATAGTCGGCCGCGACTGTAGGGTGTTAGTATGCGGATAAGATAAGGTTGCACTGCGCAGCCAAGGTGTCGCAACCCTTGTCGTACTCACGAAGACCACAAGGACTCAGGATGACGAACATGTTGGTGACTTTGAAGCCGGTCAGTCCCGCCACTCCATACTGCAACCTGCTGCAAACAACGTACCGATGTAGCCACCGAGACTGTGGACGTTGGTCCTGAGCCAGATACGCAGCGCCAGGCCGATCGCCTCACACGCGACCGAGATGGGGAGCACCATGAACCACAGACCCAGTTTGCGGTAGCGGATCTGGTAGTAGATGGTGATCGCCGCGGCGGTGCCGTACAGGGCAACACCGGTGGCATTGAGCGCGATGCTGGGGATGTAGCGGAGGGGGTTACAGCTGCGAGCGAGAGATCAGCGTGGTGTCTTGAGTGCAGGCAGGTCACACGTCTCGGGCACGGCGACCTGGCAGGTCTGGGTTGGCACTGGCGGTACCACCCACTCTGTGGCAGCGGCCGCCGATCCACCGGACACGTCCGGGCAGAGTACACGGGCATGAAACTTACGTGTCCGTCGCAGCATCGATGGTCGCGGGGTCGAGGAGACAGTCCGGGTTGTCGCTTCTACCCATGTTTGCTGGTTGATTGCTTGGCTAATGTGTACAGAGGTGGGTGTAAATACAGGGGCGCCGCGTGGGGCCGGATTTGAAGGGTGTGGAGGAGGAAGCGAAAGGGTACGGGGAAGGCAGAAGAGACGCGAGAAGGAGGGTCACGCGCGAGGTCGAAAAGAGTACTGCCGTTGGGACCAGTTGTCTTGCTGTTGCTAGAGTGCGTGTTTCTGAGAGAGAGGAGGTGGAATGGGGATGCTTTTGCTGCTTGCTCTCCTCGTTGTTCTTATGGAGAAATGCGCCGGTGGTGCCATGGGGGTGCAGTTGCTCGGGGGCTTGCCGGCGGAACAGGGCTCACACCACTGTCAAGAGGCGGAAACCCCGCACGGGTTTCCCGAGACGGCCATTCAGCCCTGCCCAGCAAACGGCAACTTGCGCACACACGGACAAAGCGCAGGTCGTTCTATCGCGAGGCCGTCGGCGATGCGGCGACGGTGGCACATTGTACCGCTGCACGCGAAGCACGTTGCAGTGCAGCTGGAGGGTGCTCTGGCCGTTTGCGGAGTGGGGATGCCAGGTCGGTGCGCGGCGCGGTGGGTAGAAATGCGGAGTGGAGGGATGTAGACCGTCTATGAGCGGCGTGCCGGAGCGGCCCGAGTGAGCATGGTGAGCAGCGGTGTCACGTGACGCTGCAGCGACGCCGCGCCGCCATGGTCCGACGCCGACGACTGGGAAACCCGACGGGTCATGACCCTCGCCGCAGGCTCGGCGGTTGCACGCCGACGACCCCGTGGAATGGCACTGCCTCGCTACCTCTGTAGCGCGCACTGCCACCGCTCGGACGACACGCGAGCGCGCGTGCAGGTTGGGCTGTTTCAATATCAACAGATCTGGCAAAGACACCGAACCCAGGGAAGGTCTCGCAAGCAGTTGAATTTTCTGGGGGACATCGCTAAGAGCACCGAAGAGCACCACACTGGTATCACGCACACACCGCGCCGCACCCACTAGCGACGGCCTCTCCCCTCCATCGCTTAACGAGAGTGTCACGATAGCGTCGCATTTGCTGTGCTCGGCGGTCGAGTTGTGCGGCGACGAACGGCGGGAAACCCGTCAAACCACCAATTGAAAACTCAGAAACCGAGACACATCCATTGACAAAAACACCTCATGGCGGCATGGCCTCATGACCACCAGCCGCCACCAGCGCACAGCAAATGCAACCGATATCGGCCCCGATACTGCACGAGGATCACTAGAGGTCACGGTCACGGTCAGCCGTGATGCATAAGCTACAATCCGTACAGCACGACTACAGTAGCAATTACTGGTCACCCCAGTCGCGGGTTATCAGGGGGGGGAATCCACACTGCCAAAAACGAGAGAGAGAGAGAAAAGAGAGAGATAGAACACCGGGGGCTTACCGGCTCGCGAGGATGAGTGTGCGGTCCGTGTCATCCATCTGCGAGTCGGACATGAAGTTGTGTCCGGGCGGGTTGGGCTTGGTCGTGAGGACCTTTGCAATGGCCGCAAGGAGGTCGCCGCGACGCAGGGGTTTGGTGACATACGCCGTCATGCCGGCTGCGAGACAGCGTTCCTTGTCGCCGATCATGGCGTGCGCAGTCAGTGCAATGATGGGTGTGGGCGGGATGCCCGAGACGGCCTCGTGCTCGCGGATCAGACCCGTCGCCTCCATACCGCCCATGACGGGCATGGACACGTCCATGAGAATGACGTCGAACGGCTTGCGCTCGAGCTGTCGCCGCTTGTACTTGTCAATGGCAATCTCGCCATTGTCCGCGACCTCGATCTTGTGGCCGGCGACCTCGAGGAGCTTGACGGCCAGCTTTTGGTTGACGACATTGTCCTCGGCGAGCAGGATGTTGAGCACCGTGTCCTTGACCGAGTCTCCGGGCTGCACCTGGTGCGACTCGAGTGCGGGCACAATGGCGTTGGACAGCTCTTGCAGGTTGAGAGGCGTCGTGTAGTATGTGTTGATCCCCATGTCGAGGCAGTCCTTGACGGGGACGGGCGAGAGGACCTGCTCGGCATGGCTCGGGAGACCGAGCAGCTTGCGGCGGAACTCGTTGAGGTCGATGAACGAAGGGTTGTCGGGGCCTGGGGCACGCGTCGAGGGCGCTAGCAAGACAATGGGGATGTAACGCAGGTGCTCGATGGTACGTATCTTTTCGGCCGCAGCGAGCGAGTCGACCATCATGGTGTCAAAGTGCGGGAAGCCTTCGTGCTGCTTGAGGTCCCACACGGCGTTGGCCGAGTGGATGACTGTCACATTGAGGTTTAGATCGGTGAGCATCTCGCAGACTCCCGTGTCGTCGCCAAGCGTGTCGATGAACAGCACCGAGCGGCCGGCCCACGGCGAGAGACGCTCCACAACACCCTCGCGCGACGTCGAAGTGGTCTCGGCGGTCATGGTGAAATAGAACCTCGAGCCCTCGCCAAACTCGGACTCGACCCAGAGGTTTCCGTTCATGAGGTTGACCAGGCGCTTGGAAATGGTCAATCCGAGACCGGTACCACCATACTTGCGGGTGGTGGAGCCGTCGGCCTGGGCAAACGTGTCAAAGATGACATCGAGCTTGTCCTGCTTGATTCCAATACCCGTGTCGGCGACACAGAACTCGAGCTCCACCTCGTCGTCCTTGGACGCCTTGACGCGACACGAGAGTGCGACCTGGCCTTCGGTGGTAAACTTGACGGCGTTGCCAATGAGGTTGGTGATGACCTGGCGCAGACGGAGGGGGTCGCCAATGAGCTGGTCCGGAATGAAGGGGTCAATGTCGAAAATGAGGTCGAGCTTGTTCTGGGATGCCTTGACACAGAGGGTCTTGAGAACGCTAAACACGGCGAGGCGGAGCGAGAAGGGAATCTGTTCCATGGTCATGCGACCGGCTTCAATCTTGGAAATGTCGAGTATGTCGTCGATAATGGTGAGCAACGAGGACGCCAGCGACGACACAATCATGAGGTTTTCGCGCTGCTGGCGAGTCAACTCGCTCTCGAGGGTGAGGACTGTCATGCCGATAATACCGTTCATGGGCGTACGGATCTCGTGCGACATGTTGGCGAGGAACTCGGACTTTGACCTGTTGGCAAGTTCGGCCTGCTGTCTGGCGCTCGTGTTCTTTTCGATAGACTCGCGAAGGTTGTACACCATCTGGTTGATCTTGGTCTTGAGAGAGTCCATTTCACCCGACGCCTCGACCGTGATGAAACGCGTAAAGTCTCCGTCCGTTGCAGCGGCCGAAATTTGGGCAAACGCACGCACTTGGGATGTGAGGTTGGAGGCCATGGTGTTGACGTTGGAGGTAATCTCCTGCCATGTACCCTCAATGTTCTCGACTTCGGCCTGCACACCCAGCTTGCCCTCGGTACCGACCTCGCGGGCGACACGCGTGACTTCAGCGGCGAAGATGGCAAGCTGGTCAATCATGTTGTTGATAGTGTTGACAAGGTCCAGTATCTCTCCCGAGACGGTGACACCGACGACCTTTTGGGTGAGGTCGCCGCGCGCGACAGCGGTGGTAGCGTGGGCAATGGTTCGCACTTGGACAGTTAGGTTGGCAGCCATGACGTTGACACAATCGGTAAGGTCCTTCCACGTTCCTGCAACTCCGGGTACGCGCGCTTGACCGCCTAGCCTGCCGTCTGTACCGACTTCACGAGCGACACGCGTGACCTCGGACGAGAATGAACGTAGCGAATCCACCATGGCGTTGACAGTGTCCTTGAGCTGGAGAATCTCGCCAAAGGCCTCGACGGTGATCTTCTTGGAGAGGTCACCGGCAGCGACAGCAGTTGTGACTTCGGCGACGGAGCGCACCTGAGTCGTGAGGTTGAGAGCCATGAGGTTGACGTTGTCCGTGAGAACCTTCCAAGTGCCTTCGACGTTGGGAACCAAAGCTTGACCACCGAGTTTGCCTTCTGTACCGACTTCAAGCGACACACGTGTCACTTCTGCCGCAAAGACCGTAAGTTGAGCCACCATGTCGTTGACAGTCATCTTGAGGTCGAGTATCTCGCCCTGGACGTCGGCATTGACAGTCTTGTTGAGGTTGCCGCGAGCGACGGCCTTTGTGACTTCGGCAATCTCTCGCACTTGTTCCGTAAGGTTACCGGCCATCTTGTTGACGTTGGTGGTGAGGTCGGCCCACACACCCTCGACACCGTCGACGACGGCTTGACCGCCGAGAATACCTTGCGTTCCGACCTCGAGCGCGACACGGGTGACTTCACCAGCGAATGTGGTGAGTTGTTTGACCATGGAATTGACAGTGTCCTTTAGAACTGCCATTTCGCCTTCGGCTTCGATTTCAATGGTCTTGGATAGGTCACCCTGTGGGGGCGTTAGCGTTCTGAAGGATAGACAGGGGGTGGACTTACTCTGGCGACAGCCGTCGTGACGCTACCGATGGATCGCACCTGTGTTGTGAGGGAGTGACACATTCGATTGACCTGGGGGTCAGTTGATGACGAAGAGCAGGTGCAACTCACATTAACGGTTAGATCTTTCCATACACCTTCGACGTCTGGGACGTATGCTTGACCGCCTAGTTTTCCTTGAGATCCGACTTCCAGTGATACACGACTGACTTCGTCTGCTAGCAATCGTAGACTCATGACCTGGGGCTTGTCAGCTGGCACTATCAAAAGCTGCTCACCATTCCATTGACCGTGGTAGCAAGTTCAGCGATTTCGCCACTGGCGACAACGGTAATCGTTTCCGAGAGGTCGCCACGGGCGACAGCCTTTGTAACCTTTGCAATGCTGCGGACTTGGTCGGTAAGGTTTGCAGCGAGACGGTTGACGACGTTGGTGAGTTCACGCCATGTGCCCTCGACGTCCTCGACGACAGCCTGACCACCGAGCTTGCCCTCTGTGCCTACCTCGAGCGAGACACGCTCGACTTCAGTTGCGAATGTCTTGAGGCGGTCGACCATAGAGTTGATAATGTCCTTGAGTTCCGTCATGGCCTGTCCCCTGACTGGCACAATGATCTTTTGGGTAAGGTCGCCCGTAGCGACGGCCTTGCACACGCGCGCGATATCCTGAACCTGAGCCTTGAGCAATTCCAGTTCCTTTTCAGCCGAGAGACCAGGCTCGCCGTGGGTGGCGCCTGCCCAGCCGGGGGTGCCGTTGTTGACGCGAGGAGACGAGAGTTCGAGAGAAGCGAATGGAGACGTGGGGATGTGGACACCGGTGGGACGCTGGCAGCTGGGGCAGACGCCAGAGTCGAGCTGGGGTGGCGGGGTGTGGACGGGCGCGGGAGGCATGAGGATCTGCGATCCGATGGGAGTGGTACCGGCGGGGGTGGACGCGACGCGCTGGGCGAGGGTGACGATGGCGCGCTGGATAGCGATCTGGGCTGGGGTCATGCCCGCGTCCTCTGCGGGCTTGAAGGCGAGGGAGGGTTGCTGCTCGTATGACTGCAGCAGTGTGTATAGGTGGGCCTCAAAGGGCGTTGCTCCATGTGGGAGCGCCACCATCGCGTCCGCCATGGCGAAGGCCAACAGTGGGAGAGGTGGTTACGCGCGATGCGCAGGGGGAGGGGGCAGGTTACGTGAGGGTATGTGTGGGTGGTAGGTCGGTGGGAGGGTGTGCTGTTGTAGATGCAAACGCGGGGGAGGGGCTAGGTCGCTAGAGATGGTGTGTGGGTGGTCAGCGCGAGAAGCAGCGAGATCGAGACGGCAAATGGGGGGAGAGAGAGGTGGAACACAGAAGCGAGGCGCATGTGTGGCTTGCAGCGGCGAACGGAGGAATCGAGTGCTTACGTATTGGGGTTGTAACGACGCTAACGGGAAATGGAGCGACGTGCGAGAAGCTGCAGCAGACGGTGATCGTCGAGAGGTGGTTGGTGGTGGTGTCGACGAGGGTGTGTCGAATGTGTGCGATGGGGTGACAGTGAGCGCCAGCAACAAACGTGACCCGCGTGGACGCGAGAGAGAGCGGGGGGGAGGAGGCCGAGGAGGGTTTGTATGTAGGTGCCTGTTTAGCGTGTGGGGGGGCATATGGGTGGGTTTATTATCGACGATGCACACGCCCTCTCTCTCTCTCTCCCCGGCGCACAAGAGTCACACAGTACACAGGTGCGGTAGGTTTCCTTAGCGCGCGGCGGAGAGACAGGAGAGAAAGGACACACCCCGGGGCTGTGTTGCCAGAGGCCAGGAGGGCAAAGATGCCCACGGGTGCACGGGCAGGGCACATGCATACGCAGGGCACCAAGGGGGAGGGCCAGAGGGTTCAAAAGAAGGAGCCACCACCCAAAACAGCAACGGCGCAATCGATTGCTCGACGAGATTGCCCCTTCTCGTTGGAGCGACTCTTTTCGATAACGCAGACACATTCCACAAGTGTAGCTGGTGTGGCCGGTGTGGGGGGATCGCGAGCCAGGCAGAGCGTGCAGAGCAGCGATATGCGCCCTCGCAGGAAGAATACTTGTCTGCATACATGTACCTCTGTACCTCTCTGTACCGGCAAGGATAAGGGCGACACAGCGAGACGGATGAGGACGCAGAGGTGGTACAGTGCTTTGCTTCGTCCTGGCTCCCACTCGGACGGCCACAGGCCACAGGGAAAGAGATCGGAGAGACCGGAGATCCGGAGAGATCTCAGAGACACAGTACACAGTACACAGAGCGCACATGACACGGCCGACACGGAGAGGTGGGTCGACAAGAGGGACCAGACCTGTCTCGGGACCCTGTACGGAGGCCCCGAGTGCGGACAGGCATCGACGACACATTTAGATTGTTGCAGCTTGCATGTGCGCATGTGCACCTGTGCTTCGTGTCTCTTGTGGTCAGTGGTCAGTGTGATCACTCATGCCCGCCGTGCGGAGGACTAGTGTGTGCATCATCTGCATACTAGCAGCTAGTGCTGGTCGGTTTGATTCACTTTAGTGATCAGTCAAGCACCGGGTTCCGCTTGCAGCCTCCTGCGCACAGTCCACTACTGCTCTGCGTTTCGTTCTCTTGTTGCCGCTGGTCACCTCCTTGGCACGCTACAGCACACCAGTTTCTAGTTTGTGCCAGCGCCGGATCGCTTGGAGTGTATTATCAGTTGGAGGTCGGACAGGCTGGCTTTGACCTTGTCGCGTGGGTCCAAGGTGCTGTCTCCATATGTTCTGCATTCTGCCAAAGGTCCACAGATCACCAAGCTATGGACAGCTTGCATGCATCCCTTCCCTCTTTTGAGGGGCAGTGGCGGTCGCCGTCGGAGGAACTGGGTACAGGTAAGCAACGAAAAGGCGGTGGCGGTGGCAGGGAAGGTTGCTGGTTTTGGCCTGCGACACGCGTTCGGCACTCAACAGCCCGTGCAGATCGCAGTCGCGTGGCGCGCATGTCCGCATGTCAGTTCACTACCACTGCGTGGGCCGCGTGTAGGACGCCAAAAAGCATGCATCGGGGCATCGGGCATCGGTCGAGCACCGTCGACAGCACCGAAGCCCCAGACGGGGTCCAGGGCCGACTGCACGGGTGGACGCGGGTATAGATGACTCTCTATGTACGGTTGGTACCACAGTTTGGTGTGTCAACACAGTATGCCTAGCATGTGGCCAAGAACAGACACACTACGCCACATTCTTGGCTGCAAAGATGAAAGCTTGATGTTCCCATTATCTTGCTCACCTCGCCAAGGGAACACACAAACCACACCACCCTGGCAGGGAATATGCCGTAGAAGCACGCGCCTCGTCTAATCAACGTGCAGGCGCTCTGTTGTCAGTCGCCAGTGGCCATGCGTCGTACGCCTGTATACTGTGACCGAAGTGGAGGGCGACTGTGGTACTGTGGGGCGTCAATTAGCATCGTCCCGCAGACACTCGTATCTGCCCTTATTTTACTTTGCATACGCCGCAGTGTCTGCAGCAATGGCGTTCTCTGAGGTCTACGTCGCCCACGCTCAAAGGCGCAGAAGAAGGCAGATTCTGGGTTCACAGGGATGCAACACACAGGTACACAGAGTTGCTCACCCCGCCTTCAACCCCGGCAGAGCCAGAATGTGGCCAGAATTCCGCGCTGCGGTGGAAAACACACTAGGGCAGCGCGGCCATACTGCAGCATCGCCCTAGTGTGTTTCTCCCCAGGCCCCAGGCAACGCCAGACGTGCACTTTACCCGCCGCCGCTGGCCGCTGGCCGCTGGTGATGCAGTGAAAGATCATGACAGATGCAATGCGCTACAGATCTCACTTCACTGGTACGACCTCATACCCATGTACATATCTGATGCGACGGACAAAAGCCACTCGGTGCCAAGTGAGGTCCTCATAACATGGATCTTCCTTGGCGGAGACCTGGGCAGCACCATTGTGTACCCCCCCCCCCCCCTTCTGAGACCTTGCTTCCTCCACCGATGACCAGACGAACACACGCCTGGCGGCGGCCGGCACGGCACGCCCAACCTGCTCGTGACCACATTCGGGCCCCACAGTGGCGTCCCGTTCCAGCTCTTTCCGAGGAATGGGCTTGCGGCGTCCCTCGTCTTCCGACCACAGCGCCTCAGACCTTGGTCGGATAACACGCGTATACCGGACCGATGTTCATCCGTACGTCCATTGTTGCCATCGTTGTTGCCTATTGTTGGCGTGGGCTTTGTGTGACACTCGCAACACCAACGTTGGGCTTGGCTCCTACGCGGGGATACATAATGGCGACGATGCCGCGTGCGAGTGCTCGTCATCCACACCCCACCTCACTCCCAATCCTACAATGAACGGTGTTGCTCTTATCACTGGTGCTGCCTCGGGTGTGAGTTGTTCCGTCCTCAGCTCTTAGATGCCCCCCAGAACGCCAGGGCTGACAGCTCTCCCCCCAGATCGGCGCTGCCACTGTCCGCGCCTTTGTCGCCCGCGGCGTCACGCGCCTCGCTGTCGCCGACGTCCAGAAGGACAAGCTCGCAGCCATCGCGGCCGAGCTGCCCAACGTCGAGATCGCCTCGTTTGTCTGCGATGTGTCCAAGGAGGAGGATGTCAAGGCGATGGTGGAGGGCACGGCTGAAAAGGTAATCTTGACGCGATTCCTTCCTCCAAAGCTCACACGGCAACAGTTTGGCCGTATCGACTATGCTGTCAACTGTGCCGGTGTCGCACCGCCGCCCGGTCCCACGGCCCAGTGCCCCACGGAAGACTACGACAGGGTGGTCGGCATCAACCAGCGCGGCGTCTTCTTCTGTGTGCGCGAGCAGCTGAAGGTAATGGAGAAGCAGGAGCCACTGGCAGTGTGAGTGGAGATTGGGCGTGTGGACGCTGGAGGCGGTCGGCGCTGACATGAGCTCTCAGCGAGGCAGACACGGTGCGCAACCAGCGCGGGTCCATTGTCAACATTGCCTCCATCGCGGGCCTCATCGCCCTCAGCGGCGTGCCCGGGTACATCTCGTCCAAGCACGGCGTCATCGGTCTCTCCAAGGCCGTCTGTGCAGAGTACGGCGGCAAGGGTATCCGCTGCAACAGCATTGCACCAGGATTCGTTGACACGCCGGTGAGTGTGCTGCTGCACTTTACACACCGGCACGACCCCATGGCTGACCCACACCCTCTGGCAGATGATCCAGGGTTCCCAAGTCGCCGAGATGCTCACACAGCTGCCTCCCGTTCCCATGAATCGTGTTGGCCACCCGGAGGAGATTGCCGATGTCGTCACCTTCCTCTCCTCCACTGGAGCCTCGTTTGTCAACGGCGCTACCTGGACAGTGGACGGTGGTTACACTGTTATCTAAGGGTGTCGTAGCCAGTTACGCGGGGACGGTGAAGTACGTGAAAAGCGGTGTGCGTGATCTGCAGCACAGTGTCGAGATGCCAAACAGTGTTCTAGTAAGCGGTATCTTGTTCGGAGGTGTAGCGCAATCGATTGTTGTTGTTTCCGCCAGCCCACTTATAGTGCCTCCTGTGCTCCTGTCTGTTTGGTTGTTGTTTGGATCTTTTGGAGAGTGTCACCTTGTTGATGGGCGCGGGGGTGGTGTTCTGTCACCAATCCGCCCGGCACCAGCCCGCCGTCCGTCCACGCTGCCAACTCTCATGCCCTCCTCCTCCAACCCGCGCCACCGCAGCCACCAGCAGCGTCAGGTCGGATCAGCGACCTCCCCCATCGGGTCCGGCGGCCTTGACAAGTTACACTGCATCTGTACTACATACCCTCCTGTCATATTCGCCATGCATCATCCCACGTTCTTCAACCCCTTTGCTTTTCACTCGCTCAAGCGGCGCTTCATGTCGTCGAGGAGCTCCCACATCTCGACATGATCCTTACAGTCCTTCTGCAAGCCGTTCATCAGGCGGTCAATGACGAGAGTTGGCGACCTGCCCGCCTTGAGGTCCTCACTCAAGTCAAGGTAGCGGCGCATTGCCTGACACTGCGAGTCAAGGCCGCGGCGGATGATGGCGTCGAGGTCGTCAGCGCTGGGAGCCGTCGAGCTGGTGTCCTTGACTGCCACGTGGTTGCCGGTCGCGTCCGTCTTGGTCTGGGCGGTCTTGCTGGACTCGCCGGGCTTGCCAGAGACAGGACCGATGCTGCGGAAGTCGGCGTAGCGGTTGCGAACCGCGATGCGCTGGGCGTTGAAAGTGGTCAAGTCGACGATTTCCGAGAGCCACGACTCAGTAACGGCTGTTTCGACGGTGTAAACATTGCCCGTAAACTCGGATGCCAAAGGGCATCGGTAGCCCATCACACAGCATCTATCGCACGACGGACGGTAGGCGTGGTGACCATCTTGCGTGAGGCTGAAGACGGTGGTACAACACTGAATGCCCTCAGTCTTGCAAGTCGGGCAAGCGATGAAGAGGCTGCTTGTCAATAGGAGAGACAACTCAGTACTCACTCGTACAGGCTTGGGCCGCCATCTGGGACCCTGCACTTGATTCCAAACGCCTGCATGGGGGAACCGTCAGGGGGGGGGGTCGACCATGTTGATGAAAGACGAGGGGATGGAAACAGGGAAAAGGTGGATGTGACAAGGAAAGTGGCCAAAGTGGATGTCACAAGGAAAGTGCAAGGAAGGTGAGGAGAAAGGAGACGAAACCAAAGTGACTGTAACGGCATGATAGGCTCCCTCAGCCAGAGCCTTCTTCCTTCGACCCTTCTCTTTGCCAAACATGCCTCCCAGCCATCACCACTCGACGTTCCGCTTACGCAGACACTATACAATGTACACTGTCGGACCCATACTGGTGCGATGCGCATCACGGATGCAACCACACACAACAGGCCGTCGTTCACCAGTATCTCCAGCTGGCTAAGGTCACCATCGAAGAGAAGCAGAATGCCCATAAGAGCTTCTTCCTGCGTGCGAAGAACACCGGTGTCGCTGCCGGAAAGGCGGCGGACCAGGAGAAGTGAGGTAGGCCTGGGCGCCTTCTGTGACCGCTTTGCGCATGCAACATGACGGCGCCGCTCAAGAAGCTCCATTGCACCTAACGTTGCCTCCACTCAATGAAGATTTTGCTTCGTACTCCAGAGCGCCAGAGCCATTGCTGTCAGCATCTCTCATTTCGAGTTTAACAGTAAATCGTGCAGTATTGTCAAGGCCAGCAAGGGTGGCTATCGACCCCCCTGCTCCTCGAGCTCCTTGCTATTAAAGACTCAAACGACAGCTAGCATCGCATACATTGACAGTCTGTTGGACAGTATAACTGGCAAGCATGACAGTAAGGTACACCTACAGAGCTACGGACATGTGGGGCAGCAACGGAAAGTACGGAAAGTTCGAACTTTTTCTTAGAGGGTTGGAAGGCGGGCTGAGGAAGGGAGGGTCCGTTGCATATTACAAACCTCCTCCCATTAGACCCTCTCCGATGACTTCTTCGCCACTGCCCTCGCCTTGGCAAGAAGCGTTTCCACCTCCTCGGGCGTGCGCGTCTGTTGTAAGCGAGGAGTAGTACGCGGCATACGCTCCACGTGTCAGCTTTAGCCACTGAATCACTGGGGATCTACTGTGCATACCTGGTTCATCTTGCTGCCCTCGAAGCCGTCCACCTTGTTGGGGCGCGAGCCGTCCACCGAGCCGTCCACCTTGGCCTTGACCTGTCAGCTGCAATCACTGCCGGTGACCTACGGTACGCACCTTCTTCGCCTCACCACCCTCCGAGGCATCATCCATCCACCTGCGCTTGTGCTGCTGGCGAATCTTGGATCGTTGCGCGTTGAAGGCGTCCAGGTCCTTGGCAACGGGCACTGGACGGGGAAGCGTAGGGGGGCGCCAAGGGTCCAGAGGGCTCCAGTAGTGCGCGAGGCGTCTGGGCATGGGACACCCTTCGCGTGACATCCAAAGCATCCCGGGTGGTAGGCCATGTTGGGGACCTCGGACAAGCGGAATGCCGTGCTCTTACAGGGGAGACCGGTATTGCAGTTCACGCAGGGGACAAAAAGACTGGAGAAGGTCAGGATGCTAGACGATGAATGTGGCACGTACTCGTAACTGCCAGTGGCGTTTAGTTTGCCGACCCACTCCATGGGAGCGCGGTCGTAAGGCGCCATGGTAAAGAAGGGATAAGGGATGGAGGAATTGTTGGATGGGGTGGCTGGGATGGATGGGTGGATGGGTAGATGGGTGGATGGAGAGGGTGAGAGTGAGAGTGAGAGTGAGAGTGAGAGTGAGAACGAGAATGGGAGTGATGGTTGACGGTTGACGTGTGCAGGGGTGATCGATTTGATCCGCGGGTCAACGCGCCGGCCAGCTGGCCGTACCCACCATGGGGCTGGCGCGCCTTTTGCGCCCTCCCTCGGCTGGCGGCTTGTTTTCCCACTGCGTATCGTCTGTCTTTACGTTGTACGAATACACAACGAGTAGGGCACCTGCCTCTAGCTGCCAGTCAGCAGTTCGCTAGATCGCCTTCCAGGCGTGTGTTCACATGCTGTACAAGCCATCACAGCCGCCGCTATATGGCGGGTCCGAGTGCTTTTAGCAGGTTGTTCCCGTGTCTCCAAGTCGTGTTTACCCACACCTTCACATCTGCACACATCCACACAATGAGCAGTGCATCTCCCTCACCTCCGCCTTCTCTACTTACTCGTCATCGTCCGCGCCAGCGTCTGGAAAAGTACCTCGCAAGAGGATTCCCGGCCCATCAGTGTTCCCAACGGTCACTCTGGAGTGCGTTGTGCACTGCTGCTGATGGATACATGCTGACATTTGGCAGAACCTTCCAGGCCGCATACTCTGCCTACGCAGAGTCGTTACCTCAAAACAAGTTCAAGACGTTTGTCATCATCCTGCCGTCCGTCAAGAACCCGTGCCACTCGCCGAACGCCGCCCACCACATCAAGGAACGATTCTTCAGCACGACCAAACTCGCCGTCCACGTCACCATCGCGATTGAGGACCTTACCGCCCTCTGGGGCTGGGACGACATCAAAATTGGGTGAGTTGATCCGCATGCCTCCTGTTGCACATGGCTAAACATGCAGCTCCTGGCTCCAGACGATTATGAACCACAACCGCCAAGTGAAGGCGTCGAAGTACACTGGGTTTATCCTGGTGTGGCTTGGGACTGCTCTCCCACATTGTTTTGACCTCCGGGCCGTTGTTTAGAAGCTTCAGAGGCTCCTTCAGCTTACCAAGTACGCGCCACCGTTCGAGGCCGAGGCCGAGGTTCTTGACCATGGGCGCACCGAACTGCGCCCCCACGACGAGGAGCTATCTCCCGCCACCGAGCTGCGAAGCCTGGCAATTGTCAACCAGTGCATGAAGGTTGGTTCCTGCCGACCGTACTCATCCAGGTTCTTACATACCCCAGAACCTTAACATGTCCGACGAAAAGGTCAGGCACTACGCTTTTACCGAGAAGAAACGTCTGCATGCCGCCATGGGCCAGGGCGACGTCGCGTACATCGCGCTCACCGTCGGTAAGTGCGTATGTGGGGGGGCGAGTGTGACCAATCGTTTAGGCATGGGCCTTGGATGTCACGATGACCTCGAACCCCCTTCCGCTGCCGCCAAGACCGACACGTATGTACATACTGTCTACAAGGTAAGTCAAGGTCTTGCACTACGGTATGCCCATATTGCAGGATCGCAGGATCGCAGGAGCGCGTGGCTTGCATGGAATTGCAGGATCGGAGACACCCCACACGGCCCATACTGTTAGGGCCTTAGGGGGTGCCACACACATATGTAAAACCCTCATATCTATTTATTTTTTTCTGTACATAGTATTTAAATTGTAATTTCCTGCAGTTTTATCTTCACTCTGCATTCTTCTTCCTTCCGACACACACATACCCCACACATGCACCTGGTGATCAGCAGCCTCGAATGTCTCATCCACTTTGCTATTCCCACATATAACAATATAACAATCACTTCCATACAAAAATCACTTCCATACAACAATCACTTCCATACAACAATCACACAAATGGCAGCACCCGACACCGTCTCCTCACCCACGTGAGCCGTCTCGCCTTGATGCCATCCAAGCCGAATCCGCACTGACGCAACATGCAGATCGTTTTCGCAGGTCGTGGAGCAGTTTTGCGCCACGCGCAAGGTGTTGCCCAATAACTGGTCCACCGACATGATCAGCCCATGTCATGGACCAGGTTCTACTATCGTTCTCAACATGCAGGCGGCGTCTCGGGCGGTCGAGATTGCTATCGACGAAGTGTTTAAGGCTGGGCGCTTGACAAGGAGCCAGATTAGGTATGTTGGCACTCACTGAACGAACTGATCTTGTTGCTGACTCCACAGACTGCGCTTCATGTCACAGGCATCAGCCGCGCCTGACCACCTCGAGATCGCGACATACCTGTATATCGGTAAGAGACCAAGTGACGAAACGTGCTGACGGGGGAGCATACAGGTGTCGCGTTTTCTTTCTGGACCTCCCGCTCCTCAACGACGTCCGCGAGCGCGTCTGGGATTTGCTCCCCTTCACTCGCTACATCGTCCCCTGCGACCAGGACATGGAAGCAGAGATCCTTGCAGAGGAGCTCAAGGGTGCGTGGAACACGGCCACAAGCAGACCATGTCCCGCCACAGAACGCACAGCTAACAAACACCATTAGACCTAGTAACAAGGGTGCCTTTGACGACAAGGCGCTTTGGTTTTTGGGTTGAAGTGGCGGCTTCACTCCTCGACATGAGCTCTGAAGACCTCACAAGCTTGTCCCGCGCGCTGCCTCGAGCTCAGACGACAGCCTGGCTGCAAAAAGCGGTCATCGGTCACCTGAGCTGTATGTAACTGTCGTTAAACACAACTGACGCCAGTGTTGGCTACATTGTCCGTCTCGGTCCTGGCCGACAAGAAGATGCCAGGGGGGGCCGGACACGCCATCTATGCCCACCGCGCGAGTATCAAGCGCCGAGTGGCAAGCCGTGAGTGGATGATTCGTGACGCCCCTTTTTGAGTCTTCGTTCTGATATCGCAGTGCTGAGGCAGATCCGAACCGGAACGCTGTCCCCAGCGTCGGACTCCGACTTCCAGCCCCCTTCCCCTCCGCCGCCGCTGTGCCAGGCAGCTCCAGCGAGCGGACCTCACCTTCGCTTCGGCCTCCGTCCTCGCCACCGGCCAACCCATGGCCTTGCTTCCTTGCCAGTAGAGAAACTTGTGGCGGTCATTCGCCGATGGCGCCGCGGCCGCGCAAGTACGGTCTGCGTGGCAAGACGGCGACACCCCCTCCCATCGACGCACAGCGCATGAGCCGGTTCATGCCCACGTCGTACGCCGTCCCAAGCTCCCCCCTCTCCGACTTGCCTGAAGTCTCTGACTGACTGCATGTGCTCTCTCTCTCTGTAATATAGCTACCGTTATGCATACATGTACTACTGCTCCTCCTGTTCGCGGAGCGCCCGGACTTGGTCCAGCAACGCCACAGTCTCCTGGGCGGTCCTGACGAGAATGTCTTCGTACACCTCCAAGATCTCACCCTGGGTTCCCTGGTGTCGCCTCAAGTACGACGTGCCGTTGCGCATGTCCTCGTCCATGCGGTCGCGGAGCCGCGCGATGGGGAGCATGTCGGAGCCAAACGCGTGGACATCGTCGTGGCCCGTGAGCGGAGGCTCATCGCCGTCATCCTCCTCAATCGACTGGAGGGAATCGGACGAATCATCGCCTTCACTCATCTTCACGTCGTCCATGTCGTCCTGGCCCTCGTTGGCGTTGCGAGACAACAGGTGAGCCTGGTATCTCGCAACGGACACAGGGGACAGCAGCACGGCCTCTGGAGACGAAGAGGCCGGTTCGTCCATGTCGTCGTCCGAGGAAGGCCCGGCCAGGAACAGTGGCGAGCCTTCGGTGGGCGGACGGTGGGCCACTGGCGAGGAGTGGGCCGGGGCAAGGGCAGGGGACGAGAGCGCAGAGGACGAGTGCGCAGGGGACGAGTGCGCGGGGGGAGGGGACGAGTGCGGGGGAGGAGGGGAGGGGGACGCGGTCTGGTCACCGTCACCCCTTTCGTCGAACGGGTTGCCCCCCTCTTCGCTGATAATGGGAGGCATGGACCACGCCAAGGGCTGGGTGGGTGGCCATGCCGCAGAGGACGAACCGGCTTCGGTCGACCATGGCGAAGGGTCGGTCGCCGGCCACGACGCAGAGGAAGGACGAGGCGCGGTCCACGCCGAGGGGTCGGTCGTCGGCCACGCCGCAGAAGAGAAACGAGGTGAGGTCGACGACGGCGCCGAAGAAGAGTGATGGGCGGTCGACCACACCGAGGGGTCGGTCGCGGACCACGGCACCGAGGAAGAGCGAGGTGCAGGTGGCGCGTCTCGTGCGAGGTACGCAGCCTCGGCTGCGGCCTGTAGTCGTTGAGTTTCTGGGTCCTGCAATCCTTCTTCACCGGTGCCCACTTACCTCCTGCTTCGCTTTCCATGTTGCCCGCTGGGCACGCATCCTATTCTTGAACGAGTCACGGGACTCGTTGACAAGATAGACGCTCGGAGGTTGCTCGAGCGTTCCCGACGTCCAGTAGTGGGGACCACTTCTGGAGTCGTCGGGGCACGCAATTCCCTTCCTCTCGCAGGCAATGCAGCCCGGGTGGTAAAGGTAACCCTCAAACTCGGTCATGAAGAAAGGCCCTGCTCTCGCAGGTGACCTCTGTGCACTCCATGCAAGGGACTCTGAGCCTGTCTGTCAGGAATCTGGGTCCCCCCACAAGGCGTCGATGAGAGTCTTTGGCCTCAAGTACAAGCTGCCAAATGTCACAATCACGTACAGGTGAGTATTCAGCTGTCACTTTCACTTACAAGAGGGCTCCTCCAACCTTGCGACCCTTGCCTGAGCGCGGGACAGCGCTGTGAAAGCGCACCCTTCCATCTCACCGCAGACGGCAACCACGTCCACCGTCCGATATGCAACCAATGCCGGAGCCTGCGCCGCTCGTGCAACTTGGCATCCGAGTGTAGCGGCCAGGTTTATCGTATCGCAGACGCCCAAGCGACGAGTCCATTGTTCGACACCGGGGGCACGGACAGGTTCAGTGAAGAGCGCCGTGCCGTGCCCAGCCATGGCCCCCTTACCGTTTCCCCCAACCCGAATCTCAAGAGCTCGACCGACCCCAAGAACCTCAAGACATAGAGGCAGCATCAACTTCCACCAAGTCCCCTAGGCTCTCCCCCGCGCAAGCGCGCCCAAGTTGCCTCCAACCGCCTCCCAGCCCCCGACACTCCTGCCCCCGAGACTGCGGTAACCGAGACGCCCGAGATCCCCTCATCCAGTACCCCTCCGTCCGTCAGACTGGCAAGGCTGCGCGCCCCCCGTCCCACCGACCCGGCAGTTGACAAGGATGATCAGATGGATAGGTCGCCGCCCATCAAACGCCTTCTGCTTGACATGCGTGAATCGAAACAGCAAGCACTCGGCCTTATCGACAGCTTGCTCTATGACATGGAAGCGGGAATGGCGCCGACCGTCGCAATGGCCGACTTGCGAATGTTGACCGAGGACGAGTGCCCTGAGGCATTGACAATCCTTGCCCGTCTCGACGTCATGAGGAGCGGCGCACGGGATGTCGTTTAGATGGTTGGGAGTGTACCTGGTCGGATTATGCTTTGTGAATATATGACGCTATGCATGTGTGTTTGGGCTCCTGCAAGGTCCAAGTATATGTGCGTGTTGCCGGCATATCTAACGCTGCCTTCTGTTCGCTTCTAGCATCCGAGGAGGCATAAGAACGACGCAACAATATCACAGCTACATTCATCCATCCAGGGGGGGGCTACTTTAAGTAACTTTAAGAGTGGCACCGCCACTCCACCAGCCATGGCCGGTGACCCACTCAAACATGGATCACCAAGCCTAATCCATTTCGACATCGACCACCTCAGCAGCTCATCATGTCTGCTGCAGACCCCCCGCACCTCTCTTATCTCCCAAAGTGATTCCGATCACCTCGCTCCCATCCATGGCGAGTCCTCGCTGATCCAACGTGCAGGTCGTTCTCGGCGGTCGTGGCCAAGTCCTGCGAGGTGCGCAAGTCGTTGCCCCAAGCTTGGCTACTCGACTTCCCAAATCCTTGCCACATCCCCGGTTCTATGGTCAATTTGGACAGAGCCGTTGCTTCCCGTGCGATTGACATGTCAATTGCTGAGGTCTTAACGGCAGGCCGCCTCACCACCAAGCAGATACGGTGAGTTGACATTCACACAGGAATTGATCGTGGGCTGACTCTGTAGGCTGCGGTTTATGGAGCAGGCCAGTTCCGCTCCTGACCATCTGGAGATCATAACCTACCTCTACATCGGTGAGAACCCATGTGACTCTATGTGCTGACCCAGGTAGGCTATAAGTGCCAAATCTTCTTCCACGACCTTGCATCACTCGGTGCGGTTCGGAGCCGTGTCGCCCAGCTACTCCCCTTCACGCGCTATCGAGCCCTCGAAGGGCAAGACAACGAGATTGAGAGGCAGGGTAAAACCGTGAAGGGTACGTCGAACACAACACACGGTACACGGCCACAATCACGCACGCTGACACGGTTAGACCTGCATGAAACAGCTGAAAAAGTTGATGACAAGACACACACTAAGACGATCTGCTTCTCCCTCTCGCCCGCGGCCGCCCTGCTCGACATCTCCTCTGCCGATCTCAAGGCTCTTGCCGGCATCGCGCGATCTCAAGGAACCGCTTGGCTGCAGAGGGGAGTCATTGGCCATCTTGGCGGTACGTTACTGTTGTCAAAACATAATTGACGCCAGTACTTGCCACCTCCACGGTATCGGTCCTTTGCGACTGGCAGACGAGTAAAGGGAGGTTCGCTCACAGAGAAGCCGCAAAGCGTAGAGTCGCAATCTGTGAGTGGCTGAGACGAGCTCATTGTTCTGATATTGCAGTGTTCGACCGCTTGCGTGCTAAGACGCTGCCGCCACATGTCGGCAAGCCCCTTCCACCGCCATTCTCCTCAGTCGCAGAAATGCCAGTCGATGCGCTTCAGCCTCTACTGCCTTCCCGATTTGGCATGCGTACGCGCCCGCGCCAGGAGAAGAGTTACCTGGGAATAAACGACCTTGATTTTATTGCTTGGGCGCGTCAGATCACCCCCCCGCCACAACGGTTCGCTTTGGTGTTCCAGCGCCTGCAGCCGCAGCAAGTCATGGTCGGGGTCCCGACGCCTCACAAGATTGTCGACCATATGATCAAGGCCCAGAGGTTCTTATATTGCGTGCGTTGGAATGGAGGTGGAAACTACACATGGGAGGAGCGCGCCGGCTTGCAGGAGAGCGCTGTGCGCTCATATTGGAGTGCCATCGATGAGGGCCGTCCACCGCCAAAGGCATGGGTACGGCAGCCATTCGTGTCGCGATCCCGCCACTCCCCCGACCTCCATCGCCATTCTCATTGGCACCCCCTACACAACCCGTCACAGCAGCAAACTCTCGGAAACGTGCAGGCTCCCCTGCCCCTCCGTCGGCGCACAACCGCTCGAAGAGGAGACGTCTTGCGTCCTCCCCTTCGCAATCACCGCACGAGGATGAGCAGGAAGACGAAGACGAAGTTGACAAGAAAGACATGAATGTGGACGAGCTGGACGAGTCCTGCGACTAGAGCGAGATTGGCACCCCCAGCCCCCGCGTCGAATCTCGCCGCCCAGGCCTGCGCGCCGTCGTTCAGAGGCCCTACACCGACTACGAGTTGACCCCCTCGCCCACGTAGTTATGCAATATGATACAGTACCCTCATGATGATATTATTTGTGCATAACCTGTGCTACATGTATGTACAACCAGACATCCAACACTTACTCCGGCAAGTTGGCCAGACCCTTCCTGGTCTCTTCCAGGATGACACTCGCGGCCGCCATTGCTCTGACGACAATGTCCTGGGTGGCCTCCAGTGTCTCCCGCTCAGTTCCGCCGTGCTCCGCAAAGTACGCGAGAGCCAGCAGGCGATCCTCGTTGATGCTGTCCGTCCAGACGGCGATGTTGTTGAGGGGGCCATTGTTTGCGCCGCCCTCGCCGGGACCAATGTTGGCATGCAGTTCAAACGGGTCCTGAGGCACTCCCATATCTTCGTCGCTCGCATCGTCCATCCTCTCGTCATCGTTCCTGCTCTCGACATTGTCCATCCTCTTGGCATCGTCACCCACTGGTGTTGCCGAGCCGTCAAAGGCCCACCCCCTATCGCCACAGTCCAAGGCGCCTGTGAAGATGCGCTCAGAGAGAGTTCGGAAACGTTGACGACCGGACTCTGCGCGCAAGCTTGCCAGGCGTCCCTGGCTGGTAGTCTGCAGGGTGTGCTGGGCTGCGCCGATGTCACAGGTCGCCAAGACTGGATGTGGGTTAGTTCAACCTCCCAGAATCAACTCAAAGAAGGACGTACTGTTCATCAGGCCAATGTACTGCCTGTCCAATGGGTTGCTCGTACTCCGACCGTCGGCCTCAGCGTCGTTGTCGGCCACCACCAGCTCCTCCAGCCACGTGGCATTATGTCTCAGGTGCAGGTGCTTCCATGTCAGCGGTTTCAAGGACGGACAGCTTACACGCAGGGCAAGCTCAAGGCTGCGGGTGACGAGCGCTCTTTTCTCGTCCGCCCAGACCCAAGTGCGCACGGCGTTGTCTGGCTGGTCAGTGAGGCTAATGTACACGTACGCACCCTTGTGCTTCTCGGACTGCGTCAGCTCGTCCTTGAGTGGCCCTTGAGGCAAGGCACAGAAGCGAGTGTCGGGCAAGAAGGCCAGGAAATTGTCCTTGACCATTTGCAATTTCGAGAATTGGAGGAAGAGCTGACCCATGTTGACTATCAGCAGATAGAACGCGTTGTCGACCACCTCGCTCTCTGCGACGGCAGACTCCAGATATAGGCGGATCTGGTCATCGGTGAGGAGCGCCGGGGCAAAAAAATCCGCAACCATGCCCTCGACCAGGCGGACGAGCTCGTCGCGTTTGCGCGGGTGCAGGTCAATCAATCGGTCGACAAAAAGTACGGGTTGCAAGTGTTGTTGAACCGAGTTCTGGTGATCTTCAGACCGCTGGCCACGAGTGCCTCGCCACGAGCGCCTCGCCAAACGACCTGAAAGTCAGCCCTTGATGTTTCCTGCTGCAGTGCGGGTGGGTCATCTATGTACCAGTTTTCACGCAACTTGCGCTCCTTGGACTTGACAACGGGCGGCAGGGGACGGCGAGCCTCCCCTAAAGAAGTGATGTTGTTCTTGGGGCTAGGTGGCCTCCCCGCATGAGCTCCTCAAAGGTGAGGCTCTCGGGGATGGACATTTGTGGTAAGAGTAAAGATGTCGGGGGAAGTACAATGTACTGTACAGTGCATAACAATGTCAGTGATCAGTGATCGGTAGTGCTGCTTGTTGGGTGTGACAACTGACGCGACCAAACGGACGTCGGCCGATTTCCGCGTCCTCCACCTGCGGCCGCTGGCCCCGGCTCTCCAGCGCTTTGTTGGGGGTGGCCACCTGGCAACCTACATATGAGTGAGCGTGGCGACATCTGTAGAAGCACATGGCATCTGTCAACACCAGGGCATTTGTTAAACAGAAGATGTCGCGTGCGATCTCTTGAAGAATAACAGAATACATACTGTACATCACACGTCACACAGAAAGCTCATTGACAAGGCGATGCATACCCTATAACGCCGAGACTAAGCCCCTTTCCCACTAGGCGCGATCCAGCTTGCTCATGCTCTGCTTCAACTTCTCCATGGTGCCCTTCCACCCATGCTCGTGGGCCTCTTCAGCTGTTCTGTCAGATCATTACTGTACTCATCCGCAACTCACAGAACATGAGCCAGAAATTTTCCTTTGTCTCGTGTTGCGCGTATCTTCAAGTAGACAGGGGTGGTGGGGTGTGACGAGCTGGTCCGCAACGTCCATCATGGTTTTCCGAGCGAGTCGTGCACCTCGGCCTGTGAATGATGTGCCCGGGGTTGAGCTGGAGACAACCAGCAGCGTTTACACTCCAGGAAGCCGCAGCTGATGTCGAGCAAGACTACATGTTACCCCGGCACAATGTTTCATAACTCACCATCTTCGACATGCATGTCCGCGGAGAGCGGGTTGGCAAAGACGTCCTCGCTCCGGTACCCAAGACGACAGCCTAGACTGATCAGCGCTGCGCGATGGTGGTGGAGGACAAAGCCTACTTCGGCTGGGGAACTGCAACTCACAAATGTGGAGGGCTGTAAAGCTCAAGGCGACTTCTGCCATACAAAAAGGTGCGTCGCGACATTTTCCCCTGCGCACCATATCCTCAAGATGGGTTGGAGTGACTTGGAACGTCTGGGTCAGGTAAGTACGGAACAATCGACAAAGAGTTGGGCAACCAGCGCTCGGGTCACGTACCTGGGGACATGTCAGGAAAAGCGGGCATGGAGCATGGAACAGGGGCTAGGTGCTCACCTCCAGTGTGCCGTTGATTGTGCTGAGTCGGCCCTGCTCTAGCTCGGGACTGAGCGGTTCGTGGTGATGACGTGGAGGCATGCTTGTGGTCTTGAGTTGCGCGAGCTCCAGAGGGGAAGGCGGCGCAAAGTCGGTGAGGGGGAGAAGGCGCTTGAGCTCGTTGGCGGTATCCCAGAGCGTCTGCGTGTTTGGCAGTGCGCACCCTAACCAGATAAGAACGAGGACTCGGTACTTGGTAGCGCTATACCCATTCTCGACATCGACGGCGGTCCAAAGCCATTGGCTTTGGTGCGTCAGTGTCGGGTTCAGGTTCTGTTAAGAGCAGTAACTCGCCCAATCTTCTCGTTTGTCCAGCCCCAGCAACGTGTCAGGTCATTGACGGCGTTTGTGAGACCAGCAGCGAGCTCGAGATCGGACGTGGTGTGATGTTTCACGGTGGCGAGTGCACAAATGTCGGAAGCCGGATTGTTGATGGCCCACAGTGGCCACAGTGGGGTCACAGTAACGGCAAGTTCGCTGTTCCTGTCCACAAAGCTCTTGAATGATTTAATGTAGATGCTCTCAAGTCGTCAACGAATGTTTACGGGAGATTTGGGTATGGGCAGCGGCTTGGAAACCAGAGCTACTGTACAGACTTTTGAGGAAAGAGAATGGGGCATGGGAGTTGCCACGCAAAAGGACGCAGGCCGGGAGGGGGCTCGACATCCAGGTAATGCTGGATACGGCGCTTGGGGTCGGGCCGGCTCGGGGGAGGGGGGTAAGCTGGGTGTCGAGGTCGAGGTCGACATTTTGTGTGGAAACAGTGGTACAGTGACCAGTGGAAGCGTTAAAGCGTTGAAGCAAACGTGTTCCGTCCGCGCAAGCGATGTAGGTGTCTCTTGTTCCCACGCGTATGTACACACACCCACACACGCGTGCGCGGGGCACCGCCTGCCACCCGAGGGGGGGGGGGGGGGTGGCCTCTCGCCCCGCCAGCACGCGTCGGCACAGGGGGCTGCCACTGGCCACTGGCGAGAGACAGCTGCCAGCACCGGCCGTACGGGTGCCTCTAGTCCACATATCACTTTATCAACACTATTCCATGCATTCACAGCCCCCTCTCCACCACTTGGCCGCTTGGTGACAGCGGCTGACCGGGGGAAGGCGCGTTCTGCTGCAAGTATTTGGTTCCGTAACGAGAGTGTGAACGTGCACGCCTGCACCAGCTAGAGTACGATCATCTCTCTTTTTGTCTGTATACACCATCCATCACAACACGTTCAAGCAGACCCACGGTCAGAAACAAACAGGGTATACGCAGCTCCCGCTCTGTGGGATTCTTCTTGTTGGGTCGGCCATGGGGAATGAGCGGACCAATGATCCAATGAGCGGAAGGCACACGCGTGGGCGCAAACGCACGAGTGGACCCCCCAGGGTGAAGCGTCGAAAGAGAGCGCTGGTCGGAACGTGCAGAAGCAGGTGAGAGTTGTGGTTCCAGCGTCACGTACTGACGCATTGACTGTGCCGGAAAAAAACCGCTTGTTGGTGTGTGCATGCCGCAAACGGTACTGTACATTATTAACCACGGCCTCACATCTAGTGTTAAAATTGCAATTTCGGTAGGTATACCGTCACTCTGCATTCTTCTTCATTCCGACTGAGATGGCCCCGTGCGCGCCGTCGCCCGCCCATTTGTGACGAAGGGGTTGCGCATGGAGTTTGCTTGGGGGATAAACGACTTCAAAGCCGGGCCCAGCCCTGCTCACTGTGTATAGTTGTGGCCAGAGGAAGCAAGTTGGCAATGGGCAGGGGGGGGGGGGTTCGGTTTCGACTGAAGTAAATGCCGGCCGATATCTTGCGGGTGTGTTGCCTACGTCTTGATCCTGTTTTTTTTTTGAGGCGGTGGTGGTTGGTGTGTCGGTCTCGTCTAGCTTGTGTTTCTACGAGTGTCTGCCGGGACGAGCGGTGTACCAACATTCCTGCTCTATCCGGCAGCGGGGGTCCTGCCAATTGCCGTGAGGGCTTTGTAGACCTCGCCTCATGGAGACGTTTGCGTTGAGTGTTGAACATCCTCAGGTTCTCACCAGTCGTCATGCGGACTGGTGGGTGCGTTGGCGGCCCAATGACACAAACGGTGGCGGACAGTCGGGAGTCGTGGTGTCCGGTGTGATATGTGATATACAGTGTTCCCACTTCAGGTGGGACAGACATCGGCGGAAGAACTGTCGAACCCCCCAGAACTTACTCTTACATTCCATGTCCCGTTTGGGTCCCAAAACACACTAGGAGAGCGTCTTCGAAGGGTAGCACTGTACACTGTGTCGTTGAGGGTTCTGGTGATTTAGCAAAGAAAGCGTGTGTTTGTTTTGATGACCCACTCTCTCCAATCTCGGATTCAAAAACACGTGCAGGGTGTGCGGATCCATGGATCCAGTCATCAATCAACCGACGCTCCCACCCTTTGTCCTTTTGTCCTTTCCCCACCCACGTTGATCTTTCTCAACCCACTGGTACTGTGAGTGTGGAATCCACTCCACCGGACACGTCTTCTGTGCAGCTACTGATCTGACAGTTGCCATGTACCACCAGCACAACGTCGACAAGCTTGGGATGCGGCAGAGGCGCGGACAGGCCGCCGATGTGCAACCCGAGCTACCACTTGTCTCATATAACCAGCAACCACCCCAGCCTCCCTCTCCCCTTGCTCCTCACGGGGCGTCAATGCCATCCCAAAGAATCGCTGCCTCAGCTGTCGACGATTGGCCAGGGACGACCCTGCTGCCTACGGCACCTGCCCCAGCGTCCCCCGGCCCCGCCACCGGTCGTCTCAGTCCCCCATCAGGCCAAACTCAACCGGCAGCGGCGCTTGCGAGCACACACTCTCTATTCTCGCCTTTTGTGCAATCGCAAGACCTCGGAAAGCCACTGGACAAGGGGCTGCACACTCCGTCCCGCCAGCACCCTGCCGATGAGACGTATCAGAGCCCTTCTGCAGAGCTGATTGCCGCGCGGATGCCCTCATTGTCTCTCGAAGAGTCTTTTGTGGGACCTCACCTTCTGCCTACTTCCCGTAACCCTCTTCCCAGTCTACCACCACTTGAAAAGTCAAGCGACGTTTCGGCATTCAATCTCCCAGATGTTGAGGTGGATGCACCATCCGCCCTTGGCGACAAGGACAGCGAGATTTCACCAGCACCCCCTCAAACCCCATTCGCCAACACGGTCAAGGGTGTGGGCCGAACCGGAGAGGAACAAGAGCCGGACAACAACGTTCAAGACTGGACAGTGTCACCCGAGACTGACGACGACGACGACGACGACGACGCCGCCATGGCCAAGCTGTGGACTCGCGACACGGACTTTGTCCTCGCAAAGTGAGTTGCTGTATTACCTCCCAGCAGCTAATCTCTGCCCAGGACCTTATATGTCTTTGAAGGAGAGAAGAATTACGTGATCTGTCACATGTGCGTCAATGCCCTCTACGAGGCCACGGGCAAGAAGTTCCGGTACGACCACGTGGCCTATCGAGCCTTCCAACGATCACTCAGACCATACTTCAAGCAACTCCTCGAAGACTCCGACAGCCCCCTCCCTACTCCATTGAAAGACTGCAAACCCTGTGGACCCGCCCCACCAATGTAACCGCTGCCCACGAGACGATAACTTGGTCTTCCACGTGTGCTTAGGACCTTCATAGCTTCGTTGTTAATACCATAGTCTTAGTAGAGATTGAGCTCAGCCGAGGTGTTTTGCGCCAGTTTATGAATTTATGAATGCACAATTGCCCCATAGTTGATGGAGTTAATGGCCTCTTGGCCTCTTTACCCAGCATTTAACATTGATTACAATGCCCCTGATAACCGCCCTGCAGCGCGTTTGCTGTTGTGTGCCACACCGCGCACACCGCCCTCGATGCCGCATGGCCTCTGTCGCGTTGAAAAGAAAACAGTCGCGTCGGGCAGTGTGGCACTGCCATGCAGCCATGGCGCGGGTGTCTTCTCTGCTCCATGCGATTAGTGCGCGCAGGTGCCCCAGATGACGCAGTTCACGGCTGTTCTTAGGGATCTTAGGCAAAGCGGCATAAATCAGCGCACGAGGGCGGGGAAAGGCCACACAAATGCACAGCCACGCACATCGTGAGGGCGCGTCAAAGGTTCAAAGGTCCAGAGGCCAGAGGCCATTGGGCTCGAGTGGCTGGTGGGGCGCGAGTCGTCTGGGCAAGGGACACTCCTGCTCTTCACATCCAAGGGATTCCGGCTGATGCCATGTGTTGGCAGGGCACTGTGCTCGGGCTTGGACTCAGGGTATTTAGGCCGGCGCCGTATCTATCTCTTTTCTTCTTCATGCAACTCGTTTCAACACCATGTTCATATCATCATCAGTCATCAACAAGCATAACCCGAAAATTACACTCGCAGGGTGTTGCTTGGCTGCAGAAGAGCGTCATCGGACACCTGAGTGGTATGTTTCTCAAACACCCCCCATTAATACTGACCGCAGTCCTCGCCACCGGTGACATTTCCGTCCTGGCCGACGAGCAGGTCGTCGCCCAGAGATATGGGGCCACGACCGCCGGCAAGGCCAAGTCCTTTCGTCACCGAGAGGCCATCAAGGGTCGCCAAACGCTCGGTGAGCCATTCGTTTGGGCTTACATGGGGAGCGCCTTGCTCTGACATTTGCAGTCCTCAAAGATGTGCTGGCGTCTAAGACCTCTGTCCGTGTCCGCGGCTGCAAGGCCCCCGGCGGCAGCGCCACCGACGTGCCGCCCGGCAGCGTCGGGCCCACTGAAGAATACGGCATGCGGCCTATCCCGGCGAGCAAGCGGACTTTGAAAGAGGTCATGCACACTGGGCCGGTCGTGCGAGCCGTCCTTCCCAGCCTCGGCCATCTCAAAAGCGCCAACGCATCTGGGGCCAGGCTGACATCGAGCTCGTCCTTGACGACACGCTCACGCCGTTGGGAAAGCGCGAGTACCTGGTTCGATTCCAGGGCAAGGACGAGGAGTCCGACGGCTGGGTGCCAGCGAAACGCCTTGAGCAATCGCTGATCGTCGACTACTGGGACTGGCGCGACCAGCAAGATGTCGGTCAAGCCGCCGAGGGCCCAACGTCACTGTATCGAGACTCGCCACCTCGCCGCGACGGGGCTGCCCCGGACACTGCCCCGGACTCCCGTCACAGTGCCTCCCCCGTGGCCCCGGCGTCCATCGCCCCTGTGTCGCCGCCCCGCGACTGGGGTCTTGATGCCGGTTCCCCCGCCACACCTGTCCCGCCCCTGCTTGTCGAACGCTCTTTTCCGCTGTCGGAGGCCCCACACCGGCCCAGCCGCTCCCCGGAGTTCGATTCCACCCAGTATTTTGTTGTCCCCGACGACAAGGCCACCCTCGGCATCTTCTCGGACGAGTCTGCAGAAGCGCAGCTCTCCAACGAAGATACCGAGGACGACGGGGACAATACCCGCAGCTCCAGCTCCAGCATCAACAGCAGCCTGTTGGGTTCGCGGACGGGCAGCGAGGAGCCGTTGCGTGCCGGTCTACGCAAAAGGACTGTATCGCGCACTCGCTTGTCTCTCAGACACGGAGTCGAACGACGACAGTGGCGATGACGACAGTGGCGACGACGACAGCGGTGACGACAGCGGCGATGACAGCGGCGACGACAGTCGTGACGACAGTGGCGACGACAGCGGCTGATCACACCCCTCAGCCGTTGTTCGCCCGCTAAAACCTCCCCACTGCCCCAAAGCCCCATCCGGTCATCGATTGTTGGTTGGGTGCTGTGCAGGATCTCCTTAATATGTGACATATGACATATCCTTCTGTACAGCCCGAAGGTCAAGCTCATGCCAGTCGACCTGTCCTGAAACGTCGACGGAAGGGACGTATGAATCTACAAGGTGTGATCCGCTCTAAATAAATACAAGTGAAAGCGAGAGATGTGCTTGAATTTTCGGAGCGAACTGGCCTAAATACAGCTGAGATTGGTGAATGTGTACAGGTCATGTGGTGGGGGCCGCGCGTGATGACCGGGGAGACGGGGTGGGAGAAGGAGGCCAAGGGACTATCTCATGGTAGGGAGTGGCAAGGGGGACTCCCGTCCTTCGAAGAAAGTTGAGCAGGGCCAAACGACGCCTCGGCGGGATGGCGTGCGCGGCAATCTCCGCCAGTGAGAACTCTCTGCCCGAAGCTTCAAAGGCGGCTTGCTGACAGAGGAGGGCCAGAACGTATCCGTTCTGCGCGCTGAAGTAGTGCAAGGTCCTATAGGGTGGTAAGCAGCAAGACCAGTCTGAGGGCTTACCTTGCCAGCGCAAGGTTGATCTTGCGGGTCCACTTGCTAGAGTCCAGGGCGCGGGGGTCGTTGCCAATGTCCTCGTCGTCGTCGGCTTCCGACGAGGCATCGCCGGCGTCGCTCATCGTCATGTCGTCATGGCTCTGCTCGGACGCCACCATGTCGGCCTCTGGCAACGTCTCGGGCATGTTCTGTTCCGTGTCGACGTCGTCGCCGTCACCATCCATCCTGTGGCCCATGTCGCAGTCGTCGTGGGCGAGCTGGCGATGCGGTTGGACGAGGAGCTGTGCGGGGAGGGTCGAACCCGGGGAGCTTGATGCTGGAGAATTCGACGTCTGGCCCTGGGCGGTCGCCGGGTCGGGGGGGGGTGTCGTCCATGATGTGGAGAAGAACTCTGAAGGTGAGCACCAATGCTGTACAGCACAGACACGGTATCGCAAGAGTCTCAACTTACTAAGGTTGGGCAAGACCAACGGAGGGAGAACCGAGTTGACTGGTGATTGCAGTGTGTTGAAGGGATTGCTGCAGACAAGACGAGAAAGAGAAAGCGAGTGAGAGGTGGTCATGAGGGAACGCATCAGTCCAAAAGTGTGGCCGTATATAAAGGGCGCAGCGAAGAAGCACATGGCCCCATGGCGATCAATACCTGTGCATGTTTTGTGCGTGTCTGAGAGGGTTCCCACAGCAACCTCGCTCTTGTCTTCTCACTCTCACTCATCTCCAGGTCAACACGGGACCCAACAAGGTATGAAAGCCAACGGCAATGATAGTGGTTATGGTTTAGAAGCTGACTAGGAAGCAGCCCAGTGGGCCAGTGACCTTCCTCAGGTAGTCAAGACTGAGACAGCTACCGCGGACGACAAGCCAGTCGCCCCCGTGTTGCCACAACCGCCAGCAAGTCCAGCCCAAAAATGCGCGAAACGCTTCCAAGCACAGCCCTTCTCTCGGCCCAGGAGAGTCACGAGAGGAGGCGCGCCAGCCTGCGCAACAGGCACCCAGTCAACCCCATCCCCGCCCAGTCCGCGGCGACCGACCCTCGCACGCAACAGCCCCGCCAGCAGGAGGGCAATGTCACGCTCCAGGGCCAGTCGTCGATGCCCCCGCCACCCACACCAGAGGCCCCAGAGGCCCCGCCGTCGAAGCGCGTGGCTGCGCCTTCACACTCTCATGTCACCTCCCAACGCCAGCACCTCGACGCAGCCCCCCAACCAGACGCGGACATGGCTGTCCCAAAGGACGGCGTCGACTCGGGTCCCAAGACAGCCGACCAACGCTCCATCGGTGAGAGGCTGGTTGCTCTTGTGGACGACATGGCGCGCAAGACGCTCGCAATCATCGTTCGGAGGGATGCCGTTTGCCAGGAGCTTCTTGGCAACGACCTCACAGACGAAGAGAAGGTTGACCTTTGCGAGATGTTTGCCGAACACATTGGAGGTCCCTTGGAGGAGGCGCACGGCCAGTTTCGCTCTGTGTTCAAGAATGACGAGTAGGTGCGGGGTGGTCCAGAGCTGGGAGAGGGGGGGACATCAAAATGTGGAAACGGTCATTAGTACTTAGGAGTTGGGTATGAGTGGACGGTATCATGACGCAGTGCTCCGCGCTGGCGCGGACGTATGCATATGGCTGTTTGTAAGTGCGCCGATAATTCACGCTACACGCGGTGATGCCATATGCACCAGTATCCTGCGAGACGCGCGACGCGGGCTGCTCGGGTCGCCCCATACTTTCGACGAGCGGCCGACAGCGGCACAGCGGCACATCGGTACAGCGGCAGGTTGCCAGGTGGGATACTCCCTCAACTGTCAGTGACACAGCAATCGCGAGCAAGGCGCCAGTGCTGTGTTACTATCTCAAGTGTCTCACACGACATTATCTTCCCCAGACTGCCAATAACTGTCACAGTGCCAAAGCTGACGGGTCCATTGCAACCCGATGTGGAGGACAGCGGTGGGCATGGTGACGAAGCGTCGGACCAGAATGTCCAAGGGAGTTTGGCGCACGCAACTCGGCGACGGCACCGCTCTATTGCACCCCACAAGGCTGCTACATAGGCCGCCAATGAAGGCTGTCACACTTGCGGCCGAGTGGCTCGAGCACGAGGAATGGAAGAATATGAAGAGAGCTGCACAGAACCAGGTCCTAGCCGGTGTTGACAAAGTGAAGAGGGAGAAACCTAACCATCGAGGGGAACGCAGCGTTAGGAGCCCATCGACAACGACCAGGACGTTCCCTCGCCAGGCCGCTCCAGTCGCCACCCACACTCCGTCGACGTCCATACCAAGGCCTGCCATGGCACATCATCGGTGCAGCCCGTGGAGGTGCTCGTCCCCCTCCGTCGCCCACGCCATCCCCGTGTCTTTGAACACTATACACTTGATCCCCTCCAGCGCCCCCGTCCTCCACTTCTCCCAAGGCTGCCAGCCAAAACACATCACCGAGCAACAGCGAGCGGCGAGGGCCGAGTGGCCGTTGTTCTTCTCCCGGCAGCTGCCAAGACACTGATGTTGACGCGGACCAGCACGACACTTCTTCGTGCCCGGAACACACTCGTACACTGGTACACTGGCCACTAGGCTGGCCACCACTTTTTCCGCTCGCCAGCCCTCCCCTGCGCGCCGCACGCGCCCGCGATGATGGCTTTGCCTGGTGAGCTCGATCATCAGGGGTCAACTGTTGCAGCTTGGTGATAAGGGGCGCCACGCGATTCCATCTGTCTCGAGCTATGAACGAGAACAATGTATGCATGCAGAGAACGCACAAAGCGCTCTCCCACAACAGCTAGACAGCTTTGACAGCTTGAGACAACTCTTTGCCCCCAGTACGGACCATGCTGTGCGCGACAGGACTTGGGGGGAGATGTGTTGGGGCGGTGGGGGCCGCTGTTGCTACGCTACTCGAGGCGCTGATCTCTCTAGATCTCTCTACAGCCTTTGCGTTCGTTGCGCCGTTGCCCGAGCTGTGCACGTTGCACCACAGGTGCACAGGTGCTTGGTTACCTTGGGGCCGTCTCCCCTCCTGCACCGAACCTATAAAGGACGGAGAATCCACACACGCACCCCTTCTTCATTCCCACTCAACACAGTTTCTCTCAACGATAACTCGACATGTCCACCTCTCACCTCCCGGCTCCCATGCAGGCGTTCGTCATGTCCACCTCTCCCCACCTGGCTCCAATGCACACCTTTGGTGAACGACGGGAGGACGAAGCGGGCATTTTCAACAGGTGAGCACAAAACTGCGGTAACTCCCAACTGACAACAGACTTGCAGAAAAGTGCCCGCCTTGCCAGGAAGAGGCCTTGGACTGTCCGACCAACGCCTTTCTCAAGAGCCAACACCCCGGCCTGGCCGAACGGCCTGATTGCTTCTACTGCGCCTTTGGAGAGTGTCCGTCCTCGTCCCAGCAGACGGGTCTCCTCTACAGCATCGAGGACGGTACGCCTGTCCCCATCCCAGGCCATGCCGCTGCGCACGTGCCCTCCACGTCCTCGTCGGCCTCGACGAAATCACCCAGCAGCAACCCCCCTGTCAAGAAGCGTCGTCAGGAGGCGCCAGACGAGGCCGAACGTCTGTCCAAGGCCAGGAAGACGGCAAACAACACCACGGCGACTGGGGTCACCAATGACCCTCCCGACGCCCGCCAGCTCGGCCATGCTTTGGGCCATGCTTTGCGCCCCTCGGACTTGGCAAAGTATGCCGCCCAAAGCCTCGACCGCGCAGGTGTCCAAGCGCCCTCCCCTCCAGCAGACGCCAAAAAAACGCGCCAAAAATGAAGCAGTGGCTGTTTTTGTGCACGACATGGTACGCAAAACGCTAGCAATGAGCATTCAGCATATGCCATTGGCCCGCAAGTCCTTGGCAATCACGTCACGGCGCAAGAAAAGGTGGTTTACATTGAGAGCCTGGGAAGGGCGCACCGCAAAGGGGGGGGGGGGGGGGGGGGGGGGGAGGACATGCAGAGGGCTGCCAAATGTGGAAAACAGCAGTCATTAGGATCTAGGAGTTTGGTGGGGAGTGGACGGTATCCAAAGTTAGTGCTCCGCGCCGGCCGCGGACGTATGCATAGGGTGCTTTGTGAAAGAGTCTGCCGCAGATGCGGCACATGCGCGGTGATGTTGGACGTTGGATGTACCATGATCCTGCGAGACGTGCGACAGGTCGACGGTGCGTCCGTGTGCGGCGCGCGGTGCACGGCCCCCTTACTGGCCTCTACTGGCCCATTAGCCGGAATCGCGGAATGCGAAATGATCCTCGGCGAGACTGAGTACAAGACAGCTACGCTCCGCAGGAGCATTGGCAAGGTGCCAGGGTGCTGTATGTACGTGCTGTGCCGAGTCGCGTGTAAGCACACCCGGTGCGGTACGCGCACCCTCGAGCGTGAGTGACACAGCAATCGCGAGGAACTGTGTCACTGCTATCTGACCTCGAGAGACTCACAGCGACCGGGTCCCCTCCGCATGCTCTCCAGCGCTCCGGCCTAGGATAAGTGTCACATTGCAAAAGCAGCTGTGCAGGTGGCCGCTTCCAATTCCACACTATGTGAAGGCTGTGGACATGGCCTCGGAGGCCCGGAGGACAGCGGTGACGGAGCGTCCCCATCAGAACCTCCAAGGGGCAAGCGGAATTTGGCGCACGAGTCCGCGAACTGGGCAACGGTGACGGCTCAGCAGCGACGGCGCCGGTCTATAGCACCCCAGAAATGCGTATCTTTGTCATCTCCACCGCTGGGCTCAAGAGTGCGCAAACCCACAGTACGCGTGTACGTTTCTTTAGAGGCGTAAGCACCATGAAAGGTGCGCAGAGCCCGGCAGTGTTTAGTTACAGACGAAGCTAGCTTCACAGTGGCTGGTCCCACTCGGGCACTGATCCTAGTGAGGAGTCGCCTGGCATTGCTCAGCTTCCTCCATGTCCCTGTTTGGTCGCCAGATAGCAGTGATGTAGTCACTCCCTGGGGTGGCTAGGAGTTCCCAGGAGGCTGGAATCGTATGATTCTTCGATGTTCGTCTGCACCGGCTCCTCGTCGTCCACCAGCGATGACCCAGGCTCGCTTCGACTTGTCACACGCTTCGTCGTGCTGCCCTGTGCTGACAGCTTGCCAGCTGGGCAGCAGATGCTACTGGCAGCGGGCCTGGAGGGAGATGGACCTGGTCGCCAGTCGCAAAAGGATGCCGCTTGTGACGACGAAGGTTGGCGCCGGTCCTGTTTGTTACTCCTCGGGGAATATGCCAGTAAGAATCAATGGTGACATTGTTAACACGCGCGCGGTGCTTTGGCGGCAGCGAGGTGAGGAGACTGACCTTGGGAGGTAAGAGAAGCCAAGGACATCGGGAGTTGGCAAATGTGACGTGGTTCAGCCTGATGTTGTGAAATGAATGATCGAAACAACGACTGGCCGGCGGCATCGGCTTGCGAACCGCAACCTTCAGGTTGCCTGTACCCAGGGGTTCACCCATGTCAGGCGAACTGCACACGGCAGCTTAACGATACATTGAGAGAACACAGCCTAGCTGGCCACAGGAACAGAGCGAACAAGAGAGGGTCGCCGCGGTGGGGTAAGTGTCAGCACTCAATCGCCACACCTGGTTTCTTCATGTTCTCGCGTTAGTTCAGAGTCATTAACTTCTGTCAGTCACGTTTCAGGCCGTCTGGGGCGGCCACAGCTGCATCTGGTCACGCTAAACACGTCATGCCTGCATATTACACTGTTCTCAGCTCATTCTGAGGCGCCTTTTCATCTACGTTGCCCCGTGGGACGTTGAGTCGCCTAGTCGACCTCCTCGACACTGGGACCGTCGTTCGAGGCCTCGGCACCGGGGAAGCCGCCAGGGGCACCGGCGCCAGCGCCAGGAGCACCAGGAGCACCACCCTGGGAACCATAGAAGCGCTGCATAATGGGTCCGGCGACCTGGAGAGAGTTAGCAAACATTCAAGTGACAAGAGAGGGGGGGAAAGGTCATAAGGTCATGTTGTTGGCGGGTGGGAGGGTGCGGGGCGATCGGCGCCACAGTGAAAATACTTCCGTGGCAAAATCAGGCACGGAAAAATACTTCCGTGGAAAAAATCGGGCACACAGGAAATACTTCCGCGCCAAAATCAGGCACAGTGGCGTCCACGTGGCTGGCGCCGATCCTCCACTCGTCACAACTCTTCGCCACACTCGTTGCAACACAATTGTCGTTGTTGTGGATGGGTTTTAACACTCACAGCCTCAAGCTCCTTCTGGTGGCTCTCGATCTCGTCCTTGCTGGCAGCCTCGCTGTTGTTTTCCAGGAAGCTGACCGTCTCGTCCACCTTTTCGGTGAGAGTCTTGAGGTCTTCGGCGCTGAACTTGTCGGCGTTCTCGCTGAGGGTAGACTTGAGCGAGTAGGCGTACCTGGGTGGGGTTAGCACGGCTACAGGGAGGGCAGGGCAGCTACGGGGAGCCATTTGGGAAGGTAGAGTGGGGTTTGGAGGAGCGGGGGGAGGGAGGGCTGTGGGCGGATGTGGACGTGGGGAGCTGTGAGGTGACGACACGACGCGCCGCCAGTCCTCCGAGTGGAAATAGTTCCGTGAAGGAACATTACGTAACCTGCCGCCACGCTGCAGTCACGTGCGAGGGTCACCTCCACCGGAGGCCCCGACACTACCGCCGATCCCTCATCCACACCGCGTTGCAACACATCTGGTACTCACGACTCGAGGGCGTTCTTGGCCTGGACGCGCTCGGCGACCTCCTTGTCCTCGGCGGCGTACTTCTCAGCCTCTGTGGGGGGTGTCAGCAACGGGACAAAGCATACAAGTGACAGCAGCGGCTGGGAGAATCCCACAAACTCGGATCGAGTCCAAATTCAATTTTTTTTCTCCAGTGGTCTCTCCAGCGGCCATTGCACGTCACAGCTATCGTACTCACCGGCCAGCATGCGCTCAATCTCGTCCTTTGACAAGCGACCCTTGTCGTTCGTAATGGTGATCCTAAATGAGTCAGTACGCCTTGGGGGCGACAGTTTTCGGACGATGTGGGTGTCACGTGGGAGCACATCACGTGATACGGAGTTCGAGTAAAGTCCGTATATTTACTCACCTGGAGCTCTTGCCGGTCGTCTTGTCCGAAGCGGAGACGTTGAGGATTCCGTTGGCGTCGACGTCGAACGAAACCTCGATCTGGGGGACACCGCGGGGGGCAGGGGGGATGCCCGAAAGCTCGAACTTGCCGAGGAGGTTGCAGTCCTTGGTCTTGGCACGCTCGCCCTCGTAAACCTGGATGAGGACACCGGGCTGGTTGTCGGAGTAAGTGGAAAAGACCTCGCTCTTCTTGGTGGGAACGGTGGTGTTGCGCTTGATGAGGGGGGTCATGATGCCGCCAGCGGTCTCGATACCCATCGAGAGAGGGGCAACGTCGAGGAGGAGGAGGTCCTGAGTGGCCTCCGAGGTCTCACCGTTGAGGATAGAGGCCTGGACGGCGGCACCGTAGGCGACGGCCTCGTCGGGGTTGATCGAGCGGTTGGGCTCGCGGCCGCTGAACATGTCCGAGACAAGCTTCTGGATCTTGGGGATACGAGTAGAGCCGCCGACGAGGACAATCTCGTTGACGCTGGACTTGTCAATCTTCGAGTCACGGAGGACCTTCTCGACGGGCTCCATGGTCGAACGGAAGAGGTCCTGGCAGAGCTCCTCGAAGCGGGCACGGGTGATCGAGGTGTAGAAGTCAATGCCGTCAAAGAGCGAGTCGATCTCGATGGAGGTCTGAGCAGCAGACGAGAGAGTGCGCTTGGCACGCTCGCAAGCGGTGCGGAGACGACGGAGGGCACGGGCGTTGGACGAGAGGTCCTTCTTGTTCTTCCTCTTGAATTCCTGAACGAAATGGTTGACCAGGCGGTTGTCAAAGTCCTCGCCACCGAGGTGGGTGTCACCAGCAGTGGCCTTGACCTCGAAGATGCCCTCCTCGATGGTGAGGAGAGACACGTCGAAGGTACCACCACCGAGGTCAAAGATGAGGACGTTCTTCTCACCCTCGCTCTTCTTGTCGAGGCCGTAGGCGATAGCGGCGGCGGTAGGCTCGTTGATGATACGGAGGACGTCGAGGCCGGCGATGGTGCCAGCGTCCTTGGTAGCCTGACGCTGCGAGTCGTTGAAGTAGGCAGGGACAGTGACGACGGCCTTGGAGACGGTGCCACCGAGGTAGGCCTCAGCAACCTCACGCATCTTGATCAGGACCATAGAAGAAATCTCCTCGGGGGAGAACTCCTTGGTCTCGCCGCGGTACTCCACCTGGATGTACGGCTTGGTTGCCTTGTCAATGACCTTGAAGGGCCAGTGCTTGCAGTCAGACTGGACCTCAGCGTCTGCGAACTTGCGACCGATGAGGCGCTTCGCGTCGAAGACGGTGTTATAGGGATTCATAGCGACCTGGTTCTTGGCGGCGTCACCGATGAGACGCTCCGAGTCGGTGAAAGCGACGTAGGAGGGGGTGGTGCGGTTACCCTGGTCGTTGGCGATGATCTCAACGCGGTCATTCTGCCAGACGGCGACACAGGAGTAGGTAGTACCCTGCAGAGGTTAGCTGCTGCTTGGGAAGAGGAAGAGGGCACAAAGCTCGCTCCGAGGGGCGTCGCCGGCTCCCCAGCAAACGGCGACCCCGCAAAGCTGGGTAGCGGCGAGCTGCGGAGCACGATGATGCGGTAGCTGTACTCACCAGGTCGATACCGATAGCCTTGGACATGTTGCTAATGATTTCTGGGTGTAGGGGGGTGGAAAGGTGGGTGATGGGAGAAAAGGACGTTTGAGTGGGTGTGTCTAATATAAGGGGGGCCACGGGCCACTTTCTGATTCTGCCCGATGGAATCCGCTAGAAGTTCGCACGGCGACACGTGGCTCCTACGTCATTCGACCGCATTCTACGCGCAGGCCGACAAATCGACAGTGTGCCAGAGCCATCCACAGCGTGCGCCTCACTACCAGCATGCCAGCAGCTGGCAGCAGCTTCTGTTGCTATCGACCCGGCCGACCTGGCACTGATGCACACGCGACATGGAGAAGCACCGAGCTCGCCATCGTTCTGATCATCATTTGCGGGCTTGGTGGCGGTTGATGGCGGACACAGCAGTGATTGAAAACCGTCACCACTCGCCTCATAGATCCACAGACCGGTGAACGAGGATGGAAGCCACACACGACAAGCTCCATGCCACACACACACACACACCCAACGTCACAGGGAAGCAACACCATGACACAACAACAAGCTGCTTCACACCCATCAGACGTTGATGGCGACTGCATCAAGGAGACACAGACACCGACTCCAGTGGCCAGTGGCCAATGGTGATTGTCCACGGTGGCTGAGCATGGCTGGACGCTTATTCGCAGACACCACCGGTCTGGCAAACCCCGCCTCTCAGGTCAGGACAACTCAGCCCACCCCGAAACCGACCGCTGAACCACCACTCCCTGCACCACCCACCCTCATTGCTGCGCAGACCCCCTGTCTCATTCTCCATGCGGCTGCATTGTGGAGTCTGCTAAAAGCGGCCGGCCAAATAACAGAAGGCACTCGGCAAATTGAACGAATAGCAAACATTCAATGTAGTCAAAAATGCCACATGGATCTGCATCCGCGAATCCTCATTTCTCGGCCCGTTGCTACCGCTGGCCACCACAACGGCACCAACGTCGCAATGTGTCGCCAACAAGCCCAGTCGCTGTGCGTCGACTCTGGCATTCTCAACACGATGCCGGTAATTGTTCAGCTTTTTATTCCTGCAGTTGACCAAGCGGATGCGCCATCACACGGGCCTGAAGATTGCTCCCCCCCCCAAACGCAGGTGAATGGTATGCAGCGGCAATTATGGTATCTACTGGGGCTTGCCACATGGCTCTAATCTAATCTTCTAAGCCTTCTTGGGCTTTCCATAAGCCACCACAAGACGCTCGGCTTCGAGACCCTCCCTCTCCGCGCGCTCCATCTCGCGGGCGTTGACCGCCTCACGCTCGCTAGCCTTGGCCTTGGCGACACGAGCCTTGTACGCGTGGTACTTGGCGTCGGTGCCGAGTGTAAAGTCCCACCAGCGGAACGAGGTCGAGAAGCAGTTGACAAAGGCCATGTGGTGGAAGTCGTGGTGGTCGGCACCAGCCCAGAAGGGGAGGAAGTGGCGAAGGGACCAAGGGAAGTCGTATCCCGAGTGCGCGTCAACGGCCTGGAAGAGACGGAGGGTGACCCAAATGTAGACTGTCAAGATGTGGAGGTCATTGCGGAAGAGGCAGTAGAGGAACGGGCCAGAAATGGTGCCCTGGGCAAGGATGAGGACCTCGAGAGGGTGGGCGTACTCGGCAGCCTAGAGGGTCAGCACTAGTTCACAGTCGTGCGGTGCCCAACTCACAAGACCGATCGGGGCAGGCCACTCGTGGTGAAGCTTGTGAATGTTCTTGTAAAGGGGACCCCAGTGAAGAGCGCGGTGGGCCCAGTAGTGGAACATGTCCTCAAAGACGAAGAAGGCGGCGATTTGGGCACACATGAGCCAGACCGGGGAGAATGGCACTTCGTAGGTAGCCATGCCAAAGTAGCAGCAGATCGGGTGGAACAGCCAGATGAGTGGCGCCTCGCAGGTGATGTGGGTGAGAACGACGACCTTGGTCATCTTCCAAATCTGAGCGTTGGTAATGTGCTTTGTTGGCTGGAGCTTCCACTTTTGGAAGAACTCCATACGGTCGATGATGAGCCACGGAATGCAGCGACCAAAGTAAACAACCTGAGTGGGTAAGCGCAGCCCCACCGGATCCATGAACCCACCTCGTGAAGGACAAACGAAATGACACCCGTGGCCATGATGGCGTTGCCCATCCAAATGTAGTAGTTGGCCCAGGTGCGCTCCAACCAGTTGAGCGCGTCCAGGTTGATATCCGGGTAAAGCGCATCCTTGGTGGCGGTCGCGTTCGCAATAACAAACTGGTCGGCAATGCTTGGCGCACACTTGTACATGTAGCCCATCGCAATATCGTAGGCGGCGGACATCGCGGGCAGATTCTTGTCGGCGGACGGCGCGAAAAAGCGGGGCAAGGAAAAAAGCGAGTGTCTAAAGGGAGCGTGAGACTCCAAGCAAGAGCCAAGAAGAGACGGGGAGAAGGTGGTGGAGCTGGCTATGCATCTTGGACACTAGTATCGAAAGCTGTATATATCGAGTTCAATTCGGAAAAGACCGCGATCAGAAAACAATAGATGCTCCGAGGAAAAGTGGAACGACCAGTGAGTGGCACGACATTGGCCCGCGCGTGGGACGATGGGGGTTCGGAATGACTACGAAACAATGGTAGTGACTAACGCATGTTCAACATTCCCTGTCCCACGACGTGCACCATGACAAAGAGTCACTGTTTTGCTCGCCCCTAGTGACCCTCGACTGTTTTTATAAGACGGTTTGGCATGGACGACGACGGCCGGCAAATATCAGTCGCGCAAAGGGATCCGAGCACCCGGAGCGGTGCCTGAGTGTAATGAGCCGTGCCCACCGCCTGGCGGTTGCACAGCGCTGCGTCAACGTCATTGCGAGCATGGACATGACCACCCATTACTTCTCATTCCATCCCATCGCTGACAATGTTCGCAAACCTCTCTTACGAAGGTACGGGTATCATCCACCTCCTTGCAAGCTGACACCTCAGATAAACATGCATTCTTCGCACTCCTAGACGAGTACTTTGAGTCGCGCCCTCACCTCCGACCCGCCGCCGGCGGCTCAAACGGCGGCGGCATCACCCTCAACGCTGGCCATGCCAAGGCCGCAGCTGCAGCCTTTACAGCCGCTACCGCAACACAGTCTGGCCGCGGCGCACCGTCTGGGCCTCCAGTGGTGCCGTCGCGTACCTACAGGGCTGAAGAATCGGAAGCGGTGGCCGAGCCAGCACCGCCCGCTTGGTCGCCCGCTGCGCACTCGCCCACCGCGTCGGGGCAGTCGCCGAGCAAACCATCACCCATGGTTTCCGCCAAGGGATACATGTCGTCGGGAATGAACAAGATGTCCAACAACGATACATTGAACAAGGGTCTCGGCAAGATTGGCGCTGGCAACTTTACGAGCCGCATGAGCGACCGCTTCAGCGCCAGCTCGGGCCCGTACGTTGCTCCGCGTAGCACTCCTCGCGAGCCTTCCGCCGAGTCGGGCGCTGGTGGTGCGGCCCCGACACCGCCTCCATCGCGCACCGCGCCTCCTGCTCGCGGCGGCCCCGTTGCCGGACTGCAGTCGTCCAAGGTGAGTGGGTATACCTCCGAGTCGGCACTGACCCTGTACAGTCGTTTGGTCACGTCGACACTGGTTCTGGCGGGTCGGCATTCACGAGCATGTGGCGCGATCCCAACAAGGTCCAGGCTCCCACGACCAACGCACGGATGGCACCTGCCCTCGGCGTGCCCAAGGTCAACATGCCGCCTCCGACCAGGCGGGTCGGTGCTGGCGCCGGAGCCGCGTCTGGTACCCCGTCCCCCGAGCCTGCTGCCGCTGCTGGGGAAGGCCAGGCGCAAGCTCTTTACGATTACCCTGCATCGGTACGTGTTGCATGCTGTAGCAATGGCTGACGCATAACAGGACGCGACGGACCTGGAGGTTCAAGAGGGCCAGATTGTCACCATTGTCGCCAAGACGTCCGCGGACTGGTGGACGTGCGAGGACGGCAACGGCAAGCAGGGCCTGGTGCCGGCCAACTACATGAAGGAGCTCTAAAGGTGGAACACGGGGCAACGGTGACGATGATAGCAGCTTGTACTGGAGGCGCACGGCGAAGGCGGCGGGGACCGCTTGAAACGATCAAAACGACAGACTCCTCCTTAGGCCTGGTAGACACGCTCGGATGGATGACCATATACCCTGCTGCTGCTGCAACTTGACTGTTTGCATAATCCCAACTACTGATACTGCTTCTCCTATCAACACGGCTGTCGTCTTGGGGTGGTAGGAGTTAGATCTCCTTGGCCATCATACCTGCGAAATGTCAGCTCCCACTAGAGCCTCTACACACTACCTTCAAAGTGCTTCTGTGAAGCCTTGGGGCTGGAGAGAGTGTCAGCTCATTTGCAAGGGATGACAATGGAGCTACGTACAGCACCTGGGACTTGATGCCAGTGTTGACATAGATTTCGGCGACAAGCTGGAGGTCGCTGGTGTCGTCGAGAGAACCAGCCTATGCGAGGGAGTGTCAGCTAGTCGTTCTCAATAAGAGGTTACGCAGATGTACTCACCTTGACGAAACGGACACCGGGAATGGCGTCGGGGTCAGAGTACAGACCCGAAGCGCAGGTACCGCAAAAGTAGCGGGTAATGGGCTTGCCCGAGTCGGTGCCGCGGTCAACGTATGACCTGGGCGTGCCCTTGGTGACCTTGAGGGCGTCCTGCGTCGACTTGAGGTTGAGCGACCTGGCACATGGCACACGTCAGCTAGTGGCGAGGAGGCATGGGACGTGTAAGACTCACTGGCCGGCGTGGAGCTTTTGGCAAGTCTTGCCTTTTGCGGGTGGTTAGCGAGAGTATGGCCGCCGTTGTAGCCGTCCACTTACAGTGGCAAATGATACCGTCGGTCGTGGGGTCGTCGAGGGTGTAGGCGACCTCGCTTGCGTGCGTCAGTTCACTGTCAACACTATCGCCGTTTTACGAGTGGCACGTAATCGGCGCTGCAGCGGAGCAGACAGCCAGATCCAGATCCCTCGCCAGATCCAGACCTCCGGATGATCGCCGCCGATCTCTATCCATCCATTTCACTCACCACAGTAGCAACCACCGGTACGCGTCATGATGATCAGTGTTTCTTTGAGGTCGGGCAGAGAGACAGTAAAAGCGCAAACGCACCCGCCTTCCAGTCTTGCTCTCATATATATAGCGGCCAACGGGCATGGCCGAGGATGTGCGTTGGGGAAGAGCGGTGGGCACCAGAACGGCCCCTGCCATGGGCGGCCGAGGAGGCGCGGGACGGTCTCGGTTCGCCCGAAGCCTACACCATCCACGGCTATTAACCTACAGCTTCACAACGATACTGTCATGTGATGCCGGGACACTCTCTCGTGGCCTGCTCTATTACAGCCGCTGGGCACCCTCGAGCTGACAGTGGCCAGTCATGTCAGTTGGCCGGTTATTCCGTCTTGGCAAATCCATGTTACCGAACTGGCATTCCGTACAATGACGGTGATCAATGACAGCCCAGGTGCGCAGCTCCTGCTTGCCGCCATTCTTGGTGGTAGCACGTACGTAAAAGAGGCTCAGCTCGTTCTCGGCAACCTCCAATGCGTATCCCTGGTCCTCATTACCTCTCTGCTACAGTCTCCAAACGTGCATCATTCGATCTACAATCTGTTTACGGTCTACGCCTGGGCACCAAGGACGCGCACGGTGCGGTCCAGACCCGAGAGCACAATCTCGCTACCAAGGTTGCCCCAGCGGGCGGCGGTGATGACACCGTTGTTGTCGTCAAACTTGAGCAGCTCATCCCAGGTCTTGTTGGCGTAGACGCGGAGGTCGGTACCGGCAACAGTGAGGAACTGGGCGGAGGGGTCGAAGCGGACCTCGTGGACAGCATTCTCCGCGGGCAGGTTCCAGCCCGACAGGAGCTTGAGCTTGCGCAGGTCAAAGACGTTGACGAGCGAGTCGCTCGACGAACCGGTAGCGAGGTAGTAGCCGTTTTCGGAGAAGCCAAGAGTGGTGAGGGCCTTGCCCGGGTGTGAGTCGAGCGATGCGGCCAGCGAGGTCGCCTGACGAGCGTCCCAGACGCGGACAATACCGTCCTTGGTGCCGCCAGCGTTGAGGACGCCGTCCGGGTGGCCGGAGAACGAGGTGTAGGCGAACGAGCCCTCGACATCAGGGAGAGCACCGTACGTGGCGATGGTCTTGGCCGACTCAATGTCGTGCAGGCACCAGGTGCTGTCGGTCGAGGCCGAGGCAACGTAGTAGCCCGAGGGGTGAACGGCAAGGCCAGTGACATCGCCCTTGTGGGCGGCAATGCTGCCCTGCGCACCCCACGAGCCGCCCTCCTTCTCACCCCAGAAGCGCACAGTCTTGTCGGCACCCGACGAAATGGCCACACGCGACATACCCTCGTTCTCGCGGAACGCAACGTGGGTGACGGCCTTGGTATGGCCCTTGAGGGTGGCGAGAACAGTCTGGCTCTCGAGGTCAAACACCTGCACGACCTTGTCGAGGCCACCAGTCACAATGGTCTTGCCATCCACCGAGAGGTCAAGCGCGTTGATGCCTGGCGGCTTGGTGCCGTGCATCGAGGGCACAGACGAGGTCTGGACGTACGACTTGACGGAGTCGGCGGTCGCGTAGCCAGGCGCCGGCTTGCGCTTCTTGCGCACCGACGACAGAGCCTGGTTGGTCGCCATGATCTTTTCCTCCACATCAGCCGGGAGCACGCTCTCGGGCTGCATCTCGACGTCCTCCTCCTCAGCGGCCGCCGCCGCGGGCGCGACACCGATCGAAGCCTGGATCGATGACAGAGCCCTGTAATGTCAGCTGTTACACAAACAAAAACAAAGAGCCCTCTGGCATAAACAACGTACTGGCGAGCCTCATCCCTCTCCTGCATCAACCTTGCGATCACGCGGGTCGCGGCGTCTTCCCTGTAAAGAGCATTGGCGAGCTCGGCGCGTGCGCTCTGGAAAGCCTTCTTGATCTCGAGTGACTCGAGCATGATCGCATCGTACTCGGACTGGAGCGCGGTCAGGAGCGCGGGGATCGAGGTCTGGTTCGAGGTGCGGGGAGGGAGGGTAGAGGGCTCTGTTTACGCGTGTTAGCTTCACGTGCACATGAGGGTTACACCTGCGTGTTTGTACTCACTGGCCTTGACATCGATCAGGTCCTCCTTGGTCAGAGGCTCTCCAGAAATCGGGTCGGTGCCGTTCTCCTCTGTTATTGTACATCAGCTCTCCGTCCAAATCCCAAGACCACCACAAATGTCGTCTCCACAACTCACCAATGTACCGCTCGATCAGCGACTTCTCGTAGACCGTGCCCGAGGTCTTGGAGACGACGGGCGCCGTAGGAGGAGAGCCGGAAACTGTGGCGCGCGCGTTAGCCATCGGAACACCAGCGGTAAACGCCAGGAAAACTCACTGGCACAGAAGAACATGATTGCCCTTGATTTTCTGGTCGGATGTAGCTGTACGACCCGAGCTGATGGGACAAGGGAGGATGCGGAGATGGGGATGGAAGGTCGATGGCCGTATGGTGATTGTTCTGTAATAGCTTGTTACTGCACAAGGGTGTTCTTTCAAACGGGGGTATATTTATCAACCACCGATCACACAGGTGGAGGCATCTTGCCAAAATGACACGTCAGGCTATTTTGAGCCGCGATCTCGAGCGGATCGCTCGCTGATGTTGGCCACCCAACAGTCTCCAACTTGCTGCCAACTCCACGCATCCCCTCAGCTCGCGACATCGTCAGCAGTGCAAAGGGCGGTCTGTCGAACAACTGGAACCACGTCTGTGCGACGAGATCGACAACCATGGCGGACCTCAAGCAGTTCATCAGCGACAACGTCGTTCGGGTAAGTCAACGCCAGTCGTCGTCCGTTCCCCCTAGCTCACATCCTCAGCTCCTCGGCTCGGCGGACGCTGCTGTTGTGGATTTCGTTCACTCATCAGGTAGGTATCGAATATACAGCAAACCTATCCATGCTCACACTGCAGCTCTGTCCGCAAAGACACCTGGGGACCTCTACTCATCGCTCGTCGCCGTTGGTCTGCCTGAAGGCCCCGAGTCCCAGACCTTTGCCACCCAGGTCCATGCCTTGGTACCGCGCAAAAAGGCAAAGGCCGCCAAGACCTCTGCTGCTTCCAGTACCCAAAAGTTCTCTCTCCTGCTCGACGACGAGCCATCGACTCGCAAGAAGAAGAAGGACAAGGGCAAGGAGAAGGAGAGGGCGAAGGAAAAGGAGCGCGACACCGTCAAGCTGAGCCGTTCGTCGCGTAAACGCGAAACAGACGGCAACTGGGATGACGAGCCCGAAGAAGACGATGACCTCGAGTACCTCGACTCAAAACGCGCAAGGCTGGACTCGCCACCTCGCGATGGCGGCTACGACGAGCCTCCACCGCCAGAAGAGACGGAAGAGGAGCGCCAGGAAAGGGAACGGTTAGAGGACATTGCGGAACGAGACGCCTTCGCCGAACGGATGAAGAACAAGGACAAGGACAAGACAAAGTCGCTTGCGTTTGACCGCTCGGGTGAGGGCGGCCTCGAGGCCCAGAAGCGCATGGCGCTCGCAGACGATGCCGACGCACGACAAGCCGTCATGCCCGACCTGCGTCTCCGCTCGCGTCAGGCCTACCTCACCAAGCGTGAGCAGCAGCGTCTTGACCTCCTCAAGATGGAAATTGAGGACGAAAAGATTCTGTTCCGCGGTCAAAAGCTCTCCCAGCGTGAAATCGATGAGCACGAGCGCAAGATTGAGCTCATCAAGATCATGGAGGCACGACAGAAGATTGATGACGGCAAGGATGGCTACATGCTTCCCGACGACTACATCACTGAGCAAGGTCGAATCGACTCGAAGAAGCGCAAAAACGCCCTGTACAACCGCTACGAGGAGAACAAGAGGGTCGATGGCGAGTTTTCCACCGACGTCGACAACTGGGAGGACTCGCAGCGCTACAAGACAGACCTTGTTACAGGCGCATTGGACAAGGAGATTATCGACGAGGGTGCTGGCTACGACTATGTCTTTGACGACGAGCAGGGTATCAAGTTCTTGCAAGAGGGCAAGATGGACGGCACGCTCACGAGCGAGGCCCAGGCGCTCCTCAACCAGGTTGAAGAGGCCGAGAAGAAGGCCCAGTCCATCGACCAGACCCGCAAGTCGCTGCCCATTTACGAGTTCCGTGAGGAGCTCCTCGAGGCCATTGCCGAGCACCAGGTGCTCATTGTGGTCGCAGAGACAGGCTCAGGCAAAACCACTCAGCTGCCCCAGTACCTCCACGAGGCAGGCTACACAAAGGGTGGTTTGAGAGTTGGTTGTACCCAGCCCCGTCGTGTTGCAGCCATGTCGGTTGCGGCGCGTGTCGCCGAGGAAGTGGGTACCCGTCTGGGACAGGAAGTCGGCTACTCGGTCCGTTTTGAAGACATGACAAGCGACAAGACGGTCCTCAAGTACATGACGGACGGTATGCTGCTGCGTGAATTCCTCACAGACCCCGAGCTGTCGAGCTACTCGGCCATTGTCATTGACGAGGCCCACGAGCGCACCTTGTCGACGGACATTCTGTTTGGCCTGGTCAAGGACATTGCTCGCTTCCGCCCCGAGCTTCGCCTCCTTATCTCGAGTGCTACAATGAACGCACAAAAGTTTTCCGAATTCTTTGACGACGCACCCATTTTCGACGTTCCTGGTCGTCGCTTCCCCGTCGACATGTTCTACACGCAACAACCGGAAGCCAACTACATCCATGCCGCCATCACGACCATCCTCCAAATCCACACCACCCAGCCCAAGGGCGACATTCTCCTGTTCCTCACTGGTCAAGATGAAATTGAGGCATGTGAAGAAAACCTCAAAGAAACCATGCAGGCGCTAGGCGACAAGGTACCCGAGCTCATCGTCGCACCCATCTACGCAAACCTGCCAACCGAGTTGCAGACCAAGATCTTTGAGCCTACCCCAGAGGGTGCTCGCAAGGTTGTTCTGGCTACCAACATTGCCGAGACGTCAATTACCATTGACGGCGTTGTCTATGTCATCGACCCGGGCTTTGTCAAGCAGAACAACTACAATCCCAAGACCGGCATGTCGTCGCTGGTTGTTGAGCCCATCTCGCGTGCCTCTGCACAGCAGCGTGCTGGCCGTGCTGGTCGTGTCGGTGCCGGCAAAGCGTTCCGCCTCTACACCAAGTGGGCGTTCAAGAACGAGCTGCCACAGGACACGATTCCTGAGATTCAACGCACCAACCTGGGCATGGTTGTGCTCATGCTCAAGTCTCTGGGCATCAACGACATTCTCAACTTTGATTTCCTCGACAAGCCTCCAGCAGAGACGATTATCCGTTCCTTTGAAATGCTCTACGCCCTTGGCGCGCTCAACCACAAGGGCGAGCTGACCCGTCTGGGTCGTCGCATGGCCGAGTTCCCTGTCGACCCCATGCTGTCCAAGGCGATTATTGGCAGCGAGGTCTTCAAGTGTACCGCCGAGGTGCTCATCATCATCTCAATGTTGCAAGAGTCGGGCTCGCTTCTTTACCGTCCCAAGGACAAGCGCGTGCACGCCGACAAGGCGCACAAGAACTTTGTCAAGCCTGGCGGCGACCATTTCACCCTGCTCAACATTTTCCAGCAGTGGGCCGAGTCGGGCTATGGTCAACAGTTTTGCTTTGAAAACTTTGTCCAGTACAAGTCGCTCTGCCGAGTACGCGACATTCACGACCAGCTCGCTTCACTGTGCGACCGCGTCGAGGTGGTCATCGAGAGCCTGCCCAACGAGGTGATCCCTATCCAAAAGGCACTGACGGCGGGCTACTTTTACAACACGGCACGTATCGATAAGGGCGGTGGCTACCGCACCACCAAGAACAACCACACCGTCTACCTCCACCCGTCCAGCTGTCTTATGGGCATGCAGCCCCCGCCACGGTTCATCCTGTACTATGAGCTGGTGCTTACCTCCAAGGAGTACATGCGCCAGTGTATGCCGATCGAGGGAGCGTGGCTTGCGGAGCTGGCACCGCACTATTTCGGCAAGCAGGAGATCCAAGAGTTGTTGGGCTCGGCGAGCAAGGTCAAGATGCCCAAGCAGATTGAGCAGCCCAAGGCAGAGGGCCAGTAGATAGAAGAAAACGATCAGTAGTCAGCCTCCAGCATGCAGTAGCATTGTCAGCAGCACCCGAAGAATTGAACAGAGGATGAAATGTGCCATTTCGATGCCATTATGAATGTGCTAGTTGTACAACACGTCTATAGTCCATACCCTAACTGGGCCGTCTCCTAGGTGGGTACAGCACGCGATTCACCAGGTCGATGGGCAGGTCCACGGCCTCGGGGACGTGGTCCTTGGCCGCATACTTCCAGTAGTACCGCTCCTGACCGTGCTCGTTCGCTGGTATGTTCGAGTAGCTGTCTGCCTGGTTAGCTGTTACGTTCGCCATCACATGTACGGACCTGTAATGATGGTCGGAGAGTCAAATCCGGGCGTGAGGTAGATTGACAGCGCCGCGTACCCAAAGTATGAGAGGAGGACCACGACCATGAGCCAACACGGCACGATCACTGCCCACTCCCTGTTTGCTAGTCAGCCTGTGCGCTATCATTCAACGTCGCCAGCGCGGCTTACCTCGCAGGATACCAGGTCCATCCAATCTTATCCAGCCAGCCCTCGGGAGCCAACGCCCACACGAGATACATCCCAAAGCCGAGGTAACTGAGGAGCACGCCGATGAGGCCGTACACCTCCTTCGGACCGGGGAGGTCGTGTTGTCCAAAGCCACCTGTGGAGGACGAGGAAGGGGACGATGGGTCGATGGGCTCTTCTGGTGGCCATGGAGATATGGGATCGAGAGGAGAGAGTGAAGACTGTAGTCGTGTGGGCGAGAGGGTGGGAGGTGGGGTGGTAGGTGCGGTGTCCATGTCGACGTCGACGCCGATCGGCACGCGCTGGCGCGACAGTGATGGGGCGCTGGTAGCCGGCTGTTTGCTGTGTCCATTCGCTAGGTGTAGGGTGCCACCCTTGGGCCGTCGTTTGTCGGCCATCCTTGGTAGTTGGAGTTGTGGGAAGAGCAGACGAACAAGTGCAAAAACGGGACGACCAAAAACAGTTGGGCGACAACAAGGACGGTCTGGTGTTGTTGGCCAGGCACGGCTGGGCATGGGACGGGTGGAGGTGAGTCAACTGGGACGCGTCTCTGTCCGTTCTTCTGTCATCGTTGTCAACACCGCTACCTCTCTCTTGCCAGTTCATCCCATTTACATATAATCAGACGACACACGTGCAGTCGGTAACAGAGAGCCTGTGTTACACCCTCTCCCCACGGTAGAGCAAGACCGTCATGGCGGCGAAGATTAAAGGTGCGTCGTCATGAACCCCCAGCTGAATGGGCGTGACTTCGTTCCAGCAGCTGACATGACACACAGCCATCGATGCCGGTTCAGTCCACCGCATTCATTCAGGACAGGTTGTTCTTGATCTCCAGAGCGCCATCAAGGAGCTGGTAGAGAACAGCCTCGACGCTGGGGCTACTAGCATTGGTGGGTATGACTTCCGTTTTTGACCCACTAACGCCAGACGTGCGCATAAAGGACCACGGCCTCGACACGGTCGAGGTACTCGACAACGGCTCAGGTATTGCCCAACCAGACTGGCCTTCTATAGGTAAGTCTGATGGCTATGCCATACAAGAGACTAGCTGACTCTCAGGCCTCAAGCATCACACGTCCAAGCTGCCGTCCCTCGAGGAACTGGCCCAAGTCTCGACGTTTGGCTTTCGTGGTGAGGCGCTGAGCGCGCTCTGCGCTCTGTCAGAGAGTGTCACTGTCGTCACGTCCACGAAAGAGACGGCGCCTATGGGTGCCATTATTACGCTGGGGAGGAATGGACATGTACTAGACGACACTGGCAAGGTGGCAAGACAAGTGGGTTCGTTTCGGCTTGCTACTGCTAACCCAACAACAGCGTGGTACAACGATTACTCTGAGCGGACTGTTCAAGCCTCTACCTGTTCGTCGCAAAGAGTTTGAACGTACCGCCAAGCGCGAATTCACAAAGGCTCTGGGTATCCTTACGGCGTACGCCCTTGTCCCCGCTAGCGCTTGTCCCGCCGAGGGCAAGTCGGGCGTGAGGCTGAAGGTCGAGTCTATTGGCGCGGGCAAAGCAGCGTGGGTTGTACGAGAGGTTTGCATAAGCTGACATTGCCAGGAAACGGAACACCGTGCTAGCTACCGACGGACGCGGTTCACTCCGCTCTTCTGTCAGCGCCGTGTGGGGTCCCAAGGCGCTTGAAGGTGTCGTGGACATTGATGTTGAGCTCGATGTCGCTGTTGACAAGGCCATGGCGAGGAGAGAAGGGATCGCAGAGACGTGGGTTATTGTTCATCGTTGTTGACTAACCCAATAGGTCGCAGACTGTCCGTGTTACCGGACTTATCTCCTCGGGAGCGTGGGGTCAAGGCCGTTCCAGCGCAGATCGGCAGTTCACCTTCATCAACGGCCGGCCCTGTGCACTGCCCAAAGTAAGTTTAAGTATTGGAGCCAGCTGACCCGGCAGGTATCCAAGGCCGTGAACGAGGTGTACAAGAACTTCAACACAAATCAGGTGCCACTTGCCATTCTCGACTTTCAGATTCCCAAGGAGAGCGTCGACATCAACGTCAGCCCGGATAAGCGCACCATTTTTGTTCACAGCGAGGCAAACTTGATCGAAGCGCTGCGCGTGAGTGCTTACCGCACTTCTGTGTGGCTGACACTCCAGACTTCCCTCGAGACGTTCTTCCAGCCCACACGCTCGTCCTATGCCGTTGGAGGTGCCTCGTCGACAAAGAAGCTGGTGCAATCAGACCTGTCCGCTACCCAGGCTGTGGCCGCCGACGACATATTAGAGGACGACGAAGAAGGCACCCAACCAACGAGTCACGCGACCCCAACCAGCCGCTCACGTCGCACGTCCTCTAGAGCTTTGTCTCACCAGGACTCAGAATCAGAACCAGAACCCCAGTCTGAGGGTGAAGACGAGCTGTCCCAGACACCCGCACCACGGCCATCGCGCCGCTCTGCCAGACCACCATCCCCTCCTCCTCGCCGTGTAGTGCAGCAAACTCTTGACACTACCCTTGCTTCTTGGAGCCCAAAGCGCAAGTCTCCAGCTGTGACCATCTTGAGGAGTGTTCCGACGCGAGCACCACCCACCGGCCGCGATGCGCGTGCCAATCTGCGTCAACAGCTGGCTGGGTATGCCAGCCAGCAAGTGCCGACACAGGTGGATATGACTGCCGACGATAGCGGGTACGAGGACGAAGGCGATGACATCCAGCAGAGTGATAAGGAGGAAGAGGAGGAGGAGGATGTGCACATGAGTGATGTGGAGCCTGAACCCTCGCAACGGCCATCAAGCCCCGTGCCACAAGAGGAACCAGAGGTGGACGAGTTGGACGACGACGAACTTGTGCAAAGCCCTCCCCGCCGTCTTGGCGTACCCAGTGCAGTCCAACGCGATATTGACGAGGACAATGAGCAACCTCCTCGGACCTCCACACCGCTCTCCGTACCTTTCACAATCGTGACCGAGCCCGATATGGACGTCGACGAAGAGGAGGAGCCTCCTGCCGCCCGATCTGGCTATCGCGACGAAATCCAGTCAACCAACTCGACCGGCGAGGTGACATTACGCTTCGACGCTGGCCGTCTACGTGAGCGCTTTGCATCCCGACGATCTCGCCGTGCCGCCTCCACCCCACCCACTCGCGATGCCTTTGACGCTGTCAATGACGGGGCTGTGGCAGACGCGGCTGGCGTAGGGAACCGGGACGCCGAAGAAGCCGAAGCTGCTCTCGCTCGAGTCATCAGCAAGGACGACTTTGAGATCATGGAGGTGCTGGGACAGTTTAACAAGGGCTTTATCATTGCTCGCCTCCGACACCCGGCTCATGAAGACGCTGCAGGGTCGGACGACCTGTTCATTGTGGACCAACATGCCAGCGACGAAAAGTTCAACTTTGAGACTCTTCAGCGCACCACCGTCATCAAGGCTCAGTCGCTCATCAGGTGGGTACATATTTGGCTACAACGCTGACCCGCCAGACCCCGCCCCATGCAGCTCACCGCCGCTGACGAGATCGTGGCCATGGAGAACCTGGACGTCCTCCATGCCAACGGCTTTGACGTGGACGTGGACGAGGACGCGGCTCCCGGCCGTGGTGAGCGTGTGGCTCTCAAGGCCATGCCCGTCAGCAAGGAGACGACGTTTGATTTCAAGGGTGAGCTACTTGTATACGTTGACAGCTGACAGTACAGATCTCGAGCAACTCCTTCACCTTCTCTCGGACAGCGCCCGACCTGCCGGGCAGATGGTGCGCTGCACCAAGGCCCGGTCCATGTTTGCCATGCGCGCATGCCGCAAGAGCGTCATGATTGGCAAGAGCTTGACAAAGGCGCAGATGGTCACAGTGAGTGCAGGTAGCCGTAATGATTGCTAAACCTGACCAGCTGCTTCGCAACATGGGCACAATTGACCAGCCTTGGGTAAGTAAACCAGCAGCGGCGCGAGCCTACGCTGACATTGCTCTAGAACTGTCCCCATGGCCGGCCGACGATGCGCCACCTCTGCGCGCTCACCCCGCCGACGCGTTCGCGCGCAGGCCGTGATCGCATCGACTGGTCGGAGTGGAGTTAGTGTGCCTTGTTTTATATTCATTCCAACGTTCTTGTAATGTATTTTGTCGCCAACTGAGGTGTCCGAGACACATGCAACTGAGAGACAGATCACAGAACTGCATACATATTCTGAAGGAGGCGATACGGGACGCGCTTGGCAGCGGACATGGGGATGAGTGGGGTGCAAGGGGGAACGAATTCAGGACCAGACACGTGTTTTGTTGTAACTTGGGTTGTTTAAAGGACACAAAGGACATTTCACGACCACACACGTCGAGTGCAGGTCTACTCGTCGTCGCTCTCCTCCTCCGACTCGTCGTCGGCCTCCTCGAGCCACTTGAGGAAGGCGTCGGCCGACTTGCGGACCTTCTTCGACTTCTCCTTGTCGACATACTTCTTCGACACGTGCGTGCCCCAGTTCGTGAGGACCTCCTCGTCGAGAATGTCCTCCTGGTAGAGGGCCATGAGGACCTTGGAGGTAGTGCCCTTGGCAAGGAGCTCGTCCGAGTCGGGAGAGAGAGCGAGGAGACGCTCGAGGCCGCCGAGGAGCGACTTTTGGTGCTTCTCCGAGGTAACGAGGGCCTGGAGGAGGGCAGTGCGGGTGCCAACCTCGGCAGCGATGTTGTCGGTGAAGAGCTTGTGGCCAATCTCAATAAGAGCCTTGTGCTTGCCGACAATCTCGAGCTCCTTGATCTTGGCAATGATGTCGGCGTCCGAGGCCGAGCGGTTCTCCTCGAGCCACGTGCCGAGCTGGCCGTAAGGCGAGTTGGCGTCGTCCTCGTCGTCGTCAACGTCGAGGTCCTTGAGGCCCTTGGTGAGGGAGTCGTCGGTGCTCTTGGAACGCGAGGGAGTAGGAGCAGGCGAGTCGTCCTCGTTCGAGCCAGCGGCGCCGCCGCCGTTGACGGCGTTCTCCTGGAGGACCATGGGGCCACCGACGTTGGCCTCGGCGGTCATACCCTTCTTGCCCTTCTTCTCCTTCTTGGGAGGGTTCTTGAGAATAAAAGTGGTGAGCTTGTGACGCATGTCAATGTCGGTGTGGGCACCGCAGGCCTTGCAGTCGCGGTGAATCTTCTCGCTGTTGCCGCGGCCGGTGATGACCAGCTCGGTCTCGGGGTTCTTGCACGAGGCGCACAGGACAAACTTGACGATGAAGACGTCGAGGAGCTCGCGCAGGCGATCGGCCTGGTGAGCGCCGTTGACAATGTAGCGCTCGTTGGCCATGGTGGTCTGCGCGCCGAGCTCGGAACCAAAGAACTTGGTGGGGACTGGGCAAGACGTCAGCACACGAACACAACATGAGTGTCACACAGGCCATGTTCACTCACAGCTCGGGGGGCGGTTCAGGGCGCGAGCGACGTCCTCCATGTTGGGAACGACAGTCTTGATGCCGTTGCCGCGGCCCTCAATCTTGGTCTCAAGGACAGGCATCTTGTAGCGCTGTGTGGTCAGCTAAGGAACACTGCATTCTACCACTCACGTAGAACTTGTCTTCGACATCGCGACGAATGTTAACGGTAGCCATGTTGGGCAAACTTAGGTCTAGAAAAGGTTTTGTCAGCAACCCATGAACAAGACAAAGAAAGCAAGGTGCCACTCACATCTAGCGAGGGTGGACTATGCAACGGGGCGTGGTGTGATTCAGGACGGTTGGTGAGTCTCGATGCTGCATGAACTGTTGTGCCTGCAAATAGCGTGTTAGCCATCACTCTTTGTCACAATGAGACGCGTAGGGAGTGCTCTTCGGGAGTTGAGGAAACTTGGAAGACGGAGGTGAAAGGGCGAGGGAGCACAAAGTACTGCGTCGCCCTTAGGCGTCCTCCGACGACCTCCGCCGCAGCCTCATTGGCGCGTACGCGCTCCCTTGCCTCGACCCTTGCATGCTTGTACTCACTCCTTTTGGGATTGCACGGTTTGGAGTCACTCCGGTCAAATGGGTCGGGGTGCGCGGGGGTGATCGGGGCGTGGGACGCGATGTTGGGCTGTTGGAGCCGTGGGCTCTGTTCGCGTGTGTGCGGCTGTGGGAGGTGTAGACTAGTCTAGGCTCGGGTGGCGGTAGCGTCAACGAGAGCGGATGTGGTGAGGGTGGGTTTGGAGAGGAACGGCAGGGGGATCTGCCTGGTGGTCGCTGGTTGTGGGTGTGTGGGGGAGATAGCGCTGTTATACGCTGTTGGTGATGGTGGCGATGCCGGAGGTGATGATGATGAGGAAGGAAGAAAGAGTGAGATGACTGTGCTTTGCGCCGGGCCAAAAACCGTCCAAAGCCCACATGGAGGAACACCGTGGGAAAGCTGACAGAGGGAGGGAGACACACGCGTACGCACCAGCGGATCAGTGGCGTCGGGGTGTCGTACCTGTGGCACTCGAGTGACGTGGTGGTGGTCCTTTTCGTGCACGTCCTCTCTGCCTCTCTCTGCTTCCCTCGCTCACTTCGAACAGCAAAACGAGGTTGCATGCAACCGATGACATATGAAAAAGAAGAAAGACTATGTACACCTCCACCTCCCCCTCTTTACCAACCAGACATTGCGCCACCAGTCTTGCTCAGCCGGCTCTTCCGGCGCGCTCCTCCAGCATACCTGCCCTTGCGCGACTCGGGCACCACCTCGTCCTCCGAGTCGGTGCCGCTGCCACTCTCCTCTTCACTGTCCTCGTCATCACGCTGCTGGCTTGGGAGGACACCCGTGGTACGCGATCCTGATCCAGTGACAGCGTTCCACACAGACGTGCCCACACTCTTACCCGACCTCAACAAATCCTTTGGCAAGGCGGAGAGGGTCGGGAACGAGCTCGACAGGGGAGCGGCCGTCGACCGGCGAGGCAACGACAGCGGGATGGGGGGGAACATGCGCGACGTGGTGGTCGCAGTGTCGTCGTCAGAGTCCGACGCGTACGTGCCGCCGCCATTGACAATGCTGGTGGCGGTCGCCTCGTCGTCGTCATCGTCGATGGTTGGAGCAAGACCGCCGCCGTTGGACTTGCCGTTCGTGCGCTTGCCCTTACCGCCGCGGGCGCTCGAGCCAGTCACCGAGCTGCCAGCCACCGACGACTGCAGATCCTGCGTCTCGGGGATCTGGGTCTCGGGAACAAGGGGGGCTGGGAACGCGTTGTACGCCTGAGTAGCGAGGGCCTGGCTGCCCTCGGACATGAAGAGGGGAGTTTCCTCGACCGGGCGACGGCGGTGGAGTAGCGGGCTCGACTGAGTTGCAGAGTCGTGAACCTCGATGTCGTGTGCGTGGCCGTTGGGCATGCTCGAGGGTGGAAGAGGGCTCTTCTGCGTGAAGGGGCTGAGCTGCGTCTTGACGGGGTAGGACGAGTCCAGCTCATCGACCTGGGAGGAGGCGACAGCGGAGCGAACGTTGCGCGTGTTACGCAAAACAGGTGACGACTGAAGTTTGTTAGCAATTGGCCAAGTGAATCAACTCACCAAGTTGTTGTTTGCCCGCGGAGTCTCCTTGGCATTGTGGAACTCGTCTTCGGACTCTTCGATGATGGGCTGTGTCGGTGGCTGCGATGCAGGAACCTCAGCCTCCGCTGCGGCAGCGGCAGCCTCGACAGAAGCGGCACGCGTCCTGCGGGTCGTGGCCGGAGTGGCAGGGGGCTCCTTGGAGGCCGCACGAGTACGACGACGGGTGGCGGGAGGAGCAGGAGGCTGGGCGACGCTGCTCGCCAAGGTACCCCTGCTGCGAGTGACCCTTCCACTACGAGTCTCAGGCTGGCTCGCGGGAAGAGGAGCTGGCTCGCGCGAGGCTGCGCGTAGCGAGCGGGAAGGGGTCGGTTGGCTAGCAGGCACCTTGAGAGGAGACGAGGGAGGGTTCTTGGGCGGACGTCCACGACGCTTCGGCGCAGGCTTCACTGGCTCAGGCTCGGGCTCCTGCTCCTCCTCTGTCTCAGCCTGGGGCTGCTCAACCTGGGACGGCTGGAGGGACTCGAGCTGCATGACGTCAACCTGAGTGGCGTGGAGGTCGTCGCTCTCAGGCTCGGGTGTAGGCGTCGTATCGCGGTTGATGGGCGCGTCCTCCTCGATGGCCTCGCGGAGCGCAATGTCACCCGGGAACTCTTCGAGCACAGGGCTGTTCGGAATGAGGTTGTTGAAGCCACGCGACGCGCGCCTCTCGGTAGCGGGCGAGGAGTGATCGGCCGCGGCAACCTTTTTAGGCGTAGCCTCGACTTCAGGTTCCGGAACGGTCTCGTCGACGTCCATCGCCTCGTCGGCGGCCTCGTCGGCGGGCTGATCAGTGACGATGGGCTCGAGGTCATCGACAGGCTCGACAACCTCGGCAGGCTGAGACGGCTGAGGGAGCTCTTCGACATCGCTCTGTTCCGCTTCCTCCACCTCCACCTCCTCCACTTCGACATCAGATGCCTCTTCCACAACCATGGTCGCATCAGCGACAGAGTTGAGGAGCGCGGCCTTGGCGTCCTTGGTGTCCTCGCCTTCGCTCTCGCTCTCAGCGTCGCTGTGGGCAGCCTTGGTGGTCTCGTCCTCAAAGTCGCCGATGCTCGAGTCGGATCCACGGCGCTGGAGGGCGTGCTGGGGAAGCTCTTCGTCGCTCTCGATGTCGGACGCGCTGGCCTCCTCGACGTGGTGCATGGACGCAGCACTCAGGCGCGCACGCTGGCGCTGCCTGCTCGAGAGGGGTTTGTTCATGACGCGGCGCATGAGCTCGGCGGGGTCCACATCCTCATCGTCGCTCGACGAGTTGTCAGACGAAGCGCCGGAAAGGGACTCGTTCTCGTTCTCGGAACCGCTCTCCTCAGACTCGGAGCCGCTATCACCCGTCTCGATGACAGCATCGCTCACGCTCAGACCCGACATCGATCCGGGGCGGCGGGGGCGGGCCAGGGCCTTGAGGTGGATGGTTGCAGGGTAGAAGGGAGTCTCAGGCGCAACCACAACGGGGGTGGACGCAGCGGACGAGTTGGGAGAAGATGCCCGTGACGAAGCGGCCGACGACGTGCCGTCCGCCTCCTTGTCCTCGTCTTCTTCATCCTCTTCATCCTCTTCCTCGTCATCATCAATCACAATGGGCTCCTCAGCCGTGGCAGGCGTGACGGGTACAGGTGTCTTGACAGCGACAGTGGCGGGCGACTGGGGCGTTGCAGCCATGGACTTTGCTGGACTCTCGGTGCCATTCACCTTTGCCGCAATGTTGGTCAAGCGCTGAATCCAGCTCTTGATAGCCTGGCAGCCATAGTCACTGGCCTCATCCAGTCCCTTCATGTCAGACTGGCGACGGTTCTTGCCCTCCTTGCGGAGCTGCACGAGGTCGGCACGGCGGACTTCGAGGCGCTCCTTGAGCTTCTCGACACCAGCCGCCACAGCAGGACAGTCCTTTTGAAGGTGGGAATTCAGTTCGCCACAGATGACGCACGGCGTGCTTGGTGCTGCAGCTGCCGATTTGGGAGTGGCGGTCGCGGACTTTGCACTGCCAGGCGTGCCGTTCTGCTTGCCGTTTGCGACCGGGGTGGTAGCATCCGACTTGCGGGAACGCTTCTTCGCGGCGGGAGTGGTCTGTTCCAAAGAGTCGGGCTCGGTCGCAGCAGTGGGGTGCGCGGGGCCATCCGGCGAGGGTTCAGGAGCGGCGGAAGAGGGCTGCGGGGTTTCCGAAGTAGGTTCAGGAGCGGCGGCAAACGGCTCCCGAGGATCCCAAGGAAGTTCAGGCTCTGTTGTGGCGCGCTTCTTATGAAGCTCCTTCAACATGCGCTGAGTGGTGGACTCTGGCTTGGTGCCCTTTGCAACCATCTCCTTGACGGGCTTGTCTTTGCTCTTGAGCTTGGACTTGGGTGTCGGCGTCGCGTGTTCTGGGGCAGGAGTCTGAGGTGCAGGGGTCTTGCTCGGGTCGGCAGCGGGGGTGGGAGCAAGAGGCGCAGGGCTGTTCTTGGCCGCCAGCGACGCATTGATGTCGGCAACGATGCTCGCGATGATTTGTTGACGAGTCAAGGGGGTAGCAGGAGGAGCAGCCTTGGCGGCCGTAGTGGAAGCTGTAGCCTTGGTCTGTGCGGTAGGAGCAGAGGGTGCGGCCTCGGCTTGGGGCTGGGGCTGCTGTGGTGCGGCTTCGGTGTTGAGCTCGCTGTCAAGCGACTTGCGACCAGCCGACCGACGGGAGCGGACCTTCTTGGCTTTTGGCACTGGCACCTCTGCAGGCTCTGCAGATTTGGGCTCCTGGTCCTTGGCGGCCACCTCCTGGCCCTTCTTCTTCTTCTTAGCAGCTGGCGCACCAGGGACCGGAATGGCAGCTGGAGCTGACTGGGCTGCTACCGAAGCACCGGGGACAGGGATGGCCACGGGCGCGGGGGCAGGCTCGACGGCACCGACGACCGGAGGAAGGCCGCCAACAAGGAGTGGCAGGTTGTCGGATGGCTTGGCAACGGCCTTGACAACCGGAGCAGCATCCGACACACGACCCTTCTTCTTTGGCCTCTCATCAGCAGCGGCCGGCGTGGCGCTTGGACTAGCTGCCGTTTGGGACAGCGGACTAGGACGTGAGGGCTTGTACTGCTGGACCTTTGCAATCGTGGGAGGGGCAGCAGGTGTAGCTGCAGAAACAGAGGTGATCTCCTTATCGCTGGCGGCGGCTGGGGTCGTGCTGGTTGTGGTGGGACGCAACGAGGTAGGAGGGGCGTGGGTGTGAGCCTCGCTGGGGGTGGGGACTGGTCCAAGAACAAACGTCGAGGAAGCCGAAGTGGAAGTCACTGGCGACGAGACAGAGAATCTAGGCGATCGTGAGGGCGGGGGTACCTCCTCATCCTCCTCCTCCTCTGTGCTCTCGATGCTCTTGCGCTTATGTTTCTTCTTTCTGTTCCTGTTGTTGGTCGTCTTGCCCTGCGAGTTGTTGGGTTGCTGGCCAAGCTGAAAGTTGGGGGAAGCCGAGTACTGTCCGGGACCAATGTGATCGCCATATGCCGGAGATGGAGTAGAGGGTGGGGAGTCGGTCGGGAGGGCAATGAGGACGCGCTTCTGGGTGCGCGGCGTATCGCTAGCGCCAGGCGTACGCAGAGCGGAGCGGGGTGTCGGAGCCGAAGTGGGCGGGCGGTAAGGAGTCGGGACGGATAAGGTATCACGAGCAGTGGTCCTTTCCACCGATGGTGGTGCTGAGCCTGCAAGAGATGACGGTGGGGTGGGATGCTGCCCGATCGCCGCCGAGTACACGCGAAGTGTCTCCTTCTTTGACCCAGTGGCCTCGGCGCGGTTCCTGATGGCCTTAAAGTCGTAGTCTTTTGAGAGTTGTCAGTGTGTCGTCGTGTGATAATGTCTCGTAACTGGTAACCCACCATCCCACACGGGTGACTCCATACCTCCTTGGCGAACATGCATGATCTGGAGACCGACCATGGACGCGCCAAGACGGTCGGCGACTATTGGAACGACAGCGTTGAGGGACTTGCTGCCTGTGCGCATTCGTCAGTAAACAGAGTTGGTTTCGGGTGTCGTGGGAGTTTGCTCGTTTTGCTTCTCCGCGAGCATCTGGCTGGACTCACCAATGAAGCGAGTGTACTTCTTGTCAGTGCCGACCAGCTCCCACTCGGCCTCGACCTTGTACGAGTGGTTGTTGTCATTGTCATCGTCGGCGGTGGAGTTGGTCGACTGGGCGTTCAGACCCGCGCGCGACTTTTTGGCAGACGGCCCTGCCTCTGGCGTCGGGGCGGTGGGCGACGCGACGTGCTTCCTCTTTGGAGCCATGGTCGCGGTGCTGTGCGCGCGCGCGATCGATGGTGGGCAAAGGGCAGCTGGTGGTTGTCGACAGGGCGGTCTGGAGGGGAGATGATGGTGGATGGACGGAGGGAAAGATGTCGAGAATAATGGGCACAAATCGTCCACCACACGCGGGGGGTTCCCTGCCTGGGCCCACACATTTTCAGGCACGCGCGCTTTCAACGACCGCCGACGACTGCTCTCTGCGGCGGCTGCTGCAAAAGTTGGTTTCCGACCTCGTCCATTTCTCTTTGTTTCGTTCTTCTACATACCATATCCGCGTCAATGCTCGGCTTCCCTTCGGCTCTCCGCCACGGCTCCGCCGCCATCCGCTCCGGCAGCGGCATGGCTCGCTACCTCTCCACCTCGGCGCCGGCCTTCAACGCCCCCGTCAAGGTGCCCGTGGCCCTCATTGCCAAGCTGCGCAAGACCCACCCCGTGCCCATGGCACAGGCTCGTGAGGCGCTGGAAAAGTCCAACCTCGACGTCGACGCCGCTGTCGCCTACCTGAGCAGCGCTACCTCGGCCTCGGCTCAGAAGAAGGCCGCCAAGGTCGCCGACCGTGTCACCTCGGAGGGCACTGTCGCTGTTTCGCTCCTCGGCGGCCGCCGTGTGGCCATGGTGCAGCTCGCGTGTGAGACAGACTTTGTCGCCCGCAACGACGTCTTCCTCAAGGCTGCCCGCGGTATCGCCGAGACCGCTGCGTTCCTGGACGTCCCCACCGACGACCCGGCATCGCCCGTCCCCCAGCCTGCCCAGGACGCCATCCAGGTGTTCCCCAACGACGCCCTCCTGTCGGCTCCCCTCATCTCGGTCCCCGCCGACGGCACGACCGCCGCTGCCCCCTCGGATGAGGCCCAGACCGTGCAGCAGGTCCTCCTTGCGTCTCTCCAGCAGACCAGCGAGAACCTCAAGCTCGTCCGCGCCGCCTCGTTTGCCGCCCCCTTCCCCTCGACCCCCACAACCCGCATGGTTCCCGGCGCCTACACCCACGGCGGTGACGACACCACGGGCAAGGTCGGCGGTATCGTCGTTCTCTCGGTCGAGGGTGCTGGTGACAAGCCCATTGCCGCCATGATTGCCGCCCCCGAGGGCGCTCAGCTCGACACCGACCTGCAGGCCCTCGCCCGCAACCTTGCCCGTCAGGTTGTCGGTTTCCCCACCAAGGCCCTCGTTGCCGGTGAGGGTGTCGAGGACGAGGAGGCCCTGCTCTCGCAGACTGCTATGCTGCTGGGCTCGGACCAGAAGGTCGCCGACGTTGTCGCCAAGTGGGGCGAGGAGCGGGGCGTCAAGGTGTCCATCGTCGACATGAGGAGGTGGGCCGTTGGTGACGCCATTGAGGCTTAATTTGGCGCAAGGACTCGGTAGTACATAGAGCATGGCATTCTCATCACTCATGGAAATGAGCAGACAGAAGGGGACGTGGTATTGTGCATTTCGGGTATCAAAAACACTCTAGGTATAACTATGTGTGTATATCTACAACGGCTGACGCTTCTCGGGTGCAGCCGCCACACCGACAGCGGCCTCCTCAATCCCCTTGCCAGCAGCCTCGAGGTCCTTGACCACCTCAGCCTCGAAAGTGAGAGTCCGGTCGCTGATTCCCGAGTGGGCTGCACCCTCGTGGTCGTCCTGGCTGTGCTCGTCTCCGTCCTCGTTGCCGTGGCCATGTTTGGCCCTCTTGCGCGCCTTCTCCTCCTGGACCCAAGCTTTGCCTGCGGCCTTGAGCTCGGCGTCGTCCTCGCGCTTGAGGCTGATACGCTTGACGAAGAAGACGGTAATGAAGAACGAAATGCCGGCCATGGGGACACACAGCCAGAAGCACGCGTCCACCCCGTGTGCTGGTGGTGGTTAGCAAAGGATTCACGGGGGCGACAAGAGTTTTGCTCACCATAGATGGCGCGAACCTGTGCCACCTGGGCAGCCGACAGTCCCAGGTCTGTCAGCTGTGTCGGGTCCTGAAGGATCTGGGCCACGAGCTCGGTGCCAAGGTCCAGCTTGCTGAGGCGGGACTTTGCAATGTTGTTCACGATGGCCGCACACGCCGCGAGCGCCACTGTACCGCCGAGCATGCGCAGGAAATTGCGACAGCCCGTGGCGGTGGCCATGTCCTTGCGCGCGACACTGGCTTGGATGGCGATCAGACTAGTCTGGAATGTCTGCCCGGCACCGACGCCGACGAGCACTTGGAAGCCGTAAATGTGAGCCATGGGTGTGTCGGCCTTCATCGAGGACATGAGGCCAAGTCCAATGGTCCAGATGAAAAACCCAGCCATGAGGTTCCACTTGTAGTCGCCCGTCTTGCTGACCAGCATGCCCGAGCTAGTAGGGGTCAGCTTGTAGGTGGCGCACATCGAATAAGCTTACCTGAAGGAAAAGAAGACCTGGACAAAAGTCAGAGGCAACATGTTGACACCAGACCGAATGGGACTGTCGCCACGGACGACCTGGAAGTACTGTGGCAGGTAATACAGCGTTGCGTAGAATGCGGCGCCGTTGCAGAATGTCGTGGCCATGGACGCGGCGACAGTCATGTCCTTGAAAATGTACATGGGCACCAGAGGAAGCGGGACGACCTTGGCCTCGACGATGATGAAAACGACCAAAAGGGCGATACCGATGATGAGCGGGGCGAGAACCGCCGCCGAGGTCCAAGAGTATGTTGTTCCACTCCACGAGAGGGCGAGGAGCACGAGGATCGCCCAGGCCAGCGTCAAGATGGAACCGTAAAAGTCGAGTTTCTTGAGCTTTTCGATCCACGAGCCTTGGATCTTCTTGAGGGGCAGGAGGAAGGTAACCACCACGATCGCGAGAGCTGTGAGTGGCAGATTGATGTCTGTGGCAGTTAGCAATGTTCGTTCGTCTTTCCTTCCTTCCTTCGAGAAAAGATGGTACGAAAGACATCTTCTCCGGGTCCCGGCTTACAGAAACACCACCTCCATGTCACCTTCTCGGTAAACACCCCTCCAAGGATGGGGCCAACAGAGTTGGCAATCGCGACTACTCCGCCAGTGAACCCTTGAAATTTGCCTCTGTCCTTCAGAGAGACGATATCCGATATAATAATCATCGACAGAGTAAGAATACCACCACCTCCGAGGCCTTGGATAGCGCGGAAGATGATGAGCTCGATCATCGTCTGGGCGAGAGCGCACGCCAGCGAGCCGAACAGGAAGATGGTGAGACTGCCGAGGAGGACGACCTTGCGCCCGAAAATGTCGGACAGGCGGCCATAGACTGGTTGCAAGGCCGTCGAGGTGAGCATGTATGCCGTGCCGACCCAAGTAGCGATGCTGGCTTGGTTGAAGACTCTGCCGAGAGTGGGAAGTGCGGTTGTGACACTGGAGGTGGTGTCAGCTTTTATTGTCCCAATATTATTATTATTATTTCGCTTGCCGCCACGTTTCGCACCCCACTTTCATTCCCCCCACCAACACAACACACGACACTACTCACATGGTTTGGTCCAATAACGAGCAGAAGAGGGCACAGTTGAGACCACAGAAGATCATGATGACCTGTTTGGCGGGGAGGAGGTTGGTCTGGTCCTGCAACGCGTACTTTTTCGCCTTTGCTTCCTCGTCTGGGGTGGGCGAACCCTCCCCGCCAACGGCTGCTTCTTCATCCACTGGCCGCACCTTCTCTCCTGTGGTCATGGGAGGTTCACGGCCATCGCTGGTGACATGGACAGGTACACGCTCGTCGATGTGGCCGTGTTCGTGTTCGTGTTCGTGCTCGTGCTCGTGCTCGTGCTCCTCGTCGTGGGTATGCAGCGATCGACGATCGTCGGTTTCCTCGACATACTCGCCCGTCTCGTGCGTAGCCATGCGGCGGAGCGACGCCCCGGCAAAGCTGTAAGTCGAGTTTCCCGACGCGACGCGGACGAGCTGGTTGTCTTGCACACCAACACTGGTTGTTCGCCGACTGTTGGTCCCACGCCGAGTGCGTGTTGCTGTGAGGGGCCCTGGCTGGGGGCTTGTGAGAGATTCGGGGTCGTCGGCGACTTCCGACGTTGATGTCGGCCCGGACATGGTGAGAGGGGAAGAGCGGTGTGGAGAAGGTTCAAATGGTCGACCTCCAGTCACTGATAAGTGGAGTGGAGTGGAGGGTTGAGTGGGGTGGAGTGAAAGTTGTCGTAAGAGCAAGTTACAGAAACTAGCTCCAAATCTGCGACGATGTGGTGATCGAGGGTCGTAAGAAATAGAGGATGAGTGAGTGAGTAACTCCAACATTCCCAGAACGACGTCGGTCGCTATGCATAGCACGCTATCCCTCGTCGCACGGTCAGCGCCGAGGCCAGCGACAGCTTCTCAGTGGACGTTCAAGATTTTGTCGGCCTCGTCCGACAGCGATCACATTTTCAAGGGAAACTGTTACGTCATACATCGAACGGGGGGCGGAGGAGTGCGATACTGCAAAGTGCTGCGCAGCGCCGACACTGGGCGGGGAGGGACGCAGACGATGCGACCGAGCGTCTATATTTACAGCCCAGCAAGGGATGCGAAGCAGGTATGCTGTGCATGCGCGTGCAGGTTGAGCAGACGTCGAGGGAAAGGTGGACGTTGCCAAACATCAGAAATCTGGAATGCCGATGCAGATTTAGAGCCCACAGTCACCCGTGTCGGCGGAGGCCGTGCTCTTGAGCCGCCGCCGCAGCATCTTACGTTGGTTGGCCTGCTAGAGCCATGCACTCTGGACTGCTCTGTGATCTGTGCGCATTTACTGCCGTATCAATCAAGCTGATCGGTCGTCGTGTGCCAGTAGCTGAAACAGAATCCCACAAACATTTGATCGCCGACCGTCACGGCAAAAAACTGGTCGGCCATGCGGCCACAAACAACGTCACGTGACCATCATGTCCTCTCCGGCCTCCTCCTCCCGCTCTCCTGCAGGTGGTGGACAGAGGGGTGGGGTGGGGGGGGGGGCCGCAGGGTTCGCATGCTATTTGCATACATGGGATGCTCGTTGTGGACGCTCATGGTCGAAGGTCATGCTGTATGCTACAAGGTACCGGAGGGGAGAGAAAGGAAGCAGGAGCTGATCGAGCTGAATGTCACAGTAACGTGTGGGGCAGGCTGGCTGTCTTGGCTTGTGGTGGCGGCTGTTCCGCACGACGGACGAGTCGCTCAAGCTTGCTTGGTGGCAAAGCCCTCTTTCTTGGTCAGAGGCTTTCGAGTGTCCGTCTTCTTCTTGCGGCCAAGGCCTTCCTTGGGCTTGATCGCGAGCTTGGCCATCTGGCGGCAAAGGTCGGTGTCAAGGGCCTTCTTCTCCGCGCGATGCTTGCGCAGTCCGTGCTTGAGCGCACGGCGGTGCTTGTTGAACTCTTGAAGGTCCTGGCTGGGAGGTTCCTCAACTCCAGGCTTGCCGACCTCCTTGAAGTTCCAAAGGCTGCCAGAGTTCGACGAAGCGGAGGGACACTTGGCACCGCAATGCGTGCAAGGAGGGCGGTACGCCCTGTGAGCCTCATCGGCCAGACGGAAGACTTCCGTGGCGCAGCTGGACTTGTTCTCGTCATGGCAAGGCTGGCATGGTTGAAAGAGCCTTGGCGTCAGATGGACATTCCCTGCGTCGCAAGCTCACGCGTAGAGGACAGGCGTGCCCCAGATACCCTTGCGTCGAGTTCCGAACGCATCCATGGGGGCCTTGCTGTAAGGTGTGGGCATGGCGAAGTGGATGAATAAAGAAGATGGAAGGAAAGGTGATTGAAAAGTGATGGAAAAGTGAGAGGAGATGACTGGGTATGTGTGTGTTGTATCGGCAAACAGCGAGTCCAAGAGGGAAGACGTGTCGATACAGTATGGCCCCGTGTGTTTGTTGTGCACACAAACGCCAATCCTCCACCGGGGGGGGGGGGGGGGGGGGGGGCACCGTGTGCAGCCGTGACATGGATTGTCCTTTGTTGCCGCGGTTACGGTGCAGTGTCGTATAAAGCGCAAAGTGTGAGGCCACAGGCAGCTCTGTTGCGTGTGCCCATTGCTGACAAATAGCACATGGAGGACATGAGGACAATGTGCCAGCCACGTTCACGGTGCACCACCACACAACTGATCAACTGAACACCTTTGTCAGTCGGCATTCTGCTGAACCTGGTTTCGAAAGAACATCCACTTCGTACATCCACTTACTGCTGACTTCCCGACTTACATCCACCGCTTCGCCCGCCGTCTAGTTCTATCCTTCTAGTTTTTATCCTTCTCGTTTCTAGCTCCGCCCCCACTTTAGTGCATGAGAGCAGCGGTGTCTGTCTTGGCGAAGTGGCGGGCAGCGATGTGGTTCTCGTAGAGTACGTCAATTTCGGCAGCCGCTGCGTATGGAGTTAATACATGCCATCCTGGAATTCTCGGGACAGAAAGCATCGACTCACTCCTATTACGCGTCTCGGGAACGTAGAGGAATCCGAAAACAACGACGAAAACATTTAGACCGGCAAAACTGAGAGCGTCAGAAGCTGATTCGAGTATGGCTCCAACTCACATGAGGGCAGTCTTGGCGCCGAGGTTTCCTGGGGTCTGGAAGATGTACGGGGTCATGAGGTTGAAGGCGCACGCAAAGATGTTGAGAGCACATGTGGCAACGGCTTGTGTCTTTGCACGCAGACGGACAGAGGACAGCTCGTTCATAAGCGTGTATGCCGGCGCGTTGACCGCAAAGCCCTGCGTGGACAGTGCGAGGTTCATAAGGAGTGCCAGCGCCTGGAATCGCGTCAGCTAATGTATGTGGCAGCCATGGTCGTCAGAACGTACCCATCCCGCCTTCTGGGAACTCGCCCAGCCCAAACCGCCGATAGCGATCAAAACGCAGGTGTGTGCAATGTTTCCGTACACGAAGACGGTGCGGCGACCCAGAAATTCAATAATGTAGCCAGTGAAGAAAGAGACCACCGCACTGAGAGATGCAAGTCCAGCTGTGATGCCGAAAATGACTGTAAATTCGATATCAAGCTGCGAGAGGAAGTAGATTCCCTGGGCAAGGAAAGACATCTAGATGTCAAGTCAGTCTAAGCCTTCTGGCATACACAGCTGTCACGGGACTTACGCCTCCCATGACCTGAGCAACCCAAACACCGACGCTGGTGAGCGTGCGCTTAGCGTCGACCGGGTTCGACATCAGCTCGGCCCAGCCGGCGTTGCCGTAGTGCTCGTGAGCCATCTCCTCGGCAGCTACAGTGTGCTGGATGGCCGCCAGACGAGCGTTGATGACTTCCACGTCCTTGATGCCGTAAAGCTTTCCGAGCATCTTGCGAGCCACTGCGGGCTTCCCCTGCCTCACCGCGTAGACGGGAGAGTCGGCAGCAAAAATGAGGCCAAGGACAGTGAGAGCTGGGAAAATGTACTGGCACGCCAGAGTCATGCGCCATGATTTCCAGGCAACCATTTGGCCGAGGTTCATGTTTCCAGTCGTCAGGCCAAAGACCACTGAAACCCGTTAGAAAGCGTCCACACATAGGGGGGTAACGTACATCCAATACTGGTGGAGAAGGGAATAAGTGACGAGAGCGGCGCACGGAGCTTCATGTTGACCGACTCGGAGATGAAGTTGCTCGCCGAGACGATGAAGATGCCCATGGGGATACCCGCGAGGAGCTGGAGGCAAGTTAGTAACCCGGGGCACTGGTAAACTCACTTTGCCAAACAAAAGCATGATGCGGTTGACTGCAAAACACTGCAGCGAAACGGCCGCGATCATGAGGGTGCTGGTGACCATGGAGGTGCGGCGAGGGCCAAAGCGGTCAACGAGGGTACCACATGAAACGGCGCCGATGGCCATTCCCAGGGTGACAAAGGCACTCCAAAGGGATAACCACAGGCTGGGTTTGTGAGCAGCTGTTCAATGCAAGTTTACTGACGAAGGTACATAGTTTGCAGTTGGATCGCCGGGTTTGGGAGAGCCAAAGTCCACCAGGAATGAAGGCATGGAAGCAATGATTGAAGCAGCACCAGAGTCGTACCCTTGACCAATACTGGCCTTGTTAACGAAAAAAGCCACTAACGTGCTGTGCTCCTCACCATGAAAGAATAAAGGGTGCACAGTTGAGAACCTGGCGCCAGCCAACCTTGAGTGCCTCTGGGTACCGTTTAGCCCCACCCAAAAGGAACTCGGAGCAACGCTTCACTCACGGACATTGCTCAAGGCTTTGTCGTCATCAAGCAGAGCATAGCCTTGCTGGATGAGTGCAATTGTTGGCGGCTCGGGGTAGTTGGCCAGGTTGGGCGGGAAGTCCCAGTCGGTGTGTTCGTTTTCCGCCTCCTTGTACTCGATCATACTCTCCTCCATCTTCACGTCTGTTATGTCTGTCATTGTGAGTATTGAGTGACTTGCAGGTGGGCTTGTGGGGATGGCTACACCCTCTGAAGGCTCGCGAGTCATAAAGAACACAATCCGCAATACCCTAGTTGGCGCCACGGGGCACTGGTGGCACACCACGGGGTGACGAGGTCCCCCCCATGCGCTTTCGGTAGAATGTTAGGCCGCTTGCATACTGCTGGCCGTGCTGATCTAATCCAGAATATCCTTGCCCGCGGGGCCACGGAGGGGAGAGCTGGGGACGTGAGTTGTTCTGGGCCACAGAAACCGGACCGTGGCGGTTGATATCACGGCGAAAGTGTGCGGTCCGCACCGTCTCGGCTACTTCGCGCCGTATCGGAGGCTCGGAGGTCTCTTTTTGTGGACGTGGCTTGGCCCGTCCTCGGTCGTCCCCACTCGTCCTCGGTCGTCCTCACTCGTCCATTGTCCGGATGCATGCCCGGAGCTATGCCGTCCGTACAGCACCACGACTCCAGAGGCAACAGAACATGGCTCGGCCTCCGGGGTACCCGGTGTATCATTGTGCCATGCATGGTTTAGTTCATGAGCAAGACGTAAACGACTCGACTCTTATTCCTTCCACTCTCTCACTGTTCCTTTCAGCTTCTTCCAACTCTACCACTATGCGGATCATCAACGCCAAAGTCGACGGCTACGCCGAGCAGCTGGGTGTGGACCGTTCGGACATTACCTTCTCCTGGGCCTACGACGACGACGAGGGAGTTTCCAGCAATGTCGAACAGACAGCATGGCGCATTACTGTCGGCACCGATGCCTCGTTGGCGGTGTCAAGCTGGGACTCTGGTGTCGTGGAATCGAGCGGTTCACTGGGTGAGTGATGCTTTGCTTGCCCACTTCCCACTTCTGACACCTTCAGGTGTTGAATACCGCGGACAGCTTGAGCCCCTGACGCGATACTTTTGGCGCGTCGAGGCCCACTTCAACGACGGCTCTACGTTGACGAGCGACATCTCCACGTTCGTTACCGGCAAGCTCGACTCACCTTGGGCCGGAAAGTGGGTCGGAAACAACACCAGCGACCCGTTCTACCTGCGCCGGCAGTGGTCTGCGACCAAGCCCGTAAAGCAGGCCTTTACAGTCGTGTCTGGCCTGGGCCACTTTGTCTTCCACCTGAACGGACGCAAGGTCTCGGACCATGAGATGGACCCGGGATGGACAAACTACCGCAAGGTCGTCCCATATGTGCTCTTTGACGTCACCGACGAGATTCGGCAGGGACCCAACGCCTTCGGGGTCGAGGTTGCCAACGGCTGGTACCACGGTAAAGCTGGAGGACGCTTCTTCCAGCTGGAAGCAACCGGCATCGTCCCCAAGCTGTCACCCAACGTCGAGGAGCTCGAGTACCAAACGTTCGGCGACGTGCTCCCCGCAATTGTCGAGGTTCACGTTCAATATGAAGACGGGACCACCGAGGTCGTTGCCACCGACGACACTACTTGGCGCGTCTGCGAAAGCGCCACCACTCTGGCCAACATCTTTGGATCTGAGGACTTTGACGCCCGCAAGGAGCCTGTCGGATGGACGCTGCCGACCTTTGATGACACCACCTGGGAGACGGCACAGGCGATCCCTGTCGACCGCGCTCCCCTCGGAGCCCTCACTGCCCAGATTCAGCCCGTGGCCGTGAAGAAGGTGTACGAGCCCATCAGCATTACCCAGCTTGGGGTCGGCAAGCTCATCGTCGACATGGGACAGAACATGGCTGGCATGCTGGAGATTAGCGTGCGTGGCGCGTCTGGCGAAGTGGTCAAATTCAGCATGGCCGAAAAGCTGCGTGCGGACAACGGCGACATCGAGGTTCGCGTAGACGGTGACCACCTTATCCAGTGGGGAGACTGTAACGTGCGCCACGAGTACACCCTTCGAGGTGACGACAAGGGTGAGCAGTGGAAGCAGCAGTTCTCGTACTATGGCGGCCGATACGTGCGTGTCGACAACGCCAGGCTGCCAGACGACGAGTCTTCCGCTTTCCCCGAGCTCCTGGCCATTCGTGCACACTACATCACCATCAAGGCCCCCGTCATTGGCAAATTTTCGTCCTCGGACCAGCGCCTCAACGACGTCTACAGGCTCGTCACGGAGGCGGTCGACAGCAACTTGCAGAGCACCCACACCGACTGCCCATGCTACGAGAAGGCCGCCTGGCTCGAGGCATCCCAGATCATGGCCCCCAGCATCATGTTCCACCGCGACGTGTCGTTCCTGTACGCCAAGATCTTTGCCGACATTCGCGCCGACCAGTGGCATGCCGGTGACCGTGACTTTTACAATGGCAAGCTTGCTCAGTACCAAAAGGAAGGCTTTATCGGATCGCGTGCACCCGTGTACGAGATCAAGTGGACGAGCATCCCGCCAGGAGACATCTGGGACATTCCGCCCTGGGGTTCGTGTATCGCCATCGGTCCTCACTGGCACCACCTGTACTACGGCAACGACAAGGTCGTGGCCGACAACTACGAGGCAGCCAAGGCCTATACCAAGTACCTTGGATCACGAGCCACTGCAGAGGGTCTCATCGAGCACGGTCTGGGTGACTGGGGCAACCAGAACGTCCACGAAATGGCCAAGGCCAACGTCGAGACGGCCACATACTATTTGGACCTCGCCATTATTCGCGACTTTGCCAAGATTGTCGGCAACGACGCGGATGCCGCCGAGTATGGCAAGCAGGCCGAGACGGTGCGGGACAACTACGTCACTCGTCTCATGGAGTTTGACACCACCACCAAGCGTTGGGGCTTCCGTGCCAAGGCTGACCCCCGCCTGTCGTTCCGTCTCATCAACGCCATCTTCTCGTTCAAGGCGTGGCTCCGCGGTCCCGGAATGACACCAATCTCCCAGGCCATGCCCCTGATGCTCGACATGGTGCCCGCTGAGCGCGCCGAGGACGTGTTGGCCACCCTCCGCCACACACTCGACACGGACGGCTACTCGTGCGGCGAGCTCTCGCTCCCGTACGTCATCAACGTTCTCCGCAAGCACGGGTACAACCAGGACATTCTCGACAACCTCGTCGTTGCCAAGGAGCACCCCAGCTACTACCGTTTCTGCGAGCATGGCGAGACTTCGCTCCCCGAGTACTTTATCGACAATGCCCGTAGCCGCAACCACGACATGATGGGCTCCATCCTCCAGTGGTTCTACAACGGTCTGGCCGGACTCGAGCCCACCAAGCCTGGGTTCAAGCAGTTCACCGTCCGTCCATGGCTCGGCAAGATGCTCACCAACATCAACGTCGAGTACATGTCGGCCAGCGGCCGTATCAGTGTCGTCGCCACTCGGTCTGGAACGTCAGCCATTGTCGATCTTGTGGTCCCGCCCAACACTCGCTGCAGCGCACAGCTCGACCGTGTGCTCCCTGCTGGCCGGGTTGCGACGTGGAATTCAGTAGAAGTCGCCGAGGGCCGCTCAGAGTTTGACCTGGGCTCGGGTCGCCACCAGTTCATTATTTCGGTCTAAATATTGTATGAAAATGTACCTTTTGCCATTCCTTTGAGATGCCTTGGGAGCACCACAGATCCACAGATCGCACAAATGAACGTGCGTGTCATCCAGTGATGTTGCACATGCCACCTTGGTCCAGGCGGGAGCGGCTCGCTCATACTCAGCGTGTGCATGTGCTCACCCTATCCGTAGCTCCCTATGCAAGCACCGTGACGACATTACCAGCTGTGGGTCTGTTGCCAGGCCACTGAGCCACTGATTCACTGATCTGCTCTGTCTGGTGGTTTCGGGTCTTTCAGACCGTGCGGGCCGCATCTCGCATCAGTCGTCTCCATTCCACCCATGCAACTCACTTCTACAACACGTGACTGTGAACCATGTACAGTATGCCATCCTATGCAAGCGTTCAAACTCCTCCAGGTGCAATAACTCGTTGATCAGTGAGTCTGCGGCAACAACAAATCCGGGTGTACGGCGGCGACGTTGTCCCGCGCGGCAACCTATGCCCCGCGGCCGTTTCCTCGCTACATTGATGCACCTTTACCTTGTCTGCTGCGATGGCTACTACATTACATAGGCGTTTCGGTACATTGCTGGCTCTGTAAGTCGGTACATCTGTACATCGGTGTATCTGTACATCGTTATACCGCGACGATGGTAAGCCATGATCGGTAAGATGAGCGAGCCCGCAACATCAATCTCCCCGTCCCCACCGCCAGCGCAGCATGTTCTCGCTTCATTGTTACACCTTTTCCTCGCTGCTGGCTATCTCCAGTTATCTCCAGCTCAAAACTACACCGAAACTTCGGTACATTGGTACATCGATGCCTCTGTACATGCATACATGGGTACGCATCGGTGCATCGGTATTCCGAGCATTGTCGCTGCCTGATGGCCGTCCCCGTGCGTCCTCATTACCGTCCCTGTTGCGTCCCCATTGCCGTCCCACTGGCGTTGTTGCCCTGCACGGTATCTTGACTCGCCGGGACGAAAGTCGTGCCGTCACCAGCATATGCGCTCACGACAGCATGTCATTTCCGGCGTGATTAGTCCGCTACGCAGCGGTCCTCACGTCCCACGTCTCCGCGTCCTCACGTCCTCGTAGCTCATGGATCACGGCACCCGTATCCGCCGAGGACGCCAGGGGACAACCGGAGCAGCCTTGTACCAGTCTCCGGTGCCAGGCCGTGGTGTCTCGCATCGCCCGCGGCCGCAAGGGCCTCTCATCGTCGAGATTAGACCGGCACAGCTGGCAGAGCGTCCTCCCGTCCTCAGCGCCCAACCACGCACCATTTCCACCGATCGGGGGACGATCGGACTAGATTTGTACCGGTCCAGCGCGAAGACATGAAGGATCATGGACGAACTGGCTTCATGAAGTGGGGACTGTTGAGGACGTGGTGGAACATCGCACCGGGAGCGTCCGCGCGTCCGCATAGCAGCCGGAGGTGATATGATCCGTGAACCGTCCCAAAACAGTGCACCTTGCTGAAGCTGAGACGGGACCACACGTGGCGTGAGCTTCCTGTTAGGCCTGTTGGCCTGTTGCGCGTACTACACCAGTGAAACTGTCCCACAACGTGACGACAATCGATGACTGTCATCCATGAAGACTTGACACGCACCAATTCGCCTTCCTTCTTGGTTCTGTCCACTTGCGACTCCTCCCCCAGCCGATGACGTCGTCGTTAGTGCCTCCTCCGGTGTGCACAACTAGACCGGTTCCCAGCGCCAACCCCGCCCGTTCCCACCGCTGGCCTACGACTAGCTTCGTCTCCAAGGCGGGAGTGACACACCTTGGGAAGTCCAGGTGGCCGCTGGTACGCAGCATTGGTGGGTCTTATGCATCAACATCAACAAGCCACAAACTGAAACGGGTGACTTGTTGAGCATGTGGAGTCTAGCATGCAATCTAGCATGCACAGACCACGAAACCCTCAGCGGGGAGCAGATACTGTATGGCCTGTGTTGCGTGATGTTGATCTGTATCAACAAAGCACCGACTGGGGGCTGTCATCTAATTCAGAGTTAATGTTCATGGGAAGGGTGTCGCTGTGAATTGACTGCGATGCACATGGGTTCCAAAGGCACAGCGCAGGTAGCAGTCCTGTACAGTAAATACTGTACAGTACGTTGTTGACAACGCGTCTTTTCCGTGCACAGCGACTGGCGTGATCTGGGGTGACGCCAAGAGTGCCGTGCCGCTGAACCGAAAAGGCGTCGCGACTGGAACAGCCAGTGCGCCATCTGGCCCCGTTTTTGGCCTTATCTCAAGGTCACCAAAACAGTCCAGTGTACGAGTGTATACCAGTGGTGTGCCCCCTATGGTAAGCCAAGTGAAAGAGAGCGCACTGCGACGGGGGAGTGGCAGGCAGAAGCGCAACACGAGCGTCAGTGGGGTCAGAAATGGCGTGCAGGATGCGATACCGACGAGCGCGGCACAGTGACAACGTCGTGGTCGTTCAGCGGGCCAACGGGCCAGCGAGCCAGCGCCTTGTCACGTTCGTTTGTCCCCCAGCCCAGCCATTGCCTCATGGCCGGCACTGTCAGCCGCGTAGCCGGCCTATCGAGCTATCGTCCTTGCGCACTGCCAGCTTAGAAGCGCAGTAGTTGCTCACTCCTGGACCAATATTGTTCAAGAGGGAACGGGGAATCCCATACTTGGAACCAGGTCACATACGGTACCAAACGTGCTGTGAAATTCGCATGGTCGTACTTCCGCTGCTGCACATGTTCTGTCTTGGGATCTAAGTATCCCATGAGAGAAGTCTCACACTCTGAGCTTGCTGTGAAACGATGCGGCCCACAAAGTAAACGCAACACAACAGGGGCTACCAGTATGTAGTACGACGAGTGGGTGGTGGTGCCTCGTTTCTTGGGAGCTGCGAGCGTTGCTGGTGTGGTCGAGAGGGCACATGCGCACATGCCAAGGGTTGCCGCCTTTGGCTTTTGACAGATGATTGGCCATGGTTGGATTGTGTGCTGAGATTGCCGCAGGAGCGACGCACGTCCCTGCAGACAGGATCCAGCATGTCTAACGGCATGACAGGCCAGCCCTTGCAGGCCTTGCAGACGCGCGCACAAGGCAAGCATGAGGCGGGGAGACGAGATGGCGCGTGGGATGGGACAAACACCAGTGTCAGCGTGTCAACACGTAAACATCGGAACGAGGGGCAGGCGGGTACGCGCAGTGGCCCCGCAACGCGCCTGATTTTACATTTTCCCACTGCACACGAAAATCTCTGTCTGATGGGCGTGCGACGCCACAGACGAGCCCACGCGCGTCAATTGCGGACGTGAAGCCACCCCGCTCAGCTCTGCGCTCTGGCGCTCGTATGTACGAGACACATCACCGGCGACACACCGGCGACAGCACCCGCCACGCCGGGCCGCCGCCCCGCCCCCCGCGTCAGGCGCGTCAGGTCGGCGTCAGGTCCGCGCGTGCCGCACCCGGTGCCGTCAATCCAGCAGCCCATGAATTGGGAGGCTGCGAGGGAGAGACGTGTACGACAACAAACGCTCAAGGTTTCAGTTGTCAACATGTCCATACACAGCATACAACCAGCCAACCCCGCGGGCTCCTCTGTCCGCTGGAGGCAGTAACTTGTCGCATTGTCAAGCTGTCGACAGAAAAACGGAGGACGACATACAGGCCACAGAAAAGGGCCGGTTGCGGAAAACATCAACAGCCGAGGGTGTCTTTGTTTTTGGCGTTTGACTGTTTATCATCGCCGCTCAAGAGCTGTCAATTGTTGGCGTCGGGACTACAAGCCGCCTGTTCTCACGCAACATTTTCTCTATCTCTCTTTCACACTCGTCCACTCGTCCACACCGCCGTCAACAACACACCACACAACAGTTCCATGTTCACACCCAACTATCCACGCCGGCCAAGGCCTCCTGGGGCTCGCCGTTCGCAGCTGAGTTCACCTCCTGGTCAAGCTGGTCCACTTCCGACAAAGATGCCTCTTGCGTCGCCGTCAAAGGCTTCCAGAACGACTCCGTCGCCGATGTTGGCCAAGCGCAAGGGAAAGATGAGAGAGGAGCCGCAGTCGTCAGACGCTTCACCGCCGCCTCTGCGCACTCGTCCCCTCAGCATGCTCTCGGAAACGTCTGTTGCATCGCCGCCCCCGCCGTACCGTCGCGGCCTCACCGAGTCGCCCAAAGATTCCAAGGACGAGCTCCAGCACAGCCTCGGCGGTGTGTTCCCCCCACCGCCGCCGGACCCCCTCGAGTCTGGTCCCTCGTCTGTCCGCACAAGCCTTATCGAACTCGAAAATGTCGAGGACGACATGGACACGGACGAGGAGGCTGAGAAGGCAGGCGACACGTTCACTTTGCGCGGTCTTCGCAGGCTGCTGAAACAGAATGAAATGGGTGAGTTGGGAAACTGAAGGCTAGCTACGTCAAACTGACCCAAACCAGACAGCATGTCCGCCGAGGTATCCGTCCGTCTTGGGGTATTCGGGGACAACCCTTACCAGGACCCCACCGCAAAGCTTCCCTCCATCATTGGCACCAGCTCGCCAATCTCTGCCCAGCCTTCCCCCGAGCGCTACTCTCTACCCTCCGACGCCGACCTCGCATTTTCCTTCCCTCAGCGTCGCGCCGCTCCTGTGGCTACCAAGCCAGGCCAGCGTCTGTCTCTTATCCGTGCCGATCAGCGCGCTGAAGAGGACGACGCTCGTATTGCCGCTCTCGAGGCGCTGCTTCTGGAGTCGCGTGAGGGCGAAGAGGCGACTCGCAAGGCCAATGCCCGTCTTCGCCGCGACAACTCAAAGCTCCGCCAACAGTTGGAGGATGCCGAGGACGCGGTAGCGGAGCAGATGGAGCAGGACACCTGGGCTGCTCAGCGTCCATCCGAGACCGAGTCGGTCCGCTCGTCGCTTAGCTCGCCACCACGCCGCTCTCGCGGCTCGTACCCGCCACAGGATGACGAGCGTATCGGATGGGGGTCCACTGCGTTTCCAGAGTTTCCTCGGACTCTTGTATCGGTTGACGACTCGGAGGCGACCAGCGAATCGACCACGCGCCCGGTGTCGCGCGACCCATCGCCCGAGAGCGTCTCGGAGGCTGTGATGGCAGAGCCGTTGTCGCTGCCCGACTCGCACACCAATGCTGTTCCCCAGGACGAGCACTGGGTATCGGCGTCAGAGGCCCCGACTCTCACTTTCGCGCTGTCCCGCGGCGGATACACTGGCACCTCGCGCCCCGCAGTGTCTGCCGACACTTTTCTCTCGCCGACCAAGGTGGTGGCGCCGACGCCGGTGCGCGCGCCGCTCACGCCACAGCTCACCATCCAGCCCGCTTCGCGTCCAGGCTCTGCCGACAAGGCTTCGCCTTTGACGTCGCCCGCCCAGAGCTCGTTCTCGTCGCGCATTCGTCGCTCGCCGTACCCCTCGCCGCGTACCTACATTCGCCATGAGCGCTCAGACAGCGCTAGCACCACTGGTACAGGCCCCCACCGCCGCACCCTGTCCTTCTCCAAGACGCCTCTGAAGTCGCCGTCGCCAGAGAGTGGCATGTCGGCCCAGGCGTCGCCCACTCGTCTCGGCTTTCCGCCTTCCCCCATGTCTGCCTTTGCGAGCGTTCGCTCGTACCTCTCAGACTATCTCGTACATGGTCGTCGTACGCTCGGCAGCGAGCTGGGCAGCAACTACTCGCCATCGCCTGAGCGTCGCCGCGACTCGGACTGCTCATGCTCCGACTACCAATATACGCCACAGTTTACCGAACCCCCTCGCCCCAGCGCCGCTGTCAGGCTGGCCGCACTCGCCATCGGTCTCGCCGAGGCCAAGCTGACTGGACGCATCTCTGATCTCTCTCAACAGAGCGTTTACGGTCAATATGCGTCCTCGTCTAGCGGTGGTTCCCAGCGTTACCGCACTCCCTCACACCGCCACTCGTCTCCTCCTGGCACATTCGTCTTCCCCGCAGACAACTCTGTGAGCGATGTCCGTTACCAGGAGCTGTACGGCAGTGACGTGCGTCGTATCCGCTGGGCACCGGATGCCAAGGAGCCCCTGGCATGGTCGCCACACTCGTGGCCCTCGCCCTCGCCCTCGCCCTCGCCGCGCGAGGCAAACCTTCCTGACATCTCAGATGACGAGTCGGACGGACCTCACATCTTCACAGACAGTTTGTACGAGGACGGCACGATCACCGCTCCCCGGGCACCGGCCATTGGGTTGAGCGCGCCGACTCCAGTTGCCCATGCGGGACCTCGTCCGCCCATGGCCGACACGCCGAGCCCGGCGCACCTCGCGCCGAACGTTGACCCGTGGGACGAGTACAGCGACCGCGCTACTCCGTCGCCGCGCGTGCGTGCGCTTCGCCCGCTCTTCCTCCTCTCCACGCCGGCTGTCCATGCCCGCAACACTAGCCTCACGCAGGCTCATCACCGTCGCAGTGGCAGCGGCGCGCAGTACCCGCTGCCGTACCCGCTCATGGCCAGCGGCAACGCCGCCGCGCACCGCCGCGCGTACTCCATGAGCGCGTCGCCGCAGCAGAGGTGCGCCGCCGGACCCGTCACCATTCCCGCGCGTGTCACGCACGACTTTTTCTGCCTGGTGCTTCTGCTCCTGGACTACATGGAATGGGCCGTCATTCTCATTTACCGCCTCTTCACCGATATCCGTGCTGGTCCCAGCGCTGCTGTGTAAGTGCTCACACCCGCCCACAGCCATGGACGCTTGCTGACATTTGTGTTAGGCCCAAGCCGCGCTCGCACGCTAACCGATACTACCTGTAAGGTGGGGTCGTAAGTCTTAACTCGGTCTCGTTCCCCCTACCCCGCTGTCAGCTCCCCGCTGTCTCTGCCTCATGTCTTCCTCGTCCTTCTCCACCTCCCTCTATGCCTTACGCTCCCCTATGCCCTAAGCCTATGCCCTATACGACGTTACCTTCCAACCCCACATTGTATCTATCCCTCCAACGTCTTCTTCTCGGTAATTGTGTCCACGATATACAGAATATATATTCATTTGCCCATGCTACGGATACAGGACTATACACGATCGATCACATGAGACCCATCTGACAGGATACAACGGATCAATCTACCCTTGTGGCAGCCTCGTACACACGGTACTCGCCAGCGTTTCCAGGCCTTGTTCGCATCTACTCGTCTCAATCACAAATAACGCGGATGAACCGCTCCCACCTCCCAATAGCGTCCACCACAATCTCCTCATACGTCGACAGCCCGCGAGCATCCTCGAGCGGGAAGATTTCGCGGTGGATGGCCCCGCAGTCGGTACACGGTTTGAGGATGGCGTCGTACTCGGTGCTCTTCTGGGCAGCGGCGCGGTCCGCCAGCTCCAAGTGCACCAGGCGCTCCCAGCGCTTGACGGCCGGGACCATGCGGCGGTTGTCCACGCCGGCCTTGACGGCGCCGGGGAGCAGCGAGCCCGCGACGCTCGGCTGCCGGTGCAGGCCCGCACCTCCAGGGATGGCCGTGATCGACGGCGGGGCCTTGAGGGGGAAGATGTCGCGCAAGGTCGGGGTGTGGCTGGTGCATTCTGCGACGTGTGTTCAGCAACTAGCAAAGGGGCCATCGCGTTGGGCGACTTACGGTTACTCCACTGTCCAATGCGTCTTGGGACGTTGTCTGTCCGCCCGACTTTGAAGTACGAGGTGGACGTGTCTGCCAGGTCGCGCAGCTCGTAGGCGTAGAGGAAGCCGGGGAGTTCCTGCTGGGTCAGAACCTCAAAGGATGACTGTACCCACTTTTGCAGTCAGAGGACTCTCCATCGTCATGCGCATAAGCGTCTGGGTCTGCTGTCCAAGGTCGCTTGGGATGTAATCTGCCACGTCGTCAGCGAGGGCTTCCCAGTGCGTGACCTTGTCGCGCTTTCCACTCACCTGCAAAATCAATCCAGATTCCAGCCTTTCCCCGCGCGTCGCGCCAGTAAAAACCAGCAGGGAAACAGACCAGCCCAGCGTGGTCTTTGCAGTACCTCCCGATAACGCGCTCGGCATCGTCATCGTCCACATTCGGGTCGCGGGAGGCGAGGAACGGTGCGGCAGACTTGACGAGGCGCTTGCATTGGTTGCCGTTGCGCGTAAAGCCGGCGCAGCGGACTGCAGGTGGGTCGGTGGCAGTCGCGGTGGACGAGCGGGCAGAGCTGGCTTTGGGCGGTGTTGACGCGGCTGTTTTGGGCGTCCTTGGGATCTTGGATGCCGATGCTGGAGCGCGACGGGTTTTGGGCGTCGATGTGGCCGAGGCGCTGGGAGTGGCCTTTGCCTTGGCGGCAGCCTGCAGCCTGGGCTCGGCGGAGACGGCACGCCTCTGCTGCCCAGACCGACGCGGGGGTGGCGAGTCGTCGTCGTCCGAGGGCAGGTACGAGTCGTCGCTGTCTGCCGTCAGGTCGACGATAATCGCACCAGCGGCTGGAGTGGCGGACTGGGATCGCTGTTTCTTGGGTGTCACAGGTGACACTTTTGGTACAACAGGTGCGATGGGGTTGGCGAATGCTGTGAGCTTGGGCTGGCTCATCCTGACCAAACCCTTGGCTGGACGAGAGGGTGAGACCTTCTTCGTCGGCGACAACGAGGGCGGTACCGTCAGACCAACTGGAGCGGAGGCTACACGGGCCGAGCTGCTGGCAGAAGCGTTGGATACAGAGGGCCGTGGACGCCCTGGAAGGGGTGCAGTAGCCGGTGCTGGTGGCCCCGTGGCGACGCTGGACAGACGTGGTGGTCGAGGGGGGACTGGGGGAGGTTGTGAATATGAGGGAGGTTGCTGGTACGCAGACGGCGGCGCGCTCGACCCGTATCCACCACCTGAAGGGTATCCCGCGCTTCCCGACAGGTGCCCCGAACTCGAGGAGGACGTGTACGACGACGCCGTGTACGAGGATGAAGTGTTGGAGGGAGGGAGGTCTGCTTGGGGTTGTTTCCGGCGAGGTGGTGAAGGTCGCTGCGGCAGTGAAGAGCTGTTGGGCACTGGCGGGAGAGGTTTGTCGGTGACATCCAGGCGATCAAAGTTGGTGCCAATGGACATCATGTAGTTCTTCCATTTCCTGTGAGCTTGCGGCGCTTGTGGTGCTGGTGGAGATGGGTACGGCCCCGACATTGGTAACCGAGGAATGAGGAATCCTGGGTCTACGACGGGCGTGTAGGTCTTGACATGCTCAGGTGGTGGTTCGTCGGTCTGCAGCGAGGTGGGTGGCGGTGCGGGCACCCAGGAGTTTTGGTGGTGGTATGTCCGCCCCGCCGAGGAAGCGTCCAAGGATGCACCATACTGGTGAGGCGGGTCTGGGAGTGGAGGTATGCTTAGGTGAAGAGTCATGGGAGGTGTGGAGAAGGAGAGAGAGTGAAAGAGAGTCGCGTTGTGGATGTCGTCTGCCAGTCGTTTGTTGTCATATGCTTGTTTTGACTGCGGGCGGCAAGCGGCGAAGCACAAGGGGGGGGGAGACTCTCAGGTCAGTCGCGCTCGTCAGGCACAGCCATGTGTTTATTGCTTATGTAAGCTCATTCTCATCACCCAGCAGGAGATCTGCGTAACGTCTTGCCGTTGGGGAGATTCATGCAGTGTCTGTGTGTTTTCTATCCATCAGTGAGGGAATCCACTGGTCACTCCCTGTTCACAGCCTGCGAGTCAGCGTTCCCATCACTCACAGCTTCTTCATGCCAACTTTCTCTGTCTCTTTCACTCAAACCTTACTCTCCTAACAACTTTCAACTCAGTACCTAATACGCGCCTCTACCCGCGATGGCCCGCCGCGAGGCACCGCTCCTCACCCCCTTGTCCTCGTTACACCTCTCATACGCGTCCATGAGCTCGGTACAGCAGGAGAACGTCCGTCTGACGCTTTACGACATGGATGCCAACTTTCCCTCAGTCCCCGGTCAACCCGGCTGCCGGTTTCACCCCTTTTTATCTGCACTTCACGCGTCGCCCACCTCGTCCAACGTGGCGGCGAATGTAGATGGGCTCGGGCTCTTTCTGACGGCCGGCGACACCGGACTCGAGGATCTGTCTGTGGTATGGGAGTCGAGTACGGTTGCGGCATACTATGCCAAGATCAAGGCCAAGTATACGAGGGTGCGTCGCTCATGCATGCTTGTTTCCCTACGTATTGACGCCGCCAGCTCAGTCGCCGTGAAACAGGCAGTCCTCTTGGCCCACCCGCTCTCGGCACTCCGGCACCATTCGCATCTCTCCTGCCTGAGGCGATGGGCTACGCTGTCCGCAGCGACAACAGGCGTCACCCATTCCTCGTCTGGGGCTACCTGCAACTGGATCCCAGGTCTTGGAGCGACCATGAAATACGGGCACACTGGTCCCGCGTCGCTTTTTTACAGCTTTTGGCGCCACTGTTCGCGTGTTACAAGCTCGGCGGGTGCCGGGTGGGGATTTCAATGGTCAACACTTCATTCATCCGTATCTGGGTCAAGAGCGAGCGTGAGGTGGTCGTAGAGGTGATGCCTGACTGGGCGAGGCGGTTCGACTGGGGCCTGTCGTTGCTTCAATGGATGGAACACGACGAGTTTTGGGCCACGGGCGCTGGCTTGCCCCGCCGCCTGGCTGACGGCGACCCGCGAAACCTGTTCAGGCATGACATTTCCGTCGACCAGTGGAACCTCGACGCACTGTTGGATTGGATCGCGCTTGCTTTCTCTCGTGCCGACGCCATGGTCGACCCGGATCCTTCGGTCGCTCTTGCCCCGCTGTTTACGCATGGAGGCGACGAGGAGGCACCGTTCCTCTGGACTGTGGGTGAACCGATCCCTCCCCCACTGCCACCGGCTGTCGTCACTCCTCCAAAGCCATTCTCGTTGCCGAAACCACCCATCCCGCCGACATTCAACCCGGCCACTCCCTTCCGCCGCCTCTCACGCCGTCTCAGTACGATTCTCCCGCTACCGACTCTGCGCCGCACCAGCACAGCCAGCACTGCTCCCGGCACCCCCAGCACTCCCGGTACCCCGGACAGTGACAAGTTTCTCAAACCTGCCAAACTCACCCCACTCGTGTATGAAGGAGCCGGGAACCTCAAGGTCACCCCCGAACTGGGACGCAAGGTCAACGAGTTGTTTCCGAATCACAGGTCGTCCGAGCTGGAGGAGGCGAGGGGTAAGATGGACCCGCGAGTCGCGTTGGTGGCCTTGGGACATCTCAAGGTGTCCTTCAAGCCAGTCAGTAATGAGTAGGCGTCGTCGCTGTTGCTTTTATGGTCTGTGGACAGTGACATTAAGCTCTTAATGGACATGATATCAATAAATGAGGAAAAAGCCATTCACAGATTGCTGCTGCAGCCAGCGAACCTCCGAGCCATCGGTACCGGCAATCCAGACGCACCCTGTGTACATAGCTAAACTGAAGCGGTGCTCTCCAGCTCTCAAAACATTGTCGTTCGCCGCGAATCGAGACCACACGCCTGGAAAAACATCGGCGATTTAGCTCAGTTGGTTAGAGCGTGTGCTTAACACTTTGGACTCGAACGAGTCGAATGTTGCGCACAAGGTCGGCGGTTCGACCCCGTCAAACGTCATTTTTGAGTGCTGAGACACATCTAGGTGTTTGCTTTTGGTCTGGGATGGATACGAGGGTGATTTGCAGGAGGAAGCTTGTCCCAAGAGCACGAAAAAATCGAGATATTCGCTGATATTTCATCTGCCGCCGGCTACACCTTGGACTTGCCGGCACGCTTCACATCTACCGATGCTAATCCATGACCCTAGTCTTTGTATCCCACCATAGGGTATTTTGGACATGCCCAGAGCTCCTACAGGAACCCACACTGTGGCAACGGGGCGGCAGGAAAGCAGACATCAAAGGCGATTTAGCTCAGTTGGTTAGAGCGTGTGCTTAACACCTTGGATCCCCTAGCGGTGAAGAGTTACGCACAAGGTCGGCGGTTCAACCCCGTCAAACGTCATTTTTGGGCACTGAGACGCTCAGGAAGAGTACTCTGGACTCGTGACTGCGAGTAGAAGGGAGAACCTGCAGAAAAGAACGTGCCACGGAGGGCCACACACGACCCAACTTGGGTCCTCCGTCTGCCTCTCTATCCACCATCCTGCTTCCTAGCATCCTCACCACCTCCCCCACGACACTCAAACAACTAGTCTTCAGCGTCAGCGCTCACAGTGACACTGCACGAAGAGCTTCCACCAACGGCGATTTAGCTCAGTTGGTTAGAGCGTGTGCTTAACACTGGGACCCGGGACAACCCACGGTCCAGCGTTGCGCACAAGGTCGGCGGTTCGACCCCGTCAAACGTCATTTTTGGCCTTCCAGACACTCCTGGAAGAGAGGCCTGTACTGGGCATGCATGTAGAAATGTCGGAGAAGGTAGCGGAGGTGGTCGTTGTTGGAGGAGGATCGGCGCCACTTACTTGGCAAGGAACAACGTGTTACGTAATGTAACATGTCTCCTTTGGCGTTAGCACACACGTTAATGCGCTCTGGAACAGAGTTGGGTTCGAATCCACTTGTCAACATCATTGTTTCAACACGAGACGGCTCGCAAAAAGCCTGCCGAACACTCTTCTTCGAGGGTGGCGACACTGTGCGCGAGGCACCGGTGCGCCGGTGGCGTTGTAAATGTGTGATCCGTGTCTCGGTATGCTCACCTTGTGGCCTCACGAAACGCGACATCTGTGAAGGGCGAATGGGCAGACGGTGTGCAACTGCATGTCCATAGTACAGTCGAGGAAATATATATAAACAGCCAAGATACATCTGCAATTATGAGTTTTGACAAAGGCGGCAGAGTCTGTCAAGCACCACCAGCACACTACAGCACTCCAGCCACCAAGACAGCCGCCAGTGCGGCTGGCGCCAAGGTCCAAGTCGCAGCAGGTCCGGCGTAGGAGGAGGCTGCCGACCTCTTGGCCAGCGTCTCGCTGAGAGTGCAGTCAATACGGCGCCCATCTTTTACCCCCCACCACTCTCGACTCACTTGTACCACGCTCCACCCTCGCTGTCCAGGAACCACTGGGGCAGAGTGAGGTTGACCTTGTGGTATCCTGCGCGGGCACAGAAGCTGTGTCCATACTCAATCGCGTAGCCGAGGTCTGGCGCCGAGACGCAGGTGTAAGGGAGACACGCAGAGACCATCACGGCCCATTCCTGGGGTTATTTAGAGCTTGCCATCAGTCGGGAGCTGGCACCCACGTTAAAAGCACAGTTCTTGCCTATGGCCGTCACAAAGTTGATGTCGCGTCCGGGAAGGAGGACGCTGTTGGTGGCCATGGTGTGGCATGTGAGAAAGCAGCCTGATGTAAGTGGGTCAGGTATATGCCTCAATGGTTGGCGCGTTGGAGACCCACTAGAAGCTGAAACGCCCGGTTTGAGATTGAACTGTTGACCGATGCTGATAGCGGCGGCGAAGGGGAGGGAGATGAGCACGAAGAGTGTGCCGAGGTAGCGCTGGAGGAGCATGGCTGGGAGAGTGAGTGGGTGAGTGAGCAAGTGATTGGAAAGTGATTGGATTTCAAAACAACGACATGATGCATGGGGGAGAAAGTGTACGCGCGCGCGGGGGGGACAAAGGAATGGAACAATGACATGCACAAAGAAGGCCAATGTCCCAGATCCACACACACACACACACGCACACAAAACGCCACCACACACACGTCACACACACACACGGACGGATGCATTATTTGATTCCGCCCACCACCAGCCAGGATGCCGCGGTGTCTCATGCAGCGACAGGTCATCTACAGCTACTGGCCTACTGGCAGTAGCTAGCATCCTTGCCCCCTGCAACACGCGGCCTGGGGTCGACTACGATGGACATGCACATTGAGCGTTCTGCGGGATTGATATAGATCCAAGCCAGCCGCAATCGCATGCTCGTCCTCGACAACAGAGACGCCGGCAAGCAAACACAATGACGAACGCACCGCCACTTTCAAGCACCTCTTTGACACCACCTTCTCGCACATGGTGGACCGGTCTTGCTTGGCGACATCCTGGTCTAATACCAGACGATAAGGTGGTGCTGATGGAAGTGCTGCAAAGCGGCTGGGGCGTTGGTCATTGTGCTTGCTTGACAACGGTACTGCAAGTCGGTGTCCAGAACCTCGAGCAGGTGGCCCGGGGGGCTACCAGAGCAGCTACAAAACCGTGGCGGACAGTGGTGTACCTTGTGGCGGAGGTAGAGTCACGGCACGAGTTGATATCATCTTGGGCTTGTGCGCGTCGGCCCAGCTTCAGATACCTTAACATTAGTACTCGTCCGTACCGAAGCGTCAATCAGGCCTCGCAAGTCAGTATGCACGCGACCGGCACTTGGACGTGCGGGAATGGGCTGATGAATGGCTCCCAGAAGCCCAGAGCTCCGCACCTGTGCGCACCTCGTCCGAAGACGATTCGGTGACACTGGTATGGCCCGGGCCTGGTCCACTGAGAAGGAGCGTCCACTTGGGGCCACGTCCTCTGGTCCCCGGAGCCCACGGGCTGGCTTCCAACTTGCCTGACATGGACGTGCAGCGGGCACGGCCCGGGGACAGACCAATTCGGACACCGCTGCGAACTGGCACCTCTCTTCGGTCTTACTTGCTGCCGTTCCGTGTCCAACACCAAGCTGTCCTTGGACACACTTCCAACACCGTTCCTGCAGTCAATTCTTACATATTCCCTCTAGTTGTATCCCAAGATGGGGAAGTACGCGTCCGGCGCATGGGGGATCTCGTCGCCGTGCTTGGCGATCCACTTGCCACCGACACGAGCAGTCGGGGGCAGGGGAGGGAGGCCCTCGGAGGCGGCGGTGGTGATGCCCGACGCGAGGTATGCGCGGCCGGCGGGGAGCTTCTCGATGGCGGCAGTAAGTGCGGGCGCGGTCTCGGCGGTGATGGCGGTCGCGCCGGCCTCGATAGCGCCGGTGGCCGGGGAAGAGAGGAGGAGGGCCGAGAGCTCGGACTGGGTCACGACCGAGGTCTTGGGGTATGCCCTGCGGGTGTCGCGGTCCGAGTACGAGTTGAAGGCAACGTCCGAGGCCGAGGTGGCCGGGGTGGCGTAGCGCTCAGTACGCGATCCAGGCTGGGGGTAGCGGTGCTTGTCCGGGAGGGGGAGACCCGACGAGATCTCGGGGTTGACTGGCATGTCAGTTGTCTACTCGTGAACACAACAAATGGGGCCAATAACTCACCGACAACAGCGTCACCTGAACGAGCGGGTCAGCACAATCTCCCAACAGCAGTCGTTCTACGCCAACGTACGGAACTTCTTCCAGAAACCCTACGTCGTTAGCACTGTTTACTTCAGAGGGCACGACTCGAGACCGAGATCCGGGACCACGATGACATTGTAGTTCAGTGACAATCGGTGGTTCCCGCCCGCTCTTGGTCGCTGCGACTCACGGTTGGTGCGAGGTGGTAGAGGGTGGGGTCTGCGCTCATGGGCTTGGGCTTGGCCGCGTTGGCGGCCGAAGCGGCGGCGTTGCGGAGGACGGCGGCGGCGCGCATGCTGGGCTCGAGGTGGTGCTCACTGCTCACCGGACACCGACGACGATCTCGACAACGAACCAGGGGAGCTGGGACGCTCAGCAGGACCGGCGGAGGTAGCGGCGATTTGAGCGTGGCAACGGCCACGTGGGTTGTTATGTAATAATGCAATATTACGTAAAGCAAACATAATATTACGTAAGGTTGGTTAATTAAAATAATTACGTAAGTTTAAGCTAATATTACGTAAGCTATCACCACCCGACTTTTCGACTGTTTTCTTTTTTTTCTTGTCGCGTTTGATTTTGCGGACCGACTTTCTTTTCACACCCTGGCGAGTCCTGAAAACGCAGTTAAACATCGTCCTGGCGATCCTGAACATCGTGACCAAGGTCTCACCTGCTGCGTATTCATCCTGGTGCGGCCATAGTGGGGGGGCACAGACCGGGGTGCGGGTTGAGAGCGGGGCGACGCTGTGGCACGCACCACTGCTTGCCGGAGAGGACGGAGAGGTGAGCGGTCGTGGACGTGCAGACGGTGTGGTCGGGCTGGGCACACCGCAGCACTCGGTATGTAACGGTCTAATCTCCTGGCCGCCTGTGTGACTTTGATCTCCTTGCCATATCACCTCGCCTGGATTCCAAGGGCGGGCTCGGCACCTTCGGACCGAGGGCACAGATGGAAGAGTGGCGACTCGGGAATCGATTCCGACAGTTGAGTGATCCCTTGGTGCGAAGACTGTCTGTGGAGGTCAGAGCGCCGCAGACAGTCTTGGCTCTTGGCTGGTTACAAATCTGTTCTGGTGTCCAGTCAGTGGCGAGTAACCAGCACCATGTTCCCACATTGCGTGAAACGTTGTGTCCTGCGCTCCCTTGACGACTCGCGTTGCAACGCGCCTGTGTTTCCCCTCTTGAACCCCTCTTCTGCGCCATCAGTGGCTGCGATCATGCATCATGCCACCACAGTCGCCGCAAGGTTCCCAAACCGATGACTATTGACCATTCAGCCTCAGTTTCGCCCAGCTTTAGAGTGGCGACCGCATGTAACAGCAACCATGGCTGACGGCCGCGTCATATCGGCCTCCAATGTCCTACAAGGTACACACTCTACACTGCAGGGGTACAAGTTCCTGCGTTGAGGCCCCCTCCCCTCTCCCCTTGCCTTTTCCTGTGTCTCGGACCTCCTCCTCCAATACCACAACTTTGGTGTGCCGATTACAGTACTTGTGGCGACATGTGCGATATTCATGATCGACACTAGCGTGCAACAAGCGCGGGGTAGATTGCGACGCTTGGACTCGATGGCAATCTGATATGGAGGTCTGCACATGTGCACATGGGTACGCACGGGCAGTGCGCAGCTGAATGCTTCTACAGGAACACACCTGCGCGGGGGTTGGTGGACTGTTCCGATGTGCTGGTGGCCCGAACACGCGTGCCAGTATGCCAGTGTGGCAATGTGGCGACGCGTGCAAGCCGCGCGCTCGGACTATGGCGGGCCGAGATCAAAGGCCGAGCACAGTACGCCGAGCATGGTCTCATATCAGATACACTATGCGCCATACGCCGTACAGCACGGCCACATGTGGACGGTTACGGGTGGGTTCATTAGCAAGCGCCGCCGCTACAGGAAGTGGACGCAGGGGGGTCTGGATCGGTCATCTGGCTGGGCTGCGGCGGGGCGATCATGATTGCAGGAGGATGCCACATGTGAGGGAATGTCCCAACCTAATGTTTCCAAAGCCACCAGTTATAGCTCTCACTCTTAGCGCACTCACCGCCGGTACTGTTGGACGGGGTCGAGTGGCGCATCAGACTTTACTTTCAGGTCGGAGAACGCGGGGTGCGGGTGTCTAAAAGCGGCGACGGCGGGCTCGACCGTAGTCGCGTCCCGAGAGTTGGGTCGCGACTCGGCGTACTGCGTTGCTGGGGCGTGGGCGGTGGCACACAGCTGGACGCAAGGAACAGTCCGGCAGGTGAACGGAACAGGAATGGTGGACAGTTGCATTCGGGTTTGTCACCGCCAAGGCCGGCCCCATGCTCCGCCCGACAACAAACCCTTCGGAACAGCGAGATTTGCCTCGTTCTTGTCCCGGAAAGGTGCGATTAACGTTAGCCCGACAACTCTATTGTGACATGTGTGACACTGTTTTGGGTTTATGGGGAGGAACAGTCCGCCTGCAACAAGCGCAACCACATGGTGGTGACAGCCCGGGCTGTCGGGCATTAATTGTCGAGAGTCGCGTGTCTGTAATCTTGTCTGGTTCATGATGTTCTACGGCCTGTATGAAAACCTCTGCCCACCCGTCAACACGCTACGAGCGTGCAGCAAGCTGTAAGCGACGTCGCCAAGGAGTAACAAAGTCCCAACCCCAGCCCCCCCAACGCAACAAGGCACAGCATGGATGCCGGGTAGACTGTAGGAACGCGCAGAACGATGTGGTCCGGTCGCGTGCCTGGATGTAAAACAACGTCCACGAAAGCCTCTGGCCTCTGGCTGCTGCATAGAGCGCGGAACAAGACGCGTCTCTTGTTCTGCAGGTCCTCTTTTTTCTTAGTATACGCCGCGGGGCCACGGAGTACTAATGCTACTACTGCAGCTTTATTGTCTTGCGTGATTGAAGGGCGACGCGAGTCGAAACTTGCAGTAAAGAGAAGTTGGGCGGTACCGGCCGGGTCCTCGCTTACAAATAAATCAGGCGCATGAAGAAGCCAGTCCTGGCCGAGCAACGATGGGCCAGGTCGACTGTCAAGCTGGTGCAGGGGTGCTGACATCTACGGCCGCCGCCTTGCAACTGAAGCTATAGCCTTGCAAGATGGCCGTCTGTAACTGCCAGATGTTTTAGCGAGCGAACTTTTGTGCACTGGTCCCCACGAGCGGGGCGGATCTATGGGTACCTCGCAAAGGTGACCGGGAGGGACCTGGTCCGGCAACGACGTCGTACTCGGAATCATCACGCGGCCAGTCCTGCCACACAACCTCCCAAAGTCCCCAGAGCTCCAACTACAAACTGTGGTACCTCGACTGCGCAAGGAGTGGATGGCGGCTAGAGGTAGAGAAGAAATGGGCTTGTGGTCTGTGCGGTGCATACGTTGTTCCTATGGCGCGCCTCTAGCCTCTCGATCTTGGGCTTGGACCCCCACCCCCCACCCCCCCTCTCTCGCTTCCATCGTATAATCCCAGCCCGCGGCGCTCGGCCGTACCTCAGATAAAACTGTTTTCGCCGCGGTGTCTCTTTGCCCGAAAGCAGTTACCGCGGACACGCTTGGCGACCGACGAGTTCTGTCCCAAGAGGGCGAGGCTCTCACGAAAGTGGGCCTGCGGAGCGCAAGGAACCGGGAACAACATGGGCGCGCAGCGGGGAGGAAAAACTCCACATCGCCAGGAATGGGTATATGAAAGCGTGCGCAGGCAAACTGGCAACCAGACTCTGCAGAGAACAGTTGGGGAGGGATGCAGACGTCCGTACATCCGAGGAGCAGGTGTGGATATGTGGATACGGGATACAGCGAACCCAACACTTTGGTCCGCGTACACTACATGGTGGCGGCTTTGGTGGCGGCGTTGCGGACAGCCATCCATCCCGCCATGCCCGACGAGTGTGCCGGTGGCGTGGCAGCGTTGGCCGTGCGCCTGGGCCTTTACATTGCGAGGAATGCACAGTGCAGTTGCCAAAGTTGCTGAACAGTAGCCGCACAGGCGCACAAGACCAGGCCTGAACGCCTCCTGGTCGTGATCGCGTGGGCTTTGGGTGGACACTGGACAATCGACCTTGTCCCACCCTGCTTGGATGTGTGACCCTCGCCTCCCCCCCCCCCCCGGGTGTCCTTACCGCTTCCCTTGTCCTACCTGTGTTCGTTCACGATCACGCGTTCTGTGAAGGACAGCCAAAGGGTTCAGCACGTCAGAACCTCGGCTTCCCTCTGTGCCGGCGACTGTCAGATGGCGTTTGCAGGCTTGGCTCCTCGTCGCAAGTATGCAGGAGAGCGAGTCCTCCCGCCTCACTCTGGAGGCACACTTTTTATTTTTTTATTGCACCCAACGGAGAGAGAGAGAGGCGTCTGGCACAGGGCCGGAACCCACGCGGGCGGTGAGTGGTGTAGGAGGAGACCGAGACTATCAAGGTGGTGGTTGTGCGTGTGCGTGCAGCTTGCGTGCGGTGCAAAAGGTCAACGAGGACATGGTTATCAGTGTTAGGGTTTTTGGGCGCTCCGGCGCGTTGTTTTTTCTCGCGTCCCTGTTGTGGCCGTTGTGGTGGTGTGTGGCCTGTTTGGCCCAGTTGTTCGTTCGGCGAGTGAACAATGTGCCGTGTGCCATGAATGGAGAGAGAGACCGAGGGACGGCGCCAGCAGCAGCAGGAAGGTGCCATATGTGCTATATCTATGTGTATGTATGCAACATACACAGGTGTTGTGCAATTTGCGTGACTCGACTGCCTGTGCGCGGGAGTGCACCCACAAGAGCGCAAGAACACCCATCGCCAGGACGATCCCGCCCAGCGCGCCTCCTCCTCCCCCGCCGTCTCCCCCCGCGCGCGCTGTACCGCTGAACCGCTGCCCCCCGTTTGGCCCGTCCCTTTTGCGCTTTTTCCCTTTCAACCCACCCCCATTGCGCGTTCGCGCGCGCCGCGCTCTCCGCCGTGCTCTCCGCCGTCGCGCCGCTGCAGCTTGGTGCTGTGCCCATAATCCTGGTCGTGCTCGCAATCAATCCAGCAGCAACTGTTGCAACCACCACACACCACACAAACACACCGTCTCTCACACCCATCCCCCATCCCCCCCCCCCAACCCCCCTCCGCACCCACCGCGTACATGCAGCACCCTCCTGCACTGCGCAACTCTGCCGGTGCGGGCACGGGCGCGGGCACGGACTCGTCCCAACGTGTGGGCGCCACCCCCGCAGTCTACGCGCAACCCAACGGCGCGGCCGCCTCCGCCGCCGCCGCCGCTGCGGCAGGGCACGCCGCTTCTCCAAACGCGTCTGCGACACACACCCACACCCACCACACCCAGTCCGTGTCTTCCATTTCAACATTGTCACAGTCGGGTCACTCGGCACCCAACATGTCGTCTGGCCTGGCATCGTCCTCGGCTTCCGCGCCAGGCCAACAACCACCATCTTCCGCCTCGAGCGCAGCCGGCAGCTGGGGCAGGTCCTCCACCGCCCCTCGCCCAGTCAGTGGCATGAACGGCAGCGGTGCTGGTGCTGGTGCTGGTGCTGGTGCTGGCAGTGGGCTCAGTGCCGACGAGCCCAGCCCAGCCCTCTCGACGTCTGGCGCGTCGGGATCCGGCTCGCTGCGAGGACGACGCTCCAGCACACCACACACCCCTCCCTCACCACGAAAGTCATCTCGACCCGTCTCGGGCGCAGCGCTGCCGAGCCCATCCCACTGCCAGGCAATCTATTCGTTCGACTCGAGCTCGATGCCGTCGAGCTCTGCGCTGGCGCACAACATGTACCTCAGCTTCAACCAGGGCGAAGTCATCCGTGTCCACGGCCGCGACCGCTCCGGGTGGTGGGACGGCGAGATCCCCGAGCGCGACGGCGTGCACTCCCGTCGCGGATGGTTCCCTAGCAACTATGTCCGCGAACTTGACCGTGAAGAGGTCCGCGAGGTAGGTGACCAAAAAGCCAAACCCCTCTCCACCCCCACTCGCATTCTCCCATTCTCGCAGACAAGAGCACCATGCTGACCGCTTCTAGATGTACCGTGCTTCAGAGCGGGACCCACCCAGCCCCAATGCGAGCTACGATCGGCGGGCCGAAGCGCGCTCCCGTCACACGTCAGTCATGTCGCACGCCAGTCACGCCTCGCACGCCTCTCAGCACTCGGTCCACTCTCAACTCTCGTATGCGTCACATTACTCTGGACAAAGTCGTGCAACAGATGGCGGCGGAGGAGGAGGAGGCGGTGGTGGGCACTCGTCATCTCTCTCTCAGCCACTGTCGCCCGCCCTCCAAACCCTCCTTCAGCCCATCCTCCAGTCCCTGTCCTTGCTGCAGTCGTCTATCCACTCCCATCGACGAGCCCATATCCAGCCGTCGGCGGCACAGGTCATCTCGGCCATTCGCGCAGCCTTGCTTCGCATGGACTGCCTCAGCAAAGAATCGAGAACCCTAGCAGCACACCCAATCCTCGCCAAGGAGCGCCGCTATGTCCTGGCTGAATTGAGCAAACTCGTCGCGTGCGCCAAACTCGCAGGGACAGAAGTCGACGAGAGCGACGACGACGCTGCGTTGGTGGCAACTGGCAAAGCTGCTCGCAGCGTGTTTGCCAGCGTTCGTCGCTTCCTCTTGCATGCAAGCGAGGCGGGTGTCTCGGTGCAGCCGCTCGAGACGGACGGAACCGAGCCCCCAGGCAGCGCCAACGACCTCACCACCGCCACGGGCATGCCGCAGTCGCGGATGCGCGTCAAGGTCCCCTCTGGCAGCGGCTCGCGCGGACCCGACGCCTACAGGATGAAGTCGGCCAGTGTTAGTGACTTGCGCGGCACTGCCCGTCGACAGGGTGGCGGTCCCGCCCACCTCTTCCCACAAGCAGCGGCTCGGCCAACTCCATTACTGGCCAATCTGTCTCTGCCGTATCCGTCAAGTCGCCGTCCGTCGGCAGCTCTGGCTCGGGTCGATCGTCGCCCGTTTCCTTTCGGTCTCGCCGACGGGCCTCGTCACATGCCCGCCACGCCCACGGGCCGTCATTTGAGCAGATTGCCCAGCAGCAGACCGAATCCCCGGAGCTCTTACAAACCGAGTTCTCTCAGAGCACATCGGCAGTGCCCCAGCGAGCCGCCGAGACATACCCGGACCCACCCATCAAGCAGTATCCTTCGGGCGAGGCCGTTCACGAGGCAGTTGGGACCGCCGAGGACGCGCTCTTGTCCATCATTGCCAGCTTTATTGGCCATATCCACTCTCACCACATCGACTCGCATCCTTCCTCGCATGCGTACCTGATCGAGCTCACTCGTGAGACGGTGGACCGCGTCCGCGACCTCTTGACCATTGTCGAGGGTGTTGGCAGGCAAGCTGGTGCGCTTGGCGTCCGTCAGCGCGAACTCGAGTCGCTCAAGGCCGCTCGCGACGAGCTCTACGACGCTGCCAGCCAGCTTGTGGAGGGAGCCGAGGCCGTCGCAAACGCTCCCTTTTCAGAAGGTGGCGAGGACGCGTACGACGCTGAAAAGACGGGCCTGTTGCGAGTCACTACCACCACTCTGCGCGCAGGCACCGAGTGCGCCCGCGTGGTCTGTCAATGTGTATCCGAGGACGCTGGCCATCCCGACTATGACCTCCCCCAGTCTGCCGGCAGTGGCACCAACCGCGGCTACGCAGGCATTGGCCTTGGAATCCGCGGTCCCCAGTCCTTGCAGAGCCTCGCGAGGCGTGCCACGTCCCTTGGCCAGTTGCACCGGCGCTACCAGCAGGACGGCGGTGCCCGGGTCAGCGTTCCGCCTCCCAAGCGTCCCGTCGACAACGACGACGAAGAAATTGTTGCCGACCAGGCTTCGGAGGACGAGGGCGATGTCACGATGCGTGTCAGCCCTCTCCGCGACGACGAGGGCTCCCGCCCAACCTCGCACCCGCCTCCCGCCACTCCCTCCAAGGACGGTGCCAGCGACCCGACGACCCGTCGCCTTTCCGACGCCACTTTGCTCAGTGTCCGTTCTCGTACCACCTCGTTGTCCTCGCCCACCACCAAGAAGATTGCGCACAAGTCGCCCTCCCGGTCGGTCGACCTTGGCAAGTACATGTCGGTCGACAGGGAACTGTCCCGCCCCTCGACTCTTGGCTCGCTTGGATCCCAGTCGCGATTTTCGATTTCGCAGCGCAACAGCGCGAGCTCGCTGGCGCCACCTATGCCCGAGCAGGCAAACGGCGACCAAGCCGAAAAGGACATCAAGCGCAGCTCGAGCGTCAGTACTGCCCCTACCCGCCCACCCCCGGCTCCTCCTGCTGGCGAAGACGGCGACCCATCACGCTTCTGGGCTGTCAAGCACGACTTTGACTTGAACGAGACAGCCTACAACTCGGAGGGTACGCTTGTTGGCGGCACCCTGCGCGTTCTTGTCGAAAAGATGACTCCTCACGACGGCACGCCCGACCTCAACTTTTCGTCTGCGTTCTGGTACACGTTCCGCCTGTTCACGACACCCGAGGAGCTTGTCCGTACGCTTATTGCGCGTTACGAGATGCCTGTTCCACCCGTTGTCGAGGGTATGGACGAGCAGCAGTTGCAGGCCTGGAAGAGCTCCAAGCAGATTCCGGTGCGCATCCGCGTGTCCAACTTTATCAAGCAGTGGCTCGAGTCGTACTGGCGTCCCGACAGCGACGACCAGGTTCTCGACACGCTCGAGGCGTTTGCGCGTGACACCCTGTCCACGACCCTCCCCGGTGGCATGGGCCCGCGTATTCTCGACGCCGTCAAGAAGCGCAGGGAGCACGTCGCCACGTCGGTCACTGGCAGCGAGAGCACGGTCGTCGCAACGACGCCCAAGTCGGCCAACTTTGACCGCACGCGTACGCTCACAGGCATGCTCCACACCCCCGCAGCTCCCTCAGCTCTCCCCACGCCCATCATCTCCAAGGCCCTCCACCAGCAGCTCCAGCGTCCCGGCGCTCCATCGAGCATTGCCATCACCGACTTTGACACGCTCGAGCTTGCGCGCCAGCTCACGATCATGGAGAGCAAGCTGTTTGCTGCTGTCGCCCCCGAGGACCTGCTCATGACGGGCAAGAAGTCTGTTCCCGAGCTCAAGGCGCTGTCTACGCTCAGCAACCAGATCACTGGCTGGGTCACAGACGTCATCCTCAACGAGCAGGACGCCAAGCACCGCGCGGCGTTGCTCAAGTTTTTCATCAAGCTCGCAGACGTAAGTCTTTAACAAAACAAGTCGCGTTTGCCTCGATTGTTGACATGCTACCGCAGAAATGCCTCCTGCTCAACAATTACTCGAGCCTTTTCGCCGTCCTTGCCGGTCTCAACAGCAGCACCATCCTGCGTCTCAAGAAGACCTGGGACGTGCTGTCTGTCAAGTACCGCGTCCTCATGGACCGCCTGCGCGGCGTGATTGAGCACACCAAGAACCACGCCGCGTACCGCACGCGACTGCGTGAGACCGCCGGGCCATGCCTGCCGTTTTTGGGTCTTATCCTCAGCGAGTGAGTGTACAAATTGTGGACGCGGCAATGGCACGGAACACCATGTCCCACGATCCTGTCCACCAGGCCATCTACCCCTTGCTGTTACTGACACACCGCTCAGCATCACCTTTACGCAGGACGGTAACCCCAACACGAGGACCACGACGTTGAACCCCGAGCTCCAGCTCATCAACCAAGACAAGTATACCAAACTGGGACGCATCGCATCCGACTTCCGCCGGTACCAGACCCCGTTTGACCTCAAGGAGCTCGACCCCGTGCAGCTCTTCCTGCAGCGCGTCCTCGCCGAGCGCGGAAGCGGCAGCCTCGACGCGCTGTACCGCAAGAGTCTGCTGCTCGAGCCGCGCCAGGGTTCCGAGAAGTTGAACAATGCGGTCGAGCGCCCCGGATGGCTGGGCGCGGGTCTCGCGCAACGGCTCCAAGTATAGCCCCCACCCACACAGAGAGGGGGGATGGCATGAGTGTAGCATAGAACAGACGATACGAGAGGAGAGAGGACAGAGAAGAGACAGAGACAGAGATAGTAGTAAACCCAACACCCCCAATCCCAACACCTCCAACACACCTACCCATCAACCACCACCCAAGCACCACCACCGGCAACCCACCAACACCCAGCTTCACCCAGCTTCACCCACGTCATCATCACGCCAACCATAGCAGTAGGAGCAGTGCATACATTACGCATCTGGATCAATGCAGATCCTTCATGACAACGAACAAACACATGTTGCAGGAATGAAGCAGTGGCAAGGAGGGGGAGGAGGTTGAGCAGAGCAAAGACCTCGTGCGGGTTGCGGGCTGACGCGAGGGCTTCAAGTCCATGAACCTGCGACGGCAGCGCGAACACGGTGTACGAGCCGCATATCTCGGCGAACAGTTCGTGGCATCGGCGACGAGATAGAAGATAATCGGCCACTGCGCGCCACTGCACCCACACGCAGGCAGAACGCCAGCGCCAACACTTTGGCCGCATCAGCGTGCTGGCGTGGCCTCGCCAACCTCGTTACCAGTGGGTTTGGCGCTTGTCGTCTACGATCTGGTCCGGCTTACTGCCCGACATCGTCCCAGGGATGGCATTAGCATGCGTGTGGGCGCTGCATGGGAGAGTAGAAGGGCGCCCTGCCCCCCCAGTTCTCTCGGTCATTTCACGCCACTGTGTGCCTCTGTACCGCTGCGCTGGCCACTAGTTTTTACCATTTCCCATCTCTCGTCCTGGGCTCAAACTCCCTGGTATGGCATTACGTCGACCTCGGTCCACGGCCACGCGCGACCACCACGGCAACCACGGCGACCACATGGATGGTGATGGAGATGGCCGAGATGGGTGGGGGATGTGGCCGTGTGTCAGACGGCCGTGGCAGCAAGTAGTGTCACATGGCGCGCCACCAGCTCCACCGATTCTCTCACTCTTGCGCAGTCGCCATGCTTCTGGCTTCTGGCCTTTGTGCTTCGCGTGCTCGTGCGCTCGTGCTCGGGCTCGGGCTCCCTTGACACAGTGCGCGTGACTAACCTGCCGAGAGACAAGTTGTTTCCTCCGGATCTCCGGATCATCTGTGTCGGCCCCCTCGTTTCCATACCGCTGTTTAATGGCCTTAATGACCTCGGCATATCGGCACAGTTGTCTCATCTCAGCGGATCAGCGGGGTGCAAGGTGGAGCCTTTGATCCTGTGAGCAGCAAAGGGCAGCCATTCGGCCAAGTGTGTCGCCTGCGTAGTGGGCACGGCCACTACCGGCCGCCATGAAAACGCTCTATGGCTGGTGTGCCGCGGCGTCCCGCACCACATGTTGTGTTTCTCGAAAACACACTATGGCCATGACGATATACGGCACACCGTACACCACACGCTATAACGCTAGTGGGTATTTCTCCTGATCTCCTGTGCTTCTGGTGCGATAAGTTTCCGCATGTCTGCCAGTGGCCAAGGGGCGTTCGTCATGTCTGGTGTGTTGCTGCGTCGCTGTTGCTGGCCATTGTCATGCGTCACCGCTACTGTCGCCTGTGGTGCAATGCTCGTGTGCACCACCTGCGGCCTGCGGATGATCGGTTCGGCACATATTCCTTGTCCTTGACCTTCGCCCTCCCCTGCCAAGCCCGTACACAGCCCATGGCTCATGGCTCGTCAAGTCTGCGGTCTGCGGACCGCGCACGGCGCATGTTATTTCGTGCTACTGCGCCGCATGCGTCGTGAGAACAGGCTCTTCCCCATGACCCATGGCCCATGGGCAACTGGCTGAATGTGCCCGCCGTCAATGGAGCGAAAGTGCGTCATAAGGATCACAGGATGACCCATAATGAAGGATCCGTTGAATGACCACTGCGTTGCAGCAGTGCATTGGTTGTGGGCAGTGAGCGCAGTGAGGGAATGTGCTTTGCCTCGGCGCCTCGGCAAAGGGTGCGAGTACGATTTCCTGTTATCCGAGGGTGGGTGCGCAGGAATCGGGGGGGGAGGGGGGGGGGGGGTGCTCTGATGGCATCAACCACACGGCCACCCAAAGTGCTGCTGCCGATGTGCATGCACAGTTCTCCTCGTGCTCCACAGTACCACAGTTGGAAAGTCGGCGTACCCAAGCGTGTGGGCCAGGCGCTGGCGCTGCTGGGCGGTTTGTGAAACCCAGGCAAACGCAACGAAACGCAACGAAACACCTGCACCGTGCACGGCAAACCCGCCTGGTCGGATGTGTGATGCGTCCCTTCTGACAGAAGAAGCTCGATGCATTCCTGACGCGTCTGCCCGCCTGCCCCCTCTTTCGGCCCGTCCACTGTGGGCCACAACAGGCGTCGCCTCCACCGGAATACCGCTGGACGCGGCAACCGTTTTTGGCTCTGCGGTCCAGACCGTGTATGTCCTCAACCCCAGATTTACCTACATCACTCTCAAGTTTTTTTTTTCCTCCTTGTGCTGTTTGACGGCACACCCACCAACCCTGGAAAGCTCGAGGCGGAGAGGGCCAAAGGGGACGCGTGGACCGTGGAGCTGGTATGGACAAAGGGGGTTTCGGGGGTTCTGGTCCCAAAATTCTGACACCAGTTTGCGCAGCCCTTTCTCTGCCGGCTGCCTCCTCCCTTCCGCAGAGCGCGGAGCGAGCCACGGCCCAGATCCAAACCTCGTTTGGCAGGAACGCTGAAAGACCTTTGTTTGTGGGTGGGAGTCCCGGAGTCTCTTTTAGGTGGAGGCACGCCGCGCACAGCCCACCCGGCCACCCGTTTGGCGCTGCAGCAGAACCCGGAGCAACGTCAAACGCAACAGCGTGCACAGAGGCGCACCGCCGCAGCACTGACACCCAGAAAGTGTTCCTGGCCACACGAGGGGTTGGCGAGAACGACCTGTCGTGACCGTCTCTGGTGCTATCTATGGCAAGGCTCGTGGTCATTCCTTCCACCTCTCCCTCCCCCCCCCCGTGTCCAACACGTCCTTGTTCTTCATACACCAAACGCCTTTTCCCCCATTACACACAGTCTACTCTTACACAACAAAAGCTTGTTGCCAGATCGGGCTACACCCGACTGTAGCACGCACCTACGCCCACAAGGCAGCCCCCCAGCGTCATCGCCTCCGCACACACACCCGGATCTGGACCGAGTGACCTCGTCGGGGCAATCGTTTCCTCCCTCCCTCCCTCTTCTTCACCACCACCACACCACCACACCACCACACACACACGTTCGATAGAGATGCAGGGCCAACCGCAGGGCCCCTCTGCGAACCAGGACGGCCGTGTCCAAGAGCATGACTACGCGCAGCGCTCGGAGATGGGCTCGCTGAGCTATCTCAATGCCGGCAACGACGACCACCTGGTTCGGTAAGTGCACGCATGAGCGCTCGGCACGGGCGGCCGGAAGTGGGCGAGAGAGATCTGAACAATTGGGACCTGTGGGACAAGTGGCTGCGACACATCAGACGTGTCGGTCAGCTGTTCCTGCTGGCGTGTATGTGTTATACGCCGTTTCCCGACTGTGCAAGGGGGTTCTACTCGACGTGCCGCACACGCAAGATTGCGTGCATCAGTGTAACCCCCCACTTTCGTCCGCGTCTTCACTTGTCACGTTGTTCCCTACACACACGCGCACAAGTCACTGACATTGCTACAGTGACTACTCTGTCGACGGCCAGCAGCAGGCCATGGCCGACGAGCAGGGTGCCGGTGAACACTACGACATGACCACTCTCCACAGCACCGATTCCCGCACCCGTCTGCACCACCCTCAGGAGGGTAAGTCTTGGCTTTGGTTCTTGGCTCCATCTTCTACTTTTGATGTGCTGGGCGCCTGTCCCATCACCGCTCGCAACTGCCCGCAGTGAAGCACAAAATGGTCACACTGGCGCCTGCGCTACATATAGACCCTCCTCCACCGCTCGGCCCTGTGGCTTTGCCGCAGCATGCCGTCTCCACCTCCCCCACCCGTGTCCTTGTTGCTCACGCTTCCAGGCTACCAACTTCCGCCTGGTGCGGGCGACGGTTCTGTGACGCACGGGCGCGTCCCCGGTGGTCAGCCCGTTGTGCAGCAGGTTCAGTACCCACCTCCCAAGGCTACCCCTGCTCCCCCCAACCCCATCCGTGACCACGAGCACTTCCAGACTGTTCCCCTCAACGACCTCGCCATGCCCAGCAGCACCTCCAGCTCGCCTCCTCCCAACCCCCACAAGGTCCGCGGCGTGCTCGGCATGTTTGCCAACGGCAGCCAGTCGACTCAGACGACGGTCAACTCTGAAAAGGAGAAGCCTGGTCGCCCAAGGCACCCCCGCAATGGCTCCTGGGATGTCCTCCAGAACTCTGAGTGGGACGAGTACAACCCCGCTACCGCCAACAAGGAGCGCCTGCGCTTTGCTGACGGTGACGCTGGTACCAACGCCTTCTCGAGGCTCTACCTCTGGTGCTTGAACCAGGGCATCGTGATGCGCTGGCTCGTGTTCATCGTCCCCGTTCTCATCGTCCTCTGGATCCCCGGAATCGTCGACGTCGCTGGTGTCGACAACGCCAAAGTCTGGGGCACCCGTCTTCTTTGGTGGTCCATCTGGCTCACGGTCGTCTGGGTGGGCTTCTGGGTCTGCAAGGCCTTCTTCATGATTTTCCCACACATTTACAGGCAGACGGTTGTCACCATTCTTCCCTCTGCCGGCCGCTACACTGGAGTGGTCGCCAACCTCGGCAAGTATGCCAAGTTTATCCTGTGGGCCGGCATCAACTACATTGCCTACCAGCCCCTCATCAAGACCAGGAATTCGGCGGACAGCAGCTCGCAGTCGCACAACATTATCACCATCATCAACGCCCTTCTCCTCACCATCTTGCTGTGCTTTGTGGCGCTCGGTGTAGAGAAGCTCGTCATTCAGCTCATCGCCCTCTCGTTCCACCAGGACGCCTACGCGGACCGCATCGCCGAGCAGAAGCACCAGATCAAGGTCCTCACCATCTTGTACACCAACTCGCACGATATCCCTGGCCGCTCGGACACTCTTTCCGACTCGGCGTCGGCTAACACCAAGGCGTCCCAGATGCCCAAGGTGGCGATGCGCAGGGCCCTTCGTGGTCTCAAGTCCGTCGCCCAGAACACCACCACTGCTCTCGGCAACGTCGCGTCGGAAATGACCGGCTCCACCGCCCTCCAGACCAACTCGCCCCAGAACAAGGTCATCACTGCCATTTCGTCCGCCAACAAGAGCAGGCTCCTCGCCCGCCGTCTCTTCTACTCGTTCCGCACCCCCGGCGCCGACCACCTCACCCTCGCCGACGTGGCGCGCTTCTTCCCCAGCCTGGAAGAAGCCGAGGGCGCGTTTGAGATCTTTGACCGCGACGGAAACGGCGACGCCACGCGCGACGAGATTGACTCTACCCTCCTCGACATTCACCGCGACCGCATCTCCCTCGAGGCCTCGATCCGCGACCTCGACGGCGCTGTGAGCCGTCTCGACGAGATCCTGCTCGCTGTCGTCCTTGTCGTCTGTGTCGTCATTTTCGCCGCCCTCGTCGTCTCAAACCAAACCTCCACCACTAGCTTCGTCTCCGGCATCGGCACCTACATCCTTTCGCTCAGTTGGTTGATCGGAACGACTATGCAAGAGATTTTACTCTCTTGCATCTTCGTATTTGTCAAGCGTAAGTGCATCTCCAGCGTCGAGAAGAGGCCAGAGAGACGTGGAAAGTATCGAGAGAAGACCAGAAACCGTGCAGAAGGTGTGGACGGGACGGAATGGTGCTGTGGGGTCGCCGCACGATCGGCGGAAATCTACTTCCGCGCTTCTGCGACCCTGACCACGTGGCGAGATTTGCTTCCGCCTTTCGCTACACTTGCTCTCATATCTTCATCTGCTGACCATTCCAGATCCCTACGATGTGGGAGACCGCGTTATCATCGGCGACGAGACTTTGATCGTGGCCAAGGTCGAGCTGCTCTCTACAGCCTTTAAGAGAGCGTCAGGACACTACATTTGGTGGGGCAATAACCAGCTCTCGACGAAGATGATTGAGAACGTTCGCCGGTCGGGTGCCACTTCTGAGACGTTTGCGTTCGACGTGGCGTTTGACACCTCTTTCGAAAGTCTTCAAGCCCTGCGTGCCGCAATGCTCCGCTTCGTCACCCAGAACAACCGCGACTTCCAGCCAATCTTCGATGTTATTGTCTCCAACTTTGAATCGCAGGACAAGCTCTCGCTCAAGGCCGATATCCGCTTCAAGCAGAGTGCTCAGCAAGGAGCTGCTCGTGTCCAGCGTCGCAACAAGTGGATCTGCCAGCTCAAGCTGGAACTGGCTCGCCTCCATATCTGGGGTCCCGCGGGCGCGGGCAACCCGAGCCCCGCACCTGCCGCTCCTACCCGCTACACTGAGGTCCCCTGGGACGAGGTTAGGGAGGCCGAGCACGCCGAGGCCCCTCCCGTGTTCAACACCTCCACAGCTGTCAGCCAATTGACTTCGCACCGCCGCGTCGACTCCACTCTGGACCTCCTCGGTGAAGCCGAATCCCTGCCACCTACGCGGGCCAATTCGCCTGGTCCCAACGCGCCATTCCAGCAGTACTCCACATCTATTGCACCCGCCGCAATGGAGCGTCTCGACAGCAATGGCCGTCGCCCAATTAACACCGTTCAGCAGACCGGCCAGCGCCAGTACTACAGCAGCAGCAGTGGATCGCACGCGTAGACATGGACACTCCCCCCCCCTTTCCCCCCGTTACATTTCCCATTCCATTCCATTACAAACCATTACCACACAAAAAATCCACCCATCGCCCACTTCATCGCCGCAGCCATCGGCAAAGCCACACCCCATTTGGACAAACCCACACCCACACACCGTCCTGCCCCCAATCAATCCCTCGCCGGCGAGCCGTGGATGGGGCAGACGATTGTAGATCATTCGCGCGGCTGCCGACCGGCCGGCCATCGGCGGTCCTCAATGTACATAGACATCATTTCCCTCCATGCAAAGAGTATCAAGGACATGGCATGTTCCGAACAAGTATAATCCGTCCGCAGCGACAGTGGTAGCCAGCAATGGCTCCGCCCGTTAGTAGCGGTTTGGTTTTGAAATACATTCAGTGCAGCGGCGGTGGTAAGGTAGTGCTTGGAAATCAGGTTTCATACGTCCGTGTCGAAATGTCGAAACGTTTTACATGTAGGCGCATGGTGTCAGATCGCTCCTATAGCCTGCTCAAGGTGACGCAATAGCTTGTGCTCGGCCAACCAAATGGTCATATGCAAGAGCGACAGACAGTAGATCCTATAACAGTTACCAACGTCCATTTACGTGCCACACGGACGTTTGTGAGGAGATGAGGAGACTGTTCGTTTAATATATACCTGCTACATAAACAAAAGCTCTCACATTAATATCTACAGCTGCCCCCCCCCCCCCCCCCCCCCCCCCCCCTCCCCCCAGCCTCAAGCTGTACAGGGGCATGCCCATACCGCCACTCGTCAGCACTTCTGGCCCTCGAAAGGGAGCAGGATGGCGATATGTAGGCTGCTCATTGTCTTTGTTGTGCGCAGCCCAGTATCTGCTGCAACTGGCACACCGAGCGGACCCATCGCCAGTGATCCTGAGCGAGGCCTTGAGGCCTGTCTGGAAGGGTTAACGACGCTTCAAAGTGAAAGGATGGACATACTGCGAGTGAACACTGCGCGTTCGCGCAATGTCCCAAAGATCCGGTGAGGGGTTGTTCATGTGCATGGCGCTGGGCGTTGTCCGCGCCTCGTCACCCACCAGTCCCCCGCGGCTGTTGTCAGCAAATCTCAAGCCCAGCTTTTTTTTTTTTTTTTTTTTACTCACTCCCAGCGATCGGGATGCGCGACGCAGGCGCCGCACAGCTCGCCGTTGACTGTGAAACGGAGGGGCATGAAACGCTTGTTATCAGCCGATGCTCTTCCATGGGTTCATCTCGTCCATCTCGGCTCACCCGGCACTTTTCGCAGAAGCCATGTTGGATGGTGACATCATCGATTTGACGAGGAGTCGCACCCTCGTGGCCAGCAAGTCGATCGTTGCTGACGTCCTCATCGTCGTCCACCGCCACCTTCGACCAGTCCTCTCTGTGGTCATCTGCATCGTCCCTCAACCAATCCCACTCCTCCTCATTCGAATCATCACCGTCAGGCTCCACGCCCACGTGCGCAGTCCCGAGCACCTTGACGACTTCGTGTCAGCTTTATCTCATGGGCAACTTACGCGTTGGTCGCCATGATCGCCAGCGCCTCCCCACACTTCCACCACCGCGGTTGAAGACGAGCCCCATGTTGAGGCGGTCGTCGGTACTGATCGAGTGGCGGTTGAGGGCGTGGATCATCACAGCTCGAACCGTCTCTCCCCTGCGGTGGCGAACCTGCAACGTCAGCCCAACGTCCCCAAGGGTGTGAGAGCACGATACTCACCGCATGTCAGGCAGCCTCGCACGGGGCGCGAGAACGGAGACTTGTTCGTCGAGGCGGTACTTGTTTTCTCCCGGCCCCAATCCCCTGCCACCTCGGCGTGGCCTATGGAGACCATCGTCAAAGTAGGTCTGGGCGTGTGCCAACATTCGCGCCATTCTGTCCGACGCCAGCATGTCCCACGAACCGTCGTGGGCGAGGACAACCCACAACTTGGTTGCCTGTGCCACAGCCAACAGGATGTGGAGGTTGGATGACAACGCCGTGGCGCCGTCAAGGACAACGACATCCACCTGCCCGGTGCAAGTGTAGGCGAGCCAGTCTTTGTTGGGCAACTGGTTGCGGTTGGTCGGCACAGGGTGGTTCTCCCACTCGTTGGACGGCGAGCTGGCTGACCGCAACGGAACGGGAGCACCACCCCCCTGTCGGAATGAAGAAGAATGCAGAGTGAATATATAATTATTGGAAATTATGATTTAAATACTACTGTAGATATGGGGTGTGTTTGAGGCCGTGTGTGGCACACACCAACAGCCCCGGTGGGGGATCTGCTCGTCGCACAACACGTCGTCGACCTCCGGGCGCAAGACATTGTTCAGCCGCCTAAGTTGGCGGGGAGACAGTACATGGGCTGTGCTCGTGGGGCGCTGGATACCGTACACGTCTTTGGTGCGGTCGATGATGCTCACGTCAAATGGATCTGTTCTGATGAGTTGATATCCTGGGTCGCCCACTCACCGCCGCCTTCCTCCTTGGTCATCGCGTGCACGAATTGCGTGTCGACTTGTTTGCACACGTTGGTACGTGTCGAGCAGGCTCAGGCGGTTAGACGGCTCGGAGCTGGCGGCGCTACGCGAGTCCATCTGCAGCTGTTTGCCGATGTCGAGCAGGTCCTTGTCCGACACTTCTTGTCCTGTCGTCACGCTGAGCACACCTGCGAGCCTTTCCCAAAAGTCCCGACCCTCGGTGAGGAGGAGGCTGGGATTGACCGTCGACATCTGGCTACGGAACTCGGTGGCGGTGAGTCGCGCCTGGTTCTTGACCGGGGTGATTGAGTCGCGAGGAGAGCAAGAGCTCACGGTCTCCGACTGACGGGCTGGGTCCTGGAGGTCCAACGCCGTCTGACCGCCCGTCTCCGCAGGTGAGCAGCTTGATGGATGAGGGGTGCTTACAATGCGAGAGGTGGGGTTGTCGCGACACTGTCACCCAATACCTGGAAGTTAGTATCCATCTCGTATCTTTGTCGCGCCGGCGAGCTCACCGTGAGCATTGATGTGGTGTTGGGTGCTGGGGACAGTGCGGTAAACGCTTGCTGCCTCCTCTTGGACTCGCGAGCCTCGCAAAACTCGGCGATAGATGGTCGCTTCTGGATGATTACTTCTGGCCTGTTGGCATTGTATAGCTGGCTCACAGGGGATGAGTGTAATGGGAACAAACCCGACCATCCACCTTAGCGCGTTCTACGCCCCTCCCACCCGAGGTCGCGTCAACCAGATTATGTCACCTCTCTTATTCCTCTCATCCCTCACCTTCCCTTGCCCACCTCTATCCACCGTCCATCTCTCTCTCTCTCTCTGGCATCAATCCACCCCCGCATCTCTCGCTCTGCCCCAGATACGGCCTCCCCTCGGTCTCTTTGCAGACAACCCTGCTGAGAGCACCGCCAATGCGGTCCTGCAGCTAATCGCTGCCACGCCTCACCTCGTCGATGTTCTCGACCACCACCATGCCCATGGGGATTGCAGTGCGTATTATTTGCATACTCAACTGACAGTCTTAGGCAGTGCATGCACTCCCTTCATTGTGGCGGACACGTTGGACGTTATGGGATGGGCAGAAGAGCCATTCGTAGCTGAAGAGTTCACCCGCCACTGCGCCACTGCTTTCGACTGTGAGTGTAGTATGAGGTGTTTTCCGGCAACGACGGCCAAACAGGGCTCAACTTCCAATGGTTTATGTCATCTGCGTTTGCCACTGATGTAGGAGGAACCTTGTTATCCTCGTGACCCGTGTGGGAGTGTGACACGGGGAGGGTCCTGTGGCGTTGTGACAATCGAGGGACGTTTCTCTGCAACGTTTACTGACAATGGCACAGGATGGTGAACAACAGGGGCAGCCCTCGTGGGTGGTTCTGCCGGTTTCGGTGCCATGCTTAACAACATGCCCGACTCTGTACACCTCGGAATGGCGCCATCGTTGTCACCGACGGCTATGACCGAGATCTATGCCAAGCCCGACGGTCAGTTTTGACTCGAAGGCGAGCGGGCCAGTCCTTACTGACTCTTGTTCTTTCTGCACAGTTGTCCGTGCAATGTCCGAGCACAGGATCCTCCGCGACAACCTTCTCCGGGAGTACAAGGCAGTCTCTGCCTCAGACCTCCCGGATACGGAACGTCTGCGGGTCAAGAACTCGTACGAAAAGGCACGCTACCTGACCTTCCAGCATGTCCAGTTGGAGCTCCACGATCTTGATCCGGACCACACCAATCGTACCAATCTCGACTCGGTACAACTGGACAATTCATCCCCTTCGGCGGATTCCACGCCACCCCCGCCCTACCGTGATCCCCTATCAGCCGAGGCGGTCGACTTCTCGGTGGAAACAGCTGAGTTGTTCGACACGACGGTCGATGTCAGCTCAAAGGAGGCTATCGCGTTGTCCGCCTTCGAACTAGACAGCATCACACCGGACGAATATTCGGCGTTGCTTCAGTCAGGCCCTGAGGTTGATGCCACTCTCCTCGACTTTCTCGACGTCGATGCCCAGCTCGAGGAGGAGGAAGCCGATGACGATGACGACAAGATTCCGACCGAGGCGGAGCTCACCATGGTCGACGGCGCGCTGAATGCGGACGACGGGGTCGGCGCTGCCGACGACGATGACATGGCAGACGAGACCACCGACGCCAACGCTCCCAGTGCTAGCTCCGCCGCCAATTACCGCCGACGCGATCATTGGACACGAACGAGGAGACCGCCTTGCCTCGTTAAGGGCCTCAGTAACCAACAGGTGCCAGATGGATTGGCAGTCGACCTATGGCCCTCCCATGTGGCACGACGTTCCAGGCGTTGTTGAATGGTATTGGTAGTCGATTTCAATGTGTGCAATGTGTGGGCGGCGCTTTCAAAACATACTTTCTTGCATGTCTCCATGCATACACCCTCCTCCTCACTTCGGTTTCAGACAAATGCATTGACGCGCATTGGCGCATACTGATTCGAATAGATACAGATGTATGCATGCACCAGTCGTGGTGGAGTACCTGACTTTTGACTGAGCAGGTGAGGAACTGAATATACATTCGGGTGGAATGAATACTTACTTCAAATCTATTTGCCGAGTGAGCAACGGAACTATAATACCCCGTGCTCCTCTTTGTTTGTACATGCGCTCGCTCAACACTTGTTCACTTAAAACAACATTTACGTCCTCCTCTCCAACACATTCCTACCACCTCAGCAGCACGTCATGGCAGCGCGCGTCTCCGGGCGCTTTGCGCCAGCGCCACCACCTTTCGTCGACCTGCCTGCATTGCACCGGCCCCAAGTCGTGGATGCTGAAGGCTACGAGCTGTCCGACGAGCAGCTCGCTCAGCTCGCATCCGCCGTTGCCGACCCTGACGCGCCATCCGGCAGCGTGCCAATCGAGGTCGAAGCTCCTGTTGAGGTTGAGGATGAACCTGAGGACGAGGCGATGGAGGTTGATGACGAAGAGGGTGGCGAGGAGCAGGAGCAGGGCGAGCATGACGCTGAGGATGGCGAGGGGGGCGAGGAGGGCGTCGAGGAAAGCGCGTCGGCACCGACATTAGAACTCGACCAGCCAGAGCCTGTTGAGGGCAAGACACCGCTCTTGAGTCTTTCAGACAGGTGAGCATGGTTGTTCTGGGCAAAGTGGAGAGCTCAGCTAATCGACAGTCTCGTCCTGCAATATACCTTCCTCCAGACCCGTCACCACCACCTTCACCACCTGCTTCCTCACATCTTCAGTCATCCGCCTGTACCAGCACACAACAGGCCGCGACTGCGCCCACCTCCTAAGAACACTTTCATCTTCCCAACTCCATCTGCTCCTCAGCAGCCACTGCCAAGCAGAGAGTACCATGCTCCTCCGAAGAAGGACGACCAGGAGAAGAAGGGCAAAGGCAAGGAGAAGGCCAAGGAGGCCGGCGAAGGTGATGCCCCTGGGCCTTCTGGTACTCCTGGTGCTGAAGACAAGACTAGAGAGGACGACAAGGAGGGCGCCGACAAGACGGACAAGCTTGAGGCCAAGACCGAAGGCGAAGCTGAGGACAAGGACAAGCCCGCGAAGCGTGTCTACAAACGCAAGGTCAAGGTCCTCGAAGGTGTGCAGCCTCCGGCTCACGAGATCGAGTGCATTGCTCGCGTGACGCTCCAAGTAGGCCCCATGACGTTCCCCAACACCGAGCTGTGGATTGGCCGCTTCGTTGAGCCACGATCCGGCAGTGGAGGTACAGTTCGCGGTGGGCGTCCCAAGGATCCGGCCGAACCCAAACCGCCCAAACCACCCAAGCTGCCCAAACCGCCGAAGCCGCCAAAGGAGAAACGCGTCCGCGCTCCACGTCCAAGTGATGGGCCAACACCGAAGCGTCAGCGCGCTGAGCGTCCTCCGACCACGCAAACGACCGTGCCAGTGCGCCCGCCGCCAGTGCCGCCGACTGCGCCTGGAACTGCTCAACCCCGCCCTCCGGCGCCAACGCCGTCACAACCTGTACCCACCACCGCGTCTGGCGTTCCCCGCTACGCGTCCAGGAGCGACATCCCGCAAACTCTCATCCAGCGCGTCAACGCTGCTGCGAGTCAGTACCCGTGGCTGTCGATTCTGATCCACAAGGCTGCACGCAGCGTTGCCAACAAGGACGAGTTGGCCAAGCTGGGTCGTGTTGTCGCGCGTCTCGGACGCGGTGAGGGTGTGGGCGAGGGCCCTGACCTTCCTGGTTTGCCCAATGGTCCTACTACAGCAGGTCTCATGGGTCCGATTCCTGGCGTTCGGCCACCAGCTCCAGCTGCTGGGCCTTCCGCAGGTCCATCTACTGTGCGGCCACCCGTGGCTGGTCCATCCACTGTCCCTGTTGGTCCACCACGCCCACCAGTGACCGGCCCCGCAGCTGCTGCTCCTGCCACAGCTCGTCCTCCTGTGCGTCCTCCTGGGTCTGTGCGTCCTCCTGCTCCTGTGCGTCCTCCTGCTCCTGCGACGACGACTCCCACCGCTACCGGAACACCTGTCCGCCCACCTGCTCCTGCGGCTGTGGCGACCACGACCCCAGCTCGGCCACCAGTTCAGCCCACCCAAACCACTGTTCGTCCCCCAGCACCAGCTCCGGTGGCTAGTGCCGGTCCTGCTGCCCCTGCTGCCCCTGCTGCCCCACCTGCCACAACCACTCCCACCACAGTCCCAGCTGCTGCTACGACGGCATCATCCCCCACAGCAGTGCCGGCTCCTTCGGCTCCGGCACCCACACCTGTGGCGGCACCTCCTGCAGAGGCCGTGGAATCGGACCTCTCTGAACTGTCTGACTCTGACGACGACGTCGACATGACGGGTCGGCCCCAAGTTGGAGGTGGACCGATCCCAGACGAGCCAGGAAACAATGTGGAGGACGGCGTCGAGGATAACGTCGAGGTCAAGGACAAGGAAGACGTTGAGGACAAGGGCAAGGCTGAGGACAAGCCTGGGACTGCTACACCCATAACTGCGCCTGCTCCGCCCACGAGTACCGTCACAGAGCAGGAGCCTGTTCCTCTGGTGCCAACTTCTGTCCCAGCTCCTGCTGCTCCTACTGAGAGCAGCGCACCATCAGCGGCGACTCCGGCAGTTGTAACCACTGCAGCTCCTATTCCAGCTCCAGCGGCGACCGCTCCCAATCCAGCTCCTGTGTCTTGCACTCCTGCAGCAGCCCCGGTGCCCATCTCCGGTGCCCCTGTCTCTGCCACCACCACTCCAGTTACACCAGGCGCTCAACGAACACCTGCACAAGTACAGCCTACCGCTGTTGCTAGGAGTGCCGCGCCGGCGCCCAGCCAGGCTCCTCCCGTTTCTGCTACGCCCACTCCGGTCACACCAGGTGTCCAAGCACCTGCACCAACTCAACCCACTGCTGTTTCTGGTGGTGCCATCCGTCCACCAGTCCCGACGCCTGTAGCCACCGGAGCTGTTCGTCCTCCAGGAGCCCCTGCCTCTGTTGGAGCCCAGCCTATGGCTTCCCCGGCTCCGCCGCCAGGGCTTCCTGCTGGTCACTCCCATCCAACAGCCACAGCGTCTGCCGCTACACCCGCCCGCCCGTTCAGTGCACCCATTATGGTCCCTGTAACACCCCCACGTCCTACCTACCCTCTGCCTCCTGCCTTCCTTCTTGTGGCATTCAAAGAAGCGCCGACAGAGAAGTTCCTGCTTCCTCTCGGCGCCAACTCGTACGTTTCACGCATTGGTGGCGACTACGTTACAAGCCCGAGGCCACCTCCTACCCCGCCACTAGCCGTTGTTGCACCCCCTCCCCCACCACCACCCGTGGAGGTCAAGGAGGAGCCGGTCGTCACGGGAAAGAGGACTACTCGTGGCGCCATTGCAAAGGCTGCTCCCCCACCCGAGCCAGAACCCAAGCCTGTGCCCAAGGAGCCTACCCCGCCGCCGCCTCCTCCACCAAAGAAGGACCCGTTCGAGGGCCTTCCTGTTGTGCCAGGTATGAACCCTGCGGCGGGTACCGTTCTTCTTTCCACCTTCCTACCGACAACAGCCTATGAAAAGCCCCAATGGGAAGCCCTCACCAAGCGCTTGCCCTTTGACAACCCCGACTTTGCTGCCAAACTCACAGCCCCACCGGTCAAGTCCGAGCCAGAGACTTCTCCATCCAAGGGCGGCAAGGGAGGTGCCCCTCTCTCGCCCAAACGTTCACTGCGCCAACAGCTCCGCCACGAGCACGAGCACGACCCTGCGCAGCTCCCTCCGCGGGAGGGCCTGCTCAACCTGGCTGCCGAGCCGTTCCTCCCCGCTGAGGGATCTCTGGAGCCCATCACGATCCGTATTGTGGGACTCAACGACGGTCTTTGGCGTCGCGTCAAGTTTGTGATTGACGAGGTGGAAAGGGTGGAGCTTGAATCGCTTGCCAAAGCAGAGCCAGAGCTGAGCCCGCCGCCCGCTATACCTGCCCCTACAGCTGTGGCTGCTCCTTCCCCGTCGGTTCCAGTTGCGGCCGTGAATGTCGCCGCTACATCATCTTTGACCGCACCTGTTGGCCCGGCCACGGGCACTCCTGCTGCGGAGATTGGAGGTGCCCCTGCTGTCACCGTAAACCCCCCTGGTGGTGCTGCCCCCCCATCTGCAGCCGCCCCCCAGGCGTTGCCTGCACCCGCACCCCCAACCTCTGGCACGCCAGCTCCTGCGATCCCGGCCACTCCTGCCACAGCGAACCCCACGGTCGCCACACCAGCACCTGCTATTCAAGCATCTGCTACCCAAGCGCCTGCTGCCGCAGCGCCTGCAACCCCAGCACCTGCAGCGATAGCAGCCGCTACCCCAGCACCCGCTACCCCAGCACCCGCTACCGCAGCACCCGCTACCGAAGCACCCGCTACCCCAGCACCCGCTATCCCAGCACTCGCTACCCCAGCACCCGCTATTCCAGCATCCGCTACCCCAGCACCGGCTACCCCAGTGCCCGCTACCCCAGCACCCGCTACCCCAGCACCCATCGTTCCTCCAGTTCTTGCGCCCAAGGTTCGCGAGACATGGGTCGATCGCAAAAAGGCTCGCTTTCAAGCACTTCTCTCGCGCGTCGGCGAGCGCCTCTTCCCCCGCCTCCGTGTCGAGGGCCCAGCCAACCCGATCCTCGTAGAGGCTACTTCCGACAAGTGGGCTCCTCGCCCATACCACATGACCACGCGGCCGCTGTACGCCCGCATGTCACCAGAAGCTGAAGGTGGCGAGGAGGGCGAGGGCACCTATTCGCGTCAACTCACACCACCGCCCGACTTCGACAAGCACTTGCGCAAGGGCAAAAAGGCCGAGGAGCCCACCGTCACGTTCGAGATGCCCGTGTCGCTCGACGCCCTCGATGAGCGTGTCGAGGCTGGTGCGGCGCGCAGTTTTGGTCGTGGACGCGGACGCGGTGGGCGTGGCGGACGCGGTGGCAGCATTATCCGCAAGAACAGGCGCGGCACGGCCGGCGCTATCTGCGAAGGATGCGCCAAGCCCGGTCTCAAGGTCTGGCGCCGTGGTCCGAACGGACGGAGTACGCGTGAGTAGCTAGGATAATTGGACCTTGGTCAGCAAGAGCTAACATGGCAGTGTGTAACGCGTGCGGCGACAAGTTCCTTGCCGGTACACTGGGTGAGCTCCTCGCCCCTGGGGCAGCCAGCAAGGGTACGCCTGCAGACGACGAGGATGAGGATGAGGGCGATGGGGATGTGGACGTCAAGATGGAGCCCGAGGAGACGTCGGGCAAGGACAAGGAGAAGCAGGGAGACGAGGACAAGGACGGAGCCAACACGGGCGAAGGTGCCAATGACAAGGAGGGCAGCAAGGAGGTTGACGAGGTTGCCATGGCCAACGAGGAAGTTGCTACGGACGCCTCACCTGTCGCTGTGGCCTCGCCCAAGACCGCCGAGACTCCAGCTGCCACCGACAAGACCCCAGTTGCTGTTGCCACCTCTCCACCAAGTGCGACTACCAATCTCGCCGCCGAAGACGCCAAAGCGGACACGGACGACAAGATGGACGTCGACCCTTAGTTAGTTTTCACACGCCAACACCCCTGCCACCTGTGACTGCTACTACTGTATTACGATGAACCATGTGCATCGCATGCTGAGGTCGGATAATTATGGGCAGATTCTCAATGCAAGGACTGTTGATTGTGTTTTCTCGTCTTGTCTCCTTGGGATGGGTGAATAAAAATGAACTCGCGGTCTCCTGTCTCTCTAGGCGATGTTGTCGCCGTTCGAGGCCATGTACTTGACAAACTCGGCAACGGTAGCGGGCTCCTCGGCCTCGGCCTGCTGGATGAGCGGACCAAGGACACCGGGACGGCCGGCCGAGCGACGGGCAAGCTCCTTGGACGCGTAGAGCTTCTCGTCGGCGCCGATAGAGGCGACGGGGTCGTGGGTGTTCTTCTCCGAAGCGCCGAGCTTGGAGAACGAAGACTGGAAACCGGCCTCCTCGGGGTCGAGCGAGTTGAGGTCGTCACCGGCAGCGCCGTTGGCGTACGTCAGGTCCTGGGGCAGGGTGAAGAGGTCGAGAAGGGCGAGGAAGATGGGGGTCCAGAACGACGTGTTGGTGCCGGTGAGGATGAGGTCCGACTTGGCCAGGAGCTTGGTGAGGCCGACCTCGATGACGCGGCGGGAGCGGACGGGCGCCTTCTGGGTGTTGGGGAGCACAACACCCTTCATGAGGTTGCCGAAAAGACCAGGCTGGATGCTGTCCACGCTGCTGATGGCGACATCGGGACCGACGTTGTCGACAGCGGCGATGAAGGTGAAGAAGTAGACAAAGCCCTGGGTGAACTGGTCTGACGGCTTGCTCTGCAGGCGGGTGAGCAGGAGCATGAAGATGGTGTTGGTGAAGGGCTTCATGACCTCGACGGGGATAAACTCCATCATGGCCTGAAGGAGCTCAAAGGCGAACACGTCGTTGATCTTGGAGCCGATGAGACGCTGGAAGATACCGAGCAGACCCGCGACCTGGCCGTTCGAAACGATGAGGGGGGCACCGCGCATAAGGAGGGCCTTCCACAGACGAACGAGGGCGGGAACGTTGCCGCGCTGCTCCCAGAGCTGGGCCGAGAGGAGAGGACCAAGGAGAGCCTGGTACTCGTTGGGCAGGTCGTTGGGAGCGTGAAGCTCGAGGAGCTGGGCCAGAATCTGGAAGATGTAGGGGATAAACTCGACAACGTCCTGCGAGAGGATGATCTCGGCAGGGCCAAAGAGCGACTTCTCAAAGTGGGGAAGGGCGGCAGGCGAGGCCTCGCAGACAAAGCGAATAAGGGCAGAAACACTCTCAAAGCAGTACTGGTTGAAGCGCGGGTTCGAAGGGTTCTTGCTAATCTCGCCCATGATGTTGACGAGGCGGTTGAGGATCGCCTGGTGGGCAGGGACGAGCTCCTGACGAGCGGTGATGATGGTACGCATAGCGCACTTCATCAGGTAGTCGTTCTCGGCAATCTTCTCGGGGGTACCACCCTTCTCAATGTTGGTGAACAGGGCCATGAGAATGCTCTCCGCATACGGCTGGATGTCAGTGTTGGAGAAGAGGGGCTGGCGGCTCTCGTTCTTGACGAAAAGAATACGCTCAATGGTGATGGCGGCATAAGAGTAGATGACGTAGTTGGAGGAGGTGAGGTGCTGGACAAGCATGGGGAGGACAGCCACAAGCTGCTCCTTGGTGAGCTGGTTGCGGAAAGTGTACAGGTACTTGATGGCGTCGACGGTGAGGATGGGGTGGACCGAGCCGGCCGTGGCCTGGAGGTCGGACATGACGTTGCGACCAAAGAACTCGACAATGTCAACAAGAGTGTTGACCGAGGTGACACCACGCTGGAGGGTGGAGCCCTTTGACGCGATCGAAGTGAGGAGGTAGATGGCAGTGTCCTTTGCCTTCCAGTTCTCGGTAGGGTTCTGGGCGTACTGACCCAGGAACGCCGTGATGTAGCCCTGGACAATGCTGGTAACCTCGGTCTCAAAGTTCTCCATGAGCGCCTGGGTGAAGTCGGTCGCGGCCTGGCGACGGGTGTCGCTCTCGTTTGATGGCTCAAGGTCACGACGGATGTACTCGTTGGGGTCATCCTCGAACATTTCCTCCTCGTGCTCGCGGATCGTCATGTTGGGCAGGATAATGTTCTCACAGAACTGAGTGAGGGTCGACTGGGCGGCAAACATCTCACGGTGGCTGCCCATCTTTACAACAACAGACAGGAAACGAAGACCGCGCGAGACGAGCTGGGGTTTATGTCAGCTGCTGAGGCCGGGAATCGCCATGGCCGACTTACGACATCTTCACGAGTGCTGGGACCAACAGTGGTGAGCATCTGCCAAGCGCCGTTGACAAAGCTGCCAAGCTGAGGGAAGGCGTCCAGATACTTTTGAGCGAAGAGCTCTGCAATCTCACAAATGGACGAGCGGATCTTCTGGAGTGGGCCGGGGGCCTCGTCGTCGTCGTCACCCTTGAGCTCTGGACGCTCCCAGCTGAGGTACTTGAGGAGCCAGCCGGGCTGGTCGTCCTGACCGAAGAACGTGGCCATGTTGTCCTCGATGAAGGGAGGCAGGTCATGACAAGTAAGGTCGTTGAAGATCTGGATAAGGAGAAGGAGAGCCTGGGCGAGGAGAGGGAGGGAGGCGTTGGGGGGCAGGGGCTGGCCGGCAGGAGTGGAGAGGAGCTTGTCGACATGCTGGAACAGCTCAAAGTGGGGTTTGCAGAAACGGGCAAGAACATAGTTGATCTCCTCAAACAACTGGTTGGTACGGAACTGGGAACGCCAGCTGCCAAGGTGTCAGTTTGTTTCGGTAGTGTGCAAAGGCTAAACTCACCGCTTGAAGATCGAATGCGCAGTGGCGAGGACACCGTTGTTGATCACAAAGTTGTCCGCGGTGAGCGAGCTGACGAGCTCCTGCAGGGGATGTCAGCTGAAGCACGTTAACAACCACGCTGTACTTACGTCAACAAGACCCTCCCACTTGGTGGGGAAGTCAATGGACGCAATGGTGGAAAGACCCTCGCCGACCTGACTCTGGAGGCGGGCAGTCTGGGGAGTGCCGAGGGCAATCATCAGAGGGACTAGCTGGGCCTTGATGGCCTGCTTGTCCACCTCTGCGATCTGAACCTCCTCCTCCTCGCCGCCCCACAGCCTCTTGACGGTGTTCTTAAAGTAGACACCGCCAGCCTGGCGGACGACCATGGGAGCAGCATCGGAGCGCACCAGCTCGAGGACGATCTGGAGGAAACCCTGCTGAGCCTCGCCCTGTCGCAGCGACTTTTCAGCCGAGTGACGGACGGCCGCGTCCGGGGAGACGGTGTCGGACAGGAACTTTGAGAGAGTGGCGAGTGTCTCTGGAGTCGCCTGCATTTTTATGAGATGGTGTTGGAGGTTTCAGGCAAGGTGGGGGTTGGGGCTTGTTGATTGCCTTTGACTTCTTGAACGCATACAGGCGTCAGCGCGAGGCGCGCGTGACTGACGTTATATGTTTCTCCCAGATAGCCACGTGGTCTTCAACGTCACATATGCGGGACCAATTGGCCAAATTTTGCCCTGAGGGGAGAGCCCACGCTGGCAGCTGGCAGAGAGCCCCAGCCACACACGGCCAGCCAGTGCCCCCCCCCCCCCCCCCCACCGCACCGCGCGCCCACTGGCTGCACCCCGGCAAACGTTTTGCAACACACCCACACTTTCCACTTGCTCTTCTCCTTAACCTCCCTCTAAAAATCCTCTAACGGACCTCCCACCTAGCCAACATGCTTATCTACACCGACATTGTTACCGGCGACGAGATGATCTCGGACGCTTACGAGCTGTAAGTGGTACAAGGGCGATGGGTTGCTGCAAGAAAAGTGCAGGCGCCCAATCTCGATACGAATACGGCACTGACAGACCTTCCAGCAAGGAGATTGGCGACATCGCCTTCGAGGTCGACTGCCAGCTCATCCTTGTCAAGGAGGGCGAGGTTGACATTGGTGAGTGTCGCAGGATAGATGATTGTGCAGACATGCGGTGGCGACAAACAGCTATGACGGCCTCGATCATACACCCATGACGATCACTATCTCATTATTGGCCCAACCCCCACGAGTTCCAGTGCTAACTTTCTTCAGGTGGCAACCCCTCGGCTGAGGAGGAGGCTGAGGCCCTTGAGGCCGGTGCCGAGCAGGTCAACAACGTTGTCAACTCGTTCCGTCTCCAGTCGACCGTCTTCGACAAGAAGGTTTGTGTTAAATGGCTTGAGGGAATCCCAAGGGCAGGGCGGTGGCATTTTTGTGTCGTCGCCGGGTCAGGTGGTGGCTGGGCCGAGTTGGGCCAATGCTGGACAGGTGCTGCACACAACCTCTGCGGCAAACCGATTTGCAGAGCTGTGGTCTGTCCAGTGCCACATTCGTGCCGGAACGTGTATCGCGGTCCACAGTCCAGTCCACCACCACATACCAGCTTGCCCAATTCCTCTCATTACATCACCATTGCGTTCTCTGTCCACGCGCTGACCCTCTAGTCGTACCTTACCTACCTTAAGGGCTACATGAAGACCGTCAAGACCCACCTCCAGGAGACCAACCCCGACCGTGTTGCCGCTTTCGAGAAGGAGGCCGCCGCCTTCGCCAAGCAGGTCATTGGCAACTTCAAGGACTACGAGTTCTACGTCGGCGAGTCGATGAACCCCGACGGCATGGTCGCTCTCCTCAACTACCGTGAGGACGGCACCACCCCCTAGTGAGTACCGGCACATTTTTGACACCACCCATTTTTCTCCGGGGACTTCATCTGTCCTCGTTCTCTTCTCATCCGTCCTTCTTCCCATTCGTCCTTCGCTCGAGTTGCTTGCTGACTGAATCCCAGCTTCACCTTTTGGTCGGACGGCCTCAAGAAGATGAAGATCTAAGCAACGCGTCTTCTGGAGTCTCTGGAGATGTGTACAGGCGGAACGTGTCGTATGAGATGTCACTTTTGCCAAAAATACCCGTTTAATGTTGTTTTTTTCCACTGTAGTGGCACTTCCGCCAATACGGGTTTCCCCTGAGCTTATTCACCTTGTCAGCTGTTCTGCGCGCATTTTGGATCCATGTAGTGCTGTTGTTGTGCTGGTGGATCGCCGGGAAAGGTCGGAAACGACGGTCGGGGGGGATGTTGCGAAAATCAATTGAAATTAGACCACTCGGGGGACTGGCGTGTTAATTGCCGAAATTTAGTCATTTCGGACTGTCAACAAACCATCCGCCCATCACTCTACTCTCCATTTGTGTACACTACCTGTCCCCAAGGCGCGTCAACCATAAGCGCCCATATGACAGCCGACCCAAATGACACTGCACACTCTGCCTTCCGGCTAGCCGAGAAGCACTTCAAGAACCGCGCAACGCCCGATTTCCCCGCGCTCAAGGACCTGCCTTTGTCGCTGTGCGCACCAGTGCTCGACTTGTCGCGTCCCGCTCACCAACCCCAACCACTAAATGACGAGGTCTGGGACGCCGGATGGTGGGGCGCCAGCTACGCGCCCGCCGTCCCACCGCCGAGGTTTCGGCGCAAGGGCAAAGAGCGTGCACGCGGCGAGCGGCCCGAGCAGGACCTCGCTGGTGTAGCCATGCTGCAGCTCAAGGACGGGCGCGCCGGCTATGTCGTCGCAGAGGGTAAGCCACGGCCCAAACTAACGACGCTGATTGCTGACGTCCAGGATGTATCCTCATCCCAGGCTATCTGGCCCCTCCCGCCCAGGAAGCACTCCTGCTCACCGCACTGGCCGAGTACACTCTCCCTCCCAACCCGCTCTCGCTCGACACACACTACCGCGTCCCTCCGGACCTCTTTGCGGCATACCTCTCCGAGCCCGACACCCTCATTGCACCGCGCCACTACGAATTTGACGAGGCACAGCGTATCCAGCTCGAGGCGGCCAGCAAGGCCACCAAGGGCCCTAGACCACTCATCGAGACGGCGCCCGCAGCGACACTGGGCTACGACGAGGTCAAGCGCCGCAACGCGACGTGGACGGGCGACGCGGCAAGTCTCAAGCTGGGATCCAAGAGCGTCGCCGCGCTCATCAAGGAGCTGCGCTGGGCAAACTTGGGCTGGGTGTACCAGTGGTCTACGAAGAGTTATGATTTCTCGACCGAGACCCCCATTCCCTTCCCCGTGCCAATGAAGGACATGTGCCGCGCCGTGGTCGCGAGCGTTCCTTGGGCAGAGGTGTTCACGGCCGACGAGGAAGAGCCAGACTGGCAGGCCTGGGAGAAGGATTACGGTAAGCTGGATGGTCTTTGCGGATGCCAGCTGACATTGCCCAGAGCCGGATACCGGTATTGTCAACTACTATCAGCTAAAGGACACGCTCATGGCGCACGTCGACCGGTCCGAGTGGGTTTCTAGCTTCATGGCGCTTGCGGTTACCCAAAGCTAATTCTCCCCCTCCAGACTCGACCCGTCCCGCCCGCTGATCTCCGTCTCTCTTGGCCACGCCTGCATATTCCTCCTCGGCACGTCGTCCCGCGCAGACCCTCCGCGCCCAGTCCTGCTCCGCTCGGGCGACGTTCTCGTCATGTCCGGTCGCGGCCGGCAGGCGTACCATGGCGTCCCGCGTATTCTGGAAGGCACCCTTCCGGCCCACTTTCAAGAGCGCGAGGGGGATTCAGAGGCGATGAAGGGCGCCAAGAGATGGGTGCAAGCTGGCGCAAGGGTGAATGTCAATGCCCGGCAAGTGTTCCCGCCCGGGTTCAAGATGCCTGCGGCAGAGGTCAACTAGCCGTCAACGTTCCTGCAGCAGAGGTGCTCAACTAAGTGGTCCAAGATGCCCGCGGCAGAGGTTCTCAATTAGGGCTTCAAGGCTCCTGCCGCAGAGGCGCTCATCTAGCGCTTCAAGGCTCCTCCTGCAGCAGAGGTTGCCAACTAGAGCTTCAACGTTCCTGCAGCACAAGTGCTCAGACACGGCCGGGGTGAGCATGCGCGGGGTCACTTGGCCGCGGCCAGTGACGTGGTTGGTCATGTTGGCACCAATGACCACTGCGAGGACATTGTTAAAGGCCATGACCTCGCAAGCTGCCTAGGCAGTGTTGGCAATGAGAGTGGGCAGCAAGCTCGGAGCCGCGAGCGGGGTCGCTGGTGGCTCAAGATGCCTGCCGCAGACGTGGTCAACTAGTCTCATTGGGCTGGGCGTGCTTTCCCTTTCTGTTTACCGACAACTGCATTGTCTTGTTTTCCCTCCCGCATTATGCATAGTGCCTGTACAACAACGTCTCTTATGCAGTCTCAACTTCGCATGCCAAGTTGGATGGGGGAGTAACGCGGGGCTACTGCCCCCACTGTCCCCAGACTTTTTGTGCGTTCAGACGGCCGAACCCTCCTCCTACGCCGTCTCACACCCGGCGTGCCACGAGACCCAGCGTCCCTCCACCCCCTCACTCGCTTCAGGCGGCACGAGCGAGTCGCGGTGTCCATTCACCGGTGCCACTGCTGCTGCGTCCTTGTTGTCGCCGTCCTTGTCCGCGTCGACGACCTTGGCCACCTTGGGCTTAGCCACGGGGATGAACCCCGTCGCGTTGAAGGGCAAGCCGTCGACATCGGACAGGTGGCGCGAGCAGTAAAAGCACGCCGAGTCGAGGAGGCCAAGCACGTGTGGAAGGCGATACAGGAGGGCAGGGACGGAGAGGTCCAGAGACGTCAAGTGTTCCGACAGCACGGTCGCGGGGCCGGTTGGCGGAACGGCGTGGATCGGTGGCGGCTAGACCGTTAGCACATTGACATAAAATCAATCGTAATTGTACTCACCCGTGGCTCCTTGGAAGGAAAAAACCGCACACACAGCACCTTTGCCTCGTGTGCGTCTGCGTCCTCGTCGGCATCCAGCGTGCGCAGGAACGCCCAGATGTATCCCCTGCTCCCCATCTTGACGAGGAGGGCCGTCCGGGCATATTGCAAGCTGGCAATGAGGTCTGGCTGGGTTGCATTGTGGGCTGCAATGGCCTCGTCGAGGGTCTGCGCGTGCGACAGCGGAGACGATGCCGGGATGGGTGGGACCAGTACAGGGTGGACTGCCGAGTGCGTTGTGGACCTGCGACGGCGGCTGCCGCTCGATGGCGCCGGAATGGGCGGGAGTGGGGGAAGAGGGTACTCGAATGTGGTAGGGTATGGGTACTCTGCAGTTTGTGTCAGTCTCCAATGTGTCTGTCTGTCTTGTCTCCGTCGTTGTACGCACCGACCGATCCGCTATTGGCGCCCTCGCCCAGTTGTTGCAAAGTCCTCAGTGCATCGTTGGCGTTGAGCACTGCCGACGGGCCCCTTGGATGCAAAGGGTTTGGGAGTGGTGGGAGTGAGGTAATGGGACGGCCCGGTTGTGCCAATGGGTCTGGCGGAGCTGTTGTCATTGTGGGTTGGGGTTGGGGAGAAGAACAACAAGATGTGGCCCATGGTTGACCGAGTGTGTGGAGGTCTCTGCGGGGGCGGGAGTATTATTATCAAACGGGGATGACTGAGAGTGTCCACGGGCGCCGGCCGAGAGGAGCCCAGGCCACACAGGGAGATAACCGGGCGGGGACTCCACAGTCTCCCATTCAAATAAAGGAGCAAAAACCCACCCCAGGGCAACCATCGAGCGTACAGAGCCAAACACGGCAATATCACACCACCACACACCCGCCCGATCGATTGCAACCCCCGTCTCATGGCATCCTGATTGTCTCCCCCCCACCGGCCAGTCCACCCAGGTACACCCAGGTCCCACTTTGCTTTTCGTTGTTTGACAACCACCGTTACCATCCTCGCTTCCTTCCATCGCATTCTTTTCAACGGTTCTTCATCCCCCCCGGGAGCCCTCGATCGCTCCACTCCACCTTCCCTTCTTCGTCCCTTCGTCTCCGCCATGGCGAAGGAAGAAGCAAAGGCAGAGACGCCCTCGTCGAGTGCCGACTCTGGCATCCAAGTGGCCGACAAGAAGGGCCATGGTTTCATTCCAGTGTGGCTCAAGGAGGCGCTCCATAACAAGCGACAATGGAAGAACTGGTTCCGAAGCATGGTGACCACCTTGGCAATGATGGTGCTCATGCTCGATTCTACCAGTAAGTGCAGGCAGACCCAAAGGATGATAACATGGCACGCTGACATTGCCCTTGTGCAGCACTCAAGGCTCTCGGTGCCGCAGCCTTCTTCGGCCTCATTGCTTCGCAGATGCTGCCACCCTCGATGCCGCTCAGTATTTACTTCTTTGCCATCGTCACCATGGGCCTAGGCATGTTGATTGGCTGGGCGTGGGGTTGTGCCGCCTGGGCTAGCGCTTTGACTGTCAGGAGCGCGTCTCGACTCGCTCAGCAACAACAGACTGCTGCCGCTGGGTGAGTACTGGGACCTTCACTGCGGAGGGACAACGTCGTTGTTTCAGAGTGTGCGTGACGCCAGTACACCTGCTGACGTGAAAGATATGACCCGAACGTCTCAACAGCTCTCCAGTGTGAGTTGACACCCATGTCTCGGCACTCGTTTCGCGACTGACACAGTAAAAGATCAAGCAAGCATGTTTGAGGGCGCCTTCCTGGACCCTGCCTCGTCAGCGGTGTTTGGTGTCTTCCTCTTTCTCGGCGCGTACGCCTTTGGATGGCTGCGTGCAAAGAACCCCAAGATGTAAGTGTGCACATTACAAGAGCCATAAAAAGCTAATGCCACAGGACACTTGTTTCCATCTTTGCAACTATTATTCTGGACCGTATGTCATCCCGAACTGGACAGAACAATCTAACTCGGCAGTCATGTGCAGCTTTGGGCCCTTGATCCCCCTCAAGCAGTTCACCATTGCCGTGAGTTGAGTTCTTCCCATCTTCAGTAACGTCAACTCACACTCCAGGAACAATTGTTAAAGCCGGCGGCAGTGTTCATGGCCTGCGGAGTGGTGGCCACGATTGTCTTCTTCCCTCAATCTCTCAACCACCTGCTGCTCAGCTCACTGGTGCACAAGGCTCTTAACCCCTTGCAGCAGCTTCTTGCTCTGCAAGACGACATCCTTGCCACCAAGCCTTCCGACCACGAAAGGTGGAGCGCACTGGCCCAAAACTGCTACGACTTGCGAGCCGAGTTTGTCGAGGCACAGTCAGGTCTCGATGGTCAGGCCAAGATGCTCCAGCTTGAGGTCACTCGTGGACGTATATCTCCGGGACAGCTGGGCGAGCTCGTCGCTCGTACCCGTGAACTCGGTGCCCGTGCGTTCGGTCTTGCATCGTTTGTTCTAATGGTCGAGGAGCGGCACCAGGGCATGAAAATGTTCAATGAAAAGCCTCTCCCCCACCATACCAGCACCACAAGGGCTGTTGTCGAACACACCAACCAGCATGAGAAGGCGTCGCGCCGCGCTCTCGAGGACCTCATGCCAGAGCTCGACGAGTCGACCCGCGAGCTTCGCCAGGCGGCCAAGGCTGGTCTGGAGAGCGTGTCTCAGTATCTCGACATGATCAACAACCATCGCTGGAAGAGAACCCCGAAGGACGCCCCCACTATCGAGTCTCGCCAGGAGACGCTCAAGAACCTCGAGGATGCTCTTGAAGAGTACCGCAAGAGCAAGCACTTTAACATTCTGAACGGCTTCCAGGACCTCTTTGACCCCGTCACCGGCAAGCTCAAGCCCACGACTGAAAAGTACCTCGCTAGCCAGGTCCGCGGTCTCTTTCGCTGCTTCACCTTCACTTCGGGTCTCATCAGCTTCTCCAAGTGTCTCGTCGAGTACATCCAGTTTGTCCTCGAGCTCGAACATGGCAACCCCAAGAACAAACTTCAGTTCCCCGGCAAGTTTGTCGCCGCCGCCGTCGAAAATGTCACCGACTCGACCCAGGACTCTGCCCAGTTTGACTATTCGGTCCAGGACGACCTCGCCGATAACGGTTCCCAGGAGGACGATTCCCGAACCATCAAGGATGAGGACCTGCCAAAGGGTGCGCGCAAGAAGAAGACTTACAGGCGCGACCCCGACGCTTGTGCTCCGACCAACCGCTTTCAAAAAGTGGGCCGCGCGATTATGCATATTGGCAGGGGACTGTCTGGCCCCAACGGCATCTATGCGTTCAAGTACGGTTTCATCTCGATTGCCCTTTGGATTCCAGCCGTTACCCACCACAGCGCAAAGTTCTGTTATGAGAACCGGTAAGTCTCGAGTTGAACAAGACGTGTACACGCGCGGCTGACAGTGGGGGCAGTGGTCTCTGGGCTCTTATCATGGTACGTTAACCTCACCTGTCTCTGATCTTGCTTCGTTTTGCTCACACCCACGCAGGCTCAAACGGGCATGGGCATCTATGCCGGTGAAAGCATCTACAACTTTGTGACCCGTATGGTATGTGCACCGCAACCCGTCCGTGCAAAACATTATCTCATGCCGCCCAGTCCGCAACTATAATCGGTGCCGTGCTCGGCATGGTCGTCTGGTACATTGGAGCCCAGAAGGGCACGGGTAACCCGTACGGTCTCGCCGCCGCAACGGTGAGTTGATTACCAGGCAGCAGTCCGCTGACAGACGACAGATGGTCTTTATTGGCCCATTCTTGTTTATTCGTCTCGCCGCTCCCATGAAGAGCATGAGCTTCTGGCTCATGACTGCCGTGACCATTGTGGTGAGTTGACACTGTGTCTTTTGGCAGTAACAAAACTCAACTCTCCAGTTCGTGGTTGGATACAGTTGGGTCGACGAGAACATTGCCCAGACTGCCAACCAGGGCTCGGGCGCAACTCTCTCTGGTCGTCGTGCCCTTCTTGTCATCATTGGTGGGTTGGCATGCGGTTGAGGCAGATACACTAACGTCAGGTTTCACTGGTTCATTCGTTGTCTCGGTCTTTCCCAAGCCCACGTCGGCCAAAAAGCTCGTTCGCCAGGGCCTCTCCAAGAACATTGCTGCCCTTGGCGAGCTGTTTGGTCTCGAGGTCACAGCCTTTGAGCGCAGCCGCGACGAAGCCGAGGCCAACGTCAAGGAGCGCCGTGAGCGATACCGCACGCACTTCTTGGCCATCTTTGTGAGTGCACACAGAGGTCATTCTCTTCATCCGTAAAGCTGACCTCGTGTAGGGCCGTATCCAGTCTCTTAAAGCGCGCATTGGGTTTGCCAGGTAAGCTCAGCTGAGGTGCACCTCAGCTAACCATTCAGCCTGGAGCCCAACATCAGGGGAAGGTGGCCAAAGGAGGACTACCTCGCCCTCCTCAAGACCCAGGGCCAGATGCTCTCAGCATCCGCGGTCGTGTCGAGCGCCTACTCGCAACTCAACGCAGAGTGGATCCAACGCCTCACTGAACAAAGCGATGTGATGAACCCGTCCTTTATCGCCGATTGCTTCTCACTCTTCGCTCTGCTTCGCCACTCGCTTCGCGTCGGAGCGGCTCTCCCGCCCACCATCCCCATCTTTGAGCGTCTCATGTTCTACCGCACCACCGCGGATGTCAGGACTGCCTACCACGCCAGCAGGTCGCAGATCAACCTCAACAGCAGGTCCAACCTCAACCTGAATGGCGGCAATACAAACCTCGACACCGACGCGTTGTCGGGCCTCCACCTCTCAGTCCCGCAGCCGGACGGCTCTCGTGCGAGCACTCGCCCCAGCACCCCAGGCAGCGGCGCCTCGGGCTACGCCACACCTGGCTCCATTGCGTCCTCTATCAATGGTGGGGACAACGATGGTGCGTCGTTCACTGGCGACTCCCAGCTGCTCGACATGGACATCGCCGTCTTTGACACTTTCCGCCATGCCCTGACTTGGCAGAACTGTCACGTGAGTTTTAACAACATGGCTATACACTACGCATGCTAACTTGTTTCCCCAGGACGAGCAGTTCCCGATCTTTGCCACTGCCATCTTGGCGCTCACCCACATTGTCTCTGGCCTCAACCAGATGCACAGGACCATCCTTGATCTTGTGGGAGAAGTCGAGTTGGACGGCTTTGACTCCGCCGCCGAGCGTTGGGCTAAACAGGACGAGGATGTGTAGTGTGTGTTGAGGCGATGACCATACCATTAATAGCCCCAGTACATGGTGCTGTGAATCTGCATTCTTGCATACTTTGGACGCGGTGGAAGCAGTTGGGGAAATTGAGCACATGGATGCGTCACGACGCGGTGATATCCGAAAGCCGGCAACTTAGCGCCAACCGGTAATCACAATCCGATCCCAGCCTCCCTTGCCATTCTCATCACGTTGTTCATTGCCCACTCTCAATGCATACCACTCCCCCCTCAACAAGCAACAATGACATCGTGGCAAGACATATCGGCCCTCAAGTGCAGCGAGCGGGACAGCCTCATCCCGCCAGCATGGCGCCTGCCCTCGCACTACCTCTCGACCAAGATGACAAACGTCATGGACGTCGCACGTAGATGTGGGATCCTCACGCCGGCCGAACTGGCCATCACCGAGCTGTCCGCGCCCGCCCTCGTCAACCGCATGCTCTCGCGCAACCTCTCCAGCGTCGCTGTCGTCACGGCGTTCTGCAAGCGCGCCGCCGTCGCGCAGCAACTCACCAACTGCCTCACCGAGATCATGTTCACGCAGGCGATCGCGACGGCCGAGGCGATTGACGCCGAGTATGCCAAGACTGGACGGGCGAGGGGCGCGCTCCATGGCCTCCCCATCAGCCTCAAGGACAACATTGACGTTCCCGGGTTTGACTCCAGTACGGGGTTCATCGCCAACGTGGGCGACAAGGCGTTCAGCGACGCCGAGCTCGTGCGCGTTCTGCGCGCCGAGGGTGCCGTGTTCCACTGCAAGACGAACGTGCCCACGGGAATGGTGCGTCCCCGGCTTGTCACTTTTGTTGCAGATGCTGACGTGCTGGTGTGTAGATCCTGGGCGAGACGTACAACAATGTGTGGGGGCTCACCACCAACCCGCACAACACGCAGTATGCGTGTGGCGGCTCGAGTGGCGGCGAAGGCGTGCTCCTCGCGCTCCGCGGTTCCCCTCTGGGTGTCGGGAGCGACATTGCGGGCTCGATTCGGCTCCCCAGCGCCGCGTGTGGCATCTATGGCCTCAAACCCAGTACGCACCGCATCTCCATGATGGGCATGCGTGCGGGCGCCGGCCCGGGCCAAGAGTCCATCCGACCCGTGACGGGACCCATGAGCGCCGACCTAGCGAGTCTCGAGTTGATGGCTCGGGTGGCCGTGGGCAAGGGGGGCGAGCACGACCACCTCATGGTACCCATGCGATGGCGCGAGGTGACACTTCCGACCAAGCTGTGTTTCGGTGAGTTGCAATCGCCAGCAACGTCAGCTCACATCCCAGGCCTCGTTCTCGACGACGGCGTCGTCCGCCCCACACCAGCGGTCGCCCGTGTCCTCCTCGAAACCAAAGCCGCGCTCGAAGCGGCCGGCCACAATGTCGTGGTATGGACACCGCCCAACGTCAGCGACGGCATCAAACTCCTCTTCCGTCTTATGCAAGGTGACAGCGGCGCGGCCTTCCGCGCCACCATGGTCGGGGGCGCCAACCCGGAACCGTGGCCCCGGGGACTGGAGTATGTCGAGAAGACGTACCAGCGGACCAAGGACCGCCCGACTCCCGTCTCGGCACAGTGGAAACTCAACATTGAGCGGACCGCGTACCTCTCCAACTTGCTCAGCGCCTGGGACGAGACACGCAAAGTGTCGGGCACGGGCCGGCCGTTTGATGGCCTCATATCGCCCGTCACGGCGTTCCCGGCCTGTCCACACTATACGTTTGCGTACACGGGCTACTGCTGTCTCTGGAACCTGGCCGATTTCAGCGCTGTCAGCTTCCCCGCAGGCAACGTGAAGCGTGCCGACGTGAAATCGGAGATGCTTTCGGGAGGGTTCCGCAATGCCGACGAGAAGAGTATCTGGGATCATTGTGAGTGGCACCCCAGTCTGCAGGCAGGAGGGAGGCACATGCTGATGTAGCAGACGACGTGCAGCAGCTCGCGGGAATGCCCGTGGGCCTACAGGTCGTCACATCGCGGTATACAGAGGAAAAGGCTATCAAGCTCGCTACGGTTATCGACAAGGCAATTGGGGTAAACAGCCGGGCGAGCAGCAAGTTGTAGTGTAGGATCATCATGTTTGTGTGTACCAAATGTGATCGCCGTCGGAAAAAAAGAACCGCCACAAGCAAAACCTTTTTTCATCTCCACTTGCTGTTGCTGTTCAACCCTGCGTCGTCCACACACTGTACACGAGCTGCAGGAGGGCAAAAATGACGTTTGACGGGGTCGAACCGCCGACCTTGTGCGCAACGCTTGACTGCAGGACAGTCCTAGTGTTAAGCACACGCTCTAACCAACTGAGCTAAATCGCCTTGTGATTTTGTTCAACATGCGTCAGTAACCCCCTTGACTCTTGATTGTTCATTTCATTCCTGTGACGTAGTTGCATCTCGAGCAGACACCCACAGCAGTTGCTGTGTTGTCCACTACACCAAAACCATGACCACAGTCTGGCAGTACAAGACCTCTGGTCGTCTATCTCAGACATTATCCGAAGCGACGCGGCCCATCCCGGTCCCGGGCGATGGCGAGGTCCTCGTCGAGATCAAGGCGGCGGGCCTCAACCCCGCAGATGAACAACTGTAAACCTCCCCACAGCGCCAGAGCACGCGCGCCCGGCTGACAGTGTCCTAGAGCCCAGTCTACAGCTGCGTTGCTGTGGTTTATCGGTGCGACACCGCCAACGAGCGAGACTCCCTTGGTGCCCGCGTCCGACTTTGCCGGTGTCGTCCGCGCGGTCGGTGCCAACGTTACCGAGTTTGAGGTCGGGGATCAAGTCCACGGTCAGCGGTTTGCGGCTGATGGGAACGGGTTCCTCTGCACGCATGTGGTTCTGCCGGCCTCGGCGCCGTTTGTCAAGATGCCCCCCGGTCTGGGGTTTGTCGATGCGGCTGCGGCCCCCATGGCGTATACGACCGTCTACGATGCGCTGACGCACTGGGGCCGCCTGCCCTTCCCTTCTGGCGGGCTCGGGTATACCATCCTCGTCCTCGGTGGGAGCAGCGGCACGGGGTCGCTTGCCGTGCAGCTGTCCCGCCAGATGGGATGCACCGTCGTCGCGACGTGCTCGACGCCCAACGTCGAGCTCGTCAGGTCGCTCGGCGCCGAGGACGTCATCGACTACAAGACCCAAGACGTCGTGGCGAGGGCGCGCGCCCTGGGGCCGTACGCCGTCATCCTCGACTGTGTGGGCGGCACAGACCTCATCCCGCACCTGGACGAGCTGTTGCTCGAAGACGAGCGCACGCCAGACGTGGGCATCTACGTTACAATCGTGGGCGACAACCCCAGCCGCGACAGCTTTACGGGAGCCGTGACAAACTACTCCAACCCCGTGCAAGCTCTGCGGACGTGGCGCGGTTTAATGCAGGACGTCATCCCGCGCTGGGTTCCCGGTCGCCAGTGGGTCGTGGGCAAGCGCTATGCGTGCATCAACGTTAACGAGACAAAGGATAAGCTTCGCACGTACCAGATGTTCCTCGAGCAGGGGGGCAGGGTTCTCATCGACCAAGTGTTCCCCTTTGGGCAGGCGAGGGAGGCGTATGCTCGCGTCGAGAGTGGCAGAGCCCGTGGCAAGGTTGTCGTGGACGTGGGCACTGGTGGCCAAGCGCGCGCTCGTTTGAGTGCCGAGGCTTCCAGGGCTGGTCCTTCCTCCTCAGCCGCGGCTTGAGTTCGAGGTGTGAGTATAGTTTGTCTTTTGTAAGCACCGGCTTGGGTAAATACTAGCTGACATACCTCAGGTAAATCGCGCGCCAGGTGTGTGTACTCCACGCTGTACCGTACATGATGCATGATGTTGTGCAATACTGTCTGCTGCTGCTCCTTACTACCCTACCCTACCCATACTCCATATCTGTCTACAGCGGCAATCCGCAAACGTCGCAGTCGGACGCTCCCGAGTCGTTGATGAAGGTGCAGTGTGGACACGCCTTACCACCGCCGCCTCCACCGAGGTCCGTAGCCGCAGGCGTGCCCGTACCAGTGCCCGCCCCCGAGCCCGGGCCCGAGGCAGCGGCGCTGGATGAGCCGGCAGGCGGGGAGCTGCCCAGGCCCATACGGTCAAACTGGTCCGCTGGGGTGATGTTGTCGCGCACAACGGCTGACGACTCGGCAATGGTGAGCAGAGTCTGCCACCCGCCAGTGGCGAAGAGGCCCTCCAAGGCCATGGCGTGCTCTGGGTGGTGGTGGGCCGTGGCCACTTGGGCGATGAGCTTTTGCTCGTCGTCGGAGAAGGGCCCGTGCATGCACAAGAAGGAGACGAGGTGCCAGTCCGAGAGCCACTTGGCGACCTCCTGCTTGATACGGGCTGGCCATGTGGCCGTGTCGCTCACGTCCAGGTCGGAAGTCTGGAGGATACGAAGGAGCTCGCGCACGACAACCTCCATGGACTGGTCGTGGAGTCCTGGGCGGTTCTCGACAGGGAAGTTTTGCGACAGGAAGAGCGGGTCGGGGTCGTTGGGGAAACCGTGGGTGATGTTGACAAAGAGGTACTCGACGGGGAAGGTGGGCTTGGCGGGCATCTTGACCTGGAGGCCGTATTCATTCTTGAAGCTGTAGAAGACTTCGGGAATGTACTCGCCGTCCTTGGGCTTGCGCACACGCACAATACTGGGGTCGACGCTCGCCTCGATCGTGTTGGCCTTGACCATCGCCTCGGACTGCTCGGTCGCCTGCCAGGCAATGACGTCCACCTGGCCGTCCTGGGTGCCGGTCAAGCAGCAGGTGACCCAGCGAGACGAGAAGGTGCCAGTAGGAGACGCCTTGGTGGCCAGAGGGTGGTCAACCTGGTACCTGGCCGAAGCGATCATCTCGAGTGCCGAGGCGGTGTAGCTCTGAGCGTGACGCTTGTAGAGGGTCTTGGTGATGTCCTCGGGGTCGGGGGTAAGATCGGTGTAGATCATGCCAACAGGGCCGAGTCCACGCTCACACCAACTGGCAATCTCGTCGACGCGCTTCTCGTCGCTCCAAGGGACCTCAACGGTGAGGCCGTCCACCTCGCCTTCCTGCTTGGGCTCCCACACCGCCTCCACCACAGCCTTGACACCCATGGGCACCTTGTCGTACTGCTCGTAGTGGCCGATGAGGAAACCGAAACGCTGGCTTCCTGTCCTGCGCCAGGCAGTGAGGAGGGTGTCAATGAGGGCAGGCGTCGCAAACTCCACGTGGTCGACCATGCGGAACTCTTGAGACTGGAGCGTAAGAGCAGACGGCTGGCACTTTGAGCAAATGCCATCGGGGAAGGGTGCGTGCGACTCTGTTGGGCACGGGGTGAGGACCGAGAGGGACAGTGGGGAGAGGGGTGGGACGTGCGTCGAGGCCGCGGCAGATGGGGGCCGGCCAGCGAGGAGCTTGCGGAGGTACGCGTTGAAGGAAAGGTGCTTGATCTGGTTCTCGGCTTGGTACTTGGTGTCATATGGCTGTTGGGTTAGTCACAGCAGACATACGGCAGTAACCCACCTCCAAGGGCATGCAGTAGTCGCACATTCCCTTCTCGCCGTGACGACAGAACGCAGGGTCGCGCTTGCGCTCAATCTTGCCCGTCTGCGTCGCCCAATACACGTCCACGTCAGGCTCGACAACACCGTCAAGGTGGGAAGGGACAGCGGGCGCACTGGGAACCGGGGTTGACGAACTGGCCTTGGCCGGGGACGCCGCTTGCGACGAGGACGGGGCATCGATCTCCTTGTACGCAAGGAAGAGGAGGTCACCGTGGCTGAATGTCAGCAGGTGCGACCTTCCATGTATCCATGTATTACCTACCTAAATCCCATGTCGCCCACTTTCCTACCAACGAGGGCATCGAGACCGAGCCTCTCGCCTCCGGCGCCCGGCTGGTTGCTGAGCGTGAGCGTGGATGGGTCAGGTTTGGCGCCGCCCTGGATAGTGTCGATGATGAGCTGAGCGAGCTCTTCGCCGCTGGTGTTGACGTCGACGGTTATACGGGCCGTCCCCGATGGAGAACGTATGCGGAGCAGCTGAGTCACGTCAGTAAAGGAAGACGCGGGGGGGAAAGTCGGCAAGACGCCGCGTAAGCAGCTACCTACCATGGTTGAGGAGCTCCGCGAGGTTTATGAATCGGTCCTGGGTGGGTGGGGGGTATTTGAAAGCGCAGCCAAGGTGGTCCCCGTTGTTCTAGATATGAATGAGAGTGATGAGGAGATGCTGAGTGTGCGAAAGTGGAGTTTGTGGTTGATTGCATGTGTGTGGACATTGGATCACAGACGTCAGCGGTGTCGGGCGGAAGCAAACCCACGTGGCGTGACGAGATCTGGCGCTATCTAGATCGGGGCAGTCGCCACCCAACGAACACCTTGCAACTCAACAACATTGACGTTTCCACTGGCCAATCGTGCATCCAATGCCCAGGCTACAGCTGCTCCCGTGAGCTGCCATTTCTGTGTATGAACCGAGCTCATCCCCAGCCACAAATCGTACCACCCATATAATGAGAAGAACAAGCAGCGTGTGAGGGAGGACGAGGCCAAGGCCCGTGCCGAGGAGCTGGAACGCGAGCAAAAGGCCATTGATGCTGTGGGTACTCATCTAGGCGGATTTCTATTGACCCAACAGGAATCTGAAGCTCGCCTGAACGTCCTGCGTCGCCGAGCCGGCTCGCCACAGGCCAGCGCTCCGTCGAGCTCGTTCAGCGGCGAGAGCTCACTGCTCGAGCGCCATCGCCAGGAGAAGCACCGCGAAGAGAAGAAGGAGCGAAAGCAGAAAGCGAGGCTGGACTTTGACTGGCCGAGCGAGAAGAAGGTAAAAGTGAGGGACAGCGAACGTGGTCACGAACGGCGAGAACGCGACGACGAGGAGGGCAGTGGTCGCCAGGAGCGCACCATCGACTTTCAGACTGCCGGCCACCTCAACTTCTGGGCCGACCTCGAGAGTGTGGGTGGGACAAGCGCAACGGATGCAGCAACTGACCCATCAGGGAAAAGGTGCACCTGTTCCGGCACCACCGACTGCCGCAGACCTCGAGCGGCGCAAGGCCGAGCAAGAAGCAGACAAGTTCACCGTCTACCTCTCCCGGCCGGACCGCGAGACCAAGCCGTGGTATTCTGACCGCGACCTGAAGCGCGTAGAGGACAAGGAGACTGGCGAGCGGGCCGAGGCGCGACGCGCTCGTAACAAGTGGGTTTGTCACCACCTCTTGTTCTGACCCATCAGACGGAAAGATGCCCGATCAAAGGACCGCCACGACCCGCTCACGAGCATTAACCGAGCGCTGGCCACCAAGCAACCGCCGCCAACGGCGTCGACCCGGCCCAGCCGACCGTCGGGTGGCCAGAGCGAGCGTGAGCGCGCCCTCGCACTGCTAGCTAAGCGCGATGCAGCGGCGGGGCGCCCGTCACGAGCGGGGTGGGAGACGCCCGATGCCTCGTGGTCGGACGACTTTGAGCGACGACAAGGGAATGCGTCTCAGCGCTTCAGTGCCGGTGGCGTCAGTTGGGACGACCCAAGGGATAAGAGGCGGTCTGGGCGAAGCTGGGAGGTGTAGACTGGTGTCTCTGCGTGTGGTGTCGACCTGTCCACCAGGCGCATAGGAGACGAGAGTGGAGATGAGGTATGGATCAAACAACACTCTATGCCAGCCATCAACGAGACCGGACGTCCACCCGTCCGATACAGTCACGGCCGTGTGCCCGTCTCTGATGATCGGAGCGCCTCTCAACTCGCAATGAATGAAGAACAGAGTGGAATGCTGGAGCCAGATTACGAGGGACATTGGGTCACATGTGTATGTAAAGTGCTGTCTATTACTCGCACACAATGTTTGGGCACTGGCTAGAGGAACCCGGGGCACGGAGAGGTGTGTGGACGTGGAGCCGACAGACAGACAGGGCGCGGGGAAACTGTTGCAGTAAACAAGTCGAGTGCCTGGCCTGGCCGTGCGTGTGCATAGGATGCGTCGGCCTTGCTAAGGACACAACAGGGACACGATTAAACGAGGCCATGTTCTGGAAACGATAAGGGCTGGAAAAACAATCTCCGACTGCGGGCTGTGCCGGGGTGTTGCAATTGAAGGCACAGAACTGCCACCCACACCCTTTTCGTGATCTCCACAGATCTCGACGATCAGTGATAGTGTGTGAGCGACGTCGCCGCACTGACCCTCGTCGATGACGATCACAGCACAGGCGCTGCCGTGCACTAGTAGCTAGCAGTCTTGGCCCCACCCCCATGGCCCCATCCCTGCATCCGTGTCCTTTTCCCGAAAACTCGAGGACAACACATGCATGAACCTTTTCGGACTGGGAACTGAGAGTTTACCCTACATGACACTCTGTTTGTGCGTCTGCGTCATGCGTCCTGCCATCACGACTCTACTCGTGAGTTGGTGAGCAGGAACCCAAACCGCAAACAAATGAAAATCAAAAAATCAATTGATAAATGGAAAAAAAAATGTGTGTGTTGATTGTGCATTTTGTCGGATTTGCGCAAGACGGAACGGACCGCTCGTTGACGTTTGTGTTTGTGTTTGTGGACTGGATCTCGCTTGACCTCTTGACCTCTTCTTGCGCGACGCTTCAGACTTCTTGTGCCCTCGGGCCTTGCTTTTGGATGCACGAAACAGATGAAAAACGACGCCGGTGACAGGAGACACGATACACGGGATGGGGGGGACATACGAGCGTGGCGTCGAGACTGTGGATGGAGCGTTCGCCACACTCGGCGCAGCGCAGCAGCACACACCTAGCCGCTGAGCATAATGTCCGAGACGTTATCCCTCTTACTCTCGTATCCGCTCATGCCGGTGCTGCTGTCCATGCTGCCGCTCATGCTGGTCTTGTCGTCGGGTACGTCGGTCATGTGCATAGGGTCCTCGATCGTGGACATGGCGTCGATGCGGGTGACCGTCTCGCCTGTGTATGTGTTGTTTTGTGACATGTGCAGAGAGTTGCGTCAGTGGGTCAAAGGGTTGTGGGGGAGGGAGGAATTCCGGGACCATGTACATGGCGTGGATCGGAGTGTGGCACCCGTTGTGTTGGTGGGAACAGGCGTTAAAGTGGACGAGCGAGGATGACGTTATGGTTTCGGGTGTGGTGTTTGCCCAAATGGGTGAACCCACAGGATATGGGATTGTAGGGCAATACAAAGGCCGATTTAAAGTGGGTTGTATTGTGAATGTGCAAATAGAAACGAAGGTTGGGTGGTGAAGAGAAGCAAGGTTTAGCACAGGGTGACGGGGATGAAGGGTGGAGCACTCGGCTCCGCGGGCAGGATCCCACCTGGTGGACCTCCATTGACACCTGGCCAGCTGGGCCATTTGGCCACTACATCGCCACTGGCACCACGACCGAAGGACAACAGAGTTAAGGAGGGAGGGTGTCGCACCCCTGCCCACAGCCGTTGACATGCACAGCTCTCGGGGAGGTCACTCACGGAGAAGCGATGACGTTGTACCGTCGCCGCGGTGGGACGGCATCGCGTCCGGCGTGTCGTAGCCGTGGAGGTTTGAGTTGCAGTCCATTTGTGCAGCGATATGGGACCGGGGAGGGGGTGTGACTGCTTGAATGTGCTTTGTTGCGGGAGTGCTTGCTAGGGGTACGGTGGCAACGAGAGGGGGACGACGAGTTGATGAGATGCCGCAGGAGGGGGGGATTGTGTCAACGGCTTAAGTAACGCTATAGCGGGCTAGAAAGAACATCTCTGGGCGCGTGACTGTGTGAAATGCTGCTACTGACGCTATGGCTATGACATAGCAGAGATGCTGGCTCCGATAGGCTGTTCTGGAGGAGGAACAAAAGACGGGGAGTGGTCATTGTGGAAATTGCAGATGTGGGTCAAGGTCAAGCTGGTCAAGTGACGCTTGGCACGTGGCAGTGGACACATGATCAGATAAGTGGCAGTGGAGACTCCGACAGTGGACGTGTCTCAGTCCCGGCATTCATTACCTGCGAGGCTGCTAGCTGCTGGAGTGGAGGCACACGCACTCGTGTGAAGGCTATTCATCCTTACTTGCTCACCACGCCCGATACCTCCGTCACCGCCGATGGGGCGCCAATGTGCCGACGACACATGAATGCAGACCGGCATTTGATCAGCTGTCCGTTAATCAAGCTAGGCCAGAACATGGGCGGCGCGTGCACAAAGTGTGCTGTGTGCTGGATGCTGTGTGCTGTGTGAAGGATACCTGTTGCATCTCACGACGCCAAGAGGTGTTGCATTGTTCCCATGGGCGGCGCGTGTTCGGTCGCGTGATGACCTTGCACCAACGAGGATGTGGACGACGGGCTGATTGTATTGTGTTAACCGGAAGCACAAGGGGGGTTGGGGGGCGCGTATGTGTCACATTAGCGTCCTGCCATCTTGCGCCACGGCCTTGGTTCTGCTGATGTTTCGTCTTGTCAAAGGCGCGTCGAGCGCTGTGGCATGTTCTACCGCGTCGCGTGCCGGCCCCCTCCCAAAGGCCGCAAGACACGGACCAACGGAGACGGAGAGAGGTGGGATGGCGGGAGTGCGTTTTGGGTGGCATACAAAGCTCGCTACGGGAGCGGCGCGGGCTGTCCGTTGTGTTCCATACCGCACCCAGTTTGATCTTTCTGGGGCCGACCCAGGAATGCATATGCGTGTGGACGGCCCGTCTCTGCAGGAGCAGGCGCGAGCCTGCAGGAGCGCCTGTACGCAGGCCGCCACGATCGCTCGCACGGAATAATTGTTGGATTTTCTCGATTCTCAGTTGCGCGTTCGCACGGTTTTGCACCACCTGACTGCGGCTTGCACGGTAGGGTTGTGGACGACGATGGTCCTGGGAATGATGCAAGACGCGCCTGGGTCCGACCCAAACCTTACTTGTGAGCACATGCCCGGTCGCGTCTACCGGTGTCGGCGAGGACCGCTCTCGCCCTGGCAGCAAGTGCTGCAGCTCTACTATAGTCCTTTTGCTAGTCGTTCGGCTACACCGTCTAGTCTGTCTCGCTGTGCATGCGGAAAAGAGATGATCGGAACGTTTTGCAAAACTTGTATTGCGTAACACAGTAGATCAGGTACACGTCCAGGCGGAAACCCAGACGAGTGCAAAAAAAGTTGTGTCAGTTGCTGTGCTCAAGCACGCGCGGGTGTGAGTTGCACGCGTTCTGGCCCGACGCTACGTGCTATCACCTTGCCGACGACGTTCTGATGCTCTCTCTCTCTCTCTCTCTCTCCTCCGACGGGTCACTCGTGCAAAACACCATTGCAATGGAATTGAAAACTTGCACTGCTCGGGGCGGCCGGTGTTGACGCACCGTACACCGTGCGCATTGCCGCCGGACGTGCAACAAGCCCATCTTGGGTGTCCCGCCATCGCTCCCACGGGGTCCGCGTCTAGTGTCTGCGGAGCGCCAACTGGGTAGTATCGGGCAATACAGACTAAGGACACCTTGCGCGCGCAGTGTGCACAGTCGACAAACAAAAGTCCAGCCCATAGGATAAAATAGAACATGGGAATGAAGCGAGCGTCTGTTAAGGGCAAGTTAATGCGACGGTGTACATTAGGGTGGGACGGGTGCGAGGAAGAATGAAAAACAGCTTTAGCAATACGGGGCAGTAGCTCTGGTGGCTAACGATAAGGGATGTGTCAAACACCCCAGAACTAAGAGAGCTATGTAACCTGTGGCCCAGAGTGCGAAGGCTAGACGAGAACGGATACGACGAGGTATGCCGTGCAGCCACGCGAACCGAGTGCCAGCGCCAGCGCGCGCGCGCCGTGCACAAGAACGCGCCAGGGTCAGAGGAACACGCCGGGGTATTTGGTAGCGTCCCTCCCACGACCAGTTCCTGTTCATCTTCAACTAGCTTTTGGTGTGTGCGTGCGCAGGTACACGCTCGTGCATCGTGTCTGGTCTCGTCTACTGCAGCAAGGGGGCCGGACGACCCCTCAAACGGAAGATGGACAGGTCCCAAGAGAATCGATCGGGAACTCTTTCTCCCGACGGCGACGGGCGCGCGCGACGGGCTCTATTACGGGGCAAGCTGCGGCGGGGGCCGACACGACAACGAGAAGAGGAGAGATTGAGAGAGAAGGGGGCTGCTGTACAAGACAACGACGCGAGCGGAATGGGCAATAGGTTTGGGCGGGTGTGAATGGATGCGACAGACGGGTCAGGAGAAAATGGCTCTCAAAGGGCGTTTGAGCGTCAGATCCGGCACGGACAACAACCGTGCTGCGGGTTCCGACTGCAATCGAGCGAGGAGGAGGAGCAAGGAGTGGGATATAGGTTTTTTTTTAGTGTTGCTTGCAGACTTGTGTCTGGCAATGACAGAGAGAGAGCGAGAGCGACGCAGGTAGGACAATTCGACACCCGGCACAGACCGGCAGACCGGCACAGACGGGGGCGTGCGCGCTAAGCTGGGAGAGGGGCTGGGCTCTTCTCTCACCGCTTTTTTGGAGAGAGAAGACTGACAGGGCACGAGGGCCCACGATGCCAAAAAAGCGCCACCGACGCCCCGGGTTTGGGCGAGCTGCAGAGGCAGGCAGGTCCCACGGGGGGGTGGGAGGAGGGGCGCAGGGCGCTCATGCAGGCCCGGTCTTGTTGTTCTCCCATGCCATCCCCTGAGGGCATCGTACGGCGGGCCCGTCGGGCTCCATCCTTTAACCCTCGTCCTCTCCCCTGTGCGCACAGACCTCTGTCCTCGGCGCGCCGGTCAACCGTCTCTGTGGTGTGTGTGGATGTGATGTTTCCCTGATGCCATGTCACTGGTGCCTGAAACCTGAGACGAGATTTATTTCGGCCTGAACTGATCAACACGCGCGCGCGTGCGGGCAAGACGGATGTAATATGGCCACAAAGAGCAACAAAGCAATGGAACGCAGGAGAGATGTGGGATGTGCCAGGCGCTGTGTGTGCGCTCTGCTGGCTGCCCCGTGTGTGCCCGGATGGAATGCAACATGGCAACATGGCTTCTGTGCCGCCGCCGACAGACCGCCCTCTCCTCCCCCCCCGTCCTCGCTCGCTCTGCGCCCCCCGCCTTTGGCTCGTCGTCGCACTCTTCCCCCTCCTCCCAGGTGACTGTCCTCGTGCCCGGCCTCTCCGGCTGCACCCACAGAGAGCCAGGCCACGAGCATTTTCTTGCCACACAAATCAACGACCACCACACGCACACACACACACACACTGACGCTGTGCGCCCCGTATATAAGTGCGGTCGTGACCCCCATCCCCGTTTCCTTCTCCCCACCAGCACTCGTCCTCCCTCTTCATTCTCCTCTTCTCTCATTCATTCTCCTCTTTGATAGAACACACACACACACATAGCATCACATCCCACCATGTCCAAGTTCGACGCGGCTCCCGAGCACGCCGACCTCAACGCGTCGACGTCCACCTCCAACGAGAAGGCGCCCCAGGCAAAGGTCAACCACCTCGCCCCCGGCAGCCTTGTCGCAAAGAACCGTGAGCCAATCCACTCCACCTTCCCCCGTCACCTTCCCTCCGGCCTCCGTCACCCTTGTCACCTTGCCTCCTTCCCACCCCAGTCGCTGACTCCACAGACGGCATCGCCATGCTCGGCGAGTTTGTCGGCACCACACTCTTCCTTCTCTTCTCTCTCGGCGGTACCTCGTGAGTCGCCGTGGTTAATGGTTTTGGCTCGGGTCCCACGCCACCCTGTCTCGGAGGCTACATGCTAACCACACTCTCTATCCAGCGTCGCACTTCAGGCTTCCAACAGCGTCACCGGTGATGTCAAGGACGGCTCTTCCACTGCCAACACCTCCAACCTGTGAGTCGCCGCCAGGCAGCCGTCGCCGCCAGGCAGCCGTCGCCGCCGTCCGTCGTCGCCCTCCTGACACCCATTAGCCTCTTCATTGGTCTCATGTTCGGCCTTTCGCTCACCGCCAACATTTGGTGCTTCTTCCGCATCTCGGGTGGTCTCTTCAACCCCGCCGTCACCTTTGCCTTTGTCCTCATTGGCGGTATCACCCCCGTCCGTGGCGCTCTCCTCTTCATCACCCAGCTCGCTGGTGGCCTCGCTGGCGCAGCCCTCGCCGACGGTCTCACTCCCGGCCCCCTCTACGCTGCCACCACCCTCGGCGGCGGTGCTTCGGTCGCCCGCGGCTTCTGGATCGAGGTCTTCATGACCATCATGCTTGTCTTCACCATCCTCATCGTCGCCGCTGAGAAGCACCGCGGTACCTTTATGGCTCCCCTCGCCATCGGCATCTCGTTCACCATCTGCGAGATGTTCTCGGTCTACTACACTGGCGGCTCGCTCAACCCTGCCCGTTCGCTCGGCCCCGCCGTCATGAACAAGAGCTTCCCCTCGTACCACTGGATCTACTGGATTGGTCCTCTTCTTGGTGCCTTCTTCGCCGCCGCCCTCTACAAGGTCTTCAAGTACCTCAACTACCAGACCAACCTCGGCCCCGACTGCGACGGTGACGGCGTTACCTTTGACCACAACAACGACGTCCGCGCCCGCCTCGACCGCATCGAGACTCTCATCCTCCGCAACAACAACATCTCCCAGGTCTAAGCGCGCTGGAGGTCACTACATGCCGTCTCCCCAAACATTCACGTTCTAATGACGACGACCGCCGCCAAAGTACCCCCACACACACCCAAACCCAGCCCCCAAACACCCAAACACACACAATCTGATGGACTATTACTATGGCTACACCATCCATAGACCCCCCCCCCCCTTTTCCCGTTCTCGATAGCATACAGCGCTGGATCCGCTACTCCTGTAACAGCACATGCATCCTTTAATTCCACCCACTGGGCCAGTGTTTGGGTCGATTAGGCCTTTAGACTAGTGCCGTGCCCTAGTGCACGGTCGGACCCATAAAAAGTCCCTATACGGAACCGCGGGTTAATCTTTTCTGACGATCGCGGGGCCATCACACCCGCAGCGATCATCGGGTCGTGCGTCCCCTGTGGTTGTCTGGCCAGTGCACTGATGGCCCCCACACACACTAGCGTTGCTCTGCAATGTCTTTGCTTCGTCCTTGGGAACGACCCAAAGGTTTACCACAAGACGCACGAGAGAAAGGCATACGACGCCGCTGCGGAAGTGCACTGGCTCCAGAACGTCGTGGTGGGACCACGGGGGCATGAGGATTGCTTTGCACACAAAGAACGCCACTCGGCAAGGCAAGGCAAGGCAGCGGCTCGCGGCGCGCGGCCGGCCACTAGAGTTTTGACAATAACGCACCCACCCACACCGCATCGCTACCCGCCGTTTATTGTCTGTCACATCAAGCAATGGAGAAAACGAGAGCATGGGAATGAGAACCACAGCGCACACGACCGATCTTGGCGCGAGAATCTTGCACACTAGGCCACACAGGCTCTACGGCAGGCCACGATGGCGGTGCCATCGGTTATGCTCTGGATTGGCGCTCGCGGCGGCATGGCGCCGCCACGTCCACGTGAACGGTTTTCTTGCCTTTGTGTCAGGTGCGATGTGCAGAGGTGCATAGCTGAGAGGTGAGAGGTGAGGTGCGAGCTGATTGCGAAACAGCAGAAAAATTACTCTGCCTCATGCCCATTTGCCGTTTGGTGGTGGCATGAATGGAGACTGGCCTGTTGCAGGCGCGTCTGGAAGTGTCGTGCTGCAGAGAATCCCGGCCGGCTATTCCTGGCTGCCTGCGCGCACGCTTGGCTCGCCCGCAGCTGCGGGGCTCGCTGCTGCGCACGTCGGTCAACTGTGCACGACTGATCGTAGCATCCCTGCACGTTTGCTGATGACCGACATAGAAAAAAAGTCGCAGCCAGGACACATTCTGTGTCGCAGTTCTCCACAGTCACCAAAAGGTGCTTTTTTGAGTGTGCCTCTCTTATCCTCGACCCCGACATTGTGTTGTTTCCCTGGAACGGTCGTTTGAACAGGTATTTTTCGAGGGACAGGCGCGATCCAGGTTTTTGTGTCTCTTTTCTTTCCTTGCAGAGCGCCAATATTACGCCGAGGAACACTTTTTAGACGCCACACAGAACGCCACAGAAGCCCTTCCAACCCCCCCTGGGGGATGGCTTTTGTGTGTCTCTCTCGGCCCTTGCTCTCTCTTTCCCCCCCACCCTCGTCCGGCAACTCCCAACTGCACCCAAAAAGCGCACGGTCGCAGGCAGGGCGAAACACGACGCAAACAACGCCCAACGGAGCGGAACGGTGCGCTCGATGGACGGGCAGGCGGCGTCCGTGCTATCGCGTCGGACCCCAATCTCAACCCGTCCCAACGGTCGCAACGGTCCCCCATCTCGTCGCCGTGCACACGACCACACGGGCCGTCCGTTGCGTAATTGCCGTCCGGGCCCCGGAGAGGCGAGAGGGTGGTGGCCGGCGCCGCCTCCCCCTTCGCCGCGCGCCGACGGGGTGGGTGGGTGGGTTCGGCCCTTGAGTGCAGGTCCGTCGCGTATGTGTTGCTGCGGCGGGGGCGAGATTCAAGATTCTGGCTGCCCGCTCTGGCTGTGGGTGCGAGATGTGCGCGCGCGCGCAGTGTGGAGCCATGAGCCACAGAGAAGGTACCGCGTACACGAAACAAGTGGCGCCACAGTGGATCCTCCGGTCGGCCAGCGTGTGTGTCCTGCACCCCACCGGCCCTGGTTGCAGTCTCCTCTGCACACGGGTTGCGCGCAACGACGGGGCCCGCGGCGCCGGGGTGGGGGTGCTTCTCACCGCGAAGCGCACCCGCACACTGTCCGCAACATGCATGCCGAGAGGCGTTTTCCAAACTGGACAGCAAAAAAAAGAGAAGGAAACCCCGATGGATTGTTTCGTCGCACTTACTTGTGCGCAAAAGCTTGTACCCGCCACCTCCACTTGAACGCCGACATTGGGACCCATGACCCATGCAACCAGCCAGAGGCGTCGAGGTGTGCTCCTGCCAGGAGCCAGAATTCAGATGATTCTCGGCGCACCCGCCAATTCTCATCCAAGACTGATTTGCGGTTTTGACGCCAAAAGCGCAAGCGCAAGCACAAGCACAAGCACATCAGGAAGACTGTCAGCGGCCACTGTCGTCATGACCTGCCCCTCGTGTGCGACTGGGACCGCGAACGGCGCCGTGTGCCGTGGCCAAGGAGCAAGCCAAGCCGCCCAGCAAAAGACGGAGGTATGGCCAGATCTGCCACGCCATGGGGTGGGCATCCGCGCCACGGGTGGAATTTGTTCGCCACCCTTGCGCGCGCGCGCTCTTCACAGACACATTCTTGCATGCATCTTCGTCGGTCCTTGTCGAGGTCCCAGGCCCCCTCAAGCCAGTTCTAGCCCACCAAAAGTGCGACAATGACCCCCACCCCCCGCGCGCAGCCATGGGGCGCGTCCCGCGATATGAGGCGGTGGTTCTTGATTTCGGGTGTAGAGCTTGATCTGCCAGCCTCGGAACAAAAGAACACGCGCTCGCAACCCAATTTCAAACAGCTGGCCGGTGACTCGCTTGGCGTTTTGCAGTGCTTTCTGCTGCCTGGCAATGAATACCGACTGCTCCACACGCCGACGCGGGGCACACGTCGCCAGTGTAAAGTGAGTGTGGAGCGGAGCCAGAGCATCAGCCAGCACGCACGATGAATGAATGTTGCTGTGCAACGTCGTCGGCCACATTGGAGCCCAAGGGTCTCACCAAGGGTCACAGCCGCTCACGGTCATTTACACGTAATCCACCATGTTTCCCGACCTCCGTCGGCGCAGCTTGCGGCCAAATGATGCATTGATATGGTTTCTGGGCCGCAGCACGACTGGTTCCCAGCATGTGCCTCCTCCTTCCCCTGGTTGCCGTCACTTTACACATGCTCGTAACAGGGGACTGTAGCCGAAGGGGACCCGATGAGGTTGGTTACGGCCATGCCGTCACACCCCCAGTCACTCTTTTTAAAAAAACGAGAGAGCGTCAATTCTGAAAGCTCGTGAGCGTACGGGTGCCGCGGAGCAGTGTCTAGACCGTACGTACAGTACATGCTGCACATCTCGACCAGCAGGCCGCCGGTCCCGCATTGTTCCCACAATCTCGTCAACGGTCGCTTGCACATATGGTTGATTCAAGCAGCAATTTCCGAACCGGCGAGTTGTACGTCACAGACCCTCGTGTTCGGCAGGCCCAGGTCCGAGGTCCATTCGTGGCCAGAGGCGGACGCACGAATCCTCCGTGTTCGGCCTCCGGGTATGTCCCCAGCGATCGCCAGAAGGTCGGACGACCTAGAGTTGAACGCACGCACTCTCTTGTCCATCCCGAAAGGGACCGCCGGATCCTGCCACGTGTGCGGCACCTGGGACAGACTTTTGCTTTTGCGGTTGCGGTTGTGTGGCAGCCGCAGAACGCGTCGACGCTCATGTATGTACTTTTTGTTGATGATCGACACCGACATGGAGTCGTCTGCCTCCCCCTGTTTATTTATTTATTTTGATTTTGGTTACCTTTATGCAAGCTGCGGGTGTGTTACGGTGACGAAACAAGATCCGGTCGTCTAAAATAAACAAAAATATTCAGTGATCAAAGGGTTGGGTGAGCGTGGAGACGAGTCCTTCATCCAGCCGAGGTCACGTTTGAGCTCGGATCCTTTACGATCATGCAGAGTACCACAGTCACACTACTGTTCAAAGGAACGTGTGCATAGGAACATGTTCCTCGATCAGGTTTCGTAAGCAATACCAAATGTTGACTGCGATTCGCAAACTATCCACACGGGTTCCAGAATCTGGTACGAGATCTATTTCTGAAGTTGTGCAGGAACCAGTCTCCCGGCCTGACGTTACCTCTAACCCAGTCGTTTGGGTTGCTTATGACCTGGCACCGGCCACCGCTTGACATATGGCACCGTTTAACATGACGATGACGTCTTGATTTATGGCCCCAAAGTGACAGACGACAGCGGCAGTCACCATTCACACCAATCCCCGTCCACAAACTGTGCACTGTCTCGGGTGCTAACATCCACGACGCGTAAAAGGCCCTCCTTGGCATCGCCAGTGGAATTTGTTTCATAGAAACGCGACCTCCTGTGCCACACACGTCCGCCACGTACACTTTCCAACACATGTTTCGGGCAGAACGATTCCCGGCGGCCCGATGCATCGAGGGAGTGTGAGAACGCGTCCGATTTAGGTATGCACCCGAGTCTCAACACATGTGCATGTGCTGCAGCACTGGGCGTCCGTTACGACCGCCACCGCCGGCCCGCCACCGCCAGCGGGCTTGCCAGCTGTTTCGAGTCTCGCCGTTTCACCACAATTTTTGAACCACGTACAGTCTGACGGTGCAACAGCAGCCCACTGGATGGGTGTAGCGCTCCTATTGCCCTGACGCGTGGTTTGGGACTGACCCGGGACTGAGCCCCCCGAACCCCAGTTCCGGTCCGTAAGTATTCGATCTCACTCGACGTCGACACCTGCAGGGGCATACATTCTGCCTCTCTTCTGGATCGGGGTTGAACAAGACCCCACCACACGATACTCCTACGGGGACTCCGCGGACTTGGCAAGGCCGAGTGCGAATGGCACCCACGGAATTACTCGCGGCCTACTAGCCTGCCAAAAGAGAAAAACGAAAAATGTCTCTGGCGACTGCGTATGGAACATGGGCCGGTGAACGCCACCTCCGTCATGTACAAACCTGCATACCGCAGGGAAATGTCGGTCCGTACCCTATCGCCATGGCCTTGGCCTCGCGATGCCAATTGACCACGTCAGCACTGCCTCTCGGGACGATCAATTGCGCGCTGCCACCTGCCAAGAATGGCGCGAGGGACAGCCATGAATCGTCGACGTTGACCATTGTCGAAAAAAACAAAACCTGGTTCTTGCGTAGATCTCTGAGAAGCAACAGTGCCTTCTTTGCGGGCTCTGCGTTCCTCTCCTAGAGCCTGTCCAAGGCCCCTTTTGACTAGCCTGACTGGGCCATATTGTCAGGACCGACACAGGCTCCGCGAAACATGGTTTAGTGAGCAAAGCATGTCTCGTCGACAAATGGACTAGCGGTGGTGCTAGTGAGTCGTGCTACGGCGGTAAGCGGTTGGCCAAATTCCATCCGCGGTCCACGGCCGGTATGGCCAGTTTGGAAAGCACCAAGGTGAGTCAGGCACAGCCTTAGAACCACTCGAGAGTGCTCACGACGCGTCCACGATGAAGAAGGCCAGTGAGCAGATGAACAGGACACCCACGCAGAATTTATGGTGCCTCACAGATCTTGCTGCAGCTGCAGCTACAGTAACCACATCCAGTCCTCTGAAGGGTCAGCTATGCCAAAGGGAGACTTAAAGCGTGTCGACTTTATCACGTTTGTTGATGTACGATCTGACAAAACTCGGCGAAGAACCATAAAAAACATGATCAAAGAGGCTCTCGTGGTGTAGTGGCTATCATACTTTCTTAGGGTCCAGTCTTGGTCTTTAAGCCTTACCTCACGAGCTATGGAAGTGGTCCTGGGTTCAAATCCCGGCGAGGGCCCTCATCTTTTGCTGCGTGCACTCTTTTGCATGCAAGGGGTCGCTGGAATGAAGAGAAATGAGGAGCGGTGGGCGGAGTCGATGTAGAACGGCAAACGGCGGGTGTGGGCGGCAATCGGCGCCGACGATCACAGCGCGCCTTGTCCGGATATGGACGGAAATTCCCGCTCGCTGCTTTGAATCTGTCGGTGAGCTTAGGGTTGTACGCGTCACGCGTGACGTATGGGACAGGCCATCGTACAAAGATCACACGTTTACTGTCTCATCTCTCAATCGCCCAACCTCCCAGCAGACGACATTGAACAGCAAAGACCCAATACCCACTTTTCCACTCGACACTCCAAAGCACCACACCATGTCGCTCGAGATCTACGCCAAGAACGCCGCTGGCAAGCGCTACCTGCTCAACCTCGAGCCCTCGTCCAAGGTCTATGACGCCAAGCTCGCCATCCAGACCCAGTCCAAGATCAGCCCCGACGCGATCAAGCTCACGTTCCGCGGCGACGTGCTCGACGACGGCAACAGCCTCGAGGACGTCGGCATCATGCAGGGCAACACCATCCACGTCCTCGTCGGCGCTGAGCAGGACTGGCCCGAGACCCAGGACCAGGAAGTTCCCGCCTGCAAGTGCGTCATCATGTAGGACACCAACGTTTCGGGTGGCCACCAACAACAGTAAACTTCACGACGACCCGACGAGGACACTTCGTCACGACCTACCTTCCCTGTTTCGTACACGCCTTAATTCTCTTATGCACGATGGAGCCAGCCATTAATGGACACAAAGCAAGGCTGAGAGCAAAAGTGTACTTGCAATCTGGAGATTGAAGGCTTTCTCACCACCCTGTCCTCACCTGTCTGTCGTGGCCAGTCCACAGATGGGTCGAGCAGGGTGTACTGCGGCCACTGACCAGGGCCGAGAAACACCTGCTCGGAATATTGCACTGTCATGAACAGTATGAGCAGCCGACAAAGACTTGAGCCAGACCACCAGCTACGTCGGGTCACCCCTCACTGCCTGCTTAGTGCGACGGCCAACGGCAGCTTGGATCGAAATTAGTAGTACTATGTCTGCTCTCCAACTCCGACGGGCTGCAACAGCTGAAGCTGAAGAATGTGACCAAGAAACCCATGCAGACATGCTGATTAACTAACAAACCCTATTATATTTACATAATGTACGTCGAAGGACGGTCTTCCCTCAACTTCTCTCCCGCAGCCACCTTGGCTGCATTGCGGTTGTTGCTCCAGCGGTACTGGAAGTGCTGGGCGATAGACATGGCCGTCCCAAAGGCCACGAGCGAGACGCACACGCGGAAGCCGACGTGGTACGTGGGCGCGTCCTCCGACCTGAGGATTTGCGAACCGACCAGGCCGCCGAGGTTGGCGGCCATGACGAACATGGCCATGGCAATGGCTCGACGCTGGGGGCTGGCCTGGTTCAAGCTCAACCAAGTGGCGTTGATCGGGTGCCAGACCTGGGAAAAGGCGGTCGTGCACGTGATGGCAGCGTACTTTGCCCACTTGTTACTGCCGGACGACTCGTGCACGAAGACGGACCAGGTGATGAGCGAACACGAAGTGAGGAAGATGACGCAAAGACCCTTGTTGCGCACGCGGTCACTGACGAGTCCCGAAATGATCATCATGACGAATGCAAGCCAGCCACCAACAGAGCTGTAGAGGTTGGCCTTGATGGTGGAGAAGCCAAAGTTCTTGATGAGCAGGGGCTGGTACTGACCCATGGCGGAGGTGGCGGCAATGCAGGCAATGGCGTGGAGTACGTGAGGATAGTTGCGCCAGTTGAGAAGGGTGTTGAAGATCTCGCCGTTTGTAAGAGGGCGAGTGGCAGCGCTTTTGGCGGCGTCGTCGACAATCACACGCAGGCGAACAATCTCCTTCTCCCGTGCGGTGAGCAGTGTGAGGCGGGGGAAGAGCATTGGCACGGGGCGGTTGGGCCCATCGGGCATAAAGATCAAGAAAAGTAGCGAACAGAAGATGGCCAACGAACCCTCAACGAGGAAGAGGTACTGCCATGGGTGAAGGGACCCCTTAATCTGGAGGAGACCAGCCGCCATAAGACCGCCAACGCCAGACACGAGGACGCTTCCGAGGAAGAAGAATGACGTGCGCGATCCAAGCTCGTTGCGCTTGTAGAACGTTGACAGGACGTAGAGAGATCCGGGAATGTAACCGCACTCCACAATACCGAGGAGGATACGAGTGACAAGGAAGGAGGCATAGCCCTTCATGAACAGCTGAAAGGTCGCGACGAGGCCAAAGCAAAAGATTTGGAAAGTGAGCCACTTCTGGGGACCAATGCGCTGGACGACCATTTGTGAGGGAACTTCAAGAAGGACAATACCAAGGTACAGCAATCCCTGAGAAGAAGTCAGAATGAATCGTTGGGTGAAGGGGGGCGCGACATGAAGCGAGGAACTGTACGATGACGGGATGCAGCCCGGCAGTCTGGCGTTCCTGCTTACATTCCATGGACCGCTCAGCAGACCACCGCTTCTCCGTCTCCCCACTTGCAGACACCAGACTCACTTGACCGACGTTGAATTGATTCTGGACAATGCCAACATCCTTGAAGAGTGTACTGGTGACTGCGTTGGCGATGTTGCCGCGCTCGAGCTGGAAGCAGAAGAAGCCGAAGAAGAGAAGGGACAGGACACTGATGTCGAGCTTGCGAACGACTGCACGCTCTTCCGCCTCGGTCCAGTCCTTGGCCAGATCCTCCAAGCTGCTGGAAGTAGGCGTAGCTGTCAATGGTGGCGAGGCGAGCTCCGCATCATACTTTTCGTTATCGCCTGGAGGAACATGGCGTAAGCTTGGCCGACACCATTTGCCGATTTCAGTTACTTACTGAATTGGGAAGCCATTATCGCTCCCTGCCGAAAGATACAGTTCGGAACTGTTCAAGGGACGAGGTGGGTTTAGGCCGCAGAGAAGATAGTCTGGAAATCTTGACCTGGGGGGGGGGGGGGGGATGGTTTTGGGAAGAGCGAAGGATTCGGAACACGCCAATCGTTCATCTTGTACTGCCTGCGGCGACACAAGCGGCGGCCGGGAAAGCGTTCTCCCAGGGCTTCCAAGCGACCAAAGGACAATCGCATACTACTTGGCTTGGACATTTCCATGCCAGCACGAGCTCGGTGACCGCCAGAGCACACGCAGTTTGATGGTCGACCTGGGAAATCTGGAATTTTTGTGAAGGCGCAGCGCGTGGTTGGTCTTAAGCAGCGTCTTGGGAGGCAGTTGGAGTGCGTGATAAGATGCGTCCGACCAGACGGAACGTCCAAACCTACCCCATGTAGTCGTGCAGGTGATGGCGCGATGGCGCCTTACTTGACGTGCATATGAGCACCGGTTGAGCCACAATCACGGGCGATGGTGTCATCGTAAGCCAATCAGGTACCGCACTTGGAATCTCGGCTTGTTGCACCACCCGATTTCTGCCCATGGACAACCGAATAAGGATGGCATTTGCATTCATCTACCCTGGATTAGTTGCGCTTCTGCTTATGTGACAGTTGAACAGCTCGACAGACTGGAGTACGAGGGGGAAGATGTGATAATGGACGAAATCAAAGGCACACGCGAGCATTCGGTCACTGCACGCCGCGCCGACAGGAAGACGCCGATCTGTGTCCCGAACGGTGATTTCAGTTACGTCACAACCCAATCGTCCACAATCAACTGTGCAGGCATTCTCTTCATAATGCTCTGGCTGGGTGTACAATAGGGGGTTGTTGAAAACCCCAACACGCTACGTAACTTTCTTAAAAGCTACTAGACTCCACAGGCTACTAAACTCAACAAGGTACTCAATTTGAACAGGCATACTACGTGGCGTTCTCCATCTTGTGCGTCTCCTCATCCATCTCATTCTGCAGCGAGAAAATGGTATCCTCGGTACGCTCAATCTGCTTCTTCAGACTCGGTTCGCGGGTCGGGAAGAGTTCGATGAGGCGCGTCCAGCGGTCGAGCTTGTCGAGTTCCTTGTCCATAAGCGCATGGAGCTGGGCGAGCTTGCCCTGGCCAGTCAAAATGGCTGGAGAAGCAGACGGTCCGGAGGGGACGCTGCGCATTCCATGCGGCTCCGATTTCGCGCGGAGTGTCGGCGACTCGCCGTGGAAACGCTGGGGACTGAAGGATGGGGATGGGAGCGGTTGGACGTCGCTCGAGACATTCGGCGTCACCGAGGATGAGAGGGTGTAGACGCGCTTCACTGAGGTAACCGCGGCAACAGGTGCGGGACCTGGCCTGATGGCGGAAGAAGGCTCGGAAGTAGGAGGTGGCGGTGCGAATTGGTGCTGGTGCAACTCCAAACGCGCCAGCTTGTGAGGCGATTCGTCGGCTGGTGACATGGAACGCTGTCGCTTGAGTCCCTGAGTTTGGTCCATCGGGACCGATTGACCACTGCCAGGTGGGTTTGGAGCTGCAGCCACAGGCGGTGGTGGTGGGGCTTGAGAAGTAGCAGCCACAGGCGACGGAGCATCGGTCGCGACAGAAGACGCGGCCTCGGGAGGCAGCGACGACACGAGAGGCATCGGCTCAGGTTCAGGCGACGACACGGTGAAGACAGGTTGAGGAGGCATAGCAAATTGGGGAACTTGGTCGAGGGTGAGAATTTCGAAGTCGTCTTCAGTTTCGGCTGGCGAGCCAGGGTCCGCAGACGGAGGAGCTTCATCGAGAACTTCGAAGTCGTCCTCAGATTCGGTTGAAGGTGGGCGCCGCTTCCAATCGACAGCGACACCATCAGGACGCCATTTGATGCTCACAATCACCTTACCATAGGCATGGAGCTCGCGCTTCATACCTTTAATCCAGACATTCCGCACGCCATTGCGTTCCACGGTGGAACGGCCCAGAGATTCTTCCGGGAGATCCTCTGGTCTTCGATAGTCAGCGCACTGAAACATAGTGTTGCACTCACAAGATCCACATGACGCCTTCGTCCGGGTTTGGGTCTGGCGGTGCAGAATCACCCAGAGCGGCGATGGCACGTTCAGCAGCCTCGAGAGCATCGAGGTCGGGCTTGACATCGAGAGCGGGCAGCTGGGGCTTGGATGACGTTCCAGGCGACTGTGAAGCAGCCTCTGGGGACGAATGGCATTGGACGGGCGCACTGCGCTGGCGTGCCATTTGGGTCTCAGAACTTGTGGCTGTGGGTGTGACAGAGCGAGACAACGTTGCCTGACGTGACTCAGGGGCGCGCTTGGGAGCTGGCAACAAGGCCTGGGGTGCGGGGAGAGCGGGTGGAGGAGGTGGTGCAACCGGATCGTTCGGGCGTACGTTGTGGTTGCGAGGCTTAATGTTTGGGTTCCACTTGGGAGCCGGGCGATTGGCTGAGTACGAGTTGTCCGTGTATGGCTGCAGGAGAGTTGTAGGAGAAACAGGAGCAGTGGGAGCTGGTGCTGGGGCATTGGGTCGCACGTTATGGTTACGTGGGACGACCTTGAGACGCTGCGGGGGAGCCGGAGAAGGCTCCTTGGCCGGCCCAGGTGGAGGACCTATGGTTGAGGCTGATGGCACCGAGTCGTTTTCGCGTTGGTTGTGGTTACGCGGGGTGAAATTGGGAGGCTTTGGAGCGGTCGTCTTGTGTCCCACGGCCTCGTCAGCCGCCAGTGACATGCTTGGCGCGGCCACCGATTTCGAAGTTGAAGCCACGTTCGCTTCCTCTCTGGCCTCCACTGGGTCGGAAGGGACAGGCTTTGGCGCAGGGTAGGGAGGAACATATCCAGACATAGTCGAAGAGCCTGCCGCGGGAGGCGAGTGGGGCGCGTAGCCAGTCCAGTCCATTGCTGATGCGGATGGGGTGTATCGTCCTGCGTTGCGTGGTTGACGGGAGTCGGCGTTGTCGACGTGGGAGCGCTTCGTTGATGGGCCAGGTTCATCCTGGGACTGCGAGGACATAGCGGATGGTGGGCGGGATGGGAGGGGGTGCGCGTGGCGGGAGCTTGAAGAGGATGAAGATCCTTGACGGTCACTTGAGCCGCGGCGAGAGTTAGAGTCGAAGGTGTGTCCACTCCAAGGCGGGCGGTGTCCACGACTGCCGCTCGAGCTGCCACCGCCGCGGTCAGAGCTCACAGCTCCAACAGATGGAGGGAGGCCAACATCTGTTGCTGCTCCATTTCTACTTCCGCGGAAGCCGCCGCGCTTGTGCTTCTTGTTTCCACGAACTGGCAGTGTTCCCACCTTGGGTGGGCCAAAGTTGGCAACCTGCAACATTCTCTTTCTGCTCAGGCCGGCGCTTCCATCCTCGGGATGGTCGCGGGTGGGGCCTCTGCCCCGGTTTGACATGTTGCTGTTTCGATAGCTGACAAGAGGTTTGTGGGGAGTGGTGGTTTCACAAGAGGTGTTAGAGAAGGTAGAGAAGAGGAAGGTTGGGAAGAGGGAGGTTGAGAGGAGGAAGGTTGAGAAGAGCAATGTTTGTGTAGCTGAAGGCCAAAACGGTTGACGCGACTCCGGAAGCAATCTGCATTTTGCCACCCGATTGTAATGAACACCTGATTCATTAGTAAACATTTCCTTATAATTGTAAACAAATACGACTCAGAATTGCTGCGCCTGGTGTGGACTAAATAAGTTAATACGACGAGTCCAGCATATGCAGAGTCGAGTTTCTAATAATCAGTTATTCTAATACAATAGCCATAATTGACGTGCCCATATAGAACACGTGGTCTTCCTTAATTCCTCATGAGTGTACATACTGTATAGTGTGACTGGTGCTCGTGATCCTTGATTGCCCCAATAATGGAAGCAATAAGCGGCAAAATGTAACAGTCGCTGTCCCACCTTCCATCAGCCTGTGCTTTGGTCCCGTCTTTTGCGACCCGGATGACACACTCTACGATCCTCATTCAATGGTTTTCTGCTGGAAGGTCGATCAGTGGATCAGTGGATCAGGGGCCATGGACCCCTTCCCTGATCATCTCTCAGCGTAAAAAATAAAACAAACAAACATGAAGCTGTCCAAACTCCGGGTCGGCAAAGGGGGAAAAGGACTGGACATCAACAACGCGACATGAAAGGACGGAGCCTTAATAATTGAGCAATAAAATAGTCGCTTTACACCGGCCAGTGTATTGTTATCCCCCATGTTGTATTCCAGATCTACTTTGAACTCCGGCCAGCTTGGTAATATACGTAGCTCGTGTTTCGATCTCTTGGATTCGAACCCCGGCCAGCTTGGTAATATACGTGGTCCATCCAAGGCACTTTAACGATTATGCTAACGAGCGACTATAATGTTTTGTTGTTGAGTATGGTATCACCGAAAAGGCTTTGGAGGGGTTTGTTGGGATTTGATGCCGTTTAGTGCCCGAGACCGATGGTCTTAAGCTGGCAGTTTGTCTTTCAGAAGAGGATGGGGATGCATAGGCGTCTACAGAGCTGCTTATATGCACACAGAAGGGAGGCCCGAGCACTACAGAGAAGCACGAGGACAATGAAGAAGCAGAAAGAGCAGCATTGGTGCAGTACCCTCGTTCTCCGGTCAGCTCGGTGCCACACTGCAGTGGCGCAAGTGGTTACGTAATCTCAACAGGGGTTTGCCAGCCCTCGAAAAGGGCTTTGGCCCCTCTGGCCTCTGGCCGGCCTCCATTATTATTTTAGGTTCCGTTTACTATTTGACAACTCCCTTGTGATTGTGGCTGCCATTACATAGATATCTTTCTCGTGTGCAGTGTGTATGCCAGTTCCTACCGTTAGCACATCCTCGCTGATCGCTGCATATCTCTGCATCTTCGTCGACGTATCATCTGTCACGTTCGACCTCCATCACGAGGATTACAGGACCGTCACCTTCTACAAACACGTTGGTTGATCATATTCATCAACCACGCCTGCTTCAAAACCTGATACGGTCACCGGTCTCTCGCAGTCGCTAGTCATCAAGTACCTCGGTAATAATCATCGGATACATCTCTCTTTCGCTTTTTGAACACTCAGTTCTTTCTCTCCGGTACTGGCTCACCATCCACCTACTGATGCGTTGGTGTCATAGACCGTGTTCTTGACCCGCAAGTGATCACTCAGAAGAGGTTGACCTTTAGAGAGCGGCTTGCATACACAAATGAGAGGGACTGGCGCGTAGACATCACTAGGCCTACTGCATCATTGCCAGCCAGCGCCGTGGCTGGCACCATCTGGCCCATAAACAGCAGTATTCAGAACATCAAATTCGTGTCATTCTTTATCACGCGTGATATCCTGCAGGCCTCAGAGATTCCGCACAGATAAACGCCAGTCCAGGAAAAAGTAGATCATCCAGATCTTCGCTACGAGCTGCCAAGGGACGATACATTGGGCTTGTTCGCTTGATAGAATGACCGCCACCTCCCCCTTGGCCACTTGAGAATGCCGCCTCAATCTCGTGCCATGCCAGCAGTGACATATGCCGGGACCTGGAAGATAGGATGACCCGGGCGCCGCCACGATCCTGGTTCTACCGAGATCTGTGTGGTTGGTGACACCTCCAGCCATTCGACGGTCACCAGGCAGTCACATGCACAGTCGCGTCTATCTTCGTTTTGCCTCATTGACAGGTCCATGCTATCTTCTCACACACGGTGGGCATCTGTGTGGTACCTCCAGGCTGCACTCAGATTTGACGAAGGTGAGGCAAGGGAACTGTACGTAAATGCCCCATCGAACTGCGTAGATTACAGCGTGTTTAATTTCTATAAGAAGGCCTGGCGAAGAGAGCAACACGTCCTCACTCGCGGTCAGGCGGCCACACCCAACCAGCATAACCGGCCTCTTTGCATCATTCCCTTTATAGCCAATACTCAGCCAACACACTCGCCATGTCAATCACGCACGAGAGTGCCAGTGACTCTTCCCCACCCAGCATGGGCGACAAGGAAAAGGACCTCGGTGGGGTGCGACTCGAGGCCGTCCAAACCGGCGGCCATGTGGTCGACGCTGTGGAGCTGGAACGCAACTTCAGTTTCCTTTCCACGCTCGGGCTTGCTTTTTCACTCCTGAACTCCTGGACTGGTAAGTGCTCAACGACGTTGCATAGGGGTGGCCGTCAATGTTGCTTGTACTAACCGTCCAGCCATGTGAGTGAAGCGAGTGGGCAGCCCACAACCCCGGGCATTCCGTCGGCCGACAGAATGCCGGCGACTATCGCCTTATCATAACCGTATCAGAGCTGACCACGGACGCACAATACAGGGCCGCAGCGTGAGCCATCTGCCTCCAAATACCTGTTAATCCACCCTTAGGCTACAGGTTGTTCTTACCAGCGGAGGAAGCGCCGCGATGGTGTGGGGCCTGATTGTGTCGGCGGTTGGTACGCTGTCAATGAGCATATCACTGTGAGATCGCCCAATTCATCTGTATACTCCAACTAAACCCAACAGTGCCGAGATCTGCCACGTCTTCCCCCTCTCGGGTGGGCAGTACGACTTTGTGTGTACGTAGATGTTGTTCGTTTACCAACAACAGACGCTAACGTAATGATCAGATTGCACTGCGCCACCGCGCTTTAGGGTTGGTCTTTCGTTCTTCACCGGCTGGATGGCCTGCGCAGGATGGACGACACTACTCGGTGCCGGCTGCTCGTTAGGTTCAAGCTTTTTCACCGCGTGAGTGGGCCCCTAATATAACACCTCCTATTTCATTCCACTCACACACCTTCAGGCTCATTTCGTTCTGGCATCCGGACTATGAGCCCGCGACATGGCATGTTTTCATGTTCTACGTCGCAGTTATCGTGGGCCAGTTCCTTCTCAACGTGTTTGGAGTGCGCGCTTTGCCGCATCTCGACAGGTTTGGTGCTTTCTGGAGCATCGCGGGTATTGTCACCATTATCGTCACTCTCCTGGCATGTTCCTCTGGGCGATATCAGTCAGCTAAAGACGTGTTTGGGACTCTGACCAACTTGACTGGTGTGAGTATCCACCAGTAGATCGCGGGTGGTGCCACGATCACTCCGTTTTTTTCCACCACATTTTCCTGACACATGACAGTGGCCTGATGGCATGGCATTCATCCTTGGCCTGCTTCAGAGCACCCTCGGCTTCACGGCATTCGATGCGGCCTCGCATATGGTCGAGGAGATGCCGAACCCTTCTCGCAACGCACCACTAGTGATGTGCGTAGACCCCTTGCTCATAGAAGACTTCATTGCTGATAATCTTGTGCAGGATCCTCGCTGTTGCCATGGGTGCTGTCACCTCGTGGATCTTCATGGTGGTCCTCCTCTTCTGCCTCGCAGACTTTGACGCTGTCATTGCAGCTGCAAACGGCCCATTGCTCGAGATCTACTACCAGTCAACGCGAAGCATGGTGGGGGTGAGTACAGCCTTTGTGACAAAAAAAAAGAGGCATGTGCAAATTATCTGACGTACCCAGTCCACCTGCCTGATGATGTTCAACCTCACCGCTATGATGATCTGCGTCGGCGCTGCCGGTACGGTGTCGTCTCGTATGATTATGAGCTTTTCGCGCGACCGTGGCTTTGGCCATGTGTCCCGTTTCCTAAGCCCCGTCCACGCCCGCCTCAAGGTGCCCGTGTACTGCCTCGTGTTCTGCGGCGGCTGGGGAATTGTCTTCGGCCTGTTATGTGGGTTGCGTAGGTTGGAATGCCTCCTGACGTCCAGACCTCGGCTCGTCCGTCGCGTTCAACGCCATCCTTGCTGTTGCGATCCTCCTGCTGCAGATCAGCTATATAACACCGAGTAAGTACATGCCACAAGTCCACTGTGGGTGCACCTTCACTGACGCCATTTCACAGTTATCATCGTCTTCATTCGAGGCGAAAAGGCCTTTGCAGGGCACAGCCGCACCTATTCCCTTGGGCGGTGGCGTCGTGAGTCTTGTTCATCGTCTTCTCTCCCTTGGCCCTGCGCTGACTCAAAACAGGCGTGGTCAATGGACTTGCCATCGCTTTCGCGGTCATGACGTCGGTCATCTTCGTCTTTCCGCCAGCGATCCCGGTCACCTCTGGCTCAAGCATGAACTACGCCATTGTGGCATTTGCCGTCGTGCTTATCATGTGCGGCGTCACCTGGCTGGTCGACGGTCGTAAGAACTTTACCGGCCCGCGTGACCTCGAAGAGCGTCTGCAGATGGGCAAGAATGCCTAAATGGTGGATGATAAAATTAGTGGATGATAAAATTAGTGGATGATAAAATACAAGTTGTACATACAGCAAGAGATCAGAGGTTCTTGGCCATGGGTCTTGTCTTGTGATATGAAACCAAAGAGATTGCGTTTTATGGCACTTCATAAATCTCCTACTACTGTCATCCTAGTTTTGTTATAGTTTTGTTACCAACGAGCCTATGCTTTGATCTCAAGGAGGCTCTTGCCGGTCTTGACCTCTTCCAGAGTGGGCATGGCACCGAGTCGGATGAGCTCAGACGCCTTGGCCACGATCGGGTCACGACCCATAGAGGTGACAGTGACAATCCTACCGGCCTTGGCCTGGTAGAGAACAAACTTGAGATCCTCAGCAGAGCCGTCGAGGTACGACTCATCAAACTCCTCGCCGGTTCCGACGTAACGCAGACCCTTGCCCACCGACGACCAGAACACAGGCGCCTGCTTGAATGCCCAGTCCTTGTCGGGCGTGGCAATCGTCCTGCCGACATGACGGCCGTGGTTGCCAGCGACGTTCCAGTGCTCCACGCGGCGCGAGTTGCCGGCGGGGAACTGGGGGTAGTGCACAATGTCGCCGAGAGCGTACACGTTCTTCACACCAGGGACACGCAGATACTCGTCGACAGTGATACCACCGTCCTTCTCCAACTTGAACGTGTCCTTCAGGAACTGGGTGGCGGGGGCGACACCCGTGCCCATAATGACAATGGTGGCCGGCAGGGGGTCGATGCCCTTGACGTGCAACTGCGCGACCTTGCCGTCGGCGCCAGCCGTAATCTTCTCGACATTAACGCCGCGGTGGAACTTGATGCCTTGGCCCTCGAGGCTCTTGACAATCGACAGTCCGAGGTCCTTGCCGAGCATCGCCTCGAAGGGGATCTCATCAACACCGACGACGGTGAGCGACTTGTGGTCCTTTTTGGCAATGGCACCCGCAGCCTCGAGACCGATGAAGGATGTGCCAATAATAATAACGTCGGCGTCTTTTGAGAGGCTCGACGTGATTTTCTTGATGTCGTGAGGGGTACGGATGGTGACCACACCCTCGAGGTCGGCACCGGGGATGGGGATCTTGCGGGGGTTGGCGCCTGGGCTGAGAACGAGGTGGTCGTAGTTGATCGTGCCGGCAGCAGTGGTCACAGTCTGAGCACCAGGGTCGATCGCCGTGACCTCTGTATTGAGGTGAAGCTCGACTCCGAAGTCCTCCTTGAGCTCATCCACCGTACGCCATGTGAGCTTGTTGGCGTCGTCCTGGAGCGCCTTGGAAAGCTTGGTGCTGGTTGGGTCAGCCCTTGTGACAAACCGGCGCTCACCGGTCAATAGGAGCATAATCCTCTTTGGAAACAAGGACAATGTCTCCAGCAAAGTTGTGCTCGCGGAGTGACTCGATGGTGTTGATACCACCAGAGCCACCACCCACAATCACGACCTTCTGCTTGGTTGTCGCCGCGCACGGCGAGCGGGCTTTGGAGATGACACGGCCGACCTTGGACTTGATCTCAGACTGGGGTGCCGAAACAAGGATCTTACCATCCTTGACCTCCGCCTTGTACTTGTAGAGCGAGTCAAGACCGGGAGCGTCCTCAATGTCGCCAGTGGTGACGTTGAAGCAAGCGTTGTGCCAGGGACAAACCACGCGCCCGTCCGAGGAAAGCACTCCCTTCTCGAGGGGAGCGCCGTAGTGCGAGCAGTGAGCCGAGGTAGCGTGGACAACGCCGTTGATCTTGGAGAGGAGGACCTTTCCGCCGTCAAACTCGACAGCCTTCATCTTACCCTCGCCGAGGGCCGAGTCGTCCAGGACTTCGAGGGTCTTGACGTCAGACATTGGATTGAACTGTAGAGAGACGCGGTGGAGTAGAGCGCGAGTGGGGTAGGTGCGAAGAGGATGACAGAAACGAGGTAGTAGAGTCCTTGTGAAGATTGTACGCGCGATGGGCATGGACCAGAGGAGTGGTGAGTGGTTGGTGGTGCCAGCTGCGTCAGTCGCTGTTTGATGTGAACCCAGCGATCGGTGAACTCCGTCATTGTGTCTGAGCAACCGTTGACCAATCCGGACCGCCGTAATTGCCCATCCATTTGGCTTATGACGATGCAAAGCCTTGTGTCTGCCACCCATCATGTTGACATGCATATGAAGCCATTGGCGGTCTGTGGCACACTCCCTCTTCACAGATATGCAATGCAGCCCCGCTGTAGAAAGGGTCGGCCACAATCGCGGTGTAATCTGCACCCAATGGCCGGCCTCGCAATTCAGGTCATAGAGCCACACCACAAGCCGATGCGGCGTTTGGATCAGCGTTACTTTGTGATAAATGAGAGCAAGGACAGAAGCCAGAAGCATGCGGAAGCGGAGGACCGACTGGTCCTCCTCGTGTCCCCTCGGTCCTCCCCATGCAACGTTGTGAAACGCAACTTATCATCACAATGTTGCTGTCAGTTACTGTTAGACGCTAAGTAGACGCAACTGTAGACGCAACTGTAACCTAACGCGATACCATTATATCATAGTCGCTCGTTAGCATACTCGTTAAAGTGCCCTGGATGGACCACGTATATTACCAAGCTGGCCGGGGTTCGAATCCAGGAGATCGAAACACGAACTACGTAAATTACCAAGCTGGCCGGAGTTCAAAGTAGATCTGGGATACAACATGGGGGAAAAGCACTGGCCGGTGCAAAGCGACTATTTTATTGCAGCGACACGTTTCCTCCAAGGAGAACCATTGCCACCACAATCTCTCCTCTCCGTCCACAGAACCGTTGTATGTCTCCCGTGCGCTCGCCGCGCCGTGTCGGGACTCCCCGACTATTCGCCGAGTTTGGCTTTCTGGTCGCAGCCAACGCGCCTTGATTGTCTCCCACGCCCGCTCTTCCCGTCTCCGCAGACAAAAATGACGTTTGACGGGGTCGAACCGCCGACCTTGTGCGCAACGCTTGACTGTTGAACAGTTCTCTAGTGTTAAGCACACGCTCTAACCAACTGAGCTAAATCGCCGATTATGTAATCCCACAATTACAAAGCAACATAATGAGTAATTGTTCAATTTAAAATGCGACCGATAACTTTAATTATCTATGTTTAATATAAATTATATTAAACAAATATAAATTTTTCAATAATTTATATTAAACATAGATAATTAGATTTAGAATGTGACCAATACGGGAATTAGATCCATTTCCACTTAGGTTGAGTGGGAAACCGTAACAGTGAAACACGTCTAAAGGTTTATTAATATTTATTCTTAATAAAATGGAAACAATTTCGGGATTGCGGTAAACAAACTTACCAGCAAGAAGTTATTGCCTGTCAACGTCCCATGACGTATGCAGAGGCTTCTCAGAGGTCACTACCCGCTGAGACCAGCCCCTCTTCCCCCTTTTCTCAGACCCTCAATCCATCTTGTGGCAGCTTTGTGCCTCGGGGGTTTTGTGGTCGCCTCAACACAACTGGGAGTGAATAACGGGGCGCTTATGTTGTACCCACCCAGACTTCGCGGCAACCTTTTCCAGCCCCGATGAGCCCCAGTCTCTGTCATTATCTCAGGTCAGAGCGACCGGCCCCACAATGACCTCTTCCGTCCACATAGGGAGTCCTGATAGAAGGAAATGAGTTGGCCAGGAGAGCGAGGAATGAAAGAACGTGTAAGATCGGGACCAGGACGGTGCAACAATCACATCAGCACTCGATCACCCTTCCGGCGCTATGCCACATGCTCAGTGCTCGCGTTTGGCTTCATGATCCCAATGCCTGCATTGAAGGTCGTGTCTCTATGTTTCTATGCTAAATGATCTAGTAGTGTATCTATGCTTGGTGTGGTGTGTTACAACAGAGAGACTTGGTTCACTCCTCGGCGGCGAGCTCGCGGACCTTGTTGGCGTTTCCGGCCAGAGCGCGCTTGAATGCCTCGAGAGAGATGTTGGCAGCGGCGCCGTTGCTTGCCCTGCGCTCGGCAGCCTTGTCGCCGAACGAGGGGGAGCCAGGGCGCGAGGGAACGGGAGAGCCAACGACGCTGTCGTTGCCAGTAAGCTCGCCGGTGGGAGCGATCGAGCGGGCCAGACGCTGGCGGTCGCCCGAGAACGAGGCCGCGCGCGAGCCGGCAGGAGTCACCAGAGGGGTGCTGTCGGGAGTGACACGAGGGCCCAGGCGGCCAACGGGCTGCTCAATAATGAGCTTGAAGGAGGAAGTGGCGGCATCCCAAGTGGCGGTCACCTTGGTCAAATCCTCGACCAAAAAGTCCGGGCTTTCCTTCTCGAGGTCCTCGCGCGAGTGCGAGGTGCAAGTAGCCAACACAAACGACCCAGCCGCTTTGCCAGCTCGGATTCCAGTAGGCGCGTCTTCAACGACAATCGAGTCGAAAGGCGAAGCGTTGCAACCGTCGGCGCCGAGGAGGTACGGGTCAGGGAAGGGTTTTCCGCGCTGGACGGAGTCGGCGGTGACGAAGATCTCTGGGGTGGTGAGGCCGGCAATGGGGAGTGCCTGGCCGGCGTAGAACTTGGTCGATGAGGTGCAGATGGCCCACTTCTCCTCGCCGTTGCGGAGATGACGGTCGGAGGAAAGGTCGTTGAGGAGCTTTTCGACACCGGGAAGAACCTGAATGCCCGAAGCGCCACCGGAGGCCTTGCCGATCTCCTCGGCGTTGGTGAGGATGGCAGTCTCGAAACGCATCACCTCCTCGGGGAGCTCGTCCTCAGGGATCGAGCACCATTTGCGGAGAGCGTCAATGGTGCGGTAGCCGTGGGCCGAGTGGAGAATGTCGTCGAGGTCGAGAGGGTACTTGGCAGCAAACAGCTCCCAAGCCTTGACGACAGCGGGCGACGAGTTAATGAGGGTGCCGTCCATGTCAAAGAGGACCGAGTCGACGTTGATCTCAATGATGTGGGGGTTCTCGAGGGCGGGAGTCGAAGCACCCGAGGCACCGGCGATGGAGCCACGACGCGAAGGGAGAGTAGAGTTGGGCGCGGTCGAAGCAGGCGAGGGCATGGCCGACATCTGGAAAGCCTCCTTGGTGAAAACAGACATGGTGGATAAGATGTGGGGGTGGTGGAGGATGGGGGTAGTGAGGGTGGAGTCGTTGGAACGAGTGTGTGTAGCGAGAGCGCAAAAGGTGGCAAGTTGCAGACCTGGTTGATGGAAAGAACTTAGGATGGATCGACAAGTCGGTCCTTTTGTACGATCTGCACCGACCTACCGCCTTCCAGATGTCCCCAATGCATTCCCCCAGCCGGCGGTATCGTCAGCGCCGCCGATGGACGCATCATCCAGCATTTGCTGCCCCCAAGCATGGTCGGGTTATTCTGCAGGTCCCCGGTTTAGTTACGGGGCGATAACCCTGTTACGCCCGCGGTCCCTTCGGGCATCCGTCCAGCGCGCTTGGCACAGCTTGGTAGGTCACCCAGGGCTAGCGGGGGCAGGCAGGAGGCTGGCAGATGGCACGCGCGGGGTATCTGTGACATGTGCGCGGTCATGTTGTCAAACGGGGGTCCATGATACGCTGGCATGCTGGCAGGTGCTGACGTGTATGTGACCCCCAAAAAGTTGCCGGGGACACCGGACGGGGTCAAGTGAACCCGTTCTCCTGTCACCCTGTGGGCAAACATGATGTCAGAGGCGCCTACCCAAATGTTTCGGAGACTGCGCGGTTGGAACGATGCGCGATGACGAGGAGGTGGCTGGACGAGGAGAGGAAAGAAATGCAGGCATGGCATTAGGCTCAGGGCCCATCGTTTTCCATCACCGCTGGGGGGGCAGAATTTTTGGCCCACGGTGGAGAGCCCACAGGCTGTCGGAGTATTCAGCCGAGATAAGCCCGGACGATCGGATGGATCTGCTCCCGGGCCGTTATCTGCGCCTCTGCTCTGATGCCTGTGTGGGTGCGGCGATAACCGTTTTCTTAAACCGCGCATTGCGTGGGAATGTTGAACCCGTGTCTTGCGGTCCCATAGAGCACATGCTGGAAGGAATAATTTCGTGTCGGTTACGGGAATCGAGGCATATGGGCCGAGGCAAACATTCTGCATGGCATGCCAGGTGTATTTGGGGTCCATTAGGAGTGTGTCATAACGTAAGTCGCCAGTCCGTCAGAGATCTGTACGCGTGCGTTTCGAAATAACGGGGGGTTGCGGTTTTTTCTCGCTCGCCAGGGCACTCACATGTCTGCCCTGGCAGGTCGATACCGCCGGACCCAGGTGAACACGAGGGTCCACCTGCCGTCACCCTCCCACTTGGCACACCGTCGGACGGTGGGCACACCTCAAATCCTCAAACCACTGCGTTTAGGGTGCCAACTACACCTGGCGCAGTCCACGTCCACTGGGGCCATGACGCGCAGTGAGAACCCCCGCGCACGCGGCCGTCCCTATCGTCCCCCTCCCCCTAACACTCACACACACCAACCACCCCCGGACAAGTGCAACCCCGAGACCGAGCTACGGGCCCGTGATCCGTGAGAGGTTCCAGTTGTGCCGTGCCCGCCAACACCGCACGCGATACCGGAAGTCTTTCCAGCCTCTTCTCCGCTGTACCGCCGGAGTCCCCTGCACCACCTCCCTCCTTAAAAGAACTGGAAGGCAAGAGATTGTACAAGTCCCCCCCATTCCCATCACCAAGTCCACGCCACTCGACTCATCTCATCTCATAACACACTTCACTCTCATTATCGCATACAAGTTACATTGACTGGAACTTGCCACGGCCTTTACTCCTCCATCCTCCAACCGCTCCAATCACCTTGACCACACACACACTCCACACGCCACACTCATCCATCATGTCTACCGCCTCGACTGCCCCTTCGTCCCCCATCGTTCACGCCATGTTTGACGACCTCGCTATTGACTCGGGCTTCACCACTCCTGGTGAGTAAACCTGCCACTCCCACATTCCGCCACTTGGGGGTCGTGTGGGCACAATGCGGCGGCGGCCGGCACTATGTGCGGCGCCATCCCGATAGCTGTGTCTCACATTCTGAGTTGGAGCTGCAAACCCGAGAAACCTTGCTGACATTCTCCAGACCGCTCGTCGTCTCCCTCCCCAGCCCTTCCTGCTTCGCCTCTTGCTAGCGGTCTGCACAAGGTCGCTGTCATCGGCTCTGGCAGCTGGGGTACCGCTCTCGCCAAGATTGCCGCTGAGAACGTCGCCAAGCGCACCAGCGAGTTCGACCCTGAGGTCCGCATGTGGGTCCGCGAGAAGCAGGTGAGTAAATAGCAGTGCAGCTGTGCACTTGGTGCGATGGGCTACGTATCTGACGCCACACTCCAGGTCAACGGCAAGAAGCTCACCGAGGTCATCAACAAGACCCACATGAACTCGCGTTACCTCCCGGACGTTGAGCTGCCCGAGAACCTTGTCGCCGTCCCCAAGCTCGCCGACGTCGTCAAGGACGCAACCCTTATCGTCTTCGTCACCCCCCACCAGTTCCTCCACACCGTCATTTCCGACCTCAAGCGTGTCCCTGGAACGATCACCCCGGGCGCCCGCGCAGTTACTGCCATCAAGGGCGTCGAGGTTGTCGGCACTGAGATCTCCACCTTTGCCTCCCTCATCGAGTCGCAGCTCAGCACGCCTTGCTCGGCTCTCTCGGGTGCCAACATCGCCCTCGAGGTCGCTCTTGGCCAGTTCTGCGAGACCACCATTGGCTGCCCCTCGGGCGTCGACGCTACTCTGTGGCACGCCGTTTTTGACGCCCACTCGTTCCGTGTCTCGACTGTCGAGGACGTCAACGGTGTCTCGCTCGGTGGTGCGCTCAAGAACATTGTCGCCCTCGCTGCCGGCATGGTCGACGGTCTGCGTCTCGGTGGCAACACCAAGGCCGCCATCCTCCGCATTGGTCTGTCCGAGATGACCGAGTTCACCCTCGAGTTCTTCCCCGGCGCCCAGCGCCAGACCTTCTCCAACGAGTCGGCAGGCATTGCCGACCTCATCACCACCTGCTACGGTGGCCGCAACCGCAAGTGCGCTGAGGAGATGGTCAAGACCGGCCACTCGTTCGACGTCATTGAGAAGCGCCTGCTCAACGGCCAGAAGCTCCAGGGTACCGCTACCGCCCAGGAAGTCAACGCCTTCCTCAGCGCCCGTGACGCGGTCTCCAAGTACCCGCTGTTCGAGAAGGTGTACCGTATCGCCTTCGAGGGCATGCCCCCCGCCGAGCTCGTCAAGGGTCTCTAAATTGCGGGCATTGGTATTTGAGGGAGAACATACATACACACGATAACCACTTGGAGCCAGCCTGAAAGTGCAAGTGTTGCCACTCAGTGCTGCGCTGTATTAGTACTGTAGCGTTAACGTATCCGGTGCAGGCCACCTAGATGAATAGACACATAGATATTATTCTTTCTCTGCTGTTGGCTGCGCAGTTCACCACTGACACATGTGCCACAAGCAAGTTCGTGGATCCGTAGATTGGCAAGTGGCACACAAGTGGCACACACCCACGCTAAGAGCGCACACTGCTAATCTATCAGTGGGAACTCTGCTAGTCTGTACTCCGGCCTGACTGTGAACTGTGCAAAGTTTATCGTTTGTAAACATCCATTAACCCCACTCTATGTCTGCTATCTAGGATCATAGGCCATGGCATGGATCGTCGCCCCGCCCTATCGCTTGTCCACCCACACCTCCTATCGCCGGCGTCCACGTCATGGAGTCCGCCTTTGATAGCGCGTTACGGAGGCCCTCATGACCCCCCTAGCCTAGGATCATGAGGATCCTGTTAGGAAAAAAACTGAATACATAGGGTCACTCACAGACCAGGGTTCGCCTGTAGTTTGGATTGAGCTACTGTCGTCATACAGGTTACCCGTACGCCACCCACGACATGCAGTGCGGAGCAATTGATGGAGCGAGCGGCAACCGCCAACGGCAGTGGACGGACGGACGGGCGGACTGACCTTCGCCCCCAAACCGAGAGTGAGAGCGTAACGGGCCATCTCGCACCTGTTGATTAACGTCCAACGGCGCGAGGGCGCTTTCTGCAACGCCGAAAAGATACTCCTAGACCCGTGACAGCGGGTGACATGGTGACATGGTGACAAGCACGCCTTCGCCGTTGCCCCAAAACGCACTTGTCCCCTGCGACCTCGTGCGTGGGAGTAGCAGAAGGGGTAGATCTGCTTGCACCAATCGGTTTCACAGAGAGAGAGGGGTCCGGGGTTGTGCAGGGTTTGGTGCCATTGGGATTGGTGTAATTGGTGTACGGTGTGTGCGATTGCCACGTGTCTTACGTTGGGTTGGCCGGGTTGGACGCTTGGTAAAGCACGGCGGTGGTGCGGGCTGCGGTAGGAATGCTGAGAGAAATCTATAACTGACAGGATCAACAGCTGCCGTAATGGACAGTCTGGAAAAGCTCCTGAGGCACCAATCCAGTGCTGGAGATCTCCCACGCTTGGGGTTGGCTTTGGTGGTGTTGCTAGGCAACCCCGGACATGGCACAAGACCGGATGGCGAGGGAAAATGGAAAGAGATCGGTTGTCCTAAGCCGGTATTTCGAACGCAATGGCCGCAAACCCACCACTTTAGACTGGTCTAAACGCGATTTGTTAATTCAACTTGACGATTCTGAACAGATGCTTGTGATACTGAGCAGCTCGTTATACCGGAACGTGTCTACGGCTGCTGATTTGAGCTGTTCATAACAGCGCACAGTTGCAGAAACGTGGCTCGAGATTCCATCAGGTGAGACCCACAAAAGTGGCGGGTGACGGGACCGGGCGGAATCTGAATGTGTGGGATTGATGGGATGGATACAGCATCCTGCACTGGTGTTTCTGAGCAGCTCACAATGCTCCGCTGGGGTGTAAAGGAGTATCAAAGTAAGCAGCTCCGAGTGGCCTATGCACCTCTCATCCTCTTCTGAGCTCGATGGAGACCAGACTAGCAACGTTGTGGGTCATGCGCTAAGCGTTGGCGGTCCAACGGGTAATAGCACTCTCCTTCCCCAAAGGCTGTGAGGGCTCCCAAAGGCCCAGAATGTGAGAAAGTGACGCCCAGGCGGGGCGTCAGAGCCAGTACGTTTGTTGTGGCGGCCTCACGCGACACGCTTATATTTACGACCCTTCGCATTGTTTACTGCATACACTTCCCATCCTTTCACTTTCTTCAACACAACGGGCAAGCGTTTCGCTCCTGAGAAAACGGCCAGCAAGACCGTCAAGGGCCTCACCGAAATCGATTTTGCACCGCCTTTCAGCGTGATATCCTTACCGGCATCAGCAAGCTGAAGAAGAAGGGCGGCGACGGGCGGTGGTGAGTCTCCAAACATATCGCACACCGCTTACCTCCCTACAGGATGCCACTTAACATCGTTTGGAATCCCCCTCCACACGAGGTTACTGTGCCATACCCAGAAGGGTCAAGCTTTGCCGACCAACATGCGGCACTGGTCAAGGCAATGACCGAATATGTGGCAAAGGTCAACTACGGCCCGCAAAAGTTCTTTGCCACCCAGTCCGAGGCTGCTCGAACGGCGGAGGACTTTGCGTTCCACAGCTTGAAGCCCCTCAGCGTGGTCCAGCTGCACTACCGCTGGTGGGCGCAGACGGAACCGCTGACCTTGGATTACCTTCACCGGACGGGCATCAGCAAGCCGGTAGACGACAAGCAGCCGGGCTTCCGCCTGTACGCAAAGCTCCTCCAAGGGCAAGCACTGGCCGACATCTTGCCTGAGGTGCAGGCCTCGGACAAAGAGCACGTCTCGGCATGGGGTTCCCTCATGGAGACACGTATGGGTACTCCAATTCCCAAGGACGTTGCTCAGTTCCTCGTCGACGATGGGTTTTTCAATCGTCGCAACAGCCCGGTCCCGGACCTCGCCAATCCGGTCACGCCATCCTCAACCTGCCTGCTCCAAGAGGCGTCCATCTTCCAAATCGGCCGCAATCTGTCGACCATCAGTGAGCGTCGAGACGACGAAGCTCGCAGCCTCAAGACGTCAAGCTCTCGCTGGTGCTCGGCAATCAAAGCTATGCCACAAAGGGAGAAAGATATCGTATACGAGGAGATTGAGGATTTCTTCCCTCTTGGCTTGCCGCCAGAGGAGACAAAGGAACGACTGGAGCACGGCATAAGATTTGGGCGACATTGTTCCACTCGCCATTCATCTCTGCCTGTCAGACACCAGGTCTCGGCAGGCCTGTTCTGGGTGAAGCGGCAACGCCAAAGTCCTTGTTCAACACTGCCTTTCTCCTCCCGGTAATCTGGCGGCAGTACAAGTGGGCGAGTACATTGTGGCCGCGTCAGACGATAACCTACTCCTCTCACTCAAGCTCTTGGCCTCTTGTTGGCCGCACCGGCCTTTCACGCTGTGACATTTTACCTCCATTCCTTCTCGCTGGTTTGGCAATGATGTGCTGTACATACATACGTAACTGAACCTATGAGGGCAATTTTTCAACAGACTTACATTGATCTATTGATTTCGATGTTTATAAGGCATCCTAGTGATGCCTTCGGGGTTGGTGAATTGTGTGGAGGAATCACAGCACGGTGAAGACAAAGATGTGACAATACGGTCGTCCCCGGTTGGTTATGTATGTACTGACTGTGGCAGATGTGTACGCAAGTCCAAACCTGTACAGTCAACTGTCCGCCTTCCTCGCGCTTGCCTTCCCTTCCTGGCCTCCTATGCCTTCCTCGCCCGTCCGACATCCGTTTCTCTTGTTCTTCATTAACACCACCTCCACCACACCAATTTTTGCTGGCCATCCTCCTCTGCGATTCACAGCCTGATCTTCACACCACGTCATGGCCACGCCCGGCGGTCACCACGCCCGGCGGTCATGTCGGCAAAGGGCCAGTGCGACTTGCGCCCTTTCCCCGTACGTTCCTCCGTGCGGTGTTAGGCAAGGGGATCGCTGCGACAAGTGCTCCGGTTACTCCTATTCCGGCGACCAGGAAGCGTCGTCTAGGCTTTTGGATCTCCAACCATTCTCCGCTTGCCGGAAATCCGAACGCCATTCCCGTTGCCCCCACCCACATTCTCCTGTGCAACGACATCGGCTAGAGGGCCCCCGCGTCATCCCGTAAGGTCGCTGTGCACTATCGATGTGTTCTGTGACGTACGTGACGTACGCTGATCGTAGTAGGCGCATGCCAAGGCTTTTGCGCGCTGCATCGGAATGTCTGATGGAATCAAGCGGTGTGACGCGGTGCTTGGCGGCAACGGAACCGTCAGGTGTCCCCAGGGCGCCGACATGTAAAGAAAGTGGCACCTTGTGGGGACGTTCCATGTAGTGCACTATGTAGCTTCAAGCCAACTTGGACCACTGTGCCACTGCCTCCATGACAGTCATTTTTGTGAAGCAGTATGGGAAGTTCTGAAGCAGCTATGACCGAATTGTGTATGTATGACAACGACAGGCCCTAAAGCCCGTCGGCCGTCGGCGACCATGGCGCATCTTCATGCGCCCGTGGGGAGATCACAAGTCGCACCAAGGTCACAAGGACAAAAGAAGGACTCTGCGTGCACTGCCTCGCTGCGCCCGTTTGCGTTGCTGATTCAGCTTCTTGGTCGCTTTGCCGTGTCTTCTTCCTCATAAATACATCCCGCTTCTTTCCCCATTGGCCATTGGCGTCAACCCCTCATCTTCATTCTTCGTCTCCCACCTCCCAGAATGACAGCCTATCCCACTCTTCCAGCAACCACTCTCGCCAGTCTCGCCGTGCGCGCACCCGAGAACCCAGACGACCACCATCGCTTCTCCTCCAAGAAGAAGATCTATCTCTCCCAGGCTCTGCAAGGCCTGCTCGATGTCCCTCGAGTGCCACCTGGCACCAACAGCAACGAGTACCCTAGGCAGAACCATGGCTCCCTCACGCAACATGCGACGAGGGGCTACAACAACATTAAGCGTATGTCCTGCTGGAAGCCACGGTGCTACATGTACATCTGCTGACACTTCAGCCTTGATTTCCCAGGCTCTGTGGCCCGCCGGCGACCGCCCCTTCACGGTCTCCGAGGCACCCACCATCCCTCCCACTGCGCCCACCCCCGTCCGCTGGGGCTTCCCTGCGCCCTCGCTTGAGAACGTTACAACTCTCGACTTGGTTCTCAAGCCCCTCCCCCTCAATGGCGACACGGTCGCTGCTCTCAGCACCATGTTTCAGCCGGCCGGACTCGGGACCCAAACCATGGCGGTCCGAGCCGCCACATTCGTCTCGCTGAGCAGGCTGCTGTGGAAAGAGCAGGACGCCAGTGTCCAGACCCGGTTGGCGGAGCAGGTGCGTAACTCGTGTGGACTCCTCCTTCACGCACTAACTCTCTCCTCTCAGTGGACCTCCAATTCGAGCGTGACTCGGAATACGTCCCTCTGCCTGGTGCTCAACCAGGTGCTTCGACCAGCTGGCCACTTCAAGACAGGCCACGACAACCGCACCGCCACCGATGCGGTCGAGTGGTACTCCAACCAGACCAAGCAGGTCAAGGGTGAGTCTCAGAGTCCCCAAGGCCTGTGTTGCTGACAAGTAGACGAGTGGCGCCACGCGTTCGCTGCCAACGCACGCAACCTGGGGTCTGGAATGTAGGTCCCAGAGTCAAGTGACCAGGCTGACGGTCAGCAACCCCCAGCAGTTCGCGCCTCCTCGCCCCCTTCCTCCCAGCACAAAGACCTCCTTCTACAACAAGATGGAGGGTCTCACCTTTGCTGCTGGAGAAGAAGACGACGGTGGCGTGCAGCGACTGCACGATTTACTTGCGGGTATCCCGCAGGTCAAGGGCAAGGGCAGCGGCGGTCGGTGGTGAGTTTTCAGCTTGTGTGGCAATGATTGACGCCCTACAGGCTCCCCCTCAACGTCGTGTGGAACCCCAAGCCGCACGAGGTGGGCCTCCCCTATCCGCCTGGGTCGGGCCACGAAGAGCAACATGCCGCTCTCGTGGAAGCGATGGCGCACTATCTGGCGAGGGTCAACTGTGGCCCCCAAAAGTTCTTCACGTCGGAGAAGGAGGCCACCCGCCAGGCCGCCGACTTTGCACGCTACGCGTTGCAGCCACTCGGAGTTAACCAGCTCCACTACATCTGGTTTGCCCAATGCGTGCCCTTCACGCTTGGGTACCTCCGCAAGACTGGCATCAGTGCCACGATTGTGGACGACACCACCCCCGGCTTTCGCATTTACGCGAAAGCCCTCCAAGGTCGACCCATTGACGAGGTCATCGCCGAGCTAGTGGCGGCGGGAATGATGGGGGTGGTGGGGTCGGGGGAGGGGAAGCCGAAGAAGCCGTCAGCGCAGAGGAATTGGCAATCTGGGAGCAGCGTGGCCACGGCGCTCCTCTGTCCGTGTACCCGCCCACCGCCGATGGCGGGTCATACCTTCCTCGGCTGCCGAAGGAGCCGAAAGCCTTGTGGCCGCAGCTTGTTCAGGAGAACGGCCTTGTCGTCCTCCGACATCGAAAACGCCTGGAACTCTCCTCCCATCAGGAGAGGACCGGACCCGCACGCCACGCCGATGGTGTTGGCAACAGTCTTGAAGAAGACGATGTCCACCGCGACGTCACGACCGATTGCCTGGTCGGTCTGTCAAGGGCTTGCCGAGCTCCAAGGGTGACCAGCCCGTCGTCGAATGGCTTGACACAATGGGCCTTCACGACGACACCCCGCACGGTGGATGGGCCACTCTGGGGGCCGCGGCAGGTCCTGTCCCAGTGTCGAGACGGTGAAGATCTCGAGGTGGTCGCCGGCGTCGTCCTCCCACGTACGGTACGTGAAGATTGCGCCGGCGAAGGCGAGATCGTCGGTGCCTTCGACATTCTTGAAACGGACGGGGAACGGGGTAACAAGGCCCTTGCAGACTGAGACCCATCCACCGTGCGAGGTGTCGTCGTGAAGGTCCATTGTGTCGAGCCATTCGACGACGGGCTGGTCACCCTTGAAGCCGAGCGAATGCAGGGCCTCGATCGTCGCGTCGCCCACGAGGAAGTCGCCGACCTGCTGACCGAGAAACTGTCGCCAGATGATGGGGAGCAGTTTGGCAGTGTTGAACAGGCTTTTGGGTGCGTCGCCTTCGACGAGGAGGGGAGCACCCATACCCGGGGTCTGGCGAGCAGAGGGGGAGTGGAACAGGAAGCCCAGAACAGCTCGGCGTGCTCCAGCCGCTCGCGCGTCTCCGCCATCAGGGCGATGCCCAACGCACAGAAGGATATCGTGTATGAGGAGGTACACGAGTTCTTCAAGGGTGCCAGGCGAAGCTTGAAGAACTCGTGTACCTCCTCATACACGATATCCTTCTGTGCGTTGGGCATCGCCCTGATGGCGGACACCCATCGAGACGTCGTCGACCCACGCACACTTCGGGCCTCGCCCGCTCGCCGCCAATCGCGGGACCGTGAGGAGGGCCTCGGTGTCGAAATTACGCATGAGGGCACAGACTGGGCCGAGAATGCGGCTGACGTGCCCTCATGCATAATTTCGACACCGAGGCCCTCCTCAAGGTCAAAGAGGAGCAGGTGAACACCTGGAGGTATTCAGCGTCTCCAACCTCGGCCAAGAGCTCCCACGACCCCCCAAATGGCCAAGTGGACCGTTTTCACGCCGCCTTCCAACCTCGTTGTCAAAGCATTTCGTAACCGTGGCACATTGTGAGGCGCTTCCCTCCGTCAAAGAGGCGCTCAACCTCGCCAAGGACAGTCACCAAACCGGGCGTGACGTGAATGTCACCACCGTCCGGTTCATCAAGACCATTGACGTCCGGATCGGCCTTGCCGGCGCTTCCACCCCCCTTCTAAGGGAAAGCGCCGTGCAATCGTTCACCATGTCCCGTGACGCCCGAACGATACTGTTCGACAAGCCCCTCCCGCGTGCGATGTGCCTACGCGATTTGGCGGTATGGGAGACGAGGAGACGGCGCGCGCCTCTGGCCGTGCCAGCATCAACAACCGGTAACGGCGGATACCTGCCTCGCCTACCGGCAGAGCCCATGGCGATCGTCGCATCGGCGTGGTCCGACCTCAACCGGCTCAGCGACCAACTCGGGCCCGCAGTTGTCACCGCCAATGGTGATGTAAACAAGGTCCTTGGAGACACGACCGTTGCGCTGCAGGTGAGAATTATCCAGCATCATTCATTAGCTTACCCGCCAGCGTCTCCACGACGACCTCGAAGAGCTCAACAGCGAAGAACGTGAAGAGGCGCAGCGGAATGCCGAAGAGGTACGCACTTTTCTTCTTCCTACTGTTTGACCCCCCTTGTAGGCGTCGAGCAACCGCGTATTGGATGTTCTCAACGATATCTCCCGCGCCAAAACGACAAACCACAAGCTCGAGGACCTGCTGAACCTTCCGGACGACGACGTTAACCAACGCATTGCATCGTACATCCAGATGTACGGCTCATTCACGATTGTTGCGCTTTTTCAAGGATTTTTCTTCTTTTTAAAGAAACATGTTTCTATCGCTCCCTCCGTACCTTGCAAGGTATCAACCCCCCAGCATCTCTTTGTCGGACGCTCTTCCAAGCACCCGTCATTCCCCCTCGTTCATCAGCACCCTGCCCCTGCCTTGCGTGCTCCACGAGTTCCGTCCCTTACATTCCTGTCAACGTCCGGCATGTTTAGCTTATGCATATGTCTGCCTGCCTCAAGGTTGTGCCACAGTGGGGCAGCCCCTCCCCCATCCTTCCACACTTTGCTTGCGCAACGCCCTCCCCTCTAGCCACTCCCGCCAACCATACATAGTCTACACCTACTGTCAACCCGGTTGCCAACAACCACTCCTATTTACTATTCTCCCCATTGAGGTGTTTTCTAAAGCGCTCACTGACGCTGGCGCGCGCGCGCGCGCCGTCCGCGGCGCCAAACGTGCCTGCGCGGGTCACCTCGACGGGACCTGTGGCGATCACGCCTGCGGAGACGTTGCTGGCCGTGTCGGACGGGTGGCCGCTGGTGACGCTGACGACGCCGACGCTCGCGAGCGACGTGATCGAGTCGGACTTTTCGTGCTGGACCAGCGGCGCGTGTGCGTGCTCGAGGGGCGGGAGCGAGGCGTCGGCCGAGTCGGCACGCTGCGAGAGCGAGTTGGACAGCGACTGCTGCGAGTACGCGGGCGAGTTGGAGACGGCGGTCGTGGGCTCGGGCGGGTGCGAGGGCACAAAGCTCGTGGGACGGACCGTGTGCGTGCTTGCCAACGAGGACTGTTTGCGCAGGTTGTGCTCGTCGCCCGCGATGCCGGATGGCGAGGCCGTGTGCCATGACGGCTGCGGGGACGAGGCCGCGCCCACTGACGCTTGCCACGAGTGACGGGGTGACGCGTTGCTGGGCCACGGCTGCGGGCCGGGGGACGACGAGGCGCCGCCGCTGAACGGCGTCTTGGGCGAGGCGACGGCCTGGGCGGTGACGCTTGGGCTTACCGTGTCGCTGGACACGTCCGCACTGGAAGTATCATACAGGGATGCGCGCGGGCTGACGCTGGCGCGGACAGTGGGCCGGTCGCTAGCGGTCGAGACCCCCAGCCCACCATCAAGGGGCTCGGGATCGGTCGGGTGGTGGATGGCCGTGGGCTTTGGCGGGCTCTGCTCAATGGGGTCGAGCGAGCGCGGGCCGTCAAACCGCGACGACGTCACGCCGCCGTTGTCGTACCGGCTCGAATTGGAGGCGCCCGAGTCGTACCGACCGGCCGAGGACGGTGGGCGGTCGTTACGTGGAGTCTCACGGCCGTTGAAGCGCAGCAGCGGTGAATGGATCGACGACGTCGACTGCGACGGGCTGTGCCGTGGGTCGTTGCGCGGCGACTCGCTGAACGTGTTTGTCGACCAGCCGCGGCGGTGTGTCGATCCAGCCTCGGCAGAGTCGCGGAGTGGAGTGTAGCCCGGTGTGTACATGCTCTCTGGGCGACGGCCCGAGGACGCGCGAGCCGGTGTGGTGGTGACTGCTACGGGCGTTGCCGGTGCAGCGGCGGCCGTGGTAGAGCGAACGGCCAGCAACGCCTCGGTCAAGTCACGCGACGCCTGGTCGGACGAGCGCGCGGCCTCGCGCAGGGTGACGGACAAACGTGGCAGGCGCTCACGCACACTGACAATCGCGGCGGCATTGTCAATCTCCACATCGACCGCGAGCGACGAGGCAATGGCGAGGGCGGCGTGCAGCCCAACATTTGTACGTTCCGAGCACTTTGCTGCTGTCTGCAGCTTTTCAATGGTGGCAGGGTCAATGTCTGCCTTACGTGCGTCCAAGAGTCGCGCCGAGTCGAGCAAGTTGCGCCCATGCTCGGTGGTTTCCGGGTTGCTGCTCCCTTGCGAGCGTCCGCCGATACTGGTCTGGCTGCGCAGCCGCACTCGGGGCTCGGTGCTGGGACCGGTGTACGACCCGTGCGAGGCGCGAGACGTGCGGCCCATCAAGGGGCTGTCGGCGACGGACGCCGCGTCGTCTGTCGACTCTGTCCGACGTCGCGTCACGGGTGCTGTACGTGGTGTTGTAATGTGGGCCGCATTGTTGCTAAACTGATCCCGGACCGACGACATGGACGACATGGAGGTCTGCGGGCGGACATGCGAGACCCGCGACGAGGATCGCATCTCCCGGGCGTGGGCGCCGTCGTCCATACGTGACGTGGGCCGTGTCGAGGCCAGCACCTCGCGCTCACCGCCGTACCGCGAGTTACCCAGCACCGACGCCGAGCGGTCACCCAGCACCGACGCCGAGCGGTCCTCCCAGCTGCGGTTGTGCTGTGTGCGGGTCTCCTCCAGACGGCGAATGACGTCAAGGGGATCCTTGCGGGTGGCCGCGGACACGCTGCCAAGCTCACTGCGGTTCCCAGTCATGGATGCCGAGTCGCTGGGTCGCAGCTCGTGTGGTGTATAGCTGCTGCTGCCGCCGCCGCTGCCGCCGCCGTGGTATGACCCAAAGTCGCGCGAGCCAGCAAACTCGCGAGACCGGCGATAGCTTCGTTCCGGAGTGACACTGGCGCGCACACCAAACTCGCTCAGCACGGCGCTCACGCGGTTTGTCCTGTCCTCATTGCCATACGTGTTGCTGCGGTGAGGCGAGTTGTAGTATCCCTGCGAGCCGTGCGAGTAGCGGTCGTGGACTGCCAACGTCTCCAGAACGCTTTCTGGGCGAGCGCGGGTCGAGCCTAGTTCGCGACGAGCGGGTGAGCCATATGTGTCAAAGTCGCGCGACAGCCGTGATGACCCAAGTGTGCTCGAGCGCCCGTTGGTCCACCGCGGGCTGTCACCCAGTACGCTGTGGGGGCGTCCAACGCCTCCTCCGTAGGTGCGCTGGGACCGGGGCGAGTCGCTTAGGTCAATGTGTTGACGTGGGCTGGCATGGTATGTGTCGTCTGCCTTGGGCGAGGGCGAGAACAGTCGGCCATTGTGGAATTCTGCAGGAATGGGCTGCCTCACTTTACCCAGTCTGGACCCCGAACCGCCCCTGTCGCCCGATCCCCGCGACCCTCGTGATGCCGAATCGTGATCATACTCGGTCCCACTGGCATCCATGGATGTTGTCGCCACCCCGGGCCGATGCGCCGGGGATAAAGTGTTCTCGAGGCGAACAGATTCAAAGCGGCGGACCATGGGCGACACTGCTTCTCGGCTATGCGGCTCGTCCCCAATACCACCGTTCCGCAAGGACTGGCGGCGAGCGAGACGTTCCTCGGCTTCCCGTATCCTGTCGTCGAGGGTCTGTTCCAGTCGTGCAGCGGCAGCCGGCGACTGCGGGCCGTCTTCCTCCTCCACGGCAGACGAAGCGAGTCCGCCGGCGCTGTCGCGGCGCGTGTTCATTCGGCGTGAGAAGCGGCGCTCCAGCGGGCTGGCAATGGCCACTGGTGAATGCGGCTGGTACCGTGAGGGCGAAGCGATACCCGAGGCGGATGGCGAGTCGGTGTTGAGCGGCGTCGCAGGCAGGCTGTACCGGTGCGACGACCCGCGCCGGCTGGAACGGCTAATGCTCACGTTACTCATCTCGCGGACGAGCTCGTGGGACGTGCCGCGCGGTGTGATGGTCGAATGGCGTCCAGCGGCGGTCGGAGCGCGGTCTGACGTGCGCGACGAGATGCGCATAAGGACGCTCGGGATGCCTTGCGGGCTGTGATTTGAGTCGATGGAAAGGGAGGAGAGGGAGTTGGATGTGGGGAGACCACCAGAGTTCTTGGTCCTCTGGAGGGACGACGAGCGATACATGTCGCTACCGGCCTAAGGATTGTTGTCAGTCTGTGCACATACACACACACCCATATCTCGAAAGGACGTACCCCCAACCCGTTCGCAGCGGTTGCGTTGGCGTCATTGGCGCCGCCCCCCGCAGACGACGGCGACGGACGCCCGGGGTCGCTGTTGACATGGCCGTACGCTGGCTCGTCGGCATCGCGAAAGATGGACTCGTCGTCGTCGTCGTCGTTGTCGTCGTCTGTTGTGCTAACGAAACTGCCCTCGCGGCCAGCTTTGACCCAGTCCTTAAAGTCGATCCGGACAGGCCCCAAGCCGACCGCACCTGCGGCGCCTAGGCCGAGTGCACCGGGTCCCAAGCGCATGCCCGGCGAGACGGGTGGTGCATTAGGCGATCCGGGGCGCGCCGGAGTGCGAGGGCCGAGAAGGATATTGGAAGGCGGTCGTGAGCGCTGGTGTGTCCAGTCACCGCCGCCGCCGCCGCCGCCGCCTCCGTTCGAGCCTGTCTCGTGGTGGTGGTGGTGTGACGACGAAGACGAGTCGCGCAATGTCGACGGCGTGTAGGGTGCGACGCCGTTGTCACCGGTATCAGCAGCAGTGTCTGGAGGGGAGGGCGACTGTTGTGAACTAGCGTCGTACGCAGGGTGTTGTTGTAGGGATGAAGGACGTGTGAGGGGCGAGGATCCTTTCGAAGAGCTTGTTGCAGAGACAGACCTCGATGGGTGCCTGCGCGGGATGGGTGGTGGCCCGGGACGCGGCGGTGGTGTGGATGGGATGGCAGTCATTGCACAGGTGCGGCGCGAGCAAGCGTTGCAAAGGTCTGCTGCCGGGGGGGCGAGAGCCGGGGGGGTAGGGGGGGTTTGTGACTCTGTTGGAAGGACACGGGGGGGAGGTTGTTCTGGTGCCTAGGCCAGCTAGACGAATGTGGGAGTGATGTGCGTCATGAATGGATGGTGGGGAAGGGGGGGAGGATTGCGTTGCTGGGTCGAATGTAAAGTTTGGGTTGGAAGGTTGAGAGAAGGAGCGAGAGAGAGAGATGCGGAGAACGCGTGAACGGAAAGTAAAGATGTGGGATGCGGGATGTGATGTGTGTGGATGTGTGTGGATGTGGTGTATTCGTGCGCGACTAATCGTTGACGCGTCGTGGGAGAGAACGCGGCAGCTAGTGCAGCTTTTGTCGCGGGACAGTACTTGAGAGTCACTGGAGCTGTGTGTGTCGGGGTCGTCGCGCGCACAAACGCGTCCAGCAGCAGTGCAGGAGTCTGACGTCGGTGGAAAGCCCGCCCGCCCCCGCTGCCGCGCTCCCCGTGCACCACACACACAACAGCAGCAGCACGAGATGCCTCTTCAAGCAACAACACACCGCGAGGATATATCTATACTATTACGTAAGCAATGGTGCCTCCCTACAGAACGCTCATTGTACGGGCGATGCGCGCGTGCGGGGAGCGTGAGGGATGGAGGATGGTTCCAGGTCCTGGTGGGTGGCTCTGGCGCTGGCTCGGGGGCGGCTGTGGCTCGATTGGAGTGTCTGCAGTGTCTGCCTGGCTGGTGTCGCGCTCTCTGGCTCGCTTCCCCTCTCTCCATCGCTCCTCGTCCTGGTCTTTGTCTCTCTTTGTCTCTCTCTCGCTCTCTCTCTCTCTCTGTCCTTTGTCTCTCACTCAACACAGTACCCTGTCGCCCAGTGCATAGTGGTGCACAACAACACATCTCCCCCTTCCACCCCCTCCCACAAGCCCTGCAGCCAAACCCCCACACCCGGCCAACCCCTTACCACAAACCCATCCATCGCTCGCGCAATCCACGCATCTCTCTCATCGCCCCACTCCTCTCCCTCTGCCGCACCTCCGTCGTCACCTCTGCGTTGTCCACATCACCACACAGACCTTTTGCACGCGCGCGTCACTCCCACTCTCCCATTCTCTACCTCCCCCACCCTCTCCCCATCGCCCGGCCACACCATGCCGGGGTTTGAACGCTCGCCGCTCGGGTTGAACGGGTCCTCGACGTCCGCGTCAGCACCGTCCTCGTCAAAGGCCTCTCTCCACCCCTTCGCGGCCGTCAAGTCGTCCATCTCAAGGAAGAAGCCTCTCGGTCTTGACATTTCCCGCTCCATCCCAAAGGTCCCCGCCGGCGGCCGCGCAGACTCCACCCCAGGCTCTGGCGGCGACGCCAGCTCCGTCAGTTGGTACCCCGAGGCGGACCACCTCCGCCATCAGATCGAGCTCCTCCAGCTGTCTGGACGCTCCAGCTCCTCATCGTACGCGTCCGGTCCCGACGGTCCCGAGTCGCCGCCAAGTCTGTCACCCGTGACAGTTAGTGCGCCCGGCGCCGTGACCTCGGCGCCATCAAACTCAGCCACCAGCGGCGGCGGCGCGAACCCGACTCCGCCGCCCCGGCCCCCGCGTCGCCAGCTCACCGGCAACAGCAACTCTGCGTCAACCGCGTTGCCCGGGTCCACGTCCACTTCCAACCTCTCTGCCACAGGCTCGACAAGCTCGCGTAGCAAAAAGCACAGCACGAACGGAAAGAAGAAGAAGCACGCCGCGGACAATGATGACATGGTCAAGGAGGAGGACCTTGACGTGCTGTCTGATCTCGGAGCAGGTAACGGCGGGACCGTGACCAAGGTGTGGAACAAGAAGCGCAAGAGTATCATGGCCAAAAAGGTGAGCGAGCGTCTGTCACGTCGGACGCCGGGCAAACGACTAACATACAGCTCATCCTCGTCGACGCCAAACCTGCGGTGCGCAAGCAGATTCTGCGCGAGCTCCAGATCATGAACGACTGCGCCTCGCCTTACATCGTCAGCTACTATGGATGCTTCCCCGTCGACGTCCACGTCGGCATCGTCATGGAGTACATGGACCTCGGGTGCGTGTGGTGACCCGTCTGCTGTGCGACATTGAGCCTGGGCTCGCGTCGTCCGTCGCACAGCAGCACACTAAGGTTGGATCGTCGGCGCTAACACTTTATGCGCACAGATCGCTCGACTACATCTGTCGCAACACTGGTGCTATCCCAATCGACATTGTGGGCAAGGTTGCCGAGTCTGTGCTCCAGGGTCTCGTCTACCTCTACGACGTGCATCGCATCATCCACCGTGGTAGGTACCCACCCTTGCGTCTCATTACGCAGTGGAAGCCAGGCTGACTCCCCCTCCAGACATCAAGCCCTCCAACATTCTCGCAAACTCGCAGGGCCAGATCAAGATCTGCGACTTTGGCGTGTCTGGAGAGCTCATCAACTCGATCGCCAACACATTTGTGGGCACGAGCACGTACATGAGCCCCGAGCGTATCCAGGGCGCGCAGTACACCATCAAGTCGGACGTGTGGTCGCTGGGCATCTCGCTGGTCGAGCTCGCCCAGGGCCGTTTCCCCTTTGCCGACCCGCCCGACAGCGACTCGGAGTCGTGTGATGGCCTCGACGACGACGAGCGCCAGCCCGCCGAGAACACGTTCGACCCCGACGCGACCTTGCCGCTGTCTTCGCAGCGCCCACAGCTGTCGCCCACCACCAAGCGCCACCGCAAGCGCGGCGTCTCGCTCGGCGGCGGCGGCATGACCATGTCCATTCTCGACCTGCTCCAGCACATTGTCAACGAGCCCGCGCCGCGTCTCGTCTCCCGCCGCGAACAGTTCCCCGACTCGGCCGTCCTGTTCGTCGACGCGTGTCTCTACAAGGACCCTGCCGCGCGCAAGTCGCCCCAGGAGCTGCTCGTGAGTTGTTGCGCGCGCCGAGGGAAAGGGAACCTGGAACCGTTTGCTGACCCCGCGCAGGAATCTGACTGGATCAAGAACTCAAAGGTCACGCAGGCGGACCTGCGATCGTGGGCCGAGGGCGTCGCCGAGGCCCAGAAGCCTTGAACGTAGACCTACCACACCGACCCTCAACAACAACAACACTACAGTACAACCCCACCTCATCGCCCCGGTGATACCCATCCACATGTCCCCTCTGCCGTCCCCCCCGTTCAACATATTTCTTTCCAGGAGTCAAACCCTTTCAAACGCACTTACAGCTAGCAGTACACGCCCCCCAGCGCTCCCCCCATGCATCCCCCATCCGTCTCCCTCTCCTCTCGCGTCATTTTTCCTCCACCACACACCAAAGTAAACCCTTGTAAACCTCTCTCTTCTCCTCTTCTCCTCTTCTCTCTTTCTCTCTCTCTGCTTCTCTCTCTCTCTTTCTTTTCTCTCTCTCTCTCGCTCTCTCTCTCTCTCTCTCTCTCTGTCAATACACTGCATGCAAGAAGGGATATCCATATGACCACGCGCACAAGCGCCACGGACGCCCAGGGCGCACGGCGTACGGCGTACGGCATCTTGCCAAGCCCCCACCCCCACCCCCACCCCCCCACCCACTCTGGACACCGACGCCGGCGCCGGCGCCGTACGCCGTAAGCCCCCAAACCCAGCTTGTCTAATTGCCTGTAGCCAGCCAGTGGCCAGTGGCGCTGCGGCGGGCTGGGCGGGCTCGGCGGGATACATTCGTCGGGAACTGGGAACGGGGAGCTGGAGTCTCCGAGCTCGTAACGAACGGCGCACAGACCCGACCCGACTGTGGCGGCCGCGCCGGTGGCCGGTGGGTGTTGTGGAGTGGATAGTGGATAGTGGATAGTGGCGAACGGGCATGCGGTCAGCTGTAAGCGAGCGTGCTCGTGCTCGTGGCCGTGGTCGGGGCTGGGGCTGGGGCTGGGGCTGGGGCTGGGGCTGTGGATGTGGGTGTGGGTGTCACGTCACCTTGTCCATCAGCACAGGCCACGGGCCACAGGTGACGGGCACAAGTGACATTGGGTTTGCATGGCATGGATCGCGCGGGCACACACACAACACACACACACACACGCGCACACACACGCACACAGCAATACATTGCGAAAACTGCTGACAATAGGGAGACATCGTCACAAGGGCGGCGTAAGCCTCATCACACCCCATGTCACTGGCGTCGCTGTCATACTCTACTGTACCGCTTTGAAATGCTTTTTGAAGAAGCAGTAGATGCAGTTGCCGTCGATAACAGCGCTCTTGATCCCAAAGCACTGGGTGATGTCGTGGCGATGGCACCGGTGGCACACGGGCACGTACTTTGCCCCACCCTGGTCAAGACCGATGGCACGCAAAGCGATGGCCAGCGCATCGACCAGACGATCACCGTCTTTCGCTGGCGCAAGGGCTTGGTACATACGCGCCGGTGAAAGACGGTGATTGTCTGGTCGATGCGCTGGTCGATCGCTTTGCGTGCCATCGGTCTTGACCAGGGTGGGGCCAATGTATACAAGGTAATGTAGAGCTGGGTCTCTGTCAGCGCGTGCAGCTGTCCAAACTCACATTGACAAAACCGTAGACCAAACCCATCCGGCGCAGGGTATACTTTGGGCCGGCCTCGTCAACGCGCGGTGGCACGGCACGCCCGCTGCAAGGCGCATACCCATATACCCAAAAGGAATGTGGCACGGCTGATGCCGGGTATCCCAATGTGCCACTGTCCGCGTGTGCGAGAGACAACGAGGCGGTATTGCGGGAGGCCCACCTGCCCCCTCTGGGCACGGCTGCTCGCTGACAGGAGGCAGGACGGTGTCGACGGCGTTGAACTTGATGGACACGGTGCCGTCGTCCTCTTCCTTGCTAGCGGTGAGCCAGCCGTCTTGAACTATCTGTGGCCAAAGGCCAGAGGGGGGTGGATGCAGATGTCGACAATGTCGGTCGCAGGAAGACGAGCCAAGAACAGCATAAATGCGCCTTCGGGGGTCCCGAGACATCTGGAATGTCAATGGGGGAGGCCATGACGACCGTTGTGTTGCCACTCGGGCTTCTCGATCATGGGTGTGTAGCCGAGACGACGAGTACACGTGCTACAGTGGCAGGGCGTGGGACAGAGGGCAACGGACACGTCCGTGGCCATTGAAGGGGAGGATGCCTTGAACGCGGCGTGTGACCGCCGTCCCAGCGCGGTGACGGACAATGTTGTGCTGCTGCCGCTCGTGTGTGTCCGTGACTGTCATGTGTCAGCTGGTACTTTGCCTCCAGGTACTCACCCGTCTCTGGCTCGTCCCGGCTGTAGTGGTCGGCATGGGGGTACTCTTGGTAGCCAAACAGGCGGTTGACGAGCTGGCGGTGGCGGCGTGCGGTCGTCTCTTCGTGCAGAGGCCACACCGCTCGGCCTCGCAGTTGGCCAAAGTATGGTGGTACAGTGGGGAGCCGGCTGGACCTGTAGAGTACAGGCGGGTAGTCCATGTGAAGGGGGTCCTGTGCAATTTGCTCGTTGGTCGGCTGGTTGGCCATAATGGAAGCGTCAGTCTCAGTGACCTGGGTACGAGACATCGTGTGGGGGTGGTGGTAGAAGAAGAGCGCGGGGAAAGGGCATGGGGGGGTGGGAGAGGTCTTCCTTGTCTTCCTTATGTGCTGTCTCATGACGCGGTGAGCGACTGAACGGGCGCATGAGAACCACCTGTACACTGCATTGTCCTGCGCGCCCACTTGCCACACAGCCGCCATCACTGCTTCACTCTCGGTGTGTGTGCTCGGGCTTCGTACGTAGTGCAAGCCCGGCAAAACCTAGACGGTCCTGTGGCCTGTGGCCGGTGGGTGCAACAGCCCCAGCGCCCTGGTCTCACCGACAACAGAGTGGTACGAGGCCTGCCTGCGTCAGCGCACGCGTGTCCATACCGCAACGTCACGGATCATGGCGTAGTATAACAACTAGCTGGAGGTTCGGATCGGTGGTGTGCGCTCGGATGCGGCTGTGCCCGACGCCGTGTGGCATGCTCGGATACGAGTGTCTGGCATTTCCGTGATCCGTTTCCTTCTCTCCAGTCCCCGAACCAGGACGCCAGGCGGATACCAGTCAGTGACCGTGGTGTAGCAGCTCCTCAGCGTCAGTTCCAAACCAACGTCCCATGCCACAGCTCGCTCGGCACACACCAATAGTCACTGCTGAGTTACATCCCACCCGCCCGTCCCGCGCCCCATCCCCGCTCTCACCCCCTGCTCGAAAACAGCGTCGCCAGGTCCTCGCGCTTGAACATCTTTGCGCAGTCGAGCGCGTTCGGGTGGCCGGCCTTGGGGTCCGCCCCGGCGTCCCAGAGCGCGCGCACCACCTCGTCGTGCATCTTGAACACTGCGCCCGCGATGGGTGCCTGGCCCTTGTTGTTGACGGCGTCGACGTCTGCGCCTGCCGCGATCAGCTCGCGCACCGTGTCCGCGTGGCCGTGGTACGCTGCCAGCATGAGCAGCGTGTCGCCCGCCTGGTTGGTGAGGTTGGGCGGGATGCCGTGGGAGACGTATTGGATGAGCTCGGGCGTCGAGCCGGCGCGCGCGAGGTCGAAGAGCTTGGTGGCGAGCTGGAGCGCCTCTGGTGGGAGCGAGTCGACGGACGGGCGGTCGCTCGGTGCGGACATTGAGGAGGTTGGTGGGAGGAGGGAGAGGGATGGGAGGCTGGAGAAGGTGGAAAAAAGGACGGCTAAGATCTAGCGGTCAGCTATAAGTCAAGCTGCAGAGTACAGAGTAGAGAGGTGGGCTCGGTTTGTCCGGAACTGGGGCCGCGGATGCGGCGGCTCCGTGGACCCGGGGGGGGGATGCCGGTCTCGTGCGCGGACCGCCACCTGTGCACCTGTGAACTGGACTCACAAGGTGCTTCTGTGAAATCTGTGAGGAAGTGAGCCTTGAAGTGAGCCTTGAAGGAAGATGAGAGATGGATGGGTGGATGGGTGGATGTCGAGGTGGGCCCACCGTACCACCGTCCACCAACCGTCCACCCACATCGGCTGACGTCGCAGTTGCCGGCGGTTGGCTGGAGACAACCGGCCCAGGATGGATTTGTTGTTGCCGGCGGTTGCCGGAAAACCACCGTGGGAAGTTGGCCTCGTGCACTCATATGACTCACCTCCACTCACTCGGCACACACATTTCAACAACAACTTGGAAACATCCCCCCATTTCTATCACACTTCCCATCGCACACCACCAGCCTCATACCTGGTGTAGCAGCTCTGGCGTACGGCGCTGTTGGTAACCATGCAGCGCCCGGGCAAGTGAGTAGACGGAGACCACACAGGACACATGGCTGACAGACCTTTAGCAAAATCAACACGCGCGACGCCGACCCCAACCAGTGAGCTGCAGCTTGCCTCAGGATCTCAGTTGCGGTCAGCTGCTTACCACTTCCCAGCTTCATTACCTTTATTCGCGTGCTGGATAAGTTTCGCGACAAGGATGTACGTTCTGCCCCTCCATCACCCACCTCACTCCACCTCCGCCTCGCACCTGCGCCCCTCCTTTGGCCACCCCATACCCTCCAAGCCCGTCGTTCCACCACTGACAGCCCTAGGTCGCCGAGTCAATCCTCAAGGCAGTCGGTAAGCTAGCCTTTTGTTAACTTCAAAGCTTACGTCGCAGCGGCCCAGACCAAGCCCATCTTCCAGCACCGGTACATGCAGTGCATCACGCTCGAGGAGGCTAAGCACAACAATGTCGTAGGTAGTGCTTGGTGCTACGACAACTGACCTACCAGTGGGTTGGCCTGAACACCAACCACGGCCAGCGCATCCAGCTTGTTCTCCGCCGTCCTAACGGCTCGTTCTACCCCTTGCCGTTCATCATGTCGGTCATGTGCCATGAGGTGAGCTACATTCTTGAACCGTACGGCAGCTGACGCCAGATGGCACACATTACTGTGGGTAGGTACTTATCGTCCACGATCTGACCCAGCAGCACATGAACCACCGCAAGGACTTTCAGGAGGTGATCTATGCCCTTTGTCTTGAGCTGACAGTCTCAGCTCAACGCTGCCATCAAGAAGGATGTGGCCCAGCTCCAGAGCAAAGGGTACTATGGCGACGGTAAGTTGATGCCGCCGCACACAACTGACGTCAGGCTTTTGGTCCAACGGCAAACGTCTCGGCGACAGCGTCCCGATGGGATCTGACGGTCTCGGTGGGTTCCGAACGATGGCGGCTGCTAACCCACTCGCCAGACAGGACCAGCCTCCCGGAGCACGTTTGCGGTGTCAGTGCATAGTATGTTCCCATTCCCCCATATCACGTCCCCACGCCTAGCTGACGCTCTCCTCTAGCGACGACGCTCGCAGTGGCCGCCGTGTCCATGCCAGTTCCGCCAGCAGCCGCGCTCCGGGCCTCGTCAAAGGCGAGGCGTCGCACCGTTCCGGCCGCCAGACGGATTATCGCCGCAAAGCCGGCCGCCGCGTCAACACCGACATGGGCGAGAGCAGTGGCCGTCTCGACGGTCGGAGGGGTGGGTTTGCGCTTTGGGGATCTGCAAGCTGACCCAGCTCCAGACATCACCAAGGAGGACCGCGAGAAGCGCGCCAAGTGGGTTGCGCAGGAGAAGAAGCACCTCATGCGCACTGGCATGAGCGACAAGAAGGCGCAGGCGCGTGCGGCCGAGATGTTTGACGATGACAACCCGTGGTACAAGGAGGGCAGTACCTTTGGCAAGAGGTGAGCTTGCAGGGTATCGATCTTGAGCTGACGAGCCCAGGGCCAAGTCCAAGACGTACGTTGACACATCGACGCGTTTAACTTACCCGCAGTGCCTCTGACCAGCGTGCCGCCGCATTTGAACGTCTCCTGGGTCTCAACAAGGTCAAGGATGAGGTCAAGGACGAGGCCGAGGACGTCGACTACGAGTCGGAGGAGGGCGGCGACCGCCAGCACGACGTGAACGACTCCGAGGTCGACGAGCTCGACTCGTCTGACGACGACAATGCCGAGGTTCAAATCAAATACGAGCCCGTCGACGACGGCGAAGACATCAGCATGGACGAGCGCCGCCGTGAACTCGAGGTCGACGACGCCGCTCTGCGCGACGAATGGAACACGTTTTTGGCCACCACCACGCCATTGTCCAGCGGCAGCAGCAGCCCCACCAAGCGCCACCCTGGCCTGGGCAACTGGAACACGTTCATCGCCGGTCTCCAGAACAACTCGAAGCGCAAACTCGACGAGGTGGAGCTTGCCGAGGCTGGCATCTTTACGGTCGAGGACAGCCCGTCTCCGCCACCACCCCAGAAACGCGCCACTCCCACGGCCGGTACCAGTTCAAAGGCCACCAAGACGACCACCAAGGCCACTGCTCCCAAGCCCCGGCCACACTTTGGCGCGTCGATGGTGGGCCAGGAACGCAACCGTAATCTCGGCCTGGCAACTTCGTCGTCGTCGACTGGCAGCAGCAGTCGCGTTCTGGGTTCTGGGCCCTCCATGTCGCGTGGTGGCGGTGGCGGCGGATCCGTCTCAAAGGCCAACGCAGCGGCGGCGGTTGCACCGGTCTCACGCGGCGTGAGTCTGATCGACACCAACGCCGGCGGCGGCAGCAACATGAACGGAGGCAGCAGCAAGTTCTGGACGTGCGGTCGCTGCACGTACGCCGAAAACCACACGGACCGTGGCCGTTGCGGTGAGTCGAATCGGCTTTTCTGCTTCATGATTTTGCACCGCCCACACCCACTCGCGAGTAATGCGATCGATCGAGCCATTTGTTTTATAACGATCTGGTTTCACAAAGGGGGTTTCAAATAGGCCAACGACTTGCTGACATTTTTGGTGCAGAGATGTGTGAAGCGCATCCAGACGGTACGGAATGAATGGTCAAATTATTTATAGCCTGGGCCCATTTACTGGACCCAGCAAACCACTCGCGGCCACTCGCCAGGCTGCGTGCGTATACTGCTGTATTGTGCAGGAGCGGGGAGAGTCGTGTGGCAAAAAAGGGTCTCCCTCACGCCTGTGGAATGTGAGCGCCCAAGAGCCAGAGCCAGGAGATTAAGTGGGTTGTAGCATAGAGACACAAGAGGAGCTAGTTGGTATAGGTGGCATTGTGCGTAGAAGACGCGGCTGTTGGCATGTACCATGGTGTGGTGGTGTGTGTTTAAATGCTCTGTTGCAGAGTGCAAAGGCCCAATGCAAGGCACACCCTCTCGCTGTGCATGGAGTGAGGATGGAACGGCGCGGGGTGTGGATCGTGCCACGCTGTGTCAGTGTGGGATAACGCCGGTTCGGCGGGATCAGAGAGAGGCGACGGCCAGGCTGGCTGGCCAGGCTGTGTGGGTGTGGGCCCAGTCGGCCAGTCGCTCGCTCGCTCGCTCGGCTGTGTCTGTGGTCGTCTGGATCCGCTCTGGCTGGCGCGCTGGCTGTGTGGGCGGCGGCGGTCTGGGCATTCCATCACACACACACTGGCCAGAGTGTCAGGTCTGACCACATCCCATCTCTCTCATACAGTGCACTGCCCGTCCTCTCCCACATCTCCCACATCTCTCTCTCTCTGGCGTCACAGCACAGCTCTCCCACATCCAATCCACACAACTCGTCTCTTTGACGCCAGCAAGCATCCACCCACCCCATTGTATCCACCACCTACCCAACACCCCACCACCTGTTCTCGGTTGGCCCGGTAAAAAGAGTCCGATTGTGACACGCACGCCCAGGCCACGCTTTCCGCCTTCCTGCCTTTGCGCAAACGACACCACACACACACACCCAAACCCAAACCACCCAAACCACCACCCACATAACCACCCACCCACCAACACCCACCAACACACACTCACTTGCATCCACCATCATCCCTCCCCTCGTCGACACCGCACACCCCACCACACCCCATCGCCGCGCGGCATCCCCTCCCCCATCCTCCGTCCCCTTGCCCGCCCGGCGTCGCCACCATGGTGAGTTGAGACAAGCCGACAAGCCGGAGGGACACGCGCACCCACAGCTAGTGCCACCGCCTGCGTACGCGAACCCACACCCCCCCACCCCACACCACCCCCCTCCCATCGTCGCCGCAATGCCCATCCCAGAGCAACCCATCTTCTCCACCCCCTCCCCCTAGTGCATGTGGCTCTCAGAGGCAAGGCGGTACGCGACAGTGGTGCCGCACCGCAACAGGGGGCGCGCCCTAGGGCAATCCCATCGCATCGTACCGTCCTCGTACCGTCCTCAAGGCCCTCCCCCCCGTCTCCTGCCCTCCCCCGCTCTAGCTTCATTGTCCATCCCTCCCCCCGCGTCACCAACCCTTTGAACGCATCCTAGACATGGACCACATGCTGACCCAGCACAGCCGCCTCCTCCATCCTCCTCTGACCCTCACATCAGCACGCTGCTCCAGACGATTGCGTCGGAGCGGCGCAACCTCGAGGGCGCGAAAGCGGTGATGCGCGCCGTCGAGGCCAGTTCGCGCAACGAGGCTGTCATCCAGCAGGCCCAGAACGAGGTGCGCGCCGCGCAGGCCACGATCAAGTTTCTCGAGGACGAGCTGGCCAAGCTCCAGATGGGCGGCAGCCCCGGCCCGGCACCAGGCGGTGCGCCTGGTCGTGGACCGAGCAGCGCGTCGTCGACGGCGCCTTCCACGGCAACCCCGTCGAGCCACAACGGCGGCGGGTACGTTGCCAACGCGCCGGCGCGTGGAGGCCCGTTGCCGCCCACTGCTGCGGCAACACCCAACACTGCGCCGCTCAACATTGTCAAGACGGACCGGGACCGCCCACTGCCCCCGCCGCCTACGAGTGACGGGGCGGCTGCGGACCGTCCAAAGGACGCCAAAAACTACACCCAGCTCGACCTGTTGCGCTACGACGCTCCGCTGACAGGCGCCAAGATTACGCGCATGCTCAACCAGCTCCAGTTCAAGCTCCAGGTCGAGGAGCAGTACAAGCTCGGTATTGAGAAGATGGCGCAGGCGTACCGCGCCGAGGGCGACCGGCGGTCACGCGCCGAGACCGAGGCCAAAAAAGTCGAGTCGGACGGCAAGATCCAGCTCTTGCGTAAAGCCAAGAGGCGATACGAGTCGTTGGCCAAGTTTGGTGTCGAAGACGACGACGACCTGATCCCCGACGCCAAGCGCAAAGACGCCCTGCGCAAGCCCATCTCGGGCAAGCTCATCATTTCGCTGCGCTCGGCCACGGACCTCAACCACCGTCCACTCCCGCGCAAGGCCAAGATGTACAATGAGACGACGGCCGTGATTAAGATTGAAGGCAACGAGCGCGCCGTCAGCCACCCGTCGCGCAACGACCGCTGGCTCGAGGAGTTTGACATTCCAGTGGAGCGCGCCAACGAGGTGGAGATTACCATCTACGACACGATTGCGCCAGGCGACTCGGCGCCCATTGGCATGTTCTGGTTCCGTGTGTCGGACCTGCTCGAAGCGCTGCGTCGTCAAAAGGTGCAGGGCGCCGAGGCCGGTCCCGGATGGGTCACGGCCGACAAGGCTGCGTCGCTGGGCGGCCGCCAGGGCAGTGCACCAGAGTCGGCCACGCTGCACCAGGGCATCCCCGGCGCGCACGGCGGTGCCCCGGCAACGGGCAAGACGGAGGGCATCGAGGGCTGGTTCTCGGTCGAGCCTGCGGGCGCCATCCAGCTCCAGCTCAACTTTGTAAAGGACACGGTCCCCGGTGGTCGTCGCCCATACGAGGCGCTCGGCCGTCAAGGAGCAGTGCGCAAGCGCAAGGGCGACGTCCACGAGATGAACGGCCACAAGTTTGTCGGACGCCAGTTCTACCAGCCGATCATGTGTGCGCTGTGCTCGGAATTCCTCCTCACGGGCGAAGGATACCAGTGCGAGGACTGTCGGTACGCCTGCCACAAGAAGTGTTACGGCAAGGTCGTCACGAAATGTATCTCCAAGACCAACGCCGAGGGCGACGCAGACGAGGACAAGATCAACCACCGTATCCCCCACCGCTTCCACGCCTACACCAACATGTCCGCCAACTGGTGCTGCCACTGCGGTTATATGCTGCCCTTTGGCCGCAAAAACTCGGTCAAGTGCCAAGAGTGTGCTCTTACGTGCCACCAGTCGTGTTCCCACTTGGTCCCCGATTTCTGTGGCATGACCATGGAAATGGCAAACACGCTGATCCGCAACATGCGCGATATCAAGAGCGTCCAGGGGCAACAAGCGTCCCGCGTTGGCAGGACACCAGTCGCAGCCGTCGGTTCACGTCATTCCTCCCGCGTCCGGTCAGCTGCAGACGAGCCAGTCGCAGTCGACCCAGCCCATCCGCCACAGCTTCACCCCGCCCGAGTCTCGCGTGTCGCCCACTCCACCTCAACTCGCCCACTCGTCGTCGTACAATGAGTACACCCAGCAGCAGCAGCAGCAGCAGCAGCCAGCGTCGGGCCACCAGCAGCGCCCATCCGGTGGCCGCATCCCCCCGCCTACCGACCCACGTGCCAGCTTTGAGACGCGTCCCAACCTTGACGTTAACAAGGTCGGAGCACAGTCGACCGGCCCGCTCGCCCAGCCTGCCCAGCAGCTTGCTCGTGTCCCCTCCCCTCAGGCGCCCCAGCCGCAGAGTGGCTACAAGCCGCCAGCCGGCGTGCCCGTCCCCATGCCCAACGCCATGCCTACTGGCCGCATGCAGCAACAGCAGCAGCAACAGCAACAGCAGCAGCAGGCTTCTGCGCCGCACAGGCCGGCACCTCCCCAGATGCAGGCTCCGCACCAGCAGCAGCAGGCTGCCGCCGTTGTCCCTGTCCCGTCGCCCCAGCAGCAGCAGCAGCAGGTCATGCGCAAGCAGCGCAAGATTGGTCTGGACGACTTCAACTTCCTCGCCGTGCTTGGAAAGGGTAATTTCGGAAAGGTCATGCTTGCCGAGGAGCGCCGGTCCAACAACTTGTACGCCATCAAGGTGCTCAAAAAGGAGTTTATCATTGAAAACGACGAAGTCGAGTCGACCCAGTCGGAGAAGCGCGTCTTCCTCGCTGCCGCGCAGGAGCGCCACCCCTTCCTGCTGGGTCTGCACTCGTGTTTCCAGACCGAGACGCGTGTCTATTTCGTCATGGAGTACGTGTCGGGCGGTGACCTCATGCTTCACATCCAGCGCCGACAATTCACCCTGCGCCAGGCCAAGTACTATGCGTGCGAGGTCCTGCTTGCGCTCCAGTACTTCCACTCCAAGGGCATCATCTACCGTGACCTCAAGCTCGACAACATCCTCCTCACCCTCGACGGCCACGTCAAGGTTGCCGACTATGGTCTGTGTAAGGAGGACATGTGGTTTGGCAAGACGACCACGACGTTCTGTGGTACCCCCGAGTTTATGGCGCCCGAGATCCTCCAGGAGCAGCCGTACGGCCGTGCCGTCGACTGGTGGGCGTTTGGTGTCTTGACGTATGAGATGCTTCTCGGCCAGTCGCCCTTCCGCGGTGACGACGAGGACGAAATCTTCGACGCCATTATCGAGGACGAGCCCCTCTACCCGATCACCATGCCGCGCGACGCCGTCTCGCTCCTGCAAAAGCTGCTCACGCGCGACCCCAACCGCCGTCTCGGTGCCGGCAACGATGACGCAGAGGAGATTAAGCGCCACCAGTTCTTCTCCGACGTCAACTTTGACGACGTCTACCACAAGCGTATCCCGCCGCCATACTTCCCCACCATTGGCAACGCGACCGACACGTCCAACTTTGACCAAGAGTTCACCCGCGAGCAGCCGACCCTCACGCCAGTGCACACCCAGCTCACGGCGCAGGACCAGCAGGAGTTTGCAGGCTTCTCCTGGATCGCCCCGTGGGCGGCAAACTAGAGTGTTATATATCTTGAGATTCCCCCCCCTTGTTCAACATACACACACACACAAACGAGAGCGAACGCGTAGTAGTAGTAACCCCCCTACCCCCCCGAGAACGAAAGATGAGGCCGCGTGGTCTATTACGAACCCGATGAGGGGCCAAGAGGTTCCCCATGCCGGATAATGGCCTCCTGTTAGTTGCCAAACCCACCGCTGCCCCCATCGTATCCCCCGGCCCCAGACGAGACGTAACAAACCAACACCTCACCTCCCCCCCGCACCCACCCCCTCCATGGAGTAGAGCAGTGTTAGCATGCAAACCGGTTGTGATTCGTGAAAGCGGAGCGGGCATTTACCACGCGCCATTAGAAGACCGTTTCCTAATACGATGTCTGTTGAGATTTACCCCCGCGCCCACGCCCAGGCACCGCCGTCAAGATTTCCGAGCCGACCTCCACACCACAACAAGAAATGAGAGAACCTTCACACCACCCAAAACTCCCCCCATCTACACACCAACGATGCCCAAGGAACAGATCAGGAAGCGCGGAAAGCGCAAGCCCAAGACCGAGGAGGGCGCCGACGCCGCCGCCGCTGCCGCCGCCGCCGCGCCCGCCCCGGCACTGGCCGCACGCCCCGCACCACCGCCGCGCTCGTACGCGCCCCCCGCCGCCCACGGTGCACCCCAGTACACGGCCGAGGAGGAGGCCGAGGCCGCCGCGGCGGGCATCCACCCGTCGCGCCTGGCATTCATGAAGACGGGCCAGCGGCCGCCTGCGCCGCCGCGCCAGCCGCCTGTGCAGCGTGAGGGCGGCGAGGGCGGCGGTGAGGGCGGTGAAGGAGGCGAAGCCGGTGGCGAGGACGGCGAGAATGGCCCTGCGGACTGGACGCGCGGCGACCGTACCGAGTCCGAGTTCCCCTTTGGCGTGCTGGACCCGGACGTCAAGGCGTACTTCCGCAACGTCGAGGAGCAGATCAAGGACTGGGAAGGCGTCGGCAGCGACGGCGAGGAGCGTGAAGGTGGGTTGGGTTTTGGAACGACGCTGAGGGATTTTTGTGTTTTGTGCTGACAGGCTTGGCAGACCGCCAGCTGTTCCTCACGTCTGTGCTGTCCGAACTGCGCGGGCACGAGCTGCAGGTCTCCACCGACCCCGAGACGTCGGTCGTGCTCGAGCGCCTCCTGCCGTCGCTCAACGACTGGGGACGCCGCGTGATCGGCGACGCGGTCGGCGACAACTGGGCGACGCTCATCCGCCACCGCTTCGGAAGCCATGTCGCGCAGACATGGCTCACGCTCGCTGCGGCCACCATGGATCGTGAGGTGAGTTGCGCAAAGGTTCATTTGTGAATGCCCGTAACTGACGCAATTTGACAGGCGCGCGGCATCTTCCCGGCCCAGCACAAGGAGCAGGAGAAGAACAAGAAGGACGACGAAGGCGTGCTCCCGACCGCGGGCGAGGAGGTGACCACGCTCGTCAACGGCATCCTCCCGACCCTGCCGCTGCTGCTGTCGTCGCCGCACGCGTCGCCGCCTGTCCGTCTCCTCCTCCTCGTCCTCACGCCCAACCGTGCGCTCCCGTCCCTCGACGCGGCGGACGGCACCGGCGCCGGCGGCGACCTGGTGCGTTCCAAGCGTTCGGGCAAGTTCCGCAAGGGCCAAGGCGTGCAGGGCAAGAGCATCCTGGGCGACGACGACGAGACCAGCAAGGGCAAGGGCAAGGCGGCGGTCGACGAGGCCCGCGCCGTCCCCGCCGACGTCGCGCTCCTCCGCCGCACGATCCGCGAGGAGGCCATGGCCAAGCTGTCGTCTGTCGAGTGGCAGTCGATGGGCGCCGACAAGGTCGGCAGTGCCGCTGTGCAGCTCCTGCTCGAGGCCGAGCGCGAAGACGGCGACGCCGAAACCGACGGCAGCCTCCTGGACATTGTGACCGAGGGCCTTGTGGCCGCGCTCAACGCCGACGAGCCCCCCGTCGAGAAGCCGTACCTCTCCGCCATGCTCGTGTCGCCCACGGGCACGCGCCTGTTCGAGGCGGTCCTCAAGCTCGCCCCGGCCCGCGTCTCGACGGCTGTCTGGGACACGTACTTTACGGGCAAGCTCGGCAAGCTCGCCGGCCACCCGTTTGCCAACTTTGTGGTCGCGCACGGCGTGTCGCGTCTCGACAGCGAGGGCGTGCGCGCCGTCGCCAAGGAGGTCCAGTCCGTCTCGGGCGGTAGGGGCCTGGTCAAGACGAGCCGCACCAGTGTGCTTGCCGCGCTGGCCGAGCGTGCTGCCTCGCTCGATGCCGACGCGCAGACCGCCGTCGTCACCCTCGTCCAGTCGGCCGTCGACGTAAAGGACAAAAAGGACCTGCTCGTCCCGGCCCTCATGGCGCTCAAGACGGTGCCGTTCTACGAGGCCATCCTCACCGGCGGCGAGATGCCCGACGAGGACGACGACCGTCCCGCGGGCATCGTCGACAACAGCGCCGAGGCAAAGGCCGCGGCCCTCGCGTCCCGCTCGGCATGGGAGAACCGCCGCAACGCCCGTCCGACAGGCAAGCTCGAGCCCAACATGCAGGGCTCGCTCCTGCTGCAGGCCCTCGTCGGCCTCGCCGCCGCCAACGCGCCCGTCCTCGACAGCCTGTTCGCCCAGCCCACCACCACGCTGCTGACGTACGCGTCGTCCCCCGTCGCCTCGCACGTCCTCGACAAGGTCCTCACCACGCCCGCCGTGGCCCCCAAGTACCGCCGCAAGCTGTACATGGCGTTTATCGGCTCGTACGAAAAGCTCGCCGTCGACAAGCTCGGCTCGCGCGTCGCCGACACGGTGTGGGCCACCGCCGACGGGTTCATGAAGGAGAAGATTGCCCGCAGCCTCATCCCGCACGCCACGGACCTCGGCGGAGACAGGTACGGCCGCTTCCTCGCGCGCAAACTCGACCTGCACCTCCTCCAGCGCAGGCCCGACGAGTGGCGCCAGGCGCATATCGGCATCAAGCACCACTTTGCACACCAAAAGGAGCAGCCCGCTGCCGCTGCCGCAGCTGCTCCCGCCGCCGAGCCCAAGCCCGAGCTCACCCCGGAAGAGGAGGCTGCAGCGGCCAAGGCGGCGCGGAAAGAGGAGAGGCGCCGGAAGCGCAAGGAGGCCGAAAAGGACGAGATTGACCACCTGTTTGACGGCAAAAAGGAGAAGAAGCGCACCAAGCGCGAGTAGAGTAGGCGTGCTTGTGCGCTTGTGGTCTGCGATGGAGCGGGAAGGAGGAGGGGGTGGAGACGCTTGCATTTTCATAGAATGACCTTATGCACTGTACAATACAGGGACTGTTGGGTGTCTGCGACACCGCGCCGGGGCTGGGCTTGCAGTCAAGTCAATGAGTCAGTCAGATACCAGACCCACCCATTAAATTACTGGGTGCCAAACGCACCATGGCTTTTCTTATACATACTTAGTAGTCTCCGTTCTCCGGGATTAATTGGCCGCTCGTGCCGATGTTATGCTTTGTAGCTGAGCAATGCGTGCATGGTACAACAACGGCCAAAGTCTGTGGCCCTCTATCCCCGAGTCTATCCTGTCCGCAATGCAAAACCGCGCTCTGGGGGTGTCTGTGGAGCGGTAGTCGCTAGTCCCGTACACCGAGAAACGGGTATTTCTCTCCCCTCTCTCTCCAGCCTCTACTCTCTGTCTCGCAGATGGTCTCAGTCGTGCTGTCGCCCTGTCGCCACTGTACATTGGCCCAAGACGAGTGTACCAGCCAGGCAAGGGGTATCCAACGTCCAACGTCCAACGTCCAACGTCCAACGGAGCCGCCAACCTAGCCAAAACCCTGGCCAGTCGCCTAGTCGTCGTCGGCGGGCTCGCGGCGGAGGTACATGTCGATGGCGGCCGAGAAGGCTGCGAACGCGGCACCACCGCCGAGCATGGCCATGGGGCCGGCGTTGCGCGCGAGGATGGCGCCCGAGACGAAACCGGCCGACAGGCCGTTCCAGTGGTCGTTCTTTGCGCGGTACTGTGGGCGAAAATGTCAGTATAAAGCAACAGGACGGCAAACGGTTCGCTGCGCTGCACAACACACTCCAGACTCACCCCCTCAATGCAGCACTCGACACCCGAGTAGAGCATGCCGACCTTGGCAAAGCCTTTACCCTGCGACCACATGTTGCGGCCCATCTCCTTGAACATGTACGCGGCCTGGGCGCGGGTGCCCGTGAGCTTTTCCGACGCGCGCGAGAGCGGGTCCTCGTACGCAAACGTCGCCGACATGAGCGAGAGGAAACCACCAAACGCAAAACCTAAACACTACGTCAGCCTCGCGACACCACATGTAGTAGCCGCAGCGGCAGCAGCAGAAGAAGCTGCTGCTGCTGATAGGCCCCAAACGCACCAGCACCACCGGCCAGGACGACCTTGAGGGCACACGACTCCATGGCGTAGCCGCCGTACTTGTTCCACTTGACCATCTGGCGGTATCCGTCCTTTTCCTCCTCGGTCGTTCCGGGCGGGTAGGGCTCCGAGCCGGGAAGGTATACGGGCGCCATGAGCGGGTGCGAGCCGGACATTGTGTGTGGGGGGGTATGTGGGTGGTGGTGGTGGTTGGTGGTTGTGTTTTGTGTAAGAGATGGCAACGGAGAGTTGGCCGCTCAGAAAAGTACAGAGAGGCCGTCGGCCCGCGCAGAGCGGGGTGGGTGGTCGCAGAGCGGAATACCTGGTGGGTCACGTGACCCAGGCAGAGATTATCTTCGGAACTGACCGGTCGAGGCGTCTTGGTGTGTCAGTTCGATATTTCCCGAGCGTTTCGAACCTTCGTGCCGCCACGCCAGCGTCGTGTGCGCTGTACGCTGTGCATCGTGTTCTCCGTGCATCATGTGGGACACTGCAATGGTGGCCTGGTGGGTTGCCGGTGATGTCGCTATTCTGCTGCTAGCGTGTAAGCCTCACCGTACCACCCAATTAGGCTGCTGTACCGGTGTCAACAAGTCATCTTTTCCGGCCGTGCTGGCTTGTCTGTGCCGGCGGCGGCGGGGTACGTCAGCGGGCGACGACAGCGTGTGTGTTGGCAAGCAGCATTGACATCGCGCGCGGACTGTGCGGGGGGCACGCACAGATGGGGCTCACAAAAGCTAGAGGACCAGACCAAAGCACACCCATGCACCCACCTGTCTATGACGTGTCCAGAGATGCCAGTGACGCGATGGCGGCGGGCGATTTGATTGTGCGGACGCCAGTTTGCCCAGCGGCCAGCGAGATCCCACAGCCAAAAGTGCCCCCCGACCGACCGACGCCACTCAAGCGCAACTGGTTCCCAGGACCTGTTTCTTTGCCGTTGCCATTCTCTAGCCCATCGCCGCCAGAGTGAACACTGAGAGCTCTTTGTCTCTCTGTCTCTCCCGGGCAAACAACAACGCGCACCCCCCCAGCCATCCGACTTGGCGGACCACCAACTGCGCTGTGCCTTGCGTGTTCCCAAGCTATCCGGCAAATCTGTGCCGGACCACGGGGAATATCACCCACCCACCCAGCGGTCATCCCGCGGCTTTAACGTTCCTTTGGGGACCCCTCTCGCCAGCGACCACCGCCTGCACGTTTGCATCCTCATCCTCCACAGCACCCTCCAACACCTAAACAACAACCCCGACGACGTTCGTCGCGACTCGCCAAGATGGCCGCCGGAGTCGCCTGTGAGTGCTTTTGCTAGTGGTCGCTCGCACCCCCTCCCCGCGTCCTCCACTTTTGCCCAGCAGCAACGTTCGTTCCTTCGTTGACTGACTTTGCCGCCCACAGTCGACATCATTGTCATCTTCTTCAAGCTCGCGGTTCTGAACATCTTCTTCCGCGAGATCCGGTACGTCAACATATCCAGCGTCTGCTTTGCTCTGTATATGCAGCTGACCACCATGGCAGCCCGCGTGGAGCCTGGAACATTCCCAAGGAAGGCCCAGTCCTCTTCATCTGCGCCCCCCATGCCAACCAGTTCCTCGACCCGCTGCTCCTCTTCACCGAGGTGCGGCGCGAGTCGGGCCGTCGCACAGCGATTCTGACCGCTGCCAAGTCGATGGAGCGCAAGTTTATCGGATTCATCGCTCGCCTGTTCAACTCGAGTGAGTACAAGTGGTCCCTTCTCAGAGCGCCGTTTCTCACGCCTCCCCAGTCCCCGTCTCTCGTGCCGCCGACTATGCCAAGTCGGGCTCTGGCCGTGTGACGCTCTCCGACGACAACCCTCTCCTCATCACGGGCGTCGACACCAAGTTTACCACCCAGGTCAAGCCCAATGGCCAGATTGTGCTGCCCAAGTGTGTCAACTATGCCACGGCGCCGATTGCCGAGGTCATTAGCGACACCGAGCTGCTCCTCAAGAGCGAGCTCAGCATCCCTTCCAAGGACGGCAATTCGAACATTAAGGCTACCAGCCGTGTCCGCGTTCAGATGAAGGCCAACGAGGGTCTCGAGTACAAGCTCCTCCCCCACGTCGACCAGGAGCAGACCTTTGGCGCCGTCTTTGAAGAGCTCAAGCGCGGCGGCACCATCGGCATCTTCCCCGAAGGCGGCTCGCACGACCGTACCGACTTTTTGCCCCTCAAGGCTGGCTTTTCTATCATGGCCCTGGGCGCCATGGCCGCCAACCCTGGTCTCGACGTCAAGCTCGTTCCCGTCGGTCTGTCCTACTTCCACGCCCACAAGTTCCGTTCGAGGGCCGTGGTCGAGTTTGGCACCCCCATCACTGTGGACCCCGAGTTTGTCGACATGTACAAGCAGGGCGGCCCCAAGAAGCGCGAGGCCTGTGGAAAGCTGCTCGAGCAGGTCCACGACGGTCTCCGCGCTGTCACTCTCCGTGCCCCAGACTGGGAGACTCTCCAGGTGGTCCAGGCCGCCCGTCGTCTCTACCGCGTCCCCGGCCAGTACCTTACCATTGGCCAGACTGTCCAGCTCAGCAAGTACTTTATGGAGGGCTACCTCAAGTACCAGGACGACCCGCGTATCATCGACCTCCGCGAGCGCGTGGTCAAGTATAACCGTCTTCTCCGCGACATGGGCATTGCCGACCACCAGGTGGAGCGCGCGTCCAACCGCAGCGTCCAGTCGCTTGTTCTTCTTCTCTACCGCACCGCTCTCCTGCTCTGGTGGGGTCTTCTCGCCCTTCCCGGCGGCATTCTCCACGCGCCCGTCTTCATCCTCGCAAAGGTCATCTCCCACAAAAAGGCCAAGGAGGCCCTCGCCGCGTCCAGCGTCAAGGTCCAGGCCCGCGACGTTCTCGCTTCGTGGAAGGTGCTCGTCTCGCTCGCCGTCGTGCCAACCCTCTACGTTGTTTACGCCATCATTGCCACCGTTTACGCCTACAAGCACGACTTGGCAAAGGGCTGGCTCAAGTGGGTGCCCCTCGTCACCTTTTGCGTTCTCCCGGCTCTTGGCTACGCTGCCCTCAAGTTTGGCGAGGCCGGCATGGACGTCCTCAAGTCCCTCCGCCCCCTCTTCATCTCCATCGTGCCCGGCAACCAGCATGAAATCAAAAAGCTGCGCAAGATGCGTGAGGACATTACCGAGGAGATTAGCTCGGTCGTCGACGAGTTTGGTCCCAAGATGTTTGACAACTTTGACCGCACCCGCATGATGCCCCAGGCCGCGAGCCCCACGCCTCGCTCGCCCACGTTTGATGCGCTCTCCCACCCTATCGCCTGGCTTGACGACCGTGTGTTTGGTTGGAGCCGCCGCGGGTCCGCCGCACAGGCATGGCAGGGTTCGGACCCCCTCCGTTCGCCGCGCTCCGAGCCCTCCACTGCCCCCGGCAGTCCTCACGACTCGGACGACGAGATGGACGCCGATGTCGACTACGACGACGTCCTCGCCGTCGTGGACACGCGCACGCGCAAGCGCACAGGCCGCTCGTACAGCGACCTTTCTCACCTGCGTGCCGGCATCTCCCCCGAGTACACCATGTCGGCGCTCCCCGCCGACGTTCCCGTCGAGTCGACCGCCACCGAGGCCGACGACACTGACGGCCTTACCCACCGCAAGAACGTGTCCAAGCCTGAAGCGCTTGTCAGTGGCGACGATGCCCTTGGCCTGTACAAGGGCGAGTAGGCCGGCGATTGGGGTCTTCTTCCTCCTTTCCTAGGGCGCGCGCTCTCTTCTCCCATACAATAGCACATTAGTTTTTTCGTGGCTCCCAAATGCATGTCGCATCGATTAGAGATTTAATTAGTAATGAAAGTATGACGTGTGAATAATTTTCTAAAGTTGACCCGTGCCTGAGTTGTCGCTCGACGCTCTTGTTCAGAGATTATTTTGGACAGACGAACTGCTTTCCACAACAAAACCCTTTTCCAGCGGCAACGATGGAGAAGCCGCACAAGGTTCACCACAAGCCGTCGGCGGGCACCAAGGCCGACAAAAAGGACAAGGCCAAGGGCGTCGACCGCTCGGGTGCCAAGGGCTACAACCCCAAGGCCTTTACGTCGCAGTCATGGCGCTCTGGCAACGTTGCCGCGCGCCGTACCGCCGACCAGGACCAGAAGCGTCTCCATGTCCCGCTCGTCAACCGTAACCCGGAGGAGCGCAAGGTCACGCAGGACAAGGGTCAGGGCATGGACGAGGGCCGTCTGCCTCCCCCTCCCATTGTGGTCGGTATCGTCGGTCCCCCCGGTGTCGGCAAGACGACACTCCTCCGCTCGCTTGTCCGTCGCTACACCAAGCACAACCTCAACCAGCCGCAGGGTCCCATCACCGTCGTCTCGGGCAAGACGCGCCGTATCACGTTTGTCGAGTGCGGCAACGACCTCAACTCGATGGTCGACTGCGGCAAGGTCATTGACCTGGTCCTGCTCATGATTGACGGCTCGTTTGGGTTCGAGATGGAGACGTTTGAGTTTTTGAACGTCCTCCAGGCGCACGGTTTCCCCAAGGTTATTGGTCTCCTCACGCATCTCGACTTGATTAAGAAGCAGAGCACCCTCAAGGACACCAAGAAGCGCCTCAAGCACCGTTTCTGGACGGAAATCTACCAGGGTGCCAAGCTCTTTTCGCTCTCGGGCGTCATCAACGGCCGCTACCCGGACGCCGAGATCAACTTGCTGTCGCGCTTCATCTCAGTGGTCAAGTTCCGCCCGCTCGTCTTCCGCAACCAGCACCCGTACCTCGTCGCCGACCGTCTGCAGGACCTGACTCCGCGCGAGGCGGTCCGCAACAACCCCAAGATGGACCGCACCATCACGCTGTACGGCTACCTCCGCGGCCCCAACCTCCCGGCGCGTAACGCCAAGATCCACATCCCGGGCGCGGGCGACCTCGAGGTCCGCGAGGTCGAGCGCCTTGCCGACCCCTGCCCGCTGCCCACGCTCGAGAGCGAGCGCCGTCGCCGCATGGGCGAAAAGGCCAAGCTCATCCACGCACCCATGTCCGACGTCGGCGGCGTCATGTACGACAAGGACGCAGTGTACGTCAACGTCCTCGGCTCGTTTAGCAAGGACGGAGACGCGCCCAAGGGCGAGGGCGAGCGCATGGTCATGGACCTCCAGGACGCCGGCAGGACACTCGCCGAGGGCATGGCAGACTCGAACATTCGTCTGTTTGGCGACTCGACCGCCGCCCTCAAGGTCGACCCGGCTGCGTCCAAGCAGCAGCGCCGCGAGCGTCGTCGTGCCGAGCCCCGGTCCGGTGGACCCATGCTCGGCTCGGCCGATGCCGATGGCGACTATGACGACATGGAGGACAACTCGGACGAGGACGAGGACGAGGACGGCGCGCACATTGAGGAGATTGACGACGACGACGAGGGTTCGGTCGTGTACGCCGGTTCCGACGAGGACAATGACGACCTCGAGCTCGCCACTGGCTTTTTGCAGGATGGCAAGCGCGTCAACATCTCCGACGACGAGTACGACGACGAAGAGCCCGAGGCCGAGTTTGACGACGAGGACGAGGACGGAGGTTCAGACGAGGACGGCTTTGTCCCCCGCTGGAAGGTCAACATGGGCGAGCGTGCTGCCACTGGGTTTGCCGAGCGCATGCTGCGCCGCCGCGACCTCATGGCGCTGATCTACGGTGACGAGCTGTCCCCCGACGAGATTGCCGCTGGCAAGACCCGCCCTTCGTCCGCCGACGCCGAGAGCTCGGCCATGGCTCTAGCCCACGACGGCCTCATGCGCGTCTCGGGCGGCGACAATGCCGGCGACGACGGCGACCAGCTCAAGGTCCCTGCCGACGCCGCGGCCCTTGCTGCCAAGTGGGCCGACGAGTCGCTCCTCGACTCGCTCCAGGGCATGTTCATCTCGGGCCGTATGGGCGAGGAGGGTGAGGACGGCGTGCCGTACGAGGACGACGCCGGCAACTTCCAGGACATTGAGGGCGCCGACGACGACGGAGAGGACGTCGACAACGTTCCCTACGTCGGCAACAAGCCCGCTGGCGGCATGGGCGCCGAGGACATCAAGGCTGCCCGTGCTTCTGCGCTCGACAAGAAGAAGAAGGCGCTCGCTGCCAAGTTTGACGAGCAGTTTGACGGCGGCTCGGACGACGACGAGGGCGAGAAGATGGACTTTTACGACACTGCCAAGGCCGAGATGGCGCGCCAGCGTGAGACCAACGAGAACGAGTTTGACGGCATGGACTTGGACACCCGTGCCCAGATTGAGGGCTACCGTTCGGGCTCGTACGTCCGTCTCGAGATTGACAATGTCCCCTGCGAGCTGGTCGAGCACTTTGACCCTGCGTTCCCGATCATTGTCGGCGGTCTGCTCTCCGAGGAGGAGCGTTTCGGTTACATTACCGTGCGTATCAAGCGCCACCGTTGGTTCACCCGCACGCTCAAGACCAACAACCCCTTGATCTTCTCCCTCGGCTGGCGCCGCTTCCAGACCATGCCCATCTACCACTTGGACGACCACAGTATCCGCAACCGCCTGCTCAAGTACACTCCCGAGCACATGCACTGTTACGCGACCTTTTACGGCCCCGTCTCGGCGCCCAACACTGGTTTCTGCGCGTTCAACTCGCTCGACGCCGAGCAGCCCGGATTCCGCGTCAGCGCCACCGGTGTGGTCCTCGACGTCGACCGCAGCACCAAGATTGTCAAGAAGCTCAAGCTCACCGGTACCCCTTACAAGGTGTTCAAGAACACGGCCTTTATCAAGGACATGTTCTCGTCTACCCTCGAAGTCGCCAAGTTTGAGGGCGCCAACATCCGTACCGTCTCTGGTCTCCGTGGTCAGATCAAGCGCGCCCTCGCCAAGCCCGAGGGCTGCTTCCGTGCCACGTTCGAGGACAAGATCCTCATGTCGGACATTGTCTTTTTGCGCGCATGGTACTCGATCGAGCCCAAGAAGCTCTACAACCCCGTCACGTCGCTGCTCTCGGCCGACAAGAAGAGCGGGTGGCAAGGCATGCGCCTCACGGGCCAGATCCGCCGTGACGAGGCCATCGACACGCCGCTCGACCCCAACTCGGCGTACCGCACCATTGAGCGCTCGACGCGCCGCTTCAACCCGCTCAAGATCCCGCGCAAGCTCCAGGCCGACCTGCCGTACGCGTCCAAGCCCAAGATGATGACCGCCCAGAAAAAGCCCACGTACATGCAGTCGCGCGCCGTCGTCCTCGGCGACGACGAGAAGAAGGCCGTCGCGCTCCTGCAGCAGATCCAGAGCCTGCGCAAGGACAAGGTCCAGCGCCGCAAGGACAAGCAAGAGGAGCGCAAGACGGAGCACCGCAAAAAAGTGGAAAACTCCGAGGAGCGCCGCGCAGACAAAATCCGCGCAGAGCGCAAGGAGCACGTCAGGTCCGAGGCCATCAAGCGCAAGCACGCAGAGGACACGGCAGGCAGCAAGCGTTTCAAAAAGTCATAGACGCGGGTCGCTTGGGACTAGAGAGTTACATGTATACACCGCATTTGCATTTTTCATTTTGCCTTTCTTTTTCCCGCGTTTTTATTATTATTTGGGCTGCTTCTGTTTTTCTTTCTTTTTTATACAACAAACAGGGTCACTTCTGATTCTCCTACATTGCCTTTCCCACACAGGCATCGGCCGGGTTCTCGTGGATGCATCCCAGCGTCTTTGAACGCACAGACGGCCGGCGGACCAGCGGCGAGGCCGGCACAGGCGGTGTTGTCGGCAATGGGCGTGGCAGTGCCGGAACCGGCGCCGGCGCTGGCGCTGGCGCAGGGGCACTGGTGACGACTGGGCCCGAGGTTGCCATGTGCCTAGGTTGACTGCTCCCCTCGGCCCTTGGCAACGCCTGCACTGCGAGGTCGCCGCCAGCACCTCCGAGCCCGAGTCCGAGCCCGAGCCCCAGGTCCAGGCGGAACGGGGGCAGGCGGGTGCTGTTCCCCTCGGCGTCGGCATCCACGCTTGGTCCCTCGGCCTCGACGCGGCGGCGCGCGCGGTCCAGCTCCATCGCCGCTGCGTGGGCCTCCCGCGCAAACGCCGCTGTGACGGGGTTGACGGGCGCGCCGCGCTCCTCGATGATGCGCGTCACGCGCAGGATGTAGTCTGAGACGTCGACGGTGGGCAGCCCGGGCGTGGCGGCGGCGGCGGAGGGGACGACTGCGCACGCCGCGGCCCCGTCACCGGGAGGAGCCTGGGCGTCCACGGGCCCTGGGGGCTCGATTTCAGCCGAGACGGACCGTGTCGACCGGGACAGTCGCGCGCGGCCGGCGAGGTTGGTGATGCTGGCAAAGCTCGCCAGGCCCGCGCGCGACGATGTGTCCGGGTCGCGCTTGGGCAGCTTGGGCAGCTTGGGCAGCTTGGGCTGCTTTGGCTGCTTTGGCTGCTTTGGCTTTTGGGGAGCCCAGAACGGGAATTCCATCTCGAATGGGACAGGGGGTTGCGGCGTCCTCGGCTTTGTCCTTATGCTGCTGGCACTCGAGGCCTCGTGAGTTGGCGGCTGCGACCGCGGTGTCGGCGGTGTGCGCGGCATGGCCGGCGAACCGGGTGACGCTGAGCGATCCCGGCACATCGGGGGTGTGGATGCCGCCGAGCTGCAACACGACGAGGTCGACGACAGCGTGGACATGGACGGTGACGTGAGCGTCAGCGTGGCAGTGGGTATGGGTATCGAGGGCGTGGTCGGTGGCAACGGCGTTTTGGGCTTGGCAATGTACTCTGCCGACACGACTGCCGTTTTCCAAGCCGTAAAGCAAGGGAGGAGACCGACACGTTCCATGTCCGCTAGCATGGCGAGGTGCTGGCCATAGCGAGCTGAAAGGTGTTAGCAAAATAGTGCAAAATGGTTCACTCTCGGCTCCCTGGTGCGTGCGTTTCAGTCCCGGTTTGCCACACCGAAAGCACCTCCTTCCACCGCCGCGCCACCACCCATCTCCCCTCGCTACCACCCTTGCTCAGCCCCTCACCGCCACAGGAAACATGTTTCCCCCACTCCCCCCCCCCCCCCCCACTCACTCATGCACTGCACTCACCAGCAACGAGCTGTGTACCTGGAATGGCCTTTGCTACGTCCCGGATCGTATCCATTACGCGCGTGCGCGCCGGGTGAACCTCGAGCGACGAGGCGACGGCGTGCGATGCCGCCGTGTCGACGGCGTCCAGCGCAGCGTACAGCCTGTCGAGGAGGTAGAATGCCGTCTCGAACTGGGTCACAAGGGCGTCAAAGGCAGCCACCAGCTGGGCGCGGGTTGTCTGTGAAGAGAGTCAGATGAGGGAGCTATGGAGGGAGGAGGAGGACGGGACGTACGACCTGCGGCACGCCATTGTCCATCCAGTAAAACTCGCGAAAGTGGACTTTGGCCACCTTTCCCGCGCTGCACGAGGACGCGGTGGCGATGGTGCTCGAGTTGGAGGTCGTCGACTCCATGGTCGACACTGACGCACTCCGCACGCGCTCGCCGGCGTGTCGCGCCGCAGTGCGGTTGTAGCTGTACGCGACGTGCTTTGTGCTCGCGTCCTTGCTCCCCGGCCCAGCGTGGTACTGGGACACAGCAAAGTCGTACTGTACGGGCCAGAAGGGGTGGCTCGTCCACTGCCATTGTTGGGAGTGGTACGAGTGGTAGCTGGAGCCTGAGCTCGAGCTCGTGATGGAGGCCGGGGTAGCTGGCTTGGGTGCCCTGTCCGGGGCCGCCGTTGAGACTGGCTTGTCTGCTGTCATATCGTTTCAAGTCAACCGTAGTGGGAAGATGGGAGTGAGGTGAGTGGATACGCCGAGTCTGTGCGGCTATGAACAGTCTCGTTTACGTTCCAGCTGCTGGACGAATCTTTACTTCTGGACACACTCTGGCGGCGCAAAACAGCCACCAACGTCGTACCCCGGATCCATCTGGACGTTGTTGCCGGTTACCGTTCCTCTCCGTTCCTCTCCTGCTCATGTAACGCGCGTCCCCCCCTCATCCACCATCTCCACACCAGGCGTCCGACACACCGAGCTTGGCCCCGTGCCTTCTGGGTGCAGCTCAAGCTCAAGTCAGCTGTCACCTGTTTTGCGCTGCTAAAACACGGCTTGCTGTCGAACACTGCGGCAAGAACATCAAGAAGGTGTGAAGTTGTGGGTTGTGGGGAAGGTGAGTGTCCATGCCATGCGCCACAGCACCACCGGCCACCGGACGCCCGGACACGACCGTACCGTACCGTACCGTACCGTACCGTACCCCAGCGCGGCGAGGTGGCGTACTGAATCGCTGTCATGCGCTGTCAGCGGCCTCGGCCACATCTCATCTGTCGCTTCTGGCAACTCGCACTGGAGGCACCCCCGCGGGGCCATAACCGGGGACGGCATGGGGGAGGCTGTGGGGAACTGGACGCCACGACGCCGCCGGTTTGCCATGTCGGTGCAACATGCCTCGGCGAGAGGCAACGCCGAGAGACACCGCCGCGAGACCTCGTTACGCCTCGTGTTTGACGCTAGTGAAAGGTTGAGTGAATGTGGAGAGTTGTGTGAGATGCAAACGTCGCTGTTCGCTACGAATCGCTACGCGACCAAACGACGAGACGCCAGAGACGTGTCGGACCGCGCCGGATCTCACCCATGCCCCGGTTAGCGGGTAACTGATAACTGACTGTCGCCCCGGGGCCTTGGGGCGCCCTTGGTCGCGATATGCGGCGTCGCAGCTCTGAGACAAAGTCATATGCATTTCTAAACTTCCTGCAGTCTCGCCGTACACCTATGCGGCTGATGTTGTTCTTGTTTCCCGGAAACCCAAATCTCGTGCTCGTTGCGCGCCCCATGTTTGTTGGACCGTTGGATAGGGTACAGCAGGCTTGTCCCATCGATCCCATCCCCCATCCCCATCCCCCAATCCTGAACTATACTTGCTGCTGCCCCTCTACCACGCGCTTTGGCCCATGCCATTCAGGATCCTCTCGATCAGCGCGCGCTTCATGTACTGCTCGCGTGCGAGGCTGCGCACGGCCTTGAGGTACCTGTCGAGGTCGATGCGCTCGGCGTCCAGCGCGCGCGTGACGTGGTAGATGGTGTCTGACAGCGCATTGTCCTCGGCCACCAGGTCGATGAGCTGGTTGTGCACAATGGAGATGCTGCACACGACCTCGTCGACGCTCACGTCGCCGCGCGACTCGAGGTCGGACACGCGCTCGTCCCCCTTGGACACTACGGCCTGGAGGCGGCCGCCGACGGCGTCGCACACGTTCTTGACGGCCTCGAGGCGCGCCATCTCGTCCCGAATCGCAGGCTCGCCCGTGGCAAGGTCCTCGCGCCGCTCGATGAGCTGCGTCTTGGTAGATTCCAGCTGGTGCATGATGGGCGGCAACGAGGCTGTCAGGTGCGGCAGGAGGATGGCGTGCAGGTGGAGGAGGGACGGGGCGGGGGGTTTGGACGGTGGGAGAGGAGGCGGGGCGTCGGCCTCGCCAGGCAGGGTAGAGATGCCGTCCTCGGGCGAGGACATGAGATCGACAGAGCGAATGGCAGCTGCTGCGCCAGCTACTGCAACGCCAGCTGCCGGTGCTGGAGCGTACGTTCCAGGAGCCTGGCCCGGTGTTGGAGCCGGCTGCCCAGTCCACTGAGGTTGCGCTGGCTGCTGCTGCTGCTGCTGCTGCTGTGGTTGTTGTTGCGGGTATGCACTTTGCTGAGGCGGCTGGTACGCTTGCTGTGGTTGTTGAACAGGCTGGTATCCAGGCTGGTAACTAGGCTGGACAGGAGGCTGCTGCTGATAAGGCGGCTGCTGGTACACTCCTGGCGCCGGAGGCGGCTGATACCCCTGCGGTCCTGGACCAGCGTGCCACGGCGCCGGCGCGTGTCCCGAGCTGCTCGTCGGGCTGGAGATCTGCGGGCTCTGCGTCCGCATGCCCATGCCCATACCCATGGGCGGCATAGGCCGCTGGGGAACTGGTGGCTGCTGGGTTGGCCGCAGTGGCACTGGCGGAGCAGCGGGGTCGCCTGGGGTCGGGGAAGTGGACGCTGCCGACTGTGGTGGGGGAGGCTGAGGCTGGGCATAAGGTGGTTGGCCAGCAGGGAACGACACCGACGACTGGCGTGACGAGGGATGCGACTGCACCCGCACCTGCTGCGGCTGGGGCGACATTGCAGGTGGCGGAGTCGGTGCGGCGCGGTACTGGGGCAGCATCTCGCCGTTGGGAGACGGGTGGTACGGCCTGGCAGGCGGTGCTGGGCCGCCAGAGGGGCCTGCTGGCGTGGGCGCTGCGCCGGCGCCGGGACCTGTGCTACCAGCAGCAACCACTGACCCAGAACCCGATCCCGACGCAGAACGACCATGGGAGCCTGCTGGGGCCTGAGCGTGTACTTGCTCTGGCGGCTTGGCGTAGACTGGCGGCACGGCCGAGAAGATGTCTGTCAGCTTGCCAACGAGGTTGCGCAGGTCGCGCTGGCTCGTACTGCCCCACGAGGCCCACCACTGGCCCACCACATCTTCCCGCACGCGCCCACCAGGCTCCACTTCGCGGCCGGTCCGCACCCCCATCTCCTTTGTGGGGACGACAAAGGCCATGGGCGGCGCGCGCGGGTACTCGTGTGGAAGCCAGATGTGGATGGGGATGTGGTATGTCGCGCCCTTGTAAGTGATGGGGAGGGTGCCGTGCAGGAGGAGAAGAAGGGCAGTGTGGCCCGAGTCAAAGGCTGGGGTGTCAGCTGCTGTAGGCCATAGAAGGATTCATAGCTGGTAAGGAGGCATAGAGAGTGTGGGCGGCTGAGCCCAAGTCTTGAACAGCGACCTCCCGGCGCACCTCGCCAACGTGAAGCTGCCCTGTCCGCTCTCCCCAGTAGCCAGTTCATTGATCTCCAAGCATGAACTGGTACTCACTAAACGCATCCGTCTTGACGGCCAGCGACCGAACAGATTGCAGGATACCCATCACCTCTTCCAACACATGGTCGCGCGAGGGGTATGGCCGCAGCACCGTCTTGAGCCAGTCGCGGGTAAGGTCGAGCGAGGACATTGCGTGCGGGGCTGGCTGGCGAGCAAACGAGCGAGCAATCAAGCGAGTGGCCAGGCGAGCGGAGACGCGAGATAGGCAAGTGTTGAGAGGGAGGTGTTGTGAGTTTGTGGGTGGAGAAGATGGATGGATGGATAGGAACGGAATGCGGTGGCGGCGCTGTCGGAAGCGGGGCGCGTCATCGCAATCGCACGCCAGATCCACACACCAAAGGTGGAGGCCCGGTTTCGCCGAGTTGTACGCCTTACCCATTACACCTCTCCTTTCTTCTTTCTGACATTTGCGACCCAGCACAGCCAACAATGGCGGCACAGTCCAGCTCCTCCAGCGGGGGATACGACCAAGGGGGATACGACCAAGAGCAAGACCACGATAGCGCGTACATGGCCGACGACCTGCCGTCCTCGTCCATATCCAGCGGCGGAAGACGACCAGCCCACCTCCGCCCGGCACGGCGGACGCGTGCAGCTGCACACGACCCGAATGCTCCCCTGCGAGACGATTACGGTATCGGCCGGAGCGCGGGGAAGGTGAAGGGCACGGGAGCGGACCCCGGCCGGCGCGGCCGGACGGTGAAGAATGCCGTGGGCGGGGGCATGGTCGCGAGCATGAAGCGCGGGATGAAGGGTCGGCGGCGGCGGGGGTGGGTTGCGGAGTATCGAACGTGGATTCTGGGTGAGTGTGAGGTGCACTTGTGCGGTGGCGAAGGGGGGCGGAGGAAGAGGAAGAGGAAGAGGGAGAGGGAGAGGGAGAGGGAGAGGCAGACGGCAGAGAAAGATGCAAGACACCCAGCACGACGAGGGAAGACAGCCATCACACGAATGGTACCAGCCTGCCGCCAGACACCCTCGCTAACGTGACCCAGCGGCCATCGCCCTCGTCCTCCTAGCCCTCCTCAACTACGCCTGGTTCGCCCGGACACACAAGCATGTCCAGGCCGTCGGGGGATGGAAGGCCGTCCTCGCCCGCCCGTTCACCTCCACCTTCTCCAGCGACACTGACACTGGGACCACGACAGGCGGCCACAAGCTGATCGACATTGAGATTCCACCCCAGGTCCGCCGGCCGGACCACCACCACCCCGGCGTGCAGCATGATGAGATGTAGCGAGAGGCGGCTACTGCACAGGTAGGAGAGAGCTATGCGAGTGGAGTATACATGCCTAGAAACGATGCCAATGTACATATGTATGATTTATGAGCGATGGGTGGTAGGTGTGGGCGAGTTGTGTTTTTGAGTTTTTGAGTTTTGGGTGGTTTGGGTGTTTTGGGTGGTTTGGGTGGGTGGTCTCCATGTCGCTGAAGACGGCGCGCAGAGAGCCAAAAATCTAACCACTCAAACTCGTGGGGGGAGAGAGCTCTACTGCTCTACACGTCTAACACCTCGTGCGTCCCCTTTCCGCGGACCTCTACCTCCTCCTCTACTCGTCGCCCTCCCTCTCGCGGGTCTCGCGCTCGCCGCCGCGGTCAAAGCGCGCACCTCGCTCCTGGTGGCGGTCGACGGCGTCGGGCTCCCGGCGGCGGTCGTAGCGCGGCTGCTTGCCGCGGCTCATCCACGAAGCACGGTCGCCGCCGCCGTTACGGTCGTTGCGGGGCTGGAAACGGCGTTCACCGCCGTCGCGGTCGTTGCGATCGTTGCGGTCGTTGCGGAAGGAGGGCCGGTTACCGTTGTCGCGGGACTGGAATCTCCTCTCGCCACCGTCACGCGACTGGAACCTCCGCTCGCCACCCTCGCGGTCGTTGCGGTAAGACGAACGGTCACCGCCCTCGCGGCGGTCGCTGCCCTGGAAGCGCGAACGGTCGGGACGTTCGCTGTCGCGGCGGTACCGCGGGGCCCTGTCCTCGCCCTCAAACTCGCCCTCGCCATCGCCCTCCTCGCCCTCCAGAGCCTCGCGGCCCTCACCCTCACCCTCACCCTCCTCGACGTCACCGTCCCGCGTGTCCCGGCGGTGCTGAGTCTTGCCGGAGAGGAACTCGGACCAGTACTTGACAAAGATCTTGCTGCGGTCGCGGAGGAGCCCCGTCGTCTCCTTTTCGAGCTCGTCGGTCGTGGCGTAGACGATGCGCTGGGCGGCCGTCTCGACGTCCTTTGCCAGCTCGACGCGGTCGGCGATGAGGTGGCGCGTGAGGCTCGTGAGCGGCCGCACGGGGACCGCGGCCTGCTTGGTGCGCAGGTCGAGGATCTGCTCGCCGACGCGGGCGCGGCTCGGGCCGCGGATGAGGTGGTGCACGATCGTGTTCCAGTACTCGGCGCCAAAGTGGTTGTAGATGCGCAAGACCTGGCGCGTGGGGCGCTCGCCGCACGCGATCGCGGCCTTGAAGAGGATGGCCATCGTGGTGGGGTCGGGGACGATGGGGTGCGCCTGCACCCACGGGACGCCGCGGGCGTCGACGGGGCGGCCGTTGGGGGACTTGAAGGTCCATTCGCCCGAGGCGCCCTTGCTCGTCTCGACGCCGGGGGGCAGATGGGTCATGCGCCGGAACACGGCGAGCGCCGCGTCCCAGTCGCCCGACCAGCGGGCGGCGCTGAGCGCCGCGTTCCAAACCTCGAGCGGCCAGCCGCCCTTGCCCGACGATGGCTGGTACGAGTCCATGATAGCCTGGACGCCGGTGATGTCGTCGGCGGCCGCGAGCGCCAGCGTCGCCGCGCGCATGAAGCCCATGTCAAAGTCCTTCCGGAGCTCCTCGTGCTCCAGGAAAAAGTGCGTGTAGAAGCGCGACTGCTCCTTGTCCTTGGCACGGCGGTAGAGGGTGAGCAAGGTGGTGGCGATACGAACGTCAATGCGGAACACGGGGAGCGTCTCGTAAACCTTGGGGAGCAAGCTAAAGTCGGCGCGCCCGTCCGGCCTCCTGCTGGACGCGACCTCGGGCTGGGTGGCCGAAGGAAGACCCCAGAGGCGCGGGACGAGCACCTGCGCGAGGCGCTTGTCCTCGGGGCGAGCGACGCTGAGGCACTCGACCACGAGGATGGCAAGCTCGGGGTCAATCTTGCGGTAGTCTGCGGGGCGGTGACGAAGCTGGCGGATGGCCTGCTCCCAGTACGACCTGACCGTCGCGCCAAAGTTGATGGTGGGGAGCTTGACAGGCTTGAGAGTGATACCGGACGCCTGATGCTTTGTGATACGGTCATTTTGCAACCGCTCAAACGTGTGAATGTTCTGTGCGGCCTTGAGCATGGCCCAGTACGTGACCTGGTCTGGGGAAAGCGGGCCCTCGCGGTCCATGGCGAGGAACACGCGCTCCATCTCCTCCCAGTATCCGAAGCGGCCAAGGAACTTGAGGTAGGCGTTGGTGGGCAAGATGTTGATGGCCTTGGTGATCGACTCTTCCTCTTGGTTGAGAACGTCGGGCTCGGGATTGCTCTGCGGGTAGCTCACACCCACTTCCTCTTGGATACTTTGCTTTTGAATCTTGGTCTTGCATGCTTGGATGTGCTTTTGAGATGACGCGTAGATGGCACGCACGCGCTCAAGGGTGAGCGGCTCGGGGCGGTTGCCCGGAACAAAGTGCTCAGTGTAGCTGTCCGAGTGAGCCACACCGGCGTAGGCGTTGAGCAAGGTCGTGTACGTCCTCGACGTAGGTTTCACAAAACGCTTCTTCATGCTGTTGTAAACCTTCCACATGCGGGTGTACCTCTTGCTGCGGCCCAGCAGGGCAAACACAAGGTTGTACACGGCAGCGTTGACGGCGTGGCTGGGAGTCTCCTCGACCATCCTAATCACCTGCTCGCTCTCGTCGAATGAGATGGGCTGGACGTGGCGATCAATCCACTTTTTGATCTTGAGCGAGGTCATGTACGGCGTAGCCTCGCCCTGAGCGACGCCGGCCTCTTGCTTTCCGCGAACGTTGCGGCCTTTTCCACGAGCATCATCGCGGCCTTGTCCACGAGCATCATCGTGGCCCTGGCGGTCGCGGTCAAACCTGCCGCTGCTGCTGCCGCCACCGCTGCTGCGCGAGCCGCGAGAGTCAACCTGGCCGCGACGAGAGTTACGCGAGTCTCCACGACGGCTGTCAAAGCGACCACCGCGGGAATCCCTGTCAAACGAACGAGGGCGCTCCCTGTCAAACGAACGAGGGCGGTCGCCGCCGTCTCGGTACGGCTCGCGAATCAACGAGCCACCGCTCTGGTAGTCGGACAAGGCGGCGCCCGTAGCGGATGAGCGGCGGGACGGCAGAATGCTACGGTCCGAGTCGAGCAGCATGTCAAGCTGGTCCCTGTTGGCCAAACCGCGGCTGCTTCCTTGGACGACGGAATCGCGCAGACGACGCTTCTCGTCGCTGTAGAAGCGGGGCGCTGTGGATGTGGATGTTGTGGTAGTGGTGTTGAAGAGGGATGCCGCGGGACGACGCAGGGATGCGTGTACGCTCACTGGCCTCGCTGCTAGGCGGGCGAGAGAGAGCATGGCGGCAGAAAAAAAGGGGAGGGGGGGAGGGTTGATATGGAGAGGGAGAGGGCGATGGCACGGAACGACAACAAGGGAGCTGTGAGCGAGCATATCTGTCTCTGTTCCCAACTTTTGTCCGGGTCGAATGTTTTGATCGCGTGATGGTCGCGTGACACTCGCGCGATGCTCGCGTGACATTTGCGTGGCGGATCACGTGACGCACCTGGGACGGGCGACCGTGGCCTTGGCGATTTTCCGTGTGTGTTTTGGTTTTAACCCCCTTGACACGAGAGGACGGGAATTCCCAGGAAGCAAAGGAGGGTTGTTGAAGGGGATGTCTTGTTGTTGTACTCCCTGTGCTGCAAGCTGCAAACTGCTCGCGACCAACGACGATAGAAAAAGCAAACAATCCCATCAGTTGCCCATATCCCGTGCCTGGCCATACCCTCTGCTGGTCGAGGGGGAGTGGTGGTCGGGGGTGGTGGTGTTGGTGAATTGGTGTGGTGTCGCGCGTCACGTCCTGCCAAAACTGCCTCGGTTCCCCCCAGTCGCGCCAGTCGTCTGCATTCCTGTGTCAAACGGCGCGCGACGCGTCTCTACAAGATCCATGGATCCCATGGATCCATGGCCCGCTTTATCGCCTTTAACAGCACATCCCACTCCTCATCAACAATACAAAAGGGGTAGAGAGAGACACATACAGGACACAAACAGGGGTCTTCGCCTTTCTCCTGGCCCATGGCGCCGGGGTGTGGAGGCGCTTGCTGGCCAGTCTCTGATCGAGAGAGAAGCGAAGCGGAGACGAGAGCAAAGCGGAGAGAGAGGGGGGCCAAGCTACGCAGCAAGGAGGAATTTGAGCCAGTTGTTGTCCTGGAGCGAGAAAAGGCAAAGGGGGTGGCAGAGAAAGACAGCGGTACAGCGAGAGCGAGAGCGACAGAGACAGAGACAGAGACAGACCCCCCCAACGCGATCGCAAGTGTGCGTGCGTGCAGGAGAAAGGTGGGGTTGTTCAATAGACTGTCAATAGACTTTGTTTTCAATAGATGGATGCATGCAACCTTGGCCCCTTTCCTCGTCCTTGCCTTGCTTTGCTCTTCCGACAGTCACCCGCACGCCCGCGGCTTTGTTCAGTCCCCCTCTCTCTCTCTCTCTCGCTCCCCCCACCATCCACAGACTGCTCTGTGTTGTGCCCCCCTTCCCCGTCATCCCCACCACCCACCCACCATCAAAGTAGCATCCGGCGCGGCATCACCCGCCCACCACCACCACCACCCACCCACCGTCACCCGCTGAGCGGAAGCTACCTCGCACCCAGCGACGCCACCGCCGCACCACAACCTCCCCCCTCCCCCCTCCCTCCTCCCTCCTCCCTCCCCTCCTCTCACACGCCAACGGCATTACGCACCCCCTCTCTTTGGCGCCTCCTTATTCAATCTCAATCCACCCCCCCCATCTCAATATAATCCTACATCATATCCCATCATCCCACCATCCCCCTCACGACCACCACCCCCACCACAACCACCACGACGCGACACACACTCCATCCTTTCTTGCCACCACCGTCCCCCCTCCTCACCTCCACATTTTAGGCATCGGCGTCAACACCGCGTTCGTCGCCGCGTTCGCCGCGCCCACCGCCATTCACCATGTCCGCAGGCGGTGGCACGCTCGCCTCCCCACCCCCGGTGACCACAACACAGTCATCGAGGCGTAGCAAACCGCCCACCGAGAACTGGGACGACGACTTTGAGTTCTCCTTTCCAAGGGCGACCAAGGCCGCAGCCGGGGGATCATCGTCCAGTTCATCTGCCGCGCGAGCGTCAGTGTCAACACCAAAACGCGATGTCGGCGGCCTCCTCGGCGAGGGGTCACGAGGGAACGCTGCCTACATGCAGCAAGACTCTCCAGACAGCTTTGATGAAGACTGGGATGATCCACTACCGGGACCACCTCCGCCGCCGCTGCAGCAGCCGCCGCGCTCACCCTCGGGCTTGACCGCGACCAAGCCGCAGCGATCGCCAGTACAGACCCTCTTGCAACCGCCTCGCAGTTCCCAATCTCACTCGCCCACCCTCCCATCCCCAACCTCGGCAAAGCCCAGCCCCTTGCTGAACCACTCCTACCCTGCCACTGCTCCCCCCGCGGCTCTCGACCACGCGTCAACACTGTCATTGCAGACAGTCCGGCAAGGTGACACCACCCCATCAGGCTTGAGCACACCCAGGGGACAGCTGTCCAAACGATCCTCCTCTTCGTTTACACCAGCGCGACAAGAGTCCCCCCTCTTCGGCCACTCGGCATCCCCAGCACACCGCAGCAGCCCAAACCTCGCCAACCCGAACCGAGGCGGCACACTGCAGTCGCTCCAACAGCCGCGTCATCAGACGTCGACAAGCAGCTTGAGACGCGTCCCCGTGCCGCCAATACCGCCTGGCCTCGACCATTCCCGCACCCCCAGCCCGACAAAACACAGGTCTCAGACAAAGTCACCGTTTCAGCCGGCTCCTGGCCCCGCGTTGACGTCGGTCCAGACCATCACCGCGTCCCCGTCGACAGAGAACCTCCGTGAGAAGAAGCCAAAGTTCTGGAAGCGCTTCTCGGCTGGACCATCCACGCCGTCTCCGCAAAGGGACAAGGACGATGCCCGCCGGCGACGAAGTTCGTCTGTTGGCAACCTCGCGCCTCCCAACTCTGTCGAGCCACCTGTACCGCCTTTGCCCGCCAACCTGCGGTCACCGAGCGCGGCCTCGGGCTGGTCGTCGACCTCCATCATGTCGTCTGCGAGCTCGACAAGGTCAGGCAAGGGCAGGCGTTTCTCCCTGATGATGCGTCGCTCGTCGAGCAACATCTCGGCGTTGGCAGATACGCCTACCAAGCCGCCGCCCATGCCGCACCCGTACGCGCTGCGAGGCCCCAGCACGAGTTCTGTTAACATGGCAAACGCAACGTCCTCGTCCACAGTCAACCTGTCATCGCCTCAGTCGGCTGTCCGGACATCGTCATCACCCATCGTCAACCGGTCGCCCCAGGTGGCCGGGTCCTCGACCATGCACCGCATGGCTGTTGCGGGACGGACACCGAGCCCGGCAAAACCCCGCACCGAGGCTGACGGTTCCGCGTCGTCGTCAAGACCCCGAACCTTTTCGCCAGGCTTCCACTTACCCTCGCCGTCTCCCGGGTCGCCTTACAACAGGATCACACCAACGCCCAGCGAATGCGACGCTGATGCGGACGAGAATGACACCTCACGACGGAGACGAAGGGTGCGACCTGCCTCAGCCATGCCCATCCCTCGCAAGACGGCGGCGTCGCTGGCGTCGGCCGGCTATGACCATGTCAACTCGAGCAGCCCTACACTGTCCATGGGGTCGCTGGCGTCAACACAGCAGTCGTCGCCGTCCCAACCGCGCAACGTCCACATGCCGACGCTCGCGGCGCTTTCGTCGGCCTCGGCAGCAAACCAGCAGCACCAGAGTCCCTCGGGAGGACCGCACTCGCGCATGTCGTCTGCAAACATGCCCGACTCGGCGTCGCTGGCGAGCGGGTTCCCGGCCGGCACGTCGCCGTCCAACACGTCCGTGTCCATGTCCTTTGGCAGCTCGGCCCAGCACCACCAGACCAACGGACAATCGTCGGCCCACCAGTCGACCCTCAAGCGCATCACGAGCTTTTCAAAGAAGCACTCGCGCAGGCTGTCGGGTGGCTGGATGTTTGGCACCCAGTCGTCGACGAGCTCCAACGAGTCGGGATCAAGAGACTCCCGCCCCCCGCTCCAGTTGCTGGAGACTGTGACAGGCTCGCCATCCAAGCCGTCCACGGTCGGCAAGGCTGCTGCTGCGTCGTTGTCAGCAGCTGCGGGCGCGGGCGCGGGCACGGGCACGGGCTCTGACAAGGCGCCGTTCCCGCACGAAGGGGCGGTCGACCTGTCGTCCCCGCGGTCGAGCCGGAACGGCGATGCCGTGCATCCGCTGGAGGCGCAGACGGACTGGGAAGACACGGCCAAGATGCGCGCCATCAAGCGCGAGCGCCGGCGCATGTCGTTCAACGACTTTGTCATCCCGGACCAGGTCCTGGCAAAGCAAAAGGAGTTGAAGAGGGGTATTGGGGCCGTCAAGAAGTTTGCCGGGGGTGTTGAAGGTGAGCTCGAAAGTTGTGGAAGCATTGCTGACAACCACAGCGCTCAAGCAGCTGGTCGCTGCGCACGACCGCCTGTGCGACGGGATCCTCGCCAGCGGGTCCGAGGCGGACACGCGGCTGTTTGTCCAGCTCGAGAACGAGTATGCGCAGTGGTGGGAAATGGCCACTGTGCTCATCGAGGTGGCATCGACGGGCACGCGCGAGGCCGAGTCGCCCATGAGCCAGAGTGTGCGCTCCCGCCGAATCACTCTTGCGACCGACGACGCGCGCGTCGCCAGTGAGGCCCTGCGCTCCATCTCGGGGTCCACCGCGACGTCGTTTGCGTCCACCACCAACTCGTTTGCCACGTCGGCGTCATTGTCCACCAACCCCACGCTGTCGCTCAGGCAGGCCAGCTATGCCGACTCGGACGTGTTCACGTCCCCGCCATCCGCCGCCAACAAGCCGTACCCGGCCGACTTTCGCGCAAGTACCGGCCGCGGCGACCTGTCGCAGCGCCAGCTGGACGTTCTGCGCACCATGTTGCGTACGCCCGTCGACTCGAGCGATAACGTGTTGGCCTCTGTCCAAAAGTCACACGCGTCCAAGGCCGGCCGTGGGTCGCGCGCCAGCATGCCTGTCCCGCCAACGATGGAACGGCCCATCATCCCCGCTGCGCCATCGACTATGCGCGCGTCGCAGAGTCCGTTGGCATTCAGCACGCCGGCGGGCCCACCGCCGGTGCCCACGACCGACTCGCCCGACGTGTCCACATATGTGATGCCGTCGCCGTCGTACCCATCGCCCAACACCGCAGCCGCACTCGCCCAGCCAAGGCACAAGTCTGGTATCGGGCTCGCGGGTCTGCGCGACTTTCTCCGCTCGCTCAAGAACGGCAGGGACAAGAACGAGAAACCGGCTCTAGCCCACACCGCCGCCCACCCCCCCGCGAACAAACTGCGCAAGCGGCCGGCGCCGATCAACACTGTCGCTGCTGAAAAGTATGGCCAGTCGCCGCCCGCGTCGCCCATTCCGCCGTCGGCAGTGGACGCGGTGCTCGTGCAGACCCAGAGGGGAAACATCCCCCCGCACACACACACCAACCCGGATGATTCGCGCTCGCCCATCAAGGTGGACGCCAAGAAACGTCGTCCGTCCATCAAGAACATTTTCCGCCCCACCTCGGGTAACTGGCACGACCTCGTGCGCGCGACCCCACCGCCGTCGCCGCTGGCGACGACCACGTCCCAGATGAGTGCCGCCGCCGACGACAACGACAACGACGACGACCTGGCGATACCCCCCGTCCCGCCCACGCCGCCGCGCAACAGCTTGTCGCGCCCGCCCTCCTTGCCAGCACTGGCGCGGCTGAAAATGTCCAAGACGGCAGGGTACGCGTCGCTCGGCGTCGAGTCGCCCTCTGGATCACCCACGCGGCCCGCCGCGCGGCGCGGCACCGTCGGCGCGTCCGAGTCGCCCTCCATGTCCCCCGTGCCGGGCACGCCCGGGTCGCTGGACGGCGGGGACGCGAACGCGACGCTGCGCCTGAAATCGCGCGTCAAGGGCCTGGGGCTGGGCCACCCGTCTGAAAACTCGCCCAGCCGCGCCTCGTCGTCGCCGGCACGCACGACGCACGCGCCGGCAGCAGCCACAGGCGGCGCGGGTAGCGGGGACCTGCTCGTGCCCCTCGCCGAGGCGCAGACGCCGCGCTCGCGGTCCGAGGGCGGCGCGCTGGATGACGGGACGACGGGCCCGATCATTGCGCTCACGCCGGAAAACCTCCCGGTCCTCCTCGACTATGTCAAGCAGTGCGAGCGGCGGCTGGCCGAGTGGCGCTCCAAGGCCGGGATCGGGCTCGAGGACCAGACGGCGTTTGTGCATCGGGCCGCGGGGGGCGTGGGCGTGGGCGTGAATGGGGACGCGGGCGGGGGTGGGGTTACGCGTGGTGGAGTGTTCTGAGCGTGGAGCGACGGTGACGGAAGAGGAAGGGGCAGAGGAAGAGGAAGGGGCAGAGGAAGAGGAAGAGGAAGAGGAAGAGGAGACGGACTGGCGATATCCGATATCCAACCACACCATAGCATTTGCACGTTTGGCTAGCCTGTATCATGTATGCACATTTGCGCGCTGCTGTGCGCGAGATAGGAACAAGGTCATGTACATGTACGGTTTTGTCTACAGAGTCTAAAGGGTGTGGTGGTGGGGGCGATGTGTTGTGGTGTGGTATGGTATGGTGTGGTGTGTGGTACAGAGTGTGTGGCGTCTATGTTGAGGCAGATGTGGAAGCACGGCTGTGACTGCTGTCTTGCAAGTTCTCGGCGTGCGTTTTGGTGCTGGACTGGGGAGTTGGTGAGGCGAGGTTGTTACTGTCCGTGGCGTGAGGGAGACGGAGGGCGAGGACACGCGTAACGGCCAGGCAAGCGAGCGAGTGTGGCTGGAGAAGAGTCAGCTTTAAACGGCAGGCAAAAAGCGCAGCTAACTCACCACTGCGATCTGCAGTTTTTTTTCTTTCAAGAGCGAGAAGACGGTCTCGGGCGTGACAAGGAGACTGTAGGACAAGACGCAAGTCTAGGGCCAGAAGCAAAAGTTGGGTTCGCTAGGACGGAGAGTGGCAATGTAGGGGCACGCCGCTCCCGTCCTCCCTCATGCCTCATCGCCAGAAGCCTCCTCCTCTCCACCCTCCTCACCACCACCAGCGGCCAGCCCGCTGCCGACCCCCATCAGCTTGGCCTTGAGGGCACACCTCTCCCTGGTGTATTTTGTCTTTTCGCGGTCCAGCGCCGGCTTGACTTGCACGGCAATGGTGTCCATGTGGCCGAGCGCCTTGAGCGTCTTGAACAAGTACAACCGGCGGTTGTTGAGCGAAAAGTAGAAGGGCGCCGGGTCGACCTTGTCCGCTCCACCTCCTCCCCCACCTTTACCCTTTCCACCACCACCTTTACCGCCCTTCTTGCCGCCGCCGCCCTTCTTGCCCCCCTTGCCGCCTCTACCCCCACGCTCGCGCTCCTCCCACTCGTCCCCGCTGCCGTCGTCCGCCGCCTCGGCCTTGGGCACCTCAAAGTTCTCAATGACGGTGATGTAGGGAATGTCCGTGATCTTGGTCGTGCCGGCCAAGACCTCGTCGAGCGTCTCCTGGATGCGCTTGTTGCAGCCCGTGAACACGGGCCGGACGCGCGAGTGCGTAAAGTAGATCGTGTCCGGGTCCATCTGTCGCAGGGTGCGGCCGCTGGCCGTCTTGCGCGCCGGAGCGGAGGCGTCGGACGCGTCGGTGTCGGCGGGTCTGTCCTTGCCCATCGTAGCTGGTGGTGTGAGGGATGTGGAGAGTAGAAGGAGGGAGAGAGCTCGAGAGAGATGGACGTGCTATATCTCGTCAACAACGGAAATTCTGCTTCCGTTGAGCGATCGGCGTTGAGCCTGCCAAAACACACGTTAACCTGACGGAGAATCGAAGGCCGGTCACCAGACAAACTCGTCAAACACGCAAAACAGTACTAACGACACGGACGCGACCGGGGTCCTCAGGCCCGCCGTGACGATCCCCACCTCCACGCAACAGCAACCAACAGCTCAACCTCCATCCTCACTTTCATACCCATCTGACCCGCCTTCCAACTGCCTGCTCGAGATGTCCGAGTCGCACGTCGGCCATCACAGGCGGGCAACAACCACGGCAGAATCGTTCATCGGTGAGCTCCGTCTTCTTCGTGGTGTCTGTAGTCGCGCTGCCAGCTCATCGGCGCGTCCTGCAACACCAATAACATGACATTCCCAAACTGACAACTCTCGTCGCAGACCACAAGCCGTTCCTCTCGGATCGCTTTGCCGTGAACGACTATGCCAACGCCGTGCTTCAGGGTCGAGCATACCGCCCCGATGAAGAGGACGGCGGTGCCGAATCGTCAAGCCGGCAAAAGGAGAAGGGCGACCTGAGCGTCGAGGTTGCGCGTCTCAACTATGGCATCGTAAGCTGACATGTGTAGCAAAATAGCTGACAAAGACAGGAAGACGTGACTCGCCAGCTGCGCAGCGAGATTACCCAGTCGTACCCGCTCCTCCTGTCCCACCTCACCACCTCGCTGGCGCTCAGCTCGCACCTTGCGCCCATCCGCAGCTCGCTCACCTCGCTCTCGTCGTCGATAGACAGGCTGCACACCAAGATCCACGCACCGCACGCCCAGCTCGCGCTCCTGGTCCGCCGCCTCGCGCTGCTGGCGCTGGCATCAGACCTGTCGCGCCGCGCTGCGCGGTTCGTGCTCGTCGCTCGGCGCCTGGAAACGCAGATGGAGCGCGTGCGCGACGGCGCAGCTGGGGAGGGCGGCAGTATCGGCGATGGCGAAAAGGAGCGCGAGCTGGCGAAAGCGGCACTGAGCGTGGCCGAGCTGGACACATTGTTGGCGACACCCGGCGAGGACGACCTCGAGGGCAGTGCCGCCAATGGGGGGGAGGAAGAGGAAAACTCGACGCGGCCGCTGCCCCTCCAGTCCCTCGACTTTGTCCGCGCCGTGGTCCCCATTGTGGACAAGGCGCGCGACTCTATCATCACGGAAATGGAGGCCATGGTCGTCTCGGGCCTCGGAAGCCTCAACCAGCCCCTCCTCTCCTCGTCGCTCCAGACAGCACACAACCTCGGTCTCCTGCCGGACCTCGTGTCCAACCTCGTCGCGGACCTGAACGACGCCGTCACCCTGCGCGTGCAGCGCGCGTTCGACTCGGCGGCCATTGGTCGCGAAGTCGCGGGAAAGGACACGTCCCATGCCGTCAAGTTTACAACCCGCTCGCGCACCCAGACCGAGCCGTCCAGCGCCAACTTGTCGCAGTGGATCGCCGTTCTGTGGGCCCGCCTCGAACGCGTCGTCGAGGACGTGGCCAACTGCTGCATCAAGGTGTACACGCTCGAAAAGGTGCTCAAGGCCAAGCGCGACGCCGTCACCCAGGTCGAGTTTCTGGAAGAAGTCATGCGGACGCTTGACGAAAAGCCTAGCTTTACATTCTGGACAACGCTGGCAAAGGCGTTTGAGGCACAGACCAAGGAGGCTGCCAAGACGAGCGGGTGGCTCCAGCAGGCTCTCTCCACAGGCTACCCTCGTCTCTTGCGTCTGTTCCACGATTTCTTCGCCAAGATTGCAGTCCACACCGACACCGTCTACACACAGGAGCACCAGAGCCCCGAGGCCGTGCTTGTGCTGCGCTCGGTGTCGACGTTTGAAACCCTCTACCTCACCCGCTCGACCGCTCGTATGTCCGACGCCGTCACCTCTGCCATGAGCCTGTACATGGCCGCACGACAGACCGCTCCCGGCGCAGGCGAGGGTGTCAACATCGCCCGTACCATCACCAACGAGCTTGACTCGGCACGCTTCGACCCTCTCTTGGTCCGAACAGTGGCGCGCAATGCCGTAAAGGTGCTCAACACGCTCAGGACCAAAGTCGACGCCGCGCTCGTGCGCGATTTCACAGCCACCTCGCTCATCGGGCCGCAGGCGACCCCGGCAGAGGTCATCAATGCCCAGCTAGTCTCGTGCCTGTACCACTGTGCGCTCAACCTGTCCCAGGTCGAGGCACAGTTTGGATCGAAGGTATCGGCCATCCTCCACCCATCAGTGTCCGCGCTCGAGGCGACGTACAAGAAGATCACCGACGCGCTCGACACGGCCATCAAACGTGAATTCTCCACCATCCTCGCACGCATCCACCGCGTCGACTTTAGCAAGCCCGTCGACCCCATGGCAATGGGCAGCGGCGGCAGCCCGTACATGCAGGACCTGGCGGACAAGCTTGTGTTTTTGAGGCAGGAAATCCTCGGCCGTCTATCCCTGGGCGAGTTTATGCGCCAGTGGGTGCTGCGCCTGTCCAAGTTCCTCATCCACACGTTCCTGTTGCACGCCTCCATCGCGCGACCCATGGGCGAGAGCGGCCGCCTAAAGCTCACGGGCAACATGACCGAGTTTGAAATGTCCCTCCAAAACTTCCTCAACACTGGCCGCGTCCAGGGCTCCAAGCAGAGCCTCAAGGTGTCGCAGATCGGCGACGAGTACCTGGCCCTGCGTTCGTTCCGCCAGCTCCTCTTCGCCGACCGCGCAGGCATCGTCAACCCCGTGGAGACGGTCCACCTCCCGCCCCTCGTGGTCCTCCACCACGTCATCGTCCGCTCGCCTCTGCGCCTTCCACACGAAGTACACGGGTGGAGCGAGCACGAGTACGTGCTGTGGGTGGACAAGCACACCGAGGAAGACGCGTGGGATCTGCTCGAAAAGGGCGTGGACGGACAAGTGGAGAGTGCAGGTGCCGGGAAGACAAAGACGGCAGCAGACGGAGACGAGGATGCCGAGGCGGTCGGCACCGTCAAGGAGGTGCTGGAGCATGCGCGGCATCACCACGAGCAGGACAGGGAGGCGCATTAGATGTACATGGGATGAAGCAAATTACAGATATCACCAGCCTGCATGCCGTCCGCGCCAAGACGTCCGTACAGTGTTTGACGTGTTCTCTCAGGCTCACGACTGACCGACTCTCATCTCGCCATGTGCTCGATAGCTCCGGCCGGCCGCGCCCGCACCGCACCGTCCTCTGCTGACTCCAACAACGGTCACATAATCACAGGACCTGCGAGTCGTTGCTGTCATTGTTACTCGAACGTTTCGTGTCCCCCGCGCCAACATGGCGCGAGGAGCCCGCCGCGGCCAGTGGACTTAAAAGGTGTGGGTGGCCACCCCTTCGGGCCTCACCCCCCCTCACTGGCCCATTAACCACTCCATCCCCATGTTTGCCGACTTCCCTGCCCCTGTCCTGTCTTCCTGTGACGGCGACGTATATGGCGAAAACCGTGGCTGTGAGTTTCTGTTCCCAAGTGCAAAGGGCTGACACCAACAGACGCCTGTATTCCACGGTGGTCAGATGTGTGGGACTGCTACGTCTGCCACTACTGCCTGGAAGAGATGGAGATTGAAGAGTATGAGTAGGAGTTTGTACGGCCAGCAGACCTGTACAATAAGGTGGACGAGGTCGAAAAGATGTATGTGTGTGTGCCTGTGTGTTGTTTCGCGTCAACGGTGCAAGTGCAAGTGGCGCGAAGGGCGGTGATGCGAGTGGGTGGGAAAGGTGGTGCCCATTCCCGCGAAACGAAGTGGTGTACAACTGACTCACGGACTGTTTTAATCTTTACCCACCCACCATGTTTGCCCCGTACACTGCACCTGTTTTCAACGCTACTTGTGACGGTGGACCGGATGGAACCAACGTCAATGGTAAGGCGAGCGTCTCTCCTCACTCCGATCTGACAAGCCCCCCCTCCCCCCAGGACAGTGCCAATATTACTATTCGGCCGTATGGGAGGGATATTTTTGCTATTTCTGCCAGGAACAGATTTCTGAGAGCGACGAGGAATGCATGTGAATGGAAAAGTGGTTGACGGAAGAGGGAACGGGGAACTTGGCGCGGTGGAGGGGTGTGAATCCGAGAACGTAGATGGCTGATGGGTCACACTTGGGGTCGGGCGAAGGCGTAGACCGGCGGTGTGTGAAATGGAGTTTGTTTCCTCTCGCTGACCCTCTTTCCGCAGCTCATGGGGTATCAACGCAGTGCGCTCGTGGGTGAGCGAAGGTGGTCAACCGTCCACTGGCCGGCCACACTGGGCAGCTTATTGACGTTTCATGATTCTCAAAGCCACCCGGCATTCCAAAAGGCACAAGGGAAGGCCAGGCAGACGAGCCAGAACATTGGCGACTTGCTGGGTCAGCGTTTGAAAGAACTGATGCGGGAGTCAGGCGCTGAGACTCCGGGCAACGTCATATGTCGAGCTCTGATAAAGTTGCCAGGGAGCAAGCACATTGGACGAAGGACTTGCGTTTATATCCCGACCTTGCGAGTGGCTTGCTGTATCGCCTGCCTTGATCGCCCTAACGGCACATTAGCATGGTGGCCATAGGTTTTTATGCCTCTCCAATCTAGGCTGGCGATTGTAGGACGATACGCTACTCGCCGATCCCAAGAGGAAGGGCATGGTATGGTGACTGACGGGATTGACCCTGACGACTATCTGGCTGCGAAGTCAAACGTCACTCTTGAGGGATATGTGCCAGATACACTTCCGCCGTTCATATCTTCATCTCAGTTGACTGCTAGTAGGCGGTGGGTAGTAGAGAGTGTAGCGTTCTGGGGTGTTGTCTTCGCACATCGCGATAGACGTCTCCTCGCAGACCTGCGTCTGTACACACCACCCGAGAAAGCCTGTGTTGATTTGGCCGTTGCGGCATTTGCAACCAGTTCAGAAATCATCCCGGTGCTGTATCACGTCAGTAAATCGATCATTCTGATGCGGAAGCGATGGAATCGACGGAACGCGCATAACAGAAGTCGAAACAGTGGAAGACCGATCCTGGAATCCTGGAAGACCGATTTACCATCCGAAGCCAGGGTTAATCACATCATTTCAGTGGCTTATTCGCACCTACTCCAGGCACTCTTCTACTTCTACCGCAGCGTCTGCTTTGAGAATGGCAACGGCAACAACAACCATGTAGAACGACCGAGGAATGTTGTGCATGTCGCCATCGTTGCTCAATAACCTCGGATATTATTCGGCGGTTCTATTCCAGGAATGCACTTGAACTCGATCCATATAAGAAGGCTTGGTCGCCGATGGGTCGTCACCTGTACTCACGACTGCCTCACCCAATACTATCAGGATGTCGCTCACTCCTGTTTCGGAGCGCGATTTATATGTCGATCCGGAAGACAAGCATGCCGACATCGTGTCCGTAGACAAGCATGTCGACCAACATGAAGAGCGGAACTTGTTCACCTATCAACAAGGCAAACAGCTGCTGCGACGAGCGGATTGGCATATTTTGCCCATCTTGATCCTGCTGTATCTGTCCAAGAACATGGACGGGAATCTTGTCTCGGTATGTTCTGCGTCTATCCCGTCTTTCAAGAACCTTCAGGCCAGCGCTAACATATCTTGGCATGCAGTACGTCAAAACGATCAACACGACGTCCGAATCGAATATCCTTGCAGCACTCAATATCACCTCCAACCAATATGCCTACGCGGCAACTTGTTTCTCGGTCACTTTTGTGCTATTTGAAGTGCCCAGCAACTTCCTGATCAAGTGGTCTACTCCCCGTGTAAGCTTCTTGCAAATGTGTGGCAGGATCATGCTAACTCGTACAGTTGCATTTCTTCCGCATTGTTGTCGCTTGGTCTATCATTACAGCATGCACTGCCGCTGTTTCCAACCTTGCTGGGTTTCTTACCGCCAGAGGTGAGTTTCGAACGGGTGCCGGGCACGATCGTGGCTGACTGGCATCATAGCTTTCCTGGGTATGGCGGAAGCTGGTCTGTATCCCGGAATGTTGTGGCAATTGACATTCTGGTATCGACCCGACGAAATCGCCGTCAGAATGACTGCACTGGGCGTCTTGGGCCAATTCTCCGGTATCCTCGATTCGCTACTCACTTACGGTATCTGTGGGTTTGCTTCTGCTTCCCCAAACGCACATGACCAAGCTGACTTGTCGCAGCTTATATCGATGGGAGAGGTGGTCTGGATGGTTGGCGATGGGCATTCCTTATTGTTGGACTCATCGGTCTCTTTGAGAGTGTCCTCGTCTGGTTCTGGTATCCCGATTTCCCCGATTCGCCACCGAGTCGCCGCCAATTCCTTACTCCCGAGGAAGGTGCTTTCCTTGTCGCTCGACTCCCTCCAAACTCGGCTCGATCATCCGACAGCAATTTCGACTGGGCAGCCGTGCGGCGCGAACTCAAATCGCCGTTGTTGTGGGGATTCTCCTTCTCCCAAATGTGCACCAACAGCGCCCTCTACGGATTATCCTTTTGGCTGCCAACCATCATCACTTCATTTGGGTTGACTCAAGGTCCCAAGAGTCAATTGCTGGTTATTCCTTCAGCGGTAGTGTACATCGTCACTGCCATTCTACTCGCTTGGTTCTTGGATAACGACACGAGAGTACCGAGACCTCTACTCGCCTTCACCGGGTGTTTCGCTTTGATTGGGATTTACGTCGGCATGATCGTTTGCAAATCCAAACCAGGCTTATACGTTTTGATCATTGTGAGTGGACGTCTCAAATACCTGGCCACCTTCGTCTGTATGATCCAGAGTAAAGCTGACTCTGCTCTAGTTTGCCCAAGCAGCAGGAGCCCTAATCTTCGCACCACTCCTCCCACTCCGTGCCCAGTCACTTCGCGGTTCATCATCAGCAGCATTCGCGTTCGCCTTCCAAAACTCGTGTGGTCAAATTCCAGGTCTCTACACCGCTCAATTCTTCCAGAGTAAATACGCTCCCAGGTATGCTGTTCCATTCGGGATCTGCATTGCTTTCACGGGTGCTGTCTTCATTGCCAATGCTTGGATTTGGTATTGGCAGTACGACCTTGAAAAGGAGACCAGAAGGGTTGCGAGGGCGAGGCGAGCCGCTGGAAAGAGTGAGGGTGTGGTGGTGGTGGAAGAGGTGAAGTCAATCTGATGTTTGGGCATCACAAATAGGGATAGAGTTGAAGAGATATGTATAGAGCACATGCATCATGCTATCTCGCACGACCCATCTCGCGTTTACAGACTACTTGTAGTCGTTCTTCTCGTCTCATCCAAGGTTTTAGTGTTACCTGCCCCACCCTCCCCATCATGGCCTGTTGTCTCTCAAAGACTTTTCCATCCGTGCTTCCGACTTTCTGCAGCGCTTTGACCACTTCAGATCCTGAACGACTTCGCTAGAGAGGATCATAATATAATATAGCGATAATGGGGAAAATGAGAAAGGGTGACCGTTGAGGCAAGACCCAAACTGACTCGAGCTTGATAATCATATACAGCAACAGATGACAGGGAGAGCTCTTTGGCAGCCCGAGATATCAGGAAATAAAATGGGCTGATGACGGCTAGACCACGGTCGGGATGATGCGTAGGAAGTGTGGCTGATGGAGGAGGCAGCTCTGGGCGGTGCAGGGGTCGTGCGAATATGAGAATGTTGATTGCTGATGGCATTTTGTGTGTCAGCCGATCAGCCGCCGGCCCACTGCGACCCACGGTGTGCGAAAACGGAACAGAACTCAGAGGGTCGTCCCTATAAGCTGAGTCGCCCCATCACTCGTGAGCATTCATACCTCCCCCATACACAATGTTGACAGACTACGAGCCTCCGATCCTCTATCAGACCTGCGCCGGCAACCAGTATGGCAGCAACATGTACTGTGAGTTGCTTCGCAATCCGGGACTGACCCACAAGGGGAGTGCGTGCCGGTGTTCGTCGTCGAGAGGATGTGTTACATATGCCGCTACTGTGGGGAGGAGGTGTGGGACACCGAGAGCGAAGAGGAGTGATGTGTTCTGTTCCGGAAACCACAGGCGGTTTCGCGCAACGCCGGTCTGAGCGGAAAATTCCAGAAAAATCGGGGTTAATTATAGGCCGTTGATGGTGGTGGCGCATGTGACAGCATACATACACCTATCTCGCCGCCGTTAGGGCTGTTCGCCCAGATTCCTCTGACGTTCTGCTGCTTTTGCTACCTCGAGTTCATCCCAGGAGTTCGCGCGTGTGACCCGCCCCGCCCAAGGCCCTACGTGCAGAAGTACCATGTCCAGGTATAAAAAAAGCTTTCGCACGACCTGGCGTACGTTTCACACTCGGATGGACTTGCAGCTCCCAATTGTGCCATCGGGCATGCGCCAGGTAAGTGTGTAGGCAATTCGACTCAAATTCATTCCCTTTCCTTCTGAGCATGGTTGACACTCCCACGTATTTCAACCCGGAACAGGAGCTGGCCAGGATGGGGAACTGTACCACTCGGTCGTGGGACAATGTGCTCCACGGTTTGTCTGAGCAGAAGAACAGGTCACAACAAACCCAGATAACCCTTGACGGTGCGGAACGTGTTGCGCCTTCCCGGATTGCATGCATAAAGCGGTTCATTCCCATCTGGCTCTGTTTTGTACATCACACAACCCTGATACATACATATCGTCATGTTCGTCCAGGAGAAATCACCCGTCAATTCGGTGATGTGCTATGGAGACAACCACGGCGTCAATGCCGGAGGTGAGTGTTGATAATTCAAAGGCTTATAACTCCGCTGACCATCACATGTTTCGTTAATGCTTTTCGCCCCTTCTCCGTTATTCCAATTATCAGAAGACCATCTCTTCGAGTGGAACGTTTGGCACAAAGAGTACATCTGCGTGTATTGTGGAGGGGCAGATGAGTCGTCGTACTCGGAATCTGGAGACTCGGAGGAGGAATAGAGGGTGAAGGGTTAACTAGAAATGAACGCATTCACCACACACCGCAGTGACAGTCGCTTCCATGCGCATGAGAAATGATGCCGTTCCGTTCTCACTCCTCTCAGCCGCGAGCTCGCTGTTCCACGCACCCCAGGCCTCCTTATCTCGCACCTGCACCCTCCATACCGTTTTTACCCGTGATTGAGCAACCCTTTAAACTGTGGACGGTACCGAAGACTGTGACCACCTCTTCCTTAGCTCAGCCTCCTGCGTAGCATGAGTTATAATGACACGGATGGGGATTATGATCCATGTTCGGGAGACGATTCGGGACAGAACGTTGGAGGTATGAGTGTGGTCCCCATTGAGCCCACGCTGACTGTAGACGACTGCGAAGGCCGATACGACCCAACCACGAATGAGGTGGAGTGTATCTACTGCGGCGACAACATGTAGAACTTTCAACATCCGCCATTTATCACGTATTCCAACCATAGCATCACCATGAGCAGCAGCGACGACAGCAGCGAGGATCTTTGCCCTGGGGATGAAGAAGGCAACAACACTGGTCGTAAGGACAGCCTCGTCGTCAGATGAAGCTGACAACCCTCGACAGTCAAGCACGACTGGCAGTTCAACTACACAACGGGTGGCTGGTGGTGCAGATACTGCGCTGATGGCATGAGTGATGACTGAAGGCAAGGGTGGGAGTGGGAGGTGCGGCAGAATGAGAGACAGGGGAACATGCCAAAAACGGAACCAAAAAGGCTGAAAAATAGTAGAAAAATATCAGTCGTGGCTTGGATGCAGATATGGTGGGACGTACATAGCATATGTGACGTCTCCAGGCCACTAGGGAACTGGCTTTTGCCAGACGGCATCAAGGCGAGGCCTGAAAGCGAGGGCGATGGTTTCTCCCACCCGCCATCGGAACACGGCACTTCGTCGGAAGAACAGCGGAAGCATGTGTACCCATTTCGAACCTCGCCTCAGTATGCCCCTGTTCTTGGCAGTACATATGGGGACACCGTTTGCTTTACAACGCGGAAAAGTTGTGCCTAAGAACCACGGAGGAGGCCTTCTCGCCCCGGCAGACTCGACCTGGCATGTGATGTGAAAGATCATGGGATGTGAGTTATGTGTGGTGGCGCTCGGACCCTTCCCCAGCACAATTTAGTGATGGGAGAACCCCCGCTCCCACCTTTTACAACATCACACATCACCATGCCCGACAGCGACAGCGACTCTAGCGAAGGAGAGTACATCTGCACCGGTGACCCGGGGAATGGCAACAACGAGGGTGGTGAGGGCGAGAATACATGCTGGGACGCTGACACCAGAATTCTGCGTTGCCATCTTCTCATCCTACACGTTACACTGGGAGTGCAAGTACTGTCACAAGTACATGTAGTGTTTGCGAGACGCCGCAAGGGCACACTTTGGTTGATGCAAGATGTCGCTGTGCATCACACGCTGAGCGGAATTGGCAATTGTGTCCCTCCACGTACGGAGCCTGCGCCTCGAGTGCTGTCATCACCGGTTGTTTCCACTTATGGGATTTGTCTCTGCATCCCACCAGGTTCAGGAACGCTACCTGGGTAAGAATTGAGGACTGGGTTACTCATGGGGCCCTACTGAACAAGAAAAAGAGAGACACCACTACCTGCCTCAGTTGACCGACGTGTTGCCACTCCCGTAGCCAGTGCGAACAAGAGTTTGATTTTCGGAGACTTTTCGTGAATTTTATCAGTACAGACGTCCTCGCACCCGCGCCACCGAATCGAAGTGGCCCCAATAAGCGGGTGGTCATACTTGTTTGCTGATGGCTTTTCGGATAGCGGAAACGGTGATCAGCGCAACGGAGGGAATGTCGACCACGCGTCACCGCCTGGTCGCCAAGTGCTGATGTTGGACGCTGTCGCCGTCTCGTCACCGACGGCTGATGTTGAACCTGCACCACCCTGTCCCTGCCATCATTCCATTCCAGGGAGCCCTATATACAGGGTGTACTGTACATACGGGAGAGTGGTCTCAATACATTGAGTCTTAACAACCACCCTTCCTTCCCAACCCAACCTCCGCAATCCGAAATGAACTGGCCCACGTCCTTCACATGTAAAGGCGACGCCGAAGGCAGAAACAAAGGCAGTAAGTTGAATCAACCTGTGGTTTCCAAGCTCATTGAACAGAGCCCTGCCAGATATTTGGTACCCTCAGATCTCTGCGTATGCCTGCCAATGTTGTTCTACGCGCCGCTTTCGATGAACACATTCTTACGAGTCAAACGAAAACGGCGTCCGGTCACTGTGTTGGATAAATACAAAGTGGGAGCGTGGCCCATGCATGTTATTGTCAACTCTGAATTGCAACCGTATGGTGATGTTTCCCCCATTGACACAGTCATCATCGTATACACCCGAGGCGAACCCGTTCCGGTGGACGGCGACAGTGAGTGATTGCCTTTGTGGCTTGACTTGCAGAGACCAAATAAAACCTGCACTCTGCTTGATGATCGATTCCCATCAGAGGCACAGTGAGGAATCAGGAAGCGACGTCCTTCATACCTCAACTGAAGTTAACAGTGCATCCAGTGATTAACTCTCTCGGACCCACCCAACACTACCAATGTCCGGCTGGTATCCATTCTCAGGGTGCTGATGTGTTCCTAGTTACCCGACTGAGAGGGGTAGACACCATCACCAGTGATGCAACGACAAGATGTGCATCATTGCCACTGCGCCACTGGTTCTCGTTCAACCTCAACATTCCCCAACTGTCACAGGTGCACACCTCGGCCATAGGAGTTGCACTATGTGTGCGCAACCCAAAAACATCAATCTAGAGCTGATCACAGCTCCCAATCAGTACACCCCTTCGTCGTGCCCGGGAAACACTGTCAGCATGAACAAGGGGAGTGAGTGCGCACCCTCGGCGTCTTGGACTGATGTGGTGCAAGTGCCTTGTCAGTTTGTGTGGTCCTTTCCTGGTTGCTGGCAGTGCCAGTACTGCGCGCAAGGTTAGTGACACCCAGACGTCCTATCGCTAACAAATTCAGTGATTCGTGTCCTTTGAATGGTTAATTTTCGCCCAGGACGGCCTGTTTCTCTTTGTCGTTGCCCTTGCAACCCACGAGCATATGACAACAAGGACATTGGTACTCTATGATGCTGAGTGGTACCTGACTGCACCGAGACTGGGCGGTGCTTTGAACGGTCATTGATGGCGACTGTTGACACTCCAAAAGGCGTTATTTCTTGCCACGTTCTCCCCCTCGTCCAGCTGAACGCACCAGCTTTTGCCATTGCACCCAGTCTGATCTCCGACAATTGGAAACGGTAGCCATGTGTAGGTCCCAGCGCATCATCACCCCAGCTACATACTGTTTCTGACCGCAGCAGCTGCGCTCCTGGCGCCACTCTGCCTTGGCAGCCGTGTATTCCGCGTCAACAGGGGCAAGCCGTGCCAATTCGAGTATCGGGAGGTCTGCGGTGGATATTATTACATGTGCCGACACTGCGGGAGTCGTGGGTATCTCGCCTCGTTCTTGAACTATCAGCTGACAAATCGAGCTTTTATGCCAATCACGAGGTAGACCGATTCCCTCTTCCCCTTGGCCATAACTCTGTCCTGACGGCGGCATGTTGCGTAACTGGACAACTATGGCATCTGTGTGGTGTTTGAGGTACTTCCCCGAATAGTATGCATCAGTTTTGGTTATGGACAGCTTTGGTTAGGTAGCAAAACACTTGATGCATTTGGTCACAACAGTTAACGGAGTCGACGACGCGGACGCAAACTGGTACACAAAGGCTGCTGCGGAGCGTGGCTCAACCGTCTGCACCCCTTCCTCGAGTCACAGATCACAGAGTGTCAACGCAGCAGCTGGAACATCTCATCAGATTTAGCCACCAGCCCTTGGTCCTCGGTAAAGTGGCAAAACGAGCAGACCTCGCCATTGCCCAATCCCTCTGGCCACCAGTCGCCGATCCACAAGGCTCGCCACCCACCCATCAATTCTCACCGCCCAGATCTTGCCACTCCGCCATGACATGCAACGGTGACCGCTGGGGCTTTAACAAAGGCCGTGAGACACACACACAGAGGTGCTTCTTCTAACACGCAGAACCTTGCCAGTTTATGAAGCGCGGCAATGTCTCATACTGCCTGTACTGCCTCCGCCGACAGTGAGACGCTGGCTATGTACATACCTAGACCTGAGAGGTTGCGGGGTCGTCATATTGTCTTGGCTGGGCCAACGTATTGCCTTGCCACTGGAAACATGCCTTGTAACTCCCATATGCACTTCTGACCGTCCCCACGATGAGGAGCCGTGGCCCCATTGACACAGGCGGGTGGCAAATACCCATTTGAGACGTTCAAGCCGCTTCCCCGTGGGTGGCACCTGATGCTCGCCAGACCACCAGCGCGTCCGCCGTCCAGCATCGTGCAGAGGGACGAGCGTCGTGACTGGTGCTGCCTGCATGGTTACTGGTGAAGAGAGCCTCGGCACGATCAGCTATGTAGTCGATCAAGTTTGATGGTTCTCGTTTGATGGTTCTCGCAACAGAGTGTTCTCACACACAGGAGCGAGCGGGAGCCTCGGTGGGGTTCAAAAATGTCCGGCCCTTAACCTCCAGCAGACCTATACCTGTGTCTTCCTCGTCTACATCCTTCTGCTCTGCCTTTCCAATCTCAAGCAAATCATGCTGCTCCCACTCGGTCCCCTGGGGCCTCGCAATGACCCCTGCACGGGCGACGAGGTTGGAAACAACCAGGGACGTGAGTCATGTCATTCGAACCCACGAAAATGAGGGGCTGATGGGCCGTACCAAGTGCCGTGTAGGTGGGAACTGAACGCGTACCGCGGTGTCTGGTACTGCTGGTACTGCGACGATGAGCGGGTTAGCCCCCCATAGGCCCGTACCCTGTGGTCAAGGTTAAGCTTTGCATTGTGAGTCATGACCCAGGCATTGAGACATATGGGGGTTGTTCCACTCCTCCGGGGTTGGTGTAACAAGTGGGCCTTATCCTGACCCCACAGCAACTGCGATCAGACTCTGGATTCTGCTGCCTTCTCGTTCTGGGCTCACCTCTCCGTCTCCCATTTCCAATTCGTCGCATTTTTCCCACTCCCAACATCCCGCGTTACGCTCCTCGCATGATTCACCCAAGATCGACAGCTTGTGTCCTGGAGATGCCGACGGTGACAATGAAGACGGCAAGTGAACCCGTGGCAAAGCGCGCCACGCCACTAACGTTGCTCCAGAAGCGCACATCTTCCAGACCGATCTGGGCCGTGCTGTCAAGGTGTGCGTGTATTGCGCTAAAGTCGAGGCCTTGTTACAAGCTTCTCGCAGAGCCATGTGATAGACTGGCGATTGATGCATCTATGGAGTGTACGAAAGCGGTGGTGGTGGGGGTTGGGTACATCCGGCAGACGTGGCAGGAGCTGGTGGCTGGGGTGTCTCCCCGCGAATCCTGTCAGACAGAGGCCGTCGTCCTCATGCATAGGGGGGTAACCCTATGCAGTACTCTTGGTATGAACTATGGTGTAACACATGAGGCCAGGCCCAGACCAGAACACTCTGGGTCTCTGTAGCGAAATTCAACCACGAGTTCAGGGTACGGGGCCAATGCCCGCCTTCTCAAGCGCAGATCCTCCGATGGCAGACGACCCCGCACAGACATAATGTGGCACTTCCTCCTCGGTCCAGGCTTTCACTCTAGTCAGACAGACACCAGACATGCACAACATGCATGGCATCGATGCAGACTCTAGGGGTTACTGGTCTGTTTCGACCGACACTGGGAAGCTTCGACGTGCCAATGTTCCTGCGCCGGCGGTTTTTCTGGAGCCTGGAATCTCTTGACAACAATGGGGAAGGGTTTCGCAAGCTGCCAACGTTGTTCATGGACGACGGTGTACATAATACCGCCACCACACACATGCTGACTGATGCCTTGTGGGACACACGAGGAGGCCGGGGACTGGTGTGAGATCCAGAAGCTGGTGCAACAATTGGGGTGAAAAAGGAAGTTTTGAACCATTGTGACCACAAGTTGTCGGCGTGTCTCATTCTCGCCACAGCATATATAGGTCGTCCCACTGGGCTTGTTTTCGTTCACCACTCCGTTGTAAACCTTTCCCATCCTCACCGTAACGACCACACTCACGCCCCGTTCACGCCACCTCCGCCTCCAGATTCGTTGGCCACACTCAACCCAATCTCTTTCCTCCGTTTCGTCTCTTCCTACACTCTCCACTTCATGTCCGACTCGTCCGACGATGACGACGACCTGTGCCCCGGCGACGAGTTTGGCGTCAACGTAGACGGTGCGTATGAATCTCGGAATTCTTTCAAAAATCCCCGTGTGGCAGCGGCGTGGCGTTCACCGCAGAGGAGAGAGTGTGGCATGGTTCTTTGTCGGCGCCGCCCGGAGTGTGCCTCGGCGGTGTGCCGACACATCCCAACCAAACCCAAAAGGCTGTCTGCACGGCCGGCAGAGCACCCACAGAGCCCTCCACTACCTCCACCACAGCCGGTGGCGAGGTGGCACACTGCTTGAACGCCGAGATCTGTACGGCTACGAGTGTGTGGGGGCGTATGTGTGTCGGGGCTTATCTTGGACCTGCTAAGCCGGGGGACGTAGAATCGTGTACTTGTGGAGGAAGCAGATGCTGACGCTGAGCTAGAGCCACACTACTTCAAGCAGCTGATCCCGGGCCCGCGTATCTGCATTTACTGCGGAGAGGAGGAGGACATGACCGACGACGACTCGGATGACGACGACTACCAGCCGTAGTTGCTGTCCGAGGGGGTGAAGTCGAGTCTGTCTGAGCCGAGAGGGGCGTCTGTCTGTAAACGACTCACAAGATGGTTTTGATGAAATGTTACGAATGTCAGACCACTGGTGGCAGTGATGCATGCGCGCCCCATCAATGTCGACCACTTGGACGTGATATGGTGTCCAAGATCAAAGAAGCTGTCCATGGTTCCTGGGGTGGGTAGTCCAAACCAATAATCAGCGAACGGTTCCTCATCAAGCCACTGTGTGGATGTCTACACACGCCGTGTGGGGCCATCGGTGGCGATGGTCGCGAGGCAGCGAGTTGAGTATAAAGCACGCTCATGGTGCTTGATGCCAGTGTCGTTCAACAACTCCACGAACACACATACAAACTCACGCACACCATGCCTCTTCTCGCTTACAAGTGCACCGGGGACGCCTACGGCCAGAACCAAGGTCGTGAGTGGGTTGTGACGAGGTGTGACTAACTGACTGACCTCCAGGTCGCCACTCGTGGTATGTCAACCCCCAGACGGGGCGGAACACTTGCCGGTACTGCGGCGCCGAGGTGCCTCCTCCCCGCTGGCTGCACATCTAGGGTCCTCTGGGCATAGCCCACATCCATTTTGGTCGCTTGGGTTTTATATTCAGCGCGCGTCATTTAGCCGCGTCTTGGGGGATGCAACTAGTTTCATGACAGTTCCAGGACGTTTTAATAGACCGACCGACGCAGAGTGCAGGCACTGCGACCGCAAGGGAACAATCTAGAGAGAGGACAGAGCCTCGAGCTTGCAGCACGCCACCCGCCGGAAAAGTTGACTGCGCTCCGCGCTGGGGCCTCCTCGTGGACCCCACCGGCGTTGAGGTGAGTCTGTACAGTCTTGTCCATGTTACGCCTTCACGACGCCACTGCAGCCGCCGACGTGGAGGTGGTGTGAAAAAAAAGTCGGTATGCAAAGCTTCATCTGTGATCAAACAGCCAGAGCAGTGTGGAAGAGCATTGGTATTTGTTGGAGCCAAGTAAGGAGGCTGACGGCTGACGGCTGACAGCAAACGAGACAGTGAAAGGTAGGCACCAGATGTACAACTTTGGGGCACAGACCTCGGCCGACACTGACCCACTGGCCACTGGAAAGAGTTGGGGTAGGTAAGTTCACTCTCCCCAATGGCAGAATCGCACAGATGGCAACTTTAGGAGCATCTCTTTCTAGACTAGCATTCAGCACAAAGAAAACCTGCTCCTCGGGTGTAGATAGCCGCTCATGTCAGATATAGGATTGCCGGGACCCTGCTGTCCGCCCTGACGCGGTGGCCTACTGAACAATAACATGGGTAGATCACAGGCCACACAGGGCCTAGCTAGCACCTACCACGACGCAGCCATGCCTTGTACTAGCATGCTAGCACTGCTTGATAGCAGGAATGCGACGCTAGGAACACAGAAACCCACAGAAACCCAATCCCCCAACGCAGGGGGAAGGGCGAAGCGAGGAAGCGAGGAAGCTCCGGTTTGCTCACCGAGCGACGTTTACCAACGTATGCCCCATTGTCGTGTGACATTCATAAAGTCCGTTCTGCACAGGGTGAGCCACTTGATCACTTGATCGCTTGCCTCGTGTACACGTGCAGAGTTACTCGGTTGCTTTAGAATCCTCGATCTCATGGCTGGACCTGGGATCGACTTGCGCCTGGAACGTATGCTGCCACCAGCCCCACACGCCTGGCCCATGGCTACTCAATGCATCGTGTTCCCACCGTACCGTAGTGTGTGGTGATGCGCTGGACGTTTGACCCGGTTGAGTACCGGTGTGCCACAGACCCGGGGCTCCATTCCAGCGGCCAGCCAGGTTCAAAGTGGCGCCACCGCCTCATTTCCACATGTGGAGCGCGGAGTTGGCTGCCAGACGCGACGGACAGTGGGTCCAAGCGTGTTTCGTGCATTGTCGACAGGTGGACAGTACAGTGCGTACAGTGCGCAGAGGACGGCGCGAGCGTGCAGAGCTGTACCGGGGTCGCGGACAACGCCGGTGCAGCGGTATACAGCCAGAGGGCCCAGGTCTCGGTGCACTGCTCGGCCCGGGTGCGTGTCTGGCTGATGGGGGGACGCTGGAATTGAGTCGACGCGCCATGCACGCCGCCGTCGCCATTCATCGTAGCGGATGAGTAGCCTCTCGTCTGTTTCGGGCGCGTCGCGCGCTAGCGCCCACAGTTGCCCCCTTCTGTCGATCACGATCGCGCGCCGCCGCCGCCGCTGAAGAGGAAAAAAAAAAAGTCGGACGACGCGACCGTGTACCCCAACGCATGCCACGCACCACACTCCGTCGTGTGAGGCATCCGTCATCCACTCTGGCCATACCGCAGCGCAACGACCACCACCCCAAAGCCTCCAACCACACCTGCCCAGACGATACAGTTTCGAACTGTCTAAGCACAAGCCCTGGACGGCCTGGACACCGCAATCCCATCTCCCTCGCTTCCCCCTGCGTGTCACGCTGCGCGCGCCGGCCCCCCCAACATCGACCCAATCGAACACGCGTTTCAGTCGCGCCAGTCGGACTGTGAGGGTGCTGCCAGCTGCCAGCCCTCGACGTCTGAACACGACATTTGATTCCCACAACCACCACCACCACTACCAACCCCACCACCACCACACCCACCCCAACGCCGCCGCCGGCTCCTCGATCCACGTTGTCTCAAAAGCAGCGTGGGCACACACTCGACCCCCAACTGTGGGAAACTGATGGCCACGAGCCCACTGTGGCTGAGTACGGAATTGTCTTTGCTTGTGTTCCCCCCCTAGGCCACACGGCCCACAGGCCACAGGGGCACGAGTCCCCAAGCACTGGGTCCACGTCCCAGTTCCGCACAAGCGTTTGCGTTGCGGCCGATCTCGCGCAATCCACGACAATCTAAAAGGCGGCGCTGAAAGTTCGGCCAAGTGACCCACCCACATCCGTCTCCCCAGGCTTCCCTTCGTTGCATCACCCACACACATTGCGAAGCAAGCTCAGCGCATCATCACCAGTAGCGTCACCATCACTAGTATCACTACCCCCACCGCACACACGCACACCCACACCACCTCCCTCCACCATGGCCACCTTCCCCTGCTGTGGTGATTCCAAGGGCCGCAACCGTGGTCGTGAGTTGGCCTTTTCGCTTGGAGACAACCTGCAACTGACACCGGTCCAGGCCAATGCATTCTCAAACGTATCGGCGACTACTGGCACTGTCACTACTGCCAGAACGTCTACCAGCTGCACGTGTGGTAGCCTTTCGCCGCACTCACCGCAGGTGACACGGCACGGAACGGGACCGGACCGGACGAGCAGGACGACGACCACCAGCACGGCGTACGCATGCGCGCACGCACGCACCACTCGCGAGCTCCCGGGCCACAGCACCGACCATGACCATCACCGCCGACATACCACCTACCGCATTAGGACCCCATCGGTCCGTCCACAATAGAGCGTACGAGCGTACTAGTAGAGAAACTATCGACGAGGAGACCGGGCGGGAACCGCAAGTCCTGCCCGCCTACTTAGGAAGAACCGTAATGGGCTGCCCAGCATTGATGTATAATGTGTACCACTCGCCATGCCTGCAGGCGTACATCACTGCTCTTGGTCACTCATAACCTCCACTCGCTGACCGCCGTTGCCACCCGTGTACCCGACGTACATCGTGCGGTAAACCCATTGACGGACCGGCAGCCGGTCACCCGAGTCCCACGACCAGTTCCACGGTAAACGATAACCCCCCCTTGTGCTCTGGTGACCTTGTGAGCTCGCGTATGGCGTCGGGTATGACCCGCATAATGTTGCGTCAACTTTTTCCAAGTTTTGTGACGCTAGTTGGCCTGGCTGGAGGGGGTCGTGTCGGACATTGGCTGCCGTTGGGTTCAAGACCACGATCGGTGGTGGCGTTGCAGCCAGGACAGGCACCCTTTGCCCCAGTAGTGCTTGAACGGGGTGGGTGGGTTGTTTGGGTACAGATCTCAACCCCAAACCCAGCAAAGCTCAGCAAGCCCGGCAGGCCCGGCAGGCCCGGGAGGCCCAGCGTACCAGCGTAGCAAGGTCAGTCTGGCTGGCGGGCGCCGCCGACGCGGGACAACCACTGCCGACGCCCACTGTTGCTTGGCCTCGGAGGATCGACAGACAGTGTGCCGTGGCACCATGGACCGGGGACCATGGGACGTTGGCACAGAAGCATATGGTCGTGGCATGACAGACATGCAACATGTGTCCGTCCGTGGCCTCGCCACTCACCACTGGCCACTCGCTACTCACTCGTCGGCCGATGGCAGCGTGTGGTTATTCCCGGTCCCCTGTCTCGCTTGCGTTTCTTGCGTTTCCAGAAGGCAGGGATGGACGTGCACCCCCGTCCATCCCAATAGCCCAAAAGCCCAAGGGCCCGCCCAAGAATCGCGCTTCTCAGATCCTGAGAATCCAGCAAACGCTCACAGTTCATAGTTCATAGTTGAGCGTCTCGGTCCCACGCACGCCTCCGGAGATCGCAGAAGCAAAGCGAGACCTTTGCCCAAACTGGGGTCTCACCCGAATCCGAACATCTGTTTCGCCCGAAAGGCCACTCGTGTCCGAGACATGCACACACACTCTTGCAGATACACTCGGGCCTTGAGAAGCATACCACCTGGTACCGCGGGTTGATGTGTGCTTGAGTGTCATCTGGCACGCCGCGCCACCCACTAGGTCCCCAACGACCATACCCAGATTCTTCGGTCGGAAACTCTGGACGTATCCCTTTCCGCTGGTTTGTGGCACGACGTCGCTGTACGCTGTGCCTAGCCGTTGGCCATGGTAGCCCAGCCGTGCGTTTTGTGACGACAACTCGATCGCAGGCCATGCCGCTGGGTTGCCTGGCGACGAACTGTCGGTGGTGGCTGCACCTTGTGTTCGATGAGGTCAGGTTGGTAGGCTGTCAGTGGATCCGTGTGGCGAAAGTGAACCAACGAGTCTCCCAACTCGGAAAAACACATACACCCCAGTTGCCAACCGACAACACAAGCCCATAGTGGGTTATCCCCCATCGTCAATAACAGCCTATGCTTCTACCATTGCAGACGCACTATGTCTGGGGTGGACACGGGAGTCCTTGTCAGCTGGTCAGTGGATCGCTCGCACTGCAGCGTGGGGCCATTCGTTAGAGTGGGTGGCCCAGCACGTTGGTAAACAGGCGATCCACGGCCCCACGGGCTACAGGCCTCAGGCCTAGCTGTGGTCGCTGTGGTTGCTGTGGGTTGCAGCTGTGCGCTGTGCGTTGTGCCAAGCAACAGCAAAAGGGAGCACACTGCCCTGGCGACCCCATAAGCGATCAGCGATGACGTCGTCCAGCGATGAACCACACGCTGCCATCGACGCGACTTGTTCGTTGTTTCGTTCTTCTCTCAATATCTCAATCCTTCTACCTGCTCCCTCTCATTCTTATCCACGTCCACAACATCCCTCCGGACTGCGACGGCGGTCGTGCTGCAGCGCTCGATGTCTGGTGGCAGTCTGGTCCCGTTGTGGACGCGGCGACGCCGGCGCCGCTCAGTCCCCCGATTCCGAGTCTGGCCCGTCTGGCCGTCTGACCCCACAGCTTAACAATTGACCACCGCGGCCAGGACACGTCTGCCCTTTGCCAGATGGGCTCTGTTTTGCGACCACTTTGGCCTTTGGCCTTTGGGGCTCTGCGTTCAAGACATATGCCACAGGCTTCCCGGTCCACTCAGTCTCTCGACGCCTTTCCGTCTCGGACCTGGGTGGGCAGAGAGGTGAGCTTGTGAGTGACTGACGGACTGACGTATTAATGACGTGTGACTCAATGTGTATTGCCACCCGGGTGTATTCTTATCAATATTTTTTGGCACGTGGTGGCTGATGGCGGCCCCGTGCCTGGCAAATACCTCTCCCCGCCCTGAATTGGGCCTGCCTCTGGCCCCTCTCCCCTACTCCACCCGCCGCTACGATGGGCTTCTTGAACGGCTGTAATCGATTTACCACTCTTCATCCACATCTCTCATTCCTCCTCTCACTCACCCACTCTCTCGCCCCCCCACACCACCAGCATGGCGGAGCCAGTCGCCAAGTCGCCAGCTCTGCGTGCGCTTCAGCGCGAGGACCCACCAGCCATCCCCAGCGCACCGGGTACCGCCGCGTCTGTCCGCAGCGGCCGCGATCTCATGTCCAGCCGTGAGGACCAGCGCACCGTGTTTGTCCCACAGCCGCTGTTCGCGTACTGCACGTCGCCAGACTACACCGTGACAGCCGCGCTGGCGAATTCGACCATCGACAGCCCCGTGCGTGTCATTGCCGAGCACCTCTTTGGCCTCGCGTGCGGCTCGTTCCAGCTCTGGACCGGCGAGCAGGACGTCCACTCCACCAGCACACCCAAGGGGGGTCCCGCCCTCAAGGGCGTCAAGGGGTGGCTTGGGCGGCTCAACTTGCGTTCGAAGCGTGCGACCGCTGCCGCTGCGGCGGAACACAAGACCCGTTCCGACAACGAGAGCTCGCGCACCATGTCCGACGACTCGGATGCGGATCCCGCCACCGAGGACTATTGGGCCAAGATCAGACCCCTTACAGACAAGGAGCGCGCCGAGGTCCGTCGTTGTGGCAAATGGCGCGGCGCCGAGCCCAGCGACAAGTTTCTGAATGTGAGTTGTGTGTGCTCTCCCTTTCGGGCTTTGTGGTATGCGAGCGTAGCGACACTTGAAACGACGACGCTGACCACACTCTCTAGATCTACGCCCAAGCCTTGTTGACCCTGGAGAAGAATGTACTCAACGGCCTCGTGTCGCCGTCACTCGTTGGCCAGAGCGGAGTCGTCCCAGTCACCATCATCAGCCACTCGTCAGACATTGTGCAGCACTACTGCGACATGATTGTGCGGGCCGAACACGAAATCTTCTTCACCACGAACGTGTGGGAGGCGAGCGAGTCATCGCGCGCGATTAGCACTGCCCTGAAGGAGCTGTCCCAGCGCGTCATCGATCGGGGTGGCGACAAGATTGTCATGAAGCTCAGTGCGTGCTCCCATTTTATCTTCTTATCAGTCTGGCGCTCGGTTTGCTAACGTCGTCTTCAGTGTATGACCGCGGAGTACCCAAAGAGGGGCAGGCGCACCAGACCGTCGTGCCCAGCGTGTACACGGCCGAGAACATTGGCTTGCCTGCGCCACAGGATATCCCAGGTGTCCACCTGGAGGTGCAAAACTACCACATCCCTCCCGTGGGCTCGTTCCACCAAAAGACAATCGTGATCGACCGCAAGGTCGCGCTTCTGAGTAGCAACAACGTCCAGAACCGCAGCGACGTCGGATTCATGGTCCACCTCGAAGGACCCATCGTGCAGTCCATCTACGACTCATCCATTCTTGCTTGGTGGCGGTCTTTCAACCCTCGCTTGCCATTGCTTGCGAATCCTCCCGAGTACTCGGATGACCTCGACCGCAGTGGGTTCCAGTTTGGCACCGAGCACGCCGGCGTGTCGATCAAGGGCGACCTGTCCGCGATGGCCGAGCGTTCGCGTCTGCGTCTGTCACGGGCTCCGTCGGCGAACACGACGCCCCTCAACTCGGTTACGCCTGTGAGGAGCAGGAGCATCGGTTCTTCTGGCCGTTCCCATAGCCGGGTAGCGAGCCCCGCGGGGTCGGCGCTGAACGGTTCGGCGGTCCCACTCGTGCGGCCCACCAGTGTCGCCACCAGCGTCGCCTCTGGGAGCCTGGGCCCCAAGGACCTCGTCCCCGTGGTCGCCACGCTCGGCTTGGAGAATGGGCCCCCATCCAATACCACGTCGTCCCAGAGCTTGACGCCGGTACCAAACGGCTCCGCCGACGCGACTCCGTTCAACCCCTTGGTGGTGCACGCGCCCCACGACCCATTCCCTATTGCCCTTGTCAACCGCACCCCGCGCGGCCGCCGGGGCCACGGCGACGCATATGTGCCGCAGAACCAGGCGTGGCTCGCCGGCTTCAAGTTTGCCCAGAACAGCGTGTTCATCCAGACCCCTACCTTTAGCGCGCGCCCCACAGTGGCCGCGGCACTGGACGCAGTGCGCCGCGGCGTCGTGGTGGAGATCTACGCCGACTTGGGCATCTCGGACGCCGGCGAGGGGTCCGCCGAGGGAACGACCAACCAGACCGTCGCGGCGTACATGTACGCGCAGCTCACGGCGGCGCAGCGCCCCAACCTCCGGATATACTGGTACACGGCCAAGGGGGAGAACACGCCGTTGTCGTCGCACACGTGCCACATCAAGCTCATGATTGTTGACGAGCAGATTGGCGTACAGGGGAACGGACGCCAGGACGCGAGCTCGTGGTACCACGCGCAGGAGATCAACATCCTCATCGACTCGGCGCAGGTGTGTGCCGAGTGGCGCCGCGGCATCGACGCCAACCAGGACACACGGCTGCACGGCCGCGTGGGTGAGGACGGCGTGTGGCGCGACGCAGACGGGTTGACGCTGCCCGTCCCCGCGCCCACGCCGCTCACGGCGCAAGTCTCGCCTGTGGCGCGTAAGGTTTAGAGCGGAGGATGCGGGTTGGGCGGGTTGGAAGGGAGGCTGGGAGATGGGAGAAGGAGAGCATGAGGGTGGTTGTCTGGGACAGTTCTTGGTCTTAGAGATAATTGGCGTATAATGTGTACCACTTTCGGTCTTGTACCCGCACGCGTTCCTCCACACATATCATTTTAATAGGGATTTTGCATAACTGTTTCACCCTTTGTACCGTTCGTTGTCGCGGCAGCGTGCTTGGCAGCTTTGCTTGGTACTTGGAGAGCTTGAGGAGCGTTCGTGGCGGCTCAGACTGATACAGCCAAATGAGCTGCCACTGGACGTTACCGCCACCGCTCGGGTCCTCGTGCACCAAAGTGGCGCCTTGCAACCCTCCCTCGTTCGAGACTACTTCGTTGCATTCTTGCTCCCTACTTCTTCTCACTACTGTACTCTCTCCCACAGCACACACAGACCGACAAAGCTACAAGCTGAACGTTCCAATTGCCTCCCACCACCACCACCACCACCACCACCACCACGGTCGCCGTCGCCGTCGCTGCTGGGCCAGCTTTTCGTGGATCTGGACAGTGTCTCTACTTGTTAAAGTCGATAACCTGGCGACCCTTTGCCGTGCTGTTGGCGCAGCGTGCCAGCGCTTCCGGGAACTCGGCGAAGGGAAGCACCGTGACGTGCTCCTTGACCTTGCCCTCTGCGAGGAACTTCATCGCCTCCTCCATGTCCGGGCGGGTGGTGACGAGGATGCCGCGGAAGCGGATACCCTTGAAGCACGCCACGGCAGGCTCGCCGCCGAGGACGGCAGTGCCGAGTGCGGCTGGGAATGGTCAGCGAGCTCCTCGTCGCCACGTTCCAGTTGCCACTTACGAAGACCGACAGCGACGACGATGCCGCGCGGGCGCAGGACGGTGGGTGCCGCGGCGTACGCCTTGCCCGAACCAGCCGCGACGATGGCGGCGTGCGCGCCGAGCTCCAGCGGGGTGAGCTTGGCCACCTCGGCGGTCAGGTCCTCGTGCTTGGTCACGTCGATGTAGTGCTCGGCGCCGGCGCCGAGCGCCACGGCCGACTTGTCGCCGACGTCCAGGCCAATGACCTTGTATCCCAATGCCTTGGCGAACTGGACGACCATGTGGCCTGGTGCAGCGTCAGCCATGGCCTGTTGATGCAATGTCCACAAGACGTCCGTCCATGAGGAGCAGGATCGTTCCTTCGCCAAACTCACCAACACCACCACCAGCACCGAACACGCAGACGTAGTCGCCGGGCTTGCACTCGGTGGCCTTGACAGCAGTGTATGCCGTGCCGCCCGAGCACATGAAGGGCGCGATCTGCTCCCAAGGGACCTGGACAGGTCAGTTCCCGCCACGAAATCCACCTGCCACTCACGTTCTCGGGGAGGTGGATGGCCCACGAGGCGTCCACAATAGGGTACTGGGTGTACGTGCCGTTGGTGTGCACGGCAATGTACTCAATCTTCAGGCAGAGGGTTTCGACTGGGGAAAGGGGAGAGAAGAGTCAGCCGAAATGGTCTAAAGTTCCACCTCTGCCATCTCTGTGTGGTCACTCACAGCCACCCTTGCAGTACTCGCACTCGTGACAGGTCTTGGCCACGGGCGTGATGCCGACACGGTCACCGACCTGTTCCCCACCGTCAGCCACTGCCACTGCGGTGATGCTACCTGACAACCTGATGGCACTCACCTTCCAGCCCTTGACGCCGGGGCCGACCTTGGCGACGTAGCCCGCGCCCTCGTGGCCGGTACAGTCGACGCCGGGGGCAGGTGCGATGCGCCAGTCGCCGCAGACAAAGTCTGGAGCGTCAGCGCGGAGGAACAGGGACAACCTTCGCCTCGTGGGGCCAGTACCCCAGCACTCACGGTGGTCACTCTGGCAGATGCCCGTCACCTTGAGCTCGCACAGAAGCTCGCCCTCCTTGGGCTCGGGAACGGGGTAGTCCTCGCGGCAGACGAGCTTGTACTGCGTTCCGCGGTCAGCGACTGTGCAGCGGCTCCGACGGGGTCCTAGCTGGCACTCACGTTGGGACCAAGGTCCACGACGGGAGCGGCGCGGCAGGTCTTGGGAACTTCGGCGACCATGTTGGGGTGCTTGAAAGTGTATGTTGTGTAAGGTGGTAGAATTGGGGCAGACGAGGGGGATCGGGGGCAGCTGAATCGCAGAGGGACTAGATCCTTATACCTTGTTCGCTGGCGCCGTCTGGCACCTGACAGCAGCGCAACACACGTTGCATTCTGTGCTCTGTCTGCGGGCACGCCCGTTCCACGACCCCCCGGCAAAGTGCCAAGCGACAGGCGATAACGAGGTCACGGGACGCACGATCGTTGTGGGGAAACTTACTAGGCGGAGCATGGGCCGGCAGTTCCTCGGCGCGATGGTCGCCCTCTAGGAGCGGGCATAGCAAGGCATAGAGGCGGCGCCCGGCCGCCGGCTGCAGCTTCACATGCGCTTGCAGGTCGCAATGTTGGTGTGTGAGGTGGGCAGCGGGCAGAGAAACGCTCGCTCCTGCAGCATTGCCTTTGCTGTTCGCGCCAAGACACCCAATGACGCGGGGTATGTGGTGCCTAGCAGGTCTCTCGGCATCACTCGGCACATTCAACGCAAGCAAGAGACCGAAGTCCGCGTCCGCAGTCTCCTCTCACCTGCCAGCCCCCCCGTTATGCACGCTCAACACATGACCGCCGCCCGTCTGCCTGCGTGTCCTCTCCGGTCCGGTCGGTTGGTGTCATCCGAGAGGGATTCCGAGAGGGATCATCAGAACCGCCTGGATACTCAGCCGACGATGACAGCATCAGGAGGCACTCATCAAAGCCACAAGGGCTATCAGTCCACATCGATTCACGGATCGCTGTCGAGGATGTCGACGTCGCGTCCATCAGCGCCCGAGTCAAACCCCGTACCTGCATAATGGCTTCCTACGAAGGTGGAGGCAGCGCCTTGCACCATGACTCTGCACTCCGGTGTCATCAACGTGAGTCTCCATCGACACCGGTCGAGCGTGGGATCGAGGCCATGAAAGCAATTAGGCACACTCGGGAGATATTCCGCCTCCGCCAAACGGGTAGTAGCACCCACAGCTTGCGACTGCCTGTGCAGTGTCGACGGTTGCGTCCACTGGCCACTGGACGCTGGACGCCACAGCAGCCATGCGATCCCCCCTTATGCTCCACTTTAATACGGTGACAGCGGCGACCTGAACGGTCCTGCGCAGGCGGAGAAACCATGATCGGCGGTAGGAAAGGCAAGAATAGCAACGGGCGGGGACGCCTTGATCACATCGAAGCGAGCGGAACACGAACCTAGCGACGACGCGGCAGAACCGAAAACACGAAACGTACCGAGGGTGGATGGGCCAGCCAATGGAGAAGAGAACCGCCCCCATGCTGATGTTGACACGGAGAGAGATTACACAGGCTTGCTCCAGCCACCGGTAGCGACGACCAGGAGCACGGAAGATCCGCTTTGGTGATGATCGGCTCGGTCTATTCCGTGTTCACGGTGCCTCCTGCAGCAGGGCTGCCAGCGCTGCTGCCTGGTCAGAGTACATCTGGTACGCATTGGCACACCAATCGTGTACTAGGAGAAGTCTGACTGATATACAGTAAACACGGCCGGGTTCTAGGGATATGGGATGTGGCGGCGATCCACTACCGCGGACCATTTCCTCCGGCGCTGCGCCCAACTAGTCAATCCCATCTCCTCTACCGACCGGCTCGTAACTTCCTTCTGCATCATCCAGAGCAAAGCAAAAGGAGATGCTTGTTGACACAAGCATCCACAAGGGCCCTCGCCGGGATTTGAACCCAGGACCACTTCCATAGCTAGAGAACGGAGACGAATCCGAAGAGGATTAGAGACCAGTACTGGACCCTAAGAAAGTATGATAGCCACTACACCACGAGAGCCGCTGTGTAGGTCATTCTGTGGCCATTGGCGGCGGCTGCGTGCCCTTGCATCGAGCTCCTCAGTCTTGAGAGGGGAGAAATGGCAAGTTGAAGCGGAGGTTATGGCACTGGCGGAGTAGCTGAATCGACCGAGACTGTGCACAACGTTGTCAGCGCCCTGTAAGGCGCAACGTATTCGACACTGTTTGCGTCCTTCTGTGCCTCCACTCCACCTTGTGTCAGTCTCGCAAGGCGCAGGGGACTTTGCAGCAGACATGGACAAGCCACTGTGGCGAAGAGGACGACCGCCAGTGACTCATTGCGACAATGAGCTGTTCTCTACAATCTCCATTCTGACTGGCAACATCACGCACGCTACCACTACCCAACCTTCAAGTCCCGTCATGCCAAAAGCCAAAAAGGTCAAAAGGGGGACGAGAGCAGCGATGAAGAGTCCCAATGAACTGTCAGTGACGTCAATTTGTCAGGGGACCCACGGAACGCACATATCCTGACTGTCAAAGTACTCAAGACAAGACTCGTTCCCAGATCCATGTCGCAGACACATGCGACGGACACGAGGCTGCATGTAATACATCCTCAGACCCTATACCAGCTATCCCCAAGCCGGTGGAACACGAGAACGTTGTCAAGCCCGCCAGGCTGTTGACTAGGGACGAGCAGGAGGAGATGAACACCACAATCACCAACTATACGCTCTTTCTCCAACGCACGGGCGGCAGCCACACCATTCACGCGGTCGAGTGCACCACGTGGGCCGAAGCGACAGCAGCCACAACGCCAGACTGGTCTATTGAGCACTTCAAGCAGGTTATGGAGTGTCTTGTCCCCCTCCCGACACCTGATCATAACGACACCGGAAGGAGCCGCCTCTCTAGCCTCGAAAGCGACCACAACTACATCACAGAGCTCAAGGGCATTGTCTCGTCGCTTATCTGGGCTTATGGCCGTGCTCGTCGCGCGGCCTGCGTTACGAACCGTTATTCCATCAAGTGGGACATGGTCAAGGCGATTTGGGATGCCGCAGAAGAATGGAGCGAGCAGCTTGTAAAGGCAGAGAACACCGGGGTGTAAGCACTGTGTGACCATGTACCATGCGGACGTGTCGACCGTGGATCTGTGGACCGTGTTTGGAGTTATACATGACACTTTGAGGGCACGGACATTCCAATTGGCAACCCAGGAAGGGCGTAGCTTCCTAGACAAGGTCACTGATCACTGAGAACTCGAGCTTTGCCCATCCTAACTTGCCTAAAGGCGTCCTTGCTGCGTTGCTCGGCTGACATTGGTACTTGCATCGACCCGCGTCTAGAATCGCAGCAGTCATCCTCGGAATTAGCCGAGCGAGCCAAGAGATAACAATTTGATTCCGTCGTGAGCGACGCGCCCAACGACGCGCCCACTCTATGAAGGACCATCGTGTCTGATCTTTGACCCATGTCTCAGATATTCTGTCTTCTTCCTCCCCCCTCGCCTCTCACTCCTATACTACCAGTACCACCGTCACATGGCAGTCGAGCCCACGCTTCGCCTCTTCTTCGCAATCGAATGCCCGCCATCGGTGCGCCAGGGCATTGGTCGCTGGCACCGCAGCAGATCCATTGCCGGCATCCATGTCCCAGAGGACAACTATCACCTCACACTGGCGTTTCTCGGTGACGTGCCAGAAGCCCAAGTCCCAGCTGTCGCTGCGGTAGCGTCGAATGTAGCGCAGGCTGGGTTCTTTCATCCTTCGACCTTGTGGCTGGACAGAGTTGGGCGCTGGGCGAACGGCGTCCTGCATCTGTCGGCCAGGAGACCGCCATCTACGTTGCTTTCGTTCCAGGCCGCGCTGCAGCGAGCCCTCGCCGAACCGTCACTTGGGCTCCGGGTCGACCGCAGGACATGGAAGCCGCACCTCACGCTCGCGCGCGACGTGCCGTACCTCCCTTCGGAACAAATGCGGAGTCCCCGGTTCAAATGGCCCGTCAGCAGCTTTGTGCTCATGAGCTCGGCACCCGATAGCGATGGGATCGTGAGGTATACTTGTTTGCGGCGATGGCCATGAGCCAGACGTGTGTGTCGAAGTGGCTGTCGTGGTGCTGTGGATGGGACAGTTCCAGGAACCGTTGTCGCGGGGACGGGCAGAAACGAGGGGGGACCGGAAACAGAATGATGGTAATATCACGTCGCCACCCAGCAACGCGCAACCACCCCACACAACCACCGCACCGCAGCAAACAGCAACCACCGCCTTTCCGTCAACCATCCATACCACCATGCCTCCATCACGCCCACAGAGGTTCGACGTTCTGAGCTTGGTGCACACAACATGCGCCTCCATATCGTGGGGGCTCCTCCTGGCATGTAGCAGTGAGTGCCGGCTGTGACTCATGTGCCCACCCCCCCAGGCCCTGCTTTGCTGACGCATGTCCAGTCACCTCGCCCGCACTCCAGAGGTCCGGTTTCCTCTACTACGACAACACGTACCACCAGTACTCGTTTGGCGTGCTGGGATACTGCGATAGCTACCTTCGCGTCAGGCCATGCACCACGCAGCTCGGTTACAGCATATATGGACTGTTCCAAAAGGCCATTGGCGAGGGCGGGCACAGCACACCGCTCGACATCACCTACTCGTACCTCACAAAGTACCTCATCCTCATCCCAATAGCTGCTGGTGAGTGCATCTCGTTGGTCGTGGACGCTCAGCGCTGACCTTTTCCAGTCGTTGCGTTTGTTGCGGCCATCATTAGTGTTGTCCAGCACCGTCGCGGGCGCATCCTGTTCAGCTCGTCGATCCTCTCCATTCTCGCGTTCTGCTTCGCGTTTGCCTCGCTCATCATGGAGGAACTCTTGTTCAACCAGCTCTACGGCGACGTCAAGAAAGTCGGCGGCGCAACCGTCTCGCACGGCATACCTCGCTACCTCCTCATCATCAGCGTCATTACGACCTTTGTCGCAGCGGCCACCGGTTTCGTGGCCGCCAGGAGGGCGCCCGACAGTGGCCGGTACGCATCGACGACCAACTTTGACCACCCCATGCCGCTTGCGCCGTATGCCAACCTCGACAAGCAGGATACGCCCTACCAGTCCAGCCTGCTCACAGCCGACGGCGCGCCCGCTCGCGCAGTCAGCCCGCTTCCTCACTTGGGCTACGACCCGGCCGGTACCCAGGACGGCGCGTTTGATATGCCGACCAGCATTGCGCCCAGTCCGACGTCGAGCCCTGGGCCGTATTCCGACCACAATCCGTACGACCACAACCCATATGGCCATGGTCGCTACTAGCCGCCGTACACCCTGAATGCCACATGTGCATAGCGGCGACTGTTTCGTTCTGTCACTCTTGTCTTGTCGGTATTAACTGCTGATCTCACCGCTGTCGCAATTGGTGGCCTAAATCCCCGCAGGGGTACTCTGCCGTGCTTGGTGACCCTACCATTCAAAATCGATGGGTACGGATTGTTGGGATCTCAAATCATGTACTGACGACCATAAAATAGTTACGGTGCAGTGGTCAGGACGGTATAACGGTAGCACCAGGAACATGTGATATCTGCGCTTCAAGTGACTTGCAGCTGCTGGTCACAGGATCACGGTGCCGCCTCACCAGTAGGAACGCGTCTAATGGAGGAACTCACCTGACGCTCATTTCGCGCAATTGGATGTGATCTCACCCGTGGGGCTTGGGACTGTCACGGCTCCAGTGACGACTGTACCGTCGAGTACCGTCGATGCTAACATACCCGATGTGTAGTGGCGGTGAACTCGTGGCAGTTCAGTCAGCAGACTTTACCGTGTCATGGGTATTGAAGGCTCCACAGTGCCGGATAACTTTATTTTGGTTGTCACCGCAACTGGTGGCAAGTCACTCCCACATTACATCGCGCCTGAAGTACCAATGGCCACGGCGCCTGCCTGCGCACGTATGTATAAGACCGTGGCCATACGGCACACAGTCGTTCATACTTGGAATCCACATAGCTCACAATGGTGGCGACTGTCACCCCCCGACCAGCCTCGTTTTACAACTGCACATTTCCCCATAACGACACGTTGGTAAACATATGTTGTCCTGCAGGCAACAGCAGTACCAAACCCGCGCGCGAGCAGATGCAATGTTACAAACGTTAGCGCTCTCTCCTTTTGCCTAGCATTGTACGGCGACACCGTGCAATGCATGTCCGTCATGGGTCCCGAGACATCCAGGCCTGCCAGGTCCTCAGCCACGTCCAGACGCTCCCCACGGGTCAGATTCCTTCGACTCATCTTGGTAGTTGTCCTCGCGACAATGGCCACCATCTCGGTTGCGGACGACGTCCAGTAACAGCGTAATCGGCATTCAATCAAATCGGTTCAGTCTAATGACCTCCTGGGCTCCAACGATCAACCACCCACAACTGGCCGCCATGTGCAACTTGCGACACGGCGAGTGCCTATATAGTGGTTCAGTGCGCTTCACGCCCCGGTCCCAAAGTACATGAACTCATGCATGGGAGTAACTGCGAACCCAGAGTACGCTAGTCGGAATCCGAGTCCTCGTCCTCGGTCAGCGACTCCCAGCAGTACATGCAGCGTTCGGTCACAGTGCCCGGGCACAGCTCGGGTACGCACGTCCCTAGGGAAGGTTAGACGGGTCTCTGTGAGGGTGGTCTCTTACCGCCTTTGTTTACGCCTTGCCAGTCGCCGTAGCACTGTTCCACAGTTTGGAGAGTCGGGGTGGGGGGACAGACGAGCATCGAGGTGGAGAGGAATCTGTCGAGTGGTACTGAGCATTATCTGGTCGCAGTGGATATATGCATGCAGCATGTCCGAATGGCCCGAGCATGGCGCGAAGAAGAGACGCGAAGAATGTGAACACACTCTGCGAGTGGATGCTGCATGTCGCCCCAAGCCTCAGGCACAGCCACTCGCACCGAAGCCACACAGTGCATTGCTCATTGCTCCTTTCTAGTCCGAGTCACTCTCTACCTCATCCTCGTCGATCTCGTACATGCACCACTTGCAGTAGAATGCGCCGTCGACGGGGCATAGGACCGGAACGCAATCGTCTGTGGAAGGGAAGTGTCAGCTCTGAAACAGAGAACAAGCAGTGCCCGTTCCGGCACTCACTCCCGGCATTTCGGCCGTCGTCGTCCCCTGTACAGGGGTCACAATCACTACGGAGTCGGGGTGCAGTATGGTCTGCGAGCATTGGTCAACAGGTCTCTTGATCGGGGGGGCGGGGGGTTGGAGAGCAGAACCGGTGTCTCTGTTTGACAGGCTTATGTACTGTACTGAACAGAGGAGTCAGCGACACTATTGCACCACCAGCACCCAGTAGCCGGTGAACTCGCCTCTCCGTTCCCAGCTATTAGGATAAAAGAGCGAACACTTTGCTCCGTTGTGTTCCGCTCTCGCTCCGTGAAGGTGCGGCGCTATGGGATGTGGGGAAGTTGCCCCCAGGCCTCATTTATCTGTCCGCGCTGCTTCCAGGCCAGAGTCGCACTGCAGCACAGTATGTTACGGCTGACCCTCCTAAGATTGCGTATGCCAAGCTCCATTCCATTGAATTCATGGGACTACTTAGGGCGGTGCTGGCGACGAGCGAGCAGGTAGAACTTGCTGCACTCGAGTCCCGTATATGGGTTGTACAGAACACGGTTCACCTCAGACATCATCGTCGTCCACTTCCCTGCCACAGTACACGCAGCGATAACAATCCCCACTAGGATAATACTCTGGGACGCAGTCCTCTGTCATGTCAGTGAGAGGCTCAGAGGGTTAACTCAACTGTCATAGTTTCTGCCGCGGGTGTCGCCCAGGCAGTTCATCGCCCATTCGTCAGAGGAGTCGGAGTCGGGCATGGTTGAGGTGGAAACTTGGGAGAGAGGTAGAGGTGTCGACTGAAGTGGAGGAAAGTTGAGAAAGAGAGGGGCCGAGGCGGGTAAGTTCCGCTCTTAAGCTGCTGGCATGGAGCAGAGTCGAGTTTTCGTTCAGAACAAGAAGCGAGTCAACTGCGGGGCGATGTGCGAAAAGGAGCGAGTGGCTTCCGAAATCAAGGTGCTTCCATATGCTCCGGCCGTTGCCACAACTGCCCACCGTTCATCTACTTCGCGCCAACTTTGCAGCCATGGGATGGCATGGTTGCCCTCCTTACGCATGCCAAGATCATCAGTGGGAGTCTACTGGAATTGGGTCGTTGAGAGCGCTACCTCATGCATAAGGGAGTCGGGCTGAGGTCGATCATGCTATGATGTGTGTCTCAATCGGAATCGCTGTCCACCTCCCAGTCTCCGCCGCACACGCTGCAGAACCAATGGTCCTCGTCGTCGTCGTAATAGGGTTTGCACGGCATCCCGTAGTTGTAGCCTCTGGCATCACCTGGGCAGATGAGCATAAGTGGTGTTTGGGGTTGAAAGGCGCTGGTAGATCGGTGGGTGGCAAGAAAGGAAGCAAGGAATTGTTAAAGTGAGGAATGCAGCACCATGCTCCCCCAGAGTCCGCCCACCGTACGAATACGAAGACCTGGCTGCTGTCTGTTACATAGTTCGCACCAGCTGAGCAGCCGTTAGAGATTGGACGGTAGCCTTTCCAGACTGCTCGTTGGGAACGTGTGCCAAAACCGGCTATGCAAGTGTGCTGCAGATGGGGACGGTTCACACGGCTACCTCGGGCACAGTGGACTTTGACTTTGAGGACCATTCTACGGCACACGGTCTCGTCCTCACGTTGACGATCGCAGCCATGGACCTGCACCCCCTACAGATGCACTCTTCTTTCCGCTCGTAGTAAGTGAGCTGGTAGGGCTTTCCCGCATTGACCCCACTGCGGCCGCGGGGGTCACTGGAGTAGAGCATCTGCTGTGTGGGCATTGACAGGATATCGACACGGATGATCAAAACGACTGCTGCACCATAGTTGCTCGTAGTAGTGGAACGTGCTGTATAATGCATAAAGACCCCCGTTTTGGCGGACCCCCTTTAAAATACTACAAGAGGTCTGTGGGTACACTGTCCGTGCATCTGGGTTGGTTCGGAGATGTGTTGGTTGGTTCGCAGACTTGAAGGATACCATGTCAGTCCGAATCGTCGTCTGAAGAATCCACGGGATCACAGTCCCGCCCGCACACGCTACAGTGCCAACACTCGAAGACGTCGGACCACATGGGGATGCAGGGCTTTCCCGCGTTGTAGCCAATGATACCGCCGGGGCAGGGCATGATAAGGTGGTGTTGGATCGAAAGGAGGATCGAAGATTGAGGGAAAGGGGGGGAGGAAGAGAGGTTTACGACGACGTCTCCTCTCGTAGCGCTTAAGTGGATGTACATTCATTACCCGTGAGCACCGTGAGCAAAACAATTGCGAGTCGAGTCCAGATCCTGCTTCTCGGAGAACGGCTGAGAATATTCCTCACGGCTGGGAGAGGAGAGTTCGCCAATTTCCTCCTTGCAAGCGCCTCTTCGAGACTTCGCTCCAGTTCCCAGTGCCTGGGGTGAACTTGGGCGACCCATTTTCGGAACATCTGTAACGGCCATCGCCACACAAATGCATGTGAATCTTTCGTATGTATGCTGCCACCGCATGGACTTCCCCTTCCTTACATGCATCACTCGCTGTCGGATTCCGATTCTACATATTCCCATCCGCAGACGGTGCACGTGTAGCATCCAAGGTCGTCATCCCAGCATGGTATACAGGAGCCGCCACGGTTGAAGCCGGTCGAACTGCCGACGCAGGACATGTTGTTCGGTGGTGCGCTTGAAGACCGGTTGAGGGCTGGTGCGGCGGGAGGCTGGGGAGATGTCAAACCGCAACTTTCTGGGGCTCAGCGGACGCTCAGCGGTCTTAAGATTGCCGGGAGGGACTTGCGCTGCTCTCAGTTTCCCAGGAATGAACTGCCACTCGCTCTGCACACACGGCTGCATAGGGATCCTTGGGAAGTCTCACGCTTCACCAGAAGTTGACAGTGTCCCTCCTCTTGTATAGTGTATAGCATATGTCCATTGTGGACTAAAATGATTAATGTGGGATGCCGGTGGCATAGACGCGGCAATGGGTACGGCGTGTGGCTCGTCTACATGTCATGCGTGGCATCTCAAATCTCGGCTACTTGCACTAACTCAGTGATCAGTCCGAATCCGAGGGTTCTGGCTCGAAATCAGAGTCGGAATCCACCTCCCAACCACAGTAGCGGCAGTGATAGGTGCCATCGGAGTCCTGGGAGTCCGGGTAGCACTCGTCTGCTCGTTAGCTTGATGCAAATGGGAACGCACATACCTCCAGCATTGCACCCGGTCGCGTCGCCTACACAGAGAGCCATTTCAATGTTTGATGGGTGGTTTGGGATGCTTGATAAGAATGTGGAAATGCAACGTTCGGGTGGATGGCCACCCTTTCCAGCTTTGTAGGAGGGACTGCACACCCGTGACCGGTTGAGGAGTCCGGACCAGCGGGACGTGCTTCCCGGAAATGGCGTGGCTTGTCAATACACACGCAGTCGCTACTGTGATGACGGCGTTTGCTTATTTCGTGATTCTCATCACCTAGGGTATGGTTGGTAAGAACATAGCTCTGGATCTGGGGCGGGAAGGTGGCCCAGAAGCGCTGCAGACGTGCACACAGGTGGCAAGCTTCTGGTCGCCTCCCTGCATTCGCCCCTTGTCTAGATGGCGCTTCACATGGAGACAGTCCCCTATTGTTCTCCAAAGGGTACCACGGTGCTGTGTATATGCAAGCAAGCCCTCAGTATGCCTGCCTCTCAACTGCAGAACGCTGCTTCTGGCTGTCAAGGTTAAGTGAGACTTCATGTGTGGAGAAGTGCCTCCTGCATAGCATTACGTAATCTATGAGTTTCCCCTCCGTCTTCAGTCATCGTCCGAGTCGTTGTCCTCGAGCTCAACACCGCAGTATATACAGTAGAAGCATTCATCTTCGACGTCCCATACGCCTGCACACTCCTCTGGAAGACGTCAGCGTGTATCGCGGGCCAACCCAACCCGACGTCGAATCCGGTGGTGACGGACATCTGGTGCCACGACTCACGTCCCCTGTTGTAGCCGTTGGCTCTTCCTTGGCAAGGCGGCTCCATGTTGCAAAGGTGGTTGGCGGGGATGTTCGCGAGAAGAGGGAGGAGAGGAAGACTAGGTGGTTAGCTGGCGCAAAGAACAGAGCTGGCCTATATAACGGGCCCACCCCTCCTTGGTGCGAAGCTGTGGCGGTGGTTGGAACGACGCTTCTGCGGGACTTTTCCGCACTCGTCCGCCGACTCGACTCGCGGCTACTTAAAAGAAGCCTCAGCCTTCTTCGCACACGTGCTGCGATGGCACAATGAGCAAAAGGAGGAGCTACACCCTTGCAGATGCTGCTCACACGACCCCGGCCCGAATCGAACGGACAACCTTGAGGAATCAACGCCTCTTCCTGAAGCAGGAAGGACAGCTGGTATCCCTGTATTGGAATCTCACGCGCTACCATTACGCCACGGGGTCGAATACGAAGTCTTTCCTCCGGAGCTGAACATGATCTGGAAGGTGCGAGAGGGCGAGAAAAAATGGGCGGAGGCACGGTACATTTAGGCCTGTATCTTGGGAACGAGCGCTCAGTTCAGGAAGATCAGTGCATTGGGATGTCCATCTGGTAGTAGGCCACAGGTGTGCCGAGTCTGGAAACCCGTCGGGACCCGACACGGAGGTGGTGACTGAGAAAGCTGAAGAGTGAAGGAGGAAACATGAGGTGGATCGAAACGGGACCCGAGGATCGCCCTGGTGCGATTGACGCGGCCTTCTACATAGGGATACGCAACCACTTTAACTTGGCACTGGAAATGCAACCCAGTATATCTTGAAGAGGTCGGCAGAGACAGTGAACGGGAAGTCGCGCAAGCAAGTCGACGAGGTGCGACTGTAGGGGCAAATTGCCAGCACTTGGCGCGAAAATTGCCACCGGGGAATTCTTCGCTATTTTTCATGAATTATTCTCACGTGCATACAGATGGCGGCGCGAAGCAAACAGGGGTTCTGCCACCAAGCCACCACACACAAGCGGTCACGAAGACATTGTTTGGTTCTCACGTTCCCGCCGTCACCACTGCTGTCTCAAACGGATCTGCCATGGGAAAATGCATGAAAAGCGCCCAAATATCTCGCACCTCTCTCTCTACCTCGACGAGCTAGTCCCACTCATAATCTTCGAAGACGCCACAGCGGATGCAGATCCCTTGCTCGTAGTCGGGATCATATTCAAACTCGCAGTCACCTGGTTACCGTCAGAATCGCTCCGCTCGCAGCTTACCTCCTGCGTTGTCGCCATCGTCGTCGCCTTCACATGGTGGGCGTGGGGGCAGATCTGGCCGGTAGGGCATGCCCACAATGGGCTGGAAGTCCAGTTTGAGGTGGCAAAGTGTTGCGTGATGAGAAGTGGGGTCCATCACAGCGTCGCCCCGTGTTGCTTTATTAGCGCGAGTACTGTCATGAATGCCACGCCACCAGCATTCCAGTGGCGTGTGTGCTTCCCACCTGAGGAGACGACTCAGCTTCCTGTGGTGCTAACAATGCATGCGTCCTACGAAAAAGTGGTTGGCAAGGCCTATGTGCACACAAGTCGACCCCTGTGTGGCTATGTATTTCGAGGTCCTACAGCATGACAGGCAGATCCACAGCAGCGCCCCACCCACTACCACCACAGATGCATCCAATGTGCGGATGTGGACGTTTGGTGAACGGCAGGCCCCCATCAATCAAAGACCTTCGCGCACCAAATACAGAACAGCCAGTTGGTGTTTGGATCCAGCTCAACGTCATGAACCACTGTGGCCGTTAGCTCCCGACTTTGCCACTGTACCAGGGTCCACTCACACCCGGCGTTGATGCCCTCGTCGTTGCCAGGGCACAGCTCGTTGTAGGGAAACGTCTCCTCGCTGGTGTTGCTCATGACTGTACGGAATCGCTGAGTAGAGCTGTGAGAGTGCTAGTTTATGTCGAGAATGGGAATGGCAAACTGTCCGTGCGCTGATTGGGGGATTTTCAAACCATCACTTGGACACACTTGCCTCCAGGACCGCCATTCCGCGATACAGTCAGACCATCCCCCCATCAGCTGATCTTGGCCGGTGTCGGTGCAAGACTGCCCATCACCAATTGCCAGCGTCACCTGTCCGCTGTGCTAGTGCCAATGCGGATGCAGCAGTGGTCACTCAGCACACGTTCATGAAACTCCACAGTGCTATGTATGAGGCCAGATTGCCGCCCTCTAATCGAGCCTCTTCCCGCAAAACGCACAGTACGTCACGCCAGTTGCAGGATCCTCCTCGGGGTCATGGTACTCTGGATGTGGACATGAGCCTAGGCCGGCAAATATATGTATGCACTGTACTCACCGCCCTCGTTTTCTCCATCGTCGTCGCCCATACATATGTCTTCAACGTTAACTTCCTGGTAGCGCGGCATGGTCGGATGGTAGTGGCGGGTGGGATGGGAGTCAAATGATCAACGAGAGGGGGGATGAGGCCATGCAGGACGGGTAGGATCTTTTATATATGTAGGTCGACTCCTGCACAGCGCCTGGAGCTATGTCTCATCCCGTGGCCCGTGGAATGCTCTCAAGGAATACATCAAACCCATACCCAAGCCAATCTCTGTCGACTACATCTCGTTCCCACAAAATGGACAATACGTTTCTCCAGTGGAGGGATCATACTCCTCGACGCAGTCCTCTGGTTTGGTCAGGTCACTGGGGTTCGGGGGGGAACACGCACCTCCGAGGTTCTCGCTGGTGTCTGGATCGCCAGTGCAGAGGTCAGAGTCGTCGAACTCATCCATGTTGAGGTTTCCCGAGGCGAGTTGTTGGGAGTATGTGCTAGTGGGCGGAGGCAGCTACATGAGCGGTGATGTACCATTCAGGTGGCGTGAAACAGGTTTTGCTTCTCCGCATGCCGCGTGGTTGGCTAGTGTGGCGGAGTACAGACATACATAGTTGGGCGAAAAGCCGGTCTCGCGTGGCCTCATGTCTAGTTGGCCATCCAAGCTCTATTCCAGGCCTCGACGTTTAGGCTTGGCTTGCCCCATTTTCTTCCTAGTCGCCTGCAGAACCAACAACGCCAGTATCCGTCGGTGGAGACAACCCAATAACACGGTTCTGCTGGTAAGCCCTGATCGACTCTGGACTCTCACCCTTCTGGTTCCATTGCAGCGAGTTGCCGTGGCAGTTGAGTGGCTTCAGTGGGATTGTCATGGTGGAGGATGGGGCATGTGAGAGGGCGAAGAGTGGCATGTGATTATGTGCATTACCTCGAAACCCGCGTGCGAGACCATCCCTCCCCTTTGATGCCAGTGGACACCCAACAGGGGCTGTGTGAGTCTCCCTGCTTGCCACTGATCCACTGATGACACTGAGACGCATGGCATGCACCGATCACATCGCAGTTTCATCCACCCAGCTCTCGCCAGCTGTGGAGCCTACGTTCCACGGACACTCCTATGCAGGGTGGTACCACTCGCCACAGTGCACGCACTCGTGGATCGATCCGAGGGGGACGTCAATGAGAGCGCAGACCTCATCATCCACAGGGACGACTTCGCACTTCGCTGCCATCAGACGGGGCAACTGCACAAGACTTACAAAGACGATTGTAGCCGTCCACGTCGCCGCTGCACAGGGTGTTGGGCTTGGGCTGAGGGGTCATGGTAGCGTGGGGTGAGCCATAAAGAAGCAGCGTTGATCTTTAAAGGCAACGTGTCGTGTGTGGCATCTCGGGCACCGCAGTGCCCGACTGAGACGCACACTGCACAGCCCGAACGGCAATGATGGCTCTGTCATGACCGACGACCCCTGCTGCGCATGCCTGACAGGATGCGAATTGGCACTTTTTCTCATACTCACTGTGACTCGACCGAAAATCGGAGGCAGATCGGAATCACGGCTAATGTGCGGATCGGCCAAGTGGCACCGCCATCCACTCACTCACACCCACTCAATCCACCACCCAACCCACCAACCGTCCTCGTCCCAACGACGCGTCCGTAGGCGATGCATGAGGCCCAGGAGGCAAAAGAGAAGGCCCTCGCCGGGATTTGAACCCAGGACCACTTCCATAGCTAGAGGACGGAGACGAATCCGAGGAGGATTAGAGACCAGCACTGGACCCTAAGAAAGTATGATAGCCACTACACCACGAGAGCCATGAAAACGTGCACTTTGCCTATGTTGAAAAATGTAATGGAATGTATTTAGAAATTCTAGTGGGTATGCAGACTTCTCGCGCTCCCAGGGAGCTGTTGGAGAAGTCTAGATTCCGACGCCGGTAAATGGACTTAATTCGACCATACGACGCCGTTGTTCAGGGGCCGCCAGCAAACTGGCAGGTTGGTTGCCGGGCGCACCGAGGATACCTGTCAGCTCTGAGGGGCCTTCGAGTTGCCAGTCTGGTCCCCCTGAACAACGTCAGCATGTATTTGGGTTTCACATTACGCACACGTAGCCGGTGGGTCCCAAAAGTAACCGCAGAACCTGCACCGCCAGACCATGGTCTGTTTACTCCATGGCTCGCCGGGTAGGCGGTGGGGCATATAATGATGCAAAGCGCGTCTAACATGTCAACATTGATTCAGGGTGGGGCGGTACCTACACCTGTTGACGTATAGCTGGTTGCCCTTGCACTGACGTGCAATGGAATGTTCCGACTGGGTGTTGGGCTTTGGCGGCCGTTCTGGCCGGGCAATGGGTGGACGCCAGGCCAAAGTAGACTGGGGAGCGGGCACAATGGGCATGGTGATGGGGGATCAATGTGGGCAGTCAAGCTGAAGTTTGTCGTCCTATACATAGCGGCCGGCAGTGTCTGTCATCAGCGGCTGATGGTCATGGACGGGCGTTTGACGAGGTGGGTTGTGCGGGTGATGTGGACAGAGTAAAGGGCATCACCATGGAATGACGGGTTTGCGGTGGCACGTCGTCTGGCGCGTCTGGACGTGTCAGTCTTCTTTCCTGTGATTCCATCATCGGATCACCAGCCAGAGTAGACGATGACGTCTGGTGGGTGGCTGACCGCAGTATTGCTTTCATCCCGAAGCTCGCCATCATCCTCGTCTGAGGTGCAAAACTGTGCATGCTACCTGCTACGAGGGGACTCGGTCTCGACTCCGAAGCACAGCACCCCTCATCGCGAAGCTGTTTGGGAATGTTTGTGGTCGTTGACGCCACCACTTCCGCCGGCGGAGCTAGATGATGTTTGCGGGGTCCAAGGTCCGTGCACGAGACCCCGTTGTGGCGCCGAGGCGTTTAATGTTCCCCTTGTTTGCTGACTCCGGCTGGATCGGCAGCGTCCGTTCATGCAGTAGCAGCTGGGAAGGGGGTTGGAGAGGTATAGAGTATGTACAGCAACCTCGCCACCTCCCCAACGACTAGCAACACGACTGGGTGGGCACGGAGTGTATATTATGCATTATACGGGACAACAAATGGCAGATACAACGGGGGAACTGGTTCGCTTCTCTCCTTTGTGTTATTGGCCTCAGAAATCACATCCGCAGAAGCGACATGTAATCCATCGCTCGATCATGGCCCACTTGCACGTCTCTGTCGTTCCATCAGCTGGGATTCCCAGGACAATGCCCATTCGACGACTCACTGCCTTTGTTCTTGCCGTCAGCATCACCATCGCAAGAGCGCACATAGGGTCGTAGTTCCATGTCTCGTTATCGACAAGTCCAAATGTCAGGGCGCGGTGGTGATTGTGGGTTGGCAGGGTATCGAATGATCGTAAGGGAGAAGAAACGCAAGAGAACCTGGGGACATCGTGTTTTAACTTGGGAGTCTGGAGACTGGAATCACAGTGGCACGGGGAGCCTGGTAGCTGACGCCGCTGAAACGGCTGGGCCTACCCCCCGGGTTTTCTACAACAATGCATTGGGTTCTAAGTTCTGGGTGAGTGTATTGTACCTTAGACACTGTGAGACGCCAGACACATGAGACCGAGTCTCTTGAAGGCAGGGGTCGATCCAAGGAATGTAGAGAATCAGGGTGTGGATGCTCCGTTCGTTCCAGCCTCCAACGGTGAGGCGACTGAGGAATTTGGGTGCCCCATGCCCCAACTTTATGCAGTATTCCGAAGATGGTGGTTGCAACGTCATCCTGTTAGGAGAACGGTCGGTATCAGGTGACAGGTTGTGCTCACCGCTTCTACCCAAGTGGTTGCCTCGTCGTTTTACCTGTGACTGCGTTGCTGCCATGGCCTCGCTAGCGGGCAATGTCGGTGCCACGCCTCATGGTGAGGCTGACGGAACCAAACAAAGGCCCGCTTGACACGCAGACAACGGCTCAGGCCCACACCTACATATGCAACCTTCGCTACCTGTCACCAATAGCATGGCCTGTGAATGACATTTGTAGGAATCTCCACGGCAGGAAGGGCAGTCGCCATTGAGGAGCCCCTCGGCACATAATACTCTCGGGAGACACGGAACCTGTATGGGAGACACCGAAACCAGTGGTGGTTTCGCGTCCTGCAAAGACAAGGACCGGCTGGCTAGTGCCCTCGCACCAACGTCACTGGTACTCTTCGGTGCCAGGTCAGTTGGGGTTTGTTTGGTTGGGCCGTAGACGAGACAGCTCTTCACGCTGGGTTGTGATGTGGCTGGGACGGGGACTCGGGACGCCACGTACGTACGCATCCGCTTGGCTTCCGACAAGGAGGCACCTTGCACTCGATCTACTTGCGCCTCGGCGATCTGCGATCTGCGATGCCATGGTCTGAAGCCAGGTGTGGCAGCTTGCCGCAAGTAGGATCCATGGACTCCGGTTGCACCGTCATGTTGCTAGCATGTGTTGGCCATCCCACCTCCGTGGAGCTGAAATGTACAGGGCCATGGAGAGCTGCTCTCACGCCAAAGGCCAGCGGCCAGCGGACTGGAACAGCGCACAATCAAGCCATGCCGTTTCCAACAAAGGGCCATCCCACCGTCAAAGTGGAGGTCGACCCAGACAAAACCCAAGTCGAGCCGGTCGGGTCCCCAACTAACGACCACTCAACAAGTCACAGCCACAATCCCGAGCAAGTTGCTGAGCATGTGACCTTTGACGAATCAATAAAAGCCCCTCGTCGCTCCGCCAAGGCACAGGACGTGGGCGTCGTATGCTCGACGGTGGATATTCAATATCACATTGTGACAACTATGGTGACTGCTACTTCCTTTCGATAGCTCTCCTTTGCTTTTGCTTTTGCTTTTGGGTACAACAGACTTCTGACACGGGGGGAGGGGCGAGTGCCTACGCTAGGACGACTCGGTGGATGTAAATGGACGTATGTGGGGTCGTGAGGATGGTCGTGGTGGTAGGTGGGTGGGTTGGAGGTTGGGTATGGAGGTTGGATGGAGGTTGGATGGAGGTTGGGTGTGCTTGCTGCTCATAGCTCGTGGCTCATGGCAAGGGGATGCGGCACCAGCAGCAGTGACGAACGGCAGGCGATTCGGGCTGCGCCTGGGGTTGGGTCTGCGTGACGGGAGCAGGCATGGCGACGACCTCGGCCTTGCAGAAGTCTGCGAGATACGTCAGCAGAGGATCCAAGGACAACCCTTGGTGGTCTTGGTACTCACTGCCTTCGTTGACGATGCAGAAACGGTAACGGTGGAATGCTCCTGGAGGCCAACCTTCCATTGTGAGAGATGAGCTTGTGTAGTGGTTGAAGGTGAAGGGACGTTGCGATGTCGCACAGAGGGCTGCCACGAAATGATTGACGTCGTCGTCTCTTTATAACCGTGTCTCACACGCGTCACACCACGGGCTCTCCACAACCTGACATGCTTCGTCATCGCGATCACTCGTTTTGCCCCACAACGGGGTACCCATGTGCAATGCCAGCGTAGTCACTCGCGGGTATCTGATACCCAAGAAGCACCATGGCCCCCCAGCAGCGAATGAGGGGCCACAATCCGTCCCCAGTGGGGGAAGAGCGGCCCTAGGCCCCGTCCCATCCATTTGTGGCGTTGGTTGTCTCTTGTCGTAGCTCTTGCTCCGGCGCCATGCCCGCTTCTCTCCGCGGCCGCTCCTTGGCACACACGCGCAGTTGACGCGGGGTAGCAGGGCACATTGAGACTTTTTTGTCTCAACTGGCCAACTGGCAGTCTCTGTTCGTCGTCTGTCCTCCACTTCGCCCCGCAGTTTTCGCTGTCAGATGGCGTTCCTGGGAGTTGTTGTTGGGGCACTGCGGGGAGGGGGGGGGGGGGGGGGGGGGGGACACTTGCTGCAACAAGCTCAAAACAGAAGCACATGGGGGGCCTGCCTGGGTTCTCCTTGCGCTGAATGTCCATCCACTACGCGCTAGCGCAACAGCCCTTACCACGGCGTCTACAACACCGACGACGGCCCACAACGGCGGGTCGGTTAGTGGGGTGGACACGTCAATGTGTGGCCACTGCGCGGGCCGCCACTATCGGCATCTGCATGGGCATGCCAAGAGTCAACGTTGAGAGACACCCAAAAGCGAGCATTGACCGGCCACCCGATAACAATGGTGCACCCCACGGCACCTTGGTCACCTGTCCAGGAAACAATCAAGTGGGGGAGGTGCGGGGCAATCGTGATCCGAGCTGTTGGCTGGGCATACCTCGTTTTGTGGCGCGGAGGCCATATTTACGTGCTGTGACGCCTGTCGGCCTTGTCGGTAGGAAACACATGACCCCACAGCACAATGGGCCAACCCCGCACTTGGCGGTCTTGGCAGCAAACCCAAATGCCAACACTGTGTGCATTGGTACATTGGGGGGAGATGGAAAATGTTACACATGTACATTGACTCTATGGCCTCTATCGTATGAATGCTGAATGGCAAGCATGCTACTCCTCCAGCGTGATCCAGCGTGTACCGTCGCGCCTCTGCTTGCGCTTGATAGGCGGTAGGTCGACGCCCAAGTCGGCGAAATGGGGCACTACGATCACCTCGCGCTCGTTGCCCGTCGCGTTGAGCTTGGCCTTCATGCCCGGCGTCTCGACGGGGCGAGAGAACGTGCACACGTCCTTGCCGAGCACGGCGAGCCATGTGGGCTGGATCTTGGTGACGCTCTTGACGTACACCTTGGACGTGCGCACCACCTCGGTAAACACCATAAACTCTGGCGGGGCGCCGTGGAACAGCGCCGACGACGGGTGGATGTACACGGGCTCGGGCACGCCAATGGCGCGGTACGGAATGCCACGGGTGGACGCGTGCGAGGACGAGCCCTTCTTGTTCACAAGGGATTCGAGGACGGCGACCTGGTCGATGAAGCCGGCAGTCAAGATCTGGCGGATAATCTTACGCTGGGAAGAAAAAAAACAGTCAGCGCAGTCCACGGCCGAGACAGCCACCAATCTAGGCACAATCTGACCCCCACTTTCCCCATTACACGCCCTGCCCACTTACCTGCTTGTCGTTGGGAGGCTCCATGCGCTTCATGGTGACCTTGGAAATGTTGGAGATCTGCGACCGCAGTTGCTGGATCTCCTGCATGGCCTTGAGGCGGAGGAAGTACTCGTTGCAGAACGTGCCAGTCGGGTTGTGCTCGTACGCGCCGATCGCCGTGAGCAGCTTGAACATGTCGCTCTCGCCCTTGCCGTTGAACGCCGACTGGCGCTTGAAGAACTTGCCGCGAATGTCCTTGCGGCGCTCCTTGGCACGGAGCTCCTCGCTGCGGATGTTGGCAATCTCGGCCGCGCGCTCGGGATCCAGTTCGTCGGCGTCCTCGTCCTCCTCTTCGCCGTTATCGAGAGCGTTCTCGTGAATGAAGGGGTCGCCGACACTCAGGCCGGCAACGATGGCAATGACGTACGCGAGGCAGTCGTGCTGCCCTCCCACAACGAGCATCTTGGCGAAACGCGGGGAGACGGGGAACGATGCCATTGCGCGTCCGAGGTCGGTGATGCGACCACCGGCAACGCCAGATTTGGTGATACCTGCCACCATACGGGTGGCGGCTGGCTTGTCCAGCGCGCCCAGGTGCTGCAGGAGCGACTCGGCACGCTTGAGCGCCTGCCTGTCGGGTGGAGTTGGGAAGGGGAAGTTGGTCACGGCGTCAATGTTCATGGCCTTCATGTTGAGGACGACACCCTCGATGGGCATGCGCAGGATCTCGGGCTGGGAGAAGGCCGACATGTGGTCCTCGAAAAGGGCAGACGAGTAGAGGCGGTAGCAGTGGCCGGGACCAGTACGACCGGCACGACCAGCACGCTGGGCGGCAGAGGCCTTGGAGATCCAAGAGACCGCAAAGGTCTGGACGCCCGAGGCTGCGTCGTACTGCCTCTCCTTGGAACGACCACAGTCGACGACGTAGCGCACACCGGGGATGGTGAGCGACGTCTCGGCAACGTTGGTCGACACAATGATCAGGCGGTGGCCCTCGGGAGGCGGGTTGAAGACTTGCATCTGCTGGTCCTGCGGCAGGAGCGAGTAGAGGGGAAGGACGGTGACGGGGGCATCAGTCTCCTCGAGGAGAAGCTCGGGCTCGTCGTCGTCGGTGTCCAGGGCCTCGGGGTCTTCCTCTGCCACGCCGTCGTCGACATCGGCGGCGAGGTCATTGTCGCCACCGAGATCGACATCCTCGGCCTCGAGCACCTCGGGGGCGAGCATGCCGTCGTTGGCTGGGCGGGGAGCAACCTCCTTCTTAGCGCCCTTTGCGTCCTTGTTCTTGCCATACTTCTTTTCCAGGCGTCGGCACAGGCCCATAATCTCGCTCTGTCCAGTGAGGAAGACAAGGATGGCTCCAGCAGGCAGACGGGCGTGGATCTTGCACACCTTGTTGAACGCCTCGCCCACATAGTCCGAGGTGGTACGGCGAGAGAAGTGCATGGTCACAGGGTGCTGACGCGCACCAATGTGAATGACGGGGGGAGGAGTGGGGAAGAGAGCAGCGTTCTCAGCAAAGTCGGCAACGCGGAGGGTGGCCGACATGATGACGATACGGAGCGGGCTGAGCCTGTCCTTGTCGTCCTTGGACTCGCGCCAGCGCTTCTCACGGAGACGAGCCACGCGCGAGAGGACACCGATGAGCACGTCCGTGTTGACACCACGCTCGTGTGCTTCGTCGACGACCACGACCGAATAGCGCGACAGGAGGAAGTCGGTGGCAAGCTCACGGAGAAGCACACCGTCGGTCATAAACTTGATGGCGGTGTCGGGGGCGGTGGTGGAGCTGTAACGGATCTGGTGCGCAACCACACCCGAGCGCTTGTCAAGACCGAGCTCGTCGCGGACACGCTCGGCGAGCGAGACAGCGGCAACACGACGAGGCTGAGTCACAGCAATCATGCCCGGGTTGTTGGACCCCTTGAAGCCAAAGCCGGCCTCGTAGAGCATCTGCGGGACCTGGGTGGTCTTACCCGAACCCGTCTCACCACAAATGACCACAACAGGGTTCATGAGAATGGACTCGACAATGCCCTGCTCTTCAGCGAGGATGGGAAGACCCATGCGTGACTCGACGACGGACGGGCGACGGGCGACCTTGGGCCTCTTGGTGGAGCCAGGCTCACCGGTGAGGAGCGAAGTGTCGGGAATGACGAGGGTAGCGCCCATGGGGCCGACAAACTCGCCAGTCTTGGGAAGAGGCTGCGACACCTTTTTGGGACGGACAGTGCCGTCGGCGGGTGCAGTGGCCAGGAGGTCAGGCATAAGGGCCTTTTCCTCAAAGGTGCCCATCTGCTGCTGAGCCCACGCCTTGAAGCCCTTTGATGGCTTCTTCTCCTCTGCCTCATCACTCTCATCGTCGTCCTCGTCGTCACCGCTCTCCTCATCATCGTCCCCAGAACCGCTCTCATCATCTCCCTCCTCGCTCTCGTCGCTCTCCTCATCGCTATCCTCCTCGCTGCTGCTCTCTTCCTCCTCCTCAGCCCTCCTGCGCGCGGGGGCAAATTTCTTGGGACCGCGGACAACGACACGGGGTTGGAAAGCAGCACCGTCGGATGACTTGAGAGCGCTGCCGACGGATAGAGGCTTGAGGGCGCTGCCAATAGATGCCTTGATGGCACTGCCGACAGTGGGCTTGAGGGCGCTTCCAACAGAGCTCTTCAGAGCGCCGCCAACGGCTGGTGCCTTCAACGCACTACCGACAGTGGCGGGAGCCTTGGGCGTCTCCGCCTCGGGCTCCGGAGACTTGCTCTTGGGCTCAGCCTCAGCCTCGCTCTCAGAAGGACTATCGTTGCCGTCATCGGAAGAGTCAAAGTCGGACGACTCGGCCTCCGTCTTGGCCTTCAGCTTCGGGTTCCAGTCGGCCTGGCGGTTAGTATCCGTACAAGCGGTCAAATAACCTACCCTCTTGGGCATCTGCAGCCGTCCCGACTGGCCCCTAGCAGCAGCCTTCTCGCGAGCCTTGCGCTCCGCCTTGGTCTCGAGGACGGTGGTGTCGATCGCTTCCGCATCCTCCTGCGCCGTGGTGACGACCTCGACCTCGCGGGGTCGGCCCTTGGTCCTGCCGCCATCGTCTGAGTCTGAGTCGCTTTCGGCCAGGTCGCCGTGGCGCTTCTGGAGGATCTCAATACCACGCCTCACTGCGCGGTCCTCAATACGCTCTGCCCTCTCGAGAGCGGTGCTGGGCTTGAGGGGGTTCTGTCCGAGGCTGGCTGTGGATACGGTTGCCAACGATGCCTGCTTGTTGTTCTGCAGGGCGGCAAGCGTCTTGAGGGTGTCGTCGCGGCGCTCAATCTGGAGCTTCTTGGCCTATACAAGCGTCAGAAACAGAATCTTCGCTTGAGTGCTCTGATCTGTGCTTACAATATACGAGTCGATACGCTTGCGCTTCTTGGACGACATGCCGGCCTCATGGTGAGGCTGGAGCGGCGCGGCCTCCTCCTCTTCTTGGGGAGCCTTTCTCTTTCCCTTCTTGTGGCTGCGGCCGCCGGGGCCGGACCCACGAGCCTGCGCGTTGTAGCGCTGGAATGTTGGGGGCGGCATTGCAGTCCGCGGTTGTTGGTTGTAGGGGGTGTGTGTTGAAGGAGACTTGACGGTCGTTCACAGACCACAGTTGAGTGGCAACCCAGAGCAGCTCGAGATCTTGAAATTCCGAGGTCGAATCACGTGACCAACGGCTTCCGCGCACCCGTTGACTGCGATGACGCGCGGCGGAGAGGGGCCGAACATGCGCGGGTTGGGTGGGGTGCGGGTGTGGGTGGTGCGCGTTGCTTTGGGTCGCTCTCCGTCGTCTCCACCTCTTGCTCCCCATCTCGCATCCCTACAGCTCGCATTTTATTCACAAGGATCTCATTCCTCCCAGCGCCTCTCTTCTCGACGTGACTTGGACGACGTCGACGGCGCGCCCCCGTGTCGGCCCCATCCCCAATCTCCCGGCCGGCTTTTCGCTTCCTCCCCATCTTTGTTCAACACGCGACTTTTATATATCCACCAAACCCTCTCCCTCATCCATCGGTGGGGAGCGCTCGCCTCAACGTGACACTCCCTCACCGTATAGCGGCTGTCCGGCACCATGCAGGTCGTCAAGGACATCGCCCTGCGCATGCTCAACGTCTATGTCTCGCCATACGTTGAGAACTTGAATGCCCAGGACCTCCAGCTCTCCGTTCTTTCCGGTACGCTCGCTCTCGCCCCTCCCCTTGTGTGCCCGTCTCTTTTATACTGACACGCGTCCTTCAGGCAAAGCAGAGTTCCACGGACTTCGCTTGAAGAAATCGGTGCTGGAACGATTCGGTCTGCCAGTTGAGATTGTTGCTGGTGAGCGCACATGCCAGCCCCTAGATCTCGGGGTCCAAACTGACAACCAAAAGGTGATATCGGACAGCTGTCGATCACCATCCCCTGGCAGGCAATAAAGAACCAGCCCGCCAAGATTGAGATTGACGACATCTATGTGCTCGCTCGCGCGCGCCCACAAGGAAAAGTGGACCCCGACGAGGATGAGCGAATCGAGCAGGCTGCAAAGCAGGAGAAGCTACGCAGTGCCGAGGCTGTGGACAGCGCGGCTAGCCAGGTCGAGGGTGGCCACGATAACGGTAAGGTCACAATGATACACCGCGGTATCACTGACAAGTGAGCAGACCAGCAGACGTATCTCGGTGCTATCATGGCGAGGATCATCAACAATGTCCAGATCCATGTGCGCAACATCCACATCCGATACGAGGACGGCTCGAGCACCCCCGATCACCCTTTCGCTGCAGGCCTCACCATCTCCGAGTTCAAGATGGTGTCTACCGATGAGCACTGGCTAGAGGCTTTCCTGCAGAATGACGTGCAGGACGTTCACAAGGTGGGTGTCGTCCAGATCTCCACCCACTAACATCTTTTAGCTCTCCCAACTAGCAGCCCTGTCTGTCTACTTTGACACGGACGCCGGTAGTTTGGACAAGGGCGAGGACGACCGCGCGGGAACCATCGAGGCCGTCAAACAGATGCTCCTCGACAAGGACGCCCAGCACCAGTACATCCTCAAGCCTGTATCCGGCGAAGCGCGCCTCATCATCCATCGAACAATGACGAGCGACACTCCAAAGTATGACCTCCAAGTCTTCTTTGACGAGATTGGCGTCGTGCTCGACCGCGCACAGTACCGCGATACGCTGTCCCTCATCGACGTCTTCCACTTCTACCACCGCACACATCAGTACTCCAAGTATCGACCACCTCCAGAGGAGTACGCGGCCGACCCAGCCAAGGCGCGTTGGAAGTTTGCCCTCAAGGCCATTGGTTCCGAAGTGCATGACAGGCACAGGAGATGGACCTGGGACTACTTGAAGGAACGCCGTGACAAACGTATCAAGTATGTCGACCTCTACGTCAAGAAGCTGGCCTTGCCTGAAGGCACGCCCATGCAGCCTGAGGACCAGAAGGAGTTGGACGACCTCGAAACAGGATTGCCGTACGAAGATATCCGCTTCTTCCGCTCCGTTGCCCGCGTGACAGCACGCCGAGATGCTGCTACCCGCAAACGGCTGGAAGCTGAGGAGGCCAAGAACCAGCCTCCTCCAGGACAGCAGACGTGGTCACAGTGGCTATGGGGTTCCAATACGGACCCCAGCAACACCGAGGCCAACGGAATCACCGAGGATGAGCAGAAGGAGCTCGATGACATCATCGACTATGACGCCTGGTCAAAGGAGCAGTTGAGTACCGGCACCGCTCGCGACTTGATGAAGATGCGTCTTTCAGCGACTCTCAACAAGGGCTCCTTCTCCCTGCGTACCGAGCCACGAGGCACAGACAAGGACGTCATCGCCCTCATCTTTGACTCGTTCTCGGCAGACGTGATCCAGTTGACCGACTCAACCAACGGCAAGATGGCTCTGGGCGGTTTCCGAGTGTACGACGGCACGACTACCAACTCGCTGTACCCGCAGATTGTCCGTGTCAAGGACATTGACAACGGGCCCCAGGCCTCGATTGCCAAGCAGAAGAGCCTCGACGTCGGTGGTACCCACCAGGCCCTCGCCGAGATCAGCTCCAAGCTCCAGCCCGGATCGGACCCATTCTTCTCCGTCGAGTTTGACTTGGATCCAATCGATGGACGAGCAGACAATGCCATCACCGTCAAGATGCGGCATTTGGAGATCATCTACCATCGCAACTATGTGGAAGAGGTCGTCAAGTTCTTCAAACCACCCGCGAGTCAACTAGAGTCGATCAATGCGCTCCTCGACGCTGCAGGGGAAACTCTTGATGGTATCAGGAAGGAGACTCGAGCAGGGTTGGAGTATGCTCTAGATCAGCACAAGGTGGGTGGCAGAAGTTGCGGATCACCAAGCTTACCCAACAGACTCTGGACTTGCATGTCGACATGAACGCGCCCATCATCATCATCCCCATGGAGTGAGCCTTGCATATCGTATATAGCTAACAACTCAGCGTCACGTCCAAGAACTCTCAGATGCTCGTTCTCGACGCTGGTCACATCTCCGTTAGCAGCGAGCTGGCGGACAAGGACCGTGTCAAGGACGTGCAAGCCAAGCGCGGAAAGATGTACAGCGACGACGACTACAAGCAGCTTGAGGACCTGATGTACGATCGCATGCTCATCAGCTTGGACTCGACCCAACTGCTTATCGGCGACGACATTGACTCCTGCATGAAAGCGCTCGACTCGGACCATCACGGCATGGGTGACTTGCATATTGTCGAGCGTATCAACATGTCCTTTGCCGTCCAGATCGCCATTGTCAATGCGCCAACATTGACAAAGTTCAAGATTGCTGGTAACCTCCCGGAGCTTCAGGTCAACTTTTCGGATCGCAAATACCGTAAGCTCTCCAAGTACTCATGCTCAAGCTGACTTTCAGACGCCTTGATGAAGTACATTGACGTTTCGATTCCCCACTTTGACGAGCCAGAAGAGGACGCCGGCCACAAGCTGCTTTCTGCGCCCCAGACGCCAACGTTCACCCGTCGACAAATCGAGGAGTACACCCTCGACGAGGCAGCACATGACAAGCAGCAGGCTGGTGACAAGGACGGCGACGAGGACAGCGGCGACAAGAACGGCGACAAGACGGCAGCAGACCAGCAGTCTCTAGCGGACGACTCTCTGCGCTCGGATGCCAGCGACAAGGGCGGCGAGCAGTTCTACGACATCACCGACGACCAGTTTGAGGCGATGCGCAGCGAGCTGCAGCAAGTGTCATTCGAGTTCTCGTTCACTGTCGGCAAACTGCAAGCGTCCCTGTTCCGCTCCACCTCGGCAACGACCGAACGTGCCCTCGCCAACGCTTCGCTCGAGGACTTTGGCCTCACCTTCCTCCAGCGCAAGTACGAAATGTCAGTCGACCTCTACCTCCGTGACATTGTGCTCGCCATGGTCGAGCAGGGCAAGCAGCAGCGCCCTCTGCTCTCGTCTGGTGCCGTGGGCCATGACAAGGACATTAAACTCATTCAAGTCCGATACCTTAAAGTCCAGAAGGACTCGCCAGACTTTATGATTCACCACGACGCCTTTGACACTACCATCGAGACCGAGTTGTCTACGTTCAAGTTTGCAATTCAGCCCGAGCCCATCCTGTCGCTGTACGATTTCATCATGACGACGTTTGTCGGCCGGCCCGACGAGACAGGTGCGACGGTTGAGGAGGTGCACGGCGAGGATGGCGAGCACACCTCCATTGTCAGCTTGCCACCCCAACCTGAAGAGTCGGACGACAAGATGCGCATCAAGGTCAAGCTCACCAGTGCGCAAATGACGTTTGAGAACAACGACGTTCCTTTCATCCTTCTCAGTCTGCCCTCTGCCGATGTCGCCCTCGTCATGAGGAACGGCACCATGCGCGTCAGCACCCGCCTCGGTAACATATCCCTCACGGATACCACGGACAGTGCAGTGGCTTCGCCAGAGTTCAAGAAGCTTCTCAGCATCGAGGGCGAAGAGCTCGCTGACTTTTCGTACGAGACGTTCAACCCCGCCGACGAGACGTTCCCCGGCTACAATTCGTCCATCCACCTCCGCGCCGGATCGCTCAAGTTTACGTTCATGGAGAAACCCATTCACGAGCTCTACGTGTTTGGCCTCAAGTTTGCGCGCATGAAGGCTGTCTACGACGCTGCGTCTCAGGCTGCGGTCCAGAGCGTCACTGAGGTGACGCGCATGCAGTATGACGTGCTCATGAAGACGCCCATTATCGTCCTTCCGCGTAATGGCCTCAACTCTCCCGACATTCTGATCCTCCGCCTCGGTGAGATTGCAGCCAAGAACGAATACTTGAACGACACGAACGACACCAGCACCATTGAAGCGAGTCTGCGCGGTATCAATGTCGTCTCGGAACTCCATGTCAACGAGAAGAAGGCGCGCATGCAGCTCGTCGACGACGTGGCCATCACTGCCAGCGTCAAGCAGCTTGGCGGCAAGGAGCACCGCAGCGACCCGCACCAGGCAGACATGGAGATTACGACTGAAATGTCCGACGTCAAAATGTCCCTCACCCAGAGGCAATACGTCCTCCTCATGAGCATTTTGGAGTACCTGCCTCGTGCGCTTGGCGAACTGAGCGAAGACGAAGAAGAGTCGATGCCCCCCACACCGCTATCCATCTCCGAACCTCCTACACCTGCGGAAGACGACAGCGACCTCGTCACCCGGGTGTCAACACCCTCCACCGACCTGGACCTCGCCCCCGAGCTCGAGGTACCTGCCGGCGCCGAGGGTATTTGGACAACCATGGACTTTGAGTTTGTGGTCAAGTCGATTGGTCTGGAAGTGTATGGCGCCGACGCGTTGATGGAGGCCGACTTGAGAAAGCACAGTATTGCGCGCTTCTCCCTCCTTGGAAGCCACCTCGCGTTCAAGACATTGTCTAACAACGCGATGGAGGCTGAATTCACGCTCAAGACACTTGCGTTTTCCAGTACGCGCTACGGCAACTGCGTCTTCCGAGACATTGTCCCGCAACTGTCTAACGAGGGTAACCAGATCATGGTTCAGTATACCAAGGCAGCTGACCAGTCGGCACTGGCAATGGTCACCATCGACAGCCCGCGCTTCATCCTCGCCATCGAGCCTCTGGCCGCATTGCTCGAGTTTGCCGTTGCTCCGTTCAAGAACACTGCGGCACCGGCTGCCCCTGCGGAGGAAGCCGACACCGATGACTTTGTGGACGGTAAACCCGCGCAGGGCTCACTCGCCTTCCGTATCGACATTGTGCGCTCGACCGTCATTGTCCTGGCCGACGACACCAACCCTCGCACGCAGGCGATCCAGCTGTCCATCAAGGAGATTCTCGTATCCCAGAACAACACGCTGGCCCTCAAGGTTGACAAACTCGGCATGTCGTTTGGTCGCATGGACAGGCCGGATGACCGCGTTTCATTCCTCGATGATGTCAGCATGACACTGTCGCTCGATAACCGCCAGCGCGGTATCCAGACCATGACCAGTATCGACATTGACATTCCTGTGACTGTCATTTTCCGCGCGTCGTATGGCGATATCATGTTGATTCTTGACATTGTCAACACGGCCACTGCCGCCGCTGCCAAGGCGATGGGCACCGACGCTACTCCGTCTGGCGATGACGGCACGGCCAAGATAGAGGCAGTCAAGACAGATTCCGAAACTGGCAAGGCGTTGACCACGGCATTGACCACTATCGATACCCGTCCCGAGACTCTCGCCCCGCCCAAGCCCGGTGTCAGGCGAGGTTCTGTTGGCCGTCGCCGCAACTCCTCGTCGGCGGCAAGGACACACGTCCTCATCTCCAAGGAGCAGCTTCAGCTCGGAGTGAAGGGATTCCAGTTTGTCCTCGTTGGCGACGTCCACGAGATGCCCGTCCTGCACCTCACGACCAATGAGTTCACTTGCATGGTGAACGATTGGTCCGGCGATGTAAGTTTGCCTCTGACTCTGATGTTCTCGAAACTGACACCTCTCAGCTCAAGATGGCAACGTCCCTTGTCACCTCGATCAGGTACTTCAACCTCGCCAACTCGTACTTCGAGCCCCTCATGGACCCATGGAAGTTTGACCTCCAAGTCGCCCGCGTATCAACTGCACCTGGCGTGAACCCTCTGAGCGTCAAGCTCTCGGCCGACCAGCGTCTGGAGCTGAGCGTCACGTCCGCCTTTATCGAGCTGGGTATTACCTCCACGACCGTGTGGAGCAAGCAGGGCGACCACCGCGCCACAGACCGCGGGCCCGCAGCTCCTTTCCGCATTCGTAACCGGACAGGTATGACGGTCGCCATCTGGCCCGAGAGTGACGAACTGGGCGTCATCCCTTGGCACAAGCGTAAAGTGCTTGACGATGGTGCTGATGTGCCATGGTTCTTCGAAGACCGTCAATCTCTGCGTGACAAGGTGTCAGCGTTCCGACACAACGCTTTCGGTCTCGAGCTGCCAGAAGCCGAGATCAAATGGGACCCCATCCGTGGCGTGTCAGTCGACCGCGAGGGCGAGCACTTGCTCAACCTCCGCCCACGCATTGACAAGATTACGCACCAGCTCATGTGCGACATTGAGCTCGTGGACAACATCAAGATCATCACGATCCGCTCAACGCTTCAGGTCGACAACCAGACGAGCTTGCCTATCGAGATGGTTGTAGTGGACGCGCACGGCAAGGCCTCTGGCGGAGTCATGAAGATTGATCCAGGCCACTCATTCCCCGTGCCCTTCGAGGCGACCTACGACAAACGTTTCCGTCTCCGCCCCCTCCGTGGCTTTGGGTTCGACTATGCGTGGTCCACCCCCTTGCACTGGCGCCAGCTGATCCAGCGTCCCATCCGGCCCATCAGCTGCAAGCACATGACGCCCAAGGAGCCCGCGTTCTACTTCCAGGCCCAGGCCAACTTTGACGCCAAGGACCCGTCGGCGAGGATCTACCCGCACATGTCGCTCACGCTGCGCGCGCCCGTCGAGCTGGAGAATCTGTTGCCGTACGACCTCAAGTTCCGTATCCACGACAAGGCCACGAGCATGAGCTCGAGCAACTTCTTGGTCAAGGGCGGTACGAGCCCGATTCATACCGTTGAGCTGTCGCATTTGCTCTTGCTCAGTGTGGCGCCAGAGGAAACTCGTGAGTTAACGTCCACCTGAGCTTTCCTAACTCCCCAGCATTCAAGCAGAGTGAATACGCGATTATCAACACGGACGATCCAGAGTTACCGACGGAGAACTACTTCTACCTCACGGATCCGAAGGGGCTCAAGCTGCAGCTCAAGTTGCACTACTAGTGAGCTTTCTTATCCTCGTGACCTTGGCTAACAAAAACAGCACGTTCCCCAACTCTGGTGGCGCGTTCAAGGTGCAGGTGTACAGCCCGTTCATCGTCTTGAACAAGACTGGCCTCCCGTTCGATGTCAGCGTCAAAGCACCGCTGGGTGGACAAAAGCCCGTCGCTGGCCGCGACCAGTTTGCTACAGACTGCCAGAGGGAGACACCGACTCCCTTCATGTTCAGCTTCCCGACCGACGACCGGCGCAACCGCCTGTTCCTGCGCGTCGCCGACTCGAGGCTGTCACAGCCTCTGTCATTTGAACCCAGTGCTGCCGACATGCAGATCGTCATGCCCTCGGAACGCGGTGACAAGGACTACTATGTCGGTCTCTCTTACGCAGAGGGTCTGGGCAAGTACAAGTTGTCCAAGGTCATCCAAATTGCGCCGCGTTTCCTCATCAAGAACGTATTCTCGTATGGCATCCAGGTTCGCCAAAACTCGGACCCTAGCCCTCTGGCGATCGTCAAGCCCGGACAGCGCAAGCCGATCCGATACCTCAACAGCCACGACCCATTGCAACTCCGAATGGCGTTTGACGGCCCCGACGCCACTCTCCAGTGGTCTGCGCCGTTCAACATCAACGACATTGGTCGTATCAACCTTACCCTCCAGCGCGAGACAAGTCGTGGTATGAAGACGTACCTCATGCGCGTTGAGACCCACATTGAGGGATCGAGCATCTTCCTCTTTGTCTCGCGCGAGACCGAGCCATGGCCCATCAAGCTGCGTAACGAGACTCAGAGGCCGTTCAAGTTTAAGCAGGCGGTAGGTGAACAGAGTCGTGACTTGGCTGACCTATTTTCAGCAACAGGCAGATGACGGCGGCGACCCCAGCGTGTACAAGGAGCGCGACCTGCCTCCTGGTGAGACGGTGGACTATACTTGGGATTGGCCGACGGCCAAGGACAAGCGTATCCTCCTCGCTGCTGGCGACCTCGTTCTTCCTCGACCGATTGATATCATGGCCATTGGTGTCCAGCCACCGATCAAGATTCCAGTGAGCTAACGCACCACGGTGTACAAGCTCTGACATTACAGCCACGTGGCGCAACCCAGACGGCCACGACTATCTCAGTCGATGTGCGGGCAGACGGCAACTCGCAACTGGTCGTCATCTCCAACTATGACGAGGCGCGGAGCATCTACAAGATGACCAAGCGGTCCAGCACTCCTGGCACGCCCGGTACCCCTACCGGGGCGGCAAGGTTAGCGGATGGCCGGTTTGACAGCACGGACAGCTTCCAGGCCATGGGCTTTGAGCCCGAGTCGGTCAACGACAAGCCCAACCTCATCGTCCAGGTCGAGCTCGAGGGTATCGGCGTGTCGGTTGTGACCAAGAAACCAGACGAGCTGCTGTACATGACGCTTCGCGGTCTGAAACTGGGGTACAACGACTACGCGTCGCTGTACGACCTGTCGATTGACTGCAAGTGGATCCAGATTGACAACCAGCTCTTTGGCGGTCTATTCCCGATCATCCTGTACCCGACTGTGGTGCCCAAAGACGGCAAGGAGCTCGAGTCGCACCCGACCCTCCAGGCAACCTTCTCAGTCCTCAAGGACCAGTCACACGGCGTCGTGTTTGTAAAGTACGCCAGTATCCTCTTACAGGCCATGACGGTCGAGCTCGACGAGGACTTTGTGATGGCCCTCATCGACTTTTCAAAGTTCAAGGACGCGACGTGGCGCGAACCGACAAAGGACATTCTCATCGAGTACCCCAAGGAGATCCCCGAGCCCAACATGTCCGAGGCGCGGTCCGACCTGTTCTTCGAGCTCCTCCAGCTCCAACCCGTCTCGCTCGAGCTGTCCTTCATGCGCACCGACCGTGTCAACGTTGACGAAAAGGTCTCGACGCGCAACCCCTTCTATTATGCTCTCAACGCCCTCACCATGACACTGGGTAACGTCAACGCGGCGCCTGTCAACTTCCGCGCACTCTTCCTCGAAAACGTCCGCCTCAGCAGCCACGACCTGCAAGAGCGCATCGTCTTGCATTACCAAGAGCAGGCCGTGGCCCAGATCTACCGCGTGCTGGGCTCGGCTGATTTCCTCGGTAACCCCGTCGGCCTGTTCAACAATATCAGCTCGGGCTTCTCCGACTTCTTCTACGAGCCGTGGCAGGGCTTTGTCATGCACGGTAACAGGGATATTGGTGTTGGGATTGCAAGGGTGAGCTACACACCATGATTTCACGCATGGACGATAGCTGACATTTGCAGGGTGCGACGAGTCTGGCTCGCAAGACGGTGTTTGGCATTACAGACAGTATGACCAAGTTTACCAGCAGTATCGGCAAGGGTCTGTCGGCCGCCACCATGGACACCGAGTACCAGACCAAGCGCCGCATGACGCAAAAGCGCAACAAGCCAAAGCACGCCCTGTACGGTGTGGCTGCCGGCGCCAGCGCGTTTGCAGACTCGGTGACGAGCGCGTTCGAAGGAGTTGCCGTGAGTCTCCCACCGTGTAGTCACCGTCTCCGCATACTGACAACCCACAGTCCATGCCCATGGAAGGTGCCGAAAAGGGCGGTGCGGCCGGCTTCGCCAAGGGTGTCGGCAAGGGCTTTGTGGGCCTGTTCACGAAACCCGTCGTTGGCCTCATGGACTTTGTCTCGGCCTCGACTGAAGGTATCCGCAACACGACGACTGTCTTTGACGCCAACGACATTGACCGCGTACGCCTGCCGCGCTTCATTGCCGCCGACGGCGTCTTGCGCAAGTACTCTGCGCGCGACGCTCTGGGTCAGTCGTGGCTCAAGGACCTCGACGCCGGCGCATACTTTGGCGAGTCGTACGTGGCCCACCTGGATATCCCCGGCGACGACGCCGTCGCCATTCTCTCCAACAACCGCCTCTTGTTCGTGCAGCTCCGCCGCATGCGCGTCATTTGGCAAGTCCCCTTTGACGAGCTGCAAAGTCTCTCGCTCGAGCAGTCGGGTATCGCCCTCACGCTGCGCGGCGGCACCCCGGGCCCCTTCCTGCCCATTGCGGAACAGACGGGACGCGAGTGGCTCTTCCGCAAGATTGCAAAGGTCGTCGAAACGTACAACAAGTCACATTCGCAACGTGACGATTAATTTTGGACAAAGCGTTAAGAAGTGTAACCAATACTACCACCTCATCATTCCCCTCCCTCCCCTCCCCCCAACTCCCAACTCCCCTCATGCTTCCCCGTGGAACAATAGAAATGCAGCAATATTCTCTATATCTTCTGCATGCTCATGCTGCGTCAAACAGAACACTCAGCAGACGGGTCCTCAGGCCTGTAGTTACACTAATGCTACACGATACGCGGTTGGGTTGACTCGGTTTGTTGGAGTTACTTGCGGCCGCCCTTCTTCTTGCTCTTGCGGCCGTCGTCGGACAGATCGTCGCCGGCGTCACGGCGCTTTTCGTCGGCCTTCTTAGCCTTGCGCTCCAGCTCGTCCCAGTCGTCCCCGCTCTCGTCGTCGTCCGTAAAGTCGCCCTCGGATCCAGAGCCGTCATCCTCGTCGTAGTCGTCGGACGAGACCTCGCTGTCGTCGCTGGACGCGCCAAAGTCGTCGCTCTCGTCCTCGAAGACCGACCCCTCGGTGCTCTCGTCCTCCGAGCCCGAGTCGCCACCACCAGTAAGGAACTCCCAGCCGCCTTCCTTGTAGAACTCGTAAGGGTTCTCGTTGATGGTCTTCATGATCGCAGGCCACGACAGGTTGACGGGACCCTCCGAGATGGGAATGTCGACCGAGTCCAACCACTCCTTGACGTTGTCGAGGTGGACGACAGGAATGGAGTTGATGGCGATAGGGTTCTTCTTAAAGTCGTTGAGAACAAAGACCATGTCAAAGGCCTTGAGGCCAAACTGCACACGCTCAAAGTGGACAATCTCGACCTCGGAAAGAGTGATGACGGTAGGAGGCCACTCGGTGAGGTGGACGAGGCAGTCGGTGGTGGGCATGAGCACAACGTTGGTGCGGTTGGGAACACCGTTGAAGCCGAGCTCGCGGAAGGGAACGTCGACCTCGAGCTCGTACTGCTGGGTCTGGGCAGCGTCCGAGATGCGCTTGGCAAAGGTCTGGAACATCTTGTCGAGCTCCTGGCGACGCTTGCGGTCCTCCTGCTCCTGCTCAATCTCGTCCTCGTCGCCGTAACGGGCCTTGCGGCGCTTGCCGGTGGTCTCGTCAAAGTTCATGTCGGTCACCTCGCGGAAGAACTGGACGTCAAACGTCTTCTTCTTGCCGATCATGATGGGCGCCTTGAGGTGGACGTGGAGGAGAACGATGAGCTCCTTTTCGCTGGGCTGGAAGAACAGGTGCTTGATGTTGCTAAACAGCAGGTCAATCTTGGCACCGGGGCCGTCAGGGCGGAAGCGGATACCGTTCTGGTGGATCTCGAGGTTGCCGTCCGACTTCTTGCCCTCGGTGGCGGGACGGGGGAAGACGTGCTTGAGCACGTAAGGGTGACGGCCCTTGATCTCGATGAGCTTCTCCTGCTCGATAACATCGGCCATCTCCTTGCGCTCAGCCTCGCGCTTGGTAGCGGCCTTCTTCAAGCCGGTGATCTGCTCAAACACCTTGAGCATGTGGCGCGTGTCTTTGGAGCGGAAAGTGAGGGAGCGGACAAAGGTCGCGTCCGGGTCCTCGAATGGCATGTCCTCCTTCTTGCCGGCAATCTGTCCAGGCGACTGGAAGTTGATGCGGAGAGCAATGTGGGAAGACTCCTCCACCTTGCTCACGTTCTTCACAGTGGAAATGTGGAAGGGAGCGGCAAAGCCGTTGATGGGCAGAACAATGGTCTGGCGATGCTCGTCGACGTAGATACGACGGTCCTGAACAATGCTTGGAAGCTGCTCCTCGCGCCTGTAAGACTCGTAGCGCTTGATGACCTTGTTGTTGCTGTTGTCCTTGCCGCTGCCGCCATTGGCCCACTTCTTGAGACCGTCCGCCTTGCGTTGCCCGTGGAGCTCGTTCTGGTGCACCTTGATGCGCTGAGCAGTGGTAGACTCGACCTGATCGCGCTGCGCACCACGAGTCGCCTTGCCACCGGTGACGGCACCACGCGTCTTGGCGGGTGACTTGTGAGTGGACGACGAGGGAGGCTTGCCGTTGCTGGCGCCGTTCGACTTGGGCTTGGCGGCGGCCTTGACGGGCTTCTTCTTCTCGGGGATCTCCTCCTCCTCCTCTTCGTCGTCAAGCTCCATGACGACATCACGCAGACGGGTGCAGCCCTCGGTGAGGAAGGCACCACTGTCCTGTCCCACCTTGACGGTGTCCGACAGAATGAGCGAGTAGTTGCCCTTCTTGTCGGAGAGGTTCTGGAGACCAATGGTGACGACCAGGACCATGTTCTCCTTGAGCTCACGGTCGTCCTTGGGGCCAAGGAGAAGGGTGCTGTCGCGGTACTCCAGGCCGGTAGCGAAGCCAATGTTCTTGACAAAGGCGTCGCCGAGACCCTTGGCGGTGACAAGCTGGGCGGCAGCGTTGTAAACGTCCTTGATGATGGCGCCGTCCTTGAGCATCTTGAGAACCTCCTGGCGGACCTCGAGAAGGATCTGGAAGTTGGCCTCCTGCTTCTTGCTGGGGCTAATCATGAACGTGCGGGCCATGCTGGCACAGTACGACTTGTAACGGATACCGAGGCTCGACAGGATGACGCCGGGCTTGAGGTTGCTCTCGTTCGAGTAGGCAGAAACACGCAGGTCATAGTCGCCACCGGACTGGATAATTGGCGAGTAGACCCAGTCGGTGTTGGTAAAGTCGACGTCCTTGAGCTGGGGGTTCTTGTTCCACAGCTTCATGTCGGCACCCTTCTCGTCGTTGCCAATCTTCTCCTCGATCAGCTGCGAGAAGGACTCGTGGGTGATGGCGGTACCACGGTCTATCAAGGCCTCCATCTTGGACTTGAAGTAGTGCTGCATGCAGGTCGACGTGAGGCGCGCGGCTGTGACAGTCGCGTTCTGGAATGTCAGCTGAAGAACGTCTGCAGAAGCTCACAATCTCGTCCGCGTCCTTGTCGGCAAGGATCGAAGAGATGGGGATCGTGACGTCGACAAACTCAATGGTCGCCTTGGAGCCACTAACACTAGATGGTCAGTCAGTAAACCCTTCTCGCACACTCGCTGCCATGTCCACTCACCCAGTGTTCCACTCATCGGCGAGCTTGCCCGAGGCCTTGTCCTTGGGAATGTTGCCGACCTTGGAGTCGCTGAGCTCCAGGACGAGGTCGGGGATGACGCCTGCGTGTCAGTTGCAAAGGCGGTCCAGGTAACTCACTGGCAGTAGACTCGTCCTTTGGAGCGCGGACCCGCACGTCAATCTCGATACCAGACTGGGACTGCAGCTGGCGCAGGATCTTGGCTGCAACAAAGTCAGAACTGCGGCAGTACCTTTCCACTACGGTTACTCACCCTTGGACGAGCTGCACACAAAGGTGATCTTCTTCGACGACTTCCAGAAAATGATCAAGGTGGATGGGAACTCGAAGCCGAGAAGGTATGTCTGAGAGGCGAGGGTCAGTGAACCGTTTTGGCGCGCTGCTGAGCACATCATCGTCATCGCGAGCCAGGTGGAGCCGGCTGATCACAATGACGGTGGTGGCAACAAGGAGCTCAAGCTCACCTGGAGAGCAGCAGTCTTGGTGAAAGCGGGAGTGTCATCAGACGCATCTCCAAGGAAGATCTGCAAGGCAGCAGCCTCGCCGAGCACCTGGGTGTCACCAGTTGGCTTCTGTTGCGCCCAACAACGAATGTGAACAACAACAAATGGTGTCATGTGGGGAATCAAGCACACAGGCGTCAGCTACAGCTCGCAATAGTGCTTGTCTTAGCTGGTACTGACCTCCCAGACGTCAAAGATCTTCTTGGCCCGACGGAAGAAGACGTCGTTGTCGAGCTTGACGTCGGACATGGCGCGAGGAGAGAAGGTGGAGGCTGGACGCGGGTCACGAGCTCACGAGGCGTGTCGGGGTGGGTTTGCGAGCGACTTTCCTGAGTGCCAGCCTGTTATCCGCGTGCTGTCTCCGTGGATGGGTGGAAGGGGAGACGGGGAGGGGGTGATGGGAAGACGGAAGGGTGGCGCTGTTGATTGATATGTGGGTGGGACTTGAAGGTGGATGCCATTGAAATGACTGCACACCCGTCCCAGGCGCGTCGCCTCGCCGCCCAACGCGTCAGGTCCACCTCATCTAACCAGCCAGGCGGAGAATTACGGCGTTAGGGCGTGTGGCACTTGTGATTTGTTGACACATTACGAGCGTGCCGAGCTGTGCTGTTCTGCACATGCATTGGGGACAGCAGGGTGACTGGTGACACGGCAGAAGAATACAGATGTCGAGTTACAGCAGATTGCAGCTTGGACAGCGCTGGCAGAGACAATATGGACTCCCAAGGGGGACAGTGGCGATGCTTTCTGGCAGGTGATGGCGTACCGACCAGCCTTGGTCCCCGCCCGTATTGACTCAGAGGTCGAATACATTGTTTGATTGACACTTTCTGACACATTGAGGAGGTAAATGGCGGCTAGTTGACCACTGTGGAGCAGTGGTATCTCACGAAAAGTGGGAACAAGGTGGGAAACACCCATACCACGGACAAGCTGCCCCTCGCCGCTCCTCAAACCTCCCTGGTCTGCTTCCCAACGTCGTCCTCTTCCTCCAGTCTCCTTCTGACCCCCAGAGCATCCCCAGACTTGCAAAAGCGGAGGCCCTCGCCGGGATTTGAACCCAGGACCACTTCCATAGCTAGAGAACGGAGACGAATCCGAAGAGGATTAGAGACCAGTACTGGACCCTAAGAAAGTATGATAGCCACTACACCACGAGAGCCGCTATGCCTGTCTTTTGGCTGATGCCATCACGATTTGGGACCCTTGCGCTCGCTCTACATGTACTACCTAAAGCCTTGATGGATGCCTGGAAAGAGAGACGCATGGAAAGGGGAGTGTCGAGGGAAGGAAGCAGGGAGAGGACGAAGGAGGGACGGAGGAAGAACCCTGATGGATGGTGAAGACTCGCCGGTGCCACACTGGTTCCTTGGACGCGATACTGGTTGTAGTGGGGATTGGGGACGACAGAATACAGGCCTGCAGAGTACTCTGACGAGGATATATCAGTGGGGTCTGCCTCATTCAGTTCCCAGTGGCAGACCTCGAGACTTCGGCGAGTGAGTGCCACCAAAATATGACGTGTTAATGCAATCCGCAGTCGCCGCTCATCTCCCGCCTGCTCTGTAGGCGACACAGTAAATGCAAACGCGACATGCCCAGAGCGCCAGAGCTGCAGTAGAGCTTACTGAGCAGCCCGGGAAGCCCATCCTGGGCCCATCGTGTCCCCAGCCCACCTGTTACTACCAAAACCCGCGGCCACACTGTCAACGTCACCTCCAAACCTCCTCCGGGCCTCCAGAACTGGTTTACCTACTCTCCAATCCCCCAGACACCTTCCCAAGATGCATAGCATGCTCCAGAAGCCAAAAACGAAGGCCCTCGCCGGGATTTGAACCCAGGACCACTTCCATAGCAAGTGAAGGATTAGAGATCCGTCGGATACCCTAAGAAAGTATGATAGCCACTACACCACGAGAGCCTTGATGTTTATGCTTCCGCGGGGGCTGGGCGGTGTTGGGGACGTTCTCTGCATGCTCTTGCATGTTCTACATCTGAACGACGCTGTTCTGTACTGTGTTATGCACCGTGGACAGCCCACGGACGGCGGATACGTGACGAGCAGACCTTTTTTTTTTTTCCTCGACGAGATGGAGAAGATGGACATTCGGGCCGATCGCGGAAGCAGATTGCATGGATTGGCACGCGACTGGCCACGCGTTTCGAGATTACGCGTGGGTAGACCTCCACTTGCGGACCAACAACACAGAACATTCCCACTTTCAACATTGCCCTCACCGTCTCTGGCGCTCATCCACACTCTCACACAGTACAGGATGTCGGGATACATTGCGCCGCTCCTGTGGTCCTTCCTCCCAGGGCAGGTGACCAACGCCATCCTCCCGACGCTCATGGGCATGTTCCCGCGCCTCCTCCCTCCATCCCAGCCAGGCTCGCCGGGATATCAGCGCAACTACCGGCACGTCATCACTGCGCTCGTGCTCGGATGGCTGGTGTGGGCGTTTGTGTATGAGCAGAGGAGCTCGGATGCGCGCGATGCGTACAGGTTGCTCGGGGTGGGATACACGGCGGCCGACGACGAGCTGCGTCGCGCGTTCCGTCACCTGTGAGCTTAATGACGGTGTTCACAAAGCTGACAGACAGGTCGAGGACGTACCACCCCGACAGGCTTGGTCCCCACCCGCCTCCCGAGGCCGAGGCCAAGTTCATTGTCATTCGCCAGGCTTACGAGGTGCTCACCGACCCGGTTAAGCGGTTTGCGTATGACAGGTGAGTGGATGCCGAGAGCTGTTGTTGTCCGCTTGTGGTGGTCCGGTACTGCCTAGCCGCTGTGCCGTACGCTTCACGGCTATCTTCTTGGCCATTTTGACTTCTCGCCGCCGCCGACTGGCGCTGACATTCAGGTTCGGCCCTAACATGCTCGCCTGGACCAAGCTCGAAAGCACGCGCGATTACGTCCAGGCTGGTGCCCAGAACGCCGCCACGTTCTACGCCATGAGTATCGCCGTGATGCTCCTCCTCGCTCTCCTCGGTCGTGCGCGTGCTGGTGCCTACGTGAGCAAGCGTGTTGCCAAACTCCTGCTGACTTTACCACAGTGGCGCAACATTCTCCTCGGCCTCGCCGTCGTCCTCGAGGCCACGCTCGTCCTCACGCCTACACCTTCTCTGGACGCTCCCTCGTTCTTTGCCCCGATCCTTGCCGTCTTCCCTCGCCCACTTGCGCGCCTGCTCGCCCCCTTCGTTCCCGGCTTCATCCTTCGTCGACCAGCCTACATGCACATTGCGCTCGTGCGCCGTGTGTTTGCGGACGCGTCCGTCGCCATCTCCCAGCTTACTGGTGTGTGGTCTGAACCTGAGAATGAGACGATGCGTGCCCTCCACAGCCTCGCAGCCGGCATCAATGCCGAGTCTCTCAAGGACTTGGCAGAGGAGGTCGGGCCCGTGCTGGGTGGCACGACGGATGTGACTGCCGCGGAACGCAACCTCCTCCAACGCATGGACCAGAGTGAGTGCAGTTGTTCGAACTTGAAGAGCAGTCTCAACTGACCATGACAGTCCTGCTCGACCGCGCACTTGCGGGTCACCCACTCATCGCGCCAGCTTATAACGCTGCGCTGCGCGAAACCGCCCACGTCCCGGCGCAGGTCCACATGGACTCGACGGGCCAGGGCCACATCCACCCAATCGTCAGCGGTGCCAGCGCGAGCGACGCAAATGCGACCTCTGGCGCACAGATCGAGCCTTCCCGCGACGGCGACCTGTCCATTGCGGCGTCTCTCCCTCTGCCACTTTCGCGCGCGCCCAGCCCCGCCAACGGCAGCACGGCTGAGGCGGTTCCCTCCCGCTCCAAGAGGCAGGCCAGCGTGACTGCCAGTCCCAGTGCGCGCCGCCGTAGTGCGCGGTTGACGGGCGCGTGAGTGTGTGGAAGGAAAAGGAGGTTTGTAGTGCTCGTACATGCCACAGTTGCGGTGTGGAGAGTCTGCCTCGGGTCCAGCGACTGCCACTAATGACGCGGCGGCGGAGCTCCTTCGTTTGGCAATGACAACGTTTCGCTCGGCAGAGGCTTATTTGGATCTGTGACGCCAGTCGAGGGAGCACATCGTCAGAGCCACACCCAAACGCGCCCGCAACTTCGCACCCCCCCCCCCCCCCCCCTCACCCTGTGTTTGCTGCCATCTGCATCCCTGCCAGGCCAAGCAAGAGCCAAGGGCTGGGGGGGAGATAAGTTGCTATCAATACAAACGCCCGGGCGCCGTGCCATGTTGGTTGTGACCGGCCACTTGCTATCCGCCCCCCACTGATGTCGTGTGCCCAGGGGTGTCCCCAGTGTGTGCCAAGCACTGTACGAGCACTGGTACCGCATAGCCAGTCTCAGGTTCGATGATTCACAGCAATGTACAGTACACCTAACCTTGCGATCTGGCGTATCCGGTTCGGCGGCCGGTATACACGGCCCACCAGCAGACCGCAGCCGATAGAGCACCCATGGTGTTAGTTAGGATCAGGTTTATTGCGGTACAGTACAGTACGTTAGCTCTGTAGAGCTCTGTAGGACTGGTGGACTGGTGGAATCTACAGGAGCATACCGTCATCGATAGCAACCCGCTAACCATGATCGCAAAGGTTTACACTGCCTCGATCGCAGCACCACCAGATCCAAGGTGCAAGGCCTCAATGTACTGTATTGTGCGTACGTAGTGTGCGGTGTGGCCTGGTGTGATCAAAGGGCACGAACCGCAGTGCACGCGGTGGCATCGCGGCCGCACCAGCACGGCCAGAGCACCAAGATCTAGAATCATCAGATAACACGCTCCTGCATTCTCTGTTGCCCTGTCGCTCTCGTGCGACGCGACGACACGGATCCAACCAACTGCCCCAGAATCTCTCTATCCTGCGTCGACATCGCATCGGCTGGTCCTCTGTCTCAAAAAGGGCATACGCAGCGATCTCTGGGATGCACTGCACAGCACGGCACAGTACGTACGTGGTCGCCATGCGCTGCGGCGGCCGTGGAGGGTCCGGAGGGTCTGGAGGCTGCGAGCTGCGCGCTGCGGGCCGTGGCAAGCGAGCCGCGAGCCGCGAGCCGCGTGGCGGACGGTACGCCAGCCAGTGGCCAGTCATGCTGTGAGAAAGTGGACGCACTGTGCCACATGTAAAGCTCTCTGCATTGGTGCCCTGCGCAGGGGGGCAGTCGCACCGTTGGTGTCAGATTGTACGTTGTCTGCAATTGTCTGGCATGGCATACGTCAGGGTGTTCCGGAACAGCTTTCAGAATTTCAGTACGACGTCAGCATCCGCGGCCGGGCGGTGTGGCGTGAGGCGGCACGGCACGGCGCACGCACGCACGCACGCACGCAGAGTGTGGGTGGGTGAATGGGGAAAACGAACCCCTTTTGGGATGGTGCTGACCACTGTCTGCAACTGCAACTGCATGCAACTGTGATGTGACACTGCCGCCCAGGAATAAGCGGTACCGTGTGGTGAGATTCCAACACGCAGGGACAGGCCCTAGGCCCACTGTACCGAAAACGTGCTCGAGCATGGCGCATCAGGACGGTGTGGTCCGACCGCGCCGTGCCGTGTCCCGTCCCACTCCCCAGGTTTTTCCAAGCTTCGGCCAGTGGCCAGGAGTGCAGGACCGTACAGCGGCCCAGTGGCCCAGTGGCGAGCGGACGGGCGCGCATAGTGGAAGCCTGTCCTGGGAATGAGGACCTGGAGGTTGGGTGTGGCGCTGCTCTGTGCCACCTGTGCGGGTGTGGGGTGTGTGCCACGCACCCGCCGCGCCGCCGGCGCGCCGAGTCGCTGTTCCCAGGACATTGATTGTGACATTGTGCATTGTGTCGGCCGTCTCTCATGCACGGTCCCTGTCGTCTGTCTGTCGCCCGCCATCGCCCGCCATCGCTCCATGCGAAAGACATCAAATCATCCTCACACGTACATACAGTACATTCGTACAATTGACCGACGAGGGGAGACCGGAGAGACGGGGGTCTGGAGCCCAGGAGCCCACAGAGCCAGGAAAAACCCCTACAGGATCCAGGATCCAGGTGAGATCAGCGCAATGAACGAGCCTGACGTCTGACTGACATTGTGCATGTGCTGGGGGGTGCGGTGCTGCTGACGTGGCTGGCGGTGCTTTTCGCCTGCTGCTCGCTCGCTGCGCTCGGCTCCATTTTGTCCCTGGCATATGAAAACAACAAGAGTCTTTCATCATGAGAAGTGTCCTGTCCTACTACGTACTCGCCTCGCGCGGGGGGGCGGGGCGGGTGGATGCTAGTCTAATGCAAAGTGTGTATGGGTGTACGGTGCGTACTGGGTAAGGGAGAGACGGACAGTGAGACAAAATATGGCACAGATGAGGCGCAGGTCCGCGCTTTTGGAAGCCTTGGCGGTGGCCACATCACACACACACAACGGCCTGCAGGGGTGGCGAGGGGTGGGAGGGTGGGAGGTTACATGGTGGCGCAGTGCGCGTGCACCACACCACGCACCGTTGGTGCACCACTACGGCCCGTCGCGAGGGATGTGCTGCGCCGAGACGTGACGCGGCGTGAAACAACCCCAACGGCCCGCTAGCGGCGGGTATCCACGTCGCTGGGAGGGCGGTCCACTAGCAGGCGCTGCTCGATGAGCTGGGCCACGTCTTTGCCGCTGATGGGGATCTCGTTGCCTTGGAAGCCCTCGGGATAGGCTACGGGCGGGGTGTTGGGGGCCGTAAACGACTCGTTGCCCCACCAGCCGTAGTGGCGGATACCGAGCGCGCGCGATGTAAACTCGTAGTCCTCGGCGAAACCACCTGGATGGGGAGTCAGTGGTCTGAAGGCAGCAGCATGTTATCTCGCAAGTGCTCACCTGGGAAGAAGAACTCCATAACGGTGGCGCGCGGGTTGAGGTTGTTCATCCAGATAAGATGGGTCAGACCGTTACCGTGCACGCCCATCATGATGGTGGTGCGGGCAGCGAGACGGATCTGCTCGTCACGAGTGAGCTTGTCCATGGCGACAATGTGGACCTGGAGGGTTAGCTAATCAACGCGGAATGGCTTAGCTGTACTCACCTCCCATCCATACTTCTTCTGCAGCTCGTTGAGGTGCTGGACGAGCTCGTCGTGGTCCTTCTTGATGAGCATACGACGGCCCCAGTCCTGACGCGAGACGTAGGTGATGACGGGGTTACCGGGCGAGTGTTCACGGCGGGTGCCGAGGTCGACGCGGCGCTCGGGAATGACACCACGCTTGGCGAGCGCGGGCGAGTCGTCCTCGGGGTCCTCGGGGACAGCGGCACGGCGGACAAACTTGGGCACGTCCTTGACGACGACGCCGCCGCCCTCCTCGATCAGGTCGTCCTCGTCCTCGTCGTCGACACCAAACTCCTCGAGGTTGATCTCGGTGGTGCCCGAGCTCGAGCCAACAAACTCGAGGAGGTTGCGGCGCATCGGCGACCACCAGTACCGGCTGCCGCCGAGGGTGGCTGCCTCGGACGCTGTACGCCACGTCTTGGCAAACTCGGGACCGCGGAAGGCGGCAGCGCGGTCGGCAAAGACGACGCGGTCGAGCATGTACGCACGCTGGGTGTCGGAGCGGTCGAGGAAGTCGTTCTGGTACTCGTACGACATGGACGGGAAAATGGCGCGCGAGAGGAACGAGTTCATCTTGGCGTAGTCGTTCCACTTGCCGGCCGCGACGTGGGGCATCATCATGCGCGCCGGGGACGGCAGCTGGGTCTGGCCGGCGGCGTTGATTCCCGGGTCGAGCGACGAGTATGTGCGCCAGAGACCGAACAGGAGCTCGGCGGCAAAGTGGTAGTAGTGGTCGAGGAACTGGGGTGGGTCGTTGACGAGGAACGTGACGCCCGAGATGCGCGATGCCGACTGGCCCCACAGGCGCTTGGCCGCCGACGGGAAGATGATCTGCATGTCCTTGTCGGTGGGCTCACGGCGGTTGATGGACTCCTCGTCGTTCCAAATCTCAGCGCCGGGCGAGGTCATCATGCGCAAGAGGGGGATGGTCGACGGGTGGTCGGTGACAATGTACCAGGTGCCGTTGAAGAGGTAGACCTGGTCAAAGACGGTCCATCCTGATGTGCGTTAGCAAGAGGGGGGGGGGGGGGGGCACCACATGTTCCAAGATGCTTCTGATGCACTTACCTGGTGCGTGTGCGGCGACCTCTGTCCTCAGCGCGCCCTCATCGCCCCACTTGACCTTTGCCTCGGAGACGCCAGCAAGGGGACGCGCCAGGTGGGAGGACACGCCGTCGGACACCCAGCCGCCCTTTTTGCCAGTGCGGCGCGAGGACTCTCCGGGGCGACGGCCTCCGATACCGAGCTTGAAGCCCAGAAGAGAGTCTGAGCCCTTGGAGTCTGTGAAGCGGAAGGAGAGGTCGAGCTGGAGGAACAGGCCAAAGATGACGAGAACCATCATGACCAGGAGGAGGTCCCTCCTGGTGGGGTGCCACCCGGACATGCTGAGCAGCGGCCGTATAGGAGAGAGGGGGGAGCGGGGGGAGAGACGGGGGGAGGAGCGGGGGGAGGAGCGGGGGGGAGTATGGTACCCTATGGTGGATGATGTGGTGGGTGGATGAAAGGCAGTCAGCCGGGAAGAGGGTGCGTCTGGAAACGCAGCGGCGGCGGCGGCGGCGGCAGCAAAGCGAGGCCTCACGGCACCTGCGACGGGCGGCGACGACACGGGTGGCGGGCGGACGGCGGGTTCGTTCTATTCAAAAACGGGGACGCAGCACGCAGCAGACGCCGGGAAACGGGACGCTGTCGTCAATTAACGACGGGAGATGCTGGTCGTGTGTCGGTTAAAGATGCAGTACACAGTCCGTGATCCGTGTGCTGCGGCGGGGAACGTCTTGGTGGTGGGGTCGAATGGCGCGGTGGGAGACGGTAAAAAGGACCGGCCCACGGTAAATACAGTCTAGGTTCTTGGGTGCGGTGTAGGTCGAGGACGACGGGCCAAGTGAAAGAAGCGAGTTGCAGTTGTGATGGGTGGTGAGGATGCGATGTGAAAGATGATGGAGCCTGAGATGTGACGAGGATGTGTGGTGATCAGAGAAGGGGCCAAGGGGGGGCACGGAAAATGAAGGACGGGGGAAAGATAAGTGTGTGTTGCAAGATGACATTGCAACTGCCCGTTTTTACATCTATCTCTCTCTCCCGCTCACACTCGGCTCTGCTGGATCTGCGACTGACACCTCCGTCGGCGTGTCTCTAGCGGCGACGACGCCCACCACTGCTTTCTAGGCGCAGGTGGTCTGTGCATACGTGCATGCGCGCTGCACATGTGCGACGGGGGTGTACCAGGCCAAAGCGGCACTGCTCAGCTGCCGAGGCGCTCGCTGCCCAGGCCTCGACACGACCTGGACAAGCTTCCAACGCCCAGTCCCTCGACCCGACCAAGAGCGCGAACGCACGGCGTACGCGGCGTACGCGGCGTCGCTGTACGCACGCAAGAGGCGCCACAGCAGCAGCAACACGATAAACCATTGCTCACGCTCTCTCATTCTCGCTCTCTCTCTCTCGCGCCGATCTCGATCCCCCGCACCGACGCTGCCGTTGCGGGGTATATACAGGTGTGCGACGCTGGGCGGGTGGGAGGAGAAACACGCGCGCTCGGATGCGACTGCCTGCCAGCTTCTTGCCCTCTCTGTGTCTCTCTCCCTGTGCCGCCGCGAGCCTGAACGATGGCAGTGTAGCCGAGACAAACAGGGGGCCAACCGAGCAAGCGCACATTTCAAACGCGCTGGCATGGTGCGTCCGACCACACCAACGTCCCCTCGTCCCGCCCACACATACTCCGAACGGTCCGTCTGAAAAAAGCAAAACCCTTTTTTGCTTGCGACAGCATGTTGCATGTGGGCGAGGTGTGTCCCTTGTCCTGCTCGGCCCGTCTGGCCGTCCGCCTGCCTTCTCCCCCATGCATATGGGCGGGCATGGTGCAGCGACGTGGCATCGCCCTTGTCCACCCTTTGGCCCAACCTTTTTTTTTTTTCCTTCTCTTCTTGTCCTTGGAACAAGGCCTCACCCGGCCATCAGGGCCAAAAGCCCCCCGTTCGGCCCCCCTCAAACGACTACCCGCCTTTTCCCTGGTCGCAGGATGGCAGGCCGACCCAGAACTCGGCCGTTCGCTGTCCCCATGCACGCCCTTTGTTTGTTCTCTCCTATCAACCTTCCCGCAGTCACCGGAAACCCAGGAATGTGCATGTCGCTTCGTCTTTTGCTTGGCACGCGCTCTCTGGCACACGGGCACACGCATTGCTCACCACTGGCCACTGGCCACTATCGCGCCTCGCCCCTGCGCGCCAGTGCGCCAGTGCGCCAGTGCACGGCTTCTGGTCCGGTTATGCCGTGGCGCGTGGCGCTTTGGACCACCTCGGTTCCCGGGTGGCGGCGGCGTACTGTTTGTCCTTGCCCATGCTCTGCCTGGCGAACACTGGTCACAGTGGGCTATAGTTAGCAAACCCGCAGTCTTGCGACGTTCCCGCAGACACACTGCATCTCGCCCGGTTCCTACAATCAGTCACACTCTGGGCGCAGACCTGACGACGCAGCCAACAAACAACATTACACTGCGGCGCGCGCCAGGTCCAAGCCCAAAATGTGGTTCTTGGCCACTCGCGTCTCCAATCTCCCGTTCCTTACACCTTCCTCATCCGTATCGCCCCGCCCATAGAGTTGTCTCATGCCTCGCCGCTGGGAATCTTGGGGTTACAGACACCGGGGGGGAGACCGTATCCAACGCGTCTTGAAAATGAGGTATAGTTCCTGTGCCGTTGCCGGTCGCACTCTCTACTGCCGCAAGGAGCCGCGTTGCCGATGACGATAGCCTGCTTCGTGCCGTTGGGAGACGGCAGTCCGCGTCGCGTTTGGACGCGGTCCTCCTTCCAGTGGCGGGTTGCGACCTCGGCCTCCTCGTTCCTCTGGCCGCGGGGGTTTCCGAGCCAGTTCCGGTGGGGTCTGTACGTCAGCGATCCGATATGAGGGTGTGTACGGCCGTGGTGGACCCCAAGCACCATTGTCTCCAAAGTGCCGTCAACGAGTCGGCCTCTCGTAAACGCGTCCCGGAGATCCAGAAGCCGGCTAATTTACCTTCCCGCGCCAACTTTAGCTCCGCACACGACACGCAGGGGATATGCAATGTGTGCGTGGGCCAGACCCCCACCGGCCACCGGCGCGCTGGCGTATTCCCACTCGGTGATCTGTGACATATGTACACGCTACATGTTGCCAGGTTTCGAGGCTAGCCCAAACACCCATATTTCGTGAGGTGCGAACACGAGACCACAGCCGGCATCCCCCAAGCGATGGTACAGTAACCGCCGGCTGTACAGGTCGGCCGGACGTCGAGCTTCGAGCGTCGAGCTCCTGGCACAGCCGACAGCCGACAGTCGTTCTCGTTGCGCAAGGAGGCGTTGGCGCCATCGTGTAGCCTGTTACATACGTCTTATCCACCCGTCCGAGGTCAAGGCCTTGTGCTTCATGGCGTGTGTCTGCGCCACACACCACATCTGGGCCAGGAACTACTCCCCATCGTTGGTCTTCCATACAGTCCTGTCATGTCGGGACGAAGTACGACCTCGTCGTCGGTAGTTGATTGAAGTGAAGTCGGGGTCAAGGATAACGATAACAATAAGCGCTGTGGCTGGGCCAGTTGTCGTCTTGTGCCGGGCTCTCGGATGATACACACTGGTCTTGCAGTCGGGTAGTCGGGTAGGGCCTCAACGCCTACCGTACCTCGACTGCCACACTACTCATCGCTGACATTGTGGCAGCCCAAGATGATTAGGCATAAGCGACCTCTAAGAGGGACGGGCTGTCGGGAACATTACCTGCAATATCCACAACACGTGTGGAGAGTAATAAGTACCGGCATACTGTACAGCCCGTGTGACTCGGTGTCACCGTCTCTCAGAGCAGGAACTCGGGCACGCAGGTCATGTTGTGGATTCACTCAACGAGCACTGGCTGGAGCGCTGGACACGGATTGTGCAGACGAGTCGCTTGTACAGATACTGTGGCGTTTTCAATGTGGCTTGGCTGTTTGCTCCCCGGCGTCCCGGTCAATCCATCCCAGATCCCAAGACCCGATCAATCAAAATATCTACACCCAGGCCCCTGCCGCGTCCTCGTGTAAACCCCACCGCGTACCCTTTACACCGCCCGGAGGCAACTCTAAAGGGCGGCGCGTGAACGCATGGTTTGCGGCAACGTCCGTCTAATTCGGCTCATGTACTGTACGCTCTCCCCGGTGAAATATTGTGGCACACTTCCCCGTTCGAGTATACAGTACTGCCCGCCACTGGCGCTCCGTAATCTCCACAACTGTGCACATGGGCCAGTAAGAGGTGAGAGGTAACGCCGTCCCGGGAGCGGAGTCGCAGTGAGCACACTCTCCGTGGCCCAACGGAGGTGCCAAAACTACTCTTGGTGCCGGTACCGAGGAGTGACGGCTGACATCCGTCGGTTTTTTTTGTGCGCACATGTCCGTGTTCCGTTCCGTTGGACGCGCGTCCAGGTGGCTAGGAACCGCATTCGGGAGACTGGGGTGCGTATCAGGTCCTGGTCCAGGATCCCACCCGCACCGGAGACGGCGACGGCGCGTGTATATATGTATGTACATATGTACGCGCATGTGGGCGTCGCGTGCTGAGCTTCACGCAAGTCTTGCCAACGGGTTCGGGCAAGGAGCAGACTTGAAGCCCACTAATTGCCATCCGCTGCGCGGGAGGCACAGGTCGTAACTTGACGGTCCCACGCCGGCCAACTCGTCTCGGCGTGAACAGCAAAGAGTCAAGAGCGCAATAACGTGTCGTGCTCCTGTGTCCGCGTGTCCGTGGCAGTCGTTCCCAGAACAGTCGTCCAGTGACATGGCAATCAGGTGCTTGACGTGAACATGAAATGCCTCTGGCAGCAATAACAGAGTCGCAAAAACACTGGCCAGTGTTTATTACTTTCTATCACTGTTTGTTTGTTTGTATTACGGTTCACAGATCTACTTTGAACTCCGGCACTTATCGGTAATATACGTAGTTCGTGTTTCGATCTCCTGGACTCGAACCCCGGCCGTTGTGGTAATATACGTGGTTCTTTATCCCAGGGCACTTTAACGGATATGCTAACGAGCGACTATATCTGGGAGGATGATTTAAATCCAAAGTACCGCTCAGCCTCAAGTTGGTTGGCTCTGAACAATCGTTTGGCTCTACAAGCCTCACCGACAGTCACCAGCGCCTTCGGTGGCAGGGGCCGTCCGTGGCAGGGCGTGTACAGCTAGAGACATTTGTGTCTGGGTGCAGCAGGAACTGGTCCTAGGGACACTTTGAAGGGTGGTCACTCCAGGACGGGGGTAGCGTAGACAAGCACGCGTGGCAACGCTGACAACTTCTCGGCTGCTTCACCGGCAGCACTGTTTAGGTTAGCGGTGACTGGTTAGCAGCGTGAAGCGCACCGTTAACGGAGACGAGGGGAGAGCCCTTCCTGCCCATAGGGGGTGTGTTGTGCATGGGATACAGGTCCTGCTCGGAGAAGTGGTATGACGGTGCGCAAGTACGCCATGACGATGATATGTTGCAACTCTTTTTTTGCCACATTTTTATCTTTCAAGGCTCACATGAGAATGCGGGCGGGCAGAAAAGGGAGGTCGAGCTCCTGCTCTGAGCGCTCGGTAAGTTGTGGAGGCATGTCTCCACGAGAGGTATTGAGATGCTCAAAAGACAACATTAAACATGGCATGTGTGGAGACAACAATGGCCAAGATATATCCACCTTTTTTCGACTTGTCAATCGCGTCCTCAATCCACTTTGTCCCCAGTACACATCCCACACCTAGGTGCCAGCATAGAATCATGGAATAGAACTCGAAGCTGGCAACCAAACGAACGGACGGACATTCCTAGGAGACCTCATCAGCTTTTTTTTTTTTTTTTTTTTTTTTGTTGTGGCAGTCACATTGTATACCCACCAACCGCTAATTCGCCAGTCGCGCGCCGCATCACCCAGCGCGATCCACCTACACTCCACACGCCCCGGTCAACCTTCACCGACCCATGTGTGGCGACGGCAGCCCGAATGGTGGCACCGGTATTCGTTGCCGGTGGTCAAAGTGTGGCGTGGGCGGGAAAGGAAAGGACACGGGCGCCACCGCCGTCCAGGAAAAAGAACAAAAGCAGCAGAAGCAACAGCAGCAGAGACCACATGCAATCATGCAACAGTACTTGAGTGCTCGAGGTGCTACGGGGGAGCCTTGGTGTACACACACAGCTCCTGCCGCGACTACTGCGCTCCCGACGGTTGCGCTCCGCCACCGGGGAGAAGCACCGTGACGGCGAGCTAGTGACAGTAGCACTGTTTTCTCTTGGCTACCATAGTTTCACGTTCTCGTGTTGATGCACAGTCCCTGTGGTCCGTCAACGACGCCCAGCGACCGTACGCGACGCCCCGGTCTCGCTCGGTAGCGACCGAGAGTGCGGTGGCAGATCAAGGAGCTGAGGGGACTAGGAATCGGTCTCACTGGCGGCGTCGCGTCGCGCGTCCGCCTGCAGCCTGTTCGGTTCCCTAGGATGCCTCGGCCCTCTCGGTCCCTTTGAGGTTGGGCAGGGCAGCGGGGTATGGGTCGTCCTCACTGGATCACTACTGGACGATGAATTCGATGCAAGCTTGACCATTGCTCCCGAACATGTTCCGTGCGTCTGCACACCGCTGCACCAGACGACAGGCCGCCGCGTTCGTTCTGGAGATGCTCATTTCGCATCACGCAGATATCTGTACTGTACAACAAGTCTTCTATCGCGTCACTACCTCTTGTGCCCTCTTGGATCCAAGTCACGCCCTACTCGTCCGTCTTGGCCGGGGGCACGCCGCAGGGCTGGAGCATGCGCTGGAGAATATGGTCAGCTATGCAGTCCCTCGTGCAAGAGGCCAACGGCGTTGGGGCCATGCTCACCTCCAAAACCTCAAAGCGCTCGCGAGCCTGGCACTCGCCATCGGCGATGGAGAGGTATGCCAGCAGTGGCGGGTGGCCGACGATGGAGGACAGCGTGTCGCGGTGCTGGTTGGTCAGGAGCTCGTACTTGGTCGTGTCGGCGTGTCCGGTGCCGGTGTAGCGCGCATGGACTGTGGTTTGTTAGCATGTTGACTGGGTGGGTGTGGGAGGGCGTGTGTGGGCAGGTGTGTGAAGGGAGAACGGGAACAGTGGGGGGAGAGCGCGCCAGGACGGATCACGATGTATCAAGAAGCCGACCCGAGCCACGGCAAGTGTACGATGTACGACTGGGGCGCCCCGCTCATTACATGAGCCATGCCGATACCGCCGCAGCGCAAACGGTGTGGTGCAAAGTCCCGCCAAAGGAAGAACAGAACGGTGCCAGCATCACCCCGGGTCTCCGGGGAACCAGCGTAACGGCTGCGCAAAGCGGCAACTGACTCCACCGTACACGTCGAACCGGCGGCAGCATCAGCCGTCGAGGCCAGAGACCTCGCCCCGGCAAATGTGTACTGCAACAGTACGGCGTGGACGACATAGCTGTTCAGCCAGGGCGCGAGGTGAAGGCCAGCCTGGCAGGGAGGAGCTAGATGGACCATCGAGTTCGACTCAAGGTTGACCCAAATGCGTCCACGCGCCTGTCCTGCACCGCGATGTATCGTCACCCCAGTCGCTGGCCTTGGCCTTGTAGCTTCTTCCTCCGCAAGGTCGCCATCGACGGCTCCGTTGAGTTGTCCAGTTGTGCGACTCAAATAGAGCTCGCCAGCTACAGAGCTCGCTGGAGGTCCGTCCGCTGCTCGCCCGGACAGATAGACACAGGGTGGACGTCACGGCAACGCGGGATGCAGCCTGGATTTGCTGTTATCGAGGTCATTGTGACACCAGGCCAATGGGTGGGCCGTCGCAGAGGGAGCTTGGCAATGAAGCTCCTCCGCGTGATAACACTCGGAGTACGAGCCTGGCGACACGCGTTGGCCGCGAGGAAGGAAGAAAGGGATACTGATACGCACGCTGCTCAAGGGAGGTGTTGGCGGTGTAGCGGAGCTCGGACTGGGTGCTGTCAGCTTCCAATGCAAGTATATTAGCTTACCATTGCTGTTTGTTTGATGCTGACGCTGGTTGCTGCAGTTGGTTGATGGACGAGTTGTGTGCATGAAACGCGGGTGGCCAACTGGAATTCAAAGTGCCACACTCGATAACGCCGAGAGGAGCTCACGGTCTCCTGCCTGTCGCTCACCACCACCGACGCTGCCACCACCGTACACCATACACCATCCACATCCAGCAGTCTCAGCGCTCACACACAACACCCATCCTCACCTACTACCTACCTCCCGCCCCTCCAAGTGAGCACCGCGCCGCGCACATCCGACTCGCGCGCACGCTCGGCCGTCCATTCCGACCCACGGGCTGACCCTCTCTCCTTCCTTACGCGCTCCCCCTCCTTCGCCGCTCGCCTTCCTCTCATCACAACCAACTCCCTATCCACATCGCCCAACGATGCAGGACTCAACAACAATGAATCGAGCAGGTGGTGAGCCGCACGTTTGCCGGCGCCGCGTTGCGTGCACACCAAAACGCGCTCCGAGCTGCCCTCCACCCACCCGCACCACTGACACGCATAGGCCAACCACGACAGGCGGCACCAGTACCCGCCGGTTACCGGTCCGCGCAGCCACCGACGCCTAGTGCAGCAAACGGCATGTACTACACGTCGTCTGGGCAACACTCAAGTGGCGGCGGCGCGCCCACGCCATCCCGCGGTGGTCTGATGGGCCAGCAGCAGCAGCAGCTCGGCTCCTTCCCGCCTTCCTCGACACTTGGACGCGGCGGACCTCCTGGCTTTGGTGGACGCGGAGCGGGTGCGTTTGATGGCGATGGGACAGAGAGCGTTGTACAGAGAGAGAGAAAGAGAGAGACGCAGCAGCACACATGTGCCAGAAACACGGTGCATGACGCACCTGTTGAGGACGGTCATTTGTGTGCTGCTGCTGCTGTTGCCGCCCATCCCCGTCGTTCTGTGAGAAGAGGGGCGTAATCATCTGACACAATGCAGATCCAAACGACTTCCCCGCGCTCGGATCTCACAGCCAGCTGGGCGGCAACTCGTCATATGCTGCGCAAGCTCAACCTTCAGGCGGCTCCAACCACCTCCAGCAAATGTTCCTGCATCAGCAGCAACAGATGGACTCGAGTCTCCCGCCACCGCCGCCTGGTCTCGCAGGACCCACATCCTCGTCCACCCAGCAGCCCAACGGTGCGCCATCTGGCGGCGAGGGATTGCGAGACGACTTCCCCGCATTGGGGGACAAGGACCAGAGGGTGCGTTAATTTGCCACCTAACTTTGTGGGGAGTGGAATGCTGACACTCGTCAGGTGGTCAACCTCCTTAAGATGGGTGGAGCACCAGGGCCAGCGCAGCCCAGTTCTCCGCAGCAGTCTCTGAACGGGCCTAGCACTTCCCAGTCGACATCTGCGACACCATCGTCCAACCCCCCACACCTCGCGTCCGCCGGCGGCCCTCCCTCAACGACTGACTCGTCATGGGCCCGTCAATCTCCTTCTCGTCCGAACGAGCCTCTCGTGCGGCCGGTGCAGCAGATCATGTCTTCACCCGTCGACAAGTGGGGTCTCAAGGCATTGCTGTACGAGATTCGCACCCAGATGGGCAAGGGCGACCGCGGAATGCTCATGTTTGGCGAAGACCTGAATGACTTGGGCGTGGACGTTGCCGCGTCTGAACCCCTGTATTCGTCATTCGTGACACCATGGGCCGACCCGAGCTCAATACAGCACCCGCCTCAGATCGAGGACATGTTCGTCATCCCATCGTGCTACCACGTCGTTCCTCCACCCGTGGAGACCAAGCTGCCCAACTTCTCCGAGGAGACGCTCTTCTACATCTTCTACTCGGCGCCTCAAGACGTCGCCCAGCTCGCCGCTGCTGAGGAGCTCTACAACCGTGGATGGCGCTTCAACACAGACCTGCGTGTATGGCTCACCTCGGGTCCCCTCTCGCAGATTGACCTGCACAACGACGCCAGCTCGCGCCCCCAGGCCGTCCGTGGACCCTTCACCGTGTTCAACCCCGCCACCTGGTCGCGTCAAGACACTGCCGCCGACTTTACCATCGAGACCCACTCGCTCGAGGCGACGCGTCCCGCGTCTGCCATCGCTGCTGAAAAGTCGTCGCGCAAGGAGGCTGTCCGCAGCCCCAACGGCAACAACAACGCCGGCCTCCTGTCTGCCGTGATGGGCAGTGGCAACGAGCCGTACCAGAACATGCAGGTCGCCCATTAGGGCGCGCGGTGCGAGAGCCCCTGTGACCCCGAGACCGTCCGCTTTGAGCGAGAGCGAGAGCGAGAGCGAGAGCGCGATATAGCATATGCAGGCATCGGACCTACGCGCGATGCGATTTTATGTGAACACGTTCATGGCTGTGCAGATAACGGAGCAATGGAGTTAGGGAGTCGAGGAGCAGCGCACGGGCAGTAGATAGCAGTCTGTAAAGGGTTCTCTCACATTTCTCGGTTCCGGAGCCGACTCGAGCGGACATGCAGGTCGAATCTCCGCAAAATCGGCCTCCAACCCTGTCGATATTTGGCCACTCATATCGACACGCCCCCCTTGTTCATCAACGTTCATTACCCACCTAACAGCACACCCACACTCACTCATGCGCCAGACATTTGGCGATTTCTTAAACCAGGGCGAACCGTCTACCCCGCGTGGACGCGGTCGCGGCCGGGGCGGGGGTGGTCGCGGCGCGCGCGGCTCGCCGTTCGGTGGACGCGGACGCGGCGGCGGCGGGGCACGTGGGGGACGCGGCGGCGGCTCGTCCTTTAGCGCCGACTACAGCAACGTTGGGCTCGACTACGACAAGGTCAACACCCGCGCGGCAGGCGGATACATTCGCAGCGACCGTGAGCTCTGCCGACCGTATGAAAGGGTTGAGCTGACATGTCCACACAGAATACACTGCCCAGGTACAGCCGTTCGGTCCCGGCAATCGAGCCGATGGCGACTCGACGCGCGGTCGTGGGCGCGGCGGAGGCCCAGGCGGAGGCGGGCGCGGAGGTGGACGCGGCGCTCGTGGAGGGTTTGGATACCGCGGCGGAGCGGCCGGCGGCGCTCCTGGCTTTGCGCGTGCTCCAGGCTCGGCGACGGCGTCCCCAGGACCCTCTGGCGCCGCGACGCCCGTCACGGGCGGCCTCGGGTTCCACCGGTCCACCATGCACGCCCGCGTGGCTATTACGGCCTCGCGGGTTGGTGCGGACGGCGTGGTCACGTGGGGCGGAGGGCGGGCGCCGCTCTTCGTCAAAGCGGGCGAGCTGTTCAAGGAGGGCGAGGTCGATGTGGTGAAGCGCGATGGCGGTGAGTGGCTAGTGGCGGGGGCGGGCGCCTGCACGCACGGAACACTTTTTGTGAGCAATTCTAACGCTAATGGCAGACGTCCTCCGCGTTCAAGTGTACCCCATGGATGACCCCAGCGCGCCGCAGATGACCGACCTGCATGACGATGCCGAAATCGACATTGAAGATGGCGAGAGCACCGAGGCCATTCTGGGTCTCGTCGAGCATGCGCACGAGGCGCATGTTACTGAGGCTGAAGAACATGTGCCTGCGCCGCACCACGAGCGTGATCAAGAGGAGGCTGAGTCTGGGTCTGACGCCGAGTCCCAGCCCGAGTCCGAGGCCGCTTCCGAGTCTGAGGAAATCAACGAGGAAGACTTTGCCCGCGCGGCCGATGCTCTCTTCAGCGACGACACGGACGAGGAGGATATCGACCGCGGCCTCATTCCCGACAGCGTTCAACCCTCCCCCGCAATTCCGACTGCAACCCTTACTGTTTCAAGCACCATTGCTCTTGATAGTGACACCCACGTGGCTGCTGTGACCACTACGACAGCAACTACCGAAGCTACCGAGATTCGTGCCAGATCTCCATCGACAAATGCCAGCAGCGATCCAGCTGTGCAGCAGACTCCAGAGCGAGTTTTGAGAAAGACCCCAGAGCCAGAGAATGATTCTCCTCTTTTCTTCATCGACACTACTGGCACTGGAAGCCACGTCCAACGCTGGGAGACCAATGACGAAGACTCCGCTGCGGCTGGCGGCGACGACACGCTGTTCTTTGTCGACACTGGTGCCGATGTCTCCACCTCCAACGATGTTCCCCTGTACGACACCTCCACCACCATCCTCATTGGCGCCGACCGTCGGGCTCCTCGCCCCATTGACGACGCAGAAGAGGCCATCGTCTTCCGCCCTCGACTGATTGCCGATCCTGTGCCCGCTTCGGCCTCGTCGTCCCGCCCAAGCAGACCGCAGGGCAGCAACTTTGAGCTCACTAGCGTGTACGTGGACCCGCGCGTCGTCCTGAACCGCAAGGACCGCAAGGCGTTGAAAAAGTCCAAGCGCGCACGTAACAAGAAGGGCAAGCGCGGAAAGCACACCGACGGCATGCCAAGGGAGGACAGTGACCTCGACTGGGGAAGCGACGGCCCACCTGCACCCAAGGTCCTTGACATTGAGGTCAATGCGCTGGGACATGCCCTCGCCAGCACCGACCTCGACTTTGACGAAGACGTCGATCCCGATATTGACATGGAGGCCATGGCGCGCTTCGCCAACTCGTCCAAGGACATCGGGGCGTTTGGTGGCGAGGCAATGGTTGAGATGGAGAGCGACAGCGACCAGTGGGAGGACCAGGAGAGTGTCAAGGGCAAGGGCAAGGGCAAGGGCAAGGGCAAGGCGGCGTCGAGGCGGCGTCAGCAGGTGAGCTGTGCTAATGAAGATGAAGCTGACGGCAGGATCCCTTTGGTCTCGAGATTTCGTCCTCAGAGGACGGCGATGAGGGTGATGACGATGACGACGATGACGAGGACCTCGACGAAACGGTCGACTTTGAGGCTCTTGCCGCCGCCTACGACAGCGATTCTGACTCTGAAGATGACAATGCGCTTTTCACCGGCCACAACGCTTGGAAGGACGATGAGGATGAGGATGAGGAAGAGGAAGAGGAGGACGAAGCCGACTGGTTTGCGCGCAACCTCGACAATGCGCTCAACGGCGGCGTCATGTCGGCGGGCAGGAAGGAGCGCAAGGCAGTTTTCCGTTCTGTTCACAACGGCACCTTTGACGAGGCGCTTCCCATTGGTAAGTGCTGGGCAAGCCATCTGGTCACTAACAGCACACAGCTCCTGCAAAGAAGGACAAGAAGGGTGCCCACATCCCCCAGGCTCTTCACGACCAATGGGAGCGCGACCGCGCGAGGAAGGCCGACAAGAAGCGCCAGCGCGAGATGGACCGCATGCTCGGCCTGCTCATCGGCAACTCGAAGAAGGGCAAGAAGGCTGGCAAGGCGGCTGCCGCTGCTCGCGCACACCTTGTCAACGCCAGCGCCGCCGAGGTCGCGGAGCTCTTTGACGTGACGTCGGACGACGGCGGGTGGGGCGTCACGACCATGCCAAAGCACAAGGGCCACATGATGAAGCTCCTCCCGCGCACACTCGACGAGATTGACATTGATGTCCAAGAGTTCCTCGAAGACAACGGCCGCACGACCCTCGCCCTCCCGTCGATGGACAAGGAGTTGCGCAAGAAGGTCCACATGTTAGCCGAGTGCTACGGCCTCAAGAGCCAGAGCAAGGGCAAGGGCCACAGTCGCTACCCGTAAGCTCGGATCTGCACCAACCTTGCTAACTTTCAGTATCCTCTTCAAAGGCAAGCGCTCGAGACTCATGAACCCAGACAAGCTCGAACGTCTCCTCGCCGCAAGCAGGGCCTCGGGCAGCGCGTTTTACAAGGCGCTTTACCAGCGCGGTAACAACGGCGGAAAGAAGGCCTCGACAGCTGCTCGCGGTACCGGTGGTGGAGCATCGGCTCGGGCCCGCGAAGGCGAGCTGGTGGGCGAGGGTGCCGAGAAGATTGGTCAAGACAATGTTGGGCACAAGCTGCTCAGCATGATGGGGTGAGTCCAATTCCAGGCTTCGGTGGTTTCCAATTGCGCAAGACGTGATTGCAATCGGCTGGCGGACCTATCGCAGCCCGTGGGGCCGCTTCGGCGCCGAATCCGGTTCATGCAGTTCGACCGAAGCTGGTGGCATCGGCGACCATCCCTAGCACACATGAGTGGCTTCGCGGGCCAAGCCGTCGTCGAGAAGCGAGCCGATATCGTTTATGTCGTGACGCCGAAGTGGGCGTGCGAGAAGCACGTCCCAAACGTAACGCTCATGTTGTGCGAGTTACTGGGTTGATGATCAACCCTCGCTGTTCTAGTGCGCGGCACACGGCACCAGTGACGGGCGGCGTACCCTCTCATGTGTTCCTGCATATCACGTCCACCGCGGGCCGAAAGTTTTACTGAACTAGTGCTAACAAGCTATGACAGGTGGACCGAGGGCTCGGGTATTGGTCGCGTTGGTGGCTTGGACGCACCGTGAGTTCCTTTTCCGGGGTCGTCATCATGAATGGGTTGATGCTGATCGGCCGAAGTATTGTCGCAGTTGTGAAGAACACAAAGAGCGGCTTGGGTGCCTAGAGCGGACTTCCGCTCCTCAACCTACCGAGCTTACGAGAAGCATCGAGTGGAACCGATCTTTACTGAGCTGTATGTCATTTCGTCGACGATTGTTGGACGCAGAAAATATGGCGGCGCTGCCCGGTTAGCAAACGTGCTTTCACTGCAGCCACCGGACTCCGTCTCCGACCAGTCGACGCAGGCCGAATTCCTTCCACCTCCCCCTCCGCCTTGGCTGGTCCAGATTGGCTCCAACGGAGCCTTGGCTAACATGGTACCAAGACTACCCAAGGTGCCGCAGATACCTACAGCCATGACAAGCACGGCTTGGCTTCTCGCACGTCCTCCTGAGATTATCACAGGTGGACTATTTGCCACAAGATGACTCGAGGACGAAGCAATAGGACCACGCGGCATTGACATACCACGACCGGTCACTTGTCCGACGTCTGCTGTTCAGGGAGTGCCAAGCATTCAGACTCCAGGGTCCTCAGTCGATGGTGGGAATGGAGCAGGGAAACTTAACATCTGAGGCTGAAAAAAAGGAGATGGGGTTGCAGGTCAGTAAGTGTCCTACTGGGCCGGGAACAGTGAAGGCGTTCTGCAGCGGTCTACAGCAGCAGCATGTAGGCCGCTACAGGTGGCCCGCAGCATTCCGAACGTTGCAAGCCATTGTCCAACTGACGTATGGGCCACGACACTCTCGGGCGACACTCACCCGTGCTGGTTATCTGATTAGTCCGCTCGCTGACTGGCGGTGAAATTTCTCACCGGCTGGTAACTCGTGCAAGCTTTGGCTGGCGGCGTCCATGCTGGCAGACTGAAACGGGCTCGACCAAATATTGGTGCGACACTGGACCGGCGTGGACCGGCGAATGCGCGGTCATCCGTGCACCCTCGTCCTGATCTCCATCCTCCGAAGCCGGAGCAAAAAGCTGCGCTTTCTGGCGGTCACCAAAGACTAAGCGGGGTACTTGAGCTTCTAGTCGGGGAAAGGGGGCTTGGCGAGAGGTCGCTTTTGGACAATGACAAGCCCATCTCACTTGCTCACTGTTGGCTAGAAAGACACGTTGTATTTTCGGCCGGCTAATGCCAAGAAATTAGGAAACCCCTGGTTCGTGCCTGACCTGAAATTATCAGATAACGGCCGAAACCGCTCAAAATGCCTCGTTAGTGGCTGGCAAGACCTTAGGCCGATGACAGCGTATAGGTCAGCCTTCACAGGACATTTTTTTTTCTGTCTCCTGCGGCACAACTACGACCCTGGCGATGAAAGGCGGCGACCACGGTGTACAAGCAGGGCAAGCACGCAACAAGCTGCGCATCGTGAGGCACCTGACAATGTCAATCGGTGGGGCTTTGGGGCTCTGGGGCTCTGGAAGACGCCGCTCGGGGCACGGCAGCGCACAACAGCTGGTGACATTACACACCCGCGGCGTGTAAGCTGGTCCCGGGAAATCTAACAAGGCCATTCGCAGGGTCGCCATAGGGTTGCAATACGGCATTCCGCAGTGGTTCTCATCCTCACTACCGGCGTAAGACTACCCATGTCCGTGGCGGCGCCCATCCTTGGCACAGTTACTTTTGGCGTCCACCGGCCGACAGCCCAGCCCATGCTTCTGTGAAGAGTCGCCTGTGGTCTTCGTCTGCGCGGGGTGAGCGGGGCCGATCTGCGCCCTGCACGAATCACGCTGCCAGCATTCAGCATTATGTTGGAAGCGTGTGCCGTTTAGAGGCGGGACATATCGGGGCGAGTGGACTGTACTGCTGCGCATTTGGTAGGGGGCTTGGCATCACCGAGGTGGATCCTCACAAACCGAGGTGGTGTGGAAATCTGATAAATGCTGGCCACAGAAGGGACTTCTTCCCCAGTTATCTGATTGCTGACCGCTCTCAACCAACTGTGCAACTGGACCGACTTGGGTCCTCTCACTGCACCTAATCCCCTCTTCCCTCGACCTTCCCTCCCTCCTGTGCCACAGGGCAGCTAGTGAGTAGCCGGTGATTACATCATAGGATCTGCCACTAACGTGTTGCCAGACAAAAATGGCTCACGAGAGCTCATCCGGGTCGACGGGCTCGTCCTCCAACTCCACGGGCACCTCATCCGGTAGCGCTGCCACCACTACTACCGCGGCTGCTGCCTCCAAGAACAACAAGGCCAACAAGAACGCTGCCATTTCCAAGGCCACCTACGACACCTGGTATGTCATCGCCGGTGTCACCGGTGCCTGCATGGCGGTCTACCTCTTCTCGGTCGCCAACGCTTGGTACATCCGTCGCCGTGTCGCTGCTGCTCGCCGCGCTGGCAAGGCTGCCTCGCCTCCCGCTGCCACCACTGGTGCTTCGGTCTCGATCTCGCGTGTCCCCAAGGCCCTCAACGCCGTCTTCGCCAATATTGCCTACTACCGCGTCTGGCCTCTCTGGATCTGGTCGGCTACCTCCACTGCTGAGTGGTGGTGGACTTGGGCGTACACTGGTATTGTCCTTGGCCTCGGCTTCTGGGGATGCATTTCCAACGGCAAGCTCGACTACGCCAACCCCATGGGTTACGTTGCTTTCGGCCAGATTCCCCTTATTGTCGCCCTCTCGTCGCGCAACAATGTGCTCTCGTGGTTGACTGGTATCTCGTACGAGAAGCTCAACTACCTCCACCGCGCATCTGGCCGTCTTTGTGTCCTCACCACTTGGCTCCACACTCTCGGTTGGTTCAAGAAGGGTCTTGGCAAGCACGGCCCCGGTACCAACATCTTCCTTACCGGCATGCTCGCTGCTGTCGCTGCCCTCATCATGTGGCTCACTTCGTTTGCTCTCGCTCGTAAGATTGCGTACGAGTTCTTCCTCATTTCGCACATCACTATGGGTATCATCTTCATTGTCGGCTCGTACTACCACTGGCCCCGTCTCGGCGAGTGGTGCTGGGTTGGTCTCGTCATCTGGGCCTTTGACCGTGTCCTCGCTACCTGCCGCATGATGTGGGTCAACAAGGTCTGGCTCATGCCCTTCTCGTCCAAGCGCGCTGCCCACTCGGCCTGCACTGTCGAGCTCGTCGACCCTGATGTTGTCCGCCTCACCGTCAACCGCCCCAACATGAAGTGGTCGCCCGCTCAGCACGCCTACATCACCATGCCCGGCGTCGCCACTCTCCGTTACGAGCAGCACCCCATGACCATTGCCAACATCCAGTCGGAGACCGGTGATGTCACGTTCATCATCCGTGCCCAGACCGGTTTCACTCGCCGCCTTGTCCACCGTCTCACCGAGCAGAAGTCGAGCGACATCAACTGCTACCTGGACGGCCCCTACGGCATGTCGCACGGCCTCAACCACTACGACTCCGTCATCCTCGTTTCCGGCGGTACCGGTGTCACCTACGGCACTGCCCACCTCCTTTCGATCATGGAGGGCTCGCGCAACGCCACCACCGCCGTCTCCAACTGTCGCCTTGTCTGGAACGTCCGTGAGGCTGCCAACGTTTCGTGGATTGCCCCTATGATCAACGAGGCTGTCGCCAAGGGCCTCGGCCAGACCCGCTTCCACATTGACATCTACATTACCCGCTCTGCCGCTTCGGACGAGCCCGGTACTGCCCACGTCGCCCCCATCGAGGACACTGCCACCCCCGAGTACTCGCCCAGCGGCTCGACGGAGAACGTCAACGACAAGGGCTCGGCGTCGTCGCTCGGCGACGAGAAGTACGCTTCCATCGCCGGCCTCTCGGCCGAGGCTGCCCAGCTCGTTTCGTGGCACCGTGGACGCTCGCACATCGAGGGCATCCTCCGCTCGGACCGCTCCGAGTCGGCCACTGACGGTGCCGGTGTCGCCGTTGCCTGCTGTGGTCCTTCGGGCCTCACCCTCGACGCCCGTCGCGCCGTCTGCAAGGTCAACTCGGCTGGCTCGATTCTCCGCGGCCAGAACGACGTTACCTTCTACTCTGAGCTCTTCGGCTGGTAGATATAGACGTAGGTGGGAGGGGAGTGCGATGATTGTGGGCAGGGAGGTGTCACGGTGTCAAAATGGCCTGGTAGAGAGGCTCCAACAATAGAACGGGCGGGCTCAATGCTCTTGTGAACGACAGTAATGAATCAATCAATGCGTTTCCTAAACACCTCTGCCGCGCAACAACCAGAAGCGACTGGCGCACAGACTGTGACTGCCACCGCCCACAGAGTAGGCACAGACTGGCAAACGATTAGTCGGAGGCCGGATAATTGAGACACCTTGGGGGAAGCATTACTTTTGGGTACAGCCACATTCCCACGACAAATTTAGAGTTGTCGTCATGGTCGAAGAATTTATGCTTGAAGGGTATGGATTTGGGCGCTCGCGATGCCGGGCGATGCCGTATTGTATCAGCCTGAGGTTTCCGGCTGATACGCAAAGCAGCGTGCATCATGCTATCGGCCATCTTGGTCCTTGACACCATGCATCGCTCAATGTGAGCATTGCGACTGCCCGTCCTGAGGATATTTCTGACCTGCTCACACATGTTCGCCAGGGACGAACGAGGCGGTGACGTCGGCTTTTGCCGAACTCACTGGATCACTGCTCGACTGCGGAGTGCGAGAGAGTAAATGTATTTTCCGGCCTCACTGACCACAGGGAATCCCAAGATGAATCCCCTTAGGCAGGGATGCATCGTGGGGTACGTCCGGATTCGAAAAAGTTTCGCCGTCGGACGAAGGGACGATGGGGGATTGTTGGAAAAGTTTCGCGTGAACACCTGAGCGACGGCCTGGGGATCCTTGGAAATGGACAGAGTGGCAAAGTGGCACCTGCCAGTTCACCAAATACTACTGGTGAAGAGTGCAACTGTCCTGACCGTTGCTGGAGACCTGAGCTGACCAAGATTGTTGGAAAACGATAAGCAGGCTGCACGATGTGGGGTTGAGAGTGGGGCCGAGGGGTTGCAGAATCGTTGCCAAACGATAAAGCATGGTGGCCGACACCTCTGGCCTGAGCAACAACAAGATAACACGGGGGTGCTGAATGACACAGACCGTGGCCGACACTGCAAAACATGTAACAACACAGGTAACAACAAGCACTAGTTTTTAGGATCTACTCAATGCAATGCATCCACAACTATGAACTCCTAAGTCTAGACAACGCCAGACACTATCTAAAATCTACACTTTAACGGTTAGCGCACGAGAAGGACTTGCCAACCGTGCCGTCCGCAAAGGAAACGATGATGTCCTCAACAGCGCCGTACGTGCCACATCCGAAACAGATGAGACCGATGAGGATACAGACAGTGTTGAGAATGGTGAGGGAGGTGTTCTTCCAGCCCTGGAAGCAGCCGCCCTCCCTAATGATGACAAACCACATGAAGCCGGGGAGGTAGAGCGAGAAGCCCGAGACAAAGAGGGCCGAAATGATGCCGAGGAGGTCGGAGAAGAAGGGGATGGCCTCGGCGACGACCCAGGCAATGACGGACGCGACGGTGATGTAGGCGATCCAAGCCATCCAGCCCTTGGGCGAGTTGACGTAACGGATGGGCGAGTGGGGGAAGAGGTAGTCGAGGACGTAACGACCCGACGTGACGGTGTTGATCGAGCCCGAGATGAAGATGACGGGAAGAGCAATACCGAAGGCGACGCGCGAGACGGTGAAACCGGCCGAGAGGAGGGCAGGCGACTGGGCCGAGTTGCCAATGAAGGCGTAGCCAATGGCACCAGTGCAGGTGTAGATGATGATCTCGGTGATACCAAGGACCCAGACGGCCTTGGGGAAGTCGGTGGGGGTGTGCATCTCCTCCATGAAGGAGAACTGGCAAATGGCGAACGAGTAGGCAAAGACGACGTTGGTCACGGCGACCATGGCCTCGTAGAAGGTAGCGCCCTCCTTGGGTCCGACGGTCCAGTCGACGGCAGCGAAACCACCCTCCTGGTTGTTGGCACGGATACCAGTGGCAATGAGGGTGAGGAGAATGGCAACGCAGATGGAGACAAAGTCGACGTAGCCGAGGACGGCCATCTCAGCGAACGAAGGCGGCAGGGCACAAAGGAAGAGGAGGATCATCGACACAATGCCCCAGACAAGGGTGCAGACGTCGACCTGGGTGATAGTCTGGAAGGCAATGGTGCCAGTGAGACAGTGGGAGCCGACAAGGAGGACGAGGTAGAGGACGAAAGCGCAACCGATGACGCCTTCCAGAATGGCACCCGCACGGCCCGGAAGGAGGAGGCGGCCGACATGAGCATAGTGGGTGACCTGGGGGTGCTTGATCTTGACCTGGCCGATAACGTAGGAAGTGTAAATGGCAATGAATCCAATGCCAACAGTGATGATGGTACCAGCGACCATGCCAAGCGTGGCGAAAGCACTGTGTTTGTCAGCACTTGAAAAAAAAAAGAACAACATGGATATCCGGGCTGGGGGTATACCACCACCATCCGCAATGGAAGCCCATTTCCGCCAGCTGGTGGCGCACTCACGCAGGAAGAGACAGCGATCCAAGGGCAATGGCCTCGACAATGAGGACAACGACGAGCTGCACCCAGCCAAGCTTGTGGTACTTCTTCTCGCCGTCAATAACGAGCTCAGAGTAGTACTCCTGGCGCTCGGCCTCGCTCATGTCCTTCTCCTTCTTATTGGAGGCAGCACTGATGGTCACGGCGCCGGCATTCTTGTCCGACTTGTCGTTGCTTCCCGTAGCAGGGGCAGACTCGACGTCGGCAGGCTTCTTCTCGGTGACGGGGGAGGAGATGGTCGCCTGGCTTGCCAGTGCAGACTCTGGTTCAAAGGGCCTTGCCATCATAAAAGGTGAAAGACGGTTGATGTCTTGTGAAAGGGGAGGTGTGGTAAGAGGGTGTGTGGTGGGGAGGGGGGGGTTGTGTCGCTTGTTGAAAACGACTGTGAGGTAAAGTACTAAAGAGAAAGAGAGACAGAGAAGAGAGAAAAAGGGCTCCAGAGGTCTATCTGTGGGGCCGACGTCCGCTTCACGGCCTCCTCTGGTGTGATCGCGCGGCCGCGGCGGCTCGAGTGTCAGGATTCATAAACCCGGTAGACACAGGTTCGGACCGTACAGCGACGTCCACTGGCTCTCCATCTGTTGCCCACATCGTATGCTTCCAATTGGGTCGATCTGCGTATCCCCCGCAGCACCTCCAAGGCCCGCAGTCTCAGCTATGCATCGTCGTTGGACGGTGGGCATTGCCAGGGCTGCCAAAAAGCTGGTTGAACACATTCGAAAAGATTGTGGAAGGCATGCATCATTGGTCGAGTGTGGTGTTTCGACCAAGGCAGTTAGCCCCTCCAGGTAGCCGATGTCCCTGGCTCGCTGTGTTGGTTTTGTCCTTTATGCGCGGGCCGGAAAACGGCGTAGCAGCTGGAGGCAGCTGAAAGCAGCTGGAGGATACGCTGCTGGAGGCCAGGATATCCAGGAATGCGTGAGGATCCCAGGCCCCGCTTAGGTCGTAGTCTTTGCAAACACCCTCAGGCAGTCAGGATATCGTGTCCGGGTGTTGATTTACAGCCCGAGCAAAATTTGTGCGTACACGCGCCGTGCGGTACAGTATGTGTACGCGTCTGCATTTCGTCCGTGGCAGCTAAACTCTCATTCAAGTTTAATAATGCTGTTTACGGCGCCACATTTCAGCCTACACGGCCCGGAGCATGTCATGAATGGTACCAGCTCCGACTGGTGGGACCGCTTGCTTTCAAAGCAACTCCAGCACAGACCACAGCCAGCAGACAAAAGGAGACGCCAGAGAGGGGTCTGCATAGAAAAAGAACGGCCAAGGGGTCGGCCATTCGGCCCTGAGATCCTCCGCAAATCCGGATGCAACCATTGACATCCACGCATCCATCCCCAGGTGTCAGCGTGTCCCATCCCGGTCACGGAGTTGCCGCAGAGCTTACCTATTCGTGGAACCCGAGTACGCCGCGGGCCTGTGGTCACTGCCGGACCTCGTGGTGCAAGGGATGGGATACGGTATGTGGACTGCGGTCGGAACAAGCGTCGTGTGGCCACAACACATCTCGGTTCAATTGCCATGGCGTCAGCGGCCCAACGGCAATCAAGACCGGAAATCAATATTTTCGAATGAAAAACATCGGCCTTTTCATTTTCGAATCGTCAGCCTCCCACCTCCGTGTCCACCAGAGACATGCCGCTGCTGCCTGACCACACTGATTGTCACAGGTCCGTGCAGTGTAAGATTGTACCCTGCTCTCACTGTACCTCGTCCGGCTGTTGTATGCATCGTCGTCTTGCACACGAACAGGCGGTTTTGGCCCATTGGCGGCTGGACGGTTGTTTGATTATTTGTGGCAGCTCGGCAATCAGCGGGACGCCGGTCCGCGCATCCCAATTCTTCGGCATACTCTGCGTTGGCCACTAGGTCGACGATTGGATTCCAGAAACCCAGGGAGTGGCGTTCCTTGTAAGCGAGGATTCCATCCTGTGCCCACCTGCATGGACCGAACGAGCCCTTTACACTGTACATTCTGCCGCCCGCATGTCCGCTGAACGGTCATGGGTTTGCAGATCAACCCCACAGATCCATGCTACGGCCCCACAGTTCGGCCTCGTCCGTGTCGTCAATGACGGAGGAGTTAGACGTGCGAGTTGGAGCACCACCTCGGAGGCGAATATCGAACTGCCGGAGCGAGGCTGTTTGAGTTCACGGAAGAAGGCCCACGCCAGGGCGAAGACGTAAGAACCGAGGCAGAAGGAGGTGACGGCGTTGGCTTGGCAGGTGTTGAAAGCTGCCACCAAGAACACCCGCTGCGTTGCAAAAGTTACGCAAGGCCAACTGACGGGGCACGAACGAGAATGGGCGTGGAGGACGTGTTGTTGCTCAAGATTGGTAATGGCGTGACCTGGCGGCCTCGTCCCAGATCCAGACCAAATGTCCAGAGACCACGAGTCCCAGCTCCAGACACATTTACCAAGATCAGTTCAACACCGGTGGCGCCACCAGCCTGTCCAGAATGACGTCCGATCGATCGGACTTGCAAAGTACTTTTCTTCCCAACAAACGGCCTCCATGACTCGAGTTCGATGTTGCCGTATACCTCATCACCACCTCTCCGCCCTCGGTTCTCCATCTATCCTCCATCTCCCCCTCCTCTCCCTCTCACGAGCTTTTAATCCAGCACGCAAAAACACATGCATCAAGGCTCTCGTGGTGTAGTGGCTATCATACTTTCTTAGGGTCCAGATCATTGGTCTCTAATCCTTATCGGATTTGATCCTCCGGTTTATCTAGCTATGGAAGTGGTCCTGGGTTCAAATCCCGGCGAGGGCCTTCGTTTTTGGGACCCTGGGCATCTCTGGCGGGTGTGCATGGTGTTTGTTGATGGCCGGGGATAGTTGTGGCAAGGAGAACGGTGGTTGGAAGGAAGCAAGGTGGATGGCATATGGCGGATGGACGTTGTTTGTGGAGCCGACATGATTTTTGTGTTTCGTGTTTGCTCAATCCGGCGCCCCCACACAAGTGTTTCAAAAGTGACGTGCCACATGTTCCACTAGTGGCTCCCTGGCCATGTTATTGCATTGTCATCGTCACCTTGATACTGAACAGATATCTACAACAAGATGACTCCCGTCTCCTCCACGATCTCCTGCACCAGCTCCTCCTCTGCCCGCTTCCTCTTCCTTTCCTCAACCCTGCGTGCCTGCTCCCGCGCCGCCTCGGCATCGTACCCTTCGCCCTCGCCGCCCGACGCAGCCATCTCGTCATCGTCGACATCCACATAACTGTCGTCCGAGTTGAAGCTGAACGCCGAGTCCGAGAGGGCGCCGTCGTCGTCCTCGTACAGGTCAGTGTACAAGGTGCTCGGGGCCGGGGATTTCTGGTTGGCCGCCAGTGGAGATGTCGTCGAGTGTATGTCTTTGCCTGGGCAACCGTTAGTGGGGGGGGGGGGGGGGGGTGACACAATGCAAGAAAGGGGGCAGGGACTCACCTGGTACGCCAAGTCGCCAGTCTCCCGCGACGACACGGGACACTTCGCCCGGAATATCGTGGTCAAACCATCGCTCGTCACCGTCATAGTCGAACACGTCGAGCTCGAACACGCGGGTGCGGGCGTTCAGGAGCGGCACCAACATTTCCTCGGTCCCCGGATCGACCTTTGGGCTCAAAACGTCCAACGGGTGCATGTCGTGCGGCACACGGACGCGGATACACGGCACCTCGACGAACCGCCAGATACCCCGCAGAGCCATGGCGGCCGCCTGGTCCGCGGCCACGATGCTGAGCGACTCAAACGGCCAGCCCTGCAGTGTCTCTGCAAAACGACGGCCAAAGATGGCAACCAAGGTGGTCGTGTCGTCCAAGCCGAGAATGGGCTGCGGAGCGTCGTAGCTCCGGGGAAGGATCGGGACGAGATTCTCGATCCAGTACACCGGAGTGACGCGTTTGCTATCGTCCATGTGCGCAGCGGATGTAAACCCCTGGGCAACTATAGGCGGAAGTGCCGCGATGAGCTGTTCGCCGTCGCTTGCTTCCGCAAGGGTAATCCGAATGTCACGGTGGGCTGGAGCAGGCTCGAAAGAAGCGTCGGTCCCATCGTCAGACGTTGTGGAAGCGGCCTGTGGCGGTGGCGGCGTAGACGGCTCGGGAGAGCCGAAGTGTATGGGTGGCCAGTCGACAAACCCTTGGATCTGTCTGGCAGCCAAGCGGTTTAGACGAGAAATCTTGTCCAGGACTTGTGGACGAGTCTCCGACTCGCGATCCCCAGGTCTGCCCCACGTCACGGCAATGTCCTTCCTCACTGCAACGGACGTGGTTAAACCGTAGTGGGTGGGGATGGGGCGGGGGAGGTGCACGAGATCTTGCACCAACGGTTGGTGGCATCGCCACAGGTACTGTTCTTCAGAGGGCGGCAGGGGGTTAGGCTCCGACCGCAGTTGCTGCTGAAGTTTGGAGCTAATGTCGTAGGCTGCATGGGCGGCGCGGTTCAGCTCGGCCAACCAGAAGCTCAGGATGCTGCTATATGCAGACTGTTCATTCGACCTGTGGGCGAAGGGGTCTGGCGGGGTTGGTGTTCCACTCAACAGGCCCAGGCGCTTGGGCTTGGCCTGTGACTTTCGGATGTTATTTTCCATTAACCAATCGCCAGAGCTGAACCCCTCACCCATGCGGTGGGGCGAGGGCAAGCATCGAACAGCACTCTCGAGCTGCTCTCCATTCCACACTGGCAACGCCTTGCTGTCGCATCTGGGAGGATTGGTGGGGACAGTGCGTAGGAGCGACGCGTAGTGATCCAGTGCACCAAAACGCCGGATTGCCACACTTTTGCTGTTTCTCATTGACATGTGTCGTCGGTACGACTCGTCCTTCCGGGCAGCTTCAATCCACTCTTTGGCACTCAGATGACCGTTTCGGTCAGCAAAGGCCTGTACCTCGGCCTCAGTGCGGGCCGGCAGGAGCGGTGGGTGACTGGAGAAATCCACCTTGCCCGTGCGAGCAGCGAGGTAGCTCTTCAACCAGTCTGTAAAGGCTAGCCTCTTTTCCCTTGCGGACGCGACACGGTCTTCAAAGACGGCAGCCTGCACGAGGAAGGGGGTGGACGCAACGGCCGGCCGCAACTGTTCGTCTCCTTGCTCAAAGGCGAGATGGAGGCGCATGACCTTTGTGCGTACGGTGCTCAGGGCGGAGAGGAAACGCAGCGCCGAAGCCCCGCCGTCGATCAGCACAGACAGTGTGAGCTGGTCAAGGTCCAGTTGAGCCAACACCTGGCGAACATCCTCGTGTACGCTCGGCGGGGGAGGAGCACACTTGGCGGCAAGACCCCAGATAGGACCATCCTGGTGCGTAGGTATGTGGATCGCCGAGTGATATTCGCTCGCCTCGAGAGTGAGGTCGCGGACCAGCGGCGCGCGGGTGCGGCCGAGCGCTGTGAGCTCGTAGGGATCGGGGGGGAGAGTGTTACGCGAAAGGGTGCGCTTGTCCTCGAGCGTAGATATGGCTCTGCAGAAGGCAGTCACTCTTTCGTAAGGGACACAGGGGGAGTGGTAGAGCGCTTCGACAGCACAGGGGAGGAGGGATCTAGTGAGGAGGAGTGGAACGAGAGCACCAGTGATGATGCGAGTGTCGAGCCATTCTGCGGCGTCAGTAAACCGATAACGAGGCAGCCGGGACGCTCTCTGCGACAATGTACACCCACCTGTCTTGATGTCCTGGTAGTAGGCAGCAAACACCAGCTTCCAGACGGAAGGAGGAAGGGGCCCGACAAGAGGGTCTATCGGCCATCAGCCCACATCCATCATCATCATCGCCGTCGTCGTCGTGGTCGAAACGTACCGTCCTCAAATGCCGACTTGCACTTTCTCTTCATCTTGCGCCTCCGCTCACCAAGCTGCTCATTAACAGTATCTGCGCGGTCCACTGGTAATGCTTGGAGAGGGTGGATGGTTGTTGTGTCTGGTTCGCCCATCACCACGTCGCTGTCTACCGCGCTGGGATCGGCGGCCATGACGTCAGATGTATGCGAGCTGCGCTGTTGTGCTGTTGTGCTGTTGTGTTTGCTCGCTGTCGCTGGAAGCAGCAGCGAGAGTGAGGCCAACGGAGCGGTAGTCGAGGATGCAGGAGGGGGGGGGCGGTGGGTGCAAATGGACTGGAGTGATGGGAAGTGTAGTGATGGACGTGGTTGCGGGATGTGACTCGAGAATCCCTTGGACCCAGCCAGTCCAGCCTCCGAAATACGGGAACTAACCCGAGTCACGTTGTTTGGCGCCAAGCCAACAGCTGCAGCCTGGCCAGCTGGCCAGCACACCGACGACCACTCGATAGCCGTGCATGGCAGCACTAACTTCAAGCGGGGTACTAATGCGTACTGCAGGTGCTGAGATGGCATGCCGGCTGCAACTTGAATCGCATCACTAGTAACACCAGCGACATTGCAGCGTCGACCTGCCTCCCCTTTGGGCGCTGTAGGGCCAGCTGTAGGAGCAGCCTCCCACGATCAGCAACTCTTCACTTTCGCAGCTCGCGTACATCCTCTCGCAGAATCAAAAGGGGTATAACATCATCCGACAATATCGACGGCTATCATAGCCGGGGGGGGAAAAGGACTCTCCATTAGCAGCCGCGCACACTTTTCAGCGCGCCGCATTTCGTTAACAAGTTGATTTGGGGGCAAAAGGGGGGTTTGGGGGGGTCTGGGGTCTGAGGTGGGGAGGTGGGGGGATCTGATCTGGTACTCGAGGTCGTCATGAACGAAAGATGGTGGCCGGCGCACAGGGGGGGAGGGGTACAGTCAAGAATGACAATTAACGGCGCACGGTGCCGCCCTGGCGGTGGTATGCGGCCATGTTGTCGATCTCGCCCTCGAGGGCCTTGATTTGCGAGTGGGCCTGCTCGAGGTCCTTGTTGAGACGGTCGCGCTCGGCGATGAGGTGCTGCTCCCACTGGCGGAAACGGGCCTCCTCGAGCTTGACCTGCTCGGTGAAGCGCTTGCGAAGGGACTCCTCCTCCTCCTTGAACTTGGGGTTGTCGAGCTTCTTGACCTTGGGCTCGCCAAACTTGCGGGTCTCCATCTGCTGCAGACGGTACGACTCGTAGTGGGTCTCCTCGGTCGAGGTGATGAGGTCGAGCATGTAGGTGCGGATAAGGAGCGAGCGGAGCTTCTTAAAGTCGCAGTGGTCCTCGTTCTCGACCTCGGCAACACCCCAGAGGTACTGGCGACCCTTGACGACGCGGCCATCGGTGGTGGTAACGTCGTCGATGGAGCCAATGACCGAGAAGGGCATGACGGACTGCATGTGGCGCGCGTTCTCGGCAGCCTGCTCGTCGTCGACGTCGACGGGAGGGAGGTAGCACTTGATGCCCTGGGCGTCAATGACCTCGCGGACGCGCTGCTTGAAGGCAAGGAGGTCCTCGGGGGTCATGGTGTCGGCCTTGGCGACAACAGGGATGAGGTTGACGCGCGAGCCAAGACGCTTCATGACCTCGACGTCGAGGGGCTTGAGGCTGGTGCCCGAGGGGCGGATAAAGTACAGGCAGGCGTGAACGCGGAGGTCCTGCTTGTCGGTACGGAGGGGCTGCTGCTCCTGGCGCATGTACGACTCGTGCTGGTCGTCGATAAACTCGACAATGGGAGTCCACGAGTCGCGGTTGTTGACATAGTCGCCAAAGCCGGGAGTGTCAATGACAGTCAGCTTGATGTTGAAGCCGCGCTCCTCAAGGTCGGCCTTGAGGATCTCGACCTCGGTGGTCTTGTCCATCTGCTTGGCAAAGCTAGAATCCGTTAGTCGTAAATTCATGCGCGGCGCGCGCTCGCCGTGTGTGCATGGCGGCACACATAGCGCCTCCCCCCGCACCGGATCCCACACTCACCGCTGGCGGTAGTTGCGAGGGGCGCAGATCTCGCTGGCAAAGAGCGTGTTGATGAGGGTCGTCTTACCGAGGCCCGACTCGCCTGTTCAGAGTCAGCGAATGCTCACACGGGTGCGATATGGACGCCCGCCAGCGTCCTCCCCTCCCCTCCCCTCCCCAAATCCCACCGCGACCTCCAGCAGCTGGAGGAAGGCGACCGCGCACGGGCCGACTTTTGTCAACAGGAGCGACAATCCACCCGCTGGGGTTCGTGGTTATCACAAAAACGCGCCAGAGGTGGAACTTGCCGCTCGCGCTGCTGCAGCAAATGCAGACACAGACGTGACTGGGCGCGCGCGCGGTGCGGAAGCGGGACGAGGAAAGGTGGGGAGGACGTGGCGGGGCCGTGCGACGCACCGACCACCATAATGGTGAAGTGCGCGCCGCGCTGGTTGACAATCTTGTGCCTCTGGATGGGGGGTCAGCAGTGCTCTCGCTGTGTGCTTTGAGAACGCGCGCGCGTGTGGCAAGTCCACACGGGAGAGAGGGAAGCAGGGGGCGAGGTGGGCTGGCGCGGAGAACAGGTGGAGGACCTCTGGTTCAACGCGCGCGCGTGGCAACCCCAGCTCTGCTCCCTCTCTCGGGCTGTCGTCTGTGTGCGGTGGTACGAACCTGGTTGGGGAGGCTGCTGTCAGCTGGGTGACTGCGTGGGGGTTACGTACTTTGCGATACCGATCTCGCCTGACATGATGGATGGATGATGGGGGGTGGTGGTGGTGGAGAAGGATGGATGGTGAACGAGCAAGTCGAGTGGGTGTGCACGACGGGACGAGACGAAGGGGGTGTGTGCGTGCAGGCAACGCGCGCGCGCGCCAGGACGCGGGGCGGAGGGGCCACCGCGCGGGAGCGACGGAAGCATTCCCACGCGCAGCCGCGTTTCACAACGATCACAACCATGAGGCCACCGTGGGAAGGCGGCATGAGGTACCCCGTGGGGGGACACATGGTGGCACCTGTGCAGCAATATGCTCAGCAAAATGCAGTTTGCTTGTGGTGGGGGAGACCGAAACGCATAGACAGGAGTAGGCAACCTCAATGGATCAATGGCAATAAGACGTCGGCATAAACAGGGGGGGCAGCTGGCATTGTTAGAGAACAGCATACCCCGGCAGAAAACTGGGACAGGGGCGGAATCCTCACGCCGAAAACCACCTGCACAATCAGGCATCGTCCATCTTCGTTCTGCAGCTCTGACACTTGCTTTGCCTGGTTTAAATTCATTCACCCTTCCTTGTCGCACTTGCGTTGCCTCATTCGCATCCTCGCTCCCCGCTGGTCGAGGGCCAAGTCGCGTCGATGGCGTCGACGAGTCGATTCACGCTCACCTGCCTCGCTCAAGGTGGCCGTAGGCGACCTCACGAGCTCCCCCGGGTCACAGATTGTCGCCCCCCAGCGAACGCGCAAAGGAGCCAACCCTCATGACCGCCACAGCGACACACAAAATCATCGGCGATTTAGCTCAGTTGGTTAGAGCGTGTGCTTAACACTAGGACTGTTCAACAGTCAAGCGTTGCGCACAAGGTCGGCGGTTCGACCCCGTCAAACGTCATTTTTGGCTACCTGGAGGCATGCAGAGTGCATCCTGGGTTGCTGTTTTGGAGTGGGAGGGAGGATGTGGATGTGTGAAAGGGAGGTGGGTGGACGATCGATGAAAATTGGTGGAAAATAAAAGTGCCACAGACGGATCGGCGCGATGGCCACGGGGTACACCTCTCTGCTCCTTCCAAAGGCCATGCCTCCCACACCAGGTGACTTTGGTGCAGAGAACAATCTGTTAGGCTGCGTCCTGCCCTACTGGGGGCGCCTGTACTGCTGGTTGAGGGCTCCCAACGTGATCCAGATGGACCCGCCCACTTGAGCGAGGGTTCGCCGTTCCGGCGACGACCTGTAGGCGGGTAACGCTGTCAGCGAGAGGCTACTAGCACGCACTGGTGCTCTCAGTATTCGGCCGTGTTGTGGTTGACCCTGGAGATGGTCACTTCGGTCTTCTCATCAATTCGAGGGGATCGGCGGAGACTGACGGGAACAGTAGCCATCATGAGGTTTGTCGGTTGCACTCTGCGATAGAGGATTGATAACAGCATCGTCCTCGTCGTCAAGTTGGATTGAAATGAAGGGATAGGGCAAGCGCAGGGCATGGCACGGACGGTGCACGGGTTATCTGCCCCAAACGGCCAGCGGGGCCAACGGTTAATGGCAAACCTCTTGCCGACCCACATCACAAGCACGAGTCAGTTCAATCAGTGGATCAGTGGATCAGTGGGCCAGTGGCAACAGCCACGCACAAAGGTCTGAAAGAGTACATATCAATATCCATACGAGCCCAGAGCCACACCCCATTACACACATAAAAAACCTAGTACGCCCACCCTCATGCTCATGCCCTGGCCATAGCCTCGACTGTCGTCGCCGTGCTGGCCCACCCGGCATCCCGCCGGCGCGGTTGACCAGGTACTCCACAATGTCGCCATCGTCCTTTGGCACGTCGCCTGCGTTGCGGTACGCGGCCATGTCGTCGTGGTTGTTCATGTTCATCTCGACCAGCGCGCGGTCCTTGCTCGAGTGGCCGTGGCCGTGGGCACTCTTTACGCGCGCGCCGTCGTCGTCCACGAGGCCGCGCCTGAGCAGCTCGTCCTCAAACTGTTCCTGGAGGTCAAACGCGCGGTCGACGATCGCGTCGTCCTGGCGCGAGAGCGGCAGCGGGCCCGTCAACTTGACCATGTGCGCCAAGGTGAACGGGTACGTCGAGATGGTGCCGCCTTGGACGGGCGCTTCGCGTTTCCAGCGGTAGACAAAGCCCTCGCGGGTGACGGGCGCGTCGTGCTGGTTCCACTTGTCCGGGAGGTGGCCCGAGGACTCTGCGTCGGCCAAAAAGTCGAGGTAGCGGCTGTACCATACTGTGGAACACGCGTCAGAATGGGGACAACCAACACGCCAAAAAGGACACTCCTGGTGGACTCACGCGCGCATTCGTACAGCTTGCCAGCGGCCATTTTCAAGTCGACCACGGCGTCGACGGCTTCCTTGTACAGGTCTTCTTGTCCGATCCAGTGCTTTGCCCACGGAGCGAGGGCGCGGTCGAGGGCCCTCGCCATGGCCTGGGGCTGTTCGAAGCGGTTCATGAGCATCTGGAGCGTGACGATCAGGTACTCTCGTGTGATCTGCACAACCATGGTGTCAGCCCAGATACTCTGTGTCGCGCAGTGGCATCCGCGTGCGTCGGTAGAGCGCAGAGCCACACATTCTCATCTCATCTCACTCACGACCAAGGGCGGGTTGCCAGGTTCAGGTGCTGGCCAGTGCACCTCTGCGATGTGGACGGGACCATGGGTGCGTGCCTCGTGACAGCACCTGTGGCTCTCAAACGTCCACTTCCAGCGCTCGCCGATGCCATTCTTCAACGAGGGGCGCGATGGACGGATGCACGGGTACCAGTACGACACCTTGTCGTTGGATTCCCAGTGGACAAAGTGTGGTGGGCGGTACGCGGTGGCAAAGTCGAAGCGGCCGGTCCAGGTCGGGTGCTGTGGCCACCGGGCCTTGGGACGGGTGCTGGTCTTGGTGCTGGCCTTGGTGGGGGTGTTGGTGACGGATGGCCGTGTGGGGGCGGGCTTGGAGGTGGCGCGGTCAGACGACATGCTGAGTGTGTCCGTCATGACATAGACATGTTCTGGTGTGAAGGACGATACCGCTGCGAGTCGCGTCCGTCTCTGTTTAAGAGGCCACACCGTGTTGACACCGGTCATGTCTCACCCCAGCGGCACCGGCTCTGCGGTTGTGCGGCCCACTTTGCCAAGCAAATGCAAAAG